TAGAAATTCAAACAAGCCCCGCCAAAAAGGGACAATATTGCATAGTAGTTTAGTTTATTATTCAGGGACAATAAAAGTAGATGGATGATGATGATGATGATTGACTCTTACTATCGTAAAGATTCAAAGTGATGGCTCCATGATGATAACGCTAATCACGTAAAAAATAAAAAAAAAGTTCACATCTTGCGGTTTTTATTTGATTTAATCGCCTATTCATCCAATGCATATCTGTTACGGATTGTTGATCATGACAACGGTTTGCTTACACGTAGACGTTATGACAAAAAAAAAAAAAAAAGAGTGGTAGATGATGATTGACACGAAAACACGCTTTGATTGACACGAAAACACGCTTTGGTTGGCACGAAAGTAGTTAAAAAAAGGCGCGCTCTGATTGGCTCCTTGATTTTTTTTTGAAACTATTTAAACTCGCGGTATTTTTTTGATCTTTTTCTGCTTTTTTCCCTTTTCTTTTTTTCTTTGTCTTTCCCCCTTTTTTTTTTCTTTCTTTTGTCCCCTCATCTTCATTGCCTTTGTTTCAAGTGTTGGACTATTATCCTTCATTCTTAACACCTTCATTACAAGAACCATTGCTTAGCACAATGTAATGTAGGCATAAAGGTATCGCCCTCGTTTTTTCTTGTAATTGTAAATAACCATTGCTTAGCACAATTTACAATGTTACTTGAAAAAAATGGCTTTTTCCATAGCGTAAGTAAGGAGATCCCGCTAACTCATTAGACGGATTTGCTGAAGAAAACCTAGGTTAAAGTCATGTTGTGGAGTAGGAACTTGGACAGCACTGACTAGTGTCTCCCTGTGATCTCTGTCAACCCACTATCCTTTTTTTTTTCTTTTCTATGTATCCCCTTCGTTATCCATTTACTCCCCGTCGCAATCATCCTCCCCACTACGACTTCCTACGATTTCCTATGATTTCGTACGACTTCCTACGACTTCTTACGATTTGGTGTTTGTTATAAGTATAAAATATGATATTGATTATGATACTAACACATTATTATTGTAGCGCCAACAAGAAAGTGTGTGATGCACTTCTTATTCATCATGATGATTCCCATCCTTGTACAGATGCAAATGGCATTCCATGATTTATTTGATGGAATGGGTTTTTGTAAAGCTGATACCTTTGGAGCCGGCCAAGACACCTTCTTTGACTTGGAACATATATCTGAATGAATGTTTTTCCTATAGATCTCTTTATGATGCTGTTTATATATATTTCACTAGTTTAGTCTCTATTATCTTTTTTTTTTGTTATACTTTGAATAAAAATCATTCTATTTATATCATTATTTTCTATTGTTTCTCATCTGATCCTAGTTGTTTGTATATATATCATATATTTATTTGTTGTGAAAACAAAATTGATGCTGACTTAGGCGTCCAGCATCACATATCATCCATCATTATAGATCACACCGTTATTAATCAGCCATTCATCATTCATCATTCATCATATAATATGGATAAGTAGCACCTAAAACTAAATCTTAGCAAGAACACAAAAGATCTACCTTCTTTTCTTTCTTCTTTTTTTTTTCTTGAGAAACAAATATAAAACTTTCATTTAATTTTACCTAATGATACAAAACAAGATAATACAAAAAGGGAAAATTAATAATATATACAAAAAGGAGAATGTTTTACTACTATCGTTCGATTGTCTTTGTTTGCATCTTCTTGTTAGTTTCTTGTTTGATTCAGGTAGAAGATGAAATGCATGAATGCCGGTTGGTGATAAATAGTTAATGGATAATAATCGTTTAAAAGGGGATGATTGACAATATTGGAGATGATAAAGTGATATCACCATAGTAAATAGTGGTAATGAGTATGATTTTTTATTAAAGAAGAATATAATAATAAGAACTAAATATTTAAACTATCAATAACACTATAACAATGACCAGAAGAGTATATATCCTTTAACTTGTTTCCAGTTGAGATTATTGTCACACGTATCCGTCCAAAAAGCTTGATCCATACTTCTAGTCACACAAGTCTATTTGCATAATATCAGTATAACATAATAGAATATACGATAAAAAAACGAAAAGAGGAAAGAAAACCTTTTTAATTACTTACTTAATAATAGTATCAGTTTACTTTTGTTAATCTTGACATTGACCTTCATTAATGTCTAAATGGCAAAAAGGAGACAAAGAGAGAAAAAAAAAGAAAAAAAAAAAGGAAGCTGGACTCAGAAATAAAAGAATTCTTTTTTTTTTTTTTTTTTTCTGTTGTCGCGCACACAGATACACACACTGATTTTTTTTAAGAGTCACTCAATTCTTTATTTTTCTTTTTCTTCTTCTTTCTCTTGTTGACTTTTCATTCTTATATCATTATACAACATCAAAATACGTAATATAAAAAGAACTCATTCACTTTTATCCTTCATTAATCTTAAATGGTTAATTCATATTATACAAACTCACTTCCTTTCTTTCTTTATTTATACTTTGAGCTAATCTATTTTTTATTGTATATCTTTATGTCGATAGAATGGAATAGAACAACAACTGGATATTACAGGGCCAACAGGATGGATGTGCAACAAGTGTTATCGACTGACTAAGTAAGGACAGGCAATTAGGTTCAAATATACGTATGTTCTTTGATGAACCCTTACTGTATGATTTGGGTTGACTTGATCTCTTCTTTTTTTCTTTGTGATCTTTTTATTGGTAGTTATAATAGAATATTAGTTATACTGTAGCTGGTGTTTTTTTACGTCACATACGCATGATATCATCTTCTTAATAAAACCTTATTCATCAAATCAATGTCATCAATAGTCTTAAGGGTCTTCAACGGTCATTCTCATTATCATGCATTCATTATGATCATAAGTCAATCAAAGATACATTTTTTTTTGTAAAGTCATCATATCATCAACGTCAATATCAATGTGCTACCACATATACATCATACAACAACAAATCACCAACGAAAGTAAAGAGACAAATAGATTGAGAATCATAGTTTATTAATATATAAATCATTTGAATAAAATGACGTACACTATTTCCACTATCTTCCAGATACCACAAATAACACGGAAATATAATATACTGTAGTTACTGATTATTCTACGTGTGCCTGCGTAATGAAGTGCTCACTATTTAACTTATTATCTTTCAATCATCCGAATTACTTTTATTTTTTTTTTTGGACTTAATCAATTATATTGTTGGATATGGAAATATTGCTGACCAATGAATTTTTTCTTTTTCTCAAACAATTGATTTTCTACCTTGTGTCTGATATTTGTCGAACATTTGAACAAAAGTTCAATGTTTGACATCTTTCAAACACAATGGTTTTTTTTTATTTCTATTTATTTTTATTTTTTTTTTTATTTTATTATAAATAACCATCATATCTTAGTTTTCCTTTTTTTGAACCGTCAATTTTTATACTTTTTATTCAATAAAAAAGTTTTTTTAAACCAAAATCACATTGGCCACTCTTAAGGAATAAATCATCCTAAGTTTTATATTTATTTTTTTACCATCAAGCATTTTATTCAAGTTATTTGGTTGATCATCATCATCTGTGATCAAATCATCAAGACATCTATTTCCTTTTTGGTTTACATTTATATTTTTTTATTTTACTTTTGTTCTTTTTATATAAAAGAACTGGTACTCACTATACGAACAATCATCATCAATATCATCATCTTGATATTATCTTTTACTTTATTTACAAATCAACCATCCATCCTCTAACAAATAAATCCCTAACAATATAAAGCAATCATCCACCCTATAACAAAAAAATCTTTAACATAACACTTACCACAACACAACTGTTGACAACGAAATTTACTGTGGAGATTAAAAAAAATATATATATATTTTTTTCTTTTCTTCTCTCTTTCTTCTTTTTTCTTTCTTCTCACCATTTCACCAATTCTCACCATTTCACCAATTCTCACCAATTCACCAATTCTCACCAATTCACCAATTCTCACCATTTCTCCAGTTCTCACCATTTTGCCCGTTCTCACCAATTTTTTTTTTTTTTTTTTTTTTGGTTTGACTTAGGTTTTTTTTTTATTATAAATAGCACTTAGTTATTATGATATTTTTTTACTTTGTCAAACAGATCTTTATTTTTTTTAATAAACATAAAAAGATTCATAAATCAAACTATCTTGACCACTCTTAAGGAATCAATCATCCTAAGTTTTATTATTATTTTATTATTTTATTATCAAACTACAATCAAGTTATTATTATTTTATTGATCATCATCAATTGTGATCAAATAATCAAGTCATTTATTTCTATATTTGGAATATACATTTAAATCTACTTTATACTGTCTTGTTCTCTTTTATAAAAAGGAACTGGTGCTCACAAACAAATAATCATCATCAATATTATTATTTTAATAATAATATTCAACAATTATATAAATCGATCATCCACTGAATAACAAAAAAAAATCCCTAGCACACTTAACATAACACATACCACAACACAACCAATCGCAACTCGAGATAAAAATAGAATTTCAACATCAGTTAAAATAAAAAAATCAATTGGAGAACCTGGGCATTGATCCCAGTGCCTCTCGCATGCTAAGCGAGCGCTCTACCATTTGAGCTAGATCCCCAGATGTTTGACTAGACCGAAAAGTGCTATATGAAGCCAATCGTAAATTTCATTCTCCGATTCCTTTTTTAGCCCTTAAAACTTTTATTTATTCCTTGATTATTGAATCTTCTGGTGAATCGTTGTAATTATTAGAATTTATCATCATTATTCTTATCAATTTTTAAGTTGTGTCTGTTTTGGAAAGCATTGAAAGCAGAATCAATAAATCTTATTACAAGTATAGATGACTCCTGTTTTATGGACCTCATGCGGACTTTTTTTTTCCCTAAATGTCGCGTGGGCTTTTTTTTTTTTTTTTTTTTTTTTTTTTTTTTTTTTTTTTTTTTTTTTACTCTTTTTTCATTATTTTTTTTTCTTCCATGTAATTTGTTTATATTATATACATACTGATTCATAATGATTGATGTTCATGCTCACATTACAAGTAGAAACTTTGGAGCACAAGCATTTCAAGAAGTACTGCAGTCAGCCAAAGAATCTGGTGTACAACATATTATCAGCGTCTCAGAAACAGTTCATGATGCATCCGATGTTTTAACACTAGCGTCTCAATCGAATGGAATGATATGGCCGTCACTTGGACTCCATCCTGTGCAATATTTGGATGGTGACAATACTTCTGAACGATCTGTTACAAAGGATGATTGGGATAAATTCAAACCTATACTTGAAAAGGCGATAAAAGATAGAACAATTGTTTGCGTTGGCGAAAGTAAGTATACAGTACTTCTTGAAACAACTTGACGGGTTAGACAAGGTCATATATATATAATTTTTTTTTATTAAAGTCATTGATTTGTTTTTATTTTCTAGTTGGACTTGATTTTTCAAGACATATAATACAACAAAACCCCAACAATATGGTTAATGACGAATCAGAACTAAGACAAATGCAATGTGATATATTTCGTGAACAAGTGGAAATGGCAGTCAAAGCGAATCTACCAGTCAATGTACACTCGAGGTAAGATATACTATATATATGTTTTTGAGTAAAAATGAACTATTATTATGATTATATGTAGATCTGCTGGTCATTATGCGTTGAATGTATTGTATGAATGTGGAGCAAGGTTAGTCAATATGCACGCGTTTGATGGAAAGTACGTAAAATAAAATAAATAATAATAAAAAAAAATGAATTGATTGACTTGAGTTTTGATAGAGCAAGTTATACCAAGAAAGCAGTGGAACAAGGTTTTTACTTTTCAATACCTCCATCCATTATCCGATCACCTCAAAAGGAAATACTGGCCAAAGTGATACCAATGAAATGTTTATTACTAGAATCAGATTCACCAGCATTAGCACCTGAAAAAGGGATGAACAATGAACCAAAATATATTAAAGTGGCAGCACAAGAAATCGCTAGGATCAAGAATATTCCAGTGGAAAAAGTAGTAAGAGTGGATTCATGCAATTAGTTATTAGAATTTGTATTTTAATTTTAATTTTTTTTTTTTTTTTTAGATAGCACAAACTACTATGAATGCTATTCGACTCTTTAAGGATCATCATCAAGCATGTTTAGAATAGTTTAAACTTTTATTAGTTGTAGTGGGTTTCATCTTTATTGTGTACTTATGTTTGTGTGTGTGACTTTGTCCATTTTGAATAAAGCAACTCGGAAAGTGAAATTTGAAAAAAAAAATCGCCTCTCACTTTCTCACTCTTCTTCATTTTTTTTTCATTATTCTTTCCTTTCGTTATAATCGATCACAAATTGAAACTTCCTTGACTACCAAATACAATATGACGACCTCGAAATATGAAGAATCAGTCAAAGAACTCATTTGTTCCGATGAATCGAGACGACTCAAGGCCTTACGTTTTATTAAAAACTCTGTCATTGGCAACAAGACAAAAAAAGAACTTTATATACGACTTGGTGTAGTAGACCGGTAAGACAAAAATATAAATAAAATATTTTCATATATGATTTTTTTTTTTTAGCTTTGAAATTCGGGTAATAATTGTTTTACTCATATTGACTTTTTTTTTTAATATAGATTGGTGGAATATTTGACTTTACCTGATACCGATGCTGTATATCCTCTCAAGATTCAAGCTGTAACCATTCTTGGTAGTATTGCTTATGGTAAGATTATTATTATTATTATTATTTTACAAGGAAAAAAAAAAAAAAGGAAAATAGTATTTTTGAATAGTTTATATTACATTTGAATGCAACAATGATTAACATTATATATTTTTTTTTCTTTTGAAATAGGCAAGGATGAGAACGTTGTTTCGGTAGTGGCTTCTGGAGCAATTGGACCGTTACTGGACTCATTGGAAATACCTCAAGATATACCAATAACAGAAGCTATAAATAGGAAACGAAAATTATTAGAAGCGTCCACTAGAGCATTGAAGGCTATCTTTTCTTCTTCCAGCGCTTACAAGGATGATATCTTCAAGGTAAGAATCGTTTTACTCCATAAATGAAACTTGAAACTCAGCATGATCTATGCAATTTATAAATTTTAGGATAAGCATATCAAAAGTATTGTGACATTGTTGGATGTTACTTCTTCTTATCTCACCAAAGAATCTCGAACAAATGAATCATCTGCTGGATTATCCTTTGGAATGATTGCTGAATTCCTTGCTACTATCATTGCTAAATGTTGTGATACTCAAGAACAACAAATGCAATTAGCTTCTGCTGGCGTTATTCAAGCATTGATCAATTTACTACATTCTGGTTACATCAAGGTAACTACAGATATATATATTTATATAGAGTATTTATATTAATACATTCAATTATTTTAAAGGCACAAGAAGCTGCATTAGATGCCTTGTCTACTTTGGGTCGGGAAAACACTGAATTGGCTGAGATTATCATTCATTCAAAATGTAAGTTACATTTTTTTTTTTTTTAAAAAAAAAAAAAGAAAGGGAAAATAGCTAACATCTCAACTATACATATATGTATATATATATTCAATAGCATTAAATTCGAATCAACTCACAACTGCTACCATGATCGACTTTGTGAAAAGCAAATGCCCCAATATGCGATTGATTGCTGCTACATGGTAATAAAAGTGGATAACAATTGATCTTATTTGACCACATAATATTTATGTTCTTATTCTTTTTGTTATTTATTTATAGTCTTACAAATCTTTACCGATCCGACGTGTTCTCTGAACCTTTCACTGAAATTGTTCTTGTGGTACTTCCTACTTTGGTCAAGTTGATGAGCGAGGAAACGGGTGATGTACAAGAACGAACTCCATTGGTACTGGCGGATTTGATCAAGGATAGTGAAGATATGCAAAAGGCGGCTTTTGATGCTGATATCATACCCAAATTATCTGAACTATTAGCGAGCGTATCATGCAAAGGTTCCGATGAAGAAGAAGAATTAGGCGTACCTGGTACTGGTAGTATAGAAAAACGAAAAGAAAAAATCAAAGAGGTAAGAACTATAAATAAAAAAAAAAAAGATAGAATAGGGATAGGGTATTGAACTTTTTTCTTTTGTATTTCCCATTACTAGAATACCCTGATTGCTCTTGCATCAGCCACTTTATTGAAAGAAGAATGTCGTGCTCAGGTAAATAATACTAAAAGAAGATGATATGATGGATCAACGTATGTTACTAACATTCAAATTGCTTTCTAGGCAATTGAATGCAAAATCCTCCCTTACGTTGTTTCCGCTCTACAAAGCAACTATCTCAACGTCCGGTTAGCAGCATGTCAATGTGCAAGATCATTATCAAGAAGTGTATCCAATTTACGAACAAGCCTTGTGGATGCTGGTGTGGCTCCCCCTTTACTCAAGGTAAAAGTGATAAACAATAATAATATTCAACTTAATATTCAATTCTGTATATTATAGCTGCTATACGATGAATCCCCTGTTGTGCAGGCTGCTGCTTGTGGTGCCATCTGTAATCTAGCTCTTGACTTTTCACCGATGAAAAAGGTAAACTCATTTTGCTCATTCAAATCTACTCACTCATCCTTTTTTTTTTTTTTTTTTTTTTTTTTTTTTTTTTTTTTTTTTACTGTTTTGTAGGCTGTGATCGAAGCAGGAGGTATCGAACGATTTGTAGAATACTCACGATCAGACGATCCAAAGCTTCAACTCAATGGTATTTGGGCTATCAAAAGTCTATTGTACAAGGCGGATATGACAGCTAAGAGAGCGGTGATGGATATATTGACCTATGACTCATTAATCGAATTACTACACGAACCGAAACCCGGAGTACAGGAACAAGCAATGGAAGCGGTACGCAATTTGATATGTGGACAAGCAGAAGATGTGGAATATGTCATTGATGGTATCGGCAAAGAAGATTTATTGGACGTTTTGGAAAGTAAGCTTCAAGTGACTTCCAATATGGGTCTTGAGGATGATGAAGGTGAAGCAAGTCAAGAGGTAAGAAATCATATTATTATTATTTTTTTTTTTTTTAAAAAAAAGAAACCATCTGATCAACTTTTTTTTTTTTTTTTTTTTTTTATGTAGACACTAGAGGCTGCCTTATATATTGTTGTGAACATGTGTAGTGGTTCTGAAGAACCCAAAGTGATATTGATGAGTAGACCAAATATTATCAATAGCGTTATTCAACATTTGGTAAAAAGGAAAAAAAAAAAAAGAAAAAGAAAAAAAGGATAATCAAAGACTCACTCTTTTTTATATAGTGTCACGATAGCCCATCTGTTCGTCTTGGTGCTGTTTGGTGTATCTTAAATTGGACATGGCCTGATTCGGATGAAGCTGAAAACGGTAAACAAGGAAAAAAAAAAAGGCTATCCTTTTATATTTATGAAAATCTTATTGACAGATACTATATTTTTATTTTATATGCAGCTGTGGTGGAACGGGTACGACGACTACGAGAACTAGGTGTAGAAAGAAAGTTACAAGAAATGGAAAAGGATCCCAATTTGGATGTGCGTGATCGTGTTAGAACCGTATTAGATCAATTTAGTGTGGTTAGCCCTAATTAGTAGGATAGTATAAAGAACTCTGTTTATAATGTTTATAATGATCCAGATAGTATTCTTTTCTTATTCAAATAGAATAGTGAAGCTTTAGCTATATTAAAAAGAATTTCAAAGTATTTTGATTTTGGTATCATTCAAAAAATATAGTATACTTTATTGGATGTGAAGTGACAAGTCCTATTGACAAATAAAAAAAAAGTGTATGTGAATGTTTTCTGCGCGTGTATTTATGTGATAGCGTGTATGTGTATAGATGAGAAACATAGGGTGATGGCAAGAATGAAATAAAGTTAAACTAACCTAAACTAAAAAGACAAAAAAAAAAGAGAGAGAATTATCCACAAATACCATTGTCAGCCTTTGCATTAAGAATCAAAGCTACAATTAATCCATAAAGACCAAGCACTTCAGCGAAAATAAGAATGAGAACCATAGTGACAAATAATCGACTTTCTCTAGCATAACCACGAACACACTATAAAAGAAAAATAAAGAATGTCAGATAACAATAATATCATCATTATTTTCTTTACTTACATAATCACCCACTATACCAATGGCGTACCCTGCTGCCAAACCACCCATACCAACAGATAGACCAGCGGCAAGAGCAATAAATCCACTAATAAAAAACATGATTAGATTTTTTTTTTTTTGTTATAAGCAAATATATATATATATGTCACACTTACGAGAATAATGAATATCCAGCAGTAGGAGAGACTAGAAAGGAATGATATAAAATGATAAGTTTATAAGTTACTTTAGTTATTAAAAAGAATATATTTACGTTGACCCGATAGTAAAACAGCCACCACTAAACCATAGACAGCAATGATACCACTCATAACAACTGGAATCAATGACTAAAAAAAAATTAACAAATGGAAAAAATAAGTAATAAGTATATAAAGTAAATATCTATCTACATACCTTCATAACAAGTTCAGGACGGAAAGGACCAATACCAGCAATACCAATACCAGCTTTGAAGGTACCGTATGCAGCGCCTAGTGCTATATTATTAATAAAAATAAAAAATAAAGGAGTGATAAGCATGATGAAGTAGATATATATAATGAATAGTTGAAAAAAGGAGTTTTTGTTGTTGAAAGAGATAGAGAGACGAAGAGAAAGACTTACTACTGAACGCCATCTAATTGAAAAAAAAAGAGTATTAACTTAATTGAAAAAGACAAAAGTCATCAAACTTTTATTCCACAGTTTACTTACAGCAGAAAATACACCAGCAAATCCAAAGAAGGAAGCATATGCAGGACAATAATCAGAGACATCCATGACGAGAATTCCTTTTGGTTTGAAAGAAGACAACGGAAAGACAGGAAAAAAAAAAAAAAAAAAGAAAAATAAAATAAAAGACCTCCTTTGCGTTTCAAATACTGTTTTTACATGCCCAAACTTTGATGGAGATTTTTAAAACTCCTACTACGTCCCCTTCCCTCTTTACTGGAAAAAAAAAACAACTTTTCTTTTCCTTTACTCTTTTTTTTTTAAATGCTGTATCCTATCAGTTATTCTATTTATTGGTTAACAGGAATACCTGAATCCACGGCACGTTTACTTTTGACTGTTATTCTAGGTTATGTAGCAGCTTTTTACTATGATAAACTCTATATACATCATCCTAATGACAAGATCAATCAAAGCAAGTATCAACCTACAGCAAGTGATAGAAATACCTTTATTTTGATTACTGGTCTTTTACTCTCGGTCTCTTTCAGTGGATGGACAGTTATTCATTCTCTTGTGACAACCGCACTCAGTTATGGGATCTGTTTATTTGTGGGTGAAAGCTTACAGAACCGGGTAGCTGCTTGTGCACTCGTATGGGTCACCAATGCAATTTATCTTTTGGGTGGTTATTACTACATGGCAACAGACGAATACGATATTTCTTGGACGATGCCTCAATGTATTCTTTGCTTGCGACTTATGGGATTCGGATTTGACTATATGGATGGAGGTAACAAGGTCAACAGCAAGCCAGGAACTACCGTATCGAACAACAGCCTCCCCATGTCCTTTGATATCGATACTCCTCTTTACACTTTACCTCCATTCGAACAAGTCATGGCTTATTGTTATTTCCCTGCTGCCTTTCTTGTTGGACCTCAGTTCTCCTTTTCTTTATACCGTCGTTGGGTGGATAATCCAAACTTTTTGGGTAAGACTGTGACTGACTGGGATGAAACTTATAAAGCTCAACGTCGTTATATGGTGCGCTGTCTTCTTTTGGCTATCTTTTATCTCGGAATGCAACAATTAGTTGGCGCCAGTTATCCTTCCTCTTACTTGTTGACAAGTGAATATCAACAGTTACCCTTTTTGCGACGATGCTGGACATTCTTGGTCACTGGCAAATTTATCTACAACAAGTATCTTGGTATTTGGTTATTAACAGAAGGTGTGTATATATATTATATATATATTATATATATTATATATATATAGACATGTGATATTCATCTCTCTCTTTTTTTTTTTTTTTTTTTTTTCTATTTATATAGGTGCATGTGCTTTATTTGGTATTACTTATGATGGAGAGGATGAAGAAGGCAATGCTAAATTTGGTGGATTGGCTAATACTTTACCTTTGCAATACGAAACAGCAACAACTATTGATGACGTGATTGGATCATTCAATATTAATACCAATTTATGGACCAAGTATTATGTGTTTAAACGACTCAAATGGTTTGGAAACAAATCTCTCTCTCAAGGTGCTTCACTCTTCTTTTTAGCTGTCTGGCATGGATTCCATTTCAATTACTTTACGACATTTTCACTTGAATTCCTCTATACCCAATGTGAAAGTGTTCTTCGACGACATTTGATGCCAGTGGTAACTCCTTTGATCAGCAAGAATTCGATATATCGGTGTATTTGGAAAGGATTGGCCTGGATGACTTGTTCGATGACTTTGAATTATGCGGTAGTTGGATTTGATCTTCTACAAACAAGCAAAGCATGGACTGCATATCGAAGTGTGTATTTTATTGGTCATCTTTTGATTCCATTGATTTTGGTTAGTGATAAAATGTTACCCAAAAAACATATGGTTAGAACAAACAAGAACAAAAAAGTAGAATAGTTTTTTTTTTTTTTTTTTATATCTCATAGATGTATGGCCATTGGATTCGGTTCACCTCTTTTTACCAATTGTGAACCCAGTCGTCGTTATTTCAAAATAAAGTTTTCTTTTTTTCTTTTTCTTATGATCATCCAATTCGTTCTGTCATTTTTTTTTTTTTTGACACTATCTCTTTGTATTGATAATGAAGCCTCCCTCGGAAAAAGATATTCCTATTGAGGACGTTATTTCGATACATGACCATGAAGAATTACGACCTCCTGATGGTGGTAAACGAGCTTGGCTCATTGTGGTTGGTTCCTTTTTGGTAAGTTGACTTTTTTTCTTTTTTTAAAATGTATTGATACTTATAAATGAATCACTCTTTTTTTTTTTGTAGGGTTTATTTGCAATGTGAGTCATATATTATTTTTATTCTTATTATTAGAAACTGTATATTATGACATAGCAATATGAACTAATGTACTTCATTTGTGTAGTTTTGGTAATACTTATTCATTTGGTCTTTTTCTCAATTACTACAATAAAGCGGTGTATCCTGGCAATATGAACGTACTATCTTGGATTGGATCTATTTGTGTGGCTCTCTTTTTTATCCTAGGACCCATTAATAGACAAGTCATGAAGAAAATGGGTTACATGTATATGTTAGGTACAGGTACCATTCTTTGTACAGCCGCTTTGATTTTGGCTAGCTTTGCAACTCAGGTAATAAAATATATATGGATCAGATGAAGAAACTGAACTTTTTTTTTTTTTTTTTTTTTAAAAAAAATAAAAGGTTTGGCATGTTTTCTTGTCTCAAGGTGTACTATTTGGTTTAGGAAGTAGTTTTATCTGGTTTCCTTGTATTACTGGTAAAGTTTTTGGGTCTTTATTATAAGTGTTAGATTAAACAATTTCAATTTTTTTTTTTTTTGATTCATCAGGACCTGCTCAATGGTTTTCTGAACGTCGTGGATTGGCTATTGGATGTAAGTTATAAACGAGAGAGATCTTGGATACAAGTTTCTTATATTTATACCTTTATATAGGTGCAATGGCTGGAAGTGGTGTAGGTGGTCTAATCCTCTCCAATATTTGTCAAGCCATCATTAAGAATCCTTCTATGGGTTATCGCTGGGCTTTACGTGTAGATGGCATCATTTGTTTTTTCCTGCTTTCTCTGGCAACTCTATTAGTTCGACCTTTAGGCAAAGAAAATTACACCATCAAAACAGAACAACAACAACAAGAACAACAAAAAGGTATCATTAGTTGGTATCTTTTCAAAAATCCTCAATTCTGTGTTTTGTTTATGGTTGGTCTCATTACTACTTTTGGTTACATGGCGCCATCTAATCTATTACCTTGTAAGTAATTTATTAGTGATCATGAAGATATATTTAAAAAAAAAGTTTACTAACTAACATCTCTCTTCTTTTTTCTTTCTTTCTCTTTCCTTCTTCTTCTTTTTAGCACACGCGGATAGTATACAATTGAATCCTTGGGTAGGCGCCAATTTATCAGCTATTATGTCTGCCATCAATGCATGCGCTCGAATTGGTACAGGTTATATGGGCGACAAGTTAGGTCGATTTAATAGTTTATGTATCTGTGCATTCTTTGCTGGTTTGTCTTGTTTGTTAATCTGGATGAATGTACACAATGAAGCTACTTTATGGGCTTTTGCTGTTTTATATGGTGTCTTTTCTGGAGGTAACACTATTATTATTATTATTATTATTATCCTATCAATTCAACTCTATTTTTTTTCTCTTTTTATTACTATACGTTAGGATACGTCACTTTCTTTCCTACGGTACAACCTCAAGTAGTAGGATTGGAAAATATCAATCAGGCAGTTGGTTTGCTCTATTTGACTAATACTGTTGGTTATCTATTTGGTGTGCCTATTGCTACTGCACTCATGAACAAGTCAACACCTCCCAATTATCAATATGCAGCAGCTTGGTCTGGATCCGTCATTGTCCTTGGTTCCATTTTTGCTTTTTGGTTGCGAGTGCAACGTGGTGGATGGAAATTATTCAAAAAAGTATAGACATAGATATATTTATATTAGTTTTGTTAGACTTAAGTTTCATTGCATTTTACATCATCATTCCTATATTATCATCATCATCATTATTTTTATCCAACTGTCCCTTTGTTTTTAATTATGTAATAAACTCATCACCGTATTATTTATTTTTTTTTCCTTTTTTTTTTTTTGTACTACTGCGTTCTATACATAATAGATAGATCATTTCATTTATGCAAAACAGTGATCATCTATGCATTAAACTTCTCTTCTGACTTTCTTTTGGCCACTTTACATCTTCAGACATTACTGTCATTTTATCATGCATGACATACAAAATAGGATACATTTCAATGGATGAATCACTTTATTTCATTAAAAAAAAAAGAATAAACACATCTAATTAGATTTAATTAAACTAATCATTTATATTTCTAATCTTCATCCATAGAGTTTTCCTTTGTTCTTGCTTGATCTTCAATAGCCTTCAAAAACGCCTCCACACCTATATCAAAAAATAACAAGAGGTAAATTAGCAATCCCTCTCTCTCTCTGTTTTCTTTATTAGCTTTTCACTTGCTGACAATCATTACCATTTCCAGCAGAGGGATCTAATCCAAGTTGAGTCAATAGAGGCCCTAATTGACCACTTTGAAGTGCAGCGGTTAAACTTTGTAAAGCTTGTTGGAATTGAGGTGATCTGGCCACTTGTTGGACTTCTTCAGGTGTGCGTTCAGAATTTTCAGGTAAGAAGGGGAACAAACTACTGCATACTTGACTATCGCTCAGTAATGTTGACAAGGTTTGATTGGTCAATACGTCTCCTAACTGTATTGAAGTTGATCCTGGATAACAAAATAATAAAAAAGATATAATCAGTCATCATCCAATCAATTCCATTGTGTCATTATCATACACTCTTATCGCTATTCATTTACCTTGAGATTGTTGCATACTTTCCATCAACGATTGTAGTTGTTCAAACTGTGCTGTAGAATCATTAGAAATGGCTGGTTCAGACTCTTGTTGAGATTGTACTGGTTGTTCATTTTGAGATGAAGGTTCAGTTGTATCGCTTGTTGTCGTGGTGGCAGCAGTAGAAGTGATTGTGTCAGTAGTGGATGGTACAGTGGCATTGGTTGTGTTGTTGTCCATTTCGGTATGATCGTCATCATCGTTTGGTCCAGAGTTGGCAGTACTACTTTCAATGATGATATAAATAACTCATTGATTTCTATTTTTCTTTCCATGTTTTTTTTTTTTATTATTATTATTACCTTAGTTGACCAGCTTGTTGAAACAATTCCAAAAGATTTTCTTCCGTTAAATTTCCTTGACCAGCAGATCCCATTAATCGTTGCATCAATTCCATTTCTATACTATGATCAGAAGAGTCTATATCCATTTGACTGTCATCCATGGCAGAAGAAGGATCATTGATAAGTTGATTGACTCTTTGAATCATCTGCTCGTCCATATCATCATCCAACTTTTGCATCCAATAAAAGAGTCGTTGGCTAGAAGTCTTGAATTTTAGTAAGATAACACGACCGGTTGTACATTCAGGTACACGAACTAATTCTGCTTCATCAGGGAAAATGATTAGATCCTAATATAAAAATATCAAGTATATTTTTGTTATTCGTCAATAAAAGCATTGTTTTATCAAGATCAGATTCCAAAGATAGGAAAAAAGAAGAGAAGCACACTTACATCTTCAGGTTGACTATTGTGTTTCCTTTCTTTCCAATAGAAATGCATCAGTTGATCATCACCCTAATCGATAAGAGATACTAAAATTAGATTGTGGTCTTTTCAAGTTCCTTTCTATTTGTTACCTGATCCATGTAAATCATGCTAAGTTGTAATAAAAAAGAGTATAAAAAAAAGTAATTAGTTATTTTACGTGTACACTTGTTTAAATATATATTTCTATATTTAGTGGCTTACCCTTTTCGAAGATCAGGTTTGAGCAAGTTGCCATCACGAGTACATTTTCCAGCATTGAATTGAACTAAATGCTTTTCAGGCTGTTGGTAAAGATTCATGGCCATAGTCGAGTCTATAAGAGAAAAGAAAAGAAAAGGACAGATTTGGCTTTGTTTTTTTTAAACTTTTTTTTGTTGCTCACTTGCTGGTTTCGGGGATGGAAATTTTGCTTGTACTTATGACGAATGGACAAACTGTAGAAAATCACCACTTGCTCTCTCTTTTTTTTTTTTTTAAATCTTATTTTGTTGGAAATCATGAATGAAGAAGATCAAGCTGACGAAGTAGCTGACTTTTCAACACTACTCGGGAAAACAAAGTAAAAAAAAAAAAAAAGAAGAAATACAAATATATATTATATCATGATCTATATGAATAACCGAACTGATTCTTTTTCTTTTCCTTTAGGAAACGCGGTGAAGCTCCCAAACGTGGCTCAAAGAATTTTGCACCTGATAATACTCCTGGTCAACAAGCAATGGTTGACAAGTCAAGAGAAGTTTTATTCGAATTGGTGGGGGAAACTAAACCTCTGGCAGCTCAACATAGTATTGGCGTTCTTACTGCTACCGATAATAACCATGAACCGTGGATCACGACCATTTTACAAAAAAAAGGAACACATTATCAATATATGGGTCATTCCTTTCAAGGCAATATGGTACTCTATCTAGAAGAAGCTGCTTGGTTGATGAATCGACGTGCCCTTTGTATTTATTCCAAACCTGAATCAGCATTGAAAGCAACCACTTCGAAATCATCAGATCTTACGGGAATCAGCATCAACAACAATGACGACACAATATTGACTTTTGAAGATTTCTGTTCGTTTATGTTTGCTTCCAAAGATGGTTGGATAACTTTTGAAAAGTATCAAGTATACGCATATTTGAAACGACTGGGGTATAATGTACAACGATCAACCCTTTCCTCACAACAGCAAAACATTGTCGATCAGTCATTAGTATCGTCACCAGCAACAGCGAGGTTAACATCTTGGAAACAAAACTGCAAGTCTTTCTTTGGTATGATCTGGCATCGTTTCGTCGCTTGGATTCATACGATGAGTCGGTCGATAGGATTATTATCAACTCGTCCTTTGATACGACATTATGAATGTCGTCAGTATAGTAAGTAAACGATATTAGGAGGGAATGGGGGAGATAAATGAATGACACAAAGAAGATGATGAACCTTTATTCATTTACATTTTTCTTTTTTCAGATTCTGTTTATTCAAGATTAAAAACGATATCATCTACGCCTTGGTATCTTGGTTTGTCTCCTGAAGATCAAGATGCTTCTAAACCCTTTTATACAGTAACATGGGATGTTTATAAACCAAATCCGAAATGGAAGAAACGTGATCCAGGTATACCTGATTATCGTGTTGTTGTCGGCAAGTAAGTTATTGAATTCATCTTTCTCATCTTTTATCTTTTGATCTAAAACTTGTTTATTTATTTTCAAATAGTATGAATGATCCACTCCCTTCGCCATCTAATCTCAACTACCTATTCAGTCAACTCTATGGATTGCCATACAAACATGATGCATACCGTGCCATTCGAAATACTCAGTCACCAAGCTCACATCCCGCGTTTTTGATAGGCCTTGTAGGCAATGCAGAAGGTGTCTCCTTCTTGCGTCTCCAAGGTGATGGTATATCTGATATTGTTCTTCCTTCTGTTTGATCTGTTGACACTCCACACTCATACATATATATAGCTACCTAAACTTAGTTAGACGATACCCACACATTTATTCTATTAGAGTATTTTATGTTTGATTCATTTGAAACATATTTTATCTATCCATATAATAATAACAATAATAATAATAATAATAAAAAAAGAGAATAGGTCTTGTTAATACCAGCTCATCAACCATCATCTACCATTATTGATCCCTATCAAATATCATTGAACGTCATCGTTGTCATTAATATCATCAGTATTATTAATATCATCATCATCATTGTTGTCAAATTATCCTTTAAACTATCAAAACTATCTATCATAAACATCTACAAATAACTTTGATTTCGAAAAGCTTTAATCGAGGACTAGAGTGTTTATTGTGCATATCAAAATAAAATAAAGAGATATTAAACTATTGTACAATTCTATGAAGTATTCTATATAAAATGACTTTAGTGTTTCAAGACAGAGAGAGAAGAATGGATATGTAATATGAGGGAGGAAGCTTGTATCCATAAGGAGATATATATGAGAGTGGGGTGAAAGTAAACTACAGCTACAACTATAAATGCCTACTACTATTACTATTTGGGATCTTGTTCAGAATTGGTTTTTGAATATAAGGGTGGTTCTTCACCTATGATCAGTAAAATAAAAAAAAAAAAAAAAGAGATGAATATACAGAGAATATGATCGATATATTGTTTTCTATATACCTGGCTTTGATTTCAAACATTCTAAAAAGATATGGAAAGGAGCAGCTACATCCATTGGCCAGGTCGATAATCCTTTTAATACGTCTTCGAGGTGTTCATTACATCTATGAGATTGAGGTGCTTTGCTGGGGGTATTGCTGTGGTGATTGAATGGGAATCCTTCGTTATTTGGCATGATCTAGTAAATTGGAAGAACTGAGCGGGAAGGGAAGAAAAGGAAACCTTTTTTTTTTTTTTTTTTTTTGCCACTTTTTTCTGTAGTAGCAGTCGGTATTTCAATCCCATTGAGACTTTTTATCTTTTTGACATGAAGTCTATCTCTTTTTTCCTTTTGTTTCTTTCTTTTTCCCTACTCCTCGTACTATACTCAATTTGGATTCATGAACATCGAGGTACTGCTATTCTTCTATTGATATTACAAAAAAAAAAAGAAAAAGAAAAAGAAAACGTAAGTATGTGGACTGCTTATACTGGATCCTTTCTATAGAATCTTTTGGAGTCGCAAGGGCCTCTCGATGTTGCACTTCTCGATACGGCGGTCGAAGCGTTTTATACTGGGGAATCTACAATGGTAAAAGAATAACAATACAATGATTGATATATTAACATTGATAAAACTCACCTTTTCTTTACTTGACTCGTAGCAAAAACAAGCTGAGCGCGTTCTCACTACTTTTCAACACCTTCCTGATGTCTGGCAACATGTACCTACTATCCTAGAAACTTCTCAGAATTTACGTACCAAAGTATATCTGAACAATTAATCCGGTCATATATCTTGATTAATATATCGATTTTTTTTTTTTTTGGCTTGTAGTTTCTCGCGTTACGAATTCTTGACGACTTTATTACTGTTCGATGGCATACGGTCCCTTTGGATACTCGACTAAGTAAAGAAAAAAAAATTAAAAATCGATTTTTCTTTTTTAAAATGGATGTTATATATGATATATATTTCATTAGGTATTCGAAACTATATTGTACAATTGGTGATCACGATTTCATGTACTCCAAATTTGAACGCGTTGGAACGGATATTGATGGCAAAGTTAAATACTGTCTTGGTGCAAATAATCAAGAAGGATTGGCCACAGAACTGGCCTGACCTGATTTCTGAACTTGTGGCGTCCAGTCAAACAAACCTCTCTTTATGCGAAAACAATATGCGGATATTGAAATTACTTAGGTAATCAAACAAGAAAGAATAAAAAAAAAAAAATACGCAAGTACTCATTTTTTTTTATTGTTGATTTATTTATAATGCTGAACTCATAGTGAAGAAATTTTTGATTATTCCAAGGATCAGTTGACGATGGCAAGAAGTCATAAATTACAGTCTCGTATGAAAGATGAAGTTGTCATGATACTTGGTCTTTGTCAACAGGTACTTACAAGCAAGACGGCTCCATCTACTCTTATACAAGCAACACTGGAAACTGTCTCTCGCCTTCTTAGTTGGATACCACACAAGTTTATTTCAGAAACTCAACTTGTCCCTACTCTTATATCATTGGTAAATATAAAAAGAAGCACAATAAACCATTTTCTTATTCTCTTTCAAGTTACCCGAAAACCGACTTTTAGTGATGGAATGCTTTACAACGATTGTGGGTTTGCCTCTATCTTTGGATTCCGGACAAATGAAGCCACTCCCGGTTGGTATATATACTGCTGTCATTGATTATATTCAAAAAGTATTACCGATACATCAAGGTAAATGAATATATTTACATGTCTTGTGATTGCATTAACAATAGTTATCCCTTCCTTTGTAGATGTTACTATTTTATATCAGGATGATGGCAGTCCCGCTCAATTATTTATCTATCAATCTACACTTTTCTTTACAACCATCTTATCCAAACATGTTTCCGTAAGTCCAATGTCAACAATTATGCTAGAAAATAAAACGTAAGGCATTATGCTTCTCACCATAATAAAACTTTTATTGTTTCACATATTCCTATTTATAGACTTTGTATTCCTTTTGTGATCCTTCTCTTATACAGGTGGCGCATACCTATCTACTTCGTTTTTCACAAATCAATGACCTTGAAGTTTGGAAAACATGCTTAGAATATTGGGAAGAACTTGTAAGCGTGATAGAAAAAGAGACCAATTTATGTTTTTACTGATCAATATCTATCTTCCACTGTAGACCACTAGACATGTCGATATTCTTTGCAAGAACTTACAATCTTTGATGGCTGATCTGCGACAATTGATATTAGAACATATGCTACCACCTGATGAGGTAAGTGTAATAATAAGACGATATTGAACAATTATCTCGCTTTTTCGATGATGCACAGACTCGTGATGTTGAATATTATTATGTATTTTGATAGGTACTCCTCGTTGAAGATGATGAAGGTGAAGTGACCAAGGAATATATCAAAGGAAGTGATACATTTGTTATATTTCAATCTATGGGAAAAGTACTATCTAATTTGACACAGTTGGATACACAAGGAACCATTACTTTCCTCCAAGGCAAACTTATATCTTTGGTAAGCACAAATCAATTAATCTCTACATAAAGATTTGTTTTCTATTTGGGCATACTTGATTAACGTTTTTATGTCTAGACACAATCAAAACAATGGACTTTGATGGATATGAATAAACTTTGTTGGGCTATTGGGTCAATTTCTGGTTCTATGGACGAACATGTTGAAAACAGCTTCTTGTCACTTGTATTGGAAAATCTGATACAGCTTTTGAATGATCCGCTATCATCCTCATCCATGGTCACATCTGAGGCTTCCTATATGATTGTTTCTTGTTTGGTGTATATTGGAACACGTTATATACGATTTTCGGATACTCATCCTATTTTTTTGAATCTGATTCTGACAAGGTTACTCCAATATATGCACGATCCTCTTCCTGTTGTGCGGGATATGGCTTGTGAATCTTTTATGAAGATATGTCAAGGATGTCCAAGTACACTAGCCAACACAAAACTAGGTGATTTTGAATTTCCCATTCTATGGATTGTCATACGTGATATCAACAGTGGTCATTTGGATCTTGATATATCTCAGGTAAATGAAAATGATTTGGCAATAAGATAGTTCAAGATTCATTATTATTTTTATTGATAGATGGAACTTGTATATGGTGGCGTTAGCCGTTTGATTGCCGCTCTGCCCAGTAAGGATGAACAAAATCAAGCATTCGACGCATTATTGAACACTTCTATAAAGGTAAAGATATATTACGTTAAGATATATTACATTACTGGCATGAAGAATATAGGGAAGGAAGAGACGAAAATGGATGACTGACACACTTGCAAATTTATATTTATGTATTTTTTTTTACCATCATATACATTATATTTCCTTATAGAACTTATCTCAAGATTGGGAAACCTTTAAGCTGGAAAATGGAGCGACCACGATCGATAGATTGAAATCACTTTGGCGGATACTCAGATTAAATTATGTAGTTGCTAGTCAACAAAGATCTCGATATCAGCAAATTCTCCATCGGTTCCTTGGTATATTTATCCATATTTATCAAGCGATAAGTTTATTTATGCGATCAACAGGTACATGATAAAAAAAAAAAAGCAATTAACGAAGTTGACATCCATGTATATCATTCTTTTTATTCAGATAGTTCTAATGACCCGATAGAAAAAAGATGGTGCAAAAAAATCAAACAGGAAATCATACAATTGATCAAAGTGACTTTTACACCAAACGATGACCAAACAAACGAAGGAGATGCTGATGACGGGACAGTGATGATTACTTTGGATTCTTCTTTACTGTATCAACTAGTACAGGTGATATTGGATGATTATCGTGCTCTTGGGGAGAGTTCTGAAGCTATGATTCTGTCTTTGGTTCAATCGCTCATCATTAACCTGAAGGTAGAGTGATATATCGTTAGTCCATATTTAATTCATCCGAAAAGGAACTTATGAATTTTATTCTTATTAGGTTTTATGGCCTCAACTCCTGGGTACTATTTTGGAAAAATTGTTTGAGCCTACTTTGATGATGATCAAACAAAATTTCAGTGATTTCCCAGATCATCGATTAGGGTTTTACAATTTGCTACTCTCCATGTCTCATCGGTATTTATTAGGTAAGCAACAAGAACAAAAAAAAAAAAAAAAAGACAATAAAGATGGAAATTGATTCCATGATGATTTTGTTTTATACAATTTGTTAGATTTTCTTCACCTACCACCAACGTTATTGTCAATTCTTGTTGACAGTATGTTATGGGGTATCAAGCATACCAATCGTGATATCTCCGAACTGGCGTTACAAACTTGTTACAATTGGATCAACTTTGTTAGTGAAGTTGAGGATGAGGACTTAGCAAGTGATTTTTACAAAGCTTATTATCTACGTATTTTGACTGACTTGTTAACAGTGACTGTGGACCCAGATTATGAAAGTGGTAAGAAATTCATTTACAAAACTGGTAAATAGATGGGAAATAATGATTCTTTTTTTTTTTTTTTTTGATTGATAGGACTTGATTTAAATAGTCAAATCTTGGCACGAATGCTTGAACTGGTACAAAATGGTGACATCTATACCCAAGTCTTTGATACTTCGTCTGTTGCCAATCCTTTGATGTCCAATACTACCTTTTTACAAGATTATGTTCAATCATTCTTCATGCATTCTTTTCCTTTGTTACAAAAGTAAGTTTGTATTATGATGAATATGCATTTACCATTCATTCATTGTATTAGGGATCAAATTACGGTGCTGGTGATGGGAATGTTTGAATACAGCGGAGATCATGACCGCTTCAAGACCGATTTATATGACTTTCTTCTCGACATTCGACAGGTAGATGATATTGATGCTGGAAATCAACGTCAACAAGAGGAACAAGACGCAGAATTGGAATTATTACGTTATATGTAATTTTAGCTTTAGTTAGTTTTATGATCATTTTGTTATAAAATAAAAGATGTACGTTCCTGATTTGGATGATTGTATCTTTTTTTTTTTTATGATGATGAGAAACTATGTAGAGCAACGTGATGAAATGTATTACATAACTGATGATCACACCACCGTTTCAGTCCATTGTTACCTATCAATTTTCCATATATGACATATCTTTGTTTATTAATCGTTGATAAGATCGTTTTCTTTATTTTGATAAGATTGATACAAGTGGGAAATAAAATAGATATTTATATATGGTATGTATTTTTTTTTTTTTTGTTGAAATTCATAAAAATTGACCCATCAGTATAGTTTCAGCCATGGGACCATGTTGGGTGGGTTTTGCACCTTCCTTTTTTGGACGTTCAGCTAATAATGAATGTAAGGATAGATCAGTAATAATAATAATAATATATAACTACTTACATTGTTTTTCATGATTTAATAAAAATTCAGGTGAATTTAATTTGGTATCATTCTTTTGATGCTAAAAAAAAAATAAAAGAAATCAAACGTGTGAGAAAAAAAAAAAAAAGGACTTTTCCGATGATTTCAATTTTTCCCAAGGTTTGCCCAGTTTTCTCAGTGGTTTTTACCATGACGACATAGTTAAATAAACTGCGTTGTGGATGATCCGATAAAGGACGTGAACGTAATGAAGCTGATAATGCTGATACTGATGATGCTGATGATGCTATAGATGATGACGATGATGATGTTGGTAAGTATGGAAAAGAAGACATGTTGTGCAGGATATGTCGGGATAATAATATCAAAAGAAAAAAGGAGAAAGAGAAGGAGACAAAAAAAAAAAAAACAAATATTTTGGACTTTATTGGTGAGAAAAAAAAAAGTATTGTACAAAGAAACATTAGTCTATTCTATAAAAGGATATCATTCAAAGGGGATAGAATCATGCAGAAGGAGAACAGCATTTTCGTAACTTGACCAAAAAGGCAGTATGACCCTTAACATCGAAATTCTTGGGACGACACACCCAGGCTTTTGCACCATCCATAGTAGTAGTAGTAGTTGTGTTTTCGTCCAAGGATATCGAATTGCGAATAAAAGTAGGTCGTATATCCCATTCTTTCCATTCTGCTTCCAAACACTCTTCCATAAACAAAGGCATATCTTGAATGGTCTGCATCAAATCCAATACTTGAGTCATGTTTGGTAGATAACATACTATGAATCGATCGTTCCGTAAAAGAGGCAAGATGGTTGATAGTTCTTCACTTGGGTCGGGCATATCCAATACAACGCCATCATACATCTCTTCTGTTGTGTGTAGGGTCGTTACGTTTTTTGATAATACATCTGAAAGTTTGCCAACCCAATATGTCACCAAGGATTGATATTTTCCACGTTCAAATCGTTCAATGTGCTTTTGAGCTGTCTTAGAGTGAGTATCCCGCATATCCACCGTGTCGATGTGGCCTCCACCTGACACTGCCCTTGCTAAATGTAATGTCAATGATCCATTCCCTGTTCCGGCTTCAAGGATACGATGACCAGGCGCTACGTCTAATAACTGTACCTAACAATATAATAATAAAATAAGCCGATCCAACTTTTTATATCATTCTTTATAATAAACTTACTATTGTACAGGCATCTTTTGGATAGATTGGAGTGCATGCTCTTGGTACATTCACAACATATTCATCCAAAGTTGGAAAGTGTGCCATATAACCTGTTGAATCTATAGAATAAATATTTAATATTTTTGTAATTAGAATACTAGGTCTTATTACCATTGTGAGTTTTGATGATGGATCGTACAGGTATACCGAGCAGTTGGTTATGTCGTATAGATCCACCTTTGACATGTCGAATTCCTTCTTCCTCCAAAGGACCAATAAAGTATTTTCGGTTAGACTTGATATGACGCAGAATGCAAAAATCACCTGGTTGAAATGTTGTCAATGGTCTTATACATAGAGTAAAATAAGAAGAAGAAGAATATATAGAGGAGAGTCCTTTTGATCTTGTTGAACGGGATAAAGCAGCAAACATAAAAAAGTAAGAAAAAAAAAGAAAAAAAAAGAAAAAAAAAGGGATTCCCCTCGAAGAAGAAAAAAAAAATCTAATATTTCTGCTGGTTCATTAAAACGCCGCTGCTTTTTTGTTCTTTTCTTTCATTATACTTTTGCATCATACTGTATGTCATTCGATTCTTCAAAAGATCCAGCAGATGAAGCTATTCGCTCAACCAATGATGATGCTACTGTCAGTCGCCTGTAAGAATAATAATAATAAAAAAAAAATAGCTAATTAGTATTAGTGTAATTTGTTGATTCTTTCTTTTATCTCTTCCTTTTTTTTTTTTATGGCCACCATGGTAAACGCGTATACATATATAATAGATCGGCTGTTCGACTAGGTTATTTTCAAGATCCTTTTGTACAATATTTTGTAAAACGACCCACTAAACGCATGCCTATTATCAACCGAGGTAAATAAAAAGAAAAGGATATCCATGATGGTTGACCCTTTTTTTTTTTTTATCTACAGGTTCTTATATACGAAACTGTGCTCTTGATACTCTGGTACGCCAATTCTTATCTCTTCCTTGTTCCACCATATCCAACAAGAAGCAAATTATTAGTCTTGGTGCTGGTTTTGATACAAGATATTTCATGATCAAGGTAATCAAAGCAAAAAAAAAAGTGATCCAGCATGATTCACTTCTTTCTATTATTAGTCAGGTGGTTTGGATACTGAAACGAATACTGGATTGAAACATACTTTGTCTAATTATTTTGAAGTTGATTTTCCTGAAAACATTGTCAAAAAGGCACGTATCATCAAGCAACGCAAGGAATTACAAGATATCATGACACAGGGCAATGATCATCTTTCATCTGAGGAAAACAAGGAACAAGGTATACGTTTGGAACGTGGTGGAGCAGAATTGTCTAGTCATGATTATCATCTGATTGGTGGTGATTTGCGACAATGGGATCAAATAGTGGAAAGATTACAAGTTCATGGCTTTGACAAGAATGCCCCTACACTCTTCATCTCTGAATGCGTATTTATTTATTTGCCTCCTGAAAGTGCCACCTCTATTTTGGAATGGATATCTACCTCACTCTCTGATTGTGCTTTCGCTCTTTATGAACAAATTCGACCGGATGATAATTTTGGCAAGACCATGATTCGAAACTTGTTGGTAACAAAAAAAAAAAAAAAAAAAAAAAGAAATGTATTCATCTATTATTATTATTTTAGATCCGAAATATTGAACTGAAAGGAATTCATGCTTTTCCTAGCTTGGAACATCAAGAGCGAAGATTTCTTGATTTAGGATGGAATTATGCCAAAGCTGTTGATATCAATACAATACATGACAATATCTTGACATCTCAGGAACGAACAAGGTAAAATGTATTGATGATGAATAAAAAAAAAAAATAGCGTTGTAATGCTAATGATTTTTTTTTTCAAAGGATTGCAAAACTAGAAATGTTGGATGAAATTGAAGAATGGAAACTACTCTCTGATCATTACTGTGTGGCTTGGGCATACAAATCGAAACAATTCAAGGATATATTTGCCAGTTCATTTGGGATTGAAAAATCTTTAGTATAATCGTTTTTATATGCTATGTGTATTTATACAATAAAAAAATGATACCATTGAATCCATTGTTTATAGTTATGAATATGTAGAATGAAACAATCAAAGTATCTATGCCAAAACAGGAATACAGGATCATACAAGAGTAGACATATCTTTATTATTATTTTTTTTTATGCATGTTATGAATGATTTCGATAAGGGATATGTAGATGATGATGATGAGACTAAAAAAGAGAGACAGATTGAAGTATGTTCATATTTGTGAGAGAATATGCATATTAGAACAAGACATAGATAGGATGAGTGTGTGAATGATGGAATCAGATAGGAAGAAATCTAACAACAACGTCTAGCTATGGTGTAAGAATAAGTACCATATGTTAAAGAGAGTTCAGTAGTGTCTACATAAACGTAATCTCCAAAGGATGGGCTTTTGATCCAACCAGCAGCATCATTTGCCCATAGTTTTTCAATTGCTCTTTGCGTATTTGGATCACATCTATTCCATGATGATCCTATTGCATAAACCCATTCTATTCCTTTTGTCATGATAATGTACAAAAAAAAAAAAAAAAAAAAAAAGAAAGAAAAAATAAACTAATCCGTCCCCTCCTTTTATAGTTGATGAAGAGATAAAAATAAAAAGCTGATTTCATCTATATTTGGTATTGAGGCGGGGGTGGTTTGTAACACCATCATCTGCTGCTCACTAGCCATATTACTTTCCTAATCATGTTTGAATAGTTTCTACATTTTATATGTGTAGCTCATTTTTAGTCTATTCTACAAACGATATTATATATATATATTTTAATGACATGGTATTAAAAAAAAGGATTTGATTCAATCCATTCCCGCAACATGTCTATGTATGAAGCGTGGCACTGCTCTCCCAGCCACATCGGGCTTATCCAAAAAAAAAAAAGAAAAAAAAAATTGAGGCAGTGTCTGAGCTGCAGTAGTTTGTCTCCTTTCTTTTCTGTACCCAATTTTTTTTTTTTTTTTTTTTAATATATGTCGTCTCCTGACTATGATCTAGATGCTTGTAAGGCCATGACAGCTGGTTGGAATCAAGATCCTCAGAAATATCTAGACCGTTATTATGATTGTTACATACACAAGAAATTAGAATCGGTGTACTTGCGAAGATCACCTAATGAACTTGTGGTCATGGGTTTACGTTCTTTACCACCCACTGACAATATCACTGTGGAATTGGAAATGGATCTTATCAAGACCAAAGTCTCCCCTGGTACAATGGTGGCACGGATCAACAATGAGCCTGTCTTTGCCACTGTTCACGGTACACTCTTGGAACTGAACCAACGTTTATTATCTGAACCATCTCTTCTTGTCACCGACCCGATCGTCCAAGGATTCATCGCCATTATCATGCCCAAACAAGGCCAACCTGCCAAGATTCTTCACGAGTTCATTCAAGTTGACCAACTTTAACCATTGTTATTATTATTATATATGTACAGTTTCCACCATTCATTTTATAAAATATCTCTTTTACACACACCAATGATACTACAGTTACCCTCAGATGTCATATCTTATATTTTTCATATATCAACCCATAATAAAAAAAAAAGTATATACACACATTTCACTCTTACTTAATAAAAAAAATAGTATAGGTACATGTTTATTCTGTTTCTGTAATATGATGATGAAACAAAAATAATCCAAAATAAAGAAAAAAATGATTGGAGAGAGACTAAAATGAAGATCATGAAGAATATAGGATGATAATAAGAATAATAGTAAAAAAAAAAAAAAAAAAAGTATAGGAAGGAAATAAAATAGTAATAATAATAATAATATAAAAAAGAAAATAAAACTAATATGTAGTTCTAATCCCTTAATTAACTATATCAGATTTACCAAACAGGGACACCACCTTCAATTTCCTTGGGCTTGGTAGGTTGACCAATCAAAGCATCACTCAAAAAGTTGTATTCTTCTTGGAAATGCTTCTTCTTGTTACCAGTAGCAACGGAGGCAGAAGGGGGACGACCAGTATAACGGGGTTGTTTGCCAGCATGATGTTGAGTTTGTGACAAAGCAGTGGTGATACGAGGTTGAACGTGTTGCCAGGCACCAGCATTCATAGGTTCTTCTTGCAACCATACAATTTCAGCATTGGGGTACTTATCAGCGTGTTCCTTGATTTGTTCATAGGGGAAGGGGTTCAATTGTTCCACACGAGAGATGGCAATATCAGTCATCTTGTTTTGTTCACGAGCCTTCAACAAACTATAATAGACTTGACCAGTACAAAGAACATGCTTGGTGATCTTTTCAGGAGCTTCCAAATGATCAGGATGTTCATCAGGTAAATACAATTGGAAATGACTATCACCTGTCATTTCTTCCAAAGAAGAACGAGCCAAAGGATGACGAAGCATAGCCTTGGAGAAAGGAAGAATCAACTATCAAAAAAAAAAGTTAATTCATCATCATCATCTCTATTCACTTTTTTTTTTTTTTTTTTTTGGTCACTTACAGGTTTTCTGAATTCACGACAGATTTGACGACGGAGAACATGGAAGTATTGAGAAGGAGTGGAAGCATATACAACTTGCATGTTACAATCTTGATGTTGACGGTTCAATTTTTCAGGAGAGGGGTAAACATATGGGTTGTCATCACAAAGTTGAAGATATCGTTCAATACGAGATGATGAATGTTCAGGACCTTGACCATCATAACCATGAGGTAAAGTCATGACCAAACCAGTACGTTGGAGCCATTTTTGTTCACCAGCAGCAAGGAATTGATCCACGATACATTGAGCATTGTTAGCAAAATCACCGAATTGAGCTTCCCAAACAACCAAAGAATTAGGATCCACCAAGGAGTAACCCAATTCGAAACCAAGGACACCATATTCAGATAATGAAGAGTTAGAAATGGACAAGGCACCTTGTTCAGATGAGATGTGATTCAACATGGTGTATTTGCTATCAGTCTTTTGATCATGTAAAACAGCGTGACGTTGAGAGAAGGTACCTATTTTTCATTATAACAAGATAGATTCATTAATTCAATATCTCTTTTTTTTTTTTTTTTTTGAAACCAACCTCTTTCAACATCTTGACCAGAGACACGGACATGCTTGCCTTCCAAAAGCAAACTACCCCAAGCTAAAGCTTCAGCAGTAGACCAATCGATATCCTTTCCAGCTTGTAAATTCTTTTCACGAGTTTGAAGAATACGTTTCAAGTTGCGATGAACATTGAAATCATGAGGTAAAGTGGTCAAGGCTTTACCAACTTGTTGGAGAGTTTCAGTGGAAACACCAGTAGGGAAATGAGGAAGAATTTCTTCAGCTAATTCCTTGGGAGACTTGAAGCCTAAAGGAAAAAAAAATATCATATGAAAAAGGATGTTAGTATACATTTAATAGTAAATATAAAAAAAATCATTATTCTTTTATATATATATTTTTTTTTTACCAGGCCATGAGCTAGACAACCATTCACGGGAAGTAGGCTTGTAATCCTTACTAGCAGCATAAGATTCTTCTAAAATATTCCATACACGTTTCTTGTTGGCACCGATTTCTTCAGCAGACAAAGTACCTTCCTTCTTCAATTGCTCTTCATACTTTTGAGCAACAGGGACTTGTTTGGCAATAGCTTCATACATCTTGGGTTGAGTAAACATAGGTTGATCAGTTTCGTTGTGACCATGCTTACGGTAACAGACAAGATCAATGACGACATCACGATGGAAAGTTTGACGCCAGTCAGCAGCCAATTGCATAACATAGGTAACAGCTTCAGCATCATCACCATTGACGTGGAACACAGGAGCGTTGACAGACTTGGCAATATCAGTACAATAAGGAGTAGATCGACCATAACGAGGATCAGTGGTGAAACCAATTTGATTGTTGACAACAATATGAATAGTACCTCCAGTAGAGTAAGCAGGCAAATCATGGAAGCCCATAGTTTCATAGACAACACCTTGACCAGCAAAGGCAGCATCACCATGCATAAGAACAGACATAGAACGTTTACCTTCGGTATCCTTGCCGTAGAATTGAAGAGCACGGGTCTTACCAAGAACAACAGGGTCGACAGCTTCCAAGTGAGAAGGATTGGCCACCAAAGAAAGATGGACACGCTTACCAGAAGGAGTAGGACGGACGTAGTTCATACCCAAATGATATTTGACATCACCAGAGCCTTCTTCAGAGGGTTCCAAAGAACCACTGAATTCACAAAAGATGGATTCGTTGGGTTTGCGAACGACATTACTGAGAACGTTGAGACGACCACGATGAGGCATACCAATAACAATAGATTCGACACCAAGATCAACGGAACGATCAATCTAAAATAAAATTAAAAAAAAAAGGATATCGATTAGTTCATTTGGTCACAAATCAAATTACCCCTTCTTATATAAGTTTATCTATATATATATTGTACTTACCAAAGCCTTCATACCAGGAATAAGAGTTTCACCACCTTCCAGACCAAAACGCTTTTCAGAGGGATACTTTGAAGCAACGAATCGTTCGAAAGAATCAGACCAAGTAAGACGATCCAAGATGACACGTTTTTCATCGACTGAGTACTTGTAAGGTTGAGGGTTTTCAATACGTTGACGAATCCAATCACATTGAGCACGATCAGGAATATGAATATATTCAATACCAATGGAACCACCTATATTAACCAAAAAAAAAAATAAATTTTATTATTCACAACATCCATCCCATTCTTTTTTTTTTTATAAACTTACAGTAAATCTTTTTCAATACATCAACAATTTCTCGTAAAGTCATCGTCTTTTCATTATTTCCCAAAGCAGGTAAGATACCAGGACCTAAATTGAATTGACGATCAAGATCCTTTTCAGTGAAACCATAATAAGAATATTCAAGTTCAGGAGGAGTAGAGCTGTCCAAGTCGGCATGTTGGATACCCAAAGGATCGAGATTGGCAATATGATGACCACGGACTTGATAAGCACGAACTAAAAGTTGGATTTTCATATGTTCAATAACATCCTTGGAAGAAGCATTAGCAGCATTAGCCAAACCATCACCAGGCAAAGTAGGCAAGCGAGCACTGGCAGAAGGAACAAGAGTAGGAGGAGGGCTATAAGCTTGGGAAGAAGGAACACCATTGGCCATGTTCTTAAAGTAAATTTGCCAGGACAAATGTACAGAAGAAGGATCCTTTAACCATGCTTCATACATTTCTTCAATATAACTTCCAGCACCACTTTGTAAGAAAGCATCAGTAGCTTCGGGTGCACTTGTTGTCTTGGCAAAATGTTGTTGACTGGTATGGAAGCTAGCAATGGAAGTGGTACGAAGAGCTGATGAAGGTCGTGCAATATGGATGTTGCGCTGGACAAGAGGTTTGGCAGCACGAGAAAGTGCTGACAGACGATACATTATGTATAAATAGATAAAGGGAGGGAGAAGGGTGAAGAAAAAAAAAAAAAAAGTGAAGGAAAAAACTGGGGAAAACAAAATTGAAAAAAAAAGAAATTTATAGTGACTTTGATTCAGTAAGAAAGAAAAAAAGAGAAATTGAGGGCAAGACGGAGCCTTAATACCGTACGGGCCCGTAGGTCGGAAGAATAGAGTACCCGTTTGTAGTGAATGTATAAAAGGTAAATCATTTTAGTTTTTTTTTTTTCTTGTTATAGTAAAAAAAAAATCATTCATAAATAATATAGAATAAAAATATGTATATATTTTTTTTTCTTCTATATGATTATATTGTCATAGTACCTTTTTCTGATGATCAATAGCACTATAGTTTCTTTTAATAGTATCGTCAGCAACATTCATTTGCACACCGAATAATTCTTTCAGGTGCCGCCTAGTCAGTTCCAATACACTTTCCCGTCTTTTTCCTTAAGAAGCGAAGTAGATTCGGAATATGATGCGAATCATCCGAAAAAAACATTTTCCCGATAACCTTTGTTTCTTTTTTTTTTATTATTATTGTTATTATTATTGAATGCATTAAAAACAAACGTAAACTACAATGGATATCAAATGACTAAAGATATATAAGTAAAAAAGAGAGTGAAACTATATACAAAAAAGGTGGAGAGATCAAAATCAAATACAAATAATAATATAAGGGACCTATATATTGGTCGCATAAGAATAATAATAATAAAAAAGGATGGAATAATATAATAAAAAATCAATAACCGGATTTGGAAGAACCAGGAGGTCGATTGGATCCAACTGTGGAGGATGATGAGGAACGTGATATTGTAGGTTGGAAGGTATCAGTCATTGGTGCATCGGTCACAAGTAATCGTTTGATCATAGAACTCCAGGATTCAGATTTTGAAGGAATAGCAATCTATAGATAACAAATAATAATAATCATCAATAAGATTTTTTTTTTATTTGGCTTTTTCCTTTTATTCATTACCTGATAAGGAAATGGATTACCATCAGTGGTAGTGATGGATGGTATATGTTCCTTGTGATCATTTGCCAGTTTGAGAATACTGAGTAAACATTGTGATAATTGATGTTCGCATGCTTTTTGAACTCTTTGTCGTTCTATTTTTCAAAAAAGAAAGACTTGAATATCCTTTTTTTTTTTTTTTTATCATTCATTTTACCTTGTTCTGTTTCCGGATAAGCTAATCCAATTGTCAAAGCCCATTGTTCCCAACAAACGAATTCTTCAGATTTAGAGAATTGAAACCAATTTTTCTTTAATCTTTTTTCATAAAATAAGACAGCGATCTATCATCAATCAATGAAAATTAGTATTAAATACTGAGCATCCGTAAGTTTCAACTTACTTTGCCTTGTTTAATGTTCGTCTGAAGTGATTGAATGAATTCATTGGCTTTGTCTTCAATCAAGTTTTCCACCTCTCGACTATCTGTAATTGACTAGGTAAATAAAAGCTTAGTATTTACGCAATATTATACAAAGTTCTTGTTTTCTTTACCACTGTAGTATCCAAAACACGTAGTTCCCGAGGAGTGACATTCACCAGTAGTCGATGAAAGAAGATTGAATGTAAAAGAGCTATTTGAAAAAAAAAGAAAGAAAAAATGAGTTGAATGACTAAAGCCTTTCCAGATAATAATAATAATAATACTAAAAAAAAAGGAACAAATGGATACCTCGGAGAACATCCTTCAGGTATTCGTTGGGAACAGATGTCTATCAAAGAAAATCATTCATCAATACTGCGGATAACCCCATTCCTTATATGCAGTGTGTATACATCTCATTCTTTTTACCATTTCAATACCAAACTCTTGAGTGTTTGTAGCCATTGTATATAATATATATAATAAAAAAAACAAGGGTTTGGTTAAGAAACAAGGAGAAAGGAAAGAAAAAAAAAATAAAAAAAAAAGTAGTAGAATAAAAAAAGAATTCTTTAAGCCTACTCCCCTACGTAAAATCAACCAATCAAATTCGAAGACAGTTACTTTTTTCTGAGCCCGGTTGATATGCCTTTTATTTTGACAATCGTTTTTTGATTCTTGATGTAGAATTCTTTTTTTTTTTTTTTTTTTTTAAATTCTGATGGATTTTATTGGTTAATTATACATAATAAGATGTTCCCACCAAAAAAAAAAAAAATATCGATGCTGATATAGGAGAAAATAGAAAATAAATAAAAAAGGAAATACCATGTCATGAATTATATATAATCAATGATCACTAGTGATGATGATGATGTTTACGTCGACTGGCAGTTGACTTCTTCTTGTTCTTGGGATGATGATTAGGTTTACGAGTAGGTTTTGCCTTATTATGTCTGGTATGCTTGCATGTTGATTTGTGAGTATGCTTTGGTTTGCTATGTGTGGTAGGTTTGCGTATAGGTTTACGAGTATGATTGCCCTTGGCATGAGTAATAGTAGTAGTAGCGGGCCTGTGTGTGGTAGTAGTATGTTGTTTGATGGTGGTACTAGTAGGTTTTGGTTTGCCACTGGATGGACTAGCTCCTTTACTATAGATGCCAGCACAATTAGAATAGTTCGTTTCTGACCAACTTGCAGGGGATGCATCATATTGTTGTCCAAACAGTTTCTTGAATGAAGGAATACTCAACTATAATGAATGGTTTGATTGAGTATCAGTAATCAAATGTTATCTTTTTTTTTTTTTTTTTTTTTTTTTTTTTTTTTTTAATAAACGTAACTTACGTCCAATCCTGATCCACCCAAATCCACTGCAAGAACATAGACAAATTTGGAAGGATCTTTTGTATTGACAACCTTGATGCATTTGTTACAATCAGTACCAGCGTTCAAATTCTGCACAGCAGTGATTCGCGATAAGTCAAGAGTAGCATATGGCATTCCACAGGCAGGTGGATTGGTGGCTAATGCAGCAGCAGCTATACATAAAAGGCATAACATGGTAAATAACCCATTGTTGTTATCGTAGCATCATGTGAACCATCATCATGGTAACATCATCATCGTAGGAAATAGATGTCATCAATACAATCAATTATCATTCATACAAGCCCATCCTTGCAATGAAATCCAATTGCATTTCCCAGTGATTGCTCTTTTTTTTTTTTTTTTGTGACTTACGTAGACCGATATAATCTTGAGGTGTAATGTTGGCACTTCCAGTAAGACCAGCATTGACACAAATGGACCAAAGAGAAGCAAGACCAAGAGTAAAATAAATAAATTTCATGATGATGATAATAGAAAAATAAAGAAAAAAGATCGAACAATTGAAAGGAATGGGAAGGGGTTAATGGTTGATGTAAAAAAAAAAAAATACAAGACAAAACGCAACCCTCTCTTTTTTTTCTTTCTTTTATATGTGATCTACCGGTTGTTCGGTTGATTGTCTATTTCAAAAGTAAATCCATATACATCCTTTATGCCCATGGCAAACTTCCATATATGGTGATCGGCACTGGATACTAGGCCCACTTTTTTTTATTTTTTATTTTTTGATCAATTTCCATTGATTATGACATTAATTTAACTCTCTTTTTAAGAGAAAGAAAAAAGTTAAATCAATCTAGATGTAAGGAAGAAATGATACTAAAAAATATTTTTTTTTTGAAAAAATAATAATAATAATAACAAAAAAAACAAGTGGGTTTATTTAGATGTGCATTTATCTGATGCGTGATCAAAAAAAAAAAATTCATAACTATCCTTTCTATGTCATAAACATTAGAACGGCTTGAAATGGTGTAAGAGAAGGAAAACAATATCCTGTAATAAAACCCAAACTCGTGGGTACCATGATCTGTTATTGATGAACATACCATCATTCATGTCGTAAATAATGTTGCCATGATGATAATCCGGTGAATGACGATACCAGGCGAATGGATTGATTCTGGAGATTTGATTCATCAAGGGTCCCGCACACTTCCTTCCAAAGCCAGCTATACTCATAAAAAAAAAAAAAAAAAAGACAGGTGTGAGAAATTGAAAATAAGAAGATTAAAGTTTGATTGGATTGAAATTATCAATCAATCTATGGTAATTTTGATCAAACATACGAAGGTAGTAGAGAAACATCATTGCATGTAGTATCATTGAGTTGGAAAAGGAAAAAAAAGAGATACACAAAGAATAATGATAATCTTTCTACTATCCTTTTTATATATATGTAGTATATTATACTTTATTTCCAAATAGAGGAAACAAAAGATTTCTTTATTCAATTTTAATATACATTTCAAACTATAATCAATAAACAATTCTATTCTAAAAATCCATGTTATTCCCGCCATCGAACTGGAATCTTGAAATAACGTCCTGCATGTCCATCGGTATATAATGATTGTTCTTTGGAAGGTAAGATTCCACCTCGTAAATTGGTCTATAATGAATGATTTATTCCAAAAAAAAAAAAATAATAAAAAATGGTTAGGCATCACATTGAAAACGTCATATATTTTTAAATTATTTACCTGCAAGGAGGGATGAATAAATCTAGGGGCTTTTAAAACCTTGTCTCTTGCCTGTCGCGCTTGTATGAATTCTTCCATAGTCACTTTATCGTTGATCATCTTGTTGTATTGCTTTTGTTTCGCCAACAAAGTCATCACTGTATGCTATAAAATGGAAAGAATTCAAAAATCTTGATTTTGAATGCTGTCTTGTTTTTTTTTTTACCTTTCTATTTTCTGGAGGATAATCATGTCCAACAAAAATACGAGTATCATCTGGCCAAGAAGAGTACATTTTCTGTATACTTTCATACAAATCTGTAGCACTTCCACCGGGAAAATCACATCTTGCTGTACCAACATCAGGCTAGAAAATAAAGACGAATGAATAATAAAATTATATATACATATATTATTCCATTAGCTTTACCATAAAGAGGGTATCACCTACAAAAGCAGCATCACCAATGCGATAAGATAGACATGCAGGGGTATGACCAGGAGTAGCAATTACTGAACATTGAATATCTTTACCCAACACCCAAGTATCCTTTTCAGAAATCAATTTATCGAATGAATCACCATTGATATGTAATTCTTCCTTCTTGACGTTGTACCGTTTTGCAAATACTTCTTGTACTTTGGTAACATCCTTTCCAATCCAAAACTCCGGCTAAAAATAATAATAATAATAAAAAAGATCAGTTCATATTTTTTTTTTATATAGAAAAAAAGAAAATCCTTTTTTTTACTTTTGTCTCCAGTCTGTCCTTTAAAAACCAAGCAGCAGATAAATGATCCTATATATATAGATAAAAGAAGTAAGAAATTGACATTCCCATCTTGATAATTAAGACTTACAGCATGGACATGAGTATCAATCACTTTGGTAACACGAAGATCATGCTGTTGAATAAAATCCACCAAAGCACTAGCCGTTTCAGGATATACCACACCATCCAATGGATCATAATCCAATACCGAATCAATCACGTAGGCTTCTCTACTCTCTATATTTAAAAAAAAAGAAATATGAGTGACATTATATAACCTTCTTCTTCTAATCTTACCTAAATCAGTCACAATATATTGAGCTGTATCCGTATTTCCTTCCATGATTGTATGTACCCAAGGAGAATGATTATTAGTAAAAGGTTGAATAGGCAAATTGTCCTTTTTCCATTGAGTGAATCCACCTTCCATATTATAAACATCCTTGAATCCTAAAGAAAGTGCTATTTGAGCTGCTTTTTGACTTCTTCGACCAGAAGCACATTGAAAAATCACCTAAAAAAAAAAGAAATAATAAGAAAAAAATAAATAAGAGTCGTACCAAAAAAAAGGGATCTTTACTTTGCTAGAGCGATCAAGATCGGATAAGACGGTGGAAAATAATGTCGGTTGGTCTTCAGCTATATGATAAGGAATATTCAGAGCACCTTTTATTCTACCATGAGTTTCGATTTCATCATGGTTTCGAACATCAATCAATTGAATCTTGTCATTGAGAAAAGGCAGAGAAGGTTGAGTAGTGGATATAATGGAGTGAACTTGTTCAGGTGTGACCGATTGCATAATATTGTTGGTAGATGTTGAGTAGAAATTAGATAAGTACCGATTGAATAAACTGTAAGAAATAGAAGAAGAAGAAGAAGAAGATAGGAATCGAATAGAGGAGACACGAAGCATCGTATTTATCCAAAAAAAGGAAAAAGGGAAGAGAAAAATTTGGAATGATGCGAAATTTAAACTTGAAGGTGCGATTTTGTAAGAAGGAAAAATTAGAATTTTCCTTTGTTTGTGGGGACCGAGAAAAGGAATTGTAGACCAACTCCGTCTCAATATGCATTCGTCATTGGTAGTCATCATTGATAAGCGAAGAAGACGAAGCATGATGAATTTGAACGTAAGACCTTCCTTTTGTAAACAACTTCAAAAATATTAGTTTTTTTTTTCATGATCCTTCTTTTTATCATCATCAACAATAAATAAATAAAAAAAATAAATAAAAAAGAAGGGTATATAAAATTTTATTCTAAAACAACAATAAAACAACAATAAAACTACAAAAGAAATCATACAGATAAATGATACCAAATGCCTATAGCGATCAATAAAAGAGTCAAAAGGATACCAAAACCAAGAGCCATTAATCGATTGATAATTTGCCAACGATGAGCCAATTTACCTCTTCGATCAGGATGTCTGGGAATACATCCACCAATGCACCAAAGTAAGGGACAAAGAAATCCCAACCAAAATAGAATCAAACCAACATATTTGATTTTATCATCTTCTACTTCCTCTTCTTCTTCTTCATATAATTTATGTATTCTTTTTTTATCGATGGGTAATTGATGTGATAATTGTGCCCAGAGAGCGGGTATATTTTTTTCTACAGGCAGATGATTTCCTTCTTTTTCATTATTATTATGTTTCTGCGGTTGTGATAACGGCACCGTTTCTTCTATAGATGATTCCATTGTTGCTGCTGCTGTTGATGATGATCGAGGAGTTATCTGAGGTGTTTGTTGTTGTTGTTGTTGTGGGATTTCCTGTTTAGGATCGTCGTGTGTTACGGAAGCGGTCCCAGAGTCATTCATTACCGTCGTCGTCTGTGGGAATGGTGGTGGTGTTGGTGTACTTCGATAAGATAAAAGTTGTTCTGTAAGTTGGTTTGACCATCGAGGTAAATAAGTGGCATGAGACGGGGACATGAATTAAAATTTGATTACTATAACAAAGAATCTAAAATTATTGAGGAAAAAAAAAAAAAAAGACAAAGAAAAAAAAAAAAAAAAAAAAAAAAAGAGGGAAAGGAAAAAAAAAAAGAGGAAAAGAAGAAAAAGAAGACGCTTTATTTTCAATTTTGTTGTTGTTGATATCGGAATGACCCAATCCAAGAGAGATTCACCAGACTCCAAAAAAAGAAACTATCTATATATATATATATAAAGAAAAAATAGGAATACTACACTAAAAAAAAAAAAGAGTCTACTAGTAACCATATGCAATCCTAATGTCCACCACAGCATGAAGTAGTTGTCGCTCGTTTCTTGCCTTTGCGATGAATATTTTTTGAATTTTTGATAGAATCATTATCGCCTAATTCGGTATCCTTTGTAATATTTAATTCTATGAATTAAATAAGTATCAAGATAAATATCAGCCTTATTCTTTTTATATATAAATATTTGATTCTTACTAAAGTGTTGACCATCCTTTGATTCGCCTTGTACTACATTTTGTCGTAAAAGTGTTGCTACCTGTTTTGCCAATGTCAATTTCTATCATAAAGGGAATATTCATATATCCTTTTTTAGTTTCGATCCTGATCTACTATACATGACACTTACCTCGTCCAAAATATCAGTGTTCGTTTCGTCCTTGTATTGCATAAACCTTGCATACGTTTCCCGTTTTGCAGCTACCAAATAAGAAATAATCAAAAGTAAGTACTTGCCCAAAATAATAATAATAAAAAAGTATATTGACCCCCCAAAAAAAAAAGATCTATCTGATTTCTTATTTTCCTTTTTTTAACAATGACAACCTACCTTGAATAGCCCGAAGATCCTCTATAAACATAAGTAAAATAAAATAAAATAAAATAAATAGTAAATGTGAGTATATATGTGTTGAGTCAAAATAAAAGAGAAAGAGATCAAAATAATCAATAGAATCAAAAAAAAAAAAGAAAAGTAGATACAAGGTTTTTATTATAGACTTACTTCCAAAGACTTCCTTTTGTGTTTTTAATAAATGTCTATAAGCAGATATGGCAGCCTGTTTCGATGGTGTATTCATTGTATAGGGGTAATAGAAAGCAAAACAAGTGAAAAGAAAAGAAAAAAAAAACAAGTCCATGTTTTTTTTTTTCCTTCTTTCTAACATTTCAGTGGATTCAATCTCCGGTGACTTTACATAAAGAGAATGGGACAAAGAATTGAACATATCACGAGTAAACTTGTACTTATTTTTTATCTGTTGGCGTACATATATAGAATCTACCCTTAAAGATAGAATCCACTTGCATCATTTTTTTTTTTGTATTTGGGATTCAAATATCTTTTCATATATCATTTTTCTTCATTCAGGTACAACGGTATAAATTAATAAAGCATCAAAAAATGGATTTCTTTTATTTCAAAAGATAAAAAAAAGTCAAATAAATATATAAATCAAAAAAAAAAAGAGAGAGAGAGAAAGATAAAACACAAGATATAACTAAAATCTAAGTATATAATTCATTGATATCTTTACTCAAGAAAGGTACGGATTCACCTTGAAGATCAACTTTTTCCAAGAACTTGAGAGGGAATTCAACCAAATGACCACGGACTTTATCCAAAGTATCCACAATCAATTCCACAGGCATTTCAGGATCATGTACGTGACCAATTTCAATCTTTTCAGGATCAGGATAAAAGGCATGATATTCTTCCCAAGTCGTAACTATAGAGAGAAAAAAAAAAAAAAAAAAAGAGAATCAGAAACAAAATATAACTGAAACAAATAAACCTTACCATTATCATCGGGTACACAATGGAAGACATCACGGAAAGCTTCAGTGTTTTGACGTGCAGTCGAATTCCAAAGTTCTAAAGTTTCTTCATCCAAAGGATCACGAACCAATCGATCTTCACGGGAATCAAGGGTATCGATTTGAGGTACAGGAAGAGGCAACATATCATTTGTCACCTTATCGGAAGGTTGATCAGGGATTAAACCAAGATGTTCTTTCCACAACTTGCGACGCAATTGGGTAGCAAATCGACTAACTTCATACTATAGACAAAAAAAAAAAGCATCAAATCATGTGTTAGTCCTTCCATGATTTTCTCTCTAATCCTGAATTTTACTTACATCACGTCCATTCACTTTAGAAGCAACCATATCCTTATCTTCCACTACCAAGGCAATTTCGGAATCACGATCACCACATTGAGATCGATCATTCAAATTGGCGGAACCCATAATAACAAGACGATCTAAGAAAATAAAAAAAAAAAAGGTAAAAGTAAATCACTACTTTGCATATATTTTATCTTTGTTTTTTCTTACCATCAGCAATCAACAATTTGGCATGAATGTAAAGTTCTTCAGAGACAAAGTCATGAGAGACCCAGGGTTCACGACTCTTATGGTGACGACGACGATGATGGCCATGACGATGTTCATCACCATATTCACCTACAGTGGCGTATTCAACTTCATCTTCTACATTGTCCAATGCAGAGTAACCTTCAACAGTGGTAAGCACTTCTTCCACGGTAGAACGTTTGATACGATCATGACTACGTAAACTGTAGAATCGAATGTAATCATGAGGATTGATACCGGCAGCTTCTAATTGTTCAAGGATACTCTTGCCACCACGACAGATAGAAATATATTGATAGTGCATTACCAATCTAAAGAAAAAAAAAAGAAGGCTTATTAGTAAGTATGCCTTGATTCTTTTGTATTGTTTTCAATATAATTACCTAGCAGTTGCGGCATCCTTGGTACTAAGATCAGCAGGGAAAGCAGGCATCAAAGGCATAAGTACAAACACCTTGAATTTTTCTTGTTCTTCATGAGCACGGACAATACGCTTAACAATGGCAGCACCAATTTGATTCTTGAGAATATAATCCTTGTCTTCTGAAGTGGCAGTGACTATCAAAATTAAAAAAAAAAAAGAAAGAGAAATAGGATAAGTAAAATAATACTAATGATAAAAATTATTCATTGCTTACTGAAGAATTGATTTTCAATATGAATAAAATGTTCAGCACCCAAGATAGCTTCAATATAGGCATTTTGAATAGAGTGCTATAAAAAGAAAGAATGAATTAGATATTGTTTTTTTTTGTCATATTGTATTTATGTCATAACTTACTTCATTATGGATACCCATACTCCAATCGGCACTACTACGAACCACTTGAGCACGACAAGTACCAGTGATACCACGAGTACCATGACGATAACGACGACGTTGACAAGCAGGATGATCTTCATCAGGTAATTGGAATCGTTGAGTGTTTCCAGCAAAACCACCAAGAGGAGGTTGTAAAAAGGGAATAGCTTCAATATTCTTGGCTTTTTCATTCTTGACAAAATTCCATCTTTCACAGAAATGACGGGCCACATCCAAAACAGGACCACCAAGCTATAGAAATAAAAAAAAGTTACTATCAGTATTATCATGTCACACCCGAGTCTTTATGTCAATGTCACACAAGAAGAAACTAAACAAAAAAAAAAAGAAAACTCCACTTACCATACAAAGAGACATATCGTGCCATGGCATTCTTGGAACCACAGTCTTGTCAATCAAACGCATATCCCAGTTCTTGACTATAAATAATATATTAGAATAAGATAAACGAATAAATAAATGATGAATATATACATATATATATATATTTTACCTTCTTCGAAATCACGAACACGAGCATCACTATAATCTTGACCTATTTTTTTTTTTTTGATTAGTATTCGTTTCTATTTTATTTATTTGTTTACAACTTTACCAGGATATGTTTCAAGAAGAGGGTCTTCATTAGTAAAGTCAGCCAAACGATGAGCATGAGTATCCCAACGACTATATATAAAAGAAAAATGAATAAATAATAGAATAATTGGATTCTTTTTTTTTTCTTTACCCGAAACAAAGATCAATACCACCCAGGAAGGCAATCTTATTATCAACAACGACAAACTTTTCGTGATGAGACCAGAAGAAAGTACCACCAACATCATGATTGGGATGACGTTGAACTAAAAATAATAAAAGTATATAAATATTTTTTTTAAAACAAAGTATATTAAATGATTTTTTTTGTTTTTTTACCAATAATGTTTTCATGTAATGATTGAAGAGTTTCCTTGGTATGTTTACTGTCAAGTGTCAAAGCTAATTTGACTTCCTAAAAAAAGAATTCAAGTGTTACCAAAAAGAAGTTTTTTTTTTTTTTTTTTTTTTTTTTTTTTTTTTTTTTTGGTCTTCCGTTTTCCCATCAGTTTACCTTGTACACAACAATATAAATCTTCACACCTTGTTCAGCTTTTCGTTTCAACAATGCATCTAAACGGTATTCAGGGTATTTGGCACATGGACGACGCATATACTATTATCATATATAAAACCATTTAAACCAATTGTTATTTGTTTTCTCTCTTTTTTTTATTTGTTTACCAATTCAGGTGTCTATATCAATTATGAGAAAGAAAACAAAAGATTAATATATATATATAACAGATAAAACACCAAATAAAATATATCTTTTTTTTTTTAATTTATTACCAACCACCAATCTTCAATGAAAATGACTTCCGTCGCGTGTTCAATAGCTTCAGACACAGCCCTATTTCATAGATAAAAGATTTTATTTTAATAACATATAATAATAATGAAAATAAATAATATTTACCAGCAGTAATCCTGACCATCCACAAAATGTTTAACTTGAGCACCGTGACGTACAGGAGCAAAAGATTCAAAACGATGCTTTTCAGCATTAAGTTGTTCTTCACGTTTTTCTTCTTCAAGATCACCGTCAAAAAGTTCACTCACTTTGGAAAATAAACTGTTAAAAAAAGACATTCTATTACAGAAATAAAGAAAAAAAAAAAGAAAAGAAAAGAAAAGAAAAGGAAGAAAAAAGGAAGAAATGACATTATATATGAGAAAGGGTACCTTTGACTGTGTAACCCCGCATGCAATCTTAAAGTTCTGATATTTTAGTGTGATTTTGAGCCCTTTTCTTTTTTTTTTCTTTTTCTTAAATAGGTGTCATGTCCGAATATTCATTTTGTATATATGATTTTTTTTTTTATTTATAAAAAAAAATGTCTACTAATAATAATATAAAAAAAAAAATCTAATGCTATTGAATATTAAACTACATGGAATCATCACTATCTTCATCCAAATCACTATCTTCTTCATCTGTCATTTCATCCACTTCTTCCATAAACATATCTTCTTCATCCTAATATAGAAAAAAAAACATCAGATGTCATGAATTCCTTCTTTTTTTTTTTTTTGAATACCTTGGCATGAAGATGCATAATACCATCTTCATCATCATCATCAGTTAACATATGTTGCGTTTCATCTTTATATTCTTCATTTTCATCCATAGATTCCTCTAATTCCAATAATTCATCTTCTTCTTCCAGCAGATCTCGTTTTGATCGAATATCCAATTGTTGTTGAATCATTTCTGCACGTCCACGAAGGGCATACATTTTTGGTAAACTTTGATTTGCTTGAAGGTTCAATACTCTAGCCAATGCTGCCAATCGAAGCATTACCTTGTGATCATCCTTCAGTTTATCATAATACGCTGACACCAATTGTTTAAGCCATAATCGAAGTCCTTTTCCTTGTTCTATAGTCGTCCTTTCTACTTGGTCCACCAATAATAATAAAAATCCATGAACTTGTAAATATGGTAATCGTCGAATTGTATTATCTATATCTTCCACTTGGGACACCTGTTTAAGATACTGCAATACCATGGGTTTATTATCTGATTGAAGTGCCTTGATCAATGTTTCAGGGGTATGTTGCATATCTTGTTCTTTCTTGTTGTCATCTTCTTCTTCTTCTTGATCACTTCCCACATCATTGTTTATACCTGCAATTTGTCGGGTCAAAATGATTTCATTTAACAAATTGTTCTTGTCATCCATAATTCCCTAACAAAAAAAAAAGACCAGTTAGATGATTTCCCTTTTACAATCATTCCAAAAACTATGAAAATTTCCTTTTTTTTTTTCTTACCACAGTTTCTAATATAGGCTTCACACTTGAACCACGCACGATCACTACTGAAATCGTCTTTTGTGCTTTGATAAATGTCGCCCATACAATAGGAATTTGGACTTGTTTGGAAGCAACAATTTTGATAGTAGATTCATCATCATCTTTGACAGGAAGACTGGTTTTCCAAAGATAGACTGTACCTTTTGTTGATACTGCTAATAAATGCAATGTTTGATCCTGTTCAATCTTGCCATTGATAACATCCAGTTGACGTAAACCTTCCTTGACCGAGAAACTGGCGATCACTTTGACATTCTTCTTTTTTCCTCGTGTATTCCAAATATAGACACCTTTCTCCGTACCGCTAATCAATACATCATCTACAGAGGAAAACATAAGGTGATTGATTTGTTGTTTATCTTCTTCATTGATGAGTGTCTATTCCAAAAAAATAATAAAGTCAGATACTCTTGTTTGTTACTGAATATTTTTTTTTTCATTTTAGTATATTATTACCTTGGCAATATTGCTTTTCTTTACATCCCAGAGTTCAATTTGTCCATCTCCTCCGACCGCCAATAAAGACCCTTGATTATTTAATGCTAACTTGTATCCATCTTCCAATTTCGTATTCCATTCACTTTATATACAAAAAAAAAGGTGTTTGTTAGTTACCACTCCTTTTTATTTGCGTGAGTTTCAAACTTACGAAGTAGGTTCTTCTTCTTCTATAGACCATTCAACAATAGATCCGGTTTCAGATAAGGTGTAGAGAGTTGTTCCTTGATCATTGATAATAGAATCCTTGATGGCTGGTGAATCAGGTTTGGATAATGTTCGGATCACTTTATCTTCTTCTACAGAGTACAATAAAACCTTGCCAGATTTCGTTCCAATCACAACAACCTTGATGGAGGCATCAGTCGAATTAGCAGATCGAGCCCTTTTCGATGACTTTTTGGCCTATACAAAAAAAAAAAAAAATAAATAAATGGTAGGGAGTAGGTAAGTATATAACAAGATCCTAATGAAATAACTACTTTTCATAAGCATACTTTAACTTGTTCTTGATCAACCGAAGTAATGTTTCCCCATGACAAACTACTGACAAGTTCTCCACTGGATAGTTGATAATCGTGTGTCATATTGCCGGATCGAGTATTGTATAGACGTAAACGGTGATTTTCGATACTGTGACTGACAGTGGCAAAATATTCACTGTTAACATCTTTATCGAAAGACGCAAAAATATAATCCATAGGCATGTCGGTTGCTATAGTCTTCGTCTTTAGTGATTTCCCCATTGTATTGTTTTCTTAGATAGATATCCCGAGTATAACAAAAAGAAAAGAAGCTTTTTTTTTTTTTTTTTTTTTTTTTTTTTTTGCTTGAAAAAATTGAATCTGGCAGTCACCGCTTAAATATGTTCAAGTACCGAATACCTTTTTCGAGCACGAACGAAAAGAAGGAATACTTCTACATTTTTTCTTTTACTTTTCTTTTCCGTCCTTTTTTTTTTTTTTTTTTTTTTTTTATCTTTTACAATATACTCTCTTTATTCGACTCGATGTGGCTTTTGGAAAAGCCTGCAGTTATCAAGTTGACTTTATCGAAACCACAAGCAAATTTGTCAACACTTATTATTTAGCTATATTACTCTATCTATCTTTCATTATATTCCTTCTACTATCTCATCCTTTGGTTCTTATTTCTGCAAAACTATATATGGGACGGTCTTCAAGAAACTCTGAAAAACGAACTCTTCGAAATGACTTTTATCGTGGAGAAAACAAACCTGAACCTCGTACGTTATTCAATCCGCAGTCAGATAATCCTATTGGTTTCAACAATTCCAACAACCACATTGATACAGCAACAACAACAACAACAACAACAACAACAACAACAACAACAACAACAACAACAACAACAACAACAACGAGTGGACAGCGATCTTATTTATCTCAACGTAGACGACAAGGGATAATTACTCAATCCACCAATAGTTCTGCTTCCACAACCTTACCATCGTCTGATGCTGCTTATTCAGATGAAAGAACTACTATGCAATCTTCAACTCTTCCTGGTCGTATTACTCGAGGAAAACTATGGGACCCGAATAGTAGTCCTCCACTCAAAGCCAAGACTGCAGTATCTGTCCATTCTTCTTCTTCTGGTCAAAGGCAACAACAGCAATCCAAACAACTCAAGAAACCAATAGGAGCTATATCTTTGGACACAACAACGACACCGACTTCAGTGCAAGAATCAATAAAATGTCAACACAATCAATCTCATGACCAGTCCAAAACCAAAACGTCATCAAACATTGCTACTACCCCTGATCCTACCAAGACGGATGACAAAGTATTAGACGAACGACGTGCTCATCTCAAGTTATTGCTTCATCGTATTCAAAAACTGGAAGGCAAGATAGCTCAACTTTCACAATCGACAAAGGAACATCCTTATTTTCGTGGTATTTATCAAGATACTGGCAGCGAACAGGACGATGAAGAATATTCCTATGTCAATAAACGTGGTCAAGTCAACAAGAAGAAAAAGAATGACGATGACGACGATGACGACAGAATGCTATTTTATCGTGGCCCACAATACCATCAGTCGACATCTTTGAAAAACAGTACAATTCTTCACCCTTGGTTGACAGTGGATGACGAGTTATGGCAATCAACCGATCGACTTTGGCGGGATAAAATGAAACTGCACCTTCAGTTGGCAAATACTTATTTGGACATTGAACAATACGATTATGATTTTGCCGAAAAGAAGAATCTATCTAGTCTTTGTTGGAAACGTGCTATCTATTCATTGGTTGAACAATTACGTCAAGCTTTTCGTCGACATCATCTACTCGTTGCTACTCTTGATTCGGTGTGGATGGCTTATGAATCTACTACTATCAAACAGGAAAAAGTGGTCAGAAATGATGATGACAATGATGGAATCAGTGATGATGATAAGTTTGAAAATGATACTGATGACAACAAGGACAAAGATGAATTGGATGATATTATCAACTTGCGAATCGACATGAATGATGGTGATGCATCTATCCCTGTGATGACTGAAAATGGAATGACCATGATCCCTCTTTCTGATGACGATGATGATGATGATGGTGATGATGGTGATGGGACTGAGAATCGACACGTAGACAAATTGGAACTTCAAACAATTCTCGACAAACACCTACACATGCTTAGAATTTGGATGAATACATTTATATCTGATGCAGATGGATTTTATCAACATGCAATGGTGGTGATACTCCGTGGTTTGGACAAAATGACCATTATGGAATCTGGAACAACAAGTGTATTAGGTGATGATGATCATCTTGATGACAATGACAAAATGTTGAAGGTATTGGATGATAGTTTACTTAGCTGGTGGCGTAGTCGACGATGGAAATGGACCAAATATATCCCTTACCGTGGTGATCTTGCACGCTATCGATTTATCTATGGTCAACAAACGACTGATTATGAACTTGCTTGGTGTTGGTACTCTCTTGGTGCATGGATGATTCCTGCCACAGGTCGATTTTACTTTCATCTGTCGTTACTGTTGAATGCTCCTCAATATTCACCTCTTCATGAACTTCACAAACTCTACTTTGGAACACGTAGTCTGATGGTACGCCGCAATGGATTTCTCAATGCTCGTGAAGGTTTGATTACTCTTTTTGAAAACAATCGACAATGGCAAGCCAAGGTATCTCCAAAACAACAACAACAACAACAACAACAACGATCCAAACGACGACAATATAGAAAACGTAAAGGTTCAGAGGTTAACTTGGTCAGTTCGGACAAATTGGTGACTGGATTATTCATACGACTTCATGGCATGCTGTTTACTAGGATTGATCTGGATTCATTTATGTACACTAAAAGACGGTATTTCGAAACATTATTTCCTATGGATGATGATACCTCTCCCACAACAACGACAACAGCGACACCATTGAGCGTGGATACAACTTTATCAGGTCAACATATGTTTTGGTTGGAAACGATTTTGATGAATTTATCGGCATTGTACAATTACGATTATGCATCTTCCACTCTTGCCAAAGCGGTAACATTGAATAAAATGCGGTGCATGGGATGTGATCTGATCAAGCCTCAACAAGAAGAACTGGATGAATTTTTGGATACGTTGAATGATAGTCTCTTGTTCGGTTATTCTATTGATTTGGTATGTCAGGTGGCTGTTGAACTTCTTTCTCGTTCTATGAATACGTCCATGATCTGTGCGCCATCTTTACCTGCTCTTCCTCCAGTATCACTCAATATCAAGTCCAATGAAACGCTTTTATTTGGTACGCCAACAACAAGAACGGATCAAATGAATGTGACTAGTCAGCAACAACATGAAGAAGAAGAAAAAAACGTCGATGTTGTGAATGATGAACAAGCACCATGGCTTATTTATATCCAAGTACTCTTACAATGGTTGGCAGTGACTGGCATTGGTATTCGACCTACTACTTGTGGTGATGGTAATAAAGATGGTTTGAAAAGTATGTGGGAAACAGTGGTAGGCAATGTGATGGATCATCCCTATGACAACAAGAAGAACAGCAAAGATCAAATCAAAATGACTGGTAGCTTTTGGCGATTATTGATGAGCTTTCTTACACAAACACTCCATGGATTACCTGACAACCTTAGATATCAAGTGATCAATCGACATTTATTGGATCAAGACAATCAATGGGCAACAGATGAACAACATGGTTGGACTCCAAAAATATGGGATGCCTTGATGATGAGATTGATGGGTCCTCATCCTTACTTACCAGAAGAAGAATATTTACGTGGCCTGGGCTGGTTAGATGATCTATTTTTGGACAAATCAAGAATACGGATGGAAGAGATATCTGCTCTAGGAGAAGATGTGAATGAACAAAATTTGGATCTATCCATTGATACACAAAGACGGATCAAAATATTGGATTATGGTTTTATTCTTGTTCAGGTAATTGACATTCAAAAAAAAAAAAAAGGATTTTCAAATTGTATTCATTTTTTTTTTTTTTTTTTTTGGTATAGCAAATGAATGAAACTTTAGAATATGATCCTGTACATGAACAATTTTTGGTAAAAGAAGTATTGGAAGAATCATGTTCGGAACAAGACACAATAACCCCGATGTTACCTATTCTTACGGCAATGGATGATGCTGTATTGTTTGACACTCTTCTGACAAGTGGCAATGATGAAGAACAAGAAGATACCCAGGAACAAGAGCCTTATGCGGATCTAATCAATGATGACGACAATGAGGAAGAGGATGATATGATGGGACAATTGAAGAAACGACGGGAACATTTACAATCGATGTTGGCAACCATGACAGAAGAAAAGAAACATGCAGATAGATATGGATATCAAAAACTATCGGTTCGACGCGGCAAGGAACGTGAAGCAAGATTAGATCGACTTCGAGAAAAAGTGGTACCTGGACAAACAGTATTGGTATTGGATACAAATTGCTTTATTGGTCATATGGATACTATTCGAAAATTGATTCAAGGTGGTATTTGGTCTATTGTGATTCCACTTGTTGGTAAATCAAAAAAAAAAAAAAAAAGAAATTGTCAATTCAATTTTTTTTTTTGTATGTATCTATTTATAGTGATTACGGAATTGGATGGATTGAAAGGAAATGCACCACCCTTAGGAACAATAGCAGCCGAAGCATTAACATTGATTGAAACCACGTTGGTGTCGAATAAACAAAAAGGGGTACGACCTGATGCACTCCGGATCCAAACATCTCATCATAACTTTATGCATGATATCTCGATTCGATCTGAACAATTTGTATTTGGTGAAACTGATAAGAATTTGGATGATTTGATTTTATCCACTTGTCTTTGGTGGATCAAAAAACAACAACAACAACAACAAATCGGTGTACCTGTATGTTTAGTAACGGCGGATCGCAATCTTAGTGTCAAAGCAAGAGCTCGTGATGTACAAGTGATACCTGTATCTGGTTTAATGGAATTAGATCCTTCTCGATCTTGAAATTTTCTCTTTTTGGTCATTATTATTATTATTATTTGTCACGTTTTGATGAATAAACTCTTTTAATATTTGAAATAAGGATGAACCACGTTATGATTGTTTATAGAGGATTGTCAAATTATAATAATAATGGATGGAAAAAAAAACAATCTCATCTAGCAAAAGAAAAAAAAAACTCTAAAATGGTCCAAGATCTATGTCAAATGACTTTTTTTTTTTAATACGGTTGGATGTCCGAATAGAAGAGTATCACAAACCCTAAAAAGTGCAAAGTCCACCATGTTTCTCAAAATAGGATTAAAACAAAGTTTGTATTATTATTTTTTTTTTATTGTCATTTGTGTGTACTATAATAAACTATGATCTTTTTTTTTCTTTTTTTTTTTTTTTAAAGAGCGTGTGCATTGAAATGTATGTATAATAAATATATATATATATATATATATAAGAGATGATGTTCAAACAACAATAATAACAATAAAGGGGGGAATCAAACAAAAAAACAAAAAAAAAACTAAACTAAAAAAGAATTATATATATAAATACGATTTAAACAGTGGGCACAAAAGGATCCGAATCCAGCGGAGGAGGTGTAGGTAAACGATGACAAGCGACAGTAGAAGTAGGTTTCTTGAGGACAAAAGAAGATTGGGTATAATGTGAAGTATCTACATAAGGAAGATGTTTTTGAGGAGGTGTAAGTTGTAAATGAGACTGGCGTAGTTGGTCTCGTCTATGATGCATCAAAAGTTGATCTCCATATCGTTGTAATTCTTCCACTTGGATATTCAAAGTAAAATCGTTCATCCGTAAAAATTCCAGTTCCAAAAGATTTAATTCTTTCACTGGTAATCCGCCAACCTATATATAAAAAAGAAGTTAACATGTGAATATGTGATATCCCTGATTCCGGGGTTGTCTAAATACAGAATAGATTGACTTTTTTTTTTTTTTTTGTTCGCTCCGTCCTTCCCGACCAAATTTCCCTGAGCAATCCCACTCTACGCCGCCCAGCCTTATCCATCTCTCCCCCCTTTTTTTTTTTTGTTTACCAATATAATGTAAATGATAATAAAGATAATAATCATCCTATTTTGATATTGGTCATCCCCCCCTCTCTCTCATCCTCCTTTTCTCTCTCTACCCCTGTTTTAACCAAACCAACCGTTATCACTTTTCCTTTTTTTTTTTTTCATCTATTCATATAAAGTTAGATTTCTTTTTTTTTTTTTTTTGTTGTTGTTGTTACCTTGGCATAACGAGTATTTGTATAAAAAACATCGGAAAAGAATTTACTTGCAATCATCACACCACAAATCACCAAACGATGAATATTATAAGAATCCAAACGTAATTGAGTCCTATTTCGAGCCATACGATCAAAATATACCAAGAGACTAAGAAAACATTCATTGGCACAAGGGCAATATTTTACAATACGTAAAAGATAAGATTCTATATCAATGGAAGGTATCGCACGAGCATGGAAAGGTCCAAAATTTGTTTGTTGTTGTAATCGATCATTTGTCTTTGTAATTTTTTCCAGTAACCCCGTTAACATATAAATAGTGTCTTTAATGGGATGATGTACCAAGTCATAATTAAGATAATAAGTAGAAGTAGGCATGATGAGATTGTTGACTTCTCTCTCTCTCTCTCAATTAAAAAAAAAAAAAGAAGAGATAAAGTCAATATAAAATAAATTTATATATATGGAAAAGGAGAGAAGAAAAGAAAGAAAAAAAAAAGTTAAAAAAAGGGGGAACACAAAAAAAGGTTCATATATATATTTTGCAATTTCAGATCTTCTGAATATTTATCTTCCGCTTTATTTTCATTGGATACATTTAAGCTGGAAAAGAAAAAAAAAACAAAGAGACAAGAAAGGAATTATACTAACTACTAAATAATCAATCATCTGCTTTATACATATCATTTTATATATTTTAAAAAAAACAAAACATCAATTGATTTTATTTTACTATTTTACAAATGGGGGAATATAATAAAAGGAAGAAAATATTAAACTATATATAAAAGGGGGATAAAAAAAAAAAAACTAATTGGTTTTGAACAAAGCACGGAAATGATCACCTAAAGCCACCATACAAAGCGTTTGCCAAACACCTAAACCAATACGAGGTAAAGCGCCACGATAGAAACCCTTGATACCATTATTTTGATGAATCCATTGAGCAGCTTTGAAAATAGTCATCTTTTCCGGTCGTCCTTCAGTTTTAACTTGACTTTGCATTTCTACACGAATAACTTCAATAGGTTGATTCCAACATGATAATGCACCACCCACAATAGATGCTCCTGCTTTATCCAATACTGTTGCCTTTTTTGCAGCTTCAGGGCCTTCACCATATCGAGCCTTGATGATGGATTCTTGTGCGAATCTTGTAATACCAAATCGAGATGCCCAATTGGTACATTGACGGAGAGCCACCGCATTGACCCCTTTATTAATCCCTCTAATACCTTCTCGTTTGAAGATGTCGCCTGCGATCTTGAATGTTGATTCTTTTACTGCTGATTTGTGTCGTGTTACTTCCACTGTCTTCATAAATGTACAGAATCCCATGGTTGTATATGCTTGTGCCAAACCACCTCCCATACCTCCAGCAATACCAGCCTAAAAAAAAAAAAAAAAAAAAAGAAAAAAGGATGTTATTACTTTTTTTTTTTTTTTTAATGAATAACCAATATTTTTCTTACCAAAAAGGGTGAGGCACCAGCAACTCGAGCTCGATATTCTACTTCAGAAGCAGTAAATAATAAAACAGCACCTTTGGTAGATGCTTCAATCCAAGCCCAAGGAATTAAGCCTTGATAAAAACCGAGAATACCACCACGACCATAAATAGTTTTCAATGCTTGTGCCATGCTTTGACCACGATTGGCTGCTAGTTGTGTCTTGATCACTTCAAAAGGTTGACCTAATGTAGATACTTCAAATAAATTTAAACCTATTTTTTTTATTTAAAAAGGAAAAGAAAAAAAAAAGGTTATTTGAATTGTCTTTATTATCTTATCATGATAACTTACTAGCACCAAGAAGAAGATTAGCATAAGAGATGGGTTTCTTTTGAAGAGGAGCTTTAGGATCGATAGTAATAGATGCCATAGGAGCCATTATGTATAATATCTATATATCTATTAGTCTTGATTAAGAGAAAGGGTGAAAAAAAATACAAGTAGATGAATAAAAAAAAATTAGAAAAGAAAGAAAGAAAGAAAGAAAGAAAGAAAAAAAAGCGGGAGGTTTTTATTTAAACTGCAAATCGGCCCACTTTGACACGCAACCCCCCTTAAATTTCTCCTCTTTCCCCAAAACTGATATATTCTTTTTATGGTGAACATCCCTTCTCTTTTTTTTTTTTTTTTTTTTTGTCTCAGATCTTTTGTACACACTTATCGATCCATATTTTTTTTATTGTATAAAAGTCTTAAACAAAAAACTCTCATTTGATAGGACAGATACGATAACGAATGAATCGTCAATCCCTTTTTCCGAGGCTCCGTGCCATATAAGGCAAGCCATCCTTCCTATTGATACTCCGTACCATGCTTACTTTGGCCCAACAAATGAAAAAAACCTAACCGCGGTGATCTAATGCCAACTTTCATTTCTGTTAGGTCAACCGAATCTATATTAACCCCATTTTTTGTTTTATTATTATTTTTTGGTTCCAGATCAATTTATTGACGCAAAAACTAACTAACTAATAAAATAAAATAAAAAAACTATCTATCTAATAATGAACTATACAATGGGAGGTGTGGGCCAAAAAGGAGTCCAATAAATACTAGAATCTTCATCTTGCTGGAAATTCATTGAATCTGGTTGGGGTTCATACTTGTCCCGTTTTCTTCCTGTAGTGGCAATGGTGGCACGGCGGCGTCTAGGATGCGTGTTATTATTATTATTATTATTATTGTTTTGTAGGTAATGATGATAATGATGATGATGATGAATTGTCCGATGATGATGATTTTCATGCAATGCTAGTTGATCTAATTTAGAACGTGTTGTTTCTAATAAATTCATCAATTCTTGTTCCCGTTCTTGATAATCTTCTAGTTTCTGTTGCCATAACTTGCGTTCTTGATCATACAGATTCCGTAATCGATCCAATTCATTTTGATCACCATGTTGTTTTGTTGATGCGTCTTGTAAAATGGATGGTGAAGATTGTCGTCTGTCTCGTTTTGGAGGTAATGATTGTCGGACTTTCTCTTCTACATTGTACAACGTTTCTATAGAAAAAAAAAAAAGAGAGAAAGTGTGAGAACAAAGGACTAACAAACATTTTTAAATAATTCACTTGCCAGAATAATGAAGACGAGATTTATATGTTGGTTGTTTAGGAGGTGGTGAGGGAGGCATGTCCATGAGAGTTTTATCAATCACAGTTCTATTTGGTGCTTGCTGAGGTGTAGCAGAACTACCATTGGTATAGTGCATGGTATAACTGCCTTTGAAAGAAGGTGGAAAGGAACCAAGTCGTACAACAGAAGGTTTTGTTTGTTGGAAAGGTCTAGAAGGAGTTGGTTTTGTCATTTGAGGATGACCAACTAGATCAATGAGATCGGTGGGTGAAGTTATCCGCGTGTCCAGGGGTAAAAAAGGTTTAGATAATACATCACTCTGATCAACAGTATGATGGGAGAATACAGAATGACGCTTTTTTTGTCGTTTTTGTTTCGAAAAGAACACAAGTGGAAATGTCATACGAATATAGTCTAAGAAATAAATAAAAAAAAAAAAGAACAGAAGAAAGAAAGAAAGAAAGAAAAAAAAAAAGAAAAGATAAAAAAAAAAGAAAAGCTTGTGATGGTATCCAATGATACAAAAATTCACGCTCCGTTGATCATTTGCTACCCGTGCATTATTTCTTTGAATAATGAGAGCATAGCAGATGATTTTTGTTACTGTTCTCCTTTTATATTAATAAGAGCTCTTTGATATTAACTATTTATACTAATGAGACAATTTGATTGTATAGACACATTATTTTTTTTTTTAATCATCAGCACAATGTATGACTGTATTGATAAAAATGGGATGATGATGACGATGATATTATTAACTCATAAACTAGATGATAATAGTGTGGTTATATTTATTAGAAGATCTGCAAGCTTTTGTTGTTAACATGAAAAAGTTTAAATCAAAAAGGAGGGAAGGAGAGAATGTATGCGCAGGTGACAAACAAAAAAAAAAAAAAAAGAGAAAGGGGGAGATGAAGCAAAGGAGAAAAAGAAACCTCAAGAAAAGGGATGACTGCATTTTAAGATAAAATACCCTACACTAAACAGAAGTTGATATTAACTATGGATGGATAATAATGATATTACTACTGATACTATATTATATTACTACTATTACGATTGTTTGGGAGGTATAAGTAATCAAGACAAATTTGTATAAATTAGATATAGATAGTAAGGAGAAAAAAAAAAAAAGAAAACAATGAAATTCAGGACATAAAAGAGATATCAAACTTTGATACCCCGATTTGAATAGTAGGTAAAGAGTCAATATTATATAGAGGATATTTCATATCGGTAGGATAATCATCAACATCACCCATAAAAGTTTGTTTTTTCTCCCCATTTCTGATGTCGTTTGAGCTCATATCTTCCATTGCATTACTTCTTAAATAAGATTTTCTAGATTGAGATGACAGTAACAAAGGAGGCGGTGGTTGAGGCAATGATGAATAAGGTGGAGCAGCTACGTGATATTGTTCTTGTTCCAAAGGATAGCCAATGGCATGATATGGATTTTGTTCTAAAATAAAGGATGGCATTGCCGGTAATCTTGATATGCTGATGGATGCAATGATCAGCATCATCACCCATCCTGCTATAGCTACAATACCTATCTCATTCAAACATAAAAGCTTTTAGTTCCCCTTTTGCATGATTGTTTTGTTTTTATTTTGTTGTTGTTTTCGTTTTTTTTTTTTTTTGTTGATTACCGATGGTGATTGCCATATCCAACATTTTACATGCTGATAGATCATTAACAACATCTAATCGACAACTAGATGATACTATCATAGAAAATACAATGAGAAAAAAAAAACAAGAAAATCATCATCATCGTTTCTTTTTTTTTTTTTTTTATTTACCATGAAAATGTGTCAATACAATAGAAGAAGCAGCCGTCCAAAGGGTTACCATGACAACTCCAATGCATAACTCGCTGATCAATACGATTTTTGATGGTGAAAAAGAACAAGCACCATTGGATCGATAATAAATATATAGATGAAGACATAGTGGTAAAGAAGCCGCCAAAAAGGAGGTGACTCCTAGTACAATCAAAAGTATATCCTGAGGTCCTGACTGAGATGATACTAATTTACCATCTAACAATGGGTGTTGCTGTGACATACTATATGCCACACTATTAAGTACAACAACTGCTATACTAATCCATTGAATCATCACCAAAAGACACATATGTACGATTCCATCTTGACGTTTATCCATTTTTTTTTCTTCTTAATCGTCCTGTTTGACTGAGAAAAAAAAAAAAAAAAAGAAAGAAAAAAGGATAGGGAAGGAAGGAAAACGAAAAAGCGAAAAAAAAAGGAATTGAAAAGAAAAAAAAAGTGTTCCTTTTCTATTCAAAAGAATAATTGCAGGCCCAAAAAAAAAAAAAGGAGTATGGACGCATAAAAAAAATGGTTACCTAGAAGGAGAAGTGATAAAGTGACAATAGTTTCTTTACTGAGATCCTCCAAGGCGGCATTTTAAACGTTGACACTCTCCAGTTACACTTGGTCTTTTTAAACCTCGGTCGGCTTCTCTACTTACTTTTTCTTTTCTTTCCATTTCATTTCACTTTTTATATATTGTTATGACATTAACAACAACTCTTGATATTCTTCATTTCAATGATGTTTATCATGTAGCACCATCTAAAGAAGAACCTGTAGGTGGAGCATCTCGATTTGCTACTGCTATCAAAGAAGCAAGAGCTCAAGTTGGTCATGATCCTCTTTTACTGTTTTCTGGTGACGCTTTCAATCCTTCTTTGGAAGGTTCTATCACAAGAGGAACTCATATGTAAGTGGAAATCATTATAACATAATATTTATAATAAAAATATGCTTTCTTTTTTTTTTTTTTTTTTTTTTTTTTTTTTTTTTAGTACTGAAGTTTTGAACGAATTGAATATTGACGTTGCATGCGTTGGCAACCATGACTTTGACTTTGGTGTACCTCAATTACGAAAACTGATCGGCAATTGTAACTTTCCATGGTTATGTTCCAATGTTATGTATGCGGATGGGTCCACTCCAGAACCTTTGAAACGTTGGCATATACTTGACGACAAGAAGAACTCGGGTCTTGTTATTGGTGTTATTGGCTTGGTTGAAGAGTAAGTCAATGGTATTACATAGAATTGATCACTGATATGGCTTTTTTTTTTATCGAATGTTTTTCTTTTTAGAGAATGGATCCAAACAATTCCCTCGTAAGTTACAAAAAAAAAAAAATGAAATGATCTTTTCATTCTATTTATTAATATATTGACATTATTCTATTTATCCCTTTTTATAGGTTTCCCTCGGATTTACTCTATCATGATTTTATTCAAGTCGGCAAAGAACTTTGTGACATGTTACGTGATCCTGAAGGACCATACAAGGTGGATATAGTGATTGCTCTGACTCATATGCGTGTTCCCAACGATGTTAAATTAGCCTCCAATTGTTATGACTCAATCGATCTCATTTTGGGTGGGTAAGTACCTTACTTTTTTAAAACGGCGGAAAATGTTCCGACTGCGGCAGTTTTGCTGTTATAATAGTTACACTCATCTCCACTTTTTTTTTATTTATTTTTTCAGGCATGATCATTTTTATTATGTTTCGAAATCCATTGACATTGTGGGTGAGAATTGGTCAAGGGAAGAAAACTTGAAAGATGTTGGCTTTGATCCTGAACAACATCTCAAAGGTGATCTACCGATTCGTGTGATGAAAAGTGGTACAGACTTTCGTGAATTTGGTCTATTGCATTTGGTTATCGACACTGATGAAAAGGGGAAAAAATATATTCAGCATATGTCAGGTAAGATATTTATGGATATGAATGAAAATTTGAACATGATGTTTATGGATTTTTTTTTTTTTTTGTTTAACAGCGGAACACAAGTTGGTGACCTCTCAAATTGAACCTGATCCTAATATGGAGGAAATTGTGACTCAAGTATCAAAACTAGTTTCTTCCAAAACTGAACGATCTATTGGTTACACCACTATTCCATTGGAAGGGCGTAGTATGAAGGTACGAACACAAGAAACCAATCTGGGAAATTTGACAGCCGACGTGATGCTTGCAACTTATTCAACCCTGAATCCTCCTGCAGAAATCGCATTATGCTCTGGTGGCAGTATTCGGAATGACAGTGTAATGGATATTGGACCTATTACTCTTGGTGATATAATGACAATGTTCCCTTTCCAAGATCCTATGGTAGTGGTTCGATTGACAGGACAGCAAATATGGGATGCGATGGAAAACAGTGTATCAGAATTCCCGAAACAAGAAGGTAGATTCCCTCAAGTGGCCGGTATTCGTGTTGAATGGTCATCTCAGCAACCTCGTGGCAAACGCATCAAGAGTATTCTTTGTGTCAAACATACACCAAATCAAGAATATCATCGTCGCAAACACTCTATCTTACCTGATCAAGATGAACTTTCAGCAAAATACCAACCTGAAAACATGATTCCCCTGGATTTGGAAAAAGAATATGTAGTGGTCACACGAAATTACATGACAAAAGGCTATGATGGCTATACTGCTCTGCAAGTGTCATCGGACAAATATATTGTGGATTATGAAAATGGCGTGTTTATGTCTACGATTTATCGCAAATTCTTCTTGGGACTCAAATATATCAATGCATTCCGAGAACACTTTGTGAAACAACATCAAAACGACAAGAAATACAATAACGATTTGGATCATCATGAAGAAAAAGCAAGAAAGGAACATGTGGATCTTTTGGTGGCATCGATTGCAAGACATTGGCGTAAAGAAGCATTGAAGATTCAAGAACATAATCATCCTCTGGATGGCCGAACGTGTGGTTGTCCTAGCTCAACAGATTGTCAAAAATACTTTTCGCATCAAGTGGAAGTCAGGGCAAAATGGCATTGTTTGAATGATTCGATCATGGACGCTTTAGAAGGTGCTCAATTGGGTCATCCATCGTGTATTCGATCCGAAGATGAAGAAGATGCTGTGGAAAGTGGCGAATCGGAAAAGATGTATACCTGGAATGATAGTAACATTGTACAACAACGACAAGAATCTTGGATCAAACGATGGGCTAGTATTTGTCCTATAGTACAAGGTAGATTAATTCAATTAGATTAGTAGTTTAGATTAGAAATGTATATATTTGTATCTATAAAGTCATAGAAACTACATATTATATATAGCAAATCAATGAATCTATGTGTGTGTGTGTGATTATATTTGAACCAAAAGTTATGCTATTCGGTATCTAAATTCTGAAGGATGCATCTCGAGTGAAAAAAAAAGGGGAGTAACGAAAGTTTCAGAAAAAAAAAAAAGTGCGTGGGTTCTTTTTTTTTCATTTTCTCATATCTTTTTTTTTTTTTTTTTTTTTTTTTTTTAAAATATCTATAACCAAACATGGCTGACGGGAATCTCCATCAACTTGGTGAAGAATATCAACAACTTCGACAAACTCCTAACCAAAAGGACAAACAAGAAAGAAAATATCAAGTCATGAATGTAAGTAGGATATAATCATTACATAAAGAAAAACTAATAAATATATATATATATATTTGCATAGACGATAGTGGAACAATTAGGTTTACCTGGTACACCAGCAGCAGATATCTTATCTACTTTGGGGAAACCTGATGAAATGACACCTCTTTTACAACATGAAGTAGCACCTACCATGATGCCTGGTAAGATAGAAAAATAAAATGGATATTAGTAAGTTTTATTATATCTTTTCTATATAGGACCTGTGATAGACGATGGTCACTCTACAACTATTCGACCTCCCTATTATTTTGTTTATTATTGTCAAGGTAAACAGGATTATTATTATTTCAAGATTGATTCTGTCAAGGAAACCGTGATTACTTCCGATTGGCATCATGAAAAATGATATCTTTACTTAGTGTGCATGATTTAATGTAGATTATCAATAAAACAGAAGCTCTTTTTTTTTTTTTATGAATTTGATAGTGTGATGAAGGGTGATCACCTTGAAACATGACCATCATGGATATGATTAATCTTTATAAAAACGATAATAATATTCATATAAAATATAATAATATTAATCGGGGTGAAAATAGTAAATTTAATTAATACAAGTTGTCATCTTTATTTCGGTAGAACATTTTATGCTATAAACTAAAATTAAATATAATAGTGATAGTAGAAGAGGTGATGAAGGGTAATATGATAACAGAAAAGCCATTTCTTGAGTCTAGATGATTGGTATGACGCTGCTCTTGTAGATGATTGTTGAAGCTGTTGTGCTGCCTTTGTCGTGATGAATGATGGTTGTGGTGTTTGTCATGTTTGTGATGGTTGGTAAATAAAAAAAAAAAAAAAAAAAGAAGAGGAACGAGTGCATTATCATCGTGACACAACCAGTATATACTTTTGTTTTACTGTTACCTTCAATGTCATCTTGATTTCTTTCAATTTTTACAGAGAGGGGTAAAAGAGTCATTTTCTTCAGATCAAAGTAAGGTGATAATGAACAAGTAGATGATAATATCTGTTCGCTGACTCCCATAATCAAGCAACAACAAAACTGTTGAGAGTATCGTCACCACAGGACTACAGGATGTGTCGCAGCAAGGATAGCCACCAAGTCTAACCGAAACAGAGTCGAACAGGCTTTCCATTGTCTTTCAAGTCCTTCAACAACAGACAGCCGGGTCACCTTGCAGCCAAGTTCGATCTTCCATAAATCAAATAACATTCTACTTTTCTTTTGTCACAAGTATTGAAAAATATAGAAATGAGTGGGAAACTGGAAAAAAAAAATTGCGCGAAAATTTTATGACTGTCAGAAAATTTTACAATGCCATGAAAGAAACTTGAAATGCAGATCCTTATCCCCTCTTTTCTTTTTTTTTTTTTTTTTTTTTTTTTTTTTTTTTTTTTTACAAAAAAACATCGCCTGCATTTTTTAATGTCATATACTGAAGGCTAACTCGATCCCAACTTCTCACTTACTAAAGAATGCTGCAACAATTTCGACTTCCCTGACTTCTTTATTTTATTCAAAGTATCGGATTGGAAAATGGAAAGCAAACTGATCGAAAGCTATGTCAAATCGACATTTGGTTGTGTCGAAGATTGGAACGTGGCGTATGGTCAAATCATCCAAGGTTTTCTTACTATTGCGGAAAACAAGTCATTAAAGTCTTCTGTCATCACCTTTGCTCACCATGTGAAGAAGCAACTTCGAAAAAAAAGTCCACCAAGAACCGTATGGGCGCCAATTTCAACCAATTCTTAGCTCAGTATCTATCAAAACGTGAAAAGGTAAACAGATATACATGTCAACAAGCTATTATAATGCTCATACTCATGTGTCTTTTTTATACTTTTACAGGACGCTGCTGCGGAAGCGTTTATCACCGAAAATTACAGGATTCACAGGTTTTTAGGTCATGGTACAGCCAACGCCGTTATTAACGAAGGTCAACAACAACTGCAACAGCAATATGAACGATCACCGCAGCAGCAACAACAAGAACCACAACGGTATGATGAAGATCAAGTTTAACAACTGGAAGTAGGTAGAGACGATGATTATTCTCCTTGTCATGTGGATTCCAATTCAAATTTTCGTACAATGACTCCAGAATCTATTGATCAATTCAAACACATTTATAATAAGATGGATGATTCATTGAAATGGAAATTGAACTGCACTGGACGCTTTGTTGAGGACCTACTTTATGATTATGGATTGACTCTGAGGAAGGAAAAGTAAGCCTGAAAAAGTTATCTTGATTGATGTTTGTTATTGATTAACGTATTTTCTTTCATAGCTGCCTTCATTCATTTATTCTGGACACTGACGATGATGACATATGTGGCCTTTTTAGTTCTGATGAATGGGAAGAAATCGAATGCACAAATATCAAGGAAGATCCTCCTTTGCCTGACAATGTGGAGAGACTCTTACATGATTTCAACAAGGTAAACTCCATTGGAGACATAAAAAACAACAAAAAAAAAAAAAAACTAGTATTTACTAACTCTAAATTATAGACCAATTCTAGTGATATTTATGATGTCCTCAAGGATTCTTCAAGACGTTATGAAGACTTTAACACAAGAACTATTTTTTATGCTGTTGATTCCATGTATGTTACACAAATATATGACGGACGTAGGCTAACTTTTTTTTTTTTTTTTTTTTGTGTACGTAAGGTATCTGAACGCCCTTTCTTCTTCCCCTGTTTGATGATCCAGAAAATGGTATTCTCTTTCGCTGGTAAGTGATGGTCTGGTGATGTGTTTTTATGAATTTCTTCTAGTGCTAACTTCTAATTTTGATATATAGGCATGACACTATGAATCATGAAGCCAACAAAACCACAGCAACCATTAACCGTCTTCGTCCAGATAGTTCCATCTCAGCCTTGGATGGATATTCGATTGACTATAGTCGTGGATTTGGTGAAGTGAAAAGCTAAACAAACGCCAACAACTCTGCAACCATTGGAAAAGATCTGGTGCGACTAGGATTATTCGCTAAGAATGCTATCGATGTGAACGACATGGAAGCTATCTTGACATTTCAAGCAGTAGGTAAGCATGTCTTTTTTTTATTGTTGCTTTTAAACAGAAACTAACCACTCTCTTCTTTGTATCCATAGGACGGTACATTACTTTTTACTTGGTAAAATTGATGGCGGATGGACTCTATCTTATGTACGAGCTAAGAAGTTTTACTGTGCCTGGATGTATCAATCAAATTTTATTTCTACCATGTTACTTTGATGATATATATTTCATCTTAAATGTCTACCGTACCCATTGTGTCCAAATGACCCCTGAACAAGCCAATGAATCCAAGCGTATGAAACGACCCACACTATTAACACCTGAGTTCGATCGCATCATTGACAAGACAACAAACAGAAAACGTCGATGGATCACCAAACGCTCCCACTGAACACTTATTTGTACAAAGTCTCCCCACTCTTATAATCATCGTATACATTTCATATATCTCCTTAGTTTATCTTTCTATATATATATGTATATATATTTTTTTTTTTTTACCCTTTGAAATAAATATTTGTACATATATAACAGTCGTCTTCAATTTTTATCTACAGTGTCTTTAGGGGATTACTCAGAATATGATAAATCTGATAAATCGAAACAAAAAAAAAATATGACAAAATAAAGCAAAGCACATTTTTCTGCCTCAAAGGCTGATAGATCAAGCTTACAAGTGTTTGGAGGCTAGTAAGCGGGGGTTGAAATGAAACTTCGAATACACGAGGCAGAAAAGAAGTGCTTTTGCTTTATTTTGTTATTTTTTTATTTTGTTATTTTTCCTTGTTCCAAGTCTTTTCTATATTTCTTTCTTATTGTATATTATCTTTATTATTCCAATAAAATAGAATCACTTCCAATAACCTATTATCCATCCTATTCTTCACTTGTCATCTTTGTTTTTTTAAAAAAAAAGACTTCTTTTATTATCATCTACGGCAAACTCTATTCTATTTTATTTAAAACGAACATGGTAGAATTGGTTGATCGAAGGTCGGACACTACACCTGTTCTTACTGATACCATTGTCGACAAGGTAAATTGGTTTTATAATATTTATTTATTTCATTCTAATCATCATTTACAAAGCTTCGACCTTTTTTACCACAAAGATACCGATTAGCAACGCGATGGAGTTTACTTTATAGTTTGGATCAACATGGTATCAGTTTATCCACTTTATATCGATTAGTAAAAAACAACAAAGGTCCTTGCTTACTTGCTATCAAAGATGCCAATGATCAGGTAATATATATATATATATATGATATAAAATAGTGTGGATGATGATTTGAATATTCTTAACTTTATAGGTTTTTGGTGCATTCCTGAATGAAACTTTGAAACCAACTACTCATTATTATGGTACAGGTGAATGGTAAAAAAAAAAAAAAAAAAAAAAAAAGAATAAAATAATGATTTCATCTTGTTTTTTTTTTTTTTCTTTCATAGTTTCTTATGGCGAACAACTTCAACTGGATTAAAAGCTTATTCTTGGACTGGCATGAATGAATATATGATCTTATCCGAGCATGAATTTATTGCTATTGGCGGAGGGTAAAAAAAAATAAAAAAAAAAATAAATAAATAGATAGAGAAAGAAACATTCATTTGATTTATATACATATTAGGGACGGTAAATTTGGACTTTGGATCAATGGTGATTTAGATAAAGGATATAGTTCATCATGTCCTACATTCAACAATGAACCATTATCTATTCAACCAGAATTCAATTGTATAGAATTGGAAATATGGGGTTTTAGAATTTAAAAGTTATTAGTTTTTAGTCATTTTATTGAATAATAAAAAAAAAGGGTTGAATTGAAAAAGGGAAAATGTTGGGGACATCTGTTTCGGGGAAATGTATCGTCATCCATTTCCATTATTATCATACTTATTATCAATGCTTTTATTTTAGCTTACGGATAATCAATTTGGCGTGATTGGATGTTGTAAAGTAAACAAACGTTTCTCTTTGATAGAAATGCCATCAAACCTTATTTCTCTCATCTTACTCCATTTTTACCCGCTATTTCCCATATTCTGATGAATTCATTTAAACATTTATATTGAAAGGATTTCGTATATGATGAGGACATCATTCTATTTTCTTATTCGTCCAATCGGTAGTAGCGGATCATGTTTTAATCTCCTTTTACCCCCCCCCCTCCCCTTACTTATGCAACTTTCGTGTCATTTCAAATTTGTTTATAATAAAAAAAAAAAAACGTTGACCAAATGATATTTTCATTGGTGGAAATAAAATCATTTCGTGAGAAAAAAAAATGACTACAAAAAAAAAAACTATTGACAAAAAGATTTGCATTAGAAATCAAGCCAATTTTTTTTTGGGGGGTAACTCATTATTGATCCATTTGAAACACCGTCGTCCTTTCGTGTTTTTTTTTTTTTGGGTTCTTTGTAAGCATCAAAACTTGTTAGTTATTGGAAAAAAAAATTCAATAACAGTCCTGCAAAAAGTACTCGACTTTTTTTTTTTTCTTTTTTCTTTTTTTCTTTCTTTTTCTTTCTTCTTCCTTTTTATCAATCTTTTTTTTTTCTTTCTTTTTCATCTTTTAAAACAAATGACTTCAGCAGTTCAACAAATCCAGGATCAAGTACAACGTGAACTTAATGGTGCTGTCACCATTGTAGGTAAGTTTAATATAAAAACGTTTTTGTTATCAAAAGTTATTTTCTAAAAGAGGAAGGATTAGAGTTTATCATTAATCATTTTTATCGTTTATTTAGTATTGGGTGCTTCAGGCGATTTGGCAAAAAAGAAAACATATCCAGCATTATTCGGTTTATTCAAGAATGGATTTTTACCCAGTAATACACATATTGTTGGTTATGCTCGTACACAAATGACTCACAATCAATATATTGAACGCGTCACACAATATATCAAGACACCATCCGAAGAAGATAAAATTAAACTTGAACAATTTATTCGTATCACTAGTTATCAAGCCGGTCAATATGATCAAGCCGATGCTTGGATTCAATTAAACAAAGTATTGGAAGAAAATGAAAAGAGTCGACAATTATCTAAAAGGAACCGTATTTACTATATGGCTTTACCTCCTTCTGTTTTTATTCCTGTGGCTCAAGGTATCAAACAATATGTCTACAATCCTGATGCTATCAATCGTCTGGTGGTAGAAAAACCTTTTGGTATGGATACTGAATCAAGTAATGAATTGGGTGCTGCTCTTGGTGCATTATTCAAGGAAGAGGAAATCTATCGTATTGATCATTATTTGGGCAAGGAAATGGTCAAGAATGTCATGAATTTACGTTTCGCCAATATCTTCTTTGCTCATGCCTGGGATCGTCAATTCATTGACAATGTACAAATCACTTTCAAGGAACCTTTTGGTACTGAAGGACGTGGTGGTTACTTTGATGACTTTGGTATTATTCGTGATGTTATGCAAAACCATTTGTTACAAGTGTTAACTTTGATTGCCATGGAACGACCCATTTCCACCAGCAGTGAAGCCATTCGCGATGAAAAAGTCAAAGTATTAAAGTGCATTCAACCTATCAAGATGGACAATGCTTTGTTGGGACAATATGTACGGGACGGTGATAAACCTGGTTATTTGGAAGACGATTCACTCAAGAACAAGGACAGTCAAACACCTACTTTTGCAGCATTGGCTTTATTCATCGACAATGAACGTTGGGAAGGTGTGCCCTTTTTACTCAAGGCAGGCAAGGCGTTGAACGAAGCCAAGGTGGAAGTCCGTATTCAATTCAAAAACGTGGCTGGCAACTTGTACGACGATACTGCTCGTAACGAATTGGTCATCCGTATTCAACCCAAAGAAAGTGTGTATATGAAATTCAATAGCAAACAACCTGGACTTTCGTATCAAACCATTCAAACCGACTTGGATTTGTCTTATCACAACCGCTATACCGATCTGGCCATTCCCGATGCTTACGAATCGCTGATTTTGGATGTCTTACGCAACGATCATTCTAACTTTGTACGTGATGACGAATTGGAAGCCTCTTGGAAAATATTTACTCCTTTATTGCATGCCATTGATGATCCTCAACAACATGTACCATTGGTCACTTATCCTTATGGTTCTCGTGGTCCTCAAGAATTATCCGATTTTGTCAAGAAGTTTGGTTATGATCGTTCTCAACATACTTCTTATGCTTGGCCCACTCAATCCATGGCTCAACAAAACAAACTTTAGTTTTTTATTTTATCATTTATATATTATTTATATCTTTCTTTTATATATATATTTCATGTATTCATCTTTTTTTTTTATTTAATCCATTCCCTCACTCTTTTTTTTTTTTATTCACACACACGTATACATATTGACCATTAGCAGATAACAACTCTTTTTTTTTTAAATAAACAAATAAAAAAAATCTCAAACATTCAACTTTAATTTCATTATTATGTAACCAATGGTTGGTCTGGAGATCACTTTAGTGTTACTTTACGACACGTGTATGATAGAATTATCCTCTTATTTGATCATCTTACATCATCTTCCTCTTTATTATAAAAAATAAATACAATGTCTGAATAAACTAAAAAAAAAAATTATCCAAGTTTTCTTCGACGATCACCTCCAGGTCGATTTGCGGTTGAACTTGATCCTGAAGATAATGAATGTTTCTTAAAAAAAAAAAAAAAAAAAAAAGAGTGAATACAGGATCATAAGGTGTCTATATGTTAATAACTCACTCTGCCTGTCACTGTAGTAGATCCTTTGACCTTGGTGTCGATATCCAATTTCTCTGCCATTTTTTTCAGTTCCAAAAGAGCCACCACCGAGTTTTGTAGATATTCATATTTGTAACATACTTCTTGTGTTGGCATCACTGGTCGAGCACCTAATAATAAAGTTAAATATATATATATATATATATATATTTTATTTTATTTTATTTCTTTACCAATGCCAAATTCAGCCATAGTCCGTAACACTTTAGGTTGTAAGTTTGTCTTGACACCAGGTAATTTTTGACTTCGAACATATACACCAGGGATTAACTTATCTTTCTTTTCAGGTGGAGGTGGCAAGAGATCTAATATATAAAAAAAAAAAAATGACGAAGTTAATAAAAAAAAGTTTCATTTCCAAAAAAAAAAAAAAAAAAAATCCATCTTTTTCCTTACCTTCCATAGAAGAGGATGTAGAGATGCGTCTTGCTTTTTTGATAGTATCTTCCTTTTTCTTTTTCTATAGATATGAAACATAAGAATCAAAACTTATAGTACTTTTTCCGTTTACCTTTTGATCTTGAGCAGCACTACTTGTACCACCAGTAATGCCAATCCCACCAGGAACAGACAAAGGAGTTGAATTGGTCGTGCTGGAAGGAGAAGGAAGATGAGAAGAGGATGTTGATGAAAGAGTAGAGTTGGCAGAAGTAGGACCAGAGGGTAAAGGTAGATGTGTAGAAGTTGAAGAAGAGGACAAAGGAGTCAGTGGGGTGGAAGGCATTTGTTGCGCCTGTTCCAAGTGTAATGTACTATAAAGTTGATCCCGTTGTGTTGTAAATACATGTTGATTCTCTTCCATGCGTTTCGCCTCCATAAACAGAATCTCTTCTTCCTGAATTTGTTCTCGAGATCGTTGGTATAATCGAATCAATGCTTGTTTTCGTTCTGTTTCCTTGTTCTTATCGTAACTATATTGTTGTAATAATGTTTGTCGATCCATTGAAGGTGGATGATCGTTGCTCAACCCACCTCGTGCCTTGATGAGTTTCCGATTGATGGTATAGTATCGATCCTTCAAATCCTCTAACGTTCGTGATGTATCGTAATTATATCGATCCGCTATTACTGGGAATCGTAGATCGTACATTCGGCATAATCGGAATAGGTAGTCTGTTTCCTCTTTAGTCCAATCCGTGTCTATTGTGTATGTGGAAGGTAAGATCCTGTAGAGAAAAATCATCATTTTTTTTTTTACCTGTCAAATATTTATCATAGTCTTCTTCAGTATAGTCAACGATATCAATCACACGATTGAACTTTGCGAAATGATAGTCTAAGGATGAAAAGAAATATAAGTTTACAAATTAGGCACAGATACATTCAAGGATATGTCTTTCAAATGTTATTCATACCATCCATGTCTTGATCTGGTTCCTTTGTCCAATGATGTAAAACAAGTGTGTCCGTTCGTGCAGGGTGAAGAAAAGGTCTCTGTACCCTTTTTGTTGTAAATAATAGAAATAACTGTCAGTCAGAATCATTAATCAGATTTCTTTTTCCCCTTACCAAGATTCTGCTTTTTTCTTCGTATTCCATTTTGGTAGATGTGTTGGCTTGACAAATGCAATTGGTGGAGTACCTCCAATGAGTGAATAGAGATGAGGGTTTAATTCTTTAAAAAAAAAAAACAATGATATACATGGATGAGTACTTCATTTCATCATACCTTTTCCTTTCTTTACCTGTTTTTATTTCTTGTTTATCGGTAACCGAGTCTCCCATTATAATTTATATAATATGAATAACAGGCGTAAAAAAAAAGTACAAAGGAAGAAAAAAAAAAAAAAAAGGAAAAGAGAAAAAAAAAAAGATGGGAGGGAAAGCTCTCAGTGCCTTGTCCACCTTCAGTCACGCATTAGACCCTTTATACTCCGATGCCTTCTTGCCTATAAAGGTTGAATTCATCTACACTTTATTCAATAAAAAATGACGGAATTCAAAGAATAAGATGTCGCAAAAATAGGAAATAAAATATCGTAAGGATAGAAAATAAATGACAGAAGAAAAAAATATAATTGTCGCATAATCAAATAGAGAATATAAGAAGATAAAGAACAAGAAGAGAAGGAGTGGTAGTAGTTCCATTGAGTATTTTGAATAACAGAAAATAAAATATTATTTAGTCAACATATCCATTTTTTTATATTTATTTATTTATTTTAACTTACCTGTAGAATAGCATTAAATACGTCCTCCGAAGAGGCGATAACATATTTTTATATGTTGCTGTATACAGGTTGATTATTCACTTTGAACACCAAGAGAGATTTCAAAAAGAAAAAAGAGAAGAGAATGATTAATATACTGTATCATCATCATCATCATCATCATCATTAAAAGAAACTTACTATTAACGCAAGGCACAGAAAGAAGGAAGTCCAATAAGTATATACAAAAAAAAAAAAAAAAAGCAAATGGACCTAAAGGCCCGTCTTGATTCTTGTAAGGTTGTGGTCCAGAAAAAAAAAACTTGTATTGGAGTGGATGGATATAAAGGTCTTGTATGCTTGTAAATTGGTTTAAAAATTGATATCAAAATAGATAAAGAAATTAAAAGAAAAAGGAAAAAAAAAAGGAAAAAAAAAGAGAAAAAAGAAACAGAAAAAAAAAGAAAAATAAAATAGCACTTTTTTATATCTCTCACTTGATCAAGGAATAAAATAAACCTGGCAAAAATACCTCAGAAGAAAAAAAAAAGAACTATTATGCAAATTTACATTCGTTATCGATCGATCGAATGTCTCAGTTAATGAAAATAAACAAAGAAGGCCCGAGTAAATGTATTTTTTTTTTAAAAAAAAGAAAGGAACTATTATGCAAATTCACATCAACATCACAAGATATGAATATTACATTAGTATACCCCTGTCTTATATGATACAATATAAAAAATATAGTTCTTTTTTTTCCAAATATGGCCCGTTGAAAAGAATCAGCTAACAATCAGTCATCAATCATCAATCATCAATCAATGACATACTCTACCGACATCTCTAAAGCGATATCTGAAAAAGTGGTAATGCGACATCCATTTTGGGAAAGTACGATTTTTTATTTTATAACATCACGAAAAACATTTTCTTATGACCCGACAAAAAACTTTGAATTCATCTATCTGATTGAAATCAACTTTCAAATAAACAAAAGGCTTCAAAAGTCAGAGTTTATTAAAAAAAAAAAGAAGATATCTTACTCTAATGAAATAACAGTAAACACAACTAATCTAACTATAATTTTTCATCCTCCACGGCCCTTCTAACTATTTCTGATGAATCCCAATAGGTGATCTTGGCTTTGATGGCGGCTAAAATATGAGATTCTCTTTCCAAGTACCTAGCCAATGCTTTTCCAGATCGAACAAACATACGATCTTGTTCTCGAAGACGAGTAGCAGGACAATAATCATTCTATTCATAAAGAAAGGATAAATATAAAGAAGAAAAAAAAAAAAGAAAACGGTTTTATCATTTTTACCTTGCCATCACCAACATATATGATTTTTTGAAAGGGACCATGATTCCTAATATATGTATCTATTTCTTGTCCTAAAAAAAGCAATTGAGTAAAATAAAAATACAAAGTTCAAACTTTAATTGATGGATTATATTTTTTTGAGTTACCTTTGCAAATATTAAGAGCGCATACATTTGGACAATTGTGAGGAGGAGCAGTAGCAAGGATTCGACGACGAATACGAAGACGATTTTTATCATCAAAGTAGGCAGGATTGGTGATGATATCATGAACCAAATCACGAACACCATATGCCTAAAAAAAAATATAAAATATGATCAAACAACATGATGATGATAAATAATCATACCTTCAATATAGTCTCAATATAAAATGTATTGGCATCTGATAAAATCACCACCTGAGTATCATGTTCTTTCAATAATTTCAAAGTAGCAATCATAGCTGGTGTCTATATAAATTCAAATAAGATTCAAATAATAATCATACAATAATACACTTACAAAAGGAATTTTTTGTAAAACATTTTCAAATTGATCCAAGGTCACCCCATTATCTTGTAGTTCACAAATAGACCGATCCCTGATATATATACATATAGAAAATATAAGCACAAGGATATCTTCCATTTCCTCAACTTACATCAAGTCTGTCCATTGCATGGATTTAAGAGTTTCACATTGATTCCATTGAGCTTCGGATAACTTTGAAATGGTCCAAAAGTCACTGTCTTGTTCTATAAGAGACCTAAGTAATATTGACATAATGTTAAAGATGCTTTATTTTATAGTTTATTACTTACCAGTCAAAGTCAAAAAAAGCAATATTCTTTTCAGCTTTCATAATGTAAGGATATATAAATAAAAGTTATAGGTAAATGAAAGAGAAAAGAAAGTGTAAAGACAATGAAAAAAAAAAGGATTCAGAGGAAAAAGAGATAGGTTCCAACCCCGCAGACCATCGCATCCATTCATTTCTCCACGCTGTTTACTCTTACCATTCATATGATTGGACCTATGTTTAGCAGAAGAAGAAAAAAAAAAGTCGATCAAAATAAATATGTAAAGATGAAGTCATGTATAGTTTATTCAAAAAATGATATATAATGATGATAATAAAAAAAAATATGAATACAAAGAAAAGAAATAATAATAAGTGAAACTATAATACAAATGGATAAAATAATAGTATATCAAAAAAAAAAAAACTGTTCAACAGGGGCAAAAGATAGTACTATGAGGTCCAGAACAATTAGAACATTGAGTAGTTTGTTGAGATCGTGGATAATCTTGATCAGGTGGAGAATTGGTCAAACCAAATAAAGTATAATGGAGAGTAGGATTAAGATTAGGACGAGGAAAATTATTCAAAATACTGGATTCAGTGATAGGTTCAGTAGGATTGGTAGTTGTCTTGGCTTGTCGACTATATGGTTGTTGACGTTGTTTAAGTGCATTCGAAAGAGGTTGAATACTTTTTCGAATACGATCAGGTTTAGACGAGGTAGAAAAAAGAGAGCCAAATAAAGGTATACTACCAAGTACAGTCATAAGTAAAAAAAAATTGTGTTTTTTCAATGAAAGGAAAAGTGGAAAAAATTGTTACCGACTTGAATTTTTATACTCTTAACTGCGCACTGACCAAAAAAGGCAATGATACGTATGGAATGAAAAAAAAATTCTTTATTCTTTGATTGCCCGCAACTTTCCGGATGTGTCATACTGGTTCCGTCCTATCCACCTATGTTTTTATAGTCTTCCTCTTTTTTTTTTTTTTTTTAAAAAAAAATGAGAATCATCATAAAAATTCTGGGTCCCTTTTATACTTTTTTCCTTCTTCTTCTATTTTCTTGTGTTCCCTCCTTTTTAAAAAAAACATCACCCGTTTATTATTTTTTAAACAACTAAACAAAAAGACTACATCCACTTTCCATCCCTGAGCGGGGAATTAAAAGCATCCCGGTGAAAATCTATCCATTATCTAATAAAAAAAAATTCGGCCCTTTAGCCGATGGCTTTTTCAATGGGAACGTGTAAGGGGAAGAATCATCCATTTAAATTAAGTAAACATGTGCCAAGATAGAAACTTCCTTTATTAAAAAAGTAAGTTAATCATATGAATAAAAATAGTGATTGGGTATATGTTGACAAAAAGTGTCAACTTTGAGATATCTTTTTCCTTTTTCTATTTCACCGTACATCCCCGCAAAACTTGACTCAGCATGTTACCAAATCACGATCAACATGGTTACTCACTGAAAACCCTGTCCGTTCATCTATCCCTAATAAAAAAAAATGACACTTGAAAGGATCATCATTTCCCCTCTATCTAATTATAAACCTGTCCATAGACAAAAAAAAAAAAAAGAGAGAGATTGCTTTTATTCATCAACATAAATACAACATAAACTATATATGCACTACTATTCAACTATTTAGTATGATGGCAATGAAGTGTAACTATCATCATCGTATTATTGTATATATATACCCAATTCAGACTTGATCTTTGTTCATTATTCCATCTGCCCTGCCTTTATATACCAAATAAGAATATCATCATGCTGTTTTTCCATCCTTCATCTAATCTCCAAAAAGAAAAGTGCTATTATTTACTTCATATCATATCATTGTCACTTGTAAAACTGGAGGATCCTGATGATGATAAGGTGTTGGCGATCATATCGTATTTCTGATGAGACGGTGGAGCCTGTAGTATATGACGAACGATATTTTTTCAAATATCAACAAAAAAGAGAATGACTACAAGAGACAATAAACGTGAGCCTACATTGTAACAATAACGTTCATTAATCCTCTTCCCGTACTTACCTCTTCTTCACTTTATCTGTCATTACCTTTATGCCATAGTCACTGTTGTTGCGTCCAACTGACACATTGGTGTACCGGCTGTTTATGTTGTCATCCAAAACTATTGACAAGTCGTTTTCATATTGGTGCAATAATATAAGAATGATCTAAGGTACATTCGACAATATAAATCATCATTTGCATCTTGAAAAAAAAAAAAAAAAGTGTTGGGAAAGTGAAAGACCTACGAAAAAATAAAAATAAAATAGGTGATGATTAAATCAGATAACATTCGAACACCGCATGGTAGTAGATGGCAAAATTATTGGGTAGTAGACAATGAGATTGGTTTTGCTTATCAAGTTGCATGAACAAATCATGAGCAAATTCAACAACAATAGCATCATCAAAAAAAAAAAAAAAAAAGAGAGAGAGAGCATGCCATTTTATTTAATATAATAAAAAAAAAAAAGAGAGATGTTAAAAAGAAAGAGATAAAAATACAAAGCATTATAATCAAAGACTAGGAGGATCAAATGGATCAATACATAATTTATAAATCAAACCCCCAACCAATCCACCAATGATCGGGGCAAATGTGGGTATAAATGAATAATAATTGGCTACGGTGAAGACGCCAGGTCCCCAACCTATAATAGATGAATCAGTATCCATAATTTTTTTTTTTTTTTTTTTTTTTTTTTTTTTTTTTTTTTTACCTGCCATGGCAGTAAAAAGACGAGGACCTAAATCACGAGCTGGATTTAAAGAAAAACCAGAAGTATAACCCAAGGCCAAACAGATCACCATCAAACCAGCAGCGATCATGACGCCTTGCATGGAACAAAAAGGCATATTGTTGGGATGACCAGTGACCATGATGAGTAAGAGTAAGAGAGCGGTGCCAATGATTTCGGAAGCCACTGCCGTTGCAGGACCAGCATACAACGGGGGATAAGTGGCAAAAATACCTGCTGTTGCTTGAGGACCTACAATCTGTCGATGACCTTGATCAAACATATCTATGGCTGGACGAATCATCGTATATAAAACAGCTGCTCCACAGAAACAACCAAGGATTTGCGCCGTGATGTACATCAATACTTTATGTCGTGGAAATCCACTGTACATCCAAAAAGTAAGTGTCACCGCTGGATTCAAGTGTCCTCCCTAATAATAATAAAAAAAAAGGATAAACATTTGATTTTATTCATATTGTCTCTACTTACTGATATATGACCAGAAATACTGATTGCCACTAATACAGCCAACCCTATGGACGGGTTTCAAAGGAACAAAGAGAAAAAAAAAAGGATGGATTAGTTTTTTTTTTTTTTTTTTTTTTTTTGAAAGATATATAAGGGGAATTGTCATTTGTAATTACCTATTCCAAAAGAAGAAGTCAACCAAGATTTAGAAGAACCAACATCTAATGTTTGTTCAGCACAGATGCCATTGATAAGAATCATCATGACAAAAGTACCCAAAAATTCTGCAAAGAACTGACGATACTATAGGAAAAAAAAAAAGATTTAATCAAATCTTCATTTGATTCATTTCTACTATGTGTTGTCAGTAGATGATTCACTTACTTTATATCGAAAATGACGACAATTTCTAGCACAAATGGAATAAAAGGTTGAGGAATGTGGAGCTGATGGGGATGAATCTATAGGTTCCTTAATATTTCGAAGAGCTTGTAATAAATCAGCAGGAGGATTAACGGCAGTATTAGAAGGAGAGGTAGACATCATTGGTGCTGAATGTCTAAGATGATGATGATGATGATGATGATGATGATGATGATCCTCTAGGTAATCAACATCAATGATCATTGCAGAAGGTGCCATTGATTTATCTGTTAATGTTGATTCTGATAAATGAGTTCGTGTAAGAGGAGGTCGAGGATGATCAATTGATTTCATATCTGATTCCATTTTATATTGACCTCATTTATAAAAAAAAAAAAAAAAAAAAAAAAGAGAGAAAGAAAATACAAAAAGAAAGGATGGTTTAATTTCTATGTTGATAAGAAAAAAAAAAAAAGAGTCCAGAATTTCAAAATAACAAGATTTTCTTTTTTTATATATACAGAAAATAGGGGATTTGGGGGGAGGACGAAGGGGAGGAAAATATAAATGGCTCCTTGTTTCCAGTTGTTTTTTCCTTTCATCATTTTAGTGTCAAAAAAAATATAAAGAGATTCATCAATTTAAAGTACGAGTTCTTTTACTTACCTTTTATGATAAAAAAAATAATTATAGAAATTGAGTACATTTCTGTCAAAAAGATTTGATGATTTGCCTATTATGTATAGTTTTTATTTTAAGAATAACTTGTTCATTTGACTTTCACATTGGCATCCGTCTTTGATTCCGAATATAATGATCATGATATCATTAGTGAATTTTTTTTTTTTTGATGTTATTAATGATAACCATCATCATGATGACTATAAAATACAACAATCATTAAAAGGTTATCAAGAAAACAAATATTTTAATTATATACTCCTCATTTTATAAACAAAGAGAAAAAGTAAAAAAAAAAAACATTTTAAGAAGAAAATAATAAAAAAAGGGGTGTACGTTAAATATACTTTTTGTTGTTGTAAGGGTGGATATAAAATAAAATAAGATCGACGGGTTTTATAATTTATTTCTATACACAGTTAAAAAAAAAAAAAAGGGAGAAGGGTAAAATTCATGCAAGTTTTCCATTTCCGCAGATCAACTGTCCAATCAAATATTTTTATTATCTTCCAATAGATTTCTGTAAATGATCCCATGATCGACGATTGGAAGGTAAGACCCACCATGTGAGATAATGACGTTGAGGAGAAAAAATTTCTAATGAAAGAAAATGAGGTGATCGAAGACTTAATGGTAACGATAAAGAAGAAGAAGAAGACGATGGATGTTGTTTCTTCTTTTGATGGGTAGCCAAATTTAAAATGTCGCTATGATCAGTTACCATATACGGATGTTCCTCTTCTTCTTTTTCTTTTTTAAGTGTGATGGCATAGGATGGGGTTTTTTTTGACATGCAAGATAACTTTGCAGGTTCCACCATGGTCGGTAAGGATGGTAATGATGTCGGTAATGCTTCTGTATCAGACATGTTGATGACGCATACTTTTTCTGTAGAGAAAGAATTATTATTACTACTACTACTACTATTATTCCTAATGTGATATCCTTTGATGTCATTTTTTCCCTCTTTTATATCATCATGACTATGTTTGATTTGACCATGATGATCTCGGAAAAGAATCCATACAAACATCAATAAAAGGAAAAAGAAACTAAATAATCCCATGATCACCATTAACCATTCAAGTGCAAGTGAATTCAATACCATAACGTCTCTATCCATTTGATAATAACTAAAAAAAAAAAAAAAAAAAGAAATGAAAAAGAATGATCTCTATTTTTTTTTTTGAACATACCATCGAAACTAAACAATGGTTGTCTCACTTAACATTCCATCCATCCACATTCACGCAAAACTGAAAAAGTTCAATGAGCGATCATGATCATCAAAGAATGAATTCTTAAACAATCAAACTTAATTCCATATCTCATAAAGCCACCCCTGCTGTAGCTGTCACCCTTGTCTCGCGGTCTGTCTACATTGAAGATCACGATATGTAAACAAATAGACAATAACAAACATTTTTTTTTTATTGGTTGTAACAAAAGAAAAAAAAAATAAAACACTATTTGAAAAGAAAGAGAGACAATTGGATCATCTATCTATTGAATCTAAGTGGCTTCCTTGAGATAAGCAATCAAATTTGCTCTGTCTTGAGGCTATATATATATCAATAATACATTAGTTTAATTCAATCCTCCCTTTTTTAATATCCTTTCCTAACCTTTTTCAATCCAGGAAATGCCATCTTAGTACCAGGAATATAAGCCTTTGGATTTAACAAGTACTACATCAAAAAAACAAATATGAATTGGTCAGTATTATTATCGTTCCCAAAAAAAAAAAAATAGTCGGTTTTTTCTTTTTTTTTTTCCTGTTGTCAACACTTTTATCACATTTATTTACTTCAAACAAAGTTTCTTCACTCCAAATGACTCCTTTCTTCTTGTTGGCTTCTGTATAATTGAATCCTGAAGCTTGTCCAGTCTTTCTTCCCATCACACCATGAAGATTAGGTCCTACCAAATGATGACCTTTCTAAGTAATAATAATAATAATAATAAGAAAGAGTAGGAGAAAGAACAGATAATATAGATCAAAAGAGAGAGAGAGTGTGTGAGATGACAGTGGATCTGCTTTCTTCTTTCTTTTTTTTTTATTTACTTCTTCAAGAGTATGGCATTGAGCACATCGTTGTTTGAATAACTTTGCACCTTTGGTGGCATCACCTTTTGGTATGTCACTCATGTTGATAATGTAAGTAAAAAAAAGGAATAAAAATGAGATGAAAGAAGAAAAGGAAAGGAGTGCAAAAAAAAAAAAAGAGAACAATCAAAAAAAAAAGAGCTTTTTTTTTTTCTTATGTCTAAGGACTCCGCGCTATGCCGCTTGTCGTAACGAATAAAAAGGATAAGACATAAACAAACAAATAAATACCAAATAATGATGCATGGATTTCCATATCTTTCTAATTCAATGATATCTTTATTAAAAAAAAAAACTATATTTAAAATATATATATATATAAAAAGGAAAACTAGATTACTACTTTTTTTTTTTGTTAGAAAGATTGGTATAAAATAAAAGAAGTATGTACAAAAAAAAAAAAAAAAATGAGAGAGAAATGAAAAAGATTAAACACCAAAATCAGCCACACGGAAATCACCAGCATCGGAAACACTGATGATTTTGGTATCAGAAAGTACAATAGAATTAATAGAACCTTCATGAGCTTGAAGAGAATGCATAACTTGACCACTTTCAATATCCCAAATCTTCAATTCACCATCCTTAGCACCAGAGACCAAGCGTAATTTATCATAAGCTAATGTATGAATGCCTTGATTATGACCAAACAATGTACGTAAACAAGCACCTGTGTCCAAAGACCATACCTTCAATGTATTATCTAAAGAACCAGAGATCGCTACAGGGCTACCCGATCGATGTTGATCTTCTTCTTGTTGATTTGTTTGTTGATCATCATTCTCCTTTTTCACATCTTGATAATAAAATCGATGTAAAAAACCAGGCATACTAGGAATGGCTGCTTGTACTGAAGTATGATGTCCTTCCAAGATTTTTAAACATTGTCGTGATTCCAAATCCCACAACATCATCCGTCCATCATCACTACTAGAAATCAATCGTGTACTTTGTTGATACAGTCGAACATGGGTCACTGATTGTGTATGACCAGAAAGTGTTGAGCATTCCCCATTTTGGAAGTTCCATACCTTGATCATACCATCTGTCGATCCACTTGCCAATAGTTTGCTGTCAAAATGAAGATGTGTCACGCCAGCCGTGTGTCCCTCCAATGTCCGAATACATTGTCCTGTATGATAATTCCAGATCTTGAGTGTATGATCCATGGAGCCACTCACCAATTTAGTGTCATCCATTTGCAATGTATGTACCGCCCGCGTATGTCCTTTGAGAGTGCGTATCAATTGAGCGTTTTGACCAGCAAGAGACCATACCTTGATTGTTTTGTCCTTGGAACCCGTGATCACCATCCCTTGTGCTTCACATAATGCCACCGTCATGATGGCTTCCGAATGAGCTCCCTTGACTGTAAATACCTTGGCTTGATTTTTCCTCCAATGACGTTCCACTACAAGTCGTTCACTGTACACAGCTTTCCAAGGTTTACGTTCCATCTTGCGAGGTTTCTTGATCGTCACTGCCGACGCTTCACAATCATCCAATGTTCTCTTGTTATTGACTCGAATGATCTTGCGTTTTTGTAGTAAAGGAAGTCCCCATCCACATTTCGCACACTTCTTGTCAATATGTTGTTCACACATCCGATGCCAAATGGAATCATCGTTTGCCAAAAGTTGCCACCGTCGATTGACTTGTGCTGCAGCACACAATGTCTGTGCATCCAAATGGGTAAAGATCCGTAACGTGATCTCGGTTGGGAACACCAAAGTAAAGTCCGTACGAAGCAATGATTGGACATTGTCCCACAAATACGACAATTGTGATGTACAACAACTTGACAGTAACCCTCGTAAGATCAATAATCGCTGTGGGGAACTCGCTCCATTGAATATATGCCAAGCTTGTTGAATCGATTGTTGTTGTTGTTTATCAGATATTATTTCCAGTTCCTTTTTTTTTTTTTAAAAAAAAAAAAAAATTGTGTAAGTATCAAAATATAATGTATAAATCTACATTTATTTTTTTTTTTTTTTTTACCTTTGCTAAACTATTATCGTCGTTATTAGATCCAGGTTTAGATTGAATACGGTGACGATGGCAAGAAGTAAGACTGGTCATGATAGACAAAACAAAAAGGAAGAAGAATGTGGTATGTTATCAATAAAAGAGAAAGAGAGATAAAAAGGGAAAAAGAGGTGAGGAAAGGTGAAAATAAAAAAAAAAAAAAATAAATCTATCAGAGTTATATAAAATGGCATCTCAATGGCGACATCGAACTAAAACCTCCGCTGATTGGTGCATTTCTCAGTGGTATCATTTGCTTGTCTTTTTTGCTTTTGCCGGAGATACAAAAGGCTGCATTCAACTATGACACCATCACACATATACAAAGACAAATCAACAAACTGTTAATGATGACAGTTTAAAAAAAAAGGATGAATGATTCATTTTAAACAAGATGATTTCTTTGGGATAAATGAAATAACTATTAACTATTTTTAATCGTTTGAATAGCTGGGTTTATAAGATTTCATCATCAAGAATCAATCAAGTGCTGCCCCTGAGATTCAAATAAACTGTAGGATTAAAATTTTCATGGAAGATCATGCAAATTACCCACATGTTTTTGTTACCATTTTAATAATCTCTTTCTTTATATGCACGTAATAGATGAATGGAGTCATCGTTTACGAACTGTGTCGTTTGATACATATCATTAAATCCAACAAAATTTGTTTTATTTGAAAATTTTGATTGTAAAATCAAAAAATTTTCAAAAATTTCAACAGGATGGAACCTTAAATAGATCTAATCACCCCCCTTCAAATCCCATTTTTAAGTTTAAATCTATTATCATCATAATATATGTATAAGTCTACTGTTATGATAAAAAGACAGCTAATAATGATCACCCAAATCAAAGTAACATCATGAAAAAGACAAGGAAATAAAAAAAATATAAGAATACACAATATAGTTTGTATATTAAAAAAAAAGAAAGTTGAAGAAATAAAAAAGGATTCATATCATGATTTTATTGTCAGAAAATAACATGTTAGAAAAAAAAAATGCAGAATGAGTAAACGGAGAGATAGATATAATAGATAAAAAAAAAAAAGGTAACAAAAACAAATCGACAAAAGTAAGTATATATATATATAAAACAAAAAGGGAGGTTTGAAAGGATATCAATGAGGAGAGGTTGATTTGAGAGGAGAAGGCCGAGAGATTGTATGATGGCGTCTAGGAGGTTCAGTCCATTTCTTCGAGAAGCGATGTTTGAGTTCAACTGAATGAGTTGGTGATGATACTGAATGCTGGTGATAATCTTCGTTGAATAAGAAAGTTTGTTCTGTTTTGGCAGTGGTTGCACCATCAGTAGGATTAGAAGAAGAAGAAGGAGTTGATGAAGATTCTACGTTATCGATTTTGAAGAGTTTTTTGAATGCCGGTTTCTTTTTTGTATTATTGTTGTTGCCAATCATGACTGCCACAGGTAAAAAAGCGTCATCATCATCATCACTGCTGCCACTAGCATCTTCCGATATACTGGCTGATCCATGCCACCATCCAAGATCCGTTTGATGCATACAAGCTTGTTGATAAAGAATACGTCGACATTCTTGTTGATATTCAGCTGATTGATCGTTGATGTTGGAGACAAAGACGCTAATACATGGAAGAGGAGATATATGTTGCATCAAATCAGGTAAAGTTCTTTGTACTAGATGAAAACGATCGTCCATATAATCATCTTCCGTTGTATGGTGAAATAAAAGAATCAAGCGTTCCCACCATGTTCCTTGTGGATCCAGTCCTTTTAAAGTTTTGTTGATTTGTCCTAATAATTGCATAATGTCATCCCTATATATAAATATAAACAAAAAAAAAAAAAAAAAAAAACCAAATCAGTATCTTTTTGTTCCATCTGTTTGATCATGAATTTTTTTTTACACAGTAGAATTGCTAGAAATGGCCGCAAGTATAGATGTAACACCAATCCTGTTCAGTGAAAGGTTCTCTAGATAAGGATATTCCTCGCCATCCGGTGGAATTGTAGCCAAGGTACACAAAGCTTGTTGTTCATCATCCACCTTAAAAAGTAATGATCGTTCGGATATATTATCGCCATCCAAAGGTATAGGTCCAGTCAAATTCAAGAGATCTGCAATTACATGAGACTAAAAAAAAGGTTAGATAAACTTTTTCTATTCTTAGATGAATTGAATTTTTTTTATTTTCTAGAATATTTACATCACCAAATCCAAGAAAAACAAAATGGGGAGAAATACTTGATTTGTTGATATCCAATAAGGCAGAGGAAGAGAGTGAAGGACGTAACCAACCCAATGGTTGTGAACTGCCAATCATAAAAGGAGGGAAAGGAGCTGGACGATCAGGATACATAGTACCAGTATAAGATAGTCGTGCTGGAGATGGTGTTGTCCATTGTCTCTTATAAGTGGGGGTGAGAGTCACAGGTGAGCTGGTATAAGTTTGTTGGTCTTTCTTGTCGAGAATGGGTGATGAAGGTGGTGAATAGGAAGTAGGGTTAGACCGAGCAGATACAGTTGAGGCATTGGAGACAGTGGATGCCAAGGAATTACGATATGAAAGTGATGCTGCGCCATAATAAGTGGGAGAAGTATTGACTTCTTGAAGGGTGAGACGTTCTACTCTTGGATATGTTGAAGCAGATGAAGTACTATGACTTGTGGTGACATTAATACTGGAGCTACTGGTACTGGTACTGGTTTCAACAAGAACAATACGAGAATCCTTCCTTGGAGTCACAGGTTGTATAGTTGAAGGACTCATATCTCGCAATTCGCCAACAAATTCGTCAAACTGCCAGAATCTGGTTCCACTTTTATTCATCAATGTTGTTGAACAGCTGATCAAGTTCGTATATATATATATAATATATACAGGTGACTTTTGTATAATATATAAATATATATATAAATATATATATATGTATATATGTGTATAGGTATGTATTCTTTATTGATTCAAATTGGTTATAAATATATAAAGTAGTGAAAATAAATATATATAGATATATATATAAATAAAAAAAAAAAAAAAAAAAGAGAAAAAGGAAACAGAAAAAATAAAAAAAAAAAAAAGAAAAGGACATGTGCCTTAAAAAAGCCAAAAGGTCCATTCTCCGCTATGGTATTTTTGTCAAACATGAAAAAAAAAAAAAAAAAAAAAAAAAAAAAAAAAAAAAAAAAAAAAAAAAAAAAACTACACTACAACTACACTATCATCCTATTTTAAACATAATACCTTGCCTTTCACCAATGGTTCAGTTCGATTAAAGACTTTGAAAGGAGGACTGATACAAAATTGAATTATCCCAGAATTAAGACCTTGTACTTCATCCATGAGAGTTAAATCCAAGACTTGAGATCCTTCTTGTACATCAGCAGCTGTAATATCTACTTCCAATCCTTTTATGGCGAATCCAAGTGCCACGGCTTGTTCCACTAAAGTTTGAATCTGTGCTCCAAAATGTTTTTGTACATCGGGTTCCAAAGTCGTGTCATGTTGATAAATATAAGGGAATGCTTTGGCTAATCCACCATAAAGATATTTCCAATGAGCTTGTACGACCTGTTGTAATTGTTGTTTGACATCATCTCGTTTTAATTGAGCAGCAACCACTGTGGATGCTACCTGTTGACGTAATCGAATAGAGAATACCATGCAATCTGATACATCGGTTGATAATGTTGATGATGAGATAGAAATGGAGGACGGTTTGCTGTTCATATCATCATGATCCAGAAACCAAAGGGCAATTTGAGCATAATCATCCGAACAAGCACAACCAGCAATTTCACTGAGATTGAAGTTTTGCACCAAAACATCCATAATGAACTTTTCAGTCAAATGGCGTACCATAGTAGGAGATAAAGGACACATGGATTCAATGACTTGTCGCAAATTGAGCCAAAAGCTAGCCAAGGAAGAAGAAGTATGATCTGGCGATATATGTGGTAGTAATCGATCTGCCAATGCCGCAATACTTTGCTGTACCTGAATCAGTTTAGTCCGCACTGACCCAAGATCATCTGATGTGGCTCGTAGTGAGGAGACATGAAGATCATATTGTGCTCGTAACTGTGTCGTAGCCAATGTTCGTTCTTCAATTCGTTGTTGTAGTCTAGTCAATTCTTGTTCAAGTCGTTGGTTATCGTCATGATATGTTTCCTTTTCCTCATGCAGTTGTTCCAGTATTTTTCGTCGTTGTACTAGTTCTTCCTGTTGCGTCTTTGGTTGATCAGTATGTCGTAGAGAACTAAAACGTTTCATTTTTTCTCCACCTATTAATAGATATAAATAAAAAAAAAAAAGTCAGAAGGACGTCAAAAGACAAGTCAGTTAACCACTTTTTTATAAAAAAAAAAAAAAAATTACCTTTTTTACTAGTAGAGTTAAATCTAAAGGAAGCTTGTGGATCTGCAGATTGAGTTGAATGAATAGAAGTATGTCGACTCATCATAGGAAAAGTGGGTGGTTCAGGTGTATTGACAGTAGGAAGTGATTTTTTGTGCTTTGACTTTTTCTGAAAGATGCGTGATAATCGTTCCATAGATTTCTTTTTAGGTGGAGATGAAGAAGAGACAAGAATATCTTGACAAGATAGAGATGAAGTATCATCTTTTGATAACCATTCAGAACTAGTATGATGATTGGAACCTAACATGGGGAGTATAAAAAAAAAGAAAGAAGAGATATAGAAAGAAAAAGAAAGAAAAAGAGAATAAATTGTACCCCTCCTTCTTTTTCAAAAGATGGATGATTTTCTTTTTTGGTTTTTTTTTTTTTCAAATGACGACAAATAAGGAGTTCAATGCAGGGATCAACATCTTAAAAAAAAAACTTGTAAAAGACACGGTTAAAATAAGAGAGTATATATTTTTATTATTTCTACATAAAATCATCAAAATCATCATATTTGTTTGTATAACTATCCATTTCATCCAAAGCATCGGCCTTTCCAGCAGCAGCGAGAGTTGGTTTACCCTTCTTCTTTGATTTAGTTGCTTCCTTGGCTTGGCGTTGTTTGTCATTGGCTAAAGAGTTCAAAGTAGAGGCAGCTTTGCGAACATCCATATCCTTTAAAGGTCCAGCAATATCACGTACCAATTGATCCACAAATGACGCATAATGCATTGATTTCTATACTCCCAATAAATAGTCAGTGGATGATTACAATATACGCGTCTCATTATCCTAATACTTACAGAGTTTACAAGAATCATTTCAGCCAATCGTTTTCGGTAAGCCTCGAATTCAACTCGAGTCTTTGGTTTGACTTCTTCAATACTTCCTTCAGTACTTGGTTCTAAAAAAAAAAAAAAAAAAAAGAAAGTTAATTAAATAAAATAGTATATATATATATGTTCTTACTTGATACTGTGGTACCAGCAAATAGATCAGTAGCGTGATTCAAATCAGATTCCAATTCCAATTGACGTTGACGTTGCTTGCGTTCAAACTTTTCTTCTTCAGTTTCATCTTCCCTAGCAGCCTAATAAAGATTAATTTGTATAAAATAAAGATGAGTCTCTCTTTTTTTTTTTATTTTTTATTTGTTCACTATCAAGTTTTTTTTTTTTTTTTTTTACCATAGCAGCCTTCTTTGCTTCCAATTCTTTCTTTTTGGCTTCTTCAGCAGCCTTTTTTTCAGCAATCTTTTGAGCCAAAGGAACTTTCTTCTTGATAACTGGAGCAGGTTTCTTTTCTTCAGGTTTATCTTCTTCATCAGATTCTTCCCAAGAATCCTTCACATCCTCTTCTTCATCTTCGTCGTCCCATTTTTGCTTTTTAGGAATGGCCACTTCGAATTCTTGCTCTTCTTCTATAAAACAAAAAGAATTATGTTAATATTAAATAGAGTTGAATAAACCAAAATTAAATAAAACGTATTCATTACATACCCCAATCGCTCATGGTATTGATAGATATATTTATGTATTAAAAAAAAAGAAAAAGAAAAAGAAAAAAAAAAACAAAAAGATAGGGAAGAAAAAAAAAAAAACTCATATATTTTCTTATGGAAGGTGGCTGAGTGGAGATCCAAAAGAAGAGAGAGTATCAAGAAAATTTTAGGTCAGGTTAGTTTGAAAAGTGGATCAAAGCAAAATGATATTTTTTGTGATGGGCGGCGACATCTCCGGGCTTGTCATTTTTGCAGGGTTGACTTTTTTTTTTTCCTCGAGAGGATCAAATATGCTTTTCCCCCTGGTGAAAGATCCTTTTTCTTTTCTTTTCTTCTTTTTTTCACTTTTTTTTTTTTTTAATTTTTACTTTCTTTCATTCCTTTTTTATTATTATATAGAACTAAATATCATGATTCGATTACGTCCTTCTTCTTGTCAATGTCAATATAAAACCTTTAGATCTGTCTCCAATACTTTATCGCCCATCCTTCCTACACGGTTATCACCACCCACTCGATTCTCAACAAGCAAACGTTATTTCTCTGTATCTACTACTGTATTCAAACAAGAAGATCAATCTAAAAAAGCAGCGATTTTGACTGAACATGTCTATGGTCGTACTAGGATCTATACAAGTACTATCGGCAAGACAAAGGCAACAACTGCTTCCAAAACATGTATAGCTTCTCCGATCACTTCACCACCTCTCACTTGGGAATGGCTTCATCCGAATACTGGCAAGGCAGCAGGTGGAACTTATGAGGATCGTCGTCAATCTGTGGGTGATTCTTTTATCGGTGGTGCCAAACAAAACTTGCGTGAACTTTTCTTACCTGTGGGTTATCCTGATGCTTTACATAGTTGTTATAAGAAATTCCATCTATGGCTTGGTTTAGAAACTTATGTTGGTTCTGCTGTAAAAAAAAAAAAAAAAAAGTGACTATAAAAGGGAATTTCCATATCATTCATTCATTGATTTTTATTGATTTATTTATTAGGTTGGTGTATTATGTTCTCAAGCCATGTTGGCTTCTTTGGGTTTAGGAACAGTAGAGGCAGCTGGTGGTGCTGTGGCTATACAATGGGTATTGAAAGATGGCATTGGTGAATTTGGCAAACTTTTCTTTATCAAGCGATATGCAAGTTCTTTTGATTCTCATCCCAAGACTTGGAAATTTATATGTGAACTCTTATCAACCTTTGGCTCTTTTCTTCAATTATGTACCTGTATTGCTTCTCCTAAATTATTTTTACCATTGGCTGCTGGTAAGAAAGAAAAAAGATGTCATCATCATCTTGCTTCATCCGAAATATTTATGCTAATGGTTTTTTTTTATCATTTTATTAGTTGGAAATATGTTTGAATTGATTCATGAATCTATTTGGATTGCCAGTCATTTGACATTCACTAAACACTTTTCGGTAAATCAAACAAAAGTCATTTATATATTTTGATCTCATTCGTTCTTTTTTTTTTTTTTTTTTTGGTAGCTTAATGGAAATATTGGTGATATTGTGGCTAAAGATGATGCTCAAATGTCAACGGCTCATTTACTAGGAATGTTATCAGGAGTAGGATTAATCACCATCTCACATTCACCTGCTTTCTTATTCGGTGTATTTGCAGTGTTATCACCTATCAATATCTGGTCCACCATCAAGACGATCGATGCTGCCAAATTCGAAGTTTTGAATCAAGCCAAATTGACCTTACTTTGTCGAGAATTCATTGAAACAGGCCAAGTACTGGATTATGATCAATTACGACCAAAGGAAATTGGTTTTGGTGAATGGATCAAGCCTGGAAAAGGGAATAATATCAAAGTACATATCAAGATGGGTCCTAGTGCTGAAGAAGCCTATAATTCAGTCAATGAAATTCAAGGTGCTATTGATGTGTTGAAGGTAAAAGTGATAGAATATATGACATTGCATATCATATTCACATTCTTTAATATACTTATTTTTTTTAGAATGAAAACTATCTATTGAACTATCATAACAACACCATGTATATCATGTTCCACGATGATGCTGAAGTGACAGATGTGATGAAAAGCGTCCTACATGCGATCAAATTCCACGATCAATTAGCTGCCAACCATGTGACAAAGGACGACCATTGGGATACTTATTTGACCACATTGGATGAAACCTTGGATTGGACAAAGAATCATTTTCAACCTTTCTTAGACTCTTTGGACAAACACGATTGGAAACGTGAAAATGTTTACTGGAATGATACGTAAGTCCCTTTTTTGTGTATATGTGTGTTGTGGAAAAAAAAGGGAGAGACATTATAATGGAATGTACGATTTTTAACTCGTTGTTTATTTATATTTTTTCTTCTTCTGTATAGTGGTATGCGTTTGACTTGGGATGGTCGAGTTCAAGAGCAAACTCCTTCTTCATAAACAATTACAGCAATCCATCAAGTATTACTTTTTTTTTTTTTTTACATGTCCCTCTTTACTCTCTCCCTTCTCTCTTTATTTATTTATTTTTATCTGATCAATAATGCCTCCATCTCCAGAAAATTACTACTTTTTTCCTTTTTGTATTATAGACTTTTTGTAGAACATCTGTATTCTTATTTGAATCCCCCCAACTTCACAAACACTCTTGCATGCGCATATATACAATTCATATTGATAATAAAACAACTACACTTTATTTTTTCTTTATTGATCATCAAATAATAAGACAACGACAACTATAATATACTGCACTAAATATATATATATATAAAAGAATAGGATAGTGTAGGTATAAGTAAGTGTACAAAAAAGAGAATGATTGCCTAGGATCGATAATGATGAGCAACGTAGTCAGGGTATCGTTGTTGAATGGAGCCGATGATGGTGTCCAGATCATGGCACATGGATTGGATGGCATGATCCCAATTGATGATAGCTTGCATGGATTGCTCGATATGTTTTTGTTGTTGTTGTTGCTGATGTTGAGTGGATGTGGTTGCTGCTGTGGTAGGTTGTTGATGGTGATCGGTAAGAGAGACAAAGGTGATACGTTGGTCGATTTGATCCATATTGCCACCCAATCTATTCTCACCAATCATATGTGCTGCTACATGTTCTGCTTGTTCCGATGAGACATTCAGTAATGCACCTAGTTCTTTGAATGTGATATTGTTGTAGATCTTGGATGCTGATAGTAGGTTGTGTTCCATCATCGCTCGATCAAATACGGTTGTGGTGTTGTCTGCAAGCATGGCCAGATGATGTGGTTTCAATGTTGTTGCAAATTCAGATACTTCATTCGCGCGAATCACTCGATCTAAGTATGTCTTTTCCAATACGGGGAATGATGGTAGATGATGTGTTCGTTCATCTTTGTAAAGCGTTGCTAATATCCGTGATCGTTGAGGTCCTGCTCCTGCTAAGACTGCACATTGCACCGCCGCTGTCCTATTTTTTTTTTTTTTTTTTTTTTTAAAAAAAAAATCATCAGTGGTCATATAAAATATACGTCAAATTGACTTAACTTACAGGCATTGTATTCGTTCATCTTCATCTAATGGGCCAACATAACTAAGTTCATGGTATTTTGAGCATGCTTCCAGGAATTTTCGTTTAGCATCGAGGATTCTAGCTTGTGATAATTTGAAAGTCAAGTTCAGGACAAAGTCATCCGAGTTGAGAATCAATAGCCCAGCACGATTCAAGTAAGCCTCTGCCGCTACAGCTTCGTCTTCTTCCAGTAATAATCGAACAATACGAATATATATTTGAAGTTTATAATCATCAGAAATGGATCTATCATAAAAAAAAAGGACCTAGTTAGTTTGTCTGTCTTACTCACCCTTCTTCGTCATTTTTTTTCCATACCTATGACCAGAATCAAGAGCAATGCCTTGCAAGATCTTGGCCGCTTCCAAAAAGTCTTCTTCTTGTTCATAGATGGTGGCTAGTTTTTCCCGTAATTGAGACAGCTAGAAAATAATAATAATAATAATTTGTTCCTTGAGTCATCCTTTTATTTTATGAATCTCATGCATAAATCAAATACACAAATATATATTTTCCATGTACTTACAGGCTCTTCAAAACTGACGACGCGTGGTTGAGCCTTTTCAATTGTATAAGACAGTAGTTGTTTTTCCACCTGATGGTCTTGTATCCTAGTATTGAATAGTTCACTGAACTCTATCAAGAGTTGTCGTGCATTCACCAAGCCCACTTGTTCGTCTAAAACTGCATTCACATAGTCTTTGAGATGATCTACCAAAACCTGCTTGTCTGAAGAAGAACCATTATTGTTGTTTGTCGATAAGATATCATCAAGGACTGATCTAAAAGAATCTATTTTTTCCTTTTGTTGTGTCAAGGAGATACAATGTTGGAGTCGTGTTGTGATATCCATGAATCATACAATTTTTAATATTATAAGACAAAAGAAAGAAGGCAAAAAAAAAAAAAAAAAGAAAAAAGGTTTTTGTCTTCTAAGGGCTGTCCGTCCCCATATCATCGGCCAATTTGAAATACCGCATATGGAATCGTAATACTATTAACAAGGCACAGAAGTTACATTTGTCAGCTATAGAAAAAGTGATCGATCGAATGTCTCAGTTAATGAAAATAAACAAAATAGACTCGATCAAATGATTTTAAAAGAAAAAAAAAGAACTATTATGCAAATTTACATTTGTTTTAGCACTTTGTATTATGTAAATTGCTGCTGATAGGATGAAAAGAGTCAACTCATCTGCTGAAATAATTAACATCACCAGGCATTACAATAGTATACCCTTGTCTTAACTGTGAATATGATGATGATACCATATAAAAAATAAAGTTCCTTTTTTTTCCAAATATGGCCGTTGAAAGCTCACCTACAATCATCATCAATCATCAATCAATGTGTTTTGAATACTCTACCGGTATCTCAGGAGCGATATTGAAAAAAGTGGTAATGCGACATTCATTTTGGTAAAGACAGATATTTTTATTTTATAATATTACGAAACTATTTTCTTGTGACCCGATAAAAAAAATTTTCGAAAACACTTTTTTAGAAAAAAAAAAAAGATCAACTACACAGCACTACATTTTTTTTATGGATACAGGGAAGGTTATTGACTATAATGAAATTAAACTATCATTTTAACTAGTAGTTTTCATTTGAAGTAATCTTTGGGCCGCCAAAATTTCTTGATTTGTGGGTTTTGGGAATGGCTATCAAAAATCCAAGACAGTCAAAATCCGAAACTTAAGTTTGTCATCTCAATCAAATTTTTCTCTATTTTCACTTACTTCTTCTTCACCTTGACGAGGTCCTGATGAATAAAAGAGTTTGGGTCGGTATGATTCATCTTTGATCATCACCTTGGAATTTCGATATCTTGCAATAAGTTTGTGTTTTCCTTGGATCATGGCATAAGTGAGATCGAAGACTTTTCCAGAATTGAATCGATTCCTATAATTATAAAAGAGAATATAAAATTGAATACCTTTCCAAATCTATCTTTTTTTTTTTTTTTTTTTTTTTTTTTTTTTTTTACTGACCATTGTTTTCCAATTCTTTGTTTGGCGAATGATATGACTGAATTGACATCGATAAAGTTGATAAAAGCGTAACCAACGTTGCATTCATTTTGGAAGTCAATAGGAAGATATAAAAAATCATATGTATATTTGTGGGTAGCGTCAATACTTTCTTTAAGCATTGCCTATAGTTTTATAGAATGAGTGATAAGTTACTGTTTTTATTTTTTATTTATTTATTTTTTTTTTTTTTTTTTACCTGAGTGTATTTGTTGGGAATATTACGAATCATAAATGTTGTACGATTTTCCTGTTTCTTAATAATCCGATCGATGTCAAAATGAAGGAGATCGTGGTTGGAGAGGGTTGAAGTAGCATGTGAGGAAATTGAAGTAGTACGTGAGGAGGTTGAAGTAGTACATGATGGAACCGAGGAAATGTGTTTGATATGTAGATCATCTGAACCAGGATCTGGAAGACCATTTTCAACTACCATGTTCATCTTGTCATTGTATAGAGTCATCTTCCAAGTAGGTTCACAAAGATTAGATACATCCTGATTTTCTTGATTATAAATGGGAGCTGGTGGCAAACTTCCGATTTCGCGGTTATCACGAGAACAAAAGCCAAGCAAAAGGAGCATATCTTGAGTAGTAGTTGCCAATGGTAGTACAGAGGAATCCTGATTTTCCATATCAAGTGGTTGCATATGAAGTCTGGATGACTGGATTTGATGTAATTGTTGATTTGTTGATTGCGGATGGTGACGAGAGTGATACACTTCGGTAGATATAGGTCCATCCCAAGGATTAAATTCATCAAGAGGTTGAGGTAAATCCTTTTCAATCAAGCATGTCAAGAAAAAAATACCCTAGAAATAAAAAAATAAAAATAAAAATAAAAAAAAAGAGTTATACATTTGTTATAAAAGTTTGAAAAAAAAATCTTACCCTATCCTTTTTGTTTTCAAGAGCTTGAGCAGCTCTCAAAGTAGAGTAGATATCTGAGTATTCAACCAAAAGTGTCAATCGATGATCCAAAAGTTCCAATTCTTTACATCGATTCTTTCCAAAGGATTCCAAAACTTCCTAATAGATCGAAATGGATTAGAATTAATAATATGCAAAATGACTTGTTACACAATGCCATTTATGCTATTCCTATTTACCATATAATCATATAGCTGTAACTGTGTTCGAGGTCCATATAATGTGATATATAAAATGGCTACTGAAGAAGACCAATCTTTGGAATTGATATCAACTTGGCGAGAAACAGTAACACGATCAGAAAAAGTCACGTTCACTTGATTAAACATTGGATATCTATGCAAGGAGGATAATAGAGTTGAATAACAAAGATTTGCTTGTTGGTTATCATGAAAGAGCACCACGATTGAATTTAATCGATCATCCAATATTTTGATAATATCTTTGAAAACATATGAGTACTATTAAAAATATATATATAAAGAAAAAGAAATTAGTTCATCCCCCTTTTTTTTTTTTGTTGTTGTTGCTTGCTTTTGGCTCGTGAAAATGTCGGCGTTTATAAATCAACAGCATGGTTGGCAATTTCTTTTTTTCGACAAACCTCGATAATATGTACTAGTCGAGAGTATTGAATTCCTGAAGCACCCGTAATCATCATAGTGGGAGTAAATTTGGAACCTATATATATATATATATATATATATATTAAAAAAAACGTTGTTATAGATATAGAACATATAAAAAAGAAATAAAACAATACTCTTGTTTCACTTAAACTGGACCGTGCGTATTTGATCCTTGTCCTTTTTTGGTATTTACCTTGTTGACGAATAGCTAAAGTAATATCCATACTGTAAGAAGTTGATGCCAAAGATACAAAAGAATCCATTTCTTGTTGTGACCAAATAGAAGAAGAGAATAATAAAGAGGAAGATGAACTTGTTTTATTTTCAAGTGGGATCAAGTTTTCTTTGTTTTGTACATTCAATGGATCAAATAAAATGGATGGTGGATCGAATAATCCTTTACCTTTTGAAGGAAAAATAAAATCGTTTACGTTAAAGACAGAAGAAGATAGTTGTTGGAGTCCACCTTTTATGGAAGTCTTGCGCGACATAGAATAAAGTAAATAATAGTTTGAAGAATAAAATATATAGTGAAAATGTATTTCAAAGGTAAATAAAATAAAAAAAGAATAAAATATAAAAAACAAAGGGAATAAAATTTAAAAAGAAAAAAAAAATAGAAAAAGGATACGAGGAAGAGAAGGAAACAAATGAAAAAAAAAATCACCACAACATTCATTTTATGAAATATCAAAATTCAAATACCGCGTTTTGACTATATGCTAGACAAAAAAGACAAAAAAAAAAAAAAAAAAAAAGAAAAAGAATAGGGCTATAAACTAAATGATTCTATCACTAAGATTTGTATCTAGATCTAGGAATGGCCATATAGCATAATAATCCAATTCTGTTGATGTTGTAGTAGGAAGAACACCTGGTACTTGTTGAGTATTATAAGATGAACATGTCAAAAAATTACTTGTTCTATTATCAGTTGCCATTGAATTGGGATACATTGGTATCATTGAAGACATAGAGGGGTCAAGTTGTTGATCGAGTAATTGGCTGAATGTGTTATCAATAGAACCCACTAGATCATCAAGTGCAGACTGACTATTGGGAGACGAACTAGCCCTTTCAGTAGATTGTTCACCCTCATCCGTACTACCACTATCTATTTGTGCGGTTAAATCAGTTTCCATACTTGATATATTCTTCTTTTCCTTGTTTGCTTGTTCATCTTCTCGAATTTGAAGTTGAGTTTTGTGAATTCCATAAAAGTCACGTAGCATAAAAAAGAATCTATCAGCCATAGCGTAATATTTTCGTAAATTCTAAAATTAAAAAAAAAAAAAGTGTTATCATCACTATCATCATATCTATTTTCTCTATTTTCCCTTCTTCTTTTTTTTTTTTTTTTGCTTCATTTACCTGTAAGAATTGACAATGTGCCTTTAATGCTTCAGCAGCTTTCTTGGCTTCCAAAGGTTTTCCAGTAAAGATAGTATGTACAACAACGGTGGCAGTAGAATAAGTCAAATAAGATAAAAATGGAAATACGCGTTTGACATGTTGATTTATATCAGTCAACATAACAGAAACATTGTCAGATGCAGCCAAACACTTTTCAACACCAAGTTGGATCGCTTCTTGATGGGATGTAGGTAATTCTTCCATGTTCTTAATATTATTGATCAGTGTCAAAGCAGGTCGATTTAAAAAGACAATCAAAGAATTATAAAGAATATGCGACTATCAAAAAAAAAAAAAAATCTATTTATCTTCTTCCGCTTTTTGTTTTTTTCTTTCTTACCAAAAGAAATCTGTGGGTATCTCTCGATTCCTCAGATCGATAACGTTCCAAGTTGGCAGGCGTATTTTGTAAAGCAAAAGGAAGTTGACGGTTCCAAAGATCGAGTTCTTCACTGAGTATTTTATAATCATCAGTATTCATATCAAAAGGAGCCAAAGGAGTGTTTGATCTTGGTATAGTACGATTCACAAATGTAGCCACTTTTGCAAACAAGGATATGATCCGAATCATATGTGTGGGCCAGCCCAAGTTACATCTTGATCGGGTTTTGGGATTTTGTGAAGTCGTTTCCACAAATTTGACTTTAGTTGCTGCGCCATCATCATCGCGTTCCACCACTTTGTAACATGTAATATGAGTACCATCCATCGATTCAGAATAGAATATATCTTGATCCAAACAGTCATCATTGCAAGGTAAATGACAATCGATATCATCATCATGGAAAAGTACAGGTCTTGCACAAGAAGCTCCACCAAATCTATCAAAGATATACACACCCCAGAACACATTCCGCCGTAATTCATTCTTTTTCCAGGTTTCTACAGATATGATTTCACCATCCTTCAAACGATCTGTTGGTTCTTTATGTAAACCGAGTTCCAAAGCCATTCTAACAAAATGAGAAAGAATGTGAGCATTTGATTTCATGTTTATATTCCGTGGATTTTTTTTTTTTTTTTACCTTCCAGCAATACCACAATACATCCAACTTCTTGTACCTCTAGCACAACCAAATTCATGCATGATCAGTAACATTAACACTTGTACATGAGTAACCGAAGGCATATCTACAATATCATCCATTCTTCGACGAATTTGTTCCGCATATTGTTCACCTGATAACCAAAGGAGAGGCTGAGTAGGATGATCAGAATACCTAATCAAAAATCAAAAAAAAAAAAGAATGAGTTAAAATTATACCAAAATAATCATATGATCTTATTTTACTTTGCAGTAGCAGCAGCAATTGCCATCAAAGCAACCACAGGACAAGACCTTTTTTCCGATAAGTCATCACGATAAAAGAAAGGAGAGACACCATAAATCCGATTCAAATAAATTTCGACCAAATCATCCATATCTGGAGGTAAAAGTCGCCTATCCATATCGATGACTTGATGAAGATGGCGAGTAGTATTGAGATTATGACCAACATGAATAGGAGGAAGCTGTTGACCATCATTGTTGTTGATTGTACGACGAAAGACAACAGGTGGAAAATGTGTCGATTTTGGTCTAATGGACTTAAGACTGTCATTATCACGTAAACTACTATTATTACTACTGTCGCCTTCATTATATCCAGGTCTTAGTAATCGTTCCATTCTTTCCACTCGTTTTTCCAATATTTCAATATGTTTTTGTCGAGGTTCTCGTTTTCGGCGACTGGCTGCATAGCTACATGTTTGTTTTAACCGTTCACAATTATTGCACGTAGGTTTCGTTCCATCACATTTGGTCTATCATGAAATAAAGTAGCGTAAGACATAGATCAAATATACAAAAAGTGTGTGTGTCAAGATACTTTTTCAAAAGAAAATCGTATGTACCTTTTTCCTTCGACAAACTAAACAAGCTTGAGGTAAACGCTTCCTTTTGCCTAAGTCCTGACTTGAAGAAGGAGGAGAAGAAGAAGGAGATACTTCCATAATGGAATCTATTGATTAGTAATTAAAAAAAAAAAAGGCAGAAATAAAAAAAAATAAAAAATAAAAAATAAAAATAAAAAAATACAACACATGTAAAGTTATTTCGTTCCAAATGGGAAAATTAGGGCGGAGTTCTTGAGAATCACACATGTACAGATCAACCACAACAGTTTTTATTTCAAATTGAATAAAAATATATTTTCACCAACGACGTCGTAACGCATTAGATACACTATAACTAGGTAATGAATCAGGTATAATGGTTGCACCCAAGTGAAATAAATGATCATGTTGTCCAGATTGAGTTGCAAATGCTGGCATCACATCCACCAAATTCCAATTTTCGTTACTACTACTTGTCATTTCATCTTGTTGATCGTTATTTTCACCATCATTTTCATCATCATCATGATCACCAATATCATCATCTGTGCGTCTTTGTTGTTGTCGTCGTCTATGTCGTTGTCTTTGTCTTGATGGCTCGTCATGCTCGTTATCCATTACTTCTGGAAGGTCAAAAGCATCATCCTCTTCATCATCATCATCATCATCATCATCATCATCATCATCATCGTTATCATCATTATCATCATCTTCATATTGATCACCAACAAATGCCGATCGCCGTACCTTAAAATATTTTTCTCCATGATCTTTTTCAAGATGATGATGTTCATAGGACGACGTTGTCCGAGAGCCGCATCGATATCTAATCATTCAAATCGTGAGTAATTGCATTTCATCTTTTTTTTTTTCTTCTTCTGTCATTCTTACCTTAAAGATGTCTGTCGTAGTACTTGTTTGAAATCATACATAAAATTCAAATCCATAAGGCCTTGATATAGTAGCATGTGATCGTCTATATCCAACATTAGGAAAAAAAAAAGATAAGAAAAAAAAAAAAGAATAGATTATAAACATACGACATGATTTTTTTTTTTTGATGACTTACAATCCTAAACTTGGAGCATTACAACAAATCATGAGATTTTGTAATGTATTTGCCACCTGACTGAGAGGAATATGAGCACCTTGGGTATAACAAAGATAAGCAATATCGTAATTCAACATGGAGACACCTGTCAAGAACTTGCGAAAATTTTTGTCATCTTCCAAGAAAAGAGGTTTCTTGCTAAAAATCATAAAGTTATCATGATAATATAAATTAGTTCTGAATTAAATCATTTCCCTTTTTTTCTTTTTTCCTTACCTTTGATTAGGATATAAACTTGAATGAGGTATAGAATGAATATAAATATGGATACCTTTACGATAAAGTTCAAATGGTAACTTAATGCCCAGGTAACGTACAATTAGATCCAACATTTGAGCCGTATAACCAACCGCTGAGTTTAATTCTTCCTTTGGGTATCCTTTTTTAAACCAAAAAAAAAAAAAAAAAAAGATCGACATGAACATCAAACCAAACATTATTAATAAAAAAAAATATATATGTAGAAAACAACTTACTTGATACGTCGATCAATCGAGAAGGTAATGTCACACCACAAATATAAAGATCTTCATGAGTAGGTTGTCGTTCTTGTGCCCGACTCGGTCTTGAGAATGGCATGATTGAATGTTGTAAATTGGTATTGTTTTTTATAGTATCAGTTGATAGACGCCGTTGATATGATTGTCCTTGCAAAGGTACAGGATTGGTCATATTGTCGATGATATCATTCTGACCCTCTCTATTATCTACTTGACCATATTCTTGTTTCTTTTGTTGTTGTGGATCGATATTGCTGTTGTTGCTGGTCAATCGAATGTCATCAAGCCCAGTAGTCATATCATCATCAGCATCTTCCACTACACCTGGTTTAAGATCAAATAATGATACCACTTCCTTGACTAAGATTTGTCGTATTCTTGCTGTCATTTTAAAAGTACGTTGCCAAGACTTTTGTACCGTAGGTGTCAAACAATCCTTGTCGTTACTTTTTGCCTGTTCTAATCGTTGTTTGCTTTCTTTTAATGTGGTTCGTCGTCGTTCCATATCCTTTTGTATTTGCTCTATCCGTTGTGTCACTACCATTCAAAATAAGAAATATTTAATGTAAGGATGCATGTACTTGCTTTCTGTTTTTTTTTTTTTACCTTGTGCAGCTTCCTTGGTGATGTGTTGTTGTTCTTCCAAAAGTCGATCCATGCTAATCGATCGTTGTTTCTTTTCGACAATGAGACCATGTAATTTTGATGCCTTTCCCAAGAAAATTTCAGCTTGTTGAATAGCCTGTTGACGTTCCGCAGTCATTGAAGCAAGTTCATCGTTATGGTCCATTAGTCTAAAAAGAAAATAATGTTAGTCTTCTAGATCTTCCGTTCATATTTCTCTCTCTTCGTTCTCACTCTTTTTAATCAACTTACTTGTCTGTCAAGCATTGACTACAATAGAATTTTCGATTGTATGACCGACAATAATAACATTCCATCGTATAATTATAAAATGTACGTATATAAACAAGATAAAAGAAGACAAAAAAGAGTTATCTCGCGTGACCAAAAGGGCTTAATCGAAATGCCAGCTGTGTTTCAAAACAATTCATAAACCAATCACAAAAGAGTATTGAACGAAAAGAGACAAAATGACATATTCTATTAGATTACAAAAGTGTTTTATTTACATGATCAAAAGACAAGGGTAAAAAAAAAAGGAGGATAAAAACATAATAAATCGATTAAAAAAAATATCATTGATTCTGATTAATACTACCAGAAAAGGTTGCATCCAATTGCTTGTTGGCTTGTTCAACGTATTCTCTTTGTAATGTCATCAGTTCAGTTTGGTAAGTTGATAGTAATGTTTCCAGTTTGTTCAAACATTTGTTGTCAAAGTCTGCCTTGAGTGATTTCAATATTTGTCTTGCATTATTCGAAGGTTCAGTTAATGATGAAGATTGTCCTAAAAAAAATGACATTTAAGTATTAGGGTTGTTATTCAATATATATATATATTCGTTACCTGTGATATTGCCCAAAATGTTTTGAATTAGTGAGGCATGGTCATCTGTTGGTGTTTCACTTTCAGCAGAGTAGAAGGAATCATCATCTGATATCGTTAGATGATCTTGTTTCGATGTATTGATTATCTTTGATTTCCAAGATTTTAATTCACTTTGTAAGCGAGGAACGGATACATGAGAAAAAAGCTATAAAAATATTTTTAAGTGAGTCTGCCAGTATATACCAAGAATTGTCCCTCTGTTACATACCTTTTCCATATCTGTCAAAGATGATTGAGATGATGCCATCTGCTCTTCACCCATATGTTCCCTGTCACCAGCGATTTCCATAGTTGATTGTGTTGATACAACTGCTGATGTTGTTGTTGTTGTTGTTGGTTGAGTTGTAGTGATAGATGGTTTCAGGGCCATCCCTTCGACTGATGATGATAATAATGATGGTTGCTGTAGAGTGATTGCTTCAGATTCGATATCTGTAGAGCCAGAATATCGGTATATATCAGTCATACCGCTATTGATCCATTTCATTACAGAGTCCACCACTGAAGACGTGCTTTGTTTAAGTTTTAAATCGTCCATTGATGTATCTTGACTGGTATCAAATATAAGCATACGTGAATCTTGATCAGGAAGGCGCCAACTAGGAGGATCTTGTTTCCTTAGATATTCCAGTAATCTTCCTTCAACACTGTTCCATGCCACTAAATACAGAATTGGAATAGAGACGTTCGATTCATCGTTTTGAATCAATTTGACAATAGGATTGACATCTTGTAGACGCGGATCAATGATGAGTACCAATTGCGTTTTTCCTTCAGTAAGTGGAGGCTATGTTACCAAAAAGAGAGAACAGAATGTAAAATTAGTGTTTCTGTGAGTTTTTTTTTTTTTTTTTTTTATGCTTCGTTTTTTCAATTTTTCGTGACACTTACTTGCTGAGAACTTGATGTTCGGAACCTAACAACCAATCCATATTCACCGAACCAACCACTTTTTGCTAATGTATTTAGTCGATCAAAAGTAAACTTGTTCTTTAGCAAATCTGTTAAGAACTCTTCCATGTTCAAATCATAGCAGGCCAACAAAACGTCCATTTCCTAATCAAAATCAAATTCAAATAAAACCTTCAATATCTATATAAACTTTTGATCCTTTTTTTTTTTTTTTTTTTTTGGGGTACCTTCGCTGACTCTTTCAAGCGTAATAAAAGTTCTTGTATAAACATTGTTTTTCCAGATCCAGACCATATGTCACTACCAGTAGAGATATAACCAGGAATAAGAGCATGCATAGGATGATTCAAAATATCAATAACTTTGCCAATACGATGTTTGACACCTCCAGTAGATTGCTTGATAATATGTTCTGACTCTCGAGCCACTGTATCCAATTGAAATTGGGTCGCAAGAACAGGAATAGTTTGTGGCGGGAAAGAAGTTGTCGAATCAAGTAGAGACTGTTGAGATTCATTGTTTGCTGCTATTTCCACTGTCGATACTAATTCGCCATTGATATCTGTTGCTATTGCTTCTGTATTAGTAGTTGGGGTTGATAATGACATTTCTACGGGTAACGTATGTGAGGGTTCCACCGTAGTAGTTGTTGTTTGTGATGATGCTGTAACCGATGGTTCGTTTATTACTACTTCTGTCGTAGCATCGGTTGTAGCTTTTTTGTTTGGAGAAATAATCCTATTGCGAGTGCTGTAGTCTGTATCACCCAAGACTTCACCTAAAATATCTTCCACAAGTATGCGTTCCTGCGAGTTCATAGAATTTGTTTGTGGAGGTTGTTGAGTATGGTCTGAGACTATTGTTGTTGCTGTCGCTGGAGATTCTTCGAGTATTTGTATGCTTGTTGTCGATTGATCATCCTAACAAAATATCAAGTAAATACTTCTCTTTTTTTTTTCTTTCTTTTGTTTGATTGTTAACTTTTTCTTACTTTCTGTGATCCAACTGTCTTGGTATACCAGTCCTGATGTTTTTGGAATTGTGTAGTAAAGTTTTGTTTATCGAGAACAATATCGAGATTATTGGTGTTGTACTTTCTAGACTTTGATCTTTCAAATATAGACAATGGTCTGACGCGTTTGAGGGTGATGTGAGAAACCGAAATATCAGCTGTATTATTATTATTATTGTTGTTATTGTTGATGTCGTTCTGTTGTGAATTGGTATTTTCATTTATATGTCCATTGGTATCATCAGGAGTTGAAGCAGTAGAGTCGATTAAATCAGGGAAACTAAAAAGTTTTGTCCAGTCAGTATTTCCATTAAGTTGCTTTGATTTTGACATTTGTTTTATAGTTTGTTGCTGTTCTAATCGTTTATTGCATTCGTCTTGTAAGCTTTTTTCCACTTCATGTATATCCAGACGTACAGGAGGAACTAAAGTCGTTTGGTGACGAGGAGTGAACAATGTATGTTTGTCCCATATCATTCCAGGCATATTTTGAAACTACTGTTCGATATAGGAGTGATAAACGAGAAGTAGAAAAGATAAAGAAAAAGAAAAAGAAAAAAAAAAAAAAGAGCAAAAGCCCTATTTAGCCAGCCTCTGACGGGAATTGAAAATGGCAAGACACCATCAGATCAAACTTGGTTTCTTGATAGTTGATATGATGATAATTGATTTGTTCTTGAAACCTACCACCATAGACAACTTATTTATAAGTACATATCATCAGCTATAATAACTAATATATGAAACAACGTTAATCTTATCAACAGCATCTTTCATTATTTCTACAATAGATTTATCATTTTTATGCAACCAATAGGATTAACAAAGGAAAAAAAAAAAATAAAGAATACAAAAAAAGTTTATTGAAATATATGAAAAAAAAAAAAATAAAAAAATAAAAAAATAAAAAATAAAAAATAAAATAAATAATACTAAAAGTAAATTGATTTACAAGAAAGAGGCCTAATAAAGAAAGAATGAAATACAACCAATTAGTTAGTAATCGATGGTTTAAATTTAATATAAACTTTTTTTTTTTTGGTCACTTACACGTCGGGAAGCATCTTCCAATTCCTGATCAGTAACAAGATGACGTTCATCTTCATCAGGGATTTCATAAACACCACCAAGAATAAGATAGGGTCTATAAGCGTATTGTTGAAGCATATCCATACTAGTGACACCAGATAACACCAAAACAGGATCAATTTCTGAAGTAATACCAGCGACAATACTAATGAAATAATAAATAAAATCATCAGTCTTATTTTTTTTTTTAAAAAAAACTAAATAACATACTCTGTATCCATACGATCACCAATAATACAAGTTTCTAGACGACTTAGACCGAGAACACGTTGAGCATAACGCATGATTAAAGCCGAAGGTTTACCACAGAAGAAAGCCTTTGTATTGGTCACCAATTCAACACAAGCAGTGAAAGCACCAGTAGCAGGGATCTTATTACCAACAGAATCCAAGTTTTCAGTATCCAAATGAGTAGCAATCAACTTGGCACCATTTTGAACCAGTTGAACGGCCTTTGTTAATTTTTCAAAATTGTATGTTTGACTTTCACCCAAAACAACATAATCAGGATTATGATCATTCATAAAGAATCCCATATCATATAATGAATAAGCTAAACCAGGTTCACCAATAACATAAACAGTACCACCCTTGAAAATAAAATAAAATAAAAAAAAAGATGGGGTTATATAAACCTTCCGAAACAAAAAAAAAATCACTTACATCAGGAGATTGTGATTTTAAAAAGTAAGCAGTAGCTTGACCAGAAGTAAAGAAATGTTCTTCACCAACATTAATCCCTAATCTTTCCAATTTAGATTGTAATTCACGAGGTGTAGGAGCAGAATTATTGGTCAAGAAAAGGAATTTTTTATTATTTGTTTGTAAAAATTCCACCAATTCTTTAGCACCAGGAAGTAAAGTGGCACCCTATAATATAAATAAAAGAGTTCAATAACAATAAATAGATGATCTTAAATACAAACTTACATGGTAAATCACACCATCCATATCAATGATATAACCTTTCTTTGATCGAATAGCATCCAATCGTTCAGTATGAATAACAGGATCACGTAATAAAGCCCATTCCTTCTTGACAGAAACTGATGCATTTTCTGGTGCTTCACCAATATTGTCACTATGACTAACATGAGGACCACTACTACCAGTTTGTGTATTCAATCGATTGGCGAATTGACTGGCCAAATCACGAGTACTACCATCGGCACTAAGTTCTGACACTTCAACAGCTGGGACTTCTTTTTTATGGGACATATTGATTATTATTATTATAAAAGAAATGTAAATATAATATAAAAAAAAAAGAAGAAAAGGAAAAAGAAACGAAAAAGATTATTCTGCATGGATTAAAAAAAAAAAAAAATTAGTTGAAGGGTTTAGTTTTCATGCGGAGAGGGTTTTTATTGAGGATCCGATCAGAGCCAAATCGATAATAATCAGTGAAACTGCATGGTGACAACTAGAGCAAAAAAAAATATATATATACACAATGTTTCATATTCTAACTATATTTATAAAGTATGATCAAAAGATTTGTATGCTTCCTTAAATTCCTTGGCTGCTTGACGTTCTTCTGCTTCACTTTGAGCACATGCTTTCCAATCTTCGCGTTCAGGTTGACCAATAGCTTTAGCAACTACCATTCTATAAAAGAAAAAAAAAAAAAAGAATGTATCATCTTTACTTTTATTTTTATTTTTATTTTTTACCTTCCAAATTGTAAATTGAATAATTTTTTTGAATCGATAGTATGAACAATATGATTACCATTAGGAAGTTCCATATCAAAGTAGGCGCCGTTCTAAAGAAACAAAAAAAGGAAAGGGTTAGTTTTTCTATCTACTAAACAAATATAGCAGAAAAACTTACAACAGGTGCTTGATCCGTCAATTCATAACCCGCTGCCTTGGCTTCTTGTCGAGCCACTTCTTCCACCATAGATGATTTGTTCTTGGGTACTGGTATGACTTGTATATGAGCATGATTAAGAATAGATCGCGTTTCTCTTGATACTTCGAATAAAACCATATCATGATCATAAGAGGCATAAAACTTGCGTAAAGAGTTCTTGTAACTTGCTAAATCTGATATGACATCATGACGACTTTCGTTGGGGACCTTTCCAAAACTCGGGCAATGCGTAATAGCAATTAATAGAATATGGCCGCCTCCAGGAATAGGACTAGATTCTGGTGATATCACAGGTCCCTTTGCTAATGTAGCATAGATTTCAGATCCAATAGATGTAATCAAATGTTTTTCAATCTTGGGATTAGCTAAGCAGAACCAACATGAGCTCACTAGTCCAGAAAAAAAAAAAAGATGAAATGAGAATCAAATAATAATAATGATGTCATTCAACTTACAATCAGCCTGTTGTCTAGGAGGACGTTCTTCTTTTTTAGGACAATCTTTAATAAAATGGCCAGGTTCATTACATATCTTGCATACATAACCACTGGGAACAACATTACGTTGAGGACAATCCGAGATAAGATGACCAGGAATATTACACTTTTTACAGATATAACCTTCAGGTACTAGTTGTAACAATGAAATAAATAAAAAAAAAAAAGAAATCAATCCATCATGATAAATATATATATGTACTTCTTCTTTCTTTACCGGTCCGTTTTTTCGTTTGTTGTTTTTCACCCCAAAAGAATCCACTATTGTCATCAGTGGCAGCACGTTTTCTACCAGATGAAGAGCTTGATTGATTCACCAGGTGCCAGAATGGACAATCCGTAGTAAGAGAAGGTTTTGCATTTAAAATGTCAGGAGAAGCTTTGGCCATTGGTACAATGTTATAAGCATAAAACCACTAAAAAGGATTGTGATCAATTCCGTTAGTTATTTCTTTTTTGATTTTTTTTTTTTACTTACCCGTTGTTTGTTCTTGTTCAAAGCTTTTCCAAGACCAATAAATCGAGATACATGAGTAGCAACACGTTCATCAGGACCACCAAATCCAGTCGTATTTTCGTATGGTTCGCGTTCATAAAAAGTGTTTTCCGAATCAGCAAAATGATATCTTGGTTTTAATGCCAAATCCAAGAGAGCAATAGATGAGGCAGCCGTCGACAGTGAGCAAGGAGGTGCTTTTGTTGTACCGTCTTCAATCCCTTTGGGCCATTCAGTTGTCAAAAGAATATCCACGCCTGGAGGTGAAGTCATAGGGAATTTTGTAGTCTTCAGAGTATCAATATCGGATGATGTATAACAAGAGATGCTAGATCCATCTGAATTATCATTGTCTTGGATCCCCGATAAGAATGCAATCTTGAGTCCTTGTGCTGTTGTCATTGTTCCCTTCTTGCCGAGATAATAGAGATTTTCGCATATTTCACCCTCATTAATGTTAATATGTTTTTGAACACTGTCAGGAAGACCATTGTCGCCGTGAATAAAGTAAGTGGTTAAAGGAACTATGCAGCAGTAAGACGCGAAATAATGTGTCGAGAAAAAAAAAGTTTAGATCGTTTGTTTATAATAAGGATCGTTTTATATTACCATTGACTTTCCCAAACATGAGATCTTCAAGAACTGACGAGGGCGTATCTTTTGCAAAAAAGTTACCAGTACAAAGTAATACGTCAAAAGGACCATGTTTGTCGTTGGTTGCTGTGATCTTTTCGAAAAAATCAGTAAATTGACTGTCAACTGATCCTGTCACCAAACTATAAATAAATAAAAAGTGATCAATGAGTATCACCTATTTAGAGAAACACTTTTTAGTTTTAAATTATTTTACACTTTAATGCCAGGTGTCGCCATTTTGGAAGTTCGATCAAAATAATATAAAAAAAAAAAAAGTAGGGAAGACGACAAAGGTAAAGAAAAAAAAATCGGTTTTCCCTTGAAAAAGTTGAAGTCGGCATTTGAATATCTTTATTGTACAAAGTAAAAACTACAAAAACAATACAAAAATATAAAACTACAACCTAACTAAAAATCTTCCAAAAGATCTTCGGCAGGTAACTCATAATCCAACTCATCTCGGACACGTTCCACACCTTTCCAAACACGTAACAAGTTCTTGCCAGCCAAACCAATAAGTTCTTGATCAGTCCAACCACGTTCCACAAGAGCAGCAAAGAGATCAGGATACTTGGATACATCTTCCAAACCAGTAGGAGTGAGATCAATCCCATTGAAATCAGCGCCAATTCCCACCTTATCACGTCCAGCTATCTTGCCAATATGATCAATATGATCCGCCACATCCAATAATGTCGCATCTGGTCCACATTTAACAAATCGATTATAAAAGTTCACCATCACTACACCATCGACTGTTGCCAAACGTTCCAATACCTAAAAAATCATGGTAATATGAATAAGTATGTCACCATCTATATATATATGTATATGTATATTATTATTATTTTTTTTACCGAATCAGGCACATTGCGTTCAATTTGACAAAAAGCATAACTTGAAGAATGAGAGAAGAGAACTGGAGCCTTTGTAACATCGAGCACACTGTTCATGGTACTATGAGCAACATGACTGATATCCACCATCATACCCAACCGATTCATTTCACCAATGATCTTCTTGCCAAATTCGGTCAAGCCTGTACCTTTTTTAAATGGAGGAGGATTAGGATCACAACATGATTCCACCCAGGGTAGATGACAATTATGTGTCAACTAGAATAAATAAATAAAAAAATGAGATCATTCCAAAATAATCATCATCAACTTACAGTCATATATCTAACACCAAGATCATAAAAAGTACGCAAAGCCGCCATAGAATTACCAATCATTTGTCCACCTTCCATACCCATCATGGAAGCAACACGACGATGACGATAAGCCTTTTTAAATTGTTTGGTAGACGTGACTAATTGGAAAGTCTTTGGATGAAGTCGAACCATACGCTTGATAGCATCAATAGATTCCATTGCCTTGAGGACTTGATTGTCTTGTTTGGCTTCACATTCAGTATATACACTCCAAAATTGTCCCATCAAATGTCCCTTTTCAATGCGACTGATATCCGTATGGCTATTATTGAGATGATAGATATCCAAATCATTGATTTTTCCCTTTTTATCAAACGCTAATAACCTAGAAATACAAAGGGTTGTAAAAAAAAAAAAAAACAATACATTATCATATTTATATATACTTACATTGGAAAGTCATTATGAGTATCAATCAAAGGGTGATGGCGTAATAATTTGTTTGCATGGTCAAGACTGGTTGAGTCTTCGGAATCATACGTATTGAGAACATGCTGTTCATAACATTGAGACAAGGGTAATGCCAAACATATCAAAGACCAAATCTTCATATTGTATGTAATAAAGAGTTCTTTTTATTTATTATAAAAGAAAAAAAGTAGACAAACTAAAGGAGAAAAAAAAAAGAAAAAAGACAAAAAATAGAAATCATTACAAAGCAAAAAAAAAAAAAAAAAAAAAGATAAGAACTATTCTATTCTCCGAGTATCACCACCAAAAAAAAAAAGATCGAACCAATCGACAACCAGGGTTAATATCCAGATCGTACCCGCATATCTTCTATCTTCTTTTGGACTTCACCCACTGTTCGATCCAATTCTTCAGCAATCATTCTTCTCTTTTCAGCAGGAAGCGTATTGAATTGTTCACAAAGATCACCATCAATCACTGACTTGACAGGGATATAATAACCACGATAACTAAGATGATCACGACCAGCCAAGGGAGGAGCTTCCGTTCGCATATGCATTTCTAACATTTGGAAGAATTCAATGTCTTCTTTGGCAACAAATGGAACATACATACTAATCGATCCTTGTAATGTACTTGTCAATATGACTTCTCGTCCACCTGATATCAGACTAGTTCGATGAATAGATGTGATAATGTCGCCTACAAAGTAATTACAAATGTTGCTCAACTAACAAATAATAATAATAATAATAATAAATAAATAATTAAGCTTTTTCTTTTATATATTCTTATTTTCTTCAAGAGAGAGAGATTTTACCTTATTGGGAGCACCATTTAAATAACCTTTTTCATAAAATATACGATTTCCAGTAGTATCTTCATCAATTTCCTGACTTGTTGTTTGTGATAATCGATCCACGAAAAAGTTACCAAACTTGTCACCTCCAGCTACTGTATCATAATCAACCATTGTAGATGATGTTGTCCATCGAGGTGTAGTATCATCTGCAAATACTGCAATACGATTCTCAGATCGTTGATATAATGCATAATGTACTGATTCTTGAACGTCACCCACTACAATACGATCCCCTCGAGTTTCTAGCGTAACAATACAATTTGGAATACACTATATATATATAAAAGTGTGAGATCATCATTCATATATGTATTAAAAAAAAAGTTAACTTACCCTTGATTCACATTTCCGTAACATTTTCTTTCGACCCACATCATAGATACGAAGTGTTTTACCAATACCCACCAAAAGACGACCATGGAAATCAGTCATTGCATAAGGTACTTCTTCCACTGGAGTTTTGTGTATCAGTTCCAATTGAAGTCTTTGATCTTCAGCAAGGACTGGACGATATAATCGTAAATAACCAGAAGAGCATCCTCGAGGTGCCAGAGTCACATCGGTACCAGTACCAACCACTATGAATTGTTCCAACGCATCAGAAGCATGAGGATTTGAAGCAAATTGTACTACTGTGACACTAAAAGCAGCTTCATTTTCATCCAATTCAATTTCTTGTAAAGTTTCACCTTGGAAAGGTTCAATCAATCGGATACAACTTGCCCATTTACCTTTGGAGTTTCTTACATGTCCAAATTGTACAGGATCCAAGTTCACCATATCGGGATCTATTTCAAGTCCTTCCTTTTCCTATTTATCATCATATATACGTCAGTCATAACAATAAAACGTTTACTCCTCTTTTTTTTTCAAAATCTCTTTTTTTTTATTTATTATTATTATTTCTTACCTTGATAGCCAAATCCTTCACCTTTTCAGCCTGAGAATACGTAGCATGATCACTTTCCACTACAATAAAAGTACGTGTTGTATGATGTAATGCAAATTGACGAGGTGTATATTTCAAAGGAATTGAGACTTGATTGAATGTGTTGCCTAACTTGTCCACAGAGAAAATCCTATTTACCAAAAAAAAAAAAAAAAAAAAAGATAAGTAATTTTAGATAAATTTTTTTTTATCAAACATCAACACTTACCTAAGGGTGTTACCGGTAATAGCGACCATTCCTTCATTACATTGTTCACTTGAAAACATACTACCATATTCCAAAGTATCATAACTGAGAGGAGTAAGATGTAAACGGTTTTGGAATGTATAGCTTAACCATGGTTTTGAAGAAAGAGCCAATAGAGCAGGTTGACCTTGTGTTGAGACCTTGAAAAGTTTGACAGGACGTGGACCCAAGAAACGTGTACGAGATTCTGATAATTGACCAGTAACAGTATCCAGAACAGTACGAAGCAAGATACCATTAGCCATACCAATATTTAGATATTGAGTGCCATGACCCTTTGTTGATCCAGTATCAAACATTTCTAAAATAGATAAACTTGAAGCTACACCTTGAAGAGCTTGCATAGATACAGGTTCCATACAGGCTTCAGGATCCAAACTAAGGATACGTACTGTATGATCATCACATCCAACCGCTAAATGAGGATATCGTTGTCGTCCTTCTGGTACATCGCCTAAGGCAAGACAGGCGACATTGGTAGGCATTTGTTTTCGTTCATGATGTTCATTTAGTTGATCCATATTGTCCAATTCAAAGTAAATCAATTCACTATTTGATAACGCCACTACTACTTGTCGATTATTGGTTGCTGCTTGCACAATTACTTGACCACCAGGGACACGCCATTCATTGACACGTTTATCAGCTCGGATGTGACGAACGCCATGAGGATATACTTGTACAAGAGAATCTTCACCTAGTTGTTGTACAGCAAGGGTTGGTGTATTTGTCATTAAGCCAGTATCCGCCACTTCTTCCACTGTTTCACCAATAGACAACACCAAAGTCGCATTCACAAAGGACACCACAATGTAGGATTGAAAATCATCATCATATCGTAATTTAGTTGTCCATACAGCACTTGGATTTCCTGGTAATTCACTGACTGCTAATTCTGATACTTCCAATCCTTGATTCATGATTCGGAAAGTTGATCGAGCTCCATTTCCACAGATACCATATATACGAGGTGATTCTTCATCCGCCAAGTTGAGCACTTTGCTATCCATCATTGGTGCAAATGATTCTAATTCATCTACCATCAGTAAATTCTTCAATGGTCTTGGTGTAAAGTAGACAAGAGGAGTTTCTTCTTGTGATTCTTCCACTTCCATAAAATCAGATGCAGAGATTTCAGGATCATCTGGATCATCCCCAAGGTTTTCAATTGAATATTGTTGACTATAATAAAAAAAATAAAAAAAAAAAGAATGAATAAAGATAATAATATATATTGTGAACATTTTACTTACTGATTTCCAAATTCACTAGCCACAAATAAGAATCCACTCTTCAAAATACACATAGCAGTAGCTATAGGTACAGTGTCAAAGTATTTGATTGTCATATTTTGAACCACACCCTCAGCATGATCGATTGTCACCTTATAGATATCACCAGCTTCAGATTGTAGGAGGAAGAAGAATTGAGTCTTTTTGTTAATTTTCATTTTATGTACAGCAAAAGCACTGATAATAATACCACGAGAAGCATCTTCAAGAGGTTGAGCACGTCGGATGATAGGGAGACGGAATTCAGGCATATCTTGATGTTTGTAAGTAATCACATTTTCAGAGCAGACAAGAACACCAGAAGGACCATCATTCCCACCAGGAACAGGAATTAATAAATTTGCCGTTCTATCCACAGGTTCAGACCATTTTCGTACCACATGATTGAGCCCAAGATCGAGTTCATAATAAGTTAATGTCTTTTCTACTTCCTTAACCGCTTCACCTGTTGGATCCTGATCCACTTCAGAATAATCCACCTCCAAACATCCAAAAATAGGGTTTTCGAATCCAACATCTAGACCAACAATATCATGATGAATAGTATGTGATTTGTGTGCTTCCAAAGGTGACGATATTGTCAATTTTGCTGATGAGTCGCGATTAAGAATATATACTAACTTTTGCTTTTCTACGGCACCAATCATCACTGCACGTCCTTTGGGATCAGTTGCTAAGTATTGACCAGGCACAATACGTCGAGTACCTGTTTTTCCAAATGTTTCTTCATGTACTTTGTCAAAACAATTCTTTATAGGATTGTATTCTAGAATAACAATACGACCAGAATCAGAACCAACAACAATATAATCTATTTAAAAAAAAAGAAAAGAAAAGTGTTCCAATTAGAATAAGATAATCTATATTAAACTCTTTTTTTTTTTTTTTTTTGTACCAAAAATATCTATATTTACCTTTTGAAGCACCAGTAAGACGGAATGGTTTGATGGATCGAATAAGACCAAAACATTCATGAGATAACATGGTGTGTAATTTGCCGGTGGACGTATCAGGTTTGAGAAGTTCTAGTCGAGTTTGGCGTGCCACTACAATTTCTTGTTGTTTTGTTCCAGAGAAATTACCATGGATGGCTTGATTGATGGATGTCGAAGCATTGAGAGTCAAGTTGTATAAATACATGATGATTCTTATATATATATCGTTCAATAGATGTTGTCAACGTCGCGCGAATGGTACAACGAGAATTGTTGTTATTTAAGAGAATGTAAAGAAGGTAATATAGTTATCAGTTTTGGTATATATCAATGAACCTGTTTGTGGAAGTAAACAAGAACACAATGTACCAATCAGAAAAAAAGAAAAAAAAAAAAAAAAGAGAAGAAATGTTCAAGCGGTAGAGAGAGAAGCACACGACACAAAAATTAGGTCTCCAACCATATAGTGGCTTTTTGGTTTCAAACGCCGCGCTTCCTGTATATAGGGTCTTTTTTTTTTTTTTCTGCATTGCCTTTTTGACCTTTACCAAACAACTAAGAGAAACAAATCATTTTATTAGCATATTGATCGACTTGTTTTTATTATTTATGTCTTTACAGAAAAAAACAAAAAAAAAAAAGACAATATATGAAAGGCATGTTTCAACCAATAGGATCATCTTTTTTACTTTAAATTATTCGATGTATTGATGGTGGCGGTACTTCTGGAGGAAAGAAAAAAAAAAAAAGGAAAGGGGGGATAGAGGCTGTTCCATTTTTGTTATTCGAGAACTTTTTTTTATTTTTATTTTTATATATATCAATACATATGCATTAAATAGTTCTTGAAAATCAATGATTTGAAGTACTTGATAAGAAAGCAAAATAATCATCAAAAGAAAACATGAAAATAGGAGTCAAAACAGATTCATCATGGATTGATTATAACTGTAAGGGCATTTATTTTTGTATTATCCTACAAAGGGAATTGGTACTAAAAAAAAAAAAAAAATACGACTTCAGGGGTTCACGATGGCGATGATAAAAAAGCGCCAATATGATAAAGTACTTACGGAGTGCAGAAGATCCACAAGTTTTAGTATGTTTTTTTTTTCTGTATTGCTCCTTGGTACAGAAGAAAGGGGGTCGATCTTTTTTTTTGACTTTTCGATAGACTATAAAACACTGTTGATTTTTCTTTTTTTATGTTTTTTTCTTTAACATTTATATTGAAATCATTATGAAAAATCTCGGTCTCTTTGCTCTTTTCGGTCTTTTGGCAGCAATTCAAATCAATGCACAATGTTCTTGTGAACCCACAGATGCTGATTGTTTGTCAGAATGCAGTAAGTATAGAAAAAGATGAAGAAAAATGAATGAATGGATAATTGATTCTTTCCTTTTTTTTTTTAAAAAAAAAAAAAAAATATAGTTGGATCTACTCAAAGCTGTTTATCTGGTTGTGATGATAATGATTGTTATGATGGATGTATTTCACAACATTGGCCCGGTGCAACACCCAAGGAAACACAAAGTGCTACTGAAGCATCCATCACTGCCCAGGCATCAGCTACTGTTTCAGGTACTTCATTACCTAGTGCCACCGCTAGTAGTGATGCATCCTCGAGTGCTACTGAATCCATCTCTGCATCCGCAACAAGAAGTGAAAGTAGCAGTATCACTGCCTCTCTTTCATCCGCCACAAGTGCTTCTGTCAGTCTTAGTTCTTTATCATCATTAGCATCATCATCATCATTATCATCCTTCTCTCCTTCATCCATCTTACCTTCTTCCACTCTTCGTCCATCCTTGTCATCCAGTAGTCTGACTCCCGCTGCTTCTTCCACTGTATCACCCTCTGCTGCTGATACTTTGCATGTCCAATGGCTATCCTCTTTATTTGCCATTATTGCTATTACTGCTTGGTTCTACTAAGTTTCTATCTATAAATTACCTTTTTCTTTCTTTCCTTTTTTTTTTTTTTTGTGTTAGTTTTGAAAAATAAATAAATAAAATAAAACTCTTATTTTCTATTTATCATCGTCTACCTTTTTTTTTTTTTTACTTTATTTTTATTTGACTTTGTTGCTACTAGTATAAAATAAATAACAAACAAAAAAAAAGCCATCTAAATGTAAATAACACCCCATCACCTTATCCAAGGTTGTTTGATCTATGGAATCCAACAAAGTATGATGCAGTAAAGCTCGAAAATCCAAAAATAAAAATAAAAATTAGTTCGTGAGTATATATGAAAATGATTTCATCTGCAATTATAGTACATGTTTGCTTACCTTATCTCCTTTCATCCCTTGACTATTTAAATTCTTTCCCAAGAATCGGTAGACACCAAAAAAAGGTCATATGCGACATGATTTATTTGGCAGTAATAGTCGATTATAGCTATATACTTTACCAAAAAAAAAAAAAAAAAGACAGAGAGAGAGAGAAAGAAAGGGAGCCATGTGCTCAATTCATATCAATCCAATGTTTCTTATTGTTGCTATTTGTCAAGTCATCTTACCAGTATAGCTTATGAAGGAGGTGGGGATGAAGGGGCAAAAAAAAAAAAAAAAAAAAAAAAAAAAAAAAGGAGGAAAGATGGATTGGAACAAATCGATCATCCTTTTACCAAATAGAATAATAAGAAAAATAGCGAAAATATACTTTTTTTTTTATTTATTTACAATCCTATATACAAAAAATTACCACTAATCAAATACTACAAGACTACTAAAACTATCCTTTCCAATATCCTTCATCATGACTTCCAAGGGAGATAATTGAGATTTGATACGATCCTCTTGTTCCTGCAATTCCCATCGACTAGGAGGTACAATTTCACTGGCCACTTCATCACCATCCATAAAGTTCTTGAGCATATTTTGGGAGAAACCAGCCACCATCGCCACACCTTTTGAATCCTTGGTTGCTTGTAAAGTCAATTCACTATTCCCAAGAGCATTGAGATTCCACCATACGATTTCAGGAGGTACATAACCAGCTTTTTCATATTCCTTGACCACAGTTTCCCACAAAGTATCAAACTGACCATCATCATCATCAACAGAGGGTGTCACATTGTTGAATTGCATATCCGTAAACACAAACAATCGCTTGACCATGTCTTCTTGCTTGAGGTTGAATTTCTTGGCCATAGGTAATAATAGATCCACAAACACTGCATAGAGATTGGTTGACATACCCCATTCGGATGCTAATACCTTTTCCACTTGATCAGCAAAAGATAAAGTCGTATCGATTGAGATGATTGAAGGGTGTTCTGAGAAAGAAATCATGGTGCCAGCAAAAGGTTGAGCAGCCAGAGCCATCAACGTCAATGAAAGTCCAATAGCTGCATTGAGAGGTTCTACCGAGTTTTGACCATATGTCATGGAGCCAGAAGTATCACAAATTGCCAATGAACTTCGAAGAGCATGTTCAGGTCCACAAGCCTCTTGAATGGCTCGAATATAGGTTTTCCATTGTCCATCCAACAAGAGTCTTTCCGCCTTGATTGTTTCTTCATCTTGATTTCCTTTGTTCAATGCACGAGCCCGTTCCACAAAGTCATGAGGTCCTAGTACAGCACCGCTCACCTTACGAGTCCCATTGGCAACACCTTGGAGAAAAGCTTGATATTCATTTGGTACATGTTTCAAAAAATGTTTCGAGTTTCTTTGCATACAAAGAGAAGGCACATGACTAAAGTTGATCTTGTTCCATTCATTGAGAGCCATTCTTCGTTCAGTGACATCCATTGCTTTCCGTAAAACAGAGGTGATATGTCGTCGGTACTGATCGCGAGCTTCATTCAGGTGATATGTTCGATCTTCATCATCACCATTAGCAGAGGGAAGGAAGAGTATTTCAGCAATGGAGGTAACAATCATCGTATATTTGTCGTGAGAACAACCAAGAGAAGGTGCCCATTTACCAGCCAGACTGATCTTGTTCGCCAATGCATATCTGTCATCATCCTTGGATTCGTTCTTCTCGTATGCCAGCACGGTTTGTTGATCCAGTTTCAATTGAGCCGCAAAGAGTCGAGCCACAGTGAAATGTAAAGCACGATAAAGAGGATCCTCGGTCAATAAACGCACCACCTTGTCATTTCGTTCTTGTCGTACCCTTCTTCGTTTTTCCATTTGTGCTTGTTTTTCCATGTTTTGACGTTCCTTGCTTGCATCCACCCGTTCCTTTCGTAGACGATCCACTTCTTCCTGAGGGAGACCTTCCAAAGAGGCACAAAAAGCACGACGTGCCTTGCGTCTAGCTCGATGATGTTCAGGATCGTATTCTTGTCTTGGATGATTCAATGCAGTAAATTCCTTGCCGTCCACTCCTTCAGTTGTATAAATACATAGAATGTTGAGAAGATCCTTCCAATAACCATGAGACTTGTAGTAGATAGCCTTTTCATCCTTGTCCACGACTTCCCAATCATCATCCTTATCGTTGTTCTTGTCTTCCACTGGGCGATTTGGAATAGTACCTTTAACCAAAACATCCATGTTACAAAGTGCGGTTTTGGGATGGTGTTTGAGTAACCATAGGAAAGCCGTATAGAATCCCATTTTGTTCATCTTGCCATCATGAATAGACCGACAATGGAAGATCAACTTGAGAGTGGTATCAGGATCTTTGTCATAAGCAGCAGCCAAAGCATCAGAGGAACAATCCTTACCCACCATAGAAGCATATAAATCCAAGCAAGGATCCGACGAGGTAGAATGAGCTACAGCACCATTGGTTGTCACTGTGAGTTTTTCCACTTGTTGTAACGCGTCCATGAAAGCTTGACTATCACGTGTCTTGGTCTTCTTTTGTTCCTTGTTCACTTGAGCAGATAAAGCATCGATTTCTTGGTCCAACAATGACTGGTCATGTAAAGAGGCAAAGAAAGGAAGAGAAGAAGGAAAAGTAGCAAAAGACATGACGGTAAGAAAAAAAAAAAAAAAAGTCCACAAGAAAGTAAAAAAAAAAAAAAGAAAGAAAGAAAGGAAAAGATAGAAAAATAAAAAAAATTGATTTATTAATTTTATTAAAATGAGTGAGACTACGACAACTTGCCGCAGAGCCCCGCAGCTAAAAAGTAAAAAAATTTAACTAAGCTAACAAGATAAAACTAGTATTATTTCGGTCGTACAGGTTTGGCGCGTTCAACGAATCGTCTTGCTTCCTTTGCTTTGAAGAGAATAGTACCTGCTACCCCACCACGCTTGAGTTTTGTTGTTGATGATGTGTTCTTGTTTTTTCGTCGTTCTTCTCGTCGAGTTTTAAAAAGTTGTCTTCTTCGTTCCAAATCTTGATCATTGATTCGAGTGATAGAAGCATATTTGTGATAAGTACAATCCATCAGTTTGTGACAATCCACCATTCGTTTGGGCATATTTTGAACCACTTGGAAAACTTCTAAAGGATCTGTCACCGAAAGGATTTGATGTTCATTCAATTTAAAAATAGCTAAAGCCGTTCTCATCAATGCCTTTCGCCCTTCACTACGAAAAAGGAAAATAAAAGAGTGTGAGCCATCAGATCTCCGACCAGCGCATACAATCATAGATTTATATCATTTTTCAAATTGACGTTGTAATTACTTACTAGAATAAACAATCCCAAACACGAAGAACAGACTACACAAACGAAAAAAAAAAAAAAATCCGTCATCTATCTTTTTTTTTTTTTCCTTTTGTTGATGGTTACCTCTGTTGGTAAAATGTTGATAAATAAAGTAAGAAACCAGTGACTTGTCACCAAAGAACTTGTTGGTAATCCAAGACCATTTGGATCTTCACATTCCCAAAATGATCTTCCATCCGCCAAACGTTGCCAAATACGTGGACATCTTTCCGATAATAACATCATCAAAACATTCTGATCTATATTTGCACCTTCCATAGTAGTATCATATACGTTGGGTGGGAGAATATCATGAATCAATACCACAAATGTCCAGAATGCCTCTTCTTCTTCCATAAATAATAAAAGTAGTCCAGCAATATAATTCAAGGATTGACAGTAACCAATAGATGGTGAATATACTGAGAAGGCGTATAGTAATCTTCGTAATTTTTGTATGGCAGGCATATCATCTTCCTGAGGACGTGGAGGCACAGTAGTAGCAGCAGCAGCAGAGGCATTCGAGTTTTTTGATTTGAAGAGATCATTGTCAGGAAAAGTACGATGGAGATCTATTACAATAATTTATCATAAATAATCAGTTACCAAAAAAAAAAGATATTCTTTTATTACTTACCTCTTTCTATGATATCGAGATATTCACTGTCTAATCCCATAGCCATAGCCTTATCAACACATTCTTGATAAACACCAACATGAGCTTGCATTTTTTTCTGACCACCACTATAATGAAACCAAGCCTAACAATAATAATAAATAAAGGAGGAAAAAAATGTATCTTGATTATAATACTTTGTACTTACTTGAGATCGAAACTCAGGAGGGATACCTTTTCTTACATATCGCTTGACTAGAATATGAGATGCGAAGATATGAGTGCTTCTGTCAAATGAGAAAAAAAAAAATTGAGAAACTTACATTTACTTGACCTTGGAGGCCAATCACCATTGTTTTCCTCTAATAATGTTCGCCATTTTTGAGATCGTCTCTGTGTAATTTCTAAATATTGTTGTTCAAATGCATCATATTCTTCAGCAGTAACCCATTGTGTAGATCGAACAAATCTATATTGATCTCTACTGAAAAATAAAATAAAATAAATTGATCAGCACACTCTTATTTATTTATAATAAATAAAAAAGTTTTACCTACGATTTGGATCTATTGTTTGAGGAGGAGGGTATAGACCTTTTCCATCATCATAAAGTTTCGGTAATCCACTTGTCGTTCCATTATCGTTATGATGATGATGATGTGATCTCCATGCCCGAAAAACGCTTTGGTGTGTAGATTCAGTATGATTGGCAATTTTCGTACTTTGGGATCGTCGAGAAAGATGTAATTTTTCTTTGAAGGAAGTAGATAGTTTTTTTTCTAAAGGTGCACTCGTAGGAGCTAGAAAACCAGTATCAGCAGTAGTAGCAGTAGCATCATTCAAACTTATCCCAGAGGTATTCAATTGTAAATTAGGTGTTTTGTTAGCGTCGTTGTTGCTGTTTGTAGAAGGGTGAAGATGAGAATTATTGTTGTAATTATTGATATTATTGTGATCTATATCGTCGTCGTCGTCATCTGAACCACTATCTACTGATGAAGTCCCACCACCTCTAACTGAATCGTTAACAGTTAAAAAAGAAGATGAAGCTTGATGAAAGTCTGATGGAGAATTATCTGGAAACGGGGTATTTGCTGAAGTTGATAATTGGGAAGAAGATGGTCGTCTACGAAAAAAGGCACTGAAAGAAGATGTACGTTGTCGACTGGAACGTTTCTTTGGAGAAGACGTATTATATCTAGCTGTAAAGGATCGTGTTAAAGAAGTTTTTGACTTTAATTTTCTGTCGTCGGATGAAGTCGACATTGGTATTCGTAGTCGAGTGGTAAATAGATATAAAAAAAAAAAGTAAAAGAAAAAGGAATATAAATAGAATAAAAGGGATATAAATAAAGAGAGGTAGGAGTGATTAAAAAGAGCGATAGAAAAGAGAGAGCAAAAGGGTTGCTCCCTGTATTGAGTTAAAGGAAGCAGAAAAAAAAAAAAAAAAAGGAAGAACCTCAAAATTTGGAAATATCAAAAAAAAGATTAAAAAGCTACTAGATCTTAGACGGTGATTGAAAATGTTCAAGAGGTTTCCATTTTTGATTCATGAACAAAGGTTGTACAGCCTTTGCGATTTTGATGCACAAAAAATATTACATACAAACTTGTATTATATATATAAATATTAAAGTACAATGTATACGAAGCATGACGCATATCATAAATCTGTTTATTTATCATACTGTAAAACTAATAATTATAAAACACTGACTATATAAATAGTAAATCATCTACACACATTACCATAATGTCAACGTTAATAAAGATGCAGGGACTAGAGCTACTGAATAGACATTTTACCGCTCTTTCTGTTTAATGAACTGATTGCCTTTTATTACTTTTGTTCCTTTCAACACAGTCTCTTTTCTTGTATCTATTGGATCAAAAAAAAAAATCATTATAAATCAATATCTACATATTATTACTTTTTCCAAGTGTCCTTTATACAAAGAAAGAACAAGAGTGAGTGAAATGGTTTGAAATCCCGAATTCACTTTTTGCATAAAAGAAATACACTTCAAAAAAAAAAGACTTTATTTTGAGAATAAAAGAAATAAAAAAAAATATACGAGAGGGGTTACTAGACTAAAGAGCTACAAAAAAAAAAAGATATGGTTGATTGCTACACTTGATACTAAAATTTTGACCATATCATTTGACATCTACAATAAAAGACCATCTTCCTTCTAGTAATCCCTTCGCGGTATCTTCCAATAGAATTTCACGACGATGTTTGACATACACAGCCTTATCCAAAACAGCCTGTCGTAGTTGAGCTATTTTTTCACGTTCCAATGGTTTTTCCAAAAGTTCTGATAATTGTTCCGTAGCCATTTCCAAATCCCGTTGATTATCTTCAAAGATTGCTGTTTGATTTGTTTTCGAGAGATAAAAAGCAAAAGCATAAGTCCATTTCAAGGTCATTCGACATTGTACCGTGATATCCACCGCCTTTTTCAAAAATTGAACTTCAATCCATGATAGGTCACTTGTTTGTTGCATTTCTTCCATTTTCTTTTCCGTTTTTTGATAAAGATCTTGATCCAGTTTAGCAGATTGTTCATGATTTGCATAACGATTATAGTACTATATAATAAATAAAGGTTTTTATTTATTTATTCATAATATTTATTATATACTTACATGAAGATACCTTTCCAGACTTAATCTTGATTGTGTTTGACTTTCTCTCGCTTCAGAGCTACTTCTTTCATCAAATCGATTACAATTGTACCAAGAAGTACCATGTTCAGACCAAGGACCTTCAAAAAAAAAATAGAACGATTATTCACTTTTGTATTTTTTAGAAAAAAAAAAAAAAGAAAAGAAAAGATAGATACTTACCCATACACACCCAACAAAATTCATGACGACATTTCCGACAAGTCATATGATTGCAGCCACCGTTCTTTTCAATAGTAGAATGACATTTTGGACATTCTTTGGTATGAGCCGAAATCCAATTGGCAGTTTCCGAATCGTCTAAACATTTTTGTAACCATTTCTTGACAATAGAGCAAATAGCCGGTTGATGATCAGGTAATCCACAACCAAAACAAAAGACATCCCCACAAGCACATTGAACAGTAGGAACAATAGAGGTCAAGGAAGTACTTGGTACATGACATTCCACAGCATATTCACAATCAGGGGCAGGGCACCATCGTAAAAAATCGTTGTCATCTACAAATGTTCGGTTCAGCAATTCCCGATACCTTGCCCATGTCTTGTCATCCACCACTTGTTGTACGGTAGCTTCATCCACAATCACATTGCATTTATCCTGAGGGCATTCTATCCTTCGACTTTCTCCATCTTCCTTGATTTTCTGTGTCAAATATTGTTGATAGCAATTAATACAAAATCGATGCCCACATGCCACAGCAGCAGTAGCCAATGAAGCATCATCATCGCAGCAAATGTCGCAAGTAAAAGGTTGTTGTGTTGATGGAAGATCTTTGGCGAGAATGATAGTGTGTTTGGTATCATTTTTGTTGTAAAAGTTTGACACACCGGCCGATCGCAGTACGTTTTCGGGCGCATCCATATATCTTTCAAATAATCGTTCCTTATTCCACCTGAAATAGCGTAGTAAAGTTGCTGCATCCTTTGATGGTAATCCTGATAATATATAATGATCAGTAACCCTTGTTTTTGTTGGTTAAAAAAAAAAAACTCCTTTTTTTTTCCCATTTTTTTTTTCTAACAAGATAAGCCCCATGATATCTGACCAAGAAAAAAAAAAAAAAAAAAAGAAACTTACCAAGAATAGTTGTCACTTGTTCAATTTCCTTGTTTTGACTATCCACTAAGTTTCGTACACTTTGTACGGAGAATTCCACTTCATATGCCTTGCGTTCATGTTTCTCGGCAAAAGCACCATCAAAAGCCATATCATCTGCTTCATCGTTATCTACAAACAAACAAAAAAAAAAAATGTCAATACTAATGATATATATTATCAAGTCCGAAACTATGAAGGTGTCATACGCAGCAATAATTATTATTTTTAAAAAAAAACTTATTCGTCTAACAATGTAAACAATAGGTAAAATAATGACATTGAAAAAAAAAAAAAAAAGGATACAACAACTCAGCCAAAAATCAATCACTCCCACTTTCTTTCCCCCCAACCCCTTCTCCCTCTTTCATATAGACCAAACAAGGTAACATAAGAGCCAAAGAAAAAAAAAACCGAATGACTTACCTGATACACTAAGGGAACTTGCAAAATCAGAATCACTATCACCATCCATGATATCATCAGTATCTACCTATAAAATACAAGAATATATATATTAGTTAATATAATGAAGGATACTATTTTTATCATCTTACACCAATCCCGATGTCCTTTTTATTATTATTACCATGAAATCATCGTCATAATCACTATCAGAGGCCATATTTATATATTATTGTTTTTAAGATGTATACAAAAAAGGAATAAAAAGAAAAAAAGAGAAAAAAAAACAGTATCGAGAATGATTTCCTGTTTTCTTTTTTTTATTCTTGTCTTTTGGGGAAATCAATAAAGAAAGAAGAGGAAAAGAAAAGAAAAAGAGAGAAAAAAAAAACAATGCGCTGGAATCATAGGCGCAGAGCTTTCTTTTTTTTTTTCCATCTCAGCCAAGAAGTGGGAAAGCAAACAAAAGATGACACTGGGTTTCAATAGATGGGAGAATTTTTTTGCTTTGTACACTCAAAAAAAGAACCTTCTCCCTTGCCAAAATGATAGATTTAAAGTTGACTTTCATCTCCTATCATCACTAGTAGTATACAATAGATAATCATCAATTATTTGAAGAGAAGGAGTATTTGTTTAAAAGGGGGGATGTTTAATTAACCATCATTGTTACTTTCATCCTTACTTTCCTTTGACTTAAACGTCACACTTTTCTTTTCTTTTTTCTTTTTTTTTTTTTTTATGTTCCAATAGTTTCATCATTATTCAAAAATCACGTTATTATAATTTAAGTAAGATAAAAGATATATGGCGTCAGTGGATCAACACTTGGTGATCTGATCAGCTGATATTTTTTTAAACAATAATAATAATAACAATACCTACCCATGGAGCTTTGATCAAGTTATTTATATTAGCAAATCTTTGCATTGCATTAATGAAACAAAAAAAAAGGTATAAAAGACTGGATTTTTCATCATATGAGTGTAACTTGGATCATATGGATATGTAGATGTTCAGATCTGTTTTGTTACACAAATAGAAGAATCATTAATGCTGTATTGTTATTGTAAATGGCTTTACAAGTTCATATTTGACAACAATAAATAAATAAAATATGGGAATAAAAGATATAATGTCAATGTTTTATTTTTCATACAAAGTGTGCAGTAATAATAAAATAAAAATAAATAAATAAAATAGAAACCAACATCTACATCATAAAAAAAAAAAAAAAAAACCAGATTACTTTTTTCTATCTTTTAAACCCAAAGTAAGAACAGTTCCATCAGTGCATCCGTAAAATCCCAAGTTTTTGCTGTTAACCATTACAGTTTGTTGAATGGATAATTTTTGTTTCCCATATGGCATTCCAATTTGTGAAGTGATCCGTTCCTTTACTGTTGATATCATCATTGTCAATGGTAAATCCGTTAGTTCAATTGTTTGTCCATTCAGGTTCCATTCCGGCTTTTCTGGGTAATTGATTGTTTGTATCACCAATCGAATAGTGGTCTAGCATAACAAAAAAAAAAAAAAATGGTGAGATATGGGTCATTCAATTTCCATTTATATGCAAATTCACTTACAGGAGCATTTGATGGGGCCCACGTATTATGTGCGATTGCTGCAGGAGGAGGAACTACAGTACTAGGTGTTGGTAATGGTACGTTGTCAAGTTTTTGTCGTTTAGCTTCACTTTGTGCAAGAGAATCATCTTCCACTTTCCGAATAGCAGCTGTGGTTGCATCCATAGTTGGTGTAGAAGTAATAGTAGCAGTGGACGTGTTGGATAATTGTGATTCATTATACGTATTCGGTAATTGACTGGTAAATGCACTTGCTGATGTGGTAGAGGGTAGATTTGTACCTGTTGCCATATCGGTTGAAGTTGAACTAAAGATTAAGAAAAAAAAAAAAGGAGTTAGTGTATATATTACATCTAATAACAAAAATATCAACTTACTCGAATATAAAACCATTTTTATCACTTTCATTTTGTCCTCGATTCCATGATTCTTGTAATAAACGTTCTCGAGCAGATTCTTCTTCGGCAATCTTTTTCCCAATTTCTGTTTCCTCTGAACCAAAGATATCTGATCGGTAACCAGAAAAGTTTTTCAAAATCTTGGCCACATCGGTACCTTCCTGTAACAAATTACTGTCGCGTAACTTGGCTTCCTGGGCAAGTTTCTGTTCTTTCCATTTGGGATCCAATAATTCAATTCTCATATGTTCATCCATTTCAGTAATAGGAATAGATTCACCACATCGTGGACAAATTTGTGTTTCTTGAACAGATTTAGTTTGTGGACCGAGCTTGGGTTTGTAATCAGTACGGATTTTGATAGGGGCAGCGAGATTTGGAGGTACAATAGGTTGTTGAATATCAGGTTGTGGTTCTTGTTGTTCTTCTGGTTCCAATTCTTTCTCTTCTGTTGGTTGTTCAATAGGTTCACCACCCAATTCCTTGTTCAATGCCTTTTCCTATTCATAAAAAAAAAAAAGGAAGAGTCAGCCGGAACCTTTTTTTTTTTATTTTATTTTTGATAATCAACTTACATAAGCGCCAAAGTCTGGTATTTCTTGCTCATCCATAGCAGATAAAGAGGCCATACGTCGTTGAGCCAAGGACATACTTTCCAATTCTTGTAAACTCATAGGAGCTGGTAAGTTCATCTTTTCATCTTCAGCAGTAAATTCTACAGTTTCTGCCACGACAAAGTCATGCCAATCAATACTTGCATAGGCCACTATTAAAATAAAAATCATATTGTGAGTTATTCATTATTATTATTATTATTTCCTTTACTTGTTCACTTACATTTTTCCTTTTCATCTTCTTCAGCTCTCTTCTTCTTTTCCCGTTCATCCCAAATGGTCCATTCCACACGTTGTTTTATTCGATCTAGTAATAGTGTTCGGCTGTTGTTCTTTGATAATTTCTTCTTGATGTCTTCCGGAGGCACCAACACTTTTGAATATTGTTTGATCAATTCGGTAAAGTATGGGAATAAACTATGAGTAGGTCGTAAAAAATCGAATTGAAAGTTGCGTGATTCACGTTGAGCAAGTTGACTGATAAAATGCCGACCGTTTCGTGCTGCAAATCGTGCTGTGAGTTTGATGATATCGCTAAGAAAAATAAGAAAGTAAGTTTTATGATAAGTGGAAAACGAAAAAAAGAAAAGAAACTTACAGATCTTGTGCTGACATTGCAGGCATAGGGACAGAAAATTCGAATGAATCAGGCTCAGGAGGAGCTACTTCCACTACAGGTTGTTGTCGTTCTTCCTGTGGTTGTTGTAATTGATCTACTGTGTCTGGCTGTATCGCACCATTTGTCATGACACCTAATCAAATTATAAATAATTATTAATTTCAATAAAAAAAAAAAGAAAAGAAAAGAAAAGAAAAGAAAAGAAAAGAAAAAAGAGTATTACCAGATGCAGATCGTGCTTCCCGAAGTTTATATTGATAATAAGCGTGGTACGGGTCGGTAGGATTCATAAAACAAAAGCGAGGATTGTGTCTTTCATTTTCACGAATACGTTCTTCAAGTTGAGGACCTTTGTTTGCTAAAAATTGAGCTGCTCTATCGACAGTTTCTATACAATAACAAAAAAAGTAGATATATAAGTATAAAATGGAAACAAGGATTAGTTATATTTCTTTTACTTCTAATATCAGGAGGAGGGTAGATCATGCCAACTAAAGGAGCCGTAGTAGTTGTTGCCTCATTGGCTTGTTTTGAACTATCTACATTCATTGCTGTTGGTTGTTCCACTGCTGAAGCCATCTTGGTTGACTGAAAAAAAAAAAAACAAAGTGAAAGAAAGACAAAAAGTGACGAAAAAAGAAACAACAGAAACAATTTTATTTGATTTGCCCAACTGCACGCTGTCACATCGGAGTATCAAATGTAAAGAGCATACGAAACCAATACATTTTCTTTGACATATTATTACAAGACATACACTTTATATATAAAAACCAATAAACTAAAACAATATCTATACAATCTATTTTAAGCCTTATATTCCTTCCATTTCAATTTCAATCCTCCACGAATTTCAATTGGCTTGCCGTCCTGAATGGTTCTTCCTATAATACAAATCATCAATTATAAACACATATTCCCTTTCAACAAGAAAAAAAAAAAAAAAGAAAAGTTTATAATTTTTATACCTTTCAATACTTGTACACCCCAAGCACGACCATGAGTAGTTCCCTATAACATATTTAAGTATATCAGAATTGAGAATAAGTTCATATAAAAATATAGACAAAGAAAGCAACATAAAAGGATATACTTACAGGCTTCAGGTTCACTTTAGTAACTTCATAATAACTGTCCTTCAAGCTAGGATTGTTGATATATTTAGTAGGTGCCTAATTCAAGTAAAACAATGTTAATATTGTAATAACAAAGAGTTTATTTCAACCACAAAGTAAAATTACAAATGAATAAATGAACTTACCACCCGGGAACCAACACCTTGATTGGGAAGAGAACTAAGTACTTGATACAAGTTTTTACCGGATCTTGATTTAACAGCTGAAGCTTCAGTTACTGCTTCAAATAATACACGAGTGAAAAACATATTGAAGACGAAAAGAAAGAGAAGCAGAAAAAAAAAAAAGTGGATGAGTTTCAAAATTAAACATTTCAAAAAAAAAAAAAAAAAAAAAAAGAGAAATGTACCTGGCAGTCACCGGGCAACTTTTTTAGGAAAATCGTAACGAATAACGGATTGGGATGCACCTTCTTCCTGGTGTACTGTACGAATATATACTACTCTGAAACTTCCTTTACATTGACAAGTCAGATCGATTCTATGCTACAGAAGAAGAAAATCCTTATCAATGGTTACGTAACATGGATCTACTACGAAAAGGTGTTCAAATGAGCAATAAAGATATTACTTTGGTGGCATCTACGCTAATGAAAGGAATGGCGCTATCATTATCCAACACTTTTGGCATCATCATTGGAAATTTGTATTCGATAATCGTCCTTTCAACACCGACAACATCATTCGTTCCCCAATAAACTCAATATCCATCTTCGTGTTCTTCAATGTAGATTAGTTTGCCCCATTGATATAGCTGCTTTTTTTATATGCAATCAATAAGAAATAGGTTTTTATTTACCAATTAAATCAAATTATCCAAACTATACAAACCAATAAAACAATTGGAAAACGAACTTCATGATAGGATGCGTTTTCCCTGTTTCCCGTCAAATTGTAAAGGTTTCCTCTTTTAGCCTTATTCTTTTTTTTTTTTTTTTAATCAGCCACCTTTTTATCTGTATATATCTAGCTAGTTATTACCTCCTTCACTTTGTCAAGAAAACTTTTTACATCCTTATATAAAAATCAATTGTCAGGAGCTCACTACTATCCAAAAAAATGGTCATGCTTTATTGTAAGAATGTGATGATCTAATAATCAATACTATTCTATCATCTAAATTTCTAGTCTATCATCATATCATCATCTGCAATCATTAGATCCAAGTTCGGTATTCTTCCATCCGGTAAACAACCAATAGGACAAGGTTTCCAACTTTTTTCATCATGAAGAGTCCAGCCAGATTCGGAATGGATTCTTGTGTCATCAAATGTAAGTGAAGTGTCATCAATACCCAACTATAAAAAAATAAAATAAATACATCAAGCCTTAGATATCGTACATTCTCTTTCTTTATACCTTTTTCTTCAGTTGGGTCATTTGTTGTGTCAGAGCATCCAGTTCTTCTTCCATTGGGATATCCATAGAATCACTGGATTTGTTTGTATCATTTGATGTAAGTGTCATAGAGCGATCAATATAAATAATAAAGGGTGTCAACTTTTTGCCAAGAATAGGATCGGCCACCATGATGGATTGAAGTACGCTTCTTGAACTATACACAGATAAATAAATCAATAAAAAATCAAACTACTACACCATTTTTTTTTCTTTCTTCCTCTTCTATTTAGAACTTACTATGTGTTGGGTTTCTTTAAACATCCTTCCAATATATCATTCAATACACTTTGATCGAATCTGTTATTACCAGTTTTTCGATAAACACAAGATACAAAATACCGTAGCCAGCATGCTATATAATATATTTATATTCGAAACCAAATGATAGTCAGTTAAAATGGCACAGTATCATCATATTTCTTTTTTTTTAAAAAAAAATTTACTTATTTTTACTTACTTAGAGTCAAAAGATAACTTGTTTGTTTGAATTTTTCTGATTCTTGATCTTGTTGCACTACGTTAGACTATCAAACAAAAGAGGGATTTCATAAGTACGAAAAAAGAAAGAAGATATAATTATGGCGTATATTTTACCATAAAAGAGAATGATTGTGAAACATTTTCAGATAGTTTAAAACCATTGTCAATATCAAGTCGATCTAACATAGCGTTGACCAGATTGGTTATAAAATTTGGATATTCTTTATCGAGTTCCAATAATAATGGCATCCAGAGTTGAATTAGATCTTCAGAAATAGACATTTTGTCAACAGAAGCTCGTTTCCTACAAGAATAAAAAAAAATTAAGATATAAAATAATGATTTAATTCATTTTTTGTTTTTTACTTTTTTCCAGCAGGTACGAGTCCACCAATTTTCAATAATAATGGAACAATGCTATCATTGATGATATCTTGTGATAATCTATAAGTCAAGTTTGATATAGTTCTTTCAACTTCAAGTCGATCTTTCGCTTTGGGTTTGGGATCTACAGAAATAGAAAAATGTTAATACAGTTAATCATATATATGAACACCTACTTTTTAAAAATGCTTTTCTTGTTTCTTTATATGTAGTGAGTAATTGTGATAAAACTCGCATCAATCGATCATCCACAGCATCTAAAGTATCTGGTTGAATTTGAGCACTCCAATACGTATCATATAACCATTGTAAAGCCTATATAAATAGAATTAGTTTCTTTGGTTCATAATTTTTTTGTTGTTTTCTTTTTACATACCTGTACACTAGCTTGACGTAATGTTAATAGTCCTGGAAGACCTTCATGAGTGGCAGCATGTCGAAGTTCGACAAAGTGAAGAGGTAAACCAATTTGGTTGGCAATATTGAATAATGATCTTGCAAAATAACCTTTTTGTTGAGAATCTTCCAAGATATTGACAAATCTATTGAATATATGATAATCATTTTTTATAAGTTAAAAAGAAAGGATAGTTTATATATATACCTTGTAAGAACACTACTATACAAAAGACGTAATTCGTTTTGTGAAAGAGTTGGGTATTGTTTTTCCTTTTGTTCTCGTAGTTGAAGTTCAATCAAATCCATTGTTGCAGTAATGGCTACAGGTATTTTTCCACGACATTGCCAAGCTTTTAACTATATAAGAAAAAAAAGAAGGTGAATAGTTGAGTTTTTATATTGTTTGTATATATATATATTATTACTCGATCGACACCAAGTTGAACAAGATCAGGTCGTTGAGACACGTCAGAATATAACCATTCAAATACTTGAAGAAATTCTTGATTACTCGTCCAAGGAACAATACGTGGTGTACGAAAATGACGACCCATAATAATAATAATAATAAATAGTATAAAAGATCTAAAGGAAAAGAAAAAGAAAATGATGCATTTTTTTTTTTTTGATGTCTGTTGGGCCGACTTTTTCCTCCAGTCACATTTCAGTTTTTTTTTTTTTTTCTATTCTTCCTTTTCTTATACAAATATCCACTTTTCCCCTTCCTTTTTTCTTTTCTTTCTTTTCTTTTACTTTTTTATTACAACAACACCAAAAAGAAACATGTCTAAACGATCAGCAGAACCACTTGAAAAAGATATCCAGTTAAAGAAGCCACGAACTACTGACAACCATTCACCCGATTGTCAAGATCCTGATTGTGAAGGTTGTGATATAGGTGAAGTAGAAATCTCTTTTATTAGAAAGAATGATCAAGGCGAAGAAGAAAACGTATCAGTACAACCAACTGGTCAAGAATTACTGACTATGGCAAAAGAAGAACAAGGTGATACGGATATGTCACGAAGATTATTTGATATGGCTTTAGAACAATTTGAAAAAGAAGAACAAGGAAAAACTGGAGAAGGTTATGCTCAATGTTTGGTTGAATTAGGACGTGCTTTAAACGTAAAAGAAAGTATACAAGAAGGTTATGATATATTTATTGGAAAAGAATCATCAAAATTTGTACAACTTTGGCAGGCTCGAGCTGCTCTGGCTTTGGCTCAATCTATTCGACAACAAAAGAACAAGACCTTTGAAGAACTCCGACTGGACCTTGAAGATACTGATGGTGAAATAGAAGATGAAGTGGCATTGGAAAAATTAATAATGAAGGATCAAGTATCAAAAGAAGAAATCAAGTATTATAAAGAAGCTCTTGGTAATTTAGATAAGGTAACCAAAAAAAAAAAAAAAAAAAAAGTGATGATCCTTTATTGATAATTCCATATTAGATTCTTTCACAACCATTTGACAACCTTGATGAACAAACTTTATTATTGGCCCGACAAACAATGCATGATATTCGAGAATATGGTGAAACATTAGAACAACCTAACCATGAAGAACATGTTGCTGTCCTTTTCGATACACTTATCCGATATATTCAACATTTCCCTTATGAAAATGACGATAATCTATTGACGTTATGGGGAGCATCTCTATTACATCGACAAAAATTCGTTCAAGGAAAAGAAAAGGAAATGGTAAAGAAAAAAAAAAAAAAAAGAAAAAAAAAAGAAAAAAAAGAAAAAAAATTAATATTGTTTTTGAATAGATTTGTCAACGTGCTGAAAAACTTATTCAACAAGCCAAAAACACTTATGTTTCAAAATACAATCAAGAAAGTCCCCTGGGTTGGGAATTGGTAAGTTCTAATTGTAGAATAATAAATAAGAAAAAAAAAAAGACGATATTTACCTTTTTCTATTATATAGTATGCTATGCTAAAGATGACTCAATCCAATATGGCGGAAGATGAAGATCAAATCTTGGAACTTTATGATGAATCCATACAAGCATTCAAAAAAGCTCTTGAACTGAATCCAGGTAATCATTTCTATTTATAATACTAACAACTATGCCTCACTCACTCTTTCTTTTTTTTTATACCAATAGGAAATGAAAAACTACAAGAAATGTTAGAACTTCTGGGATCTACAGGAGAAGAAGAAGATGATGATGTTGAAGAACAATGAATGACTAGTTTAGACTGTACAATAATCTTTCACCTTTTTTTTTTTTGATTATATTATTTCTTGAATAAAAATGACATTGTATATTTATTAGTATTGTTTTTATCATTAGTTGGCTTCATATATATATATATATAATTGATTGCGTCTCATCACAATAAGAATTTAATGAAAAATCACATAAAATTTCTTCTTACAATGGATACACTATTAGTTTTGATATGATTAGAAATTTTGGAAAGATAAAATAATACAAAAAAGGATAATTCATTCGATCTATTTTTTTCAGGTACTATCTTAAAAAGTACAAATAAGAAAAAAACATGCTGTCATCCAATTCACGCTCAGATTCGCTTTTTCTTGGTTGTTGCTTGTCAAATGAATGCTGGTACAAAAAAAAAAAAAAATATTCAATTTTTATTTCTTTCTTTTTCTCTTGATTTTTATAAAGATGGAAATCCCGCAAATGGAATTATGGTTTGAAAGTGCATTTGATTATTTAAATACTCATAATGTTTCCGTATCAAAAGACAATAAACTCAAGGTAAGTCATATGATTGGCTCATCAGAAAAGTAATGTTGTATACTCAAGTTCCTTTTTTTTTAATACAGTTTTATGGATATTTCAAGCAAGCCACTACGGGGGACTGTACGATCTCAAAACCAAACTTGTTTGAATTTGTGGCACGAGCGAAATGGGATGCATGGCATAGTCTCAAAGGCATGTCATCAACAGCTGCCATGGAAGCCTATGTAGAACTAGCTGAAAGTTTGAATATTGGATGGACGCGCAATGGAGAATATGCATATGAAGATAAAGGGAAAGACAAGGTAACTTGATATAGAACGAAATATCAAAAGTAAAGAGAGGATTGAACTCAAAAAGTTTACACACCTTCTTTTTTTATTTGTATTTATCGTCTCTAGAAAGATATGGACGGAACAGGCAATATTCTTAGTTCTTTGGCTCATGGTGAGGAAGACGACGAGGAACAGTAAGTAATGAATAAAAAAAAGTTTGATATGTTATGTATATATGTTTGCTGATATTTCGTTGGTTAGATTGACGGATGATTTAATTGGATATACCAAGGCAAACAATCTGAACAAAGTACGTGAACAAGTCAAAGAATTCAAGAAGCCCGTTGACACTAAAGATGAAGAGGTAGGCATCAAAGTGAATGTTATATAGATGCGTTCAAATTTGACTTTGACCATCATATTTTTTATTATTATTATTATATTTTTTTTTTTTTTTTTTTTTTTTTTTTTTTGGTGGTAGGGATTGACAGCTTTACATCATGCTTGTGATCGTGGGTATACGGATATGGTTAAACTTTTGATTGATTTGGGTGCAGATGTGAACGCGTTGACCAATGATTCAGAAACTCCATTGCATTATGGTAGACTCAAAAAAAAAAGATTGTAGTATGGTTGACTAATGAATGGATGTTTCATTTTTCTTGTATAGCATGTGTATCTGAACAAATGATAGTGGCTCAACAATTATTAGATAAAGGATGCGATATCAATTTGAAAAATAATGACGGTGAAACTCCCTTCGATGTAGCCGACAGCAGTTTTGTTAGTCAATTGATAGTCAATTAGCTTGTAATTAGAAACATCTTCCTATTCAATTATCTCCCTTTTCTAATGATGTACCATATTCGATATCAATGTTTTTTTATTTATTTATTTTTGTTTATTTTTGTGAATAAAATATCGTCATGATTTCAATCATAATATCAAATGTGGGTTGTTTTCTAGATATGTAGACAGTAAAAATGGCAAAAAAAAAAAGTAACAAAATAATTGGGGAATGTAGTTGCATAAAAAAAATAAGAAAAAGGTGTGTGAGTAGGGGATGAATGCAATGATGTGATGATGATGATGATAATAAAATATACAATAATAAGATCTAAATAGAGTACGTCTACTTGTTGAAACGAGCATGGTAAAAAGAAGGAGGAAGGTTTTCCAAAACACTTTCTTTGCGTCGTTCCACCATGACCATAGAATTCTTGTCAATAAAGTCACAATGTAAGATTTGTTGATACGATACAGTAAGAGAAACATCCAGTGAAGAGCGTTGTTTTTCATTGACAATAGGAGCATTGTTGTTTGAATCCACTTGATCCGCCTTTCGTTTGTGTTGATTGCCTTTCTTTCCTTTGGAACTTGTTGACATATCCACCTTGGCCATAAATTGACTACCATATAATACAATATCATTCTTGTTGGCAGGATTATATATCACACCTCGAATTCGATCCCGTTGACGAGCCAATAATGAATCCTGTTGATCCATATGTTTTTTAGACCAGCTTGTTTGACATTTATGTTCGACATCATAGATACGGAAGGTATTATTTGCATAGGCTACAAGTAGTTCGTTGGGTCGAAAAGCGTTGAAAGATAATGTTGTTTGAGGGAATGACATTCTTGGGACAGTGAAGTGACGCTGCAAGATAAAAAAAAAAATGATGATTTATATTAACAAAGAAGTTTTTTTTTTTTTTTTTTTTTTGTATTGTTTCTTACCTTTAAACTATCTAAACTGAAAACATATGTATTACCATGATCATCTCCTGTCGCAAGCCATTGTCCATCTTCACTAACTGCAATATTGATGACTGTACCAGTAGAGTGTTGAGAATGAGCATCTGGAGTATGTTGTCCAAATTCAGCCAAAACTTCAAATTCACCTTGATCCCAATGGGATAGATCAATAACAAGAATCTTGGATTCTACGGTAACCACAATCAGTTTATCAGAGCTTGGGGTAAATACCACATGATGAGCGCCAAGAGCTAGGTTGTTCTTTGCCAAGTAAGCTGCAAGAGAGAGTTCAAAGCTACGCATTTTCTTTACTGTCAGTTGACCAGATTCTTCATCCTACAAGCAATTAATAATAATATAATAGAATGAGAATCGATCATCATAGAAATAAACGCTATCCTCTTCTTACTTACTTGATGTTGTAAGCTGAATAGTCGAACATTTTCCACATCACAAGCAGCAATCCATTGAGCATTTTCAGATAAGGCAGCAGAAGTGATATAACAGTCATCCTTGAGTTGTAGTTTTGCTAAAAATTTATGAGGTACATACATATCGGGAATAGAGCCTTTTGTATCGAGATCAAGAGGTCCAGCTATTATAATATCATTATTGAACCAAAAAAAAAAAAAAAAAAAAAAAAAAAAAAAAAAGGTTAAATCATTTTTCAATCTCATACCTAATATTCTTTCAATTCAATCATTTACCTTGTCCTAACCTCCAAATGGAAATAGTATCAAATATTTGAGCCATCACCAATTTATGAGATTTTGAGATAGACACCAAATATTTACGAGCAAAAGGCGGTAAACGGTTTTGAATCAAACGGGGGAATTCCATAGCTGGAGATACGACTAATTCACAATCTACACCACCAGAGACAATAGAATTGATTCCAGGTCTTTCATCCAAAGCCAAAGTACGTACATCATGATAATGATATCTACGATTTCCAACTGTTGTCCAGGTACCAGGAGCAGTTTTCTTTTTGTCTTTTTGAGATTGTACCCGTTTACAAGAGAGAAGCTTACGATCTACACCAGAAGAAAACACCATATTGCCATCACGAGAAACAACTACAGAAAGGATATCAGCAGCATGTGCCTTGATCGATTGCTTCATTGTACCAAGTTCAGAATCCCAAAACATCAAATGTCCCAATGAATCACCAGAAATAATTGTGTTGTGCCTAAAGCAAAAAAAAAAAAAAAAAAAAAATCAGTCAATGCTTATTCTCCATCAACATTTTTTTTGATGCTTACTTTGTGGCTACTACACTCCAAACCATAGTGGCTTCTTTGTTTTTTTTATCAACTGTCATTCGATGAGTAGTACGACCGTGTTGAACATTCCATTTGCGAACACTACTATCAGAACCACCAGTAACAATGTAACTATCATCAGGTCCCCAAGAGATTGATAAAATACGGCCTAATAGAAAAGAATGAAAAAAAGAAAATGTCAATTACCTCTGTTTCATTAAGATCATTTTGTTTTTGTTGATTACCTTTTTGAGATTCAAAGCTTCGAATATATTCCAATTGATCATCAGAAATATCAAATAAGCGAATACAACCATCTTCACAACCAGCTGCCAATCGAGTACCATTACTATTCACTGCCAAACACCATACAGAACCACCATTTGAATCCACCGTTTTCTATTCCAAAAAAAAAGGAACTTAAGTACACAAATACTATCATTATTTCTCTAATCTTACCTTTGCTGTTAAAGTGACAGGATCCCATTCAACAATATAAGGATTCAAACTTGATGAAAATAAACGTGGAGGTTGAGCAAGTTGTTGTTTCAAAGCGTCTTCCATTTCTTTGGGATCGTCGTAAGTATCAGTTGATACAAGTATTGATTGATGTGCCCATACAAGACTTTCTACAGATTGACCATGACCACCAGGAATGACCTTTTCTAAACGATAATTCCAGCGCGGATCCCATAATTCAATATCCCCATTAGCACGTCCTACTGCCAGTTGTGTATGTTTGACAGATGCTGGAGTAAAATCCATCGTATTAATGGTGGCTGGTTGATATTCTACAAAACGACATCGATGAACTTCCATTCTTTTTCTTGTTTATAGAATGATCGAAGAGAAGACTAGAAGGAGGAGAAGAAGAAGAAGAAAAAGAGAAAAAGGAAACTGGGGAAAAGGGGAAAGAATGGATTTCGGGAAAAGAGAAAAAGAAGGAAAAGAAAAAAAAGCGAAAAAAAAAAAAAAAAAAAAGAGGTAGAGAAAAGGAAAAATAAGCCACCAGTCCCGAGCATAAACAATTTCCATTTCCGATAAAACTTTAATTTCTTACAATTGCGTGCTCTTAACATTTCTCTTTCTCTTTCTACCTTATAGCATTACAAGTATTGTTGGATGAAATGATGTTATGGTAGATGTTTACTCATATATATAAAAAAGAAAAAAGCAAAAAATGTAATAAATTGAAGTAATCATAAACTTTTTATTTTGTTTTACAGGAAAAGCGAATACCAGGACTGTTTGACAAGGCTACTAATATCTTACATTCCCATTCACCCGTATCTGCCGCCATTTGACTCAAGCTTTCTACATAATCGCTATCAGGTGAATATTTCCAATGAATAGTCAAAGTTTCTAATGTTGGTTTGGACTGTAGAAGTAACTTGAAGGTATGTAACTGTATCTTATCATCAACTTGACTGATATCGAGATGTAAAAGGTGGTCAAGAGGCAAGATGGACAATTGGATGAGATCTGCATCACTAATTAACCAATTACCTTTGTCTTCACTATAGGAAGGGGATGATAAGGAGCGAATCACTAACTTTGTTAATTCCGGAAACGATATCAACAATTGGTGGAGGCACTTGGTTTGGCCAGGACGATAGTGCACAAGATCGATCTCTCCTTTAAAACTTGTGATATTGGTGGTGGTATCTGCGGTCAAGTAAGGTGACACAAGGTAATAATCAAGCGAAATAGTGGACGAGTGGGGAAAGTAGAGCATGAGATTAGAGATAAAAGTAGCAAACGTGTTAGAGGTGCTTGAACACAACGATGATGGTGATGATGATAGTAAAGACATGGACTCATTCCTATTTTCTTCTCTTAGATAGGCATATCCTGTATCTATGATTCCTAATAATCCCTGAAGATCTTCCAAAGTGTACTGGTGGGTGAGTTGACTGGTCAAAGCGATATCATGGACAAATTTGGTAGCAAAGGAAACCCAATCATTTCGATGTAGACGATCAACAACATCATGAAGGTTTTCCACGGTCTTCAATGGTAGATAATTCCAAAGTAGTGGAAGAACGGCTCTGTAACAAGTCTGACAAGTTTGTGCAATTGTGCTTTTGGTCTCTGGTGTACTATACGTTGCTATAGAGATAATTAACTCGGTTGGAAGGTATTGTAGCATTGGATTGGGGGGAAATGATTTAATAGTAGATAATGATATTTTAGAATAGACCTAGTATTAGTGATTATATCTTAGGAAAGTGTTATGAATCTTGAAAGTATAATAAAAAAAAAAAAGAAATAATGATCAATTGAAATGAATTTTGAATGTTGAATTTATATCCTCTCCTGATATTCATTTCATTCGAAATGTTTCAAGCGTTCAACTTTTTGTCCGATATCAGGAACCAATAAGACTTATAATGACAGATAAAGGATAAATTATCTTCATTTTATTTAGGTGAATGTGATTTATTGGCTCCTATATAAAAGATCATCATCATCATCTTAAAAAAAGTCATCAATCAATAGGTAAATTTACGATCGGATTTTCAAAATGAGCATCAAGTTTATTTTTTAAAGGGAAAAAAAAAACTTTGGTTGATAATTTTAACAAGTGTCACTAGGGCAGACACCATTATTACCGATGAATCTGAAGGAACTTGCATCAGCATTCAACTTATGGCATACGAAGCTACCAAGAGATCCTGGATTAGGCCATACGTTGGGATCACAGGCAAACTGACAACCACATTGACTGTTGCCTACAGGAGTATAGAGCAAAGCATAGTTCCAAACAGAATCGCCCTTGAAATTGACACTGTTACGACCAGATTCGCCCAAGCAGCCAGGGTTACCAACAGCAACCCATTCACCACATCCAACGGAGCAATTATCATCATCACAGAATTGAGCCCAGGCGTCAGCATTGATGCCAACAATCATCATAGCAAGAGCCAAGAATAAAAAAGCAATTTTTATCATCATTTGTTATTTTGATATATATGTATAAGAAAAAAAAAGAACGAGAACATCATCTTATCACTTCTTTTAAATACTCTTCTCATAACCAAGATAAACAGGTCTTCATTTCCTTATTTGTCATCTTTAAAGATACTATCTATAGAATAAATAAATCCATAATGCATTAACCCTTGTGACTATATATCAATCTTTCTTTTTTTTTAAAAAAAAAAAATGTTGTCACACTAAATGATCATCATTCAGTCAATGCATATTACTGTGTTGCAAGTGTTACTCTACCAGAAGAAACTAAGATTGGATTCCACTCTCTGATATGGCAATGATCGTACCATACTCTTCTTAGAATAGCGTGTGTAAAATAAATTTAGGCTTTGAGTCGAACCCGATCGACAAAGAAGTGTGGTAACCATTCTTCAATGCTGAGTAAGAATCTATCATCAATTGTACTCTGGACTGAATGTGACTGAAATGTTGATGTTGTTTCATAATACTGAGCACTCTATTGACGACAAACGGCTGTCATCAGAATATCTGCTGAAATAGACCCGTAAAAAAAAAAAAAAAAAAAAAGAACGGTAGTACTGTTCTCAAGTATGTCAGGATATTCGGTTGCTGCATTTTTTTTTTTTTTGTTCGACGCTACTGGTAACTTTGATCGATCAATCATGATGCGTGATTATCATGTATCGGAAGAGGCAATTAAAAACGACTGATGACTCCATGACGGAAAGAATTTATCCGATAAAAGACATAATAGGTATAGCAATGTATACATATTTTGATAATTGGTTACAGGAAATGACCTTCGTCCTCATCAAAAGAACATTTCATGCATGTTACTCAAAGTAGAAAATATTCTCCCAAAAAGGAAAACATGTTCTTGTCCTTTTTTTTTTTTTCTTCATTAATAGATGAGCTCAGTAATGTGTAATTTACTTATCAGTATTCACTATCATCCATTGTCACAAATCATACCATTATACCATCATGAAATTACCATCATCTAATTACCATCATCATATAATATTGTAGTCATGTCCATCATCCTAACCACCAAAAAAGGAGGAGCAGGAAGAACGACACTGTTTCACTTTATGCGAATTATTTTTACAGACAATTACTACTAGTTCAACATTATGATTTGATTTACCCTTTTGAAGTGAAGAAAAAAAAAATGAAACGTGATGATGATGGCTCGGTGCATCGTTGTTAATCAACCTCGAAATAAAAATAACTCTTTTTTTCCCATCAGGAAGAGTAATTACCTTTTAGATCTCTCAGCCAACACCAAGGTAATTGGACAATCCAACAAAAAAAAAAAAAAAAAAAAAAAAAAAGGGAGGGAACAAAAACATCCTTAAAAGGTAAAATAATAGGACATCATCAAAGCCCTGATGGGCTTCCACTTTGTCCCGCGCGGCATCACTTGCCATATCGGGTGTGGCTGTGTCGAAATTTAATTTTTCTGCAAAACTAAAAAAAAAAAAAAAATTATGATCAACGCATGAACAGGTCATCCCACCAAAATAGATGACAAGTTGAATGATTTTCGATGATATGATTTAAAAGAATAAGGGGAATGAATGGATGATACCGTATAACAAGGATTCATCGTTCAGGTACCAAGTTTATATACAATCGTAAAAAAAAAAAAAAAAAAAAAGTGATAAAGGACAATGGCGCTTTCCATATGCATGAAAATCAAGGGTCGTCGGCTTTGAAGAGGCAAGGTGAGCACGTAACATTACGAATAGATCTATAACAAGTAATAGTATAGAAAATATTAAAAAAATATCAAAAGAAGAGATTGTGGTCAGACTGGCTTAACTTTAATCTATTCATAGCAACGTCAAATGGATATTTATGGAAAATAAATAGTAGAGAGCATTTCCATTAATTTGATTTTTTTTTTCTATATAAATGAAACCATCTTGAAAGAATCCACAATCATCAATTCACTCAAATCAATTCATTCAAAACAAATATAAATCATCATCATCATCATGAAGAACCTTTCTTTGATTGCTATCTTTGCTCTTATTGCTACTTCTATGGCTGCTCCTTCTCGACGATCTACTGGCCAAGACTGTGAACAAGCTACTGCTGCTACTTGTAGTAATGATTATCAAGTCACTAAAGATTGTTGCGCTGCTACTCAAGGCAGACCTATCTTCTTCAATGAAGCATCTCACGAATGTCAAAATATCTTTGGTAACGGTATCAATTGGGATAAGTTTGCTGCTTGTTGTACTTCCCGTGGAACAACTGGTCAATGTTAAATAGTTTAGATGATTCTTTTAAAATAAGCGTTGTATTATATCAAATAAAAAATTGTACCTTTTTTTGATTTTTTTATGTTATGCTACAATTATGATTGGTTGTTAATCTTTGTTTTAGCCAATCAGGTTTGAGTAAATGGATAGCTCGTCTTCGCTTTAAAACTCCACGTCCTTTTTCATATTTCCATCCTTTTTTTTCTTTTCTTTTCTTCTCTTTTCTTTCTTTGCCCTTAATTCCTTTTATTGTTTGCGATGTCAATAGATTGATTGTTAAAAGTTAACCAGTAGACAATTATTGTTAAGGTAATTCAAAAACAAAATCAATATAACGTAGATACAAACTTAGAGAATAATCTTCCCTATTTATCCTTTTTTTTCCCTTCTTCCTTAGTTACTAGACCCAACCCTATTCTTATCTGGTCTTTATTGGATCTATGATACTTTCTATTATTTGACAGAAACAACTATATTGTAAAAGGAAAACATCGCAGTGAACTGTAATTAAACTAATCTACTTGTTTTTCTTTTTGTTTCAAGCAAGATACGTTTCAGTGTCCAAGTAAGAACAGTCATAATCCATGATATCATATTATCTTGGTATGCTGCCTTGTTTCTTTTCATCTGCCTGTTTTTTTTTTTTTTTTATCTTTGTTTTACTATGGGACTATTAAACTAACCTTTATTTTCTCAACACTTTCTGACTAGATTGGATTATCCTATTGTACCATTTTTTTTATTAGACACTCTTTGAATGAGTATGAATGGACGAGCTTACTGTTGATTAGACTGGATGGATAGATGGATAATGGGATATGGATAATAACAAGGTCAATGGATGGATGAATAGATATATAATAGGATCAATCGGATGATATGGAAAATAGGATCAGTTGGATGGATGCATGGCAGAAATCGACAGGATGGGCTTGCTGTAGCTTAACATCACTGGCAAGTCAATGGATGCAACGAGATCTTTTTTTCATGGTCCCTTCTTCTGGTTTGGATCGACTTCTCTCTCTCTCTCTCTCTCTCTTAATTGGTTTTTGTTGTGATGGTCTTTTTATTATTAATTAGTTCTCGTCTTATTAGTGCCTATATATTATATTATCTACCATCTTCATAATATTTTATAGTTTGACCTTAATAAAACAGTTTTATATTTTCCATGACTATTATCATCATTGTCACTTGTTATTATCACTGCTACCCTATGTAGTCATGGAACTATTATCATCACTTTAATATCATATTATTAAGTCAACATCATCATCATCATCATCATCATCATCATCATCAAGACAATAGATATCGCAGGCTATCACGAGTGTTACTATGCCAGAGAACTGGGATTCGTCTCCGCACTTACCTTGATAAATGTCATGTTGGACAAAACCTTTGCGCGTAGATGAAAAAAAAAAATAATGATCATGATGATGAATTGAAAATAAGGAATAGTTCTATAATCACTTTGTTCCTAATGTACCAATGATTACCATCCACTATTATTAGAATTGTGTAAAGTGGATTTGGGCTTTGAGTTGGACCCAATTTACAGACAAAGAGAAATAATCACTGTTGTGTAAGTTCGTTTGTGACCGATCATGAAAAGCAATTTTCCGTCACCACTAGTACATACTAGGTATAGTATTATTTTATTATATGGTACTTTCTCGTTGTTTATTACCGATGATGACCCATCTACTTAAAGTAACAGATTTTTTTTGGGAGTGCGCCGATGCAGGTTCCTTAAAGTGGAAAAAATTTACCTAAAAAAGAAACCATATACGTACTTTCTATTGATATCCTTTAGGAGAGCGAGCTTATTGAATATTATATATTCATCATCACAGAGAGATTCATGAAGATCATCCTACTGCCATGATCATAGTTTCGTTCACCATATAATTATCCACATATTATTTATCCGTCATCACGCTTTAATGACAATTTAATAAAACTGTATTAATCATCATATGATTGGAAACCTCTGGGATATTAACTTTGTGTACTACTGTTGACCAATCTCGAATTAAAAGGTAATTTTTTTTTTCGTACAGAAGAGATGTAATCCTTTGACTACCTCAGCCCATCTCTAGCGTAGTTGGACCAAAAAAAAAAAAAGAGGATAGGATGATCAGTCTAAAGCTGAGAGTTACGAATTCCTGGGTATCATCATGATTTCCATTTTGTTGCTCGCGGTAACACTTGCCATTTTGGGCGTGGCTGTGTGAAAGTTTAATTTTTCTGCAAAAAAAAAAAAAGTAAATACAAACGCATGAATGCATCATCTTTCCACCATGGATGACAAGCATGCATGATTTTTAATGATATGATGTAAGAAGAATAAGGAAAGAATGGATGATAACTATCAAGGATTCATCATTTACAGAGTTGCATAGATTCCATCATCGTCATCAAAAAAAAAAAAAGAAGTTGTCAATAATCGTCAAAGGGCTCAGTGAGTGGCTTTGAAGAGCACGTAACATTGCGAATAGATCTACGCCATATACGTACAAGCATTAAAGATATTTCAAAAGAAGTAGAAATTACGATCAGATTTAACTTTAATCTATTCATAGCAATGTTAAATGGATATTTATGGAAAATAAACAGTAGAGAGTATTTCCATTGATTTGATATTTTCTATATAAATGGAACCATCTTGAAAGAATCCACAATCATCAATTCACTCAAATCAATTCATTCAAAACAAATATAAATCATCATCATCATCATGAAGAACCTTTCTTTGATTGCTATCTTTGCTCTTATTGCTACTTCTATGGCTGCTCCTTCTCGACGATCTACTGGTCAAGACTGTGAACAAGCCACTGCTGCTACTTGTAGCAATGATTATCAAGTCACTAAAGATTGTTGCGCTGCTACTCAAGGCAGACCTATCTTCTTCAATGAAGCATCTCACGAATGTCAAAATATCTTTGGCAACGGTATCAATTGGGATAAGTTTGCTGCTTGTTGTACTTCCCGTGGTAAAACTGGTCAATGTTAAATAGTTTAGATGATTCTTTTAAAATAAGCGTTGTATTATATCAAATAAAAAATTGTACCTTTTTTTGATTCTTTTTTTTTATGTTATGCTACAATTATGATTGGTTGTTAATCTTTTTTAGCCAATCAGGTTTGAATAAATTGTCTTTAAAACTCCACGTCCTTTTTCATATTTCCTCTTTTTTTTTTTTCTTCTCTTTTCTTTTTCTCTTTTCTTTTGACCCTTATTTCCCTTTACCGTTTATATTATTAATAGATTGATTCATAATAGTCATCAAGTAAGACCATTATTGTCAAGGTAAATCAGAAACAAAATAAATATAACATAAATATAGACTTATCTCTAATTCATATATTGGAATGATATTTATTATTTTTGTTTTTTCTTAGTTACTCTGGTCAATGGTCTTCTTGTCTTCCTTCTTTTGGATCTTTGATACTTTCTGCTGGGACTAATGATAACGGTATTGTGAAATGGGAACAACATAGCAATGAATTGCAATTAAACTTAACTACTTTTTTTTTTTTTTTTCTTAACAAAGATAACTTTTGGACCTGGCATAGAATAGCCAAAGCCGACGACGTCTTGTTATATTCTTCTTGGTATGTAATCCTGTTTCTTCTTCTTTATTTTATTTATTTTTATTATCTTTATTTTCTATATGATTACTGACTAACTTTCTTTTCTCAACACCTTTTGATTTTTTTTAGTATTATGCACTTTTTAAATGATTAAGGTAGAATAGTTTACTTTTGGCTCAACTGGATGGATAAATGGACAATAGGATCAACTTGATGATATGGTCAATAGGATCAGTTGGATGATATGGACAGTAGGATTGACTGAATGGATGGATACGACAAGTGTTCTTTTTTTTTTAATGATCTCTGTTTTTGGTTTTATTCCCTTTTTTTTTTTCTCTCATCTGGTGCCCATTGTGATGATCCTATTGGTAGTTAGTTGTGGTCTTTTTAGTGTTTATTCATTATATACAATTTATCTGTTTTTATATTCTTCTTTAATAAAGTGATATCTCTTTTTTTTCCGATATCATCAATGGAGTATTACATAAAAGGATCAAAGAGAAGTATGAATAGTTTATTTGATATAGTACACGCATGTGCATAAAGGTTTGACTAGACTATTTAACATTGACCAGTTTTACCACGGGAGGTACAGCAAGCAGCAAACTTATCCCAATTGATACCGTTGCCAAAGATATTTTGACATTCGTGAGATGCTTCATTGAAGAAGATAGGTTTGCCTTGAGTAGCAGCGCAACAATCTTTAGTGACTTGATAATCATTACTACAAGTAGCAGCAGTAGCTTGTTCACAGTCTTTCCCGGTATCAGCCATGGAAGTAGCAATAAGAGCAAAGCTAGCAATCAAAAAAAGGTTCTTCATGATGATGATTTTTTTTTTTTATTATTTGATTTAAGTGAGTTGATGATTGTGAATTCGTTTAAGATGGCTCGTTTTATATAGAAAAAATCAAATCAATGGAAATGAGTTCTACTTTCTATTTTCCATAAATATTCATCTGATATCGCTATAAAAAGTTAAATCTGACCACAGTCTATTCTTTTTTTGATATTAGTTTATTCCATGATTGGCTTAGCATTATTCGCAATGTTACGTTTTCATCCAAGTCATTGGCCTCTTATTCTCGATGCTTATGCAGGGTCCGATCTTTACAACATTTAGATATTGTGTAGAAGGTAAAATCTAGGCTCTTCATTATAACCTTTTTTTTTTTTTTTAATATTACATCGTACCAATTAAAAAAATAAAAATAATAGAAAAAAAGTTCATGCTTTTTCTATCTACGTACTCTGCAGATTTAGCTTTCTTGCAGAAATTTTTAAATTTCGATATTGCCACACCCGATCGGCCAGTGTTACCATGCCCCAAGAAATAAAGTAATGGTGATATCCTGGTATTGTTCTCACCAAACCAAGCCCTTTTTTTTCTGCTGACAACCGGATTCATCATCATCACTTTTTTTTTTTTTTTTTAAGAATGGCTAAGGAGACTAATGATTATATCGTTTTTCATTGTTCAATCACTATGTACTGGCAAAAAAAAAAAAAAAAAAAGCTCGATATGCGAGTGATTTTATAGACATTTGTTTCCCTTGAAAACATAGCTACTGCATAATGATGATTGATGATTACGATGGTATCGAGATTGAAAGCGAAATAGAAAATTCATTTCCCGAGAGAGCGATGAAGATGAGGGGAAAGGGACTAATTACAAAGGTTCTCAATGGCTTGTATATGCATAACTAGTTCTTAATTTCTATGGCTATTTTTAGAGTTGTTCAATTGATGAACAAGGAAGGAAAATGACATTGATACGATTCGTTTACTTGTACCTAAAGTGAATGCATATGGTTCAAGCTAAGAAATCGTAGTACATAACTTATTTCAATGTCACACATCGTGATGCAGATATGATCATTTAGCGTTACTGGAAAGCATCATCACGATCGCGTATATTTAATAATTCGTCTGAGCAACGAGCATGACAAGACTATAAGATAAGAAAATATGTTCAGTACATCATTCAGTTTGTAATTAACTATTGGATTAAGATGAATGTGTTCAAAATTCATTCTTTATTAAAAAAAAAAAAAAGAATCCATATAGCTCTTTGATTTAGAAAAGCTCCAGCAGAGTGCCAGTGCATTTATTATGATGATGAAAAAAAAAATAATGTCTATTGTAAAGATATAATATTGAAAAGAGAATGGGGAGTTATAAAAACTAGTGTATACAATGTAGCTAAATAAAAAGTAGGGTAGGAAGGTATATAAAATAAAATGAACTAATAGTAATTATAAAATAAAAAAAAAAAAAGAGAGAGAGAGGGACTAAAGAGCAATATGACGATTGACAGCGTAAACAAAGAACAAAACCCAGGCCACCAAAAGAGCAGAAAGGAAAGTACCAACATACAAATAGTTGAGTTTGACAACAGGTGTGTTGGAATAAGCGTCGAGTCCTTGTCTTGTCAATTCCAATTCCTTATCATTGATATCCTTCATACGATCCAAACGTTTAGCTTTTGTGCATTCCAAAAGATTGTTGTATTTCCATTTTTGAACAGCCCATAAACCGATGATCAAGACAAAACCTATAGCAGCCAAAACCATAAATAAAAGCATGACGCCAGTATATGCTTGTTTTGCAGTATTGTCCTGGATGACACCTACGACGATATCCAAGATAGACGTACCAATGTTGTTTGAACTTTTATAGATCCCTAACCCAGTACCTATATAATCCGAAGGAAGTAACATACCAATCGATGTGATCATAGCAATAGGACCAAAAGCCAACGAGATAGAATAGAATACCATACCAACCACGGCATCCACATATGTCCAACCAAGTAAACCAGATGATAGTAATAAAAATATAGCCGATATCAAAAGAATCACTACTCGAAAACCGTAGAAATCCATAAAGAGACCAAGCAAAGGAGTAGCCACAATAGGAACGACTTGAGATGCACTTGCTTTATAACCTGCCAAGACACTGGTTGTACCGAAATGCACTTGGACCAATTCAGTAGCAATGGTTTGGAAAGCAGACCATACAGCAGCATAAATAAATTCAATCAAGATAATCAACCAAAAGATATGAGGGAACTTGAATACGGAACGCCAATGAAATGTTTTCTTTTGTTTGAGTTTATTGAGTTCAGATTTCGTCAAGGTCGCTTGGCCACGCAAGTGCTTCACCACACCAGCATAAACAAGATTCATCAAGATGGAGAAGACACAAAAGAAAAGAGCCAGCCAAAAGGGCCATACCCAATCACCTGTAGCCTGAGAAATAGGATTCGACACCAACGTACCCAAAAAAGTAGATAAACGACTGATTGAAAGTTGAAGACCAATGGCAAAAGATAAATGTTGTGTACGGAACCATTTAGACAAAAGCGATTCTTGCATAGTCACAATCAGACCTGAACCAATGCCAAACACCACACGACCTACCACCATGAGAGCAAACGATTTGTATTTGGCAGCAATGGCAGTTAAAAGACTTCCAACAATAATAATCAAGTTGACGGCCAAAGTACCCCAAATGGAACCAAACATATCAATAAACATACCACCTACGATAGGAAAGATTGTATTAATGATAGCTACAGCTGAAGATAAAACGCCATATCTCGTATTGTCAATGTTCAATTGCTAAAAAAAAAAAAAAAAAAAAAAAAAAAAAAAAAAAAGAAGGACGTGAGAAATATATAGAAAGTCAGCTTGCCTTTTATGGTCTTACCGTTTTGACAGTAACCTTCATTGCACTAATAGCACTTGCTGAGAAATGAGAACCAACAGGAAACATAAGTGCTGTAGAAAGAGCTATAATCTTGAATTTCCAAGGTGCATTTGCCAAAGCCGTATCACCACCATGACCTTGTTCCTGATTTTCTTGTTCAAGTTTCATTTCATCAGGTTCTTGTATTTTTTCAGTATCTTCATATGTTTCTTTAGACATGATTGTTTATTATTATTATTTTTTTTTATTTTATTATTTTTTTTTTTTTGAATGAGGAAGAAAAGAAGAAAAATAAAAATAAAAATAAAAAAATAATCAGATCAAATGGTAAAAAAAAAAAAACAAAAAAGAAGATTTGTGAGCGGTAGTTGACGGGGATTCATTCCACCATGATCGTGTCACATCAATCCTTGAACTCGTTTATAGTTACTTATTGATTTAACATGTATATAATCATATAAAATAACATATTTTTTTCATTCATTGAAATAATAATGAATTCTATGTAGTTTATAAAGATTATTATTAATATTATCATTACTGTAAATTTTATATGTGATCAAAATGAAAAAAAAAGGAAATTTAAAATATTTTAAGTTGAATCCCTTCCTCGATTTCTTTTTTTTTTTAAAAAAAAAAAAAAAACTTCAACTGTAATCACTCATCAACAGAATTTTTTTTTTTTTTTTTGCAAAATAAAGAAATCTCAATATATCAAAAAGAGAGTCTTTCTTTACTGATAGTTCATTCATTGATCTCTCTCTCTCTTCATTAATATTGTTTATTTTCTTCATGTATTCTTTCCCACCCATGTATTAAGAAAAACAACAAAAGAAGACCGATTCTGAGATGAAAAATTTTACAAAAAGGAGAACCTCACATTCTATTTTGGAAGATTGAGAAAAGAATTAAGAGTTATCAGATGATCTTTTATCAAAACTATTAATCATAGCTATAAAATATCATCATCGAATCAACATTATATATAAAAAAAAGGGAAGTCATCGTCCATTCCTTCATCATCATGTCGTTCTTCATATTATCATTTCATGCTTATTGCCTTCCCATTCGAATTCTGACATCTCATTGGGTGGATCTCTCAATTTAAGGAAAAAAAAAAAAAGAATCTGACCTCAGAAAGGGAATTTTTCTCTTTCTTTTTTACCTCTACAAAATAAATATCTTAACATGTCACAATTAATGGAATGGTAAGCCCTTTCCTTCTTCTCTATACACACGCACTCTTTCTCTCATTCTGTTTCTCCATTTTATTCAACTCATCTCTTCTATTTTTTTTTTTTTTTTACTGTACACTTTTAAATGGATAGAATATACGATTAAATGGACGTACAATAGTGAAAACGTCCCTTTTGATTCAACAGGATGAATGCACAAAGGTCAACTGGTTGGATCGATTGGACAAGGAAGCACATAGTCAACTATGTACAGTTGATTGGTTTTTCTACTCCCCCCGTCTCTACTTCTATCTCATCTGATCTTATTAGAATGATTCTTTGATGGATGTTTGCTGCTTTAGACAAGAATTACAGTTTATATATTGTATTGATATTTTTATGGCAATAAAGTTATACGTTCTTTGTTTTTATCATCGTTATTACCACTGTTGTTATTATAGGGCACTCAGTATTCTCAATCATCACGTTATAATCATCATCATCATAGCAACGATAAGTCTTGGATCATTATAGGAACATTTATAATAATCAAAATCATCATCATTATCTTTATAGAATGGCTACAATTTCTGATAGCAACAACATTGCGATGGCCAGTAAAACAAGTTAGTCATTAGATGCTTCAGCCATCCATTAAAAAATAAAAAATAAATGTGATGATGATAAACCTAGAAAAAAAAAAAACAAGCCATAGCTTGAGGAGTACATTACCGGGAATAATCTTTTTTTTTTTTTCTGTTTTTTGGCTTATGGTAGCACTAACCATTCGGGTGTGACAGCACCAAGATTGGAATTTCTCTGCAACAAAAAAAAAGGCACACATCATAATTAATACAATCTTATTGACATGTAAAGAAACCAATGAAGATATAACCAGGGTGGATTATTCATACAACTCAGTGAATACTATCATCATAAAAGAAATAGATGTCTAAATAAAAGGAAAAGCGGACCCTGCGTAAGTACCGAAATAAAGTGCTAATGGCTTTGATGAAGACGTAACGCTACGAATAGATCTATTCCATCTATGTACAAGCACCAAATATGATATCACAAGAAGACGAGATGGTAGTCAGTTTTTTACTTTATTCTATTCATAGCAATGTCAGATGAATATTTACGAAATAGACAATTCCATTGATTTGATTTTTCTATATAAATGGGATCGTTTCAAAATAAATTCATAATCATCAATTCACTCAAATAAAAAAAAAAAATTATTATGAAGAACCTTTCCTTGATTGCTCTCTTTGCTCTTGTTGCTACTTCCATGGCTGCTCCCTCTCGACGTGACACTGGTGATGCTTGTCAACAAGCCAGTACCGCTACTTGCAGCAATGATTATCAAGTTACTAAGGATTGTTGCGCTGCTACTCAAGGTAAACCTATCTTTTTTGATGAATGGGCCCATAAATGTACACATCCTTTCGGTGGTCTCAACTGGGATAAGTTTACTGCTTGTTGTACTTCCCGTGGTAAAACTGGTCAATGTTAAATAGTTTATACAGTTCTTTTGATCAAACGTGTATTATATTAAATAAAATAGCGTACCTTTTTTTTTGATTGTTTTTATTTTATGCTTCAATTACGACTTATCTTTCAAGTCAAACAATTTTGGATAAATTCCTCAAGTAGATTGATAATTAATATATGTATATGTAGATATGTTGATGATGATTGGGAATATTGGAATAGATAATAACAATAATTTGTACAATGAAAGGGGATATGATATAACTTTATTAATGAATAATATAAAAAACATGATACTAATAAGACTAATACTAACTAACAATAAAAGATTCGTCACGATAGGTACTACAGAGAGAGAAGCCAATCCTAACCAGAAGATGAGATCATCAAAAGAAGGACACTTGTTGTATCCAATTGATCCTATTGCCCGTACCTTCAGCTGGTCCTATTGTCCGTCTATCCATCCAGTTAGTCAGTAATCATATAGAAAATAAAGATAACAAAAATAAATAAAATAAAGAAGAAGAAACAGGATTACATACCAAGAAGAATATAACAAGACCTCGTCGGCTTTGGCTATTGTATCCCGGACCCAAAAGTTATCTTTGTTAAGAAAAAAAAAAAGATAGTTAAGTCTAATTTCAATTCATTGCTATGTTGTTTCCATTTCACAATACCGTTATCATTAGTCCCGGCAGAAGGTATCAAAGATCCAAAAGAAGGAAGACAAGAAAACCATTGACCAGAGTAACTAAGAAAACAAAAAATAATAAATATCATTTCAAAGTTGATAATATGAATTAGAGATAAGTCTGTATTTATGTTATATTTATTTTGTTTCTGCTTTACCTTGACAATAATGGTCTTACTTGATGACTATTATGAATCAATCTATTGACATCGCAAACAATAAAAGGAATTAAGGGCAAAGAAAGAAAAGAGGAAAAGAAAAGAGAAGAAAAAAAAGAAGAGGAAATATGAAAAAGGACGTGGAGTTTTAAAGACAATTTATTCAAACCTGATTGGCTAAAAAAGATTAACAACCAATCATAATTGTAGCATAACATAAAAAAAAAAGAATCAAAAAAAGGTACAATTTTTTATTTGATATAATACAACGCTTTATTTTAAAAGAATCATCTAAACTATTTAACATTGACCAGTTGTTCCACGGGAAGTACAACAAGCAGCAAACTTATCCCAATTGATACCATTGCCAAAGATATTTTGACATTCGTGAGATGCTTCATTGAAGAAGATAGGTCTGCCTTGAGTAGCAGCGCAACAATCTTTAGTGACTTGATAATCATTACTACAAGTAGCAGCAGTGGCTTGTTCACAGTCTTTGCCAGTGTCACGTCGAGAAGGAGCAGCCATAGAAGTAGCAATAAGAGCAAAGATAGCAATCAAAGAAAGGTTCTTCATGATGATGATGATGATGATTTATATTTGTTTTGAATGAATTGATTTGAGTGAATTGATGATTGTGAATTCGATTAAAATGGTTCCATTTATATAGAAAAAAAAAATCAAATTAATGGAAATGCTCCCTACTATTTGTTTTCCATAAATATCCATTTGACGTTGCTATGAATAGATTAAAGTTAAATCTGATCGTCATTTCTTCCTCTTTTGAAATATCTTTAATGCTTGTACGTATATGGCGTAGATCTATTCGCAATGTTACGTACTCTTCAAAGCCACTGACCTCTTTGACGATTATTGACACCTTCTTTTTTTTTTTTTTTTTTGATGACGATGATGGAATCTAAGCAACTCTGTAGATGATGAATCCTTGATAGTTATCATCCATTTCTTTCCTTATTCTCCTTACATCATATCATTAAAAATCATGCATGATTGTCATCCATGGTGGAAAGATGATGCATTCATGCGTTTTGTATTTACTTTTTTTTTTTTTTTTTTTTGCAGAAAAATTAAACTTTGACACAGCCACGCCCAAAATGGCAAGTGTTACCGCGAGCAAAAAAATAGAAATCATGATGATACCCAGGAATTCGTAACTCTCAACTTTAGACTGATCATCCTATCCCTTTTTTTTTTTTTTTTTGTCCAACTACGCTAGAGATGGGCTGAGGTAGTCAAAGGATTACATCTCTTCTGGTACGAAAAAAAAAAATTCATTTTAATTCGAGATTGGTCAACAGTAGTACACAAAGTTAACATCCCGTTTCATTTTTTTTTCTCTTAGGGGTTTCCAATCATATGATGATTAATACAATTTTATTAAATTGTGATTAAGGCGTGATGACAGATAAATAATAGGTGTATAATTATACGGTGAACGAAACTATGATCATGACAGTAGGATGATCTTCATGAATCTCTCTGTGATGATGAACATATAATATTCAATATGCTCTCTGAAAGGATATCAACAGAAAGTACGTATATGATTTCTTTTTTAGGTAAATTTTTTCCACTTTAAGGAACCTGCATCGGCGCACTCCCAAAAACTCTGTTACTTTAAGTAGATGGGTCATCATCGGTAATAAGCAACGAGAAAGTACCATATAATAAAGTAATACTATACCTAGTATGTGCTAGTGGTGACGGAGAATTGTTTTTCATGATCGGTCACAAACAAGCTTACACAACAGTGATTATTTCTCTTCCTTTGTAAACCGGGCCCAACTCAAAGCCCAAATCCACTTTACACAATTCTAATAATAGTGGATGGTAATCATTGGTACATTAGGAACAAAGTGATTATAGAACTATTCCTTATTTTCAATTCATCATCATGATCATTATTTTTTTTTTTTTTCATCTACGCGCGAAGGTTTTGTCTAACATGACATTTATCAAGGTAGGTGCGGAGACGAATCCCAGTTCTCTGGAATAGTAACACTCGTGATAGTCTGCGATATCTATTGTCTTGATGATGCTGATGATGATGCTGATGATGATGCTGATGATGATGACGATGATGATGATGATGATGATGTTGATTTAATAATATGATATTGAAAGTGATAATAATAGTTCCATGGTTTCATAGGGTAGCAGTGATAATAACAAGTGACAATGATAATAATAGTCATATGGAAAATATAAAACTGTTTTATTAAGGTCAAACTATAAAATATTATGATAAGACGAGAACTAACTAATAATAAAAAGACCATACAACAAAAACCAATTGAGAGAGAGAAATCGATCCAAACCAGAAGAAGGGACCATGAAAAAAAGATCTCGTTGCATCCATTGACTTGCCAGTGATTTTAAGCTACAGCAAGCCCATCCTGTCGATTTCTGCCATGCATCCATCCAACTGATCCTATTTTCCATATCATCCGATTGATCCTATTATATATCTATTCATCCATCCACTTGACCTTATTATCCATATCCCATTATCCATCTATCCATCCAGTCTAATCAACAGTAAGCTCGTCCATTCATACTCATTCAAAGAGTGTCTAATAAAAAAAATGATACAATAGGATAATCCAATCTAGTCAGAAAGTGTTGAGAAAATAAAGGTTAGTTTAATAGTCCCATAGTAAAACAAAGATAAAAAAAAAAAAAACAGGCAGATGAAAAGAAACAAGGCAGCATACCAAGATAATATGATATCATGGATTATGACTGTTCTTACTTGGACACTGAAACGTATCTTGCTTGAAACAAAAAAAAAGAACAACAAGTGGATTAGCTTAACAAGTAGATTAGCTTAATTCCAGTTTACCGCGATGTTTTTTTCCTTTTACAATATAGTTGTTTCCGTCAAATAGTAGAAAGTATCATAGATCCAATAAAGACAAGATAAGAATAGGGTTGGGTCTAATAACTAAGGAAGAAGGAAAAAAAAAAAAGGATTAATAGGGAAGATCATTCTCTAAGTTTGTATCTACGTTATATTTATTTTGTTTTTGAATTACCTTAACAATAATTGTCTACTGGTTGACTTTTAACAATCAATCTATTGACATCGCAAACAATAAAAGGAATTAAGGGCAAAGAAAGAAAAAAGGAAAAGAAAAGAAAAAAAAAAGGATGGAAATATGAAAAAGGACGTGGAGTTTTAAAGCGAAGACGAGCTATCCATTTACTCAAACCTGATTGGCTAAAACAAGATTAACAACCAATCATAATTGTAGCATAACATAAAAAAAATCAAAAAAAGGTACAATTTTTTATTTGATATAATACAAATTTTTTATTTGATATAATACAACGCTTTATTTTAAAAGAATCATCTAAACTATTTAACATTGACCAGTTGTGCCACGGGAAGTACAGCAAGCAGCAAACTTGTCCCAGTTGAGACCACCGAAAGGATGCGTACATTCATGAGTGAGTTCATCGAAGAAGATGGGTTTACCTTGAGTAGCAGCACAGCAATCCTTAGTGACTTGATAATCATTGCTACAAGTACCAACATCACTTTGTTCACAATCTTGGCCAGTAGATCGTCGGGCAGGAGCAGCCATAGACGTAGCAGCAAGAGCAAAGATAGCAATCAAAGAAAGGTTCTTCATGATAATGATGATTTATATTTGTTTTGAGTGAATTGATTTGATGATGGTTTCCGTTTATATAGAAAAAATCAAATCAATGAAAAATGCTCTCTAATATTTATTTTCCATAAATATCCATTTGACGTTGCTATGAATAGATTAAAGTTAAATCTGATCGTCATTTCTTCTTTTGAAATATCTTTAATGCTTGTACGTATATGGCATAGATCTATTCGCAATGTTACGTACTCTTCAAAGCCACTGACCTCTTTGACGATTATTGACAACTTCTTTTTTTTTTTTGATGGCGATGATGGAATCTAGGCAACTCTGTAAATGATGAATCCTTGATAGTTATCATCCATTTCTTTCCTTATTCTCCTTACATCATATCATTAAAAATCATGCATGATTGTCATCCATGGTGGAAAGATGATGCGTTCATGCATTTTGCATTTACCTTTTTTTTTTTTTTTTTGCAGAAAAATTTAAACTTCGGCACAGCCACGCTCGATATGGCAAGTGTTACCGCGCGGAACAAAATTGAAAATCATGATTGAGTTCCAGGGATTATTCTTCTCACTTTAAGGTCTTCTCTCCTCCTTTTTTTGGATGGATCATCACCTTTTTTTTTTTTTTTTTTGTCCAACTATATTGATGATGGCCGAGGTAACTAAAGGATTGTTTCTCCTTTGGTGCGAAAAAAAGAGAACTATTATTATTTTGAGGTTGATCAATGACAATACACAGCCAACATCTCATTTCATCTTTTTTTTTCTATTCTTTGAACGCCAATCATACGATGATTACAGTAGCTCTGTTAAATTGGGGATAGTCATCTATATAATACCTTGAGAAAGTGAAGCATCTTTATTCTCCATACTTCTTTTTCTTTTTTTATGTCTTGGATGGTTGTGTTGGCAGCTGATGAATGATGCTTGCATGGATGAATGGATAATAGGCACTGTAGTACTCAGTTAGTAGTGAGAAATAGGAAAAAAGGATATACAAATGTTTTTTCCTTTTTGAGAAAATTTTTTTTCTACTTCAGGCACCTTGTATCTTTTTCCAGGGAAAAAAAAGTCAAGATGATGATTACTCCTTGTCATAAAAAAAAAAAAAGATGCACACGTAGACTATACCTAGTATGTATTAGTGACGCCGGAAAAATTGTTTCCCATCATAGGTTACAATGCATCACAAATTTTTGTGTGTGATTGCTTATACTTATTTATAGATCAGGCTCAATTCGAAGACCAAATATTATTTTACATCATTATAAAGGTAGCATGTAGCAATCATCAACGAAGAGGTTATTTATTTTATTTTATTTTTTTTTTATTTACAAAGTATTATTTTACGTTACAAGCGATGGGAGAGGAAAAGATGAGCGGAGTCTAATCTCAAGTTGTTGGTAACACTTGTGATCATCCGTGAAATGCATTAATGATAATGATCATTTTGTTTTTCAAAGTGTGGTGCATACAAAAAGATCAAGAAGATCTAATCATCTTTTTTCCTTTTTTTGGGTGGGAAGTGAAGGAGAAAGGGTGATTTTTCAGCCGATACCCATTCCCATTGGATGCGCTGACAACTTTTTAAAATAATAATAAAAAAAAGGTATGTATTACCCATAGCATAATGTACGATCAATATTGGTACGAGGATAAGTGATACATTAACATAATAATAATTTTTTTTTTTGATTCTATACATAGTGTCGTTAAATTTGGCAAATAAGGAAATAAAATGATCGCTTGTTTGACGATGATATGAGTATATAAAGAACTGCAGATGGATCTCTTGTTTGTATTTTTTTTTTGTTTTTATTTTATATATCTATATCGAAATAGTAAATAATGATGAAGGTTGCTTTTGTATTCTTGGCGCTCGCCATGATGATTGTTGGCATCAATGCTGACGCCTGGGCTCAATTCTGTAATGATGATAATTGCTCTGTTGGATGTGGTGAATGGGTTGCTGTTGGTAACCCTGGCTGCTTGGGCGAATCTGGTCGTAAAAGTGTCAATTTCAAGGGTGATTCTCCTTGGCACTATGCTTTGCTCTATACTCCTGTAGGCAACAGTCAATGTGGTTGTCAGTTTGCCTGTGATCCCGATGTATGGCCTAACCCAGGATCTCTTGGTAGCTTCCAATGCCACAAGTTGAATGCTGATGCAAGTTCCTTCAGATTCATCGGTGATAATGGTTACTGCCCTAGTGACACTTGTTAAAATTATCAATCCATTTATCCTTTAAATAAAATATAATATCCATCAATGAAATGTTCTTCATGATGACGATGAATTGTTTTTATTTTTATTTTCATTTAATTTGAACGAATTTATAATAATAATGCCTTGATAATACGATATTGATGATAATGATTTCATATAGGAAAGCAGTGGTGATAACAAGTGACAATGACGATAATAGGGAAAATATAAAAGTGATTTATTAAAGGTCAAACTCATTCTGAAGATGATAGATAATATAATATATAAAAACTAATAGGACTATGTCTAACTACCGATAGTAGGATCATCACAATTGGCACCAGATGAGAGGGACAGAGAAAAAAAAAAGGGCAATCCAAATCAGAAGAAGAGATCGTCAAAAAAAGACCATTGGTTGTTTCAATTAATTAGCCATTAATACTAAGCTGCAAAATATGTCCATTCTGTCGACTTCTATTGTTCATTCATCCTACTGATCCTACTGTCCATATCATCCAATTGATTCTATTGTCCATCTGTGCATCTAGTTGAACCAAAGGTCAATTCATTCATCCTAATCATTTAAAAATTGAATAATACTAAACAAAGAACCAAGAAGGATGCATTAAATTAATCCAATCTAACTGGAAAAAAGTTGAAAAAATAAGATTAATTCAGTAAATATATAATATAATAAATAAATATAAATAAATAGAAAGCAGGTCAACTTACCAAGAAGACGGGTAAGAGAGGAAGTGATAGTCATCTTCTATGGTTATTCTATCCCGGACTCTAAAATATCTCTTTGTTTGAGGAAAAAAAATAGATTAATTTATTTGCAATTCAACATGCTGTTTCCATTTTTACAATACCGTTATTACTATCACCAGTAAAAAGTATCAGAGATCCAAAAGAGATAAGAGGAGAAGAACATTGAGCCCAATAACTAAGGTAAAGTCACTAAAAGTGACCTAAGAGGAAGTATCAAAAGTTAATGATGTGAATTAGAAATAAGTCTGTATTCATGATATACTTTTTTTTGATTTACCTTCACAATAATGGTCTTACTTGATAACTATTATGAATCAATCTATTAACAATACAAATAATAAAAATTCAAAAGAAAAAAAGGAAAGAAGAAGAAAAAAAAAGTGGAAATTTAAGAAAGACGTGGAGTTTGAAAGTGAATATGGCCTATCCAATTACTCAAAACTGATTGGCTAAAAATGAGACCAACAACCAATCATAATTGAAGCATAGCATAAAAAGAATGGAAGAAGTATGACATTTTTTTATTCAATATACTATTTATTACCACGAGAAGCACAACAGGCAGCAAATTTATCCCAGTTAATTCCAGAGAAAGGATTTGTGCAATTGACGAGAAAGTTCATCAAAAAAGATAAGTTTACCTTGAGTAGCCGTATAACAATCTTTAGTGGTTTGATAATCATCACTATAACTAGATGGGAAGGTGTGAGTTATAGATATTTTTTTTTTTTTTTTGAGAAGAGGAGGTAATCATCAATCACCATTACATTGCTCATCTCTAAGCCCATCGCCACACAAATATGAAGGGAAAAAAAAAATAAAAACATATATAAAAAAAAAGATCTGACAAAAAATTGACAAAAATCTCATTATGATAATAAGCTGCCAATTTGTATTCATTTTCTTTTATTGTATATAAAGTTTAGAGTGTCTTTTAAATCTTCAGTTGACATATTTTTTTATCAACTTTAATATTTTTTTTCTTCTAATTGTTCTCTAGAATTATCCATTTTAATATCACCACCCTCCAAATTATTTTCGCAATTGATCAAATAAGATAAAGAAACATCTAAAACATTCGTAATAGCTTGTAACTTTTTAGACGAAGGATTCACTGCTTTGCCATTTAAAACATCATAAACAAATGATCTTCCAACATCAGCTTGGGAGGCAAGCATTCGAGCATTCATTCCCTTTCTAATCATTAGTTTTTTGATTTTTATTGAAGTTGCGCTAATATTGTCTTCCATGATGAATAAATAAAATAATCTTTAAACCATTTATATAGAAAAATTAAATCAAATGGAACTTTTTGTTTTCTTGTGTATCATAAATATGTATCATATTTGTAAAGTGCCTTGCAGAAGGTGAAGCAGCGTTTTATTCCCATGGTTGTTCTTTTTTTTTTTTTGTACTATGATGATGATCAGTAACGATTTCCTTGTAAGTATATATTGATACGATATGATACTAGGATAATAATGGATGACAATATAATAAACAAGTGATAAAACGGATGATTTATTTAAACGAGAAGTAAAAGTAAAATTTACACTAAGAGACTGAACTACTATAGATAGACTTCCATGATAAAGAGTTGGATAAGAAAAATAATTTTATCCTGACTTGTCATTCTTTGTCTAATAAAAAAACCTATTGTGTTACCTAGTTGATCCTATTGTATATTCCTTCATATATCCTATCTACTGTATTTTCATAGAAAGAGTACAAATAAACTAGTTCATAGTATGAGAGACTAAGAAGAAGAAGAAAAGAAAGAATAAGTATAGAGTAAGTATGTAAATATAGAGGTATAATATGTAAAACAATGACTTATATAATGTAGATTAGAAAAGTATCAGTAATATCTAATAACTTACAATGTTCAAAATCTCTGGTCAAAGAAAAAAAGAAAAAAAAAAAGGAGCCAGCGCCATTTCTTTTTTTCTTTTTCTTTTTTTGTTGGTCCACGATCAGAATATTTTTTTGTCAGAGCTTGGTCCAACTTTTTCATTGTCTCCGCAACTTTTTTTTTTTTTTTTTTTTGGGAGCTCCAGATTGATTCAATACACCACACCGACCGGTGTTTGAATTCATCCCATTTATGGAAAACAGTGATGAATAATAAGATAATGATTGGATTGAACTATTCATAAATGATGATGATAATAAATTAAAATTTATTGAAAAAGAATATAAAAAGGATCTAAATAAAAGAACAAAAACAAAAAAAGTAGAACATTACTGTATTCATTTGCACACAAATGAACATATCTTTCTTATTGTCATCAAAAAAAAAAATAACATTAAACTAAAAGACTAACATTGTTCTACTGTACAAAAATCATGTAAAAATAAAAAAAAAATGCTTTATTGAAAAAAGATTGACAAAAAAAAAAAAAGATCAAAGAATAGAAATATGAACCCTAAGCAGCGGCCAGCGTCTCCTTAGCATTACGAAGATAATCACTAGCAGACTTCATTTTTTCTGGTTGCCATTCACCATTGTAAATACATAGCACACGCATCCGGTCATTGTAATACAAATCAGGTAATAATTTGGGTGTAATCAAAAAGTATCTAATGTGAATATATCATTAATAATAATAATAAAAAAGATGAGTTGATTTCTCTTCATGCTTCATATTTTAACACTTACTGAGGAGTACCAGGTGCACTTGCACTTTTCACAATTTGTTCATGAATCATTCGTTCATTTCTTGGATCCATCCCTTGATTGATTTCATCCACTACACGGAAAGGAGCTCGTGCTAGGTTTTGAAGTGACATCAAATAAAGAATCGTTGAGACCGCACGTTCACCACCGGATTGTCGTTGACCTGTCAATAATTGAAGCTTTTCGTTATCTCTAATCAAAAACAAGAGAGAAAAAATTCGTTTAACACATTATCACTTCTCTTCAAATTAAAAAAAATAATAACGAAAAAAAAAATTACCTAAACTTGACACGGATTTCTATACCCCATTTTGAGTAATCTTCATCTTGAGCAATTCCTACTTCACCAGCACATCCAATACCTATATAAAAAGATAAGAATAATTGATTTTTTTTTTTTCGTAAAAAAAAAGAAAATGGTTGATTCAAGATTTACGTTGTAAGGCTTCAGAAAACTTTTCACTAATACGAGACACAAGATCGTTCAAACGTGATTCCCATCGTTGCTACATAAATAATAAAATTGAGAATCATCCTTTTGTATTTAATTTTCAAATTTCTTACCCGTAATTCATTAATGGTTTCACTGAGGGTATCCAACTCTTGATTTTCAGTGGCTATCTTACTTTCTGTTTTTTTGATCTGTATTGTCATTAAAAAAAAAAAAAAGAAGAATCAAATTAGATTACATTGATAATCATCTTTTCTTCATTCTTCACTTGCCTCCCGCATTAATTTTTCATAAGAGGTCATAGCTAAGGGATTGACCAATTTCATAGTATCCATTCGAGCTTGTAATCCATTGATAGCATCTTCAATATCTTCTTGTGATTGATCCAAACCATTGACACGCCAATCTTCACAAATCTATCCAAATATATACAAAAAAAAAGGTTGATCGATTAATATTTCTTATCTATTTTTTATATAACATTACCTTCTCGAATTCTGTTTTCAGTTCATCTATTAGATCAGCACCAGCTTGATTGGCATCATTAAAGTATTTGCGAGCAGTTGCTTTGCTTTTATTGACGTTAGCCAAAGCTATAAGATCAGAAAGTTGTTTAGAATTAGCAAAAAAAAAAATAATAATTCATTCTTGTTTTGTGTCCTACCTTGTTGATGTTCTTCCACTGCGGCATTCATCAATGCTTTTTGGGCCATTGTAAAGTTTTTCATTGCTTCATATTTTCCATGCGAGGAAAGTAACTTCAGAGAGATGACGTTGCGTTCCATCACTTTGCTAACATAAGTCTTCAATATCCGTCTGTAATTGTTAACTAGGTTAGCACGCCGCCTGATTTCAGCGTCAATAGCTAACTTGAGCTCTTCAATATCTTGTGCTAATTGTGCAGGTTCCCTAGACTTTTCAGCAAGTTCCTGTCGAGTTCGTTCTATTTGTGTATTTATATTTACAAAAAGGAGAGGTAAGTAACAAAAAAAAAAGATATGAATGGATGATGTTTTTTTATTATTTCTTACGTAATCGTCTATTTTTCCCTTCCCATATGTGATGTTGATTGACAATATCTCTTCGAAGAGCTACTTTATCTTCCTATTAAGCACAAAAGAAAAAAAAAATGAGTCATGGATATATTGGGTGAATGAATCTTTTTTACCCTTTTATGCTTGAGTTCGGCTTGTTTTTGATTTGCTTCACGTTTTTTGGTTGAAAGCATCTCCAGTTCTGCATCAATAGCTGCCAGTGTTGTTTGTACCTCATTAAGACTGTTGACCTTTTGTGCATAAACCTCCTTATCAACTATATAAATTATATATAAAAAAAGAAAAAAAGGATGGATGATAAATCATACAATGCTTATTATATTTTTGTTAAATAATAAAAGTTACCTGTATCCGTCAGTATTTTAGCAGGTACAATACTTCGTACAGTTGTTTGGAATCCACCACGACCATAACGATACTTCTTCACTCTGTATATATTTCCACCAATGGCGAAACGTTGAAATGGACTTTGTTCGACAATATTTTCGATTTTGACTTGGTTCAAGCTGACAGGCTAGAATAATAATAATAATAAAGAAAAAAAAAGAGATTCATTTGACTGGTCAGGATATGACTCTATTTTTCTTTAATATATGTATATGTACTTACAAACGAGTTGATATGTGCTTGTTGACAAAGGTAAGCGAGTACAATTGGAGGCCCATCCAATAGATTGATAATAAAGTGATCCAACCCAAATTTGGCTTTCAACTATGGTAAATACATCATCCTTTTAGAATAAACATGAAAAAAAAAAAGCTTTTCTTTTTTGGGACTCACCTCTGCGTCTGTAAATGGAGTCTGAATCAATGAAGGTATATTGATATCACCAGGCCAAGCAGCAGTCAAACGAAGTTTTTGTTTATCTGCCATTTCAGCCATAAATAGTTTGTAATCTTCTCGATATTCGCAAACAAACGTCTAGAAGAGATATATAAAAAAGCATTAACATACCATCCGTTAACCCATTAAAGAAAAAAAAAAGATTACCCTAAGATGTGCACTATCTCTACCACCCAACGCTGTTTCCACTTGATTGGCATAATGTTTGTTCTTGAGATTCAAACAAAGTTGTATGGGACCATGGATTTTGCCTTTAAAGAGAGTTTTGTTGTCCTTATACCACATATATGCCTTATAAGTATCACTATGTTGTCGTTGTAAGGTATCCAATCGAACTCGTTGAATATCATTCAATGCATTGAGTCTATGGTGTCATAAAAAAGAAAAGAAAAAAGAAATGAGTATTCATCTTGTTTTTATCTTTGATCACTTACTCCTGCTTTTTGCCGGCCAATTGTCTTTCCTTTTCACTCTTCTGTTTCATTAGATCTCTAAAGTTGGGTTCATCTTCCTTCATAGCGATTACAACATTGTCCAATTCCGATATGATGTCTTTCTATATGATATAGAAATATAAAATAAAATAACAATAAAAAGAGATCATCAGTATACCCTTTTCCTTTTGTTTTAAAATCACATACAATTTCCTTTTCAAGTTCAGGATCAGTAGATGGAGGCTCCACACGAACAGCTTCTTCCAATTGAGCAATATAATTTTCAAGTTTTTTGATTTCTTCGTCTCGTCGTTGTTCTTGCTTCTGTCTTCCATCAATGGCAATTTCTTTCAAATTAACTTCTTGTTTCTACCAATAAATATCCAAAAATGAGTTGGTATACAAATAAAAAAAAATATTTCTCAACTTACTGATTTTGATATAGCTTCAATGGCATTTTGAAGTTGTTTCGCAAGTTCCCTAGTTTCTTCCACTAAAGTGTTCTTTTCTCGCATTTCACGTTCATTACTTGTTTTGGCTTCCCTAAAAAATATAAAATAATGAATGATCTACTTTCTTTTTTTTTTTTTTCCTAATAAAAGTCAACTTACTGTAATGCCTTATGTACTGGTTCTAGGTCACGTTCAAGTTGAATTTTTTTTGTTTTAGCTTCTTGTTCTGCCACTTTTGCTTGATCATACGCATTTTTTGCATCCGAATACTTAGCTAATGGTAGTTTTGCATTCATTAAAGAAATCTCTTTTTCAATCTTTTCGCGTTCCTTGATACGACCAATATCCTTTTCTAGACTTTGGTTCCTTGATTGCAAACCTTTGAGGTGTTCCAAATCAGATGCACGAGACTATATACATATATATATATAAAATAATTTCATCAAGAGAACAGAATAAGTATCATAGTTATGCATGTTGAATCCAATGTACCTGTTCCAGTTCCCTTTGTCGATTTCGATTTTTAGTTAGCTCTTCATGCCATGTCACCAAATCTTTGCCACCTACTGCTATTTGAGTACGAGTAAGCAAAAGAGGAGGAGTTAACTAAAAAAGAAAAAGAAAGAAAGAAAAAAAAAAGTAGAATGATGAGTCTATTTGTACCTGAATTCGTCCAAAATAATAATAATAATAGTAATTAGGTTACCTGTGCAAATTCGGCCACCTTATCTTGAGGAAGAAACTGACTACAAGACAATCAAAATTGCCAACTGATTAATAAATCATTGTAGCATAATTTAATCGATAACATACCATAAATTATCCACTTGAATATTTAATTTGGCAATGATTTCCATAACTGCACTGTAAGTAGAAGATCGACCTAATAGTACATAGAAAAAGATTTGCTTAATAATGAGTTCTTTTTTTTTTATCATTACCATTGAGTTTCCAATTAGTAGCATTGTTCGCCTTGTTGATATGACGCTGAATGACCACGTTGTGTTGTCCAACTTGTTTAAGTTCTATTTGAATACTTGCTGTTTCTTCACCAGTCTTGACAAATTCGGCAATGTTTTTGGCACGCCCTAAAAGTTGAGGAGAACCACCTAAACCAAGAGCTATAGCACATACAATAGTTGATTTTCCTGTTCCGTTAGGTCCAATGATCATATTCAATTGTGGACCTGGGTAACATTCACAATAGTCATATGTCACAAAGTTGCGTAAAACTATTTTCACAATAGATCCTTCTACATAACTAAGAAAAACAGAATAAGTAAAATAGTCCATGATATTTAATTGGCATATATATATATATATATATATTACCCATCGTTGTCTACAGGTAAAGGAGATAAAGTTGGATCGAAAGCCAAAGTATTATTTTCTACTTGATGAATAGAGTCATTGTCGTTGCCATTATTGTTGTTGTTGTTGTCACTATTAAAGTCATCTTCATCATTTATAATAACACGTTTTCGTTTCATAGCACTTTGAGAGCTTTCAGGAAAGTCCTCTTGATCATTATCACTACGTTTTCGTCGAGAAGCCATTCAAAGATAAAACGAGAAAAAAAAAAGAGAAGGAAAAAAAAAAAAGAATTTGGCATCAAGAAAAAAAAGGTGGGCGTAGGCGTTCCCAAGTCCGCCTAGATGGTTTCGCGTATATATTTCTACCAATCAGATCGAGAATAAAAAAATATCTTTGGCATTAAAATGAAATATCATATTAAATAGTATAGATATTTATATAAATCACGTATTCTATTTCATATATTTTCTTTGTTATACGTTGTTGTTTGCTTGATGATAATATGAAAAACAGTTTAAAATGTTCAATGTAGGTGTCAATCATGAGAAATGACAAAAAAATGACTTCAATGTCCGCTTTTTTTTTTTTTTTTTTTTGATGAGGGAAGCCACCGCATTACATTTTATTTTTTTTTTATTTTTCTTTATTATTTAACATGGTTGCCCGGATAGAAACGTTTCCAGATGTTGTTGTGGAACAACTTGTCTACTTATTGGAACCTAATGATCTTTTCCAACTCTCTTTGACTTCAAAAACCTTATTTTCCATTTACTCCAATGCTTCTGTTTGGCGAAGGTATGGAAAAGTTTTCTTTATGTTGTCTTTTTAATGACCATATATTTTTTATTTTATTTTTATTATTAATAGCAAATCCCTTCATGACTTTGGTAATTTGTTTCATATCTATACACTATTTACGACTTCTACTGGTTTAGAATTATATCCTGATATACAAGAAAAATTCGAAAAGGAACCTACGGATTGGTGTCGATATTATCTCTCAAAAAATGCATCTGTCAATGAACAAGAAGAAGAAAAACTGATGGATGAAGCTGATAGTGAATATGCTGCTGCTCAAGCTCAACTCAAACAATTTCAAAACGATGGAAATGCTGCTATTTTGAATGAAGTGGCTGCCAAGATGATTAGGATATTAGGTAAGTGGGAATAGTATAAATAGCTTTTATCTCTTATTCATTTATTCTATTTAGACGTTTTCCCTGCTCATGGTGGATGTTATTATATTTTGGCCTTTATTTTATTTGTATTGAATCAACTAGAAGAAGCTGTTATTTTATTACAAATGGGTCGATCTGTTGATAGTTCGTTTGAACCTATTGATGGTAAATATTTTTTATATATATTTATGGATGAATTAATTTATTTTTTTTATATATAGAATTGGAAGAAGAAATACAACGGATCTTGAAAGGATATGGAGGAGAAGAAGATGAACCACCTTTACTTGCAAATGATACTACATTATCTGCACCTTTAACAGAAGCACTCTTGGAAATATTTAGTAATTTTGATAAAGATAAAGATAATGCGTTGAACAATAAGGAGCTTGGCAACTTTATCTATGAAACCAATGGATCTCACCCACCTCCACCCTTTTTACGACAAATGGGACAAAGATTTGGAAGCAATAGTCAAGGTTGGTTAACGAAGGATGGATTTTTGGCATTTTATCTTGAACAAACTTTGGATGATCCTTCAGAAACTAGAAGTGATCTCGGTGTTCATGGTTACGATCCTCATACATTGAAGAAACGCATGGAAGAATAAAATGTAGATCTATTATACCTTTTATGTCTAAATAAATAAAAAATTTTATAACATCACGAAACTATTTTCTTGTGATCCTACAAGAAACTTTTAAAAACACAGTATATTTTGTTTTGAATTATTTTCATGAAGATTTTTGGCTTCTTCAGGTTTTCCGCCCAAAAAGGCATCTTGCTGTGTTCCAATTTGATCTTTTCCTTTTTTTTTTTTTTTTCGCTTGTCTCAAATTTGAATTTTATTTCTTTTCATTCGTCTAAAATTATATTTTAATCTGTATTCTTGACAGGACTTAGTTACAATATATATTATGGAACTATCAACTGTATATTATAATCGCGCTGAATATATTGAAACTGTAAGAAAATAATAAGAAAATATGATGATGAAGGAAATAACACGTCTTTTTATATAAATGTATATAGGATACTGGTAACAAAGTAAGCAGAAAGTCAGTTATTTGTGGTAGTCAGAACATTATTCTTGGTGGCAAGGTAATATATATATATAAATATTTTATTATAGTTATTAATTCTTTTTATTTAGACAATTATACAAACAGATTGTGTGATCCGTGGTGATTTGAGAAGAACAGGTGGTGGACATGCTGTTGTGATTGCTATTGGGCGTTACTGTTTATTATCTCAAAAATCCATTATTCGACCTCCATACAAGACATATAAAGGGTAATATATATATCGAATTATCTTTTTTTATTATTACTATTTATTCATTTTATTATTATTATTATTATTATTATTATTATATAGAATATTCAGTTATTATCCTATGAAGATTGGAGATCACGTTACTATTGGTGAAGGAAGTATTATTGAAGCTGCTACTATTGGATCTCATGTTAGTATTGGGAAGAATTGTATCATTGTAAGTTATTACAAAAATAGAATATAAATTTATTTTAACATTCATTTTTTTTTCTGTAGGGACGATTTGCCATCATCAAGGATTGTTGTTGTATTACTGATAATACTGTGATTGCTCCTAATACTGTTGTACCTTCCTTTTCAGTTTATTCAGGATCACCTGGTAAAAGGAAAAAAAAAAAAAAAGGAAAATACAAATAACAAATAAAAATGAATAATAGTGAATGAATATTTGACTTTATAATTATTATACTGTAGGTACTTATCAAGATGAATTACCAGAATGTACTCAAGAATTATATGAAAATAAGAGCAAAGATTATTATGCCAAATTCACTCCCATAGACTAAATTAACCTAATTATACCCGTTTCTTCTTGACTTTTTATTATTATTTACTTTACTTTTTTTTTTTATGAATAAATATTATTCTCTCTATGATACAATAATGTTTGTTATTATATTTAAATTTCTTTTTTTTTTTTTCCCGTGCCGATTAGGGAAATATGAAAGAATCAATATTTTTTACCTTTTGACATAACGATAACAACGTTATTTTTCTCTTTCTCTTTCATTTAGTCTATCTCTTTTCTTCCTTATTTTCCTTTTTTTTTTCTTTTTAATTCTGATTTTCCATTCGTTCACAATTTATCTTTGATCACTTATTCAATTTCAATGATAGCTTTGATACCATTTTACTTACTCTGTATTGAGTGGTTGATGGTCAATGCATATGGATCTTCTGGCCAATCATTTATCGAGAATGCATATATCATTGAATTTGATGAAATGCCGACATCACATCTTCAACATCATCATCATCAACGTCGTCGAACTTCTTTTTACGATGATCTCCAGTATCAGAATATTAGTCATCAAGTTCGTCAAGAATTTCAATTCATCAATGCTGTTTCTCTTTCTTTTGCTACCGATCAAGATGTGGATTTGTTTATGAAAACTGCCAAAGGAATCAAACGTACTTGGCCCGTGGTAAATTCTTTTTTTTTTTCTTTTTTTTTTAACCTCAGGCTTTTTTTTTTTTTAATATTTTCCTTTCTTTTTTCTTTTTCTTTTTCTTTTTTTTTTTTTTTTTATTAGCGTGTTGTTTCTACTCCAAATGTGGAATTCAGTACTGCTATTCAAACTAATGTCGCTTCAGCTTTATTTGAATTTTATAATACTACTGGTGTAAATCGTGTACACGAAGAATTCAAGTAAGTATACAAGTTTTATTTTATTTTATTTTTAATTGATCTTTCTTTTTTTTTTTTTTTCTTACAGTTTACGTGGTAAAGGAATCAAGGTTGGTATCATTGATACTGGTAAGCTCATCAAAAGAATAGAAAAGAATACAAAACTCTTCTAAAATCCATTTATTTAAGGTGTTGACTATACTCATCCTGCTCTCGGAGGATGTTTTGGTCCTGGTTGTCGTGTAGCTTTTGGATATGACTTTGTTGGTGATGAATACAATGGTGAAAACGATGCTACACCCGATCCTGATCCAAGAGATATTTGTAATGGTCATGGAACTCATGTTGCTGGTAAATATATAAATTTCATAATTTGATATTATTTAAAACGCACTATAATTTTTTTATTTGATAGGTATCGTTGGTGCAAAAGATCTTGTTAAAAACTTTACTGGTGTGGCTCCAGAAGGTAATAAATAAATAAGATATCAAGTATTATATTACTATGCAAACCTAATATTTGTTCTCTTTCACTTCAGCGACACTTGGTGCTTATCGAATTTTTGGTTGTGCTGGAAGTAGTGCTGATGACATTATTATGAAAGCCATGGAACGTGCGTATCTTGATGGAATGGATATCATCAATCTTTCTTTGGGTGATAATGGATGGCCAAAGTCTCCAGCTTCTCTCTTGGCAGATAAACTTGCATTACTTGGTATGGCTGTTTGTGCGGCTGCTGGTAATGAAGGTGAAAAAGGGATTTTCGAAGTTGGTGCTCCATCTCTTGGTCGTCACGCTATTTCTATTGCAAGTGTGGATAACTCTATGGTATTAGCCCATTCTATTAAACTCGGTGATACTAACTTTGGTAAGATGAATAGCAATAATACAATAAAATATAAATGATTTTCTCATCATTCATTGATACTTCAATATATATATATATATACATAGGTTACACGACAACGAGTGGCAAGGCATTTGATGTGGAAGATACTGATATTGTACCCGTTTCTACAAAATTTTCAAGTGAAAATGATGGTTGTAATCCTATTGATATCAATCTAAAAGACAAGGTGGCCTTAATTGCTCGTGGTGGATGTGTCTTTGCTGTTAAGGTTCGTCATGCTCAGGAAGCTGGTGCTGTAGCTGCCCTCATTTACAATAATGTCTTTGGACTCCTTACTCCCTCTGCTCAAGATCATGATATCTCTATTCCTTATGGTGGTCTCTCTCAAGAAGATGGAAAGACTTTGTTCGACAATGCAATGCGCGCTCAAGATGGGAACAAGTATACTTTTCTGAAAAATGAAATGGGTTTCAATACACCAACAGCAGGTAATTTTATTCTTTTATATATATATATATATATAAGAAGATTGACGTACTTCTCCTTTATTTTTTCTATCTTCTTTCCTTTAGGTTGGATTAGCTCCTTCAGTTCCTGGGGTCTTGGTCCAGATCTTAGTATCAAACCTGATATTACTGCACCAGGGGGTCTGATTTATTCAACGTAAGATGTCATATATAAGATTATAAATGAATGTACTTATTAGTATTATTTTTGACTATTATTAGGTATCCGGTAACACTCGGAAGTTATGCTACTCTTAGGTAACAAACATAATAATAATAATAATATGGATATGTTACTAACTAAACTTAACATAGTGGAACAAGTATGTCAAGTCCTTTTGTTGCTGGTATTGTGGCATTATTACATCAATCTCGGGGTAATGGACGTAGTTTTCCTCCGGATGAACTTCGAACAAGGCTGATCAACAATGCACATCCAGTGAAAGTAGTCGATAGCAGTGTTCCAGAATCAGTGGCACGTCAAGGTGGTGGACTTATTGATGTTTATCAGGCTTTAAAATCAACGACATCTATCTCACCGGAACATCTTCGACTAAATGATGCAAGTTATGGCAATCCCAACAATGAATATACTTTCACTATCATGAACAAAGATCGGATGGAAATGGAATACACCATATCTCATGTATCTTCAGCAACTGTACAAGGATATGAACCAGGCGCAAATGGTCAACCTATAGTCCCTTTGGCAAAACCCAAGTCTTTTTCAAGGCATGAAGCGGATGCTACTATTAATATTCCAACACCAATGATCAAGATCAGGCCAAATGAAAGTGTCAATGTTACTGTACAAATTACACCTCCAAGCGGTTCAAATGTACCATCCATCTATTCTGGCTATTTGTTGATTGAGAAGGACAATGGTAAGGAATCTTTATATCTCCCTTATGCTGGTTTAACAACAAAAATGTCGGCTATCCCTGTGCTTTTAATGAATGATTCGATGCCATTTATGATGGGGGATCGTGTTCATCGTGAAACACCGGGTTTTCTCTCTTTTCAAATGTCTCTAGCTTCCGAATTGGTGATGGTGATGGTAGCCGATGCAAATAATGGAACGAAAACATATGGTTGGATACCTGGTGGTTATTCAAACTTTGTTGGTAGGAATGATCTTAGAAATCCTGCTGATGTGTATACTTTACAATGGTTTGGTACTGTGGTAACTGTACGTGAAATGGCGCTGAACGATCTTTCATCTGTATCAAGTCGATTCCATCCTTATACTTTTGCTGCTTCTTTAGAATCCATGAAGAAACCTATGATGAATGTTGGTGAACCTCTACCTCCTGGAGAATACAGATTGAAGATTATGGCTCTACGCGCATTTGGTGATGAACATAACATTCAACATTATGATATTTGGACTTCTTCTCCCATTATGGTAGATGGATAATGTATGAATTGTTTTTTATATTTATTTGAATTTGATAGTTTTTCTATGGGATACTTTTTTTTTTTTGTATTGTATAGTTTAGTTTGTTATATATATCTACTATTTATACTACACCCACACATACACTCATATATAATAATAATAATAAAAAAAAATTATCTTTTTGATCAATGCAAAATGTCTTCGCTATAAAAAGTTTCGTCTGACGGGGTATGAATTTTTCTCACTCTATTGTTTTTTTTCCAATATATTCCAATTCTTTTCTCCACTCTCTTTTCATATATTGATATATTTTTTATATTCTATTTATTTTCCATAATTGTTTCTCACCAAAAGAAGAAACCCTGAATTATCAATAAAAAAAAAACAAGGTATACAACTAGGTCATTGAATATATTTATGATAATAATATTGATATTGGTATTGATGTTATTGAAAAAAAGAAAAGAAACATCGCGACGATAAAGGGAGGGGAGAATTGATAAAATCTCTACATGGATATAAACATTTCGGTGTTTTTATTTTTGGGTGGATCCTATATTTTATTTTGATCTATTTTATTAACATTTAACCTTTTTTTCCTCTTTTTTACTATTATGATGATTTAGGTCTTTTTTTTTTTATATCATTACAGTATTATCAAATTGAAAAAATGGAAGGAAGGCCAAAAAGACATATCTCCACAAATATTGACTATAGGGATAGAAGACGACCACCAGGTGAAGCAAAGGTTAGTTATAAGTAATTAGGCTTTTCTTTTTTGGGAGACTAAAGGAACTTTTATATATTTATGATTAGCTCAAGCTTTATCAATCACACGGACCTACATCAACAACAACAACAACAGCAACAACAAAAAGAAGAAACAGTGGTAGTGAATCTATTCAAGTCTTATGCAAACAATTACTCGATGCCTTGTATGATCTACGTGATCCAGAAGAGTACGTAAAGCGATAATTTTATTATAAATGTGGACAAGGAATTCTATTACAAGTAAGACTTAACTATCTTTTTTTTTTCTCTCTTTCTATTAGTGACACTCCTTTGACTTCTCTATTTCTTGAATTACCATCAAGGGAAGATTATGCAGACTATTACGAAGTGATCAAGCATCCTATCGCTTTGGATACTATCAATGTAAGTATTCTTGCAGTAGACAATGCTTTATTATTGTTGTTCTTGTTGTTGCTATATACGTATCTTCTTTTCTATTAGGATAAATTGAACAAAAAGGAATATAACTCATTGGATGATCTCAAAAGCGATCTCAATCTTATGGTGGCCAATGCAAAGAAGTATAATATTAAGGAATCTCAAGTTTATCAAGATGCTCTTCAGATACACGTAAGTACAAAGGTTTATAGGAGAAGAGGGAAAGAGTCAAACTGATTGTGGAACGATTTTTCTCATTTGATTAGAAACTTATCAAGACTTGGACGCCTGGAAACCAATCACGAAGATCTAGTCGAACCATATCAACAAAAGATGCAAATGCAGCATCTACTGCCTCTGCCAAGAATATTCTCAAATTGCCTGGTGAAGCCTTCATTTCAAGAAAAAGTAAAGAAACGCCACCCATATCCGAAAATCGCATTCGTACTATCCGTTTACGTACTGGTACTGAAACATCAAAATCAAAAGGTAAAGGAAATAGAGAGAGGTAGAAAGCATAAAAAAAAAAAAAAACTCTTTATCTTATTTTGCATTGTTGTTATGTTAGATCTTCCTTTGTTGATGGATGCTATTTCTAAGGGGGATACTCAAACTGCTTTGACCATTCTGCAAAACAATCCCTCTTTAGATGTGAATCAACTTGTAGAAGTAAATCTATTTGATGATACATTTACATGGAGTCCTTTACATGCCGCTTGCTATTATGGGAATATTGATGTTTGTGAAGCTCTATTGTCTCATGGGGCTAATGTTGAAATAAATGATACTTGGTATTCTGCTACACCTCTTGGTTGGGCTGCCTACGGTGGTAATACTGCTTCCTTTTTCTTTTTATTATTATTATTATTACTATCATCAATTTCAAGACCTAATGTATATACTTCTTTTTTTTTTTTTTTCATTGCAGATCATGAAAATATTGCTAGGCTTTTGATAGACAAGTATAATGCGAAAAAGGACGCCAAGAATGTTCATGATCAAGCTCCTTTTGATTTAGTACCAGAACAAGATGATCCCAAATGGAATGGTATATTCTCTACCGCCACTATTCCTGTAAGTTATTTTAGCATTATTAACAATAGATGAAAATCAATTGATAACATCTGTGTATTTTTTTTTTTTTTAAAAAAAAACAAGGCTGTATCAGGACAAGTGGGCTCGAATGGAATGATGAATCAAAATATCAATAAACATCAAAAAATGCAATTTTACTCCATGGATCCTACCAAGAAAAAGCGCGGAAGACCTCTGAAAAGTGAAATTGAAAGCAAACGCGCAGCCCAGCGACCAACCCATAAAATTGATTTGAATAAATTTGATGCTGGATCGTTTATGATTGATATACTCAATAGTATTAGGAAGAACACTGACAATACGTAAGTATTCAAAAAAAAAAAAAAAATGGAATAATGGAAGTGAAAAAATGAATTCTTAATTTGATCGAATTTTTCTTTTTACTCTGACCATAATAAGACATCGAACGTATTCTGAAATGTTTGAAGATCTACCCAATCGTGAAGAATATCCTGATTATTACAAGGTTATCAAGAATCCTATTTCTCTGAATATGGTTGAGGTAAAAAAAAAAAAAAAAAAAAAAACTTACAGGGATCTCTTTTGATGATAGTAATGAATGGTTTGAATTTTTTTTTTTTGATTAGGATAAAATGCGACAATATGCATATAAAACCATTCAAAGTTGGTTTGATGATCTCGCATTAGTATTTGAAAACGCAATGCAATATAATGAAAATGGATCTCGTATTTATAAAGATGGAAAATTATTACTGGTAAACGTGTATATGATATTAAAAAAATATTTAACTGATTTGTTACTTTTTTTTTAGCGTATGTTATATAGGCTGAAGGAAAAACTGATATTTGACTACGGTGTACCAGAAACTCAAGAACCTGAAGTGATGGCACTTGATTTGACAAACCGATTTTATGACACATCCACTATAAGAAGCAAACGAGCTACTCGACTATTGGAACAACAACAACAGCAGCAGCGACAGCAGCAACAACAGCAACAACAACAACTGCTGCTACAACAGCAACAACAACTACTGCAACAGAAAAGCAACATCCTTCCTCATACTTCATTTCTTCCAGTGTCAATGAATCTACAACAACCATCACCACTACCTCAGGGGCAATTCATTAGGGATCAGCAGTATACTCAATCACCTACACCACCATTTTCGGGAATGCCAACACAAACATCACCTTTTCCCCATCCTGCCATGTCATCAGTGCCAATGAATCAAATGGCGAACTCAGTAGCATTTAGCCCACGACAATTTCCATCTGGATTTCCGCCTATGGTTCCTCCTGCAAGCAGTGACACGGCAATGTCAGTTGATAGCCACTCTATGGTATCTTCAACAGCAATATCATCACCTCCACCTTCTTTACCATCACCTAATAATAGAATGACAAACGGCACTCCTCCTCATCAGGCACACTTTAATCTCATGGCAGCACAACAGTTAAATCAAATTCCATCGTCGATCAATCATAATCAACAACAAGCGCAACAACAACAGACTCAACAAATGTTACCACAAATGAATAATGAATTGTTGAATCTGCTTGATCAAGAAGCTCATAAAGGTAAAGGCGTACACAATAACAACCCAAAAGTCTTTTTTTTTTTTTTAAAAAAAAAATCTTATTTGTTTTCCTTTTTTTTTGTATTATTTCATTACAGTGCGGCTATTGGACAGCATCACATTGACAGCGAACGATACGGATTTTACAATGTATCTGGATGGCGAGCAAGTTGGACATAGTGCAGTGATACCTTCTACCATAGACAAATTACGACTTACCCCCAAATTACCTACAGCTATTAGCAAAGAACTAGGACGCGTGATAATCCAGGTGATACACAACTCAAACAATTTGACAGCACAGCATGAACAAAATATAACAACTGGTTCCCCATACTGGATCATGCCTCTTAGTCCTGGAATGAACATAGTCAAGATGATCATCGTTGTAAATGCCACTGCTCCTGATGCAACTCTACCAGATTATAGAACGCAAACATATCATTTATTCTTAAATCATATTTCATAGTTAGTATAGATTACTCTTTATTTACAATATCCTTCAATTTCCTCGATTTTCTTTTTATATCATCATTGTCATTATCTTTATTATCATTTTTTTTTTATTCTTATCATCAATAAAAGTTTAATAATAATAATAAGAAACATCATTTGTGAATTTTTTTTTTAACTGAAGTCGGAATCCATACTTTAAAACATCCTTTTTTTTTCCCGCGTTATCTTTTTTCCCCATTCCTTTTAAAAAATGATAAATCCTTCTTCATTACTTTTACCTAATTTTCCACTCTTCTCCAATGCTTTATCATATGCTACTCAAGACGGCCACCGTATTGCCATTGATGATACCCGAACCGGAAAATCCTATTCCTATGCAAACCTGGTTTCTGCCGTTGCTGTTTTACGCAATCAATTACTAGGCAATGAAAAGTAAGTGGAAACAAACTTGTTGCTCATACTTTCTGTTATTTTATCCTCTTTCGAAAAAAAGTATAAACTAACCATGGTTTGTTTCCTTTTTTTTGCCTTGTAGAGATCTTCAAGAAAAACGTGTTGCCATTCTCTGTCCGAGGTAAGCGCATGTGTTCCACTATTAAAAAAAACAAAAACAAAAAAAAAAGGAAGTACTGTAGTCCATTAACTCCACCTTTTTTTTTATTCTTTGTATCATTAGCGGATTTGTTTATGTTGTTTGTCAATGGGCTATCTGGGCAGCTGGTGGAGTTGCTGTTCCTTTATGTACAAGTCATCCTTTACCAGAACAGGTATACAGCTTGACGGACTCTCAATCCACACTTTTACTTGTCCATCCGGTCTTTCAGGAACGTCAAATTAGTTTGGTAGCTGAAACAAAGATTACCACCATAATGATCTCTGATCAAGATATAGATTCTACATGTGATCAGGTAAGATATACTTATTGAAAAGAAAAAAAAAATCATTAATCCTATTTTTTTTTTTTTATTACAATATGTCCTCACTCATGTTTTCCCCATTTTTGACATTTTGATAGACTTTACCTACTCTATTCGACATGGATAATCAACGCAGAGCACTGATTGTATTTACAAGTGGTACAACAGGAAAACCAAAAGGAGCGGTTTCAACACATGACAATATAGATGCACAAACATCGGTCTTGGTCTCTGAATGGAAATGGACACAACAAGATCGAATTCATCATATTCTCCCCCTTCATCATGTTCATGGTATCATTAATGCCTTGACCTGTCCTCTTTATGCTGGTGCTACGGTGGAAATGCATGAAAAATTTGATGCTGGAAAGACGTGGCAACGTTGGCTGAATACTTATGCTCTTGATATGGCTCCTTTGACTGTCTTTATGACCGTCCCAACCGTTTATTGTAAGTCATCTTGAAAAAATAAAAGTTCAGCTCAATCATTTATTCATTCATAATATATATATATAGCAAAATTGATAGCTACTTACAAGGCACTGGGTGATGCAAAGAGACAGGCATCTTATGGAAAGGCATGCAAACAGTTTCGATTTATGGTATCTGGGTCTGCTAGTTTACCTACTCCTTTACGTGATGCATGGTTTCAAATTAGTGATCAAGTGTTATTAGAACGATATGGAATGACCGGTAAGAGTACTATTAAATAAATAAATAAAAAAAAGGAAAATACAATGATGATGGTCTTATAATTCTTACTATTATTATTTATTGTTGTTGTTATTATAGAACTTGGTATGGCATTCAGTCAAGCCTATGATGATCGAATGGAAGGTACGGTTGGATTCCCATTACCAGGTGTACAAGTACGATTAATGGCTGAAACTCAAGAAGGCAGTGGTATATACAATAAGAATGTGACTGATTGTCGTGACATTCCTGGACAAGTACAAGTCAAAGGAAGAAATGTATTTAAGGAATATTGGCAACGACCTGAAGCAACAGCAAAAGAATTTACAGATGGATGGTAAAAAAAAAAAAAAAATAGATGACGAAAAGAATGTAATTGATCCTTTTTATATCTATATATAATTAGGTTTATCACTGGTGATTTTGCAATGCGTGTACAAGAAAAAGGATATTATCAAATCTTAGGAAGGGGTAGTATTGATATTTTGAAAACAGGTGGCGAAAAAGTGAGTGCTTTGGAAATCGAACGTGAATTACTATCGTGTTCCTTGGGGATTTTAGATGTGGCTGTTATTGGAGTACCTGATCCTGAATGGGGACAACGTGTGGCTGCTGTAGTGGTGATGGAAGCAAAAAACAAGGTATTTAAATAAAAGAAAGGAAAAATGCTTCAATAATTCAAATTATTCAATTCTTTCCATAGGAATTGGATTTGATTACTATGCGAAATGCTTTAAAGGCAAAATTGGCTGTATATAAGGTAATGACAAATGAACATGTGGCTGGAACTTGACAAAATAGGAAATAATGATGATAATTGACATTCTTCTCTCATAAAAAAAAAAAAAAAGGTACCCTCGTTACTCAAGACTGTAGATGAATTACCAAAGAACGCAATGGGCAAAGTGACAAAAAAGGATCTTTTAGTTTTATTCCATTAGAGTAGACAAAATTCAAATTCTTCTTGTCATTCCGATCCACCCATACCATATTCTCGGTTATCAATAAATTTGACTCCATTTTGGCTTTTTTTTTTTATTTTTATTTTTTCGTTTTTATCTTTAATCATATACGCTTCCCCACAAAAAAAAAGGTACGATGAAGACAGGATGAATAACTCTTACTGATCTTTTCTTTTTTTTTTTTTTTTTTTATATTAGATGAAATCTTTCTCGTTTTTGACCCTCAGTACTTTAAGTCAAGTGTTCTTAGCCGTGTCCATTTTGGCCCAACAGCCAAACTGTCAATTCAAAGAATCCAGTGATCAGAAACATTCCTTTGCATTGGCATCCATTGATAACGATATGCAAGATGATCTTGTTGTGGACGATCTTTACCGTCGAGCTGCTGAAGCCTGCTACCAAGAATGCAACTCTGCTGAAATCATGTCCTTGTCAAGTAGTTACTGGAAACAAAAGATGCCTTTGACTGTGTTGGATAGAGAATCCAATTTTTTGATTGATCATGGATTCTTCCAAATGAATGAAACCTACCTTGTGGTAAGAGCTACATAATAATAATAATAATAATAATAATAATATTAATTTGCTATGTCTCTTTTTTTTTTATATATTCATAGAATCATATTGCCGCGGCTGATGAAGATGATACCGATGGTTTAGGTTGTATTGGATTAGAAAGGTAAGATCATTCTTCACAAATGATATAATTGAATAGAAAAAAAGGATACCATATACTTAACGCTTTATTTATTTATTTTTTTTAGTGATTCCCAAATCATGTTTTATCCATTAGAAACTGGCTCTTGTCGTAACACTGAAGTAAGTTGAAATCATTCTTTTTATTATCAACATTTCCATTTAATTTAATTTTTTTTTTTTTTTTTTTTTTTTTTTTACATCCTTTCAAAGTACGTTGTCTGTGGACTTCCTTCCAAGGTAATATATATATATATATATATATAAATATATGTCTTATTTCATTTATTGAATTATTCATGTTAATATGTTATAGGCTCATGGGTCAAATCCGGTTGGAGTGACGGACAACAAACCAACTACCAATAATGCTCATCCAGATCAAGCTGTTATGAATTCTGGTAACAATGGAAAAGATACGACCACTGATACCACCAATCACATGGATCAAATCAACAACAATAATCATCCTTCTATTCCTTCTGGTTACGTCGCCTCACCAGGAGCTCAAGCGACCAATGTACCTCAAGCTGCTCATAATGATGCCACTACAGGAAGGACACCCAACGATAATCAAAATGAAAATGACCTTGTGTTTTCTTTGAAGATTGCTGATATGAATTACAGGGTGATCCGTCTTCAAGAAACACATCTTACTCTCGAGTCTGCAACCTCCTTCTGTACCAGTCATCGTGACAATCTTGGATCTTTGTATGCTACCTCGTTGCCAACCTTCTCTTCATGGATGCAACGTGTCCATCCTACCGAAACTATTATCATTGGATCTTGGAATGGTGATAGTTATGGTGCTGGCCAATCGCAATGTTTGCTTTATTCGACTACTGGTGGTATCCATTTGGGCTCTTGTAGTGATGCTTCCATCTTACTTTGTGAATCTGATTTTGAAAATGATACTCCTCAATACAAAAGTACATAGGTAAATGCAATCCTTTTTTTGTTTTTTTTTTTTTTAAACAAGAAATTAGTTAGATAAGCTTTTATTATATTTTCATTAATAAAGAGAAAACTTTTTTTTTCTTTTTTTACAATATCAATGATTTGTGATGAACTTGTAATCATTATTTTTAATCTAAAAAGGTATGAGTCATTAATATGTGATGGTTGAGTCTATGATGATTTCAATGCTTGATACATACTTGCTATGGGATCCTCTTTTTTCAACCGTAACGAGGTCAATATTTCACATTCCGATGTCAACTTGGGAAATGGGTTGACAGTCCCCGTGTTTTATTCTAACTTTTCCGCTGACGTTTGGTTGAAAAAGAAAATAAACTCCTCTCACTATATTTTTTTTTTTTTTATTTTATTTGGCCTCCTCTTTTCTTTTTTTTTTCATCTGTCAAACTTTTTTTTTTCATTTTAAATCCATTCAATAACATCATGTAATAAAAATATATGAAACGCGTCATTTTCAACATTGAAACACTTTATATATATATTTATATGTATACACTTATTCACCATTGTCTATTTCTTTCTTTTTTTTATTTTCATCTATATAGGGCGTCCTCTGCACTCAAACTGATCAACCCCAACTCAGATGTCGCTCGACGTGGCCAAGCTCTTCAATTGAATATTACAGCTGCTATTGGTCTTCAAGATGTTTTACGTTCCAATCTTGGTCCTCGTGGTACTATCAAGATGTAAGTCAACTTGGTTGTATATAGATCGTGGAGAGATTGGAATATTAAATATACTGTGTTTTTTTTTCTGTCATATTAGGTTGGTTGATGGTGCTGGATCTATCAAGTTGACCAAGGATGGCAAAGTTCTTTTAAGTGAAATGGTATGTCAACTAGTAGATTAATCATGTCATAACTTATGAAATTCACTTTTTATTATTATTATTATTATTTTCTAGCAAATTCAACATCCTACTGCTGCCATGATTGCAAAGGCTGCAACTGCACAAGATGAAATCACTGGTGATGGTACCACTTCTATTGTCTTGCTTGTTGGTGAACTTTTGAAACAAGCTGAACGTTATATTTCTGAAGGTTTACATCCTCGCGTCATTACTGAAGGTTATGATATTGCTAAGAAGGAAGCTCTTGAAGTAAGTTATTTATTTATTTATTATACTTCATGTTAACCAAAATTATTATTATTATTTTAGTTTCTCGAAAAGTTCAAGACTGAACAAACTTCTGTGGATCGTGAATTATTAGTATCTGTGGCTCGTACATCCCTTCGTACCAAGGTTCATCGTGCTTTGGCTGATACTTTGACTGAAGCTGTGGTGGATGCTGTCTTGTCTATTTATCGTGAAGGTGAACCTATTGATTTACATATGGTGGAAATCATGAAGATGCAACATCGTTCTGAAACTGAATCCAAATTGATCCGTGGTCTTGTTTTGGATCATGGTGCTCGTCATCCTGATATGCCCAAGAAGGTCAAGAATGCTTTTGTTTTGACTCTTAATGTTAGTTTGGAATATGAAAAGAGGTAAAAAATGATCGATATGTGGATGATTTGAAATACTAAATTGATGATTATTTTAGTGAAATCAATTCCGGCTTCTTCTATTCTACTCCTGAACAACGTGAAAAATTGGTGGAAAGTGAACGCAAACATGTGGATGAAAAGATTCGCAAGATTGTTGAATTCAAGAATCAAGTCTGCACTGGAGAATATGCTGATTATGGTTTTGTAGTGATTAATCAAAAAGGTGTGGATCCATTGTCCTTGGATATCTTGGCTAAACACAATATTCTGGCTTTACGTCGAGCCAAGCGAAGAAACATGGAACGACTTCAATTGGTATGTGGTGGTGTGGCACAAAACTCTGTGGATGATTTGACTCAAGAAGTATTGGGCTATGCTGGTTTAGTGTATGAACAAGTACTTGGTGAAGAAAAATATACCTTTGTGGAAGAAGTGAAGGATCCTTACAGCGTGACTATTTTGATCAAGGGCCCTAACGCTCATACCATTGCTCAAATCAATGATGCTGTACGTGATGGTTTACGTGCAGTGAAGAATGCGATTGAAGACAAATCCGTTGTAGTAGGAGGTGGTGCTTTCCAAGTCGCTTTATCTCAACATTTGATCGAATTCAAAAAGACTGTCAAGGGTCGTGCAAAGATGGGTGTTCAAGCTTTTGCTGATGCCATGTTGATTATTCCTAAGGTGTTGGCTCAAAATGCTGGTTTCGATGTACAAGATGTCATTGTTGCTTTACAAGAAGAACATATGGAAGGTCATATTGTGGGTCTTGATTTGAAATCTGGTGAAACTATGGATCCCAAGTTGGAAGGTATTTGGGATAATTATCGTGTTCATCGTCATATGTTGCACTCTTGGTAAGTCCCAAAAAAAAAAAAAAAGGAGACATTCAGGATCATTTACTTACTATATCTTTTTTTTTTTCATGAATTAGTTCCGTCATTGCTGGAAACTTGTTATTGGTGGATGAAATGATGCGTGCTGGAAGAACATCTTTAAAGAACCCTGAACCTGGAATGTAGATAGTTTTTTTTTGTTCCTTTTTATATACATATATACATTTATATCTTTCTTCATTATTTTGATTTTAGTTGGTTTTATCTCCTTGATGATGTTCACCAAAAATATTCAAATAAAAAAAAAAATCACAAGCATGACTCTTTTGACCTATTTCATGTAGTTGCATAAAAAAAACTGTAGGAGCGCATAATAATGATATCTCCTTAAAAGATTTATTTCGCCTCTTTTTTTTTTTTTCCTACTAACCACTTTAGTGTCAATGCATCATTGAAAAAAAAAAAAAGTATACTATGAGAGTATCATATATTATCCATTGAAAAAAAAAGTATACTATGGGAGTAACATATATTTATCCAAACTTTTATTTATGTAACGTACATTCATCATAGTTAATGTTTAAAAAAAGACGTTTTTATTTATTTATTTATTGACATCTCTTCTTTCCATCATCATCTTCGTTCTGCAGTGATACGTTCTCTGATAGCCACAATGTTTTGCTTGATCCAATGATCCTTGTCCCGAAGTTCTTGTTCTTCTCGTCGTAATCTTGCAATGTCATCCCGTAGCTGTTGTTGCTCTCTTTCCATCAATAACGTTTCTCTTTTACTTATAGATTGATCATCATCCATCATTCTATTGATTGGATGACGATAATAATTTGTTGACATGGAATCAGTCATGATAAATAGTTTTTTTTTGGATATAAAAAAAAAAAAAAAAAAAAAAAAAAAGAAAAGAAATAGATTTCTATGTACGGAGGTTTTTTTTTTTTTTGAAGAAAAATGATATGTAAATGATCACCCTGATTTTCATGTATATACTTTATTATATTATCAACTCCCCCCCTTTCACCATCATCTCCCTCTTCTTCTTTAGTAAAGGAGGAAAAAGAAAAAAAAAAAAAAAGGGGTCATTCTTCAATTCTGTCAAAAGAAGAAGACGGATTTCAATGTCCGGACGTATGGGTGGAAGAAAAAAAAGCCCTATTGATCTTCTTTTTTTTTTTTTTCCTTCCTTTTTTTTTATTGTAACTTTTGTGATCATGGCTGCTGTTGCTGCTCAAATCTCCAAGAAGAGAAAGGTAGATAGATAAAAAAAAAAAAGATAATTATTACGTTTTAAATAGATGGATGGATGGATGGATGGATGGATTGATATCTTTTTTTTTTCTATAGTTCGTCGCTGATGGTGTGTTCTACGCCGAATTGAATGAATACCTTACTCGTGAACTTGCCGAAGATGGTTACGCTGGTGTCGAAGTTCGAGTTACTCCTGCTCGTACTGAGTATGTTGTTATTTTTTTTTTTTTTTGTGTGTTGTCTAGGATTTATATCATTCAACTACGGAACGACGACGAACGACGAATGCTCATTTTTTATTTTTTTTTTTGTTGAATAGAATCATCATTCGTGCCACTCATACTCAAAATGTTCTTGGTGAAAAGGGTCGCCGTATCCGAGAATTGACAACACTTGTGCAAAAGCGATTCAAGTTTAGCGAAAATGCGGTTGAATTGTATGCCGAACGAGTTCAAAACCGAGGTTTGTGTGCCATTGCACAATGTGAATCTGTCAAGTTCAAGTTACTCAATGGTTTGGCTGTGCGTCGTGCCTGTTACGGTGTTGTGCGCTTTGTGATGGAATCTGGTGCTAAGGGTTGTGAAGTGGTTGTGTCTGGTAAGCTCCGTGCTGCTCGTGCCAAGGCTATGAAGTTCAGTGATGGTTTCATGATCCACTCTGGTCAACCTACCCGTGATTTCATCACCACTGCTGTTCGTCACGTTCTTTTGCGTCAAGGTGTTCTCGGTATCAAGGTCAAGATCATGTTGGACAATGACCCCACTGGTCGTCAAGGCCCCAAGCAAACCTTGCCTGACATTGTCACCATCTTGGAACCCAAGGAAGAATCTACCATTGAAGTCCCCACTGCCCAAGAATTCGGTGTTCCTGCTCCTGTTGAACCTGTGGCTACTCAATAAAGCAAACTCTTTTTTTTTTTTTATCAACTTGTATTCAATCAAAATTCTCATATCTTCTTGTTAATAAAAAAAAAATTATATTCTTCTACTCGATGTTATAAATGGTTTGGAGTTTATTAATGGATGGGATAAATTATGATATCTATACTATACAAAATAGTGTGTGTGTGTGTGGAGGGAATCATGCAAAGAACTAGTGCTACAATAAAAAGAAGGTTTCAATGGGTGGGTAGAGACACAACGATTTCTTGATCAATACAGCTTGTACGACGACTGAGCCAAGGATAGATGACTTTCTTCATGACACTTCCTACAGCTACACCTACAGTAGCCCACCGTAATCCCCATAAAGGTAATTCGGTGATAAATTGACTGGATGTTTGTAAATGTTGATAATGATTAGCAGGTGATTCTGATACAACAAACACTAACAAGGTAAAATGAATCCAAAATAAGATGATGATTGCACAACAATAAGTCACCAAAAGTCGTTTTGCAATATTCCCTCCTTGTCGAGATAACATCATGCCTAATCCCATAGCACTATTAAAACCATTATTGTTTAATTGTTCTATATCATCACCCATAAAGACAATATCAAACATATCACTAAGGATATGACAGGTATACCATATATTTGCTATACTTCCAAGTAAAAAGAACCCAAGATGAATATGATCCAATTGACATAGCATAAACCGCCATAGTCGATCGTCCGAAAATGGAAAAGTAAGGAAGTAAAGCGTACGACTAGCCAAAAGTGAATGAGATACATACGAAGAATAAGAAAACAAACTGCCCAATGTAGACGTGATGGAAGGATGATTGGTGCTGCTGGTTGCCGCACAAATGGGGAATGGTGAGAAATTGACATAATGTGATGAAGGTGTAGTGTTGGATAACATTGATAAAAAGGCGGTACGAATGCTGGAATAAAGTAATTGACGAAAGGTTCCATCCATCCAGGCCTGACTGTATCCACCTTCAGGTCCATTAGTAACAAGTGCTGAGAAATGAATAATCATTTTCATAATAGATCCTAAAAAAAAAAAAAAAAAATTAAGAGTGTGAGAAGAATATCATCTTTCTAGACCAACTTTTTTTTTTTTTACCCATGGGTATCAGACATAAGATGAGAATAAATAAGGTTCCAATGGCACGAGCAACTATTCAATAAAAAAAAAAAGAAGAAAAAATCAATCATCATTGAATCTAGTTGACTTATATGCAAAAGAGTTACCTTTATAATCCAAAAGAGCACGAAGAGGATTGCGTTGTTTGATAATGAGTTTTTGTTGACAAAGAGTACATCTATAAAGATCCTTTTCCCTTCCACATTCCAATAAAGCCAATCGCCAGGATTTCATACAACTGGGATGAACGTATTTTCTATATAAAAAAAAAAAGGTTAGTGATGATGACAATAGAACCCTTTTCTTTTTTTTTACATGGAGCCAGAACATTTGCAGGGGGATATCAGAGCAGATAAGTCATCCTTCGCTAGACATATTTTACAAACTGTAGGAGGAGAATTGAATGTAGGTTTTGATATTTCTAATGGTTTCATAACTTTCAATGTATATATAAAAAGAGAGAGAAAGAAAAAAAGAAAAGAAAAAAAAAAGGCGTGAGAGTTGAGAGTGTGAAACAGAAAGGAGAACTTATTACAGGTAGATGATTCCATCTCCGCTAATTCATCGTTTGTCAACATGCATGATAATACACTTTCTTTTTTTTTTTGTTTTTTTTTGCATGGATCATCTACAATCTTCTTATTGCCGGATGATTGGATCTTTTGTACTACTTGATATCCTTATTATTGTCATTAAAAGAAATTCAAAAAAAAAAAAATGAGGTGATGAAGATGAATGCTGTCAAAAACCCCGAACCCATGAATTTTTTTTTTTTTTTTTTGCTTTCTTTTATTGCTGTGATTGGTACCTGAATAATATCGATGGTATGAAATTGTATCTATTTTGTGACCTTATCATTCTTTCTTTATTATTACATTATTAGAAGATCATGTATGAAGAAAAAAAAAAAGAACGTGGCAAAATCAAAGGGGAAAAAGATGCTTTTTTTTTTCTTGGTTGATCATCTTAATCTATTCATACCGAATAAATCACAGTTTCATATGAGAAATCTACTTATGTTATGCAAATAAACTTCCTTTAGCATTCAATCCGAATTGGAGCCGTTTTAACTTTCCAAGCCTGAATTTTCTTGTTTACCCCTGGAATAATCAAAAGGGATAAAAAAAAATGATAATAAGAAGCCCATTTTGTTAAATAGTTCATCTTTATATATCTTCCTTTTCTGGAAACTGTGCTATTGTAGGCGTGTTGTCTCTCATATTAGTCAGGATGTTGGTATCATCACTTTAACGTTACCAGTCATATCAGTTGCATTAATATCATCATCAGTTTTTTTTTTTTTTTTTTTTTTTTTTTTTTTATTTTATTCAAATAAATAACATCTAAATATAACTATGTACATATGACAAACTAATCTACGATGATTGATCAGCGAATAAACTGAATAATAAAAACTTGAAGATCATCATCGGCGTCTGTTGAGAGAAGTAGAGACTGATGACCACCATGAAGATCGTTTGTTGTAATTGTAGCTGGTTGGACGGGGATAAAGATCATCTTCACCTCGACTAAGTGAGTTTGTCGTTCGATCATATTCACTACTTGTACTTGTAGGAGGTCCATCTACATAATATCGATTGGACCAATCCCTAGTATCCGCATAAAAAGTCGCCTCTCTTTCCTGTGCAGCTGTCGATGCCATGATACCCAAAGGATGTTGCTGAGAATGTTGTTGTCGTTGTTGTAAGAGAATACCTTTCCTTTGTCGTCGTTTCCAAAAGAAGATCGCAAACACAATCAATGCTATACCTGCTACACCTCCAATCACTGAGCCAATAATCGTAGGAATATGATTGTTGTTGTCATTATTTCCACCTGTATTGTCTTGACCTAGGGCTGAGATGGGAATCACCGTTCTAAAAAAAAAAAAAAAAAAAAAAAAATTGGTTACGCAAAGAATAACAACAACCAAGATTTAGACCTCCGTGCATCTACGCCAAAATAGATCAAATAGAAGAAGATCACTTACGTCGTAGGAATCACTGTAGCAACTGTCGTTGTTCTTCCATTGACAACAATCACTGTTTGAGTAGGAATCGTTGTCCAAATGGTTGTGCTTGTGGATACTGTCAAGGATGGAATCACAGAAGTGGTAATAGCTATTGAGGAAGTAACATACGTGGAGTCTGAAATGGGCGGAGGTGGTGATGATATGGAAGTAGGAGAAGTTGTAGGTGGTGTGGTAGGTGGTGTGGTAGGAGGAGAGGTAGGTGGAGAAGTAGGTGGAGAAGTAGGTGGAGAAGTAGGTGGTGAAGTAGGTGGTGAAGTAGGTGGTGAAGTAGGTGGGGAAGTAGGTGGAGAAGTAGGTGGGGAAGTAGGTGGAGAAGTAGGTGGAGAAGTAATTGGTGAAGTGGGTTGAGAAGAAATAGGTGAAGTGGGTTGAGAAGAAATAGGTTGAGAGGACATAGAAGACGAAGAAATAGAAGGTGAAGAAGAAATGGGTTCGGAAGAAGTAGGTGGATTTGATGGCGAAGAGGATATAGGAGAAGACATGGAGTCTGATGTGACTGATGTAGGCAATGATGAGGAAATAAAAGAAGAAGTAATTTGTTGTTGTGTTGTTGTCAGTTGACCTGAGATTGTGGCTGACATGAATGTTGAAGTGTCAGAGGACAAAGGATTGCCAGTTCCTGTTTGAATAATAGATCTATATATATATATGTAAGATCAAAAAATGAAGAACTCCGGTAAGCTTCAGAATGGAAAGATGATTTTTTAAAATCTTACGAGATAGAAGGTTCGATGTTATCGGTTGAATAATTTTGGGTAGAAGCCATCGTTTGAGATGGTGGTACTGACGAGGCTGAGATGGAATGGCTTGAAGGTACTTTTGCAGCAGATGACGAGGTTGGTGATACCAAGGTTGAGGAAGTACGTGACGATAGTAAAGATGCGGAAGGCCGATCCGAAGTAATGTAAGTAGCTTTTTCAGTTGATGTGTGATGATCAGCAGTAATGGATGAGGTGATACTATGCCTTTCTTGCGTTGATGTTTGTTCTCTATTTTCTGATGAAGACATAAGCTACTAGAGAGAAAGAAAGAAAAGAAAGAAAGGTAAGTAAAAAGAATAAAAATAATTGAAACATATATAAAGGGTGAATACTTCAATCGCCGCATATACCTATGATGTCCAAAAATAACCATTGCTCTGTTTTTGTAATCCAATACACTATTTTTATTCCAATAGTTGAGATATCACTATTAAAAAAGATAAAAAAAAATAAAAATAAAGATAAAAATAAAAAAAAAACTAAAGAGTTTTTTGATCATGCGCATAGATTGTAAACTTACCCTTCTTTGGCAATTAGAAAATATCATTGTGAATGGTTTAATCAGGGACATCACAATCGCGTATCATATAACAGACTAAAACTAATAATATCGATTATTATAAAATACCTTTACCCATTCCTTCCATTTATATATATATATATATATAAAACTTACCATCCGATGAGGTTCAGATATCTAAAATTGTTAGATCAGAATAATTTAGTATATTCTTTGTTATTATCATTATTGCAACATACTTTTTCATATTATCGTTTCCTATCCATAAAAAGATTAGTTATATTTAACTTGATAAAAAGACTATATATATTCTGTTAACATGTTTCGATACGTCACCTAGTTGCCAATAATATTGTTGAATGTCGTCAATGTTGTGAGTGGCATTGAATGCATTTGTTCATTGTTACTGTCGACAAGTAAAAGCTATCCTAAACGCGTAAATATATAAATGAGTAACATAAAAAAAAAAAGGAATAAACTAGATTTTTATTTGAATAAACTGGATTCTTATTTCAATATTACCGAGACTATTGTGTGAATTCTTAGTTTATGAACAGTAAATGTCAAAAGAGAGAAGAGAAAATAAAAAAGTAAAAACTTCACCCAATACTACCCAATAGATACCGGTGTTTCAATCCAATTCACACCACCCTGATTTAGTAACTTTTTTTTTTTTTTTTTTTTTTTTTTTTTTACTATCATTGATACCAGGAGAAAGTAACATAAATCAGTAATTTTAAAGAATTTCCCTTAAAGCATACACTTATTGTTACTACTAATAAGATAATAAGAAGTTAGTTTTATTATATATGATCCTACAGCTATTACAATTATAAATAAATTCAATTTATATGTTCTTTAGAGTGCATTGATTTTGAATAATAAATGATTGTGATTTAATATCAAATCTTTAAATTTTGCTTTTTTGTTGGATGGTTGTAACGTTTGGTTTGCATTAAGAAAGGTTTGTTTAACAGTATAGACTCTAAATAGTGATACCTTATCATTAGAGATAAACAAATGTGAGTAGAATTCAGTGGTTTGATTCAAAGATAATGGGAATAGAGTAGAGTACAATCAAAGTAAAGTGTAACCTTCACACTGTTTAATATATATATATTTTTGCATGATAATAAAAGTTCAGCCATCAAAAAGCAAAAATAGTCACGAGACATTTCTTTTTTGGTTCATTGGCCTTCTCACGCATTTTTTTTAAGCCAGACTTTTTTTTTTTCCTTTTTGTTCTTTTCCTTTTTCTTTCTTTCTTTCTTTCTTTTTTTTTCTTCTTCTCTGTTTATATCCTACTTTTACCATGGGGTCTGATTCAGTTTATACCCCTCCTCATCAAGTCAAGGTGCTTGCTGCTACTTCTCAACTTAAGGGACTCATGACCATTATTCGTTCTCAATCCACTCCTCGTGCTGACTTTATTTTCTATGCTGATCGTATCATTCGACTCCTTGTGGAAGAAGGTAATTATGTTTATGAAACTAAAGATGGACTGATTCTAATTTTTTTTCCTATTCTATAAGGTTTGAATCATTTACCTGTGATTGATAAGGTCGTCGAAACTCCTACTGGTGTTGACTATCAAGGTTTGGCTTTCCAAGGTCGTATCTGTGGCGTTTCCATTATGCGTGCTGGTGAAGCCATGGAACAAGGTTTACGAGAATGCTGCAGGTTATAAAATATAATATTTTTTTTTCAGGATCAAACAAATCTTACTTATTTATATATATATATATTTATAGGAGTGTTCGTATTGGTAAAATCTTGATTCAACGTGATGAAGAAACTCACTTGCCCAAGGTAATAATAATAATAAACAAATCAATGATAATATACTAATCATTTTTTGATAAAACCATGTCTTCTTTTTATTTTGAATCTATTAGCTCTTTTATGCCAAGTTACCAAATGATATTTCTTCTCGTTACTGTTTGCTTTTGGATCCTATGCTTGGTAACCAAAAAAAAAAACTAAGAACTGTGAATAAATCGACTCACCTTTTGTATTTGATAGCTACTGGAGGATCTGCCATGAAAGCTGTGGAAGTATTATTAGATAATAATGTCCCTGAAGATCATATCATCTTTTTGAATTTGATTGCTTCTCCTGAAGGGATAGCAGCCTTTGTTGAAAAATTCCCCAAGGTCAAGATTGTCGTGGGTGAAATCGATTCTGGTTTGGATAGTAACAAGTATATTGTACCTGGTTGTGGTGATTTTGGCTGCCGTTATTTTGGTACTAATGATTAGATTGCCCACGTTCACATACATAACACATACGCACGCATATCCATTTCAATCCGTTAGAAACATCCATCCTTTGATATTCTAGTGTCTTCTTTATTTTTTTATGTTGTATCATCTGTGTTTTATCAATAAACAAACTCATCATCATTAGTGTCATTACTTTTTAGAACGAATTCATTTTTTTTTATAGTATGAAAAAGAGAGAGAGAGTGTCATAGTCATTTTATTGAATGGATAAAAAAATTAAAATGAAGAATAGGTAAAATGCAATCACTAAAAAACGCAGCAAAAAAAGACAATAAAAAGAAAAGTCCCTCAATTATATTCAAGAGGCATCACCGAATCCATTCCCCAAGGTAGTCCTCGACCTTGAATACCAATACGTTGCCAAGTTACAGCTGGAATCCCAATATCAGCAACAAATAATCCACCGGTCACTTTATCTGAAGTACATCCTTCTACTGGTGCGCCAAAACAAACAGTCCATTTAGGTACGATATAATGCATCACATGGAAAGGATGACCTATAGAATAAAGAAAAAAAAAATGGTTAGATATTCTTTTATTTTTTTTTTTCATCACTTTACCATCATTGCTATTGACTCCACTAGGGAAATCTAAACTTAAAACTGGAGCCTTATTACTATTACACCATTCAATCCCATTCCATATCAGAGTACGAATACTGTCATTCTTCCAATCATCAATATTGGTTGTTGTTCCCATCAAAGCATCAATGATCAAATCCACAGGAGCAGTCAAAGGATCAGGTAATTCTTAAGAAAAAATACAGATAAATAAATAATGATCCATCAATTCATTAGATTGCTTACCTTCTACAGAATTGACAAATGTGGCACCTGCAAATTCAGCACATCGTCGCTGTTCCTTCATTCGTTGATTTTTATCATGATTCATCAATAAAACAATCACAGAAATTCCACGGTTGGCCAAATGACGTGCAGTTGCAATACCATAATTTCCTACTGAATGATTGCCAGCCAATACTACCACTATAGGTGCATCGTTGTGATTTTGCTGTTGAACACGGCGTTGCCCACCTATATACAAAAAAAAAAAATCATTATAGTTAATATCGGTTCCATTTTTCTTTGCTTTTTGTATTTTTCATTTTCATACCAATGACTTTGAAAGTGATACTTGAAGTAGCATGAGCTGCATTTTCGATAATCATAGATTCCGTAAGTCCAGTCTCAGTTTCTATGAAAAAAAAAAATGAAAAAAAGAAAAATTAGAAAAACAATCTTCCATCTTTTATGTTTTCTTTCACATACTGGCAAGTTGAATGAGTTTTGATAATTGCTCTACAGGGAGAACAGGACAGGTAGTACCAGTAGCAACCGATTTGATAATAGGACCACCGTTCTGTTGATTGATATAAGAGTTGTCAGTGGGAGGAGTTTCGGTTTCTTCCATTGGCTTTTGAAGTTTTTCTATAGGTTGTTCTTGTTGCAAAATAAATGTATTTTGGTCACTTGATACTGCTGGTGACGATGAAGATGTTGATGAGGATGTTGCAGCTGCAGAATGTCGCATTGGTAACAGTTCATCTAGAAGAGGTACCATTGTTTTTGTTGGTGTTGATCCATTTTCTTTGGCATCTGCTTTCTGGTGTGATGACGTTGACGATGAAGTATCACTTTCAGTACGTATTCTGGGTCGATTTACAGGGTATGGGATTTTGAATATATTGGCGTCATTCGTGCTTCCAGGAGGAGATACATCCATTGATATAGGCTCATGCTGTTGACGACTTCCCGCTGATGGTGACATTGAACCATTCATTCCAGATACCAATCCTTGATTAGATCCACCAAACATATTCAATGATGAGAGTAATGATTGCGTTGCAGCTTGATTGACAGCGTCATCTGGCTTGTGTAACTATATGAAAATAATAATCAGTAAGCTCATTTTAAAAATGATCTGTCCTATTTCATGAAGAATATATACATACCTGAGGTGACTTTGTAGACTCAGATACTTGATATATGGGAGCCGCTACTACGGGTACTTGTTCGCTTTGTTGCTTGATTGTCAAATGTTGTTGTTGTTGACGCTTATCATATGAACGTACTTTCTTTTCTGATGTACTGACAAATTCATTGAAGTCATCAAAGACCTCTGTATTAACTAGTTTTCGGGTCGTCGTTGCATTACTGAATACAGGCAAAACATGTGGTTGAGGTCGCTTTTGAGATTGTTGCTGAACTTGTTGTTCTTGTAATCGCTGTTGTTGTTGCTGTTGTTGTTGCTGCTGTTGCTGTAGCTGTTGTTGTTGTTGTTGTTGTTGTTGTTGTTGCTGTTGCTGTCGTTGTTGCTGTTGTTGTTGCTGCTGCTGCTGCTGCTGTTGTTGTTGTTTTTTGGAGGATTGTTTGTTATGCGCATTTCGTGATTTCGGTGGAGATGATTTTACTGGTGCAGGAGAGGTGATAGGTCCGTTGATCTTTTCTTCAGAGTCACCCACAGGAGGAGGAGGCGAAGTTTGTTTTGATTTATTCCCACGCTTTGATTTTGTAGCAGTAGATCCAGATTTCGTTGTCCCTTTATTGGTCGGTTTCGTTGGTGATGTCGTAGGTATATCATGGTGATCGACAGTGACTTCCTTCTTGTTTTTATTCGTACGTGCAGATCCCGGACTACTTTGTTGCTGTTGTTGTTGTTTTTTAGAACTACAAAAGATAAAAAAAAAAAAATGAATAAAAAAAAAATAGATAATCATTATTGAACATAATATATATAAATTCTAGGTGAATTTACCGTTTTTCTTGTGATGGTTTCTTTTCCTGGTCAGTAGCAGTCATCTAGTGAAAATGAGAGTGTAAGTTTTTAAAACACAATCAAAATAATTTGTAATAGTTAGTTACTTACACTAATGATAGCAGGATCTACAAAAGATTTTTTTGATGGAACATTGGGTGAAGTAGACTGTTGTGTAGTTGATGGTTCCAAGTTTGCTTCGTTCTCTTGAGTTACTTGATAGTCATTGATAATGTGTCCGGGCACTTTCATAAAAGGGTATTCAGATTTTCTTCCACTAGTAAAGCAGCGTTCAGCTAAAAAAAGAAAAAAGAAAAAAAAAAAGAAAAGAAAAAAAGATGGAGAAAATGTGAATTGCGTTAACTTGAAAGTGTTTCTGATGGTAAAACGTACTTACCTTTTTCAAGAGAAATGCTGCCATCCTCGTCAACACTTGAGACAATACCATAAAAAATATCTCCATTCTTGAGATTGACTTTGACATGAAGACCTTGTATATTTGCCATTGTTTGCGAATAAGGGTTAAAAAAAAAAAGAAGATAGAAAAAAAAAAAACAAAAAGAAAAAAGAAAAAGCAGTGACCACAGTAAGTTTTCAACACAAAAAATAAAAGGCTGAGTATGAATTCAGATTTTCTGGGCCTCTCCATTTTGCATTTTTTTTTTTCTCTTTTCACTATTCACTTTCACTCTTCTCCATCTCTCTTTTCTCATGTCCCTCTTTGACGATTTCTTAGAGTCGACTGAGAATCCACAGGAACAAACTAATGGAATCTCAATAAATTCTCTTTCTTATGAAAACTATCCTACAAACAATAATGTAACTGACGATACCCTGTTACAGGTATAATATAAAAACCTTAACTTTACATACAATGTAGTATATAAGGACTGATTTTTTTTTGTTTTGTATTCTTAAATAGAGAAATCAACCATCAACGACTATATCTCAGACATCTATAAAATCAATATCATCAACTATTTTCAACCTCGATTATGTACAGTTTCAGCTTCCTGCTTTACTCATTTATATGGTGGTTTCCAACAACATTCTACTGGCAGTACTCAGCAATAACCATATACTTCGTATTGACTTGGATAATCCTTTGCAAGTAGAAGGTACGTTAATGAAAATGAGGATAGAGAAATGTCATTATTAAAAATAATTTTCTTTGTTTTATTATTAGAAATTGATTTAGTACGCAAACCCAACGACGGAAAAATTGTATCGGTGTTCTTTGATCCTACTGGCCGACATTTGATTCTGTCTACAGAACAAGGAGAGAATTATTATCTATATGGAAATTGGAAAAAGACAAAAGTGCTATCAAGGTTCAAGGTAAAATTTACTTGTTACAGGACATCAAATAGAGGTGAAAAGGTCATGCATTGAATTCTTTTTTTTTTTTCTTTTTTTATTATTATTATTATTATTTCTATTTGTAGGGATTAGTGATCACATCTATTGGCTGGAATCATCAAGCAACCATGAATTCCACTGCTACCCTTGAAATACTTTTAGGTACAAATAAAGGGGAGATATATGAAACATGGATTGAACCAACGGATGAATATTTCAAAAAGGAAGAACGTTATCTGAAGTTACTATATCAACTTTCCGTTGACTCACCCACATTATCACCAAGTCTATTACCATCTCAAATTGTTGGATTACACTTTGAATCGATTCCTGCACAAAAGTATCTGGTTATGGTCACAACAGCAAATCGTTTATATCAATTCATTGGTATCACCAATCCAGCCTCCTCAGCTGGAATTCATGAAACTGGATCTGCTATGTTCAAACCACTCTTTAGCCAATACACCAACAACGTCAGTTTTCAAGAATTACCCGGAGATATAGGATGGAGTGGACTTTACTTGTATAATGTTACTACTTTACAAAGATCAAGTGAAATTTTTGCATGGGTTACAGGTATATATATATATAGGGATATTATGGGTTTTGATACTTAAACAAGCTGCTAATAGAAATCCTTTTTGTTTTTGTTTTTCTTATTAAATATAGGACCTGGTGTCTATCAAGGAAGAATTGATGTGAAATCTGAAAAAACAGACGATCTTATCGATAATGCACAACTGATATTGTAAGCCATCTCCCTGAAAAAAAAAAAAAATCGTATACTGTGATCACGTAGATTGATAATCCTATTTTTATATTAGGTATCCAACTTCAGTACTTCAAGACGGATCAACTCAACAACAACCTGATATACCTATAGCCATGTCTCTTACAGCTTTCCATATCATATTTTTATACCAACATCGGGTCAAAGTGATTTGCCATTTGAACAATAAACTTGTATATGATGAATCTATTCCTTTGGTAAGAGAAAGAAAAAATATAACCTTGATGAACATCTAAATTGATTTTTTTTTATGGGGGAGATAGGAATCAAATGAGAAAATACAAGGACTTGCGGTGGATAATAGTCAAAAAACATACTGGATTTATACTACAGCAGCCATCTATGAAATTGTCATCAAAAACGAAGATGAGCAAGCTTGGAAATTGTATTTGGACAAAAAGGATTACACCTTGGCTTTGGAATATTGCAGACAACCGGAACAACGAAACAAGGTCTATATTGCTCAAGCGGATCAACTATTTCTGAATGGAGCATATCAACAAAGTGCCAAGTATTATGCTGTGACCAATATGTCTTTTGAGCAAGTGGCATTAAAGTTTATCTCCAGGAATGAAAAGGATGCTTTAAGAGTGTATCTGTTGGCAAAACTACAACAATTGGATGACAAGGTATATTTTGAACGGGATTTTTGTCTATGAATTTAGAAACTAAATTTCTTCTCACATAATTTTCTTATTTCTTTTCATAGGCTAGGACCCAAAAATCAATTATTGCGACTTGGTTGGTAGAAATCTTCCTGGCGAAAATCAATCAATATCATGAAATGGGTACCTCGGTAGCATATACATCAACTCATCATCATGATGGAATCAATAAAGGACAATCAGCATTGGATTACTATCGAAAACGGGAACATCAGGTCAAATATGAATTCAAACAACTACTGGAAACATATGAAGACTATTTTCACAAAGAAACGGTATATAAGTTGATTGCAAGTCATGGCCACAACGCTGAATTGGTCTACTATGCTACTCTTATTGGAGATGATGAAAAGGTGATGTCTCATTGGATCACAGAACGTAATTGGATGAAAGCTTTAGCCATCTTGGGAAAACAGGTAACAAATATTTTCGTATACATTCATAATATATACATAAATATATATAATTGATCTTACAATATTTTCTTTTTCTTTGCAGGTCAAATTGGATATGTTCTACAAGTATTCACCTATATTGATGGAATATGTACCTAGAGAAACAGTGGATATATGGATGCTACATACCAAGTTGAACCCACGTATGTTGATTCCATCACTTTTACGATACAATCATAATACTGTCGCGGACAAGGCAACTCAGGTAAATATATATATAAATATATATATATATATATCACTTCAAATTCGATAGAAGGGAGAAAATATCAAGCTAATCCGCTGCCTATTTTTTTCTTCATCTTTTATTTACATATATTTAAATGTTAGCATCAAGCTATCCGATACCTTTCTTATGTTGTGACCACTCTTGGTAATACTGATCCAGTTGTTCATAATTCACTTTTGGCTTTGTATGCGACTCAATCAACCACTGATGAAACAGCATTATTATCCTTTTTGAAAAATGAAGCAAGTCAAAAGAACAACTGAGAATTATCTAATCTTTTGATATACTAATATTTCCCCTTGTTTACTTTTTTTGAATAGGGCCGAGAGATGTATTACAATCCTGATTATGCGTTGCGACTATGTAGTCAATTTGGAAGGTTACAAAGCTGCATTCACCTATACAGTTTGATGGGACTTTATGAAGAAGCTGTTCATTTGGCGCTTAGAGTAAAGTTCTATCTTGTTTGTCTTGATGGAGTGGATGGATACAATACATGTCTGACCTCATATTTTTTTTTATTAGATTGGTGATATTGATCTCGCTAGAATACATGCTGATAAACCTTTTGGTGATGAAGAACTTGGAAAAAAACTCTGGTTGGCTATTGCAAAATATGTGATAAAAGAAAAAAACGACATCAAGCTGTAAGTTGTTGTTATTATTGTTTTAGCGATGAATATCAATAATGATTTCTGATTTTACTTGACAGGGCAATGGATTATGTGAAACAAAGCAATATACTCAAGATTGAAGATATTTTACCATTTTTCCCTGATTTTATACTGATTGATGAATTTAAGGTGAATCTCAATTAAAAAAAAAAAAAAGATGGAAGAGAATGATGTATTAAAGAAGATTAACAACTTCATTATTATTTTAGGATGATATTTATAAGGCATTGGAAGAATACAATGGTCATATTGGTGTATTGAAATCAGAAATGGATGATGCTACCAAGAGTGTTAACAATATTCGTTTGGATGTCCGTAGTCTCAAGACTCGATTTACTGAACTAGATGAAAAGGATCAATGTTGTATCTGTGAATTCCCATTGTTGACTCGCCAATTCTATGTATTTCCTTGTCACCATTCTTATCATATGGATTGTCTTATCAATAAGGTAAAATTGAATTTTTTTTTTATCATTTTGATGATGTAATAATATATATATATATATTGATGACCATATCTAGACAACCAAGCATCTCCCTTTTCGACAAATACGAAAGTTGGCAGATTTACAAGAACAGTTATCTCGTGATATCAAGTTACAAAACAAATTACAACATGTACAAATGAACAAGTCTGGAAAGGATATGTCAAGAAGTACGTCAACAACATTAAAGACACCACCAACAATACCAACAACAGACGCTGAACGTGATGAATTTGGACGAATCAAAGCTAGAATAGAAAGATTGAAGTCGGAATTGGATGATATTGTGGCTAACGAATGTGTTTATTGTGGACAAATCATGATAGATAGTATTGATGAACCTCTGATAGCTTTAGAAGAGAACGAAGTTGTTCTTGATTGGATGATTTAGGATAGTTATTTATTTTATATTTGGACTGTATCTGTAGAATAATAAATATATTTAATAAAGACAATAGATATATATGTAACATATGTGGTGTATCTGAACGAAGAAAACTTTATTTACAAAAAAAAAAAAATAATAATAATACTACAACTAGAAGGAAGAGAAGGGTCATCTATAAAAGAGATGTGGGTGGAGATGTAGAGAAGGTAGATGGAGGTGAAGACTGTGTATCTTGAGGATGAAGCACATAAAAACCACGAGTAAGCCATTGAATTCGACCTTCCAAATCAAGGCGATGCCAATCATCCTCTCGCGTATGTTGATCCATTGTACCGATATCTGATGAAGATGAAAAGAAGGAAGATCCAGGATGTCTTGATAAAGAATCAAGGTCGTCATCTACCGTCCTACTGCGAGCCAGTCGATCTATCTGACTACTATCAAGACTATGTCGTTTAGGATATGGCGAATGTAATGGAGATGATCTGCCTGGTTGTACGTTGATGTAGTTGTCCATCTCATTGGGTTTGCGTTCTAATCGTCGTGTGTGTGGTGCGCGTGGTCGGAAAGGATAGGGTCGTAGATGGTTCACCATGGTATCAAACCTATTCTTATCGTGATCATCCATACAGTCATAAGTAAAACAACGTGGTAACGCTCTTGGCACAGGAAGGTGGAGATTGTTGGTGACATAAGGGCATTCGGCATAAGGAGATGTCCAGCTCGTCCAATAATAAGAGTCTGTCATTGTAGAAGTAGTAGTAGTAGTGTCGCTATCTTCCAAATGGAGTGCTGAAGTCCTCGATGTACTATTATAAATGGACAATGAACCTGCATGCATCAGCTCTTGTCGTCTTTGTTGGTCATGTTGATCTTGATTGTATTTCTGTTCCCATTGTCGATCCAGATCGTCAAAAGAATCCAGTAATGCCTGTTGTTGCTGCCGTTGTTGTTGTTTTATTTCTCTAAGTGATCGCCCAGACGGCGAATGAGAGGAAGAATGACTACTTTGACTGCTGCTATTGTCGCTATTTCTAGGTGAATGATTCGGTGGGTTAATAGTGATGTGTGTACTATCCATACGGTGAGAATCAAATGTCATGGTTTGTTGTGGAAACGACATGGCATGGTTGAAGAAAAGGAAAGAAATAAAATTAAAAAAAAAATAAAAATAAAAAATAAAAAAAAAATAAGAGAGGATCTTGAGAATGCGGGATTGAAGCCAATCATCATGCAACTTTTTCTTTCTTTTCAGAAACCGCTTGTTTCACTCACAGTAATTGAGAATATTATTTTAATTTATTTTTGAGTTTATGAAGAAGTAGGTTTTAACAAGACAAAAAAAAAAAAAAAAAAGACTACAATGAAACATATAAAGATCGTCGTTTACCAGAAGGATAAACAATCATCGAAGCAGCAAATAAGCCAGCCACCACAGCCAAACATATTGTTAACATTTGAATAGGAAAAGAATCATGTGATATGCCTTCTTGATGTAATAATGTATAAGCACCTCGAACGCCTATTTTTAATAACAAATCAGAAAAAGATGTTATGTCACTAGACCTTTTTTTTTTATTTTTATTTTTTATTTTTATTTTTAAGATATACCTATACTTCCAGGTACTAATAATGTCACACCAACGCATAAAGGAACCAATGGGGCATCACCCGTGATTTTCAAAGCCAAGTTCGCATAAAGTCCAACTGCAAAAGAGGCAATACTACCGATAATCTGACCATCAGGAATGACGTTTCCCAGGAAATAAGAAGGTAAAAACCCTACAGCACCACAAAGTGTTTGTGTCAACCATTGTTTACGACTTGAACCGAAGGTGATGCCAAGAGAAATGCTTAACAATGGAAAAATCGGGATATAAAACCATGGTGAAACTGCATCTTGACATACTCCCACATCTGAAGATGTAGGATCAATCACCGAATACATACTATTGCCCACTTGAAGTCCATACGCAAGTACAAATGCATATACTACCGCATACACTAATCTGATCGTACCTGTATTAATATGCCGAGCTGATAATTCCATCTATTTTGTTCATCCAAGATTGGAGAAAAAAAAAAAAAAAAAAAAAACTATCATCATCATGGTCTTTTTCCCTTATAGAAACATGATGTTGATTGTTGCTAATCTTTAATTGGATACTCCTTAATGAATGATGAATGGTGAATGTTGTGGATGATAGGTTGTGGATGATAGGTTGTGTTGTGATTTGTAGATGACTAGTGATGATGATTGAACAAGTGGTTGTTGTATGATGGATGAAAACGATGATAAAGATGGCAATGAAAATACAAGGTGTCTTTTTTTTTTTTTTTGTTTTACCACAGCAATGGTCATCGTATAACCAGGAAGCAAAATCAAGATGGCAGACACACCAACACTTGAGAAACAACAGAAACGATGTAAAGCACGAGCAATGATGGCGACAACGACAGATGATGATAATTCAAACACTCTACCGTAAATTGGATATCGACTGGATAACGTATAGAGTAAACCAACTAGAGCACCCAGGACACCACTAAGTCCAGCATCTATCCATGATCCATTAAATAATAAGATACATCCTGAAAACGCACTGATGCTAAAACCAAATAATGTACCAAAGAATCCACAGGTAGGTCTATCGGCTATGATTGTGTAAAGTGATTGAAGGCAATGATCAAATAATTCCCAACAACAATCTTCAGCCTCGTCACATTGATGATGATCATTATTATGCTGATGATCATCGGGGTCTTCTATATACTGATGCTGATGATACTGAAAAAGGAATTGATTCATCACTGTATTGATTCTTCCTAATTTGCTGGTATCATAGGATGGACTTGCTTTGACCATCATTGTTTGCACTTGTTGATCAATGATGAATGTTACCATGATGGAATCTGGAAGGTATGTATAAGAAGCATGAATGCCTAATAACTTTGTACAATGTTTTAAGACATCATCCTAGACAAACAAGAAGAAGATAAAAAAAAAAAAAAAAAAAAAAAAAAAAAAAAAAAAAAGAGGAGTAAGGGAATAATTAATGCCGAAAGAAGTTTAAAGTAAGGAAAACTTTTTTTTTTTTGCATTAGTTACGGTACCACTCGGTAAACAGGACAACCACCATTGATCAATGCTTGACCCAACACGCAAATCATCTTTTTTTTCATTTCTATTGTAGATGTTTGTTGTTCAAATGTATCCATTTTCAAAGGTGATGAATCTATTAACGTGGATGGTGTGACCTCGCCCATATAAATACTCGTATCCTCCATTCTATTATTTGGTTGATGGCTATTGATACTATTCGTATAATTACTATATGAGACATCACACGAAGAGGACGTGGAGACGGGAATAATATCAAAGTGATTTTTCATTTTGGATGATGAAGTACCATGATGATGATGATGATAATGATGATGGTGATGATGACGACGACGATTCATTGATGTACACTCTGGTCCAAAATAGGAAGAGTTCTCCTTGACTCGTTTTCTATTGATTGAACCGGAAGAAATAAATGGATGATTGGAAGTGGTAGGAATTAGTGTTGGCGTTTGTACGTGCCATAATGAGGTAAGATCTATAGACATTGGTGATGCTGGTGATGATTCACTATGATCCGAATGATGATGATTTAAAACAGAATGATACAGTTGATGCTGTTCTCGATGATATTGAAGCTTTTGATCATCTTTTTTTTCATTGGAACCATCTTGAGTTTCAGTTAAGGTAGTTTGTGATATTAGACTGGAAAATGAAGATGATGCCTGTAACGGAGGAGGAAATTTTGGTATATCCATACCATTTATCACAACAAAGATAAAAAAAAATAATAATAAAAAATAATAATAATAATAATAAAAAGAACAAAAAGGAAAAGAAGATGAATAGAAAAAAAAAAAGTTAAATATGATCAAGGGTAAATCTGCATAGATGATGGCTTTTAAATTTACATTATTGTTATCACCATGATGATCATCATAGTTATCTTAGAAGAATAATGTTAATTCATGGTACAGCTTGGAATCTTAAACTTGAAAATAGAACCAAAGATAAAATAAACGGATGACAAAAGGGATCTACACTGCATCGGTTCATGTTGAAATAAAAATGGATAGAACACTCAAATATAGATATGTGCATCATAATCATGTGTTTTCACTTAACAATTAAGTTAAAAAAAAAAGAACACTTTGTTCCTTTCACTTTCTCCTTCCCAATGTGCGGAATTTGAAAGCAAATTATTATTATTTTTCTTTTTGTTCGCTTTGACTGTTGCCACCTTTTCTTTTTCTCATTCTTTCTTTTTTTTTTTTTTTTTTTTTCTTTCCCCCCTCTCTTTTGGCATGTCCAATAATAAAGAAACAAATCAAAATGCGAACAAGGACCTAAGCTGTTTACGTTGTCGAAAAAAGAAAGCAAAGTAAGTATATTGTCGTTTTACATTGATGGATCTATATACTTATTCAGTTTATTAGATGTTCCAAAACACGACCGACATGTGCTCGTTGCGAACGCTCGAATCAACCTGTAAGTTCCTCTTTATGATTACAAAATTCTTATTGTGCAAACTCATTTATTTCTCTTTTGAGATTTAGTGTGAATATCCAGATGCTCCTCCAAATCTGACTGATCTTTCCAAAAAGGTACTGGATTTGTATGACTCTTTACGTGATCTGGAAGGTGAATTTCTATTCAAGTATATGCAACAATCTGGCGAGCAAGAAAACGATATTGGAGATAGTCATACAGACAATATCAATGACAATTCCTCTTCATTATCAAACCCACAGCGATTATCTCCACCTTCATCACCTGCTGAGCAACCTGTCACTAACGAAGCAGTATCAACTTCAGTCACTTCTTGGCAACAACAACTTGAAGAAGAATCTGTAAAAGAACAAACTCAAGTAAGCTGGTCCATGTCTTACTTATCTGAAGGCATATCTATTCAAGCAACCACTCACACCATAAATGAATTTATCGTGTTTATCGACAATCTTACTCGTCAATTATTCAGAGATTTTGGTACTGACTCAACCTTATCAACCTATTGGGAACTGGATTCAGTAGATCATGGTGATTTGAATGACGATTATTATCTTGACAACAACAAGAATGGTTACGATGATGATGATGAACTGGATGAAGATGCTTACCTTGTCACTGTACCTATTTTTACTACTTCCTATTTCTTACTTAATCAACAACAACAACAACATAAAAAATCATCAACTTGTGCACCAGACACTCCAATAGTTGTATCACTTTTACCATCCATGCTTCATTATGTACATATAAAATTACAGTCTCTCGATACCAATTCACCCGCTACCATTTCACATCATATCACTCTACTTTTAGACCACCTAGTAAGCTTCTTGCCGGCTCAAGTTGATCATAGCGAGCATGGATTATTGACTGATCCTCTGACGATTGTGTATATATTAACAAGCTATTTGACTTGCAAAGTCTTCCTTCAAGATTCTGATGATAAAGACAACACGGACAAACCAACAGACCCGTTGATCGGAAAAGCTTTGACGTTATTGGATTGCTACAATTATACCAAAACAACGATCATTGACATTGTGTTACAAGTGACTCCGACTTATGCTGCATGCCTCTCCGTCTTATTACTAATATGGATCCAAATGGAATGGCAACCACAACAACAACTGAGACAAGAGGACATCATCATTGATAACGACATAAATGTAGTTACTGTAGATATGGATAGTGGATTGTTACTATTAGATTTGGCGTGGCGAATGTTCACTAGCTCCATGTGGCATGGTACACAAACAAAGGAAGCACAAGTGATCGGTGCGTCACTGGTCTATATTGATGTCTATGCTACGACTTTTCAACATCAACATCAAAAACATCTTTCCAATATCACATCACATCTAAGTCACGACATTGGAACGGCGTTACGACAAAAACTTTCGACTTCATTATTAAGTCTATTGGATCAAATTGAAAACATGGATTCTCAACGTTTGATTTGTGTTCTTTTGGAATCTCAACTGATGTGGTTTCTTCATCAAGTATTAGGCTTATTTTATACCAAAACGTCAAAATCGCCCTTGACAACAACAACAAGCAATGGACGTGAAAGATCATGGTGTACCAAAAAAAGAACATGCGATGAAGATGGAAATGATCATGGTACTGCGGACGACGATGAATTGGAAGTTAGAAAGGTAGATGTGGATGATGTATTGACTCTAGTACGTGATTTGGAACAATGGGAGCAACAATTACCAAACTGGGCTACTTGGCAAGTTCCCGATGATCATCAGATGACAACAACAACTATGCATCCAATGACAAGGCAACTTCACTTGACGTTGAACATTGTGAAAATCTTATTGTTCCGACCATTTTCTACTGAATTCAAACAATACGGTATGGAGCAAACATATACGAAAACAACTTTTCTCGATTTATCAATACATTCAGCTGATCGATTAGCGACATGTTTATGTTGGAACAAAGGGAAAAAAGACAATTGGACTTTTGCGGCATATCAAATGATTTGGGATGTGGTGAATAGGGTCAAAGAAACATTTGATTCGGATCAAGAAATCAAGATACAATTAGATTATTTAGTACATAGAATAGATTCTTTTTGATTAAATAAATAAAAAATTCTCTTTTTTTTTTCTTTTCTTGATATGAAACGGGTCTTTTTTTTTTTTTTTTTTTTAATAGAAACAGATGGGAGAAATTGGACATAACCGGAAAACTATCGGGCAAATCCGGAATTTGCACATGTTGTAAATTCTCTTTAGTGCTATTGATATTTATCCCTTTTATAAGGAAAAGAGACTAACAGATGATCGGATAAAGAAGAGATATCGTGTGAACAAAATGAATGAATTTGGAAATCTTTGCATTACATAGATGAAAATAAGATCTTTGTTTTTATTATTGATTTATTAAAAAAAATAATAATAATCAATACTCATCAAAAAAAAAAAAAAGGAGAGGAAGAATATGATACAATGAAGATGCAAAATGATAATAATGAAAGAATAAAATGAATAACAAATAAGATGTAGATGATAATACTATGTATAAGAATGGGGGGATAATAAAAGACAGGGGTAACAAAAAAAAAAAAAGGTTTCATAAGGCCACAATAGGAGCACCCATAGGATGTTTGACTAACCTTCGACAATCTCGTTCAGTCAATAAGTTTGAATTCAGATATCCGTCACTATCATTACTATTAGAGACTATCAGTTGTTGTGGCAGCTGATCTTCTTCTTCTTCTTCTTCGTCGTCACTTAATGAGGATGATCTTAATGGAGAATGTTCTTCATGATGTTGTTGTTGTTGCTGTTGGTGCTGTTGATGATGTTTAAAGTGTTCCATATGTTGACTAGAAGTACCTGTTGTATCGAATTGGTGATCTTCTTCGTCATCCTCCGCAGCCATGACCCGTCGATTTGTCCGTCTTGTTCGTTTGTTTAATACTTCTTCAGCATGGGCAATGGTGTTGCATAATAAGAGACGTTCACGTACATTGTATTGTGGTCGACTTCGTTTATCATCACGATCGAGTTTTTTGCATCCTAACGTCAGTGCTTTGGTGGCCACTTGTCGAGGAGAGAGTTTGGTGGTTGTAAAAATCGTGGTAGGAGCTCCTCGTTGGCCACGATGCGCCAGTGCCATTTTAAAAGAAGGAGAGAGATGGGTAAAAACAATAAAAGGATATTATAATATTCAAGGAAGATAAAAAAAAAAGAATGAAAAAGAAATAGAAAGAAAGAAAGAAAAAAAGAAAAAAAAAGTGGAGAAATATATCTAAAAAAAAAAAAAGAGAGTTTCTGATTCACTTTTTTTTTTTTTTTTTTTTAGGAGAAAGGCTAGTTCCGGAACGATTGGCACATGAAAGTAGAACTCAAAAAGAAAATAGGACGCGGAATTTAAAAATAGACCAAGGCAAAAAAGTAAAAATCCATGCCTCTGATTGGTACCACATTCACAGTGTTTTGCTTCCGAGGAACTTTTTTAATATTTTCAATAAACCCATCAATAAAAGTTATGACGATATATGATGATTTTATTTTATATTATTCTTTAATCAAGGGAAATTTCGGTAACTGTTAACTTACTAAAATAAAAAATAAAAAAAAAATTGAAGAAAAAGGGTTATCTGGGTTTCATCAAAGTAAACTTTGCCACTTCATGCGTGTATGTTATGTGTTAAGTCTGACCAAGAAAAAAGAAGTGAATGACTAGATGATGTTGGCATGATATGATAATATTAATGGGATGATTGGATGGGTACTATGAGTGTCCATTATCATCACTGGCTATAATAATCCTGTCCTTTCTGTTCTTTCTCATGCAAGTAATCCTTAATCAGCTATATCATTCATAAATATCATCCAGTCAATGCAAGGCAATGCTTCTCATGGGCTTACAATAGATTCAGATTCAGATTTCTCAATGAAACGAATACTTGTTGGTTGAAAGTTTTCAAAAAAAAAAAAAAAAATCTGACCTTCAGACAAAAGAGGAAATCACTGTCTCTTTTTTTTTCTTTTTCTTTTTTTAGCTTTTCTTTTTCTTTTTTTTTTTAACCTAGTTCCACTTCCTTTTTTGGCTTTATTATTTTTTTTTTTTTTGTCATGTCAAATACGAATGACATAACATATAAAGAAGAACAAATAATACTAATGTATTTTTATAGTACAAACGCAATCTCTTTTGTTTTTTTGATCTTATTGTCATATACTCCTACGTTCCTTTTTTTTTTTTATCTTAGTCTCCTTTGTATGATAATTTTTACTTAAATATACTTTACTTTCGTATTTTCTTATTCTCTTTTCTTTCCTTATCTCCCGAAAAGTATTATTGATGATTATTCTACCTTAGTATTATTATAGTTATTCTAGTTTATGTTTGAATAAAAACCAATGTCTGCATCATTTGTTATGATGATCTGATAAAGGCAAATACGTGTGTATATAAGTGTATATATATAATGGAATTCATGATGACTTATCATTACTTTTTCAAATCGATCCAATAATAATAATTTTACTATGTTGACGAGGATGATCGCTTACAACCATAAATGATATTGTTAAAAAAAAAGTGATGTAGATTGATATTTTTGACTTCATACAGGAAGTTGCTTTCACAGTATTTTTTTTTTTTTGACAGTTTTTGAAATTCAGCCCATACTTTTTTTTTTATTGTTGATGTATTTGATCGCTTCCCTTTTCCTTTTTTTTTTTCTTCTTTTTTGGTTCACTTCAATTCTTCATTCCAACTGAATCAAGTGAATGTCTCATCAATCAGGTATGAGTAATGAGGATTCTCTTATTGGACAGGTTATTTATACAGCAGAGTCAGGAAAGGTATAATACAAAAGATAAAAAGGATGTTTTATACGCGATGTTATTGATATAACATTTTTATAGCAACAAGATATATGGGACGATAAGGAATTGATAGACTATTGGGATAAAGCAAAAGAAGCATACAGGGTAACACTATTATTATACGCACGGTTTTAAATGTCGCATTATATTAAACTCTTCTTACTTTTCTGTAGGCACGTTTTGGACAACATAATAAAGAAAATCCAGCTCCTTATGGTACAGATAAACGGTAAATATAGTAGAGCATAAAAAACAAAAGTGGAAAAGGAGAAAGGATATTTTTATATATATATTCTAATATTATAGACACAAGAAACGAATTGAAAAAACTCAAAAGGTATTCCCTAGAAAGAAAAAAAAAAGTCATACAATTTTGATTTTAATAAAAGTTTTGGAATTTCTATTCAATGATGTTACATAGACAAGACAGAAAAAACCAACATCAACATCTAAGCAACGTCCTCCTATTACCCTATCTTATCAGCAGCAGCAATATCAACTACAACATGGTAAAGAAACGAAAAATATGAAGAGTAGGAATATGATTAAAATAAACATTTTTTATTTTGTGAACAATACTGAATTAGAGGAACAAGATGATCTGACATCGATGGTCATGGCATGGTATTATATGGGTTTTCAACATGGCTTCTATTCTGGTTCCAGTAACCGCCCCCAATAGGCTTTCGTCAATACCTTGTTGAATCTTTTATTATTTGGGTTTCCGAACATTCATTTTTTTTTTTTTATTTTATTTTATTTTATTTTATTTTTTTTTTATTTCTTTTTTTTTTTTTTTTCCTTTCCTCTCCCTTCCTTAGGTGCACTCTCTCTCTCTGTTTCTTTATTTTTCTTTCTCCCTTTCTTCATATTATTTTGTACAGTTTTCTCTTCTTTATTATTATTATTATTATTATCTTTTTACTTCCTCCATCTTATCTTTTGTATACATTTTTTTTTTATTTTTACACATCTTTTATTATTTTATCTTTCATGGAAAACCACAAGAATACCACTTCATCAACTACTACACCTCAACTTTGCGCTGCTGGCTGTGGATTTTATGGTAGTGAACATTTTCTTGGTCTTTGTTCGAAATGTTATAGTGCTAAAAACAAAAGTATGAGAACGGAAAATATGCAAATGAATACTTTTATCTATATAATTAATTATCTATTTTTCTCTACTAGGTGCTTCTTCCACTTCACCAAAACTATCTAGTACCGAATCTTCATTACCTGTTTCCGATAATAACACAACCAAGAAATCCGATAATACCAACGAAGAAGGCTCTACCTTGTTACGCAAACATCCTCGACCATCATCTATCATTTCAGAAGATCATGAACTCAATACAAATTCTTCTCCATCTAATACGGATAAGTCAAGTAAAACAACTGTAGCAACAACAACAACAACAACAAAAACACAAGTAACACCTACAACCACAACAACAACAACAACTATACCCAATCCTCCCAGCACAGTATCAACACCAAGTTTAGGCGATAGTAGCGAAGGAAATACACCAACAAGTTCTCATAAGCCAGTACAGACAAATAAAGGACGATGCTTCAAATGTAGAGTAAAGGTAAATAGATAAATACAAATCTAACTATTAAATTAAATATTGATAATCGTATTTTTGATGATAGGTGCCATTGGCGAAACAAACAATCAACAAATGTAGATGTGATTATGTATTTTGTGATTCACATCGATTCCCTGACAGGCATGACTGTGAAGTAGATTATGCTAAAATTGGTCGTGGTATGGAAAATAGAGAAGAAAATCATGATAGATATCGTGTGTATTAAAACATTCTCTCTTTTTTTTTCTTTTTTTTCTTTTTAGATCTCCTTGCAAAGAATAATCCAAAACTCCATGAACGACCTAAAGGTGGAAGATCATTCAAAAGAATTGACAGTCTTTGAAACATCAACTTCTCTTTTTCTTACAGTTGGTCCTCATACAGTTAGTATATTACTAGTTTACATCCCTTTCGATTAGTAGCCTTTCTTTTTTTTTTTATCAACCAGGATTATCACTTCTACAAATAAAGAATTTCGATTCTTTTTTTTTTTATGGACCAATGATTTATCGATATTGTTGCTTAAAAAAGCAACTATCTTATTCAATTTGAGTGACACCAGATACCTTACCAACTCTCTCTCTCTTTCTTCCTATGAAACATGTAAAAGATGTCTCTTTTTCTTATTTGATCATTGTTACTGTCTGTATTTTATAGAATAGCGAATGAATCGAATGATCCTTTATTCCGCTACCATTTCATTCGTGATCATTTGAAGCAGAAAATGAGAAGCCTTGCCACCGCAGTTGCGGACTTTCGATGCTTCTGTGAACACACCGCAGTTTTTCGACTAATTTTTTTTTTTTATATATATATTTTTCATTGTATTTTTTTTTTCTCCCTTTTTCTTTTCTTTTTTTTTTTACCAATCCATAAACCAAAACGCAAGTTATTTCTCATTGATGAGCGATACTCCTAGTGGTTCAAAAACAAGCACAAGTCAAAATGATACAAAGATAGAGGCTTCAAAATCGAGTACCACTCAATCTACTCAAAAGACTCAAAAGTCAAAGAAACAACAACAAAGTACTTCTTCCACTGATCAGACTGTCGCGTTGACCGATACAACCAATAAGAAATCTCAACAACGAAGAAGGAAACCTAAGGCGAAAGCTTCAGATACTGATCGTACCAACAATTCTAACTCTGGTGAAAGCAGCAGTTCCAAAAAGCAACGACCACCTAGATTCAATAAGCAAAGACCTCAAGGACAGCTCACCAAGGAAGTAGAAACAACAGCTATTCCCTCCTCCAGCAAGGATGATACTGGTACAAACAACGGTGGAACCAATAAAAGTGGAAATACAACAAAGACTACTGGTACTAACAACGATGGAACCAATAAAAGTGGAAATACAACAAAGAAACAACATAGACGTGGAAACCGCAACAAAAAGAAACCTACTTCTTCTTCCATTCCACCTCCTGAATCTGACGATATGGCATCAACAATGGCATACGAACTTTCTACTTCGACATATGAATGTATGGTATGTTGGGATGTTGTTAGACCAAGTCATCCTATTTGGACTTGTGACAAATGCTGGGGCATATATCATACAAACTGTATTGAAAAATGGGCTTCAAAATCACTCAAAGGTAAAGAATAGAACCATTTTATATTTTTCGATATATTAATTTTTTATTTTTTCAAAATAGATACCTCTACAAATATGATGATCACTTCATGGCGTTGTCCTGGTTGTCAACATAAACGTACAGCTATTCCTCAAGGTTACTTTTGCTTTTGTGGAAAACAACAAAATCCAAATCCTAAACATTATCAAACACCTCATACCTGTGATAATCTCTGCAAACGTGCCAGAAAATGTCCTCATCCTTGTGTTTTGTAAGTTTTAAAAGTAGTATTTATGTATTTTTTTTTTTTTTTTTTTTTTTTTACTGATCCATGTTATTGAATATTTAGACCTTGTCATCCTGGTCCTTGTCCTCCATGTACATCTATGGGACCAACAAATGTTTGTTTTTGTGGGAAAGAACGACGACAAGCTAGATGTGTAGATACTGATTATGATACAAATGCTTATAGTTGCGGAAACATATGTGGTCAACTATTAGGTTGTGGAAAACATAGATGTGAACAAGAATGTCACTCTGGCTTATGTCAACCATGTATGAATGAAGAAGAGCATCAAGAATGTTATTGTGGTCAATCTGAACGGAATATAAGATGTGGATCTGGTTTGGCTGCATTCTCTATTGATGGTCGAGTTGGTTATTATGCATGTGAAAAACCATGTACAAGGTAATTTAAAAAAAAAAAAAAATTGGATAATAAAGAAAGAAGACGGATTGACTTATATTTTTTTCTTTTATTAGTACTTATGATTGTGGTGTTCATCGATGTGGAAAACAATGTCATCCTTGTACTACTCTGAAAACATGTCCTTACGATCCTAGTCTAATTACAACGTGTCCATGTGGATCAAGTACTATTGAAAGTCTCTTGGACGGTGCAAGTCGAAAAAAGTGTACAGATACTATTCCTACTTGTGGTGGTATATGTCATAAACTCCTTCCTTGTGGTCACAGCTGTCAACAACGATGTCACCGTGGTGATTGTGGTCCTTGTGAAGAACAAGTCAAAATACCTTGTCGCTGCCAATCTTCTGAATATGATGCTATTTGTTCAACTGTATCTGACCATAATCGTCCAACCTGTGGCAAGATTTGTAAGTCTTATCGAAATTGTGGTCGACATGTTTGTGGAAATACATGTTGTCCAGCCAACAAGATCAAAGGCAAGAAACGAAATCAAGGATCAGAAAAGGCGCATGATTGTCCTTTGCAATGTGGTCGTCTCTTATCCTGTGGTAAACATTCATGTCAAGAAAAATGTCATAAAGGTCCCTGTCGTCCATGTTTAGAAGCTGTGTTTGATGATGTTACCTGTCATTGTGGTCGTACTCGATTAGAAGCTCCTGTTCGATGTGGTACTCAACTTCCTCATTGTCCTCACCCATGTCTTCGTCCTTCTCCCTGTGGTCATATTCGTCTTTTGCATCACAATTGCCATCCTGATGATGAACCATGTCCTCCTTGTCCAGTATTGATTTCACGTGAATGTTTATGTGGTAAAGCGCAACTCAAGAATATACCATGCTATCGGGAAGCTGCTCATTGTGGCATTGTATGTGACAAACTACTACCTTGTGGTGAACATCGTTGTCAACGGACATGTCATGATGGGGATTGTTGCATAGATGGGCAAGAATGCACTCAACCTTGTCGTCAGATGCGTACTTCTTGCGGACACCCTTGTTTGATTCCTTGTCATGGTGATACTCCTTGTCCAGAAACGATACCCTGCTCAACTCGAATTCGTGCAAAATGTGCTTGTGGTCAAAATACAATGGAAATCCCTTGCAACTCTTCAGCTACTTCAAGTGGATCCAATCCAAATTTGGAATGCAATGATTTTTGTGCCAAAATCCTACGTAACCGAAAGTTAGCCTCTGCTCTTGATATACAACGTGATGATTACTCTGGTCAACTTGGTACCAATGCATCCGAAGCAACCATCAATTCTGGTCAACCATTATCAGCAGATGATTTGGGATACTACGATGAATCATTACGTGGATTTTATATGGAGAATGCGAATTGGTGTAAACAAATGGAACGACAATTGATTGCCTTTGTGAAGGACGAAGAACAGACATCGTTACATTTCAAACCCATGCGATCGCCCTTCCGACGGTTCCTGCATCGATACAGTGTTCATTTCAATATTGCCACTGAAGCCATGGATCCTGAACCTTTCCGAAGTGTAGCTTTACGTAAAACTCTTGGTCAATGTCGTTTACCTCCTAGTTTATTATCTCAAGCTATTCGTGATCCTAAATTGATGGCCCCTCCTCCTCCTCCTACTATGGATTCATCAACACCTAAACAAGTACGTTCATCCAAACCTCCTGTCAATGCACTTACATTATCAGGCTTACAATTCGGTATTTTACAAGAAGACCTAGATCTTATTCTCAAACCAATTCTGAACTCGGATACCATCACTTACACCACACAATGGGGGAAAGAAGCAACGGATGTGGTGGTGATTCCCAACTTGGATCACATTTCGGATATGGAAGAAAAGGAATCTTTGATTTGGCATTGGAAGAAAGGATTACAGAGTGCCTTTTTATTCAACGATGTAGCTGGCGAGGTACAATGCTGCTGGATCAATCGCTCGGGTGAAATCACTTGGTCTGAAACAGCAAGGAAAATAGTATTGGAAGAAGACATCAAAGGAAAACGCGCTTTGGAACAAGCTCAGCATAATCGGTTCGACATTCTTGGCGATCATCCTATAGATCCATCCTCTCATGATAACAAATTGGATGATAGCAAATTGGATGACACTAACAAATTGGATGATGATTGGGAAAAGATTGTGGAAGAAGATATAGTTAGTGATAGATTGATTTAGTTTTTTGTTTGTTTTTTTTTTTTTTTTTAATAAACATATACTAGAACTTTTTTTTTTATTTATTTTATGAAGAAGGAAAGGGCTCGTAAGAACGATGATTTTTCTTACCGTATCTTGAAACAGATGATGATGATGTATGATCTTGGCGATCGTGCGTATTTGATTGGCTGTCATTGGATAGAGACGGCTTTGATTATGCAAAAAAAGGTTTTTTTTTTTTATTTTTAGAAAGTCCCGATATATATATAGTAAAAGATGGATGTTTATTTGTTTTTTTGATATGTACAAAAAGGAAAGGAATGAATAAAAAGGATGAATGAAATAATAAAAAGGAGAACTGATGAATGCAGTGCTCCCAAAAGAGGGAGAAGGAAGAGATATCTATTTGGTATGATCAAATCAATATATATATATAAAAATATGAATATAATGAAGAGATAAATAAAGAAACAACAAAAAAAAAAAAAAGGACCCGTTTTCCCGGCCAAGTAAAAAAAAAAAAATAACAAAATATACAATGAAAGGGGAGATATGAACAATAAAATAACAAACTAATAAAATAAAAAGAATATATCATCTCCTAATTTCTATACCCTAGCCAGACATGCATAACGAGTAAAGAAATGAGAAGATCGATCATTGTCATCATTCAAAGAAGGTAAAATAGAGTCCACATAAGTATTCTTGATAGAGCCTTGCCATGGCATCACCTGGAGCAGTAACTCTTGATCATCCTTGTTCAAAAATACAGAGTTAAAATAAGCCAATACTCCTTTGAGATTTTCCGTTGTTGTCGTCAACAAGTTGGGAAGAACTTGTTGATCCATAGCTTCAAAGATGTGTTCTAGATGAGTGCCAATATATCGATCCAATTGAGCTGATAATTGTTCCGAATTTTCCATTAAACATTGTGCGCTGACATTTTCATTGTTCATTGTCGATCCACATTGTTGAAGGACGATCGTTCGTAAATAAGTTTCCAAAGCTGGCTTGCCAAGCTGATCACCAAAGCGATCCCATTCTAAAGGTAATTTTCCCTGCGTATCGGATTGGATGGCACCAAAGATCTGCGCCATCAAAATATCAACATCCATTGAAGGATTGATGTTTATTTGTTGGTTCCTTTGATTGATTGTAATTCTGACATGTTGTTGTACTTGAGATGCTATATGTTTATAACTTTGTGATTGAATTGAATCCAGATGATCGAATTTCCAATGTGTGGTGATATGTTGAATAAGTTGATCAAGATGTACATCGTAATCAGTAGAATCCATGGCATCATTACAATCAGGTCGAATTTCTTTGTCATGATATGTGATTGGTAATGCTTGAATACATAATGAGATAAATATAAAATAAAAAAATAGATAATGAAGATTCATCACTATATATATATATAAAAACAACCTTCGTAAGAAGAGAAGGAAGAAATGTAAAAAAAAGAAATAAAAGTAAAAAAGGTGTCTAAATAAAAAAAAGGAGAGATATAAATAAATCGAGATTTGAAGGGGAATACAAAAAAGAGAAACCGCAGGAGGGATAAAAGAGAAACAAGAAAACAAAAAAAAAAATTCAAGGTCGGATGTTCAAAAGAGAATTCACATTTCAGCCCAAAAACGATAAATCTTCAAAACATATGAGCCACACACCAAAGAAAAAGCCAAGAAAAAAACAAGTAACCCAAAATAGAACAAATACTAAAGTTGTTGATTCACAAAATGTTTCCGGGCTCCATCTGCTAAGTAAGGTTGTATTACTTCTTTAATAAAAAATTCATCCGAGATTTGCATCTAAAGATAAGAAAAATTATACATTTTTTTTTTAGTTTATTTTTTTCGCATTTATGTTTTGAAAAAAAAAAAAATAAACTTACATGTAATCCAGGACATTCCAAAAATTTGAGTCTACCATTATGTTCCAGAAACTGTAATCCTAACCAATCTTCTTGATATAATTTTTGTTGTTCCAATGGCCAAATTTGATTGTCCTTATCAAGAGTCCAAAACCACTAAAAATATATACATCAACCAAGAAAGGAAACGACTTATCAGTCTTGTTTTTTTTTCCTAAGCAAGGATCAATGTAACACAGATCCCTTTTCCCCGGATTTCAACCCATTCTTTTTTTTTTTTTTATTCTTACAGCAGATTCAGGTGGTTTGATCATCGTATCCTCTGTAAATTTGATCATTACAAATGTTTCCAAGTTACCAAGATGATCACGGTAAGTATTATTTTTGAATTTCTCTTCTACTTGATTGTTGATTTGTGGTAAAAAGATATTTCGATCTAAATAATCTATTTTTTTATTAAAAAAAAAGGATGAGTAAACCTTCAATAATTATGAAATAATGTATTCATTTTTTTTTTACCTTGTAGATCTGTCGATGATTTGTAATATTGAGCTTGTACTACATGATGTTGAACATAGCTTGTATAAACACCCCGCTTAACCATTGTTCGCATTAAAGTACATTTGAAATCATGGATATCAATACAATTAGGAATATCAGAAACACCTATATTTTTTTTTTTTAAAAAAAAAAAAAGAGTTAAAAAAAAATTAATCTTTTTTTTTTCTTTTATTATATTATATATTACCTCCATGGGGCGAACCAAACGTAATCAAATGACGAACTGGAGGTAAATTGCACCTTTCAACATAAGCTCGCATGAATAGACCACCTTGAGAAAACCCAACAGCATTAAAACCATTTGCCAATTCCGGTATATTTGCCAGTTGCTGACAAACACTATCTACCTAAATACACTAACGAGTTAAATTTTTGATCCATTTCATAAAATATACAGTTTTTATAACTTACTTGGTCATTGATAATACCAAAAAAGCCAGCATTTCGATCATCATTGATAGAATCTCCCAATTTCACACTATGGACAAATACACCAGGAAGATGAGCTTGTATTAATTCTGTTATTCCACCCATGGACTTTGGATTACAGCAATCATCGCCCATGCCATGCCATAATACAACTATTAAAAAACAATAACATTATTAGACTTTGATATTTTATGCTTTTCATTATCATTTTATTTACCTGGTGTTTGTGCTATTGATGGAATTAATTACAATAAAAAGGAAAAGTGTTATTTTAGAAAAAAAAAAAAAGAAAGAAAGAAAGAAAAGAAAAGAGAAAACTACATTCATACCTTTCGCATTGAGTATAAAATAGAAGATAAAGATAAAGATGGTATACCATAACTTCATGATGTTGTCTATTGTATTAAAATAAGTGGTGTGAAAAAAAAAAAAAAATGAAATGAAAAAGAAGAGTTAATTAGAAGGAGGATCGGGTCACCCAATCAACCATTAATAGCGGAGAGTAAATGCAGGATTCATCCTATGCTTTGCTAAAAGTAATGCAGATCAACTAATCTAACAGGTCAAATCATAAAAAATAGAGAATGATCTAAATAGTGGATGAATTGGGTATTTCTATTTTCTCCAATGAAAAGAAGATTTCATACGGTTAATATATATATATATATATCATTGAACAATACAACATCATCAATATGATTGTATAAAATTAATTTTTCTCTACAGAAATAATAAAATCCCATTTGAAAAAGGTAATAAAGAAAAATGCAAATAGAGTCTTTTTCCTATTTGAACAGTAGAAAGATCTCAACAAATGATTAACCCTGGTCTGTAACTTTCAGAATGAAGGTCAAAAAAAAAATCAGTTGGTATTTTTGCTTTCTGCACTTTCGATCTCCGGGGGTTGCCTGAAAATAACATAAACAAAAAAAAACAAATTGGTCATTTTTTTTCTATTCATCAATCATTTAATTATCATGCATCCTCAACTAATTATTCATAAACACGAAGGCTGTGAAGGTGTCATTGAAGCTTTGGATCAATGTCATAAAGCCAATTCTTTCAATAAATTCTTAGGTTTTTGCAATGATGCCAAACGTCAAGTAGATCAATGTTTAAAGGAAGAAGTAAGTATTATTTTCAACTAGATCTTTATTGATTCTTTTTTTTTTTTTTGTTTAGTTCCTTGCTCAACGGGAAGAAAATAAAGGAAAGAATGCGGAAAAACGAGCAAAGATGAAAAAGATTTGGAAAGACATTGACGAACCTTCACCTGAATTTATTGCCAAACATACCAAGACTACTACAGAATAGAATACAACATATTATTATTTACCCATTGACTACATTCATACACATACACATCGTTTCATTATTGTCCATTTTGTTTTATATTTATACATCATTCATTATTATTATTTATCAACTTTGTTAGAATAAAACTATCTTTTTTTTTGGATCTTATATTCCTCTATATGTATATTTGACTACAGTGTAATGATATTTCATATTTATTCATTCATTTGTATAGGAAAAAAAAAAAAAAAAAAAAAAAAAAAAGAGGGAAAAACAATTCAAATAGAAGATTGAATCAAAAGAGGTGGAGAAGGGAATCAAAATAATATAGTATGAGATTCATACAAGACAATTATATAAAAAAGAAAGGGTGATACTAAAGTAATTTGGGTAATATATAGTATATAAAAATAAAAAACAAAAACAGAAAAAAAAAAAACTGATAACAATAATAGTAAAACACACACAAATATAAAGAGAGAGAAAACGAAGGATGAGATGACTATTGTTGTATCACAGCTTTCATAAAGGTTTCTTGTTTTGTTAGAGCCAAATTTGCCTTTTCCACTAAAGGTTTCAACAATTCCATAGAATGCATGGAGTAAGCCAATTGATCAAGCGGTTGAGTATCCAATAACTGAATAGTCACCCTAGATGCTTTTTTCACACCTGTTGCCTAAAAAAAAAAAAAAAGTAAGTACATTAAAAATAAATAATTATTATTATTATTATTATTTACCTTGACATGTGGAAAGAGAATATCGCCTAAACGTTGTTTTTGTTGAAGAAGAGATAAACCTTTGATGGATTCAACTAAGCGTGCGATGTTGTAATGTTGATCTTGGGTATTCAAATCATGCATATGGACAATATCCGTAGTAGAAGTAGTAGTTGTCATAGCAGCAGATGAAGTTGTAGTGGCAGAAGATGCATGAGAATGATGTTCATCAGGTTGAATGAGGTTGGGAGTTTTAGGTGTGTTGGAGGTTTGATGATAATGATGGTATTGTTGATAAGGTTGAGAATAGTTGATAGGTGTAGAGGTGATAGTTGTTCCATGATCGAAAGAAGATGGCGAGGATGATGCAACTTCTTCCAATTTGTTCACTAAATAGGCTGGATTGAATAAACATAGAGCACGACTTGTAGATCGAAGAGACATGATGGAGTCCACCCAATTTTCTAATTTGCCCAAATCTTTTTCTTTGTTCATCACCTTTAAAATAGCGGCACGAATACCATCTCTTTGAGATTGATTATTATTATTATTTTGTTGATAATGTTCTTTCATAAAGGATGCAGATGTTGATGTTGATACCAAAGATGAAGTAGGTGATGACTCTTTCATATGATGATGATATTGTTGTTGTTGATGGTTATTTCCAAAGCTGGTATCACAAGAAGATGACATTGTAGTTGGTTGTTTTTGTTTTTGAGATTGATTGGCGATTAATCGTTTAGGTTCGTGATAGGCAATAACGACGGGCTTTGATAAAATGTATTTTCCATTGAATTGTTCCAAAGCTTCTCTTGCTTCTTCAGGTTGACAAAAACTTACAAAACCATAACCACGAGATTGCTTGGTACGGGGATTCTTCATCACGCGTGCAGAAATGATGCGTCCAAAGGAACGGAATGCATTATACAGATCAGCACTTTTGGCGGACAAATCCAAGTTTTTAATGTAAAGATTGGTGTAATCAATAATAGAAGACTAAAATTCATATATATACATAAATAGAATACATGAATAACAAAAAAAAAAAAACAAATAAGGTATATATAGATAAATAGAGAAATCTTTTTTTTTAGTATTACCTGATCTGATTTGTTGATTGATTGTTGTTGCTTTGGTGAGGAGGTGACAGGAGACATTTGAGTTGGCTTATTGGAAACTAATGAATATATCGAGCTATGTATGTAGATCATAATCGTAGTTTGAATTAAATGAATAAATGAAAAAATGAGTAAAAAATTGTTGTACGAATGGACCCATGATGATCATCCATCTAAACCTTACATTGTTCTTCCATCCACTAATTTATTGTCCTATGAATTATAGAAAAAAAAAATCAATTAATTTGTTCAATTCTTTTATTTATTTATTTTTAAAAATATATATATATATATATATTACCATGACGTTTTTGGCATTATCAGCATCCTGTTGATAAAAATATTGAAGTAAAGCCATACCAGTAAATGAAGAATCCTTTTCAACAATGATCTTGCATAAACGAATAGGACCAAATGGACGGAATAGGTTGTACAGACCATCATTTGTCATAGAGAGAGGTAAATGAGTCACTTGGAAAATAGGAGCGCAGGGGACTTGATCCTTGATACCATCGGGGGTAATATATAATTGTAATCGATGACTATTTTTGAGAACAAGACCATCAAATAATGTATATGCACGATCAGCTATAAAGAAATGAGTGAATAAACAAAAAACAGGGGAATAAAAAAAAAAAAGAGTTAGTTTCGGATATGCTTCTAAAATAAGATGCTTTCATTTAAACATCTATCATTCTCCCTATCCCATATCTTTTTTTTTTCCCTTTTCTCAAAAGTCAAAATCTCCCAACTAATCAACAAACAATAAAGACACATGTAATTTCAAAACGTGACCTATTATTCATGGACCTTTTTTTTTTTTTTTCTAGTACTACCACTACTACACGCTCACCCCTTTTTTTTTATTTTTTTCTATTCCCTTTTCTCCCTGTTTTTTTTTTTTTGACTTTTGTTACCTTGCTCCTTGTTGATGAATCGAATCCAGCCTGTCGCAATATGATCATGATATTTATTGCGTTGTATCCTATATATAAATATAGAAAGAAGGAGAAGTAGATAAATAAATAAAAATTATTTGAAAGGAGTGAGTAATCAATGATATATATTATATTTTTCACTTACAAAATAGGACGACAAGATGTCAGTAATGTAACAATATCATTATCGTTGATGGACTGGGGCACTTCAAAATACAAAGTGTCAGACACCAGAAACTGTTTTCCATATAAGGGAATATCATAGGACATGGTTTGTTGGTAGTGCTGCATCTGATGTGATTCTGCATTGGTTCCACCGTTCTTGTGATACTGTCTTTGACTCGATAACTCGGAAGTCGATGGTGATGTTTTTGTTGTAGAATGATGATTTCTTGGTGGAAGATGAACTACAGTTTGTTTCATTTCAGTAGCCATAATCAACTTTTTTTTTTTCTATTTGATTAATAAAATAATAATAATAATAAAAGAATGATAATATAATAGTTAGTAATAGTCACTTTCTTTTTTTTTTCTTCTCAAATCAAAAGATTTACCTTGATGATACTAATAAAAAATAAAATAAAAAAAAAAAAAAGAAAGAAAGAAAGAAGAAATGTCGGTACTTCAATGCATTATGGAGAACATGAATTTATATAGTTTTTTTTTTTTTTTTTTTTTTTTTTTTTTTTTTTTTTTGCCCCTTCTAAATAATAAAAACAATGATGCGTATTACCTTTTTTTTATATATAGATATATATATATTCATGTCCCAGGTTAGTGTAACAATATACTTTCATTTAAATTAAATAAAAAACTTCATATAATATATATATATGTATAATAGAAGATTCAATCATTTTTTTTCTTCTTTTTGATTAGTGAATGATTAGTTTGTTGTTCACTACATATAAAAACAAAAAAAAAATTAAAGAAGTACGTATGGTTTCCAAAAACAGATTCACATGATAAATAAAACTCCGTCAACCAATGAGATGTAAGAGCAGGTCACCCGACTTGATTGTATATGTTTTCTTTTTTTTTTCTTTCTCCTACTTATTTTTTCCTCATTGCATTATCTTCCTTTTTTTTTTACTTGTAATTTTTATTATTATTATTATTATTATTCATATTAATAGTTCTTGACAATCTATGACAACAAATACGAAAAATATATCACCGCATCCAATTGTCAAGACAGAAAAGTCAAAAGAACCTGATACATCTGTTGGTAGTTATCTTATCTGTGAAAAAATAGGTCAAGGTTCTTTTGCAACTGTCTATAAAGCGCAGCATAAAGTAAGTAATTTCTCATTTTATTATATATTATTTAAACTAATGTTTATATATATATAAAATAAAGGTCTCTGGTCATTTGGTTGCTATCAAATCTGTCTTGCGATCTAAATTAACAAAGAAACTATTGGAAAATTTAGAATCTGAAATATCTATTCTTAAAGCTATACGCCATGACCATATCGTTGGTTTATCAGAATGCCAAGTAAGTCAAATATATATATATATATACACATATTATAACTAACTTTTTATAATTATTTAAATTAAAAAAAAATAGAAAACTGATACTCATATACATCTTGTCATGGACTTTTGTACAATGGGTGATTTATCGCAATACATCAAACGAATACGAAGCAGCAAAACTACTCGAGGTCCTCTTGGTGGTTTACCGGAAATCACCGTTCGTCATTTTTTGAAACAATTATGTAAATCAATATGTTATTATTATTCTAATATATAATGATACTAATTATATGATTATTATTTTTTTGATTTTATTTTAGCATCGGCTTTACGTTTTTTACGCTCACAAAATCTTGTCCATCGTGATATCAAACCTCAAGTATGTATATCAGATTATAATTTTTAATAGTTGATGCTGACTGATCATCCTCTTTTTTTTTTTTTTTTTTTTTTTCCTTCCTTCTAGAATTTATTATTGGTATCACCTCATGAAGATTCTAATGAAGATATAACAAATGAACTTCCTATTCTTCAAGTAGCAGATTTTGGTTTCGCTCGATTCTTACCAAATGCTAGTTTGGCTGATACCTTATGTGGATCACCTCTTTATATGGGTCCTGAAATATTATCCTACAAGAAATATGATGCCAAAGCTGATCTTTGGAGTGTTGGTGCTGTTTTATATGAAATGATTACTGGTCGCCCACCATTTCGTGCTCAAAATCATTTGGAATTACTCAAAAAAATTCAAGAAAATAATGATGTGATTCGATTCCCTGATGAAAAAACCCCTGAATCTTCTTCCTTGGTTGGTGATGATCTCAAAGATTTGATTCGAAAGCTTCTCAAGAAAGATCCAGTAGAACGTATTTCCTTTGAAGAATTCTTTGCCCATCCTGCTATTCTCCATGGTGAAAATTCGTTATCATCAAGAGCAACTCCTTCAGTTAGGTATTCGTCATCATTATCTCCTCATCCAACAACATCGAAACCCATTACAAAACATCGTCATGATCAACCTACAACTACATATGAAACACCTCCATTTGCTCAAGCGTCATCTTTACCAACTCACCAAGACCCTCGAAAAGTGGGTCCAATATCACCTCCTTCATCAAGACATAATCGAAATAGACCTTATAGGTAACGTCATTTGTAGAATGAATTGCTGAATGATCTTAACTTATTTTATTTTATATATATATATATATATAGAGATATCAGTAATGGGAATCCTTCTCCGATTCATTCACGTGGTCGATCTGGGAAAGCGGTTGAGTTCAATGACTTGCATGAATCAGGGGCGGTGATCAAAAGATCGACTCGACATGGTGAAGAAGAAGATGTTTTACAAGAATACGTGGTACTGGATAGACGAATCATTGAAACGAATCAATTTGCTGATGGTAATTATTATTATTGATCTAATCCTTTATATAAATATATATATATATATTTGAACTGAGTTTTTATAATTCTTTTTAGAAATCAATGCTTCACCACATAACGAAGATGGAAATCGACAACGAGGTGATTCAATAGGGCAAGTGGCCATCCCACGACGAAAATCTTCATCTTCTTCTGATCAAACTGGATACCCACCATCATCTACTTCACCCAATACTCCACCATTCGTTGTTTCTCGTGAACGAAGGATTAGTGCGGGAACGGCTGGATCTGCTCTCGCCAAAGCATTATCTATGGCTTCTGAACGACTTTTTGGGACTGGACATTCACCACCAAACTATAATCGTTTACAAAATACTATGGTAGGTTCTCCACGTGGATTTTTAATTAGCGCTGCTGCTGCTCAAGATATGGAAGAAGAAACAAATACTTGTGATGAAGACGATGACAAGACAATGGCAATGATTGAAAAGGCAGCATGTATGGGACACGCAGTAGCCAAGTTTGCAGATATTAAATTTGAACTTCTTGTTGGTGGTCGTGGTGGTATTGGAATGGCAAATGAATCTACTTTGGCTGCTGAAGCATTAGTTCTTCATCTCAAGGCATTGGCATTATTGGAATTGGGTTTTGAAACAGCAAAGAAATATTGGCATCGACGACGTTCCATCAACTCTCCATGGCAGCAACAACAAGATAATTTGAATTCAAAACCTTCTGCAATACGATTGAATGATGCAGTACAATGGATGCGTGAACGGTTTAATGAATGTCTAGATCGTGCATCTTTTGAGAAATCAAAATGTGATCAATATGATGATTCATTAAATGGAAACAATCCTTGTGTAGAAAAGCTATTATATGACCGTGCACTTGAAATGGTAAGAAATTTTATTACTCTTTTATATATGTATATATTGATTTTATATATATATGCATCTATGTATAGAGCCGTGCAGCTGCAGTACATGAACTTGTTGGGGAGAACATTGCAGAGGTATACATAAAAAAAAAATCATCCAATAATTTGTGAATTGACATTATTTATTATGTAATTTATTTAGTGTGAACAAGATTACAGAACAGCTATATGGATGCTTGAAGCAATCTTGGAAGTATGTGATGATACAGAAGTGACAATTGAAGAAGAGGATCGAAAAATCATTAATAAATGTAAGTCAAAAAAAAAAAAACGATTTAGGATATAAATTAAATAGTAATTTTTTTTTTTTTTTAGTTATTGATTCCATTCAACAACGTATATCAGTCTTACGGAAAAAAATACTTGATCAAAAAGAACAACAATACCCTTATCATAACAACAACAACAACAACAACAATAGTGGCAGAAACATGATGACTACAGCAACAACAGCTACTATTGGTCAAACTACTCAAACTTACATTGCAACCGAAGGAAGATGATTTTTATAGTTTTCTTACATTTTGTATACATTTGTCTTCCTATTTGTATATATGGTTTTCTTTTTAATAGTTTTCTTTTGACAATAAAGATCATTTTTACACAAACCAACTGTCCTTATATACATTTATGACACCTTTTTTTTTTTTTTCTTGAATCCACATCTTTCTTAGCTCATATGATTTGAAACACCGGATTGGTGGCAAGGAAAGTGGAAGGACGCGCGATCTTTTTTTTTTTTTTTTTTTTGCTCTCTTTCTGTTTTGTTTTCTTTTTTTTTTCTCTCTCTCTCTTTTTTTTTTTATACTTGTATATTTCCATACACAAGTTGTTTGTAAACTACAGTTTGGTAAGGTCATTTTTTTAATTCTCTTTTTCATATTCCCCTCCCTTTTGTTTGATACCATAGATGATACTTCATTTACTTTTTTTATTTTTATATATCCTTTTTCACTTCTGTGCAAAAGTCAGCTACTAACACCGCCAACAAAGTGAAAATGATATTCATTCTTTTTAGATTATTTCTTTATTACATTTACGTACATCTTCCTACCTACTATTCTCCTTTTGTTTCCTTATTTATAAACCCTATATCCATTCTTCACTGTTACAAGAAAACAATAATAAACAAGGTTAAACGTTAGAACTTCACTTAGTTTCAACTTTTGACCTTGTTATTATCGTTGATATTGTATTTTATTTATATTAGTTTTGTTTGTTGTTGTCTTTCTCATTTGACTGTTTGTCACTCCGTCTTACATATATACACCCAAACGCCTCCCCTCACCATCTTTTTTTTTTTTTATCTATTACATTTAGGCTGCATTTTATTATTTCATTCTCCTCTCTCCTTTTATCATGATTCTATCTAACTCGATCATCTCCTTTATTGATATAGATTCCTCTTTTTTCTTTTTACCAAAATGATGGACCATTCTACCAATTGTACTATTCAACAACTTCCTTTATCTGAAGAGATGATGGGAAATCAATCTCAAAATAAAAGAAAACAAGTCAAAAATGCCTGTAGTAAGTGATATTTTTTTAAAAAAAATGATGGATGATACATGTTCGATTATCAATTGATCATTCTTTTTTTTTTTTTTTTTTTTTAATGTAGCCAATTGCCAAAAAGCCTGCAAAAAATGTGATGATACACGACCTTGTCCTCGTTGTGTGAAATATGGTATCGCCGATACTTGTGTTAATTCCATTAGAAAAGAAAGAAAAAAAGGTATCAAACGAGGTCCATACAAAAGGAAAGAAAAAGGTAAGAAAAGAATAATAAAAAAAATAAATAAAAAAAGACGAAGGAAGTCATGTATAAAGAAAAAAAAAAAAGAAATAACTGTCTTCTTTTTTTTTTTTTATTATTATTATTATTTGTCTGTTCTAGATGACAGCGACAAAAAGCGAACGAAATCGTCCAAATCTCCCGAGTCAGATATTGGTTCACATGGTGGGGAACAGCAACAACAACAACAGAAACAACAGCAACAACAACAGCAACAACAACAACAACAACAACAACAACAACAGCAACAACAACAACAAGCTGCTATGTATGGTCAAATATCTGCATCAAATGGACCTCCTGGTTATGGCTATCCAACCAATTTGAATCAATACAATTATCAAGCTTATAACGCCACATATTATGATACTCAGAAGATACCAACATCAGGTCCCTATGGATTGAATCAATCTATGTATCCTTATCATATGATGATGCCTGGTCAACAAAGTGGAGAAAATGATCAACAACAACCTCCCTATCCTCCTCCAATGTTGATGATGCCTGGTCACTATCCCAGTAGTCTTGTCCCTCCTGTCAACAATAAACAAAATGGTTATTATCAACAAATTCAACCAGAATCACAACTACCACATTCGGATACCAACATCAAAAGTGAAGTCAAGCCACAACCAATGACGCCTTTACCTAGTACATCCACCTCATCAGCTGCTACATCATCCCCCGATTCCAATGAGGATGATGACAATTCCAAATTTGCTCGCCTTTCCCAATTATGTTCTGCTGCCTTGAATCAAGATCAACAACTCTCTGCAACTACTGAATAGCTTTGAAATGACACCTCCCCTTTATATATATTATTATTATTATTCTTATTATTTTTTTTTATCATTACTATCATTCTTTATATTCCATCTACATTCTATCTCCCCCCTTAGCTTACTCATCACCATTATTATTGTCATCATCATTATTCTTATCCTCTTTTAGTAGCTATAGTCCTTTCTATCTAGTATTACCCCTCTTGTTTCCCATTTATAATCCAAAATAAAATGAAAATCATTTCCCAACCATATTGTCTTTTGTAAGTCATCATCCAAATTATGCGTATAGTGATCATCACCATAGAAAGTAATTGTAAGTGGACATGACAGTAAATGTTGCTTATTGTATAGAAATTATTATCCCATCTTGGTAATGTCCCGACATGATTATTGTCCTCTAGAAACCAAAAAAAAAAAAAAAAAAAAAAAAAAAAAAGGCATCTTCCATAGAGAGAAGAAAAGTTTTGTGATTACGTAAAACACCATTTCTTTTAAATGATGACTATGATATATTCCACACTAACGGAACAACAAGAATATATATAAAAAAAAAGAGGTCCAATTTCAAAAAGATCAAATAAGAATGTCAGAATGTTTATTGAATCAGATAAAAAAAAATCATCTTGATTATCACAAAAAAGGGAAACATGACAAAAAAAAAAAAGATGCCTTCAAAGATAAATGGGATTGTAAAAAAGTATATGTATAGATGATAAAAATAAAAAAAAGTATGAAGAATCATAATGATGATGATGAGAATGAATAAATAATTAATCTTTTCCAAATTCTTCAGCAAGTTCCCGACTTCGTTGATCCGCGGCAAAAACAGCATCATACATCAATTGACGAATATTTCCAGCTTCCAATACCTTGAGAGCGGCTTCGGTAGTTCCTTTGGGAGATGTGACTTTTTGACGAAGAGTAGCCAAATCATCTTCACTTTCCATTGCCATACGAGCAGCACCAAGACAAGTTTGAAGTGTTAATGCTTTGGCATCTTCAATAGATAATCCAGCTTCCACACCAGCATTTTCTAAAATTTTGGGGAAAAAAAGAGTGAGTCATCCAAAGTTGGATCCAAAGCCCGCTTTTTTTTTTTTATTACGCATAGCTTCCATGATTAAAAAATAATAAGCAGGTCCACTTCCACTAACAGCAGTAACAGCATCCATCAAAGGTTCCTTTTCCACCCAAGAAATATGTTTACAAACTACACCCAAAAGAGATTCAGTCAATTGACGTTGTTCCGCGGAAACACCATCCATAGCATAACAACCTACAGCACCTTGGCCAATCAAAGCCGGCGTATTGGGCATCAAACGAATCAAAGGTAAATCCACTACATTTAACCATCGTCGAATAGAAAGAGTACTGATACCAGCAGCAATGGAGATGAGTAATGGGGTAGGCAAATCATGCTGTTGTCGTTGTTGTAATATAGGTTCAAGTTCTTTCATGACCACCTTCATGATCTGTGGTTTGACAGCCAAGATCACTACTTGAGGTTCCAAAGCCAATACTTGTTCGGAATCACTATACCCTTCTACATTCAAATACTTTTGTTGCATATAATCTCTTCGTTCGCGTGATGGTTCACTAAACACTAGTCGATATTGTACATCTTGACATAATCCTCCAATGATCGCTTCTGCCATGTTACCACCTCCAATAAAAGCAATCGTTAATGACTTGGTACCGTTTGCATGCATGATAAAAATAAGATTTATTTGTTGAAAGAAAGAAAGTAAAAAGAAAGATATCAAAAAGAAAAAAAGAAAGATTTTTATACTTGATCAGATCTGAGTTGAAACTTTTTTTTTTACTGGAATAGCCGAAGATGGCTTTTTTTTTTTTTTTACTTTTTTATTGAATTTGATTGGTGATTCAAGATAGGTCTGATTATGATTCAAGAAGATAATTAGTTTATTTTGATTTATCATTTTTTTATTTTATGCCATTTTTTTTTTTAAAAAAAAAAAAAAAAGAAAAAAAAAAAGGTTCAAAATAAGAGAATTTATCTCGATATGATGATAATAATAATAATAAGAACGATAAAAAAAAAAGGGATCATCCTTTTTTCCTATTGAATTTCATCCTCCGTCACACTTTTTTTTTAATAACTTTTTGAGACTCCTTTTTTTATATCTATCTTTATTTTTCGTTCCTTTTTTTTTCTTTCTTTCTTTTTCTCCAGTTCTTTCTTTTTTTTTTCTTTTTTTATACAAAAGACTCTCGCGATTCTTTTATTCTTTTTTTTTTTGGTTTATTATTATACTTTTTGAATAAAAAGGATAAATACTTATCTTTTGATTCTTATTTTTTTTTTCATCTTTCCATTCCTTCACTATACCTTTCATCTATTATTGTTCTTCAAGTCCAATACCCCCCCTTCTCTTCTCCTTCTCATCCCCTTCTTTACTACTACCTTTCTTTTATCTTTATTATTTCTTTTTATTCTTAACAATGGGCGCCAACTTATCAAAAGGATTAGCTAAACTTTTCAGTAATAAGGAAATGCGTGTTTTAATGCTTGGACTTGATGCTGCTGGAAAAACAAGTAAGATGAACTTTTCTTATCAAAATACAAAAAAATATTCAACCTTTTTTTTTTATTATTATTATTAGCCATTCTTTACAAACTCAAATTGAATCAATCCGTAACAACTATTCCTACTGTTGGATTCAATGTAGAATCTGTGACATATAAAAATGTGAAATTCAATGTTTGGGTAAGTCAAAAAAAAAATGTTTTTATAATAAAAGGGGAAAAAAATGAAGATAGGATGAATAGTTAAACTAGGGGGATGATGTGGAGAATAACTTTTCTTTATATATGTATGTGCGTATGTGTATATATTCCTTCGCATGAAGGTATATAAAATAGGAGACAAAAGAGGAGGGAACGATAGTTTATTTTAATATGTTCTTTTTTTTTGATAGGATGTTGGAGGTCAAGATAAGATTCGTAATCTTTGGCGTCATTATTATACTGGAACTCAAGGATTGATATTTGTTATTGATTCTCAAGATCGAGATCGTATTGATGAAGCTCGTCAAGAATTACATCGAATTATGTCAGATCGAGAAATGAAAGAATGTTTATTGTTGGTCTTTGCAAATAAACAAGATTTACCTGGTGGTAATTTTTTGAAATAAATACTTATGGAAATAATCTGATATTTTTTTTTTTTTTTTGTAGCCATGTCTCCTGCAGAAGTGACTGAAAAACTAGGTTTGGCTCAAATGCGTGAACGTGCTTGGTATGTTCATCCTTCTTGTGCTACTACTGGCGATGGATTATTTGAAGGTCTTAATTGGTTAAGTCAAAATGTCAAAACAAAGAAATAGATTACCTACTTTTCCTCTATTTCCACTTTGTATGATGCCTCTCTATTTCTTATTATTTATGCCTTTGTTTTTCTCTCTGTCTCTTGTTTTTTACTCACCTTTTTTTTTTTTTTTTTGGAAATCCTCCATTCTTTCTTACAAATTAGTTTCTTTATTATATCTTATTATTATTATTATTATTATTATTATTATTATTTTCGTTATTTTTTTTTATACTCTCCTCTCTTTTGCTATATATTCAAAGTATATCTCCCCTTTTTTTTTTTATTTATCCATTCTTGTCAACTATTTATATAATATACTTTATTCAATAAAAAAAAATTTCTAATTCCTTCTTTTTTATCATGGGTATGAAGATATCATGTAAAATGATGATGATGCACAAGGGCAGTAGGATGATCATAACAAGTATGAATGTTTTGGATCCAAGGGGAATCTAGACATTGTGGAATGGACCAACGTAGATTAGGATCCGGATCAAGCATGGACAATATACAATGTTGAAGAGAAGGATCACATCGATTTAGAGCCGACCACGAGTTGAATGATGAGTGTTGATGAAGAAAAGACGCATAATGAGGATCTTGTGTGGTTGCCTGTAAAAAAGGGATCTGTGTATAAAGTAAACAATAAAAAGTGATGGCAGCACTCCATACATCCATTGCCAATCCATCATAATATTCAACCGAAGTAAATAATTCTGGTGGCCAATATGGCATCGATCCACATAATCCTTGACAGACCACTACTTCTTTTTCCTTTTTTATGATTTGATGTGCCACTCCAAAATCCGTGATCTTTAATATTCCTTGTCTGGTCATCAATAAATTATCGGGTTTGATGTCACGATGAGCTATTCCAAGACTATGAAGATGAGCCATTCCACGTAATAATTGTTTAAATATACAATCCATAGCATCATTGGTCAATGATATTTGTTGTAATATCGTCAATACATCTCCTCCATGGCACTATATAAAAAAAAAAAAAAAAAAAAGAGAGATAAGCATTTTTACAGGATTTCTTTCATAAAACCTTTTACATATTCCATGATGATACACCATCGACCTCGTCGATCTTTTAATAGTTCAAACACAGTGACAACATGATGATGGGATGATAATTGTGTTAATTTGAATTCCTTATATAAACGTTGACCAAATAAAGTATTGGATTCATGTTGAGGGGGATGAAATCTTTTCACCGCCAAGACAGCATTGGTAGGTTTGGATCTTTTCCATAAAAAGGAAGATGGTAGAAACGTCGAAAATGGACGATGATCAGCCAACAAATAGATGGTGGCGGTGGCTCCTTTTCCTACTTTTTTAATTTTTTTCATGTCATGGTACTTTTCATTTAGTGATGATTCATTGGGTCGTTGATCCGTCTTTGTTTGTAAAGAGATGGATCGTCGCACGAATGGTTGTGGTTCCCATAGTGATGGACTGTTTCGGGAAGGTGAATATTCTATGATGCTCTTGTTGTTTTTTATTATACACTCTTGTTCATCCATTCTAGTACAAGAAGTATCTGGTAGGTTTGGTATCTTGTTGTTATTGATGGACAAAAATTTCAGGAACGATGTTTTCTTTTTGTTGGTTTTAATATCATCTGTATTCTGAGTAATCATGATAAAAAAGTAAACTTTGGATAAAAGAATAAAATAAAAAAAAAAAAAAAAAAAAAAAAGAGAAAGGAAACAAAAAAAAAAAAAGAGAGTAATATATGTGCATTTTTATAGAAAAGTATTCAAGTTCTTTTTTTGGTAAAGATTATAAACTATATCCTTCTCCCTCATCCTTATTATATATATTATGTTCTTGAGTTTCCCAGGATTCGATTTCTCTATCATGCGCCCTCCAAATAATAAAAAGATAAACATCAATTAACAAAGATTGAAATAGATAATAACATCAAGTTGTCAATGAACCAAATCTAATTTTTATTTTTCATTTTTGTAAAATCCCCCCTTTTTTTTTTAAAAAAAAAAAAATATATATTATATTCAATCAACTTAATAACATATATACAACAAATCTATTCCTTCAAATCCGGCATGCGCAATACTTTCTTGTCCTTGTTCTTTGCATGTTCACAAATCATTTTTAACACCTTGCTATCCTTCCATTTTTCAGGGTGAGGTTTTTTAAAAGTGGCCCAATAAAACAGATCCCAGTCGGGTTCATCCAACAAACTGTCATATTCTTCGAGTTGTTGCATGGTAAACGTAGGCAAGTATTTCTGAGCAAATGTCGATAACAACAAATCATTTTCCAAAGTACCTCTCTTTCTTGATTGATAGATGAGTCGTGCACGTTTCTTGTCTTCTGGTTCATTGGGGCGTGGAATAGGTGGCAAGTTGGGATAAGGTGTGTCTACATCCATGTCAGGTGAATGACGAATCGAAAGATTAGGGAAAGGATCTTGGTAAGTGTGTTTCCATACAATACAACTGCTGCTCAATGTGCGTCTTGCTGATCCAGAAAGAACGGTTTGTCTTTTGAGTGTAGATAATAACATCATAGTAACGTTGTAATAACAAAAAAAAAAAAAAAAAAAAAATAAGAAGAAAGAGTAAAGAAAAAAAAAGTCTATTTTTTTTTTTTCTGTGGACTTTTTTTTGTTGAAAATCTTGAAGTTTTGACCCTAGCCTATTGTTGAACTCCGTCAAAGAATCTTGATAAAAAACTATACATGATCTCTTACAAGTAACTTTTTATTTAATTTTATGAGATAGAAATTCCATATGCTATTTTATTTTTTATGAAATATAATGATTGGATGATTGATTTGATTTAATAGAATAATCATGATTATTTGATACTTTCAATGTGATTGGAGGAAAAAAAAAAAGTAATATAAAAGACACTTTTTTTTATTTTTCTCTTTCTTTCCTCTTCTTTTTGGATTCTTCCTTGTTGGTATCTTCTTCTTCATTGTTCTTGGTCTTGCTGTGCCTCTGGTTGTCTGTCCTTGCCTCTCTCCGTCTTTCCTTCTGTCTGGATCTTTTCTTTTTTTTGATAAGTGCACATATACAAATAATATTTAGTTGATCATCACATTAAACCATTTCCCATTTCTTCTTTTCAAGTACCGAAATTTAACAATAAAAATGAATACATGGTCATTTACTTGATATTTATCAAACTATTGATTTCTTGTCATTTATTTGAACAGTTCTTAAGGTGATGATAAGCCATAAAATGATGATAATTCAATGAACATATGAATAGTTATGATATGATGATGATGTAATATGTGGTATATAATGGATTGATATTTATAATAGATACAATATAAGAAGAATGTTGATGAAGATGATGATGAACATGGATGATGCCAATAGGCGCCCCGAGTAATGCGGAGTTGAACTGTGTCCCTTTTGGTGATTCTTTTTTTTTTTTTTCTCAAGATACTCTCTCTCTTCAATTTTTTTTTTTCCTTGTTTTCTTTCTCTTTTCTGTTACTTTTTTATTTTCGATAATGTCGAAACGGTCTCATTTACAAGCACCTAGTCGTTCGGACGCTGATACGAATACAGGAAGACAAAGACAAAGCAAGCGTGATGAGGTATTATTATTATTATTATTTTTATTTTCAAGGGAAACCATATTCACTTTTATTTTTATTAGGCTATTCGACAAAAGTTTGAAAGAGAACTATCAAAGAAACGTACTACTCCTATACAACGACAACAACAATATCGTAAAATTGCAGGTACTGTTTCGGCCCTTCGTCCTGCTCAAGCTTTGACTGTTAAGGAAAGTATGTTGGTGATTGAAGCTTCTCAACTCATGGCTGCCAAACGTAGTGATTGTGTTCTTGTGGTGGATGATGATGACCATCTTAGTGGTATTTTTACGGTAATGATACAATTGGTAACATGAGCGCGTCATGATATTGTTAACATTTCTTTCCGCCTTTTTTTTTTTTTTTTTTTTTTAAATAGGCAAAAGATATAGCTTACCGCGTGGTTGCTGTTGATGATATGGATGCAAGGTAAAAATATATATATATATATATATATATCATCAAAGGTTTGATATTTATTCTTCTCTTTTTGATATTCCATTAAAATAGATCTACACCGGTAGCAGATATTATGACTCCAAATCCAATGTGTGTCACAGCTTCAACAAGTGCTCAAGATGCTCTTAATCTCATGGTATCAAGAGGATTTCGACATTTGGTAAGTAGGATAGACGGTGAAAATGGGATTCATTTTCATATATTAATACAATGTTTTTTTTTTCATTTGAAATGTAATATATTCTTAGCCTGTATGTAATGAAGAAGGTGATATTTTTGGTCTTTTGGATATTACCAAATGTTTATATGAAGCATTAGACAAAATGGAACGTGCTTATGGATCTTCTCGCAAATTATATGATGCTTTAGAAGGTGTAGAACGTGAATGGTCTGGCAACCCTGTCCAATTGGTACAATATATGGAAGTATTACGGGATCGTATGTCTTGCCCTGATATGACCACTGTGATGGATCATGGTGCTGTGGAAGTTAATTACAAGGTCAATGTTCGAGAAATTGCTAAAATGATGAAAGAATGTCATACCACTGCTGTCTTGGTTATGAAGCATCATCGTCTTGCTGGTATTTTTACAACGTAAGTTCTTCAAAAAAAAAAAATAATGATGATGGAAACACATATTCTAAATGATTTCTTTTTCATCGCTCTCTCATTAGGAAGGATATTGTAAGAAAATTGAAGGATAACCAATCTAAAGTCAATGGACGATTCTTTTTTTTTTTTTTAATTCATGTTTTTCTCTTCATGTAGGTGCTTCGTGTGATTGCTGCTGGATTGAATCCTGAAAATTGTTCTGTTGTACGTGTGATGACTCCTGAACCTGACTGTGCTGAACCATCTACTACTGTATTAGAAGCGTTGAAACGCATGAATGGTAAATTAATAATAAAGATTGAATAAAACTTTGTCATTAAAGCTCAACTTCTTTTTTTTCATTTTTATTTAGATGGACATTACTTGAACTTACCTATTTTGGAAGATGGCCGAGTAGTTGGAATTGTTGATGTTTTGAAACTGACCTATGCTACCCTTGAACAAGTAAGATTAGGAACCAAAAAAAAAATCATGATTCAAGATAGGATGCTGACTTCAAAAACAACTGATTGGATCCACTAGATGAATAGCATCCAAGGCAATGATGGAGAAGGTCAGTTAGCAATAGAAGGAAATTATAAAAGAAGCTAAAGCGTTATCTTTTGATAGGTCCAATGTGGTCAAGATTTTGGGATAGTTTTGGTGGCGTGGAAAGCGAATCACAAGGATCATCCGATCCTAATGGATCACATTATCTCTCATCCGGTAATCGACATTCAGCCTCCCATGTGGATCAAGTAATAAGTCCGGAACCATCGGCTTCATTTTCTCAACTTCAAGGATTTTCCGAAATTCAACCCAATGAATCAGCCAGTATGGTGATGAACAACGACGAAGCAAGTAGTATATCATCTTATCGTAAATCATCATCGATTACTAGAAATACCCATGCAAACGGTACAACATTTAAATTCACTTCTCTTGGCGGAAAGACCCATCGATTTATGATGAAATCCAATAGTTATGCTTATCTTTTAGATAGTGTACGACAAAAAGTACTTGGGGAACATGTTCAATTTGTAGCAGCCAATCATTCAGCTTCATCTTCGACTGCCGATAGCAATAGCAGTAACAACAATATAGAATCTCATCATCAACAAGAGGACGGCGGGGAATGGTTATCGATATCTTATATGGATGATGAAAATGATTTGGTATTGATCTCTTCAGACGCGGATGTGGAAGATGCAGTGATGATGGCACAAAAATTGGATCAGAACAGGGTGAAATTATTTGTTCATGACACGGCAGCGCCTCAACCAGTAACGAATTCGACCATGTCTCCAACCATGATGCATCTTCCCAGCATGAAACTAGAAGTCCCTGGTGTGGACCAAAACAACAATAATAAAGAACAATTGGAAATGTTGACAGATAGTGAAGATGAACAAATGGAATTGAAAACCAAGAATAAGAGAAGAAGCTTCAAGGAACCAACTGTCCCTCATCACGATATTTTACTACCTGCTGCCATTACATTCTTAGGTGTGGTTATCATTGGTGTGTTTGCCTACTCCCGTATTAGTCAATCCTAATATGATTAGATAAATAGATAGATAGATATTTTGGTTTAGTTTAGTTGGTTGTTTGTTGATTACCTCGTAATATTATCATGCAAAAGAATAAAAAATATACATATACGACTCTTTTTACCCTTCTTTAGATAAACAAACAAGTTGCTGTCAAAAGAACCCCATGAATTTACTTGTTTATATTCATTTATGAAGATTGTTCCTTGCTTTGAGATAGAGTAAATATAAACACACTTTGGTTGTTTATTTTATCCTACCGCACTGACCATCGGTTCTCTCCTTTATTATTTACTGTCTTTGTAGATGATGATCTCAAACCGATGAGATTATTTCTTTACGTGGTACTACTCTTCTTTCGTAAGCCAATGTTTATAGCTTTCTTTTTAGAGAAAAAAAAAAACTTTACTATTAAAGCCTTCACCAAAAATAAAAGATATTCGGAATACGTGAGAAAAAAAAAAAGATGAACCTAACCGATCCTCCTTTTTTTTTTTTTTTTTTACGCCCATGGAATGATTACCATGTGGTCAACTCTTGTGCGGGATGGGACCGATAAAATGACTGTAAAAGTCCATATTACAAAATGATAAAGTGATGGAGAATCTCTGTTTACTTTTTTTTTTTTTTAGGTTAGTGACACAGATAAACTTTAAACATCGGGTCGAATTCCGAAGACGGGCATGAAACTGAAGGTAGGCATGCTTCTTTCTTTTTTTTTTTTTTGTGATCATCCCTCGGAAGGGTTTTACACGATAATTGCCGTGGTAATCCTATAAGAGCTATACGTTAGTAGGAGAGTATCATCTTTTCAAAACATATAAAGAAATCAAAATGCAAAGATTATATCATATATATATTATCTTTTTTTTTTTGGGATCAGAGATGGTCATCTTAACGATGCCAAAAAGAGTACGTCAATGGAGTAACCCAAAAAAAAAAAAGAAAAGCAAATAAGCAGGTGACCCTGTTGAACAAAAAAAAAGAAAAAACTCAGGCACTTCCAAACTTAGTATTCTCTCTCTCTCTAGTTGTAATTGTAATCATTACCACATGATAATGAAAGGGGATGATATATTTTTGAAACACTTTTCTTGGGGGATCTTTTGATGGTGGAAACTCTGACAAACAAGGGATAAACTTGTTATAGGCGATTTTCTAAAAAGTCTTCACACACACACTATATTACTTTAATTAAACTGCACCAGTGACAACATCACTGATTCCCGGGAAGTTTGATTTTGGATAAGCCATTCCGGCGCCAATTTAAAGTTTTTCTTCTTGCTTCATCATCATTCCTCTGGGTTATATATTAGTTCTTGGGTGATGATCATCTATATGATGATGATGATGATCACGATAATGATAATGATGATGCTTTAAGATGGTATTTAATAACAGTAAATGAATGAAGAGTAATTCACGATAAAGTGAAATTAAAAAGCAGTTTGACTTTTTTTTTTTTTTTTTTTTACTATGGCAAGTTATAATAAAAAAAAAAAAGTCAAAACAGAAAAGGGTTAAAAGCATTATAACAGAGAACTCATGACCACTTTTTCTCAAGTAATTCGCTAGCCTCCCCCCACACTTGTCTTCCCTTCTAGATCTCTTCCTCCACCCCCCTTTTATCCAGACATCCATCCCTCCTAAAATACATTCAATTACCGACCCCCCTTCTTTTTGGTTTTTTTTTTTTTTTTTTTTTTGGTTTTCAACTTTTTCCTTTCTTCTCTTTTTTTTTTTTTCTCTTATTTTTATTTTCTTTTGACTTTATGACTGATTTGCATCCGAATAATAACGGATTCAATACTATCGATTGGTTAGATCGTCATAATATGAATTCCTCCAATACTACCACCACTTCTTATTCAACTCAACAACAATCATTTAACAACAATAATGAAAATGAAGTTGGTAATCGATATCAAACTTACTATGCTCACCAGTTGCCACCCATCAACTCTATTTCATCTTCAAATAATTCATCTGTTGCACAACTGAACCATGAACCTATTCATATGAATGATGATGATAAAAAACAACAACAACAACTTGTTTCTTGGGATTTACCATCGACCACTACAACTACTGACTCTACTGTATCAACATCTTCGTCTTATACTTATCATCCACCATCTACCACAACCCCTTCTCCTTCTGTTTCCGGTGAAAAATCTGTATCGACCACTAGCACCAAGAAACAACGTATCCCTTGTACGAAGGATATTCACGTGGAAAAGAACACTGAAGGCAAACCACCTTATTCATATGCTACTCTCATCAAATATGCTATTGAAAATAGTCCAGAAAATAAGTTGACTCTTAGTGAAATCTATCAATGGGTGATTGATCATTATCCCTATTATGGCACAGCTGGCACTGGTTGGAAGGTAAAAAAAAAAAAAAAAAAAAAAAAAAAAAAGCTCTGTTCTCACCATACATATATATATATATATGCATTTCCTTTTTTAGAACTCTATTCGTCACAATTTGTCTTTGAACAAAAGCTTTGTTCGTGTACCTCGACCTATCAACGAACCAGGAAAAGGATCTTATTGGATGGTTGATTATCGATCTGCTGAATCAGAACAAAGAACTCGACATAGTCTATCTGGTACATCTTCATCATCAGCGACATCATCAAGACGAAGTAATCGTTCTGGAAGTGACCCTGCTAATGCACCTTATCGCCCTGAATGGTCCACATCTTCTGCGTCTTCTACATCCTCTCTAAGCCGGCGTGCGTATCGTGACACACGATCTCTTTCAATGGATGCAGCTACTTTATCCAAAAATCTCAATGGAGTTGGTCTAGGTACTTCTACAAGTGTTAATGGGTATGGATCTATCAATACTACAAATGGAAGTTATTATGGGAATGCATATGCTTATGGTCGTCAATTTGCCACCAATCATCATCATCATCATCATCATCGTCCATCAAGTACACATAATGCTCTTCGAAATAGTGGTTATGTTCCAGGTTATGAAATGTACATGGATAATATCACTAATCCATCTCAATATCAACAACAACAACAACAACAACAACATCATCATCATCATCATTCTACCAACAATCAGCAAGTACAACAACATCATCAGCAACAATTAATGAAGCAAGCTAATTACTCTTTATATGATAACAGCAATCATCATCACATGTATTACAGCTATGGAAATGGTCAATCATCAGCATCTATGATGGATAAATCAGCCGATCCAACCAAGTCTGGTAACCAAGCGACAGTTTACACCACATTTTCTCCTACACCATCAAGTCAACTCTCATCTCCATCTGGTGCTTCAGTCACTTTACAACATCATCCCACTTCTCATGATCAATCTACTGTGATGGAGGATATTACAACAACAACCACTGTTTCCACTCCTGTTCCTGATAATGGTTCGCCTCCTACATCAACGCCTGGTGAATTTAATACAACATCATCATTCAGAAAACAATCTACAGCACCAACAACTGCATCCAATACAATCATGGATTCTTCAGCATGTTTTTATCAACCATCTCATCAAGATCCAACACTGAAATCCGTCAAGTCCATCAAAGATGAAGATGGTGTTACATCGGGTCAATTTGATTGGGAAACCGTATTATAAAGAGATAGTTATCTTTTTGTGTTCCCCTCCTCTTTGTCTTTATATATCATCCCGCCCTTTTTTTTTTATATAGATGTTTTTTGTGACATATGTATATTTCTCCCCCCCCTTTTTTTTCATATATCTTGTTGATTCCCCTTTTTTTTTTATTTTAGTCTTACTTTCGTTTACGTATATATCTTTTTCTTTTCTTTTTTCTTTTTTTTTTTTGTTATATATTCTTCTCATCCCAATTTACATGTATGTATGTATGTCTTTCTCTTTTCTCTATTATCCCCTCATCTACTTTATATGATTTATGTTGTTGTTGATGTGTTTCAAATATAAAATAAATAAATAAAAAAAAAGAAACGGGGCATACAAAATGGTTATCATTTCATTGGTGGATGATGATATTAATGATGGAATTCGATTGATCATGCAACAACTTTATATAAAGGATGAGTGGTTATGACTGAATTTTGTTGTACCTGTGGTTCACCAAGCCACAGTTCCCGCCATTTTATTGGTGGATGAATTGAGAAAATCTCATCATCATTGGTTGGTAAAATAAATAAGGTCAGCTATTTTTTTTTTTTTTTTTGTGGGTGAAGTTTGCCTTTTTTTTTTCTCTCTCTCTTTAATCTATTCCCATTTTTTTTTTTTAATTCGACATGTCAGAATTTGAAGTCACTCAAGGAGTATCTAATCTTAACATTAAAGTAGAAACCGATGCCACTACAGTGACCACTGATGTCAAGACTGGAGGACAAAACGTAACACCTTGGGAAGTAGAAGGTGCTATTGTAGATGGTGTTCAACAAGCCATTGATTATACCAGACTCATTGAACAATTCGGTACAACTCCCATCGATGCTGCTTTATTGGAACGATTTGAAAAGTTGACTGGACGTAAACCTCATATCTTTTTACGAAGAGGCACTTTCTTCTCACATAGGTAATCATCAAAAAAAAAAAAAAGCATTCATTAACAAAAAAAAAAAATTGTATAGAGAATTGAGTCGTATTTTGGATCGATATGAACAAAAGAAACCTTTTTATTTATATACTGGTCGTGGTCCTTCTAATTCATCTATGCATCTTGGTCATATGATTCCTTTTGTCTTTTGTCAGTAAGTTTTAATGAATCAAGCAATACACAATGATTTCTCATTTTTTTTTTTAATATTATAGATGGTTGCAAGATGTATTTGATGTTCCTATTGTGATTCAAATTACGGATGATGAAAAGTTCTTGTTCAAATCCAAACTTACTATTGAACAATGTCATCAATTTGGTTTTGAAAATGTAAAGGATATCATTGCCTGTGGATTCAAGCCCGAAAAAACCTTCATCTTTTCTAATCTTGATTATGTTGGGTAAGATAAATAGGATGGAGAAAGGATGAATCATTTACTTTTTTTTTTATTATTATTATATAGCGGTCCCTTTTATCACAATGTGATTCGTATTTCTAGTTGTATTACTTCCAATCAATCAAAGGCCACTTTTGGATTCAATGATAGGTAAATTGATTATATATATATACATATGATTATCATTAAACAATTTTTTTTTTTGATATAAAATAGTGATAGTATTGGTAAATTACACTTTGTCGCTGTTCAAGCAGCTCCTTCATTCTCCAACTCGTTCCCTCAAATCTTTGGTACCAAGAAGGATATCCCTTGTTTGATTCCATGTGCTATTGATCAAGATCCTTATTTCCGATTGACGCGTGATGTAGCCAAACGTTTGAAGTATCCTAAACCAAGTTTGATTCATGCCAAGTTCTTCCCTGCCTTACAAGGTTCTCAAACCAAGATGAGTTCTTCCGTGGATAGTTCAGCTATTTTCATGTCTGATACTCCCAATCAAATCAAGAACAAAGTAAAAAAAAAAAAAAAAATTTAAAAATAAAAATAATTGGAAGAACTCATCTTTTTTTTTTTTTTTTTTGATAGATCAATAAATATGCATTCTCTGGTGGCGGTGCTACTTTAGAAGAACATAAAGCTAATGGTGGTAATCCTGATGTGGATGTTGCTTATCAATACTTGAGTTTCTTTTTGGAAGATGATGAAGAATTAGAACGTATCTATAAGGTAAAGCATAAAGAAGAAAAAGTGATAGAATATTTATATATTTTTCTATAGGCTTACAAATCTGGTGAAATGATGACTGGTGAACTCAAGAAACGTTGTATTGAAGAACTTCAAAAGGTCGTAGGCGGTTTCCAAGAAAGAAAAAAGTCCGTGACTGATGAAACTGTGAAATACTTTATGGATGGATCAAGAAAGATCGATCCTTCTTATTAGATTCAGTGCATTTAGTTTAACAAATTGTAAATTTTATTGTACTTTTTTTTTTTGTTGCTACAGTTTATTTTGGAACTCCGGTTTCTGCTCAATAAAACTTTCTTTCTTGTTCTTTTCTTTCCTTTTTTTTTTTTTTGATTTATATTCATACTATTCGATATGTCTTCCGCCGATCATATAGCCCTATCTGATGACGATGATGACGATGTCGTATTCAGAGACTTCCGCAACATCAATAATCGATTTCAACAACGACTTTTGGAAGCACAGCATGCAGCCACGGAAAAACAAATTGAAGATCAATTGGTAAGTTTTCTTTATATATAGAAATACAATATACTTATCATTATTTTGGTGACGCGTATACAATATTTTTGAACAATTAGGACTTGATGGAAAAGGATTTGGGACCACAAGATATTCAACGAGAATGTCATACTATTCAATCCAAAATAGACAAAGTGGAAGCTGAAGTGGATGCTCTGAAACAACAACTCTCCAATTGGCAAGCTAAAAGAAAGGAACAAGCTAGTCTGACCAATATGACACCTGAAGAACGAGCAAACAAAATAGAGCAACAGCGACAACGACATGAAAGCATCGTTATAGATCAAGCTGATTTGGATTCCATTTTGTAAGGGATATATTGTAAAAAAAAAAAAAAAAAAAAGAAAACTGATTTATATTCTATATATATATTTATAGTGATTACTTGTCTGAAATAGGACAATCTTATAGCAATGCGGCAGGATTGAAACCACATCGTGCGGCCAGAACAAATAACAATGAAATGACGATGCAAGCTCTACAAAGTCCGGATGTACTAGAACAAGTGGATTTTACTCATATAGAATTCACCACAGTGGAAAACAAATTTTATGAAGATCAATCAATTGAAGATGTGACGGACAGCGGAAATCTAGTGGATCGATCATATAGAGATTGTACTTTAGAAGGCAAATCTTATAACTCTTCGTTCAAGGTGACTTTTCGTATTGATGCATTACTTGATGTGAATCGATTGGATTTTGATCTAGATATGGATTTACATGTGGATGCTGGACCTATTTTATTACGGTAAAGATGAATACAATAACTATTTTTAGTAGTTATCTAATGTTTGTTGGATAGGATCAAAGAAGAATGCAATTTGTTGATGTTATTTCGCTTGATATCTCATCATTCTCGACTGGATTATGATAAGAAACGGACATTTGATTATTTGACTTCCCATTACAAGGAAAAAGAATCTGGAGTGACGACGACTACTGAAGGAACTCATAGCATTATTTTTTCGTCAAGGTAAGCTGATGGAAAAATAAAGATGAAAAAAAAAAAAGATATTGATAAATAATTGTTGAAAATAGAGCGGATTTACCACAATTGAACCTTACTTGGACTTATAATACAACGGATTATACTACGAAAACGGATTTAGATGTCAATATATGTGAACAAGTACTACCTTCTATTCGACTTGACGTTGTATCTTCATGTAAGTTATGATTATTCATTTTATATATATATATATATATATATATATTTTACTTATCTTGATGTATTAGGGAAATCTGAAAAGTTTGATCAAGTGATGAAACAAGTACCAGGAAAATTCGATGAACTTGCTGCAGAACATGGTGTAATTAGTGCTACTCAAATCTTGGTTGGTGTTATTTTGGAAGAACCACTACTACGACGAAATGATGATAAACCCTTAGTTTAATATATATATATTCAATAAATTCATGCATACCACAAAATGGAAGAAATTTGGTTATTGTGACGTTTGTTTCGGATAGTGAATTTTGAAATGGGGGGAAGTTATTTTATCATTTTCTTTGTCGATTTTTTTTTTTTTCTTAACTTTTTTTTTTTTACTTTTTATTCATATACATATCAAAAATGGATTTTCAAAACCGAGTAGGTAGTAAACATCGAGGTGGTGGTATGGCCAGTCAATCAGAATCCAATGTTGACCGACGAGAACGACTACGAAAGTTAGCGATGGAAACAATCGACATTAACAAAGATCCATACTTTATGAAGAATCATCTTGGGTCTTACGAATGTAAATTATGTTTGACACTACACAGCAATGAAGGATCTTATTTGGCACACACACAAGGTAAAAAGCATCAAACGAATCTTGCTCGTCGAGCCGCCAAAGAAGCTCGTGAATCAGCACCATTCCAACCCCCCGTCGGTCCACCCAAACCTGTTACTACGACAAAACGAGCAGCTGTGATCAAGATTGGTCGACCTGGTTATCGTATTACCAAGATCCGTGATCCCACCACTCGACAATTAGGCATGCTTTTCCAAATCCAATACCCACAAATTGCTCATGATGTGATTCCTCGTCATCGATTCATGTCCGCCTATGAACAACATATTGAAACACCCAACAAAAGTCATCAGTATCTCTTGATTGCCGCTGAACCTTATGAAACCATCGCTTTCAAAATCCAATCAAAGGAAATAGACAGAAGCCCCGGGAGATTTTGGACGCATTGGGATCAAGATGGAAAACAATTCTCTTTACAATTCTTTTTTAAACACAACGTCGCCATGTTTGAAGGTGTAGGTGCGCCTGTGGATACTGCCATCGCTGCTCAATAGGATAAGCAATAGATTGGATTTCTTTTTTTTTTATTTATTCAAATCAATCACAACTATCCATGTCTTTTTTTTAAGTACATCCTTCTTCTTTTAGTTATTCATATAGTTCCTTGTTGATTATTTATTTTATACATATTTTTCTCACACCATGTACAGTCCTTAATTTTTTTTTTTTTCAATAAACTTTTGACTCGGCGACGTTTGAAATCAAATTTTTGCCTTCTAAAAAAAAAAAGAAATCTGACTCGGCGATGCGTGATCATTTTCTTCCTTCTTTGTTCTACTTGGAATATGCAACATTCAACAAATATGAAAAAACTATAAAAGAGCCCACTCTTTTTTTTATATATTTATTTATTTATTCTTTTTTTTTTTTTTTTACAACTCAACATGCTATCCGATCAAGATCAAACTTTTATCAAGCAAAAACAAGCATTAAGCCAAGGCATTGCAGTCGCTAGCCAATTGGTAGTTGAACGAGCACAAGGATGTACAATTACTATGACCAATAAAGAGGTGTATCTCGACATGACTTCTGGAATAGGGGTACTAAATACCGGACATTGTCATCCAAAAGTGGTGGAAGCGGTTGAAAAGCAAGCAAGGACCATGGCACATGCTCAAATCAACATGTTTTATCATACTCCTCTCTTGACCTTGATGGATCGATTACGTCGTTATACTGCTCCTTTGGATACTTTTTGTTTCAATAATTCTGGTTCGGAAGCGGTGGAATCTGCCATCAAACTAGCTCGTCATGCTACCAAGAAACAAAACGTGATTGTTTTCAATGGAGGTCATCATGGAAGGTAAAATTTTAAACAACTATTTTTAGGGATGTTCATTTTTTTTTTTTTTTTGGGATAGAACGTTTGGTGCTATGGCTTTAACAGGATCAAAAACAGTGTTTAGTGCTGGATTTGGTCCTTTGATGTCCGGTATCTATTATGTTGATTATCCTTATTCTTTTCGTTGTTCTGCAGCTATGTTTGAAGGTCATACTTCTGATCATTGTGTACAAGAAACCATCCGACAACTCTCCACCTTGTTGAAACAACGTTGTCATCCTAATGATACGGCAGCTATTTTAGTGGAACCTGTTCTTGGTGAAGGTGGTTATGTCCCTGCTCCGAAAGGTATGCTCTTTTTTTTTTTTTTTATTATTATTATTTCTCATCTTTTCTCTATATTAGGATTCTTCCAAGCATTGCGTTCCTTTTGTGATCAACATGATATTTTATTGATTGCTGATGAAGTTCAATCTGGATTTGGTCGTACTGGTAAAATGTTTGCTATAGAACATTTTGATGTTTGTCCTGACATTCTGGTGATGGCAAAAGGGATTGCTTCTGGTTATCCTTTATCTGCTATTGTGTCTCGCAAGTCATTGATGGACAAGCTACCTAGTAATTCGATGGGAGGAACCTATGTGGGAAATTGTGTCTCTTGCGCTGCAGCCTTGGCTACATTAGACGTGTTTGAAAAAGAACAGATTTTACATAATGTTCAACAACGATCTATGCAAGCTTTTGATTATCTTCACAAACAATTGGATGCATTGGATTTACCTGATGCGCTTTTACCCTTGGATATCCGTGGTCTTGGCTTGATGATTGGTATTGAATTCGGTGGGCAAAGGGTACCTACAGGATTCGCAACAAAGGTTGTCCAGCATTGCCGTGAACATGAACATCTCTTACTCTTGACTGCTTCTATTTATGAAACCATCCGCATCATCCCTCCTCTTGTCGTGGATGCTGATACCTTGGAAGACGCCCTTCAACGTTTGGTCAGAAGTATTCAATATGTAGCCACTGATATGAAGAACCAAGGCCTTTTTTAGTGAAAAAAAAAAAGTAGTATCCCTTATTTTAGTATCTATTGAAAATAAAGTTTTTATTTGAGAAATCAATGGTGTTACATTATCAATGGGTATAGATTAGAACATAAAGCAAAAAAAAAAAAGTACGATCCAAATTAGGAAGGTGAATTTCCCTTTTTTTTTTTTTTTTTTTTTTTTTGGTGGGAGAGATCGTTTAGGATGAGTGAAATGTGTGAGTACATGTCGTAATAAGCGCCTCATCATATCTATTTCTATCGTGATCTGATCATTCTTCTCCGTTGTTTTTTTTCTTTTCTTCTTTGTTTGTGATATTCATTTTGATGTGATAGGCCATCATTGAAAATTGACCTGCCGCCATAAGCACTTTCCTTTTGAGGAAATGGAAAAAGAGTGAACAGAGATGTTATAATCCATCAATATCATCAACATCAATCAAAGGAAGAAGAAGAAAAAAAAAATTTTTTAAAAAAAAAACAAAAAACAAAACAAAACATGAGGACAGTAGAAGATGATTCATCAATATGCATTCTTTTGAAGATTTTTGAAGGAGGTTTATTTTTATACACACAAAAAAAAATATTAAGGGGTGGGATATACAAAAAAAAAAAAAAATGATATGGTAATAATAAAACTAATCAAAAAATCTATTGCCCTATTTGATTGCATCAGCAGCTTTTAACATGGTAGGTTCATCCTTACGAAGATATTTTCGGATCCATAGAATATACCACAAAGTAAATAAAAAGACCAAGACACCAATGGCGGATAGACTTGAATTGCTAAGGATGACCACAGTATCCAGTTCAAACTGTAAGATATAAAACAACTTGAGTCCAAATTCCAACTCCAATATGACAATATCAATGGCGGTAAGGATACGTAAATGGGTCCGAAAAAAGGATGAATGATGCCAATAAAATAATATCCGTTCTTGAGATTTCTTTTCAGGATCTTGGAATTCAACAGGTCGTAAAGGGATCAGGTCTCTTGCTAAATAATATAATACTGGTTTCATAACAAAGTTCCGTATTCGAATGGGTATTAATGTGATGGCACATACTATGCCTACACCAGCCGTTCTAAAATAAAATAATAAATAGGATTATTTTTTTTTTTTTTTGGATAATAACTTACACAAAGGATTCACGTAATAATAATAATTTGGGATCACCATTTGTAGATGCCAAAATGACAGATAATATAAATCCTAATGAAAAGATAAATGTCACTTTTTTCTTTTTGTTCCCCCCCTAGGCCCTTTTTTTTTTCCACTACACGTTTGATCATTCTCTCCCTCTTTTTTTTTTTTTATTGCCTCCTCTTTTTTTTTCATCATCATTATCATTCATTCCATTATTAATTACCAAATATAACAGCAATACCAAAGGAATCAACACGACTATAAAGAAATCAAAGATCATTCAACATGCAAAGAGATGATCAAAATAACCCCCTTTTCTTTTGATGTAAATCCTTACCGCATAAAAAGAGCTTGAACAATGACAGACAAAATAGTAGGTGTACTTGATAAAACCAAGGCCCAAACAGCAGCAATATGTTGTTTCAAAATGTAATATAAAGCAATAGGAATAGCTGCATTCATAATAATCATATAGCTGATCCTCCGAATCATCAATTTCCGTCGTTGTTTTCTTGCAAAGATCGTGTTGGTATCTGAGAGATCATCGTCTTCTTTTTCTTCATCGTCGTCATGGTTATTTTTAAGTGATGGCTGTTCATTGAATGTATTACTATGAATGGTGGATTCAATTGTCTCTTCGAAATCAATCGATACTTCTTCGTTTTCTGGTTGTTGGTCTAATTCTTTTTCCGTTTGCTGTTCAATGTCATTCAAGTTGTTGGAGATTACAACATGACTGCCGTTACAGGTGGTATGTTCAGTCATAAAAGTAAAAAAAAAAAAAAAAAAAAAATTGGAGAGTGTAAGATAGAATTATAGTCTAAAGTAATTTATTGTACATATATAGAGAAAAAAAAAAAGAGAGGAGGAAAAAAAATCAAAAAGAAAAAGAAAAAGAAAAAAGGTAAGAGTAGTTTAATATAAATAAAAAAGAAAAAAAGAAGAATAGATAAAAAAGAAAAAAAAAAAAAAGAGAGGAGAAAAAAAAAAAGGAAGGAATGTTGTCACTTTTGGTAAGGAAAATTTGATCGCCAGCTTATCCTATAACTTTGAAACGTCTCTACCAAATAGAAACGCACTAAACCAATACATAGGAATAAGCATCTTGTTACGAGCACTGACAGTCATGCTCAAGTAAGCAGATCTAAAATAATAATAATGATAAAATAAATCATACAAAATCTTTTTTTTTTTTTTTTTTACCTCCAAAATAACCAAGCCAAAAACCCACCTTCTGTGGCTCCTTCATGAACAGCTGACATATCTACCACTGCTTTCCAAGATCCAATATATGCCTAAATAAAAATAAATAAGTATCATAATAATTTTTTCATTATTATTATTACCATCGAACCCATATTCTTGAAACTAAATCCTTGATCAGTTGGTTTTCCTTTGACTTCATTATTCAACGCTATTAATAAAAAAAATGATCAATATGTAATTCTATTTTGATTTCAATTTTTTTTACTTTTGCTCAAATAGATTGCTTTTTGATTGGCCACCTAAAAAAAAAAATGGATTAAAAAACATCTGCACTCCTATTTTGTTTTTCTTTTTTTTAATGACGTACTTGAGCTGTAGCTGGTAAATCCTGATTAAGAATGGTAGCACAATCACCTAACGCATACCTATTTGATAATAATAAATAAACAATATTAATGCATGCCTATTTGCCAATATAATACTTACACATTGGAATATGGTTCCTTTTTTTCATCGTCCAACACTTGTAAATGTTCATTCGTTAATATTCTAATGATATAAATAAATATATAAATAAAGAATGATGAATACTTTTCATTTCTATATTTACCTATGACTACGTTCATCTTTGGCAATATCTTTTAACGATTCTACCAATGGATTAGCACTTAATCCGGTTGACCAAATAAGCATGCCATATGGTACTAAAAAAAAAAAAAAAAGAAGAGGAAAGGATTGAGATGTGAACAAATCATTCCTTTTTTTTTCCTTACCTTTTCCTTCTTCTTTGAGTTCTACATAATCCTTTTCCACTCGTACTACATGAGTCCCAGTTTTAATTTGAATGCCGCGTCTGGTAAACTTTTTAGTTGCATAATCCGCCAATTTAGAATCAAATGTATTGAGGATACTTGGTGCTACATCATACACCGTCATTCTTGTATGGTCCATTAGTTGAGGGTAAAGTCGAGATAAATCTTCAGAAATAAAGTCGTAAAGTTCAGAAGAGAATTCAACTCCCTATTATAAATAAAAAAAAAAAGTTAGTTTCGTTGGTCAATAATACCTTAGTTTATCTGAATACCCACCGTCGCACCCCCACCTATTATCGCAAAATGAAGTTTAGCTGCTTTTTCTTGATCGGATACGCCTGGCTGAGCAGCATATTCAAAACCTACACATAAAAAAAAGAAAAGAATTTAATTCTATTTTCAATATCTTGATGATAATCCAACTTACATTCGAGAACTCGATTACGAATCTTTTTAGCATCAGAAATATCCTTCAAGAAGATACCATGCTCCTTGACTCCTGGAGTGTTGAAAGTATTAGCATAAGCACCAACACTAATCACTAACTTATCATAATCCAATTCGAATTCTTGTCCTTTGTCTACATAAAAAAAAAAAAAAAAAAAAAAGATGAATTTTTTACATTTCATTGATTGAATCAGATGAACCTACTATCTTCCAAGTTGGAGGTACAGCGAATCACTTGACGTTTCAAATCTACCCCATCTACCCAAGCTTGATGATAATCGATATCCTTTGAATAGCCTCGGACTGGTTCAACAATACCTCTGAATTCCAAAGTACCTAATAAAAAAGATTTAATACCGTTAGTTTTCTTTTTTTTTTTTTATTGATCGTAAAGGATATCTTACCGACTGCCGTACTAAACGCGTTCAATTGCATACGGTATAAATATTGTAAAGAGTTAGTCTCTCTTTTTATTGATCAACATCCATCTTCCTACCTAGCTAATAAAGGTGTAAACACAAAATGGTTTCTAAAAAAACTAATTTGTCAATATAACAGTATGTCAAGTGTTTTTGTTTTCTTTGCTTACCTTGGAGATACGACAGTGACTTCATAATCCTTCTTGTTGAGCTTTCGTAAAAGTTGATATCCTATATGTTTTGGTGAGTGAGTTGTCCGATATGTATTTCAAGTCTGCTTACCAGCCCATCCAGAACCTAAAGAAAACAAAAAAAAGGAATATTTTTTTAATAAATAAGTATTGAATTTCTTTTTCATTAGTAGTTCATTCCTACCAAGAATGATCACTCGTCCATGTGATTTTCCCAATGTCTTGGTTTTTGACTTTGACAAATGACCAAAGTAACCTAATGAATATATGAACAAATGAAAGAATTAATCTTTTTTGGTCAGTATATGTTATAATAGAGTAGGGCATATTTTTTTTTTTTTTGGGACTTACGTGTAAGTGGCGATGAAGTGCTTGTCTTCACAAGAGAAGATCCTAATGAAATAGTAACATGACTTTAGGAAAATGATAGAAAATAGAATTTGTGTGACTTACCAGTAAGTGCTTTCAACATAGTTTTGTTTTTTGTTTTTTCTAACGTGAGAAAATAAATAAAAAGTAAAAAAAAAAAAAATCAAAAAAGATATATATAAAAAAAAAAAACGTTGAACAGGAAAGAATAAATGTGAACCCGTTTTTTTCATGCCAGGGTAGAAAGAGCCTGGTTGCTGAATTCGGAAATCCGTTCCCTTCCGCTTCTTCCGAAAAAACAGCATTCTTTTTTTTTTAATTTACTCAATAAATATAAATTCAATAAAGTAAAGTGAAAGAAAATGGTTTGTTTTTTTTTTATGTTACCTCCAAATAGGATGTGTTGATGATTTATGAGTGAGAAAAGTTTGCTCTCAAGCTTGTCGTATATGCAGAATGTGAAATTTACACTCAAATATTGGAACTCCTCAGCCAAATTTTGGCTGTAAAAATATCAATTGTCAAGAGGATCATGAAAAAAATGGATAAAATAGTAATCATTGTACGTTGGGTGGTAAGATAAAGCAATAAAATAGGATTAGATGATATTATACTATCTTTTTTTTTTTTTTTTTTTTTTTTGGAGAGGAATCCAATGATGGCAATTTTATTGGGTGATGACGAAAATTGGATGAGGGATGACGATATTGACATTTTTAATTTACCCTTATGAGATAAGGTATATAGTTATCATTAAGCCAAGTGGAAGAGAATATTTTTTTTTTTGTTTTTGTATGTTCAGTTCAAATTTGATATGATGATCTTTGAACGAATTCTACTAGTATAAAGAAATCCAATTTCTCTCCCGCCACGTGCTGTTACGATACAACGACAATGGTTCGCACGTTGAATGAACTAAAATCAGTAAATTTACCAAAAGAGGAAAAAAGGAATGGCTAGATGAAGAAATGACAAAGATGATGATTCAGATGAACATCCCCACTAACACAATATACAAATCGATCTATTGTAGTGTATGATGTGATTTGTTATTTTTGCTATTATTCCTATTCTTCTCCTTATGATTATTCCTTTTATAGATATTTTTTACTTTCTTTCAATAAAACCTATACATTTGTAGTTAGCATTATCTTTATTAAACTTCAAAAATGATGCTAAGAGGCTGATCCTCCTCAATCACCAATAAAATTAAATTTTTCAATTTAGTTTCAATCAAATACATCCTTCCCATATCAACAAAAAAAAAAAAAAAAGGTCAACATTATCTATAAGAAATTGACATGAATATTTGATTTTATTTCAACAAAATACAGTACCTAAAGTTTTTGATCTAACAGTAATGATGGATGGAATATGTGACTTTCCTATTATCCGAGCGTTAAAGGGTTCTGACATTTGATTTGCCTTCATCAATGAAATTTCCTAATACAGCCCTAGATGCGAACTTAAAAAAAAAACAATGTTTTTGGTTCTTATCATAGAAATATGGAAACTATCATCATCATTGTCACCATCATCATTATCTTCTCGATCATCATTCTCTGAATTCATCATCTTCGGAATCATATGATCAAAAATTTTTCGTCTTTGAGAGATCATCTTGAAAGAAAAAAAAAATTTTTTTTTGTTAGTGTACTAAATGATGGAGATCGTCATTGTACAAATCATGATTGGCGCATAAATTTCTTTTTTTTTTTAAGGGTGCAAAGTTGTGAAATTTCCAAAAAATAATAATAATTAAAGTCAGCCAATCAAATTCAAACATGCCTTTCTTGTTCTTCCAACTCAATTTTTTTTTTTTGTTCACTTCTTCTTTGTACTCCCTCTTAAAAATAAGACAAGCTGGGTTTTACATCTTAACAAGTTGTATTTCCTTGGTACCAAGAACGATTTAAAAGTAGAATCCAATGAACTCACTTTATTTGTTTTTTTGTTTAGTAGACAACGTATTAGAAATGAAATGAGATCAACTATGAATGCCAAGAAATGTAGTTTAGACTCTTGACATGTACTTGTACATTCTTCGTTAGTACCTTATCTTAGCTTTTTGATATCCAGTCTGGACTCTTTCTCTCTTTTTTTTTCTTTTGGTGAAGAACTTCTCGGATGAATGTCCATGAATAGAATGAGGCTTTGTAGTTGACCGTTTTGTATATTCCGTATACTCCTACAAAATAAAGTTGACTTACGTGGATTACTTATTAGTTTTTTTTATTATTGTTCGTGTACATGATGTTATCTTGATTTAAGATGTGTATTACAAAATTATGGTGTGGGACAGTACTATTATTATTAATAATAATAATAAGGATGACGATGACAATGATCCTATTGTTTCAAAAAAAAAAAAAGTGTGTCAAATGATAAGATAATAGTAGTATTTGATAATGAAGTATATGAAATTTTATTTGAGTGAATCAAAAAATAAAAAATAAAAGTGTTTACATAGATATAGGTGCAGATTTTGATAATGAGAAGATGACTATTGCTAAAAGAGACAGAGTAATAATAATAATAATAATATAAAAAAAAAGAAATAATAATAATAACAAAAAAAAAAATCACTAGGCAGCAGCAGCAAGAGCAACGACCTTAGATTCAGGTTCCTTATCACTGTTCAGAGAAAAGTCTTCAGTAGCAGCATCCACCACCATTTCAGCAATAGCCAAAGAAGAAGTACAAGCAGGAGTAGGAGCATTGCGTACACAGAGAATACGACCATCCATCACATTACGTTCCAAAATAAAATCACTAGCAGCAATACCACCAGATTCAAAGACTTGAGACATCACACCAGCAAAACTTTCTTCTACCATATCTTCGGTCAATCCAGGAACATAAGCTTGAGCAGCACGAAGGAAAGCCTTTTTGTTCAAATCCTTGTATAATTCACCAATAGATAAAGAAGGGTTTTTCAAAGCAAAGAACCAAAGATTGAGATTGGTCAAAGAATCAAACAAATCTCTGAAACTAATATCAGTGAATCCATAACCTTCTCTTGAGAAAGTCAAACAAGCACCAGGACCAACAATCATTTGAATACCACGACGAGTATTCACAGTAGGAGTAAAATGAACACCAACAGGGATACCACCACCACTTGGGACTGGATAGATGTTCATACGACAGATACCTCGATATTCAGGTTTCAATTGATAATAGGTTCCACGGAAGGTCACCACCTTGGATTTACCAGCATCACCTCCAGCAAGTCCGGCAACACGGTCAGCATAGAATCCAGGACAAGTGATCACATTCTTGGCAGATACTTTGAGAGTGGGACCCTTTTGATTAGGTTCTGCACCCCAGATCTCCACACGTCCATCAGGTCGTTGTTCAAACTTTTGAGCTTCAAAGGCTAGCTTGATTTCAGCTCGACTAAAAAACAATAAAGATAATAAAGTAAACCAAAAAAGGTGAAGAACGTGATTAATAGATTATTCATAGTTGGAAGATAAAAAAAAAAATGATGAATAACGAATTAATGAATTGATTAGGAGAAGTGTCTTTTTTTTTTTTTTTTGAAACTTACCCAGTTTGGACAATTTCATTCGCAATACATTGGGCCACTAAACCATAATCAACAATACCAGTATTTGGAGAATATAGTGCAGAATAGGCAACCACATTAGGTTCTAATTGACGAATCTAAATTGAATAAACAAAATATCGTAAGTCATCATGCAACCCGTCTCTAACTTTCTTCACTATTTATAGATCGTCATACAAAAAAAAAAAAACAAATAATGAAGAGATCTGCAAGATCACACATTATTTTGTTCTGTACCCCAAACTTGATTCCGCTTTTTCCTATCTTACCTCATCACTATTCAAAATTTGAAGGTCTTTGACACCATTAAGAGTACCAGTTTCCAATAATTTTTCTACGGTCTTGTGTTCCTTTTCGTTCACAGCCACAATCAGCTTGCCACATCGTTCCACAGGTAATTGATTTTGTTTACAGTATTCATACATTAAATCAGCTCCACGGACACAAGTTTTTGCCATTTGAGATCCAGGTTTGTAATAGATACCAGCATGGATAACACCACTGTTATGACCAGTTTGATGAGCAGCCACTTCACGTTCTTTTTCCAATACAGCTACAGTCATAGTAGGGAAACGTTTTAATAATTCACGAGCAGTTGCCAAACCAATGATACCACCACCAACTATTATAAATAAAAAAAATAAAAGAGTGTGAGTGATGATAATATTTTTTTTTCATTTTTTTTTTTTTGCATACCAATCACCACATCAAAATCAGTTTTTCCATTATGTTGAGCCAAAGCAGTACGGAACCGTTGTTCAGCAGCAAAACCACGTAATTTTGCAAGACCTTCATTTACAGGGAGATTTTCACCAGGAAGAGATTCCCAAAAGGAGAGTTTTTGATTGGATTCAGCATGAACCTTGTTCTTATCACCATAGTTTGCCATATAAAGACCACTTGCTGTGACAGCCATAGCACCCATAGTCCATTGGACTCGACTTCTTTGAAGAACCTTGAATGATCGATGGAACATGATAATAATATGATATTAATTTAAAAAGAAGATTTTGAATAATAAAGAAAAGAAAAAAAAAAGAAAAGAAAGAGAAAAAAAGAAAAAGAAAAATTTGGAGTGAAATATATGCCAAATGTCCGGAGTTTAAAGCCGTCGTTCGGTCCCCTTTCCAGTTCATTATTATTCATTCATCAAAAGGTTAAGAGAAAAAAAAAAGGCTCCTTATCATGCAAGAAGGGGCTATGGAAGAGAAACCTATTTTGTTTCTTTTTTCCTTTTCGATTGCTGACTTGTGTACTGAAAAGAAAAAAAACAAACTTTTTTTAACATTTAATCCGATACTTCAATCCTTCCCGTTCCCCTTTCTCTCTCTCTCTCTCTCTCTCTCTTTTCTTTTTTCTACACGTTTTATCTACATAATATAGTTAAATTATCCTGTTGTCATATCATTCATATAAAGATCATCATAAAGTCCCCTTTATTTTCCCTTTTTTCTCTCTTCCCCCCTTATCATTCTCCTTATTCTATGAATTTGCCAAGAAACATAAATCATAAAGTTATTGTCAATTATCAAAAAAGGTAAAATCAGGATCATCCGTTTATTATAATTGACTAATACTACATAAACAATTTTTTTTTTTAAATATCTAATCTAATTTGGGAAATAAATATGACTATTACAACTAACTACTTTCGGAGAGCATCATTCAATCCTTTCTTGTTTCTAGCAATTTCAATAGCATAGAACTATCAAATAAAAATATAATAATTTGTCAATAATAACACTAAAAATAATCCTATCTATCTACATTTGTATTTTCTTTACCTGCATGCGGACACCTGCATAAGTCGTAAAGAAAGAAAAAAACAAAAGAAGTTTGAAATGAGCGAACATTCTTTTTTTTTTTTTTTTTTTTTTTTTTTTTTTTTTTTTTTTTTGCTCCCTTTTCTTACCAAACATTGTGTTTTGTTCTGTGTAATCATCCCGGGCATCCACACGAATAAGAGATCCAAAGTTAAACTCCTTCACTCGTTTTTCATACTTGTTGATCCAAAGACGCCATTTTTCCTTAGCTTCTGGAGATTTGAATAAATTTTCGTTCAAGTGTAATACATCGATTTCCGGGAAACTTTCTTCAAAATCCTGGTAAATTTCATCATCAATGCTATCAAAAAAAAAAAAAATAATAAGGAATATTAATAATTGTCACCCCAAAAGAAACACAGGAAAGAATGATGAGATCACGTTTTTGGTTCATATGCAAACACAAAGTCTTATCTTTAATCTTACCTTGTGAGACGAAGTTTACTACCATCCATACGGGAGATCAAGTTGAAATATGTTTCGGCGTGATGCATAGCCTATTTTCCAAAAATAAGTAGTTAGTTATCCATTGGATTCATATTCACAATGAGACATCATGTAACACATATTGTACAGATCAGCACAGCACAACACGTACGCCTCATTCCTTTTCTCTTGTAAATATCAATTGCATGCATATTTCTGACATAAATAAAAAAAAAAAAAGGAAAGTATAGTCAATAAGTATACCGTTCTTTTGTAAATAATAATAAACATCATTCTTTCTTTTTTTATTCTAAATATATTTTATATCTTACTTTTTTTAGATCCTTGCCTTGACAGCCCATTGCTTTTCTATATTGATGTAGAGAATAAAGAAAAAAAAAAAAAGGTCAATCTTTAAGTAAAGGAAGAGAGATCGTCACACACACACAAGCCAATCTATCACACTCTCATAAGATTTCACTTTTTTCTTCTTTTTTTTTTTTTGAAAAGAGAATAGATAGAAGGGGTTTATAATCAATGTTTTCTTTTTTTCTTTACCAATATCTTCAAGTTGTTCTAATTCGTCGGCGGTAGGTAAAGGCATACTAATCAAATGGATAAAGAAGAAAAAAAGAGAGAGGGGAAGAGAGAAAAACAAAAAAAAAAAAAAACTTCAAACGTTCAGTCGGCATTTCAAAACTAGTCCTTTTTTTTTTGTTCCATTTCTTTTGTTGCGAAACTTTCTTGTCTCCTGCCTTCCCTTTTTTTTTATTGTTATTTCTTGTTCTATATCCTTTTGAACTAAAACTTTTATACCAATGGACCATCCACATGTAGAAACAACACCATCCCATTCAACAACTTCTAGTGAGAAAGATACATCAAGTATGGAACAACCTGATATTCAAAACGCAAATAGTTTCAATGATAATGATAGTAATATTAGTAGCCAACAATATGAAGATAGTGACTATGACGATGAATCTAGTTATGGTGAAGAAGAATCAGATGATGGTAATGACTTGGAAGATGAACCGAAACTTAGATATCGTCGTGTTGGTGCAAGTGTACGTGATTTATTGGATCGAGATACTGCTTCTACTTTGAAAGTATCTGACAAATTTGTGGTAAATAAAATAAAATAAAACTAATGAAAATATATATATATATATATATATATATATATATATGGATTTGGTTGAATAAAATTTAATTTCTTTTTTTTTAATATTATAAAGACACTTGGAACTCATTGGGGTGCTGTTCATATCTTGGATTTTGAAGGTCATTTGGTGAAAAGTTTTCAACAACATACTGCTACTGTCAACGATATCTCCATTGATGCTTCTGAAGAATATATTGCTAGTGCTTCTGATGATGGTAAAAAATATATATAAAAATGATAGATTTTTAATCGTTACTGAACTTTTTTTTTTTTAATAGGTAAAGTATATATTTATGCACTCTATACTCCAGAAATCCAACATTTTGACTACCGACGACCGGTGAAATCAGTGGCTATTGATCCTGATTATGCTCATAAGAAAACAAGACAGTTTGTATCCGGTGGTATGGCAGAACAATTGATCATGAATGAAAAAGGTTGGCTTGGTCATCAGAATACAGTGTTACATGCGAATGAAGGTCCTATTTATTCAATTCAATGGAAAAATAACTTTATTGCTTGGGCTAATGATACGGGTGTCAAAGTATATGATACCATTTCCAATTTACGTATTACCTATATTGATCGTCCTGCTGGAAGTCCTCGAGCTGATCTATATAAATGCCGTTTAGTCTGGAAAAATGATACCACGCTTATGATTGGATGGGCTGATACTGTCAAGGTGGCTGTTATCAAGGTAAATTAAAATAATAATAATAATAATAATAAAAATGACGATTTTTTTTTTTAATTTGATATTGATCCCATTTTATAGGAAAAACCAAAACAATTACAAACACAAGGACAACCTTCACATTATATGGAAATTGTTACCATGTTCCAAACTGAATATATTATCAGCGGGATATCACCCTTCAATGATACTATTCTGATATTGGCTTACATGCTGGATGAAGATGATACGTCATTGATGGAAGATGATACTCAACAAAACGACACCAATCATCAACGAAGAAGACTTGCCTCACGACCAGAATTACACATTATTGATCCTCAACTGGACAATGAAGAAATATCAGCAGATGTATTAGCACTCAATGGATATGAACATTATCAACCCAATGATTATGTCTTAGGTTTTTTAGCAGAGGAAGATATGTTTTATGTGATGGGACCTAAAGATTTGATTGTGGCAAGACCGCGTGATGTGGATGATCATATTGAATGGCTTATGGAACATGAGAAATATGGTGAAGCTTTGGAGGCTGCACAACAAGCTGCTGCAACAGCTCAACAAAATTCCGTAGATATCTCTAGCATTAGTCGATTCAATGTTTACGATATTGGTGAAACTTATCTCAATTGGCTTATCAAGGAACGACAATTTGAAACGGCAGCAAAGGAATGTAGAAATGTGCTTGGCAAGGATAAATCTTTATGGGAAGATTGGGTTTTTCGTTTTATTGAAATGAGTGAACTAAAAGTAAGATGAACTTTATATATATATATATATATAAACGAGGAAGGAAATAATATACATTTAATCATTATTAATCTATCTTTTATTATTATTATTATAGGCCATTGCACCTTATATACCCACCAAGGATCCTCAACTTGGAAGTACTTTGTATGAAATTGTTTTGGCTTGGTATATGAAAACAGATCAAAAGGTAAATATGAATATATATATATATATATATAGAGAGAGAGATATAATTGTTTTAAATCATTCTTTATTATTATTGTAGGTATTACTGGAAACTATTCATCGTTGGCCCCGTGAACTTTATAATCTATCCAATATCATTGTTGCTGTTGAAGATTATTTGTCTAAAGATCAAAACAATGAAATCTTATTGGAATGTTTGGCTGATCTGTAAGAAGAAGAAAAAAAAATAAATTGAAGAAAGAGGATAGATATATCTTACACTATTTTTATTAGATATACTTACAATAATCAACCAGACAAGGCCATTGAATATAACTTGCGATTACGTCGTCCTAATGCTTTTGAACTTATTCAAGAATACAATATGTTTGATGCCGTCAAAGATAAGGCGGTGCTTTTGATGGAATTCGATCAACATTTGATAAAGAAACAAGACTCATCAGCAAAACCAAACTCAATGCCAGCCGTCCAACTCTTGGTGAAAAACACAGAAGCAATGCAGGTATAGTCATATAAAAAAAAAATAGGTTTATAGTTATGAGATTTTATGATTCTTTTTTTTTCTTCTTGGTTTTTACTCACGGATTCTTTATAGCCAGCCAAGATTGTTCGTCAACTCCGGTCTTATCCTGAATTCCTTTACATTTATTTGGATGCTTTGTTTGAACGTGATCATCATATTGGTTATGAATTCCATGATATTCAGGTAAAGATGAATAAGGGATCATATACTTTTTATTTTTTTCTTATCTTTTTTTTTTTTTCTGGTAGGTTGAACTCTATGCAGAATATGATTATAGCAAGTTATTGAATTTTCTTCGGACAAGTCATTATATTTCATTGGAAAAGGTAACACATCATTTCCCTTAAGAAGAAAACGTCATCTGAACTCATCTAAACTATTCTTGTTTTGTGGAACCATAGGCCTATCATATCTGTGAAAAGAAAGATTTGGTACCTGAAATGGTGTTTATCTTGGGTCGTATGGGTAACAACAAGAAAGCACTGATGCTTATCATCAATCGATTGGGGGATGTTCAACGAGCTATTGATTTTGCAAAAGAACAAAAAGATGACGATCTTTGGGAAGATTTATTAACCTATTCTATGGACAAACCATGTATGTAAAAAAAAAAAAAATGACGATCAAGGGTGGGAAAAAAAAAGGAGAATGATTGATTTTAATTTGTTACTAATTCTTCATCCTTCTTTCCTATCGGGGGAATCACATAGTATTTATTCGAGGATTACTTGAAAATGTAGGAACTGATATTGAACCATTACGTTTAATCAAACGTATTCCTGATGAATTGGAGATTCCTGGTTTGAAAGAGGCATTACTTAAAATCCTTCAAGATTATAATTTACAGGTAATATATATATATATAAGAAATAGGATATCATTCATTCATTCGTTTTGTATATTAGATGTCACTTCATCAAGGATGTGAAAAGATCTTGGTCAGTGATAGTGTCTTCTTGGCAGATCGAATGTACAAGACACAAAAACGAGGCATCAACTGTCAACGTAAGTTTTTTTTTTTTTTTAAAAAAAAAGAAGTATAAATTATTTATTTTGACATGGCTTATAATTATATTATAGAATCCATGGTATGTAATCTATGTGAAAATCCTGTATTCGATAATGACAATCTGGATGTCTTTCCCAATACGGTGATCTTCTTTTGTCGACATGCATATCACGAACAATGCTTATTGGAAAAGGAGGACTCGGTCATGACAGAAGAAAACAGTTTGGCGACGGCAATGGCGACTCATCCAGGATTATTGACAAGTAAAGTGAATCATGCAACATTGATGAAATCAGCAAATCGAATGGTATGTCCTCTTTGTCAAGAACATGTAGCTGGTGGCAATGCCTTTGTGAATAGGATGAAATCTCAACGCATTCAACCTAGATTTGGAAATAGCAACAAATCTTCACCTTCAGAACGCAGTCTTGGACCTGTAGTTTATTAGTTCCTTTATTACTTTAATAAAATACGTTTTTCTTTTTTATTATTCCAGAAAAAACGAAAATAAGATTAGACTATCGGGGTGAACAAAACCTTTTTTTCTCTAGATCTCCGCGAACATTCCTGTTTTGGGGAGTGTCAACACTATATATATATATCACACGAAATGATTCTTTTTTTTTTTTTTTATCTTTTGTTTTTTTTCAATTGATTGTAGAATGCCTAAAGTGATCATTGTTGGTGGAGGATGTTTTGGATTATCAACAGCCTATGCACTTTCATTGAAATCAGAATATGAAGTATGGGTATTTGATAGACAATCTATCCCATCACCAGATGCTGCTTCTACTGGTAAACCAAAAAAAAAAAAAAAAGAGTGTCATGATTTTGTTTTTTTTTTTTAAATTTTTTTTTTTAATTTTATAATAGATATCAACAAGATCATGCGATTTGATTATGGCGATGATATAACTTATATGCATTTGATGATGGAGGCATTACCTTATTGGCATCAATACAATAAAGAAAGAGCAGAACAAGGTGAATCACCCGTATTTCATGAAACAGGTGTATTGATGATGAGTCGTCATGGTGAATACTCGGATTTCGAAAAGAAGAGTCTAAGGAATATCCGACAAGCTGGGTATGGACATTGTATTGAAGAACTTGATGGAGAAGCCATCATTAAAAGATATCCTCAATTTAAAACAGCAGTACATCATGGATTTAACATTGCTTATTTAAACAAAGCTGGTGGTAAAAAAAAAAAAAAAAAAAAAAAAAAAAAAGGAAAAAAAACGTGGAACGAATCAATTTGACTTTTTCCATATATAGGATGGTGTAACTCTGCTGAAGCTGTGAAACATATGCACCAAAAATGCTTACAACAAGGTGTTCGATTTGTGATTGGTGGAGATCAAGGAACTTTATCTTCATTGTATTGTCCAAACAACAATAAGACAGAAGGCATTGTGACCATGGATGGGAAAATTCATAAAGCAGATAAAGTGGTATTAGCCACAGGTTCCTGGACTCCGGGTGTGGTGGAGATGGAAAATCAAATCATTGCTACTGGTCAAGCCGTGATTCAATTTAAACCTTATGGTGATTTACGTGATCAATTCGATCAAAATTGTCCTGTTTGGTGTGCTGATTTATCTAAAACTGGTACCAAAAAAAAAAAAAAAAGAAAGATCAAATTAAAAAAATTTTTTTTTTTCATATATAGGATTTTATGGATTTCCTATTAATGCTGATGGGAAAATGAAAATAGGGATTCATAATAGTGGATATCTTTGGCCAAGAAAACATGATAATGTATCCATTCCTCGTACTCAAGTGGCTTTTGAATGTGATACCATTCCACTATCAGCTTTAAGAGAATTTCGTCGATTTTTGGCCAACTTTATACCTGGTACTTCCTGTATGGATATTGCTTACTCTCGTCTTTGCTGGTAAAACCATCGTCATCATCATCGTCTTGTTTTTGCATATCCAATATATATATATTTTTTTTCTTATTCTAGGTATTGTGACTCTATTGATGGTGATTTTCTTATCAGTCAACATCCCAAATATTCAAATCTTATAATAGCAGCTGGGGATTCTGGTCATGGTATGAAGTAAGTATTCATCATCGATCTATTTCTTTTTTTTTTTTTTTTTTTTTTGTTGTTGTTGTTGTCGTGAACTTACCGTTTCTTCCATATAAAGATTCCTTCCCAATATAGGTTTCCAGGTGAGAAATGTGATTGAGGATATATCCACGGATTATACTAGAAAATGGGCTTGGAGGAACATGGATGTAGCCAATACAAAACTTGACGGACTTCGTCAAGGATCTGCTGTGAATCGTGGCATTCTTTTAGGTCATGATGAAAATATGCGATTTGCCTCACCGGATGAATTGACAGCAGCAACAGCACACTTGTAATTTGATTGTATATTTTTTTTTTATATATATATTTTAACAAACAAACCACTCAATAAAAAGAAAAAAAAGAAAAAAGAAAGTATACATGAATGTATATTATAAAACATTTTATTTTATTCTTGGAATTGCTAATAACAATGAATAAATCGAAGATATAAAAAAAAAAAGAGAATGCAACGATATGTAATATTGAGTGTGAATAAAGTGTAGGAAATGGGGAATAATTGTCTAATAACCACAACTAACTAATCTATGACAACAAAAAGCTTTCTTTTCCTTCAGACATGGCTGTTTGTAATCGTTTCAACATCGTAGCCTTATCAGAATAATCAGGCATTTTGAAGTAGTTGGCGCATGTCATCACTGATGGTAAATAATCATTGGCTGATAAAGGTGGTTCTGACATTTTACGAACAACAGTAAATGGCGGTCGTAGTGCTTTCCATCCTAATATATATATATAGAAAAGTGAGTGTGAGTGAATCCATTTCATTCAAAAAAAAGATGACTTACCACCAATAGGTAGACGTGGACTTCCAGTAGTAAATTGTAAGAAATCCCGGCGTCCCTGATGATCCAATTCTGATAAAATTTCCAAAAGATGTTGCATGGCAGTGCTATCCATTGTAAATCCATGATCTGCCTTGATAGTGTCCATCAATGCTACAAATAAAAAAAAAATTCATTATAAGTATTCATCCTTTCTTGATATTTATTACAATTCAACACACTTACTAGTAAGAGACCAATCCTCATCAGAAGTACCAAATAACGATACCAATTCATCACATGTCAGAATTTTCAAATCATTGATAGGGAATGATTCACTAAACCCAGTACGGAAAGCATCAATTTGTTTGGAGACACCAGATCCAACAGTAGCGTCCACAAGAAGATCTACATAATTTGCCAAGTTATGAATAGTGACTGGAATCTTATCACCTTCATCCTAAAAAAAAAAAAAAAAAGAACAATGTCAGTGGTTAGCTTTCCAAATCAGTTCACCTCTTTATTCATATATTGATTTCTACTTTTACCTTCAAATGAATATTGGATCCAGGGAGTGTATATGAGAGGCACAAATCATCCAAAGTGATTCCATCCACCTCGATTGTTTCGATTGCTTCCTGTTTCTGCTGAGATGACTATATAAAAATAAGAGAAGGATGAGATAAATGACATCATTACAAATAAATCACTTTACCAATGAAGAATCAGCATAAATCATTTGTTTGCGTTTCAAAAACTTTTCAAGTAAATCAATTGAATTTCCAAGAGTAGGGTCTACTTGCTAATGTACGAAAAAAAAAAAATCAGTCAATATTTATATTCAAACTTGACAAAGCAGATTTCACTTCTTTTTTTTTTTTGGTTTTTTCTTACGCGGATAAGATCAATCGCTCTCAAGTGGTTGTTAAACACCAAGTGGAAGAAAGCCAAACTGAAGGGTATATCGATGATCCTGAAATCCAGCATTGCTTTGGCAACAAAGCGACCTAATGTCTTGAATAATGTTGTAATACGACGGACTGTCTTGTTATGAATTCGACCCACATCCAAAAGAGGTCGAGGGAATAAACCACGCGGAGCACAAACATACCGAGTAGCGGAATCATCATCATCGTTATCTTCATGTTCATTCTTCTCATGGCCAGTTTGTTTGGAAGAATGGTAGCTATCGTCATCATCACGCCATAATCCAAGAGACTTTTTGCAGAATGCCTTGGATGCCAAAGCATAAAATTCTAATGTTGGTCCCAATCCAGTACCTTCTTCGTCCACAAATTCAATTTCTAACGATGCGTCCGAGGTAGCAAAGAGTTCCAGCATCTTGACTGCCGATTCCAGTATTTGATTTCGCATCATCCGTACTTTTTGTCGCTCTAGTTGTCCTAGTGTCATGGATTGTTGCTGATGTGAATCATCCAATGTACCACCTCGAGCACCTTGATGTTGTTGATTGCGCATTTGTAAACTTTGCCATCGGGAGATCAATCTTGAGTAACCGTAGGATGTGCATTGAATATAAAGATATCGAGTTTCAAACGGGAACAAAAATGGAGTGTCACGAAGTAATCGATGGATCCATTCCGGGAGACAGTCACTGGCCACGATCAGAGGTTCTTCCAATTGTCGATTTACTTTGGCTGTCAATTTTCGTCCAAAGAATAGGTTCCGTAGATTGGGTTGATCGTCACCGTTGTAAAGTTGATAAATTACCTTCAAGAGCCGACGAACATTGTCGCATATTTGATTATTGGCAGAAGATTCGTCAGATTGAGAAGATTGCGTAGAGAAGGAAGGAGACGAAGATTTTGTTACTAGCCTTTGGTTTTGCTTGTCATCATCATCTTTAACAATATCTTCATCGCCATTTTTCTTGCCATCATCGTGAGTCCATACAAGTTTGTAACTTATCGGATAAGAACTGATCCAAATATTGCGAGTTGGAGGAGGACTATCCAATTGGCGTTGTTGTATTTCTTCTTTATGAATTGCACCATAAATAGTCATATCATTGTTGATTGTATTTGATTTCGTTGAGAAGATAATACGCCAACGACCCTTATTTGATACCGATGTTGATCCTGATGCTTCTACTGAGTTATCCGTGTCGTTATTGCTATCACCACCACTTTCATTTTTCAGTGATTCCTGTTAAAAAAAAAAAAAAAAAAAAAGAGCATAATGAGTATCTTGTCAGAAGATACCGTCGCATGTAAATACTTTTTTTTTAAGTTTACCTCGCTGTCTTGTGATTCATCCAGATCCATTTCATCCACTTTTTCAACTTGATTTTCTTGTTCACTAGGTTCATCAACAGAACGTGATCCGGTCGAGGCAACGGAATTATCGCGTATTGTGTTGTCAATATCATTATCCTGTTGTATCAGTTGATCCAATGAAGGTCTTGAGGAAGTCTCATTCAGTGTTGGTCTATCATGATGTCTTGCTGTAATAATTTCGTCGCCACCATTATCGGATGTACCGTCTTCATCTAATCCACCATCTGAATGAGTAACTCGCGAAAGAAGATATTCCTCAATGACACGGAAAGTGGCTACTGCATGAGTTGATACCATAAGGTGTTGATGATCAATAGGAATGTTGGATCCAATGCCTGTGAGCCTAAGTCGTATTTGTTTTGCGAGCATGCTTGAAGGATTGCGTAATCCATCATTTGATGTCATATCCAGAGGAGTCACTACTTGATACTGTTCAAATCGTGCCAAAAGTTCTTGAAGTCGAATAATAAGCATCGAAATAATATCATTGCCATCACCACTATCACCACCACCAGTAGTCATTGTTGTTGTAGCGGAATTACCAATAATATATTTGAAGAGAGCTTGTCGTTCAGATAAACTTGATTTGAGATTATCATCATCCACCTTAGTTTGAGTGACATTATCCGCTGTCGTTAAATATTCCAAGAGAGCATCCATCAAACCAGAAGCACGTAGTTCATAACTACTAATTCCAACAGAACAGCTTTTATAATAATCCAGAAGTGCGTCTAATCCATGTTTCGCCATACTAACATCATTCAAACCAGCCTTGATTTGTTGTGACACTTGACGTAAAGTTTCCAATCCAAGATCAGTCAAAGTATCGTCGTCATTATGATCCAATTCCGCGATGGATGATTCAATTGTAGATACTGCATGTTCTGTTTGGGAAGAGTTCTTCAATTTCAATCGATCTTGATATGTCTTGAGGATGTAATTTGCTAATTGAATGATATACTTTCTGGTAGAACCTTGTCCAATACCTTTTTCAGTGTCTGCAGATAATTGTTGTTGTTGTTGCTGCTGCTGCTGTAATAATCCCATTCGACTACGAAGTAAGGCTGGTAAATCTTCTCGATTGAATAGACGACGTCTAGCAGATTGCAATTTTTCTTCCAGAGACCTCAACTCTTCCTGTTGTTGGCTAATAATATCGTTTTGTGATGTATTGTCTGTCGTTGTCTTGTTTTCTATCTGAGTTGATGTACCATTGGAAGGTCCATCATTGAAATCATTGGATCCGTCTGTGCTATATTCCTTTACACGGACAGATGTTGATGTAGGTGATGCTGTATCATTGTTGTCATCCTGTTTCGCTTCACCAGCCGTGGACATTTCAGAATTTTCACCTGGAGTGGAACTGACTAACCTTGTCTTAGAAACATCATTATCATTCTTGGTGGTATCACAGGAATGATCAGCAGCGGTTGCATCTTCTTTGTCAGATAGAGGTGTGTTGGCCAACGATTTGATTTCATGGATAACTCCTTCATGTTGGAACAGGAAAACATAAATATCGGGTAATTTTTCAATCAACATTTCCGCCATATACAGTGTATCAGTCACAAGGATAGGATGTTCTTGTTGTGTGAGTATGCTTGCCAAAAAACCAGATAATCCAATATTGTTGAGGACTTTACGTAATTCATCTGCTTCAGAAAAGTGGATCAATTTGACCAAAATATGTGTCACTAACTGTCGAACCCGAATATTCACCATAGATGTATGCATTTCCAATAAAAGAGGAATTAACAATGAATTGATATAGTGTAATATTGTATTGTCTTTTCTAAACATAACAGCACGCAAGTCGTTTTTATGGTTGTTATTGCTGCTGTTGTTACTGTCATCATCCTCATCTTTGGTTGATCCATCACGCAGTTTGTTTCTATCGAGATCCTTGAATCGTCTTGAGCTGAATTTGTCGTCTAAAAAAAAAAAAAAAAAAGTAAAAATAAAATCAGTCATTAGGTTTCATTGATAATTTATTCTATTATATTTACCTTTTGGAAGAGGTGGAAGACTATCTATGATAATCTTCAATATAGTATAAACAGAATCGCGCCACTTGTGATCCATATTCACTTCGGGTAAACTGGATGAAGCATGATCATATTGCGGAATATCAGTTGATCCGGTCAGTACCTTGTAAAAGATATCCACTATATTCAGCTTTAATAGTTCACAACAGAGAGAAGGAGAACTTTTGACAATAGCACGTAATATTCGTAGTAGATCCATAAAAGTTGAAGGCCGAGCAGCATTTGGATTTCCAGGAATAGGTATTAAATCAATGATAGCTTTGAGAAGTTCTACAGAAACTGCCTTTTCAATGAGATCTCGACGAGGTCTATAATTTTCAGTGATACGTAACCAACAAAGACATGATAATTCCACCAAAGTTCGATCAGAATAAGTGATTGTATTCATCAATGTTGGAATGACTTCCAATACTTGTGAGAAGTTATCCTTGTCAACGCACCGCATACAGTTTGCCGCAGTTCTTAAAGCTGTTCGTTGAGAGTGTATACTGAAGAAGTCAAAATACATCAGGACAGCCGAAAGTCCACCTTCATGAATGACAGCTCTTGGTAGCTGAGATGCAATTTTTTCGAGAGCCTTAAAAATATTGTAATAAAAAAAAAAAATAAGAGTAAGAACGAGATTCTATTATATTTTTTTTTTCTTCTTTAAACTTACAGTGAGAGCTTGTTCCGCCAAATCAATATATTCAATAGATTTAAGTTTTTGACATAATACTTTTGTAGCTCCTTGATAGACTACATTAGTGACAGCAGTAGGCATAGCATCCATAAGATTTGAGAGACATCGACAAGCTAAAAGCATGATTTCAGGATTTCCACCACCAAAACCTCCAGCCATAGCCAGAGCAAGCATTGTATCTTCATCCATATCCAATCCAGGAGGAATATCATCATCAGTACCTTGTTCAGATCCTTTCATAATTCGCACCAATTCCTTGACAAAACTGTCAGTTGCAAAGTATCCTGCTAAAGTTTCTTCATTGCTAACAGATAGTATTTCTGCCAGTTCTTGTAGAGTGACTAGTTGTATAGTAGGATCATTTTGAGTCTTCAAATTGTTCAAGATAGAGCGTAATTGAGAGTTCATTTCTGACATGGTACCACCAAACATTCGTTGAAGTTGTTGATCAAATTTACGTCGGACACGTTCCATTTCTTGTATATCATCCATATCATCATCTTCATCATTGTCGTCATTATCATCATCATTTTCATCATCATTATTATTACTGTTGTTATCATTTTCTTCATCATCATCATCATCGTCATCATCATCATCATCAAATTGTTCTAATTTTTGACCTTGATAATGATGTTCAGTGTTGGAAGTCGTATCAAGGTCATCATTATCTTCCAAATCCTTGTGCTGTTCATGATTGTTCTTTTCATCATTCCAATTAACATAATCCATAGAATCTTCATCGTCATCATTTTGATCAGTACAAAACTTATTCACATTGCGGTTATCACCAATAAGATCAAAATATGAAAGGACAGAATTCACCACTTGATTTCCATCATCGGATAAACCTTCAGGATCGGGTTGTTTTTTTGCTTTTCGATAAGATAGCTTGGCATCCCTGATAAAGAAAAGAAAGTGAATTAAGTATCTATTTTTTAAATATAAACATTCAAAAAAATAAAGAAAAAGAAAAAGAAACTTACTTTGTGTTGTCTTCATTATCTTGTCTTGCTTTTGCTTTTCCTTTCTTTAACCTTGATTTTTCTTCTAAAGATCCACGATGATCAGAATTTGACCTTTGATTTGACTTTCTTCCATTTGAATATTTTGCATCGGGGTATTCCATATTGTCCAGTTTCTTGAGGTTAGACTTGTTTGAGTATCAAAAGTGATATACTAAATTAAAAAGATATATATTTAGTTAAAATAGATAAAATCTTTTAAATGCTTACCTTTGACCGTTTTTATAATGGTTTTACAAAAGAAGAATAAAACTATTCAATAAAAGAGTTTTGATGAATAGTTTTAACAAAAGTGAAAGTGATATATGATAGTAGTAGAAGAAGAAAAAAATAAAAATAAAGAAGAAGAAGAGGAAGAATAGAAAAAAAAAAGAAGGAAGAAGAATTAAAAAAATAAGGCAAACAGATAACCACAGAAAAAAAAAAAAGAAGAAAAAGAAAAGAAAAAGAAAAGAAAAAGAAAGAAAGAAAGAAAAAAAAGGAGAGAGAGTAAAACGCAGCAGAACAATTTTTCCTGCTCTGCCCAATCCGAAAACCATATTTCTTCTCCGATCAAATTCACAATATGTTAAAAAATATTATCTAGTTTAGATGCTGTTAATTCTTTTTATTATTTTTAATTCTAATCTATAAGGAATTCTTCTATCTGTCCACGTAAACGTTGTTCCCTTTCTTGATCATAAACACTTTCTACAATAAATCTTGGTAATGTTTCAATAGTCTTGACTTTATAATCCTTGACGTTCACTTGACAACTATAACACAAATATGCATTTAAATCCACATTATGTTCAGAAGAAGAACATCCTTCATTGCATCCACCACCACAACATTCATTATCTTCTTCTTGTTGATCCACCTTTGTCACTGTAATATGTTTTCTCCATTCAGGAATATTTGATTCGTATGGCCTAAATAAAATAAGTAAATATATATTATGAATTCTTTTTTTTTTTTTTTGACTTACATTTGACAAATAGCACATTTTTTACTATAATCGATATTACTATGTGGTGTAAGTTTAGATGCTGTTCTTGATATAGTACTAACTGTAGATGGAAAATCTCGATCAAGTCCAACAATAAAATCTATCCAAATAAAATAAATAAATAAATAAATAAATAATTTCAATAAATAATACTATATATATACCTTCTGTCAATCGTTCAATAGAACTTTTTGGTGCATTATATGTTCCAAAGTTGAAAGGTGTTGTGACATCATGATCAATACCATGTAATCTATTATATATTCCCATTTCCTTTGCAAGCATATCCTTCATTGGTCTTAAGATCACTACATCCTTAAAGCATGAATCCACTTCCATACCGACATCCATTGGTATACTATATCCACGTCCATTGCTAATCTTTGATATCATTTTAATTGCCTGTCGTGTTGATGAATCAGCCATAAAGATATAATCGCATCTATAATAAATAAATATAAAAATATTACATATTGCCTAAATGATAATATAAGTCAACTTACTGTTCCCGTTTGGCAATAGTCAAAAGCATGGCAAACTTGATATTCCAATAAAGATCTTCTTTGGCTGTATTTTTGTTGATGTTATTGAAAAGTGTTTTGAGACGTTCACCATTGGTAATTTGAGTAGATTCTGTTGATTCTTGTCCGAGTTGTACGATATATTCTAAAAAAAAGGTATGATATTAATTAAAATCATGAATGAATAATAATTTTCTATTAGATCATAATAACTGATAATGATTTTTACCATGTTCACTATTGCCACCTGGCACATTCTTAAAACACTTATCAAAATTAGGATTAGAGTAAAAGTCTTTGCTGAAAATGTCTTCCATAGGCTGACTAATATAGGATAATTGTGGATACTTGCTTTTCACCATTGCTTCTAATTTTTCTGCTGACCCTTTCTATATATATATATATATATATATATAATAACATTAAATATAATTTCTATTTTTTTAATTTTTATTTATTTACCTGTTGTTCAAATAAAGTAGACTCATCCAAATGGCATACAACAGCTGAAGGTACCATGGCAATCTTTCTCTTTTCAGTTGGGTTGACGATCATAAAGGAGCTGGTAAGATGAAGCATAGCACTATAAATAAGTGAGCATTAGTAAGAATATCTAAACAAAGAATTATAAAAACAAATCTTACATTGATGAAGGACCACCAGAGCAAGCTAGTAGTACTTTTCCTTTTTTACGACCAATTGCTTTAGACCGATTCAAATTAGATCTGTATTTTCCAACAAAGGTATATACAAAGCATTTACTATTGAAGAAAAAAAAAAAAAAGGAATCATTAATACCCTAACAAAATAAATAAATCATCGTAAAACTTACTTGCAATAAAAAGTATGACGGAGACGAACTGTGGAGAGCTCAGTTTTGCATTTACAACAGGGTTCGTTCTTCATGATATACTGACAAAAGTAAAGAAGTAAAAAAAAAAAAAAAAAAAAAAAATGAAAGCTTGATATCAGCCACCTCCACTCAAAACGACTCAAAAAGCAGCGGTATTTTAAAAGGTATCTTGCACACCAACTGTTGAAAACCATAAAAATCAGTAACAAGGTTAAGGATGGATGTTTGATTAATGAATAATGATAATTGCAGCTGGATTGAAAATAATTGATGACAATCTATATTGATAATGATGCTAGAGAGAGAGATCTAGAACACTTCTTCTCATCAAGTAGAAAGTGAAATCTTCTCTCTCTACAATGAAATTAAATCACATGACTTTTCACAATCAATCCAACTCATTATAGAATATCTTAATATAATGTCTCTCATATCATCCTCTGCCCTCCTTCAACAAACAATCATCTATCAACAATCATAGACAATTGACATATAATCATCGATTTCATCTGGATTGTATTGAGTCGAAACCCATCGGTAGTTCCCGAGTACAAACATGAGAGTAGAAGTGGCACGTGCCGGCTTACCGACGTTCTTCAATTAGATTAAGTTGATGTTATGTAACAGACCATATTTGTTAAATTGTACTTGAGCTATTGAGAATACTGGTTCTTTCTGTTCGCTTGATGGGCGGCAAGATTTTTTTTTAACGTGCAAATAAAAAAAATCTAATGAATACTGTAACGGCACACATGAATTATTTTTATGACCCACGCCAAATGGTTTCTGGCACAGACCAACCGTTTTTCTAGCACACGCAGATGATTTTTGACACACGGATGTAACTACCTTGCGACAAATGTAATGGATAATGAGACATTTTAATGCTTTGCTTAAAGTGAGAATTTCATGCACCTGCTCTCGTTTGGACATCATCTTTTAAAATTTCTATGATAAAGTCAACAATCCATCATCATCATCATCGTCGTTATGATTAATCATCATTCTAATTGTTTTTGGTGGTGTCTTGAATATTGGAGTTCAAAGTGTTTAGGAAATGACTATGCCTAAAGGGTAAATTATTTTCCAATCCCGAAGAAAGGGAAAAATAAATGGAGTCCATATAAAAAATGACAGTTTCTACCTTGAATCTTTTTTTTTTTCCTTTTCAACTTTATCAGAAAAGTTTAATTTACTTCTAAACAAAGAAAAACCACAATGTCTTACTCTACTGCTTGTTGTTCTATTCCTCCAGTTTCTTCAAACTATGAAGCTATTGGTGTCATGGAAAACGTTGGTGATTTGGAAGTTTATACCGTTGGTCCTGCTGTAAATAACATGTGGTCATCTTGGAAACAAACCGCTCATCATATGACTTTTCTTCTTCTTTTTCTTTTTATTTTTTTTATCTCCATGTAGGATGCCAAGAAAGCCATTGTAGTCATGTATGATATCTTTGGTTTACAGTAAGTAGTAAATAAGGTAGACAAGTTATCTCTTCTGATATGTCTTCATCTTCTTAATTCATAGTCCCAATACAAAACAGTTTGCTGATCTTCTTGCCAAGTATTGTAAATACAAGGTAGTCATGCCTCACTTTTTCAAAGGACATGACTGTACAATGGAAATTCTTCAAGATAGACCTCGTTTGATGGAATGGATTGGTAAATATGGATCTATCGAAGTGGTAAGTGTGCAATATGTCGCGTACATAAAAAGTTGAAACCTAAAATAAACCTATTAACAACTGATGATCTCTGTTACGCCTTTTTTTTTTCCCATATTAGATTACTCCTCAACTCAATAGCGTGGTAGAATGGTTGCGATCCAGTGGTATTCATATTGGTGGTATTGTTGGGCTTTGCTGGGGTGCTAAGGTAAATATTATTTACAAGTAAGAAAAAAGGAACTGACTTGTTTTATAAACATGATAGATTGCTGCTCAATATTCTGCTATTGATTCCCCTCGTTTCTTTGCTGGTATTGTCATGATTCATCCTTCTTTTGTTGACAACAAGGATGCTGAAGTTGCAAGTGCTCCTGTTCTTGCTCTTCCTTCCAAGGATGAACCTGATATGGTATACCAAAAAAAAAAAGTTGATATGAGTGTAGTAGTTGTACTGATGAATCATGTTGATTTTATGATAGACTGAATATATGGATATCCTCTACAAGAAACCTTTTGGCAAACTCTGCAAGCATCACCGATTTGATGGTAACCAAAGGAAAAAAAAAAGGAATACTTTTATCTTATTAACCTGTTTCATCACTTTTTTTTTTATTATTATTTTTCTTTTAGATATGGTCCACGGTTTTGTTGGTGCTCGTGGTGATTATACTGATGAATTGAACCGCAAACGTTCTACTGAAGCTATTCAATTGACCGTCAACTTCTTCAATGAATGCATCTCTACCGCTACCCCAACTCTTTAGGTGATTATCTTTTTGTAATTTGTATTTTTTTTTAATAAATGTATTTTTTTTATTATTTGTTCCTTCAAAAAAAAAAAAAGATTGATCTTTATCTGATCAAATATAAAACTGAATACGTGGGGTTCTTTGATATTATTGTTTATTAAAATAAAAAGGGAATGTTTTCAAATAATGTAAGATAAAGAAAAAAGAAACACTACTATGAATGGGCTAAGGAGACGTAAATGTACATTTTTTCGGTATATAATCTAAAAAAAAAAAAAAAAGAGAAGGGGAGGAATGGGTATGTATTTCAATTTATCGTCTCAGTTTCTTGTTCCTTTGATATGCGATCCGAATAACAAAGCAAATCACCGCGAAACTGATACAAAGAAGTCCTAATAGAGTAACTTGGCCTTCATTCAGTCCGTCATCATTAGGCAACAATAATTCAGAGTCAACTTTCTCTTCTTCTTGTTCTTGTCGTTCTTGTTGTGGGGTCAAGACATCATAAGCAAATTCATCCTTTTCAGTTGGTATCCATGAATATGATTGATAGGGTGGTCCGTTGGCTGCATAATCCCATTTTGGTTCCATCATACAAGAATTGTCCACTAAAAATCGATCCTCCTTTTGTGAATTGTTTGATTTGATATTTTTGTTGTTGTGTCTTTCATCCCAAGTAGTTACCATGTGTCGACAAATAGAACACCAACTAACTCTATAATCATGCGCTGTCTGATCGCTCCAAAGCGAGATAAAAGAGGAGTCCAGCCGATCCTTAGGTGGTTTGATTAATGCGTCCTTTCTATATTTCAGGTAAGCGAGATAGGCATCATCATTTTCATCTAAAAATCGTATATATTTTGCCAAATCGCGAGGATCAGGATAAGCATCCATTCTAATAGCAGATCGTTGATTGGGTAAATAGCCATCATAAGAATTTGGTCCATCTACAATTGGTACCGCAGAGAATTTCAAGGTATCCATGAGTTTTTCCGTCACTATAAAAGAAGTATATTTGATGGTATTTTTAGGTTTAAAATTTAGTATTTTTCAATTCCATTTTTTTTTTTTTTTTTTTTTTTTTTTACCATAATCATCACAATTTGCATTTTCAATAGCTAGATAGAACTTGTATTCGGCCATCAATTGTTCACGAGTCTTGTCAGGTGGAAAAGGTTTTGTATTCAAACAGTCTCCATAAGAATCGATGTTGATATATTTCATAAGTTCACTGATATACTTTTCCCGTCCACTAGAAGCATGACAATTCTTGGCAATCCACAATATTGGTGCTTGTTTCGATTTCCGCTTCATAAAATCCATAGGTAAGGGTCTATTAGCTACATCCATCACATAAGGGCTAAAGTAAGTGAAGAAGTATTGACTTTTTCGATGATAAGAGGCAAGATAGTCAAATTTTTCCATCATTATTGGATCCTGACGAAAGGGAGCTGTCAATGGGGATTCAAGTGTATACAATATCCATGGCTGACCAGATTCTAAAAAAAAAAAAGTCTATTAAGTATTCCAAAAACCGCATATCCTGTCACACAATTTTTTCTTTATATATATATATATATCACTTACTTCGAGGAACATCACCAAAAGTATAATCAGCAGCATGAAAGGCAATGGCATCAGCTATATCTACATTGGATTGATTAGGACTAATAGTACACCAAGAAGTAGCAGTAGTCATGTTGACTTTGTATCCGTCAGGAATGGCACACTCGTCTTCTATAAATTTATCCTTGCCTAACGATAACACGAATAATAATAATAAAAATAATAAAATAAAGTTTTAATATCATAGAAAGTAAAGATTTTGATCAATTACCATCAAAAATAATTTCATTGAACCATCTTGTCCAATGGACAATGCGAATGGGCGATATTACTGTTTCCATCGCAACGAAAAAAATAGGGAGGCAACAAGTTGAAAAAAAAAAAAAGTTTGATTCACCCATTTTAGGGATTTTGAATTGACTTTTAAAATGATGAACAAAAAGATTTTATCGGAATGCGCGTGCCTTTTCCTTACGTCTTACCTTTTTACCTTACGTCTTCGCTTTTCTTCCCTTTTTTTTTTTTTTTTTTTTTTTTTTTAAAAAAAAACTATAAAAATGGCTAATAATGAAATTCAGCTACTCGGTAATAAAAGTTTATTTATTTATATGTACACTTTCATTAACTTTTATGTTTATAGAAAATGTTGAATTGAAGCTTGCTATGTGTAGCACTGACTCTCAACTTGAGAAGACCATTGGCATCTTTCTACCACCTGTATTATTGAAACTCTCAAGCACAAACGAACAGTCAAGAAAAAAGGTTTGGATTCGATATACTAAATAAAAAGAACTTTATGTTTATTATATTTATATCATGATAGGTTATGGACATCCTTTCGCATATCAATAAGCGCATTAAATCCAACGACAATGTCAAACTTCCTTTTGATTCTCTTCTAGATCAATTCTCAAATAACGATGTCTCCAACTTTGTTAAAAATTTTACTATTATTTATCTGGAAATGTGCGTTAAACGCTTAACACCTGAAGAAACTGCTGTTCATATTCCAAAGTTTTTACAAGGTATTTCTAAGCGTCCTGTATCTCAACGTATTACTCTTCTTCATATGGTTCTTCCGGTAAAGAACAAAAAAAAATAATAATAATAAGAATACTTATATATACTATGTACATTGTCTCAATTACTTATTATTCAACTCGCGTAGGCATTAAAAAAATGGACCTTGGATCCTAGCAAGCAAGCTGAAGCACGCCAGTCTATTTTCCATTTTGATGAATACCCACAAGACGTCACTGTTATACTCAATTTTTTCAAAGATTTGTTACTTTATCAACCTATGACGCCTCGACAAGCTTCAACAGAATCTGAAGAAACCTCTCCTGTATACCCGGGACTTAGTCCACAGGCTGTAGCAGAAGTGACCAATAATGGAAAGATTTCCTGGACATCCACTCGTGTCACTGAAGCAAAAGTAAGAGAATGAAAATAGAGGCTTTTACTATTGAAAGATGGATTTATGCTAATGTCTCTTTCTGATCATCTTTTTTTTTTTTTTTTTTTTTTTTTTTTTTTTGCAGCTTGGTATTATTCATTTTATATTATCAAATGTTTTTACGGATGACGAACGACTTGAATTATTAATTGCTGGTGTTTGTGATGCAAATCATATGGTTGTATCTGCTTGTGAAGACGGAATTCGAAGGTGGACAAATAATGTGGATTTGGAAAACAAAGAGATTATTCAGTCACTTTATACTCTTTATCTTGGAACAAAACCTACCACAAGAGGGGGTAAGTGAAATAATATAATGATAATAAAAAATGAGATATGGGTATCAATTTCTAATTAATTGATGGTTATATATATATATATATATATATCTATTAGATGGTAAAGATGGTCGGGCGCCTGTATCAAGTGCTGTGAAAATACGTATATTGTATTATTTGGGCAAATCCATTGTAGCTACAAACTTCCCCACTCAAATGATTCAAGTAGTATTTGATGGCATATATGGTAGGATGAATACAAAATCAACATGGACAATTATCTCATATTTTATATACATACATACTTATATATAGGTGAATCTTCAAGTCTACGACTCCGTCGATCAACTATGGCTTTTCTTCAATGGTGTGCTCGAATGGTATTATACTTATCCGATTTATTTAATTGTAACAAAAAAAAAGATTTAACTTTTTTTGCATATTTTATATAGTGTGACTCTTCTACACTGGCTCCCGTTGCACCTATTATTGTATCTGGAATGTTAAAATATATTGACCAAAACCCATTTGTATCTGGACATGGTAAGTATTATCTTTGATGTATTGATTCATAACCACTGACTCTTTTCTTTTTCTTTTTTTTATTGTTCAGATGCTGAAAGTATCAAGGGGTACGCCTATGTTGTTTGTGGACTGGTGATTAGAAAAGGTAAAATGCAAAAGAGAGTCAAACAATTGCTGGAAATTGATAAATCATGATAATAATTTACTTTTTTTTTTTATTTTTGTATATTAGTACCGAAAATTGGGTTAGAAGACACACAGATCATCTCATTGTTCTTTGACAATATCGTACTGGAACAACCCAATGTCCGAGTTTATGTGCAAGACGCCTTATCCTCCATGATTGACGTTTATGCTGGATCTGATAGTTCATCTCCTATATATCATGAACTTCAAGACATTATTCTGAAAGCCGTGGAACAGGTACATATTAGAAGAAAATTATATTGGAAATGATAAAAATAACAACAAAACTACTTTGCTTACTCTTTTTTTTTTTTTTTTTTTTTTGGTGGGGAACGATTCTCATAGAACAATGCAAACTCAAGATATATGGCTTTGAAATATGCCAATGGGATCTATCCATTTTCCTTACCTTTTGCTCGCTATGTTTGCTTGCTTGGAACATCATCGAGTATCAACAAATTGGAAGTACATGAAGAAGCAACACGTGGACTACACCCATTTTTACGAGATGTGGCTACTGGATCAATTGGTAGCAAAACCGATATTGTCCCACCTTCAGCATTGCCAACATTTGCGGAAATGGTGAACTATCTTGCGGAACATCGACCTGGAGAACAATACATACAAGAATCTCGAACGCCTGTTATCAAAGGGTACCCAACAGAAGTCTATGCTGAAATTCTAGCCTTTTTACGGATGATTCTTGTTTTGGAAGCGAACCCTGATATTATCCTTATTGATGAATATGTACAAGATAAAGTTGAAAACAGTATGTCTGAAGATCCTATTGCAATGGAAAATGTCAAGCAAATCCTCAAATTATGGTGGAAGGAAGACAGTAGTGAATCAGTAGAAAATGGACGTCGAGCCATTGAAATATGGTTAAACATTGTAGAAAATGCCTTGGATTCAAATCTGAAAGGTAAGGAATAGATACAAAGATAGAAAAGAAAAAAAAAAGAAATCCGTGTTGGTGTTTCCTTTTTTTTTTTGTTTTTTTTTTTTTTTTTGTTTTTCTAATTCTTATTCTACTTGCTTAGATCCTGTATTAACGTCCACTGCTGCCAAATGTTTATTGGAAATGATCTCACTTGGACCATCCTCTATTGCAAATGTATTCAAACCACGTCTGTCTCTCTTCAAGTCATTTACCACATCCAACAAATTGGACACCCGTCTATTAATGTCTCATATTTTTGGTATTATTGCAAGTGACTCTGGTGTTCCTCAACAAGAAGTTGAAGATATCTTATTGGAATTTGGGGATATCCTGGAAGAGCCGGAAACAAAACAGAATGCAGCATTGGATATTGATCGTAAGCATGGTTCTCTACTGGCGATTGGACATCTACTTGGCCGATGTTATTATCGAAAACGTTCTCTACGACCAATGGTTGTAACTAGATGTATCAACTTACTTCTCAAACAATTGGATGGTATTCCCAGCTCTACTTTCTATTTATTGGCCGGTGCAGCATGTCAAGCTCTAGCAGAAATTGGTCGTACTCAATCCTTGGATTTATTATTACAGTTGGATCAACAAAGTGAATCATCCAAGGACGTAGAAATGACGGATGACAACGAATCAGCAACAACGACAAAGATGACCTCTAAAGATGTATTGGACAAACTAGCTCTATTGGCCAAAAGTAGCAAGGACACAAAACTTCAAGAAAATGCAATCTTGGCTTTGGGACATCTCAGCATTCCATTGGTTATAAACTCGGATTCGACTTTGGTAGATACTATTGTCGCAGCTCTTTTTGCAACTGCTGATACAAAGCAAGTGGAACTTTATTTCGCTGGTGGTGAAGCATGGACAGCATTGGCCTTTGGATGGAATTCACAAGCTCTTCAAAAATACAAAGATATTAGTGATATACCTGCATTAGACGATCTTGTCTCTGAGCAAAGTGGAGATCGTTCTGCCGCATTCCAAAATGTGGTAGAAACTATCGTGAAAACCTATGTAACAAGTGATCGCTCTTGGTACCGAAAAGCCGCATGTATATGGTTACTCTCTATTTTGAAATTTGGAAAAGATCAAGATATTATCAAGGTAATTAATACAAGGAGAAAAGAGTCAATTATTAGAATAGATAATGATAATGGTACTAATGAATTTTGTTATAGACCAATCTAGGTGTGATCCATGCATCATTCTCTCGTCTTTTGAGTGATCGTGACGGTAAGTTGTATATATATATATTATGATTCATTTCTAATGTATTCTTTTCTCTTTTTTTTTTCTTTTCTAGATTTTACCCAAGAAGTTGCTTCCAAAGGTCTGGGATTAGTTTATGAATATGGTGATGCCAAGATCAAAGAAGATATGCTTTACTCATTGGTGGGAACATTTACAGAAGGTCGATCAATTCAAGCCCAATCAGTGACAGACAATACGGTATTATTTGAAGAAGGGGCACTCGGTACAACTCCAGATGGCAACTCAATCACCACATACAAAGAACTTTGTTCTCTGGCATCAGAACTCAATCAACCTGATCTTATTTACAAGTTTATGAACCTTGCAAATCATAATGCAATGTGGACTTCAAGACGTGGTGCAGCATTTGGTTTCCAAAACTTGATGGCATTAGCAGAAAAAGAAATGGAACCTTACCTTCCTCGGTTGATTCCCAAATTGTATCGTTATCAATTTGATCCGAACCCGCGTGTCAATCAAAGTATGAAATCTATCTGGCAAAGTTTGGTCAAGGACTCACAAAAGACAGTGGACAAGTATTTCAACGAAATCATCGATGATGTTTTGAAAGGACTTGGCAATCGACAATGGCGAGTACGTGAAGCTTCTTGTGCGGCTGTGACGGACTTGGTTCAAGGACGACAATTAGCACAAATCGAACCCTACTTGGAATCTTTATGGCAAATGTGCTTTAGAGCTTTGGATGATATCAAGGGATCAGTAAGACAAGCTGCCACTCAAACATGTAAGCAACTGACAAAATTGACTGTTCATTATTGTGATCCTGAAGTGGTTTCTCCACAAGATGGTGGCAAGGTGATGGACATTGTGATGCCTTTCCTTTTACATAAAGGAATTGTGTCGGATGCTGAAGATGTGCGCAAGTTTAGTCTGGATGCTGTGCTCAAGGTATGCAAAACTGGTGCTTCTTTACTGAAGAAATATATTCCTGATTTGGTGGATACTCTATTACAATCATTATCGTGTAAGTCAATATACTCACTCTCAAATTGTTTTTATGCCTTTCTTTTTATACTAATTATAACTTGATTATAGCTCTGGAATCTCAAACCATGAATTATCTAAGCTTCCATGTTGAACAATATAATATATCTCAAGAACAGGTAAAAAAAAAAAATATATATATATATATATATATAACAAATAAAGAACCAGATTTAATTTTTTTTATCTTATAAAATATAGTTGGACAATGCTAGATTGAGTGGTGCTAAGAATTCTCCAATGATGGAAGGTATTGAACACTGTGTCAATCAAATAGATGAAGAAGTGATGGCGGAACTGGTACCTCGAATTATTCAAATTGTGAAAAAAGGAACTGGTCTTCCCACTAAGGTAATAACATGAACAAATGCACTCAACGTAGATCATTAAATAATTATTTTTAATTTTTCATAGGCTGGTTGTGCTCGTTTCATTGTGACACTTTGTATGAATCGTCGTGCAATATTTGAACCTCATGCTGATAATTTCTTAAAGGCACTCAGTGGTGCTATCCGATCCAAAAATCCTGTTATCAGAAAGACATTTGCTACAGCCACTGGATATGTATGTCAACTAGCCACTTATGACAGACTGCTCTCCCTAACGAAACATTTGAAGAAACTTTATGTTGAAGAAGAAGGTAAGGCAAATATTTCTGATGAACATCATTACCAATACTTATTCTTTTATGATAGATGAAGATTCTCATGCTGCTGCTGCTGTCACGGCGGTAGAAATTACAAGATTTGCAACAGATAGAATGAACTCTATTGCTTCTGATATAGTCCCGCTCATTTATTTTGGTGAACATGATCCAGATGAACAAATGAAAAAGTTATGGCAAAGCGCTTGGGAAAATTTAACTTCTGGTATAGAATAGAATAGAATTTTTTTTTAAAAAAAAATTGAATTGATACTCATTTTTTTTATTGTTATTATATTAATTAGGTACACGAAGTTTTGTAACATTATATGCTGACGAAATATTACAATTCACCCAACCATTATTGAACTCATCTTCTTGGAAAATCAAACAAACAGCGGCTTTGACTATTGCTGATATGTGCAAATCAGGCGGTAAAGGAATTGAAAAGCATCTAGATAAGCTTATGCCTGTGATGGTATCCACTTTAGCGACAAGATCATGGAATGGAAAAGAAACGGTATTGGATGCCTTTAGTCAACTCTGTGTATCTTCCAAATCCTTCTTTGATGAACCAACGAATCAACCCAGTTTGGCTGATGTGGCAAAGGTAAGACAGAAAAAAAAAAAGAGAGAAATATTGTGTTACTAATGATTTACGTCATATGTTTGTTAGATATTTATTCGTGAATCTAAACGCAACAATCGTGTATATCAACGTCATGCTCTTGTATCACTCGATGTATTTTTGGAGGCATTTAGTGATAAGATTGATATTTTTGGTCAAGTCCAAGATTTTTTGACAGATCTCTGCTGTATGGATGAAGCTGCTGCTATGGAAGAAGATGACGAAGATGACAATACAAAACCTTTGTTACTTATGATCAAAGCCAATGCTTTCAAAGCCTTAACTGCTGGTTATCAACCCAAGGTATACTATGATCAAGGTAAAAATTGGAACAATAATAAAAAAAAAAAAAAAAAGTTATCAAACGAAATGATATTCATTTGTATTACTATTATTATATAGAAAAATATGCGGATACTATCAGTGATACATTGACAACATCATTACAAGGGAATATTTGGAATGTACAACTAGCTATTCTACAAAGTCTTCAAGTGTTTATTGAACATAGCACACCTAGCTCTCTCAACAATACTATATCAAGTAAAATAGTAAAAGCATGTGGGTATTGCCTTGATGATCTCAAATATACTGCTATACGAACGGCCTCTATTGATGTATTGGATATCCTTGTGAATCTTGATATTCGTAAGAAAATAAAATAGAAAAAGAGGTAGAGAGTTATTACTAACTTTTTTTTTTTTGTTTTTTAGTGAATGATGAACTCAAATCTTCTCTACGATCCAAGGTCAATTCAAGCATTCATCGAGAATCCATTGCCCTATTGAAAGAACGATTGCAACAGATTGCACAAAAATTAAATTAAGGTCAAATATATAGTCATTAGTTTGTTTTTTTTTTTTTTTTTTTTTTTTTTTTTTTTTTTTTTTTTTTTTTTTTTTTTTTTTTTTTTATCTGTAGTTTTAGAATATTATAAAATAAAATGAATGTATAAACTTTTGATATCGCGAAAGGTCTCGTTACTGCGCATTGTAGCACTACATGGATGAATTCGAAAGTCTTCCAGAACCAACAGATCTGATTGGTCGACGATATTTCCTAATGTCCGTAATTTTCTTATTTTCTAGACCCTTATTCCTTCTTTTTTTTTTTTTCTTTTTCTTTTTTTCTTTTTTTTTTTTTTTTTAATATTGAAGCAATGTCTGACAGTTTATCTTTATTCTCACTTTCAGGAAAAGTGGCTCTTATTAGTGGATGTACTCGAGGCATCGGGAAGTCCATGACCTTAGGTTTAGCAGAAGCTGGTGCTGGTAAGGTCAACGATACATTTATATGATCCTGTTACTGATTTTTGTTCTTCTATAGATATTGTCCTTTTACAACGCGATATCAACAATACAACGGTATATGATGCAATCAAAGCTTTAGGTCGACAATGTTATATTGTTGCCTATGACTCCAGTGATCCTTCATCTGTCAGGACTGTCATTGATCGTGTTTTACAAGTGGTGCCCACTTTTGATATTTTGGTGAATAATGCTGGCATTACTCGTCGCCATTCGTAAGGAAAAAAAAACAATTGTGATTTTTTTTTATATATTTATTTATTTATTTATTTAGTGCTGACACGTTTCCTGAAGAGGATTGGGATTTGGTACTTCAAGTGAACCTGAAATCAGTATGGCAAGTCAGTCAAGCAGCTGGACGTCATTTTCTTGCTCTCAAGAAACCTGGCAAGATCATCTCTACAGCAAGTTTAATGTCTTATCAAGGTGGTATTCTGACAACAGCCTATGCAGCATCCAAAGGTGGATTGGCGACCATGACCAAAGCTCTAGCAAATGAATGGGCCTCTTCCGGTATTGCCGTCAATGCCATTGCTCCGGGGTATGTAGCTACTGATTTGACTGCTGCTTTAAAATCAAGTGATCGAGAACCAAGTATTAGTTCTCGTATTCCTGCTGGTCGATGGGCAACTCCCGATGATTTCAAGGGTCCAGTAGTCTTTTTGGCTTCGCGTGCAAGTGATTATGTCCATGGGGAACTTTTGGTGGTGGATGGTGGTTGGATGGGTAAGTTTATAAAGGATAATAATAATAAAAAAAAAATCATAAAGAGGACAATGACTCATTTTTTTTCTTCTTTTGATGGTAGGTCGATGAACAAACTGGTGTAATGCAGAAACCCTCCCTTTTTTTTGATTGATTACCTCTCATTATTTCCCTACTTTTGATCCTAGTATTAGTTGGTTTTTTTTTACTGGTCATATATTCCTCCTTCTTTGAATCAAATAAAATCTCTCGTTGTTTTTATCATTGTAGCTTCCAGTTTTATCAGCATGACCGATGGATACTAATATATTCTTTTTTTTTTTATCATTTCTATATCCTATGCACATTCTTCTGCTATCTGTCTTGAATGTCGCCACCTATATAGACATTTGAATGATTCTACTGTCATCTTTTTCATAGGGTCCGATAGATTTTAATCAAGTGCATATGTCTTTCATGTCACTTGGTCTGTGAGTAATCCATGATACTTGTGATCAAAGAAGAAGATGTCTTCACTTGATAATTACCTAACGGTTTCTATGATAAATAAGTTTTTAATGATAGTTGAGAATATTGAAGATGATGGCAAATGACTAACTCTAAATAATGACGCCAAAAAAAAGAAAAAGAAAAAGAAAAAGAAAATGATGGTGATTTTATTGAAAAAAAAAAAACTAAACTATTAATTAAGAAGGAGTCATCCGGATAAAATAATCTTGAGTTGCTTTGCTTTGATGTTCAATCCATTCCTTGACACCTGCATAGGCGGAATTGTTGGTCGGTCCATTCACAGCAGCATCCAAACTATAATCAGGGAAATCAAAGTGCTTGAGAATCAAATTCCAATCAGTAGGTGGAAACAGGGAATGTATGCCCTTAGAATTGAAATAATCTGGTCCTGATCTTGAGCTAACTTTTGGTAACGATTTGTCCAAATGCATCAATATACTGTTAAAAATATAAATAATTTGCGTAATTGAATAATATGAAAAAAGTGTGATTTGCGTTGTCATGATTATACCAAAAAGAGAATATACAAAAAAAGAATAGAAAGAGAAATATGGTAAGTAAAAGTCTTGTTTTTTTTTTTTATTTATTTATTTTGATCGTTGTTTTGCTGAAGAAAAGAATCTGTAGATCTTTTTTTTTTTTATTGAAATAAAGATAGCATAAGCTTTTACTTACTTTTTTGCAGGAATTCCGACTATCCAGATGCAAACTTAAACAAACTCTTTTTTTTTTTTTTATTGTGCAGATTTTTTATTTGAGTCAACGCAATGTAGGAAAAAACCAGTAAATCTTGTTCATGGAAATCGAAGTTACAGGAAGCAAAACTTGAATTTTAGGGTACAATTCAAATTTTGCCTTCAGCACAGAGGCATGATGTATCCGTCTTCAACCAGTCCAGGATGAGAAGAGATCAAAGTTTGGAATATCTTATCAATATTGTTGTTATCGTTGTCTGTTGATGAGATTGACCGCCGGAAGGATGGAGGAAGGTTGCCAGTAACTTGTTGCCATAATCCAGTGATGATCATATTCATACTTGCATTTGTGTCTCGTGATTCAGCAATCATTCCAGCTTGACGTCCTTTGCAATCAGGGTTTTGACAAATAACAGTTCCCAGATTTAATTTTCCATTAGCTTTCTTTGGATGATATATAGGTTCATGACAACGGCAGCAGAGTTTTGTTGTTCTAAATTCATCTGTATGGAAGATAGAAGAATGTTGACCAAGAGCTTGTAATAAGGGTCCATGACCTCTTCTTAAAAATCCACCAATACGTGAGTTTCTACCACGACCCGCCTTTCCATAAAAGTAATGTAGTTTTTGTCCAGGTTCTTCTTTTACTTGTCGTTGGTGATGCTTGATGACTACATGTGTTCCCTTTTCGCTGTATATCGCTGCTGTTCGTTTCCATCGCTGATTGTATTTTTGATCACAATAAAAGTCCTGGAGAACAGGTGAGCTTTCCTTGACCAACTAGATAAATTGAAAATGATTGCATTCATTAATATCCATTGTCCTTTTTTTTTTTTTTTTTTTTTTTTTTTGGTCTCCGTGATGATGTATAATAATTGATCCTACCTTATGATTTGTCATGATTTTTTGTAGACTTGTTTCATATAAACGGACATCAATTGATCCAGCCAACTTTTCTTCTACTTGCTTGACGGAAAGCACACCTTGAGCTTGAGACTAGTAATTAAAAAAAAAAAAAAATAGGTTATTGACATCCTTATTTTTTTTTTTTTTTTGGAATCACTTACTTTGCGATGATCTCGTCTCTTTCTGAATTCCATTCCCTTGCGATGGCGTTTGGAGAAGGTCTGATCGTCGAGATGCTTACTGGTAATTGAGTATTTCTTCAAAGTAAGCATTTCCTTTTCATCGCCATCACTATCCACCTTTTCTACTAATGTTTCCAATGGTTGATAACGATTGTTGATTGCCAAATAGTACATTACTTTCTTGACATCAGCACTTGTAGCTTGGACCATGGTTGCCAGACCCGGATCACATCCAACAAAAATACTTCCATTTTCCCATTCGTTACCAGTAGATGATGAGGATAGGCTAACATCTGTCGTGTCAGTTGAATAAAACTCGTCAAAGAGGTCCTTCTTCTCTGTCTTGAGGGCTGATATCTTCCGTAACACAACAAGCTTCCGTCGAAGTAGATCGTCACGCTGTCGCTTCTTTTCTGCCCGCTGTTTAATTAAAAAATCTTTTGTTGGGAAGTCTTCCAGATCATCATGTGCTGTGTCGGCAATGGATTCAATTTGTTTGTTGATATTCATAATATTCATCTTCGTTTCATCTATTTCGTTATTCAACTTGCGCAATTCTTCAGCTGGTGTTGATAAGGAAGCATCCAATGACTTTATCTTTTCTTGCATTGTAATCTCTTCAGATAACTTTCTTTTTCGTCGTACGTTGGTTGCTGATGGCTTGATATCAGTGTCAATTGGTTTTTCCTTTTTAGAATGTAGCCGTACCGCGCCATAGTTAGTGATTGTGATTTGATTGGAAAAGATAAAGCCAGTCTTTTTCGCACAGAGTCTTCGCCTGGTTGGAAGATCAAAAAAAGCACCAAATAGTTCATCCTGGAATTTGATTGACTTGGTAATATTGCTTATTGTGTCACCGTTGGGAAGAAAAACATCGAATCCATATGAATGTAGAGGTTGCACATTTCCGCCTTTTGTTCCGCCAACACGTCCTTTCAACGAGCACAGAGTCAAATACAATCTTGTTGGATCCAAAGTAATGGAATAGGTCTTGGAATGTTTTACAACTGGTACAGATCGTCTTACAAATTTCTCGTTTCCAGTTGAGCGAAGAATATGATTGCATACCGTAACAAGAGGGAAATTGAGAAGGGGATGCCGATCTACATCGTCATCGTATACCTTGGGTAACAGATATGGTGAGAAAAATTGATACAAAAGGAGTACTGAATTGGCTTCGTCATCGTTAAATTCCATATCTGGCGCATGCATCTTAAGATCCTCGACAGTTAACGGTTGATCGATGTTCTTTTTGAATAGAATTGACTTCACAAAATTTGCAATTTTCTTCAGTCGATTGTAGGAGGGGTTAACATGAATGGTTTCAGGGGCATCCACTTCCATCGGAGCACTAGTATCATCCACCAAAGTAACATCCAAATTCATTTGAGCATCAGTATCGTCCACCAAAGGAATCTCCACGTTAACCTGAGCAGTAGTACTTGAATTGAGAATAGATGATTGCATCAAGTGTTCGAGAATTTGTTGCTCCTTCTGAAGAACGTCTGGTCGATTTATATTATCAAATTGTTGCAACCGCTTTATTCTTTTGCTGTGGCGTCTGATTTGGCACTTGAATGTAAAAGAATTCTTGGGACTTTTTGGTTGTGATTTTCTAATTATATATAGATAGGTTAATAATGTGAACCATCCATCATCATCATCATCATCAAATCATCAATATGCATTACCTTTCTTTCAATTCATTCTTATTTTGGTCCTTTTTTGGAAGAATAAGCCGACACCGAAGAACAGTCATAATAGTTCTTGATAGCAGACGATCCACTATATCACCTTGATATATATTCTTTAAATTGGTGGCGTACGTATTTACATAAGGCTGAATAATGGTAGATAATCCAGGTGGCATATCAGTAAGGTTTAGGTTGGTGATGTCCTGTAAATCCAAATTCCAATTTAATATACCATCCTTGTTGGAATCATGACTTGAAGAAGTAGAAGGACCTGGAGTGTCATTAAGAGAGGTTTCTTGAGAGTTATGAGTTGCGGTCAACAGATGCATCAAATGGCCGAAAGTATACAGTTCAAATAGACGTCGTTCAGCTTTGGTGGTATTGTTGTGACTAGCCATGAGTTTCTTGACATCATAAGAAGGAGGAGAGATCTGTGGTGGTGGAAGGACCTTGGTAATCTTGCATTCAGGTAGAATACTAGTTATTTCTACAGGTGGACCACTAAGAAAAAAAAAAAAAAAAGAGCATATGAGTATATGACTAGTATTTCATGATCACTATTTACTTACGTGGTTCGTTTCAAAAGGTCTAACAAAACCAAAGTTGAGATATCCACCATTATATTGGTAATTATCTTCTGTGACTTCAGTAGTGATTGATGGATAATGTTTTTCTCCAAGTCAGACAAATCAGGTCGTAAGATTGTGTTCAATTGAGAAGTAATGGTGTTGTGAATAAAATTATCTTCATTATCTTGATTATTGTTGTTGTTGTTGTTGTTGTTGTTGTTGTCGCTGTTTTTTAATTCCTCTAATATATTGGCAGCGTTCTTATTCACAAATTCTTTATAAAGGCGAACATAGGGTATAGCTTTCGAGTCTACAGTTGCTCTAACTGTATCTTTGGAAAAATCGGTTGAGTTTTCTAAGTAAAAGTTAGATTAATATTGGAATAGATGTATATATGTATATGTATACTACCTTGGTTATACAGTTCTACAGTCTTTTTGTAAAGGTTTGGTATTGTTCGCTTTCTTTCTTGTTGTTGACAATAGTTTGATAGAATCTCGGATTCGGTTTTCTTCTTTTTGTTTGCCCAAAGCTTATGTAAATCTTCGCGTACTAATACTTGGAATACTTTGTTGAAATATGATATACAGGTGTCTTTGTCTAACTGTGGTATAGTAATTGTCTTTCTTGTTTCTTGCAGATGTAGTTGTGCTTTTCGGTAAGAATCAAATGACATGGCGATATAATAAATGTAAAATAAGGTGAATAATTGTGCATTCTTAGAAGAATCAAATGAAATGGTATAACAATATATTAGATATAAAATAAGGTGATATGATCAGCAAGTATAAACAAAAAAAAAAAAAAAAAAAAAAAAAAGGAAGAAAGAAATAGAAGTAAAATCATGTTGAGCTCCGCCAGCATTTGCAAAGAAAACTTGAATTGTACACAAAATTTTTTGTTACAGGAAATGGTCGGAATTCAAAAAGAGAGACTATGTTTTTTTTTTTTTTTCTCTGTACAGAGTTGTACACCTGGAACAATTTTTTCATTTTACTCTTCCTTTTTTTTTTTTATCGTTGTACTGTTTGATCATGGACGTTGTTGCCACTGCTGAAAAGAGTACTGAACAATTCATCCAATTCTTTTACGGAAACTATGATAAGCAAAGAAGTGTAAGTTTATACTAGTATTATTTTGATCATGTTTACAAAGTGAATGAATATTTTATTATTCTAAATGTTCAAAAGGAACTATAGGATACTGACTATATTTATTGATTTGACATAGGCTCTAGGCAATCTTTACCGTGACAACTCTGCTATTTTATGGAATGGTAATATAACATATCAGATCAAAGAAAAGAGTAAAAAGGAAGGATAGAATCAGTGGTAGATGTACATCAAAATAGGATCCTTTTTTCTTTTTTTTTTTCTTTTTTTTATCAAGTGAAGTAAAAGACTGCATTGATACTATACTGACTTTCAAATCCTTTCTTTTGTTCTTTTTTTTTTTTTAATTCTGTTGGATAGGCAACGCTTTCTCTGGTGCTCAACAATATTCAGAATTCTTAGGACGTTTACCAGTATCACATCATGAATTAGATGTATATGATTGTCATCCTATAGCTGGTAAGATAAGAGTGGATAGATTGTTTGTATAGATTCACTTATTTTTTTTTTATCTTTAGCAATCACCAATTCACTAGGTGCGACAGGTATCTTGATCAATGTGACTGGATCGGTGAAATACGGCGATCATCCCAACAAAAGGACTTTTTCTCAAACGTTTATTTTGGTGCCTGACGAAGTTCAAGCTGGAAACTATTATGTTCAAAGTGATAATTTTAGGTAACTCATATATATATATATAAAAAAACTGGAGAAGACTTTTATACTAACATTAATCATGTTTAGATTCGTATGAACTCTCTGATACATCAACTTCCTTCATACGCAAATATATATTCCACACAAAAAAATCACACCTACATACATACATACATACAATACATATATAAATGACAATTATAACGACAATTCACAACTATAAACAATCGTATTCTTCGTTGTCTATAACTTGGTTATCTTTTTTTTTCAGCTATTCCCATTCTCTTTTTTTTTTTTTTTTTTTTTTTTTTTTTTTTTTTTTTTTTTTTTTACAATTGTACATAACAAACAATAAAAAGAAACATTGATTTACGGGTTCGGATGTTCCTTATTTACCGGTTGTTTCATTTGTAATCTCAATGTCAATGGATGTTATTAAAGATCTGATGACAGGTGACTAAAAAACGATGTCCATGTGTCGAAATCCGAGAATATTATTTGGATGCTGAGCTTGGACAATTTACAATTTTCATCGACAGATATTTTTGATCCAGTAATACCACTGAAAAGGTTTTTATAGAGTCGACTTTTTTTTTTTATAACAAAAGGAAGTTTTGAATAGAAATTAGATAGTACTGTCTTCAAAAAAGGGATGTGTATGAGTCATTGATGGGATGACAGTATGAATGATGATATAATATAATATAATATAAAAAAAAAGATGGTGGGAATTAATCACATTGATCGTTCAAGATCATCGGAATTCGCTTTTTTTCTTTTTCTTCTTCTTGTTCCAAAAAAACATTCTTCCAACTGTGATTATCCAATCAAAAGGGAAGGAAATTCCACGTTTTGCAGGAAAGTTGGTGGATCAACTCTATCTCAACGGTGATTGAAAAACCAAAAAAGGACAAAAAAAAAAAAAAAGTAAAGCCCGAGAGACACGAGTGCGCACGCCCATTCTGAAACGAACCTGATAGGCTTATATTTTGTTGGTAACTGTAGAACAAATCCAGTCAATAAGATGAAATAAAAAAGGTTGATCCAATAGATGAACGAGAGGGACCTCACTTGAGCTCACAAGTTGATTTGAAAGGTTTATTTTACCCAGAAAAAAAAATAAAAAAGGATTATATATGGAAAAACTCTATAAAAGCTTTTTTTTTTTTTATTTATAAATATCATACCTTTTCTTTTTTTTTAATTCTTTTCTTTATCCGCTTCTTTCTCTTTCACTCCCTCCTTTTTTTTTTTTTTTGGTTACTTTTTTTTTTATTTTTTTCTTCCAACTCATTTAAAAAAAGTAATTCAAATAACATGTCTGGATCTGTTCATGAACAACATGACCAGCTTGCCACTGCTGAAGAAAAATTGCGAAGTTTAGAAAAACTTGAAGATACCAAAACTGCTGGTCATTGGAATTGGTTTACTATTAGAACTATCTTGACTTCTGGTGCTGGTTTCTTTACTGATTCTTATGATGTTTTCATCATTAACTTGGTTACCCCTATGCTTGGTTATGTCTATTACGCTCAGAATGGAAACAAGATTCCCGCTGATATTGAAGGTGTCATCAAAGGTATGGCTTCCGTTGGTACTTTTATTGGTCAATTATTATTTGGTTTCATGGGTGATATCTTTGGTCGTAAGATTTATGGTTTTGAATTGTTGATCATCATCATTGGTACTATCAATTGTGCTACAAGTGCTAGTGCTGTTCGTGGTGTTAGTGCTATTGGTTTCCTTGGTTTATGGCGTTTGATTCTTGGTATTGGTATTGGTGGTGATTATCCTATGTCCGCTACTATTACTTCTGAATGGTCTTCTGCTGGAAAACGGGGGATGATGATGGCTCTCATCTTCTCTATGCAAGGTATGTCATATATAAAAAAAAAAAATATTTATTTTAAACACATGACTAACTTTTTTTTTTTTTTTTTTTAGGTATTGGTAACTTGGCTGCTGCTATTGTCACTTTGATTTTACTTGCTATTTTCAAGAATGCCATCATGGATGATGTGATGGCTTTGGATTATGTATGGCGTTTATGTATTGGTCTTGGTGCTGTCCCTGCTGTTGGTACTGTTTATTTACGTTTCACTATGCCTGAATCTCCTCGTTATGCTCTTAATGTGGAAAGAGATGTGGAAGCTGCTGCTGCCGCCAAGGGTCAAGAAGTATCCACTGAATTAGCACAACAATATACCAAGGTGGAAGGAAAACGTGATCATTGGGCTGAATTCCGTGCTTATTTTGGACAATGGAAGCATCTTCGTGTTTTGCTTGGTACTGCTCTTTCCTGGTTTTTACTTGATGTTGCATTCTATGGTCTCGGTCTCAACAACACTTACGTTCTCGGTGCTATTGGTTATGCCAGCAAGAGTACTCCCTTCGATACTTTGTGGGCAAACACTGTGGGTCAAATCATCATCACTTGTCTTGGTTCCGTCCCTGGTTACTACCTCACTGTGATCTTCGTTGAACGTATGGGTCGTCGTAAGATTCAAATCATGGGCTTCACAATGACTACTATTCTCTTCACCATCCTTGCCGCTGCCTACTACCAATTACGTGATCGTGCCATGCCTGCCTTCATTACCATCTTTACCTTGGCTCAATTATTCATGAACTTTGGTGCCAATGCTACTACCTTTATTATTCCTGGTGAAGTCTTCCCTTGCAAGGTTCGTGCCTCTGCTCATGGTATCAGTGCTGCATCTGGTAAGGCTGGTGCCATTCTCGCTGCTTTTGCTTTCAATAAATTGGTCGAAACAAATGATACTTATCCTGGTGAACACGCTTTCTTGCCTGAAACCTTGGGTATCTTTGCCGCTATCATGTTCTTGGGTCTTATCGTGACTGTACTCTGGGTACCTGAATCTAAAGGAAAGGATTTGGATGAATTTGAAGAAGATTATATCCCTCAACAAGATCCTCCTGCCAATCCTGAAACTATCAGTGTGTCTGAAAGCATGCAACAACATAACATTTACAAATAGACTATTTTTATTATCATTATGCATTTTATCGTCTTTAGTGTATCATTATTTTATTATTATTATTATTACTATTATCCTGATTGTTATCTCTTATTATCCGTATTGTAAATAAAATATTCTCATTATTATCCATCAAATGAATCACAAAATTAATCATTATCATCAAATGAATTATCATCATTAAAGGAATCAATCATATGACTACAGTGTATCTTAAAAGGATTGTAAGCTTTTTATCCATGTTTCTTCAGGACCAAAAAAAAAAAAAAAAAAAAAAAAAAAAAAAAAGCTGAGTAGTGCTGCAGACACAACAAAATGTAGATCCTTTCCAAAGAATATAGATAGATAAAAGACATGCATGCCCACTGGAAAAGGAAACTCCCTAATTACCACAAGCAATTTTTTTAAAAAAAAAGAAGGTAATTAGATATCTTTGTGATGTTTTGTTGTATGTCGTTCCATTTGCATAAGAATATCATGGTTGTTGTATGATATATAAAAGGAAAAGTTTATTGACAAAAGAATGATCATCTACTGTAAATGGACTATTCTAATAATTGTTTGATCGTAGCCGTCACCTTGTCTTTAAAACTAATGCCATCCCTGATACCCTTCATATCGTCATCATATTGTCGAGATAGTATTAAATAGTGGATGGTGGAATGATGATGTCTTTGTTCACTGTCAATTCTTGATGTGGATATTACCGAATCTCTAGTTTCCTTGAATTGTAGCACATAAGCTGGCCTTTCGTCGTTGAGAGTGATTCTATTAAGTTGTACTTGACTTTTTTTATTTATATATAGAATATGTTAGTATGCAATTTCTTTTCTTTTTTTTTTAACCTACATATTTTTCCATTGATGATCTTGAATTGTTTTGATATCTTCATTTAACTTTGTTGTTTTGATTGCACCATATAATATTTCCTCTACTTCATCTACTTGCCAAATAAAAGAACTACTTTCATTTCCCTTTGCATTCTTGTATACCGGAGTTCGTCGAACCAAGTCATTCGCAATATCACACACCAAATGCAAACAGATAAGGTTGATTTCGCGCATCAAAAACGATTCGAATTCTGTCACGTTGGATAAAATGACTGTGTCTCCAGGGAGTGTTGCTGTAATTGTTCCAGACTGGTTTAGCGCAAACCGTAATGATGGCCTAATCATAGAAATAATCAATATATATATATTATTGAAAGGCAAAAAATAATCACAATCAATAAATTCCAAATAAAATTTCTATTCATATTTTTTTAAGCGATCTTTACCCTTTGAATATATTGATGGCAAGACTTGTGGTAAGTTCTTCAAAACTAGGATAAGCATCACAATAATCATGAGGAGTATTATTGAAAGTATGTTGAGATTTGAAATGTAAGGCCAGACCAATGCCGGATTCACCACAAAGAGGATCCACAATAGTATTCACCACATCACGAACACGGTCAAAGAGAATCCAGAATTTTGTCATTGATAATACAGGTGCCAAAATAGGGACTTCTAATGCTGGTTCTTTTGTGCCATGATAAGAATGTGATGCACTGCCACTGAGCTGCCTAGGCATGGATGATGCAGAAGAGGTCGATGTTGCACCTGAATTACTGCTGAGTGTTCGATGATTGATAATAGGAGTATTTGTACCTCCACTACTAACGCCGGAAGTCGTACTACTACTGGTCGTAATATTTGATCCTGAACCAATGACACTTGTACTTCCTGGTGTACCCACCACTGATCCAGGTAATGACGTTGTGTCTCCAATTGAATTAAGCAGTTGTTGTGTTTTCGGTTGGGTTGACATCAATCGTGTCCTTGATTTCCACATATTGAATCGATGACGTTGGTTGAGTAATAGCCGAAGAGCCAATTCTATGGTTTGACCAACAAGATGTCGTGGTGTTGTTGTCGATTTATCATCATGCTGTTGTACATCCGACTGAAGATATTGGAGTTTTTGAATCAATATATCTACTTGTCCATCCAATGTTACTATCACACAATCTTCTTCACACTGTATGTATGGGAAGACTTGGGCTTCTGATAAGATCTGATAAAAAAAAAAAGGTTAATACCAATTTTATATCATATTTCATTATTCAGTTTACCCTTGAGAAAAGTTCAGCATCAAAGACAGTAGATTGGGCATTGATTAATCGTTGTTGGATATCGTTGTCTTGAGTTTTGCATGTTGATGATCGTTGATCTAAATTGTATAACAGTCATCCATCCACGGAGTGATGCAATAGTTAGTGGTTGAACATACCTATATATGTGTACATGCTTCTTTTTCTTAACTACTCACATTCGCTCTCTGATTCTTCATGTTGTTGATTGTCGAATTCTCCAAGACCAAGAATATTTTGTGGTATTTTTCTTGCCCATGAACCTAATTGACACATTTGATTCTGTTTGATGGTTACCTTGACCTGTTTTGGTATGTTATGCGGCAGAGATAGTTGTACATGTTGCTTTCCATTAGTAATATTTGCTTGATCTGATCGTAACATTTCGCCAAATGACACTTCACCAAATCCAGATCCAACTATCATCCCAGATAATAAAAGATGAATGTCCTATTCTTTATGGATTTTTTTTTTTTTTTGATATCTTACCATCAGTGAAACCGTAACGTATCAAGAATCCAGATTCTCCAGTAGATGGATTCTGTGAAGCTTGCATTAGCCAATGATTTGATCGGACACGTACAGCTTCTTCCCAAAAACCTTGTTCTTGATCCACAAGTTTTTTCAAAGATGCCGCACTTTTCTTCAAATAGTCAGCCGCCGTTTTTTGTTGCTATAGAAATATATACATAAAAAGGTATGTGAGTTCTATACGTAAGGAGCCTTCTTTTTTTTTTATAAATCGAAGATGTCTTACTGTTCTTTTAAGCCCAAGAGTAAGTTGTGCTTGTTCCAGTCGTGCTTTTTCCGTTGGTTTTGGTTTTGACACGTAGGTTGCGTGTAAAGTTCCAGGAGGTAATACTAAATTGTTGTTTCCACCGATGCCACTACTGCTTTCAACGAGACCACCGCTGATCATTGAGTTCAAGCCACCACCTTGACCAGTACCCCCTATAATACCAGGTATACCACCATGCCCACTTGTGTTTGGTTTATTTTCGGTTGCCAGTATATTGATAACGTCTAGTGCAACATCTATTTCACATTTTGCAAAACTATAGAACAAAGAAATATGACAATGATGAGATAGGTAGCCATATAAAAAAAAAAAAAAAAAGTGATTTAAATATTCTATTGCTGAACTCACTATAGTTTCGATATGACTGATTCCCGAAGTTTCCCTAGATCAACGTTTGGTGTTTCTTCCTCTGTAGTAGCATCTTTGACGAGTTCTTGTTGTTGAGCCTGATCTGCATTGTCTACATTTTGTACATTATCTTTTGTTGTAATTGTTGCTGTTGTTGCGATATCTTTGTTCTCTTCAGAAGTGGCTATTTTCTGTTTCAGTTGTTCTTCAGTAATATCTTTCCAATCACCTCGTTCGTACCAAATTCGATCAACATTCTGCATAAGCTGTTCAGGTAAAGACAATTCACTATAACGAATATCAGAATAGAGTCAGCAAGGATCAATGTAATATATATAAATAGAAAAGGAAGTACGTGTGATGAGAAAGATCACTTACGTTTTGTATACTTCGTGTCCAGTGTCAGTAATGTCAGTAGCCACTTTTTCAATGGAAGGCTCTAAAGAAAGTTTAATTCGTTTCGTATGAGGTTCCATCGAAGTTAAATATGTACGTGTATAAAATAAAGAGAGAACGGAAGGAGATAATTAAACACTCTAACAGTGTAGTAATATGTCTATATATATATATATATATGTAAAAAGAAGCAAGAGTACCGCGAGATAGAAAAAAAAGTAAAAAAAAAAAAAATAAAAATACAAATAAAAAAAAACCTCTGCGAAGGGAAATTGGAACTTTTGTCGGAGGTGGAAAGTATATAATGGGATTCCCTCCAAGGTTTGCCATCCTAAAATTCAACAATCATAACATATAATTATTAACATAAAATAATAAAATTATCATCAACTAATAGAGTTAAAAAAAAAAAGGAAGGGGTCATTCAGCTAAAAAAAGAAACAATACTTTCATATTTATAACTATTTCTTTTAATGATATTTAATATAACGTATCAAACATGGGGTATGTGATCAATGTTCTTCAATGTATATTCTCAACCCCTTTGTTTTTAAAACGTAGTTACAAAATAGAATCCTAGAGAATGAATGATTCTCCTTTGATACTAGATGATGTTTATTAATGGAACGAAATATGAAGATATATATATATATGTTGAAAGGACGAATATTCAAAATCATTTTTCTTTTTCATTTTTATTTTCATCATGGAAGCGGTAGAAGAACATAAAAAATCATCACAAGAAAAACAAAATGAAGATATAAATGATCAAATAAAAGATGATGATCATGACATAGTACCATTGGACAATGATACCATTGTACAAATGCCAGAATTAATGGCATCCGATCGGACATCAGCTGATGATGTATTGACTACTATTCAACGTCCTGCCAAAGGTATATCTAGATCACCACGTACAAGATCGTTAGCAAATATACTTGTTGAAGAAGAAAAAACATCATTACCACCACCTCAAGATTCATTATTGTCACATTTATCTACACCATCACGTATCAGTCGTTCCTCCACTCATCAACACTTATTCACCCCTGAATTCGATCATCCTTATTATTCAAGTGGTCTCCTTCCCACTGCTTCCAAATTCAACTTTAAAAAAAAGAAAAAATCATCCAAAGATTTATCTAAAATGACTCCATCTAAACGTGGGATTGGGAACATTGTCACTATCTTGGCCGTCATTGCTGTAATATTATTCCTATTCGCTGGATACCCTCTTACTATTTATATCACGCGAAACATTCACCATTCATCAGAATAAATAAATAAATAAATATATAAAAAAAAATGGAAGAGTAGAATAAGGATGGTTGGCATTCTTTATGCAACGTTTATATCGTGTTTCATGGGCAGAGAATGTTGGATAGGGATTCCATTTTTGGAATTTGCCCTGCATCCATTTCATACACACATTCACATGCACGCACACACACACACTCACACACAAGTAATCTCTCTTTTTTTTTTTTTTTTTTCTCTCTCTTGCCCTTTTTCTCTATATTATCATTATTATTATTAGTTATTTAGTTGACGACTGAATGAAGATGGTTGAATGAGGGATGACGATGAAATGATGATGATGATGATTGAATAATGATGATGATTAAATAATGATGATGATTAAATAATGATGATGATTAAATAATGATGATGATTAAATAATGATGATGATTAAATAATGATGATGATTAAATGATGATGATGATTGAATAATGATGATATTACTTTAGGTGATGAATAGTATCGTACGTGACGATTTTTATGATGAACGATGATTCTCTAAAGATGATGATTCCACGATGAATGGTGTACAAAAAATGAGTAAAGATCATTCTATGGAGATGGTTCTACAATGATGATGATGATGATCAGAGATGAAGACGGTATCACAAAGTGCATATATGGTAATGCCGATACTTCTATCGTAAGGATCAAATAATAATAATAAAAAAAAAAGAAGTAAATATGTTATCAATCTATAACTAGAGAGAAATCGGAGGAAGAGTAATGACGCCCATCTTTCCATAACTCTTACTATTTCCCTCCTTGTCCAACCATCTGTATCATGAAAGGTTTCACCTCATCTTTCATGGTGCTTAACTAACGAAAAAGTTGAACCAAGGAAAAAAATAGTCTGAGTTTTTTTTTTTGTCTTGTCAAAGCTAAAATATAGTGAGTGTGCTTCCGTTCATCATTCTATAGAAACCAAAGAAAAGTGAATCACTTTGTATGAAAAGATAGTGCTTTACTCTATATGTCATGTGGAAAAGATTTTAAATCGACCTACACTTTCATATTTCATTTAAATTTTATTATAAACACTTCAAGCAAAGCGGATGTATAGTAATGAACTTTATCTTGTGATCCTATGACTATATTATGAACACCAAAAAAAAAAAAAAAAAAAAAGGAAGCTGTAAGTGAAAAAAAAAAGGTAGAACTATGGTAAATGGATAATAGGTTGATTTATTTGGTTAAACTAACAAACTGATGGTGACTTTATTGCTTCATCATTATAAATATTACTATGAAAATGGATAGTAAATAAAATAACAATGCACCATATATTGGTTTATTGAAAAGTGACTTGCATGCAAAATAATAGGAACGCCACAAAAAAGCATCATCATGAAAATGCTTCCTTTTTTCTTTTATCGGCATCCATCCGAGAAAGGGGCACATGAGAAGGAGAGAAAAAAAAAAAAATAGAGTAGACAAAGAGGATAAGGAGGGGGAGGATAATCGGAGAATCACCGATGGCTTTCACACGTTACACTGACGGCATCGGCTTGAAGTTCCACTTTTTTTTTTTTCTCAAACCAAAAGTAATAAGTATATGCACAAGTATCTACATATATCGATAATAAAATAAAAAAAAGTTTTTTTTTTTTTAATTGAAAAATCATGATTTCACATTTTCGGATGGATTTGATATCTTAAGGAGGGGGGGGGGATATTTGAAAACAGTAGGCAGGTTAATGTGGTGGGTATTTCGATTTTGAATGAGGCAACTTTTTTTTTTTTTTTTTTCATCGTTGGGTAGGACAGGAAGCACAACATACATTTACCACATGAGAAAATGTCAAGCATGCTACTAACGTCTCGGAAGACCTTTTAGCTTGTGCCGATCCTTTGTTTTATCCTTTTTTGTTATATAACTTAATAATGCTTTTCTCTTACAATCATCAACCCCTTTTTTTTTCTTTTCTCTCTCTTTTTAGTTTCAATAGACACTATTATATCAAGTAGATTTTCTCTTTTTTTTTTTTCTTTTTTCTTCTTTTTCTTTTTTGTTTCTCTTTCCATTCATCATTACTTTTTTTTTTTTTTATCTATCATCATTCATTCTCATCATTATACGTTAACATCATCATCAACATATAATAAAAATTTTTCAACGTCCTATCTATTACTATCATTATGAACGCCATCGACTTTTTATCCAGTGATATTGAATTTCCATGTGATTCAAATGAACCCAAATTATCGGCAAGTCCATGTACCAAACTACCAGAACCAGTTGATTGGGCTTTTCACGATTATTACAGTACAGTTTTAGAAAAAGCTTTTACACCCATCAACGGTATCACTGACATCACTCATTTGGAACCTGTTAGAAATGAAGTAGCTCCTCCTAATTATCTCAAGGACTGGAAACATCCATCTGTCTTTACTGTGGAAGATAAACAAGATGATCAAGCCGTTGTTGTTGTTTTGACTAATACTATTCAACCACCACCACAACCTCAACCACAAAATACCCTTCGTGCTGCTTTAAGAGGTGCCTTGGATTTGGTGGAAATCGATATGCAACGAAATATGCATGATTCTCTTTTATCTCCTTCTGCTCCTCGTCGTGGTGATCCCTTTGACAAGGATTACTTTTTATCATGGAAAGATGATCTTTTGGCTGAAACTCTTCATATTGGTGAATTGGATCAAGATCTATGGGATGATGATGATGATGATGTATTAAACATGGGTCCTGCCTCACCTGCTTATGATACCATCAACGAATGTCCTATTTTGGATTCATCTTTACCATCACGTATCAGTTCTATTATGCCTTTATCGACCTCTCCACCTATGGCAACAAATAACACTACTATTACTACTACTACTGTTAAAAACAACACTATTGATTCTCAACAATTATCACAACCATCATCACCCATTCCTCAACAAACAGAAAATACACGTTCTCCTGTTATGATGATCAATGAATCAACAAGTACATCCTCCTCCTCATCATCATCAACATCATCAGTGAAAAAATCAACTACCAAGAACAGCAAAGCAAGAACTTGGAATGTATGGCATAAAGTCAAACAAGTCACTCAACCTCTCAGCAAGCAACTCAAATCATCATCATCCACAAAAAATATCCTCAAACGTTTGTTCCAACATTAAAAAAAAAATACTCCTACCTTTTTTTTTTGGCTATTATAGGTCTCCTTCTTCTGTGTATATATTCCCTATTTTTTTTTTTTGTATTTATTTCCCTCTTGTTTTAGGAAAGCAGGCCTTTTATTATTATTATTTATCATATCATTTTTATACCTTATTTATTTTTTTTTATCATATACATATATATTATCTTTCATCCAACCTTTCTTTTACCCCTGAATTCCTCTTATGGAATTGTGCAAAACATATCTCTCCCCTTATTTCGTTTTATTTGTTTGAACTTTAAAATAATAATAAAAAAATAAAGAATAAAAAAAAAAAAGTGATACAAACCATTCTCTTGTTTCTACTTTGTGTTCTTGCATCATCATACTTAAAGTTTTCCGTTGTTTTGTGAATCTCTCTGCTGCAAATTTATTGTGTCCATCTTCGGTCTGCACGGAATCAGTCTTCCGACTTTTTTGTTGGTTACTGTATCAATGTACCACTTATCCTAGGCTCAACCAAAAATAATAATAATAATAAAGATTGATAAAAAAAAAAAAAAAAAAAGAATGTATTTCAAAAGGTATCTTTCTTTTTTATTATTGAATGTACACTAAAAAAAAAAAAAAAAAAAAAAAAAAAAAAAACTATTTTCTACCACTACGAGAAGAGAGTGAAGAAGGAAGAATTCGTCTTGATTGTGACTGAGTAGGTAAATGATATGTTTCAAATAAAGGCTCATCATCATTATCATCAGTTTCCTTGTTTTGATTTCTTGTTCCATTATCTTGGTGTATTTCGTCGGATGTTACCCTGGTCGCGTACCTTGATGTTGACTTTCCTTTGGTTCTTGTCCCATCTTTGTCCTCTTGTCCTCCGTGTAACGTTGATTCCTCTTTATCATGTTGTTCTGTATGGCGTGTTTTTATTTGTTTTGTTGGTCGATTGATTCTTCGAGTAGTTCTGCTTGTTGATACTATATTTTCCAAATCATCATCATCATCATCATGGTTGGGATTAAAATCAGCATCATCATTATTTGGAACAGGTGCTGCTTGCTGTTTTCGTTTAGTGGTTGTACGACGCCGAGATGTTGCTGTAGGTTTGTGTACTTCTGGTGTTCTTTCTTCTGTGATCATCATAACGTCATCATTATTGTCCATCATTCTACTGCTTGTTGAATCCAATTCTAATCGTTGTCGAGATGGGCTTCCAGTCATATCGTTGTTGCTGTCAATGGTGGATCCAATATTCGTATCACCCGCCTGATCATTCCTATTGTTGCCATTGGACTGTTGTTCCCGGGGAACGATACCAGCATAACTCCGAGCAAACGATTGCATGCGTGCGTTTTTGCTTGCTGTCGCTCGTCGTTGTATATATTCATCTGTAAGTACGTCCACATCCGTCGATGAAGGTATACTTTGTTGCATTTGCGTCACACTGCTGTTCACAAACCGCCGAATAGCATCCTTATCGTCCTTATCCACAAACATCTTGACAGCATCTTCCAATTCATTTTCGGGTAACATGGCCAGATCTCGACTAAGGAACTCGTTGACAAGATCTTCCACCTTAATTTGATCCAACCGTTCAGGAATCGATGCAGATACGTCATCCAAAATAGCAGATGCTGATCGTTTGTTGCGTGTTGATGTCGAGGTTGTTGTTGTTCGCGTACGTTGAAATTTAAGCATATCTTTGGGATTGGCCACACGATTTGCATATTGTTGTCCAAATTGTTGAGGATTGAATATTTCATAACCACCAGTATAGTCGACACGTACACGAATTAATGGTAAAGGCATGGTTGTATTATCTTGAGAAAATTGAGAATCATTTGATCTTTGTCGTTCCCTTTGTTGTTCCATCCATTCCTCTTTTGCTCGTATGATAAGATTATCCACAACTGTTTGAAGGTATTTCTGACAAGCCTTTGTGTCGTTAACGGGTACATCTGTTTGATTGAGAGCCACTGTGGTGAATTGAAAAGGTCGTACTGTTGTCAATCGTATCTTGTCCAGGGTATAATCTTGCCCGTTGATTTGTAGTAATCCAACATGTTTTGCCAAAGATTCGCCTTCTGATAGACTAGTCGCCACCGATGAACCAGGCTGTGTGATCAAAGGTCCATCATGTCCAGAATGTTCAGGATCAATACGACAATCATGTTCATGTCCCCAAAGTACCAAATCCAAAAATCCATCCAAAAATTGTTCCGGGATATAACTTGTTGGTCCATGTTTGACTCGATTTTGATGTAATACAAAGAGATTGAAGCTATTGTCGAGCCATTCATCCTCCACCGGTCGACTAAATTGTACATGTCCATCTCGCCACATTCGATGAAGTCGTTCGTCACGTACATTACCAAGTCCATAGAGCGCTAGTTTTGTTGTCCCTTTCTTCATCAATATAGGTTGTATCGTTACATCTTGTATATTGTGTGCTCGTCCAAAATAATTCATCATACCAGTCACTGATAATAATTGTAATGCACATAAATTGCCAGGTCCATTGGGATCATCGTGGTTACCATGAATAGAGAATACTGGATAACTAACATTCAGATTAGGATCTAGATAATTGGCAGTAGGAAAGTCATCGTGAAAGTGTTCAGATTGATCACTAGCGATCCAGATTTGACTTGGTCTATCCCCCATACAATACTGTCTTAAAAGTCGCATGGTTTGATATAAGCAGGAGCGTGAAGGTCGATTATGATGAAATAGATCGCCACCTAGTAGAATAAAATCCACTTCATATTCTTGAGCTAGTTTAAGGATTTCTTCAAAAGTCGTGAACGTGTCTTGACCGCGAACAGGATCGTCCTCCAAATAACCAATATGATTGTCAGTGGCTATAAGGATTTTGAGTGTATTGGCATTATCTTGGGTATCGACTGCAGGTTGAACCATGACACTTTCCAAATTAAAAAAAAAAAAAAAAAAAAAAAAAAAAAAAAAAAGGAAAAGAAATAAAGAAGTGAGACGAAAAAAAAAAAAAAAAGAGACATTGACGCTCCGCAGCGTTTTTCAGGCATATTTTCTTTTTGATCATAACAAGTAGAGAGCCCTGCCTAATGAAAATAAAGATCATATAGTATTTAGTCTTTTGTTTTTTTTTATCTGATCATATACTATTGCTAGTATATTTAACTTCTTTGCACAATATTTTAATTTTTTTTTTCTCAACATTAAAGATGACATTTTCCAAAAACAGTTACAGCTGACTCCCAATTTAGTTTTTCTTCTGTTTTTTTTTTTTTTTTATTCTCTCTTTTCCTTCTCCTTTCTTCCTTTCTACCTTTTTTTTTTTCTTTTATTTATTTTTTTATTTATTTATTTATTTACACTATATCTTTATATTCCCAATGTCAACGATCAGGCTACTGGGGAGAGCGGCTTTGAAGAAAAGATCTTGGACTATATCACAGTCGTCTATTCAGCGATCGTTACTACAGCAATATGAAAACCACTCCTTCATTTCTGATCATTCCCTCTTGTCGCTACGTCAGTTACCAGTACTATCAACTACTTGTTCTTGTCGACAATATACTTCTTCTACCAGCACTATCAATGTCACTGATAATAACAATATCAACCATATCGACGATGACATAAAGTCAACAACATCAATAGAATCAGTAGAGACAAAGATGTTTAATGATGAATCAAAACATGACGACCAATTATGGGAAGGTTGCACATCAAGGATAGTGATTGAAGATCGATCAGTGGATGACATTTGGGAAGAATACGTACGGTTAGAGGATGATCCAAACGAAGTACTGATTGACTATGATTATGTGACGGTATGTGTGGCACTGAAACGGGACAAGCGTGAATTGGTATCTATTAAGCGAATTCAGACCTTACTACGACATATTCATCAAAAGGGAAACATGCCTGAAGTATTTACTCGATGTTGCAATATGTTGATATATCTTTATTTGGAACATGGTGATTTACATTCGGCGAAATTGGTATTTGACGGTATGCTTCGGTCTAAATACAAACCTACTGGAGTCACTGTATGCACGTTACTGGATGGTATTGGAAAATTTGGAACAGCAAAGAATGCATTAGCTTTATATAGGACATTGTCAGCGCAACAACTCTTTCCGGAGCGACGTGGAGCCTATCATCGACTGATTAGAGTTCTTGGGTTGAAATTTGGCGATGTGACCAACAGCACAATGATTATGAAAAAATTGATGGACAGTACAACTTTCAAAGCGGACATCGTTCTGTATAATACCATGTTACTCATCTATGAGACTGCCAAGCAACCTGAACAAGCATGGGACTTTTATATGCAACTTTTTGCCAAGGCAAATGATGTGACACCAAACTGGGGTACTTATTACTATTTGATCAAGACATTACGACCAGATGGAACGGTAAAAGTGGACGACAAGACGGAGAAACGAATCAAGACACTACATTCTCATATGCACAAACTCGGCATTGATATTCGAGCTTCACATTATCTTGGAATGGGGTTGGACGCCAAAGCAGCACTTGCAGAATCAAGAAAGAGTGGCACAGTTCTTTCAGTACATGATTACAATACTTTGATTGCTCATGCCGTGAAAAACAACGAGTTTGGAGATGCCCTGGAAATATATCAAGAAATGACGAAAGAGGGTGATACGCAGCAACCAATCTCTCCCGATATTTATACCTATGGAATCATCATGAACGCTATCATCAAAGATATTGAGCATCCAGCATCAACAGTGTTCGATATATATCAAGAAATGAAAGAACATGGAATTCAGCCGGATGTCGTGGTATACAGCAACTTATTGATGGCATGTGGAAAAACCGGTGATGTGGGACGTGCGTTGGACCTGTTGAAGGAAATGCAAGATACAAAAGTGGAACCAAACAAGTATATTTTCAACACTTTCTTGGGTGTACTTTCTCGATCACCAGAGAAGGACAAGGTGGCTTTACATTGTGCACGGGACTTATGGGACCAGATGATTGCTATACGGAATTATCCTGACACTCGATGTTACAACCAATACTTTACACTTCTATCTCAATATCTATCTGAAGCGGATACGTCTTCTCTCCCTCTACGACATGAAGATGAATTGGATGAATTACAACGACGACGACAACAAGGGCAATTGACTGCACGAGATCTTTACTTGGAAAACGACAATGAAGATAATCATATCCAATTAGGTGGCAAACCAATGTCAGGCATAGCAAAGTACATGATGAAGTTATATCGGGAAATGAGGAAATCACGACATAGGATGAATCGACCGGATTTTCTTACGTACTCCATCTTGATCAATAGTATGATGTCGCATGGACAAACTCGACAAGGTATCTTACTCTACCGGGATGCTCAAACGACCAATCATCGACTCCATGTATCAGTATATAATACCATCATTCGTGGCCTTCTTCGTGACAATGAACTCCATCAAGTAATGCATATCTGGCAAGACATGAAAGCGCATCACGTGTACCCTGATCGATCTACCTATGAATTGGTACTTGATGCTTGTGAACAACTCCATCTGGTGGAATCCTTTACATCTATCATACAACAACGACGTCAAGATGCCGACCGGTTGGATCGAATGGATATGGAACGCGAACAAAGATGGGAACGTGCGAAATCAATCAAAGAAAAACAACAGCAACAACACCAACAATAGAAATCATGAACACAACAAAACAAAAATCTGGACATTGTAGAATAGATTCCATTGTAGATGATTAGATTAGATTATATAGTTAGATCTTTTTTTTTTTTTTTTGAAAAAAACAAATCATTGAATCAATAAACACTTTGAAGTTGCCTTGGAGACAAGTTGAAATTTAAGATGTTTTTTTCAAATGAAATTATTTTATGCAATATGAATATTGATGAATATCCTTATCGCTTTTTGAACACAACTATCAATAAAAGAATTAAATATATCATATAGATGACATGATGATTGCCTAGAGTGCAAAGGAGTTTTCAGAGTAAAATAACATATATTAATTATCATGTCACTCCCTCCACTCACTAAATCATTGTATTTACTCCAATGAGAAACAAAAAGGAAGAACACCAAAAAAAAAAAAAAAAAAAATTTATTTGACATTTGACACTAAACACATAGAATAGACATACAGGAAAAAAAAAAAAAAAAAAAAAAAGGAGTAATATATTAATACAAAATAAGAATAAACTAAGGAGGGGTCAAATGGTTGGAGGAATAAGATACCACAGGTTTGCGTCGTTCCACATCAGGCTTGAGTTCACAGATCTTGGCCAAGCGCAAAAGAAGACTTTCATTATACCATTCAGCCATGATTTGTACACCCACAGGCTTGTCACCATGGAACCCACTAGGCACACTGATAGCGGGAATACCAACGAAATTGGCCAAGTTTGCAAATTGAATACATTTACTTGTGCTATCGCTATCCAATAAACCATGAGTAAGGGCACCTTCAGGGATATCTAATGCTTGCATGGCAGTGACTGGTGTTACAATCAAATCCACATCTTTAAAGATATCTTCCATTTGTTTCATCATCAAGGTACGTACTTGCTGTGCTCGGACATAGTCTGTACTGGTTGTTTGATTCACAAGGCTCATCATGATACGAGTATGAGGTAAGAAGTCTTTTTGATGTTCAGGGAAGCGTCTTGCCCATGAATTCATTTCTGATGAGATGGTAAGTCCATGGGCTACAGTAATAAGAATAAAACAAAATGAATCAACTTTTTTTTTATCCATTCTTCACATTACAATAATAAAAAAAAAAAAAAGGAAATTACCTGCACGGGCAAGATGACAATCCTTGATATCTATTTCCACAACCTTGGCACCAAGTGATTTGAAATAGTTAACAAAAGAGGACACATGATCGGCCAATACTGGATCGTCCACTTCTTTATTCCATTCGGGCACAACAGCAACTGTGAGTCCTTCCAAAGAATCAGTTTTGTCATAATCTTGAAGAGAGAACGGTGGCTGCAATAATGTTTTAGGATCTTTTTCGTCAGGACCACAAATGGCACTAAAAGCTAAAGAAAGCGAATCTACATCCGTTGCCAAAGGACCAATGACACCTACTGAAGCGCTAAAGCCAGCTATTTGAAATAAAGGATGAGTACAACATTAGTTTCTTTTTTTTTTTTTTAATTCAAACATACCACCTCCAAAACTGGAGATTCTTCCCGTCGTAGGCTTCAACCCATAGAGACCACAGAAAGAAGCTGGGATACGAACACTGCCACCTCCGTCGCCACCAAGAGAGATAGGAACTATACCACCAGCAACAGCAGCTGCAGAACCACCACTACTACCACCACTTGAACATGATAAAGAATAAGGATTGAGAGGAGTCGCACTGTTAGGATTGATACTAAAAGTATCTTCAAAAAAAAAAGTGTTAGTTTTCTATCATCGATTGATTTTTTTTTTTTTATTTATAAATTTACCCCAACCAATTTCATTCCTATGCATAATAAAAAAAAAATTGTTTAAGAGATTAAACCTTATTTTTTTTATCTTCATCCATGTAAATACTTACATTCTTGCATGACCGACAACAATAACACCAGCACCACGTAGTCGATGTATAGGAGTAGAATCTTCAACAGCAGGTTTACCCTTATTGAAGAAAGAAGTTCCAGCAGTAGTAACGCGGCCTTGAATGTTTTGATCTTCCTTGAACACCATAAAGATACCATCCAACTGACTCTTATGTTGTTTGTTTTGATAACGTTCAGTAGAAGCTGCGGCTTGACGAAGAATATCTTCCTTATCAACAGGTTGAATCCAATTATGAGATTCACTAGCCTTGATAGATTCAAGTACGCGAACGGCAACCTATTGGGAATCATACTGTTAATGGGATTCCTTTTCCTTTCCTTTTTTTTTTTTTTTTTTTTTACCTGAGAAGGAGTAAATTCACCACTCAAATACTTTTCATGGTAATCCCAAAACGATAAAAATACAGAAGACTTGCTACGAGTTTCAGGATTCAAAGTAGCAATCTAAAAAAAAAAAAAAAAAAAAAAAAAAAGAAGAGGTGAGAAGGTCAGTTTTTTTTTTTTTTTTATCTATTACCTTGTGCTCCACAGGCTGCGGAGTTGAATTCATCAAGTAAGAGATAGGGATAGGTAAGGTGGTGGGCAAACCTTGGATATCAGGAAGATCTCGAAGTTTTACAAAAGGAGTTTGTTGTACGAATTCAGCAGCAAGGCCAGGTTGTTCTTCCAAAGCATTAGCAAGGTCTAAGAGTTGTTCACCTACAACAACAAGTTTAGTAGCCTGTAAAGAAAGAGGGAGAACATTGAGTATAAAGAGGGATCATAAAAAAAAAAAAAGTAGTTACGTTTTCTTCCTTGGTCATATTGAAGTAAGAGTAAAACAAATATGTAAGAAAAAGAGAAACGAAAAAGAAATGACAGAAGGTTATATTAATCAAAATTGCTCGGCAACGAAAGGTAAAAAAAAAAATGACTAAGATATATATCTCACGATAAACAGGTATGAATCAGTATTGTATACATACTCACGGCATAGTGTCAACTATTTGTCCTCACGGTGATTTTTACCCAAAAAGGGAACACAAGGCACAATGATGCTTTAGATTTATTAGTCCCGGTTCGTCGGACATGATCAACCAAAATACACTTTCTCCTGTATGCGAGATTACATGTTCGAAATCATCCATAAAGATGGTATGTAAACAAGCAGGCATTGCCTTGAATCCAAAATAAAAAAAAATGACATTGTTTTGTATAGTGATGTAAAATAGTAGACTAGGAAGAAAACTTCATACATGTCAATCAACAACTAAAAAATATTTTATTTTCAATCATTTTAATCATACATATATTAAAAAGTAATCATTAATCAATAACTAACTAACTATCCATTTCCAATGATTCAGGCAAAAAAAAAAAATAATAAAGAGAGAGAGAGATAACTATCATAGATAAGGTCCAGCAAACCAAATATCAGGTCGTTTTCGTTCAATACCAGGAGCAAGTTCGCATACTTTGGCCATTCGACAAAGTAAAGCTTCATTGAACCATGTTGCCATCAATTGGATTGCTAGAGGTTTGCCATTGTGGAATCCAGAAGGAATGGTCACAGCAGGAATACCTGTCAAATTGGCAAGGGTAGTGTACTCCATTGATTTGGTTGTCCATGTCGCATTACTAAGTCCATAACTATGTGCTCTTTTGGGAATACAAGGTGCTTGAATGGCCGTCGTTGGTGTTAAAATCAAATCTACATTGTCATCATCGAATATACGTTGCAGATGGTTCATCATCAATCCTCGTACTTGTTGTGCTCGTACATAATCTCTTGCATCCAAATTTTGTGATATTACTGACATGATCCGGGTATATGCTGAGAAGGATCGACGCTGATCTTGGTAACGGGAAGCAAAGTCGTACATTTCAGAACAAATCGTCACCAGATGAGCTAAAAATAATTCAGAGTATTGATAAATAGATGAGTATATACTAACAAATCATTCCCACTTTTCTTTTCTTTTCTTTTTTTTTTTGTTTTGTTGTTGGACACTAGCATCTTACCTGTAGCGGCTAATTCCAAATCGGGAATATCGATTTCGATCACCTGGGCACCGAGAGATTTGAAATAATTGATATAAACATCCATTTGACGTAAAGCAGCAGGATCATCCACTTTTTCATTCCAACTAGGCATAACACCAATGGTAAGTCCTTCCAGAGTATGAGTCAATGTATAATCCTTCAATGATACAGGAGGTTGGAATTTCGTTAATGGATCCTTTTCATCAACACCAGACATGATAGCATAGGTAAGTGATAGTGAATCAGCAGTACCCGAAATAGGACCTGACACTGCAAGAGAACAATCAAGAGGCACTATAAACATAAAAATTGAGTATAAAAGATAGATAATGCATATATTGCCCGTTAAATTACTTACTGCCACCAGCAGCGGACGTGCGACCGATCGTGGTTTTCAACCCATACAAACCACAAAATGCAGCAGGGATTCTAAATTGTAATAAGGGTAAGAATAACAAAAAGGTTGGTTCATCCATCAAAAAAGAAAAAAAAAATTGCCAAATATATATATTGCTCACTTACCTAACTGAACCGCCTCCATCACACCCTATTGCGATAGGAAATAGATTGGCAGCAACAGCACCAGCAGATCCACCAGAGGAACCACCACAAGAGCTAGTTGATTCATATGGATTACTTGGAACACCAGTTGTCGGATTGACAGTGAACGTACTAATAATAATAAAAAAGAACAATGAGTATAACATACACATCATCCATATCTTAACATACTCCCATCCTAGTTCATTCATGACCGAATGACCCACAATAATAGCCCCAGCATCGACTAGTCGTTGTACTACAGTTGCGTTGGTCTTAGCAGGATGACCATCATTAAGAAAAGAAGTACCAGCTTTTGTTTCTAGACCAATGACATCCAATTCTTCTTTGACAGGAATAAAGATACCATCCAATTGACTTTTAGGAGTACCTTCTTTATATCGCCTAGTAGAAGCTGCTGCTTGTTCCAAAATAATGTCTTTGTTAACCATATGTCGAATAAAATGATATTGTTCATAATTGGCCAATGTTTCAATCACTGTTTCTGCAATCTATTTTTTGAAAAAGTACCCCATTATTCAGTCATTCATTTTTTTTTTCTTTTCTTTATTATTATTTATTTTACTTCTGACGGAGTGGTACGATGTTCAAGGTACGCTTGATGATAGTCCCAAAACGAAAGAAAGAGAGATTGACTTTTCGTATCACTTTCTAATCTTGGCCATTCAATCTAAAATAGGTGAAAAAAAGTTTATGATCAATAATTTCTTTTTCTATGAAACGAGTTTTTTTTTTATCCTTACATTTGAATCACGTTGAGCAAGATGGTTAGAAGCAGCAATGGAAAGTATGTAACTTTCAGGTATTGCCAATGATGTTGCTTTACCTTGGATTTCAGTATGTTCACGTAATGAAAGTAATTTTGCATCCTTTGCTAACTTGTATGACACGAAAGGAAGATATTCAACTGCATAAGCAGCTGCTACCAAAGGCCAACCATATAAAACCGGTGCTGTAAAAGGCTACTGAAATCAAAGAAAAAAAAAAGTAAGCACATGTATTAATATAATTGTTTAATTCTCATTCTTCCATACCTTGTCTGTTGGTTTCATTTTTCAAAAGGAAAAAAAAAAAAGTAAAGAAAGAGAAAAAAGAACGGTTGGAAAAAAGATACAACTTTCAACCGCGACTGGGTGAGAATTTTCTGAGGGTTGCCTTATTTGGATTCAATCAGTTGTCAATGCTATTGACAAAATAATAATAATAATAATAAACGTTACCACGATCATGATTTTTAATGTTAGATTTGACTCGGTGGCGTTTCATAGGAGGTATCCTTCATCAGCATTGTCTATACCTTCAAAGAAAAAAAAAATAATATTATCAAAAGGAAAGTAATACATCAGTATCCCTTACATGTTGAGATTATATATGCTATTGATATTGTAATTTAACTCTCTATATTTTAATTACAGTATGAATTAAGAGGTAGATCGTTTTTTGATTATTTTAATAGAAAAAAATAAATAAATTACGGTATGCTTATGATGTGATCACGAAATGGGTCAGAAGAGAAAGGCAAGCGAGAGATCAGGATTTGAATAAAAATGACTCTTATCAAAATGCAACTCGTCTTTATTTTTATTTTTTTTTTAAGGTTGAATGGGTTTTATGCTGTGAATATGTAATAATTACTTTAAATGTGGATTGATACCCAAACATAATATGAAATGGGAAAGAGGAATGATAATCAATAAAAATGAATCCTTTTAAAGAATATATATATATAATATTTTTATTTTCGATCATCTGATGAATATCATCATGTAAGATGATTATCACATGAAACAGTGACTTTTTCTTTTATTATTATTATTATTATTGATCAGAATTCATGCAAGAAGAATAACAACGGATAACAAATGGACGGTATTTTTATTAACCGAGATCGAAGAAACTCAATGATTTTTTTTTATTTTTATTTTTTTTATTTTTATGGTTTTTTTACATTCTCAAAGGGGGAATGAGGGGATATATATATATATTTATATTTCGGGAATGGTAGATAAAAAAGTAGTACCACAAGTAGGAGGGTATCTCATCATTGATCTTCGTGGTGGTGAATAAAAATAATCTTGAACCATATCCATTGACCATCTTTGTTGTTGACGTTGTCTTTGTGTTGACCATTCTTGTTCCTGAGAAAATGGATACTGCTGACATTGTGGATGAAGATCCGGTGTAGACTGGCACATGTCTGTGTGACCCTTGTGTCTAAAATGTGGCATCAACCATTTCTTTATTAGATTCATATACTTTTTTTGACTTGAATTCACTGTCTTAAGAGGAGAAGATGATGATGATGATGGTTTTTTGGATTTTGTTTTAGATGGTGAAGATATACTAGCAATACTATTTCTTTTCCACTTTCCAAGCATAATAATACTTTTTAAATAATAATAATAATAAAAAAAAATATAAAAAAAAAATAAAAAAAATAAGAAAAAAAAAAGAAAAAGAAAAAGAAAGAGAATGTCAAATAATAACCAAAAAAGTTATATTTGAGGTCATTTTCACTATTCACCTGAGCTAATCCATCAGGGGGGGAAAAGAGGATAATCAATATGAACCAATCTTCCTTAAAATAGATGACCCCGACGGACTCTTTTAAATTTCCCTCTCTTTTTCTTTCCCATTTTCTTCACTTTTCTTATTTTTTTTTTTTTTTATGTTGGAAGTCTTTTTTATCACCGCTTCTAGTCTGATATTACTCATTCAGGCTCAGGATGGGATCTCTACACCACCTATGGGTTGGTATGTTCATTACTCGTCTATTATGTCAATAGTACTAATCACCTTTTTTCTTTTTTGTCAAAATATATAGGAGTACATGGAATAAATATGGTTGTCATATTAATGAACAACTTATTAAAGATGCAGCAGATCTCATTGTTAGTCAAGGTATATACTATTTGGTTTCTATTTTATTTTATTGATAACTTATCATAAATTCTTTCTTATTATAAAAGGTTACCATAACGCAGGTTATACTTATCTCAATATGGACGATTGTTGGCAATCTAATGAACGAACTTCCGATGGTCACATTATTATTGATCGTGAAAATTTCCCTAATGGTATTCGACCTATATCAGACTATGTTCATAGTAAAGGTAAGAAATAAAATAAAATAAAAACACGAAAACATATATGCTTATCCTAGTTTCTGCACTCCTCTTTAGGATTAAAGTTCGGCATATACTCTAGTGCTGGTCGGCAAACTTGCGCAGGTAAAAAAAAAAAAAATACACAAATATGTATGATGTGATTTCTAATTTAATATATCCTTTTTATTTATTTTTTTAATATAGGTAGAATGGCTTCTAGTGGATATGAACTACAAGATGCTCAAACTTATGCAAATATGGGTGTAGATTATCTCAAAGTAAGAAAAGAGAAGAATAGTTTTTTTTTTTTTTATTAAGCATTGGGTTTGTACTCCGAATATGCTTGTATGAACCCTTACTAAAACGGGAATCCATTGGTGTAACTCATCATCTTTTTTTTTTTTTTTTTTTTGATCTAGTATGACAATTGCAACTATGACGAAGGAGTTAGTGCCAAGACAAGGTATGAAATCATGGCTAAAGCAATCAATACTACAGGGCGACAAATATTTATATCTGTTTGCAATTGGGGAACAGGTAAATTAGTTTATGATGATGAATGTTTTTTACTTAATGATGTCATCTCTCTTCTTTCATTTAGAAAATACATGGGAATGGGCATATCAATATGGACACAGCTTTCGAACTCATGATGACATTTATAATGATTGGAAATCTATTGTTGAAATACTCAATGTACATGCTACTGTGGTGAACAATAGTGGTCCGGGACAATGGGCTGATCCAGGTAAGATCAATCAAATGATGACTAGATAATGTTAATCATATAAACCTTTCTTCTTTTTTTTTTTCTTCTTCTTCTTAGATATGCTAGAAGTAAATATAAGAAAAAAAAAGATTACGTATTTGATGACAACTTGACTGAAACGAATGATTTTTTTTTCCTTCTCTTCGCTAGATTGGCAACGATAGACTTACTGTAGATGAATCAAAAACTCATTTTTCGATCTGGTCAGCCATGAAATCGCCACTTATTCTTGGAAACAGTCTAAGTGATATGCCAAGTGAACTATATAATTTTGTTACCAACAAAAACGTGATCGCCGTGAATGTAAGTCTTAATATTAGTTTTGTGTAATAAAAGTATATGTGAAACGATCTAACTTCTTTTTTTTTTTAAAAAAAAAAATTAGCAAGATCCTTTAGGATTACCTGCAAAAAGAATACTTCACGTTGCTCATGATAAAGATATCTGGGTTGGTGAATTGGTAAATCAAACAATGGTTGTAGTCATCATCAATTATATGGATCAACATCAAACCTTCAATATCGATACTCATTACTGTGGATATATTGGATCAGATATTAGAGCCTTTGATTTGTGGGAAAATGCGACGATACCGATGAAAGATCAACGGTAAGAAATTGGATAGATTTTATTCAAACGGATATTAATTTAATATATCAAAATAGTTATATCAACAATCTTATCATCCCACCTCATGGTGTCTCTATGTTTACACTCTCCAATGGAACAATCATCGATAGCGTTATCAAGGACACAGAAGTAGGTACCAACAATGACATGGATAGTACCAAATTATCTCGGCGTTATGAGGCGGAAGACTTGAACAATATGGTAAATGGTTTGGCACGTCGTCGCGGATGTTTAGACTGTTCTGGTGGTGCACAAGTGATTGCTTTGGGAAAAGTGAATGATCCACAAACTGGGACCCTTCGATTTAGGAATATCAAGATTGATCGTGCGGGGATTTACAAATTGACCATTGGATATTTGGATTGCTTTAGTTGGACAACATGTGGTGATTACTGGACAAGACGATGGCAATTAGGTGTTACTCTGAATGATCATGAAATGGATATGACGAATCAACGACATTTGACAATTGCACTCAAATCACATCGACAAACGGAAACAACAGGACAATATACACTGGGCATGGTATTAAAAAATGAAAAGACTCTAGATATCACTATGGATAATCCGAATGGTTTTGGTAAGAAATGCTCTCATCATAGAGAATGAAATTTATTATTTACCTTTTTTTTTTTTTTTAATATTATTTAGGCCCAAGTATTGATTATATTGAAGTGGAATGGGTACAACCTTTGGATGATCATGATGATAATACACGACTTTTCTTCCTGCCTTTTTGGCAAAGTCATGATCCTCTCGCATCAAGCGATGCCTGGGCACTACGATGGATAGCAGATTATTTTTGGGAATGGATGGGTGCGGTTCTTGTCCTTTGCATTATTGGTTTTGGATCTTATTTTATTTATACACGAAGAAGGCGTCGCCGAAACAATTATACCAACATTGCATCTTCCAATTCAAGTATCATCACTGTTGAAGGTAAAGGAAATGGAGGAAAAAATAAATAGAGACGATGGATAAACTGATTGGTAATTTTTTTTTTTTTTTTTTTTTTGGTTAGAGTAAAGATCATCTCAATTCCCCATCTTTTGAACAGTACCTTTTTTTTCATACATATCCTCCTTTTTATATACACATACATGTCTATTTACCTTTTTACACATATACATAGTTTACTTAGCTCAATTCTTCTCCTTTTATATATATATATATTGTTTGTATATGATCATCTATATTATATTATAATAAATATTTCTCACTCTGTTGTACTATACATATTACAAATTAGATTAATCTAATGTACATACATATTATTGCCTAACCAGTTTCGCATACTGTAATAATAACAAAAAAAAAAAAGGAATAAAACAATATTGTATTTTTTTTTTTTACTTTTTTGCATTTTTTTAATTTTTGATATGATTCTATCATCTATATAATATAATGAATGATTATGGAATAAAAGGGGGGGAATAACAATGGAAGAAATAAACTAAAGAGGAGAAGAAAAGGGGGAGAATGATCAAGTAAAATCAAGGAATAAGGATTGATAAGGATCACCAGATTGTTGTTGTCGATTGTCATTGTCTTCTTCCAGGTCGATTGTATATTTTTCAAAGTTGCCTGTATCTCCAGGATGATGATAAGGAGGAATGATGGGTGCTCGTACAGATTTATCCAAAAGACCAAGCCAATCTACTCCTCTAAACCATTTATGTCGTTTGACGTCCTCGGATCCAGACTAAGTAAATAAATAAATAAATAATAAAAATGATTGGTTTCAATCACTTTTTTTTTTTTTTTTTTTTTTACCTTTAAATTACCAAGTCGTTTACTTCGATCACCTACTAAAAGTCGTTTCAATAAATCTTTGGCCAAAGGATCAAAATGAGCTGGGAATTGAACTTTGCCTGCCAAGATTTTTTCGTAAATACCAAAAGAATTATCATCAAAGAAAGGAGGGTAACTAAGATGCAAACAAGTAAATGAATATCTAAAAATATACATGCATTTTAACTTACCCAGCCAACATTTCAAAAATGAGAATGCCAAGAGCCCACCAATCCACTGCTTTACCATGACCTCTACTTTGAATGATTTCTGGAGCAAGATATTCAGGTGTACCACATAATGTCCATGTTCTATATTGAGAAAAAATGAATTTAGATTTTGTTTCCGTTTTTTTTTTTTCTTTCTTTTACCTATCAAGAACAGTCTTTGCAAATCCAAAATCAGTGATTTTGATATGACCTTGATGATCAATTAAGAGATTTTCTGGTTTGAGATCCCTAATAATAATAATAATAACAAATTCAGTTGATTTTCTTTTTTTTTTAAAAAAAAAAAGAAAGGAGAATTTCAGACTTTACCTATAAATGATATTTTTAGCATGAAGATATTCAATAGCAAGTACTATTTCAGATGCATAAAAACGAGTCATATCATTGGTGAATCGACCAGCACGCCGTAAATGAGTGAATAATTCGCCACCAACTACATATTCCAATAACATATGAAGATTATGATCATCTTGAAAAGTACAAAATCTATCATGTATATTCAATAAGTTAAAAGAAGAATAAATAAAAAAATAAAAAAAAAACTTACAAATCGACAATAAAAGGGAATCGAATATTGGCCAAAATACGTTTTTCTGATAAAATATGTTCCACTTGTTTTAATCGTACCACTTCAGATTTCTTCAACACTTTCATTGCATAAAACTTGTTGGTTGTTTTGAATTTGGTAAGATAGACTCGACCAAAGGTACCCGTTCCTAATCCAAACAAATAACATAATTGCATAAGTAATACATTTCTCCTTAATTTTTTTTTGGGGGGTGTTACCAAGAATATCTAAAAGATCAAATTCATCCAAAGAAAAGGCAGGTTTATGTACATAAACTGGTGATTGAGAATGATATTGTTGTAAACGAGATTGTTGTTGTTGTTGATAAGCTGCTGATTGTGTTAAATGTCTTGATGTTTGTCGATTAGTAATATTTACTGTATGGTTAAAACTACTAGATGGTTTATAAAAAGTCGATTCTTTTTCAACAATGGTATCCAAATTTTCTGATGGTGTAGATCGATAAGAACTAACATTTTCAAACTCTATCATTGCTAGTATAGAAAAACAAAAAAAGAGAAGAGGGTATCACACTATACTATTGATAGAATAGTATTAGTCAAATTAAAAAGAAGATAAGAAAAAGAAGAAGAGGAAGAAAATAAAAAGAAAGAGAGCATAGAAAACAAAAGGAGGTGAAAAAAAAAGGGAAAGGAGAGAGAGAAAGAGGGAGGAGAAGAGAGCCATGTCCAAAAAAAGCTTTTTTTAATTTCCAAAAGGGAAAAAAAGGATCTGATATTTGAACCCAGATTACCACTTTGTTTTTTTTCGTTTTTCTCTTTTAACTTCATTTTCTTACTCTACTATAATATAACATGAATTCTCTTCGTATTGCTTCCCGTTCTTTGCCTCTTCGAGGTAATAAATATCCTCTTTTATTTATTTATTTATATTAAATTATTATTATATATTTATATATTTTTAGGTATTCGTACATTCCATACCAATTTGCCTCGTTTCACTGGTAAAACCATCGAAGTTGACTCTGATAGTTTCAAGTCCTCTGTTTTAGAAGCAAATCATCCTGTTCTTGTTGACTTTTACGCAGAGTAATCAAATTGAAAAATAAATATATAAAAAGTTAATTCATTCAATGTTTTCTTTTTTATTTTAGTTGGTGCGCTCCTTGTAAAATGTTGGGTCCTATTTTGACAAAAGCTGTTGCTGACAATGGCAAAGTTTCCTTAATGAAGATTGATACTGATAAATACACTGACATTGCTCAAAAATACAAGGTAAGTTTTAAAACAAATATTACAAAAGCGTAAAACTCATATTTTTTTTTCTTTCTTTCTTGACATATAGATTGCTGCCTTACCTACTGTACTTGCTTTCCATAATGGTGAAGTGGTAGATCAATTTGTGGGTATGCGTAACAAGTCTCAAGTCGCTACTTTTGTGGAATCCCATGCTGATCGTGCGTCTTAGATAGAAAGATATTAATTAGGATAGATTATCTTTATTATTAAAAAAAAATATAAAACACAATACTATTATTATGTGTATATGATAAAAATCGTTTATTCAAAATTATGTGTATATAGATGTGTGTGATGAACTAAAATAATAATAATAATAAAAAATATTAAAAAAAAAAAAAGAATAGAGGTATATATAAAAAAAAAATCTACCAAAGTCTATGTATGTTTAAAATCTATGCCCAAACATCTTCAACATAACGTCCAGATTTCCGTAATTGCTGTACAAAAGAAACACCCTTTTCATCAGAATAACCACCAAATTGCTTTGACATATCAATGACTGCTTGTTGGACATCCTTAGCCATGTATTTTGCATCACCACAAACATAAAAATAGGCACCTTGATTTAAAAGATTCCACATTTCTTCACCATGTTCAGCTAAACGATGTTGTACGTATACCTTTTTCTGATTAGGTTCCCTAGAAAAGGCTGTGATCATTCTTGAAGAACCACCAAGTGCACCAAACAATTCAGGCCATTCATCACGATAAAGATAATCTTCATCCGATCGACGACAACCAAAGAAAAGGATGGTTGTACCTACTTGTTCTCCTTTGACTTGCTTTTGATACACACGTTCTCGAACAAATCCACGGAAGGGAGCAACACCTGTACCAGGTCCCACCATGATCACTGGCGTATTTGAAAGAGAAGGTAAACGGAAGTTTGATTGTCGGATATGTACAGGAATCTTGGCTTTCATTTTTCCATCTTGTTCATCTAAATATTGTTGTCGAGGTCCATCCACGATATACTTAGGCATGGGTGATGTGTTGTTAACAACCACTTGATGAAGCGCCCATAAATAATTGGTATTGACGCCATAGACTGTTCGTTCAGGAGTTGGATGATATTGTAAAGTAACGGCTGTGGCACTGACTGTCGTGGCTGATTCGCTGGAAGAGGATGAGATGGAGTAATAACGAGGTTGTAATCGAGAATAACATTCCAATACCACAGGAAGAGGCACATTCTTCAAAACGCCTTGGGTATTTTCGCTAGCTAATGAAACAAGTTGACCCAAATTATATACACCATCCACAACCACCGTTCGATATTCATCCTTGTTGTCAATCAAATTTTGAAAGAATGATTTGACCTTGTCATCCGTACAGTAAGGAATCAAGAGTTCCAGAGTAGATCGAGAGGGAATTTGAGCAATATCCAAGTAGTGTCGAAGAGCAGCACGTAATGTTGTAGGTTGAGGAAAAGGTGCTTTACCCATAGGATCAGTAGGCATAACAGAAATCACTTGATCCATTCGCATATCGTCCCATCCAAAAAGATAAGCTATCAAAGATACTTCTGTTTCATTGTTTGTAGGCCAGATACCAAGATGATCACCGGTTGTATAGGACATATTGCTACCTGTCAAATCGATATCCAAATGAAGGCAATGACGTTGTTCAGATGAAGTTGGAGTCAAGTCATAAAGTTCCAAAGGAGCAGGATAAGGTCGCTTAGCATTATAAGTTGTTATTTGCTGAGTATCACCAAGTTCACCCAAAAAAACAAATGATTCTTCCGTATTCTTTTCTATTACGTTATAAGCAAGTTCTTGTTGACCCGTTGTTGTTGCTGTTGTTGTTGTAGTTCCCAAAGCTTCTGTCAATAGAGGCCAAAAACCTTCTTGCCAATGTATAAAGTCATCTTCCATAGAATTGTCATCATCACCTGCACCAAGTTCGCCAAGTCGAGTTGCACCCAATTGTGTCAGTTGTTTATCCATACCAATAGCTGCGCCATTAAAGTGTTCATAAGTCCGGTTGCCAAGACCAAACATAAAATAACGTAGACTTGATAAAGGTTGACTTTCAGCAGTATCTTTAGAAAACACAGGTACATCCTTGTGAAGAAGTTCCCAAAAGTCAATGGCACTATCAGTAGGTTCACCTTCTCCATAAGTAGAAACTATAAATACTACAATAGTTTCTTTATCCAATACATCCAAATAACGAAGATCATAAGTTTCCAAATCTGCTACTATAGGTTGAATGTTGAACCGTTTTTTGCATTCTTTTCCAATACGCTGAGCAAAATCTTCGCTTGTTCCAGTTTGTGATCCATAGAAAATAATTAGTTCGTTTCGTTTCTGAGAATTTGGAAAGAAAAGAAAAAAAAAAGGTGAATTTACAAGAGACTCCGATGATGAAATAAAAGTTTTTTTTTTTTTTTTTTTTTTTTACCTGATCTTTCATGATTTTGACAAAATTGGAATTATCATCATCATTACTTGTATTTTGTTTATGAATAGGTGTTATATCTTTTACTATTGATTGATTGTCTTTACTAATAGCGAGACTCTTTGATATCATCCAAGTTAATAATGTACCAGCACCTATTGTGCCTAACAGTAACATCAATGGATGATGATCAAAATGGGTATTGCTTTGTAACATTTAAGTATATTCAATAATAATAATAAATAAATAAATAAGAAAAAGAGAAAAGAAAAGAAAGAATTATAATATGACTTTATATATACTTTGATCTTATACAACTTCGCAAAAATAGAATTTCCATTCTGGCATTGAATGTTTATTTCAGCCGGATCTAGATAACTATGCCAAAATAACATTAAATAACCCCTCCTAAAGCTTAGCTATTTGAGGTTAAAAATAAATGGATCAAATCATCTTCCGTCACAAGTATATTATTTCTATTTGGATAATCCCCATGATCAAAAATGGTATATATTGTATATTGTGATCTATTCGGTTAAACTATGGATCTTCAATTGCCAAGTTTCGGAACAAGGCGGCCGACAATCCGAATAGCCAATCGGTTGATCGCTTTTTACAATGGATCACAGAAATATTTCACTTTGACTCAATATATATATATATTCCGGGAAAGTTTTTTTTTTTTCACCCTCTGTCCCTTGCTTTTTCCTACCCCCTTTTTTTATTTATATATAATTTTTTTTAATTCTTTTTCTATTGATGAACAGTAAATTTAAACTATTCTAGAATTTTCTATTATAAACAATGAAATATTTCCTTTCTTTTTACTATGATTAGCTTCATCATTGGCATATTTCATTCGGTGATTGAAAACAAAGGGAATGTTAACTTGATGCTGTCAGTTTTTGACGGATTCATGCCTTATTTTATATGTATGATACCTTAATCCTTAAAAGGGATTATCTTTTCCACCAAAGATTTAATATCAATTTTATATTCAATGGATTATATATAACTTTTTCTTCATATAAAAAGTATTCATCTTTGAATAATAATAATAAAAAAAAAAGTGATTACTCTTAGTCGATATATCATGTGACTAGTTTTTTTTTCTTTTTAGTATACTGATATCCCGACCACTTCAACTTCCTCCTTTTTCTTTTCTTTTCTTTCTTTCTTTTGCTTTTAACACTCTTGATCTAGGTTGATTCATTCATTTTACATACAATTATCGAAACGATGACACTCGATACACCTAAGCGTCGTGTATGTAATCTTTGGAAGGTACAAGGTAAGAAACGCATCACTGTAGAAATAACTATGTTTATTTTCATTCTTTTTTTTTTTTTAATCGCAGTAATTAACTTGTTCTCACTTTTTTTTTAATAGAAATGTTGAAGGCCGGTATGATCAGATTGGTAAGAGGAAGAAAAAAAAAAAGAGAAAGAGAAATAAAGTGAATATGTTCAAAAAAAAAAAAAAAAAAAAGGAACTGACGTTATTACTTTATATATATATTAGGATGCATCATACCAACGCGATATTGTTTGGAAACCTCCCAAGATGTCCATGTTAATTGACTCGATCATGAAGAAATATTATATACCACCATTACTCTTTGCTATAAGAATGACGGAAGATGGAAGTAAGGTTCATGTTTGTATTGATGGTAAACAACGTCTTACTTCTATTGCAAGGTAAAAAAAGAAAGAATGAAAGAAAATGATTTATTTATTTATTTTTATTTTTATTTTTGATAGATTCACTCAAAATCAAATACCCTATCTCGACGATTCTACTGGTAGTATTGAAGAAGTTTATTTCAATCCATCACTAGAAAATAGTCAAGTCACTCATAAGGATAATATCAAACAACGATTTCTATCTGAAGCTGATCGTGATACATTTAATGATATGGAAATCTTAATGCGTAAGTATTATCATATTGACGTTTTCTTTTTTTTTAAACTTATAACTTTTTTTTTGTTTATATTACAGTTGAATTTCATGATCTGGATGAAGATGAAGAAGTAAGTCAATATATATATATATATATATCATTGTTACTAATCATCGTTTTTTTTTTTTTTTGGATTTTGATCTTAGTTGGAAATCTTTGCTCGCGTACAAATGGGCGTTTCTATTACTGGCGCTGAAAAACTTTTGGCCACGAATTCTGAAGCATCCAAGCTTTGTCGTAGTCTCCTGAAAGAGCATGAAACTTTGGATCACGCTCTACAAAAGATGAAGGTACAACCGTTTCAATATGTCGCCCAACTTATGTTTATGATCCACGAAGATAGTGACAAGTTTGTAGCCACGCCAAAGAAGTTGATGGATTTTTTGAAAGATCGACATATTGTGTTGGCGGATCGTTATAAACGAGTGGTAAAACGAACGATCAAAACTATGGACGAAGTCTTCAAGAATCAAAATGCCAATCGAGCTCTCTATTATTATCATGGTCTCGACGGTACAAGCACAAAATCACATCTCAAGAACATTGAATTTATCATCTTTGGTTATTATATCACTCAATGCAAAAAAAGTATCAAGGCACCTGAATTGGCATCTGATCTGATTGATCTTCGACGGTATCTTAAAGAAGAATATAGTGCTACGATCCATACTGGTAATCCTTGTTGGTCAGCAGGAAGAGAATGGGTGAAACGAAGATTGGCATCAAAAAAAAGAAGGACAACACCTGCAGCTTCAACAATGGAATATTTTGAAGAGGAATCAGATAATGATGATGATGATGACGACGATGATGATAGTTCCAACGATTTGGGTACAAGAGCATTGAATTCAGCAAATCATCATCAACAAATACTTGTCCCTCCTTCCAAACGTCGTCGAGGTCCTTCTTTACAAGAATATATTGATACCAAGCCAGAACATATTACAATAACACCATCATCAACAACACTAGGATCAACTTCAAATGGACATACAAATGGACACACCAATGGACGTGGGAAAGCTTTAGCAAGGCGAGGTGGAAAACGATCTTTACCTTATGCAAGACAATAATCTCTGTTTATTATTATTTCTTTTTAACACTGAACTAGCTAGTCACTTCTATTACTGTATATACAAATCTTTTTAAATAGGACTAGTTCACTCATTCTTATCCTATAGTACATCAATTTCTTTCTTCTTTTTATTGTTGTTTTGCTTCTTTTTACATGTGAATAAAAATATTATTATTACTTCTTTATTGATCTTCATTTGTTTGATATTTAAACCCATAAACTTTCTTTTTTTTTTTTTTTGGAGGTTTCTCCACTTTTTTTTCTCCTCTTTTGTTTTATAAATTAATGACGAAAGATTATCACACTTCAACATTTGAGGCAGAGGTACTTGATAATACATTACTCTCGATACCCGATGTGTATACCGATTATATTCACCCACAATTAATCTTGGTTTTACATTATTTGGTAACAATATGTTCTTATTGTCTCTATGCATTGGTCAAGATCATATATGTGGCGGTACTTACCATTCTTTGGCCGGTGTATCTTATATGTTCGTTTTTTATTTTAAGGCCGTTATATTATTTTTATCATCTCTGTCAATTATTGTATCCAGTGGCCATCTATCTTGGTGTGGCTGTGATTTGTGGTATTATTATTGGTGGTTGTGCTGGATTCACTGCCGAAGCGCTTTCTTCCATCATTCTCAATGCTACTTGGGGTCCATCAACAACAACAACAACAACAACTGTGGATAAAGTTTATCTCGATACAAATGATATGGATGATTTGACAGATGATGGGAATAGTTTTGAGGATTGGAATGATTTGTATAATGATATTACACAACAAGAAGAAGAAACTATGTCTTGGAAAAAAGAGGAAACTGATGATGATGATGATGATCACCCGAAAAAGGGAAAACAAGCAATGCTCCGGCGACCTTCCATGAACACCAACAAGAATAGTATCAAATACAGACCTATCAAGATAAAACAATCATACGACTCTGAATGAAATCAAGTTAATAGTTGGTTTATTTGTTTATTCTTTTTTGTACATATGTTTCTTTATTTTGACCTTCAATAAAATAAGGATGATGATGATGTTGGACTTGATTGAGTTTTTATTCCTAACTATCGGTTCAAAGCACTTTTTTTTTTTTTTTTACAATAGATGGAGAACAATGTTGAAACAAATACAAACGAATGAGGTATCGTTTGATACTAACATTAAGTAACAAATTGGTTATCATCACCTATCATATGGCCATTCATAACTTTTTTCCATTCATTACTCTCTTTATCTATCATAATGATTGCATTTTTTTTTTCTTTCAGTAAGTGAGCAAAAGCAGAGAGATCAGATACTGTTTCCAATTTCTTTCTTTTTTTTTTTTTTTTTTTTTTTTTGCAGAGACAGAAATCCTTAATTAGGCAATAATCTGATGGATGAAATGAGAAGTTAAAAAGCTTTTTTTTTTTTTTGTTATTATTATGATCATGATGTAATAAGAGAGCAAAAACGAATTACAGTGATAAACCGAAGATGATCATTCCTTTTTTTTTTTTTAATTATGATATATCTGAAAGCATGATGAAAGTGATCCATCACCGAACATGTATCCATTATATGAAAGGTAGCACATGAACAAAAAAACGGCAGGAATTGGTGGGAATTCATTGGATATTTTATTGAGACCCTTTTTCTCTTTGTTTCTTACTTTTTTATTATTATTATTATTATTATTTTATTTATTTGTCATGTATAAGCTACCTACTTGTGAAGAATTTATAGAATGGAAATTAAGACGATTATTGATTCAAAATCAAGGATTAAAAGCTCAATTGGAAATCTCAAGAATACCAGTGAGTGAGGCTTCACAAACGTAAGAACAAAATGATAAAATATCAATCTCTCATTTTATTATCTTTTTTTTTTTTTTTGATAGATTAATTCATTATTGTATAAATACATATGATCCTCTTTTATCTTCTATTTGGGGTTCAGTTGAGGATGATTCATTTATCAATAAATATAAATGGAAATGTTGTATTCTTTAACGTGTCCTTTGACGGAATTTCAATCTTCTATGATTCATAGATTTCAGATTTTCCCCTCCTTTTGTACTCCTTTTTCTCTTTTTCTTTTTTTTTTTTTTTTTTTTTTTTGGTTTCGACATTACTCTTTAAAAGGGGTGTTTTCTTCCTTTTATTCTTGTTTCTTATTATTGTTAAGAAAACTACTTTTATAAAATATATTGTTTTCTTTATATTCAATTTTTTTATTTTTTTTTTTGTATATCCAACTCATGTCCACCAACTCGATCAAGATCTTCACGGGTAATGCTCACCCAGAATTAGCAAAGATGGTAGCTCGACATATTGGTATTGACCTTGCCATGGCAACAGTGAAAAAATTCTCGAATCAAGAAACATCGGTAGCGATTGGAGAGTCAGTTAGGGATGAAGACGTGTTTATCATACAGTCCGGCTGTGGGGAAATCAACGACCATTTGATGGAACTTCTTATCATGATCAATGCCTGTAAAGCCGCCTCTGCACGCCGCATTACCGCAGTCATCCCATGCTTTTTTTATGCTCGTCAAGATAAAAAGGACAAATCGCGTGCTCCCATTACTGCCAAGTTGACTGCCAATATGTTAACTGTCGCTGGTGCTGATCATATCATTACTATGGATTTACATGCTTCTCAGATTCAAGGCTTTTTCAATATCCCTGTGGATAATCTTTATTGTGAACTTTCTATGGTCAAGTATATTCAAACTAATATTCCTGATTGGAAAAATGCTATCATTGTCTCTCCTGATGCTGGTGGTGCAAAACGGTAAAAAAAAGTTTGATAAAAAAAAACCTTATTTTTTTAGTTTTTGGTAGTACTTTTATTATACCTTTGGCTTAATCACACTTTTTTTTTTTTTTAGTGCCACTTCCATTGCCGATAGGTTAAACTTGGATTTTGCTTTGATTCATAAAGAACGAAAAAAAGCCAATGAAGTATCACGAATGGTATTGGTGGGTGATGTACATGAGAAAATCGCTATCTTGGTGGATGATATTGCCGATACTTGTGGTACACTGGGTTTGGCTGCAAAAACTTTGGTAGAAAATGGTGCAGAAAAAGTCTATGGTATTGCTGTTCATGGTGTATTATCTGGAAATGCCATTCAAGTCATTAACGAATCCGTCATTGAAAAAATGATTGTTTCCAATACCATTCCTCATGAAGATAAGAAGGTATGTCACTGTATTACTCATACATATATATATACTCACTATCTGTCTACCTTTTTTTTTTTTTTTTTTTTACCAATTTGGTGGAGTTATTTCCTCATTTGTAGGCTCTTTGTCCTAAATTGGATACGATCGATGTATCTGGCACTTTGGCTGAAGCTATTCGAAGGTAAATCAATGTATACATATTTATGTGTACAAAGGACCAAAAAAAAAAAATCCTCTATTTGACTATCAGATTGACTTTTTTTTTCTTTTTTTCATTTCAAATAGAACACATAATGGTGAATCTGTATCTTACTTATTTTCTCCTCATTGTATGTAGACTTACTCTCAATGAAATACTCCTCCACCATCATCCAGTCAGCATATCATATATAGAAATCCTTTCTCAAAGTAAGATGAATACTTTTGTTCTCTTATTTGTTAGTTTTTTATTATTATTATTGTTTTTACTTCTTGTGTTGTCTACCATATTATATATTTTTACTTTTATTTACATCTATATATATCATCTTTGTATTATGAATAATAATAATAATAATAATAAAATGACGTCTTTTTTTTAAAAAAAACAATGCCATGATGAATTCAGTGTTAGAAGTAGGGAATTCTCCTATAAATAAAACTTGAATGAAAATGAAGGCAATATAAAACAATCTTTATTGAACCAAAAGTAGTATCTATAAATATATATATATATATATATAACAAACTAACTAATTACTAGTTTTTTGGAATAGCTAAAACACCAGAATGCCATCCACCAAAACCAATGGCAAATACATACATATCTTGGAAAGCTTGTACTTTTGTTGGAGACTCCAGATGATGTTCTTCCATATCTTCTGTTTCACCATGTCCTAAAGCACCAGCACTAAATGCACCCCAAGTCAATAAATCTCCTTGATTGGTCAAAGCACCACAGTGATAACTACCATAAAAAAAAAAATAAGTATATACAAAATAGATCTTATTTTTCATCATGACACTTACTCTCCAAAGGATACTTTGCAAATACCTTGATGATTGAGGATTTGAGGATGTTGATCAAAGGGATCATCATGTTTGCCTAGTAATACTTGACCATCTAAAGTATATACGGCAAAGGAATGAAAGGAGGCAGAGATAAATCGATGAAGATGATTGCGTTGATTGTCTTCCTGTTGTGCAGCACCAAAATGAATATATTCCAAAACATACGACGTAGGGGCCCGAGACATATCGGCCGACGAACAATCCACTTTATAAACACGTCCAAACCGTGAGAGAGCCAAGGTATCATGTTCCATGCCAGCTATTTGTACAATAAAATCATCCTTCAACACTGGTCGAGCAAGAAGATTAGTAGATGATTGTTGATATGAGCGGTGTAATTCGTCATCTTGTCGAAGACTATTCAAAGTAATCACAGGTACATTGTCATCCAATATAAGGTCAGTAGATGCTGATGGTTCAGCTGGAGATACCATGGCCGGTAATGGGATCACTACTAGTTCACCATTTTCTGTCAAGATTGATGATCGACCCCAATTAGCAGATACTTGTACCACTACTTTGTTTTGAAGAGAAGAAGGTAGATGTACACGTTGTGGTGTCCAAATGTTACTCCAATGCCATACAGTTCCATCTTGCGCCAAAGCTATTGCATGAGATCGTCCTGCTGAGATGGAAACAATGTGTGTATTTTCAGGAAATGCCACCAAACTAGGTTCACGTACAAGTCGACTTCCCATGGATCGACTTCGATTGGCTTCTTTTTGTAACTAGAATAGAATCATCATTAATATCATCCATTTATTTATTATTATTTTTTTTTTTTGGTTCTTACCGTTCCCCACATCCAAACACGTCCATGTTTATCTAATGCATGAAATGACCATCCACCTGCAACTATATCCACAATGTTTTTCCCACGAAGACTTGTTAGTTCATGAGGTGTTGAAACAGCTCGCGAATTACTAATGGTGTATGTTATAATGATAAGTAAATGGTTTTGAATACGAGCATAAATATATATACTACTTACAAAAAAAGACGAGTACCAAGGTCTCGATCAGTATGTCCTAAACGACTATCAGCATTTTCACCCCAAGTATAAACACGAGAGTCATTCAGTCGCATATAAAGATTCTTCCAACCCATTTGACGAAAACTGGCATCCAAAGGAATATGAAAGTCTTCAAGGACAAGGTGTTTCCATAAAAGTTCATCCTGGCAGAGTTGACTGAATAAGCGTGAAGTTAATGATAGTTGTGTTAAAGAAGGTGCATCCAAATTCCTTAATATATTGTTCAAAAGAATATCAGTAGGAAGTTCAGTTAAAACGGAACACGACATGGTATACAGTATAATACAAAAAAAAAAAAAAGGGAAAAAGAAAAGAGCCAAGAGCTTAAAAAGTCGCTTTTCTTTTCTTGGTAGCGTTTTGAATTCCGGTCATTCGGCACGCTAACGGCACAAAAACTAATATACGTATAAAAATCAGTTGTTCGTTTTTCTTATCTTGTTTTTTTTTTCTCTCCTTTATTTTATAATAAATTATACATTCTCCACTTTTACATAATTCTTTTGTACATTAACAAGTAGTAGAAAAGATTAGACCCATGTCTTTGATTCTACGCGTGCTATCTTTATTTGGTTTGTTCTTGGCCATTGTCCTGAAGAGCAATCCTTCACGAGTGACCTTACCTTCTCTTTACCAACATCCTTCAGAATTATATAGTCCAGATTTCTACGATGGTGGCAACGATTTGATCTTACCCATGGGTAGAATGCGTTATTGGGAATTTGGTCCTACGGATGGAAAGAAGGTTTTGCTTATTCATGGTATTTCTACTGGTGCCTCGACGTATGACAAAGTAGGCCGTATTTTGGTAAGCAAAGAAAGAAAAAAAAAGGAGTCCTAACTACGGAATACATAGACTCATTCTATTATTATTATTATTATTATTATTTATGTTCTTGTAGGCAGAAAATAATCATCGTGTTCTTGTGTTTGATTTATGGGGACGTGGATATAGTGATGCACCTGCTATGCATTATGATGATTCCCTTTATGTGACACAGGTGGCTCTTTTACTTCAAAAAGTGGGATGGAATAAAATGGATGTGGTTGGTGTATCATTAGGAGGTAATAAGAAGAAAAAAAAACAAAGAGAAAGAGAAATAGGGAGACCTGAATCTATGGATGATGATTCTTATTTTTTTTATATATGTTAGGTGGTATCGCTTCTTCTTTTACTGCTTTTTATCCTGAAATGGTCAACAAATTAGTATTGATTGCACCAGCTGGGTTAATGGAACCTAATGATATGCCCTGGACTGGAAAGCTTGCTCGACATTCATTCATGCGACATATCGTCTCACTTCCTTTTGTACGACCTTTGGCGTTGGTGGCCATCAAGAATTTTTACAAATCAGTAAGAAGAGATCCTCTTAATGAAGAATCACAAAAGATCGCTAGTATTGCCCTATATCAATTTGAACATCATCCAGGTTTCTTGCGTGCCTTCCTTTATACAGTTTCAGATTTCCCTTTTTATGGTCTTCATGATCGATATGAAACTGTGGGTCAATATTGTCGTAATTCATCTCTTCAAGTTCTTGCTCTTTGGGGTGATGCTGATAAGGTAATTGGAAAAAAAGAAAACTTTTTAAGATAATGACTATTTTATTATTATTATTATTATAATAGACGGTACCATTTGAAAATGTTAAATTACTCAAGAGATATATTCCTGAAGCAACAATTGAAGTCTATCCCGGTGGTGGTCATGATATTATTATTACTCAAGCAAATAAAATAGCTAGTGATATTTTACAATTTCTTCAATAATAAAATAATATTATTTTTATCTTTTTTGAACAATAAAACATCGACCTCTTTTGGAACATGCAAGAGCTGATCCTGAGCAAATCCATCATAGACTAGATGTATTTATATTTTATTTTATTTTTGGATTCACTGCACTTATTTTCCCATCCCTCACTCCCTTACACTCCCTTTTTTTTTCACTTTTTTCAGTTCTCCTATCTGTCTTCTCCCCCCTTCTTTGTAGTATTTATTGATTTTACGGTGGTGAAATTGAATCTTTCCTTTTTCAATTATTTCAGCAATTCTTTTTTTTTTTTTTTTTTTTGCTATTTCTTCTTCTCTTTCTCTCTTTTTTTTTCAATGGTGATATTTATACTTGTATGTTTACTTTATTTATCAACCTATGGATCAACTTCATGGTCTTCATTTGGTCCTCCTTTTTTTACCAAAGTGAATCAACAACATGGACATGACGCTAACGACGAAACAAGCTTTGATGCTGACGATTATGAACCTTTACCAAACGATCATTTCCTTCCCGGTCCTGGACTACATGAAGACGGTACATTACCAACAACACTTCTCAATTCTATTCCGTATCGTGCCAATGCAAGCGATCTGGTCACAGTCGAACTTTTATGTATTTTGGATGATCATTTTTGTTCCAAAGTATTAGTGGCCCTGAAGGACGCTGCTCAAGAATTTACTCAAGTTGTTCATTTGAAAACCAAGCTTGTGTAAGATATAAAAAGTGCGATGATTTATATGTATATTAATAACTGATTTATATTTTAGAATCCGTGCTGCTTACTATGAATTTTGTGAACACATATGCGCCAATGATACCTATGGACTTGGTGCCCCATCCTCTCAGGTAAAATAAAATTATTATGATTATTTGGTTTTGAAAATAGATTAATAGATGTTTTTTTTATATGTATGATAGTTCACTTTACCATTCAAGGACGATGATATGAATTTTATATATCCTCAAGCGCTTGCAAAACAACTTTCACCTTACGAATATACAGCATCTTGGGTTTATCATGACGTGATGATTGAATTAAATCATGATCCATATATGAATTCTATCAACCATAACTATGATCATGGTAACGGAATACCTCCTTTTGGCAAATATTGGTTCAAGGGCGATCCCGACATCCGGCCATACCAAATTGACTTTGAATATATCCTGTTACATGAAATCCTCCATGGCGTTGGCTTTGTTAGTTCCTGGGCAGCCTATTTTGCAAATAATGCTTCTCCTTTTCATACTCTCTTGGACAATATCTTTGATCAGACAGAACTACAGATGGTAACACCTAGTCCTTATTGGTCAGTTCAACCGCCGACAGGTCCTACCTTTGTCACTGGATTTCAACCTACTATGATCTTTGACAAATTTTTATTCCTTGCCAACAACAGCAATAATAACGACAAGTTTTCTCACATGTCTCTAGCAACAAAAAAAAACAACGCGTCTTTAATGGATTTGGGATTTACTATGCAAGATTTTTGTGTCCAAGGTCATGAAGCATTTATTATTCATTTTATGGAAACTTTCAAACATTCATCTCAAGCACAAGAAGCAAGGGAACTTTATTCCATGTTGACTCAAGAACACGCTCTTACCTTCCAATTTGAACCGATGATGTTCAATAGCAGCCATAGCAACATGACTTACAGTATTCTCGACTACCTGAACGATACATATACACATATGAATCTGCTGACTGGAGAGCAGACATTGAATGCACTGAATCATCATGAACAATCAGGTAGACTCTTTCGACCGGGGGTGACGATTGCACATGTTGGAGATGAATTACAAGGAACACCGGATTTTATTATGACGGAAACATACCGAGAAGGCAAAACATTACAACAATGGGTGGATGAAGTGTATGCAACTGTCCCCGTGATTCATTACAAGATCGTACTAAATGAATCCACTACCGTGGAGCGGATATACAAATCTCCTATTGGGCCTGGCATATTGCGGATATTGGATACGATAGGATATGTGACAATTTTAGATCATACGAATGGCACCGGCAATGACGAAAAACAACAACCTTATAACAGCATGATGAAAAAAACCAAAAACAGCCATAGAAATGTGTGTGACGATATGCATACGACACTATTTGGAAAAATGGGGACAAAATCAAAGACTCCGATGACGCGCTTCACCTCCAACACTTCAAAACACCAAACATCTCATTTGATCAAGATTTGGTTTCTTATTATTCTTATTGTTTATTAAGGATGACCTTTTTTTGTATATATGTAGTATAGAACAGTAATATAGATTTGTTTTACTTTTTGTTTTGATTATTATTACTATATTCTTATTTGATGGATATCATTACCTCTTTTGGGGATTCCTTTTTCTTTTTTAATATGAACTCACACGAATAAACAAATTTTTTTTTTTTTTTTAGTTATATTCAATTTCATGTCCGCCTTTTTTATATGTTCATTTTAAAATACACACACACATACGAAAATGATCAAACAACAGCATTCAAATAGGTGGTACGGACGTGTCACAGAGAAGGGGGGAAAATCATCAAAGGATCCTCATTTCTTTTTATATTGCTATAGAAGCATCGGAGATGAGAAGCCCATGACCTTGTTTACCATCTTTCTCATTTTAGAATATAGAAGATAAAAATGATGTTGATACTTCATATATATTATATATATTATTTGTTGTTGTTTTTTTTTTTTTTTGTTGATAGACAATGTCAAATTGGTAACCAAAGTAAACCCATTGGTAATCCTTTTTATGGGATATGATTCATGCATCAGTACGCGGAGAGTCAAAGCAATCATCTCCTAATGAACTTTATTTTAGTGTTAGTATTCCCCATCTTTTTTTCGATCCCGCCTATGATGATTTCTTGCTTGTGCTTGTTTTCCCCTTTACCATCCCCTTGCGTTAAAAATGCATATAAATATAAAAAAAAAAAAAAAAACGGAGGTTTTCTCAATTTGGTTTTTCTTTTCCTGTTTGATTTTCTTTTTTCTTTTTTTTTTCTTTTTTTTTGCCACCCGATTTTTTTTTCTTCTTTTTTATAGAAATAATATGATGGGAGGAACTTGTTTATGTATCAAAGCAAAATGGGTGACATTAAAATCATGGTTAGTACCTTCTTCTTTAAAATTATTACATCGACGACGACGACATAATAAAAAAGAATATTATCAACAACAACAACAAATGCAAGAAAGACGACCTTCTCACTGTACTAGTTGTTCATCACAACCTTCAGATTTACAAGATGAAGATCGCCAAGCCTACTCGTTTTTCAAACGCCGGTCAAGTCAGAGTTCACAAATGACGTTGACTGATTTACAACGTGAAGCTGATAAAATCTATGATTTATTCTTGTTAGCTATGGATGAGGTAAAACTGAAAATGATGATGATGTATTATTTTAAATCTCATATTTTTTTTTATTATTTTAGTTGAATTATGCGGGTGACTCACAAGGTACATTTTATTATGTCAATGATCGTGTTAGCGCGCAAGAAGCTATTGAAAATTTTTCGTGTGCATCTATGCAATTATTGACCAAAGCACATGATCCTCAATTCAAATCTCAATTACAAGCAATGGTACGACCAAGATTATTACTATTACAAAAAAAATTCAATGCATTACCTGATGAAGATGATCCTCTGACCCATCGTCAATCTCTTTATTGTTCATAATATCATTTTCATTTTTCCATCATTCTTCTTTATCATATATTTCTTATGATATATATATTCTGTTCATTTTCACCGCATATCTTTCTTTTTGATTATACCTTTTATATATATAATATTTATTTTTTATCAATAAAAAAATACGCAAAAAAGGCTTTGTACATACCCCAAGTTTCAAACTGTAAACCCCCCGAGACAAAAAATATCGATAATTGGCCCACTGGTCTCCCCGCGGAAGTCGAAATCTTTGGAAGGTTTAAGTCTTGTTTTCTATTTTTTTTTTTCTGCTCTCCTTTTTGTTTCTTTAGTTCATTCTTACTTTTTATTTTTTATATTATTGGTTTATACTAACTAATGGTAGGTTGTTGTGGTAGATTACGCCTTCGATATATTAAACATGCTAGACTTGTCAACAACTGTTACCCAAAAAAAGAAGGTCAACTAGGTCCACTCTCAGCAGAACTCAGTTATCTCACCTTCTATGCAAGTTCACGTCCTGCAAAACTCACCAAAGTTGGATCCTATTTACAGAAAAAAGTCAATAATGATATACGAAAAGGAAGAAAAGAGTAAATGACAAAATATATATATATATATATATATATTTAACATTGAACTTATTCAATTCATTTTCCAATTAGAAACAACAAAGTCTCCCTTCGAATTCTCAAAGCTCTCATTCAGACATGTCACCGTGATATCAACTTATTTTGTCGGTCTGTTGTAGTTATCCTTATTCAACTATTAGATACAAGAGATATGGTGTTGATTGATTTGGCTTGTGATACGGTAAACTAAATAACATTGCATCAACATACCAAAATAAGGAACTTAACATGATCTATAGTTTTATGTATTTTGCAGTTATTACGATAGTGCCAGTCTTGGTGTGGATCCTGAATTTACTCGTGATTATGAAAAACTAGTGAGTCGGTTTGCCTCATTTGCGATCTATCCAAATGATGATGCTTCTTTGGCCTTGCAAATGAAATATTGTGGTCATAGAGCCATTGCTGCCATTGTCAATTCTTCGGCTATTCATTCAAGTGATACTGTTGTTCTCTTTGGCATCATTATACCTCCTCTATTAGCCACTCTTGATACTTCGTCCTCATTCGCTTTGGAACTATCCAAAAGGTAAAAAAAAAAAAAAAAAAAAAAAAGAATTCAAGTATATATGTAACTGGATTCTTCTTTTTTTTTTCTTATTATTATTATTGTCATTGTTATTATTTAGTGTCCCCTCCATCGATGTCCGTTGTTCTGTTTTTGAAGTGGAGAATTTATCTATGGAATGGATTCAACATTTGGCAGCTCAAACTTTGTCACTTTTATTTAGTTTATCTAATGGTATCGGCGTACGTACATCTCTCACTCCTTGTAAAGAGTAAGTTTTTTTCATCATATTAAACTAGTGATAACACTTTTTTTTTTATTTATTTTTAGTTATTATACTTCTCAACAAAGATGGTGGCCAACCAAGTTTTGTGAATCAGTATCAGAATTGATCTTACATTCAATACAGGTGAATAAAAAAAAAAATAATTGTCAAGCCTAGTTGTTATTTTTTAATGACATGTTTCTTTTATTATTATTATTGATTTATTTAGCCTCAATACCGATATCTGATGTTAACAAACGTATTATATTATCTTCATCGGCCTGTGGATATGACTGATCTTAGTCAAGTGGATCGCTTTGTTGGAAATGTGGCCATACTACGAACCATTTTGACTTCCAAATTACAACTGATGGGAGTTCCTGTTTTGGAATTATTGACTTCTCTTTATACACTGATGATGAAATCTCTCACAAGGACTGGCACCTTTTATGATAAGAAACCCGATTCTCAACATCCTGAACAACTCAAACATTATAGTGTGCAGCATGATCTTTTTGAAAGTATTGTCGGTCTCGCCTCTCAATCATATTATGCGAATCAATGGAATGATATTATTGGTTATATCATTGACAAACTTCGAACCAAACCTTCCTCTTCTCAAATTGATAATACTGATACTGTTGTTGATAGTGAACAAGAAAAAACGATCATCCGTGATGTCCCTACGCATCTCTATCAACAATGTAGTGTGCGATTTCTTTACATCTTTCAAGCAAATGCAATCAAGGCGTTGGAAAATGAAACAATGGATCCTGATGTGACTTTTACAATGGAAACATGGTTACCTGGACTGGAAATATTATATGACGACTATCAAGGTGATAAGAAAAAAAAATTGATCTCTAAAACCATTAACAAATCTATTTACTCTATATAGATATTCGATTGAAGTTTGCTGACACATTGATTCACTTTCTCAGTTCAACTCCTGGAAAAAATTCAGATTGTTTGTAAGTTAGAACAATGAAAATGTGCATGTATATGCGAGAATGGAATGATCCAAAGTAATCAATGCCTCCTTTTCTTATTCACAGGTCATCCTTGTATAATTCCTTTGGTAATTCATCATTTCTACATCAACTACTGAAATCTATCTATGTTTGGGTACGATTGAAAAATGTGGATGTCCGTGATATGATGGCGATCTATCAACTACTTTGTTGTATACCTAGACGATTCAATGGCTATGGTGTCATTCGAACAGTACCGTTTATCTTTGCCCTACAGGATCTTGCCTATGATTGTATACATGCTAGTACTGGTGTGGCTGATAGAACACATCATAATATCGTATCTGCTGGTGATGATTTTGTTCAAAAAAAGTCTGTTGGTGCTGATGACTCTTGTAGTATTCAGGAGTTTACAACTGCTACCAACACTCCAGTGATTGGTGATTCCACTATTCAAGATACAATGCCTGGTGGTGTGATAACAGATGACTTAACTATCCCTGTTAGTGGCGCTACTCCTTCTTGTATTGCTCCTTCTTCTCCTTCTTTGGATGGTCCCTCCATTGACAACCCTATTGACTATAGATCCATCAAGTATCAACAATCTCTGGCAACAGTGACCTTGGAATGGATAAGGACGATGGCGGAAATAACAGGTATGGAACAGGTCATGAATTATGCACAATCGATCAAAGAAAAGCGACAGCACCTGCATCAAGAACCAAAATTAGATCTAACAACAAAACCAACTGCGGATGCACCTTGTTTGGATGACGCGCAATTTGGCATCAACAAAGTCATTGATTGGATGGATCGGCAGAAAGTGGTCAAGGCCATCTTGGATGACGATAAATTGCACGATCAACAAATTTCGGATGTGAATTTAGAAGAAAGACTTTATGTACAATGGGCATCTGAAAGTTATGGTAAAGTTATAAAAAAAAAAAAAAAAGTAAGTTTAAGATGTATTCTCTCCTTATTAGAATTATTATTATTATTATTATTAGAAAATCAAGAAAAAGGATTCCGAATTGAAGTCGATTCTGATACTGACATGAAACCAAAACTCACCGCAGCAATCAATAATGGTTCTTTGCAGGTAAAAGACAAAAAAAAAAAAAAAAAAAAAAAAAAAAAAAAAAAAAAACTTGTCTATACTTACATCATATTTATTATAGAAACGACATTCTCAAGGGGAAAAACCAATCGTCAATGTTGAAAATTTGAAAGGAGCACTGGGTAAGTAAGATCAAAGAGGGGGGTATGTTGTACTGATTCATGCATGCATGCATTGTTTTTTTTTCGGTAGCTGCTCAACTTTTAGGCAATGAACAACAACAACAAATTATCCATCCTCCTTCAACAGATGTGAAAATTGAATTGAATCAATTATTATCTGGTCTGTACTCTACCATGTCAACAAAGTATGCAAACGACTTTTTTTTTTCTCTCTTTTTGCCTTTTTATCGCTTACATTTTTTTTTTTTTTTGTTACAGGGAACAATCCATATCTTTAGTCAACCCTCCTTACTAGTTAGAAACCCCACCTTTTATATGTATTTTTTTTTCTTTTATCTTTATGTATTTTTTTTTTTTTTTTGGTGGTGTTACCGCATTAATATAGAACGAACTGTGTTTTGGTGTTGTTGTTATTTTTTTTTCTGTATACATTTATCTCTTTAATAATAATAAAAAAAATTTTTTTTTTGTTGAATTCAGAAGCAAAAAAAACATACACATATAGGCATATAGAATGTCAACAAAGAACAAAAAAAAAATAATAATTTATTATCATCAAATAAATAAATAAAACAAAATCCAATAAATAAAAAATCAATTACAAATCCACCACAGCAAGACGTACTTCACTTTGAGATCGGCCTTCACCTCGTCCTTCGACTTGAATGGTTTCCCAGGAGACAGATTGGCCATTGACCTTGATCAGTGGATCAGCAGGTTTGTTGGTTTGTCGACTATCACGCAAGTAATCACCAAAGCCCAAATACAGATGATGTTGTCTTTTATTTTCTTGGCGGAAGGCGACTTGGATACCTTGTTCTGGCGAATATTGAAGTGTATGTATTTCGGCACCAGGAACAATGTGACTGGAGGAGCCCATGAAAACAACCTTGTCCTTGGCAGGTGGGGGTATATGCATGAATGTCTTTGTTTCGTGTGTTTTGAGAACAAAGCTAGATGAAGGATGATAGAAGAGAGGAGCATGACGGTCAGGATAAGTCAGATGCATGTCATTGTCAGTGGCGAAAAATAGAAAAGGGCCCCTTTTCTTTTTGTCATCAAGTGGTGGTGGTGGTGGAAGATAAAGCGTTTGATCTTGATCAGATAAATTGCTATAGGTTGTATAGTGTCTTGGTGCCGTCTTTTCATTGTCTCCTTGTACCATGAATCGAATCATATAGACGGAGGGCCGGAATTCAATCACACTTTCCACTTGAGGAACCACCTTGGGGAACGTGGCCGAATACAATAAATGTTCATCTTGTCCATAATCACCCACATTGTCTGAACTAAACACGAGCGCACCAAGGATATTGTTGATCACACATAATGTATAGCGTTCATCAGGCTTGAGCTTGTTGTTTTTATGTCGTAGGATCATCACATCAGGGTCATTGCCAAACATAGTATCCGACATGGACCATCGAGACAAAGTGGACACCAAAGAATTGGCTGTGGACACACGTTCGCGTACATGAAGATATTTGAGTTTGGTATCTTCCCACCAATTGGCCACATCCGATCCAATACGACAATAATCTACTTTTCGCCAAGCAGCTGCAAGAGGGACCCCACACCCGAGAATCAACTTGTCATCACCTACTAGATCACGAATCAGTTCCATGGCTTCCCACATGATTTCACCACGAGATTTGCCTTGTCGAGGAATCATAGCGGCTGCAAAACAAAAATCCAATTTGACCATATCAAAACCCCAATCGCGTAATACTGTATCGAATACTGTCTTCAAGTATGCCCGTGCTTCAGCTTGATACATATCCAAAGCATAAAATCCACCCCAGTTTGGTCCTGCCACCACCGGTTTCCCTGCTCCATCTTGAATGAGCCAGTGAGGATGTTTCTTGACAATCATACTTGTGAATCCAACAGCAAAAGGTGCAAGCCAAAGTCCTGCCATAAAACCTGCTTTTTTGATTTCTGTTGCCACTGTCTTCATCCCATTAGGAAATTTGTTGTTAATAGAGAGCCAATCACCAATAGCAGTTTGAAATCCATCATCGATTTGAAAAATATCAATAGGATATTTATGTTTCTTGAGAGCTGCAATATTTTCCATAATAATCGATTCACTCACATCGCCCTATTTAAAAAAAAAAAATTGAAAAAAAAGGGAGATCAGTTCTTCTTGTTCATACCCTATTATTATTATTATTCAACTTACATAATAATTATACCAAGATGTCCAACCATTGACATGTCGACGATGTTCTTGATCCTTTCGAAGTACGCGTCTATCTTCAAAATAAGAAGCATATCCATCCCAAAGTATACGTTCGGCATCATGACCTTGATGTATCCATGTCTTAATCACAGCACATGATTCGGTGGCCTTGATTCGTTTTCCTTCCACGTCCTTGTAGAGTCCAAAAATATTAGAATTAAAATTCGCCTTGAAATAAGTATAACCGACATTTTCAGATAAAGAACCAAAGAAAACAATGTTGTTACTAATGTCGCGAAAGTGTGTATAACTACTGGAATGAATAAGTCCTTTTTCACCAGAATGAGGGTAAATATCATAGTCCCTATATATATAAAAAGTATTATATGTTTGATTTTTTATTTTATTTTATCTATTTCCTTTTTTTTTTTCTTTACCCTTGAAGATTGTATTGAGTATACCAAGCTACTGTTTTCTTGATATCACTAATACGATCATTAGCACCCATTTCTCTTGTTTGTGACCAACTTTGGAATCCATTGGCAAGCATTTTTAAATCGGTCAATACAGTCGAATATTTAGCTTCAAAGTGTAAGAGTTCAATATCCACTTTAGGTTGTATAATGATATTCAATATATAACCATCACCATTCGTCTTGGTATTGGTAATGGTGATAGTCAAGTTAGGATCGTTAAAAGGGGTACCTGGTTGAACTTGTAAATCTTGATACTTGATCACTTCACAATTGGGTGATGCTAACAGTTGGTAATTGAGATCAACACGAGCAGAGGCAGTGGTGAAAAATGAAGGAGTCAAGTTCATGTTGTTATTGTATTTTTTTTAAGATGTAAAAAAAAAAAAAAGAAAGGAAAAGAAAAAGAAAAAGGAAAAGCGAGAAAAAGGAAAAAACAGATCTTTCTCATAGAAACGGAACTAGACCAAAGAGTGCCTTTTTCAATCACCGCGAAGTTGGTAAATGATGGTTTGTTACACCATGTTTTGGTTTGCAGAATTGAATTTGACAATGCATTTGGAAGTTCTAGGTTGAATCAAATAAAGTAGATCAAATAGATCCAATGAAAATTAATACATCATATTAACTAAAAAAAAAAATGAAATGTGAAGATAAAATTCCATCTGATAGTAAACCTTTTTTCAATTTCTTCTAACAAAATCAATAATAATGATATTTCATGTTGAATAAGAAGAATATTATTTAATTTAATTTATTATTTCAATTCGTTTCAAAATCCAGGTTAGTACAACAAACTAAACAGAGAAACTCTATGGTGTCATGATGGCTGGTGATCTCATTTGCAAACTGATTTTGAATCCCGCTGACTGTGAATTTTTGTTTGTCAATTTAAAAAAAGAGGCGCGTTCATGCTTCTCATATTTTTTTTTCGACCTTTTTTTTATTATTATTATTATGGATGCCAACTTTCTTCGATCTGCTAATTCTACATTTTTCGAAGATGATGATAACCAAGAAACAGAAGCTATTGCTACAGTAAGTCTTCTTTATTTATTATTGAATTTAAGGATCTTGATACATTGGGTTTTTATTATTTTACAGGAAACATACGATAACCGAGATATGGTAATGTTTGCCATTGACTGTTCACCAAAAATGATGACAAAGGATATTGATGGTTATACACCTTTTGTCAAAGTAATGAAATGTCTTCATTCTGTATTGGTGGCCAAGGTATTTAGTAATACAACTGATTTAGTTGGTGTACTTCTTTATGGAACGGTAATAACAAAAAATTATACATATATTTTTTTTTACTCTTTGTGATACATTCTTTTTAATCCTAATTTTGCATAAATCCTTTTTTTTTTATTATTATTATTATTAGGAAAAAGCAGAAAATCCAGCAAATTTTGGTCATGTTTATATATTACAAGATCTTGATTCACCTACTCCAACACGTATTAAACAAATCGAAAGTATGATGAATGGTGAAGTAGACTTTGAACAATTATATGGAATCACTTCAGCCGAATTTCCTCTTGGAGATGTATTCTGGACTTGTGCTGATATTTTTTCAGCAATGTAAGTAAAAAAAAAAAAAAATCTTTTATGCCACATTATATTCATTTTATTTTTAATATTAATATTAGTACTCAAAAAAGAACCAGTAAACGTGTATTTTTATTTACCAATCAAGATCATCCTCATAGTGATAATGAAAAATTAAGAAATGCTGCTATACAACGTGCAAAGGTTAATATCAAAAAAAAAAAAAAAAAGAATATATCCATGTTCTCATTTGTTTAATTTATAGGATCTTTTGGATATGAATATTCGAATTGAACTCTTTGGATTGGATCGCATTCATCATAATTTTGATTATAAACATTTTTACCGGGTAAAAGAAAAAAATATGAAATCACATTGATTGATCTGATCCATCTTTTTTTTTTTTTCTTTAGGAAGTATTCATACATGAAAAATCTGATGATTTTTATGATGATGATGAAGCAAATGATTTTATAATGGAAAAAGGATCTACCAAACTTGAAGAATTAATGACAAGAATACGACGAAAAGAAGTGAAGAAAAGATCTTTATTCTCAATACCATTCAATATTGCAAAGGATCTTACTATTGGTGTGAAAGGGTAAATATGATTCTTTTTTTTTATTTATTAGTTCTAAATCATAAATTATTATTATTATAGTTATTCTTTGGCCATGGAACAAAAGAAAGGTTCTCCAAAAAAGGTATTGACTGAAGGAGAACGAATACAAGAAGTACAAACTGTGACAGCCTATCAATGCATGGTAAGTAGAATGGAAAATAAGAATAATAATATATATCTCACATTATACTTTTTAGGATTCAAATCTCTTCCTAACGGATTACGATGTTAAATACTTTTTTCCATATGGTGGTGAAAAGGTTGTGTTTACAAAGGACGAAATAAATGCAATGCGAAATGTTGGTGATCCAGGTAAGAATATAAAAAAAAATATATATTTTAATTTTATTTATTAAATGGTTTTTGATAGGTCTTACACTCCTTGGCTTCAGACCTCATTCTATTCTTTCAAATTATCCCAATGTCAAACATTCATACTTTATCTATCCAAGTGAAATGGTAAGTATATTATGAAGAAAAGAGTAATCATAGACTCATCAACGGAAATATGTATGTTTAGGAATACGAAGGTAGTACCAGAACTTTCACTGCTTTATTGAATGCTGTCTTAGATCAAGATAAGATAGTCATGTGTTACCTTATTCGACGCAAAAATACAATGCCAAACCTAGTAGCATTAGTACCTCAGGTAAAAAAAAAAATAACATGGATAAAAAAAAAGAAAAAAAAATAGCATTGATTTTTTTTTGTTATTTATTTAGAATGAAAAATTGGATGATGATGGTATACAAATAACACCTCCTGGATTTAACGTGATTTGTCTTCCATATGCCGATGATATCCGACAGATACCTGTAGAATCCACACCACATGGTAAAAATTTATCAACAATATATTTTAGAAGAAAAGGAAAGTATCGGAATTATGACAAACAACACTTTTTTTTTTATCATATCATTTTATAGCAACAAGTTTACAAGTGGACTTTATGAAATCAATTATCAACAAACTGTTTATCAAAGGTGATTATGATCCAATGGTATTTGAAAATCCAGGCAAGTGACTAAAATATTTTTATATGAAAAATGGATAATATTGATAGATTACTATATTAGGATTACAACAACATTATGCTACACTTCAAGCAATTGCATTGGATGAACCATTAGAAAAATCGGATGATAGTACAATACCCAAGTTTGAAATGATTGATAACGTAAGCCATTTCTTTCTTATCAGTACTATATATATATATATATATATTAAAACGGACTTTTTTTTTCTTGTTTATACTATTTTTGTTTTATGAAGAGATTAGGTGATGAAATTATAGCATTCAAAGACCTCATCCCAAATTATGGTAATTTGATGGAAAATGCGTCAAATATCAACCAAAAACGGAAGGTAAAAAATATATATATATATATATTTTTTCTGTGTGTGTGTGTGCTTAAATGAAAGATCTTATTGGAGGTACTGATTTTGCATTGATTAGGATATCATCGGCGATTCCGGAACAAGTGGCAAGAAACGACAAGCAACACATAATCTGAGTGTGGAACAAGCGTATAAAGATCAACAGTTGGATAAGGTAACAACAAGCTTATCTTGATTTTAATTCACCGATTTGATATTAAAAAATAACGATATAATTATTTTTTCTTATTATATTATTATTATTATTATTTTTAGTGTACAGTACCAATGTTAAAAGAATGGTTAAATTCAAGGGGCATATTACCACAAGGTAATAAACCAAATCTTATGGATCAAGTTTATCAAGCATTGAAATCAGTATAATATTAGTTATCAATTGTCGGTCAATAAAAAAAAATTTTATATCTATCCCTTTGATCAGTGAGTCCGAAACATTTTTTTTTATTTCTTTTTTTCTTTTTTTTCTTTTTTTTTTTTTTTTTTTTTTTTTTTTGTTGTTGTTGTTATTGTTTCTTACTTATATATTATTCTTTTACATGCCTCAAACGAAAGAAGATGCTTCTATATCCTTTGTCATCGATGACTCTTTTACTGGGATTATGCAAGGAGCTGCTGACGATGAATCCGAAGGTTGCACCCTGTCAGGTCAATGTGTGTTACAAGTCCACCGTCCTATTAAAGTACGACGTCTTATTATCTATTTTGAAGGTCGTTGTAAAGTTCATTTGAAAAAGTCAAGTAGTTATGGTATGGTTAGTACTCCTGAAGCTAGTGAAACAAGATCTCTTTATAGTCGACAACAACACTTTTTAGGTCAAGATGGTGAACTTCATGTTTTACAACCTGGTGAACATGCTTATTATTTTTCTCTTGAACTTCCTTCTCATTTACCTGCCAGTTACCAAGGAAAACGTGGTTATATTAGATATCGTCTTACTTGCGCCATTTATCGTCCCATGTTCTCATCAGATCTTCGTACTTCAATGGATATTACTATCAAACGTTGCCTCATGTCAGACTTGACTCCTACTGCTGATCGTGTAGAAACAGTTTATGGAAAGAAACATACAAACAAGATTCGATATAGTGCAACTGCTCCTACTATGGCTTATCGAGAAGGTGGACTGATTCGACTCAACCTGGCCATGCAACTCTTACATCCTGAACACTATGGAATGAAATCTGTCACTTGTGCATTACGTGAACGAGTTCAATACAGAACAACTGATTCTCAAGCTCATACCCTCATGTCTCGATCCGATGATGTATTTCCCCTTGGTTACAGTACGTTTAGTCCTAGTCAAGCTCATGATTATGATCCCACCAAGCCACAAGAATACAACGCTCTATTTAGACTTATTCCAAGGGTCAATGCAGATACCAACAGTCGACTTCTCAAAGTGACTCATTCTTTAGTGGTCAACATTTTACTAGAAAAACTTGGTGATGATGACGATAATGGATTGGATACGGATGAAGAAAGTAATGCAACGGATGATACTGATCATCATGCTGTGACGGATGATGAAGATGGTGGATATACCTCATGGGCTTCGGATCAAACAGACGATAAAACTCGATTAAGTCAACGCATATTACAGCAACATCATGATGAACAACAACAAGCTGGAAGTTCATCTAGATCATCAACTAGTCGACCCACTTCACCATCATCATCAACAAATCCTCCTCCAGTCATGACACCACCTCATTCTCGAGCATCTTCACCAGTACTTAGTCGATCATCTTCATCCTCTTCTATCACTTCTCTTTTTTCTTTGAAAAATAAATCACACGACGACTTGCACAAATTGGAAAACAAAGTACTTGGAAAACATCCTTCTCGTAAACCTGGTGTTACCGTATGTACAGTGGAAGTTCCTCTAGTGGTCACCTCTCGACAGCATACTTGGGATGGTCATATGCCGAAACCTCCTTCTTATGTACAAACTGCTTCTGAAGCTCCTCCTGGATATCATCAAACTCTAGAAACTTGTCCCATGGCTCCAAATTATAATCCAAATGAAGAAGATCAACATTAGTTATATATATTACATTTATTCATTTATTATTATTATTATTTGTATCATATTATTTTTATTCATTGTTTCATATATACATACATACTTACATTTATATTTTTTTGCATTATTATTAATAAAAACCAATCATTGTTTATCATTATCAATCGTTATTCTCTATCGATTTTTCTCTGTTTTTTTTCTTCCCGGCTATTAGAATATCCCTGAATCCAAAAAAAAAAAAAAAAAAAAAAAAAAAAAAAAAACTGGCTAGGTCAAAATAGGATAGTCCGATTTTTGTTAGGGTATCCAATAGCAGGATTCCCAAATGAGGAAGTTCATGCGAAAATATTTTTAATATGAATGCATGACATGATGATTGCTTAGATATGTAACCACTTGACTATGATAAAGAAGATAATGATTCAACCAAAACAAATTGAAAAATAATAAAAAAAAAAAAAAAAAAAAAAAGAGTAATGAACTGAGGTGATAATAATATTATATACAATATTAATCATGTTCACCATAAAAGGAGAATCCTGAGGACCTTTTTTTGAGCACGGTCAAAAGGGAATCTTCCCCCTCCCTTTCTTTAGTGACAGCATTTTTGGTATATCATCTTTATCCTTCCTTTTAATTATTATTATTATTATTTTGAACGGGTTCTATCTCACTAGAACAAAACAAATGAGAGTAAACTAGTTGTATAATTTAAGAAAAAAAGACAAGTTGATGGGTCTCCTTGCGTCCTATTTTGAGTTTGTACTACCTTACCTTTTTTAAGTTTTTTTTTTTTTTTTTTTAAGAAGAGCATCATTTTTTGCACCAATGATAACAATATAAAAAAAAAGTAAGATGATCTTAGTGAATAGTTCCTTTTTTATTATTATTATTATTATTTTTTTTGTAGATCATTCAATTGTCTTGTTTTTATATATATATATATAAATAGATAATCTATTTTTCTTGTTGAGGGGAAAAGAAACATAGGAGACTATCTATCTAACTAAAGGAGAATGAAAAAGGTAGACAGGTTGAATATGGAAACCAAAAAAAAAAGTAGGCTTTTTTTAAAAAAAAAAAAAATCTTGTTTGTATGCATCGTTTTTGGCAATGAACTCATTATTGTTTGGGCTCCGCCTAACCTTCCCATGTTTTTTTTTCTTTTTATTATTTGTCAATGTTTAAAGAATCATAAAGGATTGTATCAGTATATATATACAATAGAAATTTCTTCCTTATCTAAATCTATGAATGAATATAGGTATATGTATATATAAAAGGTATAGTGAATAAAGTGTAATAGAAAAAAAAAAAGGAAGTATACCAAAGCGGAGTTATATTTCTTTTTTTGGGTATCGATTCGTAATTGGTCACCAAGAGTATATAAAACAATGGACAATCCACATTTCTTTTTTTTTTTTTGTTTTTTTCTTTTCATTATCATCATCATTATATACACTCAAGAAAAGAATTGCTGGTTCAATTTCTTTCTTTTTTTTTATATAACCCATTCCCATTTCATTTCTGTATATTTCTTTTTTTTTTGTATCTTTTTTATTTGATTCCCACTCCCTTTCATTTATTATATCATGCTTTCCTCTTCCTTATTTCTTCTTACAACTCTTCCTTTCGTTTTATGTGCACCTATTCAACAATGGGCTGTGGATACAAAACAACATGTTAACCAAGTCTCTTTGATGCTTCACGATGATATCCAGGCTTATTATGAAAATATTGCTGACGAAGTCATTAGTACACACAGTGAAGATGTCTTGGTACAATTGGCTCAAGCCATGAATGACCAAACTACTTTGGAAACATTCTTACAACCTCAAGCTATTGCTTTACTTCATCATCCTGTCCAAGGTAAATAAATAAATTTTTTTTAAAAAAAAGAATGGATACTGATTCTTATTTTATATAAAGAAACATGTTTGATGCGAATGCCTGGTATGATTGCTCAACAATTACATCGATTACATACAAAAGTATTGGATGCAATGGAACCTACTTTGGACAAATTATTACAAGAGTACCCTATCCAAGACGATATGATGCAATTGACATTATTGAATGCTGCTATGGGTGAACATGTGACTCAACTGTTCGATCGCTTACAACTGGAACACAAGGTGGCTTTGGATCTTTCCGCGTGTGAAATTCAACAAAACCAACAACAACAGAAACCTCGTCCTCCTCCATCTTCCTTTTGGCTTTTATTGAAAAGTGTATGGAAAAAAGCTACTTTGACCTCGTCTCCACCTGCTGGTCGTATGATGGCTGAATTGGACAATAATCCCATGGATCAACATATCACTGTGGTGGAAGATCATCATCATCATCATGATGCTTCTCTTTTCGTGCCTGGTCCTTCCTTATTACGTTCTCATTTGGATCATCTGGTCACTGCCTTACTTTTCGAATTTGAAGACCGGCTTCTGGATTTAGAAACTACTTTACGATCGGATGTCTTTGATGAACAAGTTTTATAGTTAACTGTTTTTTTTCTGTGATTCAAAAAAAAAAAAAATAAATTTACTCTTGTACATATAATATTCTTTTTTTTTTTTTTTTGTGGTCTTTAATGATGATAGAAGATCGTAATTCTTTTTTCTTTGGGGGGAGTCAAATATGGAAAGAATGAATATAGGAAGTATAGATTATGCGAAAAAAAAAGAAAGTATATATGGAAATAATGAATAAAGGAAGTATGGAACTTGTAATCCCATGATGAAAAAGGATTAGTCAATGTGATTAGCATGATTTTTGGAAGAATCCTTAAAAAAAAAAAGATGGTTTTCAAAAATAACAAAGAATCATGATTTTTCTTTTATTTAATATATATATAAAAAAAATGAATACAAAAAAAAAAGAGGGATATATAATAAATAATAATAATAATAGAAGGAGGGGGAATCAAATCTTCTTTTTTGTTGTAGGTTCCATAGGTTTTGCTTTTCGATACCATCGTCGTCTTCGTGTTAAAGCTCTTGCACTTTCACCTTTTAATGATTCAGGTCGACTTCTTGGATTGGCCCATTTGTGATCTGAATAAACCCATCCTTGTTCATCACATTCAATCAGAGATACTATTACAAAGTTAGGGGTTAATATATTTCTTTTTTTTATTTTTTTTATTTTATTTTTTTTACCTAAGCCTAAAATTTCATCCGACCAAGGTCCTGTCATATCTAATTGCCAATCATCATCTGCCCATTGATAATGACTTGGTGGAGGCATATTTTCTTTACTTGGTAAAGGTTCAGTACCAGTGATATTAGACCAAGGTGTACGTTCTGATCTTAATAACTAATGGACAAAAGGTAAGTTTTTTACTTTAATTTCTTTTTTCCTTTTTCTTTTAAAAAAAAAAAATTACCTGGGATGTATAACCAGTACCAGCCCACCAACGTTGATTTTCATATAAAGAAACTTCCAATGAAGTTGGGATTTGTCGATGACGAGGAAAAGTAATACGTTGAATCACATCTATTATTGTTTGCAACATTTCCATGACCATCTGGATGACAGTTTCCAAAACGCCACCTAACCAAGTCTTGTTCAATAAAACCACCAAACCAAATGTCAACACCAACCATCGACCCATCATATACAAAAGTACTGTTAGCATCACACTCATGACAAATAACATACGATATACATTTTCATTCAAAGATGCATGTTGTAAATGATAAGATAGATTATCATACAGTCGGATCATAAACACCATGGTTGATTGCATTCGTTCCAAGTTGACATAGTATTCAGGTGTTCCCTCATCATAACGTGGTAATAGGATTTGGTTGGCAGGTCGGTTTTGTACACCAGAACGAAAGAAGAGAAGGATGATCAATATTGGAGGAAGTAAGATCACTATCATGGGGTATAAGCCTAAATAATAATAACAAATAAGTATTTTTTTTTATTTTTATTTTTATTTTGATGTAACTTACATAATAAGGACCATAATATAACATAGGTCAAAGATTTGGTAGATGATTTCCAATCATAAATATCATAAAAGTAACGACTAAGATGGGAAAAGGCACGAGATCGCGCAACCAGTCGAGTAAATGTTTTTGCTGTTTGTTGAGGAGTCATCATGGATCCGTCATTGGCTTCACCAGGAAGTGACGAAGAGAGAAGAGAATGTTGTACCTGTTGTTTCAATGCTTTTCGATATGCTTTCACAGGTGCTCGTTGAGAAGAATCAATAGGAGTGGAGGAGTAAGTAGGAGACTTTAAAGCTTCTTCTTTTTGTTGTGTATAATTGTTATAAGTAGCATCCAAATACAATTGTTGATGTCTTTTTGATAAACTGTGAGGATAACTAGTAGACCTGGTTGTAGTAAAAGTAGAATCGTCTGTTCCATTATTTTGTTGTTGTTGTTGTTTGATATCTAAAGACCCACGTGGTGAGGAATGTTTACCAATAGATTCAGCTTCAGAATCAGTAACTGATAAAGAGTCAGGACTAAACCGTCTTGGAGGTCGGCATTGGAGAGCCATATCCTTACAAATATCGTGACAATGATATCCACATTCTATATATATATATATATATATATATTTGTAAGTTTTTTTTTTTTAATAATAAATAAATACAATATTATATTATTACCTGAACATTGAACACCTTGTCTAGCTAGACCCCAAAGCATCTTTGCACAGTAATCACAATAAACTAAACCATGGAATGTTGTGACCTTGAAATGATGGAATTTTGTTGGAGATGGCATTTGTTTATATATAAAAGGTGAAGGAGTTTCCTATAAGAATAATAATGACAAGTTCCACCTTTGGAATGGTTTTTTTTTTTTTTTTTTTGTAACTATTTAAAAAGAAAAAAAAGGTTCGTATATACGGAGAAAAAGTAATGTAACAATCAAAAAAAAATATAGAGGAGAAAAAAAAAAAGGACAGTGAGAAAGGAAAAAAAAAAAAAAAAAAAAAAAGGTGGAGAGAATCAATACACGCCGTAAAGAAATTTTTACAAAGATTTTTTTTTTCCTTTCAGCAGCCTGACCACGTGAAAATAGGATAAACTGTTCAACCTGAGAAAATTTTCAATAGGTATATAAAAGACCCTTTTTTTTTTTATTGATGGAATATTATAAATGGTATCGAAAAAAAAAGAAGAAGAATAATATACATGGAATCATTTAAAAGCACCAATAGCAGTGAGACTCATCACTATAGAACCAAATAATACTAAAATAACAGAACATATCGATAATATCCAAGAAACAGGAATAATATTATCTTGATCCATTGGTTTAGCAAAAGGAATCAATTCACTGGGACAATTTGATGTGAAAGGACGGAAGACTTTCAAATAAGAATAGCCAGGAATAATATATGCCAAACATGCAGAAGCAATACCACCCACAACAGAATAGACTTTACCCAAAGATCGAAGATTTACCCCCATAGCCAAAAACACAGCAAATAAAATCACTGTCAAACTATAATGTTGCCAATTACTAGGTTGTTTTTCAGTTGTTTCCAAACCAAGTGCCTTTTGAAGAGCATCTCTTGCAGGATAAAATCCCATTCTAATCATCATAATAGTAATAATAATAAGTGATCATCTATCTTTTTTTTTTTGTTTTTGTTTTTTGAACTTACGGTACAGTTAAAATCATAGATATACCCAAAGTCAAACGACCAATATTAATAATAGGATCATCGATAGGGAAATTACTAAAAATATTGGCATCAGCATCTACACCAAAACTAAGATAACCAATAATGGCAAAAGAGATGGAGATGGTCCAACTGAAAAAGGTGGAAAGACTACTTGTTTTAGCCCAGGCCGATAAAGATTGATTTCGTTGAGAAAGATAATTGCTAAAAACCACTTGAGAACAAACAAAGGAAAATGCCATGATACCAGTGGCAGCCACAGGATCTCGTCCAAGCATCAATAAAGGTGCATCGTGTTGGCCTGCATACAATGGTGCACGGATCATCACTGTGAGCACCATGATGGGAAGTAAAAACACGGCAAAAGCTGACCATCTGGCAAGTGCTCCAATCGATCGAAATAAATTCAATGGGAAAATCTATTTGAATAAAAAAAAAAAAAAAAGGTTAGAAAACTATATATTTTTTTCATTTTTTTTTTTTTTTTTTTACCAATAAGACAGAGATCAAGATGGTCATTAATTGACGATCACCAAGAATAGGATATTGTGGTATATATAAAGAAAATAATATAGGAAGAGTATCTGCCACCACTAGATAAATGAATAAAAAAAAAGGGGGGGGGATTTAATTTTATACGATTAAAAAAAAAAAAAAAAGGACTTACAAATAAAGTAACTAACACAACTTCCAGCAGATTGGATAAATAACATGAAATTGAGCATATAAAAACCAAAAGAACCCATTGTATGTTCAGCCAAAGCAGCGAAAGAATAGACATTGGCCTTTTGTCCAGCAACAATCATACTATAAACAGCACCCGTGGTCAAGACAGCGACAATCATAGATAACACCATCCCGGGAATGAAACCTGATAAGACCAAGGCAAAAGGTAAACCAATCACACCAGCTCCCACTGTAGCATTCACAATATTAAGAGATACTTCAAAAATACTACGAGTGCCATAACCTATCTGAGTTGATTGATAAAGATCCAAATCAATTGGACCTTGTTCAATGTTACTATCAAATAATGGTTGTTGTTTATTTTGAGTCATACAATTGGTATAAAATAGAAAAACAAGAAGAAAAAAAAAAAGAAGAAAAAGAAAAAGAAAAGAAAAGAAGAAAATGGGATTCTTATAATAGAGGATTGTTTCAATGGTCTATCACATCATTCTCTAAAGTCGCGCACGCCATTGGTTGCTTGGACTTTCTGACTCTTTTACCCAAATAGGGTCATTTCTCTGGCTTTTGATTGGTGTATTTCAAACCCTTCTCCTTTCTGTATGCCTCTTTCCCAAAAATGGGTCAAGGGGGACAATGAGAAAAAAAAAAAAATAGATAAAGAAAAAAAAAAAAAAAAAAAAAGAGGTTCCTCAATGTCAGTGCTTTTCCAAACAACAAGGGGAAATCAACAACCTAAAATTACTACTTTGGGTTAACATTAAAACCTACAACACATCCTGGAAAATTTTTTGGGGATTCATTTTATTTTATTTCAAATCATAGGTAAAAATCATTCAACAAAGGTATCATATACAAAAAAAAAAAAAAAAATTCTATTGTAACATAAATAAACATCAGGTAAATAATAAATATATATAGAAAATGAAGGGAGATGAAAAAAAAAGTATCATATAATGTCAATCAGGTATATTTGACACAAAAAAAAAAAAAGAATGCCACGGAACCAGCCATAATTCCTTAAAGTTGTTCAAAAGTAGATGGATCACCTGAAGAAGTGGGAGTCTGAAACAATCGTTGTAAGAGAGCTGCGACTTGATGATTCTGTTCATACTGAACTATATTGGATGTTTGTTGTTGTCTTTGTTTCGTCATAGCATGATAATTGGCAGCTGACGCAATCAATGGTAATAATTCGGGAGGTAAACTATTCAAATGAGTTCCAATGGATTCTAATATTGTATAGATTGATCCTTCTTCTTTTTCTTCCTTTTCTTGTATTGTTCTTTGTCGTTTGTTCATGTCTTCAGGTAAAGAAGATGTAGGTGATATTGTTAATCGATTTGTACTTGGTGCAATTGTACGTGGATGATAAACTGAAATATCTGAAGAAGAAGAAGAAGAAGAAGAAGAAAAAAAAGAAGTTTTGATCTTTTTTCCACTCATATCTTGTTTCTGCTTCGCCTTTTGCTTTTGTTGTATACCATTGGTCACCCGATTCCGTTTCTTGATCACATCCGATTTCAAACTAAGCGGTCGAACTATACCATGTAGTTTCAAAAATAAACCACAAGCATTACAAAGAGGTTGACCTTGAGGATTGCGTCGCCATAAAGGTGTAGTACGTGTTCGACAGTTATGACATTGTGTACGATTTCCAGGTGCAGACAGTGAAGTACTTGACGTGGTCATTTTTTGTTGCAAGATAGATGGACTAGAAGGTGAACGTGTTGTTTTCTTCTTCACATGATGTTGTCGAAATGTAGTGGTGATGGAATCTTCAAGAGCTAGTAATCGTTGTTCATCTTCCAAATCCAAGGCTGCCATACCAAGTTGATAATGTCGATCATCCACGCTACTATCTATGGATTGCGGTGTTTGTGGTGGTGATGATGGTGAAGGTGTATCACCAGAAAGATGTACGGACTGTAAATTCAATAAGAAGGATGGGTCATCAGGTTTGCTTGTTGATGTGGTTGTTGAAGGTAAAGGAGGGGTATAATACATATACAATAGTTCTTCAAAGCTGAGATTTCCTGGATTCATAGTATTTGCCATAGAATCATTGTTTGATGATGATGATATAGTAGATTCAAAAGTTGTCTTGGATGATGTAGCAGTCGACTGCTGTTGTTGTTGTTGTTGAGAGGAAAAATAATATGAAGGATCAACCTGTTGATGATTTTTATAAGTTTGTATATCTGATGATGATGATAGTTCCGTACTTGTAGGTAATAATGGACCAGTACGGGAGGAATATGTCAAGACTGTTCGATGTTGTTGATTTGGAAATGCAGAAGGATGAAATGTTGGTACTGAATGACTGATCATATTCGATGAAGTGATTGGATAGGATGTTTCTAGTTGATTATTATCCATATTCACATAACTACTTTGTTGGTTACTGTTATCAATTGTATCCATTTCTTGTGTAGGTATCATAATGCTGGGATTGACTTTTCGACTTGTTGTTGTTAGCTAATGATGTAAATAATAATAAGTGAGATGAATACAGAAAAAAAAAAAAAAACTTACAGTATATGGGAATTCTGCTGTAGAGGTAGATGCCCTTGAACTTCCAGAGATCATCACATTTTTTAGGTCCTGCTGAGTCTCTTCATCACGTAGAAACTCCATCATTGTATAAGGAGGAGCTGAAGAGGATAAAAGTGAAGTAGTATCATCTGCTGGAGGAGGTGTTGTTATTAAAGAAGTATCAGTCATAGTAATATCTCCATCGGGATCTTGAACTGGTTCTTTTTTTTTCTTTTTTGATAAAGTCATTGCCATCATACGCCAAGTCAAGTTTTCCATTCGTATACCATTGGGAAGATTATCTTTTGCTTTGGTATATAAACGCCATACTTTTGCAGCTAAAGGATCCTTTTGAGCTTCGTTTTGAATATCTGGTATTGTGGACTGTTCAGTATTTGGTAAAAAGAGTGTGTCAGATAAAAGTCGATCGGTAAGGAGAGAATGTTTTTTCTTATTCATTGAATCCCTATTGACAAACCTATTGGAGAGGAGGAGGGGTATAAGAAGTAAAAAAAAAAAAAAAAAAAAAAATTGGAAAAGTATATAAATAGTGAGAAAAAAAGAAAAAAGAAAACAAAAACAAAAAGAATATGAAATGAGACGAACATTATATAAAAATTGAACCTATTTTATATTTCAGTCTCCGTGTTCCCTTTTTCATGCTTCTTTAAAGGTTAAAAAAAAAATTTATTCTTTGGTTAAAAAATATATATATATATATATATATAAATATATACTTTGATGACAACAAAAATGTAAATAATAAAAAAAAAAAATGTTTTATCTTTGATCACCATTTTTAAGTTTTTTTTTGTTTTGTATACAATGAATTTTGACTGTCATATGCATCTTATATATATATATTCTATTATTATAAAATTTACTCTTTTGAAATTGAACATCATTATTGATTTTTTTTGTACCGATAATCAAGAAAGAGTGTGATATCTCATCTGAACTTTTTTTTTTTTTTCCAACTGCTTATCAGTCTTATTGCCTTTTTTGGTTACTATATTTATTATCTTAAAGCCATCGGGAAAAAAAATATTTTCAAATTGAAAAAAAAAAAAACAAAGAAAAAAAAAAAACAAAAAAAATGGATTCATCAAACATATTATTGTTATTGATGTCTTTTATATCAACATCTACATAAATATATATATAAAGAGTTATATAACCATCGATATTCATTTTCATCTATAATTAAATAATAATAATAATAATAATGATAATCTATATTTTCATTTTCAATTTTCAAATAAATAGAAAAAAAAAGCTATCAGACTGCAGCTCCTTCCGTGCCATGTCCTTGGAATAAAGCGAACAGGCGAGATCATCAACTGCTATAGTCAACCCTGAGAGTCATCTATAACACACTTCACTCATAAGAAGGTCTGCTAAATGTCATCTACTAGCTTGATGAAATGGTCTAGTTTGAAAAACGTAGAACGGTAATGTACTGTATACAGATCCTGTAGAGTACGGTCACTAAAGAAAAAAAACCAGAGGTCCTGTGAATATCCCTCCTTTTATAGTTTTTTTTTTTTTGATAGTAAAAAAAAATTTTTTAGTGTGAGACTGCTCTTCAGGCAAAATTTTCTATTGGGGCGGATATTAGAATTTTATTCAAACCACCTTTTTTTTTTTTTTTCAAAGCTAAACTCTTTTTTTTTTTTTCTTTTCTATTATTGTTTTCTTTTTTTTTTTTTTTCATGTCAGCTGAACACGATCTACTAAAGACAAAACGCGCTTTACAGAAGGCAACAGAAAATGATAATACCCAGGTAAAGAAAAAAAAAATCTAATGATGAATAATGAATCGTTTATTGATTTACAATACAACTTACCTTTTTATATTATATATAGGACATTCTTGATATCATGAATCAACTGGCCATGGTGAAAGCCACTCAAGACTTATTAAAGGTATATAAAAAAAAGGAAAAGTTAGGAATAAAGTAAATTCATTTTATAAAGTAGAAAACGGATATAGGCAAAGTACTTGGTAAATTACGATCACATTCAGACGCAAAAGTATCACAACGAGCAAAAGGCATTGTAAAGAAATGGAAAGACGATGTGGTAAATGCTGGTGTTATTCCTTCTAGAAAATCCAGTGTGGCTTCTCAACGTAAGTAAAATAAGGTTTTTGTTTTTTTTTTCAAATTTGGCTTCTCATTTTTTTTTCTTTTGTTTATTAGCTTCTCAATCATCTTCACCAACTTCTTCTCCACCAAAAACTCCAACAACTCAACTTCCCAGTAATAATGGACCACCAAGAACTATTAAATCAGACGAAATGGTGTTCAAATCTACAGGAAATACACCGAGAGACAAAACAATTGAACTTATGTATAATTCTTTAGCTTTAGATAGTTTCGCTGGTAAGAATATATATATATATATGAAAGGGGAATTGATTCTTATTTTTTTTTTATTTTATTTATGAATAGATTCAGAATTATTATTAAAAAGGGCCATTGCTATTGAACGAACAGTATTTACCAATATTGGACAAGTGGATAGTGAATACAAGACCAAAATTCGATCTCTATCACTTAATCTAAAAAGTAAAAGTAATCCTGGATTACGAGAAAGTACAGTTAGTGGTGAATTATCAATAGTGAAATTATGTACCATGTCTGTAGAAGTAAGTCATTTAAAAAAAAAAACATGAACAAAAATTTTTACTTTATTTTTTTTTTTTTTGTAGGATATGGCATCAGAAGAATCCAAGGCACGGGATCGTAAATTAGCGGAAGAAGCATTATTCAAGGCACGAGGCGCTGGCACGGCTCAAGCAGAGACGGATATGTTCATATGTGGAAAGTGTAAGCAACGAAAATGTACATACTTCCAAATGCAGACTAGGAGTGCGGATGAACCTATGACTACATTTGTTACTTGTCTTAGTTGTAATAATCGATGGAAGGTAAAAAAAAAAATATTATTATAATATTATGAATATACTTAATATATTTTTGAATTCTTTCTATAGTTTTGTTAATAATATATTGGATAGTTTAGAATATATATATATATATGATTTTGACTCTATTTTTATATACATGGTGAACATAATAATAAAGAAAAACATACCTATTTTTATTCAGTCTCTCTCTCTTTTTATATAAATCTCCTTGAAAAAAAAAAAAAAAAAATAGTTGATATGGAAAAATCGGGTGTTCTACCGACGATTTGGGTTTGTAACATCAGTTCTACCTGCTCCTCATTCCAAATTCATACCCCTCCGCTTTTCTTTTTTTTCTCATTTTTCTTTTCTTTTTTTTTTTTTCTTTCTTTCCCCCCTTTTTTTTCACTTTCTACACTTTTATTAATATTTATAATCATGTCAAGTGATCTTGATAGTGTCTTGCAATCTCTTGAACAACAAGTTAATGACTTTTCTTTGGTAAAAAAAAAAAAAAAAAAAAAATTGAAAGTCCAAAGTATAAACACTTATTTCCTTTTTTTTTTCTTCTTCTTCTGTGTTTAGGATATAAGTCAAGGCAATGATGGTCAATCATCTTCTAATAGTTTTGTTTCTCCTTCTATAACATCTCAACATTCTCATTCTAAAGTTACACATCACAAACATCACAAAGACGATAATGACGATGACGATGATATTATTGGTCACCTTCTTCAAAGTCCTACTTCTCCATCTTCATCCATTCAACATAACGACCTGTTTCCTCCACATCAAATGAAAAGTTCTCCCAAAACTATTGGATTAGCAAGAAGTCTTAGTTCTGGTACTAGGAAATTCCCAAAGAAATTGTTACCAGATGAACCTGTACCTTCTATACCGACCACTCCACCTACTTTTAAAAATCAAGATATCTCTACTACTAAAGATGAAACCGATGATTTACAACAAGCTATGCAATTGGCTTGGGCTGTATTAGATGCTGATCATTCAGATATAAAGGTAAAAAAAAAAGGAGGATTTTATTCAGTTAATTCCCTAAACTTCTATTTTTATAGGATACATCAACTAAAGAAGAAGAAGAAGAAGAAGAAGAAACAATAAAACAACATCATAATACAACTAATGCAACTGGATCTAGTGTGACAACAGTGACACCAAGTCAAACCATGACAACAAGGATTTTCATTGAAGATGGAAAAAATCACAAGACAGTGCAACTAACAAATGTACTGACAACGGCTATGGTGATTCAATATTTGAAAAGAAAGGAATTATTGGATAACAGCGATGATTGGACCTTGTTTGAAATAGCCAGTAGTCATGGTGTTGGTAAGATAATCGGGAATAACAGGTTTCACAATCCTCATCTATATCTTATTTTAGAACGACCTCTCCGACTTTGGGAAATAGTGATGGATATTACTTCTTGTTGGGAACAAAATGTCAATAACGCGTTATTGGTGAAAAAGTATGGATTCTATGAATCATTGACTGCTGATAGTATTCGAGATCGACCTTTACCAGTTCATGGTTGGCTTCATATTGAATACAAGAAAGGTAAATGGCAAAAAAGATATTGCTTTATCAAGGATCACGCCATATATCATGCTAAAGATAGCAAGGTACCAAAAAAAAAAAAAAAGTGGGAAATGAATTTTTTTTTTATTTAATTTCTGTCTTTTCTTTTTTTTTTTAGTGCGCCAACTCCGCTATTCTTTGTCATTTACCAGCCTTTGACGTTTATACATTACTTCAGCCCTGTACTACATCCCCAACACCTTTTGCATTTGCCTTACGTGCTCAAGATCGTGCTGCTATCTTTGAAAAAGAAGAAGATTATATCCGTTTATTCTCTGCTGAAAATCAAGCATCTATGGAATCTTGGGTCCTTGGCATTCGTCAAGCAAAAGTAAATATATATATATGAAATACATGTTGATATTTATATATATATATATATTTTTTATATATAGAGTATTATTCAATATCAACAATATCCAAAACGTGTATTGAACCCATTGACCGCTTTGACAACGGAATTACGACGACTCAAATCAACCAAACAAACAACAACAATGGATGATATAAACAATGTAGAGGGACGACCTAGAGCTCGTAGTGAATCCACTTCTCGACGTATCACTGATGAAACCATCAAACGAAAGGCATCTACTCGAGGATTATCACGAAATGGCACGATTCGAAATCATCATGATACAATGGAGGAAAACAATAATACTACTTTGATTCAAATTGATGACAAGATACAATTTTCCAAAGGATCTTTATTAGACAATACATCGGCTACTTTAGGAACAACGTCTTCAAATAATAATAATAATAATAATAATAATAATAATAGAATGATCAGATCGAAAAGTACAAGGGAAACATCCAATCATCGTAAACCAGATGATCAACAAGTTTTATCTCATCATACCTCCATTCGAAGAAAAGATCGTCAACGACAACATGACGTGCCTTTGCCCAATACCAATGCCATCATGACCTCCAATACATCCACCACTTTGCTCAAGTTGAACGAGACTCCTGAACGTTTTCATACACAGACTTTACTTCAACGTCAAATGAAACCCTTATTGAATTTTGATCATGATTCTGATCATCGCCGTTGATCCTTCTTTATCTTCTCTCTTTTTTTTTGATGTTAGTTAGAACTCTTTGATGTTGTGTATTGATATAATAAAAATTTATTTGTTGATTTCTTTTATTATATAAAAAAAAGGGTAACATAATATAATATAAACTGATGAACTATAAGTAGTATATATATAGATAGATGTGCTTGAGATTATCCATCATGAAGATTTTGTTGTTGTTGTTGTTTTTCTTTCTTTTCCAATTCGGCAATTTCACTTTGTGCTATTATAAAAAAAAAAAAATGAATAATCAAACATAAAAAAAAAAAAAAAAGGACTTACTGAGAAAACGACCACCAGGACCTCTTGGACGACGCATAGCATGTTTGTGGCGACTTTCATGTAGATAAGGTTTCCGATTTTTAGCGATTCTATTCAATTCCTCTAATCGAAGTCGAGCATCACGTCGTTTCAGAATACGATGATATTGTTTAGGATTGACATACAAAGGTTCTTCTTCTGGAGGAGGTAAATGAGGTGTCCATCCCATGGAAAGTGAAGTAGGATGATGAAGTGTAGGACTATGTTGAGGACTACTATGATTGCTACCATTATTATTTGTTTTGCTACCAAAATGTGATGAAGTGGTTGGATGATAAAGGTGAGGTAGATGTGTTTGACTACTGAGTATGTTCATAGGCTAAAAAAAAACAAATGGTTAATGTTGAGAAAAAAAAAAGAAGACTTTACCATGGACTGCGCAAATTGATTGATATGACGACCATTCTAAAAAAAAAAAAGCCTCATCCAGAGGTAAAGAAAATGGTTAAAAAAAATCAGGTATAGTTTCCACTTGAATATTTTTTTTACCAAGGATTCCTTTGCTACTGTTGTAGTAGTAGTACTAGTTGGTGTGGTTGACGTTTCTTGGTGGACCATATTGTTGTCAAAAGAACAAGGAAAAATAGAGACTGTATAACTACAAAGAAAAAATTCATTCTTTTTTTCTTAGTTTCTTTCATTTATTTAAAAAAACAAAGAAAAAGTTATAAAAAAGTTTTATGCGTACCTAGAAGATAATGGAGCGTTTTAATTTGTTGAAAAAGAAGGAGGCAAACAACCAGCCAATAGCAAAAGTAGAATGAAAAAAGAGAAAGAACGAACTTTTTGTGTTTTTTCCAATCCATTTATCACCAATGAACATCCAATGTTTTTTCTGCGGGGTTCGAATTTGTTACACACTGTTCTTTCTTTTTTGGCACAAGAAGCATTTACGTATCATTGTGTAATTCCTGATGTGTTGCATATCGTATTAAGCAAATTTCTATAGGTGAAACAAGACTGAATTGTTTTATTTTTTATATGCTAATACAAATCGTTCTAAAATAAAAGATCTAAGTGATATAAATAAGGAGAGGAATGATTCTGATCAATTATTTCGACCTACAAGAGGACTTGATGCAACGAAACGTGAAGGTGTCGAAGTAGTATGAGAAGGTGTAACGGGGGATCTTTTATCTTCATCCATAGCATCGTTCATTCCACCAGTACCTAAATACATGGTCACATCCTGGAGTTCTCTTGCTAATTGACTAGAAAAAAGAAAAAGTCATATTAATCATCAACGTAATATCCACTGTACATCTATCCTTTTTTTTTTTTTTTTTTTTTTACCATGCTGTTTGATGCCATTGATTGCGTTCCTTGATGGTCATTTCCAATTTTTTTTGCCATTGAGTTTCAGGTAATGTATTCGATCCTATCTTTGGTTCTTGATGGATGGTAGATTCTGATGTTTTTTCCAAATCCATATCCTCTTTCTGATCGACTGTCAATTGGATTTGAGCAAAAAGTTGTTCGATTTCATTATTGAATGCCTTTATCCATAAAAAAAAGAAAAGTTAATTATCATAAATCCTTCTTCTTGTTCTATTGTCTACCTCGTAGAGTAATCCATTCTCTTCAACAGAATTTTCATATTTCATTTTCCATCCAATCAGTTCATCCTCTTTCTAAAAGTCAAGAAAAGTTGAATATTCTTTTATAGGAAATGCTAAATTACCTTTCGTAAATCCCGGGTAAGCTTGTGAACAATTAGACTTGTTCTTTCATAATCATGGATCACTTGTGAAAGTCGTTTATCAAAATCAAGTTTCATCTGTTCCATTTCATTGATCAATGCATCCAAGGTGGTAGGAGGTGATGGAGAAGAAGGGGAGACTGATGACACAGAACTTGATAATGACACTGGTGTTGATTGTTGTTGTTGTATCGACCGTTGTTCTCTTTCCTGATCCATAGGCTGCTTTTGTTGATGATGTTGAAGACGGCTATTTGATAAGCTTGCTCTACCAACCTAAAAACAAACAAATAATAATAATAAAAAAAAGAAAGGTAAGTCATTCCTGTAAATGAGATCCTATTAAAATTAACTGAGCATATCGATTCCTTTTTCTTTTTTTTTTTTTTTCAGTTACAGTAGCTTCCAAAAGGGGTTCCTGACCAAGGGGAGAAGACTTTCGATGTACGATTGTATGTAATGATGCACTGCTTGTTGATCCTGTCAAAGGAATGCTAGTAGAATAATAAGACGGTTGAGAGTAATATCCTTGACTAGAAGCCATATGTTGAGTAGTTGGAACGACAGGTGGAGGTGTAGTTCGACTATGTTGTTCTGCCAGATTATTGGAAGAAGTATCCATTCCTTGAGCAAGTGCCACACATAGCATATTCACGCGTTCCTCAATAGAATCACCAGGAGACCGGGCTGACTGTTTTCTTGTTGTTTCTTGAGATGAAGTCTACGAAAAACATAGAAAAAAAAAGTTAACCCTGCCGTTGTTCCTTTGCTATTATTGATTACCTTGATTTCGTATGACATGGTTTGCGTTGGATGTATGCTTGCTCGGTAGGAACCTGTCATTGTATCCTGATGTTGTTTGACTATCGAAGCTCTATAGTTCAGAAAGCTCGAAGAAGGAGTGACCAAGCCGTTTGAGTGTTGTTCATGATAATGTCGGTTTACTGTCGGATTCAAAGTTCGTTGTCTTGAGTCGACAATATTATCAGTTGGGATATCAGGATAAAAACCAGTACTTTTGGGACGCTGTTTCTGTTGTGGGTGTGACCTTGATGGAGACGATGGTTTGACCGAGGCAGAAAGAATCTTGTTGAAGGTATTGATACTTTTTCGTTTATTGAGTTGTCGAAAGGTATCTCGTACGGACTTGGTACTGTTTTGAGGTGACGGTATAGGAGAAACGGATTGTTGCATATGTTCTTGATTACAATGAATGACTAACCAAAAAAAAAAAAAAAAGGAAAGGAAAGGAAAAGGGTGAGAAAATAGAAACAAAGAAAATGAATGTACTTTATTTATTTATTTATTATATTTATAATACCATTGGACAACAGCTGATGTTTGAAATTGACATGCTTCACTGTAGATAATTCTGTCTCTCCATCTTGTCTTGTGTTTTCTTCATAACCAGTTGGTACCCGACTTGAGCAAATAATTCTATATATGAATCCATATTGAGAAGATAAGAATATTCTCTATTTTCAAAAAAAAAAAAAAAAAAAAATAGCAATTATGTTACCTGTGTTGATCATTTGTCAAAGATAACACAACAATCAAAATATGCGGAGTTCCATACCCAATGACAGATTGAATATCAAAGTTGTGCTGCTTGATATAGACAATGGCAGTATCATTCTATATGGAGACAATGGAAGTATTGAGTAAGACACAATAAAAATAGAAAACCAATGGTGTACCTTGCTCGGTGTTGTATGATAATATTGAGAATCATGTATGTTCGCATAGAAATGATGACCATTCCAAAAGTGGTAGGACGCTGGGATGTCTAAGGTGATGACACGTAGAAGAATGAGTAAATGAGATCATTATTATTTGATATTGTGTTCATACCTTGCGTTTTGAGTTGAGCTTTGAACTTTCCAAATTGTTTGATAAAGGCATCACGTTTTTCCAACATTGACTGATCGGATAATGGAGATGATTTTCTATGATGAGAAAATTTTTGTTGAGAAGGAGAATAAGAGGTGGATATATTGGTAGTAGCTGACATTGTAGATGAAGTTGGTGATGATGGTGATGATGTTGAAGGATAATGATCAAATGAAGGAAAAGACAAACTGAAAAGACGTACGCGGTCTTCTTGAAAGTAGGTTTCCAATTGTTGATCCGATTCAGGAGATGATCTATCAGTATTGGATGCCATCAAAATAAACGAGGACGGTAGATCTGATACACCTTGATATGCATTCACGTCATCTAATCCAATCCAACCTTGAAATTTGAGTTTTCGATCGAGTTTCTTTGAAGATTCACCTTTTCTCATCAACAGAGACATCATGCCAAGGTTGTCGCGTTCTTGATCCAAACCACAAAACTCCAATCCATCTGCTTCATATGAAGGACGTTTTACCACCATGAGCTTATCAGTAAATAAAAAGAGAGTGACTGGATTCAAAGGTTTCCCTGTTTGCATTTCGTGTTCTACAGCATCCAAATGACAAATCAGACGGCGTTGTTGACTAATAAGAGAAGCCTAAAATATATAATGATCAAAATAACAGTTATTTTAACATGTATATAATCTTACTGGACAATTCTGAATGGACTGAAACATATTTTGAAAGATATGAATAAGTTTGGTGTGATAATCGTCCGATAAACTTGCTATTTCTTCAATTTTGGCCAAAGCATCCACAAGATGAGTAAAATCAGGATCCAAGTCAGCAGTATATTTGATAAGCTCTAGATAGAAATGTCATTAGAAGAATAATCATAATAATAATAATAAAAAAGAAAGAAAGAGGATTTTACCTTGTAAGAATAATTTGTAATGTCCTAATCGCTGGACGGGTAAAATTAGATAGTCATACACAGTAAGATTCCCATCAGCAGTGATTTTCTATATAATAATAAAATGAGATTCATTTCTTCCTAAATTTATGACTTGCCTCTAAAAAAGTTCGATAAGAAGGATTGGTTTTGATTTCTTTTGTATGAAAAGATCTTGCATTTTGAACACCAAGTAGGAAATGTCTATAACATTTGAATTGATGTAACTATTATAAGAAGGGTTAGTTTGATTATTGTAAACTGAATATTATGTTAATTACATGATGACTAAATAACAATCCAATTGAAGAAGAATTTTCATGATTATATTGCTGTTGTAAACCAAGATAAAAATTTGAATTGACATTGTGTATTTCTTCGATATTCATGAATACTTGATGGCATTCATAAGATCCTAAAATAGTATTATCATTTCTGGCTTTGGACCTTGATCGTAAAGGATTGACAATCAACTGAGAATAGATATATTAATTATTTTATTGGATATGTTTTGCATAAAAAAAAACTTACTGTAATAAAAGATGCTAGGTTTTTAACGTAACTGGCTTCAGTAGTGATAAAATCTTGGATTAAATTGTCGCGTCGATCATCATTCTACATAAAACTTAAATAAATATTCATAATAATCATTTATTTTAATGGATACCTTGACAAAATGATGTTGTTGTTTTTCTTTTGGATTCACCAAAGGAGTAATATCAGTTGTTATTGTCCAATCTTTCAAAAATTGTTTCCAAATCGAATCTTCAAAAGAGTCTAATATACATAATTTATATTTAATAATAATAGCACTTTTTTTTTTTGTTTACCTTACCTTGTAAAGTATGTTTTTCGGTCACAATATCAAAATGATGACACTAGATAAAAATACATAAAATTAGATAAAAAAAAAAAAGAGTTTTGATAAGAATAGTTTCTACCAAAGGAGCACCAGTAAAAGAAGCTTGTTTTTTTAATGACAAATGGTGAATGTAGCCTAGATGATGTAAACTTTCTTCCAAGACCTAGTACATAAAAATATATAAGAATATCAACAAATTGTGTTTGACAATGGCATTATTTTAAAGTTACGTTTTCCATGTATTTCTATATATATATATATGTATGAAGAGAGTCGCAGCGAAAAGAAGAAAAGAAAAGGGAAAACTTCATTCCTACTGCAACAAATCAAAGGTAATGGAATTGAATGCCCGTTTCCCAAAAAGGCAATGTAACCAACAAAAAGAAAAAGATAAAAAAAAAAGACATATCAAAATACAGTAAGGATGATACAGTCAAATGATTCATAAGAAAATGTATATAATAAAGAAAGGGAAAGCTATTTTAGTATGCTATGAATTTTGAATATAGAGATTATAAAAAGTTACAACAGGTATGATGATACGACCGCATGATCCCCCAATAACGTTATCCCATTTTTCGTTTTTGAAATTGTTTTAGAACGCAGCTTTCACTTTTTTTTTTTTGTTTCTTTCCTCCTTTTTTTTTTTTTTTCTCTTCAAAATTAACTATTAAACGTGATGAATATTACTGATAAAAGTAATACAGATTTATTATTTTTAAACTTTAATCAAGATTTTAGTTGTATTTCTGTTGGTACAAAGCGCGGTTATAGAATATATAACTGTGATCCTTTTGGAAAATGTTATTCAAAAGGTAAAAAAAAATGATAAAAACTATTATGTTATCAATATACTAATTTTTTATTAAATAGCTGAAGGAGGTACTGGCATTGTTGAAATGTTATTTTGTACCTCTTTGGTGGCTCTTGTAGGTTCTGGTGAACAACCTAATTTTTCAACAAGACATTTACAAATTATTAATACAAAAGTAAAACTCAATTATTATTATTATTATGTACGTAACTTATATATATATATATTTTTTTATTATAGAGACAATCAACTATTTGTGAACTTACTTTTCCTACTTCTATCCTTGCTGTCAAGATGAACAGACGTCGACTTATTGTTGTATTAGAAGAACAAATCTTTGTATATGATATCAGTAATATGAAACTATTACATACTATTGATACCAATCCAAACCCACAAGGTAAGAAAAATATATATATATATATATATTTATTATTATTATTTGTTATTCATCTTTAATATTTTTTTTGTTTATTTATTTATTTGAAGCTATTTGTGCTTTATCACCTTCTAGTGAAAATTGTTTTATTGCTTATCCTTCCAAATCTCCATCTAACTCTCATTTTACTGGTGGCCAAACAACTCAATCTTATTTTCCAACTGGTGATGTCGAAATATTTGATGCTCTTTCTTTACAACTTATCAATATTGTTCAAGCTCATAAAAGTCCTGTTAGTTGCATCACTATGAATGCTGATGGTACTTTATTGGCTACTGCAAGTGAAAAGGTAAATAATATATATATAAATTTCAAATTACCCAACTTTTTTTTTTTTTTTTTTTTTTATGATAGGGAACTGTGATTCGCGTATATTCTATTCCTGATGCCACTAAAGTCTATCAATTCCGACGAGGTTCTTATCCTGCCAAGATTTATTCCATGTCCTTCAATTTAGTTAGTTCTTTGCTTTGTGTCTCAAGTGATACTGAAACAGTACATATCTTCAAATTAGCTTTAGGAGCTGCTCCTGGTTTAAATGGTAATAATGGATATAGTCCTACTCCTTTGACAAATGAACAACATCATCATCAACAACAACAACAAGAACCTGAAGCTAGAGGAAGAAGTGGTAGTGTGGGGTAAGATGATAATGAAAAAAATAAAATAAAAGTGAAACACATAGGAATGACCGATCCCCTTTTTATATATATATATATATATATATATATATAGTCAAATGTTACGACGTTCTTCTTTACATTTTGGGCGAAATATTGCTGGTAGTGTAGGTTCTTATTTACCTGAAATGTTGACTGAAATGTGGGAACCTGCAAGAGATTTTGCCTCTCTCAAACTTCCTTCTGGTAGTGGTGTTCGAAGTCTAGTAGCATTAAGCAGGTAAGTAAACATATTTTAATAAAATAAAATAAATATTTTCAACTCATTCATTCGTTTTATATAGTACTACTCCTCAAGTCATGGTCATTACATCAGAAGGTTATTTTTATCAATATAATATTGATTTGGAAAATGGGGGTGAATGTGTTTTACTCAAACAAAATACGTAAGTCTATAATGATTTGATAAAAAAGAAAGAAAGAAAAAAGAGTATTTTTTTTTTCTAATCATGATTATCTTTCTTTTTTTTTCACTCTCTCTATATAGATTATTGGATTCTAGTGATGAAGCCAACGGTGTTCTTGGTGATTAGATTTTCTCTTGTCCCAATACCTTCTTTTTTTTTTATGATTATTGTTACTTTACTATTAGTTTTTTTTTTTCTTCTCTATTATCACAATTGTCTTCATACCCCGTTTTTACCTCACACGACCTTTTCCTTCTATCCTTTCCTTTTTCATATCACTATATACTTATTTGTATTAGTATATATTATGCAAAATTATTTATTTTTATGCTAAGTAAAGAATTCTGATTGTCCTGTTGAAGCTTGTTAAAAATGAAGATTGTTTATCTATGTCTTTTTTTTTTTTTTTTTTTTTGATGATGATTGATAAATAATGATGATATAAATATATATATAATTTATTGAAACAACTTAAATAAAATTTTAGAGCTATACTACAGATAAAATGGCATCCCAATCCTATTTTCTATTCTTTCGTCCACCAATGATACGAGGGACAGTGTTGGTCCCTGAAGAAGATCGATTGTTGCCAGTTGCACCAGTGGATGCCGCTCGGTCAGTCAAATGACTACCGCTAGTCAGACCACCGCTACTACTTCTTCCTACCTTATTGCCACCACTGCTGATACTGTTGATGGTATCTTCACGACCCATACTGTTTTGTCCACTTGATCCATTACTTCCTATACTGCCACTACCTATATGTGATGTGTGAAAAAACATTCATTCATTGGATGACACCGTTCTTCTTTTTCTTACCATAATTCAGTCTCGGTCGACGACCCTTGACAGCAGTGTTGATCTTGGATAAATTTTGGAGAGCTTTTAGAAAAGAAAAGAAAAAAAAATGATTAATTAATTTCAATTAACAACCATCATCATCGTCCCAAGTTCAAACATACATTGTCGCCTTTGCCTTTCATGTCTTGATTGTACCAATTTAAAATGTTGGAGTAAGTCTGGAAATTTGATAGTACTGTCATCACCCTTTGTCCCTGTTTTCGTAGGTGTTCTTTTAGAAGTCGATTCAGTTCCAGTAGGTCTATCAATATGTATAGATTCAGTTATCCATTGTATTTTCCTTTTTTTTTTTTTCCTTACGTTTTGGGCATCACATTTAGGAATCCGAGAGACGAGACACTACTAAGTCGATTACGTAGAGTGGAAAACGCCGATGATTGAGGAAGTAACATCAATATGCCATACAAACATTTGAACAGATAAGGGTATCTTTCTGGTTCCAGTAGTTGTAATCGAAGATCTACAATCAAATTATAAAAAAAAAAAAATCAGTGAATTAATCAAAGAAGAAGAAGAAGAAGAAGAAAAAAAATTAGCATTTCTTACATGTAAACACAGGAGATTCCAAAAGTTGAACCAGTTTATCAATTTGAATGAGCATATTGACAGTGATATCCAGCTCAGCACTAGATAGGAAAAGTTTGAGTGACAGAAAAATGAATAACATGATTTTTTTCTTTGAACAATTTTTTTCAATTTTTACAAACTTACAAAACTTGAAGCATATTCGCAGCATGTTCATAAGCTTGAGCTAAAAGACATAGAGAGAAGGTTGCCACTGCATTATGACACCAAGATTTGTATAAAGCGATAAACAAACGCTGACCATCCTTGTGATCCAAATTCCGTAAACGTTTTCGAAGATCTGATAACTCGGAAGCAGTAATCAAGATGATATTCAGATTTTGAACCATAATACTAGCAAATTCCAAATCCTAAGTTAAAAGAAGAAAAAAAAAAGTACAGTTTTTTTTTATTGTTGTTATTATTGATACTATGATCATCATTTTTTTTTTAAAAAAAAATATTAGTCTTACCTCATCCTTTTCTAATATATCAGCAATGGTACAATAGATGCGCTCAGGATCCAAAGATAAACAGAGTTGTCGAATAATCAAGCTTCCTCGAGTTTCTAAAAGACGACGATCAGTACTAAACAATAGTAATAAATTCGTCATAAAATGTCTAAAGTATTCATGATCAGAATAACTTGAAATCTGAGCCAATAATTGTAAATCGCGTCGCACCACTTCTTCAGATGAATCCGAAAGAGTCTTGAGTAATGCTGGAAAAGTACCATCGTCTGAGACCAAAATCTTATTTTATATAACAAGATAAAAAAAAAAAAAAAGAGTAAGAATAGCAAGTGTCAGGTCGAAACTTAAAAAATTTTGCATATTACCTTGTGGGGTGCTTTTTTATGAAGCATCAAAAGCCATTCTAAACTTGCTACCCTTGTTTCTTCATGTTCATTCAAAAATTGTAATCGTAAATTGGCCAAAGTTGTTTGATAATCAAAAGGATCAGGAAGACTGGCATCATCGATTTGATGATCAAAGATGATGGGTGATGAAGGTGTAGATTTATTCGTAGAACGACGTAATTGTGGTTGTTGTAATGGTGAAGTAGAAAGAAGCTCAGTGGAAGTTGGAGGTGGCTGTGTGAGTAAAGGAGGAGGAGCAGGTTCCAAAGTATCAGCCATTGTGGATGTAAAGGTTGTTGTTGTTGTGGTGGTGGTGCTTACAGGTGCTTGTAAAACTAACTTTTGGAGACTTTGATTGGTAGCAACAGCAAATTCATGAATAATAGGAACATGATGGGCCAAAGAGGGAAGGACAGCCTTGATAATTTCCGGAGTAAATTGAATGATGACATCTTTTGCGATCATGATGAACTCATTAATCCATTCCAATGCTGTACGTTGAATTTCTTCTTCAGTGGATGAGAGATGAGGTACCAGGATTTCCACAATGCGAGCATACTGTACGACAATACCTTGACCAGGAATATAAGTACCTTTTCCTTGTCCATCATTTTCCACTGAAGTGATTGTTTCTGCAGTTGGAGTCGTTGCTGTTTCAGTTTCCTCAAGAGCTGTTATATCTTCTTGATTGATTTGTTGATCACTCTCTTTTTGATCTTCAGTTGTTGTTGATTCAGAAGCAGAAGATTGAGAAGGTGGTAATACCATTGTTGTTGTAGATTCTTTGATAGTTTTGATTTCTTCAGCAGCAGCAGCAGCTTGTCGAATTTCTTGTAAAAAATCAGCCAATTGACTTGTAGCGGCAGTACGGACATCATCACTAGGATCACTAAGACATTGAATCAAGCCATCCAAGAATTCAGGTAAGAAGGAAACAAGTTCAAGATCGGGAATAGAATCTAAAACGGCAATCCAGGAGACAAGATATTGGCGGGCATTGGAATTTCGAACATAGATGCGTTGACGAAGCAGAGGGATGAATCGAGGTAAAGAGAATGCAGTATTACGAGGTAAAGAAGCAGGCGTTATAAGTTCTTGTTGTTCAGTTTCTTCAAGAGGATTCAATGGTTGTTGATAAGGCGATACATAAGTTGTTGATAATTCAGATACAACATCTTTGATTAAACGATCCAAAAGTTCTGCACCACTTTTCACTGTAACTTCAGAATCGGCTGATAACTATGATAATAATAATAAGAATAAAAATCTCTCTCTTCTTTTTTTTTTGGTTGTTTATATACTAACCTTGCAAAGAGCATCAAATACACTATTAAAGAATCGAAGAACTTCACCTTTGGCAACCTTGGCAATATTATACATACTTTCACAAGCATAATAACGAACCTTTTGGTCTTGATTGCTGAAACACGATAAAATAGGAGGTACAATAATATCCAAATAACCTGCTACTGACTAATATTAAAAAAAAAAGAGTGAATATATATTTGTTTCACACATATATAATATTATTATCTTACAGGTCCTAAAGCAATAGCTGTAGCTGCCAAACCAATGAGACCGCCATATCGTGCATTCGAGTTATTAGAATAAACAAAATCTTGTACAAGAGCATCAATGATTTCTGTAATTTTCTCTGGTGCGTTTTCGTTTTCTCGTACAAGTCTAATAAATAATAGGATTAGTATATGTAAAGTATTCCATCTTTTCGTACTTTTCTATTTCTAAAGCAGCTGCTTTTCGTCGATCATATATTTTATCTGTCAATCCACGAATAAGTGGTTGAGAAAAATGACTTGTATCCATAAAACCTTTGTTAATAGAATAAAAAAAAAAAAAAAAGAAGAAAAAAAGAAAAGGAAAAAGAAATTGAAACGAACTCAAATACGAGTTCTGTTCCAAGCGGAGTTCAACTGTGATCCTTACCAGGAAGTGTTTGAACAGAAATCGATCTCCTTGATTGTAAATGATCCTGGTTTGCTACATATATTATACTAATAAAAGAACAACAAAAAAAAAATATGTATTACTATTATTATTTTTAATCCACAACAAATGATAAAAGGGAGACTTTTTTTATTTTTAATATAAATGTAAACAAAAAAAAAATAAGAAAATACTAGAAACTATACTAGATTGAGGAGATTTTGAATTCAAAGAGTGTATGTATTTGTGTGTGTGTGTAAACAAAAAAAAAAAAAGAATAAACTAAGAGGTGACATTGAAGGAATTGATATCAATATCATCAGTAAGAGGATTGATGTTGATTTCGAAACGACTTTGCACATCGTTCAAAGTAGTTGTATCCTTTTCATCTGAGACAAAAGTAATACCTAAACCTTTTGTACCAAAACGACCAGCACGACCAACACGATGTAAATAAGTATCAGCAGAATCAGGCATATCATAGTTAATCACAATGTTCACTCGTTCAATATCAATACCACGACCAAAGATATCAGTAGCCACCATAATACGTTTTTCAAAGTCTTTGAATGATCGATAACGCTTGATACGTTCATCTTGACTCATTTGTGAATGGATACAGATACTGGGGAAGTTACAATCAGTCAAAATACGATTGAGTTCATTCGCACGAGGCACAGATCGTACAAAAATACACACTTGATTGAATTCCAAAGTGTCCAACAAATCATTGAGTTTTCGATTCTTTTCACGTTCTTCCAATTTGATATAGAATTGTTGTAAACCATGTAAAGTAAGTTTGGCTTCATCATCAACATAGATTTCAAGAGGATTTTGCATGAATTTCTTGCACACAGGGCGAGTATCCTTAGAAAGAGTAGCAGAAAACATCATGACTTGTTTATGATGAGGTGTAGAACGGAAAATATCTTGAACATCACGACGCATATCTATATTATATAAAATAAAAAAAATATTAAAAAAGTTTTTATTTATAAAAAAAAAAAATGAGTTTCTTACCAAGTTGTTCCAACATTTTATCACATTCATCCAATACAAAGTGTTTGACATTATTCAACTTGAGATGCTTATCCCGAACAAGAGCCAATACACGACCAGGAGTACCGACAAGAATATGAGGACATTTAGTTTTATCCTTCAAAATTTCCACATCTTTGGTCATAGGCACACCACCATAAAAGACTTCAGTACGAATATCAGGAAGATATTTACTGAATCGAGCATATTCATTCTTAATTTGGAAAGCTAATTCACGAGTATGACAGAGAACAACTACTGACACTTCACCATCCACAGGTTCAATTTGTTGTAAAGTGGCGAGAACAAACACAGCAGTTTTACCCATACCAGACTTGGCTTGACAAAGTACATCCATACCAAGAATAGATTGAGGAATACATTCTTGTTGTACTATTATATATATAAAAAAAGGTTAATGATCAAAGATCTAATAAATGACGCGTTTCTTTATTACCTTCAGAAGGATGTTCAAAACCACAATCCACAATACTTCTTAAAAGTTCTGGTTTAAGTAAAAAGTCACGGAAACCAGTAGAATGAATACCAACATAAGAACCTTTCTTGTCCTTTTTATCTTCATCCTCTACAAGAGCATCAGTATCATCAGATACTTTAAGAGTATCTTGTTGAAGTACTTGATCGTCTTCTTCGTAATCAATCAAATCATCGGCGTGATCGGCTGCAGACATGGTTTCTGTTTATTGTTTTGATACAAGTTGTAGTATAGAGAGATAAGGAAAGTGAGTATCACCGATTTGTAAAAATAAAATAAAATAAATAAATAATAGAAAAAAAAAGGGAGAAGACAAAGCCGTCTGTTTTTTTTTTTTGTTGTTGTCTTTTTGTTGCGTCGTCCTGTCTGTCTTTGAAAACACCCCGATCAAGTTCTTACTGGAGATTGTTGATTGGTTGATTTCCAAAAATGTAATCCATTTATCGTTCCAAAATATATAACTTGTTGCTAAGATTTGAGAAGTTTCACATTGTCATTGTAGTCACCAAAGGGTACATCAACATATCACCAATAACCCATTCTTAAAAGAGTAAAGAGAAAATATAAAAAGATGACTCTTTTTTTTTGCATCATGAAAGAGTCTTGAAAGGGTGTGTTTCAAACAAGATTCATAATATAGGCGGAGTGTTTTTGTGGTGTAGTTGTTGTAAACAGTGAAGGCTTGTCATTCCCAAGAAAAAAAAAAAGTAGTAGACATACCTTGTATAAATTGTGTTGGATATAGTTGTTACGAATAGTGATTGGTGATGATTTGTTTTTTTTAGAAAATAAAAAGAAAGAAAATATAGGATGAAGGAGATGGATGGATGGATGGATAGGAAAAAAAAAAGAATGCTTGCGTACTGCAACATGACATTCGGAATTCGAATTACAGTATATTTAATAGTAGGATTGGATGCAATTGAAGAAGCAGTTGATAATCATGTTGGGTCAATGGGTATGATAAAAAAAACAGATGGGAGGCATAAAACCGTGAGTTTTATTTATGATACAAAAAGGAATCTATAGTACAACAGATAAATATAAAAATGAATAACTAGAATAATAATGAAGTTATGCTAGCTATATAAAAAAACTAAACCAAGCCAAATCCTTTTGCATTTTCTATAGAAGTAATCAATCTATCACGTAGTTTGTCCTGATTAGCATATTCCGGTAATAATAATCGAGAAAAACATGTCAATGCAGTGGGTAATCTATAAGAAAAAATATATATAAATAAGTTTCATATATATCAAGCAGTATAATCATATCTTTTACCTGTCATTATCAGGTCCATTGCGTTGAACAACAAAAGTCAATTCTTTCAAACCTCCAACAGGCACACGATCACTTGCCGTAACAAAATAGAGCAATTTTCGTTTCTGGACAGGAGTCATTTCATTGTGAACAATAGTCCAAAATTGTTGAATGATAGGATGATCCACATGATAACCATCATCATATTCCGTCACTTTTTCCAATTCCGTCAGATCCAAATCCATTGTTGTTATTGTTGTTGATGTTGTTGTATCACCATTATAATTTTGTTCCCAACCACATGTGATGATTTCCAATTCATGAGGAAACACCAATTTTTCAGATAAAGCTTGACTACCAATAACACACCAAACACCACGTCGAAGAGCCAAGATAGCATCTCGTTGAAGCCAATACATATAGTGGGTACAGTAAGCCTGGACAAAAGCCGCTCGATTTTGGCTGGTCACCGGTATATTGCTGCCATTTTCCATCAATGGTATTGTTTGCACGCCTGCTTCAAAGGTATCAATTGTCATTTCATAATTTTGACAAAATGTATCTTCCACCGTCATCCCTGTTGTCTCTTCTGACCATAAAAGTAATTGTTCCAATCCATGAGCTAATTGTGGCCAGCCTTGTTTCAAATCATCCAAAGTAAATAAAGGTTCTTCTTGTTGTTTGTTTGCAAGAGCATCTAGTTGTTGTTCATCTGTTGCACAAATCATTTTCCAAAGCACCAAAGGAAGTTGTATATTGAGTATCACACCATTATATATCGCCAATCCAAGAAGCACACCAATCATTTCATAACTACGAATATCTGTCCCAGTCGCAGATCTAAACCAGTATAGTCGAGTAGTATCATCACAAATAAATAATCCCATCTCCTTAGCCAATAAATGTTCAAAAAGTACGCCAAAGAATTCTTTCTGCACACCGCCTTGATCTACACCTTCTTCACCTCCATCAATGAATTTGACCTTGAGTGGTTTCTTTAGATCTGACCATTTGCGTGACAATTGATGAATGGTGTCATCCACGAAATGTTGCCGTCGTATTTCTAAGAGCAAATAAGGACATACCGCACTTTTCAAATGATGTTCCAAAGACCGTACCATGTCAGGAGCATCCGATGATAGGAGACGTTGAGCTTGTACAAGTAATGTATGATTAACACACGCATCTTCATATTCTGTCGACATGGAAGACATACAGTCCATCAAAAGCACTTTGCGTTTCACCGATGCCGTTAGTAAAAACCCATAGCTGAACCACGAGAATTGATATTCATTGACAAACGGGTATGGAAGAAGAATCGAATTGAAGCTGGCTGCCAGAAAGAGTCGAGATCGTCTTTGTTGTTCATTAATACCACTGTTCTTTCTCCGGGTGCCGGAATGGTGATGCCGATCATGATGAGAATGTCGTAAGGCTGTTAATGTCGACGCACTTGGTCGTCCTTCCCCATAGGCTAAGACTCTTTTCCAGATTCGATATTCATCCTTGATATTGAGTTTGTTGCACAACTTTTCATTAATAAATGCGTCACAGGGTATCACTGGTGATGACGGATTGAATATATTCGCATGATCTATAAATGTAATCATTAACAAATGGTTAGTCAACCAATTTTTTTTTTTTTTTTTTTTAGAATTTCAATCAACTTACATAACAATCGAAGAGTTTTGACTGCCATCACCACTGTATCATTTTCACCGTGTCGATAAGGACCAACGTGGAAATGTTCCAAAAGATAGTGATGTAAATGCTTAACCATAGTTTTCATCGACAAAGGATCCAATCTTACCATATGTCAAATAAAAAAAGAAAAAAGAAAAATGAGTCAAAATACATATGCACGTATATATATATAAAACAATCAATAAAACAATCATTGCTTACCTAGCAAATAATGTAAATGTCGTTTTCAGCTTGTCATGATCCAAATCTGAAAGTATGCTCATCACTTTGATAAACTTTTGAGTCAATATGCTTGGCCAAATCCCAGTTGCAGTAATAGTTGTTGTCGATGATGAAGTTGTCAATGATGTTGATAATGATGAAGTATTTGTTTTGTTTGTAGAAGAGGATACTTGCTGCTTTGTTATTTTTGCAGATGTTATTGTTGTTGTTTCCTGTCGACAAATCCACATCATCAAACAGAATAAAGATCGGGTCCATTGTGCTGTTTTATCCATATCATTTGTTTGTTCCATATCATTCACATTCATTTGCATTTCTTCTAATAAAAGTTCAAAGCTTTCAGATACGGTATGCGCCAATCCCCAGTTGTTGTTACTGTCCATAAGAATAGAATCATAAAAGGCCAAAAGTCGTTCGACGTCCACCATTGCCACATCTTCCAAAACTGTTGAATCCAAAAAGACATTACCAATTTTATCCGGATGTCGAAATAAGGTACGTAGATACTGAACTGCTTCGTTGTAAGAAAGTCGAGGTAACATTCGATCAATATCCCTTATCATTGATAAACGAGCTGAGCAGGACGACGATGACAGATTGGGACCATATTTGTGTTGTTCTCCAAGAATACCAGTAAAAGCAGATGATGAAAACAAACTGTGCAAAAAAGGAAGCGTAGTAGTAGCATTGGTGGTGGTATTATTGGGTACTTGTCGATATGGCTGCTGACTAGTTAAATTGCTTGTGTGACAAAATTTTCTATTGTTATTATTACCAGACTTGGATGCCAAAGCCAAGGAGAGACTAAAGGCTGCTTGTGAATGTAATTGTAGTGATCCACCTCTAGCACTTGCACAAAATCGATTGGTACATTCGGATTGCCCGCATCCTTGTGTCAATTGTTGATAATAACGGTTTACTCTTTCTTGATATTGTAGTGCTGAGGTTTTTTGTCGATGACAATGCTTGGTTGATTTTCCTGTTCGTCTTTGGTTTTGATATTCAACAGTTTGTCCAGATACACTTTGTTTTTGCTGTTCTTGCTGTTGCCGTTGTTGCTGTCGCTGTTGTTGTTGTTGGTGTTGTTGATGTTGATATTGTTGTTGACGTCTCCGAGAAGAGGGTACTGAGGATCTACAGGAAGGAGTTGATACAGGGGATGTTGGTGCTTGTAATGAAGATTTTGATAAGTGATGGTGAGAAAGTGAAGGCATGTTGCAAGTTTGGATTAATGGTGGAGAGGCACTAGACTTCAAGGCTTGTTGTTTACTATAAGATAGTTGATGATAATTTGTGTTCTGTTGTTGTTGTTGTTGTTGTTGTTGTTGTTGCTGCTGCTGCTGCTGATGTTGTTGTTGTGATTGTTGTTGTAAGGAAGTAGTTGAAGCTGAAGAGGAAGTTGATGTCGGTGCAGTGCTGGTTGAAGGACAGGTAGAAGAATAAGTAGCATTCGCTTCAGTTTTGGAGGAACGACGTCTAGTACTATTAACTGAATTGTTGTTGAGCGATTCATTACTATTACAACTGTTATATGTAGACAATGTAGATTGTACTGGTGATGAGGTTGTATCATTGGAAGATATGTTCTGGAGACTTCGATGAGGTTCTTTATTGGTAGAAGTAGGATTACTGCCTTCTATGTTGATATCATCACTATTAGAACTATTAGATGCAATAGAATTGTTCAATTGTTCATAGGTAGGTGATAAATATAAAGATGGTTTTGGTGATCCATGTGAAGAAGTAGGCATACCCAAAAATAAATATAAAATAAAATATCAGGGAGAAAAAGAAGAGAAAAAAGAAAAGTAACAAAAAATTTGTCTTTATTAACTCTACCCAAATGGCGGGAATTCAAACTAAGAAATTCGTATACACCCCAGTTTTGGTTATTTTGGCCAATCATGCACCAAGAAATATCTTATAATTATGATCATATATTATAATAATAATAATTGCACATGCATTATCATTGACAGTATTATTTAATCATCGTTTATTCCTCTTTTGTTTCAAAAAAAAATCATCCATCTTTATTCTTATCATATATATATAATTATAAACTAGTCTGTTTCCTTGTTATCAATTTCATGTCCAACTTTTTGTCGTTTGTTTCCTTGCGATTTATAAACATAATATTTGGCATTATAAATACTATATTGAGAAAAATCATAATTGCCTTCGTCCAAAAAAAAGTATTTTTCATAGTCGCCTAATCGAAATATAGCTAGTTTTTTGATCTCATTAATCTCCTTGGGAAAGCCAACAGTTGGATGCCAATTCATGTTAACAAAACTAACCAAATTCCTTTGATCAAGTCGTTTTACATTTGCTTGAGCAGTTAAGATGCCGCCTGGTAAGTCGTTGTTCTTATTGTCACGGAAAACATGCTTCAACCAGTAAGAAAACGAAAATGGGAGATAGATGACATACGGAAGGGCTTCAAAATTTAGCATCATTATTTCGTATAGGGGTACATCATTCACCACCTTGAGTTTCACTGTATCCATACATACATATCCTTGGAAACTGATAGGTTGAATAGATGGTATAGGCTTTTCCCATGGATTCATGTTGAATGGATCGGACCATATCGTATGATGTTCGTTATTGATATTTTCATCATTCTTGCAATCATCATCATTACTTTCATTATCGGAAGAATCAAAGGAATCGGAAGAGTCACTATCAGAGACATCATCTTCTATTTGTCTTCTACGCTTGTGAACTTGAATAGATTTCAATGTATTATGAATATTGCTCTTTGAAGGTACCAAAGTAGTTTGAGGAGGGGCGGTGCTATTCAACACTCTCATTTTTATTGATTATAAAAGTGATATACAAAAAAAAAAATATTCTATGATATTTATATATTTAATTTATTTTGGTTCTTTGTTCTCATCATCCTCTTTTTTTTTTATTATTATTATTATCGTTCATGATTTTGTTTTCACTGTTATTGACGAAAAAGGAAATCCCCCTTTTTCTGATATGACATATGATTTATGTTCTTTGTTAAACGTCAATGAATCAAAAACAACAAATGACTTAATTTCAATCCTCTAAGGAACAAAATGAAATTTCTTTTCATTAATCAAAACAAAGAAAGAGATTTCATAATAAAGTGACTGACAAAAATAATTAGTAAAATATATATAGTAGAATAACAAAGAATTCAAATAAATAATAAAAAAAACAATACTTCATTTTTGGTCTAACAAAAAGTTGCACGTATTTCTTTATTTCATTCAAAGAATATACGTAATTTCATAAAAGAATAAGAATATATACTATACTCTTACTATTTGAAATCAGCTGCTTTTCCAGTCTATCATTCCCCCCAATAATAATAATAATAATACCAAAAAGACAATAATAATGTATTGAGTATTTATTTTTTTATTGATTTTTTTTTTGTTTTTTAAATCTTACCGTTAGCAAGCCCACAATCAAACCAAAGAGACCTAAAACAGAACCAAAGATTTCCACAACAAGCACTTTGACAAATAATTGAGCATCTTGAGCATCAGCAAGAGCAGCACTAGATCCTGTTACGCCCACTGCTAAACCACAAAGTAAATTACATACTCCAACAGTCAATCCACCCCAAAAAATAGCATAGCCTATATAAAAAAGATAATAATAAAGGAAGAAAAAAAGGTTATGAATATGGTCATTATTTATTATGATAAAATCATTTTTACCAGTGAAAAAGTTGGAAGAGGTATAAAGAGCTTCAGGAGCTACATAATTCAATTTTGAGGAATACACAATAGCCATAATAATACCATAGATGGCAACAACTTCACAAAAAATAATTGAGATCAAGTTTCTGGATTGAATGCGTGGTGTTTTGACGGCAGCACCCAATAGTGATGACCCAGTGATGAAAATACCCCTACATAAATATATATATGTTATACTTTCTATTGTTCTTCTATTCTTTTTTTTTTTTTAGAAAAAAAAAAAGAAAAAAAAAAGATTATCTTACCAAGCAGCACCAACTACTGATAAACCAATACAAAGTCCCATACCAGCTAATGCCCAAGAATAAGGGGAGACTTCTTGAAGAAATTGACCAACATTAAAGGATTCACCTGTACCAGTAAGAAGCATATAAAGACCAACAATGCCTAAAACAGTCACTGAAGTACCAGCAACATAGGTATAATATCCAGGCATAGTGTTGTTATACGATGATGATGTTACAAAACGAAAAAAAGAAAAGAATAGAAAAAAAAAAAAAAGAAAAGGAGAAGTAAAGTGTTTGAAATTTTTTTTTTTTTTTTTCCTTGCCTAAGGTTTTTTGATTGAGTGAATACGCCAATTCAATAACCGCTTAAACAAATCAAACGTGACGTAAGAAATGATCGATTGATTCAAGTATATTATGTTCTATTGTTTAAAGTAAAAATATGATATATTATATTAAAATGTTAATATACTATAATATCACATCTTTTCAAAGTTAGTTGTCAATAGGATCATTTTCATCATTGTGCGCGTTTTTTTTTTTCAATAGTAAAAGGAAAGGAACCGGTGATTGAAAATATTGCCACATGATTTGTTATATGATAAAGATGTGCAATTCCTTTTTTTTCTTTTTTTTGTTCTTTTTTTCTTTTCTCTTTTTTTCTTCTCTCATCCACTCTTTTTTTTTCTTGTGCTGCTGCTATCTAATTTCCCTTCTTTTGTTTCTATTAAAGAAAGAGAAAGAAAAGCAAAAGCCAAGACTATCTTTTATTTTATTTTCTTTTCACTATGACTGATCTTGTATATCAAAACCAACAACATATATCTACTACATCGTTTCCTGACGATGCTATTAAACAAACGACAACAACAACAACAACAAAACCTACTGATTATGCCAATAACAATAACAATGATACTGATGCTGCTGTTAGTCAATTATTAGCAAAATTAGATGAAGTAAGTATTAAAAAAAAAAAAAAAAAAAACTTAATTGATGGCTCCTCCTGACATTTCTATTTTATTAACTCCATAAAAAAAAAAGGGAACACAAACAATAGCCAATTTACGCTCAATATTGACCTTAAAGACTGCTGAACTGAATGAACTTATGGCACAACTTGAAATGACAAATCAAGCTATTACCAATGTTGAATCCACTACAGGTCATATTGAAACCATGTTAAAAGACTTGGGTTTATCCAATGATGGTCATTCTACTCGTGAACTATTGATATCTGCTGAAGCATCTTTGGATTCTGCTATCAAATCTGCCATTCATATTTATTCTGCTCAAGATCACAATAATAATAATAATACACAACAAGTTCGACGTCGACCTTCATCTATTGGAAGTGGGAAAAGTGATCCACATCATCAATATGAAAAACAACAGGTAATAAAGAAAATAATAATAATAATATAATAATAATGTAACTCACATAATATTATTATATAGTCTTCCAATGCTCGATTTGTATCGCGTATTAGGTATAAACCTGATACTAAACATATTTTACGTCAATTGAGTGATCGTCTTCGGGAATTGGAATTGGATGCCGGGAAATTCTTTGAAACTATTGGCACAACAAGTAAAGAATCTTATTTTTTTCTTTTCTATTATTGATTTCTTTATTTATTTTTAATTAGATGATGTGCAAGCTCTTCAAAAAGCCTATGTGGATTTGGATTTGGCAAAAACAATCGCATTGTCTGCAAAAAGTAATCTGAAACGTCGAAAGATTTTGCTGACTAGTTCAAGAAGACCCAATGTCATGGATCAAGTGAAACTGGTAACATCAAAGAAATAATAATAATAATAATAATATAGGAATTCTCATTCATTTTATTTCCTTTTTGTTTGATAGCTTGGTGAAAAGATCCGGGAAGGTGTGGATATGTGGAAACTTTATACTAGAAATGCCCCAATGATGGTAAATGGTGAAGATATTCTGGTGATTTTGGGACTACAGGATGATTTACTGGATAATAATGTAAGTATTAAAAAAAAAAAAAACGAAGGATATTGATCCATTTCTCATTTTATTATTATTATTATTAAAATAATTCAGCATTCAAATCTATCATCACGTATGTCTATGGATATCAAGAGTCGTGGCAATTCTCCCACAAACTCATCATCATCTACAACAACATCTTCTATTCCAAATCGATCTACTTGGCGACAAAGTACTTCATCATCCTCTCGACCTGATAGTATTCCTGCAACAACAACAGGTCGAAATCGTTCATCCTCTATTTCCTCAGTATCATCTATCCCTGTGCTTGCAACTGCAGTTACAAACCATCATCATCATGTACCTTCTTCAACTATGAATACCAAGAGATCTATGTATCGTCATTCCAGTGCAGCAGTAGGAACAACATCCAATGCCAACAACAGCAGCAATACGCCATCCACTATAAGATCTCCCATCAAAGCGAATATTGGCGTTAATCGCGTTCGTACTTCCTCTTTGACCAACAAAAACAAAGCTAGCTTTACCAAAACTGTATCTCCGAACAATATGGTATCATCTTCTTCTTTGATTTCTTCAACATCAACAGCACCTATGAATGATGCTACAATATCTATTGCACCTATGAATAATAATAGTGGAACACCCAAATCAATGTTGAAACCACCAACTGAACGTGGTCCAGGATCAACTCTACGTATTCGAAGTATGCTTGCCAAACGAAATCATCAACAACCGACAACATCTAAACTTTACCATGACGGTGACTGATTTCCTCTATTTTATATTCCATTTTATATCTTTCCCTTTATATACTTATATTTATGCCCTATCCTTCTTTATATATCTTTTTTTTTTCTTATTTGATTAGTTTATCATTATGTTCCCTTCTTTTTTATTTTCATTATTGTTACTTCATATTATCACCTCTCATCTATCCCCCGTCCCTTTGTGGAATTTCAATTTTTATGTATTTCCTTCGTTAATAAACTTACATTCTACTCTATTTTGTCATAGTTCGGAACAAAAAAAAAAAAAAAAAAAAAAAGCAAATAATATAAAGTGTGATAGTCTATATTACATTTGGGTGTTTTATTGAAAAGAATAAAAATAATCTATGCTAAAAAAAAAGGTGGTGTATGTTGTGTTCATGCCGATACTAGAGAGTCCTTGCTACTACTACTAATATTATCATCAAGTTCATCGTCATGGATATAATCATTGTTGATATCTTCACTCTTGCCATTGTTGTGTGTTTTATGGAGCATCATCAAAGCCAACAAAATAGGAAGATGAATCACGCTACCAAAGAATAATTGTCGACCCGTTTTTTCATTACTATAATTAATTAAAAAAAAAAAAAGAAGAGGAATTCATCATCATGAGTCCTTCTACGCAATAGCTCTACTGTATTTCTTTTTTTTTTTTTTTTACCTGCTTCTCCAAAACCGTACAGCACCATAAATCAAACCAGCATTGACCAATGAGGAATCCAGAGCAAACCACCATGAAGTCATATCCAAATAGGGAGCAGCCAAACACAAAGGCATCATGGCCAAACTATAACGTAGAGAGACACGAGCATTGAGTTTAGGATCAGTCACAGACATCATACGATAACCAGCCTTTGAATAATCAGCACGTAAATTCCAAGCCAAGGCATTAAAGTGAGGGAATTGCCAAGCATACAAGATAGCGCCCATCAGCCAGCATCCAGGATCCATCAAATTGTTGGTCACCGCCGTCCAGCCCATCATGGGAGGAATGGCACCTACGACTGCACCCGCCCAGGTATTGGCAATGGAAGCACGTTTCATAGGCGTGTAAATACAGGTATACAATAAAATATTGCTTGCCCCTAAAAGTGCTGTCAAAGGATTCACCATGGTTGCCAGCATGCCCACACCTGTCACACCGGTCAGAATACCAAAACTAAATGAATGAAAGGGAGAAAGTTGACGACGACCAAGCACCCGATTGCGTGTTCGTAACATTTGAGCATCGTAAGGTACCTCGATCCATTGATTGATAGCATTCGCTGAAGAGATGCATAAGCCTGTTCCCACTGTGGTGTATAATAATGTCGATACATCCGTCACTCCTGGTGCCATGGCATACCCACACATAGCCGTCAGTGCTACCAGTCCTGCCAATTTCGCCTTGACAAGTTCTTTGTATAGCTTTGGAAGTTCTGCCATTGTTGGTGCTCGGATTGGTTTATACTTGGTTGCACGATCAAGATGTTGTTGTTGTATTACTGAATAACCTGGTGATGATGAATCCGTTGTTGTAGTGTGAGGTATGTTTCCAGTAGAAGAAGAAAGAATGCGAGTATGGATCTTTGGAAGAATAGTACTACCTCTAAACCGATATGTTAGCATTGTGTGAGTAGTTGTATTAATAATGACATTGGATCGAACTGCTGAAGTCCAAGACAACATGTTTCCCCTTGTCAGGCATGGTCGAAGAAACATTATATGTGGAGGAGATAAGAAAAAAAAAAAAAAAGAAAAGGGTAGTGAAGAAGAATTATTTGTTTTTTCTCTAAAAGATGTGAGTGACGGAGTTTTATTTCTAGAAAGTGAGCCATTGATCCTTTTTCTACCTGGTCACAAATCTGTCAAAAAGGGCCTTTGTATCCCTGGCAAGGATATAAAATAAGCCCATTGTATTCATGCAACCTTTTTTATTTGAGATACCATTCTCTCTCTTTTTTACTTGTGAATTATATCAAAAATAATAGCTTCCTTTTATAATAAATCCAACACTCTTATCAGATTCTGAATAAAATGGGGAACCTGTTAAAGGTAGTTGCTAGGGACCACAAATAAAAATAAAAAAGAAAGATATCTGAGCATTCTTGTTAATATGATGGAAGTAGGACAAAAAGAAATGTATTATTCTAATGTCAATATGATTTTATTATTTGCTTGATAAATAAAAAAAAAAAGTAGGGAATCATTGACTATCACTAGGTTTAAAATGAGGTACTTTGACTACAAAAAAAAAAAAAAGAAGTGATATCAAATTCACCTCCAAATAATAATCAAATAACATGGACAAGGAGAAGGGGTAAAAAAAAATAAATTCATTCACTATACAACTTGATCAAATTGGTCCATAGTTCTAGTCACCATCAAAAGCATTTCTAAAAAGGAGTTACTGGATACACGTAACATTTTGGCTGATACACTTTCAAAATGACTAAATAATATAAGTGAGTAAACATTTTTTTTTCTAAATTTGATATTACTGTATTTACACTTTTAATAAAGCATCATCACATTGAATTGTTCGTTTGACTTGATCCGTTTTCAATTCTTTATCTACAGCCAAAACACGCATAGCAATAGAGGCAAGCCTTGATGAGGGAAAAGGAATTTCTAGTTGACTTTTTTTCAAGTAAAATATAAGAAGGATATTTTTAATTAATTTCATGTTTTTTTTTTTTATGAAAAAGTTGTTACTTTATTTAATACAATCATCTTACAGTTGGTGTTCCATTATCTTTTCATTTTCAAATGGAAAAGAAAAAAAAAAATTCGAGATATTAAATGTATAGGAAAAAAAAAAAAAAGGTTCGGAGGCAGGTGACTGTAACAAAAAAAAATCATTCCGCGCGCCCTGTTTGTAGAAACAGCAATTTTTGCTCCTGCTGTTCTTTTGGTTTTTTTTTTTTTTCCTTTTTTTTTTTATTCACATTATTCTTATTGACTGAAACATGGTATTTGTCATATATATTTTGAAGAAGAAAAAAAAAAACATATCTTTTTACATAAAATATTCACTTGCCTCATTTTTTTTTATAGGCCAATATTAGTCGCTCAGAACTTGGTCCTTCTGTATTGAAACGTATTGCCAAAGAAGTAGTAGGACTACAACAATCTCCTATTGAAGATATCCAAATTATACCTAATTATCAAGATTTGACTGAAATACAAGCTTGGATTCGTGGTCCAGGTAAAAAAAACAACAACAACAAAAGAAGAAAAAAAAGAAGACATTCATATATTTATTTACTCATATTTTTGCTACTATGGAAATATATATATATATATATATACATTTAGATGATACTCCTTATGAAAATGGTTACTTTAAAATACGACTCTTACTCAACCAAGGTTTTCCTACACAACCTCCTAAAGGATACTTCAATACCAAGATCTTTCATCCCAATATATCTTCTACTGGTGAAATTTGTGTCAATACTTTGAAAAAAGACTGGAAATCAGACGTTGGTATTGGACATATTTTATTGGTAAGAAAAATATATTCTTTTCTATGCATTTCTCATTTTGAACATATAGATTGATTTATTTCTTTTTTTTTTTTTTTTTGTTTTTTGATGTTATAGACTATCAAATGTTTATTAATAGTACCTAACGCGGAATCAGCATTGAATGAAGAAGCCGGGAAATTATTATTGGAACAATATGAAGATTATGCAAAACGAGCAAGACTTTATACAAAGATTCATGCCAAGGCTGGCAAAACTGAATATCAACAATTATGTCAACAATTCCCACAAAATACAACAAGTAATTCATCATCTTCAAATACCAATAACAAAGATATATCAACATTGTCATCAAACGAAAAACCATCAGCATCATCACTTAACTCAGAATCATCCGATAAACAACAATCTCAAAATAGTACAACTATAACAAATGGTGGAAATATATTAACGCCATCCATGGTGAGCAATGGTGTAATGATGCCCACTCCTGGTGAATTGAAACGACCTGCTACTTCAGATGCCAATCCCAAGACTGTCAAACATCTTCGAACTGATGAAAACGTGACAACAGTCACTGCTACTGCTTCTATGCCAACAACTCCAAGTATCAAAACTCAAAAAGCAGCGTTACCATCAACCAAGGACAAAAAGAAACGTGGTCTACGAAGATTGTGATCTCCATTGAATTCGTTGCCCTTCCCAATCTCTGCTTTCCCGTATCATTTGTATATAGATATTCGTATTCTTCTTTTTCTTTAAATAAACTATTGTGTTTTTATAATATTTATGATATTGATCTTATCGTTATGCTGTTACAAATAGAGTTAATCTTGCTTCCTTTTTTTTTATCCTTTTGACCTAGATAGCGTAGTGCGATCAACATTTATCATTCAATGACAGAATCAAGTCAAAATGAATGGACTCGTCATATATTAACCAAAATGAATGTCATCATCCAATCATCCAACCATCATAGAGTTATCACATGAAATAGAATGATAGTGTTAATCGATAGATATATATTTATTGTACTGTTTGATTCAATCACCAACATAAAAATAATAATAATAATGATAATAATAAATAAAAAAAATGTGTGTTTGTAATTCTACTGTGTTCTAGGAAGTTGAAGTATCAGGGTTAGGAAGAAGGAAAGAAGGCACAGTATAATCAGGAAATTGTTCACCATTGAGAATACCCATTAAGATGACGACGTGACAAGCCAACAAGGTCCAAGAACTATTTTCAGTAGAGGGGAAAGTCAGCCAGCAACCTTCCAAAGTGGCCAGCAGGAACAACCGGATTTGTGTACGGAACTGAGCATATTGTACTGCTACCCATACACTTTGAAATACCAAGTAAGGCAATGTGTGGAAATACCAGGAGTAGAATTGATAATGAAGTGATCTTGCAAATGTCATGCCAATCAAGTTGGATGTGAACATAATACTGAGGATATCTATGAATACAATATTCCAAAAAAAAAAAAAAAAAAAGAATGAGAATGGATCAGTACTATACTTCTTTTTTTTTTTTTTTTTTTTTTGGGACTTACCATCAACAGAGAGTATTCTTGTACCATTACGTTCAAATCCTCGGAGAAAGGTACGGATCATACCACCCGAACTATATATCCAATAAAGAAAAAAAATCAGTAAGAAAAAGAAATAAAAAATGTAAAAAAAAAAAAAAGTAAATGATATTTACTTTTTACACCAGATATTGATAACAAAGATAAATAAAACAGAAAGATGTCCAAGTAATAACCAATTGGCCCAGGTTTGAGAGACAAATAACTTTTCATCGATCATCCGCCAATTGACTGTCCATTGATAATCAAACACACGTGAGAATTCAAAAGCCTTTAAAAAATAGGAATTAGCTTCGGACCAAAATGGATAGGCTACCAGGCACTGACATGCGGCGATCCAGCCAATCAAACCGAACGTTGTCCATGCACCTACAGATTGCCATAACACCACACCAAGTCCGGGGAAGAAGAGTAATACATTCATCTTGATAGCCATGGCCACACTATACAATGTCGAAGCCAACCACCAGCGTCGGTATATAAGAGCAAGGATACTACCATACATAAACAACATGGCCACAGGATCATTGAAACATCGAAGTACATAGATGGAATGTAATCTTTTGGAAATACATAGCATCAAGATCACATAAGGTGGGATCTATTAAAAAAAAAAAAAAAGAATCAGTCATATTACTTCCTTCACCAAAAAAAAGATTTTTTTTTTTTTACTTTTTTAGATTTGGCATAGATAGAAAAGACAATATATTGAGTCACCAAGTAAATGGCAGCAAACAAATATTGAGCCACTCGAATCCGCGTACCTTGTTGAGTAAGATAGTAAAAAAACGAATAAATATAGAGAAAGCCAGCAGGATACACAAGCGGTCCAGTGTCACCTCTTATCTTGGTATAGTCGCGTTCACCATTCAGAAACGTTGTTACTTGTTGCATATAAGCTTTCCAATCAATCTCGGTATCTTCAAAAAAAAAAAAAAAGGTGAGATGAAAAAAAATCTATATGTTAACTTCTTTGGAAACTTACATTGAACACGTTGAATAATAAAAAGATTCAGAATGGCTTCACCTACGAGTAACAAAATAGCCAAGGTCCAGAACTGACTTGGATCCAGTAGTAACCGAGCTGGCCATTTGACAAGATCTTTCACTCCTAGAATGGGCGAAGACGAGGAAGATGAGGAGGATTTATTAGAAGTGACTGGGCGACGCTTGGTTGAGGCTCGCTTCCCCATGGATGAACAATACAGATTATAAAAAAAAAAAAAGAAAAAGAAAAAGAAAGAAAAGATCCCATTTCTTGTCCTATGCTGACTTTAATCCCAGCTGGAACACACACTGCAAGCAACGTATATATTTTTTTTATTTATTTATTAATAGAATGAATAATATGAAGTCGTTAATACTACAATGAAATAGAAGATACTAATAATCTAAAGGATCGGGTATGTGTTTGTATCGTTGACCAGAATACCATTTGTTGTAATCCAAACGCATTAATAATTCAGTTAAATGCCCACTGATTTTCATATCTTGTTGTTGATTTGAGAGCAAGTCAAATAAGTGATCCGAATTTTGTGTAAATGTCTAATCATATATATATTAAAAAATGAATAAGATCATTTCCTTCTCTCCTCTCTTTTTTTTTCTTACCTCTTCCAATATCGATAGTTGTTCCATTCTTGCCGTTGATCCAGTAGTATCAAGTTGTCTTGTCCAAGTACTAACGATCTCTGCAGCCGACATTGGTTTTTTATTGATTTTTTTCTTCTTTTTCTTCAAAGGTGCTTCATTCCGTACCATGTTGCAAAAGTTCATACATGTTTGTAATAAGATGATCAATGCTTTTCTACATTCTGTTGTTGATAATAGACATCCACGTGTTAATTCCATCAAATAATGTTCATGTGCTTCTTGAACCTTGTCAAAATCAAGAGGTACTGTTGAAGATGTTGTTGGTTGGCACGCCATCATCAATTGATCGTAATGTCTTGTGATCACATTCCCCTAACATCATCATTCAAAATGAATAACTTGATCTTTTTTATATTTCAATGTCTTACCTGAACGTGACTCCATAATGTATCAATCCAAAATAACATCATAGATCTTAATCTCCAAATCAATCGTTCTCCAGGATCATCATCATCTTCATCGTCTTCTTGTCCTTCGACTTCTACTTGACCTTGATCCGCCGTCGTAGTTGTAAAAACATGAGAGAGAGCCATCTGAACCTTTTTCAAACCCATCAAGAAGGACCATAGAGAACTATAACGAGCCATGTCCTGTTCACCAAGAAACAAATCAATGGGCCATTGTAGCGTATACACCAATCTTCCACCATAATGATGATGATCTTCATCTTCATCTATTGCCAATAAACTTTCAAATGTATCCTTTGTATCAAAAGTATCAAATGTATATCCATCCAATTGATCTTCACTATCAGTACCAATGGATGCCTTGACCAGCAATGCACGCCATTCTCGTTTTTGTTGTTGCCATATATCCATATGATGATGATCCTTCATGTCCGTTTGAGATAAGGATTCCCCTTCTTCTTCTTGTCGTCGTCGTCGTCGTTTGCCAGGACTAGAAGAGGATGAGAGAGAAATATATTGTAATCCTTCCAACCATTTAACAGCCAAGTCACCATCGCCAAGTAAAAACAATTGTCGAAATGAGGTAAAATATTTGACCAAATTATGTTCTTGTTGAAATACTTGAGAAAAGAGCCAAGTTGTGGTTGATCGTCGAATGCGATTAACGACTTGTGTCAGTAATTGTGATTGTTGTGTCCATATTGTTGATCCATCGATTTGCTGAAATGATGATGATGATGATGATTGGAGAGATTGTAAGAGTTGGAGATGATATTGTTTCATAGAATTTGGCATGACTAATTTTTGTTGTTGTTGATTTTTCTTTGTTTGGATGGTGGCCATGACATTGCCGACATAAAAAATAGAAGTTGCCACGTCTAGAGAAAAATGATTGGGTATTCGATCAGGTACAATTTGATAATAGCGCTGCCATTCTGTAGTATCTGTTGATGATTGCTTCGGTGTGATGAAAAAATCCGTACAGGCTGGTAAATGTCCATAGATCATCCAAGCAGTCAGTTGACGATAAAATACATTGTGAAGTTGACCAAGCATATAGACCATAGCATTATGTAATTCTGGTATGCCAGTGCGTACTTGATCCATCAATATATCCAATACCAATATTTGTTGTTGTTGTTGTTGTTGTATTTTCTCCGTCAGGCGTAACAGTCCAGGTAAAATTAAATCCCATCTTCCCAAGTGACTACTGATCATGGATAATGGTACAATCCCTTGTCCTGCTTGATCTTGTTTAGTGACAATTCGAGATTCCATAGTGAGGATCAATGTTCGATAGTCACCTAATACTGTACTAAGACACGTTGCTAAAGCTTGTCTATACACGTCTTGTTTTTGTTGTGGTTGAAGTGTATTATTAATAAACCGACAAAGTTGAGCATAGATCCAACCCAAATGTCCCATATGATTGAGAGCATCGCGTTCAGTGGGATGAAGTAAAGGAAAATCACGAGCTATGGCATATGTTTTCGCAGTTTGAGGTGGGCTAGGGACAGGAACGAAGACATCTCCAGGATAGCCTGAAAGGACAAAGAGTAGTTCATGAAGCATTCAAAAGAAAAGGTAAACACATATACACGTAAAACAAGTCTTTCTTTTCTAATGAAGATAATAAAAAAATAAAATAAAAAATAAAAAGAAAAGAGATAGAAAGAAAACGGAAGACAAGCACACACTCCTTTCCTGTCTCATTTAAATTCCGCCATCATTGTGCTTGCTCGCTTGCTTTTGTATGGTATATTGCTCATATATTAAAATAGAGTATATCAGCAGCTATCATAAATGAATTTATTGTGTCTTGAAACTTCTTCTTCATAATACTATTGATCTTAAATCAAATCAAAATCAAAAAAATATTGAACAATATAAATATTTTTTGAAAGAAGTCATTTCCTTATTTGGATGACTCTCTATCAGGTTTGACCGGAATTTGAACGTGACATCATTTTTTTTCTTTTGTTTTTGACCTGCGTGTTGGGTCGCAAAAGAAAAACACACAGTTGAATTATTATTTTATTTTTTTTTCTTTCACTTACATTAACACACCCTTCTCCCTCTTTAAAACCAAAGTAACATAGAAAAGGAATCTTAAGGATAAAAATATAAACTGACTCTTTTTTTCTTTAGAAACATGTCGTGGAACTCAAAGACTTGGTCCTGGGTGAAGAAATACTTCTCTGTGGTAAGAACTTTTTTTTATATATTCTTTGTCATATAATAAAAACAATAGTCAACTCACTATAATATAAAATGTTTTAGAATCCTTTATCTACTGATGGTATGCCTCCTGTTGGTAAATTCCGTACTCCTTCACCTGGGTAATACTATGATAAATACATTCATCTTTGTAGATACTAATAATTTTCTATTATATAGTTCTCGACCCGAAAAGTACGTTTATCCCAAGTCTGCTGCTTCTAATGTGAACAACAATTATTATTTCCAACGTGATGTTCGACGTAACTATCCTCGTTTGACTGTTTATACTCAACAAAGTGTTGCTGGTCTTTTAGAAGGCAATGTCACCACCAAAGCCATGTAAGTACTTTTTGAATTACTATTCTTATATTGTTTTTTGATTAATGATTTATTATTGGAATAGTCCTGCTGAAGGTGAAACTGCTGTTGTGGAACAAACTAAGGATGTCAAACCTTTAGTACAAGTATTGAATCAAAAGATTCTTTACAATACTTCTTCTGGTAAGGCTGCGCCTACTCCTAGTTGGGGTCGTCCTATGGTGTGGAAAGAATCTGAAGACTTTGTTCTTCCCAATGATGGTAACTCATAAAAAAAAAAAAAAAAAAAAAAAAAAAAAAAACTAGGAAAGAAATGTTCAAGACTTCTAATCAAATCCTTATTATTATTATTATTATTATTAGGATCTTACTTCCCCATGAAGTGTTACACCACTGCTTAGATTATAATTTTTATTTGATACATTCCTTTTATTTTATATATACATACACTACCTTTACAACAATTCTCTGTATCATCCTTTCCAATTTCTTTATCGTCAATAAAAAGAAAAAAAACAAAGCAACAACTATTCCATGTTTTAAAGAAAAGATTACTCGAATTTGATTTTTCATTTGGATCTAAGGTCGTTGTTATTAATATTGTCAAGGAGGTCATCGACGAACAAAGGGGAAAAAAAGAAAAAAGAAGGAGAAGAAGGTAATGGATCGTCTTATCACGCTTTATAGTAGATATGGAAGGTAACTACTCACGAGTTTCTTCATTTCTCTCCTTGTGCGTGTGTGTGTGTATATATATACAAGGAGAACTAAGAATAATAAATAAAAAGCCATAATGATTTGTTTCAATATCTTTTTTTTTCTCTCTTTCTTTCTTTATTTTATCAAGTAAATTAGATACATATACATATAAAAAATAAATTATGAAGATCATCCACTATATATTACTTTTTATTACTTTGATGATGGTAGTTGAAGCGTTACCATCCAGTTTTCAAGGCAAAACAAACTCACTATCAAAAAGATCACCAGCAAAACAAGTAGCAGCCACACAAGCGGCACCCAAAGGGGCAGTAGAAGAACAAGAAGGGGAAGAAGAAGAAAAAGAAGAACAAGCACCAGTAAAAATCGTCCCCAATGAAAAAGCGAAAGTCCATCTTCGAACTATGGTGGAATCTTTGGTAGGTTTGGTGAATGAATTACGAGATAACGGAAAGATTCGTTTACCTGATCCTTTAGAACGTGTATTTAAAACGATCATCGAGTCTGTGGATACTGTACAAGATGATTTGAATGTGGATCTTAATATGGATTTGGGTAATTTATTGAATAGTGGTGGAAAATAATAATGTCTTATAATTAATCAAATAAATGATTATAATAAAATATATACAGAAAGGATGATAATGATAATATAGATATTAAAAAAGTGAATCATTTATTTTATTTCTTTTTTTTTTTATTGATTTTATTGAAGGAGTGATTGATGAATTGTAATAATAATAAGAAGATATATGATAAAAAGGAAATAAGGGTGTATAAAATTGTATTGGAATAAGAAATGAGGAAATAAGAAGAAGAAATCGAAAGATACAAGATTATAAAAGAAGTTAGGGGGGAGATAGAAAGATAAAATAATATATAAGTGAAAGAAATACACGATAAAAGAATAAGAATAAACGTTTGAATAATAATAAAAATAATAGAATATGAATATTTTTTTTTGGTTATTTTTGATATAAAAGAAGGGAGAGAGAGAGAGAGTAAGAAAAAAGGATTGTAAGGAGGAATAATAATAATAATAAAAAAGGAGAGAATCATAGTATCAAACACTTGAATTTCTTCTTTGTCTTATCCTTAGTAGGCATTTGTTTGTTAATTTGTCGTACCACATCATAAAAGACTTCATCGACATTAATCTTGAATCGAGCAGAAGTTTCATAGAATGGTTTACCACCCCATTTTTGAGATAACATCATACCTTGTTCCCTTGATACAGCACGTTCATCTTCTAAATCACATTTATTTCCTACTAATACCATAGGTACCTTTTTATAATAATAAATTAAAATATAATAATAATAATAATAATAATAATAATAATAATAATATATTATAAACTTACATTTTCAGTATCTTTTACACGTAAGATTTGTTCTTTAAGTTCATGTAAATCTGTTAAAGTCACCATACTTGTAATAGAGAATACCAAAATAAAACCTTGTCCATTTTTCATATAAAGATCGCGCATAGCAGTGAATTGTTCAGTACCAGCTGTATCCAAGATTTCTAACATACATTGTTGTCCATCTACTTCTACTTGTTTTCGATAAGAATCTTCAATAGTAGGATCATATTTTTCAACAAAAATAGATTGAACAAATTGCACAGTCTTTTTAATTATTGTTGTCGTGGTCAGTTAAAAAATAAAGAGTTAATAATTTCTTGATGATAACAAGATTTCTTTTTTTTTTTTTCTTACCAAAGCAGATTTACCAACACCACCAGAGCCTAATACTACTAGTTTGTATTCTCTCATTATTATTGTTGTTGTTAATAATAATAATAATAATAATAAAAGGTAATAATATGGAAGGAAATAAAAAGGGTATGAAAGATGGAAAAGAAGAAGAAAAGAATTAAAGAAGAGAGAGAGAGGGGACAATCTATATATATAAATTTATATATAAAAGAGGGAGACAACAAAAAAAAAAAAAAAAAAAATAAAAATAAAAAAAGAGAGCGTGTATATGTGTGTGTGTGTGTGTGGTATAAAACAAAAAAGGGAACAAAGTAAAAGAAACAGAGAGAAGAGATCTATTTTTTTTTTCTTTTCAATAAGAAGAAGAAGAATAAAAAAAAAAGATGATTATAAAGTTAATAATATAAAGTAAGTAAGAGAGGAAAAAAAAAAAGGAAAAAGAAAAAGAAAGAAAAAAAAAAAACAGTTGGATGAAAAGAAAGAAAAGAAACACCGACAATAGTCAAATCAATTGGTGATACAATATTTTTATTATTTTAATAAGAAAAACTCCAATATTTCATCATAGGTGATTGAGGTTGTTCATCTAATAATAATAATTTTTGTGAATATTTAAATCTAGGATCAATTCCTTTACGTGCATAATAACCTCTTCTACCATGTTGAATAAAATACCAATCATTAATATTCTTATGATGATGATGATTATCTATTTCAATCACTTGAATATTATGATGATGATGATTAAGATATAATAATAATTTAGTGATTGATATATTATTACATCGAGTTACATTTAAATATTCCAATTGTTTCATTCTTGTTAATAATATTAATATCATTTCCATACTGATACATCGATTATAACCAACGGAAAAATATTGTAATTGTCTTGTTAATCCATCATACATATTCAATAATATATCATCCGTTAAATTAGCTTGTCCACCAAGATCCAATACACGTAAATTCTTCATCTTTTTAACATCTTGCATTAAAAATCTTTTTAAACATCCATGACAAAATTGATTTCCCATAGGTATTCCATTGAATTGTAAATTCAAATTCAATTCCACCAAATGAATACATTCACTTAAGAAAGCCATCATATCATTATTGTCTTGATAACAACAATAAATCCCCCGGCATCCTTGAAGATTCAAATGAGTCAACGTAGATGAATTGATATATGTAAATATTTGATTGGTAATAGGTGTATAAGCCAAATCCAGTCGAGTAATCGTATTACCATTCATAGCCAATCGTTCAAAAAAAGGTTGAAAGAATAATTTAGGTGAAAGTGCCATACAATGATGAAAAGATAGTTGTGTCAATTTAGGTGGCATTTTCCATTGATGTACCTTCATATCTTCTTCTTCTTCATCATCATCCTTTTTGATCATTAACGTTAATTCTTGTCCTTTTTCTTTTTTTTCTTTTTCTTTTTCTTGTTGTTGAAAAAGATCAGCCATGACTTGAGTTATTTTTTGATCACAAAATCCAGTAAAATCAATGACTTGTAAAAAAGGATGATCAGTGGTAAAGATAGCACGCATTACTCCAGGTTCCACAAAGACATGCATCAATTCATCACCAATCACTAATTGTTGTAAATAGTGACATACAGTAATCAAATGAGCTAATTCAGTGGCTACTACTATTTGTTTGGCTTGTTGTTCCGTCCATCCCGAACCACGTACACTGTAACTGGATAAATCAAGTTTTCTGACATATCCCACATATTGTTTTTCTTCAAATATTGGTAAATATTGTATAAAATTTTGATATTGTCTTGGACTAGTAATCGTTACAGTTTGAAAAAGTCGTCGTCTTGTCACTTGATAATATCGCCGGTTCAATCGACCTAATCTACCTTTGTCTTGAGTACCAAGATAGGTTGCAATGGTATCAATCAATTCTACAGATAATAATTCCATGTAATAAAAGAGGGGGGGGGGGGTAATAAAGAAGATATGAAATAAAATATAAATAAAAAGAAAAAGAAAGAAAAGGAAAGAAAAAAAAAAGAACGGGTGTTATATATAAGAAGGGGGATGATGGAAAAAGACGGAAAATGAATCGTTTTTTTTTTTTTGACGGTGAGAAAAAAAAGAAAATCATGATAATAATGATGCGATCACTCATCCTGATTGGTTTAAAAGATCAAAACTATCCAAACTAGGAAATAAAGTCTGGGTAAAGAAATCTTTCTTGTATAAACAATGGTATCCATTCTCATTTCTTACCTTTCATTTCTGCATGGCTATTTTCATCTCCGCCGTTTCTTTTTTTTTTTCTTTCATCTTCCGTGTAATCACAAGAATATCGAAAGTCACGTCGTCCTTTTTTTTTCGTTTGTGATGTGTGAGAGAGTATCAAGGACTGTGTTACAAATCTATTCATGATCCTTTCCTTTTGTATTCTAAGGATAAAATAAATAAAAAAATAAAAAACCAGATGATGTACCTGGATCGAATACATGAACCTTTCTTTAATCAAATATATATTGGTTAACAGTATTGATCAAGTCATAATAATGTATCTTAATAAATAAAAACCAAAATTTGCTCATTGATTTCTTTTGAAATTTTACTTTTTTTTTATTATTATTTTTTAAATGGAATGATATTATGATTATGATATGTATTCAAGGCAAATAGAACATACGATTTGTATCATGATGATAAGCATTTCTTATGTTGAGCTTTCTTTTTTTTTTTTTACGGAAGTAGAATTTCAATGTCCGCGTTTTCTCCTTTTTGTGTGTGTGTGCCTTTTTTTTTTTCTATCTTTTTTTATTTTTATTTGTTTCTTTCTCTTTTCATAATATACAACTTTTAGTTAATACTATAACGTGTAGGAACTCTATTTATTGTTAAACATTTGTTTATTGACGATAATAGAAAAAAAAAAGAAGGAATCAATAGGAATGCTTTTACTATTGTAACCTATTTTCTTCTTTTCTATTGACTGCTCTTATTCTCTCCTTTTTTTTTTTTTTTCTCTCTTTATATACATATACACAAAAAAGGTAGTATAGAACTCCCCTTCCTTTATCTTCTTCTCCTCTACGCCCTATCTATTGTTTTACTCACATAGAAATATTCTCTCTTCTTTTTTTTAAAAAAAAAATAGTGTTGGTGATTGTTTCTCTTTCTCTGTTTATTGGTGAATACAACAACAACTATTTGATACCAAAACTCAATATCATCTTCAAACTTATACAATTATTCCCCCATCAGATACTATTATAATCACCTATGTAAGTAAAAAAATAATAATAATATGTATATTTATACTGATAAAAACTTCAATGTAGGCTATGACACAGTCTTCCATCTATAGTAGTTATGTTGAAGCCGATTTTAATCCTATACCAAAATCGTCCTCTTCTTCAACAACCACTTCCTTGGAACAACACCATCAGCAGTCTATCTCTAATAGACAAAGGTTGACTCAAGCTGAACGAAGAAAACAATTACAAGATCTGGATCAACATATTGCTGAAGCTACTCACTGGAGTCGACGACGTGCAGAACTAGTTACGACAAAAACAACAACCTCGTCTCGATATAGACAGCACGACACCATAAAGAAAAAGGACAAAGGACTCAAAAATGATACTTTTACTGATGATACAACTACTATGGATTTACGCGAAGCTAGTTTGGAAGATTTAGAAGGATTAATTGCTGCTTCAGCTAAACGATTGGCCAATTATCGAATAAAAAGTAGATCAGAAAGACAACGAACCACTAGTATGATATCCAATACTGATCGACCATCACAACAACAAGAAGAGAATGACAATGAATCTACTGATTCTTCCTCTTATCATAGTCTTCATCAACAAGAAGCATTTACCTCTCTCTCATTACCCAATGACTTTAGTCAACAAGATGATACCATTTCAATTCCTTCTTCTTCTTCTTCTTCTTTTATTATGGATACCACAACAACAACAATAGCAACAACTTCAGATACTCCTGCAACAATGGATGATATAATGTCACCTCCTTTACCATCACAAGACCCTATTAGACGCAAGAAATATTATCATCGCTTACCTCCTTCATTATCATCTCATGTATTAGAGAAGGAAAAGTTTAGTTTGGTATCTCCTACTTCTCCATCTTTATCTTCTTTTCGTCGATCAACTCAGATCACTTCACCTCCTGTCCCACTTGGTTCTTCCTCCTCATCCTACCAACAACAACATCGTCGACCATCAAAAATCACTGCAACATTAGAAAATACAACCAGTAATGGAACATCACAGCAATCATCAAGAAGTCAGCGATATTCTTCCTCATCAACATCTTCTTCTTCTTTACGTTCATCCAACAACACGTCACCTATACGTAATTCCAACAAAAGTTTCCCAACAATGAAAACGACAATGTCTTCTCAAACAGGACTTTCCAAATCATTGTCTTCAAGTTCTTTAATGGGGTTAACGATTGATTCCTCTTCGTCTCCAATAACATCTTCACGGCACAGTATGTCTCCTCGACACAGTATGTCTCCTCCTCAACCATCATCATTATCAAAGGGTAGACGATTACGGACTTTATCTACTATGGAATCATCTTCATTCACAACTGGACCTCTGGCAGGCACCAAGTCACATTCCTCCATCATCATACCCAAATTGCCACATGAACCGACTAAATCAAACACAACTACACCTATCCAACTCAAATCCAATAGTATGAGCAATAATAGTCTTCGACAACAACAACAACAGCAAAAGCCTCGATCTACGACCCAAAGCACTACAGGACAGCGGCAAGACAACACAGCAACAGAAACGAATCACAGTAGAAACTCTTTAGATATTAATAATTCAGCACCAAAAAGAACTCGTCATGTCTCTATGCTTTCAAAGCCATCAGTCTTGGTATCACCGTCAATGAATCGATCAAGGAAAACAAGTATGGGTACACTTCCTTCTCGAAAAACACTGGAATCTATTACTACTCTGGTAAATGATACACAGGTTGATAGAAATGCAAGTCTGCACTCCAGCACCAAACAGACATCGAAGCACCGTGTTTCTTCTACCATTACTACATCATCCATTCGGTCTAAGGAGCAAACCAAATTGGTGGCTCCCTCTCATCGTCATCAACAACAGCAAGAAGAAGACAACGAAGTACAAAATAACACTAAACTTGTCAAACCGAAAGAAACAAAAGGAAGGAAAAGGGGCAAGGTAGGACCAAAATACCGAATGCAAGAAATGAAGAAAGGAAAGGGGAGGCATCGTACCTTTTTTTCTTTTTCTTTGAATTTGAAATACTGGATGATACTGACTCTTTTTTTTATTTTATTTTATTTTTTATGTATATATAGACCCTTCCTGGTAGTCTAGCATCACCCCCACCAGTCATATCTTTAGCTTTACCTCCTCTTAAAGTGGAACCTATCTCATCTCATCAACGTAACCAAGATAACGTTCATCATCAACAGTCGACTACACGTTCTACGGCCAAAACACCCACTCGTATTCCGTTGCCAATGAAACCATCTAGATCACAAGCAACAACTAATGAAGAAAGTATGAATGATGATAATAATGATAAGGAAGAAAATGGTGATTCAACAACAACAACAAAAAAATCAACATCATCAGCATCATCAGTAAAAGTAGGCGCTTCCACTACAGTATATTCGAACCAATCGTCATACATCGCTCCACCTGGAATGATGACTTGCAAATTGAACCGGGATCCTATCTTACGCAAACAATTATCATCAGTGACCATGCGATCTAGTCAAGTCAATCATTCTTCTTCACAATCGCAAGAGAAATCTCACTTGGATTCCCCTTCTTTGTCATCTTCAACAAGAACAACATCTTCAGGACCAGCCACAGGTGTTAGAACGAGGAAAATCAGTACTATATCAACAAGAACAGGAATGGGCGTTTCTGCGTCTATTAAACCAACGGGTAAAGAAAAAGAGATAGAAAACGAAAAGGGTGGCTCTAACTTGTACTTGTTTCACGTATATAAGAGAAAAGTAGTGATCCCAGACGCAATCGAGTACCAACTCTACATGAACGATTACAAGCTTTGGTCAACGAAAGCAATGCATGGCGAAATCCATCCTCAACATCATCCTCATCTAATTCCGCTACTATGGCAACAGCAAAACATCATCCTTTAAAGACAACTACAAAGAAGAAAGAAATCGTGATACGTGGAGGCGGTCATTCAACAACTACAAATCATCAAGGAAGAGCCAATGGAGAAATCAGCTGCGATGGTGATGAAGAAGAAGAAACTTCGGTTGCATTCCAAGGAGGACAAGCTATGAATCTACAACAAGCAACAGCGTTGTGCCTAACAGACTATGAAAAGAAGGAAATGCAACAATATGAATCGATATATTTTATGGGACAACCAGACAGCCGCAAACGCAGACAACAACAGCAACAACCGAAAAATTCATCTTCTGGATTTTATAATGATGGTTACGATGATGAACGTGGAGATTATCACATTGTACTACGAGATCATTTGGCCTATCGATATGAAGTCTTGAATGTATTGGGCAAGGGATCTTTTGGTCAGGTATTGAAATGTTTTGATCACAAATCTGGTCAAACAGTGGCGGTCAAGTTAATTCGGAACAAGAAACGGTTTCATACACAAGCTATGGTGGAAATTCATATTTTGAAACGATTAGTACAATGGGTAAAGGAAAATATATTAAAAAGAAAAAGGAGGGAAATTATCGTAATAACCAAAAAAAAAAATCATAATTTTTATTGAATATAGGATCCTGATGATACACATCATAATGTACGAATGAAAGATCATTTCTTATTTCGGCAACATTTATGCATCGTATTTGAATGTCTTAGTATCAACCTTTATGATTTTATCAAAAGTAATCATTTCCAAGGCTTTAGTATGGGCTTGATCAAAAGGTAAAATGAAAACTTGGAAGAAATCGTTTGACATTTGAATGACTCTCATATTTTATTTTATTTTTCGTTGATGGATTAGATTTACGGTACAAATTTTGCAATCTCTTTCCTTGTTACACCAACATAAATTAATTCATTGTGACTTGAAGCCAGAGGTATAACAATAAAAGAAAAAGTACGTTTTTTTTTTTATTCACTCTTATTTTTTTTTTCCTTTGATAGAATATCTTATTGAAATCACCTAGTAAAAGTGCTATCAAAGTGATTGATTTTGGAAGTTCCTGTTTGGAAAATGAAAAAGGCAAGTGAAAAAAAAGTGAGAGATAAGACAAAGAAAAAGAAAAAAAAGACTTATTTTCTTTTTATTTAAATATATTTAGTATATACGTATATTCAAAGTCGATTTTACCGGTCTCCTGAAGTAATTCTTGGTATGAATTATGGAATGGCCATTGACATGTGGAGTGTAGGATGTATTTTGGCGGAATTATATACTGGGTATCCTTTATTTCCAGGGGAAAATGAACAAGAACAATTGGCTTGTATTATGGAAGTATTGGATGTGCCTCATGGATCACTTGTGGAAAAATGCACTCGACGTAAACTATTTTTTGATGCATTGGGACAACCTAGGATTGTTGCGAATTCAAAAGGGAAGAAACGTCTACCTCGAACAAAAACTTTGGAACAAGCATTGGAAAGGAAATATCAACATGAAGGCAATAGTAAGAATGGATCGTCAACCACAACTACTTTTGTACTCTTTGTGGACTTTTTGAAACAATGTTTACAATGGGATCCTGCTCATCGTATCACGCCTGATCAAGCTCTTGCTCATCCTTGGATCAGTGGTTCTACTACCAACAATACCAAAATCAACAACAACAACAACAACAACAAAAATAAAAATGGATGATCGCCTTCCCTAGTTAGTTATTTTTTTTTATTTAAATTAATCTTGTATATCTGTCTCCATTATCAACATCTATCAATAAAAGTATCTTATGAAACTGTGAAATTGATACAAAAGAAATAGACGAAATATATGATGAATCTTGAATATGTATGTCTTTTATTATTTTTAAAAGAAAGTGTAAGAAGTATGATTTAAACAAAAAGCCTCTTTTTTTATGTATATTTACTTTTGATCGCCACCGTCCCATCCTATGAATGAGGATCGACTAATCAGAGCCAGAAGAATTGTTTGTTTCATCCGTCCGTGTGATATCCTTTCCATCCTTACTAGCAGATTCATCACCACCAGCAGTACCATCAGAATCATCTTCATTAGAAGTGGCCTTCTGTCCGCCTTTCTCCTTCTTGGTCCCAGCATCATCTGAGTTATCAGTATTCTTTTGATTGGTAGTATCATCATCCTGATTCTCGGTATTATTGTCGTCAGCCACTTTATCTCGTTTGGTATAGAAATCATCCAATTGTTCATCTGTCATTCCAGCTGGAGGTCTACCAGGATGATCAGGCGTGTTTTCATTTGAATTATCATCATCTTCTTCTTCTTCTGCTCCACGTTTGGTCAACAAATCGTCGATACGTTCGGCAGACAAATTATTTCGATAAGAAGAAGAAGAAGAGATATGACCAGGCTTCAAAAGATCATCACCATCGTCATCATTGCTTTCATCTCGTTTGACGAAATCGGCATCGCGTGCACGTTCAATCTCTGCATCGCCGAGGTTATCGGCTGACAAGGTTATACCGAAAGGTTTGAATAATTCCACATCACCAGGTCGAACATCCATAAATTTGAAAATCCCACGTGTGGTTAATGATCCATCTTCATGTAAGAGTCCACCCTCCTGTCCATATACTTTTTCTCCAGCTACTTGGACCGTATCGGCATTCAATTGGGTACTGATCTTGGAGGCATCCACACCTTCTGGTGTCACATTGATCCCATCATTAAGAATAGGTGCCGCTTGCACTTGCATCAATAGACTGATGGCTACAGTGATATAAACGAACTTCATTTTTTTTATTATTGTTAAAAAAAAAAAAAAAGAATAAGTAGAACAAAAGAAAATATTGGTAAAGAAAAAAAAAAAAAAGAAGATTGAATAAATAAGTGAAAGGTCTTCTTTATATAAGATGGAAAGGGAACCAATCATTATTGTAATTGTAGTAGATAGATCCAGTACCGACTCCTTTTCTTTCAAAGAATGCCACTTAAAAAAAAAATCATTGTTTTTTTTTTCGACTTGTTTTCATGACTACATATTTTACTTTGATTAAAGCTCCTTATTAACGCCTCAAAGAAGAATAAAAAAAATGGAAGTTAATCAGCTTGAAAACCTTTTTTTTTAAAGGCATCATCTGTCTCCTCTCTTCTTATTTTCATCTTTCAAATAACGGAATTTAATAAGAATGAATCAATCAATGGTTGATGATTTTAATATGCGTTCCTTTTTTTTCGAAATAGAAATCAGAAGATGTCTATACTTACTCTTCCTTTTTTTTTTTGTTCTCGAATAAAACTGAAAAAAAAAGATAATGGATACCTATGCAAAAGCATAACACTAGCATCGTATTATTATGATAGAATCATCATCACCCTTTTCCCGTTTTGCATTAGTGTTGATATAACGCTTGCATCTTCCGAAGTTGTCTTGATAGTAGGGGAGAGAGAACGCGCTCAAACACTCCTAGAATGACTAGTTTCTATCTCCTATTCTTTTTTTTTCCCTCAACGCATCTATCCCCTTGCTTTTCATCCATTTTATTTTTCTTTGAACTGATTGGAGGAGGAGGAGAAAAGGAAAGGGAAACTTGATTTCTCCTCATTCTTACTCAATCATCCGTTACACATTTATCGTATGGACTCTATGCTCTTGTTTAGTTTATGCAAGAGATACCCTTTTTTTCTCCCTTACAATACTATATATGTATCCCATTCTCATACACATCTTACGCCTGATATCATAGCTTCATCACATTACTTGAAAATACGATATGACCAAATGATGGCACTTTTGTATACTACAGAGATGTAACGAGTGACACTTTTGACACGAAAGGGAAAAAAGCATCCATTGACAGGTGATGATTATATAAAAAATTGAACTTTGTACATTGGAGGGTCTCCCTCTTCTGGTTAAGTAGAGCAAACGATGATATGTCATACATCTTTTATTCTTCGCGAAGAATACTTGTAAGGGCGTTATCATCACTTTCTTCTTGTATTCATTTGTTTCTCAATCATTGTCAATTTCTTGGTGTCAAACGAAAAAAAAAAAATTATTAATCTGATTACACTATATTGTTGCGACTACCTATCACCAAAAACAATTAGCTTCAAAAAATCCAATGGAGCATAAGGTATTTTTTTATTTGATATAATTAATGTATTGATAAACTATGTAAATAAGGCGAACTTTGAATAAATAATAAAATGATAATCAGAACAATAAAAAGAAGAGTTAGAAGGTGCCAGATACATCAGAATGATTTTCGTGGGGGGGGGGAATAGAGTAGTAGTCCAATTATTTTAGGATTCAAGAGTCACCAAGGAGGTCAGAAACGACATCACCTACGTTGCTAACGAGGTCGCCAACGGTGCCACCTAATCCATCATCTAATCCGTCACCTAGTCCATCACCTAAGTCAAGTCCATCACGCTTCTTTACTACTCCATCAAGGATGCCATCTAAGTCAACGACATCACCTAAGTCAAGTCCATCACGCTTCTTTACTACTCCATCAAGGATGCCATCTAAGTCGACGACATCACCTAAGTCAAGTCCATCACGCTTCTTTACTACTCCATCAAGGATGCCATCTAAGTCAACGACATCACCTAAGTCAAGTCCATCACGCTTCTTTACTACTCCATCAAGGATGCCATCTAAGTCAACGACATCACCTAAGTCAAGTCCATCACGCTTCTTTACTACTCCATCAAGGATGCCATCTAAGTCAACGACATCACCTAAGTCAAGTCCATCACGCTTCTTTACTACTCCATCAAGGATGCCATCTAAGTCGACGACATCACCTAAGTCAAGTCCATCACGCTTGTTTAGCGTTTCGATAACCGGTTGAAGACCTTCTAGGACTAGGTCAAGGAGGTCACCTACCTCAGGACCAAGTGCTGCATCACGCTTCTTCAAACGGATATTTTCTTTATCGGAAGTAAGAGCTTGTTTTTGTTGAGAGAGTAAAACATCATTTTTTTGCGTGACGGGGGCAGCGAATGCAGTGGCAAGACAAGCGGAAGCCACAAGGGCAAGATAACCAAATTTAACCATGATGATATTAGGAAGGTGTGTATATGTATTATGATTAAGTAAAAAATGAATAAAGTAAAACAACAAGAGATAAAATTAAAAGAAACGGTTTCTTTTTATATTCACTGGATGTCATGTAAAGACCATGGGAGTTACCATTATAAGGCGCAAAAAAAAAAATTAGGGGTTGTTGTTTAGGGAAGATGGTGATCATCATGCATCTTTTGAAAAGACGACGATCTTGGATTAGATTTTGTTTTTGTTGACCAAAATGCAAGATCCTTAAAATTAACTCAGCATTTTTTTTTTTTTTTTTTTTTTTTTTTGTGGGAGAGAGGAAGGAGAAGTGTTTCCTCCTCTTTTATCAAAGTTTATGCAAGACTACTGGCGCAATTGAAAAAAAAGGATTCTTTTTGCGACATTGAGTTGTATAAAAGATACATCCAGAAAACAAGGAGGGAGTAATAGAAGATTTATCTGCAAAAGACTGCTATTGCAGAAATCTAACATCATGACGACGATGATCCTTAAATCAAATTTGAATAAAAGGAGACAAAGGAGAGAAAAGAAAAAAACAAAGTTCCAATGCATAAACATCCTTTTACACATGGAGGATAAACTAAGGATAGGAAATTATTATAGTTTTACATGTTTTTTTTCAGCCCATCTGCGATTATTTGGAGGAGGTGAGTCCCTTACAAAAAAAAAAAAAAAAGAAAAAAAAAAAAGAAAAAAAGAAAAAAAAAAAAAACAAACTTGCCGTAACTTCTTGTTTACTCGGGTACATATGCATAGAATCAACAGAAGAAAAGGCTAGGGAGATGTCTTCCTTTTTTATCTCCCTAACGCCTGGGTAAGAAAGTTATTCCCTATGCCTTTACACACACGTATACACGCACACAAAAAGGAAAAAAAAACTCATTGTGAATACTATTATTAAAGTGCTAGCTAATATCTATCAGCATAAGTGAAATGAAAGAAAAAAAAAAAGACAATGTCATAGTGAACGTTATCGCTTGAAGACATGTTCCAAATAATATGTATTAACAAAAATGTAAAAAAAAAAAAAAGTCAATGGCATTATTTATCACAGATAAGACGATTAAGTAATATTTATTAAACACAAGTGAAAGAAAAAGAATAATAGTAATCAGGTGATTTAATTAGAGTCTGTAGCAGGCGAAGCTTTCCCTGTAATGAGTGCCACCAATTGTTTGATTTTCAGAGTGAGAGCTTTCAATGGTTTTTGATCATCAACTTGATCTTCTCTTGCGTAGGCTTGTAATTGATCAACCAAGTCAAGAACTGTTTGCGCTGCCTCTTTGACTTTCTGTGAATCAGGTACCGATGATCTTTTCACTTTGGCGGGAGTCTGTAAATTACGATGATGTTCGGCATCCCCTTCTTTGCCACCATCGCCACCTTCTCCATATCCATTTTTACGATGATGTTGAGCATCCCCTTCTTTACCGCCATCGCCACTTTCTCTATGTCGATCTTTACGATGATGTTGAGCATCTCCTTCTTTACCGCCATCACCTTCAATATGATGTTGTGAATCACCTTCTGCGCCGCCATCACCGCCTTCATGTCCACCTTCACCATGATGCTGGGAATCACCTTCTGTGCCGCCATCACCACCTTCATGTCCACCTTCACCATGACGTTGGGAATCTCCTTCTTTACCACCATCACCTTCAATATGATGTTGGGAATCTCCTTCTGTGCCGCCATCACCACCTTCATGTCCACCTTCACTATGATGTTGTGAATCTCCTTCTGTGCCACCATCACCACCTTCATGTCCACCTTCACTATGATGCTGTGAATCTCCTTCTGTGCCGCCGTCACCGCCTTCATGTCCACCTTCACCGTGATGCTGTGAATCACTTTCTGTGCCACCATCACCGTTTTCTTCAACACTTTTTTTTCCTCGACCGCTAGACTTTAAGTTGTTGATGGGACCCTGATAATATGAATCTGGGTGGTTGATATGGTGACTTGACGAAAATGACCGCTTCTTGTTCGGATTAGGTGCGTACAGCGTACCATCCTCGGCAGATGGCAACACATCATCCATCTCCAATCGATCATCCAATGCAGCAGCCTTGAAAAGTCTATTGAGTGCTTTGATCATATCCTTCACAATATCAATCCATTCTTTGGTATTTGTACTGTCATCATCGTCATTGTTGTTATTGTTAGCGTTGGTTGATAGAATATCCTTGAATAGTGATCTGATCTCCGTTACCATACTATCTACTTGGCCTGAAGGAATCACGCTTCCTGTTGTTATAGTAGTGGTATAGGGCGCGTTACCTTGTGAGCCAGTGTAATCCAATGCATTATTATCATCTTGGTAAGCATCATCACGGTGAGTTGTAGAGCGCGAGTTAATCATGATATAAGTTCGACGAACAAGCTCCTTGGTTAGATAGGATCGTACATTTTTATCTATCAAGGTGGGATGAGAGGATACCCATGTTCGTTTATCAAATTTGAGAGCCTGACTGGAAGATGTGGTCCCGACTACTAGTTGGCAAAGGACGATACAACCCAATAAGAGCCCAATAGAATAATGGATTCTCATTGTTAAGATGATAAATAAAATTGATGACAAAGAAGGAAAAAGGTGACAGTATAGAATAAGAAGAATAAAAAAAGGGAATGATAGGAAACGAATGATAAAATGCACAATTAAAAAAAAAAAAGGAACATACGCGTAGTAAAAGAATATTCCCAGCATTCATCCATTCTTCTCTTTCGAGGCCATCCTTCTACGTGAATCCATCTCGTCATTTTTCTTGCTCCTATTTTTTTTTTTTTTTTTTTTTTTTTTGTACCATCTGCGTCATTTAAGGAGAATAACTAATTGAAATTTTTCTCGGATACTTTGCAACAGAAAAAAAAAGTGAGCCCCTAAAAAAAGAACGTTTCCATGGCTGCCATTCACCTTTTTCTTTTTCTTTTTTTTTTTTTTTTTTGGAGATCTCTCCTCTTTTTTCATACCCCCCGAAGGAGAAGATATCTTCCATATATTCAAAAAAATCCATCATCATGTTTACGTTCAAGCAGAATAAAAAAGGGGGATTTTCTGCACTAGGAGTATTCATTTGCTACAGCTCAAAGAAGCGAACCATAGAACGGATTCACGCCATCTCTCGCAATTGACTACAAACTTGAGAAGGTACACTGTTTTTAATAAAGATATGAACTCAAAAATTAAGGAAGACGTAAACAAGTGCTTTGTTGAATAAGGAAAAAAAGTATAATTAATCATTCCCATTCATCAATCAAGTAAAATAATAAAAATTCATCGCAGATAATGTATTCACTTCTTTATTCCTTGGTACAAAATATTCTATTCCAAGCCTAACTGATCCATCTCCATCACAATCCTATATTGATCCAATGCATTGCTTTAATCAATAAGTATCATACTTATTCCTTAACTTCCATATATATGTATTTCATCCGTCATCCTGCATCCCAGAATATATGTTGAACGTCTTCCATAAAGCTTTTCCCAGTTTCTATCCTTTATTGCGACGATGTTACCAGCGTTGTTTCCTTGTTCAAATATCTATATGAATAATATATAAGTCAATAACATCAGTTAGCAATATGTAGTCTCTCTATTTTTTTAAATTCGTTTACCATTGATACCTTGCATTGCACTTTGTAGCCAAAAAAAAAAAAAAGGTGAAAGCATAGATCCGTTATTCATCTTGAATATTGATATACCAATAGGCTCACTTTTTTTTCCCATTTAGTGTTTTCATTGAATATCAAATTGATTTAAACCAACAGAAAACTGAAAGAGTGAGAATATAGAAGGGAAAAAAAGAAGAAAGAATTAAAGCCTCTCGAAAGGAAAAAGAGAAAAAATAAAGCTGCCTTTTGTTACACAAAGTGGTCTGTCCGACTCAATACACTTTTATTATTATTATTATTATTAGTGCCATTCTTAAATAATAAACTAAATACGAGTCATTAAACTTTGTATGTATATAATGGATTTAAGGTGCTTGAGTATCTTCTACGGCTTGATCCAAACTAGTAAGATCAGGCTCAGTACCGACTACATCATTATTATTGGTATCCGTTGTCGTTGGAACGGAAGTAGCAGGATCAGTGCCGACTACGTCATTATTATTGGTATCCATGGTAGTTGGAACAGAAGAAGAAGAAGAAGAAGAAGAAGAAGAAGAAGTAGTAGGATCCATTGTATTATTTTTATAAGTATGAGGATCAAGGTGTGCAGCCAGTGTGTAAACGCTTTGAGTGAGATCATCTACTAATCGTTGGATTTTAGCATCATCATCCTGTTCAATCGCAGCATCACCAATAACCTGAATGGTGTTTATCAGATCAGGTATCACTTTGTTATCAGACCACTGTGTCAAATTGGATTGCTTTTGTAATTTTTGAAGTAAATCGACAACATGATGGACGGGCTCTCGCACATCATCAATGATATCATCATGTCGTTGTATAGCGTCCAGAAAATCTTTCAGTTTAAGAGCCACTAGACGGATATCCTTTCTTAGTGATGCATCATCTATCACATTCGATACATTATTGCCATCTTGCGTTGATTCTATTATAGGATGGTTCTTCTCTGGCGATGGAAACGGCTTATCATTAGATACATCTGCTTGATCTTTGCTTCCACCAAGGAGTTTGCTAAGATTGAGTGGTAGAGCATGCACTACCATTGTCATCATCACCATCATCACGCAGAAATATATCAATACTGACTTGTTGGAAATAAACATTACTGTATATAGAATATTTTTTTCAAAAAAAAAAAAAGAAAGAAAAGAAAGTAGGGGAGAGTAATTGTTTGATTGGAAGAAGTCTATCAACACCTCATTTTATTCCTCTTTTTTTCATTTTTTTCCTTTGTTCGGTTATCCACCCTGGCTGTCAATTGTTTACTCTCCTTTTACGTTAAAATGGATGCATTTACCTTCTTCCTATTGTTCTCCTATATTACAATGACGTTGGTTTCTAAAAATGGAAATGGGAGGGATCTTCGTTTCTCCTTTCCTTCTCCTTATTTATATCAAACCATCCGTCGTCTTTTTTATTTTATTTTTTTATTTTTTTATTTTTTATTTTTTTTTTGGTTGAATAATATAAGATGATAGTTCACTTATATTATAGTTACTTTATATAGTTAAACTAACTAAATATGACAACAATGGATTGCCATTCAAACAACGTGACCATTTGATCTGCTTTTGTCATTTTTTTATCAGGAACCGAGATTATTATTATTTTTTTTTTTTTTGCCGCCCCATTTACGTTCGTTATCATGTAGCTCTTGGTACATAATGTTCTCGTGGTCTCGTGATAAAATGAAATGAACAGTATCACTGGCATAGGAAAGGGATATTCGACATACGATACTATCCTACCCTCAATGCATGTCGTTCTCAAAAGGAAATAATACATAAATAATAAATAAAATAAGCATTTATTGAAAAAAATGATCATGAGTACTGTAATAATAACAAAACTGTAATAAATAGTAATAATAATAAAACAAGCATTTATTAAAAATGATGATCATGAGTGATAATATAATATTATTAAAAAAAAAAACTAGGACACTAGTAGTATGCTAATGTTCGAAGATGTAGGGATCCCATGAGCGACCTTCGTCTGTCAGAGTTGGGCGTCTAGTGATCTACAAATGCTGCAGGTTCATGTTTCCTAAAGGGTATAAAGAGAAGGACGTGATAGATCCGGATCAATGTGATCTGCAAATCCGCAACCTACAGAGAAAAGAAATACATGTTAAAAAGAATCAATAACGGGTCTCCACTAATCATCTTTTTTTTTTTTTTTTTTTTTTTTTTTTTTTTACCTTGTCGGTTGCCCAATCGATCATATCACTTGTAAGAGTTCTTGTTCCTTGTTCTTCCTGTTCCATTTGACGTTGTTATCAAGGTTGTCTTCATGGTACTATGCAGCCTTCGGAAGATACATTTATTTATAGGAGCATGAATATCATGTGGGCATCACTGATGCTTCTGATTGGCATCATCCAAGTCAATGTACCTTTTTTTTTTCATAAAAATTGGCGGAGAGGAATAGATAATTTGCGTAATTGAATAATATGGTTTGCAGGCGAAAAAAGCGATGATTTGCATTGTATTGATTATACCAAAAAGAGAATATACAAAAACGAATAGAAAGAGAAATATGGTAAGTAAAGTCTTTTTTTTTGATACTTACAACCGTAAGTTTAAACGTCGCAGGTTTTTGCTACCCGGATTAAGCATATAGCTCAGGCATAGAAAGAAATGGAATCATGCTAGACTTATGATTCGCCCCGCCGTAATGGTCCTCAACGTTTTATAGTTAATGGGATAACACGCAGTTTCGAACCACTCTTGATACCCAAGCTTCCAAAACGATCAAATTATTGATTTAGCTATGATCATTAAGAAGAGACTATAATAAAGAATAAGAAAGTTTCTATTGACATCATTAATCATCAATCATCCATTTCCGTAATATAAAAAAAAAAAAAAAAAGAATCACCGCAAATATATTCAAGACCCAATGCAAACAAATCTCTAATCAAACGCAGAAAAGAAGCTTCACATGGAAAAAATCAGTAATTCCAGGTGTCATATTTTCTCACAAAGTAATCATTTCTTTCTTGCTAGTTGTGTAGGTCAAAATATAATGAACGTGTCATCATTTATGTTTATTGGCTTTTTCGCTTAAAATAATACAGTTGCCATCTGTCACGTTCGTGAAGTTAAAGAAAAAGGAGGGAAAAAGAAGTTGAAAAAAAAATGTGGGTCACTTGAACGAAGTTGCTCTCTCTCTCTCACCATTCGATATTTTTATTTATAACTTGGAAGAAGAACGAAGGGAGATTAATAATTGATCCGCAATATGTAAACAGGTAGACATAATGGTTATCATAGGATTGACACCTAAACATGAAAATAAATAATTAAATTCCATTAAATTGAGACGTTTCTTTCTTTTTTTTAAAAAAAAAAAAAGGTACCCGAACCAGTAGGGAAAACAGAGGCATCAGCAACATATAAACCGTTTACTTCCCAAGTTTCACCTGTTGGCTTGACTACGGATACACGTGGAGAAGGTCCCATACGACTATTTTTTTTTAAAAAAAAAAAAAAAAGAAAAAAAAAGAAAGAAAGAAGGAAAGAAAGAAAGAAAGAAAGAAAGAAAGAAAAGAGAGATAAGGAAAAAAGAGGAAACATCATCAATAAAAAGTAATTATTTTCTATTTCTACTTCTATTTCTATTTTTTTTTTTTTTTTACCATGTTCCCATTTGATGAGGATTACTCACAATAGCGGGAGCACCAGCAGGGATGACTTGCTCTTTCAACCAACGGATAAATCGTGGATGATCAGGACTTACTTCTTCGTCCTCAGCAAATATAAAAGGTGGCACAACATGCTGCATTGTTCTAATCTCTCGTGCGCCGGCTGCTACCAAGATGTTAGCACTAGCAACAATTCCGGCCACGGTTGATCGACGATCATGTTTCGACATTTTATAATTGACTTTGACCTGATCATGATGTACCCCATCATAAAAGACTTTTCCATAAGAATCTTTTTCACGTACAACGGTTAATAAAGAAGTACTATAACGCCAACGTAACATGGCACGCTTATGATCAAGACTACCATGCCATGGATTAGCATTAGCCACCATACCAACATGATGTGATACACCTTCGATTTTTGCCCCATAATGATCATTTTCAGGTGTATTGGCCACCACATCCGAATAGGCTGTCATCATCGTACCCTTATGAGTATCTATCACATGCTCAAAATACCCAAATGTGGCAATACAGCTATGAACATGGAGATGTTCACCAATATGTTTGTTTTTCAATCCGCTACGCAAAAGAATGCCTGGTGAATGTAGAGAACTACCCGATACCACCACTTTTTTTGCATGAATTATTCTTTCACTATCATCATCGTGGTGAGCAATGACTACCCCTGTGGCTTTTCCCGTCCTATCATCAATCATCACTCGTCGAACTGTCGTCTTATTCATGATTTTTCCTCCATTTGCAACTACATCTCGTAGCCAAGTATTCATAGATCCATTTTTAATTCCATCACGACATCCTGTAGAACACCAATGACATTCATGTGGATGGCCTCCTGAATTTTGTGGTATAAGTTCTGCATGATATCCCAGCTTTCTGTATTATTCAAAAAAAAAAAAAAAAAAAGATCGGTATAACTCTCTTCAAGACAAAAAAAAAAAAAAAAAATAGATAACATAAATACTTACTCACAACCTTTCATCAACACTTGATTGCTACCATGTAACTTGATGCCTTGAGTTGTCACACCTATTCTTTCACATACACGCGTGTTATTATTCACAAACTATAAAAGTCCGAAAAAATAGAGTTAAGGATTTTCGATCATTTGTATTTTTTTTTTTTACCTCCTTTGAAATAAAATAAGGTAGACCTAATTTAGCCCATTCAGATCGTACATAATGTGGTAACTACCAAAATAAGAGAATCAAAAATCATCATTATCATCATTTCTATTTCTAGGCGTTTAAGATGATAAAAAGAAAATATAATACCTGTAAAGAGGCAGAATAATTAATGGAAGTACCACCACCAATCAAACTACCAGCCATGAAAGCCATGGTGCCATCTTCACTTAAAAAAGAACCTCCACGTTCCATATTCCTTTGGGCAGCCATTCCTTCTTGTAATACGAATTCAGATTCATGATAATAAGGTCCCTTTTCAATCACCAAGACAGAATAACCGGCGAGTGCTACTTGAGCTGCAACTACACCACCACCTGCACCACTTCCTATTACAATCACGTCAAATCCATCATCTGGAAGTTCATTGGGTGATGATACCATAGGTAAACGCGGATGATGACGTACAGGTTGATAATCAGGTAAACTACGCATAGGATCAAAGGTCGGGTAACCTATGGCACGATGGAGCGTAGTGCTTGCCTCAGGACGAGCATAGGTATTTGCCCAAGTCAAACTAGCCAACGAGATATACAACGAGCGAAAGAAATGAAAACGTGATTGTTGCCAATGGATGATGATTTTTTCTCGGTCAGAACGAGCCATGTGTGCAAAAGGTGTTAAACAACGACCTTGGGTAAGAAAGGCCATACCTGTAGAATGAGATAAAAGGGAAAGTAATCGAAGAAACCCTTTTTGTTTGTCCTTGGTCAGTGACCGTTGCAGTAGCTGTAATGTGTTGTCCATCGCATTAAAGGTCGAGTCGAGATCTCGTATAGTTGCACGTGATAACAATTGGATATCTTGTTGTGATATGGTTGGATGATGACTTAGTTCATGTTGGAGTTGATCTGTCTCTGCAGTCGTTAATTAGGCCAGAAATGTATCAAAGATAGCAATTAGTGTGGCTCGTTGTGATGATGTTAGTGTCAGAGGTATCTCGTTGGTCATATTATAGAAGAAAAGAAAAAAAAAAAAGGAAGAAAAGAGAACAAGAAGAAAAAAAAAAAACAAGTTTCCCTAATATGAATGTTTGTATGCGTGTGAAAAAGAAAATCATATGCACGAATAAAACTGTGTTGTTCCACACATAATGCTGGATAATCTCGGTTCAATAAAAGGGGGGAAAAAAAATCTTACCTTTCTTTTCAGGGCACTGATTGAAAAATATATTATTATATAATTTGATCCTATTACTACAGTGTTATCAACTTTTCTTTTTTTTAAAAAAAAAAAAAAAAAAAAAAGAAATCAAGTTCATCATTCAACTATCATCATATCAATCGTCCAGACTAGAAATATCATAATATCATTTTCGTAGCATGGATCCTCATAGATGCATAACATAGAATAGTCAATATCATTGCCTGATGCAACATAGTAAAACCATGTTAAAAGATATCATTGTTATTATAGAGCCAATATTAAGATGATTTTGGGTAAGTCTTTTGTTGGTAGTTTAGATTTATATATTCATCTCAATAAATAAAATCTCAAGTTCATTATACCATATCATAATCATTTACTACTTATTATTACCATGTTATACGATAAAAGTCGAAATGGTCACTTTAAAGTCAACTTCATTAAGAATCATCATTTGGAATCATTCAAGTATTATATTATTTATTATTAATCATCATCTTTTATTAGCATTCTTTTAGATTGTTCATATTAATAAAAGAAAAAAAAAAAAAGGTGCCGTTGAAACGTAGGTTTACAAAAACTTCAGGATATATAAATGTCCGGGAAATATACTTTATCCGGTTCACCCGATCATCCATTTCGAAACCTGAGTATTAAAAATGATTTATTTTTAGTTCTATAACGGGCATCCCCGTGTGTCAATAAAAAAAAAAAAAAAAAAAGAATGTTCATATTGAAATGGATCGATTACCTCAAAAGGTATTTTTATTGTTTCTTCCCCTTTTCTCTTGATGGCGCGATTATATAATATAACTAGATTTTTCAAGGGTGAAAATTAAAGATGATTTCTATCTTTTTTTATATATATATTAGTGATATTAATTTACTAGTTATATGTAACATAATATGAAGATGGTTGGTTTATATATATATATATATATATATATATACGGTTGCGATCACAAAAATGAAAAAAGAAAAACGGTGAAAGTCGGATCTTTATGGGTAGGATTCCGGTTTTCCCGGGAAAAAAAAAAAAGTGTCAAATCTATTTTAACTTGATATTAATAAAAGGTGGCTGATTGATCATTCATCATTTGATGAGTTAATAATTACATATATATATAATTGGTTCTTAATCTAATATATTATTCATAAGAAGAGGTGGATATTGGAGTTAAGGAAGAAAAAATAAAAAAAAAAATTTTCAATGCTTAGATTGAGAAAAATTCAAACGGGGCCCACGCGGAGTTTAACTTATATCAACCAATATATGATGTGTGAGAAGGAGAGTGAGTACGTGAGTGTTTTTTTATTGTTGCTCGACAAATCAACAGGGGAGAAAGTATACAAATAGTCATTTTTTTTTAGTGGAGTTTTTTTTTTTTTTTTTTTTTCTTTCTATTCTTTTTCCATTACAACAACTTCTTTATTTTTCCTCTCCTCGTCTCTTTTTTTTTTTTCTTTTCTCTCTCTCTCCTCACCTTCTTCCTCTCCCCCTTCTCTCTTTTTATATCTATATATATATATTGTACAACAATGCACTCTCGTCTTGCTCGTAATATCACTCGCACCACTGCCTTAAAACCTACCATGAACGCCTTGCGACTTGTGTCAAGTAGAAACTTACATATTCAAACACCTGCTGCTTTGTATACTGGTATGGATCGTCTTGGGTAAGTAAATATAATAAATGATCAGATATATATACGAAAAAGGGAAACCATCCGTCATTTGAATGGTTGTGTTCGTGGGAAAAAAGATGGAAAGAGTCAATAACTAAATGTCATTCATTCCTTTGTAGAAAAACTAATGGTGTACAATATGGAGCATTACGTCAACAATTCAGAACTTATGGTAAGATCATTGTTCATGATTATTATTGTTTTTCAGGAAATAGATTGATTTAACTTTTATTATTATTATTATTATTATTATTATTATGACCCATTATAGCTGACAAGGTGGTTAAGGTTCCTCAAATGGCAGAATCCATTTCTGAAGGCACTTTAAAACAATGGGTCAAACGTAAGTAAATGTGTATATAAAGATATTAGAGAAGATTTTTATTTAATGGGTGGTATGAAAGGGGGGAGCGTATGACTATATCACAAGAGAAATGGGATGACCCACATTTATGATTTTTTTTTCTTTTTTTGGGAAAACAGAGGTTGGTGATTTTGTTGCTCAAGATGAAGAAGTGGCTACTATTGAAACTGACAAGGTAGATGTGACCGTGAACTCTCCTGCTTCTGGTACCATCATTGAAGTATATGCTCAAGAAGAAGATAATGTATCTGTTGGTGGTGACTTTTTCAAATTAGAACTTGGAGATGCTCCTAAAGAAGGTAAAATGATGATGATCTTTTATATATTTATATATAATTTTATTAATAATAATAATAAATTCTTTTTGAATAGGTTCTGCTCCTACTCCCAAGAAAGAAGAAGCTCCTAAACAAGAAGAACAAGAAGAATCAAAACCTAAACAAGAAGAACAACCCAAGAAGGTAGAATCAAAACCTCAAGAACAAGAATCAAAACCTAAAAAGGAACAACCAAAACAACAACCTATCACTGAAGAAGAACCCGTCAAGGTATATGGTAACCGTAATGAAACTCGTGTCAAGATGAACCGTATGCGATTACGTATTGCTGAACGATTGAAGCAATCTCAAGATACCGCTGCTTCTCTCACCACTTTCAATGAAATCGATATGTCGGGTTTGATGCAATTGCGCAAGGAATACAAGGATGCTGTTGTCAAGAAACATGGTGTTAAGTTTGGTTTCATGTCTGCTTTCGTCAAGGCCTCTGCTATTGCTCTTCAAGAAATCCCTGCTGTGAATGCCTCTATCGAAGGTACTGATTTGGTGTATCATGATTACGTTGATGTGAGTGTGGCTGTCTCTACTCCCAAAGGTTTGGTGACTCCTGTACTTCGCAATGTTGAAGATATGTCCTTTGTGGATATTGAAAAGAATATTGCTGCCATGGGTAACAAGGCTCGTGATGGTAAAATCACTATTGAAGATATGACTGGTGGTACCTTTACCATCTCCAATGGTGGCGTGTTTGGCTCTTTGATGGGTACCCCTATCTTGAACCCTCCTCAGTCCGGTATCTTGGGTATGCATGCTATCAAGGAAAGACCTGTGGTTGTTGATGGCAAGGTAAGGAAAAAAACAAAAAAAAAAAAGGATAAAAGAGAAAGAATGGTGGAATATATAATGAATATGAGTAAAAATGGAAAATTGATCTTTTTATATATACATTTTTTTAGATTGAAATCCGACCTATGATGTATGTTGCTCTTACCTATGATCATCGTATCATTGATGGTCGTGAAGCTGTGACCTTCTTGGTTAGACTTAAGGAAATGGTGGAAGACCCCCGTAGATTATTACTTGATGTTTAAACATGTCTTTTCTCCTTTCTCTCTTTTCCCCTTACCTCCTTATTATTTCTTTTGTTTGATGTCTCCCTTACTTTTTTTTTTTTTTTTTGATCATATACACACGTAACACACAATAAGCTACGATACAATTCTTCGTATAATAAAAAAAAACCCAATTATATATGACTTTATTTCTATTTATCTAGGATTTTATGGTAGAAAAAGGCTATACATAGAAGAAGGATGGTGTCAGAGTTAAATGAAGTGTACAATCGGGATATTCACTAATCAAAGCTTCTATTTCCATGGATTGAATACTTATATTACTACTACTACTGTTACGAGAGTTGTTTCGACGATATCCAGGAGCCAAATCACGAAAAGTCAATGATTGTCGTCGACGACGATGATATGAACTCTTCTTTTGTCCATGTATTTCGTCTTGTTGATCATCCAACCATCGAGAGGAGAAAAAGACTGAATGAAATCGTTGTGTCAAGTTTTTTGATGAAAAAGAATATCCCATGGTTTTATTTTTATTTTATTTTTTATTTTTTGGTGTTTTTGGAAAAGAAAACAAGATAATACAACAACAATGAAAGAAAGAAATGGATGATCCTTTTTTTGCTTTATATAGAGAAATTCTTATTTCATTTGTAATTCGGTCTCAAGCACAGACACACACACTATAAATAAATCATATTTTTGAAAACAAGTTTTTTTTTTCTGTTGTTGTTGTTGTTGTTGTTGTCGTCGTCGTTGTCGTATCATGCATAACAGCAAGAATACTTACATTCTATGATTATCCAATCAATATCATTGATCGTATAATTTCATACATATCGTGTATACAAAATTCAAGGAGTAAAAAAAAAAAAAAGTTTACTCTTATCTATCCCTTTATACGCACATCGTCTATAGAAGAAGTAGAAGAATAAAAAAAAGAGATTCAAGTCATTGCATAAAAGTTGTTTATTCAATTGTATTCCAAAATAAAAGCTACCATCACTAAAATCACTAAAACTTAGGTTTTAGTTATTTGTCATCATCTTGGACAAATGGATTGTCCTTTCAAACTTTGTCATATGTCAGCAGTGCTACTATATTGTATAATAAAAGGTGGTTGGTATCTATCACACAATAGCCCCTATGCCCAGTTGATCCTGTCCAAATTCAATATTGTGGTTGTTATGTGTATGGAGTTATCACGTTTTTGAATGATCGTTGTTCTATTTGTTGGTTCAAATATGTTATTGAAGGATAACACAAGACTTGAACTTGAATGAGAGTGGCAATCTATCTTTTTTTTTTTTTAGATACCATAATTATTTACATTCCATCCATTCACTCTGGAATAGAAACAATCCTTGAAAGAGTGTATTAAAATAAGAGTAATAATAATAATAATAATAATAATAATAATAATAATAATAAAATGGAAGAAAAGAAAAAAGGGAAGCTTCAAACTCATTTTTTGAGAATACTTGTATCTCCTTATATGGAACAGAAATATCAAAAAGTCAGGCGGATGATGGCACTTTCTATGCGTCTCTGTTGTTGGGGAACTTGCAGTAACTGTTTCAAAAGAGTTTTAATCGATCTTTCTCTTTTTTTTTTTTTTTTCTTTTTTTTTTTTCTCTTTTTTTTTTTTTTTTTTTTTGTCATTTGAATTATTGAAGAGAAGGGGAGGAAACGGATGAGTTATTTGGTCCTAATCACTCATTGGCTCCCTTGCTGCTGTTGTTATAGTTCTTTCAACGATGATGAAACATCCATAGCAGTACCCAGACGAACACTGACCTTTTACGATTATAATCGAGCGCCACCTCCTTCCTCTTCTTCTTGTGAGACACCTTGTTGGATTCAACATAAAGATCGTTTGATGAAAAAATATGGCTCCAGTTTGAGTACACAACAACAAACAACTTCTCTATGACAAATCTATATATTTCTATTTATATCAAATTGATTTATTTCAAACTATAGGCATGATGATGATGATGGATGAATGATGATATAGAATAATAAATAAATAAAGTATGTATTTTATGTAGATAATGTGGGTTGATAGAATGGGTCATCTTCAGGGTCATGGCGTACAACGGCACGGAACCCTTGTTTATTTTTGGATGATGGAGTACGTAATGGAGGTAATAACGTGCCAGTAGCGGCTTGAATAGCTTTTTCTTTCATTTCTTGTTGTCGGGCCAAAAGACGTTGATGTAGTTGTAATTGTTCTTGTAATTGTAATAACTGTTGTTGTTGAGATTTATGGGCCAATAGAGCAGCTGATACACTAGGAGGGAAATCAGGACAAGGTATTTGTGATGACGATGACGATGCTGAAGATGCTGATGATACGGTTGACTGTGATGAGGATACATCATGAGGTTGTTTTAATAAAGGAGGTAATAATGTCATGGAAGTATCACTATCGGTAGATCGAGGAGAAGTAATCATAGATTTAGTCGTAGTGGTGGAGTCTGGTTTGGATCTCTTCATGGCAAGACGAAGTTCCAATGCCTTGATTTTTTCTCTTTTGCTTTTATTTCTACGATCCAGATACTTGATGAAGTCCACGGCTTTGAATAACACGGTACTTTTGGAATGATGAATATTTTTCAAGGTAGGAATGATATCTGTCAATTCTTTAAACCCAGAGCGGATGGTACTACGTCGTTTTTGTTCTGAGGCGATATGATTTGCTCTTTTTTCTTCTTCCGTCAATAGTTCTTTATGTGTTTGTTTTGGTTTTTTATAAGATGGTATCGTAGATAAGACAGATGATTTTCTTTTTTTACCAGCAGAATGATCTCTATTGCTGATAGTATTGCTAGTAGTAGCAGTAGTTGTAGTAGTAGTTGTAGTAGTAGTAGTGTTGATGGAGTTAATAGGAGTAGAAGATGCTGTAGAGGCCAAGAAATTCAAACGTTCGTGTAACTTTTGTTTTTGATGATCTAATGATTGTAAAATGGAATTCCGTCGCTCTTCTTCAATATCAATTTCATTTTCTTTTATTGATTGTGATGGATTGGTATGATTTGATGATGATGGTGATGATGAAGGCATCATATAAGGATGAATGGTGGTAGTGGTATCAAAATCGGTCGGAGGCTGAATGGGTAGTTGATCCATAATAAAAGTATCCAAGAAACTCGAAAAAGTCTTTTGATCTTGTTCATCTAGAACAGACTGGACATTTTGTGGTAAAAACGAATCAAAAGAAAAAATTTCTTCAGATAGCATTGGATCACCTGATAAGGATGATGATGATGTTGATGATGAAGTTGTTGATGATGATGATGATGAATTTGTTATTGAAGTAGTAAGAGGGGGTGGCATATCAAGAGGAACAGGTATAGAAAAATCAGGATCCAAGCCAAAACTAAATTCGAAATCTATTGGAGAAAAAAAAAAAAGAGTCAATAAACAAGATTCTTTTGTTGTCACAAAAATAACTTGCCTTCAAATGGGACAGGTTCTTGTAATTCTTGATTCATAATATCCCAATGAGATGATGAAGAATGATCGTGTTGATGCTTTAAGAAATTCATTTATATTGTAAGTAAATAGAGAAGAATAATAAAAAAAAAAAAAAGAGAAAGAAAAGTGTGTGAAAGAAAGGAAACGATAAAAAGAAAGGCACCCAGTTCACTCCACAAATCCAAATAAAAGATGTAAACACACACACGGGTTGAAGGTGACACAATGCAAAAGAAAACTAATGGAGAGTGACGATATTGTTTATGTTATATGAGTAGAAAGCCGCACAAATGATTATTTACGAATCACATGGGAATGACCCGTTATTTTATGGTTTAACAAGAATAGTGTATAAGGTTTTTTTTCTTTCCTGACTTGTCACTCTCTTATGACTGGAAAGAATTTTCTTTCCCCGCGCCTTTCCTCTTACTTTTTATCCCCAATTTTTTTTTTTTTTTTTTGAATTACATTAATTGATAATAATAAAAATTGTATTCATGTAAACAAAACAAAAAAAAAAGGAAAAAGAAAAAAGAAAAAAGAAAGGAAAAATATGTACTTTATACATATTATCAAAAGAAGTAGACAGCTATCGATGCTGTTTTCCACGTTTTGGCCAGTCAAATATCTTTGTCGCATTCTACCCCACATTCCCATGTGAACGAAATCATTTTCCATCTCCGTATATTCAATCATCCTTTTTTTTTTCTTGCACATGAAAATAATCAATGAAATTCTATATATATAATGATGAGAAAAAAAGGTAAACTTTCATTCTATCATTTCTATTCGACCATAGTAAACTTTTATAAGATTATATATATCGGTTTATCTTTTTCTTTTCAACGTTATGTTATCTAAAACCGTAGATGGTAGATGAAACACTTCATTAGAGAGATACTGTCATAGAAGAAGGATTTATAGCAAAAATAATATCAATAGATTTGGATTAGATTTCTATGTAAAATGAAAGAATATTTAGAGGAAAGTGTTAATCTTGTTCGAGAAGTCATTATCCGAGAAAATTCAGAGAAGTAAATGAGTATGATCACATAGTACAGAAAAAAAAGCAAGAATATCAAGATATGATAGGTACTATAAAGATGAATGGTTGAAGCAAAAGTCAAAATAATAATAAGAATAATAATAAGAATACATTTGCATTGTATTATATAAAAATGTTTCCTTTTTTGGTGGTCATGATCACGATAGTTTATCACACTCATCTCCTGATCACCATTCCATATGCATATAAATGACTCATTGAATGAAAAGACAGAAAAAGAAAACAGAGATTAAGTTAAATACAAAATTCCTTTTTTTCTACTTTTTTTTTCTCTCTTTTATTTGGCATCATACAATAAAGAATACTAATAAAAAAAACAAAACTAAAAAAAATGATATAATCTAAGATAAGGGGAGACAAACTAACTACCATAAAAAAAAAAGAGTCATCTATTGTTTCTTTTCATCTTGTTGTTCTTGTTCAGAAATAGAAGAGGGAGTGTCATCACGACCAGGACCGGTCTGTTCCCAAGGAGACAAAGCACCTTCAAAGTTGCGGAAAGCTTGAGCAAGTTCAACAGGTTCGGATACCACACGTTTCTTTTCTTCATCATAACGAACTTCGACGTAACCAGTCAAAGGGAAGTCTTTGCGAAGAGGATGACCTTCAAAACCATAATCAGTCAAGATACGACGCAAATCAGGATGACCAGTAAAGAAGACACCGTACATATCATATACTTCACGTTCTTGCCAGTTGGCAGCATTGAAAATAGGCACAACTGAAGGAACAGGAGACACTTCACTAGCATAGGTCTTGACACGAATACGAGCATTAAAGTCGAAACTGAGGAGTTGATAGACTACTTCGAATCGATTTTCGCGAGAAGGAAAGTCCACACCAGAAATATCTTGTAGGGATTTGAATTGAGCATTGGTATGGTCGCGAAGGAAAGTCATGACAGGTTCAATAGCATTAGGAGCAACATACACAGTCAATTCATCCTTGTACACACTCACTTGTTGCACGTATTTGGGAAGAGCTGTGATGACATAATGTCCATATTCATGAAGTGCATCGTTACCGGATTTGAAGTTGGGATCAGCGCTTACTTGAGTTAATTGTTCACGTTGAACTATCAAGAAAAATAAAAATAAAAAAAAAAGATGAATATATATATATATATATATACATTATATATACTTATTATTGTTGTATGTTTTGTTGTTAAGTTTTCTCATCCACTCACCTTGTCGTTTTACAATTGAAGTTGAAATAGTTCGTGTAGGATTCGTTCGAAGGGCTATAAATATTTATTATTACATATATAAAAGAATGAAAGTTTGTTAGATAAGTGTTATAAAAAATGATTAAAACATATCATTTTTGATATTCGTACCGGCAGCTTTGATGATACTACGTTGACTGGTAGCACGTAAAAAGGTAGAGCTTAAGACTCTTGAAGCCATTATAATATAGAAGGAGAAGAGAGAGGAGGGAAAAGGAGGTGTAAGTAAATTAAAGATAGAGAGAGAGTGGGGAGTTGTATCAAAAAAAAAAAAAAAAAAAAAATTGGGTTTGGGAAACTTGAAAAATTGACCAGAGTGTATGAATAGGAAAATGAGTGAAGGGGACTTTGTTTTGATGCGCCACTAAAAAAAAAAAAAAAGAACGTCATCAAAGGGAAAATATATATTGAGAGAGAGAGTTGGTAATTCGGCATTTTATTCATCCGACAAAGATGTGAGTGGCTCAAACCGAAAAAATCATGCTATACCTTTTTTTTAAACTTTTGCTCGCTCTTTTTTTCCTTTTTTCTTCTTTTTTTTTCATTTTCCTTCTTCCGCTCGTTTTTCTTTTCTTTTTCCTATCCTACCTTATCAATAAAACTCATGGAAATAGCTATTCGAAAAGCCACTCGTTTAGAGTATCGTCCTCCTAAACCAAAGCATATACAAAGTAAAAACAACTAAAAGTTTATATATATATATATATATATATATATATATATATGACTAATGTTTTCTTTTTTTTAGCTCTTATTAACTTGACATTTCATAAACCTGCTCTTATTGATGAAATGTTAGTTACTTTGGCAAGAAGAGGTCGAGAAAACTCTTGGATTGTAAGTAAATATGGATGATAGTTTATCCTATTTTTTTATTTATTTATTTATTGAATAGATTATATATAAAGTACTTATTATTGTACATACTTTAATACGACAAGGCAATGGAGATCAGACTTTATCTCGATTAGAAAAACATACCGATGTACTTAGTATACAACGATTGAAGGAAAAGGCATCAGGTAAGCTCATGACCAATCTAGGTGACACTAAAACTTTATTGTTTATACTTTTTATTTTATTGTTTTCTTCTATAGCTTATGCCAGTATTCAAAATTTACATCTTTATCATGATTATTTGGTGGATAGGGTAGAGGCATATCGATTATGTCAAATTGATTATATTAAATCAACTTCCAAGCATCAAGAAGGTCCACTTCGACATCTTCCTGTTGCGCAAGGTCTATTACGAGAAACTACAGTTGTTCAACGTCAAATTGGTTTTTGCTTATCTTGCAAGGTAAGATAAATATTCAAAAATGATAATCAAATATTCATTTATTTATTTATTGATAGTTTCAAATGGATATTGGAGATAATGCAATCAATTTTAATGCATATCGATTAGTAGTGGAAGATTTATTGGGATTATTTCAAGTGGTGAATGAAGCCGTAATGAATATTTTGGGTAAGAAAAAATAAACAATTTTTTTTTCCTTCAAGATTTATCACTAGAACCTTTTTTTTCCTTCTTTTCTTATATATAGAACATTATTTTACAATGACACAAACAGATGCAAGATTGGCATTGGAAATATACAAACGATTTGCTCAACAGACACAAGAAATTACAGAATATTTAGATAATGCAAGAAAAATACAAAATGAACTTTCTATCAGTATTCCAAAACTTAATCATGTAATATGAAATAATCAATGTCACTTTATGTCTAATATTGTTGATCCTTTTTTTTTTTCTAGGCACCATTATCTTTGGCATCGGCTCTGGAGGAATATTTGAATGATGATGCATACGAACATAGACGACAATCCTATATTCAAGAAAAACAGAAAGAAAAAAGAGGATCTATATCAAACGGTAAAAAAAGCAAAACAAAAAAAGGGAAGAAGGAAGGTACGATGAATCATTATCTCAATATCGTATATCTTTCCACATTATTGCTATACAGAACGATCATCTCAACCATTATCATCAACATCAACGCAACAACCACAACAGCCACAGCAACCACAACAATCACAACAATCACAACAACCTATAGACTTTTTCAATAGCTTGGATGAAGAGCGTGTCACTGTATATATGCCATCAACTAATATGAATCAGTTACAGATGATTCAACCTCAACCCTCAGGAAATCCGTTCTTCCAACAGCAGCAGCAGCAGCAGCAGCAGCAATCAGCTAGATTGTCTTATTATCAGCCACAATTGGCCGGAACATTACAGCCTCAAATGACAGGAAAACAAATATTAGGACAACAATGGACCGGACAACAGTTGTCAGGGCAATCGACAACACAAACAGCTCCAATCTTCCCTATTAATACTCATTTGAAACGATCAACATCGATGAATATCAATCCTACTACTAATATGATGACAAGCACGTTGACCATGTCTCCTACATCTACAGGTATCACTGGGCATTCACCAACTTTTAACACAAATCCATTTAGATTTAGTACTTTACCTAGACAACAGCAATTTTCCACTGACACTCCGACATCTTCCTCCTATTCTTTCGATATTCATAACAATACCCGAAACCCTTTTCTACCCTCTTCTTCTTCTTCATCATCATCTTCAAATCGACCTCTTACTATGATTCAACCTCAATCCACCAACCCTTTTGGAACAGCATTGTAGACTCCTTTTTTATTTATTTTTTAATAAAAATGATAATTGCTATTGTTGTTCATGTACTGCGGAAAATAGATCTAAAATGGGATTCAGCGGCCCTTATTTTTTTTTTTTTTGCCTTTTTTCTTTTTTTTTTTTTCTTTTTTTTTTTTAGTATTCCATTTCAATTCTACTTGGCAACCATATATTTCATCAGTATGGAAGACAAATCTACAACGGATACTTCGCAATATTTTACTTGTCGACCTCTGACTCATTCATTAGAACAACAAATGACAAGCGTATATTCTCCTTCAACCTTGGAAAATTCAACATCGATAGTCAATAATAATAAACGGGCAACTACCATGACAACAGGTGACGATAAGGAAGACAATGATAGTAACGGCAACGATGACGACGGTGACGACGACGCGGATCAACGACAAAGGAAATATACACGTATTGATACTGCAGGTACTAGGAGATCATCTTTCGAGTTGAACGAAACAACAACAACAACTACTACTTCTATGGAAACACCTACTCCTTCAGCAAATCAACAACAGTCTTACGAAACTGATTTTCCTGACTGGACTTCTCATACTGATGCATGGGCATTTTTACAAAGTTTGAATCCAAAATACAAAAGTAGGTACCTGACACGACAACGAGCTCAAGGTGGAAGTAGCACAGGTTATCTTTTTGGAAGAAGACAAGACTCAGACTTTATGTAAGTTATTCGAAACGCGATATATACAATATATATGTGAATTATTATTAATATTTATTATTTCTATTCAAGTTTTGACGATGACAAGATCAGTAAATATCATTGTGCAATTCATATGGTAACAATCAAAAAAAAAAAATTGAATATTATTTATTACGAGGATGGTGGGGACGCGTTCATTACGTTACGAACAGGATTTGGGTGACACAGCAATAGACTTCTTACTTTTTCCTCTTCTTCCCAATATATATAGGAAAGTGGTTGGGATTCAGATGACGAAAGTGGTATATCTATCTATTTGGAAGACTTTAGGTAAAAGAATGAGATCATATATCTATATATCCATCAAATAAACTTAACCCATACCTATCAATATATCCTAATTAGTACGAATGGCACATTTGTGAATGGTAAACCTATCAAACATGGTGAACGTGTTCTACTGTATTCGGGTGATAGAATCCAATTGGTACGACACGAAGCTCTTGAAGAAGATGATCCAAAGCATTTATGTAAGGATTTAATATTTATTCATTGATGATGACTTATTTGACTTGCTTTTAGTTTACAGAATAATTATGCCTCCAAACTTTGAAGTCGTGGTAAGACATGAAAATGAAAAAAAGAAGATGATGATTTTAATGATTTTGTATCCAAATTTAGAAATTTCATACATTATATCGAATGGGAAAACAATTGGGAAAAGGCAATTTTGCAACAGTGTACAAGGCATATGATCGAACCGAACTTATCGAAGGCTCTCAACCAAGATACGTAGCTGTCAAGTGTATCAAGAAATCAAAATTGGAACGCAAACCTCGATTACTACCTTCTATTATTCAAGAAATAGGGATCCTGATGTCTTTGAAAGCACATGTAAGTTTCAATTGCCTATGATCGACCGGTTTAATAAAATTAATTCCTTTTCTTTTTTTTTGCCTATGGTAGCCTTTTGTCATTCAGATTGAAAAAGTATTTGATGAACCCAAAAATATATACATGGTGTTGGAATAGTAAGTTTATATCTATATGGAAAATGGATCAAGTCGAATGGAAAAAAAAAAGATCACTGAAGTACCATTATTTTTTTTTTTACTTGATCTTTTTTAATATGTTTAGTGTCAATGGTGGTGATTTGTTTGATCTGGTATCTAACAATGGCTGCTTGACTGAAGATCAATCCAGATTTATCTTTTTCCAACTGTTTTCTGGGATCAAGGTAGTATTTTGTATTTTAAGTTGATATCCTTGTTTTAATTTTTACTCTCTCTCTCTCTCTCTCTCCCTTTTTAGTTTTTACATGAACGCCATGTGATACATCGTGATTTGAAACCCGAAAATGGTAAATAAGGAAAAAAGAAAAAGAAAAAAAAAAAGATAAAAAAGTAGGGCCCTGACTAGTGTTTCTATTTTCATAATTCTCTTAGTGTTGGTGGTGGATGCGTTCAAGTTACAAGTTAAGATCACTGATTTTGGATTAGCCAAAGTAACTTCAGCCAAAAGAACTATGTTAGATAGTCAATGTGGTACTCCCAATTATGTTGCTCCTGAAATCTTACATCCTACTGGGTTACGTTCCTATGGTAAAGAATGTGATTTATGGAGTCTTGGTGTTATGTTATATATTTGTCTTTGTGGTTTCCCTCCATTTAATGGTAAGACATCATATCGCCAAAAGAGAGAGAAAAAAAAAAAGGAACTGACGTTTAGTTTTATTTTAGCTGATATAGCGCCACCAAGCTTAAAGGAACAGATTCTAAGAGGATTATATACTTATCCTGCAAAATATTGGGACGATATATCTGAGGAAGGTAATTAATAATTGAAATAGAGAAATAGAGAAATGAGCTAACCTATTTTGTAACCTTATTAGCCAAGGACTTGGTGGATCGATTACTGACGGTGGATCCTAAATCAAGAATCAATGTGGATGAAGCAAGAGAACATGTTTGGATGTTAAATGATATTGAAGGATTACGGTGTAGATTACAAGATTTACCTGAAGATGCTGTGGATTTATTACGCCAATATGAAATGCTAGCCTCACTTGGACCAACTCAAATTACCTTTACTCAATCCTGAAAAAAAAAATTGATTTTCTTTTATGGTTTAGTTTCATTCTTATTATTCTTATTATTATATTTCCTATTTTACCCTCTATTTAGTACTTAGTCTTTTTGATAAAATAAATAAAATCAAATATATATATATATATATATATATTTGCTGATTACTCTTAACAGAAAAATGACATCAATGTACAGGATTGATTTTTACCTTCCCTTCAACAAGTGAAATCATGGAAAAGAGAACGGTATAAAAAATAAGGTCCGAATGAATATTCATTTTGGGAAAAAATAGGATAATTATCATGTCAAGGTTTTTGCTACTGTCTCCAAGTTTTTTTCTAATAAAGAGATATCGTACTACATTAATCTCTTTAGCTTTGTGTTTTCTAGAAGATTTGGTGATTCCTCATCTCACTCTAATCCTCGTGGCTTATACATTATACCATAAAACTCATTCATAGATAATAATCATACCACTAAAGATAATCTTCAACAATTTGAAGATCATTATGGTTAATCACTTTTTTTTTCCCAGTTTTCTGATATTCATCTTTTTTTTTAAGTTGACTGATAATGATTATAAACATTCCGATAACGATGATACTGTAACAATGATGATGATGATGATTTTTATGATGATGACGATATCCTTATATATATATATATATGCATGTACTTTTATGCTGTGCGCCGTTAAGGGATAGCATGGTAGAAAGAAAAAAAAAAGAGGTAAATACTTTTTTTAGAAAGACACAACGTTCTTTTTTTTTTTTATCTTGTTTCCACTTTTCCTTTTCATTTGAAAATGAATTTCTTTTTACTACTTTAGGAGAAATCATGGGTTATTTAATCATCAGTAGTAGTATTTATGCTACATTGGAAAAGTCATCAAGAATGTTGGATTGAGTTTTGATTTTGAATAAAGTTTATAGTTTGTGCTCTGGAGGTAGAATAGTAAATGAAAATTTTCATATATTGGCAAGCCTACCTACTTTAGGTAAAGGTACTTTTCTTTTTTTTTTTTCCTTTTTACTCCTTTCCCTAACACTTTTTTTTTATATTTCTAAATATTTTTTTATCGTTTCATCCTATTAAAATGTTTTGTTTCTTATTTCTAAAAATATTAATAATTAATGATTTGTTCTAAAGTTTTCTTGCTCAGAAAAAAAATTGATGATAAGATTCTTGATGTAGGTAGATCATGACCGGAGAGTGAAAAATGGGATGTTAGATGAATTCGTGCAACATAACACCCCATTCCTTTTTTTTTTTTGTGGAAGATGAGTTGATTTGGCCCCGTTTTATTCAATAAAACACGAGCTTTTTGTCAATTTTGAATGTCCTCGATCATCATCACACCTTTTTTTTTTTTTTTAAAGTTTGAAATTTTTTAATATGATGAACACTGTTACAGCGGAGAGATAAATCGTCATTATGGATTTTCTCTTTCACCAATCCATTCCTCTGGCACCAATGAAAAAGCCAATAGAAATAATGAAGCACATCTTTTAGTTAGTATGATGTCTTTTGTGTGATACAATGAAGAATTATTTAGTTCATGCCAATCCATTTTAGACTTTTTGAAACGATGGTTATATTATTTGGTATTGATTATCCGCCAGATCAAAAAAAAAAACTTTAATTTCTCTCATCAGTATATAAATCATAATCTTTTTTTTATTTTTGTTTATATTTTTTTTCTTTTTAATTTCTTTATACCACAACTTTCTTTAACGGATTACCCCCTTCCTTTCATTACCACACTCTTTCTTTATTCCAACTACAAGTATGCGTTTCACTACTCTTGCTGTTATTGCTGGTGCCATGATGATGAGCATCCAAGCTGCCCCTATTACTGCTCGTACTGCTACCGCTTCTAGTGGTTCTGGCAGTCTTCTTTTGCTCCCTGGATTGACTGATGTGACCTCTTTGCTCAACTTGAACAATGCTCTTGGTTTGGTTCAAGACTTGCCCAGCAACTTGCAAACTCAAGTCTTGTCATTGGTCAGCGACCCTACCCAATTGACCAGCTTGATTCAATCTTTGCCCTCTGAACTCCAATCCAAGTTGCAATCTCTTCCTTCTGAATTGGCTCAATTGCCTTCTGATGTTCAATCCCAATTGGCCAACTTGCCCCAAGAATTGACCAACTTGCCTCAAGAACTCCAAACCTTGATCAGCTCTTTGCCTGCCACTTTACAGGCTAAGGTTGCTGCTTTGCCTTCCTTGATCCAAGGTCTTCCTGCTCAAATCCAAGCCTTGCCCTCTGCTCTCCAATCCAAGTTGTCCTCTTTGCCTGATTTGTTGAACACCCAATTGGGTCAAGGTAAGGCTCAAGAAGCTCTCAAGACTGTGAACGGTCTTACCGTCAGTGGATTGCCTTCCAAGCTTGATCAACAATTGTCCATCATCAAGACCACTTTGACTCAAGTCACCTCCACCGTTGGTAGTGCTGTCTCCACCGTCAAGGACACCGTCACCACTTTGACTGGTACTGTCTCTTCCGTTACTTCTACCGTCACTGTCACTGTCTCTCAAATCAAGACTGTCGCTGGTACCGCTGTGTCCTCTGTCAAGACTGATGTGATTGCTTTGCCTGCCAAATATGCCAAGGGTTTGAACGCTAGCAAGACCGTTGATGGTACTCTCAAGAAGACCACTGGTAACCTCGTACAAGTCCCTGTCTCCAGCTTGTTGACTTTGACCGGTGTTCAAGTCTCCAGTCTTACTGATAAGATTGCTTTGCCTTTGGATTTGGCTAACACCCTCAAGCTCTAAATCTCATCTCATTCTATCATTTATTTCCCCCCTCCCTCCTTATTATTAATAATAGTACTGTAGTTTTCTTTTGATTATTTTATCAGTGTTTTTTTATATATACATATATTTTTATTATCATTTGTTATTCAAATAAAGAAGATCATCCTTTATTTATATAAAGGTTGTTTTGGTTTAAAGAAAAAAAATAATAATCATCCATATCAATAAAATGATTTGTTACTACCATATTTCGAAAAAATAAAACCAACAAAAAAAAAGAAAAAGAAGTATTGCTTTTATTTTCATATCAAGTAATAAATATACTACGGATAATATTTATAAACTATGCTTAAAAAAAAAAAAAAAAAAAAAAAAAAAGGAAAAGAGAAGAAAACAAAGAAAAAGGTTGCCCATAGAGTATTCTGTAGGTCCAGTTGTGTCTTGCATCACTTCTTGTTGTATGTCCTTTCCCATAATTTTACCTATCTATGCCATTTGCTTCATGTTCATTCTCTTCAAGATTCACATGCAACTGCCATAATTACATTCTATTGAAAATGAATGGGGTGTATTCATAGAAATCTAAAAAAAAAAAAAAAAAAAAGGAAAAAGATAAAGAAAAAGTAAAGATTAGGAAAAACTCGCCTCGTTTGAGACATTCAACCCCAACACACGTTGAATGTGAGCGATATCGGAGTTACGTGTTCAAGGTACACTCATCAAGGTCAAAAATCTCTTTATTTTCTGTATCATTTCAAGAATAAAAAGATGCAGACAAGTTGAAGAGAGAGACGGGGGGAGAGGAAGAAACGTGATGGATCGAGGAGTTGGCATGGGTTGACAGAAACTAAGACAGTCAGGAGTGAATAATAAAAGAAAAAAAAATAGAGAAAACGAGTTTTTTTTTTTCTTTTATTCTTGGATGATGGTATGGTTTAAACTTGCAATCAACTAACCCTTCTAGTTCTGAACATATTCTGTCATTTTCTTTTTTTTTTAAACAAATATCTTATTACCATTACTGGCTACAGTTATGATGATGAGGGTGACTTTTTTTTTAATCTTCGGATGAGTGCATGCATATACCCTTTAGGTATATTTGTTTGCATTTTCGAAGGATGATGACAAGGGGAGATGAAAAGACTGTGCACTCATCAAAAACAATGAGATTTCTGTTACTGCCTTTGTCAGATAGGAGGTGCGGAATCAAAAACTATCTCCTTATTTTTTTTTTCGGTCCTCCTCAGTAATGCCGATCTCTTTTTTTTTCTACCTTTTTACTTCCATGATTAAGATTCTGTGAAATTTAGGGAGTTATCATATTAGAAGAAGAGATGAGGGTTGATGATTATAATTCGAAGAATATAGAGGATCATCAAATCATGTCCAATCGTTATCATCATTTTCTTGTTGGGTGGCGTATCCTTTAGTTTGATTCTACATCTCCTTAACATCTCCTTCTTGATGATTCCGGTAAAGAAGACGTTGTTACTAGTTTGAAAAATAGGGGGGGCATAAGAAGATCGGAAATGTAAAGTCTTAATGGTATTAAACTATGTATTTTTTTTCTATATAAATAAAGGTCAATTTTTTTCTGTTCTGTCTTTTTTTCAATATCTTTCAACTTTACTTCTTTCTTTTTATCTATCTATCTAATTTATAATCATGAAATTCAGCTTAATTACTTTGACTTTTGCTAGTGTGTGCATGTTACAACAGCTCCATGCTGCCCCAACAACCAATCATCTTGGTGAAGTTGCTTCTGTTAACCATGTTCGTCGTGCTGTCCATCATCCCGGTGATGAAGTCGCTCATTCAAGCCATATTCGTCGTGATGATGATCAAACATCCATCAATGTGGGAGTGGAAGGTCTCAAGAAACGCGATGCTCAACTTATCCAATCTGTATTACAAATAATTTCTGATGATGATGCTTTGAGTGGACTTCTTAAGGATGGCGGCGTATGCGATACTGTCAAAGGACTTGTGGGTACCGTCGAGGGTTTGTTGCATCAACTTCTCTCGGGTGATATAGACGATGGCGTGCTCAAATTGGTGAACAATGTCCTGTCACTCGTCGACGGCCTGGTGAAATCACTCCTTGGTACTGATTTACATCTTGCTAATTTATTGGATTTGGGTGATGGCTTGAATAAACGACAAAACATTGTGTCTTCATTGATTGGTGGTGGCAATGATGCATCATCATCATCTGCTGATGCTCAAGTTGCTTCTTCAGGTACTACCCAGGCAAACGGCGTACAAGGCACTGGATCTGCTGATGCTCAAGTTGCGTCTTCAGGTACTACCCAGGCAACCGGCGTACAAGGCACTGGATCTGCTGCTGCTACAGTGGATGGTACTACGGTGAAAGGCAATGGTGGTGAAGAAGATGAAGGCAACGGACAAGAATCTTTTGATCGTCAAGCTGTCCCCTCTGATGTGACGAAACGCGGTGCTGGTGGAGACGTTGATGGCATCGTAAACCAAGTGGTTGATCTTCTTCATAATTTATTGGACAAAGATAATGGCAATGGCATTATCTCTCAATTAGTCGGTGCTATTGTTCAATTGTTGGACTGTGTTCTCAAAGGTGATCAAGGCGATCTTCAGACTAGAGATCGTATTGCTGCTGCCATTGAACTTGCCAAGGCTAAACGTGGAATCCTATAAAAAAAACCGCCTGTCGTTTTCTTTACTTTTTTTTTTTGTTTTAAGTTCTTTTCTCTTTCCATTTCTTTTTTTTTTTTTTTTGATTTTGTTAGAATATTGAAAACATACCACTTTAATTAATAAAACTTCTTTTTTCTTTATTGAAGTTCACCTTTTGTGTTTTTTTCAAATGAATGATAATTGATGAATAAATAGTAAATGATATAACGATTGATCGTCAAGAAATGATGGACATTATGAGTCCTAGAGCTCATCCAAGTCATTTTTAAGATACTTTCAGATTTTCCAATCCGTTCTGCATAATCTAATACTACAGAAAATGACCTATTTATTATCAATAAAAATCAAAATATTACCCATTGTAATCGTGAGAATGAATCATATGTAGCAATGATGACATATAATATATATATAATTTTACAAATAATTTGTTGATAGTAAAATATAATAAAAATGATGAAAAAATAATACAAACTAACTATTTGGTGCTCGGTTTTTCTTGAAGACAGGCTTGTTCTTGAATGACACCAATTCTGATAATGATGATGGTGCAACTCGGATAACATCATGAGAAGATATACTCTTGACTTCTGCCTTCTTTTTTTTCTTTCCTCTTGAATTTTTTTCAAAGATTAGATGATCAGTGTGCTGATTCATCTGATGTCTGAGAAGATAGAGTTTTTTTTTTATAATATCAGAAAGATACAATATTGGAATTGTTCTACCAATTTGTCCATCTCTTTTAAATTGTTAAATAAACGATCTCAGGAGGGGGAAATGACAAAAGTAAGGAGAAGAATCGCGTTCATGTTGATGGAATAGCCTCCCCCACAGATATGATAGTGTCTAACTGGAAGTATTTCATACCGCAGTATCCTTCAATCACTTGTTAGGCCTAGGTACTTGTTTGTTGAATTAAAAAAAAAAAAAAAAAAAAAAAAGGAAAAGAAAGTGATATGCATATAATAAAAATACATCATAAAATATGATCTATCAGAAGATAACATCAGTTCCATTGACATGTAACAAAGTAATTGGAATAGAAGTAAAGATACTAAAAATTATTAATTGAAATACAAAGAAAAAGAAGAAAAGAAAAGAAAAGCAATATTGACCATCTTTTCACCTTTTAATCAATTTTGACGCATTTCTTTTTTATTTAATCAAAATGCATATGCATGATTTTCACGAACCCCACCGGGCGGAAGTTGTATTGATCAGTGACATTGACACATATTTTGTTCAATCATGCACTTTTTTTTTTTGCTTGATATACTTTCATTCTGATAGCTAAACCTTTGTTTCTTTTTTGTTAGTACTTTTTCTTTCTGATGTAGATTGCCTAATCTTACTCATCCCATTTTTTCGGTAGTTTGATACTCCTAATTGTAGGACTGGATAAATATACAACAGAATCAAGTAAATAAAAGGATGATCAACTGGATTGTATATGTAACAGGATGAAATGATTTACATTTTATATAATGCAGCATATTATTTATTTTAGTAAAGTCATCTCTGTCTTTTATCACCATCATCATGATGTATTATTATTACAACGGATACAAACATACATATAAATGAAGATTAGAAGAAGAAGAAGAAGAAGAAGAAAAAAATAGGGATATGCATAATAATAAATATTCTTTATAGACTTTTTATCATTGAAAATGAAACAGGTTTATATGGCCTCTTCTTTTCAAGATAAAAGCTTATTTATAACTATTTATTTTGGATATATTTTGATGGATGAGCTTAGTACTATGTAAAAAGGAAACATCATTTCTTTGACAGCAAAAGCAGGTTCAAGATCAAAAAAAAAAAAAAATTATCGTGAGGTCAATTCAAAATACCAGTTTTCTTTTTTTTTTTCTTTTATTTGTTATATTATTATTATTATTCATATACTCCATAAGTTAGACTTTCGCTTTTTCCCTTTCATGCAATCAAACAACTAGTCTCCTTGAAATTTGATGTCAGCCGATGCAATCAAATCAAAGTGGAGTCTTTTTGTCTTTTTCTTGTTTGATAATGATAAATCTTTCCCAGACGTCAAAAAAGGGGATACTTCTTTTTACCATAAATGTTAGTAATATAAAAATAAATATAGGAATTAAACAGAGGGAGATCTTCCCCGCTATTTCTCAGCCTTCTAATTTCCCCTACTTAAAAAAAACTCTCTTTATATCACGCTGTACATTCATTTCCCTTGAATTCCCTTGCTTATAATAACTTGAAAACAAAAAAAAAAAAGAGAGAAAGATGATAGTAAAAAAAAAAAAAATGATAATAATAATAAATATATTGAATTTACTGAAGATGAAACTACAATATATTGGATACTGAATGAAAGGGAAAAAAAATCAAGATTTTACTTGGTACCACGAAGATTAGGTGTAACTATACGAAATTGGTTCATTCCGGTACATGAAAGTCAATAAACTAATGTCCCCCTTTGAAGTCTTAGGATCTCTTTTGGTAACTCCTTAAAAAAAAAAAGGACGTTTAGTTATATTATCCTCTTTCTCTTTCTCATTGTTATTTTTCTCTACTCCTATTTTCAAATCCCATTCTAGGCTTTCTTTTTAACTCCACACGACTTCCACTGTATTGGCTTATTTCTCTTTATTTGAATGTTAAGGGGGAAAAGGGATTGTTTGAAAAGAACGTTTTCTTTAACTCTAATATATCATGGGTTAGGTGACACTCCTTAACTTTTATACATATGTTCTCTCTCTCTCTCTCTCTTTACTTTCACTCTGATACTTGATCATCCTCGATAATATATTGGGAGTACCTTTTTTTTTTTGAATATAAAAGGGATGATGATTTTTTTTTCTTTTTATTATTGATCTTCTTTCTATATCTTTTTATTACTGCTATTTCCATCTCTACATTATTAAAAAAAAAAAAAATGAAATTCACTAATATATGGCTGATGATGCTCATCGGCGCTCTATTCTTAATTCAATACATTCATGCATCGGTGGATCTATTAGATCATCATCAACTTTCAAAACGAGCATTTGGGTCTGATCTACTGAAACGAGAAATCAAGCAATCAACTGATGACCAAAAGTCTTCATTGTTGGTCAAACGATGTAACCTTGGTGGACATCATAAGCGTGGCGATGATAATGACGACGATAGTGGAAAGCATGATGGTGGATTACTCGATCTGGAATGTATTTTGGGTAATGTGGTTGACTTGGTTGAATCTCTCTTGGGTCAAGAAGATAATGATGACGAAAAAGCCGATGGTCTTGTGAAAGAACTTGTTCAACTTGTCCGGCAATTATTACACACCTTGAATTTAGGTGATGGTCTTGATATTGATGGTCTATTGGGTGGATTACTTGGTGGTGGAGAACACTTTGATGACGATGATGACTTTGGTTGTGGTTGTGATGGTGATCATGATGCTCTTGTTGCCCATTTGATCAAGCAAATCCGACATGTTTTGGATTCCCTTCTAGGTTGTGATGATGATCACAATGGCTTGATTAATCAATTAGTCCAAGTTGTCAATGGTTTACTCAGTTCTTGTGAAGATGGCCATTTATTACGTCGTTCCATTATTAAAAAACGCTGTGATGGAGGTGGTCTGCTCGATTTGAACTGTCTTCTTGATAATGTGGTCGATTTAGTGGAATCTATCTTGGGTGGACTTGGTGATGATGATGATGATAAGGATGGTTTGGGTGGTTTGATCAAACAATTGCTCCAAGTGGTTCGTAAATTACTTCATACTTTGGGATTAGCTGATGATGATGGTCTTGATCTTGATGGCCTCCTTGGTGGTCTTTTAGGTGGAGATCATGATGATGATGATGACTTTGGATGTGGTTGTGATGGTGACAATGATGCTTTGGTTGCCCACTTGATCAAGTTGGTTCGACATCTTTTGGATCAAATTCTTGGCTGTAGTGATGAAGATCATCTTGGTTTGGTACCTCGCTTGGTAGAATTGGTCAAAGACTTATTATCCTCTTGTGAAGATCATGGTGATGGTGATAGCAAGGACAACGATCATGGTGTTGGTAAACATCATGGCCATGATGACGATGATGGCAAGGACAATGGTCATGGTATTGGCAAAGGTCATGGTCATGATGAAGATGATGGCAAGGACAGTGATCGTGATATGCACAAGGATCATGGTCATCATGGTGACGACGATGATGATGAATGTCATGGTGGACTCTTGAATTTGGACTGTCTTTTGGATACCGTAGTTGATTTGGTCAATTCTATTCTTGGTGGCGAACATCATCATGATGACGATGACGAGGTATCTGATTTGGTGCATCAAGTACTCAAGGTGGTACGTCGTCTATTGAAAGGATTGAATTTGAATGGTACTTTGAAATTGGATGGACTTCTCGGTGGTGACCATGATGATGATGACGACTTTGGATGTGGTTGTGATGGTGATGATGATGCTCTTGTGTCTCATTTGGTCAAGACAGTCAAAGATCTTTTGGATCAGCTTGCTGGTTGCAAAGATGACGATGGTTTAATTGCTCGCTTGATCAAGGGAGTGAACAACTTGTTGGATTGTCTATTAGATAGCAAGGATAAAGAAGACAAGTTACGAAAGCGATTCATACAACGCAAACGTTCCACTTTTGGTAAACGTGATCTATTGGATGTTGGCTTAGTTAAATCTGTTTTGGATACTGTACAAGGCACATTGGCCTCTCTCTTGGGTAAATGCGATGATGACTCTGTTCTGACTGGCTTGATCGACAAGGTTACTGACGGCGTACAAAATATCTTGGATTGTTTGGATAGCGGTGAACTCGGACCGATCACCCAACTGGTGAAGGATCTTGTCAAATTTGTATCCAATCTTTTACATTATTTGACAGATGATGATTCCTTGGATGTGGACGATCTTGTATCACAATTGGTTGATGCCATCACCGATTTGGTTTCAGTTTGTAATCTTCTCAGTGTCATTGATGTGAAAAGCTTACTTTCTCATTAAGTAGTATAGTACATCTATTTTATTTTATTTTTATTATTATTATTATTATCTCTTTTGTTTTGTTTTAAAATATATGTCCAAGTACTAGTACATGCAATACCAAAAGCTCAAATAAAAAGTTTTTGTTTCAATTTATACTTTGATTTGTCTATGGTTCCCTTTTTTTTTTTGAATGTGAACAAGCGGTATTGGTGTAATATGAATGGTTTTCAAAATCGGCTCTGCTATATAATAAGACCATGAGTAGATGATTCATCCTTTTATCATTATTGTCACACTTTTAAGGAAATATCATTCCTCCTTTCTCGAACTCGGAATTTAAAAAACCAATATAAAATGAACAAATGGAAAATCGTAATGGCAATCAATGATATATATATATATAAACAGTAGTAGCTGTAGTAATATTAAAAAGATAAACTCTGTAAATAAAAAAGAGAGCCATATCTTAATGATTTATATACTTTTATAATCGTTTAACCAACATGTTGCAAATTCGTGTTCAACATTGATAATATGAATACATAATTATAAAAGAAAAGAAAAAAAAAAGATGATCCCTTTTTTATTATATTTTCTATGTATTAACGTCCTCCTTTTTTTTTTTTTTTTTTTTTTTTTGTTCTCCATCAATCTATCATTCCAACTCGTTACAAAACGAGAAAATTTACGTCAGATGGAGAATATCATCGGATATGAGGTGTTTTTTTTGTTTTTTTCTTTAACTCGTAAAGAATGAACAAGGAAGAGTCAACAAGAAAATAGTAAAATTTAAAATTAATCATCAATCTAGGTACACTTATGATTACTTATTATGGCAGGAATGCGGATTTGACATCATTTTTATAAAAAGCATAGAAGCTCGGACAAAAAAAAAAAAAAAAAAAAAAAAAGGATCATAATATATATATTTTTTGATCTTTCATTCGTTTGATATAACCATCATTACTGTTCATCATGAAATTCAACGTTCTTGTCGTTTCTACTGCAGTTTTATTTTTCCAACAAGGGTTCGCTGCACCAACTGAATCTCAAGCATCTGCTCGTGTTTCTGCATCTGCCCATGTTTCTGCATCTGTATCGTTAAGCGCCTCTGCTAGGCCATCAATGACATCCACACCTTCCATAGATTCATCCATCATTACTGAGGCTTTGGAAAACTTGATGTCACAATTCGATTCTCAATTCGATCTACCTATTGACGACGAACAAGATATACTAAATCTCGAAACGAATCAACCCGCCTTGGATAATGCATTGGAAGCTGATTTGATCCGTAAACTTGGTTGGGAAAAGACAGATTCCCAAGTGTTGACGAATTTCATTGAAGCAGTGGATAAGTTGGGTAATATGGTCGATCAAGAAGGAATGGATTCTGCAACATCAAATATGTTGTCTCAATTTCAAGCCAATGCACGTCAACTGATAAATAACGCTGGTTACGAATATCGTCTTTTAGCAGATAATCGTCGCATTTTATCCCGTGTCAGTGGTACCGAACAGAACACTTATCGTGAAGAAATGTTAAACACACTGATTGAACGTCTTGTACGTGGTTTGGTCGAACTCCTCAATAGCTTGCGCACTGGTCAAGGCAATGCACCTATGAATACTGAAGTCATGAATCGTCTCGTAGGACTCATCACAAGTGTACTCCAATCTGTCGGTCGCTCTCTTCAAGATTCTCTTTTCCCTCGTGGTGGTAACAACCGTGGTGGTCCTGGAGCTGGCAATGTTCCCACTCCTGGAACTGGCAATATTCCCACTCCTGGAACTGGCAATGTTCCCACTCCTGGAACTGGCAATGTTCCAACTCCTGGAACTGGCAATGTTCCAACTCCTGGAACTGGCAATGTTCCAACTCCTGGAGCTGGAACTGGTACTGGCACTGGTACTGGAGCTAGTACTTTACCTGCTTTACCTAGCCCTGGAACTGGTGTTGGCCTTGGCCTTGGTATTCACTAATATCAACTACAATCAAACCTTATTATCCAATACATGTTAGAATAGGATCATATCATTATCAAAATAATAAATCAATTTGTCACATCACGCCAACTAAAGATCCGATCTAAAAGAACTAATAAAACAAGGAGATTTTTTTTTCACTTTTGTTCTATTATTTTTTTTTCTTTTCCTTTCTTTTCTTTTCTTTTTTTTTTTAATTTTTAGGATAATGTCTCACAATGGACATATGTCGCTATTCATGGATGGGAACCAAAAGTACTTTATTACCTTTGTTACTTTCTCTTAGTATTTTTGTTATATCTGTTTTTATTTTTATAATAAAACATTGGATGTATCTTTATTATTATTATTATTTTGGTGGTAGGGATAAGGTTACTGAGCTTTTGAAAATATGATGTATAATAATAATAAATAAATAAATAAATAAAATAAACTACATTCACAGATACATATAAAAAAAAAGTAAAAATGTTCAATTTTTATTATCATTTAACTGATGTACTATTAATTTTACTTTTTATTGCAAAAGATGAGCGTTGGCAGTGATGTAGGCTTCAAGAGTTTCAGGAGCATTACCATTGAGCAAGACGGTTAAACCAGGAGTGACTTTGAATGATGAATCAGAAATCGTGATAAGATCATATATGATTCGGTGAGGAATCATACCGGATTGACTAGCCAACTGGTATTTCTCCCAGGCACTTATTTGTTTATAAGTGTAAGGACGTCCGAGTACACGTGTCAATATTTCTGCTGTTTGAGCGCCAGTGACAGCATCACCCAACAGTTCATACACAGCATCACCATGTTTGTCAATATCATCAGTCAAGATATTAGCAGCCACAATAGCGATGTCATTGGGGGAGATCCATGTCTGAGGAACTTGAGCATCAACCAAACCTATAAACTCGTTTTGTGTAGGACGGTCATAAGCTAGTAGATTTGATGTAAAACGGCCTGGTCTTAGGTTCACTACGGTACGTCTTTTGTCGGATGAGTGATGATGTGCCAATTCGAGAATAGCGTCTTCAGCCAATTGATGTTCACGACCAAGAAAGATGGTGCGGGAAGGGAGACTAGCGCCAAGGGAGGAAAGATCGACGATTTGTTCAACACCAGCCTCATATGCCAATGATGCAATGTTCTTCTTGTTGCGTGGCAAGCCGTTGAAAGCAGGGACCAATAGAAAGAGTCGTGTATGACCAGGTAAAGCTTCCTTTAATGGTGTGAGATCATCAAAGTCGCCTTGTACCACTGTCAAATAATCATCACTAACAGATCCAAATAAATCTTTGGCCTTGATAGGATTACGCACATAGATTGTAGTAGCCACCTTTCTGTCGGTGAGTTCTTGCACAAGCTTTTTACCAATGTTGCCAGTAGCGCCAATTACTAAAATGCGTTCGTTGTTAGTCATAATGAATTAGTTATCTTTTTTTTGTAATAATAGAAGTAGATGATTAAAAAAAAAAAAAAGGAAAAGGAAAAAAAAATGACTTACATTTATACGATGAGAATAAAAGAACAATGTTGATCTAGATTTCGGGTAATTCATGGTAACGGGTAAATTTGTCCCGAACCCAGCCCTGACACCATCGAGAGTAAGCGTCATCATCTACAAAAGGATTTTCATAAAAGAGATATTCTTTGGAAGAACTACATACTAGCAGAAGGCAGCTTCAGTGGATGTACATTCATGGACTTGTTATTAATAAGGTATAAAGAGAGAGTATATATATCATCCACAATAGAAAGAAAAATGAAGATTGCTAAAATAAAGCAAAGATAAAATGGCGCAGCTTTCATTCCAAATCATCCCAATTTTTCATAAAAGGAGATAAACGTCAGTTCAGTCCTTTTTATCCTTCTCTGACACATGATAACAGTCCATATCATCGTTATAACTTTTCCACTTTGAATTGAGACGATTTTCTTCTATGAATTAAATTAAAGGAAATCATATTTGGAGAAAAATGGTTTTATGCTTGTTACTGTGCTTGCTCTCATCCTTTTCTCCTTTTAATTGACTTGGATTTATTTTGCAGGGGTATCAAATATATATATATATTTTTGCTTGACAGAGCTGTTTCATATCCACTGATATCAGCATGAACAATAAATAATAAAAATGAGATGATTTCTATTTTTGGACATATTTTATCTTGATTTTTTCTTTGATAAGTAATCAATCATTATAGAAATTACAATATTACATCTATAAAAAGTGATCTTCGTAGCAACAAAAAAATTATCAGATGGAACCTTCGGAATAGTTATAATAATATGGCGGAAACGGATTTTCTTTTAACTTTTTCTTTTTTATGAAAAATATCTGATTTGGGTTTCCCACGCTCTTTTCTAATTTTTTTTTTTTTGTTCAATATATTCCCCTTCTTCCGGGTTGTGGTATTTTTTAAACACCGTACTCCAATGTCAAAGATGGGGTGACTCACCCGCTTCCGATTCTATTTTTCTTTATTCTTTCTTTCTTTCTTTTTCTTCTTTGTTCTTATCAATTATTATTATAATAACATAATATGGTTTCTCAACGTTCTGAATGGCATGTACCCTCTTCCAACATAGCTCAAAGTGCTCATAATCCTATTCGTCAAATTGTTGACAAGTTAAAGTTAGATCCTCAAGCAACAAAAAGTTTTATTAGTTTATCCGTAGGTGATCCCACCGTGTTTGGTAACTTCAATATTGATCCTAGTGCCAATGAAGCTGTTATTCGCCAATTGCATACTTATAAAGCCAATGGTTATGGTCCTGCTCATGGTATAATATTATTAAAAAGATATATATATTATGACTAATTATATTTCTATGTACGGAATAATCAATATGAATAATAGGTACAGTGGAAGCTCGGGAAGCAGTAGCTAAAATGGTGAATACACCGGAAGCACCTGTTACAGCAAATGATATTTTATTAGCAAATGGATGTTCTGGTGCTTTGGATCTATGTGTTAATGTATTGGGTAATCCTGGTCAAAACATTCTTTTACCTAGACCTGGTTTCTCTCTTTATGGTAGTTTGGCTGCTATTCGTTCTTTAGAAACCAAATATTATAATTTATTGGTAAGTAACTATCATAGAGAGATGACTATATATTATATTCTCATTATCATTTTTATTTTTTTTTTATATTGACTAGCCTGAAGAAAATTGGCAAATTGATTTGGCTCATATGGAATCTTTGATTGATGAAAATACATGTGCTATTCTGGTCAACAAGTAAGTAATCTTTAAAATTAAGATTAAAATTTAAAAAAAAAAAATGAAACTGACAAGACTTTTTTAATCTTGAAACTATGATAGTCCTTCTAATCCATGTGGATCTGTCTATTCTCGTGAACATTTACAAGGCATTTTACAAGTCGCTGCTAAACATCATGTACCTATTATTGCTGATGAAATCTATTGTGATCTTGTATTCAAGGGCAATACTTTTTACTCTATGGCCAGTTTGACTACTGAGGTACCTATTTTATCTGTTGGTGGATTAGCAAAGAAATGGCTTGTACCTGGTTGGCGTATTGGTTGGATTGTGGTTCATGATCGTAATGGTATATTCGATCAAGTTCGTGAAGGTTTATTGAACTTGTCTCAAGTCATTTTGGGTCCTAACTCTGTCATTCAAGCTGCCTTACCAGATATCTTGCATGAAACTCCTCAAAAGTTCTATGATGATACCATTGAACAATTAGAAGTAAGTCATTAGATGATTAAGAAGAGGGGGATGATATGATAATAATGATTTCTTTTTCCTCTCTTTTTTTCTTGGATATAGAAAAACACAAAATTAAGTATGGACGCTGTATCCAAGATTCCTGGTCTTAATCCTGTTCAACCCCAAGGCGCTATGTATATGATGGTTGGTATTGATGTGAACAAATTCAAGGATATCTCATCAGACGTGGATTTCAGTCAAAAGTTATTAGCTGAAGAATCGGTGTTGTGTCTTCCTGGTGAAGTAAGTAACATTTTATATATTCTATGTATATATATATATATATATATATATATATATGTGCGAGATTGATGTACTAATGTGTTTCTCTATTTGAATTATTATATATAAAAAAAATTAGTGCTTCACTTATCCTAATTATATCCGTATTGTGATCACACCTACTGTGGACCGACTTGAAGAAGCTTACAAGCGTATGGCTGAATTTTGTGCTAGACATTTGAAATAGATTAGATCGCCCTATTTAATAAAATCTATCTATCAATACATCTTATTTTTTTTTTTCTGTTCGTTTTTTTAAAAAAATATTTCTTTTATTAGATACATAAATAAGAGGAAGGAAAGAGGGGATAAAAAAAAAAAGGAAAACTATTATCGAATAGAATAAAATGGTAATGAGGATGGGGAAATGAAAATGTACAACCATAATGATATTTAATGTCAATAATAGAAATCAAGAATGGGGAATATATTAAGTACAGAAGGCAACACATTTTCTCCAAAGGGCCAACCAATCCATCATGACAGGACTACAAGCCAATAGAGCCAGAGAAAACAAGATCATTAAGGTTTCAAAGTCTTGATGTGCCATGATAAAACCAGCGATCACAGGACCAATGAACATGCCAGATGCATAGGCCATATTGTATAAAGCATATACTATTGGGAATAATAATAATAATAATAATAATAATAATAATAATAAATTACATACCCATTATATCCATTCCATTTTTGTTCTTGTTGTTTACCTTGTGCATATGCATCACCACCCTAGAAAAAACAAAAACAAATGATCAATCACTTTGTATCACCTTGGTTGTTATTCCATAAAAATCCATTCATTTACCATATCACTGACAATTTCACCCATTTCAGGTAATATCGGTGTCAAAGTCACGGGACTTGACAATCCAAATATCATCAAAGGAGGAATGATCATGTACACAGACTTGAAATGCAATGCCACAATAGGAGATACAATCGCCATCAAGATCATCCCAGTTGAACTAATAATTCGACGACCCATCTATCAAAGTTAAAGAAAAAATAATAATAAGTATTAAGTTAATATATATATAATATTTTTTTTTTTACCTTGTCAGAAAAATGACCAATAACAGGAGCAAGGAAAGCAGGTACTACCATAGCAACAAAGATCACTAAGAAAGAAAGAAGAAAATAAGAATCTTTTTAAATAAATAAATAAAGATAATAACTTACAACCCACAGTAGAAGGAGAACAATCATACATCTTTTTAAGATGAACAGGTAAAGCAGGTTCAATACCAGAAAAGACGGAAGCACTGATAATGACACAACATACACAAGAGAAAATGCGCCATTGATTTAATAAAGACCACATGGTAATATGATGTTCTTTATCATCGGCTCGTTGAGATAATTTGATGGCGAGATCTGGATGATCGACGATAACGGCAGCGGCGGAAAGAGTGGTAGTGATATTTGTAGCAAAAGACATATTGGAATGTACACTATCATTATCGTTTTCTGGGAATAAAAGAGGAGTATGTTCATTATGTTGTTGTTGTTGTTCCAATTCATCTTGTAATTTGAAATGTTTGGATAATAATAAAGGTTCTTCAATCCAAACAATACCTAAAAAGTTGATAACAGCAAAAGCAGCACAGAAATAAAATGGAGCACCAAAACCACCATATTCATAAAGGACACCACCAATGGCAGGACCAATAGCAAATCCAACTGTATGAGCAGTCAAGACACTACCCATGACAATACCAAGTCGATTCGTAGGAAAGATATCTGCTAACATACCAAGTCCAATAGTCCAACTGGCACCACCTGCAACCCCTTGCGCCACACGAGCCAAGACCAATAATACGTAAGAATCAGCTATGGCAAAGGCTAATGTAGATATGACTAAACCTAACATACCAATCATGGTTGGATAACGTCGATTTTGATATCTATCAGATAATATAGCAAATATAGGAGTAGCTACTAATAAACCAAAGGCTAATAATAAATAATAATTGATGAGTTCACTTTGATTGTCTATCGGTGATTCAATCCATATCTCAATTTTTTTTCCTTTTTTTGTAGATTACCATAAGATCCAAAAAGAAAACCAAGTTGAGCTTGATCACCACCTAAACGTTCAAGTACTAATACTGGTAAACAAGGAATAACAACACCATAAACTAACATATCCCTATAATAAATAAATAAATAAATGACATATATTTTTTTTATTTATTTATTTTGAACTTACGTGAATAAAGTCAAAGCTACAACACATGCTATACCTAAACGAGATCTTCTAGCTCGTTGCCAAGTTGAAGTTGGTACCATGAACAAGTCATGTTCAGTGGTCATATTGTTATTACTATCAAAATAATAATAAAAAAAAAAGTATATAAAGATGTTAAGAATCAATTAAAGAAAAAGAAAAAAAGAAAAAGAAAAAAAGAAAAAGAAAAAAAGAAAAAGAAAAAAAGAAAAAGAAAAAAAGAAAAAGAAGAAAAAAAAAAGAAAAAAAAGAAAAAATATATAAAAAAATAAAAAAAGTTAAAGTTTTTAAAAATCAGCTGAATTTTTGAGAGAGAGAGAGAGAGTTTATTATTATTATTATTGTTGAAGATATTGAACGAATAGCTTTTTATTTTGATAAAAATGGTAAAAAATTTATTTATGGTAAGACTTTATAAGGATTCATAATTCCTTTCTTATCCAAAGTAGATTTAATCTTATGCATCAATTGTAATTGTATTGGATTTTTACTTTTAATCATATAATCTACTTTATGAATACCAACACCATGTTCAGCAGATAAAGAACCTTTATGTTTAACTATAATAATAAATGAATTAAATATTATATTATTATTTAAAAAAAAACTTACTTGTCCAATTAAATATATAATCATCAAATTCTTCTTGTTCTTTTTGATCAAATCCATGCATATTAGCCATAATATGTAAATTCTATATATATATATATTATATAAAAAAAAAACTCTTTTTTTTTAATCTTTTCTTTTTATTATTATTATTATTATATGATAACTTACTCCATCACCAACATGACCAAATCCAAGTATATTTGTATATCGTGATCCCAATAATCCTTTTGATTCAAAATGTGTTTTTACATCTTGCATCATTTGCGGAAACAATCGGATATTCATTGATACATCATATGTCATGGCTGTACCAGATACTGTAATAGCTTCTGGAATCTTTTCTCTCCATTGCCATAAACTTTTAATTTGTGTTGTATCTTGTGCTAATACTCCATTTTGAATCACTCCTTTTTCCATCAATTGTCCTAAATATTGATCTAATTTTTCCATATCATGATCTTCTCGACTTCCTTGTGTCTCTATCAATGCATAAAATGGACTAATCTTGCCTTTCATTGGAAATATTTGATCTTGAAGTATGGTATTTTGTACAAGTTCTACTGAATCATGATCCCAAAACTCAAAGGCTACAAAAAAAAAAATGAATTTTTATTATTATTATTATTTATTTATTTATTCTCACCTGATAAAATTTCACAAAGATCTCTTTTTGCCGCTACAAAAGCTGATTGAACTTGATCAAAAGAATCCATAGCAAGCATGGCCACATTAATAGATTTGGCTCTTTTAGGAGTAAGTAAACATACTCCAGTAACCATTCCTAATGTTCCTTCAGCACCAATAAACAATTGTTTTAAATCATATCCTGTATTATCTTTTCGTAAACTAGATAATCCATCCATAATGGTTCCATCAGGAAGTACCTAAAAAAAAAATATAATCAAGCACCATTTGTCTTTTTTTTATTTTTTTTTATTTATTTTTTTTTTTTTTTTACCACTTCTAAACCAAGGACATTTCCATGTAAATTACCAAATCTCATTAATCTTAATCCACCTGCATTTGTCGATACATTTCCACCTAATTGACAAGATCCTTTGGCTCCCAAATCTAATGGTACAGTAAACCCATGAGGTTCAATTGCTTGATCCAATTCTTCCAATATCACACCTGCATCAGCTATCACGATACCTGACACTGGATCAAATGATCGAATCTTGTTCATCTTTGATGTATTGATAATAATTTCATCAAATACAGGAATAGCTCCTCCACTTACTCCTGTATTGCCTCCTTGTGGTACCACTGCTAATCGTTGATCATTACAATATTTGAGAATAGATGATACTTGTTGAACTGTTGTAGGAAATATACATAATCTATATATATATATAAATATTTAATCATTATCACATCTTCCTTTTCTTTCTTTTTTTTTCATTTAATAGAACTTTACTTTGAACTGCCTCGGTATAAATTGAAAAAATCAATATTATATGGCTCAGTTTCAGTAACTATTTGTTGTGGAGAAAGAATTTGACTAAAATATTCAAGATCTTTGGTATCAAGCTACTTGGAATAAAAAAAAAAAAGACAAAAAGAGAGAAAGAGACAACAATAAGTTCAATTTTTTTTTTTGGATACATCTATTATTCATTATTATTCTTATTATATATACTTTTTTATAGGGACCTCGTTGTAAGCTTGGATGCTTAACACTAGTTAAAGGAGTAATGAGTTTCCTCGCAGTAGTTGAATAAAATCTCCTTGATAACATGTTAGCTAAGTAAGAAAAAGTACGAAAGGAAAAGAAAAAAAAATGGTGAGAATATTTCATGAGAAAAAAAAAAGGCGGATAAAACTATAACCTTAACAGCCAATAAATGAAAATAGTTAGACAAACACTTTTTCATTCTTGAAAAGATATATATTGAAAGAGAACGTTTACTAAAATTTGATGATAAAAGGAAAGCAACACTCTCATTGCCAGAGTACCCTTTGATGTTTAAAATAAAAGTCAATTCACTTGACTACCCTCTTTTTAAAAAAGAGAAATCAGGGGTCAACGTAAAGAACTCCACCAGCAGAATAGATATAAGCATAATTTATTAAAGAATCAAACAAAATGATTGAAACTTACAACGAATGGTACATGATTTATCATAATAGCTGCCCTGGAGTATTTTTATACATTGACATGTATCTTCCTTGGTAGTGATTATGGACCTTTAGCATAATGATTTTCAAAGTCCGTATTTTATTTTAGAATATTATGTCCAGTAAGTTTTGATTGACTTATAAAACCAAACATGTAAATAGGCTAACATTTCTTTTACTAGTAACCACAAGACATTGGAAAAGATAATCATCGACCAAATACCGTTTTATAAACCAAACAACATGGTTTACTGGAATGCATATACTGGATGATATTTCAGTTCTCTCTGTATTTGACTGCCGAATGAAAAACTTTACAATGATCCAAGACTTAAATAAAATAAACAATTTTATATTTTTATTATTACATCAAATATGATGTCCTCATATTTTAAAATAATATATCAAGTGTAATAAATAAGCTTCATTTCCAATATTCCCCTTTCAAGATTCTTCTCCAATAAAGGAACGGTATCTCTTGTAATGATGAAGTTCCGCCAATATTTTTTTTTGTGAGTGACCAAGACAGATTTTTCATAATCGTTTTTTCAAAACAGATATCTACTTCCCCCCCCCCAGAGATCATCAATTCTTTTCGGTAGTCTTGCACAAATCAGTTCATCACTCCAGTTCTTTTTTTTTTTTTTTTTTACTTTGCTCTATATATTGTGATTCCAGAAACAAGGTATTTTGCAACGTCAAGTCAGCATCAAAAAATGCGATAGGATGATTTTGAAAATCCCGGAAACACTGAAAAAAAAAACTTCTAAATGTCTTATCGTGAAAATGTAAATTGTACTACATAAAAAAAAAAAACTGAAACTCCCCTTTCACTTGTTGTTGTTGCTTGATAGAATTGTTGTACAGTCAGTTTCAGACGCCGGTTTAAACCCTGATTATTTTTTTTTTTTATCTTCTTCTTCTAAGATCAAAAAGTTCTGTTTTTTTTTCTTCTTCTTCTTTTGTTATTTTGTTTTTATCTTTTCTGTATATGTGTTTATTTATGAATATTTTCTTTATTTTACTTTAATCAATAATAAATATCATATATATGGTGAAAGACAAACAAAAACCTTTGGATATTAAGGATACCACTATGACTTCTCCCATTCAAGATCTTCCTTCACGTTCTTATTATTCCTCTCATATTCACCATGAATCGGGTAAATATAATATAAATAATAATAAACCCTCTTTTATTTTTTTTTAAAAAAAAAAATTATATTTTATTAATGTTATTTTGTAATAGGAAATACTGAAGATTCTCTTCGTTATTCAGCATCCATTGAATCTATTAGAGCACAATCTCTTGCTTTGGGGGATATTTGTATGACAGAAAATAAACATAACGAAGAAGAAGAAGAACAAGAAGAACAAGAACAAGAACAAGAAGACTTGATTAATTCTGAAACAACTCCAACAACAACTTCCACTTCTTCTATTGAAATTATGCCTACTAGTAATGGAAATAGTAATCTCTCCTTTTTATTACAAAAGTATAATCAAGATCAACATGAACAAGAACGTCAACCTTTACTCTCCAAAACCAATACACCTGATAATAATCAAAGATACCAAGCTATTGAAACATCACCATCAACTTTTTGGTCTGAACATCGTGAAAGTATCCAAACATTACCCGATTTGAAAGATATACCTACATCTACTACTGTATTACCCTCTATGTATCATTCAACAACTACATTCAAAACAAAATTACATGATATATGGCTTGAAAATCGTCCAACTTCATGGAAATCAATAATCATTCGACCTTTAGAATGTATTCCTTCTGTGATTTTGGGTTTATTACTCAATTTATTAGATGCTATTTCTTATGGTAAAATACATATATATATATATATATATATATATATATATATATATCTATTGATGGTACTCATTTTCTTTTTTCTTTTTTTATGTTAATAGGTATGATTACATTTCCTTTGAATAATCCTATTTTTGCATCATTTGGTCCTGAAGGTATTTCCATGTTTTTTGTCAGGTAAAATAATCTTTTATCTTTTATTATTATTCCTTAATTTTTTTTTCTTCTTCTTTCTGTCATCTAGTTGTATCATTGCGCAATTGGTTTATACCGGTGGCGGTAGTGCTTTTGATGGTGTCAACGGAAGGTAAAAAGAAAAATATATATTCTTAAAGTTTTTCACGTGCTCATTCATATTTATATTTTATCTTTTTATATTTACTTGGTCCGTGTTGTTTTGCATTATTCTTGGTTTCTTCTTTTCTTTCTTTTTTTGGGGATATGAAATGATAGTATGATGATTGAAGGTAAGTGACTTGAAACAATTGTTTTCCCGATCAGAGATGTAAAAAAAAGATTCAAAAAGTGTCTCATCCTTCCTTCTTTTATCTTTCTTTCTTTCTTATTATTATTATTATTAGTGGTACCATTTTTACATATCATGTAAGTACATCTTTTTTTTAAACGTAGAAATCAAATGTGACTCATCTACATTCCAATAAATAGGGCGGAAAGCATTGTACAAAGCATTGGAGAAGATCAACCTGCTAAAGTGATATCATCAACAATGGTAGCGTTTGCTCTGAGTAGCATCATGACAGGTGTAGCATTTTTCCTTCTTGGAGCATTGAAATTGGGGTCTTTGATCGAATTCTTTCCTCGTCATATTCTTGTAGCGACCATTGGTGGTGTGGGTTGGTTCCTGGTGGCAACTGGAATTGAAGTATCTGGACGATTGGATGAAGATTTGACTTATACTTGGGCCATGTTCAAACATCTATTTCTAGATGTACATGTTTTCTCATTGTGGTTCTCTGCATTTCTTGTCGCTATCTTGTTACGTTGTTTACAACATCGATTCAAGAGTCCTATGGTAGTTCCTCTCTTTTTCATGATACTTCCTTTGGCCTTTTATCTGGTAATCCTGATTTTTGGTTGGGATATCAATCAAATGCGTGATGATGGTTGGATCTTTCCATTGGTTGACAGTAATGTACCATTTTGGCATTTTTATACCTACTATGATTTCTCTTTGGTGGATTGGAAAGCTGTTGCACAGACCCTACCTGCAATGTTAGCCTTGACCTTTTTTGGTAAGACAGTGGTTTATATTATTTTATATGTGTGTGAAACAGATAGGTTTGCAGATGTGAAAGATTAACCTTTTCATTATTATTATTGTTTACAACAGGTCTCTTACATGTTCCCATCAATGTACCCGCCTTGGCAGTATCTACCAACAAGGATGATGTTGATGTCAATCGAGAACTAGTGGCTCATGGCATCTCTAATGCTCTTTCTGGATGTTTTGGTGCTGTTCAAAGTAAGTTACACTAGCTATGTTTTTTTATAGATAACAACATCTTAAAAGTTAATCATATCTAATATCATTTCTTGTTTACAGATTATCTTGTGTACACCAATAGTTTACTGTTTATTCGGTCAGGAGGTGATAGTCGATTGGCTGGATTAATGCTTGCAGGTGCAACAGCAATTTTATGGATGGTGGGACCTTGGATTGTTGGTTATATTCCAGTAATGGTAGTAGGCAGTTTGATTTTTCATCTTGGACTTGACCTTCTCAAGGAAGCATTGATCGATACTTGGAATTGTGTACATTACTTTGAATACATTACCATATGTGTGATTGTTGCGTGTATGGCAACTTTGGGTTTTGTTGAAGGCATCTTTATTGGCATCATGACAGCATGTCTATTCTTTGTGGTCCAGAATGCTCGGCGTAGTGAAACCATTCGTGCGACATTTACTGGTCAAATCATGCGATCTACTGTGCGAAGACTTTATCGTCAACAAGTCTTTTTGAATCAAGTGGCCAGTCAAATCCAAGTCATCAAGTTGCAAGGTTATCTCTTCTTTGGTACCATCAATCAAGTCGAACGCGCCATTCGTGCCATGTTGGACGACAGTGCTAACAACAAAGATGATAGGAAGAAAGATTATATTGGTTGGAATGATCATCCTATCAGGTTCTTGGTATTGGATTTACAATTAGTGCAAGGATTGGACTTTAGTGCTGCCGAGGCCTTTGTACGGATCCGAAGGTTATTGGCTTCTCGTCAGGTGTTCATGATTCTTTGTAATGTGGAACCCAAATCAGATGAAGAAAAGGCATTGAAAAAAGCTGGTGTATGGGATGACAACAACAACAACAGCAATGGTGTATTGAAATGCTTTGAACATTTGGATGACGCTTTGGAATGGTGTGAAAATGTACTTTTGAAATCTTACTTTACAAAGAAACCTCATCATCCTCTACCTACTCTTACTCAACAACAATCTATCACTCCATCAGGTAAACAACAAAGAAAAAAGTAGTTTGATATATCAAGAGATTGACTTTGCTGTTGTCTATTTTTTTTATTAGATATTACAAATGATCCTCATACTACCTATGTTGATATGCATCATCCTTCTTCATCTCCTCGTCATCGCATGCTATCACGTGCTGTACAACATTTACTTCAAGGTATTATTACTATTAATTAAAAAAAGATAGAAGCTTACCTTTAGTCTATTCTAGAAACCCATGAAATCGTCAAACCACATTCCAACATGTCACAACCAACGTTAATTTTGGCGCAATCACTTGGTGATCTAACTAGTGGAACGGATAATGACAACATGAACAATCCACCAATGGAATTCTATCATACTCTAGGCCAATACTTTGAACGATGTACATATGAAAAAGGACAAACAATCTGGCGACAAGATGATACATGTGACTTTTTGATTGTACTGGAACAAGGCTCTTTACGAAGTTTGATGCAACTCAAACAACAGCAACAACGACAACAGGAAACAAATGTGACAGTGGAAACAATTTTACCTGGAACAGTGGTGGGTGAATTGGGCTTGTTTGCATCTACAGAACGTCGACGAAGTCGTTCCCTAGTGGCGGATCAGGCATCAGTGCTTTGGAAATTGACTCGAGCCAAATTTGATCAATTAGTTAAGGATGATCCTACGATGGCTACTCAGTTTGTGTTATTGACATTACATTTTAGTGTGGATCGCCAAGATACCATGACCAAGTACGCATTCCATCTGCATCGTTATTAGTTTATATACATTCATTATTCTCTATCATTTTTCTTTTTTTTCACTATCATCAAACAATAAAGAAACAAAAAATTGGATTGCAACAACAAAGGGATTGGCTTTTTTTTTTTGATTTTAGAATGCGAGGGGGGGATAATGGATATAGGTTTATTGAGGAAGATAACTATACTATAAAAACATATGTACATTCATTGGCTTTTTGACAGCATTGGAAAATCCTTCATGATATTTGTAAGCTATGGTAATGACATCCATTACTAGAAGAAAGGGATGAATACCCCAGTGAAAAGAAATAAAAAGAGTACTGTGTGAGTTGCAAAAGGAAAAAAGACATATATTATTGTTTCTGTTTCTTTTGAATTACCTTGTAACGGTCGAATATCGGGAAGATCATCATCATTTGCCATAGAAAGCGATTGGTCTTGTTTTTTCGACTTGACCACAATTGGTCGACCAAAGAAATCTTTCGCCACTTGTTCTTGAATAGTTTCTTTGGAGGTTGACTTTTTCTTGCTAAGTAGACCATATGTAAATGTAGTTCAATAAAATACAATCTAGTGCAATACAACAACTATCTTTTTTTTTATTTTTATTTTTACCTTGATAAGTCTTTCTTGGTTTGTTTCATCTTGATATCATCATATGGTTGACCCATCAACAGTTCTCTACGCCGTAATCGTTCAGTTTCAATCTATACAATACATATACACATAAAAAAGGATATATATATATGGATGAGGGGAAGTTAGGATTCATCTCTTTCACTTTTCTTTTTGGATTGTCATACCTCTTGAGTGATCAATTGTCGTACAGCATATCGACTTGTCAACACGGATTTCTGAGTATAACAATCAAACCAAACCAATTCCTCCATCGGCCTACCATCATCATCATCATAGTAATCAATAACAAAAATATAAAGAAAATAAACTCGAACAAGAATAAATAATAAAGAAAAAGAAAAGAACTTACGGTTCCAAAGTATAAGAGAATTGACCTTCTTCAGTACGATGTTGAGTAAAAGTCATACCATACTCAAGCATCACATTCACCAATCGTGCCAATGTTTCCTTTTCTTGAGGTTTAATCAAATGTTTGTTGACCTAGGAAAAAAGCAATATCCATTAGTTTCTTGTTTTTCCTTGATCAATACTTTTTTACTTACAGGTCGCAGTTCAGGAGAAATGATGCGTAGAAGTCTGGGAACCACATTCAATACAAGTTGATCGCGTGGTAAAAACCGTCGTTGACTAGGATGAATACCTGATACAAAAATATGAATCAAATTGTCATAAGATTTCTTCTTAGCAAACACCTATATTGTAATCAAAAAAAAAAAAGTGGAGAAAGCATAAGTTTTGAATGATATATAAGGGAAAAAAAAGATCTTGCTTTTCTTTACCTCATAATCAACCTTTGGATATTCCATCCGATGTTCTTGTACAACTGAGCCAGCAAAAAATCGATGAAAATTGACCAAAGCATAGGACATATAACCATATACACTATAATCATGTAGATCGTTGGCTCGATGAGACAGATGGTCATAAAAATCGAGCCAATCACCCAACTGCACTAATTTCGACATGGCTTCATCATGGAATTTCATCATGGGATAAGCTTCAAAACAACCTTGCATCAATTTTTCAATATCCCCCGATGTCGACACCGCCTCGGCTAATCTGCGTACATATCGATCTATAAACACAAGGAAAAAAGAGAATTGAACATTCATCAATCTAATTTCACTATTATCTTTCTTTTTTTACACACACCTGATTGAGAACGCCCTTGGTTGTTTCGTTGATAAATATTCTTTTTAGCATTGGCAGCTGTAAACAAATCATCCCATGTTGTAAATAAAGATCGACCCATATCTTTTTTTCCCAATCCACCAGCATGTTGATCATCAGTCAGCATTTCCCTATTGAAGACTGCACTTTTGCTTCGAATAAACTATAAGAAAAGATCGTCAGTCAATAGACAAAGTCATCCCCACCTTTTTTTTTTTGTCTTTACCTGTAACGTGTTCAAACAACTTCTTAAATCACCATCAGTCATTTCAGCCAATAGACTTAATGCACGGAGATCAGTATCCAATCCTTCGTTAGAACAAATGTCTTGTAACCTTCGAGCAATCGTCAACATGGGTACTTTGCGGAATTGGATATGATGAGCAATCATTCGAAGAGGACGGAGTACGGGTGCATAAACATCGTTGCAAATACAAATGATCGGTCGTAGTAGTGGGTTTTGTTTCTTCTTGTTCTTATTATTCTTGTTAGCTATTTGCTGCTGTTGAAATCCTCCGCTATAGTTGGTTTTGGAAGGCACTTCAATGGATGCAAGATCTACTAATTGTTTGATGAAGCTCTACATTTCAAATAATATATAAGAGTAAGTCACCTTTTTATTTCTAATGAATTGAATTCTTCTTTTACGTCTGAGCCACCACCACTGCTTGCTCCATCAATTTCATCAATGATAAGTAGATTAGGTTTGGTATACATGGTTGTTTTTTGATCATCTTGTTCAGTAGGTTTTCGTAAAATCGCTTGCATTTCCAATGCTGATTTAATTTTGGTCCTGACCACCTCCCCAGTACGATCATCACTTTTAAACCAAAACATAAAACCAATGTGAGTGAATAATAATAATAATTGTGAATTACTTACCTTGCATTGACTTCAACCACATTATACCCTGCATGTTTGGCAATCACATGAGCTAAGGTCGTTTTACCGAAACCAGGTGGACCAGACAGTAATAGGATCTAATATATAAAAGAAAAAAGTACAAGGTAAAACTGAGCGTGTTTTGTTTTGGATAGTCTTATGTCGTCTTTCTTACCTTGCGATCAGGTCGTAACAAAGGATCTTTTGGCTATTCATGATTCAAATCAAATTAATAATCATACATCTATTTTTAATTAATTTTTTTACCTTTTCATCCATTTCTTTATTCTTCTTCTTTTCATATGGGTCAGTCATTGCACTTCCAAAAGTTGCCTTGTATTGTCGCATCACTTTATCTCTTTGACTTTCATCTTGAGGTTTCTTTTGGAAAACACAATAATCCCATTGTTTGACCCATCGTAATGCTTCTCGATTGACACGCTATAAAAAAAAAAATAGGAAGGATTGAATTGATTTTGCATTCTAATATTTTATATTTTTTTTTTTTATTTTTACCTGATCTCCTAAAAGATCCATAAAAATCGTAGGTTTATACTTTTCAACCCAAAGTGCTTGGGATTCTGCCTGGATTTGCTTCTTTTTCTTATTTTTGCGTTTTGCTTGATTCAAATGATCCCTAATAAAGAAAGACCGATTAGATTCCTTTTTTTTTTCTTTTTATTCTTTTTAATATTCATACTTTTCCAATTTTTCAGCTTGTTTGATATTCTTGACTTCAAGCTGTTCCAACATCAATCGTACAGGAGTTGCTAATAGTCGAGTGGTATCTTTACCCCGATTCAACATTTTCGAAGAGATATCCTGATTTCTCTTATTAACAGTGGATGATTTCAGTTGAAGAGGAAAATAAATAGGTTTTCCAGTACGAGGGCATCTGGCTTCAAGAAATCCACCAGTTCGAGGAGGCTGTGAATAATCCTTTCTCTGTTGTTGTTGTTGTTGTTGTTGGGTAATTCTATTATTGGCATGAAGTAAATTGGATTGTTGCTGAGTAGTATTGGTACTAATAAGATGAGAGGTACGTTGAGAAAGAAGTTTGTTGGTGTTAATACTTATTGTTGAATGATCAGTCTTTGTGAATGAATTAGCTTTTTCGTCTAGTCGTTTCAATCCTTCCAATTCAAACAAGGCATCTTCATCAGCGTCAAGGTCTTTATTTTCGTCTAATTGATTTACTTTTGATGGTGGTGGTGACTCTGGATACATGAATGTATCCTCTTCCATGAAATCATCAAACATAGTATTATCATAATGGTAAGCTGGAGGTCGTGAAGTATTCATGAGTTTGTTATTCACTTGTTTTTCTTCCTCTTTTGTCGATGGCTGTTGTGTATGAAGATAATCTTCTAAACCAATCATAGTATCTTCACCAATATGATCGTTGAATAAATCTTCATCGTCTTCTATATCCCAATCGAATAATCCTCGTTTCAAACCTTGGTCGATCGTCATCGAGTATTGATAAATTGCTGTTTGTTCTATTTGAAACTTGTGAGGCAAAGAAAAAAAAAAATAATCGCGCTTTTTTCTTCGTTTTGGATTTTTTTTTCAGGAGCGCGCGCGTCAAAACCACTACTTGATTCATTATCCGCCAATCACCTTTTTGGCTGCCCTGATTAACTTGGGTTAGACAGGTTCCCACAAAAAAAAAAAAAAAGGTCATTCATCATTAGGCTACTACTATAAACTACCATTTCAATTTTTCATAGAATATTAAACAACATTGAAATTAAACAACGATTATTTTTTATTTTTATTTTTTAATTCTTTAATTATTATTGTTGTTTGGCTTGCCACAAGGCAAAAGTCGATTTTATGCAAGGAGTAAAAAAAAAAAAAAATGAAAGAAAGAGCAAAAACTTATATATCAGTAGAACTGATTTCTACCTTGGCATCATGAGATGAAGGATTCGTTACAGCAACAGAAGCAACAACATTGGACAAATCGTTTTCTTGCCTTGATGATTGATTCGCAGCAGCTTTGAGAGCTTTTTCTTTTGCAAGTCTTTTTGCTCTCTTTTCTGTCGCAATAAAATCTTCCAAAAAAGTGTAGACTTTGGGTTGTTTGGCAATCCATTCAGAAGGATCACCATGGATAACAATATGATAATTGGCATGATCTAATGGGCGAACATAGTTGATGAATTCATACATTCTTGCTTTCCCTGGGAAATCCACTTCAGCAAACATTTCTTTACTTAGTTGACCTATTTTGAATACAACCTAAAGAAGTGATGAAAAGAGATAAAAAAAAATCAATCATCTATGAAAAATAATTATATATATATATATCATTCATTTACCATATAACGTTGAAAGAAAAAGGAATAAGTTCTTCTGGCCATGTCGACTTGTTCCACCAATCTACCTTCCTCATCCAATTCATCATACTTTTTGCCGCGATTGTTCATTAACTGGCGAGCCCATTCATTGGCTCTTTCTTGCCAAGCAACTTTATCATGCTTATCGGTATCCTTGAACCAGGTGAAGATGGCCACAATCAGGTCACGCATTTCTCTTGTGGAATAATAAGTGATTAATTCATTCACCATTTTTGCTACTTCCATACGAGTCTGTGCTGATACGGTAGCATGAGAATCCATCAAAGTGGGTAATTTTTCGAGATTGAGAGGGAAATCACATAGTTTGATCAAACATATATATCCAGCAATTGTCAAACCAGAACCACCACCACTGCAGGCCACTCGTCGTATACGTTCAGTAATATCATCATTCCAGTCCACACCGTATTTCATCTGGTAGTTTTTAACAAAGAGATCCCAGGTATTACCTTCTTTTGCTTGCAAGTCTTCACCACACATTTCCTTCCAGAAAAGAAAACTTTCATGATTTGGCATATCATCTCTATACCAGTGTATCGTAGGCTTGCTGACAATCGCAGATAGTCGTAGAGTGTCCTCAATCTTTTTTTTGCTCGCTTCAAGATGGGCGGAGGTTGATTTAAATGTGGCTCTATAGTCATGAGCGAGGTATACCCGCTTCACCTTCCAAGTGATAGTACCAAATGTTGAGGCTCGTTGTTTTTTATCTCGTTCCAAGAACTGGGTGATCATATCGTTAGTACTATTAAGGGTTTTATCTACACTGGCAAGAATTTCAGTGATGGGCAAGTGTGGTTTGTTTTTAACATCTTTGATGATGACTTCGAACAATTCACATTCTTTTAATAGGGTTTTTCCTTCAGGGCCAACACTTTGCCAGTCATCGATCAGCTGTAAGGTTAGTTGATAGGTGTAATTAAGTAATTTTATAGCATTATCAATGTTAATGATGGCATCCATGGTTTATTTTTTTTTCTTTGGGAGGGCGTTAATGATTGGAATGGGGGATGCTTAAAGGGAGTTGGAGTAAAGGAATGGCGCAAGCGAAAGAAAGTGTAAAAATGGTAGAATATAATTATCCAGTCATAAAAAGAAAAGGAAAAGTAGGTTTGTTTTCCTTTTTTTAGCTCCTTAATATACAAAGCCATTTTATTTGTGTTCCCTTGAAAGAACTGGGAATTCATCTTCCATTTCATCCGATTATTGGATCATTGTTATCCGATGGAATAAGCTGACTATAGCCAAATTATCTCACAGTAAGAAAATAATAATGAATAAAGGTGATATTAAACCATGACCGTTGAACTTGGATCACTATCAAAACACTCAAATCGAAAAAGAACAAAAACAAACGACTATTTTTAGAATTGGGCTCATTCAATGAAGGTGATAGTTGTTTTTTTCTAAAAAAAAAAAGAAGAAAGTGGCATTTTTTGATGATCTCGATACATATATAAGGTTTCATGATGATCATCATATATAGAAAACAATGATGGAATAAAACGTTCTATAAAAATCATGTACATTGAAAAAAAAAAAAAAAAAGAAAAGAAAAAGGAATGATAAATGGTTGTTTAAAAACATGAATCTTTCCGCCACATATGAATAACATAATCCAGAGCTCGTGTAACACAACTGTTCTAGAGAACGTGTTTTTTGATCACTTACGAGTTGTTGATCTTTTTGAGATAGATGCTTCCCTGGAATGCAACTTTGATTACTTTTAATACAAATAATGAAGTCCGAAGCACAAGTCGTAGAACTCTGGCACGGTCTCTTGAAAACTTGATCTTTTTCAATAAATAAGACTTACATTGATAACCTAATATATCATATGAAGTAAAGGGGTTTTTTTTTGAAGGAACAATGGAAATGGCTACTAATCAAACCTACCTATCTGCGTCTTACCTCAAAAGCTATCGATATGTTCTCAAGTAACGATGCTTGTAGATTAGCAATAGCAAGAAAAATAACGAAAATGATAGTGTGAATCATTCCATCTATATATTTTTATGGTAGTCGATAAATGTTTTGGAACTATAACATCTGCGCATGCACATATCTTCTTGCTTTATTTTAGGTAGGCAAAACGTATGTAGATACAATACATGCACTCATTACGACGGTGAATTTTCAGTATTCAAAAGAAACGAAGACTTTTATCAAATGATCAAGATGAAATAGTACGAAAAATGAACATCTGACATTGTCTAAAGTGTATTAGCAATTCTCGGATCTTCTATTACTTTACTGATTGATTGCATTGCTATCTTCTTTTTGTTATTTGAGGGAAATGATCGCATCTAAAGAATAAAATAAATAAATAAGGTTTTGCTGCGGGGAAGGTTTAAAAAGGTATTTCGTTTGATGCTTTCGATTTTTGATTGACATTGAAACAAAAAAGGTAATTTTTCTTCTTCGTAATCGGAAAACTTTGCATTTTCCCTTACACTCTGGTAATGTGAGATTAGATGCTTTTTTTTTTTGTTTATAATAAACAATGAGATACAAAAGGTACATCTTGTTCGATATTATTGTATTTTCGCAGTACATCAAATAGCCAAGATGAAAATGGAATGATACAGTGACACATGAGAAAGCTTTTTCTTAGTGTAACAACAAGCCAAATTATAATGGTTCTTCTTTTCTTTTTTTTTTTTTCTTTCTCTCTTTTATTTTTCTTTCTTTTCGAAATACAATATCTTTTCAAAGGAAAACAAAATAAAGATGACGATAAGAAATCGATTATACCAAATGATTTCACCTAGTAATTCTACTGAGATTAACAATCCAAGGCCATCGTCTAGTACATCCAATAGCCGGTACAATCATCGAGCCAGCTTAGTCGGATCATTGTCATCAACACTAAATTCAGGAAGTAATGGCGGCGTCAATGGCAATATTATCCCAACTTCTCCACCAGCTGATTATCATATTGTACTTGTTGATATCAAACAAACGGTAAAAGAGCGTAAAATTGAATGTGTGAAAAAAATCTTGGATCAGCCCGGTCTCCGCTATGCGGCCATATCCTATCGATGGGGAGAGGTGCCTGAACAAGCTGTACTTACTCCATCCTATGTTGCACACATTACCAGTTTTGCTCTGTCCGATTTAGAATTACTTTGCGGACAACTTCTTGTATCTAATGAGGAAAAAGTAGATTACATCTGGGTGGATGCAATTTCAATTGACCAACAAAATGAAAAGGCTCGCAAAGCCACCATTCGACAAATGAACAACATTTATCGACATGCTACCATGATCTTGGCGATTCCAGATTTGCATATCGCTTACCTTAAACGGGACCCAAGTTCCAAGGCGGCATTGGCTCGTATTCGGAAGCATACACCTCGGATGTATAATCATGTCTCTGGTATCTGTCAACCTACACGTGTGGTGCCACCTTCTGATCATCACCATATCCATGATTTTCCTCATATTGCGACATTTATTTCTTCTCAGTTTTCATCATCATCACCTACATCATCGATACCTCCAGATAGTCCCAGCACACCATTGACACCGGTGACGCCAGATACCCCAGAACGGCTACAACAGCAGCGTCAGCAACAACAAACTCAATGTGATTGTTATCAGCAAGAGAATGGAGCGTCATATGCTGAAGCAATTGATTACCTGCAATATCTCATCAATGATTGGAGTAATCGAGTGTGGGTGATCAGTGAGTACCACATTGGCCGTACCAAAAACATGAAACTGTGGTTTTTATCGTTCGATATTCAATGGTATTACAGTACCCGGCCGCGCTTTATTCCACTATTTGATTGTGCATACCATGATCAGTTCCGCCACCGTCGATTCCTGGATATGATGTTCAACTCTGCCGCGACAAAAAATGAAGATCGATTCTATGCTGTGCTTCCATTGTCTGATCAATACAAGGATTGTATCGAAACACAAGATACAGTGTCCCAATGGAATATCACCGACATGACCTCCGTTTGCTTGAGACTATATGCATTTGTAGGGATCCGGGAAAAAGCAGCCATATTGTATAGTTGCTCCAAAGGAAAAACGCTAATTTTACCATCGTTTGCTTCTTGTTGCAGTGGAGACGCTATATCGAAAATTTTGGAATTGGATCGACATCAATTACTATTGGAGAGCCTCATTTTGATGACTCCAATTATAGACAGATATAGAAATAGCAAGTATGCAATAGAAGACAAAGAAACTGCGAATGGTAATGGTTCATTTTATCGACTCGTTCGTCGTCATGATCATCCTCAACAATCCTATCACGAACGTGCTTTCCTCAAAATCAAAGTCAAATGTCATCGTCTTCTATCCACAAGCAATAAGGACACAAAAATGTTTTTTCATCAACATGCCTCTATTTGTGAACAATTGGGGTTTGCCGATGAACAAAAAGAACAGCAACAACAAAATCATCATCATCATCTTTATCATCATCATCGTTCATATCATTTAGATCAAGTTTTTATTCCTTTTATTGAATCAGGAACAAGATCACCTATTGGTGTCCAGTTAGTAGGCAATCGTAAATTGAATCGTTGGGTTCTATATCAATTGACCATCATCAATGTGAATGTTCCTGCCGCAGACTGGAAATTGGTAGAGGAAGTGGAAGAATTTCATATTTATTAAAATAAAAAATGGGTAATAAATCATGTATAATAATAAATCGTAGTTATTTTGAATCAATAATAGGATCTTTTTGTTTTCAAATTTACATACATAAAATATTAAAAGAGGATATGGTGTAAAAGATATAAAAATATTTATATAAAAAAAATCATGATTAAGCTTCTTTGACGACTTGGTCCAAAAACTTATATATCTTGGGACGTTTGGACGCCCATTTGGAAGGATCACCATGAATGACTATATGATAATTAGCATGATCCAAGGGTAAGACGTGTTCCTTCATTTCAAAGATACGTCCTTTTCCAGGGAAGTCCACATCCGTAAATAAATCGCGAGCAAATTGACCCATTCGCCACATCACCATATATTTTTGATAAAAGAGAGAAATTGTGCGTCGTGCCAGATCCACCTTATCAGCTAATTTTTCTTCTTCCGTCCAAATCTCTGCATCTTTAGCTCTAGCTTCCAATGTTACCCGTGCCCATTGATTGGCTCTTGTTTGCATTTGTTCCTTGTCGCGTTTGTTGTAACCTTTGAACCATGTATACAAAGCAATCAGATGATCGCGCATCTCTTTAGAGGAAAAATAAGTCACCAAATCCATGATCATTTTGGCAGTTTCCACACGAGCTTGTTCGGAAGGGGCTGGTGGCGGTGAGAGCATCGTTAATGGTAATTTTTCCATATCCAGGGGAAATCCATATTCTCTTGTGATTGCTATGTAACCATAAATATTCATATCTTCACCATTATTATCTGTACACAAGAGATATTTAAGACAATCATGAGTGATACTATCCCAGACACCGAATTGAGCTTGGTATTTGGTCATAAATGTACTCCACATGTTGGCTGGTTTGGTATCTTGTCCGAACAAAGAAAGGTAGTACCGATAACTTGCTGAGCCATTGTTATCTTTACTATTATTATTATTGTTGTTGTCGTTGTTTTTATTGTCTTTTTGCCCTGCTATCATATCTTCTTTGAAATGTTCTGGTTCAGAATAAAATGGAAATCCAAGAGAAAGTACAGTCTTCATTAATGGGTCGAGTCGTTCAAACAATATTTCGTGCCAAGTAAATCGATACTGAGAAATCAATAAATCTCTTCTCGTTTTCCATAACATATTTCCCCATAGATCTTGTCCTTCAGTTTCTTCTTGGATAAACGATTCAATCGAACTTATAGCATCACGAAAGATGGCGATAACATCGATGCTTGTGTCTGCGGTCGCTAATTTGGTCATATTGTCGTCGTTTTCTTGAAGAATCTGACAAGCTTTCTTTAGAGCTAAACCTTCAGGTTCGATATGTCGCCAGTCTTGAAGTGTCTTGTAAAGAGTTTCCACTTGTATCTTTAAGGCTGAAAGGTCTTTTACCATGCTTTGAGGTGAATAAAAAAAAAAAGTTAATAAAGAAAAGTATTCAAGTAAAAGGAAACTTGGAATAAAAAAAAAAAAAGACGTAAACAGGTAACAAGACTTATTGTTTTTTAATATTTTCCAATTGATCACACGATATCAGGAGTGAGTATGTAACACTATAATCTGTTTTTAGAATTAATGCTTAGACATCAGTGATTTTAGTGCTAAAAAATAAGGCTCATTCGCAATCTTCCATCGATATGGAAATACTACAAAGTTTGTTTTTATTTTTTATTTTTCGGTAATGGAATGTGTCTATGATATAGAGTGTTTCAATTGATCAAACAAAAAAAAAAAAAAAAAAAAAAGAATGCAATCACAGCGTCATAGAGGAAAAATATGTTTTGATCAAATAAAATCATACCTTTTTATAGATAGGCATCCATTATTATGCTTACTAGTTTTGTTCAAACGCTGTGTAACATAAATATATAAAAAGTGGCTGGTGATAAAAGTTGACCTGAAAAACGTTATTTATTGTTCTACTTTTAATCTATATTGGCTTTCTTGTATTATGATGATGTGCATTTGACATATTTGTAGTTAAAAAATCATTCAGCATTTTGAATAGTTCTTGGTACTGTGTAAATCACCCTTCATCATGCATCCGACTTTTGAGAGTTAAAGAAGTTAAAAAAAAAAAAAGGAATCACACGTGTGATCTTTAACAGGGGACATTGGTCAATTGAATCACAGCCGAAGGTAACAAAAATAAACACCCTATTTTTAGGGTTTCGATAGTTAAAGATATTATCTCCCAACTAAATAATTTTTCTTAATTTTCTTTTCCTTTCTTTCTTTCTTCTTTTTTCTATACTGGAAAAAAAAAATAGATGCGATATCCTTTTCTCAAATTCTTACTATTAGTTACCCTATTGTCGTTTGTTGTGGCTCAGGATGGTAAATAATAAAAATAAAAAGAAAAAGAGTATAACTGTCAAAAATCATCAAAGAAATTGTTCCTTTTGTCAATGGTTGAATAAAATGAGAAGCATTTTAGCTAACAAAAAAAAAATTTTTTTTTTTTGATATGTTCGGATCAAATTATCCAGTCCAACCTAGTGACCCTCAAGCTAGCCCTACAGATTCTTCAAATCAACCTCCTCCAGCACAATCATCATCACCACTAGATCCAACATCATCTACTGATCCTAACCAATCAAATACCCCAACTCCTACCAATAATGGAAACACCGATTCACTGGCACCAACAGCATCTGCGAGTGATGTAGCGACTCCCTCTTCTACTCCCCAGACGGTTGACCCTAACGTTTGCACAGCACTAAAACAATGGTTTGATTCAACAAATGGAAATTCTTGGATTGTACGCAACGGATGGGATTCTACAGATATGACATCATGTTGTTCCTGGTATAATGTACGATGTAGCTCCATTGGCCAGGTTATCGAAGTGTAAGTATTCTTTTTTTTTTTTTTTGAGTACTCATTATCAAGGCAAAACGGGAAACAGGAGAGTGGCGAAGAAAAAAAAAAAATAAAAATTACTTACTTCTTTTGGGGTACTTTGTTGATGATAGTGATCTCTCCGGCAATAATCTAGTGGGACAATTACCTGATAATTTCGGTACCTTTCCTAATCTTATAAACGTGTAAGTTTAATATTCATAGCTAACTATGATATAAAAGGAAGAATTGACCTTATTTGTTTGGTTTGTCTTTTTTTTCAAAAAAAAATTTTTTTTTTTAATCATTCATTTCTTTTCTTTTACAATAACAGTGATTTCAGTTATAATAATCTGACAGGACCTATTCCTTCTACCATCGGATCTGCACCAAATTTAAAAGTCATGTATGTATAAACGGATAGACGGGAATAAAGGAAAAAAAAAAGACTGATTTGTTTTATTTCTATGTTCCTCGAAACTTTATAGCAACTTTGATGTAAATCAATTATCAGGCACTCTTCCTCCTTCTATCGGTGGATTAGTAAATTTGACATATATGTAAGAAAGAGAAAGAAAAAAGAACAATTTCATCATCTTTTACTGATTACACCTTATGCATATATATATATTATTGTATAGTCATTTCAAAAATAATACAATTACAGGAGGTATTCCCAATACATGGTCGGGTTTACAAAAACTTTTAGGATTGTATGCCAGTAATAACCAATTGAATGGACCTTTCCCTGACGTTGTGACCAGTATGATCTCTTTGCAAGCACTATATATTGATAATAATCAATTCAATGGACTCCTTCCTATGAGTTTGGGTAATATGAGAGCTTTGACCACCTTGTAAGTGCTTATATATGAATCCGTATATATATGGATGTAAAAATGAACTCAAATGATTTACTTCTTTGTTTGTATATAAAATAGAAATGCCAAGGGAAATCATTTGCTAGGTACCATTCCTGATGTTTTTGGTAATCTTACCAGTTTGAACTCCCTGTAAGATACATTCCAATTTTATATCACCAAAAATGAAAAAAAAGAACTAAATTTAACTCTTTATTTGAACAGATACCTTTCAGGACAGACGTTCAACGGATCTATTCCTGAATCCATCTATAGCCTTACCAATCTTGTGTATCTGTAAGTAACCAGTTTTTTTTTTTTTTTTTTTTTTTTTTTGTTATTCTAGGGAGATCATCCAAACTGATATTTCATTTATTATTATTTTTTTCATCTTTGATAGTGATTTATCAAACAACCGATTAAAAGGTATTATTTCTCCTGGAGTGGGTAATTTAACCAAGATTCAAACATTGTAAGTTGAGATAATGTCAAGTTTTTTTATTTCTCTAGTTATTAAGAAACTTACACATATATATAATTACAATTATAGGATGTTAAGTCGTAATGCGTTGAATGGTCCTATTCCAGCTGAAATTGGCAAATTAACACAATTACAATATCTTGCATTGAATTATAACGCATTGAATGGTCAGTTCCCTTCTGATATTGCACCCCCAGCTCTTGGTTATTGCTATGCTTCGCCTAACCAATTCCAAATATGCCCTGATCCATCAATTGCTAATGACCCTAATACCATGGCCTTCCAATGTTCTATTGATTGTTTAGTCAATAGTAAAAAGAAAAGCGCTGCATCTTTGACAATGACAACCTTTTCCACCTTTTTGCCAATAGTTATCATAGTTACCATGACTACTATACTCTAACCCCCCCCTCCCCACTTCAAAAAGAGATATTGATTTTTAGTTATATTTTTTTAGAAAGAGAATGGGCAATAATATCAATTTACTCATTTTTCTCACTCACACCCCCAATCTCTCAAATCTAGCTCATTAAACTTGAAAATAAAAAAAAATAAGATTATCCTTTATATTTTTGATTTGCCTAGTCTCTTTTTTATTGCTTTTCTTAATCAACTTTTTGTTACATGTCAAGTGATGGCGTACTACCATAAATAATAAGAACACAAATAAAGATCTACACTTTTTGATGTTTGATTTATGATCGTCGTAACGATGTTGACTGAAACGACCGAAAATAAAAAATGGGCCATATGATTGAAAGAATTAAGAAGAACCTATAACTCTTCCGGAATAAAGTCTTTTACTTGGAAATACAAATACAATGGACATCTTTGAATTAGGAAAGTAGTAGAAAAAAAAAAGATTGATCGACCAATAACATATAAAAAGAAAAAAGAAAAAAAAAATGGGATAGTTTGCACGAGGAAGGAAGATACGCTAGTGGCTTCGGAGCATAGATATTCTGGACTAAAGAACAAAAAAGGTTTAAATCTAGAATTGGAACCCAGGCCATTGACTTCCTCCTACTCTTAAGTTATGCATATTGTCCAATCAAATAAACATTAACGTCCGATGAAGCTAAATCATTATTTGGATCTAAAGAAGTTTTACATTTCAATCAAATATTTAAAAGAGGTTCCTAACAAATCTAGGATATTTAGTATCTATCATATCATAACGGTTTTTTCATAACGAAGAATCTTTTTTTTTTATCAGGGGTTCTCCAGTGTCTAAAAATAAAAGTGGAAGAAGGGGATAAAATGTCGGTCCACTGAGAAACTTTGAACAGGAAAAAAATAATCCCCCTCCTTTGATTTCTATATTTTTTATAAGATAATGCGAAATTTCTCTCTCTCCCCCCCTTTTTTTTTTCTTGGTTCATCTCAATGACTTTTATGTTTGATCCTCCTCTTTTAATCCCCAAAGTTTTCCAAGTTGATAGATGCCACTATACCTTTTTTTTTCTCATCTTGTTTGTCGTTTTATTTGTGTATGAATGAAAAAAAATCCACTAGTAGAACCTGTTCAAAAAAAAAAATGATAATGATGATGCACGAAATATGGTGATACATATGAAATGAGAAAAGAAAAACAAAAATTACGCCTAATTTGATGACCGATGACCTGTTTTTTTCAAAGCTCCGAGGAGTGTCTCAGTTCCATTGGACTATAAGATCATATGTTAATTAAGATTTTTTGCTCAAAATTTATTAGACAAACTTAAGGATATTTATAAAAAAGAAAGGAACGATCAAAGATCGACTTTACAGCATAGCATTTGAGTCGGATTAATTTCTTTTATTTGACTTTTAGGGGGGGATTAAAGGGGGTGAAATGGTGAACAGAAGTAAGAGGATGATGATAAAAGAATAAACTTAGTCAGTGTTCCCACCTTCCTAAAAAAGGAAAAGCGTTCTTTCTAATCAGTCAAGTCTGTTTTTTTTTTTTTTATATTTATTGATTTATTTTTGAAAACCGTTTAATGAGTATAAAATAGAAAAATCAATTTCAAACTATAGTTAAATCATTCTTTCTTTTCCATTCCTTCTTTTTTTTTAAAAAAAAAATCACATACTCTTACACGTATCATTTATCATGAAACTTTCTGCCATTGTCGCTGCTGCCCTTCTTAGTGTTGTTTCCGCTCAACAATCTTCTACACCCATCATTTCTGTCACTGCTCCTTTACAAGGTGCTTCATACAAGGCTGGTGACAAGGCCACTATCTCATGGATTAACCCCACTGTTGATAGTATCTCTCAAATTGTGTTGGCTAAAGGTCCTAGCACTGCTTTACAACCTGTCACCACTATTGCCACCAATGTAGCTGCCTCTTCTGGTTCATACACATGGAATATTCCTGCTGATACTCCTGCTGGTTCTGATTACGCCTTTGAATTCGGTACTTCTCCCAACTTGGCCTACACTGGTCAATTCTCTATCACTGGTGGTTCTGCTGGTAGCAGCAACTCTTCTTCTTCCTCTTCTGGTGCTGCTTCTTCCGGTACTGCTGCCTCCTCTTCTGCCAGTTCCTCTAAGCCTTCTGGTTCTTCATCCTCCTCTGGTTCTTCTGCTTCCTCTGGTTCTTCTGCTTCTTCTGGTTCCTCCGGTTCCTCTGGTTCCTCTCCTTCTGCTTCTGGCTCTGGTGCTTCCTCTTCTTCTTCTAGTGCCGCCAACTCTTTGACCGTTGGTTCCTTCGCTGCTGCTGGTGCCGCCGTTGTTGCTGTCGCCCAATTCTTCTAAATCTTTGTTTTTCCTTATTGACTACTCCTTTATTATCTACCTATTAGATCCCACTATTCTTCCTTTTTTTATATATATGTATTACTCTTTTATTCCAAATATTAGTTTTTATTGTTTTTTTTCCTAACTACAAAAATATCGAAATAAATTACTTAATTTTGCAGATTTACCAAACTAGTATGTTTTTGGTATAGTTGATTTTTTGGAAATGAGGGAATAAAATGTGAACTTCAGCATGATTCAAAAAAATAACTTTTTTATCTTCAATTAAAGATTTTTTCATTGACATGAGCGTATCGTTTGTACATCAATATAGATTTATTTCAAAAGATAATGGTTTTGCACTTACTCAACAGCATTGTCTTTATTGCTATGATATCAGTTGCCAAGAAATGAAGTGGTTTTCTTTTTCTGTCTTCTTGTGTGTACGATCCATTTATATTGATATCAATTATGTATTTGACCAAATGATGGATATAGAAATGCTGTTATTCGTTGAAAATAAATGAGCAGCTCATCTCCACAACGGTAAACGTTCTCGTTATAAGAAAAGTTTCCTAAAATGGCAAAACTTTTAAAGGAGTAAGGAGTTGATTACAGCTAATGATGCTTATTTCTACAGCAAGAATGTTTTTCTCTTTTCTTTTTTTTTTTTTTTTTTGGGATGGGGGAGGAAGGACAAAATAGCTTTATAAGGAAACACGTATGTCGTCCAAGATCAAAGAGTTAAAAAAAGAAAATATGTTTATTATTAAGTCAATCTAAAAATATTGAAGCTGATACAGTCAAGGGAACACGTCCAATCATTGCACGAAGTGTCCTAACCCATAGCTCACTTTCGAAAACTTTATCACAAACACAATCTATATGACTTGCGTCTGAAAAAGTCACTCTGAAAAATCCTCGTCGATTGTCCTCACAAATGGGATTCTGAGAGTATATAAGTTGGTGATCAGAAGTTGAACCACCAACATCGACTAGGACTTGTTCTGCTGCCACAATCAACTGTAAAGCATCAGTAATATCGAAATGACAAGAATGGTTTCCAATCTGTTTATCTGATTCGTACCCTAGGAGTCGACTACCTATCAACTGGAAATAATACCGCTTCCATGTCTTATCAAGTAATGAAATAAAAGTAAGGCTTCCAATACAATGGGATGCTTTTTTTTTTCTTCTTTGTCTTCTTACCGTTTCCCCATTGCGTCGTGTTGATAAATAACCAGTTCGCCAGCAAGTACCATGCCATTGTCTGATTCGCAAAGCCAAATCACATTCCTGAAGACTTGCCGGGATACTCTGAAAATATAATAATATATATTAATAAAAAACTAAATAGAGATTCCTGTTATGTTATTTTTCTCGTTTTATTACCATTGACGGATCTGATACAGGCAAATACAACATGTCAACCCCAAGTTGACCTATCACTTTCAAGATTTGCCCTCCTATTAACCGCCTTCGATCTTTTGCAGATTTGACAAACCATGAATTGAAACAATCGAATGAAGCACTGTAAGCTTTCTGATTACAAGCAGGAATCATATCTTCGAGTGCAAAGCGAGTTTGACCTATAATATATTCTTCAGGATGGACATATCCCAAGAGAGTTTTCTTTTGACGATAAGCAGATGTAAAGAAACGACTGAAACCAGAAAGTGGACGAATGTGAGGGTCTGGTCTTACTTGTAAGGCCACAGATATAATCATATTGGGGTATGTATCCATAGTACATTCAAAGCGAAATGGTACCTTGCTACCTAATACTTCATATCGAGATAAATATTCTTGTCGACCATCACTTATTACACATCGCACATAGGTTGTATCAAGAGGTAATGGTAAAAGGATATCATGAGCACTTGTCATTCGAATATAGATCTTGCCATATCCTGATGTCGCTGCTTCAGGAATGAGTGGAAGAATAGGGTATGGGGTATCCATCGTTTGTAATAGCTTATCTTCCACCGTATTAGTCGATTCGTTGTCATCCATTTTATTTTGTGCGTTGATATTGGTTGTTTCAGATGGTAATGCCGATAATTTTGAATCATCATACATATCATCAGACCAACTTTGGAACTGTGAAAGACGGTTGACCACAAAATTAGTATGACAAGCACGAATGTCTTTATCTCTAAGTTCTTTGATTTTCCGCTGAGACTGGAGATTTTTATAATCGTTGTGTGTTGAAGGCAGTTCCATTTCTTGCATCGGCTTCACTGAAGGCATGATGGACGGTTTAAAAGAGCTGCTTGTTGTTGTTGACTTTGGACTGGGTGGTGGCCATGTGTTGACGCTTTCGTTGTCAGATTGGGCTCGAGAGTGGAACTTGAAGACTTCTTGTGACTCTTCTGTTTCATGCGACAACCTGTGGGCATGATTATCATCAGTTATTGTCATCCTCAAGTCATCATCAGCTACCTTAGGTTCAATCTTCGTAGTACTGACCGAAGTTGTGTCTATAGCTTGCCAATTATTATCCTGTACAACGTCTGTCGAAGTGTTAGCTTGTGCTATTAGCAATGATCCATGAGAGCTGATTTTTCTACTATCCCTCTGAACTATGCCAGAAATACTGTTATCTTCTGGATATACTTCATAGCTGTCGTGCCATTGATCGCTTGCTGTGTCACTGACCACACTTAAATGGCCTGCTTTCACCAGTAATGATTCTTTGCTCGCAGGTAACGAGGACAACTTGTTAGCTTGCTCTGATTGTGTTTCCAAAGTAGGGTGGCTGATTCGATTTTGATCTATTCCAGGGATACGAGTAGTATCAAGCGTGGATTTCTTGGTAGAATCATTTACGGAGGCAAAAGAGGAAGAAATGCTCCTGTTTTCATCATCTAAGTAATATTATCAATTTGTCAGTTGTTTGTTTTTTTCATTTCTTTCTTTTGTGAATTTATTTCAATTGATTATACAAACTTACCCATATTTTCGGCGCTGTCAACAAAACTATTGATGGACTTTTTATCTTCATCAGAGTTATTATTATGTTTATCTAATGATGACATTGTTTCATTGACGCTCTCTTGTATTGGATGATCAGAACTTATAGGATTATGAACAGTGGTATCTGTACATTCAGGATCCTTAATCTGTGTTGTGGTGGGTGGATTACTTATCGTTGTTGATGATTGATCATTCTCTATTGTCATTTGCTGTCCAGCTTCATCAGGAAGACCTTGGGTATCTTCTGTCTGAATAAATTCATCCATGATTTCTTCGTTGCGTAATTTGCTTGGTTTGACAGCTGAATTGTTGATGGTTAAATCATCCTTAACATTAGCTTCCTGCTGTCGAAAAACACTTGTGGATACAAAAGATCTTCCTTTGAGGGAACTGATGCCTTTCGAAGTGCGTCGATCCGCCAATGTTTCTAATGCAGGCGATAATAGTCGATTATGAGCTGTTGGTTGTTTATATTCTTGCTGTTGATGTTGTTCTTCAAACTTTCGAAACAAAGGATTGTTTTTAACTCTAGATTGTTTAGCAAGGCTTTCAACTTCTTGCTGTCGTTTGTTTGTTGCATTTCTACCTATGCGAGTCGATTCATCGGCTGTAGCACTATTGTCATCTTCTTGGAGTACTTTTTTTCTTCGTGCTTCAAGATGACCGGGTTGAAAGTAACGGCGTGTGGATTGTTGGCGTTTGCCTATCATGTTGGATGTATTTTGCAAAGAACTAGACGAATTTCCTCCCTCTTCAGCTAATTGGCGTAACTGTTCAAATCGATTATCCTTGATAACAGTGGAGTCGTTAATCGATGGATTTTCGTGTTTGGAAACTTGTTGTAGCATATCAGAGATTGTAGTTGTAAGAGCAAAGTCAATAGCAACATAACCATCACTATTGGGAATATGTGCCAAAGCACCTTGACTTATCAGTAGTTCAACAACTTGTTCCTGACCTAAACAGCTTGCTAGATGTAAAGTGGTATTTTTTGTGGAACCCCAAAAACACGTGTTTAGATCGGCAGCGACAGCCATCTTTTTTATAAAAAAAAAATTAGTTTCTACATATCTCGAAACATTTTATTTGTAAACTTTGAGACACATACTTCAATCAAGTTGGACAAAAGAACAGCTTCAGTTGAGCTTTGTGGAAGTGCGTTTTCAAATAAATTTACAATAAGTAGTTGAATAGCGTAAAAATGAGGAACAGAGATCCCTTTCATATGTTGTAGTTTTTGTAAATGAGTTGAGAAATGAGGGTAATGGGATTCTTCAAATGGTATAGGATGCCATAATAAAGAAGGCGAATGGAGTGCAAGCTCTAGAGCTTTATCAAAGTTAACACTCTTAATGGCCTCTACCCATTCTAAGAACGAGCTATCCACCACACTCATGAGTGGCGAACGAAAGATAGAAAAAAGAATAAAGGAAAGGAGAAAAATTAAAATGAAATCGAATTGGGTGTTTTCGAAAGAAAAGTAGAAGAAAAATGAGTAGGAGTGCCTATTATGGCAACTGAGAAAAAAATCTTATTGTTTTTCAACCACATGTTACATATGAACAAAAAAAAAAAAGATGATTTATACCACAAATCTATCCTTTTCTTTAGGTGATTTTTATTTCTTATCATTAGTATTTTTACTGGTATTTCCAATCATTTGGTTGCAAATCATGATATATCAAAAGATGGAAAAAAAGGTGTAACAGACTCTGTATCGCGTATCTCTCAGAAATTTTTAGTGCGATCAAGGCTTTATTGACATTTTCTCCTGTATCAATAAATCTATCCGTTCTTGCACAAAAATTCGCTGAAAAAACCTCTAATTGGACATGAGTGTAACCACTTGATTTCAATTTCTCTTATTGCTGCAGCTTGCTAAAGGCAAACAATTATTACAGAACTAATATTAATTTTCATCGTGTTTTCCAACGTTTGTGCTCCACAAGCACTACATACCTTGCTTATATAAAATTCCTTTGCGTTGACAGTAATAAACATAATTGTTTTTCAGCGGTATCGAACAACTTCCTAAAGGAATTCGCCAGTCCGTGCGTTTTATTTCGAAAGATGCATCTACCGAATTGTCCATCGTCTATACGTATTACATTGACACAGACAGTAGTAGCTTTTGCTTTTCTTTTTTCTTCAGTGATCCGTCGTCTCTTGTTCTTGCTGCTTTCACTGTGTCAGTAACTTGATGGTCGGGAGACAAATTGTACTTTTTGCTTCCCGTAAGTAATATGTTGACAACGTCTTGGTTTATCTTCTGATGTCCAATGTAATTCAAAAATTTGAGTTGCTGTAATTCTAAATTGTAAAAAGCGTTGCAATCGCTATTAACAAAATATCCAGCAGCTGCGTGTTTCAAAATTTGATGTCGATTAATTGGCTCCAGGAGTTGGGATATTCTGCAGATTTTGGCAGCAGCAAAAAAAAAAAAAAAAAAAAAAAAAAAAGTTAGTTTCCAAATTAGAAAACAATATAAAAAAAAGGAATCGTGAAATGATAATGATTTACCGGAACCCTGACAAACCGCATTTCGGATAAGGCAAGTAACTGGTCTGGAAACTTCAAGAAAGGAGAGAGAGAAAGAGAGAAAAGAAGCGTTGGCTGCATGTTGAAGCTACACAAACCGAACGCAAACGTCATTGAGTACTGTCCCTTCAAAATAGTGTACATTTGGTGAAAACGGAAATGTAAGTATTATTGTGATGATGGAGAGAGTATATGAGGAATAAGGAAAGAAAGAAGAAGAGATAAAACCAGTTTTTATATTTTTCTGGACTTTTTTTAGAAAAAGAAAACAAAAAAAGGGAGTCTATAATTATTGATAATGGTTCTGTGATACTGTATTTGTCATAGTTCCTTTTAATGTGATAAATACGTGAATTTCATTTTCTTTTCTTTAGATAAAAAAAGGGGTTTATAAATGATATCATCGATAAAATGCTCATCAATATATATGATGATTTCATGATATAGGAAAATTCCTGAAGGTAGTAAATAGAAAAAGAAACAAAAAAACTGGACGATGATGGTAGATATCAACCACTTGTAAAATCTGTAACATACGAAATTCACACCCCTTTTTTTTCAATCATCCATCATCTATCATCAAAAATCAATCATCAACATTGTCCACTTAGATCACCACAAATATGTTTGAAATCCAATGCATGTAGATATTTAATCAAAGCGCAGAAAAATAAAATAAAAAATAAACGTGGCGCACAAGAGAAAAAAAAAAAGCCAGTATTGATACTGATGATAAGGTATACAGTAGTAGGCATTGTTACCTTCCTTTTTACCAGCGATATTAAAGTTTTCTTGTTACACAAATCTTTTTTTTTGTGGGCTAAACCCATTTCACCCAATAATCGCCTTTTTTCCAACAAAGATACTGTGAGGGATTTTTTTTTTCGTTTTCTAACTCTTTCTTTCGCTTCCCCTTACATTCCTTACTTCAAGAATCCAGCACAAAGATTCTTCAACTTCATTATTTACATTCATTGTATTTATATCCAACACGGTTATCATGGGGTCTCGAGCCTTTTTTCTAACACTGTTAAGATTTCTCTTAGTTATAGTAAGCGTAGGCACGCTAGTTTGCCATGCTGGTAAGAGATTTCACTCTCAAATAACAAAAACTGACAAGTTATTTACCTGTCTCTCTCTCTTACATACACAAACTAATCTTCGAAATAGTTCAAATAGTAAAGTTAAACGATAACAGTTGGTTTTCAAAAAAAAATTATTCGGTAAAGATAAAAACGATTGTTTCATCAAAAGGGCAAAAAAAAAAAAGACGTACTTGGGCTTGGCAAAACTCCGCAATATTAATCTAAGAGTTTTTTTAGTATATTCTTTATTTCGTGGGACCTGGAGTTTCAACACTTTCCTCTTTGGCATTGGTTTTCTCCATAATTTGTGGTATAAGATCGATTAGGGGAGATCGTTTTTTGGGTATTTTGAATTTGGCATTGATGATTGCTACTGTGGTGGTTTGCACTCTCAAAAGTGGTCCTGTTCCATGGCAAGCTAACGATGAAGGAAGTGAAGGTGGCCCAAATGGATTTCAATCCTCTTGTAACGGCTACCAAGATAGTAATTCGACCCTTTACATTCGATGCTGTAAGTAACATTACAGAAGGTCAGATGAAAAAAAAAAAAAAAAACTAAATGATATTAACTATTTTTCCCTTTTGTTGCATACAGGGTTATCGAATGGTGCATGGATTGGATCGATAGTGATAGCCGTTTTCTGGTTAATATTATTACTTTATGTATTTGTTCAACGAAGTGGTGATATTTATGATGATGATGAATATGAGGTCTACGATTTTAAGAATGGTAGTCATCAACATGATATTCCCATGGCTGTCACCTCTCATTCACCTATACTATCACCTTTGAAACAACAACAGCAACCATCTCCACTTCTTCCAGCACATCCGGTCATGGTGAATGAATACGATCATGCTCACTATGATACAGGATATATGGATTATAGTCAGCAACAGCAAGCTTATGGATATCAACCCCAACAACCATATACAGATCATCATTATCAACAACATTATGATCCTTACGGAGCAGACGGTCATATTCATAACAATGGCGGTAAAGGATACTATGTTCCCGGTCTTGTAGGCGTAAACTCATCTCCTCTGACTACCACTGCAACACAACATACATCCACTACCGCAAACACAAACACTCCAGGTGGAGGCTCCCATATCGATGATACGACGCATATAATGGCCGATGTTGGTGGTGTTGGTCATCATTCTCCTTATCCTGTGAATAAATCTCCTCCTCATACTCCATCTCATCAAGTTCCACATACTTATGAATAGGACATTTATCTTATTCCTACATATTAGATTTACTTTCATGGTATTCATCCATCCTGTTCCTTTTTTAACCCTATCCAGAGTAATCAAATAATAAATCATGATCACTACTCATATATATGAACTACCTAATGACTGTTAAAATTTATTGTGGAGTTATCATTTATTTTTTCATAGTAAAATGCATGTATCATGCCATTTGTCATTTTCCAAAAAGACAATCAGTATTCTCTCAAAATGACGACTGTAACAGTCATCAGTAAGGAAAAAAAAAAAGTGAATTGGTGTCCAACAGCATTCAGGTGATATCATTTAATAATGATGAACCTTTCTTCGTATATATTCCTCATATAAATAAATCAGAAAAATTCTGATCTATCTGAACCTTAACGACTCTTTTCCAGTGCAAAAGACTAATTTCAAAATGATCTGTGGAGATCTGGCATTTTCTTTTATTGATGAAAAGATTACTAATTTTTTTCAAGTTGAATTTCAAGATAAAGACCGCACTATACTTGAGTAGCTTTCAAATCTTTACCGACTTCGGTAGCGTACTGCGTGACCTTATTATCATAAAAAGCGTTACAAAAAGCATGAGCAATGCCTTTTGTAGGTACGGGTTCGCAAATCTGGCGAGCTTGAGCATTGGCATTGTGGTGCTGTACAACATGGGAACAAGTAGTATTCCACTGAATGCAGAATTGATCAGGGGATTGACCACTACGCGGTTTGAAATCCAAACGATAGTCAATCGCCATGACCATTGTAACAAGAGCGAGAACTAAAAGAAGAATAGAGTGAGTCATGTTCAAAGCAAAATCTTCCCAAAAAAAATAGCAATGGTTGCTTATTAAAATGCCTTGATTTATATAATAATTGGGCATTTCTATTTTTATTATTATCTTGCTATAATGTGGGATATCACATTGTTTTTAGTGATCTGTTTAAAGTTTAAATCTAATTGAGGAAGCATGCTATTTTTGGCATTAACATTGTCAGAAGAGTGTGATGTTTTTAAGTGCTGATCAAAAGTTCCCCGATTTTTTTTTTTTTTTTTTTTACAAATTTGGATGTATTAGCCATAAACAGGAAAAAAAATACTACTAAAAATACCGCCTTTTGGTTTTTGCTTCCATAGTAACATCTTTATTTTTGTAACAAGAGGAAATTCTAAATTTTCAAAGAAATATTATCTTCGCTTTTTATTTATTTGTTTTCTTTTATATTTTTCAATATCATTTACTTGCTAATTTTTCGAAACATACTATCGGAAATAGTCGTAGGAGGAGGAGGGGTAATAGTGTGTAAAGCATCGTCATTATTATTAGACACTGGAGATGGGGATACAGAATTGAGAGGAATGGGTACCGATGATGAGGATACAGCCAGTGGCACTGATGGAATTGATTGAGTCCTGCTATCAGGGATAGTATGCTTCTTTTGTTCTTCCTGGTGAAGTGCCTGATTAGCATTGATAGATGGTAGTAAAGTTGGAGGGGTAAGCTGTTGTTGTTCCTTTATAGCATTGACATCAGAACGATTTGCTGTAGCAATCAAGGGTGCCTGTGGTTGGTGAAGAGGATACTGGCTATGGTTACCATTTGTTGGATTTAAAGGAGGTAATCTATTTTCAGAATGATACTGTCGTTGTGTCGGCATAATTGTTGGCGCTGTCGATGTATGGACTGGTTGCTGTAAACCATGTCGTTCAGAAGATTGTAATGTATGCGCATACCCAGTAGAGATAGTACCAGGCTGATGGTATTCGTAAGGAAAGTGAGTAATGGTAGATGGCAAAGCAGAATTCGACATGAACCGAGATGGATGGTCTTCTTGTTCCATTTGACTTGGGTGAGTAGAAGTAAATGCTGACTTGATTTCTGTTGTACTTGATGAACTGGGGAGAGAATCATGTTCATGAGCTGTCATTGCTTTTTTTATTCTTGCTGTGATGAGACTCTCATCAGTTGTATCCTCTATTTCAACATCAGCTTTCTCCTCTTCTGTGCATCGTCTACAGATGAATATAAAGTCATCAAATGACATCAATCGATCATCCACTTGACCCGACTCTCTTAGACATTGGATATGTTTCCATTCATTGCATTTTTCACAAGCGATCATTGGCGTTCCATCATCCTAAAGTAAAGGTTAATAAGGTTACTAATTAAATTTCGCTTGTTTTCTTTTATATATATATATTACCAAATCAATTCCATGTACACCACAGGAGCAATTGAAAATCCAACTTTCCTCTTCTTGTTTAGCCTTTTGTTGAATTTTAGGTTTTCGTCCTCTCTTTCGTTTTCCAAGTGTATCTTTACTATTCTTATCATGATTTGTGCCTTTTTTGGATTTCTTTGTCGTCTTTGTAGAGATTTTTGTCTTGTGATTCCTGTTAACCGTCAATGTCACCTTGAGTTCATGTTGTTGTTGTTGTTGTTGATGCCAAGGATTCGTCAAGGCAGTATCCTGGAATAATCGGTTATGATCATTACCATTAGCACTGAAACCGAGATCTAGTGTGGGTGAATCGCCACGGCGTCGTGCTAAGCGACGTTCTCGTTCAAGACGTGCCTTTTCCGCAGCCATCTCCTTCTCCTGTAACCTTTGTTCGCGATATAATGCTCTTTCTTCTCGTGCTTGTGCTTGCTGTTTTTTCTGCTCCATTTCCCTTTGTAGTCGTTTCTTTTCAAGTCTTGATAATGGTTCCTGTTGTGTAGCACCTCTTGAGTAATTAGAATCAACTTGTTGTTGTTCTAGAGCTTCCAATTCTCGTACCAATATCCTTGAACTTCTTTTTCGAGATAAGAGTGCCTCTTGTTTCTTCCGGTTCTTTTCATGCTCTTCAACTACAGGAAGCACTTTAGGTAATACATCCTCTACTAGAAGATGATGAAATTCCTGTTCTTGAACATGATTGCTTTTGGCATATTTTTCAGGAAAGTGTTGCCATTCCGCTGCAGTCATACATACCTATCAAATATATTCAATTTTTAAAATTTCTCGTTCAATTTATTTTTTTTCTTTTATTGATTAATCCATTCTTTTGGTTTTACCATTTTCCAAGGAGTCCAGTCTTCATCATCAGATGTATCTTCCTCTTTCTCCTCTTCCTTCTCGGATGCTGTTGTTGATATTCTAGTGCTTCGTCGCATGTTACGTCGCGTACCGGATATTAGGTGTTTCTTTTTTTGATTCTTCTTCGATCTTTTCTTTTTGCGATTGGATTCTCTATAAAGTCGATTATCTAATCGAAATAGTAACGAATTGAAATATATATATATATATATATATATATCGCGATGATTGAGTATAATGACCTCATTCATTAATTTTTTTTTTTAGTTTTACCATCAAATAACCAGAACGTATTTCCCTTGGCATCAAAACCAATTGGATCCACCCTCTATCAGAAACAAAAGAAAAAAAGGGGGGAATCAGCATATACCACAACTACCAATCAATCATATTCCATGAGCATCTATTTACAAGCTCTTACCCATTGGATTGCTTCATTTTCATTATCCAAGTGCTCTCGTAATCGTTCTGGATCAGCTAGTTGCCACTATCGAAAAAAAAAGAGATAATAAAACATGAGGGTGTATTCATATTATTCCGATATCTTCAGGTTGTACAAAGTTTCATACTAGTTTTCAGGTTTTGTTTATATACGTAAACTATACCTCACATAAAGTATTTAATAAAGAAAGTCTGGTTTCGATAGGAAGGTCAAAAAATGATAAAATGGCTTTGGTAGGTTGAGAAACAGATTTTTGGTCATGTATGTCTTGTTGATCAATTGAGTCTGTATTGGCAGATGATTCTTGTTTCTCTTCTTCTTTTGCATGAAATGGATTAACTTGATCACTTTCACGTCGATCAAACTCGCGCGAAAAGTATTCTTGCCAGGTGGAAGAACTAGGGTATAAAAGAAAGCAAGTTAGATATCCTTTCTTCTTAAATGCTCTTTCGTTTGTCGGTTTCCATAGTAATTAAAAAAAAAAAGGTCATACTCACTTTAGAAAACGGTTACGAGTCAAGAAACGAAGCAATCGAATAATGAGTTCCTCTAATTGATATCGTAGACTTGGATCTACAAACATATTCTCCAGGTCCTTAAAAAAAGAAAAGATAGTATGTTATTTCAATAAAGAAAAGATACAAGTCTATGGTATAAAGAGTATGTTATTTTTACCTCTGTTGAAAAAACATAGGAGTCATCTCGTTTATTATCAGGTTGGTGTACAACGGACCAGTGAGCTTCTGTATAGTTCGGCCAAGGTCGGAAAGCAGATTGAAAAGTATGGAAGAATTGTGAGATGGAGGCAAAAGTTCTATTATTCCGTAAAAAGTCCTTGGTCAAGCCATCTTCTGTCATACTTTATCAACATATGAAAGTTTCGTTTTTTGACATGAGGAGGAAAAAAAAAGTTTAGTTGCTTTATGCTTTTTTTTTTTTGCAAGTCAGAAAGTAATAGAAACGGAAGGGTACACACAAACTTCAAAACACACACACACAAAAAAAAAAAAAAAAACTCACCTAACAAAATAAAAACTGGTTCAAAAAGATGAGGAGAAAACAAAAGAAAAAGTTGTTTGTAATATATTTGTGCCGGAGCTCAATTGAATTGACCAATGGGTTTCGTTACATTCCCAAGGTTTTTTTTTTTTTTTTTTTTGTATTTAATTGATGACCTCTAGCTAAAGGAGTTTTACTGGTTAACAAGGGTTTTTCTGTAGTAAGTACTTTCCCCCACTTTCTCCCTCACTCTCTCTCTCTCTCTCTCTCTTATTCTCTCTTTCTTTTTGCGGCGTAGTAATAAAGTGTACGAGCTCATCTAAATTTACTTGGAGATACACTCAAGATAACAACACCACTTTTATCCCGCCCCCACAAAAGGGGTTTATAAAAAAAAAAAAAAATTCAAAAGCGCAAAATTTATGAGGGAAAATCCAATATATTACCAAAACACTTTATTTATTTTTCTTACACACATTATCTTCAATATCATCTCCTTTCTCTTTTTCCTTCCAAACCTTCACCTTTTTTTGTTTTCTTCTCTTACCTCGTCTTCATGTCTCAAACTCATTCCTCTTTTTTGGAAGACAATAGTTCATCAAAGTCCAGTAATAATATTCATTTGACTCAAGTTGCTCCTCATCAGTTGACCACATCCAAAAGTAAAAGAAAATAAAAAAAAAAAAACATAAATTGTCTTCATTATATTATATATACACAAGACAAACAAATATAATAAGCTTTATTTTACTAACGCTTTTGATAACCATGGCTTACGTACCTTTTTTTTTTCTGTTATCTTTCAAAAGATCCTGAATACTTAAAGTCACCTTTGCCATCGGGAGGTAGCCGATCTGGTTCCCGTACTTCATCGCTTAAAGCTTCTATTGGAAAAGGAAGCTTTATATCACTTTTATTATGTTGTACGTCGTCAGCTTCCATTTTAGATAATAATGACAAGTCATCTTCCATCATTGGGAAACGACAGAGACATGATCGACAACAACTACACAATAGCAACTCTAAAACAGAGAAACAACAGGAACATGAAGTAGAGACGTCAAAAGAAGAAAAAGAAAACTCTATGTCTTCATCTTTATCATCCTCTTCTTCCTTTGATAACCGACCAGATGTCCCATCACCATCAGAAAAACAATTGATATCTACCACTCTAACTACTTCTCCTTTGGCGTCCTCTAAACCACAAGTACCTAAAATTATTACACAGCCAGACCAGTTAATCCATACAGAGCCTGATCAAGATGAGGTGACGTCGGCAACTCCTGCTACAGCTCCACCACCAGCATCCCCTTTTCAAGCACCAACCATTCAACTTTTACCTCCTTTACTTCCTGAAGATATTGGTAGAAAATGCCTTGTATTAGATCTGGATGAAACTCTGGTACACAGCTCTTTTAAGGTAAAAAGTCATAAAAAAGAAAAAAGAAATACATAATTGGTTGAGGTACATGTGCATACATATATTGATTCTTCCTTCTTTGCTTTTTAGATGATACCCAATCCCGATTTCATAGTACCAGTGGAAATCGATAATCAATACCATAATGTATATGTCTTGAAAAGACCTGGTGTAGATGAATTCATGCGTAAAATGGGAGAATTATATGAAATCGTTGTCTTCACAGCCAGTTTATCAAAGGTAAATCATTCTTGTTGTAATATGTATTATGTGTGTAATTAACAAAAAATGTTCTTTTTTCCCTTTCTTTTTTTTTTTTTTTTTTTTTTTTTTTTTTTTTTTTTTTTAGTACGCTGATCCAGTATTAGATATGTTGGACAAACATAAAGTGGTGAAACATCGATTATTCCGAGAATCCTGCTATAATCATAAAGGTACTTATGTTAAAGATTTATCTCATTTGAATCGAGATTTGGCCTCTACCATGATTTTAGACAATTCTCCAGCAAGTTATATCTTTCACAATGCCAATGCGGTACCAGTATCAACTTGGTTCAATGATCCTCATGATACTGAACTCATTGACTTGGTTGCTTTTTTGAATGACCTGACATCGGTTGATGACGTTACCTTAGTCTTGAATAATGCCCTTGATACCAACTTCCCCAGCATGTAGTTCTTTTTTTATAAGAAAAGATTGGTTAATCTTGTCTTTCTCTATCTCTTCTCTCTTTCTTTATCGTTTTTGTGGTCACTTACTTCATACCCTTCCACTTTTTTTTTTCTTTGACTACATATCCAAACGATATTCTTTTTCTCAGTTAGATTTTCATCCCCTCCTCTTATTTTTCTTTCCTTACCTTCAGTTTGTGTTTTATCATCAATCATGGTTCTAAAATGTAAATACAATCTCCTTTAGTAAAACAAATTATTTCTTGTACTTTAATATCTTTCTATTTCTTGTACCTGGTTTGCTTGATTAAAATCGAGTAAGTTTTAGGTTGAGTCAGTATAGAAGAATTGGGTCGCACAAATCAAAGTCGTGAGTTAAAATAAAATCTGATTGGTTCGTACATAAGCATGTCTATTTCTGTTTTGTTTTGTCTCTGTTTATCTGTATTGATAAACAAGCCATTCTTTTTTATCACGTCTTTGACACAGAAACTCAACAAAGGAAATGGTGGATATGTCAAAAATACGACCCTGATCACACAAAGTCAGTCGCGCCGTAACTCAAACTCGCAAACGTGCCGATGGAATTGCTCAATAGAAAAGAAAGAACAAAATTTCCCTTTGGAGCAATAGAAATGACAACCGTGTACCAAAGCTGTAAGTTTCGTTTGTTTTTTTTTTTTTTTTTGTTCTTCGTGTGTACAGGTCGCGACGATGGAATATCAGAGAACGCTCACTTTTTTTCATGTCTTGTTTCTGTAGTGTGCATGTGCGAGATGGTGAATTTGTACGTCTTAAATTCATAGCCACTGTGGCTCACCCGAGTTTCGAAGAATTTGGAGCTAGCAGAAAACTGACTCGAAAGCTGACCAGATGTCTTTTTACAGATTTAAGGTTTTGTTTTCTATCACCTGATAATCTTTCAGGAACAGATGCCCTAAGTAAATACGTTCTGAAAAGTAATATGATGATATCTTAGTCCTGGCTCTTGAACTTGGGCTACTTATCTACGTGCATATTTGGAAAGCATACCTTGACATCTACCTTACATTAATCCACGGTATAACAATCGAAAACATCAACCAGGCACAGCTTCGTCAAAGAGATTCTATATAGATGAAGCTGGATTCAATATGCACGTTCTTCGTGGCTTTGGATGATGTCCAAAAGGAAGACTGCCAAGTATGTGGTACCCACTCAAAAAGGTGTCAACTTTACGATCTGGAGGTGCCATTTGTGAACTAGGTATCATCAGCATGACGCTCAGAAAAACCGACAGTTTGCCGTGTCCAAGTCAAAGGATCGAAGAAAATGACTGCGAAGATTGGTAATATGACAGATGATTTCGTGGCATCCCTGGTTTATACAAGCATAGTTCTACGATTTCTACTGAAAACACTGATACAACAAACAAATCAGACTTGGTGGCGTGATGGATGTCTTGGATCTGAAAGGGTTAGGTGACCGATACCTGGCGATGGACAACGCGCCAATCCATAAAGTCTTCGGTGGTGACTGAGCTTCACCCTCCGTGGTCTCCCTTCCTTAATCCGATCGAAGAATTTTGGTCGAAGGTGAAGGCTAGAGTTCGTCGGTCAGAACTGACAGAAGCTGACTCTTTTGATTTCCAAATTCTATTTTATCTCTTTTTTTTTTTCCTTCTTCTCTCTTCCTCCCTAATCTGATCTTACCCACTTCATTAACTCGTACAACTATCCAATGGTGACCATTGGTTACATTGTCCCCAGTATCGTCAATAGGAATCGTTGACATGTAATAAAAGAAAGCTGAAATAAAAGAAAAAAATGAAAAAATTTTTAAATGAAGGATATATTACTAGTCAAAAGTCAATAGAAATAAAATAAAAGAAAAGAAAATCGCTTTGTTCAACAGTCGAATAGTTCCTATAGCAACACATTTTATCAATAGATGTGAAAGGGTTCACGCCTGCGTGTTTTCCAGGTTTCGCGTATGTCAGAAAATCAGTTGGCGTATGCGAGCAAAATGATTGGCGTGAATCACCATTGACGTTAACAAAATCCTGATACTTGCTAACCGAACGGAAAAATGCAGTATGAATAGAAAAACTCATGTAACCAAGCTTACCGAATGAAATCAACGAAATATACAGTGTTTTCAAAGTTTTTTGTCGGGTCACGAGAAAATACTTTTCGTGATGTTATTAAACAAAATATCGTACTTTTCCAAAATGGATGTCGCATTACCACTCTTTTAGATATCGCTTTAGAGATGTCGGTAGAGGTGATTGATAATAGAATGATGGGTCGATGTTGGTGATGATGATGGAAATACAAAAAAAAAAAAAAAATACTGCGACTTTGTTTGAAAAGTATATTAAAAAATGAAACAAAGTTCTTTATTGATATAATGGATCATCATTAGAGTGTTGATTCATCATGATGATTGCCCTGAAAGTAGTGGTTTTCAAAGTCCGTTTTTCTTTCATATTTTTTTTTTTTGATTTACTTTTCCTTTCTTTCTTTTCTTTTCTTTTCTTTGTATTGAATTTTAGTATATCAATTGGTAGTCGTTAGTATTTATACTTTTATTCAATAAAGTTTTTATTTTTATTCCAACTACTTTGTTACATGTCAATGTAATTGATTCTAATCTTCTTTTGATGTATTATTATATTTTGGATACATTCTTTTTATTTCACATATATTTTTATAGGTACGACTAGACGTTGGTACGTGATAGGGTGATAGGATAATAGGATGATGGCATGAATGGGTGATGGCATGAATAGATAATGATCGATTCTTTACATAATACAAAAACGCTGAAACATAGTTTTTTTTTTTTTTTTAAATCATATACTCGGGTCCTTATCTTTTTTTAATTACTGAAACATACTATTGATCATTCCCTTTTCCCATAGATGACAGATGCAAATTTGCATAATAGTTCCTTTTTTTTATTACTGAAACATGCAATCAATTGATCTTTTTTCCCATAGATGACAGATGCAAATTTGCATAATAGTTCCTTTTTTCTTTTTTAAATCATTTACTCGGGTCCTTATCTTTTTTTTTTAATTACTGAAACATACAATCGATGGATTTTTTTCCCATAGATGACATCAAAATTTGCATAATAGTTCCTTTTTTTTCATTACTGAAACATACTATTGATCATTCCCTTTTCCCATAGATGACAGATGCAAATTTGCATAATAGTTCTTTTTTTTTTCATTACTGAAACATGCAATCGATGGATCTCTTTTCTCATAGATGACATTAAAGTTTGCATAATAGCTCCTTTTTTTCTTTTTGAAACATACAATCGATCGATCTTTTTTCCCATAGACATCAAAATTTGCATAATAGTTCCTTTTTTCTTTTTGAAACCATTTACTCGGGTCCTTTTGATTTCATAGCTAAAAAAGCGCATAATTACAGGGGTGATTTGTCTTTTTTTCTTTTACAGGGAGCTTGTTTTATTATAAAAGAACGTCCTTTTTTACTTCATCAAATTCTTTTTTTCTTTTTTTTTTTTTCTTTGGGCTTGCCTGTCTTCTTTCGGGCTTGCCTGTCCCTTCCTTTGTCATCTTTTTCCGTGTCCTTTCCCTTTGGCCAATCTTCTTTTCCGTCTGTCCTCCTTTCTGGCCTCTCTTCTTATCCGCTCTTTTCCCCTCTGGGTTGACCTCGGTCGTTATTTGCCTAGGCGTGGTTGGGGTCGCCCATTTTTTTTAAAAAGGCTATAAACACACACACCGATTTCCGGGATGATTATCGCCATCCTACTTTCACTGCAGTGAGAAATTGCTGCAGTGATCTCGATACATGTTTAGGCGTTCGCGCTTAAATTGTAAGTGAATAAAAAGATATCATCTGGATAAGTATTACTCATTTTTTATTTTGTTTTTTTTTATATGTTAACTTGGTGAACTCAATTGGTGGATTACCTTTTTTTTTTTTGATTGCTCTTTTTTTTTCATGATATCTATTTTCTTATATTCTCTGTTTGATTATGCGACAATTATATTTTTTTTCTTTTGTCATCTATTTTTCTATCCTTACTATATATTTTATTTCCTATTTTTGCGACATCATATCCTTTGAATTCCGTCAATTATTATTGAATAAAGTGTACACAATTCACAAAATCATTAAAAATAAATCCGACTACTTGTTATCTTTGGTCTTACTCTTTGTGTCGAATAAAATGATAATCATGTATTAAGAGATTCTTATTTGGCCACTTCGGACATTTTTCGAATTCACACGGAAAAAGAGGCGAATTATCATTGGTGGAAGATGAAGATAAAACAGGAACTTGTCGAGATGACAAGATGAATGAACCTAGAGATTGAAACTCAGGAAACTCTTTAAAAAGACTTAAAAGTAAAAAACTATAACTCTCTCTTCTTTTGAACTACTATATAATATGAAAGTCATATCGCCTCAAGAAGTAGCTAGACACAACAAAAAAGGTAATAATGCTAGAAGAAAGGAAACAAGTGACTAAGTGGTTAATTAACAGTGGAAAGGAATAAAGATATTTTAAAATGTTAACTCTTTTTTTTTTTTTTTTTTTAAAGACGACCTGTGGATTATTTTACATGGAAAGATTTATGATTTGACTCGCTTCTTACCGGAACATCCTGGAGGACAAAAGATTATTCTGAAGTACGCAGGTCAGGATGCTACAAGTGCATTTGATCCCATTCATCCTCCTGATATCATTGAACGGTTCTTAGCGCCTGAAGTTTGCCTTGGTGAAGTTGACCAAGCTTTATTAGCCAAACAGCCAAAAGTGGAAACTGAAGATGAAAAACGCGCACGTTTGGCTCATGCTTCTAAACCTCGTTTGGAAGAAATCTATAATTCTTTTGATTTTGAATGTAAGTGTTACTTTTCTACTGCAATTTTGTGATAACAATTTTTTTTTTTTAGCGGTGGCAAGAAATGTTCTTTCTCCTGGTGCATGGGCATATTACTCTTCTGGAGCTGATGATGAAATCACTATGAGAGAAAATCATAATGCTTTCCATCGTATTTGGTTACGTCCACGAGTCTTGGTGAACGTTAAGAATGTTGACACATCCACCACCATGCTCGGTACAAAGGTTGATATGCCTCTTTATATCACTGCTACAGCTCTTGCAAAATTAGGTCATCCTGAAGGAGAAGTTGTGTTGACTCGTGCAGCTGCCAAAAACAATATCATTCAAATGATTCCCACTCTTGCTTCTTGTTCATTCGATGAAATCGTCGATGCTGCACTTGCAACACAATCTCAATGGTTACAACTTTACGTTAATGCTGATCGAGAGGTCAGCAAAAAGTTTGTCCAACATGCTGAAAAAAGAGGAATTAAAGGCCTTTTCATCACTGTCGACGCTCCTCAATTAGGTATACAAAAAAAAAAAAAAGATAATATATATATGTATATCAATGGATTAAATCTGTTTAATACACTTTAGGTCGACGCGAAAAGGACATGCGACAAAAATATGATCAAGATGCACCAGATGAAATCGAACGCAATCATACAGAAGTTAACCGTAATGAAGGCGCTGCTAGAGCCATCAGTCAATTCATCGATCCTTCATTATGCTGGGATGATATTGCCTGGTTCCGTACCATTACTAAAATGCCTATCCTCATCAAAGGTGTTCAGACTGCTGAAGATGCTGTCTTGGCTGCCAAAGCCGGATGTCAAGGTGTGGTACTTTCTAATCATGGTGGTAGACAATTAGATTTTGCTCCCTCTGCCATTGAAATTTTGGCAGAAGTGATGGATGCTCTTCGTGCTGAATGTTTATTGGATAATGGGTTTGAAGTATATGTGGATGGCGGTATTCGTCGAGGAAGTGACATTTTCAAGGCTATTGCTTTGGGTGCAAAAGGCGTTGGGATTGGTCGTCCAGCTTTGGTAAGAACATTTTCTTTTTTTTAAAAAAAGACACTTCATCACGATTGACACTTTTTTTTTATTAATTGTTTGACAAAGTATGCCATGTCTTCTTATGGTGTTGAAGGTGTTGATCATCTTCTCCAATTATACAAGGTAAATTAAAAGAAAACATTTCATCTAAAAAAAAAGTAGGATTCATCTCGCTAATTTTTTCGATATTATTATTATTATTTAGAATGAACTGGAAATGGTGATGCGATTGATGGGTGTTCGTACATTGAAAGAAATTACTCGTTCCATGGTAGATATCCGTAACATCAAAGATCACTATGTGGCCAATCCTACTGATTATCTTGCTCATCATGCTTATGATCAAATGATGCCTAGAGGCAAATTGTCCAAGTTGTAATCTATATATACAAAATAAATCAAATTTTTTTCTTTTACAGGTCAAACCTAAAAATTGAATATGTAGTTTTATTGAATACCGTGAACCTGGTTAAAGTGAGAGACCCATTGTTCCAATGCAAAACTAAAAAGTCTTGTTTGTGTCCCATGAGTCTGATGTTTTCTGTCCAATTACAAAAAAGGAAATACCTTTTTTTTTTTTTTTTTTGCCATTGACTGCTTTTCGTTTTCCGACGAAAAGGATTTTTCCTTGTTCCTTTTATCTCCAAAAAAAAAAAAGTCTTTTGTTCTTTTTTCTTATTATATTAATGTCATCTATTGAACTTCCTTCTACAACCTCTCCAAATATAGAAGGCGGAACAACAATACCAATGTCAGAAGAAGGCAAACACTGTCCACCATCCTTCATAATCCCAGGCGAAGTACCCAGCACAACAACACTCGACAGTACTAATACTACACCAACTGTTACTACTATCAATACTTCATTGCCTTCTTCTCCAACAGCACCTATAATAACACCACCACCGGCTCCACCGCCGCCACCCATAGTAACTTCGTCTGTTGTAGTAACACCAACTAGAACAACCTCTGTGCTAACCGATGTGGACGAAAAGGGAGGTAACAACTATACCCCGACTACTAGTAACAAGACAAAGGATCCAGATGTACCAGTGCAAGCATACGCAAAACTAGAGGGAGAGGATTTCTGTTATTATATTCGAACATTACAAGTAACGTTGGGCAGAAAGGCGATGAAACCTGATAATGTGGATATTCCTTTGGGCAATACAAAATCAGTTTCCAGACAGCATGCACGTCTTTTTTATAACTTCGCCACGCAGCGTTTTGAAATGATGGTATTTGGGAAAAACGGCGCCTTTGTGAACGAAAGGTTTGTGGAACGTGGAGTCACGGTACCTTTGGAAAATCGTACCAAGATACAGATTGGCGAAGTGGCGTTTGTATTTTTATTACCTCGACTAATGGAAATGGATGAAACAGCTTTGCCTAGGAATAATGCTCTTCATCCTCATCATCATCATCATGACGATCAAGGTGGTGAAGGCGGTGGAGGATATATTTCTACTCCTCAACAATTGGAAAAACAATGTAATACTTCAAAGTCTTTATCATCATCAGATATTACAACCACACTGTCCATGACAGATCAATCCTCCTCTTCTCAACAAAAATCTGTCAAAAAGAATCATCATCAACGACATTTACACCCTTTAATATCAGGAGCAGCTGGAGAAGATACGGTAGATGATCGAAATACACCAAATCCAAGTTCATTCAACAATAAGGATGTTAAACCACCTTATTCTTACGCCTCTTTGATTGCTCAAGCTATCAATTCTTGTTCAGAGAAAAAAATGACTTTAAGCGGCATTTATGCTTATATCACTACAAATTTTCCTTATTATCAAATGACTCAAAATGGTTGGCAGGTAAAAATAAACAAAAAAGAAAAAAAAGAGTACAGTTATTTGAAATACGTTTATGGTATTAAATCTGGATATATTATTTATTTTGAGTAGAATTCAATTCGACACAACCTATCTTTAAACAAGGCATTTATTAAAGTACCACGGAATGATAATGAACCTGGAAAAGGGGCATTTTGGGCGATCGATACCAATGCTGAAAGTCAATTCTTGAATGGGATTTATAAACGTAATAAACGAGCCTCTCCTCAACAGTCCAAGAACTCACAGTCAAACGTTACAACAACACAAACAACGGACGGAGAGAAAGGCAATGGGCAAGAATCATGTTTGGAATCTTCTAGGAAACGGGCCAAAAAAGAGAATACTCCACCAGTAACAACGACAACAACAACAATAGAAAAGAAGGATACATTTGTGAAGATCGAATTGGAGAAAAATGAGTCATCATCGGTATCAGATTCACTAGCAAATACAACATTGGTTATCCCAAAATTAGAACAACCATGCAGTTTAGCAACATCAGAAGTAGTGTCCACTCCTGTAGTGTCATCACCGTCTTTTGATAGCAAACTAGCCAGTGTATTACCAACAACGGTAATTGATGAACAGCAATCTGGTAAATCCGATGAAGAAGCCATGTCACCTAATCAAGAAACGATAATCAATATCAGCACAATATCTTCATCATCATTTTCCTCGGATCCTGAATCTATCCAACGTCCTTCATCTCCCATATTGCAACCTCCACAATCACAATCTTCATCAATGTCACCATCCTTTCCTTCATCTATAAAACCATCTTTGTTGTCGTCATCATTACCAACAGTAACAACGTCATTATCATCATCATCGTCGTCGTCGTTGCTACCACTGCCACCTTCATCATCGTCAGCGTCATTATCAGCACCATCATCATCATCATCATCATCATCGTCGTCGTCGTTGCTACCACTGCCACCTTCATCATCGTCAGCGTCATTATCAGCACCATCATCATCATCATCATCATCATCATCATCATCATCGTCAGCGTCATCGTCAGCGTCATCGTCAGCGTCATTATCAGCATCATTACCAGCACCGTCATCATCATCATCGCCAGCATCATTACCAGTATCATCATTAATAACACCAACGGCATCTCAATCATCTGATCAAGCAACTACAGCTTCTAATATTGATAACATGTTGATTACCCCTTCTTCCACTACGATAGCGACCAGTACAACAGCAAACAAACAAACTGAACCGTCATCGCAAGCAGCTCCTTCTCCACCAGCAACATCAACACCTTCAACAACACATGCAAGTTCCGCCCAACCAATGCAAACACAATTGCAAATACAATTACAGCATACCATACGCCAACATCTATTAGATCCCGTGCGTAATCCATTGCCTCCATCCATAGCTCAGTTATTACCGCAAGCTATTGCTCAGTTGCCTCCTGCCTTGCAAACACAGTTGTCAGCCACCTTACAGGCCGCTCTTCGTGCTCATCATCAACAAAAGCTGCAACAACAGCAACAGCAACAGCAGCAACAAAACGTTAAAGTAGACAAGTCCTCGTCAACATCACATTCATCTAATGTTGCATCGCCCACAAGTACGGAAAATACTGCCACTATATCCTCCTCAGTCTCTAGTACGAATACTACCAACATAACCACTATCTCATCCCCAACAAATAATAATGCACATGCTGAAGATTCAAAGGACAGCTCTTTATGATACGTTTTTGTTACCATTAATCAATAAATCTTTTTTTCTTATATACATATGGGATGAGTCTTTTTTTTTTTTTTTTTTTTGGTATTTTGTACCTTTATTGGAAGAAAAGGGAAAGTCTACACTATTCAACTGCCTTAATTTCCTACGTTGAAACACAATATCATAGTATTATAAAGGGAGGATAAGGTATGAGAAAGATGTGATATTCTATTTCATTCAGATTCAGATATAATTTGTAAACTATCCTTTCGTATTCATTGAAAATCTTATTCAGAGCGAAAGCCTGTATTGCAGGAATAACCATGAGGAAGCTTTAACCTCTAGGAAGATTCCCATATAGTACTTAGCAGAGTACCGATTCATTGATGTCTTGAAAAAAGAACAAAGGCATTAGCAGATGTGCCAGAGTCAGGGACTAGGAGATATCAGACTTGTGGAGAGACACCAAGCATTTGCCTTCACAATCAAGGATAAGAAAAAATACATCAGAAGGTGGAATCAATTACATTGACAATGTAACAAAGTAGTAGGAATAAAAATAAGAGCTTTATTAAATAAAAGTATAACTACTATAAATCACTAATTGACATACTAAGATCAAAGTCATTATAAAGATAAGAAGAAATAAAAGGAAAGCAAAATTACTGTATACCTAAAAGATAGCAAAAATAAAAAATACGGACTTCGAAAATTATCATGCTCATGGTGCATGATAATTGGCAAGGAAGATACATATCAAATGTACAAACATTCCAGCGCAGCTATTATGATAAATCATTATTACACATATGATGGTAATTCGGTCACCAATCTTAAATACTGTTTTTGTCGTAATAATTAGCGGGTAAAAATAAATAATTTGCAGTAGTGAATAAAATGGTTTGCAGGTGATAAAAAAGTTATTTGCATTGTACCAAGAGGGGAATTTGCGTGTAAGGGAATTGAAAAAAAAAGTTAGTTTCCAATTCAAAAAAAAAAAATATTGACTTACCGACTAGCAGGGTTACCAACCAGCCACATTTAGGGGTAGGCACAAGCGATAACCGGCCTGGAAAATTAATTTCTTCTTCGTCTACTACGAGGAGGAGAGGGTGGCATGTCTTCATGATCACGTTGTCGTCTTGTTCCATGAGCAGGAGGTGGGGAAGGAACATTGGGGACATCAGAAGTAACAACTGTAGCAGGAGCATCAATGACATCAGGAACAGTAGAAGTAGAAGAAGCTGGAGCAGAAGGAGCAGGAACAACAGGGGCATTACCACGTCGGAACCTTGCGGGGATGACACCATCTTCACGAAGGCCACGCAATATATGGAGGAAGTTCAATGCAGCAGCAAGATCGCGATTCCAGAGCCTATATCCTTTCTCAAATCCATTAGATCGTATGGCCTCAACACAGGTTTGATTTGTACATCTTAAGAGACCATGGCAGATCACGGTGGGATTTTGTTGCCGTCGATATGGGCGAGGATTGGGGACACGATGGAATGTTTCGAGGCTATAATTCTGGCAGGCAGGACAGCACGGGGAAGTTCTGAATTCGTCAATCAGAAATACAGGGAATCCATTCTTCATTAACATGCGGCGCATACCAATACCTCGAAGTGGCTCATGATACCGAGTCATTGGGGCAGACCAGTTAGCCATCACCAGAATAGCATCTTGACCAAACTTGCTTCTGTTATGTTTTAGATATCAAAAATAGGTTGTATATTTATAAGAACTTGTTGAGTGAGCGGTGATTAAGCTGTGATTGTAATTGTTAATTAACAATGTATTGAGTGACTCATATAATCTATAGATAGTAAAAAGATAGTAAAGAAAGAGGAGATCGCGTATGAATATTTAAAAACTGGATCTATTTTAATACCGCAAGTATTAACCAATCAGACGCGGACGGCAATATATTAACCAATCATATGGGGACGGCAATATACTGACCAATCATATGAGGGCGGCAATTCTGACCAATCAAATCGCTTGACCCTCTTCTTAGTAAATTTTGGCTGGTGCAACGGTTTCGGTTGAATTCATTTCTGAGTTTGATTTTTGCCTATCCAAAGCATTTCTCTTTTTTTTTGTTTTATATCCAAAGCATTTCTGATATTAGTGAACTTTGAAGTCAGGGGTAGGGTTATTGCTAATTTTAGGAACTTGGAGATAGTAATTCTCTATTTTCATATCATCAGTATAAATTTCCTTCAGAATCGTGTTATTCGGGAAGTATCGACCAACTTTAAACCCATATATGGGAATTATATTTCCTTATTCCATATTTGGTATTTTCCGAATAAAAACGTCCATATATGGGAATGAGAAAGACTGTGAATATTGAATTGCTATATATAGTATTTTATTATTACACAATTCCAAATTTGGATTAATCCAATTTAATTTCCATATATAGGTTCATATTTCGCTTAATCTCCGTGGATACGTGGAAAATGACAACGGCATTTCAATAATCTATAAATGGCAGAAATGTGTCCTTCTGGAAAACCTAAAATACAAGAATGTCGTCCCTAACTACTTCAAGGACCCTAATATCAGAAATGCTTTGGATAGGCAAAAATCAAACTCAGAAATGAATTCAACCGAAACCGTTGCACCAGCCAAAATTTACTAAGAAGAGGGTCAAGCGATTTGATTGGTCAGAATTGCCGTCCTCATATGATTGGCTAATATATTGCCGTCCGCGTCTGATTGGTTAATACTTGCGGTATTAAAATAGATCCAGTTTTTAAATATTCATACGCGATCTCCTCTTTCTTTACTATCTATATATTTTATATGAGTCACTCAATACATTGCTAATTAACAATTACAATCACAGCTTAGTCACTGCTCATTCAACAGTTCTTATAAATCAATAGTTACCCACATACAAGGCATCACTCAAAGATATACGGGTAATATGGGATGACAAACATGTCGACAGTAGACCACCTCCAAAGCCTCCATATACATATCCAAAACACATCAAACTGACGAAAGGTCAATGGTCTTTCTTCTGCTCTTTACGTAGTCCACATAAGATACGTAACTTCTGGTGAAATTGACAATCATATTGCAAATACAGATGGGACTATGCAAGGTAAAACTTGTGTAGAATATTATATGCGATAATAGTAGTATTGATGATGAACATCCTTTATTAGATCTCATCTCGTATCTGGTCGTAACAGAAAAAGTGTGCTTGGTGGTCATCGACTTTGCTGGATTGTCGACCAATGTTGACGACTTGCGCAGCCTCATTGAGTAATAGAAAAAAATAGATTGTTTTACTGTACTAACTAGCGATTTCATTTATAGAAATCACAAGAACTTACAAAGGATAATAGTAGATCACCTACCTTACGAAATTGAAGTGAAGATCTACGAACGTGATCTATTATTATCCGATCCTAGCGCCCTTGAAGCCTTCAGCTGTAGAAAAGGCTTTTACAAAAGATCAAAATAAAGAAAAAATGTTGTACAATTTGTCTCTTAATGGATATGTATTTTTCTTTTTGTATTGGGGTTCCTTTTTTAATGAATATATGTATAAAATTCGGTATAGGTAAACTAAAAAAAAATGGGTTGAGGGAATAGGTGTGTGAAATTGGTATAGATTGTGTTAAAAACAAGCAAAAAAAAAAAACAAAAACGAGAACAAGTCACTGAGATTTCTTTTTATTGCCAAAGTATCTTAAAAAAAAAAAAGCATCTACACAGAAAGTTTTGTTGGTATTATGTATATGTACGTGGTGAGTGATACGTAATACTACTATCATCATACTACAGTACATTTAAGATTGGTGATAAAATTTTATCTTTGTTTTTGTTTAATCCATGTTAAACTATAAATGTAAAATATGTCTGATCCCCAGTTGAGTAATATCTATTATGCCTATAAAGCGTAACACCTTTTGAGTAATAGAATTCATTTTTGCCACTATTTTCCCTTTTCATACAATTTTTTTTTTATCAAGCCGGGTATTGTTTTATTCGATATCATCCGCTGTAACCTTGCCTATATAAGTTTGGTTAAATTTTGGTGGTCTGGAAATGATGAAATGCAGGATTTTCTGCATGACGGATTTCAACATAATTCAAGTCATCAACCACCTTAGAGTATTAGCGACGTTAGATTCAGTGTATTCCACATAAAGAACATACAAATAGCTTATTTTCTGGCGATAGTATTCATGGTGAGAAAAAAAGTGATAAAATGATGATAGAAACGCGCCCATAGAATGACCATCACTTCTGTCTAATTTATCTTGTGTACTGCTGAATATCAATGAGCCATCTGGTCCCTTGTACTTGTCAAATAGGGCTCCTAATCGTTTGGCTTCTAATACTGCCGCTTGGTATTTTTCCGGATAGCACTTCTCTATTTCAAAAAGCAACTTGGGTTTCAACGTCTTGACAAAATACGTTTGCTTGCTTGATCATCATTAGTTTCCAGGTTCAAGAAATTCAGTTGACCTTGCTTCATAGATTCTAGCTGGTTCCAATAATCGTCTTATACTACCGACGATACGAAATCCTTCCTAAACTCGTTTTTTAAATTGATCCCAGTCCTTCACCTTGATCCTTGCCAGCTGTCATCATCTTGCTACTTTTTTTTTCATGTACATAGAGGCCATCACTGCAACTTCCAGATCTTTTAGTTTAGTAAAATCGTAATGCAAACGTCCTATCATGTCACCGTATTCCGTAAACATATGCGTAAAATAAAACTAAAGAATGCATTCACAAATAAAGAATAAAAAATACATCGTAAGATGGAATCAATTACCTTGACATGTAACAAAGTAGTTGGAATAAAAATAAAAGTTTTATTGAATAAAAGCATAACCACTAAAGATTACTAATTGATATACTATAACTAAAGTTATTACAAAGAAAAGAAAGAAATGAAAGAAAATAGAAATTACTGCACATCTAAAGATAACAAAAAAATAAAAGTATGGACTTTGAAAGTTATTATGCTCATGATCTTTTGATACTATGAAGAAAGATACATATCAATGTTATAAACATTACAGGGCAACTAACATAATGAATTACTACACATATGATGGTTCATCACATCAATGAAAAATAAAATACTAGTAAAATTATGCTCTCCGTATTTGCAAAGATGCTTGACGCGCGACAAAGGAGATACGTTAAAAGGTATTGAAACTTTGATCGTAATTGGCGAAGTTGGTATCGCAGATCAAACCGATCAACCTTGTTTGCATTTCGATTGCTTGCCAAACTGCTGGCTTTTTTGATCGAATCGCTGTCCAAGAAAATTGACGTCGTCAAAGCTGTACTTTCGTCCAATTCAAAATGCGAGATGATCCTCCTCAACACTTGCTTCATAGATGGAATCGATTCGGAGACTTGATGTGATTAATGCGTTCAATGTCTTGGTTCCCACAACTGACTTATCGCCTTCATTGTCAGTCATAATTGTTGCCCACGTGTAGTGGCATTTGGTGGTGACAGGTGGTAAAGATAAGGATGCTGATTTTTCTTTTTTGTTCACGATGTCAAGAACGTGACAGGAGAAATGGTATAATATCAGTAAACAGACAGACAGACAAGACAGAAGTAACTATATATATGCTTACGAGAATATATTAGTTGTTTGATGAGAAGGAATAAAACAATGTAAAAGTAGTTGTTGACCAAAAGTAACAGATAGTTCTTTACTGTTGTAGAAATAAAATAACGTATTTATATCTTAAACTAAATGAGGAGAGACTAACTAATGTATCATTGTTGTAATGATGGAGAACAAAAGAGATAAGACAAACAGGAAGGAAAAAAGGAGGAGAGAAAGAAAAAGAGAAGATGAGAAAAAACAAAGAAACAAAAAGGAGAAGTAAATAATTGAACTCAGACATACGCATGATTTTTATTTATTTTTTTTTTATTAACCAATGTCCTTGAACAATATCCTCGACACGCGAAGCATTCTCGATGGACGACAAGGAAATGCTGGCGTCCACAAACCTCCACGGTGTTAACAAGTACGGCCTCATTGTTTTTGTTCATAATAATTGAAGGGCAAGTAATTGAGCGCAGGTATATCGTAGTTGAGATAAAAACGTCCAGCCGTCGTTCAATAATTGACAGGAATTGATGTCCAACTGCTTGTAGCATCGTGTGGATAAGTGTTGTGCGTAAGGTCCGTAATGTTGGATTGACATGAGACTTGCTTCGATATTCGTTGTTGAGTTTGCATTTGTCGATATATGACTGTTATCCCATGCACGTTTCTTGCCAGGTGTGACATGTTTGACGCGAAAACCGTGATCCTGACTCTTGGTCAGAGCGATTTCTTCCACTTGATTGTCGTCCAGCGATGCAAATGGTTGTAATTTCAAATTATCTGCAATCCAGAAGGCTTTGTTTCTCTCACAGGTAGAACCGTCTGATTGTCTTAAGGCACGTAAAATTGATTCATCATGTGGTGTCTACAAGATAGATCTGAATGATCTATCTTAAAACCAACATTTTGTGTAACAGCTGTCATTTATATGTTAGGGAGTTTTTTATTGCGTTAGCTTTTTTTCTCACTTTATTCTCCTTCTCACTTACTTTTTATTTAAGACTTCAACTATCACAGTGTGGAATAATTTTTGAAATAACCTTTGCAACAGCCAGCACGATAGCAAGCTTCCCAATTCATCTTGTTGCTTCCGATTTGTTCCATGTTGTCATGAGCACGACAGGAGAAATGGTATAATACCAGTAAACAGACAGACAGACAGACAGACAAAAGTAACTATATAAATCAATGGCGAACAGTTCGTTTTGAATGGAAGGATTATGTCCAAGAATCAAAAAGGTTTTCATTTCTGAGTCGTACTTCCGTGATAGCTCTGGTAAGGTGCATAAGGTCGACAACATTGGACAACGTACAGAGGAATCCATTGTGTGGTGCCAAGGAAAACACGGCCATGGTGATTTATAAGAAAGCCAAAAAAGACAGTGGTAAGCATGACATATGTTATGATGCTGTGAAAAACGAATGTAGTGATGATGAAATTCTCTCAGATGACTGCTGACACGGCGACTGACCTGGTACCATCAATATCTCCCGTTTTGACCTCTGTTACGCCCACCTTGGCTGCTTGTGCCTCTGTGGACCCTTCACCAACTGCGTCACCTGCCCTCATTACGACTGATGATCATTCATCCTCTAGATTCCAAATAAGGATCCCCATAAGAAACCTTAAGCCGCATCCACTTGTCATTAGGTTGAAGGTTCCGCCTCGTATGCAAAAATAAATTGGTCTTTGTTTAATGAGAATAAAAGAACTTGGTTTTTATTCCTAATCACAAGTTAATATAAATCCCATATAAACATAAAATAAAATAACATATTTATAAGAATAGACTTACCATATGACACAAAAGTAAAATAAAAAATAAAATGAAAAGTAAAATGAAAAGTAAAGTAAAAAATAAGATAAAAAAAATAAAATAAAAAATAAAGGTAAAATAGAGAAATACACTCAAGAGAGAAGAAAAGGGGAATAGAACTAAAATTTGAAGGTACCTCTAAAGTTCATTACAAAACTGGAGGTACCTCTAAAATCCGCCACAAAATTGGAGGTACCTCCAAAATATCGGCACCCTAAAGAATGTCGATATGTTTACCATGTAATAATCATCACAAGAATTAATCATGAAATAATCATCACAGGAGTTAATCATGAAACAATCATCACAGGAATTAATCATGAATATTATTCAAACTACTCAAATGCATCAACAAAAAGTACCTATGGTATTTAATACATATGATGATTAAAAATTTTATTTTCAAACAGATGTAGAATAGACATAAATTTTTCAAGTGTAGATATAAGAATCAACTTTTCTTTTTACTTTTAAATTAAAAAACTAAGAAGAATCTCACTGACTTATTACTGGTCCCATATTTTATCTACACACAATTTAATAGATGGTAGACAGTGGTGTAGGTGATGATGATCGACTTGATATGTATTGGCGCTTGCATGTTCTTAACAAATTCATCCCTTCCTTCATATAACCGATAGTTCGTTTTTTCGCGCTGGTATCCTGGACATCGTCGTCAAGCATACCTATGGTCTTGTCATATCGTGTTTCTGCGTCCTCAACGACATGTAAAAGATAACTTACCATTGATTCATCCGCCGTAACCTGGTTTTGTAGGATGCGCTTTGCGCTGCGGTATAAATGCTGAATAATGGGATCATGATGATTAGAATGATCAGCCAAGGATTGCTTCTGCTCCATGAAGAATGATTTCTTTTTGTTTTATAGACGGTTTTGTTTGCACAGATCAAGGGACTACTATCATCTGTGTGTGACTATCTACAAAATTTTCAGGAAGGGGAGTGGGAAGTAGAAGGAAAGAAAAAAAGAAAAGAAAAGAATTCTCACTCTTTTTTGTCTATTCCTTGCCGCCACAAGTGTGTTTGATACGCCTTAAAGGCCATTTCAGAATTTGTTCGATGAAGAATGAGGCAAGAGCGACAATCGGATCCAGTGGTATTTTCTCCATATGCGAAGAAATTGATTCTTTGCTCATGTAAACTATTTTATTTACTTCCGCAAACTATTTATTCTTTTCTCCTAACTATTATGATAAATACAGTATTTGCATGACAAGGAGCTAAAAATTTATCACTGAAAGCAATCATGACTCTTCCCCTAAAATGAATCATTGTGACTCCGCTACTCTCTCAGCAGCAAAATATAGGAAAGAAAAATTTTTTTTTCTAGTCTGTTTTTTATTTTTTTATTTTATATTCTTGTTTTAAGCAGTATTGTCAAACAATGTCTGAACCCAAAGTAGAAGCTGTTCCCATCGTTCCCGAAGCAGAAAAGAAGGAGGAATTTTTTGAGTACGTAAAAACTAAATAATACAAAGAGATAAATCTAATATTTATCTAACTTGTGTACTTATAGCGATGAAGGTAAGCCTATCTCTAAAAAGGCATTTAAGAAACTTCAAGCTGCCAAAGAAAAAGCTGAAAGAAAAGCTGCTACTGCTGCCAAGCTTGCTGAAGAAAAAGCTGCCAAGGAAGCCAACATGGTTGTAAGTACATTTATCTATGAAAACCCACCGTAATGTCAAAGGGTTGCCTCAAAAAAAAAAAAAAAAAATAGGAAGGGTTCCTCCCAATCTTCAAATGAAAAAGAAAAACTAACTCCGAAACTGACCATCATATTGTTTAAAGGATTGCTCCACTGATCGTTATGGCAAACTTCCCATGAATCAATCTCAAGAGCGTACAGGTAAAATTTAGAGACAAAGAAGAAAAGAGTGTCATAGACAGGATATTCATTGAACTTTTTTTTTCCAACAACTTTTTGAGTAAAGGTGCCAAACGTGAAGATATTGTTACTATTCAAGGTAGTCGAGCTGGTGAAAAAGTCTTGGTACGTGCTCGTGTCCATACATCTCGACCTACAGGTGGCAAGATGTGTTTCTTTGTATTCCGTCAAGGAGTTTCTACTATCCAAGGCATTATCACAGCCGATGAAAAGACAATCAGTAAACAAATGGTTAAGTTCTGTGTGGGTATTCCTGCCGAATCAATTGTGTTAGTGGAAGCCACCATTGTCAAACCTGTGGAAGAAATCAAAAGTTGTACTGTATCTGATGCCGAGTTATCAATCCAAAAGATTTATCTTGTGTCTGAAGTGAAGGAACGTCTTGCTTTCTCTCTTGAAGATGCTTCTCGGCCTGAAAGTGAATATGAAAAAGAAGAAAATGCGCAATTATCTCGTGTCAACTTGGATACTCGTCTCAACAACCGTGTCCTTGATTTGCGTACTACTACTAACAATGCTATTTTCCGTTTACAATCTGCTGTATGTCTTTTATTCCGTGAATTCTTAATCCAACGTCAATTTATTGAAATCCATACACCAAAGATGATCGGTACTGCTTCTGAAGGTGGTTCAAATGTTTTCAAAGTCTCTTATTTCAAGCAAGATGCTTTCTTGGCACAATCTCCTCAACTTTATAAGCAAATGTGTATTGCTGCTGATTTCGGTCGTGTGTTCGAAATCGCTCCTGTTTTCCGTGCTGAAGACTCCAATACTCATCGACATATGACTGAATTCATGGGTCTTGATATGGAAATGGCTTTTGAAGAACATTATCATGAAGTAGTGGATGTATTGGATGAATTATTTGTGTTCATCTTTACCAATCTCAAGAAACGTTATAATACGGAAATTGAAGCTGTCAAACGCCAGTATGACTTTGAAGACTTTGAATTTTTACCTAAATCACTTCGATTAACTTATGCTGAAGGTATCCAAATGTTACGTGATGCTGGTGTTGAAGTAGGCGATTATGAAGATTTAAGGTAAGCTGAAATAACCAAAAAAAAATAAAAGTTACTAAAACAATCACTTTTTTATTTTTTCGATGATAGCACTGCCAACGAAAAGCTCTTGGGTAAATTAGTAAAGGAAAAATACCACACTGATTTCTACATTTTGGACAAGTTCCCGTTAGCTGTTCGACCTTTCTACACCATGCCTGATGCTAAAGATCCTAATTATTCCAACTCTTATGACTTTTTCATTCGTGGTGAGGAAATTTTATCTGGTGCTCAACGTATTCATGATCCCGACTTTTTGGAAGAGCGTGCCAAGGTCCATGGTGTTGATATTGCTACCATTCAACCTTATATTGAAGCTTTCAAGATTGGTGCTCCTCCTCATGCTGGTGGTGGTATTGGTCTTGAACGGGTGGTAATGTTGTATCTTGCTCTTGGTAACATTCGCCGTACCAGTCTATTCCCTCGCGATCCTAAGCGTCTCAGTCCTTAAATAGATATAGTATTATTATTTTTAGAATAAATAATGAACTTTTTCACAAAGATAAATATACTTTCAATCTTCTTTTTTTTTTTTCTTTTGAGATATGTTGTTATAGATATATTTATTGTTTTTATTAATCCATCAGACATCCAATATCGTTTATTTATAATAATCCGTTCACATCGTCTTCAAGGCCATTAACGGTATGAAGGATAAACATGATAACACTAGCAGCTAACTGAATCCCAAATCCTTTATATAGACCACGGACACCCCAAGCACTTGTAGCTTTCCTTCGCTTTGGTATATTTATATGTCGACGTTCATATGAATCTTCTTCCTCAGTTTCATCGCTTGAATCTGAAGGTATGCTAGATTTTCTGATAACTGTTGATGAATTGGGTCCTCTGGCTCCTTCTTCTTTCATGATTTTATACAAGGCATCTAAAATACCATAATAGTATATAGGACGTAATGGAACTGTAGTTTGAAAGGTTGATGATTGAATATCAGAGGTAATGGATGATTTTGATCGTTTTTGATGTCGAAAAGATCCTATCTGACATTGTAATCGTTTCCGAATCGTTTCCAAAGGCATTGTAATGAGTAAAGTGGTTATGCTGAGACCAAAAGTAGCTGCACTGTAAAGGATTGGATGATCGTTAGCAGAGATGTGACATGAGCGATCAATCAAAATGGGTGCTGAGTAGTGAAACAATGGGGTCAAACTATGATACAAGATAGTAGGCCAATAGTTTTTTTCAGAAAAATAAATAGACCAAAGCCCATCTTCGTCTTGTAACAGAGATCGCCAAGCCCTGTATACATTTTGATAAGGTCCATCTACAGATCCAGCAGATTGGACGATCATTCTTGTCCGCATGATTTCTAAAGGACTTAATAATACACCTACTACCACGTGACTAGTAAGCATTGTAATCAAATTTCCCGTTACACTATCCAAATGCATCAAAGGAATAGTATCATCATAAAGTCCAAACAGATCATTGAGTTGATGTTCTATCATTGATTGCAAAGCTGTTCGTAACAGATCATAAATCCATCCAATACGTTGGCCTGAAAACTGATGTTTAGGAAATGCTCATAACATTGTTGTTTCTTTTTTTTTTTTTTGTTTATTTTGATATACCTTTAAATAATGATTGCCAGCCTTCAGAAGGATGCTTAATAATTTGATTCATAATGTCGAGAAGACCACCATGCATAGGTGCCATTTGATAATGAGGTCGACTATCTTCATCATAAACACTTCGACTTTTGCTCTTGATATCTGTATTATATGGCACTTTTGGACTTACTGAAGACGAAAGATACGAAATATTGGTCGACTTTGGCTTCATCCCATAAAATCCATCTTCTTCTTCTTCGTCGTCCGACGATAAGTACTGTAACGATGAATTCTGCTTTCAAACAATAAAAAAAATGTAGGGGAAAAATCAGTTATAAGGACTTAACTATTGACTTGGAAAAAAAAAAAGAAGTCAGAAGCTTACAAGAACTGGCTCCTTATTGTGTGTTTGTTCCGCAAATACTTCTACATCTTGATGAGGAGTGTATTGAACTTGAAGTAATGTAGTGCCTACTTCAAAAGGGCTTGACATCATTGTAAAGACATATCTCATTAATGCATAACTGATTGTATTTGATGCATCGTGTCTGAAAGGGGTTTGAGTATCAAGGTTATCAAATATATCAGGAGTTAGGTCAAGTGTCGTGTCATTCGAAGGTAAAGAGGTATAATTGTGTTGGCGATGGAGCCCAGGTGTATAATAGGGACGGAGAGGATTCACTTTTTGATCAACATTATTTATTATATTGTCATTAAAAGTCATGAGATGATATTGTATAGTCAAAATAGAAAAGTTTTGCAGGAAAAAAAAAAAAGAAAGAAAGAAAAAAAAGAAAAAAAAGGGTATATATTTTTTCATACCCATGCCTCTCTATAATTGGATTGGGTTCAGGGTATGACGTTTTGTCCGAGAGAGAAAGAGAGGGAAAAAAAAAGTCAACTTCTCTTTTTCCTCCCAGACAGGGTAAATCTATAAAATAAGTAATTTATACACTTTTTTTTTTGATGATAATGATTTAGCTGTGAGTTGCTGAAAGTTGCAAATTTCAAAGGCGACAGTAATTTATATATATAAAAAAAGAAAAAGTTGGACATTGAAGATTTGGTTGAATAAAAAAAAAAAGCTGTATTGTTGTTGCTGTTGGATACTGAATATTTTTTTTTTGTAAGTTTGTATTTATATGTGTGTGTAAAGAGTAGTAGGCGATGATAATGACAAGTAGACGATAGTAAGAAGAGGGAAGGGCGAAAAAAGAATAAGTAAGAATCGATATTGAGAATAGTGAATAAGGCGATAAAGGTGATAATAAATCCATAAAGAAGCCTAATATGGAGAGCGAGGACGAGAATAGGGATCATATCTTGGTGGAGGTGGACGACGGTCATAACGATCATATCGATCATAACGACTGTAACGATCACGTTCATAACGGTCATATGGCATTTCATATCGATCCATATATCTGTCGTATGGGCGATCATAACGAGGAGCACGATCATAACGAGAATCATGACGATATCGATAATCACCGCGAGGATCGAAACGGTCAATGCCTTGAAAATGAAAAAAAAATTACATATATTATGTATATAAGTATTTGATCGCTATTTATTACTTGGCTTCAATAAATAACTTACGTCTACCACGTTTAGGAGGACCATGATATCTTCCAGGAGTAGGGGTTCTTGGTCTTGCACGTTTAGCCTATATAACATACATGTTAACGTGAACTTGATGATTATCACAGATACAATTGATGTATCCAAACCAATATTTTTTTTTAGTTTCTTTGTTTGGTTTACTATACCTTTTCTACAGTAATGATACGACCATCCACTTCAGTTCCAGTCATGGCATCCATAGCTCTATTCGCATCTTCATTACTTTGCATTTGAATAAATCCAAATCCACGGGATTCACGTGTATGCGGATCATACATCACTTCAGCTTTGTGTACGGCACCATGCTTTGAAAAGATTTCTTCCAATTGCGCACTAGAGGTTTTTGAAGATAATCCTGTGACAAACAAGTTATCTCCGGGGTTGATATCTTCATCAGGACTGATAATAAATAAAGGAATCAGATGAATATTTGTAGCACACGTATTATAAAGTAACTTCACTTACGCTTCTTGATCTACTCGATCTCTTGATCGAGAACGGCTTCTATATCTGCTTTCACGACGTTCATGAAGAGGAGAACGAGAACGGGAACGACTGCGAGGAGGGCTTCGGCGCCTTTCGTCAGAAACACGTCGATCTAAAAATATTATAAAATATATTAAAAAAAAAATATGAAAAAGTATGAATTTAATATGTGAAAAAGGAATCATATCTACTTCTAAAGCAAAATATTCTTTACCACTCATATTTTTAAGAAAGATTGAGTCAGATGAAAAAAGATAATAAAAAAGGTGAAAGAGAAAAAACAACTTTTTTTTTTTTTCTTTTTGTTTGGTTCCAATTTGGGTTAATAGTCACTGAGGGTTGATTCGGATAGGTCCAATCAGATCTCTCGAGGCTTTTCTCAGTGTCATCAGACTTGGAACTCCTTGTCTCCAAATCAAAGTGGAAAATATGTTCTGAGTCATTTCTTATGTCAAATCTCTATCGTTTGAAATTAAGAAAAAGCTGATCCTCTCCTCATAAGCACAGATTCTCTTTTCCCAACTGAAGATCCAAGTTGATAAAACACAACATATCTTCTACTGATAATGCAAAGACATACAAAGTGAGATTTATTTACATACAGATGAATAGAAGGTATAATTGATAAAAATAAGATACAGATATAAAACAGATATAAAATAAAAGGAGACGAAAGAGTTGATGATGATGATGATGATGATAACCTATTTGGCCCGTGAGCGATGGACGCAACCACTTCTGCTTTTGAACCTGTTGATAACGGCCCTGGCTTTCAACCATGAATAACGGTCTAGCACTTCAATGTTGCTGCCACCATCAACCGCAATTTCCTTGATGGGCTTCTAAAGTCTAATATCAAAATGTATGCAGGTTAATATTGGCTGGTTATCCTGATTATCTTTTCAACTTACTGCAAAACTGTGTTCAGGTCACCAGGATCATCCGTAAGACCCGCATAATCAATTACGCAGAGTCGCATTTTCTTCGTGCAGTGCAAGTGAGAGAGAGAATTTACGTTTCTTGGTTTTTGACTGATCCAAACCGTCACAAACATATGAATACTGGGAAGTTTCGATACGCAGATGACTGATATCGCGGGTAGAAGGTGTGCAAATGTAAGAGAGGGTGGCCAAGTCGTCGAATCGGCCAACTAAGTTCAAAAGATCGGATTTCTTTAAAGGAATTTCCAAGCTGACAACTTCTGTAAAGGTTTAAAGATGTTTGTATTGCAGGTTGATATCGAAAAAAAGTAATTGTTTTTCCTAAGAATGAATAAAAAAATAAGAAGTGAGATTTGTCTTTTTATTTTTGCGTTTATTTACCAACCACCTGGAAGCCAATGGCGGTAGAAAGATTGAAATTGTCAATGGCATTCTTGCAAAATATAGCAATTCGAAGAAAATCCGTAACTTTGTCTGCACAAAAACTCGTCAGCATGTGAGCGACAACTGTGACATGTTGTATTTGTATAAGTCGTAATAAGTAACGAGACAAAACGTAAGAATTTTTATTAATAAAAACTTAGTTAAAGAGAAAAAGGACCAAATCCTATAAAAAACTCTTTTTATAAATAATCTATCAGTAAACTCTAATTTAAATCTTTATGTGTTGAATTACCACATGACACAAACTACTTGATTTTCGGATAGATCATCCGATCCTACGGTCACCACAGCAAATGTACCTCATCATAAGTAACAGTCAACTCCACAAACACAATCATCTCCTAATCCTATTACGTTGTAGTCAACAATCAAATCTACAATCACTAGACACGTAAGTCTATCCTGTCAAAAGAAATCGTCTACCAATAGGGAATTCTTATTATCACCTCATGTAAGTAGAGTTGGTAGATATTATCATAGAAATCATCAAAGGAATCAACAGTGATCATAGATAGAGGTGGATGTATTGGCACGTGATTTTTTTTTTTTTTTTTTTTGGTCTGTTCCTCTCTACTATTTAAGAAAGCGACGAATTTTTTTTTTTTTTTTACTATTTTTCCTCCACTTCACCAAGTTGATACACCTTCAGTTGGTTTTATCCACTTTTTCTTTTTTCTCCTTCTTCCTGTTTTCCCTGTATCCATTTACTTCCCTTCTATATCTATCGACTTGGCCTTATTTTTATTATTATTATTGTTATTAATAGTAATAGTGTATACTCCATTTCTCATACCAGCTGTAAATAAAGCATCAAGTAACAACAATCTTCCAAACAAAGATGGCTACACACGGCATGAAGCTACGCTCCGCTTCAAAGGCGAAACAAAAACCAGACATCAACGCCGACGACGATACAACTAGTCATACACCACATAGTAGTCAAGACGAAGAAGAACGATATCCTGTCGATACAGAAAATAATCAACCAATATCTAGTGAATGTGATGAACAAACTCGACGTGCAGCTATGTCTTTATTTTATCAACATGAAAATGAAGCCAACAGTGACTCCAGTATTGTCACCCCTATTGACGATCAAGAAGACATCGTACATGAATCCACACCGTCTCCACCAACCACAAGTTTGGATGATTTTTTCCCTCCATCACCGTATGGTAGAGATCGAAGACAGATATATGGAGATCGGTAAAGTAACATAATGTAAAAAGATATTCTATGGAAAAACTCAACTTTTATATATTTATACTTTAAATAGATTCATTCCACAACGAGATCATAATCTTAGTCGCGATTTTGAACTAATGGAATCAACACCTACTAGTAGTACAAGAAATATCACTGAACAAACGGAACAGCAAGTGCAAGAAGGTATGAAACAAAACTAGGATTTGCAGACCGAAGGAAAAAAAAAAAAATTCTAATGAGTTTTTTTTTTTTTTGATCTTTTGATCTTGTCATACAGCTTTGGATTCAAGAAGAATGATATTTTATATGCGTTCAGAAATACTCAACGATCCTCGAGCATATGAAGAATTCATGGAATCAGAGGAAGCAATTGCAACAAATGTGGTACGGACACCAAGAAGATTATATCACTACACTAGTCCAAGAGCAGAACATCGCAATCTTTCGTACAATCATTATACCGATGACATGAATACTACACCGTCACGATCAACCCATGATTACGATACTGGATTTGACGTCAGTGCTACACGATACCGATCTTCTCCTGTCAGTGAAACTGGATTACGAATACTGAATGCGCATCAACGACAAACTCGATATATCAACCGAACAGCGATAAAGATCTTGGATGCACCAGATTTACAAGATGATTTTTATTTGAACCTAGTGGATTGGGGACCTGATGATTGTCTTGCTGTAGGACTTGGAACATGTGTATATCTATGGGATGCTAATACAAGTCGTGTGACGAAATTATGCGATTTTATGACGGAACAAGTGACATCGGTTAGCTGGGCACAACGAGGCAAACATTTAGCAATCGGTACCAATAGGGCCAAGCTGTGTCTATGGGATATTAACGAAAGCAAACAAGTACGAACATGGCAGAATCATCAATCACGACTGGGGGCACTGGCATGGAATATGAATATTATTACTTCAGGTGGACGGGATCATCACATCTTTCATCATGACGTTCGTTCACAAGCTGCGTATTTTCGAGATATGCATGCACATCGTCAAGAAGTATGTGGTCTCAAATGGAGTCCGGATGGCACTATGCTTGCTTCAGGTGGCAACGACAATAAACTGATGGTATGGAACTCTCATGAAGACCTTTTGATCAATAGATTTGGACAACATCGAGCAGCAGTCAAGGCTATCGCGTGGTGTCCATATGATAGAAGTATGCTAGTCAGTGGTGGTGGAACAGCGGATAAAACGATCAAATTCTGGAATGCCCATCGTGGTGTAATGCTTGACTCCTATGATACTGGGTCTCAAGTCTGCAACATTGCCTGGTCAAAAAGGTCAAAGGAGCTAGTTTCCACCCATGGATTTGCCAACCACCATGTCCAGTCATCCAACCAAGTGGTAGTATGGAACGCCAAATCTATGAACCGTGTTGCCACTCTGACTGGACATACCAAGCGTGTTCTATTCATGGCGATGAATGGGAGTGGTAGCACAGTAGCGACTGGGGCAGCGGATGAAACTTTACGCTTTTGGGATGTTTTCCAGACTATTGATGAAAACAAAAAGGAAGTCAAACGTACCAGTGTCTTGCGATAGTTAGTGATAGCTTTATCTTATTTTTTTTTTTTTTTTGAAGAATAAAAATAAAGAGTTTATTTTTACTACCGTATTGTATTGAAATATTCCAGCTGGCAAATAGTATTATTTTTTTTTTTTTTTTTTTTTTTTTTTTTAGATAGTACGTGTCTTATCTAGACTGATAATGCTGTGTATAGTTTTTTCTCTTTTCTTTTCTCTCATTCCACACCGATTAACACCTAGCTTTAACGCTGGCTTTAGCGCTGGTGTGATGTTTGGTAATATAAAAATAAATAGCAAGATAGGCGTATAAATACAATGAAACTGAATATAGTTTATTGATGAAAAGGAAAGTATTATAATAAAATAAAATAATAAAAATAAAGTGTACTAATCCTGTCATCCTAATCTGATATTAAATGTGATTGATCTAAGTTACTGAATGTATGATATGAATTGTATCAATGGGATTTGCGCTGATAGTTCTTGAACATAACAGCATGGGCTTCTTTGGATTTTCACAATAGCAAATTTCAACGTTTTCCGAAATATCAATGACTTAGGAAAACTTGACAATATTTTCTTCGTTGTAAGGCTCACAATAAAACTTGGAAATTGGTTGTTCCCTGGTGATGATGACCATTGTCTGTCTAATCGCAACGATTGAATGCAAGTAAAACAAAAAAAAAAGATAGTGTTGAAGCCAGTTGTCGTATCGGCGTATTCCGTAACGATATCCGTAAAATAAGAATAAAGAATGGGAAAAAAGAGAGTAAAAAGTAAATCCCTTCTTTTCATCCCTGACTGAGTGTAAGCCTGTAGTACCAAAAAAGGCAAAAATGTCGGGTTACCAAGTCACGATGTGCTGAGAAAAGGGCAGAGTGGATGAGGCTCGCTCTTCTTTTTCTCTTTTTCATTTTACTTTTGCTTCATGTCAAATTCAATAGATCGGGACGAATTGGTATCATCATATACTGACACAGGCAAATGCCAACTAAGCGAACTTGTACAATATCAATGCGAAGTAGGATCAACACATATTGAATGCAATCCTTTTGTTCGACTTTTTCTTAGGTAAAAAAAAAACGAGAAAGAAATTGACACAAAAGAAATCGTCTTCATCCTGACCATCTTCTTTCTTCTTCTATCGTAGATGTCCGAATAAGCCCATGATAGAAGTGACTCCAGAATACAACAATAGTAAGAAAGATGAATCAAACACAAAGTAAGTATAATACGCAAAAAAAAAAAAAATAAGTTCTTATAACCGTATTCTTTTTGTATCTCCATTGATAGCAGTGTACTACCGGATTTCGGTGCTGTTGTGGAGAAGAAATCCCCGCCTGGATTTGTTATGATGGACGACTAGTTTACCTCATCCCCAATATTGCCAACTGTAGAATGAAGAAGGCTGGTCCGGTCAAACGTGGATATCGAATCCATCAGCATTAATAGATATAATATATCCCCAAAATCTTTTATCCTTAGTATAGTGTATTTGTTACTTTTTATTTGTAAAAGTATATAAATAAAATATATCCTCTTTATCCCTTTCTTTTTCACTTGATTCACTTCTTCACTTCCGTCAATACAGTCGAGGAAGTTAGGTTGGGTCAGGTTAGTTGAAAATGGATCACCATTCTCAATATGGGTCAAGCTTGTGAAAGCGGGCCAGGGCGCGTGAAAACAGGTCAACCAACTTCAAGTTAGCTGTTAACACCATTTTTATTTGGACTCTATGACATATGACAAATAATATAGACAAATGTGCATAAAAAATTATTATATTATTTCATAAAAAAAAAAAAAAAAAAGACAAACTACAAACTACGATTCTAAAACTACAATCCTAAAACTAAAAACTAAAAACTAAACTAAAATACATAAAGTGTAACAGCTACAGATGCCTTATAAATACAGTCACTAAGAAGTGTGTTCTTTTCCACTGAAGCTGGGTCCTCATCGAAAATGTTCTTCAGCTTTGCCCAAAATTCTTCAATCGGATTCAAAAATGACTTTCTAGTATTTTTTGAACATCCGACCTATCTTCTTGACTCCTTTTCTTTATTTTATCACATCATCGTAGTTATTTTTTATTCTTTCTTCTCTTTATTTCTATTTTACATTATCACCTCATTACTTCACTTCCAAATAACATTGGTTCTCTTTTGTCACGCCAGAATGTAAAACATAGTTTAAGAAATTAATATAAAAGTAACTACTATTCGATTGAAATAAACAATGATCTTTATCACAAAAAATAGTCTTATATATAAACTTTTATTTTATCTTTAGTTTTCTCTTAGTCTCTCTTCCCGCTAACAACACTAGCGCCTAAGGTAAATATATATAATATAGAAGACTATGGGTTATGCGACCTCGTTTTGGTGGGACGATTCTGTCGTTTGAACGTATCGGGAAATGTAAAATCTCTGTGGATGCTCGTGATTGTAAAGGAGTACGGGTAACAATTGAATTCTTCTGGTTAATCAAGGTAAAAACTACATACTCTCATGAGGGCTTTCAATGATCTGTTTTTAATCGTTGTTTTAATTTAGAACACACTGTGTAACTCAAAAAAAAGCCGTGGAAGCACTAATGGAGTCAAACAATCGCAACGTGTTTGACATTAATTTTTCCTTTCTCTAAACAATGCATACTATGTAACAACGACGAAGATCTTATTCATTTTATATATGAATGCCCCTATAAACAAAAAAATGGAATAATATATTATCTTTTATGCTGCCACTATATTTTATGCACTCCACAGACATCTCTAACTTCTTATTACACCTTCGATCTCCACCGTCATTTATAAATATACCCTCCTTTTTTTTCAATCTGTGGATTTACGATACTCCACATCTGGAAAGCCCATTGGAATAACCACTTCCATTCTATTCCATTCAATCCAGATAGTATAACTAGATCTATCATCTCTTCCATCCACGCACTTCCCTCTCCACCCCGCAACATTAGCCATCCAAAGATTCCCTTTACAATATGATCCCTTTTCCTAAGTTCTTACCTTCTCCATGATTTCGGGCCTATCCTCTTCTCTGAATGATGGGATCCACACACACAACTCCGAAATAAATAAAAAATTTGTTTCCTACAAAAAAAAAAAGACATTAATTTTTCCTTCAAGTCAACATCACGTCTTCCAAACCTCTTAAAACCTGTGCCTCTGAAAACTGATCAGCATTTTTATGTGTGACGGTATTGTAAAATTGGACCCCATATCTATCATCCTTTAGGTTCAAGTTAGTTGTTTGATATCCCCTTTTCCCCCTCCATCATTTCATTATATTCTCTTCCCCCGTCATATTGTATATATACTGTTGTCAATAAATTGTTCTTTTCTCTCCTTTTTTTTTTTTTTTTTTTTTGGTAGGGCATTGTACACTATCAGAATCCCATTGAATTATGTAATCATCATCATATCCGTCCCATCTAGCTCCCATCACGGGAGATGACATTTTATGTATACAATATTATAACAAAGATAATAATGAACGAACCGAAATAAAATAAAGTAAAAATATATATAGATATATATAAGTTTTATTGTTTTGAATTGTTACTTGATGATCTCTCTAATAAAAATTGACCAAGAAAAGCCAATGGATCAGCCGGCCTATGTGTATGAAAAATAAACAAACAAACAATTCAAATGTTACTAAACACTTTCACTCTGCAATATGTCCATTTACCTTTCAGATACTAGTTGTTTCATTCCTTCCAAGAGAGTAGGTACCACAGTTTGATCAAGATAAGCACGTGGTGCAATATCCATTTTATGTAAAGAATCAAAAGAATGACTTGCTGCTTTTGCTTGTGTTGTCGTGTTCAATGTTGAAGCTGTGTTTTCACCGGTTGTTGTTGAATTCAATAACTAGATAACATGCATAAGTTCAATTATTCCCTTTTTTTTGTTTAGTCGCAATATATAGCTAGGCTTTTCTTATTCATTTTCTTGTATTCACTTACAGGAGGTAATTCTGAGCTAGGCATCGCTACTGTATCCATTGTTGTTGTTGGTGTTGTTGTTGTTGTTCGATCATTATTTGGTGTTCCTGTGCTAAAATAACCGCCTCGTTCACTAGATGGATCCATTTGACTATTTATCAAATAAAAAAAAATGTATAAAAATTGATTGTTAGATTGGAAGGAAGAAGAAAGATTCAAGACTAGAACCTTCAAGACTAAAAGCAAAACTTGAATTTTGGGGTACAATTTCGAAGAGAATTGATTAGCCAGAATCGTTAAATTCCAATTCCGTTTGATTACTTACAAAATTTGCCAGCATATCAAAGTATGCACGCGCCACCTCAATCAATCCAGAATGGGTAGCGTGTAATTATTTCAAGGTTTCGATATCGAGAGATATTTTTTTGACAATCATATTAATACTTGAGGTGGAAATATAAAAAAAAAAAAAATAGATGGATCTTACCCAATAGTGTTTAATTCAAAGTTAAGATAGAATCATCACCAAACAAATCAGGATGCAAAGATTCCAATAGGTTCAAAATATTTTTGCTATTTGACTCTATTTTTGTTTTTGATTGTTGGAAGGCAGGAGGTGATACTTGATTGCACATTTGTGAGAATCCAACTACAACCATGTTGACACAAGCATTAGCATCGCGTGAAAAGGAAGCATAACCATTTTTTCTTGCATAACAATCAGGATTTGTACAAATAACAGTTCCAAGGTTTCGTCGTGGTTTTTGATCTTTATTGCGTTTCATTGGATGTATTGTTGGTTGATTGCAGAAACAGCACAACTTCGATGTTCGATATTCAGGAGTGGTAGCGACAATGGAATTTTGAGTGATGCATTTGATCAGATCCTTATGACCGCGACGAAGATGTCCACCTATTCTTAAGCCCGTACTTCTACCAGAATCACCGTAGAAATAGACCAGTTTGGTATCGCCATTAGGATCGTGAAGCCGTCGGTTTTCATTAGCCACCTTTGCGTAAGCACTTTCTTTGAAAATTTTGCGTCGTCTTTTCATTCTTTTGGTCCATTTATCCTTGATATAAAATTGAGTTAATTTTTCTTGATCTTCTGTTGCAATCTAAAAAAAAAAAAAAAAAAAAAAAAGAAGGTGAGCCTTCTTCTATTTTTTTTTTTTTTTTTTTTTTTTGGAGACTTACGGCCGCCTCGTATTTCTTCTTTCTAATGTTGAGTTCCTTTTGTAGTCTCTTGTTGTGGGACATTGCGTTTATTTGAGCAGCCTTGATTGGGATGGATGCAGTCTTCAATATTTCTTTTTTCAAATCTTGCGTAGCTATAGATTCCTCAAGATCTTGTAATTTTTCAAAGCGATTTGATAAGGCCAAATGGAAGGCAATCTTTCTTGGAGTAACTTTAGCTGTTTGTAGCATAGTGACGAGACCAGGATCACATCCAATATACGCATACTGATTAGAACTTTGATTATCACCAGTAGTCGCCAACGGAGTCAAAGAAGTATTAGAAGCAGAAACAGAATCGTCTTCTTGATTAATGTTATCACCGTAATATGCGTTGTAGACAGCTGCTTTTTCGTTTCGTACATCCAAACTTTTGTTCTTGACTAGCACCAATTGACGCAAAATGGTATTTCGATTTTTTTTTAATTCTTGTCTAGTGTCCACAAGCTTTTTTTTGATTTCAGTTGGATGATGAACTTCTATTTTTCTTGTGGCCATTTTGATTTCTTGGTATAGTATCGAAGATTCATTATTTAACCGTCTAGTTTCCTTGCCAAGATCCAATAGTTGTTTATCCAAAATTCCAATTTGACTGTTGAGATCAATGTCCTCATCTCTTTTTCTTTTTCTGGCATTCGGCTTTGATTTCGTCGTTTTCCCTTTTTCATCATCGGTAGTTGCTTGTCGTTTCCCTTGTAAATGGACTACATCATAATTGGTGATTATTATACGGTGGTCGAATTGAAGGTTCATTGCGTGACACAGCGCTTCCATGTATTCAGTTTTGAAGAATGCCCCGAACATTTCGTCTGGATGTTTACTTGCTATTTCTTGGTTCGTGATGATTTGTCCATTGTCTAGACCAACATCAAAGCCATACCGATGGAAAGGTTCAGGATCATCGCTACCACGTTGTTGTCCACCAGCCCGAAATTTTAGACCACAAAAAAGATTGTAGATGGAGGAAGAATCAAGTATTAGCGGAGAAATAGAAGATGACTTGATTGTTGGAAGAGACTTTCGAGTAAATCTTGAGTATCCAGTTTTCGTCAGGATGTAATTGCATAACATGACAATTGGGTAATTGAGAAGTGGGTGGAGATCGACTTCTTTGTCATTCACAGATGGTAACACATATGGCGAGAGAAACTTGTAGATACGTTGGATAATAGTGCCTTCATGAATGGTAATATCAAGATGGGAAATATGGGCTTGTAATTCTTCAATGGAACAATCAGGTTCTATAGGATGATAAAAAAGAAGTCGTTTTACGAATGACACCATTTTCTTCAGACGCTTGTTGGAGGGTTCAATTTCAGTAGTAGGAGCAGGACTTGCGCTATCATCAACGTCCACTTCATCCTCATCGTCGTCATAGTCATTATCATCGTCATCAACATCAGTATCGTCGCTGATTGGAACTTGGGCAGGGTCTTTTGTTTCCGTTGCATTTTTCATAGATGCTATCTTCGTTGCAATCATCGCCTTGAATCGCTCCACGTAGCCTTTTTCCTTATTTATATTTTGAATTTTGTTACTTTTTTGCAAACGATCAATTCTTCTTTGATGTCTTCTTTTTCTAAATTTCATTAATGATAATGTTATTGTTTTTTTGTCGTTATTGTCAATTATTTGATGTTGTTGTTGTTGCGTCTTGTAGTTTCTAATAGAAATCAAATGTCAGTGATCTTTTTTTTTATTCATTCTCTTTTTATTATTATCATTATTGTATCCTTACTGTTGCTTTTTTATTTTGTCTCTTTGTTGTTGCTGTCGCTTTGGAGCAAGATTACATCGAAAAAGTGCAAGCAATGCTTTATCCAGAAGATATGATACAGTATTTCCTTGGTATATATTTGAAATGTTTGTAGCGAATTGTTTGATAAGCGGGGACAGAAGCGTCTGTATGCCAGGAGGATACTTTGATGTATTTTTTCGAAGAATTTCATTGTCGATACTCCACACATCCATATTTGATGATGATGATGATGATGATGATGATGATGATGATGATGATGATGATGATGATGATGATGATGATGATGATGATGATGATGATGATGATGATGGTTGATGTTGTTGATTAAGTAAGGAATATATGTGCATGATATGTTGATATGAGTAGAGGTCGAATATTCTTCGTTTTTCCGCACTGTCATAGGTATGTGTAGTCATCCCCTTCTTTACACTTGGTGATGGCGGTGAAAGAAAGAGGTGGTCGTCTGTTTCTTGCGATTGTACAGGAAGGATAGATTCTAAATTGACAGCAGCGCCACTAACAGGAGGAAGAGATGAATGAATAAAAAGAATGATTTCTTGGCATGTGAATTTCACTTACGTTGTTCTTTTCTCCATGTCCAGCTTTACTATAGTCGATAGCTCCGCCATAGCCGTTGTCACTTTCAATCTTGCCATTTCGATGGTTTCCATGATTATCTTCTTTTCGCTATCTTCTAGGTCAGATCGAAGACATTTCTTAAGTGTTGTTGATGTTGTCTGGTATACATATTCTGTTTTCGCCACAGTGCTGGTCGCAGTTACTTCAGGATTGTTTTTATGTAGAAGGTCGTCTATCACCTGGTCAATGTTTTCTCGAATATAATCGAACCAAAGAGGATGATATGCAATGCTCTCCGAGTCCACACACTTTCGAACTACCGCATTGTTAATTTGATCGTTGGGATGATCTATGATGTTGTAAAAAAAAAAAAAAAAAAAAAAAAAAAAAAAAAAAAAAAAGATGGATTAGCGATGATCATCGTACAAGTTGTGTATCATTATTCATTAGCTTACCAGCATTCCATTCATCGACAGTGTCATTGTATATTTTGGTCAACCCTTTTCGACGAAGTAATTTTGCTTGTTCATTGGCCACATAGTTTGTTTTGATTTGGTCCTTTGTAGGTTGTTGTTTTCTGGATGACTTGGACATTTTTTGAACAGCTGAATAAATTTCTCTTGAAAGGCGTTTTGGAAAGGTCTTTTTTATGTATAACAAGCATTCTTCTTTGTTGATTGGTTGTATACTTGTCGGTGGTCGTCTTCTGTCCGCTGGATGTATGGTTGCTTTTGTATATCTTGGATTGGTGTAATTGAGCACATTAATACGCGTCATTTGTATGAAAAATAAGAGAAAGAGAAAAAAAAAGTAAAGAAATAAAGAAATGTAAATATAAAAAAGTAAAGAAATAAAGAAATGTAAACAATGAAAGGTAAAGAAATAAAGAAATGTAAACAAAGAAAAGGTGAGCTGCATTTTTTATCAGTAAAGATCGAACACCGACAGTAGTTGGATCTTTGTACCTAAATAAGGCAATTATGTCATAAATGTTGATGGTTTTGATAATGAATGATACCTTTTGTTATGAAAATGAAAGATGTAACACAGATGATCGTCCCAAAAAGGGTTTCTCCCAATCATTATTACTCTTTTTTTTTTTTCTCCTTTCACTTTCTTTTCGTTTTTTTTTTTTTTTATTTTTATTTTTTTTTCACTCTTCTTTTCATTTATATATATATATATATCTATATATAATGAAAAAATGCGGCTGATATTTTTCTTTCTTTTATTTTATTTATATTATAGCAATTATACTACGCATGCAACTCGATGTTTTCCTTTTTTTTTTTGTTTTATCCATTATGATGACGACGTGATCTCGCGATGGACCTTAAGGTAATGGCGTTACTTTTTTTTTTGTTTGTGAAGAATAGTACTGACCTTTTGTTTTTTATTACTTTATTCATATTATAGCAACTAGTTTATCTATTAAACGTGGCGTATACCTCTTTTTGTTTTATTCACGTTGGCAATGACAAGGGAACCTCATGTTGACCTTAAGGTAATGGGCCTACTTTTTTTTATATATAAAGTCAAGTAATACCAGTAACCATTTACTCTTTTTTTATTTTATTTATATTGTAATAACTAGTTTATCCGTGGAGCTTGGTGTTTACCTTTTTTTGTTTTATCCATTGTCCGTACTGTGTCATCAATCATCAATTATCTATCATCATATATCATCCGTCTTCCATTATTATCAATCATCGATCATATCGTAGGGTATATATTTTATTTAATAAAGTTATCATTGGGTATTCATATTTCGGAAGTGATTTGTGTGTCGTATTGTAACATCAGCATAAAGGTTTACTTGTGACCGAAGAATATTCTTTCTCGTATCGGTTAAACATGCAATATCCTGTCTTTGACGTTACATGATACTGAAGGTGTGAATAGCGTAAGCGGTGAAGCCAGCGACTTCGTTCCTTCCATCAGCAACTGCAACTGATACCATCAATTCCATTAGGTTGCCATCATCCAACGTTCCATTAGGTGTATCGTTATCATCTTCATCTTCATCAGCAGAGTCGGCAACATAAACATTGATCGCAGTCGTCAAAGAATCCAACGGTCGCGGCGAACGTAAACAGGTGTAATCAATTGATAATTGTAACGCTTCATATGAATATTGTTGCTGTTGTAGACAATCATCACGGTAAAAAAAAAAAAAATGGAACTGTAAGAAATAAAAGAATGCTAATAATAAAAAAAAAAAAGTAATTAAGCTTCTAAGAACTTACAAAATATGAATCAAAACATCAATTCGCTCTTTCTTCAATGATCTCAAATATGTCCCCTTCAGATTTCTATGCCAGGATTCTACATAGTTGTTGGTGTGAATGTTACGATGACCCTGTGAAATAAAGATAAATTTTGGAATAAACGTTTTTTATTTTTTTATTTTTTAAAAATAAAACAACAAATGACTTTTGTATCTATCTAAGAGTAAATTTCTAATCTAATGCCCCGATTTTCACCATGCTGTCCCTTCTCTTTTTTTTTTTTTTTCCAATACATCATCACTCACTACAGTGTACACTTATCCCTTTTTTCACAAATCCCCAATACATCCTTCTTTTCAGCTACTTACACGTCGGAAAGCGTTTGACCATTCAGTTCTTCTTCTGTAGATACTCACGATCAAAGTATACCAGTAAATCTGCGCAGTCCCATATATCTTCTTGATCCGTGCACCAAATGTTCAATTCATCGTACGCCATTTCGAAAGAATCCTCATCAGCAGCATGCATTAAATTCATCAGACATTCCAAGGCTTCTTGCCTACGAGCAGAGACCACAGAAGACGGCAGACGTTGGCCTTGGACCGGGTGAACCTTGCTAACAATGGCTTTTTTTCCAATTCCTAATGATATGCCACTGACAGATGTTGATTTGAGTACCACCACCATATGCGTTCCTAATAGCCCTGATTTCGGTATCACTGTTGTCAATCATTACCCATTGGGGAACATAGGCAAAGTCATCGCGCAGCCATTTCAACCAGAATTCGATCGGGGTATACGCTTCTGAATTTGTCAACATTCAGCATAGAGGCGATCCCTTTCCAGTAGCATCGCAACGGGCAACCAGCGTATATAGGAAACATTTCATCTTCACAGAACTACCATCCATCATTGCCATTGGAATTGTAAAGGTACCATGCGTTGAATCCATACACACCATTTCGACGCCATTTTCACGAAGGCTCTACCAATCCAATAAATATATATATGAGATTTTTTCTTAAAGTTTTTTTTTTTTTTTTTTGATAACTTACTTTCAGTTGCCAGTCAGACATGAAAGCGAATAAAAACATGCCCAATTCCATAGCATCCAGGTTCTTGACCAACCAATGATCACCTTCATTAATAATCTTGTTATGCCATAGTTGCAAGCTTTCCTTGACTTCCTTGTGTAAATATGCCTTCTGACGAAGTGTCTTTGCCATAGCATAATAAACTTCTTGACAGCCAATTCGAAGAGACGTAGGCAAAGAGGCATTGACATCATTGTTTTCCAGGGAAATTTTGTAAGATGTTCTTGTCTAAACGCAGGATAAACTTGATTTTTTGCCAAGTCAAATTGTTAGTCACCAAATTCACCAAAGCACGACGAGCGACAGACGAAACAGGAGTAGAGACCAAGTCATCCAAACTACCAGCAACATGAGTGGCATGATTCCAATAATATTTCTCTTTAGCGTTCTCCGGATCATCAACTGAGCAGTGTACTATGATTTTGGCAGAGCAATTGCAAGGAATGTTTTCATGCATGGTGTTGCGTTGTTTCGTTGTTGGTGATCCACTTCGATGGTATACGTATTATCTAAAAAAAAAAAAAAAATAAATAAAAAAGGAAAGTATATCTATAGAAACAGGGCACGTATATTCTTAATCTAAAGATTAATTACCTCATTCGTTATAAGCTTGCGTTGGGGACCATATTGAGTAGCTGAAGTAGGTGGGATTTCTTCTACTGGTCCAGTGTAATCAGTGCCATCGTGATTGCCAAATCGGGAGAAAAACATACCATTTCTTTTGATATTTCTACCACCACTTCGATGATACCATTCGACACCAGAGCGAAGACCTTCATTTTGAATCCACAACTTGAGATCCTTGCAATGCATGATAAGTTCTTCGGGTTCATTGGAGTAAGGATGCTCAACAGATCCAGTGGTGCTGTTATGAATCGTTTCCAAAAGAGATGAAATAAAGTTCATAATGTTCAGACTAAAATTAAAAACGAAGTGGAAGTAGTTGAATCGAAGTGAGATGTAAGTAGATGAATTGGAAAACAAAAGTGAACAGTAAAATCAATAAATGAAAAAGAAGATGAGTAAGATGATGAGTAGATGAACAAGCGACAGGGTGATCAATGACATTACCGAAGAAATGAAGCAGTAGCTAGATGAATTAATAAAGAGTAGATGAATAAATCAAAGGGATTATAAAAAAAAAAAAAGAGAGAGAAAGGGAAAAAAAGGCGAAGGGGGAGGCCGCGACTTTACAAAAAAAAAAAAAAAATTGCTGCCATTTTTTTCAGCCTCCGAGAAATTGTACCCCAAAAAGTTTTGCAGACTAAAAGTAATCGGAGTGTGAACCCAGCGTATGCTACTCGCTGTTTGACAAGTATAATATCAAAAAAAACTACATTAACAAAGTAGTTGGAATAAAGGCAAAAAACTTTATTGAATAAAACATTAAAGACTACTAATTAATATGCAAAGCAAACTAAGCTACGATTTATGGGTTTTGTGCATACACACAAACTGCCAATTCCCCGTAATATTTTCTTTTCAAGCTTGTTATCCTTTTCCAACCAAGTAATGTCGTCTTTTTTCCGGAATTTCAACTGTGGTAATTCAGCTCAATTTAAAGAATATTTGATGATCCGTTACATGTAGCACTTGCATTATGCTATTTTTACATAAATATATTTTTGTATATCAGAGCATCTATCAATAGAAAATAATTGTTTTATTATATTTAGTGATCTTAAAAGTCGATATTTATTTAAATCTAAATATTTTTAGAAATTTATCTATTTTCTTGGTTTTTTTTATATTCGGCGTTTGATCAGTTTTCATATTGATACGATCGTAAAGATCATAAAAAAGTTTATCTATCTTTACGTTATCTTCAACATCTATTTGTACAAATTTGCACCCTAGCTTTCTTGCTAATAAGAAGCCATCTTCACGCGTGATTTCTCGATATATGTCGCTACAGTCACAAGCAACTAGTAATACAGGCTTTTTTTCGCCTTTTTCGTCTATATCAGTTCTTGCTCTAACAATTCGATCATAATATCTTTCCAAACTTAGAAATGATGAACTATCGGCCACTGAATAAATAATAAGAAATCCATCTGCTTGTTTAAGCCAGTTATCATCAAAATCTCGATGTTTTTCAATTGGTCCCCCAGCAATACAGTTTGTATTAAATAAATCAAACGTGCAAGATTTATCACTATTAACGATGCTCTTAGAATGCGAATCATCTTCTAAATAGTAATCATCACAATCTTGATAACATGCTTTTTTCAACAACTCTCGTATAGTATTATGTGATCCATATAATACTACTTTGTATCTTTCCATAATTTATGTATATTTTTGTTATTATTGTGAATTCAATTTTTTTTTAAATAATCCAAAATGAAAACTTGGATAAACAAAAATTAATCGACATTAAATAAGTATGAATTTGTGGCTGAATTGTTTCTATTAGCCAATATTAGTTAGTACAATAAGAATAAAGGGTACCTACTGTACCTCCTTCCACCGCATTTTTAGATTGGGGACCAAGTTGTTTTGTTTTGTTAGCTCCGGTGTATATTTTTGGGAGGCATGGACTATTGATAAAATAGGGAAGATGTGTGGTACAGACCTTTTTGAGAAGATTTTGAGAGGTGTCGGTAATCGTCTGTCGTATCAATGTTTTACGTACCTATAAAAATATGAGTAAAATAAAAGAAAGAATGCATTCAAAAAGTAAAAATAACAAACATAACTATATTGACATGTATAAAGTAGTTGGAATAAAATAAAAAAAGACTTTATTGGATAAAAATATAAATACTAAGAGACTACTACCTGGTTGTTCCAAAATACATCTCAAATATCATTACAACGTCTATCGTATGTCGAATACCACTACCCGTCTTCTATAAAATATAAAAGAAAAAGTGTCAATCATTGTCAGTAAATTATCATATTTTTTTTTATACCTGTGTTACCTAATATGGATGTATGATCTTTTTCTTCTTTTTTGATAACCTTTCGATTCCAGCTACCAGAAAAGGAAATATACACACCATCTGACTCGGTTGTTTTGTTTCTCTCCGTACCTTTTGTTCTGTTTAGTTTGTTTATGTGTCTCTAGTTTTTCCTTGTTCCTTTTCTCTTCTTTTCTTTTTTTATTTCTCTCTTTCCCTTCTTAAAGGTAGAAATAGAAATAAACGTATAAATAGATATGGGCAGTAATCAGAAGAAGAAAGTTGATGACCGTCGGCGACTTGTAGATCCATATTATGCCGAATATCCAACCCCTCCTCCGCCGTTATTGCCAGATAAAACCTCCATGGATATGAATGATCAACAACCATCAACTTCTCATCCTATAACATCAATCTCGTCAATATCATCAACATCTTCGTCGTCATTACAACCTCAAGAATTGTATAATAATAATAACAATAATAACAAACAAGAAGACCAAGCATTCTCTAAGCAACCAAACAAAGATCACTCATATAAAATATCACTTTCAGAGCAGCAATGTACAATCTCGACCGCTAGTTCTAGTCAGAGTCGAAAAAACAATAACTGTAGCTTGACCACTGCTCAGCACTCAGCAAGCAAAGGGGATACCAACCCTGAAGAACAAGAGAAGAATAAAAAAGACGAGGAGAATGAACAGTATCATGATCCTCAAGCTGTATCTTTACGGGAGTATCTACAAGTAAAACAAGAAGAAGAACGATACGCCAAACAACTTGCCTTGGCAACAGCTGCCACTGCCCCTTCATCCTCCTCCTCCTCCTCTCAAAACAGGTCAAATCATAATCAACAACAACGGCTTATCAATCCTCGTATAGTATCTTTAGAGGAAGAAAGGTACGAATATCTTGCATCAACGGGAAATACAGCTACACGTCGGCATCCTGTGTATCCATCCACCAAATTATCATCAAGATCTTCATCACAACCAGCCATATATTACTCCACTCCAACTTCGCATACAACCATTGCACCTTTTACCTATCCGTCCATATCACCTCCTGCACATTATATATATTCAACTCCACAATACATGCGCCCTCCTCCTCCACCTCCGCCTCCTCCAATAAATGATTCATGTTGCCCTTGTTGCTGCAATGAATATCGAGGTGGTCCATGTGTTGATTTATGTGTATGTTTAGGGTATTTGCTTTGGATACTTCTTTTTGCAACTGGTATAGCATTGGTGGTGACTTCTGTTATTTTGATAAACCAATGTCCCTCATCATCGTCGTCATTATCTGCCATCACATGTTCTTCTGTATTCCATAATGGATTGCTTTATGGTGGAATAGCTTTATCCGCTCTAAGTCTATTATTTCTTCTTTGGCGATGTACTCGAGCTTGTTGTTGTTCTCCTGCTGCCCCCATGATGAGACAGCCAAAGTAATAATATGTTAACATAGTAGATATGTATATTTGAATGTATTATATAAAATGAATTTTTATTTATTACTATTACATGAGAGTGAATGAAAGATGATGGATATTCTATGTAAAAAAGATGGGATGAATATAAAAAAATATATATATGAATGCGTGTATACTAAAATAATGGTACAAAAAAAAAAAAAAAAAGAACGTTGAGTAGAGTAAAATATCTATTCTACAGATTTCTTGTCCTTCTTCTTTTCTTTCTTTTCTTTTTTATCTTTTTTCTTGTCCTTCTTTTCTTCCTTGACCTTCTTGTCCTTCTTCTTTTCTTTCTTGTCCTTCTTTTCCTTCTTCTTTTCCTTCTTTTCCTTCTTGTCCTTCTTCTTCTTGTCCTTCTTCTTTGTCTTGTCATCATCATCGTCGTCGGTATCTCTTTTTCGTTTCTTGGTACTATGATCCAATTTGATATTGTCGTTTTCGTCTGTATGCTGGAGGTATTCTTGCATAACACGAGCAAATTTTCCTTTTTGTTCCACCAATCCACGTCCTCCTTTTCTTGCCGTTCGTCCTTCGCAAGCAGCAAACAATTCTGCATCAGTCATCTTGATCGAATAATCCTTCAGTTCTTCATCATCTTCATCATCGTCATCATCGTTGTTGTTGTCTGAGCTTGTTGTCGTTTCGCTTGGTGTATTGGGTGTAGATCTAATATGATATGGGTCAAAAAATGGAAAAGACAGAAAATAACATGTTAAGAGTCTCATAGAGCACTATTAGCTAAACGTTATTACTTACGGATCATAAGCACCAGTTGAACTCTTGACAAAACCACCATATAAAGCACTAGCAGCAATCCGTTGAGCAACATTGACATGAAGATCTTTCACCATTGAGTCGACAGTATCATTGATCTGATCGGCCATACTAGCCATAGAAGACATGGATGTTGTTGTTGTTGATGATGTTGTAGAGATAGTTTTTCCAGTAGGACGTTCAGTACTAATAATACCTGTTACTGATCGTCGCATTTCGCTTGTTTCACCAGTCTTGGTTTTCTTTTTGTTAGCGGTGACTTTGATCTGTTCTTGATCATCCTTTTCGACAGTGACTTCGCTAGCACTTTTATTGTACAAGTGATCCCACCAAGCAAATTCCCATTGACTTTGGCCAACACCAACGCCTTTCTTGTCACTCTTTTTAGTGACAGAAATATGTTTGGTTCTACCATCTCTATGTTTACCTAGACCATCACCACTTTTATACAAGAACGAAAAGAACTGATGAATATATCAGTCATAACGCTATTCTTTTCTATTTATTTACCTTGACCAACCAAACTTTTCTAATTGCGATTGTGCAAAAGACCCTTGCCACTTTTCCATTTTTCTATGTATATAAATCTGAAAAAAAAAGAGAAAAAAAAAAAAGGAGAACAAAAAAAAACAAACAATGAGAAGAAAATTTTTCATTTCTTTAGAGCAGCATTTTTGGCCTTAAGTTTCAACTACCGCAAAAACTTGACTTCATCACAGCTGTATGATATTAGATCAGCTGGATATAGATTTGCGGCTAGATGAATCACAATATCAAAGGTGGGTAAATTTTGGAAAAACCGGATAACTACTGGATTAAATTGCAGAACGTAAAAAGTTCTTCCATTTATCTTCATTGTGATGATTATCGTTTTCATCATCAAAGATTATCCACCACACACTTTATTATTATTACGATGTATGTATGGACTTAAGGAATCTCGAGGGGTAACGGAGAATATGAACCTTGACCAGTCTTTTTTAAACACATCTAATTCAATTTTTTTTTTTAACAGTTCTCCTTACATTTAAATTTATACAGTAACTAAAAAAAAAAAAAAAAAAAAAAGATTTTTTGGTCTGCATAAATTTCGTATATAAAAATGATCTGAAATAGAACATCTTTTATTTATTCTTTTTTTATCAAACAAGGAAGTAACTATTTTTATATAAATAGAATGGGTTTACTTTACCTACTGATAATGATTAGCATGGCTCAGATGGTTGTGAGTACCATCGTCTATGGAAAAAATGCTCATTATAGTTTAAAAGATCCACAAGCGATTTTGCAATGTGCAGGCAATACCGTCTTCCGAGCGAGCAGGTGTAGATGCAATATGTTACAAAATTATCGGTTCTCTATGGTGCAAATTGAACATCAGGGTCAGCATGTCAAATTTTTTTCCACGAACGATTGCACTGGAAGTACAATCGGGGCTTACACCCTATCTGGTTGCTATGACCTGACCAACAAGACAATCAATTCCATGTATATTGACTGTGGCTATTAAGTTATTTAGATTACATAATAAACAATCCTTGTTTTTTAAATGTTTCAACATCAAAGGTAAAAGTATGAGGAAATATCGTAGTTGATGATGGATCAGTATTTGATCAATGAAGCAAATAGTCACCCTGTCATATCAGTATATTTCGTACCTATAATAGATATGTAAAATAATAATAATAAAAAAAAGAAATTTATTCAAAAAATACAGCTTGAAGGTAGAATCAATTAGTTATAATAAAATAAAAAAACTTTATTGAATACGATATACAAACTAAAGACTGCTAATTAATATAATACTATACAGGCACAAGGTTAGCGCTTGGATGTTGAAGCAATCAATGCATGGGATACACGACGCTTGTGTGAAATTGTTTTCCTGTGTTGAATATAATCCCATGGAAGAGCTGATGATGTTACGCAGTTATCATCAATTCGTCTCAAAGTAAGTTACAAGTACGCCATGGATAATGTGAAATCAGGTCTTCGGTGTTGTCAACCAGTTCAGTGCAAGCCAATTATTCATTTCTAGATGCAGGAATAATTGTTGTTTGCCAACACAGTACGCTCGGTTGTCATGGTCCTTGTTGATTTGATAACAGATAATAAATACAAGATATATCTTATAGGTTTTGTTCGAGATACAAGAATACAGTAATGAATCCATCAGCTATTTAAAAAGTATGATTAAAGCTCTGGGAGGGAGTAGACAGGGTCATCTCACACTTGTCCATAAAATGCAAAAATCAAGACCCTTGGCGCCAATGAACAAGTTTATCTAATCATAATGCTAACGATGAAGGATCATCTTCTTCTAGGGCGGGAGATGTTGAACGGGATTTTATAATACTGGATGATTAAACAAAAAAAAAAAAGCCTTATCTGAAGTCGATCTTCTACTTTTTTTTTTGTGATCAATTTCACACATTTTGTTCAGAATGATCACATCATGTGAATCTTCCTTTTGGCCTGCAAATCTGTTTGATGAAGCAACTCGCGCTGCATAGACATGCGTACAACATGATGAAATAAAATGATATTTTTTTGATGGTAATGATTGAAACTGGCAGAGACAATAGTCACGACATCAACAACAGCAATGAAACATATAATATGTTGTTCAAAAGTCTAAACTATCTATTCTAATGTGAAATAATATATCCCTTTTATGGTGAAATAGTGTAGTCACTTTCGTTGTTTGCTCTGATCATCTATTAGGGGTGTACTTTATTGGAAGAAAAAGAGAATGCGCATGCATCTTTGTTTTTTTGTCCTTTTTTTTTTAAACAAGGGGTTAATAACTAAAATAAACTTACACGTGGGTGGGTTTGGCTGTTTTTCATAGGTTAAAAAAAGAAGTAACTGTTCTGATGTAAAGATTGACATCAAGAAAAAGAAAATTATTCAACAGATAATCATTTTTCTCCTGTAATGGACGCCATCATTTTTGCAATACATAAGAAAAAAAAAGAGGAAGAATCGTGCGGGTATGTACGACTTGAATGAAAATACTAAAGTGGAATATTTATATTTACTTTTGTATTAGACCCAAAAGAGAACAATGAGATCCGAGGATCCGATAGTAATAATGACGACAATGATGTTTCGATAGTTAGGTGGGTTTAGTTTGACAGTGCTTTCAAAAAAAAAAAAAAAGAATCCCATTTTCCCTCCTAACCCCTTTTCTTTATGTGGCGGATAGACCGAGATCCATTTTGATACAAATAAACGCTCTTTTTTTTATTATTATCTCTCCTCTCTCTCTTTCTTTTCCTTGGATTGCTGAATATACACATATAGATGAATCTTGTCCAATATTTCTTAATCCTATTCCTCATCTTTAGTCCATTAGGTCACGGATTAGCCAATGGAACAACTAGTCAACGCCCTCATCCATATTATGTCACATTAACAGAGCCTCGATTATGTGGTGGAGTGTTCCTTTCCATCATACCAGAGACATGGATATTAACAGCTGCCCATTGCGTCTACCATCATTATCACTCTCGCCGTAATAATAATAGTCAAGATGATGATGATGATGTTGATGATGGTGATGTTGATGATGATGACAAAGAAACTATTATTCAAAAACCTAGCGGCAAAATCCGATATGGTCAAAGTACTAGTAATAGTGCATACGCTCCATTCCATCGTGTCATCATTCATCCCATGTACAATCCTGACAATGAAACTTCTCCATTTGGATATGGGGATAATAATGATAGAGAAGAAGACGATGGTCATATCACCATGACTACCATCTATGATCTTGCCTTGATCCAATTAGATAATCCCATTCCTATTGAGAACGTTGATGGTGATGATGGTGATGTATTCGTTGACCAACAACAACAACAGCAATTACGAACAGTTCAAGCCATTCCTATCTATATGTCATCAGCATCTCTGTTTTCATCTTCTGCATTACCTTCATCGTATGTAATATCATCAACATCATCATCATTGCGGTCGTCATTATCTGTATTATCAACATTAAAATCAGCATCAATGTCAACATTTGCATTATCATCTTCATTTGCATCATTTCCTTCATCACCATCAGCGACTATAAAATCGTCACCGTCAACGACTATAAAATCATCACCATCAGCGACTATAAAATCGTCACCATCAGCGACTATAAAATCATCAGCATCAGCGACTATAAAATTATCACCATCAGCGATGGTAACACCATCATCATCAACAGCAGCATCAGCATCATTGTCATCTTCCTTTACTAATACATCGACATTCATGGAATGTATGGGAATGGGGGCCACACAGTTCGAACCAGATAGCGAGTCCAGCGAGCTAATGACGGCGGTATGTAGTTTGACACAGGATCATCGTCTCACTGGGATTTTTACGCCATATCTACCAGCGGTCAGCATCACCCAGTTCGAATCATCGTCATTATCGAAATCGCTATGTCATGGAGACTCTGGTGGTCCTTTGGTCGTTTCACAACCACAACAAGATTATTTGGATGGCGTTTTAAGTCGAATCATGTATGCGTATGACCCGACTCCGGATCAACCGACATGTCCTTTGGCTGAGACAACCTTATCCATGATCAACGTGTATGTCAAACCATCATTTCATCTGGATTGGATCAGTCATGCTTCTGGTTTGGATATTCATACCTTGACCACGCCATCCAAACCTTTCGCCGTCGTCCTTCCATCCATCAGCTATGCCAACCACGTCCTACCTTGTTTCTCTCTTACATTCCTTTGTTGTTGTCTTGTTTGGATCTTGCTTTATTCTTGAATCAACAACTGGTACTCTTTTTTTATATATTGAATGATCATTTTCCTCTCACAACTTTTCATGCAAATAAAAAAAAAAAAGAAAAGTCATTATCTAAAATAATATCTAAAATAATATTGACATAATTGGACTAGAATCAACTATTCGTGATCCAAAAAAAAAGGGAAGGATGAAAAAAAGGATCGACATGTAGGAGTTTGTGGGAACAAACAAATGAATGTGTGTGACAAATAGTAAATATATAAAAGATCTGCATACGAATAAAACAACAACAAATAAAAAAAAAAAAAGAATTAAATAAAAATAAAATAGTTTTATTACAAGATCCTATATATATATAAAAAAAAGGTGAAATGATTGAAAACTACAGCTACAACTAAAAAAAAATAATAAATAAATAATAAAAGGATGTTCCTACTATTGCTATTGTTCATTGTTGTTGTCGATCCACCACCATTAAACTGCCAATAAAAGTCAAATTCTACATTTATATAAAAAAAAAGATAAAAATAAAAAAGATCAATTAACAAAAATCATTCATCAAGTCCCTTCTTTTTTTTTCTTCTTCTGATCTATATTATTACCATTTTGGCTCGCACTTCAACAATATCTTCAGGTACCAAAAAGATGGTTGCACCTAATTTACGAGCAATAGAAATAGCCAAACGAGCATTGTTGAAAGCATCATCATCGGATACACCACGGGTTACCATAGAGTAATCGACGATACCAGGTTTGAGACCATTCAATACATCCAAAAAGAAGATACCCGAACGTAAAGTTGGATCACGGAATGATGTCATCTTACTTGCCTTACCACCGCGAACCACACATTCATTTGCCCAGCGTACCATATCTTGATCCGTCACTGGTCTACCACTACCTTTTGCTGTCAATGATTGCAATGTGTGTATGATATTTTCCCGCATTAATTGCCAGACCAAACCAAGAGTCAATGTACGTTGTCCATCCGTAATATCAGCGCCTTGAATACCAACAAGTGAGAATCGTCTTTCTTGACCTAACATAACAGCATAGTTACAATTTTCAATTTGTTTAAATCGACTCAAAGGTTGTTTCTTGCTAACCAAACGCCAATTCACTAATCCAGGTACCACCTTGTCGTATGCTTGTAATAATACTAATCCATCCTTCAAATCCTCAAATAAGTTATAAACACCAGGATCCACATTCAAAGAGTTGAGCCATAATGTAAACACTATTTTTTTTTTAAGAAAAAAAAAAGTCAGAATGACCCGATTTATCAAGTATACTGATGATATATTTTTTTTTTTTAAAAAAAAATACTTACTTCTTGCTTCACGTTCACCTTCAGCATCAAAAGGTTCGATTTCAGGAGCTTCTTCTTCAGTCAAAGGATCCAAACCAGGATGGGTATTAAACAAGTGAGCGACAAAGGCCAAGTTGAGTTTAGGATTACCAGCGACGAGAGCCTTGGGAGTCAAATATTTACGACATTCAATACGATCGGCATTATCCAGGACCATTTCGGCACGACGCAGAGTATCATATTCTTGAAGAGGAGCCAAACTGCATTGATCGGGTTTCAATTGATTCAAAAGGACAGTATAATTTTGACCATCAGCGACATCTTTGCTGAAATTAGTGACACGTCGTTCCCAACCATTGGCTTTCTTAAGATGATAGTTAAACCAACGTAATAAGATTTGATCAGGAGGTAATTTTAAAAATTCATCCAATGTTTCGCCATCTTCCAAAAGTCGATAGAGTTCAGGATGTAATTTAATATCAATCTTACTCAACAATCCACGTTTAATAATTTGCCAGATAAGTCCTAGAATCAAATGTTCTCTTGCTTCCATGATATCTTGAGAACCAATATTGACAACTGAACATCCAATAGCCTTTGCAGAATTAATGACAATATTGTTGTTTTCCACCATTTGGAATTGATTGATTTGTTTCTTGCCACCCACATTTAATACACGTTCATCAATAGTATCGGCAACAGCATCGTTAATCAATTTACAAAGAATAAGACCATCTATATAAATATATATCGACTTAATTAGTATATATATATTTTCTTTTTATTTCTTTTTTTTTTTTTTTTTTTTTTTGCATTGATTACCTCGACATTCATCAAAAAGTTGCATAGTATTTGTGGGAATAGGAAGTCGATGACCAATATGAGCATCACCAGCCATGACACTATTAATATGTCTAGTGAATTCAGTTCTTTCATCTTCATTGATAGTATGAGTGACGTTTGCATTAGTGCCCTGAACTTTAATTTTATGTTGATGAACATCAAAGGCACCTTTGTTTTTTCCATCTTTTAATTTGGCAGCTAACTAAAAAATAACATCTATAAGTCAAGGTGTTTCGGGTCTTTTTTTTTTTTTTTTTTTTTTTTTTTAATTCCTTGTTCTTGGCATTTCTCTAAATCCATCCATCCATTCATCCCCTTACTCTTTTTTTTTTTTTAAAAAAAAAATAAAAAAAGGAAAGACATACCTCTACAAATTCTTCCATATCAATCTTATTGGTAGCACTAGTACTGACTTGTTTAAGAGTAGCTCGAATTTCATCATAATCGTCACTATAACCAGTATCCTTACAAGCTTGTTGAATTTCACGTTGGTCTAAATAACCATCACCATCAAGGTCACAGTCACTATAAGTAATAAAATAAAATGTTTAGTTTTTATTGTTTATTGTAGAGGGAGGTGTCTTTATATTAAAAAAAGATAAAAAAAAAAGTCTGTGCGTTTTTCCAAGTCTTCTTAATTTTTTTTTTCTTTTCTTTAATAATACTTTACTTGAATTGATCAATAAGACTATTGATATCGTTTACTTGAAGTTGAGGATATTTTCTTGAAAGAGTGAAAGCGTTAATAATAGGCATCGTAATTAACTAAAAGAAAAAAGAAAGAAAAAAAGAGTGATGAAGAAAAAAAAAAGAAAGAACGAAGGAGGGAAGAGAAACGAGTGGAACAAAAATTCACGAAACAAAGAGCCAACTTTCAATCACCGATAAAAAAAAAGACGTCTATTCTACTCAGCAGCGACAAAAACTTGGCCTTTTGTTCGTCACCAAGTTTTGTTATCTTTCCCATTTACAACTTATTTCATACTACAAATGAGTTAAAAATCAACAGTTCTTTGGCAGATGATCATCTATTTTATTCAATTTTTCTTTATTTTGTAATTCAAAAGATTTTCATTCATTCAAAATGACAAAAATAAGAAAAACATTATCTAAAATCAAACAATTTTTACCTATAGTTTTTTTTTTTTAATTATTCAACCGAGATCAGAAAATCATTTCGCATGTGACAACCGCATTTTTTAATGAAATTTGGAAACTCGTGGAGTTTGAAAATGACGTCAAAGAACAAAGAAAGAGTGTTGAGTGGACGCCAAGACGAACCAAATTTGGGAAAAACGCTACAGTAAAAAAAATTTTTTTATCGTCACCTTTTTTTTTTTTTATTATTATTATTAACTTTTTCTATACATTACTATCGTTGACCAATGTCACAAAATAATCCTTTTGAAAATACCAGTACTACACAAAATCCATGGTCTAATGAACCTACTTCAACTACTCCAACTGGTGGACCTAGGTTTGGTAATGCTTATGAAGATAGTGGTTGGAGTGGACGTATGCCTTCTCCTTCTGATTACCGTCATCAAACCCGAACGGAAAGCAACAAGATAGAATATTCTTCTGAGGATCAACAACAAGCCAATGTTAATGCTTATGAATTTTCCGGTACTCGATTTGGAAATCAAGAACAACATCTTGGCAATGCTTATAGTCCTGTCAGTACACCTACTATTACACCAGCAACTCCACCTCGTCGTCCTGATACTACTGAAACCACTTCAAACAAACCCGATGCTTCTAGTGCTTTACCTCCTGTATGGGATGAACGACGTATGCATCCTAGTAAATGGCGACTTTTATCGAGGTTTATTCTGTTTATTGCTGCTATTGGACATTTAGGTTTTGCTGCTGGTGCCTCTCCGGTAAACTAAAAATATATTACAAGTTTATATTTACTTATTATTATTATTATTATTATTATTATTATTATTATTATTATTATTATTATTATTATTATTATTATTATTATTATTATTATTATTATTATTATTATAGAAATCTGGTCAACCTGTTCCTTTTGATAGTGCTGCTTGTTTCTATTATTTGTTTGCTGTGGCCATTCTTACAATTATTTGGACAGTATTTCATATGGGTTATTACTTATTCCGTCGATTTGCCAAGTATACCAAAATGAAACGACCTTTAATGCTTGGAATTGATTTACTATTAGCCATTTTATGGGGTATTGGAGTGATTGTTGAAGTGGCTAAATATCATTGCTCTCCTGGTGGTTATGATGGATGGTGTGATTTTTATAATGTTAGTATCTTTTTTGGTTTTGTATGCTTTGCTGGATTTATTGGTGAAGTTGCATGGGATAGTGTAGGTGGATGTATTACTCACAAACGTTAGTTTGAATTAGTTTTTTTTTTTACATTTTATTTTATTTTACATATTCATATTACTTACTATTAATATACGCTCTGGCGCTCCGCTGGAGATTTTCGAAATCGAAGATTTGTGTGGACTCTAGATTTTCTTTGGAAAGTGTGGATTATAGATTTGATTGGAAGGTGTGGATTATAGTTTTTTTTTTTTTTTTTTTTTTTTTTTTTTTGAAAAGTATGGACTATTGATTTGTCGAATAGATGTGGATTATACATTTGATTGGAATATGTGGACTATTGGTTTGATGGAAAGGTGTGAACTATTGATTTGATGGAAAGATGCGGACTAGGGATTATCTTTTTAGAGGACGTTTTCATTAATCATCAATCATCGTCACTAACATCGTCAAGAGGAGGAGAAAATAATTCGTTGTTTTATTGGATATTGAATATATACATATTAAAGTAGTTGATTGGATTAAAATATATATAAATATAAGAATAAAGACAAATCGAAAATACGATGAGACTGCTGGTAGTGCTTTTATTTCAATTAGAGTTGAGCGAGAGAGAAAAAAAGAGAAAAAACTACTCTAATCCAATCTTAAATGTCAAATAATAAATTTCATGTTTTGTAATATATTGCATACTGCTAACGATAAACTGAGATAGAAATAAAACGGTGATGAAATGAAGACGTGGAATATAATAATGGTACTTGCAATAAATTATAGGGATCGTTTCACAGGTCGATTCCTACAATTGAATTTATTAATAATAGCTTTGTCATTAAGCAACTGGTGTCTGCTTAGTATTTCCACTTCGCAAGTGACGGGAATTCTGTCTACCACTATTTTTTCAAGTTTCTTGTACTTGCTATAGAATGGAAACGGTTATTTTTTGCCACGCATTTTTTTTTTTAAAAATTACCTGATAAACTGTAGTAGATCCTCCGTATTTGTCGAGAGGCCAGCGTAGTCGATGACTACGAGGATCACTGGCGCTCTCGTTCGATCCAGAAGATATAAGAGGTCTAAAACAGGAGGTATATTATTTCGAGTCTATTTTAGTCACATAATTGCTAATTATAATGAATTTTTTGTTTCTTACCTTGTGTATTTCCGTCATTTAATTTTTGGTCATCATCAACGTCCCGCTCACAGATAGGCTGGGATGAAGGTGATGACCATGAAGCGAAAATTTTGTCGACGTCTGAGCGCTCTCTCAGTTTCATTGCCTGGAGACTTCCTTGCATATCCGATTAATCCACCTGCGACTTTTTCTAGTTCTCTTGGGCGTGATCATAGATGCCTTGATTTCTCCTGGTACCAAGATGCTACCGAGCTCCATGATGTAAGGAACGGAGGTATACTTGCTAGTTCTTTTTCAAGTCATTTAGCAAAATACCAAGAAAACCAGAGTCTGTCTTTCCACTCATTGGAGTCAAAAGTGTACACGTCAACCATTTTGAGAACGAGCTGTCACCTATCAGGCATGCAACCACAGCTAATGTCCTTGATAACTGTTAAATTTGATGTAGAGAAATATAAAAATGGTACAAGAGAAGAGTGAGCGAAATTTATTTTATAAAGAAGTTATTGACAAAGTTTATTTACACGTTCACACCTCCTTTTGTTTCATCCCTTACTTTTCAATGTGGTCACCAGATTGTTTTTTGTTTATTTTTTATTTTATTTTTAGTTTAGGACATGGTTCTTATTGGTTAATTTTGGGTTTTATTGATATCATAACATCATCATCATCATTATGATAAAATCGTGTTCTTTTTTTTTTTTTTGTAGTATTGACTATGCAGAATTTCAAAGTCCGTATTTTTATCTTTTGCAAAACTTGAATTTTAGGGTACAAATTAGCAGAAGTGGAAAAAAAAGTGACATTTTTTTTTTTTTTCAAAGTCGTGTCCAGTTTTACTTCTATTTCTTCCTTCCTTTTTTTTTTTTTTTTTGTTTATACTTGCTTATCATATCACCTTATTTTATATCTAATATATTATTATACCATTTCATTTGATTCTTCTAAGAATGCACAATTATTCACTTTGTTTTACATTGATTATATCGCCATGTCATTTGATTCTTACCGAAAAGCACAACTACATCTACAAGAAACAAGAAAGACAATTACTATACCACAGTTAGACAAAGACACCTGTATATCATATCTCAACAAAGTATTCCAAGTATTAGTACGCGAAGATTTACATAAGCTTTGGACAAACAAAAAGAAGAAAACCGAATCCGAAATTCTATCAAACTATTGTCAACAACAAGAACGAAAGCGAACAATACCAAACCTTTACAAAAAGACTGTAGAACTGTATAACCAAGGTAGTATACATATACATATATACTTCTATACCAATATTAATCTAACTTTTATTTAGAAAACTCAACCGACTTTTCCAAAGATACAGTTAGAGCAACTGTAGACTCGAAAGCTATACCCTATGTTCGCCTTTATAAAGAATTTGTGAATAAGAACGCTGCCAATGTATTAGAGGAATTAAAAAACAACGACAACAACGACAACAACAACGACAACAACAACAACGACAACAATCAAGATAATGAGGATAATTTTATTCACAATACCATTACTTCTCAATTGAAGACAATCTTACGACCAGATTTGTCTGACTTGGAGAAAAACATCATCCATCAATCACTACTGAAGTCCCAGAAGATAATTACCAATATAATGGCGGATATCTCAACTTTGGTTTTGTTAGACCTTTTGAAACGAACCACGTAAGTAAATAGTGATCATGAAATACTAGTCATACACTCATATGCTCTTTTTTTTTTTCTTAGTGGTCCACCTGTAGAAATAACTAGTATTCTACCTGAATGTAAGATTACCAAGGTCCTTCCACCACCACTGATCTCTCCTCCTTCTTATGATGTCAAGAAACTCATGGCTAGTCACAACAATGCCACCAAAGCTGAACGACGCCTATTTGAATTGTATACTTTCGGCCATTTGATGCATCTGTTGACTGCAACTCATAACTCTCAAGAAACCTCTCTTACTGACACTCCAGGTCCTTCTACTTCTTCAAGTCATGATTCCAACAAGGATGGTATATTGAATTGGAATTTGGACTTACCGGACATCACCAACCTAAACCTTACTGATATGCCGCCTGGATTATCTACCATTATTCTACCTTATGTAAATACGTACGCCACCAATTTAAAGAATATATATCAAGGTGATATAGTGGATCGTCTGCTATCAAGAACTATTATGACTGTTCTTCGGTGTCGGCTTATTCTTCCAAAAAAGGACCAAAATAAGAATGAATTGAAAGAAAGGTAATGCATATTGATGATTTGATGATGATGATGATGATGGATGGTCCACATTATTAACCTATCTATATATAATTAGAAAATCACAACCAAAAAGTCCCAAGAATTCTTTTACAGTCAAGTGCCAAATCAGACGCCACAGCAAAAGAATAAAGCGGTTGCAACAATATGATAATATAAAAAGACCAGACGTCCTTCAGAAGGAGCAACAAATTCTCGAACACTTGATGCAATCCTCTATTCTCAATTCAAGTACTACTGCTCAGGTTAACGTGGAGATTCCTTTGGTGGACGATAGTGATGCTCAGATGAATTTGGATGTTACTTTGGTGGATGATACTAGTGCTCCGATGGAAGTGGATGCCCCTGAAACCATTCATGTTAACCCCTCCTACAATCGACTGAAGAAAATTGCAAATTTTGTGAAGTCAGTTCTATTCAAAAAGAACATCGATCAACCGTTAACTGTCGAGGATCTTAAGATGCATGCGCCAGATATGGAGTTTAACGATGACGAAGCCAATTCTGTACTCCTTTTGTATCAATTTTTCTCACCATATCTATTACCCAAGGTATACGATGACGATGTAGATCGGCATCCCCTTCTCAATTTTCCTCTTGTTACGGTATGCAATCATATTCTTCGCTCAACTGGAAACGAGAAATTTGTAAGACGATCTGTACCAGTTGTAAAACATTCCAAGACCTATTCCATTACTTTGGATCCAACAAGATTGTATTTGACTCTGTGCTCGTTGAAAGGACGTGTTGGCGGAACAAAAGGCGGAAATGTGCAACCTCTACATTCGTATGGATTCGATGTTTTTCTTCCCAACGGTGACATAATAAGCAATATTACCAAGTCAATCAAATTCCAGGATGAACTATTTGGTGCTTTTTTTGATCTTCCAACCAGGCGAAGCCTTTGTGCGAAAAAGACTGGCTTTATCTTCTCCAATCGAATCACAATCACTAACTATGGCGCGGTGCGACTACATTCCAAAAAGGAAAAACCAATTGACACTGATATCAAGCCATCAGCAACCAACGTACGACGAAAAAGAAAGTTATCTGAAGAGATCACAATGCAAGAAAAGATAAAGTCATTGGACGCTTCCTTATCAACACCAGCTGAAGAATTGCGCAAGTTGAATAACGAAATAGATGAAACGAAGATGAATATTATGAATATCAACAAACGAATTGAATCCACTGCCGACACAACACATGATGATCTGGAAGACCTCCCAACAAAAGATTTTTTAATTAAACAGCGGGCAGAAAAGAAGCGACAGCGTGATGATCTACTTCGACGGAAGCTTGTTGTGTTACGGAAGATATCAGCCCTCAAGACAGAGAAGAAGGACCTCTTTGACGAGTTTTATTCAACTGACACGACAGATGTTAGCCTATCCTCATCATCTACTGGTAACGAATGGGAAAATGAAAGTATTTTTGTTGGATGTGATCCGGGTCTGGCAACCATGGTCCAAGCTACAAGTGCTGATGTCAAGAAAGTAATGTACTATTTGGCAATCAACAATCGTTATCAACCATTGGAAACATTAGTAGAAAAGGTGGATAGTGATGGCGATGAAAAGGAAATGCTTACTTTGAAGAAATACTCAATTACCAGTAAACATCTCGACGATCAAACGTTCTCCAAACGCCATCGCAAGGGAATGGAATTTAGAAAGAGACGAGATCATCGAAAAGTAAGTGATTCCAAAAAAAGAAAAAAAAGGATGTCAATAACCTATTTTTTTTTTTTTTTTTTTAATTACTAGTCCCAAACTCAAGGTGTGCTTTCCGTCAAGCAAGTAGAAGAAAAGTTGGCTGGATCAATTGATGTCCGTTTATATGAAACAAGTTTACAAAAAATCATGACAAACCATAAGGTAGGATCAATTATTATACATCATCACGGAGACCAAAAAAAAAAAAAAAAAAAAAAAAAAAAAAAAAAAAAAAAAAAAAAAAAAAAAAGACAATGGATATTAATGAATGCAATCATTTCAATTTATCTAGTTGATCAAGGAAAGTGCACCTATTCTTCAGGATTTTTACTGTGATCAAAAATACAATCAGCGGTGGAAACGAAGAGCAGTGATATACAGCGAAAAGGGAACACATGTAGTCATCAAGCATCACCAACGACAAGTAAAAGAAGAACCTGGACAAAAACTACATTACTTTTATGGAAAGGCGGGTCGTGGTAGAAACTCACGTATCGGGGGATTTTTAAGAAGAGGTCATGGACCCTTATTACAAGCGCTTGGTCAACATTCTTCTATCTTCCATACAGATGAATTTAGAACGACAAAACTCTGCTGCCGTTGTCATGAGCCTATATATCATCCGAAGAAAGCTAATGGAAAATTAAATCTTGGAACTGTTATTTGTCAAAACCCTGATTGCAAAGGACGTCAAGCTGGAATGATTGCTGAATCACGAGACACAAATGCAAGTATGAATATGATCGTCACTGGATTATGGCAACAAGTTACTGGCAAACTTCCTCCATCCTTCCGGCGGTCAATCTCATCAACAGAAAACGATAACAACAATATTGATAAGATATTCCAAACCTTGATCTCTTCTCATCCTGGACTGGTTGAAGACGGATACATCATGCCTCTGTGCTGAAGGCAAAATTTGAATTGTACCCTAAAATTCAAGTTTTGCTATTTGATTATCTTTAATTTTTATTTTCTTTTATTTCTTTATAATAGCTTTAGTTATAGTATATCAATAAGTGATCTATAGTAGTTACACTTTTATTTAGTAAAGCTTTTATTTTTATTCCAACTACTTTGTTACACGTCAATGTAATTGATTCCATCTTACGATGTATTTTTTATTCATTATTTGTGAATGCGCTCTTTAGTTTTATTTTACGCTTATGGTTACGGAAAACGACAAGTTTCTTAAAAACGACTCTCGATGAAATGGACAAGCATTCGCATATGAAAGGCAGTCATGGATAATGCACCCATTCACACGCACGAAAACATAAAGAAGTATATTGAGTATCGAGGATACAAATGTGTGTATCTTCCTACTTACTCTCCTGAGCTTAACCCAATAGAACAATTCTGGGCAGTGGCAAAGAGTAAGGTTAAGCGCCATCGGTTTTTGCAGGAAGACACTTTATCAAAAAGAAATACAGAAGCCTGCAAAAGTATGGAGAAAAGTCACTTCAAAGGCTTTGTTTCGCATTCTTACAAGTGCTGGGATAAATGTCGAAACAAGGAGCTTACAGTATGACAGACGTTTAATTTTATTTACTATTATACTCAGAAAAAAAAAGGTTACAAGGGTCAGGTTAGATGAAAGCTTATTCCAAAAACAGATTAAAAATGGATGTCGAGTTTTTTGCAAATAACCAAAAAAATTGAAAGAATTTCCATCCATATTTGGACTTGAAAGTCAGATGTTATTTTTTGGTGCAACTAACAAATTTTTGTTATTTAACTTGTTATTTAACAAAAATTTGTTAGTACCCAACGTCTCTAAAAATTCTTACGTTTTGTCTCGTTACATATTAAGACTCACACATATACAACAGGACACTCTGAGAAAGATGTTGGACACCTTGAGAAAGATGCTGGACACTTGAGAAAGATGTTGGACACTCTGAGAAAGATGTTGGACACCCTGAGAAAGATGTTGGACACTTGAGAAAGATGTTGGACACTCTGAGAAAGATGTTGGACACTCTGAGAAAGATGTTGGACACTCTGAGGAAGATGTTGGACACTCTGAGAAAGATGTTGGACACCTTGAGAAAGATGTTGGACACCTTGAGAAAGATGTTGGACACTTGAGAAAGATGTTGGACATTCTGAGGAAGATGTTGGACACTTGAAAAAAAAAGATGTTGGACACTCTGAGAAAGATGTTGGACACTCTGAGAAAGATGTTGGACACCTTGAGAAAGATGCTTGTTGGACACTTGAGAAAGATGTTGGACATTCTGAGGAAGATGTTGGACACTTGAAGATGTTGGACACCCTGAGAAAGATGTTGGACACTCTGAGGAAGATAATACTGCCGCCGCCATCACCAACAGGTTCCCTATCATCACCAGCGAAACGACCGCCATCATCAGCAATGCCACCTCCATCACCGACGCCAAGACCTCAATCAGTCAGAATACCAAGAATACGACTGATTGTCAAAAAACCAAAAAGAAAGCACGGAGAAGTAGAGTAGTATTCTTTTCGATTTTAATAAAAATATTGTTGTCACAAGTAAATGCAGAAGACAGTAGATCTAGATTGAATAAAATATAGTTTTATTGATGTTTCGGTATAATGACATGGAAGTATTCGATATAAGTAGTTCGTAAGGATAAGCGTATACTGTATGGAGATCTAGAGCATAAGAGTAAAAGAAAGAAAAAAAGGAAAAAAGAGGAAAAAGTTGTAAAAAGTTGCAAAAGTTGCAAAAGTTTGCAACAGTTGTAAAAAAAAAAAGGTCGTAAAAGTCCGAACAGTTGTACCGTGCAACAGTTGTAAAAAAAGTTGAATTCTGAACATATGAACAATACCGCTACTGGTCAACATAGCTGCCTCCAATGGCATTGGATTCATCACAAGCTGCTTGTTTGAAGGAAGACTTGTACATCTTGAAAAAGGAAGATTCAGATTCAATTGTAGCAAGCGGGAGCAGAACTGGCTTTCTAGGGTCAGTCTCGTAGCATACATCAAAGGCGCCAAAATCACTAATCTTTTTCGACAATCTTGCTACATTTTGGTCGTTACATTCTTCTGAAAAAAACATGCAAATAGCTTGCTCACGTGTAATGTTCATTTTTTGTTGAAAAGAAGTTGTGAGATATAATATAAAAAGTGAGTTGTGGAAAAAAAAATGCACCGGCGGTTCACAGTCTTTTTTTTTTGGATGCACCGCCGGTTCACAGTCTTTTTTTGTCCCTTACCCCATTTTTGGATTATCATTATTATTTGCCTTGCCTGACTTTTGTTTTTTGTATTATTTACGATGGCCATCCAAGTTTTATTCGATGATGGGAATGATGCTAGGGCTGCCGATTCTCCTAACTAGACAAAGAACGAGAAATGTATATAAACTGTCAGAATGAACAAATTCAATACGAGGAAGAACAAGACGAAATTATGACCCAACAACAACAGGTGGAAACAGCGACGAAACTATAGAAAAAAGGTACGAATGGGTGCTAAAATGGATGAACACTGACATGGACTACACCACTAACTGCGTTTTTATAGATAAAGCGGCCTTCAACATGAACCAGCGTCGAGCATTTGGATGGGCGAAAAAAGGTGGCACTCCTTGTCGTATCATGAAATAAAAAGTCGTGAGATGAATATAGGTCTGAGACATCTACCACATAAAATCTATTGTTCTTCAATAATCAATCTATTTTTATTTTATTTTATTTCCAGATTACATACATAAATGTACTTTTTGTTTTATAAAATAATCAATTAAGTTATTCTTTTTAAATAATAAAAAATTGGAAAGAATCTCACTTATTTATTATCGTCTTTATTTATACAACAAAAAATCAACTAATATCACATTGGATTAGAGTAGTTTTTTCTCTTTTTTTCTCTCTCACTCAATTCTAATTGAAATAAAAGCACTACCAACAGTCTCATCGTATTTTCGATTTGTCTTTATTCTTATATTTATATATATTTTAATCCAATCAACTACTTTTATATATATATATATATGTATTCAATATCCAATAAAACAATAAATTATTTTCTCCTCCTCTTGACGATGTTAGTGATGATGATTGATGATTAATGAAAACATCCACTAAAAAGATAATCTGTAGCCCACATCTTTCCATCACATTAATAGTTCACGCCTTCCAGAAGACAGAAAACAAAACAAAAAGCTATAATCCACACCTTTCCATCAAACCAATAGTCCACATCTTCCAATCAAATGTATAATCCACATCTTTTCGTCAAATCAATAGTCCATATTCATTCAAAAAAAAGAAACTATAATCCACACCTTCCAATCAAATCTATAATCCACACTTTCCAAAAAGAAAATCCGTAGTCCACACCTTCCAAAGAAAATCTATAGTCCACACCTTCCGAAGAGAATCTAGAGTCCACACAAATCTTCGATTTAAAAAAAAAAAGGGAAAATAAACTTGCAATAAACAACTTCTTTTTCGTTTTTTATTAGACAAACCATTAGCACGAAAAAAAAAATTACTTTGATCGTTTAACGTTGGCATGTCGACATTTAAATTTTTTCCAGATCATTATTTTTCGAAAGATCAAAACGTGATAAGATCTCAAACGAGGAGCCATGGTCTACAACAACTTCCTTGATATTGCTGCATTGTCTAGTATTCAAATTAATTAGCATGAAAAAACTTGCTGCAATCAATATTCTTTTCGACTTCAAAAAAAAATCCTAATATCATTTGGTGACATTGAAAGCCCGGCGTAGTCAATGATGACAAGGCGGAAAGGTCTTTCAGATACACACCTACATAGTCCAGTGATTGTCCTTGACTCTTGTGGATGGTCATTGCAAATGCTGGTCGTACAGGGAATTGTCGCCTTCCAAGTTCTTTTGTTCCGCTGATAACCACTTGAAGATTCCCAATCGGTTCGTCACGATGTTACTGTTACGAAAAATAGAAAAACTAAAAAAAAAAAAAAAAGAAAGGGAAAAGGACAGGGAAAAAAAAAAACGCTCAGGGTAGAAAAAAAAAAAGCTCAGGCCGAATAATCTCAGACGACTATAGATTTTTTTTTGGAAAGAGTAAAAAGGCAGATTTTTTATTGGGTATTGGGTGGAGCGGAAGGTGTGATAGGTAGGACAGAAGACCAAAAATAGTCAAAAAGTTATTTGCTAATCTTTAGTTTTTCATATTTTTTTTCATATATCAATAAAAATCAAAAATTTGTTGGATATATAAAAATAAATATAACAAACAAGTATTACACTTTATACTTTTTAAAATGAAATGATTTTATTATGATTATAATTACTGTTTGATGCCGAGAAATATCTTAGCATGTTGCATGAATTTTTCTTTGAACAACCAAAATAAGATATTTCTTGAATTGAACTACTTTGATTATCATCATCACATGTATAAAAAGGGGTTGGAAGAAGGATTTAATTTCTTGCTGACGATGGTTACCATATTTAGATAAGAGCTGTCGCAATGCTTTTCCTTGGTTGAATTCGGAGATTGACAGCCATCATAGATAAATAGAGTTTTTTTTTTCTCTCTCTCTCTCTCTCTCTCTCTCTCTTTTTTATCTCTTATTGTTATCTCTTATTGTTATTCTACTTCTTTTTTAATCATGTTCTGCGGAAAAAAGCATTTTGACTTGGAAGATATTCCAGATCTCACTGGTAAAACTGCTATCATTACTGGTGCAAATACTGGTGTAAGTTGTTATTTTCTGTTATTATTATTCTTTTTGACATTGTTCCTTTAAAATAGATTGGTCGCGTTTGTGCATTGGAAATGGCAAGAAAAGGTTGTAAAATGTAAGTAATGAACTTGTACTTTTCTTTTTTCTATAATTAACCAATATATATATATATATGTTATAAACAGTATTCTTGCTTGTCGTACCGAATCCAAAACTTTACCTGTAATAGAAGATATAAAGAAAGAAACTGGGAATGATCAACTTGAATTTATACCTTTGGACCTTTTATCACTTCAATCTGTTACCAAGTTTGTGGAAACATTTAAACATCGGCATGATACTTTGAATATTTTAATAAATAATGCTGGTGTCATGATGTGTCCTTTTGGTCTTAGTCAAGATGGTAAAGAACTCACAATTATATATACATATATATTGAATTAAAAATTTCATTTCAATAAATAGGAATTGAAACTCAGTTTGCTACCAATCATGTTGCTCATTACTATCTTACAACTCAACTCATTCCTCTCTTGGAAAAAAGTACTCCTAGTCGTATTGTCACTGTCAGTTCAATGGGTCATCGTGGTTGTCTTGGTGGTTTGGATTTACAAAATATCAATAATTCCAAGAAATATAGTAGAGCAGGTCACTATTTCAAATCAAAGGTAAAATATCTCCCATTTTCTAATCTTTGTTTATTCTAATTTATATATTATCAATAGGCTGCCAATGTTCTCTTTACTCGTGAATTAGCTAAACGTTTGGAAGCCAAGGGTATCAAGGTAATATATATATATATATATAAAAATCGGAAATGATACTCATATTTTTTTTTATCATTATCATTAGCATGTTTATGCAAACTGCAATCATCCTGGTGTAGTCAATAGTGACTTGACTCGACATACCATGGGTTCATGGGCAAATTCTCTTTACAATTTCTTTGTTACCATATCCACTGAAGATGGTGCCACCACTCAACTTTATCTTGCCACTAGTCCTGAAATTGAACAAAAGAATATCAAAGGTCAATACTATGTAAGTTGATCAAATGAATGTTTTATACTTTAATTGACTCATATATATTATTATCATTATTAGGTTCCTTATAGTGTAGTCGGTCAAATCTCCTCTGTTGCAAGCTCAGATACCAATGCAAAGGAACTTTGGGAATTCACAGAAAATTTACTCAAGGAAAAGGTTCCTGGTTATCAAGGTTCTCCCATCTAAAAGGAATACACATGTTCTACTTTGTTAGATTCTTGATTATTTAGTATTATTTTTATTTTTATTTTTATTTTTATCTTTATTTTTATCTTTATTTTGATTTTTATTTTTATTTTTATTATTAATCCCCTCCGTTGATGTTACTAACATACTGACGATTGTTATTATTATGACTGGTTTTTAATCATAAATCCATAATAAATGAAAGGTATGAAATACATCTTTTTATTTTCCTGTTTGACTTTTTATATTGTATGTTGAATTTTTGATGGATGACGGACGAATGCTTAGATTGAACTTGATGGATATCAATGATATATTGAATGGGGGTTTTTTTTTCCTGTCTTGAACTATCGTTTTCGATATTTTCCCCCTTAAAATGCATCTAAAAGCATACCTGATTTTTCTTATTAGTTTCAAAGTATCTCGATATTTAAAGCAATTTGGCCTTATAATAACTTCTTTAAGTCCTTGGCTTAGACTCATACAAATAAGGCAACTGTTAAAGAGGGGAGGGAAGAAGTATCCATGTAGGGGAATTGACTTGCAGAAAAATAAGGAGAGTATCATAAAGATATATATATATATATATATATGATATAAATGAAATATGAATTCGTCTTTTTTTTTTTTTTTTCAAACATTAAAAAAAATGTATTTTGTGGTGTCTATAAGATAGATCTGAATGATCTATCTTAAAATCAACATTTTGTGTAACAGCTGTCATTTATATGTTAGGGAGTTTTTTATTGCGTTAGCTTTTTCTCTCACTTTATTCTCATTCAATAAAGATATACTTTTGTCTCACTTATTTATATCTATTTTTTCTTCAACTATCACATATTTGCTTTTTATTTTCTCGGCGGTATGTATGATTCAATTCGTAGAGAGCACTTATGTCTATGGCAAGAATGCTTGTGTTAACCCTGCCAATCCTGAATGCTTTGTTCCTTGCCATGGCCCCGATGTCTTTACAGTGAGCAAATGTGGTTGTAGTGTAGTTGATAATTCAAGTTTCAATATTGTGCAAGTTCAATACACAGGTCAAGGTGTCAAATTTTGGTCATCCACCAATTGTGATGGTGATTTGGCTGGAGAGGCCACTCAATCAGGCTGTCAGGATTTCACTTTCAATACCATCAACTCTATTTTTATTCAATGTTGATGGACGCGTCATTTTTCTTTCTATGACTTTAGTATATTACTTTTTTTTTCATTAAATATTTTGTTCCTACTATGTGTCAGTGATATGCTTTTTAATTCTTTATATGTGAATGTATTCCTTTGATTTTTATTTTATACGTTTATTTACGGTATACAATGATATGATAGTTTGAAAGGTACTTCTCAGAAAGCTATGTCCATCCTTTTCTGAATGGCTTCTTCTCTCCCAAGCAGCTAGGTAAAATTTCTCATTGGTATGTTATTCATGCTGTAAATAGTTCTCACCTTTATTATTGTTATTAGTATCAAACTCCCTTAGTATTATTGGATAGTCCCAACCTTGCCCTATATGAATTGGTAACAATGAATAGTAGCAGACCAGACTACAGGGTTAAGCATATCAGTGCACCTGCACAAATGTTTATGACGAAATCAAGTCTAGTAAGGACATCTTCTCGTTACCGTTGGTGAACAACCTGTGCTGCCTTAGTTATCTTTTATGAAGATTTCCAAGTTGGTAAATTTGAATGAATTGGATTTCGTGTAAAGTGGATCAGAGTTTTAGCGTAAATGCCGCTGATTGGACCAATCAGCCATCCCTTAAAATTCACTGCAGCCGAGAAAAAGTACCGAAAGTGAGAAAAAAAAACCTTTTTCCCTTCTCACACTTTTTCTTCATTTCTTTTTATTTATTTCTCTCTCTCTTTTTTTTTTTTTTTTTTTTTTTTGATACCATGCCTGACATTATGGATGATCCCAAACGTATTGCAAGTAGTCGTATTGCTTCAATTGCTCATCATTTATCTGATACCAGTGATGATACTGCTGCTTTTATTCAATCTCGTAATGTATTCTCCTTTTTTAAAAGAAAAATAATTCACACGAACCATCCATCTGACTAATATTTTATCCACTCCTACTTTTTTTTTCTTTTTACAAAAGTGCGTTTATACAGACAGGCTGATCAAGTAGCCTATATAACACCTATGGATCCTTTACGATTTCTATTACGCAGTGCTATGGTGTTCACAAACAAACCAGCCATCACACATCAGGGAGTGACTTGGACCTATCGCCAACTAACGGAACGCGTGTTGGCTCTGACCAATGCACTGATAGATGATTATCAAGTCCAAATGGGTGATCGTGTTGGTCTTCTCTGTCAAAATATTCCTATTTTTATCGAAGCACAATATGCCGTCCCCGCTGCTGGAGCCATCGTTGTACCATTGAATACACGTCTTGCCGCCACTGAACTAGATTACTTGATTGGTCATGCAGGATGTAATGTCTTGATTGTGCAACAATTCTTTATCGATAGTCAGCAAGTCGTCATCAAACAGCTCCTGGCAAAATACCCTCATCTACAATTTATTATCGTTGCCGATACCCCTCAACAACCTCATCTTGATCCTTATGAACAACTCCTGCGATCGCATACTACCTCTCATCGCCGTCTTTGGAAGGATTTACCTTTATTGAATGATGAAAATGCTGTTTTGTCTATCAATTATACTTCTGGATCTACAGGCAAGCCAAAAGGTGTAAGTAAAGGATGATTTCTTGGATGACTAGATAACTTTTACCCATATATCTTCTTTTTCTTTTTTTTTTCCTTTGCTAGGTTATGGTGACCTATCGTGGTGCTTATCTCAATGCATTGAGTATGTGTCTTCATACTGGAATTAATAGTTCAAGTGTTTATTTATGGACAGGTCCCATGTTTCATTGCAATGGTAAACATACTTCAAATATAAAAGGTGACGAATAAGAACTACAAAGATAACTCATATGATTTTTTTTCTATTATATAGGATGGGGATTTATCTGGGGAATGATAGCAGCAGGAGGTAAGTTGGAAAAAAAAAGAGAGGAATCAGTGTCATCATCTCATATTGATATAATATAGGTCGACAAATCATGCTGAACAAGGTGGATTATGATGTGATTTGGAAAATATTCAAGGAAGAAGGCGTGACACATTACCATGGAGCACCAACGGTTCAGAACGAAATATGCAATCATCCCAATGCGACACGACTCCCAACACCGGTAGCGACTTTTTGTGGTGGAGCAGCACTTTCTAGTACAGTGATTAAACGATTACTCCAACTCAATATTCAACCCACCCATATCTATGGTCTGACTGAAACTTATGGACCAGCTGTGATTTCTTATATGCCATGGCATCTTCAGAACCATTGTCCAAACGATCAAGAAGGTCAAGTTAAACTGATGGCGCGTCAGGGTTTTAACATGACTGTCAATGATGAACTTCGTGTACTTGATCCTGATGCACAAGATGTACCTAGTGATGGCATTACTGTTGGTGAAATCTGTCTTTCTGGTAATGGTGTGATGAGGGGTTACTACAACAATTCTCAAGAAACGGCAAAGGCATTCCGTCATGGCGTGTTTTGGTCAGGTGATTTGGCTGTACGACATCCTGATGGTGCAATTGAAATTGTCGATCGTAGTAAAGATGTCATTGTCTCAGGTGGTGAAAACATCAGCTCTTTGGAAGTGGAAAGTGTCATTGTTCAATTGGATCAAGTCTCAGAATGGTAAAGTCCAAAAAAGAAAAAAAAAAAAGAAAAAAAAGAAAGAAAGTAAGGATTCATCTTTTTTTTTTTTCTACTTTTGGGGTATGGATGATAGTGCGGTAGTAGGTGGACCGGATGATAAATGGGGTGAACGACCTTATGCATATGTAGTATTGCGTACAAATCAAGTTTTGCGTCCTGATCAAGTCTTGGCTCATTGTAGAAAACATTTGGCTGGTTACAAGGTAAATCAATAGTAAATCCATCAGAAAAAAAAAATTGTTAAAACAGCAACAACTCATTTTTATAAATGCGTGTATGTGGATGATGTAGTGCCCGTCCAATGTCATGATTGTAGATAGTATACCCAAAACAAGGTAAATGATCAAAAGAATAGACAAAAAAACATTGTATTTTAGGGATAAAACAAGAACAACCAACATATATATGTATATTTTTTTTGTATCGTAGTACTGGCAAGATCCAAAAGTTTATTCTTCGAAATGAATTATGGAAGGATAAACAAAAGAAAGTGCAGGGATGAAGAAATGTAGGATAGACATGTTACAGTATAAATTGAAATAAAATGTATATGCATGGATATATATATACTATGGGAGAAGTAATATCAGATTTCCGACATTTTACGGAATCGTTTTCGTATTTCCTGAATTTAGCATTCTTAAATGAATTTCATTTTCCGATTTTTTTCTGGAAACATTTCATTTCAAAATGAAATCAATGTCGAAATCCGCGCTTGTCATTTAAGATTGGATTAGGATAGCTTTTTTCTTTTCTTTTCTTTTTTTTTTTTTCTCTCTCTCTCATTCAATTCTAATTGAAATAAACTCTACCAACAGTCTTATCGTATTTTCGACTAAACTATGAACATCAGTAAAAACAAAACTACACCAAACCAGCCTATACTCGTTGCTAAATAAAGAATACTTGGTGATCCCTTAACCTATCGCAAATATCTGAATGTTATGCCTTGCGAAAAAGTAGACCAAAAGAGAAAAAGATGTGATAACGCAACACTAACTTTTTTTTTTTTTTTTTCAAGAAACTGACGCACAGGTAGTTTAATTCATTAATAACATTTATTTGTGTCGATGATCCAAATAACAATGAAGTTTATCAAATGAAATCGGTCACTACACAAGAAATATTTGATACAGTTAATGAATACATAACTATATATGAAAACAAAACATTTCTGGCATTTGCTCGATGGTGTTCAATTAAAAAAATGTTATTTTTACGGGCCAAAGAAAGTAGAAATGCTTCAAATCGTAGAAGAGAGTTTTATGTTATGAACGATATTTATCATGGTAATATCACACTGCTAAGCTTGAACATTGGCTAATGTGTTTTTCCTTTTTTTTTTTTTTTTTTTTTTTTTTTTTGCAGATTGCATGTTGACTTCAATTTGTGCATATTTGTCGAATTACCAACCATCATTAAAAACTTTACAAAATGACGAGTTTGAAATTATAGGATACGCCAGGAAGTCTCCTACTACAGACAATTTGGATACGAGAGTAAGACTACTTGAATCAATGATCAACAATTTGCGTTCTCGTTCCTTTGCCCATAGTGAAAGGAATTGCGAAAAGGATACTGGTCCCGAAAAAATAGGTTTAGTTTAGAGATTTTTACTTTTTTATTACAATAAACTTGTTTCTTTTTTAAAAAAAAATTGACTTTGGATAATATTATTTCATTTTAACCGTAAAATGTCGGAAATCTGATATTTTATTTCGGAAATTTGATATTGCTTTTCCCATATACGATACTATTGAATGAAGGTAGGGAAGTGGGCTAAGAATGGGAAGGAAGAGGGAAGTGCCAAATGGGGACCCAAAACAAAAGGAATGACCATGATAGCCAAAATGCCTAATATGATCAGAATGAATAAAAGTCCATACCAAAGAGCAATCCGTCGTCGATATTTTTGTTGTCGTAATGTGTATACTGTGTTCGTGTGTTCTTGCTGATTAGGCATTGTCCAAAACATCATCCAAGTATGATATCGATCCATGGAAGGTACCAAGCAAAATAGAAACAAAACCATCAGGATCATATGTACAAGGATAAAATCGGTACCAAAGTGTGTACATTCCACAATTTTACACATGTATTCTCGAAGAGGTTGACTAAAACTGTGCCATCCAAGCTTTTTTTTTTTTTTTTTTTTTTTTTAAACGACAACCAATAATAATAAAAATGAGTCGACAGCTTTTTTTAGATATATCTATTTTACCTTTCTTCCATACCACCGACCAGACCACCAAGCTAAATTACATTGTCCATTGTAGAATTCTCTTGAGAGACATAGAGTCAGCAGTTTGACAATAAAGCGTTGAGTAGCACAGACAGCGATCAGTGCCAGGAGTAAGGATGGAACTTTCCAATTTTCCAAGAGATACATCATACCAAAGCAAGCGACGAGATTCATGACAGCCCATGTATGTGCAATTCCTGCCATTGTAGAACCCCATTTGCTTTTTTCTTTGTTCCCCACAAAAGACACAAAAGGATTCACCAGCAAAGATAAGAAGAACAATGCCAATAATAAACCCGCATTCATCACTAAAGGCGCTATCGCTAGAAGACCAATCCGAGATAATCCTTTGATCATCCTAATTTTGTCGTTGTCGTGTTGATCAACATCAGCAGAGAAAGAATCATGAGCAAACAGATAAGCAGTAATACAGAGGGAGCAGTACACTAATGGCAGACATATTTCAGAAAACAGGACACCCATACGTTTTGCTCTTGGAGGTGTGGCTATAGACGATGATGTACCTTGACGCTTGATACCGGTCATCCGCATTCGTGATAGACGACAAAAAGAGATCCAGGTAGCCGTTGTCTTGCTATCAGAGCCATGACCACGAAAGAACCAATCCAGCACTTGCTTGTAATCGATCAAAAAATCAATCATAGAGAATTGATGTGGGTTGAATACAAAGGGAGATAATACCAAAGCAATAAATGTGACCCAGAAATAGATCAAATGAGGCATCCATACAATCAAAGATGCAAATAACAAGATCAATCCATGACGTGCACCCATATAAAGACTTGAATCAGCAAATCGCATGTATAACGTGGCAAATGAGTGACGAGTAATGGCAAATCCACGACCACTTCCGATGTATTTGGCACCACCAAATGTCATGTTGCTGAGGATTGAGTAACAATAAGTTTGAGTAACAAAGATTTCAAATAGAGGAGACATGGAAATCATATGCTTGCCCAATCGAGTCAATGCACGCCAGAAACCACGTTCGTTCAATTCCTGAAGAAAGAGTGGCAAAAGAGATACCATGAGGACGACAAATATAGAAAGTACCACACGTTTGATCCAATCAAAAACAGGCATCAGGTCATAACAAGAGGTATCATTCTTTTTTTCTTGAGAGCATAAGGTCAATGGCAAACGAAGAGCACCGATAAATAAAAGTACAAGTAAGAACATCTGTACAGCCAACATGATAAAAATATTATTGATATGGAATCCAGGATGAGCATAGTAGAAGGTCAAAAATCGATCCAAAGGTAAATTGGTACCCAAGTAATAATATTCCCGCGATAGCATTTGTTCACCCATACCGGATCCTATTTTAGTGACGAAATTCAGAATTGATGCAAATCCAAGATCACGACCTTTCGCGCATTGATAGTATTCCACATGTTTGATCCGTCCACCACGTTGAAAGGCATTTATTCCAGCATAAATATCTTCGTTCAGATGAAGTCCTTTTTGTCCTTTGCTTACACCACCACGTGTTGTCATGAAGACTGCATTCAAAAAGTCTGGATGACCATAATGCAACTAAAACAAAATAAAAACGAATGAGTTTCTTTTTTCGATATTTTTATTATGTTTATACTATACCTTTCCACCAATAGTAGCCATCACACGTTGAGTCAGAGTACCAAAAGTTTGTTCTTTCCCAGCAGCCACATCACCTAGGACGCCAATCTTCTCCGAAAAAATGTATTCTCTTGCACCAACAATTGCCACTGGACCTGATGAATGTTGAGATAGATCATAAGGAGAAAAAGAAGAAGAAGATGATGACAAAGGTTCAAATTCACCAAGAACACTACGGATCTTGAGACATTCTTCCAAATAATTGTCTTGATTAGCATCGATCAATTGTAGATATTCGCCGCGGTAGAAGATCAAAGCAGTATTTTGATTGTCAGATTTGCCATCACCTAATATAGGATTACCAGGTAGCTGGATACGATAGATCGGAATACGTTGGTTTTGTTCGTTCAAAGCACAATGACCATCAATCAAGCAAGAATAATAAGATTCTTGGTTGTTTTCGTTGGATTCCTTTTCAATATAGGCCACTTGCAAGTTCGGGTAGATACTAAAAATGAACTCCAAATTGTCGCGTTCTTCTTGGCTAAAAATCGAATAGCGTTGCATGGCGATCAGGAACCGAAATTTACGATTAGCCATACGATCCAAGACCTTTTCCAATCGAGATTCATCATGATACATTAAAAGTTCAGGAGTTTCCACACGATATAAGAGTTTGATAGCTTTGTGATAATTCATAAATCCAGAGATGGTACGATACAAAGTCTGTGAACGCAATGAAGCCCAAATACGAGTACGAAGAGTATACTCTGGAGTAGCAGACTTGAATCCTAAATAATAAAACGGCAAATCATCGGCCTTGTTGTTGTTGTTGTTGTTGTTGTCATTGTTGTTGAATGATAAGTTGGTAGCTGTTCTTTCCGATGATGTCGTTGATGATGTATCCAGAGCTTCATCCGCAAGACATTGATCTTGAGCAGTCAAGTGAATAGAAGAAGGAGAAGTTTCAGCCATAATCTTGGTATCGTTCACAAAGTTATTCCATTCAAAGTTATACAGATGACGTAAATATTCCAACAGAGTGATGCGAGTATCTTTATTGTCTTGACGAATGATTTCACGTAACGAGAGAAGAATCTTTTCACTATAATGCGGTGTCATGACAGTGAATGTAGGCATCTGTGGTACAGGAACAGCTTCAGGCATGGGTGAAGCGAGACTGGAAGCAAGGAATTGAAGTCTACGTTCAGCTTCACTTTCAGGAGGATAATATTCTGTGTCGAACGCTTTATCTTGTTGGCTGACAAAGAATGTAGGTGGACTGAGAGTCGAATTAGCATCTTTGGAATTCTAAAGAAGAAGAAGAAGAAGAAGAAGAAAAGAAGAAGAATGGATTGTGTGAGTCAAAAAACAAAAAAAAAAAAAAATAAAAATTGATTTCCCTATGCTGCTATTCCCTTTTTTGGATGAATCCTTTTTTACCTGTTGATATAAAAGTTTGGCAACATGATCAGCAGATAATAAATGTTCACGAAACATGGACAATATCAGAGCATTCCAAATTTGAGAGCACATAGTTTTTGGATGACCAGCTGCTTCAGAATCAGGGTCCAGCAATTTGGCATAAATTCTTTTTGGCAATCTTGTGAATATATTTCTCCAAGGGGTCAGGATGGACATACCAACATAAAAGGAGTGCACAATTGAAAACACGGTATTCCAGATCACATACCATAGGTAAGTATCGAGAAAAAATAAGATCAATTCGGTGAGTATCATCAATACGCTGGTGATCAAAGGCATGGCTTGACAAAGAAATGTGGTGCATTCGAGGTGTAATGCTGCCACCAATCGTAAAGGATCCTTGAAGGGGAGAGCTAAAAAGAAATAGGATTCAAGTAATTTGCAGCCAAAAACACAGGACCACAGACCAATGGAAACTATACGATCTTGTCGACGTAATGGAGAAAATTCGAGAAAAGGATGCTCTTTTCTAATGGTCGGTACCAATAACTGCGCTTGAGGTGTCAGGACAAGAAAAACTGTAGTACCGATACCAAGGAGCAATTGGATCGTCGCAATGACTTTCGCGATAAGACTGACACGATCATACCAACAGCAATACACAGAGGGAGCAACATTCACTATCAGGATAATCAGCAAGAGTACCAAGCGTCGTATCAATAACCCAACTTGTTTCCAATTGACCAGAGGGACATACATGTATTCCATGATACTTCCAAAGATAACCAAAATCGTTGCCAATGCACCTCCTAAGGCAGTGATGGAGATGATGACTGCCAATTCATGTTGTCTATCCTTTTCATCGAGCTCATTGTTGATTATTACATCATTGATTGAATGTTGTTGTTGTTGTCGTTGTTGTGTTGAGTGGAGATAGAGAAAAGAGACATTTGGAACAATATAATACCAAAAGGAAACAATATGTAGAATCCAAATGCGAGTAAAGTTGACAGCCAAGTGTAACCAAGAACGTTTTTCCTTGAAAGTTTTTTTGAAAGCGTTACTCCATTGGACATATCCGAGGGCTGTATATCGTTGATGAGGTGGGTAATCCATCAGAAGTTGAGATCCATCAGAAGAAGAAGAAGAAGTTGGTAGAGTAGAACGTAAAGTGGCGATAGAAGAAGCAGACCAGAAAAATTGATTAATATCATCGTAACCGATTACTTGGGCATGATCACGTTCCTTTGATTGTCGCGTTGCAGTATGCTTGTTCGATGGATAATAGGATTGATCTTGAATAAATATATACAAAGGAGTCACCACCGATGTCAAATAGAATAGTTCAGAGGAAGAAGAAGAGGAGGTGGAGTGTTGTTTGAATTGTTTCGCCAAGTAAAAAATAAAACAGAGTAATTCAGGACAAAATCGTAATACGGATGCTTCTGACCATATCATCAACCATAATGCTAGATCCTCCAGTCGATCCAGATGAGAAATATTCTCCATTGTTTTTTGCCAATTGTGTTCCAGATCATTATCATCATCATTATCAGTGATCGTGAGTTGAGTCAAAAAGTACCATTTTCTATAATTAGCTTGAGGTCCACCAACATAATCAGCATGTAAAGTGACGATGGCTTGAGTTGCTGACATGCGAGATGCTCTAGAATCCAATAATGTCAACAAATGATCCATCATATTGCGCATACTATCCATTTGGAATCCAAAACTGGTTTGCAATGTCGAAAACAAATTGTGAATGGTCAGCATGTCAGGTATATCAGATGATGTTGATGAGGATGAAATTGCTTGATACCAGGAAGGATATTGTTCATAATCATCGATAGAAGTAGATGTTGTTGATTTGTCGTCAAATGAAGAATTAATTTTATGGCTTTTCCTCTTTGTTTCATCACATCCAATAAGAGCCAAAAGGGATTCAGAGGAAGGTGCACATTTTAGATATCGTCCAGTATCTTGAAGCTCTTGTTTGACTTGATCATAAAGTTTGATAGTTGATTGAATTGATGTTGTTGTTGCTGTTGCTACTGCGGCTGATGAATTTAATGAATGCGGTGCTTGTATTCTAAAACGATTTCGATTACTATATTGATCATCATTTTCATTCTTTTGGTTGCCTATAAAAAGAAAACGAGAAGGGAATAAGAAGTGGTTAAACAATTTAATATGTGTACTTACAATATTGATCATGATGACTAATATGAAAAAAAAGAAATATAAGAAAGAAAAGAAAGAGAAAGAAATGAATTTTTTATTCGTTTGTCCCCGTTTTGGACATCCCTTACATTGCATGTTCTTCCTGCATCAATGATTTATCGTGATTGGCTGACGAAGTTTGATATATAGGTAACTTGACATCCATTTGACATCCAATGAAGCAAACACTACTACAGTACAATTAAAAGAAAAAAAAAAAAAAAAGAAAAGAAAATAAAAAAAAAGTATGTCTTTTTATTCTAGTAATGAAGAAGAAGAAAAAAAAAAAAATAGGGGCAAAGATATCAGAGGAAATTAACTTGTTGCTTGATACTTTTTCATTCTTACCCCGCTTTTTCATTTACCATATCCCTAAAGCGCGATCCTTCTTTTTAAAATCCAGTCATTTGATTAAAAAAAAAAAAAAAAAAAAAAAAAAAAAAAAAAAAAAAAAAAAAAAAAAAAAAAAAAAAAAGAGAGAGAAAGAGACAAAAATAGGAAGAAAAAGAAGATGTATTATTTTTTTTTATTTGATAATAAAGCTATCTAAAATAGTCCCTCCCTATTTAACTAATCGCCAAAGAAGAAAACACAGACTTTGACCCAAAATCGCCACCTCCTGTTTCTCCACTTGAGATATAACATCCATACCATCACGACGACGTACTAACCATACTTGAATCCATCTATCTTGATTTATCAATGGAATACAAAGATGTATCATATAATCCATATATCTAGTATGATAAAACAAAACATGCCTATCATCTTTATAGATAATATCTTGACATCGATTAGGATACATGCATATAAAATCATCCAATAGTCTATTCATATCAGATTCTCTTGTTTGTAAATGAGTCAATAGTCGTACCAAATTCGGTTCTTGATATTCACCATCTACAATAGACACATGTTGAAATTTCCTCAAGAGTCGCATCCACCGATCTGATACTTGTTTTTGACCTTTTTCTGTAGTATATAACATTTTCCAATACGATCGTTGCTGACATGCATGAATCACCTAAAGACAAAAAAAAAAAAAAGGTTTATATTTTCATATATCATCATGATCATACATTATTTTTACCTTTGTAACAATAGCATCAATCTTGAGACGAGCATTTACTAATAATGGATTGTCTACCGAGGATGGAATAGTATTGGTGGCATCTTGATCCATCATATCAAAAGGATAAACAACTAGAAGGAAATATCTTAACAGGACAGTTTGTGGCATAGAGGATTCCGTCGAACTTTGACCAATTGTGGTAGATTGTTCCATAGGACATAAAATCAACGTATAGGATACATCAGAAGAGGAAGAAGAAGAAGTAGTAACGGCAACACATGTATTTCCTTCCATGATACGTGTAACACCATATTGACTAGCTTCATTGAATAAGTACTTGAAAAAAATACTTAGATCCATTTGGTCGGATTGTTGCTTGAGTTCATAAACACCACTGAATAATCGATTTGATGCATACTGAGCAGACGTATAATAAGGACAAAAGTGATCGAGAGTGGCTAAGAGATGAATTCCAGTAGGTAGTGATACATGATCATCAAGTTCAGTGAGTAGCTGTTGAAGGTAATAGATATGAAAGTCATATACAAAGGAATGAATATGAATCCAATGCTTCAATTGTCCCATACTTTCTTCGAACACCTTGAATCTAGCACGTTCAATAGTTTCCATAGGAGAAGAAGCACACCCAGTATTTGATAGTTCACGTGGTAAGCCATACAAAGACACTGACACAAATGTTCGAATAAACCGCACTTCACAGATTATTGATCCAATATCAAATACCTTGAGCAAATATGTAGATGGAAAGTCGATTGTTTGCCCGCCACCGATATCGAACGAAGATAGAATCAAATGTGATGTATCATCAGGGCTGATAGTATCATCCTCATCTTTCTCGTCCGACTTGAATTGCACCAGCTGAAGGTCCAATTTTTCCAGGTATTCCGAATATTTAACGACAAAATGATGAAGAAGTGTCCGATACCATTCCTTGGTTGTTGGTCCATCCGACTTTCGTTGCTGATCATCCTTGTTTGATTCAAAAAGTAAGAATGGTGCACGACAAAAATGCAAAAGACGAGAAAATCTCATGATTTCATACATTTCGTTCTGAGTCAATGTATTTTCTTCTTCTTCTTCTTCTTGTTGTTGTTGTCGTTGTTGTGTCAATGGTCTTCGTCCCTGAGCATAGACGCGTAAAGCCTTGTCATGTAAGGAACATAAAGTCGTATAATGTCGATAAGTATCCAAGAAAGGTTGACCATGACGCCGTAGGATATCATCATCATATAAATCATATCGATTTCCCCGATAAAAAGCACTATTTGTATTGGTGATGGCTGATAATGTGGGTTCGGCCATGGCATTCAGTAATACATAATCCAAAGCGCGATTGTCCATTGAGAACATATCTATACTGCTTCCTTCCTTTGTCGAGCTTCTACGTACACCCCATTTCCTTCTTCGATTTGTAATAGATGTGGTGTTACTTGCGATGGAAGTCGGTGTCGTCAAGATGGGTATGGGTATCCATGGCGTGAGAATTACCTGTTGAATGTTCATATCCACTCCTAGTATACTATCGATTCGACTACTTGGGTAATCATCTTGACTTCCAGCATTTGTTGACGTTGATGTGGTGACAATCTTGAGAGATGATTTTGATTTCTTCATAGAAGGCCGTGATTTTTTGGATGTTTCACTATCTTCACCGCCAATAAGAGGAGATGGTGCTGAAGTCGACGGTTCTGATGCTGTTTTTGTTGTTGTTGTTGCTTCTGCATAGGTTTTTGCAACGGATGACATGGATGGACCATGGTGAAAAAGTCCCATTTTTTGATGAAGAATATTGTCAAGTACATTGGATCGTAATCGTTGTTGATGGGCGACAGAGATCACATTTTGAAATATAGTCTGACTGTGGTTTTCTTGCCAATTATATGCATAAATATGAAGTTGACAAACGTCGATGATCATGATCAAGAAACAATGCTTTTCCGGATCAGCACGAGGAACCAGTGGAGTTGCTGATATTTCTGCAGTTGTTTTGTTGAGTGGGTGGACCGTTGCTGACGCTGTTGTACCATTATCACTTGTACTAGAGGCACGTGAACGATTTGGATGAGTTATTAGACCAGTAGCCACAGATTGTACAGAGCAAGTCGATGAAGGAGCAGCGGGAGTGATGGATGTTGGCTGTACAGGTTCACCTCCTGCAGTTGATGTGGAGCTTTTCCTAGAAGAATTGCTTTTCAAACTTGATTTTCGTCTTTGTGGATAATGAGGAGGATAGTAATAATGTCGTTGATGACGATGACGATGCTGAAAATAATAAGAATGCTGTTGTTGTTGTTGTTGCTGCTGCTGTTGGTACATTGATGATCGTCGATGAATAGAAGAACCTATACCACCAAATTGTTCAACAAATTCATAAAGTCCACTGATAGCTACCATTCTTATATTGCTTTGCACATTGTTTCTACAAAATACAGATCGACCATGGTATAAAAGCCATTCTGATGAATCATCTTCCATTTCTGATCTTGAGCATGTATTGTCCAGTCGTTTCCAGGTCACTGTGGGTTCCAATGACGGGTCCAGATGTATCAATTGATCCTCCAAATCTGAGATAACTTCCTTCATGCACCATGGCTGGATCTCCAATCCTTCGGGTGTACTGATAGAATGTACTGTTGGGTTTCTCCATTCAACGGATTTTCTAAGCATATAAATGATGGAATCGATGAATTTCTTCCGTATCAAAGTACTGAGTTGACGATGTGAGGATGGATGATGTTGTCGGCTGGTTGAAGATGACAAAATGGCTTTTTGTAAAGCATTCGCTTGATAGAGTACCACAGTTCCAAGATCGATGGTTACCGTTTCTTCAATAAAGTAATCACACAAGGCTTGACGAAAACAATTATGAATATACTGTAATAATATAGTCCCATCTACAGAGCCAATGGACCATAAATCTACCCAGATATGATATTGATCATCTCTAATCGTTGTCACCGATGATGATACAGAGGATGATAGACACAGATCGGATTCAAGACATTGACGAATAAGATCAGGATCAAAATGGAAAGTCGACGCTAGTGTGCGATGATGTGGTGGGAATTGAGTGATAATCGTTTCTTGGGAAGGTGTTAAAGGTTGTTTAGTCGCGTCACGTATAGTCATACATATTCCAGCCATTCCTTGTCCACATGCCAATTCAAGAGGACTAGAAACCCCAGGGATCCGTTTGGTACAATTGTAATAAAAACAAAGATCATCACGTCGTAGAATATCACTATACATATATGGAATCAGATGTTAGTCTATGGTTTACTGTTGTGTTTTTTTCTTTTTCTTTTTTTTTTACCTTTTCATATCGTTGTTATCCATATTTTGTTGTTCATGTAACTGATCTTCGTTCTTCAATGCACCATAAGATGAAGCATCAATGGCGGAAATAACACTTGGACCTTTGAATGGCTTGATATTGTCCCTCATCAAGAACCGTTTGAAAAAACCAAGTAATAACGAAGGTTGAGTTACCAAAGATGGGATACATAGAATATGTCGTTGAGGAGGCTTTTCACCCAATGGTAAAATAAATCGAACATCCTATTCAATGGAAAGAACAAAAAAAAAAAAAAAAATTCATAGAGTCAAACAATTGCCTTTTTTCTTTTGTTTTCCTTTTTTTCTTATTATATTATTTTACCGATGGAGTAGGTTTACTAGTTGGATTTCGGGCAAAGAAGGTTTGTAGTTCAACTAAAGTGACTTCAGATAAAAGTCGATTTTCAATCAGATCCACAAAATCATAGGTAATCCAATCGGGACATTCCAAGCCAAATACAATCATTTCCAATTCATTGGTTGTCACTGATACTTGAGTTGTCATTATAGGAGAAGTTTTTGTTGTTCCAGCTAATATATTCTTGCTGTCTTGAGTTTCCTTTTTCTTTCCACTATCTCCTTCGCCATCCATAGTCAAGTCATCAGTATACAATTTTTCATAGATCTTACAATAGACAATAGTACCAGCTCTTTCAACCACATAAATATCCGATCGATTGAGCACAGTGAAGGGTCGTAGTACATCGTTCTTCAGGTACCTTAGCGCCTTGTCTGAAGGAACTCGCCAATGTAATGGGAACACTTTTCGATATACATTAGGACATTGAAATTCGCCAGGTGAAAAATCCAGGTTTTTTTTTGCTATGGTATCCTTGTGGTCGTTCTCATCGTTGCTGCTACTATCTGATGCTGATGATTTTTCAGACGGGTGACTGGATGTTTCATGAACGGATGGAGCTTCTAAATAGGGACTATAAGAAGGGACAAAGAAGATAAAAAAAAAAAAACAACAACAATGAATATATTTATAATTCTATAAAGTTCCCTTTGATAATTTACCTGCAATATCTCTTTTCCTGTAAATCAGTCAACAATAGCCTTTGATTGGTTTGTCTTTCTACAGCAGAAATTTTGTTTGTTACGATATCCACAAGAATACGAGGTGATTGATCTGATTTCGAAAAGTAAAGAATTTGTACTTGATAGGGTTGAACGACCAAAAGAAGAAAGTAAACACCAGAATGAGAGACTGTTTGTTTCTCTGAATAATCTTCATCATCCACAATTGTTGTCGTTACTTTGCCAGCAACATCATCAGCAGTCATAAGAGTATCCGAAGAAATAGTATCCAATACCGGAGTAATGTAAAAATAATGATCTGTACGGATACATCCATCATCTTTGAATTGTTTTTCCAGAAGATCCATAAATAGAGAATGATATACAGAGAGAGAGGAAGAAACAAATTTCAAAGGTACTTGAAAACAAGTATCATAAGGTACAAATGAATGATATCGTGGAGAGATTAGTTGTTCTTCCATATATCGCATCATGTTGATCGGCATCAATGTCGCTGTTCCCCTTTCTATATCTTCTTGTTGTTGTTGTTGAAGCAATAAGATGCTATAAAGTACTTGTTCCGTAAAAAGCCATTCTACCCTTGCGACCATGTCAGAAAGAACGATGTGTTGTTCATTTGGCAAAGAGGAGTCGGCCAGCGATTTACATACCAAGTGTAAAGTGATATTATCGTCAGTATCATCATTTTTTGAAAATGTATCGGTCAAAAAGGATTCATTGCATGTCTCCATCGTATCGGTTATTTGTATGGTTTTGATAAAGGCGATGGGTAGGTCAGATAACGTAAGGGCGGTGGTAGTGTTGCCTGATCGCATATGAAATTCCAGGAATAAAGGTGTCTGAGCTGCAACACAAACATCATTCAGGTATGCTACTTCTTCATGGATTGTTGTAAGTGGACCCCAAGAACTCAGAGGTTGGTAATAAAGTATATCGGCTTTTGTTAACCCCATTCCATTTTCATCCGTTGTTGTCATAATTGGACAGAAAGAATGACTCAAAACTTGCTGCCATTGTTCATTCACTGTATCACTATTAAATTACAAAAGAAAATAACAGAAAACAAAAAAGGAACTCTGGATTAATAAACTATGTCTTCCACCATTTCCATTTTCATTCTCTTCTTACCATCCGTATAGTTCCATAAAAGCGAGCATTCGTACAAACTTGGTCAGATCCACTTTGAATACATGTTCTTGACAAATAGCGAGACTTTTAACTAAATCTTGATGATGAATAGGTAAGATAACAGGAGACGATGGTTGTTGCTGACGAAGTAAGGTCGAATAAATGGATCGTACAAAGGCATGAGAGTATAATCGAGCGATATGTTGTTGGAATAAGATTTTGGCTTTGTTGGAAAAGGACACGTTCGTTTTGTTGTTGTTGTTAATAAAAGGTCGAGGTTTGAAATGGCCAATTTGTAACTTCTTTGGCAGGAATGTTGCCGTTTGAGCTATTGACGACGAGTCTTTGATCACCGATTCCATCCATTCTGCCACGGTAACCGAATATATATCCACCATTTGTTCATTGTTTCCATCTTCTTCTTCTTCTTTTTCTTCTTCTTGCTGCTGTTGTTGTTCTTTTTGTTTTGACCGCATTGGTTTTTGTCGTGCGCATTCAAAAAAGTAGCATTGCACTTCTTCCTTTCCATAACGTTGTCTTGTTGTATTCTTATCGAGATAACATGTCACCAAGTCCTGGAGCTGTGGAAGTAAGACAAGTATCAAAGAACGAGGATCCAAGACCTTGACCCAACATTTTGTTTGTGTAAAGTTCGAAGGAAGATTGTTGATGATTGCAGATGCAGAAAGTGCCGTCCAGAAAAAAGTACCCGCATTATGTTGCTTCATAACTATTTCTCCATCCATCAGCGTCATTTCCAAGGCTGTTTCAAAAAAGAGATGTAGGAGACAATACTGTTGAACCTCAAGTGGTAATTTCACAATCTTGTAAGCCAAATGACCTAAGGGCGATAATGATATCGAAGAGTTACTCTTTTCCGTAGCCTTTTGCTGTTGCTGCTCGTAATTTGTTGTTTGGTTCGATTGCGAGACAAAAAAGTTGTTATCATTGTGATTGTGTTTGGGAACAGGCACTTGTAGCATTGGTGAATCAAAAGATGCAATCAAAAATCGATTGGTAAGAAGGACTGTCGTAATATCAAATAAATCAGGCAGTAGCATCATCACCATATCACCTACTTCATAGTCGTTTTCCACCATTGTAGTTGCTAAAGGAGAAGAAGCCTGGGTCGTTTTTCGCTTGAAATCACCTTTTCCTTTGGCACGGCCTATTGCATGAATTTGATCAAATGTCACCAATTGGGATATGATTTTCCGATCAGGTTGTAATGTCCATTCTTGAATCCAATTATAATAACTATGATATCGATAATATTCACCCTCTTCATCATCGCTACTATTATCATAGTTGTTTGTGGCTGCTGATGGTTCAACGAATAATTCCGTTATAATCCTGCCACCTCCATTTGTATCATCTTTGCGTATAAAATATTGAATCGCACATAAGGACTGATTCTTGTTCTCTTCATCGTTGGGATCCTTTTTCAATATATCGTGATGTTGCTGTCGATGATGATGATGATGACGATGGTGATGGCGAGAACGTTGATGATGATCTGTTTTTTCCAAATATGTATCCTTAGAAGGTAACACCACTTCTTGATAAAAATGGGTATTGTCGGGTCGAGAATATACGAGTTGATAACCCTAGATTTTCATCACAGAAAGGAAGGAATTTAGTTTTGACTTTTTTTTTTCTCCATGTATATGTATATACGTGCGTGTGTGTTTGTATTATTACCTGATCTAACCTTGCTTGACAGAGGAATTGAAAAGCTAAATCATGAACAGGCATCATATTGTGTTCACGATGATATTGATCTTGATGATTATCCGTTTGCCAAGACCAACTTGCATGCTTAAGATAGTCGTGTACCACATGTTCGCCCATCAACCAAAGTCCCACAGGCAAGTACCAAGCTGTTTTCTTCTTTTGTAATTGCAAATGGCCACTTGAACCGTTGGATGTTCCTTGAAGTCCATTTGAAGATGGTTTTCTTGAAGCAGTAGGATCATCTATGCGTTGTTGCTTTGATGATTTTGATGACTCTTCTTCTTCTAACTCTTCTTCTACTGTAAAATGTTCATCATCCCGTATCAGCAGTCTTGAGAAAGGACGATGACAGAGCTGGAGGCAAATACCATCATGTAGAAGAGGATGATGCTTCAGGAGATGGATCAGAGAGGCTTTGGTGTATTGGCGAAGAGTTTTGTCAACGTTAAAAAAACATAATCGTAGAGTAATCAAACGGCCATATTCATGCTGCACTCTAACTTCACAAAATGAGGGATGTTCTTGTAATCCTGAGATAATATCCAAGACGTTATTGTTTTTGACGAAAGAATCGCTAAAAGAGGATGTTGTTGAGATTGTGGTAGTACTAGAGGTTGCTGATAAAGTCATACTAGTAGCGGTACTTGTGCTGTTGTTGTTGTTATTGTTGTTGTTGTCGTCCTCATTGTTATCATTTTCGGATAGTGTCAGAGAAGGGGGCAAAAATTTAATCAAAACGGAAGGTTTCTCATCGTTCATATCGTTATCGCGGTCTGTATCCATCTTCTTATCGAGGTAAATGTCAGCCCATGAATTTGCCAAGACAGTCATAATAGTATCCATTGCACGTCGAATAATATTTTGCACGTTAGGAACAAAGGCTTGATTAAATGCCGAACTAAGTTTGGGATCCATATAGGGCGAGACTTCTCCAGCTAGTATATCCACACAATCCAAATCATACCAACATCGTGTATGCGTTTCTTTTTCCTTTATCCAAGTCGCCCAGAATGAGCAAAACCGAGTTTTTAATAAATCAATATCAGGTATACCCGGTAAATCAGTAACAGAAGTAGGAGAAGTAGTCGTCGTAGTCGATGATGATGATGATGATGACGATGATGAAGATGGGTCTGTTGTTGCTGTTATTGTTGTTGTTGTTGTCCAAGGAGAAAAGAAGAGTTCATTGGGATCGGTCAATCTGATCAAAGCATCATCACCTTCACAAAGAGAATTGAGATACGTTCTAAGTTTTTCCAATTTAGTATAAGCTTGAGCTGCTTGAGGTTCACTTTTGAAGAAATGACTGTATTGTGTAGACAACTGATTCATCATTGCAGTAGAAAGAAGAGGTCCATGTTCAGTAGTTGTAGCGGTAGCGTTGGTACCAGAAGATGTGAGTAGAATCATCATTTGAATACGACGTCGTAGAATATTCCAATTTTGTAACATATAGGCAAATTCAGCATCAGAACGTACAAAGACTTCAACACGAGGTGATTTTGCCCTGGCAAACAAATCTGCCCAATTAGATATAGAAGTTGTTGTTCGATAGTAGTAGCGATGTTGTTGATGAAGAAGATGATGATGTTGGTGACGATGGTGAGGAAGTTGAACTTGTGATGCTGGTAGTGGTAACCATAAAGCACGGATGCGATATTCAATAATCACATGAGGTTGCCAATGTAAAATCAAAGTGACCTGGATACGTTCGACGTTGGATGCCTTTTTTTGTTTCTTTTTCGTTCGGTCCTGGGTAATGTCGATTTTGTTTGAAGTTATGTTGTCAATAGGATGATTATTGGTATCAAAGAGGACAGACTGTAGATAAAAGCCTTCTCTCGCACGGGAAGCCACTATATGTGAGAATCGATCGGTTAAAGCATATTCACGGTAGCGTAACAATCGCCATTCCACGTCTGGAGCTTTGCCATCAGGATCCCAAGGAAAGTTGTATCTTGCATTAAAATCATTTCGTGATGTAGTATTGTTGTCCATATCGTTCATATTTTCTTTGTTTTCCTTACTATCCATATTTTCCGAAAGAGAAGGCGATGTCATTGCTGCTGTTGACGAGGTTGAAGAACGTTGATATGATTGAAAAGCTGTCAATGTCCTGATCTTCTCCAAATTGGATTCACGTAAAACAAAATGTCGATGATAAATATTTGGATTCAAGTTCCACCACCAATTGTTGTATAAAGCAGAGGACGCTTGTTGCATATCTTCATTTTGATCATTCTGTTTTGCCTTTTCCTTGTTGGTCGTTCGGGATGATTTTATAAATACAGGTTGTTCATTCGTAGATGAAGAAGAATGATCATGATTACCATCCTCGGGTCCAACTTCCGGTCTTGATAAACGAATGCATTCATTAGAATAAAGAAAGGTACCACCAGTGGCTTGAGTTAAGAACCGTAGTGAATCAACATCAGGAATAAAGCCAAAATTGCGTCCAGGGATAAAACTGTGAGGGAAGCCGATTAAAACTACATGACATGCAATATCTTGTTCAGCAAATTGACGAAAAATAGTATTGTCGTGTATATGAGCTTTCACAGCGCCATCAGTAATAATAATCAATTGAGATCGTCCTTGTTGAGGTAACAGACTGAGAGCAAATGCACCTGCATGAAGCATCCTGGATAAATTGGCACCTGTTTTTCCCATACCCCAGACAGATTTCTTTTTTGGTTTTGTTGTATAAAGGTACTTTTGTTGTTGTTGTCGTCGTCGTTGTTCTTCTTCTTCAGTACTATTTAATTTATGCCGACCTAATGAAGTAACATCACCAAAGGAAGATGAACGAGGTAAAGAAGTTGCATCAAATACACCCATATCGTCATAAGGTACTACACCATCATTGACATCCAAGTCATAACCCATCGTTGAACGTTTTTGTTTCATATGTTTCCGATGAGAAGTGGTATCACTTTGAAAAGCTAAGAATTCGTTGTACAATTCGTTGACTATATGTTCAATATTTTCTAATGTAATGATGACATTTTGAAGAAATACGCGCATGGTGGGATGGTTGACAAGCATTGGAATTACGTTGACATTTGAAGCAAATTGAGAACAATCAGCCAAAACTGTTAATCGTAGTAAAGGTCGAATCTATATCATTGTAAAGAAAGGGAGAGATAAAGTTGAGTGGCAAATAAAATTTATAATATTATTATATTCATTACCATAATTCTTTCTTCAGAAGAGATTTGTAAACAGAATGGGTGGACAACTCCTTCAAGAGAATTCCGCATACTAATAATAATAAAATATATAAAATCATTATATTATAGATAAATAAAAAGAAAAAAAAAAGTTTACGTTTTGAAGACTTCATGTAATAAGATTTGAGAACGAGTATTTCCAACGGTAGCCAAACTTGAGCTTAAATCCACAATATAAACTAAACGACATTCCTGGGTAACAGTAATAACATTGGTACGAGGAGTAATTATATAATACAATGGTGGATGTGATGAATCATTTTGTTTGGAAGGTTCCGTATGATAAGGTATTGATGATGATGGTGATGTTGTTGTTGTTGATAATAAAATATTATTACTGTCATCATCCTTGTATTCAGTCAACCAATTATGTTTTCGTTGATGAGATATATAGAGTACTTGCATCATCTACAACAAAAAAAAAAAAAAAAAAAAAATAAAGTAAATAAAAAAATATATGATTATTATTGTAATCACTTACCTCATTGATTTCACCTTGAGTAATAGGTTTTAATAAAGTTGATAATCTCCATTGAATATATTCATTCTTGGTAAAAATATGAGAAGTATCTAATAAAATAATGGCTGTTTTGGCTTCAATAATCTAAATAAATAAATAAATAAATAATAATAACAATAAAAAGTTAGTTTTATTATTTATATCTTTTTATTATTATTATTATTATTATTTTACTTCAATATTATCTTGATTTATTTCTTGATGTTCTTGTTGTATTTCTATTGTTTTAGTCGTTGAATCATTATCATTATTTGTATCCGAATGTTCTTTTCTTTTGGTGGATAAAGACATATAATTCTAATAATAATAATAATAATAATAATATAAAAAGAAAAAGAAAAAGAAAAAGAAGGGTTCAGTAGGAAATAATAATCAAAAGAATGTTGGTTGATTCGGAGCAACTTTTTTTTTTCCACGCGTGGGTTTTTTGTTTCATGCTGTCTTACCTACGGTATAAAAGTATAGCCGCCTCAAAGATAAACAAGATAAAGAACAGTTAATTTTTACATCAAAAAGATAGTTGACCTATAATAATAAACAAAAAAGAAAAAAGAAAAGTTAATTTGAATGAATGAACTGAATTGTGTCGAATTTTGAATAGAAGTGAGTTCCTTTTTTTTGTTTAATACGTACAATGGTCAAACAACATTCAACAACGTCCACCAAAATAAAAATATATAAAATGTATAATTACGCGTCATTTGGATGTTTATTTGAATAAATCATGATAATAATGAGGATATTTATGTAATATTATAGGGAAAAGAGATGTATACATATATATATATGTGTGTGTATTAAGCGAAAGAGAGAGAGAGAAAGAAAAAAGGAGTCTTCCCAACTTTTTTTTTTTTTTTTTTTGACTTCTGAAGCTCAAATATGATTGGACGATTAAGAAAAGGTTCCCCTTTTTTTTTCTTTATCAATAATAATTGCGTTTTTTTTTTATTTACTTATTTTTAAATGGGTAAAAAAAAGAAAGAAAGACTAAAAAAAAAAAGAAGAAGAAAAAGAAGAGAAAATAGTATTGTATATACACACAAGGAAAAAAGAAATATATAAATATATATATATATATATAAAATAGCTAAGATCAAGAAGCTTCAACATCAAAGAACATAGATGAACCATCCAAATGTTGTTGATCTAATTGTTTGACCATATCATCTTGTTCCTTACGATCAGCAGCTTCTCTTGCATCCATGATCTTCTTATATTTCGCTGTACGTACAAACTTGGGTACTGAATCAGAGGACATAAGACGACAAATATGATCATTCACTTGATCAAGCCATTTCAAAATCATGCGTAAACTAGATGACACTGAATGAGAGGAAATCACCAATGTATTCTTACTTGTTTGTTGACCTGGAATATATGTTGGTACTACAGTGACCATCGAATTCACTACACGCGCCATTTCTTGTCGTAACGAGTGTTCCACATTCAATTCACTTGCAGCACCAGGTTTCAAGTACGTTGCCCATAAATCATAGGCATCTTCCAATAGATCTTTTTGATTTTGTGATGGAAGCGCTGGACTTTGGTTACGAATCTTGCGTCGAAGAGTAGAATAATCAATCCAAAAGTCCAAATTCTCTTCACAGAAATTGTTGCGTAAAAAGTCCTTGAATAAAGATCTCAATTGAGCATCATCAAGTATTTGTTTGAGTTTGGTTGCATTGGATTCCTTGGGATCATTATTGTTTGCATTTCCTCCTTGATAACCACTATGCATCGATAAAGATGAAGAAACTGGATGTGATTGGACACTTGGTGCTGGGTAATCCATGGCTGTGCTTGGAGGTCTTGATCTTGCATTGAATCCGTTGTTAGTTTGATTGTTATTATTATTACTATTATTATTACTGTTGTTGCTGTTGCTAGAAGTACTTCCACTACTGTTTTGACTATGAGGAACAACAAGATCAGAGCTACTAGTAGTGGTGGTTTGATGAGTAGTGATCATCACGGATTCAGGATCTTGAGCCAACATTTCACGTAAAGTAGTTTCATCTTCTTCTTGTTGACGAGATGTTTGTTGTAATCGATTTGCTGCTGCTGTTGATGATGTTGCTGTTGTTGAAGAAGAGGATAAGGTTGATTCTTTACGAGAACTAATAGTACTATTGTTCACTCCACTACTGTTATTATTGTTAGATGATGACGATGATGATGATGATGCTGTAGTTTCAGCAAGGACTTGCTTTCCCTTTGGAGTGACAACCAGAATGATATTTTTTGATGCACGAAGGTATTGATCGGCATATTTGGCATCTTGACATTCTACCCAAGCATACTTGACAAATTCAGCCAATAAAGATTCACCTTCTTCATAACTAGATACAGTACTATAGTCAATCAGCCAATCACAAGCTAATTGTGTGGAAAAAGCAGTACGCATTTTTTTGCCCAATTTTGTTGCAGCAGAAAAAGTGACTTTTTGTTGTTGTTGTTGATTTTGTTGCTGATTTGTTTTGGATAAAGTCAAAAGATAATTTCCAAGGAGTTGAACACGAGAATCACCATTAACAACATGGGTGGACATGGCAAAAGGAGCAGCATTGGATGGAAGGGAAGAAGAAGCGGTAGAAGAACCAGAAGAAGAGACAGAAGAACCTGATGAAGAAGATGACGAGTTTTTATCTTCTTTCTTTTTTGATTTGGATAAAGGAGGCACAGGGATACCTTGTTGTTGTTGTTGCTGTTGTTGTTGAGATAAAAGTTCACCTTCCAAAGGTAAAGAGGTAATCATGACCATAAATATTAAAGAAACATTCTGTCGACCAAGCATCAATTGATCATCATCACTATGACGATCTAATCTAACCAATTGAATAGGAGGAATATCACTGAAATGTTTGCGCAAATTTGTCATATCCACTTCAGTTCGAATACAAAAATCTTGTAACACACAGAGCCCCTTAGGAGTCAGCTGCCAGATCGCCTTGTCACTGATTGTACCACTACCATTATTAGATGAATTTCTATTGCTGTTTGGATCCACGGCGTTTTGCATCAAATGACAAGCTTGGAATTGTGAGCATAAAGCTTTTGCCATGTCTTTTGCCATGTTAAAAGTCGTTGTAGTAGTAGTACGAGTAGTTTTATTAGGATCATTAGGATCAGGTGTACGCACTGTATGAGAGAAGCGTAATGAACCTAGAGCCATGATGGCGTCTTCGGATGAAAATGTATTATAGTAGTTCCGAAATAGGTAACGATGTGTTGTCAACGGTGTTTGAACAATCAACGCAGCAAACAGATCATGAATATCCTATATATGTGATGTTGATTAGTTTATATAATTCATTAATAATAAAAATAAAAGAGGATATACTTGCCTTCAAATATGGTCTACCGTCAATGGTAAATTTCATCATAGATGTATAAGCTTGTCTTGATCGATCAGATTCCATGATAATAAAGTAATAATAGCAATATTGAAAATGAAAATAATAATATGAATGATGTTGATAATGATGCTTTTTGAGAATACAAGTAATATAATGAAAATATATAAAATGAGTGAAGGATAAGAAAAAAAAAAAAAAGGGAAAAAAAAAAAGAAAAGAAAAGAAAAAGGTTAAAAAAAAAAAAAAGGAATTGAGGTTGATAAATGCTTTTTTTTTTCCCTCTGATTCCCAGGGAGAATTTATGAGATTATTGGATTTATCTAGAAAGAGGAGAAGTAACTATAAACGGGGTTAAACGAGGTTTTTTCTATATAAAAATGCAAGTAGTCTTTAAGGTAAATGTATGTAAATGCGTGATTGGTGAGTATTCTCTCTCTGTGTGCGCGTCTGTAAATATATTTGTATATATTTTTATATATATTGTGTGTGTGTATTACGTATATATGTATATATATTTATGTGTACATGTTTATATGTTTACGATACTTATTCAGGGGCTAAATAAGACAAAGAGAACCTAAAAAAAAAAAAGAAGGTTTGATCGATTCCTTTTTAACGTGTTCACCACTAAAGTAGAGCTTCTCATGTTGGTCGAAAACAGCAAGTAAAAACGCTTGGACCTTAGTAGGGAGACTGACAAGAGAGAGGGAGAAAAAGAAAATGGTTATCAACTCATAAAAACGCATATAAACATATACACGCGCACACACAATATAATAAACACACGCATACACTTTTTCACACAATTCACTTGCTCATTCGTATATACAATATAAATCTAGACAATTTTTCAATGAACGATATATATTTATCTTTCTTCACGATTAATTCCATCGTTTTCCCCTTGTTTGATGGATGGATCAATCTTCCATCATACTTGTCAAGTCATTTCTTGGTTCTTGTACTCAATTTGTATTAAAGTCAAGGGGTTATTTTTAGATTTATAAAAAAAAAAAAAAAGAACCCGTTTTTTTTTTTTTTATGTATTTATCTTGATCATTGGAAAAGCGGTAATGGATTCATGATGATATTACACTAGCTTAATATAAACTTTTTTTTTCTTCTTTTACTGATGGTTATAATGCTCCTGAATTCTTGTTATCGGACAGTCATCGTTCTCTCTCTCTCTCTCTCCTTTGATTTCCTTTTTCACCCCGTTTCCTTCTTTATTATTTTTGTTATCCAATACTCTTCGTCCCTCCTTGTCTCTTCTATTTTTTTTTCTTTTATTTGTATTGTCAACCTCGCTTTCTTCTCAATTTCTGATTCTACCCAAACAAAATCATCATCACTTTTTTATAACTAAAAGTTTAAACTGACTATGAAAAAGAGAAAAAAAAAAAAAAAAGAGGATTTTCATCTTCTAATATTGAAAAGTCATTGTGTATAACTTACCATTGTATAAAATCCCAATGAATGATTTTATCTCCTATTCTTTTATTTTTTTCATTTTTTTTTTTTTATTCAATGTAGCTTCTGTGGATAGCTAAGAAAAGATTCCAGTAGCCAACAAGTATTATTCATACGTCAAATCAACCGTTCTTTAGGGAGTAAAAATATGCAAAAATATGAAATATTCTCTCTCTCTCTGTAAACATCGTGTGTAATACAAATGCAGTTTGTGTTACCATCATAGTGGTTGTTTAGCTATTTATCTTTCAAGGAGTGAAAAGAACATGTCTATATACAGATGAATTGACACGTGGAGAAGTTCTCTCTTTTTTTTTTTTTTTTTTTTTTTTTTTTTTTTGTGATATTATTCTAGAATGAAAGATTTATGCGAATCGTAAAATATTTTCCTTAATTACTTTTCATTCATTGATGTGTTTATTCATTAACCTTGCAAGTTAAACCGTAAGGTTTCTCACTTTGTTCCCCCCCCCCCAAAAAAAAGAGAAAATATGATGTCTTTTCCCTTGTTCCCGTTTAGTACAATAAAAAAATTTGACAACTGATTATCATCATTTGCAACACAATCCCTTTCTTTTATAATAAATAAATGGAATGTCTGTTGCCATGATAATGTAATGATCATGACAAGAGAGGGGGGTCACGTTAAATATACTTCCATTCATCAAAACCAAAAAGAGATGAGTTCCGAATTCACATCCCCCCTTGTTTTTATCGTTCCGTAAGGTATCTTCCGTTCTTCTCGTTATCCTTGTTTTTACTCGTGCTTTTTTCTTTCTTTTTTTGTCTAACAAAGATATCGATGATGAGGGAACTGACGATAAACTTTCTTTATAACAGTAAATCAGAAGATCAGCTCCATATTCCGAAAAGTGGTTGACGTGAAGAGTTTCCTTTTTATTATTATTACTATTATTACTATTATTATTATTATTATTATTACGATTCAATTAGTAATGAATGAATAAATACAATGATTTTAGTGATGACGACTTTAAGATACTCTATAATGATACTGATAGTGATGATGATATTTACATTCTATAGTAAAAAAGAAATCCTTCTTCCTCTTTTTCATTTGTTCCGTTGAAGATCATCATGGAAAAATACCCCACAGGTAGTTGGTAGATCTTTTCATAATGTTAATCTTTTTTTTTTTTTTTTTGATTTTGTCGATCTATTATAAAGACCCTGTTTGTCTACAAATGTAATAATGTGTTGCTTTTCTGACAGATGGATTGACAGATCCTGATCAAACTGACAGATGGATCCTGCGGAGTGTCAATTGTTTGTTGGTTGTTTTTGTTTGTCACTCTGTGTTCAGTCTGCTATTTCTTTTTTTTTTTCTTTTCTTTCTTTGATTGATGCATATACAATGTCCATTCCTTCACTTTATGGAAAAATATTTGGAGTTGGATTAATAACAGGTGCATGTATGGAAGTGTTACTCATCAAGAGTAACTACTGTAAGTATACAAAACAGAATTACAAAACAAAAACAGTTATTTGCTTGAGACACATGTCATTGACCCTTAGATCTATTTTTATATATTTATTATAATGTAGATGGTATGTTGGTTGCATCGGAAGCCAAGGCTAGAATGAAGGAACTACAACAAGAACAAGAAGATCTTGAACGATTCCAACGTCTCACTTCAAGTGGAAACCAACAAGTGAATGATTCTTCCACCAAACAACAACAACAACAACAACAACAACAACAACAACAATAACAATAGTATAATGGTTGTAGTGTATTTGCATTTTTATATATATTCCTTGATTCCCACTTTATGAATAAACTGATAAATTACTATAAATCAATATAGACCAATAGAAAATGCATATCGGATGGACCAAACAGCTTACAGCTTCGTTCTCTTTTCGATTGACTTTTTCTTTTTTTTCTTTCTTATAGATGGTGATCCAATCTTGTCAAATAATTCTCTTACTAGATTTGGTGAATGGATGATGGTGTTATATTTCAAACCTCTTGAACAACACTATAGTGCGATCATCGTTAAAGTTAGAACTTTTTCATACAAAACCTTAGTTTATATATATATATATATATATATATATATATATATATATCAGTCCTTCTTACTGATTCTATGTCGGTTGATTTTTTTTTTATCATCACTTCTAACACAAACAATAATTGACAACAAAATGATACATTGTGACTTTTATACAATTTTTTTTCTTATTTATCAGTCTTACGTCTTATATTTTCATCACATTGTTTATGATCCTTATTCTTACTTCTTTCATAATACATCACAACCTTGTTTTTCATTATATAGTACATTATAACCAAATTTACATCCTCCATATATTGACTGGGATCAAGAAATCATCCAAGACAACTTACTCGGTACACAAGGGCGTGTGGTTCACATCATCAACATTATGATCAACATTACAGTCAATAACAGTAAGAACGTCATCATGAAAAGGTCGTCGTAGTTGCATTTGGAGCAGCATGGTTCAGCCATACTATGTATGTTCTGATTACTGGTTTGGCGGATCGGTATAGACAGGCTTTGAGCTTCTTTCGATGGACATTAATGAATACAATACAAGCCAATTTTGCTCCAACTGTGGTCCAAAAAACTTTGGAAAAGTTGCGACATGCGAAAACGTACGGCTGCACAGTGTGCTTAAACGCCAATCTTGCAGCACAGTATGGCAACGCGATGTCAATGCCAGTCGTCGACAGCATGATTTTATACAAGGATCGAAACTGGAAACATCGCCTTTCTTTATTCAATCAGCAATCTCCAGATCTTTATTTGACAAGGTAGCAATACTTACCACTATACTTATCTGAGAAGGCTCAGTACTTTTTACAATTCAGAAAAATCTACAAATGCTTACACGTATCAACAGCCCTGTTTTAGCACTATTGTCAAATAGTTGATCATCCATCCTTTACATTGATATATCAACATCTTTTTATTATAAATGAATTCATTGACAAATCTTGTCGTATGGTATGGCAACGAGATGTCAATGCCAGTCGGAACATCCCTAGGTATTGTCATATCGTTTGCTTACTGTCGTTCTCCATCCTCTCTCCTCCTTCCGCATACTGAAAATGCGTCGATGTTTAAATAATAACTAATAATATCCATCTAATTTGTATTTATTTGAAACTTAAAATGGAAATAAAAGTAGAAATTTTTTGACAGCTTTCTTTTTTGTATACCAAATGAAACGCGACCCGCAGTTTCAAATGCCGCCTCTTTTTTTTTTCTCTTATTTTTCTTTCTGAACGCGACGCCCTTTTCTTTTTTTTTTTCATTCTTTCTTTCACTTTTTTTTTAATTCTATATTTTACATATATCTTATATAATGGACGGTACGCCTTGGGGGAAAAGAACAAGAGAACATATCTTCGTATATGATGGGAAACAAGAGACTCACCTTTTTTTTTTTATTTATTGTGTAGGTTTCTTTCCTGACGATAACAGTAGTAGCACTACCACTCAAACACACAACAAAGTAAGAAGACATTTATGAAAGTAGAAGTTTGATCTCATATTTCCAATTTTTTTTTTTTATGAAAACAATAGAAAGCAAGAGGGGAACAATCATTACGTCCTGTCACTGTCAAACAATTACAAAATGTTCAAATGCCACAAGAAGGTACCTTTTTTATCGATGATGTCGAAATATCACAGGTAAAATATCATAAAATAAAAAAAAAAAGAGAGACTTATATTATATATATGTATATATAGATCAGGTTGGTAGGTGTGATTCGTGATGTCAATGAACAATCTACCAATGTCACATATCGAGTAGAAGATGGCACTGGTAGTATCGAAGTCAAGAAATGGATAGATCAGAATGAATCAAGTGCAGAACTATCACGTCGTTACGGATTACTGTAAGTTACGTCTATTATTTTATTCTTTTATCTCATACTTTTTCTTTTGTTAGACCGGATAAGTATGTAAGGATCAGTGCTCGACTCAATAGTTTCAACAATCGAATCAGTTTAATGGCATTTGATATTCGAGCCATCACCGATTATAATGAAATCTCATATCATTTGTTGGATGCAACTTACAATCATATTCGAAACTCAAGCACAAAGGTATGTCAATATAAAACGTATTCATACATAAACTCGAAACTAATTTTTTTTCCTTCTTCTTTGTAGGACTATCCTATGCAAGACGCTGCCCCTGTCAATTCGTTATTAGAAAAAGTGTTTACTGTAATCCAGTCCTCTGGTACTGATGAAGGTATCCATATTGACCAATTGATTAGCTCTTTCCATGGACAATACCCTGAAGCCCAGATCAGAGAAGCCGCTGATAACTTGTATCAAGAAGGTCGTGTGTACAATACTGTAGATGATGATCATTTCAAATGCACAGATCAATTTTAACTGTAGTTTATTTTTTTTTATCTTATTTTTTTTTTTTTATGCAATTTCAATCAATAAAAAAGAACTATTTTTTTTTATATATATCACTTTATTTTGGAATAAACAATAACAAAAAAATATTAATAATAATAAAGATATATACAATATAGAGTAGAATAGATTACATGATCAAATGAAAGCGGACCAGCCAAAGTACATTTGTGCCAAATTCTTGTTAGAAGAAGCTTCACGAATCAAATTTTCCACCTCAGCTTGCACAGATAACTGGGATCGGATCTTGGTAGAAATGGCTTCAATTTCACTTTGAGCTACTTTCTATTCTCGATAATAAAAAAGAAAAAAAAAGATGAGTGATGATAACTTTTGAAGATTCTTTTTTTTTTTTTTTATTACCTCATGAGGTAAACCAATATATTTCCGACGGCAATCACCAATAGGATCATGTAAAAAGGTTTCAAACACACTGATGAGTTGCGTACGATTTTCACGAAGGACATCTAAAGTGATCATACATGATTTCTTAAAAAGGCCAGCTTCTTTAGTCACCCCCATCGCATCAATCAGATTACGAGTCAGACGAAATGGAACTGTTTCAGGTACAGCAAGTTCTTGACCTTGATCGAATAACATATTGACATCCACATGGAAAGTATCACCATTAGTAGCATCGAACATCAGGTTCTCCGCATGTCGATCACCCAAACCAAGAACATAACCTACTATCGACATCACCGCCAATGTGCGTACATATCTTGATCGACTGGCAAACCATTGTGCTGGCTCTGGGAAATTGTCCAAAAACCATTTGTAGAATACCAAAGGACTATGAGGATAAATCTCTTTCACAAGAAACCGTGTCTTTTCTTCCACCAACGCATTATTGCTCATGCCACTGCTTTTGTCGTGATGTGCCTTGATCGAACGTCGAAGTCGATCCAAAAGTCGTGCTCCATCTGTTCCTTTCACATTCCATAAATCACACACGATGGCCTTGAACGAATTCAGATTGTTGATCCATTCGATCAAACCCCATTTCTTACCTAAAGGAATCACTGCATATGTTCGAATATCTATTATCACATAAAAAAAAAGTTCAATAAGATGGAATTAAATTTGATTTTATGTTAGATGTAAACTTACAGAGTCTTTGTTGACGAGAGATAGCATTCTTGGTCAAGAATTTATTAATCATATGACTAAATTCCATCATACGAGCATCCTTGCGTAAATCATCATTGGCTTTACATAAGAAATCGTACGTTTTACCATCACTACCTTTGAAGGAGAGTCGTTTTGGTTTTTGTAAAGAGTTCATTACTTGCATTGTAGGAAGGACACGGACAATAGTGGGTAAGTCGGTCGGATAAGGTTCGTGCTTGTGAGCATAAAGCATACCAGTAGAGGATGACAATGGGGAGGAAGAGATAGATTCAGGAAGACTAGGAAGGAGTGCCATTTCTTGAGGAATACAGATATCTAAATCTTCCATTTGCAATAACCCATGATATTTGGATAGATTACCATGAGGAGTAGGTTGTATATTTTTTTCTTTAGCCACCATTTCAAGATAGCGAATGAATTCCCTTGTTTGCTAATAAGAATAAGAAGTAAAGTGGTGAATAACTTGTTTTTTTTCTTCTTATTCAATAACTTACATGAATCACTCTTGTCACCAGTGAATTGGGTTGAATTTTCTATAGTATAAAAACCGTCAATTTTTTCTTTCTATGATTATATATATATATATATGTATATATGTATATTTACCTCTGCCTGCTGAAGAATAGAAGAGGATCGAGTTTTCATATTGATATCATCTGAATGTAATGCAAGTTGTAATGCCCAAATGGTGGTTCGAGGATAAGCCAAAAAAACAGAAAGGATGATTTTTGCCAAAGTCAACGCCACTTCTCTATCTTCAATAGCCAATCTTGATACCAATCTCGGTAAAGTCAATCCAAACTATTATGTAATAGTAAATGAATAAAGTGGTATCATTATCATCATCATCATCACTTACCAAATAAGGAGGAATTTTATCCACAGACATCAAAATACATCGATTAGCACTGGTATAAGCATCATGAATGGCTTCATATAAGTTTTCATCGACTCTACGAATAATAACAAAAAAAAATTATCAACACCAATGTATATAATTTTTATTTTTCATCACACTTACTCTTTTGTTTGTTGTTGTTCCCTAATATCACGTCTGGATTCTGCTATTTGTAACCATAGAGATAAAAGTCGAGGCATGGTGCTGTAATAATATCTGGATCCAATCTTTAAAGCATCTGCATAAAGAGAAATGGCTCCCTTTGCACGTTTAAAACTATCAAAAAAAAAAAAAAGAAGAAAAGTAAAAGAATTAAAAATATAACTTTTTTTTTCTTTTGTTTCTGAAAATGAATCATATTTATATGCTTACAATAGAGGATCCTTTGTAGATATTCCACCACGGCGTTCTTCAAAGGCTCCACTGAGATAAAATGCCTTTTCCCAACTATAGAGAGAGAAAGAGAGAGAGGAATCATAAATATTTATCTTTTATATATATATATATATATATATTTATCTATACATACGTTGGTGATTCTTGCCTGATTTCAGTATAAAGTTTAGTAATCTTACGATATTCTAAAACTTGTCTATCTGGGGAAGATCGCCGGTGACCGATTTCAGAGTAACGAGCATATAAAAATTTGGCCTTGATATTACCTTGTAACCGTGGATCTAGTAATCTCTGAACCGCTAACTTGATATCCTTTTTTTCATAATACCATTTTGCTTGTTCTATCAGGGCCAAAGGTTCAATATCAGGGTCGATGGTATAGATGATCTGTAATGCTGTTGTCATATCCTTTTGTTTTCTTGCCGTTTTCGCTAACAAAAGCCTTAGTTCCCTTTCCGTTCGAGTCATTATCGTTGGTGTCTCTTTCTTGATATCCAAGGATGGCTGTTGCCAATGGTTGTTTTTCCTATGATTTTTTTTTAAACAAAAAGATCAATGATTTATTTTATCAAATACTTCATTTTCACTTACCAAATCCCAAACTCGGAGGCAATCCGTATATCTAGTAATTGTCGTTGAGTATGATACGAAGGCTTGACAAGAGAGAATTTTGTTTTCCACAACAAGAAATCACTATCAGATGCATCATCAATCATACAACTTATGTTATTATTATTCTTGTTGTTGTTGTTGTAATTTTCAAATCGGCGTTCAACAATTGTTTCCAAATCTTGTAAAAGCTGTAATCGTAAAACAGCATCATAGGAATGTGAATAGGCCCGAAAACTATTTTGACAGATCTTGGCAATTTGATTCATCTTTGCATGTTGGAGATCCAAATAAATAGCCAATTGTTTGTTGGATTGCATATGAGCCAGCACACGCGCTACCGATGCATCAAATGTATCTTCCATTGGTTGTTTGACACATTCATGAAGTAATTGCCAGTTAGATGATTTCCATGCCGCCTCCGCTCGATATGCATTGACATGTTGTAACATTATAGATTGTTGTTCCATCATACAGTTTTGTTCTCCTTGTTGATCTACAATACTGCCTGCGTGATTGATGATTCGATCATAATCCCCTAGATGACGTAAACAATTGAAATATCGATCCATGAATAAAAGTTGATCTTCTTGTTGTTGTTGCTCTTGCTGTTGTTGCGAATGAATGTTTTTCTGCGTTGTTGACAAAGTTGCTGATGATTGTGGAGACTCTAAAAGAATGTTTTCATAACAGAGTTTGGCATATTGATATTCTCCACGACTTTCAAACCGAAGAATTTCTTGTGTACGAGTAAACGAAGGATTGAACTTTGACAACACCACCGACATGATTTCAGGACCTTCTAAATGCATATAAGTCTGACATAGATCATCAACATCCTCAGCAGGAAGATTATCTTGATTTTCCCTATATAAAAGTTCCATATGCATCAATGCTTGAGGGTAATTTCCAGTTCGAAATGCTGCTTTGGCCATCAGACTATTGGGAATACAATTTAAGAATTTGCGCACTGTATTGATTTCCATGTCTTCACGACTACTTGTATATTTCAATTTTTGTTTCTTTTCTTGCATTTTTTGTCGGATCCACGTTTGACAATGATTTGTAATTGAGACCACCATCTATTTAAAAAAAAAAAAAAACAATATAAATTTTTACTTTTCTTTTGAAAAAGAGAGGTTACCTTGAGAGAACGTTGTTTCATTTCAGGACCAAAATGATCACATTTCAATACACCTAAAATTTCTTCCAAAACTTGTTGTCGATCTCTTGCAACAGGATCAGCAGAAAGAAGGACACGAAGCACCAAAAAAGGAATCAAATGTTGTGTCAAAATAGTATGACCAGCCTCTACGGATGGGATACATGCTTCAAAAATGCGAACCATTTGCGTCTCCACATTTACTGAACTTGTGTTGGATGTTTGTTGAATGTTTGTTGATATCGTTGAAGTGATGATCACCTTTCTATATAAAAAGCCATAAAAATAACGTAACCAATCATCAAAAGAATCATTGGCGACTTCGTACAATGGTAGTGATCGTTCAGCGAATTGAATATCGGCGGAAAAGTTGGAATAGAATAAGGGTGAAAGAAAACTTTTTACTGTAGAATCTAATGCTGACCACACGATATTTGCTTCATTTTGCTTTTGTTGGATGGTGTTGGGTGTAATGGCCACTGCTCGAAGTAATTGTTGAATAGCATATTGACTTGATTTTTGAATCATTTCATCCATTTTATGTGTTGTCGATGATGAAGATGCTGATATTGATACAGATGATGTTGATTGGTTAGATGATCCTACAGATCGAGGTGCTTGGAGTGTAGGTAAAAAGTAGTGTAATATCAGATGCATGACAAATGCCTGATTTTCCCCTAATTTCGAATAGTTTTCCAACACAATCATGTCTCTATCATACAGTTGAGATTGGATCCTAATATTATTCCCATCATCATCATCATTGTTGTTGTTTTGACATTCTTCTGTCTTGATTTTAATCATCAATTCTTTTCGCTGTGTTGCAGATAAAAGTCGACTTGGATCAATGGCACCAATAAGTCCTAAACAGGCAGCAGCTAGTCCACATAGATCTTGACGATACGAGTTCTGTTGAATAATGCGTAAAAGTAATTGATATAATTCACCAAGTAGAGGTCGGATTTGATTCGTATTTCCAGGAGAGTAAATGATGTGTTGATCGCGCGAGAGAATCCGATACAATTGTTGTAATGAATCAAAAGATGGTACGACTTCGTCCATGGACATATTCACAATCAATCTTTTCAATATATCTTGCTTTTTTTGTATCTCCAAATAGTCCACTGCACTACTGACCATTGGTACTGTGTCACTTTCATCATTGTCGTTACCATTGTTATTTCTTTCTTCCATAATCCATTGTCGTAAAGGTTCTAGTTCTTGATAATCGGGCAAGTCAGGAAGGTCATCCAAGATCGATGGATTATTATTAGTATTATCAGATTGAACAAAAAGTGATTTGATAGCATGTGTCAGATCGTTGGTAATTTTCAGTTTTGTTTCATGATCGCACAATGGAAGAATATGAGCCATACCACGTATCACATTGCTGAACAAAGGAGATTTCCCGTCCATACACGAAAGAGAGAGTAATCTATTCCATAGCAAGTAGTATGCATTGCCATCTCCATCTGAATGATAACAGGTATGTTGATCCATTTGAGCCGTGGATAGGACCTTATGACAAAAAAAAATAATAATAGTAAAGTTCGTATGAGTTATAATATATTTGATTTTATCTATCTTATATATCTAGTTACCTGAGGAATGAATTTCGATGCTCCAGGACCAATAGTATCCAAAATAACCACCAAAGAAAGTAGAGCATTTTTTTGATCGGAAGAAGGAAGTGGTTGCGATAAGATTTGGTTGATATGACTAAGAATACCAAGCATATAGAATTCTAGATAATCAGCCAATGATTTTGTATGATGTCCAGACCAATCCTTGACCTTATTCAAACCATCTATCACCTGAAGAAGAAAAAAATAAAAAATCAATGTCAAGTACTGTCACGCTTTCCTTTTTTTATTTACGACTTACATGTTCATTGTTGGGTTGATAAAGTTCAACAGAGAGCAAAGCGGTAATACGAGTAACATGACTTTCCATCAATCGTTTTGGTAGATCGTCTAATGATAAATTGTCGTTTTCTGTTCGCGTTTCGTGATCTCGCTGTATATAAGCGCGTAGTGAGTTGAAAGTATGTTCCAATAATAAAAGACGTTGACTAGTAGGTGTAGAGACTGGTAACAAAAGACAATAAACAATGGCTAAATAACCATAATCCTGATACAACTTTTCCGTGGTGGTGAATAAAGTACTGGCAATGGCATTCATCAATATGTTTTCCGGTATATTTGTTGTCACTGTTGGTACTGTATCTTTGTTACTGTTGTTGTTGTTATTGTCGATGTGTATGCTTGGGATGGGCAATTGTAAAGCATAAGGAACGACAATATGAATATGATTGTAGATATATCTTGCCAAACTTTGGTCAAATAAAGATGCCACTGTCGTACACACATTATCTTTATTGTCAACACTACTGGGAAGTCGATCGATGGTGAAGAATAACAAAGTGCGTTGTTGTTCAAAAGAGAGTTTGGTAGGTAGATCTCTTTTCAGTTTCTTAGGCAAGGATGAAATGATCTTTCTGGCCACGATACATTCTTCCTTTTGTATCGCTTCAATTGCCTTGATCACATAATCCATATAGTCAACAATCGTAATTGTAGAGGAAAAAGAGGGGAAAGAAATGGTGAAGTTGGTAAAAATTTCTTTTTTTGTTCGTGATTGCTGACTTTGAAATGTTTTGTATAAGAGAAAAAAAGATGAGATACCAATGTAATAATAATAATAATAGTATATGAATAGTGATCAAAAAAAAAAAAAATTTATTGAGATTTCAAGAAGAGGAAGAAGGGTTTTCTACAGTACGAAAGGCCATCTTTTTTTCTAATTCAGAGACATCAGAAATAGGAAGACCACAAGTGAAATGTTCACAGATATAAACACAAGGTGTCAAAGAAGAAGAAGAAATATGTTGATTCTTGATTTGAGCAATGATTTCATTTTGAGTGCATAACCAATCAGTATCCTTCCTATTTTCCTTGTTTAAAGTTACCAGAAGCTTGTTTGGTACATATGAATCATCAATTTTGTTTGCCAATGTAGAAGAAGTACTATCAGTTACAAGAATCAATTCTTTCACACCATGATGTAACAATAAAAAGGAAGACACCATAGCTGGTAGAGCAAAAGGAAATTTCGAAAGTCCAAGTCGAAAAGATTCAATTGTCTTTTTTGCCATTTCCATATAAAGTGATTCCTTGCCAGTCAATAAAGTAGATAAACGAATCAAATTGCTTGCTGAGACCGCATTTCTATATATAATAAAAATTTATTTCTTATTAAGATGTTTTTTTCTTTTAAGTATACGACAGAAATATACTTACATTGAAGGTTCTGCACCATCTTGTTCCTCTTTCATCCGTAATAGCACTGAAGCATCATGTTCCGCCACATTAAAATAACCACTATTAGTTTCATCATAGAATAACTTGTTTTGTGTGTCTTGTAAATCAGTAGCCCATTGTAAATAATGATCCTTCCCTGATGCTTGATACAGTTGAATTAATCCATCGATCAAGAAACTATAATCGTCACCAAATCCTTGAATAGAAGATGGTCGTCCGTCTCGATAACTTCGAATAAGAATCTTATTCTTCGGATCATACATATGTTGATAAATAAAGTCTGCCGCTCGAATCGCCAAATTGAGAACATCTGGATCATGTAGCACACTAAATGCTCGACTTAATCCAGAAATCATCAAGCCTATTATTATAGAAAAATGAGAGATCAGTAACTGTATTTTCTTTTTCTTTTTTCTATTTTTTTTTTTTTTTAGTTACCATTCCAAGAATTGATCACTTTATCATCACAATGAGGTTTAGGTCGTACAGTTTGTCGTTGTTGTAATAAAATCTCGTTACAGGATTTGATACGCTTTTCCGCCTCTTCTAATGAAATATTATGATTTTTTGCTAGTGTTACTAATGGTGTCTTGATGTAAAGTACATTCTAATATGTATATATATATTTGAAGTAAAAATGTAAATATATCATATTATCCTATTTTTCTTTCTTTCTTTTCTTTTTTTACCTTATTTTGTAATTCATTGTGAGGATCTTGATCAGGATCAACATTGCCTTGATCCAAAATTCCATAATGTTCTTTATATAATTCTACATCCTTGGGATCCAATAGACTCTCTATTTCTGATGCTTCCCAAACACAAAAAGCACCCTCTAACAAAATTCATAAAATAAAAAAAAAAAAATTAAAGAGTGTCAGTTGACAAAACATATATTTCTCAAAAATAAATAAATTTAAAAAAAAAAATTACCTTTTTTTGCCGTTGCATTGGTGGAAGGTAAAGAATCAGCATCTTCTGCAGAATAGAAAGCACCATCTTGTTGTAACATATCCCGTTTGACATAAAGAATAATATCCTTAACAATATCCAAAAATGAATCATCCTTAGTCAATTGATAGGCAGAAGTATATAAAGTCAATAGTTGTGCTTGATCGTATAACATTTTTTCAAAGTGAGGTACATGCCAATGATTATCAGTACTATATCGATGGAATCCATTGCCTACATGATCATGAATCCCTCCTGCTGCTATATGTCGTAAAGTAGAAGTTGCCATAGTTAAAGCGTGATTGGCTTGTTCACCATATTGTGTTGAATCTTTATTGTAATAAGCATAATCCATTAAAAATAAAAGTTGAACAGGAGTTGGAAATTTGGGAGCACTACCAAATCCACCATGTTTCGCATCATAGGAATTTTTGAAATCATCATAAGTTTCTTCTGCAATTTTTATTGGATCTAAAGCATTTGAAATAGCTGGTTTGGCCTAATAATAATAATAAAAAAAAAATATTAGTTTATAAGTTTTTAATAAATAACTAAGAGGATATTTTACTTCAATAAATGTTTTTAATTGAGAAATTATATTTTCACCACTTGAACGAACTTTATCAGGAGATGACATCCAAACTTGAGCGATTCTTGTAAGAAGTGTTTTGAAACCAGGTCGATCTAATTGATCTTGAGGAGGAAAATAAGTAGCACCAAAAAATGGATATCTTTCAGGAGTCAAGAATACTGATAAAGGCCAACCACCACTACGTGAAGTATAAGTTACAAAAGACATGTATAATTTATCCACACCTGGATTTTCTTCTCTAATTAAAAATAAAATAAAGATTAAAAATAATCTTCATAAAAAAAAGATGTTTTATTACCGATCCACTATAGATAATAATAAGAAAAAAGATGAGTTTATATAATATTGATTTGATTTTGATTGATTTTTTTTTTTTTACCTTTGATATTGACATAATATTTATTCATGATTTCTGCAATATCTTTATTTTCAAATGATTCCCTTTCCATTACATGACACCAACTATATATTAATATAATATTAATAAAATAATAATAATAATAATAATAATAATAATAATAATAATAATAATAATAATAATAATAATAATAATAATAATAATAATAATATTAAATATTGAACTTACTGACAAGTACTATATCCAATACTTAAAAAAATAGGTTTATTCTCCGTTTTAGCTTTTTCAAAAGCTTCTTCACCCCAAGGATACCAATCAACCTAATTTAAAAATATTAAATTAAAATTAGGTCATTTTATATATATATATATCTATATATCTTACTGGATTATGTGCTATAGAGATTACAAGTAATAGATTAGTATTGTTGTATTATTATTGTACATTTATATATATATTACCGTGTTGCTAATATTTAGTATTGAAAAAAAAAAAAAGAATTGTATCAGTTCTTTTGTTTTTTTTTTTCTTTTGTTTTTTTTTTTCTTTTGTTTTTTTTTTTCTTTTTTTCTTTTTTACTTCTTTACCAAAAGATAAGGACTTGTTTCTGTTGCTAACCTATTTGTATATTCTTCTGTCATTTTCCAACGTAAAGAAAGTGAGAGAAAGAAAGAAAAAGAGAACAGAAAAGAGATAATATACTTTTCAAAGTTTTTTTTTCGGCGGTGTTGGAATTTTCATAAGCAATCAGGCGTTTCAGAATTACTTTTCCTTTTTTGGTCTACGAGAACCCTTCAACTTTTGTATGGATAGTTTCTAATATTTGAGTCGAATGAATCACGTTTACTTTATTTATCATAATGGGTTAGGCGAAAAGAATAAATGGTTTGCGGAAGTAAATAAAATAGTTTACATGGAATGAAAAAGATGATTAGCGTCGTGTAAAGGGAATGAAGAACAAAAGATGGTAGTTTCAATGGATCACAGAAGGGAATGGTGATGCCGAAAAATAAAGGGTATATTAGCAATAGCCTCCTTCACTTGTCGTAGTTTGTATAAATATAGGGGTATCAACAATTGTAGCAAATGGTCCATATTGTCAGTGGAAAGAGGTAAAATCTCAATTGATTGAAAAAAGGGTGATTGTTTAATAGTCGGTAAGTAGACAAATAGTAGCAGCAACTTCCATCGGGTAATGCGCTGTCACCAATGCTATAATCGTTGTATACCCGGATAGGTCACATGATTTTTGGGGGGATTGGACAAAATAAGGGTCACCCAATCTGTGTGAGTGGGTGGAGATTCAAAAAAAGAAAAGAAAAAAAAAAAAAAAAGAAAAATAAAAAAAAAAACACCATTTTTTTTTTCTCCTGTTCTAAAGCACCATGGCACAAAAGTTTCGAGCTCTTTTAGATCTATGTAAACGTCGAGGGTTTTTATATCAATCAGCAGAAATCTACGGTGGTTTACGAGGGGCATACGATTATGGACCTTTGGGTGTGGAGCTAAAAAAGAATATTCAACAATCCTGGTGGCGACATCACGTTTATTATCGGGACGATGTGGTAGGATTGGATACAAGTATTATTACCCCTCATCCTGTACTCAAAGCATCTGGTCATGTGGACGAATTTTCTGATCTTTTAGTTGATTGTATGTTAACCAAGGAACGATTTAGACCTGATAAGGCTCCTGAACTTCATATTACAGATAGTAAGGTCTTGGTTCAGGCACCTGATAAATCTACAGCTAAATTATGGCAACAACATATTACCGAACAATTGGCTCCTGGTATCAAAACGATACTTGATGGCAAGAAGATTTGGCTTCCTTTGATATCTTTTACTTCACCTTCTCATGGTCAACCTGGCTCTATTGTATTCGCCATGAACAACAATGATACCACTTCTCCTTTGTCTCTTCCTTACCATGGTTATGTAGAACCTGATAGTTTATCACCTTTCCTGACACCTAGTCGACCTTTTAACTTGATGTTTAAAACATTTCTTGATCCTATTGATCCTGTTGAACGCATTATTCAAACCACACAACAACATAACAACGACAATTCACAACAAACAGTACGCGAAGCTGTTGATCAAGTATTACGACCTTCTACAGTTTATTTGCGACCGGAAACAGCACAAGGGGTCTTCATCAATTTTGAACAAGTGACACGCACCATGAAACTGAAACCACCCTTTGGTATTGCTCAGGTGGGTAAATCCTTTCGTAATGAGATCCGACTAGAACATGGTATTTTCCGTACACCTGAATTCGAACAAATGGAATTGGAATACTTTGTTAGTCCATGGACAGCTTCACATTGGTTTAATTATTGGCGGAAACTACGCTATGATTGGTGGTTGACTCATGCTTGTCATCCAGAAGACTTTCGACAACGTGATCATGAAAAGGATGAAATGGCTCATTATGCAACTGGATGTACTGATGTGGAATTTAAATATCCTTGGGGTTGGGGTGAAATCGAAGGTGTAGCTCATCGTGGTGATTATGATTTGACTCAACATATGAAGAATACAGGTGCTAACTTTGAAGTGACAACCACAGCAGAGGATTTACCGCAAGAAGAAGAAGAAGAAGCATTGGACAAGAACAAGAATAAGAAATATGTACCCCATGTGATTGAAAGTTCGTGTGGATTGAATCGTGCCATGTTAGCCTATTTATGTGATGCTTTCCATCAAGTACCTGATCCTGATAATGACAAATTACCACCAAGAAACATTATGAAATTACATCCACAATTAGCACCCATCAAATGTGCTGTGATGCCATTGACAGGTAAGCCAGAATTTTTACCTATTGTACAAAAGGTAGCACAATCCATTCGACAACGTGGCTGGAATACCATGGTGGAAAGTCAAAAATTGAAGATTGGCAAACGATATTATCGACATGATGAAATTGGAACTCCTTGGTGTGTAACAGTGGATTATCAAAGTTTAGAAGATGATACAGTAACCATTCGGGATCGTGATTCTGGTGAACAACGTCGATTACCTTGGAAGGATGTATCTCGATATATGGAACAACATCTTTACTGATATTGGATGATCTTTTTTTTTGTTATTATTGTAGTTAGACTTTATATATAGTTTTATTTCATCATAGTACCTATAGATCATATAGAAATAAACCTTTTTTTTTTTTTTTTTTTTATCTTTTTCTCTTGATGACATTCTTCCCCCACGTTTTATCAATCCACCCCGAATGTTTGTGACTCAGTTGGAAGCGTGAGAAAAAATTCCCCTTTCAAATACCAAAAAGGTGGGAAATTGTTTTTTTCTTTTTTTCACTTCCTCTCTCTCTCTCTTTTTTTTTTTCTTTTTACCCTTCATCCATTCCCTTTATAATCATGTTCAAGTTTTGTAATCTTGCCACTGTAATTATCAACCACAATGAGTATTTCTAAAAAAGGTACTAATTTATATTATTATTATTGTTATTATTATTATAGAGAACAGCCTTGAAGGTAAAACCTAGTTCTTATGCTCGACGATGGGCTAGCTCTTCTACTTACAATGCTGCTGTTGCCAATTTGACTGATGACCAAGAAGAAGTAATTATATATAATAAATAATAAATAAAAACCAAAATATTCTAATGACTCATCACTTTTTTTATATTTCTTTATTTATTAGCTTCGTGAAGCTGTTCATTCATTTGCTCAAAAGGAATTAGCACCTCGTGCTGAAGCTATTGACAAGGAAAATGCTTTCCCAATGGATATGTGGAAGAAATTGGGTGATATGGGTTTATTAGGTATCACTGCTCCTGTTGAATATGGTGGTCTTGGTTTGGGTTATTTGGAACATACTTTTGTCATGGAAGAAATTTCTCGTGCCAGTGGATCTGTGGCTTTGAGTTATGGTGCTCATTCTAATTTATGTGTCAATCAAATCGTACGCAATGGCAATGCTGCTCAAAAAGAAAAATATTTACCAAAGGTAAAAAAATAAATAAATAAATAATCGTAATAATAATATAAAATATTTATATATATAACTCATCCTTTATTTTGAACTAGTTGATCTCAGGGGAACATGTAGGTGCATTGGCCATGTCTGAACCTAATTCTGGTTCTGATGTTGTTAGTATGAAATTACGTGCAGAAAAAAAAGGTGATCATTATGTATTGAATGGAAACAAGATGTGGATTACGAATGGTCCTGATGCTGATGTCTTGGTCGTCTATGCAAAAACTGATCCTAATGCTGGTCCTAAAGGTATTACTGCTTTCTTGGTGGAAAAGGTAATCATCATTAAAAGAAAAATGTAAATTCATATGATTAAAATAAATTCTTTCATGATACAATAGAATTTCAAGGGATTCTCTACTGGACAAAAATTGGATAAATTGGGTATGCGTGGTTCTAATACTTGTGAACTTATCTTTGAAAATTGTGAAATTCCTGCTGAAAATGTCTTGGGTGCTGAAGGTCAAGGTGTCTATGTATTGATGAGTGGACTTGATTATGAACGTTTGGTACTTTCTGGTGGTCCTTTGGGATTAATGCAAGCTGCTTTGGATGTTACTGTTCCTTATGTTCATGATCGTAAACAATTTGGTGTACCCATTGGTACCTTCCAGGTAATATATATATATATAGAAAAAGTTAAAAAAAAAAAAAAGAATATTGATTATAACCCATTATTTTTTATTCTAGCTTCTTCAAGGAAAATTGGCTGATATGTATACCAAATTGAATGCTTCAAGAGCTTATGTATATGCTGTTGCTCGTGCTTGTAGTGCAGGCAAGGTTAGTAATAAGGATTGTGCTGGTGTGATTCTTTATTCTGCTGAACGAGCCACTGAAGTAGCTTTAGATGCTATTCAATGTTTGGGAGGTAATGGTTATACTAATGAATACCCTGTTGGTCGACTTCTTCGTGATGCCAAGTTATATGAAATTGGTGCTGGTACAAGTGAAATCCGTCGTATGTTGATTGGTCGTGAATTCAACAAACTTTACAAATAGAAAAATTAAAAAAATTGTTTAGATTCTATTATATATATATATATATTTGAATTAAAAAAAAAGAATTATTATATTTTATTTTTTGATTTGATGTTGGGATAAGAAAATGGTAGCTAAAATCTGTTTGCGTGCACGTAATAATTCTAATTCTAAACTTGGAGTTTGACATTTTTGAGCAAGGTCAGCAATAGCTTGTTTATTCAATACACCAGGGAGATCACCATCAAACATATGTAAATCTAATTTGGAAGTTGTTTTAAAAGTCTTGATCAAATTGTCGGGGAATACAATGGCTTCAGGATGAGCAAGATAATCACCATGAACATAATTATCGATATCTAAAGAGGTTTGATATTGAAGAATACCATCATCAATAAGATGTTCTAAATATTGTGCTCCCTTATAAGCTATAATAATAATAATAAAAAAAAAAAGAGTAAGTTTAATCTATAATATATATATTTATATATATTTTTTACCTTTATAATGAGAATAAAGTCGAAATAAATTATAAGCCAAAGGAATGTTTGGAATCAAAGGAACTACAACAAATGTACAAGATACAGGTACCCAATAAGCAGAATATTTCATATATTTTTGATGATATGGAAGATGTTTGTCGAGAATCAATTTCAAATTATGTTCAACATCATCAGCTGTTACATCTGAAGGATGATAAGCGATCACCTATTCTCTTAGGAAAATATAAAGTTAATAGTTTGATTTATTTATTTATTTATTATATTTTGATTTACCTTTCCTGGTAATTTTTCTATATGTTCTTTAGTAGGAATGCCTTTTAAAAACCATTCTTGATAATCTAATCTATTCATCATATCGTTTCCTTTATCATGAAGTTTCTTTTTCCATGTATCTTCCTTGGCATTCCCTAATTCATCCCATTTCTTATTAGACCAATGTACTAGTTTTGTAAGTCGTGATGTAGTAGGAAGAGTTGAATGACAATAATATACAAGTCGATTTTTTACTATAGGAATTGCAAATATACGCATATTTAATTACATATAATAAACCAATAATAAGAATAGACAAGACACGATAAAAAAAAAAAGACTTTTTTTTTGTTAAGATTTTTCCTGCCTTTTTCTCTCCGCTAATAATGTCTAAAAAAAGCGAATATTTTTTTTTTTTTTTGCCCTTCCCCTTTCTCTCTCTCTCTCTCTCTCTTATTAATTCTTTATTTATTGAAATGGAAAATACAACAAAAAACACAAAAGATATACCAACACCTGCATTACAAGATAAAAGTAATAATACCTCTGAACTTACAACACCATCTTCTGATACTTCCTCTATTATTACTACCAACACTACTACCATCATAGACCTTCCTCGTGGATCTTCCCTTTCTTCTAATAGTATTAGAAACAATAACGACCATAGAAACAGTAAGGAGGTCAATATATGTATGAAATGCCAAGGAACATTAGATAACGACAAAGATCTACAAATCCGATCCTTATACGAATCAATAGAAATTCATAAGGAACTAGTGGAACAAAGTCAAAGAGAAAGAGAAGAAGCACTGGAACAGCATGACGAAGCACGTCAAGCATTACAACAGCATCAACAACAATTACAACAATTACAATTGGAAAGCCAACATTTGAATCATGATCTTCAAGTGACAAAACAAGCTTATCAACGTATGGAAACCAACTTTTACACACATATGTGTGCTATTCGTGCTACCGATGATGATTTATCGACGATTCAACCCGAACTCTGTCATATCTTTAGTCAGGTCAACAACTTTTGTATGGGACTTCGAAGCAAGATGGATGAAGTAGCTGGGACTTCTTTTGTCTTGGCACAGTGGCCAGAGAAGGAAGATTGGATTAGGCAACAATGGATGAACAAAGAAACAACAACAACAACAGATAACGACATAGAACAAGAAAAGAAGAAGATGAAAAAGGAAACCACTAGTTTGGAACCAGCTATCATCACATTATTTATTGAAAAGTATATTGCCAGTCTATTGATCGATAAGATTTTGTTGGAACCTATTCAATTAGGAGTATCTATCAATCAAGCATTTGCCCAATTGGACACATGGATGCGATCTCGACAAAAGAAAGAATGGTCTACTCGATTACGACAACAACTCTGTGCCATGGTGGTTAAGATGAAAGATGATGAAGAAAAATTAGCTATGGAAAAGGCTCAAACTGATTTGGTACAAACTGTCTTGGCAACGTTAGCACCCATCTATCCTAATCAAGATCATCCAATGGAAAAGAAACTCATGGGTCTAGTGCAGCGGACTTGCAAATTGGCAGCAGCGATCAAGGGCCAAGATGTCGATATTCATCCAATGATCCTTCAAGAATCCAAATCTGTCTTTGATCCTCATCTCATGAAGGCCGTCAACAAAGGCAATCCGGATGGAACTATCTATTTGGTCATTACTCCTCCTTTTATTGCAGAACAAGATGCTTCTTCTACTGTTGTTGTTGATGATGATGATGATCAACATCATCATGGATTTCTAGTTCAGGGAAAAGTTTTATGCTTATAGATTAGTTGTTACCACGCATATTGAATAAAAAAAAAATAATAAAATAAAATAAAAACTTTCCTTTTCGGTCCTTACTTCCTTTTTACCTCTATTTTTCATTTATTTATTTAAAAAGAGACGACGAATACCAAAACTGCTCAAACTGTAGGCAGGTATGTCCTGCAATAATCGACAAAAAAAAAGCTTGGCCGATGTATAGTGTTACATAGACATTCCAAATAAAATAATCTTTATCTCCTCTTTCGAATATCCCAACAAATGTTACAATAGCTTTCCTTTATTGATTGGCATATAAAATAAATAATAGTAATAAAATAAAAAAGAAAAGTAAAGTAGAAAAATAAAAGATCAGTTCCAAACTTGGAAGATAGGAGTTTGATAAAATAGTTCTGTCTTGAATTTAAACATCAGTAGATCGTTTTATGCAACCTTTTCGACAATCGAAATCCTTTAGAATATGGTAAAAACACTACGTTTAAAAACTGCACAATATGGTTATCAGAGCCTATAAACAGAAATAAACATATTAGAAACTAAAACAATATTTATGCTTTAAACTTACAAAGTTGGATTTGATGTTCTTGTTGTACGTCTTCACAGTGTATTTTTTCTGAAATATATTCCTTGCACCGGTAAGATTCATAGTACATTTTGGTAAGCGGTAAAAGAATTGGGTGTAATGGATCAGTCTCGTAACATATGTCGATACCAGCCATGTATTACGGTTTTTTTTTTTTTTTTTTTTTGTAACTTGAAAGATGATTGATTTCTTAAGAGTGGCCAAGATGATTATACAATCTTTTATTGATATTGATGTAACAAAATGTTGAAAAAGAGAGAAAAATATATAAACTACTGGATGTATTTATATACAAAAACTAAAGATTATTTTTAGACGTTTATGATTAATCATCATGATAAACAATGATAAAATAAAATGGATGATACTGATAAATGTGATAAAAAAAAAAAAAACTAATTCATATTGTAGTCAGCTTATTCAAAGTATGATTTTATCCTAACATATGTTTTGATTTTTTCTTCGAGTTTTTCCACATTGGTACGACTGAATTCTACACAGAAGAGCATACAAAGAGCTTGCTCCCTCGTCATTGTTGGTGTCATTTGGAAATGAGGAGAAAAAAAAAGATAGGTAGTAGAAAATGGACCATATCCGTAAAAAAATTGGACCGCATCTGATATGTGACAAGACAAGAAAGAAATAATTTAAAGCATAAAAGAACCTATAGTTTATTAATAGCATAAGAATCATAAACATATAAAAACATAAAAAAAAAAAAGAAAAGAATGTACTTACTGTAAATTGTCACGGTTCAAATAAAATAAAAAAATAACAATATAAAATAACTAACTAAAGAAATAAATAAAGAAAGAAAGACATAAAAAAAGAAAAAGGGCGTATATGAATAAAACTAGTGCACCGGACTTGCAAATTGTCAGCAGCCATTAAGCGCCAAGATGTTGTCGATATTCATCCCATGATCCTTCAAGAATCCAAATCTGTCTTTGATCCTCATCTCATGAAGGCCATCAACAAAGGCAATCAGAATGGAACCATGTTCTTCTACTGTTGATGATGATGATGATGATGATGATCAATATCACCATGGATTTCTAGTTCAGGGAAAAGTTTTATGCTTATAGACTAGTTTTTACTATATTTTGTACTCACGCATATTGAAAATAAAATAAAAACTTTCCTTTTCGGTCTTTACTTCCTTTTTGTCTCTATTTTTCATTTATTTATTTGTCGTGTGCCTTTTTTTTTTTATTAAACTTTTTACTTCTCTTTTCTTTTCTTTTTTTTTCTTTATTTTTTTTTTTTTGAAAAAAAGACGATGAATAGCAAAACTGCTCAAACTGTAGGCAAGTATGCCATGCAATATCTATTGGAATCACAAAGCAATAAGAACAAGACCAACCATCCACCACCACCACCACCACCACTCATTAGCGACAAAGAACCTCCTCGACGATGGTGGAGTCGTCGACCTCGTCCTGAAGATATTCTTACCAAAGAAGAACGCAAGATTTTGAAATCAGTCAAGAATAAGGCCTATTTTCTAGATCGTGGGGTTAATTGTTGTTGTTTTCAAATTGGTTTCGATGGTCTTATTGGATTCATTCCTGTCGTAGGTGACTTTATTGGTCTTATCTTTGCTCTCTTTTTGATCGAAAGAGCCATGGATGCTCATTTGCCATCTAAACTTATCAACCAAATGTTGATCAATGTTGCCGTGGACTTTCTGGTAAAATATATATATATATATAGTTGTTATGTAATAATAGAGAAACTCAAAAGATTCTTTTTTTTTTTTTTTTTTTTTTTTTGAGTAGATTGGCCTCGTTCCTATTGTGGGAGATATATTGGATATCATGTATAAATGCAATACAAGAAACGCACTTTTATTGGAAGAATATTTGATTCAACGACGACAACATCAATTACGGAAAAAGGATTCGGAGCAAGCAACATCAAGTCAGGTTGTGAATAAGGACGATACCTATAATCGATCAAAAGTCAAAGACAAGATGAAATCACCTACTCCTTCACCTTTGAGATGATCATCTAGTTCTACCAACACATCATCATTATCATTTTATCTTAGTTTATTTATTTATTTATATTTGTAGTTATTAGTCTTTGTTTTTCTTTAATAAATATGATCTACTTTTTTTTTTTTTTTTTTTTTTTTTTTTTTTTTTTTTTTTTTTTTTTTTTTTTTTTTTTTTTTTTTTTTACTATCTATCGTTAGCGGCTATCATGAATATTATTCCAATTGCTATGATTCAACTCATTTACCGTCATTCCCCCTCACCTCAGTCTTTATTCAACCAATCATCGTCCACTGTTGATCAAACCTAATCATCATCATCTCATTCAATATCCCTATCGTAACAGTCATCAACATTCATCGTTCAATATACTTATCACCACGTATCATCATCCAACATCCATTCATCCAATTTTTGGTTTCTTTCCATTTATATGCACTTGTTTATTGATAAACTATTGATAATAATATAGTAATAATGACGTTGATAATAATAATAATGTATATATAACAAAAAACTTAAGGAGTAAACAAAACACGAAGAGTATTTGTGTTTCCAAGACCAGATTGCCAACCTTTTTTATACAATAATATGAAGAAAATAAATGATTAGTTACATTTTTTGATGGTTTTTTTTTTTTTTTTACACTTTACCTTGAACAGCGACGACGGGATCACCATGTTTCAACAATCCATACTTGATAGCTTGTTCCATACCCCACATGATACGAGCATCGACATCTTCTTGCCAAGGAGCAAATTCAGAAGGACTCAAATGAGCAACAGAGGCACTACCGGGAGAGGGAACAGCCAAATGACCAGGAGTACTACCAACATCACCGGAAGTAGTGGCGGTAGCCTTCTTAGGATAATGGAAGGGGAAACAACCACGATACAGGTGTACTTGACGAGCAGTTTGAGCATTACGAGTAATCACGATGATAGGAGAAGCAGGACGGTACTTGGATAACAAACGAGCGGTGTTGCCAGAAGTGGAAAGCACGATGATGGCACCAGCCTTTTGTTCATGAGCAGCACTTACAGCAGCACAAGCAACAGTTTCAGTGGTTTCGGTAGGTAAAGCAGTCAATTGACGTAATTCGTTGAATACGGCAGGATAACAGAGTACTGATTCAGCTAATAAACAAATGTCATGCATGGTCTTGACAGCTTCCACAGGATAAGAACCCTTAGCAGTTTCACCAGATAACATCACACAATCAGCACCATCCAAAACAGCATTAGATACATCAGATACTTCAGCACGTGTAGGACGAGGATTATACTAATGAATGAGATAATAATAATAATAATAATAATAACAATATATGAGTGATTGGTATCTTTTTTTTTTCATTTTTTATCTATCTGTATATATTCAGATATATTGTACTTACGGTCATGGATTCCAACATTTGAGTGGCACAGATTACGGGTTTGCCAGCCAAGTTACACTTCTTGATCATCATCTTTTGAGCAATAAATACACGTTCCAAAGGAATTTCAATACCCATATCCTATATGTATATATATATATATATATATATATATATATATTTGAAAAAAAAAAACATATATCAGTAACATGATCAAATATGCATAAAAAGAACAGTATTATGCTTACACCACGAGCGACCATGACACCATCAGTTTCCTTTAAGATATCATCAAAGTTTTGCACACCTTGGTGGTTTTCAATTTTGGAGATGATCTTGATATGACGACCTTCTTCACCAAGTACCTTACGGATATCCTTAACATCTTGACCACGACGCACAAAGGAGGCAAAGACAAAATCAACCTTGTTCTTGACACCAAATTGTAAATCGGCCTTATCCTTTTCAGACAAAGCAGGCAAATCCACATCGGTACCAGGTAAGTTGACACCCTTACGAGAACAAAGCTTACCATTGTTACAGGCACGTACACGTACAGAGATATCGTCAATCACTTCAAGTACATCAAATGATAATACACCATCATCTACATAAATCTTCTTTCCTTGTTTGATGACTTTGGGAAGATTCTTGTAATCGAGATACATAACTTCACCGTCACAAGCATCAGCATACTTGTCATCAGTACTAAAGATCATTTCATGACCAACAGTAATAGGAATCTAAATAGAAATTATTAGTTTTTTTTTTTTTTTTTTTTTTTTTTTGGTTTTTCATTAATTATATAACTTACTTCGACACCATCCTTCATATTACCAGTGCGAATTTCAGGACCTTTGTTATCCAAAGCAATAGCAACAGGTCGACCAGGGTATACTATATAATTTATAATAAAAGTGAGTTATTAAACTCCTTTTTATATATATCTTATTATCAAACTTACATTCAAAACTTTTGCGAGTGTTATCAATAACAGATTGATGATACTATAAAAAAAAACAAAAAAAAAAAAAGATTAGTATAACTATTGTTGTTTTATCGGTTGATCTCCGAATTGTTGCCCCAACAAATCCCGCGTTTACCAGAATTCCCCCTGTCCCTCTTCTCCCTTTTTTTTTCTCTCTTCACTATAATATTTTTTTTTTAATAATTCCACTTACTTCATAAGATCCATGAGAAAAGTTCATACGGACAACGTTCAAACCAGCGTTACGAAGTTGAGTAATCATTTCTACGCTGTTAGTATTAGGACCTATTAAAAGAAAAAAAGATATAATGAGAATATATATATTAGACTTGTTTTTACTTACCAATAGTACCAATGATACTAGATTTACGACCAGCAGTAGGTTCAATATCAACATTCATTTGAGAAATCCATTGAACGTTGGAAGTAATTTCAGGTACGATAGGAGACATTTTTGTATATATAAATGTAATGAAAGAGAGAGAGGTGGGGAGTTGTAAAGAAAAAAACAGAGAAAAAAAAAAAAAGGAAAAGAAGAAAAAAAGAAAAAGAAAAAGAAAAAGAAACAAAAAAACACAGACATTTTTATGCCCTTTTTTTTTTTTTTTTTCTTTGTTTCTCGAACGGACTGCAGAATATGAACCAGCCAAAAGAGGACGGTGTTTTTTTTTTGTAGAACACGAAAAATCAAAAAAAAAATCTGATCATTGTTGGGGACCATTTGAAATCAAATAGAAAACAAAAAATATACTTTATTATTAGAATTGATCCAATTTATTCTTCTTTTATATTAATAATAATAAAAGAATCTTCTATTTATCCTAGTTTATAATCATCAAACTTATCCATCTATTACTATCATCATTACCACAAATATATTTATATCTATCTATTCATACACACTCAACAAACATTTTATAGACGGTGTTTGAATATTATCTCAAAAAAAAAATACCCCTTGACTGAATCAGCCAATCAACACCTGTACACCCATCTTAACCATTTTTCCCCAATTTAGACATCTTCAGTAACACGATCTACAGTGAAAATACATCAAAAGTAAAAAGAATCATTGACATACTGGATTTTTTTTTTCCATTCGCTTAGCAGCTGGCAAGATTTTTTATATATACAAATAAAAAAGAAGTTTATGTTCAAATCAACTATGGCAGATGATTTTCGGTACACGCATGTATAAACATTTCAACATTTATTAATGTATGCGTTGCTATCTGATGATGATGATGATGATGATGATTCATAGGTAAGTACCAGTGGTCGTTAATGATGATGGTGATCACGATGCCGTAGTCAACAAGTCAAAAACAAGAACATTCATTCACTAACCTTGGAATCCAATCGGAGCACGTAAACTCGTACAAAGTACCAGTTCTTTTTTTTTTTTTAATACCTTCCCTACGATTGTCTATTATCCTTTTGTTTACATTATAAAGTATACTTCGATCATCAGTATCTTTTTTTTTTTTTTCTTACTGGCAACCAACAATCATCCAGTAACCCAAATTTATTTATCCAAAGCGAATAAACTGGAAAACGATTGGCTAGCTGTGATTTAAATGAATTGACCGTATTTTTGAGGAAACCCATTCTCCCTTACCAAGTGACGCGTCCTTTTTCTTTTTTATCTTTCCGCCTTTTTTTTTTTTCTCTAATCTATTCTTTTTCTTTATATATACAACAAACATGGCTACTAAATTTACTCTTCCTAAAGGTGGTTTCAACTTTGAAAACTATGTTCGGTAAGCCAAACAAATAATGACAACCATGTCCTTATCAAAAGATCGCTTATGTTTTTCATTTATTCTTACTCTATAGAAACCATACTCTCGAAACCAAAGGCACTCGACCTCCTAAAGCTACTAGTACTGGTACTACTATTGTGGGTGTTATCTTCAAAGTAATCTTATTCTCCAAAACAAAAAAGAAATGAACAACAACACCCATATACACTTATATTAATTCTCTCTTTCTCTCTCTTTTTCCTATTATATTATATTTATAGGATGGTATTTGTTTGGGTGCTGATACAAGAGCAACAGAAGGACCTATTGTAGCAGATAAAAATTGTGAAAAAATCCATTATATTGCTCCTAACATGTAAGTCCAAACATATTCACAAACATAGTTATCTAGCCTTTTGAACCATGTATATGATATACTTACAAACTTATTTATTTCCTTTCTTTCTTTCTCTCTTTTACTCATTCACTCATGTATATAAATGTATATGTACATGCATATATATAGTTACTGTTGTGGTGCTGGTACAGCTGCTGATACGGAATTCACAACCAACTTGATTAGTTCTCAAATGGAATTGCATCGATTAGCCACAGGACGACAATCACGTGTAGTGACAGCCATGACATTACTGAAACAAATGTTATTCAAATATCAAGGTCATATTGGTGCAGCTCTTGTACTGGGTGGGTTTGATCCTACAGGACCTTCTTTGTATACTGTTTATCCTCATGGTAGTACTGACAAGTTACCTTACGTCACTATGGGATCTGGATCTTTGGCAGCCATGAGTGTGTTTGAAAGTCAATGGAGACCTGATATGACAGTAAGACTATATATATTATATATATTATATATTTACAACGATTGACTCTTTTTTTTTTTTTTTTAATATAGAGACAAGAAGCTATTGATTTGGTACAACTAGCCATTGAAGCTGGTATTTTTAACGATCTTGGTTCAGGGTCCAATGTGGATGTATGTGTGATTGAAAAGGATAGTACAGATTACTTGCGCAACTATGGACGTCCTAATGAACGTGGTATCAAGGAAAAGAGTTACAAATATCCAAGAGGTACTACTGCTGTTTTGAAGGAATCTGTTCAACATTTGGTTCAAGTTTCTGATGGTGATGCCATGGATATCTCTCTGTAAAAAAAAAATATATACATATATACTTTTATATAGTTGATTTTACCAATAGTCTAGTTTAGTACTCTTTTTTTTTTTTTTTTTTTTCTGTCTATGTCTATTGGGAACAAATAAACTTTATTATTATTATTATTACTATTTTGATCAAGATGCGTGTACATATATTCCAAATAAGAAGAAAAGCCGTCAACAATTATTCCTCAAAATGAAGAGAAAATATATAAAAGAGTATTAGTTAATCCTAGATTTTGTTTTCCAGAAAGAAAGTTTCATCATCATCAAAGAAATATCCTAGAAAGACAGCTCACTGAGAACAATTCAAACAAAATAAAGTGACCAAGATCAAAAATAAAGTGACCAAGGTCAAAAATAAAGTGACCAAGGTCAAAAATAGAGGCGACCAAGGTCAAAATAAAGTGACCAAGGTCAAAATAAGGTAACCAAGGTCAAAAATAGAGGCGACCAAGGTAAGAAATAGAGGTGACCAAGGTCATGATCAAGGCCTTAATAAAGGTGACCAATATAGTGACCAAGGTGTAACCAGCCTTTTTTTTTTAAAAAAAAATTAATCCTCTTTCTCCTATCCTATTTTCATCATTATCATCAGTGCCAGCATCATTAAGTCACCACACATACATCACAAAGCCAATCATTAAGGAAATAGAGGTCCATGTATATCGAAGACGATGGTTTATCTTGATATCACTATGGGAAAAGCAATATCAGATTTCCGACATTTTACGGAAACCTTTTCGTATTTCCTAAATTAATTTAGTATCGTTCTTAAATGAATTTCGTTTAATTTCGTTTTCCAATTTTTTTCTAAACTGATTCCGGAAACATTTCATTCCAAAATGAAATGAATATTATCCAAAGTCAACTTTTTTTTTTAAAAAAAAGAAAAAAAAGAAACAAGTTTATTGTAATAAAAAAAATAAAAATAAAAAAGCCCTAAGCTAAACCTATGTTTTTGGGACCCGTGTCCTTTTCGCAGATCCTTTCACTATGGGAAAAAGATCTAAAATAAATTTAGTTTTCAATTGAATTAAAGATTCCGTAAAAATGAAATGCATTTCAGGTACAAAATCAAAGAGAAAAAAAAATGTGAAGTCGATTCAAAGTCAGTCATTAGCATAACGTTGCTGGTGAAGGGGATGCTGAGCGTACAAAGTGTCTTAAGTGGTTCTCCATGTCTTGAGTACAGAGAGCAGTTTCCAAGATCGCGTTTGTTCTACACAGGAATGTCTACAATCAAATAGAATTCCAATATGAGTATATTCAATCCGGACTATTGTTAACACACGTTTTACCTTCCACAAGAGGAGAGCATCCAATGTTTTCTTGAAAAGTACCAGTTCATTCCAATTTGTTGGTAAAAAGATCTTTGATATGAGCTTTGGGATGAATAGGCCATGTTTTGATAATAAAAGATGTAGATATCCATGGATTCCTGTATATATAAAGGAACAAAATAATGAGCGGTGTCATATCAGCGTATTCCGTAACGATATCCATAATATAAAAATAAAGAATGAATTACAAACAAAAAATAAAAAATACAACGTAAGATAGAATCAATTACAGTGTAATAAAGTAGTAGGAGTAAAAGTAATATTAAATAAAAATATAACTACTACAGATCAATAATTGATATACTAAGATCAAAGTCATTATAAAGAAGCGAGAAAAATTAAAGAAAATAAAAATGTCTAAAACAAAAAGATAAAATACGGACTTTGAAATTCTGCATAGTTAATACTACAAAAAAAAAACCACGATTTTATCATTGAAAATTTGGACCAAATTCTGTTAATCATGATAAATCAATAATGATGATGGTGTTATGATATCAATAAAACCCAGGATTAACCAAAAACAAAATAAAAAATAAACAAAAAACAATCTGGTGACTGCACTAAAAAGTAAGGGATGAAACAAAGGAGGTGTGAACGCATATATAAACAGACACAGGTTATTTTCAAGTGTAGAAAGTTTATCAATAACTTCTTTTTAAAACGAATTTCGCTCACTCTTCTCTTGTACCATTTTTTATATTTATCTACATCAAATTTAACAGACATCAAGGATATTAGCTGTTGCTTGCATGCCTGATAGGTGAAAAGTGGTTGACGTGTACACTTTTGACTCCAATGAGTGGAAAGACAGACTCTGGTTTTCTTGGTATTTTGCTAAATGACTTGAAAAAGAACTATACCTCCGTTCCTTACATCATGGAGCTCGGTAGCATCTTGGTACCAGGAGAAATCAAGGCATCTATGATTACGCCCAAGAGAACGAGAAAAAGGGTCGCAGCTGGATTAATCGGATATGTAAGGAAATCTCCAGGCGATGAAACTGAAAGAGCGCTCAGACGTCGACAAAATTTTCGTATCATGGTCATCATCTTCGTCGCAGCCTATCTGAGAGCGGGACGTTGATGATGATCAAAAACTACATGACGGAAATACACAAGGTAAGAAACAAAAAATTTATTATAATTAGCAATTATGTGACTAAAATAGACTCGAAATAATATACCTCTTGTTTTAGACATGCTAGATCTTTTGGAAAAAACGAGAGTGCCAGTGATCCTAGTGGTCATCGACTACGCTGGCCTCTCAACGAACACAAAGGATCTACTACAGTTTATCAGGTAATTTTTTTTAAAAAAAAATGTGTGGCAAAAAATAACCCTTTCTATTCTATAGCAAGTACAAGAAAATTGACAAAATCGTAGTAGACCATCCGATATAGTAATTTCTAGTAGATGTAATTTCTTCAAGATCTCTTTCCTACTTGTTCATCTCTGTCTTATCTGTTAATAAATGATGTGTTTTACTTTACTTAATTGATTTTATACAAAACATATGAAAATAGACCATTGCCTTCAATATACATTATATATCCTTGATGATTGGCTTTATGATGTGGTGACTCAATGATATTGGCATTGCTCCTACTGATAATAGATTAAAAAGGATTAAATTAAGAAATAAGTTGACTACATTTTAGAGGAATAAAAAAAAAAAAAAAGATAAAATGAACCTGTCATTTTTGTTTATTGAATGTTTGAATTGATTTTCAACATGGACATATAATACAACGATATATATAATCTAGCTATGAACTAAAGAATGAGTCGAATCTAAAGAAGTGCGCAACACCATTTCTAAATCTTCGGTCGCTTGTCTTCGAAGTACATTTTCCAAGACTTCCTTGCGTTCCTTGTCACTCTATTTTTTTTTTTTTTTAAATAATAAATTTGAGTTCCATTGTTCTCCTATCACTTTTGTATTTACTTACTTCAATGCGTTCCAAAGCCCGAGTGATCATATTATCTCGTCGAATCAATTGTTGTTCAGCATGACCTAGTTCAGATAATGCTTGCGCATATAATTCATCCAGTTGTTGGGCACGATTACGTTCCATTTCCAAATGTCGATCACGTTCTTCCAATTCTTGATGTAATTCTTGATTCAACTTGGTCAATAATCGTGTAGCTTTATCCAATCTCTTCCCATTACCCTATATAGTCAAACAGAATTAATATCATCAATGTATTTATCTTATATATATATATATATATACCTCGGATGGATTTTGGTATTGATCAAGTAAACTGGTCAAGAGTTCATTTCGTTTTCGTACAGCATCTAATTTTTGTTGTAATAAATGTTGTGATTTCATATAATCATTCAAAGCTTGGTTGGCGGCATGTCGATCTCGTTTCAAGCGATCATCAGCTTCTTGAAGATGTTCTTGTAATGATTGAATTTGTGTTTCGAGTTCCTCCTATTTAACAATATTAAAAAAAAATTAAGCAATCCTTTTTCTTTCCTACAGTAATTACATATTTTTCTTTCTTTTTTTCTTTTTATCTTTTTTTTTTTTTTTTTTTTTTTTTTTACCTGCTTTGCTAACAATGTATCTTGATGATTGACAGATTGATCTCTTTCTTGTTGATCATCATTTTGATAATCTTCTTCCCGTTGATGTTCTAATTCTTTCAATTTGGTGGTGAGCTGTTGTACTTCAGCTTCCAATTCCTTAATTTCTTCCTGATAGATGAGTTTTTCACGATCAGTGGCATCTGTTTGAGCTTCAAGATGACCTTCCAAGGCAGCGATACGCACATCTCGTTCCCGAATGGATTGTTCGACTTGATTAAATTTGACTTCCAGTAACTGTAGATCATCTTCATAACGTTGTTTGGCTTCATCTTGGACACGTGTATGGGTATTGATCAATTCAGCTTCACGTTGACGATAATGTTCTTGTTTCTGTTCCAAGGCTTTGGTCATAAGTGTTGAGAACTTGGTTTCTAATCCATTCACAAGTTCATCTTGCTGAAGATAGGCGTGCATCAGTTGTTGTTTTTCTTCATCCAAACGGCGTGCAGATTCTTGTTGTTGTTGTTCCAATGCTTGCTTATTTTCCTCTAATTGCTTCTCCAGATCCTCGGCATGCGCAACCAGTTTTACCATTTCTTCTTCCAACGTTTCTAGGTCATGTTCGCGTTGCTCTAGCTCACTTTGCAATCGATGAGCTTTTTGTTGATCAGCATAGCGTTGTTCTTCCATATCTGCATAGTCCAACTGTAATGCCCTGTGATTCTGTTCTAAATCATTGTATTGTTGTTGTAAAAGTTTCTTGGCCTTTTTATTACTGCTGTTGTTTCTGTCATCCGCATGTTGTTGTTCGTCCATTTGTAGTATCAGTTCGTCATACTCAAGGCTCTTATCGTGTAATTGTTGTTTTAATTCTTCTATGCGGTTGGCAAGGTCATCTCGATCTGCACGTAGTCGATCTGTTTCGTTGGATTTTTGTCGTAATTTTGTTAACAGATCACGGTTGCGTTCCCTTGTATGTGTTAAACTTTGTTCTAATTCAAGCCACCGTCGATTGTTGTTTCCTCGTCTCCTTTCTTCTTCCAATGATGCTGCTGATGATGATGTAGATGATGCTGATGATGATGCTAATGTAGTGCGTTGAAGGGTATCTCGTAATTGTTGAATTGTATTGTTTTGATCTTGAATAGTTTGTTTAGCCTGCATCCAACTCTTTTTATATCGTTCCAACATTTCCTTATCTTTGTTGGAGGAAGATGAAGAAGATGGTGTTGCTGATGATGATGAAGAAGGTGAGAGTGATGATTGTTGTAAATGACGATTTTGATTTTGTTGTTGTATGCCAGGTAAAGAGGAAGAAGAAGAAGTAGAAGATGATTGTGACCTGATGACATTGTTGCTGTTATTGTTGGAACCATTCAAACCAGTCGTTGAAGCTGAAGAAGTATTACCAAGTTTTTGAGAGCATATCAATCGTAATCTTGCATTTTCCATTCGTTGTTCGGAGACTAATTTTTGCAGTTGATCATTCTCTAATCGATAAGCGTCCGCTGAAGTTAAAGCATTTTCATATTCCAATTGTTCTTCTTCAGACATTCCGTGAGGTTGAGGACAAGGTTGTTGTTGTAACATGGCCATGGCTTGATTTAATTCCAATATCATATTTTTGTATTTCTTCAATTCTTGACCCAAGGTTTGTATGTTCACTTTCAAATCAATATTCTCCCGAATGGCAAGATCATTTTGATCAGGTGAGAGTTCATCCAGTCGTTTTTCCAGATAATAAATCTTCATTTTTAGCCCAAAATTCTCCTTTTTCAATGTGTCAATTGTCTATAAAAGAGAAACAAAAAAAAAAAATGAAATTAGCTTCTGTTTTATGTTGATACAATTTTATACCTTTTCTTGATCTTTCAGTGTTAATGTAGTGGACCGTCGATTCAACTGTGCCGCTGACTGACCCGTGGTATGAGCAGGCCTTGCTGTTGGAGTAGCCATAAGGGAGGTATCTATATTCAAGTTATTGTTATTGCTAAGTCTTCTTGTGTGTTTTGGTGATAGAGGAGTGGTAATAGCTGGCTTTGAGGTTGTTGTTATCGTAGTAGTGGCAGGTAATGGTGGTGATACGTCTCCTTCGTTTTCTAAGGATGATACCATTTCAAACGGGATATTATCCAAACCAGGGGAGGCATTTCTTGAAAAGTTTTGTTGTTGTTGATCCGAAGTAGAAAATGGTTCCATAGGTAAAGGTGACTTTGTCATCCAAAGTTCATTAGTGAAAGAAGTTTCCAATAGTTGACTACTGTCGTTGTTGGAGTTAATAGATTGATTATCGTCATTATCATATTCTTTATCTTCTTCTTGTTGTTGTTGTTGTTGATGGTGTGAAAAAGTAGGAGAAGATGACCTAGTATGAAAATCATCCAGGAGAGATATTTGAGTAAAGGAGGTTTCAGATAACACGGAGTCATCCACTGGGGTAACATCGTCGTCTGTGTCCTTTCTTTGTTCGTAATGGGCCATAAACTATAGTATACAAATAGTAAGTGTATATGATGTAAATAAGTATTCAAGTTGAATACAACAACAAAGGTATCAAACTATAATAATAAAAGTGATATCAAATGTACAGAGAAAGAATGATATAACTAAATAAAAAAGAGAACGTGTAGAAAAATGAGAATGAGGAGAAAAAGGAGGGGGAAAGCAAAAAAAATAAAAATAAAAATGCTTGGCTCCGCTTTTTTTTTTTTTTTTTTGTGGAATACACACAGTTTATTCACTTTAAATTGAGACAAAAAGTAAAGAAAAAAATATAGACAAATAAAAAATAAATAAATTTGAAAAGTGAGGGGAAAATCAAATTGAGAATACCAAGGGGATAACATATTTAGAAAGTAAAATAAATATATATATATCAGTTAGTACTCACAACACGTAACTAAGACCGTTTTAACTACGGCCAGGACAGTAAAGGGAAAGAGGAAAAAGAAAGACTGCTACTGCTGAGAGGATGATCGAAGAATTGGTATTGGTTGACAGGGACTTGTTAAACTAATACCATTTTGTATGATGGTAGCTTAGGCCCAATGCACATCAACACGGACCATAGTGGCAATACGAGGAGGACAGAAAAAAAAAAAAAAAAGAAGCAGACAGACAGACATGATCGATAAAAAAAAAAACCTCTTGTCATGAATAAAAAGTATAGACATACCAGGCAACCATACAGATTGGCTCAATAGGTACCTTTGGATTAAACCTAATATGATAATGATGATTTTATAAATGTGGTTCAAATAAGGCAACAGGTTGAGATGTATGATTATTCTTAATGATGATCAATAAATAATATAATATAATAACTTGAATATAAATATAAGTTAGATGATTGTTTGATAATAAAATAATAAATATAAAACTTTAGATGATTGATTTCTTAAGAGTGGCCAAGATGATTATACAATCGTTTATTGATTTTGATATGATAAAGAATTGACATCCTCCCAAAGGAGGTAGAGAATGGGCTTATTTATAGAAAAAAAAAAAAAGATATAGTACCACCGTGTACAAAGCAATTTTTAATTGTTGTAGGCGTCACTTGTTGCCATGCCTTCAACGAAAATTCCACCGCTGTTTTGATATTTGTTCTGTAAATGTTTGATTTTTTTCCAGTATCCTGCAGATATCTAACCACTGCGTGTCGAAGATGATATTGGCTAATGGCAATTCCGATATTAGTTTCTTTTCTTTTTTAAAAAAAAAATAGAGATATGGCTTACCGGTAATGAGCCTTGAAAGACTTGATGATACCAGCATCTAACGCCTGATAGTGACTGGTCGTGTTGGGTGGAAGAAACAAGATGTTCAGATTGGTGAGTTTATTTTTCGCTTCCAAAAGCTCCAGCTTATGACAAGGGGCGTTGTCCATTATCATTATACATTTCTTTCCTGAGTGGTGGTAGTTGATTGCATTTATAAATTTGGTCGCGATAAATAACGAGACAAAACGTAAGAATTTTTTATTAATAAAACTTAGTTAAAGAGAAAAAGGAACAAATCATTAAAAAAAAGACTTTTTATAGATAAACTATCACGATCTCCACCATCGGATTATCAATATTCTAAACTTGAATTACCACAGTCGTCACCAAAAAAAAAAAAAATCTTTTCCGTCATCCAGTAGTTCAATCTATTGCTTTCTATCCGAACATAGTTATCAACCAAGTACTGTTGAAAGAGACGTCCATAATGGTGGAAGTAGGAATTTTTGCGAATCATCATCAATGATGATTTCAAGATATCATCGACTGGACCGGAGAGAGAAAGAGATAAAGGGACATTTTTAAAATGCGTAAATGAGAGTCATAGTTTTATTTACTAAAAGACCTTTTTAGATTGTATATTATTTTGTGAGTTTTGAAATAAAAAAAAGTTCTGATATTATATAAATGCAACCTGCAGAGAAGTTTAATGAAGATCTTACCTAGACGTAGTATAGATTAAGACAGAGGATATAAACGAGATAAAAGTTACAGAGAGAAGATTGTTTATTCAAAGAATGAAGGTAGGGAATAGACAAGATAACAGATAAACATAAACTAAACTAGGGGAAGAGAGGGGATATTTATATAAAAATAAAGGAAGCTAAAGAAGGTAAGAGGTGGGAGAAGGACAAGAGGGGCCAAGAGAAAGAATGGCTAGGTAAAGAAAAGAAGATAAAAGTATATAAAAATATAATATATAACGATAAAATAAGATAGGGTAATAAAATAAACTAACACCAACCAGACTAAAGGAGTTCATGACATTACCGTACATGACCCACAACCATGCAGTAGGACATAAATAAAAGAAAAAGACAAGAGGTTAATACAGCTGAATTTGATACCATTAATTTTCGTATTTTTTTATTATTATTATTATTACCTGACTCCATACTGAAGACTTAAAAAGAGGTTCTGCACAGTAGCGTCGTATGGACATCAAATGTCCAAAGACTTCCACTCCAACAAGGTCATACACAAAGGTACAAAAGCTCGTCGAAATTTCTCCGGGACGGGCAGGTGTTTACTGTACATTACCTACAACCAAGCAATAGGACAATAAGGACAATAATAAACATAAAAAAAACCAGAGATTAATACATTTCGATTTGATAATTTAAAGTTCTTCATAGCTTGCTATTACCTAAGTCCATCAAAGGATCATAGCGGGAAGGCTGTGGGTCAAGTACAGTAGCGTCATATGGACATCAAATGTCCAAAGACTTCCACTCCAACAAGGTCATACACAAAGGTACAAAAGCTCGTCGAAATTTCTCCGGGACGGGCAGGTGTTTACCATACATGACCCACAACCAAACACAGGATATAAATAAAAGAAGAAAAAGTTTAAAGATTAATACAGTTTGATTTGATACCATTGATTTTCGCATTTTTTTTCTTTATTATTCATACCTGAATCCATAGTAAAGACTTCAAAGGAGGCTCTGTACAGTAGCGTCATATGGACATCAAACGTCCAAAGACTTCCACTCCAACAAGGTCATACACAAAGGTACAAAGGCTCGTCGAAATTTCTCCGGGACGGGCAGGTGTTTACTGTACATTACCTACAACCAAGCAATAGGACAATAAGGACAATAATAAACATAAAAAAAACCAGAGATTAATACATTTCGATTTGATAATTTAAAGTTCTTCATAGCTTGCTATTACCTAAGTCCATCAAAGGATCATAGCGGGAAGGCTGTGGGTCAAGTACAGTAGCGTCATATGGACATCAAATGTCCAAAGACTTCCACTCCAACAAGGTCATACACAAAGGTACAAAAGCTCGTCGAAATTTCTCCGGGACGGGCAGGTGTTTACCATACATGACCCACAACCAAACACAGGATATAAATAAAAGAAGAAAAAGTTTAAAGATTAATACAGTTTGATTTGATACCATTGATTTTCGCATTTTTTTTCTTTATTATTCATACCTGAATCCATAGTAAAGACTTCAAAGGAGGCTCTGTACAGTAGCGTCATATGGACATCAAACGTCCAAAGACTTCCACTCCAACAAGGTCATACACAAAGGTACAAAGGCTCGTCGAAATTTCTCCGGGACGGGCAGGTGTTTACTGTACATTACCAATAAAAAAAGAATGAAAGAAAAATAATGAAGAAATGATTTTTTTTTTGTATAAAACAGTAACGGATTCCATCGGTTTCCCCTCCCCCACCTGATATCCCCCCACCTTCTCCCGGATTTCCTTTGTCCAATCAAAAAAGTCCGCTGCTTTCTTTTTTTTTTTTTTGGGACCTGTGTACAGTTTATTTCTTTCTTCCTATTTTCCCCACAACACTGCATACACTACTTATTGTATTACAAAGCAGCAGTAAATATATTACTTCATCATTTACAACTTTGTTCCATGGAGCTGGTTCTCGGAAAACACAATGGAGTAGTGATCAAAGGGAAGAATCCAAGGCGACCAAGGATTAGAAAAGAAGAAGAACGTATGTTATTAGAATCAACCATGCGACTTAACAAATTAGCTGAAGAAGTAGAAGCGGCTCATAACAATTCTTTATATCGACCTTATCGACATGTATTGGATATGATTAAAAGTGACAATTGGACAGTAGAAGAACGGACACCTGGTGAATATACTATTATCTTAAACAATCCGCATCATCTCTTTCACTTTATATATACTCTTGGACGTTTAGTTTTACATCCATATCATGGTGGTATTTATACCATGCCTTCAGCCAATCTTCATGACGACGACGATGACGATAATACAAAGTCTTTACGAAAATATGCCGTTTTACCTTATATCAATTTTCATGGTGAACTATATGCAAAAGCTATTTGGAAACCTCGAACACAATGGTCACTCTTTCATACAGCCTTACCTGCTTTATTAGATGATTGTATCCATTATATACTATGTTGTATGAATCACTACTATCCAAGTAAGCTTATTCTTTTTATGGAAATGATGTCAACTTTTTTTTTTTTTTTTTATTCATCGCTACTATTTTTTTTTTTTTTTATATTTTTAACAATGATTCTAGTTCGTCCTAAAAGGGTGATGATCAAATGGTATAGTAGTCTTCCTGAACCATCCAAAGATCCATTGGTACTTGCTTTAGGATTATTTTGGGCAAGACATGTGTTTATTCATCATTTTCCTTCAAGTTTATTGACGGTCAAGGATAACAAGATAGTGGAGGTGGTACAGTGCAAATTGGCAGAAATGGTCCGAGAAGCTCTTTCTGATTGTTTTGACATTCCACATATTCATCATGTGTAAGATTATAAAAATTGTTTTCATGTTTTATGATATTGATATATTGTATTATTATTGTTTTGATAGGTATGCACTTAGTTTATGCAATATGACGAATCAAATAAGTAATGAACAAAAGGCAATTTGGCATACGATGGCAGTACGAATGGCAATTGATTTACGAATTCGACCAAGTGAACATCCTACTACGGACGAAGAAGAACTTCATCAACGTGTATGGTGGTACTTGTTTCATGTAGATCACTTTTTGTTGGAATCAGGCATCATCCCAAACTCTATTTTATCACCACGCTCTGATGATCATGATGCACTCTTGGCCCTGTTACGTCCAACACCATGTACACTAGATGAACCGGATGAAGCTAGAGGTGCGTTGGTTTGGAATAATATCTTAAAACTATGGTTGATTCGACGAAAATTGGTCAAGGAAATTGAACGTATTGATCCACAACAAGAAGAAGACAAACTTATTTTGCTTTTGAAAAAGGTTCGATCGACAATGGATACTTGGAGAAAGGAATTACCATCTGAACTTCAACTTGATTCCTCTTTTACTGGTTTGGAAGGTCCAAATATAGCAACGGAAGCTTGTTATGTTCTCAGTATGGAACGATGTACGAATATGAGTCTTTTGATGCGTTATTTTTTCCCTATAACAACAACAACAATACGATTGAAGGATTGGCAACGTGAAGCGATAATGACGGTGGTAGAATGTTCGATTGAATTTGTTCGTATTCGTGGTACTTTGGTTCAATTTGCTCCTTGTCAAACCTGGCCTGGTGATTTGAAACGTACGGTGGAAATGTTGATATCATGTATTCAATATCCAGATCCTGAAATTGTTGTTCGATCTCAATTATGTTTGATGCGTGCTTTAAGGGTTTTACGTTGTTATGAAGAACTTCAATGGCGTGATGATACATGTTTAGAAATGGTCAAACAGATTGAACAAGCTTTAGAAACGACAGCTGGTGGTGCTATTGCTCTTGATTCTTCTCTTGTTTTATCTTCACCAACATTATCATCTAACAACAAGAATAATAAAAAAAGGAAACAACGATCTGGTATGGAAGGTATCATGTTATTTGATCGAAAATTACAACCAAGAAATCAATATTATCAACCTCCTCCTCCTATGGATCCTCAAGATCAAATCTCTCGTATGCTTGTCTTTGAAGATATGTCCAAATTTTATCAAGATTAGATTTCACTTTTTGTTATTTATCTTCTTTTCTCCCTCCTCCCCCCTCCTCTTTTCTATTGTATATATTGTCTTTTTCTTTTTTTTCCCTCTCTCTCTTTCTCTCTAATTTTTTTCATTTTTTTTTTTTTTGTAATTTTCTTATAATATATTTCCCAATAAATCAATTTCATATTTTTCTATTGTTCAAGATTTGATCCTGTTTCCCAATTCAAATGCCGCTCAGCTCTTTTTTTTTTTTTTGTTGGTGAGGCTTCCTCCAAGTTCTTCCTTTTTTTTTTTTTTTTTTTGTCTCCCTTTCTATTGTTTGGTCTGTCTTGACTTTTGTATTTCTCATTTTATTAGAAAAAAAAAAGTAATAAAACAAGTAATAGATATTATAATTATCAATCAACTTGATATATCCATTTTTTTTCTTCTTCTTCTTTATGATGCTACGTGAAAAAGAAGGTAACAACCGTACATAGAACAAAAGTCTGTAAGAAGTTTCTTTTTAATAAGTTTATCTTTATCTTTTAATCTTATATATATATATATATATATATATATTAGCTATTCAACGGTCTCGTATGAACCATCCTACCGAGTCTGATATAGATCGTTATCCTTATCGTCCTTCTACTCGAAGTGATCGATATCATCGTGAATCACATCGTCAATATGACATTCATTCCAAGTAAAGTTTTTAAGATATTAAGTTTTTTTATTGATTTGTTTATTAATATTCTTATATATATATATATATATATATTGATAGTCGAAAGAAATCAAGATATTCACCTCCTTCTCGGTATGATTCTGATAGTAGACGACATGATCATTATTACATGCCTTACGACCAACAACATACCCGAAGACGATCTTCAAAATCACCCAGTTCTTATTCACGTCAACATTATCAACAACGTAGATATGATATTCGACAAGACCAACGACAAAGAAGACCTTCTCGTCATGTATCACATTATTCATTATCACCCTCTCGTTCCACCAGAAGTCGGACGATCAGTCAACAAAGATATGACTATGATGATGAAAGTGAAGAGGAAAGTGAACGTGAAGAAAGTGAAAAGGAATATTGTGCTGGTGGTTATCATCCTGTTCAAGTAGGTGATCTCTATTGCAATGGTCGTTATATCGTCATTCGAAAACTTGGATGGGGTCATTTTTCTACCGTTTGGTTGATTCGAGATCAAACCATGAAAACAGAAGATACGAACAAGCCTCGAGCTCAACATTATGCTATGAAAGTGGTCAAATCTGCAAAACATTATACGGAAACTGCCAAGGATGAAATCTTATTATTGGAAAAAGTCACCCATACTGATCCTACGTGTTTGGGTGCACGCTATGTGACAGCTATTGTGGATCATTTTATGGTGGATGGCCCAAATGGACAACATGTATGTATGACTTTTGAAGTTCTTGGTGAAAATCTTCTATCTCTGATCAAACGTTATCGTCATCGAAATGGAGTGCCGACTCGACTTGTCAAACAGATCGCCAAACAAATGCTCCTTGGTCTGGATTATTTGCATAGGAAATGTGGTATCATTCATACTGATCTTAAACCTGAAAATGTTTTGATGTATTTGGAAAACGCTGAAGAACTTTTATCTACTGAATCGACATCATCAACTTCACCACCACCTTTGAACAACACTCCATTGGATAATCATGATGTGAAAAAATCCTCTAGTCGTGATAAAAGTCCTGGAAATAACATCCATCAAGGAAAAACAGTAGTATCACAACCTTTATCTGAAAAGGATAGAAGTGGCGATTTGGAATGGAGGCATTCACAATTAGACTCATCTACAACATCATCAACAGGAAATAGTATGCGCAAAGAATCTCTTGAAATTAAAATTGCGGATCTTGGTAATGCTTGTTGGGTGGATCGACATTTTACAGAAGATATTCAAACAAGACAATACAGGTCTCCTGAAGTGATTCTAGGTGCTAAATGGGATGCAGGTGCTGATATCTGGAGTTTGGCTTGCATGGTAAGCAAATATGATATATGTAAGGGAATAACTCATTTTTGATATTATTATTATTATTATTTAGATTTTTGAATTATTGACGGGTTGTTACTTGTTTGATCCACAAAAGGAACGTCATCGATTTAGTCGAGATGATGGTAAGTAAATAAAAAAAAAAAAGAAATAATCTTTACAATGATATTAATATATATATATATATATATATTGATAGATCATCTTGCTCAAATGATTGAATTATTGGGACCAATGCCAAAACATTTTAGTTTATCCGGTAAACATTCCAAAGAATTCTTCAATAGTCAAGGTGAATTACGACATATTACCCGATTCAAGTATTGGAGTCTAGAGGATGTTCTTCATGATAAGTATGGATACCATCGACAACAAGCAAGAGATATCGCCAGCTTTTTATTACCCATGTTAAAATATGAAAACCGCGCAAAAGCCATGGATTTACTCAATCATCCTTGGATTCAACATACTCATCCCATTCTACCTACTTATTTATCATGATTTTTTTTTTTTTTGTATTCAAAACAAATAAAATAGTTTATTATTTTATTTTATGTCTTTATCTTTTTGAACCTTTTGTCAACTTGCTGCTTTTAAAAGAAAAAAAAAGGAAATATTCTCCCTTCACGTTCGCTTAAGTTTATTGTTTCAAAATATGTCATATATATAAAAAGGAAGGCAAAAAAGTTTTTTTATTCTACGCAAATAAAGGTCTATCAAAAGTGGTCAAACAGGGTGGTTTGCTTGCTATCGTTCTTTAAATAACATCTTACTGATTCTTTTTTTTTTTTTTTTTAATATAAATTTAAAATCATCACCATCGACCAATGTGTACAACTTTTCGGTCTCCTCCATCAATTCAGCCGCATGCATAAACTTACGGACGTATTCCTTCTTTCGTGCTTGCTCTTCGGGGAAGTCATAATCCGTACCGTTTTCTTTTTCCATTTCTGCAAACAGGTTGCTGGCATTGTCGTTGAGAATGATAGCATCCGTTATTTCATCCATATCGCTTACGTGTAGTGTTAATATTTTTTTTTTGTTCTTAACGGATGATGTTGAAATGTAAGATGGATGGATGATACAAATAAAATATTTATATCAATGATTATATATTTGTAGTGAGCACCAGATCTTTTATAAAAAAAGAACAAAATATATCTTGATAAAAGAAATAAAATAATCCAAATATGGAAATAGATTTCTTGATTATTTGACCAAACTTGAGGATGATCAAAAAGAATAAACTTGAATATAAAATAACTTGATGATTGCTTGATTGTAATAAAATAATAATAGATTAAGACCTAAGTTGATTGATTACTTAAGAGTGGCCAATATAAGTATGGTTTTAAAAAAACCTTCTATTGATAATAAAAAATATAATAATAATTTGACAAAATAAAAAAGAATTCAATTTTAAGAAGGGGTTATTTATAAAAAAATACAGTATTGTAAAAAAAAAAGAAAGAACAGAAGGGGAGAAACATCAGAAGTGTTAGGGATTTATTTGTTAATCAGTGGATGATTGGTTAATGTGATTGTCGGATTATATTATTAATAAAATAATATTGATGATGATTTATCGTAGTGAGCACCAGATCTTCTATAAAAAAGAACAAAAATAATTTAAAAGGAAAATGAAGATTGATCCAAAATAGGAAATGATTTGTGGAGATTGATGGATGATTAAATTAAGTAAAATAAAAATGATAAAAGTAAAAAGGAATGGATGATGTGTAAGAGGGGTAATAGGGTTGATGTAGGATGATCGTTGAGCAATTGGTTAGTAATAAGATAGTTTATAGCAAGATAAACTAGTCGGTTGGGTAATCGATGTAAGGAGAAAAAATAATATAAGTAGAGTATGATGAAAAAAGAAATGAATCTTGATTGTAAAACTTTTAGATGATGATTATCCAAAAGAGTGGCCAGATGTTTGTATAATTTATATACAAATTGATTTTAGTATTTATTTTTAATAATATTCTTATTGACGAGAAAAAAAGAAAAAGGATTGTTAAGGAAAGGTAACTATTTATATAAAAAAAAGTGTCATCGTAAGATGATCCTTCAAAAAAAAAAAGAGTGAGAAATTGAACAAGAGGGTGAGAAATTGGACAAGAGATTTTTTTCATTTTTTTTTTTTTTTTTTTTTTAGAAGAGATCCAGATTTAATTATCGAGGATGATCAAATCAGGATCTACAGAAGGGGAGAAACGACAAAAGCACACGACAAAACGAGACATCATGTCAAAACTGGCTTCAGGATCGATCTGAACACAAGTCAGAACAGAGGGAAGGTTTAATCGTTGTTATCTCCGAAAAGATCATCGATGGTGGTTGTGGCGGTGGTTACAGTAGTCTTCGTTCAAAAGGAGGAATCATATCGTTATCATCAACAAACGCACCGTCACCGTGGATCTGGCCGATCACGTAATTGATGTTGGTGTCGTTTTGCTCCTGATCAGCAATCACCCCCTTCAAAGTGATGGTTGAACAATCCAGTCATTTTAAAAACAGTTCGTCGATGGTTTCATTTCCTTCCAAATATTTTTTGGCGATCATCATTGTTTTTACCGTTTTCGTCCTTGCGGTCTTCGTTGTCAAGGGGGAATGCGATCATCTATATCACATAAAGCGAGAGTGTCATCGATAGTCATGTCATTATCCCAAACCATCCGTTCTTCTTCGTATTCAACGTGATCATCTCCAACATCATCATTGTCTTCTGTGATTGCAAGTTCCTGATTATCATCTGACCGTATGCATAAAACAATTAAGGATAGTTTTAGGCGATATTTTTTTTCCAAGCCATCAACGAAAACTGGATTGCAGTCTTTATATCGATTTTGTATAGAGTACCGTTATCAATCCCTGAATCATCAGCCTTTTTAAGAGCACTTTCCATATGGTAGTGTCTTGAGAGTTAATGTGTATTGACGAGTAATTAAAAAAAAAAAAAAGAAAGGTAGGATTACCCAATTTAGAAATGCAATTTCAATCTAATATTTTACTTTACCGGTAATATGCCTTGAAAGAACGGATGATCCCCCAGCTAATGGTTGGTAGTGACTTGTCGTATTCGGCGGTAAAAGCATGATTTTGATGTTCTACATTTCAGGCCGTTTTTCGATCTCTTTGAGCTTGTGACAAGCTGCGTTCTCCATCAATAGCAGGCACCTTTTATTGCCATGCTTAGTCTTGATTGCTCGTCCAATGGATCGCATCATATAATTGAAGACTGATTCGGTCACCCAAGCAGCTTTGTTGGCGTAGTAAAAAGGATATTTAACCCTGTCGCCTAAATAATAATAATAAGAAAAGATAAGAGAACTCCAACGTCTTTTTTTTAACATCTTACTGTATGCGTTATCTCAGTACCTACTGTTGTAAAAAATAGATTTGGTCATCCAAGCAGTGGCATTGTTCTCATAGAACTCAATACCATGATGGATGGCTAGAGAAAAATACCGATTAATAAAATGTAGTGTTAGGCATTACCGTATGATAAATACACACAAAAAAAAAAACGTAAGAAAAAAATTGATATTACCTTCACGACCTTGGAAGCATCGAGGTTTTTTGTGCTTGCCAATAAAAAATGGTTGCATAACTTGTTTTCCATCGGTCCTTGCCAGAAAATCCATAGTGATGCTCTTTTTTTTTTTTTTTTTTTAACCAGGTACACGCTTGCCAGAGATGGTGAACGTTGGTGCCATGCTATAATAGAGGCCGGTTTCATCGAAGTAGTAGCTCCTCTCTAAGGGGTAATCTTTCACTTTCATCTTGAGCTCTTGGACTCGTGACTCCGGAGCAGTATGTGCCTGCTTCATCAACAATGATTCTGGTTTGCAAATTATGGCGCTCCTTAAAATTGGCCATCCAACCGGAAGAGAGAGAATTCGATACAATCATCAATATTGAACACTTCGCAAATTTTTTGGGCCAGTGTAACAATGGCGTTGATAACTGAAACCAGCTTTTCTTCAACTAAGGGAAGTTTGCCAACCGTTTGTTTTTCAGCAGATGTTTAGGGACAATTTAATAAGAAATCTCTTTTCTTTAGAAACTTGGAAATCGTCACTTGCGACACTTTGATACCATAATTTTCCTCTGCATATTCAACAAGTTTTGATTGCTTATATCCATCATCAGATAGTCTGATAAGTTAAATACGTTGTTCGTTGGTGAATTTACCCATTATTTGTACAAAAAAAAAAAAAAAAGAAAAAATAGAAAAAATAAAAAAAAGACAAGGATCATCAATGTTTGAATCGTTGAGAGGTTTTAACTTTATTAGAACATCAAAATTTTACTAGTAAAGTCACTTCGGAGTACAAACATTTTTAAAGTTATATGTATTCGTTTTAAGTTATATTTTTTTTAACATATCAAAGTTGATAACTTTAACGAACATCTACTACTACTATTGAATTGAATTTATTAGTAAAAATGGATCTTGTGATGATTTTGTTTTTGGATGAGATAAATGATGTTCAATCAATTTTCTGTGCGATGGATACCATATTCAGTGACAAAACAGTTGATATCCATTTTCGGAAAAAATAAGATCAAGTTGATGAATTAACCGAGGAAGACAATAAAAGCAAACATAAACAAGAAAATCAATCTCTTTATTTTTCCATGAGATATATAGTCTATCTTTTTTTTTTTGAATAAAGTTGAATGTATCTTTGAATCAAATTTCTTCAATGATTGTTGCCGATGATGAAAAGGTGAATAGGATCAATACACCACCACCTGTCATTCACCACCGTCAACCTATTCGTTCATCATTAAGATTATCTAACACCAAACATAGTGTTCAAAGCGATGTTTCCAAACCAATAGCGCCTCATTTACGATCTTGTGGAAGATCCGATATCGTGCGTCAACGGGTTGGTTTCTTGGGTTGGACGATAGCTCGATGGATCTTACTATTAACGAATACAATGGTAAAAATGCAAATGTCACTTCATCAGCATGATTTTCTTATCCATTCTTCTTTTTTTTCTCTCTCTGTATGTAGTTACTTGTTTATGGATGTATCTTTCTTGTTGCCACCTGTGCTACATATGGTCTTGGTAAGGCAAAATGTGGATGTAGATGAACTAGAGAACCTAATGATTTTTTTTTTGATAAGCCTATGAACGAGCAATTATTATCGTGATAGCAAATAAGGAGATCTTAGCTGGTAAATCTTAACCAAAAAAAAAAAAAAAAAATAGATTGACTCATATACATGCTCACTTTTTTTTTATTCTTATAGTGAGCTTTACGGCATCACTATTTTGTTTCTTAACATCAATTGTAGGGTATATAGGGATTGTGAATAAAAATCGACGGTATTTGGGGTATTATGCATTGTTCCTTTGGGTATGTTTTGCTCTGATTATCACCGTAGGATACCTTGGGTTTAAACATCGTACATGGAATCTCAAGGCTCAATTAGGTGTACGTTGGCGACATGATTATACTCCCAAACAACGAGAATTACTCCAAGACAATGTAAGTTCCAATAATAATAATAATAATAATAGAAAGATACTCAAATTGATTTTTTTTTGGAATAGTTACATTGTTGTGGATTTGAAAACCCTTCAGATCATGCTGCTTATTTTTTAAGATGTTGGGCACAATCTTTATTGCCAGGTTGTCAACATAAATTTTATTTATTTGAAAATGCTTTCTTATTGAATACATACACCATTGCTTTTGCTATTCTCCCTATTCACGTGGCCGTCATACTTGCATCCATCCTATGCTCTAATCATGTCGATGTCGTATTTGGTACAAGATCACGACCTCCTATTCCATATCTGGGCGAATTCAAGGATTGGAGAGAATGGGAACAAGCTATGCATAAACAGAAATAACAACAATAATAATAAAAAAAGGAAATAGTAAAAGAGTCTTTTTGTTTTGTTATGAAATGATTTTATTAAAATATCATTCTATCAATACCAAACATTTAAAAGACATGATGATGAAAAAGAAAGCAGATTTATTTTTCATATTTTATCATATATATATGTATAAAAAAAAAAGAAGAAAAGAGAATCATGTATAAAATAGAATATATATGTGTGTATATGTGTTTGATTTTCTTCTAAAGGGGGGGGGGAGGAAAAAAAGACGTATTAAATGTACACAAAAAAAAAAAAAGAAAAAAGAAAAAGGTGTGACGGAGACGGCATAAAAAGGGAATAATAAAAGTAAGTGAATAACAAGGATACATGTACATAAAACAAATATATATATAATAGATAAATAAATAAAAAGAGAAATATAAATGAAACAAAAAGAGATCAATGGGCACCATCCAGTATCTCCATCCAAGCATCAGGAATTGTAGGTACCAAACCATCATCATCATCACCACCAGTTGTCTTGTTCCCTTCAGTTGTTGTAGAAAAGCCATACCAATCAGATGCATATCCCAAATTCATATGTGCCATAGGTGGAACCTTAAATGGTAACAAGAATTTGGTATCTTTTGTTTCATACATATCGTTGACATCTTCTTCATGTTGAATTTGATCATCACTATCATCAAGATCCTCATCGTCTTGTTTCTTTTGTTGATTATCATTCTGACATGTTGAAGTCGTAGAATCACTGATTGCTGTAGTAGATAATGTTTGTTGAGGCATAGGTGGTTCAGAATGAGATGCAACAAGTCCAGCTCCAGACATAAAATTACCCAAGATTTGATACATGCTTTCAGGTCTTGATGATGATTTCGATCGACGTAATGCGGTACCACCAGTCTTACATATAGAGAAATCACTACTGCTTCGAACCATCGATGTTGTTATCGTCTTTTCTTGATATTCTTGTTGAGGTGATAATGGTCGCTCGTCATCCAAGGAGCAGGATTGTCTAGCTTGACGATATTTGACCATATCACCTGCCAATTGTACTACATATTGTTCAATGTCTTCCGGAATTCGACGTTCTCCAACTTCGTAACGATATTTGACAATGCATCGTTTGACTTGAAGAGCATTCAATGTATCACAAGTAGCCATGGTATCCATCAGACTAGCGACATCTTTCAACTGAGACAGACATTGTAATAATTGTAAAACTTGAATAGTGGGAACCAAATAACTGAGAAGTCTTGTAGGAAGATGTTGTTGACGAATCCAATCTTCTATATAGGATAAGTTCATACGAATCTGAAGTGCTTTAGATCGACAAAGGAGTTTCTTATTGGTAAGTAAATGATTGAAGAGATCACAAGAGATAAAATGAAGAAATTGTGCCAAAGCCTGAATAATGATGGTAGGATGGACACGATTAACTTGCATGGTCTGAAGAGCTGAGGAAAGAATTGCAATCACAGTTCTTGGAGTTGCGGCAATTGCCCCTCTATCTGCTGAGTATACTGTTGTTGTAGTTGCCATAGCTGTGAGTGCTGATTGTTGACTGTTGTTGTTACTATTACTTCGTCGAAAGAATCGTTGCCAATCATCCACAAAATTGACATCCTCCATACCAGGAATTGTACCATAACCAAGCATTCCGGGTTCAAGTAATTGTGATAACCGATGTTGAACGTCATGAACCATCAGTGTATATGTTTCCGAAATATATTCAGATAGTTGTAATTGGTAAGTGGCTGTAGCTCCAACCAAACCATGATCCTTTTTGAGATAATATAAGAGTTGAGTAAAGTTAGTCATCCAATAAGTCAGTATGTTGATGTCTTTTGTATTCGCCTATAAATATAATAAAATAAAAAGATATTGGTCAAAAAAAAAAAATAACATATTATTATTATTTTAATTACGTTGATGATACGATTGATTCTTTCCAAAGAGCCTTGTAACACTTCATCCAAAACTTCACTTGTACAAAAATAATGAGCAAATCGAGCCACCAAGAAAATGATATTTGCCGGAGTCCACACAGCCACATTAGTAGTAGTAGTAATGTCATCATCATCTTCATTTTTTAAAGTAGGAGGTACTTGAGCATGATGAACTATGGTATCCAATAATGTTGTCAAATTTTCTTGATTGAATACAAACATTTGATCAGGTAAACACTTGTCCCAACAAAATTTATTTTCTGGTGTATCATCATCTTCTTCTTCATAGCCATCCAAATGGTCATCCAAGTTGTCATCATGATCGTGATGTTCGTTTTGTAGCATACGTAAAGTGGCATCCAATAAATTTTGTCTTCGATCTGCCTCATCAGCCATAAAAGAATCATAGCCTTCTAGAGTTGAATGATAATAAAAATCTTGATCACCATCCAAAATCATAGAAGAAGTTGAAGATTGAATACGACCCATTGCAATACTAGAAGTGGTGGAAGAAAGACTATCGCGAGGATTGTAAGTATTATTGCTGTTTGTGTTACTAAGAATAATATCGGCCATTTTGTGATTCTTTTCAGTGTTGACAAAATCCATAACAGTTCTTCCTTTGGCAGATTTAGTATTAGATGAAGCTCCATGATCCAATAATAACTTGACAATATGTTCATGATTATTATTTGTTGCCCACATTAATGCTGACCAACCAACTAAATAAATAAATAAATAAATAAAAAGAGAATTAAAACCCAATATTATATATATATACGTATATATACTTACATGAGTCTTGCATGTTTGTATCTGCATTGGCATCTAATAAAGCTTGTACAATTTCCAGTTTACCAAAACAAGAAGCACAAATGAGAGGAGTGGTACCATCTTCATCCTTGACATTGATATCAATATATTGTCTATATTTTACTTGATTCAGGAACATGGTCAATTTTTCCAAGTCTCCACTAGAAGCTGCTCTTGAAAAAAGTTTATTCATTTTGATTCTTTTAGTAGATTCGTCAATATTGGGTTGGTCGACAATACGTTCGTCATCAAATAAAGTAATAGCAGAAGTAGTAGAAGAAGCAGATTCGTCATCATCGTCCAAAGAAGCAATAGAATCACTAACCAAGTGTTGAGAACCCAAGATCTCGGATAGTTCTTTATAGTTTTGTTCCATATGTTGAGTTATTTGATCATAAGTCATATTTTCATAAACTTGTTTTTGTTGTTCAAGAGACTTGATATCATTGTTATGAATTGTATCATCAACAGTCATATTTTGATAAAACGTTAATATATTGAAAAACGGGGAATAAAAAATAAATAAAATAAAAATAAGGTATATAAATATGAATAAATATAAAATAGATAAGGTATATATAAGTCAAAAGGAAATAAGAATAATAATAATAATAATAATAAGAAAAAAAGAGAGAAGTAAAGAAGAAAGAGAAATGCCAAAAAGGTAAACAACCAACAAACTTTACTATCGGATTGGAAATTTTCTCATTGCAACACAAATCCCCAAATGGAGTTCCAATCTTTTTTTTCTTTTTTCTTTTGTTTCTTATTGAACTGGGGCCACTTGTCAAAATCATTGTTATTGACATTTTCTTTACTTTCTCCTATATATAAAAAAAAAACATAACCCGATTGGGTTTTATGCCCGTGAACTCGTGCTTTATTTATTTTCTACATTCACATCATTTGACTCATTTGATCGCCATCAACTATTCTCACCCCCCTTAAATATACCTTATTTTTGAAGGACCGCATCTCATCATCCAATCAAAAAGTGAGATGTTTACTTTTCAAGATAAACTTCTCATTATATTTTTCTTTTCTTCTTCTTCTTCTCTTTGTTTTTTTTCCATCATAGACAACTTGTTTTCAAAATAGACTTGTTATAACTTCTATCATCAATAACTGTAGTTTCCGGAAGTACTTGGATAGCATTCATCATGCCTTTTTTTGCCCCGCTGGTGCACAAGGTCCCATTCAAAAAAGCTTATTCGTTTCTTACATAAGACAATGCCGACAAGACTTGTTATTTTGTTAAAGAAGGATGGTATCATGCGAAAGTGTAGTGAATAAGGTGGTTATCATCCATTAACGCGAATGGTTGAATGTCTAGAAGCAAGGAGCAGTTTACTTCACCAAGTTTGGATATATCGTGAAGGGTATGTATCTGATACAATAGGACAACAATATCACTAACAGTTGTTACCCTCTTTTTTCTTTACTTAAGCTCTATGTTTGGTTTACCCCCCCCCCCCCCATCACTAAGTCTGCTTACCAAAAATGGCCCGCTAGAAACTCTGTATTCAAAACTCTGGACTAATTGATGCTCAACTTGCTTCAAACAAAGAAAGAAAGACGTCTTATGTATTTACAAAACTGTAAGAAATAAACCAAAATTGAAATAGTCGTCAGTGTTTCTCATTGTTTCCTTTTTTTTTTTTTTTATCAAAAAATCATCATATTGGATCAACCCTGATATTGAATCTCAACATCCTCTTGCAAAATTCATACCTTCTATCCTTACTCTGTTTTTTTTTTATCAATCATTTCATTACCATTGGTATCCAAAGCAAGGGATTCGTTACCAAGCTAGATTATTTAAATAAATAAAGATATTTCCTTTTCTGACATTATTTTATGTTATTGGCTAAATTTGAAGGTCAGTTTTTGGAAGCTATCATGTTGAGAACATTCTTTTTCACTCTCTCTTTTTTTTTTTTTCTCTCTCTCTCTCTCTCCTTCTTGCTGTTCAGGTGTGTTGTTTTCTTATTCTTCTTTCAAAATAAAATGGATTCTATTACCGTAAGTAGAAAGGGATATTTTCTTATTTCATGGTCATGATGTAAACATACTTATCCTCCTTTTTTTTTTTTTCTTTTGATGGTGATGGCAAGGTATTGTACTTTGCAGGCATAGCAGACATTACTCAACTGGGATCAGAAACTGTTTCTCTAACAACTTTACGCTCAACAACAGCAACTGACGTTATTCACGTATCTGATGTGGTAGATATGTTAATCAAGAAATATGGTAATGATTTTGAAAAAGTGGCCAACACGTGTATGTTTGCAGTGGATATGGATTATGTACCTCGATCTCATCCTTTGAAACCTGGACAAGAAATGGCATTGATACCTCCTGTCAGTGGCGGTTGATATTTTTGAACAAGATATATATTTTGTATTTGTAGTTTAGAATAGTATAGTTGTATACATAAAAAAAAATTAGGATTTGTAGATACTTCTTCTTGTTGTGATAATTGAAACACACGTAATAAAATAAAAAAAAACCATTTTATTGATATAAGAGTTGGGAGAGAGTCTATATGAATAATAATATCAAGTATTCAATGAATCAGGTAAATTCAAAATATGGCCCATCTTTTTGACTTTGACGGCTAAATAACGATCCAGTTCCTTTTTGGGTAAATCAAAGACAGAAGAAGTTGACATACCTAAAGCAGGAGAAGAAGAAGGTGTACGATCTAATAAAAGAGGAGATGCATGAGGTTGTAATATATGAAGATGATTATTGTTGTCATTTGAAGTAGTAGAAGAAGGAGTTGCTGACCAAGACCTAGGAATCATTTCATGCCGTTCTAAAACTTGAATATCGCCATAAGATTCTAATTGTTTGATTTTGTCGGGATTGTTGGTCAATAAATGAACTTGAGAGATTTGAAGATCCTTTAAAATAGCATTAGCAATACCATATGTTCGTCCATCAGCTGGATGATTCAGTAATACATTGGCTGCTACTGTATCATGTCCTAAATCTTGTAAATTATATGCCCTATACACATAAATAAATGAGTCATCATTCATAAAAAAAAAAAAGATAAAGAAAACTTACTTTAGCTTTTCTAATAATCCAATACCACGACCTTCTTGACGTAAATAAACAATGACACCGCGACCAGCTAATTGCATTTGTCGCATAGCTTCATCCAATTGTTCACCACAATCACAACGTCCAGAATGAACAGTTTCACCAGTGAAACATTCTGAATGTATTCTAACCAAAGGAATCTTACTTGATTGTTCGTTCTCATGTCGTTGTTCCCATTGTTGTTTCGCCTTTTGTTGTTGTTGTTCCAAAAACACCATTTGATCCGGGGTTAATTTGCTAATAATATCCATATCGTTTGCTGCCACTATTTCCTCTAGTCGTCCATAATACGCACCACGTACTACTCTATTCAGAATTGTTTCATTGGCCCATGCATCATCTAATGACCTTGAACGTAAATCCCCATAAACAATAGCTAGGTGTTCTTTGGTATCTTGATTATTCTTGTATAAATGTAAATACATTTCACCACCTTCATTGGTAGGAATTCTTGCTCGTACTTGACATTGAATTCGAATATTTTTGTCTCTTTTGGAATGATGTGTAGGTGAGGACGTTACACTACTACTTGGTTGGCAACTAGGTGTGACAGCACTAGGTTGGTGTACTTGTTGTTTCAAAAATTCGATATATTCTTGATATGAAGTAGGTCCTTCCATAGTAGGTGCTCTATCATGAACAACATTCATACCAAATAATGTAAATGCTGTAGCCATGATATGTTACGTTCAATATAAAAAGAAAAAAAGTAATTGTAGGTTAAAAAAAAAAAAAAGAAAAAAAAGAAAAAGTCTGACTAACGAAAAAAAGAAAATAAATAGACAAAGAAAGAAAAATTCCCCTCCACTCCGTCCCGAGCTTCAATCTCGACTTGTTCCCTCCCCACACAACACACACTTTTGACTCATTGATCAGTCAGCCGTCTGGGTATGAATATGACAAATATCAAACAAAAATGGTTCCTTACAGTGATGTGACTCCGAGTTGCATGAATGGCTTATGACAAGGAACAAAAAGATATACTTTTTTTATTATTCAAATCCCATAGAATGACATTTCTTAATTCGAATATATTTTTTCAATAGTTAGTTTAAGATATATTACTTAATCATAGTTGATATATTTAACAAATCACCTTAATTTGAATCGCTGTTGATACTGTTTTTTATTTTATTTTGAATAGATGATTCTAACTGACAATGGAAAAGTAATATTGAATAATGATATTCATTCAGTAATGAATGATGATGTTCAATTATTTTATATATTTTTTAATTTACATTTTACATGTGGCTGACATACTGAGAGTACTTGGCTGACTCAGGTGTGTGTGGTCTTTGCATTTGCCACGTATTTGAAACTCAGTATGGTTTTTGCGAAGCAGGCATTGGAGTAAAAGAAAAAAAAATCATTCCACCTTTCCGTTTCCTTTCTTTCTTCTCTTTCTTTCTTTTTTTTCTTTTTTATTTTTTCTTAGTTTATTTGAAATTGTCAGTAAAGAAATTATGTTTTCTTTAAGTAGAAACTACTTTAATGTAGTTTTCTTGATCTTTGTCATTATACTTCTTCTTTTCTTCAACAGTCTCAATTTTGTCGTCAGTACAATCTCTCAACTGTCACCCTTGTCTTCTTCAGATGAAAGTCAACAATTTGTACAAGAAGTTTTATTACCAGAGGACCAGAATTATTGCAAGGTAATATATAATATCTTTGACTAAGATTTTTTTCAACCATGGATTGATGTCCTTTTTATTTACTATTTAGCCAAATGGACTCATCAAAGATACCTGTTGTGATTACCAAAGTGTTGAAAGTATACAAGGTGATATGTTTCCCAAAGTTGAGGCATTAGTAAAAAGCAAGTTTTTCAAATATTACAAGGTAAGTGTTCAATATAAAGGATTTTTTCAGATCGATTAAATTCACTTTTTTCTTTTTTTGTACTCAGTTAAACTTGTGGCGCGAATGCCCATTTTGGAATGATGATGGCTTATGTATGAATAGAGATTGTTCTGTACAAACCACAGATGAGGTAATGAAAAAGAATAATTAAATTACATTCATATATTTCTCTTTTATTTTTTTTTTTTTTTTCTATTAACACAAACATATATATATATTTTTGAATACCGGAATATCCTTTCTGATAAAATTAGTCATTGTTACCAGAGGAATGGAGACAAGAAGCGTTAGGTGCTATTCAAATGTCACCTAAAGGATCGGTAAGTATATAATCATCTCATATTATAGTATCGTCATTCAATTTTAGTAACTCGATATATTTATGTTTCTTGAATGATTGGATTTAGGCATTTCAACCCTTCAAAGTATGTACATACAAAGATCAAGATTTTTGCGCTGGAGATGATCCAACAGAAGGTATAGAACAAAAAAGAAAAAAAAGAGGTCAATTGAACTGAATTTTTTTTTATTGACATATATATTGTATAGATATGGTATATGTAAACTTACTGGATAATCCTGAAAGATTCACAGGTTATACTGGACCATCAGCGGCCAAGGTGTGGAAAGCGATCTATGAAGAAAACTGTTTTAACATTGTACACAAGATGTCTGAAGGATGTCCTACATGTTCAGCACTTCCTTCAGAAGAATCCTCTTCGAATTTTTCTCCTCTTGATGGGTTGACCAAGGTTCCATCCAGCAAAGCTCAATTGGGTGCATTATTACAAGATTTGGCTGAAGCTCCGGATGATATCGATCATGGCGATGATGGTGAAGTTTGTCTTGAAAAACGGGTATATTATAGATTGATTTCTGGTTTACATTCATCGATTTCTATTCATATCTGTGATGAATATTTCGACCGCACCACTGGCAAATGGGGACCTAATTTGGAATGTTTTGTTCAACGTATTGGTGCACATCCTGAACGGTTAGGCAATATTTATTTCACTTATGCTTTGGTCTTGCGCGCTGTGACTAAATTGGATAGCTATCTTGCTCAATATCCTTTCCAAACGGGCGATCAAATTGAAGATGAACATACCCGGGTAAGCAAAAAAATAGGGACGTCATTTTTATATAGATACTGATTTCTTTTTTTTTGTTTTGATTCCATTTTTTTTTAGGCACTGATTCGTGATTTGATCTCCAGTACAAAGGAATGTCCAGCTACATTTGATGAAACAACCATGTTCAAAGGACCAGATGCAAGGGTAAAGAAAAAGATAATATCAAAAAGGAAAAGAGATTTTTAATAATGTGTTTATTCATCTCATTTTTTTTTATAGTCATTGTATCTAGAATTTAGAGATCACTTCCGAAATGTATCAAGAATCATGGATTGCGTTGGATGTGAAAAATGTCGATTATGGGGTAAGGTACAAACCACTGGCTTGGGTACTGCTTTGAAGGTTTTATTTGCTTATGAAGAAAAAAGTTTACAGTAAGTTTGGAAAAGAAAGAAAAGTAAAAAAAAAAAAAAAAAAAGTATCATTCATTCAATTTTAATATCATGATTATTATTAGTTACAAATCGAATCCCAATCTTTTGAATCACAATGAAATTGTGGCATTATTCAACACATTGAATCGATTATCGGAAAGTTTGGAAGCTATTCAAAAGTTTAGAAAATTATATTACAATCAACTTCACCCTCCAGTCTCCCAAATGCAAAAGGTATCCCCTTAAAAAAAGCTGAGAAGAAAATGTAATTTGACTAATGTTATATTTATATAGGTAATTCAAGCAATCGATGGCATCAAGGTGAAATGGCTTCAATGTGTACGACTTCTGTTGAACAAATGGAAAATGGAATGGCAACTCCCATTACCTTCCTTTTTGTATGATCTAACTGGTCCTTTAGTATAAATAGATTTTGTACTTTTTTTTAAATTATATTATTACATTGACATCCTTCATTACTTATAGCATTAGACATAGCTTTTTTATTTTATTTTATTTTATATACATATCTAATAAACACACTTCTGACGTTCCTCTGGGGCTTTTATCAAAATGGCACGTTTTATTTCGTTGGAAGATGGTATGATTGATTTAACTTTATTCAGACTTTGAATCTTTAGCTGTGATTGAGTAGCATGGGTAAAATGGTATCCATTCTAGCTAATCCTTTCTCTGTAGGACGAATACCACCTAGATTCCATTCAGATCGATTTTCATATGGGATATACGGTTGTATTAGATCATCCTTTGTCTCTTTTGTCCCTTCTTGCGACCTTTCTTGAATAAGAAATCCAGCATCCATACATAATTTCAACGCTTCTTGATTAATCATCTACCAATCATCATTTTTATTAAAAAAAAAAAAGAAAAACTGTTTATATAGGTGACTTTCTTTGTTTCTTCAACTTACATCATCTAGATGACTACCATGAGTGATGGATTCGAATCTTCGATAAGGAATACCCATTTTCGTCCTTAATCCAAATACCACTAATTCTTCCTTTGTTTGTTCATCAGAGATCGGTGTTATGCTTCGTAATCTATATATATAAAAAAAAAGGGATATCATCAGTTTATAGATATATTATCACCAGTATATTGAATTTACCCTTCACCACTTGATTCACATAAATCCATATACTTATCAGGATGAAATTCCTAATGTAGATTTTTCAAAAAAAAAAAAAAAAAAAAAAAAAGATGAGAGATGGTTTTAGAAATAACAACAAGAATTATGATTTTTCTTTTTTTACAGCAAATGTCCTAACACGTTGCAGAGTGGTAGGATCTGTCAATCTTCCATGAGCGCCAGGACCAATACCAAGATAATCCATCCCTTGCCAATATGAAAAATTATGCCGACTAATAGTATGTGGATATCGACTATAATTAGATACTTCATAATGATGAAAGCCATGATCACGAGCAAGCTAATAATAAGTAAATAAAAGAAAATGAATAATTTCAATTGATGATTATCATAATAAATAGATTTGATAGATACCTCAACAGTCATTTCATACATATCAGCGGCTTCATCTTGATTTGGTATAGGTGGTAATTCTCCTTTCATCACTGCTTTATAAATACTACCATATAAATATAAAAATGATGTGAAATGTTATTCCAGTGATCATGATAAATTCTTCTTTTTTTTTAATATATATATATATACTTTACGGTGTACCACGTTCAAGAGAAAGTTGATATAATGATAGATGATTACTCGCCAAATCCAGTCCCAACTATCAGGAAATGAGAATGAGTACATCAGAAATAAAATAAAATCATTCATCTTACCATTAATTCCTTTTTCCAATCATGTAAGGTTTGACCAGGTCGAGCAAAAATCAAATCAAATGTCATATTGTCAAATGATCGTTTTGCCATACCAATGGCTCGTATACTTTCAGTTCCAGAATGATCTCGTCCCATTCTTTGTAGAGCTACATCATCAAAGGATTGAATACCCAAGGATAAACGATTGATACCGATTTTTCGAAATGCTTCCAATTTTTCTAATTCCATTGACTATATATGTATATTTTTTTTTAATATTAATACTTTGAGCAATATCGTATCATTAGCCAAGATATTTTTTTTTTCAGTGCTTCAGAACTTACAGTGGGGTTTGCCTTTTTTTTTAAAAAAGGGAAAATATATATAAAAAAAAACATTATTCATAAAATCATTCATGATCATCCATTGACTTACTTCCATAGTAATTTCAATATTGGTAGGAAGATAACATGTATGATCCAGGGTATCTAATAAATAACTTAAAGTAGAAGGCTTTACATAGGATGAACGATAGAATCAAATATATCAATAGAATATATTTTTGAATTACCTTTGCTAAACCTTGATGATGAAAACAGAATAATAAAAAAAAAAATCAAAGATGAATCCACTGAATTTCCTTTATTATTATTATTATTATTATTACTTGGAGTGCCACCACCAAAATAAATAGAATGAAGTGGACGATGTTTCAATTGATATTGATTCACATAATATTGGATTTCTTTTGCCATGGCTTTTTTCAATCTATCTTCTGGTACTTGGGGTGGTTGAATATATTTATTAAAATTACAATAGGTACATTTGCTTGTCAAAACAAAAAAAAAGTTTAATTAAGATTTATGTTCCGGTGTCCCCACTTTTTTTTTTTTTTTTTTTTTTTATTTGTTCTACCTTTCACAATAGGGCCAATGTAAATAAATAGAAAATGGAACAGAAGACTTGTTGGTACTTATAGATCTACCTATATGTAAAATTTTTTTTCAACTTTTATTAAGAAAGATCAACTTTTCATTTTGAGCTTTTTTTTTTTCATGTTTTATACATTGACTTTTTAAACTGATGGAAATGTAAGATTTGAAAAAAGACATGACAACTCAAAATCTACAAAGAACGAAGAAAAAAAAAAAAGAGAGCAAAAAAGTTTGTGGCTCGTGAATTTTTTTGGGGGAACTCGATTTTGTTATCCTCACCCACCTGCTTAAAAAAAAAAATTAGCCAATAAAAATTTGATGTTCAAGCATAGGGAAGAGGGAAAGAATGCATTCATAAACAAAGAATAAAAACTACTTTGTAAGATGGAATCAATTACATTGAGGTGTAATAAAGTAGTAGGAATAAAAATAAAAGCTTTATTAAATAAAAATATAACTACTACAGATCACTAATTGATATAATATGATTAAAGTTATTACAAAGAACAAAATAAAAATACGGACTTTAAATAACGCGGTACGTACGCCCGATGTGTCTAGAATACCATCGCGAAAAGGACAAGGGATGTTGATGGGTAGAGGTTATAATGATCTTCGTTTTCTGCTGTGATTCTTTGGGTGTCCTTTGTGGTCTTGCTTATTTGGCAGGATTATATGGTGTTCTATGTGTCGTCGTACGTTCGAAGCTTTCGCGAAGAAAACATCTTTTTCACAATATGGACATAATTACTTATAATGCAATATATATGAAAAATAAAAAGAATATGGCAAATGTAACAAAATAAGTATATGATGATTTGATACTTGATTCCAAATATAGATGTCTTGATTATGATCACACTTGACGATGATCAAATAAAATAATATAATAATTTGAATGTAACTTGATAATAAAATAATAAATATAAAACTTAAGATGATTTGATTATACAATCTTTTATTTTATAAAATTGATTTGATCTTTGACAAAGAGGAAAAAACATATGAACTACGAGATGTATTTATACTAAAACTAAGGATTATTCTTAGATGATGATGATTAATCATCATAAGAAACAATGAGAAAATAAAACGGATGAAACTGATAAATGTGATAAAAAACGTAATAACGGATGAAACTGTGTAAGAGGAGTGATTCAGATGAGACCAAAAATATAAAAAAGAAAAGAACGTCTTGGTCAAAAGGGTGAGAAATGGACAAAAGTCAAGGTTTCAATGATGATTTCTTCCTATCACAAAAGAAAAACTATGATATAAAAAAGATTGTGAATAAAAAAATGTGCGGGATGATAAAAAAAAAATTGTCGTAACCCTAGTCATCAATCCATCACCTATTTTGCATGATGGCAAAACTGTCCAAATGCTATGTATTGAAAATAGACATAACTTTATGATTATTTCAGGTATCAAACTAGTTTTTATTTAAATAAAAGATAAAATGTATACTTTTTTTTTTTATTACAGTAAGGGGGTATAACATCTAAAGAGAAATAATAAATAACAAACCATTTTGGACAAGTCTTTTTTTTCGCATTAATTTCCATAAAATACACCTTTAAAGGAACAGAGAGTATGTCGTTGTTGTTTAAAGCTTTGTATTCATACACTTTGTCTTTTTGGTTCAAAGGGCAAGTACACCAAGTGAAGGAATTGGGCTGAAGTGAGTGTCTACCATAAAAGTAAAAGAGAAAAAAAGAAGATGAGATATTACCAAGTAATCACCAGCCATTACTTATTCCATACCGAATTTAATTTCACCATTCATTTTGTAGCTTATCAGTTGTAACTTGTAATGAATTCCTGCTTGGATAGTAATGATAATGAAGTAAAGGTCGATATCGATATTACGACCTACGCCAAAATAAGTTCGGTTGAATCTTCCAAATAACAGATATCTTGAGTTCCACAACATTAGCTTCGTTTGTAAATAAAAGGTACACGTCGTTTACTCTATTGTAATGATAGACATAATAATATTACGGGAAAAAGAAAAAGAAGAATCCTAAAACTTTCTTTTTTTTTAAAAGTCAGGGAAAAAATAAGTCCTTTTCGTCTTCTTTTTCCCGACTTTTTCCTTCTATTTATTTTTATTATTTTTTTGTTCTTGTTCCTGTTTACATTTATTCCTTTCTGGTTGACCATGCCTTCATATGTCACCGATGCCAATTTGAATAGTTATCAATTGGCTTTTTGTGGTGCCGTTGCTGGTGTTGTGTCAAGGTAAACTTTATTTGAAATATATATACATAAAACTTTCTAAGAATCTATTTCCTTCTTTTTTTTTTCTTTTTCTTTAGATTTGTTGTAGCTCCTTTGGATGTAGTCAAGATTCGAATGCAATTACAAAACCATCGTACTGATTTTAGCTTTCGCAATGTTGGTCTTCACTCGGAAACTTCTATCGACAATCATCCTATCAAATATAGTGGTGTTTTACGATCCTTAAAAACTATTTTAAAAGAAGAAGGCATCAAAGTATGAACGAATAAATTAGGAATAACAAATAATTGATTTATTTTATATTTTCTTCTTCAAAAAGGGTTGGTACAAAGGCAATATTCCTGCAGAATATCTATATCTATCCTATAGTGCTATTGAATTTTGGACATATAAGGAATTAGAAAGTTGGATCGATATTGAGGTAACAAAAAAAAAAAAAAAAAGGAAAAGGTCATATTCAAAAATGACTTGATCAGATGTGTTAAGTAAAATGATTTTTTTTTTTAGGACAAGGAACAAAAGATGCCTAGAGTGATGAAAACATTTGTTAGTGGTATGGTAGCCGGTAGTGTAGCGACAACAGCGACATATCCCTTTGATTTATTACGAACAAGATTTGCAGTACAAGGAAGAACAAGACTTTATACAGGCGTATTTCAAGCTATGCGAAGTATTTATGCAATGGAAGGTATTCAAGGTTTTTATCCCGGCATTCGACCTGCTCTTATTCAAATTATGCCTTATATGGGTTTACTCTTTGCTACTTATGATGGATTGGCCATGGCATTCAAAAAAATGAGAGTAAGAATAATAATAATAAAAAAAAAGTGAGGGAATGATTTGGAATTTATAATTTTTATTCTTAGGATGAAGGGTTAGTATCAACACAGTATAAGGCAACACATGATATGTTGAGTGGGGCATTATCAGGGATTATTAGCAAGACAGCAGTTTATCCTATTGATGTAGTACGGAAAAGATTACAAGTTCAGGGTCCATACTTGACAAATTATGTGATTCAACCTACCAAATATTCATCGGCTTCTTGGTCTCAATGTATGAAGTTGATTGCAAAACAAGAAGGTTTCAAAAGTCTTTACAAAGGTTTAGTTCCATCTTTGGTCAAGATAGCTCCTGCTAATGCTGTGACCTTTTTAGTATTTGAAGAAACTAAGAAACTTTTGGTGTCTCTGTAGGATTATCTTGGTTATATACACAAATTTATACAACTTTTTTTTATTTATATATCATACTATAGACTTTTTTATTATTACTATTTTTTTTTTTTTTTACTTCGTTTTACTTGTACATAATTTTCATTCTCTGCATAAACTCCAATAAACCAAAAGTTTGCCACCTGTTTATTGCACTTCTGTCAAAGGAAATCTATCGTGCCTATTCTCAGGGGTAAAACTCAAAACATTGTGGTCACTTATCATCTATTTAAATGATTCTATGAACATACAGCGTCATATATGATTTGAAATGAATTATTGTTAATATATATATATATCATTCGATGAATAATAGTAGTTATGATTTGAGCAAACTTTTACGCATTGATCTTTTTTTTTTTTTTTGAATTGATTGAAAACCTTTTGATCCAATAAAAAATTGGAACTTGATTGGCCCCTTTTAGACTATTTCAATGACCGCAGTGTCCTTTTTTTTTTTTGGGCTAAAATATCTTTTTTTTTTCTTGGCTCCGCTTTTTTTTCCCAAACCTTCTTTTTTTCCCTTTTTTTTTTTTCTCTCTCTCTTCTCTTCTCTTTATAATAACCTCAATACTTCATCTATACTACTTTCTTTAGTAGTTAGTTTTGTTTTCGTTTCCTTTTTTTTTTATTATTATATCTTTTGAAATTTTTTTTTTGGCTGGTCCTTTCCATTACCAAGGTTACTTGCTTACTTTAGAAAGTTGACCTCATCTTTATTTTTCGGTTGACGTTTCTTTTCGCCATCATCATATTCTACATCCTCGGTAACTATTCCAAAAAGAAAAAAGTCATACGATATTGGACCTATTCAATGAATTTTGAATTCTTCTTATATATATATATATATTAACTAATATCTTACCTTCTCTTTTTATATATATTCTAGATATTTATATATTATATCAACCCTTATAACAAGACCTTTTATAATATCAAAAAATGGCTGTAAGTTTAAAACAAAACAAAAAAAAAAAAGATGTGACACAAGAAAAAAAAAGGAATGAATGAATGGGAGTAGGCTTAGCATTTCATTGGTTATTAATATGACTATTTATTGAATAGGATCAAGACAAAAAGATACAAGAATTGACGGCACGTATTGAACAAAACAAAAAGATGCGTGACAAGGCGATTCAACTTCGAGGACTTTTACGTGATCGAAATGGAATTTCTCAATGTGAAACTGAAATTAAGGAATATCAAAAATATATTGATTATTTTTCAGAAGAACTACATAAATTACAAGCAAAATCAGCTCATCGACAAAGTACAGATGATTCAACCATTACTCCTACTACTGAACCAAACACTCCTCTTACTTCATCAGATCAACAAGCTGCTCCACCTCGTACAAGTAGTATGGCTTCTTCTACTACTACTAATTCATCATCTCAACTTGTTAGTCCTACAAATACTTTGACAAATACAACAAACGACAATAATCCTTCTGTACCAAGGAAAAGATATACTAATCTCGGTAAGAAGATTTCTTTTTTTTTTTTCTTGTTCCTATTTTTAACCTATATATATATTCTATATATATTTAATTAAATAGATCTTTTGACCACCGCCACTCCTTACAATAAACCCAAGGTGTCTCTCAAGTTACATGAATTGGAATACAAATTAGATGTGGAAAAACAAATGCTTAGTGCTATCAAGAATATGGCTGAAATCTTTGAAAAAGATCCTTCTGGTGATCGAAAACGTCGTAGTGAAGTTCAAGGTCAATTATATGAATCTATTGAAAAACTCAACTTGTTGAAAAAAGCTTTACGAAAATACAAGGACCTTTATATTGATGAAGGCGATGAAGATGATGATGGTAAAAAAAAATTATATTGACCAAAATAAAACAACTAACCAAAAAAAAAATTCTTTTTTTTTCTTTGTTATTTATATAGAAGTCGAAACACCTCCTTCTGCTCGTCTACCTCCTGGTCTTCGTCGTCCTATCACTGGTAAATTATTGATGGAAATCGTTGAAGCTCGTGAATTGGCTCATGCTCCTACAAGAATGATCAAAAGTCCTAGTACTATTGTTGTCATCAAAATTGATAATAATGTTGTTTTTAGCTCACGTCCTTCTCGTTCTGATCGTTGGTTTGAACAATGTGAAATCAATGTTAACAAGGCATCAGAAGTTGAAGTCTCTTTATATGATCAAGCTTTGGATCGTGCCACTGATCGTGTTAGTCTTCCTATTGGTGTTTTTTGGTTAAAGATCACTGATATTGCTGAAGGTCTTCGTCGTCGTAAAGTTCAACAAGAGAATGGTATTCGTTGGGTTTCTGCTGCTGATCAACAACAATCTACTGGTGGTGGTGATGTTACTTCTTCTGATAATCCAGACAATGATAACAATAATAATAACAAGCCAGATGATCCTTCCTCTATTCCACCCTCTCAGCAACCTATGAAACAAGCTTCTGATGGTATTGAAGCATGGTTTGAAATTGAACCTTTGGGAAAAATTGCTTTGAGATTGAACTTTGGTAAGTTGAAGTGTAACAAAAAAAAAAAAAAAGACATTATACTGATATTATTTTTTTATTTTATTTTTATAGTACGTGAAACTACGGCTGGTCGTCCTATGGATCGTTTGGGTAGAGCTGGTGCTGTGCGTCAACGAAAGGAAGAAGTACATGAAATCAATGGACATCAATTTGTGGAAAAGAAGTTCTACAACATTATGAAATGTGCTTTGTGTGGTGATTTCTTGGTGAAAAGTGGTTATCAATGTGAGGATTGTGAATATACTTGTCATCCTGATTGTTACGGAAAGGTCGTGACCAAATGTATTTCCAAATCAACATCTGAAAATGTAAGAAAAAAAGAAAAAGAAAAAAGTCATTAGAAACTAATTTATTATTATTAAGGATTCGGATGAAGACAAACTCAATCATCGTATTCCTCATCGATTTGAACCCATTACAAATATTGGTGGTAATTGGTGTTGTCATTGTGGTTATATGCTTCCTCTTGGTTCCCGAAATGCAAGAAAGTGTTCAGGTAAAATAATAATAATAATAAAAAGAGTCAAGTAAAAATAGATTAAATATCTTTTTTTTTTCTTTGATTCTGTAGAATGTGGTATCACCTGTCACGCCAAATGTGCTCATCTTGTTCCTGACTTTTGTGGTCTTTCAATGAAGATGGCAAATCAAATGTTGGCCGAAATCAAAGCAGCCAAACGAAAAACATTGGAAACAAATACAAGCTCCAAACCCAAGCCAAAACCTGAACAAGGATCTCCGTCAACAGCTCATGATTTGTCTCCTCAATTGTCACAAATGCAAATCTCTCCTCAACCTTTGCCACCAAAGACACCACCTGCTTTGCATCATCCTTCTCCTGTTCAACCAACTACAGGTCAATCTCCTACCATGAGTCCTAGTCCTCAACAACCTCGTCCTGTGATGCCTGGTCCTCCTCCTATGGTCCCTATGCATGGTGCTGGCCATCCTCCTCCTCCTCATCCTCAACAACAACAACAAGCTGGTTATCCCTTCCCTCAACCTCAATATGATCCTAGATATCAACAACGTCCTCCTCAATTTGATCCAAGATATTATCCTCAACAACAACAACAACAACAACAACATATAGATCCTAGATATCCTCCTATGCAACAACAACCACCTTATGGTCAACCTATTCCTTCTTATAATACGCAACCAATACCCAATCCTGCTATGCGTCCACCTGCTCCTCATCATCATCAACAACAACAACAACAGCATCCTCAATCTCCTGTTGGTGGTGTTCCACCTCCTGCTGCTGCTGCTGGACATCTTCAACAACGACCTCCTCCTACAACAACACCTGCAAAACCTATGGTATCTCCTGGTGGTGGTGCTCCTGCTCCTCCTCGTAAAGTGGGATTGGAAAGTTTCAACTTTTTGGCAGTGTTGGGTAAGGGTAATTTCGGTAAAGTTATGTTGGCGGAAGAAAAGGCAAATACATCCAATCTCTATGCTATCAAGGTGTTGAAAAAACGATTCATTATTGACAATGATGAAATTGAAAGGTAAAAATAAAATAATAATTTTATAAAATGAAGACTAATTCCTTTTATTATAGTGTACGATCGGAAAAACGGGTATTCCAAGCTGCCAATCGTGAACGTCATCCTTTCTTGATTGGACTTCATTCTAGTTTCCAAACTGAATCTCGTGTATACTTTGTCATGGAATATGTTAGTGGTGGTGATTTGATGTGGCATATTCAAAGAGAACCTTTTTCAGAACGTCGTGCAAAGTAAGTATTATATATTTATTTATAGTGTTCATTGATTTTTTTTTTTTTTTTTTGGTTTAGATTCTATGCATGTGAAGTTTTATTAGCATTAGAATATTTCCATAGTCAAAATATTATCTATCGGGATCTCAAATTGGACAATATTATGCTTGGGTTAGATGGTCATATCAAGATTGCTGATTATGGGTTGTGTAAGGAAAATATGGGTTATGGACAAGTGACAGGCACATTCTGTGGTACTCCAGAATTCATGGCACCAGAAATCCTTTTGGAACAAAGATATGGACGTGCTGTAGATTGGTGGGCATATGGTGTATTGATCTATGAAATGTTATTGGGCCAATCTCCTTTCCGTGGTGAAGATGAAGATGAAATATTTGATGCCATCCTGGAAGACGAAATCTTATATCCTATCAACATGTCACGTGATTCAGTAGGTATCTGTCAACGGTTATTGACACGAGATCCTGAACGACGTTTAGGTTCGGGTCCAAATGATGCTGGTGATATCAAGGGACATCCTTTCTTCCGTGGTGTCAACTGGGATGATATGCTTGCCAAACGTGTTCCTCCTCCTTTCTATCCTACCATTACGGATCGTTTGGATACTTCCAACTTTGATGAAGAATTTACTCGTGAACGTGTCGCTCTCACTCCAATTGATGTCAATATGACCCGTGTGGAACAACAAGAATTCCAAGCCTTCTCTTATGTTGCTGATTGGGCATCTCAAGGCCGATGGTAAATCAATCAAGGTTCTAGTCAATTTTTTTTTCTTTGGTTTTTTTTTTTTTTTCTTACTCTATAGTTTATCACTTTTTTTTTCCCCTATTTATTCTTTTTTTTTTTTTCTCTATATATTTTTATATAAATATTACTGCATCATTGTGTATATGTGTGTGTCTCAATAAACCAGAAAATTATATTCTTTTTGTAACTTTGTTCTTGATGATCTGGAGATCCTATTCATTTTACATACAAGATCTACTCTTATCCTATTATCATGAAAGTGGATCATCCAGTAAAACAAGGAATAACATGAATCTTTATTCGATGATTTTTTTTTTTATAAGATGATCGATTTTCTACGGAGTACCAAATAGACATCGCCAAAGAGTCAATTTTTTTTTTCATATTTTTTTTTTTTCATTTTCTTTTATTCCTTCTTTTTTTTTTTTTAACATTTAGACAAACTTATGCTCGGTCGACGGTTTTTTTCAATAACAAGGACATTATCACATGAAAATCCTTTGGTAAGAAATGAGAAGAAAAAAAAAAGTAATAATATTCTAACCAGCCATGTTTTTTTTGTCAAGGGTATACCACGATCACCTGGCAAATCAACAACAGCAAAACCGCCACCTAATATACCACGGATGCAACGAGGACTTCCAACCAAACAAGCGATTCGAGGAGTGAAAAATGTAATAGTAGTATCTTCTGGAAAGGGTGGTGTGGGCAAGTCAACAACAGCAGTGAATCTAGCATTGGCAACGGCAGGAATGAAACATCGTGTGGGGATCTTGGATGCCGATCTATTTGGTCCATCGATTCCATCCTTGATGCATTTAAAAGGTGAACCTGAACTGACAGAAAATGGGGATCGTTTGGTACCACTTATGAACTATGGTGTACAGTGTATGTCTATGGGTTTTTTGATCCCTCAAGATGCTCCGGTGGTATGGCGTGGTCTGATGGTCATGAAGGCTTTACAACAACTTTTACATCAAGTTGAATGGAAGGATGTGGATTATCTATTTGTTGATATGCCTCCGGGTACAGGTGATGTCCAACTCACACTTAGTCAACAAGTTATTATCAATGGTGCTGTTATTGTTTCTACTCCTCAAGATATTGCTCTTATTGATGCTGTCAAAGGAACTAATATGTTTAAAAAAGTCAATGTTCCGGTAAATATATATCTATATATATATAAAATGGTATCTCATCTTTTTTTTTTTTTTTTTTTTTTGAAATAGATTTTGGGAATGGTGCAAAATATGTCCTTATTCATTTGTCCAAATTGTCAACATGAAACTCATATTTTTGGTGATGATGGTGCAATGAGAATGGCCAATAAATTAGAGATTCCATTTTTGGGTGAAGTGCCACTTCATGCTGATATTTGTCATTTATCTGATACTGGTCAACCTATTGTGATTTCTCAACCAGATAGTGCATTTGCTGCTCATTATCGTACGATTGCAAGCAATATTATTGATTCCTTGAACAAACAAAAAAATATCCCCTAGTTTAAAATTCTTTTATTATAATAAATAAAAAAAAATATATTATTTAATAAGCATCACTTTGTTTTATACGTTGAGAACACCAATCAGCAAGTTTATCACAATCATTTGCCCAGGCACGTTTGGTGGAAGCTAACAAAGGAGAAGTGACATAGACATGAGGTTCATTATGACGGGTGATGACATGAACATCCACCTCTTGTTGTGTTAAACGAGTGATATAGCGTTCAACATCATTAGCAAATCGCTCACGTTGACCATAAGTCACCAACATGGGAGGTAAACCAGTACTATCCACATGCAAAGGACTCCATTGTTCCAATTGTTGTTGCCAGGTCTCCTTACGTAATTCGGGGAAAAGTTCAGTCAAATCTTGCTTCATCATGGAATCGGGTAAACAATCAAACGCGGCATGTTGAGTAAAACTAGGAGATGAATGATCAAATGTCACAAGAGGAGAAATCATAATGCCTCCCAAAGGTACAGGTTGATGTTGTTCAATTAATCTTGGTAATAACATACCTGTCAAATGACCACCTGCCGAATCACCACCTATACAAAAAAAAAAAAAAAAAAAATTAAAAAAAAAAAAAGTAGTTTCCTTTTTAGGCGTAATGGGACTGACCAATGATGATTTTTGAACTATGAACACCTAATGACAAAAGATATCGAAAAGCATCATTGGCTTGGTCCAACATACGATGCCAATCATGTTCAGGAGCAAGATCATACTCGAGGGATAAAATGGTCAAATGGATATCATGCACTTTTTCAAGTCGATGCATCAAGCGTAAAAAGAAATCAGGATACATCGTACTACTACCTACACGGAACCCACCCCCATGAATGTAGAGTAGCACCAAGTCGGCAGTTTTGTTGATGGTGTTCTCCACATAATCATGAACCCGATAATAAGAAGAATTGTGTTTTTTTCTTTGAATGTCCTTGGCAAACCAGTGCCCAGCCACCCATGTGGCATTCAAAGGTGATTTGGCCAACGAAGCTACATGATCCCATTGTGAACCATGCGGTAATGTGGTTTGATGGACCAATCGACGGGATGATTTCGTGGGTCGTCCCAATAGGTATTTCACTACTTGTGATCGTTGTTTGTGTGGAAGACATAAAAGAAATCCTTTGATTGTCTTGAAAATCATATCAATCGCTATTTTGATGATGATGATGATGATTAATAAGTAAAAAAAAATATAATCCCTCTCTCTCTCTTTTTTTTTTTTTTTTTAAATATATACTTACCGAGATTACGAGTTTTACGATATGCCCAAAAGGTTGTCAAAAGAGCAATCAACCATGTTTTAACCCCAGGATGATATGATGCCATCATCAAAATAAGAAATAAAAAAAAAAAAAAAAAGAAAGAAATAAAATAAAAAAAATAAAAAAACAGAGATTTCTTATTTGTGTGGGGTTTGTATATATATTCTTGTGTTACTATCATTTACTCAACAAGCTTTTTATTTGAATAAACTATATTTTTTTTTTTTTTGTTGTTTGGCTGCAAGTTGATTCACGTGTTATAAGTTAAAAGCCGCGGAAATTGAATAAACTGTAGCTAAAAAGTGAACAAATGATTTACCAGTCATAAGGATAAAGGTTGCATATATAAGGTATCTTTATTGCAGTAATATTATTAATGAACTTCTTTTGATACGATACAATTATGTATGAGAAAACAGGTTAGTTTAGTTGATTCAAGATATTCTTTTTTTTTGATAAAGCTTCATTGTGATTCAATGACTTTGTTTCAAGCTCCGGATTTGATCAGTTGTTTCGCTTTTTTTTTTTTTTTTTTTTTTTTTTTTTTTTTTTTTTTTTTTTTTTTTTTTTTTTTTTTTACCATTTATGATATTTATACTATCTCTTTTGCGTTGCGCACATCCTGGATGGGTTGATGCGTGGCGACCGTGCCTCAGAGCCGGAGGGTCTTCTTGTTTTTTTTTTTGGTAAGTGCACGTATACAAATAATGTTTAGTTGATCATAACACTAACCATTTTTCCATTTCTTCTTTTCAACCACCGAAATGGGGTGAAAATACCGTCGATAGAAAATAAGTAGGCCCTTATTTATCTTTTCTTTCCTTTCTCTTTTCGCTTTTCCTTTTTTTTTCCCACACACATAAAGTTCTATTCGAATATCTTCTCTGTCTATTGTTTATACCTCTTTCAAACGACTTGTCCCTCTCCTGATCCTTTTGTTGGTTTATCAAACAAGCAGATCATTACCCATTTGAAACAATGAAAAGAAGGACAAACTTGACGCTGTAAACCAAGGTAAATAGACAAAAAAAAAAAAAAATAAAAAGCGCGTTTTCTTATTTATATTTATATTATTATTTATCTAGTTACATGTGGTCGTTGTGGTCAAGAAGGTCACAAAGATGCTCGATCTCCTCTCTGCCCCATGAATGCTCGAAACCTATCTGGTATGTAATCTTTATTTTATTCAATTATTTTACTCACGTATTTATACTTCAAATACATAGATGCTGAGAGTTCAGCAAGTCCTCGACGGTACAAGAGACCTCAGACTGAATCCTCAAAGCAAGCAGCAAAGCACCAAAAGTTGGCTGGAAAAGCTCTCCTGGATGAACGTCAAGCAAACAAGAATGTCCCAAAATGCAAGAAATGTACTAATGCTGGTGTGACTGAAACTGATAACTACATCCCACACGGTAATTCCCGATCAAGACACTGTCAGTTCCATCAAGCCACTATGAATGACGTGATCAAGACTATTTTTGGGGATTCCTGGGTCATGGCGACAAGAAAGATCACTCTTGACAAATTCCTCGCTCTTGAAGATGAGAACAAGCAAAAGGTATCCGGTACAATCATTTCCGTAGTTGATTACGTCCGTGAAGTCGCCATCAAGGCAAACATGTTCGTTTCATACTATTTTCTTCGTCGATTGGAACATGACTATGAACAAACTGGCTCTACTTCCGGTGTTCTTGCTGATGATGCTCCTGTTGCCTCTCTCTCCTCTGTTCCTGGTCTTTCTTCTGCCACTGATGATGCGCCTTCTGCTGATATTTTGTCTGTTACTGGTGATGTTTCTCTTTCTGGTGATGTTTCTCTTTCTGGTGATGTGTCTCTTTCTGGTGATGTGTCTCTTTCTGGTGATGTGTCTCTTTCTGGTGATGTTTCTCTTGCTGATGGTACTTCTCTCGATCCTGATGACTCTTCAATGGCCTCTGCTGTCAATACCCCTTCGCCTGCTGGCAGTTTGGAATCATTCATCCGTACCGCTGGTGGCCTGGACATGTCTTCTATTGTTAGTGAAGGCAGCTCTGAAGGACTTGATCAAACCGACGTCGCTGGTATCATTGATGATGATGATGTTCGCACTCCTGGAGGTATTAACCGATCTTTCCGTGGAATGCACCCTGTCCTCTTCCATGGTAATTTCTATTATGGCTGTATACAGTTAGTACTTGGTCAGCATATCACAAACAAAACTGGTAGTATCCCGTGGATGACAAGGAATGAAATATTTGATGAATATAAGCGACAATTTGACAGTGATGAAGAATGCATAGTATCTCTAAACAAGACTGATATCTCATAATCGAATACTTTGGCACACCTGGCAAGAAATTCAGCCGTCATGATCAAGAATTGTGTGGTGGAAACGTTCGAACAACGAGCTGCTGGTTACCTCGAACACCTTCTTCGTTTAAAAACAAAGGTAACTAATTAAAGATATATAAAAGGAAAAACCATTAAATTCTAACATTTCTTCATCTGTATAATTTATAGTTACTTTCACCTCTTCAAGCCAAGCGAGCTTCTCTCTACTTGTATGATGTTTTATCTGGAGCAACCAGTCCATATTGGCCAACAGAAATCGAGCGAACTGACGAACTCAATACCGTTTTGGAACAAATTAAAGCTGCTACTACTTTAGGTCCAACTCCCATCACCCCAAATGTACTAGTGACAAATGTTGAAGTTTACATGACAGTTCTTTACAAGATCTTGGTACAGCTGGAACAGTACAACGCTGGAGAAATGCAACGAGCAGATGAAGTACAAACCCAAGCAACTCTCCCTTGGGCTCTTTCAATGGTCAAGACGCTCGATGATTATCGTTCCTTAAATCGCCGCCAACGTACAAAACTGAAGTATCAGCTTTTTGAAAAGGTTAATAACGACACTGAAGACAATTATACTTTTTCCTCTCCTGTCTGCCAAGTTTCCAAGGATAAACTGGTGAAATTGGTGTTGGAAACAAGAGAACAAATCAAGAACTCGATCAACTTTTTGCAAGGTAATTAGAAAATAATAATAATAATAATAATAATAATAATAATAATAATAATAATAAAGGGAAATTCATACCTTTTTTTTTAAAAAAAAGAAATTGACATACAAATAGGCCATACTGAAATAGCAAGAACTGACTGATTTTTACCTGAACGATCTGTTGTGGCCAAGCAAACTCGTCTGTTCAAGCTCTTACCTTCACTGTCAGTCAAGCGACACTGTCAGTCAAGCGAGGTTTATTGACATTGATATCCTGACCTTGCGTGCCATTCTTTCTCATTCTGGTGCAACTTTAAACATCAACATCAACATCAACATCAACATCAACATCAACATCAACATCAACATCAACATCAACATCAACAAACCAGTGAAGAAAATAATGCAGAACTCGAAAATTTAAGGGAACAGATGAGACGTGATGTACAAAATTACAAAAAAGAAATCATTATCTCTGGTATTTATAGTGGTACGGTAATCGTGGAAAATAACGATAATCTTTTTTTTTAACTTACATGAAATTGAATCTTTATATTCTTCTTCCCATTTGATTAGATGACACATATGAATATAGGTAAAGCAATCAAAACAAAAAGAAAAAAATAGTAGAAAATGACACTTACTGTTTTATTATGGTCATGAAATGCATTCTTTCTTTTTTGTGTAGGCATATCATTCTTCCCAAACAAATTGCTCGTTATCTCCCTGATAAGAAATACAAGATCTTGTTACAAGAAAAGGAATATCGTCGACTAGATGTGAACATATCATTAGGATGGCAACATTATATGACTTATAGTAAGTTTTGATAATATAATATTTCTATTCTTTGACTTAACTTTTTCTATTCATAGAACCCGAACCCAATATCCTCTTGTTAAGACGCAACTTTGAAGATGCAAAAAGAGTAAAGAAAAAAAAAAGAATCATTTTCAAGTAAAGTCGTTTTATTAATTGGCCTTTTTTTTTTTTTTTTTTTTTTTTTTTGAAGGGCATGAAATTAGAAAATTATCATCCACAGAATACTAGACGCGTGCCGGGTTCAAACGAACTACTAATAGAATCAATAAGGAAAAGTCAGAAGCAGTTCGAACAGTTGAAAAGCCGCTATTACAACAAATAGAAAGCCAAACAACTATACAAGATTATCATGATGATAAGATACAATCACCATCTCCAATGGAGCAACATTCTTCCTATTATACTGGTGATACTGAAAGCGATGGCGAATCCGAAGAAGAAACAAAGGAATTTTCTACTCAATTTGTGATAGCGACAAGAATATTGGTATTATGGATTACATCAACTCGACACTAGAAGCATTGGAAGTATTAACAACACTCTATGGTCAAGAGCATTTACAAGGTCTCAAGTTCTTAAATTATCAAGGCAGATAGGTGATGGATGAAGAACTAGTAAAATATCTTTGTGAATGGGAAAGAAAGTACAAAGCTCCTCCTGGTGCTGAAGAAAGATTGGCAAATCGTAGCTATGGTAACTACCAAAGAAGACGCAGAAGACCAAGAAGGACAAGAAGAACTAATAATGAACTGATGTACAACCTCCTCCTACAATAAAAACAAGGTAAGTCTAGTTGATTGCAAATGAATGTGCAATATATATACTGACACTTATGTATTTTATTATTGATGCATATAGAAAGTGGAAATAAACGGCAATCGACAATGATAATACCAAAGTTCCTGTAGTGATGTTTGGGGTTGCAACCTTTGGGCGAAACAAAAAGGGTGCAGGCGCTTTAGCAGATAAATGTCGACGTTGACTGAAAAGGACGGACAAGACTGGCCGACTTATACATATCAATATGGATGAATATTTTAAATGGTACTGGTTCTGGTCGTGGTTCATTGTCGTTATCAAATATTCTTCACGTATGTTGTGTACCTATTCTGATGTTCCTTCTGACGCTGTGGTTGAACCTTACAATGCTGTTTTGTCTGTTCATCAATTGGTTGAAAATTGTGACGCTACCTTCTGTATTGATAATGAAGTTCTTTATGATATCTGTTTCCGTACTCTTAAACTATCTAACACTGGTTATGGTGTTTGCACTTCTTTACGTTTCCCTGGTCAATTGAACTCTGATTGATGTCTCGACTAACCGATTGTACAATATGGACCCTTTATTATGAATGCAAAAGAAAATATCTATCAAGTCTTCTCTGGTTATGAAAGAGGTGAAAATGGTTTTGAAGGAGCAAATGAATTCGTATCTGATGTCGAGGAAATTGGAAACATTAAGTTGACGATCTGGTCTTTCTCTATCTCTGTTTGTCCATATTGTGTGTAGATGGATGATTGATTAGTTTAATGTATTTTTATTATATCCCTCATTTTTAGAGTCATACTTTCTATTATTATTATTATTATTATTATTATTATTATTATTATTATTATTATTATTATTATTATTATTATTATTATTATTATTGGTGAATAAACCCTTTGGACTTGTTTTGAAAAACCATTTGTACGAACGTGACTGATATGGCTGATGATGACACTTATTATGTTAGTTTGACGGATGATGGATGATGGATGGAGTAATGATGCTACAGGATGAGTGGTGATTGATACCTGTGATGATATACTCAAATCAGGGCTGTACCAGTGTTCAATATGCGTTTCTTTACATTGTACTATTGGTCATTACGCGCTTCTGTGTGTTGTCAAATTCTTCTTCACATCAACCGATTGATATATACAGGTCAAAATATCGTCATTAGGTAAAAAAAAAAAAAAAAAAAAAAGTGGATGAATTGATCTGTTTGTTAATGCATGTCAATGAACGACAGGCATAAAAGATAGTCTGGTATCAGCAGGAAGCACTTTGTTATGCTGTGAATTAAAGACCAGCGCGTTTTCATAAGGTCAATTTTTTTTTGTTTCTTCTTCCGTTATTCCTTGTTCTTTTTTATTTTTATTTTTATTTTTATTTTTATTTTTTATATTTTTATTTTTTATATTTTTATTTCTATTATTATAGCTATTCAAAAACTCTTTTCTTAACTCATGGAGGCAGAACAATTGATTATTGAAGATGAATTACTTGAATTGATGGGCATAAATGAACAAGACATTATCCAACCGCGAAGCGACTATGAAGGCATGTCTGTTATTGACATTATCACATACAAAAAACGGTGGAAACGACAGCAAACTCTATTACAGCGTGGTCAGTACTGTGTTATGTTTGATTGATGAATATGAATATTTTATTAACCTCCTTTTTTTTTTTTTTCCTCAAAAATATATATATAGCACAACGGCAGCAAATTCAACTTGGTGAGGCTGACAATGACGACGATAGCGAAGAAGACGAACCTGGTGACGATGAATCTGTGTCAACTCGTGGATCTTCCTCCAAGCAGCTGGCTGGTAGCAAGCGTAAAAGAAAACAAGGTGGTGTGGAAAAGGCGTTGAAGCGTCGTGGTCAACAACAGCGAAAAGTTATGGGACAAAAAAAATCAATCAAACCTTGCCAAGAATGCCTTAGAAATGATCGTTTTGACACGGCGTATACTCATAGTCGAACAACAAGTCGTCTCTGTCCATTCCATGGTGCGACACGATTACAACTAGTACAGCAACAAGTGGGTAGAACCAGCACCGTCTGTCGAAAAATTGGATTGAAAACGATATTGAATGTAGATGTTTCTGACCAGCAACGTGTTTTGGATGGGATCAATGACGTGGTCTCCTATGTACGCAATATTATAATCAAGTCACACCTGTTCATTACCTTCTATGTTTACAACTGTTTGACGAATCACACACCGATCACGAAACAACTCTTCACCAAGAGCTTTTTTTACGCAGTTTTTCAGCAAATTAGTGGAGCCACCATCACTGTGAACAATACCATTGACCAAGGATTAGCATTGGCTATACGGGACAGCTACCACCAACTCAATCAAACACCAGCTCGTATAGAATCATTTGGCGAACAGCAAATACATGGAAAGCGATACTCAGAAGTTGTCTCATCAGCCATGGATCATTATGTAACATCATTCACGAATCGAATTGTCGAAGATATTACTCAGTGGATGGCAAATTTGTACTCACTTCGCATAAGTGAATTAAATCATCAACACCAACAACAACAACAGCATCAACAGCATCAACAGCAGCAGCAAGGTCTCGCGCAGCAGCAACAGCTAATTGGGCAGCAGCAACAGCTAGTTGAACAGCAGCAACAGTTACTTGAACAAGAACAACAACAACAGCAGCAGCTATTTCAACGACAGCGGCAGTTATTCGAACAGCAACGTCTGTCACTTGAACAGCAACAGCAACAACAGCTAGTGGAGGAACATCAGCAGCTAATCGAACAACAACAGCATCTACTTGAACGGCGGCATCAGATATTAGTACAGCAAGGACAGTTACTTCAACAGCAACAACAGGAACAACAAGATAACCTATCAGAACCACGCCAACGGCAAAATGTAAGTGATACAATCAAAGTCTTAAGAAAAGGAATAGTCGTCTCACACGCAATCGTATATTTCATTAATAGGTATTGACGGAAAAGGACTTCAACAAGCTCGGTCTTCATATTCTTGCAAGTGCCATCAACAATGCAGATATACGACCTGTTTCCGCAACTGATCTATCTGGACCAAATGTTACGGAACAACTAAAAAATGATGTCGCTACCGTTTTGAATGAAGCAAATGTGGATTTATGTACTATATACAACTTTGCTGCCCTGCAAACTCACACCGACACAAATCAGAAGTCAGTAGAAACATCTTACCGAGCCCTACATACTCAAATCATCCATGCAGAAACCGGCCTACGTACTACTATGAATAATGCAATCAACCGGATTCAACAACTTACGCAAAGATTGGCGGATACACACGACAACGAAATCACTGAGTCCTTATACCGGATATCTGAAAATCTCTATAACCTGCTTCGCTTACATCAAGATGCCACTGATTTAGTTGTTGAAGTTGCCAACGGCTTTGGATTGCAAATGGAATTGAACGATGAGCGATGGGATACAGCGGTGGTCAACAGTTTAATTACAACACTCCAAACAACTATGGAACAACGACGTGTAGCCGAAGAAGTGAACATTCAGCATCACGACTTAGAAACGCAGGAACTTTTGGATATGATGGACCTTGCAGCTATGGAAATACCACGTTTGATGGACGATCTCAACACTCATATTCAACAACACACAGTGTCCTTTCGTCAATTTGACCAAGCTCGCCAACTTTATTTTGGGAATGATGAATTTGGAAATCAGGTCTTGATGAATACTATAATTGATCATTGCCAGCAAGCTGGGGCTCCAATAACAGTTTTGGGAACGCACATACAACTATCGACCGCTTATATTAGTCGACATTGCGACATCTTTACCAAGTATGCTTTCAACATTGCTGTATATTTTGATGAATACAACAACGCAACAACGAATGCAGCAAACCCCGTCCAAACCAAAGTACCACGAACTTGGTGTTTCGAGAAGATCCGTGACCTTGATGATTATCCAAGAATGGGACGACGACGACGCTCAAAATTAGCAACTTTAGTACAAGAAATCATTCCAAAAAACGACAACTTGGACCATCACCGCCATCAATTAGAGTATCTATCTGATGTATCAATGACACAACTTCAAACATTAATCACTGACACCCGACAACAGATTCTATGCTCGACGCAGTATCTAGAAAATCCCCAAGAAAACCAACATCTTCTGCCCAACTGTTTTACGCCGGATGTCAATCATGTTATCAAAAAGAAGAGACTATACAACCTTGTACCAAAGCCCTCTTTTGTGAAGAAACATATCAAGATCAACGGTACGACTAGGAATCAGATTCTCCGCTCACTAGATCTTGGTCATTACGTTAACGGAAATTCAACATTATCTCGTATTCTCAAACTTGAGAAGATTAGAAGACATGACAGCATGGTTTTTTCCAATTATATTATGACAGACGGCTTTTCTGTTTCCGTTCCTTTTGACAAACCGGTTGGACATGGTGAAGCTTTGCCAGATTTGGTGCCAGCAGACTTTTGCGAGTGGGAATTTGATTATCTCAATGTTTGGGGCGCAGATCCCGGAATTACAAGTATATATGTAGCAAGCAATGGGTCAAGTAATGATGTTTATGACAGTGCACTGGATCATGAAGGTAAGTGGTTATCTTGGTTTTTTTTTTTTTTTTTTTTTTTTTTTTTTTTTTTTTTTTTTTACGTGAACTTATTATTAACATCATTCTTATTACGATTGTTATTAGATGTTATTCAAGGTTATTCTCCCCAAGATGCTAACACAGGTGATGCTGCTCCAGATGATGCTGCTCCAGATGATGCTGCTCCAGATGATGCTGCTCCAGATGATGATGCTCCAGATGATGATGCTCCAGATGATACTGCTCCAGATGATACTGCTCCAGTTGATGCTTCCCAAGATATTGCTTTCGAAAACGATGTTCCTCAAGGTCATACTCCTGAAATTGGTGCTGCCTCAGATCGTAATGTGGAAATGGATGATCAGTACGATAGCGATGACGATCTACAAGGTAATTTATAATAGCAAATTAATGACGATTGACAACGTTCTGACCTTTTTTTTTTTTTTTTTTTGAAGGACATGAGATAAGAAAATTATCATCCGCAGAATATTACACACGTGCCGGCTTCAAAAGAACTGTTAACAGAATCAATAACGAAAAGTCGGAAGAAGTTCGAACAGCTGAAGCCGCGATTAGAACCAACAGAACCACAAGCATGACTGGCATTACTGATTATATCAACTCCACCTTGGAAGCTTTAGAAGTACTAACAGCATTTTATGGTCAAGAAAATCTACAAGGCCTTAAGCTTTTAAATTATCAAGGAAGACAGAAGATGGATGAGGAGCTAATAAATATCTTTATCAACGGAGGAACGAAGTACAAAGATAAACCTGGTGCCGAAGAAAGACTGGAAATTCGTACCCATGGCAACTATGAAAGAAGACGAAGAAGACGAAGAACGACAACAAGAACTGACAATGGAAACACTGATGTACAACCTCGTACCATTAAAACCAAGTAAGTCTAGTTGATTGAAAATGAATGCACAATATATATACTGACACTTATTTATTTTATTATTGATGCATATAGGAAATGGAAAAAGGCACCAATCAATAACGATAGCAGCAAAGTTCCGGTCGTGGTGTTCGGTGACGCAAGATTTGGGAGAAACAACAAAGGCGCTGGCGCTTTAGCTGACAAATGTAGACGTTTATTAAAGAAGGCAGACAACGCTGGCCGTTTGGTACATATCAACATGGACGAATATTTAACTTCACAAATTTGTTCAAAGTGTGGATGTAGATCTCTTTCCAATGACATCATTACTGGTCCTGAAGACGAATCGAAACGCATGTATACAGTGCTGACGTGCACTCGTTGCAACACTGTATGGCAGCGCGACAGTAATGCATCAAGAAACATCCGGTCTCTGTTCTTTAACCTAGCCACCAGCGGACAGAGACCGGGTTACCTAGCTCGACCTTCGTAATCCGTGTATTAAACACACGTAGTTACAGTTGTGTAAGTTAAAAAAAATGAATCTTTATGATGATTTATTTATATTAACCACTATTTTTTTCCATTCATCCATCTGTACATCCTCCATTGTCTCAATTTTTATTTCTCCGCCATAGTTAAACTGTATCTACGCACGTACACACACAACACACACAAGACAAAAAAAAAAAAAACTGGCAACTTCTATGCGGATATATTATATGATATTTTTTTTTTTTTGATCCAAATTCATCTATTTAATAAACATGTGAAAAAGATGGTATAACAAAAAAAAATTTAATATTAATTATTATATATATTCACTTTAAATTGAGACAAAGTCCACCTGATAGTCTTTTTTTGGGTTAAATGATCATCATCCTATCAATTTTATATAAATCACTTACTTTATTTTTTTTTTTTTTTATTCTTAATTAATATATTAGTATTAACTTTTTATATTTGTAGTGAGTATTCCAAAGATAATAGATATTTGTTTATTTGAAAATGTTTACCTTTTTTTTTTCTTAAGAGAGATTTACAGTTTACAGTTTAACTAGATAAAAAAAACCCCGCTTATACGATTTTATTATGATTGTTGTCTTTCCGGTCTTCTTTATTTTTTCGGTTTTATTTTCTTTTTTTATTTTATTTATTTTTTTTTTTATTCTCTTTTTCTCTTTATATTCTTTATTTTTTTTTTCTCACTCTCTTTTTATTTTCTACTTTATAACGACTTAATTCAAGAAGGAGAAAAATAACAATAATAACAACATACCCACCAACGTCTTTTCTTTTTTAATATTATTGGTTACAACAAAACATCATTATAAAAAAAAAAAAACAAAAAAAAAAAACGATAATACACCAAAAGTTTGGTCATCATGGGATTATGCCAATCCTCTTCACAACGTCAATCAGCTGAAGCGAAACGAAGTCATGAAATTGATAAGGAATTGGAAAGAGAACGGAAACAACAAACGAGACATTGTAAAGTACTCTTATTAGGTAAAGTAAATGGAAATATATATATATTTTTGGATAGGGCTTTTTTTTTTTATTATTATTATAAAGTCACAAGTTATAACTACTATTACTTTATATCGTTACTATATTGTTAATTTTTATTGGTGATTGATAATAATAATAATAATAATAGTAGTGGCTGTACAGTAACTTGCAGTTATGGCTTGTTTTATTTATTTATTTATTTTTTTTTACCCGAGAACATATTTATTATCTATATAATATTGATACTAATTCCTTTTTTTAAAAAAAATAGGTAGTGGAGAATCAGGCAAATCAACTATATTGAAACAAATGAAAATTATCAATCAAAATGGATTTTCTCAAGAAGAATTGGCAGGATGGCGAACCATTGTCTATCGGAATTTGTTGGATTCGGCTCAAGCGATTATTCATGCGATGCGGCAATTTGAATTTCAATATTATACTCCAAAACTTGAAGTAAGTAAATAAAAATAAAAAAAAATGATAGTATGTTGATATTGTTTTTTTTTTATTTCATTAGACAAGTGTAAATCATTTATCACAAGAGATGGATCCAAATGCAACACGGATAGATACAGAAACAGTGAAATATTTACATACTCTATGGAAGGATCCCAATATTCAAAGATTTTTGGAAGAAAGACGAAGTGATTTTTATCTTATGGATAATGCATCATAGTAAAATATATTGATAAAAAAAAAAAAAACAAAAGAATTTTCCCTTTTCCCTAATTTATACTTTTTTTTTTTTTTTAGCTTTTTTGATGATCTAGATCGGATCGGCAAACCGGATTATGTACCTACAGAACAAGATGTCTTGCGGGCAAGACTAAAGTCCACAGGCATCACGGAAATCACCTTTCAATTAGATCGATTGACTATCCAGTAAGTTTTTCTATTATGTATGATAAATGGATTATTTATTTATTTTTATTTTATTAGTATGTTTGATGTAGGTGGACAACGATCAGAACGAAAGAAATGGATCCATTGTTTTGAATCTGTCATGTCGATTATCTTTTGTGTAGCACTTAGTGAATATGATCAAGTCTTATTGGAAGATTCATCAGAAAATCGTATGATTGAAAGTATTCGATTATTTGAATCTATTGTCAATAGTCGATGGTTTTTACATACTTCTATTATGTTATTTTTGAACAAGGCTGATTTATTTAAAGTTAAAATTGAACATGTACCTTTGGAACGTTGTTTTCCTGATTATAAAGGTAAAAAAAAAAAAAAAAAAAAAAAAAAAAAAAGAATAATATCTTACTAAATTTATATTAGGTGGAAATGATGCAAATAAGGCTGCTAAATATATTTTATGGCGATTTTTACAAACCAATCGAGCAAAACTTCATATTTACCCACAGTAAGTTTTATTAGTCTAAATTTCAATCATTTCTTATACTTTATTTTAATTATAGTTTGACTCAAGCAACTGATACAACTAATGTAAGTGAATCATGAAATTACATAATAAAAAATCTAATCATTTATTTTTTTTTTTATAGATTCGATTCGTATTTGCTGCTGTGAATGAAACCATCCTACAGAATGCTCTGCGAGATTCTGGTATGCTGTGAATTCAAATCTCTTTTTTTTTTTATTTTATTTTTTTTATTCTAGTACCCTCCATCTATTCCTTTTTTTATATTACATTCTTATTATTCTACCTTTATTATTGTGTCAATTATCTTCATCACAGCATATCCTCTCATTCTTTGTTTTCTATTACACATAATCTCTCCTATTTAGTTTTTGTCTTAGTTTAGTTTAGGTTTTTTTTTTTAATCTTTAATATATCGTGTGTATGTAGTCTTCTTTTTTTTTTACTGCCACTATATTCTCTATAACCAACGCGCTGTCGGGAACTGAAATATTGATTGATTTTCGTTTTACACCTGCCATTTTTTTTTTTTTTTTGTTGGGTGCCTTTCACAATTTTATTATTTTTTATAGTCATGACTACCACTTCTGACGATGATTATATTGAAGAAACTTCTTATGTGATAATGGATCTAAGTGCGGATATGACGGAAGAAGCCATTTTGAATCTAGCAGAAGAACATGGTGGGATTGCTATGACGGTAGGTAGTCAATGGCGAATTATCCAACTTTTATTAATTCCCATTTCATAGGATTTGATGCAGTCACCTATCTATTGTCAACTGGGACACCATACATTTCGTGGACAACTAGATGATCCTGTAGGTTCTTTTTTATTATTTGAAATGGAAGAAAAACAACGAACAGAAGCATCAGGTATATTAAAAAAAAAAGTCAAAACAATGGAACTCATTTTTATTATTATTATTAGGGTTGATTCCCATGTTATCAAGTATGCGTACAGAACGGAATCAAGGACGATCTACGAAATGGACAGCCAAATATCGATTTCAAGTCAACAAGGTAATGAAAACTGAACAAGTGGCCTTGACTGATAAACATCAAGTGGAAGACAACCAGGACGAACCAACTGTCAATCATAGTGACCATGATGAAAATGCTGATTTTGCCGAATATTTTAGTAGATAATTATTTACTTTTTTATTGTTTTGTACATAGCCTTTTTATTACATATATATATATATATATATTTAACCTTTGTCAATAAAAAAAAAAACAATTATCTTCCTTGTACATGTTTTCTTTATAAATAATAATAAAAAACTATCTTCCTTCTCCATTCTCTTCATTTTCATTTTGTTTTTATAATAATAATAAAAAAAAAAGATGATCCACCCGAAATTGCAAATACTGTCATGAGCCGGGATGAAACCCAAACGCTTAACCAGTCGTTGCACCCATTTCGTGTGTAATTCCTCTACAATTGTTTGACGATTTCGATGTTTCTTCGATAACTATCGAAATAGTCATCTCACACGAATGCTTTTATAGTCAATTGGTAATTATTTGCGTTGTAAGGAAAAAAAAAAGAAAAAAATGAAAATACATTGCCCTTTTATAAGGGCTTGGATCCAAGAAAAAAAATTTTTTTTTTTTGTGACCAGCGTTTCCCAATAAGGATTTATGCCTTACTTTTTTGGATCATCCAAATTAGTTTTCTTTTTTTGGGATGATCATTCTTCCCGTTTCTATAGAAAAAAAAAAAAAAAAAAAAAGAAAAGAAAAAAGATCCCATCATTATATTTGATTCATCTATGTAAAGAGTGGTATTCTTGATTCTTTTGACCTTATCACACTGACTGATCGGAGTCCTCACGTAAATGCAACCAATAGATCCATGGATGATTCTTTTTGACTCCATCGTAGCGGAGTGATGATGAAATGATGCATGATTGTATCTCGATCATCTTGTTGATACTCTATTGTCTAGTTCAAACAAAAAGTCAATTTCACATTTTGATATATAATCTTTATTGTTAAAGACGAATATAGTAATGAAGAGAAAAAAGAATAAAAAAAAAGGGAATGAGAGGGGGGGATATATCATCAATCATGAGCAAGGTATAAACATAAATAAATAAAAAACACTATATCTAAAAAGTCATCAGAGGAGTATGTTGAGTACCTCTAGGATAAACAATCAAAGTGGCCAAAAATAATCCCACTGTGATTCCAATAGATGATTCAATCATGGAGAGAGCTAGACTAGCACCTTGTGTTCCAATTTCACTTGTTGAATTTCCAAATAATCCCAAAGCAGCCTTAACACCTAAACTACTTGGTACTAAATAAAAAATCTATATATTCAAAAAAAAAAAAATAAGTTTCATATGATACAAAACAAAAATGTATCTTTTTTTTTTTTTTTTTTACCCCTAATAAGACAGCATCAAAAGACATTTTTCCCGTGATTTTTGTCAATAGATGACCAAGCATCCCCAAAACAAAAGAAGGAGCCACTTGTAAAACTTGAGAAGGAGCATGAGCCCATCGATTCAAACTATAATTGACAATGAAACCACAAGCAGCGACAAAGGTCATGGTAGGCCAACGATGCGGTTTGGCACGCACATACATACAATAACCAAAGGCAAACAGAGGCACAGTGAGAAAGTTGAACCATTGTGATTGTGAGGCCATAGGCATGGCTGAATTGGTGGCATCCACACAATGTTGTGCAACAGGATAATCAGTATTATCAATGGTTTGATAGAGTTCACTTCCCATGGATACACCGTAACCTAGTAAGAATGAATAGATGATAGCATACACCATACGTACTACACCACTGACTAATTGTCTTGATACTAATTCTTGAATTGCAATCGCCATACCGTAGCCTGGAAGTACCACTATAAAAGCTGAGAATGCCACCGGAGTAAAACAGAAATCATATCTGATCAATCCTTGAGATACAAGACCAATGATGATACATACTGTGATTTCCCAAATGGGTTGGAAACTTTGAATTCTACCTGATATCACCTCATAACCAGCAAATACCACTAAATAAAAAAAGATGAATATTAGTTTTTTTTTTTTTTTTTTTTTTTTTTTTTTTTTTTTTTTTTTTTTTTTTTTTTTTTTTTACGATAAAAGGATGATCAACTTACTTGCAAGAGCAGCAGCTACACCACCTTCTTGCCATCGACCACCAAAGAACATGACACAACCTGAGAATGAGCATATAGCATATACCCAAGGATTCAACCAAACAGGATACAACGGAGGTTTAGATGAGACTTGATCAATGAATTCCAAGGCTTCATCCACACTGACTTCACCATGCGATACCAATTTCTCCAATCGATAAATTTCACTAAGCTTGTCCATATCAAAAGTTTGTATTTGGCGAATAAAGTGAGTTTCGGTAGTATGAGTAGCACCATCAAAGATAGACATCAACATCACATTGGGCAAGTAGATATATTCGGCGTCGACACATAAGGTAGTAGAGACTTGACGCATGGCATATTCCAAACGATGAGCTGGGCAACCATATAACATCAGGCTTTTGGCGAGTTTCTTGAGAAAGTCTTGTTTTTGAAGGATATTGGCGATTTCAAATGTAATCCGTACTCGATCCTCTAGTGTAATGGGTTCGAATTGTGACGCGGTGGTGACCATGCTATCCAAACTAGATCGTCTTGACATGGCCTTGTTGGATTTCTTATGCTTGTCGAGTCTAGGGACAACGTGATGACTTGTGGACATGGTAGATAACCAACTAACTGGTCGATTCATCTTGGGTCGTGTAGGTTTTTCAATTTCTTTTGTTGTTGCCGTTAATAGTTTTTCATCCAATGTTGTCAAATCCAAAGAGATTGTTGATAAAGGTCTTGGTTTCTTAGTTTTCTTATTTTCTTTCTTTACCCGTTTTCTTTCCTATTAAAAAAAAAAGTTAATTTTTTTTCTCATCCTTTATTATTATTATTACCTTCTTTTTTTGTTTCTTTTCTTTCTTGAATAAATATTCTTCATGACGCCGTCGTCGTTGAGCATCCAATTTCATTAAAGAGGCAAGCACACTTCCAGATGGTTCCATAGGTTGGGAAGGAATCCTAGATATTTCTTCCAAAGAATCAAGTTGACGAGTACTAACAGGACTTGTTACAGTATGATCAGTTTCCGAATGATGATGGTGACTACGACGACGAAGTTGATTACTACCACTACGGTTTAAAATATCGATGGTTGGTGAATTAGGTGGTATATCTTGAATATTGTTACTATCTAAAGTGGGTTGTCGTAACATTTGTTGTACTAAAGCAGCCGATTGCATAACATGATCTTGAAATCGAACGTGTCTATCTTTAGCTTCAGCTTGTACCAAGGCTGCCTCTACAAGTGTATCTGCCGAGTTTTGACGTTCTGCATCTTCCGTCTTATCATCAAAGTAATCTTCATCATTGTTCTCATCAACATAAGGTGTAGAAGCGTTTGAAGTAGATGTACTAATCACACTATCGTCGTCTTGTTGATTTATATTCTCTTCTTCTTCTTCTTCTTCTTGAATAGTGAAGGAAGGTTGTTCATTGGGAGATAATGCTGAAGCAGGAAGACGCGGCCAAGATTGTGAAGTTGACATGGAAGGTCGTTGAATGGTTATTCTTGGTGTAGATTTATCATTATTGTTGGTATCCTTGTTATCATATTCCGGTGGCATATTTAAATAAATAAATAAATAATAAAAAAAAAGGATAACGAGAAAGAAAAAGTGAAAAATATAGTTTTGCACTAATTTTTTTTTTTTTAAAAAAGACAACAACAAAAAAAAAAAAAAAAAAAAAGAATTGAACCGGAGAGGAAAAAAGGAAAAATTCATGCCAATCATATTAGATTCTTTCTTTTTCTTTTTTTTCTGTTTCTTGTTATCACAATTGATGATTTATGATATATTATAATAATAAAAATAATTGTTTGTCATACAAAAAAGACTGTTTCGTCAAATCGGACTTTTTCTAAAGTTTATCATAAAAGGAAAAAAAAGGATCATTCAAAAAGAAAGAGAGAATAGGAAGAGGGGGTATCTTTCTTTCCTTTTTTTTATGCAACATAAATATTTTTATTTATTTATTTATTTTTATCTGTATTTTCGCATTGGATCTTTTGTTACTAGCCAATGATGATGTTGATCTTTTGTATAATAAAAAGTTCGATGAAGTTCCTTTTTTGGTTTCCATATATATTTACTATCTTCTTCTGCATTATCATCATCATCAATATCATTATCTCTATGATGCCAATCATTTTTATGTTTCTTATAATAATAATACTTATGCTTTTTTTCTTTTTCTTCATTATCTTCGTCATCATCATCGTCATCTTCTTCTTCTTCTTCTTTATGATGTTTCCATTTTCCTTTTTTCCAGTGTTTCTTCTTTTCTTCATTCTCTTCTTCACCATGATGATGTTTATGTTTATGTGACTTTTCACTATTTTTATGCCATGCGTGCCATTCCACTTCTTCTGTCCAACCAAGTGGACTTCCACAAATTTGACCTTCCATTTTGTGAGGCATTTCTTCTTCTTCTTCTTCTTCTTCCTCTGGCATACCTTCAGGCATAGAATCAGTAGGCATACTATCAGTAGGCATCGTATCAAGAGGCATCGTATCAAGAGGCATCGTATCAAGAGGCATCGTATCAAGAGGCATAGTATCAAGAGGCATAGTATCACCAGGTACTGTGTCAAGAGGCATCGTATCTTCTGGTACCGTGTCAAGAGGCATCGTATCTTCTGGTACTGAATCAACAGGCATTGTATCACCAGGTACTGTATCAAGAGGCATATTGTCGATAGGCATATTCCCAGTAGGTAAGTTACCAGTAGGCATACTATCTTCAGGGAGATTACCAGTGGGCATACTATCCGCAGGTCGGTTGCCGCGAGGGAAATTCAGGGAGATGGGGAAATTTAATGGTACCTGGATAGGAGGAAGGCTTCTAATCAATGCAGGTAAAGGACAATTGGTTACTCTGGATGTGGTGGTGGATGTCACAGTGTCTGTAACAGTTGTACTAACTGTGACACTTGAAGTGACGGTAACTGGAGATGCTGTTGTCGTGGCCATACATTTAGTTGCCGTACATTTTGATAGCGTGGTTTTACAATTAGTGATGGCTGGAGTGGATGAACATGTGTGGATGGGGCATACTGGACTATATATCCTTCGACGTGTCGCAACCACCATACTAAAATTTTCTTCTTCCTCTTCCTCTTCTTCACATGTAGGAAGACAACCTGTAAAATAAGAACAAGAGCATTGTCCATCTGCTCCTGCTGCCCAATCCGCTAGTTCTGGTCCATGTGCTGAGTTTTGCCATGAATAATTATCACCAATTATCATACCTGCAAACCTTCCAGTATCACCATCCTGTATATCAGCTAATTTTACCAAAAAAAAAAAAAAAAAAAAGTGAGTTGACAGAAAAAAAAAAAGAAGTTCCATCTTTGGATACTTTTTTTTTTTTTTTTTTTTTTTTTTTTTTTTTTTTTTTTTTTACCTTGAGGAGCCAAGAATAATCCTTTGATCATATCAAGTGTATTTCGTCGAATAGTGATATGTCCATTGGGTAAATAATTACCTTCAGCATCACTAGGGTAGACATTATAAATAGTACGACAATAATCTAGATCAGCACTTGGTTTGATCGAATCAAAAGCAAAAGTGGTACCATCATCTACTGGAATCTATAAAAAAAAAAAAAAAAAAAAAGAGATATTATCATCATCTGATTACTGAAAAGAATAACTTGTTTTTTTTTTGTATATATATATTTTATAAATCTATGTATATATATATATATATAATCCACTTACATTAAAGACAATGGTCCCTTCAGAAGGATAATCTTCTTTGGGTCCTTCCCAAGTATCATAACCTGAGAAAATCTTGTCAGGACATGATAAAAACCCAGGCCATAAAGGACATTGAAACCCATTGCAAGTATTAAATGTAAATACATTTAACCAGTGATCCGGTTGACCGGTGACTGGTTTTAGATGATCATCATAATCAATCAAATGTGTTGGCATTTTTTTCGCCAGAGTTTTTGAAAGAGAGGTCCAGTAACGACGATGATCTTCAAAATCAAGAGGAACACCTTCATGCGTGGCACATTCATTCACTGTCCGCACAGAATCACTGTTGGACAGATCTCCAATATAACTATCACCGCGTGCAATCACCATCCCACCTGTGACTGCACCTCCCACCACCAAGGCTGCCGTATCCAGATCAACTGGCTTGTCATCGTCACACTGGTATGCATGATGGCTGTCAATGACAAAATTCCGTCCAATGAAATTGCCTTGAATTGCAAGTGGACCCAATGTTTGTTGATCACTACCTACTTCATAGTCACCAAAAAAGATACCATTCCAATGTCCACGCTATATTATATATATAAAAGAGAAAATAATAAGATATTCATTCATCTCATCCTTTTTTTTTTTTTTTTTTTTTTTTTTTTTGATACCGTTTGACCCCATTGATCTGAATCTTCACATTGAGGTAATAAATTGGGAGAATTTGCTGAACCAAAAACTCCCATCCTAAAATATCTCTGCAAATCTTGATATTGGTCATAATAAGCTGAACCATCATCAACAGCTATGCAGCTACCGGTAAGGGTTGTATAAGCAGTGGATGTTTTGGATGGTAATATCTGAGTCCATCGTTGACTACCATGATAATCATCATCATTATCGTCGTCATAGTAGCTATAATCGTCGTAATCATCATTTATGTCGTCATCGTTTGTATATGTCCACGGATGTTTCTTTTGATAAAAAGCTCTGATGGCTTTTGATTCAAATGGTTGATCGGCAAGTACCCAATAATGTAAAGTTGAAAAAAGGATACAACTTTCAAACAAGTTTTTTAATAATAAAATTGATCTCATGGAATAAGGTAATATATTATAAGTATATTTTTTTTTATATACTTTTATATATCTATACAGAAATTAAGTTAGTGCCGATGATATTAAAAAAAAAAAAAGTGATGAACGGATAAAAGAAAGAATACAAGTCAAAAGAGGAAAAAAAAAAAAAAAGAAAAGAGAAAGGGGGAATGATAATCTACTTTCTTATAATTAAACGATTATTATTATAATAAATGAAGTTTGTTGTTGTCATCAAACAAAAGGAAGGAGCGAGAATGTATATGTAAATATCATCAACCATGAATCATGCACATCACATTTATACAGGTTAAATAGACACTCTGACTTTTAAAAAGAGCTCAGATATATCTTTTTTTTTTTTTTTGTTGGCATTCATTCCTTTCATCTAATAGAATGGCCATTAGAAATGACTTTTCTTTTCCCATCATTGATAGTATTTATAGATTATTCTTTTTTTTTTAAAAAAAAAAAAATCATCAAAAGCCTTATTTTATTCTCTCTCTTTCTTCTTAGAAATGATGATCTTATAAAATATACATACTTTTGTATAAAAAGACATAAAAGGATATTGAGAGAAAAGAAAAATGTTCCATAATCTCTCTATTTGATGCAAGTTTACATTCCATTCAAATCAGGTCCAAAAAGGAACGACAAAACAGTTTATGTTTATTTTACCCTCTTTTTTTTTTTTTGAGTTGTATTACAAATAGTATAAAAATCCTACTGGGTAATTTTGTTTCTATTCATAAATGACATTTTCAATCATCCCTATAAAGTTTTTGACTTTTTCTTTATCATGATGGGTTCTTTTTTTTTTTTTTCCTGTATCACCATGACAGTATTTTTTTTTATGATGATTAAGGAAATCCATCGTTAGATGTTATAAACAAATAGATATAAAACATATCCATACATGCATATATTTAATTAAGCTTGAACATTCATAGTTGGTGCATCTCAACCTTGTTTTCTTTCTAAGAGTTTAAATATTGAATAACTTGTTATTATCTCTCTTCTCTTTGATCGAATTACTTAAAACATTGATAAGGCTTTCCTTCGTTTTTTTTTTCCCTACAGTATATATGTTCTTTAAAGAGAGAGAGTCATATCTACTTGGGCATATGTTGTTGATCTCATTTTTTTAGGAAAAAAAAAGGATTGCATAAAATGGGTACTTTCCAATAGTAAGATTATCCCATCCTCAATTTTTTTTTTTTGTTTTGGAATTCGATGATGGTATTATACACTAATCGCCTTTATTTACATGCTGTGATTTCTATGTGTACAATAGTAAGGTTTTTAATGTTGCTTAAGTAAAGTAAGATTAAATAAAAAAATGAAATAATTGGACTGGAGAACTTGGGAGTTGACTTGATAAAGAGTGATTTTTTATTTCTTTAACACCAAATAGAGTGATCAAATAAGGAAAATGGGCGGAGTTCAGCTGCCTGCCTTGTTTGGGTCCGGTACTTTTTTTGTTTTTTTTTTTTTTTCTTTATCTTGTTTATTTTTTATCTCTTTTCTTCTTTATCACAAGGCATAACCCTGGGATTTGATGATCTATACAAACCAACTTGTTAAAACAACTCTTAGATCGAAATGGGTCTCTCTTGTGCCAAAACAGATCGTATGTTATACGACCACCACCAAAGTCGCCTCTGCCACACAAGCAATGCCTATAGCAGACGAACCTCTTACTAACAACAACACGACCTGGCAACAAGCTGTACAACAAGCACAAAAATTAGTAGTAGACGAATCAACCATTGATCCTATTGCTTTAGTAGGTCCTGATCTCGGAGATTTGAAGTCAAATATTGGCAAACTTCTAGGTAGTCAACATCCTTTTGTCAATACAGTAGCACAACATTATTTTAGTGGACAAGGCAAACATCTTCGACCCTTACTTGTTTTACTCATGTCACAAGCAACCAGTGTTACCGTATCTCATACAACAAGGATAATGGATTTCCAATCAATAGATCAACCTATTTCACATGGTTTGGAGAATATGACACCTAGTAGTTTATTTAATCTTCAACAACACTATACACCTAATCGAACACATGGTGGATGTATCGTATTACCTACACAACGACGACTGGCAGAAATCACGGAAATGATCCATACAGCAAGTCTTCTTCACGATGATGTCATTGATGCTTCACTGACACGACGGAACCTTCCTTCAGCAAATGCAAGTTTTGGTAACAAAATGGCAGTGCTTGGAGGTGATTTCTTATTGGCGCGTGCTTCTTTGACATTGGCTCGACTTCGTAATGCAGAATGTATGGAAATCATGGCCACTTGTATTGCCAATTTGGTTGAAGGTGAATTTATGCAATTGAAAAATACATCCTCATCAACAACAACATCCATCAATGCAACTGAAGATGGTATGGTATCAAAGGAAAAGAAATCAACATTTGATCATTATATGGACAAGACTTATATGAAAACTGGAAGTTTGATTGCTCAAAGTTGTAAAGCAACTGCTGTATTGGGTGGATGTTCGGATCAAGTGAAACAATTAGCTTTTGATTTTGGAAGACATATTGGTTTAGCTTTCCAGGTACCAAAAAAAAAAAAAAAGGAATAAAGAGGGGATCATGTTTAAGTTAATTACTTCTCTTTTTTTTTTTTTTTTTTTTTTTTTTTTTTTTTTTTTTTTTTAGTTGATTGATGATATGTTGGATTTTACGGTATCAGCAGCCGATTTAGGTAAACCAGCAGGAGCAGATTTGAAATTAGGATTAGCAACGGCACCAGTATTATTTGCTTGGGAAGAATACCCTCAATTGGAAGATCTTATCAGACGAAAATTCAACAAGAAAGGTGATGCTGAAAAGGTAAAATAATAAATAATAAAAGGAATGAATTTAAATATTATATATTTTATTTTTTTTAGGCACGACTTCTTGTATACCAAAGTAATGGATTGAAAAGAACAATGGCATTGGCAGAAAAACATTGTCAACTTGCTATTGATGCTATTCAACAATTACCACCTTCGGATGCTCAGGCAGCTTTGATTCAATTATCTCGTAAATCTTTAACTAGGAAATCATAGAAATAGACTATTATAGAAAAATCATTCTTTGTATACATTTTTTTTTTTCTTTACTCTTTTGTATTCTTAGACATATATATCAATAAATAAAAAAGCAAAATTGACTCTTTTTTGACCCTGATCTTTTTTTTTTTTTGAGTTCAGACAACCCAACAAAACTCGACAGACCACTTTTTTTTTTTCTTTTTTTTTCTTTTTTTTTTGACTTTACTCTTTTTTTCATCAACCCTCTTCTTTATATATTATTCTTTTACAACTAACTTTAATGAAAGTATATTCTTTAGAACAAGTGGAGGCACATGCCAGTTTAGATTCATGTTGGATGGTATACAAAGGAAAAGTATATGATGTGACTCCATTCGCCAAAGATCATCCAGGAGGTCAAGATATCTTTCTCCAGTTTGCTGGTGCCGACGTGTCAAGTATTCTTTCAGATATCTCTGTACATGAACATTCTGATTCGGCATATGATTTATTGGAAGAATATTGTATTGGTGTTTTATCAACAACAACGACAAAAGTATTGGAAGACACGACAAGTTTACAAAAACAAACGGCACAATTAGGTCATGAACGCGATCGACTTTTTCTTGATCTCAATAAACCTTTATTTCCTCAACTTTGGCATGCTACTTATTCCAAGGCATTTTATTTGGAACAAGTTCATCGACCACGTTATACTCCTCATTACGTACCTTATTTTGCTGACCCTGTATTGGATATTTTATCACGTACTACTTGGTATACTGTACCTATGCTTTGGCTTCCTTTTATTCTATATCAATTATGGTGTTCTCTTGACTTGAATCATCAATCCTCTGCTGCTGGTACTATACTGACTTTGAAAGGATTTATGGGTGGTGTCTTCTTTTGGACTTTGTTGGAATATGGTCTTCATCGATTTTTGTTTCATTTAGATGATTTTCTTCCAGATCATCCGATTGCCTTATTGGTCCATTTCACATTACATGGTATTCATCATTATATGCCTATGGATAGGTAAAGAAAAAAAAAAAAAAGAAAAAAATAAAAAATAAAAAAAAAATAGTAAAACAAGGAATGAGATTAACATTTTCTTTTTATATATATTATTTAGATTACGATTAGTGATGCCTCCTGCTTTGACCATAGTGATCAGTTTTCCAATTTTTAAATTAGCTAATGTTTTGTTTATGGCGGCAACAGCACATGCATTTATGGCGGGCGCTTTCTTTGGTTATGTGTGCTATGACATGGTTCACTATTATCTACACCATGCAAAAGTGATGGAACTCCATTTCAAAGAAATGAAACGATATCATTTAGCTCATCATTACAAGGATTTTGAAAGTGGATTTGGTATTACTTCGAAGTTATGGGATTATGTCTTTGGTACGGTATTGGAATTACCTATGGAAGAAACCCTTTCAACCATAAACAACAAAACAATATCATAGCAACAATATTACATACATACAGATACGTACATACATACTTCTCTTTCTTTTTATATATATTTATATATTTATACATACCCCCCCCTCTCTCTCTCCCCTCTTTTATCTTTCTCCTTTCGTTTTATATATATTTTATATACTCTGATCTTTTTTTTTCTTCTCCTTATATTGATTTTATCCTTATTATTATGATCAATAAATGTGAATAAACAAATAAAGATGATTATGTTTTATCAAGTATATTGTTGACATTTTTTTTTTTTATTTTGGACGGGGTTCTTAAGGAGATACACACATGCATTTTTGTTCCACGTGAGTCTTCTTCATCATCCTATGAATCAGATGACCCATGACGGTAATGATGATAATAATGACAACTACTATTTTGGGGGGAGTCAGCCTCGTTTATTATTATTTTTTTTTTGTTATTCAAATTTTCTTTCTTTTTCTTTCTCCACTTTTTTTTTTTTTTTCCTTTATCTCAACTCGCTTAATAAATCACCATTTGACTGAAACATGACACCTCCTTTTTATTATACAGTAAATGTGGATTGTCTTTGTCAAACAAGTCGTCGACCTTTCCATCTCGATTTACGATTCCCTCCCACCATCGACACTACATTGACTCGTCAGGTTGAACAAAAAGCCCAAGTCAAACGAGATTCTTTACTTACCCAGCGGCGCTTCAAACTGCATCAACGTTTCTTACAAGTCCAACGTACTGTTCAACAAGTCAAAGCGAGACGAGAACAACAAGCTATCTTATTCTTACAATCCTTGGAAAACGCTGAACGTAATCGCATTGATCAATTGGAACAACGTCGTATTATCAATAAACAATTGGTGGATAGGGCTAAATCTATTGCACATCAACATCGATCTCAATCCAAAGCTGAAAGTGGTAAATTAAAAAAAAAAAAGAATCATCTTTAATTAACCCTTTATATATATATATATATATATAGAAAGGCGTCGTCTTGAATTAGAACAAAGATTAGAAGCCTCTGAAATCCGAAGATTAAATTATTTGGGACTTTCCAAACCAACTGGCATGAATTCACCATCTACTTCATCATCGGCTCGGCCATCGGCTTCTTCCGACAATCATAAACAAAGACCTTCTTTGGCTAGTCTCCTTCATTCTTATCATCATCTTGGTCTTCCTGTCTATAGTCAACATACTTCTTGGTTGGATTTTCAAGCTCTTTCCCATTTGATTCGACAACAAGATGTGATCTCTATTGTAGGCAAGTTATTGACCTTTGTTTTGGATAAAGATACTGTGAAACGCAACAACAAAGCTCGAATCTTCTTATCTGCTTATATGATGACCATGTGTCCAAATGATATTCTACAATCTATTCCAGATGAAAACGTAAAAAAAAAAAAAAAAAAAAAAAAAAAAAAAAAAAAAAAAAAAAAAAAAAAAAAACAATAAGTATGAATTCATCTTTCTTCTTTTTTTTTTTTGATTAGGTATTGGTGGAAGCTGCTCATCGATTATTATCCAATTTTGAAACTTGGGTGGAACAACCATCTAAACGAGTGACGAAACTGGCCTTGGCAGAAGCTTGGTATCATTACTCGAATCTTTTTGAACAATGGAAATGCAAAGATCGTGATCAATTATTGACGAGCATGATGGCATATTATTTGGAATTGATGTCAGTTCAACGTACACTTCAACAAGACAATGAAGATGGTCGAGACATTGATGATTTATTATCTCAACAAATGCGTCAACTCAAATTGAAAATCAAACGATTAGGTGGGAAACAAGCTTTAGCTAGTTTGAAAGATCAAATGTTGACTCCACAACCTGAAGAAGGAATACAAGAACAAGAAGGACAACAACAAACCATGGATTTGGATGAATTGTATCATTTGACCAAGGATTTACCTCAGTTACCCCATTTGACCAATGCTCAGTTAGCTCATGAATTGATCCTGGATCCTGATTTTCAACTTCAACAACATTCTTCTTCTCCCTTGGAAGATCGTGTGCGTACCATGGCTCGTCGTGCTTATTTCGATTCTCTTCTTATTGATTTGGATCATCAACAATATCAATCCACTCTTCTTTTGTTACATGATATTCGAAAGGTAAAAAAAAAAAAAAAAAAAAAAAAAAAGAACTACTACTCACTTTTTTTTTTTTTTGGTGATTAGAAATTGCTATGTATGGTAGAAAAGGGTCAAACAGCGTATGACATGTTGGAACAAATGATGGATATGGGATTGATAGAACAACAAATGCAACATGGAAGTTTTGATCTTTCTCATTTAGTGACGACCTTGATTGAATGTATGCGACATTTATGTGCACCTATACGAGATGAAGCGGTCAACGCACTTTCCAACAAGAACAATGACAACAACAATAAGGCAGTGGTAGAGATATTGGAAGATATGTTACCGTTATTGGATGATATGATTTTGGATGTAGCGAATTTCAAACTTCGATCACTACGACCTTATTTAGCCCCAATGGCGGTAGCGTATGAACAAGCCAACTTCAAACACACTCAGTTACCCAACACACGACAATGGATTCAGCAAGCATGGACGGCATGGCAAAACAAACAAGACCAACGCAACCCAGAGCAAATCCAACAACCTCGACCATCCATTCAAACGTTATTCCATGATGCCATGTTGACATGGTTCACTTCTTCCAACCCAGCCGTTACTCCGGAAACTTGGCAAATGGATCTACATCGCTTGAACACTTATCATCGACAAACACAACACTTGATCACCATCGCCAGTCTATTGATGATCACGAAAAAGAACAAAACAGCTGATACGCTTTGGACTCTATTTCAACAAGATCTTCAACCACCTTCAGCCCAGCATGTTTTGGCCCAACTCCATGTCGACAACCCTGTCATCAAAGCCATGGTTCATCGTATTCTAGCAAGAAATGATCCCCTCTATACTCTATTGGCCCGTCGCGTGGCAGCTGTTTTGAAATCCCAATGGTCTCATCATACATTTGTCTCTGATGCCGTGTTGACCAGTTCTGGACTTTTGGCTCTCAAATCTCAATTACAACATCTAGCCTCTCGTACTGACGTCTTGTTACATCATCATTTCAAAGTTTATGGGTCTTGGTATAGTCAATGTTTTGATGAAATAGTTTAGTTATCAATGAAATAAAGTTTTTTTAGTATCAATCATATATATATAGAATAGATTTTTGAAAATAGAAGATTTTATTCAATATATATATATATCAATCGGTAGAAGTAGTGGAAGATAATTTAATATGGAATAATCGAATTTGAGTGCCTTGCCAAGGAGAGATAGCAGGAGCAGTCGATAAATAAATATGAGCCCATAATGCACTTTTACAACTAACAATCACTGGTTCAGACCATGGCACTGCTCGTAATAGACTTGTTATTTCCTTTCTGTTCATTGATAAATCCATTGTCCGTAACGTATCCAAAGCTTGTCGTTCACCTAGTTTTTGTATCACAGGAAGTACCTTGTCCATCATATCCAAAAGAGGCTCCAGCGCATCCCATCGTTTTTTCCAAAACAACATCCATTCTTGTGTGGGGATGAATCCATGTTTGGCATGATGAGAAGATGATAATGATAATGTCGAGGAAGAACTGGTTTGTCGTTGTGGTGGTATGCGTTGATTTTCTTCTCGTCGTTTACCTAGCGCTTTTTCTGAAGTACCTTCATTATCATCTTGTTGGACTTGATCATGGTTGGTTGGATGTATAGATGATAAGGATGCTGATGAGGATGTACGAGACGTAGGTGCACTAGGTCGTGGTTGTTTAACATTGTTTTGTTTCTGAGCCAGTTCTTGCATTGCTTGATCCAAATCCAGATCTCGTAATCGTTCAAACTTGATATGATTCCGTACCATACTACATATTAAAGGACCATTTTCTAAAATGAGAGATGATCAGTATATTTCCTTTTTTTTTTTTTTTTTTTAAAAAAAAATCTTACCTGAAGATTGATGTCGAAGAATATTATAAAAACCTTCTAAAAAATATTGAACCAAACAGGGATTTGTTTCATCAGCCAATAAAAACCCAGGTGCGGCAAAAGATCCAAAGAGAGCAACCCATTTGTTGGCAGCAGACGGTGAGATATGCTTAAGATAAGGCGACAAATTGGTTAATGTGATGATCAAAGATGGATACAAGATGGATAGATGACCGCGCGATGTTGCAATCATGTTGTAAATGGACAAGATTAAGAAATCAGCATAGGATGAACCAGCAAAGGATGCATCAGAAGAAGGTCGGATATTGGACGGTAAAGAGGCATAACCTTGAAATGGTTTGTTGAGTTTGCTACCAAATCTTCGATCTGTACTAAGAGTTTGTAAAACATAGACACACATACGCACCAATCCTAATTGTGATGTTTCCAATTTGTTTTCCGTTGCGTGATATATCAAAACAAGTGTCAAATCCAATGCTCTTTCCGTTTCCATCAAATAACTTCGAAATCGCTAAAATAGAAAAAAAAAAAAAAGATCAATCATTTTTCTTTTTCTTTTCTTCTTTTTTTTTTTGGAGGAGTATTTACTGTGTTAATTTGTAAGAGTTTCCAACATAACATGATCATTTCAAAATAACATCTTGTTCGTTTGCCAGGTAAATAAGTGTTGAGACCTTGCATAGGATGACTTAGAGTTCGATAAAAGCCATCAATCAAGAATTGAAAATCCTGAGCCCGATGTAATTTGGAAAGATAATAGGTGAATTTATTTCCTTCGGCCGCCAACATCCATTCTTTTTCCACAATTGTATAATCATCACCATCGTCATTATTGTAATCACTATGTTGTTGTTCCAATAAGTGAGCCATGGATGCTGGTGAATAAGTATCTAATAAGAGTAACAGTACACGAAGACAAAGTACAACCAAATGTTCACGGGTATCATTGAAAACAACTACAGAAGGAGCAGCGCGACCCCAAGGAGATGGATTATAATTACTTGCAGTATTGATCAAACTACAAAGTAACGCCAGAACGATTTTCTTTTCCGAGGTAGTAACCAAAGAATGGATCCAACGATCACAACCAGCATCAACATGAGTACTTGTTTTGCGCCGAAGATAAAGAGCTGCAGGATCATAAATAGAGGGTGATAAAAGAACCAATAGGAGACGTAACACTTCAGTACGATGAGCTTCATTGTCACGGAAGGATCCAATTGGTGTTGAGCAACCAATCCCAGTTTCCCATATCACATAGTTCACATTTGTGTCTTCCTTTTTCACTGCCGGTGGTAATGTAAATCCTGCAAGAAATAAACTACGCAATGTCACTATACAAATAAATAAATAAATAATAAAGTAACAGAGTAAGTTATTGGAAGAAGAGAATGAAATAGAATAATAAACTTGCATGATAATAAGACGTCACCACGTGATGGTAATAGAGGTTGATCTTCATCGCCAGACTATTATATTGTCAAGAGAATGGAGGATATCATTATATATATAAGTTGCTTTTTTTTTTTTTTAAAAAAAAAAAAAAAAGGTTACCTGATCATGCTCTTGTTGTCGAGTTTCCTTATTAAGGCGTTGTCTGGTCCAAAAAAACGTACGTTGCCAATCGTCATCACCTTGTTCAAATAGAAAGGGTAAGATTCGGGTCAATACGCGGCAACAATTCAGAAGATATTGAGTTGAAACTTGTGGAGATGGTGAGTTAAAGTCGTGTACACAAGTGTCCATTTGTTGTAATATCTTTGATTGAAATAATCAAAAAAAAAAAAAAGGATTGAGTTTGTAAGCTTGAATCATTTGATTAAACCTACCTTGTCTATCAAAGTTTCTACATTCTCTCGAGCAGAGTCTCTAGCACGTCGTATATCGCTTGCTCCTACTAAAGAAAATATATCGTTGACTGAATCCGGAAGTGTCCAAAACTATTAAAAAAAAAAGAGAGAGAAATATTATATATAAATAGTCTATTTGCTATTGTTCTATTCAAACTTACTAATGACCAAAAGTCGTCTACATCCCAAGCAATGTTCTACATAGAAAGAGGAAGTAAAAAGATTAAATGCTTTGACTAGTAAAATGGGATATCAACATAAATAGTCAATACATTACCCTTTCTTCAAAAAGACGGAAGACACTTTTCCTAAAGGCCAACTTGCTATCAGTAGCACCCATAGAAACAGACGAACTGAAAAAATAAAAAAATAAAAAAGGAAAAGAAAGAGAAAAGGAAAAAGAAAAAAAAAAGGAAAAAGCGCGCCAAGGGATCCGTCTTTTCACTGTAAAGTAAAAAAACAAATTGACGTCATGGCGGTATTAAGCTATTGTTTTTCATTAATATCTGCAAAAATAGAGGATCCTCTTTTAATAGTATATATATTTATTCATATTCTACTACATAATAATAGTATGTAATTGTAAAACTTTTGGTTTAAAAGCGGATGAATGAAGAAAATGAGCTTCCAAAGTCAGTTTGCCTCCCTACCACAAGTTGATCGTTATTTCAAAGAACGTATACAATCATCCGACAAAAATAAAAAATAAAAAAGCTCTTTACTCATTTAAGGGCTTTTATTGTAGTTACAATGGGAATCTTTACCCATTTTGTATACTCTATCGTAGTCACCGAGAATAAAATGAAAAAGATCGGCCTATGATTTATTTACAATGACAAGATTCCTTACAATGTTTTTTGTTCAGTTGGGAAATCAAGTCGACACAAAGTTATTATTATCCAATGAAAAATGAAAATGAAAAATATTTTAGAAAAGGGGATTCTTTTTTTTTCGTTTCCCGCCTTTTTTTTTGCTTTTTTTTTCTTTTTCCTTAATGTCATCATTCAAAGCATCTTCAAAAGAAGGAAATCATTCATTAGTTGAATCCTGTTTACCTTCATTTTCTTCAATGTTTTATGAACATCCTACCACGACATCATCATCATTGTCGTCTACAGCTACTAATTCTTTCGATATGACATCGATCATCATTCCTCATGACACGTCGGGTGTATTACAAAAATCGAAAAATCAACAACAACATGATCCTACTATCTCGAATCGACCTATGATCCCTTATTTTTATCATCATCCTATGTTTGGAATTGCCTCGTGTATGGATCAATATTATCAACGTTGAATCTTTAATAAAAATTACTTTATCCTTCTTCTTTAGCAAATCATACTGTAGTCTCCCTTCTCTCTCTTCTTTTTTTTTTTTATGCACACAAACTTAGCATCACTTCCCTCTCTCTGTCAATAAAACCCAATATTTATAAATAAATAAATAAATAAATAATAAAAACTCTTTTATTATAATTCATCAGCCACATTGATTCTACTTGACCGTCTTCTATTTACACTAGGTCTTTTTCTTTTGATCATCACATCATCTTCATCTGAATACATGGTTTTCTGCCCCATGATCACCCAATTCACATGACCACTGCGTAAACATTTCGGATATTCAGAAGCAAAATGATCATTGATCATATAGGGCGCCAACACACGGAATAAGATACGAATCCAGTTCTCATCCGGTAATCTCTGAAGGACATGTCGATTCATCAAACCAGATAAATGTAAATATGAAATTGGTCTCACAGGTACAGGTGTACCTTCATATGGATCAGGTGGATAAAGTGTGATATCGTATGCTGAGTCAATAAATACCAATGTTCCCGGTGGTGTCCTAACATCATGATCAACAAATAAATGGATATAAAAAAAAAAAAAGGATCAATGATAATAATAAAAAAAAATCATTGATTGATACTTACGCATATTCTGAATATGATGGTAATCGAGTCAATACATCTAATTCCAAAAAAAAAAAGAGATTAATCAAGCTATATTTTGTTTTATTTCATTTTTTCACTTTATAAAATAAATACCATTGTTATATGTATGATTGAAGATCTTGCTAGATAATTTTGCATCAAATATCTTTGAAAATTGATCATCTCCTAATTTAGGTTGACCATATGCATAGAGACCCCCCAAATGTTGCAATAATGGACTATTAGATTGAACCATTTTTGCCAAAAACACTAAAAACAGACATCAAAAAAAGATCAACCCGATCGCCTTGTCATTCCCTTTTTTTTTTTTTTTTTTTTTTTACTTACTTGTACCTAAAGCAGCACCTAAGGAATGACCAGTAATGTATACCTTTTTATGTTGATGAGTGGGATCGTTTTGTAATAAGGATAAAAGATAGGATTCTGCTTGAATGTACATACTTGTATGACGCAATGGTGATGATGATTTTTGATTGGCAGAACTGTCAACAGCAGCAGCAGCAGCAGCAGCGGCATGGAATCTATGATCAATAGGATCTAAAAATTGATGCATCCAATATCCTAATGTATCTCCCATAGCATTTTGAATCCATTGATGACGGGTAGGAAGGAATGATGACGATGTGGTAGAAGCTTGATGTTCTTTTTGACTAGTGGATGGTGGTAATGTAGGTTCACCAAGAGCATCAAAATAACCTTTATGAACACGTCCCATATATCCCCAAGGTGCATATACATCTCGCATACGAATATCAATATTGGTTAAATAATTTTGGATGTTCAATGGATTCGAGCTGCATATCCAAAAAAAGGGCCACATTAGGTATATCATGGTAGTTTTTTTTTTTTTTTTTTTTTTTTACGTTACCCTCGAAATACCAAAAAAATCATATCATCCTTTTCAATCACATATGCACAAATATTCTATAAAGAAAGAAAAAAAAGAATCATCATCGTTAATGTTGAATGGATCTTTTCTATTTTTTTTTATTACTTACTTTGTAAGCAAAAGGACGGAAAGTGTGAGTGACATCAAATCCTGCTTTGTCTAATTCATAACGAATGATATCCAGATCTTCATATCCCAATTTGCTAGCCACTGATAATGTATAAGCCAAAGATAATGAATATTGAGGTCTATTGATCATTTTACTTAAAGTCGGTAAAGCTTGTTGTGCTCTTTTTTCAAACAAATGGGTATTTTCTAAATAGCGAGTGGGTTCAATACTTGTATCAAAGAAATCAAATCTAGGATCCATTGCATTCACCACCGCTAATATCATAAAAAAAAAAAAGGAAAATCATGCATCTATAAATATCCTACTTTTTTTTTTTTTAAAAAAAAAAAAGAAGACTTACAAATAGTTTGACCAGATGGATGTTTACCAATGAATAAAGTCAAACTCCAACGGATGATCTGTTCGAATAATAATAAAATGACAAAACCAAATAAAAAGATCACTTTAAACAAAGTGTTAAGCACAGGGGCTAAGATTGGCATTTGATTCACTTTTGTTGATACAGGGATCAGTATACTGGCTTGGATGAGGAAAAGCAATTGTGTGCAGGACGGTACAAGTAACCGTATCACTTCATATCCACGTGAACTTACATAGTTGGATCCTTTGGCAAGTGGCACATAGATCATCATCGCCAACTGATGTTGTAGTGATATCCCCATAGAATGTAATGATGATGAGAAATGATAAATCAAAAAAAAAAAAAAAAAGAGGCAGAAAGCAAGTAAGCAAGAAAAAGAGAGAGAAGGATTTAAGAAAAAAAAATTAATTCATGTGACAAACAAAAACTGAAAGTTGAACATGTGGGGTAATGAGACCCGGTGAAATGGGGATCAGGGCACAAAAAGTTTTTTTTATTTTATTTCATGTGAAAGTGATTCTTTTTTCTTTTAAAAAAAATGGAATGTCAATTTGACTCAACTCATCATCATCAAAGTATGCTACATGTTCTTTTCTTGTTGATGATGATGTTGTTATAGTTGAAGAAAACTATGATTCCAAAAAAAAAAAGAAGGAATCCCCAAAACAATCCAGTCTTCTTTCTTTTCAATCTTTGACCAATCATATTTTGCAGCAATCATTGATCAAATTCATTTTGGGAATACATTTGTTCTTGTTTTTGAAATGCCGTTCTGCTGGGGGAGTAATCATAGTTGCACCAAATGTTTATTAAGTTTGTTAGGGGGAAGCAAACAAAGGAATTTTGCCAAGTTGTCGATGTTGATTATGATGATTGAAGCGAATGCCAAATTCAGATCAACTAAAAAGTTCAAGAGTTTATCCGAGTCTTGATGTTCAGGTTTTTGTCTAAGAATATTTTATGCCCCAACAAAAAGGGATACCTGATAAGTTTATGGAGTTTGAAAATGTCGGCCATACTGGTGTCTATTTTGAAAAAAAAAAATCTAGTTCTCGTGTTTTTCTTTTTTTTGCCCCCTTTCTTTTTGCAATTGTTCAAAAAATGACTTTTGAATAAACTTCTCTTTGTTAGTTTCTTCGATATGACTTTCCCATTTTTGTACAAAGATGGAAATGGAAATATAGCTGACGACAACAATCATTATATGAAGTTGGAACCTGAAGACAAAGCGAAACAATGAAGCTGGGAACTAAGGCGGATTATATCATCTTACATCAACGTACTCAATGGAAATTGACAACAGCAATGACGACAGTTTCCACAAATATATTGATACTGATGTTGACATTACCGAAGTGAATGAACGTACATCAACAAATTACACAGGTGCAAACAAAAAAAGGGACTACGAGGTTCATACTGTAGAAGAAAATCCTTGATTGGTTACTGCGACAACAATCCTTCGGCAGGCACTATCGACTAGGTTCCTCAGAGCTCAAGCCAATTGAACAATTTTTATTGATTGTCTTTTGTACATGTGATTACCGTGGTAGTAATCCTCTAACCATCCGTATCATTTTGGTGGAGAACCTGGGCAAAGTGGTCGGTCGCGGCGGTACTACCAAATATTAATGAAATTACTACAGCTGATTTTTTATTCCATTGTGTGACCTATACGATTACAGATGCAAGATGCATACACTACTCTGAAGATTTCTCCTTTTGAAGTTCTTTTTGGCCAAAAAAAAAAAGAACATCGACTTTTGTAGGACACTTCTCAAACAGAAGGATTTGTGGAAAGGATCAACCGAACAATGAAGATTAGCTTTAGCAGCAAGTACAAGGTTATCCGCTCTCGTCTCACCCTCCATACACAAATAATGGAAAAAGTATTTGTGGATTTGGATGATGCTGCTGAAAACATCGCTGAATTCCTCTCGCGTGCGCCATTGTCCAAGTTTGGTTTCCGTCGGGTGTATCTTGTCGTCATACACCAGCTTTTGGTACATGATCGCTGGGATGATCATTTACCAGTATGACAACCTTTCTTTCTTTTCTTTAGATTGACTTCTAGTTTAGGGTATCAATTAGTTAGCAGCGTTTAGTAGTTATACTTTTTATTCAATAAAGTTCTTTCTTTTCTTTTCTTTATTATTTTTTATTCCAACCACTTTATTACGTTAATGTGCTTGACGCCATCTTCTTTCGACGTATCATTATATTTTGTTATGTTTTACTTTGTGCTTATTTTTATAGGTATGGAGTACGTTGGTACTGTATTTTTTATTTCAAATAATATAAATTCTAATAAATTACTCTAGTACTAGTATTGAACCATTTGGAACCTCTAATGACTGGCCAGGGTCTACCTTGCCAGCAACAGAACCAAGGCAATTTATATCTGTATATACTTGCAAAACTTTATCACAACGATTTTCAACAATGGCCTCAGTAGGATATCCTGTATCGAGACATCCAGTTGGATCAATATATACTTGCCCATTAACTAAGATTTCGCCATTACACGCCTCAGATTTTCTAATACTGATAGCCAATAACATTAAACTTGAAACTAAAAATGATAATTTCATCTTAATATAAGTAGTTAGTGTCACGCTTCTTACTGACCAACCAAAAAAAAAAAAAAAAATAAAAAATAAAAATAAAAATAAAAATAAAAATAAAAATAAAAATAAAAATAAAAATAAAAATAAAAATAAAAATAAAAATAAAAATAAAAATAAAAATAAAATAAAAATAAAAATAAAAATAAAAATAAAAATAAAAATAAAAATAAAAATAAAAATAAAAATAAAAATAAAAATAAAAATAAAAAATAAAAAATAAAAAATAAATAAAAAAAATACTTACCTTAATACGGTTTTTACGGTGGATGATCAAGTAATATACGAAGACAGTGTATGTATTAAGATAATAAAGAAATATAAAATAAAAAGAAAAAGAAAAATACAAAGACCAAGAAAAAAAACATTTATAAGGAGGTGGGATGCTAAGAACAGAATATCCATACTGCAGTAGTAATTGGATGATAAAAAGTAAGGAGAAATAGTGCAAAAAGGAAAAACAGGTTTTGGTATCCCCTTACTTTCATTACCTAGTTCTTACAAAGGAGTTTTCAAGGTTTGTTATAAAAAAGTGTCGAGAAAAAAGAATTGCTATTGAGTTGCAATCCACTTATCCTTGTTCTTAGGAATTATTCATTTCCAACAGTCAATCCATCTATGTTCAGCAATCATCCTGAATATGTCCTTATAAGATATATATATATATATATGGCATGGACTTTTTAAAAATCAGTATGATGCATAGTCTACATTAGTACCGCCAGAAAAGACATATATCAATACATATTACAAACTTAAAAACAAGGCAACGTAAACTCATTTTGCAAATCTTATTCGAGTCTCCACAAATTGATAAAAAAAAAAGAAAAAACCAATAAATCCATTAGATTTCAACATAACTGTTTTATATCAATACTATTTTATTTTATTTCAAAACGATACAATAATAAAAAAAAAAAATAATGATACAAATAACTAAGACCAAGCTAAACGGGTGAATACAGGACGATGATCACTAATCAAACAACCATCATCAAATTGGTTATTCAAAATAGCATAGGCAAGTACCTTGATTGAATCTTGAGGAGACATATACATGATATAATCAATGCGTCGATTGGCGTTTTCCTTTTCCTCTTCCTCTCCAAAGCTTGTAAATGTCAAATCATGTCCATAAGGTCCACTGAGATGAGATATGTTATTATTGTTTAATGTAAGTCGAGTGGCCAAAGCATATCTTGTATCATGGAATCCACCATCTTCTTCTTTTTCTTGTTGAGCCATAAATCGTTCACGTCGAAAAACACGATGGGTTGGTAATTGAATACTGTTTTCAGTAGTGCGTACAGGACGGCCAGTAGTCGTAGCGAAAGAATGAGCAGCTTGATCATTAAGTTGATCCAAATGAAGCCATGTGCGATTATCGGAAGGAGGAGTAGAAGAAGAAGTCAATTGATGATAGGCAGCTTGATCTTCAGTGCTATTGAGATCACCCAAAAGGATAATCGGGGTATGTTGATGTTGTTGAGATAATTGCTTGGCTTGTTGTAGAATCAAAGTTGCCGAGGCTTGGCGTGCTTCTTCTGATACATGATCAAAATGTGTATTGATGACAATAAATTGCATGTTGACATCTATCTTTGATTGGAATCTAAAGGGAAGAGGAGAAATTTGATATCAATTTGTATTTTGATTTATTATTATTATTATTTTACCTTGCAATAGTAGCAGTTCTTGGATGCTTGGCACCCCATCCTTGGCTTCCCACTTTTTCTGGCGTCTATCATTAAATACATTGTTATGAATAAAAACAAACAAGAAAAACGTTTCCAATCTTTCTTTTACCTCAGATAACCAAATTGTCTTCCAATCCAAAACAGTCAAAAGATCCCTAAAATAGGTAAAAAAAAAAAAATATTCACACACATGATGAATTTCATCAATATATAATGTATACTATTATTTTTTTCTCTTTTACTTTTTATAAAAAATAGCAGTATATTCGCCTTCTTGAATACCATCGTTTCTACCTACACCAATCCAATCATAATCTTCTTGAGTTAATATATGCAAATCAACTACTTGATGATAAACAGGTTCCTAATAAAAAAAAAAAAGATAAATATATCATTATATTTTAATATATAATTAAACTTACTTGAAGTCCTACAATATCAGGTTGATAGAATAAAAGAGTATCTGCCACTTTCCATTTTCTAATAGGCCAAGGTTGTTCTCCTATCAATTCATTCATAGGAGGAGGAGCAGACAGAATACTATTGATAGACGATGGACCATGGTCATGTCGAATATTAAAACTCATAAAAGAACATTTGTGAATCATGATTGGGAAAAAAAATAGATAAAAATGAGAAAGAAAAAGAAAGAAAAAAAGACTGACACCATTTTTTAGGACCAAAGGATAAATCAGAAGAAAAATTTGGATTCCCGCAGCATTAACTTTTTTATAGGGTAAACCCTGTTCGTTACAAAGTAAAAGATACATATATAATGAACATAGTATTTTTTTTTTTTTTTTATTTTTTATTTTTTTAAAAAAAACAACAACAAAAAGGAAGGGTAAATGATACAATAACAAGAAAAATAAAAATAAAAAAATGATAATAAAAAGAGAAGGAATGTATATAAAAAGATCTATCTATTTAAACATTAAGAGGAAGGTACCTTTTGATCTTGTTCTTCATTCTTGCCACCATAAATTAAATCATATCTTCGACGAGTATCTGCATCTAACATTTCAGCACGTCCACGTCGTTCATAGTTCACCATATAACGATCACCTATAAACAACATCTTTTTATTAGTTCCCCTTTTCCAATGACTTTATTTTACTTACTTTTATAAGCACCACCACCAAGTCCAAAACACATGATAATATAAAACTATAATATAATAAATGGAAAATCAATTAAAAAAAAAAAGAAAAAAGAAAAAGAGTTTCCAGTTGTTTTTACCTTGTTGACAGTTTGAGTACGACGATACCAAGGAGCAAAAGCATATAATAATCCTGAAGCTACTACACCTACACCAGCCCATTGTAAAGCGCCAATAGCAAATCCTTTCATAGCATAGTCAGAAGCAGATTGTTGATCAGATGCTGTAACAACTCTCATGTTGAATTATTTTATTTGATTTAATTGTCTATTGAGAAAAAAAAAAAAAAAAAAAAAAAAAAGAGAAAGAATAATAAATATAAAGGAAAAAAAAGAAAAAAAAAAAAAAGAAATGCCGAACTAAAAAAAAAAAAAAAAGACAAGGCGAAAAGTACCCTGGCTTTTCTCTCTCCTCTTCCTACTGAGTTTGGATAATCGATCATCCGAAACAAAATATCATTCGATCTTTTTATTTATCTATATCTATCTAAAAATTAAGACCAAGGTGCAGATGGTGGTGGATAATAATAAGATCCTTGTTGTTGAGCCGCATAATAATTGTTATTACTATTGTCATTGCTGGAAGGATAACTTGATTGTTGTTGATATGGTTGATGAAGGGTATGATCTGGCATTGTCATTGGCATCGGCATAGCAAACCCACCTGGTCCTGAAGAAGTAGTAGAATTTGATGTTGACATGGAAGGCATTGGATAATGATTAGGTACGGTATTATTTGATGAAGGTATAGGAAATACAGGATATGATGGAGGAGGAGCATTTTGATATAGATGCATTGCTGGACGTTGTTGTTGTTGTTGTAAAGGTGATCCTTTATTAGGTACATACGCAGTGATATCAGGCATACTGGCAAAAGCGGTAGTTGTAACATTGGATTGAGAAGGGGGAGGTTGTATCCATGTCGAAGAAGGTGATGATGATAATGGGGTAGAAGGTAAAGTAGACTGAAGATGATGATGTTGATGAGGTGATGATGATAAGGAATGGATGGAAGGAGAAGTCAAACTATGTTGTGATGAATGTCGATCTATATTAATGATGTCATTTCTTTTGATGTTGGTAGGCTCAATCAAAGTCGCTTCACTGGTTGTTGAAGATACTGAAGATGTCATCGTGTTGATACTATTGTGTCGGGTAGTAGGATCAATAATAGTAGTATTATTATTATTATTATTGCTGATGATTGATGCTGAAGATGACTGGCGAGATACATGTTGCTTATGAACAGATGATGATATGGATGTTCCTGATGATTGTCGAGATACTGATTGTCTAAGATCATGATGCTGCTGAGTTGTGGTAGTAGTACTAGTAGATGGTGATAAGGAAACAGGCGTATATGTAGTACTTGATGATCTATGTTGATGCTGAGTAGAGGATAAAGTGGTTGGATCCACCACCAACAAAGAGAAAGAGGATGTACCAGTTACATAAGACGTTGATTTTTTTGGTTCATAGATTTGCAGAGTGGATGCTGATGTTGTTGATACTGATGTTGTAGGAGAAGATGTTAAGGATGGTAAAGGTTTATCCAATTTGGAAACATTATCATTGTCGGCAAGAGTAAGTTGTTGTATATTGATCGAGTCAGTTTCATCTTGAGTGGCAATGTCTTGTTCTTCATGTAATCCATCGACATCTTCCATATTGGTTTCATCTTCTTCTTCTTCTTCATCATCATCATCAATGGAAAGATTTGGTTTAGGATGTGTACCAATGATAATACTTGATTCTAATTTGGTGTAATTTTCATGATGTGGTTCAGAAAGAGAAGGATCATTGAGATTAATCACCACTCGAATAGAATAATCCACCTTCAAGATATGTCCACTTTCAGATACCGTAGGAGGAGTGTTGGTTGGAATCAAAAGCTTTGTATTGATGATTTGTTGATATTCTGTCGATTCAGATGTAATGTTGATATCTAACGCATTTGATTTGATTGATTTTCTTTCCAATAGCTTATTCCTACAAATTAAGACATGTTAGTAAAATAAAGATAATAATAGTGTTTTTTTTTCCATCAGACTTTACTTGTTTTTCCCACTAAAAACCCGTCGAATTAAATACACTTTGATACCATTTTCCCTTACAAGTTCTTGAAAATGCTTGATAGTAATTTCCAAAGGTAAGATATCACCTATTCATAATATTTTATTATTATTATTATTAAAAAGTCATTTTGATCTTACCTCGAACGACAGCATAACGAGGTAATGTTAATGATAATTGTACCTTTTGATGATCCGATAAACCCAAAACACGTACACTATCATAAACATGACCCTTGGCACAATATTCAGGTTGAGTGATATCAATAAATTCCAATAGTCGAATTTCCTTTTTGGTTTGACTTGAAAGACGATCAGGAACATAAGGTCTATCATGAATAGCTGTGATTGTATAATTGACACCAATCAGAGAAGATAACTAATAAAAGAATCAGATGAATAATAAGAATAATAATAATAAATGAAACCACGTGTTTTTATATATATATATTTTCTTTTACTTTTAAAGAGCTAGGTAGTTTAGATTCATCTGTTGGTATTTTGAATTCAAAAGGGAACCGGTGTGCTTGAGCTTCCAACATATGAGGTTTTCCATCATTCAAAGGAGAAGAAGCTAAAAACCATGACTTTGTTAAAACTTGTATTGTTGTATTATCTGCTTGAACATGACCTTCCAAAGTAACTCGAATATGATTTGTTTTTGTTGGTTTATCCAAATCCAATACGATATCACCTAAATAAGTTTATAAGAGTGTTAACGAAAGCATTCTTTTTTTTTTTTTTGTTTACCTTTAATAAGATCTCCAGGGAAATAATATCTACTTTCAAGTAAATCAATATAAAACTCCTTTTTCTTTGTAGATAAAAGGAGATCCATCACAATAATAATAATAAAAAAAAAAAAAAAAAAAAATGAAAAAAGTAACTCGTAGAAAAGAAAAAAAAAAGTAAAAGAGCACAAGCCAAAAAAGAAAAAAAGTTGGAAGACCGCAAAAAGGGGTCAAGGATAAACGGGACCAGGTATTGTTTCTATTTTTTTTTTTTTGTTAATTTCTTATTCTCTGTTCCCCTATTTTTTTTATGTTACTGAATAGTTCTAGACGTCAAGTTAGTTTACTTGGTATTCATACTCGATCCTTCTTCAATTTAACCGAATCTCTTCGAAATGCCTCTATAAAGCGTTATAATGAAAAAAAAGTATTAAAGTAAATAAAATAAAAAGAGAATCATATAACAAAAAAAAAACTTGACATTTATATATATTTTTATGCTAGTTTCTCTCAACAACAAGTTTATGATGTAGTAGCCAATGTAGATAATTATTATCAATTTATTCCTTTTTGTAACCATTCACGCGTTTATTCTTCCAAGTCTCATCAACAAGATCAAATTATCATGCAAGCTGAATTAGGGGTAGGATTCAAACTTTTTGAAGAAAAATATATGTCTACAGTTACTTGTCAACAACCTCATATGGTGAAGGTAAGATTATAATTTAATTTATATATATCTTTATTCTCATTTTCTTCTTTTCTATATACATATATATATATATATATATATATATATAATAGGCGGTATCGGCAGATGCTTCCTTATTTAAGGAATTGGTAACCACATGGCAATTTCATCCTCATGCTAGTCTAAGCAATGGTCAACCTCGATGTATGGTTGATTTCAATATTAGTTTTGAATTCGCTTCTCCACTTCATGCTCAAGCTTCCAATGTCTTTTTTGATCAAGTCTCCCAAATGATGATGAAAGCATTTATTGATCGATGTCATCAAGTTTATAGTGTCTCTTCTGTAAAATTATCTTGATATCCCTTTCTTTATCCATCATCATCATTATTATTTTATTGTATAGAATTGTTTTTTATTATTATTATTATTATTGTTTATAGAATCATATCATTAGAATAAAACCTTTGTTATATATATATATGTTTATATATTGATCTCTATGACGGGCGCCAGAATAAAACGAAAAGATGGGCAATAAGAACAAGAATCATGACCCAAGTATGAATATCAAAGAGTCGAGATGAAGATACTTTCTTTTTATCGATGGTACATTGATTGGTACATGGATGACAATGATGATGACCAATAGATGTATCAAATGTACCAGGCATACGATCCATGGATTGTTCTCTATTCGTAGTCATTGTAGTGGTAGTGATGGATGTAGTAGGAACATTGGATAAAGTTTTTGTAGTGACGGTAATACGTTGTGTAGAGTTTGTGGCATCACAACAAGTCTTCTTGTGATCCATATGTTGCCATGTAGACTGATTCGATTCTTTTTCACATTGATTCACTTGAGTTAGTAACTGAGATACAAAACTATCAAATTCAACATCCTTAGGAGGGTCATCCATAGTAGAACATTGCTGAAACTCAATTTGTCCTTTGGATGTTTTCTTAATAGATGTCCATTCATCATCCTATTATAATAATAATAATAAAAAAAGATGAGTCCTGATATGACTGATGTTTCCTTCTTTATATATATATATATATATATATTTATACCGTTTCTTTCACTTGGTCATCCTCTTGTAATAATAAATCATAAAAATCAGACCACTGAGAATCAGAATCCATTGGTAAAATAATTAGAATGGATATCAACTATATGGATTGAAAAAAGAGATAAAGCTGAAAAGAAAGATAAATCGAATAGTTAAGTTTCAGATCATCATGATGATAATGATGAAAATCCTAGGAACTCGATGAAACGGCATAACAAACAAATAAATGTAACACAATAAGAATAATGTTCTCTTCCTATGATATTGATTCTCTGCTGATCACCTTCATCTCGTGTAATTACATATTCTTCCCTATGTTATATACTCAGAGTACTTTCATCCACACTTACATTCTTTCTAAAGGAAAAAAAAAATTCTTTTTTTTTGTTTATCTGCTTGATGAGATGTAATAACAAACAAATATCGTCCTCTACCTATGACAGAGTTTTTTTTTTCCTTTTCTTTTTTTGTGACTGGACGAAAGGATGGAGGACAATTTTTTTCCGATGGATTGGAGCTAATGGAGAAACTCATTTTTTTAATATGATGACATTGAAAAAAAAAAGAACTTCTGTGATGAACGATCCATCTTCATTTTAAAAATAAATCATCCTACTATACTAAAAAAAAAAAAAAGAATATCTCTTTTTATGTAACGTCAATCCAACACAAAGAAAGAAAGCAGAGATAACATGCATCATGATTCTTGTGTGAGTAAAGTAAATACCGTGCTTTCTTCCTCCTTGATATGTCAAGTTCATCATATAGGAACAATTACTTATTATTGTTCACTTGCATTGCCCCTAAAACATTCACGGAGTGTCAAATCCAATCCATAAAAAGCATCAGACTAATTTTTATTTTATTTTATTTTTTTTTTTCCCATTCTTCACCTTTTTCTTCTTTGAAATATACTTTATGTCTAGTACTAGTCTCATCAATCAAGATACTCGTATCAAGTAAACAACAGAAAAAAAAAATACAATAGAGTCATTATCAAAACATTGGATATAGTTTCCATTGCTAACTATATACTTTCCTTGTATTGATGATATAGGGTTAGCTCTGTCTTGAATCGCGATACTCCCAGTTTTGGAAAACAACATTTGATTGATGGTTCAGAAGAAACATGTTGGAATTCAGAACAGGTAAAAATAGAAAAAAAAGAGAAGTTGTTTTGACAATATCATGGTTTCCATCTTCCTTTATATATATATAATTAGGGTTTACCACAACATATCTTGATTGATTTTGGAACACCAGCAACTGTGACAGATATTATTTTGACATTTCAAGGAGGATTTGTGGGCAAGACCTGTGTAGCACTAGGCAGTACAGCCGACCAACCCAATGACTATAGTGTCCATTTAGCCACTTTTTATCCTCAAGATATCAATCCCATGCAAACTTTCCCTATTCCCAACAATAATAATGTACCTATTCAACGCCTGAAATTGATTTTTGAAGAAAGCACTGATTTTTATGGACGTATTACTATTTATAAATTGGATGTTTTAGGAACACGATAGATTATTAGATTGGATGATAGTTTAGATTTTTTTTATTATTATTATTATTGTAATATATAAATAAACCTATATACATGATGAAATGATTGGACTATAACTATTTTAGGTGGCAACGCCTGCTGCTAATCTATTTTGGAAACCATAGATACCAATCCATATAATGACAATGATCAAACCAACAACACAAGCACCAAGATAAAATTGAAGTACCATCCGTCGTCCCATGGTCAAAATACCTCCACCTTTTGAAAGTCCATTTGGCTTGAATACCATCAAACAAATACATATCAGACCAATCACAATCGAATACACCAAACCCACTAAGTAAAGAAAAAGGAATGAATTAGGATCAAGTTATCATCATCTTTTGGATTTTTTTTTTACCATAAAGACCATCTGGAAATTCAATAGCAATTCCTGCCAATAGTAAACCATATACAAGAGATCCCAAAGCGAATACAATTTTAGTACCTATTGTTAATGGACCATGAACTTGATTTCGAAAGGCAAAAAGTTGAGCCCAGGACATCACCATACCACCAAATGCATACATATAATGAGCAATAATATGTTCCCATAGATCACGCATATAAGAATAAATTTGTTGTAAAACTGGGTATTGATCTACAATATCTGGATGAGCCAAATTGAAATCTTGTACTGGATGCTATGCAAAAAAAAAAAAAAAAAAAAAAAAAAAATAGTGAGTAATCATGATCCTTTCTATTCACTTTTATTAATGTATTAAAAAAAAAAAGGGTCTTACCTTGAACATGGCAGATGCTGTATGTAATCCATGACCTTGAACAAAGAGAGCTGCACCCAAGGACCAAAATAACCAACCTACAGTTTGTTCACTCCAATTTCCCCCTAATATAAAGTATAAGCAAATCTAAACAATCATCATCATAAACTTACAATACCGGGCTTTGCCATTCATGATACTAGACGCACGTGTCATGATAAATAGATTTAAAGGTAAAGTGAATAGAGGATCAAATAACCGCCATAGCGCATCGCCAGAGAACCAACTAGGAACCACATCAGGAAGATTCGCCACCACAGGTACCAAAGTGAAAAACAACATGGAGAAACTAGCACCCAATAGTAACCAAGCCAACCATCGATCTTGATCTTGACTTGTATTATTATTAGTGGATACGGGATAACCTTCTTCTTGTTCCTCTTCTTCTTCATAATCACGCATACTTTGTACTGGATTGTATGGCATATCTTTATGTATGATAGGTATCATGTCCTGCTGTGAAGGACTACGAACATGTTGTTCATGAGCTGGCACGTATGTTTTCCCTGAGGATGAATAAATGGATGGAAGTTCATAACTATCTTGAGGCATGAAATTAAAACAAAAAGAGTAAAGAAAAAGAGAGGGGAAATATATATATAGTTGCTCAAATTTAAAAGCACGCCGCAGAAAAAAAAAAAAAGTGCCAAGCCTTCCTTTTTAGGAGAGAGTAAAAAAAAAAAAAAGGATTGAATGGATGATAACTTTTTTTTTTTTATTATTTCATTTTGATACACACAAGTAGTAGTAAAAGACAAAAAAAAAAAAGAAAAAAAAGGTAATATATAACAATAGTAATAATAATAATAATAACAAAGACCATAGTAGGGAATCATTCTAACCATACCAAATCAAAGATGTCGTTACCTACATCACTTTTTGATCTAAGTTTTCACTATGCTTTTCCAAACAGCTTGCCGACGAGTAGATCGAGAGGAGGAGCGCTTGTGATAAGATGATTCATCCTGTTGAGAATACACACTGACCTGACTACCATTTTCATTAAAACGACGAGAATAATCAGTAGGTATGGGAGATGAAGGTGAAACAGGAGAAAGATCAGTCAATCGAGGTACAGATGTTGTTGATACTGATGGTGGTGATGAAATTACAGTTGGTGTATATTCCAAGATAGCTCTACGAGTCCAAGCTCTTCTTCTGGTTGCTCCAAATCCAATGGATTGACTTTCTGTCCATGTCATATTACCATAGATCCAACCATCATCATCCGACGAACCTTGCCATTGCCAATCAGGATCTACCCAGACCCAAGTCCACACCACTTTACGACCATCATCAAGGATTTGAACAGGAGCAGGAAGCACAAATTGTTGTTTGGGAAGTACCGGATTGTGATATTCGTCCGTCCATACAGCACGATCCAAGGGTAATAATGTTGTTGGGTGCCAGTTACCTGTCAATGGTGAACGACGTTGATTTTCATAAATTGTAAATGTAAAAGATTCACTATGATGCTTTTGTTGTTTATTGAGTGTACTTGTCATGTAATGTTGTTGATAATCCAAAGCACGTTGAACGAGACGTTGACCAGTGGAGGAAGAAGTATTTGTAGGTAGTAACCAGGTATGAAGACGATGAACATGTGATTGATGCATCACAGTTGTAAACCATTGGTCTCGAGTCAAAAGCACAATACCAATACCCATAATAATCCAGTTGGTAGGTAGGAACTGATGTAATGTGACCCATAAAATATAACCATAGAGTCCCATGAGAAATAACTGAGGAGGGTGATGACCAATATACCATGTACGTAGTTGATTCAGTTGAGTCGTACAAGTGTCTCGCCATGTTTCTACCAGTTTGATATGTTGTGTTTTTTGAGGAATATAACAGTAGTATAGCAACGGTAAGAGCGGGAGTACATATACCAAAAAGAACGATAGTCGATGGCAAAGGAAACACCAAGCAACGAGGATGGCCGGTGATAGACCTGTTTTGGTAGGATCCAACATGTTTTTCAAATAATGACCGGCATTATCAAAACTCATCCTTTGTCAACAAGAAGAAAAAAAATAAGTATAGAGGAAAATGAGTAAGAAGTGGAAACACAAAGAAGAAGAAGGAAAAGAAAAGAAAAAAAATCAGCAGCGAAAAAGGAAATCCCCTTTTCAGTTAGATTGCCATTTCAAATCACGTTCATATGTCAGCTTTTCAAATTATTATTGTTCGGGCATAGAATAATAAGAGAAAAAAAAATAATAAAGATCTGTGCATTTGAAACCTTTTTTTTTTTTTATTATTATTATCTGAATAAAAACAACTAATGGTACATAGTAACAATATATTGTCTATAATACTTTAATACTAAACCTAATTGTTTTCTTGATACAGCTTCACGGTACATGATTTCTTCAATAGGGTGCTTACCATCCATATAAGGCACTAACCGAACCAATAGATCTGCGACTTCCTTGGGTGCTTTTTCATGAGCCCATTTCCCACCTTCTTCATCATTGGGCCAAGGTTGCATCAAAACCAAAAACATATGTAGTTGAATCACCCAATCTTTGCGTACAAGATATGTGATGGCTTCCAGATATTGATTTCGATATTCTTTGGAGGGAGTAATTCGATATAAAGGTTTTCCATAAGATAATTGAGATAAAAATGTAGGAAGATTGAGACTAGGAATATGAAGTTTGAAATCTTGTTCTATCAATGCCAGACTAGTCAAATAATAATAAATGAATCAATTTTCCCTTTTTATTTTTTTTTTAAAAAAAAAAGATGTTCCTTACTCTTCGAATTTTGCCTTGGGGGATAATACATAGTTATTTCGAGCATGAATAGGATGAATCAATTTTGCTTTTCGCCAATAAATCAAATGAGCTGCTAAACGATATATTTGAGCTAAAGAACAATCCAGAATTAAATGTAATTCTTGTAGTCTAAATATTAAAAAAAAAAAAAAAAAGAATGAATGATGATGATACATGGATAATTTTTTTTTCTTCTTCTATTGAATTACGTTTGTGTGGGTGTTAAGATTTGAATCAATTGTACCAAAGTGGGACTTGCATCTAAAGGCATGTTTTTCAAGACTTCTTCAGGATCTTCCAATAATAATAATGTATGATAAGGACAAAGGACTGGATAATGATCGTATTCATATCCACCTACACCATAAATATCCATCAATGATGCAGATTGAGAATCATAACTAAGTAAAGGTCCTTGATGTGAATTGGTCATATCATTATCTCCATGTTGTTTCTGTTTCTGTTGTTGTTGTTGTTGTTGTTGCTGATGTTGTTGCTGTTGTTGTAATAAAATCTTCTTTCTTTCATCCACCTGTAATCCATTCTTTTGTTGTTGTTGTTGTTGTTGTTGCTGTTGTTGCTGTTGTAATAATTGTTGACGTTGAGACTGATGAGTCATGGTGGCACCAAAAGTAGATTGTCGAGAATGATGTGTAAACACGGGAATTTGGAGCGAAACATCAATAAAATCATTGATGATCACATGTGCTGTTGTTCGCGTAGTCAATGCTGTATAGATATGTCGTATGTCTCGAGCCAAGCTGGATTGTTGAAGGATGGTTTGCATGACTTGAGAATAATCCACATTAATATTATCTTCGTTATCTCGAATCGCTAATATTTTTTCCACTTCGTCTTGAACATAGCCACATCGTAATTGTTCATATCGGAGTGCTGCCGTATATCGCATCACCACATGTTTATAAATCGCATTGACTTGAGTATTGAGTTCCAAATCTGCAGGACTAAGCACAAACACCACATGGAATTGAGTCATACTAGTTGATCGATCAAATTTTGTTCCATCCGTTCCTCGACTAGCTTTTTTCTTTCGACCATGTTGTTCTTGTTGTTGTTGTTGATTCTTGTCGTCATGAGTCATTTTATCAGTATCATCTTCGTTTTTCCCTTTGGTATATCCTTGATTTTCAATATCATCATCATCACTATCACTGCTGGTACTGGTGCTATTGCTACTGCCGCTACTGCTTTCATCACTACTGCTATTGTTGGTACTGGTACTATTACTATTGTTCATATTGATCTCTCCAGCTTTGCTACAATTTTGAGTGTCATTGATACCGCTATCATTGATGGTGTTATTTTCTGATGATACCGGTGGTGGCGAAGATATAGAAGTGTCAGGTATTGCTGATGTAGATGGTGAAAGGATATTATAATTTTGAATTGTTGATTTCCGTTGCACTCTAGGAGATAATGATGATGCAGAATCATGTGGTTGTGAAGAATCTTGAATAGTACGTTGTGTTGATGAAGAAAGATCCTGGGTATCATTGGCGGATTTGCTGGATTGATCACGATAAGACGAATGATGATGATGGTGATGATGATGATGATGATGATGATGGTGGTGGTGGTGGTGATGATGATGATAACGAGATATTTCAGTAGATTTACGAGTTGTCAAACCTACAGGATGACCTACAAATGTCAAGTCGTCCAAGCTGAGTTGAAATTTCCTATCACACAGTGCTGGTTTGGGTGAAAGTGTATCTGCTAGTAAAGAAACATCAATATCAAAAATAGTGTCACGACCTCCATCTCGTTGAATTGGTTCTGAATTATCTTGAATAGGATCGTCTTCTTTTGCATTGTTGTTGGTATTGGTTGTTGCTGCATTCGAAGGAAGACGTTCATGATTGGAATACGCTTTACTTGTTGAATTGGCTACATTATATTTGTCTGTGATAATAGTTTTACTTGGTCGTTGAGGATCGGCTGGATAACTAAATACGTAATGATGACCTCTTGTAGAATTTATAACAAGTAATATAGCCAAGAGAGAGTTCATATAGTAATAAATAATATTAAAATAAAGTAAAAGAGAGAAAGAAAAAAAAAAGAAGAATTTCGGCCAAGTTTGAATTTTATTATTTTTAAATAACCGCAATTGTCTATTTTTTTTTTTTCTCTCTTTCTTTCTTTTTTTTTTTTTTTTTTCTCTTTCTTATAACTATATTAATATCATTGATTAAGAAAAAATCATCATCATCATGGATAGTCCCATGACTGAAGAAAAAGGACACAAGTTTAGAATTCGAGTACGACCTACTCGATGGAATTATATTGGTCTTATATTATCTCTTGCTGGCTTTATACTGGTTTCACTTTGTCTGGTGGGTGGAATTAGTAGTAATGGTCATAGTATTCATTTTGTCAAGATCCAAGGAAATAATGTCACTGCTACTTTTGGGCTTTTGGGCTTTTGTATTGAACAAAATCATGAATTGAATTGTCAACGTGATGATGCTGTCAAACTCATTCCTTTTGGTAAGTCTTTTTATTATTATTATTATTATTACTATTATATAGCTATTGACATATATTTTATTTTATTTTATATATATATGTATAAGCGGTAACGGTACCTACAGTTTTAAACGATACTTATCCCAACCTATTCACCGATGCTATCACACCTGATTCTGGTGTCTATCCTCAAACTGTTGCTCAACCTAGTCATGATCCTCGTATTCTTGCAGCCAGTATTTTATGTTTGATCTGTGGAGGAGCTGCTATCCTGATTGGACTTTGTAAGGTTGTCTTTTACACCCATTTCCAAGATGAAAGTTATACTCGGGGCTTTTGTGCTATGGCGGCATCTGTGATGTCTCTCTTATTAGTGGCCGAAACGGTAGTCATGTATCAAAATGGTGCTGCTGAGCTGAATTTGATATATCCTCATTTACAGGCTACATTGGGTCCTGGTATGACTATGATTGGTATTTCACTTCTTGTCTTCTTTTTATCAAGTGTGGCCTATCTTCAAGGTTGTTTCTCTTCTAATGGTACAAGTGATAAAGGCTATGAATTGCTCTGAAAATATCCATTTTATTGTATAGTTTGTTTTTTCTTTTTTTTTTTTCCTTTAGTTCCATTCTCATTGTTTCTTTTTTTGTTTTTTTGTTTGATCGACATTGTTGATCTACCATCAAATCATCCTTTTTTTTTTTTGGTTACACCTTGGAAATCTATCATCAAATCAAATAAAATACCTCATTTCTTAATCATATCTTTTATTCGTTTTTATCAATAAAGCTGTCTAGCGTTCAATCACCATTGCCTTTTATAGTAACGTTTTTTGGAGGGGGGATCAAATAATATACATCATCATCATCATCATCATGATAATATAAATAAATATGTATGCTCATCTCGGATGCATTTTTATATCATCATCTATTTTGGGGAAGTACATCCGCTGGACTTGCCGAATCAGTAATATCTTCATCCGAGTTCTCTCATTGTTACAAACAATAAATGTTTAGAAAAAGAAAAAGATGTAATATGGCATGGACTCAAAAAAAAAAAAAAAAAAAAAAAAATAAACAAACCAATCAAGATAATGAATTTAAACATGCATCCAGGCAAAATACATTTATCATGGGATGATATGATATCATTATTATGGTAATCAAAGTACAGTAGTAAATAAAAAAAAATATATATAATACTATTTTTTATTGAATAAAGTGAATACATATAATAATATAAACTATATAATGAAGAAAAAGAAAAGATAAATGGATAAAATGACATCTATTACCATCTATCATCATAATCTATCCTAAAGTTCGTATTTCTTCAAGACTTGATGTTCAATCTTTTGTACGGGTGCATGCTTGCCAGTCCAAATTTCGAATTGAGCAACACCTTGAGAGATCAAGACTTCAATACCTTCTACACAAGACCAACCTTTTCGTTCTGCTTGAAGTAACAATTTGGTACGACGAGGTTTATATGCCATATCACAGATAATACCCCGAATACCTCCATACAGATGATCAGGAAGAAGAATACCGCTATCAGCTGGCACAGTAGAAACAATCACACCAGGTTCAATTGATGTTTGATCGTCCAATGAATCAAGTACGTGGACATCCATCAAAGTATCGAATTGTTTCTTGAGTTCATATGCCTTAGCCACAGTTCGGTTCCATAAGTAAATCTTGCGAATGCCCATCTTGTACAATGCATAGAGACCAGCACGCGCAGTACCACCGCTACCAATCACCAAACCTTGTTCTGGAGGATTGTTAGGATCCAACATCAATGGTTGAACACGACGCATGATGCCAAGGTAATCCGTGTTTTCACCCACCAACTTGCGCACTTTGACACCATTTTGATTCACATATCGTACAGAGATCGTGTTCACTGCACCAATCACCTTGGCATTTTCAGTCACTTCATCCAAATACTTCATCACTGCTACCTTGTGAGGGATTGTTACCGAAGCGCCGCCAAACGATTCATCTTGGAGTAAAGCTTCTTCAGCATATTCCACCATGTGACATTCCAATAATCCATAATGATGAGGCAAACCAAGTACGTCAAAACCAGTATTATGCAATGTAGGTGACATGGAGTGTTGAATAGGAGTACCGATTAACCAGAATTTCTTTGCAGGAAGAAGTCCAATAAGATGACGAGCACGATAGATTTCAGCTAAAGATAATTGACCAGGAGCAGCCTTATGAGGAAGTGCAGCATGAGTGATAGGTGTAAGACAATCGTTGATCACTCGGCTAAGTTGACCAGCAGCTCCCATATTGATAGCAATAAGAGGTTTTCCACCTGATCGACTTGTTCGGAAAGTTTCAAGAGCCATGTTGTCTTGCATAGATTCAGCTACACCTACAAGTTTTATCAGATCACCATAACGTTCGGCCAAATCATATTTGACTTGAATAGCTTTGCTGTCCCAAGGTGTTTGGCGAAGAAGATCATGCCACGAAGCGAGAATAAGACTTTGACCCTTGTTGGCAATTAGTGATTCAATAGCAGTAGAAGACCAGATCGTTTCCATATCAATGTATTCACAACCCCATCTTGCACCCCAGGATAAGAGTTCAAACATACCATTTTCATCATAATCAGAGAATGCACCAGCTTGACTTTTGCTTCGAACGGTGTAAATAACAGGAAGATCGATATGACGACGTAAAATAGACAATTGTTCACCAACGTATTCGATATAAGAAGATGATGATGAAGAAGAAGAAGGTTCATCCGTTGGTTGTTCAAGAAGATCCACACGAAGTTCCACAGCATCAGCACCTTCACAAATTTCCTCCAATCGATCCACTGTTTTACGCAAATCCTTCATCGTCAAAGATACAAATGTTGTTGGTAAACCCACACGAGCAGGATTCGTATCCACATGGTTGGTTTGTCGTCCAGAAATAAAGTACAAGAATCGAGTAAGATCTTTCTTGATAGCCACCCATTCAGTTGGAGCAACCCAACCATCATCTGTCAATCCTTCAGCATAGGCCACAAATTCATAATTGCAAACTTCACGATACCATGAACGACGACGATTCCATACAGTCACCATATCTTCACCAAACATAGGTCTTGTCTTATCCCTATTGAGATATTGAATCACCTGGTCTAGATCGCGTACCAAATGAAGTACTTTACCACCAGCTCGAACATGTTCCTTCAAGATTTGACGAGATTCAGGTGTTTCCACAATACCACCACCACAAGAGACCACATAATTACGTCCATAAGGAGAATCCTTAGCTAATACTGCACGTAACGCTTCTGCTTCCTTGATTCGGAACTGTTCCCATCCCCAAGTATTGATAAAGTCAAAGACAGATGTTTTCAATGTAGCTTCAAAGTAGTGATCAATGTCGACAAATTGGAATCCAAGTACTTCAGCCGCATGTTGTCCAAGTGTAGTTTTTCCTACTCCACGCATACCGATGATAACAATTGATTTTGAGTGATCCATAGTGCTAGTACGACGAACCACTTTTTGAGAGCCAGAATGATCCAATTCAGAGAGACGTTTTCCTTGATCCACACCATTAAGACGAACACCAAGCTTTCTTTCGAGATCATCCCACCAAGTAGGCCAAGTTTTTTCCACACATTTTTTTTCTTGTACAATGGTACCATTAGGAACAACACTAGCGAGAACAGAGAAGGACATAGCAATACGATGATCATCATAACAATGAACACCTTCTTTGGGAGCCTTGAGATCCTTGATAGCACGACCGGTAATTTGGATTCCATCGGGTAATTCGGAGGCTTTCACACCAAACTTGGTCAATTCATGCACCATAGCAGCGATACGATTGCATTCCTTCACACGTTGATTAGCAATACCAGTGATACGAGTAATATTTTCGGCACCGGCTTGTTGAGGAGAGGTCACGGCAGCCAAAACGGAGGCAGTCAAAAAGGCATCAGTCATAGTTTCCATATCAATACTTGGTAAAGGACGTAGTTGACCGATAGGAGGACCGGTGACTGTAGTTGATGTTTCAGTTTGAACCACCTTACAACCCATAGGTCGTAAAACATTGATAGCAAAAGTGGCATCGCCTTGAAGAGAACTTGATCCAATACTGGTGACGGTACAAGTAGTTCCAGTGATAGCAGCCAAAGCCAATGGATAAGTAGCAGAACTAGCATCAGATTCTACAACATAATCAGACGGATTTTGGTAGACAGTTTGCTGAATACGATAAGTGTTATTGGGTAAACGTTCGACATGAGCACCAAAAGATTCCATCATAGCAATAGTCATATCGATATAAGGTTGTGAGATGACTTGCCCACCAGTCAAGACCAATTCCACTGGTTCAACAGCATAAGGAGCACAAAGCAGAATGGAAGATACATATTGAGAAGAGATAGAGGCTGCTAATTCAATACGACCACCTTTGAAACCACCATTGGGAGTGACAGCAATGGGTAAGAAACCTTCCTTTTCAATCGAATTGATTTGAGCACCATTGGCCTTGAGAGCAGTAAGAAGAGGAGCGATAGGACGTTGTTTCATACGAGCATTACCAGTCAAAATAGCATGAGGATTTTCATTGGCAGATTGAATCATGGTCAACACTGTAGTCAAAAAGCGAGAGGCAGTACCAGCATTACCAACATAGATTTCTTTGTTAGGCACTCGTAATTTTCCACCACCACCATGTACAATCAAAGTTTCACCATTATCTTCCCATTCAAAGTCGGCAGCACCAAGATCTTGAAGAGCAGCTAACATAAATTGAGTATCGTCAGAATGAAGCAAATTCTTAACACGAACAGTTCCTTGACCAAGAGCAGCAATTAACAAAGCACGGTTAGAGATGGACTTGGAGCCAGGTGTAGTTAATTCAACAGTTTTCTTGGGACCATTAGGAGATTCCGTCACAGGTAAAACGAGTTGTTCAGGAGCAAGTACCTTTTCAATGTCAGTATCAGCCACTACAGATGCACGAGGTTCCAGAGTTTGACCGATTTTGGCTAATAATACAATACGTTTCTTATCTCCTTGATTCTTTTTGTCAACCTTCATTACTTGCATGATATCATCCACATGACAATAAAGATTGCCGATACGGTCCTTGACTTTCTTTTCATCCAAGCTAATAGGTAAACCATAAGAAGCGAGACATCGAGCCAAACGTCCAACACTAACAGGATTGAGATGACCCAAATTACGAGAAAGTTCTGCTTCTTTGACACAACCAATAGAAACACATTCACCATGTAAAAGAAGAGGAGATACTAAAGCTTCAATACCATGACCAATAGAATGACCAAAATTCAATAGACCACGTAATCCACCTTCACGTTCATCTTCAGTGACTACATGAGCTTTCACGCCAGCAGAAGCCAAAATGACGTCCAATAATAAATTTTGTTCGGGAGTTCTAGTTTCCAACTTGGCACCTAAAAAAAAAAAATCAAGTCAACATTTTGATTTAGTTTCCGTAACTATATATATATATATATATATATATTTCCTAAGATCACCTTGTAAAACATAATCATATTCATCATCACTAGAGTTAGTAGGATCACTGTTCAACACAGCTTGTTTGATAGCTTCCACTCCATTTTCAAGTTTCACAAAATCAGGTTCACTCCAAATAGCAGCGGTCTGTCAAAAAAAAAAAAAGAAATGAGTAACCAAAGAAAATAAAAAAAAAAGCGTTTCATTGTTTGTTGTTATTTACCTTGATAACTTCAGCCATACCATTAGCAAATTCACGTTCAGGTAAAGTTTTCAAAAAGATCAAATCCATAAAGATACGTTTAGGTTGCCAAAAAGCACCAATCAAGTTTTTTCCAGCAGGAGTATCAATAGCTGTCTTGCCTCCAATAGAAGAATCCACCATAGCCAACAAAGTAGTAGGGATTTGAACAAAAGGAACACCACGCATAAAAGTAGCAGCAATAAAACCAACTAAATCACCAATAACACCACCACCCATGGCTAAAAAACAAGTATCTCGAGTAACAGCATTAGATAAAAGCCAATCTTCAATGTCATCTTTGGTTTTGCGAGACTTGGTGAGTTCACCTGGAGGAAGGACTCGTGTAAAGATTCTTGCAGTTTTATTGGATGTTTCTAATACTTGTTCAAGAGTTTCAACATATTTATCGAGATATAACGGAGCCAAGTTTGTATCGGTGATCAGGACATAATTAGAAGCTGGAATATTGTTTATGACATCTCGTACAATGTAGTCAGTTAAATGGAATCCAAGAATAATAGATTCTGAACCAAGAATCGATACTTTGGAGACATCAGTATCGGAAGCTGACATCTTTTTTGGTTTAAAGGGAAAAAAAAAAAAAAAGAAAGGGAAAGAAAAAGAGGAAATGAAAAAAATCTAAAATAAATTTCTATGTTTTTTCTCTTACTATCGGAAATTCAAAATTTTTCAATGGGGACCATTCGTTCAACAGTGACTCATCATTTACAATTGTTATTGAAAATATTGTAAATGATGATCAATTTATATATAGTTCATGCACGTCCCTGCATCCTGAGCATCAAACGTTCTTTTGTTTTTTTTTTTTTTTTATTTCTTATCGGTTTAATATTGGAAACCAATATATTGGCTATAAAGATTCATTTAACGGTGAGAAGAATAGTTCCAGTAAGGTTCATTTTAAAAGATCTCTAGTCCCGTAATTCACTTTTTCTATGAACCGAATAAAGTTTTATCTTTTTCCAGTTCAAAAAAAAAAAAAAGAACAATGAATAAAAAAGAAAAAGTAAGATATGAAGATGATTTTTTTTTCTATTTATTATAGGAATGAATATATAAAAATGTATATATGAAAGACATATTGTGAAAAAGTGAAATTGAGAGAATAATAAAAGGGAGACCAAAATGATTTGCATGAAAGAAAAAAAAAGGGGGAGAGAAAGAGTAGGATTTCTAATTTCTATTGTGTTAATTCTAAAACTAAGTCCAAAGTCGAAGAGAACCATCAGCACCAGAAGAGAATAACCAAGGTTGAGTAGGATGGAATTCAATATCCAATACACCAAGATGATCGGCAATATCATGACCACGTAAAATTTTAACAGGTACAATCAATGGATTTTGAAGAAGATCATTATAAACCATACCATAAAATACTTGAATCGTACCATCATCAGATGAAGAAGCAAAGAGAGGGTATCGCTTGTGATAAGAAACTTGACGAACAGCCTTGGCATGGAAACGTAAAGATTTGTAGGGACGCGCACTAAGATCAAGATCAAACCAACATACACGTTTATCATAACTACCCACGATAATATTGTCACCAGCAGGATGAACATCGATACTTGAAATCCATCTAACACCAGGATTCAAAGTACGAATCAATTGTTGTTGCATCAAGTCATATACACGTACGTAGAGTTGAGTTGCCACAAAGAAGATAGGTTTGATAGGATGGAAAGCCACTTTTTGAACAGTACCCTTGAGTCGTCGGAAAGGAGTTTGAGTTTGATGTCGTGTTGTTTGATGAACCAGAACAGCCAAATTACCAGCATCTGGAGATACTGTAGCAAAGTAATCACCTTTACGATGCCATACAATTTGTTTAACCACTTGAGTATGTTGTAATCGAACTTTGTAACCATATTTTGTATTTTCTTCTTCTGAGGTCTTGCTCCATTTAATAAGGTTACTATCTGTTTCCGTCGGAACCGCAAATCCTCCCCGTACAAATTGATCCGCCAATGTAGCTTGTTCTGGTGAAGATAAACGAGGAGGTACCACCAATAATACTTCACCATGACCAATAGAAACGGCAAATAACCACATATCTGAATTAGGACTCCAAGCCAAAGCATGAATAACTGAATCGAATTTCCACATAAATAAGCATCGTCCAGTTGATACTTCCCATAAACGCACTGTACTATCATCAGCTCCTGATAAGGCAAAGAGACCATTAGGGTGAATAGATAATGATCGAATACGACCAGTATGACCTTCGTATGAGATGGATTGATGAGTAGGGAATGGTCGAAGATCCTTGGGACTAGGTAATTTTGGAATAAGTGATTCAGGATCAATATTGAGCTATGAAAATATAAAAAAAAAATATTATATCATGAGTTCTTCTTTCCTTTAAAACAAAATCAATAATAAAACTTACTCTGTTCTTCCTGACTCTTGGAGCCAAATACAAATCAAGACATCGTTGGAATCGTTCTTGAATAAATTGATCATAAGCAGGTACTTTTCGTAAACTGTTGTATTTCTTTGGCAAATAATTCTTGGGTCTATCAGGAGCATCCATATCATTCCATTCTTGAATTTCTTTTTCATCAGGTAAATATTCAGCAGGAGGATTGTAACTTTCATCATGTTCAGGTAATTTCATCTTGGGTGCAGCAATATGCATAACATGATCTTCTCGAGGTTTATCATCATCTGTCCATAGGTTGTAGAATTTAGGTTGTTCCTTTTGGGCTTTGCGAGGTACAATACGTCCCATCCGAATAGCTTGTACAATCTTCATAACCTTCTTGGCTTCCCATTTTGATGGAATAAATCGTCGTTTTGGTTCCGTTGCTGCTGATAATGGCATTGTTTCGGTCTTGCTGGTAAAGAATTCTACAGTTGGTTGATAAGGATCATAGGCTGCATCAGGAATCTGTCCTTCTTGTAATCGTTGAATAATATCAAGTTCTTCTTCATTCAACACAATATCCTTGGCATCCTTGATACTATAAGCTGACTTCCAGGAATCAGGATCTTCCACCGTAGCCAAAAATTTGTCGAGTTCATCTCCAGTTGCTGGTTTCAGAACCTTTTTACCATCAATGTCGTATCCAATATGAGGCAAATCGTCATACCATTCCATGGGAATATTTCCAACCGTGTTTTCAGTCTACAATAACAAAAAAAAAATGTTATACCCTGTCCAGAGAGACCAAAAAAAAAAAAAAAAAAAAAAAAAAAAAAAAAAAAAACTAAACTAAATATAACTTACTTCTTCAGTAGATGAATCACTATCATAATTGGCTTCGATTTCAGGTAAAATATCCACATGACCATTTTTATCACTATATAGAAGAAATGAAAAACATTAAAACGTTATCATTTCCATATATTTTTCTTGTCTTTTTTTTCGCTTACCGTTTGTAAGAGATCTTTTTAGATTCTTCTTGATCCAGATCATCTTCGTCTAAACTGTCACCTTCCAAATAATCACTGTCTTGTTCTTCTTCTTCTTCGTCAACTTCTTGATCAGATTCAAAATCGCTGTCGTTTTCGTCATCGTCACTTAAAGTCAATTCAGGGAATGTTTCAATAGTATTACTGTCGTCATTGTCAGAATAATCAGCTTCTTCATCAGAAGATCCCATATCGATGGCGATATTGTCAAGGTGATCGTCTTCATTATCAGATTCTTCCACTTGTCTTTTTCGAGTAGGTTTAGTTTGTCGAGTCGATTTGGTCATGCTATTTCACAAATAGTTGATAAAAAAAGAAAAGGAACCAAAAGAGGAAGAAAAAAAAGAAAACCAAAGGAAAAAAAAAAAAAAAGAGAACTGAGAAAGAAAAAAAAAAAACTGAGGGCTAACTCAAAAATGATATGTAAGAAGTAGACAGAGAGACAGTTTGAGTGTGCGTGTGGCTTAGTCAAAGCCACGACCCCGCGCGTTAAATTCATGCATAGATCAAACACAGACCTAAACGAAATAAAGGATAAAAGAAATGATATCATGATAAAAAAAAGTAAGTGGTGTTATTTTAATGATATAAATTAAGTAAAAGAAAATCAGATCAAAAAATGAAATAAAAAAAATAAACAGGGAGGAAAGAAAAATAAATCAAATAAATAAATAAAGAGAGAGAGAGCGAATTACTACTATCGTACAGAAATACCATTAAGATCAATCTATTATTTTTTTTTAAGATACTCCAAATTTATCTTTTATATATACCTTGAGACTCCTCACTTTTTTTTTTTTTGTTCATTACTGTCATTTCATGTCTTCTAAGAGAAAGGGAGGTTGTCTCATTTCAAACTCCTTCATTGCTCATTTCCAATTCTTTTTGTGGTACCTTATCTTTTTTTCTCCCTCTTTTCTCTTTCTTTACTTTCCTCCATCGTTCATATGAAGAAATTTCACTTCATTCAATACCTTCACTTTTGGAATGGTTTTATGGGTCTTATATTAACTGGTGTTCTCATCGGTGTAGCTGCTAATATCAAAAAATATGTTAATAGTGGTGCTGAAATTGCTGGTTTTGGTAAATATAAAATAAAACTTCCCTTATCACACACACACACACATATATATATATAATAATTGGTTTTTTATTAGGTAACTTTAATGTATTTGTATATCCAGCCACTTTTGTATACATGTTTATTCCTGCCATTACATCATTCGTCTATGGTATTATTCTTGCTTTAGACCCTAGTCCTCAACATCCTATTTGGATACCTTCAAAAACATTATCAAGTTCTATCGCATGTGTAGCTGGTGCTCTCCTATTTGCAAGTATATGGCCTGTGATTCCTGGAGCTGATGTTATGACTGCACCGGATGCAGCCATTAGTTGTTCATGGAAGGATTATATGAGTTGGTATACCATCTATGCTGATCCTGTTGCTTTCCCTTGGGTAACTTCTATTGATACTGCCTGTTCTTGCTTTACTGCTTCTGTTGGTCTTTCTTGGATAGTTACTTTAGGCTGGGCCTGTCAAGCTTTTATTTACTTACGAAAATCAATACTTGGTCACCGTCAAGCACAACCAAAAATCAATCATCGTGCATCACAACTATCAGAAAGAAGTATGAAAACAATGGATATCCTCAACAACAACAATAATAGTAGTAATAAGTACCAATATTAATTATGCAAATAAATTTATTTGTTTCCACTTTTCCAATTTGGTTACAAGATTACAATTTGAATATCAGCTTTTATTTTTATTTTTCCTTTTCCTTTCTCTCTCTTTTTTTTTTTTTATGTAACTTCATTTCCGTCATGCCATTATTAAAACATACCCTTCAAACCACGATCTCTTCTTTTCGTGTATTTTCAATCCATCGTCATATAGTCAGTCATTCTCGACGTTATGTCACTTATAGTCCACACAATCGAAAAGTACGGAAAGGCATGGGTGGTGTCTTTGAACCATTCCTACAACCAAGTAAAAAGTAATATTATCTCTTTCTTTAGTATCTCATTTACTCATCCATCTTTTTATATTATTAGAGAAGACATCAACCATTTTACTCCAGAAGTAACTTTGGCTGACCTCACCTTGCAAGGTAAGAGAGCGAAAAAGTATTTTAATACCAAATCGCTCACATTATCTTCTTTCTACGAAATGAATATAGATCTTTTGCCGCCAGACGATCAACTGGAACTCGAAATTAAACACAAACAGCGAAAACTTTCCTTAGAAGCTCATAAACAAGTTGTTCAATATGTATTAACAGCTTTACAAGACAGCCAACCATTGAATTCACAACAACTATTACAACGTAAGACAAGAGGAGAAAAAAAAGACAATAAAGAGTAATGTGTACTTATCGTACTTTGTTCTTAATATTTGTAGTTGCTGGAAATCAAAAATCAGAATTGACAGCTTTAGGCAACATGCTTTTACGAAGCTCAAAAGGTATAAAACAAGGTGGGTCTTAAGATACTGCAAATGACTGACATGATACTTTCTTTTAAAAGTCGGTACTCCTGTTTCACTGGAACTTTATAGACAAGCGATGGAACTCGGTGATGATCAAGGAACATTCAGTTATGCCAATATGATATATCGAGGTAAAAAAAAAAAAAAAAATACATATAAAAGGCGTGATGATCAAAAGTCAAAGTTCTAACAGTCATTTCTTCTTCTTATACATAGGCTATCGGGGTACAGAAAAACAAGAAGAAAAAGGGATCCAAATTTTGTCCAAACTTGCCCAAAAAGGACATCCATATGCGCAAATGAATCTGGCGTCGATTCTGATGCGATCAGAACCGGATAGAGTCAAGCAGGCGATTCAACTATACGAATTAGCAGGGAAATCAGGGATCAGCAATGCGTACATGGAATTGGGACGTATGTATCGACTTGGTTACGGTGTGCATCAAGATCATACCAAGGCCATGAACTATTTCCAAAAAGGTGCAGCAGGTGGGAATCCTCAATGTCATTTCATGTTAGGTGTTTACTTTTCCTCAGGACTCGGCACATCATCCAAAGAACCAGATCAAGTAAAAGCATTCAAACATTTCCAAAAAGCGGCCATCAAAGGATTACCAGAAGCTCAATACAACGTCGGTCTCCGGTTTTTAAAAGGACATGGTGTCGAGGCAAATATGTTCAATGCAGCTGAATTCTTCACCATGGCAGCATCACAAGGATTCCAATTGGCTCAAGCAAATCTGGCAAGTATGTATGTCGAAGGACGTGGCGTCAGGCGTGATGTGGAACAAGCAAAGCATTGGTTCGGGAAGGCTGCCGCGGCAGGTGGCCCCATTGGTAAAGAAGCTCAACAACAACTGGATCAATTATCGACAACAAATGAAAACGGTGGTTCCAAGTGTATCATCATGTAGTATTATCCTTTGTAGAATAGAACTAGTTTTATTTTGATAGTATAGATTTTGAATAGATTTCCTCCCTTTTGTTTTCATTCATTCTTGACACCAACATAATAAAAAATGTATTATACATTTCTTGTCGTTTTCAAAGGTTATCATGATATCGATAGGTAGGATCATCTTTGTACAGTCAAGGATGAAACAGATCATTATTGACGGTAGTCCAAAACTAAAAATAATAAAACGCCAATACACAGACACTGATGTTACTCTCACGGATGTGCATCGGAATGGTATCACCGTTTCAGCCTTCATATAGTCTTCCTACAAACATCATTCCCTAACATCAACCATCAACCAATAAAACAGTAATGGACAAAGAATATCGTTTTTATTTTCATTGTCATTCAACTAAGCTGTTACGCCTGCCAAGGCAATACATTCAATTTCCACCAAGACATCTTTAGGAAGACGAGCGACTTCAACACAGCTTCTAGCAGGTTTATGTTCACCAAAGAACTATACAAAGAAAAAGAAAAGATCAGTCAGTCCGATGCTCCCTTTTTTTTTTCCTCTTCTAAAAAAGACACCTACTTGTTCATACATTCCATTCATGGCAGCAAAGTCATTCATGTCCTTCAAAAACACGGTAGTCTTGATCACATTGTCGAATTTAGAACCACCTGATTCGACAACACCACGAAGATTGAGCAAACTTTGTTTCGTTTGTTCAACAATACCACCAGTAACAAGGTTACCTAAGACCAAAAAAAAAAATGAGCAGGTGAAACGACACCTTTTTTATTTTTACCAGTAGCAGGTTCAAGTCCAATTTGACCAGAAGTATAGAGTATACCATTCACCAGGACAGCATGAGCTAAAAAAAAAAAAAAAAAAAGGAATGTATATGAAAAACGCGTTCTTGAAGAGTCATCCATTTAGTCTTACAATAGGGACCAAGAGCTTGAGGAGCATCAGGACTAGCTGTTATTTCAAAGATTAAGAATGAGAGACGGTAGAAGAGAATTACCTATATGTCCATACTTACTGATAGGAATTAAAGAAGCCATAAGTGTGAAGAATAACAAGAATGAAAAGAAAAGGGGAGGGAAGAAGGAAATTCTTCTTTTTTTTTATATATATATCGATGACACAGCGGAGATCCTGAATTTGCCTTTATTTGATTGGCCCAATTCACTGATCAAAAAAAGCTCTATGATTGGAAGTGCATCATTACAATGTTTATTGTTTGAAATGGATGGCCATCATGATTATTTCTGTTCTGTATCTTTCTTCCGTTGATGAAACCGTGGTATTAAAAAGAAATAAAAATACCATCACTGGGTTTTCCAACATGTGTCATTTGGATCCATCATCATTTGTCGTCCACCAGAATCTTACTACAGTATAATTTCTACAATAACTGCATCATCATGTCGTCAATATCCATAGGATGCAATCACCCTTCCCGTAAGACAACCCAACTTTGTTCTAAACTTCATTGAAATCATTCACATAGACAGGTAGTTAACAACAATAAATTCTCCGAGAAAGACCATCCCATTGTACGACCTGATATTTTAAGACCTTTTTTTTTTATCATCATCAGAGAGAATATTGTTTTGGATAATTGTACTTTATTGATGGAAGCCAAAAAAAAAAAAAAGGGAAAAGAAGAAAAAAAAGAAATGTATATATATATAACTAAACTAAAATCAACCTAATTATTTCTTGAGAGTACCAATGATAGCATAAGGAGCATACTTTTCCACAACATCAGGTTTGTGCATCATGTTGAATTCTTCAGTAGCATCACGTCCAGCATAGATCATAATAGCCTTCTTGCCTCCAGGATGTTCACTTAAAAAGTCAGTAACATTCAAGACTTGACCATTGACCACAACCCAACAATCTTTATCAGTATTGTGTTTGGCAACATCTTCCAAAGTATATTCACCCATTTTTTTAGGTTCATCTTGTTTTGAAGGTTCTTCAGCAACAGGAGTAGCAGGAGCAGGAGCGGAAGGAACAGAAGAGGAAGCAACAGGAGCATTAGAACCATCACCCACATTAATTTCAAGATTAATACGACCAGGATCAGTAGGATTGACGACCAAACTAATACCAACACCTCCATTCAAATGTTGAGCAATGGCACCAAGACGTTGTTGAGGAGTTGAAGAAGTTTGATTGATGAGTTGACTATATTGATATTTAGCTGCACTTTGACCAGCCACACGACCAAATACAACACAACCAAGTAAAGAAGAACCTCCAAGACGATTGGCTCCATGTACACCACCACACATTTCTCCAGCAGCAAATAATCCTGGTACAACTGAACCACCAGCACTTTTGATTTGTGCTTCTGGAGTGATTTCAACACCACCCTAAAACAAAAAAAAAATTAGAATTAAATTTTGCACGTGTTTTTTTTTTTTTTTTTTTTTTTGTGTGAGAAAAAATCTCTTGTCATATTTTTTTTTTTTTTTGATTACCATAGTATAATGAAGGACAGGTTGCATATGAGCCACATAAAAGTAATCAGACATTTTGATAGGGACATTATGGAAGAAACGTTTACCCCAAGGATCCTTGATTTTACCATCAGCAATCTTGTTATAGGTTTCAAAAGTGTCAGCCAACTTGTTTGGAGGAATACCCATTTCTTTGGCCAAGGCTTCACCAGAATCAAAACGTTTCATTAAACCACGACCAGCATAATGACGACAATGCCATTCGATTTCCTTGGAAGCAGCAGTGTTGAGGACCAAACGGATAGGGAACTTGTTGTTTTCCCACATCTTACCAGTCACATAATCACGATGACCCAATTCATCACAGAAACGATTGCCTTCATTATCCAAAAGCAAACCACCACAACCACGAAGAGCTTCAGCAGCCAAGAACTTGACCTTTGCATCGGGTTCTTTAGGATCCACAAGCCCAGTAGGATGTACTTGCACTTTTTCCAAATCAATCAAATTAGCACCAGCAGCAGCAGCCATCTTGATACCATCACCAGTACAGTGATCACCGTTTGTAGTTGACAAGTTGAACAATTCAGGTCGATTGGCTTTAAGAAGAGAATTTGGACCAAAATCGGCAGCATAACCACCAGTAGCAAGTACCACAGGACCATATTGTTTGTATGTCTTGCCATCAGCTGAACTACCCACCAATACATATTCTACACCAATGACATTATTGTTGTTATCACGAATAAGAGATTCTACCTTGGCTTTCTTGATGATATGAACACGTTCTTTTTCTTTCACGGCCAATTCTTCCAAACCTTCCATCAATGCATAAGTAATGGTCATTCCAGGGAATTGTTCCTTGCCACGATGTGTACGAGGGAATGTATGTCCACCCAAACGAGAAACAAGTGAAAGATCCAATTCAAACTTATCTTGAAGCCATTCCACAGCTGAAGCTGAACGACCCGTCAATACATTAATCAAATCAGGTCTAGCCAAGTCACGAGCACTTTTCAATGTATCTTGATAAAATTGTTCAACAGAATCCTTGATACCTTGTTTAATTTGAGTTCGAGTCAATGCTCCATTGATACCAGATGTTGCTTTAGTAGAGTTACCACTATAAAGGAAAAAATAAATAAAAAAAATAATTCGCCGTCTTTTTTTGTTTTCTTACCCAAAAAAGGGGTTTTTGTCTAATAATAAGACATTACCACCTTGTTCATAAATAGTATGAGCAGCTGAAAGACCAGAAAGTCCTCCACCAACAACAATGATTTGATTCTTAAGTGACATGTGGAAACTAATATAAGGGTAGGGGATAAAAAAAAAAAAAAGTAGTGTGTGTGTGAAAAAAAAAGTAAAATGGAAAAAGAGCGAAAGAGAAAGAAATCTTTTCTCCTCCTATCTTCTCATTTTCATCATGCAGTTCTGTGACCGGAATTTACCCCGCTTTCCCTATGCGGCTCTAAGGATTTGCCTTATTTTAGGCATTCATCATTATCACCTGACTTTTTTTGAGTTCAATTTTGTCCGCGTTATATGTTTATATATTTCAACATGTGCATCTCACACACTAAGATTTATATTTTTCATATGAAAAGATGAGATCGTCTCTTTATTTGGTTCAATATATATATATAACAGTCAAAATTTATTCTGTGCTGGGTATTAAAAAAAAAAAAAAAAGAAGAAAACATATAAGACATTTGAGGGATGTAAACATAATAAAAAAAAGAAGCATACAAAAAAAAAAAAACTATATATAAATAAATAAATTCTAAAGAAGGTCTAAAAACGAATGATGATAAAGAAGAAATGAATGAATGTATAATACACAAAAGGAATGAAATAAAAATAAAATAAAATAAAAAATAGGGGTGGGAAAAAATGTAGAATAAGTGTGAATAAAAGAAAAGAGAAAGATTTGTGTAATGAATGGACTGAGTTGACTTGTAAGTAGTACTTGTTATACATCTTATTATCTATTCCTTTTGTTGTAAAGAATACATTTGATCCAATTTTGCAATCCAGTCCAACATATCCGATTTTGATGCCGCCTGTAATGTATATGCATTATTATTGGTATATAATGAGAAGACATGATGTCGCTATATCCAAAGTAAATAAATAAATAAATAAAATGTCAAATATTATTATTATAATCTTACTTGTAAAAGTTTTTCCAAAGCTTTGTTATGATCTACCCTGACTGATGAAATATTGATCACTCCAAGTTCATCTTGTTCATTTTGATGAGCATAAATATAAATATAAGGTCTATTAAATAAAATGAATCAGCATAAAATCAAAAAAAAAAAATCAGATCATATTCTTACTAATTTTTTTTTTTTTTTTTACCTTTTTACAACACACCATCGTTTTATCCATTTGTCATCTAATGGATCTTCTTGATATGCCAAATAACCTTTTTTGGTGATGTTGTTTCTGCATTAAAAAAAAAATAAAAATAAAATGATGATTTGAATAAAACTATCTAAAAAACTGCTACTCGTTTTTCCTTCATCTTACGTTTGTATCACTTGTTTCACTTCAGCTAATAATTTCGTGCCTTTCCAATAATCTTCTTGACGTTCATTTAATTCTTGCATTCCAGGTATAGGAGGATCTTGACAAAGGTATATCTAATTTAAATATATATAGATATCAAATCATTTTAGTTAGATTTCAAACATATTTATTTTTATCTACTTACATCTTTATCAGTTCCTAATCGACAAGTCCATAAATCCAAAGCTTTCCGTAATAATGTTTGTTGAGTATTATCTTTATCTTTCACCCATTCATATTTCTTATTATTATTGCTGTTGTTGTTGTTGTTGTTGGTATCACTTTGGTTGTCGATATTGCGATTTTTGATTGATGATGCATGTTGTAGTTGATATTTTTCTTTGGTCATGGCACCATGACTTGTTTGTGATCGAGCAGCATGTAAAGTCAAGACTTGTGAGGTAAACATGACTTGTTCTTTCAATCGAATACGATCTTGAATATGTTTGTAATCATTGATCAAAGAAACACCACGAGGTCGCCATGATGTCAAATAAACTTCTTCTCCACGGACATACTTGGAAGCTGTATTTAATCGCCAAAGTTGACTCACACGACGTGTCATCGGAGGTCGTAGATGTACTGTAAAAAGGCCACTACATTTGCTAAGATATTTTGATCCAGAGGAAGCACCACCAAGAAGTTTCTTAATACGGAATGCTGCCGAAGGTCCATTACCAGCTGAACTGTCACGACTCGTTACCCTGATTGCAATTTCCATACTGAATTGAATAGGTTTAGAACATTTCTCGGTTTCCACTTCCCATGTCACTTGAAGTAAGATGCGTGAACGTGCAGCTGTCAATCGATTCAAAAAAAGACATTCGTGTTGTGAACTATCCCATGCACCTTGAGCCACTAGTTGACTTGTTCCATCCTTGTTGTAAGTCACAGCATGTTGTTGTGCCAAAAGTTTGATTGGAATATCTTCATGTGATTGTGCATCAATAAGTCTACCCTTGGCATCTAATAACTTGATCTTGCCTACAGTTACCTTGGAGATGCGATTCCATTCAAATTGTCGACCAGAATTGTGTGATAATGTGATAGTGATACGTCGTTGTAATCCTTGTCGAAGGTTAAATACACCGCGATCCAACGGGTTTTCAGATAAAGTTTGCACAGGCATGTAGTCTCCATTGGGAAGAAGTTCAGAGATTTGGATCCAAGCCGCAACATCATGTCGTTCCATTGCCAAAAGTTCATCTTCAGATCGTCGTTCCATAGGAGGTAATCTATCAGGTGATACTGTTGTTGTTGTTGCCGATGAATTTATTGTTGTCAGTCGATCATCTACATCGCTACCAAGACTACTGTTATTTGTTGCCAATAAATCCGCCAACCGAGGTTTTTCCCTTTGATCATCCCATCTTTCATATTGATCCAAAACACGAGGACGAGCTACACCATAAACTTCGAAAGAAATCATATCTTGACCAAATACTTGAAGCATACTTGAAGTCACCGTCATAGACAATGTTTGACTATAATCCAAAGGAATAATGGATGAACCTTCAAATCCACTGACAGGATCGGTTGCAAATAGTTTCTCCGCGGTAGAATCTGCAGGAATACCACCAAAAGAGGATAATCGGAATTGCACATGGACTTGAGTATATTCAGCTTCATGAAGCCCACAAAGTTCCAGTAAACGTACTTCAAAAACAAGTTGTTGACCGACCTTGAGCGCTGGTGGATTGGATTGCTGTTGAGGCTGAGGTAAAATAGGATTGTTGTTATTATCATCATCCTTTGTAGATGAAGGGTCTGATGAATAATCTTCTTCCTTGCTGATAAAATTGTCATTGTTGTCAGGTTGTTCGTGGCGATGAAAATGGGAGGAAGAAGGTCTTGATGCTACAGGTGAAATCAGTACACGAAGCATTCCTTTGACTTGGCCAGTAGATCGACATATGATTTCCACAAAACTTTCATAAGGTTGTTGTAATATCAGGTTTCGTACCGATGTTGCTGCACTTCCAATAAACGAATATTTCGGACTTGGCGTTTGATAAAACGGATCTTCCCAATTCAAATGTGTACGATAGACTGGCTGATCCCTGTAATTAAGTAAGTTCTTCATTTGATGCAGTCGTTTCTTGAGTTTTTCCAAAGACCAAATGTAGATCACCTGATGTTTTCTATCCAAGACACGCACTCCAATACAAGGTTTGGACACCTCCATAAGATCCGTATCTCCATCAGTATTGAATTGATGCAGACCAAAAGTTGATTCCCAAAAAGATGAAGGATTGGTAAATTGGCCATCTTCCACCACCGTAAATTGATAAGATGCTTCCTTTTCCAGTTCTCTTGAGATGATGTTGGCTTCTTTGAGAAGTGCAGCATTGGTCAGTACCACTTCTGCCATAGATACGTATTGTAACTTTTTCCATTGACGGAACACTTTGTAAAGTAGTGTACGCTGATGATTGCTGATGATAATCCCATTGACGTCCGCAGAAGTGTTATCATTATCGTTGTTGTTGTTATTATTGTCAGTAAAGGAGAATTGCATGGACATTCGATTGATTTTGGCTTCGTAGAATTGTTTCTGTTCATTCAATTCCTTTTGTAATCGTTCTTTTTCCACCATGATTTTTTCTTCATATTCATTTTGTCCAAGAAGGGTTGTCACTCCACTACCAGTGCTTGTCAGAGCTGTACTAATAGTTTCCAAATCAGTTGCTGTAGATTGTGCGGAAAAATCATCAAAACTGAGCAAACTGCCACATCGTGTACTCCGTCGTGATTTTCGTATTTTCGTAATATCGTCAAATAGTTTTTCCAATTCATCATCTTTCATTCCATTAAAGTTGCCTTCTTTTGAATAATAATTGCGAACTGCTTCTAGCCGTGCATAGTTCCAGTCCATCAATTCAGATCCACCAGGTGCACTCATCAAAGTTGTTGTAGGTGATTCAGATCGTTCATGATGCATAGCGTCGTTTTCCATTGCATGAAGTTCTGTATGTAATGCTGAGGGTGATGAGATACTAGCCCTTTCTCTTTCGCGACGTACTTCTTCAGGATGATTAAAGCGGAAGATATGATAGTTGCCAAGAATAATACGGTATCCACTATGTAATCGTCGAGGTTCTGAAATACGCATACCGTTCACCATCACTAATGAGTCATTTTTCGGATGAAGGGTCACCACACCATTATCATTGTCGAACCAACAATGTTCATCTTGAATATTTGATCCACCAAGTGTAATTGTAGAGACACCGTCATTGTTGCCATTTTGAGATGAATCTGTTTGCTGCTGTTGTTGCTGATCTATTGTGTCGTTACGGCCAACATGCGTAATACCTAATTTGAGTTGATACATAAGACATTCAGACATCAGAGGATCTTCATTAAGATTCACAAGATGAGGCATTTTCTTTGGTGCATAGACGCCAACATTGTTTTTGTGTACTGCAATTCCCAATTCTTCCAAAGCACGTTCCCGCTCAATTTGAATAGATTCCGTTCGTTTGAGTTTCTCTTCCCAAGTCTCATTCAGATTGGCCAATAGTTTCTCGGAGCTTTGCAATTGATCAACGATTTCCATCTTCGTCATTTTCTTCTTGTTGCCTGAAGTGTCAACAAATTCAAATTCTTGATTATTATCAGTGATGGATTGAGTTGCTTTCATAAGAGGTTCATTGTTGCTATTGGCACTATTGTTTGCTGTCAATTTGAGAACACTAGCTGCGGCAAGTTCTTCCACTACTTCAGGAGCATATACATGTAGTCGATTACGTAAAAGTTCCAATTCTTCTTTGAGTTCTCGAATCATCTTTGCATTTGGATCTTCATTGATCACGGCCTTATTCTTGATCTTCTTTGCTTGATCGGCATAACGTAAAGTACTTAATGTTTCGTCATAGTCGGCAGGTGAAATGGCAGCTATCATTGCTGTTTTAGAGTTACCACCCAAGGAATCCTTTAATAACCAAGTAAGTACCTGCAGTAACAAATAAGTAAATAAAAAAAATAAATAAATAAATAGGAGTATCACCATAAATAATAGAACAATGGCGTTTTTATTTTTTTTATTTTTCTTTTTCATTTGAATGTTACACATACTTACCGAATCACGATATGGAATAAAACTGTCCTTTGGTTTCTTGTTGCCCTTTTTTGAATCAGCTATAGATTGTTCAGCCAAACCAGCAATCACTTTTCCAAGAGTAGTGAGGGAACGATTAATATTGGCACCTTCTTTCAATCGAGCACCAGTAGCACCTGTACTATTCGCACGTTCACTTCCAGCCAAGTCAACCAAACTAAGAAAAAAGAAAGAAAAAAGAAAAAGAAGGGGAAGGTTAGTAAGCAACCAAATAGTAACAAATAATCATCATCATTATTTTACCTAATCCGAGCCACCTTTTCAGTTTCAAGCTTTGTAAGTTCGTCACGTCTTTTTTGAGTCAAAAATACGGTAAAGACAGCATGAGATCGAGATGATGTTTCATTCATATTGGTAGCAGCCACAGTTCTAGCCTAAAGAGAATATATCAATGATGATGAAGATCGAATTTTAATATTCAGTTTACCTTATTTCCTTCATCCATCAAGTGATTAATATCATCAAAGGATGTGACAACAAGTCGAGATAAATCTTCTACATAAGGACCTGTACTTGGATGTTCACGTACTTTGAGATTTCCCTTATTTTTTGGATTGAGTAAATCACGCACTTTTTCGTTATAAATTTCACTACATAAAATAATAAGTTTGAGAATGTAAAAAAAAAAAAAAAAAAAAAAAAAAAAAAAAAAAAAAAAAAAAAAGACTTTACATATAAGAAACTTCGGCACCATAGGTTAAATTGGGATCAGTATTTCGATTAATGCGATTGAAGAGTTCCATACAAGTTCTTGGTATAATACCAGTATCTTCACCATAACCCATCATTGAATAAGATTTTCCAGCACCAGTTTGACCATCTTAAAAAAAAAAAGAAAGGATAAATGTAAATATAAGCGACTGAGGTTCAAACAATACTAAGATTGACTTACAGGCAAAAATACAACAATTGTAACCATCAAAAGCGTGATTCAATAAATCTTCCCCCAAATCATTGTAAACGGTTTCTTGATCGGCATAGGATGGATCATTTTTATCTGCAGACCAATAAGATTTGTCAAAAGTGAATGCCTTGCGATCTTCACTTTCTTTTCCAGTCCGAGCTTCTTCAGGTTTGCTAATCACGGTTTGATCGCCTTTCATTTCAATCAAAATAGATGCTCCACGTTTTATTTCTAATAGAAATAAATAAGTTTAGTTAAAGAATATTATTGGTTTTTTTGTTTTTTTTTTTTTTTGTTTTTTTTTATTTGGTAATATACCTCTGGAATTCAAAGGTCGACACCGAACCACCACCTTGATGTTGCCACCACTCATTCTTACTTGTCAAAGAGGAGCCACGTAATGTAATAAAGTGATAGAAATACAAAGTCGAGAGTGTAAAAAATAAAATAAAATAGATCGTTTTGTTATTGTTGTTGTTCTTGTTTGGTGTAGTTTTCAGTATGTGGATGACGCAGGACAATATATAATAATGATGAATAAGTTTGAATAAATAAGTTTTAAATGAATAAATGTGTATAAGTTGTATAGCTGTCAGGTCAATCAATGTACCTGAAGTAATTGAAAATATTTCAGATGAAAAGAAGAATAAAAGAGGGTATATATACGTATGAATAAGATGATATACAATAAATAGCACTATCCTCTATAAAATTGTATACAAATTTACAAGGGGTTAACAGTGCATAATAGGGCAAAAAAAAAAAGTGGAAAGAAAAGAGAGAAGAGGGGAAGTCAATCTGAACGAGATATAAAAAAGGAAAATGGGAGCAAAAAATTAGGCGGAGGGTGAAATCTTGTAATATGTGTTGTTTGTGTTTATGTTTATGTGCGTATGCGTGTGTACTGTTGAGAAAAAAAAAAAAGGTAACCAAGGGCGATCTTATCTAAAGTAGAACAACAATAATAAAAACATGTAATGTAACTAATTTTATTATAAAAACAAAAAAGTAAAAAAAAAAAAAAGGAGAAATAACTAATTAATCATCTTCATCGTCAGAAGATGGAGATAAATTGAATAAAGACTTGTCATCAAACCAATGTTGTAGTACTTCTATGCGTCTTGTATCAAAAATACCAGTCCAATTCCATGATTCTGCAGTTGCAGTGGACGCCTTCTTTTTCGATTCCAGGTGATCAAATCGATGTTGATCAAAATCATCCAATACAGTTGGTCCATTTTTATTCACAAAATCAGTCACGTCGTCCGATAATTTTTCTCGCATCATTCGTAAACTAGCTGCTGCATTCGGTTGTTGTACAGCTAAAATCAAAGGTTGAATTGATTTCAAAAGTTCTAATCCTGTTTCCACAAGTCGTAATCCCATGTAAGCAAAGAAAGGTTGAATAATGAATGCCAACATTGAGTACCATAAACTTTGTTTCCATCCCAATTGATTAAACTCCCATAAATAACCAAATAGGACACTAGAGTAAAATCCATATAGTAGAGGTGTAAACACAAGAGCAACAATCACTTTCCAAGTAGCCAATACATCACGAGCTGCAATTTTGACCGATGAACCTGCCAATGCCTCTAATCATTATATATAAATATATACAAATAAAAAGAAGAGATGTTAGATTTATAAAAATTGATATCATCTATTATTTTACCTTTTTGCTTTTTCAAAGTAATGATACGAGCAACAATAAAAAGGGGAGAATTGATAATAAGACTTGAAAAATATAAATAAACATACATCGTTAAAAACTTTTTAATCATTACTTTTTTTTTTTTTTTTTTTTTTTTACTTGACTTGAAGAAACTTACGCAGGAAAACCAAGTAAAGCAAAAATTATAAGTTTTATCAACCGACCAATCAGAACAGGAGCAGCAGAATACAAATTAGTTTCGGTTCGTTCAACCTGATGATCAGATAATCCAAAATATTTCAAATGGTTATTATAAGCCTTGACTTTGTTTTCTAATTCCTTATATGTAGGATCATCCTTGAAGAATCGATAACCTAATAAAAATCGGCGATTCAAATCCACTACTTGATCGATAGATAATTTGTGAGTAGCAGCAGGTTTATAAAGTCGTCGAGCAGCTGCCATAATCTAAAAAAAATCAAACCTTTTTTGTAAATTTTTCTTTTTTTGTGGTTGTTGTCTTTAATCACTTACCATTAGGGTATCATAGTTGGGAGCATTGACAGTAACTGATTTTAATCCATCATAACCTTCATTTAATAATGTCGAAATAGCTTCACGTTTAGCAGTACCACCTTGTTTGTATTTTTCAACCAAATTTTGGTTCACCTTGATTGGAGTACCATAAGACACAACAGCTCGAGATCGGAAACGATGAGGATGGAAATAGTTCAACCCTAAACAGATAAAATAGATTAGTAAAAAAAAAAAAAAAAAGAATAGTAACGATATATGTTACAATTTCTTACCAACAGGTACAATTTGAACGTTGACATTTTCCTTTTCAGCCATTGCACCCAAAGCCATAATAGCAAAGCCAGCTATATAAAAAAAAAACAAGTAAGTTCCACTTCTATTTTCCCAAATATAACGTTTTTCGCTTTCCTAATCATTACCTTTCAAAGGAAGTAATTCTGTTCTATCATGACTTCCACCTTCAGGAAAGATAACAATACTACCACCTTCTGCTAATCTTTCATGTACCTTTTCAAATAGCTGAGCTTGATCTACATGAGGAGTCACTTTATATGGCACACCTTCAGGGTATTGGTCAAATATAGCGAGGGTATCCTTGTCTAAGGGAACTTTGAGTCGAATTTCCGTATCAGATATCACTTGTTCCACTTGTAAGAGAATGGTTTTGTTGACTGTCAGCAAATCACGTGGTTGAACTTGTTGAGTAAATTGAGTATCCTTGCCTAGAATGATTTGACCATCACTTGAAGAATATTGAAGACTTCCTAAACCTTTGGTTGCCAAATCTTGAGGACGAATAACAGGAACTAATAGAAGACGAAGAAGAAGAAGAAGAAAAAAATTCTTTTTAGATTTTTTTTTTTCTAGTTTGTTGTGTGTTATTCATAATACTTACTAGCATGAAGTAAACGAGCAGCTGTACCAACAATCTTCATTTTGAAAGAAGACTGTGCCATAAGAGGAGCAAACCGTCTTGGATTGGAGATAAGAACCATACCTGGGTCTATAAATTGATTGGCATGTGGTGAACATATAAAGATACAAGGTCCCTCGGTTGGAACATTGTTGACTCCACTAGTTCGTACTTCCCGAAAAAAGATATCCGTCACCACCTTAAAAGAAGCTTTGATAATACTATAGGCTTCCAATGTCATCTCAAATATGAATGTATAAGAGTAAAAGAAGAAGAAGAAAAAACAAAAATAAAAAAAAAATCATTTTTTATACACGTCCCAGCGGGCTTTTTCTTTTATTTTACTGATGCAAGCTTCACGTGCATGCTTACAATGAACAAAAAATATATTTGTGATTTGTAGCAATAAGCTGTGACAATAATTTATTTACTTTATTTATTTTTACTCTTCTTTTTTTTCTTTCTTTTTTTTTTTTTTTTTTTTTTTTTTTTTTTTTTTTTTAATTCAAATGAAATATACCGTATAAGGATTTTACTTTATAGTGATATAGTCATTCATCAATTTGAATGTGATACTCCGCGTATTTCTCCAAATGCTGCTCGAAATCACCTCTTGAAAAAATGTATTTAGATCTGATTTTAGTTTTATTTTATTCTCTTTTTTTATGATCATCATCTTTTTTTTATATTGTCCTGACATGCCTTTGTGGTGGTAAACGGAGTACAGTTAAGTTTTCTAAAAAAAAAAAAAAAAAACCAAGCCTGGAAGATGATTGGCCAGTTACACTTTATTCACTGACTTTATTTTTTTTTTTTTTTTGCTAATTTTTTTCCCTTTTTTCCCATTCCCCGCTTTGTTTTTTTTTAACTTCTTTTGATATCATTATACTCAGTACATATTACTTATTCAGTTTATATGAAATATGGAAGATATCGATGTTAGTCCTGCATTAAGACGTTTACAAAACAAACCTGACATACCTACCATTGACTATTCAGTTCATACTATGGATGATGGTGCAGTAGTTAGTACTAAAGAACGAGTGATCAAAGGTAATAAAAGTCAAAAAAAGATGGTAATAGATTGATATTAACCTTAACTTTGTTAGATGTCCCTGCACCAACTGTGGCACCCCCTACTGATGAAGAATTTTGGAGTAAAGAACGCCCTGGTTTACCTGACATTCACTTCCTTAAGAATCATTTTTATCGTGAAGGTCGTTTGACAGAAGATCAAGCTTTATATATTCTCGAAAAGACATCTGATATTTTGAAAAGTGAACCTAATTTACTTGAAGTTGGTGCTCCTATTACTGGTAAATATTATGCTATATTTAAAGAGAATAAAAAGTCTAATATTTTCTTATATATATATATTTATAGTTTGTGGTGACATTCATGGTCAATACTATGATCTGATGAAGCTCTTTGAAGTAGGAGGCGATCCTGCCAATACTACTTATTTATTTTTAGGTGACTATGTTGATCGTGGTTACTTTTCTATTGAGGTAAGTTTATTATAATTTGAAAATTTGTTTATCATATTCAATTACTATAAAAATTATTATTATTATTTTTTAGTGTGTCTTGTATTTATGGTCTTTGAAAATGTGGTATCCCAATAGTTTCTTTTTATTACGTGGAAATCATGAATGTCGTCATTTGACCGATTACTTCACCTTCAAAACAGAATGTAAGAAAAATATTATATATATATATATAAGTTATATTTACAATGATTCTTGACTTAGGTCAACACAAATATAGTGATCGAATTTATGAAGCATGTATGGATTCTTTTTGCTGTCTTCCATTAGCGGCTATTATGAATCGACAATTCTTATGTGTACATGGTGGTCTCTCTCCTGAATTACAAACATTAGATGATTTGCGTATGGTAAGTTAAAATTAAAAATAAAAAAAAAAAAATAAAAATCAATTAATATATATATATATTTACATTATGTTTTATATGTTAGATTGATCGATTTCGTGAACCTCCTACTCATGGTCTAATGTGTGATTTACTTTGGGCTGATCCTTTGGAAGAATTTGGATCTGAAAAATCAAGTGAGCTTTATGTTCATAATCATGTTCGAGGTTGTTCTTATTTTTTCAGTTATCATGCAGCCTGTCAATTTTTGGAACGTAACAACTTGTTATCTGTGATTCGTGCACATGAAGCTCAGGATGCTGGGTAAAAAAAAAAAAAAAAAAAAAAATGAATTTATATCATCTCATTTTTATATTTTATTTTAGATATCGAATGTATCGCAAAAGTAAAACAACATCATTTCCTTCAGTAATGACTATCTTTTCAGCACCCAATTACCTGGATGTGTACAACAACAAGGCAGCTGTATTGAAATATGAAAACAACGTGATGAACATCCGTCAATTTAACTGTACACCTCATCCTTATTGGTTACCGAATTTTATGGATGTTTTTAGTTGGAGTTTACCTTTTGTTGGAGAAAAAAGTAAGTTGAATGAATGAATAATAATAAATTCAAATTAATTCTTATTTTCTTTTTATTATTAATATTTTATAGTTACGGATATGTTGATTGCCATTTTGAATATCTGTAGTAAAGAGGAACTTGCCGATGAAGAAAACAAATTAGATATCGATGACAAATCTGTATTGGATGATGCAGCTGAACAACGAAGAATAGTGATTAGGAACAAGATTATGGCAGTAGGCAAAATGTCTCGTGTATTCTCTGTACTTCGTGAAAACTCTGAAAGAGTGATGGAACTCAAATCTTTATCACCTTCTGGTAAATTACCATTGGGAACTCTTGCATTGGGCGTAGAAGGAATCAAATCTGCAATCACTACTTTTGAAGATGCCAAACGATCTGATTTGGAAAATGAACGATTACCACCTACTCGGGAAGTCAAGGATGCCCTTTTGCGTGAAGAAACAAACAACAAAATTAGGGACGCTTGTGACGAAGAGGACCAATCTTTGAATGATCTTGCTGATGCCATCATCAAGGAATCCGACTAGTTATATATACAATGTTTTTTTATTCCCTCCCCATTTTTATCGTCATTCTAGCAGTAGTAGTAATAGTAGTAATAGTAGTAATAGTAGTTAGTATTCATTTTCTTTTTACCACATTATATACAAACATACTCCCTTTTACTTGAAACACTTACTTTACTGATACCTTAACAATGTCATCCTTTCCTTTTGTTTTCTTTTTTTATGTAGTTTTATATTTTGTATTATCATTCAATTCAATAAATATATATATATATATATATCATAAAGAAATTCAAGGAGAAGGTGTAACGAACGCATGAGTGCAAAACAATAACAGTACCTAAATTTGGATGGAGGCGGAGTTTCTTCCTTTTCCCACCTTATACATAATAGGCATCAGTCGCATTATTTACTCTTTTCCTTTTCTTTGCTTTTCATTTTTTTTTTCTTTTTTCGGTTGCTCGTCTGTAAACAATGAGCGCAAGAAATTCCCACTACTCTAATAACTTGTATTCCCCTTCTCCACTCTATTGGACACAACCATCAGCACCAGTTCCTGTATTACGTTCTTCATGGTCAACAAGCACATCTACTCCAACTTCCAAACGACAGACCTATGGAAAACAACATAATAGGCATTCACAAACTTCCTCCTCTTCTTATTCAACTCATTCCTATTATACAGATTCTGATCTCAATGACGAGGAAAACAAAAGACAATTACATATACGACGGCGTTCTTCTAGTTATGGTCACCCTGCCAACTTGAAACAGAAACGCCAACACCTTTATCCTATTGACCTGAACGAACAAGATTACAATAACATGATGAATGAACCTATGGTATTCTCTCATAGCAAAACCCACCGACGATTACAATCGAACTACTCATCATCACAACAATCTGAACCCCGCCAACGTCGTCAAAAGGCTTCATCAACAGATAGCAGCAACAACAACAAAAAAATGATAAGGTCGAAACCATCATCATTACCACCAGCAGCAATCAAACCGCATATACGAAGGTCCAAATCGATATCCATTGAAAATAGCAATACCAATAGCACCACAATTGATCCTTCTCTTCGTTATGCAGCACCGGCTTCAAATGAACAATTGCATGTGCAGAGAAAACCATTGATGCGACAACGTTCCACACAACCAAATTCTATCATCACCAATACTGCTATGGATACTAATTGTCATTCTTCCGATTACCATCAAATGCCAACTGAATCTACTCGTCTAGGTCACTATACTAACAACAACAACAATAACAACAACAGTAGTTCAGCTGGATGGAAAATGTCTGCTCAGTACGATCATCTGGTATTACGTTCGCCTTTATCGCCAACTCCACCTTCTTTGTATGAAAGCAGTTCAACCACTTCTTCAGCGACACTTTCCTCAATATCTGATTCCCAACGTAACAACAATCCGAATACATCTATGCTCAACATGAATGGACTTATCTATCATCGAAAATCATCCAATGGGGTCAAGCATACTGTAACGAAGAGTCAACAACGGAAACATACAACACCAAAAACAACAATAGCGACGACAGCAGCAACAGCACCATTCTCATCGTCATCTTCATCATCCTCATCATTGTCATCCGCTCATCAGGTGCAACAACGACCTCTTGTGAAACCTTCATCAACTGGTAGTCTCAGCACACGATCTAGATACTCGTATGACGAATACCCCCGTCAACAAAATTCAGTCATGAGTGAACGACCTAGACGACATTCTCAAGGGGATTGTAGCAGCATCACATCTCTACAGCAACGACAAAGACAACAACAGCAGCCATGGATGACACCAGGTCGAGTTTCTACCCCCAAGTTACGGCGTGTCATGTCGGCCAAACCTTGTGTGAAGCATCTTACGCATGACAAACGAAGCAAAACAGGAGAGGATGATGATGAACTCTTATCAGCTATGGATGCCGCCTCATTATCAGCAGCGAAAAAGATCATCAATTCTACTACGACTTGTTCATCAACAAAAACCGACACTTCCAATTCAATTACAAATAACAAGGAAATGGCACCCACGTTTTGGAATCCAAGATCAGAAAGTGATATCATTCCTGTCAAACGAACTCTCAGTCGACGTCTCCGAGGATTATTACTACCTCAACGTAGCAAACTGGACAATTCAGTTTCCAAGGACCATCGCAACCTAACAGCAGATCAAGAATGGAGTGTGACCCGACCCATGACGCCTATAGATGTAATTGGTTTTGATAACGACTGTTTATTGGAAGATCAAGAAAATGGTGTAATGACAAATCCGTTTTACATGATTAGGTAGGTATCTTAAAAAAAAAAAAAAAAAAAAAAAAAAAAAAGGTACTAACATTTATTTCTTTAGTCAATCTTGGAATATAGCGGATCAAACAGGATTGATTTTTACTCAAGATGATTTTACTCAAATGGATACATATGCTGCAAGTGTTCAACAAAGAGGACCTTCCTTGACCCCACAAATCTTGGCACAAAAGTTCTTGGTTCGACCATATCGACGTGATTTATATCGACTACGCATCATCTATATTTGGATGATGCAAAACATTGGCATTTTGGATCAACGTACACCCAACACGAATGAAGAATCACCCGCCCATACTACTACTACTACTACTACTACTACTAGTTCATCCACAAAAATCTCTCTTCGACAGCGACTGACAACAAGGCGACTAAGTACGGATCGAGAAGAAGAATTAGATATCCCAACAATGGACGTGATGCACGGTGATGGTTTGTTACCTGAAGGTGGAGGTGACGTTGACTCTTTCGATGACTGGTTATTTTCTGAATCGGCAAATCAAGTGCTACTACGTCGTACATGCTCCTCTTCCATAGGTATGGCCAATCTCTTTTGTGACATGGCTATCGCGGCAGGAATTCATGACGTTCGTGTCGTTTATGGATATTTACGAGGTAAAAAAAAAAAAAAAATCAATGATATTTATCTTTATTATTAATTTTACTCTATTTGTAGCACCAAAGGATTCTATTGATACTGCAAGTATGAACCCAAACAAGAATGACAATGATGATGATGTGACATTGGTACAGAATCATGCCTGGTGTTGTGTTAAGGTCGAAGGCGAATATCGATTTGTAGATTGCTGGCTAGCATCCCCTTTCCAACCTCAAAACAAGAACATGATGGAATCTCATTGGTTTTTGACCAAGCCAAGTGATATGATATATACACATTTTCCGCAAGAGCCCGAAGATCAATGTTTGGAACCTGTTATCCATGTGTCTACCTTTTTTGCTTTGCCTTATGTGTGGGCTCCCTTCTTCTCACATCATTTGAAAATGATTCGATATGATCCTGCTATGCTTACCCTTATGGATGATCAAGTATGTCATCTCACCTTCCGTGTAGATCCTCAAGTCATATGTTTTGCCTTTGTGGAGACGAGTGAAGAAGAAGAACAACAAAAATCAATAACCATCCGATGCCTCGCTCAATGTCGCATGATACCAGGGGAAAATGGTGAATTGGAACGTGTTTATAAAATCAAGGCAGTACTTCCTCCAGGTCATAATCAAGGATGGCTCAAGATTTATGCTGGTCATATACAACATATCACTTCTAGTATTCAAGACAACAGCAATAGCAACAATAACAGCAATAACAACAACAACAACAACAACAACAATAACAGTAATAATAATAATAATAATTCAGTTATATCAGAATCACTTCCACCTTTAGCTCTTTGTTTTCCATTGACAGCAAAACAAACACAACCTCAGTTAGACCGATCTTTTGAATTTGTTCAACTACATCCATGTCGGTATGAATTCTATATCCAGGAACCTCAATGCTATTCACTTTATCCTTTACAAACTTACAACTTTTTAGTACGTGGTGCTGCTGATGATCTGCATCACAAGTTGGCAATCCGAAGTCCTAGTGGCAAGTTATATAAGCTCATGTATTATCCACAAGAACGTAGTTATGATGGAAGTGTCAAGATCGTTGAAACCGGGAAATGGTGTTTGATTTGTTTATTACATCATGCAAGTGGTTGGTACGTGGTTGCAACATGGGAATGTCATGGGTAGTTATTATTTTAGTATATACAAATAATAAAAAAAAAATCAATTAGACTTTACTATTGTATTCTCTTTTTTTTATTGTTCACGCATTGATACCAATCCTTTTACTCTTTTGGTTGATTTGAAACACAGATGTGGCGGAAAAATTTGGTAACGAACCTGGTTTGTTTAACGAAACTTTCTTTTTCTTTTTTTTTTTTTTTTTTTTTTTTTTTTTTTTTTTTTTTTTTTTTTTTTTTTTTTTGGTCTTTAAATAACAAAACGTTGGGTTGACTTTAAGCTCATTTTCCTCTTTCCCAAAACCGACGTTTTAATCATTCTTTTATTTTATTATAATTGATTGAACAAGAGGGGGGAGCTTGGAATCATTTTATTTTATTTTGCTCAACTTACGACTCTCTCTCTTATATACCATATACAGTCACTATCCATTCGATGCCAATCAAACATATCTTTTATCGATCATTCTTACAACAACGACATTATGCTTCCATATCACCCAAGAAAAAAGCGTTTTTCTGTCGGTCTCTTGCCCCAAGCATGTTAGCCTATAATCTTGATAGTGCATGTTATCATGAAGTCATAGTCAGCAATACCTCTTCAGGAAGCACCACCACATTCTCTCAAACAACATATAGTACAAATAGTAGTCCGTTCTTATTACCCAACGTATGGACAAAGACAAGGCGGAAAAACAACTGTACATCATATACTTTATTGAAAACAATGTTGGAGTCTGATACCACAACATTTCGATCCTTTTATTCATCCTTACCATCACGACACCATACCCGACCATCCTTTCTTTTATTTGGCAATATACGACGTTGTCTTCATACAAGCTCAAAGCAAGGTCAACCGAAAATGCCTCATTTACCTCATCCTCCTAGCAAAGCCGAACTGTTAGCTCAAACACGTACTTTTTTCGAACGTCTGAAGATCCGAATCAAATGGCCATTGATGCGACAAATGCGACCTTGGACATTGAATGATGTCACTGCTTTATTTTCTTGGTTATTTTTGGGTCATACTGTATGGTTACTGGTGGGTACAACAAGTTTTGTTAGTCTTATTCTATGGTTTGCCAATTCTCTTCAATTCCAAGGTAAAGTTATCTTGATTTATAGATTGAAAATATTCATTGTTTTTCTTTTTTTGTTTTTTTTTTTTTTGATGTTTAGGTTGGGTGGCATATCGTATTGGACAATATCTTACATCAGCAACAGGAGCCACAGTAGTATTTGATTCTGCCATTGTACCTAATTGGAAAGATGGTAAAATTCGATTCAATAATGTTAGAATTTATCGAATGCCAAGATCAGAACGGGAAAAATTTGAACGACATGCACAAATGTTGACGATGGGTCATTCACCTCAAGATAATAAACAAGATGTTTACACAGAAGATGATCCTTTACGTGGTGTGTATTTGGATGAAGATGAACAACAAAACGAAGTACTGAAAACATGGATGTGGTTTGATTTGACTTTGGATCGTGTGGAATGTACTTTTAGTTTAATGCGATGGATGGATGGAAAAGGTCTTGTACAAAGTGCTGATGTTCAAGGTGTTCGTGGTGTAGTCGATCGTCGTCATGTGCGTTGGAATCCAAATGTCAAGTATGATCCAGTAGCTGCTAGGCATAAATATACACCTGGTGATTTTGAATTGGAGAAGTTTACAATGGAAGATCTTTTAGTCACTGTTTATCAACCTCAAGGTTTTCGACCTTATCCTGTCTCTATATTTCAAGCTCAATTGGATCGATTCAGAAAACAATGGTAAAAAAAAAAAAAAAAAAAAAAAAAAAAAGTTTTTTTTTTTTACTGATTTTTTTTTTCTGGATAGGCTTTTTTATGATTTATTATGTGCAACATCTATTGTGGGTGCCTTTGATAAATGTCTATTTAGTGTACATTCACCTCAATTGGAAAAAAGCGTTTTGGAACAAGCTGGTCATATTGATGAAAAACATGGTAGATTTCGAAGTCATGATATTTATCATTATTATTCTGCATTCAAGAAACCTGATCCCAATGGTGTAGTTGTTGGTGGTGAAAATGCTCGATTTGGTGTATTGACTGATAATGCTATGAAACAACAAGGTTATAAACGCAAGGTAAAAAAAAAAAAATTAAAATCATGATATAAATTGATATTCATCCTCTTTTTTTTTTTTATTAGTCTCGTTTACGTATTGATAATGTACCTATTGATCATATTAATCGTGGATTAGAGGGTCCAGCAGGATGGATTACATCAGGAACAGTGGATGTATCAGCAGATATCTATATTCCTCAAGAAGCATCTGAAGCCGATTCGACAGAACTATTACGACAATTAGTGTATGAATTAACGGATCGTATTGATTTACCACAACCAGTGACTTTGGGTGTTGGTAAAGGGGAGGACGTTTTGGTAGTAGGTGGAGGAAGGAAGAATGCAAGTTCTACTGTAAGTGAAGATCGCAACAAGAAATTCGTGATGGATGTCCAGTTTCGGTTCAAGGATAGTAAAGCATCGGTACCCTTTTTACCTTCAGCTGATCTGACCTATGTGAATCAAACCATGGTACGACCTGTGGTGGCCTATATTAATCGTAACAAGACCATTGTTCCTATCAAGTGCCGTGTGGTGATGGATTTATCCAACTTTGATGGTGCTTGGTCCGGTTATGACTCGACATTGATTGATCGTATATGTGAACAACTTGGTAAAGGTTTTGTGGATTTGACCATGGATCAACAAGAACGAAATCGCAGACTTAAGCAAATCGGATTCTGGAGCTTACGTGAAATGACGCGTAACTTGGTCTATATTTATGATATGATGAAAGGTACTTCTCGTGGATTTTGGTCTCATCTCTATGGTAATTATTTTTAGATCTCATTTTAGTATAGTATTCTTTTCATGGATAGATGTATATAGGTTATAACTTTTAAATAAACAATCACCCCTCTCCTTTTTTTTTTTTGTATTACTGATATTCTTGGATACATTAATAGAAATAAAAAAAAAGATTGTATTTGGTAATGAATAAAAAAAAAAAAAGTTCTTTATTGAAAAAATATATATATAAAAAGAAATGTACAACGTAAACTAAACTAATGAGATCTCCTTTTTTTTTTTTAGTGTCTTTCAATTTGTTTTCCTTTTCCTTTGGCCTCCATAACATACATATTGATCTAAATCAAAACCATTAAAAAAAAAATCATTGAATGGAAGCCTACTTTTTTTGGATGTACCTTGAATGGTGAGATATGCATAGTTTTAATCGGCACAAATTGAGTCCAAGTAGTAGCATTAGTAGTTTGATCAACATTTCCAGGTATCCATACTTGTTCAGTCTATCCAAAAAATTAAAAATAATTAAAAAAAAAAAAATGATATTTTTTTTTTTTTTTTGGTAAGTTACATTATGTAAAAAAGGAAGATCATCACTATCATTCAATTCTACCCCCAAAGTAAATGTACAATCCAAGACTGGTGGAGATAAAAAACAAGGTAATGCATTGAGTTTCAAAAGACATGCACGAAAATCATGATAAAGATCCCCTTCTTCTTGTTGTTGTTGTTGTTGTTGTTGTTGTTGTTGATGGTCAAAGGCCAAGACATATCGTTCTAAAGGTTGTTGTGTTGTATTAGATAATATCACCAAAGAAACCAATTGACATTGATTCTTTTCTAAGACGGGTTGTAACGTATCTACAAAATGTTTAATATATTGACATACTTCAGGATGAATCGACATGTGAACTGGTACATTGTATTGTTTCCGTAGTTCAAACACATCTAATAAAAAAAATAAAAAAAAGGAGATAACAATGAACAATTTGTTTATGATTATTATTACCTTTTGGATAAAGACCACGATGATAAAGTACTTGATGAATCCATACCTGAACTAAAGAAGAACTTTAACGTTTGAATTTTATTATTGTCTTTTTTTTTTTTTTTTTTACTTACTAAAATCACATAAAAGTAATATCAAATCTATTTATCTTTATTTTAGTGTTATTGTGAATAAAAAAAGAAAGAAATAAATAAATAAAAGGAATTTACCGTGTGTTTGCATGCAAATAAGAACAATATTATACAATAGAAGCCATTCACAAAAAAAAAAAAAAAAAAAAAAAAAAATAGAAAAGAAAAAAAAAAAAAGAAGATTGGGACACCGTCCAAAAAAAGGAAAAACACAAGAACTGGAATGGCGTGGCGTATTATCTTACTTTCCACAAATGATTGATAAATAAACTAAGAATTGTTCTTGAAATAGATCTCTTTTATTATTGTTTATATATTCCCTTCCATTTCCTTTCTTAGTTGAATAATAAAAGAAAGAATTAAGGATTCCAAAATGGATTTCATTCTGAACCCCCCCCCCTTTGACTTACTCCGCTTTACCATACCTTCGGTTTTCAATACATTTGACTACTGTATGTCCCTTATTTTTATCAATCACTCGTGTTCTTTGTTGATGCATGTCAAAATTTAACTATTTTTCCTTTTTATTCCATACAATCAAAGTTTTTTTAAAAAAATAAAAAAGTAATGATACATATGTATTATGAAAAGGGAAAAACATGTCTTTTCGAATTTTCTATTTCTTATTTTGGATTATCCGTCTCACTTTTTTTTCTTTAAAAAAAAAAAGATATGAGTGGTTGGGTAAATGATCCACTTAAAAACTTTTGGGCTAGAATAATACATATGCTCTAAACCAGAAAAAGCTTATTATATATGGAATGATGATGATGGGCGGAGAGTTAGCTTTAGGTTTCAAAACGGCGGTGTTTGATGGTTCCCAAATAAGGGGGGAGAATAAGTTTCTACTTTATCGGTTGAATGATAAAAAAAAGTATATGTTTCTTCAAGCTAAGCGGATCCTTAAAAATAACATAACTCTCTGCATATCATATAAAGTAGATAGAATTTTAAAGTTTTGTCATCATGCATGGTTTTGTTTGATATCAAGTTTATAAAAAAAAAAAAAAAAAAAAGAAATAGATATAAATAAAAAAAAAAAAAATGAACATGGTAAAGAAAAAAAGGTTATTTTTATGAGGTTGTACAACATGATAGGATGATGGATTCAAATCATGAATGATAATATGAAAAATTATACAGTTCTAGAACTCTTTTCTACCTCTCCCCCCCTTCCGGTTTCAACCCAGCTCCGTTGAACACTTTATAGATATTAAAGAATGAGTAAAATAATAATAATAATAATAATAAATAAAGGGGAAAAATCTTAATATATAGTCTTATTATTTGATGATGATGATGATGATTGTTATTCTTCTTCTTCTTATTAATTCATTGTTAAAATAATGAATCCCCCAAACAATTTTATTCCGACAGCCAAGCAAAAAAAAAAAAAAAAAATTATAGGTTGTGCGCATTCAAAAATAGAAATCATTCAAAAAAAACCCCCCCTCCTCCTCCAAAATAAGATGTTAGATCCGCCAAGAATGCTTTTTAACCTTGCTCCCTTTCCTTTTTATTCTTCCTTTTGCATGAAACAAAGCAGTTCAAATGACATAATAAAATGCTGATCATGAAATAATCAAAAAAAAAAAAAGCTTAAAAACAACAACAAACTTTTTTTTTTGGGAATATATAAATACCCTAAAAATAAGGCACTCCCTTCTTTTTTTTTCCCCTTCTCTTTTTTTTTTTTTTTATATTTATATATATATATTTTATTTTATCTTTTTATTTATTTTTATTCATTATGGAAACATTTATTGGTTATATCAAAACACCTCAAGATGCTCTAATCATTTTTGAAGCATGTCGTCAAGGACAACTGAACCGTATTCAACGACGATTATCTACCAAAGAAAGAATTCATATTCAATCTGGGTCCATTTTTGCCTGGGATGAAAAAGAGGCTGGTATGCGTCGTTGGACGGATGGAAAAACTTGGTCTCCTAGTAGAGTCTTGGGTAGTTTTTTGACTTATCGTGAATTGGATACAAAAAGACGACCTAGACGAAATGATAATACAACAATTAAGATTGGCAATTGTTCTTATAAACAAGATGGATTGGTCAAACAATCGTTTTCTATTTGTACAGCCAATAATCAAAAATTACATCTGATTTCTTATTACAGCAAAAGAGATGTATTAAATGGAAAATTGAAACAACCTACCATGGATCCTGTCTTGGCCAACATCACCATTCCTAAAGGTCTTTATCCTGATTTAAATCCTTTGGATACAAGTGGAGGTCATACTGCTACTTTACATAATATGCGTCAACAACAACAAGAAGAAGAAGACGATGATGATGATTCACCACCATCCTTATCATCATCTCCATGTACATCAGATGAAGACATCATCATGGATTTATTACCAGCTTATCATTCTCACAATTATTATCAATCATCCTCTTTATTACCTATTCAAGATATTGCTTGGGAAAAATTACCATCATCAGAGGATCAACGTCAATTACAAGCAATTCAAGGTCTTTTGAAATTATAATCTAACATTCCCCCCTTTCTATATATCACCCTTTTTTGTAATTTACCTCCTACTCTGTTGTGTGTGTCCCCCCTTATTATCTTCATTCTTTTTTTCTATAAGAAAAAAAGTAAGAAGAAAATGTCACATCCCAATTGTCATAAAATCCCATTGTATATTCTTCTTCATAGTCTTTTTTTTTTTTTTTTTTTTTACTATTATTACCCTATATACACACCTAATAAAATTTATATAAACCAATTATTTATTATTTCTCCCTCCTGACAATATGAATTCCTGATGAATCTTTTTTTTTAGAGTTTAATATTTGGATCATTTTAAAAGTGGCGTCTTACTATAGTAATGAAGAGATGATTGAAATGTTTAAGGGGTTAAACCCAAAATGTGGATGAATGATAAGCTTTTAAAGGGATGATAATAGTAGAAAACTTTAAAATGAAAGATGAATGTTTGATCTTTGATTGGTGACAAAAAAAAAAAAGGTTAAAATGGAGCCAGGTCATGAAAAAGGAAAACAACGAATTGCATGATTTTTATCCTCACTTTCTCCTGAATGGGCGGGAAGGAATGTTTTTTTTTCTTGTTACTTTGAAGGAATTTTCTCTTTTTACCTTTAGACTTTTTTCATTCCATTCTTAATGCATTTCCTTCGGATGTTTTTGTTTTTTATAACAAAAAACCCCTTTCTTTTTTTTTCCGTTCAATTCATTTCTTTTTTTTTCTCAATAGATCATCTTAGTTTGAAAGCTAACGAGAATGAATGGAAAAAGACTGGCATGATCATCTTTATCTAATAGGTAACTTGTCTGTCACAATTCCATCTTTAAAAAAAAAAAATCTGTGGTGCATGATTTCCCTAGTCCTAATGATTCACCGTTTCCTTTTTCTACCTGTTTACCCGGTTGACATCCCTCTGTATTCATCTAGTGTTTTCTACCATTGTCTATTCTCCCTGGTAGTCATGTACTCAAATCCCGAGAAATTTCAAAACATTGTACATATATACTATAGACGAAGAATAGAGATTCAGAATAAGAAATGTTGATAACAAAGGCCAAAAGAAATATCTTTATTGATACCCTTTCTTTTTTCAATAGTAACAGTAATAGTAGTAGCAGTAATAAGGAAAGATCGATATCAATCAATCAATGAATTGTAGTGTAATGTAAATGTAAAAAAAAAAAAGAATGACATGATAAAACTAAACTAGGAACAAATCAAAATCAAAAAAAAAATGTACAATAGCATAAAAAAAAAAAAATAGATCATCCAAAAAAAACCAAAGATCACATCCATTCCGTAAACCTAAGATTCACACAATCCAATAAGTTCCTTGATGAATTTAGCAATTTCATAGGATTCCTTGGCCAAATCCCTTTTCGCGACAGAAGATGCCGTTTCAGGTTGAGTAAAAGAACGATTGCGAATTTGTATGAGTTTGTCCCGACATTGTTGTAAATCCGTCAAGATGACATCCCCTTTTTGGCGATAACGAAGACCTGCTCCAGTCATAAACGTACTTCTTGACATATCCAATACCAATGTCACCACATCCCCAATTGATGTAATAATTCCATATACTTCATCCATCTTTTGACTAGATCGTAATGCTGCCAATAAGCTTTGAATACTAGTCACAATACGATCGGTTTCTTTCTTGAGATATTCCTAAAAAAAAAAAAAAATGAATATTTTTTATCCTATTTATTATTATTATTATTTACCGCTAATTGAGATGGAGTCATTGAATCATTCATTTTTCCATTCACCTTGTTGGAACTAGAGGAATCTTGACGACGAAGTGATGAAGAGATGGAAGGTGTAGGTGTAGATTGTTGAGGACGATGTTGTTCTGAAGTAGTCATCCCCACCAATTTGACCAAATCTACCATAGCTACAGTTAAATGTCCAGCTGCTGCGTCCAAAAGACCTACAGGACTGATCCCCATACTGTTCACATGAGATTTTGCTGCTGTCACCAAATTTGCCAATCCAGTGGAGAAGGGACCTTTCAATGTTTGTAATTTGGTTTTCTTATCAGACATCATGGTATTCTTGGTTTCAAAATTTTCCACATCTTCTGTGATTGATTTGCAAGTCATGACAATGGTTTTCATACACGTCAATACATCCGATGGGTTTTTGGATCTGATAGAAAAAAAAAATCATTAGCTTTTTAGTTTGTAATCATTTCTTTTTTTTTTTTTAATTTTACCTCGCCCGTTTCAATAAATCCTCTATGGCTGCCTGATAACTAATGACGGAATCATAAGAAATAGCACCAGATCGAGTAGGTTGTAAAAAGTGTTCTTTGATTATATCTTGACTTGGTATATCATTTTCATGATCAGAAATACCTAGAACGAGATTCAATCGACATCAGTTCATCATGGTCATCATCATCATCATGATTTTTTTTTTTTTACCTGTTGTATTTCGTAATTCTAGACGTAGTTTTTGATATTTGGTTTGCCAATCTTCAACCTACATATCATTCGAAACATTTAGAAAAAAAAAAGATCGTTCATAATAAGTCACATTTTTTAAGGAAATCTTACTTCTTGGGTTAATTGTCTATTTTTTGCATCGGAAGTGTCTTGTTCCTTTCGTAATTTGTCGTTTTCTTTGGATAATTTGCCTAATTCCTCCATCAATTTGGATGTTTCTTGTTTGACATCATTCACAATCTAAAATGTTATATGTAAAGTAAATAATTATTTCATTATTTCATGTGTTTTTCATTTCTTACTTGTTGTTGATCATTGTGATCCCGCTCTAATGTCCTGAATTGTTCATCCAGTCGATTGTATTCATCTTGTAGTTGCTGTAATCGAGACTAAATATAACAAATTATTAAAATATATTCATGATAAAATATCATCCATCTTACCTTGAGCATTTGTTCTCTATCAGTTTCAGTATCATCACGAGGTGATTGTTTTCTTGCCAGTAAATCCTTTTATCCATACAACAGAGAAAAAAAAATGAATTTCCAAAATGGTCACTTATATATATATATATATATATTACCTGATTTTCTTTTTCCAAAATTTGAATTCGTTTTGTCATAGAAGCAATACGATGTTCATAATCTTCTTGACGTTTCTCTTTCCCATCGACTGTTCTCTGTATTCGAAAAGAAAGTTGAGTTATATTTAACCATTTTAAAATAAAATTATTTGTGTTACCGTACATTGTTGCTGAGGATATTGTCATTCGTACTATCTTGAGACCTAGAATGGACCATATTTCCTAGATCAGCCATCAAACTATCCAAAGAATCACCTTCTTGTTTTCCATTGATATGATGGTAAGAAGAAGGAGAAGATGATAATGCATTCGAAGGTTTTCTTTGATAATTGCTACCAGTAGGAGATATACTATTATTATCACGCATATGATGTGAAGGAACATATTTTCCAATGGGGCTATTTTCACTAAATTGGGTAAGATCATCATCTTCTTCATCCGAAGAATCTTTATTTGAGACTGGTTCAACGTTGATAGTTCCTTTCATTGGTACAATGGTGGTAGATTGACTTGCTGGTGGTGCTGTAGGATTTTTGGGTGTAGGTGAAGACATGGATGATGAAGGTGGTATTGATGGCATAGGAGGTCGATTGGTATCCTTTCAAACAAATAAATAAATAAAAAAAAATTAGTTTATTTTTATTATTTTATTATAATCAAACTTACATCAGCATCCATAATATGAGGATAACGTCTTGTCAATTCATAATACACATCACTTGCTAAATCTTGGAACCTAGTCTCTGGTAAAGTAGCCAATTTTTGTCGTGCCTGATTTCGTTTTGGATGAAATTCTTCTCGAACAGCCAAAAAAGGAACTATAATAAATAAATAATAATAAAAAAAACAAGTTAATAAGAAATTATCATTTAATATATATATATTCCAATTTACCAAATTTATCGTTCAAATTTCTTCTTACAAGTTCATCATAAACATCCATAGCTAATTCATGAAATTGTAAATTACTGAGTCTTGATAATTTTTGTCTAGCAGATGCTCTTTGAGGATGTACACCTTCAGCCGCCTCTATAGATAATAATTATTGTTAATAAATTAATAATATATAATTATTTTTATTACCTTTTGCCAAAAAACCAAGTAAATATTTTCGAAGTTCACAATAATAAGTACGAGCAGCAGCTTCATAATTGACATTATTATAAGAACGACCTGAAGATGAAGCCATAGAAGCTGATCTAGAGTTTGGATTGGTGGAACGGGATGAAGTAGAAAAAGTCTTTGACATGAGTCCGCGTGATTTCCAGTCGTCAGGTGATTGAGGTGGAGACCTTGGAAAAGACATGTATTTTATTTATTATAAGAAAAAAAAAAAGGAGAGGAACAAGAAGGAGAGAGAAAGAAAAAAAAAAAAAAAAAGAGGGAAAAGAATAAAAAAAAAAACCACCGATTTTCCCAAAATTGGTGTCACCAGTTTTTGTATCACATGCTAAGTTATTCAATGTGTGCTTCTAAGATAAAGTTTTATTGTCAAAAGAGTAGGGAGAAAGATGGATAATAAAAAAAAATATATGTACAACAAAATGTAGAGAAATAAATATATATATATTAATGGGCAAGTTTAAGAGAATGCATATTTTGATGAGTTTCAGATTGATTTTCTAATCCATTGGCATATTGAAAATCACCACTAAAAAAAAAAAAAAGTATATTAGAATTGATCACTATTACTATTCAATAAAAAAAAAAAACTTGTTATTACCTAGTTTCATATTCATACATATCCAATGCAACTACACAACTTTCTCGAACCACACGTTCATTATCTTCTTTGAATTTATTCAAGATTTCTAATACTTCAGGTGTAGCAATAGATCCCAAAGCTTCAGCTGCTTCATGACGTACCATACCTTCTTCTTTATCATTCATTAAAGCTTCTGTCAAAGCAGGTACAGATGCAGGATGTTGTAATTGACCAAATACATAAGCAACTATATATATAAAATAAATAAATATATTTTATTCTCTTTTTTTTTTCTTCTTTTCTTTTCTTATTACTTTCATGACGGAATAAAGCACTAGATGCTTTTAATCCTTTAGCCAATGCTTCCACAGCTTCAGTATTTCCAATTTCACGTAAAGCAAACATAGCTCGATACCGTTCAAATAAGGGCAAGTTTGTATCAATCAATTGTTCACCTAATACTTGGACAGATTTCTTGTTGATAGATGGAGGAGCAGGATCTACAGAACTATATAAACTAGTGTTTTGTTCTCGTTCTTCCTTAGTCTTGGGATCATTGTCATACCGAATCTTATCAATAGCTAATTCACATGTTTCAGCCACGGCCACACTAGGATCCTTCAAATATTTTTCAAGAATATCAATGCTTTCTATAGATCCAATTGCACCCAATGCTTCTGCTGCCTATATATTAAAAACAAGATTAATCAAACAATAATAATAATAAAAATAAAAGGAAAATTAACTTGCCTCATGTCGCACCATCTCATGTTCTTGACTATCTTCCAATACTTGGATCAAGGCTTTATTGGCATAAGGATTCTTGATTTGACCAAGACAATAAGTCAGTTCATGTTTCAAAAGAGCCGATTCATCAGATAAAGCTATAATAAATATATGTATTTATATATAATGAGTCGTCTTTATCCTTTAACTAACCAAAAAAAAAAGTTCATACCTTTAGAAATGACATCAATAGACTTTTCATCGGCAATGTTCTTTAACGTAAATAAAGCTCTGAACCGTTCAGCTAAAGGAGTGTTTCCAGAACTATTACAAAGAACATCTTCAAGTTGTTGATAGTTGATATTTAATCCAGTGGCAACCATGTTGGAACAAAAAAAAAAAAAAAGTGAAGGAAAGAAAAGAAAAAAAAAAAAAAAAAAAAAAAAGAGGGAAAGGGAAAAAAAAAATGTTGGTTTTAAGCCACGATTCAATTTTCCAAAGGCGTGCCTGGAACCGCAGGCAAAAAAGAACGTGGATCTCCTGGCAACTTCAAATACCGCAGATAATGTCAAGCATGCCAATTTTCTTAATTTATCGTTCTTCCCCTTTTTTTTTATTTACTTCCTCTTCTTTCTCTTTCTCTTTTTTATTATTATTATTTTGCTGGTCAAAATATATTATTACTTTTTCTTTTAATCTTTTGATTTTGTTACATCTTGTTCTCTCTCATGTCAACTAGTACTGCAAAAGGACCAGCTTTTGAAATACGTTTCTGTGAAGGCAATGTAAGTTTTTTTTTTTTTTGACACATGTTTTCCTTTCATTCAATACCTTTCATTTTATATGTTTATAGAAAGTACAAGTATTTGATTTATCCAAACGTGGAGATAAAACTGGAAATCAATTATTGCCCAATGGTAAGTTCTATTAGTAGAGAAAACAAAAATGTATATAACTTATCTCTTCCATTCCTTTGTCTCCCTCGGTCTTACTTACCTTTCCAGTTTTATTTCTTTCTTTACTATAATTAGAATATCATGAAGACGATGTGGTAAATGGTCGATTACGATATTCCAAACTAGGCAACCAGTGGATATCGAATGATGCTGATGCAAAGCAATCATCCCAATCATTGGAATCTATATCAGATAGTCATCCAATAACCACATCAAAATCAACACCTATTTCAACTTCACCAGTTCCAACAACTACGACGATGTCTACAGATATTATCCCAGTATTGGCTAAAAAAAAGGCATTAGAAGATGCAAAAGAATTGGAAAGTAGAAGACAAGGAGAAGAAGCTATACGAAAAGCAATGGAACGTAAAAAGAAAATAGAAATGGCAAGATTGGCAAGAAAAAAACAACAACAAGAACAAGAACAGCAACAACAGGAGCAAGTGCAACAACAAGATCAAAAACAACAACGACAGCAGCAGCAACAACAACAACAACAACAGCAGCAACAGCAGAAACAAGACCAAGAACAAGAACAAGAACCTAATGCACCTCTTGCGGCTTCAATAACAAATCAAGTAACCCAGCCTGCAGATGACAATGGTAAGCTTCATCAATATGCATCTTACAATCAATCTGACACCTCCTTCCTTTTTTTTTGGAATATATATATAGATGATGACAATACTGTGATGAAAGAACGAGATCCTTCATTTGAAAGAGATCAGGTAATAATAATCACTTCATCACAAAATAGTATCATCGGGATGACATCTTCCTTTCATGATTAATATTCATTTTATTTCTACTCATAGACGGTTGAAATCCATCCCAAAAAAGTAATTCAGGTAAGTCATCATGAGACAAAGAGAATATATAATCTCATGACACAAAAACATCTTTTTTTTTTTTTTGAATGTCCCCATAGGATGATCACAATGCACCACCCACCACTCCATTACCCAATCGACATATCAAACCCAAATATCCTCCTAGTCAACCTGTGCAACCTCCAACCCCTGCCTACGTTCAACCATTATATCGTCCTACTCCATTACTTGATCATCATCAGCCTGCTGAAGATTCCTTTTTCCATCAAGAAACTAGCAACATCAAGGTCTCCTCCTCTTCTACTTGTTGTTGTATTATTTCCTAGATAGATTTATTTTACCCATGTACAAGATATATCCCCCCTTTCATTTCCCTCTTTTTTTTTTTTTTTTTTTTTTTTTTGCTATCATCACCCCCTTGATTCTAATTGTTTTATAATAAATATATATATATAATATGTTATATGTGATATTTGTTTTTCTTTTATTAAGAAGATTTGTGAAGAAACATAAAATAGTAATAATAATAATGATGATGATGTTGATGTATACAAATGATGAATGATAAAAAATATATATATATAAGAATGGTATATCAAAAAAAAAAAAAAAAAGCTAACTATAAAAGAAGGCCAAAGAAAGATTTTTTTAGGTTTTACCAGGAATTGTTTGATGTTTTTCCAAAAGAGCCTTATTTTCACGTACCATCCTTGTCCAAGTCCGTAAGAGAATATTGTCAGTGCGTCCAGGCATGAGTTCGGCAAAAAGAGACCATTTACGACCATGTTGAGCCACCAACTGAGTAAGTTTTTCCTTTTCCTCGGGAGAAAGTTCATCATGTCGTAGTCGAGGGTCCAATACATTCATCCATCGTTCACGGCACTGCATATCGGTTCGTCCAGGAAGATGACGTTGTACTCCAGTCCAGTTGCCCTTACCATAAACCGCCACTGATGCACGTAGAGCTGCGTCCTCCTCCGCTGTCCATTTCGACCGTCGGATGGCAGGATTGATTGATTTCATCCATCGTTGTAAACATTGTTGTCCAGTTCGACCTCCTACAAGTAATGCCACACGTTGCCAGTTCTTGTCTCCCATCATCGTCACCGCATCCTTCAATGCTTCATCGTCCTCGGCCGTCCATCGTCGTTTCGAATCTTGCATGTTCAATTCTGCTTGATAATGAGCAAAACATTGAGCAGCTGTTCGATTGGTCTTGAGTTCACTTGCAATTTGTTCCCATTTTCCATTGTGCCCATGCTTTTCAACTAACAACTTCAAATCTGTACTTTCTTTCTTCTTCCATGGTAATTTGTTGATTTTCGGATGATCTTGTGTTGTCCATTGAATCATACATTCCATAGGGTTACGAGTCTTCACCTGTCATACAAAAAAAAAAAAAAAATGAATATATAAATCAAAGCTTCATTGACATGCATAAAATTTGAACTTACATGAATCATGCTAATTCGCACCCAATCCAATTTGTTCACAGGATAATTTTCCCATTCCTTTCTACGTAACTTGTCCACTTCCCATACTCGCCAAGGTTCTTGTCTATATATATATGTAAAAAAAAAAAAAAAAAAAAAAAAAAAAAAAGATAAATCAATACAGATAAAAAAAAAAGATTTTTTTTTTTTTTTTTTTTTTGGAAATCAAACTTTACTTGGCCATATGTTCATATGCAATCATCCTTTGTACTTCAGAATGAATACCAGCATGTAATGATTCTCGTTCTTTCGAAGTCCCTATTTTTTTTTTTAAAAAAAAAAAAAATAATAAATAAAAAGGTATGAAACCCCCTTTTCCATGTTTATATTAGATAATCCACTTACATGCTCGTACACGTTCAAATTCCATTGTATTTCGTTTATCTTGTTCAGTAAAAGGAGTCTATAAACATAAAGGAATTAGTATCCAATAGATAATCATTTTTCTATAGCTTACGTTGCCATTTGCATCGACAAAGAAATCATATTTTTCCGAATATGGCTTGTGCACTTCCATTCTTGTCCTTTGTATCCTTGCTTCCCGTAAAGACAAATTACGAGTTTCATTCTATCATTAAAAAAAAAAAATGGATAGTTAATATAAATCAACGATTCTATCCTTTTTTTTTTTTTTGTTTACCAGTAATACACCATTTTCTACAATTCGTTTGTCCACCTTGTCGATTTGAAGTTTCACCAATTGTTGTAACTGTTCATTCAGACGTAAGGCTTCCACCGCTGCAGCTCGATCTTGTGGAAATGTATCCACAGGTAAGAACTCCATATGCTGAAGTCCTAATAATGCATCCAGAACATCTACCACTTGATCAGAACCAGTGCCATTGTTGTCGTTGTGTTTGTCTTGATTGTCCACATCACTGTTACTGAAATTATAATTATTACTATTGTCATCATCTTGCTTGTCATTGCCGTCGTGCTGATCCTTGTCTATAATGGTATCGTTGTCGTTCAGTAATCCATCCAGAAAATCTTGGGCGGTCGGGGAAGATGGTGTGCTGTGAGATATTGTTGTTGTTAAGGTTGTATTTATTTGTTTTTGCTCCTCTTGTTCGGCATTATCGGTATCCTTGCTCTGAATAGATCGTTTAGAAGTCTTTTTCGGGGTAGATATCCTAGTTCTTTTTCTTGGTCGTTTCGATGATTGATGATCGTCATTATTGATCGTGGTTCCCTTGTCAATAGACTTGCTTGCAAGCAGCGTCTGTGATCTTGTAATCCTTTGAGTAGATTTTCTTTCCGTTGACCCTTGAGGCATGGTGTAACAAAGGCAGAATACAAAATAACGAAAAAAAAAAAAAAAAAAAAAAAAAAAAAAAAGAAAAAGCAAAAAGGTATGCAACGAGAAAAAAAAAAAAAGACAGCGGCAATTAAAATAGTCCTTATTTGAAACCACCTTCTCTACACAAACATACACATAATAAAATTGCATATCGGTTATATGCAGGTATTTTTTTTTGGGATAATGATAGAACAACGTTTATTTGTTGTAGATATGATGATGATTGTAATAAAAAAATATAAAAAAAAAATACATGATAAATGAGAAAAGAGAAAATGAATGATACATAAATATATAATTTTGGGTTTTCTAATCTAAAAAGGGAAGAATCACCAAAGCATCAATCAACCAAAGTAAGAGGACCAGGATGTAAAAGAGTAACACCTTTTTTATCATGACAATCAAAGTTCCAATCCCTCCAATTAGTTCCTTTGTTATGACATGGATAGCACATTGCACAAACAGACGTTCTAAAACCTTGACACATTTTTCGTCCTTGTTGTATATTGGCCAACATATCTTGCATAGTACCACCAATAGCACCAGGTTCACCAAAGTCACCAAAATGTTTTGCAATCATATCTTCTTCACAAGCATCGATCTGTTGAATCCGTCGATCATGAATTGGCCGAATATTGTAAGGAAAGAGCCAGATACCAAGATTTTGATCTTCGTTCTTCACAAACAAACGTGGTCCACCTACTCCAGTAATTAAACGAACAATATCACGGGAAACAATGTATAATGCACCAGCGGTATATGGTGGGAAAATTGGTAGAGGATAATTCATTTCATTATTCTTGTTGTCAGTATTTCGGATAGGTGGGATATTCCTATTTAAAAAAAAAAAAAAAAAATTCAATTCCATCTTCATCTGCACATATATATATATATATATTACCAATAAGCCAGTCCTTGCCAATAACCTTGTTGAGGTCCAATCGCTTTCAATTCCTTACTGATTGTATCCCATCGAACGAAAATATCATCATCGGTTTTGAGTAAATAATCAAATTGATATTGATCTGTCCATTCCATTGCACTATACACTTTTTGACTAAGATCTTCATACTTGTCGGATGTGTTGAGCATCAAAACATCATGATATTGTTGTATTTCTTGATCAATCAAAGGACCCATAGTAGTTCGTACTTGTTCAGTTGGTGGTTGGCCAATGACAAATTGTACAAAGAAAGTAACACCAGGTTGATCCTCTGCTTTGGGAATCAATTGCATCGTCGTTTCACGGAAGGTTTTGCGTTTTTCCAAACTTTTCGGAGTCCAAGCTGATAAAACGACCACCATCACACGTAAATTATCTTCATTCTTATTGTTCATCGATTGTTGTTCTTGTTGTTGAAATGCTGGATGGGGTTTGGCAATGATATCCATATGTATGGGTCCAGCAGTACTTCGCATTTGTCCAACTTGATATAACATGGCAAACATAGTCACAAACACCACTACTGTCAAAGGTAAGACCAATACACGCACTACAGTCGATTTGTAATGTAATTCTTCCCCACCTTTTCCCATCTTGAAATTATTTAATGACGATACTGTCGAAGAAGAAGAAGAGGTTGTTGCTTTGCCACGGTATTTCGAATCCATCGAAGTGGCTGCTGTCCATATCAACTTGAAAATGTTAGAAAAAAGTAGCACACCACAGATCACCATCCATGTCATCACAGGTTGATCAGGACCATAGATGCGATGAATCCAAATTGATAGTGTCCAATTGATTCCATTCAATATCACCAATCTTATCACAGCATTACTGACTTCATACTGATATAACCATCGTCGTACCATACTAGTTGTCAATATCCAGCTCCAATAACCTGCCAGTAAACACTGGATCACAAAAAAAAAAAAAGATAAAAAAAAAAAGGTTAATTGGTATGATAATTTGAAAAGAATACTTTCTTTTTTTTTACCCAAAGTATGGCCACACAGTATATTAATGGAGTGCTTTTCATGTTAAATAGATGAGTGGCATCATAAAGAGGAGGAGACCAAGCACGAGATAGATGATGAAGAAACCCAATGATAGCAGGAACAAGACACATGTATTGTAACAAAGAGATGGGCCAATGATACCTTCTTGGTACATTCAATGAAGAGAGTGAGAGTGCTCGCCGACGAAAAGACGGTAGATGAGGCTATAACAAAAAAGGTAAAGAAAGTGTGAGTAGTCAATAAACAATAAGATGATCCTCTTTCCATTGATCTCTTCCTATCTTTTTTTTTTCACCAAGCGCTAAAGGTACTACACTCTCAATCTATATTTACCGTTGCCATAATTGTGTTTTTATTTTGAGTTTCTGATTGCTGTTATTATTTATATTGTTAGTTTTATCGTCGTCGTCGTCGTCGTTGTTATTGTTGTTTAATAGTAGGAAGAATGCAGAAAGAACAAAAAGAAAGGAAGGAGAGAAGGAAGAAGAAAAAGAAGTCAAAATGAAGTACAGTTTGAAAATAAGCTCGATTGAAGTGCCGATGATAACTATATAGAGTATTGATCTAACAGTGATGATCATGATATTGAATATCTACAAATACTGTACATGCTTTGTATGGACCATTTTTCACAATTATTAAAAAAAAAATGATAGAATGCTTTATTCTGTAACCATAGTGAAGATAGATCATCGTAAAGATTGAATGTCAAAAGTAAAATCGAGAATAAAACAAAAGTCGATGCTAACTATAATAAAGAGGACGAACGATTATGATAGTAAAAATTGGTATGAATGAAGAATAGAAAAAAAAAATGTACAAAGGTAGACTATAATATTGAAAAAAAAGAGAGATGATCATGGTCGGTTGTTGGCAGCTTGTTCAAGTACCCTTCGTTCATATTCCTTTTTATTTTTCCTATTAGAAAAGAAAGAATATTAATAAAAGAATAGAAAAATATAAATAAAACAAAAATTTACTTGAAGAGGACATAGGCATCAGATTGAGCAGGACTTTCAGGATTAGGATCATTCAATAAATCTTGGATTCCAGTCAAAATCTATATTATAAAATTAGTTAATTACAATATATATATATATATATATCAATCATTTATAAACCTACTTGTTTCACAGTGATGGCAGGTTTCCAACCTTCGTCTTCATTTAAGATAGACAAACAAACTGTTCCAGAAGGATACACATTGGGATGAAAGAGTGCTGGAACAAACTTGCCTATATTAATAAAACAGTAGAAAGTGAGTATATATATATATATATTTACGCATAAATTTATTTTCATCTATTTACATTTTGGTGGTTTACTAGGATAATCTAAATAAAATAAATGAATGGTTATTAATAATAATGATTTTCCTTTTTTTTTTTACATATATACCTTCAGGAAACGTCAACACCAACTTGTATACCGCATTTTCCCAAGGAGTCTACAACCAAAAATAAGAATAAGTATACTTTTCCATTGAAATAATCATTTAATTTATTTACATTTTCTTTTCCAGGAATACCACAAGTCCATTGCATAAGATCTAAAGAATTATCAGCATTCTTTCCTGGTCTTGCCCAAAAACCCTATATAAAACAAAACAATTATTAGTCCAATCTACAAAATTAAGAGAAACAAATAGAACTTACATGAGGATGATCCTTACGCCATTGTTTGCGTTCTTCCATTAATCGACCTCGTGCAATTCCAGAACTCATGGTGTATGGTTGTATAATATTCTTTTTTTGTTGAAAATAATAAAAAAAAAAAAAAAAAAAAAAAAAGAGACCAGATTTGAAAGTCAGTCACACACAATAGGCACTTTCCATGAAGAAAAGAACAACATTTTAATTTGACAGTTTGTAGAAATAGATATCCAATCAACACTCTCTTTGAAAAAGATGAATATCATCTCTATAGATCATGAAGTAAAAAAAAAAAAAAAAGTACACATCATACTAAAGTATACAATATATATATATATAAAATGAATTCAAATAAAAATGTCTTTATTTAGATTTGGGAGGGGGAATAGAATAAACTACATAACAAAGGTGTGTATGATGATCACATATAACGATAAAACAAAAACAAAAAAAAGAAAAAGAGAGAGAGCTAGTCGTCATCTATAGTCATACAATTAAGCAGAAGAAACAGCAGCTTCTTGTTGTTGCTTTTGCTTGTATTCGTCAGACATACGGTAACTATAAACGAACATCAAGATAAAAAAAAAAAAAAAGATTTTAAGTCTCATATATACTTTCCTATTCATTCCTTTTTTTTTTTTTTTGTAACTTACTTCATGATACGACCCACTTGCATCAAACCAGTACCTGCTACAAATAAATTGACAGCAAACAATGGCCAATTCTTTGGGATAATAACAGTAGAATAACGAGTCCAAATAAGTCCAGTTGCAACCAAAGCTTTAAAGAAATAAGAAGAAAAAAATGTGAATATCATTTATATATATTATTTTCTTTACTTACATGTATTTTGTGCTAAACTCAAGTTTTCAGCAGGACGAGCGAGATCACCAATACCAGCAATGACAAGAGCCTAAAAGAAAAGAAAAAGAAGGTTAGTCCATTAGTTTTTTTTTCCTCTAGTTTATTCTTTTACCCATTTCATAGCAGGAGCCCAAAAATGAATGGTTTTTGGACCAGCAGGAGAGTTGATGAACCTTTGAAGAGCAGATTGTGAAGCAGTTGCAGTAGCCATATCTATATATCTATTCTATTCTTTGTAAGTCTAATAAAAAAGAAAAGAAAAAAAAAGGAGAAAAAGGAAAAAGGGAAAAAAAGATTGGGGACTCTTTCAAAAAAAAAAAAAAAAAAATTTAAGATGTCTAGCTTTCGAAAGCCCGCAGACAAACCCCATCCGGGTCGAATCTACTCAAAAGTGGGAATACAAAAAAAGGGAATCTCCACAGAAAATCATATTCCTTCTCTTTTTTAGCTCCACTGTACGTAACTATCACCTTTTAACACAATTTAAACGATCATCCATACATCAATCATTATTACAAAACTACACTATCACAATGACTTTTTTTTTTGAAATAGAAAGATATCACGATGATAACGATTTTGATAATAATGGATAGATGGATGGATGAATATTATTAATAGAAAAAAGAATTTACTGACTTTTTTTTTCTTCTTTTTTTGATCTTACATTTTTATAGAACAATATGTCTCGTGTTCCTTCTGGTACGTAATAAATCATTATAACTTCTTTTTATTATTATGATCGAATTCATGATTTCTTATCCCTTCCTCTTTTTTTTTTTTTTTATAGTCCTTAGCCCTACCGAAGAAGACATCCAACTCTTGTTGAGCGCTCAATGCCATATTGGTGCCAAGAATGTTAACACCCGTATGACTCCTTACGTCTATAAGCGTCGTGCTGATGGTAAGTGAACCAAAAAGAAAGAGATTATAGAATAGAAAAGGGAAGAAAAAGTATTAATTCTTCATTCTTCTTTTTTTTTTTTAAAAAAAAAAAAAAAAAATAGGTGTCAACTTGATCAACCTCGGCAAAACCTGGGAAAAGCTTATTTTCGCTGCTCGTGTGATTGCTGCTATTGAAAACCCCAAGGATATTGTTGTGATCTCTGCTCGTCCTTACGGTCACCGTGCTGCTTTGAAGTTTGCCAAGTACATTGGTGCCGAAGCCATTGTTGGTCGTTTCACTCCTGGTACCTTCACCAATTACATTACTCGTTCTTTCCGTGAACCTCGTTTGGTGATCTGTACTGATCCTCGTACTGATTTCCAAGCCATCAAGGAAGCCTCTTATGTCAACATCCCTGTTATTTCTTTGGCCGATACTGATGCTTTGCTCCAATACGTTGATGTTGTCATCCCCACCAACAACAAGGGTAAGCATGCTCTTGGTTTGATCTACTGGTTGTTGGCTCGTGCTGTCCTCCGTCTCCGTGGTTCTCTTGACTACACTACTCCTTGGGATGTCATGGTTGATATGTTCTTCTACCGTGATCCTGAAGAAATCGAAAAGGAACAAGAAGCTGCTGCTTTCGAAGAATCTGGTGAATTCAATGCCGAACTCGCTACCGCTGAATGGGGTGTGGAAGGTGCTGCTGCTGAAGGTGTTGCTGGTATCGCTGCTGCTGCTGACTGGAACGCTCAAGCTGCCTCTTCTGACTGGGCTGATGATGCCGCTGCTCCTTCTTCTTGGGAAGCTTAGATGGATGATCTCTACTTTAGATATATCATCTAATATGCATAATTTCATTCCATCTTTCTTTTTTCCTCATTTACTTAGTCTATTAGTATAATTTTATTGTAGACGAAATAAAAATTGATCCTTTCGAATCTCTTTTTTTTTTTTAAATTAGATACAATTATATGACCACTCTTAAGGAAAATGATCATCCTTAGTTTTATCTTTATATTATTATTTCCAAGTAATCATCAAGTCTTTTTATCAAGTTATTTTATTATTTGATTACCATCAACCAATGATCAATTTTCAATACATCTGTTTCCGTTCTTGGATTCAATCTTTTATTACTTTTTTATTTTAGTAATCTACAGCTGGTGCTCACTACAAGTCAATCATCACCACTATTAACAATATAGTAGCATCATCCTTACGTTTTACAAGTCATCCATCGCCTAAAATTACTGTTAGGATGAAATTGTTGGATTGTGTGTAGATAAAATAAAATAAAATAAAATAAAAGATATGAGACTAGTAATAAGTTCAGTGAGATTCTCCTTAGTTTTTTTTTTTTTTTTTATTTAAAATAAAAAGAAAAAAAGTTGATTATTATATCTACACTTGAAAAGTTTTTATCTCTTTTATATCTGTTTTGAAAATAAAATTGTAATCATCATATGTTATTAAATACAATGTATACTCTTTGTTGGTACATTTGATTAGTTTGAACGATATTCATGATTTATTCCTATGATGATTATTATATGGCTCAGGGAAAATTAGATTAAGAGTAGAATAAATTTCAAAGTCCCTTTTTCTATTTTATTTTTTTCTTTTTCATTTTTCTTTCTTTTTCTCTTCCATTGACTTTTCTTTTTATGGTTTTATTGTATACATTAGTGTAGTCGTTTACACATTTTTTTTTATTCAATAAAGTTTTTATTTTATTACAATTATTTTTATTACATATCAATGGTGTCATTTCCATCTACAAGATGTATTATATTTATGAATGCATTCTTTTTATTTTTTTTATTATACGCTTACAGGTACAAAATACGCTGATACGACAGAAATCATCCTTCAAATAAGCTGTACAATCTTGATTACAACATTTATTTTTTATTCTTCAACTTCTTTTCTTTTCTTGGACATTGTTTGATAATTTTCAAACACTGGATTTTTTTCTAGTGTTTGAAAAAATGTCAAACTTTATTTTTTTTATTATATATATATATATATATATCTCCATCCTCTCTCCCTTTATTATATTTTAATCAATAAAAGATTATATAATCATCTTGGCCACTCTTACGGAATCAATCATCCTAAGTTTTATATTTATTATTTTATTATCAAGTTATATTCAAGTTATTATATTATTTTATTTGATCATCATCAAATGTGATCATTACAAGATATCTATATTTTGAATCAAGTTATAAATCATCATATATTATATTTTGTTTTTTTTTTTTTTTTTTTTATAAAAGAACTGGTGCTCACTACGATCAATCATCATCAATATCATCATATTGATAATATCATCTACATTTTTTATAAATCAATCATCTACTCAAGAAACAAAAAAAAAAAAAAAAAAAAAAAAAAAAAAAAAAAAAACTAACACGTAACAGACACTCTGACTGTAACCATACTAAAGATAGCCTTGTCTCAATTCTAAGTGGAAAAAGGGTTAAAAAATCTAAAAATAGAAGGAGCGAGGGGGATTCGAACCCCCGACCTGCGGATCTGCAATCCGATGCGCTGCCATTACGCCACCGCTCCTTCGTTGCGTCTTGAACTGACTATTACATTATGAATCTCAAGCCAATTTTTGCGAAAATTTATTCAAAATGTATTCAAATTCACACACTTAAGGCGTTGGGGAATAAACTTGAATGATTTATTTGTGTTGTGCCAAAGGGTAAACTTTCAAGCTATATCATTGGATGAATAACAGCCAGTTGATCATCATTGAGGCTGCGACCCCTTGGGATTACCAAAAATGGACAATTTCACCAAAAGGTCGAAATAATAACAACAACAAAAAAAAAAAAAAAAAAAAAAGGAAAATAGTAAACGTGAATTTTTATTCAATGAGTGGATAAATATATAAAATAATAAATAATAACAGTAGTATAAAATAAAATAAAGAAAAAGGTAGACATAAATAAAAGTACTAATCTAATGATCAAGGATAATGATTGTTTGTTATTCCCCCATTCGCACCATCAGTACAATTTTGACATTGTAAATACCGCCACAACTACACTGCAGTGCTGTAAATACATGTCGACCAGTAACAAGTCTACTAGAAAAGAGAAAAAAAAGAAAGAGAAAAGGGAGAAGTAAAATGAAGCGATCATCATAAGAAACTAAAAAAAAAAAAAAAAAAAAAAAAAAAAAAAAAAGAGAAGAGTGAATGAGAATGTCTAAGTATGCATCTGTTTTACATTGACTTACTTTTGCACCAAATAAATCTATCTATTCGTTACACCATTATTTTACTTTTCCAACAGGCTTTTACTCTAGATCCATTCTGTCAAATGTTGTTGTATTTATCTTACTGATTTGTGTTATCAATCCATCTCGGCCATTCTTGTTTCTAGTCGCATTAAATCGCATTCTATCAACATGAGTAAGCACATCAGAAAAAAAAAATGAAAGGAAGAAAGAAAGATAGTAAAAAAAAAAAAAATAAGTAGTAGTAGTGGAAAAAGAAAAAAAGATGTAAGAAATTAAAAAAAAGAAGAAAGAGGTAGTTTCAACTGAGTTCAAAGATATACATAGGAATATGAACATATCTTAAAAAAAAAATTCCTATGAAGAAGGTTAAAAAAAAAAAAAAAAGGAAGATATAGAATGGTGTTCTAGAATAGTCTAAACTTATCATCAGAAAGATATTGTTGGAAACATCTAAAAAACAGAGAAGGTATCTTATGAGTCTTGATGATAAATATATAGTAAAGAACATTGGTTCCAAAGACAAATGTATATATGATTATCATGAATTTGCTTTTTTTTTTAAAGTAATAATAATAGGATATATGTATGATTGTACTAACAGGGATGTGATATCAATTGTTGCTAGTCAGGTAATAAAGAATACAGTATGATTTCCCAGCATTACAAAAAAGAGAGAACCAAAAAAAAAAAAAAGGATCAACGTTTAAGGAAAAAGATAGGACAATCCACGTATCTGGAATGTTATATGTATAATTCCAATCATCGTTGCTATCATAATTCTTTATTTATTTTTAGATATGAAATCATACTTCTTTCAACTCTTTTTTTTTTTTTTTTTTACTCTTCCTCATATATATATAATACATCTTGTTGCATTCGATTCGTTTAGTGTAGAAAGAAAGAAAGAAAGAAAGAAAAAAAGATGACGTTATTACGGTATATATTATTACTGTATATACTGATATGTATGATGACAACGATGATCACCATGGTGACAGCGGGCAAAATTAAAAAAAAAGTAGGACCTAATGATGAACAAGTCACAAAAGAGAAACGAGAAAAAGAGGAGAAAAGAGGGATAGGTCAACGATTCACGGTCCAATTCCGATCACCAGTTGAAAATAAGGCGGAAGTTCAGGCTGATCAAAAAGCATTTTTAGAATACTTGCAACAACATAACATCAATGTGACAGTACGTTACAAGTTTACGGATATTATGAATGGTATGTCAGTACAATTGGTACCGTCGCCATCCATGGATATGGAGGAAGATCTTGATGTGATCAGTGATATGATCAATAGCAACGGTGATATCATTTTTGGAGGAGAGGAACAAAGAAACATGACAAAACAACAAGATTTCCATCCTTCACAGGGAAATGATGCACTCATCCCTGATCGTCGTCGTCCTGCTGCTTTTTTAGCTCAGACATTGAAAAGTTGTCCTTATATTTCTCGGTATTGGCCAGGAAAAAGATATGCTCGTCCTAATGTGATGCGATCTTCCATGATCAATTATTATTATCACACATATCCTCATGGGAATGGATCCATCATCACCAATCCACAAAATGATTCTTTCCATGGTGATGATAATGGTGAGAGTCAGGCATTCAAGTACTCCGATTCAGGTACGCCTAATTTGAATTATGCTCATTCAATGACTGGTGTAGACAAGGCAAGAAAGGCTGGCTTTACTGGAAAAGGCATCAAAATCGCCATCCTTGATTCCGGTGTGGATTATATGCATCCATCTTTGGGTGGTTGTTTTGGAGTAAGTCTTAAAAAAAATTGTCTATTGATTTATACTCATCTATTTTTTTTAAAAAAAAAAAAGGAAAACTGTCTTGTACGTTATGGTTATGATCTTGTAGGAGATAACTATGGAGGCAAGTAAAAAAGAAAAACCATAATGTTGTATATGAATAGAAACAATTCAATTATTTTGTATTCTTTTTTTTTTTCTCTTCTTTCGGTTATGACAGCTTTAACCGACACAGCTCCCGATAATGATCCAAGGTAAAGGAAATGAATATAAAATAAATAAATAAATCCAAATGGGTTAATTCCGCTTTTCTTTTCATTTCTCAACTTTTTTTTTTTATTTTTTTTTTTGGTACCCAGAGATGTATGTGACGGTCATGGAACTCATGTTGCTGGTATCATAGCTGCCACTGACACTGTCAAGGTAAGTAAAGACAAGAATAGATTTGAAAAGATCGTGTTATGGAGTTTTTTTTTTTTATTTCCTTTCAATCCATAGGGATTTCAAGGTGTTGCCCCTAATGTTACTCTTGGTGCTTGGAGGTAATTGGAACACTATTTTTATTTTTATTATTATTATAAAGATGGACTCATTATCAAATAATCTAAACTTTTCATTTATTTATTGTAGAATCTTTGGATGTCGAGGAGACACAGATGACGATATTATTCTGGCTGCTGCGTAAGAACAATACAAAGTAAAGTGAAAGCGACAAAACTCAATTACTCCTCTCTTTCTTTTTTAGTGACATGGCGGTCAATGCTGGTATGGATGTGATTAACTTATCCTTAGGTGGAGGCGTTAGTGCTTGGGGAGAAGTAAGTGTGTTACTCATAGAAAGAAGTGGCGTGTTTAATATTAGATCCTATTTATTATTTAGGAAGCACTGGCAGTGGCACTCTCAAATTTGGCTGAAAAAGGTGTCATTGTGGTCGTTGCACAAGGGAATGAAGGAAGAGATGGTAAGAAAACGAATCAAAAAAAAAAAAAAAAAGGTTAAATAATTCATATTATGGATTTTTTTTTTTTTTGTATTTGGCATGATAGGTATTGCTCGAACTCCTTCTCCTGCTATTGGTGAACACGTTATTGCAGTTGGTTCAGTGGACAATATTAGCAAACCTGGTCATGTGTTACGACTGTATCGAAAAGGAAAAGAACTTGGTAGTTATGGTAAAAAAAAAAAAAAAAAAAAAAAAAAGAATCATTAGGTCAAAGAAAAAAAAAAAAAAAAAAACTGATGATCTTACTAACCATTTTCCTTTCTTTAGAATATTATTTAACGGATGGAGTACAATTCTCATTGAATGGAACGGAAACAGAATTCACAACATTAGTACCACGGCACAAACACAAGAAAAACCACACAATGGGCAATAGTGGAACTGGCTGTGAACCAATCATGCAAGATATCGTCAACAAAATTGTGCTAGTGAAACGAGGTGGTTGCGATTTTGGACAAAAAGCGATGCAGGTGCAAAATGCGGGCGGTGCAGGAATCTTGATCTATAATAGCAAAAAGGAAGATGATCCTGTAACCATTGATCTGCATCGATATTCTCGTGTTACTATTCCAGTTGCTTCTCTTAGTGCTCAAGATGGTTTATCTCTTTTACGTTTATATTATGGTGCGAATGATACTACTCAAATGACTATGAAATTCCTATCTGAAATACTGCCTACAAGAAATGCTGGTCTCATGTCTTTGTAAGTAAATTTGAATATAATGAAAAAGATAGTTTCTGATCTTTTATATATACATATATATATGTATATCTATATATTTAGATTCTCTACTTGGGGTCCGGATCCTGAAGTAAGTTTGACAATAAATGATAAGGAAAAGAAGAATGACTGACCATCTCTCTCTCTCCTTTTTTTTTTTTTTTTTTTTGTTTAGTTACATTTGAAACCTGATATTGTTGGAGTTGGAGGATATATGTATTCAACTTTTCCAGTAGCTTTGGGTGGATATTCTACTATGAGTGGAACAAGTATGGCAACGGTAAGAATATGATTAGTAATGATAAAAAAAAAAATGAAATGACTGATTTAATGAGTTTGACTATTTTATAGCCCTATATCAGTGGTTGTATTGCTTTGATGATGGAAGCTACTGGGAAAAAATCACCAGAAACTATTATTAGTCAACTGTTGAATTATGCAAAACCTATTCCTTCAATAGTAGATTCTACTTTTATGGAATCATTGGCAAAACAAGGTGCTGGTTTAGTTCAGGTAACAGAGGGAAGATACAGAAAAAAAGAAAAAGGGAAAAAATAATCTGAAAAAGTGATTTTAGGTTATCCGTGGGAAATGCCTGAAAAAAGGAATAAGATGGGAAAAAAATTTTTTTATGTCTATTCATAATCTTATTATCATTATAGGTATATGATTCCATTCTGGCTTCTACAAGTGTATATCCATACAAGCTCCCTTTAAATGATACTGCACATTTTCGCGAATCGACTGAATTAACGATAGAAAATTTATCCAATTTTACTAAGATTTATCATTTGGAACATGTGCCGTCCGTAGGCATTGCAGGCAAGTAAAATACCAAAAAAAAAAAAAAAAAAGGTATTGATCACTTATATATATATTTTGAATAACAATAGGATATGATTTCAAGAAAAGTGCGGTGCCGTTACCAAGAGGAAAATATAAAATAGCGGAAAGCAAGGTTCGCTTTGAATCCGAATCCATTATACTGAAAGCCCATGAAACAAGGAACATCACGGTTCATTTTGAACAACCTCCTCCTCTTCAGAAAAGTAATGATGGCAATCCTGTATCTCCTATAGTATATGGTGGCTTTATTCATTTACGTCCAGTGGCAGGTGATGATCATCCAATTCAAGATTCAAAGTCAATTCATATTCCATATTTTGGTGTACTTGGAAATCAAAGCGATCTTCCTTTATTTGATAGAAAGGTATATCAATATGTGAACCATCTAATGTAAAAACACTGATTTATCCTTTTTTTTTAATATATATATATATATATATATATATAGTCAGGATATCCATATATTGGGAATGCTCCACCGACATATAAATCATCAGCCAAACTACCAGTTATTCCAGCAGTGATCCCAGCATATAACTTTTCCAAGAATGACAAATTACATTTATACGTACGACTTGGTAGTCCTACGGCATTATTGAAATGTGAATTGATCAAGGATGACAAAGTAGTTGGATATGTATCTCGATTCCATAATGCATGGGTACCCCGAAATGATAATAGTCGTGATAATTATGATTACTCCATTAATTGGAATGGACATGTAGCCATGGATTTTCGACATAGTTTATCATCATCATCACCACCAACCAATTCAAGAGGGCCATTATTACCATCTATTAAGACATATCCAGCCAATCCAGGTGTATACCATTTAAAATTATCAGCACTCAAAGTATTTGGAAATGCAGATCTACCGGAAGATTGGGAAACTTGGAGTTCACATGAATTCACCATACTAGGATAGAATAGGGAAAATATTTGTTTTATGATCGATTGAAATAAAAAAAAAACCCTTTTTTTTTTATATATATATGAAATCCCGAATGGTTCCAACTTTCCATTTTAACATTTTTGGAATAGATCCTTTTTTTTTTTGTGTTTCCCATATTTGGCACGCTCATTGTCATACTCTCCAGTTTTTTTTTTTTTTTTTTTTTATGACTCCGCGTTTCCATCTTTTTTATTTTTCTCCCACCAAAAAATAACAAAATAAGATTCCCCTTGTTCTCTTTCTCTTACATTCACTCTTTCCCCGCTCTTTTTTTTTTCTTCTTATTGTCTTTCTTTTATCTTTATCATTCTCTTCCCTATATCCTTTTTTTTTTTCTATACAAGGTCAACTTATATTGAAACCAGTTCCACAACAAACGAATATATCAACTTTTATTATTATTAGTCGATGAAACGATAAGTGGACGAACAAAAGGGGGAAAAATTATTATTATTATTATTATTATTTATTATTTGTTATATCTTGAACGACTAACTATATCCGTGGAATAAAAACAACAATGGCACAGCTTTCAGCTTATGGGGTACGAGTGATTGATAGAATTAATATGATTGGCATGTGGTTAGCCGTCCTTGTATGTATACGAAATTTTATTGTTTGTTATCGACAATATAAACGTACTCGAGGGAAAATGTAAGACATGAAAAAATTATAATAATAATATTTAAAAAAAAAAAAGAAAACTAAGATGACTAACTTTTCCTCTATATATATAGTCATCTCGTCAATATTGCTCAAGTGGTTGTCTTTTTGATATATCGATTCCTTTATGGTCTCATTCCTTTATTTGAAATCACAACTTGTGCTTATTATCCTCTACTTGTATCGTAAGTTAATATAAATATATATATATATATCTATAGATGTATATATATGGAACTCATACTCGTTTTTTTATTTTTAAAAATAGATTATGGCATTTGGATTATCTTTTATTTTATGCTGGTAAAAAGAAAAAGACGAAAGAAGTAAAAGAAATGTATCATTTCATCATCATCCATCAACTCTTGCTAGCCCCTGTATTGCTTCATTGACATCTTTTCTTATAATCTATTAATAGTGATGTTTCTCCGGTTACTTATATTGGAATCTGACAAAAATTCTCTATGGATCAAAATAGTGGGAATTGCGTTGATCGCACTTCGGTTTGCTGATTGGCCTTATGAATTAGCATTTTTACCTGTTGAACAAACACTCATTAATGCTTCGGATGCAGGTACCACTTGTTGGGCTATTTGGTAAAGTAGAACATATATAAAATAATGTATCATGTGGGGAAAGGGGATTTTCCCCCGGATTATTAACTTTTTTTTTTTTTCTAAGGGCGAATGGTGTGATCATATTGAATTTCATTGGTGATGCATTAGCCAATTTATTTCTCAGTGGTATGTTTGTTCGCAGGTAAGAAATAATAATAAAAAATTTTAAAAAAGTGAAACGAAATCTCACCAATCAATCTTTCTTATTTTAGACTTTATGGTCATATTCGTCGATCAAGAAAAGTGATGAGCCATCACAATTGTGTCATTGAATATATTGCAAGGAAATCATTAATCTGTTTGGCTTTAACATTCGTGGTGAATCTTATTATGAATTTATTCAAAGTGACAATGTTTTTAGGTGATCGATCTGATGTAAGTAAATAATGATTTATTTTTTAAAAATGACTACTAATCAATTGTTTTTTTTATTAGGCTTTTACTGTATATTTTGCCATTATTGAATCAACTTTACTTGTCGAAGCTTTACGAGTGGATCATCCTGGTATTCGTGATCAATCATCATGTCATCAATGTGCCCATTCGGATTATACTGATTTACCTATCGATCGACCAAGAAAGAACAGCAGTAAGAAAAAGGATGATGATAATGATGATGATGATCAAAAACACAACAACAACAAAAATAACAACAACAACAGTGAGCACCGTGGTCCAACTATATTTAACTATGGAAAGAATGATCATTTAGCTCTTGAAATGACACCAACACGAGCCACAACATCTTTACCGAAATCATTCTCACTAGTCAACAAAAATTTGTATCAGTATTATTCACCTACTTCATCACAGCATTCATATCATCATCATCACCCTGCTCTTAAATCCATCCATACTGTACAACAAACATCATCTGCTCCACCGTTTGTAGCCCCTGTAAGACCTGTTGTACGTTCAAGTGGTGAAATCGAAGCTGTACCTATTGTATCTCTCGGTTCTATCGAATTGGCGGAATCTATCAAGTTGACTCGTTCTGACAAGCGGGACTAGAAGAACACAATCTTTTTTTTTTTTTTATTATTTCCCAACTTGTTCCTCCAATAACATACACACACATATATTCAAATACCTTATTCTCATTTTTATTATTATTTTATTACTAGTCTTATTTGTAGATATATATTTCATCTTTATGCTTTTATTTGTATTACTTATTCTTCATCCAATGTAAACTGTTCTTTCTTTTTGTATCCATAATAAACATCTTTTTTTCTTTTTCTATTGATGATCTTTATCTTCTACTTTCAGTTCTTCCAAAAAAGGAATTGATATGAACAATCACAAAAAAAAAAAAAAAAAAAAAGATAAATAGATAACAATTTTTATTTTATTTCGATAGGTAACATATAAATATATATAAACATTATTATCTACAAAATGAATAAATTATACTAGGAAGAAGACATTTCCAAGGTGATTTTCTCCAAAACAATGGCCTGAACTTGATCCAAAATCAAAGGCAAACGATCCATGTCCATCTGTACGACTTGAAAAGTGGGCTGAGCTTGTTGTTGACGTTGATGATGAATGGCCAATAGTTGATCTTGCCAAGCACGCATTCTATCTAGTATTACATTGTCATCGGTTTGTGTTGAAAAACGACGACTTTGTTGTACCAATTCTTGATGTTTTGTTGGATCTGCCACTGTCAATAATAACGGTACCACAATTGCCTGTTGTTTTTGTCCATGTTGTTGTATGAGATATTCGTATAATCTATCCAATAAACCATGATCCACAAGATCGCCTTCAATAATCACTGATTTTCCATCAGCAATGGATTTACATACGTCTGTATCAAGTCCTGAAATGAAACAAATCCATTTAGTCTTTCAGTATCTTCTTTTTTTTTTTTTTTTTTTTTTTTTTTTTTTTTAAAAAACTTACCTTTACATACCAATTGACATTCTTTGGTCATTCTACGTAAAAAAGTATTACGATCTCCATTCATATTCCATAATCTTGGTGGCGTTGTTCCTCTATAAATAAATAAATAAATTTAGAAACCAGATCAACAAAGTATAATTAAGAAACTTTACTCGATAATAGTATGCATTAAATCATAAATCACATCCGTTTTCAAGACAGAAGATAAATTAAGTCGTTCAGATAATCGAGTTGCCATAGTAGATTTGCCTGTTAAACTTGTACCAGCCAATAAAATAACAAGAGGAATACGTTGATGATGAAAACTAGACAAAAAAAAAAAAAATAATTAATGAAAAATTCGTTCTATTTTTTTTTTTCTTTTTATTACCTTGACATGGTTTGATACCATTGAATATGCATAGCACCATAACCATGTTGTTTAATCAAATCAAACAATTCCCTTTCAAGATTCTGTTGAGAGACATCCAAACAACCTTTATCGACTAAACGTTTCTTCAGATCCAAAGCAATACGAAGGGCATGAACATAATTAATTTGAGCGGCAGTCAACATACGACAAAGAATAAATCGAGAAAGGACATAATAATGTTGTTCAGAAAGATGGACACGGACTTTGACAAAATCATACTTTGATGCCGAGTTTTTTTGACTCGTAAGACCCTTTTCATACATTATGCATCATGAAGCGAAAAGTTTTTTTTTAAAAAAAAAGAAAAAAAAATGGGTGGAAGAGAGGGAGGCAGGAGAATTTTTTTTTAGGAGTCAAAAGAACTTTTTTTTTTTTTTTTTTTTTATCATCGAGTTTCAATCACCGATTTCCGTTCTTGACACTATCCCCTTACAGTTTGACTCATGCAAGAAACGTTTTTTTCATTTAAAATAGTAATCTTTTTTCTATTTATATTTATCTTTTTTCTTTTTTATCTCTTCTTCTTCTTCAAATAAAAAAAAAAAAAAGAAATGATTGATAAATACTCTTCTTTTCAATCTCATTTACCTGATCATAGACGAGCATCAGCACCTATTCGACATGGATTTAATCAACAACAAGAAAAGAGACATAATAGTGTTGATTATTATTCAAATCAACCGTATCGATTATCTATTGCAGAACGATTTATGTCATCAAAACAAGATTATTGGAATTATCCTTCAAATGTCAAGATCAATATAGATGATCAAATATCAATGGATTCGAGTCCTGTTCATCCTCATTCATTAGGTATGTATTTACTTTTTTTTTTTTTAAACGCCCAACTTTTTTTTTTTATGAACTTTACCACCCCTTTCTTTTTTTTTTTTTTACTTGTTGATGATGGATTCAAAAGTAAGGAGAAGGGAACCAAAGGATGATCATTTATATACGCACATCTATAAAAATTCCAATGCCGATTCACCCTTTATTTTTTTTTCTTCTCTTTTACTTTTTATTATTATTATTATTATTATAGTCAGGCCAGACGAAGTACCAAATGAAACTGATACGTCCTTTACTCTTCATCAAAAAAACGATACTGATACCCCATTGAAATATACCACTCGAAAATCGCAATGCTCAACTCAAAAGACGAAAAGAAATTATTCTCAGGATGTTTCAGTACAAACAACTGTCGTTCATAATAAAAAGTCAAGTTCAACCATCAGTACAACAACAGAACAAAAAAAAAGTAATCAAGTGGAAAATAATAATAACAACAACAAGACAGACCAATCGACATGTTGTCATCGTGGGTTTTTATTATTATGTGTGTTCTTTTTTATCTTGGTATTTGGTATTGTCCTCTTCTTGATATGGCCACGAGTACCGTTATTCCGGATAGAAGGGGCTAGTTTGGTAACACCTGTGGAAATAGTACAAACACGACAAGGTTGGATGGAAAATGTGATGTTTACGACTCGTTGGCTGGTGAATGTGACAGTGGACAATCGACAAAACTATATTCCAACACGATTAAACAAGGTTGAAGTGATTGTCAAGGATGCATTGACCAATGCTTTGATTGGTAAAGGTGCAAGAAATAATAATAGTGACGACAATGCAACAATGATGGATGTGGTGCTGATAGATGATATTTCAACCGTCTCTTTTTTGGTCAATGTGAACTATCAAGCTCGTGATACGTCTGATACTACCTTTTTGGACTTGACTCATGCATGCCATCGTACTGTCAATTCCTCTCCTTCCTTACCACTTCATTTTTGGTTTACCTTGTATATGTTTGGTTTTGACTGGTTGGGCTTTACTCCTACGATCATCGCTACTCCTGCTTCTAGTGGTTTCATTTGTCCAATATGATTCTCTTTATTATTTTAGTTTGGCTATTGTTATACTTGTTTTGGTAGATAGGTTGATTTACCTGCATCTCTCTCTCTCTCTCTGTGTTACACCTATTTACTAAAAAATAAAGATAAAAGGAACACCCTTTTTTTTTCATTGTCCTTTGTGATCATTGTCTCCTTTCTTTTTCCAATTTGTCTTTCTTTCTATATATATAGATTTATTCGTCTCTCTCTCTTTTTTTTTTTTTATAAATTGATTTGGTGGAAATGGAAACATGGCATTGGTGGCTAATCGGGATTATAATAGTGATCATGCTTGTAGTAATATGTTTCTGCTTTTGGTATTATAGACGTCGTTCTATTACCAAACAATCTGAGCAAAACAAAAAAAATACCAATGATAACAATAATAATGATGATGGTCAAGAAGAAAAAATCATCTATCCTATAACCAATACACCTACGAGTACTGATACAACATCATCACCTAAAAGAATGATGTCTTCTCGTACTTTGATGAATCCTCATTTTCTTACCGAACTTTCAGCTCCACCTATTCAATTCTTTTTAGGACGAAAAGAACAACGATGGATTCCTCCTCGACCATCATCATCAGAAACAATAGATATTCCCCCACTTTCCTTGTCTCCCTTTTTAAGTCGAAGATCCTCTGGTTCAGATCCACAGTCTCGTAGTCCATCACCTATTCTTTCCAAACTCACTTGGTCATCACGAAAACGCAATGATTCATAAATATGATTGTTTTTACTATCACCATATATGTCCATCTTCTTTTTTTTTTTTTTCCTGTCCTTCAGGTCTTTCCTCGCTTTTTTTTTTTTTGTCATACTATTATAATCAACCAAGGGATTAAATTAACAAAAATCTGAAACATATATATATATCTACCCCATTCATAAAAAAAACCTTCAAAAGAAAAGAAAAAATAATAATTTTTGTTTGATTTTTATTTCCTTTTTGATACAGATTGACGACTTTTTTTTTTTTAATAAATCATGCTTGACAACGCAATGGGACGTGATGGTGTAAGAAATAATGGACGTTCTAATTGTCGATGGATGGCTACTCGTCAAGTGTGGTCAGAATATCAAAGGATGCAGAATACAGCTACGGAGTATGAACGAAAACATGTTTATCGAATAGAATGTCGTGAATGCAATACTATTTTGACGGATCGTGGCATGAATGTAAATAATAATAATAATAATAATTTTATATTTTTGAACAAAGTTATGTATTCACATGTTATTAGGCTGTACTTCTTTCGGATAGATCTATTGAACTCTTCTCCACTGATTTATTACCTGATACGTAAGATTCATTTTTCTTTTTATAGTGTAAATATTCATTTTTTTTTTTATGATCAAAAAAGTATTGGACTTGTAGAAGGAGATTATTCTGCAGTGGCCTGTACATGTCGAGTTCGTGATACAGCATGTTATCAATGGTAAGTATAAAGAATCAAACTGATATCTTTTTTAATTGATTTATTTCAATATATAGTGGAAATATAGTAGGATATCATGTTAATGTACCATGTAAATTATGTTTGAGTCAACCGAATAATGGACATTTTTGGATGTTTCGGAGTGTTGCAGTCAAAGCAAGAACCATCTTTATTCAATGTAAAAAAAAAAAAAAAAAAAAAAAAAAATCCCTTGAAAAAAAAAAAAAAAAAGTGATAAACCAATGATTTTTTTTTTTATTTAGTGACGGGTGATAGTAAATATCGTGATTTACCATTGATGTGGGGATTTGTTCATTCAGCCGGGGAATTTGAAGGAAGATACTTTAAATCAGGAGATTCATTGGCTGCTCATGAATCCTGTCGATTATCAGTTAAATTAACTTCTAATATTCCATTATTTGTTCGACAACCAGAAACAAAACGTGTACCAGCTAGATCAAGAGAAGGGGAAGTACCTGATATGTATTTAAATATGTGTAGATGATTTTTTTGAAAAAAATAAAAATAGACAATTTGCATATTTTCGGTATTTCAACCTATCCTCAACATTTTTTTTATTCTTTCATCTTTTTTTTTTTCTTGTTTCCTTTCTTTTTTATTCTTTTCCTTTTTTCGATATATTAGAAAATATGTATTCGACCATCTTACCTTACAACCCCCTTTTTCTATCCATTTTTTCTTTTTCTTTTTTTCTTTTGTTTTTCTCTTTCTCTTTATTTATGTCATTCCATCTTTAAATACTCATGTTATTACAAGTTCACTCTATCAATCAAGTCAAAAAGTATTGGCTTTATCTACTCTCCAGTTCTATCATGATACTACTTTTATATATGACTTTTACAACATCTCATTTATCAATAATATCTCAACATACCAATGACAACAAACTATCTCCTTCCCTTGTCGCTGCAGCTCATGGCACGGATGATCCTTTTTCAGTTTGGTACCCTATTGAAACAGCACTATTAGAATTGTTTCCCAAGGAAGCGTATACTATGATATTTGATCTCAACAATACAAACCACCAGCAAAAACAACAACTACAACATACACGTGGATCATTAATGTATAGATTATTTCATTGGTTTTCTCAAACACCAGAACGTCTTTCATTCTCATGGGCTTCTTACTATCAATTATTTCCCTCAAGTCAACAACTACAACTCGACCAAAACGACGAATATGATGATGATTTTGATACCACTTCTTCACACCCTTGTCATGGTCTTTCATTACCATATCCTATCATTCGCCATCTAGTCAAACAAAGTTTACAGTTGAATGAATCAAAGGCTCATATTCGATTATTTGACGACGACGATGACAGTGACATACATCCCTATCTACTGCCAGATCTCTCTACTCCATTTGTATTACTTCCATTTGATCCTAGATATCATTCCATTGCACATGATCAACCCATCTGTATACGCGCCATCATTCCTCCAGCCGTGTTGACAAAGCATCCTACTTCACCTTTCCATTATCGATACCAACCTTATCCAGCTTCAACAAACATCATCCTTGTCAATGGGACAGAACAACAGCAAGAGCAAACAGTAACAGTGGAACTTCCAATGTGGTGGGATATGATGCAAATCTCTGCACGCCATCTTCAGACAAATGCAACAGTTCCTCTCGATTTGATACCTTGGCAAGGTCACCATAAACTCCGTGAAGGTTATCAAAAAAAATGGTTTGAACATGCCAACAATGTGCCTGATTGGTCTCGCAAGATGATGGAAGAAATGGATGAACGTCACTGGATACATGTGTATGAAGCTGGTGTAGAACTTCCTGATCCTGGTCATTATGTATTTGAAGCCAAATTGGAATTTCAAGATGCTTATTGGAATGCTGAACTTGGTCCAGTGCAACCTTATCAACCGATGGACATGCCAGTGGAACCTAGTGCCAAAGTAACTGTACAAAAAGAAAATCATATGATGGAATCAACTGAAAAACTTGTATTGGATCATTTATCATTACCATTATGCAAAGGTGGTCGTGGTGATTATCATGGACGTTGGTTACCTTGGACTTTTGACAACAACAACAACAACAGTATGGTAATAGGATTGGATCGTTATGGGAAATTCTGGGCACCTACAACTTGTCGTTATCGTCATATCACTCATGCTCAATTCCATCGATGTTTGGCGAAACGATATCCACAAGGCATGAACATCTATGGAGATTCTAATATGCGACGATCCATCAAAAGTTTCATCAGTCATGGTCAATGGTGCAAGTCATATGAAAAATATCAGCAAACTTCTCATCATCATCAACAAGTCAATGCAACTGTATTTCAATCACCACAACAATGGTCTTATCTTGGGGATCCACGTCAATTACGAGCATGCCAATGTGAAGATTTCGAGGAAGTGACATGGAATGCCACTTGGTTCAATGCAACAGCAAGAAGATGGGATATTGTATTTGAAAACAATCAAGAAACAACACAACGCTTAGGACGTCAAACAGAATGGGACAACAACAACAACAACTATAATGGTAGAGATGGTATACGAGTCAGTAGTTACAAATGGGATGGATTGACATTTATGAATGATCAAGGATGGGAAGCTGGATTTGTTCGCACCAATTACAAGTTACCTACCGACACAGATATTGTTGTGATCTCTTTGGTGAATTGGGATATGGCCTATACAGAACTGACACACTTTCAAGAAGCTGTGGTTCAATTGATCCAACATATCAAGATGCAATACCATTCAATGATGATTGTCTATCGGACCCCTCAATATTACTGCTGCCGAGTGGATCATACGCAACGACAACGGAAATCGAATACAGCAAGATTGAAAACATTTGACAAGGTGGCAAGACAACTCTTCCAAATTGCCTTTGGTTCCTCTTTGATGATCTGGGATACCATGAGCTTAGGTGAAGCTAGAACCTGGGGTGAAAAATTGCAAACTGCTACTTGTGGGGCCAATCATGCTCAAGCCGATGTCATCCATTTGGAAAATCAAATCTTGATGAATGCTCTTTGTAATCCACAATGATTCTTCTTTTTCTTTATTTTTGGTTTTTATGTTATTAGTTTAGATCTTTTTTTTTTTTTTTTGTCAATAAACATATATATATATATATATCCTTATTTCTTATAGTCCTCTTTAATAAAACCAAGTTCCTACTTTTATCACTTCATTATTCATTATTCATCATCATCATCTATTCATCCAAAAATATTGGAAAATTTATTACATATCAAAGGAAAAAAAAAAAAAAAGAAGCGTGGCATTTATCCTGATAAAGTTAGTAGTGTACATCGACAAGATGTTTCGAAAATGAACGGAGAAGAGGACGAGTGGATAACATAGAATCGGTTGTCAGATGAACATGTTCTGGACTTGGTGGAGGCATATGCGGTGTGGGGTTGTAACAAAAAGGCGATACGTCCCGGTATGTTGTATCCATTTCATGATAAGGATGATGTTGACGACGACGATACCATAACAAAAAGAAACCCGAGATAATCTATTGTTTTCCCCAAAATGAAATAAAAAAATTAAAAAAAAAAAAATAAAAAAAAAGTTAGGTTTTTTTTTAAAAAAAAATAATCATATATTTACCAAACTCAAGACAAAAAGTGTTGCTATGGTGATGCCGATAATCGCAGCAGAAGGTAAAGACGAGGTTTGTGGATCGTTCGTCGATGATGATGATGATGATGGCGATGATATGGTTGTGCTGGCACCCATCCATCCATTGTTCATCGTTGTTGTGTGATTTGTTATAGACGTAGCCGTGGAAGTCGAAGTAGAAAATGTCGTGGAGGTGATCGTACTTTCATCATCATCATTATCGTCATCATCAAGGTCGTCATCATCAAAGTCGTTATCATCAAAGTCGTTATGATGATGATGATGATGATGATAATGGTAACGATAGCGGTGGTAATGACGAGGATAAAGATGGTTGCATTGCTGTTGTAAAAAGAAATTTTGTTGTCCTAAAACATCCTCTTTGACAACTTGGTTGCGTGATGGATGGATAAGAGTTTGTTTTGAAGAGGTACCTTGCATGATGGAAAAAAGAATGGAGAACATGGAAAACAAGTTAACTAAAAAAAAAAAAGGCAAAGAAATCGTTTCAGTTGGGCATATTATTTTCTTTAATGTTGACAACAAAATCATTCTCTAAACTGTAAAAGGTTAGTTGTTTCATTTCTTGGGAAAACTAAATGTGGATATCAAGAATACTGGTATAATAAAATAAAATAAAATAAAAAAAACAAGGACGTAATAATTTCATGTATTTCTATCACATATAGGACGATTCATCCATCGTTTTATCATCGTGGATGATCGATCCAGTCAAAAAACGATACATCTTGTTTGAATCAAGTTCATGACGAAGTTCACTTTAAATAAGCGCGTGTGAGAGATGGCGATACATATATATAGTGAGAGAGAATCGGTATGTTCATTCTAAATTTGGTATGATGATGGCTACTCTTTACAGAGAAGGAAAAAAAAAACGTTTGCTTGTACATGCAGGATGAAAAAAATGGGATCGATTTTTTTGATTTCACAGCCAAAATTTTTCAATTCCTCAGGGAGTCATCAGGCACTTTTTCGAAAAATCGATAAAGTCTTTTTGGTGATCATCGTATATTAGATGACAAGATAAGCGACAAAATGACATTAGATGATGATAGACTACCTTTTTTTTTTTTTTTTTTTTTTTGGAGGAATCCAATGGTGGTAGTTTTACTGGATGATGATCACCATTGGATGAATGATGATGATAATTTATTTTTTAAATTACTCTATAAATTGGGAGGTAAGCTATGATTTATTCATTGATACAATTGAAAGAGAATGATCTAATATATGTTCAGTCCAAATTTGATGTAATGATGATGACTTTTAGGTGAATTATAAAAAAGTAATAAAGAGGCACATGTAATGTTACAGTGCAGAGAATGGTTTCAATTTTTTTGAAATTATGTAATTATGGAGCAAGCTGACTAATGAAAAAGCAACTCATCATGCTTAGGTTACTTTTCTTTTTTTTTTTTTTTTTTTTTTTTTTTTTTTTAGCAATGTTAATGGTTAAAAGGGCATGAGATTTAGACCAATGATTGATGAGGATGGACACAGTGAGTGGTGAACGTGGTTTCAAGACAAGACGTTCCCAGATTAGCGCAAAAAAAAAAATCATTCAGAATTTTCAAATGTATCATTATTTGAGATCATTCTATCTATAATAAATGATGATAAAGTTAGAAATAAATAAAGAGAACGTTCCTTGGTTTGATAAGAAAGAATATGCATACCATTCGAAACAAAATGTCATCAAGATAACGAAACATTAGGAATTCTTTTTTTTTTTTTAACGACAATGAAAAAGGCCATGTGTTACTTGAGGGGGGATGTTTGTTTTTGCTACTCATATTCCCAAAAAAGGAAAGCGCTTTGAAATAAAAATAAACGCCCAGATCTCGATAACAGAAAGTATAAATGATAACAATCATTTTTTTTTTTTTTTATAATTAGAATAATGATGATGGTCTCTCCGTCTTCTTTTTTTCCTTAAAAAAGGAACACTGAGTTGCCCCCCTTTTTTGTTTTGGTTGACAGCCAGGAAGGGGTATAAAAAATTACGTGAAAACCTTCCCAGAGTTTATCATTCAAAAGAATGGAATTCCTCCTTATTATAAAATGCACCATGAGAAATAGTATTAAGATCTCAAACATACTAAAAAAAAAAAACCCCTTATTCTTACATCGATTTTATGTCGATAATGGGAAAGGTCTCTACATTTAAAGTGATAAACAATAGTTTACTTATCAACAAGGATGAAATGCCTAGTTTTACTTTTAGAACGAAAAACGTCATTTTAATCGATTTATGGAAAGGACTTTGCCACTTTTTTTTTTCATGCAATACATCGTTGATATCTATCGTCAGGAAGATTCCTTCTTCGGCTTGTTACTGAAACTGTTCTCAAAAAAAAAAAAAGAGAAATGGCCACCGGCTAATTAGTTCATTGAATTTCCGCCTTTTATTTTTTCCTCTGCCTTTTTTTTTTTTTTTTTTTTTTTTTTTTTTTTTTTTTTTGTTAGACAAAATATGCTTTTACGCCATGTATCCATCATTAGACCAACATGTTCGACCAAATCACTTTATCAACCGTGTTTCTATTGGCGACGACGAAATAAGATCACTTTAGTTCACCAAGATTTCCCTGTTGACACAACCTCCATCAAACGTCCAGTGCCTATTGTACTTGTTCAAAGTAGTCAAGATACTGACAGGACGTAAAAAAAAAAAAAATAGTCTTTCTTTTTCTAATATATATAATGATTTGTAGATGGCCTTCACGATGGCAAAAAATACTCATTAATAAAGGATATCGCTCAAGTTGGATTCATTTACACAAATGTAAAAGTCAAGCACTGGATATATGGTATAAAGGTAACATGGAGACCAACCAAAAGCAGATAATAAATGATTATTCTATTTTAGACATGACACAAGCTATGCAGGAACATTCGTATTTCCCACCCGTATTAATTGGTCATGGCTTGGAAGCTTGGAGAGCATGTCAAAAATACGTTAGTAACAAACCAGTCTCTGGCCTTGTATTGATTCATCGAGCAGGTGAAGATAAAGTAGCAGATGATATTCCATGTTTCACATTTGAACCTCATTTCCCATTATTGGTGGTGGCACCTTTGAATAAAATCCCTTTATTTTTACAGGAACAAGTGGATCATGTGCTGACGGATTCTCCTGGTGGACACGATCTATTATTACAACATACTTTGGATTGGATGAATGATGTCAATATGTAGTATAGTTTCTTGTGTATACCTTTTTGTATCATATAATAAATCAATAAAAAAAAAAAAGCTTATTTTTTCCATTGGAACCCCGTCAAAATGCTTATAAAAGCAAAGCGTGTTATTAACAAAAAAAAAAAAAAAGGTTTCTTTCTTTCTTAACCATGTCTTTATTTGAAAAACAAAAAGTGGTTGGTTATTGGGGACCTGTAACAAGTTCTGTGGATTGGTATAAAAAAAAAGAAGAATACTCGCGTAAAAATAATTGACATGATTCTACTTTAGGTGCGAAGAAAACTATACACATTCTTTTTACATTGCTGAATTCTGGAATACTGTTTCTGTAAGATATTGAAAAACAGATACTTCTCTTTTATTGATATCATTTTTTTTATTTAAAATGAATATAGAGCTTTGCTATGGTAGTACTTGGATTCTTAGGCATTCTTGCACATCATCGCTCACTTGGTTGGCGACTGTCTAATGGATATTTGATGATTGTAGTTGTAGGGTTTGGAAGGTAAAAAAAGAGAGACAGAGAAAGAGAGAATAGAAAAAGGAATTACTTTTGAACTAAACTTTTATTGTTTTCTTTCTTTTTGAATAGTATATTATTTCATGGTACATTGCAGTATGAACATCAAATGTGGGATGAAGTAAGACCAAAAAAAAAAAAAAAAGAAGAAGGGGAATAATGATAATAATAATATTTAATTATTATCTTATAGGTACCAATGGTATGGACAGCTTGTTACTTATTGTGGGTATTATTACAAGAAAATGGATATGAACCTATTCGCTATGGAGTCGGAATTAGTTTATATTGTGCATTGGCCACCTATGTTACCAGTCAATCTAAAGGCTCCACTCAATTTTACCTTTTTCAAACATCGTAAGTCAAGTAAGTTTAAAAATAATATTAATATTAATATTATTGTTAGGTTTGGCATAGTCATGTGGAGTTGTTTATGGTTTGTGTGGAAATTGTATAAGAATGTACAAAACAATCAAGTCATTCGATTATTTCATCAAGGTGGTAAATTTCTGGGTCTTGCTATTGGTGTTTGGTTATTTGATTCCAACATGTGTTTTATTTATGATTATGTTCCTAATCCTCAACTTCATGCTTGGTAATTTTTTTTTTTTTTTTTAAACAATGGATATTTATTTATCTTACTTTTCTATTTTATTTTATTTCGGATGGTGATACGAAATAATATTTATAGGTGGCATGTGCTGGTAAAAGAATTAACACAAAAAAAAAAAAAAAAAGAAAAGATTTCTCAATGGAAGAATAACTCTTTTTTTTTTTTTTAATTTTATACAATAGATGTGTATTAGTCTTCATTACTTTTTTGTAGCCACTGGATTTGAACTCATGGGGACTCAACAACATCGTATTACCTATTATGCCAATTGGATTCCTTATGTACAACTATTAGACAAAATAGAATAGGATAGGATAGCATAGGATAGAATAGAAAGAATATGGCTTAGTTAATTTTGGATCAATAGAAATAAAGATTCCCCAACATTTGAAACCGGATATGGTATAAGATAAATATTTGTATGCGTGTACAATTGTGTGTCCTGTGATCTAGGAATTGGGTTGTTTTATTGTCATGAGGGAAATGATAATAGTTTATAATGAACAGGAGGGATGAACAGGATGATAACTTGATTTATATTACAAGTATATATAAAATGCGATTGATTACGTGTGACTTGTTTAAGGTACAAAAAAGAAACCTTAAAAAAAAAAAACAGAAAAAAAAAACTATATTATGAATATGTGTGTGATATTTTGAACCTATGATATTTAGAGAATATTGTAATGACAAAAGAGGTAAAAAGGAATGACCTATCATACTTTAAGATCATCCTCATCGTCAGGGCTGGAACATCAAGTAGGTTAAAAAAAATAACTTTATTACAATAGTGAACAAAATTTCATTTTAGTTTATTGCCTCCCCCCCTTTTGTTCTGTGTTTAGTGTCAATGAGAGAAGGAGAAGGTAGTTTAAATATATATATATATATATGTACTTTTTTTTTTTCTTTTGGGGGGAGAGGGTTTAAAAAAAAAAAAAAAAAGCTAAAATAGATGTTTAAGAAAAATGCTCACTTGACATTGCACATATCGATCGAGATTCTCCTTGAACATATTCCACCCCCGAATCGATGTTAAACTTTAAATCGTTAGTCAACATCAATAACACCTAGAATCATCAAATGGAATGAAATTCTTTTGGATAAAAAAAAAAAGAGTTTTATAAAGAACCATTATATACAAAAAAAAATAAGAAAAAAAAATAAATCATCCTTGATCATTCATGTTGATCAACAAAATAAAAAAAAAAAATCTTTCTTCGGACCTTGCGTCCGTTATTGGCAAGTTGAATTATTATAAAATAGAGTCAAAAAGCTTATTTTTATCTTTGGTATTTTATCTTCATTTTTTCTTATAAATACGACACATTCTCCCTTTTTTTTTTTTCCTTCTTTCTTTCTTTCACTTTTTTCTCTCTCTTTTTTTTTTTTTTTTTTTTCGGTCACCGCGCCTATTCATTCCCCTTCCCCTCGATCAGTTTTTTTTTTTTTTCTGACTATATATAATTGTTTCTATTTCTTCATTTGTCTTCCACTCATTTTATATTTGAACAATGGAAACATTTATTGGACATATCAAGACTCCTCAAGATGCCTTGATCATATTTGAAGCTTGTCGACGAGGTATGCTACACAGAGTCAAGCGACGACTTTCCACCAAAGAGCGCATAAACATTCAATCGGGGTCCATATTTGCTTTTGATGAAGCCGAAGCTGGTATGCGACGTTGGACAGACGGACGAACATGGTCTCCAAGTCGTGTTTTGGGGAGTTTTTTGACTTACCGCGAATTGGATACAAAAAGACGACCTAGACGACATTCTTCTCATGCTGGTACTTGTTCTTACAAACCCAATGGTCTTATCAAACAAAGTTTCTCCATTTGTACTGCATCTAACCAAAAGATGCATCTCATCTCTTATTATTCCAAAGCTGATGTCATCAAGGGCAAACTCACTTTACCTTCCATGGATCTTCGACTTGGTAACATTGTCATTCCCAAAGGTTTTTATCCGGAACTCAATCCCTTGGACACCAGTGGTGGTCATTCTGCAACTTTACACCTAATGATGAAAGCTTCCATTGAAAACCAACAACGGCAACATACTAACAGCCCAAGTCCTCCTTCTAGCCCAACGACGACTACTACTACTACTACTCCTCTCAACCATTCGGAAAAGGATCATGGATTATTATTACGACAACAACCACCTTCTTTATCATCGTCACCATTATCGGTTTGTTCTGACGATGATTTATTATCGCCTTCTCATACATTATTACCATTCACATCTCATCATGTTACAACTGCATCATCCAATGGAACTCAACAATCATTATCGGCTACGCTTACATCCAAACATTCTCCAATAATGGCAAATCAATCTACTCAGCCTTTGTTACCTCCTGTTCAAGTATGGAAACCTTATTCTTTACAATCCGAAGATACGAGACAATTGGAAGCTCTCAAGGCTCAATTACGAATTTGAATCATCCTCTTCCCTCCTTATCTCTTTTTTTTTTTTGTATATAGTTTATGCTTTTTTTTTTGTCCTTTTATTTACACTCTTTATCCTCCCTCTCCTTGTTAGCTTATCTAATATATATTATATTAGATGACTAATTACAAACATTTTGACATTATCATTAGTTTTGTATACATCTGAAATCTTTGATTCCTTCACCATTCGTTCGTTTGTTTCATCTCCTTCCCTTCCTTTTTATATACATACTAGTTTATCATTACCATCGTTCGTCTTTTTATTATTATTATTATTATTATCATTATTATTATTATTATATATATATACAAATGTCTACACACAGATACACATCCACAATTTTTTTTTTTTTTTTTTGGCACAAAGGGCACTTTATACATGTTTTTTTTTTATTGTTATTATTATGATGATCCTTTTTTTCTTTTGATTTTATTATTTTATTCTATCCTTTTCTTTCCTTCTTTAGTATAGCCTTTTTTTTTATATATACATATACATCATTACCTGAAAGTATAATAAAAAAGAATTCTATACACTCGTTATTTCTATACAAATTACATACATGACATAAATGATGTTAATGATATTGCATGAATAGAGAGATATTGACATGGATTAATTGAACGATATTTAGGAGTAATGATGGATGAATATATTATCCTAAATGATTTTGTGAATCTCTCATTGATTTTACAAAATAATTCTTAGTGAAGTCTAAATATGGGCATGATAAACGTACGATATTGGGGATATGAGCAAACAAAAAGGAAAAAAAAAAAAAAGGGATTGGTTGATCGGTTTATCGGATCCAATCAAAACATCCCGATGAACCCGTTTTTAACTCCAATGGAATCCACAACAAAAACGAGTTCTTCCATCGATCCTCCCTACATTTATAAGTAATCATCATACCGTTGCTGTTATTTATTTATTTATTTATTTTGTTTCGATCGTTTGAGAAATCCTAGATCGTGGTACCTTTGTTGCATACCTCCTTTTTTTTTTTTTTTTGTTAAAAAAAAAAAATAGAAAAGATTTGATCATCTTGACAAAAAAAAAAAAAGAATTCTTTCTTTCCTTTTTTTTTTTCTTCTTATGTTAAATCTATGTAGTATACATGATGATGCATTTTTTTTTTTAAAATAAAAAAAGGTATAATCTATCAAAAGAGGAGTTGATGCAATCTGTGTTGGCTTGAAAATAGGGTTGCGGTGTAACAAGAACATGGCAAAAGTATGCACCAGTTTCATCGTTGGATTTCCTTTTCATCTATTTTCTTCCATCAGGAGGGATCTTACCATGCATCCATTATACAGAATTATTCCCCCCCTTGTCACCCACTTGAGTTTCATTGAACTTAGTGTTAATTCCCCCCTTTTGTCCAACCATCCCATAAAGAGTGGCCATTAGCTTATGATGATTCATATGGATTTTCTATGATGATTCCTTTAATGACAATTTTTTTTTTTTGATAAGAAATTTTATATCCTGTACAAGATCTCGTAAAAATAAAAGAATAAAAAAAAATCAGACTGACATTATACGCTTTTTTTTTTTTGTTTGTTTGTTATATTTTACACGGAGTAGATGGAGTGTTTTTAGCTTGCAGGCGATTATTTCAGCTAGTGAAAAGCAGGGTATACATCCTATGAATTCACACATATATTGTTTCTTTTTTTTTTTCTAGAACAAGTTGCCCCTCTTTTTGGGATAGATATCATCCCTAGAAATGATCGTTAAAAAAAAAAAGATAGATGATAAAAAAATAAAGTGTAACAGAGATATACATTTATTATTATTTAATAAAACTACTAAAACTAATCAAAATAATCTAAGCTGTGGTGGGGACATGTAATTTTCGCTTTTGGCGATGTCGATGTTTCCTTTTTGAACCTTGTTGTAATCGTTTTGTTTCCTTTTTCCATTCTTCTTGCTTATGTTGATCCAAAGGTGCCAAAAGTTGTTCCGCTTGTTTGACTAATTGACGACGACGATCACGGATGGTTGTGTCCCCCTCAGATAAAACTTGATCTAATTGGAGCATGCATTGAATGATCTCATCTTCATACATCAAAAACGCCCGATTGTCTGCTGTATTGCCATCCAAAAACAGTCCATGATGATCATTTTGTTGATACTGTAACGGAATACGCAGTATTCTAGCCTTTGTTGCTGGAGATCCAAGCTGCATTAGTTTTTGTTCAATCGCGTCTAATTGTTTCATTTTCGCCTGATACGCTTTGTTGTCCTGATTATCTTCTTGTTGCCTTCGTTGCTCTTTGTCCAATTGAAGTTGTTTTTGCCGTTCTTGTGCCAATCGACGCTGCCTTTTTTCCTCTTCTTCTCGTTCTTGTTCCAATTGACGTTGTTTTTGTCGCTGTTCTTCCAGTTCAAGCTGCCTTTGTCTTTCTTGCTCCAAGTGATGTTGTCGCTGTTCTTCCAGTTCAAGCTGCCTTTGTCGTTCTTGTTCCAGCAGGCGTTGCCTATGTCGTTCCTCTTCTTCTAGTTGCCTTTGTCTTTCTCGTTCCAGTTGACGTTGCCTTTGTTGTTCTTGCTCCAGTTGATGTTGTCTTTGTTGCTCCACATGTCTTTGTCGTTCTTCTTCTTCTTCTTGTTGTCGCCGCCTAAGCCGTTCTTGTTCTTGTCGTTTCACCTGCTCACGTTCCAATGCTTGCTGTCGTTGCTTTTGCTGCACTTGTTCGCGATGTGGATGGTCAGATGTGTGGCCAATGGCAGGGGTGGGCGCACGGATCAAATCATCCAAGACATTTTGTAAAGGCACCACATTATCAGGTAAAAAGGATTGTTCATCATCATCTTCTGATTCACTGACTTGATCTGAATGTGGAGGTATTTCTTCTCGTTGACAGGACACCTTATCATTGTTTTCTTGCAGTAATGGAACAAGATCAGCCATGGTTTGTTCGTCTTCAGCCGGTTCTTGATGGCCACCAGCTTGTGCATAAACGTATTCTTCGTCTTCTTCATCTTCGTTCGTGTTTCTTTCAAATAGATGTTTAAGCAAATCGGATAGCTGTTGTGTTTGATATTGATCATACTCTTCCTCCATAGCTGTGTTATCCAAAGACAACTTTTCCTGCGCCCTGGCGAGTGGTTCAACATCGTTTGTTTGAGATGGTTGGTAAGATGCATGTTGCTGAATGAAACGTTGGAAGGCTTGGCGAGTTCGTTGTTGTTCCAAAGCAGCGACAAGATGAGCACGATCGTAGTTAACTAATTGTTGACGATGGTGTCGAATTAATCGTTCAAGTTGAGCAGCTCGTCGTCGTCGATAGTCCAGTTGAAGTAGTTTGTGATTATGCATTGCTTGCACTAGTCTAGCTTGTTCTCGACGACGATTTTCATTTTGTTCCAGTCGATGTAAGAAACAATCTAATAAAGCTTGTACTTGTTGATAATCTTCCAAAGTTAATACATTTTGTAACTCTTGTGTTCGAGGATGAATGAGAATATATGTGGACGTAGTATACATAACTTGTAAAATTAAAGAAAAGAAAGAAAACAAACAAATAAATAAACAAAAAAAAAAAAAAAGGAAAAAGAAAAAAAGAGTAATAGACTTCTGTGAGCATCGAATCAATGCAAGGTTCTGAGTTCAAAAAATCAACCTTTTTTTTTTTTTGTAAAGACAATACCCATGCATAAAAAAAACATCATACGAGAGATATCCTTTCAAAGCCAATTCCCCTGATTGTTTCTCTTTATTGATAAATAATAATAAATAAGGTAATCTGTTGATGATATAATACTAAATTGATGGTAAGTGAAATAAAAGAGTCGTCAATCAAAGATCACTGAAGGACCAAGTAATGCAGGTCCAGAGAATTTGGGCCTTGAGGACAAAAAAGTATCATAATATCCAATACATTCAATATCCGAGTTCATGTTTCTGGTACTAGAGTTAGCCACTTGTAGATATGAAGGAAGATGTTCGTTGTCGCTGTTGCTGTCGTTGTTGTTAGCTGCGCTTGCCATACCATGATCCATGAAGGTGTTTTTTGGTGCTATGGGCTTGATCCTTTGAAATCCTTCTCGATTGCTGAATTCAGAAGTACGTGTTTTCCGGAGGAACCCAATTTCGACTGGATCTTGCAAAATGAGCTTCAAATTCATCCATTCTTTGTTACGGGAGTTATCCTTGATCGTAGCGGGTATTGTCGATGGTGATGATTCGACTAACTTCCCTTCGTAAACCAAAGCGCTGTTTCCACCGCTGACAAAGTTTATAGATCTAATAACGATGAGACTATTAATCAACAAACGCAAGAATATATAATATTGTCTTCTTACCCAATATATCCGTAAGAGTTTTGCGTCACGCCTTTAGCTATGAAATTTTGAATGCGCTCTAGATCCGTCTATTAACGACAGCAAAAATGAAAAAGAATTAGCAATGTTCCTCTTTTTTTTTTTTTTTTTTTTTTTTTTTTTTTTTTAAAAAAAAAAGATAATGATATCACTTACTTGGGAAGGATATAGCGAGTATTGCCGATCCACGTCTATCACAAAAGGGTGATTCGAAAAAGGATGATTCGTAAGTTGAATGAAGGTTTGCATTGACTTTTTTTTTTTTTTTTTTTTTTTTTTTTTTTTGTTTACTTTGACTGTGTACACTGACTTGCATTGCCTGTAATTGTCGATCCTGTCTAGATCTTCATTAAAAAGTTTCAATTTAGTATATTTGATTTGATCATTTTTTTTCTTTTCTTCTCCTCGCTTACTCCAAATTTAAAGTTTGGCGTACATTACTTGAATTTTCTCCATTCTTTATTTGAACCATACCAGGATAATAATCTGATCCAAAGATATCCCACTCTAATTTGATTTTGCCTTGAATAAATTCATCAGTTTTCTGTGTTTCCTAAAGCAAGAAAAAAAAAAGATTCAATAAACATGTCTGCTTTCTTTTTTCGTTTCTTTTACCATGTAAATATAAGGAGGAGCCACAATGCCACGTTTCCATCTAGCTGTATATTCTTTGATATAATTCTCGGGTATATTATCATCATGATTGATCACTTGATGCAAGTGTTTGAGTGTAAACTTTCGATATTGAGGGCCACATAACATATGTACATGAAAGGCAATATCTAAATGACAATGATCGAGGTTAGTCGGCAGTTTCGTCCTTTTTGTTTATTTTGTTACCTATTTCCACAGTGGGTACAGCATGCAAATTGGATTGATGTTTCAAAGTAGCCATAAAGTTATGATAATGTCGAATAGAGGCGATAAGAATATCAGATTCTGACGACCAATCCATACTGATAATAGTATCATAAAATCGTCTTTGACGACTTACTGCGTGAATCAAATCAATGGAGAAAGGTGTTGGATTGCTTTGATAACTTGTTCTAATCGCATAAAGAAGCTCTAAATCAAAAAGAAAAAAAAATATGAAAATCATATGAATATTTGTATTTTCTCTTTTTTTTTTTTTTTTTCCATCATAGAGAGCATCCTTCTTTGATTTACCATTAGCATCATATTCATATTTCTTTCCAAAAAATTTGAGCTGTTCCTGAATTTGACGTTCATAAGCATAATCCATTTCCTCCTGAGGCAAAATGATTTGAAGAGGTTTGATCTTGGTCACCATTTTGTTAGGTTTCTTTCTTATAGTTCCATTTGGTTTAAGTAATGTTCCACTTGATAATCATCATCATAATAATGAAAGGTATAAGTGATTTTGATAATTTCGTTTTTTCTTCATTTCGCTTACGCTACAATTGGACCAGGACATTTGTTTGTCAAATCAGATTCTAATTTCATTCTTGCTACATCTAGAAAATTGATACCTTCTGCTGGTCCACATCCATCATGAGGGAAACGAGTTGTGTTCACACCATAACGATATTCAAAATAAGCAGACCTATGATAAGAGATTTAGTCAAAAATTATAGATAATATCCCATCATTTTCATTTTCTTACCAAGGTAGTACAATTTCCTGTTGACAAGCATAACAAGGCCGAGAGTATGTTCCATCATACATATTTTCTGGGCTTAGAAAATAAGGTTCATCCTCTCCAAACACTTGATTCCAAATATTCAAATCGTTCATATGTGGATCATTGGCAGTATGATGCTACAAATAGGCTCGTCAATACATAAATTTCAATAATAAATGACGCTTACCAAATTATCCAAAGGGAAAATTTCATCAAATACAGCATTGCACCTTAAACGTAAAACCAAATCTTCATAGTAACGAAGCGGTGACAAGGCATGAATATGCCATAAAAAAGCAACGTCTATTGAAAGAAAGAGATCAATGTCTTTTGTTCTTGTCTTTTTTTGTTTGTTTTACTTTTTAGCTTACCTAAAGGAGGGACACGAATACCTTCGTTAAAGTTATGAAGCCATTTTTCATATCGTACTTCAGCTCGAGCAAGATAATGACGTTGTTCATAAAGAGTCATTGTATCCATAAATGTCCAAAAACGTTCCAAGAAAGAAAGGTAATAGTAACAGTGTTCAACTGTAACGACGCGATCCAAGTGAGGAAAAAACTTGACAGTAGGAGGTAATGGCGCATTGGAAGCGAATTTCAAATTTAAGTTCATAAGTGTATTATTGAAAAGAGACAAAAATAAACTAAAATAGGGACCATTTTATATAAGAAAAGAAATGTATTTATATACATATACAAGTTTAAATAAGGAAAAGAAAGAAAAAAAAAATACGTGGCATTTTGGATCTATATGGAGGTACGTTATGTTTTCATTTTCCGACCATGTTTTTTTTTTTTGCTTGCTTACAGTCAGCAACACATGAATTTTTTTTTTGTTTTCTTTTCCCTTTCTCTTCTTTCTATCATGTCACGAAGACCAATGGATGATGAATATATTGATATTGATGATACCCTAGACACTAATCAAGATGAAGAAAGAGGCAAAGGTGGATATGCTTGGGAAGAAGAATATAAACGAAGTTGGGATGTCCTACAAGAAGATGCGGAAGGGCGACTCAGTAGTGTTGTGGCACAGTTACAACAACAGCGGAAACGAAGAAGGTAAATATATCCAATATTCCTTTTTTATACTTAAACTTTTTTCTTTTTTTATAACAGATTACTAAAGGATACAGATGTTATTCAACGTGGCATTATTCGACATGTGTTTTTGGTATTAGATCTATCTGAAGCTATGAATGAAAAAGATCTTCGACCTAGTCGTGTGGAACTGACATTGATGTATGCACAACAATTTATTAACGAATTTTTTGATCAAAATCCCATTTCACAACTCGGTATTATTGTCACTCGAGATGGTATTGCTGAAAAACTGACGGAACTTAGTGGCAATCCAAGTGACCATGCAAGAGCACTTCAATCTAAGAAAAATATTGAAACAAGTGGTGAACCCTCTCTTCAAAATGCATTACAACTAGCAAGAGCAAGTATGGTTGGTGTACCAAGTCATGGATCCAAAGAAGTCTTATTAGTATTTGGTGCTTTAACAACATGTGATCCTGGTGATATTCATGAAACTATTGGTCTTTTGAAAAAAGAAATGGTACGAGTCAATATTGTTGGATTAGCTGCTGAAGTGCAAATCTGTCGTGTTTTAAGTCGTGCTACAAAAGGTAATTTTCTAATATATACATATATATATATATATATATATATATATATATATATGTATCTCATATCCCTTATATTATTTTTTTTTTTTTAGGTTCTTATGGTGTTATATTGAACGAAGCTCATTACAAGGATTTATTATTTGAAGCTATTCCTCCACCTGCGGTGGCTCCCAATAAGAATACAGCTAATCTTGTCACCATGGGATTTCCAAGAAGACTAATGGAAGATCATGCTACTCTTTGTGTTTGGTAAGAATAATCTTAATAATAATAATAATAAATGGTACTAATTATTATTATTATTATTATTATTACTTTATTAGTCATCCTGGCAAATTGACATTAGGTGGTTATATATGTCCTAGATGTAAATCTAAAGTGTGTGAATTACCAAGTGATTGTGATGTATGTGGATTGACTCTTGTTTCTTCTCCTCATTTGGCAAGATCATATCATCATTTGTTCCCTGTAGATAACTTTGATGAAATTCGACAACCTGGGTAAATAATATATATATATATATATATATATTCAGTAAAAGTGGGAGATGTTAATTAATATTATTATTATTTATTTATTAGTCATTTCACTCATTGCTCATCCTGTTTAGTACCTTTTGACAAGAATGATCTGGCTGGCCAATTTACCTGTCCCAAGTGCAAACACGAATTCTGTGCTGATTGTGATCTTTTTATACATGAAGTCTTACATAATTGTCCTGGATGTTGGAGTTGATTACTTACTAAAAAAAAATTTAATTGTATATACTGGTTTTTTCCTTGATAATAAAACTTTATTTTTTTCTTTATATATACATTTATATTTTTATTCAAATGAAATTAAACACTTTATCGAATCGAGAAAAGGTAGTGATTATGATGTGATGATTTGTATGATACAATATGTGATGATAAAATATAAAAATACTTCTGATGAGCATTATTGACGACAGGCAAAAAGAGATAATTTTATTGGCTAATTTGCCAGTCCTATTTTCGGAGTAACACAATTTTATTGATGCGCATAGCTCGAGTGTCCTCACATTTTTTTTTATTCTTTCTTTTTCTTTCCCCTCTGTTTTTCGTGTCAACTCTATCGTACCTCCTTTATTTTTTTTAACTTCTTATTGACTATTTTTTATTAATTTGATTCACACTTTATTTTTTTATTTATTATTTTTTATTACAACTCAAAAGTACATTCCATCTCGAATACTCTTTTTTATTTTGTACATGACGCGTTATGAATCACCGGAATGTAGCCGTCCATCGTACTAGTATCAAGAGAAAATGATCACCAAGAGATCAACTACAAGAAAGCTAACTACTATTTGGACTACATGAAGCAAACTTTTGGAGATATTTTGAACAAGGATATGCATTTTCTGTCAAACCTCTTGTCAACCGAAAACGTCCTTTAACATTTGACGAAGTTAAAGCAAAGATTATTAACGATTATATCAGCAAAAACAACAAAGTTAAAACATTATGTGGATTATATGATTTAACTGAAATAAAACTCAATACAGGTAAAGTTGATATGCCATTGGAATGGATGATATCACTTTCTAATGCATATCATTTTCGTTATTTTTAGATCATGTATCAACAATTCTGCCGGAACCAAGCAATACCTGAAGAATCTGGTTTACCGCAAAAGACAAGACCATAGAGCAGTTGTAAGTCTTTCTTAAAATTGTAGATACTATATTATACTAATATTTTTTTCTATATATTTATATTTAATATTGTCAAACACCAAAGACATCTTTCCGAGATTATGAAAAAGTTCTGGGAAAGGTGGTCAAAGGATCTCATACTATGCCAAGCAAAAAAGGTGTTCTTACCTCATTCAAGGTATGAAAAGGAAAAAGAGGAATATTTAAAAAGGACAGGACGATGATACTGATGTTTTTTTTTTTTTTTTTTTTTTTTTTTTTTTTTTTGAAAAGCTCATAAAGAATCATTTGGTGCACTGTCATAATTTTACGTAATGGGTCAAGAAACAAATCTATCGAGATCAAGCTTATGCGAAAGTGTTTGAAGGCACACTATCAAGGTGTCTCATTAAACAAGAACAGCAAGATGGTGTATTTCTATGGCGATGCTAGTTCTGGAACTAATTCTCGAATCAAGGGTCATCTTCGACGAGGTCACACCAAACTCCTGAAAGAAATTGGTCAAGGATCATATGTTGCGATCACACCTAAATTCCGCACATCAAAATTATGCTGCTTTTGTCATGAACCACTGATTCATCCAAAGAAGTTTAAGAAGGATCGCAAATGATCAAGCAATGTAAGCACGGTTATTTGTCAAAATCCATCATGTCTGCCAAGAAAGAAAGGATATCATACAATGTCTCGGGATGCCAATGCTAACGTGAACATGATTATAGTCGGTATCAACGAATATGGTTTGTGGAACTTTTCCTCCTGCTTTTGTCCAAATTCAAACAAAAAAACATCCTCCGGATGCTGCACTCAAGTTTTGTCAACTTTACGCTCCTCTTATTCTAGTTTGATTGATGATATGCTAAACATACATTGATATGTAGGGACTTATGGTAAGTCATTCAAAAAAAAAAAAAAAAAATTGGAAGGTACGTGATTGGCTAATCATTTTTTTTTTATATATGATATGTGATTCCGCTCCCCGGACTGACTTTCATCAACATTGTATTTGACATCTTTTGACATTGTATTCTATTTAGCTAACAATACTACCATTTTCTTGACTAAGAAAATATGTGTATTCTTTATACAAAAAAAAGGAGCAGGTATACATTTTCGGTAGACTACGGTCACTTAGTGATGAATATGGTAATCAAATCATAATAGTGAGGCTGATTTCTCTTTTTTTTTTTCTGATAGACACGTTTTCTGGTTTCTTTTTAAAGAAATGATGTGGCTTCTTTATATGGGAACACCAGCCTCTTTCTCAAGTCGTAAATACAAAATGATACCCAGCCATCTGATGAACACAGCCTTACCAATAGTTTATTTTCGTGATACAAAAGGTAAGAAGATCATGAAGTTTATAATAGTTTGGTAGTAAAAACTCATTACATTTATATTTTATGGTTATGATAAACATGATAGTTGGATCATTTTTTTTTGGTATCTATATAGTCAATTCTCTCTCTCTCTCTCTTTTTTGGTCGGATCAAGGATACACAAGATATGGTTGGAAATGAAAAACTCAGCCTTCAAAAGGTTTACGTCTTTTGCACAACAGTAAGTATTAAATAACGGAAATCATTGATTCTTACCTTTTTTTTTTTTTTTTTTTTTTTTTTTTGTTGATTGACTAATATATATATTTTTGTGCTTCCTTTCTTTCTTTTCCTTTTTGTCTTTCATCATGACTACTACTTCAAGGTTATGTGTTGGATACGATGATTCTTATATTTATGCCCTTGATACCAAGACAGTGACTTCCTTTGATATTCAAAAGCAAACTATATCATCTTCACATATTCAAAACAACAGCGCTCAAGCTTTTGTTACTTGTTATGGATCTCAAAATCAACTTTATATCACTAATCTTGATCTCTCTGGAGAGCTCTCTTTTCAATCCTATCATCAAATCAATACTGGATCACATATATTCGACACAACATTCCCAAAACAACTGGATGCAACATCTATCATCTCGGTTGTACCATTCACGGATTCTGGAAATCAAAGTAACACAAATTCATCTTGTATTATGATATCTGCAAATGATCGTCAAGACGTCAATGGACTATATCAGATATGTTCCTCCTCCTCTGTACAGCAAATACCTTTCTCTGATACATCATCAACTGCTCCTCTTTTGGCAACCAACAAGGATAATTCTTCTATTATTCTATTGGGATACCCGACCGCCAATTCTATCTCCGTATATACCGATCTCAACGAACTGTCCAATCCAACAACAACTTATGATCTTAATTTTTACCTTCCCTCAAAAGGCTCTGTCCAAGTACTTGATGATCAAGCGACCGAATTTTTGATTTATGATTACAATCGTACCATCATCCATATTCAATTGGTAAATCTTTACTTTTTTTTTCTTTGTAAAATTCGGTAATATGAACTATATTTCTTATTTTTTTTTATTTTTTTTTTTTTAGCCAACAGCCAACCAGCCAAACGGAAAGATGAAAAGGGGAATACCATCATACAATAATACTGTCTATCAACTTGAAGATGATCTTTCAAATGGAAATGTGATTGCTTTGCCTGATCATCGTGTCTTTACAGTCTCTAACAAGAATACTAGCAACAATGTTATGTCCTTTACTGAAATCCCATTATTGGTTGGTTCCCGTGTAACACCCAGACAAAATCCGCCCACATCAGCAACAACAGTAGACGGATCATCTCAATCGTCGTCGTCATTATCATCGCAAACAATATATATTATCATTGGTGTAGCTATAGGATGCGGTGCATGTATTTTACTTTTATTAATTTGGTTCATTCGACGACGATTACAATCCAAACGACGGGATCTTTTCGAAGGTAACAGTACAACAACTGATCGTTTTGAAAAATTGGACGACAAACTGGACTCTCTACCATTATACACTGATCACCCCCGCGATGAAGAAATGGGTGACTTTTCTCATGACATTAATAATAGCGACGATCATGGTATCCAACAACAACAACAACAACAAGTTCAACAAGTTGGATCATCAAGCAAGGGCAGCAATAGTCTTGGACGTGGTCTTTCTTCTATACTTTCTAGAATGTCATCACTACGATCCTCTCCAGGGACATCCTTCTTTTTTTCAATATTCAACAATGGATCAAGCCTATTACCTGTGGAAGACAAATATCAAAAAGTCAAGCAAGTGACTTTCCGTTCAGGTGTGGCTGAGCTGATGGAACCACCGACGACACCGGATGTCAACGGTACTCTGATTTTGAATGGACGTTACCAGGTGATCGACACCGATCTTCGTTTGGATGAGAACATTGAATGCAACAACATGCCTGGATATACGACACGCACCATTGAACACGCTTACAAAGCCAACACCATCCGCACACTTCACTATTATACCAAAGATCAACGGGATGTGTTTTTGCGCAACATCAATGCCACCGTGGCTCTCAAAGCATCGAAACGTGTGATCCGTCATCATGATGCCCTTTCATTATCAACACCTACACGACAAGGACAGTACAAATATTTCTGGATTTCAACCCCATGCAAGGCACGTCAATCATTATATTCTCTGGTACACGATGAAATCAATAAGGACGGTGAACAACCTGTAGTGGATATACATCAATCCAGTTTCCTGACTCTTTCCATCTTGTCTCTCCTGATGTGTATGCGGGACGTGCATGCAGCTGATTATTGTCATTTAGATCTATCGCTTCAATGCTTCTTTTATCAACAAGTCAGCACCATCACTGAATGGTATGTGGGTGGATTTCATCAAGCTCGCATCATGGGTCAACAAGACGGTCATCCTCTTCCCCTAACACGGTATAGCGCGCCTGAACTTGTACAACAACAACATATGGAATCTCTTTGTCCTTTACCTCGACAAGAACTCGATTGTTGGTCATTGGGCTGTGTGATATACGAATTGGTAACAGCCAAGCCTTTGTTCAAGGACATCAGACATTTGACAAGATTGGCTCGTCATCCCTCGGCAATGCAAAGACATCTTTCTCAAGCCATACAACAAGATGCCCTTTCTCCATCCATCCGTGCCTGCTTGACTTCTCTGCTTCAAATTGATCCTTTTGATCGTGAACCCATACAACTCGTGCTGGATACATGGATGGCAATGAATGAACTAGATGATGACGACGATGATTAGATTTAGATGATTATTATGATCGTAGATTCTTTTTTTTTTTTTGGATACCAACATCAAACTTCCCTTCTCTGTACTCCCTATTTATATAATGCTATAATAAAATGATTAGTGTGATGATGTCTATTTTTGATTCCTATTGTGATGAAACATGGATGATATATATATATATCAATGATTTTCCTGATCTACATAGCGACAATTATACCATTTCTAAAAAAAAAAAATATAGACTACTAAAGAGCCCAGAAAAAAAAGGAAGTAGTTTTATTTAATCCACTGTAATATCTAAACTAAACTACCAATGACGATATTGTTGATTATGCGCTTGTTGTCCGGTTTGTAAATGACATTTCTCATCTAGGTTGCATAATGGTCTTGTCCTGATATCCACTATCAACAAATAACCTAGTGAGTGATTGCTTTTTTTTTTTTTTTTTTTTTTTTTTTACCTGGTATGATATGTGGATGTTTTGCCATATCCATTTTGATAATATCATCCATGATGTTGATACCACATGTTGTACAAACCTCTGTTTCTCTTGTGATTGGTTTCATGAGAAGATGTCGTTTATCCGCTTAATATGAAAAAAAAGAAGGAAGAAAGAAATCAATACCTTGAATTTTTATTTCTATCAAATACTTACAAAAATCCTTTGTCTTGAGATAATCATCCAATTCTTGATCGTAAAACATTTGATAAGTGTATTCAGCACCTTTTTTATGTACCAAATATACGCGAGCAAGTTCACGGTCGTACGCATTGAAAGACGGGGTATAATCTTGAAATGTATGGTCCTTCAAAGGTTTCAGAGAACCATTGGCTTGTTGTTTTTCGCAGATGTAACATCGTGATTTATCACGTACCATGACCAGATACCGCATCTTGACTTGTGCAGGGTTGTAGACAATATACTCGTTATACCTAAGAGAATAATCACAATCATCCTTCATCGGAGGAGCTTGCGTAGCTGGACCAAGAGGTATCTTCACCTAATCATCATCACAAAAAAAAAGTATGAATTTAGTCACCAAATAGTATATTTTCTTTGGTGGTAATTTTTTTTTTTTTCAATTCCTTACGCCATATTGATCATAAATGGTATTTATGGGATCCGGTCTCCATCTTCCTAATCCTTTGACAGACAAATGACCTTTATTTTTTGGTTGGTAGAGATCTGGATCATAATAGTAGTTCATTTCACATTCTTCACCAAGTGCCACTTCACATAATAGTAAGGTCGCATATGCTGGTCGTTTTGTACTTCGTGAATAGTTCACAGATTTGCAAAACATATCTGCAAAATAAATTCCATTGCCAAACATTGCACCCTATTTAAAAAAAGTTCAACCAATCAAAATCAATCCAATGATATAGTATACTTACTGTTTCCTGAGCTCGAGGAGGTTTGCATAAAAGTCCTTGATTGAGAATTCCCATATAGTTATCGATTCTTGATCCATGCCAAAGTAGCTTGCGATTAGAGTTGTATTTATACTGCGCGTATCGTTCATTTTCGTTCTGTCGTTGTATCATAAATAAATTGGCGATTTCATACTTGTCATCGTTAGCCGTGGTGCTTTGAATATATTGGTTGATCATTTCATATTCATTGAATGACGATGATGGGAAGATTTCTGTCAGTTGACAACCAAGAGCCCGATAAGCATAATCCAAATGATGAATCTCTGATGATCGATATCTTGCCGCCAAAAGTACATTTGCCGAAAAATTCACGTAACTAATTTCCAACAGTCGAGCCCTTTCCCTTTCTAGCATCGCTTTAGTCAACAAGGGTTCGATTCCTCCATTCTTGAAATCGCTAGGTCGTGGTAAAAGTCGATAATAATCATTTGTTGCCTGCCCAATAGTATGGATCAATTCTATCGTTAGACAAGAAACAAAGCATCAGTCAGTCAAACCAAAAAAAAAAAAGGAAAAAAAAAAAGAGAATATACTTACGTTGCCGAGCTTCTTGCTTTTCCATTGTAGTTACTGAAATTCTCATAAGGATATATTGTCCAATTTTTGGTTCCAATTCATTCAAAATAGACATGGCTTGATCAATACTTGATTGAGGGATTTGACCAATAGGGAGCTCCATATCCAGATGATGATACCCGAGCTTGGCTTCAGCAAAAGAAAAGATGACAGAGATCGTTTGCATCAAACCATGACTAAGTGTTGATGGTACGCGTTCCTCTAACACATCAAAATCAGAAGGATTCATAATCACATCCTTTATCACTTTGGCTTTGATCATGTCGAATTTTCCAGGTTTGTAGACAAACTGAGCATGGCGATCATCCCATTCATTAGCAGTCTTGGCTTGAAAAATAGACTTGAATTCCCGTATAGCATCATCCTTGTCTTGATAAGGTGCTTTTTGATGCCAACCGTCTTCACCAAACGTTCCCCATCGTGTCCAAAGTACATACAGTTTGAGTGTTTGATTGTAAATTACAGACATTTTGTAAAACCTAGGACCAAAATTCATTAGTATAACTTTTTGTTATCTTTTGTTTGTTTGTTTCTTACATGTTGCATCCATAAGAATTTTGATTGACATCTACTTTCATAATCATGATATCAAGAGGTTCATCATTTTCATACACAATCTTTCCAACTTGATCAAGTCCAGATAAGGGATCCACAGGCACCAGATCATCAGGAGTATCAGTTTGTGATTTGAGTTCATCCTTTTGTGCTTGCAATAAATCACGTTCAGCTTCTGCGTCCTTTTCCACTGTATGTAAAGATATGTAATCCATAGGATTGGTAGGTAAAGTTTGGGATATTGCTGGTTCCTTTTCTGATTGACGGAGACCAAGATCTCGTAACGTTTGATACACATCTTTGCATCCACCCACAGCGGCATATTCAATTGGCATAAATCCTTGAATCAAAGTAAACATGAATTCAGTACATTACCTTTTCTTTTTCTTTTTCTTTTTTTTTACATGTATATTACCTTCATTATCTGGAATGGCAAAGATTTGTAGATAATTTGGACCCATTGCCGAAGCCAGATCTTTCAAAATAATGGATACGTCCCGAATATAAGGATATCTCATGGTCACCAAGCAGGAAATCGTAGTTCGTCCTCGACTATCTTGATAAGCCCAATCAATAGGAATTTTGGAATTAGCATATATCAATCGAAGAGCCTTGTATTTGTCATTCAGTATACAATGGAAGATGGCATTGACTTGTTCTTGTTGATCGTTTGCTTTTGCATTCAGTTGACAACTTTTCAAATTGGGATCGGCACCGATTGTCATCAAGTTCTAGAAAAAAAAAAAATAAGAATTAGCCAACTAAGGTTGCTATGGGAATTTCGTCTTTTTCTGACACGGTACCTCAATAAGCTCTTGTCTGTCAAGTCGAATAGCTGCTTCAAGAGGTGTTCTTCCTGTGATCTTGTCAACTATATTCACTTGGATGGTGTATTCAGGCTGCTTTTTCATATAGTCTTCATAGATCCATTCGTAAATATCCTTCTATGTCAATAGAAAGAAAAGTAAACCAAAGATAAGTTTCATTACCTTTTCTTTCTTCTTTTTTTTTTTAATCTATTCATTATTCTTTTTGTTCTTACCCAGAAAATATTGCTATCACTGCCATCACAATATTCAAAAAAGACCTGAGTAAAAAGTGTTCGGCCAGTCATATAGTAAGAAGAGTTCAAATCCACAGCATTGGTATCCAAAAGTAATTTGATATAAGCTTTATTTTTCATTCGTAGATTGAATGCGAAAACAGAGGCATTCTAATAATAATAAAAATGTATACGTATAAGTGCATAATAATTATTTTTAATAATTATTTTTTGTTTTTACCTTCATATTTTGAATGATCGCTTTTCTTTCATCCATTTCATCTACTTGATCATCGCTATCTTGCGGACCCAAGGCGTTCGGAGAAGCACCTGCTTCCAAGAGAACCTACAACATATCAAAAAAAAAAAAAATCAAATTCGCGTATTCATGATATAATGCGCTCTTTTGCTTTTCTATATATATATATATATTCTTACCGTCAACATATCAGCAGATTGTAATGAAGCAGCAAAAAGGGGATGGACGACGATGCTATGAGAGTTGGAGGACAGTAGAGATTGTTGGTTGACTTTGGCACCATGTTTCACCAGTGTCTATAAAAGAAGAAAGAGAGAGAGAATGATGAAGTAAGATTCCTCTATTCTATAATTATTTCTTTTTTATTTGATTGTTTTACTTTGACCATATCAATATTGCCATCACAAATAGAGAGCATCAAGGGGCTGGATCGACCATAACCAGAATCTTCATCCAAACCACAACCTTTCATTACCAATAAATTGACAATGCCTATATCACCTTGAATCACTGCTTGCGAAAGTAAGGAAAGATTTTTTTCCAGTTGGGAGGCTTGCTGGATCATAGATCCATTTTCCAACAACATCTAAAAAAAAAAAAAAAAAAAAAAAAAAAGGGGATAAGGCTACTGAAAAGGTCATAATGATTGTTACCTTGACAGCGTCGATATTTCTTGCTGATACAGCATACCATAATTCCGAATAACCATCTACATCCAATTGATTGAGTGGACAATTAGGTCTAGACAAAAGATGTTTCAATATAGTCATTTGATTCGATTTGGCTGCATAATGTATTGGTGTGCGACCATAAATATCAGCTGTAAGTTCTAAATCGAGGCTACATAATTTTTCAACAAATAAAGGTAGGTAATCTTGCCAAACATCCCTTTGACGGCACATAAAGAAGATGAATAATTATAAGATATCGAAATGGGTGACTTTTTTTTTTTTTTTGCTTTACCTTTTTGTAGGTACAAAATTGCTAATGAGATGCCAGAATGTCTGTTTTGTCTTTTTAGTAAGACTAAGAAGTGTTTCGTTGTCCGCAGATTGGAGTAGCATACTTGCCAAATAGTAGTTACCTAAATCAAACAGTTAATTAATAACTCTTATTGTTCGTCTCTTTTTGTATTTTTTTTTTTTTTTTTACCTGTTTGTAACACAACTTGTAATCCATCTATGAAAATTTCATTAAAATATATTTGATCAGTCTTTGCTCATAGCATTTATATATCTAATTTTGCATTACCCACAATATTCGTGTATTTTCCAAGATCAAGATATACCACGTTCAAGTAAGATTTTCTTACTGCATAAGAGAAAATAGATTCTTTGACACCAGATCGTAAAGTAAGAGCATTTGGAGTCGCACCGCAATTGTAAAGCATTACGGCATAATCCACTCGTCCGTATAGCAACGCCAAATGAAGAGGTGTGTTCTAAGGGAAAAAAAGCAAGGTCAGTTTTTCTTTCCATCATCAATAATAATGACATTTTGGAAATGTTAAGATTTCTTCTTTTTCCGAGAGATAAAACGTACCTGATCCAGATCTTCAGAGTTGATATAGTTATGCTTGTCAAGGAAGAAAGTTGTACAAGTAAAGGCACCGACCATAGCAGCATAATGAAGAGCAAGTCGGCCAAACTTGTCCTTGATATCCATCAGTATCCCAGGAATAGCAGATAAAAATTTGACCACGTCGATAGGATCATTTTGCGGACTCATATCGCTATAGTTTTTCGAAAAAAGGAAATGTTTGTAAGGTTCCAGAACCTGTTGTTCTTCTGCAGATATCATCAAAATGTCCTTGTCGTCGTCTTTATTATTACTACTATCATTGCCGTCCTTGTTTTGCTGACATTCCTTGATTTGAAGATATTCTGACACCTTGTTATAAGAATGCTCGAACCAATCCCGTGCAATCCCACCATACTGATCCAGGTAACGAGTCTTCCAGATATCTTTGTTGTTTTCTTCTTTTTCTTGTCCCTTCATTTGATCTTCCTTTTCCTTTGATTTCCGTTCTTGTTCACGTAGTTGCAAATATTTTTGAATTTGTTGTTGCGTTGTGTGCATCACTGGAATAATATCCTTCTCAGTAAATACAAGATGAAGAGCAGTTCGTCCTATGATCATTCCAATGGAAACACATGAAATAAGTATATAAATACAATAGAAAAAGTCATTCATCCTCTTTTTTTTTTTTTTTTATTTACCAAGCATATCCACGGCATTGATATTGATTTTTCCGGTTTCCAAAAGTAGTCGTTCAATTCGAAAAGTCCTGGACATTTGTTTCATGGTCATACTGATAGCATAATGAAAAGGAGTTTGGAGCTTTGTGTTGACAGTATTGACATTAGCACCATGTTGAAGGAGTAACTTGGTAGCTTGTAGGTTTTCCTTAAGAATGGCCAAATGAAGTATAGAATCTCCATCTACAGATACATTTGGATCAGCACCCGCTTCAAGCAAACAAGCTACTATGTCGTTGAATCCATTAGATACAGCCTGAAAGAGATGAACAGTATCGTTGACACCTTTGATGTTGGGATCCGCGCCATGTTGAAGAAGTCGTTTTACTATGGACAGCTGATTTTTCAGAATAGGAGCTGCTAGACAAGTGGATACGTTGTGGAGAGTGTTGCCATTGATGAGATCTGATATATCACTGGAAGAACAATCTTTCAATAATTGATCAAAGTAGAAATCGAAAAAGGCAGGATTCTTGGTACGAGTAGCCAAAAGGAGAGGAGTATTACCAGCTAATTCATAAATATATACATATAGAATAAGAAACCTTTCTTTCTTTCTTCATCAAAATAGCATCGTATTTTTTTTTTTAAAATTCTTACCAGTGTTCACCACCATATGATCAATAGGATGTTTGGACTTTTCGAATATAATTTTCATGATAGGAATGTTCGACACGCTCACCACCTTCATAAGAATGGATGCACCTTTATTTGTGTACTTGAAGTTGATATCGGCGCCAGCATCCAACAGATATTCTAGGCTTGTGCGATCCATTTCCTTCTCCGTATTGTTCAATAATGATAAGATACAACCAAGAAGAGGAGTTTCATTGGAGCCAGAGGGCATATTGACGATATCACTCAAAGCTGAAGATATAGAATCACTAGAGCTGTTGCTGTTGTCATTGTTTACTGTTGCTGCCGCCGCATCCAAAAAGAGCCGTAAAACGCGAGAGTCGCCATGCTTAACAACTTTTAACAATAATGTCGACCCACGTGTAGAGGTACCAAATTGATGTGTTCGAAAATGTCTAATATCACCACCATGTTGTACCCAAGTAGGAAGAGTTGCTTCAATAAATTTATAGATTTCTTGTCGTTCATCGGTATAGCTTTGTTTCTTTCTTGAAGGATACGAGGGTTGAGGATCCATGGGCCTTGCCATAACTAATTCCGAAAAAGAATGATGTGTTGTCAATTCATTTGGATCCACTCCTTTTTTCACCAAATACAGGAACATAGATACCACCCGATGTTGGGCAGCTAAAAAAAAAAAAAAAAAAAAAAAAAAAAAAAAAAAAAAAAAAAAAAAAAAAAGGAAAGTTATATATAAACGTCAAAACCTTTGTATTTCTTTTTTTCTCATTAGTCATCTTCCTTACCTAGATGAAGACAGCCCGAATTCTTCAACGCCAACTTCAAATCCAAATCAAAATAGGTAATCAAGTTATCCACCAAGCGAAACTAGAAAAAGATGATAAATAATAAAATGAGTGCGTTCAAAAATACTTGGCATGTTCTTTTCTTTACAAAATATCTGAACGGATCATTGTTTTCTACTGGCTGCAAATGAGAGTTGTTGGAGATGTGTTCGATATTGGAGATATAATTGGTCAGGGCATTTTGAACACCATAAACGAGAGGTGTCTTCTTTGCAAGGTTGGCTAAATATAACTATAAGTAAAAAAAAAAAAAAAAAAAAAAAAAAAAAAACTGGTCAGTATACGCCTTTGATCCTTGATACTCACTTACTGTTGATCCCGACATATCATTTGTGCTATCCAAACGTCCTTTCACAGCAGCCCAAACATTATCGAAAGCCAAGGCAAGTTGTTCCTTTCGCCTGTTGTCCATTTCCGATCTGCTGATTGTTGCTGCTTTGTCCACATTTGGTGCTGCCCAAAAATTGTCGACATCCAAGGCAGGTGGTTCCTTGTCGTCCATTTTCGATGTACCTTTTGTTATTGCGTCGTCCACATCTGTTGCTGCCCGAAAACAATAGTGAAAAAAGTTATACCCATGAGACCCCAGCTCGCGCCAAAAGGGAACATCGTGTAAAATAAACCATTTCACCATGGCATGATTGTTATGTTGAATAGCATACGAGAATGGTGATCTTTGGTCGTTATCCAAGATACGAACATCCGCTCCATGTTGATGTAAAAGGTCTGCTAAGGTAACATGACATTCCAATAAATGCCAATCATCCATCGTTTGTGCTGGAGGTTGTTGACTTGAAGGATGATGTAGAGGCATGTATTTTGTGAATCGAGTACATTGAGTGATCAAGTGAAGAGGAGATCGACCTGAATGGAAGAAAAAGAAAAAGTTATATAATGAAATCATTGCAAAAATATATATATATATATATAGATAACGCAACTTACCATCATTGGTCATACGATTTGGATCTGCACCATTTTCCAATAAGAGTTTCACAGTTTCAATAGTTTGCTTTACATCCAAAAGGGTATTGATATCATTTGATATACAGTTATGAAGCATTGTACGGCCATCATCATCCTTGAAATCGGCATCGATCTGTTGAGAATCACCATTGGACAGAATATACTTGACAACGGAGAAATGACCTTTGAGGTTAGCGATCGAGAGAGGACTGGTATGCCACACATTGACAGCACTGAGATCCACCTTACCCATGACCACCAAGAGCCGAAGAACAGGAAGAAAGCCAAAAGCAGCAGCATAATGAGAAGGTCGATTACTTGATGAATCTTCCGAGTCTGCGTCCACACCTTGAGCCAATAGATAATATACCACATTGAAATGACCTTGCATACATGCCAAGTGTAATGGTGTACGCCCAAACTTGTCCACAGCTTCTGGATCTGCGCCTCCACTTTCCACAAGATATCGCACTGTGTCTACATGTCCACGATGAGCTGCCAACATCAAAGGAGTTGATCTATCAATAGCATCAGTCAAATCCACAGTTGCACCACATTCAATAAGAGTCCTGCAAGTTACTGTATGTCCATAGGCTGCTGCAAAGTGTAGAGGACGTGTTTTGTTTTTCAGAAGAGTGTGATCAGCATGTTCGGCAGAAGGAAGTTGATTTTCACTGAGATGAGCAAGTAAAATTTGAATGTTGGCATGTCTTCCATAACGAGCGGCTTGCATCAATGGAGTCATCTTGAATTTGTCACCGGCGTCAAGAGACTTGTAATTTCGTTGAATCAGAAGAGCTAGGCAGGCTGGTGTTGAACTGGCAGCAGCAAAATGAGCAATGGTGCGATTCAAATCATCCGTTTCATATAGATCCGAATCACTCACCATATCCAATAATTTCTTGAGGTATCGATCTGAAGGATTGATGGCCGAACAAGCGATAGGGCTGAGTCGTTTTGTTTCCTTGTTTACTTTCATGATTTGATTTTGTCGAAAAGGTTCCAATTCTTCACCATTGACATACTAAAAATAAAGAAAAGGTTGAGTTTATCTGTATGAGCTATCTACCACACTTTTTTTTTTTTTTTTTTTTTTTTTTTTTTTTTTTTTTTTTTTTTACTTTGAGTGTATTGATATGGAGATGATTGAACCAAGACACATGTTTGTATTCTTCCATGAGTTTTGCTGCCAACAAATGATTCCCAGAGGCAACCGAGTAATAAATAATATCTTTACTCACAAATCCATTGCATTTTGCCAGATAAATAGCATCCATCTTGTCCGATTGACTGGTCAAATTTGTGCGAGTAAGTGATGACAGGATCGCCATTTCAGACCAAGAGCCTCGTTTTTGAATAAATTCTACATTCAAAGGATCCATTATAGGTTCACGATAAAAAGCAGAGTTCCCTTGTCGATTTCCACGGAGTTCGTTCACTTTTCTATAAAAATCAAAAGTAACATAAGTTGCTTGATCATGACTGGTTTCCTAATTACCTAAAAGCATTTCCAAAGCCATCGCTGTTCAAATTGGACCGTGTATTTTTGTTAGTATATGTCTTGAACTTTTTTGGTACAGAGACATGAGAATTGGAACGAGCGTTGCCAAGCATAACCACATGATCGATATTTGTTTGAAGAAGCGCCAGTTGGAAAACAGAGTCGGTACTGTAATGAATATCTTCTTCTTTCCAGAATGGGATGTGTTCGGTATCTTGAAGTACTTGTTCTAATGAGGCCTTGCTGAGATTCGACTGAACAGTATAGCGATACTTCCGGATACTACATTGTAGACAACAGAGCGTAGGGTCTTCTGTAGCCAAAGCATCAACATCTAGATTTATTTTTTGTCGTTGTTGTTGTCGTTCAAGTCGTTCCTGCTTTTTCAATGTTTGTTTGCTTCGTTTGCTGGTCGATCCATTATTGGAGCGTTTCCTTTTGCCGCTTGTGGTTATTGGCGTATCATCAGTATCATCATTGCTTGAGGAATCATCGTTTTCTTGTTGATCATCAAACACATTTTTCAAATGAAAGCAAGCTCTTGATTTGGCGAGTCGGTGAGGTCGTTGAAAAGAAGAAGGGAGGCCGTTTCGATCGGTGATTGAAAACCCAATTTTATTCTTGACAGAAGCATCAAAGGCCTCACGTTGAGCATCTTGCAAAAGGTGGGCTGGTAACCATTCATTTGATCCATCCTGATAATAGACTTGATAATGTAGTTTGTCCTATTTCATAAATAGAGTCAAATGGATATATGTGAGTTTTATGCCGAGTAGAGTTATCATTACATACGTTTTTCAAATAACGGAAATCGTGAATAGAAACAATTGTCTTTTTGGTGTCGACTATTTGTCGTTTTCTAATTTTATTGTTGGTATTGGTAACCTGTTGTCCTTGTTGCTTGTCGCGTATTCTTGCCTATAGAACAGTTTTTCATTTCTATTAGTTCCTTTTGCTTCTTATTCTGTTGTTTTCTTTCTTATTAAAGTTACCGAGCGAGTTCTTGGACGTAATGAGTTTGGTACAGTCATGATTACAAAAAAAAAAAAAAAAAAAAAAGAGAAGAAAAGGAAGAATTCTGGTAAAATGGAGTTAAAAAATAAATTACTAGTGGAGCTCCGCTGGCGTGCAGTTACAGAAAAGACTTCGCCACAGATTTCAGGGACAATTTTTGTTTGTCCCACTCTGCCTTTAAAAGATCAAGCGTAATAAGATCAAAGTTCATTTGCTTCAGATAAATGATTTTTTTTCTCTTTTAGAACGCGGAACAGAAAGAGACGGATTGAAATGATTTTGTGTCCTCTCATTTGAATATAAATGAGTTTATTACAAATGACACAGATCAACATGATCATCATGATTGCTACTTTCCTTCAGCTCGTGATCGTTAATCTCTTTCCTCTTTCCAATATATAATATATACGGTTGAGAGGTGATCATAGGTGGGGTGTGAGGAATAAGACACTGGTTTTCAGACACCGCCGCATGAATGAACAAAGACTGGCTATAGCTCTCTTAGAAAGACAAACTTATTGAAGACATATAAAACAACACAAAAACCCAAGAATCAACCCATCCCCTCTTCCTTTCCATCGTAATAGGTAGGCATCATCAAAAAAAAAGAGAATAAGCACTTGTTGGTAACCATCACTCCATCATTAACGAAGTATTAATTATATGTCTTATCCGCAATCATCTTGGCCGATCAGATGCCTCATATAACAACATACGAGTTTGAATGATTTCTAATGTTTCTTTATTCCAATACAACAAAAAAAAAATAATAAGAGCAGAGAATAAAAAATAAAGGAAGGATGATTTGGGAAGATTCACAAAGAGAAAGGACCTATTTTTGAGCCTTGAGGACACGCTTGACGATCTTTTGTTCTTCAATCAAGAAGGCACGCATGATACGGTTACGGACACAGAGACCGCAACGAGATCCACCATAAGCACGGTTCACAGTCTTCTTGGTTTTGGAAATAGTAGCGAATTCACGAGCACGGAGAGCCTTGATCTAAAGATGTGAGAAATCAAGAAATGAGTGATCCACCATATAAACTTATATTTCTCTATTTTTTTTTTTGGGTTCACTTACACCAGACAAGGTGTTACCACAGTCACCACAACGAGCACCCTTAACAGGCTTCTTTTGGTATTGGTAGACAAGTTTGGCACCTATATTTCAAATAATAAAATAAAAAAAAAAAGATCAATACTGACCATATATAAAATAAAGAGGTAGCGATTGTGTAATTCCTATTGTTGATGCTCGTAATGTCGGTTGTTTCGAAATATTGTATTGATAATCATTCGAGTCGCTTTTTTTTTGTGTTATTTACCAGGAGTCTTGACGATCTTGACACGGTTGGAACGAGTGTTGTAGGAAAGACGACGTCTGTAAGTAACTCTTTGAACCATTGCTGAATCTAAAAAAATGAGAAAATAATGGTACATTAGATCACATGTTACCACATTCAAAGAATCCACCCATCCATTCACCCATCCATCCATCCATCCATCCATCCATCCATTTGAATAATCCATCGTCGTCTGTTTTGGTTTGATATCGTTCATCCTTCTAATTCATCAAATTGATTATTATTTATTTTACCTTCCAAGCTATACGCAGCGAACGGATGTGGTAAAAGAAAGAAAGAAAGAAAAAAAAAAAGAGCTTCCTTCAAAGCACTATCCAATGAACAAACCCGACGGAGAATGAAATGCCTTCTTTTTGTACTTTTGACATTTTTTTTAGCATTTTTAGTCTTTTCTTTTTGTTCTTTTACTACTTTTTTTCCCCTTTTTTTAAATAGTTCTAAGCGTTATTATGTTGATTTTAAAACGTATGTTCAGCATTACTTCACGAAAAACAGCATCAAAAAAACCTCAATTAGATCAAGTCAGTGATATTATGATTCCAGGACAATACCTTCGGTATTTTAAGCCAAAGAAAACAAAATCATTACAACAACAACAACAGCAACAACTAAACCAATCAAGGGTAAAAAAAAAAAAAATAAACGTATAATATATTTATAAAAAGATAAAAGCTCATGACATTCTAATTCTATTTTTTTACTCTTTACTGAAGCACTTGGATCTTTATACAGAAACAGCAAGACCATTACATGGCCATGAATGGGATGCAACACCGACTATCACACAAGAACGTATGGCACAACGGATTCAACGAGCTTTATCAACAGTATATTCTATGGAAGTTTTACCCACACCACTAATTACTCAAGAACATTTGACATTGCGTGGAATTAAAGTTTCTAGAAATTTGAAGAAATGTTTTATCTTTTATGAACCAACATCTACTATCAAGAAACAAAGAGTAAGATAAAAAAAAAAGGTAGATATATCTAGTGAATGACTTTATATATATAATCATTTATTAGGGACAAGTTCATCGTGCATTAATCAATTACTCTCCCATTTTGAATACTCTGATCAAGAATCATGCACAATTACGAAAACCATTATCGATCAAGTTTGTTTCTGATACACAATCCAAGGAACTCGAAGCCATCTATGACAAATTGGAACAAGAAACAGGACAACAATAATAATAGATTAGAAAATAGATGATATCAAATAGTATAGAATATATATATATCCTTTTTTTTTATTTTTATTTTTTTATTTTTATTTATTTGTTTTATTTGTTTGCATTGTAAAAAATAAAAAAAAAAAAAAAAGATGAAACTGAAGAACAGGGAATGTATGTCTATTGAAGAGAAGAGAGGGGGAATCTATCTAAGAATATTTGGGATCAGAATTCGCCTCGCCAAATCCAATTTGACGTCTACCATAATCAAAGACCTATCAAAAAAAAAAAAAAAAAAAAAAAAAAAAGATAAGAAAAGATGATCATGGGGATATAATATATATATTTTACCGTATAATAGTGTTTCATAAAAGTATCACCTAAAATCCAAGTTTCTTCATCATAGTTCAGTACTTGACCCGAGATCCCAGAGAGACACATGGTGGTAGAAGAATGAAGAGGATCCAACACATAAGCCGAACTAGGTAAAGACAAGACATCATTGCCAAGGGAGATCCTGAGAGGTGGTAAAGAGGCAACATCTTTACAAGGAATAGACCAAGTAGCATCCCCATTAGCGACGGCACCAGCAATAGCACCATGGATGGTTTCAGCATCGTCGGGGGTAACAATCAACAACGTCGTCCCACTATCGACAATGGCCTTACGAGCACCTAAACGTACCTGTTTGTCCCCGTTCTGCAAATCAACTGCATCCAACTGAATTTGCCAATAATGATCATCCACCAAAGGACTATAGATCAAACGACCACTGAACCGAGATCGATCGATACCCCCAAAATCAATTTCACCCCCACGTGGTTGAATATAAAGAGCAAACAGTTGATCATCCAATAATTGTTCATCCATCATTGTATAAAACGGAGGTGAGTGTTTGGAACTGGCCAGAGCAGCTAATCCCAAGCCGAAGATCCCATCAAACGGTGTGCCCATAAAATCATGCGATAACGACGTGGCTTCCCCAATCACTTGTTCCTTCAATACCATGCCTCCCACACATACCGTATCTCGTCCCAACCATGCTCTTACATGTCCTGTACCATAATTCACTTCCATCACCTGGCCCGGATCATCCATCTCTTGTTGTTCTTCATTGTCTTCTTCTTCATTCAAACTGCTCACCATCCGATAAGTACGAGATTGTTGTGCTGTATATTGTCGATGATTCGCACAACCTGTTGTTGTACATTTACTGGATACTACCCATACATCAGAACTACCAGTATCAAATACAACTTGAAATGTTTGTGGTGGTTCTCCTACAGTAATATCTCCATAATAACCTATTCAAAATAAAAAAAAAAATTGAGTTTTTTTTTTTTAATTTTTTTTTTTTTTTTTTTTTTTGGGTGTTACCACTGCCATGCTGATAACTCACTTGAGGCACTTTAGCAATAGCAAAGGATTGACTCCAAGGAGAATCATGAACACGAAGTGGGATCTTGAGTGCAGATGATGATGCAGATAAAGGTCTAGCATTGATCGTCGTCAATGTTGCCAAACTAATCCAAGAAAGTGTCAACAACATCATCATCATCTTTTTTTTTTTTTAAAAAAAAAAAAACAAAAACAAAAAAAAAATTGTGTTATGATCATTTTTATAAAGGATGAGATGTGTTTGCTTGACTTTATACAATCCTAGTAGAAATGAACTTGATCCATGAATTTGACCCCTTCATAGATACTTACCCGTTTTTTCCGTTCCGTCCTAGGTCTATCTAATAATCCGTGCCTTTTTTTTTAAGATACATAATGTTTGTTGTTGTCATGATTCTTTAAGAGAATGTAAAAAACTTTTTTTTTTTTTGAGATGTAGGTGGTACAAAAACAAACATAGTTAAAAAACAAACAAACTAGTCTTTACACATGAAAAACTTTATTTTGCATTTCCTTATACTCACTAGACACCAAAAAAAAAAAAAAGGTCATCCCCACATTTTTTTTTTGAATCATCGTAACATTGATTTCATGATAATAGATCAAAAAACATTCGATTTTGTAAAATTGTTGATTTTTTTTTATTGCTTTAGTACAATGAATAAAAAAAAAAAATAATTTATCCCATATGAGGATAGAAATACACTACAATAAAATAAAAAAAAATAGAAGTAACAAGGGTACAAAAATATAAAGAAAAGTGAAAAGAGAAGCTATGTAATAGTGGAATGTGTATAAACAAAAGGAAAAAAAAATGAGGATGATGATCAAGTGAAAGGAAAAAAAAAATGGAAAGGGTTCAAATTACGGAGGTCAAAAGGAATTGTTAATAGGGGAAGATAAAAGGGATAAAGTGTCCAAAAAAAAAAAAATATAGGGAAATAAACTAAGTAGTAGTAGTAATAGTAGTAGTAGTAATAGTAATAATAAGTATAAAAAAAAGTAATCAAGTAAATTCGTATGATATATGAGGATGAAAGAGTATTAATGAGTCAAATAAATCCGGTTGACTGTATGTTGTTGTTTCTAAGCAGAATCGTCTTCATCAAAGAATTTTTCGGCGACAATATATTGATCAGTAGGTTTATAAAGTCGTTTGATACAAGCGATGGTGGATGGAATGGTCATAAACATCCAAGCAGCGATGGGTAAAGTGATATAATCAAAGACGTTTTTCCACGAACGAGATTCAGACTTGGCTTTTCGGTAAAGTTCACGATCCACTATACGATGTAAATGTTCATAAATAGAAAGAGTACCAAACAAAGGAAAAGGTAAAAACACAGTGATGATCTTGACAATATTCCAAAGAGTTGCATAAAAGTCAGAGGTGAGGATAGGATTATCAGCAGGATCCACAATAGCCACCATGGAATGAGGAGGAAAGAGAATAAATTGCATCAAGGGAACGGCTGCAAACATGAGCCAACCAGACGTCACAGGGATCATGTGTGCTTCAAGGACCTTGACACAGATAAGGAACTTATCGAACCAAAAGGTGGGTGACGCATACATGGATGATTTCTTGTCATGTAAGAGAGAACCTACCATATATTTACTGTTTTTGTTACCATCTGCCCATTGTTGTACACCAGCTGCACTACGTAAGGTATAAGAAACATCGGCCACACCATTGTAATGACGTTTGGCTTGAACAAAACGAGCATACATATTGGAAAGATAACCATTGGTTTGAACATTGGTCAAGTTGATAGGTACAAAGATCGGGGCACAACGAGCAAGACCATCAGTTTTGAAGAAACATTTGAGCATCATATGCATATCTTCACCTACAGAATCCGCATCAGTATCCCAATAACCAACACGTTCGGCAAGTACCATAGACAATGAATAAGTTGAACAAGGGAAGGCGATACCACGACTATTACTAAGATTGGACATAACCATAGCAGACCAAGTAATATCCGTCATTCTTACAGCAGCAGGCACATCAAAAGAATTTCGAGAGAAGAAGATGGGTGGTGCAAATAATAAAAAGTAAGGATCTTCAGCTTGAGTAAATGTTTTTTCAACCTATCAAAATAATAATATATTAGTCATCATCCTTATTTATTATTATTATTATTACTTCTTTGACATAAAGTTCAGGAATAGAAGAATCAGAATCAGAAACAGTTAAAATAACACGACGACGATCAACACCACGTTGAATCATTTCAGCACAACCATTTCTTGCAGCCCAGGCCACATTGGAACCTTTTCCACGAGATTCACCAGGGATATCAGAAGGATGTACAGTAACAATAAAATGAAGGAAACTATCCTTAAAGTAATTCGTAAGACTTTCAGCTTTGGGTTCAAATCCAGTTTCAGAAGCTTCCATAGCAAGAATGATGACATAATTGGTTTGAGCATTCCTATCAATTCCCAATAAAATAAAGAAAATATTAGTCAAAAGGAAATATATCCATCAAAAAAAAAAAGTGATCATCTTTCATCATTTAAAAAAAAAGATAATGATATCATCACAAAAAGAAAGGGACAAAAAAAAAAAAAGAAAAGAAAAGAAAAAAGGAGGATATATATATGTATATAGAATGTTTACCTATGATTTGCCAAACGTTTGATAGTATCCCTTAATAAAGCTTCAGGCTCCGCATAGTTCGGCACGATAAAGGCATGGATAAAATGACTATCTTCATATAGTTTCAAACTTGCTTCCATTTCATCTAAACGTTCATCTTCATCAGCCAAAGAAGGATATCGTTCACGGGTAGGAGTAGGTGAAGGAGAGGCAGGAGCAGAAGATGCAGCAGAAGAACCTTTTTCACCATCATTATTGATATTATTATTATTATTATTATTGTTGTCGTTGTTTCGTTCATTCAAGTTCCAGTTACGAATAGTCTTCTTGATATTAGAAACCGTAATCCAAAACTTGAATACATGGTTTATTTGTGTATATAAGAAACAGGTAAAATAGATCAATAAGAAGATGAGATAAAAACGTGGTATCAATAAGGGTCCCAAAGGTAAAAGTAAGATGGATACAATAGCAGCCATAGGAGCTACTAGTTCAAAAGGATAATTCAAAAGTGAAGTCATTCTCTTGTTTCTCTTACAAAAAAAAAAAAGGTGATATAAATAAGTATATAAAGGTAGAAAGAGGAAAAGAATGAGATGAAGAGAAAAGGAAAAAAAAGAAAAAAAAAAAAAAGAGAAAGGGAAAAGAAAAAAGAAAAAGAAAAAAAAAAAAGTGAGAAAAGAGAAAAAGAAAAAAGACAAAAAAAAAAATTTTAGGCGCCAAGTTTTTAATCTCATAGATCGGATTGGGTGCCTAATTTTTTTCTTACACAGGTACCGACGGTATTTTTTTTCTTTAAAAGACATCACAGCAGAAAATCAGAGCCCGGAGAAGAACTAGTTGTATTGTTGTGCATATTGATGCTTACCGTGTACTACAATGATGAATACTGTGACGGTGGACCTTGTATCCAATAAGATGCTTTTATACAAATTAAGATATTATACTACTCAATTAAATAAAAGCCTCGTTTTGTTCTTGGTTCCTTGGCTTTTTTTTTTTTTAGTAAAGAAATTGAGAAATATGATCTCATATATATATATAGATATATATAAAAATCATATATTTCCTTCTCTATGAAGTAATTCCCCCCCCTTGACCTTTTTTTTTTTTTCTTCCCCTTCCCCTTGAAAAAAAAAAAAAGACTGATTAATAGGAAAGTGAAATCAATGATTTTGTGTTTCCCAAATCAAATATATGGTGATTTCAAGAGGAGAGAACGTGCTTATCAAACATGTGATACTACTCACCATCATTCTTTTCTTTACTTCTTTTTTTTATTTTTTTTGATGTTGATCAAACATGGACTTTAATAATCATCAAATATATAAAGCAGGAGGCTAGAATGTATAAAAAGTACACTATTTTACTATCTCTCTTTGTTGTTTTATAGCCTATTTTTATTTTTTTCCCCCTTCCCCCTTTTGTTTTATACCATTGCCACGAGCTAATTTGATTGGCCCATTGCTATTATATTCCAACTCCATCTCTTTTTTGGATGGGGATCGCCCATTTTTGGTTTGACCGATTTCAGTCTCATTCAAATGATTTCATTTATTGTTCAGAGAGAAAAAAAAAAAAAAAAAAAAGTGGCGCTTCAGATTTTTTTTCTTCTTCTCGTTTTTCCCTTTGTCTTTATTTAATATTCAATGTCTTTTACTGCTCCTTTGGTTGATAGTGAAGAATTAGTCAAATTGATTCGTGATCCTACAAAACAAGTTGGTATAGATTATGTTATTGTTGATGTAAGAGATCAAGATTTTATTGTAAGTTAAAAAAAAAGGACTACGCAATGACTACGGAAACCTGTGTGCAAGCTTTTAAAAATTCATGAAACTTTTTCTTTATTATAGGGAGGAAATATACCAGGTGCTTTAAATATCCCGGCTAATCAAATAGTTGACTCAGCAACAGAGTTGGTTCAAAAATATTCAAAAGTACCCGAAATCTATTTTCATTGTGCTTTATCTCAAGTGAGAGGTAAAGTTTATGATCACAAATCTGGAACTTTATTTATCCTTTTTTTTTATTATTATTATTATTTAGGTCCTAAATCTGCTCGTATATATAAAGAATATTTACATCTTCAAGGCATTACAACTGATCAACAGGTATAATATATAAAAAAAAAAATAAATATTTAAAACTAATCATTTTATCATTAAATAAATAGGTTAAAGTGATTCGAGGTGGTTTTGAAGGTTGGCAACAAAAATACAAAGATGAAAAGGATTTGATCGAAAACTATGATCCAGAACTATGGGCAAATGGATGGTGATCCTTTCTATTTAGTTATTATATATATTTTTAGCATACATACATACATATATCATCAATAGCATTCATCATCATTTTTATATCAATTCAAATAAAATCTCATCTCTATTATAGTATTAAAGTTCAGGGGTATGTGATAAAACAGAACATTTGTACCTTCCGACGGTAAATCCATTTACCGCCTTTTTATCTAAATGGAAATATAAGTTCACCAAAAATTGGAGAAACATAGGACAGAACTGATGTATCGTATAAGCAAAAGACATAAAATAAATAAATAAATAAAAAAAAAATGGGGGAAGACGATATTATTTTATTGAAAAAAAAAAAAGAAAATGGAGCATGGATCAAATGTCAAGAGATTCCAATATTCGTCTTTCATTTTTTTTTTTTTAATTTTCAATACCTTTGACTACCATCAAAAATGTCTCATATTCCGTTGTATGTGTGTGTGATGCTTTCAGATGACTCTTTTTTATAGTTTTGTTCATGCAAATTTAACTGCCGCAACCAAGTAACATGAAATAGGGAATATCATCTCTCCTTTAATCAGGAACAAAAAAAAGTGATATGGAGTATCAATCAATCTTTTTTTTTTTATGGATAAAATATCTTTCCCTTTCAAATCCTATGACACTAACACACATATGCTCTCCTTACTGCATGATATGGTCCACATCAAAATCATCTCCTCATGTCATCAACAAAAACCATCATCCTTTCTCATCATACAAATCTCCATTCATCCATCAAAAAAAAAAAATTGAATTCAATGAACTATTTATTGAATAATAAACTACTACAATGTCCAAGGAGAAGAAGCCAATCCATTTGTCAATAATTCCAAATCACCCTGTTGATTGACAACAACGATATCTTCCAAACGAATACCGAATTGTAAAGGAACATAAACGCCAGGTTCGACAGAGAAGGTAAAACCAGGTTGTAATGTACATTCAGTATTGCCTTGATTCATATAGGGATCTTCATGCATTTCCAAGCCAATACCATGACCCAATCGATGAGTAAAGAAATCACCCCATCCAGCTTGTTCAATCACGCCACGGGCGGCCAAATCCACTTGTGCACATGAGTGACCTTGTTTCATTGTCTTGAGTACTGTGTCTTGCGCACGTTGGACGGTATACCATGCCTCTTCCACTGTTTTGTTGTTATAATCCTGTAAAAAGAATGTCCGAGTGGTATCTGACTGATAACCATATAATTCACCACCAGTATCGATCAATACCAAACTGTTTGACTGCACTTGATTGGTCTTGCCAGGTTGACCATGAGGAAAAGCTGCATTGTCGTCCACCAAGGCTACCACCCAGGTATGAATCAAACCAATATGCTCCAAGGCCTGTGTCATCTTGTCCGCAATCGTATTCTCTGTCATTCCTACTTGTACATGTCGTTTCACCGTTCGGATAGCTAATTCTGTCAATTGATTTGCACATCGCATGATCGCCAATTCTTCGGGAGATTTGACCATTCGTAATTGTTGTACTGTTGTCGAAGCCATAATGACATTGTTCATCACACGTTGTAATCCATCCACAATAAAGAAACGTGTACTCGGTTCCACTTGTACTGTTTTCACATGACCCAACACTTGTTTTGCTGTTTCAAAAGGAGAGCCATGTTCTACCCAAGCAACCATATGGATAGGGATAGGCAGATTCGCTTGACTGACTTGTTCCTTGGCCCGAGTTTCTTCAAATAGAGGTGTGATGATGGTCATATCCAGACCAGTGATGGATTGCTGATTGCGCGTAAACACTACTAAAAATGGTCGTTCTGTACGAGACCATGTCATGTTGGTATAATAGATCATACTAGGAGATGGCTCCAGAACAAATGCAGAATCATCATCCAAGGCTTTGGCCAATCGTTGTTGTCTTTCAATATACTGTGAGCCTGGTATCCGACTGATCCCATCGCGACATGCTTGTCCTGCTTGTGTCAACTTGTCCAAATCATGTTGCCAAGTATCATCACTAGGTTGTTGTTGTTGATATGATTGAAGCATCCAAATACCACATACAAGTGCCAATAAAACTCCCAATGCTAATATTACTCGAAGAAACTATTGAAAAAAAAAAGACTCTTTCAGTATGCTAAAGAGAAACTAGTCGGCTTTTTTTTTTTTTTTTTTTTTTTTTTACCATTGATCTTTGTTTCATTTTATTCCAATGATTGCCACCTTGAGATGGTTGGAGGAAAGGTGTCGTTTCATTCACATTTGCCATTGAGATATATAAAAAAAAAGAAAAAAATAGAAAAAAAAAGTGAGGCAAAAAAGTAAAAGAAAAGTAAGAGAAAAAGAATCTTTTCCTTTTTCTTTTTTTTTATTAGCCGGCGTGTGAATTTACTTACTATCTATCCTTTTTTTTTTTTCGGTGTAGCACACACACATATAGATTACTCTATAGCTAGCCATCCATAATAAAAAAAAAAAAGGTACTACGTAATTATGATTTTTATTTATTCAGGAATCTATCAAAAAAAAAGAAAAAGGATCAATGTACAATATAAATAATGATGATGATGATGACAATAAATAATAGTGTATGAATAATAATAATAAAAAATAATAGTAGTAATAGTAATAATAACAATAATAGAACGTAGTAATTGTAAAATGATGATGATAAAAGGAGGACTATGGAGGAGGCATACGTGGAGTTGAAGAAGAAGATGAAGAAGAAGAGGGTTTATCTATATAATAAACACCGGATGGATTGGATTCATTGTTATTGTTATCGTTGTTGTGTGAGGAGAATACTTGGTTAGAAACAGAATAATACATTGGTTGTTGTTGATGATGTGGATGATGTGGATGATGTGGATGATCTGGAGGTGGAAGAGCTTGAAGTGGTGGATATCCTGACGCATCATGATGAGGAAGGGAAAGACGATGATCCATAAGATATGCTGATGGTGGTGGCTGAAGCTGTTGTGGAGTAGGCGTATTTGTTGGATTGGATGAAAGATCGGTTATATGAATCATTGAATCCTTTCGTGAAGTTGTCATAGTAGGTCCAAGTGGATTTGGCATCATATTTGAAGTTGATTGAGGATGAGGGGTTGATAATCGAAGAGTATGAGGTGAAGAGGACGTGGAAGTTGATGATGGTGGTGTAATTGGTATTGTATTGATCGTACTACTTGTTGGATGTTGTTGCTGATGTTGCTGTTGTTGCTCATCCGATCCCATAGGTAACGGTGGACGACCGGTACTGTATAATATAGGTTGACGATCCATATGACCTGTTGGATGTTGTTGAGAATGATGACTAGTCATATATCTTGGAGAAATAGGAGTTGGATGTGGTACTGTTGATGATGATGATGTTGATGATGATGACGGTACAGCTGGTGATGGATACACAGGGTATAATGTTGATGCGAAATAGGGAGCATCCCGATAAGGCGGTGGATATACAAAACCAGATGAAGGTTGATCTTGAGCGGATACATTTGGTGGTTGTGGCTGATGATGATGATGAGGTTGTACCGTTTCAAGTTGCCGCATTGAAAGTGATAGTTCAGGATGTTGTTGTTGTTGTTGTTGTTGTTGAGGGATATCCATCAGTATAGGAGTTCTTTGTTTCTTTTGTTGAGATATATCATCTGTTTCAACAAAGTCTTCAGAAAAAGCCAAAGATCGTGATCGCCGTCGTTGAAGCTGTTGTACATCTTGAAGAACACGATGAGGATGAAGTTTAATATAAAAAACCTGTTGTGGCATAACTACAGCTGTAAATCCTTTTGGAGTTTCTGGTCCAGATGGTTTGCTACTTTGTTTCCGTATTAAAGATGGTTTTGTTGCCTATACAGAAAGACAAAAAAAAATATTGTTTTTTTTTCATTAGTATCAGAGTCTTTAAACATATAGATATATATATATATGGCTTGCCTCATCTTGTGATGAATCACCAGTAGTATCCATGATATCCTGACTAGCTTCTTGTTCAATGTGTTCTTGCATAAGTGGAGGCGGCAAAGTGGAGGAATCAGTCTGAGTCATACTACATAATTTGTCAACAATTTTATTGATATCTAATTGCACCATATCCGTAAGTTCTTGACTTCCAGCAGCAGTGGCAAGAACATTTGACCAAAGTCCATTGAGTTGTTGTACACGAGATTCTGCATCACGAATGCGGATCTTTTGTCGTTCTTCAGAAAGGCGGTTGTAGAATCGTCGTTCGTTCCAAGGAATATGAGAGAATAAAAGTTGGACGCGTGTTCGTATATCAGGAGTAGGTAAACGTTGTCTAGCTAATTCACAGATGAGATCAAGCATTTCTTTAGGCCAACCTTTTTCTATTTCTTCAGGACGCATGAGTTCATGATTGTGTTTGGAAGCTTCAGGATTGAGCGATTTTCTGAATTCCCATGTACCATTGTTTTCATTTAATACTACACGCCATCGACAGTCGCATCTTTTAGAAGGTCGTCGACGTTTTGGATTAGATTTAGGATTGCGTAAAGAATCAGGAAAACCTTCTCTGGAACAATAAACATAAATATTCTATTTCAGAAAGAAAAGAAAAAAAAAAGTTAAGTGGCGACATAAAAATAAAATCATTTGATGAAATCATTACCCTATAAGTACTTTGTTCTTGTTTGATAGTAAATCCATGACGAGCACTTAATCTTCGACAATAATCAATAGCATCAACACTATTAGAAAATCCTTTGGAAAGTATATCAGCATAAAAGGAATCCAACTAAAAAAAAAAAAAAAAAAAATCAAATCAATGAAAAATATTTTCCCCTTTTTAAACCTTTTTATTCTTACTGAAGTATCAAATGTAGGTTGAAAATTTGAGTCGTGTTGTTCACTACTTGAGTCTGTCATGGTTGACTATATATATATATATTAAAAAAAAGTGAGTTAACCGAGGTAATGTCGTGTTTTTTTTTTCGTCATTACCAAAAAGTTTGTATATAAAGTAAGATGACCGAATAGTTGTATACAAGCTGGTCAAAGTTGAAGAAAGATAACTATCAAAAAAAAAGGGTCAGTTAAGCTGAGAGTTGACATAGAGCGGAATACCTTTTCAATCCAATAACTAATAGAAAGAAAGAAAAGTATGAAAAAAAAAAAAAAGAAAAGAAAGAAAAAAAAAAAACAAAAACAAAACAAAAAAAAAATTAACATCTCCTATTTTCACTTCTCACGAAAGTTTAATCGTCTTATTTCACTTTTATTTCTTTTTACTTTTTGTTTTTTTATTTTCAATCTCGACTTGATTGAACTTTTGACACTTTTTGAAACATCTCCAATCGCGATCTCCATAATGATCCTACTTAAGCTTTTGTGCCACCGGCGGGAATGCGAGAATATGCGGCTCTGATAATTTTTCTCTTCTTCCCTTAAGACTAACCCCTGAGTCCATTTGTTTCAATTACCGACCCTATATTCTCCCCCCCCCCTAAAAAAGGACACACGGTCCAACTATTGAAAATGTCATAATTTATCAATTTCATCATCATCTACTTGCTTTTAAAATAAATCTTTAATCATATCATCATTCTTATCATATTACCCATCTATACGTATATGTACGCATATATATATATATATGTATGTATGTATATATAAAAGAAAAATGATAGATATATTTATATTCCATCTATTCTAAGCTGTGATCGACAACGCTAGTGTTTTCTTGGAAAAAGACTGACATTCGCATGTCAACCATATGCGTAACCATTTCCCAAAAAAAAAAAAAAAAAAAAAAGAGAGAGAGAGAGAAATCAGCCACCTGTCCTTTCTGTACTACCTCTTGTATTTGATCATATTAATACTCGTCATCAGTCAAAAGTAATGACATTGACTCTTGGAAAACAATGCCCTTTTTTTTTTTTTAGTTTAGTTTATAATTGAATACTTTGTTTATATTAATCATCATCGTGGCAAATATCGTAGCAAGCAGTATGCCCAACATCACAAAGAATTTATCATCCGTTCGTCCATCATCCATCATTACATATCATATCTCATTCATCAACATCATCATTCATACAATCATATATTATCATACATCATTCATTATCATATATCATCATCTAAGAAGAAAAAGAGGGAGAAAAAAAAAAGACAAATTCCAATGGATTTTTTTGATGTTACACCCTATTCCATTGTGTAATACTTTTTAACCTTCCGTTCAATCATCATTTCATATAGAAAGGGAAAAAGTGATACATCCTTTTGATGACCTGTACAATGATAAGGGCCACACTTTGAAAGTACATGATCTGATATATACAGATACTACGTCGTCGACATCCTCATGGACGGAATATGTGTAAGAAAAAAAAAACCTACTTGAACAATAAGAAAAAAAAAAGGGGGAAGTTACCATTGTTTGTTTTTTTTTTTTTTTGGTCACGAAATCAATCAAACTTTCCCGCCCTTTTTTCCTTTTTCCCCTTAACGGATTGAAATGCCGAAAATAGAGGGAGTTGTTCTTTTTCTATACCCAAAAAAGAAGAGAAACCTACTTTCATGTACCACGCGCAACCATTTTTAAACTTTAAAAAAAAAAAACATTTACATTGTCAATTTTATAATGAAATAGTACATCCGAGTCACTTTTTTTTTTTTTGGGCCCTACAGATCATCCTAAAGAGAAAAAGAGGAAATGTAAAACGATTTCCTTTGGAGCCATTTTCTTTTTTAGGAAACGATCTTTTTTTTTTGTTGTTTTGTACTACTTTCCATCAATGATAATTGTCATACATCAGATGCGTCAAAGTGCATCCATAGGATGATGTCAAAAGAATAGATGAATGAATCATTCTTTTTGAAAAAAAAAAGAATTCATATAACTCACTTTTGAAGAGAGAGAAAAAAAAAAAGACATCATGGAGAAAAAAAATGGTAAACCGTTAGATAGAATCATACACATGAAAAAAAAAACCAACTGGTTTCACTTCTTTAATCCCAGCTTCATCCAACCATAGTTTGAGAGACGGAACTAAAACATTCATTCTTACCGTGCACCATGTTAATTCCCCGATTCATGCAGCTTGGTCTCCACCAATCCAGGTCATAAAAGGAATAATTTTTAAATTTAACATGTAAAATTTTATAGAACCAAAACGTGGACATGGAAGGATGAGCCCCGTACATTCTATGATTGTTGCGACAAATTAGTACATTCATACAATGATATCTGCAGCATAATATATGAATGATGAGTCAATTGTTGTTTATCATATGATGATGATGATGATGATGATGATCACGCCTATTGCTCCAATAATAATGAAGCTAAAAGATCTATCACTTTCTTTTTATAACAACATTTTGAAATATTACAATAATCTATCTTACAGTATAAAGGTTTATTCATGATTTTCAATAAAAAGGCCTAAAACCAATATAAACATAAATAAAAAAAAAGGTAAAGAATCAAAAGAAAACTAATTAATATACATGAACTAACTAATAAAGCTTTTCAAAATCCAGAGTCAAATTGGTGGTTGAAATGATACCAAAGGCCACACCATGAGTTTTCAATCCATCAGCATGGAACGAGTTTTTGGGTAATGACCATTTGTATTTTCGTACTACCATAACAAGAAAAAAAAGATATAGAACATGAGATCATTAATAAAAAATAAAAAACTACATCTTATGACTTACATAACATGGACATCACCACTCGTTGTTCAATCAAACTAAACTTTTGTCCAATACATATTCGACCTATTCAATATATATAAGAAGAAAGATCGATAAATAATGAATCACATTGCTTATTCTGAATAAATCATATATATATATTGACTTACCTCCACTTGAGAAAGGAATCCTATAATAATAATAATGATGATAAGTATTCCTAAGATCTTTTTTTTTTTTTTTTTTTTTTTTTTTTTTTTTTTTTTTTTTTACTTTTGCGTCTCTTTTTCTTTTGATAATATTATACTTACCATGACAACCCACTATTTGGTTGTTGATCAGCTTCGCCACCAGGTAAGAATCGATCAGGGTTGAAAACCAACGGCGATTCCCACACTTCTGGATTACGATGAACGTTCAAAATATCAGCAGATACTAGAGATCCTCGAGGCAGAAATATTTGTCCCAAATATGTATCTTCCATGACTATTCAATAAAATAATAAATGATTTTAATTTTTTTGGTTTATTTGTTTGTTTGTTTACCTTCACGTGCTGTTGTACCGAGAACTGGGTTATGTAGTCGCATTGTTTCCTTCATCACTGCATTGAGATAGTTCATCTTTTTGGTATCCTCATTTGTAGGCAACACATCCACAGGTTTGTCCCCCAAAATAGAAATGACTTCACGTCGTGCCTTTTCTTGCATATCCTATATCAAAAAAAAAAAAAAAAAAGATACAGCGTTAGTAAGCATCCAATGTCTGGATGTAAAACAAAACTTACTGGATTCACTGCTAATTCATACATCATAAAAGCCAAGGTAAATGCTGTTGTATCATGACCTGCCAAAAAGAAGATACATAGATTGCTCTTCCAATAAATAATAAAAAAAATTGGAGTGTTAGAAAGAAATACCATCAAAAACATAATAATAAAAAAGCTTACTCTTAGTTCTTCGTTTGAGAGAGTGGCATTTTCACCTTGTTCGCTTTCAATCATCAAGGAAAGTAAATCGCGTTCTTCTTCATCCATCACTTTATCATGATTATGTTGATTTAATAAGAGTCGTTTTTGTTCAATAATTGTCCCCAGCATGTTCAAAAAGTTGGTCAGGTTATCGTGAATACGTCGTCGTTTCGGGAACCAATTCAATAGTTTCGTATCGAAAATAGGGAATAATAAGAAGAAGGGATCCAACATACCTTCCTTTACACTATTGTAATAATTCACCCATTGATTGTTTCGATTTTCAAGAGCATGGAAATCAAAACCTAAAATAATCATAAATAGAAATTTAGAAGGATCGATGATGAGAAGAAGACATTTACCAAATCCAGCTTTGCCAATTGTATCCAAGGCTAATCGTTCTGACAGATCTAATACATCAATAGTCGTGCCTAAAGTCTCCATGGTCTTGAACATAGTTTGAGTTAGTTCACCGAAAAGTCGTACAGGCATTGCTCGATTAAAGGCTGGATTTGCAATCTAATAATAAAATAAATAAATAAATAAATAAAGTTCAGAGGACCCATTCTTGTCAGTAAGTATTTTCTTACTTTGCGATGTCTTCTCCAATCCATTCCATTCAACATAACAATATTGTCTCCACCAATGAATCGATTCATCAAAGTTCCTTGTATACCTTGATTCAAATCTGACTTTGGAAAAGCATCTAAAAACAGATAGACAACGCCTATAAATCTTTTCTCTTTTTTTTTCAGTGTATGCATTTTTTTTTTTTACCTGATCTGTTCAAAAGTTGTTTAATGGCAACAGGATCTACCAATTCAACTGACCAAAATCCAATAGAAGGTCGCTTTCATATAGAAAAAAAAAAGGGATATTAGATATGAAATGAATCTATTAAAAAAAAGTGTTATTTTACCACATATGCACCAGGAGAGTTTTTCACCACAGGTAAACAAATTTGTTTTGAATAATAATCCACAGTAACATTAGTAAGTAAAGCCTTGAAAAAACTATAAAAGTTGGTATGTGGTAAATGTCGTAAACAAGTGGGTGGACTACTTATTTTCTTATGGAATGCATAAAGTAATGTCAAACTAATGGCTACAGTGATAGTACCTTTTTTCTTCAATAAAGGAAGGATATAATGATAAAAAACACGTTCAAAACCATTTTCTTTTATCAATTGAAGAATGGTCATACTATATATAAATAATGGTGAGAAAAAAGAAGAAAAGAAAAGAAAAGAAAGAAAAGAAAAAAAAAAAAAAAAAAAAAGAAGAAACATAAAATATATTCAAAGTCGGTCATCGAAACCGACAGTTGAATTTTACCTGTGTCACTTAAGAACGGGCCGATAAACGATCCTGATTTAAGGTTTCTACAAGAAATAATTTATGGTCAATACACGCGTCTTTCTCAAAAATAGAAGGTGAACCCTTTTCTCCATTCATTTCATTGTTGTCAATGTACTACATATACACACACACACATTATAATGATTTTTATTCTCATGTCTAATCACTTGTTCAATAAGTTATCAGGGATATTACAATAATAGAAAACAATTATATAATAAAAAGATGCCAAATATATATATATTTTATTTATAAAACAAATATGATGAAATGTAAAACTATAATGAAATGGTAAATGTATATATATGTGTATGAGGTAAATAATAAATAAATAAACAAAAATAAAAAAAGTAGAAGAGAACCAAATTTCACATATTCTATATCTCATTTTAAGACCTATCAAAAAAAAAAAAAAAGATTAATCATTTAATCAGTCATAGTATTCCTTTTCACTTACATCTTAAAATCACAATGTTCTTCTACAGATCCATGTTCACCCTTGAATTTATAATCGATAATAATATCCAAATCACGAGGATTTCGACTATTGGGAGCGCAATCAATAGTACCTTCAATAGATTCACCTTTGTTGATAGTCAAAGTTTCAGGAGTATAGAATACAGTTTGTTTCCAGTGAGTATATTTAGCATGAGGACCAGTTGAGAAGTAAATAGGTTTGTGGCATTGAGTGAATCCAATATCAAACCAACAGATAAAAGCATGTACATAATCATCACGAGTAGCTGTGATCTTGAAAGGTGCTTTGAATGTCAAATCTTCCTTTTTGACTGTCAAAATATCGATTTCCTATAGATGATATATTAGAATATATATATTTATATATATTATTTTGCATATATGTTTACCTTGAAAGCACAAGCATCCGATAAGACAGCATTAGCATCTACAGTATCGACCAAAGGTTCCTTGATGGCAAGTTTCTTGATAGAAGAATAATCAAATCCATAAACATCATCCCAGTCTATATAGAGAAAACCATTCAATACATCATCCTTCAAATTCCTTTTTTTTTTTTTTTTTTTTTTTTTTTTACTTACAGTTGATCTTTTCATCTTTGTATTCACCGTCTTCAATAGCACCAATATACATTGTAGCCTTATCAGGGAAGATCATACCATCTTCAGCCAAGTACTTGTCACGAGCAACTAATACGGTATCCAACATGGATTCATAGAGTAAAAAGTAACCCATCCATTCTGAGATAATGATATCGACCTTGTCCACAGATAATTGGACTTCTTCCATTTTTCCTTGAATCAAAGTGATTTTATCAGCAAAACCATTATCATTGACAATTCTCTGAGCTTGATGAATGATATTTGACATATCGATCTATCATAAAAAAAAATAAAATAAAGTAAATTATCGGTTCCATGTAAATCATTCAGAAATAAATAAATAAAATAGTGACATTACACCATAAACATGTTTAGCACCAGCCTTTGCAGCAAACATAGATAAGATACCAGTACCACAACCCACATCTAAAACAATCTTTCCTTCAAACAAGTGTTTGTTTCGATAAATGGATTCACGATAAGAGATGGTTCGAACTTCATCTTTCAACATTTCCTATTCATAATAATAATAATAAAAGCTAGTCAATAAAATAACAACCTCCTTTATTGTTTATTTTGTTTTACTTCATGAATACCTATCAATAAAAAAAAAAAGAAAAGGTGTTAGCTTAGATCTAGTTTTTGTTGTTCTTTGGTTGTTTTTTTTTCTTCTGATCAAAGTCAGCTCTTTTATCCTTTTTTATTATTTATTATTATAATTACCAAAGTGAGCATAAGAATCAAAGTAATAATCTTTGCTGGTCAAACCAGTAGCATCAGTTCCAGTAGCAGCCATGACAGTTATATGCTCAAGTAGAAAAAAAAAAAAAAAAAAGGTGGAGTAAGAAGGAGAGGGGAAAAAAAAAGGTGGAAATGTCTATTGAAAAAAATTTTCTCTTATTTGGTTCTCCTATTTTCACATCCGCCACCAACCAAGCTTTACCGTGCATTTGAAAGAAAAAGTAAATCCTCTTTTTGCATAGGGGTACACTTCTTGAAGTGATGTTTCTATTAAGTATTGATTAATCTTGTAAACATTATTTTCTTTTTTTTCTTTTTATCTTTATATATCTGTTCATAAAATATTCAAGGTAGTATTTTATCTTTATCTGAAAGTAATGGTGGATTAGCAACAGTTACGTTTAAGCTAACTGTGCAAAGTAGTATGCCATTACAGGTAATTTATGCTGTTGATGTAAAACGGTATTTGCTTTGAAATACGGTGGCAAACATATTCTAACCTTTGGATATCCAGGGCAAGCAATGATGGCTGTCCTAAAAAGATCCTGGGGTTGTGTGAATACTTGCGGTTATGCCAAATTCAAAGTCGTCAGATACTTTAGTTTTGTATTTCCCACAATATAAAAATAAAAAGGAGAATAAGATCATTGTACTTTGTTCCCTTGATCAAACATCATTGATTTGACCTTCCGATCAAGCGACCGATGATTAAATATATACTCAAAGATGGATCACTTCCTTTTCTTTTCTTTTTTTTTTTTCAAAAAAAAAAAAAATTGATTTCTCTCGGTTTCTTCCATTATTCAACTTTATCCCATTGATCAAAACATCATTGATTTTATGCAGTTCCGATCAAACGACCGAAAGGGAAAAATATACTTACACAAAGCAAACAAAATGATAATATAAAAAAAAAAAGGAATTGATTTCTCTCAGTTTCTTTCTTTTCATTTGATTTTAACAATGAAAGAAACCGAAATCCTATTGGAAAATAATGACACCAAAATAAGTATGCCACCACCAGCATATCGTCATCATCCAACTCCACCACCTCATTATCCATCATCACCTCTACCTGCTTTTTCCATAAAATCAGATGATTCTTGGACTTTGATGATGAAACAACCATTTTATAAAAGATGGTTTTATCTTTTAAAAAGTTGGCATTTAGTATTTCAACAAGGAAGATGGGTTTGTATTGGCGTATTTTGTTTTATTTTAATGACCATCATCTTAACTACTATCCTTCTTTCTATAAAGATATAATAAAAATAAAAATCTCACACAACTATTATGCAACCGGAGTTTTGATATATTTGTAGTTTTACTTATTTTCCTTTTTTTTTTTCTCTTTCTTTTTTTTTCTTTTTTCCTATAACAAAATAAGATGAGTAATTATAAAAGATTACAGATAAGTGAATCCAAGTTAAATCATATACTTGAATACAATAAAAAATTAGCGGAACAATTAGAAATGCCATGTATATCTGTCAGTGAAGCATCTGAAAGGTAAAAAAAAAAAAAAAAAAAAAAAAAAGAAAGAAAGAAAGAATTCATGTGATTGGTTGATATAGAATAACATTTTTTTTTTATTTAATTTGAATAAGTATGATTCGGTATTGTAATTCTACCAAAGATCCATTTTTACCATCAATATGGGGTAAATTAGATAGTGAAGATGATCCTTTTGCGCCAGTATCAAAAGGATGTTGTAATATCATTTAAATCATCATATGGGAATTCCGTCTGTGTCCGAATAGAAACCCATTATTTGAAAGCTTGAAAATAAAGTTGATCATTTCAACTTCCGGCTAGTGTTCACTTTCCCAACAAAAAAAGCGGATAGCTCACCTATTTTAGTCATTCTTCCACTCCCCATCTACTAAAATTTCCTTCCGAATCACACTTAAAAACTTCTAATATATGTAAATCAAACCAATGATAAATCTTTTTTTTTATTTTTATATACTTTATAGTAATAATGATGATCACATGTATTCATTCCGAACCACGGCAACTATTTTTTTTTTTTTTTTACCATAATGACTCAACAAAAAAAAAAAAAAATCTGTCAGATCACCCCACACTTTATCTATTTCCATATAAAAACTCATTTTTTTCTTTTCTTTTGTCTTTTCTTTTTATCATATTATAATACCTTTTTTTTTTTTTTTTTTTTTTTACAAATCATGATTGCTTTAACCACTACTTCAAAATGGATGATGATTCGTCCTATGACTTTGACTGCTACAAGATCTACTTTATTCCTTCAACGTTTCTCTACTATTCAAGAAGAAGAAAAAATGGAACAATACAATCATCAAGAAGATTATCATCATCATCAACAAGTTGCTCCTTTGACCAATCCTACTATCTATACTGCTAATCAAGATATTCTTTCTTTTGATCAAGTGGTTACTCCCTTTAGTCCTACTGTCAATGCTGTATTTGATGAATAATTAATTATATACAACATTTCTTTTAAGATACCATATTTTTCCTTTGTACATACATAATAAATTCTTTCACCTTTTTTATCCTAAACTGGAAGAGAGTGGCGGGATTTTCAAACACCGTTTTTGACTGGGAGGGTCCCCGCAAGAAAAAACTAAACAAAAAATTTTTTCTAATTTTTTTCTTTTTCTTTTTCTTTTTTCTTTTTCCCCTTTCATACCCAAACTATAAGTTTAATTTCTTTTTTTGTACCATATCCACCAAGGAGAAAAAAAAATAAAAAGAAAACATGTCTGACAATGCCATCAAGATCTTCACTGGCAACTCCCATCCGGAATTGGCCAAGTTGGTTGCTAAGCGTATGGGTATCGATCTTGCTAAAGCTGTGGTGACCAAATATTCAAATCAAGAAACTTCAGTGACCATTGGTGAATCCGTTCGTGATGAAGATGTGTTTATTATTCAATCTGGTTGTGGTGAAATCAATGATAACTTGATGGAACTTTTGATCATGATCAATGCTTGTAAAACCGCCTCTGCTCGTCGTATTACTGCCGTTATTCCATGCTTCCCCTATGCTCGTCAAGATAAAAAGGACAAGAGTCGTGCTCCCATCACTGCCAAACTCACTGCCAATATGATCACTGTTGCTGGTGCTGACCATGTTATCACCATGGATCTCCATGCTTCTCAAATTCAAGGTTTCTTCAATATCCCCGTCGACAATCTTTATTGTGAACCTCCCATGATCAAGTATATTCGTACTCAAATCGACAATTGGAAAAATGCTATTATTGTTTCTCCTGATGCTGGTGGTGCCAAACGGTAAATACACAATAGAAAAATAAAATAAATATTCATTTCTTTTTTTTTTTTTGTTTTAGTGCTACTGCCATTGCTGATCGACTCAATTTGGATTTTGCTTTGATTCACAAGGAACGTAAAAAGGCCAATGAAGTGTCCCGTATGGTGTTGGTAGGTGATGTACGTGGCAAGATTGCTATTTTGGTGGATGATATGGCTGATACCTGTGGTACTCTTGGTTTGGCTGCTAAAACTTTGGTCGAAAATGGTGCTGAAAAAGTCTATGCTATTGTTGCTCATGGCATTTTATCTGGAAAGGCCATTCAAGTTATCAATGATTCTGTCATTGAAAAGCTTGTCGTATCCAATACCATTCCTCATCACGATAAGATGGCCATCTGCCCCAAATTGGACGTCATTGATATCTCTCCTACCATTGCTGAAGCTATTCGAAGGTATGTATCATGAGTATATATATATGTGTGTGTGTGTTTTGTGTGTGTGTATGATCTAACTAACTTTTTTTTCTTCTTCTTATTAGAACACACAATGGTGAAAGTGTGTCTTATCTTTTTAGCAACATCATTGAATAAATAGATACTTTTTATACTCCCTCTGTTTTTTTTTTTTTTTTTACATCCTAGTCATCCATCATCAATATATATTTACCGAACTCATTTTACTATATTTATATTTATTCATCCATCATCATCCTTCATCATCATCCCTTTACTTTTTTACATTCATCCAATAAAATCAAAATAGAACAAGATGATTTTTTTATATACATATATATATTTACGACATTCCTCTTTTTTTTTTTTTTTTTTTTTTTTTTATCTTTGACAGTACAAAAGAAGAAATGAATGGCGATGCCTAATGTGAACGATCAACGTGTATCCCAAGAAAAGAAAAAATGGTTGACAACGTGGTGATTTCATAAATGAAAAGTGAATCCAAATTCGTTCTAATCTAATTCGGAAATTTCGTTAGGTGTTCCTTTTTAGTGTGAAGAGAACTAGAGATCGATGTTGTCTGTGTAGGGACATAACGAAGAGGCTTTACTGATCATCTTGTGCGTGCCTTTTTTTTTTCTAATGTAATTGATGTATTGCTGTATTGAAGACTATGAATGAAGAAAAAAAATAATAGCAAAGTCGATGAGAGCATATTGGAAGGGAAGAAGTATGAGGATCAGGGATGAATATATGGTGCTGTATTTGAAATGCATCAAAGTATATCCTGTTACAAAGTTGTCAGCCGTTGAATCATTTCTTTTTACTAGTCTTTATTGTTACATTTTATTGGATCAAGAGAGCAGTACTTATAAACAGTATTTTTTGTTATATTACAAAGGTCTGAAAAAAAAAAGAATCAGTATAATATGACTCTATGTTGATAGTATGATGGGATAATAGTTAGATGATAATAATAAAAGATATTCTAATAGAAAACCTATTATATATTCCTTAATATGTCTATCTACTATATGTTTACAGGAAAAGAGTAAAAAAAAAAAAAAAAAAGGAAAGAGAATAAGTATAGAGTAAGTATAGAATGTATAATATATAAAGAGTGATTTTATAATATATATTAGTAAAAGTAATGTATAATGGTAACTTAACAATGTTCTAAGAGTCATTGGTTAAAAAAGAAACAAAGCAAAAAAAAGCAAAAGGAAAAAGATAAAAAGAAGGAAGAGCACGCCAAATTTTTCTTTTGTCAGAGCTTTGGTCCAACTTTTTTCCATTGTCTCCAACAATTTTCTCTTTTTTTCAATCTCCCAGATTTTTTTTTTTTTTTTTTTTTGATCTAGACCAACTTTTTTTTTTTTTTGAGATTGGAACCTCCAGACCTTTTTTTTTTTTTTTTGATCCAACACATCCCACATTGAGACCGGACTTTAAACTTATACCATTTATGGAAACCCTTTATGAATTGAAAGCAAGTAGAATGATGAATAAAATAATAACAATAATAATAATAAGATGATGATGATAATTTGTATTGAAACTATTAATAAATGATAATAATAATAATGGTAATAATCATAATGGTAATAATAATAATGGTAATAATAATAATGGTAATAATAATAATGGTAATAATAATAATGGTAATAATAATAATGGTAATAATAATAATGGTAATAATAATAATGGTAATAATAATAATGATAATAATAATAATATAAAATGATATAAAGAAGCAATATATAAACAGATATGAAAAAATAAAAGAACTATATATAATAACTAGTCATCTTCGTCCAATGAATCGAGCGGTACATCCTTGATTCGACAATTTTTCGGTGTGAAGAAGATGGCTGGAAATGATGAGGTGTTTTTCTTGTTGTTGTGTTCTGATAATAGTGGCCTCACCATAGCATGGAAATTACGTTTGAATTGTTGTCTATCCAGGTGGCGCTTTACATCAGAAGTGACATCAGCCAAGAAGTTCTATTTCATTCAATAAAATTTTGTCGGTATATGAAGCAGTATGACACATTCGAATTTTTTTTTTTTTTTTTTACCTTGAACATAAACAAGGCCTTGATCGTATCCTTGAATTGATCCATTTGGTTTATGTTTGTGGGGAGAATAAGTTCAGACAGAAGACTAGGTATATACATGTTATTTTTGAACTCTAACTGGTATAGATAGCCGGTCGTGCCTATATATATATATTTAAAAGAGTCGAGTTAGATTCCTTTTTATATAATGTTGTGTGTCCTTACCTACAAAATCCATGGCCATAAGTTTGGTGATTTTTGAATCAGAGATAATTTGAAGCTTATTCAGGATGGTACAGTTGGTGCGCAATTTTTTACTCTGTTGTTTCAGAGCCATGTGCATAGTCTTCCTGTTCTTCCATTCACTCAAGGAGAGTTCAATAGTTGTGGGGCCATCAATTTTCAGAAGAAGATCAATTTTGCGTCCAAATGATGTAGTTGCATCGCATCCATATAATGTTTCATTGGGTTCCATCGCCAACTTCGTAGCGCTTGAGATCGTTTCCCCGCTATGTGAATATCATAAAAAGAATGGTATAAATTAGCCCAATGACATAAATTTTTAAATATATATCAAGTCATATAGTAATACTTACTCAACCATGTTTATATCCAGATCCTTGAGTATAATATGCAACAACTTGGCAAATTTCCAGTAAATCGTTAGTTCTGAGGCTTCATCCAGTTTGTCACCAAAAGTGTCCGTCCTAAAAAAAAAAAAAAAAAAGAGATCAGTAGTCGTAAAACATAGCATTTATTATCCAGGAGGGACTTACGCATCTTCAATCACACGCAATAGCTTGTAGCTATCACTGTCCATGTCACCACTTTGAATCAGTCGTATTTTTTCATGCTGTATTTTCAGCCGTAAATCTTTCAGATTTGTCGCACTAAAAAATGATAATAGTATCAAGTCAATATATATCCTGTTTCAATATATGATTCGAAATAACTTACTGATCGTCAAGTACTTCATCCAACAGGGTCGAGCTAGCTTGGTCCAGACTATTATCAACAATTGGGAGGTTTTTGCTTTGGAGTCGCTGAAGTTGCTGTCCTGATAATACTAGTTCGATTGCAGCATATATATCAGGATTCATAAGATTGATCACCTTTGACAATAATAACCTAGACAGAATGACAATGAGTGAGTTTTGATTCCAAAACCTTTTTTTTTCTTACTTTAAATTTTCTTGTTCCACTGGACATAAGCTCTGCTTGCACAATAGTTTGATAACATAATTCTTGATTCGATCATCAACGGTGTCACCATTGGTCTTCATTAATAGGATTTTCACATAATCATCTTCTACCAATTTTCCTTGAAACTATAAACAAATAAAAGCGTTAAGACATGACATGTTAATACATACCTTGTTCTTTTTTTTAAACCCCCTTACCTTCTTGACCCCAAATTTATACATGAAAGAGAATGTACTATCACCAAGAGTTCCACTTTCTTCGTCCAATTTAGGTTGTTCAGTTTGTTTGTCCTGTTCAGGTTGTTCGTTCAGTTCAGGTTGTTTGTTCAGTTCAGACGAAGTGAAAAGACTTGAAACACTTTTTGAGACCGACGGCGCTGCTGATACCAATAACTTCCCTGCTTCAATTTCATACGTATGCCGCGCACGTTCCTAAAATAAAAGAAGTAAGAGTAAATATACAATGAACATCTGCTTATAAAGGTATTCCAAATGCACTTCAATACTTACATATGAATTCATCTTTTCAACAATCAGGTTCCAAGTTAATTCATTCAGTTTTCGACGTTTCGTGGTACGCTTGGTAGACCTTCAAAAAAAAAAAAAGTGAACTTCAAATACAAGTGAGTAGTTTTTTCTTTTTCTGCTTACTTCTTTCCTTCATCGACGTCTGACATGACTTGATCAAATCGTTTAATCCATCTTCCATGAAGTGCTCGACAGGAGTCTGTTGGATCCTCTAGAGACCAAAGAGCAATAGAATCCAAGTGTTTACGCAAAAAACCTTCGAAAGTCGGCGCGTCGCTGTCTTCAATATACTTTTTCAGTTCTATAAATAGTATAACAACGCGTTAATCATTATCAATACCATAACTTCTATATATATATATATTTTTACCTTCGTAACCAGAGTAAAGCATTTCTAGAGAGGAGAGGAAAAAAATGAAAATGCAAAAACTTCGAATTTAAAACCTCGCAGAAAAGTAGCGTCCAAAATTGAGCGATGTGAGAAATAGCAAGTGTGACTGTGACTAACTACGGCTGACTATAGGAGCGGTTATTCAATACACGCGATAATTTCTTACGTTTTAAGCTTATCACCACTGGATACTTTCTTTCCGAATTAAAAATGGTAGGAACTATATGACTTACATTGTACTCGTGTAGACCACCATTAGTAGCGTATGTTGTATTCTTGTCTAGGTATATGACTTTTTAAGGTAATACAGAAATATTGTGTTAATGATTATCTTGACCGTTGACTGATACTTTCTTTTTTTTTTTTTTTTTTGGGGGGGGGAGTATTGCTCAAGATTAGGTTGTAACCATAGTGAAATGATGTAGATGTAGTGAAGGAACTATTGTGACCTGATCCAGCTCATAATAGTAGTCTGTTTGGCGTCCTAAGTGAAAGTGATAGGACCCGTGGTTGCTATATGACTTACATTGTACTCGTATAGACTATCATTAGTAGCGCATACTGCATTTACATCAGAACTTGTTTACGTTACGGCAAGGGAATCTGTCAGCCCTGATTCAGCGTTGGCAGTAGCCTGTTTGGCGCCCCGAGTGAAAGTGGTAGAACCTATATGACTTACATTGTACTCATATAGACTATCATTAGTAGCGTATGCTGTATTCTTGTCTTGGTATATGACTTTTTAGGGTAATACAGAAATATTGTGTTAATGATTATCTTGACCGTTGACTGATACTTTCTTTTTTTTTTTTTTTTCTGGGGGGAAGTATTACTCAAGATTAGGTTGTAACCATAGTGAAATGATGTAGATGTAGTGAAGGAACTATTGTGACCTGATCCAGCTCATAATAGTAGTCTGTTTGGCATCCTAAGTGAAAGTGATAGGACCCGTGGTTGCTATATGACTTTACATTGTACTCGTATAGACTATCATTAGTAGCGATACTACATTTACATCAGAACTTGTTTACGTTACGGCTGATGTGAAGCGTTATCTGGGTAAACAACAATTCAAGGGTGATTTCAATGCTATGGTGCGGCCACTATTATCAGAAGAAAATAACAACAAAAACGCCTCATCAACTCCAACCATCTTCTTTACACCGGAAAACTGTGGAATCAAGGAAGTACTGCTCGCTTATTGGACGAAGACGATTAGTTGATTGTATATACTTCTTTTATTTTTTATATCATTTTATATTTCTTTATATACTCTTCTTATTATCTAGCGTTTATTCAATAAAGAAACTATATTCATGTACATTCTTTTATTATCTGAGGTTTTTTTTCGGTTTTATTTTAGTTATGATGGCAGTATTAAGATTAGATACAGAATTTAGCATTACTACTGCCATTATTATATTAAAAAAAAAGGATGGAGCGTGACATGTGGGGTTTGAAACGCGTAAAAAATCACATCGTTAAGAGCACTTTTTTCTTCTTCTCTTTTCTTTCTTTTTCTTTTTCCAACCTTCAAACTAAGTTTACTAACACATATTACTCTTCAATTATTTAGGTCGTTCCTGTATTATACCTTCTCCTTTGGTGACCACCTCATTCACGGTCATCTCTTGTTGGAGGGCCTTATTGTTTTGTAAGTAATTAAATGAATTCATCAACCCATTACTTTACTCACACTTTTTTATCTTCATTTGTTTACAACGTCGAATGGGTGAGTAACAAAAAAAGAAAAGGTTATCTTCATTACCAACCTAATCTAATTCTGCTTAAATATATATATAGATCTTAAAAGAAAATTCTGTATGGCTCCCAATGATATCTATCACCGTAAGTTTATATCGCATAAATAATAAACTATGATAACAAGAATAGATGGTTACTGAAATCATTGTTATTTTTTTATTAGAATACCGAGTTAAGAGGAGTTTTCGAAAAATGGTGATATGATAGAAGATTTCTTCTTTTACTGGTGAAAACAAGAAACTTTGTATATAAGGATGATGGTGGTGATGGTGGATCCTAAAGAAAGGTAATATTATGCATGAAATTCATCATAAATCATCTTTTTTTTTAATACAACTGTTTCCTTCTATTTTTATACTAGATATGATCGATGTCATATGAAACTCTGATTGTAGCACCTCTTTGTCTTCTCAATGTTTTATGATTGGCTGATGGGGATAAACACGGCACATCCAAGGAGAAAGTAAAGGTAAGACAAAAAAAAAAGTAATGGGTTTACGTGCTTTATTGTATTCCTTCTTTACTCTTCCTTTATAGTTGCCGCAAGCAAAGAAAGCAAGAACGATGTAAGTACTCTATCTTGTTTTACCATATTATATATGAATAATCCACTCGGCCTCTCATTCCTTTTTTTTTTTTTTTTTTTTTTTTTTAGTTCTCGATGGCTTAATAGATACTTGAATCCGTTTGATATCTTGGTTAGCCTTTAGTTTTGAGTGCTGGCTTAACGTCAAGTCAACCTTGATATCTATGGTCTTCTTTTGAAGTTAGATTTTGATCAAGCCTGCTTTAACCGTAAATCATAAGCATCAAAGTTGACTTGAGGTTAAGGAACTCCCAAAGTAAGTTCAACTAAGATATCAAATACATTCAAGCAGTCTATGGATTATATCTATTCGAGGGGTGGAAGGTGATGTATAAAGAATATTATACAATGAATACAATATATGGTAGTTATTACTAAAAATCATTCTCTTTTTTTTTTTATAAATGTATTTATTCTAGAGTAGCTCTTTATGTTTGGTGACATCAGGTCGCATGGTTGACAAGGAATACAAAAGATCAGTAAGCAAAAAATAAATATTGTAGTTCTACCTCTTCGTGGGTAACGGCTAAATAAACTAGCATCATCCGTTAGTTTAGAAAACAATAGAATAGGTATATGGTGTACTTTATTTTATTCAAATGATGACTTTATACAATAAACCCTTGTTTTCAATATATTTGTCCCTCTTATTTTTTTTTCCTTTCTTGGTTGATTTATTTTATGATTGTATGTGGTGTGATGTGATGATATATGTGTATATATATTGATGTTGATGTTGAAGATGATCCCATCATGATGATTCCATGATGACTCAAATGATAAATCTATGCTACTGCTGCTGATGATGAAAAGGAGCTAAATCTGTGAGATTCCTTATGATTGGTTGATTTGATTTGCAGGATTTTTTTAAAGCAGGTTCTGATCAAGAAATACATAAAAGATTTTTCTTTTCTTTTCTTTTCTTTTCTTTTTTAATTAACTTTACTCTTCTATTATGGAAAATATCTCAAACGGAAAGTTGACTCAACTCGTCGTGCGACCTAGTACTGATATGATTAGTAGTCCAATACATCTATGAAGCAATTTCTTTGAAATGACTAGTCTTCCGGCTCAAAGTATACACCCTTTGAATATTCAAATATTACCTGATGATACTCATCCTGCTGTTCTCCAAAAGGCGTGACAATGTTTTCAAGATAATCCTAAAGGTCAAACTTATCTTTGATGGTTCTGCAAATCTATTTTCTCCAAAATCTCTCAATTTTAGTGATGATGATCTTTGCAGTTCTTTTGAAGTAAGTATTTTATCATATACCTATTATTCCCACTCCCAACGTTATTATCTTTTTTGATCACCCTTTTTTTTTTATTGGTTCATTTATATTGATCATTTTTGTTCTTGTTTATAGGTCAATTTTCAAGAAAAAAAAAACCGTTCCGATGATGATTTCAAACTAAATCTCAAGCTTGTAGGTGTGGTCAACATGTCTGAATCACAATTATTCTTGGGTGGAAAGTCTGGCATTATCAACAACTATTTAACTGGTATTAAAAAAAAATAATCATTTAGCTATATTCTATTTTTTTTTTTGTTCACTTTATCTTTCCCTCTTTTTTTCTTTCAGTTCCCACAGCTGCATCAATAACAAGGAAATACAAACAACCAGAGAAGTGATTTGCTGCTGATACCTTAATATGGGACTCACGCTTGAAGATCGTTTGCGATGCACCGCCAAGATTGGGTTTTTCCTCAGCTTCAACATTGTTTTTTTTTTTTTTTTTTACTGATGAAATCTTTAGATCCTCAAATTTGGGCAACAGCTAGAAGTTGACTATTTGTTACTCTCTTCCCAGCAAACATCTATGGAAGATTCTTATTTAAATCGTACAAAGTGGTTACAACCAAATTCAAAGATCCTGTCATCCGAAAGGAAAGTTGCCATCGCCTGTTGGTCTTCGAGGTATATTTCATCCGACTCGTTATCATGCCCTCTACGATGACAACAATTTCCTCTCGCGTGATGCATTACAAGATCTTATCTACGATTTGCTATAATCTGGTCGTGCTACTCGTGCTCTCTCCGAAGTTCAGCTGCTGTATCACGCTGAACAGGTGGTTGTTTGTGTCCATCTCTATTGGAAAAGCGAAGATTGGGGAAGTACCTTAAATGACTGAATACATGGATGATGATACTGTGGCCACTTTTGTTATTGTCAAGTCTGATCTGCAAAGGCTAATGTACTTATAACTGATAGCTTAGTTCTTTTTTTTTTGGTATTTACGTATATAATAAATATTTTCTATTTTTTTTTATTTTATTCAAATTACTTTTGTTATTTACATGTCAATGGTTCCTTTTTTTTTTCTGATCTACATCTCGTGATCATCCCATCATCACTCTGTAGTTGCGGAATTTCAAAACTAAATTCACACATTCAAAATAGGTGAGATCGCTCATTTTTTTTTTCTTTTCTGGTACCTTTCTTCATTATTTATTCCATGACACCAAGAACAATACTGTTGGCGTTGATCGTCATCAGTCTTCTTGGTTTTTACGTTATATTAGATTCATTTATTTACCACCAACGTGATCCACCTGGTTGTCAAATGTCATATTCTCGTCCCTCCTTTATTCCCCTGCAAGTACCACATGCAAGACTTACTGACAAGTATTCTTTATATTTATATCGTGAAGGTGGTATTGACTCTAACCAAGTAAGTTCTAAAAAAAAAAAAAAAAAACATTTGTTTTACTCTTTTATTCATTCCAATTAACGCGTGCTTTTATATGCTACTGATATAAGCTTCTTGGTGTTCCTACTCTCTTTATCCCTGGTCATGCTGGAAGTTACAAACAAGCTCGATCGATTGCTGCTGAATCTGCCTATTACTTGAAAAGTTTACCTCAAAGTGATCAAAAGCACGGACTAGATATGTTTACTGGTAATATACATTACATTATTATTACTTTCATTTGTATTATATACTCATCAGATTCACTTTTGATCCTTTTATCAATATATAATATGTACAAAAATATATCTAGTCGATTTGAACGAAGAATTCTCAGCACTCAGTGGCGGATTAATACATGATCAAGCAGAATATCTCAACGATGCGATTCAACAAATATTGACCTACTATCGACCAAAGGAATATCAAGGTCAGACTGTACCTGAATCTGTGATTATTGTAGGTCACAGTATGGGCGGCATTGTGGCTCGCGTGATGCAGCATCTTCCCAACTATATTAAAGGATCGATCAACACTATATTTACACTGGCAACACCTCATAGCATGCCACCTATCAATTTGGATCCTATTCTCGATGATATTTACCGTACGTTTCTGACAAAACCATTGAACAATACTGCGTTAATCTCTGTGGCAGGTGGTACTCAAGATAGCACTGTGAATTCTGATGCAACTATTCTCGATACTTCTTCTTATGGCTCTTTAACAGTGTTTACAACAGCTGTACCTAAAGCGTGGACTGGCTGTGATCATATGGCTATTCTTTGGTGTAATCAACTTGTGACAAAAGTGGCGGCTTCTTTGGTTGATATTATTGACGTGCAATCAGCTTCTCAAACTGTGCCTATGGAACAACGAATGGAAATATTTCGAAAATGGTTATCTCCTACGAACGTTGTGACTGTATCATCAGGTAAAACGATCAAGAATAACTAAAGAAGAAAAGGAAGAAAAAGCTTTGTTGGCTGTGTTTATTAATCTATTATTATTGATCATTAGCACCGACGTATTTACTTCCATCGACTGCAAGTACATCATACTTTGATCAATCAAAATGGAACCTGTTGAAACTAAAAGAAGAACGACAATATAGATTTACGCTGGATCAAACTGAAGGACGGTTTGGCTTACTTTCGAACATTCAAGATCCCTTGCATTTACACCTTGGATTATGCAAACGTGTCATGGATCACTTCATCTGCTCTAGAATTGAATCAGGTTTCCAATTACTACCCTCTAGAAAAGCAACAAATCAAGCTTTTGACAGCAATGCTTATTTGCGATTATTGGTGTTGGATCATGCATTATGGAAGGATTTCGATTTACTGGTGATGGATTACATGGATGACCATATTACAACGACAGAAACAACAACGGACGGCAATGATCTTTTTGTAGCAACTGGGATGTATGCAGAAACGACATGGAAGAAGGATGATAGGTCAAAAGACATCTCACTTTTCGATTTGACTATTGGTGGGGGTATTCAATGGACATTACATCATGATACGCTGGCATCTGTTTATCATTTCCCGGTTATCGATTCTTCACTCTTATCATTTAAACTACATGTTACGAAAAGTCAACAAGTCTCAAATACCTCAATGACTACATCATTCTATCATAAACCATTGATTCAGCAGTACTTCTACGGCGAATACAAGTTCCATATCATTGACAATGAAACACCTGCTGCACTCCACTTTCATCGATCACCATTATTCAACAATAATGAGACAGCATCAAATGGACTGGTATTGACTGTATGGACTATAGATGGCCAGGATCTTCAGCTTCGACTCATATTGGATTGGTATGGTACTATTGGGAAATGTGTTCTTCGACTAGGTCCAGTGTTACCTATGTATCTATTTGTGGTGGCGCTTTCTTATTTGACGTATATCCTCTCTTGGTGTTCTTCTTCTTCTTCTTCTTCAGATGATACTGGACGACATCGTTCCTATGATGTGGAAACAGGTCTGATGAATTGGATGACGAATAGATCAAGATACTCCTTAAGGAATCTTTGTGCCTTTGTGATGATTATAGAATGTTTACAACAAGCTTGGAAATCTGGTGGCAGTAATTTGGATGCAAGTTGGGTATTGGGTGGATCTTATTCCTTACCATTGTTTTTGTGGTGGCTTCCATTAGCCCTTGTTCTTTTGGCAACTGGACTTTTTCTATCTCTTTCTGTTGTTCTTTCTCTCGTTATCTTTATTCTACAGAAGATCGTCCCTTCCAAAGCACAACCATCAACCTTTTCTTCTTCCGTTGTCATCAGTTTCTCTCTATGGGTTGTATTATTTAGTTGTCTTGGTTGGTTACCTATCTCTGTGGTAATGGTGATAGCTTATATACGATGGTTATTCTTATGTATCAATACCTATGCATCAGCAAGAACTCATGTAAGTTGTTTTGTGTAATGGATTGGAGAATATGTATCACTTATTCCTTTTTTTTTTTTTTTTTTTTTTGCAGAATCAATATGAAGATTGGCTCAGATACAGATATCGCTTCTCGTTATTGATGCTATTGACAACATGGCTTCCTTATTACCTTCCCGGTACAATTATCTATATACGTGATATGATGGTAGGATGGCACTTTGCGGCGACCTCAACAACACTTCTTAATGATTTGACGACTATTTTTTCCCTGGTTATACTAGCTCTATTGGAATATTGTGAATGGGTCTGGCGAACAAGGTACGTCAATATAAATAAACAAAAACAGGAAAATCATTCGCTGATCATCACTTTCTTTCTTTCTTTCTATTTCTTTGAATTTAGGGCAAGCATATGGTTGATCCATTTGTCTCTTGATGTCATATTATTTTATATTTTATTTGGTGTTCAACATCCTTTTGCAATTCAACATACGATTAGATCATTTACTGATAGTATTTTATTACAGTAACCCTCATATACCAGCTGTACTCACCAATACCTTGTTTTTTTTTTTGAAATAAATACAGTGATTTTTTTTCTTTTCTTTTTTCGATATAGATGATGTACATCAAGTAGTTTTATGAACAGAAAGTTTTTACAGAATTAGACAAAATGATGATGATTTCTATCGTCAGGATTAATGCATCTTTTTTTTTTTCTTTTAGAATGTGATTCATATAACATTAAGTTAACGGTTAATGAGAATAAGATGACTATATAGCTCCCTAATGATGTCGATTAATAATTTAGATTGAAGATGATGATGAATGCAACACTATTTCCAAAAAAAGTGGATGCGGTGATTCAAACATCAGAAGAAAAAAAAAAAGAGGAAAAAATTTTTGCTTTCATTTTTTTTTTCTCATTCTCTTTCTTTCGTCTCTCTCTCTCTCTCCACCATTTGTATATATATCTATAGAAGCCATGGATGAAGAACAATTCACACGAACAAAGAAAGCCACCAAAGCTTTAAAAGCTCGAGTAGATGCTATAGAACGACATTTGGAACCTCTTTTAAAGAAGGATCTTGTGGATACCTACAATACTTTACCGATCAATGAAAAATGTCAACTGGATATGGTATTAGCTTACGCCATTAATACCTTATACTATAGTATGTTATCACAATGAAATTTATATCTTTTGTTATAGTACTTATCCCTTTTTATATCTATATATATATAGTGTATATTCGAACACAAGGACAAAATCCTCAACAACATGATATTTACACCGAATTGAAAAGAGTACAACAATATATTGCAAAGATCAAAGAGGCAGAAGGACGAGGACCAAAACGTAAGTTGATCTAGATTAAAAAAAAAAAAAAGAAAGGAGAAAGTGTGTTGAATGTTGAAGTACTGATTTGTATATTATTGTGATGTTGTTTTTTTCTTAAATAGAAACTTTGAAATTGGATAAGGAAGCAGCAGGAAGATTTGTCAAAGCAGCACTTAATAGCAAGGTCAACAAGGATCAATCAACAACATCAACCGGGAAACGACGAGCACAAGATGAAAAAAGCAAAAGTGGTAAGGATATAATGATGAATGTATGTCTAATTTTGGTTGACTCATATAACATATTTATATATAGAAACAATTGAAGTGGATAGCGATTCATCAGAAGATAACGAACCCAAGAAGGCGAAACAATGGAAAGAGGATGTCAAAGGTCAAGCACCATCAAAAAAGAAGGCACGCATAGATCCATTCCGAGATTAGTTTAGATGATAGTATATGTTTATTGGTTTTACAAAATGGAAATAAACTAAGGAAATAATTTTGGTAGATATATACGGATGACAAAAAAAAAAAGAGAGAGAGAGAATATGTTGACTTTTGTGTGAATATGTAATAGATATAGGATGACTATGAAGCAGAAGACGAACCAAAAGAAACAAACTTGGGATCCAAAGGTAAACCAGTAGCAGGATCAATATTCTATAATAAACAAAAAAAAAAAAACGTTGAATTAAGTGATCAGTGATCATCCCAGAATATATCAAACTTACGTTCTTTTTCAAAAGTTTTTGTTGGCGAATAAGTCTTGCTTGGTCAAAAGAGACGTTCTGGCGTTTCATAATCTTGAGGATTTCTTCCTTGTCCTTCAAACCAGCTCTTGTTTCTTGTTCAGTCAAGTTGTTGGTCAAGTCAAATTGCGAACTAGTTAAACCATCTTCAATATCATCTTCGAATGAACCAATATTGGTGGGTAACAGGTGATAACCAAGGAATCTATTCGTTTGATCGGCTGCTTTGGATGCCAAGTCTACAAGTTTTCGACGAAAAATGAAACCTACTATTTATGAGAATGAAAGATATATATATATATATATATATATATTGTGAATAAATAAATAATAAATAAATAAATAAAAAGAAGAGACTACTTACATACTATGAGTAAAATAAATAAGAGGATGAATATCCACATGGCAAAGATCTTTTTTGGTATATTTTATATATGAAAAGGGAAAAAAGAAATGAGAGGAAGGTGGAGAATGAAAAAGAGGGAAATGAATTGAATCCATCTTTCAGCACAGAATAGGTCACGAGCCAATAAAAAATCAACATAAATGACAATTGTTTTTTTATAAAAAGAGGGAGAGAAAACAACTTAAAAAGAAAAAAAGAAAATATATTTCAATGGCGGGTTTATTAATCATAAGATCATGCTTTTCAATAATGTTACTAAATAACCAAAACAAAAAGGAGAAAGATGATTCAAATGGGCTTGTACACAAGTCCATTGTTATTGTTTTTTTTGGTGTTTATTTTTAATCTAGAGTCCGTTTCCTAAATAAGAAATCAAAAAAAAAAAAAAAAACTTACTGTTTTCAGCTTTGATTGTTGTTCAAAAAGATGATAATAATGAAGATGATCAGCCACAATAGATGAAATAAGTTAAGTACATGATCTCTCATTTATCTATTTGCCTTGTCTATAAAAGTTAAGGTAAAGAGTGTTTATGGTAGTAGATAATGTTTTGATGTAACAACTGAAACCATTGGTAATAGAAACCACAGCCTTACTTTTGTTATCATGATTGAATAGTGAGTGGTACAAAATGGGTAAATGGTAGGATTCAATCATAATACTCTATGGAGGTCATAAAATAAAAATATTAATACATATAAAGGATTAATGAAATCAATAAAATAAAATGAATAGATAGTTATTATTATTATGATTATTAAAAAATATCCTTCATCTCCTTTAAAAACAAAAAAAAAACAAAAAAGAGATATAAAGGATGGAAGTGATTTGTAACTGATAGGTTATTGACTGTTTTGGGTTGTCTTTTTGTTACTAAAAATAACCAAATGGCACCGGTCCCTCTTGACCCTTCTATTTTCCCCGCTCTGGTCTTTTTTTTTTTTTTTGCCTAAAAGTTACCCTTAACAAATGTTATAAAAATAAGTTTAAGATTGGGCTTTAAAAAAGAAAAAAAAAAAAGTTCAAATATAAAAAACTACTAGTTCTATTTTTTTTTTTTTCCTTTTTCTTCTTTCTTTCTCTTTTTAGTTCGTTTTTTCTTTTTTTCTTTTTTTTTTTTTTTTTTTTTGTTTTATACATATTTATATATATATATATTGTTATACCTTTTTATTCCCCTTTCTTTTTATATATATATATAAGTATACACACAAAACAATAATGGTTGTAGCTCTTCCACGATCAGTATCTCCTACTCCTCAAAAACCAATGTCAAAGAAACTGATTGCTTTACAATTGTGCATTGTCTTTTTACTTGGTTTCTTCTTTATGTGTAGTGTCCAAGTCAATCGCACAGGTAACTAAAATAAAATAAAATAAAATAAATATAAAACTAATATCATTATTGTTTTAGTTGATAATTGTTCTTCTGATTTGAATTTTTGTCGGTCACCTGATATGGATATTCGTTTGGAAGACAATAATTTGGAATTAATTCAACATGATCAATTATCACCATCTGAACAAATTACTATTCAAACACCTAAACGAACTGAATTTCCTTACACGATTGTTACTGCTTCCAGTGCCAATCATTTATGTTCTTTGGAAAACTTTTTATATTCTCTTCATGCTTTACGATCTCAAGTCGCACCAGAAGACTTTCCTCGCATAGTTGTATACAATATTGGTATGAATCGAACTCAACTCCCTGTTTTGGATCAACTACAAGAACATGGATTAATAGATGATGTAGAAACATTTGATTATTTTCAATATCCTCGCTTTTGGGATGTTGCTATCAATGCTGGTGAATATGCTTGGAAAACTGGAATTGTCAATGAAGCTCGCATCAAATATGGTGGTACCTTGGTATGGTTGGATGCTGGTAATGTCGTCACTGCTGACTTTTTACGTAATATTCCATCCATCATTCAAGAACATGGTGGATTTTGGTCTCCTCGTAGCTCGTATACCATGGGACGTTGGACTCATCAAGGCATGTACGATTACTATGGTGCCAATGCTCGTGCTTATGCTAGGAATATTAATTGCAATGGTGCCGCAGTAGGATTTGATACTACCAATAGTACTATTGTGGATGATATTATTATTCCTTGGTTCCTTTGTGGAATGGATAAAAACTGTATTGCTCCTCCTGGTTCATCAAGAAAAAATCATCGACAAGATCAAGCTGCTTTGACCTTTTTGGCTTATAAGAATGGACATAAATGTACTCTTCCTCCTGCTCGTTTCCATAAACTTCAAATTCATCGTGATGTAGCCTGTCGTTCAAGTCTATTGGAATTAGAAGTAGATGGATCTCTTTATCATCCTTCTTCTGTGGATTTCCCCAAGTGGTATAGAAGCGATACTTTGGAATTATACAATCATCCTGAATGGCGTTATCCTGAAGACAAAGTACCTGCCCATATCAAATCTTTAGTTGAACCTCCTGCATTCCTATAGACTCTTTTTTTTTTTTCTTTTATGTACAAATTATCTCCCCTGACTCATAATCAACACATCATTTTATTATTATTTATTTACCATCATCATCATTACTATTATTATTGTGACATAGTTTAGCATTTATTTTTCTTTTGTGCCTTCCCCATTCCTTTCCTTTATATTTTGATACAACTATTTACATACAAAATGAAACAAAAATAAACGATTGGATTTGTATATACATCAATTTTAGTATGTTCCTCTATTTTTTTTTTTTTCTATTTTTATGCTTGACTCCGATCGGTTACTTGATGGTTTCAAGACCTTCAAGATGCTACTTCACATCCAAAATTGTTTTTAGATTCACAGCCAGCGTTAGTGTACATGGTAACAAGGAAGTTTATTTATTAGTACTTGTTTTAGACAATGCTAAAAAAAAAAAGTCAACAGAAAACAAACTACTAAAAACTGATTAGCTTCAAAAAAGAAAAAAAATAGCAATTTATTATTTTTTTTATGGAACTACGGAGACAAAATTTTAGGACAAAGGCTAGATCGATGAGTACAACGCTTAAGACAATGATGACAAAACTGGTCAACTTTCTCCATTTTAAAAGGAAAAGCATCATTAAAACCACCTAGATAAATGGTTCGATTACGAATCACCAATTGACCTTGAATAATCACTGTGACTGTGCCTTGATAATAACCAGTAGGGTATTGATGAAAAAGGAAATCTTGAACAATTGGATGATTCGGTTCTCCTTCTTCTTGCTCTCTTCTCTGAGTGTCACGACGACAGAGAGAATCAAAGCTAGCAAATAAAATATCTCTTGTTCTTTGATGTGATACAATAGGCAAATGGAATAAGGTCAATAAAGTATGATGATGATCGCTACTAAGAGATCGCGTAGGATACAATATGGTTCTTTTGTTGAGTTGAAACCCATTTAGTAACGCCTCTTGTTGAAGTGCCGGTGTTGCAAATACCATATTCAAATAACATTTACGATTAGAATCACCCATCTGAGTCGCTCCTATTATATCTGTTTTATTGTATCTTTGTCTGATCCGATCCAAGATGGTGCCTTGTATTTTTTTACTGCACTTGGAAATATCCAATAGTACTCCATTTTCGTAATGCTTTGTAGAAATCCATTGTTTAGTCCCAATATGGCGTTTGGCTACCACATCATGATCATCATCATCGTCATCGTCATCATCATCGTCGTCGTCATCGTCGTTGGATAAGAACCGTTGAACTAGATCATTCAATTGGATGACTGTCATCAACACAGTTACTCCCGTGCTAAAAGCATTAGGTACATTAGATATTGGCAAGATTGACCTTGTATTTGACTTTGACGTATTATTTTGACTCATAATGGATGACTCAAAAAAAAAAAAAAAGAAGAGTAGATATGGATGTAAGAGAGAAAAAGAAGGTTTTTATAGAGAGAAGCTTTGATCACCATTGACTACACGTAAGGTTCATTGTTGCCAGATGATATTGACAAAAAAAAAAAAAAGGAACTCCGCTTATGCCAAATTTCTTTTCGTTCCTTATTGGCTCATTTTTTTTTCTACTTCTTTTCTCTTTCTCCTTCTTATTCTTTTTTTTTTCTTCCTTTTATAACTATTATAGATGTGTATATATCATGACTTCGTTGGCAACATCTATTTATATATCCGAACCCAGCAAACCTATTGAAAATTATTACAGTCATAACAACATTAAGGGGCATACAAGATCATTATCAACAAGTTTATTACCACGACCTTCTGCCAGTAGTCATGTTTTTCATCATCCACCTGTCCCAAATTTAGTTCAACAACAACAACAACAGCAACAACGACGTCGACCTTCACATATTCCCAAACGTAAACCAAGTACAAGTAGTACGAGTAGTGCTAGTACGACAACAACAACGGGCAGTCTGACACCTACTTCAACAACTTTATTATCACCCCCTCTTCATTCATCATCTATAGCGCGTACTCATTCTTCTCCACTAAAAACGAGAACTCATCAACAATATGTCAAAACAGCAGCTGTCGTTGTTCATTGCCTTGGAACTCAATTGCAAGTGGACAACAATCAAATGGATTCAGGAGTGACGATCTCGCGACAACAACATGACCAAGTGGATAAGAGAAAAGGAAAACGATTTATATTTGGCAAGTCATTTTTGGTTACTATGGTGTAATGAAAATCTATTAACCCTTTTTTCTTAAATACATATATGTATATATATAGATAAAACCCTTTGTGAAAAAGATTCCCCTCAAGATATGATGATCGTGTTACAGCCGCTATTACGGCAAGTCCACAAAAAAAAAAAAGGAATTATTTCATTGGAAACTAATGGATTTTTATTTATTTGTATAACCTTTAGCCAGTGTTTGGAGGGATATAATGGTACTGTTCTATCTTATGGTCCAGCCAAATGTGGAAAATCATCGGTAAGATTGAAAAGAATAAAAAAATTTCATGCAACTGCGAAAATGACTTAATATTTCCTCTCCTCCGCCTTCTTTGTATATGATCTTTCTACACAGATCATGGTAAGTAATAGAACAAGCATAAACATATACAAGTCAACTTACTATTTTACATTCCTATCTTTATAAAATCTAGCTGGGTAAGTTTCATCATCTCCATCATCATCATTTGTATCCATGATTCTTTCATTATTATGTTTTGAAATCATATTTATCTTCCCTTTTTTTTTGAATACCTCCTAGGATCTTCATTGACTTCTGGCATCATCATCAGGTCGTTGGAATCGTTATTTGAAATGATGTATCAAGTAAGTAGATTGATATTGGTATGTTGTGGAAAACAAGCTAATCTGTGTTGTCAATATAGGCTACGAACAAGGAATTTTTGATCCGTGCTTCTCATTTTGAAATTTATCAAGATGTCTTGTATGATTTATTATGTCCTTCTAATGCAAAGATTGATATACATCAAACCAAAAAGGTAAATAGAAATAACCAACGTATACTTTTTGACGCTTTTTGCTGACTTATTTATAATAGAAAAGTGCATATGTTGCTCCTCTTGAAGAAGAAATCATTACTTCACCTTCTGATGCTTTAAGAATCATTCAAAAAGGTCAAGGTACAGTCAATATTAGGAAAATATTAAAATATCTGTCTCATGTTTCTCTCTCTCTCTCTCTTTTCTTGATATTATAGCTAATCTTTATTTTTCTAAAGACAAACATCAGTATCACAATAGTCATGTGGTTTTCCAATTGGTAAAATGAAGATTAATAAATATACTCGTTCTAAAATATTATTCATATGTTTTTATAGGCAATTGAATCCTATAGCATCCCAACTCATCTCCAACAACACTCACCTGGTCTTTTATCGCCATCCTTATCATCTTCTCGTCTTTTACGAAATGTGAACATATCTCAATTGGTAAAAAAAAATCTTGATTAGTTTACATTGTATTAATTCATTTTGTTTGTAGATGTTTGTGAATCTAGCGGATTGCGAAAGACCACCTCAAGTGTCATCCAATCAAGGCACCTCTATTTATAGACGACATGCAAAAAAGGATACGAATTTGATCGCCTTTGAAGATGCTATCATGCAACTCACCGGGAAAACGAAAAGGTAAAAACATGAGAGACAACATCCCAATACTGATCTTTGACATCTTCATCTATTGACATTCTTTTCTTTTTGTGTGCTGATCACATAGTATGCCATTCACTGTCACATCCATGGACCAATCTCCTTTGACTCGTTTATTAGAATCATCATTGGCTGGCCAAACTAATCTGCTCTCCATCTGTACTATTCATGATCAATATCATCCATACGAGTTTCTCAAATTTGTTCATCGTCTTGGTAAACTTTCAGTGTCCCCCAATCCCAATCAGGTAAGACATAGACAAAAAAAAAAAAGTATCAAATAGGAAACGATAGATGACCTTTTTTTTTTTTTAATAGATATCTGAAGGTCAATCTGTTTTAATGCGACATCGTCGAGATAAGATCAAATTGAAAGCTAAACTGATGCAATTGAACATGGATTTGAATCAACCTAATTTAAGCACGGAGGATTTACATCATCGACAGGTAACATTATAAATACACACAAGCAAAAAATTCATCTAATATCTCTTTATTATTATAATAATAATAATAGGCAGAAATGGCAAAAGTTGAATTGACACAACGATTAGCACGCATTCAAGAACAAATCATCACATCAGATATCCTATCATCAAAAGAAGAAGAGGCATCATCAAATCATCTTGTCCAAAGTCTGTGTAACGAAAAACGCCTTTTACAAGATCATCAAAAGCAGTTGTTGGATCAACTTTCATCGGTGGAACAACAAGTGAGATGGATGGAACAACATAAACATGTCGTAGACAACATTCAGTTCTTACAAGACGAGTTACGTGTGGCCAAGACCGAATTGGAAGTTACCAAATTACTTGTGTCCTAGCATCTTTATTCATACCCTGACTATTGGTTTCTTTTATTAGTATATATCAAATAATCAGAATATCCTTTATCAAATATATGCATGTGTGTGTGTGTTTTATTATAAATAAAAAATAAATAAAAAATAATAGATAATAAAGTAGGAGAGGGGAAACTAGGCAAGAAAAAGTATGTGCAGTATATAATGTATAATAGAAACAACAAGTGAGAGAAAAATAGATATATGTAAAAGAGGAAAGAAAAACAATCTAAATAATGGGGCGATCAAGGATCACATTCACAGTGACAAGTACAGCACCAACCTTTGAAATGACAACCGCGACATCCACCACAAGTCAAAGCCAATTGAACATTGCGCCAAAACCTTTTCCATTTCTTGTGTTTTCGTTGTTGTTGTTGCTGTTGACCAGAGAGTCGTCTTTGATGAGAAAGAGTCGAGTTCATTGCAATCGATTGATAATATGCATCCTGAATTGTTTCATTTTGTTGTTGTTGTTGTTGTTGTTGCTGTTGCTGTTGTTTGGGTGTTGGATCCGTTTTAACTATGATCGGTTGATCATTGTTTGTATTTGAATGAAGTGGTTGAGCTGAAGAAGATGTTGGTTGTTGTAAAGATAGTCTCTAATAAAAGAAAGGAGAGAAAAAAAAGGAAAATGAATTCTTTTTTTTTTATCTATCTATCTATCTATTTACTTTTGTTTTATTTGAAGCAAGTAATTCCCAATCGTATAATCCAGTATAATCACCATTACCAACACCTTCATCTTTGAGGACCTTGTTGAAAAGTTCACGTAAGAAATCATAATCAGGATTTTCTTCAAATCCCAATTTTCGGACATATTGTAGATAGATGGCAAATTCTATCATTAAAGGAAAAAAAAAAAAAAAAGAGATACAATAAATAAATCATCAGTATAGACATACAATTCAGTTTACCACCAGGGAATCCAGCACATAGATCCTTGATACTTGTACTTTGTTTCTTTTCACCAATCTTTTCATATTTCTGTTTATTTGTTGCAGCCTTGAGACCTTGCCATGGAAGAGAACCACGAAGGAAATACATAAAAACATGACCCAAAGATTCTAAATCATCACGTCTAGATTGTTCACGACCAAGATGAGTATTGATACTCATATAACGAGCAGTACCTGATAAGCTTTTCCTTTCCCGGTATGGAATATGTTGTTTTGTTTTTGGATCCCGATAATGTTTTGCCATGCCAAAATCGATCATATATACCACATTATTATTGTTGTTACCAGCTCGTCCCATCAAAAAATTATCTGGTTTAATATCTCTATAAACCAAATTATGTTCATGAACACATTGAATTCTTGTCACCTAAAAAAAAAAAAAAAATTATAATCATTTAAAAATAATAAACTATTTATTATTACCATTTCTTTTGCAAGCATGGCCACTGTACGCACCGAAAATTGTCTTGAACAAGCATCAAATAGATCTTCCAAACTTGCACCTAATAAATCAATCACTAATACATTATGTAATCCTTCTTGACCAAAATAGTGAGCGTATGGTATCCCAACACTACCAGCTAAAATCTTGTAAGCTCGATATTCATCTCGTAATTGTGGTGCGTCCGATTTTCGTGGTTCAAATTTCACTGCTACTGGTTGATTGTTTAAAAGATTGATACCTATTTAAAAAAAAAGAATTAAAATTATAATCTTAGTTAGACCTCAGTTCATTTTTTGATCCACAACCTCTCTCTTTAATAATATTCCACACCTATTTTTGATTGTGATCACATATAAATAAATATTCAATTTTTACCTTGATAAATAACACCAAAACTACCTTCACCAATCTTTCGACCAATCTTGAAATGAACTCCTACGACATTAGCAGTAGACGAAGAAGACCCACTCATGGAATGTCGTTGAGAAGGCATGTTTATCTTTGAGATATGTATTTGATATTTCAGAATAAAAACAAAATCCTTTTCAAAGATATATGTAGATATTTATTTTTTTAAAAGAAAAACAAAGTGTAAAAGTAGTAATCAATTTTAAAAAAAGAAAAGAAAGAAAAAAGAAAAAGAAAAAAGGAGTGAATCAAGTGAAAAAAAAAAGGGGGAAGATGATGAATATGAAAAAAAAGGCGGGAGATGGGAAAAAAATGTAGCCGTGTCACCCAAATCTACAACATTTCAATCCCCGAAGATTCATATACAAGTGTTAATGCAAAAAAAAAAAAAAAAAAAAAAAAAGAGTCAAAACACAAAGGAGAAATTCTTTTTTATTTCATATGTCAAAAATAAAACTATTTATAATTCAACCTTGGCTACTTCATGTAAATAAACACCTAATAATTTGGTACCTTGAATATAGTTGGAACGATCCAATTTTTCATTGATAGAATGAGCACCCTATGTCATAATAAAAAAAGAATGAATATCACATATTTTTTTGTATATATATATATATTCAAACTTACATCATCTCCACGACCCATTGGTAATAATAATACATTCTTCTTGAGAGCATCTTGGAAGCTTAAAGTAACAGGAATAGAACCACCTTCTCGTGTCAAATCAGGTTTCACCTTATAGACAGTTTCAACTGCCTTGGCAGCAGCAACTAAAAATAAAAGAGATGAATATCATATTATTTATTTATTTATTTATTTATTTTCTTACCATAGTTAGGATGATTGGGACTAGCTAACCAATGATTACCATCATGAGAACATTTGATAATCATAGTATTCTTGCTACCAAGCTTGTTGAATTCATCAGTCACGTATTTTTCCACAAGTTCAGTCAATTTCTTGGGATCCATATCAGGTACACTACGAATAGAGAATTTACCAATCACCTTGGAAGGAATCACCGTCTTGTCACCAGGATTATAGAAAGCACCTTCAATACCATGAAGAGACAATGAAGGATAACGCCAACGATGTTGCAATACAGATTTAACATCAGAATGAATATTGGTCTTATTACCCACAGCACCATGAAGATCATCAAGGCTAAAGTCCAAACTTTCATAAGTAGCTTCTTCTTCAGCTAAAATCAAATAAAAATGGATTGTTTATATTCATTTCATTTATTTATTTTTATTATTTTTTACCTGTCATGGCACGCACTTGATCATATACACCAGGAACAAGGATCTTGCCATTAGGTGAAACCAATTTACTCATCACAGCGAAAAGATCAGACATGGGTTCATGAATCGTACCACCAAATACACCACTATGTAAATCAGCAGCTATTTTTTTTTTTAAAAAAAAAAAAAGAAAAAGAAAAAGGAATATCAATGTTTTTTTCTTTTTTTCTCTCGTAGTCAGCTGAACATCACCCTATCATGACTTACCAGGTCCCTTAATAGTAAGATGGAAATAAGATACACCACGTAAACCATAAGTCAAACAAGGCTTAGTGGTTCCAAGCCAATAATTGTCACTGATGGTTACAGCATCCACATCCTTGAAATACTTGTCAGCTTCTTGATAGATAAGTTCATCCAAACCTTCAGAACCAGATTCTTCCATACCTTCCAAACAGAATTTAATATTCACAGGAAGTTCCAATCCCAAATTCTTGTGTGCTTCCACGACATTAATCCATCCCAAAACGGGACCTTTGTCATCAGATGATCCACGACCAATCAAGCGTTGTTTATCATCTTCCACCAATACAAAAGGATCAGTAGCCCAACCATCTTCTTTCAATGCCTAATAAAGAGAAATACAATAAGAAGAAATAGAATGATAATAATATCTTTCTCTTTCTTTTACCGGTTGAACATCATAATGACCATAGACAAGAATGGTCTTCTTGGTAGGATCATTACCAATAGTGGCCAAAACAATAGGTGGCAAGTCCAAAGTTTGAGTACCATGGAAATCTTGTTTACCAAGATCACGAGTTTCTACAGAAGCACCTAGAGCTTTGAGTTCATTCACCAAAAATTCACCCATACGAAATACATCAGGACGATGGTTAGGATCTCCACTCACACTAGCAAACCAAAAAAAAAAAAATGGTTATTTTATATAAAGTCGTGTTTTTTTTTATTTATTTACCTAGGAATAGCAACAGCTTTACGAAGTCTTTCGACAAAATCGTTTTGATGTTTTTCAACATAATCCATAAACTCGGCAACTGCCATGATGAAATATATATATATATATATAAAAAAAAAAGAGGATATAGAAAGAAAAAGAAAACAAAAGAAGAAGAAAAAAAGAAAAAGAAAAGAAAAAAAGGGTCCCCCCGCCATCTTTATCAGTCAAAATTTGCTAAAAACGTCGCGAAGTCCAATCGCCGTTCCAACATCGTGCGAAAGTTTTTCCACGACGTATGACACAATCAACTGTGATTCATTCATCATTTCATAAACGTATTCTATTTTTTTATTATTAAAAAGGTATGCATAACAACATCTAAAAAAATTGACATCTTCTTGATGTATAAACAATATAATTCTATATATATAAAAGAGATCCAATATAAGATTTGTTTTATTGATGACCAGTAGATCCATAACCTCCCGCACCACGCACAGTGGCATCCAAATCCTAAAATAAAAAAAAAAAAAATCGGTCAGTCCGGCATCTCGGTTATGCGTTCATCACTTACTTGTACTTCCATGACTTCAGGAGTAAAAATTCTTTCCAAAATTAATTGAGCTACACGATCCCCTTGACGCACTATATATCATTCAATATGAATCATCCTTAATTTTTATTATTTTTATGTTATATTTACCTTGATAATCTTCTTTTGAAAAGTTGAATAACACAATACCAACAGGACCACGATAATCAGCATCAATCACGCCAGCACCAGTATCAATAAAATGTTTAGCAGCCAAACCAGATCGAGGTGCTACCCGACCATAACAGCCTTCTGGTACAGCAATGGAAATATCTGTAGGAACAATCACTTTACCTTGAGCAGGGATCACAATATCGGCAGCACTATATAAAACCAATTCATTTCAAATAGATTAGTATTTTCAAAATAAATTAAAAAAAAAAGGTCATGATTGAATAAAAAAAAAAAAAAAAAAAAAAAAAACTTTGTACCTATAAAGATCGTAACCAGCTGCTTGTGCCGACCCACGTGTAGGTAATTTGCCTTTATCAGAGAGTTTCTTGACAAGAAGATTTGGAAGACTAGCCATTATATTTTAAATCTATGGAGGAAAAAAATAAAAAAAAAAGAAAAAGAAAAAGAAAAAAAGGAATCACGCGCGTCTTTTTTTTTTTTCGTGATGATCGGAATGCAAAAAAGGAAGAGAAAGATGAATCTGCAAGGGATTCAACTGCCTTATATCAATGAAATATATATATAATGGATAATCAAAATGAATGCAGGGTTAATAATGTAGATGGATTATTATTTGGAATATAGTAGATCCGAACATGAAAAGGTTATCATCACTTTGATACATCCTCAACATATCATTCATCATCAACTATCATCACTATCTCAAAAGAAAACAAGGATTATTTTATGTTACTGATCAGCAATTCTATATAATAACAAATTTCCTACAAGGATTGACATCTCCATTAATAAGTTATAGATAATAGGTTGGAGAGAAACATATCCTTAGCACCATGACATTTTCTAAACATATAATACAAAACGATAGAATAATAATAAAAGTCTTATTTTTGGGCAAGTTTTTTTTATTTTTTTTTTATTTTTACATAAAGGATGATCCTGTCTGATTTTTTAAAATCAATGTGCTTTTTGACAAAAGGGTGATTTCCTTTTTTGATCAGAGGCTTGATCCTTTTGACTCATTGAAGGACTGGCTTTTTGAGAAAAAAAAAATTCAAATCCCATTGAATTCAAGCATTTTTTTTTTCTTTCTTTCTTTTTTTTTTTTTTTCTACCCAACTGTCAACTTTTTTTCTTTCTTTCTTCTTTCTTCATTGAAGGAAAAAAAAACTCATTACCATGTTGGTACTCCCTGGAACCTCTGCTCTTTCTGAATTTAAGAGCCAAAGCTTGTTGAAGAACCTTCAAAAGACAAGCCCTTCTGTCACTTCTGTTTCTGGACTTCAAGTACATTTTGTCAACCCAAGAAATGAACAAGCTCTACAAGTAGTGTCAGACTCTTCTTCTGAAAAGCATGTGATTCTCAAGAGCTTACTTCATTATGGCTCCAATCCTATTGCTGCCGACCAAGCAAAGACCATTGAAACCTTCTTGGACACCAATATTCAACCTGAACAAGGCATTGTTGTTCTCATTGTTCCTCGCGCTGGTACAATCTCTCCTTGGTCTTCCAAAGCTACCAACATTGCTCATCTTTGTAACCTACATGACCAAGTCGAACGTATTGAACGTGGTGTTGCTTATTTCATTCAAGGTGTTTCTGAATTAGCTGATATCAATGTGAATCTTTTACACGATAGAATGACACAATTGGTCCTTACTACTGTTCCTCAAGCCGACTCCATCTTTCAACATGGTAAACCTGCTCCTTTGACCGTGGTTGATTTACTTAGTGGTTCCGGTAATGCTGATATTGCCCGTGAAAAACTCGTACAAGCAAATGCTGAACTTGGTTTGGCTTTGGCTACGGATGAAATCGATTATTTGATCTCTGCTTTTGTTGGTCAAGAAGATGATGCTGCCCTTCGTCGTAATCCTACTGATGTTGAACTCTTCATGTTTGCTCAAGTCAACTCGGAACATTGTCGACACAAGATTTTTGGTGCTGATTGGACTATTGATGGTGAACTCAAGCCTCATTCTCTTTTTGGTATGATTAAGAACACTCACAAACTTAATCCCAAGTATACTTTGTCTGCTTATTCTGATAATGCTGCTGTATTGGAAGGTTTTAAAGCTACTCGATTTGCTCCTTCCTCTAAAGTTGGAAATACTTATGAACATTTTGAAGAAGACGTTCATTACATTGCCAAGGTAAAAAAAAAAATATTTTTTTTGAAAGCATATCATTTATCAGTGTTATTTTTTTTTATTATTATTGTCTAGGTGGAAACTCATAATCATCCTACTGCTGTCTCTCCCTTCCCTGGTGCATCTACTGGTTCAGGTGGTGAAATTCGTGATGAAGGTGCTGTTGGACTTGGATCAAAACCAAAGGCTGGTTTGGTAGGTTTCACTGTGTCAAATTTATTGATTCCTGATAATATACAACCTTGGGAAACTGATTTTGGAAAACCTGGTCATGTTGCATCTGCTTTTGATATTATGATGGAAGCTCCTTTGGGTGGTGCTGCTTTCAACAACGAATTTGGTAGACCTGCTCTTACTGGTTATTTCCGTACTTTTGCTGAACAAGTACCTGTGGATGAAAATACTTCTGAAGTCCGTGGTTATCATAAACCTATCATGATTGCTGGTGGTGTCGGTAGTATTCGTCCATCTCACGTATTAAAACACTCCATCAACCCTGGTGCTTATTTGATTGTCTTGGGTGGTCCTAGTATGTTGATTGGTCTTGGTGGTGGTGCTGCTAGTTCCATGGCTTCTGGTCAAAGCAGTGCAGATCTTGATTTCGCCTCTGTACAACGTGAAAATCCTGAAATGGAACGTCGTGCTCAACAAGTGATTGATTTTTGTAATGCGCTTGGTGATGATACTCCTATCGAATCTATTCATGATGTTGGTGCTGGTGGTTTATCAAATGCTTTACCTGAAATTGTTCATGACAGTGATCTTGGTGCTGAAATCGAACTTCGTCAAATCCCTTGTGATGATTCAAGTATGTCTCCTATGGAAATCTGGTGTAATGAATCTCAAGAACGTTACGTACTTGCTGTGTCTCCCGAAAGATTGGCCATCTTTGAAGAATTCTGTGCTCGTGAACGTTGTCCCTATGCTATTGTTGGTAAAGCCACTGCTGAAAAACGATTAGTTGTGAAGGATTCTTTGTTAGGTAATGTACCCATTGATCTTCCCATGCCTGTCTTATTTGGTAAACCTCCCAAGATGTCTCGCAAGACAGAATCTCGTAAGCCTTTACGTCATGCCTTTGATGTGTCTTTGAAATCTTATCTTCCTAATGCTTCGGTGATGGATGCTCTTCAAGATGCTGCTTCTCGTGTCATGCAATTACCCTCTGTGGCTTCTAAATCTTTCTTGGTAACCATTGGTGATCGATCCATTACTGCCTTGGTTGCTCGTGATCAATTTGTTGGTCCATGGCAAGTACCTGTAGCTGATGTAGCTGTTACTACTACTTCTTTAGGAAAGGATATCATTACTGGTGAAGCAATGGCGATGGGTGAACGTACTCCTTTGGCTTTATTATCTCAAGCTGCTTCTGCTCGTATGGCTGTAGGTGAATGTTTGCTCAACATGGCAGCTGCCAATATTCAAGATACTGGTCGAATTCGTATGTCTGCTAACTGGATGTGTGCTGCTGATCATGCTGGTGAAGGTGCTGGTCTTTATGAAGCTGTACAAGCCATTGGCCTTGATCTCTGTCCTGCTCTAGATATCGCCATCCCTGTTGGAAAGGATTCCATGTCAATGAAAATGAAATGGAACAACGATCAAGGTCAATCATCTGAAGTCACTGCACCATTATCTCTTATCATCACTGGATTTGCACCTGTCATCAACAATCACAAGACATTTACACCTCAATTACACAACAAACCCAACACTGTTCTAGTATATATTGATTTGGCGAATGGAAAACAACGATTGGGTGGATCTGCTTTGGCTCAAGTATACAAACAAATTGGCTCAGAAGCACCTGATGTGGAAGACGCTCTTTTACTCAAAAACTTTTTCAATGCTATGCAAGTTGTCAAGGAAGGTGATGTCAAGAAGAGCATCGTGTTGGCATATCACGATCGTTCCGATGGTGGTTTGTTTACGACAATTACAGAAATGTGTTTTGCTGGTCATGTAGGTGCGCAAGTGAATTTGGATGCTATTACCAAGGATGATGATGTAGTATCATGTTTGTACAATGAAGAACTCGGTGCTGTGGTACAAGTGGAAGAAGCTCGCTTTGATGAATTTGTGGCACTTGTTGGCAAGGCTGGCCTGCCCAAGGAAGTGATTCACAAGATTGGTGTGGTAACTCAACATGATGCAAATGACACTATTGCATTCCATCTCAAGGGTCAAAATGTCTTTAGTGCTGGTCGTGTAGATCTATTCCGTTTATGGTCCAAGACTTCTTACCTTATGCAATCTGCTCGTGATAATGCTGATTGTGCTCAACAAGAATACGATAATGTACTCGATGTCAATGATCCTGGTATGACTTTTGATTTGACTTTTGATCCTGCTCAAGATATTCTCAAGACAGTGGCATCTAAACAACACAAGCCCAAGGTGGCTATTTTACGTGATCAAGGTGTCAATGGACAAATCGAAATGGCATTCTCTTTCCATTTGGCTGGTTTTGAAGCGGTGGATGTGCATATGACGGATATTATTTCTGGTAAGGTGACTCTCAAGGATTTTGTTGGTATTGCAGCTTGTGGTGGATTTTCTTATGGTGATGTACTTGGTGCTGGTGCTGGTTGGGCTAGATCTATCTTACTTCATCCTCATGCTCGTGCCGAATTCTCTCATTTCTTCAACGAACGCGACAATACATTTGCCTTGGGTGTATGTAATGGTTGTCAATTCCTTAGTCAATTGGCTGAATTGATTCCTGGCGCTGATCACTGGCCTCGTTTCGAACGCAATCAAAGTGAACAATTTGAAGGTCGTACTACCATGATTGAAATCAAGTCGGATGCATCTAGTATTTTCTTTAGTGATATGGGTGGTTCCAAGTTCCCTATTGCCGTGGCCCATGGTGAAGGTCGTGCTCAATTCCAATCAGAACAATCTTATGTCCAATTTAACAACAATCATCTCACCACCGTACGCTATGTCGATAACTATGGTAATCCTACACAACGATACCCCTTCAATCCCAATGGTTCTCCTGATGGTATTGCTGGTATCCGCACTCCCAATGGTCGTGTCTTGGCCATGATGCCTCATCCTGAACGTGTCATTCTCAAGGAAAGCAACTCTTGGTATCCTGAAAATGAAACATGGGGTCAATCTGGTCCTTGGTTACGTATGTTCTGCAATGCTCGCAAATGGGTTGGTGACAACTATTAGATCATATACTTTATTTATTTATTTTTCATCATCCTTTTTTATTATTATTATTATTATTTTATATTATTTTGTTTTTTTGTACACATTATTTTTTTTTTTCATTATTACTTCAATAAAAACTTATTCATTGCTTTAGAAATCAATATATTGTTCATACTAGTCATCTATAAGAAGAATTACGAATTCAATTATGAATATCCAATTAAAAGAGTACTTTGGTGTAGTATTTCTTTTTTTTATTATTATTTATTCTTTAGTAATACCCTTATGTCTCAATTAATGTGTAAGTTTATTCATCCATCCCATTTTGCTCTTTTTTTTTTTTTTTTTTTTTTCCTATTATCAATAAAAAATCTTGTTACAATTAAAAGTCTTTGTTATATGTATATCCGTTTTACTAGTGTATATGTATCAAACGGAATGAACAAATATTGGGGATAAAGTTGAATCTTAGGAGATCATCCAATTTCAAAGGCGCAATTAACACCATTCAAATCATCATCATCATCATCATCATCATCATCATCACCTATATCAATCAATCATCGTCATCATCTATATCAATCATCACCTTCGCCTATATTAGTCAATCGTCATCATCATCTATATCAATCATCATCACTGCCTATATCAGCCATTCAATCATCACGTATATCAATATCATGGTATTTTATTTCAGTTAATCAACAACTAGAGTATCTTTTCTGAAATATATAGTACCGAAAATTCGTGAATAAACAAACATAAAAAAAAAAAAAAAAAAAAACTAATAGCAGTTTGTATCATAAGGGCAACAATGACTGTATCTGCCTTTTCCATCGGCACCAACATCACAAACTTGATCCATAGCCTGCCAAAACCAAAAAGTATCAGCTCCCATTGTCTTCTTGCAACAATATTCTGTCATATCGCCAGCCAAAGACCCCTGACATCTGCAATATTCACAATTGGCAACAGAAAGGATCATAAAAATCAATACGAGAAGGCTTTTAAAGAAAGTAGTTGTCATTCTTGAAAGGTCAGTTGCTTGTTATTATTATATTTTATAAAAAACGAAGATAGAATAAGTTATGATTTTGTTGTAAAAGACGATTCGATATTTATACTAATGCTTTGGTCAAAAAAGGAAATATTATGGAAGGAGAATACTAGTGGAAAAGTAGAAATGTATAGTAACAAAACTTGTGGAGATCTAAACTATAATGCTGAAGCTGAAAAAAAAAAGCGTAGATGAAAGAATATCCCCTTAAAAAATATGCATATACGTAAAAAAGAAGATTGTGTTCCATAGCACAACATTATGCAATACTAATATTCAACCGTCATTGAGTAACCTAAAAAGAGACATCTCCCTTCAAGTATTCGATTTCATACAGTAGTCGTAGTCTCTTTTTTTTTTAGCGCTCCCGTTTTACCATCTTTAAACATTAATTTCCCTATTTTTAAAGCATTGACCAACAGTTAAAGAAAAAAAAAAAAGAGAGAGAGAGATCGGCGTAAGATAAAACAAACCTAAAAAAAAAATAAAAAAAATAAAAAAAATAAAAAACGCATCTGAAAATAGAGTCAGTTCTGTTCGCAAATAACAAAGTAGTTGTAATAAAATAAAACGACTTTATTGAATAAAAGTATATACACTAACGACTACTAATCGACATATTCAAATTAATGGTGTCAATAGGAAGAGAAAGGAAAACAAAAAAATAAAAGGATGAAGAACCAACATAACACTTTGAAAAATATTTCTCCCCCCTAATTTAGTTATTGACAGAAATATTTTCCTGTGAAAAGAGCTTAAATGAATATCGATATGTTTACCATAATGAATCACACGTATCATTAAAATAAATCACAGAATAAGAAGGTATATTTTTGGTATAGGATGACAAAAAGTACTTCCAAACAAATATAGACACAAATTTTTTCACATGTGGATAAACTAATATTTTTACTAAAAGAATCTCGTTGACCGGCCATACTAAGCAGCTAAGTACACATAACATCACAGTTCAATAAACTGAAGTATATTATTATGAGAGATCTATAATAATAGAATCTAGTTTTTTTTTTTTTTTTTTTTTTTTTTTTTTTTTTTGTTGTTGAGCTATCTCTTGGCTGATTCACCAAAAAATTCGAATCATAGCGTCATTTTGCGTTATGCTTTAACATCACATGAACTGAACATTTCTTTTGTAATTCACTTAAGAATGATCATCATCCCATCAAATTTGAACCCAACATAGATGCAAATATTCTCTTTGGTTTGTCTTAATAGTAATTGATACCTTACCTCCCAATTTGTGGAGTAATTTAAAAAATAAGAATCAATCTCATCATCCCTCATCCAATAGTCATCATCATCTAATAAAGCTACCACCATTCGATTTCTCTCCAAAAAGTAATCTAATATCATCTAATATCATTTTATCACTTAAGCTTGGAAGCGAACTTTGTCTTTTCCTTTCTTATTCAAAGATCATCATCATTGCGCCGAATTTGAACAGAAAATATATATTACAATAAAATGTAAGACAACAATGTTATTTTTTTTTTTTAAAAAAAAAAAAAAAAAAGTCGGCTGATTTGAATGTTTATTGATGTATTGGTATGAATCATATAATATTCGATTATAATAACTAACTACATAAAAGGATACATTGGAAGATGGGGAAATAAAATAAAAATGAATAATACATAAAAAAAAAAAAAAAAAAATTGTTTAATGAGTCATCCATTTCATTATCCTCCTCTTCATTGCCACCTATACCATCAATGTCTTTTGGCATATATTTCAACGTTCCCCTGCTAAAGTCCATTTTCTTACTGGAATTTTTCCCTTTCTATCTTATCAAAAAGCGATGTAGTTTTCCCATTGCGTGTTGTTCACCTATAGAGATAAAACTTTTTTTTGTATTAGTCTTCATTCTTAAAGCAAGAAATATGACCACCATTCACTACTATTTTTCAACTTACAAATTATGGCAACTTGTGTAAGTTTTGATTATAGAAGAGATCTTGAAGAAGCACCATAAGGTTTATTTGAGAAATAAAGAATAAAACATGTGGATATATATACATACAATCATCGGGGTGGAGAAAGGCTATAAACAAAGTAGAAGAAGGGGAAAAGGAAGAAGGGGATATCACTGGAAGGTTGTTGTTGGTATTGTTTGATCTTGATCGTGATTGTTGCGTGGGATAGTTGACTCGGTGTATGATTTTTAGTAAACACAAAACAAAACAAAACAAAAACGAAGGTAGAAAGCTGAAGAATGGAATAATTCAAGTAGGCGCAGAGACAGTTTTCCAAGGTTGTCGATCCAATGGACAAGTCGTCACACCAGGAGTAGTGGCCAACCATTTTTCGATACAATGAAGGTGAAAGACGTGTTTACATTGACCCCAAACAACAGAGCAATCATCACCTGGAACATGACATTGTGGACAAGTAGCATTGAAAGAAGCCTGGCAAATTCCACATACGTCATCTTGATCGACATCCCAACTCCAATATGCAGCCATGGTCCATGATTTGATGTTGACTTTCATATTACAAAGATCAAAAAAAAAAAAAAAAAAAAAAAAAAAAAAAAAGGAAAAGAAAAGAAACATTGAACATCATTTGTTCAATCAAAAAAAAAAAAAAAAAATCGGGGCTTGAAACGCCATCATGTGTATGTGCAATGTCCCTTGATATTTTCATGTTGTCCTTCTTTTCTCTTTTTTCAATTTATTATTACTATTATTATTATTATTATTATTACTACATTTCCATGATATGAAAGGCAATTCAACTGCTACCATTCAAACGGTAATAAATATAGGCATGATTGATAAATGAATTAACAATTTAATTACATTGACAAAGTAGATAACTTCAAGTAAAGCAGTTGAACGCGAAATAGCAACAGCGATAAAACTCTTCCAGGGAAAGGAAACAGAATTCAATTGGGAAAAACGGGAACAGATGCTTCTATTGATCGATTCACTTTTACAACATGATTCTTTTCCAGATTGGCAGCCTATTATTGTACAAGGTGTTCGTGACTTGGTGTATGGACTTGCCGATGCTGTAAATACGACACAGTTCTTTTTTTTTTTTAACGTTACTCATGTTCTTCAACTTTTTTGTTTGTTCTTGAAATAGATACAAAGTTTGAGGACAAAGTATGCACTGGTGGCTTTTGATCTTATCACAACCATTGGTAATATTATTGGAACACAACTGGATACAACTACGTTTGAAACTCTTGTCAATAGTTTACTAAGATGTGGGAATTCTAGCAAACAAATCATTGCCAACAAGGCTAAAGATACTATGGTTTCTTTTCTATCGACAACTACTTATCACAATAGAACGATCAATCTCCTTTTCTCTGCCTTTGCTGACAAGAATCATCAAGCTCGCCATTTTATTGCTATCTATATGGAAACCTACCTACAAACACATACACCAAGAACACTTGTTAGATCTACCATGGAACGTCAAAATACACTAGCTACTATTGAACTCTTTTTGAAAACTGGATTATTGGATGCTACCCCTGCCGTACGACAAGTATGTCGTCGTACATTTTGGATTTATCACAATTATTGGCCTAGGAATGCGGATAGGTAATGAGGATATATATATATATATATGTTTTTTTTTTTTTTGATGATATTCATAATTTATCTAACCTTTTTATCTAGGCTATTACAAAGATTTGATACCGGTATCAAGAAACAAGTGGAACAACAAAAACCTACAAAAGTCGACACAGCCATCGATCGTAACCATGTCTCCAACGTAACTCCAGGTTCTCCTGAAGGCGTCAATCGATTACGTCAACGCAAATTATTATCAAGTCCGTTGAAACTGTCCCCTCGAAGTAATCGAACAAAAGTGAATATGGATAACAATGATAGCAACACTATAAAACGCCCTGCGTCGCCAAATTTTACAACTGATCATCCTACCCGACAACGAAAATTATCTAGATCGCTGACTGCATCACCGCAATGTGATAGAGTATCAGAATATTCACCAGCACTTGCATCTGCTTCATTACTACATATGCTTCGCAGCTCAAATGTTACTATCAACTGCAAAGGTTTAAATACACTCGCCAAATGCTTATCTGAAAGCTATCGACGACCTGCATTGAACAACAATTATGACGGAGTACTTCCTTCCACTGTACCTAGTCGTGTTGATCTGATACCTATCCTCCAAAGTTATCTCTCTTTTGATCGGATGTTAAGTGATGACACGTTTTGCGAACAACTGATGTCTTGGGATATTCTCTGTGGTATATATGCTCAAATTCTTTCTCTCCAACATTTTCTACCTACGGTGATATTAGCTGGTGAAAGACGACATCGAAATGGTTTGTCCAACAATACGTCTCCACTATCACAACGGTTATATACAACATGTGCTTCTGGATGCAGGCGGTTGAAACTCTACTTGAAATACAACGATCCGACATTAATGAAATCATTATTAGATATTCTTCTTATGGCGACTACCTTTGATGGCGCAGGTTTACGTGATCCGAATGCAAAGAAGGAACTCTTGAAAACGACTTTATCATTACATCATGATAGGAAGACTGAAGGACACAAAGCACAAGATGACTTGGTGTTTGGATTGGTGACATGGTTGGATGAACTTGTTTGTACTTTTGTTGGATTGAATGATGATGAACAAGAGGATCAACAATTGATGGACGAATGCAAGCAAGCATGGAAAACAGATACAGTATCGGATGTAGCGACCTCATGGCTTGATGATAATGACAATCTGACAAGTTGCTTGGAACTAATACTAGGTGTTGTTCATTCTTATCTTCCGTCAGCTGGATCCTCGGCCGTATTTACTACTTTGATGACATTGATAGGAAGATTACGATTAGCCAACATACGGGTGTTCGATGCAGTGATACGACAGGCTGATGATGATACAGTTCGGCTTTTGGATACGTGTTTGGGACGTCCTCGGTCGCTATATAATGATATAGACCAATCAAAGACCATTGGGCTACTCGATGAAAACATTTACGATCATAATGTACCTCCTCCTTCCTACAGTGATGTTATGGGCTTAGAGCGACAAGAGGAAAGTGATCTATTAGATAACGATCAAGATGATGTTCGTGACACCAGTTTGGGATCGATTCATTTGGAAGTCATGTCACCTGAACCATCTCTTACGACAACTCAGGTAAGTGAGCGATAAAAAAAAAAAAAAAAGAAAGAAAGAAATGGGACAAGTAGATAGGGGGGTGTAAGAAGATATATTAAAAAAAATAATGATTTCTATTTTGTATATAATGTAGGGACCTTCTGATATGGACAACAACGACGACGATATGGTGCCCCGAATCAAAAAAGAACCATCAAGAAATCTGGAACAATCGATATCATCGGCAGTTGTTATTACCACCATAGAAACAAATCATGCGACCAGTGACAAAGGCCTGATCCATCAAATGAACTCTTTATCGGAGACGACTGAACAATTTATGATGAGGACAAACAAGTCAATGGCAATTTATGAACAACTTGAATCACTGTGCAAAAAACATGACTGTAAGGATGAAAAAAACAAGGACATGTGGAGATCAACGTCACGGGTCCACCAAGATGGAAATTTGCTTGGGTTATTGGTTCATCAACTGACGGAAGAACTATTACAAGGTGACTTATCTGACAACCAACGGATCGGTAGTTTACGGCTTCTTGAACATACTTTGATTTATCAAGCAGAATTGGTATTACAGCACATGGATGATTATGGATTAGTGATGACAAAGGCATTCATATATACTAAACAGGACAATTTTGGCCAAGTAAGAATTAAAAAAACCAAATGAAATATCTGACGTTTTTTTTTTTTTATTATTCTAGATAGCATTACTAGTTGATCAAGTACAACACCTATTACTGAACATGTTGACGACCAAGACATGTGCATCTATCTTCACTCAACTTTTGAAACAAGACAAAGGCTTATCATCATGCAAAGGTGATGAACGTGTTCATCCTCTATCAAATCTATTCAACATGATCAATAAAGTGGCATCTAGAATAATGACATTGGATATGGTGGAAAACTTATTTGTACAAAATGAATGTGTAGAAATTTTTATAAAGGTAAATTATATATATAAAAAAAAAAATGAGACCACAACGAATGATTTGATTGGCTGACATTTTTTTTTATATATATAATGGGGTTACAAAAGGGAATCAATCATTCTTTATTATGTGTTCGACAATCTTGTGTCAATGCATTGGTGTCACTTTCCTTTTGTTTGGGTAATCAAGAAGATATCAAAAACTATCTACCAGGGTTACGGAAAGATCAATGTGACTTGTTAGATCATTATATACAAATGGCGAAAAAGTAGTTATTATGCCCCCCTTTTTTTTCAAAATAAAAGAGATCAACAGCGATAACGGGTAAATCTTGTTTATTTATTTGGATTTTTTATGTATGATAAGTATTTTTCTCTTTGTCTTCTATGGAAGTTATTTTTTTTTTCACATGCCGTAATCAAAAAGCATTTTCTGACAAGGACTTCACACGTGCGAATGTAGCATTTTGGGGGGAGTTGAAAACATTTGATAAGCAAAAAAAAAAAAAAAAAGAAAGAAAAAAGAAAAAAAGATCCATTCTCTTCGTGTCTCAGGGTCACTTTCCAAAAAAAAAAAAAAAAAAAAAAATGTTATCGATGAAACTTTCCATTAGAACGAATGCTCATGGAAAAAGAACCCATGATTTTTCTTTCTTTTTTTTTTTTGAAAAAAAAAAACTATGATTAAAAAATAAATAGATAAATAGATAGAATAGGTTTTTATCATAGACTATCTTGGATGACCTGATGAAGTAAAAGTTGCCTTTTAGGATCATCGGATGTCAACTATCCTTTTGATAAAATGAAGAAGCATGTTTACTTATTTGAACCCGAATTTCCCACACATAGATACATTATCTTTTTTTTTTCCCCACATTTTTTACAGATATGGTTTTTCACACACCCAAGCATTTCAAACAAAGAAAATTTTTATTGTAAAAAATCATGTCTAATCTGTTCCATTCGTTTCCTAGTTCTATCAAAACAAATTTTCATCGTATCCACATCTAGACTGGTAGCCCCATTCTTGTAAACATGTAGTAAATCACCATCAGTATCCATCACCACCGTCACTCTATCTTTGGATAAACCTTCTTCAGTATCATTGGGATCCGATAATAATGCGTCAGATGAAGGGAATAAACAATAGGAAGCCGATACTGGATATCGTTGAATCATGTCGAAAGGATGCACTTTTTCGTTAGAATCAGCTTCTGCTGTCATGGTATCTGTCGCTATTTCAGTTTTTGGTAAGGTCACTAAAATAAGAATAAAGGATAAGTTTTTCTTGTTTTTTCCTTGTTTCATTATTTTACCTTGTCGAAGAGCTGTTACCAAAGCCAAGAGACTTGCATCCAATATATTCCCATCATAATTCAAACATACCATGTCTGCATAAAGAACCCATACTGCCTTACCAACTTCAATACATAAATTTGTCAAAGGGAGGATATGTGAACTAATAGAGAGAGAGAGAAAAAAAAATCAATCCAAATGATCATTCCCTCTCTTTATTAACTTACTTTGAGAATAATTGATGAATGATTTCAGATACAACTTGAGCTTGTTCAGAAGGAGCACCAGGACGAAATTTGGCAGAACATAAAGGAGATAGTTCCACATTAGGTACTAGAAAAAAAAAGAAAGGTTTGAATAAAGTCATGATAGATTCTTTATATATATATATATATATATACCTAAGAAGCCTTGATCGGGAAGATCGAGATTAGGTTCACACACTTCAGCTTTGATTCCGCATACCACGGTAGTACCACCTAAACGTACCATACTACTGGCATTCGCGGTAGAGATCACATTGGAAGTAACCAAAGTATCTCTAAATCTATCCAATAATCGTCCATCAGGTCTTACTTGTTGATCAATAAATCGACGCATATATTCATGAGGTTGAATTCTACTAAAGATATCCGAATGTTTCAAAGTGTCCATGATGATTATTATGTAAGAAAGGGAAAAAAAAATAAAGATAAAAATAATAAACAGAGGGAATCAAAGAAAAAAAAAAAAAAAAAAGGCTGAGAGAAAATGGCTGAGGTTTAAAAAAGAGTGGCAAAAAAATGAAAAAAGGGTGACATTTTCCCAATCTTGTTAAAATGAGAGAGAAACTTGAAATTTTTTTGGGGGATCATCCAAAAAAAGATTATATATAGAAAAAGAAGTTTATTATATATTCTCATATGAGGGTTTTTATCATGAATGACAACGGGAGGAATCATCTTATCAGAAAATGGTGTAATTCTATCTTTAAAAGGTAAAAACAATCCTAGTATGTGTATCTTCTCCCCCAAAAAAAAAGGAGGTTTTCCTTTTTCTTCCTTTCCTCCTCCCCCCCCTTAACTTATCTGATATACTTTTTGAATCCCCGTACATTGGTTTGTTATATGTATTATATATAAACCCCACCTTTTTCAAAAAAAAAAAAAAATTATTTCTTTTTCTTTTCTTTTTCTTTTCTTTTTTTTTTATTTTATTTTATATTATTTATTATTGATTTTTTTTTATATCAAAAACCAATGGAATATCAAGCAGCCACACAATTATTATGTTTATCAAATGGTGATAAGAGTCAAGCGCCAAGACCTTATAAATGTCCAATGTGTACAAAATCATTTTATAGATTGGAACATCAAACTCGTCATATACGAACACATACAGGAGAAAAACCTCATAAATGTACATTTCATGGATGTGAAAAAAGATTCTCACGATCGGATGAATTGACACGACATGTACGTATTCATACTTCACCTACCAAACGACGTAAACATAAAAAACAAGTAGATCCTCCTTCACCTGTCTTATCTGAATCGGATGTGGATTATTTATTGACACCTGATAATTCACCCATTTTAACCCCACGTCAATTGAATAAGAAATTAATACCATTAGAATGTCAATGGGATCGTATTCATTATACAACACCACCTGCAAAAGATGAATCCTTATTGGCTCTCCTGGATCGACCTCCTCAAGCACGTACGTTACCTCCCATTCATTCTCCAACTTCTACTTCTCGTCTCTTGTTGCATATTTAGTTCTCCTTTTTTTTTCCCCACTTTTTTTTTTTTTTTTTTTTTTTACTCCTTCCTTCTAGTATATCTCCCTTTCATCATTACATTTTATCATATATCATCTTCATCTTCATGACAATTATATATATATATATATCTTCATTATTTTTTTTTCTTTTTCTTGTATATGTATATAATAAAAACATCGGAACTTTTTTTTTTATCTTTCTTTTTGGGTGCATAATTGTCTTTTGGGTTCGTGGGAACAGGGAAAAACTCTAACTACCCATTTTCTTTCTTTTTTTTTTTTTTTCATGGTCAGACTCTGATTTTTTTCTTTTTTCATCTCATCTTTTTTTTTTTCTGTCATTCTCTCTCTCTCTCTTTTTTTTTTTTTTTTTCTTTGTCCTCCAACCCTTTCCACTCTTTTTTTTTTTTTTTGTATTACTATGAAGATTGCTCTCGTTCAACTTCACATTGATCATAAAAACAAATCCAATAACTGGACTCGTGTAGAAGACTATATGGTCAAAGCAGCTAAACAAAAAGTGGACCTTATTGTGTTTCCCGAGTAAGTAAAAAAAAAAAAAAAAAAAAAAAAAGTTATCTTTTTCTTTCTTACAAACTCTCTATATATTTTATTTTATATGATAGATTTTTTCTTGGTGGACCTGGAAGAAGTTCGTCTTTAAAAAACGCTACTGAACGTCTCGGAGCTCTTGCACGGAAATATCAAATGGATCTGGTACCTGGTACGATTGTGGAACATGATGAAGAACAAAATGTATATCGTAATACCGCTTATTATATTGATTATACCGGTCGTGTCTTACTCAAATATGATAAGGTACATTTATGGCAACATGAACGAAGTTATTTGACTCAAGGTAAAAATTATATATATATATAATGAAAATAAACTTAACTTTTTTTTTATTTTATTTTATTTTATTTTAAATGATTTAGGTGAATTTGAATTCAATACTGTCAAGAATAGGTTTGGTGTCACCATCGGGTTGTGTGCTTGTTGGGATCTTAGTGTACCTGAAGTTTTCCGAGAATTAGCTATGAATGGTGATGCTCAATTAATCATTATACCCGGTAATATAAGAATAATAATAATAGTTAAGAAATGATTCATCCTAATATATATATATATATATATATATATGCAGCCTATTGGACTCTTAGTGAAGTGGATGATACGAAATGTGATCTTGAAAGTGAATACAAGTTATTACAAGGATTATTGACGGCTCGAGCGTTTGAAAATCTCACCTGTGTAGCCTTTTGTAATGCAGCACGACGCCTTCCTCATGGCAACAACGAAGAATTGTTGCGAAAACAAGAACGTCGATTTGGTATTGTATCCGGAGCAAGTCAGATTGTGGTTCCATTCAAAGGTACAGTGGCTTGCATTGATAGTGATCAAGAAGATATGTTGATTCATGATTTACCTGTCGTACCCATTGTCCATGATGCTGATAAGGAATTCAAAATTCGTTCCGAATGGCATAAACATCGTATCTTTCCTGGTCGTGGCTTTTCTTCTTCATCATCGTATCTCGATGCCAAATTATAATATAGATTGTCATTCTTATAAATAAAAAAAAAAAGGTTTACTTTTTAACTTTTATACATCAGCATTATTCTCGTACAACATTATCTCAATGTAATTATTCCCAAAAAAAAAAGGCTCATGCGTAGGTGCATCTTATCATTGGAAGTTACCATCTAAACATCACAAGTTATCCATTGTTCTCAGAACAAATTCAAAACAATAAATATCCTATTTAAGTAATAAAAGGAGTTGGCAATATGGATTAAGAATGTTCGTAATAAAAAAAAAAAAGTATAAAAAGCAACGTGATCATGAAAGGGTCAAAAAAAAAGATCAACTTTTTTTTGGGGGGGGACGTGTTGTTTATTTCAAATGAAAACTGTGGGGATAAAAGGGAGTCTAAAGGTAGCACATGTTTTTTCCGGATATGGTTTGAATAAGTTTATTATAGGTGTATTCAATAGTAATCATCAAATGATGAATATAATAATAAGGTCATCTATGAGTACTATTCTAAAGTGATGGTAAAAAAAAAAAGGATCAATAGAGTATAATAAAATGGTATATAATATATATATATATATGTAAAATCAATATTGTGTAGAAGGAGCCAATAAGACCAGACCATTCCAAATACGAGTAGTTCCATGGAAAGCCTGTTGATAATATCGATCCCTGAGATGATTGCCTTTACCAAGAGGATCATCGTCCATAGCCTGCCGTCGCATACGAATCAAAGCTTCTTGATGTCGAGTCAATGTTGTTGCAAGATGACCAGTCAGCATTTGTTGGGTATCATGATCTTGCTTGAGTTGAATCAAATCCTCCATTAATGACTCACATACCAACTGTGTTTCTTCCTTTTCCAAAGTACGTACAAGTGAGAGAGCAATATCATAACCAGACTTTCCTGTTTCGTTGGTCGTCACATCCGTCACAATATGAATATCTTGATCAACCACATCCACCCAATCATCATCTACTATTTTAGTACCATGACAAGAAGTTTGTGAGACACTTTTTTCCAATTGTTCAATACAGTAAGTTAGCCAATCCACTTGAGGTGTGATGATTTCGATACGTTCATCCATGTATTGTGGTGTCAGTGCAATATCTCCCGTATCCGGTTGTTCTTTTTGTTGTTCTTGAACCACTAATTCACGTTCTTTCAATAATTCTTCTTGTTCTTGTACAAGACGATCACGCTACAAATAACAAACCAAGTCAGTTGATTTTTCTTTATTTTTTTTTTTTTTTTTACCTTTTCATAAAGTTCCTTGATTTTATCCACTGGTAATTGACTCTTGGTATAAGCAGTAATGGCTCTATATCATTGCATAGAGAAAGAGAGAGAAGATGAGTTCATTCATTGTTCTTTGGTACCTATTATTATTATTATTATTTTACCGAAGGATGAGACGTTTGCGCTCTATCACCCTTTGTTGTAAAGAAACAAACTTCGCATTGGTGTCCTTTCTAACAGATCGTTTTCCAAAAGATCGATGATGTACATTAGAAGTTGGAGGTGTAGGAAGAAGACAAGGACCACCTATTTTGAGACCTGTTGTTTGTTGAGATGAATTTCCGGCTTTCTTAACTAAGGTCATGTGCTTGACTTGCATTTGGAGAGTCTGATGATCATCACTAAGTTTCTTGTTCAATGCTCGCGCTTGTCCAAGATCCCGTTCTAGTTTTTTCTTTGTTTGACTGATTTGTTTTTCCAATCGTTTACTCTTTTCCACTTCACGTTCATGTTGTTGGCATTTTTCTCGATATCGATTCAATTCTTGTTTCATTCGTTTCATGGCCTTTTTCTTTTCATGCTTAGCGTCTTCTAAAGAAGTTTTGAGGTTTCGAATGGCATTCTCCTGTTGAGTACGAGTGGTTGCTGAACTATTGACAAGTTGAGTATGTTTGCGTCGTAATGTTTGTAGTTCTGTCAATTGCTTGCGTTGTTTTTGTTCATGTTGTTGATTGAGTTCATTGATTTTTTGTTTGTGTTGAGCTTGTGCTTGTGTCTTTTTTTGTTTTTCTTCTGCCAGTTTTCGTTCTAATAGTTGCAGAGAATCTCGTTTCTGTTGCTCAGCTTGATCCAATTGTTGTAAAAGTTGTTGTTTCCCGTTCACACATTTTTCGAAGCGTTGAATCAATTGTCGGCATAATGAAGCTGGTGTGATCATAGGAGGCTGACATGATTTTGCTGATACAGGCTAATAAAAAGAAAAAGAAAAAAAAAAGGTGTCAGTCATTTCTTGAATAGCCTATCCCTCAAGATTTCTTTTTTTTTTTTTTTTTGTGTATTTTACCTTTGCGGAAAATACATCTTCGCTTACTTCTTCAGTAGGAGAGTCTAAATCAAGGGAATCAAGTGACGCCTACATTTATAAAGAGTAATCATAAGTATATATACATATCAAATCTTCAGGTTATAAATTCTTACCAGCGTTGCTTGAATAAATTGAGTATCCTGTCGGATGCTTGCCTTGATTTGCTTGGCATTATTACGAAGTGTCGAAGATGAATCAGACTTTGGGCTTGCTTTTGATGTGGAGGGTCCAATACTAGTTCTATGTCTACCTTTTGCAGATCGTCTCAGACTACCAATACGATAACTATGTCGCTTTTTTTTCACATCCTTGACTTGATCATGTTGATGATGATGTTGTTGCTGTTGTTGTTTCAATTGTTGTCCATCTTCTTCTTCTGCTGGAGGCGTTGGAGGTGAATTATCACGTTGAACAGTTAAAGAAAGATGTTGTCGTTGTTGTTGTTGTAATTGTAATTGTAGTTGTTCAATGGTAAGTGTATATTCGTTCATCATTTGTTGTAAAATATCATCGATCTCTCCACCTTGTTCTTGTTGTTGTAATTTGGTTTGGATAAGATCCCTTTCACATTTCACATGAGCTAATTCTGATGCCATCACTTGACTAGAATGTTCAAGTTGTTGTACTGTCAATTTGAGTCCATCCATTTCATCATTTACTGCTCGTAAAAAGTCATCATTCCCTTGTAACTGTCCACGAAGTTTGTTGATAATGGCTTTGAGACGTTGTTCTGTTTCAGGATTTCCTACACCACCACTATTTGTTGATTCTTGATTAATGGTAACCCGATTTCGAATGTTTCTAGCACGATTAGCGTATTTGAGGGTATTGAGAGTTTCAGTATGATTGAGATCTGCAGGAGATACACATGCTAACATCAAAGTTTGACTATTTCCACCAAGAGAATCTTGTAATAAGCGAGTCAACTTGGAGTCACGGTATGGAATATGAGACACCTTTCTTGATTCATCACCTAGAGCTGAGATAACGTTGCCAAGAGCCAATAAACCAGAATTAATAGAAATACCTTCTTTTGCCCTGTCACCTACTGCATTCGTTCGTTTCAACTAATATAGACATATGCAAAAATATATGTATACATATGAAAAAAAAAGTCAATTTAATGTCATTTTTACTTGTTTTCTTTATGCACCCCTCCTTTTTTTTTTTTCTATAATTACCCTTTCAGAGCCTGCCAAATCAACAAAATGAAACTTGGATATCAAAGTTCGCCCTGTCAAAGGAGAAGAATTGGACAAAGAAGAAGCAGTAGAATTGGTACTTGAAGTAGGACTAAGAATAGCAGCAGTAGTGGTAGACGCAGGGGAAATATGAGAACCACTAATGGAAGGAGATTTGCCACCAGTAGTAGGAAGAGGATCCAAAACAGGTAATTGATCATCATTATCATGTTCCCGAGGATCGACGTCGAAAAGAGTTTGTTTGAGAATGACGGAAAAAATGGCATGAGATCTAGATGAAGTATGATTCATATCAGTTGAAGCGGTTGTTCGTGCAATGGAACCTTTTTTGAGATAACTAAATAGGGAAGTGAATATGAAACAAAAGGAGTAAGAAGGAGGTAAGAAGATGAGAATAATAAAATAAAAAGCACGATTTTTTTTTTTTATTTCGTTTTAATTTACTTACTCGAATAACTCCTTGGAATTGAATACTTTTTCTTCACGTACACCAGACCAATGAATGTTCCCATGATGATCTTCTCGAATAGACAAGTTTGGCATTTCCTTTTTACTTGGAGAAAGTAAATCCACAATATCTTCATTATATAATTCCAAAAAAGACACAGATACTTCAAATTGATTATTTTCTACCGTTTGTTTTCGTTCCAATTGTTCAAAGAGAGTCTTGATAAATAAAGGTACAATTCCTTCATGCACAGGATTCATAGCTGAGTCTAATCCAATTCCCATACTAAACGTTTTCCCTGATCCAGTTTGACTACATAAATAGTAATAATAATAATAAAAAGTCAAAATAACATTGATAGGTAAAAATGAAATTAAAATAAGATATATCTTACCCATAAGCCAGGATAGTAGAATTATAACTAAATAATAAATAATACATATTTTGAATTAGTAACAACTCCTATTACTGTTTTATTATTATTATTATTATTATTATTATTACTATTATTATTATTATTATTATTATCATTATTATTATTATTTACCCTTCCATATATTTGTTAACCAGAGGAATAACACAAGTATCAAATACTTCTTGTTGACTTGTTAGAGGTGGATAAGTATAGTCAAAAGTAAAAGAACGGTCGTTGCCAACATTAATTTGAGGTGCATTGGGAACAAAAGTAATATTGTTTTTACAATGATGTTGTTGTTCTGATTCTGTCAAAGGTCGTACTCTTACTGCCACTCTATCAATAAAATAAAGAATGAGCATTGAAATAAACAATAAATAATAAAAAAAAGAGTATCTTTTACCGAACAGAAGATGTTGAAGTAGCCATCTATATAAGTATGTATATATAAAAAGAGTGGAATGGTATTTGTTTTTAATAAAGAATGGAAGGTATATATATATATAAAGAAAGAAGAAGGAAAGGAATGACTGAAAGAAAGAAAGAAAGAAAATAAGAAAGAAAGAAAGAGAAAAAAAACCGAACACATATCTATATATATATGTAAGGCATAACCTATTTTTTCATTTTGACACTATCGGAGTTGATTCCCTTACGCCCTTTTCACCACCCCTTATTCAGGTTTTTCGCGTGTAGTGATAAATTGAAAGCAAACAAGTTAACTTTTTTGTGTTGATCATCATCATTAACTTATGTTCAATGGAAAAAGTTTGTTGTTGTCACACAAGCAATGGAATAACATCGATCGGAATCTTTTTTTAAACTCTTTAAAATCGGAAGATAAAAAAAAGTCATATTGTCACTTACTTACTCTATTCTATGCAAAAAACAAACACAATAAAAAAAAAAGGATGTCATCATAGGCGCAGTAACCAAAAATAAAATGCTCCCTTATCTTCCTTTCTAGTCACTTTCAACCTTGATGTCTCATTTTGGAAATTTTTCTATTCTATATAATCATCTTTGTTATTTTTTTCTTCTTCTTCTTTTTTCTGTTTTTCTTTTTTATTCTATCTAATTTCAAAGAAAAAAATAAGATAAAGAAGGGTCTCTTCTTTTTTTATTTTATATATCCTTTTCTATATAAAATATATGTATGTATGATTATATTTATATACATACATATATATTAAAAAAAAAAAAGAAGAATAACCATGAATCGTCCCTCACCTAAAAAGAGACACTCATTCGATTTGACATTGCTTGAAATTTTTCGTAATCATCAATCAGGCACGCCATTTAGAAATAGTAATAAGAATAATAGCGACGGTAGTACCATCAGGACTATTGGTTCCGCACCATCGACAAGTATGGTAACAACACAAGCAGGTAAATCGATCATGATTACCAATAGATCATCCTTTCGATCAAATGCCAAATCGACCTTCGATCAGACATATGACGATGATGATGATAATAATAATCAATATGATTTTACTTTGTTTCTTCCTCATCATTCATTATCACCATACCCAACCACTTCTTCATCATCAGGACCTACTTTCCTTTTATTCCCAGATCTTTCCTCATTTTCCCAATAATCATTATGTATACATCATTCTTTGATTTCATTTATTTCAATTAAAAAAAAAAGGGGAGTTCTATCTAAACTAATCATTCATCTATTCTAATTATACATATAAAAAATAAAATAAAATAAAAGAAGACAAAGGAGGGGGATCTAAAAAGGATGAAATTCTATTAAAAGTATGGTATATATCAATGCACAAAAGGACGACGACGTAAAAAGACGTGGACATGTGGTAATTTCTTGACAGATTGAATTTCAGGCGGATTGACAAAGTACACCCATTCCCATTTAGTTTGATCATAATTGTTTTGTAAGACATGTTCCACGTAATCAGGTTTCAATGGTACCTGAGACCATACTAAAATATGATCAATTCCCTTTTCTACAGAATAAGGAAAATCATTGGGTAAAATGATGACAGATGGTGATTCAGATGATTCAGAGGATGATGGTGGAAATTTGAGTTTAGTCGTTAGTAAATAGTTTTCTATCGTTCCATATTTTGCTAAAATATCTTTCATCCATTTATTGTAAACTGTTTGTACACTTGAATGTCGATGTATTTTTTTGATCTGATTGGTGCCTACAATAATATAGCCAGGATAAGCCAAAATATCATATATATTGGCAATTTCTATTTTTTTTTTTTTAGATGATACCTACTAACATAATAACACACTTGTTCCCAAGTGAAAATATCATCGTCTTTCCATGTAGAATTAGATAGAATATGAGAATCAATATGTGGAGACATATATTAATAAGAAGGAAGAGGGGTAAAGAAAGAACGAAAGAAAGAAAGAAAGAAAAGAGAAGAAAAGAAAAAACCAAAAAACAGGGTTTTTCTATCATTCTACACAGGGGACAGGGAACTCCGATGATTTGGTAATCAATGGACCATTCGCTCCTCATCTTCAATCTTACAGGTTCAAAAATTTTCTCTTTCAGAACATCAAGACGAAACATCTTCGTTTTAGTTCTCTTTCCTTTTTTAGAGATCATGATTCTAATCAGCATTATCATTTGGTTACCATAATAATTGTTGTCGTTTTGTTTACCTTGTTCCATATGCATCTATAAACTAATGATTAAACATTGATCATCATCATCATCATCATCATCATTATATACTGACTATCATCGTCCATCACTAGTTTATTCCTCATCACCCCCTATTATTATATTATCGTCTATCACTGGTTTATCATCAACCATCCATCATATCAGTGAAATACTATATTGCATGATGTCGCTTTTTTAATTAATTCAGCGTCTTTTTTTTTTTTTTTTTTTTTCATATGGGCTCAAGGTAAATTTTTCGCACACCTTTCTCTCTATTTCTTTTTCTTTTCAATCTTTTCATTGAATTCCACTTTTTTTTTTGTTTCTCTCTTGTCATGCCAAGACAATACCATACAAACTATGGATTATCAGCATCGAAACGTAGTGAAAAAAGTCTTATCGATCAACTAGTCACGTTATTCCCACTTGGAGGTAGGTTTTCATCTTTTTATTTTATATCTATTCAGATCTATTTCTAATAAATCAAACTCATTAATAATGTTTATATAGATCCAGAATACTTTCGTCATTGTGTCTCCTATTATGAAACGAATCATATAGAAAGGATCACTGAAAAGATCTTTGAAATGGGTGGATATTATCCTCAACTTGCTTATCAAGTTGACATTAACGATAACAATAACAACAATTCCTTAGCAACAGAACAACATCAACGATGGAATGCTGCTTTATATACCCTAGCGACAAAACTTTTCCCTGATACCGATATTGATTATTTACGACGCATCATTAGTCAACATACACATAGTATCGTTGAACAAGCAACAACTCAGATACTTGCAGATCCTTGTGTACCGGAACGACTAGAATATGGACAACTTTCTCGTCATGACATGTTTAAAAGTGAATCTTATAAAGCTCAAGCTTTGGAACAACTTGTTTTGGATTATCCTCAAGTAAGTGACATTGAAAAAAAAAAAAAAGAAAAATAGATATTGGATTGACTGACAACTTTTTTTTTTCTTTTAATAAAGATATGGAAATCGTCTATTTGTGCTGTTTTAGCAGAAAACAATTGGGATTATATCAATAGTTTTGACCAGTTATCGGAAATGGGATCAGGTGGATTTTGGCGATCTATACGTAACTTTTTTGTACATTGGTCTTTACCAAAAGCAGGATCATCATCATCGTCATCATCAACAACTAGTTCATCATTACATCAAAGACAACACTACATGGATAATACCTTCACCCAGGAATTGGATTTACTACGAAAAAGGCAGTTGGATCAACAATCTGCCAAAGATCAAGTTGTTGCACAGGAAATCAATACCCAAGAATACGACAAGCATCATCAATCGATCACGTGTGGCTGTTGTTTTGGCGACTATCCTTTTGAAGCATTGGTATTTTGTAGTCAAGGAAATCATCCGTTTTGTCATGATTGTATTACACGATTTATGATGGAAGGACTTTTTGGTCAAGGTGGTTTACGTGGAGTGGATCGAATCCCATGTATTTCCTCTGAAGAAACCTGTCATGGATGTCTACCGACAATGGTATTACAACAAGTTCTGTCAAATGATGTTTGGAAAGCCTATGAAAGTTCACTATTTGAAGTGAATATATCAAGACAAAGTTGGGGTTTAGTACAATGTGCAGCTTGTTCTTATTGTGAACTGGATGAATCGATTCGACCAATGCAACAAATACTTGACAAGACAGCAAGGTTTATTTCAATAGCTCGATGGGTCATGGTATTACTACTATTATTAATAATATTAATGTTGGGAAGGATGGTGAATGGGAAGCTGATTACTCTTCTTCTTCTTTTTACTCTTGGTATTCCATTGATCATATCACAACATCAGTGGGATTTGCAGACGGATCTTCAAATTGCCTATAACCGGATTGTTCATCAACGACGGGGGTATGCTTTTCAATGTCGACATCCTTCTTGTGGCAAATTGACCTGTTTACAATGCATGCATATTATTCGTGGGATTCATTCTTGTTATGAAAATGAAAGGGATGGACTTCGTCTTTATGTGGAAAAGGTAATAATATAAAATGAAATAGAACTATTATTTATTTCTTTTTTTTTTTTTATTCTTATTAGGCAATGGCAGATGCTGTCAAACGCACGGTAAACTCAACAATAATGGATAATATAATATGATATTTATATTTTTCTTTATGTTAGTGTCCTGTATGCAATCTGTCATTTCAAAAATCAGATGGATGCAACAAAATTGTATGCAAGTGTGGTTATGCCATGTGTTATATCTGTCGCAAAGATATTGGAAAAGGCAAGTGATACAAATTTAATATAAAGTCTACTCATTTTCATTATTACTTTTATTATTATTTCTTAGAATCCTATTCTCATTTTTGTGATCATTTTCGTGAAATTCCTGGTATGGCATGCAGTAAATGTAATAAATGTGATCTTTACAAGACGGATCCGGATGATCAAGCCATCAACAAGGCAGCTAATGTGGCTCGACGTGAATATTTGGAAGCACATCCTACAGTGGCAACTCAATTACCAGTATTAGTGATTGGACCAAAATCCACATTAGACAAGATTGGTAAGAAAGAAAGAAAAAAGGAAAAAGAGAGAAATAGGAAAAAAAAACTCATCAAATTATTTTTTGCTATATATATAGATGAATGGCGACATGAATCTATTTTATGGTTACTACAAAGTGCAATGAATTTGATTATATGATACCCTTGTTGTTGTAGTGTTTAACAACGAATATTTCTTTTTATTTATTATTATTTTGTTTTATTTATTTTTATTCTTTAATGATATTTCAATAAAAAAAAAATGATGAAATCAAAACATGACAATAGGGATGATGTTAAATAATAATAAAGAAAGGAGGTGATTCATATTGGGAGTTATAAATTTTTTTTTTCACAGAGAAAAAGGGGATTTAGTTTCTTTGAATTGCATAAAGACTTTTTTTTTTATTTTTGTATTCCCATCCATCCTTTTGAAACCCCGTGGACATATATAAAGTGTAAGGAGAAATTAGTTTTATTTTTTCTTTTTCTCTTTCTCTTTTTCCCTTATTGAAATATTTAATAAATAAATCGGATTGATTATTATTATTATTATTATTATTGAATGGATCACATATTTCATTATTAGGAATACATACATATACAATGACTTCCACGCCCGACCAATTGTCTACCGATCCTCCTCTACTTCATTCCCCATCTTCACAAACTAGAACAACAACAACTACAACATTGAAGACATTGAATGGATCTATATTACGACAGCGACAATGTAATACCACTCAGCATAAACCACCTTGTTCATCTTTATCCAACAACAAACACCATCAGCCTTCTTCTACTACTTTTGACCGTGATTATACCAACAGTGGATTTTACGATTGTAATATATGGTAAGATGATAGGAATTAGAGTGATGATGAAAGGAATATATGTTGTATGTGTATATGTATATTGTGTGCTGTGTATGTGTATATGTGTAAGCGTATATAATTGCACGTGTATATATATATATATATATACTTGTGCGTATGTATATGTGTATATTATGTGTACTTTTATGTTATTGCGGGGATCTAATCGACAGAGGTTAATCCATCATCATTCAAACTGATCTCTCCTTTTTTTTTTGATATATGTTATATATAATATTCATAGTTTTGACACGGCTATATACCCTGTATTGACAGTTTGTGGTCATCTGTTCTGGTAATGCAAAAAAAGGAAAAAAAGGTTGTACACATGTCACTAAAAAATCCTTTTTTTTTCTATATATATATATAGTTGGGTATGCTTATCAAGGTGGCTGGAAATGCAAACAATGAATCCAACATGTCCCATGTGTAAAGCTGGTTGTCCTCAAAACAAAATCATCCCGGTATATGGCCGAGGTCGAGAAGAAGTAGATCCAAGGTAAATTAATGAAAAAGGAAATGGAATGACGTCGTTCAAAATTCAATATAGGTATTGATTGATATGTTTATTTATTTATTTGTTTTTTTTTTTTAGGTGCGATGCATCTATACCAACAAGACCTTCAGGACAAAGGCCAGAACCTTTACACAATCCCAATATTGCTGGTAGCTCTTTCTTCTATCCATTTAGAACCAATCATCGACCTATAGAAGGTCATTCCATATTTCTATCTAACGTAAGTCAAAGTTTTAATGATAATACCTTGTATATTTATCACTATTATTATTATTATAGTCAAGATTATCAACAAGTCATGCTAATCAATCGAATGGATTCTTATCTCGACTCATGCTTATGATATTAAGTCTTTTTATAGTAGTGATAGTATTTTACTAGATTATCTTTTTTGAACAATGTTTGAAGATATTGTTATGTACATGAAACCATTTTTATTTATTTATATTTTTTTTACAATAAATGTTATCATTGTTTTGATATTATGTATGATGACCATTTGCCGATCAAAAATGACGACAAGAAGAAAGAATATTTGAACACGCAATGATGTGCTTTTTATAAATGATGAAATGACTCTATCACACAGAAATAGGTTTCGAAAAAAGGAAATCCATGCTTAGTCGGGAAATTGAAATTGGAGTGAAAAATTAAGGAGATGACACAAAAGGTCACCACTTGTTAGCGACGTAATTTGAACGACAAATGATGCAAAATCATTCCTATGTCGCAGTTTAGAATCATGGTTTAACAAAAACGGGAAAAAGGTCAAAAAAATAAAATAAAAAAAATCTCATTTTCTTCTTTTCTTTTCTTTCTTTCTTCAGTTCTTTTTTTTTTTAAATCATGTCCTCTACTACGTTTTCAAAAAGTCATTCTACCACAACAAAATTACAATCTACTCCTATCTTTTTACCACCCATCTCCATGTTCACCAGATTACCCGTATCACCACCCACTCAACCTCTAGAAATAACCTCGCCTATAACGTCTTCTTCACCTACTCTTGACCATGGAACCATATGGCATTTATGGAACCAAGGCAATAATGATAAATACGAAACTTCTTTATCACCACCGTCACATAGTCCATCCAGTCCTGTTATGAAAGAAGGCATGTCATCCGCTCAAGTCTTGGCCGAGAAACGACGACGCAATGCAGGTGCCTCGGCTCGATTTAGAGAACGACGTAAATTACGTGAACGTGATCTTCAAGAAAAATGTCAATTATTGGATCGACGAGTCCTGGCTTTGGAAACAGCTTTGAAACAATTGGATCCTCATCATTCTCTTCTTTTGGATAAGCCAGTACGAGATGATGATCATTCTTCTTCTCCACCACCACCTCCACCACCACAATCTACATTAAATGATCGAGTCAGTCAATTGGAACAATTGATGATGCTTTTACGACAAGAAAAAATATTGGACACACATAAATTGCAATCACTTGAAAAAGAGGTAAAAAAAAAAAAAAAAAAAAAAAGGAAATACTCATACGACTTTTTTTGTTATAGAATCAAACCCTCAAAACCAAAATTCAAAATAATCATCATCAACAAGAACAAGATGACCGATCAATCGCCTTATCATCAAAGCCTCATCATTGGAACAAGAAACGAAAACATTCTGCCTAATTCTCTTATATAATTTATTGATATGATACCATCCCCCACTTAGTTTATTTTTATACATGATATTTATATATCACTTACTTTTGTTTTTTGTTTTTTTTGTCTTCAAGACCAATAAACTGCATATACTTATTTAAAATAAAAAAAAATCAGGAAAACACAAAAAACTTTTTAATTGATGAATGTTCTTTTTTTTTAAAAAAAAGAAAAAAGAAAAAAAAAAACTAAAAAAAAGAAAAATGATACAAAAAAAGAAATTCGCATACGCTTGGATGCACGTCAAATAAAATAAAATGGATGCTGAGGGGAGGAATGGAGTATAAGATGATGATGATACTAAATAATAATGGGGGGAGGGTATTCATATGTATGATTGGCTTGATTTGGCAGTGTTGTATAAATATATATGTATATGAATATGTATATGTGTGCTTGAATATAGATATGTACGTGATGACGATAGTGATGATAGTTACAGTTCTAACAAAAGAAAAAAAAATTAAGAATAAAGATAAAAAAATAAAATAAAATGGAGATGCCAGTATGTGTGTGATGACGTGAATGGCTATGTATATAACCAAATGGGATCATGAGTAATCAAAAAGATGGAGGGGCATAATAATCATCATTAACAGAATAAGAAAAAAAATATATAAGAGTATAATAGATATATAATGAGAAGAGTATATAACAAAAGGAAGGAATATAGGAAGGAGGGGAAAAAAAAAGGGAATGAATAATATAACAACAATAATAATAAAAGTGTCAGGAATTTCTAAGGATTTGAGATAGATGATTCTTGATCCAAGGATATAGTACCGGATAGTATTTGAGAAGTCGAAGTAGTAGAAGGATTGATTGGATTTGATGGCGATGATGATGAACAAGATGTTACATTCATATTTGTTGTATCATCTAAAGGTTGTTGCTGTTGTTGTTGTTGCTGTTGTTGTTGTTGTTGCTGTTGTTGTTGCTGTTGCTGTTGTTGTTGCTGTTGTTGTTGCTGTTGTTGTTGGATAACTGCTGTTGCCGCAGAAATATAATGAGCATGCAAGGCGGCCCATTCTTGATTCATCCATACAGCAGTGGAAGCAGAAGGCATGATGACACCAGGTAAAGTAGCAGCCAAACTTGGACCAGGATTGGAATCCACCATCACCATATTGATTTCTTCCAATAACCGTTTGTAGCCTTGTATATGTAATAATTTGTTCTTTGCCAACATTTGTTTCACACGTTCGGCCATTCGTTGTCGTTCACGTAAATCCACATAGGAACTAGAAAGAATCTTTTGTATCAGGCTCACGCCATGTACTTGATCCAATAATACGTCGTACAAAACTTGATCATTTTGATGAAAGAATAAAGTATCAAGGATTTGTTGTCTTGCTTCGGGTTCATGTCGTTGATTGATGAGTTTGAGGACAGTCAAGGATGCCAATTTATGTGTACATAATTTTGACAAGTGAGGAATCAGACGTGGACCTAATACACGATATCTTCCCATGATACCAGAAGTATCCAATAACCAAATCAGTAACAGAGCTCCATTTGCATTGGTTGCCAAAAGTAAAGCATGCTGTATCAATGTAGCCGCTACATATTTCTATATATATAGAGGATGGTTAAATTAAAACGATATCATTGTTTTATTATATTTTTTACCTGTTGACGTTTTGTAACATGAGGACTTTCCAAAGTAGCCCGTACTGCACGCGCACCAAATCGACCTTGAGCGATTTCCCAACAATTATCTACAATAGCATCGAAAATGAATTGATTGGTTTCAGGGCCAAGGGCAAGACAACATTGTACTACATAGTTTCCGAATTGATCCAATAATAAAGCAGGCACATAAGGTCGTATATGTTCACACACCACATTGATTTGACCTGGTGATTTGGAAGTATCGACAATCCGCTGGGCTGCCCATGTACCATTTTTATGTACGCCAATCGAAGCAATATGAGGTGCCACCACATCCAACATGATGGATTTCGTTGTTTCAGAACATCGTTCGAATAATCTTTGCACTACTGTATTTCCAATATAATCTAAAAAAAAAAAAAAAAAAAAAAAAAAAAAAAAAAATGAGTACATTATCTATCTCAATCTTTTTATTTATTTACCACTACAAAGTTCCACCAAATCATCCATACATTCCATAGCAATTGCTTCTACTTCTTGTAATGGAATAGAGCTACCATTGTCCAATCTTTTGCGAATATCACGCAATCTTGAAATATCTATGCCACGTTGCTGACCAAGTTCAGGTGCAGGAGCAATGGTAGGGTAATACGTAAGAGCCATGTGAAGACCTATCAAAAAAAAAAAAAAAAAAGTCAGATGACATTCATTCCTTATTTTTTTTTTATTGGATCATTACCATCAAATAATGCACCATCCGCATCATCTTCGCCCAATTCTTTCATGATATATTGTCGTTCCGCAGCCACAGCAGCAAGCATATTATTTGGATGACCACCATTCATTTCATTCATCATATAATACATCGTGTAAGCATCCATATTTGGTGCATAAGTAAGATTGATTGGAGATATACCAGAGGAAGAACACCAGATTAATTTTGAAGTAGAGGAAGTAGATGTAGGAGGAGGTGTCGAAGAATTTGTCATAAAACTGGTTGTATTGGAAGATCCGGGTATCAACACATTTTCAAAGCCATCTTCATTTTGTACAGGCGTTTTTCCATTTGATTTCATACAAGGTACTTTGGCAAATCCAATACGTACAGGACCAGATCCAGGACCCATGATTTCTCTTGATTGTAAAGCTTGTTTGGCACGCACAGCATCATCTTGTACAGTGAAATTAACAAATCCACAATTCTTGTGACTAAGGATACGCACGGATTCAATAGGTCCAAAAACGGAAAATAATGTGAATAAGGCAGTTGGCGTCGTTGTCACTGGAAGATTGCCTATCCCTATATAAATAAATAAATAAATAAGGGGGGTGAATGAGATTGTTCTTCCATATCCTTTTTTGTTTCGTTTCAATGTTTGTTTGTTTATTTTTATTTTATTCTTTATTTTGAGAACATACATAATGCCCTTGTAGGTCCTTGCACATTGCCAAATTCCAGTGTCGACGGAGATGGAACATCCAATTTTCCATAACCAATACGTAATATTGAAGAATCCAAATAACCATTCATTTGTTGATTGACGATCGCTTCCTTTGCCTTGATAGCATCTTCTACATGTACAAAATTGATCAAAATATATTGATCCGGTAAACGTCGAATAGTGTCAATAGGTCCAAACCTTGTAAACATGGCTGTCAAATCATCCAAATTAAAAGAAGAATCCAAATGACCGAACCATAATGATCTTGTTGGTGTTTGTGATGTAATGATTGTCGTTTGTGAAGTATCATTGTTCACCATATTTGAAGAAGAATCATAATTGACATCACCGTCTAAAATGCAGCTCTATTATTATTATTATAAGAAAAAAAAATATAAATATAAAAGTTAATGCATAATAATAATAACAAAAAGTTGATCATACCTTTTCATTGGGAATTGTGAGAAAAGGATCATCAGAATGAATCTTGCGTTGACGGTTCATATTTTCAATTAAATCGGCAGTACTGGTAGACAGGCGTAAAAAAGGACGTTGTTGTTGACGATACATAGGTGACATTCGTATCATTCTTGGACTATCAGAAGCAGTTGATAATGAAGATGAATATAAAGCATCTTGATCTTCAATGATATTCATACTTGTTGCTCTAGGACGGAATAAATGATTGGTATTTGGAGAACTCGCGGAGGTATTACCCCTGAATTGAATTTCGGTTGTTGATACATAATTTGATGATGGTGTTGTGGTAGTTGATAATCCATGAGATTGATGACGATACCAATCCTCATCTGTTGTAGACTGTAATGATGAATAAGAATGACTTGTATGAAGAGAAGGTCTATGAAGTCGATCATCCAAACCCAAAGAAGCCAACGTACTGGTAATCATATGACTATCATCCCCTTTTAAAAGTTGATCGGTGCTGGTAGGAGAAGTAGGGCTTTGAATCACGTCACCTAGCCATGTATTGAAGATGCCTTGAGTAAACGGTGTTTGAAAAGAACCGGAGCGATGTCTTGTATTGTTGTCAATAGGTGTTGGCGTAGAGGATAAAGTTGGGGCTGATGCTGTTGTTGAGTTTGTTAATGGTGTTTCTACTCTGTCATATGGAAAAGATGTTGATTGAGAAGGCATAGTATCGGCTCGTCGGCGTGTCGGTGATAATTCTTCATCATCCAAATCTTGTACTTGTTGGTGGTTATGGTGATATTTTGAATCATACTCATCGTTTTGAGTTGTTGCTTCACGTATTGATGTGATTTTTCTTGTCTGGAACCTTTCGGGTAATAAATGTGAGAATCTGTTTCTATTTTAATATTATTATTTTTTTTAAAGAAAAAAAAAAAAGTTGTTGAGTATTATTATTAGTTATCATCATCATTTGGTTGATATCCCCTTTTTCAAACTTCTTCTTCCATCCCTTTTTCTCCTTTCAAATCTATTCTTTTTTTTTATTATTATTTTATTTTAATTGGTGACAGTTGATTACCTTTTTGGGACAAGATTTGTTTTCACTGTAGGTACGTCGGGTATCGTTGTATTGTTGGACGTCATGAGGTATGTTCAAACAAAAAAAAAAAAAAAAAAGGCTGAATCCAATAAAATATATATAATGGTTGGTGAAGTAATGAAGAGAATGTAAATAAGTGACAAAAAAAAAAGACTCTTCTACTCTTTTACTTTTTTTTTTTTTTTGTTCAGTCAAACTGTCAGAAAAAGAAAGTGAGAGAAGGAAGATATATATAAAGGAACGACTGAGTGGTATCTATAAAGAGAGAGGGAAAGAGTAAGGGAAAAGGAAATAAAAAAAATGGGGAATAATAAAGTAAAAGACAAGTAAGAAAAAAGAAGAAAAAAAAAATAGAAAGGAAAAGAAAAGAAAAGAAAGAGAAGGAAAAAAAAAAAAAAAGTAAAAAGAGCCAGAAAAAAAAAACCAAGCAACAGGATGGGGATGAATACAGTTTTTCCTACCTTGAAAAGAAAAACATATATATAAAAAATTATGAATCCAACTCCGCATGTCTTCTTCTTTCATCCTCATCGGAAGAAGGCCGAAGAACTTTTTTTTGGTGTCCCACTCATTCTCAAAAACGTGCATTGTATAAATAGAAACAAGGGGATTTTCTCCCTTTAACTGACCCCCTCTCTCTTCTTTTCTTTCTTTTAAATCTATAATCAATCCATCAATTATTATTATGTTTTTAACATAGACAAACTTATAATCTTTTCCCCTTCTCTTTTTAACTAACTAACTAACACTCCTTATACAGTGTTTTCAAGGTTTTTTGTCGTGTCACAAGAAAATGCTTTTCGTGATGTTATCAAATAAAATATCGTACTTTCCCAAAATGAATGGCGCATTACCACTTTTTCAGATATCGCTCCAGAGATGGCGGTAGAGTACATTAAAAACACATAACATATTGATGATAACTTGTTTATTAAAAATAAAAGACACAAAATAAAAGTAATATAGGCTTTTCATATTTTTAGCAGCTTTGGGTGTTGTCCATTCTTTTTTAGGTATCAATTGATTGATGATTCATGATCGATGATTCATGATTGATGATATGTGATAACGGATGATTGTATATTGGATGATTACAGGATGGATGATGGATGACTGTCTGATGGATGATATGTGATAATGGATGATTATATGTTGGATGATTGTATGATTGTATGATGGATGATGAAACATTGTCGTCAATCACTGTACAAATTTCTGATAAAATACAAAATACTTCATTCTAGTTACATTCTGATAGAACAACATTTTCTTTTTCTTTTCTTTTTTTCTTTGAAAAATGTCAAAACACTCTTTTATCAGCCAACATGATAAATCAATATAATAATGATGATTCATCACATCAAGGGAAATTAAAAAATGGCAATAAGTATCCTGTGCACAATCATACTATCATTTAAAATAGAACAACTAAAAAAAAAAAAAAAGAAATCTAGTCATTAAACTAAAACACGGCAAAAACAAGTCAGTACCATGTATCACTTAGTACATAAATATTGTAATAATAGAATTTAATGTAGAACATCTATGTAATTAACTTTATTATAAAGAGAGAAATGTTGCTAACACTAAAAAAAAAAAGAAAAAAATGATGAAGTAGATACTAAAAAAGACAAATGATAAATTAGATACAATATAAAGAAAGAAATGTTGTTAATACTAAAAAAAAAAATGATGATGAATTAGATACAATATAAAGATAGAAATGTTGCTAATATTTAAAAAAAGATGATAAAACTCGCTTACATCTTGTCTCATCATTTTATCAACTAAAATTAGCTCATAATTGCACGGTGATTCATTTTCTTATAAAAGGATCTCTTTGATTTAACTTTTTTTTTTTATTTCTTTACATTATATTCATCTTACCTGCTTCCTTTTTGGCCTGCCTGCCTGCTTTTTTGTCTGCCTTCTTTTTTTTTGATCTATCTTCTTCTTTACAAGTATTCTTTTATCGTTCAACCACCTTTATCTGTATCTCAATTGACCTGCTTCTATTTTGTTTTTGGGCTTGACCGTGGTCGCTAATGCGCATCTGCGTGGTTACGGTCTGCCTTTTCTTTTTTTTTTTTTCAACAATTTCCGGGCTGGTTATCGCCAGGTTACCTACTTTCACCGTAGCGGTACGGTGATCTCATTACACTTAAATGGTAAGCTAGTGAAATATTTTTATCTGGATAAATATCACTCATTTTTTATTTTTTATTTTTTTTTTATATATGTTAACTTGGTGAACTCAATTGGTGGATTTCCTTTTTTTTTTTGATTACTCTTTTTTTCATGATATCTATTTTCTTATATTCTCTATTTGATTTATGCGACAATTATATTTTTTTTCTTCTGTCATTTATTTTCTATCCTTACGATATTTTATTTCCTATTTTTGCGCCATCTTATTCTTTGAATTCCGTCATTTTTTATTGAATAAAGTGTACCCATTCCTATTTCGCATAATAAAAAAAAAAAAAAAGAAAAAAAAATAATGCGGGCTTTCAACAATGTCTCTCTTGATTTATGAATGATATTATTTTCAATATATATCTTCTTTTATTTTTATATAATAAATATATTAATATATCTCTGTAATCTTGGTCAATCAAATCATAAACAAAAAAATAAAAATAAAAAAAAAAATAATAGTACGTAGATCAGGGTTCTGATCCAATAAAGAACTTTGAAGGGGATGTCTTTTTTTTTTTTTTTTTTGAGACGACCGCCAATTGAAAAAAGTCACGCAGAGAATAAAGCTAACTCAAAAAAATTTTTATTTTTTTTTTTCTTTTTTTTTTTTTGTCTTTCACCCTTAACCATCTTAAAAAGTAATTATTATTTATAGATAATAATAATAATTAAATTTCATCCTCATCTTTTCTTTTTTTTCTTTTTTTTTTTTTTTTTTTGTTGTTGCGTGTAATAGGAAATCTTCTTTTACCATGCCTCCTAAGAAACTTGCCATTGAAGAAAAGGTTTTACTCGGTCGTCCATCCAACAATTTGAAGATTGGTGTTGTCGGTCTTCCCAATGTTGGTAAATCTACTTTTTTCAATGCTCTCACTAAAGCAAGTGCTGCTGCTGAAAACTATCCTTTCTGTACCATTGGTAAAATAATAATATTTATATCATTTTATAATAAATACTTTTAACTAATATATTCATTTACTTTATAGATCCCGAAGAATCTCGTGTCGCTGTTCCCGATGATCGTTTCGATTGGTTGTGTCAACATTATAAACCTGCCAAAGAAATTCCTGCTTTCGTATGTTTCTCTCTCAATATATATATATATATATTTGGTTAACTTTTTATTTATTTATTTATTATAGTTGACAGTCATTGATATTGCTGGTCTTGTCAAGGGTGCTTCTTCCGGTGCTGGTCTCGGCAATGCTTTCTTGTCTCATATCAAAGCAGTGGATGCCATTTATCATGTTGTTCGTGCTTTCGATGAACCTGATGTGATTCACGTAGAAGGAGAACTTGATCCTCTTCGTGATATGGAAATCATTCGTGAAGAATTACGTCTTAAGGATGAAGAATTCTTGTCTCGTCAAGTAACTGAACTTGGTGCTGCTGTTAAACGTGTAGGTCATGGTGGTAATGCTCAAGATAAGGCCAAGAAAGAAGAATTCGCTGTGATGGAAAAAGTATACGAACATATCAAGTCTGGTAAAGATGTGCGTCATGGTACTTGGACAAACAAGGAAGTTGAATTTATCAATGGTTATCATTTGATCACTGCCAAACCTGTCGTTTATCTCGCCAACATCAGTGAAAAGGATTATCTTCGCAAAAAGAACAAATGGTTAATAAAAGTCAAGGATTGGATCGATAAAAACTCTAATGGTGACCCCATGATTCCCTTCTCCGGTGCCTTTGAATATCGTTTGTCTTTGATGACTCCTGAAGAAAAAGAAGAAACCATCAAGGAAACAAAATGTGTCTCTGTTTTACCCAAGATCATCACCGCTGGTTATGCCGCTTTACAATTGATTTACTACTTTACTGGTGGTCCTGATGAAGTTCGTGCTTGGACCATTCGCAAGTTTACAAAAGCTCCTCAAGCTGCTGGTGTCATCCAGTAAGTATAATTATTTTTTTTATTCTAGTGATTCACTAATAATTTTTATTTTATTTTTACTTTTAATAGTACTGATATGCAACGTGGTTTCATTGGGATGGAAATTATGAAATATGATGATTTACGTGAATTAGGAAGTGATGCTGCTGTCAAGGCAAATGGAAAATACCAATTGAAGGGCAAGGATTATATTGTAGAAGACGGTGATATCGTTTATGTCAAGTTTAACGTTACTGCTCCTGCCAAGAAGAAATAGATCCTTTTTTTTTATCATCCTTCTTTTTCCTACTTTTTTTTTTTTGTTACCACAACATCTACCCTCTCTTTTTTTTTCCCTCTCTTCCCTGCCCTTCCACTTTTTTTTATTGCTTTTTTTTTTTTGTTTTTATGTGATAGAAGCATTTGTTTTAGTATAGGGTTGTACATTTTTTAATAAAAAAAAATAGATTCAAAAAAAAAAAAAGACTAACGGAATGATGTTAGTGTACGTAATGAAAGGAAGGATTATCTTTTCGGTTCCTCTTCCGTTCAATAGATTTTCTTTACTATTCTTTTTTTTTTTTCACCACTTGATGATTCGGATCCTTGATTTCGAAAACGGCACTTATTGGATCGACATAAACAGTAGAGTGGAGATTTTGCCTTTTTTGGAATGCAACTCTTCTCTTATGCCGAATAAAGATGAGCATTGCACAGTCAATATTGTATCTAACTGTTTACAAAAAAAAAAAAAAAAAAAAAAAGATGAATGAATGAATAATAATAGTATACTGTCATATTATTCTCATCAAATAGTCTTTGCAGTATTATCATCGCATTATCATTCATATTCAATTACTCCTTGAGAAGGAACCAAACCCTATTTTCTACATAAATCTGCTCATAAATCTACTAAATAATGTTCCATCGTAACTAATAATCTTTGATATTGAGTAAACAGAATAAATACAATACAATTCGTTGATATCCAAAAAAAAAAAAAAGAACTATCCAGTAGAAAGTGGAAGATTTTATTTTCAAGAACAATAGTAGAGTAACAATAACAACAACAAAATACTACTGTAACTAATATTTGTATATATTCTACAGTTGACTATTCCATGATCGCATTCATCTGGTTCCATATGTTGTCGTCATATCCTAGTTTCCCGTTTCTGACATTATCATCTAGATACATGTAATAGATTGATAAACACTATGGTTAATTTCAACTTTCTATATTAACATACTCTTTTTATTATTATTATTATTATTATTCATTACGTTTTAAATAAAGAGGATTGATCCATATACCACGGTTGGGAAATGTATACAATTGTAATCAGTAGAATTGCCTTTGTTGCGTTTGCTTTTGATATTCTACATGTAGGAGAATTAAGAATGAGAAAAAGTCTTTTATTTTCTATTACTACAGCCATCATTCATTCTTTATTCTATTTTTTTTTTTAATTTACATTTATCCAATCATTAAGAAAATAAAAAGTAGGCAAGAGAAAGGAAGGAAAGACAGGATGTGAAATTTTTTTATTTTGCAAGCGAGGAAAAAAAAAAGCTGTTTCATACCCAGCTGTCAAACTATCCTCTTTTTTTTTTTTTTTTTATTTTACACCAAAACAAACTGGATCAAACTCATTGAAACTTGATAAACTTTTTTCTTTTTATTACAATCGATACATCTATAGTTAATACACTTACAGAATAAAAAAAAGAAAGAAAGAATAACTCGTTACAACACGTGAGGTCACGTGAAATAGAGAGACAAAAGGACCAAAAAATATCGATTTTTGCATCGTAAATGGGGATCTAGCTCAAATGGTAGAGCGCTCGCTTAGCATGCGAGAGGCACTGGGATCAATGCCCAGGTTCTCCAGAACAACTTCTTTTTGCTTCTTGTAATGATGATTCGGAAGGTCAAACGATGGAGTGCCATTTGAAAAAGAAAAAGGATGGACGGATGTCGATTGTTCATACTGAATTTGTTGAAGTGGAAAAAACACCCTATATTGGTGATTTTTTTTTTTTTTGATGATGGTTATGAGAGAGACGAACACGATGATGATAAATTGCAATTGATGATGATAAGTGATTTTTATGATGGTAATGATTTCTTTTTTTTTTTTTTTTTTTTTTTTTTTGACTTGAGAGAAATTCAGGTACCGTTGACATCAAAAGATTAACTTGAGTCACCGCGACCAATCGCCTTTTTTTTTCATTTCCTCCTTTTTCTTTCTTTCTTTCTTTTTTTTTTTTTTTTTTTTTTAACAGATTCAGCTTTTTATACTTGTTATTGATCAATGAATCATTGGGTACAGTCATTGCTGAATCTTAGACCATTGGTTAGAAAAGATCCTAGATTACTTCCAGTATGGCGGAAACGATTGATTCTTGCACTTGTCAGTATATTTGCCATTATCCCTGGATTCTGTTCCACAATCTATGTAAGCTTTTATATACGAAAAAAAGGACGAAGGAACGACAGACAAAAAAAGATCACGAATATATTGATACTGAGATTCATATAATACCATGTTTATTTTATTTTTATGATGCATAGTTACCAGCACTTGAAGCTGTCACTGTTGAACTTGACAGTCCCTCCATTATGGTCACTCTTAGTAATTCTTTGTATATGCTCTTCATGGGAATCGCTGTAAGGAATCGAAAAATAAAAAAAAAAAAAATATGATGTAAGGGAGAATAGTTTTGTTCACATGCATATTCATTATTATTAGCCTATCTTCTATAGCAGTATAAGCGATCATTTGTATATTCGAAGATCCGTCTATTTTTTTTCATTTATTATCTATACGGTGGGGTCTTTGGCTGCAGTGTTTGCTCAAGATATCAATGTATTACTTGGTATGCGTATCCTTCAAGCTGTTGGTATATCATCTGCTTGGGCCATTGGTGCTGGGTAAAAAAAAAAAATCTTTATTCTTTAAATCATTGATCATTTTTTCCTTTTGTTTGAATGCACTAACTCATTTGATTTTCTTTTAGTTCAGTAGCTGATATTTATCCAGTCGAAGAACGTGGAAGACCCTTGGCGATTTATAATACTGGTTCTTTTACAGGCAAAAAAAAAAAAAAAAGAAATGCAAAGAGGACGGATATGAAAATTCGCAAGGGATATTCATTTTCTCTTTTTTTTTTTTGTTATGTATAACAGGACCTATGTTTGGCCCATTAGTTGGTGGATTTCTAGTTGAACGTTGGGGATGGCGATCTGTATTTTGGATGTTATTTGCCATTGGATGTGTATCATTACTATTGATTGTGTTTGTGATGGAAGAAACTTATCGACAAGAAACTAAATGGAATACGGAGAAAGAAGATATGATGAATGGTGATGAAGGAACGACCATCCGTTCTTCCTCCAATCAAACAGTAGTGATAACAAGAAAAATGAATCCTTTGGCTGCCTTAGTAAGACCAAAAAAAAAAAAAAAAAAAAAAAAAAAAAAAAAAAAAAAAAAAAAAAAAAAAAACTGTAGCATATTCATCCATCCTGTATTAGAAAATTTAACTGACAATATTTGATTTTAATGATAGGCTCTTTTACGACATCCTTTTGTATTCATTTGTGCAATGGCAACAGGATTCTCATTTGGTGCCATGTTTGCAATCGAAAATATGTTACCTCCTTTATATACCAGTATGTACAACTTGAGTTCGGGTATCATTGGCTTGACTTTTTTATCTCCTGGATTAGGTGAAGTCTTTGGTTCTTTATTCTCTGGTCATCTATCTCATTACTATTTACATTGTGCCATTACAAAACGTGGATATGCTATACCTGAAGATCGACTTGCGATGAACCTTTGGTATGATTTTTTTTTGTTTTGAAAAAAAAAAGAAAAAAGCAAAATAAATAGGATGATAATGATGATGATTTTTTTTTTGTTGTTTTTTTAGGCCAGCAGCATTTATATTGAATCCATTATCACTTAGTTTATGGGGATGGTCAGTTGCACTTGGATGGTCAGTATGGGTCTCTATTATCATGTTTTGTATCCAATGTTTTGCTATGGTTCAAATCTTCAATCCTACGATGGCATTTCTTGTGGATGCTGTTCCTGGTCGAGGTGCAAGTGTTATGGCTGCAGCTAATTTGATACGAATGATTTGGTCGTGTATTCTTAGTTTAATAGGTACAATATATATATATATATATAGAAAGAAAAGAATATGTAGTATGATCCATTGATTTCTTTTTTTTTTTTTTTTTGTTAGCCAATCCAATGACAGAAGCCATTGGACCTGGATGGGTGACATTTTTCTTCGGGATATTGAATCTTGCTTGGGCATTTATGATACTGATTCTAAAAATCAAGGGACCACAAATTAGACAATACTCAGGCTATTAGACATTTTATTTTTAGATTATCCTGTATTATACCCATTTAGTTTAGTTTGATAATAATAAAGAACGTTTATCGATCTTTTTTTTTTTTCTTTACTTGCATGAAATTGAACATTTCTCCGTTTCTTTTCTTTTCTTTTTTTTTTTTTTTTTCCTTTTTTCCAGGAAATGAACAACAAATATCAACAACACGGAAATAATGGTCAATATAGGGTTTGATGTCTACCTCTTTTGGCAAGTCGGTAATGACATGTATTTCGACGGAGGCTAAACAAAGTTGGCTGTGCAGTTTTTCTTTTTTTTCTCTTTTTTTTTTTCCTTTTTATTTTCGATACTGTAATGATTCAATCAATTGGATCATCCTTTTTTATTTATTTATCTATTTGATAGACAAAAACCAAGAAAAAAAAAAGAAAGGGAACTTCATGATGGTGTCACATGGGTCACCTCAAAGAAGATGAAAGGTATATTTACCCTTTTTTTTTTCGGAATGCGGGGTATAAAGGAGAGGGAACGGGGCAAGAGGATCCAAAATGCGCGCGTACATACATATACAATGGAAAACATTCAATAAAATGAAAAAGAAATTCATAGTTTTTTTATATATATATATATTTATATGATTTTTGAAATCATTCAATCTTGAAATAGTAAAAAAGGTCACGAGATACAATTGAATATTATTTTTTGTTAGCATAACATTAGCGGAAAGTCAATAAAAATATAGTTTTAAGCAAGAAAGAAAAAGCACGTGTCAATAATCCTCAAACAAAAAGGAATTGTTTTTATCCGTTTTTTTTTTAAATTCCTTTTTTTTTTGTTTTTGATGATGATGATTACATTATATTATTAATAGGAATGATACTATTATTATGTATAATCACTAAGTTAAATGTACTAATTTGATAAATCATTAAATATTCAAAATGATCTACATTTTGCCCATACGAATGGAAAACTGATCTCCGATTCACAATTACAAGTACCTTGTGTAACTTTTTTTATTATTTCAAACATCGTCAAAGGTTGTACCTTTCTTTTTTTTTTTTTTTTTTTTCATAATACTCCAAATAGTCGTGTCACCATTTGGTTTTTTCGTTTTTTTATTTTTTTATTTTTTATTTTTTATTTTTTATTTTTCTTTTTCTTTTTCGCTGTTACTACTTTTTTCGGTTTTACACTCTTTTTTTTTGACATTCCTTTATTTTATTAATCCAAGTCTTGTACTTGTTATTATTATTATTATTATTATACACTCATTTCTTTTTATTCACCAGTGATTCCCTTTTACAGCAAAATAGTCTCACCTCTTTATTATATATATATATTTTTTTGGGTGAATGTTGAATAATGCCTACTGTACCTATTATATGCCGTGTACGTGCTCTATACTCTTTTAAATCCAACGACACATCATCACTTCAATTTGAACAAGGTGATTGTATTGATGTATTAAACAAACTTAAATCTGGTTGGTGGGACGGTTGGTAAGTTTAATAATATATATTATATATTTTTGCATAATACTTTTTTCATAAAACTCACTTTATTAATAGGTGTAATGGTTCAAGGGGCTGGTTTCCTAGTAATTATGTACAAATCATTGAAGAATATACAGATATCACAGGTGTAGAATCATCAAGTACAATAGAAATAGCAAAACCATATCAACAACAAAATCTATATGAGGTAAAAAAAAAAGAAATGAAGAATATAATATGAAACTTAAAAAAATCTATTTATTATTATATTTAGGAGTCGAGTCGTCCATATACTCCAAATTCATCACTTCCTTTACCTCGAGTACCAAGAAATGGTGTACCATTACAACGAAATCAAGAAAATAGACTTAGTTTACCTTACGATCATACCATTGACATCAATCAACAAAAATCAGAAATATCTTTACCACCAAATTGGATCATGGAATTAACTGAAGATGGCACTGATTGCTATTATTATAATAAACTCACCGGTGAAATGCAAACATCTCCTCCTCGTCCTACAATAATAACCACTACAACTGAAGGAATACAAACATCTCCTCTTCCTACAACAACAACAACAACAACAACTGTTAGTACTCCATCGACTTTGGATCCCTATTTGAATAATACCAATAGTGAATACGCCACAAGTATGAACGAATATAATCCTGAAAATGATATTGGCGATATTTCCTACAATAATAATGATGATGATAATAATGAAGAACAAATCAAATATAATCTTCCAACAAGTACTGATCAATCGGATGGGAAAATCTTGAACATTACAACACAAACACGTGATGAAGAAATATCGGATATAGTAAGTGCAAATGACCTCTTCTGTTTCGTAAATATTTAATGATTCTTTTATTTTTTTTTTCTCTTTTTCTTCTTTAGTATCAAACACTTCCTTCTCAATGGGTCAAACGAAAAAATCATCAAGGTCGTGTATACTATTGTAACTTAGAAACTCAAGAAACCACGTGGGATATGAATCATATTGATTTTGTTACCGGTCGTTTGGTAAATATACTAGAATAGAAAAATAGAAAAAAAAAAAAAGGGGGAGATGCATTTTTATTACATATCAGGAATGGCAACACTCATTTTTTTTTTGGTAACTAGTTACAAACAACAAAAACTACAAATCACTTACCAATAGTCACTTCTTCTACCATTCAACGTGATGATAACGACGTTAAACGACATACCAACAACAACAATAGTAATAACAACGACAACAACAGCAACACATCCTCAACAGATATTACCAATAATCGTAGCAAACTTGACTTGAATGAACCTCTTACTTGGAATATTCTATCAACACGTATTGCAGTGGCAATCAGTAATCTCAATCAAACTGGAAAAAATGGACAAACATCGTCACTTCCTCAATGTTCAAATATGGTTACGGATTCTATACGACTTATGCTTTTAGCATCTGGTACCATCGATAAGGATTCTAATTATATTCGCTCCAATACTGTTCTTCGTGGTCATCATCGTACTATGATGGCTGCTATGTCCAAGGTAATGCTTACTTCCTTTTTGACTGCCGATCATGGTAGTGAATATGTGCCCAAACTCCTCAACGAAAACAATGAACTTTTGGTAGCTGTACGTAACTTTGTGGGGACTTGTCAAGACATTGGTGTACCAGTTCAACACATTGATCCCAAATTGGTATTGGATGGTGATTCTACTGGATACAAACAAGCATCACAAAAAAAATCAGAACAACAAGCCAAATATGCTCTTCAACATGATCTTGCTGATAATTTGGATGTCTATGGGACAAATATGCATGAATCAGTAGATGCCATTCTCTTCAATATCAAGGCTGGCCGACAACAAGAAGATGATCATTTTACTGACAACTATCGATTTCTTTTTGGTACCAAAATGTTTACTCAATTCCGAAATCTTTCAAGTCAAACTGGTCAATTCCTTGGTCTTGTGGATGATATTGATTTTGTCACTGTGGAGGGATCACCATTGATATCTGATTTGCAACAGAATAAACAAGCACTTTCTGATGGATTGGGTCGACTGTTTTGCCATCTTCAACAAGTGACCAATCAACATGTACCTCTCGATAACGTACTTTTAGATGTAGAAATGGCCGCTAAAAGTATTCATATTCCCATTCGAAATATTTGTGAATGTATCAATATTTTGGTTTACGATAACGATATAACAACTCGCCCATCTTTGGATACCATTGCAACGGATACCATCAAACACACAACAATATCTTCAACAACAAATGCTTACAGTGATGGTGATGACGGTCTTATTGATGATGTTCATTACGGTGACCGCATTGGTGATGATGATGATGACGATGATCGAACTACTTTTATGGGTGACAGCATATTTAGCGGTGGTAACCTTACTTATAATGATACAGAATTGACAGACTCCTCCATGTTTGCTCCTCCAAATTTCCATCATAATGACAAACCCATCGATGCTTCCTATATGTCAACTGAAAAGCGATCATCAAGCGATTCGCGGGCGAACGCAACATCCAAACCAAAAATAACAACGGCTATTATGGAAAAGACACCAAATGCACCAGTAACCAATGATCCTTCTACAGCATCACAAGAATTAGAAGTTACCAAATCATCACATAAACTCAAAAAGTTCTTTGGTGATGATGTTCCTTCATCAGACATTGTGACAACAAACCCTACAACGGCGGACCGACCATCCTATCTATCGTATGATTATGATTTGTCAGATATTTCATTCAACATGGAAGGTAATGTGAAAGGCGGTACACTGGCAGCTTTGGTGGAACGGTTGACTCTACATGATTATCTGGATATGAATTTCAACAACACGTTTTTACTAACATACCGGTCCTTCTGCACATCAACCGAATTATTGGATTTATTGGAAGCTCGGTACAACCTGGTACCACCATCCGATATCTCAGATGATGACATGGAAATATGGCGGCAAAAAAAACTGAAATTGGTACGACTCCGTGTATTCAACGTACTCAAGAACTGGTTGGAAGTGTACTACGATGAAGAAGATCAAATCATTCTAGACCGACTGATGAAATTTACTGACACAACCATCCGGATGACCCTCAGTTTTTCGACGGATCAACTGGAACGACTGATTCAAAAGAGAAAGGAAGGCACTGAAATGGACGTGGGTGGATTAAAAAAATTGGTATGGACACCTCAATCCATTCCTCAATCGATTTTACCTCGCAATCCGAAAAAATTCAAACTTTTGGACCTAGATCCCACTGAACTGGCCCGACAATTGACTATTATGGACTTCAAAATGTATAGTTCTATTCGACCTATTGAATGCTTGGATAAATCTTGGTCTCGTGAAACTCCTGATGATGCTGCTCCTACTTCTGTCAATATCCGTGCCTCTATTGAATATTGTAATCAAGTCACCTCTTGGGTTTCAGATGCTATTCTAAGTCAAAATGATATTAAGAAACGTTGTAATTTGATCAAGTTTTGGGTACAAGTAGCTGAGGTAAAAAAAAAAAAAAAAAAAAAAAAGATGAAATCCCATTTATCCTATTCATTTTTCATTTTTTTTAATATAGAAATGTCGTGAATTGAATAATTTTAATACTTGTATGGCTATTCTTTCCGCTTTTGATAATAGTTCTGTAGGTCGTTTGAAAAGAACTTGGGAGGTAAAATAAAAAAAAAAAAAAAAGAAAAGAAAAAAAAAAGAATGATTTAATGATTTTATATACTATTAGATGGTGGGAGCTCGTACCAATCAAATCCTATCACAAATTCGAAAAATCATGGGTGCCAATCGTAACTTTAGTGAATATCGACAATTGATTCATTCAGTGAATCCTCCTTGTATTCCATTCCTTGGTATTTATCTTCAAGATTTGACATTTATTGAAGATGGCAATTCCAACATTATCAAGAAATCCAAAGATTTGATTAATTTTGCTAAACGAGAAAAGACAGCCGAAGTGATTCGAGAAATCCAACAATATCAAACCTTATTCTACAAACTCAAGACAGTGGATGAAGTACAATCTTTTATTCGTGCCAATCTACAAAGTACAAGAGATGAAGATCAATTATATAAGGAAAGCTTGAAATTGGAACCAAGGTAACCATCTTTATATATATATATATATACATATTATACTCACTCTGGTTTATTTTTAGGGAACGCGAAGATGAAAAAATCACACGTCTTTTGCAAGAATCTGGATTTTTGTAGTATTCTTTCTATTTATTGTATAGTTTTTGTCATACTTCTCTCTTTTTTTTTTTTTTTATTATTATTATTTTTACTGTTTACCTAGTTACATATACTTTTTTTTTATATCCTTTTCCTTCTTTTAATAATATGTCAAAAGTTAATAAAAAAGAAAAAATCAATCACTTCTGCTTATCTTTTTTTTTTTTTTTTTTTTTTTTTTTTTTTTAAATGTCCGGATTATTTTTGATTGTTTGAACAATCGCGATTTTTTTCTTTCTTTTTTAATTCTGTTGGTTATCACAAATATTCAACAATGGTATTATCAGAATATGAAAAGAAACGATTAGAAAATATTCAGTAAGTTAAAGTTAACATGAATAATTTATCTATAGATCTAATTTTTTTTTTTATTTTTTAAAGACGCAATCAAGAATTACTAAAATCCTTGGAAGTGCCTATGCGGCCAGCAGAGACAGATTTGAAAAAGACAAAAGCACCAGCTATCAAGAAACATCACCCCAAGAAACATTCAGCACCTACCCAACCTCGTCGAGTATCAGCACGGATCCGTGGTATCGCAGCAAAACAGATGGAAGTGGACGAAAACGATACTGTAGTCAACCGACCTTCTTCACCTGTCAAGATTGAACGAGTCGATACATTGAATGAAAAGGATCATGCTCATTTTTTAGAGATGGTGGGTTCAGTCAATACAGATAATAGTTATGATCAAGAAGATATCAAGGTAGATCCATCCTTGGAACCTCTGAAAGAACAACTGGACAATCTCACCATTCGACATGAATGGGCTACTGTGAAAATGACACCAGATAGGATTAGCCATTGTTTGTAAGTTATTAATATAATATATATATAAAATCTTGACTTTATATGTTCGTTCCTTTTATTTTATTTAGATTCCATCCTAATAAAACTAAATTACTTGCCATAGCTACTAGTTCAACCGGACATCTCTCATTTTGGGATATCAACAACAAGGAAGAAGAAACTGGAGATCCTGTGGTATATTCTTATAGGCCAGATACAAGAGGAATCACTGATGCCAAATTTTGTATAAATGATCCTTTGACTTTATATACCTCCTCTTATGATGGTTCTATACAAACATTCGATATGAACAAGGCCTCATTTGGTAGTGTGATGCTTAGTACTAATGATTATCCTATTACTAGTTTTGATATGACTCAGAATGGACAAGTGGTAAAAAAAAAAAAAAAAAAAAAAAAAAAGAAAGGATATTCATCATATATTATAGTTATACTTTTCAACAGGTGATGGTCAATTAGGTATTCGAGATTTACGTAGTGACAAAACAGAAACCATGCTGACACTTCGGGATAAGAAAATCGGATGTATCCATTTGAATCCTGTGCATTCACATTTATTGGTAGCAGCAAGTAATGATAGAACAGCCACCATATGGGATACTCGCCATTTATCGAAACATAGCAAGAAAAATGTACAAGAATTGGAACATGGATTTGCAGTGACAAGTGCATATTGGTCTCCTTCAGGAAAACAATTGGCCACCTCATGTTATGATGATTATCTTCGCGTTTTTGATCTCAACAAAACCGATCATGTAGATTTGAAGGGTAGAATTAGACATAATTGTCATACTGGAAAGTAAAGTTTGGACTCATTAGGATGGAATGATGCTCATTTTTTTTTTTTTTTATGTATAGATGGGTGACCATGTTTAGGACTAAATGGAATGAAAATCGACGATTTGGAATAGATCATCCTCATTTTATTGTTGGTAATATGAATCATCCATGTAGTGTCTTTTCAGCCGAAACTGTTTCCAAACTGACGGATTTATATGATGAAGATCGGATCACGGCCATTCCTGCTGTCAATGAATTCCATCCTACTTTGGATTCTCTTGCCTTACTCTCTGCCAATGCAAGTGGTCGTGTTGTTTGTTGGACATAATTTTTTTTTTTTATATCTAGACATTTCTTGTATCATATACTCTTTTTTTTTTATTCCAATATACCTCAATAAATAATAATAACAAAAATATATATATAAGATTGTTTCTTTTTCATTCAAAAAGTCAAGTTTATTTCTATTAAAAAAAATATAAAACAATAAAAGTACAAACTATAATAATATAGTGATATTCATAAAAAACAAAAGGAAAAAAAAAAAAAATAGGGAGGGATCAAAAAAAAAAAAAAAAACAGGACGGAAAGAAGATCATCCATCCATTGGTATTTTCCCACACAAACAAACCAAAAAAAAAAAAAAAAAAAGAAAAAGAATATAAAGATAAAATCATCTAGGAAGTGCCATAAAACATTCTATCTAAAAACGCACCAGCACTCCAACGACTTGCTGCTTGCTTGTTATCAGAGCTATAGGATGAGGAAGGATGAACAGAGGACATATGAGCTGCTTGTAACCGTTGATGCCGTTGTCGCGCCATTTGACGATGTTCTGTATGTTGTTCAGTGGCTGCTGGAGAAGACAGTGTGGCCATGGTCGGTAAGATGGATGAAGAAAACGTTCGTTGAGTTCCCATTTGAGCTAAGCGATGTAAATGAAGCTGGGTAGATGTTGGTTTCCTTTGTCGCTGTTGAAGGCATCTTGTCAAACTGGCCACCATGGGATCTTGGTATAGATAGATGCTTTGGTATTCCTTGTCCACACTTTCCGTTGCAAGAACTAAACTAGCACGCACAATATCATCGGATAAAGAATTGTTTTCTGTAACCTGTTGTTGTCGTTGCTGTTGATCGTATTGTCGTTGTTGTTGTTGTTGTTGTTGTTGTTGTTGTTGCTGCTGCTGCTGTTGTTGTTGAAGATGTTGCTGTAATCGTTGTTGCTGTTGATGTTGTTGCTGTAATCGTTGTTGTTGTTGTTGTTGTTGCTGTTGCTGTTGTTGTTGATGATGATGATGATATCTTTCATTTGTTTCTTGGTCAATAAACTTGGATGAAAGATGTTTTGACTTGACGATAGGGGGTGGAGTTGTAGTTGATGATGATGATGTGGTCAAATTGGCAAGGGCTGGCTTATCAGGGGTCACCAAGGTATTGGCTGTGGCATTCAAGATATGAGCTATCGGAGCGGCAGTGGATTGATGAGACACTTGAAAACTCGGACTAGTGAGAGGTTTTGTTTTAAGTTTTTGTTGATGATCAGTATCAGAAGGAACTGGTGTGGCAGATGAAACAGTGGTGGTTGATTTTGATTTTGTTGATATTGTCGTTTGGTTATCAGTGGGTGTTGCTGGTGGTGAGTCATGATTATTATTATTATTATTATTTGAAGTGGTAGTGGTTTTGGTAGTCATGGTGAATCCGGATAAGTTGACTTTTCGATGAGCATCGTTTGAAGAAAGTCGATGAATGGATTTACTAGAGTGAGACCGTTTCATAGGTTTGCGTACAGGGGTCACTTGTTGTTCTTCATCTGCAAAGTCAGCATCGTCTTCTTCTGCAGTATGTTGTGCATGAGCTCGTGCCATAGGGGCAAGTTTGGTAACATGAACCCGGCCACTGGATCGTCGTTTGACATGGTGTCTAACAGGTTTCTTGTGGGTATTTGCTATAGTATTTGTAATAGGATTACTAGTCGTTGGAGAAGGTGGCATATCACCTACAGCAAACTTCTTTGTGACTTCTTCAACCATGTCGTTTAAGATTATTAAAAAAAAAAAAAAAAAAGAAGTGAAGAAGAAAAGCGGAAAATAGAAAAAAAAAAGATTGGTTACCTGTTTCTAAAAAGTAAGTGAACGTTCCACCAATCAAAATTTCTTTTTTGGTCTGACCCTCAAATTCGAAACATCTACGGCGTATAATTATCGATATAAAGAAGAAAGACAACAAAATGCGTCTTTGTTGAAACGAAAAAATCATTCTATCTCCTGGTGGCTAACATTCCCTTCTCCTTCTTTTTTTTTTTTTTTTTTTTGTTATTCATCTTATAGATAAGTCATTACCTAATATGGAAAAATGAATTATCCATTGAGTAATGATATTTTCTTTGTTATGTTAACCATATTCATTCATCATTGGTGTCAGAAAAAAAAAAAAAGGACGCCCCTTAATTTCTCACTCATTATATATAATATATTATATATGAAAAAGACACACTATGTTTTTATAGTCCGCTTCGAAGTGTAGTGAAATGCTTACACGGTTTTCGTTTATTTTTTTTTTTTTCTCTTTTCCGCCCCCCTTTTTTTCTTTTCTTTTTTTTTTTTTTCTTCTTCTTCTTTCTTTATTATCAAGTGAACCTCTCTCTTTTACCATCTTTGGCAGCCACCAAAGGATGACCACATCTGTCTTCTTAGATACCTTACGTCAACATGACCTGGAACAAGTAAGTACCTTGTTTTTTTTGAATACTTTTTTACACCTTGTTTGACCTAACCTATTATTTCTTTTTCACGTAAATAGTTTTACCCAACGTAAGGTTAACTTAATTTATACATACGAACAAAATATAACTATTAGATGATTTATCTATTCTCTTTCTCTCTCTCTTTTTTTTTTATTTAGATTTTCAACTCATGGTATTAACCATTTACAAAGTTTAGCTCAGGTATAGTTCATCGTTTCTATATATATGTATACATTTTACTAACCTCCATATTTTTTCCTTTTTCTTTCCTTTTATTTTTTTTTTCTTAAAAAATATAGTTATCTGTACAAGATTATGCTCAACTTGGTATTACGGATATTGCTGATCGGAGAAAGATATTTGGTTTGATACAACTATTACGAAAAGACCCAAATCCGAGACTCAATACTGCTAGTATGGTCACTTCAGCTTCAACAATGACAACTGGACTACGTCGACCTCAGTCTTACAATACAACGTCCAGACCAACTATTGTTACAAACAACCATGGAAACAATACTATGGATAGTTCAACAGTGACATCTCCTTTATCACCTTTGTATAGCAATAACAACAGCAACAATACCAGTCGACTTCCTCAACCCAACAGTACTTCTCCTTTGGATACCAACAGTGGCAATAATATTGCCTCTTCACGAATCTCACGTCATAGAAGACCAAGTGTTATCAACAACAATCCTACACCCAACAAAAGTACTCTTCCTTTACCTAGTAACACAAATCTCAATAGCAACATATCCCCTAGACCTATTCGTCAACGAACCATGTCTGATGCCAGTCGATTGGATATGTCTTGTTTACCTTCGCGACCAACTGGTATAGCTACTCGGGATCATCGTCAACGTGCTGATTTACGACGTTCGCTTTATTTGGATCAGGATGATTCTGTCAAATCTATCTTGTCAGGACTCAACAACAGTAGTGATGACGATGATGATGATGAAGAGGACAATGCAAGACGATACCGTACATCTGCTCCTTTACTCAATGCTTATGGTATGCCAACAATGAAATCTAGAGCGAGTATGGGTGCTCTCAAATATTCTTCTACCAGTAGTCCTTCCACTCCGACAAATACAACAATGAATTCATCATCATCAGCAGCAGCAGCATCATCAACTTCAGCAAATGCTTCATTCTTAGCTCTTCCAGCAAGCGACCTATATCAGAAAATTCGTGTTTGTGTACGTAAACGACCTTTGAATCGCAAAGAATTGGAAAAGGGTGAAAAGGATATCTCACCTTGTATTGGAACACGAAGTCTTCATATTAATGAACCAAAGTAAGTTGGAGAGAAAAAAAAAGATGTACCACTGATCCGTAAATGAAAACTGATATTTTTTTTTTTTTTTTGGTCTCTTACAGATTACGTTTGGATATGTCTCGGTACATTGAACAACATTCATTCACTTTTGATGATGTTTTTGATTTAGATACTTCCAACTCCAAAGTTTATGAAAGAACAGCCTTGCCCTTGGTGAAATATATATTTGAAGGTGGAAAAGCTACTTGTTTTGCATAGTAAGTCTGAAAAAAAAATCATAGAAAAAGAAATGGAAATTCTTATTTATTTTCTTGTATAGTGGACAAACTGGGTCTGGGAAAACATTTACAATGTTGGATCCAAAGCATGGACTTTATATTATGGCTGCGAAGGATATCTTTTCAATACTACGAAAACCAGAAAACCAACATTTGTCTGCATGGATTGGACTCTACGAAATTTATCAGGGTCAACTTTATGATTTGTTGAATAATCGTAAAAAGTTGTTTGCTCGTGAAGATGGGAAACAAAACGTGATCATTTCTGGTCTAAAGGAATACCCAATTGACAATGTGGACAAGTTGATTCAAGTGTTTGATTATGGAAATCAAGTTCGTAGTACTGGTAAATATTCTATATTTGGAATAGAAATCAATATGAATTGAACATTTCTTTTTTTTTAAAAAAATATAGGATCCACTGGTGCAAACGATAGTTCATCTCGATCTCATGCTGTTTTACAGGTCCTTTTAAAACCAAAGAAAAACAAGAAGAAAATCCATGGAAAACTTAGTTTTATTGATTTAGCTGGTTCTGAACGTGGTGCTGATCGTGGTGAGGCAGATACAAAAACAAGGTAAATTCAACCAAAAAAAAAAAAAAGAAAGGTATACAACATGCAATTCTAATTTCTTCTATCTCTTTAGAATGGAAGGTGCTGAAATCAACAAAAGTTTACTGGCTCTCAAAGAATGTATTCGTGCATTGGATCAAGATAAACGTCATACTCCATTCCGACAAAGCAAACTCACTCAGGTAAAAAAAAAAAAAAAAAAAAAAAAAAAAAAAAAAAAAAGGTTTCCTATAAATGATGATTCACTTGTTATTATTTTTAATTATTAACAGGTACTTAAGGACTCGTTTGTTGGTAATTCTCGTACATGTATGATTGCAACGATTTCTCCAAGTGGTGGCAACAGTGAACATACCTTGAACACTTTACGTTATGCTGATAGGTAACTTGATAGGATGGATTAAGATTTACAAGAAAGCTAATAATAATAATGTGAATGTATTGTAGAGTCAAGGAATTGAAAGGTGAAAGAGAGAGACGAGCTACCATGGAACGTAGTGGAAGTAGTGGATCCAATGGTGCGACTGATATGGACCGATCTTTGAACTATGATGATGATGACGATGAAGACGAAAACTACACACATGATGATTACTTTGGAGATGGAGATAGTCAAGAAGACTCTGATATACTCGACGAAGATACCTATAATGTGGGTGAAGAAAATATCTTTGATGTGGACTTCCCTCATGAACAAGACGAATTGATACGATCCAATGCTTTTGCAACAGCGACTCAGAAGCCTATACCTCAATATACACTACCGGCACCAACGATGCCACCTTCTTACACCATGCGTCGAGATTCTTCTTCTTCTGTCTCAAGATATAATAAACAAGATGAAGCAAATGAAACTCCTTCACCCACTGGTACAAAGCCTGAACGTTGGTCCCAACCATCCATTTTACCACCAAAACCATACAGCAGCACAAATCCCAAATTCATGAGTCGATCCTCTTCTGGTATGGTATTGGGAGATGGTGGATCATCAACTACAAGTACTATACAAAGATCACCCTCATTGACTATGGACCCTTATGATACCGCACCACCATCACCTCAACAACAACAACAACAACAACAACAACGGCGTATGCCAGTATCACCTACTAGTATTACCACACCAACAAGCAGTACACGGTTCTCATTTTCATCATCAAGTAGTGCAGCTCAACCAACATCTACCGGCGGCAATGGAACAGCTGCTTTACAATTAGATTATAAGGATATGGAAGACTTTGTCAAGCTACATCGGGCAGAAATACGTTCAGTAACAGAATATACCAAGCGGGAAAGCAAGCTAGTGGCAACCATGTCTTTACAACTCTCTTCCAATCAGGATACAAGTGATGATGACAATAAGGACAATCAACATGATGATGAGACTGGTGGCAATGGAAAAAAGCTTCGTGATTTGACAGGACAATCGAATCAACAATTCCGTTCGTATCTCTACTCTTTGGATGAACTTTTGGAAGAAAAAATGGCATCCATTGCTGCTCTGCGGGATAGAATCAATGATACCATGACAATGATGGATGCATGAAGGTCATTTTCTTTTTTTTATTTTGTTTTTATTTATCCTCTCTTTTTTTTTTTTTTTTTTTTTTTTTGTACCATGATCTGTTTATAAGCGTTTGTCTTTTTCTTTTTTTACTTCTTTAGTATCCTTTTTATTTCCCCCCCCCTTTCTCCTTATCGTCATAGTCTACAAATCAATCAATAAAACCATTTTATTATTATTTCACAACTATGATCCCATCTAATCTCACCAAAAAAAAAAAAATCAATCGTGAATAATATAATCAACATTTATTTTTTTATTGCATGTACAAATTGGTTCAAAAAAATAAAAACCAATATCGATGATAAAAGAATGTTTAAATGTTGGAAGGATAGAGCATCTATATATAAAGAAAAAGTTTAATCCATGTTCTTTAATGTCATTCAAATGTAACTTACAATACGGACAGAAGCACCAAAGGCCTTGGGAGGCAAGTTGTTACGGAAACGAGCCTTGACAACGCCATTAGTACCATGAGTACGAGCAACACGACCCCAGATAACACGGACCTTGGAACCATTGACTTCACGCTTGGCCTTGTAGACATAGGCAATACGCTTACCGAGGTAGAATTGAGCATCCTTGGTGGTTTGCACACCTTCCACTTGGATAAGAGAGGTGTTGGGATTTTGGTTGCGCTTGGCACGTTCGTAGCCCAAAACACGGCCCTTGCTATACAAACTAGAAATACATTGTATCAGTCAGCTGTTCATTTACAATGAATAGATAGATAGACAGATAAATTATGAAATGACAAGAGCGATGAATAATGTTGGCAGTTGTAAATGATTTGGTTTCGCGGACGTTCGTAATGTTTCCTTTCATTCCATCCATCCATCCATCCATTCATCCATTCATCCATTCATCCATTCATCTATCTATCTATCTATCTGTCTATCATATAAAACATGTATCAATGAAGAATTTTCTATCTTTACCGTTCAACAGCCATTATGTGAATATGTATAAAAGGAAAAAGAGGAAGGAAAAAAAAATGAAATTCAAAAAGATTGGGTGGACATCCTCCGTTGCAACTTCTTGGATTGCCCAACATGAAGACAATCCGATCTCCGCCGGACTTTTTTTTTTTTTTTTTCTAATAAGTCCTTGTTGTTACTATATTCTACTACTTTTTTTTTCTTTCTTTTTATCGTTATATGACATTAAAATCGCCATTAATAACATTCAATGTCAAAAGAACCTTTGTCACCTACTAGTCTTACAACCATAGAAGACGAAAAGAAAACCCTTGTTGATCATGGGAAAAGATATTCTAATACTACCATCAATACAACAACCACTTCTTTAGAACGATCACCTCCTCCTGCTTATCATTCTTCTTCTTTTCATCATAGTTTATCCTCTAGAGCAAGATATTCTCAATATATTCAACCTATCACTTCTGGTAAAAAAAAAAAAAAAAAAAAGGAAAAAAAAAGAATTCATTCATTAATACCTAATTTTTTTTTCTTCTTAGTACACTTTTATCAACCTACACCTCCACCACAGACAGTGATTGTGCACGATACACCGTCAAGATCAAAAGATGCCTGTTGTTGGGGTTGGTAAGGGATAACACGTGGATGATTTGGATGAATATTCATTCTTTTTTTTTTTCTTGATGATAGTGTGGCCGGTTTAATTTTATGTTTTGGTGCAAAAGAATGTTTATGTTTTTGATCCCCTTCTTGTATTCTATTTTCTACTATTTCCCCCCTTTTTTTTTTGTATTAACATCCATTTTCGGCTTTGGACCGATTGATTCCCCCCTCTCATTATTATCTAAAAAAAAAAAAAAAGGCCCGTCAATATTACCATCATTTGTTTTATCATTCTCATCGACTATTATTCATATCAATAAAACAAAAAAATCAACCTTTATTATATTATCTATCACAAACCATCATCACATACGTCACTTATCACATATCATCATTCAAATGTCAAATAAAAAAAAAATCAATCTCTTTTATTTTTTATCATGTTTCCATTGAAAAAAATCACATCTATAATCTACACTATTCCCATCTTGTGGTCCTACAGGTCTTTAATGAATTAAAAAAAAATCAGTACCGGCAATATGGTTATTATTATATTTTTTTTTTTTTACTCACTTTGAGCATAAATAAAATCTTCTTCCTTGATTTGGGCCTTTTTTATTGACAGTATATTCAATACATTTCGCTTGATGGACACGGCAACGTGGGACAGTCGGTGGTTGGAATAAATCGGTCCAAACTTGATTTTGTTCTTGCCGTGCTTCCATCTGGGATACAATTGCTTCCATATCTATCATCTCATCCTTTGGAGTATCTGATTTCTTTTCAAAGTATGATTTGATCAAGTTTTGTTGTCTTTTATTGCCTTGCTCTCCTGTATTCATGGATTTTCGTTTGGTACCTGTCGTTGTTGTTAAGGAAGAGGTTGCTGATGTTGATGATGCTGATGATGTTGATGATGCTGGTGATGGTGGTAATGGTGATCCAATGGTGGTTGCTTTGTTCTGGGTAAAAAAGGTGGATAGCTTCTTTTGCTTGAATTCAGGATAATTGGCAGCTAAGAAGGGAGATGAAGTATCGATAGTGGTATTATTGGGGATAAAATCAATAACATTGTTGTCATCTTGTAAACTGTCTTTAAAATCAGCATACACAGGACAATGATCTGATCCAAGGATATCTGCACGTATATCGGCTGTCTTGAACCATGGTAAAAGCCCTTCAGAGATAAGAACATAATCAATTCGTGTACCAAAGTTTGCTGGTCTATATAAAGAATGAAGTCAATATTTTAAGTAATATAACTATATAGTGTATTACCTTGCATTGATTCTAGTATTCCAACCTAAAAAAAAAAAAAAATCAGTACAGAATCATACAAATCAATAAATGAAGCTTTTTTTTTTAAACATGACTTACAAGTAAACATGGCTTTTCGATTAGGATGAGAAAATCGACAAGTATCTACCAGAGGACCTTTGGGAGCAATGAGTTTGTCGATCCATTGACGATGAGGGAGATCCTTAAAATCAGTAATACCACGTTCTTTCATAGATTGTTTGGGATCACAATGATCTATAGGTTCATGTACAGCATTGATATCCCCAGCCAAAATAACTTGTCGACCTTGTTGTAAGAGTTGATCTATTCGTTGTCGTACACAGTGATGATAATCCATTTTAAAGTCCATCCGCGTCTCTCCACTGTCGTTAGGGAAATAGATATTGAATAACACGAATTGACCAAAATCCATTACCATGCTGCGGCCTTCATTATTCAACAGTTCGCGATCCGTTGTTTTGAGTGTGTCTAAAAAGGTGGGTGTCAAACCAGTCGTAATACATTCATCTGTATCAAGCGGACGAAGTGGTTGTTTGACATATACTGCGACTCCAGAATATCCTGGTTTCGTCTTGGAATAGGAAAAATAACCATCATAACCAGGTACTAACCCCATATCGCGTGTCAGTTTCGATCGTTGAGTTTTGATTTCCTGTAGACTAGATGAGAGAGAGAGAAAAAAAAAAAAGGAAGAGTTAACAATGACTCCATCATGATTTAATTTATTTTTTTACCATATAATATCTGCTTCAAGCGTGTCAAGTAAATTCTATATACAATAAGTTTTTTTTTTTTAAAAAAATGGGATAGGTTATTTATTGGTTATTAGGATAAATAAAAAAACAGACATAATACCTTGTATGATTTTGTCTCTGACCAAGGATGATATTGAAGAGTCGTTGCTAGCCCATTGATATTCCAAGATAATATCCGCATCGATCTCAAAAAAAAAAAAGAAGGAAAAGAGAGAGAGAGAGACAGAGAGAGAGAAAACACGATCAATACGCCACACAGAATTATTCAAACCCCGTTCCGGTGGTTTGTAAATCGTCGTCATTGCCTATTTTTTTTGCTGTCAGTGCATGGCCAAATCATGCAACCAAACGACACCAATTATTGGCACGGAAACTTCTTTTTGGTTGTTACACGAAGACTTGATTTAGCATCTAAAGATAAGAACACATGTCTTTTTTTCTCACTTTTGAATAAATCATGTGATATTTTGACATTTTCTTTTTTTTTTTTTATATAAAGTTTTGAAGTTTATTTTAATGTAAAAAGAATATGATGATATTTGATTTTTTAATGAGGAGGGAAGTTTTATCATCATCCCCTATTTCTTTTTTGATCGGTATGATTTTATTAACCAACCAGAATCATCCTAAACCGAATGAGAAAGGTAAATAGAAAAGGAGAAAACATAAATAAAAAATTTCCATCAGTTCCCTCCTTTGTTCTTATCAGTAGATGGAAACGGAATTTGATTGGCTGATGGTCTTATTTGATTAGAATGGAGAATTTGATTGGTAGAGATAACCAACATCCCTATACAGCCTTCCGATATAAAAAAAAAAAAAGAAAAAAAATCCCAAGGAAAAAGCAATTTTTTTTTTGTGCGTGCTTTTAAAAATAACAATAACTTTTTTTTTTCATTTTCTGTTTTCTTTCTTGTTTCTTTCCTTCTTTTTTCACTTTTTTTTTTTTTTTTTTTTTTATCTCACACATATTTATTACTTGATTGACATCTCACTTTTTTTTCAATTCTTCTTTTGAAATCAACTTTTATATATATTTTACTTTTTATTATTATTATTTTTTTTTTATTGATTGAATGTACCGATACTCTACACCACCAAAAGAAAACGACAACGAACATTTTTATAACTTTTTTAACAAGGCAAAGAACGATTCTAATGGAGGAGGTTTGCACATTGATACTCAATCCTTAGGTATTACCTTTCCCCATGAACGACCAGTAAGTCATCAACGTCAATCGTCATGTCCTTCACCACTCATGGCTTCTTGTGAACCTCCATTGTCACCTACTGGTTCACCTTCTTCATCTTCTTCGTCTACTTCCACATCACCTGCTCTCAAAGATATTGGAGTCAATATTCCTCATACTCAACACCGTGTGGCTCGTAACAAATCTGTCATTACTCGCAAGACTAGTGCACCCTCACCTCACGTTACTTGTCAATCTTGGGAACATTTGAAATCACCTGCTGCCACTTTCCTTGCTAGCTTTGCCTCACCTACTGTGCCATCTTCTTCTTGTTTTAGTCCTACTTCTCCTCAACGTACTTCTTTGACTGGATTTTATCAAGAAGAACAACAAGGTGATGAAATCGATGATTACGTGATGAATCAAGTCATTGGATGTGGAGGTTTTTCTACTGTACGCAAAGGTTATTGTATCAGTAATGGACAAACAGTGGCAATCAAGATTATCAAGAAAAAGAATACAGAGACTGAAGATCATCATTTGGAACGAGAATTAGAAATCTGGCAATCTTTAGATCATCCCAACGTAGTACGTATTCAAAAGGTGCTGGAAACCGATCATGCTACCTATGTTGTTTGTGATTACTGCTCCCATGGTACTTTATTGGAAAGATTACAAGCACAACCTACTCGACCATTGTCTGATCAAGAAAAGAAACAATTATTTTTACAATTGTGTAAGGTGGTGGATCATTTACATCGTTGGTGCAATGTTGTACATAAGGATATCAAGTTGGACAATATTCTCTTGGATGATGATTGTAATATCAAGTTGTGTGACTTTGGCTTAGCGGTGTATCAGCGACATACTACTATGACTTCTCATCTCTCTTCTTTACAACAACAACAACAACAAGAACATCAACAACAAAAAACAATGCAACATGACAACAACAACAATAATAATAATGATGATGATGTTGATACAACATTGGCAGCAGCAACTTCTTCTCTTAGTACTGCTACAAGTAGTGCTGTTGGTGGATCATTAGCTTATTGTGCACCTGAACAAATCAAAGCTTCTCATGTATTGACCTGTCCCAAAACAGATATTTGGTCTCTTGGTGTGGTTTTATTTGCCATGTTTGCCGGTCGATTACCGTTTGATGATGATTATGATGTCCGTTTACGGCAAACTATTCTTTCTGGACGTTATCAAGTGCCTGACTCTTTTTCTCCCGAATTGACTGATTTGATTTCTCATTGTTTGGATCCTAATCCTGAAACTCGATACTCTTTGGACGATATTATGAAACATCCTTGGTGGAATTGATCTTCTTCTTTATATTATTCTTTTATTCCATTTGTATATAGTATTCCCCCGCCCTCCTTCTCATCTTTTCCACTTCACCCCTTTTTTTTATTATATTGGTTTGTCCTATTTATTTGTTGTGTATATCCTCTTTCCCCCCAAAAAAAGAAAAACCCTCTTTTTTTTTTTTTTGTTAGTAATAGTAGTAGTTTAGTTTGATAGTTTTAACTTGATTATTGTATATGTGTCTATATTCCTTTTTATAATTTAAAAAATAAAAATAAAATAAAAAAAAAAATTATAATCATTAATAAAAAAAGAAAAAAAAAAAAAAAGAAAGTACACGTGCCTTTTTTTTGATGGGGTTCGTTTCAATTTCAGTCCTACTCCTTTTTTATTATCTTATCAACCTCCTTTATCTCATCAATACATCAGAATAATAATGCAGGGCAATCTATCTACATCAGAATGTGGGTATTTCTGCATAATATGTTATTTCACAAAAAAAAAAAAAAAAAAAAAAAAAAAAAAAAAAAAAAAACGGATGATAATACTTTTGTATGTACTTTTTCAATATTCCATTTAGGTCGAATTTTGTCACGCCGTATCCTAATATTGAGAGAAAAATAGTGATCAATGGATCATTCGCCTGTTTTGATGATTCTGTAGCCTGTAGAAAAAAAAAAAAAAATAAAAAATAAAAAAAAAAGGTCCTTCATCATTTTTCGTTCATCGTTCGTGATCATTCCATTTTTTTTTTCTTAAAAAAAAAAAGAAAGAAAGAAAGAAAAGGTTTCAAGCTTATCAATCTTTCAACTGTCCTCTCCTTATTGCCAAAAAAAAGAAAGTAAACATCATCATCATCCATGGTCTTTCTTGATGTGTAAGAGCGGGTGTTGAATTTGTTCCTCTTTGGTGGGTAAAAGAATTCACCCTCTTCTTTTTTCCCTTTCTTTTCTTTTCTTTTCTTTTCTTTTGATTCATACAAACCATGAATACAACATCCGAAGAAAACGAACAATTACAACAAGAAGAGCGGATGGCGGTGTGTGCCATCTATGGGGATGATATCTTACAGTTGGATCAAGGCAACAGTTCAGCGGATCAGGCAGTGTACAGTCTTACATTGAATATCGATCAAGATGATCCTAATATTGTGTCTCCTCGCGTATTTGTACTTCGTCTCTTTTTTCCAAGCACCTATCCTAGTGTGGATATGCCTGTGTTTGAAGTGGCTACTCGGTACTGTGGTTCTCATAAAGTAGACAGTGACATGGTGGACACCATCGAACAAGGATTACGCGCATTGTTTGAACCTGGTCAAGTTATCTTGTTTGAATGGATCCAATGGTTACGTGATTATATTCAAGACAATATTACTCCTTCTTACGTCCCATTGCCTACCCCTCAAGAAGACAACACCAATAACAAAAACGACAACAAAAATGAAAACCCTTCTTCGTTGCCAACCGACCCTGTTCCATCCATCTTTTCTAGTGAACCCCTCGTCGACCGAAAATCAACCTTTGTTGCTCACGTGGCTCATGTCAAGACAGCTCATCAAGTCCAACAAGTCGTGCACACTTTATTACAAAACAACAAGATCGCTCGTGCAACTCATAATATCATGGCTTATCGAATCCAATTGGAAGGTGATCAAATATTACAAGATAATGATGATGATGGTGAAACGGCTGCTGGCGGTAAAAAAATATAAAAATCAATGACAATAATGAATCATTTGTAACTAATTTTCCCCTTTTTTTTTATAGGTCGTCTGATGCATTTATTACAAATTTTGGATGTCAAAGATGTCGTCGTAGTAGTCAGTCGATGGTTTGGTGGTATACTTCTTGGAGCTGATCGTTTTAAGGATATCAACAATTGCGCTAGGAAGGCCTTGGAAGATTGTGGTTATGTCAAGATGGACCAAAACAAGAAAAAAGGAAAAAAATAGTATATATATATATAGTTTACCCCACTTTTTTTTTTTTTACCATTTTTTTTTTGTTATCATTCATCTGTTATATTACATTCAATTCCATTTTTCTACACTAATAAAAAAAAGAAAAAGAAAACAATAATCAAGTATCGATGTGTTTATTTCATGTTATTCTTTTAAATAAAATGATGATTCTATATATACAAACAAGTCAAAAAAAAAAAGTATGGAAAGGGATAAAAATAGATGAAGAAAAAAAAATAGTGATACAAAAAGGAATCTAGAAACCAGGAGGACTTGTACGTTGGGTCTTTTTTGTGAATTTAGGGACCTTGTGAAGAGATTTACGGTGGTGTAATCCATAACGACTAAAGACGGTATACTTATCACGAGCATGCATATCGATTTCTTTGGGTAATTGTAATGCTTCATCCAATGCTTTGCAACGTACACCTGATGCTTCTACTGTAGCAATGACTTGATCTACTTCTCGTAATCGTTTTCGTACATTGGCTTTACGAGTGGCTGACATGCGAAATGGGTTTTTCCTATTCATATAAAAAAATCAGTCCATATTGTTTGTTGTTAAGTTATCAACTTACCAAAGTAAACCACTTTGAGCAACAAACGAAGGACGGAATGCACCAAACATGATAATAAAGAATGAAGGAAAAAAAAAAAAAAAGAAAAGGTTGTTTTTTTTTTTTTTTCAAGCAATGAGAACTTGGTCGGAGAGTCAAAGTCATGAAGAAGGGTGTCATTACCCAAAATAAAGTGGCTTGGGTTCTGATCATTCCAAAAAAAAAAAAAAATGCTACTTATTCTCTCTCCTTCTTCCGCCTTTTTTTTTATATATCTACATAATGGCCACTTCTAATGATGAATATTATCTTCCTTTTGGAAAAGAATTAGCTGCCAATGGTATATACACAAATACATACATATATAATATTGATTCATATTATTTTATATTATATAGAAAAGAAGAATAGAGACAAGGCTGTTCGGTCTCTCAAACGATTCTTGTCTGTAGGTGGAGGGTCATTATCAGAGAAGGATCTAATCAAGTTATGGAAAGGCTTATTTTACTGTTTCTGGATGTCTGATAAACCTTTGATACAACAACAATTGGCCAATGATCTAGCAGCATTAATTCTCGATGTACCTGAAGATAATGTTCTTCCTTTTATCTCTATTTTTTGGCAAGTACATTGTGAAGAATGGCATGGTTTAGATCGTTTCAGGTAAAAAAAAGTTGAAATATCTTTTTTTTTTTTCATCAACTTTTTTTTTTTTTTTTTTTTTGTTGAAATAGATTGGATAAATACCTTCTTTTATTCCGGCGGATTGTATTTTATTCATTTTGTTGGTTGGCTCAAAATGATTGGGATCAAGTTAAAGTAGAAGCCTATACACGTCTTCTTCTTGAAGGACCTTTACAGTAAGTCTTTTATTTTTTTTTTTTAGGGATGAGATGAATAGGACTATTCACCATTTTTTTTTTTTATTAGTCCTACGGATCGTAAAAAACCAGATGCCATTGTCTATCATATTTTGGAAATTTATTTTGAAGAATTGGAAAAGGTGGTAGAAATACAACAACAACAACAACAAGATGATTTCACTGTGCCTATTGATTTACTCAAACAACCCATTATTGTCTTATCAACCGATGCTCTGAACAAAACCACAAGAATTAAGGCCAAGCAAATCCTTTTGGAATATGATACAAAGCAAAATAATGACATGGAAGATGATTCTGATTAGATATGATTACTTTTTTTTTTTTGCATTATATTCTCATCTTTTATCATTCACCTTCATTCATATTCATTATCAAATAAATAAAATTAAATTAATATTCAATATATAGATTTATTATTTTCAAAATGGTATTCATAAAGCTTTTCTATTCTGTAATTGATTGGATGCATAATGTGATCTTGATACTGGCGTTGTCATATTGGTATTGTATGGTGTTTGAATATTGTGATATGATGGTTGTTGAAGATCGAATGATTGACTTGAAAAAGATTGATCTTGTTGTGATTGTTGTTGTTTAATGCCTAAAAATCCAAACAATGTCTTGAAAAGTCCCGTTTTTTGTTGATGTGGAATCATATCGGCTGCACTCGGATCTATACAAAAAAAAAAAGAAAGATTCCATTATGCATTGGTTTTTTTTTTTTGATTTCGTTATGTTTATTTACCACTAAGTGGCAAGGCATTATCATTCGCACTGAGACTGATAAAGTAAGTAAATGGAATCAACCAAACACAAATCCCAAAAAATGAAGCAATATCCATAAACGGCCGATAATATCTTGTAAAGTATTTGAACCATAAGAAATGATCAACAAATACAAGCACTACAAGTAATATAATAATAATGTGAGTAGGATAGAAAAATTGATTTTTTCATTGAAATTGTTACCACAACTACTGATGAATGGAAGACTAGACAATTGAATAAATGGAAATGTTTGTAGATTCAAACTATAGACACCATGACAAAACACTGAGAATAAGAGTTGTAGTACGGGTAACCGATCAAAAATGCATAATAAGAAATGAATAGCCACCACAACCTATGTTAAAGGATATATATATATATTTATTTAAAAAAAAAATGTGAGATTGCATAAAACAACTTCCTTTTTTTAATGTAGTATTATAACAAACTTACCATGGTCATAACCTTTATCACTTTTTTGGTATATACCGTGTATTCTTCCACCTATAGTTTATTCAAAAAAAAAAAAAGGAAAAAGAAAGAGGGAAAATGAGTAAAGTGATACAATCCGATGAAAGTATCTTTTATTATCACTTACCAATTCTGCCAGGTAATATAATCCACACGCTTAAAAATAAAAAGTCAGTAACAAGAAGAAGAAGAAAAATAGCATTGTTCACAACTATTCCTTACCTAAACTAAGGACAAGAAAACAAAAGGCTAATCCAGTAGCTCCATAAGCTACAAGATGGAGAAAGTTCATCTTTTTAATAGTAAAGAGAAAAAGAAGGAGAGACAGAACTGCCTTTTTGTTTTTTGTTTTTTTTTTTCTGTGTGTTCTGATCAAATAATGTATTTTGAAGACCGACATTTTCTTTTTTTTTTCTTGCAGTATGTAAAAATAACAAATTTATTGATATCATTTGCATGGAGGGAGGTAGTAAATAACTAAATCAATATTCATGAAAGTGTACCAAATACAGGAGCTGTGTCATTAAAAGGATATGATTGTTGTTGCTGCTGTGATTGCTGTTGTTGCTGTTGTTGTTGTTGATGATGATGTTGTTGTAGTCGCGGTAATGATGATGGGGGAGAAGTAAATGAAGAAGGAATAGAAGAAAATGATAGATGAGGTGGAGACATGGATGAATGTGAAGGAATAGAAGATCTATTTGCTAGAGAAGGTGGAGGAAGGGAACTATTACTATTACTGCCTAGAAATGATGATAATCCTTGAGTTGATAATGGTGGAGATGATGTTGATGTGATTGAACGAGAAAGAAGAGGTATACCATTCGATGATTGTTGTTGATATTGCTGTTGTGCTTCATACATGTAGCGTACCACGTAATCCTGATGTCCATGACTATATACACATTGAAATCCATGTTGTACACCTACCATCGTCAATACTTCGTAAAGTTCACGAACATCCACATTTTGGTCATAATACATATCGCTGAGCATTCTATGTAGTTGCATCAAAGTGTAGAAGGATTGTGAGCTCGAACTAGGTGCTTGATTGTGCGTGATTTCATCCAATTTCTGATATGCTGTTTTCGCCCGATCCATAATCATGCTATGTCGATCCATCGTCGTCATTCCATCACCAAACAAATTATTACGGATACCATTGGTAAGTGCATTCGACACATTCCAGCCTAATAATCAATAATGTGAATATCATCTATTTTTTTTTTTTTTTTGGTAAACTTACCATTTGTCCAATTATAAGAATGATCGCCAAATCGTCTATCCAACGAGTTGATGTCACCAGATAATTTTGCATCATTAGGAATCATTGGTTGACCATAAGGGGCGTGATGCATACTTTGTTGATAGGATGGATGATCAGATGAAGAGATACGTTGATTGGATTCGCCGAATAAAAAGTTGGAGAAGAACGAGTTTTCCACACCAATGGGTTGTTGTGTAGAGGATGTATTATTGATACCGCTAACGCCACTACCAGGACTTGATCGTCGTTTCAAAGATGGTGATGATGAATCCATAGAATCTTCTATATGACCCGCTAATGAAGTGGAGGAGAAGGAGCGTCGTTCGTTGTTGATGGGTTGACCAATAGTACCAACAGAAGGGATAGATACTCGAGTTTTGTTAACATGTCCTGGTAAATGATCCAATGGATTGCTGATTGGCGAAAAGAGACTAGTGCCGACGTTACCTCCAAGTCCTTGACCTAATACTGAAGGAGCTCCAGGTGACATTGATAACATAGATCCAAGATTGCCTAAAAAAGAAGAGTGATGAGACTTGAATATATGTTTTCTCTTTTTCTTTTTTTTTATTTTTTTATTCATTACCGGAATCCACACTAGGAGATCGAGATGACTGTAGTACATCCAAATGGGAAGGTATAAACGAAGTTCTTCGTTGTTCATCAAGTGGTAAATCATTGGAAGATGTTAACGATGAGCTAGCCAAAGGACCAGAAGTACCAAGTAGTGCATTCATCAGAACACGTTGTCTAGTTTCATCTGGAATATCATTATTGTCGGTAGATGTAGTGACAGGACCTTCTTGGACGGGAATTGTAGATGCGGGAGTACTCGTTGTTTCCTTGTTTTCCAAAGTGGTCGCTTCTAATGCCTGTCGTTGACGTTCCAATTCTTCCTTTTCTTCCTGTTCTTTACGTTGCTTTTCCAGTCGTTGTTGACGTTCCAATTCCTCTTTTCGCTGTTGTTCTTGTTTTAGACGTTGTTGTTCTTCCTTTTCTTTCCGCCGGCGTTCCTTTTCTTCACGTTGTCGACGTCGCTTTTCTTCCTCTTTACGCTGTCGTTCCTCTTCCTTGCGTTGTCGCTCTTCTTCTTTTCGCTGTCGTTCAACTTCTCGTTTTTGTCGTTCGATTTCTTCCTTACGTTCACGTTCAAGTCGTTGTGCTTCTTCTTCAGCCTTGAGTTGAGCTTCCTTTGCTAGACGTTCTTCTTCTTTTTGTTTTTTCAGTAAGCTATAAATAAAAATTAAGATTCAGTACCTTCTTCTTTTTTTTTTTTTTTTACTTCTCTTTTCTGACACATACCGTTTCTTATCCTTCTTTTTTTCCTTATCCTTTTGTTTTTTGAGTTCTCGTTCCTTTTGCAACCGATCTTCTTCTTCCAATTCTTGAATCAAGCGCTGTTGTCGTTCCCTAGCCACCTTTTCACGATAAGCTGATAAAACTCGTTGTTCAAACATTCGTGCAGCAAAGATTTGAAACATGCGACGACCTTCTTCAATGCGTTGTTCTTCCGTTCGAGTATCGTTGAAAAAGTATCGCTATCAAATAAAGGTGAAATATAAATCGATGATTTTAGCAAAAAAATATCTATCTTTTTTTTTTTTTTTTTTTTTTACCTCTTCTTCATCATCTTCATCATCGTCGTCATCGTCGTCATCTTCATTGTCATTTTCAGAGATATGATCACCATGGTCGTCATCATTGTCATCATCTTCTTCTTCATCGTAGTATTCCTCGTCATCTTCATCGTCTACATCATCTTCTTCATCTTCACCTTCGATGCTGATGCCTTCGTCCCGTTGAATACGTCGTTCAGCCAACCTTTCCATCATGTCCAGGAATTTTCGACCATCATTTTTCAATAGATCATCCGCAACCGTAAGAATACCACCTAGTATACCAAAAAAAAAGTGAATAAAATGTCATCCTTATATTGAGTAATATTTACCTTTGACTGTGAGACTGTTACCAAAATTAAAATGTTCCGCCATTGCTGAAGAATGACCACTTTTGACAAGTTGAGATGCTGCTGCTGCATATTGAGCAACATCTACCAAAGATTTGTCCGGATCACCATGTCGAGTTACCATTGTTGATGCTTCAAACTCATCTTCATCGTCATCCTCATCATCATCCATGTCAACCTCATCTTCGTCGTCATTTGCATTGTGTTCTCCGGAAATATCAGTTGTATTACCAAGTTGCTGTTTATGTTTTAGACGTTGCTGTAGCTGCCGATGATCAATGGCATCTCCAAGAGCACGAGGAAATACAGGAATTTTTGGTATTGCTTTTGATTGTGTAGATATTGTGGCTGCTGATGCTGCTGCTACTGCGGATGCTGCTGCTGCTTGTAAAGTATGCGATCCATAAAGTTGATTATGCTGTTGGTGATTGGCGTATTGTTCTAGTTCTTCATAGTAGGCATCATATAATACTTCAAGTTCATCTTCAATAGCAGTCCTATATTCATTATAAAAATAAAAAAAATATGAGATATTAATATAAACAAAAAGTAGTAACATTATTATTCATCTTAGCCATTTTGTTTTATATTACCTTTTCTTCCCACAAACAGAGCAATTACATCCATGTCGCTGTTGATCTTTCATTTTTCGTAATACAGCTTCTTTTTCAACTTTAACTAGAGAACGCCTTTCATCTTCGCCAAGTTGTAACCAGAATTCCCGAATCTTTTGACGTTCTTCTGTTGAACTAGTGGCTGACCAAAATTCATCGTTATCGAGAGTGTCTACATGTTTCTTCTTACTGGATGAGGAGGTAGTTGAGCTAGCCAAAGAGGGTGAAGGAAAAGAAGTCAACCAATGAGGAGAAGGATGATGGTGATGGTGGTGATGGTGATGTGTCGACTTTATAGAAATAGAAGAAGTGGAAGATCGAACCGAATATCTTGACTTGATGGTGGCATCAGAGAGTGATTTGAAAGATTGAAGTTTTGATTTCTTTTTTTTGGTAGTTGTCGTAGTCTGTGAAGATGAAGAAGAGTCAACCGGTGTTGTCATTGTTGTAGTATCCACATTTGCTGCATCTAAACCAGAAGATGGGACTGACTTGACTTTGATTTGTCGTATTGTCTCTTGTTTTTCGTTTGATGATTTTGTTGTATCCGCAGTATTGTTGGTGGTATTGGTTGTAAAAGTAGAAGCTGTAGATTGACCATCAGGGTTAGAGTTTGTAGTAGAAGTAGTCGCCATGGTCTTTGTCATTTGCATGAAAAGCCAAATAAAAAAGAGGTTGAATAAGAAGGACGAGATGGTGGGTGTAGGAAGATTCAACGACGAATGACAAAGGTATATAAAATAAACGTAGTAAGAATAGATAAACACTATAGATATTAATTCACAATCTGTAAGTGAAAGTGAGAGTAAAAGAGTGAATGGAAGAATTTCCCTTTGTTTTATAAAAAAAAAAAAGAAAAAAAAAAAGATAATAAACAAAAATAAACAAAAAAAAAATAGTATTATTAGATTCATTTTATAAAAGATTGTAAAGGTTATTATTACTTACAATTAGATCGATGAATATTGTCTATTGATATGTCAAAGACAGAAATAAACAAAATGAAGAGATCAAGAAAGGATAATAAAATATAGTGAGAGAAAAAGAAAAGAAAAAAAAAAAAAGGAAAAACAAAAGTATGCTTTTGACGTCAATGAAAGAGAAGGGAAAAAAAAAATTATCGTAGCCATTTCGACCTCCGCAACTGCTTTTTCAGTCAAAAGGAACCATCTTCAAAAAATAGAATATTATTCTATTTGTAAGACAGTAAAACAACTTTTTCTTTTTTTTTTTTTTTTTTTGTATATCAAGGACTTTGAAAAATGGATTGTCAATGAAAAAAAAAAAAAAAAAAACATTATACTGTTACTTATTTATTTATTATATTAGAAGATCAATTTTACATGATGATGATATTATAACTATTACTATCAATTGTTACTTATTTAATGATGAACTGATGTTAGATGATGTTTAGATATTTTGATATTTTGACGGTATTATATATCAAAGGCGCAGATTGCATACCTTTCTATTAGGATGGTATGAAGTCATCATCCACTTGAAATATGATTATGCATAAGGAAAATGGTCAATTATATATATTTAAATAGAAAACCAGGGGAGATATCTGAGTTTCGATGTTATGTAATCGATATAGAAAGGAGAGGATTAGGATGGAAGAAGAAAAAAAAAATATTTTATTGTTCATTTCTATATTTGGATCAAGATATCCAAGGATGATGATGATGATGATTGTATCCGGAGTTGAAAAGCGAAAAATACCTTTTATAGATGGCAAAACAAAAACATAATGGAAGATAGTAATAAAATATGTGAGGATTGTGCATAGAATCATCATCCATCGTTATTGTAGAACTTACCAAAAAAAAAAAAAAGTAATCATCATGTATAAAAAAACGTGGCTAAAATGATTCAAACCGACGTGTTAAAAATAAGGAGACCAATTATAATGCCAAGAGTAAGAAAAACTAGTCTATTTCAGAATTTGAATGGAATTTCCAAGGGGATAAAGGAGAGTGATGAGAGTTAAGAGAAAGAGATACAAAGTGAGGGAGAAAGAAAAAAAGAGAGAGAGAGAGGAGAGATCAAAGTAAAATTAGAAACAACCAAACATATAAATTGATGGGTGGATGAAAAAAAGACTTTTTTCTTTTCTTTTTCTTTTCATCTTTCAGATCTTCCACTTTTTTCATTATTTCATATTAAAAAACAGTTTTTTTTTTTATATACATCATGGTTGTTCTTCCACCTTTATTATGCCCAACAAAAGCCATGATGATGAGTCCATCTACTGAAAAGCTACCTTCATTGAAATCAGTGTGTCAAGGTTGGGAGAAACAAGAAATCATTCATCCTACAGTGGCTCGTCATCATCATCGTGCAGTTTCCTTGCCAACCACTTTGCCTAGTAATCCTCCTCCATTTGCTGCCAAAAAACAAGATGACCGTTTATCTATGGAAGTCTTATTGAAAGCCATTGCTTTGGATCAAGAGATGACTGATGTATACAAAAAAGAACGTGTCAAAAGTTTTGTTCGTGAACAACAATGGTTACACAAGACACAACCCACGTCTTCTTTTAAACATCATCATCAAAAAGAATTACTTAGGCGAAGATCAAGATCAGCTCCAGGTGCTCCTATGGCTCATTATTATCATCATATCGCGTTGAATGCTACTCGTTGGTATCTTCCCAATCATGGAGATCTTCATCCATCTCAACGTGATTCGTATGATATTGCTCATGCTATTGTTCAACAACATTTAAAATCTGCTACTAACTATAGAAAGTGATTGATTCTTTTTTTTTTTTTTTGTATTCCTGTTATTATATTCATTCATTTCATTTTTATTTATTTATACCACTTCCATTCATTCATATTGTACCTTACATTCGTTACTTGATCTATCAATATTATATCACTTTTTTTTTTTGTTACTTTTCTATACTTAAATATGATGATGTACTATGTTCTTTTCTCTTATTTTTTTTTATGGCTTGTTTTTTTTTATCCTTATTATTTATTGGATTATTAAATATTGATGTTATTTGTCTCTGTCTGTATTATTTGGAACTGTTGTCCAGTTCCTTTCATACTAAATAAACAAATGATTAAAATAGGAGAACAAAAAGAAAAAAAATGGATGAAAATGAGCACACCCCCCCTTGTTATCACTGATTTAATATATGTGCTTTTTTCTATACAATAATCACGTTAATCACTTTTTAGATGTGGCGTATTGCTTATCCAGTATCTCACGAATATTACACGCGATAATAACGATATCATCATTAGGCGTACTGCATAATTTTCCTGTTGATCTTTGGTTGATGATCTTTGGTTGATGATCTTTTGCTTGTTGTTATTTTTGATATGGATGATGTTTTTCTTTTTTCCTTGTAATAACATCTACTCATTGACGAATGCTTAGGGTATTCTTTAAAAATTCAGAAAATGTTAAAAAAAACAGCGCAAGTGTAACCTCAATGCACGGGTGAATTCTTCTGATTGGTTGGAACAGGTAAAAGAGAAAATTGCGTGGTGGTGTGAGTGTGGAAAAAAAAAGGGCTGCTTTCTTTTCTTAATTCTTTCTTTTCTTTTTCTTTCTTTTCTCTTTCTCTCTCAAATACACATTTATCCCTTTTGAACAATTTTCTCGCTTTTCTTTCTATTTTTTTTTTATTTACTTTTCTTCAATCATACCTATCATGTCCCATACCTCTACTACTACTAATGACTCGGACGCAAAACGATGGCTCATTATTGGCGCTCACCAAGCTGGTGCTTCAGAAAAAAGAGTGGCTCGTATTTCTGGTCTCTCGAAAACGGCTGTTCGTCACATCATCCTCAACTACCAACGAACCGGTACTCCTTGTTTACCTAAACGTGAACCAAAAAAAGGTACAGCCATTATAAAAAAAGAAAAAAAAGGAAAAAGGAACATTATTTTCTTTATTCATCTTTCTCACATTAACAATTCTTTCATCTTACTCCGTATTTATTTGTTTATTTATTTATTTTTTTTTTAGTTAAAGAAAAACTGTTGGTTGAATACGACGAAGATGGCAACTTGATACTCAGTGATGAAGAAGATGACACAACTAGTCTACCTTCAAAGGTACCGTTTGTAAAAAAAAGAAAAACAGATATAAAAAAATAGGGAGGTTATTATTTCATATACTAACTTGTTATTCTGTTATCAATTGATAGTCTTCCAGCAACAAGAAAAACAATGGCGTTACCAAGAAAAGAAGCTCCAAATTAAACCCAAAGATTTCGGCAAAGGATCTAATTGAATATATGGTAGAACAGGTCAAACGAGTGGAACAAGAATTCACACCTATCCCTAACTTTTCTTCCTGTACTTCTATGTCTGGTGAATTACAACAACATCAACATTATGATCATTCATGGTGTCCTACTCCTCCTCGGGATGGATCTATCAGCAGTGGCAATAGTACTCATCGTAGGGATTCGGATACAATTAATTTCTCACCTCATGGATTCAACAAAGGAAGTTATCATCGTAGTGAATCACCTTCATTTTTACCTTTATCACCACCTTCTGTTTCTTGCAACAAATCAACTTCCACTTTGGATTATGATGATGATGACCGTTATAATGAAGAGGATCAACAACAAGGACGACGTGATCATTCACCTCAAGCACCTTCTACTGCTGGTTCTACGACAGCCACTCTTCCACCTTATAACTCACCTACCAAGTATGATCAAACTATCCGTGGATATGAATTGTGGACTCACAAGGATGATATTCTATTGCTACAACATGTACTCTCTCGTTTACAATTAGGTAATTGGCGAGAACTGGAAGCGAAATTTGAAGGTCGTCATACTGCTCGTTTATGTGATGCTCGGTGGAAATATCTTCGTGATCAATTATTGAAAGGGATTCAAAACGCAAGCACTTCTTGTTAGGATCTCAATGGACTGCTAATGACTTGGATACCTCCTCCCCATCTCTTCAATTCCATATATTATTATTTTTATTATTTTTTTTTTTTATGTTTTTATTTCTATTATTCTCTTCATACCCCATTCCCTATCTTCCTCTATCCCCCAATCTCTCTCTCTATCTATCTTCTATTGTTTTAGCTCAATTCTTGTAGTTAGTATTATTCTTTTTATGCATGATACTTCCTTTTTCCAAATAGTTTCTATCTCAATAAAGACACTTTTTTTTTTCAATATGATCTCTTGTTCATTTGGTTGATCATCAGATGGATGAATGTTACACGACGATGCTGCTTTAGATTACTTTCGACATCCAAGATCAATGGGTTCAGAACAGTGGATCAAGTGATGGTTTGAATGAGAGAAAATGTTTCATTTCCAATATTAACAATGTGGTTATCTGTGAATTGAAAAAACAACCAATTAGAAAAAAAAAATGGAGTTCCAAGAACTATGATGATAGGTTTTTCTACTCGATCCATCTTGATAAATTTGGTTGTTGAGATGAATTCGTAAATGAAGGAAGATGAATAAATGGGTGATGATACGTAAGATATTTGGATGAAGGTGATTGAATAGGACCGATATCCTTTACCTGATTATGACATGTGATCCTTTGATAATATTATTATTATATTTGATGGGATTTCCAGCATAATAGGAAAGTGTAAGATCGAGCTGTGTTTGAAATGTATCAAAGGACACTCATCGTTTTGAAAAGTGTCAATCATCGGTTTTCCTCCTTCCTCTCTTTTTTTTTTTTTTCACTTCACTCTTTCTTTCTTATCCTTCTTTTTTTTTTTTTTTATGTTTCTGTTTCTGTTTATTATGTATACCTATATGTCTGAAACATAATACGTAATATATTAGTAGTCTATTCTACTTGTGGTTACTCATTATCTTCTTCTTTTTCTTCTTCTTTCTTTATTTCACAATATCATGACATCAGCACCTTTCCTGCGTTTTCCTCTGGATATTTTGATCGAAATCAATCACTACTTGACACGCCAAGATCGTTATCAACTCTGTTTGGTTAATCGGGTATTGAACGAAAATTGCAAAGACTTTTTGTTTACTTCCATCACCCTATGCAAGCAATATCAACTCTATAACGTCTTTCACCTCATGTCATTGGAGCCACACTTATTCTTAAAAACCAATAAACTTGAAGTTGGATACTACAACCAGAACCGATATCCTCTTATAAATGCTTTACAATGTTGTCCGAATCTTACCATGTTGAAGATTGGTCGTGCGAATGGCCTCTTCAGGCGTGACCAACCTACTGATTTCAACGACTACCCTGTGTTGTCCAGACTGATTGAATTGGATATCGATTGTGACTATCTGACATCGATGGAGAACTTGTTGAGCTTCTTCTCAAGGTGTCCCAACGTGAAATCCCTTAAACTTTGGAAATTGAATCGCCTTGCCTCCCCAGCTCAAGTAGAACGGTTACATCATGTTTTCCATCGCCTTGAAGAACTGTACCTAGATTCTGGTTACCTCAATAACGACATGGCTTCTCCAGATCCGATTACTGATGCTCCTTGTGTTTTTATGAAGAAGATTACATTCACTGTATCTGGTACTTGGAACGACTTTATACTATGGATACGTTATATTGCCCAAAAATACCCCAATATTGAAAGTTTGGACATCTCTAGCAAACAAAATTACTTTACCGACCGAAACATTCTCTTGGAGGAAATACAATCAACGATACGTCTATTATTCGACAGTTGTAGGAATTTATCATCGATACGCTTGGATAATGTTTGGTGGATTGATACTTTTTTGCTTTGTTACCTGGATGAAGAGCAACGTCGTTCAAGTTCCATCGAAAAAGTGGAAATCAGCAGCTCACCCTATGGCTTGTCAACGGAACTATTTGGTCTCCTCTCTCGCTCGATTATACCATTGATCAAAGTATTGGATATTACTTTATGCACGCAGATCATCAATAATCCTGTGTTGCTATCTTGGGGTCTCCGTTCTGGTTCTATGCTCACTGATCTTCGGATATCTGTCTCACGAAATGGTTCCTCTCCATTAAGTCTACTTAGCATTCATTGGATCCTCGAATCCTGTCCTTCCTTGTTATCAATTACGCTGGATTCTGGTTTCCTTGATATTGTCAATGATGCTCTCACTGGATTGCCACCCTCCACTGTACAATCTCATCATTTGGAACGTCTTGCTGTTAAAAATTGTACATTCAACAACGAAGTTTGGTCGTATATCGAAAAGAAGTGTCCCAGATTGAATTGGCTCTCTATCGACAAAGGTCTCTTGTATGATGGTTCACTATTTCCGTCCATCCAACTCAAATTTCCGAATCATGTTTTTAAATCGATCATCATCAATCGTGTCCGTTGCCCTCGAATGCCAGTTGATGTACGTCCATCGCCATCTTTTGGATCTCCTATCTACAATAAGCCAACGTGGGATGAAGGATGGCTTCCTATTGAATTCATGACTATACAACGACGACAACATCCTACTCTATCTGCTTGCTCTGACAATAATGGGGTGCTTTCTACTCAAAATGACACGATACAACAAACATTTCAAGCTTTGGATATGAAGTTCATTGACCAGAGATACAACTACAATGGCAATTTTACTATGACACCACAAAACTTATTCGGATACTTTGAACGCCTTCTGCAAGCAAAGCGCCTGACTGCTCAAGGGGTCTTGTACTATCAACGTGAATGCAAAATACCGATTCCAGATCCATCATCTAACAATTCTACGATATCATCATCAAGCAGCAAACGAAGGAAATTTGATCGACAGAAAGAACAAGTACGACAAAAATGGGAAGAACAAGAACAACTTGCAAATGAATCAACTAGATTTCAACGGGTACAACGACGGCAACAACAGCATATCCCAGCTACTGACCGAGGAGGCCATATCTTCGTCGACGTTTATGGAGTGACTGACTTGATTATCAATGAAAAATGGATAATTTTGCAAGGACAATAGGCGCTTTGGTTTGGACTTACAATATATGATATTATCTTCGATGATTTTTTTTTTTTTTTTTTTTTGGAAAATAGGATGAACATTAGGCCTTTTTTAAATGGATAACTTTTATGTTTATATTTTTGTATATGGTGATGTTTATAATTCTAGTGTCGTACATATTCAGTTTTATATCTTTAGTCTTATATCTTTAGTTTTATATCGTTTAGTTTAGCTGTTGAAATCAAATGAATAAATAAAAAATTGAATTATTCCTTTGTATTAGTCTTTATTGTTGCGCTTTATTGGACCAAGATAGTGTTTGGTCAATACCTACAAACGCATACCTTGTTAACTGAAAAGACACCGAGTATGCTATGACTCTTATGTTGGTTGAAGATGGGATGATGGTACGAATTGGATGAATTGGTAATGGATGATCGCATTTTTGTACTATTATAAATGTGTGTACGACTACCATTGATTTTAGAGTGTGCGAAAAGATATGACTAAAGACTAAAGAATGATATAGGATAATAATACATACACACACACATGGATACCACAATGCCGATAAATAAATAAATAAAAAAAAAAACAACGACAAGATGATGATAAAAATAATAAACATATGTATATATATATTTAGATTTGAATTCTATAATAAATAATAATAAAAACTAATCTATTCCTTCTTGGCTTGTTCGGCTTGGATACGCTTGCGTTTCAACATGGTATTCATATAAGTACCAAAGACTAGATAGACATGACAAACAGAAAAAAAGAGTGAGTGATTTTTTTTTTGGATTCATTGATGATCCTATTTGTCACTATCACTCTTTCCCAAAGATGATTCCCTCTCATTACTTACCAAAAGCAATCAGACTGAAGAAAGGCACCCAAGTTTGTTGAGGTAAAAACTTTTGAGCGGTGATCATTGATAAAGGAGAAATGACCCAAGACATCTTTTGCATACGGAATAAACCACCATGAACAGCGGCCTTCATTTGTTTGATAGATCGTCCTCCTGCCAAAAAAGTCATAGCGCTAATATATACTATAAAAAGTATAGAGCCGTTAATCACTAAGGACAACAATTTTCTTTATCCACTTTTTTTTTCTATTATTATTACCAGAGTTCATAATGGGAGATATGATCAAGTTGGAGAAAAGTAATTGACCCACTTTGACCTTGGGACCAGTTTTACCGGCAAACACCTTGTTCATGATTTCGTACAAAAAGTGACTTAAAGGACCAGAAATACAAAGACCATAGAGAAACATTTGAATGATACGTTTGTCAATTTTCTTTTGACCTGAGAGTTTTTGAGCACAAAGTTCTTGAGTACCTGACAAAATACCGCTAGTACAAGCCTTGGTACGTAAAGGATGAGCAGCCAGCTGCGCTAAATACCAAGTAAGAAAGGATTGAGAATCATTAGGAGAAGGAACGGACATTTCTTGTATAAAGGAATAAAGAAAAAAAAATGGAAAGGGTAAAGAAAGAAAGAGACAGAAAAAGGAAATGAGAAAAATTTAAGATTTTTATTTTTTTAGTCATTGTGTGAAAAGGTATAATTTCTATTCTAGTCGGCGCCTATTTTTTCCTATACAGACGGATAAAGTATCGCATATTGGCCACGGGTAATGGGTATTTCACTTGATCACTGCACCTATTATTAATATATATTATTACTTGATTCAAAAAAGTGTGGGGTAAACTTTTATTTCTTTCTTTCTTTACCTGTACCACCGAGAATCTTCAGAAATTACACATTCAAAATCAGGAATAGCATCCAATAAAGTATATACCATATAAGTTTTATTACCAACCTTTAAATGAGAAAAGGATCCAGCTGATTCTACCACCTATTATTATAAATATCATTCAAAAATATAAATAATAAATAAATAAATATGAGCATAAAATTATTGTATGATTTCTGATTATTATTATTTTTTTCTTTTTTACCAAAAGATAAGCACCTTTCTTCATTGAAGCCACCAAAGTTTGAATAAGTGACATTGCAGATTGTTTTTTAACAAATAATTCATTCATGACAAACATAAATGTGATCAAGTCAGCAGAAGCGATTTGTTGTGCTGTAGTAGTTGTCATAGTAATAGGATCCAATATATCCCCTTGTTGATAAGTACAAGTCAATTGTTCCGAGGTGATTTGCCATGCACGTGCTGTGTATTTTTCGAATTTATCTAAAACAGATTGCCATTCACCAATATCTTGCATATAAAGTTGAATTCGTTGTCGTTCTCCAGGTACTCGTGTCATTGCTGCTGATAGACTGACCAATTCTGAACCACTACCTGAACCTACTGCATATATTCTTGTTTTCTTCATCAATAGTTTCAACAAAGGAGGCATCGAGAAAATTTCATAGTAACAGACTGCTCGCCCAGGTACATATGCTGCACTATACACATCTAGATTACTGGCGTCCGTAAAGATCCCTTCATAATCACGATCCACAAAACTATGTTTGATCATTTGTAAAGTAGTTCCAAAATCCTTTCTTGCAAAAGTATCAAAACATGATCGTCGAATCGCTGATAGAATACCTATGGAACATAATTATGGTAAGTTGTATTGAAGTTAAAATCTTTTTTTTTTTTATTTACTTTGTTCGGCATCTTTGCCCAAAATCTTCCATCGTTCTTTTAAAGCAGTTTTGTCATAGCTTGCTTTTGATGTGGCTGGTTTTTTGGTAGAATCTAGAGAGATATCCTTCAGTTGTTGTGTTAGATCATCTGCCATATCAAGATCACAACAAAAAAGAAAAAGAAAAAGGAAAAAGCGGAAAATCAAAAATAACAGCCAAAAAGTTTTTTTTTTTTTTTCCTCTTTTTCTGCTGCTTTTGCCTTTCTTGCCATTCCGCAGTTTCAACCATGCCTGAAATCGCTGAGGTAATGAAAGAAAGAATGTACCTTTTTTATAAGAATAACAGTTATATAGAGTCTAACCATTTTATTTTATTTTTATTTTTTTTTTAAAAAAAATAGGTAGAACATGCTAGACGACAGTGTCATAAGCATTGCTTATCACGAAAGATCACGTCTGTAGAAACGGTAATAGTTATTTATGATGCTTCAGTTTATTAACTCATTTAAAATTAGGTACCTGATGAATTAATCTTTGTGAATAACACTTCTGACCAATTTGCAAGCATATTAGAAGGCAGGACTGTCGTGGATACTAAACGGTGGGGAAAATACTTTATTCTCCTGTAAGTCTTTTTAAAATATCAAAATCAGATATCAACTAGGACTCTCTTAACTTTTTTTTTTTATAGATTTGATCAAGAACCTCATTTGGTGGCACACTTTGGTATGACTGGTGACATCAAAGTAAGGTAGAATACATAATCATATACTGTGATTTCTCTAGTTGATCAAAAAAAAAAATTCAAACCATGTTTTAATTATATTATAATTTAGTTCAAGCATGAGAAATCAAAGGAAGAATGGCCACCACGTTTTTGGAAAACAATCATCACTTTTGGCAAAGCAGCTGGTCATCAAGAAGGCGATGAAGAAACGATCGTCATGGCTTTTTGTGATGCTCGACGATTAGGACGATTACGTTTGGTATTTGGTGATCCTCTTACTAGTCTTCCGATTTCCAAATTGGGATTTGATCCATTGCATAATCTCCCCTCCATCGATGATTTTTTTACTATGGTGATTAAACGCGCGGTACCGGTGAAAGCATTATTATTGGATCAGGCATTTTCTGCGTAAGTATTTATATATTTATATATCTATCTATTTGAAAAGATTTATTTTTCTTTCGTTCTTTTTTTATTTAGTGGTGTTGGCAATTGGATTGCTGATGAAATTTTATATCATTCAAGACTTCATCCTGCACAATATAGTAACTCCTTGACGAAAAAAGAATGTGAAACACTTAGGGAACAAATGGAAGAGGTATGTCGTATTGCAGTGGAATCTGAAGCAGATGAATCTTTACTTCCTGCAAACTGGTTGATGACTTATCGATGGAACAAAGGAAAAGGCAAAGGTGCTGGTGTTTTACCTAACGGTCATAAACTAGATTTTATCACGGTAAAGAATGATTATTATTATTATTATTATTATTATGATTATTTTGATTTACTCTATTATATGTATATTTTATATAGGTTGGAGGTCGTACAAGTGCATATGCTCCATCATTGCAAAAATTACGTGGAGCTAATCCATCCAAAAAGACATCCAGTAGAAAAAGATCATTGAAAACAGAAGAAAACGAGGATGATGATACCAAGGATTTGAAAAAAACTAGGAAACCAAGAAAAACAGCAAATGATCCAACATCAACTACTGGTTCAAGCAAAATTGTCAAGTCTACCGGCAATTCAATAAAAGTAAAAAGGCGTAGTTCGACTAGGTTACGAGGCTCTAGTAATAGTTAGTATTTTTTTTTTTTATATTAGTTTAGTTTCTATCTTTTTTCTTTTTTTTAAAAAAAAAATAAACTAAGATGTATTTTATATATTGACAAAATTAATTACAAGTGATGCTTTGAACCTGTTAGTCTCATAACAGAATGAACGATGGGACGGTGTTTGAAACCCATCGCCAAGGGACTGGCTGGAAAGACGTTTCTTTCGTTTCCGTCTTTGGTGCTCTTTCTTTTTCTTTTCCTTTTTTTTTTTTTATTTAACCAACAATAACCTTCATGGCTGACAATATACCGGAAGTTCCTTTGTCTTTAGTCTCCAATCAGTATCTCGATAAGAAAGTGGCTCAAATCCGTCTGAAGCCTATCCTTTGGGAGGTAAACATCATACAAACCAAAAAAAAAAAAAAGAAACCTCATCCTATTTTTTCCTTCTTTCCAATATTATACTATCTCCCGTATTCTGAAACATACCAGTGTCCTAACGTTATTCTTTTTCTTTATTATTATTATTCTGATATACAGGGATATGAACGTGCCAATTTACTTACTCATGCTCAAGTGGAACTTATTAAATCCATCGACAAGAAATCTTCACAAGAAATTCAAGTTGCTGTACAAGGCAGGGAAGATACTTACGCTTCTTTGATTCTATATCTTTTACAAAGTCTTTCTCGTACCGATACCGTCCAGTATGTTTGTGTTTTGGCTGATGATATTTTATCTGGTAAGAATATATTACTCACTGTACTATATGTTAACATAACTTTATCACTCTTTTCAACTTTTATATAGGTAACGAAGAAAATGCTCGTGGATTCCATACTATTGCCAATGAAAACAAAAGTTACCCATATGGACCATTCTTCAGGTACAGTATAAATATTTATATATATATATATTGTAGAAGTATATCATGCAGGGGGGGGGAGAGAGAGACGGATTTTACTGCTTCTGACATATATTTATTTCTTTTTATTAGAATCTTGCAGTTGAACGATGAATTGGCTTGCTTGGAAGCAACCAAGATCTTGACCATTCTAGCATCGTAAGTTAATTAGTGTAATATCATATCAAATAAGGTCTAATAAATATATATATGTGATGATTGATTATCACTAGATCCTCACCTTGTCCTGAACAAAATGATCTTACTGAACTATATTCGTGGTTGGCATCACAACTGACCAACGCAAACAACAACTTGGTGGATATTGCTGTACAAGAATTGGAATCACTCTTACGTGTTCGCACCTATCGTGTACCTTTCTGGAAGACTCCCAACGCCGTGAACAAGTAAGATTTGACTCAAAGAAATAATGATTTATTTATTTTTTTTTTCTTTTTATTAGTCTGGTTGCTTTACTTGACAAATCCGCCACACCTCAAATGCAATATCAAGTTATCTTTTGTCTATGGTTATTGACCTTCGAACCTTCCATTGCTGCTGAAATCAATGAGTAAGTTGAAAAAAAAAAATGAAAAGGATGAAAAACTCATCAATCTATTTATATTTTCGATCAATAGAAAATATGATATTATTCCCACTCTAGTTGACATTGCCAAAGGTGCCATCAAAGAAAAAGTTATTCGAGTTGCCATTGCTACTCTTAGGGTAATATCATCATGAATAGAAAACAAAATATAATCAAATTGACGTTCTACTTTTTATTTTATATAGAATCTTGTGGAAAAAGCTCCTTCTCAAAACTTGGCTGCTATGCTTGTGGTGAAATTATTACCCTTTACTGAAAATCTATCTGCTCGTAAATGGTCGGATGCTGATATCTTGGAAGATGTGGATTATTTGAAAGAACGTTTACAGGAAAACTTCCAAAGTCTCACGTAAGATCCAAAATAAGGAAATATCAACTGAAGTTCTAATTATTATTATTATTATTATGTTCATAGTACCTTTGAACAATATGCTTCAGAAGTGGAAACGGGAAAATTAGAATGGTCACCTCCACACAAATCGGAAATCTTTTGGAAGGAAAATGCATATAAATTGGAAGAACACAACTTTCAATTACTCAGGTAAAAAAAAAAAAAAAAAAAAAAAAAAAAAAGATTAAATTGAATTTGATATATATATATATATATATACTTACCATCCTCTCTATTAGATCTCTTGCTCGTATTTTGAGTACTTCTACCAATTGTCTTATATTATCTGTGGCTGCCAGTGATATTGGTCATTATATTAAATTTGCTTCTAGACAAGGAAAGAGGTAATGGAAAAGAAAAATCAATGTTTTATTATATCTTTTTCTGACATATGTTGTTTATTATTAGACTTTTACAAGAAATTGGTGCTAAACAACGTATCATGGAATTGATGACACATGAAGATCAAGACGTTCGATACCAAGCCCTCAGCTCTGTGCAAAAATTGATGCATCAAGCTTGGTAAATGAATCAGAAAACAGAAAAAAAAAATCAAAATGAAGAGATCTACTTACTCATATATTTCTTTTTCTATTAGGGAATTCTAAATGGACAATATTGATAACATTAATTTAGTTAAAAGATAGAATCAAAGTTTATTTCGAAAAGGATATCAAAAATTTGATATCAGATTTGTTTTATTTGTTCAAATAATTTGAAAAATAAAAAAAAAACAAATAAACTACACTACAAACGGATATCTTTCTGGAGAGCTATGTAACAAAATATATTAAAAAAAAAGAAAGAAAAGAAGAAACTAGGCAAACATTTTTCTATATACACGAGTACTATCTTGCAATGAAGATTTTGACTTTTGTTCCAATGTGGCAAGAAGACTAGTAAGTTCTGGGTTCTTGGGGATGGCCTAAGCAGAAATAAATATAAAGAAATGAGTAAAACCAATGTAATGATCTTTTTTTTTATTTTGAAATCAAGTTGACTTACTTTAAGACCTTCTTTGACAATATCAATACCTTGTTCATATTCCATTTGTTCCATATATACTTGTCCCAAACGATAATAGGCCTTGACAGTCGAAGGATCACGTTCTAAGACATAATTCAGGGTCTCAATAGCATCTGACCATCGTTGTAGTTTCATTTGACATATAGCAACGTTGAGTTGAATAGCAACAGTGAGTTCACGACATTCACCGAGTTCGTCAAAAGTACATTGCCAAAGGTCTAATACATAATGACTAGCCTATAAAGAAAAAGAATAAAAAAATGAGAAATGAACATATATCCTTTCTAATATATTCACTTACCACTCTGTATGTATAAAGAGCAGGCACTATTTGACCATGTTTAAAAAGTTCAGTTCCTTCTTCTTTCTTTGCCTTGGCTATGTCCAATTTCTCTCTTGCCTTATCCTCCACACATGGACTTGCTGATAATAATTCCACTTCACATCGGATTTTTGCTTTAGGAGGTACCAATGGGTGCAGTCCGTCTTCACCATAAGCTACCAAAATAAATTAAAAAAATGAATATATATGTGAAGAGGTACACGTCTTACTTTTTTTTTAGTTTTTTTTTTTTTTGTCTTACCATAAGAGTGTGAACATATGATTTCAGCCACTTCACCAACCTTCATTGTAGGAATGGCAATCTCCCAACCTTGAATAACCTTTCCTTCGTCTTTACAAGAAGTGATAAAACATTATCAAAAGGTTCAAAATAAAGAAGAAGAGATAGAAAGGGAAGAGTTAATATATATGTTTTTTCTCAATGGATAACATAATCTTTCGTCCTTTTTTTCTTTTTTCTTTACCAGTGCCCAGAGTAAAAATGTATTCCATCAAACGATCACGAGAAGAGTCATATTTGAGATTTGTCTTTGCAAGGAATGATTCATAGTGAACTACGGTGAATACATGTCAAGAAAAAAAAAAAAAAGATAATAAAAAAGATATTTAGATCTTTTGAACGCGACCTTGGTAGTTACATATATGTCTTCTTTTTTTTTTTCTTGAACTTACTTGTCACAACGTCATGCTTGTCAGGTAGTTTTCCAAAGCCAGCCTTTAGGATACGTTTAGTCACCTTGCCATCTTCAGTCAGCTGTTGAACTTCGCTTTCGACCATATTACTTTGTGAGATTCCGTCAAGTTTAAAGACAAGAAGAAGAAAGAAAGGTTCAATTTTTTTTTCTTTGTTCTTTTTTTTTTCAGTGGTGTGGCAGAATCAAGCCCCGACTCCACTTTCTTTTCTGTAGGCCTTCTTAACGTCAAGCATACACTCATCTTTTTGTTTTCTCGGAAACAAAATAAACAAACAAACAAGTAAAAACATCAAACGATCTTTACGTGTCATATCACAGATATTTCTTTACGAATAGTATAGATGACATCTCATTGTAAACACCACTTTATCTTTAGGAGACAATAAAAAATCATAGTGAGATAACCATTGATCATCAAGAATATTGAATGAATCACATAGGTTCAGAATTATTGAAAAAGATAAAAGGAGGAAATCATATTATTAAACTCTGAAGTACAGTATAAATAGGGTGTGTTGATAAAGCATAGACCTTAAAGAAAAATCGTATTTGAATAGCCGTCGTGATTTCATTGGCCAAACCCAATCTTAGTGGGGAACTGAAAAAAAAAAAAAAAAAAAAGATCCGTGTTGCATTCCCGCGCTTTCCCCTTTTTCTTTTATTTCAATTAAACATATCATGTCTCAACCTATCAAAGTTGGTATCATTGGTACAGGTATTTTCGCCTATCGTCACTTGAGAGCTTATCTCACCAATGGGCAAGACAAATTCCAAATTGTGGCCTGTGCTAATCGGTCTAGAGAAAAAGCTGAAAAATTCGCCAAAGAGGTAAAAAGAAAAATTGTTAAACTTTTTGGACCATCTTGATGAACTTATCTTTTCTTTTCTTTTCTTTTTTTTTTGAATTAGGCTGGTATTCCCGAGTCTGCTATCTATACAGATCCCAAAGAACTGATTAATGATCCCAATGTGGAACTAGTGGATGCTCTGTTACCTGTACAATTCAACAAAGAAGTATGACATCTCGCTTGCAATTTGACAATAATACAATATATGACTTATTCTTTTTTTTTTTTAATATATATGAATTAGATAATTGATGCTGCTATTGCTGCTGGTAAACATATTTTATTTGAAAAGCCTATCGGTAAGATGCAAAAAAAAAATGTTTCAATTTGGGAGTGATTCTCATGTTTAATTATTGATTCAATTAGCTGCTAATTTGAAGGATGCTAGAGATATTGTCTTGGCTGCCCGTCAAACCAATACAGTGGTTGCTATAGCTGAAAACTGGTCTTATCATCCAAAAGTCCAAGCTGTGGCAGAATTTATTCGAAATGATGGTATTGGAAAGGTAAAAGATAAACTCTATATTGCTCATGAATTATCCTCTTATGATTCTTTTTTTTTTTTTTTTTTTGTCTTGTAGATCATTAATTTTACTTATGATTCTGCTCGTCCTTATAATCCTAATAGTCCTTATCATGGAACACAATGGCGCCAAAATCCTCAACATCCAGGGTAAATAACTATTTCTTTTCCTTTTTCTTTTCATAAACATGAAGATGAAATGTTGATCTAATACTTTCTTTTTGATATATATATATGGAAATAGTGGATATCTCAGTGATGGTTGCGTTCATGATATGGCTCATTTGATACCAATCTTGGGTCGAATTGATGCTGTTTCTGCCTTTACAACCAAAACTCACAAGATTCATGTTGTAGAAGATACATTAGCAACAAGTATTCGATTAGTCAATGGTGGGGTTGGTGTGGCTAACTTTACTTTTGTAAGTCAAGAAAAAAAAAAAAAAAAGGGATGAAAATCGTAGGATTTTTTTTTATTGATATTAATGAAAAAAAATGATTTTAATCTAGTGTTCTGCTGGTATCAAACGTATGGTTCTTGAAGTTCATGGTACAAATGGAACTATTCGTCTTATCAATGACAATCAAGTGGAATTGTTTGATATACAAGGTAAACCATTGGATGTGTTACAATTCGATCGACCCGATGCTTTCGAGGATGTGGAAGGTGAATTGGATAATATCTACAAGGCAATTCGACAAGGTGCTTCACTAGGTGTTACTGTTGAAGAAGGATATCATCATTTGGCATTTGTAGTGGCTGCTCTTGATGCTGCTGATAATGAAAGAGTTGCAAAGGTGTCTATCGTAGAATAGAATAGAAAATTGTATTACGTGTACGAATAAAACAATGTATTTTATTTACCAGATGGTTTCGTGTTCTGAATCTTCGTCTTCTTCATTCCATATATGCCATTGTTCTTCAGATGTTGAGTCGAGTGGTATATGGTCTTGCCAACGGGTATTACCTCTATTATCACGAGTCCAACGACTAAGAGGAGTTTGACGGAGTAAGCTTCTTCCAACTAGTATAAAAATAATATTAAAGATAAGAAAAAGAAAATATAACATTTATTTTACCACAAGTGCCACAACAAAAACACCAAAGTAAACCAGAAACAAATATCATGGAAATACTAAAAATGATAAGTCCTAGTTCTATGTTACTGACTTTTGCCATGTGTGGTATATTAAAGATGTAAAGAAGAAAAAAAAAAAAAAGAATGCAGGAACGGTGAACGAAATCAGTAGCAAAGAAATGGGCATTCACTGAGCAAAGAAAAAGTGGCTTGGGGATCGAAACCCAGACTGAATGTAAAGAAAAACAAAAATCTGCTGTTAAGTGCTTGTTCCTTTTTTTTTTTTTTTTTTGTGCTGTCATTGTCTATATTCTATCTCTCTCTCTTTTCCTTTTTTATTTATTTCTATATATATATATATAGTATTTATATATGTTATAAAGTGTAAAAATATGTCCATTTTGTTGTACAAGTCATGCAAACGACTACAACAGTCTAGGATACGACACTTTAGTTGGCATATTTCACATTCTTGTCAAGTTCGGTTACCGACATCTATACCTTCGTGTCTACGGTGGTTACCTTCAACCATTCCAACATCGGAAGTAGCTACTTATTCTACTATAACAACAGCTGTCTCTTCACAACATATTAGTCGACATCATATCTTTACCGGCAACAATCTCTTTTTATACCCAGCATTGTCTACCAGTACAACTCATTACTCGACTCTTGCTGCTCAATCATCTATGGATATATCCGATCAACAACAACAAGAAGTCTTATTACCAATGTGGTTGAAAGCTTATGAAGATGAATTCACTCAAATACAACAACTTTTAAACAATGACCAATATGACGATGCTGTTCGACTTTTGGCAACCATACCTTTCCACCATAAGGATTATTTGACGCAATACGCTAAACTACTGGATCCTTATGCAATTCATCTGGAACGAAGGCTACGAAAAGGGAAATGGGATCAAGGCATTGCTGATTATCAACAACTCATATCATCGCCATGGTCATCCGTTATTCAATACAATCGAAGAATATTCAAAGCGACGGTGTTAATGTATTGTGCCATAGGAAATTGGGATGAATGCGAACGTATGCTCAAGGGACGAAAAATTAACATGACAACAACAACTGTGGCAAGAATGATGGTGACTCTGATGGGCTTGAAGACAATGACACTGGCAAACAAACATTCTTATGCGGTTACAGGAAAAAATATTGGTCGATCATTACAGGCGTTTGAACATATATTGGACATACAAGTGAATGCAGAAACATTGGCCAAGATTTTGAGGTATCTTGGGGAACGTGGTATGATAGAAGAAGCACATCGACTCTATAGGTGGGCGCGTGGTGAACGAGGATATGGACGACAAGGGAAAAGCAGATTAACACCAGAAAAAACAAAACGATGTACCCAATCGATCATCTACCTTGCTATGATTGAATCGGCCGTGTTGAACAATGATACAGTGAAAGCGGAAAGGATTTGGCATGAACGTATGTATCGTGGTCAATTCAGTACGGATCCTAAAGCGATTACATTCAAACCAGCGACACTCTCAGCATACAACATCTTGCTCAACATTTATGCAAGTCAACTTCCAGCACCCAATCTGGCACGCGTGCAACGGACGTATAGACGACTCCTCAACAATGGACATACACCCAATGCCTTCACTTATAATACATTGATCAAGGCCTTTGTGAATGTTGGTAAACCTAGTTCGGCTTATCAGGTGTTCGACACGATGCTTCATTCTGGCACAAAACCGGATAGCTGGACTATCAATCTGATGTTAAGAGGATGGATTGAAAAACGTGAATGGAATCATGTCGAAAATTTTATACAACGCTTACAACAATTACAGCAGGATGATTTATGGAACATAGAATTGGACAAATATGCATTCAACATTATGCTTCAAGGTTTTTTACATTTGGATACGCGTATGTTTTCTGTGGAACGGATATTGAAAGCTCATCGGGATTGGAGTCATGTTCGACATTTACAACAAAAATCTCAACCTTATCCATTATCAACGCAAACCATTTGGGATATTTTTGAAGCAGTATCGGGATATCGGAAGGATCAAGTACTTTATTATAATCATCAACATCATCATCATTCGTCAATACCATCACAATCATCAACAATAACAACAATAACAACTGAAGTCTTCAATAAAGAAAGTGGTTTCGTCAATTTATTCCAACAGCAAGTCTTTAATCAAGTGTCATGTAAATTATTTATCAAGGCATTCACTTTGGCCAAGGATTATCATTCGGCGGAAATAATCAAGACTTGGATGTTTATCAGTTACCCTCCTATATTAGAAAAGAAACCATCCACTTAGTTAGACTAATTCATACAACATATACATATATATATTTACGCACACATACACACATATCACAATTACTACACGCAACTCTTGCCCACACATACATCTTTTTATATACATACACTTTTTGTACTTTTTTATACCTTTTTTTTTATAATAAACGAACTGTTGTACATAGATCATTATTATTTTTTTATAGATTTGGAAATGTATAATTATAGATGAATGTTTTTTTCTTTGTCTAACAAGTTGGCTTTAGGTCACCTTCCTGTTTCGGATGAGCATAAACATGTTGTATGTTATGCGAACTAGGGCATGTTCCTGATTTTTTTTCTTTTTTCTTTTTTTCTCTTTGGTTTTAAACTTATTCTTTTTTTTTTTTTTTAAAAAAAAAAAAAAGAAAAGGTCTTGAAGGTTACTATCGATTATGGTAAGGTATTTAGTAATTTTTCCGATGATCCATGCTTTTTTTTTATGGATGATCGTTTTTTATTTTATTTTATTTTATTTTTATTTCCGTACGGGTTATGACTAAAATTCGCATCAAGTTGTATTTTTCCAATTATATTTCAATTGATTCATTTCTTTTTTATCTTTTCTTTTTTTTTTTTTTTTTTTAGAATCAAGTATTTTATGGGTAAATTTTTTGATATGAAACCAAACAGTGAAGGTGATCGAGGGAAACATCTTCGACAATCTTTAAAACCTGTTGCTGGGAAAATCGCCAAACGTACTAGTCATTTTCTTCAAAAGAAAGTGACCAAATTCACTCAACATGCCCAACAACATTTTCAACAACACTCTTCCCCATTATCACCATTATCTTCCCCTTCTTCTATTTTACCATTTGCTATTCCTTCTTTATCAACTACTGATCATCCTCTCTTCTCTTCTTCTTCTTCTGGCAGTAACGACCTTGTATCCTATCAACATTTTAGACAAGCTTATGATCAATTTTTGGATACTCATGATTTACGTCAAGAATGGCCTAGAACATGGAAAGATAGTTTGGATCCTCATCATTTTGAAATCATGTGCCTGACTTCTTCTCAACTTCAATTTCAAGAACTTTTATATGAAGTCATTCTTACTGAAAAGACATATGTGGATGATTTAACTTTGGCTTATAAAGTAAAAACATATAATATATTCTTTTTTCTCATCATCTAACTTTTTTTTTTTTTTATTTGAATAGATTTTTGCAAAGGATGCTTTGGCTTGGAGTCAATTACCTAAATCACTTCGATTGATTTTTGATAATTTGCTTCAAATCATTCGTCTTCATCTTGGTTTATTACAAGTATATTTAAAAAGAACCATTCTCCTTTGATTTGATATTCATCTTTTTTTTAATAATAGGATCTTCGAAATAAACAAAGATTACAACATCCTATAATTCGTAGTATTGCAGATCAATTCCTAGGATATGTAATAAAAATTATGCATTACCTTATTCGACACTGACCAACTTCAATGATTAGGCACCTCGATTTTTGGATTATTATTCTGCTTATTTTATCAATTTCGAAAAAGCTAATGATGTCGTGGTTCGTTCTATGGCTTCCAAAACAGATCCTCTTGGTATTTATTTACGGGTAAAAAAAAAAAAAAAAAAAAAAAGGTCAACGATTTCTTTCTTTTCATTCGCTTTCTTTCTTCTTTTTTTTTTTTTTTTTTTTTTTTTTGTTTTTTAAAAAAAAATTCATTTTTCTTAGTCAAGATCTAGTTGGCCAGAATGTCGCAATCTTACATTACAATCTTTCTTATTGAAACCAGTCCAACGGTTAATGAAATATCCTTTATTCTTTCAAGTAGGTTTATTGCTTCGTTCATGTATTTAAAGTACTCATATTTTTTTTTTTATTTTTTTTTATTTTTTTTTTTAATAGAGTTTATCCGACTCACTTTCCAACAATGATGTGGATCGCATTAATCATCTTCGTACTTTACATGAACTCAAGTCTGCTATACGCAAGATTGAAATGGACAAAAAGGAAAGTGAAGATATGCGAAAACTCGAAGACTTGGCAGCAAGAATAAGTGGACTATCGGTATGAATATATTTAATAATATAACTCTCCAATGGAAAATAAGCTGATTTTCCTTCTTTTTTTTTTTTTTTTTTTTAAAAAAAAAAAAATATAGGGAAACCTTGTTAGTTCTGGAAGACGATTAGTATATGAAGGATATTTGACCTTGGTACCCTCTCTTGAAGCACCTTTGATGCGATCTGTGACAACTGATGCCTTAGGTGGACAACAATATACTTATGCACCACATCCTAATGTAGGTCAACCTAGAAGCAACTCTTTCTCTTTAGGCTCTTCCAAAAAGTCGATTTATGTATTTTTATTCAATGATGTCATATTATGCACCAAGGTAAAACAAATAACAAAAATAAAGTCGAGACTCATTTCTCCTTTTTTAATTTTGGTTAGGTTCGATCCAAAACTAGACTTTTGGTGGAAGATGTCAAGGTCGGTAGTTATTATGGTCCAAATCCTCATTCTCTCTTCAAACTTGTACAATTACCGGGACAACTGACGTTTGTGGACAGATCCGTATCAAGAGTAGTCAATGGAAGCAAGGACGAAAGTGGATTAGAACAACAAGGGTCCAGATCATCACTTCGATTTTCTTCTATTCGTCGATCACGATCCAACTATTCATCTGTCTCACCCATGCTCACATTTGAAGAACATCCGCAACAATTCATTTGCTCGATTGCAACACGTCATATCACCAACTATCACTTTGAAACAACCACTGCAGAGGAAAAGAAACAATGGTGTGATCATATGGAAAGTGTTTTGGAAAGTCATGTACAAAGACCTGATTGGTGGCATCCTGATGGAAATCAATCCATGGACAATCTCAATACACCACAGAATCGGCCAGCCAGTATCACCATGTCTATTCAATCATTAGCAGTTCAACATACACTTGGTTTGACATTAGAGCAATCTGATTCTTTGACTCCGTTATCTTCATCCATAGTGGATTCAGAACAACAACAACAACAACAACAACAACAACAACAACAACAACAACAACAACAACAACAACAACAACAACAACAACAACAACAACAACAACAACAACAACAACAACAACAACAACAACAACAACAACAACAACAACAGGAACAGGAACAACAACAACAACAGGAACAACAACAGGAACAGCAATATACCACAGACACCTCTGAACAATCATACCCAACACAACATAATGATACTGAAGAAATGGATTTGGATATACAAGAATCAACATTTGAAGAAGGTGCCATTAGCAGCAATAGCAGTAGCGATGATGATGGAGATGATCCATCAGCATCTTATTCAACAGCCAGATCATCTCCAACAACTGGTATATCTTATCATCAACAAACGAAAATAGTCAATTTGGATTTATTTGACAAGTGTCCTACTACAGATACACGTTCGGATGATCCTTACTCTATACGAATTGAAACACCTCAAACTATGTATTGAATTTCTCTTTTTTATTATTATTATTATTATTTTTAGATAAGTTTTTCCTTTTCAATAAAAAAAATCGTTTGTCTTTTTATTATTATTATTATTTATATTATATGATATTACTGATAGAAAAGAAATGAAAAAGAGGGGTGATATGTTTTGGATTGATCCAGGGAAAACAAAGTTAAAGTCAATTTGTTTGACGGAAGTAAGGAAGGAATTAGATTTATATCAGGAGGCGAGACTTTTAGAAAGCATCCATTTTATGCAGAACCATTGATCTCTCTCTCTCTCTAATCTCCCTAAAAAAGAGAGAGAATGCATGGGAGACAAGCCAAGACATCAGGGAAAGCAGGGAGAACCTTTTTTTTTTTTTTTTATGTTTTAGCCGCATCTGTAATAGGTAATCCGCAAAAGAAGAAGAAAAGAAAAAAAAATCATATATAAATAAGCCATGTTTTTTTCATTTTCATTCTTTCTTTTTTTTTTTTAATATTATTATTTTTATATTTTTATTATTATTATTATTTCATTTCTTTATTATTATTATTATTATTATATATTTCGATGGATGATACAATGAATAAAAAAGAAACACATATATCTATATCAAGTACGTCATCATCATCATTTTCAATACCACATTTTACAACACATCATGTAGAAATAATGAATGAAAGGAATGAAGATATACTTGCTCAAGAAAAGAAAATCGTACGTAGATTGGATTGGAGAATCATGCCTTTGTTTTGCGTTTTTTATTTCGCCGACTTTTTGGATCGTGCCAACATCGGTAATGCAGCGTAAGTGTCACAACATGAAATCATCCCCTTTTTTCTTAACCTTTTTTACTTTTCATTCCATAAGGCTGGCGGGCATTCAAACCGATCTTCATGTAAGCCCTTTTCCTTTTTTTTTTTAAAAAAAAAATTCTTTTTTTTCTTAATATACTCTTCTTTTTTTTTCTTTCTCTTTTATTTATTTAGTTATCAGCTACTCAATTTGGTTTTGGTATTTCTGCATTTTATATCACTTATGTATGTAAATATGTATATATAAAAGAGATCATCTTCTAACTTATACTCTTATTTTTGATATTTTAGATTATATTCGAAATACCATCCAATGTCATCTTGAAAAAAACTCGAGCCTCAATATGGCTTTCACTAATCATGTTATTATGGGGAATTGCTACTATTTGTTTGGCCTTTATTACTGACTTCACTGGTCTTGTCATTTGTCGTCTTATTCTTGGGTAAATTCTTATATTTTTTTTTTAAACCAATAGTATTTATTCATTTTTTTTTTTTAAACAGGGCAGCACAAAGTGGATATATACCGGCTATTTTATATCAAATGTCACTTGTATACAAACCTAACGAAATGTCCATGCGCTTAGCATTTTTATTAACAATGTCATCTTTATCCGGTATTGTGTCTGGTCCACTTGCTTATGCTAGTTCCTTCTTGGAAGGTCGTTTAGGATTACATGGTTGGCAATATTTATTCATCTTGGAAGGTGTTCCTACTGTACTGCTTAGTTTCCTATCCTTCTTTTATCTATTTGACAATATTGACCGTGTGACTTGGTTAACAGAAGAACAAAAAACTTTACAACATATGCGTATGGCCGAATCTTCTCCTCCTTCTGTCACTCCTATCACTCTCAAAACATTTATTCTTGCCTTTTCGGATTGGAAATTGTACATGTTTTCCCTCGTTTATTGTTTGAATTCCATTTGTATGACTAGTCTTTCCATCTTTTTACCAACCATCATCAAAGGTAATCATCAAAAAAAAAAAAAAGATAAAAAAAAAAGAGTAATGCTTCAGTTTAATTTATTTTTATTTTTTTTACGTTGAATAGGTTTTGGTTATCCAACATTAACATCACAATTATTGACAGCTCCTCCTTCCGTTGTCAATTCGGTCTTTATACTTCTTGGTGGTTATTTGACTGATCGTTTTGATTTTCGTACACCTGTACTTATGACAGGTTTTTCCATCATGGCGTTGGCATATACTCTGATGTTGGTATTAAATGATGCTTGGGGTAAGTAAATGATTCAATAATTAAGAAAAAAAATAAAATATTAAATACATATTTATATTATTATAGCATTGTATGGGGTATTGTTTATTGTTGAAATAGGTACTGGCTTAATAGCTACTTCTGTTGTTGGTTGGTCTTCTGTGAATTTCCCAGATACTACAGTTCGAGCTGTAGCTGTCGCCGCAGTAGTCATGATTGGAAATTCAGGTGGTGTGATTGCTTCCTTTTTATACCCTTCCACCAATGCTCCTCGTCATTGTAAGTCACTACTATATTATCTATCTATCTTTTTTATAGATTTAATATTTATTTTATTTTACTAGATTTTGGAAACACGTTTTGTCTTGTATGTGCAGTGATGGCCATAGGAGCAACTGGGATTACTGGATTCTTACTTTATAGGGCAAATCAACGGCGCGCCTCTCTTCAAATGGAAGTAGTTGATGAAAAAAGTGGAAAGCATATTGAAAATATAGATTTAAATTACCGTTACCATTACTAGATTATTATTAGTGTTATTATTATTATTATTTAGTGTGTAGTATCATCCATTCTTCCTTTTTTAGCGTTCAATGCGCTTGAGATAAAAATAAAAAAAAAATCCCTTTTTTTTTTTTTTTTTTTTGAAAACCCGGTTTTTGACTTTTTTCTTTCACTTTTTTTTTTTTTTTTTTTTTACGAATCAATCATGGCCAAAAAGAAAAAGATCGCCAACAATCGTGGTTATGCAACAACATCCATACCTTCTAAAAAGATAGTAACACCTTTATCTACACCAGATTCGCCGTCTTCCTTGTCGCCACCTCCAACAACACAAGCACCGATACCGCCTGCTTCACCTTGTTCTCCTCAAGAGCAACCCGATGATGTGGCAAGACTAGTTCAACGTTTTAAGAGCTTGAATCCTCACAAAGTCGATACCACCATGGATCGACTTTTGCATTCACGTCCAATGATTACTCTAATGAAAGATCTTAACATTAATCCACCTTCTCTTTCTTTCTCAAGTCCTCTGGAACAAGATATTTTGAATGTGATAAAACAACTAGACGCGTTAGGTAAACAGGATCTTTGACCAAAAAAAAAAGTGTTACTGACAACCTTCTTTTTTTCTGTTTTAGATATATTTTCTTCTCCATCACTTCGGCGCCGTGCATCTCAAACCGATAAAGATCGTGTGATTGGTCATCTAGACGTTATCTACTTGACTCTGACCAAATTAGGATTTGATCCCATTGATATTGAAGCATCTTTGAAAGTGACGACAACGACGGATATCGACCATCATTTGGACTGGGTAAATAATAATAATATATGTATTGATATCATCTATATCTCATCTCTTTCTCGATAGTTATGTTTGAATGTACCCTATGATCGTTTACCAGTAGGCTTTGCTGACACTTACTTCTCCGACCAAGGGGTTCAAATTAAATTGCAACAATCCAAAGTAAGTAAAGGGAAATGATATAAAGAAAAGAACTGTTTTTAATAATTCCATGATTCATTTTCATCTATTCTTTGATAATTCAACCTTATATAACAGATAAACAAGAAGGAAGATACTTTAGAAGAAACTCGAAAATTGGAAGAATTGGTACTTTTGGATTCCAAGTCCTCGTCTGAACCAACCACCGCTCAAGATGATTATAAATTACGAGTTCTACAAGCTGCTCAAGATTATCTGGTAAATTAAAAAAAAATATCTGTTTAAAATGTCTTTTTTTCAGGGTAAACATCAATTTTTCATCTTTTTTTTTTTATGACAGGATGATGACGAAGAAGAAAAAGAGGATATCAATTTACAGCATGCAAGAAAAAAACTCGAATTGACTGAATTAGAGTCCCAAGTTCGTGAAAGTAGTGGAATGCAAAAGAAGAAAAAATTCAAATCAAAAACGTTGGTGACACTCTCCGACCAGGAATTGGATCAAATCAAACAAGAAATAGAAAACCTTAAACGTACACTGCAAACCATGGAACAAGATTGGGATTATGACAAGCGCAAATCACATGAACTGTTTATAGAACAACAAAAAATTTTAGCAGATCAACGACGACAACAAATAAAACAAGATCAAGCTGCAGCGACGGAAAACATGAATGATACACCAAGTGAACAAAACAAAGACGAATTTATTAGCAGCAACACGGATGCAATCAACAGCAATACAAACAATTCTGTTCCTGTGAATGATGATGATGATGGTGATGATGATGATGACATGTTTGGTGGGTTCATGGATATGATGGAACAAGAGGCGACAACAACATCAACATCTTCCACAAGTAGTCCAACCATTGAATGGCAAATTGTAGATCTTTCATTACCTAACTCCTGGAAAGGTCGTACTCCTAAGCAACTCTTGGAAGAATATTGCAAATCATATGGGTTCGTTAAATGCAACTACTCCAAAATCAATAAAGGTGCATCTATCTGGCAAGCCTCTGTATCTATGTCAAAACGATCTCTTTCGGATGCTCCTATGATAGTTCATTTACCCGAAAAACTGGCAACGACAAAACCTGTAGATGCTGAACAACTTGTTGCTGTAAGTCAAAAAAAGAAAGCGATTTTCTTCATTTTTTTTTTCTTATTTGTATACATATATTATCTCTGATTCCTTAGGCTGCTGCTCTCTTTCAATTGGATCCTCAATCATCAACCTATCAAATCATGGCTACACCATTCAAGAATTTATGGTTGGAATGGAAAAAAGAAAAGGTAATCATATCACCCATTGTTAAAATATATATATAGAATAATGTATCTCATTATATTATATGCTACAAGATGGATAAAGATGAAGCACCTCGCATTGAAGCTGATCGAAAACGGGTACAATTCCTCATGGATAGGTTGAATGATTCTTTTAGCCAGAGTCCTAAAAAAAGTCAGGTAATGAAAACGAACTAATTGAATAAAGAAATTTGTCAACTGAGTTCCAGCTTTTATTTGCTTCTATCATAGCCACGTATCTTGTCAAATACAACAGAATCTCCAGTGGATGAATTTGATTGGGCTCAAGACAACAACAACAAGTCGTTAAAACGAAAACAAATATTTGAAGATGTACAGCAAAGATTTAGCAAGCGACTCACTACTCCTGCTTATCTACAAATGAAGGTATAAAAAAGAAAAAAAAAAGCAACATATGGTCATCACATCTATTAACAAATGACTTTATTTTATCCAATGTAGGCCAAAAGAAAGGATCTCCCTATTGCTGACTATCGTGAAGAAATCCTCAAAATGATACAATCTCATCAAGTTGTAATTATCTCTGGCGAAACTGGATGGTAACTCTTCAAAAAAGTTGATCAATAGGTTTTTATAGTGATCTTACCTCATCTTTTTTTTTTCTTTTTAGTGGTAAGAGCACTCAAGTGCCTCAATACCTTGCTGAACATTTGCTTATCCCTGGATCCCATTCTGGTAGTGTCATTTGTACTCAGGTAAATTCTTGAATAAACCAAAAAAAAAAAAATTGTCATCATTATATTGATTTCTTCATTCTAGCCTAGACGTATCTCTGCCATGTCTATTGCTCAAAGAGTATCTAAAGAAATGGGTGATCGGCCGAAAACAATTGGAAGTAAGGAAGCCATGGTTGGATATCAAATTCGGTTGGAAAACAAAGTCTCGGATGAAAATGTTTTAGTATTCTGTACTACGGTAAGTCCAGTCAAAAAAAAAAAAAATAAAGAAAAACTGACATCATTCTAATAGGGTATTTTATTACGTCGATTGGAAAGTGATCCCTGGTTGAATGGTATATCTCATGTTGTTGTGGATGAAGTACATGAACGAACTATCGATAGCGATTTCCTTTTAGTTGTTCTACAACGTCTTTGTCATAATCGACCTGATTTACGGTAAGTGATTATAATATATATCCAACCTTCAAACAATATTTTCTCATTATTTTTTTTTTGTTCATTAGTGTGATTTTGATGAGTGCCACTGTCAATGCCAACCGATTTTCAGCCTACTTTGGAAATTGCCCTGTTGTTTCCGTCCCTGGGAGAACTTTCCCTGTCCATGTCCAATACCTTGAAGATATTGTAGAAACTACAGGTAAAACAAACCAAAAAAAAAAAAAAAAAAGGTCATATTAAGACATTAAGAAAAACAAAGTAATGACGCGCATCTATTTATAGGTTATGTCTTGGAAGAAGATTCTCATTATGCTATCAAGAAATCCAGAATACAAACAAGTAAGAACATAGTAGATGATTATTACATTATAAATAGTATTTACACTCATTCTTTATTTAGATCAAGGCAATATTCATGTGTCTGGACGACATGGGTCTTCCAAGACGATCCATTATGAAATATTTGATGAAGATTCTGATGCTGATGATTCATACATTATGCCCAATCCATCCAAACTGTCTATAGTACAAGCTGATGAAAACCAAAATGATGAAGATGAAACTTGCTCCCAACAATATAGTCGTCAAACACTGAAAATGGTTAAGCGGATGGATGAAAACAAAATCAATTATGATCTTATTGTGAACTTGTTGGAACATATCTATCAACAATCAAACAGCAACCAAGATGAAACCATTCCTCGATCTGGGGCCATTCTGATATTTTTGCCAGGCATGCCTGAAATTCGAAAACTGTATGATTTGATTTCCATGCACAGCATTTTGGGTGACGAAAAAAGAACACTCTTGATTGCTTTACACTCTACCTTGTCATCCGAACAACAAGAACGGGCATTTGATCTTCCACCACATGGGATTCGAAAGATAGTATTAGCCACCAATATTGCGGAAACTGGGATTACGATTAGTGATGTCACTATTGTCATTGATACCGGTATGGCCAAGATTATTAAGTAAGTACCTTCTCTTTTTTTTTCAAAATGGATGATTCATATCATTATTGTTTTTATTAGTCATGATCAAGAAAAACGAATAACAAGATTACAACAAATGTATGTGGCAAAAGCAAATGTTAATCAAAGAAAAGGTCGAGCTGGACGTGTACAAGAAGGATTGTGCTACCATCTGTTTACCCAAGATCGATACAACAAGGTAAAATGAAGAGGAAAAGAAAAAATTGATATATATATATATATATATATACTAACTTTTTCTTGTATGTTCTAGATGGCAGATTATGAAACTCCCGAAATTTTACGATTACCTTTGGAAGAACTCTGTCTCCGTATCAAAGTATGTCATCTAGGATCTATCGAAGAAGTATTGGAAACTGCGTTGGATGCTCCTTCTAAAAAGATGGTCAAGAATGCTATTCAGACATTACAAGAAGTGCAAGCATTATCCAATGATGAATTTGAAACGTTGACTCCTTTGGGAACTCATCTGGCGAATCTTCCCGTGGATGTACATATTGGCAAGATGATTCTTTTTGGTGCCATATTCCGTTGTTTGGATCCCATCCTAACTATTGCTGCTGCATTATCATTCAAATCACCTTTTGTTAGACCATTTGGCGATGAAGATGAAGCCGATAAAGCCAGAGAACAGTTCAAACAAGGTAAAGAAAGAAGAATGCTTCTTTTTTTTTTTTTTTTATGTAGACATGCATGACTCAACTTTCTTCTTTTTTTTTTTTTTTCTTTTTCTTTAGATGAATCTGATTTCTTGACCATTTACAGAGCATACTGTGCGTGGAGGGATGAATTCAAACGAGTAAGACAAGGATCAGGGTGGCGAAGGAAAATATATGAATTTTGCAAGAAACATTACCTTAGTCAAAAGAACTTGGAAACAATCGAAGACATGAAAAAACAATACTTAGAGCTTCTGATCAGTATTGGATTTGTCAAGGTAGCCGAGGAAGATATCAACCAATTAAAACGATACGACATGTTGAACCGTACCAGTTTCCTTTGTCACATTCCTCCGATATATAATCAATATAGTCATTCCACCAATATGATCAACGCATCCATCACTGCCGGTCTTTACCCCAAGATTGCGCTCTACAATCCAAACACACATGCATTCATCAAACAAGACATGACCAACATGACCATACATCCATCCTCCACTCTTTGCAAACAACAATTATCTACCGAATTCTTGGTCTACAACACTGTGGTGATGAATAATGACAAGGTATACATGTGGGAAACTTGTTCTATCGATCCTATAGCTGTGATTCTATTGGCAAATGATATGGATATTATGGTATAATTTATTTTTTTTTAAAAAAAAAGAAAGATGTGGATGTACTCACTTTATTTTTTTAATAGCATTGTCAAAAAATGGTGGTAGTCGATCAATGGATTCAGTTTCAATGTTATGCTCGTACAGCCACCTTGATCAAATTCCTTCGGCATGAAATGGTAAATAAAAAAAAGAAAAAGAAAAAGGAAAAGGAAAAAAAAAAGGGTATTGTTTCATTTATTCATCTATTGTTCATAGAAAAAATGGCTACAAGATAAAATGGATGATCCTGGATTGGACTTGACAAATGCCTCTGCTACTATTATGGAATTGATAGTCAAGATATTGGAAGCTCGGAATGTCAGTTTAGACAGATAAATAGATACATGATTCATTTTCTCTACTTTCCATTTTTGCTATTCTTACATTGATCAGTTACTGAATAAAGATTGTATAGTTTATATATATATATATATATATATATATAATGGATGAATTGAATGAATTAACATATTGATGGCTATGGAGGAAGAAAAAAAAAATAAAGGTACAACGAGAGCATATTATTTTTATTGAAGGGAAGAAGTATGAGGATCAAGGATGAAAAGTGTTGAGCTGTCTTTGAAATCATACATGTATCGTTTTTTATAAAGTTATCGATCATTTGATCTTTTTTCGTTTTCCCTTTTTTTTCTTTTCTTTTTTTTTTTTTTTTTATCACTTATACCTGGCTGAAAGTGCCACATCATATACCCGTAGTCTCTTCTACTTGTTAGTTATTCATTATCTTTTCCTTCCATTTCTTTTTTTATTTACTGCACAGCATCATGTCATCATCCTCGTTCCTACTTTTTCCTCTGGATATGTTTGTCGAAATCAATCACTACTTGTCACCCCAAGATCGCTATCAACTCTGTTTGGTTAACCGTGTATTGAACGAAAATTTCAAAAACTTTTTGGCTGTCTCTATCTCCTTACGCAACGCCTCTCAAGTTGATAAAGTCTTTCGCGTCATGTCATTGAAACCTCATTTATTTCGAAGAACCCACGAACTTGAATTCTATCACTGCCTGGATCAACTTTCTATTAGGAATGCTTTACAACATTGTCAAAACATTACCATGTTGAAGATCGACAGCACACGTTGGAATTCCCTACCTGATCGAGCTACTTTTGATTTCAATGACTATCCTATATTGACCAAACTGATTGAATTAGATATCGAACCTGACTATCTGTTATCGAAGGAGAACGTGATGACTTTCTTCTCAAAGTGTCCCAACTTGAAATCCCTCAAACTTCGGAAATTACAACACCTCGACTTTCCAGCTCAAGTAGAATGGTTACATCATGTTTTTCCTCGACTTCAAGAACTATGTCTGGATTATATCAGCCCTGCACCAAGCCTTTTCGACATGATGATGTTCCCAAGTCCGACACCTGATGTTCCCTTTGCTTTTATGAAGAAAGTGGCACTTACCGCAGCTGATTCCCGATTCGACTTTATACCGAACATGCGTTATATGGCTCAAAAATATCCCAACCTTGAATATTTGGATGTCACTTCGGTTCACTCCCTTCGATATTGGCGAGAGGAGGAAGAAGAGGAAGCAAAATCAACGATACGTCTATTACTCAACAGTTGCAAGAATTTGTCATTGATACGCCTGGTCGATATTCATTGGACTGATATTTTTTTACATCATTTCCAAGATACCGCACAGGATTCTTCAAGCTCTCTCGAAAAATTGGAAATCGTCAACTCACCTCATCGCGTATCAACGAAACTATTTGGTCTTCTACCTTGCTCGTATATAAATTTTATCGAAGTATTGGATGTTACTTTATGCAAACAGATCATCAACAACCCTATGCCGCCTGATGATCTCCGTGCTGGTCGTATGCTTACGGATCTTCGGATCTATCTCACACAAGATTGTCGCTCTCCATCAAGCCTATTCAGCATTCATTGGATTCTCGTGTCCTGTCCTTCTCTGTTATCGCTTACTTTGAATTCTGGTTTCCTTGGTATTGTCAACAACACACTGACTGGATTGACACCTTGGGATGAAGAGTCTCATCAACTGGAGCGTCTTATCGTTACAAATTGCATCTTCAGAAACAAAATTTGGTCATATATCGCAAGGAGGTGTCCCAGATTGAATTGGCTTTCTATCGATAAAAGTGTCCTGCATGATCATTCACCGTATCCATCTATCCAGCTCAAATTTCCGAATCATGTCTTCAAATATTTCCGAATCATGTCTTCAAATCAATCATTATCAATCATGTCCGTTGTCCTCGAATGCCAAATCATGTGCGCCCTTCGCCTTCCTTTGGATCTCCTATCTATGTCGACTGGTTGTGGAACGAAGGACAATTACCTATTGAATTCATGACCATACAACGACAACAACATCCTACTCTATCTACTGACAATGATGCGACTCCTTCTATTCAAAACAACACGATACGACAAACATATCAGGCATTGGATATGGATTTCAATTTCCAACAAGGTTATCGCACCACAGCTCACTTGTTCCGATATTCTGAACGCCTTCTGCAAGCAAGGTGTCTAACGGCTCAAGAAATCCGGTACTATCAAAAGGAATGCAAAATACGAATACCAGATCCATTATCCAATAGTACTACCGCATCATCATCATCATCATCAATGGCTGAACAAAAGGAATTTGATCGACGTCAAGAACAACTGCAACAAAAATGGGAAGAACAGGTTCAAAGTACAGGCAAAGCAACTGGGTCAGGACAACAGCAGCAACAACAAATAGATACCGACTGTGGTGGACATATCTTCATTAATGTTTGTGGAGTGACCGACCTTATCATCAATGAAAAGTGGATGATTATGCAAGGAAACTAGATACTTTGGTTTGATGGTTGTAGTCCATATGTATTATTTTTTTTTTTTGTATATATCGTTATGTTTATAGTTTGGTGCATATGTAGTTTATAATTTTAGTTTAGTTATTGAAAACAAATGAATAAAAAACAAATTGAATCTTTTTTTTTTTCATTCATCTCTATTACAGTATTGTGCTTTATTGGGTCAAGATTATTATAGTTCAATGTTTAGGAAGGTACTTTGCTATGGTGTGATGATCTGAAAAGATACTTGATATATTATGACACATTTCTATTTTCCTTTCACTCCCAAATTTTTATTTTTTCTTTGTCTGTATCTTTTTACCCTTTGTCTGAATTTAAAGTGAGTAAACTGATAAAGTTTCTCTTCTTTTTTTTTTCTCTTTTCTTTTCTTTTTTTTTTTTTTCTTTTCTTTTATCACTTATACCTGGCTGAAAGTGCCACATCATATACCCATAGTCTCTTCTACTTGTATTTATTCATTGTCTTTTTCTTCTACTTCCTTTTTTTATCTACTGCACAGCATCATGACTTCAGCACCGTTCCTGCGCCTCTCTCATGAACTTATGGGCGAAATCAATCACTACTTGACATCTGAAGATCGCTATGAACTCTGTTTGGTCAACAAAATGTTGAAGGAAAACTTCAAAGGCTTTTTGGTTACTTCGATTTCCTTACGTACGCATTCTCAAATCAACGAACTCTATCGCATCATGTCTGAGGAGCCTCAATTACTCCTGAGAACCAAAGAACTTTACGCCAGCTACGGCTTCCTGGGACTACATCCTATTAGGAATGTTTTACAATGTTGTGAAAACCTTACCATGTTGAAGCTCGACAATACACGATATATCATCACCTGGCCTGACCAAGCTACTCGGAAGTTCGAGGACTACCCTGTGTTACCCAACCTAATTGAATTGGATATCAGTTGTGATGGTCTTTTATCGATAGAGAACTTGATGTCCTTATTCTCAAAGTTCGCCAAGTTGGAATCCCTCAAACTTTGGAAATTGACACGCCCATTCTCCCCAGCTCAAGTAGAATCCTTACATGGTGTGTTGCCTTATCTTCAAGAACTGCATCTGGACTATATTCTCTCCGAAGACGAAATCATTCCCGCAAATCCGATTCCTGATATTCCTTGTGTTTTTATGAAGAAGATCACATTGGCGGTGGAAGGTAGCTGGAACAATGCTGTACCATGGATACGTTATATTGCCCGGAAATATCCCAATCTTGAAAATTTGAACATCGCTGGCAACGTTGATTACTATGCCACTCGGTATGTTCGTTTTAACTCGGATGCAGTACATTTGCCGTCAGCGGTGCGTCTATTACTCGACAATTGCAGGAATCTATCATCAGTACGCTTGGACAACATTTGGTGGACTAAGATTTTTTTGCGTCATTACCTGGAAGAAGAACAACGTCATTCAAGCTCTCTCGAAAAAGTGGAAATCGTCAACTTACGTGATGGCGTACATAGGGTAGTATTTGATCTTCTCTCTCGCTCGGTTATGCCTTTGATCAAAGCATTGGATATTACTTTAAGCACGGAGATCATCAAAGACCCTGTTTTTTTATCGAATGGTCTCAGTTCTGGTTCTATGCTTACTGATCTTCAAATCTCTCTTCCACGATATTGTTGCTGCCAATCACTTATCGTCAGCATTCATTGGATTCTCGAATCCTGTTCGTCTTTGTTATCTCTTAGTCTGGATACTTGTTTCCTTGGTATTGTCAACGACTCTCTCACTGGATTACCGCCCTCCACCGCACAGTCTCATCACCTGGAACGTCTTGCCATTACAAATTGTACCGTCAAAAACGAGATTTGGTCGTATATCGAAAACAAGTGTCCCAAATTGAATTGGCTCTCCATCGACAAAAGTACCTTGCCTAATGGTCGTTCACCATATTCGTTCATCCAGCACAAATTCCAGAATCATGTCTTTAAATCAATCACGATCAATCAAGTCTTCCATTATCCCTGAAGCTTTTTTTTTTTTTGGTAGATAGTTTATATCTTTAGTTTTATATCTTTAGTTTAGTGATTGAAATCAAATAAATAAAATAAAAAAAAATTGAATCATTTCTTTTTATTAGTCTTTATTGTTACATTTTATTGGATCAAGAGAGCAGTACTTATAAACTGTATTTTTTGTTATATTACAAAGGTCTGAAAAAAAAAAGAGTCAGTATAATATGACTCTATGTTGATGATATGATGGGATAGTAGTTAGATGATAATAATAAAAGATAAAAAAGATGATTTTTATTTAAATGAGAATAAACATTAAATATAATAATAATAATAATATAAAGCATATAACCTAAAAGACTAAACTACTAAATAAAATGATTTCCATGATAAAGATAAGAGAGAGATACTTTTTTTCTGACTTGCTATTCTTTGTCTAATAGAAAATATATTATATAGTCCTTCATATGTCTACTATATGTTTACAGAAAGAATAAAAAAAAAAAGGGAAAGAATAGGTATAGAGTAAGTATAGAATGTATAATATATAAAGAGTGACTTTATAATATAGATTAGTAAAAGTAATGTATAATGGTAACTTAATAATGTTCAAAGAGTCATTGGTTAAAAAAAAAGTGAAGTTAAAAAAAAGCAAAAGGGAAAAAAGGCAAAAGGAAAAAAAAAGGTGAGAGCCGCGCCCAATTTTTTTTTTTGTTAGAGCTCGATCCAACTTTCCCATTCCACAGACTTTTTTTTTTTCAATCTCCCAGAGTTTTTTTTTTTGTCTCGAGGACCAAACTTTTTTTTTTTCTCTGGATCCAAGACATCCCACATTGAGACCGGACTTTAAACTTATACCATTTATGGAAATCCTTTATGAATTGAAAGAAAGTAGAATAGATGAATAAATAATAGTAATAATTAATAATATGACTAATATAAAAGAAATGGATGATTTTATAATATAACTATGTATAGTATGATGATAATAAGATTTAACTGTAGTATCATTTCTCTCTTATGATACAGTCCCTTTGATGACAAGTACATTTTTATTTTTGTCATATTCATTTTCATATGATGATATATGATAATATGAATATCATAGTCCTATTTGGGAATAAAAAATTAAAAAGATCTACACTTGAGCAGACATGAACATTTTGGAACTTTGGCAAGACTGGGATTGGGACAAGAAAAAGCAAAAAAAAAAAAAAAAAAATCATGTTCAAATTGTTATCAGTGGACGGGCTTCAAAAAATTAATCACCCCTTTACGCGCATTTTGCTTTTTTTCTTTCTTTTTCTTTTCTTTCTCCACTTTTTTTTTCCACATGAGGTGTCCTCTTTGTTTGTGCGATCTTGACAAGGTAGATTTTATTGGATTTGGAGGGTTTTGAAAAAGGGATTTACAAAATACATGGGGAAACCCTTTCATTTTGGATGTAGGATTTAGTACAGGTAAATGACAAAAATATTTTATAATAGGATGTGAATTGCTTGACCTAGATTTATTTCATTGGTGATGTGAACTGACTGGATAGGAAACTTCGTTTGGTTAGGACGAACGCTTCTGGTGTAATAGATACAGTAGAATGAATAGTAGTGATAGTTTTACTAGTTAGTATATGGATTACCTCTTTTGTTTGAAATAAAAATTATATTGCTTTTTATGATACATAGCTTCCTTTTTTTTTTTTCATCATCTATTATATCCGTCGGATTGATCCAATCATCCATCCAATCCATCATCATCCATCATCAAGCATAAAACCTCAAGCACTATTGTCCAATCTAGATATTCATCAAAATGCAAAAAAAAAAAAAAGATTTATTTTGGTATAATATTCTACTATGCTAATTTCTATTCTATGACTAAGTAAATAAATGATTCCTATTTTAAGCTAATCCTTTTTCGTGTTCAGTGTCTTTCACCTCCCTAACTACATCAGCGGGATCGATATGATGTGAGGATCGTTGATCATGAGCTTGGAACATAGCAGCGACGAATTCAAAAGTTGACTTGAGGTATATATATCAATATATATTGATGTTGATTTTGAAGATGATCCCATCATGATGATTCCACGATGACTCAATGATAAATCTATGCTACTGATGCTGATGATGAAAAGAAGCTAAACCTGTGAGATTCCTTATGATTGGTTGATTTGATTTGCAGGATTTTTTTAAAGCAGGTTCCGATCAAGAAAATATATAAAAGATAAAATTTTCTTTTCTTTTCTTTTCTTTTTTAATTAACTTTACTCTTCTATTATGGAAAAATTGTAGTGATGATGATCTCTGCAATTCTTTTGAAGTAAGCATTTTATCATATACCTATTATTCCCACTCCCAACATTATTATCTCTTTTATCACCTTATTTTTTTATTAGTTCATTTATATTTATCATTTTTATTCTTGTTTATAGGTCAATTTTCAGGAAGGAAGCCGTTCTGATGATGACTTCAAATTAAATCTCAAGCTTGTAGGTGTGGTCAACATGCCTGAATCACAATTATTCTTGGGTGGAAAGTCTGGTATTATCAACAACTATTTAACTGGTAAGAAAAAAAATAATCATTTTGTTCTATTCTATTTTTTTTTTATTCATTTTATCTTTCCCTTTTTTTTTTTCTTTTTTTTTCTTTTTTAGTTCCCACAGCTGCATCAATAACAAGGAAATACAAACAACCAGAGAAGAGACTTGCTGCTGATACTTTAATATGGAAACCACGCTTTAATATCGTCTGCGATGCATGGAACGAAATGTTGCTATTGTTGAATAGTTGATCCCTGGGTTATCCTTATCCAAGCCGTATCTTTGAAAAGCTCCCCAAAAGTTGAAGATCAACAATTCACGCGACGTTGGTTTAGCTACCAAAATCATCTCGAAAAATTAGAGATTATTAACTCACCCTATGTTAGTTTAGAACATATGTAGTATACAATATCTAGTTTAGCTACTAAATTCAAAAGAATAAAAAAAAAATTGAACCATCTATTTTTTACTAGCCTTTATTTGTGTTTGTTAAATCAAGACAGCTTTGACATGGTTACAAACCTGTACTTTTCTGTATTACGATGGTCTGAAAAGATACTCCGTATACTGTGACTCAGTATTGATAAATGATGATGAAACAATGAATTAGAAGAGTCGGATGAATTTATGTGTGGATGTACGGACGTGTGGATGATGGATGATGGATGATGGATGATGGATGATGGATGGTGATTATGATTATGATTCTGATTTTTACAGGGATAAAGACCATCATCAATACTTTGAACATACTAACAACAATAAAAGAAGAGAATGGATTGTTGATATGAGAAATGTCTTTATTGATATTGATATATTAAAAACTAAAAAAAAAAAAAAAGAATGAAAACTAATAAACTAATTGAAAAAAAGGGGGATATGGTACAAATGATTTTTTTTAAATGAATGATAAAAAAAAAAAGTTTAGATCTTGGGACCAGCAGCCAAAGTTTCAGGAGCAGCTTGATCTTCATAAGTCTTGAAGTTTTCAATGAACATCTTGGCAACGCTGGTAAGAGCGTCAGTGAATTGTTGTTCAGTACCTTGGTAGAGTTTGCGGGGATCCAAGAGTTCATCAGGGACGTTGGTAACCTTAGTAGGGACCTTGAGGTTGAAGACACCATAATCAGCATATTCAGCATTAGCCAATTCACCACTATGGATAGCATCCAAGATAGCACGAGTATATTTAAGAGGGCATCGCTTAGCACCAGAAGAAGCACTACCACCAACCCAACCAGTGTTGATCAACCAAGCATTGGCCTTATGTTGAGACATCTTTTCAGCCAACATGGAAGCATAACGTTGAGGATGGAGAACCAAGAAGGGAGCACCGAAACAGGCAGAGAAGGTAGGAGTAGGTTCAGAGATACCATCTTCAGTACCAGCAACCTTAGTAGTATAACCAGAGATAAAGTGATACATAGCTTGTTCAGGAGTCAATTTAGAAACAGGAGGCAAAACACCAAAGGCATCACAAGTCAATAAGATAATGTTTTGAGGATGACCACCCATGCAAGGCAATTTGGCGTTGGGGATATGATAGATGGGGTAAGCACATCGGGTGTTTTCGGTCAAGAAATCATCAGAGTAATCGACTTCACGAGTTTCTTCGTCCAATACAACATTTTCCAAAACAGAACCGAACTTGATGGCGTTGAAAATATCGGGTTCCTTTTCACCAGAGAGATCAATACACTTGGCATAACAACCACCTTCAATGTTGAATACACCATCATCGGACCAACAGTGTTCATCATCACCGATCAATTTACGCTTAGGATCAGCAGACAAGGTAGTCTTACCAGTACCAGAAAGACCAAAGAACAAAGATACATCACCATTGGGACCTTCATTAGCAGAAGAGTGAAGAGACAAGACACCAGCCTTGGGCATCAAGTAGTGCATCACAGTGAAGATCTAATATATATGTAATTTAAAAAATTATGATCAGAAATCCATCCATTCTTCTTTTTTTTTTCCTTATTCCACATCCTCTTTTCTTTTTTTTTTTTTTTTTTGATAACTTACACCCTTCTTCATTTCACCAGCATATTCAGTACCAAGAATAACCATTTCAGCACGCTTAAAGTTGACAGAGACGGAAGTGGTGGAAGTCATACCAGTGGTGTAACGGTTAGCAGGGAATTCACCAGCATTGAAGATAGTGAAATCAGGAGTACCAAAGTTTTCCAATTCTTCTTCAGTAGGACGGATCAACATGTTACGCATAAACAACAAGTGGTAAGCACGGCTAGCAACAACACGAACCTTGATACGGTACTTGGGATCCCAACCAGCGAAACCATCAAAGACATAGAGACGAGGACGAGTGTTAAGATAATCAATAGCACGTTCACGGTTAATGGAGAACACCTTTTCAGAGATAGGAGCGTTGACAGGACCCCACCAGATGTCCTTGTTGGAAGTTTCTTCTTCAACAATACGCTTATCCTTAGGAGAACGACCAGTCTTCTTACCAGAGTAAGCACACAATGCACCAGCAGAAGAGATCACAGTACCTTGTTCATAAGTCAAAGCTTCTTCGTACAAAACGGCAACAGAAGGATTACGCTTGATAGTAACCTAAATTACAATATATAGAAAAAGCAAAAGATAAATATCATATACATATATCGATCACTTTTTTTTTTTTTTTTTTTACCTTGTCATAATCAATACCAGCAACATCGTGAAGTTCTTCTTCAACCTTAGTATGAGTAGAAGATGAGCTAGTAGGACGGCCGTGGAAAGGAGATCCGGGTCTAGGAGAGGCAACCATTTTGTATAAAGAGTATATATGAAAGAAGATATGAATAATAAAAAGAAAAATGAAAAAAAAGAACAAAAAGATTGGTCTTTATATATAAAAGAAAAGAAAGGGATCGAAATCTTAAGCGCGTGAAAGTGGAAGGTTCATCCTCCGATCCGTTTTGCTACTTTGAGTGGACATAGGCGGAGTCAAGTTGGCCCCTGACTAAAAGAAGCTACCGAGATTGGCTCCTTTGTTATTCGGAATAGAACGGTATTTTGGTTTATTCTTCCGTTTTCTTCCTCCCTCACCACTTTATTTGATGCTCCCTTCCTTACTTGCCCGTTCCACGTGAACGTACAAATCAATACATAAGTTCTTGTTAATCATTCATTTCATCATCTGAAATATGTTATTGTAAATAATATTTTAGGTCCTATCAATTCCATCATCGTATCTATGATCCTCATAGACTTTTTTTTTTAATTTCTATTTCCATCACGGGTATCTCCATATCTCAAACAAAAAAAAAAAAAAATCTAATAATGATTTCTTTATTTGGTTTCCCCCCTCTTTCCCCCACATTTGAGGAACATTTAAGTGCTCCCGATTTCATCCTCCGGTCAACAAGACATATCCATTCTCTTCCCATCTTCTCCGATTCTTTTTTAGTATATATCATCTATGACGACATTTTTCATGAGTGACCGAGACTATATTATATTTCTAAAGACTAATAAGTTGTATCATATGTTTATTTGCAAACTAAAAAAAAAAAAAAGAAAGAAAGAAAGAAAGGAGCGGAATCTAAGATGATGTATGATTCTAAAATATGCTACTATCACTATTATGTATTGTCATTGAATTTCCAAAGACCATAAGAAGTGTTGGATGTACCAGTTTTCCATAAACGCACAGTCCCGTCCTCTATATGGAAATAATAATAAAAAAAGAAATGATACATAATTAGATGCTTCATATAAAGCATTCATTCTCTTTTTTTTTTCTTGTACCTGAGCCAGTAGCAAGCATTTCACCATCAGGACTAAAACTAACAGTATGAATAGGACCATGATGACCTTTGTAGATTTCTAAAAAAAGGATGAAGAGGAAAAAAAAAAGTGGAACCAGTAAGATTCATTGTCAGTGGATCAGTCAGCCTCATTCATCATCGTTCCTCGGAATGAAACTTACCCTTTTCTTCACCAGTACCAAAGTCATAGATCCGAACCCATAAATCTTCATCACTACCAGCGGCAAAGGTAGAATGATCAGGATGTAATGATACAGATGATAGTTTGTGTTCCAATACATGAGTGGTAATATCATCATGATTCAAACTTTTACAGAAAAAAAAAAAAAGAAAAAAAAAGTTAGTTTGCATGATCAGACTCTTTTCTTTCTTTTTACCTATCCACATTCCAAAAATTGGCAGTCTTTCCAGAAGTCCACATAAGGCAAGAGCGATCAATAGCCAAAGTCATATCATAGATTGGAGCTTGACAAGTAATGGTATCAGTATGTCGCATAGTTCGAAGATCCCATATCCGAATCAAACAATCTTCACCAGCAGTTAAAAGTCGATGTCGTTGATCATCCCATACCACAGATCGAATCATTCCAGTATGACCCACTGCTTCCAAAGGAGGTGCATCCGGACGAAAAAGATCAAAGATACGTAGTTTGGCCTCTTTACCTCCTGTAGCAATTCTTGTTCCATCTCCACTGACATCCACTGCACGTACAATATGTTCATGTTGGAAGGTTTGTATAACATCACCGGTATATGTATTCCACACTTTGGCTGTAAAATCTGCAGACCCAGTCACTGCTACATGACCTTGTCGTGTCAATCGAGAACTCCATACTGCACCTTTATGACCTTCAAAGGTACCAATCCAATCACCTGTCATGCCGTCTCGTAATATTGGCTTACCATCTATTTCATTAAGATGTAAAAAAAAAAAAACAATGAGTATTTTATATATATATATAGAGATAGATAGATACCTTTACAACTAGAGATCAAAAGAGTACCATCAGGAGTTGGTTCCGAGAATTGTAAATCGACTACTGGACGAGTATGACCATGACAAGTCAAAGGTTGTATTTGTTGGTTATTCATCTTGAAAATAGAGTGTAATATAAATAATAAAATAAAGAATGAAAGTATTGATATTTACAAAAATGATGGTATAAAGAATGTAATTTATAACTATAATATGAAAAAGAATGAAAGAAAGTATAAAAAAATATATAAATATAGATATATAGAAAAATAAAAAAGAAGAAAAAGAAGAAAAAGAAGAAAAAAAAAAAAAAAGAAAGAAAAAGGAAGAAGAAAACGAAGGAGTAGGATGACCCAATTCCTTCTGTAAAAAAAAAAAAAAAAGGTGGATTGAGGAAAAAGAAGAAGTATAGTGAAGAAAATAACAAAAAAAAAATAAATACTTTTCTAATCCCCGCCTTTATTTTCGTTTCTTTTTTAACTTCTTTTATACTATTCTTCTATATGGAACAACAAATTTCTCAATTGGAACAAAACATTCATTCTTTATTAAAAGATCCTTTATTATCTGATGTAACAACTTCTTTACCAACTGAACAGGAATTAGATGACTTGATTGCTTTAGAACTTGATCACGCTTACAATATTGAAATCCACCGTGGACCTTTGACACCTATTAGTATGTAAAAAATAATAATAATAATAATAATAAAGTAAAAGTTCTTCTCATTCTTTCTTTCTTTTTTCTTTTTTTTTTTTTTTGTTAGATATCATTGTTAGACAAGCAACTACAGTACGCGATATCAAGATACTTTTTCAACAAAAGTGGAAACAATTAGAAGAAAATAAACGAAGATCTGTTAGCTGGTAAAAAGTAGTTTATCCTTTTATTTGTTTCGATTTATTCATTTCTTTTTATTGTTTTTGAACTATTAGGAAATATATTTGGCGAACCTTTTGTCTTGAATTGAATAATCAAAAATTACTTAAGGATGAAGCCATAGTTAGTCAGCTTGGTATACAACAAGGATCTATTCTCAAATTTGCAAGATTGCCTTATGATCGAAATAAGCATCAAAAAGCCTGGCGTTGGTCTCGTTGAATGGATGATTTATTATTTTACCTAGGATTATTTCTGGTGATGATGGTAATGATCGAGAAATGGAAGTATTTGTCATATATTTTCGAAACTCACTTTGGATTTGTCACCCTAGAGTCTTCTTCGGCGGAATTCAAAATCGGTTCCTTTTCCAGTGTTTGCTGGCATTTTCTATAAGGTTGGTAAGATTCTATTTTTGAACCATGCAAAAAATGAAAATGTATAAAAATCGACGTATTCATCTTTTTTTTTTATTCTTCTTCTTTCTTTACTTTATATCTCATCGATTTTAGTTTTATCTCTCTCTCTCTCTCTTACAACAATATGTATGCTATGTATGCTTCTCCTGTTTTCGTGCAACCCCCTTCATTGGATGATTACCTGGAATTCCGATTTTGGAAAGAAGAACAAGCGCGTTTGGAAAGAAAACGTCAATATCAAGCTTATCGCCAAAAATGTATGGAACGACAACGTCAACGTCAACGTATGGCTGCTGCTTTGGCTGCTCTGGAACATCAACAAGAAGAAGAACGTCGAAGAAAGCAACACCAACAAGCTTTGAATCATCGCAGATGGATGGCCTATATGGATCATATTCGTCAACAACAAGAACAAAAAAGAGAACAAGAACTTATTCGTCAACATTTGATGGAACGTCAACTAGCTGAACAACAACAATTAGCAAAACAACGACTTGTTCAACAACTTTATATGCAACAAGATGATGATGATGATGATAATCTGGATTGGAATGAACTGGTGAAAGGTTTGGTGTCTAAGCTACTAAATGATGATCAAGTGGACAAGCAAAAAGAAGAATCCATGACAGATGAAAAGGATCAAGTTGCCACTGATGATGACATGGAAGAAAAACAAGTTGAAGACATTAAAGATGCTGAAGATTCTAATGACTCTGATACTGATGAATATTTAATGGTTTTACTTGATGACAATAATGATAATAATGGTGACAACAACAAGGATACTGATAATGTAAACAAACCTGACAAGGAAATGGATAATGTGGACAAGTCTGACAAGGAAATGGATGATACTGCGGTGGTAGATGACGACAAGCTGAAATTGAAATTGGAAGCATTGGAAAATATCAAGCAACAATTGGAAGATATTCACAAATCACATCAAAAGGTATTGGCTTCTTCACTTTACTTTACTGACGACGATAATAGTGATACATCCAATGGAGTTATGATTCAAGTACCAACTATCTCCAAAAATCATGACTTTTTATTCTATGAAGACAGCATCATGCGCATCTTACTTCAATTGGACGACATTTCATCTGATGGCAACGATATTATTCGACAACAACGTAAATCTTTGGTGAAACAAGCTGGAATGATTTTAGATCAACTGGATCAATATAAGCAAGCGGAATGGGAACGACATTCATCTGCCTCAGTATCATCTGAAGATGAAAATGAAGATAATTCTGGATCAAACAAATCAACAGGCCAACAACAACAAGAAGATGATGATGATGATGATTCTCTGATAAAGGTCAATCTCGAACAAGAACAAGATGTGGAAAAGGATGATTTAGAGGAAAAGGAACTGGATGATGATAACTCACTAGCAAATGTCGACGACAAGGATGTCTCGGGTGACGCCTATTATTTGATGAAAGATATCGATGATGATGGGTTTCTTATTCTCAACTTGTGATTTTAATTAGTTTTTTAGTTTTGTGTATATATATATATATATATATATATATATGATAGATTAGACAGAAAAAGTAAAAAATAAAGTTTGTTTCATTTTTTTTTTATTATTATTATTATGTTTTTGCCAAGACATTTTTTTTTTTGGATCAATCAGGACTACCTACTTTGGGATCATACTTGACCAGTTAAAAAACGTGTAATATGTTTGCGTGGGTGAAAAATACGGATAATTTTCTTCCACCCTCTCACCAAAACCGCAAGTGATTGACTCTCCGCTCGATCAAACAAATAAGAAAAAGGTTGAAAGAAGAAACGAGTAATAATAGTGATATTGATAATGATGATGATGATGATAATAATAAACAAGATTTATATATAGAATTCCCCTGAACTAAAAATGATTTACTTTTAACCGTCGGAAGTGACATAGACCCATCTTCCTTTCTCGTGTCAGAATATGATAAAGATCTAAAATATTTACTGCTCGTTCCTTAGTTTTCACTCCGATTGAACGAAACCAAAAATGGTTCCCTGGGTTTTATTTTGTTGTTACTATTCTCGTTGAAAAAAAAAAAAGAGGGAGCATGAGGTACGACAAAAGTTGTCTTTGTGTAATGTAATTATTACCTTTTTCTTTTTTTTTTTTTAGTTCATCAACAAAAGAAAAAAAAAAAACTGGATGATCCATCTTATACCAGGGAAAATAAAAAAAAAGTGATGATAGTAAAAAAAAAAAAAAAAAAAAAAAATCAACTTTCTTTTTTGTTTCTTAACAGAAAAATGGAAACATCTATTTTATTATTGATTTTTTTTTTTTTTTGTTTGAGGGATAATCAGTTGGGTAACACCAAGATTAAGCTGCTACCGGGATAAGGAACAAAAATGCTTGGCATTTTGAATGCTCTTGTTCCATATTTAAAGGGCTCAATATGAATAAATTTTCCCGATATGGTATATACCATGATGGCGTTCAAACTCATTGGGAACCAAAAGCTAATAAATTTGCCCAATAAGGCCCTTTTAATGCTGTTGACTTTCTAATCTATTTTTCTTTTTTTATCTCTTTTGGATTTTAATTCATCTGATTTGGTTTTTTTTTTGAGACCTTTTTTTTTTCCTTTTTCTTTTCCTTTTTTTTTTTTTTGAATGTTGTTTTGTTAGAAAAAAAAAATGTCCACCCCCATAACAAGTGACCCAGCCCAAAGTTCTTGTAGTTATCGTTTTATCAGTAGTTCTCTTACTCACTTACCATCATCAAGGTAAAAGAAAGGTTGTATGAAATATGATCACTGATCCACTCTTTTTTATAGAGAATATGATATTACTATACGACAACAACCTGTAAGGGCTAAAATGAGCGTCATCAACGAGCGGGGTAAATAATAAAAAAAACAAGGTTTTTCTGATTTAGGTTACCTGGTATCAACTAATCCCTCTTTCCAATATTTTAGATAGACGACCTATTGAACCACCACCTATTTTACAAATGAAATGGCTTCATTGTTCTCCTGAAGAAACAAAGTAAACTTTTTTATTTTTTTTTTTTATCATTCAGTTTATATTAAACCTATACTACTATTTTTCTTTATATAGAAAGTGTCTACAAAGCCCATTTTATTTCTTAGTGGCTAATCTTGTTGATGTTGCTCATGGGAAGAATGAACTTTTATTGCCTGCTCAAGATTATTTATCTGGTACAACTGTTTCCTCTCTTTATCGTTTACGTGATATCGATAATAAAGGTAAACATATATATATATATATATATATATATATAGTTTATTAAGCTCTAAGTTATTCAACTTTTCTTTTTTTTTTTTTTTGTATATATAGATGGTGGATTCTATGTCTTTGGAGATCTCTCTGTTAAACAAAGTGGCGAATTCAAACTTCAATTTAGTTTATTTGAAATAGTAGAGTAAGTTACCAATGGATGATCATCCAAACCCAGTTACTAATCATTCAATTTTTTTTTTAGTCAAGTGGTACAGAATCGTCAAACATTATTATCATCTCCTTTTAAAGTCTATCTTCCCAAACATTTCCCTGGTCCTTTAGAAGCTACCTTTTTATCAAGAACTTTTTCTGATCAAGGTGTCAAAATGCGAATACGAAAAGAACATAGATTACAAACGTATGTTTATCATTACTATTGCTTAGTTTCAACTCATATTTACACAACCTTTTTTTTTTGTAGTACAACATCTACAACGCGTAAACGGAAAACAACGGATCGTCGATCATCACCGGCCAATAACGAAAATGAATTGAATACAAATACTGTTGAACGTGATTCCAAAAGGAAATTGACACCACCATCTTATGCACCACCGTCTCAAGATGTTCACTTTGGTCGTTTTCTTTCTGGTGTACGCAAGTCATCAACCACAGTTACTACCACTTCTACTGGATCAATGACACTAAATACGGATGCCATGGATATTGATGATCAACACCGTTCATTGTCAAATATACATTCTTCTGATACCAATCATACATCTTCCTCTTCCGATCATCATTATCAACCTTACCAACATCGTGAACCTTGGGCGGCACAGACAATATATCCATCACCACAACATTCAACTGATCTGACACCCAATCACCCTCGTCAGTTGTCAACATCATCATCGTCATCGTCTTCTGTATGGACTCAAGTACAAGCACCTCATCTTTCCTCTTCTTCTTCTTCATCATCATCATCAATGCATGTGACAACTCCACCATCACCAACTTATTCACATCATTATACATCATCACCACCAACCGTTGAATCGAAATATCAACAATCATCACCTTACTCGGTCATTCCAGTGAATACGTTGGCATCGTACCATTTATCATCGTCCAATCAACAGAAACTATCTATGCCACCAGCATCACCACCATCTTCACTCTGCAGTCATCCATCTTCATCTCTTACATCTATGTCTTCACTTATCTCTTCCGTCCAAACCACAACATCACCTCCAGTATTAACGCAGCAAAAATCATATGAATGGGGAAGTAAATTACCACCTCTACGTGCCATCATGACAGATCATCCCACAGCACTAAAGATGCATAGTCAATCTATAGATCATCAAGAAGAATTAATGACAATCGAGAAAAAACGGTCCTGCTGGCAACTACCTCCACCTACACCCATGGAACCGCATTCCTTTACCACGCCTTCGTTATTACCTCCCGTTTCTTCCACAACTCCTATTCACCACCATGCTTGATCCTTTATGATAGTTCCTTTTTTTGTTTTAATTATATAGTAACATGTCTCTCTTTCTTTTATCCTTATCCTTGTTTTTCTTTTTTCCTTGAATTGACCAAATTGTATAGACTCTTTTTTTTTTTTTTTTTTTTTTTTTTTACCTTTGTACATGTACCATCCTTTTTTATTATTATTATTATTTATTTTATTTTGTTCTTATACTTCCTTTCCCCATCTCTTATCCGCTACAATGTATTATCATGTTTTCTCAATAAAAAAACATACTTTATATGCCAATACCCTCATTTAGTTTATATATTTTCTACCAAACAAAAAGAAAAGAAAAAGTCATAAAAAAAAACGGAATAATGGACCAATCATATTTATTGATAACTAAACTATATATATAAAGCACTAACTACATCATAAAAAAAAAAAAAGATCAACGTATCAAATCAGTATCACTGGTAGATGTCTTGCTCCAAAGCGCCACTTTATGATCAAAGCCAGCAGTGTATAAGCAGGTCGCACTCAAAGTTATTGTTCTAATCATGCGATCATGAGCACCATCCAAAGTAGCTTGAATATGACCAGAACTTGTTTCCACAACCTTAACAGTATTATCATCACCACCAATCACATAAAAATACAAACCAGATGGGTGGAAAATATGACGTCTAGTGATGAATTTGTTGTCGCAAGGAGCCACATAGTAATTCTGTATTTGTTGTCCAGTCAGGGTATCCAAAAGTAAGATGCGTCCAGTATCATGATCTGTCGATACTAGCAAATAGTTTTCATAACCAGGCGCAGGACAATACGAGATCCATGTTGGACTGAACGAGACCCAATCATCCCCATTCGCATTCATGTTGAGTTTCCTTTCTTCATAAGGGACATCCTGTAATCGAATCATATGAAGGTAATTGTCGTTTTGGATCCCAGCCACTAAAACACTGGATGCGAAACAAATGGTTTCCACATTGCCAAGGAAAGAAAACTTGCCAATCAATTCATAACAAGGACTCACATCATTGTTGTCCGGAGATCTTTTATCTTGATAGATACAGAGTGTATGGTCATAGGAAGCTGTAGCAAAATAGTCACCCTTATTGGAAAACGCACCGCGCACAACATACCGTTGATGATCCTTGAACCGTTGTACCACATCACCAGAAAATGTATCTACAAGTACCGCACTGCCATCCATAGAAGTTGTCAACATGATATGGGTATAGAGAGGATGAAAATCAATACTGAGAACAGGTGCATCATGATGTGTATATATCTCGAAAGTGGAAGTAATAGTGCCTATGGTTGTCAAGTTATGAAGTTTCACTGTTTTATCCGTCGCACTTGTCGCTAGTATCCTTGATGCCGGATCCACGCATGTTGCAAGAATATTGGTGGTATGAAGTTGTGAATAGGTGTCATTCAAGGTCGTGAAAAAGTCAGAGTCACCTTGAGGTAACCTGCTACTTGTTCTACTTTTGGCAAAAAAAAAAAAATAATAATAATAATAACGAAAAAAAAAGTGAATCATGGATGGAAATAAGTGGATGGTTTTTTTTTTCTTTCCTTTTTTTTTTTTTTTTTTTTTTACCCGTTCAGCTGTAAATGTGAAAGATGAGAGGCCAAACGTTCAGCGTTTAATTCTTGATTATCATTCGCAGGAGAATCCATATTCATAGAAGCTAGTCGTCCAGCTTCACGGCGAAATGAAGCAAGTGTTTCGGAATAGCCGTAGTGTTCAAGGAATCTTGATACCAAAAGATGCGCATCTGCTGTCGATGGTAGAGTCATGGTTTGGATTCAATAGAAAAAAAAAAAAAAAAAAAAAAAAGAAAGAAACACAGGGGAGAGCGAGCATACATTTTTGATTTTGCAACGGACATTGAAAAACAAACTTTTTCTCTTTTGTTGTTTAGAGTGAAAGTTTTTTTTTTTTTTTTTTTTTTGACTCTTTTTGTTTTCTCAACGAATACTCTTCAAAATGGCCTTTCGCTTATTAACACGATCTATTGGACAGCCAGTTATTCGAACCCCTATTTCGTCATGTTTATATACCACAACATCCACTGAAGCATCATCGGCCTCCAAATTTGCTGATTCTGTCACAAAGAAGTTTATTGGTAAGAACTACCCTAGGTCTTCTAACCCATAGCTAATAAAACCTTTTTATCTATCTAAACAAAAAAAAAAAAAAAAAAAAAAAATTAATAGGTCAAGCTAAGAAAGGTCAAATAGGAAGACGATTCAATACGCCCTCGAAATTCGTCATCATTGAAGATTTACCTTCAACAGCAACCACTGAAGATGTACGAAAATTGGCCCGTGAAGCTTTCAGTCAAGGAGATAAAAGTATTCGTGAAAGTAAGTATAATATATATGTAAAGAAGGACAAATGACTTATCACTCTCTCTCTCTCTCTCTCTCCTTTTAGCTATTTTCTGTCGTAATTATGAATTCAAGTTCTTTGGTCGTTGTGTAGTAATGATGGATTCTGAAGAAAATGCTTGTAAATTATTGGATTATGGTAATCGACGCTTAGTTGGTGGACAGGCGATCAAAATGAATTTTGTAAGTAATTCATGTTAGAATAAAAGATAAATAAGATTAATATTTTTTTTTTGGATGATAGGCTGGCAATGAATCAAAAAATTCGAATGAATTCATCAACAAACTTCGACGACCAGAATTGGTCTCAATGGCAGATACTACCAGTGCAGCAGGTCGATCAGTGATTTTGACAGGACTTCCTCCAAAAACAAAACGTGACCAAGTATTAGGTATTCTTCGATCCAAGAATCTATTCCCTGTAGAAGGTGTATCTGACAATGTTATATCATTAAGAACGTAAGTAAATTGAAATAAATAAATAAAAAAGAAAGATAAGTAACATCTGTCTCTTTTTGTTGGATAGTAAGAATCAATCCACAGTATCGAAATTCTTGATCAAGTTTGACTCTGAACCTGAAGCTTGGAGGTGTGTACGGGCATTCCACAATACGAATTTCAATTTAAAGCAGAAAAATAGTGATTATCGTCTCTCCGTCTCTGTGGCCTATTAGAAATAGAATAGAATAGAATTAGAACAGTCATACTAGTTATAGATTATGAACAATCATCAAAAATAAAAGGAATATCATGGAAAACAACGTGGTCATGTTGCACATTTAAATGATCAAAATCATATGCCTTACGCGGTGCTTGAAACGCCATTTTTGCTTTCAAGCTGCATGTGATTTTGAAGGAGTGATAAGTATAATGTCTCTTTTTATTTCCATTAATTCGTTTATTGTTTCTCCTTTTTTTTTTTTTATCTTTTTCTTCTTTTTTTTTTCTTTTTTCTTCTTCTTCTTTTTTTTTTTTTCCTTCATTTCAAGTCTCATGGTTGATGTCACTTGTCATTCTTTTGATACTTGTCCTTTACGATCTTCTTCTTTATTGATCGTTCACCATGATCAACAAGTCATTGTCACTGCATCGGACGAGGTATTTGACATGCTTGGGTATCAAGCCAGTCAACTTGTCAATAAACCATTGTCCTTACTTTCCTTATCTACTATCAACAATGAAAAACGACAACATTATACCAAGACACGTCACGCCACCACCAAACAATGGGTCAAGCTTACTATGTGTGTTCATCATGATCCTTTTTCCATGTCTTCAGGACTTGATTATTGTCTTTTGGCACCGACAGAAACACTTTACAATAATAATAATAATATTAATAATAATGATCTACTTACTTCTGTCAGTTTGGTTGGATTAAATTCTTATGGAACCATTGTACATGCTTATCCAGCGACTCAATTTCCTCAAACATCATCTCTTCAACTCGTGGGTCGACCAATCATGTCTTTTATTCATACCGATGATGTACGGCCTTTATGCAGACTATTACGAAAAAGCACCACCAGTACGAACAATGGTAGAGTGGATGAATCAGTGGAAGAACATACTATGGAGATCCGATGGTTACAGGATGCAACAAATGAACGCTTTGAATGGATGAAAATCACCATTGTGAACCCAACCATGTATAATCAGCTATCAACATTGAATGGACAACCGATTTGTTTACTTCGACCTACAACAACATCGCATTATACAATGTGGCATGATATATGGTATTCTTTGGAAAATGGACGGATTTATTGTATGGAATTTGCTCAACATCTCTTGGCTTGTCTGGTGACACTGGTAAAGGATATTGTATCTACCTACTATACATCATCATCACCATCATTATCATTATCATCAAAAGAATCTGGTCAATCTCCTCTTTCTCATATCAAGGTCAATGATGGTGTCTCTATTCATTTGATCCCTTTAGTTACTCGTCTCAACACCAATAGTGATAGTCTTTATTATTTGATCTCTTCTTTCCTTAATTTGCCCATTTCCTTCTTTCCTGATAGAGCTCTTTTAGACTTATTGAAACCCATTCTTCCACAATCAAAATCTCCTTCATCTCCTTGATCATTTTTCTATTTATGTCTCTTCCTTTTTTTTTTTTTTATTTATGTCTTTTTCTTCTTTATGTATATGCTTTTTTTTTTTTGATACCCTTCATTTATGTATATGTATTTCAAATAAAATCATCATCTTTAAACTTATTGTTGATCTTCTTTTTTTTTCTTGTTATGTAAATCATTATACATCTTTGTCTTTTATTAGTATTATTTCTAGTGATGTATGGAATAAATCATCGTGGTGTTTGAAAATAAGGGGGAGACCCTCGTTTTTCATCTTAATAATCAAAACGCAAATCACGTGTAATAAATAAAATAAACTTGCAGGATGCTCTAAAAAGTAGCCTAATAATGAATAATAGCTTTTCATTGGTTAGTTTACTCCACAGTGAGAAAAAGTGTTTTGAAAAAATTAAAACCATTGTCTTTTTACATCAAATAGGATATGCACCTCTTTATACTTTTGTAATTCACTCAAAAATCATCATCATAATATCAAATTTTGATCGAACATAGATGAAAGCATTCTTTTTCATTTATCTTAATGATACTTTATATCTTATCTTTCAATTTATAAACTAAATTAAAAAACAAAAGTCAAAATCGTCATCCCTCATCCAATACTGATCATCATGCAATAAAACTACTACCATGAGATTCTTCTCTGAAAAGTAGTCAAATATCATCTAATCCTATTTTATCGCTTACCTTGCCACCTAATATGTAATAAACACCAAAAGATTTCATCTACTTTTTTCAAAAATTGCCTGATGAACCCCTGACGATTTATTTTTACTGCCAACGTTTGGCTGAGGAGTTTGAAAATTTTGGCTGTAAAATCCAAAAATCCATTCCATTTTTTCAACTCTTCATTCAAACAGAAGAGTAGACTTTTTTTTTCTTTATTTCTCACTCAAAAGCGATCATCATGACTCCAAATTTAAACAGTATATTTTATTTCGTTTTGCATAATGTCATTTATAGATTTGCAGCTGCATTGATAGAGTAAATTAAAAAATAAAAACGAAAACAGCCATTCAAAACTGATCATCATTATGCCAAACTTGGAGCCTAATATGAAATAAATCATTTTCTTGAACTTTTTACATGATCTATACAATCTCTTAATTTATAGAGTCAATTAAAAATTGATGCCCAAAATAATCCCGTCTTCCAATCAACATCATCACTATAACGGACGTTTGTAACATATAACATTTTCTTAAACACAAGTTACTGTTACATTGCTCTTTACAGTTTAAGGAAATACCAGAAGGAAGTACAACAGTTTACTTGCATAAATAGTTTTTTGTGCCTTTCATTTTGGTCATGACTCAACCAGTTCAATCTGCTGACGCGGAGAATATATATTTTTTTTTTTTTTTTTTTTTTTTTTTGCACCTTTCCTCACTTCCGTATTCTTTTTCACAAACATTGTATATTTTTTTTTAAAAAAAAAAAAACATCCAAAGAGAAAACAAATGCCTGAACTCACCGATCAAGAAAAAATAGAACGTCGTCGTCAGAAAAGACAACAAAAGATATTATCATCTGCTGGAGATCGATTAAGTCGTATTACTGGTACTGCTTACCGTAAGTCATCCGTTATTATTATTAAAAAAAATGTAAAGTAACTTATATATTTCTTTGTATATATAATATCTACTGTAGCTCATCGTGCATCACCTTCACCATCACCTTCTACATCTACGTCATCCTTAGCTAGAGGAGATTCACAGGACGTTTCTACAGCTCCACGATCCAGATCACCCTCTCCAGCCATCTTTACGCGTCCAGCTACAAGCACATCAACAGACAATGTACGATCCAGAAAACAACAACCAACCTCAGCACCTGGTACTTATATATCAAGAAGCCATGATGATGATCCTAGTGAAGCACTTGGCGCTCCTCCACCTTTAGATCCTTTTGATATGTTTAGCAGTATGGCATCAAGAAGAGGTGATGGGGATCAACCTCCAGATATCAATGATTTGCTTGGCCAAGCAGGTTTTTCTATCAATCCAGCACTTTTAGCTAGTATGACAGGGGAAAATATCAATAACAACAATACATCATCAGCAGCAATGGATCCTACTATCAAATATTGGAATTTGATCCATTTGTTATCAATGTTGATTCTTGGGTTTTATGCAGTATATATGGAATGGGCTGCGGTAGGTATGACTCGTATGGCTCAATTATTACAAGCTACTTCTAATGATATATATGGATTATCTCATTCTGGTGTTTTGGTGGTAAGATATTTATTTTTTTTTTAAAAAAAAAACATTGAATATGACTTTACTAAAAACGATCAACTCTTTTTTTTTTTTTTTAATTATTGGATAGCCCTTGTTTTGGTATTTCGCCACCATTGAATTATGTTTACAGTCGGCCCGAATGTTTTATCAACAAGTAAGGTTCAAGATCAAAGCCCAAAACAAGAGAGAAAAAAAAAGAAATACTAGCCTCAGCTCAATTTTTCTTTTTTGTTTGATCATTTCCTTTTTTGTGATTTTTAGGGAACCATGGCAAGTAATTCAACTCTTGGCGCTTTGGCAACACAATTACCTCCACCTTTGAACAACATTATCACTGTTTTTCTACGATATAGACTTATTTGGTCATGCTTGGTTCAAGATTGTTGTATATTGGTATTCATCATTGGCTTTGCTCAAGTGATTTCAGCCTTCTTTGTCTAGACTCTCTCTCTCTCCCTTGTCATATACTATTTATTCTTTTTTTTTTTTTGTTATATATCTTTTGAAATAAAAAGACAAGTGTTTTACAATTAATTTATGATAATATGTAACGTTAAATGATCGATTGGAAACAATTCTGACTACCGCAGTCTTCCTTTTTTTTTTTTTTTTTGTTGTTCGAAACATATGAGTTTCTCGGTTAAATGGTTCGATCATGTACTCAAAGTGGCGAATGAACTAAATATATATATATATATATGTATAAAGGCAGCACCCTATCATCATCCATGTTTGGATAAAGCACAGTGATATTGGTAAACCCCGGTCGAATGCGCCGCGATACCATAAAAAAAACAGCTCAATGTTTCATTAAACCTGGATTAGAATTTTAAAGTTTTCACGAGCCATGATAAGATTCTAACGCAGTGTGACCCTAATTATATATTTTGACATGCAAAAAAAAAACACTGCCAAGAATCTTTTAGTGCTCTTCTTGCATTCACAATCAGTGTAACCTATTGATTTCGCAGTTTCGGCAAGTTAAAACGCACTGAACAGGGCAGACCCCGTTTATCATAATCGAGTTCCGTCTTGGCAGAAATCATATAAACATTATCACTTGTCTAAAGTAGAAAGAAGGAAAAAAAGAGAGACCTTCCACCGTTTATCCGTTTCATCATCTATTATTCTCTTTTTTTTTTTTTAATTCATCTTATATAGCTATAGTAAAAATAAAATAAAATAATTATAAGGAACCATTGTCATCATGTGATCCTGGATAGTTATCATTAGAAAGATGGAGAAGGTTCAATTGTTTTTTTTTTTTTTTTTTGAGTAGGAAAGGTGATTTCTGAATGTCAATTCTTCAATTATGTATTTAAATAAAATTTTTATTGATCTACAAGAATAGAAAAAATAGAAACATGATATTTAGGCGCGCCACATCCAAAAAAGTCGATTTTGAAAAAGTATATATTTTGGGATCAACTGAGAACTGAGATTAAAATCATTTTCTTTTCACTTCTTCCTTCCTTAATTTTTTTTTTTATTTTATTTTATAACCCTTTCCCTTTCCCTTGTATGTTCTCACCCCCATCAAAGACATTGAAACAAGCTTTAACTACTGTACTTAATAGTGCCCAAGAATATAGTGGTGATGTTTGTTTTGTTTTTGGTAATGAACGAATATGGGCTCACAAAGGTAAAAAAAAAAAAAAAAAAAAGAAAAAAAATACTCTTTTACGATATTTCTAATCTATATTTTATGATTACAATAGCCTTATTGATAGCTCGGGTCCCAGAAGAGTTTCGTAACAAAGCCATGCCTCAATTACTTGTAGATACCACCAATGAACCTATTATGATCACTACAATATCAACACTTGTGCCTTACAATCTGTTTATTCACTTATTACAGTTTTGGTATACCTCTGACTTTTATTTCATACATCCACAAGATTCTTCAATGGACCCTGTTGCTACATCAACTCTAGAATCTATTCCAATGGAAAAACTCAAGTTGACTCATGACACTGCTCTATTGAATATACGACAATCTATAACAGCCCTTGAAAAAACTCTTCAACTTACTCTACTACCTTTGGCTGCCGACGGACTCTCTGATGAGGACCAACTTGTGGCCGACTTGACAAATATGCGACGAAATCAATTGGACTGTGATGTTATGGTGAACATATTCAAACCAAATGTTACTCGCAAGAAACAAACGCCTACAGTATCTCCCATCCCTGCCAAACCACCTATAACAACAACAACAACAATAACGACAAAACCCAGGTCCGATCCTATCACAAGTATTTTGCATACAACAACACCAACAACGACTATCAATGTTGATCATAATCAAGAAGATACAGCTTCTGTACCACTCATGATTTCCTTTCCTGTCCATCAATTTATACTTGCCTCCAGATCTTCTTATTTCCATTCTTTACTCTATGGTCAAGTATGTGAAGCTTCTCATTCAACCGTTCTTCTTCCGTATGATTTATTCTCATCTACCACTTTGGATATTATACTTCACTACTTTTACACAGATCAACTTCAAGTCCCTGACCTCCCTCTGTGTACTTCCATGTCGGCCTTCCAAAACGAAATGAATCGCAAGAAACATGTGCTGCGTGAACTTCAAAAGGTATTTCGTGCTGCTGATTATCTTGGACATATTGACTCTCTTTGTAATGCCGCTCTATATGAAATGCAATCCATTTGTCATGGTTTCAAATGTACATGCTCCTCTTGTGTGATTCTATTACCTTCCATGTTGGCCTTTGCGGATAAGCATCAATCCCAAGTTGGTCAATTACGTTCGAAACTGTTGACTCTCTATACAGAACCTATTCAAGCCTTGCCTCCTTTATGGTCACAAAAGCCTTTCTCTCTTTTGATCTCGTCTCATCTGGATAGCGATATCGTAACTGTAGGTGGTGGCAACTTTATTCTTCCAGCTTCATTACAAAGTCTTTTTTATCCAGTCTCATCATCTCCTACTTTGTCGTTATCCAATGATTCGAATTCTGCATTGACTGACAACATATCTCCGTCATCATCCTTGCCGTCTAATATCAATTTTAAATCAATTGGAAAACAACCACTGGAAACTACTAGTAGCGCGTCATCATCAGCATCATCATCAACTTCAACATCACCTGTTTTGAATAATTCATCATTACCAACAAAATCGTCATCATCATCATCATCATCATTACTAGTAGATATGGTTTCCATGACTTTGATCAATATTACCAAACGGAATGCCATTCATGTGTTACACTCGGTACACCTTTGTCTATCCAAAATCCGGAGCGCCGATCCATTTCCTACTTGGTCTCAGCCTTCTCTTGCTCTGATACACGCCATTCTTCATCATACGGTATCCATGGTGTCGTTGAATTTCGATTATTATTGTGTAGAATATCCTATTCTTTTGTCTTGTGTGGATGGAATTGGAGGTGCATTCTCAGTGGACTTTTTGGATTTTTTACTGAAACGGATTCTCAACAATGGTATTCAAGATTCTAATGCGGCAGTACTTTATCAAGGAATTGTGCGGGATTTGATTGGACGACAAGAAGTGGTGAAGAATGTTGCTGTAGATGGTGTACTTCTTGAAGCAAGACAACAATGTATAGATTATTTGTCTCATCGATGGATTGGTGTCAAGGCTCAAGGTGGATTTCAAAATATTGATAAAGAAACTTTAAGGATGATGGCAGATGGTAAATAAATAATATTCATATAAACTTATCATTATGATTTGGATGTAACTTTTTTTTTCTTTCTTTTTAGATATCAATATTCCTTATCGTACGTTATCCAAACCAATTGAATCTGAATTCTCAGCCATGTTTAGTTTCAAGCCAAAGTCAAGTACCAAACAAAAATCAATAGATGGGGAAGGAATTGGAAAACAAGGCAAAGGCATTCCACCTGTCATGGCAAATAACAACAACAGTGTGGATATGACAACAACTTCTTCTGCAGCGATTAAATCAAGACGGCGATTATCTCTTAGTTCTCTTCGGTATCCACGATCATCATCCAAGAATAGCAACAACAATAATAATGGCAACAGGGCAAGTGCAGAAGTACGTGGATGGATGGATTACTTGATATCGACTGACAACAACAGCCATGCCAATGAATCAACCGATTTTGACGATCATCATAGTTTATCGGACAATGACGCAGTGATGAATACAAACCAATCATTCCATCGACATTCATCCTTACAACCAAAACGACGCATACAACATATCAATCGGGGCACTTCTAGTACATCCTTGACTGATGTTTTGCTACCAGTCGATGTTTCACCTTCCACCATCTTACCAACGACGACATCATCACCCAATAGTCAACCACAGGATAATGTTAGGAACGATACCACCGCTGAATCAGAGGTGCCAGGTCCTCGTAAATCAAGATTAACATTCGAATTACCAGAGACTCCTATTCGGGCCAAGTTTGCTACAACACAAGTATCAACAACAAAATCATCCAGTCGACGACGTCGGCGGACAAGATCACCAAAACATAAATATCGATGGGGACTTGGAGGATCTAAAGACAGTGCTAGTGATAGTGATGAAGAAGACGATTCTCAAGCAGGAATGCCCATTGTAGGTGCCAAGGTGGAATTATTACGAAGACCTTTACCAACATTGGGACGAATCAAATTTATTGGCAATGTACAATTCTCAAAAGGAACTTGGGTTGGTGTAGAATTGGAAAGTCGTTGTAAGTTGGATGAAATACTCAATCACTATTAGAGACTCACCTTTTTTTTTTTTTGTTAGTGGGACAAAATGATGGTTCTGTGGATGGTATACGATACTTTCAAACGGATCCTCAACGTGGTATTTTTGTCAAACCTGATGGATTAAAACTAATCCCCTCTCCTTCAAAATCTTAGTTTATATTATGCTATACGTTTTTTTTTATATATATCTACACCCTATGATACCAATCTCCTCTTTCTCCCTTCATTTCTTTCATTTTTTTTCCTCTATGTCTATTTCTGTATGTTCTTACTTTTTTTTTGTGTATTATGATTTTTGAAAAAAATAAAAAAACCAGCATTACGTTCTATAAATTTGGCATGAAGCGCTCATTGAAATCCTTTCTTATTCACCTGACCTGAATCTTTTTCTCCTATTTTTCTTCTTCTTTCTTTCATTTTATAGCATGTCGTCAAGTAAACAAGTATGCTCATTACCGTCATCTATCTTTAACAAATCGATACCTGATGTGGAGACAACTCAACTACCTGGTCTTTACACAACATTGGAAGCCCTTTCTCAACAACTACATAATCATCATCAGTTACCAAGAGGTACACCTACTAGAACAAGTATAGAGCGGTTTGAAACTGCATTCAAAGCTGCAAAAGTAAGTTCATTATGTTTTTTTTTTTTTTTTTTTTGTATAAAACCATCTTTGGATATCTTACTTTGTCTTTTTTTTTTTTTCTCCTTTGGTATCAAGGCAATAATTACTGATCATGATAGCGATCCACAAGAAAAACAAATATCGCACCAAACTACAATACGAATAACCAAAAATCAACTACTAGGTACAATAAGTGACCAACAAGGATCCTCAGTACCATCTTCGCCACTATTACTCTATTCTTCTTCTTCTTCAGGTTCCACTTGTTCAAACTCTCCACTTCTTGGTTCAAATTCACCTTCCCTTCAGGTAAGATCTTTTATTATTATTATTACAACCAATAAATCCTATAGTAAGGTAACTAACATCTAAATATATCAAGGATGATTCATCTCTTTCGACTTATTCAGGGGAATCGCATCATGACAAGGATGGTGACACAAATCAACAACATCGGATGATCAAAAGGAAAAAAGAAGCATCAGACAAGCAGCAACAACGAGTATTACGACAAAGACGACCGCCATCCTCTCCAATATTGGCTACCAAATCGTATTGGCCACGTCGTTCTTTATCAAACAAAACGATAATGGTGAAGATACCACTTTCTCAAGATGATCGTCCTATTCGTCAAGTTCAATTTGGATCCCATCTTATTGACACTTGGTATCGTGCACCTTATCCTGAAGAATATAGTCAGATCGATGTATTATCTATTTGTGAATATTGTCTCAAGTATATGAAAAGTGATTTCGTAGCTAAAAGACACAAGGTAAAAAAAAAAAAAAAAAAAAAAAAAAAAAGGAAAAATGAGACTATTCAACCGTTTTATTTTTTTTTTTTTTTTAGGAAAAATGTTTTATGAAGCATCCACCAGGAAATGAAATCTATCGAGATGGACCACTGTCTATATTTGAAGTGGATGGTCGGAAAAACAAAGCAAGTAGATCATATTTTTTTTGAAAAAAATATCTTACTCCTCTCTTTTCCTTTCTTTTCTTAGATCTATTGTCAAAACCTTTGCTTGTTGGCCAAACTCTTTTTGGATCATAAAACACTTTATTATGATGTGGAACCATTTCTCTTTTACATTCTAACTGAAACTGACCATCATGGATGTCATTTTGTTGCCTATTTTTCAAAGGTAAAAGCCTCATATATATGAATTATATATTAATGCTTTTTTTTTTTTTTAATAGGAAAAAAAGTCGGCTTTTGGATATAATCTTTCTTGTATCATGACACTTCCTCCTCATCAAAGAAAAGGCTATGGACAATTTTTGATTGATATTAGTAATTCAACAATAAAAAATGAATTTATTCATTACTGATCTTTTTTTTTTTTTAGGTTACTTACTTTCTAAGAAAGAACAAAAACCAGGATCACCTGAAAAACCATTATCCAACCTAGGATTATTAAGTTACAACAAGTATTGGACTCGAGCTATCATGGACTATTTATCAACGACAGAAGATCAACTTTTATTAGAGACAACCATTGAAGGTAAAAATGGCTTGTTTTAATGCTGTGTTTAAACTCTATTTTTCTTTTTTTAGATATTAGTCGGCATACAATGATGACAATGGATGATGTGATAGCTACTTTGGATCGACAAGATATGTTGAAAAAGAATGAACAAGGACAGTTTGAATTGACGGTCAAATCGGATAAAATGATAACAGCAACCGATGTGATACGAGCTCGACAAGAATCTTTGACGTGGGTGCCTTATTGTATATGAATTTTCTTTTATTCTCATTTATTATTATTATTAGATCTATTGTTTTTTATTATTATCCTTCTTGATTTGATATATTCCCTATTTTATTCCATTGACAATAAAAGAATCCTTATACATATAGATATGATGTTGACATTTTAGGCTTTTTGTTTTCCCATAATGACCACTTCGTTTTCCGAATGATGAGCGTGTGTGTGCACGAGCTTAATAATCAGAAGTCGGTTAAATTATTTTTTTTCATGTGTAACTGTTGTAGCGTTGCTTATTCTATGGATCATGATTTATTCATTTGTCCTTGTTTTTCTTCCTTTTCTTTTTTTTTTTTTTTTTTTTTTTTTTTTGTATAGATAACCTATTTAGCATAGAAATTGATTTCATGGCATCATCACCTAAACGACCATCCATCGAAGCGGATACCATCACATCCCCACCTTCTTCTACTCACAATACCATCCATTTCGAAGATCAGTTAGAGAATGCTGTTTCCGACAAAAAGCAAGAAATAGAAACAATCAAAGTAGCCGTTCAAGGAGAAGGTCTGATAGACAATCCCAAAGGTTGGATGGTGGTATTCTCCACTTTTTTGGTGAATTTCTTTTGTTTCGGTGTTGTTTTCCAGTAAATTACAAAATATATACCAAATTAGATGCTCAACCTTTTTTTTTTTTTTTTTTTTTGTAGATGGGGCAATTATCAACAATTATATCTTGAAATTTATGCTAAAGACACAGATACTTTCCGTATCTCATTTGTAGGCACAATAGGTTCATCCGCTTTATTATGTAGTGGTGTCTTTTTGACTCCAGTGATTCAAAAACTAGGCTACCGTAGATGTATGGCTATTGGTTCTGTTCTGTGTCCTTTAGGTTTAGTATTGTCGAGTTTAGCAACAAGTTTATGGACCATCTATTTGGCGCAAGGTTTGTTGTTCGGGGTATGAAAATATAGAAAACGCAAATATAATTATTATATAATGCGTTTGCCTTTTTTGTTTCACTCCTACTCATTCTTTTTTTTTTTTTTTTTTTTTTTGGGATCAAAAGATTGGCGCAGGATTATGTTTCGCCCCATCCATTGCTTTACCGTCTCAATGGTTTAACAAGAATCGATCTCTTGCTACAGGTAACACATGATGAATGAAAAAAAAAAATCTTAGCTTGGTTTTGTACCATGGATGACTTACTCGTGTTACCTATAAAAAAAAAAAGGTTTAGCGGTATCAGGCAGGTAAACTTCAAAGTAGAATTTCTATATCTGGATATCTGATTTTTCTATTTTTTTTTTTATTTTATTTTATTATAGTGGTATTGGTGCCGTGGCCATTTCACCCATGACGGAACGTTTGTTTTCAACATTAGGTTATCGCAATACATTACGAGTGGAAGGTGCCATGGGTTTTGGGATTTTGATGTTAGCAACAGCAATGGCGTTTTCTCGCTACCGACCGGCCGGCACATTTAGTATTATTGATACTAAATTATTGACAAAAGATATGTTGATCACCATTCTGTTTTGTGTGATCATGCCTTTTGGTTATTTGGGTCCTTTCTTTTTGGCCCCTCAATATGCTTCGTTTTTACATAGAACTCCTGCTGAAGGTGCCGCTTTGATCTCTATTATGTCTGGAATGAATAGTATCTCTCGTATTGCCATGGGTTTTATTGCTGATCGTCTTGGAAGAATCAATACCATGTTTATGTGTACCTTTTTAGCAGGTAAATCAAAAAAATAAATAATAAAAAAACAGTAAATCAAAAAAATAAAAAAAAAATAAAAACAAAGATCTCAAAGATGGATTATATTTATATATTTAGGGATTTTCACCATGGTGGTTTGGGAATTTTCAACAAGTTATGGTCCTTATATCGCTTATTGTGTACTCTATGGTCTTACTGGGGGTGCCTTCGTCTCATTGTTGCCAGTATTGATTGCGGATATTGTTGGTGTAGAAAATATTCAAAGAGGCATTGGCATGTCTTACACTGTAAATTCATTATCGAACATCTGTTTATCCCATTATGACTTCTTACTTCTTTTCATTTATTGATAGATGACTGTGTTTGGCTCTTTATTTGGAACACCATTGATCGGTTTATTGTTACAGAGGTACGGATGGACAGATGCTATACAATTTTGTGGCGCTACTACAGTGTTCAGTTCCTTGGTTGTGTTGTATTTACGATATTTACGTAGCAATGGAAAAATATTCCTTATTATTTAGTATAGAGCGACTTGATTATCCTAGTTACATTACCCATCATTCATCAATCCAATAAAATATCCATCATTTTATATCAATTTATATGTTTCATTTCCCATGTGGATAGAAATTCCTATCTCAGGGCATTGGCCTTTCTCGGCAAAGGCTTTCAGGGCAACTGGTGTGAATCAGAGAGTAATGTCTGAAATAGAATGGAATCTATTTATTCTTAGGCAATCATGAATCTAAGAAGCTATGATCTTGAGATACACTCAAAATGCACCAACCGTGCGTCGATTTTTTTTTTCTTGAGCATACCTTTATCTTTTTTTTTTTTATGGTACATCTCAACTGAATCATACAGTGGATCTGATGATTCATATTTATCTTGAACACTGATATATTGTAACCAATGATAGGAAAATAATCTTCTAATTTACCTTTCACAAGGAATCTAGATACATCAGCAGCTTCAACGTCAATGATATCCTGCATCATATTGAGCATCTCGCATATCCAAGCTTTACACAAAGTCATTGCTTACAAGACGATCTTACTTCACAGATAGAATGTTCGTTTCGGTGTAAGTAATCGAGTCAAACGGGTTTCATTTAAATTGCTTAATTGGTCCTATAAAAAAAAAGGCAGAGAATCAAGAGGTTTTTATAAAAGATGGATAATGGACTTTTTATTTGAATTAGCACATGAATAAACAGAGTGTACAGATTATATATAAAGAGTAAACTATAAAAGCTAATCACGATGATATAATTCTTGGATAGAGCGCTTTTTGCGCCTTCCTGGAGGCCGTAGAGTTCGATTTTTGTTGTCTGATGATGTCCCGTTTAGCTCCTTTCTAAGTTGTTGTACAAAAAATAAGAGGCCAGTCATTCATCCGTTGTTCCATACTCCTTCATTCTTTGCTTGTACTTCTTCTTTTTACCTTGGGCTTTGTTGCTGCAAGGGAAACAAGACCTACAAAAAAGATAATATGAGTTTTTTTTTTTATTTATTTCGACTCTTTTCTATTCCATTCTTACCATGGTAAAATGCTCCAATGACTTCTAGCTTGTTGACAGCGTCCGGATTCCAATCAACAGAAAGGCAGAGCTCCATCGACATTTCACAAAGTGATTTTGGATGCTTGAGAGATGATTCGTAAGGATACTTGGCGTCAAGACCATCACGGTAGGAGCAGGACGTTTCGTTAGCGGCAAAGTCCAGAAGGTGCCCACTGATATGTGACAAGACAATAAAAGACAATTAGAAGCATAAAAGAACCTATTTTTATGTTTATGATCACTTATGCTTTCAATAGAAATAGGTTCTTTAAGTGATCATAAACAGCGTCAGGATTGCAATTAACAGAGAGAGAGAGCACGATTCAATACAAAAAATAAAATAAAAAAAAAATGAAAAATGAAAAATAAAAAATAAAAAAGATTAAGGAAGAATAAAAAAAAGTGGTAAATTCTTTCTTTTTTTATCAAGTTGTCGGATGATGAAAAAAAGGAGATTACTTTTTCTATGGTAGATTGGTCCTTTTTCATGAGGATGCTAAGAATAAAAGAGGTGTGAACTTTTTTTTTTTATCAGTCATTGAACGACGATGATTGTTTCTTCTAGGGCAGATTGGTTCTTTTTCATGAGGATACTAAGAATAAAAGGGGGTAGTCCTTTTTATCAGTCATCGGATGATGATTACCTTTCATTGATGATAGAAAAAAGAAACATTGAAAAGAAAAGGAGCTTGCCTTTTCTACAGTAGGATAGAAAGAGATGTGGATTATTTTTTTTTATCAGTCATCGGATGATGATTGTTTTTTATTTACTAAACAAGAAAAGATGATGATAAACAATACAGAAAAAGAACAGGTTTTGCAGTTGAGAATAATCAAATTATTGATTAATCTATGATCATTAAGAAGACTGTAATAAAAAAAAATAAGAAAGCTTCTATTGATATCATTAATCATCAATCATCCATTTCCCTAATAATAATAAAAAAAGGAATCACCGCAAATATATTCAAACCTCAACGCCAACCATATCGCAGAAAAAGAAAAAATAAACGCATGAAAAAAAAAACCAGTGAGTAATGAACAAGACGGTTTTATTTATATCTTTGTTCGTTGTCTTGCTTGCCGACCTGACTGATATTGCCATCTCGCTTTCACTTTTTCAATATGCAGTGGAAAGGACGCGATCTTCAAAAACATCCGATGCTTGCAATACTATGGTAGCAATAATAATTACAAAGATCTCTCTTTGGGTATCAAAACACGACAAAGCAACTACTGGATTCATTTTTGGCATGACCTGACTTGACCTGACCTGGTCTTTACTCCATATGGTAATTGTAATAGTAGTATTAGTAGTAGTTGATCATATGACCTATTTACATACGCAGAAATAAATATCATCATCATTATACACTTTATTCAATAAAAAATGACGGAATTCAAAGAATAAGATGACGCAAAAATAGGAAATAAAATATCGTAAGGATAGAAAATAAATGACAGAAGAAAAAAATATAATTGTCGCATAATCAAATAGAGAATATAAGAAAATAGATATCATGAAAAAAAAGAGCAATCAAAAAAAAATAAAAAGAAATCCACCAGTTGAGTTCATCAAGTTAACATATATAAAAAAAAATAAAAAATGAGTGATGTTTATCCAGATAAAAATATTTCACTAGCTTACCATTTAAGTGTAACGAGATCGCTGCATCGCTGCAACGAAAGTAGGTACCTGGCGATAACCATCCCGGAAATTGTTAAATTGTTAAGTTGTTAAATTAATTGAACCAACGGTGATTAAACCATTAAAGAATACTTGTAAATAAAATTATAGACAACGGTGATTGAACCATTAAAGAATACTTGTAAAGAAATTTATAGACAACGGCTATTGAACCATTAAAGAATACTTGTGAAGAAAAAGATAGGCAAAAAAAAAAAAGAAGAAGGCAGACCAAAAAGCAGGCAGGTAAGCCAAAAGGCAGACCCGTAAGATGAATGTAATGTAAAGAAATAAAAAAAAGTTAAATCAAAGAGATCCTTTTATAAGAAAATGAATCACCCCTGCAATTATGAGCTAATTTTAGTAGATAAAATGATGAGACAAGATGTAAGCGAGTTTTATCATCTTTTTTTAAATATTAGCAACATTTCTATCTTTATATCGTATCTAATTCATCATCATTTTTTTTTTAGTATTAACAACATTTCTCTCTTTATATTGTATCTAATTTATCATCTACTTTATTATTTTTACTTTCTACTTCATCATTTTTTTTTAGTGTTAGCAACATTTCTCTCTTTATAATAAAGTTAATTATATAAATGTTCACATTAAGTTCTATTATTACAATATCCATGTACTAAGTGATACATGATACTGACTTGTTTTTGTCGTGTTTTAGTTTAATGACCAGATTTCTTTTTTTTTTTTTTTTTAGTTGTTCTATTTTAAATGATAGTATGATTGTGCACAGCATACTTATTATTGCCATTTTTTAATTTCCCTTGATGTGATGAATCATCATTATTATATTGATTTATCATGTTGGCTGATAAAAGAGTGTTTTGACATTTTTCAAAGAAAAAAAGAAAAGAAAAAGAAAATGTTGTTCTGTCAGAAGGTAACTAGAATGAAGTATTTTGTATTTTAGCAGAAATTTGTACAGCGATTGACGACAATGTTTCATCATCCATCCTGTAATCATCCAATATACAATCATCCGTTATCACATATCATCAATCATGAATCATCGATCATGAATCATCAATCAATTGATACCTAAAAAAGAATGGACAACACCCAAAGCTGCTAAAAATATGAAAAGCCTATGTTACTTTTCTTTTCTGTCTTTTATTATTAATAAACAAGTTATCATCAATGTGTTGTGTGTTTTTAATGTACTCTACCGACATCTCTAGAGCGATATCTGAAAAAGTGGTAATGCGCCATTCATTTTGGGAAAGTACGATATTTTATTTTATAACATCACGAAAAGCATTTTCTTGTGACACGACAAAAAACTTTGAAAACACTGTATAACTATAGTAAGCTTTCTTTTTTTTTTTTTTTTTTTTTTTTTTTTTTTTTTTTTTTTGGTTTGCTTCCGAAGAGTAAACTAGATTGATTTTATTCCGATGTTTCTTGATAGAAGAATGTGATATATAGTATAATATTATTTTTTGGGTGATGATTTTCGGAAAGTTCTACAATTTGAGATAAAAGTAACTCTAAATAGGTAATCAAAGTATTTATTTTGGACCTTTTTATAGATCTCTCTCTTTCTTTCTGTATAAATAATTTTAATAAACTAAAGGTAATAAATTAACTATAGGAAAAAAAAAAAAAAAGGAAGCTCTTCCCAAAAAGGATTTGTATCTACCTATGTGACAAAATTAGCACTACGGACTTTAAACACATGAGATTTTGGGTTGTTGAAAAGTACTTCTTTCTTTTTTTTTTTTTTTTTTTTTTTCTCCTTTTTCCATCTCTTCAATCTATTTATACTTTTTTTCACCTCCTTTGTATTTAAACTATTGACTCAATGAACCGAACGAGAGGGAGAAGTATCTCTCAAGCTCAAGACGATGTGGTAAGACTCCTCTTCCCCTTCCCCTTTTTTAAATTCATCTTCCTAACTGACTTCTATTTTTTTTTTTTTTTTTTTTTGCAGGTCCTGAATATTGAGTCACATCTTGATTTTGTGAAAAGAGTATTAAAATGGAGCATATCTGACCTTGATCGTTTCATTACTTTATTACGTGCACGGTAAGACCAACTATTTTGTTATTCTGCAAGAAACTTATTGTTTTTTTTTTATGGTTAGTATCGCAGCCGAAGAAGCATATAGTTTATCTCTTTCCAAATTGACGCGAACCACTGAACCTACCGAAACGACTCCTTTGTTTGGTGAAAAACAACCCTCTTTTCTATGTGCTACCTATTACTATGAACAAAGCATTGAACATACTATTCAACAAAGAAAGGAACTTATTCAAGGTATACGACTAGAAGTTGATAAATTAGTTTTGGTCAAGGAAAAACAAGAAAGTAGACGGAAAATAGTGAAACAAGTTCAAGGGGAAAAGAATGCAAATTATACTGGTTATCGAACTGGTGAATTGGTCAAGGTAAAAGTATCTATACTTTTTAACGATTTATTTCTAATCTTTTCTTTTTTTTTTTTTTTTTTTTACTACTACTACTATTATTATTATTTTGAATAGCTCAAAAAGGCATACTCCAAAAAGTGTAATGATCTTCAGGTAGCTCAACAACAATTTGAACAGCAACAGCAGCAGCAGCAGCAGCAACAACAACAACAACAACAGCAACAGCAACAATACCAACATAGTTATGATGACACTAATTTGATCAATGATTACCTTCCACCTCAACATACTCATCGACGTTCCTTTGAAGAATCAAAACGATTGTCTACTGATAGTCTTGATAATGATGCTTCATCTGTCCATTCTTTGTCTCATCAAGATAGTGCTTATAAGAAAGGTATGGCGAACTTTATGGCTTCTGTGGCTCAGGTTCGTACTCAATTTGCAAACGTGGCACAATCTGCTGGTAATACTGACCTCAACAAGCAAAATACCAAGTATGCAAAATTCAAAAAAGAAATTATGGACGCTGGTAAGAATAATGAAGGGAAAGAAAAAAAAAATGAACAAGACTGAATTTTTGTTTCAAGATCATGAATATAGAAATGGTATTCGACAATTGGAAAGATTACGAAAACAACAAGTTAGTGGAGCTATACAAGCAATGAAAGTAATACTATATAGATGAATGTATGTAGAAAAATGATTGATTTTCTTCTTGTTTTTTTTCTATTAGCAATTGGAAATTGCAATCATTGACAAGGCGGAAGTGACACAGTCTTGTCTATGCGGTATTCTTGATAAGGAACGTTTTGTACTCTCCAATGAAATCAAGGTAAAATGGTTTCCTTTTTTTTAAAAAAAAATGGTATACTTATTTATATTCTTATTTGGTGGATCGGCATAGACAAACGAATTATGTCAACGTTACGCCATTGAAATCAATGCTGAAAAAGATTTCGCTGCATTCAACAACCAATACAAGAAATTGCCATTCCGAACTCCAGAGCCATTATGTTACGAAAACTACTATCTTGGCCCATGCAAATGTAAGTTTTCTGATTGTAAAAAAAAAAAAAAAAATTAGGAAAAGAGTACTTATTTTTTTTTAAAATGTAGATATTCTATTTGGTGGATCTTTAATGGAATATCATTCTGAACATGATCGAACTGTACCTTTACTTGTGACAAAGTGTGTGGAAGCTGTGGATAATATGGGTTTACAGAAAGAAGGTATCTATCGGGTATCAGGACGACAAAGTAACATTGAATCTTTGAAGCATGCATTTGAACAAGATGAAGGAATGGAAATCGATCGAAAGTACGATGTATTTACTATTGCGACAGTACTCAAAATTTATTTACGCCAATTGGAAGAACCTTTATTGAAAATTGATATGGCAACTCGGGTGAAATATACTGGTAAGTCAATGATAAAGAAGAAAAAAAAAAAGAAAAAGAAAAAGAAAGGAACTAAAGGTATGTGATTTGTATAGAATTGAAGGATAAGCAACGTCAATTGATGTATTTACAAACTATGTTATCTGGCTTGGCAAGACCTCATCGTGATACTCTTCTTACAATTATTCGTCACCTGGCCAAGTATGATGAATCTATTTTATAATGAATGTTCTTTTTTTTTTTTTGTTAATATATTGATGTATTCGATTTAGGGTGAATGCCAATAGTCATATCAACAAGATGAACCTACAAAACCTTAGTGTAATATTTACTCCTGCTATCTTCCATGACTTTAATCAAGCTGAAAATCCGGGTGAATGGCATACCGACACAGTATTTGAAGATTTGGTGACTTATTATGATGCTCTATTTGCTAATGCAGAAATTCAATCAAGGGCAAAAGCTGGACCTCAACCTCCTATTACTATCAAAACCAATCCATCTGATTACACAACTGCCCCTAATTCCACTAATCTTCTTTTGACTGCTCCTATGGGTCCTCCTCCAGTAATAGCGAATGAACCTCCCACTCCATCAAGCAATCGATCAGCATCATTGGCAGCATTGACTCGTACTGGTTCACTTCGTCCCTCTCATGGATCATCTATGCAACAGCAAACAACAACAGCAACATCTAATATCCATGATTACCATCATCAACAGAATTACTACAATGTTGACACACAACAACAACAACAACAACAGCAATACCAACAGCAGCAGCAGCAATACCAACAGCAACAGCAACAACAGCAATATCAACAGCAAAATGTAACAGCGCATCATCAATATCAACCATCATATCCTTATCAGCAACACTCAACACCAATATATCAGCAACAGCAACAACAACAACAACAACAACAACAACAACAACAACAACAACAACAACAACAACAACAACAACAACAAATATCTCATCATCAACAACAAACTTCTGTTTATCAGCAACCACCACAACAAACTCCAATTTATCAACAACAAATATCTCAACAGCAGGCAAAATCATCTTCTTCATCATTACCATCCCAACAGCGATCTTACAAGCCACAACAATCAGAACAAATAGCATCAACAGTACCATCATCTTCTGAGAAATCGCAACGATCTGGTCATGCAACGTATATACCAAAGTTACAAATGCAAAACTTGACGATACAGACGGAGAGTAATCGATGTGAAACTAGCGATGAAAAAACGATAGAAGAGGATGAACAATTGGATGAAGATCGACAATTACGATCACCTATGGTAGATGAACTTCGTGGTACAAAGAAAATGGCACCACCTAGACAAGATTCATTACGTACGATCAAAGAAGGATCATCTGGGCCAATGACAGCATCATCAGCAAATAGTAGCACTAGTAGTTTGGCAGCAGCAGTAAATCATACAGCTAATATGGTAGCGGCAGGTTCATCAACATCACCATCATCATCCACTCCTCCTTACAGCACGGTCAACAACGGTTCGCGTGCGCAACCTGTTCCCCCTTCCGCCTCTTCCGCCTCTCAACAGCATCACCACATGCCTCAACCTGTTGTGATCGCCTCTCAGCAACATTTTCCTTCAAGTGCACAAATTGTTCCTACTTCCTCTCCCATGACCCCTGGACCATCCGATTCAACCAACTAGATCCCTTAGTTATATATACATATATATATATATATATATATAACCATCTTTTGTCTTACTCCTTTTTTCCCTTCATCATTGCTTCTTCTTTTTTTTCTTCTTCTTCTTTTTGGTTATCATACCTACTTTTATATACACATATATATATTACTTTTGTCTTCATTTTTCATTTTCCCCCCTCACTTTTTTATATTGTCCCTTTTTATATTCATATATAATAAATGTAAGAAAACTGTACCAATTTTTTTTTGATTCATTATATAGTTTCTATTTTTGATTGGATTATTTTAGATCGATCAGTGTTGTCCAAATTTAACATGTCATTGTTACAAATAAAAGCATGATCGGTCTTCTTTTTTTTTTTTAAAAAAAAAAAAAAAGATCAATAACATAATAAAAGAAAAAAAAGGGGGAGACGCCTTTCTGATCGTCTTTTGTTATGTTTGATGTTTTACACGTGGATAGAGGATGGAGAAAAAAAAAGATTATATACATATATATATATGTCAGTCAACCCTATCTACATACATACATTGAACTCTTCTTTTACATCCTTTTACATATAGAACACTTGTAAGAGTTTAAGCCTCCGCGGAGGGTCCCTCATCCACAATATCATTAAAAAAGATGACTACCAGTTGAATTTTTTTTTTTTTAATTATAAAGTACAAGCGGTTATAAATGGTAGTACAAAAAGATCAACCACACGCTTTTTGTGTGGCCATACTTAAATTCATTTTGTCATTTCTATTTGTTGTTGTTGTCAAGACTCAAAAAGAAATTACAACACCAACATGAAAAGAAAAAGAATAATTCTCAATTTCTTCAGTATCTATGTTGATCCCTTATCTCCTTTTGAGAATCACAAAAAAAAAAAAAAATCTAAATAAATCATGTATATAGGAATAAATCGTTAGATGAAAAGGGTCATGGGTTTAAATCGCCGTTCAAGGGAGGGGGGGGAGAGGAGGTACCAGGAAGTGGATGATGGGATACCAAGGTCCAAGGTGCGCGCGAGAGAGTGTGTTGCTAACTAATAGCCGATTTAAATGGCTTATTCCTTTGAAATAAAAATGATTTTGATTATAGAAAAGGAAAAGTACTTTAAGAGGGTTATTTTGTCAATAAAATAGTAATAAAAATAAAAATAATGAAATCAACATGGATACCCATTTTCATCATTACCTTCCATCTTAGATTTTGAATTTTAAATAGCTTGTTGTGTCACTGTGGAAAACGGAGCATCATCGCGTTTTGAAGAGAGAGAGATAGAGAGGAGGGGTAAAGGAAAAGGAGGGCGTGCGTGGACCGATTACCAGAAATGGAATCCCGGTTTCTTTATATAAAAGACAAGAAATCCTCCTCCTCCTTCTTTTTTCCATTTCTTTCGCTCTCTCTCTCTTTTTTATTTTACTTCTTTTACTTTCTTTTTTTTTTTTTCTTCTTTTCTTCACCATTCTTATCTGCTTTTTTATCTTCGTCTCATGGTTCAACCTGATGCAACCACCAATGCTACTACCAGTTTTCAAGGTTGGCTCATGAAACAAAAACATGGTTTTTGTCGGACATGGCTCAAACGATATTTTGTTTTACAAGGAAGAGAATTATCTTATTATCGAAATGAGGTAAACTTCAAGTTCACTACTTTATATATATATATATATATAGATAAAGAATATCATTGACTCTTTTTTTTTTTTTTTGTTTAGACTGACAAGTCACCTCAAAATGTACTCGATTTGGATCATTATACTATTTCATTTAAAAAACAATCACGTCGAAATCGAATATTTGTCTTGGTAGCGGATGAACACCATATGCAACCGGATTATTATTTACAAGCAGAATCAAGAGATGAATTGGAACTGTGGGTCAGTCATTTACAACAACATATGTCCACAAGTAGCGTTTTGGATAAATGGTTAGAAAGATTGGATATGTCGTCTTCATCTCAGCATAAAACTGGATCGTGTACTTCACTTCATGTACCTTCTGGTCATCATCAATATCATCAACAACATTCACAACAACAACAATCTTCTATACGATCACATCGCTCAGTTGAATCCATCCATACCTTTTATTCTCTGCCAAGTGAATCACATCGTGTCTCGTTCACCAATGATCGACGGCCTTCTTCTCAATCAACACATAGCAACAGTAGTATCATTAGTAGTCTCAGTCATGCCAGTAACAGTACAGCCAATACGACTCCTATTACTCCTTATCGAACCATGACTCCATCAATAACTACTTCTGCCACCACTTGTTCTTCATCCTCTGTGTCTTCGTTATCTTCATCATCAACATCTATCAATGGAAGCAAATTTTTCTCATCGCGACTATTTTCAAGAAAACAATTTCATCCGTCATCCCCATTGGATTCAACCCCTACTACGGGAGCCACCAATATGATGTCTCCTTCAACTCCATCACTTGTCATAGCCGCCACCACCACCACCACCACCACTGCCTTCTCCTCAACCGATACCTTGGATGATCAGCAACATGATCAAGAAGTTCAAGATTGCCACCATCAACAAGAACAAATATCATCATTGGAATGTCAACAAAATAAAGATACATCAGTGGATCTTCGTTTATTCTCTTCATGTCCCAGTCCTTTATTGGTTACTCCTATTATCCATCCAAGTGAATACAACCACGATGATGATCCTCAAGAACGACTGAAACTTCGCCAACAACAGCAACAAGATGTACCTTTGCCTCGTGGTCACTCCTGTTCGAATCTTCAACATCCTTTGGGTCAACCTACCCTTTCTACCTCTTGATTCTTCTTTTGGTTTTTTGTGTCTTTCGTTTGGTTTCTCTTTCCCATCCTTTGAATCTGTTTCTTTCTTTTATTCTTATTATATTTATTATTCTTATTATTACTATTAGTTTTTATTATTATGCTGTGGGAAATCCTTTTTTTTTCTCTCTTTTATATATACCAATTACCCCTCTACCCAATTCTTTCCTCCCTCATCCTGTCCTCCCCCCCCCACCTCTCTCTCTCTTTCTCTCTTACATCATTATCTCCTTTTTACACGTTCTTATCACATCCAATCATCCTCTCAAATTTACCCTATTAATATAGTATTATTTAGTGTTCTTTTTTTTTTTTCTGTGTGTATATCTTTCCATGCCTTCATCATCGTTAGCTTTATTTACTTGATTCCATCATTCTCCCATTCCTTCCTCCTTTTTATATATATATATTTATAATATATAGTTAAAATCATTTACCTTTTTTTTTTTTTTAATAAACTCTCGCTGGTTGGAGCTTTATGAAAAAAAAAGTCTATTTTTATAACAACGATTGTTTGATGCTTAATATTATATGCGATTTATGGTATTGATCTATTTTCTTTTTCTTTAAAAAAAAAAGATAAACGTTTGATAGGAAAAATATTGTTATCTTTTGATTATTGGATAAATGATAGGATAATAATAGCAGTATGATGATGAATGGAAGATGATATGTGATGAACATCATCTATCCCCTGTAAATCAAGAGTTCAAGTTGTTATAAGCTCTACTACAATTTCATTCAAGACATGTTCATTCTTTTTTTTTTTTTTTTTGAGGTTTAACTAGAATATCAAAGATCTGCACAACATGCTTTCTAGCTTATCTCACTGATTTTTTCCCTTTTTTGATTAAAGTCAATGAACCCCTTAAAAAGAGCCAACATTGAGTCAATTGAAGTTAAGGAGTTTAAACTTTTTAACCGTGAATGTACGTCTTTTTTTTTTTTTTTTTTTTGTTCTTCTTGTTCTGTATCACCTTTTTTTTTTTCTCCTTGCTTGATTGGACTTGGAATCTCTTTCTTTATAGGTTGTTTACCATTGGATAGTTTTCTTGCATATACGACCACGCTTCTTTTCACTATTATATTGGTGTTTATTCAGGAAAAGGTAACAAATGGCAATAGAAAGTGAACAATAATACTCACCTATTTTTTTCATTCCCTCTCTCTTAAGGTTAATAGCGAAAAGGTAGCGAATACATACTCTCTCTATATATTTTTTTTTAGGTCGTCACCTCTTTCTCTTTCTGTTTCTTCTCACATTTACGTAAGTTCATTTCTTCGCTCCCTTTAAATATTATCCATACATTTTCCTATACTGATAATCATTGGCATCTCCTTTTTTTTTTTTTTGAATAGAAATGTAAATATTCTTCAGAAGCAACCGAACGGATTTACGACTAATCATTTGATGTGCGACTGGAATAGGTTTGCAACATTATTCAACTGAATACACTCGAAGATCAACCGGATGGATAGGTAGTTAAAGGACGCACTTGATACACTTGATACGCGCACATATCTGGGTTCTTAGCACAGGGATTACTACATGGATTAGTTACTTTATTTTATGACAATATATCTTTTTTATTTTATCATTCCTTCAATAAAGTTATATTCATGCTTCTTCATTATCTTTCTTGTCATATTGATATCCATTCATCGTCACATCGCCAAATCATCCCATCTTCATTTGATATCTATTCAACCACATCCACAAATATGATTTGTTTATTTCAATAAAAAAAAAAGAATATATATATCCGTCTAATGATTCATCCATAAACCCAAACTAATCTATATTACTATCTAAACTATCATACATATGTCTATACATTGATATTTATTTCCAGTTCAAGTGTTTGCATCAAGACGTTGTCGTTGGTTGCGAAGAGGTATTGTTGACAGGGGCCAGGTGTGGAGCTTGTTTAGCGTTGAAGAGCGTATAACCAAGGGTGATGGTGGATACATCCTTCATATAAGGATCGTCCAAGAAATCCGGGTCAATAAAGAAGAAGACAGGCATATCGATATCTTCACCAGGGGCCAAACGTTGTTCTTCAAAGCAAAAACATTGGATCTTGTTGAAATAGTTACCAGCTCGGTAAGGTGTGACATTGTACGTGGCAATTCCTACCACATCTTCTTTAGCATGGGACTTGGCCTTGTAAAACGTCAAAGCAGTTTCGCCAGGGACCACATGGATATCGCGTAGTTCAGGTTTGAATGTCCAGGGTAAAGCATCCGATGTATTGCTTTCAAATGTAATCCGAATTCGGCGAGGTACTTGGGTAGGCACCAATCGATCGGGTGAGAACTTGCTCTTGTCGGTTTGTACAGTACCACTATATCCAGTACTGGCACAGAAGAGACGATACAATGGTACGGCTGCATATGATATCCCCAGCATGCCAATAAACACTGCTGCTGTGTACATCCCTGCTGAAGCATTACTGGTTTTGTTATGTGTGTTGTGTTGTGTTGCCATCCATCGTCTTGTATTGCCCAACCGTAAACAAGGGGATTTGTGTTGAAAATGAGTCCGACTAAGAGTGATCAAAGATCTTGATAATGACATGGATATATAAATAATAATAATAATAAAAAAGTAGACGAATGATAAAAAGGGAAAGAGAAAAAAAAAACCTTTCGAGAATAAACAGTTGCTTTCAAGCACCGCAAGAGACTTGTTAGGGCCAGCCTCCCCTATCTTCCAATCAGTGACAATATCATCCCGCATTGAATCCACCATCAAAGACAAAAAAAAAAAAAAAAAAAAAAAAAAAAAAAAAAAAAACGAGGATTTTATTTTCATTTTCATATATAATAAACGAAAGGGTAAAATAAAGGGGGGGTTAAAAAAAGAAGAAGGTAGGGTAAGAGACACTGAGTAAAAAAAAAAAAAAAAAAAAAAAAAAAAGAAAAAGATGAAAAAGAGAAGGAAGACCAAAAAGAGTATTGTACTTATTTAGGAGCTTCTTTGTCTATAAGAAAAAAAGAAAAACCGTCAATAGATGATTAATAACACTTTTTTTTTTTTTTCCTTGTAGATCACTTACAAGTCAAAGCATGTTCTTCGCCCATAGCGGAAACCACTGTGACCAGCAAGTCCAAGCCGGCATCAAACTCCTCCTGCATTTTTACACCCAAGTCAGTATCAGGCAACTTGACATCTTCTTTGGTACTTCCATCTGTAAGCATCAAGGAGAGGTATCCATCATCAATGTTAATAAGAGAATATTCGTTGCGAATCACATTAGGCACATCCATGTTATGAGTAGAAGGAGAGAGATCTTCATACTTTCTAATCAAAAAAAAAATCATATCAAAACGTTATACAAGATCCCTTTCCTTCCTTTCTTTTTTGGACTTACTTGCCAGTAAAAATATCAATGCCCACCAAGTGAACCTTGGCATGACCATGTTTACCAGTTTTGGAGGTCGACATTTCAACAATCTTGCAAGGACGACCCTTAATCACTACATGACCATTCTTCCTCAAAGCAGAGCATTGCATAGGAAATGTCTTTGAGGCACCAGCATCAGTTGTTTCAAAAGTTACAGTTTCGTGTTCGTTGTCAGACATGACTATATAAAAGAATAAGACGGTCGCTTTTTAACTGGAAACTTGTTTTTTAACAAGTGATTAAATAAAATTCTTACCTGTTATAGTTCTTTCCAAGTATAAGGATGAAGATGAAAAAAGTAAAAGAAAGAAAAGAAAAGAAAAGAAAAGAAAAAAAAAATATAGTTTCGCAAAGGAGAGGTGATCCCACAACACGTCAGTCCATCATGAATTCCAACCCCGCCCGTAACTATTTTGCTATATAAGTTCTTCGGATTCGAAGTAAAGCATGAATTTTAATATTTTTTTATACTAAGTCCTTATAAAAAATTTGAATGATGAATTCATGATATCCCATGAAGGAAGCATCCTATTTTTTTTTTAAAAAAAAAAAAAAAAACATCCAACCCATTCATCTATTGGGAGAATCCTTTATGTGTGTACTAGTCAAAATAGAGAGAGGATGATCAACAATTGGTATGTTTCTATATGTACATATATGGTAACTTCCTTTCTTTTTTTAAACAAAAAAAAAATTCAAAAATGACAAGCAAAACTTGTCATCCTGGCTTGGCAAATCTGTTTTCAATCATCTTCATTTTACCATGAGGGGAATTCAAGTGTTAGTTTGCGTGAGAGTGTGCGTGTGTGTAACAATACCTTTTTACTTCCACTTTTTTTTTTTTTTTCTCCACATTCATCTATATGATATGTTCAGTCTCCGAGTCTCGATTGATGTTGATCATTACCATCCTCTATATTATCTGTAAACAGTTATACAGTGTTTTCAAAGTTTTTTGTCGGGTCACAAGAAAATGCTTTTCGTGATGTTATAAAATAAAATATCGTACTTCCCCAAAATGAATGTCGCATTATCACTTTTTCAGATATCGCTCCAGAGATGGCGGTAGAGTACATTAAAAACACACACAACACATTGATGATAACTTTTTTTATTAATAATAAAAGACAAAAAAGAAAAGTACCATAGGCTTTTCATATTTTTAGCAGCTTTGGGTGTTGTCCATTCTTTTTTAGGTATCAATTGATTGATGATTCATGATCGATGATTCATGATTGATGATATGTGATAACGGATGATTGTATATTGGATGATTACAGGATGGATGATGGATGACTGTATGATGGATGATATGTGATAATGGATGATTATATGTTGGATGATTGTATGATTGTATGATGGATGATGAAACATTGTCGTCAATCACTGTACAAATTTCTGCTAAAATACAAAATACTTCATTCTAGTTACCTTCTGACAGAACAACATTTTCTTTTTCTTTTCTTTTTTTCTTTGAAAAATGTCAAAATATGATAACGATGATTCATCAAACATCTATGGAAATTAAAAAATACAATAATAAGTATCCCGTGCACAATCATACTATCATTTAAAACAGAACACTAAAAAAAAAAAAAATCTAGTCATTAAACTAAAACACGGCAAAAACATGTCAGTATCATGTATCACTTGGTACATGGATATTGTAATAATAGAACTTAATGTAGAACATTTATATAATTAACTTTATTATAAAGAGAGAAATGTTGCTAATACTAAAAACAAATGATGTAGATACTAAAAATAATAATGTAGATACTAAAAAAGACAAATGATAAATTAGATACAATATAAAGAAAGAAATGTTGTTAATACTAAAAAAAAATGATGATGAATTAGATACAATATAAAGATAGAAATGTTGCTAATATTTAAAAAAGATGATAAAACTCGCTTACATCTTGTCTCATCATTTTATCTACTAAAATTAGCTCATAATTGCAGGGGTGATTCATTTTCTTATAAAAGGATCTCTTTGATTTAACTTTTTTTTTATTTCTTTACATTACATTCATCTTACGGGTCTGCCTTTTGGCTTACCTGCCTCCATTTTGGCTTACCTGCCTGCTTTTTGGTCTGCCTTCTTCTTTTTTTTTTTTTTGCCTATCTTTTTCTTCACAAGTATCCTTTAATGGTTCAATAGCCGTTGTCCATAATTTTCTTTACAAGTATTCTTTAATGGTTCAATCACCGTTGTCTATAATTTTATTTACAAGTACTCTTTAATGGTTTAAGCACCGTTGGTTCAATTAATATAACAACTTAATAATTCAACAATTTCCGGGATGGTTATCGCCATCCTACTTTCATCGTAGCGATACGGTGATCACGTTACACTTAAATGGTAAGCTAGTGAAATATTTTTATTTGGATAAGTATTACTCATTTTTTTTTTTTTATTTTTTTTATATGCAAACTTGATGAACTCAATTGGTGGATTTCCTTTTTTTTTTTTTTTTTGATTACTCTTTTTTTCATGATATCTATTTTCTTATATTCTCTATTTGATTATGCGACAATTATATTTTTTTTCTTCTGTCATTTATTTTCTATCCTTACGATATTTTATTTCCTATTTTTGCGTCATCTTATTCTTTGAATTCCGTCATTTTTTATTGAATAAAGTGTATACTTCCTGATATATAAGTTTTTACTGGTAATCAGTGAATTAGAAAAAGTAAAAAGAGGGATACAAGAGTAATTTTAAAGCGTTGACAAATAAAAATACCCCATTTTCATATGGTGAAATAATTTACCCCACACAAAAGAGAAAAAAAAAAAAAAGGTTCGCATTAAGTAACGGATCGCCCATTGAATATAAAATATCCTTTTTTTTTTTTTTTTTTTTTTTACTCTTTTTCCCTTCCCCCCTTTTTGTTATTTTCTTCCCAACCTTTTTTTTTTTTTTAGTTTTTCTTTATTTACATTATATTCATGGAAGACTTGAAAGATCTTATTTCCTCATTGACAGTGACTGGGATCAGTATATTACGATCTCCTGCTGCTCGACGACAATTGGCAAAGATGATCTACTTTCAAAGTACTCATGCCATTAGCCGACCTACTTTTCGACGTTTCCTTATTCGACAGTTGGTACGTCTCATATTGATTTATACTATTGGTAAATACTTTGTCTATAGACTCTATCTCCATCCTGCGAATCAACTTCCTGGTCCTCCTCCTGATTTAATTCCTTTTGTGGGTCATTTTCGTCAACTATTATCCAAAGACGTAAGTTTTTTTTTTTATTTTTATTTTTCTAAACTAGTCATCCCTTTTATTATTATTATTAATGTTGGTTTTGTTGTGAATTAATCGGATATAGGCTGGGGTGACGCATCGTGCATGGGCCAAGAAATATGGTAACGTTTTCAGATATTTTGCAGGTGGCAATCATCCACGTATCTTGATTGCCGATGCTGATGCAGTGAAACAAATATTGACAAGCAACGAATTTGACTTTATCAAGCCTCCAGAAACAAAGCAATTCCTAACATTGTTCTTGGGTGATGGGATCCTAGTGACAGAAGGTGATGTACATCGATATCAACGGAAAATGTTAAATCCTACCTTTGGACTAAGTGCTCTTCGTGATATGATACCTTTGATGGTGGCACCTACACAACAATTGGTACATCAATGGAATTTACAATGCTCACATGGTCAACCGACAGAAATCATTGTATCTCGAGGATTAGGTCTTTTGACATTAGAAATCATTGGTCTTGCTGGCTTTGGGCAACGCTTTGATTGTATACGATATCCAGAACGTAATGCTTTCAGTAAAGCTTATTTGGATTTATTATCTGGTGATTCTCCTGTAGAGGCTCTGCTGGCCATGATGTTCCCTTGGCTTCATCGTTTACCTGCTCCTCGTGCTTGGCAAGTCAGAAAAGATATGGAAATGTTACATCGTGAAGTACAAGCAATGGTTAACATGGCAACTCAACGTACCGATATTCATGAGAAGAAGGATCTATTGGCATTAATGATTCGACAGGTAGATGATGAGACTGGTAAATCACTCACGGCAAAGGAATTACAAGATCAATGTTTGACTTTTTTAGCAGCTGGGTAAACCAAAAAAAAAAAAAAAAAAAAAAAAGGAACTGTCTTTTTACTTTTTTTTTTTTTTTTTTTTGATAGACATGAAACCACCAGTGTGGCTGTCAGTTGGGCATTGCATACGTTAGCATATCATCAAGATATCCAAGACAAATTACGCAAAGAAATCCAACAGACACTCCCACAAGATATCAGTGACGATGCATTCAGTTATGATGATATCAATCAACTACCTTTCCTCAACAATGTATGTAAAGAAGTCTTAAGATTTACACCACCAGTGCCAATGACCAACCGAATTGCCATCAAGGATTTCCAATTACAAAACAAATCATTCCCAAAGGGAACGCGTGTAGTGATCTGTCCTATGGTATCTCATTTCGACAAGGCTCAATGGGGTGACGATTGTGATGAATTTATTCCTTCTCGATGGGACCATGCTCCTGCTAATAATATTAGTCCTTATGTCTATCTTCCTTTCTTGGCTGGTGGTAAGTTGTAATTGATCAAATAAAAATAGGTTACTATTATTGACTTTTTCTTCTTTTTTTTTTTTTTTTAATTAATCACTAAGGTCGACAATGTATTGGTATGTTTTCAGAAAAAAGAAAAGAAAAAAAAAGAAATGAAATTGACTTATTTTTTATTTTGTTAGGATATCGATTTGCATTGATTGAATTCAAAGTAGTATTAGCACTATTGATCCGACAATTCAAATTTACTCCCAAACCAGGTTTCAAGGTACGAAAAGGATTGCAAATCACTTTGAGGCCCTTACCCAATATGACTTTGATGGTGGAAAAGGTTCCCTCTGTTTGATGATATTCGTTAGTAGATATCTATTATCTGTAATGTTTATTCTTTTGTCTATTTTTACAATAAAACAATTTTATTCATCTATCTTTGATAAAAACATGACTTTTTTTTAGTGATGATTTGAGTTTATTAATTTTATTTGTGTGTGTATATGTATGACAGTGTATGACGGGGAAACATAAAGGAAGCAATAGATGGGAAGAAATAAGAATAGTAATAACCAAAAAATAAGTGTTCACCGGAAAACATCGGTATTTCTAAAACTAGAGTTGTCTCTTAGAGCCACGTTGTGAGATTTATATTCCATAGTAGTATCTTGTGGTAAAGCCAGCACCTTTTTGATCGTATCTCTATAATAAAAAAAAAATGATATTAAAAAAAAATGATCTTCCTTTTTTTTTTTTTAACTAACCTAATTTTCAAATTGATTCTACCATTAGAAGAGGTTTTATTCCAAACAGAAATAATATCTTCCGAATTACGAATAGATAAAACAGCCCCACAAATTTCATCTTGTACATCGAATTGATCACCCACAATAGCCAACACCAAGTTTTCCCAATAACGACTTGCTAATCCTTTTTTCAGTCGTACAATCCATTTACCACCTTGAATATTTGCCTCATCTTCCCACATAGGTCGTACACCATGCTTGAATAAATGATAATCACTAATTGTAGGTAATTCATGAGGTCGTTTGATATGTGAATACACTGCCCAAAACTCTTCCACCTAAAAAAAAAAAAAAAAAAAAAATGAGATCATTCATTCTACCTTTCTTTCCTCTTTTATGCCTTTACCGAGGAAAAGGAAGCGATCTGTTTCATATTGCCTTCATAATTGGTGATTTTCGATCCTGGTGAACGATGCATAAACCAAAAAACCCAAGAATAATGAAGTGGATGTTGTAGAGATGAGGTTTTTCCTGGTGACATGTCCACTGTGGATGAGCTTGATGATAATGCTTTGATGGGACTCATTGTTTAGATTATTTTCTTAATATAGTGTAAAATGGATGTGATGTCGACGTTTTTTTTTTATATCGTTTTATGGTATACAGAAGATCGAATGGTGTATGTATATGAGTTGATGAAGTTGCCTGTTGTTATTACCGTCGTAAGTGTACAAGAGGACTAAATAAAATAAGAGTGTATGAGTATATGGATAGCTTCCAAATCGATTCATCCATCCTTTTCTTTTTTTTTTTTTTCTCCAAACCAGAAACCTTGACCTATTCATTCCTCTCTTCCTTTTTTTTTTTTTTTATCCATGACCAGTCGCTTTTTTGTTTATCTATTCTTCCTTTTTTTTGTCACTTACTAGTGGTGTAAATATTGTTACAATAATGATAAAATAAAAAGACAAAATAAAGAGAAAAGAAAAAAAAGTGGAAAAAAAAAAGAGAAGGAGCGTGTCAAAATTCTCTTACAGAATGATCAATCGAGTGGCTTTGCAGGCAGCTGTGCTTGAATAAAAAGGTAATAAAAAAAAATTATTGATGATAATGCAAAATGATGATATAATGTTTATTGATAAAATGCTGAAAGTATGATAATGAAATAAATAAAATGATGATGATGATGATGATGATGATGATAAAAATGAAAAAAGGACTTTTTTTGGGGTTTATGATGGATATATAAAAAAAAAAATAAAGAGAGATCATAGTGGCATAGCATAAAGGGCATGAAAAGTAAATAAATGAGTATATAAAAAAAAAAGAAAGATATATGCATAAACTATATATAAAATAAATATAAACAAAAAAAAATATACAAGATTGACATCCAAAGGAAACATGATTTACACGTATAAGGAAGGAGTGTTGACACCATAAAAGCAATCATCCATATAAGTCATCATAGGATAAACCATTTCATCTGGAAAACACAAGTGATCAGTAGGCATGGAAGGAGTCCAAGGGAAATTTTCTTCATGATGATCCATATCAAAAGCAGATTCTGTACAAGGGGAGGCGAAAGAAGAAGTACTGAGAGAGGATGAGGAAATAGGTGAGGAGGATTCATTATTTTCGTGTTTTTTTTCTTCTTCTTCTTGTGCAAGTTGTTGTAAACGTGTTTCCAATTTTTTGATTTTACGTTCCATATGTACCACTTGCAAACCAAGATCATCATAAGCAGCCAATAATTCCTTTTCTTTGGGGCCTAATCGGGTAGGACAATATTGTTCTTTCAGATCAGCTTGACTGGAAATATATGCGGATTGAAGACTTTGGAAATGAACAGAAAGAGTAGCCAAACTGTCCAAAGTAAAAGCTAATTCGGATTCCAAACGTTCCATTTCACTTTTGGGTGGCTTTGCGGGGTTTGATTTGCATGAATGACTACTAGTCATTCTTTTTTGGATACGACCGGATGATTTCTTGTTAGGTACACGTTGAATAGCCCATTTCAAAGTTTTAGGTTGTGTATTTGATTTCATAGTAATAGAAGGCATAGATGTTTTTTTTTAAAAGAAGAAGTAGTGGATGAAAAGAAAAAAGAAGAAAAATAAAGTAAAGAAAAAAAAAAGTGGGTATGTTATGAAAAAAGGGTTTGTATTTATAATGTTTTCCGTTTTTTTGATTGTGTAACAAATTAGTATACGGCTAATAATAACCCCCCACCCTTATGATGTATTAAGGGGTTTGATGGGTGGTACATGTGTCCATATTTGGTGTCGGTATGTCGCCATAGAAATCAAACAATCCAAATTTGGAAGATCCCCTATGACTTCATTGTGTCTGTTGTCATCATCATCATCCTCTCCTTAGGCTGCATAAAGCGGACATGAGTTTGGTCTTGGTATTGTCAGCACTTTTTTTTTCTGGGAAATGAAAAGTTTAATACATATGATTTCCCCTATTCCTTCTATCTATATTATGTTTTTTTAAAAAAAAAAAAAAAAAGAAGAAAATAAGGAAAGGATAAAATAAGAAAAAAAGAACGGGCATATCGGATCCGATCCTATCCGTTGGTGAAATGTAGTACAGTGGTGTAATAGAAGATTCCCAATAGGACAACCATGTTGATTCATCTCTTTTTTATTTTTTTTTATTTTTTTCTTTTGTTGATGATGATGATTGTATAAAATGAAAAATAATTATTTCAGTTAAAGTCATCATCATCTTCCTTTATGACGTCTACAGAGAACAAAAAAAAAAAAAAAACTAAAGTAGGGTGACGTTCTGTACCACCTCAAGTTTATTTTTTTTTATTGTCCTACTTTGAAAAAAAAAAAAAAAACATCATCATATCAGGTAAGTGCGTACAACGACAAAGAGCGGTTCACGATATGATTGGTACTCGTTAACACACTTTCGGCTTTTTACTCAATCCAGGACCGAAAAGTAGGGCATGATTTTTTATTTGGTTTAGATTCCAATCATATGTATGCCAAGAATCAATGATGGCGTATTGACTTTTACCCTTTTATGGCAAATGTCAACCATCGTACAGGATCTTTATTTTTAACTTTTTTGCAGGAGGCTCTCATGTCATTGGTGGACCCTTTGTTAGACATTTTTTTTAAAAAAAAAATCCAAAGCAAAAGAAAGTTTTCATTGTCTTTTTTTTTTTTTTGAGAAGATCATTTTTGAGCTTAGCTTTTGAAGATCCCCGCACCTTTTTTGAAATTCTTTCTTTTTTTCCATAAAGTGATGTGGCTGATATTTTTCTAAAGGTATAAATACCTGGTCTTTTCTTTACAATTTTTTTTTCATTTTTCTTCTTCTTTTTCTTTCTTTTTTTTTCTTCTTGATGCTTCTTTCTTTTTATTATCATCATCGATTGCTCTATCATCATTATCATTATTATGAATTCATCATCATGAATATATATGAGATAAAAAGGAATTCTTTGACTTGATGATTAGTATGAATAATCTTATATTACCATTGTCATCATCTTCATCATTCATTATCATTCCCTTCTTCATCTTTTTTTTTTCTTTCTTGAAGATGATGATGCCAAGGGGGTCATCGCGGGCATTCATTATAAAAATAGATTCCGGATAAAATCATGATATCATACTTACCAAATACATCATACTTTCCTAATGGAGTCAAGACCCTAATCCCGAGATGAAGGGCGGGGAGCAAGGCCGTTCAAAGTAAACTATTTTTAGATGTAACCTATTGCATCATTATCATCAAGGAGAGAAGGCATTGACCATCCTTTTTTATTTGTAAGCGCAATGACGGAGGTAGTATGTTGTCAAGATTTGCCTTTTTAGGTACACTTCTTTTTTATTAATATTTTTATTTTTGGAATATCCATCTCTCCTTTTGACTTTTTAATACAAAATGATTGAAAGGGGTAAGCCATATCATCACATCATAGGTATATCTACTCTGTATATATATATAATTATTTATGTATGTCTAACTGAACGCATGTCCCTTCCACGTTTTTTCAAATAGATCCGTAAATACAGGATGATCATTAACGACCAATCAGCACTCACATAATCAAATAAGGATGTCTATTTCATAAAAAAAAAGGATGATGCTTTATTCATTTTGGACTTTATGCTCACTACTTATGTGATGATAAAGATGATTATAATGATGACACCACGAATGATGCTAATACATTTGTCAAATATGTTTTTTTTATTGTAATTACAAAATTGTAGAGAAGATATAAATGAGGAGATGGGAGGGAAAGTGATAAAAAAAAGATGATGATATACGGATAATAAATAAATAAAAAGTCTATTGTATAAACAGTAACGAAATGAGAAGTATATATAATTAAAATCAAGAAAGGAAGTCATATCAACTACCAATCCACTAAGATCTACATACATACACATAAAACCAGAGAATTCTGATCCACAGGGAGAGTTTAAGCAGTAACAGTTTCCTTGGATTCGCCCTTAATCATACGATCAAATACAGGAATTAATTGTTGAGCCACGGTGAAACTGAAGATCAATTTGGGACCAACCTAAAAAAAGAAAAAAAAAAAGAGTCATTAGATACATCCTCCCTATTATTATAGCTATTATTTTTTTTTGATTTCTACTTACCACCAAGATCTTGGGAGTCAAACCTTTGAAGAAACCACCAAAACCTTCTTGCTTGATCAAGTTCTTGATAATGTTGATACCAGATTCGGGATTATCAAAGTTTCTGTTTTGAATACGAGTCTTGACAACATCAAGAGGAGCAGCCACAGTGATGGAAGCAACGGCACCACCAATAGAAGCACAAAAGTTTTGGAAGAAGGAAGCAGTATTATAGTTATCCAAACCAAACAAGTATTCCTTGACAAAAGCCGAACCACCAAACAAAGCAAAGGAGCCAGGAGCATTACGAGCAGCAGTCCATCCAGCACCACGATACAATCCCATACCTTCATCACGTACAATAGCTAAAAATCCACGACCACGGAATGCTTCAGGATTCGTTTGACGTTTAATCTTTAACACATCCAAAGGTAACAAAGCAATTTCACCAATGCCTACCAAACTGCCTGCAGTTGCATGCATCATCGTCTTACCAGTCTTTTCACCAAAACCGGAAATGAACAAGTTCTTGTGATGCTTATCCAAATAATCACGAACAAAAGGTTGACCACCAAATTTGTATACACGTTGAGCTACCTTGTATCCAGCTGCAAATCCAAGACCAGGGAATAACGACGCATACTTTTGTAAAAAGGCCTTGTTAGCAGCATCCTAATCATTTAATAATAATAATAATAATAAAAGGGAAGGTGAGTCATTTTTTTTCTTGTTTTATCTTCAGAAACATAGGAGTTGATGGATAGAATATATTAATCAATAGTATGAGGGATATAATTGAGGTCTTTTTTTTTCATACCTTGAAAATAACAACATCCATAGCAGCCTTGTTTTGAGCAAAAGTATTACCAGGTAAGAATACCTAATCAAAGATCCAACAAAAAAAAAAAGATTGTCAATATATTATAAATTTTAAAACTGATTATATTCCGGTATCATTCCTTTCATTTTAATTTTACCTTGGTTTGATTACTCATAAGACGTTTGGCAACAGTATCAACAGGATGGAAAATAAGTAATTCCAAAATACCAGAACTTCCACTACCAAGAAAACGAGCAGTACCTGATTCAGATTTACCAGAAGCAATAGGTGGAGACATTGGTATGAATTTATAAAAAGTGAAAGAAAAGTGAAAGAAAAAAAAAACAAATGCCCTGGGTCGAATTCCTAAAATGAGTCGATAAAAAAAAAAATTTTGCATCGGGAAACGAATTCTCTGATTTGACTCTTTTCAATTGAAAAGATGGGGAAGATCATGTCATTCAAACTTAGGAAATCTTTTTATATATAGATGATGATTAATATAAAGATTGAATTTCTTATATATATATTATATATTATATATTTATATGAAAGAAAAACAATAAGATGATTTTCAGGTTTTTTGTTTTCACTGATTACTATGACTCACCCCAGGACTCTTTTCTTTTACACTCTTTTGATCGTATTGAAGCACCGCATATCTCTCGTTACACAATTTGCTTCTTTGTCAAATGATCGATGACCCATCTTCCTTTTCCATGTCACTGGTATTAAGAAGAATGAAACCCAATATCCAAACTAAATGGAATCCTCCTAGATAAAAATTAATGGATAAAAAGTCATCAGAATTTTGTATGTTCAGTCATTTACCTAACTTATTCAAAAAAAAAAAAAAGATCATCATCTTATTCAATTGGACCGAACATAGAAGAAATCATTCTCTTACATTTGTCTTATACCTTCCAATTTATAAAGTAAATTAAAGAATAAAAGTCAATTCAATCATTCCTCATCGAATAATGATCATCATCCAATAAGATTATTGCCATTGGATTCCTCTCAAAAAAAAAAAAAATAGCTTAATATCATCTAATGTTCATTTTATCGTTTATCCTACCACGTACCAAAAGTATTTCTTCATTTTTTCGAAAAATTGCCTGATGTACCCTCGACGATTTATTTTTACAGCTAAAATTTGGCTGAGGAATTTGAAAATTTTGGCTGTAAAATCCAAAAAAAAAAAAAAAAAAAAATCGATCACTCTGCATTGAAGCAGAAGAAGTACTCTTTGTTTTTACTTTTCTCACTCAAAACCAATCATCATCACTCCTCAATTTAAACAGTATATAAAACAAACCATTTTCCTTCAATTTACTTTATGTCATTTATATATTTGAGTTTATAGAGTAAATTGAAAAGAGTAGTATCATCATAATTGGCATGCTATTTTCAAGAGATGAATCACGTTTCATACCAGCTTGGAAGAGGATTGATGATCTTCATGATAAAGCTGTACCATCACACTCGATCACCCATCATTTCATCAATCCCATCAATTTCCAATTCTACCTTTCAACTGCCCATTCTATATATTAAAAACATATTATTTTTTTTATTCATTAAAAAAGGTAAGAGAAATAAACTATCTAGTCTAAAGGCGAGATTTGGGAACAACCATAGAGTTGAGTCGTTTGGTAATAATAGTTTCAGCATCAACTACAATACGAGAGACCAATTCTTGACAGGTAGGAATATCGTTGATGAGACCCATGACTTGACCAGCTGTCCATACACCGTATTCAGGATCACCAGTAGTATATACATTTCGTCCACGAGCTCCAGAAACCAAATCTTTAACATCTTCAAACTTGACATTGGGGTTTTGTTCACGTTTGTTAACTTCGATGGCTACCTTGTTTTTAAAGATACGAGAGGTATTACGGAAAGGACGAAAAACCAATTGTGTCTGATGTTCATCAGCAGCAACAATAGATTCCTTGATTTTTTGATGAATAGGTGATTCAACTGTACACATAAATCGAGTACCCATATTAATACCTATATTTAAAGAGAGACAAGTTAAATTAAGTTGATATCCATTGACTTTTTTTTTTTAATAATTACCAGCAGCACCCATGGCTAAAGCACCAGCTAAACCAACACCATCACCAAAACCACCAGAAGCAATGTAAGGAATCTTCAATGTATTGAAAGATTTAGCAAGTAAGATCAACCCACCAATATCATTTTCACCAGGATGACCAGCACATTCAAAACCATCCATGGAAATAATATCTACACCAAGCTTTTGAGCACTTAATGCATGTCTTACAGAGACACATTTATGTAAAACCACAATACCAGCTTCCTTGAATTTTTTGATATACTTGCCAGCTATAAATGTAAAAGAAAAAAAATATATCAATGATCGTTGTACGAATGACCTTCCGATTTGGACATGCATATACCCATTCGCACGTGAATTTTCTCTTTTCTTTTTTTTTTTTTTTTTGCCCAAGTAACTGAAAATTGTTTTTTTCACTTACGGTTATTTCCAGCAGTTTCAACCACTTTAATACCTTCATCGACAATAACTTGAGCATATTCATCATAAGGAGGAGGAGTCATGGCTGGTAAGAATGTAAGATTGACACCAAATGGTTTATTGGTCATAGTACGACAACGACGGATTTCAGCACGTAAAGCTTCAGGAGTAGGTTGAGTCAATGCAGTTAAAAGTCCAAGACCACCAGCATTGGAAACAGCAGATGCTAGTTCAGCAACACCTACCCATTGCATACCACCCTTAATAGTAAACAAAAAAAAAACGATTCAATATATATATTATATATGTATAGAAATAAGAGAGTTCAAACTTCAACATAAGACTGTTATTTTTTTTTCTTTTGTTTAACTGTACCTGGACAATAGGATGTTCAATACCAACAAGTTCAGTCAATTTAGTTTTAAGTACCATGTTAATATAATATAATATAATGAAAGAAGGAGAAGAAGAAGGATAAAAAAAAAAAAAGAAGGGGAAGAAGAATGGCAGAGTGGTGTTTTAAATGCGGTAAAAAAGCAAAAGGTGATGAATAATGGGAAAAGGGACCATGTGAATTTGATCTCAGTCCTCTCACTCACAGTCTGTCAATCTCTCTGAGTGTGCGAAAAACAAAAAAAAAAAAAATGAATGACCCCACATTTTTTTAAAAAAAAAGAAACAAGAGACACGGCATTGATCAAATTGCCGCTTCCAAATGTAACTTTTATGTATTCATCCTATCACTCTTTTCTTTTCTTCCATTGTACTAATAATTCCTTCTTTTATATATGTATCTTGCTAGGGAAACAAAAATGACGAATATATATCAAAGATCCATATATAATATTAATATACGATCAACAAAACTGCATGTATATAATATATATATACGGCAATTTCATGGTTGCCGTTTGCCGTCTTCTTCTTTCTTTCCACCAAATTAAATAAAAATGCTCATGTAAACTTTTTTCCGTTCATATCCAACCTTCTTTTTTTTTTTTTTTTTGGTTCATATTCGTCAACCACAATACCAATTTCTAATCCTAAATTACTTTATTTCGTTTGTATATAAGGATAGGGTAAAATCTATTCAAGCGAACTAAATTAAACTATTCACTATTTCCTCCAGTATTGAGCCCATTTGTGTACAGTTTCCATGATTTGAGGGAATAATGCATTGACACTTTCTGATATAAGACCTTGGAAATAGGCAATCGCAGCTTCTTCTGATAAATCCAACCGGAACTTTTCTTGCACCTATACAAAAAAAAAAAAAAAAAAAAAAGTCAAATCACATATACATACTCTCTCTCTCTCTCTCTTTTATATATATTGTATCATTTATTACCTTGATCACAGCCTTGTCAGGTTCAATCTTAATATCAGGAATATTCGCATCTACCATCAGGGCAAACAAGTTGAGAATCAAGTTGGCATTACGGCGTAAAGTTGTGAATGCGGTGTAACAGAATTGGCGAAATTTGTTGTAATGAGGAGAATCTGCACCACCCATGGCTTCAATCATTTCCTTACATAATTTCATCGGTGGTGGGAATGGTTTTGGGTCGCGTCCAAGAATAAATCCAAAGTCTACATGGAAGAGATGACCATGTGGTGAAAGCAACAAGTTATCTAAATGGCGATCACCCACACCAAGCAAATATGTAATGACACAATATCCAGCACAACTTCGAATATAAGTTTCCATGACACTGCTGTCGATACCGTAAATGCCATTTGCACTAGAATCAGGATGATGTAATCGGAAGTAACTAAGGACATTGTTTTGATGTTCATCCAATACAGCTGCTAGTGATTTCGAGGGTATAAATTGCATCAAACCATGTTCCGGTCCAGTAGCAAGCACTTTATATGGTGTTAGTCGAAGATCCAAGTTTTCTTTTCGTAAAAGTTTGTCCATTAATGTAATGATTTGAATCACCAATTGATCTTGTCGTAAATCATCACCAGTCTTGAATATGACCTAATTTATGCAAAAATAAAAATAAAAAAAAAAAGGTATTAATATCAGTATTTGATCATTACTTTTCAATCTGATATTACTTACAGGGTATTCACTTCCATCATCACATGTAAATATTAATCGCAAAGGTTGTAGATTGCTGTTAAATATATTGGATTTGTCAGGAAGTATGCCACAAACAATCTTAGTCGGATCAAGAGGTAATGGTATAGAATGGAATGTACTTCTTTGATCAGCTATCACAGCACGTAATTTTTCCACCTGTCCAGAAAGAAAATATTAATTAATTTCATTATCTCTTTTTCCCATTTCATATTCAATTACCTTTTTCGATCGCACATCTTTCATGTCTCGTATTTCCTTCGATAGACGTGATAAAGATTGTATTAATTCACCTTGTTGTCGTAATATATCACGTCGTTGATGTCCATGTGGTACCTTTAACAAGGATATTGTTTTTTTTTTTAAAAAAGAGAAAAAAGAAAGAGCATTTAGTACATGTTAATAGTTTCTTTTACTTTTGAATTCAATTACCTCTAATATTGCCTTAAAATAGTGATATGCCACTTTTGCATACATCTTTCCCACCACCTTGTCTTCACATTCTACCATGAGATACCAATGAAAGTAATTTCCAAGAATTGGATTTTGAGTAGCACGATCAATCAAGAATTGAACTAGAGAAGAATCATAAGAGTTGGCATCTTTTTCATTGAAATGTTCAAATTTGAGAGCTTGTACTAATTGTAATAGATATAATAATAAATCCTAATAATAGTAATAAAAATAGTATTAAAAGGTAAGTCAATCAATATATATATATATATATATATATATAATTATTCTTTACATCATCATCTGCTTTTCGAAGTTGATTCACTGCGTAAGATCGAACTGCTCGATTTTCAAATTCCTTGCCAAGAAGTTCCAAAGCATCATCCACATCAATATCAGCCCACATTGGTAATATATCCACAGCTTGCCTTACTTCTGTAGCGTCGATCCACACAACACATTTCAAAAATTTGGTCAACGCCTTATTAAAAAAAAAAGGTATTAGTAACCAGAAAAAGATCAACTAGATTGAAATGACTTTACCCGTTTATCTTTTGTAAGGTTGAATCGGAATTTCCATACCAGATCCTTTTCTTCAGCAGTAAGTGTTTGAGTTGGAGGGTATGCCATGATTGACTATGTAAATTAAAAAGAAAAAAATCATTATTGTTGAGTACATCTTTTTTTTTTCTTTTTTTTTTTTCTTTATTGTCTATTTACGTTTAATTCATCTCTGATTTTGGGATTAGGTTTCAAATCTCGATCGAGTGGTCCATTGCGATGACTACGTACAAGTCGACGATGTTTTGCTTCCACAGGATTATCACGAAGAATATCAGGATCAGAAATTACCGAGTAATGTGCTATATTGAATTCTGTTGGATGTTGAGATAACCGTCGTGCATCTGTATTAATATTATCACTAGTATACATTGGTTGATTCATAGCATTTGCAATAGCAGCATTAGTTTGTTGAGTAGGTTGTACGTTGGTATCAAGTGTAAGATTCATTGTTGAATCGATAAGTTTGTATTCCTATTCACAATTAAAAAGAATTGAGTTAATATATGTTGTTTTTATATCGATTTATTCTTGTCGTACCATATCACCATAAACAACAGGGAAATCAAATTTTGGCAGTTCAATATAGAGAGATAGATTGGTAGATGTTTGTGATACTTTCTAATAATAATAATAAAAGGTAATTTAGGATCAGTGATTTTGTTGGAGAGAATAACTTTTTTTTTTTTTTGGTTTTACCGTGTGAATCTGTTCGATTTGCCTAAATGCCAACTTATCTAACCATTCTACGTGTTGAATATCACCACAATCGTATCGTTTCACTAACTAGAAAAAAAAAATAAAATAAAATCCAATTGATCTAGAGGGCAGTTGATTAGTATATAAATTTACCTTTTCCAATTTATCCATTTCGTCTGTTGTTTGAACTTTACTTGGTGTTGTTGTATTTGCTCTACCATCGGCTTCTTTTTCTGACCATAGATATAATTTATGTTTCCCCTTTCGTAACGTACTAAAAATATAAGTTTTGTTTGAATTAATTTAGTTTTTTTCTAGTGGTTTAATATTTCCATTCTTTTCTTACCTATGTTTTCCAAATAATCTCATTGTTGTGCCACCAATAGGAACTAGTTTTCGAGGTCCTAAAGTACTCCAAACAGTGATAGCGAATTGAGCGGAAGCAGGTAGATCGCAATATTTCATAGGTAAAGTAAGCCATTCATTCCAACTATATATATAAAAGAAAAATAAAACAAGAGTTGAATATTTCTAAATTATTTTAGTTTCACACTTTTTTTATATTTCACTTACGTCCTATGATTTTTGAATGACTTGTAACTAGTACGTATTGGTAATGTCAATGGTTTGTTATCTCCAAATAGTTGCACTGTAACATAGTAATCAGGATACTCTCTATAAAAAAAATAAAAAAATTAAAAAAAAGAAATAAGATGGTTAATAAAAAAAAGTGAAAAGTTTCAAAAGTCAAAGTTATACGTTTGCTGTTGTTTTAGTGTTCGGTGTTGAAGTGAACCTTCCAAAGTTGAACTATTAAACAACAAAAAAAAAATATCAGATGAGTTGAAGAATATTTAAAGTACTCAAACTTACATTTTGATAGAAACAGGGATTTCAACATCTTTTGTCAAACAATAGGAAAAGTCCATGACGAATAAAACATATAAGAACGGAAAGAAAAGAAAAAGAAAAAAGCAATATGATAACCAAGCAAGAAAAATTCTGATCGGGAAGTGAATTGCATTTTTCGTAGGTCAACTGTTTTTTTTTTTTTTTCTTTCTGTCACAGCAAATTTATTTTTTTTTTTTTCTTTTACTTCGCACTTTTCTTTTGATACATTTTTCTTTTGTTTGCGCAATCGAAAAGATCCTTATCTTTGTACTTTTTATTGCAACTTGCATATTATCACATCTCACTCTATACTCAGTATACTTCTTCACAACAACAACAACAACGTATCAAACTATTACTGTAAAACATGGGACGACGAAAACAATTTTTGGACGAAGACGATGATTCCTCTAATGACGAAGAAGGTCGTATCAGTTTTGATGTTACTGATCAAGATTTAGAAGATGAAGCTTTAGGTTTTACTGGATTTCAGCAAGCTCGCAACAAGAAAAGACAAAAACGTTTCGCAGATGATCTTGGAGATGACGACGAAGACGAGGATATGAGTGACCGTCGAGGTTTAGGTGGATCTAGCATAGCAACAACAGCAACAAGTTTTTTACCAGCAAAGAAGAAAGATCCTTCCAAAGATCGAGTCAAAACACAAGACAAAGGAAAACCATCATCGCCACGACAACGAGGATCGGCTTCGCCTTCACCTGGTCCTGGATTTGCGGCATTCACTAAACACACTACTGGATTCGGACAAAAGATGCTGGAGAAGATGGGTTGGACGGCAGGCAAAGGATTAGGTGCTGGTGGTGAAGGTATGGTGAATCCTGTGGAAACAAAACAACGACCAAAAGGTATGGGGATGGGCTTCCGTGGATTCCAAGAACGAACAGAGCAAACTAAATTGGAAGCGATGGAAACTTCAGAAGAAGAAGAAGAGGAAGAAGAACAAGATGAAATAGCGGCACCAAGACAAGCATGGAAACGAAAAGATAAAATACCTCAAGAACAAACAATACCTTCTGTAAAATCTCGAAAGGCGAAAAAGGTGACATATCAAACAGCTAATGATATTTTGGCCGATGTACAACAATCAATGCAACAACAACCACAGAAGGTGATCGATATGACAGGACCCAGTATTCGAGAAATCTCCATTTCAGATATTAGACGTACCGATTCGCCAACATTAATGGAAACTACCACTCGCTTACCTGAATTACGACACAATCTACGTCTTATTGTTGATCTTTCACGAGGTGATTTGGAAAACCTATCAAGGGAAAAACAAAATACGGCATTCCGACTCAAGGCTATGGAGGAAGAATTGGATGTGATACAACAACGACACAAGGTGGATGAAGAACGATTAGATAAGATTCAACAAGTCAAGGCTATTGGGTTACAATTACAACAGATTTCTCGGGATGCTCTAGCCAATGGTATGTATGAAAGCGCAAATATGACAACATTATTTGGAGAGCCTTTTGAACAATTGAAAACAAAATATATGGATCAAGTGGTACATATGCGATTGGATGCGATGGTGGTGGCAGTTTGGGCACCAATTATGAAATACAGGTGTGTTCATTGGAATGTATTAGAAAATCCACTCTTGGGTTTGGATGATATCAAACGATGGCGACCTTTACTATTATGCAACGATGATATGGAAAAAAAGAAATCATCAAGACGGCGACATACCAAACAAAACGATATTTCTTTAGAGGCGACTCCTTTTGAAACCATGATGAATACTATTTGGCTCAACAAAGTTCGCAGTGCAATCAAGTAAGTGATTTTGTTATATATTACATATGATGTAACTCATTTTTATTTTTTATTTTTTATCTTTTTTTTTTTTTTAGCAATTCATGGCAGGTACGTGAACCAGATGCAGTGATACAACTATTGGAAGCATGGCAACCTGTTTTACCTCGATTCATCTTTGAAAATATCATTTATCAATTGGTATTACCAAAATTAACAAGAGCAGTGGCTGATTGGGATCCTCGTAACGATGAACAGCTAGTACATACTTGGATTCATCCATGGTTACCAGTACTTCAAGCATGGCGATTGGCGGACATTTGCACCACTATTAGACACAAACTCTCAGTGATCTTACGACAATGGCATCCGTCTGATGAATCAGCACTAGAGGTGGTGGGACGATGGAACGATGTATGGACTCGTCAACAAATGGATCATTTCCTTCAAAAGAATGTATTACCAAAACTAATTCAAGTGTTACGACGTGAATTTGTTGTCAATCCTCGGGATCAACAATTGGAACCTTTGGCTTGGTGTTTAGCATGGAACGGTATCTTATCCGATCAGGTATTTGGTGAATTATTAGACAATGAGATATTCCCACAATGGCTCCGAGTATTATACAAATGGCTTACGATGGATCCTAATCATGTGAATTATGATGAAATCAAAGAATGGTATATGTGGTGGAAACAAGTATTTACTTCTTTGGGTATTGCTGATCATCCTGTACTATTGAAATGGACTAGACGAGCCTTGGAAATGATGAATGCTGCATCTAGTGGTGAATCTATTGAAGCTCCTTAGTTTAGATATTTTTTATTTTATCTTGAATAAAACTTTACTTTTTTTTTAAACTATTAATCTACCATAGTTTATAGTTGAAGAGTGATATTTTTTTTTCTTTTAGGTATATCCCAAATTGGGCATGAGGGTTTGATCTCCGGTGGTAAAGATGTGTCATGCATTCTCAAAAAAAATTCATTGATCATCTTTTAAATCATCATATAAAATTCTCAAACATTATTTCTTGTTATCTATTTCTAAAACCTTAGTATTAAAATATATATGGGGAGTATGATGTTAACTCAATACCCTTTCCGTTTTTCTGAAGACGAAAATTTTTTTTTTCTTTGACCTAAATCTTTCTCAGTCCACTCAAGTGAGCACTTGTGGTCCCAAGTGACAATTTACCGGCGAATGAAATGTTTGCCCTCTCTCCCGATTTTGACTGTCAAAAAAAAAAAGCCTTCTTTTTTTTTTCTTATTAAAGCGCACAATAGAATTTTTTTTTCTTTTTCCTGTATATTTTCTTTTTTTACCACTTGTTTCTACTTTACCCACCCACTTTATTTGATCTTTCAAAACTTTTCTTGGTTGAAAAAAAACTCAAAAGTGTTTTTTACAAGATATCAAAGCTAAATAAAAAGGCTCACTGTTTATTTTTTTTGGTGACAAGAATCATATTTGTGTCCTTCTTTTGATCCATATCTTTACTGTCTCTCTCTTTCTCTTTCTTGAGCAACTCCCTTTATTATGGGCGGGTAAGTAAACAATGATATTGATCAAACAAAAAGTGTTCATGTCTAATCTTTTTCTTTTTTTCTTTTCTTTATTCTAGCGTGACAATAGCTCCTCAACTCGCGAAGAACGACAACGACTCTTTTTTGGCTGCTTTTAACGCGAACACAACTCAACTCGAAAATACTAATTCTACAATGGATGACCTATTATCTTCTACTCATGGCTGGCCAATGGAAGACTTGACTGGTGAAGTCCATGATCTTATGTTAAGGTAAAAAAAGAAAAAAAAAAAGGAAAGAAATATAAATAGACTGATCATTCTTTTTTTAAAAAAAATTAGGGAATCTATGACTTGGTTACCATGGATGGATAATAATGATACCTTTCACACTACTAGTACTGCTGCTACTACTACTACAAATAGTAAAAATCAATCATCTTTGGAAGGCTTTGATTCTCAATTATTGGCTCAAACTTTACAACTGGATGGTTTATTTGGTCAAGAATTGAACTTTGATCAATTTGATGAAACTACTTCTTCGTTATTCTATGATGAAATGACTTATGGTAAGTGAACTTTTATTTGAATCCAACTTGTTGGTATAAGCTTCTAATATATATTATGTTTAGATCCATCTCCTGTTACCACTCCACTTCCTACACCAAGCGAAGATCATTCACAAGAAGACTCGGAAGAAATAATGTCTGGCAATACCGCTATAGTAGATACTGCTTCTACTATTACTACTCCTAAACCTACTGCTACAAACTTACCATCATTAGAGTTAGAACATATCATTGACAGTAATGATGAAAAAGATGATTCTGATGAAGAACAAGAACTCCAACAGGTTGATGATGATGATGATGATTCTTCCACTGATGATGACGATGATGATGATGATTCTGACGAAGAAGATGGTCCTGTATCTTTGTTGACAACAACTTATATGTATTTACCCAAGCGACAAGTGGAAGAAACCCTGCTAGGCAAAATTACTGAACATTTACAACCTGATAAGTTACCTGGGATTCTCTCTATTGTATCTTCTGGTGCGGATGATCAAAATGAAGGTGAAGTGGAAATCGATCTTTCTTGTTTGGTACGTGAACAATTGGTTAGAGTCATGTTATATGTGGATGCTTGTATTGCAGAACAACAAGGTGGACCTACTGTCAAGTTATCTGATTATATGATCAAGGAAACCAAGTCCAAAACGTCTACCATGGTACATAATCACAACATTGATGATGATGATGATGATGAAGATGATGATTGTATGGATTCTACAGCTGGACAAAAAAGGAAACGAAGACGAAGAAGTAGAAAAGAAAACAGCAAAACAGAAGAAGATGGTCCTATCTCTATGGCGGCCTTAACCAAAAAGACTAGATCAAGGAAAATGACAACTGTAGATACTTCTTTACCTGTAACAAAACCAACAACAAATGGAAATAGTAAACGAAATAAATCATCATCCTCAATCAAACGAAGAAGATCAAGGAAAAATCAACTACACCAACATGATCCCTCTGTTTCTGCTCCGGTCAATAGTAAACATGATCCTAACAGTATTGCATCCACTCGTCCAAAACGTCGTGCTGCTCTCCACAAGCGTCGTATGTTGGAAGAAATGTTACTGATGCCTTCTGATGATGAAGATGGTGCGGATGATCCAGCAGATCAACAAGTGATGATTACCTATGGTGAAGAACAAATGGATTTCCGGGTAGTTGATAACCAAACTATTGTACATCAACCTCAAGTATCAACAACACAAATGGTGGCTTCCAATGACTCTACTTTATTGGTCCAAGACGATGATGACGATGATGATGATGAAGAAATCGATATTATGTGATTTTTTTTGACATTATCCCTCCTCCTTTTTTGTTTACTTATTCCTTCTTCCATTCCTTTTTCATTTCTTATTTGCATACATTATTTTATTTTATTTTATTTTTTTTGTTCATTCTATTCATTGTTTTTCATATCATCCTTTATCATTTCATGTATCTTTTTTTTTATATATTTTCTTATTTTTGGATCCATTGTGATATAATATTTTCCCATATTCATCTATTTTATTTAAAAGCATCTTTTGTTTTTCAATAAAAAAAAAAGCATTTTCTTTTTCTTTTTGTTTTGTCATAGCAATTATCCAATAAGATTCAAGATCGATGCTCGGTCAATATGCATCTTCACGAAAAGCATGTTTTAAGGCCAGCAACCTTAAAATATACTTATTTCTGTGTTTCCCTTTTTTTTTTTTTTTTTTCTTGCTTTCTCTCTCTTCTTCTTTTCCCATAGATATAAATACAATGCCTCCTTTACATTTCATTGGAAGACGTTCTGCTGTTTATAGTACTCATGCCATGGTATCTAGCTCGTAAGTTAAATTGTTTTCTTTATCTTATATCTGATCATTTATCTATACCAATGGTACCTTGATATCATTTTTAGTCAACCTTCTGCCACTCAAGCTGGTATTGAAGTGCTTAAAAAAGGTGGAAACGCTGCTGTAAATGATATATATATATATTTGTATAGAAAAAAAAAGGTTGGATTTACATTTTAGTTTTATTTTGTATGATAGGATGCTGCTGTGGCTGTGGGTAAATATATGACTTTTAGAACCTGATGGAACATATGTATACGAGATAACTCACCTTTGTTTTTTTTCTTATGAAATAGCTGCTGCACTTGGTGTTACAGGTAGGGAAAAAAAATCAAGAGGGGAAAAGAAACAAGAAGAAAAAAGATAGCACAGAGACAATTAGACTCACTTTTTCAACGTCCATTTTTATCTGACGGTGATAGAACCTTCTTCTACTGGTATTGGTGGAGATGCTTTTTGTCTTTTCTATGATGCGAAAACCAAAACTGTCAAAGGACTCAATGGGTCTGGAAGGTAATATAAAATACATTAAATCATACAAATTGACCAAACTTTATATATATATATATATATATACTATAGAACACCTGCCAATTTGACACTTGATATTATTCGAAAAGAAGGCATTGAAGGTCAAGGTTTACCCAGTAAAAGTATTCATGCTGTTACTGTTCCTGGTGCTGCTGCAGCTTGGGCTGATTGTGTGGAATGGTTTGGATCAGGAAAATTGGATCTTGCCACTGTTCTAAAGCCAGCGATTGATTTAGCTGAAAATGGGTAAGGGGTATTTCCCTAAAAAAAAAAAAAAAAAAAAAAAAAAGTGAAATTCTCATCTATTCATTTATTTTTTCTTTTATGCATTAGTTTTCCTGTTGCTGAAGTATCTTCTCATCTTGTAAGTTATCCTTTCATTATCCTTTGTACTACTAAGGACTAATATCTCCAATGTTTACTTTATCTAGTGGAAAGCACAACAACAAGATTTGATCGACTTGAACCCTGGGCAGCAGATAGAATACCTTATAGATGGTCTACGTGCTCCAGATGAAGGTGATATTATGACACTTCCAACACTGGCAAAGTAAATAATGAAAAGCAAGGGGATCTATATTATGGTATACCAATCTTTTTAATTATTATTATTATTTATTGTTTAGATCGTATAAAGTACTCGCTCATCAAGGGAAAGCCGAATTTTATCAAGGATATATTGGTCAAGCCATTGTTGATGCTGTTCAAAATCGTGGAGGTGTATTGACAATGGAAGATTTGGCCATACATTCATCTCAACCAGTAGAACCCATTTCCATCGACTATCACGATCATACAGTATGGGAAATCCCTCCTAATGGTCAAGGCATTACTGCATTGATGGCTCTTGGTATTATTGAAGCTTTAGAAAAGAATGGTTCAGTCGATTTTACACAACTGGAACATAACTCGGCAGCTTATCTTCATGTGGTCATTGAAGCTTTACGTTTGGCTTTTGCAGATACCCGTTACTATGTTGGCGACCCTGATGTTGTTCATGTACCTATTCAAGAATTGTTAAGCAAGGTAATGTTGATTTGTACTAGTGATATAAATAATTATACTCATTCATATTATCATAGGAATATTTAGCAGAACGAGCAAAATTGATCGACTTGAAACATCGTAATGGAAACATTCAAAAAGGGTATCCTGAAAAAATGGGCAACACAGTTTACTTTTCAGTAGTGGATGAAGAAGGCAATGCTTGCAGTTTCATCGTAAGTCCAAAAAAAAAAAAAAGAGAGAGATCGAGCAGTTACTAACAAAACATCATTTTATTTATGATTGACTTAGAATTCAACATTTATGGCATTTGGTGTAAGATCAATCAATATCTCTTTCAATGATGATTATTTTCTAACTTTTGTTCTGTTTCTTCTTCTTCTTTTTTTTTTTATGGTAGTCAAACATTATCCCTGAATCATGTGGATTCCCTCTTCATAACCGTGGTTGCAACTTTGTATTGATAGAAGATCATCCAAATTGTATTGCTCCTAGCAAACGACCTTACCATACCATTATTCCATCGATGATTACCAAGAAGCAAGATAATGGAGATCATGAATTTGAAGCCTGTTTTGGAGGTAAATGCATCAACTCGATTGTTCAAAATGCACAAAAAACGATTCAACTTTTTTTTTTTTTTTTTTTTTTTTTGTGAATGGGAAACTCATAGTGATGGGTGCTTTTGCCCAACCTCAAGGTCAAGTTCAAGTGATTCTGAATATGCTGCGATACCTGCAAAACCCTCAACATTCTTTGGATCTGCCTCGTATCTGTGTAGCTCCTCCTGCACCTCAAGACAAAAACAAGAAACTGGATGCAAATGCCTACTCGTTCACCGATGTATCTCAATCAGTTGTTTATTTGGAAGATGGTATCACTACACAAGCTATTCAAGAACTGGAAACTATGGGTCATACTTGTATTCAATTGGTGGGTCATGCTCGATCCATGATGGGTCGTGGTCAGGTCATTCGTTCCAAATATGATCAACGTACAGGCAAACGTGTCTTGGTGGCTGGTTCGGATCCAAGGGGTGATGGTCATGCTGAAGGTTGGTGATTAGCAAAATAGTTTATATTAGTATTTAGTTTCGTTTTGTTGTTATTATTATGGTTATTCGAATAAAACGAACGGGCAGAAATGATTATGCCATTATGGTGAAAAATCACTTTGATTTCCTTTTTTGTTGTGTGTTGAAAAGTCAATGATATGAGCAGTCTCTATAATGATGATTACATGAATGGAATATAGAATAGATGATAATGATACATGATGACGAATGTATAGGAATAAATGGTTGATGATGGTTGCAATGACGAGGAATGATGGAGAAGGGAATGTATTGACTCTCTAAAGATCCAAACTAATTTCTCCACACTTTCAGTTTAGAAACTCAAAACCAATTATTTATGCATAACAAGATGACATTGAACAACAACGAGATAAATATATGAGGATACAAATTTTATTGTTTTTCATTCCCAACAAACACACAATAAAAAAAAATGATGATAGAAGATGACAAAAGAGAGAGACTATACTAATAAAGTGGGATAATATCAAATGGGTGATGATCAAACTAAATCTATTTCTTCTTGTTAGCTTCTTCTTCAGCCTTATCACGAGCACGCTTTTCACGGGCACCAAGAGTACGCTTTTCAGAGCGAGCATAACGGAGCTTCATGTAAGCATTGGTGGACTTTTCTTCAGCAGTGATGGCACGAGCTTCAGGAGCAGCAGCAACTTGTTGAACAGGGAAGAGAGCACCCTTGAATTGAACAGCAGAAGCAACTTCAGCAGCCTAATCATAAACAAATGGTTAGTCTCTTTTTTTTTTTTTTAATTACACATCCTTTCCTAACTTACTTCAGAATCACCCTTCTTGGGGCTACCAGCCTTACGAGGGAAGACAATAAGCTTAGCTTGGTAAGCCTTCAAACGTTGGACATTAAGTTCAAGGGATTCTTGAGATCTGTTACGACGACGGTGATCGACAGCAATACCAACAGTACGAGCATACTTGGGAGTAAGGCCAGCTTCCTATTTTCAATATATATGTATATTAAAAAAAAAGGTAAATAGGTTATATTGACCATCTATTTTATATATATATATATATACCTTGATTTCTTCGAGAGTGAAACCACGACCAGATCGCAACTTCATGTTATAACGAAGAGTAGGACAGCGGACAGCAGGACGAAGAAGACCATCAACAGGACGAGGAGCAACACGAGTAGCCTTTTGAACACGAGCAACTCTACGGGCCTTCTTGCGACCAGCTTGGTCAAACCAGGTCTTGACACGGCGTTGCCATTGCTTACGGAAATGCTGGTTGGGCAATTGATTGTTGTGCTTCAATACCATTTTCTATAATAATGAATTATATATGTATAAGAAATAAATAAAAAAAAAAGTAAGTTTCCTAATGATATTGTAAATTTATTGTTCGTTTATCATTGTTCGTTTATTTATGGTTCAACCATCACATGCACACTTTGTTGATTTCCAATTCAGCTTTATTTTCAATTTTTGTCGTTAATTCGTATCCTTTCCATTCATCCATCCATCCATCCATCCATTTGTTTATTCCTTTCTTTTAAAATTATTTTATGTTGTCATTTATTTCGTTCCTTTTCAATGTGCATATGATGGTGATCATGTTGATATTATAGTAGATACGTACGGATGATGACCACTAAAGTATAGGGAAAAAAAGAGAAAGAACACCAATGGCACCTAATTCCCAAATTGATTTTAAGAAAAAAAAAACTCCTACTCTTTTCCTCCCTCCCCTCCCTCACTCTTTTTTTTTGACCAAGAAATTGCGACCCGAAGGTTAAAAAAAAAAAAAAAAGAGGCTTGGGTTGATGATCATTGGAAAATGAGACGGCCTTTGAATTCATCCAATTTTTTTCACTTGCAAAAGCAAAAAGGCAACTGTACCGAGGAATATTGCCGAGTTGGTTGAATAAAAATTGTTTGATGATTTTTTTTTGTATTGAAATGAAATAACTTTTGGAAATAAATAAATAAAAAAAAAGAATCAGATGATGAATAAAACAAGAAAAAAAAAAAAAAAAAGAAAAAAAGACAATCAATAAAAGGAAGGACCCTACTCAATAGGACATATATAGGAAGTAGCGGGAAAGATTGGGTAACATGTCAGATTTTCTTTTTTCTTTTCTTTATGGATTTTCCCCATGGTACTGGTTTAGTGCCACCTAAATAATAATAATAATAAAAAGAAAGAGATTTTCTTACATTTCGTTTCTCACCGTTTCCTTTCTAAGATCTCCTAATGTACGTGATTACGTTTTACCAAATTGGTCATTTTCATTGATAAAACGATTGATAACTAAGAATTTGAAGGATTTTCATTGGCTGCATGTCTAATTTGATCCCAGTACCGGTCTATTTTTTTTCATCTGCCTTATCAGCTCAACAAATCTTTCTTCATTCTTTTTTTTTTTTTTCTTTTCTCCTTTTTTTTTTTTTTATTATTTTATTTTTTTTTTTACCCCAGTTTTTTTTTTTCTTTTTTTTTATTATTCTTGTTTATTTATCATCATGGATTTTTGTCAATCTGAACCTGATTTCACTAAAGTACCATTATATCAGCCTGATCATATTACTTTTTTAAATAAAGAGGACTCTCTTTTAAAAGGTACTGAACATCAACAACAACAACAACAACAATCGGTTAATCCTAATCCTACATCTTGGACACCACCTTCTTTTGATCTTCAAGATATGCTTGTTCATTATCGATCACAACCTGATCTTTTACAACTTATCCTGGAAAGCAAACTTCAAGAAGATAGACGACGTACCGAAGAAGCTCGATTAAAGGCAAAAGAATTGGATTTAATGTTATTACAACATCAACATCAATTTAACCAACAACAAGCATCATTTACAACTGCTTCTTTATTATCATCATCATCAGCATCATCAGCATCATCATCATCATCACCACAAACACAATCATCATCATCATCATCATCCGATCATCATCAACAATTACCTTCTTCTTTTATGAAAAGAAGAGATTCTTCCTTATTTAGTAGTACAGGAACTTCCGAGGATTTGGATGAAGTCATCTTTTTACAACAAATGGCAACTAGGTATCTATTAAAAAAAAAAAAAAAAAAAAAAAGTTGTATTAGTAAAACCTTACGATCAAACGATCTTGAATCTTGTCTATTGAACTCCGCTAACACTCACCCCTCTTTTTCCCGTTATTTCTTGGCAGTTTACCAGATAGCATTGATACCCATGAATCCATGTCTCCACCTTGTCCAATACCCGAGTTTTATAATAACAACAATGACAAGGATACAATACAACAACAACAACAACAACAACAACAAAAGCCTAGAAAAAGAAGAGAAATGCAAGCGATTACTAAATTAGTTGAAACACGAGAATATCCTTACCTTGATGGCCATTTTTGGAGAAATAACGGCAATACTATCCAGAAAAAAACGGGCAATAAAAGTGTTTATTTTAAATGTTCGAATAGTACAAAGGTAAAAAAAAAAAAAAAATGATCATTATAAAATATATAAATAGTGACACTCATTTTCATCATTTATAGGGTTGTCCTGTCAATAAAACGTCTACTTATTGTCAAGAAACAGGGGAATATATAATCAAGTATCGTGGCGAACATCTTCCAGAATGTGGCAAAGTACAACATATAGTAGAAGTTTAGAAATAGTTCCTTTTTTTTTTTTGTATATTATTATAGTTGATCAATAAATTCATTCATCCGTTTTTTTAAAACAACCCCAATCGAAAAAAAAAAGAAAGCTACAACCCCAAGTTGCCCAATCATCGATATTATTGGGCTGGAAGACTCATCGGCTTTGTGGTTGGCTGATTTATCTCTGACTACAAAAAAAAAAAAAAAACAAAAAAATCCCAATTTTTTTTTCTTTTTCTTCACTCATTCTTTTTTTGGACTTTTTAACTTTTTTTTTCACCTCCTCCCTTTTTGTCGTTCTTTCACTTATCTTTGTCCCTTTTCCTCTTTATTGTTTTGTCGAAAACTAACCTTCTTAGGTTTCTCACATTTACCTCAACTTCTCATCCGTTATGTTTGCCACTCTTGACTTGCCGTTACGTGGTAAGCTATCATCTACAACTCTTATAATTGTACTATTATAGGAACTAAGGAACGTTTTTTTTTATATATTAGATGACAATAGACACAAACGGCTTAAAGTAGGCAGAGCATGTCATCCTTGTCGTATGAAGAAAATCAAGGTACATCTTTTCTCTTTTTTTAAGAAAAAAAAACTAAACTCTTTTTTATTTTATCTTTTCTTTTTTTCTTTATAATAGTGTGATGGGAAACAACCATGTATGCAGGTATGTATAGTATTGATATTTGGACTTTTTAGTTACTGTGCAAATGGGTTACAATCACGGCATGTCAGGTGCTAACTCCTTTTTTTTTTTTTTTATGCATTGATCTCTTTGTGCTTTGACCTGTTTTTTTTTTTTTTTTTTTTTTACTACTTTTTTTTTTTGTCTCTTTGTTATCTCTCTCTCTCTCTCTTTATTTGGCCTATTAGTGCAAAGGTAAGACAAAAACAGAGTTAAAAAAAAAAAACCTTAAATATTAAAATATATCATATATTTCTTCTCCTTTTTTAGCTCGACGTAGAAAATGCATGTACATGAAGAATACGGATGCTACTTACATCAAATTGGATCCTGATGATACTTATCAACAAACCACTAATAATGACAATAATGGATTAACTGAATCGACAACAATCATCGAACAAGATCAATTATTTCAAATAGATCATCATGAACAATCTTGTACATATCCAACAAACGTCAATTACAATACTTTGGTTACTAGATCCGATAAGATGATGGAACAATTAACACAAGGATTAGTTCAATTAACTTTGCATCAAGATACTTCTCAATTGAAACAAGAAACATTAACTCCATGGCGAAATTATGGTGACTTTGTACGATGGACAACTGAACCACCTTTACCTCGACATTTCTCTGCATCATTGGAAATGCCATCTAGGGCTGTACAAGAACAACTGATTCAAACCTTCTTTACTCATTGTCATACTTTATTACCAACCATGTCAAAAGGCATGTTTTATGATCAATTGCATACAAAAGGTCCTTTGATTACCCCACTTTTACTCAATATGATTTATGCTCACGCCTCGGCTTATCAACATCAACAACCACCTCCACCACTTGGTATGCCACCGTCATCAACTTCTTTACCATCACTCAATATTGATAGCGACATGTTTTATCAACGAGCAAGACAATTATTGGATGGATTTTTGGATGAACCTAGGATTAGTACAGTGATCGCTCTATTATATATGGTATCTTATGAAGATAATACTCAATATCAAATTCAACATAATGGACAACGACGACCAGGACGAACAAGTCGAGCTTGGATGTATAGTGGTATGGCTATTCGCATGTGTTTGGAATTAGGATTACATACTTCTCATTACAGTAGTCAAATGTCACAGTTCGATATTGAACTACGCAAACGGGTACTTTGGACATGTTATGTCATGGACAAGTTGGAAAGTTGTACTATGGAACGACCTTGGATGTTACGATCTCAAGATATTACATTGGACTTACCGACACCATTACCAGAAGATGATCAACAAGAACGTAACATTTTGGATGGATTTGCTCAGCTATGTCGACTGATGATGTTAGTGGAAAAAGTTCTTTCATTCTTTACCTACGAAAATAGAACAAGCGATGGAGATTGGACAACAAAAGAAGAAGCTCAAGTACTCTACTTTTTGGATCAATTGATGCAATGGCGATCACTTTTACCTGAAGAATTTCAATGGCATCCATCAGACGGTTTACGACTTCCTACATCGTTCATTGTTACCAACTTACATCTACTCTCTTATGATTTAGAACTGTCTTTGGTATTGTGTTGTCGGTTTCAGATGGAACAATTACAATATTGTGAACGACGTCGATCTTTGGCCAATACAATCACTCGTATTGTTACTCTCACGGTACAATACCCTCATTTGATGTATACTTCTGCAATCTCTGGCTTTTCTGGGATTTTTGCCGCTTTGGTGCATGCTAGTGATGTCGATCATGCAAGATTGGAGGTAGCAAAGGATGCCAAACAACAATTCAGATTGACTTTGGAAACCATTCGTGGATTAGTGGACAAGATACCTATGCGCGACGTACGACAATTTGTAGGACTGATTGATACTTTCTTACGACCATCAAACGATCCATCATCATCAACAACACCATCATTATCTCCTGCCTTTTCATATGCAATGAACGGTTTATATCACATCAACTCAATACCACCTACTGGCAATCATACAACTATTAACGATGACCATAAGAAGCAATCCACTTTGGAACAAGATAAAATGATGCAACGTATGTTAGGAACACAGGACATATACGAAGCACAACTTATGGCCAAAACATTAACGACATTACAACATCATCATCATCACCATCAACATCGTCGTGCAGCATTTCCAACACCATTCACTACACCCTCTCCTCCACCATCCAATCATACAGAAAATAATACGATTCTCTTGGAAGAACAACAACAACGACAAAAATTATACCCAGTAGTTTCATCCTCATCATCCACATCGACAGCATCATCATCACCATCTGCAGGTAATGCGACTATTCGACCAGGGACAAATCTATTTGCATTTTCATCTCAAGCAGCAGAAGCAGCAGCGGCAGCAGCGGCAGCGGCAGTGGGAGCTGTTGGACCTCCTGTGACGAATTATCAACAACAAACATCACAACAACATATGAGTATGACTATTCCAACAGGTGATGGACCAATCAAAAGTATTGAACCGGCAGATTATACGTTTGAACTTATTTCTGTGGATGATGAATGGGCGAAATCTCTGATATATTAAATCATTTTGTTTTCTCACTCTCATTGTACATTATTTTATTATTATTATAGTATCATTTTAGTTTAGATTCATTTCACCTTTTTTTTTTATATTACTAATATTATTATTATTACCATCCTTATTATTACTGTTATTACTATTGTAGCATCCCATCATTCACCATCATACTCACCACTCTATTTTTACAAAAACACAATAAAGATCATCCTTTCATCAACCTGTTTGTGTTATATCACGAATTCTTTTTTTTTTTTTTTTTTAGATTGGTAAAGCAAAGAAGGTTTTTCTTCCTAACAAATAAAAAAAAAAAGGAGGGGGAGAAATAGGAGGTAAGAGAAAGGGGGGAAAAAAACATTTGGAGGGAAAGCTGTATCTCTTTTTTTTTTTCCTTTTACAATCTGTTATATGTATATATGCTTTGGATTTCTTAAACAATAATGTAATATTTGCCTCATTGCAGAACAAAAATCACATCCAAAGAAAAAAGCAAATGGAAAACCACGTTGCATAATTTGATGATTTGGATTGGCTTGATGACCTAATGTAAGGGGGACGACATTTGGAACAATGCTCAATAATGATGATCTTTTAAGGATCGATGGGCAAAAAAAAAAAAAAATTGCGGAGAAAAACCAGTGATATAAACGAACTCTGGAAAGGGGGAGAGAGAAAGGGAGAAAGAAAGAAGTAGACAGAAAAATGATGATCAGATAGTATGTTTTTAAAGAGAACAACTTTTTTCTTATTCTCTTTTATTTCCTTTTCTTTTTTTTTTCTTTTTTTTTTTTTATAATTCTATCATGTATTTTTTCAATCTTTGTGTGTATTGTTTGACACTATTTCCATTGATTTATGGACTTCCATTGGACCCTAATTCATCCGCCACCAGTGCTTTGACTGGTCGATTTGTTCAAGTGACAGGTACTTTTCTTTTTTTGCCTCATCAATCCATGGATTTACTTTATTTTATTTTATTTTTTAGATTTTCATATGGATCCTCATTTTATAGCAGGTTCAGATACATCAGCTTTTTGTCATCGTAAAGAAAGTCTAGGTGATGTAGGACCATTTGGGGCATTAAGTTCAAGTTGCGACTCGCCTCCCGCTTTGGTAAAGTATCTATATATCTTCTTCAAATGGCAAAGATAAATGATGATTTATCCTTCCTCTTTTTTATATATATATATCCAGGTGGAAGAAGTATTCAAGTTTTTGAAAACATTACCAAAGAATGATTTTGTGATTTATACTGGCGATTCTGCAAGACATGTATGATAAAAATATATAGATAAATATATATTACATAAACCTTTTTATTAACATAACATTCTATCATCCTTAAAGAATCGAGACAAGAAAGAAATCCCTCGTGATTATGATGAAGCTCTTGAAACACAAAACATCATTGTTCGTCACTTTATGGAGACGTTTGATACATCTACTACAAAGGTGGTAAGTGTCTTCTTTAGCATGATTCATATAACATTGAAAAAGTCATACTCCGCAAACGATATATCTTCTTACCATTGTCTTTTTTTTTTCTTTTTTCTTTTTTTTTTCTTTTTTCTTTTTTTTTTCTTTTTTCTTTTTTTTTTCTTTTTTCTTTTTTTTTTCTTTTTTCTTTTTTTTTCTTTTTTCTTTTTTTTTTTTTTTTCCTTGCTTAGGTTCCCGTTATCGGTAACAATGATGTTGAAAAAAACAATGATTGTTCGGCTGATGATCCTGCTTACGAAGCTATACAAAAAGTATGGTCGCCTTTGAACTTGAATATTGAACAAGACTTTTATCATGGTGGATATTATGCTCAAGATCTAATTCCTGGTAGATTACGTGTCCTCAATACAAACACCATGTTATTTAGTGCCAAGAATAAACTAAACAAAATCGATTGTGATGTTGAAGATAGTCCTGGTTACAACCATATGGGTTGGCTTAAGTCTCAATTGGACAACGCTCGTGGTCAACAGATCAAAGTCTATATCTCGTAAATGAAAAAAAAAATAATAATAATAATAATAATAATATACTGATTTTTTTTTTGGATAGAGCTCATGTACCTCCCAACAGTAAACGTGATCGTGTATTTTACAAAGCAGCCTGTTACAATAGATACTATCAACTTTTAGGTGATTATGCTGACGTGATTTTGGGTCACTTTGCTGGGCATTTCAATAATGATGTCTTGACAGCGGTGGTCAAAGGCCCTGGTTTGGATCAATTTGATGGTGTAGTAGATGACGACAAAGATAAGAACGAAGATCAAGATGACAAGGATAAGAAGGAAGAAAAAGACACCAATGATGACAATAATCAAGATAATGATGACAAAGGAGGTTTAGACAAACGTGGACACAAACATCAAACACTGACCACCTCCCAACTCAACCCACCCTATGGACATGTGGCCCTTCTAGGTAAACCATGCAACATCACATCACCCACACCACAAGCACTTGGTGTTTTGTTCAACGCTCCATCTGTCATTCCTCTCAACAATCCAGGGATTCGGGTTTATGAATATGAAACAACAGGTGAAAGGTAAAAAAAAAAAAAAAAAAAAAAAAAAAATCTTATAGTGGTTCTAATCAAATTATTCTTTATTATTATTATTACTGTTATTAATCTATAGGGCGCCTATTGGCACAATTTTGACTTACAAACAATATTATGCTGATATTCAAGAAGCCAATTCCAAAGGTGTACTAACATTCAAGTTGGAATATGATGCTGCTCAACTGTATGGCGTGGAACGATTCGATGCCGCTGGTATGACTCATATTTTGGAATCTCTAGCTGCCAATCCTCAAGCTTTTGAAGAGTTCACTCGGGTCAAGAATCCTTTACCTCCTCCACCTGAAGACGATTAATCACGTATTCCCCCCTCTCTTACTTTATTTATTTTGTATCAGTTTGTTTGTTGAAAACATATTTTCAGTTTTTATATAGTACTGTTTTTATACATTTGAATAATAAAAAAAAAGAAAGAAAGAAATGTTGATTATCTCTGAAAATGGCATTTTGTATACCTTCCCTTTTTATAATTGTAGTGATGATGATAATGGCAATTATAGTCATTCTCTTCTTTTTTTTTCGTTATTCAAAGGACTCAATCCATGATGATGATGCCGGATTATTTTTATCAAGAACTGATTCAATTAATGTATTCATATGATTATAATGGGTAGAAAAACAATAATTACGAAACTACTAGAATTAGCACTAACTACCAATAAAAAAAAATCATCCACTATATTAGTGGATGACGATGATTACAGTTCATTTACTTTGATCAAGTTGAAATCCCGAGGTCGAGAGTCAGTCTTACTTGCTGCATACTGGACTGACTCCATATTCATACAAGAGGTGCATGAATCGGAGAGAACAAGGGACCTTTATGAAGAAAGAGACATTATTTTTAAAGAGTTTCTAACACAATCTAAATATAAATGCTGTAATCTAATATAAAGTGAAAGTACTACGTTGTATAACAAATGGCTAAAAAAAAAAAAAAAGACGTTCCCACACAACTTTCTTTTTCAAGTCCAACTTTAATGACATAATAAAATGATGTTGTATATACAAAATGTAAGTTTTATTGATCATCATCCATAATTGCCTAACCATCACTTAAATTAAACTACTGTATCAATATACTTTTTTATTCAAGTCCCTTCGACTATCATAGAACTCCGGATTGACATTGATGAACTACCAAAAAAAAAAGGAATATTTTAGTAAACTGGAATACGTGGACGCGTAGGAAATATATTCGTTTGTTTTTTCCCTTCTTTTACCTTGATGTTTTCATGTTGTTGAACACGTTGCCAAGGATAAGGATTGTTCTTGCGGTCAACATGGATTTCAGGATGAGTACGTAAAAGGTAAACTAAAGTAGAGATGAGGAAAAAAAAAAGACTATTTTTAGTCATCACCATACAATCATCATCCATCCTCATCAGCACATGACTAACAATCGAGAGAGGAAGAAAAATACTTACGAGGATACCTATAATTAAAAAAAAAAAAAATGGAATGAATACCTAGTATATTCCCGTTTTGATGAAAATGAATTCACTTACGAAACAGCAGCAACGCAACCACCACCAGCAAATACAAAGAGAGGACCTAAAGCAGGATTGGCACGTACAAAGGCAGCAAAAGAAGACATAATAATGATGATGATTTTATAATCAGGAAAATAAATAAAAAAAAATAAAAGAAAAAGAGTGAAAAAGGGAGAAAGAAAAAAAAATTTCCATTTATATACGCAGCTAGTCATGTGAACTTCCCCTCTCTTTCTCTCTCACAACAGCATAAACCGTGCCCCTTAAAACAAAAAGAAAACACAAAGTTTTAAATAAGCGTGTGAAGTCGCTAAGACATCTTTTATTTCCCATGCTTTTAGGGGTATAAGCACTAACAATTCTATATTCTATCTTTTTTTTTTTACTGTCGGAAGTTGAATAGTGGATGGTGCTGCGATGATGATATTGATGATGACAAGGTCAATGGTAAAATTCATCCTTTTTTTTGAAATAGTTTATCATCATTTGCTTCTTCTTGTTTTTGTCTTTGTTGTTGTTGTTGCTGTTGTTGTTGTTGATGAATACAAAGTAATTGTTGGGATCCAGATGGCGTATTTTGAAGTTGAGGTGTTATCTTTGTATTAATATGTGTACGTTGATACGGTGATAAATGATGTCCAAACCTTGACATAACATTATCCATATAAGTAGGACTCGATGTTATACTTGGTGTTGATGATATTGATGATGATGGTTTAGAGAAATAGGATGACATGAAAATAAAATTATTTAGAAAAAAAAAATAAAAGAAAAGGAAGAAAAAGGAAAAAAAGGTAGAAAATCAAAAACAAAAACAAAAACAAAAAAAAAAAAAAAAAGATACCATCTTTTTTAGCACCAAAATTGAAAATTTTCTAGCTTGATTGGATCTTAAAAACGTCCTTTTAGCCAATGGGAAAATTTTCCCTCCATCGTTTTCTCCCAACTTGGGTTCTATGGTTCTTGAATTTTAAATATGTGGCTGTACCATGTGAAAACCCTGGATCTTTTTCAATCACCATGTTATTGTATTCTCTTTCTTTAGTTGCTTTTTTTATTTTCTCGTTGTCAACAGTAATGAACTTTGCTAGGTAAAAAAAATCAAACCGTTTAAGGATATTGATTTAAATTCCAGCAACAACTTCTTTTTTCATTGACTTCTCTTTTATCTCTTTTCTTTCTCCCTTTTTCTCATGATCTTACCATATTTTGTAGACACACATATATATGATCATACATGTATATATATCACCATACTCATCAGGTCAAAACCATAAATGAATGAATCCTTCAACAATGGAATTACTCGTCAACAACAACACTTGGCCATCATCACCAGGTTCCCCTTCTTCCATTTATGAAGCAAGAAAATTACCTAACAAATATACTTTTACTCTAACAACACGTATTTATCTCTTATTGTCTTTTTTATTTTCACTTGTCACTATTGTCTTTATGGTGGATTCCTTTTTACATGAACAACATGATGCCAAAGGTTGCCAAGTCCCATACATGAGACCAAGATATGTGAAACAGACCGACTTTGATAGTGAAAAGACACGCTTCGCTGGAAAATATGGCCTTTACTTGTATCGAGAACTAGATGTAGATATATCTGATGAAGTAAGAATAAAACAACTTGGATTCCTTTATGACTAAACAAAAAAAAAACCTTCTTTTATCTATCAAAGGTAACAGGAACACCAGTACTCTTTATACCTGGGCATGCTGGTAGTTATAAACAAGTACGAACAATCGCTGCTGAAGCTGCCTATCAATATTATCAACGAAAAGGATCTTTATCACATAATGGTGCTGCCAATTTGGATGTGTTTACAGGTAAATAGATTGAATTTGAATGAAGGAAACCATTGACATCAATTTCTTTTTCTTTAAAAAAAAATAGTTGATTTTCATGAAGAATTCTCTGCTCTTCATGGTCAATCCTTATTGGAACAAGCTGAATATATCAACGATGCCATTGATTTTATACTAAAACTATACCCACAAACTAGAAGACATGACAATGATAGAAAGTTGAATAACCAACCCGATCCGTCCTCCATTATTCTTATTGGTCATTCCATGGGCGGCATTGTAGCTCGAACAACATTTACATTACCAAACTATCAGCCTGGCTCTATTCATAATGTCATCACCCTTTCCACTCCTCACCTACTTCCGCCTGCTCCGTTTGATTGGCAAATTTCGGCTATTTATGACAGAATTGATGCTTATTGGCGTCATGGATATGATTCTTCTCAACAATACAAATTCTCACTCCAAGATGTGATGTTAATCTCCATTGCTGGCGGTACGCTCGACAACACTATTTGTTCTGACTCAACCAATGTAGGTGATTTGATTCCTTCAACACATGGATTCACTGTTTTTTCTACGGCTATTCCTCATGTATGGTCAGCTGCGGATCATAACGAAATCTTGGCCTGTCATCAACTCGAAAAGATATTGGCAAAAAGTGTATTAGACATCATTGATACTCGACGCGGATCTCAAACAAAACCTTTAGTGGATAGAATGTCAATTATGCAACGTGCCTTTTTGAGTGGACTTGAAGATAGACGAGGTGATGGTTCAGATTTGCATTTGGGTAAACCAAAAAAAAAAAAAAAAAAAAAAAAAAAAGAGAAGAAAATTATTTTTTTTTGTTTATTTTTTTTTTTTTTTTACTTGTGGTATATAGGTAATTGGACATTTATGTCATTGGACAAATGCACTCTATTGGATCGTAACGATTACTTGAATATCGACTCAACTACTCTCCCACGAATGGCATTGGTACCTATCCATTCAACTTTTGATGCTTTGACTTTATTGACTGATCAAATGGAAAGATATGGATTATTACTTTGTCGTCATGAACAAAATAGGATGATTGGATGTCGGTCTGTGGATATTCTTGTACCTGTACCATCTTCAAATGATCGTGATACATATCCATTCTCTGGCAATGAATTTGGTTTTGCAAGTATTTCTATGAATGAGACAATTGGCTATGATTATCTGGGAATTATGGATCACTACTATCAACAGCAACAACACTCAGCTACACAAAAGCAAAATTTTTTACTGGTAGGTACTATGTCGATAGGTCAAAACACTCAGGTCATCAAAAAATCCATGTTAGGTAGACTAAAAAAAAAAAAAAAAAAAAAAAAAAAAAAAAGAGAGATCCAACAGAGTATGAAACGCGCAGACCTCTCAATCTTTTTTTTTTATCTTGCATGATATATTGTAGGTATTGCTTGGAATGGGATACAAGTGACTCTCCAACCTTCTCTGTTTTCCACAGTTCATATTCCAACGATTGAAAATCCCATGTTGGCGTATCATCTTAAGATCACAAGTTCTCCTTGCTCCTCTGGAGGAATACGCCGATTCTCACCTTTTTTACGCCAATCCATCACCACCATGTACGAATCAAAATTCTATGTAGATTTAGCTTCAGGAAAGAAAAGTGACAATCAGAACGACCAAGAGGAAATGACAACACATATCTCAATTCATGGACGAGCAGCTTTTTCATCTATTTCCATCAACACACCAGATAAGTCAACAACTGGGCATGAAGGATTATTGATGCAATTTTGGATGGATCCTCTCTGTGATGAACCTCTTCGTTTTGATCTCACTATTGATTGGTATGCTACTATGGGACGAGTTGGATTTCGTAATGGTATGATGCTATTGACATTCTCTTTTATTGTCGTTATGTTGGTTTTTGTTGGTCAATTACAATGTTACAATCGTACTGGTAATACACATAATATATATATATATATATATATATATATATATATATTCTGATTATAGATGAACTAAACGAAACACTTTTATATATTTATATATAGGTATCTTCCCTAGTTTTACTGAAGGCTTAATCTACTGTTATCATTACACATTTCCATGGATTCTTGCTCTGGTTTCGTTGGCCAGTATTTATCAATGCAATAGACATCAAACCTATTTTTCTTGGATCTCTTGGCCTGATATATTGACTGGAAATATGGATGGCTTCTTTTGGTGGATTCCAGCCTTGGGATTGATAGTTAGTATTGGAATGATCAGTGGTATTTCCATGGTGATGGATGCAAGTTTACGATGGTGTTCTTCTGCTACAATTTTTTTTCCTTCTTGGACGACTTCATCATCATCATCGTGGATAAGCGGTGAATCTCAACGAATCCAACGACGTGTGATTGTTACTCTAATCTTATTTGTCCTTGTAGCTACGGTGATTCCTTATCAGTTTGTCTTTGTTCTCGGATTCCTTGTTCACATTGTCACCTGTATTAGAACATTACGACTATCTCGGAGCAAGGTAGGCACATTTATTATTATCAGCTTTGTCTTACTTTTCCTCTCTTATTACTTCGATTATGCTTATAGTCACCTTTGCGTCGTCTGGATCAGATGCGAACAAATAGATACCATTATATGCAAACGATCTTGTTATTACTATTGACATTATTACCATTCAATCTTCCTATTCTTGTGGTATGGATTCGTAACTTATCCGTTTATTGGTTGACACCCTTTAGTTCAGACCATAATGTATTTGCCATCGCTCCCTTTTTGATTCATGTAGAAATGTTGACAACTAGTATGAAAATAATACCTCGACACCAACCTACTAGTGGGGATAAACAAGATAACAACAATGCTGGTAATAGTGGACGATGGATGGCTTGGACAACATATGGATTGATGTATGGGATCATTGTTTATGCTTTTTTATACGGTGTGAAATACCCTCATTCTATCTACTTTTTATCCAATAACATGGTTCTTTGGTTACTCTTCCTTCAATTTTGGTCATCTCGTTATAGTTATTCAACTTTTACTACTCTTCTTCATTTTTTTACTACCAACAAACGTCGACGACCCTCATGATTCTAGACCTTTTCTTTTTTTTTTTTTTTTTTTTTTTTTTTTTTTTTTTTGTATTTTAACTTCCAGTTAGAAAAATGTATACCCCTTTTGATGATAATAAACGTATCTATTTTTTTATCCTAACCAATTAAATCATTCATTGACTATTTCATGATGACAATCAACAGGTCAAGTTTCTCAAAGATGGCTGGAACGATCTTGTTTTGTTTAAATAGAAGTTTTCTTTATTTCTGTAAACTATTCAAAACGGACCTTCATTTTTTTTTTTTTTGATAACCATCAAAAACCTATCAAACCAAAAATCAATGATATTTGTTTCATTCTCATCAGTATCGGCCATCATCATTGCTCGATGGGAAATAAAAGAAACACTTGACAAAAGAAAATTCATGGTTTTGGAATCATCTCATTCATGACTTGACAGGTTTACAAAACATCAAAATAAAATTGAAACAATATCGAGAATGGGTACCTGGTCCCTTTTTTTTTTTTTTTGAACGAATAGTTGAAACCATCGGAATTTCATTCATCAGAATATAAAAGACAATAGAAAAAAAAATATCTACTTCATTGTTCTTCTTTATTCACAAAAAAAAAAAAAATAGATATCATCATGTATTTCTCTCCTCTCGTTCTTTCCTGTGCTTTTCTTGGTGGATTGGTAGCTGGTCTTCCTGTCAACAATACCTCAAGTTATTCTGGTAATAATCCATTTGTGGTAGTGAAGAATCAATGTAGTTACTCGATTGTGGCTGGTACATCTGAAAATGGCAATCAATATGGCCAATCTGTGTCAGTATCTGCTGGCGGATCACACACATTTAATTATAATGCTCCTTGGGAAGGTCGTATCTGGGCACGTAAGAATTGTTCTGGCAAGACATGTAACTTTTCTGGTATGTGGGCTCCTACATCGTTGGCCGAGTTCCATTTCGCCTCTGGTACCACTGAAGATTTTTATGATATTAGTTTTGTCGATGGTTGGAATCTACCTTTATCCATCGCTCCCAACACCAAGTCCAGTAATAGTTATCAAGTCGATAAACACTGTGGTACTCCTTCCGTCAAGACCTTACCTGATTGTCCCCAAGGCTTCCAAACCGATGATGGTGCTTGTCAATCCGCTTGTTCCCATTTCCAAACCCCTGAATATTGTTGTACTGGTGCCTATAATTCTGCTGATACTTGTAAAGCTTCCTCTTATGCTGCCAAGGTGAAGGCTCAAGCCCCCGATGCCTACTCTTATGCCTTTGATGATGCTACTTCTGTTTATACTTGCAAGTCTCAAGGTTATACCGTTACTTTCTGTCCCTAAATGGATTCCCTTCTTTTTTTTTTCATCATATATATACATATCACATAGTCAGCATTTCTTTTTTTTTTTTGCATTTCATAATAAAACCTTTTTTTCGTTTGTTTGATACATTCATTCTTTTTTTTTTCATACTTAATTCTACTTTATTCACAATGAAATATATTGTCATTAACTAACTACAAGATACTAACTATGTAACAAATAAATAAAATAGAAATAATAAAATGATCTATCTATTCTATTGTTCACCACGACCTCTACCACGTCCACGAGTATGTCCACCACGCCCTCGTCCTCGTCCTCGATTTGATGTTTTCCTTGTCGTTGATGATGGTGATGATGAACTTTGTTGTGGCGATGATGACGGTACAAATGATTTGGAGGTTGCAGATAATGGTTTCGATTCCTTTTTCACTGATGTTGGTATAGGTGTGTCCTTCTTTTCCGATATTCCTGATGGTGTATCTTCATTTTTTTTCTGTTTGTCCTTTATAGGTGATTTCTTTTTGCTGCTACCAACATCCTTGCTTTTCGTACTTGATCCTTGTTCCTTCCTTCGTCCTGTTGTCTTTTTGGTATCCTCATTTGTCTTGCCCTTCTTGTCCTTACGTAATTCTTTCCGTGGTGTGGTATCCATCGTTGTTACCTTGTTGTTGGTAGTCATTTCCACAGTATCATCTTTCTTCGTCGTAGTATCCTTTTTCTTCGTTGTTGTAATATCCTTCTTCTTAGTATCCTTCTTTGTAGTGTCTTTCTTCCCCCTACTGCTTTGCTTGTTAGAATCTTCGGACACCTTATTCTTTCTATCCTGATTCGTAGATGGTTTCCCTCCTTTATCCTTCTTGCCAGATGTTGTCTTGTTTTTCTCCATTTTCTTTTCCTTGATCCGATCTGTATTGTCGTCCTTTGTTTGTTTTGTAATTGAGGTTGTATCCTTGTTGATAGTCTATAATTATGGTATGAGAATAAATCATCAATTCCCCTTTTTCTTTTTTTTTTTTTTTACTTGCCTTAATTTTGAAAGGAACAAAAGGAGGAGGCGCGTCATCTTGAGTGGAAGTCGACTGCTTTCCTTGTTTGGAACGATGGATGAATTGTTTTCCTGCTTTCCATGCTTGAACCATTTCTTGAACATGACCACCAAGAGAAGTCATCATGCCAGGACCCAAAATTAGTAGCTGTTCACGTATATCGATAGGTTTAGTTACCAAGAATTTCGTTCCAGGTGGTGTATGGAGACTAATAATAAAAAAAAATAAAAAGATGCATCACCATAAATAATTGCACTGTTCAACTTTTTTTTTTTTTTTTTTTTTTTTTTTTTACCTGAGCGACTCTAATGGTCCTAGGATTTCAGCACCTATCCATTTCTTTTTACTGCCATCGGTAAAAACCACACGTAATAACCGGGGTTTTTCAACATGTTGGATACTTGGTACAGCAATGTTTTGAACTTGAAGAACTTGTAATACTAAAGGTGATGGTAGTTGGTCACGTTTAGTCAAGTCACCTTTTCGAAAACCTTTATCACATATTTCACGCAAATCTGTCTACATCCTCCAAAAAAAAAAAAAAAAAAAAAAGAATGGTGTTTCGAATCATATAAATCACTTTTCCTATCATTCTCTTGTTATAACTTACATCCTTTGCGACTTCAATAAACTGTTCCAAAGTAGGGTTTTCCTGTTCCAATTGTTCCTTAATCGAATCTATTCCTTCTTGACTAAGGAACCATCCTTTTTCTTCCAGTGATTCATTGATAAAAGTTGTAGTGGCCATTATTATAGAGAAAAGAAGGAAAGAAATGAAAGAAAAAGAACGAGAGAGTGAGAAAAAGAAAAAGAAAAATTTGATCTCCGCTGTCATTTGTCCTTGGATGTGATATGCTTGATTGACTACGGGATAATGAATGGTGATGTCTAATTGATTTCTTAATAATATTAGCAAATCAGTTGATCTATTGATTAAAGATAAGTCTACAATCTTTTCTTTTAAAAAAAAAAAAATCGGAATAATCATGCTAGCCCAGAAACTGTTATCATATTATTATTGTAGAACGCAAATATGTGCATTATACGTACAATAATATAGTGATCATCACACTAATCATTAAATGACTTTTTCAACAAGCATCGAAATGACTGAAATACTACTGTACAATTGATGGATATTGTAGAAGAACGCACTTTTTCTTTATTGATTCCGTATTTTCTCTCCTCTTTCTCCTGCCTTTCTAATCTATATAGATAAACAAATGTTGACTGTGATCGTATGAATCTACCATGAAAAAGGTTAAGGATATCATGCTAATCTTTTTGATGTGGACATCCAAAAAAAAAAAAAAAAAAAAAAAAAAAAAAATCGAGTCCAACCATTCTAATTGACGATTGGCCAAAAGGAAATTTTTCTTCTAGGTCAGAGTGGCTTGGGATAAATTTTTTTTTCTTTTTAAAAATAAGAGTTTGTTTTTTTTTCCTTTTGCCTTTTTCTTTCTCTTATTTTTAAAACACATCATATATAACATGGTCGCTTAGTAAGTGTTTCCCCTTTCTAGTTTTAGTCCTACTATTTTATATAGTTTGAATTATTCCTTTATCCATTTGTCTATTATTTTCTCTGTGTTTGGTTCATACATGATATCAGTATGCTTTGTCTCTAGAAAAAGATAATTTATTATCTTGTTTCGATGCAATTCTATCACTATATTATGTCATTCATGGAGGTTTTTTACTTGCCCACACGCCATCTTTTTTTTTATTATTTGGGACAAGTAAAACCATGAGATGAAAAGAAATTTTTATCTCAGTGTCTATACTGTATTCATTCCTTAGTCCTCTCTTTTTTTTTTTATTTGGATGTTTGACGGATGAATTATGGTTAGATGAAATCTTTGTTCATGCTATCATGACTAAGATCTTACTCATTTTTGCTTTTATAACAAAGATGATGTTTTGTTGGTTGACTTATCTTTTTATTTATATCATTCTTATAGCGCTGTTCCCTCTACTCAAGATGTCTTGGTCCCTGAAACTTTGTTGAAGAAGCAAAAGACTGAAGCTGCTGATGCTGCCAAGGCTACTGCTGCTAAGGCTGAACTTCGCAAGGTAAGAATTAAAAAAAAACATATCTTATTGGTTTTCTTTTTTTTTTTTTTTGTGTTCTATGTGATGAATTGGGGCAACCCATTTCTTTTGGCTAGCTTGCACGCGATGAAGTCAAATTGTTAACCATCTTTCGGGTCTGATTAGAACACAGAAAAAAAAAAAAGAGGAAATCATTATCATCTTTTTTTTTGATACAATCAAATGATATTAATTATTCTTTTTATATATATATAGGCCAAGATCCAAAAGCGTCGTGAATTGTTCAACCGTGCTGCCAAGTACCATAAGGAATATCAAGCCAATGAACGTAATCAAATCCGTCTTCGTCGTCAAGCCAAGGCTTCTGGTAACTACTATGTTGAAGCTCAACCCAAATTGGTTTTCGTTGTCCGTATCCGTGGTATCAACAACATTGCTCCCAAGCCTCGTAAGGTCCTTCAATTGTTGCGTTTGTTGCAAATCAACAATGGTGTGTTCGTCCGTCTCAACAAGGCCACTTCTCAAATGCTCCAATTGGTTGAACCCTATGTTACTTATGGTGAACCCAACTTGAAGACCATCCGTGAATTGATCTACAAGCGTGGTTATGCTAAGGTCAACAAGCAACGTATTGCTCTCTCTGATAACGCCATCATTGAAAAAGCCCTTGGCAAGTACAACATCATCTGTGTTGAAGATTTGATCCATGAAATTGCTACTGTTGGTCCCCATTTCCGTGAAGCTAACAACTTTTTGTGGCCCTTCAAGCTCTCCAACCCCAACAACATGTGGCCCAAGCGCAAGTTCAACCATTTCATTCAAGGTGGTGCTGCTGGTGATCGTGAACACTTTATCAACAACTTGGTTCAATCCATGAACTAAAAGGTATAGTTTAGTTTTGTATTCCTTTTTTTTAGTTTAGCTTAGTTTAGTCAATGATTTTTTTTTTATGAAATAAAACAATGGATGAATTGACAACGATACCCCCAATCTAAATAACTTGGTAGAGGACGCATGATATGTGATGAAATATGATTTCACTCTCTCTCTATATATATACGTATATTATATATATATTTATAGTAAGTTTATTCCAATGATGATGAACTATTGACGAGAATATTGGACATGACAGTAAGGTATGATGATGATCAACAAAGATAGGTTTAAAAAAAAAAAAAAAAAAAAAAAAAAAAAAAAAAGAAAAAGAGTAACACTCGCCTATATTCAACAAGGTGACTTTATAGGAAGGAAAAAAAAAATCAAACGTATGTGCACGCAAAAGGTATACGTATCACATAAGTGAGAACGACGCTTTAAATAGATGATATAAAAAAGTGCGAGAGAATGATGAAGTAATAAAATAAAGATAAAATAATTAAGTTCCCTTTTTATTTTCATATGTCAAAAAGTTTATTTTGATTATCTAGGGAAATCGAAAACGAGGTGAATAAGAAGAGAAAAAAAAAACAAGTGATTTATTTCTGTAAAATCAATATCAGAAAAACAAGAAAGAAAGAATCAAAAAAAAAAAAGGTAACCAATGTATGTATATGATGGATATAATCGAAAAAAAAAATATAAAAGAAGGTATATGAAAAAATATAAGTAAATAAATATATATATAAAACTAACTAATCATAGGTATCATCTTTATGTTTCCATACAATCCACATGCATTTGTTGTTGTTGTTGCTTTTTTTGAAGAGAAGGAGAAACAGGGGTCACACCAACCACACGTAAACGATCCAACCAAAGTTCAGCACGGTCAATGGAATCGGAAAATACCGTGGACACAGATTCCAACATTTCTACTGATTCGCCTCCAAAATTCAGTAACTTGATAGATGTTTCCTTAACATGATCCGGGACACCATCAGTAGGAGTAGAAGAAGAAGTATCATCATCACCTGAAACATCATGAGATTTTGTAGTGTTATTGTTCAAAGTAGCCCATCGACTTGGTAATTGTAATATAAAGGAACGTACACTTGCTTTGGCATGACTAGGTAAACCAACACCAGCATAACGACTCACCACTTCGACTACCTTGCGTAACGTTAGAATGATTTCTTTTTGAATAGCTGCCAATGTACTTGCTGAAGAAGACTGTTGTTGTCGAGAGACTGTTTTATTGTTGCTATTGTTGGAAGAAGTGGCTAGTGATACCAAGAAAGTTCGTAATAAATTCATTTGTTGTTGTATATGTTGTGTTGCATACTAGATTGGTTTGTACAACGCCATACAAAAAAAAAAAAATGATATGAGTATATATGTCTTTTTTTTTTTAATGCTTTAATTACTTGTAACCAATGAAGACAATAACGTAAACATTTCATTGACTCTTCACTAACAACAGCAGCAGTTGTACCAGCAGCGGATCCAGCGTGCATAACAATACGTTGCCATCTACTACCACTACTAGTGGATTTGTTGAGTTTTGATCGATGAGTAAGATGATGATGACGAGGAGAAGAAGTTGATTTGATATAAGGACGATGTGGTGATGTGGAACGAGAATGAGGTCGAGATCGAGTCTTTCTGTTGATATCTAATAAATGAAAAGTAAATTAAAATTATCTATCCCCCAATGAGTTTCCTTTTTTAGATCTATGACAATTTACTTTCTTCATCCAAGCGACCATTGCGTCGACGTACACCATCAGGTTCCATTTCATCAGAGAGAGTAGTACGAGCAAGAGCATTAACAGCAGCCATTGTCTCTTCATCATGATGATGATCTTGAGTCTAAATATAAGAAATCAATCATATTAATAAAAAAAATGATTATGTTATCTTTTTAACAAAAAAAAAAAAAAAAAAAAAAAAAAAAAACTTACCATTGTAGTTGTAGCATAAGCTCCTTTTCCAAATTTGTCATAAATAGGTGCCGCGAAAGATTCCACCATGTCGGTACCATATTTCATAACATTCTGAGCTGTTGATTTTTCGTAAACACGCAGTGCTGAGTTAACTAGAGATATATTGGATACTCGATGAATAAAAGGTTGTTCCTGTTGTTGTGATAAAAGAGGTTCTTCTTCCATGACAGAAGAAACATCACTTGAGAAAGAAAATCTTGGTGGATCGGACATACAAGACGATGGAGTTGGTAATGGTGAACTTGCTGTTGTAGACGGAATAGAATAATTAACTGATAATGGTGGTAATTTCATGGTGTTATTAGTTGAGTTACTGAGTTTGGTGGATGTAGCTAAATCACCTAAAGCTTCAGCTGCTAGTCTAACATCATTTTGGTTAGGTTCGTTATTGATAAGTTGGGTAATAGACATGGGTGAACAATGGTCAGTCATGTTGAAGACATATATAAAATAAAGAAAAAAAAAAGAAAGAAAAAGAAGAGAAAAAAAAATGATGGGGAGGTGGTTTAAACGCACTCTGCCAGTGCATGTGATTTGATTTCACATGCAAAAAAAAAAAAAAAAAAAAAGTTTTGTCTGGAGTCCGTTTTTTTTTTTTTTTTCCCTATGCTCTCTTTGTGTCATGCCTAAATGTAACCATTTATCTTTTTTTTTCACAAACATATCGTCATTGCTCTCTAATAACTCCTTTTTATTATTATTTTATTATTTAGACTATTGCGATGTATGTGATTGTTCCTTTCCTAACAATCTAACTAACCGTAAAAACCATGACAAAGGTTTGGTTCACATCAATAATAAAAGAAGACATTACGATTGGTTTAAAGGTAACATCGTCTATCTAAAAAGAAAAAGGTACTTAAAAAGGACTCATTCTTATTTATGAATAGATCCTGACGACTTTATCAATGAACAATTAAATAAACCTCCTTGTAGAAGATATAGACAGAACGGTTATTGTGAATATGAACTGGATTGCAAGTATAGTCATCTTATCCGAGATTATAAAACAGGTAAACACCACTTTGAGAACGCTACACAAAGAATGAAACCTTTTTTTTTTTTATATCATTTTGATTTCATATGTTTTTTTTTTTTTTTCTGATAAAGGACAACTCCTATTTCCCAAAGAATTATTAGAATGGTTAGATGCCAAGGCGGCTGATGAACAACAACAGAAGCAACAACAACAGCAACAACAGCAGACAAAGAAATCATCAAGAAAATCCATAGTGTATCGACTACCACCTGGATGGAAAGTTAAAGAATTACCACCATCACTTAAACCGCCAACTTTAGGTGAAGATTATGATTGGAATCATGTTGGTATTTGGGGCTGAACAAGATAAGTTAAACATTTCAATCACATCACCTTTTCATCATGATATTATACCCCATATCTTCTCTTTTTTGGTTATCTTCTTCACATGCTTTTGAAATTAGAACCATCCTTCAATCATTATTATCTCTTTTATATTATATTATTATTACTATTATTATTGTTATTATTATTATTATTCACATGATATACCAAATAAAACAAACCAAAAAAAAACTGTTGTTGTTGTTTATGATGGATGGGTTGTTTAGTAATGATTTCACTTTATTGAATTTTAGTGATCACTGGCGATTTTTCAACTTGGATCTAAAATAAATATCTGTCATCATCATTGTTATAAGACTTCATTATCAAAATCATCATCTTTATACATTTCATTTGATCATGCTGCGAATTGTAAGAAAGGAAAAAAAAAAGTGGATGGATACATCAATGTACAATTGATTATAGTACCAAAATAAGGAAAAAATGAATGAAGTGTATTCAAGATTATGAAGTAAAAATGCAAAAGAGACCAAATGATAATCCATCACATATCATTTAAAGGATCCTTTATTAATGTGAATCAGATAGGGGCAATCTAGAAGAATGCGAAGAACAAAAAAGTAGAAAAGATAATAGATAGATCTTACCAGGTGATGATCAAAAACACGGGGAAATACGCATTCAAGACAATTGTTTCATGTAATGAAAGGTTAATTTTATACTTTTATTGACATTCAAAATAATGTATGCTACAACTATTTGCTATAATACACTAATATAAACAAAAACTATATATATATATATATATATATATATATCAATAAGAGTCATCACTATGGGGAAGGCGGGAAATCAAGGTTCCAAAAATCAGGTGGGGTAGATGGCGTCTTGTATCTTTCTCGATGTCTTGAATAACATTGGATCATTTCTTCTGTCTTTTTCATGGATTCAAAATACTTGATATGAAAAATAAATTCTACATTGAGCATACTTTTTTTCTTCTAACCAATTCCTTTTTTTTTTTTTTTTTTTTTTTTTTTTTACCTTTATACAACAAGAACAAGTGACACCATGTAATTTAGATCGTTCCTCCTTTTTTCGAATTATATCTACATACGCAAAATCGCTTAAATCAATAGAATAAACAAAAGAAAAAAAATATGTTAGTGTCGTAAATTAATCTATCCCTTTTTTTTTTTTCGTGCTATACCTTTTCATAGATGATGAAATTTGATCCTTTTCCTTTTCGTCATTAGTCTTGAATATAGATGATCGGTTTGGATCGATGGCAGTGAGAGGATGTTGTTGCTGTTTCGTTGCATACAACTGTCTTTGACATTGCTGGCTGTTTGAATTATTAGATAACATATTGATTCCTTTCTTCTTTGACGTACTAAGAGGGTTAATACTGACTGGATAAACTGAAGTATGTGGCTGTTGATCCTTCGTTGTTTTCGACAATGGAATTGATAATGCTTTCACTGTTGATTGCGATGAGGTTGATACTAGACGGAGCGAAGATTCGCCATGCATGCATTCCAAATTTTTCATGTTAGTTCTGCAAAGTAGAACCAAGGGCTTCTGTGGTAGTTTAGCACTGTTCGTTTTAACCTTGGTGTACTTCCGGCGAATATTTGTATTCTTGGTACGTCCCTTGAAAATCCTGTCAATTATAATTCAAAAAAGTTAGATTACAAAAAGAAATTAAACTTTTTCTTTCTACTTACACGCGTAACATTGGTTGAACCTTGGCCATATGTTTTGAATGTACTAGAAAACCGGAACATAACATAAGTCCTGTCCCCTTCTCTTTTTCTTCAAGACTTGCCATTACTTTGTTCATTTTGTACCAAAATGCATCCTATTTGAATCAAAACGCTCATAAGCGTACAGTCTATTCCATTCTATTTTCTTGTGCAGACTTCATTCTTTTGTCTTTTATATTACCTTTTTCTCTATGCATTTTGAGATTAGTTGTTTCCATGTTGTTAAGGCTAAACAAAGAAAAAGAGAGATTGAGAAAAAAAAAAAAAAAAAAAAAAAAAAAAAAAAAAAAAAAAAAAAAAAAAGAAAGAAAGGAAGAAAAAGACGAGTTTTTCCTTTTCAAAGGCAGATTTTTCCCTTTTTATGCCTGCTACTGTAATCATTATTTGCTCTTTTTTTTCACATTTCCCTTATATAAACATTTTTTTTTCTACCTTTGAATCAAACATCATTTGTTTTACTACTTTGACAGAAAATTATTCATCTTTGGACAAAATTGAACATTCGTAGAGATTAATTGTTTCTTTTTTTTCTGTCAACCTACTGTAATCAAGTATGATTAATCAAATTTAACTCATATAAATGAAATTAGTGTTCAACTACAAAAAGAAATGGTCACCCATTCATTATAAAAATGGATCATCATCAATAACAGTGATTCCAAGTTATTATTTGTGTCAAACAAAAAAAAAAAAAAAAATAAATAAAAAAAAAAAGTAAAAAAAAAAAAATATTGCCAAATACCAAATATGGTAAGAAGAAGATCAATAAAAAACAAAAAGATGAGTACCTTCGGCGAGGATCGAACTCGCGACAGCCTGCGTGTAAAGCAGGAATCCTAACCACTAGATCACAAAGGCTCATATGTTTAAAGAACTAAAATATAGTATAAATGTCAGATGGTTTAGTGTGGGAAAAAAACACGGTATGTGATTGGTGGAAATAGTGCCGCCGGGAAAATAGTTTGCCGTACAAGAAGAGAGTGAGGTGAATTATTTGGAATGGGGATTTTTATTTTCTTGTGAAAAAAAAAAAAAAAAAAAAACAAAAATGTGGAGCGGGGCAAAATGATCACCTCTTTTTTTTTTTTTCACTTTTTTTCTTTCCAATTTTTTTTTTTTTCTTTATCACTTTCTTTCTCTTGCTAACTTTCTTGTTGCTTACTTGGACACATGGATTATGGTAAAAATATACAATAACATTTCTTTTTCTTTATTTTAATTCTTTTTCTTTTTGGGTTTATCAAGACTCCCAATCGTCTTCAGTAGATAGTGGTGAAAACATGTCGGTAAGACCTATAACATGTAATATCATTCTAACAAAACTAAAACTCACTTTTTCTTCTCTTTTTTTTTTTTTTTTTTTTTTTTTATTTTGTTCACTTATACAACTCCTACGACCAAAAACGACGTATATATATATATATATATATATATATATATATATATTCGAAATGATATAGTGGATCAACTGGTTTTGTTCTACTAAAGGGAATGAATACTATGTAGCAGTAGGCGAAGATTTCATTGAAGATGGATTCAATCTGACCGGATTAGCAGCTCATGCACCTCTTTATAAAGAAGCACTGGAAGTGATTTTGGATGTAGAACCTGAAGACGATGAAATGTCGACCAAGATACCCGATCTCAGTTTATTGGAACCCCATGCTAAAATGCTTTATGGTATGATTCATCAGCGGTTTATCACCACTCGTGCTGGACTCAATCAAATGGTAATAATAAAAGGAATACTTTTAATAATTTCATGGATTGAATTTTTTTTTTTTTTTTTTTGATTTAGCTTATCAAATATCAATCAGGAGAATTTGGTTATTGTCCACGATTTCATTGTGATCGTACCAAAGTATTACCTTGTGGCCAACATGATTTACCTCGCCAAAGTACTGTACGATTATATTGCCCAAATTGTAAAGATATATATATCCCAACCAATGCCAAACATTCTGTTATTGATGGTAAGTAGTTGATTGAATAAGGTAAAAGGATGACTAAAATGCGATTTTTTTTTTTTTTTTTTTTTTTTTTTTTTGGTAGGTGCTCATTTTGGTACAACATTTCCTCATTTATTTGTACAGACCTTTCCAGATGTCATTTCAGTTGTTGAACCCAAGAGATATACAGCAAAATTGTTTGGTTTTCGTGTTAGTGAACGATCAAAAGTAGGTCCAAGGATGGGCTGGCTTCGGATGACTCCACCTCGTTAAAATGCAAACTGGAAGATTGGATTATGCGATTACAATGATGACAATCTTGATGATCAAGAAAAAAAAAAAAAAGCACAATTATCCTTTAGCATTACTTTAGTCACTATTATTAGTCTCTCTTTTTTTTTTTTTTTTTTTTTTTTTCTGTACAGCTTGTATTTCCCCAGTATTATATGAATAAACACACACATATATATACATATATTTTGACTTGATTAGGTTCTAATATGATGATTCTTATACTATAAAGTATATTTCTACTTTATGAAGTTTGATTCAGAACGCTATGTGTAAGATGTAGATAGATGATGATGGATGATGAGGTGGTCCTATCATTATAGAAGTGATGCTTTGAATTATAATGATTATTCTCTGTGCCTATCTTTGTTTAGTTTCGATCGCGTTCACTTGTTTTTAAGCTAATAGGGATCTTAACCTAGTACCGTCCCGATTGATAAGAGCTCTATTGTTAAATACTACTCCAGTACCATCCGATCCTTTTTTTTTTTTTTTTTTTTTTTTTTTTTGTCACAATACAAGGCAATACTAACTCATGGTGCACGCAATATATTCGCAAATTATTACTATAGATGTACATCATCAATATAAAAGTATATTTTTTTTTATCAGCATAAAAAGTATCATCCATTTTTCTTTGTCATCAAACATACACGCATACACATACACGATATCGCGGTAGAAGAACTATCGTCATGAATATCACTATCACCAATTCTCTCCTTCTTCCTAACAGACCATCATCCTAACGTCCTAAACACACACATACACATAAAAGATTTGATTTGTACAAGAGATTTTTATTTTCAACATGTAAACATAATGAGAATATAAAGTAAAAAAGTGTAACGAGGCGATACGTCTATTTCAACTGTTTATATATACAAAAAAGAAGAAAAGGTAAGTGATCTATGCATGATTTTTTTTTTATGTTAATATTCTTACCTTCTTCTTGATACGGAGTTGGTTGGAGTGACCACACTTTCTCTTGCGACAGTTAGTGGCACGAGGAGGAAGACGAGCGTAACACTTACGACAAATCATCTTTTCACAGTTGTACTTGGAAGCCAAAGCCTTCAAAGAGGGTTCAATGATACCACCACGAAGACGGAGCACCAAGTGGAGAGTAGATTCCTTTTGAATGTTGTAGTCAGACAAAGTACGACCATCTTCCAATTGCTTGCCAGCGAAAATCAAACGTTGTTGATCAGGAGGAATACCTTCCTTGTCTTGAATCTTTTGCTTGACATTGTCGATGGAGTCGGAACTATATAAAGAATAAGAAAAAAAAAACAACCAATGTTGGTGAACCTTTTTCCCATTATAGTAAAACATCATCTCTTACCTTTCCACTTCAAGAGTGATGGTCTTTCCCGTCAAGGTCTTGACAAAAATCTGCATGGCAACTAGACATTCAAAAAAAATATATATATATAAGGACAGATGAGTATTGACATGAATGTAAAACCAGTTGTCTGCCCCCCATCCATTTCATTCCATCCATCCATCCATCCATCTACGCATCCATCCATTCTATCGTCTATCACGGTGTCGTTCATTCATTCTAATTCCTTTTTGATATTCCATTTTGATGATACGTACATTGATGTATAAAAAGTGAAGGAAGGAAAAAAAAAAAAAATAGGGGATCCAGAGATTTCAAATTGAGTTTTGCCGGTTTGACCACCCACACATCATATCACACACAGAAGCACACCAACAAAATGAATGTCCGCTAATTCAATTCATCCTTTTTATTCTTGACAACAAACTATCTGTTGAAACCATATTGAATCCATCAAATCATTAATATCCAGTCGTGTAGTAGGGTCCGGATCAAGCATGTCGAATAATAATTGTTTTTCTACTGTTGAATAACCTGTAAATATATCAAAACCGGGATTTCTTGCTAAAACACTATGCGCTTCCGTTTGAGGTGTTTTTGGTGATCGATCTTGTTGTTTATCCCATCCTTCCTGTTGTTGTTCCAAAAGTTGTCGAGAGAGTAAATAGAGTTCATAATCTTTGTCTGAATTCTTTTGTGCAGTCTTCCAACCGAATCCACCTTTTCGCATGACATTGAAAACAATACCACAACTCCAAACATCGACTGCTCGAGCATCATATGAGTCTTGTTCAAGTTCTTCTGGAGCAATATAAGGTAGAGAACCACATGCACCTTTACAATAGATCATTTCTTCATCCCCCGTAAAATAAACAGCGGATCCAAAATCAGCAATTTTCAAACATCCAGTGGTTGTCAGTAACAAGTTTTCAGGTTTAAGGTCCCTAATTTTTTTTAAAAAAAAATAAATAAATAAAAATAATGTTTAGATTGAATCCATCTACCTTTTTTTTTTTTTTTTTTTTTTTTTTTTTTTTTTTTCCTTCCTTCCTACCTATGAGCAATTCCATTTGCATGTAAATAATGTACACCATGAATCAGCTGTTTGAAAAAACAATTGGCTTCCTCTGGTAACAAAGGACCATCTGCTTGAGTAATAAGACCAAATAGATCACCAGCATTACAATATTCCATGACTTGACAATAAGTTTTCGCATCATCATGAAGAGGCACCAAATCCACTGTATCTACAATATTGCGATGATGAAGAATGGCTGTCATAAGGTATTCATTTGTAAGACGTTCCACATATGATTTGACCGATTCATTGCTTGACCTTTTGAATTCCTTAACTGCATATAACTTTTGCTGCTGTTGTTGTTTGTTATGGTGTTCAAATCCTTGTTTCGTTCCTTGTTGATCCGATTTGACTAATCGTACTGTTCCAAAGGCACCTTTACCAATATAACAATCAGGTTGACCATATTTCCGTCCTAAACAACTTTCACTATGAACTCGTTGGAGTTGAGCTTTCATTTCCCCACGAACACTACCATCGTTATTATTATTATTATGGTTTTTTCCAGTAGTATGATGATGAGGTCGCCAATGAACAAGATTATAAAATGAAGAACTAAGTGAATGACTAGTTAAATCAAGTGCTGGTATATTATGTTGGTGCTGCCCATTGTCAAATAATGTAAATCGAGATATAGATTCTTTGACATTGTTGGTATTGTTCTGTTCATTATCTTGATTTTCCTGTCGTTTGGATGTTGTTTTGTTGATATTCCATGTTTTAGCTAAACGAGGTTCACTATTGGTATGTGAACGGTCAGTGAGATACTGTGATTTCAATTTTTGAATAAAATGGTTCATAAAGAAGAGGAAGAAAATAAATTGAAAGAAAACAAGGGATTTTTTTTTTCCTTTTTATCCCTTTCTTTATTTCGACCTCCGGCATGAAATGTCAGTGACACCAACTAATTGTCGCATGACCCAAAAGTTTCAAAAGGAAAAAAAAAAAAAAAAAAAGGACTAACAAAGAAATGTTTAAACAATAAAAAAAAAAGTATTATTTTTTTTTATTACTAATTTCATGAGCAATGATAATTTCAAAATAAGTATCTACGCTCCCAATGATAAAGGCACCCATGTCCAAAACCTTGGTACACCGTTAGAATAAAAAAAAAAAATTACACAGAGACTTAAAAAGAGAGAAATCATTCACTAAACTAAATTAAAACTAGAATAAGCGATGAGGTTTGCCCATGGTAGACTTCAAGTACAAAGACTTGACGTTTTGCCAATGTTTCTTAAGTAAAGATACCAAAAAGTTGACAGCCAACATGATATTTGCAATCAATTGATCTTCAGTCATGTTCAAGTGACCCACAGCAACAGCCAAACAGAGTACCTTCTTCAATTGGAATTTGATGGTAGCACGAATTTCATTGGCCTTGTCCACCAAAGAATCGGAATGAGACACAGGTAAGGGGAATTTACCAACTCTACAAGCAAAAAAAAAAAAAAAAAAAAAAAAAATGAATATACTGATGATGATTTTTTTTTGATGTTTTTACTTGTGAAGACCGGGACCCAAAAGACGAGGAATTTGCTTAATCAAGGCTTCAGAGGCAAGGAAAGCATCATACTTCTTTGCAAGTTTCTTGATAAGTTTCTTATTCTTGTTGAGTTTCTTCAAATCATCAACAGATTGGAATTCCATACCAGCAGCCTTAGCTTGATCACAATGGAAAGCATCACCAAGAATACAGACAGTCATATTAGGACGAGCAACATGAGGTAACTTGATAGTACCAGAGAAACGCTTGTCACGTTGAGGATCATAGTTCTTCAAACCAACTTGAAGTTCAATGGTTTCCACAAAGTTACGTTTCTTTTCTTCGGAACCCTTTTGGATTTCGTTGATGGCAGTTCTAACGGCAGCAGCTGACACCTTACTATTAATATATATATAAAAAAAAAGAAGAATGAATGAGTGAATGGATGGATGGATGGATGGATGGATGGATTATTACCTCATTGCAAATGAATATTGTTGAGGGGAAAGAAAAAAGAAAAAAGAGAAAAGAAAAAAATCTTACAGTTTTGTTCGACTGGAGTTGAAAACGTCACTATCAACACCTTAAGTTCGGCATGAGTTTTCTTTTTTTGTATATATCAAATTTGCTGGATTTTTATTTTTTATTTTTTTTTTTTTTTTTTTTTTAAGTGTAATTATTCTATTCTTCCTAGTGATACTAATTGATTAATATTAAACATTTATTTTCAAACAAAAGGTCAATATTATACCGTAGGGATCGGGGTTTTGTAATTGATCAAGTTTTTGATTTGTCCCTCCTTTTTTTTTTTTTCTCTTTTCTTTCTCTTTTCTTTTTCTTTTTTTTTTTTTTTTTCGTATTTTATTATAGTTTATTTCTCACTTCTCTTTCAACTTATATATATATAATACCCTTTTACATAATATACCCTTACAATATTACCCAAATACTACGAATAGAAAAAAAAGAGGTTGATTCCAAATAGATATACCAACAATCTCGACAACTATAAATAAACAAACCATGGTCTCATATTGGTATTCTACTAATGGAATGGATAAAAGACGACTATCGAACAGACACTTGACATTGTTAGATCAAGCATTTGAACGACGTACTCGAGTACAACTTTATGACGATGAAGCATTTGGTCATTGTGTTCCAGCTATAGCGAATCCTTATCAAGGTACTATGTCAGCAGGTGATCTTCATTATGGACTCTATCGACATCCTTCATTATGGCAAGATTGTGAAACAAATTTGGATATGAGTTTATTTTTAGATACAGATTCATCATTATCATCATCATCACCACTCTCAACCTTTCCTTTACAACAAGAACAACATCATTATGAGCCACCACGTAGTCGATTCTCTACAACAACAACAGCAGCAACAACAGCAACAACAGGATCTCGACCATCACGATTTATTATGTATCCTCGACCGCCTGATTTCTCAAGTCATCAACATTTCTCTCAACGAAGAAGATCATCGGGTGTTCATGATGATCATTGTCTGTGTTGTATTATTAGTTAGTTAGTTATTATTGGCCTTATTAGTCTGATTAGATTCTTTTCTCTCTCTCTCTCTTTTTTTTTTTTATCCCTTTTTTGTTTCTCACTTCTCCTTGTCCTCTCCTTCTTGTCTCACTCCTCAATCGTTTTCATTCTCCTTTTATTTCCTTTTTTTTTTTTTTTTTTTTTTTTGTTATATATCATTATTTTTTGTATACTTGTTCTGATAGAAAAGGGGCATATTCTTTCTATCTTTTTTTTTTTTTTTTTTTTTTTTTTTGATATTCCTTAATGTGCACAACAACAACAACAACAACAACAGATGTTTATAATAAAGAATCAATTATATTATTAAACTAGAACTTTTTTTTGACTAGAAAAATGAAACAATACAAATGAATAAAAGAACAATAGGGTATGATATGAAGATGCTTTTTACAAAGGGTATAGAAAATGTTAATGATGATGATAATGATGATGCTGATGATGAGGTGGATGATGAAGAAGATGAAGATGAGGATGATGGAGGATAATCAAGTCGAAGAGAACTGGGTTGACTTCCAGGGCGATTACATTTGAAATATTGAGAACATTGGGATCGACATAGATCTGCTGTACTTCCACTACCACAACCTGATTCACATGTTTGCTCTTTTCCATTACATTCGGCAACTGTCACAGGCCATTGAAAAGGTAAAACATCTGGAATCTTGTTCTATCAATAGGAAGAAGGGGGTGGATGAGTTCTTGTTTTTTTTTTTTAACAAAAAAAAAAAAAAGAATGTACCTGACAACTACAACTCCAATTCATTGTACTCGTATCACAAAAACTAATCATCATCAATCAATAGTATTGTTTTTCTTTTGTTAGTAAAACAAAACAAAAAAAAAAAGAAAATAAATAGTTTGTAAGCTTACTTTTGACTTGTTGCTTGATTTCCCCCACAATTATTCTATCGAATCAAAATATATATAAATAATTTTGCATTAATTTCCCCCTTTGTCTTCCTTTTTTTTTTTTTTTTGAATTACCGCACAAAATTCTTTTTGATTTGCACACACTGAAGTTTTTTGAGTCTCATTCAAATCAAGAATAGACCAGGTACCAATTGGTAAATTGACTATATATATATATATTTTTTTTTAAAAAAAAGAGAGGATGGTTAGTATTATTGATTATTTATATATAATAAAACAGATTACTTTTTGTATTGGAAGAATGATCGGAAAACGAATTATCAAAGGAAGAATTTTGATTGGTATCAAGAGTTTGAGTTGTATTATTATCACCTGAAAAATTAGATGTCAATGCGGAATTATTATTAGTAGTGATAGAAGGAGAGATGGGCGTATTTTGTGCTATTGTCATGATGATCCAATGAATACATAACAAGATAAGAATGATTTTGTACATTGAAAAATGGCGTTTTTTTTTTTCAGAAAAAAAAAGAAAGAAAGAAAGAAAGAAAAAGAGAATAAATAAATAAATAAATAAAAAAAAGAATAAGATGATATTATTCTTTTTCTATTATTTAATAGGGGAAAAAGAAGAAGAAGGAAACCAATAAAGAGGTAGATACAAAAAAAAAAAAAAAAAAAGAAGAAGACTCGTGTTTAGGATGGAATGATTGAATTTGTATTATTATTATTATAAATAACCAAACGTGGAATATTTCGTATATGGAAAGTTGACGATTGACATGATGCCGTATATATTAAAGTATAGATAGGGGAAAATAAGGGGAAAATAAGGGGAAAAAGTGACATGAGATCAATCAACATTTCTATGATAGTTTTTTTTTTTTTTATTATTTATTTTCTTATTTTATGATACAACAATATAGAATATGCATTATTTATATATAGCTTTATGTAGATTAAACAATGAAGAAATTATCAAAAATGTTGAAATAAAGGGGGGAAGATGACTTTTATGTTTAACTACATTGATTTTTGACAAACAAAAAAAGAAAAAAAGGTAACCTCCTTTTAATTTTGTTTGGCGACCCTTTTTTCCTTTTTTCTTCTCTTTTTTTTTTTTCTCACTCTTTTTTTTTTTTTTTTCTTCTTTTCTCTTCTTTTACCTGTTTAGAATATTATTATTATTATTCTAAATGCCACCTTCTATATTAAAACCCATTATCTTTTGTACTTTCTTTATTCTTGTTTTTTCATGTATAAAAATATTATCCAGTAATGCCAATAACTTTTTAACTACAAAGTCAGGTGTAAGTTTTAATATATTTTTATTTATATCTATATTTATTAAAACAAACTCATTTTATTATTATTATTAGCATTGTAGTAATATTGATTTAAAAGAAGATCAATGTACTTTTGTTAAAAATACTTGTCATGGTTTTAGTGCTATATATTTGGAATTTTATTATTGTTCTACTTTATGGAAACCTGTCATTATTATTATCTTGGTAATAATAATAATAATAATATTATATTTGACTTGACTTCTTTTCTTTTTTAATATATTAGTTATCCGTTTTATTCTTATTATTTGGTGCTATTAGTGTTGTAGCCTCTGATTTTTTCTGTAAGATATAATAATAATAATAATAAATACTAAACCTTTTTTTTTTTTTTTCTCTTAGGTCCCAACTTGCAGACCATTGCATCAAAATTAGAATTATCAGAAAGTTTGGTACATTATTGTGATAAAATATTTTTTTAATATTATATATATATATATATTTATTTTTTTTTTTTTATTTTATAAGGCTGGCGTCACTGTTTTGGCCTTTGGTAATGGAAGTCCTGATTTGTTTGGTACCTTTAGGTAAAATAGATTGGTTTCATCGAAAAAAAAAAAAAAATGCAAAAAAAATTTATATTTACTATATTTATCAATAGTGCAATGGATTCCGGTTCAGGCTCAATGGCTATTGGAGAAATCATTGGTGCTGCCTTTTTTATTGTTTCTGTGATTACTGGCTGCATGGGTATCATTAGGCCTTTCCAATCAAAACGCATCACTTTTATGCGAGATGCTTCTTTTCTAACTGGAGCAGTTGCTTTGGTAACTTGGATCATTTATCATGGGAAAATCTATTGGTATCATGGTTTAGCTTTAATTGGTTATTATATCGCTTATGTCGTTACTGTCCTTCTTAGTTCGTACAACTGGTCCGACGAGTTACAAAAAGAAATGGTCTCAAAATTGGCAAATCAGAATATTTTGGATGAAACATCTCGGCTATTAGGATCGCAAGGTAAAAAAAAAAAAAAATATAACTTTGTTCGACCTGAAAAATATCCAATTTTTTATTTTTATTTTACTCTCTAATAGGCAACTCACCCATCAAACCTCCAAGACTCAATATTCCTGATCAAGGCTTCTCTTGTTCAACATCTGAATATGAACCTCATCTTGGTCATATCATTCGTCCAATGTCTCCTTTATCTTCTAAAGTATCAAAAATGTCATTACGAATTGATACTTCTGTCCAACATCAACAACAACATCAACGACATGGTCAATTACCAAGAACTGCTAGTACAAATGGATCCATTTCTACCATTAGGCCATATAGACGAGCCATGACACCACGTGTGGGCATTAGAACTTCTTTATTTGGTGCGATCGAGGTAACACATTAAATTAAAAAAAAAAAAAAGAAAAAACCGAAAAGCAATCGGCTCATTTTTTTTTTTATGATCATATCTATAGTTTACAAGTCAAATCAGTGCCATTCGACGTACAACTAGTTCTCAACAAATGATACCCGGTACTCCAACCTTGATCGTTCCAGGTTCCGATGATCAGCAACGTCGCCGTCGCCAAGTATCTGTACCTCAAGAATTCTGGCAAAGACCTCCTCATCCTTCATTTAACAGTATGCAATTTGGTAGATCACCTCGTGGACGACAGCGTGCTTCAACTATCACTACAGAGCCTCCAGTTATCACCCATAATTCTTCTTTATCGGCCACTCTTCCTCGACCTACTACACCAGATAGCTCTCATAGTAGTACCGGAGTAGCTGAAGATTATTTTGCCTATTTATCAACGCATCAACCTCAACCAATGCAACCTTTGACTATCAATACGACCGATCTATCTTCTTCACGCTTATCAGTCCCTGCTCCGCCATCATCTCATCAATATCTTCATCCTCCATCATTAGCCATTGGTCAGCAACATACATCAGAATTGACTATACCTGAAATTCGATTGGCTCCTCCTATGGTAGAACAATATCATACACCATTGGGTAGTGCAGTATCTCCTGAAGGGAATGATCATCACCGATTACCTTCACCTCAACATCATCAACAACAGCGCGACAATGGATCATTAAATGTCATCACACCAAGCCCAAGTGTTATTAGTACAACAACAACTGATTATGATTGCTTTGTATCTGCAAGACAAAGTCCAGAATTGACTCCTGCATCGTTTGAACATGAATGTCAAGCATTATCCATTCCTACTTCTTCTTTGACTGGAGATCGTCATATTGGTGATGATGATGAAGAAATCAATCAAAAGTTACAAACAGCTTCTTATATCTCCAACCTCAACAACAACAACAGCAACAACAACAACAATTCTTTGTATACCACTCTAGTTCAAGTTCATCAAGTTCTATTCCCAACATTACAAGAATGGAAATCCAAATCTTTATTCTCTTGCTTTAGTTCTTTGGTGGCCATGCCTCTCGTACTTATTTTCACTGTGACTTTACCTGTAGCCGAAGCCGAAGATGTCAAAGTGGAAGAAGTGGAAGTACTAATGCACGATGATGATGATGACGACTATATGTATCATACAGGTACTACTGGTCCTCATCCTCCATTTGAATCAACCAATTACAATAACAACAACAATATCCCACCTTCTTCTTATACCTCACCAACGGCATCTTATGGTGTTATAACCCAAGGTATTCCCTCTTCTGTTCATACCACCGCTGATGATCGATTGTTACCCAAAATGACGGATCCACCATCAATGACCTCTCCTTTTCCAAAATCTTCCTCCTCTTATCTGGCTGTACCAACATCAGAAAGTGATTATTTACTTGGTCAATCCCATCATCATCATCATCATCAACAACAACATTCCGGTCATGACCATCACAGTGCAGCTTCTACTTCTGATATTATGGATATCACGGATGCTGATTTGCAACAAGGTTGGTGTCGTTGGTTGTTGGCTGTCCAATGTGTATTCAGTACTACTTTTGTGTTTTGTATTCTTGCCTGTAAGTTATCAAAAAAGAAGGATGAAAAGAAAATGTGAAAACAAGTATTCCCTTGTTTGACTCCTTTTTTTTTTTATAGTGAATAAATTTTTGTCAACTCAACATATTCCCATTGGCATTGGTATTGGATTAAGTCTTAGTCTTGTTGTCTTGGCTACCACAAAAACGGATGAACCTCCCAAGTGGTTTTGGATGCTTTCCTTTGCAGGATTTGTTATTTCTTTGAACTGGATCTTTTTATTGGCGGATACTATGGTTGGATTATTACAGGTAAGGAAAAATACTTTGTACTTATTTTTGATAATGAATTCATCCCATCTCTCTCTCCCTCTCTCTTTTCTTTTCTTTTTTTTTTTTTTTTTTGTTGTTGTTGTAATTATTACTATTATAGGCTCTTGGGAAAATTTTTGATATTAGTGAAGCCATCATGGGTTTAACGGTGTTTGCATTTGTATGTTGAAGAGAAAAAAAAACAGTTAAAAAAAGAAAAAATAAATAAATAATTATACTAACGAATCCCATTTGAATTTTTTTTTTGTTATATTTGGTTTTTTAGGGTAATAGTGTGGGTGATTTAGTATCAAATACTGCGATTGCAAAGGTATATATATATATGGTTTCTATTCACAAATTATTCATTTTTTATGTATATACTAAATGATTATTTTTTATTATTAGATGGGATTTCCTACCATGGCCATTTCCGCTTGTTATGCTGGACCTTTGCTCAGTAAGTAACATGCATAGAATTGCTTGTCTGATTTAACCTTTTTTTTTTATTTTTTTTTTATTTATTTATCTGTAGATATGGTGCTTGGAGTGGGAGTGTCATCAACATATCAGATTTGGAAAGCACGTGGACAACCTTATTCATTGGCGATCCCCCCTACCATCTTCGTCTCTTCTGCAGGGTTATTGACGGTATTGCTCAGTACATTATTTGTAGTTAATATGAATGGATTTCATGTCAACAAACAACTTGGATACTGGACCATCTCTGTCTATACTTTTTGTTGTATTACCAATCTTTTATTGGAATTCAGTGGTTTCAAATTGTGAATTCCTTCCTTCTCTTTAGTTTAGCTTTGTTTTTATCATCATCATTATTCTTATACCATTTCATCCATTTTTTCTTTTTTACATAGTTTATTCTTTTAACACAAATGTTTTATATGTTTTATCTGTTTTTCTCTCATTACTGATTTGACTATGTAATCATACCAATAAATGCATTTTTTTTTATTTACCAGTTCTGTTACTATGACTTCATTCTTTTTAACCCAACAAATGGTTACTACAGCTTTATCCTATTCATCTAATAATGAACTCATTTCTATATGCTTATCATCCTTTTTTTTCACCATCGTCATCAATGATCATCAATATAGAGGCCTTTATCATCACCTTGCCTCATCATACATTCATTTTCATCATCGTACAGCGAATCATCACGATCATCATCATAGAAATTAAAAAAAACATGTCATAAAAGGACCCAAGTAATGATAATAATAATAATAGTAATGAAATTTTATATACAAAATAAATTAAAAACTAGATTTATTGAATGAGTAAAAACTATGTATAGGATAAAATAGAATAGATCCAAAGAGTGATAGGATGACTAGAGACGACGACCACGACGACCACCCTTTCTTCTGGTGCTATCAGTAGGGATAGGAGTAGTATCTTCAATACGGCCAATACGCATACCAGCACGAGCAAGAGCACGAAGAGCACTTTGACCACCAGGACCAGGGGTCTTGACACCAGTACCACCAGTAGCACGGATCTTGACATGAAGAGCATTGATACCCAATTCCTTGCATTTGGCAGCAACATCTTGAGCAGCCAACATAGCAGCATAAGGAGAAGATTCATCACGATCAGCCTTGACCTTCATACCACCTATATACAATAAATAAAAAAAAGAAAAAAAATACAAGGGAAGAGAAACAGTGAGGGGGATGTACAACTTTATATCAATATAGAGGACATGCCGCTCAAGGACCAACGTCTTTTTTTTCTTGGTTTTATTTCTATATCAAAGTAACTCATCTTGCTTTTTTTTTTAAAATTGAATGTTCTTCATCTATCTCAATCATGACAAAAAGAGACAATGAAAGAGAAAGAGACAATCATATAAAAAAAAAAGAAAGACAAGACAACAAATCAAATAGAAAAAAAAACAAAAAAAGAAAAACGAGGTTGCTTCCTTCGCAAAAAAACCACTATCATCCTGTTCTTTTTTTTAACTTACCAGTAACACGGGAGATGGTTTCACGACCAGAAAGATCAGTAACATGGACAAAAGTATCGTTGAATGAAGCAAAGATGTGAGCAACACCAAATACAAGTTCTCCTTCACGAACTTGAGGACCGAGGGTAACAGCTTCAACAGGCTTCTTAGCAAGAGCACGCTTGGACTAAAAAAAAAAAGGGATGAAAAAGTAAGTAAATGAAGGATGGATGGATAGATGGATGGATGGATGGATGGGTTTCTTACCATGATGGATTTTGGAAGTAAAGAAAAGTAAGAAAGAAAAATTTATTATAAAAATTAAAAGGAAATTCGAAAGTAAGAAATTCCTTTTCAACCCCCGCGGGAGTCTCCTTGATTTTCAACCAATAAACGAGCATGAAGGAAGATCAAGGTAAGAAGAGGCCTAGTTGTATGAAATACTGAAAATGATCATGAACAAAAAAAAAAAAAAAAAAAGGAAGGCAAGGAAGTAGTAATAATAATATCATCCTTCATTGTTTCCCAAGTCGATGTATTAGCATAACTTAGAGATATTTTTCCAGGTGACATATAAATAGAAAAAAGTGTCAAATCAAACGTGATTATTGTTTCGAGGAGATCGATCAAAAAAAAAAAAAAAATCCAAAGAACCATGATGGGAGTCTTCTACTCGATCCATCTAGATAGATTTGGTTGCTTAAATGAATCTAATAATGAAGGACAATGGATAAATGAATATTTGAATGATGATGGATTATGTATGATGATGGATGTGTAGGACGATGATTGAGTAAGATCTACGTTTTTATTTTCTTCTACCTGATTATTCCATATGATACTTTGATACTATTATTATTATTATATATATATATATATATATGGAGAATGGATACAGGATCGAGCTGTGTTTGAAATGCATCAAAGCACCCTCATCGCTTTATAAAGTTGTAAAGTTGTCAATCATCAATTTTTATTCCTCTTCTTTCCGTTTCATTCTTTTTTCGCATTTCTGTTTATCACGTATAGTTTATCCTGCTTGTGGCTACTCTTTATCTTCTTCTTTTTTTTTTTTTTTTTTTTTACTGCACAACGTCATGACACCACCATTCCTGCGACTTCCTCTGGAAGTTATGGCCAAAGTCAATCGCTATTTGGCGCCCCAAGATCGTTATCAATTCTGTTTAGTCAACCGTGTATTATACGAGAACTTTAAGGACCTTTTATTTACTTCCATCTCCCTATGTTATAATTATCAAGTCAATCTGGTCTTTCGTCTCATGTTACTGAAACCTCACTTATTTCGAAAAACCGACAGACTTGACGTCAGCTGCTACTTCGAGGACAAACATTCTTTTAGGAATGTTTTACAATGTTGTCCGAACATTACCATGCTGAAGATCGGCGGACCACTTTGGAGTTTCCTGTGTTGCCAACTTGCTCGTGATTTCAACGACTATCCTATGTTGCCCAAGCTGATTGAATTGAATGTTGTTGATTATGACCATAGCTATTGGATACCAGATTTGGTGGCCTTCTTCTCAAAATGTCCTAACTTGGAAATCCTCAAACTTTGTAAATTGCGTTGGGTCGTCTCTCCATCTCAAGTAGAATCATTACATGGCGTCTTACCTCGTCTTCAAGGATTGTACCTCGATTATATTCCTACACCATCCGGCAATTTCTATGTGTTTCCAACAAATCCGATTCCTGATGCTCCCTGTGTTTTTATGAAGAAGATTAGATTCGCTGTATCTGGTAACTGGAACAACTTTATACCATGGATGCGTTATGTAGCCCGAAAATACCCCAACCTTGAAGATTTGGACATCACTGGCAAACAAGATTACATTTCCTGGAATATTCGCTTGGAGGAAGTAGAGTCAGCGTTGCGTCTATTACTCGAAAGTTGCAAGAATTTATCATCCATACGCTTGGTCAATATTTGGTGGACTGATGTTTTTTTACGTCATTATCAGGATACCATACATCATTCTTCAAGCTCTATCAAAAAATTGGAAATCGTCAACTCACCTCGTCGCGTATCAACGGAACTATTTGGTCTTCTACCTTGCTCATACACACCTTTTATGGAAGTATTGGATGTTACTTTATGCAAACAGATCATCAACAATCCTGTGTTGCCTGATGATCTCCGTTCTGGTCGTATGCTTACTGATCTTCGAATCTCCATGTCACATGTTGGTAGCAACTCGTCAAACCCGTTCAGCATTCATTGGATCCTTGAATCCTGTCCTTCCCTATTATCACTTACTTTGGATAATGGTTTTCTTGATGTTGTCAATGATACTCTCACTGGATTGGCGCCTTCCACTACACAATCTCATCACCTGAAGCGTCTTGGCATTACAAATGGTACCTTCAAAAACGAAATTTGGTCATATATCGAAAAGAAATGTCCCAGATTAAATTGGCTCTCTATCGACAAAAGTCTTCTGGATGATGATTCACCATACCCATCCATCCAACTCAAATTCCCGAATCATGTCTTCAAATCAATCATTATCAACCATGTCCGTACTCGCCGAGCACCAACTGGAGTGCGATCTTCACCATCATTTGGATCCCCTATTTACAACAAGACAATATGGAATAAAGGATGGCTGCCTATTGAATTCATGACTATACAACGACAACAACATCCTACTCTGTTTACCGACAATGATGTGATGCTCTCTAGTCAAAACAGCACGATACGACAAACATTTCAAGCTTTGGACATGGATTTCATTGATCAACGGCATGAGTGTATTGATGATTCGGTGACAAGTGACTTATTCCAATACTTTGAACGTCTTCTGGAAGCAAAGCGCCTGACTGCTCAAGGGGTCCTATACTATCAACGTGAATGCGGGGCACCGATTCCTGATCCATTATTATCCGACAATCCTACAACATCATCCATCCGCAAACGAAAGAAATTTAATCGGCAGAAAGAACGAGTGCGACAAAAATGGAAGAGACATCATCGACGTGCAAGGATGGCATTCCAGCAACAACGACATCATCATCATCATCAACATGTCACGGATACGGATCGAGGAGGACATATCTTGATCGACGTTCATGGAGTGACTGACCTGAAAATCAATCAGAAATGGATAATTATGCAAGGGAAATAGGCACTTTGGTGGCTCGATTTTTTTTTTTTTTTTGGATGATAATGTGTGTATATTTTTGTATATAGTATCATGTTTATATCTTTTGTTTTATATCTTTAGTTTAGTGATTGAAATCAAATAAATAAAATAAAAAAGAATTGAATCATTTCTTTTTACTGGTTTTTATTGTTACATTTTATTGGATCAAGAGAGCAGTACTTATAAACAGTATTTTTTGTTATATTACGAAGGTCTGAAAAAAAAAAGAGTCAATATAATATGACTCTATGTTGATGATATGATGGGATAATAGTTAGATGATAATAATAAATGATAAAAAAGATGATTTTTATTTAAATGAGAATAAACATTAAATATAACAATAATAATAAGACTAAACTACTAAATAAAATGATTTCCATAATAAACATAAGAGAGAGATACTTTTTTTCTGACTTGCTATTCTAATAGAAAACCTATTATATATTCCTTCATATGTCTACTATATGTTTACAGAAAGAATAAAAAAAAAGGAAAGAATAAGTATAGAGTAAGTATAGAATGTATAATATATAAAGAGTGATTTTATAATATATATTAGTAAAAGTAATGTATAATGGTAACTTAACAATGTTCTAAGAGTCATTGGTTAAAAAAGAAAAGTAAAGTAAAAAAAAAGCAAAAGGAAAAAAAAAAGTGGAGAGCGCGCCAAATGTTTCTTTTGTCAGAGCTTGGTCCAACTTTTCCCATGCCACAGATTTTTTTTTTTTTTTTTCGATCTCCCAAAGTTTTTTTTTTCTCGACGACCAAACTTTTTTTTTTCTCTGGATCCAACACATCCCACATTGAGACCGGACTTTAAACTTATACCATTTATGGAAACCCTTTATGAATAAAGTAGAATAGATGAATAAATAATAATAATATGAATAATATAAAAGAAATGGATGATTTTATAATATAACTATGTATTGTATGATGATAATAAGATTTAACTGTAGTATCGCTTCTCTCTTATGATACAGTCCCTTTGATGACAAGTACATTTTTCTTTTTGTCATATTCATGTCATGATATATGATAATATGAATATCATAGTCCTATTTGGGAATAAAAATTAAAAAGATCTACACTTAAGCAGACATGGACATTTTGGAACTTTGGCAAGGCTGGGATTGGGACAAGAAAAAGCAAAAAAAAAAAAAAAAAAAAAATCATGTTCAAATTGTTATCAGTGGACGGGCTTCAAAAAATTAATCACCCCTTTACGCGCATTTTGCTTTTTTTTTTCTTTCTTTTTCTTCTTTTTCTTTTCTCCATCCACTTTTTTTTTCCACATTAGGTGTCCTCTTTGTTTGTGCGATCTTGTCAAGGTAGATTTTATTGGATTTGGAGCGTTTTGAAAAAGGGATTTACAAAATACATGGGGAAACCCTTTCATTTTGGATGTAGGATTTAGTACAGGTAAATGACAAAAATATTTTATAATAGGATGTGAATTGCTTGACCTAGATTGATTTCATTGGTAATGTGAACTGACTGGATAGGAAACTTCGTTTAGTTAAGCTCTCATGGTGGTGGACGAACGCTTCTGGTGTAATAGATACAGTAGAATGAATAGTAGTGATAGTTTTACTAGTTAGTGTATGTATTATCTTTTTTTGTTTGAAATAAAAATTACATTGCTTTTTATGATACATAGCTTCCTTTTTTTTTTTTTTTTTTTTTTTTTTGAGCAAGAGTAACAGTGAAGTAACAGAGAATTGTTTTCCTCAACGCCATCCGATGGAAAAGATTACTATCACATCTAAGCGACTCATACGCTATTTTCAAGTATTGTCAATTATTCAAGGTAAGATACAAAGTGTCTGGTTATGTGGATTTACTGTGATCTCAACGTATGGCAAAAGATTGATAATGAAGCAAGATTACTGATTGTTAAAGAATAATGAACTCCCCATTCACCTTAGTTTAGTATTCATTTATGATTATCATACTTGGTATGTTATCCTTTTTCTTTTTTTTCTTCTTTCCCCTCTTTCCTTTTTTATATAATTTATCATTCATCATTTTATTTATCATCATATATTCACTCAATATAATTTGTTTTTGTTTCCTTTTATTATTATTTTGCCTTGTCTTTTTTTTTAAAAAAATTTTCTTTCTTTACATGTAAGATATTCAAAAAGAAAAAAAAACAAAATAAATATTAAATATATATATATATATACTTTGATGTATTTCCATCATTCTTATATTTTATGCTTTCCAGACTTTTAGGTGAAATTGAAATCATTAATATTAACATCTTTTTTTTTTTTTGTACCTGAAAAAAAGAAAAAAAGGTAACGGAATATTAAACTTTTCTGTCAAATTTTTAGCTCAGCCAAATTTAACATATAATATTGGAAGGATTTAGACTTTTGAGTTGTGGATGCATAAAATATATATGTACTTCCGACATTGAAACATTAATATATTTTGAAAAAAAAAAAAAAAGAAATGTATCAAAAAAGTATTATAACTTGTTCATCTTGGTAGTAAAAAGACAATAAATATAGATAGGATAATTTGTTATGGAGTTTGAAGAAGCCAGCCAATGAAAACGTCCTTAAAAGGTGACTAGAAAATAAAAGTAAACATTTTTTTTTTTTTTTTTTTTTTTTTTTACTTTCGTCTTTGTTTTTAATGTAAACATTTATTACTACCATATTATATTCTTTTTTTTTTATTGATTCTATTTGGAAATTTTAAACCTGTCTCTTTTCCAGGTGATACTTCTGTTCTTCTACCTTTCTACCACCATGAAATCTCATTGATGGAAACTCAAGTCATTGACTACACTCTCCTCCTTGCTTTATCTGTCCTGTCACGTCTACTGTGTAAACCCTCTGTCTCTGCATTTCGAAAAAATATCGCGTCATACAACAACATGGTAGTTCACCCCATATTAATGTTGATCTCTACTTGGTTACGGTACTTTGGTTCCTTTTGTCTTCCTCTTTCTCGTTGCCTTCGCGTTTTATGGTCTCTCCTTTGTTACGTTGATTCATTCATTGTACGTAACTTATTTCCTCTCCTCCATCGTAAGCAATAATAATAAGAATAATAATAAAAATAAAAAAAAAGAGAGTAAAAAGATGTTCACGTATCTCCCTGTTCTGTATAGGTTCCGTTGTTTCTCCTATGTCTGCAGATCGTCTTGTAAGAGCTGCCTCTCAACTTGGTATGTCACAGTAACAAGTAAAGAAGATGGAACAACACATACTAAAATAGTTTGTTTTTATCTCTTCTTTTGGACTGATTCATTTTCATGTATATATAGTTGACATCTCAGGTTTGGCTCTTCTATATTGGGTATACTTCTTTTATTACCATGCTGATAAAACACCTCTTGTATCACAACCTTAACTCAATTTAGAAGCCGTCCCATTTCCAACCTGTGTCTTCTACGGGTACGATAGAAAAGAAAAGAGCTACTTGTACTCACTGTTTATTATTTAGAAACCATTGATGACGACGATGAAGATATTACTTGATCTTTCCCTGCCGCTACTTCAGTCCCTATAGCTCTCATTGGTAAGAAAAAAAAAACTACTTCTTTTACTCACCTTTTTATATTTTAGTCGAAACCAAAGATGATGGCCCATCTCATCTTTCTCCTTCATCCGTCATCCCCTCCTCTTCAACAATCCTTCGTTCACCATCTCCCACCCGTATGAGTAAGAAAAGAAAGATAACAGAACTGACTGTTTTTCTTTGTGCTCATCGTTTTGTATTTTAGTTACAAAGGATGAAGATGTCTCTTCTCAACGGCTTCCTCCTGCTCCTGTCCCTCAATCTGGTATTGGTAAGAAACGTCAAAATCAAAAATAAAAGTACGCTACTTTTTTTTGTACTTACCTTTTTTTTTTTTTTTTTTTTTTTTTTTTTTTATGTTTGACGTTTTAGATGGTGAAAAAGATGATGTCTCTTCTCCTTCTCCTCTGGTGGCTCCTCCCACTCTATCTGCTCCTCTAATTGTCGCTATCCTGACAGATGCGCTGTCAGAAAGTAAGCACTATAGACACAAAAAAAAAAAAAAAAGACAGAGAAGGATGACTATTTGATCGTTTTATTAACTATTTTACCCTTTATACGTTATATAGACGAAGAAATGGCTTCATCCGACAAATTTAATTTTGTAGTCGAATCAGAAGGTAAATAATAAAAAAACACAAGGATGCTTATGAGACGATTTTCTTAATTCTTACGCTCTTTATAGATAAAGTCATTGGCCTCTCCTCCTGCTGCCTCCTCATCACCTGTGCTTCTCAATGTCTCCTCCTTTGATGCATCAGTTCGTGAGTAGATACAAAATTAGATGATTGGATGAGCATTTTATTAACTACTATTCTGTAATATAGACGAAAGTGTTGTCCCTCCTCCTTCATCTTCCTTCCTTCCTCCTGTCCCACTGCCTGCTCCGACTCCATTGGTTACTTCTACCTTAGCCGCTTCTCCCTTTATCTTTTTATTCGACAACAGTAAGTAGTAGCAAAAAAGATGTCGAAACTGGAAATAGTTTATTTAACTTTTTTTTTTTCTTCCCCCATCATGGCAGGACATCCGAGTAAGACTACTTCCAAAAAAAGGTGATCTAGCATCTCTCAAAAACTGGCGACCGATCTCCCTTATCAACTGTGATGCGAAGATTTTTACACGACTTCTCACTAAAAGAATGGACCCTCTAATGTCAAAAATCATCAATACGTATCAACTTGGTTTCCTGCCTAATCGTTTCATTGCTGAAAATGGTTTGGCTGTTCGACTGATAATGGAACAAGCTCAATTGCATCAACGACCTGGTATTGGATTACTCCTTGATCAAGAAAAAGCACATGACAGGGTACATCCGGTATACATCCAAAAGAAGACAATGTTGGCCTTTGGTTTCCTCTCTCAATTTGTCTTTACCATCATGGGTCTCTTTTTCCACAACTACGTAAGAATCAACATCAATGGTTTTTTTTTACTATATAACCTACAAGATACCAAGGAACGGCAAGCCGAGATCCAGAAAACAGAAGCATCGATTTTGGTACCCCTGGCAATACAGGTGCTTCACGCCACTTTCGCACAGCCAACTGATGATGATTCAAGATCGAGATATGACCGCAATATTGGAAACCTTTTACGACAATTGTTGCAAGATGATATGACGATGTTCACATTACGCGTGACGGGTCATCCAACAACGTGGACTACGCCAAGGTGATCCTTTGTCTCCTCTACTTTTTTAATTTAGTTTTGGAACCTTTTCTCCTACGGATTCTTCAAGATAATAGTCTCACTGGTTTTACCTTCCATCATACCCCTTCTCTTGTGTATGGTCCTCCTGTTGCTTTGAAATGCCTGGCCTACGCCGACGATGTATGTTTATTTCTTTCCAACTTTGATGATTACGAACGGATGGCTCTCCGTATGTCTCAATATGCATCCGTATCCAACGCTCAATTAATCAACATAAAACTGAAGCTTTCTCTCTTTCTTAATTACCCGCCTTATATGTCCCCCAAGGTTATTTATCGGATGATGACTCTGATGAAGAACATAAAAAGTACAAAAACAAAAAGAGAAAGAATCATCATCACCAAGGCAACAACGATGACAATCATCGAAGCAAAAGACCAAGTTACCTCAAAAAAATGAAACATCATAGTGCTTTACCAACAGTAAATCAAAAAAAGTTCCCATACAGCCTTTACGGGTTAAAATTGGTCAATCATCCTCTTCCAAGTGTGTTCTCTGCTCTATGTCCTTCGAAGATCTTGCCTAGTTTGCCCTTCTGTGTCCCCCAAAAATGCGTCCATGGCTTGATGTTCTAGAGTGCTATTACCCCGGCCTTTCTTTCTTTCTTCCCTGATCAGCTCATCCGTTCCCTCTTCCATCTGATTGTCCCGCCGCTTGTCTTGGATGTTCCCCGCTTCTTCACCATCTGTGGCACCAACTTACACAACATTTCTTTTAAAACCGCGCTTCATCCCTCACTATGACAAAAGAATCTTTACAACTTTTTTTTTTTTCGTTCTCCCTTCAAGTTACTTCTTCTTCCTCTTCATCTGTCCCTGCTGTTAGTTCTCGTAAGTTGAAACAAATACGATAGCATATAAAATAGCATTAGATGATTGAATGAGAATTTTATTAACTATTATTCTGTAATATAGGCGAAAGTGTGATCTCTCCTCCTTCATATTCCTTCCTTCCTTCCTCCTGTCCCATTGGCTGCTCCGACTCCATTGGTTGCTCCTATCTTCGCCGCTTCTCCTTTCATCTTTTCATTCGACAACAGTAAGTAGTAGCAAAAAGATATCGAAACAGGAAATAGTTTATTTGACTTTTTTTTTTTTTTTTTTTTTTTTTCTTAGCATCCGATCAGGCTATTTCTTCTCCCACTTCATCTGCCCATGGTGTTAGTTCTCGTAAGTTGAAACAAATATGAAAGCATATAAAATAGCATATACTCATTTACTTCTAATTTATGAAGATACAACTACAGTAGATCCTCAACTTTTTTGTCCTCTCCCTGTTACTCCTCTTCCTTTTGCTCCTCTTCCTTGTAAGTAATAAAATACATCCTATAGTCCATATATTTAGATTTACTCAATTTTACTATACTATTATTTAGCACCGCTCCCACCCATCAACAAGGATTTATCCTACGTGCCCGACTGTTCGGATGAAAAACACCCCCAAGGAAGAGCGCAAAATGATCAAGCCTCGTCGCTTACGTAAGTACATGGAAATCATAGATGTTTAACAAAGATTATTTGCTAATTTTTACTTTAACATTTAGGCCCTGTGAAAGAAGCCTCTTCACCACCCGTTTCTCCTCTTCTTTTCACCAACTCCATCATCAGTCCCTCGTCTTCGCATCATCCCACCAAGAAGACCTTCCGACTCTAAGACCGTCATCATCCATTCCCGCCATCCCACAACCATCATCAAGGTTTAAACCTGACATGCCGCCTCCTCTACCAAGACCTCGACGGTCTAAAACACCTCCTTCATCGTAAAAAAAAAAAAAAAAAAATAATTTTAAGTACCGTTTTTATTTCATTTCCAAAATTCGTTTGTCACCAAAATTCGTTTGTATACAAAATTCGTTTGTCTTTAAAATTCATTTGTTTCCAAAATTCATAAATATTCTTTTTGTTTAAATCAATTTAGTATAAATACCCCACCTTTTTCCTTTATTTTTCTTTTTCTTTAGTTAATCATCAATATATTTTTTTAAATAAATTTATCTTTTCATCCCTACTTGATTGTATTGTGAATTCTTATTTCTGATTGGCTCACTTTGTTCTCAATTTCAAGTCAGAACAATTTTACTTTCCATCTACTTTCCAAATTTGGAACAAGTCTTTATTTTTCTTTACTTTACTTTTCTTTTTTATTTTATTGCTTTTCCTATAGTGTGCTTGCGTAATCAAGTACTGGTGCTCACTAAACAACTTATTCTCTTTCAATCATCCGTATTATCTTATAAACTTTGATAATATTTTTTTTATTTGCCCCATCTGAACCAAATTTTCACTTAACACTTTTATTTCAGTTTTTATATTTTTTTTTTTCTCAATAACGTACTTTTTGTTTACTTCATTACATTACATTACTGGATGATGATTGTGGTATTGGTGTAGATAGTGATAAAATAATAAAAAATAATGAAGACGAGACCAAGTCCGTGAAATTTCTTTTTATTGAAAAAAAAAATATCGGATTGAGACTCATAGGCATTTTGTATCCTACTATGGGTGTAGATAGATATTTAAAATAAAATAGACAGTGAGATTCCTTTTATAGTCCTATTTTGGAATAAAAATTAAAAATAAAAAGCAAAAAAATTATGTCAAATTGATATCAGTGGACGGGCTTCAAAAATTAATCACCCCCCTTTGCTTTTTTTCATTTTTTTCTTTCTTTTTCTTGTTTTTCTTTCTCCATCCACTCTTTTTTTTTTCCACATTGGGTGTCCTCTTTGTTTGTGCGATCTTGTCAAGGCAGATTTTATTGGATTTGGAGGGTTTTGAAAAAGGGATTTACAAAATACATGGGGAAACCCTTTCATTTTGGATGTAGGATTTAGTACAGGTAAATGACAAAAATATTTTATATAATCTTGTTTTCTCATATGAATTGCTTGACCTAGATTTATTTCATTGGTGATGTGAACTGACTGAATAGGAAACTTCGTTTGGTTAGGATCTCTTGGTGGTGGACGAACGCTTCTGGTGTAATAGATACCGTAGAATGGATAGTAGTGATAGTTTTAATAGTTAGTATATGGATTACCTCTTTTTGTTTGAAATAAAAATTATACTGCCTTTTATGATACATAGCTTCCTTTTTTTTTTTTTTTTTTTTTTTTTTTTTTTTGAGCAAGAGTAACAGTGAGATAACAGAGAATCAAGTATGGTCAATTATTCAAGGTAAGATACAAAAAATGAAAAAGAATATTTTACAATATGATTTTATTCTCTTTTTTCTTATTATTTTGGGTTGTATCGATCACTATCATCGTCAAACAACAGCATTATCATCCTGGACATATATAGATCACAAAATCAAACGAAAATGGATAGAACAAAAAAGAGATGAACAGCCAATAGCAAAAAATTATATAGACAATGACTGGAAGTAAATAAATGATTCCTATATTAAGCTAATCTTTTTTCGTGTTCAATGGTTTTCACCTCCCTAACTACATCAGCGGGATCGATATGCATGTGAGGATCGTTGATCATGAGCTTGGAACATAGTAGTGACGAATTCAAAAGTTAAACTAAGATATCAAATGCATTCAAGCAGTCTATTGGATCATATCTATTCGACGGATGGAAGGTAATGTATAAAGAATATTATACAATGAATACAGTATATCATAGTTATTACTAAAAATCATTCCCCTTTTTTTTTTTTTTTTTTTTTTTTTGAAAGAAACGAGAGAGAAACTTTGAAGCATTTTGTTTGTTTATTTCATGACAATGTAAACCTTTTGAATACTATACAAGGGATGCTTATCACGGAAGAGATGTGTGTATATAAATGTAAAAGAAGAGGAAAAACAATAATATAAATAGTGATGCGCAGAAGGATAATGTAAGTGTATATATAAGTGTGTGTGTAAGTCAAAATTTGAAGGATCATCGTGCAGATTTGTTGCTATTCGTCTTTTTTCCACGTAAAGATTGGCCGGCACCAGAGAATGCGTTGGAAGATTTTTCAGTATTGGCTGTCTTGCTTTTGGGAGGGATGACAGGGTAACCAAAGTAGAGTTGTCCAAATGGGAGATTGAACGGCCCATCATCATTCACGTCAAATGATGATGCTGGTGATGATGATGCTTGATCTGATGCCACAGCTTTTTGTGCTCTATTTTGATAATCCATAAAATCAATCATTTGTACCTATCTTTTTCGTATCACTTACTCTTTTCCTTTGTTTCGTAATGATTGACCTGATCCATGGAATGCAGTAAAACCGGGTTTTCCACTGGTTGTTGTTTGTTCATCGAGGACCATTTGACTCTACATTGATGTAAAAAGTAAGTATTCATTTATTCCAATAATATGAATGCTATAATCATTTACCATTGAAGAAGGAGCAGGCACAGAACGTGAAGGCTCGACATAACCAACAGGAGGAGCAAAGTCTACTTCTAAATCAGTTTCCACAATAGAGATACCAGCATGATCTTCAAAATGAGGTTTGACGTCTAATACCTTGATTTCATAAATCTTATCATTGTAATTGATTTGTATAGTATCACCCAAAGTCAAAGTAGAAAAGTTGCGAAGAGCGTTTTCCAATCTAATGTTATGACCGAATATAAAAAGAAAGAATGAGTTTTTTTTTTATCCATGATTATTATTATTATCTAATTACTTACACAGCTTTAGGATCACTAATATCTAAAAAGTCTGTAGATTGTGGTTGAATTTTGACAAAGGAACCCAAAGGTAATGTTGTATTTTTCACTTCCAAAAGTTGACCAGGTTCCAATCCAAGAGTTTGCATCATCTAAATAATAATATAAGTCCATTTTTATTTATTATGTATAAATATTTTTCTTACCCATTGTGGTAAATAAGCTCTTCCTTCTTCAGCAATAAATTCCAATACACCGGCATGAGTATGTTTGTTTTGTGAAGCATTGATTAAACGAAATAACATTGGATAAGATATATTGAGTTGAGCTATTTAAGTAAATAAAATAGACAAGTTTTTAAGTTATTATTATTTTTATTCTATTATCCTACTTACATAATTTTTCCAAGGCAGATTGTGGTAATATAACTATTGATAGAATATGATTAGATCTTATTTTATATGCAAATAAAAGATTTTAACTTACTTTTTCCTCCATAATTAACATTTCCTCTTTCACTTCCACTTTGCATCATAACAATAGGATAACAACGATAACATTCAGTGAATTGTCTATTTGGGTTGACTAAAGGAGCAAATGGATGTCGAACATTACTATTAAAAAAGTTGGAAGGAGAAAAAGGATCTTCATCATCAAAATTGTTAAACTATAATAATAATAATAATAATAATAATAATAATAAAAGAAGAAAAAAAAAGAAAAAGAAGTCAGTGTCTAAAGAAAAAAAAAATAAATTTGTTTATATATATATATATGTTTGTACTTACCATGTTTTTGATTATAGATAAGAGAAAAGGAGTGAAAAAAAGAAAGAGAAAAAGCGTAATGCGTGGATCTGTGAAAAAGTCACGGCACCCCCATTTTTTCAATGTTGACCATGATTATAATATGCATGCACTCTTTTCAATTTCCGTTTTCTCTCCACGTTTTTTTTTTCCCTCTCTCTTTTTCTTTCTTTTACCTTTTTTTTTTTCTTCTTTATATACGATACCTTTTATATAGTTTTCCCAATGGAGGATCCTGGTACACCTATACCAAGTAAGATGTCAACAATACAGGCCTCCACTATATCCACAACAGCAGAAACTGATACAGTAACAACAGATGAAGAACTTACTCCTTTAGCAAAAACAGTATCCAACTCAACTTTATCCACTTGGAATGGACCAGTATCCTTACCAGATAATTGTACTTTGGCTTCTTCAAAAGATAATGCCTATTTTCATGCTCTTTTCAAAAGTGTACCGGGACATGATAGGTTATTGGAAGGTAAAATAATAAAAAAAACAAAAAAATATAGTTTAAAAATAATAAATATATTCTTTATTTTATAGTTTATAAATGTGCACTTCATCGAGATATTCTATTACAAGGTCATCTCTACTTATCTGAACATTATGTATGTTTTCATGCAAATATCTTTGGTTGGATCACGAATGTAAGTTAGACTATACGCACAAATTCAATATTGACGGCACGTTGGGTCCAAGGGATCTAGGGTGCCGACAAAAAAAAAAAGTGGATTGTTACACGAATTGCCATCTTGTCATCACGTTTTTTTTTTTTTATTGATGAAACTTATTTTTTTTTTCCCGTTAATGATAGTTGGTAATTGAATTCAATGAAATCACTCTGATTGAACGAAAAATGACAGCAATGATCATACCCAATGGCATTCAAATCAATACCCAACATGCAAAGGTAAAACAACAACAATAAGGTTAGACAATATATATATATATATATATATATATATATATAACTTTTTTTTTTTTTTTTTCTGATTTAGCATACTTTTGCTTCATTTATCTTCCGTGAAGCGGCATATCAACAATTGACGTCATTATGGGCATTACATCAACCACAAAAGTTACATTCTTCTACCATGTTGGATGACGACGACTGGACATCATCATCATCATCTTCTGATGAAGAGGATATCGATAATGATGATGATAGTAATAGTGTACATACTTCGAAAGACAATCCACCGGATACTTCTGATCATCTATCATCCTATTATCCTACATGGAAAGGCATTTTATTAGTACTCTTATTCTTACATAGTGGTTGGATGCTTCGACAATGGTTACGATTGGGAAACCAATTACAGCGGCAAGAACAACAACATGAGATGGATGAATATGATCCAATCGCATCCTATTTTGGAAAATCACAAGAACAACATCGTCTTTATGGCCGACTTGATCAATTACGTCAACGAATGGAAACTCTCAATCAACAAATCATGAATCAACAATCATTACTGTATGAATTATCACCTCATGAAGACAATTAGTGTATCTGTAGTTTAGTTTTTTTTTTTTATTGTTTTATACCTAGTTTATTCCAATAATAAAAAAAAAAGGAGATTTTTTTTTTTGAAAGATGAAACAGAATACAATTATTATGTTACACTATCATTTTCACTTTTCCCCATGTCTTATACTAAAATAAGCTAAAAAAGAAAAGGAATCTTTTTTTTTTGTTGTTGTTTTCCGAATATGGATTCGACAATTTTCTCTAATCATCTGTTGTTATGAATAGGATGCATAAAATAGGAACCTTTTTCAATAGAATCACTCTCCGAAAGGACTATTGCAAGTTGGATTTGTTATTTGTTTTCCTTTTTAAATCATTCTGTTGGATCATCCTTCGCATATATATATGTAAAATATACTGTATATAATAATTAATAATTGACTATAGAACAAACGAATACAAAGTAATAATGATGATGCATGAACTTTGAGTTTTTTTTCTTTTTTATTGATTGATAGATACTTTAAGGAGAATGGTGAAATGATGTGTACAAAAATAATGAAGAAATCATAATAAAAGATAAACAAGAGTAAAAGAGGAAGGGGGGTATGAAACCAATTTTTGAATGGAGGAGGGGTAAAGAGAAGAAAAATCATTTTAACTATTGATGGATAATGCAGGTGATGATGGTGATGTTGATGTATTGGAGCCATAAAAACAGTACTTATTCACAAGATCAGAATAAGATAAAGAAGATGGATTGAGCAAAGATGAAGGAGAAGAAGATGGTGAAGAAGGTGCTGAATATGATTTCTTTGTTGGAATAAACTTGTCATCATTGTTATTGTTCAAAGACGATGATACAGGAGTAGACTTTTCGGTATTGGTGTCAATGATAGATGAAGGTAAAGTTGGGGATGCTGGTGGTGAAGATAAAGGTGAAGGATGTGATGGTTTGTTGTGTTTTGCTTTCAATATAGATTGATTGAAATCGTATCGATGAGATGTAGATAAAGTAGATGATAATTTGAGAGGTGGTACTAATAAGTCGTGATGATCATCAGAAGGTTGTTCTTCTTGTTGTTCTTGTTGTTTGATAGTAGGTTTATCGATTGATGATATTGGGAGTGATTGAATTGGTGTTTCCACAACTTGAATTTGATAATTATGTCCATCATTGTTATCCCAAAAAGTTTCTTGATGATGATTAATATTTACAGTATATCGAACAGCCATATCCACAGTAACACGAATATGTCCACGATCGGCCATACCTTGTTCAATATCAATATCATAAACAAAAGTATCTAAAGAACCTCGACTATGTTGATAAATTGCTTGTACATTTTCCACTGTCTGCCAACCATCAAGAGTATAACGAATTTCCACTTGTTTTTCATAACCAAGATTTCGTACCAAGACTTGACCATGTAAGAGGGATCCACCATCCAGAACCTTAAGAGATCGTTTCAATTGAACGTTTTGTTGATGTTGAAAAAGAGTATGTTGAATGGGTGGCCAATGAGAATACACGATTTTGAAAGGTGGACATTTATTTTCTTCATAGCGTGGTATCAAATTGGGTGAATGACTACCTTCAAAAACACACACTTTTTCCAAATAAAAAGGATCAAACTTGACAGATTTAGTTGGACCATGTAAAGGAGAAGTAGGTTCTGATACTACTGGACGTAAGGAAGACTTGAGTTTTTTAATATTATCTTTTCTCTTGTTTCCTTGTACACTTGATTCTTTTTGTAATTGTTGATATAAAGTAGAATCCAAAGTTACTTGCATATTCCTTCTTTTATCCAAGGCTGTTTCTACATCTTCAGTTGAATAATTATTATTATCAATTTCGTTTGCTTTTCGTAAAACCACTTGACGATTCCAACTAGACTCACCATATTTTGTATGTCGTGGGAATATGGTAAATGACATGAAGTTTAAACTATAACAATAATAATAATAATAATAATAATAAAAAAAAAAGAAAAAAAGACAACAAGTATATATATATATAAAGAAATAATAAAGGAAGAAAATAGAAAAAAGGAAAAAAAAAAAAAAAGGAAGAGATAACAAAAAAAAAAAAGTTCCAAAAAGAAATGGAACAAAAGTCTATCGCAGAATCAAAAAAATTCCTGCTTTTGGAAAATCTTTTTGATAGCAAATCAATGCTCTTTCGTTTTCCGCTTTTTGTAAAACAAAATAAAATCGTTAACTTTATTTTCCCTGACAAAAAAAAAAAAAAAAAAAAAAGAATAACTACTTATTTTCTACTATAAATAACTTGATAACCATCTATAAAATATATAATCTTTTTTTTTTTTTTTGTAAATTAAACATTGAATGGTGATGATCGTGTTGATAAGAATGGACTAGATGATTGAGTGATTTCATTGGTTCCAGACATTCCAAAAGGATTGCGATTCATTGGTTGGTTTTCTACTGTTGATCCAAATGCCTATCCAACAAAAACATAAGTACTTATTCTCTTATCAAAATATAATCTCATTCTTTTTTTCGTATTTTTACCATATCAAATCCTTGACTTGTTGTTGTACCTGAATCATTTCCCGCTTTGGCCATTTCCCCATTTTCCTGGGGTTTGATACTATTTGCAAATCCCGTTCCGCTATCAAAAGAAAAAAAAAGTTTTTTTTTTTTGTAAGTCGCTAACCCAATTTCAAAAAAAGTGAAACAAACGCAGAAACTTACAAAGGAACTCTTAATGATCCCGTATTTCCAAAAGTATCCATTCCATCTCTATTATATAATAAAAAATAATAACAATTCAATCAATTAAAATAAATGGTTCATCGAATGACTTACTCTCTTGAACCAAGCAAGGAATTCAATTTTGCATAACGAGGATCATCATCGGTTTTGGTCACCTAAAAAAGGGGAGATAAGACAAAATAATAATAATAAAAAAAAAATAATAATAATTATAACTCAATTTAAGGTTCACTGTCCGGAAGATTGTACACACGATTGTGTACCCAAAACTTACCAAAGGTCGAGACTGTCCAGCAGTAGAAGAAGGAGAAGACGGAACTGAATTCATTATTGATGACTGGAATGGATGCATGGATGTATTGGTGTCAGTAGAAGTTGCTGTAATAGTTGTGGTTGTAGCAGTAGTAGTAATAGTACTGGAACCTACATCTATAGAAGATGTGTTGAATGCGTCAAATCCCGGTAAAGTATTGTTTGTACTCGATGTTGTGGCTGTTTGTCCAAAGATTGGTGATTCTGTTGATAAGGATTGTTGTCCAAATGCGGTAAATACTCGACTACCTTGAGATGCTGATTGACTGAATGGATTCCTAGACCCAGTGGGCATAGCTGTTTGAAAGGGTGAATTGTTAAATGGTGTAAGTTGCTGTTGTTGATTAGAAAATACAGAAGGATGAAAAGGTGATGGTGTTTGTTGATTGATGTTATTGAATGTTGTTACTTGTTGTTGTTGTGTTTGTGGATAATTACCAAATGCATTAGGAGCACCCGTTAATTGAGGTTGTTGGAATCCACTTGGTTGGAACATTTGTTGTTGTTGTTGTTGTTGTTGTTGTTGTTGTTGTTGTTGTTGTTGTTGTTGTTGTTGTTGAAGGTATGGATTGTTAACAGGTTGATAATTTCCACCATTCGATATTGAGTTATTGAAAAACTGATTATTGGTATCCAATGGTACTCCAGTATCTTGAGTCCAAGCAATTTGTAATGGTTGCTGTTGTTGCTGTTGCTGTTGTTGAGTATATGGATTGAAAAGAGCATCAAAGTTTGCATTGCTTGTTGATTGTTCCTTTGCTTTACGTTCTTTTTCTCTGGCTTCCTGTTCGCTGAGTTGTAACGCTATTGCTAAATCATCATCTTCACTATAAAAAATAGAGATATAACTATCAAAAAATCGTTCCTTTTTTTTTTTTGTTTGTTTAGATAGGTTACCCCTGTTGTCTTTTCCGTTCTTCTTCAGCTGCTTGTCGTTTACTTTCTTCCAATGCCTTTTTCAGTTCACGATCATCATCGGTACCATTTTGATATGCAGCTCTATTGTCTACACCTGTAATTTCACCCATGTAATCACCAACACCTGCCATCCGATCACGCATTTGTTGTCGTTGTCTACGTTCATCTCGTAATCGATTATCATCTTGTAAAAGATTGGCGATATCCTTGGCTTTTTGCCGAACTACAATAATAATAAAAAGAAAAATTACTATTTTAAATGTTTCGTTTTCTTTTTTTTCCTTATTCTTACCATTGGCACCAACATCTTTTCCATTTTCTTCAATATGTTGAAATTCTTTGAGAGTTTTCACAACATAAGCATTTTCTTTAGCATATAATACCACATTTTCAGATCCTACATGTAGACAATAATCCAACAGTAACAATGCCTTTTTGTTTTATATATGGATAAAAAATAAAGTTTTAGTTCAAACCCTTCCTTCTTCCTGAATACATATTTATAAATACCTTGAATACATGTCGCCAGTTTTTGCCCTTGTCGTTCAATCGTTTATCAATCATATCCATCACCTCTATAAAATCATGTCTATAATTATAAAAAAAACATATTAATAAGTAAGTAATGAACATTCCCCTTCCTTCCATCTTCTCCTAATCCAACCTTTCTCCCCCTCTTTGCTTTTCTCTTCACCCTTCTTTTTTTTTTCATCTATTTCCAAACTCTACTTACTGATTATATGTCAACTGAGCAATTTCATTCATTAATGTTCCACTAGGACCCCAAGCATCATTTGAAGTAGCTTCACGTACTTTTATTTGAACATCACTAAAACCTTTTGTAAAGTTTTTCCTAAATAGAACAAAAAGGTTAGATTCTCTATCATCAAAAGTTCAATATGACTTACAAACTACGAACAACACCTTTTCCAGCCATATTTGGGGAGAAGAGTAATTCAATATAGCTAATAAATAAATAAATAAATGAGAAAGACTAATTGGTCGTCTATAATATAGATGAAGAAAAAAAAAAAAAGAGATAAAAGAAGTAAAAGAAAGTGAAGGAAGAAAAAAAGTAAAGAGTTCCCCTTTTGTTTGGGTTGATTTCAACCTGCAGAATTCAACCTCCGTTGTCATTATTGTTAAAATTTATTAGCGTTATTACAAGAAAATAGTTTCGTGATGATGTAAAATAAATATCGGGCTTTCTCAAAATGAATGTCGCATTACCATTTTTTTAGAGGTGATTGATGATTGATAATAGGATGATGGGTGGATGTTGGTGATGATGATGGAAAAATAATAAAAACGACTACGACTTTATTTGAAAAATATATTAAAAAAAGAAACAAAGTTCTTTATTGATATAATAGATCATCGTTAGAGCGTTGATTCATCATGATGATTGCCCTGAATATTAGTGGTTTTCAAAATCCGTTTTTATTTCTTCATATTTTTGATATAATATATATATATATATATATTTACTTTTCTTTGTATTGACTTTTAGTATATCAATTGGTAGTCTATAGTTGATAATTTTGAAGCTGTCATCGGAGTTTGATCCAATTTGGGTTCCTTTTCTTTTTTGTCATGTGTGTTTTTTTTTTCCTTCTTTCTACTTCTTTTCCTTTCTCTCTCTTATATAATCAGTATGGTTCATGTTGATGCTGAAAAGCATAAAGTATTAGGTAAACTCTTCAATGTTTCAAATATTTATTTATTTATATATATATATATATTGACTCATCTCTTCTTATTTATACTATCAGGCAACAAACTATTTGGTGAACATCGATATGAAGATGCTATTTCTGAATACTCGACAGCTATTGTAAAACCATTAAACCAAACACACATATTTATTAGTCATTACTTTATTAACCCTCCTCTTTTTATATAGATAAAGGATTCAAATGAAAAGGTATATTATACCAATAGGGCACTTTGTTATTCAAGAGTAAGTAAAACTATGATCAACTATCGATTATACTCATTTATTGTAATATAATATATAGTTGGAAGAATATGATAAAGTCATTAATGATACCCGAAGAGCCATTGAACTTGACAATACAACAGGTAACAAGAGAGAAAGAACTAGAAAGAATCGGATGACAGGAGACTTGTCAGCTGACTATTTTTTTTTTTTTTTTTTTTTTTTATTTGTCAACTTTTAACTTTTGGATTAGTCAAGGCATACTATTTGGTAAGTAAAAGGGGTATTTTTCCCCGTTGTCATTACCTTATTTGGTCCTGTCGATCACTGAGGACCTTAGAAATAGACTAATTTTTTTTTTGTTTATTTATTTGATTAGTTGGGACAAGCGTTGATACATAAGAAACAACATGCCGAAGGTAAAAGAAATATCAAATAAGAAAATACATCCGTATAAATTGACCTTATTTTTTTTTTATATACATAATATCTTGGAATATATTATAGCTTTAGCGAAACTGAAGATTGGTGAGTGAAAATAATAATAATAATAATAATACTGTATGCGAAATAATAGGAAAACTCATCTATATCCTTATCAGCTTACGACTTGGCGATGCAACAAAAAGTCAAATATATCAACGACATTTTACAAGCATTATTGATGGCTAGGAAGAAAAAGTGGGATGATGATGAAGTGGTACGACTAGAAAAGGAATGTGAATTACTGCGATATGTCGAGAATCTAGTGGAAAAGGAACGTACTGAACAATTGGACCAAAACAAAGATGATCCTGACAAAATGGATGAAATCAATTACAATTCAGTAAGTATTTATACTTTCTTCTTTGTTATATGCGACTTTTTTTTTTTAATGAACCACATCCTTTTTATTTTTAGGATGAGCGATTGGCTGCTATTCAACAAGTATTCAAACAATCTCAACATCAACCACGTCCTCCACTACCACAAGCTTATCTTGATCCAATCAGTTTCAATGTTCTCCATCAACCTTATATCACTCCAGGTAAATAAAAGAAATTTTTCATTTTATTACCAATCTAAATGATTCTATTGGACGCACTATAGATGGTATCACGTATGAACGACAATCTCTCCTGGAACATTTCGAAAGGAACGGTCATTTTGATCCCATTACTCGAAACCCATGTACCGAAAAGGATCTTATACCAAACCTCTCGTTACGTGAATCTATAGAAGATTTTTTGAAGGATAATGGATGGGCAGCTGGTAAGTTACTGGATAAAAAGAAAGGAAATGTCACTATCTAATATATATATATATATTTTTATGTATGTAATTATAGATTATTGATTCATATATATTCCAAGTGTAGTATAGTATGATATAGGTTTAATTATAATGATAATTTAATTACCATACATTATGGTTTCAAACGTTTATATATATATATATATATTGTACAACAGCAAAATAAATACATATTCATTATTATATTTTCAAATATCAACATGTAGACAGTTTATTCCGTACAACGATAAATAAAATGATCATCAAAAGTCAATAAACTAAAAACGAATAACAATAACAATAATGAAAAGGATAAAAACGTAGAAAAAAAAAAAAAGAGGTAATATAAAACTTTAAATATACAATAAGCACAAAAAAAAAAAAAAAAAAGAAAAGAAAAAGAAGACTGTATACTAGGAAGAAGGTCATACATACTACAGCATAAGTCTACCTATCTCTTTTATTCTTCAGTTTCCGATTCCTTCTTGGTAGTTGTATCATTATCATCATCGACCTTATTGACTTCTTGTTCATCCACTTGCTTGAGAGTATTCTTCTTATTTGTCATTTCCAATTCAGCAACTTGAGTCTTGAGTTTTTCCATTTCAGTTTCCAAAACTCTGATCTTGATTTCACGTTGAGACAATGAGTTTTTCAAATCTTCATTTTCCTTGCGTAATTCATGATAGGCTGCTTGATACTATAATGATCAAAAAAAAAAAAGTGTTATATATATATATATATATATATATATATATGAATCAATCCATCTATCCTTACATCCTTTTCATTCTTGGGGTCAGTAATCTTGATTTCCTTGACTACTTCTGGTTGAACAGTAGGATTGAATTCCTTCTTTGATTTCACAGTAAATCCAGCTTCAAGATCGATAGTTTTAGGGTTAGCATCCTTGCCTTGGAACCATTCATCTGCTGTCAATGCAGGTTCATCACTAATGGCGGGTGGGAAGATATCAGATTGGAAAGCATCAGACTAGAAGAGAATAGATCAAAAGAGAATCATCAGTATATATCCCTCCTATTTTTTTTATTTTTTATTATTTTTATTTTTATTTTTACCTTGCGAGGAACAGTGAATGAAATAGGTTCAATCAAAGTAGTTCCAACCTTATATGCTCTAGCCACTTCACATTCGCTGACATTCACAGCACGTTTAGGTAAAAAGGCCATACCTATGATCAAAAGTAAAAGAAAAATGAATGATTTATCTTATTGAAAAATAATGACATTTTCTTTTTCATATATACATACCACGTTGAGGATCACTTGATTTGAATTCGGACAAAAGATAGAGTTCATCATTTTCATATTCATAGTAGCGGATCATACCATCACTGAAAAAAAAAAGAAAATAGGATAAAAAATCATCATATATATATATATATATATATATATATATAAATTCCATTCACGATTTTCTTATTTACCCTTTTCCAGCAAGATAAAGCATCTTTGTATCAATATCATAGAAAGGCATGATGACACCAGAAGAAGTATCCAAGAATTCCGATTTGAGAGGTTTTTCCAAATTAGAGGTATCCCAGAGATTCAATTGACGATCACTCATACGAGAGAACCCAGTAGTAGCCAAACGATCAGAGTCACCAAGCCATACAACACGAGATCCCTTGATACCTTGATGACCACTACCTTCTTGAACAATCTTGTTGCTGCGTACATCAAAGATACGTAAACGCTTGTCTCGACAGGTAGTAGCAAGTAATGAACCATTGTAGTTCCAAGCAAGGGATTGAATGATTTCCGTATGACCAGTGATCTCTTGCTTTTCTTGTCCTTTTTCAATATCCCATAATTTGATAGTTAAATCAGTACTAGCTGAAGCCAATACATTTTCAGCTACTGGATGGAATAATACTTGACCCACTTTTCTATTTTGGTAATGAATATATAAATTTTTTTTAAAAAAAGTATAAATGATCTAATTTTGACGAGCTATTTTTCTTATATATATATACCTTTGATGACCAGATAACTTGGACACAGGAGTGATTTCTTCAAGATCTTCATCATATTCTTCAGGAATATTCCAGATCATGACTTTACTATCTTCAGAACCAGAGGCGATCACATAATCATTGAATGGATTGAATGCTGTATCCAAAACAGGTCCAGTGTGACCTCTATAAAGAGGATAGTTTTCAGGAAGTTTGCCTAGAGATATATGGTTACTAAATAAAAAAACAAGAACTCTTATTTTTTTTTTTTGTTGTCATCTTACCAACAGTAGATAAAGGAATAACAGCAAAAGCACCACCACCAGACGATTGCCAGTTTACTGATAAAAAGAGCTAAAAAAAAAAGTCAGTTTCATCCTCTAAGTCATTATATAAAACTTACAGGATTGACAGACACCATATTTGTATCCCAGGCATTGGCACTAACGCGTAAATTATCATAAGAGGCATCTCTTTTAGCACAGGTACCATAAACGTGACGATATTTCGAGGGACGGACAAAGCCAAAACGAGACATCTATAATATAAAATAGAAGTAAAAAAATAATAAGATGAAAGAATACCTTAAAAAAAACACTTACGTTTTTGTATCAGGGCAAAAAGGAAAGACAATAGGAAAAAGGTGATGGTGTTTTCTATTTTTTTTTTATTTTTTGGTTTGATGAAAAAAAAAAGAAGTAAAGGAGAGAAAGAAAATAAAAATAGACCCGCCTATAAAATCCTGATTACATTTGGAAATCCTAACGGAAACGGGGATTAAAAAAAGTTGATATTGTATATCCTTCTTTTTATAGTATTAAACACTAAAGCAATGTGACTCCACCATCACACAGGATGGAGGTTCTCCTATGATCTCATCGTGATGTGAAGTAGCAAAAAAAATTTTTTTGTAGAGAAAGGTTTTCAGAAGTTGATCTGGAAAAAAAAGGGGTGTTATTCGCCAGTCAATTCACGATATAAATCGATTTTCAAAATATTGATTACTGCATTAACATCTCTACTACGGCATTACGTCTATAATAATGCAATATGTGATAAAAAAAAAAAATGAGGATTGGTTCAGCAACTCAAGTCTAAGTTAAAAAAAAATGATATCATATTGAGGTTGAGACACATACATATGCTTCTTCTTTTTTTTTTTTTTTTTTTTTTTTATGATGACTCGATGATGATGATAGTTGTATTAGGATGAAACTGGAATAAAACAAACAATCCTCATTGTTTAATTATGCCTTTAAAACAAAACAAAATAGAACACTCAAATTTACTTGGTATCGAATGCTCTTTTTTTTTTTTTGTCTTTCTAATTTACTTATCGTGTTCTCGTCTCCTTGTCTTAATTTAGTTGTCTCATTTTATCTTGAAAAATGTCTGATAAAAACATCAAACTATTCACACCATCTCTCTCCCCTAGACGCAAATTATCATAATGATGATAATAATGAATACATTATTACAAATGTACTCCTATTTATTCGGAAGACATTTTTTTTTTTTAAAAAAAAATAAGCTAAGGAAAATCATTCATAATAAAAAATCAAGAAACAATATTATATTTATTAATAAGATGTTCTTTTTGATGATGGGAAAAAAATGTACATTTCTATCAGTATGAAGGAATATATGATGGGAAGGAGAAGGGAAATAATGATAAGGAGAATAATGATGATGATAATTTATCGAAAGAGAAGGAAAGAGGATATGTAAAAGAAACAAAAAACTATACTAAAAAAAAAGAAAAAGAATGTTTACGAAGAAGAAACAGCAGATGATGAAGAGGTCGTAGTAGTAGTAGAGGAGGGTTTGGAAGGAGCAATATAACCAGCACCTACCACTGGCTTGGCACCACGTTCAACGACTTCAGTTTTGACGGGAATCTTGTTGCTAACCAAACGGAAGGCTTCCTTGGCGATTTCCTTACGCATGCCACTGATTTCAAAGATGATCCGGTTGATAGGTACACGACATGCCCAGTAATCAAAAGTCCCTTTACCTTTTCCCATACGTACTTCATTACCTTTACTAGTAACAGGAATATCTGGAAACACACGCATCCACATACGTGAACCTTTCACAGTCTTGATCTTGCGTCGCAAAGTATTGTGTACTGCTGTCAATTGTCGAGCTGTCAAACGAGCACCTTCTTTGATTCGTAAACCATAATCACCGAATTCTACAGTGGTACCCTTGACTGAGCCACCAATAGGTAGAGGGATCTTGCCTTTATGTGCTTTGCGATACTTTGTACGTCGTGGAGAAAAGTTGGATGCTTGTCGTATCGTCATCATCAATGCTCCAGGTCGTTGTTGTTGCATAATAGAAGTTGTTGGCATCATCTTATTGGCAAGAGTAGCTCCAGCTGTCATAGTAGCATTCCATACTCGAGTCTTGTATAAATTGAACATGGTATGTTATATATAAGAAAAAGAAAAAGAAAAAGGAAAGAAAAAAAAACAAAACAACCTTAAGGTCAGATTTTTTTTTGTGCCCCCCTCCTTTTCCCCCATTGTTTTCATTGCCCGCTCTTTTCCTTTTTTTTTTCATCTCTTTGACTCCTTCCCTTGTGGCTGAGGGGCACCATTTCGATATTGAACTTGATAATCTTCATTCAATAATCATTATTCATTCACTATCAAAGATTATTTATCATTCAATCAATGTTTGTCACCCATCATTTGTCCGTTATCATCTACCATTCAAAATCCATCATCAACTATTTATTATACATCATTGACGTTTTCGCCCGTCATCAGTTCCTACTTTTTTTTTTTGTTCACCCATCATCAACTTGAACCCCTTACCTTTCATTCATTATCAAACATACTATATTATCGTCACAAGTCATCTAGAGGATTAAACGATATTATCATAGAAATCATCATAATAAGAATAAAAAAGAAAAAGAATTACAATATCATGTACCATTGTAAATGTGAATACAATATTCCACATCTTGCTCAAGCAGCCAACGTTCATCATGAATGGGCTAGAGTTTAAACATCCGCACCAATGATATTGATTGTTGTTTGAAACGTCTTTTTGGCCCCGTCTCTTTTACTCTTCAAACAGTTCCTTTTCCTTCCTTCTTCTATCTTCCTTTTTCTTTTTCTATTTTTTTTTTTTTTTTATCGAAACAACTCTATCACAATGGTAAGATGGAGACGAAAAAAAGAAAGCAGAATGATATTTCTTCTTTTCATATGAAAGAGAAAATAGGACATAAAATGAAGATACTCATTTTCATCTCTATACTGCAATGATATTATCTATAACAATGAATAGGCTACCTCTAATTCTCAAGGTATCAATACCCTTTTGGAAGCTGAACGCGAAGCTGCCAAGATTGTTCAAAAATCCAAGCAACGTAAGTGACCATGATGTGTATGATGAAAAAAAAAAAAAGAGAACAGTGGTGTTATATGATGACAATATTCTACCTTGGATTTGTGTGTGTTGTGTTTGAAAGAAAGGATAATATATATGAAAAATACCAACTTTCCAAACCATTTTTTTTTTCTTTTTGCAAAGACCGTATTCAACGTTTAAAAGATGCTCGTACAGAAGCAGCCAAGGAAATCGAACAACTCAAGGCTGAAAAGAACGCTGAATATCAAAACTTTGTTGCTCAAGTAAGTGTGAAAAAAAAAAGAGGAAGAGAACATCATATATCTATGTTATTTATATGTTTTTGTATTGAAGCATTCTGGTGAATCTGATCAAAGTTTGACCAAGGTGGATGAAGAAACTCAAGCCAAAATTGCAGAAATCCAAGCAGCTGCTGCACAAAACAAAGAGAAAGCTATTCAAAAGTTACTGGAAGCCATCACCAAAGTGGAAGTCAAGCCTCATATCAATGCTCGAGCTTAAAGTTGAACTTTTTTAGTTTTATTTTATTGTTATATCATCATTTTTCTTTTATGCCATTGTATTGATTGGATATTCCCCTATACTTTCCACCTTTGTCTTTTGATTTTTGATTTTTTTTATATATCTTCCCCATCCGTTTTCCCTTTTTTTTTTTTACTTTTGATTGTCTTCGAAATAAAAAAATATATATTATATACATATATCTGTATTGATGATGCAGTAAAGTGAAATAAAATAAAAAAAGGTTGTTTTGTTGCGGTATGCATAAAGTGGTATTTTATTGAAAATTGGTCGATGTCATAAAATAAGGGGAATGAACCATGGGAAAAAAAAATATGTGTCTGTGAAGAAATAAAAAAAAAAAAAAAGGTACATATACAATGCTTGAAAAAACTATATAAGGAATAAGCTAGACTAAGATAAAAAAAAAAAAAAAACTTTGTAGAGAATAATATATATATATATATATATATAAAGAGGAGGGATCATAAAAAAAAAGGGCAGTATACTATATAAAGAGGAGAAGTATATGAAGGAGAGGGGTTGGGTTGTAATAAAAAAGGTAATAAAACGAATAAAAAAATAAACATATACACATAAATTTGAATTTGTAAACTAATATAAATATATAACGAAGGTAAAAAGAATAAGAAGAAAGACATCTGATTATCCTTGATCCATTCAATTTAATAACAAATCATCAGGTCCCTTGAGTAGACTAACCATATAAGAGGCAGATAAGACACTAAGGAATCGACACCATTGCCAACCCGAGTTGCATAAATTGTGAATATAAGGAGAGGAGGGCCCATGCGCTACTGTTGATTGGGATACATAAGAATCATTTCCCTTTTCGTTAATATGAGTCCATTGTCGATCATAGTGTTGTTCTTCTTCCAATAAAGGTGCTTCCATGGGTTGTTGACAAAGATCTGGATGATCCAATAAAAACGTCATCTCTTGAAAGAATTGTTCGTTGTATACATCATCATCATTATCTTCATTGACTTTTCTTGCCACTGTATCCAGTTGATCTATAAAGTCCATTGCTTCGTCCAGTACTCTTTGTTGATGTTGATTCAAGGCATCGGTATCCATAGGATGATAAGGTGGTAACATGGTGTCGGTAAACATACTGGAATCACTGATATTGCTATGAGGATAATTGGATTGAGAATATAAATCAAGATTTTTCAATGATCTATTGTTTCCATAAGGGTAAGGATGATCATAATCGGCGTCCTGATGATTTATCGATGGCCATATAATCGAAGATGCTTGAGTGGCGGCTGTGGTTGAGGATTTATACTGATCATAACGATGTTGCGTTGGCGTAAGAGATATACTGGCAATGGAAAGATCAGCTAAAACATCATCTTTATCTTCTTGTTCAATCATTTGTCGATGTTGATGTCGTTGTCGATGTTGCTTAATACGCATTCGTCTTTTGTAACGATGAATTCGATTCCATTGTTGTTCTACCGTTGATTTTGTAGTGTTACCAAACGCATGATCATCTTCCATATTAATGTCATTTAGATCATCATCGCTACTGGTGAATTCACTGACACTAGTGGCACTACTAACGGGCTTGCTAAATAAGGATGAGATCATTGATAAAGAAGATAGTCGTGACATGTTCATCGTCTTTGATTGTTGATCATCATCATCATCATCATCATCGTCGTCGTCGTCGTTATTATCAACATCATAATGATGAATATAATTATAATCAAGATGTTGATTGTTGATATTTTCATGATGCAAACCGTTATCATCGGACAGATTTCCATTTTTGGTTGTCGTACAGACTGATGGCATCCATTGTTGTAACATAGTTTGATGTAACTTGATTTGTTGTTCCAAAAGATCCATTTGTTGATGTTGTTGATGAATATCATATTGTGCTAAACGTCGAGTTGTCACCATAGCTATAGAGATTTGTCCAGAAAGATATTTTGAGTATGATTCCATTTCCGTCACATTGGACATCATATCCAAGAGTTGTTCTTCCAATTGTCTTCGTCGTAACCTAGTGGTTGCTTGTTGAATAAGATCGTTCTTTTTCATTATAATGTCATCATCATTGTTCATCATTGTGGTCGGGGTATTTCTCTAGTAAGTTGAAAAAAAAAGAAAACAAAAAGAAGTGTGAGTATTCCCCGCCCCTGGAATCCTTTTTCCATCATCCCCTTATTTTTTTTTTCTTGTTGCCCTCATACCCCAAAAAATTTTGATTCTTCAGTCTATACTTTTTTGTGTCTCTTTTCTTATTCGTTCCCTTCTCCTCCTTTTTTTTTTTTATTATTATTATTTTTCCTTTCTTCATCATAGTTGTTTCCCCAACAGCTTCTACTAAAATTCATTTATATTTACCTGATCGTTTTCGAATAACAAGATAATAAGTGTTCTTTGGTGATAAAGAAATGGTGTAAAATCGAGTGTCGTATGATCAATGAGTAATAACGGTAATAATGATAAAATAATAATATAAAAAAAATAAACAACAATAAAAATATATATATAAAAGATATATAAAAAAAAAAGTGAATAAAAACTGAAAGAAATGCACAAAAAGGAAAAAACGTCCGGCAGATATCTTTATTATAATCTTGGCAGGCAACAATGACCCAATGTTCCAATACAATGCATATTCAATCACCGACTTGCAGGTTCAGTGTATATATAAAAAAAAATGTCAAAAAAAGTTTGGGGTACAAAAAAAAAAAAAAAAAAAAAAGCCATGCTATTGATGGATCATCACTTTTTATATACATTGACCACGAGTTTCTTATTTATTTGTTTTTCATCTTTCCATCTATATTTCCATCATCTAAACCCCAATCATCTTTCATCATTCTTCAAGATTAGATTCAATACAATTTTATTTCAATAGATAAAAAAAAAACTAACTAAACATTTGGTCCCTTCTTATGCCTTTTGAGCAGCATTCCTATATAGAAATCAAAAAGTTAAATTAACATATTTCCCGTCTCTATATATATATATATATATTTATACTCATCTTGACTTACATGTCATCCAAAGCTTGTTTGTAGGTTTTGTTGATTTCATGTCGTTTTAACTTTTGAGCAGCTGTCATTAATCCCTATAAAAAGCAAAAAAGAAGCATTGTCAATTTCCTTTTTATTTATTTATTTATTTCCCCACAAAATAAAATGTCATCACTTACATTGGTAGATGTCCATTCTTCGTGACATAAGTAAACATTGCAGATCAATTCTGCTGGTTTCAATTGTGCCTTCTTTGCTTGTGCTAATAGTTGATCCAATACCAATTTGCGAACTTGTTCATTTTGACACAAATCTTCAAATGAAGCATTAGCTACTTCCAATTCTTGCGTTTTGGCCAATTTTCGTAATTGAGATTCAACAGGTACCACAAGTGCAACAGGTTTAGGTCGAAGAGAATCACCATAAACACATACATTGGAAACGCCCATAACGGTCTTATAAACAGATTCCAGTTTTTCCAAAGCAATATATTCACCATTACTGAGCTTGACCAGATTCTTGATACGATCAATCACAGACAATGTACCATCTTCATTCCATTCACCAACATCCCCCGTTCGTAACCAACCATCTTCTGTAATGGTTTCCTTGGTTAATTTTTCTTGCTTATAATACCCGCGGCAGATAGATGGTCCACGAACCCACACTTCACCTTGAGGCTTGGGTTGATTTGTAGATAAATAATTGGCTTCAGGTACATCTACCAATTTGATTTCAGTACAGGGTACAGGTAAACCAACGTGACCATAACCGAAATATTCCTACAAAAAATGATAATAAAAGATCATCCGTCAGTCTCGAAGATCTACCATTGTCCAATTCTTTTTTTTTTCTTAAACTTACAGGACTCATAATACATGCCATACCACAACCTAATCAATTAATAAATAATAAAAACGTGTTAATAATGACAATATATTTTAATTTCGGTATCATTAATAACATACTTTCAGTCCTATTGAATTCAAATAAAAGGAAAAGATAATATAAAAAAACAAAATATCGATGAATATCATAGTTTATAGATCAATCTGTTTTTTTTTTCTCTTGCAAACTTACATGCCATAACCACCAAGAATAGGAGCCAATGCAGATGATAAGAATTCTTGAGTTTCCAATGCCAAAGGAGCACCACCACTCAATCCAAAACGTAAACGACCTCCTACTTGTTCCTTGACCTTACTAAACACCAAACGATCAATCCATCCAGTGGGTAAGTGACGCTTCATCAACCAGGATTTTGTAGAAAGAGCATGTTGGAACATGGCTTGAGCTGTAGGACTAGCTTTGGAGACGTTACCAACAACACCTTTACGAATAGATTCCCATACTTGAGGCACACCAGTCATAATGGATGGTTTGAATTCTTTGATATCACCTTGACAGTTTCGTACAGAAGCGTCAGTTAATGTACGTGGACTACCATATCCCAAAGTCATTCCAAGGAAAAGAGCTAATGATTCCACCAAGAATTCGAGCACGTGAGCTAAAGGTAAGTATGCCATGATGGTATCATCTGGGCGGAAATGATGTCCAAGATAAGTGTTGACACCAGCAACTATGAAAAAAAAAAAAGAATAATGTAAATGAATATAAGAGTCAAACAATAGTCAGCAATATATATATAACTTACTTGCAGCGACCAGATTGGAATGTTCAAGCATGACACCTTTGGGATTACCAGTAGAACCTGAGGTATACCTAATCAATGATAATAAAATTGAAAAAAGAGAAGAGAAAGGGAGAGAGAAAAAAGTTATAGTTAATACCAAAAGAAGAAAAGTAGGTTTAACCAACAAAAAAATAAAAAAAGATACTAACATAATACAGGCCAAGTCTTCACTAACAGGTTTGACGGGTTCCTTGGGATTGGCTTCACCAATAGCAACGAGTTCGTTCACGGTATAAACTGTAGCAAGTTCAGAAACCTTTTCCAATACTTCTTTCTTTGCTTCACCAGTATAAATAACAATTGGTTTGGTGGTACACTTGGGTAAAATGGAGAGAACCACAGGAAGTAAGTCAGAAGAAGTAAATACAGCTTCAGCTCCAGTTTCATTCATAGAGTGGAGTAATCCTTCTTCACCTAAAGTATCATAAGCCGTCACGATGGTAATGTTTTGAGTGAAAGCACCATAAGCCATATACATCCATTCCGCACTATATTCAAAGATAAAAAAAAAAGAAAAAAAAATTAAAAAAAAAAAAGAAAAGATAAGAAAAGAAAAGGAAAGTAAAAAAAAAAAAAAGTGGGATTCAAAAAAAAGGGATAGATTTGTTACCTTGTAGGAGCGAAAATTTCTATCTTTGATTTAGGTTTCAGGCCCAAATGAGAGAGACCATTACCAATGGTATGTACCTTGGTAGACATTTCAGTATAAGAAACATAGGTATAAGGAGAAAGTTGAAAATAATTCCAAGTTTTCTTTTGTTTTGTTTCAACACCATCAATAATCTTAGTTACTTCTTTTTCTTCCTGGATCATCTTTTCGAGAGTACGATAACCTAAGGCAGAGTGATTTGGACGTTTCGTAACGCTATATTGTAAAACATCATACAAGGTTTCAACATGAGGTGCAGGGAAACGTGATAAATTATCTTGTGCTAAAACGGATCTACGAATAGCACCTTCACCTTGTTCTGGGGTACTAATAGTGACAGACATGATATGATTTTTAAATGATATAGATATATATATAAAAAGAAAAACAGTAAAAAAAAGAACAAAGAGAAAAAAAAAAAGAAATCAGAAACCTATCCAATTCTATTTTTATAGTTCGCTGACCTTTTTTTTTTTTTTCTTCTATTTCCCGCCTTTTTACCTTTCTCATCATTAGACGCGGGTGGGCCTATTGATTTCGAATTTAAAGCATCACATGCACTGCATCTTTCACTTTCCGCGTGCAGCAATTTTTTTCTTTTAGACTATGAACTACTTCCAAAGATAGATTTTTCGCACTTGCTTTCTATTGTTCATTACAAAGATCAATAGGATGACCTTTTGTTTATATACACATGGGAATATTTATACTGAATTTCTAATCATCTTATGGATAACGATTTACTTTTCTTTTTCTTTTTCCTTTTTCCGGTTGATACTCAGCGTTACATTTACGTAAATGTCCTCTTTCATTTTATTTTTATTTTTTATTTATTTTTATACTCAGAGAGAGAAAAAAAAAAGGCTTACGAAGATCACGGTTAAAAGTTTGATCCATCAAATTAATCTTTTATTTAACCAAGGAAAATTTTCCATCATCATCATAATAATATATCATTCATCATCATCATCATCATGGTAACCGGACATTCAAACATGATAAGATTAATATTGGATGGATTTATGATTGGACGAGAAATGTTAAGGGGGATGATGATGAAAGAGAAATCAAAAAGAAGTTGAACAACAATAAAAAAAAAAAAAAAAAAGCTCTAAATAAAAAATGTAAAGAATGGGAAAAAAAAAAGATATGATGGGAAAAAAAAATACTTTCTGCATTTTCTTATTTTGGGTAAAACTCAACCTGTCAAACTCATTCAAGAGGTTTATGCGTCATTTGGTAAATTAAAAAAATCATTCATTTTGTAAACAAGGGATGACTAGCAACAGCGTGCAGGTTTCATCATGATTGTCACATCACTTTAAACTGCGCCTACTATGTGTGTGTTTTTTTCTACTTTTCGATTCTGTCTTGTTTTCATTTTGGCGGGAAAATGCTGTTGATTCGATGGTTTGACTTTATGGTTTCGCTATTTATTTATTTATTTACTCAAGAATGCCTTTTTATTTTGAATATTCCCATTCATCGTTTCTTTTTCCTATCTCTTTCTCTCTTTTTTTTTTTCTTCTCTTTCTCTCTCTCTTTTTTTTTTATCCTCTTTCCTTTTTTTTTTTAATTTTATTTTTTAATACTTCATCTTCAGTATTGTTATGGAAACCAATCATCCCTATTTTCAATACACAGACTCATCCGATGGTTATATGGAATGGGTCAATCCTTCATTTCCATCATCATTCTCGGCGCCTTGTCTATCCGATCACTCTTCTTCCTTACCATCATCATCCATGAATGTAAATAATAATGATTTTTTCAACGAGGAATTCATGCAGTACCTACATCAATACCCATATTCCTCTGATATTACATATTCTCATCAATATCCACAACAACGTTCACCTATGGACGATGATGACGATGACGATGATGATGATAGTTTAGATTGTTCTATCGCCACTCCACATCAATTCTTTTTTCCTACATTTGAACAAATGAAAGAGAACTCGACAATTACTCCATATCAGCAACAATCTTTCGATAATTCCAAAAATATATCAATCCCACCTTCATCATCATCAATAAGAACATCATCTACTGGTACGAGCTGGCCATCGACTATTTTAGAGGATTATGCTTCCACATTAGTAATTCCACGTAGTTATGTCAGTCTGAGCGTAAGTCAAAAAAAAAAAAAGAATACATATATATTCAACTGGTATCAAAAAAAAAAAAAAATACTAAACCTAAATTTTAGGATGTCAATGCATTTGTGGCAAAAGCGGATTCTATTAAACATTCTGCATCTATACATCAATCGATCACTACATTTAATAAAGAAGACTATCCGTCATCACCCTCATTAGCATCACCATCATGGGACGACATCAATGCTATGCCACCTTTACCTTTCCGATCATCATCTCCAACATCATCATCACCATCACCATCATCCATGTTATATCAAGACAAATTGATGATCAAGATCCCAAAACATCACTCAACTCCAGCCATCGCTACTTATACATCCTTATCATCACCCACGCTTATGCCATCCACATCATCATCATCATCATCATCCTCTTCATCTGGTGATTCTTATTCCGCTGAAGAGTCAGATCAAGATATGCAATATGTACTAAAGAAATCAAATGACGGCTATGAAATGGACCTAGAATATGATGATGATGATGATGATGACGAAGAAGAGGAAGAAGAAGAAGATGATGATGAAGATGAAAATAGTGATGATGATTACGAATATATCCGTCTTCCTGCTATACCAACCTCCATGAGATCATCCTCCACCTATTTATCCAAGTCATTGAATCGTCATCGTGCCATGAACAAGACCAATAATAAGCGTCATCATCATAGTAGTAGTACCAAAGTATTAAAATCAAAATCTTTTGTTGTGAAAAAAGGGCGTAATGTCGATAAGGCTTGCAATCACTGTAAACGATCGCATTTACGATGTGATAATATGAGACCTTGTCAACGATGTACTGCCACCGGTAAGTCAGGATGTAAAGATGTTCAACATAAACCACGTGGTAGACCAAAACTTCATAAAAAGTAGATAATAAAAATATATATATATATATTGTTCATAAATCAAAATATCCCAAAAAAAAAAAATGTCTCCTTCATTGTCCATAAAAGGCTTTTTCTCCTCTTATGTCTCTCTGTGGATACTAGGCAACTCCGCGCGAGTGGTTGTGGTTTCAGTCACAAAAGTGCTCAAAAGGAAAAAAAAAGTTTTTTTTTTTCTTTCTTTCTTTTTTTTTTTTCTTTCTCTTTTATATATTCATACAATGTCTCAAGATACTGCAGCCACTCAAGCCAAAATCCTCAAACAAGTAGAATTCTATTTTGGTGATAGCAATTTACCTTATGACAAATTTTTGTGGAACAAGACCAAGGAAAATGATGGTTGTAAGTTATATATTTGTTTTTGTGGCGACGTGTAAAAGAAAAAAAAATGAAGGGAGACGTGTCCAATGGGAAAATATGTACTTTTATGACAACATTGAATTGAACAGAAACAATACCTTTTTTTTTTAATAGGGGTTGATATTCAAACTATTGCAGATTTCAAGAAAATGAAAATGATCTGTAATGATCTTGAAACTATCGTGGCTGCTCTCAAGGAAGGACCCTCTGATTTGCTTGAAGTGAACGATAAGAAACAAGTGCGAAGAAAAACCGAAGTAGAAAAACAAGATCATACTGGCAGATCTATCTATGCTGTAAATATGAAAAAATGGTTTTAGTTTGTAGCTATTCACTAACATGCATTCTCTCTCTCTTTTTCAAAATAGAAATCCTTTGCTGTTGAAAACCCTACAGAAGATGGTGCTGCTGATCTTTTGAAACTTCAAGATGATATTGAGGCATTCTTTGAAAAATATGGCAAAGTTTTATCGGTTCGTATGCGTAAAGATGATAAAGCGCAATTTAAGGGAAGTGTCTTTGTTGAATTCTCCACTCCTGAAGAAGCCAAAAAGGTCGCTGAAATGGAATTGGAATACAAAAACAACAAATTAGAAATCATGACAAAGTAAGTTTCATCACAATGTTTGATTGGAATTATTAATGATTGATTCTTATATATATATAGACTTGCATACTTGGAAAAGAAAAAAGAACAATACAAGGATGCTCCTCGTGCCCAACATAAGAAGAAATCATTCAATGCATTCTTTGAACAATCCTCTAAACAACAAAAAGGCAAGAAAAACACCAAGAACAACAATGCCAAGCGCGATCGTGAAACTGATGCTGCCGATGCTGATGAAAAGGACGATGTCAAGCGTCAACGGGCAGACGAAGAATAGACAATTTTTGTTTTTTTTTTTTTTGATCTATATATTGATTCTTCCCACCTACATATAATTTAGCATTGAATTTATACTTTTTCTTTTTATCTATACATACTTCATTGATTACTTACTCATGTTATATATTTCTGTCTCAATAAAAATCTGATTACATTCGTATCTTACTGATGATGATGTAGATATGTGATGATGGATAATATGTGATGATGGATGATGTTCAGTGCGACACCGCCTGAGATAAACATGTATCGTTGTATACTTTTGTAACTCGCTTCAAAGTCACCATCACCGTATCAAATTTGGAGTGAATGTAAATGAAAGCATTTTCTTTCACTTGATTTAATGATATTTTATATTTTACCTTGCCACTTCATGTGTAATGAACACCAGGATATTTCATCGATTTTTTGAAAAATTGCTGGATGATCCCTCGACAATTATTTTTTACAGCCAAAATTTAGCTGCGGAATTCCAAATCTTTGGCTGTAAAAATCCAAAATTTTCAAAAAAAAGAAAAAAAAAAAAGAATTGAACCCACAGCTCTAATCACCCTTCAGATCCATTTTTAAGCTTAATCTACCGCAACATTAATAAAAGATGTGTATATTATATATGATTACTTCTTTTGTTAGTGGATCAAAAAGACAGCTTGTCAATAATATGTAGAAAATCCCAGAAAAAGGTCATCTGACAACTAATGTCACTCTAAAAAGAAATCTTCAAATCCATACTTCAGTTTTGAATCTCCAACCATATGTATAATACTGGTAAAACATATGTGTATCATTTATGGCTATCTTTTTTATTCATATATCAAAACATATTTACCGCCAAAAATGTTGTGTTAAAATATAAAAAAAATTGAAAAAAGGGAGGAAAAAGTATGGTATTTGCTTCCGAGTCATAAGCCTGGTTAAAACTTTTTAGCGAGACTCTAATCTGAGGGTAGGCTTGGACCCAAGCAAATGCGCCCCTGCTTTGATCTCGAGTTTTTTTTTCTTTTTTTTTTTTTTTTTTTTTTTTTTTTTTTTGAGAGAGAGAGAATTGGTTGGAAGGTCGATCAGTTCTCCCAAATCGGAATTAGAATGTATTAATGACACGATGAGAGAAGTCATTGATAAATGAATGGTATGATGTACGATATTTGAAGATTTATAATGATAATAGGATGATGAATGATAAGAAAAGGAATGTAATGGATGGAGAATGAACAAAAGTTTTCCATCAGGATGTCAAATGAGCCAATGAAAAGGAACTTTGAAATTATCAAAAAAAAAAAAAAAAATACAAAGAAGTATATGAGTTTATTTTACTTTTTTGCTTCAAGTAATACAGATTAAGAAAGAGGCATCAGAAAATGAGATAATGGGAAATATTGATTTTTGTTTATGAATGATAATATTATATAATGATTGTTGATAATGATGATTTTATGAAAGATCAACTGTAAAAAAAAAACATCAACCTTATTTTATATCGTTTCAAATTCTGTCAAATTTTTTTCTTAAAGCATAAAAAAAAAAAAAAAAAAAAAAAGCGTAGTCTTGACCCCTGTCCCAAAATGGAAATGACTGGTTGAGAGTCAAACGAAAAATTCCACGTGAGCATATTATATCACGAGGTTACAAACTCAAAGCTTTTCTCCTCCTTAACTTTTCCAACATGTTTTTCCGTTCTCTTCCCTACCTTTCTTTCAGACCTTTTGTATTTTTATTAGGACGTCATCTTATTACTTTGAAGATAGACGCCAAAGTATGCCTCAAAAAAAACAACTAGAGTGAATTTTTCCGCCACTTTCTTTTTTTCTTCTTCTTCTTTTTACTTCTTTTTATTGTTTATTTCATTATTTTACAACACCACGACTATATGAACCAACAAGATCCTCTAGCGTCTACGAATTCAATCACAAAGTCTAATACTTATCGACCTTCCTATTGGACTCCCACTATTATTCTTCAAAACGATCCTCCTTCAACAACTTCCGATTATCAACATTATCAAAATGATTCCAAACGAAGGCGTACACATCCAGCTACTGAATGCTCAAGCATGATACCCCAAAATACAAGCCCAGTATGTGCATCCACGACCAAGGTAGGTATACTTCAAATAATATAATAAAAGAAAAAGTGTATTTATGTGTATACTCTGACCATTTCTCTTGTATTTTTTTTTTTTTTTTTTTTTTTTTTTTTTTAGAGCGGCTACGATTCCTTACCATCAAGTAACTGCCATTCACCTTCACCACCATTTGCTAATCTGAATATCAATCAAAGTCCATTTACGACTACTCCAACAAACTCACCTTTACAATGGCAACCTCACCATCTCATTCGATCTCAATCTATGACAGGACTTCCATCTTTAATGGCAACCTCAACGACAACATCTCATCCTGATCCTCTGTACATACAGTCACGCGGTCATTCTCCCATGCAGTCTATGATTGATCTAACTTTGGATGAACAACCATATCATCATCAACAACAATTACCGTCTATAACAACACTGAATGATCAAAAAAGTACTTTACATCGTCCTTATCCAAGATCCATGCCTATTCAGCATCAAAATAACAATACAAGTTCATATGGATTGCAATCATTTTATAATCCTGATATATCAAGGCCATTTAGCTCCAATAGCAGCTATCATTTACCTCTTTCACACTTCCAACAGGTACCTGCCACCAGCATAGTTACACAACCGTCTGTGGTGGAACCATCACAACAAGAAGAACGATCTGATGTGATGTTAATGGAGAACAACAACAACAATAATAATAATAGTAATAATAACAATGGAATCGATATATCTACTACGACTTCTGCAAATGATAATATGCATGATGATGATGACGACGATGATGATGTGATTATAGATGAAGAAATGACAAATCGAAATATATGTATTGGTATGCTCAAGTCCGATGTAGTTACAAAGGATCCATTGTTTCTGGTCAAGGATGAATTATTTGAACCTGTATTGATGAGAATGGAAGGATATCGACAAAATAATTATTGTAAGGAGTCATTCATTGGAGGAAAAAGGATATAGATAAGAATCATCTGACCTTTTTTTTTTTTGTACTAGCGTTTACCATAACAAGCAAGAAGAATCCTACTAAATTTGTAAGTCCAAAAAAAAAAAAAAGGCTCTACGAAAAGAAAGCAAATTCCAATAAACACTTCTTTTTGTTTTTGTATATATGATTATCGTAGTACGGTTGGGTTCCTTTTGATGATACCAGTATTCTTGGACCCATTGCTGAAAGACAAATGGTGTGGTGGGACACAGTGATTCCAAGGAATAAGGCCAATATGACTCGTACACCTTTATACATCATTTTATACTGTCGACCGAATGTATATGATAAATTATGTCAATACCTCTTCAAATGGAAATTAGATTTACAAGATCCACCTTTTTTCAATCCAGCCTGTCGGTATAGCAATCCCAAATTTAGCAAAAACAATCTTATTCCACAACAAGAACAACAGCGAGAGTCGTTTACCACTACTGGAACAATGTATCATAGTAATAGCAGCAACAACAATGATAGTAATTCTTATTTGGGTCAAGCGAAACGGGGAATCACTCAATTATTGGAATCCATACCAAGTCATCGACAAGGCGACAAGGGTAATAGACCAATTGTGATTAATGATGAAGAAGGTGACGCGACGTACAAGGACGATAATGATGAACCACAAAATGAAATAAAAGAGGATGATTTGAATATGAAGGGATTAACAATCACATTACTACCACATCAATTGGAAGGTATTAGGTGGATGATGGATAGAGAAGAAAACGAATCAAGTTCTGGTGGCATCTTGGCTGATGTAAGTTTTGAATAGAATCAAAAAATTCCTTCTTCAAAATATATATAGATATATTGATTTTTGATTTATTTTTTATTATTTTACATCAAAGGATGTAAGGATAGATTTGAATAGATGATATCGAAAAGTTGAAGATTTTATATTTACTGGAAGGATACTTTTTTTTTTTTTTTGGTATAGATGGGATTGGGAAAAACAATACAAACAATAGGATTGGTGACAAGTACATTGGAAAATACAGAAAAACGGGAAAACAAGACATTGATTGTAGCACCTTTGGCATTGATTCAACAATGGGCAAGGGAATTTGAAATGAAAACAACTCCTGGTAATATCAAGGTACTCATTCATCATGGTGGCGATCGAACTAAAAATCACAGGGATTTTGATGATTATGATGTGGTGGTGACAACTTATCAAATTGTGGCTTCTGATCTTGAATTATCTGGTACTGGGAAGAAACGGGGAAGACAACAACAACAACAACAACAACCAATAGTCATCGGAGAGGATGCGTCCATGATAGAAACTATAGATGATGGGACGAATTTTGAAAGTGATGTCAGTGCTTCCAGTAGTCGGTTGGCATCTCCAGCTCCTTCATCATCCGCTGGACAGCAACAAAGGTATTCTGAAGATGATGATGATAAGGACAATAAAGTCTCAACTCTTGATTGCGGTCCACTTTTTCAAGTTCAATGGTATCGCGTTGTATTGGGTAAGGAGTCCAAAAAAAAAAAAAAATAGAATGGGACCGATATCATAGATGTTTCAGAGACTCATTTTTTTTTTTTTTATTATTTCACAGATGAAGCTCAACAGATCAAGAATCACAAGACCAGGTCATCCATTGCTTGCAGCAAGTTGATATCCAGCAAAAGATGGTGCTTGACGGGAACTCCTATTCAAAATCGTGTGGATGAACTTTATAGTTTGTTACGATTTCTACGGATTCAACCCCTTTGTGAACTGGCAACATTTCGACATACGATCTCGGGACCTATTCAAAGCGGTAAAGTGGATATTGCTCTAGGACGATTGAAAGCGATTTTGATGGTGATCATGTTAAGACGAACAAAACAAATCTTGAATGCGACTTCGTCAGCTTCTTCTTCATCTTCTCCAAAGGTACCTACATCGTCCTCTTCTGCATCTTCTCCACCACCTACAACAACAACCAACAGCTCTGGATCATCTACGCCTACTGAAACATCATCGTCTTTGGTGTTTGGACTTCCTTGCCGACAGAAAGAAGATATATTATTGGAATTCTCATCAAATGAACGTGCTTTATATGATGTATTAATTAGAAAGACAAAATCAACAGTGGAAAGATTAGTTCAAAGTGGAAAAGGTACTCGGAATTATATGAATATGCTTTGTATGTTACTAAGATTACGTCAAGGTAAAAACAAAAAAAAAAAAAGGAAAGAAATTATATTGATTCAATGATTTTTTTCTTTTTAGCATGTAATCACCCCGATCTTGTTTTAAGATCACTTTCGAATGATGAAGATATCATGGCATTTGCTTCAGCTGAAAATTCGAGTACAACAACATCATCATCCAAACGGGAAACAAGTGAAGCAGCTATGCAACGTTTACTGATGGCACAAATGGCAGCGGACCTTGGATGGTCAGGTGTAGGTCAAGTAGGTCAATCTGTATTTGATAAAAGTTCTTCGAAACATCAATGTGAACTATGTGGAAGGTAAATATAAAATAGAAAAGGGGAACTTTCTTTATTTTCCAGGAGAGAAAAAAAAAAGGTCTGACTTTTTTTTTTTAATATATAGACCAGTGATTGTTATGGATTCTGAAGAAACTTGTGGCAATAACAATAATAACATGACAAATACACCTCCATATTGTGTCAACTGTACAAATCAAATCAAACTTTATACCAACAAAGCAACATCAACAATAAGCATGAATTCAGCTTCTACAAAGATCAACAAGATGTTGGAAATATTGGAAGAAACAAGACAACATTATCCAAATGAAAAAACAATTATTTTTTCTCAATTTAGTTCCATGTTGGATTTGATGGAAAAACCTTTACAAGGCTTAGGCTTCAAGTTTTGTCGATGTAAGTGAACTATTTTTGGATTGGGAAAACAAAAATATATACTGATTCAGTCTTTTATCTATATGTTTAGATGATGGATCAATGGCGAATCATGCTCGAGAGAAGAGTTTACATGTTCTTAGAACAGATCCAGAATGTCGAGTGATGTTGATATCATTGAAATGTGGATCACTTGGGTAAGTTAACCAATTAAAAAAAAAAAAAAAAGAAACAATGTCCGATTGACCCCAATTTTATGCTATAGGTTAAATCTTACTGCTGCCAATCGTGTTATATTGATGGATATATGGTGGAATCCTGCTGTAGAAGGTAAGAAGACGAAAGTTCCAAAAAAGAAGAGAAATGATCATGATCTTTAACTTTAAAAAACTTTTTTATTCTTTTAGATCAAGCCATTGATAGAGTTCATCGGATTGGACAAAAATTACCGGTGTATGTTACTCGATTATTGATTGATAGAACCATAGAACAAAAGATCATCAAATTACAAGAACACAAGGTAACAAAAAAAAAACATGACAGGATCGGGTCAGCAACTTACCTTTTTTTTTTTTTTGGACTGTCAGGCGAGAATTGCTAAAGGTGCATTGGGCGATCATATGACTGGTACTAATAAACTTACTACTCAAGAACTTTTGGCTTTATTTGACCTTTGATGTTACTATAGTTTTTTTTTTCTATTATTATATTTATATACAATAAAGAAAAACAAAATATTTTACTTCTAGATGATATAGTTTGATTTTTGAATTTATGCCAAATAGTATAGTAGTTTTTTTTTTTGGAATGGGGTGGTATTTTGATGCTCAGATGAAAGAACGAAAAAGGAATCTAAGGGATATTTTTGGACAAGTCTGTAGAAAGATTCAATGGAAGGCCATTGATGGTGTTCATATTGTGTTACCCGAAAAGAAGGGTCATCCTTACTCTCCAAAAAAGATCGACGAGAACTTCTTTTTTTTAATGAAAAATGGTTTATCCTTTTTCTTTTCATTTGATATAGTCTTTTGGGAATAATAAAGATGAAATGGTATTCATCATCTAACAGAATGAAATGATTATAAAAGAATGTGGAAAATTAAAAAAAAAGAGTAAAGAATGTCATCAAACCAAATATAATGACATGTCACGAGTGGAGGGTTTGTTTTTTCTAAATGACGAGTTTTTTTTTTTTTTTTTTGTTATGTTTTATTGACATTGTTGATTATTCTCCTCTTGTTTTAGAGAGAGAAGGCGTGACCAATCATTCATTGACAGACTATTTCATTTGAGTCCTTTGAATGAGTTTCTTGATATTCTTTTTTTCTTTTTACTCTCTATCAAATCAAAACTCAGCGTTTATTTTATTGGCTGTACTAAATTCAGGTGAAGGTGGTGGTTTTGGTTCAAAGTAGGAGGGAAGCTTGAGAAGCTTCGACTACTATTCGACTCCGACCTCTTAATTAGCAAAAAGGGAATTTTTTTTTTTTGATATAAATATTAATTTCATCTTTCTCTTTCTTTTCCTTCTTCATTATTATTATTATTATTTCTTGTTGTTTTTTATTCTCAACTTACTTATTTTTTTTTTCTCTTTTTAATTCGACTATTTAAAAATATTTCATATATGATATCATATTGAATAATATACACACATATATATAAAATGACACCATCAATATCACCTCACACTCATATAAATAACACAACAAAAGAAGATGACCAATTATCAAGATCGAGCTCTAAATCATCATCATCATCAATTCAACAACACAATGATCAAGTTAAACTTACTATGACAGATCCAACATTACAACATACTGATGAATCTAATCCTTTTGCCTTTACACCTATACAACTTGCCACTTTGATGGATCCGAAAAACTTACCGTTACTTCATGACTTTGGTGGACTTGCAGGTGTAGCACGTGGTCTTTATGCGAACTTACAGTCTGGATTACCATCTAATCCCGAAACGGAACATATCACTCAACGTATCTTTTTAGATGATATACGATCAAAAGAATATACAACTCAACAACAACAACAGAATACAACGAATTTGGCTTCTCGATCCTCTATTTTTGGTTACAATGTTTTACCACCTGTCAAATCTAAAAACATATTCGAATTAATGTGGATGGCCTTTAAAGATAAAACTTTGGTAAGTAGGAACTTTTTTTTTTTAAAAAAAAATTGATTGATTGATTGATTGATCTTTTTTTTTTTTGTTTAATGTTTATGATAAATATAGATTCTATTGACTGTGGCTGCTGCTGTATCCCTTGCCGTTGGACTATATGAAGATATTGCTCAACCTGAATATGATGCTCAAGGAAACAAAATACCAGGTGTTAAATGGGTGGAAGGTGTTGCTATCATTGTGGCTGTGGTGATTGTCGTATTGGTAGGAAGTGTCAATGATTTTCAAAAGGAAAAACAATTTCGAAAATTGAATGCCAAGAAAGAAGATCGTACTGTCAAGGTAAGGAAACAAAAAAAAAAAGAACAAAAAAAAAAAAAACTGGTTTTATGTGATACATTAATACATTATTCGTTATCATATTTAGGCTACTCGTGATAATACTATTGCATTGATTTCTATACATGATATTCTTGTTGGTGATATTCTACATTTGGAACCTGGTGATATTGTTGCTGCTGATGGAATTTTTATTGAAGGTCATAATTTGAAATGTGATGAATCCGCTGCCACTGGTGAATCTGATGCTGTACGAAAACAACCTTGGGAAGTATGTTGGCGTCTATCTCAAATCAACAATCATATTACTCAGCAACATAAGGATAGTGCTTTACAACAATTGGACGAAAAGAAGAACACTGTCAGTAAATCTACTTCTGATCCTTTTATATTATCTGGTGCAAAGGTGACCGAAGGTGTATGTACTTATTTGGTTACTGGTGTGGGGATTCATTCTTACAATGGTCGTACCATGATGGCTTTACGTACAGAATCTCAAACAACTCCTTTACAAGAAAAATTAAATGGTTTGGCTGAAATGATTGCGAAATTGGGTTCAGCAGCTGGTTTGATCATGTTAATCGCTGTCTTGATCCGTTACTTTGTTGGTTGGAAAACTCCCGGTATGATGCCTACTTCTGCTACTCATATCGTTGCTGATGTCATGAATATTTTGATTGTCGTGGTTACTATTGTTGTTGTGGCTGTACCTGAAGGTTTACCTCTTGCTGTGACTTTAGGTAAGAAGAAGAAGAAGAGAAAGAGAAAAAAAAAAAAAAGAAAAAAAGAAAAAAAGAAGAAATCAACTGACTTTTTTTTTTTTTTTTGGTGATGTTAGCATTGGCATATGCTACCCAACGGATGTTGAAAGACAATAACTTGGTCCGTGTACTGGCGGCTTGTGAAACCATGGGAAATGCAACCACTGTATGCTCTGATAAAACTGGAACTTTGACTCAAAATAAAATGTCGGTGGTGGCTGGTACATTTGGTGCATCGCTTCGATTCCTGAAAGACGCACCGGATAGTCGAAAAGATTTGATTGATTTAACCAAAGTCAAGGACAAGACTCCATCTCCTATTTTGGATCTCTTACATGATACCATCGCTATCAATTCTACAGCTTTTGAAGGCAAGGATGAAAATGGACTCAAATGTTTTGTTGGTAACAAGACGGAAACGGCTTTATTGAATTTTGCTCAAGATACTGGTGCTCCTGACTATGAATCTGTACGCTCTAAATACCCTGTGGAACAACTCTATCCATTCAGTTCTTCTCGCAAGGCCATGGCTACCATTGTACGTATGCCTCATCCTACTCATCCTGATCAATTTATTTATCGTGCTCATGTCAAAGGGGCATCTGAAATTCTGATGCGTCACTGTGGCAAGATTCTTTCGTTGAAATCATCCGCTTATCAAGATTCTTCTATGGTAGCCACTCGTACTCTTTCTGGTGAAGATCGCAATCGTATGGATCGTATTATTCAAAGTTATGCTTCTCGAAGTCTACGAACCATTGGTATGGCCTATCGTGATTTTGAACAATGGCCTCCTTATATGTCTAACCAAGATGATAATAATAATAATGATGATGATGTGATGAATGTAACATCTCCTACTACTGGTGAAGAAGTTGAAGTGCCATTTGATACTTTGGTGGATGACAAAGGTTTAGTATTGATTGGTATTGTTGGGATTGAAGATCCTTTACGTCCTGGTGTAAAGGAAGCTGTCAAGGCATGTCAACAAGCTGGTGTATTTATTCGTATGGTCACTGGAGACAACATGATGACGGCTAAAAGCATTGCCAAACAATGTGGTATCTATACTTCTGGTGGGATTGTCATGGAAGGTCCTGTTTTTCGTAATTTACCTGCTTCTGAAATGGATGCTATCTTACCTCGCTTACAAGTCTTGGCTCGTTCTAGTCCTGAAGATAAACAAATTTTAGTCAGTCGTTTACAAGAATTAGGTGATATTGTTGCTGTTACTGGTGATGGAACAAATGATGGTCCTGCTCTCAAGATGGCTGATGTTGGCTTTTCCATGGGTATTGCTGGTACTGAAGTAGCAAAGGTAACTTTTTTTTTTTTTTTTAAAAAAAAGGATGAGTTGGAATAGATAGATTAAACTATTTTTATATATGTTACGTGGACTTTTATAGGAAGCATCAAGTATTATTTTGATGGATGATAACTTCTCCAGTATTGTTAAAGCTATTATGTGGGGACGATGTGTGAACGATTCGGTGAAAAAATTCCTAGAATTCCAACTGACAGTGAACATTACGGCTGTAGTACTTACATTTATATCTGCAGTGGCATCTACCAAACAAAAGTCAGTATTGACTGCAGTACAATTACTCTGGGTGAACTTGATTATGGATACATTTGCTGCTCTTGCTCTGGCTACTGATCCTCCAACTGAAGAATTGTTACATCGTGCTCCTGAACCTCGCTCTTCACCTCTGATTACATTCAAGATGTGGAAGATGATCATCGGACAAGCCATCTTCCAGATAACTGTTACCTTGGTCTTACTTTACAGTGATATCCTTCCCTTCGATTCTGAAAGTGAAATCTTACAAACCATTGTCTTCAATACTTTTGTTTTTTGTCAAATCTTTAATGAAATCAAGTAAGTCAATGAATAGATTAATGATGATGAACATAAATTCAACTCTTTTTTTTTTTTATCGTAGTTGCCGACGTATTGATAGTAATCTCAACATCTTTTCTAACATTTGGGCCAACAAGTTCTTTATGTTCATCTTTGTCCTTTGTGTGTTTTTGCAATGTATCATTGTGAATTTTGGTGGTGCTGCATTCCAAGTGACTCAAGTAGATGGTGTGGCATGGGCGATTTCCCTTGTGATTGGTCTAGTCTCTCTTCCTGTAGGTGTTCTTATTCGATTGATCCCTGATAAACTCTTCAGTTTCATGTTCTTTAATCCTGTAACAAGACAACGGTATTTGGGCACAGACAATAAAGCGGTATTGGCACCTCCAAGTGTGTATGTGACAGGCAATGATCGTGTGGCATGGAATGGAAATCAACAACAACAACAACAACAACAACAGCAGCAGCAGCAGGAAATGTCTGGTTCAAAGGCACATATGTCTTCGGATAAATTATCTCAAGTATCCTCTATTCATTCTGATCCAGCTATTGCAGCCACTCCTCCTGATTATGAAGATCGTGCTTCAATTACAATTGATATGGATAGCCCTGATTTGAAAAAATAGTACCTCTTTATACTTTATATACCTTTTTATTTTTGTATTTTAATCTCTTATCCTACTTGTACCATAATTTTTTTTCTCTTTCTTTATTATATATATATATATATACTTTTTGACAATAAAGTCGAATCCTACTTATGTTTATTGATATTAGAATAGGTGATATAACGTTTATGCATGAATGATTTTTCCCCATTCCTTGTTTGGAACCGGATATTCAAAATGTCGTCACACCATATTATATAAAAAAAAAAGTTCAATTTTATGGCTTCCTTTCTCTTCATCCTTTTTTTTTTTTTTTTTTTTTGGTATATATATTATACGTGATGGAACTTTTACAACAACAATTCAAAAACATGGTGATTGATATACCTTTGGATAAGACTTCTACAAATATTGGCCAAGATGATCAACAAAACAAACAAGGTTATAGCAAGAAGAACCCATTGGCGAATATGGTTAAAGCAGATGATCTATTTACTCCTCCTGCATTGAAACGACAGAATGCTTGTTTATGGTGTGATGATGATGGTGATAATCCCTTTACTACATAAGTACCCATTCTCCAGTCTTTTGTATCTTTATAACTATGATTTGTACTTCTATTGTCTTTACTTATACTTTATTTGAATTAGTTTTAGCATATATTATCATAATAAAGTTTAGTTTCATATCAAATAAAGCAATAAAGGTCTTTTATTTTGACAACTTTTCTGTGAAGTTGTACCTCCAGGTGTTTCAGCTCCGTGCAATTTTATAAAGTCGGTCGCACCTTTTTTTTTTTTTTTTGTGCCTTTCTTTCTGTCTCTTTTTTTTTCACTTTGTTTTTTTAAGTGATCGCTTCAAAAGAATCAACAATCTTTATGGTCATGAAAATATCATTCTCATAGTAATACCAATTTTCCGTAGTGCAGTATAGATGATAAGTTAGGATGAAACTATTTCATCAAAATAAAGAACAACTTTTGTGTATTTACCTTTTTAAAAATATAGTATGTATGTAATTGAAAGTGTGTGCGAGTATGGAACAGACTAGACTTGAACAAGCCAATCATCCATTTCTCTTCGTAGTGTTAGTGACACAGAAAGTTATATACCTATTTAATAAGACTTGATAGATGGCTGATACATCGAATTCTTATGTCTCTTTATTATTCTACGATGACCATTAATGACTTCTCTGCCAATTTCTATGATGATTTCTATGATGATTTCTATGATGATTTCTATGATGATTTCTACAATAACGATGAAAATTTATAATCATGCTTGACAAAGAAGATGTAGACGAAAGGTGGCTTTACCTTTCAAAGTTGAAATGTCAAAAGATTATTTTAACTGATGGCTGCAAAATCATATAGAAAATCAATAGTAACTTTGTTCGATAAAAAAAAAAGGTATTATTGCTATCATCACCCAACCATCATCATCCATTAGTGATTAAAGACTACCATGCTAAAACTCATAGCAGAATAACACAAGTGCTTTCCTCCATTATCATTACATTCAAAAAAAAAAAAAAAAAAAAGCGGTTCCTACAATGATATGCTAATAATAGGATTCTTTTTTTTTTTTTTTCAGTGGAAAGGAAGACCGATAAAATGCAATAAAATAGGAGATCCTGTTCCGTTAACTACTTCTCCTCAACCGGACCTAACCATAGATGATGACGATCAAATTGGTAAATGACTCCTTACTTGGACAAACTTTATGAATTCATCATCATCATCATCACAGTAAATTTTTGCTTATCAATTTTTTTTTTCTAGTGAGGATTATTAAAAAAAAGAGTTTCAGTCACTTGATGATGATAGTTCACACACATCATTTTTAATTGCCAATCAGGATAAATCATTTTTGATATATGATTGGTGGAGCTGCGGCTGGATGTATTTGTTATATACATTAGGGGAAATCGGAGTGTACTACAATAGAACCTTTTCACCGCAGTTTATCATATTTTAAGCAAAGCAGCGGCAACCTAAACAAATTTGCATATTTAAAGGCAAAAAAAAAAGGAGAAAAAAAATATTCCTTTCTTTTCTTCATATTCTTTGTTATTTTTATTGATATTTCTTATTATTATTATTATTATGTCGACTGCTACTATTGGATTTGCAGAAAGCATGCCTGAACGTGATGATGTTGAATATCATGTAGAATGGTTAGATAGTCAACAAGCTTTCCCTTCTCTTTCATCTACTAGTACTACGGATCCTCATCATCTAGAAGATTGGCAATTCTTACATCGACAAGAAATTATTCAAGCTGAACATGATATACAGGAAAATGGTCAACGATTGGAAACCTCTGAAATGGAAGATAAGTGGCAGCAAGTGGATTTCTTTCGTGAAAAGCAATTTGTGGATGTAGTAGTTGATGCAACCGATTTACCATTAAAAGCACCTCCTAATAAACCTAGACGACATCAACAAAAAGTGGAATTAACTGAAGAACAACAACGATTATTGTATTGGAATATGATTGATGATATGGAACAAGAAGAAACTGATTATCTTTACCAACTGTATTATGATCGCAAGATGCCTAGTCTAAACAATCCTGTTAAAGGTGGTCACAAACATACTCGTCGTCATTTGGAAGCTTTACAACGAGCACATTTACGATTGGAACAAGGGGAACTTTGGGACAACAACAAAATACAAAAATACTTGGAATATATGGCTAACATCAATGCAATGGATAATCTAGGTAACAACTCATCCGTTCCTTCTACTAAACATTGGGGTCGACCTCCTGCGATGGATCCTCGTTTATTACATGGTTTGGTACATGTTCCTCTTCCCCGTAAGGCGGATCGTACGTCTTCTTCTTCTTCTGGTGCTGGCTCGTCTCGATCAAAATCTTCAAGATCATTTAGTATGGAATCTGACTTTTGTTTACAAGTCAAAAATTGATTTATCTTTCCTTCTTCCTGTTTCTCCTCTTTTTACTTTGTAGATAGTATCCTCTTTTTTTTTTTTTTTTTTTTTTTTTTATTTGTCATATTCCCCTTTTTCTTTCTTTATTTTATACATATATTCCCTCTTGTTAATACTAGACCAAGTTCATTCGTACTCCCTTCACATAATCCCCTCCTTTTTTTTGTTGTTTGTCTTTTGATTACAAATTGGTAGAATAAATATGATAAACTGGATGTTGTCTACAATATTTTTGTTAGTGCTCGCGATTATGCGGTGTATAAATTTTTGACCAATCAAACGGAGACAGCTTGCTTTTCTTGGTCTTTTTTTTTTTTTTTTTTTTGTTTTCTTTCTTTGTCTTTCCCTTTTTATATTATACAAAGTTATCAATATAGCCTTGGATTAGACGAAGATGCAACTCCATTCGTTTCCTATATGGTCAACGATATTACTATTAGTGGTTGGTCTTTGTTTACTGGTGGAAGCAGCAGGCAAAGATTATTACAAGATCTTGGACGTCCCTCGTGATGCTGGCAAGAGTCAAATCAAAAAACACTACAAAAAATTATCACGCGTTTATCATCCTGATAAGAATCCTGATAATAAAGAAGCTGAAGCCAAATTTATGGAACTTTCTGATGGTAAGTTGGAAAAAAAATTGGTATATATATATATATATTAACACTTTGTTTTAAGCTTATGCCATTTTGATGGACGATGAACAGCGATCTATTTATGACCGATATGGTGAAGAAGGCTTGAAACAACATAATAATGGTGGTGGAGGCCATCCTTTCCAAAATCCTTTTGATGTCTTTTCTCACTTTTTTGGTGGTGGTGGATTTGGTAAGAAAAGAAAAAATGACACAAATATAGTTTTACTAACAAAATAAGTCAATAGGTCATCATGGACATCAACAAGAAAAACGAGGACCCAACTTGAATATTGAATTAGAAGTGACATTGGAAGATCTTTATAATGGAGCAACTGTGGAATTGGATATTTCAAAACAAGTAGTATGTGATCATTGTCATGGTAGTGGTGCTAGACGATCAGAGGATATTGTCACATGCTCAGTATGTCAAGGTCAAGGAGTTAGAATACAACGAGTCCAAATTGCACCAGGTATGGTTCAACAATTCCAACAAACATGTGATCATTGTGGTGGTAAAGGCAAGGTAATTCGACACGTTTGTCCTGCGTGTGAAGGCAAGAAACTACGACGCGGCAATGAACAATACACGATCCAAGTAGAAAAAGGTATGCAAGATGGACAAACAATAGTATTGGAACAAGAAGGCGACGAATATCCGGATGCGATTCCTGGCGATATCATCTTCAATGTGGCCGCCATTCCTCATTTGGTTTACGAACGTCATGGGCATCATCTTTATACCAAACAACATATCACTTTGATCGAAGCCTTGACTGGGTTCAAAAAGACATTGACTAAACTGGATGGTTCGTTGGTGAAACTAGAAAGAACTGGGGTTACGCAATATGGTTTTGTCCAAAATATCAAAGGTGCTGGTATGCCTATCTATGACTCTTCTGAATATGGCGATCTGTTTGTAGAATATTTAGTTGTTTTCCCTGACCACGTGGACGATACAGTTATTGAAGGTAAGGATATCATCATTTCGTCATTTTATAGTATATGATTCATTTTTAACCTTTTTGTCTCTTTTTTTTTTTTTTTTTTTTTTTTTTTTTTTTGTGTTTAGTGTTAAAAAAAGGTGCTCATTTCTCCTCTAGTGATTCTATTACCCATCAAGAACTTTAGACTGTTTTTTTTTCATTATTTACTTTTTGTTTTACAATAAAACTCACTCTTGTGATTTAAACCTTTTTTTTTTAATTACTTTTTTTGTCATGGATTTGTTGATTGAATTTAGAAACGCATGATGCCTTTGTTTATGGTTGAATTCACCTGTTCATTATCATCATCATCCCATTAGTTCTTTTCTTTTCTTTTCTTTTCTCTTTTTCTCATTTCTAAACTGACATACTTTTATTATTATTATTATTACTTTGATCATCATCAAAGGCGATGAGCTATTATCCTCCTTATCATCCAAATACACCTTATAGTGCTCCTCCAGGTTATCCTTCTATGCCACCACCACCTATTTACTCACCTTATGGTTCTCGTGGTTCGATGATGACTCCTGGTGAGAAAAAAAAAATAATAGAAAAATGAATCTAATAAGCTTACTTTTACTTTTTACTTCCGCGTAAAAAAAAAAAAAAAAAGGTATGATGCACAATTATCCTTATCCTTATGCTATTCCTCCTCCACCAGACCCATTTCTTGCCTCTCTTTCATGTCACTCTGAGATGATTTCATGGTAAACTGTCAAAAAATAAATTGGTTTCAATTCAAACTAACATGATTGTTTCTACAGTTTGACGAGAAGTTTCTGTTGTTGTTTTATGGGTAATGAAGATATTCGAAGGTATCGAAAAGGAGAAGATTACACCTGATCATTTATTGTCCAATACAAATACACCATCCTTCGCTGGGATTTAAAAAGAACAATGAAAAGAGTTGATGGGTGTGATTTTCTCCCCCTTTTTCTTTCTTTTTCTACGCACAATAGAGTTTTTTTTTCGTTTTCGTTTTCTTCTTTACTTTGTCTTTATTCCTTCTTATTTCTATCATGTATTTCTATATAAAACTCCCTTTTTCTTTCCTTTCTCTTTCTTCTTCTTTTTTTTTTTTTTTTTTATTATTGTCTATTATAATAAATAAACATACGCGTTCTCTTTTATGATTACTTATGCTGAAAACAACCCTACTCCTGGCCAACCTGCTCCTTCACCTGTTGGTTTTGAAAATGTACCTGTCATTGAAACACCTATTGATCTCAAGGTAGAAGGCTCTATTCCTTCTTGGGTACAAGGCACTATGTATCGTTCAGGTAAAGCTCAAAAAAGTTTTTTTTTTTTTTTTTTTTCCTCTCCATCATTACAACTCACATTCTACATGTTATTTGTACGAAATAGGATCTGGAAAATACAATATATTACTGGATAATGGGGATACATTTCATGTGGGACATCCTTTTGATGCACTTGCTATGCTTCATCGATTTGTGATTCAAGGTAATCGGGTTCAATACTCATCTCGACATACTTCCAATGGTGTGGAAAGACGAATCAAGGCACAAGACCCTACTTTATTGACATTTGGTCCTGATCCATGTAAAACCATTTTTGGTCGTATGCAATCCGTCTATCATCATATATCAAATTTTGGATCAAATGCAGTGTTACAAGAATCTGATCCTGAATTTGATATGGTCAATGTCACTATTACTCCCAATTTTCCTCTAGGTGAAGTCCTCGAAAATGAAACAGGTATCAAACGTGGACATGGTTTGGTCGTAAAAAGAGATGCCAATACTTTACAACTGGTGGATTCCAATACTTTACGTAAGAAATAAAACAGAAAAATAATCGTACCTTTACTTTTCAGTTATTCCTAATTTTTTTTTTTTTTTTAGAGCCTCTCAAAATGTTTACTTATGCTCACGTCGATAAGAAAATTCAAGGTCTCTTATGCGCTTCCCATCATCAATATGATGAAACAGAAAATGAATATGTCAACTTTATGGTACGATTAGGTCCTTTTCCAAGTTTCCAACCTTTTATCACTGGACCTTATCTTCCAAACACATCAGTTTCGTTGGATTCTCCTCTACCTCCCCCACATACTCGACTCTGTGAACCTATTTGGCGACATCTTGGTGCTTGGAATACGATGCAATCTCTCAAACCATCTTATATTCATTCCTTTAGTATGACTGAACGATATATCATCATACCCAACTTTCCATACTATTATTCTTTTGGTGGTCTATCTGCTATTTACTATTCTTGTGCCTATCAGACGTTTTATTGGGATGCTACTCGTCATACTTTATTCCATGTAGTGGATCGACAAACTGGACGACATGTTGCTACTTATGATGCTGACCCTTGTTTTTCTTTCCATGCTGCCAATGCTTGGGATCAATTGGAAACATTACCCGGTGGACAAACGGAACGTGTGATTTATATGGATTATTGTATGTACGAAAATACCGATATTATTGATGTTAGTTTTGAATTGGGAAAACAACAATCAAACCAAGAGAATGGCAGCAACAAGATGGATGGGTCAAAGACGAAGATAGATTTGGACAAGGTCTCACCAGCAAGATACGTACATATCAAGAAACATACGGATGGCAAACAAGACCACGCGATTGCTCCAAGTCAAGTACGACGTTATCGATTGGGAAGGGTACCAGAACCGACAAGGACAGAACATTATCAAAGTTACCAATGGTTTTCTCGTGAATACAATCAACGACGTGTGGCTTCTTACCAAGTACTAGCATATGATGTGGAACTTCCAAGATTCAATCCTCGCTACAATCTCAAACCATATAGGTTTCTATGGGGTGTATGTGAATCACGTTATGCACCTTCTTATGCGTCTGGCACCGTTGTCAATGGATTGATCAAAGTAGACCTCGATCAACCTCAACAAGTACTTAATACGGATAAGCAAAGCACAGCCAAAATATGGGACGAACCTGGATGCTCATGTGCGGAACCGATATTTCTACCTAAACCCGAAAAGACAGCAAAGGAAGACGAAGGCGTTATATTGTCCATTGTGAATCGACAACAAGAATGCTTTTTATTAGTACTAGATGCTTCGACAATGACGGAATTGGCAAGGACTTCGATTGGCAAATTTAATATGAACACTATACATGGTAGTTTTATGGATCAACATGGAAAAGGCGTGGCAGTCAATTGACGATATCATTCCATCGTTTTAGTTATATGTTTAGTCTATATATTATATTTGTTTGAAAAAAAAAAATAAAATAGATGGATATTTTTTTTTTATTTATATACATGGAAATGAAGAAATGAAATAATAATAGAATAGATGGATCAAGTCCCTTCATCATCATGTTTTATATCTTTGATTGGAGCAAGACATTGAGGTACACATTGATTCGCATCCACTTGACATAAACTAATCAAGCATGCCGTGAATTGTTCCCATGTAACAGAAGATGGTAAATCAGATGGATATTCGGTGGAATCTTGTGGAGGAGGTTGAGGAGGAGAAGGATAATAAGTGCCTGGTTGATAACCTGGATTATAGTCTAAAGGTATTGCCATTGTCAAGGCGGCAAACAGCATACTGGTGATGCACAATATAGAGATCATCATCATGGTGTTCTTTTTTTTTTATTAAAAAAAAAAAAAGAGGGAAATAGTGAATGCATTTTCATAGAAACCAAATAACGTTGTATTATATATCATTTCGTAACAAAAAAGGGGGGTAGACTTCATTCTTCATCATCCTTTCCCTTCATCCATGACAACAGTATAAAAATGGTTAAATGATGCTTTAACAGTGCTTTCCATATCAGAATACGATAAAAAGATAAATGAAATATGATTCTTGTAAAATATGATTCTTGTCAGGTATGATTATAAACTACAAAAAAAAGGGGAATAGAATGGATCGATGCTATCCTGTTGTCACTTTACAGTTTGGGTAGTTTATGCAAAAAAAAAAAGAACCACTACCATATTATGAATATCATGTATCTTTCTTTTTTTTTTTTTGATATATAATGATGATTGGTATGCTCAAGTCTTCCTTTCTCTAAAGACATCCAACGTTTGCTCCAAGACACCGCGATTTTTTTTTTTTTTTTTTTTGGTAATTCCCCTTATATTTCCTCCTCTTTTAAAGGACGGCAAGTTCAAATACATTCTTTGTTTTCAACAACCATCTTTTATTCCGCCTCTCGTTTTACGATTTAGTAAATCGTTATCAGTATTCTCATGAAATCACAAATTGTTATCCTTGATCAATCCACGTGTCATTCATCCTTTCATATAATTATCTATTGTCCATCATCCAATCTATCATATGAAGGAAAGAAATTACAACATATTTGTTATAGTACATGTACAATATTATTTATTCAAATTTCATGTACATCCCTATGATACATTTTTTTTTCATTTATTTTAGCAACGGTGATGCTGCGGCCTACAAAGAAGGATAAAGTAGAATTTGATAAGGAAATTAAAAAAAAAAACCTACAGATCACTATGTTAGGGTAATAATAATAATAGAGCACTTTACATCATTAGATCGTGATCTTCAGAATGATGAACCTAGGCCAGGGGCAAAAGAAGATGATCAAGATGATCTATCTGCAGTGACGCATGTACAGAAAGACGCATGTAATCATGATCACTGAACGAGTTTGTTCGCCATGTCTACAAAGTGTGTTTCAAAAAAAAAAAAAAAAAAGGAGACGTGAACCGATTCGATATGGACTGATGAGGCAAACTACGGCGATAACATTAATAATCAGGATGGCAGATAGGGCAAACAAAGAAAAAAAAATTTGGTTCATTCTGGTTTTACTTTTTTAATAATCTGTGGAGATGATCAAATATGGCTTCATTAACTATCATTGTATACTATAATGAAAAGTCGATCAATAGAAAAATCCATTTTAAACAATGGAGGGAATAGGAGAAGTACGCATAAAGTGATCTGAGTTAATGTGGAGGATGCATTTTCAAAAAAAAAAAATTCTGCGTCTATTTCATGCGTACAATGCTTGCATGTAGATAATGGCATCATCGACCAAAACATAAGTCGATCATTTGAACTAACTCAATGCTTAAACAGTATAGAGAAAAAAAAAGTAGTTTTGATATACCTTCAGAGAGATGGATAAAAAAAAAATAGTAGCTTACCCATATTTAATCACTTATCACTATTTGTAAACAAGTCGGTTTATGTCAGCCAGATCATACAATAAGTGATGATTAACAGCAGAAGAAAAAGGATCATCATCAGTCTGATCTAGACATATTTGCTATGATATGTCATCATATATCGTAAGAATAAGTGGGATCAGCAGTGATAACAAAACAAAAGAGAGACAATTTCCTATTTGACACTCAGGAAAGAGGTTGATACCAGAAGTACATTTTGCATTGATGCACCGTCCATCATCTCAAAATCATTATATGAAATCAAATTTTATTATAAGAGTAATGATTGTGATAAAAAAAAAAAAAAAACAGTGAAAGGGGCAACTAATCTATGTAAAGGGGATAAACAAAACTATCTAAGTGGTCTATTCTATCAAACTATCTATTATCCAGTTGCTTGCCTTTTGTACGTATTATTCGAAAATTATTTATTAGGTCATCTGAAGTCATATGGCACAAGTAGAAGGTCGTTGCATAGGTAAAACCGAGATAACATGTTGTATGAATGCCTTGTATAGCTACGTTGTTGATTGTATTGTCCATACGTTGGCTGCAGGGTGTATGTGTATGTATGTGTGAGAGAGGATGCCATCCAGTCATGAAGCAGAAAATCAAATCATCCCCTTTGTTGATTGTTATATTGTCAATAAGTAATAAGCTGCAGAATCACATTGTCCAGCAAGTGCTCCATCTCTTTTTGTGTTTGTCCAAGCACACTTACTAATATATCTAGTAATCATCACGTTCTACCAAAGTTGTCGTATAATGAATTCGCTTTGTCCATTTCCCTTGTTGACTTTCCCCCCTTGAAATATCCCTCTTGTTTTGCGCCATTTGTTAAAGAGGGCGTTTGTCTGTCGCGTCGATCGTTGCAGATATTCGGAAGGTCCCATACGTTGACGATCGGCAAAAATGATTTTCGCTATATAATATTACCTATCGACGATGGATCACAGACATGTTGACAGAGAGTTCAAAGTGAATTTGATGAAGAATAAAGTAAGTGATTGCTGTAACACGTAGATGGAATGATAAAAAAAAAATACAGAAATAAAGGCTTTTGTTATTTCGTATTTCGAGCGTTTTTCGATGATCATGCGTGTTGATGCTTGATGATGATTACAAAAACTGGCGCTAAATAAGAATTCTAGGAGATCTACATAAGAATAAGATAAAGGAAAAAGAATCAGAGACAGCCAAAAGGGGGTCAAAGACAAAGTATTCAGTAACATCTTTTCGCGCCGCGTTGGATATAAGTTACTTTTATTTATTTACCAAAGCATTGTATATATTGATAAAAGAAGGGGTACATAGTCTTCGCATAAACCTTGCCATTAAACTTTCGATATTGCTTCCTTTTTGAAGTTGGTTGAATGGGTCATCATTTTTTCGTTGATATAGATCATATTGTTTTGTACTAGTAATTCATTTAGTTGTTCATGTTCCCTGTGTAAAAACGGAATGGAGGAAATAAGTATTAATTGATTGATAAAGTTTGAGCATGTTGAGATTGAATTATGACAAGGGGATGGATATTTTGAATCGTGACAAGGGGTTTGAGTACATAAATGTTGAGAATTATTGAAAAAAAAAGAAGGGGAAAAAAGGAGAGAAGAAAAAGGAAAGCTAAAAAAGTAAAGTCAACTAAAAGAAAAGGGACCAATGGCAACTCCGCAAACTTTAAAATTAGCCTTTGAGCTAAAGTACTAAAGATTCTGTCGATCTTTTGATATGATATGCTTGATATTATCTATTCATCATCCCTTTGCGCTTATGTATGATGATCATCCTGGGCTTCATTCAGTAACCTTGAATTATCATCATCATCATCATGTATAAGTTTTATATCCTTTATGCAGAAAAAAAAAAAAGCCATTTTGCCACATTTAACCTAGTTCTTGAAAGTACAGAAAAAAAAAAGATATAAATTGAAGACAAATCACAACCCAAAAAAAAAAAAAAATAACAAGAAATCAATCTATTTTATTCTCTTTTCTTATATCTATTCATTTATCTATATTCCAACTTATATAACTATGGTTTACCGCTCATCTCTATTCCTTACTTTGGCTCTTGCCATCACTTTGGTCAGTGGTGTTCCTCTCGCTGATAAAGTACAAGTTGATAAACAGGTAGCACATTTGGCAGCAAGACAAGGTACTAGTCCTACTACTGGTGGTTCTACTACTGGTGGTGGTGCATCTACCTCAGGAACCAGAGTCACCGATGCAGAATGGCAACAAATCAAGACATGTGTAGACAATGGTGCTGCTGGTGCTGGTGCTGCTAGTAGTGCTGGTGGAGCTGCTGGAGCTGCTGGTGGTACTACTGGAGCTGCTGGTGGTACTACTGGAGCTGCTGGTGGTACTACTGGAGCTGCTGGTGGTACTACTGGAGCTGCTGGTGGTGCTACTGGAGCTGCTGGTGGTGCTCCTACTGGCGGTATGCGTAGAAGCTTGATGGTGGCAAGACAAGGTACTTCTCCTGGTGGTGGTACTGGTAGCTCTGACGCTCCAGCTATAGTTGCAGAATGTGCTTTCCAAGTTCTAGGTGGTGGTGCTGCTAGTGCTGGTGGTGCTGCTGGTGGTACTGCTCCTAGTAAATAAGATGATTCCAAGCGCATTTTTAGAAATGACGTCAATGATTATCACTTGTGCCAAGATATATCCTAGTATTTACGTAAAAGAAGTTATTTTTTAAAAAAAAAATGTGTTTTTTTTTGTTGTCTAGCTCAACATCATTCTAATAAACTAAATCTTATTTGTTCAAGTAAAAAAAAAAAAAGGCTTTAAGATAAGAATCAGATGAAACCTTTTATTGGTGATATAAAAGTATTGCCGATAGTTAATTTTTTAAACGATGATAATTGATGATGATGGATGATTGGTAGTAGAATTTTAATAGTAGTATCAAAGAGAGATAAAAGAAAAAAAAATCAAATTCGAAAAGCTCTTTTTTCATTGGATGATGCAAAAATGCACCCCTTAATTTTTTGGCGGGATCTCATCAACTGGCGTTCTTTTTTTTTTTTTTTTTTTATCTCTCTCTTTTTTACCGTTTGGATTGAAAATTCTTAGAATGTTAAGTCAACTTATATCAATAAAGATTCATCACAGTGTTGTCTGTTTTGGTCTATTAGGTATATGAAGGCAAGCGAATGTTAATAAATGGTGACTGATCCATGTCCTTTTTTTTTTTTTAACTCTCTCTTCCTTGTATTCTAGATTGATATATTAACGGTATATAATGTTAAAGAAGTTGATCTCAAGTTTTTCATACAAATGTACACAAGTTTACACGGTATACAGAACAAGTTGATTTAGGTAATACTTGGACAAAAAAAAAAAGAGAAGGACAATAGGTTGTTTTCAAAATAAACACTAGATTTATAATGTTGTATAGAAAGAATGAAACTCACAATGGTGTTTTATATATATATATATATAACAGTAGTAGTTTGAAAATATTGGATATACTGGATATGGTATGCTTCTTTGTTATACAAGAACAAAATACTAGGATGATATTTTATACGTTATCTAATATTACCTATCGGGAATGGATCACAGACATGTTGATAGAGAGTTCAAAGTGAATTTGATGAAGAATAAAGTAAATGATTGTTGTAACACATAGATCGAATGATAAAAAAAAATACAGCAATAAAGGCTATTGTTATTTCGTCTTTCGAGCTTTTTCGATAATCATGCGTGTTGATGCTTGATGATGATTACAAAAACTGGCGCTAAATAAGAATTCTAGGAGATCTACATAAGAATAAGATAAAGGAAAAGGAATCAGAGATGGCCAAAAGGGGGTTAAAGACAAAGTATTCAGTAACACCTTTTCGCGCCGCGTTGGATATAAGTTACATACTTTTATTTATTTACCAAAGCATTGGATATATTGATAAAAGAAGGGGTACATAGTCTTCGCATAAACCTTGCCATTAAACTTTCGATATTGCTTCCTTTTTAAAGTCGGTTGAATGAGTCATCATTTCTTCGTTGATATAGATCATATTGTTTTGTACTAGTAATTCATTTAGTTGTTCACGTTCCCTGTGTAAAAACGGACTGGAGAGAAATAAGTATTAATTGATTGATAAAGTTTGAGCATGTTGAGATTGAATTATGACAAGGGGATGGATATGTTGAATCGTGACAAGGGGTTTGACTACATAAATGTTGAGAATTATTGAAAAAAAAAAGAAGGGGAAAAAAGGAGAGCAGAAGAGGAAAGCTAAAAAAGTAAAGTCGACTAAAAGAAAAGGGACCAATGGCAACTCCGCAAACTTTAAAATTAGCCTTTGAGCTAAAGTACTAAAGATTCTGTCGATCTTTCGATATGATATGCTTTATATTATCTATTCATCATCCCTTTGCGCTTATGTATGATGATCATCCTGGGCTTCATTCAGTAACCTTGAGTCATCATCATCATGTATAAGTTTTATATCCCTTCATGCAGAAAAAAAAGAAGTCATTTTGCCACATTAACCTAGTTCTTGAAAGTACAGAAAAAAAAAGGTATAAATAGAAGACAAATCACAACCCAAAAAAAAAAAAAAATAACAAGAAATCAATCTATTTTATTCTCTTTTTTTATATCTATTCATTTATCTATATTCCAACTTATATAACTATGGTTTACCGCTCATCTCTATTCCTTACTTTGGCTCTTGCCATCACTTTGGTCAGTGGTGTTCCTCTCGCTGATAAAGTACAAGTTGATAAACAGGTAGCACATTTGGCAGCAAGACAAGGTACTACTGGTGCCGGTGGTGCAACTGGAACTGATGCTACTGGTGGTGGCACTGCTGGTGGTTCTACTACTGGTGGTGCTACCCCAGAAACCCTTACCGATCAGCAAATACAACAATTCTTGGATTGTATAACGAAGAGTGCTGCTCCTGGTGGTTCTACTGGAGCTGCTGGTGGTTCTACTGGAGCTACTGGTGGTACTACTGGAGCTGCTGGTGGTACTGCTGGAGCTGCTGGTGGTTCTACTGGAGCTACTGGTGGTACTACTGGAGCTGCTGGTGGTACTGCTGGAGCTGCTGGTGGTTCTACTGGAGCTACTGGTGGTACTGACCCCGTCGTTCAACAGTGTCTAGACCAAATTTCAAGTACCAGTGCCGCTGGTGGTACTGCTGGAGCCGCTGGTGCTACTCCTGCTGGTGCTGGTGCTGCTGGTACTACTCCTGGTTCTACTCCTGGTGGTGCTGGTGGTGCTGGTGGTGCTACTGGAGCTGCTGGTGGTGCTAGTAAATAAGATGAACTCCAAGGGCATTTTTAGAAATGACGTCAATGGTTATCACTTGTGCCAAAATTTATCCTGGTATATACGTAAAAGAAGTTATTTTTTTTAAAAAAAGTGTTTTTTTTTGTTGTCTAGCTCAACATCATTCTAATAAACTAAATCTTATTTGTTCAAGTAAAAAAAAAAAAAAAAAAAGGCTTTAAGATAAGAATCAGATGAAACCTTTTATTGGTGATATAAAAGTATTGCCGATAGTTAATTTTTTAAACGATGATAATTGATGATGATGGATGATTGGTAGTAGAATTTTAATAGTAGTATCAAAGAGAGTTAAAAGAAAAAAGATCAAATTCGAAAAGCTCCTTTTCCATTGGATGATGCAAAAATGCACCCCTTGATTTTTTGGCGGGATCTCATCAACTGGCGTTCTTTTTTTTTTTTTTTTTTTTTTTTTTTTTATCTCTCTCTCTTTTTTACCGTTTGGATTGAAAATTCTTAGAATGTTAAGTCAACTTATATCAATAAAGATTCATCACAGTGTTGTCTGTTTTGGTCTATTAGGTATATGAAGGCAAGCGAATGTTAATGAATGTTGACTGATCCATATCCCTTTTTTTTTAAACTCTCTCTTCCTTGTATTCTAGATTGAAATATTAACGATATATAATGTTAAAGAAGTTGATCTCAAGTTTTTCATACAAATGTACACAAGTTTACACGGTATACAGAACAAGTTGATTTAGGTAATACTTGGACAAAAAAAAAAAGAGAAGGACAATAGGTTGTTTGCAAAATAAACACTAGAATTATAATGTTGTATAGAAAGAATGAAACTCATAATGGTGTTTTATTTATATATATAGCAGTAATAGTTTGAAAATATTGGATATACTGGATATGGTATACTTCTTTGTTATACAAGAACAAAATACTAAGAGGAAAAGGTATATTTTATACTTGATGGATAGAATTTAGATGAATGATATATTTACATGTTTTATGTTATTCTGACATTTACTAGACTCTTATGGATCAAATGATTATTTCGGGGTATGAACTAGACAGATCTATCCACATGGTTCAAAACAGCGTGATATACTTTGTAAGGTAATGAAAAAATAAACAAATCTGTATACTAAACTATTTTTCTTTTATAGATCTTTTACTTTTGAATGGAACGTATATATGATTTAAAAGGTAAAAAAAATAAAAAATAAAAAAGATATTATTATTATTATTATTATTATTTTTATACTTATTTGTTATTCTTATTATTATTGTTGTTGTTACTGATCATGATATAGTTACTCAAACGACAGCACAGTTTGGTTTGCAACACTCACACACACACACACACACACACACACACACACCGCCAGTGGAAAAACTTTATTATTTTTGTTTTGGTTGTTCCTTTTTTGGCCTCTTACCTGTCATTTATGGATTTCTTTGATTATTATTTATTTCTACTCCCTTTTTTCTCCCTTTTCTTCTTTCTTTCTATTATTCCTTTTTTCTTATTGTTTTTTTTTTTATATTGTGATTATCATCTTCACTTTTTCTTCCTATTATTCTCCTATTTCAACAGGCCTTGGCTGGCTTACGGTTTTATATCATTTTGGCTCAATACAACAATCTGGGTCTTAGTATCAACAACAACAATGGGGATTACACACAGTAAGCAATCCAATTCTTCAACCTCTTCTGGGAAATTACGAACAAAATCAAGAAAACGAAGCAAGTTGACAGGATCTCTTCATCGGAATAAAACAAAACAACAAAGGGCCCTAGTATCTTCTCCACCATCAACATTTATTGAACCTATTCAACAAAATAACGACGCTCAGACCATATCTTTTTTACGCAATGATTCTGTATCACCACCTAATACAACAACAACAATAACAACGACAGCGATGATGGCAACGACAGCAACAGAAGCAACAGAAGCAACTGTACCACAAACGCATATGAACGAAGACGAAAATGATGAATTACTTCCTTTGACATCAATGAGGAATAAGTCGACTGGTCTAAACATCAACACTTCAAATGATAGGAGAGGCGGCAGAAGAACCACTCGAAACTCATCTCGTACAGCATCACGACCTGTTTCTACCTTATCTTGCTCAACTGATAGTGGATTACAAAGTGCTACAAGTAGTGGATGGACTTTTTCTGGTGGACTTTTCTCTCATATCGATACCAATACTTCTTCAACAATTACTGCTATTACTGATTACTCAACTATCTCCAAAAGGTCAATGACGGAATGGCCTGATGAATATACTAACATATCCAACAAGAAACAGACTTTGCCACCGCCTTATTATCAACAATCCGATCATCATGGGACATCCTCCTCTACCGCCACCGGTACAACCTGTTCAACTACTCTCAATACTACTCTGCAAACTACTGAACCTGATTTGTCCTTATCTCTTACTGGCAATCAACAAGCTTTCTTGTCAACAAACTCTACTGTACCTAGGAATGCGCCTTCTTCTCTGCTAGACTCACTTCTGACCCAATTGATTCAATCTCCATCTTCGTCTTTTCGGTTGTTTAAGGATGCATTCACTGCAGCTATCACCAGCAATAACGATATTCAAGAAACAGTTTTCAAGGCTGCAGAAATATGGTATCAACAAACCAACGACAGTACTGCCCAAATGTGGTTAGCAAGATGCAAAATAGAGGGTTGGGGAACTTTATCTGATCCTGTGGTAGGATTTACTCGATTGAAGGCATTAGCGGATCATGGATCGTGGGAAGCGTTTTATCCTTTGGCTGTCTACTATTTGAATGGTGTTTGGAATTCATCTTCTGATAATGGTATGGTTCAACCTGTGGATCTTTCGGCAGCTTATCAATGGTTTTTAGCAACAGTGGAGTCTCATCAGCAGCAACCTGACTTTCCTTTGACTCAAGATCAACAAGTTATCTTTGATGTGATTAGTTTAGCTCAATATCGATTAGGCTCTATGTTATTACATGGTCAAGGTGTGGCAGAAAACTCTGAAGAAGCTCTTGATCGGTTTGAAAAAAGTGCCTGTCTAGGAAATAGGTAAATCAAAAACAACTTTTTTTTTTTTTTTTTTTTTTTTTTGCTTACGATTCTTTCAATAATACTTTTTTTTTTTTTTTTTTTTTTTTAGATATTCTCAATTTATTACCGGATTTCATTATGAAAAAGGAATCATTGCCAAACAAGATCTCATCAAAGCCCAAACTTATTACAAGTATAGTGCCGATCAAGGGTTTGCGGAAGCTCAAGCTGCACTAGGTATCTGTTTGATTGATCAAGGTGAAACAAATCAAGGAATTTATTGGTTAAATCAAGCTATCGGTTTGGTAGGAAAAAAAAAAGTGTCATCATTCTCAAAGCAGTAAGAAAATATCAGGGACTTATTCGCACTTTTCCATTTTTAGAACAATACCCGTGCTTTGTTGAAACTTGGCACGTTGCATGAAACTGGAAGTATCGTTCCCAAGGATCAAGAAAAAGCAATTCATTATTATAAACTGGCGGCTCATCAAGATGACCCTGTAGCTCATTACATCTTAGGACTTCAATACAGACTTGGTCATGGATTATTACAACAAAATTATATTCAAGCTGGGAAACATTTGATTCGATCGGCTCGTGCTGGATTTGCTCCGTCTCAAAGATTAATTGGTTTGATGTATGCACAAGGTTTGATGTCAATAACATTGCAAGAAGAACATCATCATCAACAAAGACGAAAAGATGAAAAAACAGCATTGGTCTGGTTCCGTCGTGCAGCTTCTCATGGTGACGTACGCGCATTAGGTTTGGTTGGATCATGCTATGAATATGGTCATGGTGCTGCTATCAATTTGGACATCGCTTTACAATATTATCAAAAGGCTGCTCGTATATCAAGTCCATTCCAAACTGCCGCTCAAGTTGCTGTGGCTACGCTGTTACATCGGATGAATCGTCATCGTGATGCTTTAGACTGGTTCCTTCGTGCTCAAAACGCTAAGGCCCAAGATATTCCTTTGGATATATATGATCAAGCTCAAAGAACTGCAACTTTGATGGTGGCTCGATATCGACTTCATGGTTGGGCTGGAACAAAGGATCCTGCAATGGCTTTTGACATGTTATCTCAATTAGTCTCCAACAACACAACAGATGGTCATGCTCATTATTGGTTAGCTGCTTGTTACGAAGAAGGTATTTCCGGTGTATGTGATTGTAATCTTGTCAAGGCTTTTTATCATTATCAAGTAGCTGCAATGACTGGGGACGTCGATGCACAATTTCAGGTAATATAGAAAATAGTAGATATTCCTGTTCTGTTATTTACCTTTTTTTCCCTCTTTTTTTTTTTTTTTTTTTTTTATAAATATACAAATAGGTTGGTTTTATGTTATCCAATGGCAAAGGTGTAGAAAAAAATCGACAAGAAGCGTTCCAATGGTACCAAAAAGCGGCGCAACAAGGTCACAAAACAGCACTATATAGTATGGGTCTCTATTACGTCAAAGGGCTGGATGGTGTAGACAAGGATTTAAAAGTTGCTACTGACTGTTTTAAAAAGGCTGCTCAACTTGGTCTGGTGACTGCAATGACTTCTCTGGCCTCTTTATATCGTATTCACCTAACCTCATTGAACAACAAGCATGATAATGAGGACGATCAAGATATTGCTGATTCTTCTCCTTCTTCTTCTTCCTATTATCGTGATCAAGTTATTTTTTGGTATCGTAAGGCGGCTGCTTTGGGTGATGTTAATGCCCAACGTGAACTTGGTATACTTTACAATAGTGGACTTTTGGGTATCACACAGGACCATGCCATGGCGTTTGACCTATTGGGGAAAGCTAGTCGGCAAGAAGATGCTCAGGCTACACTGTTATTGGCAAGTTATTATCAACATGGAACTATGGTGGAGAAAGATGATGATCAAGCCCTTCAACTTTATCTTTACGCTGCTTCTTTGGGATCATCAGTGTAAGTTATATATATATCGTACTGTTCACAATTACTTACTTATTCCCCTTTTTTTTTTATTATTTCTCTGATTATGAACAGTGCTTATTTTGCTGCTGCTCAACTCTATCACTCATTACATCGTTACGAACAAGCCTTCATTCAATATCAGTTGGCATCCAAAGATCCTCAATTACAAAGAACAAGAATTGGACGAACGGCCAAATTGATGGTGGCTCGATATATTCTTAGTTATATCGCTAGCTCTACTACTTCCTTTGGACAACCTACTTCTCATCTTCAAGTTACTGATTTGACTATTAATCATACAAAGGAAGAAGCGTTCAAAATGTTGGAAAATTTGGCGGTGATTGATCGATTTGAACATTCTTTTTATTGGCTTGGTAGGTCAAGTTTATTTACAGATATACATATATATATATCTTACAGAAAGATCTCATCATCTCCTTTATATATATTATTATTATCTAGCTGACTGTTATTTTACGGGTAATGGTACTTTGGTCAATTATCATGATGCTCTTTATTGGTTCCGACGTGCTGCTGATGAGATTGATAACAAGGATGCGATGATCAAAGTGGCTCATATGTATGAAAATGGACTTGGATCTGAACTGGATCTATCTCTAGCATTACAATACTTAAGGAAAGCGGCAGTCTTGGGTCATGTTGAAGGACAGCATCAAATGGGTAAGAGTAATTTTTAGTTCCTTGATAGGAAAGCATACTAATTATTTAATTTTTTATAGGTATGGCGTTCTGGCGTGGTCATTACAACTTGCAAATCGATTTCAATGAAGCGATTCACTGGTTTACCAAATCAGCAACACAATGTTACAGTCAAAGTCATTGGGCTCTTGGGCAACTTTCCATTGAAAACGGAGATGAAGAAATGGCTATTGCATGGTGGCAAAAAGCAGTTGATCTTGGACATATAGTCTCTATGAGACTTCTTGCCGCCTTATTATTACAACAACAACAACAACAACAACAACAACAACAGTCTCCATCATCATCGTCATCATCCTCTTCAATTGCATCAACATTGGACCTTGGACATATACTTCAACTATTGGCAGATGCTTCTCGACTTGGTGATACAGAATCTCTTGTATTGTTAGGTCAAATCCATCAAGCAGGCACAGTGACAACTTCCTTTAAACATTCTAATTTGGATCATCAAGGACAAAATCAGTATACTAATGATAATATGGAGTATCAAACTGGCAGTGGTAGTAGCACTAGTATTGTGAACAGTGATGGCGAAGAAGAATGGATAATGGATGAAGAAGAAACTCAACTCCTTCAACGACAACAAGAAGAACAAGAACTGGCTATTCGATGCTTTGAACAGGCGGCTACGATGGGTCATGTCGGTGCGATGTTTTTGGCTGGACAATCTTGGCATACTCAGGAACAATATGCTGCTGCCTTTGATTTTTATGATCAAGCTGCTCAGCATGGACATGTAATATCCAAAGTTATGCGTGCTCGATATAGGTTAGCTGGTCTTGGCGGGATTCCTATTGACAAAGAACTTGGTTTTATGGTAAAGATGATTAAACAAAAAAAAAAAAAAAAAAAAAAAAAAAACGTTTGAACTGATTAGTTTCATTTCCTCTCGTCGCACTATTGAATAACAACAACTCTAGGAATTGCTGGAATGTGCTGAAAAGGATCAGTGTGTAGAAGCTTATAACTCACTTGGACAATGCTACGAAATGGGATTAGGAACTGTTAAGGATATAACGTGCGCTTACCATTGGTATCTACGTTCTTCTGAAACAACCAACGATGCTGAAGCAATGTACCGTATTGGCCGAATGTATGATGACAAACAGCTCAATACTTCTGATGTTGACAACAGTCATGAAGCTGCCTATAGATGGTATCAATTAGCCGATCAAACCAGTGGACATGTACTTGCCAATTATCAGCTAGGACTTTATTATTCTCGATATAATATCAACAACAAAACGTTGGCGATGAAACATTTTCGAAAGGCGGCCATTGAAGGTAACAAGGATGCAATGTATGAATTGGGATATCTATATATTAGCGATGAAGATCATGACAACAAACTAGAATGGCAATTGGAAGGCGTTCATTGGCTTACACAGGCAGCTCAAACCGGATTCAAGCAAGCACAATGCGAATTGGCCATTCTCTATCATTCTGGACGTGATTATGTACAACAAGAATCTGACAGCAATAATATCAATGAAACAGTGACGGTGGTTGTGGAACAAGATTTTGAAAAGGCGTATGATTTGTTTTGCCAAGCTTCTAGACAAGGACATGTTACTGCGACACTATATATTGGTACTTATTATGAGCATGGTATTCATGTGGCTCCTAGTACAGATCTTGCCAAGGAATGGTACCAAGAAGCTATTGAACAAGCATCATCGGCAGAGAATGACAAAGACAGTGGCACTGACAAGTTATGGTTAGCGGAACTTGGATTGGCTCGTTTATGGCATCAAGAAAAAGCAAGTATAGAAGCCTACAATATGTTTTGTGCAGCTTACAAGCATGGACCGAAAAAAGGACTAGAAAAAGACGAAATGACCCCAGGATTGAGTTCTTCCGCGATGGCTTCCTGTAGAGTGATGATTGCTCGATATCTTCTTCATGGATGGGGTGGTGTACCCCAAGATACAAGACTGGCAGCACAAGAATTGGTATCTATGGCCGATATGGGATACACCAAAGTGTTTCTGGAAGTGGCACAGTGTTATGAAAATGGCATTGGTGTAACGCGTGATCATCTTATGGCCTATACTTGGTATGGACGTGTTATTGCTATTGGCAACGCAAGGATTGAACAACAACAACAACAACAACAACAAGAGGAAGAAAATGATATTGTTGATGATGATGATCTTTGGGATGAACAAGATGAACAAGATCATGTCATGGCTCTTTATAGATTGGCTGAAATGTATCGACTTGGATATACTCCGGATGGTCAAGTGGATCAAGAACAAGCTTATTCACTTTATTCATTGGCAGCAAATAAAGGTAATCAAGGGGAAACTAAATCACTTGGAAATAGTACAAAGGGGACTCATCATTTCATTTTACTTTTTTTTTAGGTTCACTTGAAGCTCAACATTATGTACAATCCTTTTCAGCGTAGTTTGTATCTTTTATATTATTATGCATCACTTTTATTATCATTATTATTATTTATGACTTTTTTTTTTTTTTTTTTTACCATTTGTATATATACCATCATTTTATGCCCTACTCTTTTTTATTTATGTATTCCTCTTCCTATGCCTACAATTCTATCTTTATTTATCCTTATCATTGTCTGTATTCATATATATCTCTCTCTGTTATTGTATTATTAAAAGAAATGTTTTAACAAAAGGATCTTTTTTTTATATATTGATGAAATGATTATACAAAATGATGTGATAACAATAATGAAAGAAAAATGAGATGATAGATCGTCATAATTTGGTTGGTTGATGCATCAAAAATTGATAAATATCAAGAGATTAGTTGACGTTTTTTCCATTTTAAATAGACGGAAAAGGAAACTGTTCATCTGATTGCGTATACAATATATATATATATATATGTTCATGTGTGTCAGAATGATATCTCATTTTACAATGACGGTAAATCTCAGAACTCGGATGAAATCGTCATCCTGACCTTTGGATCTATTTCGAGTATACAGTGTCTTTTTATAGTCATCATATAAGAGGACAATAGTGTCTCGGGAAAAAAAGAGTAACAACAAAATGCGGTGTTAGGGAGTACCAAAAAAAAGTTCATCGGCGTGGCGTAAATGAGCCCGTCTCTCCTTGACTTTTAAGCTATCATTTTCATTTCAATCTATCAAAAAGGACTTTTGCCCTAAGAGAATATCATCCTAACGAAAACCATAATATATATATATATATATATATATATATATATATATATATGCAAGGATGAAAGAGAATATGAGGAGGTGGTTAATACCATTATATTTGAATTATCAGTTGATTATTAGTGATATTTACACTGGAAAAGAAAAAAAACTAAAATCTAATATTATCTTTAATAATCAGCATATCAATCAGAGCGCAGTTGTTCAGAGTCATTGGCACGGATTCTTTTTTTTTTTTTAAAAAAAAAAAAAAAAAGAAGTAATAATCATAATAGTAATCAAGATGGAACACGTTCTTCCAAAAACAGGCCAAAAAAAGTGAGATCTTTTTTCAGATCAGAAGAAAAAGGGTGATGTAACACAATGCTGGTAGTTTATGGGAGAACTGTTCTATTTTTTCCATCACTCATACTGGATACTTGCCATAAAAAAAAATCTTGGGTTTTATAAAATATGGTTGTTGAAAAAAAAAGTCATCATGCCAAGTAATGTTATGGATGATGATCATGATGCTGACATCTAATATGATTATTATAATTTGTTTGAGGGGTATCAATGTACCTAATGCCATCAAGAAAAAAAAAAAAAAACGTGGATATTCCGTAGCAATCTAGGCAACTCAGCCGTTGCGCCTTGTATCACCAAGGCAACAGGGGGATTTTACCCAAGCCTAGAGTTAAACTTTGATATAGAAAACAAAAATACATCTACGAAGAAGGCAAAGAAACAAATAAACCATAAACAGAATAAGGATCGGTTCAATTTGAAAAAGAAGAAAAAAAAAAGAGTTTTCTGAGTATATGGATGATGAGGCGCATCCATCGCTCAGTAGTGGGGGGTGAGGAACGTATTTTATGGTGCGCAGATATAATTTTTTTTTGTCTGTTTACATCGGGTAATTCCTCCTTTAGTAACTTTATATGTCAAATTAAACATCATCTAGTTTAAAAATATATATTTATACAAAAAAAAAATAACCCATTCCTTTTTTTTTTCTTTCTTTTCTTTTTTTTTTTAATTGCACTCTACTTTTCATTCATCATCATGAAGTTCTCTTTTTTTAAATCTAAATCATCACAAAAGGAAAAGAAAAAGTGCCAAGAAAAACGCAAGACAATGGGAGAGCAGTCAACAAGACATACGCGAATGACACATTCACCATCTCATTCCATTTCATCGGCATCGACACAATCAAGTCTTCATACATTACATCAACAAGAAACTCGTGGCATTTTTCGTACCTTGGAACCTGTGTGGTCTTATTTACCTGATCATCATGATCAATGGATTCCATTGGCCGCTGATGCCCAACGTGTGCTTGAGATCGCATTGAATAATCAACAAACATCATGTACCATCTCCTTGGATCGCCCTCAGGCACCTCCTACCATAACCAAAGTTTATTTCTCCTCTCCTCCAGCCGCTACTTTACCATCATCAGCACCAGCATCACCATTACCATCAACATCAGCATCAACAACAACCAAGAGACGTCGTCCTGTCACTCAATTTTTTACTTCATCATCCATGCATCAACATAACAACAAATCATCACCGAATCTGACCGTTCGTCCTCGTCATGATAAGCAATCCTTACCTCCATTACCGTCTCGTCTGGATGGCCTTTATTTCAATCATAATCTTCGTCGAGCACTTGTGCCTTATTGGTGGTTTGAACAAGACAATGAACAAGGTGGCAAAGGTATGTGTAAATTTGATTATAAAAACCAAGTGCGTTTGGAAGCTCTGTCGGATGGTCGAACCACTCTTACTTTAACGGACACTTCATTCTCTGTTCCTTTTCAAATCATCTTGGAAGCCGCTGATCGTTCATCAAGAGAAGAATGTCGTGGTTTTATGTATCTGAATACTCCTCCTGTCGTCCAACCTCCACCTGTCTCCAAACCTCTTTCTGGGAATCCTCTTGTCATTTATGATGATCAACATCAATCCGATCCTGATGATAGCCTTTACCATCATGATGATATATTTTTGAATAGACGTTGTTCCATCTAATACCTCATACTGTCACCCCTACATCATAACCCTATATACATATACACATCCTTCTACATATACATATATATATATTTATATTTATACTTGATATCCATATATTTATTGATCAACTAATGTTAATAACACAATAAAAAAGGATCAATCATCTATTCTATCCCACAAAAAAAAAAAAGAAAAACTAATCTGCATGTAATAATACGTATTCTCTTGTACTTTGTCCAAAAGTCACGACATCCTTGAGTTTCAATTCTACATAGCGAGATGATGGTATCTTGTCCCCATTGATAAAAGTACCATTGGTTGATTCTAAATCAATGATAAAAGGTCTAATACAAAAATATCAATGAGTAAGCAAAGATGATCATCCTTTTTTATTATTATTATTATTATTTTCATTATGACTTACTTGACTATTTGTTGGCCTTGATCACTGACGAGTCGATATTGTAACACAGCATGTTGTTTTGAACAAGATGGATGGTCAACAGGAATATCCACCACCTAAACAAAAAAAAAAAAAAAAAAGTAATAATAATAAGTCATATGAATGATTTTCTTTTGTTTTTCATTTTATTGATCGTGCACTTACCGCACGATCTCTACCAATAAGGAAAGCACTTTGACGATGTACATGCAATAGATCTATCCAAAAAAAAATTGACCATTGAATCTTTTTCTCTCTATTTTATATATCTATTTACCTATTTGTTCTGATCCTTTAAAGACATAAAAACGCCAATGTTGTTTTGGTTTTGCCGCTTCTCCAGGTTCATTGTATTTCAATTCCACTCCATTAACAGTATTTGTTTCAGCAGCCAGTTTACCGGATAAACCGTAGTTAGGTCCTTCAGGTTCAGGTACATCTTGTTCTTTTTCTATTGATGGTGATCGTCCTCCCCAAGTATATTTTCTGCCACTACCATCTTGATGTCGTCCTCGTTGTCGTTGTCGTCTTTCTCCTGGTGATGGTGATCTCCTAGGTCTGTCATCTCTTCTTCTTCTTCTTCTTCTTCCTTCTGGTGATCTTGACCTTGATCGTTCATCGTGATACCTAGAAGATGAATGATGTCGTGGTGATCGTTGTCTGTATGGTTTATCTTGATGACGAGAAGGTGAAGGCATATTGGGAATAAATGAAAAGAAAAAAGTTGAAGGAATGCCAAAAGAAAAAAAAAAAAAAAAAGCGGTGACTTCCAGTCGGAAAAGGAAAATTAACTTTCTGCCTCTTTTTTTTTTTTTTTCTCTTCCTTTGCTTTTTTTTTCGTATCCATATAACTAGACAATATATAATGTCAAACGATCATAATGTTATTTTGGAAACTTCTATGGGTCCTATCGAAATAGAACTTTACTGGAATCATGCACCAAAGTAATTAAAAAAAAGAATAAATACGCGTGGGTATTGACTTGTTTTTTACATTCTTTTTTTTTATAGAACTTGCAAAAACTTTTATGAACTGGTAGATATCATATATACAATCAGTTAAATATAATTAACCCTTTTTTATTATTAAATAGACAAAGCGTGGTTATTATGATGGTGTTAGTGTAAGTGATTTAAAGAAAGAAAGAAGAAAAAAAGCTCATATCTGACTTCAAGTAGACTTAATCGATCAATTTTTCTCTTTTTTCTTTTTCTTTCCAACATGCATAGTTTCATCGTATTATTGCCGTAAGTGTTACAAATTACACATTCTATATACTAAAAAAAATAAAAAAAAAAGCTAAATATATGTTCATATTAAACTTTAGGATTTCATGATTCAAGGTGGAGATCCTACTGGTACAGGTCGAGGTGGACAATCCATTTATGGGTAAGCAGTTGATGACTCTACCTTATGATTGTTATTAATCTTTTTTTTTTTTTTTTTTTTTTTTGAAAGTGATAAATTTGCAGATGAAATTCATCCTGGATTAAAACATACTGGTGCAGGTATTCTTAGTATGGCCAATTCAGGACCCAATACAAATGGATCACAGGTATGTAACAGGATATGGAAAGTATGACCAAATGAATTGATCCTGTTTCTATTATTTGAATAGTTCTTTATTACATTGGCACCTACTCCTTGGCTTGATGGTAAAATTTTCTTCCCTTTTAGGATATCTCCCTATTTTTATTTTGATCATCATTTTACTTGTTTTTGTTTTTTGGTTATTTATAGGAAAACACACTATTTTCGGTCGCATTGCAGATGGAATGAATATTGTCAAACGAATGGGACTTGTGGCTACAGATTCTCAAGATAGGTAAGAAAGAAAATCAATAGATAGTAATGATCATTTTCTCATTCTCATTATGATTTATATATATATAGACCTAGGGATACCGTCAAGATAGTGAAGGGACGAGTAGAATAGACAAGTCAAATTTAGATATATATATAAAATCCGTTCAAAATAAAATCAATCATACGATCAAAATATTGTTTCTTTTTTATTATTATTTTTACAATCAGAAGGGAAAGGAAAAAAAAAACAAAAACAAAAGATAAATAAATAGGACTAGATGGAGGGTAACAATCATGTAATAAAATAGTTTGAAGGGAAAAAGGAATCACATCAAATCTAGGCTAATGGAGAGAAACCAACACGATAATCACCAAAGTTAAATACAGAAACAAAATGACGCAACCAAAGATTGCCCAAGGTAAACACATTACTTGTTTGAGAAGGAGCAAAATACAGAATACATTGATCATCAGCACCATTTTTGCCCACCAGACGAGCCACAGGTACGGACATGGCAAAGGAAATAGTGTTATTGTCTAATTGAGGGAACATCACATTGAGTAAAGCCTTGCCATCGTTATTGTTTTCATCCATCAGAGCACAGTCCACACGGTAAGTAGCACCTGTCCATGTAGCAGTACCTTTGGATACCACATCAGCCAGTTGATCAGATAAACCTTTGGGTAAATACATAAAGTTGGAACCAGAATCCACCAGGAAATGAGTAGGCTCAGTGAAATGGAAATTCATGTTGGTACCATTGTCATATTGAAAACCATTGACACCTACCATCCAATGCGAATACACACCATCGTTGCGTTTGATCACTGATGTATATTGAATCACATCGGTATGTTTGCTATCATCCACTGCACCAAACATCACCTCACCTATCCAGTCAGAACCAGTTGCTTGTGTTGAACCTTCATCCATTGTCAAGCTAAAGAGAGGGGCAGGAATCAACTTATTTTCCCATAAACCTATTGGATAAGGCGTATATTGATCATGTTGTTTTTGTTGTGCCATCAAGGTACCTGCCGGGAAACCTGCTGCAAAAATACCATCAATCAAAGGATGTTGATTGGAAGAAGTAGGACTAAGGAGGCTGTTGTCATCTTGTTCATTGTTGTCGTTGGCTGTAGATTGTTGAGCGATAGGGCCTTGATTATCATCGATCAAGACAAGTGTTTGAGATGGAATACCTAGATTGGCTTGATCACCTACTTGTAATCGATCAACAAAGTAATGACCGGTGGCTGCTCCAATACCATAGGTAATATTCACCTTATTCAATTCGCCTTGATAAGTGGTTGATTGAGAAGGATCATATTGTCGACCTGATAAACATCCTTTCTCTTTGGTACATTTTTGAGAGGGTATCCAAGTGTCTGAACTACCAGTATCAAATAAAAGTAAAAATTCTTGACCAGGTGTACCTACTTGAACTTCAATACCATATTGAAAGAGATCAATGTCGTTCAAGAGAGAGGTGGATAAAGGTGAGTTACTAAGAAGAGGATGATCTAGTGAGCTTAAAAAGTCTCGTTTGTTCAATTCATTATTCTTTGTAATTCGACGTAGAGGTAAACGAATAGGTGTTGCAGGAGTAGGTGCTGTAGTACTGAAACCTAAGAATAAAGCTGTTACTAAAAACAAACTTTGTTGAATATACATTATAAGGAATGAAAGAAGGGAAAGGGAAGGGAAGTCCGTAGACTAATAATAATAAAAAAAGTGATATGAAAAGAAAAAGAAAAAAAGGAGCGTAAATGAAAAATTTGATTCAAAAAAAAAAAAAGAAAAAAAGAATACCATCCCAGACTAAAATATATATATAAAAGACTCCATATTAGATGTAAACTGTGTAACGATGTCAAAATCATATTCGTTACACGTTTTCATTTTCATTTTACATTTTCTTTTTTTTTTTTTTTTATAATAACTATTTCATCCTTTATCATTAAAAAAAAAAAAAAGAAAACTACAATCATTTTCATTTTCATTTATCATCATCCTTTATTCATCATTACTATAGGCATATTACAAAAAAAAAAAAAAAAAAAGAGAAAACAATCAATATATAAAAAAAGAGGGAAACTAAATCATAGGTTTGTAACCACGAAAAGTAATATACCATCACTCTTTGTCGTACCTTGCTTTTAAACCCCTATTTTCTACCTCCTCCTTTGTTGAAACAAGATCCATTACCAGAAAAAGAATAGTAGATATTTCATTAACTTCAATTCTGTAAACCATGACCTGATACTTCTATTACAATAGTGTCTTCCATTTTCCTTTTATAGATGTTCTGTACTCTAATCTCTCTCTCTTTTTTTTTTTTTTTTCATTGCCATGAATAATATAGAAATTATCGATTGAGTTTAGAAAAAAAAAAAAAAAAGAATATATCAAGCAATGATCAACTCAAATTTGACAGAGAATATATATATATATATATATTATACCATCATACTTTCATCATTCATCATCTATCGTCAATTCATGAGACTGATTATCTAGAGTGGATGATGACTTGTAAAGGCCAAGTCAAAGTGATCTCTTAATCGTGTATCATAAATCATCAGTTAAATCATCTACATAGACTGAAAAGGTTAAAATAGGGGAGGAGTTTTTGAGCAATGCCTTGGGAGAAAAGAAGAAAAAAAAAATACAGTAATAATTCCATATTGGCTACTACAGCCAAAAGTTAAATCATCTCAATTCTTTTTTTTTTTTTTTTTTTTGCGACAAGTGGGGCAATTTCTACAAAAAAAAGAAATTGTCTTTCTGGGCATAATGCTCATTATTTATGATAAACAAATGCAATTTTCATAATGGATAATCAACAAAATTTCCTTTTAAAAGTTCCATCATTTTATGCATGAGAAAAGTATGGCTCATCGTACTACATAGGACTATAAGAAGGATGATGCCCAAGCACAGCTCAAATGTGTATAAATACAAACCTCTTTTTTTTTTCTTTCATCTTTTTCTTTTCTTTTCTTTTTTTTTTTGTTCTTTATATTAACAACCTATTTATATTCACAATGATTATTCGTCCTTTTTACTTTATTTTCTTGTCCCTTTCCATCCCTTTGGTGATCAGTCTTCCTCTTGTTGAGAGAGCAGATCTGGTATCCATGGATGATCGTTCCCGAAGCATCTCCAAATGTGGCGATATGAGAGCTTTAGGTACCTCTGGCAAATGTGTTACTGAACACTTTGATCGTAGAGATGATCATCATCAAGCTAGTCATGATGGCAATCATAATGGCCATAAAAATAATGATGATGATGACGGTGACAGACATGGCCATAATGGTGGCGGCAGGGACTCTGATGGCAACCAGGATCGTAAAGATCATGATGATGATGGTCGTAAAGATCATGATGATGATGATGATGATGGTAACCATGAACCTAATGGTCATGATGGTCACGATGATGATGATGGAAATCATGGTCGAAATGGACATGGCACTTACTCTAATGGCAATCGAGGTCATGATGGCCATGATGGTGATGATGATGGAAATCATGATCGCAATGGCCACAAAGATGGCGATGATGATGGCAATCATGGTCGAAATGGACATGGCCATTCCTCTGATGGTGATGATGGCAACGATGGTGATGATGGCAATGATGGCGATGATGGCAATGATGGCGATGACGGTCATGGTGGTCATGATGTTGATTCTGATGGCAATCATGATTATAATGGCAACGACTCTGACCCTGATGGCAGCTATGATCCTCACAATGATCACGATTCTAGTAATTATAGCACCGACGGTACTTACGATCCTCATAGTGGTAATGACGATGATGATTATCGTCATGCTGATGAAAGAAGACGTTGATCCAATATCTGGTACAAAGAAGGATCATCTCATTGACGATCTTCCTATCGAAAGTAACAACACATCTAGTTTTGTTTGTTTGCCTCAATATATGATGCTCAGTATATTAGGTCACCTGAAAAAAATAAAATAAAATCGTTCATTTTACTTTGATCTTCTAGTTGATCTTTAAATTTCACTTGATATTGTTTACCAGTGTATACGAGTTGAGCTCAGCATAATAGACAATAGTAAAATATTACTGCATAATAATAATAATAATAATAGAAATTGAACTTTTCATGTATTTTAATTACTTTGCTTATTTATCCAAATTGGATACATCTCAAAAAGGAAAAAAAGGAAAACTTCGCTGGGTGCATTCCAGTCATGCGAACAATAGGAAAAAAACACTATTTAGCACAAAGCAGACATCTTTTCAGCATCAGCTAGCCGCGCTCCAGTGAACTCTCGCCTTTTTTTTTTTTTTTTTTTTTTTTTTTTTTTTTTTGGTACTTGATCCCGCAGCTACTCTTTTCTTTTTTTTTTTTTTTTTTTTTTTTTTTGTTTCTTCTTCCGTTTTTCGATCACCTAATTATATTATGGCCCGAGGAAAAGCAAAACAACCACGGTCAAAGAATCAGGACGATGTGGGATGTCAGAGAAAGCGACAACGGCAGCAAAAAGAACCAGAAGAAGACCACCATGATCTATCTTCTTCTGAAACAGAATCTTCCTCAACCAAGTATAATAACCACCATGATCTATCACTCGTCCCAGAGATGACTAAAGTAAGAACTATCACTGAAGAGAATGATATGAATGATTCTGACGATGACGATGAAGAAGATTCTATTGATTGGGAAACAGTTGAGCTTCCAAAATGGACACTTCAAAGTACGCAACACCACCAAGAAGAAGACGAAGAAGAAGACAATGCTCAATTTGATGAAGGTCAACAGGATCTGGAAGGACACCATCAATACAAGGATGTTCACGTTGTTTTTGAAACACCTCGTGTTGTACTCAAGTAAGTAGGAAATAGAATGAATGATACGAATACTGATTTTTAATATTAGAAAATCAAAATGGGAAATGGCATATCAACGACAACTACGTGATTGGATGCATAATAGTCATGTTGTATTACTTGTGGGTCATTTTCTTATTCGAAATGAATGGTGTTCAAGAGAAGATGTCAAAGTAAGTTAGGATTATTAAAAAAAAAAAAAAAAGTGATCTACTGACATTTTGCTATATATATTTTATAGTCTGTTTGCTTATCTGTGATTCCTGAACATATATCTAACCAAAATAAAAGAAGAGACCGATCTGATACTGAATTCAACACAACAATCAAGTGGCTATTGAATTGGTGGAAAGATTACTTTAGTATCAATAGTTATGGATTGATGACAAGACCTTTGGAAACATTTGAATCTATTCCTCCTTTGGACACTTATAGCGTAAACTTGATCAAGGTAATATAACATTCATTCTTTGTTATTTAAGTCTTCCGTCGTTTTCTTGTTTTTCTTATTATTTTTCTTCTTTAAAAAAAAAAATAGAATTTAGAGCAATATATGGACAACCTGGGAATTCATGACAGTGAAATCATTCAAGATCCAACAGCTTTTGTCAATTATTTAGCGGAAAAGAGTGGCTCCCGGGATTTGTCTGCTCAATTATTTACCAGTCTTCTTCGTACATTGGGTTTCGAAACACGATTGATCTCTTCACTTCAACCACTTCCTTATCGGATACCTGCAACTCGAACTGATAAACCTTCTTCCTCCACATCAACAACTCCATCATCTTCTTCTACCAATATATCTAATGGTAAAAAAAAAAAAAAAAAAAAAAAAAAAAAATACAAAGAGTGATTTTATAAGGTTTATCTAATAATATATATTCTGATTTCTTTTTTTTTTTTTTATTTTCACTTATGCACATTAGCAGATAACGTGGATGACAACTCAACAAACGATTCTACACAATCCTCATCGCGCACCAAACAAAACGTCAAAAAAATATCAGCAATCAATCCAACAACATATGATTATCAAAACAAGAAAGCAAAACCACCGACGGTATGGTGCGAAATATGGAATCCACATCAGAAACGGTGGATATGTATTGATCCTGTTCGCCAACTTTATGACAAACCCCAGTTGATGGAACCCGGCATTTCGGATCGAAAAAACGTGCTCTCCTATGTATTGGCTTTTGAGGATATATCAAAGCAACAAGATGATCAACGGAAAGGACGAAAAAGACGTATTCGATGCGTTGTAGATGTGACTCGACGGTATACAACACATTTACCAAAAGCATTAGCGGCTCGTGAACGAGAGCTGACAAAACGAGAAAAAGAAGGTGGGTGGCGACTCTGGTCTGAACTGTTTCTTTTTGGTCTTCAACCCTCGGAATTACGTAATAAGTCATCAACAACAATATCAGCAAGCAAAAGGCGGTATGAAGAAGAACAAATACAACTCGAGCAACATCAACATGAACAGCGTATGCCGACATCCATGCAAGCCTTACGGAATCATCCTCTGTATGTTCTGGAACGTCATCTGAAGAAATTTGAAGTATTACATCCTCCTAAGAATATGACGATGGACAGTATGGTGATTGGACATATTAAAGGTGAAAATGTATACCCACGATCATGTGTACAACAAATTCATACACGCGAAACTTGGATCAAGCAAGGCCGTGTGGTGATGGATGATCAAGTGCCTGTGAAAAGAGTCCTATCAAGAGCCGTCACTTTGGAAAAGAAGCGATTACAAGAAGAAGCGAAACGTCAAGGGGATACTTTACAAACGGATTGCTATGGATATTGGCAGACAGCACCTTATCGACCTCCTCCTGTTGTAGTTGTAAGTATTTCAATAATGATAAAAAAAAAAAAAAGGATATTGGCACTAACTAACTGGAAATGGTAATGTTTTATCTTACTCATATTAGGGGAAAATCACAAAGAATGCCTATGGTCGTGTCGATCTGTTTACTATGGACATGTTACCTGAAGGTGCAGCTCATATTCAAAGTAAGTCTAAAGCAAAAAAAAAAAAAAAAAAAAAAAAAAAAAAAAAAAAAAAAAAAAAAAAAAACATGAATTCATCTCTTTTATTGATATTTAGTTGATGGCATTGGCAAAATTGCAAGACAATTAGGAATCGATTATGCCGAAGCAGTGGTAATATATATATATATATATATATATATATATATGAAAAAGATAGAAGAGACATTCATCATCTCATCTTCCCAATTCTCTTTTTTTTTTATGATGGTAATAAATAGGTTGATTTTGATTTCGTACGTGGAAGATCTATACCAATGGTGAATGGGATCATTGTGGCAAAAGAAAATGAGTTCATCTTGTTGGAAGTAATATAGATATACATATTTATGGAAAGGGCATGATGATTTACATCTTTTTTTTTTTTTAGGCATGGCGGGAACATGAACACCATCAGACGAATAAAGCGTCGGCGAAACACGAAAAACAAATCTATGGACGATGGAGAAAACTGATTCTTGGAGCTATGATTGATGCACGGGTGAATGAAGATTATGGTCAACCAGAGAATCAAACAAAGGTGGATAACAGCACTGCTTGGGATCGATTTCTGAAAGAACGGGAGAAATCCGAGAAGATCATGGATGGTGGGGGATTTATTTTAGAGGATGATCAAGAATAAGGATGACTAGATTAGTTAGATTAGCCTTTTGTACTATATATTTGAAATAAAGACTTGTTGCTTTTATAATAATGACAGATGATGATACAAAAAAAAAAAAAAAAAGATATCCCTTTTTCTAGGAATTTGACGATTTTTTCAGGAAAAAAAAAGATTGAGCATTCGTATTGTAATAATTCACTGTTTCTGGTGTTACGTTAGTATGGCTTGTATTCTTAGCAGATATCCTCTTTTTTTTCTTTTTCTTTTTTTGGTTAATTAAATAAAAATGACCCTTTTTTTTACAGATCAAACAACGTATCGCACATGACGCACACTTGATTTCTTTTCTGGTGTATCAATATTTATATCAGATCTTCACATCATCCTTCTTTTTATTTAGAAGTTTCCATAAAAATACCTAATCTACTGGCAAACATATAAAAAAAAAAATCGATCACCACTATAAATGGGATGGGACAAATGGGAATAGAGAATAAGAATGTATATATAAAGGTAACTTGATATAAGTAAATGTATATAAAAGAAAAAGAGAATGAGTTGATAGGGAAACAGTAGGGGGGTATCAATACTGGATTTGTCATGATTCAGAGGACGAGCTTGCTTCTTGTTGATCCATCATCAATAGGGAATTGGCCATTTCTAATGCTTCCATGGAGGTACCAGTGAGTCCAGAATAATAAGGACTGAATTCTTCTTGATCATCCAGTGGCGTTGCCGGTGAAATAACCCGATTATTTGAATCATCATCATCATCATCATCACTGGACACATAGTCACTATCACTGACATCGTCGCTATAATCCATACTGGAGGAAGAAGAGGATGAATATTGATCATTCATTTTCCCAAGTTGTTGATGCTCGTTCATTGATATAATTTGGCTTTGTTGAGATGTGGCATCTACTCGTTCATAGAAAAGCATATAAGGATTAGAAGATAAAACGTCGTCTAGAGTACAAGGGTCCACTTTGCTATCCGATATCCGATACCATGTTTCGCACTGATTCCAAGATTCCGTTTGTGTTCCATCATCAACGTTTCCTGAAGTAATATCGTCAGTCGAATCATCCTTCATATCCACTAATCCATTCCTTTCGGTATTCCCTGATGATGATTCATGTTGGTTAGGCTTGAATCCAGTAGAAGAGCACGAGTAGCATCGACATTGTGAAGGTAAAATGCGGCGTTTGTAAGCAACATAGTGACCATAACTATGACTTCCATAATGTACCACGACGCTCATTAATCGATACAAATGAGATGAAACATCAGAAGAGCTTCGTTTGTTGTTCAGCCCACTAGATATGGATGAAAGAGGTACTGTAGGTTGAGTATGAAGAGTACCCGAGGTCACAAAAGGCGTCAAGTCCAAAAATTCATTGAAGACAAGTTGACATGAGTTTTTGAAAATCATACCAGAAGAATGATGGACAGCTGATCGAGTCACATGGAGGCATAGTACAGAGGGTGGTTTAGCAATCATAACTTGTTTGGTAGATCTTGGACTGATTGTATGACGATGCTTGATCTTGTTCCTTTTTCTATCAGTAGTACTGTCGTAGATATCATTGCTATCCTCATCATCGGATGAATCCATTTGCCTTGTCCGTAATCGATGTTCCAATTGCATCCGTTCCTTTTCCAATGACACTAGCTGTGATAAAAGTTGTTTCCGTTTCTCCTTGTTCACGTTATCGGCTTGCCGTTGTAATGATCTTGTCTTATCCCTTATCAATACCGCCTTTGTTAATAAAGTACATTGTCGACATGATGCATCACGCAAGTATTCTATGGATGTATATTGTTTGAGACATTGTTCGATCGTCACTGAATACTAATCACAACGAAAAAAAAAAAAAAAACTTAAGTATATATATATGCTTCTGTTTCATTATACTTACAACACTTGGCAAACATAATTGTATATTGTTGAATGAGAAATGTCGAATGACACCCTATATCAAAAAAAAAAAAAAAAAGGATATCAGTATTCCAATAATAATCATCATCATGTTCTCCTCTTTTATCTAGTCACTCACCGTGTATCCACATTGTACGCATGATAATCGACTGGCCAACAAACCCGTCAATGGTCTGCCCAAAAAGGAATTGCTATTGCTATTGTTGACATATTTTGCTGTTCTAATCGAAGGCGAGGATGGTACAAGAAGTTCACGTAGACCAACGGTTATCATCACTGCTCGTTTTGTCGTATTAGGTTGATAGTACTGGGATTCTGACTCAACGGCCGCCATCAATACTTGAAAAAATTCTTGAGCATCCTGTTGTTCACGATTCATAAGAAAAGAGGATTGCCGGCGACCACCAAAGGATGAGTTGGATTGAGCTCTTTTGATGGCAAGAGCTCTCGCAAGTTCGCTAGGACGGATACTGGACCGAGAACGTTGAGGTTTGGAGATACGTCGTATGGTTTTGAAGAATGTATTTGTCACTGGTGAAGTAGGACTCTTGACTTGATAGAGGTATACATGTAAACTGGGTAAAGAGGACACTGCCTTTTATTAATATGATATGTGAGTCAGTCAGTTATAATGCTCTATTTATATTTTCTGTTACCTGAAGAACAGAGTTAAGAAAGCAAGAGTTACCAGTATTAGATAAACCAGATACCAAACAAGAAGATGTTTCTGATGAAGCCAAACAAACAGTAAGAGGATCTTGATGTAACTCTTCTATTGAAGTAGGAAAGGAGAAGAAAGTAATACGAGAAAAGATATGGACAAGAAATGTAAAAGTGAGATCTAGCCAATAAGTGATAGTATAATAAAAGGGTAGATTCTGTAAGATGGGAAGTATAATGGCACAAAGACCCAAAAGAGCACCTATGAATTGAACTAAACTAGAGAGATCAGTTAACCATAACTGAACTATTTCTAAAGAGACCATAAAGAAAAAGAAAGAAAGAAAAAAAAAATTCGGAAACTGAAATCAAGAAGGGCGTTTCAAAAAAGGGGGAGAGATTGGTTCCATTGAATTGACCAGCAATTAAGCGAATGAACGTCATTGAATTTTTTTTTGTGTCGCTTTCATTACATGTGACGTCGGGGGGATATGCGCTTTATATGCCATTGAATAAAAACTCTAAGCTTTTCTTTTTGTAAAAAAAAAAAAATTGCCTCAAAGTAACAAAAATAAAAAGGCAGCTTCGGTGAATCAAGTATGATTGATATATAATCATCATCATCATCATCCTTTTCTTCTTCTTTTCCTATTTCTTTTTCACTTCTTTTTACTTTTGGCTTATAGCTGGGAATGTATCTATCTTTTAATATATATAATTAAACCGTATCTATCAAAAAGTCATTTGGATCGAACCTTTTATACACAAACAAATACCCTTCTTTTTTTTTTTTTTTTTTTTACGCGTGTGCGTGACAGAATCGGATCGGCTGTGATCATTGATTTTCTGCTTCCTTCTTTTCATTCATATATACTCACACACATATATATATATACGTACGCTCTCTTTCTTATCGCTCTATTTCTCTCTCTCTCTCGTTCACTCTCTTCTTTTTTTTTTCACGCCACTTTTGACATTGATTCTTTTTTGTGTATATCTTAATTGTACTCAGGGCAAATCATCACTCATTTAACCACCGACGGGATCTACTTATATCCATGCTCATCAACGGAGTAAAGTTTGCTTGTACGACATGTATCAAGGTAAAGCCTTCATCCACCACAGAAATGAAATGCAAGCTTTTTTAAAGTTAATGAATGTCAGTTTTTTTTTTTTTTTTTCAAAAAAAAAATAACAAATAGGGTCATCGAGCATCCAATTGTAAACATACTGATCGTCCTTTATTTGAAATCAGGAAAAAAGGAAGACCTGTGAGTCAATGTCCACTTTGTAGAGATCTTCGGAAAACAAAGCAATTACATATCAAATGTATCTGTAACAAAAAGAGTAAAGGTAATCATGATGATATGATGGTCGATTATATGTGATGATTGATATATGGTATTGATAGTACGATGGGTGATGGATAGGATGAACAAAAGGAAATAATTGACTTTATTTCTTCTCTCTTTTTTTTTTTTTTATTATTATTATTATTATTTAGAATCAACATCAATATCAAAGTCGACTGATCAAAGTCTTTATCAAGATAAACAATCAAACGAAGCAAATATAACTAAGCGACCCTCACCCATCACTATTCCTAGTCAAACACTCAATACCAGTAATACCAGTAGTGGATCATCACCTCCTTCTTTTTGTTGGGCCCTAGTTAGTCCTTCCGAGCATCATCATCATCATCAATGTCAGCTGCACTCTCATGAAAACATGGGCTATGTGTTTCAAAAATCAAGCAAAGATAGCCGTCGTCCTACCAAGCCATCCAGTAGTAAACAACGAAGATCATCATCACCTACATCTTTTATCCATCCACCACTCATACTACCAACATCATCATCCAATCATCAAAATCAGTCCTCTATATTGAACAATTATCTTTCAAATGATATTCCTCTTTCCCGGTCCATATCGTCATCATCATCCAACAATATAGATAATAATGATATGATGAAGGAATTGGATGATGATTTGTGTAATTTATTGGACAACATGATTCAACAACAAAGTAGGACAACAACATCCGTCTCTTCACCTTCCATATTATCATCCACGAGCAACACATCTCCTCAATCTGCCACCACTTTATCTTCATTTTCAACGCCTATACCACATTCATATAATCATCCATCTCTTTTTGGACAGTGTCAGAAATTGGCACAATGGAGAGCTCAATCATCAGGACCACCACCAGGAGAAACAGGGGAATCAGTCATCATTACAATGACACCTTTACCGAAACTTGTTGACACTCAACAACAGCAACAACAACAGCAACAACAACAACAAACGATCAGTACTACAAGAATTGTTACTTGTTATTGTGGAAAATCATGTTCATGTCCAGGTTGTTTGGTACATCCTACTAGTTCCATATTTGCATCTCAAGGTTTAGATCCTTATGCTGGCTATCCTATACAACATTCTTTAAGTTCGGATGAAGACTAATAATATTTTTTTTTATGATTTTCTCTTTTTATGAAATATGCTTATGTTTATGATATTTATGTTTAATTTATGAAAAAATTGATTTTTTTCTTCTATTATTATTACTACTACTTGTATATGTTCTTTTTTTATTATTATTATTATTTTAGTTTTGCTTGTATGTCATTATTTAGGAGCCAAATAAATTTTGAAACCCAACCCTCAACGCCCATGATCATCTTCTCTTGTCTCCTTTTTTTTTTTTGTCTTCCTTTCACTTCTTTCTTTCACTTTTTTTTTCCTTTCAATCACAGCTTATTTTATTAATATGGTAAAAATAAAGAAAAGTGAGTGGCAGTGGAAAGAATGAAGTTGGTTAGTGATTTTGTGACATATTCCATAGTTACTAGCGCTTATCTCATTCTCTTCTTTTTTTTTTTTTATTCGACTTATAGACTGACCAACTTTCTGAAGAACGTTTAGCAGAATTCCGAGATGCATTCAACTTATTCGACCGTGACCGAAATGGGTTCATTGATACCAAGGAACTAGGGGCTGTGATGAAGTCTCTCGATATGAATGCTACTGAACTTGAATTGAAGGATATGATTAATGAAGCCGATGCAGATGGAAATGGTATCATGGATTTCAATGAATTTCTCTCTTTGATGATCAGGTAATAAAAAAAAAGAAATGTTATTATATGAATGATCATTTAGGATGATAACTATAGGATGCATCAGGATTTGTTTATCGTGTGTGTCATGTGTGTGAGAAGGGGAGATTGCGTGTCAGAAACTAATTTTTTTTTTTTTTTTTTTTACAGGAAACGACGCGATACTGACGCAATTCAAGAACTAAAGGAAGCATTTCAAGTGTTTGATAAAGATGGTAACAACTATATCTCAGCAGATGAATTACGCCAGGTGATGATTTCTGTCGGTAAGTATTATATATATATATATATTAAAAACAGATGGAGTTAATGGATCAAAAAGGAAAACACGAACTAATAGAAAGGTTATTCTTTTTTTTTTTTTTTTGGTGTTACACTGCAATCTGTAGGTGAACGACTCTCTGAACAAGAATTGGACGAAATGATCCGTGAAGCCGATATAGATGGTGATGGTCAAATTAACTATGAAGAATTCGTTAAAATGATGATGAAATAGTTTGATGATGTTTGAAATAAATAAAATACTTTATTCTCTATGACTTTGTTGTCATTTATACCAACAGTGAAAATTAGCGTTTTACAAATTTGAGAATGATAAAGGACTATTGTTTTCCTTATTTTCATTAGATATTAGTTAAGTATCAACAAAAGAATAATCTATAAACAAATATATATACATAAGTTTATTTCAAATAAAAATCATATAAAGAAGGCAAGAGTTGAATGGGCGATTGAGGGAAATTGAGCGGTTTTTTTTTTTGTTTTCCATTGTTCCTTATTTTGGTTTCACATAGACCTTTTCTTCTTTGCCTTGACGTTTCGCCGCTAATCTAGCTGCATTGAATAAAAAATCACTCAACCTAAATAAATAAATAATAAAATTATATGAGCCACTGGTTTTCTTTTCCGGATGCTTCTGATTATATAATATTTACCTGTTTAAATAGATGGCAACACTGTCATCACAAAGATGCTCCCGAGTCAATGGTTGCACGCGTCGTTCAGCTCTACGACAAACAGATCTTGACACATGTAATGTAGCACTTGCTTTTCCTCCAGACTTTATATAAATAAACAAATAAAAAGTCAGTTTACTTTCTATATAGAAACATTCCTTACTGGTAAAATAAACTTTGTCAATCGAGGTAACTCTTCATCCATGAAATCAATCCACTGTTCTAATTCTAATACAAGTTTTCCTTCTGGATCAAATGACGTTCGTTCTAATCATCCATCGAAATAAATAATAAAACAAAACAAGATATCAATATACACGATGACAAATCAATTAAAAAAAATTACCTAAGCGATTGGTGTTGGATCTTTCACGAGGAGTAGCAATATTGGAACCAATATCTTGTAGCGAACATTGTATCTAATTGAATAATTAAAAACGAAATAAATCACCCACCAAATCAAACTTTATATTTAAAAACAATATGGATTGTATGTATAACTTTTTGGTTCCATACTCATCACCTTTTCCAAGCGTTCCGTGAGAAAGCTATCATTTTCAAGATATTCCATTGCCAACCTATTCCAAAAAAAAAGGAAAACATTGTTTCATTATCATTTATATATATATATATATATATATATATATATATATATACTTACCCAATATGAGAAGAGAGTTCATCGGTGGTACCAAGAGCTTCAAATATTATATCGTCCTTGTCACGTCGTTCACCATTGTATAAACTGGATGTACCTATAAAGTCATAACAACGAGAGCATGTTAGTCACATTCTCGTTTTAATTCAAATATTGGTTGTTCAGTAACCTTTATCGCCTGTCTTGGTATAGATTTTCATAGCAGCTATAGAAAGAGAAGAAAAGACGAGAAAAGGCATCACAAACATTTTAAAAATGGACAACAACTAGCAGCGGTGTTTGAAACTAACGTCCTATTCTTCCATACATTGATGACTCTAACGCTTCATCATGATCATCTCAATGAATTCTTGTCTTCCTTGATCGTACTTGAGGATATTAACTATTAATTTTGAGAAATTAACACTATTCTATTACTTACTGTAGTAAAATTGTTTTCAAATGATAATATATCTTTATTCTTATACTGACAACAACTCTGGTATAAAAATGACATCGGTTTTTGTTTTATTCAGATTTAGATAATTGATAGCATCAAATGAATTGTAGGGAGATTAAGCAAAAAATAAAACATCTAAAGGAAAAAAGATACAAATATAATAATCTAGTTAAAATTACATCTAAACAGAAGGAAGAGAGGCAAGACTGGATCGTTGTAAAGCCCGTTGCATGATTGGCTTGAATCGTAGCACGTGCATGGCTTCATCAAACGTAAACTATATCAAAAAGAATGGAAGTGTGAGAACAAGTTTTTTTTTTTTTTTTTTTTTTATCTCCTTACCCATCTTCGTTGTCGCATTTCTGGCCAAGTATCAAGGATTTCTTTGATATGCATTTCATAGAACCAAAAATGAGTTTTAGGACGATCAAACTTGTCATAATCCATATAATCACCAATAAAACCAACAATATCTCCACAAACACCAGCTATAAAAATATGAATCAATGAGTTTTTTTTTCCGTCTAGATACATTCTATTCTTTTTACCTTCTTCATATGTTTCCCTAGCAGCAGCTTGTTCTACAGTTTCATCATTTTCCCATCCACCTTTAGGCTATATAAAATAATATAAAATAAAAAAAAAGGTTAACATATAAAAAATCAGCGATGATGATACATCTTTTGTGAAACACACCATCACCCAAATATGATCATGTTTACTGCTTTGGACTAAAAGGATACGTTGATTTTTCACATCTATAGGTAGGCATCCTGCAACCTATCCAAAAGAATAATAGTAGGGATAAAATGTTTTTGTTAATAAAGTCAAATAAAAATATATAACAATCATAATGGTTCCGTACTTGACGGGCATATTGGTCATCGTATGTTTGATTCTCCCGACCTGTTCTTGCTTCAGAAGCAAATGGGGGAAATGAGGACATGCTTGATACACCTGGATGTTGTTGGTATAAAATAAAATGAATGTGGAAAGAAAAACAAGAGAAAAGGCAAAAGAGAAAACAGAAGAAGAAAAAATAAGATAAAAAAGTCCGCTGCCTGTCATTCAGTTTATCATTGCCCTAAGCATCTTTTGTCATCTGTCAAAAAAAAAAAAAAAAAAAAAAAAAAAAAAAGAGTACTAAGATGGTAATGGAGCATCTTAATAAAAACGAAAAGTTCTATTTATTGAATATATATAAAACTAAACTAACTACTTGGTAATGACCAAATAACTCTTTCCAACTTCGTATTGATTATTCATGAAACCAAAATTCTTTTTTATTATCAAAATAAAACCTAAATTAAAACTAACTAACTAACTAAAGAAGACTATATATTTTACAATTTGCTATCACGACCACCAACAAGTTCCACAGCAGCATTAGAGATAGCAATAGCGTCACGTTCAACTACACGGGTTTGGAAGATAACTTTGTTGCCTTCCTTCCACATTTGAGTTTCTAAAGTTTCACCAGGGAATACATGCTTGGCAAATCGAACCTTGATATTTTTGAATCGGCTGGGGTCGTTGTTACCAAATGCCTTCAAGACATGCTTTCCAGAGATTGCGAAGCTTAGCAATCCGTGAGCAATTGGAGTCTCAAATCCACCCTAAAAGAAGGCCCGAAATAAAATGGTTAGTGACTATAAGTTGGTTTCATTCTTTTTTTTAATAGCTAAACTTACAATGGCAGACATTTCAGGATCAATATGTAAAGGATTGTAATCACCACTCAAACGATAGAGAGCAGCTTGATCTTCGTGAGTCTTTTCAGTAATAATGACATCAGGTTTGCGATTAGGAGGATTATTGGCAGCAGTAGCAGCACCACGATCAGCACCCTTCTTGTCACCACCAAAACCACCACTTCCACGAATGAATAGAGTGAATTCATTTTCAAATACAACTTCACCACGTTCATCCTTGGTAGTAACACCGACCACAACGGAAGCACCTTTACCCTTATCCAAAATATCCACAATACGAGCCTTGGAAGTCAAAGTACCACTGGTAGGAATAGGTTTCTTAAGTTCCAAGAATTGTTCACCGTGCAATAACATCATCTAATCAAAAAAAAAGGTAAGTATACTATATTCCTTTTTTTTTTTTTTTTGTGATGAATGCTTACGGGATTAAAGTTGGGAACAATATCACCAAATGGAACACTATTCATAGATAAGAAGGAAGGAATGACACCAAAGGTAGGAAGAACACTAAAGTCAGCATCATTTTCATATACCCATTTGAGATCTTGACGTTTACAACCAACACCAAGAGCATATAAAATGACATCACGTTCTTCATAGGAGAAAGTCAATTCTTCAAAGTCAATCTTCTTAGCCTTGGCAACAACATCATTAGATTCTTCTGGTTCATCTTCAGCAACATTTCCAAAGTTTTCCATAAAACCGGCAAAAGAATCTTGAGTACTTGCAGGATTGGTAGCACGACCATCTTCAAAGTCAGAAATACGAGACCATTCTTTAGCCACTTGTTCAGGAGTCAATTCACGATTTGAGGGGAAGCCAACACCACCAGTTCGTTGCCATCGGACTTTAGCAATCCATCCACTACCAACTTCAAAGATACTACCAGTTTCTTCGTTACTAGAATGACCCAAGTAAGCAATAAGAGGAGCAACATATTCAGGTTTGAAGGCTTCCACCATTTCAGGAGGCATCACAGTAGCAGTCATACGAGTACCAGCATTAGGAGCGATCACGTTGCTAAGAATGTTGTTACGTTGACCTTCTAAAGCCAAAGTCTTTGTCAAACCAACAATACCAAGTTTGGCAGAAGAGTAGTTAGCTTGTCCAAAGTTTCCGTATAAACCGACAGCAGAGGCAGTATTGATGATACGACCATATTTTTGCTTGACAAAGTGAGGCCAGGCAGCTTGAATAACCTTGTAAGTACCACGCAAATGGACTCTGTGGACGAGATCCCAATCAGCATCAGTCATACGAGCAAATGACTTGTCACGAAGAATACCAGCATTATTAACAAGAATATCTACACGACCAAAAGCCTTGAGAGCAGTGGCAACCACCTTATCACCTTCTTCAACAGAATCATAATTAGCAACAGCTTTACCACCAGCCTTTTGAATTTCAGCAACGACAGTATCAGCAGCACGAGCATCAGATCCTTGTCCACTATGAGAACCACCAAGATCATTCACCACTATTCAATAAAAAAAAGATATATAAGTAAAAAAAAAAAAAAAAAAATGGGTACAATCCATCTATGTTTCTTTATATATATATATATATCTCCTTACCAACAGAAGCACCCAAGCTAGCTAAAAGTAAAGCATAAGCTCTACCAAGACCACCACCAGCACCAGTAACAATAGCAACTTGACCATCAAATCTCAAGGCATCACCCTTGGGGTTAGCATCAGCAGCCTTGGCACGTTCCAAAAGTTCCAAAAAGTTGGTATCCATCACAGAAGTAGGGTATTCAGTATTTTTATCAAAGTCTACGATTTGATCGAATTTGGCAGCAACAGCATCAGGAGTGAAAGTTTCATCAGCTTTAAATACACTACCAGCAGAACGTTCCCATCGAAGTTTGGAGACAAATCCACCACCTACTTCAAAGATACCACCATTATCTTCAGTATTTTCATGACAAAGGTAACCAACAACAGGAGTCACAAATTCAGGTTTAAGAGATGCAAGGATTTCTGGAGGCATGATGGTTTCAGTCCTATAAGATGAAGAAAAAATTAGCACGTGAAAATAAAAAAAAAAAAACTAAAATTTTCATTCTTACATTTTGGAAGCCGCCATAGGAGCAATAGTATTTGTATGAATATTGTCCTTTTCACCTTCCTTTGCCAAAGTAAAACCAAAGGAAGCTAAAGCCAATTTAGCAGCAGAATAGTTGGCTTGACCAAAATTACCATAGATACCAGCAGCAGAAGCAGTCATAATGATACGACCATACTTTTGTTTACGCATAATAGGCCAAGCAGCTTTTGTAACAGCATAAGAACCCTTGACATGAACAGTTTGAATGAGATCCCAATCAGCATCAGTCATACGAGCAAAGGATTTGTCACGGAGAATACCAGCATTATTGATAAGAATATCAATACGACCAAAGGCTTTCATAGCAGTATCTACAATTTTTTGACCATCTTCTACAGAGTTGTAATTGGCAACAGCTTGACCACCATTCTTGAGAATTTCTTCTACAACCACATCAGCAGCCTTGATCTTTGAACCATCTTCTTTAGTAATAGTACCAAGATCATTGACTACAACACTAGCACCACGTTTAGAAAAGAAAAGAGCGTATGCTTTACCAAGGCCTTTTATATATAAAAATAAAAAAGATGCATGTCAATTAATCGCGTCATATGTATTTTATTTTATTTTTTTACGTCTTACCACCACCGGCACCAGTGACAATAACTACACGACCATCAAAACGGATATCGTTTGACATTATAAAAGAAAAATATGAATATATATAAAAAGAAGGAAAAAAAAAAGTGGGGAAAGAAAAAGAAGAAAAAAAAAAAGGAGGAAAAAAAGAGATAAAAAGAGATAAAAAAAAATTTATAACAGAGCGGCAAGTTACCCCGCAGAATTTACGCTTACGATACATATTCACATGCGGCCCCGAAACATGTGATTGCTCTTGGTCAGCGTCATCTACAATAAACTATGGTTCAAACCAATAATAATAATAATAAAAAAAAAAGACCAGACTGAAAATCAATTTATATTTCTTATCCTCGGCTTTTTCCATTTGATTTTTTTTTTTTTTGAAACTCTTTTTTCTTAGTTTCTTAAGGATCTACGTATCACTTAAATCTTCTACCCATCATATCGGAGACTCAACCATTCAAAAGATGATATGTTCAAATAAAAAAAAAGTGTTCCTTTATTATTATAAAAAAAAAAGTCAATATCTAAACTAAAATGGATTGATAGGTAAAATATGAATACGAGGAGGAGTTTGTGTTGTTTCGGGTATAATATTGACATCCAAAGTTGAAAGTATGGTGATAGTTTGCATATATTGTGCACTATCCAATAATGTCGGTTGTGTTTGACGGGGAAGATCATCCTTTTCTTTTTTACTTATTTCGGTATTGGCGAGTGTTTCTGTCATTTGGGATAAATCATCATCATCATCGTCTTCATCATCATCCATTTCCCATTTCCTATCTCTTGATTTTTCAAAATAATCGGCAGTGACTTGAGTCTCAGGTTTCCAATACAATTCCAAGCTTTGTTCTTCTTTATTGAAAACAGGATCACGTTGCAAAGGTAAGCCACCGGTATGTACACAATATTCCAATCCATATTTGTGAACGTAAATGTCAAATCGATTCTTTTCCACACCAGTCACTGTTGCCTTTTCGATCAATGGTTGTCCAGCTTGTTTCAGATTCAATAGATAGTGAGTCAAATAAAGCATAATGTCAGTGTCTTGAGCATTTTTGGCACCATCTTTCTTCCTATTGCATTGTAAAACGATTTGTTGAATCATCTTTTTGTTGTATCCACAATTCTCTAACATAAATAAAAATAATATATTAGTCCATTTCATCGAATAAGTTATTATTTACCTTTCCCCAAAAGAGCAGCATGTAATAAGCGATGTACAATAACATCAGCATATCGTCGAATAGGAGAAGTAAAGTGAGTATAAGCATCTTCGTCCAGTGCATAATGAAGATATTTTTCAATAGCTATAGCCCCAGAACAAATATATTTGGCCCTTTTCATAGGTTGTATAGCAAGTACCAGTAATACATCCTTGACATCTGATTCATCCATACTATCAAAAGAAGCTTGTAATCCAGCCGCAGATCCAACATCGAAATCATAACCTAGTTTTCTAGTGGTGTCTAAAAACCGAAGCTATAATATATAATAATCATTAGAGTTTGAATCAAAACTTTTCCTTTCTTTTTTTTTTTTTTAGAAATTACCAATCGTCGTTCAATAGGTGGTTCGTGACATCGTAAGAGAGCAGTAGTAGGATAAGCTTGAAGGATTTTTTGAGCGACACTGATGTTGGCTAGTAACATGAATTCTTCAATCAACTTGTTGGCTTCCTTGGATTCGAATACATGAACAGCAGTTGGTACTTTGTTGATATCCAAGGTGAATGATAATTTGACGGAATTCAATGATAAGGCACCAGTATCATATCTTCTTTTTCGCATAAATGCTGATAACTTGTACAAATCTTGAATGCCTTCTTCTACTTCATTTTTATTGAAGATACCAATGATGGTCTTGTCAGGTAAGTTTCCATGATCAATCACATGTTGAGCATCCTCATAAGCTAGCTTTGCACAAGATCTATATACATATCATAAAAAAAAAAAAAATAAGTGATCAATGTCATTGCGTTTATATATGTTACCTGATCACTGTTCGTCCAAACCAAGTATGTTGTACATTGCCTTCCCGATCTAATTTCCATATCACTGAAAATGTCAATCTAAATAAATAAATAAAAAAAAGTCATTATAAAAACATTCATAATAAAAATAAAAAATAAAAAATAATCTAGTAATAATTACTTATCCACCATAGGGTTCAAACTGCACAATTCTTCACATAACGGTGTAGGCAACATTGGAATGGACCTGTCCACCAAATAAGTAGTAGTACCCCTTTTCTTAGCTTCTGCATCCAACAATGTATTTTGCTTGACATAATAAGACACATCTGCAATATGTACCCCAACTTCAAAACATCCATCATCTTGTCTTTTGATGTGTAAAGCGTCATCCAAATCTAAATTATAATATATATATATATATATATATAAAGATAGAGTAAGCATTCCATATTTTCCTATACCTTCAAATCATCTACTTACCTTTAGCATCAACAGGATCAATAGTAAACACCAATTCTTCTCGTAAATCGCGCCTATTTTCATATTCAGATGTAGGAATAGATCGAGGAATACTTTCCAGATAATCAAGTACAAGTTTGTCAAAGGGCAAATCCATAATACCATTGTCAGCTAATATTGCTTGTTCTTCTACCGTCAAATCACCAACAGAACCCAAAAGACGCTTGATTCGACCGAGAGGTTGTAAAGATGTAATGGGCCAACGAATGATTTTAACCTATTAATAGAATAAACAAATCAAAAAAAAAGAAACAAGATATTTTTATTGATACTTACCTCAACCAAAACATTTCCATAGATTTCTGGTTGAGAAAACAAATCGGGTCGTTCTTCTTTTTTGGGATTAATCAGAATTAATGGTGTTCGTTTATCTGTTGCTTTCATCCACACTTGACCTGTAGGAGGAGTAAAAGGTTTGTCCATTTCAGATTTGGCAACAGAACCAGGTCTTTCCACGCTAAGCACCCTACAATACATAGGAAAAAAAAAGACTATATATATAAATTCTTTTATTATTATTATTATTATTATTATTATTACCCAGTAAACATTTTTTCATTTTGGCGATCAAGTATATAGACGACTTCACCTGCATATCTTGGTTTCTTATCAGAGTCTTCTTCATTCTCGTTATCTTGAATTTGTTCAGTTCCGATATCATCATTAGCCAGAGTTGCGACAGGTATTGCAGTATCGTCGCTGATTTCTGATTTTTGAGAATCGCTAGGTTGTTCTTCTTGTTTTTGTTGGTTCCATTTTTCTCGAAATATACGTTCCCTTTCAGTTTTTTGTTCCCATACTTCATCAATATCCAAGAGTCGAACTGCCACTATATCACCATCCAAAGCACGATTACGAGATATTTGACCAGATATATAAATGTCATCATCCAAACTATCAGATACAACGTAGGCGTCCATTCGTTTTTTTCCATTGATGCGCAACTGTCCTTTGAATAATGTACCATTTTCAATTCTAGTTAATACTTCATCGTGGTTCATATAGTATGGAAAACGAGGTGTTTGGCCTTTATAATGTCTGTCGTCAGGATGTTTCGAAGGTATATCGCTTTTTTGGCGCTGTTGATGCGTACTAGATCCCCTTCCAAAGTTGTCGTTAGATCGACTGATTTTGTTGACATCGGTGTTGTCACGTCGTCGCCACGTGTCCTCCAAATTTCTATGATCTTACCAAAAATAGATGAGTTAATAAGAGAGATAACAATAAACCATTCAACTAATTTATACTTACTTGTTGATTTTGTATCATTTCTAGTAACTTGGTCGTATTTTTGTGCTGGAGAGGATGAAGATACCTTTGGTACCGAAAAAAAAGAAAAACATAGTTTCAAAACGTATCATAAGTAAAAAAAAAAAAAAAAAAAAAAAAAAAAAAAAAAAAAAAAAAAAGGAAGGTCTTTGATATTTACTTACTAGTTCAGAGTTGTTCGTTGAAGAAATTTCACGTTCACAGATATCTTCCAGACTTGATAAAGCTTTAGAAGGACTACTGTCAAGGTAATATTCGAACTGTCGTTCCTTATTCGATTGTTGCTGTTCATCGGTAGTGATATTGCTATTTCGGTTGAATGAATCTGATGAAATTGTAATCAATTGAGTATTAATAGGTCTTGATAGATTGGTTTCCAAAGTTTCCCGCCGCGCAGCAAGAATGGCTTGATCCTGTTCGAGAATATAATCTTGAGCATGCAACCAAGCATTTGTAGACATTTCTGATGGTAAAGGAGGTTCAGTTCGTCTCCAAGAAGTTTTCATATCTCCTATAAAAAAGAGGATTCAGATCAAAAATTTTTGAGATCAATTTTTATTGTTTTCTCTCTTTTTTTTTTTTTTTTTTTTCCTTACTTTCACGGCTCGTTCTTGCATTGTTGTGCCAGTGCCTTTGCTATAATATGATAGATAGAAGTTAATAATAATTCAAAGCTGGTTTCATTATTATTATAGTCTTACCTTTCCTTTCCCAGTAGAATTATTGTATGCCATGGGTATAGAAAGAAAAGAAGAATTGAAAATGAAAGAGAATTTCATTTTCGTCCTCTTTGATTATCCCCTTGATTTGAAGTCCGATTAATGAGCATCATGCATGTGAAGTTTTCTTTTATTATTTCAAAAAAAAAAAGTAGATAAACTAAACTAATCTACACAAGAAGCCATATTCCATAATGACTTGGTTGATGATGATGATGATGTTGTTGTTATCTTGTCACTTGATCGTGGTGGTATATAAGGTCGAACTTGAGAGGTTACCAATGGAAACTGTATCGTTGGAAGGGTCTTCTTCATGGTATGCTTTGCCAACATCCGTTCCAAATTCAAGAATGCCAATTGTTTAGATTCTTGTATAGAGATAATGTTCGAGGAGTCATGATCCACCTTTTTCCGCTTGTTCCTTCTTGCTGTCAAAGTAGGTTGCTGCTGATCTTGTAATGACAATGACAACGCTATAGCCATAGATTCATCTTCAGATAATGGAGGTTTCTTGATTTTTGTTTGATGCCATGACGCCACTTTATATATAAGCACATCATTTTTGAAGTCGCCATCGTCCCCTTCTTGATGATCAGTTTCGTTCCATAAAAGTGACGTTGATCGTTTGGAACACTTGATGTCATTTGATCTTGTTGTTGCTAATTTATTCTTCTTCTTATTGTCCGATATTGATTCTGTGGCATGAATAGAGTATGTCGCAGGTAAAGGTTGTGACGTTGAACAAGAAGGAATTGGTGTATTTTGAATTGGTATATGACCCCATTGCATCCACTGAAGTTTTCGTATCAGTCGTTCCATTGTCAATGATCTTTCCTTAGCGCACCGTTTGATGTGTGAAATCTTTGTTCGTAGACTTGGGCCAGATAATACGTCGTGACATACTGGACAAATATCAAGTTGTTGTAGAAAGGGTATCGATCGTCCTGCAAATGTGGTTTGTTTTTGTTGTTGTTCGGCTAAACGCTCTTCTAATTCTAAAGATGTAAGACACCTGTCAAAATGGCGTTCCTTGTGAATCCCTAATAAATGTGTGATGCTTTTGCCACAGAACGAGCAGTAATCTAAAAATAAAGATGTCACATTCTGGGTATCATCGTTGCCTACATCGTGTTCATAGTCTTTGATATTGTCATTGGTGGCGAGAAGACATTCATCAATATGTTTCTGTCGACCAAAACTAGTATTGACATTGCTGAGATCTTCGTTGCAAAATGGACAATTGTAATCACCAAGTGGCGTCGCGTTTTTTGAACATGGTGTTGTTATGGGATCAGTTGTCTCCGTAAGAGGCGAAGCAGAGTTTGGCGTAGTTGGATTATCAGAAAAAGATGGAGTAGGAAGAGTAATAGGAAGTGGTTGACTAAGAGTCGCAGTGTGTCGCCTATTCAAAGACAACAACTGACGTTTTTTGCTTTTATTGGAATTGGGTGAAGTGGAAGCTTTTAGCATAAGCAAACAAAAAACAAAATAATAATAAAAAAAAGGGGGGGAAGGTTTTTGAGGCAGAACGCGGTGTTTCAAATGGATGCTCATCCCTAATCAATTTGAAATGGTTGTTCTCAGAAATCAAAATTCCTTCTTTTCTCTTTTATCAAAAAACAGCTTACAATGGTCAAGTTCATCAAGGCTGGTAAAGTACGTATCGAACAATGCACGTTATATAGCAGACTCGAGATAGATGGAAACTTTCCTTAATTGAAAATAATGGATGGATGGATGGATGGATGGATGGATGGACAAACGAATAGATGGATGACCGGAATACTTGAAAAAAAAAAAAAAAAAAAACTCATATTCATTCTTTTTTTTTATGTGGTCATTGTAGGTTGTCGTCATTTTGCAAGGTCGTTACGCTGGCAAGAAAGCCGTTGTTGTCCGTAGTACGTATATCGATTAATAGAAAAAAAAATAGAACGAAACGATGGATTCTCATGATATTCTTAATTATTTTTAATAGACCACGATGAAGGTACCAAGGACAGACCTTATGGTTATGCTGTCGTTGCCGGTGTTGAACGTACTCCTTTGAAGGTTACTCGTTCCATGGGTAAGAAGAAGGTTGCCAAGCGCTCCAGAGTCAAGCCTTTCATCAAGATCATCAACTACAACCATATGATGCCTACTCGGTAAATACATAGATTTAACATTACACACAAAAGCATATAATAACACTTTTTTTTTCGTCCACTTAGTTATGCTTTGGAATTGGAACAAATCAAGGGTACTATCTCTGCTGATACTTTCAAGGAACCTACTCAACGTGATGAAGCCAAGAAGGTAACGCATGAGTTTTTGATAGAATAGGATTAAAGGAAGGATATATATATATATAGAAAGGAACTACTCAACTCATCATTATTATTGGATTTTTTTCTTTATGTGATTTATAGGTCATCAAGAAGTTGTTCCAAGAACGTTACCAAACTGGCAAGAACAAGTGGTTCTTCAGTAAGCTCAGATTCTAGATTAGTTTATGACATTCTCTTGATCGTACAATAAAGAAAAAATCACTCGTTTGTTTGATTAAAAGCTATTTGTTATATCATTATTATTATTGCATGATGAATTATTCTTTCTTTTTATTGTCATCATTTTTCATCATGCACAAAATTTGGTTGACTTTGTACGACAGAACTTGGAATGATAGTGGGACTATCCCAGTTACAAGTCGAATTGATTTTCATGATTTTTTTTTTTAAAAAAAAAAAGAAAGATCTGCTTTCATAGAAAAAAATGTATACAACATGACAATAAAACATATGTTACAAAACATAAAAATACTTCTATATACCCATTTTGTTTTATTTTGTATCAAATTTCAAAAAAAAAAAAAAAAAAAAAAAGGAAATAAATGCTAGCTACAATAATAATAAGAAGAAGAATAAAATACAAACTAAAAAAAAAAATCCCTATGATTGCTCACTAGCTTGAATACCACGGACCAAAGTAGCTACCAAGGTAATATCATCAGATTTTCCACCAACATAATTACTTCCATGCGCCTGCGCATCCTTCGCCCATGGTGATAGTCTTTTGCTGTCCAAAGATAAGAATTTTGCAGTATCAGTCAACACCTTTGCCAATTCCCGTACAGTAGCCGCCACTATTTCATCACTATCATCCTTTTGGAGGTTAGCCATTGTCTTGTTCACCAGTGCTAACGTTTCATGAGAATAGACATTATCAAAATAACCATCGGTAGCTAATAAAATGATATCTCCATCCTTTAGGAAAAATGATTTTTGGTCTCCATCCTTTGGCATATCTGTCACAAAAAGATCACGGTCAGGATAGCTGTCAGGTACCACAGTCAGCTGATATCTATGAAAGTGGGAAAATTATGAAACAAATGGAGTAAATCGGATTAGTCCTTCATATGATGATTTCATTTCTTTTTTTTTTTTGTTATTACGGGCAGTTGAAGTAATGTTGTTGACTTGGACTTTCATATACCACTTTTTGCTCTCGGATCAACAAAAATGCACTATCACCCAGATTACATGTTGTCATTTTCCCGCTTGTCTTGCATAGATTCAATATACATGCTGTACTACTTCCAGCTTGTACTTTCCCTCCTTGTCGTAATTGATGAAAAGCAACGTCCAAGATATGATGTGCATCTAATGCGGTTTCATCTTTTGCAGCCGCTGCGGCATTATTCATCAAAGTCCATGAAAAAAGTGCTATATGAAAAATAAAATCTATCATTTAAGTAATTGATCATTCTTTTTTTCATAAAAAAAAAATTATTTTTTTTCCATTTACCTGGATCAACACCAACATCGGCCCATCCTAGCCAAATATATATATAAATAGGTAAAAGTAGTTAGACCCAAAACCTGACCTATGTATCTTCCTCTCTTTTTTTTTCCTTGTACATAAAAGAATGATTTACCTCCAACACCATCAGCCACACCAATAGAGAGACCATTAGGAGTACAAGTTTGATAAAAAGCATCTTCACCTGCATCCACTTTTCCTACTTTTAGTTGTTTCCAGTAAGGGATTCTGCTTTCAGATTTGCGTTGTTTGGGAGACCTGTTCTTGGGATGCCAAGCAGCGTAGGCGATAAAGTTGAAAGCTTGAGTTTTATTATTGTCGCCAACTTGTTCACAATCTTCAGCTGTATTGATGGAGGATATACTTGCTTCTTGTCGAGAGGATATAGATGTAGAATGTACGGCTCTTTTTGTTGTTGTTGTTGAAGCATATAAGGATGATTTATTATTAATAACTTTGGATTTTGCGTTTTTTAAACTATTTGCTGTTGTTGTTGTTGTATGTAATAATCGTTGTGTATTCGTTCCAGAATGTAAATAATTAAGTGAAGGCGAAAGGACCGATTTGCTTGGAGAAACCAGTATTTGTGATACTGTAGCTAAACGTTGTATATAATGTCTTGACATTGGATCCAGAAAAAAAAAAAAAGGAAAGAAAAAAAAAAAGAGAGAGAGAGAGAGAATGGAGAGAAATACAAAGGAAAAAGATGTTCAGAACAAAAACTTTTTGTAATCGACTGCCGAAAAAAAAAAGACGCGGAAATTGAAAAATGAAGCAAATGGATGATTGTCTCTCCATCCAATACTAAATAGAAAGTCAACTAAAACATGAAGTTTATTATTATTATTATATTCATTGTCATTGTTGTTGTTATTATGCAGTAAAAAAAAAAAGGATGATTCTAAAAAAAAAAAAAAAGGTATCTAATCTAAATAATACTATCTATCTATCTACAAATCCTTGACAGCTTTTTCTTGTTCTTCTTCTTCTTCTTGAGTATCCAAAGTAGTATCCGTATCAGTCAAGTGAATCATCCAATCTTTGTATATCCAAAGTAAATCTTGCCATGCATAATCATCCAATCCAACCAATGATCGATCTTTTTCTTCCGCAGATTGTATCCATTCAATAAAAGTATCCAAATTGCCACCATCTTGTATAATTTCGTTTTGTTTTAATTCCATTTTCTGTTTTTCTCGTTGATAACGTTCCTTGACCACTGGAATATCTAATCGCCAATTGAATGAAGTCATGATATTTAATGCACGTTGTATAGTCAAATGAGCGAGATGAATCACCATTTTCTTGTCTTTTGATTTATCCATCACACAAGCATCGCACATCCATTTCCAAGCATTATAATCCCGTTTTCTTTGTTTGCTATATTCTACTAGTGATGAGACTGCATCTGGGGATCGTCCACATTTTGAATAAAATCTACCTTTCATCAAGAGACTTCCTAATTCATATGTTGTCTGTCCAATCATTCAAAAAAAAAAAAAAAAAAAGGTTATTATAATAATTTGAATCCTTCTTTTTTTTTTTCTGTATTTACTTGATTTCTATCCAAAAGTTTTCCAACTTGTTCCCAGTCTTCCAAACGACCTGCACTATGTATAGCCATTTCCACTACTTCCCTAGGATTCATCACTTTGCATTGATCGTCTGAATCCACAATGTTGATAAATAAAAGAGCTTTTTCTAGAGCTTGTTGATATCGTCCATGAAGATAATCGTGTTCAATAGCATATTTCAAATGAGCAGGACCTAATTTTTCATGCATAAGTTTTTGTGGATCCCCTAAATGATGAAACCACTATAAGATCCAAGTTATTAATATTTCAATTTAAACATTACTACATAATATTTTACCCCATCTGTTTCTTGTTTGGCTTGATAATCAACCACTAAAGGAATAGCTTTTCGTTCAGTAGTTGTAGTGAATACATCGTCATCAAAGTTGAAATCCTCCATCATAAAGGAAAAAAAAAAAAAAAAAAAAAAAAAAGAATTGAAAAAGAAGTTGGTTTTAAAAAAATAAAAGTGAGGAAGGAAAAAAGAAAATGGCCACTTGAACAAAATTGCTTGCGGTGAACCAAAAAAAAGCCACCAATAAAAAAACCAAGTATGCATTAATATGAAAAAACTCAATATTCCACCCCTTCTCTTTAGCTTGTTGATCAACCTGTCTTCTATCTTTATTTATTGATTTATTTATTTTATTTTTTTGTAACTCTACTGATCTCTCTTTGGATTATTCATCAAAAATTTGAATCAATAGTTTTGCATTATACTATCCCATCACGTGGGGTAAATATGCTTTTTGTATCTCATTCAAAGGTGATCATCGTTGCATCAAAGTTACATGAAAATATTCTTCCATTTACATTAATAAAAAACTTATACTTTACCTCCCAATTTATAGAGTAAATTAAAAAATAAAAGCCAATTCAGTCATCCCTCATTCAATAATGATCATCATCCAATAAGATTACTATCATTAGATTCCTCTTCAAAAAGTAGTTTAATATCATCTAATATCATTTCATCACTTACCTTGCCACCTAATGTGCAAAAGAATTTCATCGATTTTTCGAAAAATTGCCTGATGTACCCTCGACAATTATTTTTTACAGCCAAAAATTGGCTGAGGAATTTGAAATTTTTGGCTGTAAAATCAAAAAATCCATCCCATTTTTTCAACCTGCATACAAATACAAGAGCAAACATTGACTTCTCTTATCTTAGCCAAAAGTCATCATCAGTGCATCAAATTTGAACATAACATAAAGGAAACCATTTTCTTTCGATTTATCTTTATATCATTTGTATGTTATCATTGCATTTATGGAGCATAACTTAAAAAATGAAAATCAATATCACCATGCAATCACCTTCATTAGCGAAAAATATCTTTAATCACCATGAACGATTACCATAAAATTCAAATTTTGTTGAAGGTAGCAAATAGAAAAAAAAAATCAACAGTTAACGATAATGAATGTTGAATCCACATAGTATGCTTCAATCATCTGTGATGTCCGATATTCCTACCCCCGCCTTATGTTTTTAAAATATCATTAATAATCAATCATCGAAAATCAATCATCAGTACTATCCATCTCCGTAATATGAAAAAAAAAAAGGATCGCCGTAGATATGTTTGAAACCCAATGCAAATAGGTTCTCTAATTGCAACGCAAAAAAGAAAAAAAATAAAGACGATTCACAAAGAAAAAAAAAAAAACTAGTGTATATATATATATATTAAAAAGATCATCAAAGATCCTTTCTTTTATTTTTGTAAATTAGGAAAGAATCATTTCCATTTAAGGACAGAAAAGGTCATAGATGAAAAGAGATTAGAATCACCTGCAGCAGCAAAAAAAAAAAAAAAAAAAAAAAAAAAAAAAAAAAGATGGATAGATTACCCATTACTCTTCCCCCCAAAAAAAATGGATAAATCCTTTTTATCCTTACACATATATTAGTTTTTTATATTTATATACAAAATTAGCAATAATCACACACATGATTGTTTCTTTACATAATAAAATATGACGTATGAATGATGAAAGTTGATAAGAAAAATCTATTCTCTTTCTAATCCACTTTTTTTTTTTAATGGACGCATTACTTTGTTAATACTGCTGCAAGGGTCATCTCATGTGAAATAGCCTGCATGCGGTGCTCGAAAGACTCCAAACCCCATTTTTTTTGTTGTACAAATTGTTATCTGATTCTCTTCTCAGCATTCCGTAAACACTTCATTTAGTTGACGCTATTCCTTATTTATTTTGTTTCATTATTGTTGATGATGGGAAGATTAAAAAAGGGTGATGATGAAGTGATGTTTCATCCTTGTGACCTTTTATGAACAACAATACATCCAATCATCATCCACTATTGTCCAATATGTACCATAAAAAATAAAACTGGTGTGACGATCAATTCATAACCTGCAGTGATTGCGTTGGATGATTAAGAAAAGAGAGAAAGATCTTAAAGATCATCTGGATTTTAAATAATACATCAATGTACCCGAATCAGATTAACAATTCTTTATAATGATTAAGTTTTATTCAATGTAAATATGAAATTTTTTTTAGCTTTAGAGTTCTCGGAGAACTCAAAAAAAGAAAGATCAGATAACTATTTAAACTCAGTGTCTGTTAGTTATAAAAATTCTCTCTTTGAAGAAACGGGATTTCATCATTTTCTCACTCCCTTTCTTTTCCGTAATTCAACCAAAAGAAGATGCCAGTCTTATCTTCTACTGTAAAGAATACTCATTATGCCAAAATGGCTACAACGTCGCGTCTCATTGCTTGTTTGGTCTCGGAATCCTTGGTCAAGGCCATCTTTGTTCCTTCTGATGATCCCACTATGAAAGGCTTATGTATCTTATTACGACCTCAAAAATCTACTCTTACTTCTTTAAATGATATCTTGGCTATAGTACCTCTTCGTGGTGTCCCAATAATTGATCCTTCTCCTTTCTTAATTCAAGGTATGAAATGTGCCAATGTCATTCTTGTGGATGGATGGGATATGCTACCTCATATTTATACACCAACTATGGAATCTACCAAGACTACTCATTTGTTACCTCCTGTTATTAATGCCAAAGCAACTACTGATGCCGTTGCAAAGAAGCTCTCTTCCTTATTATTACATCCTATTGATTCTCAACAACTTTTGGATGGATTTGACGCTGTACAACTCTGGACTCAATTTGCTACCGATTTTAATGTGAATGAAAAACTTATACAGCTTATTTCTCAAGAATTGGATTCTTCCATGTTATATCAAGGTAAAATTTTTTATCATTTTTGTTTTGGGAAAAAAAAAAAAAAAAAAGAGAGAGAGAGAGAGAAAAGAAGCTTACCTTTGACAATTTTTTTTTTTTTTTTTTTTTTTTTTAGCCCATGCCTATAATCATCCAAAAATGTTACCTTCTTTGGAATCTTCTACTGTTGAATGGGAACAAATTATTCTTGAAGGTCATGCAACTCATCCAGTAAGTTTAAGATCAATTACAAACATTGGTGGAAAAATAGATAAACTCATATATTTTATTTGTATCTAGATGCACAAAGCAAGAAAAAGTTTTGCTCCCATGGCACCTCTTCATCCCGAAGAAACCAATTTGGAAAATCCCAAGATCCGGTTGGTAGCTATTCCCAAGGATTGTATGCAACTTCGTGGAGATTTTGAAACCTTATCTCAACCTTTGGTTGACATTATACTTAGCAAATCAACTGGTGGCGATGATGATGACAATATCAAATTACTTCGGAAAGAATGGTCCAATCATATTTTGATGCCTGTCCATGAACTTCAAGTTGTCAATATTCAACAATTATTTCCAAAGGCTTATATCTTCCCTGAAGTGAATCATATTACGGTACAAAGTTTGACTTCTATTAGATCAGTAGCTATTCCTGAACTCTTCCCTGGTATGAGTCTCAAACTTTGTTTGGGTATCAAGGTCTCATCTGCTTTACGTACGATTACTCCTTATAGTACTTATTTTGGACCAGGTTTTTCTTCTGAGGTGGTACCTCATTTGACATATGATCCTCAAGTATTGACTATTGAACGTGAATTAGCAAGTGCTGTTTATATTCATGATGATACTGATATTGCTAAACACTGTAGCTGTGTTCTTCGTGAAGCTGTGGAATATGATGTGGATAATCAAGATACTATTGTACCCTGTGCTGCTCTTGTGGAAAAGATTCAACAACCTGATACAGATATAACTTTGGTCAAGCATGTATGGAATTTAGATACAGACGAAAAGAGGGTAGACTTTTTAGATCGATATATTGATTTGGCCTTACAAGCGTTTTTGCCTCCTGCATTGATAAATGGTGTTGCTTTTGAAGCTCATGGACAAAATACTTTGGCTCGTTTTGACAAAAAAACTGGTTTACTGAAAGGCTTTGTGATTCGTGATTTTGGTGGTATTAAAGTACATCGTGAGACTTTGATCAAATCGGCTGGTGTGGATATCGATGTATTACCTGATAGTTGTGTGGTTGCTGATACTAAGGATGAGGTAAATCTGAAAACATCCTTTTTTTTTTTTTTTGTTACGATGATGACGATACTGATATAATTATCCTTTTTTTTTTTTTTTTCTAATCAGGTGTTCAAATTATTATATCACACATTAATTCACTCTCATTTACAACGATTGATTCGTGTATTGGATCTTCATTATGATGGTCGTGGATGGGCTATGGTACGAAAACATTTGAATCGATTGGTACCAAAAGATCATTTTATGTGGAAATCATTGATGGAAGAAGACAAGGTACCTGGAAAATGTTTAGTTAGAATGAAGATTGAAGAATTATATCGTGATGTAAGTATAACTTAAAAAAGGAAAATAAAGGATATAATACTCACGATATATTATTATTTTGTTTCATGTATATAGTATATCTACAGTCCGGTACCAAATGTCATTCAATATCGTCCTAGTATTGTATTATAGTTATATGTATTGTTTTTGTTTTCCTTACATTTGTATTCTTTTTTTTTTCCACTTTTTATTATTTATTCTTGTTATTCATTTTTCTCTCTCCTCTCTCTCTCTCTCTCTTTCTCTCTCTCACTCTCTCTTTTTTTTTTATATTACTCCATTACTTTATACATCGATAATATAAATAAATCTATTTTATGATTTTCAATTATATATTGTTAAGAAAAAGTCTGAAGATTATTAAGACTATAATAGAAGGAAAAATTTTGAATAAAACTCACGTGGAAGAAATTATCGGTAAAACTTGAAAACATGCATATATATTCTAGAGCCGAAAAAGAAAAAAAAAATAATAAAGAAAAGCTTTTCTATAACTTTTTATGTATGATGATCTATTTTATCGAAAAGTGACTCGGTTATCTATTGCAGGATTTGATTTATTTGGATCGAGTTTAGTATTATCATCTGAACAAAAGAAAAGAAAGAGAAGGCGTTTTTGTTTGATCAAAAATATTCATGCAAAACTATCGAGTTTATATTAGATTTTTTTTTTCTTCTCCTTTCTTTTTTTTTTTTTTTATAATACATTTGGTAGATTTGTATGGATGATCTAAGGGGGGGGGATGATGGAGTATCGTTATCGATCGTGATAAAAGTATAAACAATAAACCTTTTTGGTATAATATTACCATATACTTCATAACCCTTGGTACAAAAATATTCATGCATGATGAACATAACCCTTTTTACTGACTTTTAAAATCCCTGTTATCGCTTAGACTACACCAACCACGCGCGCTTCTCCCTTTTATTTTAGCTTTTTTTTTTTTTTTTTTTTTATTTCTGTTTAGTTCTTTTGTATAAAAAGATCAACTTCAAACATGTCCTTTTTATTCTTTTTTTTTCTTTTTTCTTTTTTTTTTATTATTACTATTTTATATTATATTGTATTAAACAAAGATGAATTCTATTGTAATTGATTATGAACAAGATTCTTTTTATACCCGTTTAAAACATAAACAAAAAAAGTTACCTTGGTTACTTCGATCTTATGTAACAAGTTTTTTCCCTATATTTCGATGGATTCATCGATATAATATATCTGTAAAATCAAAAGAAAAATCAATATATTGTTTATTTTATTTATTCTTCTATTTTTTTTTTATTTTTCATTTTTAGTGGTTAATACAAGATATGATAGCTGGTATTACAGTTGGTATTGTACTTGTCCCTCAAAGTATGGCATATGCTAAAATAGCTAATTTAGAACCTCAATATGGATTATAGTAAGTAATAATATCAATAATAAAAAAAACAAGAAATATATTTATCATTCTTTATCTTCTTTTTTTTTTTTTTTTTTAGTTCTTCTTTTGTGGGTGTATCTATTTATTGTTTTTTTGGTACTTCAAAAGACATTTCTATTGGTCTTATCTGTATGTATCACCCTTTTTTTTAAAAAAATGTTAATTATTATGTGATTGATTATTTATCCTATCTCTTTTTTTTCTTTATATATATTTACTTATTTAAAGCAACTGTATCTTTACTTGTGGGTCAAGCAGTTTTAACTGTCAAAGACATCTATCCTGATATTACTGGTCCTCAAGTAGCAATGACACTTTCCCTTATTGTCGGTATTATCACTCTTGCCATTGGAATTTCTCGGTTAGGTATTCTGGTGGATTTCATCCCGCGTAAGTAGTAATAAAATCATATGAATTAAGTTCTAATTAGTTGAATTTATAATAGAACCTGCTATTGCCGGTTATATGACAGGTTCTGCTATTACTATTGTTCTGGGTCAGGTAAAAAAAAAAAAAAAAAAAAAAAATAAGACTTAATAACTTATTTATTTTGAATTTCTATAGTGGCCAAAAATTTTTGGATTATCTAATGTAGACACTCATCAACCTCCTTATATTATCTTTTTGGAATTTTTCAAAAATATTCGATTCACAAAACTTGATGTGGCTTTTGGTCTTACTTCACTTGTGATTTTGTATTTGGTTCGTTCTATTTGTCAATATATATCCTCCAGAAAACATCTTTCCAAGAAAGTATCGAAAAGTGTCTTCTATTTTTGTATCATGCGCAATGGACTCGTGGTGATTTTCGGTACTTTGATCTCTTATATCGTCAATCGTAACAAAAGTACAAGTGTAATATCTATTATTCGTAATGTCCCTGCTGGTTTTGATGCTATGGCTGTACCTGTATTGGATTATCGTGTCTTACGTGCTTCTGCTTCTATTGTTCCTTCTATTATCATCATCATGATACTTGAACATGTATCTGTTGCCAAATCCTTTGGTCGTGTATATGATTACAATATTGAACCAAATCAAGAAATATTCGCCATTGGTATCAGCAATATTGTGGGTTCATTCTTTGGGTAAGCACTAGTACATTTTTTTTTGTATATGTCATTATTATTATTATTATTATTGCATACTTATCTTATTATCATTTTATTCTTATCATTCTTTTATATTTTTTTTTTTTTTTTGGTTAGTGGTGCTCCTTCAACGGGTGCTTTTAGCCGTACGGCGATCATGGCAAAATCTGGCGTTCGAACTCCTGGTGCCGGCATCTTCTCTGGTATTGTGGTTATACTAGCTCTCTATGTGCTGACTCCCTGCTTTTATTATATTCCTGATGCTGTTCTTGCCGCTGTTGTCATTCATGCCGTTTGTGATTTGGCATCTTCTCCTCGTTATCTCAAGAAACTTTTTAAAACAAGTATTTTGGAGTTTCTTGTTTGGCTCAGTGCTGTCATTATTACTATTTGTATGGACGTACAAAGTGGTATATATACTGCCGTCGGTATTTCCTTGATGATTATGCTCTTTCGAATGGCAAGACCTCCTGTCAAATTACTGGCTCGCATACCTTTATCACCAATATCTCAACAACTACAATCAAATGACCAAGGTGAACGTTTATTGAATGAAAAACAACCACTTCAAAATCACCCTGACCAACGTTATATATATGTGGATGAAAGGGACATCAACTTTGCTCATCAATGTCATCCATTACCTCCTGGTATTTTGGTATTTCGTCTCTCTGAGTCCATACTTTATCCCAATGCAGAATACGTCTCAGAATTTCTTCTGAAAGGTGTGAAATCAAGAACAAGGTGTGGCAATCGAAGGAATATGGAAAAATCATCAAGCGACTTGGCATGGAATGAAAATTTAAACAAAAATACTGAATTACATCGTGTACAATTACCTGTTTTGCGTGCTATAGTTTTAGACTTTACAGCTGTGACAAGATTGGATTCGACAGCATTACAAATTTTAGCCAATCTACGGAGTAGTATCGGTAATTACTCTGGGCGGGAAGTGGAATGGCATTTCGTTGGCTTACAACATCATCAACTACGTCGGTCTTTAATTTATTATGGTTTTGGAGTGGAACATCGTGATGGAAACAATACCAATGAGCATCCAAGAAATAAACAAGAGAGACAACAGCAACAGATTAATTATAGTGATCGACAACCTGCCCCACATTTAGTGATGATGTCGGATGATGATTTGGAAATAGGTTTACCTGAACAACCATGTAGAAGTGACGAAACTGCTAGTTATCTGGAAAAGAAGGATTTGTCGTACCTACAAGACTCTGGTATTAGTGGGGTTCCTCAAGACCGATATCCGTATTTCCATTGGGATATAGATACTGCTGTGAACTCGATTTGGAAACGATGGCATATCAACGATCATGATGGGGATACTTTATAGGGATAGATCATCAGCAAAATTCGGAATCATTTTGGTTAGTTTATCTATTTTATTCTATTTTATATATATTTATTTATATTGAATAAAGAAAAAAAAATTGATTTTTATTCGTACTTCTTTTTTAAATATGGTTGGAGAATAAAATGATCATCAGTTGCACGTGGACATGAGTGAAAGTTTTTTAATCTCATTTATTGATATAGTTTATTCTTATATCAACGAAAATGGGATGTTCTTTGTTGTACCTAAATACCAATCCATGCAGATCCATTCTCGTCTGTCATTGGTCGACACTGAAAACACATCCGAATTGCCCTTTTTTAGTTTCAAAAAATCTCTAGCTCCGATTTTTTCTACTTCTTTTCTTTTCTTTACTCTTTTTTTTTTTTTTTTTTAAATGTTCAAAAAAACTCATGATTCACGCCATTCCATGACGACTCCACCTGCTTCACCTTCATTACTTTATTCTAGTGGTAGTGGACCTTCTCATTATAATGATTCCCGTATGGATAAAAGACAACTTGTCTCAAGTATGTTAGCTGTTTCTCCACCTTTATCACCTCTTCATTCACTATCTCAAACTCGCGATCAGCCTATATCTTCAGAAACAGGGTCAGTGCCACCATTATCTCTTGGTACGACAAATCAACATACCGTTCTCTATTCTGGTGATATGATGATTCATTCTCCTCAATCAAGATTCAATCGTCAAAAACGCTGTTATTGTGTCCTCACTCCAACCAACTTGATCAGGTTCAAATCTTTTGACAAGGCACGAAAAGCTTATCCATCTTTGAATGAAAAAAATCTTCCTACAAGTATTCCGCAGCAACAACAACAACAACAACAACAACAACAATCATCTGATCAAAAAACATTGGTTTCTTTGGAATATATATTTGCAGTATATAAGGTTCAAGCATCCTCTGTACAAACCGCTATTCGTATAAACTATGTGGATTCTGAAGATCTCTCTAAACAGCCTGGTGCTTTGACTTTGATTCCTATGGTTGGAAATAATGGAGACAACACACCCATTTCTCTTATTTCCATCTGGATACACGCATTACGGACGGCCTTGGAACCTTATTTACCTGGACTTGTTACTATTGGTTCTGCTGAACAATTTGCCGCTATCGAACGTACCAAGAAACAAAATGATCAAACAAATGCCAATCATCCTATGATGATCCACAAAGTGATACTCAAAACAACAAAGTCAGCTCCAAAACCAACAACGTCTTTATCAACATCCAATGCAATGATCAGCCATATTGTACCGTCTTCAGCAGGATCATCAACACATTCACCTTCTTTGGAACAAAAGGATATTTACCTTCCAGTTATATTTCTTTTGGGTCACAACAGCATATACATTCTACCATCCAAATCTGACCATGATGATTACCGACGATACGTCTCTCGAGATCGATATGGATTATTGGCTGTTCAGAATATAGTGATACACGATGGGGATGACTCTTTGACAATTGATGTGTGTACAACACATGGCCCGTCTCATCGATTGAAATTGATATCATCCGTTGGACGATTACTCGTGTGCGCGATACAAAAGGCTATTCAACGACTTGTACCTCATTTTCCATCGGCTCCGTACTCTTTAGTATGTCCTTCTTTAGCTCAGCGACAACGATCAGCATCAACAGGTTCCACTGCTTCCAACAGTCATCCATCATCATCTGATACAGCTCCTACATCTCATTGGTTACAATCACTCTCTCAACCTTGGCAACAACAAAAAATTATGTCATCACAAAAACTCGCCACCTCATCTACAATCCTCACGTTCTTTGATTCGGTATTGATGGCTTATTGTGCAGCACTGAATCTAGATAAACGACGGTTTAGATATGTATTGGAAAAATCGCAACGTCATCAACAACAACAAAAGCCTCGTTTATTCAGTATCCAATTTTTTCCTTCAAATGAAATCAATGGGAATTTTTCAAGTTATTCAAAAATGGAATTGATTGCCCTCTTTCGTTCTCTTCGTCATATTGTAAGTTATTTAGTGTCAACCAAATGAAAAAAAAAAAAAAAAAAAAAAAAAAACTTATCATCTTTGATTGAATATAGGATTATTTTGAAACCATCTCATTCAAAGACATTCGATTGACACCTCTGGCAACTTGGCTTGTTACAAAAGAAGATAGTTGGACACAACATGACACCAACAATGCTTGCTTTCCGACCATGTTGGCGAATGAACTCTTTTTGTTATTATCTCATAACAATCAACTTCGATGTTTGGATCTCAGCGAATGTTTCAATAATGCAATTGGACCGGTATCCAACGATATATCACCATCATCATTAGGATTAGTACGTCTTCCTTCAACGATTTCTCTCACGCGCACCAACACTATTATGAGCAGTTCACCCGTCATCAATTCTTCATCGCAACAACAATATCAACAGCAAGTATCCAAATTTATAGCTTCTGATTGTCAACAATGTAGTGTTCAAGCTATTTTACTGGCTATGCAGACTAACAAATATCTTGGTCTATCCTCTCTGATACTTGATGGTCACCCATTTCATGAGCAAGATTCTGATCTACTTGTCCAGATAATGGCGACACCACCAGCAACATTGGAAACAGGCTTTTTACGACATCTTTCCCTACGCAAAACTCGATTGACTTCTGCTGCTATGGAGGATCTACTATTGGCCATCGTACAAGGTCCATCCAGAGAGATGATTGAACGTGTGGATTTACAAGAAAATGATGGTTTTATCTCTTCTGAAGTGTTTGGTGAAATATGGCATCATTGCACAAGACTCTCTCATTTTGGTGTGACCTGTCATTTTCGATCTGGTGAAAGTTTACGAATGATTCAGCAATATCCCAAGGTACTCAATGAGCTAGATCTTAGTGGAAGTCAATTGGATGATCAACATCTTTTGGAACTCTGTGGATGGCTGACCCATCATGCAAATACACTACGACCTCCAACGAAAACTCAATTTGATCTATGCTTGGTATTGACTAGATGTGGACTTCATGGTCAACACGTACATCGACTTTTACATGCTGTTTCCGTTCCTCATCATCGTCGATTACAATTTACATTGAAACTTGGTGATAATCCTCTGACAACACAAGTAGTTTATCAACCTTGGTTATGGTCTTCTTTGGCTAAATGTGGACCATCTTCATTGGTGTTACAGCGTGTCGGATGGGAATCCGTCTCTCTACGAGAACTCTTTGAAGCATTGATTCAGAACAAGGCAGTGGAACATCTCGATTTATCCTATGGTATCGTAGACAAATCAACTGGCAGCAAACTGGCTTTATCTCTGGAAGATAAAATACCAAACAACAACAGCAATAGCAATAACACAACAAATCCTGTATCCTCCCAAAGATTATCATCATCATCAGCAGCAACAGTTAAAGACAAAGGGGATACCGAACAATCCACCAACGTATCATCAGCACCTACTTTTGATTCATCAACAGTGCAGGCATTGGCGAATCTGCTTGGGAAAATGACACGATTGACGACCTTTTGTATGGATGGTGATCAACGCGAAGATATTTATTCATCTGCACCTCAGAGTGGTGGCAAAGGAAAACCAAGAATGAGCAAGATGACAGATGCTGGTCATTTGTTATCATCCACTTTTCGATACTTGTCTCTCGGTACCATTGCTTTCAGTTCGACTCTTACCACTATCTCAATCAAAAATCATGGCCTTGGGGATCCGACTATTCAACTTTTATGTCAATGGGGAAAATCATGTCCTTCTTTACAATCATTGCATGTGGATGGCAATTCGGTAATTGTTTTTTTTTTCTTTTTAGATGATAATATATATATACTAATGATTTTACATTTTATTTTATTTTACCTTTTTTTTTTTTATTATTATTATTTTATTTTTTATAATATAGATCACCATTGCTGGATTTCGAGCACTATTAGGTTTGGCTCAACATAACTCATCAGTATGTGATATACCACGACCTGAATTGGATTTCCGTAGGGAAATACATCGATTGGAATCTCAAGCTAGACAATTACAAGAAAGTGAAGGGGAACTACAATACTTGGTGATTCATATGGTTGGTGTGGATAGTCGTCGAGCACATACCTTGATTGAAGATCAGGCTGCAGCAAGAGAAGCCATCATGATTGATCGATCACAACTTCCTATTGTGGCAGATCAACTTGATCAACAAGTCAAAACCAACGCAACACTTCAACAACGAAATTCAAGACATATGACATTGCAACCCTATTGGCCGGCTAACAATAATCGAACTGTACCAACAACAATAGAACGACCCATGTCTACTTCCTCAATATCGTCATCAACTTCATCATTATCCAATTCTCATCAAGGTATCCTTCCGGTAACATCATCCTCATCATTATCATCGACAACACCTACAAATTTATCTCATCAATCTTCTACAACATCTTCTTCTTCGTCATCATCATCAACACCAATTACTAGATCATCACAACCAACTTCACCTACCATTTCTCCATCTATGATGCGTCCATACTCCCCACGTGGTCGACTCTCTTCATCAACATCTTCTTATTCCATGATTCGATATTCTGAACTAATTGATGAAGCATTACCTCCTCCTACTTGTCCTTTACCACCCATTCCAACATCATCTCCTTCCGTTTAGTTGTATTAATAGTTTATCATTATGTGTATTTTATCTAGTCTATTTTTTTTTATTATATTTCCTTTATGTATTTTTTTTTGTATGTTCTCAATCACTATTATATAATAAATTAATCTTATATAATAAATTAGTCATTTAAAGCAACAGAAGTCCACCCTCCAAAAAAAGGAATATCAAAAACAAGGGATGTTACACACGCATACAAGGCCGACATGCATGATTTTTTTTTTTGTTAGGGGCGAAGGGGGGAACTACATTGAACTTGACAAAATAATTATAGAAAAGATGATTCATCTAAAGTTAGCCCAAAAAAAAAAAAAAAAAAAAAAAAAGATGAAGCTGTGTCAGTAGTGTCATAAACGTAAATGCTAAAAAAAAAAAAAAAAAAAAAAAAGGTGACCCAAGATTTCGATCATCCGTTTATATATCTTTCTAATATGATTCATGAAAGGGTCTTGATGAATGTCGTTCATCCCTTGGTGTATCCTGTCTACCCTTTCTCGTTGGAGTTTCATGATGACCCCCCACGCACTATATAACATAATACAAAAAAAAAAGTAAGACAATCTAAACAAATACCATTTTCATACATGTTCCTCCTTGAAAAGGAAAAAAAAAAACAAAGAACGCTCATCCTATTTAAATCAATATTTTTTTATGATCTAATCGATCATGATGTATAAAGAGAAAGAAGAAAAAAAAAAGGATACTATAAAAGAACGTCAAAATAAGACAGAAATAAAAGGGGGGAGAAGCAATGATCATCAGGGAAATCAATACCCTTTTTACCCCAAGGCAACCCACTATTAGATCTAGATGAAACATCAATTTTTTAAGATGAATGATCCGTCAAGTACTATAACTAGATACAAATCAACTTTTTAGTACATGTATACTATTTGAAGACCGTCAAAATAGGAGGGGAAGAATAACTATTATTCATCTTGGTCTTTTCATCTAATTAAAGAAAAATGAGGTTAGTTTCGGAAAGATCGGACCCTGTGGAATCAAACAACCTGGAAAGTGAGTACTACGTAATACTTTATTATTATAAAATAATATATATTGTCCTTCCAATTCAATCAAGTAAATAAATATAGGTAAAAAGAAAAAAAAATTGGGGGTAGGACAAAAAGTAAAGTAAAAAAAAAAAAAAAAAAAAAGGTGAAAGAGGGGAAGATGGATAAAGTAGGGGAGAAAAAATATGAAATGACAATAAGGAGAATAGATAAGAGTAAAAAGATTATACGAGTAGATTATAGAATGGTGCACTTCTTGCTTTTTCGTTTCTTGTAATTGTTGTTTTGACTAGATCCTTCTCGATTTGCACGAATTGTCCTAACAACAGTATAAAAGGATCGTTCCACATTGACACATGTTTTTGCAGATGTTTCAATAAATTCACAACCCAAATGCTTTGACATTTGAAATCCTTCTTCCCGAGACACTTCGCGTTCAGTAATCTTATCACATTTGTTGCCAACCAGTATCATAGGTACATTGTCCACATCCTTCACCCTAAAGATTTGATCACGGAATCGTTCCACTCGATCAAATGTTGATCTGGATGATATCGAATACACCAATAAAAATCCTTCACCGTCACGTATCCATTGATCACGTAAAGCGGTATATTCCTCTAAATAAAGAAAAGAAGAATGAGTTATCATTATGTATTTCTTTCATTATTATATATAATTTTACCTTGTCCAGCTGTGTCTAATACTTCAAGTACACAAGGCTGATCATCTATAACAACTTGTTTTCGATAAGAGTCTTCAATGGTAGGGTCATATGTCTTAAAAAAAAAAAAAAGAAAAATAAAGAAGTTCCGTCAATATATTATTTTCAGTTATTATCCGTTTAATATCATTTACCTCTAAAAGAAAACATAGAAACGATAACATGAGGGAAAAAAAAAAACAAGAGAAAAGCATTACCGGCCATTAGTTACCAAATCACAATAATACTAATAATATAGACTACTTACCAACAAAGTGATTCAAACAAAGTTGTATAGTCAATGCCGTCTTAAAAAAAAATAATAAGATAAGAAACCAAGATATGTATACTTCTAATAATAATTACCTTTCCTACACCACCATCACCAAGTACGACTATCTTATAAAGCATCATTTTGTTGAAGTTGAAAAAAAAAAAAAAGAATAAAGCAGGATACAAAAGAGTAAAACTTTCTTATGAATATATATATATGTATAGAGAGGTTATGTGGTTGTATATACGTGTATGCGTATAAACACTCTATTCAATAATAATAATAAAAAAAAAAAGAGCTAAAATAGAAAGAGGGGGAGAAAAGGAAGAGAGAAAAAAAAAAAAAAAAAAAGAGGAGCTTTATTTTTTACTCAAATTCTCTCACAAGAAAAAAAAAAAAAAAAAAGGCGTGACCAGTTGAATCCCAGAGTGTTGGGTACTTGAATATTATAGAGATTAATGATTCACTATTGATTTATATATATATGAAAGAATAACTTTCTTAATGATTCCCTATCCATAAGAATTAGACCTTGGTTATGATTATTTGATTGAAACAATACAATACAGTTTATTTCTCCGCTGGAAATAATTGTTAAAATGCTCTCTATATAAGAAAAACATTCCTTTTGCAGCACTTTTTTTGTTTTTATTTGTTTATCTGTTTTCTTTTTTTTTTTTTTTTGAAGGAAAGCAACTGAGATGTTCTTTGTAATGCCGCATTTCCCTTCTTCTCAGTCATTTTTGTCTTACGCATGTTCGGATTTCCAAATCAGTAGATTTACACATAAAGAAGGTTCATGATTATTATCATCTTCTACTTATTTTTATTTTTCCATAACTATTGAAAATGAGAGTTAAGTCTTATTCATATTATAAGAAAAAAAGATGGAAATGCTACTAGGTAGAAATATGGCTGTAAAATATAGGAAAAGAATATGGCTTGTGAAGAAATATCATTTAAGGTATAGATGATGATGGATGATCATACTATAATGATTGATCTATGATGAAGATTTTACTACAAGATTGAACAGATAGATTTATTCATTTTTTTAATGATTTGTATCCATTGAGTATGTATGGAGGAGTAGCAGGATTTCAAAATCAGACTGCAAAAGAAAAAAAAAATAAAAAAATTGGGAAGGGCTTGATCTTTTTTTTTTTTTTTTTTGAACACTAGTTTGATTTCGGCTTGTTTTCCTTTTTTTTTTTTTTTGTTCCCTTCCATAGTTTTTCAGATATTGATTATTATCATTACTTTTTAGTATTTTATTCTTCTCTTAATATTTACTTTCAATGTCTGGATCATCACCTAATATCAATTCCACCAACACTCCTTTTGTCTTTGGTACTTATTACAAACGACGTTATCGACCTTACTTTACCAAACGGCAACTGGCGACGATTGATCAATTGAATGGTCAATCAATGAAAAATACGCAAACACTTGCTTCCCATGGATCCAGTTGCAAATTTATACAACAAGTTGGGAAGAGACTAGGATTGTAAGTATTCACAACTAGATCATCAAACAAAAAAAAAAAAAGTGGTAACTCCATTAAGACGGGTTGTGAATGATTCAAGTACCTATTTTTTTTTTTTTTTGTTGAATAGTCCACAAACTACCATTAGCACATCACAAGCATTGTATCATCGATTTTATCTATATCATTCAATACGTAATTTTCAACCTTTGGTAAGAAAGAATTGGGTCAGGACAAATGGAACACGGTGGAATTAGAGTGATATTGATGAATGATTATTATTGATGGCTTATTAGGACCTTTGTATTACTTGTCTCTTTGTTGGATCCAAAATAGAAGAAACTATCAAAAGATTAAAGGATATATACATCGTAGCCCATAGTGTTCGACATCCAAAAAGTCAAGAATTAGAACCAGATGAGGTAAATATAAAATTATATATATCATTGTATTAATGTAGATATTCTATATAGATTCCTGAAGATCGTATAAGAAGAATCAATGAATATGAAAAATTATTATTAGAAACCTTATGTTTCAATTTTCAAATCAAACATCCATATGAATACATAGTCAAATTTGCAAGGCATATACAAGGTAAAACTATGGATAGATAATATTATATGTGTATGTTAATGTATTTTATTTTATTTTATCTTTTATTTTAGAATTACAAGGTCTAGATGGAAAACAATTAGCGAAAAAAGCATATTCATTGGCAGTGGATAGGTAACACCAAGTAAAAAAAAAGAAGAAGAATAGATTGTGTAATATATATTATTATTTTAGTTATAGAATGACATTATGTTTGGAATATCCAGCTCATACAATCGCAGCGGGTTGTATATATTTAGCAAGTAAATTATGGCAACAAGAAGATAGCAAGTTTGGAGGTTTAGACAAAAACGAATCATGGGAAAAACGATTCTTATCAAGATTGGAAGATGTCAAAGGTAATAAAAAATGGATGATATGCAGTATAAGGAAAGAAAATTACTCTTTCACACGTTCCTTATACGGATGTAATAATGTTTTTTTTTTTTTATACTAATGTTTACCAAACTCAGATGTAGGTCGGAAGATCTTGGATTATTATATCTCTAAACCAAATGAATTTGGACCATCAATACAATATATGCAAATCAAGATCCAATTGAATGAAGAAACCAACAATAATATATCTTCTGACAAAATGATGATGACCAACAACCAATCAGCTATAAATGTCAATAATCGACACATGGATGATCCTTTGATGAATGAACAAACAAGAATGGATGATAAATGGGAACCCAACCAGTTACCTTCTTACGATGTAGATCTTTTACTCAATACCAACACACACACTGTATCATATTTTTTAAATCCCCTCCAATAAAATGTCACTATAAACTTTATTTTTACTCTCCTAAATCCTTCCTAAACGTTTTAACTCTTCCTTCTTTTTTTTCGCACGGTTCTTAGTCGGGTATAAATAAAAATCATTTTTACTTTTTGTCTTTTTTTGTTTTTTCTTTTTTTTTTCTTTTTTTTTTATTTTTATTTTATATATATCCTATATATCCTTTTTTTTTATTACATATATTATACAATAATATGTTGTCTTCTGTACTCAAGTCTGCTTCTCTTTTGAGGTAATTCAATGATACAAACTATCAATTGTTCTCTTTTTTTTTTTATTCAACTCTTTTTTTCTTTTTTTTTTCTTTTAATAGTGCTAGACATACTACTAAAAGAGCATTTTCTACCAACTTTCCTATTTTACAACAAGTAGCTGAAAAAACAGATGCACCTACTAAAGTTCAAAACTATATTCATGGACAATTCTTGGACTCTAAAGCCAAAAAGTGGATTGAACTTCGTAATCCTGTAAGTTTATGAAAATATATAAAAATTGAACAAAACTAATTATTATTATTATAGGCTACTCAAGAAATCATTTCTTTAGTACCTGAATCTACCAATGATGAATTAATTGCTGCTACTGATAGTGCTGAAGAAGCTGCCAAATCTTGGTCAAAATCAACTGTGATTCAACGTCAACGCGTCATGATGGATTTACAATACTTGATTCGTCAACACCAAGATCGTATTGCTGAAAATATTGTTCAAGAACAAGGAAAAACCTTTGTAGATGCCAAAGGGGATGTTTTCCGTGGTCTTCAAGTTGTGGAACAAGCTTGTGCTTTGACTACTATGCTTATGGGTAACCATCTTACTGTTGCAAAGGATATGGAAACTTGTAAGTGATTAAAGCGGAGTAATATTTAAATGTGGAGATTAGTCAAATGTCAATTCATCTAGATATGGAAATTCATAACTGAATATTTTTGGAAATTAGATACTTACCGTGAACCTTTGGGTGTGGTGGCTGGTATTTGTCCTTTCAATTTCCCTGCTATGATTCCTCTTTGGATGTTCCCATTAGCTATTGCTACTGGTAATTCTATTGTAATGAAACCTTCTGAAAAGGATCCTGGTGCATTGATGATGCTTGCTGAATTGGCTGCTGAAGCTGGTGTACCTGATGGTGTATTGAATATTGTTCATGGCTCTGTCGATTGTGTTAACTATATCTGTGATGAACCTCGTATCAAGGCCATCTCCTTTGTAGGTTCTGATGTTGCTGGTAAACATATCTATACCCGGGGTAATGCCAATGGAAAACGTGTTCAAGCTAATTTGGGTGCCAAAAACCATGCTGTGATTCTTCCTGATGCTAACAAACAAGCTACCTTGAATGCTGTCGCTGGCGCTGCTTTCGGTGCTGCTGGTCAACGATGTATGGCTCTTAGTACTTTGGTATTGGTTGGTGAAGCCAAGGAATGGTTACCTGACTTGGTCGAACGTGCTCAACAACTCAAGGTTGGTTATGGTATGAATCCTGAAACTGATGTGGGTCCTGTCATTAGTGTACAATCAAAGGAACGTATTCATCGTCTTGTACAAAGTGGGGTTGATGAAGGTGCTGATTTATTGTTGGATGGTCGAAATGTGGTTGTCAAGGGTTATGAACAAGGAAACTTTGTCGGTAAGTTTCTAGTAAAAAAAAAAAAAAAAAAAAAGAATCGTGACTAAATGGATCTTTTTTTTTTTCTAATGTAGGTCCCACTATTATCTCTAACGTCAAACCCAACATGGAGTGTTACCGTGAGGAAATCTTTGGTCCCGTCTTGGTATGTTTGAGTGCTGATACTGTGGAAGAAGCTATTGAACTTGTGAATGCCAACCCTTATGGTAACGGTACTGCTATCTTTACCAATTCTGGTGCTGCTGCTCGCAAGTTTGAACATGAAATTGATGTTGGTCAAGTTGGTATTAATGTCCCTGTAAGTTGGATATAGTGAATAACATATGAATTTATCATGCTCATTTTCTGTTATATTTTTTTTAAATATATAGATTCCCGTTCCTGTTCCTAGCTTCAGCTTCACTGGTAGTCGAGGATCCATTCTTGGTGATATGAACTTTTATGGTAAGAGCGGTCTTGAATTCTATACCAAACCCAAGACTGTTACTTCTTTATGGAAAGAATCTGATGCATCACACAGTCGTGCTTCCGTCTCTATGCCAACCATTCGATAAATGTGCTTTTATTTTATTTTTTTTATCCATTTCTGCATTTTAGTATAGCTTTATTTTTTGTTTCAATAAACAATTTCTACATTATCCATTTTATTCATATTCTATTTTCTTTTTCTGTTTTATGTTGTGTTCTCTCCTATCCTTTTTTTTTTTTTTCTTTGTCTTCGTCTCCTGAGATAAAATAAAAAAAAAAGTCAACCCTTTTCTTGTACATATTGGTTTTTTTTTTAAAAAAAAAAAAATTGTTCTTCCCTTCTTTTCTTTTTCCCCTTCTTCTTTTTTTTTTCAAATTTCCATGGAAAATCATCAACACCATGGGGTAATCTCAACGCCATCACAACAACAGCAACCATCCATATCAACAAACCACATACAAAAATCATCATCCTCTTCAAGTAATGATGGATTATCACATGGCAACACAATTCCTTCAACAGGCGCCGTACCGACAACAACGACAGGACCCATCACAATCAGTATTGTTGTAGCTTTGACTTTGGTGATATGTATGATTTTGAATTGTGGGAGACTTAGGCGACAAGTCGGTCAGCGACGCAATAATACACTACCTTCAACGAAATCAGTAACATCAGTACAGTCAGAACAACAGCCATCACATCAAAATCATCATCATCATCATCGACAGCAACAGCAACAAGAACAACAACCATCATTTCCACCAGAAATGAATGAAAAGAGAATTCTACATCCACCAGCAACTCCTTGGGTAACATCCTCAACAGTATCATCATCACCATCGGATTCACTTTGGTCATCTAGCTCGACTTTAAATTCATCACTACCACCATTGCAAAATGAGACTATACGAATACATCGCACGTTGCCGTCTCCAATTCCTCCCATTTCTATTACTGATCCATCTCCTCTAGCATAGACTTACTTAATCCCCCCTTCTTCACATCCCCTTCATCTCTACATACTCCTTACTTTTTTTTTCATTCTCTCTGTTTATATATATATCTATATATATTTTTTATACCCTTTTATATTAAAACCATTCATTCACAGTATCATCCTTGTCATCATAATAAACAATGTGATTTATACCTTGATTAATATTTCTCATTCATTCACATATTTTTTGTTAAAAAAAAAAGAAAAAAAAAAGACGATGAACCGTGATGATGATCTTTTTTTGGTTAATTTCTTGCTTTCATTCCTGTTATATATATATATATATATATATATATATATATATATATATATACGTCCACCCCTTTCTTTTCACCACCCCCACCCATCCCTGATAGTATAAAGATAGGTGAATAAAAACTATTGTTTCTTATTTTAAAAATATAAGGATGAGGAAGATGTTATCCTGCAACACCTACATACTGTTTTATTTTCCAAAAAAAAAAAAAAAAAAAAAAAAAGGATAATCTCCCCATTTGCCTTCAGAAGTGGACAAAGAGAGAAGAGAACAATAAGTCATTACTATCTAATATTCGAACTCCCCGAGATCTTTAAGATCTTCTAAAAAAAGGAGTCGAGTGCACTGAGTTTGACAATATGATATAAAAATAATAAAAAAGAACCATTTATACATATACACCAATACGGACATTTCCATTTATGGTTATCTTAAAAGAAAACAAAGAGAGACATCAAACCCGGATGATTAAAGTCTCCGTTTACGGAAGACAGTGACTCAATTTGTGTGATGATGATGAGAATGTTCATAGCAAAAGAGTATCATTATCACCATCAGGACTAGTATCGCCTATTACCAAGCTAGCCCATTCAGAATAAAATAAATTTTGGTACGACTTGAATCGAATCAGTTGATTGGTCATAGCAAAAGCTAAAGTGGAGACCACATGACCCGCAGTCTATTTTTTTTTTTTTTTTTTGTGCTCAACGTCATCTCCGTTTTATGCAATTCTCTCTCTCTCTTTTTCTCTTTTTCTTTTTTTATCCAGTTACCTCAACATATCATAGAAGGGAAGAAGAATATTTTATCTAATTCTTTTCTTTCCTTTTATATGCTCTCAAGCCTTTTCGAATTACAATCTTAGTTATATCATCAGTTTTATTATTCATTTTCTTTTTGATCCTTCATCTATACTTTATATTTTATTATCGACATACTTATATAATAACAACTTTCTTATCACGCTCTCTAGTACAAAAAAACAAAGTCTATATATCTTTACCATTTTTTGGTCTCAATTCAATGCCTGGTGTTCGTGCAGAACCAAAATACCTTCGGTAAGAATAATAAAAAAAAACATGCAAGAGACAAAACCACTAATGATATTTCAACTCTTTTTTTTTTTTATTATTATTATGGAAAGCGATCCTACTTCTCTTGAAACTTTATCATCTGGTTTATCTCGGTTATCATCCTACGTAACATCAAACCTTCCAAAGATAAAGACCAGCACTTACCCACCTTATATTCCACCTCAAGATCCGCAGCTCTTATACTATCAGCAACAACTATTACAACAGCAACGTTTAACCGCAGCACAACCTTCTTCAGGCTCTAATACATCAACTAGTAATTCAGATTCTACTCAACATGACGGTGCAGAAAACATTACAATTGCTAGTTTCGAAAAGATAGATACCTTATCGTCAGGAACATTATCTTGTTTATTACTTGGATATGACCACGGCTTTCAACTATGGGATGTATCTCAACCTGATAATGTCCATGAAATTGCTTCTATTCGAAACGATATTCTTGGTTCGGTCATCAAAATGCGTGTGCTTTCAAATCCTGCTCCTTCCTCTTCAATTCGTGATTCTTTTGCTCATGTACGACCTCTGCTAGCCATCATGTAAGTTTTTTATTTTTAAAACTCTTCACATTTTGATTGACTTGTATGTTTGGATATCCCATATTATAGATGTTCAGATTCTTCGACTCAAGATGAACCTGCACTCTCTACAACAGCACCTTTAGAGTCTGTCACTCAACATCATCGACAAGGATCAGGTTCTTCATCATCATCCAACAAAAAATACTCCACCAGCCTTCATTTATATTCTTTGAAAACACATGAATTCATTCCAACTCCTCAACTCAACATACAGGATGACATGGTATTTACTGATATCAAGAGTAATGGCAAGGCGATCGCTTTGGTAAGATCATGAGATTATTTTGTCTATATTTGATTTATCAGATTTTCATCTCACCTTTTTTTAATATATATATTGAATTAGGGATGTAAAAGTCAACAATCTGCGGCTATTTATCTGTTTTCCTCTTACGATTTGTCTCAAATGTATACTCCACTTACAGATGTTTACAACCACCGAGATGGACCAGTCTTCACTATGGGATCACGTTTCATCGCTTATGCAACAACATTACCAGTACTCAACAATGATACTTCTCAACTACGTAGTTCTGAAAAGGATGTAAAAGGTGCTGCCAAAGATATTGCAAAAGAAATGGTGAATGGTGTCAAAACGCTTGGTGAATTTGGTTATCATCGATTGTCTAACTATTTCTCACCACAACAGCAACAACGTCAGCATCAAGAATATTCTACAATGACTACTCCTATTGGGAGCAACCCTTCGAATACACCATCCGAATCTCCATACTATGCTACATCAATCAATCAAACAACATCAGCTACAACTTCTACTACTACTACTACTGCCTCACCATCTCATCCTATCGTTGGTCCTACTGTGCCTTCCTCTGTCTCCACAAATACATCAACGTCATCGCCAGTTGGTATGGTGATTATCCGGGATATCACCAAATTACCAAAAAATGCATCATCCAGTATCCTGTCGCTTTCCACTGTCGCTCACTTCAAACCGCATATGCACCCTGTGGCCATTTTGGCATTTAATGCTGCTGGAAATCTGCTAATGTCTATTTCGAAACAAGGTCATACTTTCCATATCTTCTCCTTGTATCCAACTGACAAACATCTTGGTAATGCGGCTCATCTGTACAACTTATCTCGAGGATATACTGATGCTCAAGTGGAAGATTGTCAATTTTCTATTGATTCTACTTGGTGTGCAGTCACTACAGCTCGGGGAACAACTCATATGTATACTATCAATCCTTATGGTGGCAAACCTGAAATTAATAGTCATGTCAACGGGAAGATCAACAATTTGGCCGATCTCCCTTTTACAGTGAAACGAACATCAAACGTAATCATATATATATATTATTTGGTATTTTTGTTTTATTAACCTACCTTTTTTTTTTTTCTGTGTATGTAATAGGTAACATCACTTGGGCCAGCTGTACGTGTTAAACAACGACGACCTATGCCAGCAGATCCCATAGCTGATGATTTAGATACCAATACAAATATAGCATCCAACAATAGTTTATATCCACAATCTGTACCATCATCAGCATCAGCATCATCATCATCCTCTCCTCCACCACCTGGTATTTTCCGTCTTGATATCAACTTCAATTCACAACGACAACAACAACAGCATATACAACAAAGCAATTGGCCACCATTTGGACAGAAGAATCGCGCTAATTTAACCACGATGTTTTTATCCGTAGCACGTGTTCCTCAGCAGCTCCAACCTCATTCAACGAGCATTAACCAATCATCCGATCATGATGGTGTCACTAGACTATTACAACAACCAACTGCAAGCTCGTCTCCATCTCATTCTGTTTCCCCAAGCACATCAACGGCGACAACATCCTTAGCATCTATCCGAAATCAAGCTTCAACTATCGTATCACAAGTCTCTTCTTATTTACCCAGTACACAACGCGCCGGCAACGTTGGAGGAGATTGGACATCATCATGGGCAAAAGATAAGACGAATGAAAATCGAATGTTTGGTTTTGATGAAGAAGAATCCTCTCTAGATAATGATGATCTGGCGACCAAAATGACCAATGACAATACTGGCTATCAAGATGTTTACTCATTCCATCCTCAAGGCATTCTCACTCTTCATAGACTTTGGATCACGAAAAATATGGTTCGAAAAAAGGTACATGGGCGAACAGTTGGTAAATGGGATTTGTCCGTTAAAGAAGAAGATATTGCAGAATGGCAAATAGCTCGAAATCAAGATTGGGCTCCTGTTGGCATCCCGATTTATCCATCCTCCTCTTTTGGATTGGCGACTGAACAACAACAACAACAAGACGATGATGATGATATTGACTCTACTACAGGACCAACAGATTTAGAAACAGCAGACACATCGATAGATACCAATCACAGCAAAAAAACCAATAGTGGTACAAAGGCATCTAGTAATAAGAAGAAGAGGAAACAAAAAAAGCAAGTTGGCGGTGATGATGACAATATGAGTGAAGATATTATCGACCGTCGACAATCACAACAACAACATCAACAACGTCATATCAATCAGTGGTTGAGTCATGCAGAAATCATGACATATCCTACTTATCCTAGCAACCGAGCTTCAAATAACAACAATTCACATGAATCACCATTATGGACCAATCCTCAATTTTCCTTCCAAGTTTATACCGATGAAAAAACTAATGGTGCAACGATACGACATTTGCTTTCCAAAGGTATTGTCCCACCTACACAAACTGTCGCTGTCCGATCAGAAACACCTGAACCTTATACAAGTCGTATCAATCGCGTTGGAAAGACATCAGCAAAGGCACGTAGTTTGGGGAATCAAGAGGAAGAATATATGGATGATGCTTTGGCTGAATTAGAAGGTAAAAAGAAGGAAAAAAAAAAAAAAAAAAAAAACTAACAAGAATGATATTATCTATTCTTGTAGAAAGTCTCTCAACGGCCATGCAAACTTCTTTTGTACCCTCATCATCATCAGCAAGTCCTCGACGTGGTATCCGGCTATCATCTAGTGCTGGAGCAGCTACTCATTCATCATCTGCCATGGCTTCAACAACAGGATTCACTAGTTTGAAAAAGGCGTCTAATGGATTAGACAGAACCTCATCCTTGTCTTTTGAAGATGCTTACTTGATCAGCATGGGAGGCGCACCCGTATATCGATCCTCTCCGAATTCAGCACAGCAACCACCTATGGACGATGATGTATATCAAACAATAGTAGCGGCACCGACTCATTTACCTCTCCAAGATAGCGCATTGATTCAATTTGATTCTGATGATGATACAGGTAGCAACATCACCTCATCCAATTTGACAACTTTGATGAATAGTGATCAACAAGAAGAAAAAACAAAACAAGGGACAAGGGCATCTTACTCATCCTTGGATGGTAGTTTTGATATACAAGGACTGGGTATGAGTGATGAAATGACTGGAACTTCACGTGGTGAAATGGTATTTTCTCCTGATGGTGATAATGAAATGGGTGGTCCAAGTGATTCTATGATGTTTGATGGTTAGTTAGATAGATTTCTCCCTTTTTTTTTTTGTTTGTCGATTTATATATGATATATTTTCTTCTACCTTGTTTTGTTCAATAAAGATCCACAGGCTTTCTTTTTTTTTTCGTTGTTATTATTATAATACTTTATTTTGTTTTGTATATTAGATACCAGAATCATTTTCACTGTCTTCCCCACTATTCTCTGTCATGCAATCATCATGATCCAACAGCTTTATATGGATTATTTTTACATTGAAAAGTTTTTGTGCAACTATGTATTTTTTTTTTTCTAATTGGATGATCTTGTTACAGTGGGGGGGGGAGAGAAAATAAGAGCGCATTTTTTTTATTTGGAAAAAGCACGCCTCTTTCGTTCTTTTTTTTTCTTTTTTCTTTTTTTTTTTTTTTTCTTTTGTATATATGTAAAGATGAAGTTGAAGAAAACGCTTATCATTCTTACTAATCATACCCAACCAAGTCAACTTGAACTGGACATTTCGGTAAGAATGAATAAAACTAAAGTCAGGAAACTTGACATTGTATGAATGCGGATGACTTTTTTATTTAGGAACGAAACGATCTTCCTTTTGTACTATGGCATGGTGTACCAAAGGCACTCTTACCCATCTCTTCCAAACCTGCTCTCACATGGACTTTGAACTGGTGTCAAGTCATTTTCACCGAGGTCTTTGTTGTCACCGATGCTCACAAGTAATTTAGTCATATCATTATTTTATCAGGTACTTATGTTCTCTTTTTTTTTTTTTTTTTTTTAGCTATCATTATTACGAACGCTGGGCGGCAGGTGTTGGATTACCTAAAAGCAATATCTTGAACTGTGGTTTCAGGTACTACAAAAAAAAAAAAAAAAAAAAAAAAAAAAAAAGACTAATAAGATAGTTTTCTACATTAGTTCTGGACCATTAAGCGATGTGACATTGGTTGAAAGGGTGAAAGGCTGTCAAAATGATGTGGTAGTAATGGCGGCTGAAATGTTATGCGATGATGATACTATTCAGGAACGGTTACGTTTGGCAATATCAACTGGACCTTCGAATCAAGTAATCTACACCAGTGACATCCCAATGGCAGTTTGTTTTTCATTGGAAACGTTACATCAACTGGAAAGCATGACAACACAACAACAACAAGAAGAAGAATCAACTTCATTGACGTCTATGCATTGGATCACCACTCTTGCTGATTATTGTCTTCACTCTTTGCCTAACAAGGATGGCATCATGACCACGCTTGAATCGGAAAGCACAAATCATTTTCTTCGGACATCGATTGACCTGAATCAATATCTGACGCATTGGATTCATCTTTTTAAAACAAACGGCACAAGAGTAAATGTTGAGCAGCGGATTCAAGTACGATCATATGCACGTGTAGGGCTAATGGGCAACCCCAGCGATGGATTCTTTGGCAAGACAATGTCTCTTTTGATCTCGAACTTTTGGGCACAAGTGACACTATTACCAAACGGTGGAGAACAACGATGGCCTGGCCTGGATCATCAAGGAGAGAACGCTATCATTGAAATTGTACATCGACCAGCGACCAGTCCTTGCCGATTTGTGAATATGGATGCACTAGCGACAGTCTGTGAACAAGATGGATACGACCATGGCGATCGATTGATTTTGGCATGTTGCAAGGTATTTTTCCGACATTGTCAGCAAACGGGGATCAAGTTGGACACGACTTTAGGATTTCGACTCTTGATAGATACCAATATACCTCGACAAGTTGGTTTAGCAGGTTCTTCCGCTATCATTACCGCCTGTTGGAAAGCTTTGATGCAATTCTACCATGTGAAGGAGATCCCTCCAGATCTTCAAGCAAGTTTGGTGTTATCGGTGGAGGTGGATGAACTGGGCATTGCGGCTGGATTACAAGATCGAGTGATTCAGACCTATGGAGGATTAGTTTATATGGATTTTAACAAACAGAGTATGGAACAAACAGGACGTGGAAAATATACCCAGTTACCTTTGCAGTTATTACCTCCCTTGTGGTTGGCTTATGTGGCAGATCCTGAAGATTCTGGAAAAGTACATAATACAGTGAAACAACGTTTTTTAAAGGGTGATCCTGAAGTAAGTTATATTGGTGGGATGGATGGATTATTATTTTTTTTTTTTATTTATTTTTTCTTTTTTTTTTAGATTATTCAAGCCATGACAGGATTTGCTTCATTGACAGATAAGGCACGCACTGCACTGGAAACAAAAGATCATGGATTATTTGCAAAACTGATGACAGATAATTTTGAACTACGTCGACGTACTTATGGTGACGATGTGGTGGGAAAAAGAAATCTACGGATGGTGGAGATCGTTCGACAACATGGTGGTCATGCCAAATTCAGTGGTTCAGGGGGTGCCATTGTGATTTCCATGATTGACTCGGTGAATCTTCAAAAATTACAAAAAGCACTGGAAAAGGAAGGTTATGTCTTTGTCAGGTTGACTCCTATTGGCTCTCAACAACAATAGATGATTTATGATAGATAGTTTTATTAGATTCTTGTGGTTGTCTTTTTTATTTTATTGATACGTATAAATTTTTTTTTGTTGCCGATGGCCAAGGAATAAATCCATCCCATCTTTATTTCGTCATTGTCTTGTATTTTCTCTATATCTTCTTTTTTGGAAAATAAACGATTATTCAATATTAATCATTAGTCATCTTGATAGCTTTTTTTTAATGATGATGCTTTTTCTTGAAAGTCACTGAATCTTTATTGATATAAAAAAAATATATATGAATGGTTTATCATTAGGAAAGAGATGGGGAGTATGTTGTCTAAGGAAGAGAAGGAGAGAGAGAGAGAGAGAGAAATCAAGTAGGAATGTAATAATATCTAATGTACAATAATATAAAAAATAAAAAAAAGGTAAATAAAAAAAAAGCTAATAACACCAGATGAGTTCACAAAGAGGAAGCGGCTTGAGTTCGGATTTCTTGTAATTGTTCATTATCCAAGATCAACGTCGTTTCTATTCGAATGGGATCTCTTGGACGCCGTTGCTGAAAAGGATGTTCACCTAGATAATACAAAGTTCCACTATTATTTGTCAAAGAAGGTCGAGAAGATTGAGCCCTAAATGTTGTTCTTGCATTAATTTCCAAAGAATCATCATCATCATCGTCATCATCATCGTTGCCAAGTTCATCATCAATAAGAGGGGACGTTTGTCGATTCACTCTATCCATATGAGATTGATTGTCGTTGTGTTTTTCACCTTGAGGATGTTTCATGCCCATTGTCTTTTCCGTCAATAAGGTTGTATCCTCTGTTACATCACCACGGCGAAAAGATGATGTATGGTTAGCTTTTTTCTCTTTTGCTGCTGTCATTGTCATGGTATCTCGTTTCAACTGGTCCAAAGTAGAAGATGATGTATCCCTGTTGCAATTATTGATATTTGAAGGACATTTTTGAATCACAGTTGGTGGTCGTCGTCTTTTTGCTACAATGGTCAAGGCTTTGCGAATAGGAGAAGGTAACTGATCCATAGGTTGCTGGTTATGAGTCATTGGACACATAGATACTACTTGTACACGTACCAGACGTTGACATTGATATAGTACATTCAATAAACCCCCTTTTTCTTCTTGATCTTCATCGTTTCCTTGTTGTTGTTGTTGGGTAGTTCTGTTGTTGAGATGATTATCATGTTGTTGCCTATCTCTAGTGGATGTTAGTGTAGAAGAAGAGGGCGATGATATCCAGTTTGTTTCCAAATTGAATCGAACGGTCAAATCTTGTACCTGAGTAGCATACTTGGTGATGGCAAAAAGAGTTTGAGGACTACGGCTTGGAACAGAGAGTCGTCGTAATTGAGTCCCATAAAATGCAATACAATCGACCAATGTTTGATCACCTACTTCTTGAAGACCAATATCCAAATCCATGACATGCGAGCAATATTTTTGTAAGGAATGAAGCGCAATATTGTTAGCCATGATATGTCGATTGTGATTGGCACCAAAATGAACTTTGCTGAGTGCTGGTAATGCTGATAGTAATGCATCAATGGCAGTTTTAGGAAAATCAGTCCAATATAGCTCCAATGTCGTAATAGAAGAATTTCGTTGTTGTTGTTGTTGTAAGTCCATAGTAGTAGTAGCAGTAGTATTAGTCCCTTGGGCAGCATATAAACCAAAAGGAATAGAAGGAGTAGCTACAAGATCACAATAACGAAGCACAACACGTTGAAGATGAGGTAAGGCTGTCCACAGAGGATTGATAAGATGAACCGATAACATATGAAAGTCAACCAAAGTAAGAGTGTGTATATGAGGCAAATGAGGAAGAAGACAACGTACATCGGTCACTAAACGATGTTGACCACTTTGCTTGCACTTGAGTACGATTTCCATGGTATGTTGTTGAATCACATGGTTAAGCCATCCATTCTTGTCGTTTTCCTTTAGACTAGCTTGTAATTGCCGAATATGGTTTCGGAAACTGAGAGTAATGGTAGTGTAAAGAGTTGGAAGAGCACTAATATAAAATCTACGACTTGTCTGGGAGATTTCGTTGAGACTTGACCGAGGTAATAATAACCATATTTGAGAAAGAAGCTCGGGTGGTAAGTCAACAAGCATAATGTATATATATATATGACTATATATATGACTATATATATATGACTACTATATATAGTTTGGAAAAAAAAAAAAAAAAAAAAAAGAGAAAGAAAAGAAGGAAAAAAAAAAAAAAAAAAAGAGGTGAGACTAAATATTTTCGACAGCAACCCCTCATTAAAGTTTTTTATGTCATGTGCATCCTCCCTGTTAATGCTTGCTGACTTACAAATACCCGGCTCTACTGTAATTCCGTACTGATTCTTATATGATTTTTATCATATCAAAAACATTATTAGACCTTTTTTTTTTTTTTTTAGTTTTAAAGGATACTATGGATTGTCTTTTACATTCTAAATCTTCCCTTTTTTATTCCAAGTCTTTACGTAGCAGATGATGACAACGGAGATTGAAAATATGAGATGCAAACCAAAGGCATGGTTTAAAAAGAACAATGAAAATGAGAAAAACAAGGAGATGCATCTTTTGTTTGCAAGAAATAATAGCATGTTGACTAGTCAAAATACACTGTTATCATTTAGATATATCTTTGCAGCAACCCCTCCCCATCTTTTTTTTTCTATTTAAATCATTGGCAAATATCCTATTATTTAATGATCATCTAACGCTTTCCTTTCTGGGAAACAAGGGATACGAAAATAATAATTCTTAACTGACTGTCAGAATCTAGAAAAGGGAACATTTATTGTCTAGTCAGTTACTCAATATAATCCATTTTTTTTTTTTATTCAAGGATCATATATCATGAGTGTTATACTTTTTTTTTCAAAAGATATCACATTCATACCGTTGTCATTGCAATTTTGTTCTGGGGTCCATTTGATACACCGTTTCATTATAGGAGTCGAAGTAACAATGTTGTCCTTCCCCTACTATCATCAAAAAAAAAAAAAGATCAACGGATAGTCAGGCAAGCCTTATTTTGTTCCTGCTTTTTCACCATCATCCACCATATCCATCATCATTCCATTCATCCATCCATCAATTCATTAATTCATCAATCCATAGTCATACCGCCACGTACAGATAAATACCCAACTTTATCATAGTTTTTTCAAACGTAAGAAGATATAAAAACATTTTATTTTAAAAGAGAGGAAATGAATAAAATAATATACACTATTTTCACTGTAAGTTGTCGTTTAAAAGATAAATCATATCGCCAATGCTTAAATAGGATATCGTGAAGTTGGAAAAATGATGGCGAAGTGAAAGTAATAAAATATTGTACCAATAGTAATGAAATTGTCGCAACCAAAATAAAGTATAAAAGAAAAAGAAGAGATATCAGTCTATCATTAAAAATATGTGTTCCATCATCCTTACCAAAATATATATAAAAGGAAATATATAATCCAAGCTAAATCAAGAGAGGAAAGGAGATCATAGAAAATAAAATAAAATAGTAATAGTAATAATGAGTATCTATCCAAAAAAAAAAAAAAAAAAAGAGCTTACGTCAAGACTGTTTTCACCACAGAATGAGGATCGCCACCTCAACATCACATGGCATGGGTTTTGTTCGTAACTTGAAGAAGCACCATTCATAGCAAATCTTGTCCAGTAGCTTGATCATAACAACGTAACGCGATGCAGATAGATGACAAGGCATCACGTCCAAAAGAATTTTGACATTGTCGATAGGATTCGCAATTTGGATTGACACAACAAGAGGTACCATTATTCATTACAGTTTTCCCGTTCTTCATCCTTCTTGGGTGTATCACATGACCATTACAGAAGGGACATGCCATCGAGGTACGATGTTCGTTGACCACAAGCACAATACCGTTCTGTCTGCATGGTTTTCGGTGCCACTTGCCACCATACTTTAAATAGCCTTTGATTCGTGTACCAGTGAAGATGATGACGATTTTTGTAAAGATAACGGTTTAGATATAATACTATCAAACGATTGTTGCACTGTTTCTTTCCATGTATCCATTAAAGAAAATTTTAGATGGAACTTTGAAGCAAATGGTCCAGGTGATTTCCCACAACTGTTGTCGATATTTTGCAGCATGCCTCTTGATAAACGTTTTCTATTGAGTAAGTCAGATTTCAGCTTGGTGGGATCATGAATGACGCGCGACTTGAGAAGTGATATTTCGTTTTATTTCGTCGACAAGAACTTGTTTGACTTCAACTGAATTGACAATTGTTAGCAAAGGCTTTTTTTTGTTGATGGTTCACCTTTGAATTGTTTGGCTCGTTTGTGACCCATTCCAGACAGAAAAAAAAAAAAAAAAAAAAAAAGAGAAATATCAGAAGATAATAATAAGAGTGGAAGAAAAGAGGAAGAAGGGAAAAATAGGGGAGACGATATTTTTGTTTCAGAAATTTGTGACGGACTTTGTAGGCGCACACAAATTGCATGAACATAGTCCACCATCTTGCCCTTTTTTTTTTTTACTTCCAGGAACTATTTATGTAACACAGACTTCTGGTTCAATGGAAGAGGATACCTAACATGATGCTACTCATGCAAGATAGTATCAATTTTGAGCAGAGTGACCAAACGAAAAAAAAAAATAAACAGTAAAGATAAAGGAATAGGAAAAAGATAAGAATATACATAAGGCGGGTATCTCCAAAAAAAAAAATGGTGATGTGCACTCTGATAGCAAAGATTGTATTATAACAATCGTCAAGTATTTTTTTATTTTAATCATCTTTTTGAGACAACGACAAAACAAAAGGGAACAAAAGACAAAGAGAAACTAAAAAAAGCCGTTTTTTTCGAAGTACGACATCATTTTATTGAAAGCAAGGATATGATTTTCTAGAAACATGATAACATATACATATAGAATGTAAATGAGAAATATTTAACAGTTGAAAGTGTTGGCGGAGTCTCTCTCTCTCTCTTCCCTCCCCAAAAAAAATATGACCCAATCAAATGTCAATCCGCCTTCCAGTGTCTTCGCTAGGGTTTTTTTCTTTTTGTTTCTTTTCCCCGGTCGCATTAATCATTTCAATCCTTTTTTTTTCGTGTTTTTTTTTTTTTTTTTTTTTTTTTATGATTAAACATGTTACGTAGCATTTCTTTACGGCGATTAGAACTTTCTCCATCATTGACTAATACGAAACAACGTATTAGTCTCACTGGTCAGTTACGACCATTCTCTCAACAACGCTCTCCTACCTCGTCCTCTCCATTTTTATCCAAACAACATTCCAACCACCTTTTAACCAAACAAACACTATTGGCATCTAGAAAAGTGACTCCTTATTTTCCCATCATTACAAAGCGACTTTATAATGGTAAGTAAACATTTGGATTGATTTATATGAATGACAGAGTATTCATCCCATTTGAATCAATAGGTGGTACTCCTGGTAGTAATCAAGGTGGTTTTCGTTTGAACCCCAATCAAGAACAGGCGGAAGAAAAGGCCTTGGAAAAATATGTAAGGAAGATACATGATAGATTGAAAATCAATTCTCAATTTTATTTATTTGTTTTGGATCTAGGGACTTGATCTTACTGCAATGGCTGAAAAAGGAAAACTAGGTAAGGTATTTCTTTTTTGTAATCGTTTTTACTTAACCGTTACTAAATTTTTTCGTTTTTTAATTGAATTATCATAGATCCCGTTATTGGAAGAGATGAAGAAATCCGTAGAACTTTGGAAGGTATATTGATGATCATCTAGATAATTTGAATATGACAAAACACACTAACTTGTCTCTTTATTTTTTTTTATTGAAATAGTGTAAGTAAATCTATCCTAGTAGCAACAAAAAAAAAAGGACTTTAAGAACGAAGCATCTCTATATCATAGTCTGGCTCGTCGAACAAAGAATAATCCCGTATTGATTGGTGAAGCTGGGTAAGTACTCATTATGTTTCTAGAAAAATGACGTTGACTATCCCCTTACCATTTTAATATATATATATATATAGTGTTGGTAAAACTGCCATTGCCGAAGTAAGTAACAATCATTGGGATATCAAACAATTTCTTCACAATCATCGGGAACAGCTAAATTCTTTTTTTTTTTTTTTTTTTTTTTTTGCTAGGGACTTGCTCAACGTATTGTGGCCAATGAAGTCCCAGAATCCATTCAAAATCGAAAAGTAGTGGCTCTTGACCTAGGAGTAAGTTTTCAATTTTATTTATTATTTGAAGATATTGACTTTTATAATATTATTATGTAATAGAGTTTAGTGGCGGGCGCAAAATACCGGCAAGTTAAAAGAAGAATAAGAAACGAGAAAGATATATCTATCTAAACTCTCATTCTTTTTTATTTTTATTTTAGTGGTGAATTTGAAGATCGATTGAAAGGTGTACTCAAAGAAGTGACTGAAGCTGAAGGAAAAATCATCTTGTTTATCGATGAAATTCATACCTTACTTGGACTAGGCAAGTCTGAAGGCGCAATGGATGCTGCAAATCTAATAAAGGTAGAAATCAGAACGTCTTTTTTTTTTTTTGCCAGATATCTTATTCATTTTATTATAGCCTGCTCTAGCTCGTGGACAACTTCGTTGTGTCGGTGCTACCACCATCGATGAGTACCGAAAGGTAAGAAAAGAAAACAGAAGAAAAAGGTTATTGGGATTAATTTTAATATGTATATGCATGTATTCATAATAGTATATCATGTCAGATGCTGCTTTGGCTCGTCGATTCCAACAAGTGATGGTAAATTTTAAAGGAAAACGCAAAACAAGTATGATGATGCTTTAGCTACTCACTGGTTTCTGATTACAACGTAGGTGAATGAACCTTCTGTTCAAGATACAATCTCTATTCTACGTGGTTTAAAGGAACGATATGAAGTACATCATGGTGTTCGAATTGCTGTAAGTAAAGAGAAACAAATAAATGGCCTTTTTATTGACTTTTTTTTTCTTGTGGATAATACTCGAGATAGGATTCTGCATTAGTTTCTGCTGCCATCAATTCCAATCGATATCTTACAGAAAGGTAAGAGATATGTAATGTTTCACGATAACAAAAATTCAACTTTTTATTATTATTTTGATGAAAAATATAGGTTCCTTCCTGACAAGGCCATTGATTTGGTGGATGAAGCATGCTCCAAACTTCGACTCCAACAAGAAAGCAAACCCGAAACTTTGGAAAATTTGGATAGACAGATCATGACTATGCAAATTGAATTAGAATCTTTACGCAAGGAATCTGATATTTTATCTGTAGAACGACGAGAAAAATTGGAATCCGAATTGAAGGCTAAACAAGATGAAAGCTTAAGATTAAATAATATATGGAATAAAGAACGGCAAAAATTGGAAGAAATCAAGACCATCAAACAAGATTTGGAACAAGCTCGTGTAGATCTTGAAACTGGTAATATATATTATATATTATACAAACATCTATCTATATGATATCAAAAAAAAAAAATTGATGGATTTTTTTTTTTTTGTCTAGCTCAACGTGGTGGAAATTTCCAACGTGCGTCTGAACTACGATATGGTGTCATTCCTAATTTGGAGAAAAAGTTACCAAGGTAAACGATGACACAAAAACGCTTTTTTTTTTTCAATGATTCTCAACTTTTTCTACTCAATTAGTATGGATGATGAAAACCCTGATTCTTTTGTCCACGAACGTGTCACATCTGATGATATCGCACGCGTTGTCTCTCGAATGACTGGTATTCCTGTTCGTGTAAGTTATAATTTGAAAAATTTCACTTCCTTTTTGGATGTTTTTACTAACGACTTTATTGGTTATATGATCATAGAATTTGATGAAAGGTGAAAGAGAAAAACTCTTACATATGGAAGATGTATTATCTGAACGTGTGGTTGGTCAACAAGAAGCTATTGTTGTAAGTAAAAAAAAAATATATATATATTTTTATATATATAAAAAAAAAATCGCTAATATATATAATATACTTGATTAGGCCGTATCTGAAGCTGTTCGCCTTAGTCGTGCTGGTCTGCAAAACCCTAGTAGACCTATTGCATCCTTTATGTTTTTAGGAAGTAGTGGTACTGGTAAAACTGAACTTTGCAAGACTATCGCCAAATTTCTTTTTGATACTGAAAATGCCATTGTGCGCATTGATATGTCGGAATACATGTAAATGATTATATTATTGGTAACAATATATACATTTATTCTAATGCTTTTTATATATATGTAGGGAAAAGTTTGCAATCAGTCGATTGATTGGCTCTCCTCCTGGTTACGTTGGTCATGAAGAAGGTGGGGAACTTACTGAAGCTGTTCGAAGAAGACCATATGCAGTAGTGCTTTTAGATGAAATTGAAAAAGCACATCGTGATGGTAAGATTTAAAAAAAAGATAATGACGATGACGATGATGATTTTATTGATACTCGTTATTTTTGTTTTATTTCATATAGTTTCCAACATTTTACTTCAAGTCCTCGATGATGGTGTTTTAACGGATAGTAAGAGATGAAACAAAAGAAAGAAAAAAAATATTATAAGCAATAATGATGATGACTCAATGATTTTATATACATATATATGTATAGGCAAAGGCAGAAAGATTGATTTCAAGAATACGATCATCATTATGACGTCTAACCTTGGTAGTGCAGCATTACTTGCAGAAGGACGAGATGATGATGTAGTTAGTAATCGTGCAAAGGAGTCGGTGATGTCTGCAGTGCGTCAGGCGTTTGCCCCTGAATTTATTAACCGTATTGATGAAATGGTAAGTCTGCAACAACAAAAAAAAAAAAAAGGGGGTATGTATTGGTTAATCACCCCTTTTTTTTTTTATTATTATGATTATGATTATTAGGTTATCTTCAACAGATTATCTCGATCAGCATTACGACAAATTGTGGATGTCCGACTAGGAGAAGTAGAAGAACGGGTGAAAGACCGACGCATCAAACTGGACGTTGATATGGAAGCGCGTGATTGGCTGAGTGAACGCGGGTATGATCCCAACTACGGAGCTCGACCTTTGAATAGATTGATACAAAAAGCATTATTGAATCCTTTGGCAAGATTACTGATCGACGGTGGCATTCGTACAGGAGAAACAGCACATATTGGTATCAAGACTTTAGATAATGGTGAAACTACTCTTCAAGTGGAACGCAATCATGAGCCTGGTACAACAGAAATGGAGGAAACAATGACTGGTGTTGCCCCTGTTGGTGATGAAGAAGAAATCCTAGAAGATGATTATTTGAAAAAGAAAAAAGAAGATGAAGAAAGAGGTGATAGTCTTTATTGATTTATGTCAAATGAAATAAAAAAAAAAACTTTATTCCTTGGACAAAATGCACAAATTTTTAAGTCTTTAATCACCGCTTTGTAATTTTTTTTTTTTTCTTCTTCCTTTTCTCCTTTTTTTTTTTTTTTTCTATTCCTTTTTTTACCGTCTATCTTTTTTTTTTTCTTGGATATGTCTGATATCAAACAACAAATAGAATCCTTTAGTTCTAAAGCTGAAGATGTAATGGATAAGGTGGGTCAACCTTTGAAACCTTATATTCCAGCCATTTCACGGTTCTTGATTGTTGCCACTTTTCTTGAAGATGCTCTTCGTATTATCACTCAATGGTCTGACCAATTATTTTATATGGAACATTCAAGAGGATTTCCTTCAGTTATTTCTCATCTTTTCCTTGGTCTTAATGTTATTGTAAGTTTATTTATTTTTATTTTTATTTTTATTTTATTTTTTTCAACTCATCTTTTTTTAATTAGGCCATGCTTGGATGTTCATCATTGGTGATTGCAAAGAAACATCAAGATATAGCGGTATATGGATTGATGGGTGTGGTAGTATCACAGGCACTTGGATATGGACTTGTATTTGATATGCAATTCTTTTTACGCAATTTGTCTGTAATGGGTGGGTTGATGATGGTGTTATCTGACTCGATTGCCAAGAACAAGCAAATGTTTGCTGCCTTACCTCAAATGACAGAAAGTAATCGACGTACTTACTTACAATTGGCTGGTCGAATTCTTTTGATCTTTTTGTTTATTGGTTCGGCTTTCCATGGTGAATGGTCTGTTCTTCGTGTCTTTGTTTCTCTCTATGGTTTGGCTGCTTGTGTCATGGTCGCTGTGGGTTTCAAAGCTAAATGGTCCGCCATGTTCCTTGTCCTCTTCCTCTCCATCTTCAATGTCTTCATCAATAACTTTTGGTCTGTGTCTCATACCCACTACAAACGTGATTTCTTGAAATATGACTTTTTCCAAACTTTGTCTACCGTTGGTGGTTTCTTACTTTTGGTCAGTACTGGTCCTGGTGGTTACTCTATGGATGAAAAGAAGAAAGAATTCTAGTATCAATATATATATCATTATCATCCTGTTTTTATTTTTATTTTTTTGGTGATTTTTATTCATATTCCCTTTTTGGATTGTTTTCCTATATTTTATCAATAAAAAAGAAAAATCTGTAGTGGGAAATTATCATAAGAAGAATCTAACTTTGTTTGGACAATGACTTTTTTATTCATCCAAATCTCTTTTATTCTCATGTTGATTTTTTTTTTTTTTGAATAGATATCTTTTGGTTCATTCAATAAAGTCTTCTCTCATTTGTACGTGTAGATTATTATTTTCGATAATAAAGGTTCGATTCTATGATAAAAATGGATGATAACTTATAGATGATGGCATTGGCGGTTCAAGCAAGAGTATTCTTCCTGTTTTTATACGTGGAACGGTCGTTTATTCAAATGTACGTGGTACGATGATTATCAATCCGCTTTACTGACAAGTATGAAAATATGGCATTATTCTTTATACAATGAAGAAACGATTACTGTTATTTATTAATAAAGGTCTATATCTACATTCAAATTAAATAAATACTACTAAACTAAAGACCATCCCGTATACGTTCATCTAACCATCGCTGAGGATTTGCCTTGACATAGAACACTACTGTAGAAAGAAGTACTACAATCCCACCACTAATAGAAAAAAGGATCCCATCCCCAAGAGCATGCTGTAAATCCGAAGCAATCAAAGAGCCTATACCAGCGCAGGAGAACCGAACCAAGGAATTACAAGCTGTTAACAAGAAGAAAACAAAAAAAAATCAGCTCATTCCTTTTTTTTTTCTTTTTTTTTTTTTGAATCCAAAATACATGATAGGTCAGCTCTTACCCATGACAGAAGTGCTACGACCTTTGAATGAATCGACCATATAAGTATTTAAAGTCACTGTGGGGGCCATCAAACCAGCCGTCACTACAAAATAAAGAAGAAAAAGAGTTTGTATTCTAAATTATTATTATTATTTATTTTAGTACTTACAAAAAAAGATAGCCACCAATGCAAAAGCATAATGAACATTTTTAGTGATACACCATCCATAGGCAACGTAACCACAACAAGCCAAACCAACAGAGAGAGCAATGACAATACCACTGATACGCATTTCAGGATAGATTTGATTTTCCCCAGCGGCAGCAACACGTCGATTATATATACGATCCGATAAACGTCCTCCAATTTGATTCCCTACAATTGCACCTCCAGCCAATGGTAAATAACAGAGTCCAACTGTACCTGTACTGAGCCGGTATTGTACTGTCAATGTCCGAGTAAAAGTTGTATTTACCATATAGAAGAATAAAAAACTAAACGGAAAAGATTTGATTTAGAATCTTATTGGATGAATTAAAATGACTTACGATAATCCAGTATAGGCAATGGAGAGCCAAATATTTGTATACTTGAAGTACATTAATGCAGAGAAAGGATTCTTGAGACTACGTTTGAGAGGAAGTTGTCCAGGTAAAGCAGGAGGATATCTTGTGGTTTCAGGAAGAAAGAAGAGAATGCATAACCAGATGATGACTCCGTAGATAGCAACAAACGCCAAATCACTTCTCCATCCAAGTCCAAGATTAAGATATCCACCAATAATAGGGCTAGACAAAAATAAACAGAGAAGCATTGTTATTTTACATGCCTATTTGTCCATCATTTCCTTTTTACTTACCCAAGTGCAGGTCCCTTCAGTAACAAAAGAAAGAGTAATTATAAAGTATTCTATTTTTTTTTTTTTTTTTTACTTACCAATAAAGGACCAGTTGCGTACCTATTAAAACAAAAAAAAAAAAAAGAAAAAAAGAAAAAGAGAGGGAAAGAAAGAAAGAAAGAAAGAAAGAAAGAGTAGCAGTAGTGAGTACAAGATATATTTCAACCAATATTCACCTTACATTGCAAAGGCACGACCTCTTTCACTTGGCGCAAAGACGTCAGCAATAGTTCCTGCTCCCATACTCATTACCTTTGATTTAATAAAAGGAATAAATAAAGTATATATATATAAGTATTCGTATAATGAGGACTTACTGAAGAAGAACCAATGGCACTAACGATACGAAATGCAATGAACATACCAATGTTGACAGACAATGCACAACATACTGAACCAAAGATATATATGATAAATGATATTAAGTAAACTCGACGTCTTCCATAAGCATCACCAAGAGCTGACCAAAAGATAGGCTATTAAAAAAAAAAAAGTAAAAGGAAAAGAAAAATTAAGAAATGAAGGCATTAAAGAGAGAGAATCCAGCTGAGATTCAACATTGATCTAACAACTTACACAAACGGCAATAGTAAAAGTAAATGCCGATACTAATGAAGAGTATAAAGATTTCCAGTAAGTTAAAAACCTTTTTTTGTTTCTATAATGTAAAAATCAAAATTCATTTCTTACAGGTTGCATTCATTGTCGTGTCATCAGTATTCAATGCAGTTTGAATGGTGACTAAAGCAGGCATCTAAATCAGTCAATAGAAAATCAGTCAATCATCCCTCTCATGGAAAATCATCTACTTTACATAAATAGTCGTTGAAATAGGTGCACTACAAAAAAAAAAAAAGTTGAATATGTTGGTAGAATACATTCTCTCCTACTTACATCAAAGTAGCAAGAGCAATGGTCATCAAGATTAATCTTTTTGTCCTTCGAGGAAAATCTATTGGTTTCATTGCCATTTGTTCAAGATCCACTTTCCAAAATTGCCACCAATGTTGTCTTGATACTTTCTCCTTAGTGGATGACATGATTTCTTGATGATGTTGATGAATAAAATCTTCCTTTTTGTTTGTATGTGAATGTCTGATACTATCATCAATGTGGTCTATAGAAATTATCTTTTCATTTAATTCTGTGATGATTGTTGTTTCATCTTTATCAATACTAGACATTGATATGATATAAAGAAAAAAAACGAAAAGAAAAGGAAAAAAAAAAAGAAAGAAAGAAAGAAAGAAAAAAGGAAAGTAAACTTGTTTTGTACATCAAAAAAAAAAAAAAAAAAAAGGTTCCCGGTAAAATCCAATTTATAGTTACACCGACTCATCCGCACAATAACCAAGATCGACTTTCACTTTTTCTTCATCTGTAGCTTTATGCTGATCTCTCTATCAAATCATTATAAACAACCACCAGAATTATTTCTACACATCAAGTACTTTCATTTCGTTTCATAATTAACACAAATGCCCTTTTCTTTTTGTTAATAAAATAAAATAAAAAAAAAAAAAAAAAAGAATAGAACCACCGAAATAATAGACAAGTCAAATATGGCAATTGGGTAAAACATTTCCCTGAAGAATTAAACTTTGATTCGTGGATGAGGACTTGGGAAAAATGATCCAAATATGATCAAAAAAAAAAAAAAAAAAAAAAAAAAAACGTTGACCTTGTTCAAAAAGTATTTTATTTGGAATAAGTATTAAAAAAAAAAAATTAAGACTAAACTACAAATCCAAGTTTGATGATTCATTCTTTTTATCATCAGGGTCTATAATCCAAATACAACCAGAATGATTTAAAGAAGAAGGAGATAAATCTTCCATTTCTTGTCCAGTTACCCATCGACGCCAAGCTTCATGTAATCCACGTTCTAAATTTCTTGTCCATCGTTCAGTATCAAATAATCGACTATGTTCCCTTGTCAAAAAAAGACGTTTCCGTAAATCCATCAATGATCCATGTTGATTTCCTAAAGATAATAATCCTTGAGCCCATTGAACAGCACGTTCTTCATATTCTTTTTCTGATGTCACCACCATTTCATCACCATAACCAGTAGCATAGGCAATACTTGCACCAACACGAGAGCACATTTTATGTTCATATTTTGGATAAGTCAACATGGGTGTTCCAGACCATAAAATATCTGCTGCTGTTGTATGAGCATTGCATTCAGGTGTATCCAAAAAGATATCTGCCACTCGACCACGATAAATATGTATTTGTTTTGGTGCCACATCGGTGAAGAATAATCGTTTCGCCACATGTTCCCCAACCCAATCCTTTGTACACTGTTTCAAATGTTGTTCACCCGCAGGAGGAAATCGTAAAAGCCAAAGAATAGAATTTGGTACACGTTCAAGTATTCTAAGCCAGAGTCGAAAAGTGGAAGGTTCTAATTTGTATAGTTGGTTGAAATTAGCAAATATCACCACATCATCCGGTAATCCAGGAAATACTTCATGTCGCATTGTTCTTCTTCGATTCAATTCTGCCATCCATGTTGTATTATTATTATTATTATTGTCATCCTTGTTGTTGTTGTTTAAAACAGCTTGATCTTGAAAACCTTGTTTGTGATCATTGACAAAATAAGAATGTGGCATATAAATAAATTTTTCAGTATAAACAAAATCATCACTTGGTTCTTCAGGATCCACATCGCCTTCCAAATCACTATAATGTACAATATCATCATTGTTGATAAAAACATTATATTGTTGATGTTGTCGTTGTCGTCGTCGTTTGCGATCCACTTCACAGCTCACCATTCCAGGAGGACAAACAATAGAATCAGCTATAATCCAATCACACCATCCACCACCAAGAGTACCAGCAAAACCCATAAAAGAACATTGAACAGGAGCAGGTCGAGCAGCAAAGATTTCATTTCGAGCACCTTTTGTGTATCCATTCAAATTGACAAGGACATGAATACCATCGTTGACAATCCTTTCTACCACTTGTTGATTAGACCATTGAGATACATCCAAAAAATGTTCCGTTTCAGTTTCAATTTTTTGTCGATAACAAGTCGAATCTGTTGGTGTGGTGGCATAACAATGAATGTCGTAATATTTTCTATCATGAAATCCAAATACAGATTGCATCAGGTGTGCTAAAGGATGATTGTTGAAATCAGATGAGACATATCCAATTTTAAGGCGAGGACACGGTGGACGAGGAGGAGGATAAACATGAGGAGCAAGCCAAGAGGAAGTCAGTGTTGTATGTGAGATACGCAAAGCATTTCTATGAGAGATAAGTCGGATTTGCCTTGCAGTAAGAGGATAGGTAAATGTGTGAAATGGTAAAACGGTTGGTATAGGTGGTGATGTCAAACAAGTAGGTATATGAGGTCGTTGATATTGCTGTGCAAGTTGATCATCTACTACAATAGCCTTTTGAGGTTGATTTGTTTCTGTTATGGCACCAAATTGCTGAAGATACCAATGTCGCTGCATACGTCGTATCAATCTTTCGAATAGTCGCATCAACCATCCACCTTCATTCCGTTTGTCATCTTCATTGTTTGATGTCCATTGTTCAAGCCGTTTCTTCCAGCGTTGTAATCGCAATGCAGTGTCTCTTTTGTCATTGGTTGATATGTAGGAAGTAGTAGTTGTTGTAAACCTTGCCAATTGATGAACCAAATATTCACCAACTGTCATCATTGTTTCGGACGTTGAAGATGATGGATGATGAACTGGATATTGTAAAATATGTTTACCCCAAGTATGACCTTCATCCAATTGTTTTTCCACAATATGAACCAATTGATTCATCCATCCAGGGAGTTTCTTTTGACCAGCAGGTATAAAATGACCATCTTCATCCACAGTTGCTTCCATATTGGAGTCTACAGTACCTCTTCCACGCCAATCACAGATACCACCGAGAGAATTCACTAATCCACAAATAGCATCAACAAAACCAGGATTTGCTTGTACCGCCCTTCGATAAAATTGAACAGAATCTTGTACTCGACCTTGATCTTTGATAGCATTTCCAAGATTAGCCAAAGCAACATCAAACTTGGGATTGAATTCTACAGCCTTTTCGTACATACAAATTGCTTCTTGGAGATGACCCATATCTTTTAATAATGAACCAAGATTTGTATATAGATGAGGATGTCGAGCATCAAGTCCTAAACCATACATATAATATTGCATTGCTCGTATTGTACCGGGTAATGGTGGTGAATTCGACAACTGGATGGCATTGGAAGTAACAGAACCATTGAGATTGCTGAGAAGAATACCAAGGTTATTTGCTGTAGATGGACTAGGATTCAATGCCAAGCTAAAATAATAAAGAGGTAATATAATTGACAATGAGGGACTGGTAACAATTGTTGTTGTATTTTTATCATCGATGTTCAATGGCGAGTTCATTCGATCTTGTAATAATTTTGCTAAATTCAAGAGGATAGTTGAAGTTGTTTGCATAGTTTGTCGTAATGCATTTGCTGCTAAAAGTGATTGTGTATTATCTAAAGATTGTTTGTTTGCATTGATACTTAATCCAACCAATCCAGGTAATAAACCAGCTGTATGAGGATACATCAATTGTAATATTTGTATTGCTTGATCAGGTTGTAATAGTACCAAAGGTAAAGAAGATTCATTCATTTGAACAGTATTAGATCCACATACTAAAACCAATAAATGAATAACGGATACTAAACTTGAACCACCAAAAACAAGTTCCAATCCTTTTTCGTATTCCAGTTGAGCACCAAGGATATCACCCATTGCAGATTTCAGATTACCCATTGCATAAAATAAATTTTGAAGTCTTGGCATTTGAAGTGATGGTAATCGTTTGGGAGCAGAGATAGGATTCTTTTTTATTATTGTTGTTGTTTTGTCACGTTTATAAAAATGATCTTCTACAAAAATACAAACATCAAGAGCTTCTTGAAATCGAGTTGTCAAATTTGGGATTTGAGTAGAGCAAAGAATACCAACTAAATTTTCGACAGCATCCCAATATCCAGGACGTAATCGTACAGCTTGATACCACCATTTTTCAGCTTCAGAAGTTTGACCAAGGATTCTTAATGTAGTACCAATATTACTCATAGCTTCAACATAATGAGGATCATATTTTAATATGAGTTGATTGTAACGTAGAGAAGAGGCATAATCTTGATGAGAGTAATAAACACAAGCTAATAGTAATAATGTAGGTAAATGTGCTGGATAAGCGTCGTGTATTGAATGTAATAATGATAAAAGTAAAGGATTTGTTGGTGTAGTTGAATAAAGTGTATGAGCATATTGTAAAAGGTTTTCGCGTAGTTCAGTTGTCCAGTGATTTTGAAAAGGAATAGGTCCTTTTTTTTTTTTATTACAAAAATGTATAGAGATATATTTTATTTTATGAGTAAACAAAGTTCATTTAATATTATTATTATTATTATTATTACCTTGTAAAGTTGAATAATGGTTTGAAATAATAGATTGTTGTTTATGAGCCAATAATTCACGTTGTTGGTTTGGATAGTTCTTTAACCATTGATTTGTTTCTTCATAGTTGTAACTGGATAAAGTTGGAGAAGAAGGTGGTTGTATAATGGAAGACTGTTGGTTATGTTCTTCTTCATTGACCTTTTTTTTTTATAAAAAAATAAATATTAATTAATAAAATAAATAATAAAATAATAAAATAAACTACTTACTAAAGATATATATTGACGGTTTTCTATTGAATTAGAAGTAGATTGATGGTATCCACTTTGATACATTGAATAGTTTGAAAAACAGATATATAAAAAAAAAAAGATATAATGCTTTTGTTTTTCAAGGTTTAGTATAAAGTAAGGAAGGTAAAAGAAGAGGTTTCTTTAGATGAAAACTAAAAAACATTGTAAAAGAAACAGAGAAAATAGAATAATAATAATAATAAAAAATAAAAAAAAAAAGGAAAAAAAAAAAAAAAAGAAGACTAAGAGTCGCATATCGCGAGGTTTTCAAAAAAAATCTAAACCAAATTTGGGTTAGTGCTATCTTTTTTTTTTTTTTTTTTTTCTTTCTTTCTTTCTTTCTTTCTTGAAATACCCCCCTCTTTTTTTCTTCTTTCTTTTTTTTTAAAAGGAGATTTTTCTTATACAATTCATCATTATCATCATGTGTTTGTTTAATATAACATATTATTTATTTATTTATTGTTCCTTTTTCTTTCAAAACTCATTTCTTATTTTAGTTATTACCCGATTTGGTCATTTTCAAACAATTCACTATAGCAATTTGTTTGTACAGTAAAAAAAATTATTTTATATTCATATTATACTATAAACATTCGTCATAATCCACGTGATGATTCAAAAAAAAAGGAGGATCAATATATATAATTGACATAAACATTCATTCATATTACATCATTTTATTCTTATTCTTAAACAATCAAAAAAAAAAAAAAAAAAGAACAATACCGTTTTCATTTCCATTTTAACAGTATACTCCAATCATAAATTGATTTGTAATAGAAGCATACAATAAAATAATATAAAATTAAAATAAAATAAAATAATATTATAAAAAAATCCATAATAGTTAAAAAAAAAAAAAAAAAGCTTTTATCAATTCATGAACTCTTCTTGTTCATTGACACCTTGACCCATTTTACCATCATTCATTCGAACATCCAGTTCATATATCCTTTGATCTGAATCTTATTATTCTTTTTAATATAAATATCTTTCCTCTTTTCCCTCTTTTCCTTTGTTTTAGATAAAAAAAAATATCTTAACATCCCTACTTAACTGTATTGTGGATTAATTCATTTACATATGAATATGCATTCAACAACATGAATCAAGGACCTGATGAATACCCAAGAACATTTTATGCAAGATGATTCTAAATCAATGATTCAAAGCAGATTTCTCTGGATTACATCCTCGTATACAACAACATTGCATATCAATTGAATAATCCCTTCTCTCCTCAACATACCAACATGGGTTATCAAGCTGATGTATCATCTCATGAAGCTGATTTCAATACCATCACTGCTACGCAAGGATCATTGACAATGACTGATGTGTCACAATATGTAACCAAAATTGAACAATTGGTGATTGATATTCACAACAACAAATATCCCTGTCGTATCAGCTTATCCTGTAACCATATCCATAAAATAAAGAATGCATTTACAAACAAAAAAATAAAAATACATCGTAAGATGGAATCAATTACATTGACGTAAAGTAGTAGGAATAAAAATAAACGTTTTATTAAATAAAAATATGTCCACTATAGATCACTAATTGATGTACTAAGATTAAAGTTATTATAAAGAAAAGAAAGAAAGAAAAGAAAATAAAAATTAACACACTTTTAAAAAATAAAATACGGACTTTAAAAATCATTATGCTCATGGTCCATAATCACTACCAAGGAAGAATACATATCAATGTATACTCTCTCCAGGGCAACTATCATGATTAAATCATTACACATATGATGATAACATCACATCAATGAGAAATAAAATACTAATAAGACTATACGCCCTGTATAATAGTATTACGAACCAAAACAAAAACAAACAAAAACAAAAATAAAATTTGATCATCAAACTTAAATATAGAATGATGATGATACTAATATTACGTATCACTCACTACGTACTTATATATAAGACCAACAAAACTTTTTGTATAGATACTTTGTCTCTTTTTTTTAACTATTTTTTTTTTTTTTAAAAAAAAAAAAGTAAAAAGAAATCTCACAGACTTATTCTCGTCATTTTATTTTATATTTCTTATTTTATTACACAAACTACTACCAATTCCACATCATCATCACCGATAACGGAAAACCTTTTGTCAATAAAGATTGTTTGTTTTCAATATACGATTCATCATCTCACGATATCGATTGGTAATTCACAATGCAAAAAATGATTGCCTTCTGTGAGAATCGAACTCACGACCTTCTGCTTACTAGGCAGACGCTCTGCCAACTGAGCCAAGAAGGCGTAGATATTTTTTAAACCCCTTCCTTCATTATAAAGTAGATGGAAATTTTGAAAAATTTACGATATGGTTTATAATATACCTCTCGATTTACGAGACCATCTTCTCCCATATGGTCTAGTGGCTAGGATCCGGCGCTTTCACCGCCGTGGCCGGGGTTCAATTCCCCGTGTGGGAAGATCTTTTTACCTTTTCCCTCAAATTTAAAGTTTAATGGATTAGCCAATCAGATTATTATGATTTTCGTGTCTTGTTTCAATTGTTAAGTTTTTTTTTTTTTTTTTTTTTTTTTTGTATCTTAAGGATGATGTTAAAATGTAAGATGGATGGATGATACAGTATATAAGACCAACAAACCTTTTTGTGTAGGTACTTCGTCTCTTTTTTCAACTATTTTTAAATAAAAAAGAAATATCACAGACTTGTTCTCGTCTTATTTTTTTTAATTTAACTTACCAAGACAATCGGACTTTAAACTATAACTAATATGTTTTTTTTTTTTCTTTTTTTTTTTTCTTTTTTTTTTTTCTTTTTTTTTTTCTTTTTCTTTTTCTTTTTCTTTTTTTTTCACTTCACACTTTATAGTTTCTAAAAACGAAGGGCTACGATTACAATATATTTTTTATAATTGTTTTACAACGTAGTCATGGTACTTTTATTAAAAAAAAAACCATTAGTTGATTCATTTTGTAAGCATTTTATTAATTTGAAACTAATGCTTTTATTTTATGTTACATAATTCCAATCTTACTACTCTTTCTCTCTCCTTTTTTTTTTTTTTTTTTATCTTGTATATCTTATTGCAAGTAAAGCCTTGGTTCTTTTTAAACAAGAAAACATCTTGAATCCATTTGACATTATTAGTTGGCGTACACTAATCTTGAAAATAAGACTATTGATGGTTTAGACGAAAGTATGACAACACAACAGGATGATACGTATGAGAGGATGATACTTGCAACAAGATGATTCATACGGCAGGATGATACATAGAACAGGATGATACATAGAACAGGATGATACATAGAACAGGATGATACATAGAACAGGATGATACATAGAACAGGATGATACATAGAACAGGATGATACATAGAACAGGATGATACTTGCAACAGGATGATACATAGAACAGGATGATACATAGAACAGGATGATACATACGGCAGGATGATACATAAAACAGGATGATGCTCACAATGCGATGATACTTAAAGTAGGATAATACTTACAAATAGATTGGCACAATCTATAGTTTAATTTATTCAGTAGACTAGTTTTATATTGATTTAATTTGATTTTGAAATAAAATATGCCTTTTTTTTTAATTATTTATTTATTGACATAATAGTGAATTCTAAGATAATATAAAGAAAATGGTTTACTAGAAATGTTGTATATAAAGAACACTTGATATTTTCACTTGCTAAACAACTAATCGAAGTAATTTTTTTTTTTTTTTTAATGTACTCTGCTTTAACACAACTTTTTTCATCTCAAAAATCCAATGTATTGGTTAACAATATGAGCGGAGACTGACTAGATGAAAAAAATTTTTTTCTTTCATGGATGAGAAAAAAAAAAAAAAAAAAAACTATAAAAGGAGGGGATGGACAGGAACTTTTTTTTTTTTCTTTAGTGACCGTACTCTACAGGATCTGTATACAGTACATTACCGTTCTACGTTTTTCAAACTAGACCATTTCATCAAGCTAGTAGATGACATTTAGCAGACCTTCTTATGAGTGAAGTGTGTTATAGACGACTCTCAGGGTTGACTATAGCAGTTGATGATCTCGCCTGTTCGCTTATTCCAAGGACATGGCACGGAAGGAGCTGCAGTCTGATAGCTTTTTTTTCTTTTTATTTGAAAATTGAAAATGAAAATAATAAAAAAAATTTTTTTACCAAAGGGACTTTATCACAATTTGGTTTGATACCTGAGTTTAAATGAGAACGATATTATATATATTTTTTTTTTGTTTGAATGGTTTTCTTTTTTTTTTTTTTTTGTTTTTCCTTTTACCTTTCTTTCTTCTCTATTATATACATCATCATAATGCCTTCACCTCATTCATACGCTGTACCAAAAATGAAATTATATGAAATGTTTGCACAAAAATCAACCATTTCATCACCACCACGACCTCCACCACCTACTACTACTACTACTACTACTACTTTTGAACAAAATAGTCTTCCTCGAGGTTCACCTACTAATAATCAACGTAACTTTCAACCACCACCACATTTATCTGATTTCTTGAATCCTCCTTCTTCAACTACTACCAATGATCTCGTTGCTGCAAAATTAGAAGTAAAGGAAACATATTGTTGTCAATTTTTTTATTCCATTTATTAATCATATCTTTTCTTCTTCTTCTTTTATAATATTAGCAAATGCTTGTAGAATTGGATCGACTTATACAACATTCGGGAATTATCACTTTTTCTTTATTACCACCTAACCATGATATTTGTCTAGTGATGCGTCAAATCCCCTTATTGATTTCTCAAAGTCTTCATCCTTTACAAACTATGTTGACTTTTGTTGAAAAGATCATTTATATGTTATACAAAAGTAATACAACTTTTGCTTTAGAAGCTTACACCATCTTTTTACAATCTCTATTCGATATTTCTCCAGACTCTGGGAAAGAAGCTTTATTATGGTTGGTATACGCTGATGATGAGGTAATCTTCTATTTATTTATTTGTTTTGTTTTATATATATATAAACTCATCACCAATTTTTTTTTTTTTTTTTTAATAAGAGGAAATATAATCCTTCAGTGATGGCTATGCTGATTCGATATCAATTGTTACCATTGGAAGAATTCGATATACAACTTGCCAAACTTGTTCAAACCAAGGCTGATCTTGCTTCTGATTTTGCTGCTGATCTTATTCGGATATGTTTGTTGACTCCCAATCCTATGACCAACTTGGAAGATCATATATTGACCGTATCTGCTCTACGACAACAATACCTTTTAAGTGAATCATCATCAAGGTAAATAAAATATTTTTTTTTTTTTTGTTAAATATACTAAATCAATCATATTAGGGTATCATCATTTATAGACGATTTACAACAAAGAGTGGATAGTGTTTATCCTAATATCAATTTGAAGGACATCAACCGTCTGGAATTACGTTTACTATTGGCAGAATGGAATCAATTATCTCAATATCCTATAGCAAATGATATTTTATTAGGCGGTATCGTGAAACGGATTTTATCAGCCACGAAAGATGATGATGGGAAATGCTTCTTTTTACGAATGGGAATTGAAACTTGTGTACAACATTATATCTTGGGAAAACCAAAGGCGATTCAATGGGTTGATGCATTGGTGAAATTGATGGTTTTTATGGTGAAATTGGAATCTTCTGAACAGCAATCGAAAATGGTGGGTCATATCATGTCAGTCATTGTCTTGGTTTTAGCTCAGTATCACGAATCTATGGGTAGTCATTTCAATCAAAAACCTTTCTTTCGCTTGTTATCCTTGATATTCATTGAACTTAAGAAATCACAAATCAAATGCTTTGATTCAACTGTTCTCACTTGTTTTAGGTATTGATCAGAAAAAAAAAAAGATAAACTTTTTGACTTTTTTATATATATATATATATATATATTTTATTTTTATGTATTTTAGTGATGCGTTATATACTTTACAACCACTTCATTTTCCTGGATTTGCTTTTTCATGGCTTCAACTGGTTTCTCATCGTGTCCTCTTACCTCAACTGTTATCAACAAGTGATCGCCGTGGATGGAGAATATATTACAAACTTGTGTTATGCTTATTAAAATTCTTGGGACCATTATTGGAAAAACAAGTATTACAAACATCAACGAAAGCATTCTATCGTGGAACTCTCCGTTTATTGGTGATACTACTTCATGATTTTCCAGAATTCTTATGTGATTACTACATGGTATTTGTACAGGTTATTCCTCATACATGTATCCAATTACGCAATATGGTATTAAGTGCTTTTCCTTTGGTGATGCATTTCCCTGATCCTTTGACACCGGATCTTTGTCTTGGCCTATTACCTGAATGCAAAGAAGATCCTTCCATTGTCATGTCATTTGCTTCCATTCTCACTGAACAACAATTTCATGTCGATATCAAACAGTTCGTTCAAAATGATTATTCTTCCTTTTACAAAAAAGCTCTTGACTTCATCACCACCAAATCAAATATTTCTGAAAATCCACTTGTAGCGGTATCTACCAATGATCAACAACAATATATTCGTGAAGATGCTCTCAATGCCCTGGTGCTCTATATAGCTACGCATGTCATACATGTGCCACTGGAATCAAATCCTGCCATCAAGTTATACATTTATCTGATTAAACATATGTCTTCACAAGGAACTTATCTGGTGCTTAGTGCTATGGCTGATCATTTACGATATCCAAATAGTCATACACAGTTTTTCAGTCAGGCTTTGCTCTATCTTTTCCAAGAAATGTCACAACAAACTAAAGAACAAATTACTAGGTAATTTCTTTTTTTTTTTTTAAAAAAAAGTAGATAGACAATGTCTCACTTTATTTTTTATATAAATATTGTAGAATTCTTCTGGAAAGATTGATTGTCAATCGTCCTCATCCTTGGGGTTTGTTGGCAACATTTATTGGCTTGATTAAAGAACCAAATTTTTGGGATTATTCATTTGTACGGTCAAGTCCTGAAATAGAACGATTATTTGACAATGTGGCAAGGTAATAGAAAAAAAGAAAAAAAAGAAAAAAAATATATATAAATGATTGGATGATTTAGTTGACTAATGTGCTTCTCCTTTTTTTTTTTTAAAAAAAAAATTGATAGATCAATCAAACGTTTATCATAGAACTAGACGCTTTTTGACTATTAGACTAGTTATTAGTGTATATTATTTTATTCATCAACACTATTGGCCCTTTTCTTCAACATTATCGATAAAAAGTAGTATTTATTAGAATCTCTTTACACATCTTCTCCTTCTTTTATTATTTTTAATATAGTATCATATTTTTACCTACTTGTCTACATGATCTTTTTTTTTTTTTTTTTTTTTTGGAAAAATCTTTTCCAGATTGGGTGGATTTGATAATGGGGGACTATGTAATGATGGGTGAAAGAAATGATTACAGTAAGCGTTTATAGACTGAGATGACTTGTTTGATCAAAGTAGCGGACTGATTGAGTTTATTATTTTCGATGTTAACTAATTTCATCTAATAAAGGGATTACCTACTTGGGGATAATCAACAACAAAACGTTATCTTTAGGAAGGACATGTTCATAAAAGGAAGATTGGTTAGTTTTTTTCTTGATACCTGACCCTGCCCAGTGATTTTCCTCTTTATGAAGACACCAGCTGTCGATGATATTTTTTTATTGTGATAAATCTCAATCTATACGTATATCACAGAATGAGTGATATAAAGAGATGATGAATTGCATACAGTGATATTTTATGCAAGTTTGGTTGGTTACTGCTGATGCTGCAGTCAATATCCCATTTTCATTCTTTTATTATTGACATATTGGGGATGCACAATGATCAGTTAGAATGATGACTCTAAAAAAAAAAAAAAAAAATCGGGACGAAATTAAAATGTTCATCCAAAAACAAGGAAAATAATAGATGATTATCGTAGTGAAATAAATATTGATAATACTATGATTATAATAAAGTAAAATGGAAACATTCAAAGTCAGAACGCATAAACGAATGGATACAAGTATTAGAATCAAGGGGAATAAGAAAAAAAAAAAAGGGAGAAAGGAAGCAATATTATTTTCATCACCAAATTAAAAAAAGACTGCAGCTCCTAAAAAGCAATACTTTTTTTTTTTTTTTTTTTTTTTTTTTACTCCTTGTTTTTGTTTCAAGCCAATCAGTCATTCCCCTTGAAAATCACCCGCTTTTTATACAAATTTTTTGGTGCAAAGCGGAAAACAAAAAAAAAAAAAAGTCTTTGTTTCTCTTTGTTTCTTCTTCTTTCTTTCTTTCTCTCTCTCTATTTTTTTTTTTTTTTTGAACTTGGTTTCTTCTCCTTATTGTTAAAAATAAACTAGTTCAAAATGACTTCTTCTTGTGTTGTCACTCCCAAACAGACATCCATCAATGGTTATGATCACAAGACAAACGATCAGGTACCACCACCTTCAACCAACCCTCATCCACCTTCTTATTCATCATACTATGCATTTAATCCTCCTCCTCATCTTCAACAGACAACAACTATACCGCCACTACAACAACAACAACAACAACAACAACAAACAACTCGTGTTTATTCAAGTCATCACCCTTCTCGACCCTATCCTCTTTATAATGCTTATTACACTTCAACACCTACAACTCGGGTACCATTCATTTCTGAAAGGTCAGTAGTCACTCAACCAGTAGGTGGACCACTTCCTTCTCTTCATCGTCCCATTTCAACCTCAGCATATCAACCAAAACCATCATCTGATCATCCTACTACCACCACAAATAATGCTTCTTCTCGACGTCGATCCTCTCGAAACAGTAATCGCAGCAATAAAGAAAAACGTATGTTTGCCTGTCAAATGGAGGATTGTGGAAAAGTATTCAAACGATCTGAACATCTTAAACGACATATTAGATCCATCCATACCAATGAAAAACGTAAGTATTAAGGAAAAAAAAAAGGAGGACAAGATAGATAATAAAAGTTTTTTATTATAGCATTCGAATGTCCTTATCAACAATGTCAAAAACGATTCTCAAGATCAGACAATTTGAATCAACATATTCGAATTCATCGTCATTCTAGCAAGGAATCTTCAACACCCCCTTGATTATATTATGCATTCATTCAATTCGTATACTTTATTACTACTCTTTATTCCCCCCTCGTCCAATATTCTCTTTGTTCACTTTAGAACTAGCTAGTCTATTTCCACCCCCCGTCTTTATATATATATATCCATCATTAGTATACCTTTATTATATACCTCACTGGATGATTCATTTTATTACAATAAACAAAACTCTTTCATATTGAACAGGATAGATTTGACACTGTTTGTTTTGTTTTAGGTTTTATTACAAGTTGGATAGATAAACAATAATAAAAAGAAAGAACTAAAAGGTATGGATCAACACACGTTGATTTGACATTTCTGATTGGGAAGTAGTGAGACAAATAGAATGAATGAATGCATCCAATTCATCCCTACAGCTTGATTTCGAGTGATGTGATGATGGTTGGATCTTTTTCATTTGTTGAATAAGATGATCTCGTTCTTTGGCGATACATAAAGACATCTTGTAATAGGTTGATTTCATAGAGGGTCTTCCTTTTTTGTTTTTCTTTCTCTGATCATCACGTTGAAACTTGTTATTTATGTTCGATTGCCATTCTTGATTTTTATGTCGGTAGGCTTCCATACGATCTAATAGGTCATCCACTTGTTCATTCATGGATGTGTCGCCATTCGCTGCATGATGTTTACCATATCGAGGAGCAAATAGAGACAAAAGATGATCCAAGTCAACAGAGTCATAGTGAGGTAATGCTTGTTCTTCTTCTTTTGAAGTATAAGGTGGTGGAGGTGCTTCTAAATCCGCTGACTATGATTAAAATATTTTAATGATGATTGTCTAACAAGATGATTTTTCTTTTTATTATCAACATACGTTCATTTCTTTAGAAGAGGGCATGATGGTTGGAATCAAATATGGACAGGATGATTTCATTTTTTTTTTAAAAAAAAAAAGAAGGTAAAAGGTTAAAGTAAAAGATGGATCACAAGAAAAGATGGAAGCTATTTATATGTCTACTTCAATCCCATTTGTCAAATCCTCCTTTTTTGACCACAGCCCCACATCATTTACTTTTGTTCCATCATTGTGATGTTCTCTTCCCCTTTTGGATTTTGTTTGATCTCCCTTCTTGATCTCTTTCTTTCCTTGCTTTTCATCATCGTCGTCCCTTCTTATTCTCCTTCTTTTGATGTCATATACCGATGAATCATATATATATTTTTTTTTTTTTTTTTTTTTTTTTTTGGTTGTTACCCTGAAGTGGCTCTTAATTTAAAGCACAAAAAAAAAAAAAAGTCAAAGAAATAAATTAGGAAAAAAAAACGTCGATCTTTTTTTTTTTTATTAGCAAAATTGGATAGAGAGAGAGATGTAGCTAATATATGCAATCAATAGATGTTCTACAGTTTTCCAACAATAAGGATCGTCCTTATGAAACAAATCAGTATGATTTACAACACCATGAACAAACAGCTAACAACATTCTGTACATGTACTCCTTTCCTTTTTGGAACGGTAAAAGGGAGATGATTCATTTTAAAACAATAAAGAATAGGAGAAATTTCTATTATTGTCTTTCTCCTCTTCCTTCGTATGGTAAAGGACGCCACTATTATTCGTATTCTATCATTCAAAAAAAAAAAAAGAGAGAATGTGTAGTTTTTTATATATATAAGGAAAGAATGAAAAAAGAAAAAGTAAACTATGCTAATTGAAATATATAATGTAATAAAATAAAAAAAAGAGTATCTAAACCGATAAGAAAATCTAATAATAATAATAATAAACTAAATCTATTCCATATCCATCGGTGTAGGTTTGGTGATTTGTTCAGTAGATTTGACTTCCTTGATCAGGCCACCTTGGAACAATTCGGTATTCCATTTGGGAAAGATGCGTTTGTATAGTGATAACATCACTGTATCTTGTTGTGTCATTAGTCCATCGAATGTACACTTCATATAACCATGAGTACCAATTGATTCACGAATATGTCCCACTCGTCCATATTTGGTCGTTAATTGAACAGGCTTGAACCAATGAATATCATCTATTATATATTGATGTCAGTTCATGTGTTTGTTGTATCTTGTTGTTTTCATTACCTGTATTGAAGAACATATATCGAATCACTGCTGATCGCTTATGAACACGGAATGGATGACCACTAAGAATAATTCGTTTGGCAACAATGCGTTTTACATCCGTATTCATAAACATGCCAGTAGACACCAAAATAGGTTCTACCATAAAAGGAAAAAAGACATTGGTATGTTTGTTATTGTTGTTCACATTTTCATATTTCCTTTTTTTCTTTTTTCTTACCATTCACATCTTCAGTTTCCTTGTAAAGCATACAAGGTACTTTTCCAAAAACAACAGGCCCATAAACAGTTGCCACTGAAGATCGTCCCAATTGTAGAAATCGTTCATACTTGTGTACATTGTTGCTACCTTTGTTGGAGTTTTGTGAATAGATCGGCTTGACCTTATATCTTCGGAAACCCATATGAAGAATCATTGGATCCTATAAAATAATTAAATTTAATTTTTCTTGATTATTATCATTCCCTTCTCCTTTTACCTTGGATCGGACTGGTTCTTCATAAGCATTGTCTCGAGTGATTTGAAGATTCAAAAGGGACGATTTGTGTTCATATTGTAATAATCCAAATACAACATAGGGACGAGTCCTATCAAACATTTCTATTTCAAACCATAATGAAAACAGATCATTAGTTCCTTCGTCACTTTATTGCTTCTATCATTCCAAATTCCTTTTTCATTTAATCCATTTCCAGTTTTTTTTTTTTTTTTCCGTTCCTTTCTTCCCCATCTAGTCTTTCTTTTCTATAGAGATAAAATATCTTTTTTTTTTTTGAGTATTTACCATAAGCTCCTTTCGGCACATTCTTGATCCATAAAGTAATTCGACTTCCAGGCTTGATTTTCCCAACAATGGCTTGGCTTATCACACGACTTTTGGTACGCAAGTAGTTTTCGAATTGGAAAATACGACTATAATCCACAGGCAAATTTTCATAGGGATCCCAAGGAGATGTACGGAAAGATTGTAAACCGCGATATCTTGCAAACCTTTCCCGCGCAGGCATATGCATTGGAGTGTCAATTTCATCGGGAAACTCCTGATGTCCTTCAAATTCTTCTTTTCTTTTCTTTAGATATTCTTCGTACCTATTGACAAAATAAGTAAATAGAAAAAAAAAGTAAGTGGATTATATATAATATCTCCTTTAATCACTCCTATAATTTCTTCCTACTTACTGTCTTTGTTCTTCTTCAACATCGAGTTCATCCTCGTTTTCAACCTTTTCATTCATATCGATTTCTTCATATTCTTCTTCTTGATCATAATCCCCATTTCCAACAGGTTCTACAATGTCATCATCATTGTTGTTATCATCCACCATCATATTGGCATCTTCATCATCATCTTCTTCCAAATCACTGTAATCTTCATCATCATCGAAAATCCAAGCTGCTTGATAAGAAGAAGTACCTTTGGGAACACGTTTTTTATTGACTTGTTCTTCCTTCTGTTGCATACGACGTACACGTTCTATACAGGTTTAGGAATAGGAAGAAACACATATGAATAAAAATATCATCATCACTTTTTTTTTTCTTTCTTTCTTCTTTTACCATCAGCTTCAGCCAATTCTTCTTCGGTGGGCCAAGTTTGTTCATTTTCCATAAAGTCAGGTTCATTTTCGGCCACCAAGTCATCCTGTTCTTCAGGTACTGGGGTATCCAACACTTGTATATCTTCTTGCATATCACCACCATGATTCCGTTGAATATCTGCTGAAGTGATTTGTTCGATTTGATAATCACCAAAGTTTTGTAAATGAATTAATCGATTGGCATTGAATGGATTTCCACGAGCATATCCTGTCACCTTTAATAATCCAGTTTCCTAAATTCATAAGTAAATAAAATAATTAGCTTATTGTCACCATCATCATCATCTTCATTTTCTTTTTGATTTACTTCATTGTCAGGTTGATAATCTACTTGATCGGCTAACATATAAGGACGCAAATCACGCCACACCAAAGGTTTAGGACGTTGAGACGTAATATATCGCATTACATTCAAAGAATCAGAGTCAGTATCCAAAGAATATAAATGTTCTTGTTCTGGAAAGAATTGTTGAGTAAAGGAAACCAAGGATTTTTTGACAGCTACTTGATTCTTGGCAGGTACATTGGACATATACTATAATAATCAAAAAAAAAAAAAACAAAAACAAAAGAATAGACCAATGGTTAGTACATATATCATCATCTTTTTTTTTCACATAATCAATTGAAATAATAAAATAGATACCTGTACGACGGGTAAGACGTTAACAAGACCTTGATTGAGAATACTCAATAAACAGTTGATACCAAAAGAATCGACTTCGACATCAGCAGAGAGTAAAATAATGGCATAATCAGCAACCTTGAAAGCATCCAAGACATCATAAAAGTTGCGGCGTAAAGGAAAGAGTTGAAGTTTCTGTTTGAATCGTTCAGCATGGAGAACAGTAGGTACACCCTTTTCGACAGGAGGTTGTTGGCCCAATGACTTGTAAAGAGCAGTAATGGCAGCATCGACATCACTATCTGGACAAAGAGGTAATACAGGGACGATCTTGGGAGCACCATGACGACCTTCAAAAACACGATGAACTCGAGTTAATTCATCCCGTTTCTTTTGTTGAAGCACTTTGGCAGCATGTCGACGATCTTGTTTCGACAATGACTTGAGACCTCCACCTTGTTTGACAGATGTTCGATTCACCTTTCCCTTGGAGATTTCTTTCAATGTTCCCTTGGTGGCATGACGAGACTTGAACGGTTTGTTCGACTGGTGCATAGATCCAGGTCGATGACGGTGCATATTGATAATGTTTTGTCTTTGACAGAGAAGGCGGAAAAGAAAAAGAAAAAAAAAAAAAGAAACTGAAAAGGAGAACCAAAAAAAAAAAAAAAAAAAGCTTGAAAGGCAGACGAAATTGTAAAAGGAAACAGTCACCTCGAGGCTTTGCGGACCAAAACTTTTTGCATGAAGAGTGGTGAACTAACCATTTCTTTCGCTTCTTTTTTTTTTTTTTTTATGACCATCACTCTTCATCCCATTACTCAACTCAAAGGACATACTGCTCCTGTTCTTTGTGCCAAATATGCCAAAGATACCATTTTAGGTGACCATGTACTTGCTTCTGGTTCAGGTAAATTCCGTTTTCTATTTATGATAAAAATATCTTTTGACTTGTTCTATCTTTATATTTCAACCTAATAGAGGATAATACCTGTCGTATTTGGGATTTACGTTCACAACGTGTAGTCAAAGGAATCAAAGGTTTGCATAATCCGGTATGAAAACAAAAAAAAAAAATATTGATAACTTGGTATGTTACGAAAGCACTTACATTTTTTTTTTTTTTTTTTTTTAAAAAAAAAAATAGGTTTCTAGCGTGGAGTTTGCTCCTGTGCCTGAAAGTTCATTGCTTTACTTATCCTCTGGAACCAAGGTATCAAAATATATATATAAAAAAAAGGAAACAATATATTTGGTGATATATGGTTTAATATCTTTGTTCATTCTTTAGGTTTTCACATATGATATACGAAACACAAGTATGATTCTATCTGAAGCTACTAGGGAATACGATTTCAGTAGTGATGAAATTAATTCTGTAAGTAACTTTATCATTTTATTTGTTCAACTTGCTCATTCAATTTAATTAGATCGATGTCAATGGAAAACATACATATCTGGCTACAGCAGACGACAATGGTGAAGTGAAAATAAGTAAGTGCGAGTAATTTATATTTATCATAAAAGAAAAAGAAGCATCTAATCATCTTTTCCTTTTATATATATATATATATATATATATATATTCTTCAGTTGATCTGGCTACTCATACTATATTCAAGAAAATGACAAAGAAGCATGGAAATGTAGGTTCAAGAAAAAGATATAGTACCTTTTTTCTTTTTAACAAGTCTGACCGTTTTTATATTAGTTATGTATGTCTGTCAAGTTTAGTCAACGAATGACCTGGGAAGGTATAAGAAAAATTGAACAAGTAGGAAATGATATTAAAAAAATTAGATTAACACCTTTGATTCATTTAATCTAGTGTGGTCGGGCGGATTGGATTGCAAGATTTATCGATGGGACTACTCTAGGGGGAAACCGTTGGACATCATAAATACAAGTAAATAATTGAATACTAAAAAAAAAAAAAAAGGAGGGAATAAGTCGAAAAAGAATAAAAAAGAATAACTCATGTTTTCTTTATTGTCTATTAGCATCAAGCGAACCCTCAGCATCACAAATGTTTAACCCTCCTTTTGTCTACACTCTTGGATCTTCTTTGGATGGAAATTGGATTGCTGCTGGTTTAGGGGATGCATCCATTCAGCTTTTTAACTTTGGTGATAAGAAGAAGAAAAAACAGCAACTGGATACCAATCCTAGAGAAATACGGTTGGAAAATGGTCATACCAATATGGTCAATTGTTTGTAAGTTCATATCCTTGAAAATAAAACGAATATAGAAAAAAATCGCTATTTTGATTAATTCATTTCTTTCCCCTGATTATCATTTTTTTTTTAATTAGATCATTCTTACCTCTATTGGATGGTAATAATACCTTTGCACATTTGTTATCAGGTTCAGTCAATGGTTCTTTGGCATTATGGCGTCTACCTCATCACCTTGATGACGTGACTGATCATCATCATCAATTACAAGAAACTCTAGAGAAATATCAATTGGACGACTCGATAGCACGATTGAATCATTTGGAATCATATTCATTGGATGGAACATCAACTCAACTGGCAGTGGCTGGTGTAGGCACTCAATGCAATCTAGGGGTACTGAATCTTTATTCTCTATTATAGAATTTGACTCCTGTTTTATATCGACTTATTTTAGTTATTATTCGTAATCAAATCTATGTTTTATTATAGTTGTTGTAGACTTTATTGTAGTTTTAAAATAAATATCACTAATATTCTTTTTTTTTTCTTAAGATCGAAGATGATGTCTAATCTTATTTTGTTTTATTTACTGTGAAACATTGATTCTATGGAAATTTTACTGTAGTTGTAAGGTCTATGTGGAAATGCTAAGGGAATGAATTGATTGCTTTACATTAATTAGAACGATGAATGATGATAACGTTTTCATTTTTTTTTTTTGATAACAAACTCGCGTTTATCGTTGTTGCTACATACACACAAAAAAAAAATAATCATCCAATCATTTAATGAAACAAGAGCATGAAATCGCCGGCATGCACATTAGGATGATGATGCTTGATAGTATTTCTATTACCGTGTTTGGTATCCGGAAGAAGGCAACCGATGATAGAGAGGAGTTTTAATCGAAGGCAAAAATATATGGTTAATGTATTATCACAAACTATTAGTCAGTTCTTTGCTGAGTCTTTTGGCTTTGCCACTACTAGTGATAACATTATACCTATCGTGACTCAATCATCATGTATCATATTATTATTATTATTATTATTATTTAATCATCATAGTATCATTTTATAATCATTCCATCATTATCATCCATCACCTTTCGTTTATTATTCATCGATCATCATCACCATAAAAGGCCATTCAGTTGGACCCCGACAAATGTCAAGAAAAGAAATTCAGGGGTAACCTAAATAATCCAAACAACAAAGGGTTTTTCTGTTATCCTGATTGTTTTTGTTTATAAAGAGAAACATCTTTTTTCCAATCAAATTGAAGATACAGTTCAAAACGTGCTTACTTTATTGAATGAGTCTATTCATCGTGTAACCAAAACAGAGGTCAAAGGAAAATGAATGAGATCGATACAACAATCACAAAACGGTATGATAGAAAAAAAGAAATAGGAGCATGAGTCATTTTCTTGCATGATTTAGTATCTTTTTTTTTCTTTTTTCTTTTTCTTTTTTTTTTTTTTTTTTTTACCCTTGCATTAAACTTTGAGTAAAAGATGAAGAAATTTTTTTTGACTAGAAAGGAAGAAACATGTGTTGATTTTAAATCTGATAAGAAGATCCAAACTCTGTTTAGAATGAATGATTGACAAGGATTGCAACATTTCCAAAAATAAACAAAAAAAAAAACCAACTAAAACGAGGTAGGCCTTTTTTTTTCTTTATTATTTCTCGGGATGATTGACACGTGGATGAAAGAATACCATTCTGCTTAATAAACAATGATGATGTCGAGATTCGATATGGTGTTAACTTCCAAACATCTTTTCATAATACATAGATAAAAAAAAGCTTTTTTTTATTATTATAGAAAAAAAAAGAAAGAATGTGATGGGGAATATAAACCATGGTTTGTAACAATATTGTCATGGAAACTAAGTACTAGATGAAGTGATATATAAAAAGAAAAATATGTATAAATGCAATCGATTGTATAAAAAAAAAAGAAAACCAGTTTTTTCATATATACCATGTATGTAAAAAAGAAATGAAATAGATAAAGAAAAAGAATCATATATAAAAGAAGATAATATGCATGTTTTTGGAGTGTGATGATGTGACCAAAAAAAGAATGACAAAGGTGACCATAAAAATCCAAAAGGAGAGACAAGGAGACAAAAAAAAGAGATCGCCGTTGATTGCTTATCAATGTTATCAAAAAAAAAAAAATAGCCAAAATAATAGTAGTCAAAAGTATAGTGTCACCAATGAAAAAAAAAAATGAGAAAGAGGAGATAGGTAATGAGAAATGCAGCAGTGAGAAAAAAAAAGAAAACAAAACAAAACAATCAAATGGTATATTCCTTAAGGATAAACAGGACAATGTTCTGATAAAGAAAAATAAAGAGAATATTAGATGATTGTGATGATGATGACGATTGATCTTACTTGTTTTGTGATTAGGTGACCCACATACTGCACAACTTGATCCTTCGTCATGATCTTTCTTCAACATTGTAGTAGATGATTGCGTAAACATGATATATAGTAAAAAAAATAAAATAAAACGTACAATAGAATCAAATAATAATAATAAAAAGTATATACAGAAGAAAGAAAAAAAAAAGAAAGAACAAAAAAAAAAAATAAACAAAAAAAAAAAGGGTAATGGCAAAAGAAATATTTATATGTCCACGTTTTCCAACCAAAAAGACGAAAATAGACATGCCGATACTTTCACTGACAGGCGGAGACGTAACACTAAATCTCATTCACCAACTATATGACTTTGTTCCTTATCGCGATGAATCTATACTATCCACCAAAAAAAAAAAAAAAAAAAGGCCAACGAAGAAATGAAATTACCCTGATTCCCTTTTGTTTTTTTTTTTTCTGTCATCCCCTTATCTAGCCAGTAAATCCGATTTCTATCGAAAATAAATACCCGTCTCTCCCCCCACCCTTTTCATCCCAACATACAGAAGAGGTGAATTAAAAAAAAAAAAGAGAATGCCAAGTGCAACCATTTGATTGATACCCCGATGTCTCCATTAAAAAATCCCAGTTTTCATCGATACGGTATCACATGGTATTCACAATCAAAAAAAAAAAAATCATCATCACAAAATGTCAAACTGACAGCTATCATGATCAAGTGATTTTTTTTTTTTGTATCTATTATGTTTCGGAACGATAAGCGTACATGCTGCAGTGATGATGAACGAAATTTTTTTTTCTCGCTACAATTTTCAAAACGCCACAAATTTATCACCTCATAAGGGTATAAGTTCAAGTCATTTCTCGACCTTTTTTTTGGATATTCATTTTAGCCCGAACCATCCCGTGTGTGTGTAAATCATGCTGTTGATATATAAGTACATGTATATATATATATATGCAAGAAAAAGGGGTGGATATCAATCTATACAGTGATAAGCAATCAAAGAGCATATAAACAAAGATATTGTGGTTCCTCCTTTCTTTTATTGATTGGTATCTTTTTTCTTTAAAAATAATAATAATAATAATAATAATAATGATACTATCACTAAAAAGAACTCTCTGTCTATCCATTCAACAAGAAGAAGCCAACAATTTCTTGAACCTAGTTAGTGCAGCCTTTACATCAGGTTCACCTTCCAAAAATTCCACTAATCCAAGCTGTGCTCTTGTGTGTCGAAGTGCTTCTTGTTCATCAAAGCGATAAGATTCACGTTTCGAATGCAACCAGTGTTGTTGTCGTTGTAAGTGTTGAATATGTCGTTCTAAGCGATCATTCTCTTGCAATAATTGATTGGTTGAAGTCCATGTGCCACTAGCCATATCATCCATTTGCTGTTGTAATCGTTGATTTTCCATTTTGATTTGTGCCATTTGTAATTCCAATTGATGTTCCCGCATCGTCTTCATTACATTGTCCACGTTCATCACAGCCAAATGATAATGTGTTTGGTCTACTAGTATATACATAGAAAAAAAGATACTTCAGTCCATTGATTTTTTTTTCTTTCACTTTTCAGTTTATAACCATTACCTTGGTAATCAGATAATGATGATAGTGCAGCAGAATCGTCATGATCATCATGATCATCATCTTCAGCATTATTATGATAATCATCCTCATCATCATCATGATCTTCATTTTCAGCATCATCATGATCATCATCATTCATTAATGAACCTATTGGATAAAAAAAAAGGAGGTTAGTATTGCTTCTGAGATATGATACTAAAAAATAAAAACAATAATAGGCATTATTTACCTGGATGTTGTAATGTTTCATCAGATGAATATGTGTCTAATAAATAGAATGAAACATATAAATCATTTGTATTAAATCATATTCCCCCCTTTCCCCCTTTTTTTTTAATACACCAAAAAAAAAAAAAAAGAAAAGATAAAAATAGGATAATTACCTTCTTTGATTGAAAGTAAACCAATGATAGAAGAGGAAGAAGAGGATATAGAAGAAGAAGACTTGGTAGTTTGTGAACAAGGAATAAAAGTTGAATGTTGAGAAGATAGATTTTTTCCTAGTGGATTGTTGTACCAGGCAACAGGATGAAGTGGCAAATTGGGAGGAGGGATATTGTAAAACGAACCAGCGTCAAAATGATCATCATCTTCGTCATCATATTCCGTAGATGAAAAAGTACAAGTAGTTGGTGTATAACAAGTTGCTCGTAAATGATCCACTACATGAGGTACTGATAATCTATGTTGTTGATGTTGTTGTTGCTGTTGTATAAATGTAACAGGTCGTCTTCGTATTTGAGGTTCATAATGATCGATGATAGGTTGATGATTTTGTATAGAATGAGGACGTTTTGATATAATAGGTGGAGATGATGATGATGTATGCTTGTTAGTAAAAAAACGAGGACGATCATTCCATTTATCACGCCAACGGTTCAATGTATTGAATCTTTTATCACCTATTGAACGTCGACGTGTATGTGGTGATGAAGTATGTGTGACTTTATCATGTACTTTACTAAGTATCTTTTTAAATTCCATTAAAATAAAAATAAAAATAAAATAAAATAAAAAAATGAAAGAAAGAAAGAAAGAAAGAAAGAAAAAAAAAAGAAAGAAGAAAATATAAAATATTCTTCATTTAAGGGGGGAAAGGGATTTCGTTCATTACGCAGCTGAATTTAAATAAGCATAAAATATGAGAAAAAAAAAAAAGGGGGGGAAAGAGTCCATTCCAAACAAAAAAAAAAAAAATCAATTCGTATTGATAAATAACTAGATTTTATGCAAGCACAGATCAAAAAGGAGAAATCATCACTTATTACTGACAACAACAAAAAGAGAAAGAGTGGGGAACCTAAGGAGAACTGTTGAGACGCCGCTGGTTACGCCTCGGATGAGAGTTAGCCCTGTTGTAGTACAAAAAAAAAAAAGTATTCTAGTGAAAAAAAAATTTTCTTTTTATTCATAAAAAAAAAAGAATGATTTTTTTTTTTCTTCTTCTTTTTCTTTTTCTTCTTCATCATTTAACCCATTCCCTTTCCTTTCTTTTTTTTTTTACCTTTCCTTTCCTTTTAACCTTTATCTCTTATTAAAACCCCAGTCTATCCTTATTTAACTTTTTTTTATTCATTCTCCTCACCAATAATATATATATATATTCATCATGACTGAACTCTCTTTATCCACGTCTACTAACCAGTATGATTACATGGTTAATATCAATCCTTCCATGGTACAAAAGGTTTCCAGTCCTGAAGATATGAATACTTCTCCACCGGTATCGTATGATGATTCCACTCAACAATATGCATATCAAGGTAATAAATAATAATAAATAATAATAATAATAATAATAATAAAAGAAGAAATGGTGAACAGTAGTAAGCTATTCAAGGGGCAACCTAAAAAAAAAAAAAAGGAGGAAATTAACTTTTTATTATTATTATTATTATTACTTGTTAGAATATGCATTTCAACAAATGCCTTTAGGTTATCCACCTGTTTATCCTGTTCCTCGTTTTGATCAAACTACTACTACTGCTACTACGACTTATTACGAACCACAACGACTTGTCCAACAACATCCCAATAGTCCAGATTCTATTTCTTCTACTTCATCACCACCTACCCCTCCATCTACTACAACTTCAGCTTTATCTCGTACAGTTACCATGCATCCTTCATCATCTACTTCAACTATCTCATCCACTTCTTCTTCTTCTTCATCTCTCGCTACAGCAAATTCATCCACTCCTTATACAAATATTCTTACTTCTCAAGCTCTTGATCATAATACTACTCCTACAATGATCAATCCTCTTGTACCTTCTTCTTTTTCAAATGCTACAACTGCTCGTGTCAAAGAAACAATCGCTCGTGCAAATTCAGTACCCATGGAATTCTATCATACTGAATTTTTGGAATATTCAAAAGAAACTTATGAGCGTAAAATGGATGCCAAACGAAATAAACGCAAACGACCTCAACAAAACAACAATATTGTACGTGATGAATCATTATCACAACAGGAACATAATAACAAACGATCCAAAAAACAACAACAACAACAACAACAAAATGAATTAGTGGATGATAAAGAAGATTCTGAAGATGATTTAGATGAAGATGATTTGGATAAGGTGGCTAATGCGTAAGTTAAAATCTATATTTATCATTTTTTTATTTTTATTTTTATTAATTGATTTTTTTTTTTTTTTTTTTTTTTTTTTTAGTCAAGGTCTTAGTAGTGCTGAACTTCGACGTCAAATTCATATTCAATCAGAACAAAAACGTCGTGCTCAAATTAAAGATGGTTTTGATGAATTACGAAAACATTTACCGGGCTGTAATAACAAAAAGATGAGCAAGGCTGCTTTATTGACAAGAAGTAAGTTTATATAATAATATCATATCATTCTTATACTTAACTTTTTTTTTTTTTTTATATATAGCCGTACAACAAATCCAACATTTGAAATCAATGCAATCTGAATTACTCGCTGAAGTAGAACGTCTTGTCCAAGAAAATGAAAACTTGAAAAAGTAAGTATGGAAATATACATTTATAAAGAAGGAGTAGAATCTAATCACATTTATGCTATGTAGGTTTCAACATGGTGTTCTTCAAAGACAGGCTATGGAAAAAATGTACAACTTTTGATCATTCTCTTTCCTTTTTTTTTAGTGTTTTTACTTTTTTACTTCTTTGTGTTTATTTATGATTCATCTTTTTCTTTTATATTTACTGTTTTTTTTTCATGGATTCCCTTGCTTTATGATTTCTTACTTTTTTTTTTTTGATCTCCCTAGTATCTTTTCCCTTTCTTTAATACCGTTTTTTTCTTATTTGTATCTTCTTTCCCGTTTTATATTCTCTCTCTTCATTCCCTCCCTCTTTTTTTTTTTTTTCTTTTTTCTTTTTTCTTTTTTCTCTTTTCTCTTTTCTTGTATCTTGTTTTAGTTTCGTTTCTCTCTCCCAATAATAAATAAAAAAAACTTCTTTTTTCTCCTCTCGTTATTATAATGATGATTATCTTATGACGATGATTCCTCCTTTTTTTTCAATTATTCGGTTTAATTGTATAAGGTTTGGTATGGTACTACCAATGTCTGAATATCGATTGTCTATCATGATAGGTTATGGTACCTATTACTTTCTTAAGCGTGATGGATTCTATTAGTATTATTATTATTTCGTTTTTTTTTTTTTTAAAAAAAAAGAAAGTATATTTCAGCTGTGTATGGAACAAAAAAAAAGTATTTATACTTTGAATACATGTGGTAGGAGGAATAATTGATAATGATAATTGAGGATGTGGAGAATCAATGTGCATTAGCAATGAATAAGTAATATTGGGAAAAAAAAGTTCTGTTACACATTTACCAAAAAAGAGTCTATCTATAGCGTGCACGTGCATAGTAACTTGAATGTAGTCTTTTTAATATTAAAAAAGCAAAGACTATATCATTTTTCATTTAAAGTATTAAAGACGACTAAACCATGTTTGATATGGTTCTTGTTGCATATTTTAATCAGATTATACTAATAATCAATTCTTGTTTTTTTTTCTTTCTTTTGTATAATTAAAAGTGTGGATGCTTAGCCTTATGATGAGAATGTGGAACAGACCATCAACAAAACCATGAAGCGGATGATGAAATCTTACTTTAGATGGTGTTGGGACCACAGAAAAAAAAAATAGTTCGCGGTTCTTTGGTTCTTTGTTTCTTTTCTTTCCTTTTTCTTCTTCTTCTTCTTTTTTCTTTTTCTCAACAGTATCGACATGATTCTCTTGTAGTATTAAATACTCATTCACACACGCATACTTTATCTCTCTTTATATTTGATATTTTATTTTTCTCGTTTATACCATTCTTACTTCTTTCTTCTTTACATTTGATACCTCTTCTTCGAAGATTCATATACTCACACACACACATATATATATATACCTTTATACACTGTACATTATGGATGTCAGTCTTGTCAAGACAAAGGATATCAAAGGTAATAAGAAAAAAAATAGAAAAGAAAAAAAGTCTATAGATCACTCACCTCTTTCTAGTCAAAGTCTTTTATTCATTCAAAGGTTCTGATACTATATGTTTATGTTGTTACCAAACTGAAGCATCTATCCATTCTCAGCACCAAAAATTTGTCTCCATTCCTCTTCGACCTTGTTTATTAAGTTTATGTGCTTCTTGGTAAGTGAGCTGAGAAAATGAAATAAACAGAGGAAACACTTCTTTGGCTAATTCAATCTTTTTTTTCTTTGTAGTCCAGATATGTTTCTTCAACCTGATTCTGATTGTGCTGTATATAGTGCCCATTTTCAAGCAACTAATATCTTCAACAAAGATGTACTAACAATCGAGGAATTCATATGGGAAGGTCATGGTTTAGTTTCTTGGATATTGGAAGGTCATCAACATACTAATCATCATGTCAACGGTAAACTCTATCAACATCATATAGAAGTCAAACTCCAATTACATAAGGTAAAAATTCTACTTTTTTTTTCCATCTTTCTTGAATACTAACAAACTGTTATATATAGACTCCTCGCATGACTACTACTGAATACTATCAAGAACTTATAAGAACAAATCCTCAAATCACTTCATCTCAACCAAAGGTAAAAAGATATCATACAAATCTTGTATCAAATGGGATTCTGGAATTTTATTTTAATGATTCATTTATTTCCTATTATTAGGTACGACAAGGATTTCATTTGATTACTTCCACTAAACAAACAAGATCTCCATCATCACCTCGTTCGTCAATGACTACTCCTGTACCATGTTTGAATTCTTATGATAATAATAATAATCATCGTCATAAAGTATTGGAGACGCATCAACCACATGAATCTCGATTACCGCCTTTACTCTTTCATGCAACCACTCCGACATCATCACCGAAAAGGAAACGCTCATTATCATCATCATCATTATCTACATCTTCATCATCAACGGATAGACAACCATTCTCTTCTCATTCTACATTTGATATCACCTCAGCAAAGAACACCAATAACAACAACAATGAAATCAATAAATTGTCAACTTGTCAATCAATGACTTCATTACCATCTCCATCAACTCTACTTGAATGGCGATCTTCAACCACTGCAATCAAATCACCTACTCTTGTATCACAACCATCAGCTCCGCCATTACCTGCTTCTTCTTCTTCTTCCTTTACACAATCTAATTTTTCTTCGAATGCACGACGAAAAAAACGGGATACCAAGCCACCCAATGTTGATGATATCCGAACATTTATTCAAATTGAACAAGATGAACAAGGCAATTACTGTTTGCCTGTGGAGATTGATTCTTGGACCGTATATTCCCTTGGTCATGTTGTTTATGATCGTCCTGCATTTCATAATCAACGATATATATATCCTGTTGGTTATAAAGTGAAAAAGTAAGAATAAATGGATTATAAATATCATATAAACTCATTTTCTTTTTATTTATTTTGGAAAATAGATGGTACAGAAGTATGGTGGATCCCAAAAGTGATACTCAATATGTTTGTGAAATTTTGGATGGTGGTCAAGAACCTGTGGTACGTTAGTCATTAAAAAAAAAAAAAAAAAAAAGAAAAAAAAAACTTTATTATATATTCAGAATTTCTTTGACTCATCACGTTTCTTCTTTATAGTTCCGGTTACAAGCAGATGATGATCCTTTAAATGTTTATACTGGACCAACTCCTACAACAGTATGGACAATTGCTGTTAGACAGTAAGTAGGAATTATATTTTATATATATAAATATTTAATTTTCATTTTTTTTTTTTCTATTAGAGCATTTGCAATTCGAAATATGGATTATGGACATAATCCTGTAGGTCCTGACTTTTTCGGTTTACGGAAAAATACAATAGCAAAGATGATACAAGATTTACCCAACGCTGACAAATGTAGCAACTATATATGGCAACAATTCTCTGTGGCAAATCTAGGCAAACCAGCAAAACGGCGCATGTACTTTCCACCACAAGCAAGATAATCATCTCTCTTCCTTCTCCCCCCTTTTTTTTTTTCTGTGCATCTATGGCATGGTTCTTTTTTTGGCAAAGGCGGAGATTCTGTGGATTTTTTTTTTTTTTTTTTTTTTGGGATGAAATGTTTTTTCTTTTTTTTTCTTTTTTTTTTTTCTTTCTTTCTTTTTAACTCTTCCCCCCCTGGATACATTTACGGTAGTTCTTTCTTTCTGTCTGTCTTTATACATCTTGATATTAGTTTAGTTATCTATTGGGGTTGATCAATTTGATGAAAATAAACACTATTTTATCCTTCGAAAACAACAAGAGCAACAAGATCAATATAAACCTGTCATTACCAATACCTTAAATCATTCTTCTTTCGATCAATCATTTTATATGGATACCACTTCTTCTTCGCCTTTGATCCCAGTTTCTCTTTCTTCTGGTGAATCAAAATCTACCTATCGACAAGAACTTTATTGGCTTTTAAAGAATGCTCTTCCTTTGGTCATCAGTTACCTCTTACAAAACAGTCTTCAAAGTGTCTCTGTTATCAGTGCTGGTCATTTGGTAAAAAAAAAAAAAAAAAAAATCATATTGTTAACAGTCATTCGGTTTCTCTCTCTGTTGTTTAGGGATCAACTGAATTGGCAGCTGCTTCATTAGCATCCATGTTTGTGACAGTGACGGGTTTGTCGACCGTGATGGGCACGACATTATGTCTAGATACACTTTGTTCTCAAGCATATACGAGCCGAGATTGTGATAAACGCGTGGTAGGACTTCATGTACAACGGTGTTTGGTATTCTTGTCTCTCCTTTTCATCCCCATCATGACCCTTTGGTGGTATGCCCAAGAAGTGTTCCTCTTACTTCGACAAGATCCTGATGTGGCCTACCTATCTGGTAGATTTGTACAATGGATGATCCTGGCCCTACCTGCCTTTGCCTTGTTTGAATCCCTCAAAAAAATGTTGCAAGCTCAAGGTCTGTTCCGTGCTCCGACGTATGTTTTATTTGTTGGTGCTCCTTTCAATGTCCTGGCAAGTTATACCCTGGTGTGGCATACATCTTTAGGTTTTATCGGCGCCCCCATTGCTGCTGTACTTACTTACTGGCTTTTGGTATTGCTCCTGGTAGTTTATATTATTCATGTGGATGGGTCTCAAGTATGGCCGAAATGGCAATGGTATCGTACGCATCGTGTAGGCGGTGTATTGGATCGACATGCCTATGGACCTATGCTCAAACTGGCTGTTCCTGGCATCTTATTGATATGTAGTGAAAACTGGGCATATGAAATCATTGCATTGGCTTCAAGTTGGATTGATACCAGTGGAACGACAAGTCAAGGCGCTCAATCAGTCATCATCACGTCCGTCGCCATGTTATACACCATCCCTTTTGGTGTGGGGATCTCTGCAGCAAATAGAGTAGGAAATGCATTAGGTGCTCAACGACCAAAACAAGCAGCGATGGCATCCAAGGTAGCATTAGCGGCAGCATGTGTAGTAGCTTCGATCAACGCTTCCATGTTGGTTTTCTTCCGGCATCAATGGGGTTATCTATTCACGGATGATGAAGACGTTGTGATGGCAGTAAGTAAGGTTTTGCCTATTGTTGCCGTCTTTATATTTGGAGACAACATGGCTGGTATTGCGGATGGTATTCTGAATGGACAAGGTCGACAACATGTGGGTGCTTGGTTCAATTTGGCCGCTTATTATCTTTCGTCCTTGCCTTTGGGTTTTTATCTCTGCTTTTCCATAGGTTTGGGTTTGGCTGGAATCTGGATTGGCTTGATGATTTCTTTATTGGCGGTTGCTATTGCTACCATGTTTGTCGTATGGCGCTCGGATTGGCCTCAACAAGCTGAAATTGCAAGACTTCGTGCTAGTTTAGAAGCAAAAGAATTAGATTAAATAAATAGAATAATAATAATAATAAAAAGGCCTGCATGAAATAAGATTGTGTCTCCGCTCTCTCTCTCTCTTTTTTTTTTTTGTCTCGTTTTTTTTTTTTCACTTCTTTTTTTTTTTTTTTCAATTCCTTTTAGTCTTCACTTTTTTTTTAATTTAATGTCAATAGAAATAGATCATGACGGATAAAATCCAACCGCCAGCACCACCACAATATACAGGACTTCCGGTACATTCATCACAACAACAAGGAGGAGATTATCCTGGAAATCAAGGTGGTAGTACTATGGGCCGTGATGCTCTGGTCTACGATCCCACGACAGGTCAACCCATGTTATCCAGCCTCACCGTCCAACGTCACCAGATAGAGACTTCCCTTGGTCCCGTTTGTCCTCAAGATCGTGGCTATCATTCTTTACGCATGCACTATACAACGAAATCTCTCTTGTTTGCTATTCTCATCATTCCATATTGTTGTGGTTATCGTGGTCGTCGTGTGGTAAATCAATATATAGATAGTTGGTATTCAACTCATTTTTTTTTTTTTTTTTTTTTTTTAGTGTCAATGTACAAAGTGTAATCAAAAATTTCCTTCTATTATATTGCCGGAACCCTGATATGTTGCCATGGATTTTTTTTTTTGTTGTTTAGTTAGTTCTTATTTGTGTATCCAATAAAGTTATTCCTTTTACTTTTATTTCAAGAGTTATCACTTTAAGCCCTCAGGATTATTTTGGAAGTTGTATCTTTATAGCTAGCGTTACGTTGATGTGTTTTTTTTTTTTTTATTTGCAAAGCAAGATGAATCAAGTCCATCCTCTCTACAAGTCTTTGAAGATCATCTTAGAGTCTATGAGCTTCTAATGAAATAGATGTCACATGTTCCTTCATAAAAATTTGACAAGGCCAATTTCAACTATCATGAAATCACCATAAAGCACCAGCGATAAAGAATCATAGGTTGATGATGGCATCTGATTTTCTTTTTTTTTTTTGTGAAACAAGCCTATGATGGCGATGGGAGTACAATTGACGTTGCTTTGAAGGAAGATAATGCCATTGTTACTCTTGCATGAATCATCTTCCCATAGTGGAACTTGGTACTGTCCTTCTTTATTCATAAAGCTAGTATGGACTTTTATTGTAACGATGGAGATTCACATTAACCTCTATTCTATGGAAAAAAAAATGCATACAATGCCAAATAAGAGACTGATGATACAACAGTATATCAGTTTTTTAAAACCTGTTGGATCAAGGGCGTAAAATCATTTCTCTTTATTGGAAGGTATCGTAAAAAAAAAACAAAAAGAAATAAAAAAAAAGGATCCAAATATGAAAAAGAAGGCAAGATAAATACAAATATGATCTAACTAAGTAAACTATATAAAATATATAGGAGGTGATAGGTTCAGACGAGATGATGATACACGGATGTCCAAATATCCAATTTCTGCCGTTCCAGATGTAACTGACCTCTTGCATATTCCTTAATGGCCGTAATCATATCATGAGAAACATCCCGTTTGTATCGACGTTCAAGGTCATCACGTAAATTCCTTTCGATTCGTTGGTGTCGTTGAAAATAAATTTGTTCATCTGATCGTGCCTAATAAAATATATTGTATATAGACGTTTTTTGTTAATATTCAAAAGTATGATCTATTTTTTTTTTTTATCTTACCTGTTCCAAATCAGCAATCACATCATTCACTTTGTCACGATCAATCGTACTTGAAGATTTCAATCTATCCACATGACGTAGACATGATTCTGTATGTTTCCGGCTAGCCAAGTAATCTTGAAAAGCATTTAATCGACGTTGTAATGAGGCCTATAAAAAATCAATTCATATCATCGCCATCCTATATTTCTTTTGAATCACTTACCTTGGCTGCTTCAGCATTTCTAATTTGATAGTGTATCTCTCCAGCGATTGTTTCTGTTAATAATAGCCTTTGTGATTGTTCTAAATCCACCAATTGTTGACAACCTTTGGCCATGCGTTTATATAAACTAGAAAGAACAAAGATAAGTTTTTTTTCATATATATATATCTATCATCATAAAGTACTTGCATGAATAAAAGGGGATGAGGTTCCTGACCACCATAAGAAATCCAACTTGAAGCCATATCTGACCATATATCAGAAGAAAGAGCATGTAACATGATTTGATCTTGAGTTTTCTGTTGTACATTGACTAATTGATGTTCAAATTCTTCTAATTGATCCAAAGTGAGAGTAAATTCTTGATCCATATCTTGTTCCTTGATATCCAATCCTGAGAGTTTCTTCTGTCTTTTTGTTGGTTTGAGTTGTGGTCGAAACTAGAATAATAATAAGATTAAAATATTGTTATGTTTATATTTTTTTTTTCTCTGATATACTGACCCCAACTTCACTTTCAACAAATTCACGTAAACCTTCGTTGGGAATAACCCGCGGATGGGAAGTAATGCGAAGTAACCAGAGTTGTATATTTCTATCCCAAGCTGCGTTTCGATAAGGATCGGTATTGTTGGTATCCATTAGACGGTCTGAAGCCAATATGATGGGTGAGCTTGACGACGACGACGACAACGATGACGACGATTGGTTATATTGCGTAGTTGGATGGTAGTCAATAGCTGCTGCGTGTACATTGAACCACCATTGTCGAGGTACCAAAGCACCATGCTTATCTCGATGAGGTTGAGGACAATAAGGCAGAACAGGAAGAAGAACATCATCAAGTGTAGAAACCAAATGCCGATCTAATTTTTGAAGTTCACTATAGTATCTTGGAAAACGCCGTTGTTTCTGTTTGTATTTCACCATATTTGTCTAGTAAAGAAATAAGTAATGAGAATATTTAACATAATCTAGCCTATTTACCGTAGCTTGTATCCAGAAGACAGGATCTTTTCTATTATAGTCGACAGTGGTTATGTACAAATTCAAAATAGGTTTTGAGTCATGTTGTGCCATTAATAGAGAGAAACTGCATTTCAAAGGAAGGAAAAAAAAAGAAAAAAAAAGAAAAAAAAAAAGGCAAAAGAGGAAGGTCAGTTAGACTTTTTTTGGGTTGCTCTTTTGCTGGGATCCAAAGAGAAAAAATTAAAGTTCTCAATATGTGCTCAAACCATCCCACGAACACCATTCCTGAAGAGTGATTGGTATACTTAAAATTCTCAGTTGTATACATATAAAAAAAACAAAAAAACAGAAAAAAAAAAAAAAAAAAAAGAGAAAAAGAGAAAAAAAAAACAAAACTAGTTTGATAGTCGTTTCTTTCAGGTAGTACGGGTGAGATCATAAAAGTATGACAAGAAATCCGTCATGATACTGAGAGCCAACCTTCAATAGATGAGGAAGAAGAATAACGTAATATGTTTATTGGAATCACAAAAAAGATATCAATAATAATAAACAAACAATCAGAATCGAGACCAGATATAAAAATAAGCTAACCACCGTTGAGAGCATTTCAAGCAATTAAAAAAAGGAATTCATCAATCAGACTGTTCTTGTAAGCCATCCCCACTAAAATCTAAGACTTCAAAAGAGGTAACATGATTCCTATAATAAAGATATGAAAAGATGAGTTTTTTTTTTTTTTTTTTTTTTTTTTTTATTACTTACTTGGATACCGCAGCGACACATCGATGTTTGTTAAAAGCAACACGCCAAACCCAATCTACATCTGTAATCAAATCCTTGATATGACGCCCAGTCTTGATATCCCACATCTTCAATCCACCTTCAGATCCAGAAATCACCTTGTGTTCATCATGTTGAAAACAAGTAACGGGCGCTTTGTGATCACTAAGCACATTTTGGCAGATACCGTTTTCAGGAGACCATACCCGTAAAGTACCATCAGCTGCGGCAGATACCAGATAGTTTTTTGTCAGACCCAATAAACCCACTAAAATAGTATGACCATCAAGAGATTGTAAACATTGACCTGTTGTAAGATCCCATACACGGATAGTGCCATCCATACCTCCACTCATACATCGCTTTCGATCAGGATCAATCACTACTGCATATACCTTTTGTTGATGCCCTTCCATTCGATGAATCAGTTGACCCGTTTCCAAGTTCCATACGCACACCATATTGTCGTAACTTCCACTAACCAGAGTATTTCCATGAGCTGTGATGGCCCGCACTGGAAGACTATGTCCTGTCAAAGTATGCATATACCATGGATTCACACCATTGCCATCAAAAGGAGGATCATTTCGTGGATCAGGAAGCCGCCATACTCTCAATGTAGAATCTCGTGAACCAGTAATAATCAAAGGATGAGATGGTTCCAATCGACCGTTGACCATGGTAGGCATCACAATTTGTAAACATCGTACAGTAGAAGTATGACCTAAAAAGACATGTGTACATACCGCACGTTCAATATCCCAGATACGGATGGTACAATCTGTTGAGCCACTAACCAATGTGTTGCCAATGTATTGTAGTGCCCATACGCCACTTTCATGTCCACGTAATGTCGAGATATGTCTGCCAGTCTTGGTTTCGTAAATATTGATGACTCGGTCGTCCACACCTGATATAATCTTGTCGTCATCGAATTGTAAACATGTCACCACATTGTCGTTAGGACCGTTGTGTCCAGGGAAACTGATACGTTTGAAATTGCCTCGTTTCCAATTGCTACGTAAACTGTTTCTCGTATTATTGTCATCATTGCCATTATCGTTATGCATGTGGTCATATTCGTCTCTGTCCATAGATTCGCTAGTATCAAACTGTTCAGTTTTCATATCGTTGTCACGCTCATCGTTGCTGTTGTTATTATTACTGCGGGGTAAGCTCATATGGTATCGATTTCTTGAATGAGTTGAACAGAAATCTGATCAAAAAAAAAAAAAAAAAAAAAGAAAAAGCAAAAGAGGGAAGTCAGTTACGCTTTTTCTTTTTAAGTCGCTTTTCTGCTGGGATCCAAATCAAAAAAAAAAAATGAAGGCTGTGCTTCCTTCCTAAAGAGCGATTGGTGTCTTCAAATTTCTTAGTCGTATACAAGTACAAGAAATCCATCATGACATTGACAGTCAAACTTCAGTTAGATGAGGAAAAGAATAACATAGTATATTTATTGATAGATGAATCATAAAAAGAATAGACATCAATAATAATAAACAAACAGAATCGAGACTATATATAAAAATAATAAGAATAAAAAGAAAACATAAACTAACCACCGTTGCAGGCATTTCCAGCTGTCAAAAAAAAAAAGGAATTCACTATTCTTGTAAATCATCCACACTAAAATCTAAGACTTCAAAAGATGTAACATGATTCCTATAATAAAGATATGAAAAGTTGAGTTTTTTTTTTAAACGAATTTTTTTTTTTTTTTTTTTACTTACTTGTATACTGCAGCTACACACCGATGTTTGTCGAACGCAACACGCCAAACGCCATCGACATCCGTAATCAAATCCTTGATATGACGCCCAGTCTTGATATCCCACATCTTCAATCCACCTTCAGATCCAGAAATCACCTTGTGTTCATCATGTTGAAAACAAGTAATGGCTGCTTCGTGACCACTAAGCACATTTTGACAGATACCGTTTTCAGGAGACCATACCCGTAAAGTACCATCAGCTGCGGCAGATACCAGATAGTTTTTTGTCAGACCCAATAGACCCACCAAAATAGTATGACCATCAAGAGATTGTAAACATTGACCTGTTGTAAGATCCCATACACGGACAGTGCCATCCATACTTCCACTCATACATCGCTTTCGATCAGGATCAATCACTACTGCATATACCTTTTGTTGATGCCCTTCCATTCGATGAATCAATCGACCCGTTTCCAAGTTCCATACGCTTACCGTGTTGTCGTAACTTCCACTAACCAGAGTATTTCCATGAGCTGTGATGGCCCGTACTGAGAGACTATGTCCTGTCAAAGTATGCATATACCAGGGATTCACACCATTGCCGTTGAAAGGAGGATCATTTCGTGGATCAGGAAGCCGCCATACTCTCAATGTAGAATCTCGTGAACCAGTAATAATCAAAGGATGAGATGGTTCCAATCGACCGTTCACCATGGTAGGCATCACAATTTGTAAACATCGTACAGTAGAAGTATGACCTAAAAAGACATGTGTACATACCGCACGTTCAATATCCCAGATACGGATGGTACGATCTGTTGAGCCACTAACCAATGTATTGCCAATGTATTGTAGTGCCCATACGCCACCTTCATGTCCACGTAACGTCGAGATATGTCTGCCAGTCTTGGTTTCGTAAATATTGATTACTCGGTCGTCCACACCTGATATAATCTTGTCATCATCGAATTGTAAACATGTCACCACATTTTCGTTAGGGCTACTGTGTCCAGGGAAACTGATACGTTTGAAATTGCCTCGTTTCCAATTGCTACGTAAACTGTATCGTTTTCGATAGTCATTTTTGTAAGGATTATCGATAGATGAGAGACAACGTTTTTTTCCTTTGCTTGTTCCTGCGTTTCCATCATGGTTGTTGGTTTGAGTATTATTGTCGTCATTGTCATCTTCATCATGTATACGGTCATATTCATCTATATCCATAGGTTCGCTAGTATCAAACTGTTCAAGTTTCATATCGTTGTCATGATCATTGTTGTTACTACTATATCGATTTTTTGAATGAATATTGTGTGTTGATGATTGAACATAAGATTGATCGTCTTCTTTGAATCCATCCTTGTCCAATAAAGTTCGCCAGGTTGTTTTGTCACCATCGACTATGGAGCGCCAAGTTTTACTGACGGTAGCTGCACGACATAGAGACCTAGCATCCAGATTCCGTATCACTTGAAGAGCTAGTTCATGTGGAAGAGTAGCCAAAAAGTCACGTTTGAATGAAGAAACAATGATCGAATTGAGATATTTCAAAGATTGAGTAGATGACCTTTTCAACAGTTGGAATAATAGGTATGTCTTCATGTCTATAGGTAAGGTGTCATAGGAATCGATAATATTGGGCATTTGTCGTAGAGCATTCAGTATTGATGTATCTTTTATATTGTGTTGATGAGAGAGTTGATGTTGCTGTTCTTGATTACGACCTGGATGTTGAGTAACTGGTGTGGGAGATGGTGTTGGAAATGCTGTGTTATTGAAATAAAAATTGGTATCATCTTGTTGTGAATCAGTAGCATGTGGACGATCATTCATTTTGATTCTTGCGCGCTTGAATGATGTATTAAAAGGTAAGATACAATCATCACCGGTAACGGACCGTTTCCTAGGTGTTCGATCATGTCGCTTAGATAAAGAAGTAAAATGGTCCTAATTGAATCAAAAAGAATAAATACAAAATAAAGAAAACATTAGGTGAGCAAAAAAAAAAAAAAGGAAAACAATAAGAAAAATTAGTCCAAGTAGACATATATATATGTATCATTTACCTTTGATTGTTGTTCAATACCATAAGGATTAGAAGAGTCAAAGGCAGAATAAGCAATATTTGGAGGAGTGGCAACAGTAGATAGTGGATAAGAAGTCTCTTGTTCTAAAGACTGAGTGGTATCATCTTGCATTGTGGCATCCATAGGTTGAACAGATATTTGCACTGCAGGTTGGTTGTAAGAAGGTATAGATAATGATAATTGCATGTAAAGAATAAATATATATATATAAATGTATATATATATAAATATGTATATGTATGTCTGTCTGTGTGTGTATATATATATATAGAAATCAATATTTAGAACTATAGAAGAGAGATATTGACAAAAGAGTAGATAACTAAAACATTCACTGAATAGAGTAGGGTTGAAAGTCAACTTTCAATTGATGACAAAGAAATCAAGAGTAATATATAGGTATTCGAAGATATAAGTAAGAATGATGTACACCAATGGATAATAAATTGTTATTACCCAAAGGTAAAAAAAAAAAAAAGAAAAAAAAAAAGAAGAATAATACGGGAGAAAACTAATAATAAGAGAAAGAAAAAAAAAAAAAAGAACTGCCCTGTGAGAGATCACTGACAAAAAAAAAAGGCTTGCTCGGTTGTGCTCATTTGAAACCCAGCCTTACATCAATCAAAAAGGATGATCGACATATACAGGCAAGATAAAAATCAACCAGTTATAAAATGAAATGAAAAAAAAAAAAAAGAGTGAATATAATATAATCTCTTTTTTTTTTTTTTTTTTTTTTTTTTTATAAAACCAAGTAGTTATATTGTACAACTTTTTTTTATCGGGTTTTGCTTATTTCAACTTGAATAATCCCAAATAAGGGGTTTGAAGAGTGTCATCGGCTTACTAACCAAGGCCCGATTGTGATATGATTGGCTAAGGATATACTTTTTCTATTCGATTTGTGATGGGGTGGGTATATTTATACCATGATTGGACGAAATGACAAAGCTTTTATTTTTCAATACAAGGCACTGGTATTGTCGTGTGAAATTCCGCTTTGGACCCCACACAAAATTATACATATTTAAGAACTCTTTTTTTTTTATATATTTCTTTTTCTTTTTTTTTTTTTCTTTTTACCTTTCCTTTTTCTTTTATTTATTTCCCTCCTCTTTTTTTTTTTTCCTTACATTATTATGTCCAAGAATATTTTGACTACTTCCAACGGTAACCCTGTTGAAAACAACCAAACTTCCCAAACTGCTGGTCAATGGGGTCCTGTTCTTCTTCAAGACTTTCACTTGATTGATAAACTTGGTAAATAACATATTTATATTTATTGGTCAATTTATCATTTTATTCATTGTTTTTTTTTTCTTTCTTCTTCTTTCAATAGCTCATTTTGACCGTGAACGTATTCCTGAACGTGTTGTTCATGCTAAAGGTGCTGGTGCTCATGGTTACTTTGGTAAGTGAACATGTCAGTTATCAAAGAAAAACTATTTATTCACTTTATTATTATTATTATTATTACTATTATTATTAGAGGTTACTCATGACGTTACTAATCTTACCAAGGCGAAGTTCTTGAGTCATATTGGCAAGCGTACTCCTGTCTTTACTCGTTTCTCAACTGTTGGTGGTGAAAAAGGTAGCGCTGATACTGCTCGTGATCCTCGTGGTTTTGCTGTCAAGTTCTACACTGAAGAAGGTAATTGGGATATGGTTGGTAACAATACTCCTGTCTTCTTTATTCGTGATCCTTCCAAATTCCCTGACTTTATTCATACTCAAAAGCGTAATCCTCAAACTAATCTTGCTGACCCTGATGCCTTTTGGGATTTCTTATCTCTTGTTCCCGAAAGTATTCATCAAGTTTCTATCCTTTTCTCCAACCGTGGTACCCCTAATGGTTATCGTTATATGAATGGTTATTCCTCTCACACTTTGAAATTGGTGGATGCTCAAGGTAACTTCAAGTATGTCAAGTGGCACTTCAAGACTGATCAAGGTATCAAGAACTTTACTGCTGCTGAAGCTGGCAAACTTGCTTCCGAAGATCCTGATTATGCTACTCGTGATCTCTTCCAAGCTATTGAACGTGGTGAAGCTCCTTCTTGGTCTGTTTATGTTCAAGTCATGGATCCTAAGGATGCTAAGACTTATCGGTTCAATCCATTCGATGTCACAAAGGTTTGGCCCCACAAGGTATGTGTAACATAGAAGGAAAAAATATAGATGGGGTGATTCATGCATTAGGCGTTTTATTTCCGTCTTTTTTTTTTTTTTTTTTTTTTCTCATCACATGGTATTTTCTTTTTTGGAATAGGATTACCCCCTTCAACCGGTTGGTCGTATGGTATTGAATCGTAACCCTGAAAACTACTTCGCTGAAACTGAACAAGCTGCCTTCTCACCTTCTCATATTGTTCCTGGTATTGATGTATCTCCTGATCGTATGTTACAAGGTCGTCTATTCTCTTATCCTGATACTCACCGACATCGTCTTGGTGTTAACTATGCTCAAATTCCTATCAACCAACCTCAATCTCGTGTTATCAATCACCAACGCGATGGTTTCATGGCTGTTAATGGAAATGGTGGTAGTGCTCCCAACTATGAACCCAACACTTTCGGTGGACCTTATCAAAGCAACGTTGCTGCCTCTACCTTTACTGCTGAAGAAATTTCTGGTTTCACTGGTCGTCATTCTTACACCTTGGAAGATATTGACTTTGTCCAAGCTGGTGACTTGTACCGTCTCATGTCTGCTGAAGAAAAGACTCACTTGGTGAACAACATTGCTGGTCACTTGAAGAACGCCAAGAAGCATATCCAAGAACGTCAACTTGCTCACTTTAAGCGTGCTGATCCTGAATATGGTCAACGTATCGCAGCTACCATCCTTCAACTTTCTAGCAAGGCTTAAATAGTATTACTCCGTATTCCGTTTATAACCATTAGTTGATACTTTCTTTTTTTTTTATTTTTTTTTTTATCTTTATCATTATTATCCTCTGCTCATACTCCTTTTAGTCTTTACTCTTCCTATTTGAAGGGAAAAAAAAAGCCTTTATCCATTATACATATACTATTCTATTGATGTCTTTGACTAGAAATAAAACTATCCTACTTTGGACATTTTGTACAAATTACAAACTTCTTGTTTCTAATAAAGTTATAAGGATGATGGTTCATCCTTAGCTTTTATCCGTCCTGAACGCAAACTCATCCTGTACCACGAAGGACAATGTAGCAAATATTACATATGATATTTCTCTTGATAAAATAAATGATTTATTGAATTGAATGACTTAAAAAAAAAAAAACAAAAACAAAAAAAAAAATAATCATATATACATTGAATAACAATAAGATATTACTGCACACATCTAATCTAGTCCAAGTCGCCTTATTCTTCCTTCTTCTTTCGTTGTGCATTTTGAGTGAGAGACCGCATTCTAGTCTTAAGTCGCTTGAAAGGATGATTCTACAAAAAAGAAGCAAATGTTAATCATACTTTTTTTATTTTATTTTGTATATCCTACCTTGGATGATCGGCTTTTGTCAACACGAACAGTACTTCGAGGTACAATATCATAATCAGGAGCCACTGGAAGCGGAATACTGACATGCATTCTTGTTTCATCACTATAAAAAAAAAAAATAGAGTAGAATAGAATAGATAATATGAGTAAATTTCATTATTTTTTTTTCACTATTGTTGTTGTTGTAATAAGATAAACTTTTCTTAGGTAGTGATTTCTTACATGTCCTTTGCTGCATCTTCAGGTCTAAATAACTTTCGTTTATGTAACCTAAAAAAAAAAAAAGGTCAGTAGACAAAAAAAAAAAAAAAGTCGATTGAGTGTCAATCGATTTCTATTACTTACATTTCTTCCTTGCTATATTCTTGAGTTTGATGAGGTCGTTCCCTATAGCTTTCACTTCTTCGTAATACTAATCTAGTCCATTTTGCCACTAAATGATCCGCTTTTCGTTGCACTACACTTTCCACACGAGTCGATTTCTTATAGAAAAGAACAACCTTGCCAATACCACTTTCCCGTAAATGTTCAGCAGCTGCAGGTAGTTTATCTAATATATCTAACATTTCGTTCTGAATTTCTAAACTGGGAAGTGCACGATCTGGTAAAGGTTCCAACCATAAACGAATAGCATCCAATAATTGATTATCCAGAATACTATCATATAAACTTGAACTATAAAGTAAAGGATGTGGAAAAAAAAAAGAGTGAGATCAGGTATTGATGTATATATATATATATATATATATATGGTTCATCATCTTTTTTTTTTTTTAAACATACTTGTTCAATGTTATCATTGCTTCATCAAGCATTTTCAATTTGGCAACAGCAGGTTTTTGTTGTTCATTGGCGATTACATCAGTTTCCGCAGCTACTTTCATACGTTCACATAAATTAGATAATTCTTCGTCTTTACTATCCTTCAAATCATCCCCATCCATTCGCTTTCTTCGTTTCTTGCCACTCGATTTCAGAGCTTTTGCGAATACATCAGCAACTTCATCTCGAATAGCTAAAGATTAAGAACAAGTTATTATATTAGAAGAATGTATTGCCTCGAATTTTTTATTTTATTTTTATTTTTACCTTGATTTGGATCGACTGGAGCATCTGATTGTTCTTCATTGCCATCGTCATTTCTCCTCTTTTGTCGTAATTCTTCTCGAAGTTGTTCAAGTTTTTCTTCCTCTTCTTTGGTGCGTTCCCGTCGTTTAAAGGAGGGTAGTCGTTGTACACTAACAGATGATAGACTGGAAATGGATGGTATTTGTTCATTATTATTATGTTCTTCTTGTCGTTGTTCTTCGGTTGAAGGAGAAGAGGCTGTTGCCACTTGATCGTTTTTTTGATAGTCATCATCAGATCCTAAAACATAAGACAAACGAGTAGAAAGAAAATAATAAGTCACCAAAAAAAAGGGGGAAATAAAGAATAGTATCTTTTATATCCCATTATTTTACCTTGGTCACCCTCAAGGTCAGACATTTCGCTTTCACTGGCACCAAATAAATCTTCTTCAGTTTGCTACAAAAAGGAAACCAAACAAAAAAAAAAAGGGTAAATATTAACATCAATGTTTTTTTTTTTGTTCTCTAAAGAGATCAACAATTTATCTCAATATTTACCGCAACAATAGGTGTCGTTTCAGAAGACATTATAGAATGAAGATAAAGAATAACTTTTTTAAGAAAAAGGAGAGAAAGAGAACAAGTTAATTCTGGGCGTCATTTGAAGAACAAAACTTCACCCACAAAAGAAAAGGTAATTCAGCATCCGACTCTGTTAAGTTGCCATTGGAAAAAAAAACAACCAAGTGTGCAATAGTTACGTATTCTTTTTGTACACAGTTAAAAAAAAAAAGGTTTTTATTCATTTTGTTATTCTATTGATATCATTCATCAAAATTCACAGCCATCAATATTATCATGAGTTTCCATAGTGCATAATTAATGGTCCAACAGGTCCTTTTTTTTTTTTTTCCTTCACCACGTTATTTCCATGTTCACAAGCCACCATCAAACATATTTCAATAAAGTAAAGAGTCAACGAAGGTTTGAAAATAAGTCAAGGTTCAGTTTTTTTTTTATTAGGATTAGATGGGAACTAAATAAAAAAGAGGTAGACAAAAATGAATGATTTGATTTAAACTTGAAGCGTTTAATCGAAGAGACCGAAGCCCATATCCTATTAAAAAGGGAAAGATGGTGAGTAACATTCTATTTTTACCATTTCTTTCTCTATTAAATCGATATCTAAACAACAAAAATAATGATAAGACTTACTTCATCAGATTCTTCCTTTTCTTCTTCCTTGGCTTCTTCAGCAGGGGCTTCACCACCAGCAGCGGCAGCAGCACCACCAGCAGCGGCAACAGCAGGACCGGAGGAGACGGAAGCGAGCTTGGTGGCACCTTCAGCGATGACCTATATTGATATATAAAAAAAAAAAGTAAATATAAATGACATTTAATTTGTATCATTTAAAATCATTTTTTTAACTTACTTCATCGACAGACTTGCCTTCAAGAGCCTTAAGCAAAGAGTTCAAACGAGCAGCATCACCTTCGACACCGACGGAGCCCAAGAGCTTGGTGATATCTTCGGCAGAGGGTTCGGTCTTACCACCGGCGACGAGAAGAAGGTAGGCAGCGAGGAACTTCATGGTGTAATATGAATAAAAAAAGTAAGAGGAAGAAGAAAAAAAAAATAAATAAACAAGTGGGAATACTAAATATCGAACCAGTTCCCGCTCTTGCCTCCACTCTCAAAAATTTTTCTTGGGTTTTCATTGGCCGATTTCACAAGCCACCTCTGGTTCGCGACTTTATGACAAAGAAATGCAGCATATTTGACATATATGTAACAATAATAATAATAATAAAAAGTTTATTCGTTTTGATGTTCTCTAAAACTACACAAATGATAAAAAAAAAATTTATATAATAATAATCAAATAATGTCTAAAGGGATGATAAGAACTAACTAAAACGAAAGAAAAGTCTATAATACACAAAACTAAAGAAAATCGAGGGTATACACATATCAAGGGAAAAAAAAAGGGCAAAGAGCTTTGTATCAAAAGTAAATAACAGTTTTCTATAATGACATAAAAAGAAACATTACTATCAAATTCGATCAAGGATTCATCCTTAATATTTACCTTCTTTTTTTTTTTTAATCAATATCCAAAATTTGCTTCATTCGTTCATAGACAGCAAAACTAACAGCCATCATAGGAGTCACCTTGAGATAACCAATGCTAAGTCCCACGTAAAAGCCTTTGAATCCTTTAATCCTATATATTTCCTTGGTTGTATCGATGAATCTAACAAATATATCTGGATTGAGTAAACCGCCTACTTGCATTCTTCTTCGAATAACCTATAAAAATATTTATAAAAAAACCAACTCTTAAAAATGAATCAAACCATTTTTTTTTTTAATTAATTCTTTTTTTTTTTTTTGTATACCTCCAAAGGATAACTACTTGTTTGAGCTACTAATCCAGCAACCCCACCACAAACCAATTCAGCCCAAGTTTTCAGAGGAGGTTTATCCACAAGTCTTTGTTGACTAGGAGTCAAATCATCATCAGTAGGATCAAAATCAAATTCAATAGCAGCCAAAGTATAAGGAGCCGCAGTAGGATGGAACCGAGCAAACTTGGTGACCAGATGGTAAGTCCAAAATGATACTCCAGCATAAGGTATAATCCCAGCCACTGTAGGTAAGAATCCACGATAGTAGTTCAATATATGTAATCCTCCAAACCGTTTACTAGCTGCTGGTTCATTGTATATTTGTTTCAATGTTGTGATTAAACTTGGTCGTTTTGTACCTGGTTGTTTGACATCATATGCCATTCGTACTCGTACTAAATCCAGCGGGTATGTAAACAATACTGATGTTACACCTAGATGACGATAATCAAAAAAAAAAAAAGATGATAATTAGAAAAATCACAACAAACCCATTCTATATTCTTACCAGCCAATGATCCAGCCATAAATTGTCTTCTAAGTGATTCTTGAGCTTTTGTCGGCATCAATATCTATATATATATATATATTTAAAAAAATGTAAGACATATGATTGTGTCAGATGTGCATAGATATGTCATGACTTACAGCACGAAATTGTTCATAAGCAACAAACTTAATGGCAGCATAAGGAAAGATTCGAAGAAGAGTGACAGAATGACCTTGGAATAAACCAAGGACACCTCCATTTTTAAAGATATCCCGCCCAGCTTTGAAAGCTCCTGTAAATGTACCTATAATGTTCCATACCGTCAGTATTTCGAAGTGAGTTCTTTTTTTTAATATTCATTACCGGCATATTTTTCAAATACAGGATTTCTTGCTTGAAACAAAATCTTAACACGATCTAAGGGAGCAATGGCAGTTTTAGCCTAAAAAAAAGAAAAATAGAACAATAATAATATGAGTTATTAATAATGAAATACTGGTCATAAAATCTCTTACCATACATCCGGCAATACCACCAGCAAGTCCTGACCGAATAACATAATCCCAATTTTGTCTTTTTTGTAGTTCAGTAGTTCTTTCAAAGGATGGTGTCGTTTTTGAATTCATTGTCTGGTTGGTTTCATGATTGACGGAAGAAGTGGAAGGCAAAGTAGGCGATGACAAAGATCGCTGACTATGCATTGAAAAAGAAGAAACAATGGTCAAGGAGGGAAAACAAAGATAAAAGAGAGAGAGAGAGAAAAAAAAAAGAAAGAGGGGAAAGAATGGAGGAATGGTAAAGAAAGAGAAAAAGATTAAAAAAAAAAAAGATTGGGAAAGATAAACAAGCTGAGAAAGCGAAAATTGATACTGTGGGAAAAATCTTGGATTTTATTCTATTTTCATTGGTCGAACTTTCCAATGGCATGTGAAGCCCAAGGTGTTTTTTTTTTTTTTTTTTTTTTTGCGGGGCAAGCTTAACCTGGACCTGAACTTTTTTATTTTTTGTATACTACAGTTTAAAAGTAAATATTTAATTCATATGAATCTATTGTTTTCTCCCAATACATTCAAAGTCAAATCATCCTTTTTTTTTTTTTTTGTTATTGACTATATCATATAGGGAGGAGATGACATAAGAAAGGGATGAAATAGCATTGACAGAAAAAGAGATAAGTGACTGCTGACTTTTTTTTTTTGATTACTTGCGAAAAAGGAAATTCAAACCTTTCCTTTCTTTTATTTCTTTCTTTCTCTTCTTTTTCCTGATAAAAAAAAAAGAAATACTGTATATATACAATGGGTAAGAACTATATAAGAATAAAAATAAGAATATACTCATCTAATATATTACTTAATAGGTGGTGGTGATTTAAATTTAAAGAAAAGTTGGCATCCTTCTACATTCAAAAATCAAGAACGATTATGGAAAGAAGAAAAGAAACATGCTGAAGAACAAGCCAAGATTGAACAAATGAAAAAAGAACTTCAAGAAGAAAGACAATTATTAGAATTACAACGATTACAAGAAGATGCTGGTTCAAGGTAAATAATATTTACTTTTTAGATTCATTTTATCAACCTTCTTTTTCCTTTTTCTTTAGAAAACGATCGGACAAACTTGATTGGATGTATGCAGCTCCTAGTTCAAATGGACCAAAAGCCGGTAGTAGTGAAATGGAAGACTTTTTACTTGGAAAGAAAAATGTGGATGATTTACTACGAAACAAAGTTGCAAATGAAACGGTAATATATATATCATTTTTATCTGTATTCTTACTAAATTGATCATTTTATAGACAACGACTGATGCTAACGAACGATTTGCTTTGACCAATGCAAATGCTAATACAGAACGGGATATTCAAGCAAAGATTAGAGAAGATCCATTATTTGCTATCAAACAAAAACAACAAGCAGCTTTGAAATCAATGGTAGATAATCCGATCTTAATGAAGAAATTGAAAAAAGACAGGAAAGAAAAGAAAAGCAAAAAGAAGAAGGATATCAAGAAATCACATCGTCATCGACATTCACATTAGTTAATTAATTTTTAAAATAAAATAAAATATATCATTTTACAAAAACTATTGTTCCCATTTTTTTATGTAATCACTTTCTTTATTATAAATATGCTTCATCCATCCACACAAGGGCAGAAACTTGGTCCAATCGGGACAATTGACCAAATCCCGCAGTATTCAGCCCCACTTTGGAACGTATATATAAAAAAAATAAAAAACGGGGATTCTCTCCTTTTTTTTTTTCTTCTTTTCTTTCTTTTGTTTCAGTTTTTTTTTTTTTTTAAGAATCATACAACATGACCTCAACGACAAAGAAGTACATTGCTGGTATCAAAGGGTTTGTATTTGACCTGGATGGTACCATGATTGATACTACTCCTCTAGTCATCAAACATTGGTATCAGTTTGCTGAAGAACATGGTTTAGACCCTGTCAAGGTAAACTACTTTATCATGTTTCTGAACTTTAGTACTTATATACGTTTATTAGATTCTTGCCACTTCTCATGGAAGACGTAGTATTGAAACCATTGCCGAATGGGTACCTTCAAAAGCAACTCAAGAACATGTGGACTATTATGAAAGACGACTAGCTGATGAAACCGATGGCGTGAAAGGTAAAAATGATAATGAAGAAAGGATGAAATTATTATTAACTTTTTTTTTTTGATGATAGTCCTTCCTGGTGTCAAAGCTCTTTTAGATACGATTCCATTTGGTAAATGGGGTGTATGCACAGCAGGAACGTCATATATGGCTGTCAATCGATTTAAACAATGTGGTATTCAAATTCCGGTGAGTTTATCCACGGGTGATAAGGTAAGCATGAACCTTAGTTTAGATGCTATTTTTAGTATTTCATCTCATTTCTTTTTTTTTTTTTTTTTTATTTATATAGGTGACTCATGGTAAACCTCATCCTGAAGGTTATTTGAAAGCGGCAGAATTATTGAATCTACCTCCAACTGATTGTGTAGTATTTGAAGATGCTCCTGCTGGTAAGAAACAAATGATTGGGGAATAAAATGATCTTCAAACTAATCACATCTTTGGGTAAATGTTTGAATAGGTGTTAAGGCGGGAAAGGCGGCTGGCATGACAGTGATCGCTTGTACTACAACTCATACAGCAGAACAATTAAAGCAAGCTGGTGCAGATCATATTGTATCCTATTTGACAGACGTTACAATCTCTGTGTTAGGTGATGGTACTTTTGGTGTACAAATCGATCAATTAGAAATTTAGTTTAGAAATAGTACATGGATACTTGATAGAAATAAACAATTTGATTCCTTATGCATACAATTTTTTTTTTTTCTGTGATGATCTGATGATGGGATGACGGGATGATATATTTTGATCCCTTCTTTCATTAAACGATTGAATAATATATTTTCAAGAATATTTGAATTTTAAGGTGATATTTTGTGGAGGTTGAAAATATCACGCCAGTTAAGATGATAGGGACAAGGATGACAATATGAATACTTATTTTCTTTTTTTTTTAAAAAAATTACTTTCTATAAATGCAACAGTAATCTATCAGATTCATTAGCTAAAAGTTCAATAAATAATTCGTTTTATGTTCTGATCAAATTTGGTGTGATGATGATGGTTTTTTGAGTGAGAAAGTGAAAGGCAAAGTTTGCTTGCACGCTTGTATACAGGATAAAAAATGGGATGGATTTTTTTGATTTTACAGCCAAAAATTTGGAACTCCTCAGCCAAACTTTGGCTGTAAAAATAAATCGTCGAGGGGTCATCAGGCAATTTTTGAAAAAATTGATGATTTTTTTCAGTTGCTCATTGTACATTCGGTGGCAAGACAAGCGATAAAATGATATTAGATGATATTAAACTACTTTTTGCAGAGGAACCTAATGGTGGTAATTTTATTGGATGATGATCATTATTGGATGAAATATGACAAAGTTCTGCCAGAGAGTCGAAAGCGGGATCTCAAAAAGTCAATTTTTTTTTTTATGTAGATGATTCTTTTCTTTTTTTTTTTTCCTTTCTTTTCCTTTATCTGATTATAATTATCATTTCTTCCTTATGCCTGCTCTTGATCTCAGTTTTATCAAAAGCCTATTTAGTGATGAAAACTCTTCTCATTCAGCTACAAACACCATTATCAATGATCGTTCAACTCCTCCTTCAACAACTTCAACTACAACGACTGGGACAACTTCAGAATTAACAACAGCGCCAACAGTGACGACAAACATAGTCAAGAAAGATGGTGAGAACAATACTACGTCTTCTCACTTTCGATCCATGTCACAACAACCTTTATCTCCCCCAATTACTTTACCAACTCCAGAAAGTTCTACAAATGATCAACAACTGCGACATCGAAAGAAAGAAGGCAAACGACAACGTATGAAACGAGTACGGGAAAAGAGGAAAATAAGACAGTTGGATAGATCTCAAGAGGTAAATAAATGAAAAAGAGAAATTAGATCTGGACATTAATTAACTTTTTTTTTTCTTCTTCTTTGTTATTGTTCTAGCCTGATGATTTTTATGATGCTCATGGTAGCAATGATATGGATTTTGATCAACTTTTAGCACTTCATGAATCCAAAAAGTCAACATCTAATACTATGACCACCACTCATACAACCGATGTACCACTTATATCACATAGAGACAATCAGCCATCCGATATTCCTACCACCACAGACCCAGTAGTGAAACAACAAGGTCTACCTATGAATTCTACATCAGATCGATCATCGTCAGCAGCAGAAACAACTAATCCAATCACAAAAGTCGCCATCTCTGATCAAGATGCTGCGTTTGTTTCACAACTCATGGACAGTTTATCGAAAGGTCATTTGAATGGTAGCTCGGCATCACTTCCTTCGATGCCACCTTTATTACAACGGAATGTTACAAAGGCAATGACACCTATCAGCAATCAAAAAGGCAACAACAACAAATCACAATCACAGAATAATAATAATAAGAAGCGAAGGAAGCAAATGAAAGATCAGGCAAAAAAAGTAAGTACAGTCAAATAGTGTTGTATATAAAAAAAAAAAAATGCAAATACCTACTAATATGACCTTTTATTTCATATGTATCTTTTAGAAACCAAAACAGGAATTGACAAGCGATATGAATTTTGATCAATTAATGTCTATACATGAAACATCTCAACAATCTACAAAGGTAAAAAAAAAAAAAAGATGACTAATGAAGATAATAGAACATAAATGATGAATACTAAAATGATTATAAATATATAGAAACAACATGATCAGAAGATGGATCTTGCCAAAGTGGCTCAACAAAGTAAGATTAAAAATAATGAAGATGAAAATACCTATTAATTTAATGTTTCTTCTTCTTCTTCTTAGTACTCGGCAAACCTCAAACGCCTCATCAGTATCACCTTCAGCAAAAACAGCAAAAAACACAACAACATAGATACCCTAAACAACATATGGCTTCTTCTCAGTTTACCAATATAGACCACAAGGAACAGAAACAACCATCAGATTCATCAACAGATGGAGTATGCAAGTATTTTTTACGTGGCAGCTGTGGACATGGTGATTCCTGTCGATACAAACATGAAAAGAAACAAATTCCAGTACTTTGTCGATTTTACAAAAGTGGATCTTGCGGCAATGGAGAAAATTGTATTTTCAGTCATGTAAGTTCATTTTTTAAGTGATGTATAGATATACTCATTCCATTTATTTATAGGATTTGCAATTACAACCATGTCGATTTCTTTTTGTAGGAGGTCATTGTGATGCAGGCGATCACTGTCCATTCTCACATGCACCACTGACGGAGGAGAGTCGAAAGGAATTACACAAAATGACGGGACCTTGTCGATTTTACCATTTCAAGGGATACTGTACCAATGGCGAAACCTGCGTCTTTTCTCACACCGAAATCTCCAACGATCAACGACACGAACTAGAACAAACATTGACACCTTGTAGGCATTTCCATACCCGTGGTTCTTGTCCTGTAGGCGATCAATGTTTTTATCTCCATCAAGAAGCGTCTCCTGAAAGTGTCCAACTCTTGAAGGCAAGTCTATTACCCAAGGGTGGCGATGGCAAGCAATGATGATCTCTTACTACCTTCTCTTTCCTCCATTAGTGGTAGTTGAATCCTCCTCTTTTTGGTATACTTAGTCTAGTTTTTTTTTTATATCCTTTTTTGTGAAATAAATATATAAATAAACAGGAATGAAGTGGTTTGGTATCATGTGTTTCTTTGAAATATATATATATATATATCTGTGTATTTTTATGCAAAAAGAACGAGGAGGGCTTATTTGATAGAAATATCATCTTTTTTTTTTTATGATATAGAGTGCATCGGTATTAGATCATCGTTACTAGACAGATGAGAGGAAGAAAAAAAAAAAAAAAAAAAAAACTCGCCTCGTTGCATTACCCATCACGATAGACACTACCATAGATCAAGAAATGTACGTTTTATTAAAAATATAACAAATAAAATAAAATCAAGTGAGATGAAGGAAGGGGAAGGAGGAATCGGATAAAAAAACAGAATCACTACATAATGGTACATAGCTCAGTACATGTCTCGGCACAACAACAGCATAAAACACCAGCACAACTAAACAAAAAAAAAAAATTGAATATATCCAATCAAATGAAGTAATATTTCATATCTTTACCAAGCTAATAAACCTTTGCCACACATATCGCTTTGTTGTTGAGGGGGATATCCACCTATGATCAGTCACAAAGACAAAAATAAAAATAAAAAAAATAAGAAAAAATAAGGTGAACATGATAGATATCAAGAGAAGAAAAAAAAAGAAGAGGGAGATAGAATGCGTGCATATCTAAAAGAATATGAATATTTCTGTTTACCTTGTTGTTGAGATGGATAGCCTCCTATAAAAGACAAAATAAGTTTAGTGCGATGATTGATGATGATTCTTTTTTTCTCTTTCTTTTACCTGGTTGCGGTGGATAGCCTCCTACAAATTACAAACTGCAGTTAGTGTGATGACCAAATGATGTCGTTTTGCTTCGATTTCTTACCTTGTTGTTGAGGTTGAGGATACCCACCTTGATTATAGCCACCTTGTTGGCTGTATCCACCTTGATATCCAGCACCTTGGTTGTACCCTGCTTGATTGTATCCGCCTTGACCGTATCCGCCACCTTGATTGTATCCGCCACCTTGATTGTATCCGCCACCTTGATTGTATCCGCCACCTTGACTGTATCCACTACTGACACCACCGCTTCCCAAATCATATCCACCTCCACCTTGATTTGAAGCATATTGGTCTTGATAACCTTTGTTGTCCATATTGATGATTGATTGTCGGTGGGATGCACTATATAAAGAAAAAAGAAAAGAAGAAAAGAATCCAAATTTTCCATTCTTGCACAGGTTCCATATCATATCCAAAAAAAAGGTAAGACATGCTTTATTGGTGTTTGAGTTGAAGTAATCGAGTAAAACAAACAAACAAAAAAAAAAATAATCAAGCTAATCGTGTTTTGTTGATGATAAAGTTTTCCATGATGAGCGCCAGGGAAAGAATCGATTGACTTTTTGTTGATAAATCTTGTATTCAGGGTATTTTTCAGACGAGATACGCTAAGGTAAAAAATAAAATAAAATAAAAGAATCAATAAATTCCATATTTTCATTTTTCTTTTCTTTAATAACTTACTTCGGTTAACCACGTACTGCCTTGGAATAATAATGTCAGAGTCAGAGGGCCAACAATTGTCCAATTGATCCAAGTCCAAGGATCCAACCAACTAACTTGCTCTGGTATTGTCTTCAGTACATCTGTTGAAGCACTGACGGAGAACAAGTAGATAGACCACCAAATACCCATTTCAGCAAAAAAATTGGGATGTCGACTATATTTGAATAATCCTTGCGTCAAGAACCCACGATGATAGTCACCCACCAATTGCTTGCCTTTCATATGTTTGAATAAACAGTACTTTTCCGTTTGAAACACGTATTGTTGTTCATCTGCTATCATCTCTATTCCCAAGAATAAGGTGAATAATCCTGTAGCTACCAAATCCAAAACGGTTAAAGATGCATTTGTATCTGGTTGATAGGTGAGGTTGGTTAGATAGAGAGGTGAGACCATAAATAATAATAAGGTATCTTGGAATGGAGCGATCACCGTGATATTCAATAATCCCATTGCTATAGGTCCTATCTTGCTTTTGATATAAGGATATCGATAGTCTTGACCTTTCCATTCATATCCTCCTTTCCTATATATATGTATATATATATTTCATATATTAGTATAATCTTTTCCTAATTTTATCTATTTTACCTTGCAAAGTTCAATGTCAAGCGAAAACCCCAAAGAGTAATAAGAATAGCACCAAGCAGAAGTCTTGGATGAATAGTCCCTCGATTCAAATAGTCGTTGTAAAAAAAGTGCCATGCATAAATAGAAGGTAAGATGGACCAAGATTTATCTGAAGAAAAGCAAAAAAAAAAAAAAAGTTAGTTAGTCTATTGATAATAAAAAGGTGATAGAGAGAATACCACTATTTCCTATTTTTTTTTTCTTTCTTTACCCACTTGACTGTAGTTGTTTGTAACAATGCTGACAAAATAATGAATAGTAGCAACCACACCCATAAACACAAGAGCCACCGAAAAAGGATCCACATGACGATAACACTGTTTAAAGATATTCAGACTTGAGAGTAGAATACTGAGAAACTCACACGCGTTACCATTGTCGCTAAGGTACTTGCCGTTGAAAAGATTGGTGATAAAAAGCTGCCAAGTAAAAGGCCAATGAAGTCGGTTAAGTAAAGGTACGTTCACTAAGTAGTCATAAAATCCATCACTGATGGTGATCATAGCTCTTCAAAATAAATGAGAATGTGAAAGAAAGAAAGACAAAAAAAAAAAAAAAAAAAATTGTTCCCAATTTATATAGTTTATCAAGTTTGTTCAAATCCCGGTTATCACTTTATTTTTTTTTTTTTTAAGATATTGAAATAAATGCAATCTCAATCTTGACATTCCACCCAGTTTAATGATCGTGACACAGCCTTTTTCCAACCCTGATAAAGCTTTTGTGTTGTTTCTGGTGATATTTGCGAGGTAAAGACAGACTCATCCTTGATGTTCACATTGGCTAAATCATCTACATCCTTCCAAACGCCTAAGGCCAATCCAGCAGCGATGGCTGAACCCAAGGCAGTTGTTTCTCTCATCTTGGGTCTCATCACCTTTACACCATTCAATAGATTGGCTTGGATTTGCATACATACATCAGAGTTGGACAATCCACCATCGACTTTAAGTGCTACCAAGGACGTGCCACTATCATTATTCATGCAATCCAACACAGCTTTGGTCTGATAGCAAGCAGCTTCTAAGGCGGCACGTGCAATATGTGCCCGTGTGGTATATTGTGTCAATCCACAAATTGTACCCCTCGCACCGACTTGCCAGTATGGCGCCAACAACCCACTGAACGCAGTGACAAAGTACACTCCACCCGTATCCTCCACGGATTGTGCCAATTGATTCAACTCATGATGATCAGCCACCAGGCCTAGATTGTCCCGTAACCATTGGATCGATGATCCTCCCACTGCCACTGATCCTTCTAACGCATATATCACAGGTTGATCTGCCCCTAGCTGATACGCAATCGTCGTCAGTAAGCCATTGTTAGACATCACTGCTGAAGTGCCCAGATTGAACAGCATAAAACATCCAGTGCCATACGTGTTCTTCGCTGTCCCTTTTTGAAAACATTTTTGCCCCACAAGTGCTGCCTGTTGATCGCCAAGGCATCCTGCAATCGCCGTACCTGACAACACGCCCTTATATAGATGCCCATAAATGCATGAAGATGGCATAATTTTCGGTAATTGGATGCCCTCGAATCCGAAGAATCTATAAAATAGAATTTTTTTTTTTATTGAGTGCCTGTTTTCATAATGATGAATGATGAATGATGAATGATGGATGATGAATGATGGATGATGGATGATGGATGATGGATGATGGATGATGGATGATGGATGATGGATGATGGATGATGGATGATGGATGATGGATGATGGATGACGGATGATGGATGATGGATGATGGATGATGGATGATGGATGATGGATGATGGATGATGATGGATGTTATGTGATGATGGATGGCAGATAATGACACTTACTTGATTGCTTCTTCGCTCCATTTCAAAGAATGAATATCCATTAACATTGTTCGACTAGCATTAGTGACATCAGTGACCAAGATACCATCATGATCTAAACCACCTGTAAGGTGCTTTTTTTTTTTTTTTTTTTTTTTTTTTTTTTAAAAAAAAAAAAAAAGAGAGAGAGAGAGAAAAAAAATATCAGTCCTTGCGTTTCATACTCCTTTTTTTTTTTTTTAACTCGCTGTAAATGTACTTACATAAATCAACCAAGAATCGACAGTACTAAAAACTAGCCGATGATTTTCCTTTGCTTGCATGACGGCCGGTACATGATCGAGCATCCAACGTAATTTGACGCCAGAAAAGTAACTAGCAAGTGGCAAACCGCAAATTGACCGCAATGCATCCCGACCTAATGATGATGTCTTTTCTAATTGTTCGACCGTTTGTTGTGTACGTCCATCCGACCAAACAATGGCAGGATACAATGGTTCACCTGTTTGTTTGTCCCATGCAATAGTTGTTTCACGTTGATTTGTTATGCCAATCCCCTTGATGTCGTTGGTTTGATATCCTAATTTGACAAAGTTTGCAACAGCATGTTCAATACAAGCTTGACATGAATCTAACAATTCATAAGGATCATGTTCAACCCATCTATACATAATTGTTTGCGTGTGAAAAATCTTTGCGTTGATTTCAATCATATTATTTGTTGCACAATCTTCCTCCCCTCCTTAAACTTACCCCGGATGAGGATAATGTTGTTCAAATTCCACTTGATGATAAGTGATCACTGTTCCAGTTTTATCAAAAATAACAAATCTTGTTGATGTTGTTCCTTGATCAAGTGCACCGATAAATTCTGGCATGATTGTTTGCTGTAATATTTGATATAGTGGTTATAGTTCGTTAGTTGTTGATGATGAAGGTGATAATTTGAATTATCGTTACTGTTCAAATTTCGATTCTGTAACGGTAAGGAAGGAAAGAAAAAAAAAAAAAGAAGCAAAAAAAAAAAAAAAAAAAAAAAAAAAGAAAAGAGTGATCCATCTTAACTATTTATATAGTGATTCTTTTTATTTATAGATGGAAGGAACACTTGAAGAAACCTTGTTTTCAATTCCAGTCATCAGTAAGGTACCCTCATTCTCTAAACTAACCAAAAAAAAAAAAATCCAATGTAAAGATAAATTCTTTGTTTATTGTTTGTAAATAGTAAATATGAAATGGTAAAACATAATCAATGCATGAAGAGTAAGAGAATGGAAGTGCAGATAGGTAAGAAGAATAGGGAAAATGAGAGAGCAGAAAACCAAATTGTATAAAAGAGGAAGATAGAGAGAGAGAGAGGAGGGGAATCACTGAAAAAAGTATCTATGCAAAATACACATACACTACACACACAAAAAAAAAAAAGAACATTGTTCATTCATACAAATCATCAGTTTCTGGGTGTACATATTTGAGGTCGACAGTGGTTTTGGAAATTGGATTGATCGCTTTCGATTTGCAAGGTGCTGTGATGTACGCCATACATATCGCAAATGATTCTTTGAGACTTGGTCAAAATATCGTCATAATGACAGAAGGCTTCTCTATCGATTGAGATATGTGCAGTCAAAGAGCTTTTACCTATATAAAGTAAATAAATCAAAAAGTTTTAATTTCCATGGTGAAACACATGAGGTTAAACTTACCAGGTGAAAGGACCCAGACATGAAGGTCATGGACAGCTACTACACCAGAGATTTGAAGTAAAGATTTTTCGATTTGATTGGGATCAAGATGTTGAGGTACACCTTCCATCAAAACAGCAAGAGAATCCTTCACCAAATGATAAGTAGTATAAAGCACCAAAAGAGAAAAGATGAATGTACAAATAGGATCAACAATGGTAAGTTTGGGATTCACCAATAAGATAATGGAAGAGATCAGAATACCTAGAAAGCGAACATTAGTTTATTAATCTCTTTATATATATATATAAAACATACCAATAGATGCAAGTAAATCTCCAATCACATGTAAAGCTGCAGCACGAAGATTGATGTTAGCTTCCTGTATATACGCCAATCCATCAAAAGATAATATATGTATTAGTAACTCCCTTTCTTTATGATGATTGATCTTCTATTACCTTTCGATGAGGTTTTTGTCCAGCTGTATTATTTTCTTCATCATCATTATGATCTTCATGATCATGATCATGACTATGATCGTCTCCATGAGAATGACCATGATGATGTCCACCAAGAACATACGCAAGTCTAATTAAAAAAAAAAAAAAAAAGACGTTAGTTATCACAGAGAGAAAGTGATGGATATTAAAAGGATGACTTACACAATGTTGATAGCAACACCAATAGAAGCAGTAATACACATCTATATATATAATAAAAACTAATCAATAAACCGGATATATAAAATACTGACATCCTTTCATATTCTTTACCAATTTAGCATCAATAGGTTGAGGTGATTTGACACGTTCAATGGCTTCACGCACAAGGAAAGCAGTCAATATCCAAATAGTAATAACTGATACTAAAGCAGCAATCACTTCAGCACGATGGAATCCATAAGTATGACCTATAACAATAAAAACAACAAGATAACAAGTTAAGCCGTTTGATTTCCAATAATAAAAAAAACATGATTTTAATACTTACGACTTGTAGGAGGTTTTTCAGCAAGATAAATAGCAACAAGAGCTACCAAGAAACTAACAACATCAGATAACAAGTGGAAAGCATCAGAGAAGAGAGCTTTTTATTTCATTATTCATTAAAAAAAAAAAAAGAAAAAGAAAAAGTAAGTAACAAATAACAACAAATAGACAAAGTGACAACTTATTTTACCTAAAGAGTTAGCCAAGTACCCAGCAACAAGTTCAGTAGCAAAGAAAACAAGAGCTAAACCAGTAGCAAACCACAATTTTCTTTTTGTAGAAGAGGAAGCACCACTTCGTTCACTAACATTGGCACAAGACACATCTTGATAAGAAACCATGGATCCTGTTCGACTGGGTGATCGGTGATGGTGGTGGTGAGTATGATCATGATTCTGTTTGTTTATCAATGGAGTTCTTTCTCCAATATGGTTATTTTCTACTGATGCCATGATTCTAAACAATATATATATATATAGAAAAAAAAAGACGTTAAAACAATAAAAAAGAAAAATGAAAGAAAGAAATTTATATATAAAAAAAAAAAACTCGGGCGAAATCGATTTTTACAATTGAAAAAAAAAAAAAGCTGAGGTTGAAATGGCATACACTGAAAAGAGAAAGAGAGGGGCGGAGAACTGGACAAAGACAATCACTGATTGGTGATAAAACACTCATGTTTGACAGGAGAAATGTTATTTAAGGTAAAAAAAAAAAAAAAAAAAAATATAGGAGATCATTGGAATTGATTTGGATTGTCATATAGCTTCAGATCGTAATAATACAGTTACACATAATAAAGAATCCCTAATGTCTTTTTTTGTTTCAAATCTTGACAAAATTACGTATTATTTTATAATCTGTATTTGGTTTCATCTGCGAAGCTTTTTCGGACAAAAAAAAAAAGAAGAATAAAAGAAGGAAAAAAAAAAAAAAAGACAGATTCCAAAATAGGAAACGAAAATCTGGGCGAGCATTTTTTTTTTTTTTTTTTTTGCGCCGTCACAGTATATTTTTTTTTGAACCCCTAGCCTACCTTTTCCCTTCTTTTTGTTCCTTTCTATTATCTATTATGTTTAGACACTTTTTATCATCGTTGGGTGGTCGATTGACATCTAATGTAAACACTACCACTACCTCAACAGCATATACTTCTACCATGAACTTTGTTCGACCTCGAGTATTAACTGGTTCCAGTAGCATTCTCAACTCCACGTAAGATAAAAAAAAAAAAAAAAAAAATAGTTTATTTTTGTATTAACTTTACTTTAACTTGATATAGTTTGGGTGCTTTCCGGTCTCCCATATTTCCTGTAAACCCAATGCAAATGCGATTTGTTACCTATGGCAATACATATCAACCCTCCAATTTGGTTCGTAAACGACGACATGGATTCTTATCACGTATGGCAAAGAAAAACGGACGACGGGTGATTGCAAGACGTCGAATGAAAGGTAGAAAATATTTATCTCATTGATTGGTCAATAAAGGAAATATCTTGGAATTTATATACAAGCCTACATACACCCACGAACGCACATACACAAATACACACGTACACCATACGACCTAAACAAAAATTGACTTTATACACCCCATTCTATTGATCTCATAAGTACACACAACCTTCATTTTTTTTGATTAGTATTCTTCTCTTTTACACACATACACACACACCATACATCTTATTATTGTACAGTTTATTTACCTTATTGAAATGGAAAATATCAAAATAAAGCAATCATAGACTTCTTTATATATATATATATATATATATATATACTCTTTGTTTCTTTATTGTTCAAAAGTGGTGTATTATACAAAATGAATAAAATAGGGAAATTCTATAGTCTATATTGGAGGGGAGGAAAATAAAATCATTGAATGCCAGCCTTATCCAAGGTATGAGAAATGATTTGACGGATATTCTTGGGTCTTGATGATTGTTTAGATTGTTGTAATTGATTGAAGAGTTCACGACGAAATGATCGACCTTGTTTTCCACTAAAAAGCATCATTAAAGGACGAGTCAGAAGAGTGATTGGTGGCAGACCATATTCATTTGGATGTAATTTTCTTGACAAAAGTTCATCTGCGTAATCTGATCAAATATATATATGCATTAGTGTATTCTTTTATTTATTTATTATCATTGATTTTACCTAGATATTCATCAATAATAGCAATTGGACTTTTGATTTGATCCTTCGGAATCTGATATATATCTATATATATATATATATAAAACAAAATAATAACAGTATGAACAAAATGATCATCAGTGATCATCTTTCCTATTATTATAAACCTTACCATGATCAATATGTTGAAGAAAAAGAGGGGAATCCATCACTATAATAATAAAAAAAAAAAGATAAAGATTTTATTAGGAAACATCTCTCTCTTTTTTTTTTTTTTTTTTTTCATCAGGCTAACATTTTACCTATTCGACCAATCATACATCCATCCACTTGATCTAATGCTGATCTAATGTCTTCCGTAGTAGTAAATCCGCCATTGATAGTAATAGGAAGATTGGGATATAATTTGGCTAATTCATAAACACGCTGATAATTAAGAGGAGGTATTGATCTATTTTGTTTGGGGGATAATCCTTTCAATATACATTTTCTTGCATGAACTATCAGATGAGGAGGTGGTCGATCGCATTGCATCAAGGTTTCAACCTTACCATAAAGATATATTAATATAAAAACAAATAACCCATCTATTTCCCATATTTTTGTAACTTACAAAACCATGAAAAAAGTCAAATGAGTCCAAATCATCCACACCAATACGACATTTTACAGTGACAGGAATAGAGACCATTTTATTCATCTCTTCTAGGATATCAGCAATAATATCAGGAGTTTTCATTAATACAGCACCAAAGTTTCCATGTTGAACATTAGCACTAGGACATCCAACGTTGATATTGACTTCAGAGTAACCATAGTCTTCTAATAATCGAGTTGCAGTTGCCATGATCTTTGGATCTGAACCGCCTAGTTGGACAACAACATTGGGACGAGGTGTACCTACAAAGCGATCCAAGTGAGATTGATGTTGATGTATAGCTTGAGCATGATGCATCTCTGTATAATAAACATGTCGTTCACCAGATATAATATGTAATAACTCTAAAAAGTTCTAGATTCAAAAAAAAAAAAAAAAAAGAAGAGAAAGTTAGTTTGGTGTTTCGTTGATATTTATTTATTATATTAAGGTCTTACTGGTGTAGTAATATCAACCATAGGAGCTACACTGATAGGTCTTATTAGTTTACTCTTAGTATGAACATAACGAAACCGACTATTTAGAAAGATTGATTGTCGAAAAAAGGAATGACCATATCGTAAACGTTGCATAGGGATCTATATATAATCTAAGAGAAACCAAAGAAAGAAAGAAAAAAAAATCGTTAGCGGAAATGGAAACCCACTGGATTTTTTTTTTTTTTTTTTTTGATTCATCCCTACTGGTGGAAAAGAGAGCATGTGAATTGAGGTACAAAATATTGTGATATATATATATATAAACTTATCATGATGGAAGATTCTCTCTCTCTTTTTTTTTTCGATAAATCGAGAGCATGAATGAAAAATGATAATCAGATAGATTTTTCTTTTCTTTTTCTTTTGTCAAAGGTAAAGTTTACCTGCTTGTGATCTTTAGGCACAACATTCAAGGTTCAAGCTCCGTTGTTCTTCTCTTTTTTTTTTTTTTTTATTTATTGTATTTCTTTTTTTTTTTTTCACTTTTTCTTTTCTACTTTTCACTTTTTACAATAGTCAGTCATGGCTACTGCTGAAAGTAGTCCAGTATCTCCAAAATCAAATATTTTTCCCTTTCTCTCTGGAAATGAATCTCAACGAAAACCAAAGACCATTGGTCAACTTACCAAAAGTTTCTCCGGTTTCTCTATCACATCACGCCATAGTTACAAACCACCAACATCAAAAGCCAAATCCAACAGCAACACACGTACTCCTTCCATAACTTCTGTTGATTCTGATATTGACGATACTATGATATCTACTGGAAAATTGACTTTGCGAGTTATTAATCCTGATCCTCAAGACTCTAGTGACGAAGAAGAAACGAACGATCAAGTTATTACTATGACAAACACTGATACAACAACAGATTATGATGTTACGCCAACAAATTCGGTACTCGACCACGATGCACTAGTTGGTGTTACTTCTGATTCTCAATTTGAAGAAGTTTCTTCAACACCTATACCCACCAGAAATACCATTGCAACCTTTCCACCTTCGCCTATTGTACAATCATCATCATCATCAGTATCACATCCAAAACAATCCATCGCTAAATCCACGATTATATCAACAAAACCTCCAACTCCAACTCTGATTCGACGACAATCAAAAACTCTGGACGAATTTACAATCACTAAACCAGGATTCTTACCACCACTTGACTTGACTCCTTTTGATTCATCTCACTTTATATCCGATTCTAATGATCCTAAGCACGTGGCCATAAACAACAATTCATCTGCTGCATCTTCGGGATCATACATCAAATTAGCATCTACAGTTGAACCTGCGCCAGCTTTAGCCACTCCCATCAACGCCACTCCTACTTCGCCTTTACCTTCCACAACTTTGGACAAGAATATACCATCTCAACCTCGACCTCAGCCATCTACATCAACTCACACCTATCAAAACTCGTTCGTCTCATTTGATCGAAATACACTTTCCAGTTTTCCTGATGATATCACTACACAAAATAATGATATTTCAAACGCCAATACGGATCGTCAACAACGAACAACACAAACTTCTCTTTTACCTAATACGTTACCAACTAACACAGTCTCTACAACAACAACAACAACAACAAAAACTCAACATCATGATTTTGCTTACGGAAAACTCACCAGTGGATCACAACCAGTACCTCCTTTCTCAAAATATGCCAAAGCTTCTTATAGTTTAACCAACAATCCTGATGCACTACGATTATACCGAGATATGGCCAAGAAAACAGGTGACAAAACTGTACAATATACGTATGCCAAGTATCTTTTGGAAATTGCAGCATTATATGATCAAGGTCGAGAAACGAAACACAACAAATTATCATCATTCAAACATTCTTTTGGAGAAGCCAGTCAACGTTTGCGTCATGAATTGAATCAAGTCTCCAAACATACTCTTGATCATTCTAAACACAAGACGACTCCTTTGTATACAAATCCAACACCTGCTTTTGTCTCTGGTCGACAACCAATGAATCTGACAATGGGACGGCGATCTTCATTGGAACAATCATCTATTCACACTGGAAGAGGACGACAACCATCTATTTCGACAGTACATCCACATTCACCCACCACAGCATCCATCTCCTCTTTTGTGACAACAACAACAAATACAATACCTTACTCTACCATCAGCAGCAATCCACAACATCCTCCTGAAAACAATAGCCATCGACGCAAGAAACGTGCTTTAGAAGAAGAAGGCATTCGATGGATGAAACGACTAGCAAAAGAACACATGCCTGATGCAGCCTTTACCGTTGCCACGTGGATGGATGAATGCATGTATGGATTTACTCGGAATCCTGCGAAATCATTTTTACTTTACGACATTGCTGCCAAGGCTGGAATTAGAGAAGCTATTTACAAAATTGGTCTTTATTATGAATCCATCGATGATCATGCAAATGCTCTCCATTGTATCAAAAAAGCATCTGAATTAGGTGTTGTACATGCTACTTTGGTAAGAAACAAATAGAAAAAAAAAATTGAAAGGATATCAAATGATATAACATACCTTTTTTTTTTTTTTTTTTTTTAAAAAAAAAAAAATAGAAACTGGCCAAGATTTATCTACATGGTGAACTTTCTCAACGACAAAATATGACTCTGGCCATTAGTCTTCTTCATGATGCAACCAATGATGCTGATGAATCTTGTCCTGAACCACCATATATGTTTGGACTTATTTTGACAAACACTTATCCAAAAGCAGAAATCCCTAGGTAAAGCAAAAAAGGAAAAAAAAAATGGAATGATGAGATGTTTAATCCATCAATTTTTTTTTTAATAGACAAGTGGTTGAACAATATGGTGGTGTATTAGCATCTCTCCCTTATTTTGAAAAAGCAGTTCATCTTGGATATCCTCCTGCTCATAGTGCATTAGGGAATATATTGGAACATGGATTATATGGTTTAGGAGTGAATTACGCACAATGTTATATTCATTATACCGAAGCAGCCAAACGTGAAGATGCTCAAGGGATGCTGGGACTTAGTCGACTCAACAATCGAGGATCACATGGACCAACGGATGACAAGGATTTACAACAAAAAAGAATATTCTCAGATGAATCTGGATGGTTAGCACAAAGGGAACCCAATGAAGAAAGCGCCTTTTATTGGTGTCAAAAAGCGGCTGATTTGGAATTATCAGAAGCTGAATTCTTATTAGGGTAAAGATAAAATATAAGATAATGATCCTAATTTTCTTATACATTTTTTTTTTTTTTTTACTTGTAGTTGGTATTATGAAATCGGTTTAGGAACGCCACGGGATCTTGAAAAAGCTCAATGGTATTATCATAAGGCAGCCATGAAAGGAAATGAAGAGGCCTATCAACGACTAGATCAAGATTCATCACAAACTCCAACTAATATCACTTTGAAAAAAGAATCTCAACAATGCATTGTAATGTAATCCCACCAAATCATATATTTGATCTATCAATGCTCTTTTTTTTTTTTTTATCGTGATTATTGTTATATTTATTATTAGTAGTAGTAGTATTAATATTATTAGTATTTATTTATTTGTTACCTAGTTGGTTTTTTTTGTTATCATTGACTACTTAATAAACTATTCGTTCCGTTTATGTATCACACTGTTTGTAGCAATAAAATCAAAAGTTCATTATTATACATTTATCATCATGTTTCTAGGGATTTCTTATTCTCATCCTACCCCAAAAATTTTGGCACTCCCTAGTAAAGCATGTCTATCTATGACTATCATTCTTCTTTATTAATGTATGTGATTTTGTCGAGAAAGAATAATATCTTATCAAAAAAAAAAAATAAAAAAAAAGAGGATCATCATATGTTCATACAGTATTGTCTCTCCAGAGGACAATATACACCTTTTTTTTTATTATTATTATTATCGAAAATTAAATAGAATAATAAGACAAAATTTCTATAATAAATAAATGGAGATGGGTAAAAATAATCTAGACTAGACATCAACCTTGAGACGATCCACAGGGAATTTCTTGGCCAACCAGTCATGGACAGGTCCTAAGATCACCAACTATACAAAAGAAAAAATCAACACGTTAGTCCATCCATTCACTTTCTTTTTTTTTTTTTTTTTTTTTGTTCTTTACCCTTTCCCAAGCTAAAGCAGTAGCCATGTTGCCAACACAAAGACCCCACAGACGCCATCGGAAATAGGTGGGCATTACATTCATACCAAGAGGAGTATTGTAGTTTTCTACATGGGTAGGTGGTATAGGGTATCCATATTTCTCCAAAACTGATTTTGTTCCACAATTGAAACGGAAGAGACAGCCAAATCTATTGGGAGGTGCCAAAGTCCAATATGATACGATTGCAATGTATAAAAGCCAGAAGAACACGAGCATATAGTTACGATAGAATGCTTGACGGAATTTGTAACCAAAGTTGAAAACTGCTGCATTATTAATGAACTGGAAGAGACAGACAAGAGCAAGTACTTCAGCTTCATAGTTGTCAGCAAGGAGCCACCATTTGGAGATATCCACAGCATTCGAATCAAATTCATTGCATCGGAAAAAGCTTTGTTGATAAAGCATATAGAAAGCAGTAGTCAAATAAATCCAGTTGATACCAACAAGTCCAAGACAAGATGCTAACGTTTGAGGACCTAAAAGACGAGCAGTAGGACGAATACCTTCCAAACGATCAGCAGCCTTTGATCTTGATAAAGCAATAGTCATGAACACGGTGATGAATACATCAATAGCAATCCAAACATTTTGTCCCATACTAATATATTTAAAAAATAAAATAAAAAAAAAGAAGATTTAACATACTATGTTCAGAATATGCAGAAAAATACTTACGTTACAGAGAAATAAAACGTAAAGACTTTAAGCATCATCATCACTTGTCCATAAAGTACGAGATAGCGATAACCAGTGATAGAGGTAGCGAGAGCGGCGCGGCCTTGACGAATGAGTTCCACACAAGATTTGACACTACGAACACTTGTACTGAAAGGAGACACAATGGAAGCTTCTGCATCAGACATAGCGATACCAACATGAGCAGCACGAAGAGCACCACAATCATTTCCACCATCACCAGTCATAGCAGTAATGCCACGTTCCATATGAAGTTGAACACATTGGACCTTTCCAGAAGGAGTCATACGAGCAAAGACACGAATATCCAAAAGATACTTGCGAATAAGATCATGATCCACCAACCAATGGAAAGCCTTTCCGGTAACCGCTAATTCCACAGGAGTATGACCTTTATTGAGTAAGTATTGATCAACATCAACATCAGCAAATTTTTCAGGTTCATCCACATCAGTCCAGATCACACGGTCACCTAGTTTGTCATAATCACCTAAGAGTACTTTTGAATTTGATTGAGCCATTCCACATTGACGAGCAATATAAACACCAGTCAAGGCAGTATCACCAGTAATCATGATAGTACGAGTGGCACCACGTTTAAGTTCAGCAATATTTTCGGTAGTATCAGGTTTGAGTTGATTTTTGAAGATGATGAGGCCAATAAAGTTGATTTCTTCTTCCATTTGATCACGAGTCCATTGACGGAAACCTTGTAAACCACCTATTTTATCCAAATCGATTTCACGATGAGCGAGAGCTAAAACATAGCAACCATGACGGGCATGATCGTTGGTGATAACATCGTAATCATGAGGGATGGAATCAGGGAGAGACAAATCCTTGATTTTTTCGTAAGCACCTTTGACAAAAATATGGACTTTGTTGGTGGCACTATCGAGTACTGCGACAGACATGGACATACGAGCATGGACAAATTCGAAGCGCTTCAATACATGGACAGGAGAACGTTGACCACCAGGAGTGTTTGCAGGAGGTAAAAGAGTATCAACATAGTCATCATTTTCCTTTTCATTTTGAAGTTCCCATTTTGATGAACGGAACATTTCAATATCCACAGGATTTCCTATATTTCATTATAAAATATAAAAAAATAAGTCATCAAATCAAATTTTGATATATATATATATATATATATATATAATTCTTACCGATAAATTGACCATTGAGAGTAGTAACAGCATGACAAGTAGCGAGAGCAATTTGTTTCAATCTTGGAATGTCTTCCACCTTTTCAATGTGTTGATCAAATTTAGGGATAGCATTATTCGCACGATGGTATACAATATCATTAACATTTTCGACAGGTTGTGCACCATAGAATTCTAAACCTTCCTTTGTCAAAGTACCTGTTTTATCGAAACAGAATAATTGAACTATCAAAAAAAAAAAAAAAAGGTCAGAATTGATAAATATAAATATAAAACATATTTCTTACCCTTGCCAGCCATCAAAATACGAGGAAGATCAACACAAAAGATATTCTTATCACGAAGTCTACCGGCAGCAACTGATTGACCTACGACCAAAGCGGCAGGAAGTAGAGGGGAAACCAATTGACAGATAGCAAACATTGCATAGAACCAAGCACTTGTACCACTGGTATAAAGCCAGATAGCAAGACCAAGCATGATAAGACCACAACATAATAGAATCAAAATGACGATCTTGATTTGTTCATCAAAAACAAAAGAGACACGAGTAGGGAAGAGAATTTTCTTGACCAATTCACCTTTATCAGTGCTAGTACCAGTATGTGTGACCAAAGCGCAAACAGGTTTATCCTTTTCCGAGGGTTCAGCTTGAGAAATGGTGGTACCAGAGAAGATGGTAGAAATCTTACTAGCACCCATACGTTCATAAGGAGTTTGATCTTCAGATCGTAGAGGGAATTTTCGAATAGGTAAAGGTTCACCAGTCAAAGAACTTTCATCAGCAACAATGTTTCCAGAGAGTACGACAGCATCACAAGGAGTAGTTTTGCCTTCATCAACTTGAAAGACATCACCAGGTACTAAGTCAAAAGTCGACATATCTTGCCATGAACCATCACGAAGAATTTTACAAGAGTCAGTGAATTCAGCCATTTGTTTAATACGACGTTCAGACTTGAGACGAACAGTAACCTTGACCATAGCAGATAATAAAATGACAGCAGTATCAGCTACACCCACTTGCCCTAATAGACGAATAACAAATGATGAGTGATTTTTATGTTATTACTATTATTATTTTGAACTTACAATAAGCGAAGTAGTAAAAGAGCCATAAAGCAGTAAATTGATAAATATAAAAGAAAGAAGCGAATTCACGAAGGATGGCCATAGGAACATTTGGTACATAGACTTCAATAAAATTAGGACCAACCAATTCTTCACGTTTGGCAGCTTCATCAGCAGATAAACCTTGAGATAAACGAGCAAGTTCACCATTGGTTTCACCCAAATGGAAGTCATGAGGAGTGAAGAGTTGAGATTCAGGGTGATAAACGAATCGAGTACATTGATAATTGAAGTATTTTGTTCCAGAACGAGTCTTTTCCAAAGGAGCGGTAGTGACTACAACATCCAAACCAAATAACTTTTTGCCTTTTGCTTCTAACCATCGTACAGTATCAGTAAGTTTGTCTTCATCTTCTAAAAGAATAATGGCTATGTAAAAAAAAAAAAAAAAGGAAAGAAAAGCAAAAAAAGTTAGCATATGTACTACAACACCTGATATATTGCTCTTTCCTTATATTCATCTCCGCACTTCCTAATTAGTCCAACATTTTTTCCTTTTTTTTTTTTTTTTTTTTTTTGTATATATATAAATATATATTTCTTCTTACCAGGTTCAGCTTTTTCAACTTGAACATATTGGCCTTCAGCATAAGTACACTGGATACGATAAAAGTTCATAAGACGACTCTTAAAGATAGTAAGACAGGCGAACCAGATGAAAAACACGTACCATTGGCCAATAAAAGTAGATGATTGAACCACAGCCACACCCTTGAACCAAAGATAATTTTGATAATAGTCATAGACAATTACAATCATATAAGCAATCATTCCAAGGGTTTGTAAGATATAACATCCAAAGAAAAAAGTACCCAAATAATCACGTTTGTAAGCCTTGATAATCATTTCTTCTTCAGGTTCAATAGATGCCATTTCTTCACCGTCGTCAGTCTAACGTAATTTAAAAAATGTTAGTAAACAAATAAATAATAAACAAATATTAACTTACATTAGCATTGTTAGTTTTTTTGTCACCCTTTTCTTGAGACTTTTCATCAGCTTGATATTGTTCCATTCTTTTTTCGTAAGCTTTGTTGTACTGAGCTTTGATGACCTATATATAGTATAGTCAACACATGTAATATAAAATGATGGTAAGTATTTTTCTGTTTTTTTTTTTTTTTTTTTTTGTCCTTTGATACTAAATTTATCATATACCTTTTCTCGAGTTGTCTTGTATAAAGTCCAAATGATCAAAAACCCAACCAAAGAACCATAGAAAACCCAATAAGCCAAAAAGACAGGTTCATGGAAGTTTAATGGACCATAATCAGGAGTAGGACATTCACCCCACATCATCCCAGTAGGATTTGCACTATTCCAACTTGGTAAAGATTGAATATTTAATGCTTGTCCACAAGATTCATAGGATTGTTCAGATTTGTTGGTTGCGACAAAGTTTGGAATATCTACATATTGTTGAGAACAGCTATAAGTAGGTCCACTAAGATCAGGTCGACCAGGACATGCACATTCAGATACAAGGTTAGTAGGACAGCTGTCACGACAATTTCCATCAATACAAAAAGTTTGACCAGCAGGACAAGATGGACGGACGGAAGGAGGACATTGATTGATATTGGATACACAAAGTTTAGGGCATGGATAAGAGTTATATGTTGGAAGAGGACATGCCGATCCGTTCACTTGATTTCCGTTGACTAGGAAAAAAAAATAGTAAATAAATTGAAGTTTTTTGCAGAAAATAGAAATATTTATAAAAAATCTTTTTTTTTTACCTGTATTCCATTTAGGAGTAGCAGTTACAATAGGTAACAATACTACTACTAGTAATCCATACAAGTAGCGAATTATCATCGAAGCGTAATAAAGAAAAAAAAATGGAAGAAAAGAAAAGGAAAGAAAAAGGGACAAATAAAAAAAAAATTCTATCTTTTTTATTGTTCTACAAAAGGATAGGCGTTTGAGTGACTGTAATTCAAATTCCGTCGGAGATGATTTGATTCGTTGGATGACCACCTTTCTTTTTTTTCTCCAGAAATCAAAAAAAAAAAAAAAAAAACTGGGGGGTGGGAAGAACTGGTAAGAAAAGAAAAAGGACATACGTAGGAGGGAGAAAAAAAAAGAAATAAAACAGAAATTATTTTTTTTAACATAGATTATTAGTATCATTTTGTCCAAAGATGTTGCTATGATATTACTAGAAGATGCCCCTGTTATTAAAGGTGAATCATTTGTCGTTGGATGTTGGTCTTTTACAGAAAAAGAAACTCTTTCAAACGGAGAGAAAAATTTTGACGTCATTGAAAAAAAAAAAAATAGGACCCAAGCTTATGATGATGATCCTATACAACGCAAAAAAAAAGTTTACTTGATTTCTCCAAAATACTTTATTTTTCTCGCGGGGGCCATTTTAGAAACAAAGACAAAGTTGTTTTTTTTTTTTTTTTTTTTTTTTTTTTTTTTGATGTGAGACCTAATGATGACCATGATTATGTACAACATAGAATCAATATAAATTGACATTCAAGAGTTGAAAAAGAAACGCAGAAAATTATACCTAAAAGAAATTGAAACTCAAAGGAATCATTCTATATTCGTTTATTGAAACAATCATATCTATTTTTTTTTTATAGCCAATGAATTTAAATAAAGCCTCATATTTAGTAACCTTTATGCAAATTCATATAAACTACGATGTTATGAATCCCAAATAACGAGACATTTGTTTTCGTTTTCTTTTTTTTCCATGCTTTCACTTATACTGGTTCCTTTTTTTTTCTTTTTTGCAAGTCAGCATTTCCTCCAAACTTTCTTTGACGGCCCGAAATTCCGGGTCTTATCCACTCATTCTTTTTTACTCGATCAGGTTTCAGTTCTGTTTTTTTTTTTATTCGATTTTTTGATATTTCCCAGTTACCAATAACAAAATGATGATTTGTATTTAACGCTCAGATGAAGGCTATATCAATACGATGTATATTTTTCTTTTTTTTTTTTTTTCACCTGAGATGGACCAGTATCTTTATTTAAAGTTTCGACCAATCAAGTGAAATCATATCCTGAAGTCTCTTCCTTTCCTTTTTATTTTTCGTTTGACAGATGATTGACCACTAATAAAATGTAGTAAAAACCCAAGATCATTCCTTAGAACGTCATCATCATCACCCATATACAGAAAATAATCAAATATTCAATCATCTTTCAAATCCAAATAAGGTTTTTATTGTTAAAAAGCATAAAAGTGTACTATAAATAAGAAGAATGTCTAAGCTGAATATTGAATCAAGATCACAAAGTATATGTACAACGCTAAAACGTGAATCCAGTGATAAAAAAAGAAACTAGTTCCAACTAAGGTGCAAAGAATCCAGGCTGAAAATAAATACTTCCGTCATAGATCGTGGTTGCTGTCTATAAAGAGGGACAAGACAAGAGAAAGAGTTAGCATTTATAATATGATACCTTTATTATACCCAATTAGTTCGTGCCTGAAGTCAAAAGCTGTCTATGGTCCGATTCTTGGTTATCATCTAATCATCTTGTCATTCAATGTTCAAATCCCTGACGTTGTTACTTTTGTGTATAACGACAAATGAAGAAGAATAAGTAAAGAAAAGGAAAAAGATTTGCATTTTTTCTTTTTTAAAAAAAATGGCGGTCGATAAAATTCTCCCCCTGTGACTGGACTTGGGTTATTTCTTGAGCTGTCGTCGTCGAGTCCACGCACGCTCTATCTGCTTACGCGCTCTTTTCTAATCCTTTTTTTTTTTTTCTTCTTCTTCCCATTTCTTTTTTTTTCTTTTTTTTTTTTAACACTTCTTATATATACGAATATAACACAATGGAATGCTTATTTGGGATCACTGGAAAGGATTTTACTTTACTTGCTGCTGATACTGTTTCAGCTCGTAGTATTGTTGTGATGAAAGGTACAGAAGATAAATCTCGACAACTTAGTCCCAATACTGTTTTACTCTACTCTGGTGAACCAGGCGATACTGTAAATTTTGCCGAATATATCCAACGCAATATCAAACTTTATAGCATTCGTAACGGTATTGAACTATCACCTAAATCAATCGCTACTTTTACTCGACGAGAAATAGCTGATTCACTTCGAAGCAGAGTAAGTTCCCTATATATATATATATAGTAACTTTGGGAATGGTGAATGGTACCTTGGAAAAAGTTACTTACTGAATCTTTTTTTTTTTTATTATTATTATTGTTATTATTCTTAGCATCCTTATTCCGTCAACATGATTTTGGGTGGATACGATACTAAAACTGAAAAATCAGAATTGTATTGGATTGATTATTTGGGTGCCATGGCCTCTTTACCTTTTGCAGCTCAAGGATACGGTGCTTACTTTTGTACATCATTGATGGATCGCTATTATAAACCCGACATGAATGTAGAGGAAGCCAAGAAACTGTTACAACGATGCCTGGATGAACTCAAGACTCGATTTATTGTCAATATGCCAAAGTTCAACGTCAAATTGGTGACAAAGGATGGTGTACAAGATATTGAATTGTAGTTAGTTTCCATTTATCTATTTTATCGTTTATTTTTATTCCAATAAAGACATCAAATACAATGCATAATGTGTCAATGGTGATGATAGTTTGATGATGGGATGCTATGTGATGAATGATGATGATGATGTGGTTAGGTCTATTTCAACGTGTAGCATTTACTAATGATTGTATAGGCAAAAAAATAAGAAGATTTTATTGTGTATATTTGACAAAATAATAATAATATAATAACAATAATAATAACAATAAATAGTAATGATACTATAACTAATTTGTGTTTATAGATGAAGGATGCATCAAATTGTCGAAACCAGTGGCAATATCCAAAAGAGCATCTTCGCTTGCAGGTGCTGTAGGATTAAGATAAGTCATGATAAAATTGATAGCAAGCCATTTATTATTCACAGTTCCCATATCCTTGCCCTAAAAAAGTCGTCAATATATATATATTAGTCAATTTTTAATTTCATAATATTCTTCTGTTTGTCAATTAATATTCATTTTTACTTGCCTCATATTCCATTTTGAATTCACCTTTTCTCGTCTTTGTAAATACGAATTCAGTATCCTTCTTCACTTTTGCGTTGACAAACTTGGTCTTAAAATCACGAATTGCCTCCAGAATTTCTGTTTCCTCTTCTTCAGTCATGGTTTTTGATTGTTGTCTCATACGCTGTAGCAATGATCGAGTAAATCCATCACGAAGATGTTGTGTATTGGTATTTCGCACAGGTACTAGAGAGACAGACAGAGAGAGAGAGAGAGAGAGAGAGAGAGAGAGATTAATATCAACACCACATGGCTATACTGCTATGATAAAATGTATGAGGTGATTTTTTTTTCTTTACCAATTCGAATAGAGACATCCACAGGTTGATCCAAGAGAGAAAGAGCCAGATCTTCGTTTTCCAGAAAGTCAGTCTTGTTAAAATCCTACACAGAAAAAAAAAATATTAGTAACAGTCAGTAATATGATTTTTTTTTAATACCTTCCACTTTGCATCCTTCTGAAGTTCACCAATATCCTCACTTCTCATATAAAGACCCAAAACGTAGACATTGAGTTTAAGGAAGCTAACTTGACGAACACCAAGTCCCACTAGTCGTTTCCAATCCGAGTTTGTATTCAAATATACTGGAAAAAGAATGCGAGTACTTGGATCTAGATAGACGAAGAAACGAGGTGAAAGGAAAAAAAAAAAGTCGTTCGTTATTATGCATGTCATTTGTTTTTCTCATTACTCTTATTACCTTCCACAGCACCAGGATAAACAGGGTCTTTGGCTTCTGCATGAACAACAGAGGACTTGAGCGCAAAATAAGATCCAGTAGAGACAGTTGCCAATGTTGCCATTGCCATAACTGGAGCCCAAGTACGTTGTTGTTGTTGTTGTTGTTGTTGATATCTAGCCTATATATAATATGTATTTATCAGTAGATAACCCAAAAAAGAAAAAAAAAGTAAGTAAAAACATAGGATACTCATTGAATGGTTCCTATTTGTTTATTACCTTAATAGCAGTTATGGAAGTAAAGCGTCTACTAGAAGCTTGCCATTGACCAAAGTGGTGTGTTAGTGTTCGTGTACGGTACATTTGAAGGGAAAGGTGAAAGAAAGGGCAAAAAATATAATCGCCGACGTTGCTGCTTTTTTTTTTTTCTGATTTTTTCACTTTTTTTTTTTTTTTTTTTTTTTTACTTTTGACTTCCCTTTCTTCAACCAACTCTCCATATTTCCTTTAGTCCATACATTCTTACATATACATATATATATATAGCATCTATAAACTTCAAAAATTGTTGAAATATGGTAAATGAATACTTTATATATAATAAAACTTTTTAAATTCTAATATTATTATATTGAAATGGTAGGCACGTAATGAAGAAAAAGCACAATCGATGCTTTATCGGTTTCGAGAAGCCCAAGCAGCAGAATTAGGCAAAATCACCAAAAAGCAAAAACGACCTGCGTTAGCCACTAGTGTAGATAATGTAGGCGAATGTGAAAGATGGCGACGTGATATTATGCGAGAAATCTCTCGTGGTGTATCCAAAATTCAAGATTGTAAGTGTACTTTATTTTATTTTATTTTATTAGCAATAATAGTTTGAATTGACCTATTCTATTTGTTTTGTAGCTACTTTATCTGATTATCAAGTACGAGATCTCAACGATTATATCAACAAAATGATGCGAGAAAAGTATCATTGGGAAAAACGGATACGAGAACTTGGTGGACCTAATTATTCTGTAAGTATATTGAAAAGATGAAACATATATATGTATATATATATATATGACCTAATGGTTTGTTGATTTTTTTTTTCAGGTTGCTCCAAAAATGCTTGATAATGAAGGAAAAGAAGTTCCAGGTGCTCGTGGTTATAAGTAAGTTTTATATAATATAAAAGAAAATGATGATTGAATGGGTTTTGTTGTTATTTTAGATATTTTGGTCGAGCAAGAGACTTACCAGGTGTACGTGAACTATTTGAACAAGAAGGTAAAGTATCATCAAACAGGAAGGAAGGAATCGTTTTATAATTTTATTATTATTATATTTATAGCTTCCGGACCTGTACAGCGATCAAGGACTGAACTTTATAAAAATATTGACGCGGATTATTATGGATATCGTGACGAAGAAGATGGAATTTTATTAGAAAGTGAAAAGGAATATGAAGCTCAGTTATTGGCCAAACTGTCAAATCAAATGGATAACGATCAGGATGAAAATATAATAGCAGAATCTGTGAATACTTGAAAGGTAATTGGGTATAAGAAATAAATAATGCAAAATAATATATTAATTTACCACCTTTTTTTTTTTCCTATTTCTATTATTAGACCCAAGACTGATGATGACACAATGGTTATTGACTGGTGTGAATATTATACTGGTTAGTTAGAAACTCTTTTTTTAAACTTACTTTTCATGCTCAAAATAAAAAAAAAGACTAGTATGATTTCGTTTTGTGTGACTATATAAAAACAAGCAAATAGACCTAAAGGTCCGTCTTGGTTATTGTAAGGTTGTGATCCAGAAAAAAAAAATAAAAGCTTGTATTGATATGGATGTATATGAAGGTCTTGTAGTCTGTAAATTGGTTTAAAAATTGCTATCAAAATAGATAAAAGATACGTGATTGGCTAATTTTTTTTTTTTTCATACGTTAAATATGTGACTCCGCTTCTTTCATGGCAGAATACCTCCCTTCATCACTTTTCTTTTTTTTCTTTTTTTTTTTTCTTTTTAGTTCACTGTTATACAACAAAAAAAAAAAAAGATGTTCAACCGTTTTATGCCCATTTTGTCAAAAAGAACTATTACTCGTAGTTTAATATCAAATATTGGATTGAATGCTAGGCCATCAGGACTTCGGTTAAATCATCATGGTACTAGAGTAGCTTCTCGAGACTTACCACCAGCACCTACAAAATCACGTCGTCCTTGGTACATTGGTGGAGCTATTCTTGGTACTGTTGTTTGGGTAGTTGGTTTATCTTCTGCTTTGAATTATCAACGTTTATCAAGTAGTGTTGTCAGTGGTACTCTGTTTATGGTTCGATATGATCCTAGAGTGATTGAACTTGTGGGAGACAAGGTGGATTATGCAGATTCTTGGCCTTGGATTAGTGGTACTGTAAATCATTTGAAAGGAAAAGTAAATATTGCTTTTGATGTGACAGGATCCAAAGGTAAATATATTTCATAAATAAAAATAAATAGACTTTATTTCTTATAAATACTAATTATTTGATTATACTCTTGTATATACTATAGGTGAACGAGCTCGTGTTCGGTTTTCTTCTCAACGAAGAGGTCATGCTTGGCATACTTTGGAATTCACAGTGACAAGACAATCAGATAGTGAAACTGTAGATATTGGACATCACGAATTGACAGATCAAGGCGCACCTTTTGCTCTGGAACACCTGGAATAGATTATAGTAGTTGTAGTCATATTGGTAGAATAGTTTGAATAATTTATATATATATCTGATCATACAGTTGAATACATAACGCAATAAAACTCTATTTTGTTTGGATGAATGATGGATTATTGAGGATGTTTTATCCTTTGGTTTTGAATGATCAATTTCAATTTATCAAGAGGCATATTTTCAGGATCGACAGCGACTTCATAGGAAGGTGGACAAGAATAACCTAGGATTTTTTCTTCTTGATCAAGAAGATGGACGCGGAAGAGACGATCACGATGTGAAGCAAAATAAGAAGGTGGGGGTAATGATGATGATATATGTTGACGCATTGATGGTGATGATGAAAAACAAGGAACAGATATTTCTTCATCATCACATTCCAATTTTGAGGTTATACAACGTACACAGAAATAAATCATCACTGACAGCAGTACAGGTGTCAAAACGATTAACCATAGTATGGGAGTGCCTGTAAAAGTAAACAAATTGGTCGACATGTATGTATACAAATAATAAATAAAGAAACAAAATAAATAAATTTGTAATTACCACATCACAAAAAGAAGTGGAAAGAAAAAAGACAAGCTTTTTACTTTCGTATTTTCTATTGCTTTTATAAGGAAAAAAAAATTTTACTCCCACACAAATTGATTTAATTTCATATATGTACTTGGAATATATATATTATTATTATTGTCTTGACTTTTATTATTGATAATCTGGTACAAGGTAAGGGGGGATACTTCTATTCCTCCCTTTTATTGCAGGTGATGAATAGATCTTTTCCCCTCTCAGGGTCTTCCATCCAAATATAGAAAGATTTAACTTGATGATCAAACTGTTGTAATAATTGAATCTTTTACTATTTGAATGTAATAAGTAGGATGATGATGACAATAATAGTAAACAGTGTTGTCATTTTTTGTACCTTAGTAGAATTAAGCTCCGTATAGGTCTTTACTGCGTTCCTAATAAGCAGTAAGTTCCATAAAGAATGTTATTATTCATCACTATAGCAAATGAATTAATAGTTTGAAATGGATGATGAATTCATTATGCCATTATAATGATAATAATAATAATATTATATATACATATATATATAAATATCAAAGTCTACACAATGCATAATTCGAGCGTTAGCATTCTTTGTCTGTGCTTATTAAAAAAGAAAGGGGAGATACATACAATTTTATTATCCATATTTTCATTTGCCCTGAAACAGCATATTTCCCCCTCTTTTTTTTTTTTTTTTCTCATATACCGAAAATTCAACGATATCATCGTCCTTCTTTCCATACAATTGGATACCCAAAAAAAAAAGTCAAATGTATTCATGATTTAATATATATTTATCAAAAGATGTCATTTCAATAAAAATAGTCAATCAATCCAAATACGTGTATAATTAGACATCAAAACCAACTATATATCAATTATTTTCTAAATTACTACTATCTAATAGACTACAATTTGGAAGAAGTGGTTGTTGTCAAGTGTTGTTGTATAAAGGCCGTTATATCTTGAATTTCTTGATCTGAGGTAGTATGTCCCAATCCTTCGTACGTTTTGAATTCAATATTATAACCAATCTTCTTCAAATATCGAGCTGAACTGCGACCATATTTGTATTTCACCACGGGGTCATCATCACCATGACACATGAGTATTGGTGTTTGCTTGTTGGTTTTTGATGCCATCTAAATATATACATATAAAAAGTGGATGAGCTTCTTACTACAAAGTTACTATAATTACTTACCTTGATGAATTTTTCACCTAGTGGCAACCATCCACTTACACCAATAATGGCAGACAAAGGAGTTTCTATAGTCAATCCAGTTAACAAAGTCATAACACATCCTTGAGAAAACCCGCCTAAAATGATGTTCCTTATACCATTGTTTGCTTCTGATTCAATCAAGCTATTTACTAATAATAACATACAAAAAAAAAAAAAAAAAAAAAAAAGTTGATCAATATCAGGATTTTTTCAATATTAGAGTTTGAAATATCATACCGTATGCAACAGATTCTAACATCCCTTTTTCGTCCACTTGAGCCAAATGAGAAGTCTTGTCAAAACTAGCGACATTGAACCAAGCAGGAATGGTAGCATCATCATTGAAAGAAACTGATCTTAAAGGTCTATCATAAAAAGAGTAAAATGTTATTAGTTTAGCATACATTACATAAGTATAAAAATAATATATATTATTAAACCATCCTTTCATATCCCCCTTCTTTTTTCCATTCTCCTTAGAAAAAAAAAAAAAAAAACAATAAGCTTACGCATTAGGAAGTATCCATTTCAGAGTAGGGAATAAAGGTGCCAATTGTTCAACTAGGAAATACCAACCCAATCCAGAGTCACCCAAGCCATGTAACCAAATGATAGTGGAAGTATGGTTTTTTGATGTAGGAAGGACAACAACTGGGTTCATTATTGATATGGTATCCAATGTCATGAAGTAAAGATAAAAAAGTGATGACCAATGTTGTATTTTCCCATAAAGCAAAAAAAAAAAAAAAAAAAAAAAGTAAGGTTTGAGAGAAAAGATATAGGCACACAAAAAAAACTTAAAAAAAAAAAAACTTAAAAAGAGTTTGCAGATCGGGATCAGTTTCAAATTCAGTCTGGAATCTTCAAATTTCTTCGCGTAATTATTCTTTTCTTTTATTCTTTCTTCTTCTTATTATTATTATTCATTTTAAACAATCACTGAATGCGGTATTAAATATTCCTCCTCATGTCTTTTATTTCCAACTATATACAAGTACACGATGACCCTACTCTGGTGATTCCTTTTTTATCTCAGGTTCAACAAGAAATACATGGTAAACAGAAATATTAAATATTATAAACTCAATATTTATTTATTTATTATTATTATTGGTTCTATAGTACTCGAATCAAATGAAGTAGGTTCCTTGGTTAGTTACTTGTTAGCCGATCTTGATATTAAACCAAAGAATGGAGAATGGGATGAAACTGGTAAAAAAAAAGGAATACTTTTATATCAATTTTGTTATGGGTTATTCATTTTATTTACTTATATATAGTTATGACTAAAGCTCTATTAACTTTGAAATATCTTGGTCGACGTATTGAAGACAGTGATATGCTTTACAAAAGACAGGCAGGTACCAAAAAAAAAGATAATAACAACAAAACAATATACTAATATATATTGTACGTTTACAGGGTATTATTATCTTGATGAAATTGGCGGGATTTTTGGCGTCAAAAGATGAATTGTTGGATAATAGCTCAAGTCAAGAAGCTCTGAAATGTATTGCTAACTGTATTCTACTCAATGGAAATGGAGTCAAACAATTACTACTTGAATCTGAATACACCATCAATACATGTGTTCGATTACTTGATTCTGATATTATCTCTATAGAAACACAGTTTTTGATATGTCGGATCCTCTATCTCATGATTTCATTGGATGAGCATAGTATTCTCAATGAATTGATGGATTTACAAGTACCAACTGCACTTGCCAAGGCAAGGAAGAAATAAAAAAAAAAAAAAAAAAAAAAAAAGAAAGGAGTTTTTATTTATTGATTCATGCAATAACATGTGGTATGCACGTTTCTTATATTTGTTAGATCTTAACCCGACATGTTCAACAATGGATGCGTGACCCATCTTCTATGGAAACCTCATCTAATGCCAATAATATCACTACCACAATACCTCAACAACAACGATCACCTTGCACTCTTGTCATTGAAGTGATCAAATTGGAAAATATCATGGTGACCGCTCTTGTAGAAAGTAAAACCATACCGGATGACAACATTGATTCAACTTTGGATATGATCAAGGAACAAGTGGCTGAACAATTTGCAGAAAGTCTGACGCCTATCTTGGATCTAATCTTTATTTTGCCACATCCTGCGCCTTTTCCGTTAATCTCAACTGCACCTCTGACTGTTGCCTTACGATCTCTTGATAATTACACTCATCCTGTTTTCCGCAAAGTGTGGTATGCTTCTCCAACTATTATACATCTCTGTCCAACTCGAGAGTCATCCATTGCTTTATTTGTTAACACTGTGATCAAGATTTTGAAAAATACATTAATTTATATGATGCCACCTCGACCTTCTTCTTATTCTGGTATTCAACCCTTATCTGGTAGTGATGTGATTCCTCCTTTCTTGAAACAGCAACCGCCCTCGGATATCGATTTGGATCATGATTTGGCCCTTGTCTTGTCTGTATTGACAGTTTCTTTAGTCTATGCGAATGAACTGGCCCCCGATTTGAAGTATACCCTTGTTCCTATGCCCCACTCTAATGATGATGATGATGAACGTCGTATATCTCAAATGATCTTTAGTCGTCTTGTCAAAATTTTATCCTACTCAAGATTTCCTCAATCCAAAGAAATGGTGGTTGAATTGTTGTATACCCATGTCAAAGAAGATGGTAAGGAATGTTATTATAATGAATTTATCATCATCTCACTTTTTTTTTTTTTTTTTTTTTTTTTTTTTTAGATGCCAAGTTAATTGAATTGATAGGGTATGATTATTCCAAACCATTCTTGATCACCAAAGGTCGAGATACCACATTGCTTGCCACCAAAACACTGAATACCAATACTACTATGGAACAAGACGATATACAGGATCCTGTTACCCAGATAGCCGATATGACCGATGAAGAAAAGGAACGTGAAGCTGAACGTTTATTCATTTTGTTTGACAAGGTCCAACTTCAAGACAAAAAAATAGATTAGTTTATATATGTAGTTATTATTTATTTATGCTTGTTGTAATAAAATTGATATCGTACGTATGATGAATAAGATGTGATGATCTGAATGATGACATTGTAGTACGATATATGATGGTTATATGACGAACGATGATAAACGAGACAATGATATCAAGAACAACCATTTGACAGTAATGATAGTAATGATTAGATATTAAAACTGCTTTACTCCATTATTAGTCTAGAATCCGTGATGAACAACAGCTTGAGTAAGAGTATGATAGTGTACTCTATTTTTTTTTGTCATCATGAAGTACAAATGAAAGATGTTCATCATGTTCATGGTATCAATTGCATTAGCTGTAAACTCATGGTCATCGGCTTGGCTCTACTGATGATGGTCGTGTTCGTACTTGACATTCAACTTGTGGTCTTCATACATATATAGTATATATATATATATCAACGTTGTTATATTGTTTCATTTTTATGTACTATTTCTTTAACTTGGTTTTTCTATTGTAATATTTCTTTCTTATCTTTCAATCATTCAAATAAAATTAATTCATAGAAACATGTATGATTACATTTTTTTTATTATTTAATATGTACAAAACAAAACAAAAAAAAAAGATATATACAGTATTTGGTATATATATATACACAATCTAAACTAAAGCTAAAAAAAAAAAACTAACATCATCTAACGGTCCATTAAGATTCATTTCGTTCAGTCCAGAGTTCATTTAACCAGCCAGAAACTTCATTATCCTTCCTTTGTATCCAATCCAAATCCTTTTCCGAGCCTTTGAAGATAGATTTTATTCTTGGGATAAATTTATCAGGATGATAGCGTAATTGTTCTTGTCGAATTTGCTTTGGGGTATGGTGAATCAAAAAGGCACGGACATTATCTCTTGTAATACGAGAACCTAGTGTTGGCCATGGAATATCACGAAGACTAGTGATTATCTTATTATTGTTGAATGTATTCCATTGTAAAGTATATTGTTCCAGATATTTTTTTAATCTTTGTTGTGTTTCTTCTTGTCGAATACGTTCATGTCGTTTTAATTGTTCCAAATGTTCTTGTTCCAACTTTCTATTTGCCTCTTCCCTTTCTTGTCTTCGTTTTGCCCTTGCTTGTCGCCTTGCTTCTTGTTGAGCTAGCTCTTCAGCATGTTGTTTGCGATACATACCTTGATTGATATAGTCTGCATAAGCATCGTCTGACATGTAGTGAGGATCATTAGTAGAAGGACCAGAGTTTGTATCATAAAAAGTATAAAAAGGATCTTCTTCATCAACCATAGCTTCAAACAATTTTTCTTGCCATTCTTGTTCTTCTGTTTTCTTGAATGCTTGAGGAGGTGGTTCTTGTTCATAAATATAAGGTGGTGAATAATGTTGACGACGTTTCTTTTTTGAAGACGTTTTGTGCTTGTGGCTCTTTTTAGATTTGTATTTTAGTTTTGGCATAAGATATATATAAAAAAAAAAAAGAACGAGAGACGAAAAAAAAAAGTCAGAAAAATACAAAAATCTTTTTTTTTTTTGAGAAAATGAATAATTTCTAAGATTGGAAAAGAAATGATAATGTACATTTTTTTCACTGTTATTTCCAAATAATACCTTTTGTCCATAATTTATTATATATATAATATGTATAATGATGATGAAATATCGGTTCATTCTCAATACATTAGCTTCTTGTGGGTTATTATTTTTTTTTGTGATGGAAAATTTCATCATGATCATCATCGCAGGATTATCACCAAAGATAACGTATTTGTAATTTACAAAAATCATCATCAACGTCAATTGTACTTTATATTCTCATTCAAATAAAACCATATTTTTATTATTTGTTACTGTATTGTCATCCACTGTTATCCTATCATACCATCATCACATATCATTGATCTATTCATCCATCATCATACTAATCAATCACGTCCACAAATAAATGTTTATTGTTGCTTGCATATATATATATAAAGTAAATAATAATAATTATAATAATAATAATAATAATAATAATAATAATAATAATAATAATAATAATAATAATAATAATAATAATAATAATAATAATAATAATAATAATAATAATAATTAAAAAAGGAAGAAATACAAATGAATATATGGCTATTAAAAAAAAAAAAAAAAAAAAAAAAAAAAAAAAAAAAAAAACAACTAAACATCAGAGGCATATTGTCTAGGAGCACCTATAGGAAGAGGAATGGCAGCACGTTTTGTCCAAGATTGTCCACTAGTCCATGAAATTGTCATATCACAGCTCGTCCATCGTTTCAAAAACAGGTAGAATCGGATCTGATCTTGTTCTGTCACCGCCGTCTTACATGGAGAGATCATGGTTGTTGATTCTACAGATGTTCTTCCGATATTTGATGAAGGCGAAGAAGGTATTCCATTGTCGTCATACTTTTGTGCAATATGCTGTTGTTTATGGCCCTTAGCGAACGATGATGGTCCTTCTATAGTGCGTCGGGTCAATGCTATGTTCGTTTGCTGAGATAATGGTGCAATAGAGTTCATTTGACGTCCTTGAGATGGTGTTGAAGTTGCCGTTTGCATAGAAGAAGAGAATGAATTTTTAATGGAGGACGATCGATGTCCGTGAGAAAGTGATTGTTTTGAACCATACTGTTGTCGTTGTTGTAAATGATGTTGCTGTTGAAGGTGTTTTTTTGGTACGAGTGCTTTCAATCTTTCTATTTCCATCCCCAAATGACTATTGTTTCCATCGCCATCGTCATGATTATTTTCATCTGTAGATAAACGTGCAGGTGATTTGACTCTATGTTGGATGACCTTAGCGTCGTTCCATACTTGCTCATGTTGTTCTATTCTAATATTCATTGTAGTTGGTGTTGTGGACGTCTTTGTAATGGGAGAATCAACCAAAGTGGGAAAGTCCGTGTCAAATGTCGTTGTTGTTGGTGTTGAATCATATGTAGTTTTGTTACTAGTTGTGTTTGCCTTGTTATCCATCAAAGAAGATCGGGTGAGTCTCAATGTGCTTCTTGTTCGCTGTTGATCATCATCAATGGGTTTTCCTACAAGTGGTACATTAGATTTGATAATAGATGTATTGAAAGAAGAGGAACTAGATGATGCTGAAGGTCTATGTGTTGGTGAATCGGCTATATTTTGAGAGTATCATCCATAAATGACATAACAATAAAAAAAAAAAAAGAAAGATAATTTATCTTTATTAGTAATCATTGATATAAAAAGTTTTTTGGTGATCATATAAAAACTGACCTGTAACAAAAGACGAGAATGCAAGACTCGGATTATTTGCTAATAACCAACTAGGTCTAACCTTCACAGGACCAGACGTTGAAGAATAGTTCGAAGACTTGACGTCCATACACCTTAATAGGGAGATAATACAATAACCAGTAGAATAGCGGAAGGAGAATGTAGAGAAGTATATATGATAGGATTGCACTTGTTACTTGTTCCAAGGGATGAGAAGACACAAGAAGAAATACACAAGTAAAATATATATATATATAAAATATATAATTGGTAAATGTTGAATTCAAGCAACCCACATTTCAAAAGGTTCTAACAAAGAATCACCAGGTCAATTCAAAAGAGCAGTATCTTTGATGTTTGTTTTCCTCGTGATGACAGTTATGGCGATTGACGATGAAGAATATATATATAAAGGAAAAAAAAGTCAATAATATATCAAATAAATTCAAGTATCAGATATCAAGTCGAGTTTAAATAATGATAAATAGAGGAGGAGGAGGAGAAGAAGAAGAAGAAGCGAGAAAAGAAAAACATGGAGATGATGGCCACTTTTTGAAGCGCAGTTGCAAAATCAACTAAACATTGAATGTAGTACAACAAAGAGAACAAAAAAATACAAGCATAACTTTATTCATATAAATAAAACTATTTCTACTACTATTATCCTCTTTGTCTAAGATCTTCAATAAGAGAATCATAGCTAGATGATCCATAAACATCATGACAAGCCTTGATACGTTCATATAAAACAGGACAATCCAAAGAATCACAGGGCATATCCATATATCCAGTATTCCCAATCTTCAATTCATTCGAATCATTCGTACTTATAAGATCTGCATTGATCAAACCTGAACAATTCTGACAAATCAATAAGGCGGTTTCCAATCTTTTCTGTGTTTGTCGTTGTCTTGATATCAAGGTGAATACTGTACGAGAAGGTTGATCCAAACAATCAGGGCATATCACTAATATAAGAATATGATGAGTGCTTTTTTTTATAATCAATCATTCCAAAAAAAAATTGTCTTACCTTGATGAGCAAGTCGAGAACAAACAATACAATGACTACTTGCATAATATTGGTCAATACGATTATTACTTTTTTCATTCCATTCCCTAGGTTGAGCCATTGAAAGTGCCATTGCTTTTCTTGATCGAGGCATTTCATCATACCAAGCCTTAACATCTAATTTCAAAGAAAAAAAACAAAAGATTCAATAGTTTAATAGACAAACAAATAATACCCCCCCTTTTTTTTAGTATCATTTTGTTTTTCTTCTTCTTACCAACACCCACTAAATTGAATACTCTTTCCAAAGGAGCAATGATTTGTTTCCGGATATAATAGTCAGCATCCAACCTGAGAGATCTATAAAAATGGATGATAATCATTTTTTTTTTATTTAGAAAAAAAAGATATTTTACTTTTTTTTTATTTTCTTACTTATCGTGTAATAACGTTTCTGGCTTGGTAACTCTATCTTTCAATCTAGCATTTGGACCTTGATTCACCACTACGTAGGGTACTCGTTCTCCATACTGAGGCTCCGACCTAGGATCTTTGGACATTTGTGCATGTGCTACTTGAGCTCCATGAGGTAAGTTACGGTAAGTCCCTAGTCGTACTTCTTTGGCAATGATAAAATCTTGGATGGATACACGGTTAGATAAAATCTTGGTCCATTGTTCATAGAGATACTCCTTAACTTTAGACATATCTTGTGTTTGAAATAAAATCCTACATGAATTGAAATAAATAAGCACAAAAAAAAAAAAAAAAAAAAACCACTTACTTTATACAATATTCCATGATCTTTTGAGTCGCAGCTGTTCCATCACGTCGAACAATTTCTAATCCTTTAGTTTCAAACACAGGATCCACTTCATCTTGATGTTCAAACTTGTTTCCCACATATCTTTTTTTAGCTAATAATAAACTTGGATGATACACCTTTTCAAATTTCAATTTTACCGGAGATGGGTTCATCTTGGTCACTGTAGTGGCAATATCACGTCCAATATCAAAAGCTTCAGATCTTGTTTTTCCAGGAAGAGAGACAAACACACTATCAGTATCACCATAAACGACTTTGGCGCCCCAAGTTGGATTTTCATTAATTAATTTAATTGCCTTGATCAAAAAAAAAAAAAAAAAGTGAGTTGCAATTGCTTTATTTATTTATTCAGTAGAGAAATATCCATTTCTACTTACTCTTTCTAGTGTTTCACGACCTGTTTGTACAATACTATCGGCTACTTCCACACAAGGCATTCGTCCAGAAAAAGAAGCTGATGTATATCCATAAGTGACATTGGCCACATATTTCAATGTCAATTGGCGAGCATTCAATAGTCGTGAGAGTCCCTATTTCATTAAATCAATAAACATTTTTCTTTTGCATAAATCATGCCAACATCTTTTTTTTATTTTGCATTATTTTACCGAATCATCTTTGTAATCCTTCATGGCAGTCTTAACCATCACTCTTGTTTCTAGCAATTCAGTCAACATCTTCGCCAATAAACTTTTTCTGATAGATGGCTTGACAAAAGCAACACCATTAGGAGATACTACCATACAAAAAAAAAAAAAAAAAAGATAATCACTTTCTCATGTTCTTTCATTTCTTTCTATATATATGGGTTTTACCATTCAAATGATCCATTACCGTGCCTAATAATCCGTCTGGCAAATTCAATTCTCCAACACCAAGCTTATTTGATGATTCACCAGGGATTCCAATCTTGCCAACACATGTAGAATAACTATTGAATCAGGTACAAAAAGTAGCAAAGTCAGTCAAATGCAAGAGAACTAAATAGAATTTATTTCATCTTACCAATAGTTGTATGCGATCATGATAGAAGGATATAACGATTGGAAATCCAATACAAGTAATGGACTACTGTAGTACTGGGAGATTGGTTCCATCACTAAAGGTAAGCATTCAATCGCACGTTGTCCAGCGACCTATTTTTTTTTTAAAAAAAAAATTCTTTCTTAATAAGACAAAATAGAATATGAATGTAATAATCATAAAAAGGAAAAGAGGATAACCTTACCTGTTTTCGACTAGGACTAATCATGAGAAAGTTCTCAGGTTTTGCAATACGAAGCATGATAGATTCTACCTTGAATTGAGAACCACGAGTGATCACAGAGTAGAAATCAATACCAAACACACGAGCAGATTCAGATATCTTGTTAATGATTTCTGAAATGTCCAAAAGATCCAGATTCATTTGCACACGATCCAAATAATAGTGAAATAATCGATTCTTCAAGACAGCAGGACCCTTCTTATACCAACTCGTTAATGTAGCATATGAGTAATGCGGTACTCTATAGAACAGAATAAAAATAAAATTAGATTCATACTGATCAAACAAAATACAAAAAAAAAAAAAAAAAAAGATTTGATAATTATATATATATTCTTTTACTGACCTGCGATGAAGTACATTGTAAGCAAGGTTTTCAAATCGGTAACTTGTCAAATTTATTTCAGATCGCATTAATCTCCATACATTCAACATGTGGCGTCCAGTAATTCGAAACACAGATGCTTTTCGATATCCCCAAGGATCTTGAAATATACGTTGAGATTCACAATATACTCTGGCTAATTCGTCCATGAGATTGATATCTACATATATATAAGAAAGGAGGACACAGTTGTTAACAGAATTTGATCAATAGAGTTATACTCTTTTATTATGAATATTTTTTTTTCTTGGTAACTTACTATAGACAAGTGCTCGTTCAATCAAATAACCCCAAGAAGAATTATGTAATTCATACCCAACAAGAATGTCTGGATCATAATGACGTACTTTATCTACCAAAGCCCAAAGTAGATCTTGTTCTTGTGCTACTAGAGTGATATCGATACCTGAAAAAAAAAAAAATGAGAATCAAATCATAATTTCTTTTTAATAATAGATATCCATACCAGAAATACCAATCTTTGTGATATCAAAATTGTCCAAAGAGATAATACCAACATGATAAGAGTCATCGTATCCACTGTTTTTGGAAATATTTTCATCTTCAGTTTTCAAACACCAAAAGATCACTTGTACTTCATTTTGAGAAGGATCGGGCATCATCTTTTCTTTCGTATTAACTATATGAATCAAATAATTAATATATAAAAAAAATATGAATTCACTCTTCTTCTTCTTCTCATTCCTCCCTTCACTCATAGTGGATCATCTTTTTTATTTTTTTTTATCTTACCATGAATTTCTAAACTGAATAGATCAAGGTAATCCCGAATTCTTGTCACCTTTGATTTTGGCTTTGATCCACTGTATTTGAAGTTATAAGTATCATTTCCTGTCGCGCAATCAATCTAGAAATAAAAAAAAAGGGTAATTAAAAATAAAGTTAATATGTATTCTTATTATTATTTATAGTTATTTTAGTAGGCGTACCTGAGTATGATATGTCTTTACTGTTTTCTCTATGCGTCGATTCTTTGCCCAAGCTAATACCTGTTCATATGTAGGAGGTGGGGTGGCTGGAGTCCATAATTTCACTGATGTAGACTGTTGACGCAAATTATTGAAGGAGGGTCTTCCACCATAGGAATGAGCATCAAAAGGTTTCAAATGATCGATTGATTTGGATATGAGCTTGAATTCCTTCGCAGAAAACACTTTTGGTACAGGTGGGACATCGGCAATGTTGCTGTAATAAGGTTCCTGATATGTCATTTTGCTCTCCTTAGGGTCAATGATCGGAGGCCGTAAAGCAAATGTAAAGTATCTTTCGCCGTTGCTGCCACAGTTGTTCTTGTTGTTGTCATGATCGCTTGATTTCCCGTACTTGTTGTCATATGCCTTTTCATCGTACGTCTCAGAGCTTTTAATGTTATTCTTATCCCTTGATTCACATTCAACTATGATGTCGTCATTGGAATTCAATTTATTTAACTCTATCAAGTTGTTGTTGTCATCTTGTTTTGATGCTCCAGAAAATTCTATAGTGTTGTTGTCGTTTTTTACGTCCACATGTCTTCCTGTTGGTGAAATCGGTTGTGGAGGATCTGTCCAAAAAGAGGTGGATTGTTGCCGATCCCGTATTTCGTCGCCAGATCGAGGAGACCACATACCCGTAATTTTCTTGGTAAAGTAGTTTGGCTGATGATGTCCATCACTAGAAGAACTGATTGATGATGATGATGATGATGATATTTGACTTGCTGTCGACGTTTCTCCCTCGATACCATCAGCAACTGATGTTGTTCGATGCTCCGGAACACTCCTTGTCATTGTTGTTGTCGAGACTATGGATGGATGTTTCACAATCTGTAAGGAAGAAGCTGGTATATGAGTGAATATGTTGCTCATATTTGACAATCGAAATTTTGTTTTTTGCTGCCGAATATGTCTCTGGCGTTTATCAACATTGTCATCGTCGTCATTGTCGTCGTTTTCATCGTCATTGGCTCCATCATTTTGAGGAATATTCTTCCGTTTTCTTTTGTGTCCAGCACTACAGAATCATATCAACGTTGCTGATGAATAAATACAGTTTCTTCCTTTTTTTTTTTTTTTTTTTTTTTTTTTTTTAATTCTCTTTTAGTCTTTTTGACTTACAATCGAATGGACGGAGGTAATTCACTGATATTCAAATGACGATTCATAAATAATTCTTCTATATCCACAGAAGTAGAGGAGGGGACTTCAGTTGCTGGATGAGATTGATCACCAAAATCAAGTTGTCGAGGCCTAAGTAAATATATACAAAAAAATGAAAAGTTTTAGCAAGATAAAAGAGACCATACAAAGGAAATTTCACACACCTAATAGGAAAAATATCATCATCTTCTTTCAAATCATCAATATCTTTGTCATAAGCAATATCCACTATCGGTTTTGAAGTATGCGCTCCTTGTTCTGCTTGTTCAACCCATCGTAAAAGTTCGTCATCTATGTAATCGTTGGTTTCATCCAATGAATCTATCGACTTGTCGCTATCATCATGGCTGTCCCCGCCGTTATCATAGTCATGATCTTCCTTCCTTCTTAAATGACCTAGATCGTCATCAATATTGTCGTCATCAAAGAAAGATTGTGATTGTCGTAAATTTTCCATGATGTTTTCGTCTACATTTGGAAGTGTTGATCTTGTAAATGATCGGAATCGAGAGGGCGTTGACATCACACCGTGGCGATAGATAGGAGTCGTTGTTGTAGTAGCAGTATGAGGATATGCTTCAGCTGTGAATACATCATGGTTAATAAAGTGCTTCTGTTGTGATGATGATGATATGGGTATCGTTGATGGCATAGCGTCGGTATGTTCAGTACTTGGAGGAGGAGGTCGTTCTTGTTGTTGTTGTTGTTTTGTAGCAATAAATTGAGAATAGCCCTGTGAGTATAGAGCTTCTACAGCTTGGAAAGCGGTCATGATATCAGGATGATCTTGCTCAGGTTTGTTGTAATTGGATCCACCTTGATGATCTACCATTGTGTTGATTATATTTCGTAGCTTGCTTTCAGTTGACCATTCACGATGCACAGAGTCGCGTTCATCAGACGTTTGTTGCGGCAACGAAGAAAATATGGGTGAAATGCCACGTTCCTGCCGTCGTCGTCGTTCATCTTTCCAAATGAGAGCCAAAGATTTCACCAATTTTTCATCTAGAGAGTCGTCATTTTTGGTTTTTTCTTGATACTTGATTTCTTCATCCAGATCTGCATGTATGTTTCGTTCCGTGATATCCAAGCGATTAATGATCATCATACCAGTAGTATCAATTTCCAATTCACAGTAGCTTGTTCGATCTACATCATCCCACTGCAGAGCTGTAGGTACAGTTTCAGAGGTATATATCATTTGATTACGTTTGTTGGAGGAAGATGTTGTTGTGGACGCTGAGTTGCTGCTACCATGAAGATATAGTGATTTTGCTTGAGACATCATGGGAACCCTAAACTTAGTACCAAGTTTGAGAACGTCTTTTTCAATATCAGGATTGTTATCATCGTTAGTTTCCCTGTTGTCATCATATGTCAAAAGTCGAATCCAATTCATGCCAAAGAGATTGTAATCCATCAAAAATTGTAATTCAAATGAGAGATGTGCTTCATAAGGTTGATAGAAAGTATTCATTACAATGCCATTTTGAAGTATTTCGGTGATACGTTGTTTTTCTGCTGGGTTTGTATAATAGATCTTGAGGAATGTGCTGTATTGTACATGGTACCCATAAAAAGGAATTCCCTTGACAAGTACGATGGCTGCAATATGCTGATCATTACTTCCATGTCGGTCATAACTAAGTCGTATAGCTTTATTGAGAGAAACACCAAACTGATAAATATTTTGCTGAAGTTGTTGTTGATCGACATTGTCCAGAGGATAGGGTACATAAAGATATGGATAGATCTAGAACGAAAAGGAAAAAAAAAAGAATAAACAATGAACTACATGTTTTCTTCATATAACATAAAAACACAATAATAATAACAATTAGGAATTAATGAATCCACTTACTTGATGAATATGTACACATGTTTTCTGACCACCAGGAGTAGAACCAAATATTCTAAGTACAGGAATCTTTTTCAAAGGCCAATCACTAAAAGGACAATAATGAGAATCGTACGGACCTGGCTCGGTCAAATAATGGTCAATGTTGACAATGCGTACGGATATAAAAGGCTGCATAACACATAATGTTCAAAGTAAAGAAAAGAGACGGAAAAAAAAAATGAAAAAATTTGAAATTTTTATTTGAGTTTTGCGGGGTAAAAAAAAAAAAAAGAAAAGAAAAAGAAAAGAAAAAGAAAAAGAAAAGAAAAGAAAAGAAAAGAAAAGAAAAGCTAGACTATTATGTTTTTTTTTCCTTGGATTTCAAATCAAAGTCTAAACCAGCGGATTCACGTACAACTAAACAGGTATAAAAGAAAGAATAAAAAAAATTAAAACATGATTATCCTTGTTTTGAAAAACTTACCACCAACAATTCCAGAGACATCCATATTTGCTTGTCGTTGCTGTAAAGTAGTCAAGCGTTCCTTGAAAGTAGCTGTAATAGGTAGATCGACGTTGGCACTCTTACCGAGATCCAAAATATGACTGGCATCCTTTAAACCTCCATCCAAAGTAAACCTGATATCATCATGATAAGTTTCATCCACCATCCGTGTAGAATAATCAACATAGATAGTATTGGCGAATAAAGTATCGATCAAGGCCTTGACGCTATCTTGTCCCACACCCGTAGCTTCCCCTAATGTCAAACCTTCCGCTATCGATTCAGTCATGGCAAAGACGAAAAAGTTGCCACATAATTTTAGTCGTAATGCCGCACCTGCATCGTTATGTTTGCCAACTTGGATGATCTTGTCGCCAATGACATGTTCAATCAAAGGGAGAACAGTGGGTCTTGCTGTATGATCACCGGATAAAAGAGGAATGAGTGAAGCTGCCTTGGCTCTGGCAGGTGGACCCATGACAGGACAACTAAGATAGTGAACACCAAGAGAAGATGCGAGAGTTAACAAATCCTGGGCCGTTTCAGGGGAGATAGTTGCTTGTTCCACAATGATGGCACCTTGTTTGACCAGACCAGAAGATAAGAGTTGCGTACCAATAATATCTTGTACCGCTTCATCATTGAAAAGACATGAAAAAATCACATCGGCATTGCTGATATCTTTCAAAGAACTGACGGCTTGACTGTGTTGGTTGTAAGTAGACGCAAACTGCTGTGCTTTGCTGAAGTTACGGTTATATACTAATAATGGTGGGTCTCCATTTGTTTTGAGTTTGTTGGCAATGTGATTGGCAATTTCATATCCCATCTTCCCCAAACCAATGTAAGCTACTTGTACCATGATGCTTATATTTAAAAATAAGTGGCGAATATAATATAGAAGAAAGAGATTCAAAAAAAAAAAAAAAAAAAAAAAAAAGATTATCTTTTTTATAAACGAAAATGGAGTGACGGGATTGGATATCCGAACTTTTTAGTAATCCTGCTCAATCAAATTGTTAGTAATCCTGCCGTTGTCCTACAACGCGCCAAATTCAACATAATGACCAAATGATATTGTATTGACGAAGAAACGTAAGTACTTTTGTTAGATTGTATTATTTGTAAAAATAATAAGATAAGAACTGATTTAAAAAGAGTCAATATTATAATAGTAAATTGTCTAAACAAATCATTAATGAACGAGCTCTTATTTGCCAGGAAGCATAAAAAATCGCCATCTCAAATTACATTTTATCCGAGTGTGATACAAAAAAAAAAAAAGAAGAATACTTTATTAAAATATTAAATGATTTGTGAGGGTATATGATATAAATATAAAGATAATGAATATAATATATAATATGTATACATGAATAAATAGTGGATGAAAGGGCGGGAATGGGAAAAGATAAGAAAAAGATATAAATGAGAGACAAGGGCATAAAAAAAACATAAAACCATAAAAAAAAAGTATCATAGAATCATATAGAAGGGGGGCATATAAAGAGTATCAAATAACTGATAGAGGGAAGGATTTCAAAGAACACCTACTCTAGAAGATTTGTTGCCAGTAACCAAACGTTTAAAACTTTTCCAGATTCGACCCACAGTAGTTGTTGGTTGACTACTTTGTAATTCTTCATCTCCAGTCAATTTCGTCGTTCCATCCTTTTGTTGATGTTGTTTTGTATCCTTTGGTGTTGATGATGATGATGATGATGATGCTGAGGAAGATGAACGTCTAAATGATGCAAAGAATGATCGGCGAGGCGCTTTTGTTGTTGTTGTCGTTGCTGTTGCGGATTCTGATGTTGATAATGACGGTGATGATGACGATGATGAGGATAATGCTGCAGATGATACTTCCGGTGTAGATTTAGTTGATGATGATGAAAAGAGATTTTTGAATCCAGATGAGAAAGATGGTTTTGGAATCACAGGTGGTAAAGGAGGTAAAGGAGAATCTTTTCGACTAGGTGAGGATCCAGGTGGTGCAGAAGGTGGTTTTGGTAAATCATCTAATGAAGGGATTGTTGTTGTGGTAGAGGTTTTGTTGGATTTTGATGGCCATAATCGATTGATGGAGAACGTGGATGAAGAAGATTTAGTAGTTGGCGTAGATTGTTTTGGTGACGATCGTTCGTTATATCGCTTTTTCTGTGATGAATTGTTGATCGGGCGTCGTTTTCCAAAGAAAAGATTTTTGGTCGTGTCACCTGATTGGCTGTTCTTGGCAGTATTGATGGCAGTGAGATCGTCAGAATCAAGGTTGGTATTCTTTTTATTTACTTTGGCAGCAATAGCAGATCTTGCAAAATTTGATACAGGTTGCTGATGATTTTGTATAGTACTGTCTGTCGATTGTTGTTGTTGTCGAGAAAAAAATTTGCGTAAGGAGGCGACTGTTCCAGTTTTTGCTTGTAGTCTTGGTAATCGATCTGATAACACGCTTTCAGAGTTGGTATTGATGGTGGCAGCAGAGTTGGAGGAAGATAAAGGCGGATCATCAGACTTGGACATTTGGAACAATGAACGTAGAGAACGAACGGTACCTTGTTGAACTGAACTGATGAATGAAGCTGGACGACTTGAGCAAGTACTTGTTGATACATCATCACGAATAGAGTCTTGAACTGAAGAAGTGCTGGTACGAGCGCTAGATTGGAAGGAACTATGTTGATCAAAAGAGTCTCTAGTGGATCCAGTTTTACTAGTGGTTGTAGATTCCATGGATGGCATTCGACGAGGAGGGGAAATCCGAGCCACATCACGAGGATCAGCTTCAGCGACAGGTAAAAAATGACAATCGTTGTGAAATGGGAAAGCGAGAGGTCGTGGACATGAATATACAAAATCAGGTTGACGAGGAGGTTGATCCAAATATTTCTTCTTTCGATTTCGCTTTTTCTTTGGTCGATTATGTTCTGAATTAGAGTCTAGTGTTGTATCTGTTACAACAGAGGAGGTTGTTGAGGCATGGTCTTCTTCAAACTGATGACTGTGTTCCTTTTGTTGTTCTTGTTGTTGTTGTTGTTGTGGTTGATGATTCTTTTCTACTTGAGGATGAAGTTGAGGTGATGTAGGTGAATTATATCCACTATCAGTACCAGATGCATTAGACGATGTTGACGTTCGTACTAGTTTGGTTTGTTGATTCCGCTGTTTTCGTAAATTAGCATATTGTTCATGCCTTGAACTTGCAGAATGAAAATACATTGGATGTGTAGTAGCCTACTTTTTTTTCACTGTCGTTTTTATACAATTCAATTAAATATCAAAAAGAAGAAATAAATCTGTTATAGAAAAAAAAAAAAAAAGAATATGAAAGGAAAAAGGGAAAAAAGTAAAAAAAAAAAAAAAACTATAAAACTAAAGTGAAAACACGGAGATTGAATTCCATGAAAGTGGTACAGATATTGTTCAAGTTTGTCACACAAATGAAATGGGATGAGGGCAACGATCCAATCCAAATGAGAAAGTGAGAGAAAAAAAAAAAGAGATAAAGATAGAGAGAGAGAGAATAAAAGAGAAAAAGAAAAATCATTTAGTTTGAATGTAAATATACAAACGGAAATAAACTAACAAGTTCTATTATTATTATGAATGATGATGATGATGATCGTTTCTGTACCTGAATATCTTTTTTTTTTTTTATCTTAGATGAACAAAGGTATCATCGATAAACTAAAAAAAAATTACAAAAGTAGAAAGGATATTTTCATCGATTATCCTTTCACGATCATTACATTTGTTGCACACAATTTTTTTTTTATGAGGCACAAAGACCAATACTTTTTTTTTTTTTTTGAACAAACAGAAAGACTAAAAAACTAAAAATAAGTTGTAAGACGGAGCCTAAACATGTAAAATTTTTTGATCAAAAAATTTCGACGTTCCCACTGACCTTGGGGAGGTGAGGTTGTTGTCATGGATTTGCCCAATATAAAAAGAAAATGAGAAATTTTCGCTGCTAATTTTGATACGAGAGGCTGATGATGAGCATGATTCCTTCTTTTTTTTTAAAAAAAAAAAAAATTTAATCAATTGAAATCTTCCTACTAGTCTTCTTTTTTCCTCTTCTTTTTTTTTAATTTTTTTAACATCCTTTTTCTTTCCTCTCTTATTATTTGGAAAACATTCAATCATGTCATCACTTTCAGATTTTTTATCATCATATAATTTACAACAATATTATCCAGCCTTTTTGGAGATTGGTGCCACAGATCAGGATTTACCTCATATTTTACAATTAAATGAACAAGAATTATCTGAAATCTTACCTGTCATACAGATGCTTCCTTTTCATTCAATCAAATTCAAAAAAGCCATACGTGAACATCGACTTTTATCATCTATGGTAAGATCATCCATTTTTATTGACGATAATAATAAAACTGATTCCCTTCTCTGTTTCTTTTTTTTTTCTTTTTTTTTTTCTGAACGTTAGTCGAAAAATAATTTGAATTCAAATAATAATAATGATGATGGTGATGTTGATGTTATTCAATCCTTCAAAAGAACACCTCCTCCTTCACCTCATCATTCTAATCAAGTTGATGATGATCAGCATACGAATGAAAAATTAACTCTTTCACACGCAGTGATCTACGGTAAAAATAGCACAAGGCCATTAACAAGTTATGAAAAGGCGATCAATCGAGCAAGCATTCAACTAGTACGACAAGATACTTCACTGTTGATCCAAAAAGGGAAACTTTTTGACATGGCGAAAAAGAAGTTATTAGACGAGGGTTATCAATATAAACGTGGTAAAAGCCGATCCAAATTAAAAAGCGATAACGATAATACGATGCCAACATCAACTACAACAACGACAACTATTATTACTAATAATAATACATCGATCATTGGAAATACCCAATCTATCAATACGGGACAATTGAAACGTAAGGAACATGCCACAAGACAATCAGAACAAAGACTATGCAAGTTACAAAGTTTACAAACCGAATTGGCCAACATCAAGCAAACCATCCTTCATACTGATGATCTACAAAAAAGAACAGAATTGGAAACAACCAAACGTGAAATTGTCAAGGAAATTGGTCGACTCAAAGCACAAGAACGTAAACATCAATGGTATAAAAGGAAATCTCAATTACGATACCAACAACAACAACAACAACAACAAATTGATGTTCAAAAAAGTACACAAACCATACTTATATCGCCATCCTTGGATGATCATCATCAACTTTCTCCCTTAAATCATCATCATCATAGAATTCTTCCTCTTCCCTCTCCTCCACATACAACACAATCACCACCACAATCGGCATTCATGTCTTGTAGTCCTTCCCCTCCTTTATTACCATCACCATCTTCATCATCTTCGCCTCCTTCCTCTTCTGAGTTTTATTTTCGTCCATTGGTCTCACCAAGTCATCAACAAAGTGATCCACCATCATCCCCTCAGAGTGATACACGTGCCAAAGTGTTGACTGTACGAGATTGTTGTACCTTTGATTCTTCATGATGATCCCTTCCATATGTTTCCATTTCTTTTTCTTCTTTTTTTTTTCTTTCAAACTACTAATAAAAATAAAATATAATCATATTGATGGATGATCGAGTATGATACATAGATATATTTCTTCTTTTTTTCTTTATTGGAAGAAGAAAAAAAAGACTATCTCTAAAATACTACAACTAAAAATCCAATTAATCAGTAATGGCCCCTTGACTAGCACTCTTGACATTGTTGACATATTTCTTCAAAACACCTTTGACATATTGATGAGGTTTAGGTTTCCATACTGCTTTGCGTCGAGCCATTTCTTCATCCGAGACATCCACTGTCAATTGGCGTGTTGTTGCATCAATCCTAACAATGTCATCGTCTTGTACCAAAGCAATCGGTCCACCTATAAATGCTTCAGGACATACATGTCCGATGATAAACCCATGAGAAGCACCTGAAAATCGACCATCAGTAAGAAGTGCAACATCCTTCCCTAATCCTGCACCAATGATCGCTGCCGTAGGTTTCACTATAATTGTTGACAAGTTTCAAAGCATTATTGTTAGTTTTGTAATAAAAAAAAATTAGAATGTCTTCACAAGTTATAATCACTTACGCACTAAGTCAAAAAAAAAAAAAAAAGAATAAACAAAATGAGTAAACTTGACAGTTTAAATTGATATATATAAAAAAAAAGAATCTACTTACTTTCAGGCATACCAGGTCCACCTAGTTGAATAAAACAGAGAATGAGATATATATATATATATATGTATAGATCAAAGTATTTCATATTACCTTTTGGTCCTTGATAGCGAATGATAACAACAGATCCTTTAGGTACCTTCTTTTCTTCCAAAGCATTGAATAGTTCTTCTTCATTGTCAAATACCCTAGCAGCACCAACAAAGGATTCACCTTCCTTGCCAGTAATCTTGGCCACAGCACCCTTTTTTAATATAATCAATAAACATAATTAAGTCATCGATACCTTTCTTTTTTTTTTTTTTTTTTTTTTACCTCAGGAGCCAAATTACCCTTCAAAATGGTCAAATGTCCAGTTGATTTGATAGGATTTGATAAAGGACGAATGACATCTTGACCATCAACAAATCCATCCACATCAGCCAAGTTTTCAGCTAAAGTCTTTCCTGTCACAGTCATACAGCTACCATCCAATAATCCTTGTTCCAACAAGTATTTCATCAAAGCAGGCACACCACCTACGCGATGCAAATCTTCCATTACATAAGGTCCACTGGGTCGCATATTTGCCAAAAGAGGAGTTGTTAATGAGATTTCTTGCATATCATCCAAAGTGAAATCCACATCCGCTGCATGAGCAGCAGCCAGTAAATGAAGCACAGCATTAGTTGATCCTCCAAGTGTCACTACAACACGGAAAGCATTCTTGAAAGCAGCTTTTGTCATAATGTCCCTAGGTTTGATGTCTTTTTCCAATAAGTTTCGAATGGCAGCACCAGCTCGGAGACATTCTTTCATCTTGTCAGGATCTTCAGCAGGAATACATGAACTATAAGGTAATGATAATCCCATGGCTTCAATAGCACTAGACACTAATAACACAAAAAAAAAAATAATAATAATAATAAAAATAAAAATAAATAATTGTTTCATTGTGTAATTTCAATTTTTTTGTTTCAAACTTTACTTGTATTTGCAGTAAACATGCCACCACAAGCGCCAGCACCTGGACATGCATTTCTAATAATATCACGTCTTTCTTCATCAGATATTTTTCCAGAGATAAATTCCCCATTACATTCAAAAGCATTTGCGATATCGATTTCACGTCCAGCACAGCTACCAATAGTTGCATGACCTTTCTTCATAGTACCACCATAAATAATCAAAGAAGGTCGATTTAATCTTGCAATAGCCATCATTACACCAGGCATATTCTTGTCACATCCAGGAATTGATATATTGGCATCATACCAAAATGCACTCATCACAGTTTCAATAGAATCAGCAATGATATCTCGACTAGGTAAAGAAAAGGACATACCTATATATAATAATAAATAAATAAATGAATAATAAAAATAAATAATTTTTTTTTCTTACCAGCAGTTCCCATAGGAATAGCATCAGAAACACCAATAGTATTAAATTGATAACCTACTAGACCTGCTTTCCAAACACCTTCCTTAACCTTTTTGCAAAATCATTGATATGAAGATTACAAGGATTTCCATCATAACCACTATTTATTAAAATAATGTTAATATATATATATATATATATGATTGAATTTCACTTACAAGCTTGTAATACCAACTTGTGCCTTTGAGAAATCTTCATCCTTGAGTCCAGTCGCGTATACTATATATATAATTCAAAACGAGTCAGTGAATACTACCTCTTTTTTTTAAAAAAAAAAAAAAACAAAAAAAAAAAGACTTCTCCTATTTACATTGAGCCTGACCACCACCTGCAGTAAGTGATTGAGTCACTTTTGAACTGTATTTGTTTAATACATTATTATTGGTAGCCCCACGATCCCGAGGAGTAAGCTTATGACTAAAGAAAGAAAAAGAGACGTTAAATAAACAGTGAAAAGTATTCCAATATAAAAACTTACATATGAATTTCAGGTGAGGATGTCATTTGAAATGTTCAAAATAAAAAAAAAAAATAATGTATATAGAAAAAAAAAAAAAGAAAGAAAGAAAGAGAACAAAACAAAAAAATAAAAATAAAAAAATAATAAAAAAAGATTCAAGGTATGTGGTGTTCAAAAAGAGGTAATACAAAGATTTCTGTAACTTGGGAACGATGGGATCTTCGGAGATGATAAAAAAAAGCATTGGGAAAAATCCAAGATCCATCATTGGATGTCTTGCAGGAACTTTGTCATATATATTTACCCAATAAGCGTGCATTCATGAAAGAAAATACTCATCATCTTGACGGGTACTCGGAGAAAAGGAAGAATAAAAGACGTATAAGTTACAAAAAAAAAAAAAGGAGAAAAAAAAACAACTTTGTATTAATCTTAAAAATCAATAGATAAATATAAAGATTTATATTTATAAAAAGAGAACCTTTTTATATAATAGAATTTGTAATACAAAAAAAAAAAATAAAAATAAAAGAAGACTATACAAGAATATAAAATACATAACTAACTAATAACTACTCAACTAATCCTTTTGGAATTTGTTTTCCAAGTTCGTCCAAGCTTTGTAATAATCTTCTTGAACTTTACCACAAGTTTTCAAACCCCATTTTGTAGTAGACAACATCAAACTGGTTTCAAACATAAAGGCTTGTGTATTATCAGCAACACGAACAGGTGATAATTCAGCTTCAGATGCCATATTGAAGACATTGGCATCAGGTCCATGAGGAGTCATTGCACTATGTAAGGAACCACCTCCCGGAAGGAATCCTCCAGTTTTACCTTCATAATCACCAAGAATCAAACCCATAAATTCAGACATACAATTACGATGGAAGTAAGGTGGTCGGAACTAGAAATACATGGAATTAAGGTTTAAGATTATTGCATAGTCCCCTTTCCTTTTTTTTTTTTTTTTTTTTCTTACAGTATGTTCCGCAACAGCCCATCTTGGAGGGAAGATAACAAAGTCAGCAATGGCTACACCAGGTGTTGTAGATTTTGCAGTCAAAACTGTAAAGATAGAAGGATCCTAAAAAAAAAAAAAAAAAAAAAAAAAAAAAAAAAAAGGAAAAAAAGGAAAAAGATGAGTCCATTGATATTCCGAGAGTTTGCATATCCGACTCATTAAACAAAGGTTTTTCCGTGATTTCACTATGTTTTTGAACTTACGATATGATCATAAGATACTGAATTGATAACACAAAATTTGGCCAAATCATACTTATAAGGAGCATAATTTCCATGCCATGCGACGACATCAAAGGGACAATGTTGTTGAGAGGCTTCAAACATTTTTCCATTGAATTTGGTAACGATTTTCCATGTAACATTATCTTCTTCTTGATAAGCAGCCATTGGAGTCAAAAAATCGCGAGGATTAGCCAAACCATTTGCACCAATAGGACCAAGATCAGGTAATTCAAAATGTTCACCAAAGACTTCTAAAATATATCCGCGTACTGGTCCATCAGGTAAAGCAATAGAGAATCGAACACCACGTTGAATCACACAAATTTCATTAGGACGTACCATCATTTTCCCAAATTCTGTAGTAATATCTAAAGCATTCTTTTGAGGCACTAATAAAAAGGAATAAAAATTGAGTTCCTATTATATTACTCTTTTTTTTTTATTTATTTATTCTCTTACCAATCAAAAAGTCACCATCAGAATTATAAAAAGCAGTTTTATTCATATTAGTATTGGCAGTATAAATATGAATAGCTAAACCAGATCGACAAGAAGGTTCACCAGCACCAGCAAGTGTTTTCAAACCTTGAACAAAATCCACTTTTTCAGTATCTTCAGGTAAATCAAAGGGACTCCATCGCAATTGAGAAGGAGTAACAATACATTGTTCACCACTGAAATGACTAACAAGTAAATCTTGAGTTGAAGGTTCATAAGGAGTATGAACAACAGAAGGTCGAATACGATAGAGCCAGCTAATTCAGTGGATACAAAAAAAAAAAAAAAAACAAGTTTTCAAGTAGGTTATTATCAATATCAGTGGAATAAAAATAAAAATAAAAGTCTATTTTTTTTTTTTTTTTTACCTTCGTTGATTGTGAGATCGAGGAACAGTGAAAGCAGTACCAGAAAGTTGTTCAGCATAGAGATTGTAAGGACACTTTTGAGGAGTATTTTGACCTTTGGGTAAAGCATCCTTCAAAGCTTCTGAGGTAAAGTGATTACCAAAGCCTTCAAAATAGGTATATGGGTCAGTAGACATTGTTTAATAGAAAAGTGAGATAAATAGAATGAATGTATTATGAAACAAAAAAAAAAAAAAAAAAAAGAGGAGAAAAAAGAAAGCATTTTTTTTTTGATTTTTATATATAAGGGCGTCGCTAATTCAATTGTTACAATGATAAATGGAGTGGAATGGTCATTCCATCGTGGGAAAACAAGGAAAATCTGTTTGACTTCACCGGAAGTGAAATAAAAAAAAAAAAGAAAGAAAGAAATAAGTATAAAAAGAAAGAAATGAGGAATTGATCATATGGAAATTAATAATGAAGTGTTTATGTAAATAAGATTATTTTCAAAAGGAAGGAAGAAGGATTGATCGAATTAAAGAAGTTCTAAATCAAACAAAGTTCCAACCTAATCCGATCTTTCCGGGGTCCATTTGAATCTGATATGATCTACACTTTATGATAGAATATACGAAGAAGAAGAAAAATTTGAAAAGCTGAGATTAAAATATCCATCAGTGTGTGTGTGTGTGTGTGTCTGTTTTCTTTTCAAGCAAAGCTTTTTTTTTTTTCGTTCCCTTTTTTTTTATTTTTTTCTGTGTATAGCATATATATATATATATATATCTTTCTTTTCTTTTGTTACGTTCTTATTGGAACAAACACTTTTATCTACTTTTAGAATATATCCTTCATTCTTTCCTTTCTTTTTATTACCATAGACTTTATTATTATTGATCAAAAGGAAAAAAAAAAACCTTCCATTTCCTTCAACTTTTGATTCCACATGGATAAACCTTCTCAAACTCACCTTTATGCTGGCTTACTCGTATACCGCTCACAAAGAAATATTGAATTTTTATTATTAAACGATTCTTTTACAAATAAGAAACATTGGTTTTGTCCTAAAGGTTTAATAATTGGTCAAGAAGACGAACAAAGGTAGAATATATATATATATTCAATGTCATAACTAAATACTTGACTTTCTTTTAGATGTGCTTTACGCGAAACATTTGAAACTACTGGACTTGGACCAAAACAATTACGTATTGAAGAAGGATTCAAAATTGAACTTAAATATCTCTCAGGAACTAGGTAATTCATTCATATTTCTTATTTGTCAAATAATATTTAATGTTTTTTTTTTATATAACATATAGACCCAAAAAGGTGATATATTATCTTGCTCAACTTATCGATCATCACGCTCGTTTACTTCCCAATGCTGAAGGTGTTCATTTACAATGGTGTAATCAACAACTTGCTTCGGAAAAAGCTATTTTCAAAAGTATGCAGGACGTATTCAAATACGCTCAAAGTTTTATTGAAACCAAAAAGGTGAACAACAAATATCAACAATACAATAATACTCATGGAGGGAAAAGATCTTCAATTCAACAACAACAACAACGAAGACCTTTACCTGTTACTGCTTCTAATAATACTCCATTACGTCAACAACAAATAAAAGCAATAGACCGTCCTTCATCGGCTCCTGTTTATGGTTCCTCACCTTCACCTCCGCCACCAACATCTTCTTTTAAACATTCAACTGCCGACGATACAGATCACTTCAGTAATAACTCAAATCCTTTATTCAAAACAAGACTTTGTGAACGTTTTGAAACCGAAGGTAGCTGTTCCTATGGAAATAAATGTACTTTTGCTCATGGTATCAAGGAACTTCGTGAACGTCAAATCAGTGATACTTCATCTCCTCAAATAACCTCAACTAGTCCTACTTCCTCTCCTAAAGTAACTCTCCAAACTGACAACAATCGAAAAGAGAATGGTACACATCTCAAAGATTTATCTGAAAATCCCTTATACAAAACGAAATTATGTGAACGTTATATGAAGGATCAATTCTGTCAATATGGACCAAAATGTCATTTCGGTAAGAAGAATAAAAAAAGAAAATATACATTAAAACGAAGGTTATGTTTATTTATTTATATATTTATATTTTAGCTCATGGCCGTGCTGAATTGAAGGATAGACCAAATCATCATCAACATCATCAACACTCTTCTTCCTCTGATGACGAAGTACTTATTCCGCGTCCCATCAGTCATCGTCATCCGGAATCTCATAATAACTTGCAACCATCATCACCATCACCATCAGTAGGAATGCCAGATAATCAAAATCACAGAGAACACCGTAATAGTACAAATGACCAAAGACATTATGAAAATCGGAACTGGAGATCATCATCCATTTCTCATGCCACAACTAATGGAACTACAACAACAACAGGAGTAGCGGCAGAACGTTCCCCTTCTCCTTCTTCTGCATTATCACGTTTGAATTTTGATGAAAAACCTCACTCATCACACCAACATCTTCTATCTCATCAACAAGAGCAACAACAAGAGCAACATCAATATCATCAACAACAGCATCATACTCAACAAGTACAATTATCGGTATGCCAACAACGTCCATCATCATCATCATCCCATCAACGGAAACAGAACCAAACTGACCATCCTTTGTTGGATAATAATGCTACCTCTGTAAAGAACCGTGCAACTATATTGGAGCCTGATCAACTACTAAACGGTGATATTATGGTAATTTGTGATCTATTATAATCTTCAATGATGTCTTACCCTATTTATATTCTTTATTTGTAGCAAACGGATAAATCTTGGATGAAAGTGGTACATCTAACCAGAGAAGAACAAGCCAAATTAGCAATGCAAGTGAAAAAAAAAGAGAGAGACAATATATATATATATATATATATATATCATTCTTATGGAAACTAATCATCATCATCATCCTCTTTATAGGCCACCTGTGACCAAGACGCCATCACCCAAACCCAGTAAATTAGCACAAGAAGAAGCCCTGATCAACGAACTTACCTTGTTTTTCCAATCACCTGAATCTGATAACACAACTAGTCATGAAAACCTTGCCAAAGATGTGAAACATGTGACCAAGGTGGAAATGCGTAATGATTTGACGAAATCTCAACTATTTTATATCTTACTGGCCAGTCTTTTACATAACTCGGTGGAATGTCCTGTGGGTACCATTTTACATTCAAGAGAACGACTTTTCAAAACAGTAAGAGAAATAGAAGAAAATAAATTTATCCTCATATTTTTTTTATTTTATTTTTTTTTTAGTTTGTCAAGACTCTATCAGATCAAACCCTTTTACTCAAGGCATGGGATAAATGTGTTCAACGATACCCAACACTTTTATCCAAAAGTGTACTAGTTTTATCTCAATGGTATGAATGTGACCTTTTAGATGAAGAGGCTTGTTATACGTGGCATGATGGTTTACTAGATGGTGACATGAAAAGAAAAACTGCCAAGTTTATTGACTGGTTGAAGACCGCGGATGAAGAAGACTGAACATTTTTTTTAACTTGATCACAATAGCAAAGTTTATCTCTTCCTTTTTTTTTTTTTTTTACCTTCCTTTTTGATTTTCTTTCATCGCCACCAGCATGAAAAATAAAAAGAAGTTTTTACCTTTCTTTGATTCACTTTTTCCTTGATTCATAGATATATATATATATGTGTGTGTGTGTGTGTGGGAAGGCAAGAGTGTTTTTAAAGTATCATCATGATGAAGGATGATGCTATCACACGTGATGATGCACCATCATGCAAGTTGAAACGATGGAGTGATTCGTTCATTTAAATTAAATAGAAGTGATTCATGTGAGAACAGTGAATAGTACCGAAAAAAAAAGCTTCAATTTTATGGTGACGATGATACCATCGGTAAACATTTAAATAAAAAGAAAAAGTGTTGATAAAGGGGTTCTGAGATGGATTAAAAAAAACATTGCGCCACACTTTGTTGTTTTAAATACATAAATATGTTTATTGAGTGTTTGAACTAGACTAAATGTAAACATTTCATTGACCATGAACCTTTGTAATCAATAATGGAACCACACTTGGATCAGCCAATGTTGAGACATCTTTTTTTTTAAAAAAAAAATCAATCAGTTCCAATCAAACATCAAAAAAATTAAACATCCTTTTTTTTTTCTTCGCTTACCTCCTAATTGATTTTGTTCATTGTTGACAATCTTTCGTAAAATGCGACGCATGATTTTACCTGATCGAGTTTTAGGTAAATCACCAACGACATAAATCCGTTTGGGAGTAGCAAAGGGACCAATGACCTTGCGCACTTGTAAAGACAATTCCTTTTCAAGACCGGCATCATCTTCAATGTTGGGTTTTAAAGTACAATAAGCATGGATACATTGACCAGTCAAATCGTCTTGACCACCAACAACAGCAGCTTCAGCAACAGCAGGATGAATAATCAAAGCAGATTCAATTTCGGCAGTTGATAAACGATGACCTGATACATTGATAACATCTAATCATTTTTTTTTTAAAAAAAAATGGTGATGATGAATATAAATAGTTGTAGTTTTATATTCTGATCATATCATGATTTTTTTTTTATTTTTTTTTTAGGTATATCCTTTATTTCACATTTTTACTTACCATCAACACGACCACGAATCCAAATATAACCATCCTTGTCGCGAGTAGCACCATCACCAGTGAAGTAAAAGCCTTTATATGGATTCAAATAAGTATCCAAGTATCGATTGTGATTGTTATAAACAGTACGAGCCATAGAGGGCCAAGGTTGAGAGATAGCCAAGACACCAGTAACATCATTTCCTTTCAAGACAGCACCAGTTTGAGGATCCAGAATTTCAGGCTTGATACCAAAGAAAGGGAAAGTTGCTGAACCAGGTTTAGTAGCCACTGCACCAGGAAGAGGGCTAACCACAATGGAACCTGTTTCTGTTTGCCAATAAGTATCGACCACAGCACATTGATTCTTGCCCACCTTGTCATTATACCAATGCCAGGCTTCAGGATTGATAGGTTCACCAACTGAGCCAATCACACGTAAACTAGAAAGATCATAACCTTCCAACCATTGATCACCCAATCGACGTAAAGCACGAATGGCTGTAGGAGCAGTATAGAATTGAGTCACCTTATGAGTTTGAATCAAGTCCCAGAAACGAGAAGGATTAGGGTAAGTTGGAGTAGATTCAAAAACAACGGTTGTAGCACCATTCAACAAAGGACCATATAAGAGATAAGTATGTCCAGTAATCCATCCTAAAGTAAAATTATTAGTACGCTTTTTTTTTTTAATTGTAATGTTGATGATATGTTTTACCAATATCAGCCATACAAGCATGAACATCATTTTCGTGATAATCAAAAATATATTTGACGGTAGCAGCAGCGCCCAATAAATAACCACCGGTGGTATGCATCTAATAAATAAAATAAAATAAATAAATAAATAAAAAATAAATAAATAAATATTAATCCATTTCATTACCACGCCCTTGGGAGTACCAGTAGAACCAGAAGTATATAACAAAAACAGAGGATCTTCAGCATTCACATTAGTAGGAGCACAATAAGGACGAGCCTTTTCAATTTCATCATGCCACCACAGATCACGACCTTCAGTCCATGGGACTTCAGAACCAGTACGACGAAGGACTAAGACATGTTCAACGGTAGGAGCTTGTTTCAGAGCTTCATCAACAATGCGCTTGGTAGCGATATTTTTCCCACCACGACGACCTTCATCAGCAGTGAGCACAACACGTGCACCACAGTCTTGGATACGGTCACGTAACGAATCAGAAGAGAAACCAGCAAAGACAACAGAATGGACAGCTCCCAAACGCGCACAGGCAAGCATAGCAAACACGGCTTCAGGTACCATAGGCATATAAATAGCAATGTTGTCACCTTTACGTACATCTAATGATGTCAATACATTAGCCAAACGACTTACTTCTTGAAGTAACTCTCGATAAGTAATTTTGCGGACATTTCCCAATTCATCGCCTTCGTGAATAATGGCAACCTAAATAGATAAAGAATATATAAGCTATAGTTTTTATCATATATATATATATATATATATATTTACCTTATCAGGTTGAGTAAAAGCATGACGATCCACACAATTGTAACATGCATTGAGTTCACCTTCTAAGAACCAACCAATATCCCCTTCAGTAAAAGAACCATTCAATACAGTTTCAAATGGTTTAGACCACGTCAATGTTTCACGAGCAAGCTATTTGATAAAAAAAAGATAAGAATGAGCTCAAGAAGGAAGTCATTTTCAAACGCTTTACATTTCCAAAGAATGTTTGAGGGTCTTTCACACTTTGTTCCCATAAATCTTGGTATTGTTCAAAACTTGTTACATAAGGAGTAGGTTTATTAGTCAATAAACGTTCAGGTACAGGAAAAATAGGATCTTCTTGACCGTCAGCAGTCATATTTTATCTTTAAAAAAAAAGTGAAAAAAGGTGGGAAAGAAAAAAAAAAAGAAGAGAGGGAAAAAAAAAGATGTCTTTATGTGAAATCATGTGGGTGAAAAAGAAAAAAAGAAACAAGGCGTAAATTTTGATTTGGCGATCGATTGGGCGGCAGTTACCAAATCAGGCGAACAGTTGCACACATGCAATCTTATTTGCTCTATTGGCTTGTTTTTACCAATAAGGATATGATCATCTTCAATTTGCTTCATCATCATTAAAAAAAAAAAAAAGAATTACAAGTCAAATGAAAACATGAAGGGAATAACAATAGCTTATCTAATACATTCAATTAGAATGAATCTATCACATTCATGGATCAAAGTTCTTATTTTAGGTTTCTCCGAGTACACAACAACAAAAAAGCTCAAAAGAAAAAAAGAAACTTTCTTTTGAGCTTACTTAAGATCATCTTATCAACAAGAATCTATATAAGGATTGGTTGCACAAGTTTTTATTCATTTATTCAAACAAGAAAAAAAGAAAAAGAAATCAAGAAAAAAAAAAAAAGAAAGAGAGAGAGAAAAATGGAGAAGTGGAGAGAGTGGTAGAAAGATTGAGGAATACAGGACTAAAATAAGACATGGATGAAAAGGGGAAAAAAAAAATAAAGATACTATGAGATATTTGATGAAAAAGTAAAATAAAAAAAGACAGACACTATCGTAAAAGAGGGTCCAATATTGGCTTATAACGGTTCATAACTCCAAATCCTAGCACGGTTGTCACCTGATCCAGTAGCAAAGAGGGGTTTTCTTCCAGGACTTGTTGCCACAGAGATCACTAAAGAATTCGGTTTCAAATTTATTAGTTATCGATAAAAAAAAAATTCACCTTTAACTACTTACCAGAATTTTTGTGTCCTTGTAACATGAATTCAGTTTGTCCAGTGCGAGGATCCCAAAATTGAACACCACGATCTTTAGAACCAGAGACAATCCATTTTCCATCAGGAGTAGTGGCCACAGATAATACAAAGTCCTAAGATAATAATAAGTTGCCTCAATATTTTTTTTTCTCATCCAATTGGATCGAAAAAATAAAAAAAAATAAACTTACCTTGTGACCAGTGAAAACTTGTTTACTTGCAGTCTTACCACCATGTGGACTGACACCTAATGACCACAAACGTAGAGTCTTGTCCAAACTACCACTGACCAAAGTTTTACCATCAGGCATGAAAGCCACAGAGTAGACACTATCCTTGTGGCCTTCCAAACGTTCCAAAGGTTTACCAGTATGAGCATCCCATACGCGTACCACCTTATCCAAACTACCAGCTGCCACCAAACCACCATCAGGGGAAATAGCCACACTTGTTACACCAGGGTCTTTCTGATCAGGATCTTTGATATGAAGTACATGTATACAGTATCCTTCATTCCAATCCCATATCCGAGCTGTACGATCACCTGAACCTGATACAAGGATTCTACCATCTCGACTGAATTCCAAAGAATAAATGTCTTGTTCATGTCCTTTCAATACATGTCGAATACGTTTCTTAGTAATATCCCAGATCTAATATATAGATATATAGTTATAAAAAAGACAGTGAATAATAATAATAATAAGAAGAAAATCAATGTAGATCCTTTTTTTTTTTTTTACCCTGATTTGTTTGTCTTCCGCACCAGTAGCCAAATATTTGCCATCGGGACTAAAACTGACGGATCGAATATACAAATCACCATCTCTTCCTGCAGTTTCATCTTGAAGAACACTATAATATTAATAATATTAAATAACATATTAGTTGTTTTTTTTATTTTTATTTATTTTTTTTTTGATCATTGCTTACGCGATACGAGCAGATGTTTGAGTATCGTAAATATAGGTAGCTTGGTTACATCCAGCAGCAAGATATCTTCCATCCGAGCTGAATTTGACACAGCAGACAACACTACCATGATCGAAAGTATGTACCAAATCCACTTTCAAATAGCGTTGAGCCTTGGGATTAAACCTTAAGAATAAAAGGGAAAAAGAAAAGTTAGATCATGTTTTCATATATTTATGCGAATGAGATCATAAAACTTACAAAGCAAACCAATCTGGACCTTCCACTTTCATATTGGCAGGGAAACTATCAGGATCCATATCACTCAATCCACCGGGAGTTGTTGTCGTTGGTGATGGTTTTACACTTGTAGGTCGTGTCACTAAGTAATATATCACATTAAAAAAAAATAGGTCAGTGATCCTATCATTCATCCTGTTCCCCATCCCCTTCAATTTTATCTATGATCTTTTTTATTTTACTTTGCTGTTGTTGCTGTTGCTGTTGTTGTTGCTGTTGTTGTTGCTGCTGTTGTTGTTGTTGTTGTGAAGGTGGAGGTGTGTTTGTTGGTAAAGGAGATCCTCCATTCATATAAGGCGAAGAAGAATGGCCATAATTAGGATGAATAGATGGTTTGGTATCCATCATTGGAGGAGGTAAACCAGGTGGAGGAGCATAACCTATTATATTGGTAAAAGAGAAAAGAAAATTGGTTCTTATTGGCAACAATTCATTATTTGATTTTATTAAATTACCAGATCCATAATTTGACGCTGAGTTGGCTGTAGGTGTTGCTGTAGGAGGTTGAGAAGAAGGTACAGACCCGTGACCATTGATCTGAATTAAAAAAAAAAAAAAAAAAAAAGAAAAGAAACCATCAGTTAACCAATAGATAAATAAATAAATCATCATTAAAACATTACCTGTTCCAGTTGTTGGCGAAGACGAGCAATTTCTTCTTCGTACCTATTAATAATGAAAATAGTAAGTATCAATAAGTTATCATGACAAAATTCAACTTACTGTTTTTTGATGATATGTTGTGTTCGTTCCAGATCAACCAAATTTTGTTTAAATAAACTCATTTCTTGATTTTGGCTATTCACTAATGTATATAAAAAAAAAAAAGAAAGATATGAATAAAACATTTGAATAAATATTCATCTAAAGTAATTTATTTACCTTTATGTTCATATTCATCACGTTGGTTTTTAAAAGTTAAAACCTCTTGAGCAAGCTGATCATATTCATTTTTCACTGTATCTAATAACTCGACGAGTCTATTAGAAGTTGGCGGTACCATAGGTCGATGATTGTAAACAGACATTGGATGAAGAAGAGAAAGTTTTGTATAGATAACACAGAACTGTTTCCTTTTTTTTTTATAGAATAAAGTGTGTTCTGTTAATATAAAGGTGATGAGTTAGAAAGATGAAGAATGATAAATGTTGAAAAGTGAAAAAAAAGTGAAAAAAAAAAAAAAAAAACTGTTGTTGTTTATTTTGTTTGCCGCCAATCTTTTCCACTTCTCTACCGTATTCAACTTCCGATGACACCACTTACGGAAAAGTGGGGACCTGACGATTTGCTGATTTAAGTCCATTGATCTCACTTCACACACACACTTCCCACGTTGTACAAAGAGCAATCAATGAATATGTGCCTCAACAATAAGGTGATTAAAAAAAAAACCTTTGAAAACACGTTGCACGGAGTTTAGAAAAAAGATTTATTTTTTATTTTTTTTTTCTTCAACTCTTTTTTCTGCTTTTCTTTTTCTTTTTCTTTTTTTTTTTTTTCTTTTTATGATTTTTGTCATTAGAAATATCAACAAATAATCCATCAAATAAACAAACAAATAAAACGACAAAATGGGACAACAAGCGTCCAAAAAGGTGTTCAGTAGACGAAAAAAGAAATTACAAGAACAACAACAAAATCAATCTAGTATACCCTCACCAGCCGTCACTTCTATATCATCCAATAAAGCATCCATGTTTAGATATAGAGAAGGAAGACGATATCATGAAGATGAATCTATACCTTATGTTTTACCAAATGATGATGAAGGTAAATCAAATATAAAAAAAAAAAAAGAAAATCAAAATAGTAACCTGATCATTTCTTTAATTAGAATGTGATCGACTTCATCAACAACACTGGTTATTTAGATATTTATTTCAAAGGTAAAAAAAAAAAAATTAATATTCTTTTAATCATAATGATAATGGTTTTTTTCTTTTTTGGATAGTAATTTTGAAGTCCCTCTTCATGATCAGCTGCAAAAAGGAATTACCGTATTAGACGTTGGATGTGGTAAAGAAGAAGATTAAACGCGGGGAGGAAAGGGCCAAGAAATGAAGAATGGTATTCTTAACATTCCTTTTCTGGTGCTAACGGTGAAACTTTTTTTTCAAATCAACTCATCTTGGACTTTTTTTTTTTATTTTAAAATGTACGTTGTGTATTCCGTATGACAAACGTAGGACCAGGAACATGGGTATTCGAAATGGCGGAGGATTATCCTCATACTCAATTTCATGGTATCGACATTGCTCCTGTATTTCCTGAAGGTATCAAACCTCCTAATGTTACGTTTGCTCTTGGTAATGTTGCTGAACGACTTCCATTTCCTGATGATCACTTTGATTATATTCATCAACGTATACTTATATTTGGCTTAACTCGACCACAATGGGATCTGGTAATAAAATATAATAATAATAAAAAAAAAAAAGAGAACTATTTTTATTTCTGATCTAATGTTACTCTAGGCTATTCAAGAATCACTTCGTGTTTTGAAACCTGGTGGTTGGCTCGAATTTATCGAGGTAATATAAAGATTGAATGAATGGAACGAATGAATAATAAATATATTATTTTTATTTTATTTTATTTTATTTTTTTAGGTGGATCAAAGAGCTCAAAACTTAGGACCATTATTAAAAGTGATTACTGATGCAAGTATGTATTAATGTTTCAGAAAGTTGATAGATATACTGACACAAACCTATTACCTTTTTTTTTTTTTTTATTTTATTGTGTTACTTCCCAACTGTTTTTTCTTAGTGGAACATATGCTAGAATCAAGAAACATGGTACCTGACATTAGTGAACAATTAGAAGATTATTTCGATAAACATAAATTGGACAATATCCATGTTACCGTTAAAGACTTTCCAATGCGACATAGTGGTAAATTAGGAGACCTATTTTGGTAAGTATAGAAAACATGGAAACCAATTGAAGATGAATGCAAGTCCTTAGAATCCCGCTCTTTTTTTTTTTTTTTTTTTTTATTTATTTATTTATTTAATTCTTAGGGATGACTTCCAACAAGTATCTCGGGCTGTCAAACCAATTGTTTCTCAAAGTCATCCAGAATGGGTATCACCTGAACGTTATAAGGATTATTTGGATAAATGTGCAGATGAATGTGCTTCATATCAAACTACATTGGTGGCTCGCTCTGTTTGGGGTCAAAAACCTTTTTAGTGCAACATTAGAATAGATCTTTCCTTTTTTCTTATTATTAGTCTTATTATTCTTATTATTATTATTGATGTATTACTTTATTCCTTCCTTTTTGTTATTCTTTCCCGTTTTTATGAAACAAATCATTCTTTAATAAATAATTGTATGCATTTTACACTTTATTCAATTGAACTTTTTCTTTCATATATATAAATATATATATGTTGATTGACCTTGAATGGAATAAGATCAATAGACATTGACAGATCTATTTCCTTTTTAGTTTACCATTGAACACAACATTTTTTTTTTCATTATTTTCCTTCTTAATCACTATCACCGGATCTTTTTGCTCTTGACTGGCAATCATATTATCATGAAAATCCTTTCATCCATCCATTTCTCAATATATTCATTTTATAACAAAAGAATAAATAAAAGAAGTTTTCTTTATTTCAATAAATAATAAATAATAAATAATAATAATACAAAAAAAAAAAAAACTAATACAAGATATACAAGAAAAAAAAATACAAACAAAAATCTAAACTATGAAGAATGGAAGAGACATAGTAAGACAGGGATCAATTAATCATTGCAAAGTCAATTCATGTTCATAATATTGAGGCGTATATTCGGGCAAATCTAAATCCACGGCAACAGCATCATCACCGCCAGTGGGTAAAACGACATTGTTCATCATGGTAGTAGTAGAAGACGTAGAAGATATAGGAGTATTGTTGGCATTTGTAGTTATTGGTGTAGAAGATGTTGGTGAGATATTTGTCGGACAAGAGCCGTCCTTTGGGTAATCAGTGATGATGATCGGGAATTCCAAGGTCAATGGTTTTGCATGTGTTGTCTGATCGGCGAAATGAATCACCATGCGTAGACGATGAGTGATTTCCAAAAAAGGATCAAAGTGATGCGTACGTACTTGAGACATCAATGGTGTACGAATGAAATGTGTTTCTGAACTATTGCTGAATGATGGCGGATGATATACAGATACTGGGAATTTGGTGATGATTGGTTTGAGGTTATGAAGACCAGTTTTGGTATTGAATCTAATTTTTTTTTTTTAAAAAAAAAAAAAAAAGTCAATCAGATAATCAATTCATCATCATCGATTAGCATATATATATGTGTTACCTATAGTTCTCCAATTCATGTAAAGATAATTCAATGCGATCCACTTCCACCCTCTCCTTCTCCACGCTCCAACGTAAAGCAAGAACAACTTCACCTGTCTCTATAGCCATTGCCTTGGGAACTTCAGCAGACCATTCAAACCATTCACGTACACCATTGTATTCAATACTTGGAATCAGAGCACTAGCACTTGGTAAATAATGACGACATAAGGTAACGGTACGTTGAATCCTGTATTTCTTGAAGAATGAGCCTGCAGAGAAGATGGCAACAAGATGATATTCTACAAATGCATGGTCGGTTTTGATCGATGGTGGTAAATGATGAGGTAAATGGAGTCCAAATTCAATTGTCTTTTCACCCGAGATAAATATCAGTTCCTTCTCCACTTCACATAACTTGACTGTCGTTTCCAGGCGAGTCATAGCATTGTTACTAACGATGGCCTCTTCACCTAGACCGCTGCCAAATTCCTTGGGTGGAAGTGTACTTGTGGGTACATCCATATGAAGTCCTGCCTTGCCAACAAACTGTAAAGTGATGCGATTCCACTTGATCTTGGGATCATGAAAAGACACATGACCCATCAACTTGGTTCGTATTTGTGACATGGGATTTTCACGACTGGCTGGACCGATAAAGAAGACAGGTGCATCATTGACTTTGACATCTACTGGTGGTAAGTGTTTCTCTTGTTTTCTTGGCGTATCTACTAATCCAAACCTTTTCATATTAAGGCTGTGTGTGTTGTTGTTGTGGAAAAAAAAAAAAGGTGTAACGAGGAAAGAAAAAAAAAGAAAAAAAAATAGAAAAAGGCAATAAAAAAAAATTGACTTTATTATCCTGTCCAATCAACGCTGAGTATTTCACTTTTGACTTTTTCTTAGTATGCTTCATAGTAGCAATATAAAAGAAAAAATGTTCTATGATATTTTATTTATTTGTAAACGTATATAAATTATTGAACGTATATATCTATTCTATTTCTGAGGATGAAGTGTTTTTTATAAAAGGAAACAAGTGACCAAATGGAAAGTGTTGTACTACAGGCACTTTTTTCAAGACTTCAGCAACATACATCTTCGCCATACCAGTGTTCACCTTGTTCCAACTTGCCACGGCTGATATATCAAAAAGCATAGGTGAATGTTCATGAAAAGGTCCACGTTTTACCTATAATAATAAAAACAAATCAATAACATAACAAGAAAGTATATATGTTTACCTGTCCTATATATTGAATACATCGATAATACAGATAATCCTTTGCCATCATTTCCACAATATCAGGTTTGGTGATAGATGAAGGTTTCAACTTTGAATGGCCTAATAATAAAATCATCAACATTCGTCGTAAAAAAAAAAAAAAAAAAAAAAAAAAAAATTATATATTTTTCCATTTACCTATCATTTGAGCACTACCCCACACATAAGGAAGGAATTGATGATCATCTAATCCCCAAACACCATGACTTCCAGCAGGTTCAAGAGACCAAGTTCTTTGCACTTTACGAACTAATTCCAAATATCTAGTAAAAATAGATAATACCACAGCAGGATAATCATCAGATGTCAAATAATCCATCATTGCCAATCCACACAACCAAGCCAAAAAACTAAGTTCATGTCCTGATCCATAATCTATTCGAGTTTCATTTCCAAAGCTACCCATCCAATAAACATTCAATTCTGGTAAAGCGACATGAAGTGACCTTGGAAGTGACCGAGTCATCAGTGTACTTGTTTCCTAATCAATATGAATGATTAATGACGCGTCTCTCTCTCTCTGTTTCTTACCTGTTCTACTTTTTGTAACCATTGTCGAAAAGCTTTGTTACCAAAACGTTGAGGATTATGTAAAGGAGGAAAGTCATTGATCCAGGTATCCAATATATCTAATAGATCCAATATTTGTTGTACTTGTGGGGAAACAGACTGAATGTCAGAAACTTTTTTACCTAGTACGCTTTGATTCAATAGCATGATAAAAGTCAATAAGCGATCGAAAGCAAGTGACTGTGTAAAAGTATCTATATCTTGTTGTTTATAGATACATTTCACGGGAATAACTGAAGTATAAGTAGAAGATAACGAAGGTAAAGTTTCTCTATTTTCCATATTTCATATACAAGTGCGAAAAAAAAAAAACTAAAAAAAAAAAAAAGAGCAAGTGAGAAAAATTCAGCGGATTTCAAGCCCGCCATATATTTCTACGTGCCTTTTTTGGATCATGTACAAAAAAAAAAAAAAGGGAGTCATAGGTCGATTGATGAATGATCATAGATCACACCGATTATGATAGTAACTATGGATTATCATTAGAACATATTTATAAACAACATAAAGAAAGAAAAAAAAAAAAGGTAAGAAAATGTAGGCGAGAAAGGGAATAGGATAAACTTTACCCAAAAAAAAAGAGGATTCGCATTTATTCGGACCGATCGGGAGAGTATGGCGAATGCATGGTTGAGTTCTTTATGCTTCGGTCTCCTCAATTTCGCATCATCATAGGAATCATCATCCTTTATATATTTCAACTGACTAATTCTGTTCCATTTCTTCCTCTTTCTTATTTCTTTATTCTCTTTTTTTATTTAAAACATCATCAATATGCCATTCAATAATACCAATGTATGTCTATCAATGTCATTACTGCATAAGAGATCATTAATATCTTTTGTTTTCGCTTAATAAATTTTTACACATAGATGATATCAAACCACGGATCATCTCGGTGCTCTACTTGCTCCTCCTCTTCATCTTCTAGTTACTCCAGTCCTTTGATCCATTCCTTTTTGCCTATCAATACATCCATGGAACATGTATGGATATTATCTACACCAATTACCAATAATGAAAATGTAAGTTCTTTGAAATGTAAATATATATATATATGCATCCATATGTGTATGTAATATAATTTTTTGAGCGCAGCCAAAATTAGTATCTTTGAAAGCTAAGCTTCTTTTTTTTTTTTTTTTTTAATCTTTCAATAGGCTTTGTTCTCACCGTCATCTGTCTTTGCCTTCCATTGGGAGCAATATAGTTTATTTAGAAAATCAAAAGCAAATCAAGACGATTTATTAGATTTTGATAAAGTTGTAAATAGTCAAGGAAATAAAACTGGTCTAGAAATGTAAATATTGTATCATCACTCCATCCTACAAATCATTATACATATCATCATCCTATAAAAATCATAGTTAAATTCTCATGTTTCATATCCCAAGAGTTTTTTTTTATTATTTTTATTATTTTTATTATTATTAGTATTCGCATAACAAAAAAAAAAAATCAAAAAGGTATATCACTACGCTAAATCGTAAATAACTAACCTCGAGTATGGCATCCCTGTTGATTGAAAGAATTGCTGGAATTCAATGGTTGATGGGAAAGATGTATGTTGTCATCACAATGATAAGAATCAGGTGTATCAAAAATATTCTTTGGCGATTCCATCTGAGGTTTTTTCGAGATCATCATACGATACTTTAAATAGGGTGGTTTGGATTTCTGTGAAGGGACGGGAGGTGGAGGTTGATTGGCATGGTTCCATCGATGGTTGATGCTATCTTGCGTATGTTCGTTGTTATTTCTTGTGGATAGAGGCTGTTGTAAACTAGTAGACGGAATGAAAGACTGCGATAATGGTAATGAAGAGGATATGGGCGATTGGATCGACAATAGGGATTGGGTTGTTTGGATTTTGTTTGGATTTTGTTGGAAACAGTTGTCTTCTAGTGAATGTCGATGAACCGCCGAGAAAAAAGAGGATGATGTTGTTGTGATATCATCATCAAGAGAAGACGATGAAATAAACGGATCCGAAAGTGACCGATGTGGTGAATATGGTTGATGGTATACTTTTTGACTAGATATCAATAAAGATATTGGTGGAGCTGCTTGACCAAAAAAAAAAAAAAAAAATGAGTATGTCATAAAACAATCCATCTTTTTTTTTTTTTTTTTTTTTTTACCTGGTAAATAAATCAAATCAGCATTCAGTTTTCTTCCATGTTTGATATGAGATACTAATCGTAACATAGCATAAACTTGTGCTTGATTCCATTCCTTTGTCTTATCAAATAACCTAACGATCTAAAACAATATAATAAAAATGAATAATAATAATAATAGAAAAGAATGTTTTTATCTTCACCTGTTGTTGTTCTGATATTTTGCAGTTTGTAAGAAAAGAAAGAATACAATATAAACTTACTTTTCCAATATCAAAAGGATCCAACTCTTGCCAGTACATTTCAAATAAAGGTCTTTCCATAGGTGACAAATCATGAGAAAATAACAATAGTGGAGGTATACTAGATATTGTTGAATGATCAGTAGTAGGTGAATAAAATTTTTTGTTGGATGATGTTCTTCGTATCACTTTTTTCAATGTATTCATAAGAAATATTTTTTTTAAAAAAAAAAAAAAAGAAAGAAAGAAAGAAAGAATTAGAAACAGAAAAAAAAAAAAAGATAAAAACTTACCCGCATGAATTGATATCTAATGTCATTGATTTTTCTTTTTCCCTTCCCTCATTGGCTGTTTTCATCTTCCGTCTTTTTTACTAAGAGGTCCCGCCTTTTTTTTTTTTTTTTTTGTTTTCCTTTTCGTTATCACTCTCTCTCTCTCTCTCTCTCTCACACACACACATAATATGTCTACACATTCTGGTATTACTGCTGAATCTCTCAAAGCTACTATTATTGAGCGACTTGAAGCTCAACATGTGGTAAAAAAATAAAAAAAAAAAGGGAAGAAGAGAAAGAAAAAGTTGTTTCTTACAATTTTACCTTATCCTATATAGCAAGTGGATGATCTCTCTGCTGGTTGTGGACAAATGTTTGAAGTGGTTATTGTTTCGCCTGCATTTGAAGGTTTACGATTATTGACTCGACATAAACTTGTGAATGAAAAACTTAAAGAAGAAATCAGTAAGGTGCATGCTTTTTCTCAGGTAAGAAATATAGTTTATTTATTGTTTGTATGACTCACTTTTTCTTTTTTGTCTTATAGAAATCGTACACACCTGAAGAATGGGAAAAGAAGAAAGCTGAACAAAATTAATTTTAGATTATAGATATTAATTGTACAAATATCACAATAAAACATGACGATTATTTTTGGTACCTTTAGATTTATCATGGTTTTTTTTTTTTTTTCATGACAAGAATTCCTTGGTGGACTTTGATTTTTTTTAGAGAAAAAAAAAAAATTACTTTTTTCATTTTCTGTCTTCTTTCTTTTGCCTTTTTTTTTTTTTTGAACCTGTTTTCTTCCAACTAGTTTTAATATCAATGGCACGCTGGACAGTCCATGGATTACAACGTGGTGCAAAGGAAGCTGTGCAAGGAATTCAACTTGTTATCAAGAACCCTCATCTACGTCAACAGAAATTCTTACACATTTTTCTTACATTAACCATCTTTTCTTTGGTTGTATTGGGTCTCACACATCTTCTTGTCATCATTCCTCTTCGTATCATTCGAGCCTTGTTATTTGTCTATGCGGGTCCTGGAGGTGATATTAGTAAAGTAGAAGACATGTTGGAAACAGCACACCAAGTCATTCTGGATATTGTATCATATGTTCCTGTGTTGGCTCTTTTATTTATGCGCTATGTTTATCCAAAACCTCTTGACGATTTATTTATGGAAATGCTTCGTTACATTGATGAAATCAACAAACAAGAACAGGTGTCATGTTATTCACTCCTTATGGCCAAAAGAACATACAAGAAAGAATATTGGCCCAATATGAAATCATATATGCAACGTACTTGGAAAAAGGTAAGGTTGGGATTGTTGATCTTTATCTTGTCATTATTACCAGTTGTTGGTCGTTTTGTATTTCCAGCTGCAGGAGCCTATGCCACTCTCAAGTCACTTGGCAAGACGCAAGGTATCGCGGTTGGTATTTGTTTTTTCTTTTTACCTCGATGGGCCACTATGCAATTGATCCGTTCACTGATAGGTATGCGAACTCTGATGCGTGAACTACTCGATCCTTACTTTGTCCGTATGAATATGTCCCACAAAGAAAAACGACGTTGGTTCAGTGGTCGCAAGGATGTCTTGTTCGGTTTCTCTGCTATTGCTTATCTACTCATCCGTGTTCCCTATTTTGGTTTTGTGGGTTATGGTGTTGCTCAGGCTGCCGCTGCTTATATGTTAACAACAGTTATCTCCAAGGAAAATGATGATCCTGCCTCGCCTTCTTCTTCTCGGGAAAATAGTGTGGATGATTTGAGAGTGAACAATGACAAGTTGGATTAGATTTTTTTTTTAAATACCTTTTTATTTTTTATTCCTTTTATCATTCTTCCTATTTATATAACAAATAGAATAGTTTTTTGTTTTATTCAGTAAATAGCTATATACAAATGGATTGACTTTATTAAAAAAAAATTGTTACAATATCGTTATGTGTATGAAGAGAGAGGGGGGAGGGAGAGAAATGATTTGATTATAATCTATACTAATGGGATTGATTCAATGTTGATTTGTCATAGAAGGACTTGTTACTTGATTTTCACAAATGGACCATGATTCGATACAAAGAAGTTTAGACAAGGGTAGAGATAATTCATCTACTTGAATAGAATATATCAAAGGTAAAGGAGCAATCCATTCTATAGGTAAAACATGATCATTTTGTTGATATTCGAGTTGTTGCTGCAGACGAGTCAAAGAAGCATGTAATTCGCATCCACCATTCCCTTGAATATCTACTTGTTCTGTAATACCTTCTTTCATACCTTCTTCTACTATTATTTGTAAACCATCATATGCCCAGCGTTGTTTATTGTTGCTACATGACCATGATAAACCACAATGAATTTCTCGTCGATGATCATACATTGTTTTGATACGAATAGGATCCATTGGTACTGAATAAAACACCTTTTTCGTTCTAGGGTCAAATCTTGCTGGTGTTACAACAACATGTCCTAAGTGTATCTATGAATAGAAAGTTTAGTAATATAAATAGATATTAATATATATAAACTTACTAGAATATCCCAATCTTCATGTAAAGAACAAGTTTTGATACGTCTTTCTATTTCATATAAAGCCCATGATTGGAAACATTGACAAGTTCGTTCTATTCTTGCTAAGTCTTGAATAGATAAATATAAAAAGATGTTGGAAACAATTTCATTTGGTAATAATAATAATTTCATCTATAGAAATAATAAAGAAAAAGAAAAAGAAAAAAAAGGAAAGATAGGTGGGAAAAATGGAACCAATAAAAAAAAAAAAATGGGCTGACTGCAATCCATCATGCACTTAAAAAAGGTGTGGCGGTTGTCCAAATTCAAAAATATCCATAACCCAACTTTTCTATTTTTTTGCTATTTTTTTTTTTTTCTTTATGATTCTATTCCACAACTAGTAAATTGATTTAGGGAAATGGAATTAATCTTGTCCTCCCTGAATATCTTTTTTTAATACATACACAATTTCCCTCTTTTTTTTTTTTTTTTTTTTTTTTTTTTTTGTAATTCTTTCTCAGAATGCATAGTTGATACGGTAGGTTGAATAAAAAGAATGGTAAGTTCAGAATGATATCATCTCTCTCTTTTTTTTTTTTTTTTTTTTTTGTGAATAGTCTAGTATACTTACCTATTTTTTTCGTTTATGTATAGGTCATTCGATTCATTAGAAAGAACAACAATAATGTGAACATTCCAAGAAACATGAATCAGCAAATGGACTATGCAATGGATATGAACATTACAATAACCACTTTTTTTGTTATTGCTTGTTTTCTGATAATGATACCTTCCACATTCAATATATTATAACATCATCAATATTCCTCAGTATTTGCGTACCGTATTACTACACTTTATCATCATCATCATCTTCACTGAATTTTATAAAGTACGTAGTGTATTTGATACCATTAGATTAGTACAAATTGATATATGATTACTTAAATACTTGAAATAAAAATATTAAATTTATGTTCTTTATTATTGGGTTGGAATTTTTTTTTTTTTTTTTTACACTTTATATCTTACTGTAAGTGATGATCAAACGAACGAACATCCAACAAATGGAAGATGATGTATGACAAAAATCGAAATAATCGACGCTGATTGGCTGAATTTCAAATGTGAGTTATAATGCAGAAACCATTTTTAGTAATAAAAAGGTCTCAATAGCTCAGTTGGGAGAGCGTCAGACTGAAGTTCTGAAGGCCGGGTGTTCGAACCACCCTTGGGACAATCCTTTTTTGCTTTTTTCACTAATTTAAGGTTTCGGAAAGCCTTCCGTGTTTGATAAAAAAAATTTTTTTTGGTTGCTGTTGTTAGGCGTTAAGTGTTAAGCGATTTCTTGGTTGTTAGGGCCAAAATTGAAAAAGTAATTTGGATGATTGAAAGATAATAAGTTAAATAGTGAGCATCAGTACTTGATTACGCAAGTACACGTATAAAGTATTGAGTAAAATAAAATAAAAAGTAAAGTACTGTATATCTTTCTTGATAGTATCAAAAAGATCATGAGCATACTAACTTTCAAAGTCCGTACTTTTATTTTTTTTATTTTTTAGATATGCGGTAATTTTTATTTTCTTTTTATTTCTTCCCTTTCTTTATAACAATTTTAGTTATAGTATATCAATTAGTAGTCTTTAGTAATTATATTTTTATTTAATAAAACCTTTTGTTTTTATCCCAACTACTTTGTTACACGTCAATGTAATTGATTGCATCTTACAATGTATTTTTTTATTCTTTGTTTGTGAATGCATTCTTTATTTTTATTTTATGGATATGGTTATGGAATACGCTGGTACGACAAACCTCGTTTATATTCAATCCAAATTTGGTGCAAGGATGATGAATGAATTATAAAAGTATAAATCTATGTCTGCTCCATATGATGTTATATAGTAGTGCAAAAGACAATGATTCAAAGTTTTAATAATTAAGTTAAAGAGAAATCGGTGAAGTCACCAAGATAATCATCCAATTGTCCTATTTATGCGATCACCCTGTATCTGTCATATTAATTAGACAATGGTGACAAAAGAGTGCCTGAATGTGAGTTATGGAAACCCCGACCGATGTATGTTCCTAGCGTGGGAGATCAAAGAAAAAAAAATAAGGTATACTGCGGTGGTTTCCAGGTTATAAATTCTTTCCTTTTTTTTTTCTTTTCCTTTTTCTTTTTTTTTTTTTTTTTTTTTACCTTTTCTTCTTTTTCTTTTTCCTTTCTTTATGCTTACCAACATGACAAGTTTGACAGAGTTTTGCATCCAACTTCCCAAGGTCGAAGCTCATGCTCATATCAATGGTTCACTTAGTCCTCAAACATTGCGTGAACTTGTGGCAAGAAAAGTAGATATGAATCCTGAATTGGCCGCGTTTACTATCCCTGATTCTTTAGATCGTATTGACGAGTAATAAGAAAATCTTGTTTTGCTCTTTCTCTTCTCCTACTGACCTTTTTTTTTATTTATTTATTTATTCAAACTAGTTTCTTCGCATTGTTCAAGTTCATTTACCAATTAACCGATGATGAATCGTCAGTAGCACATGCAACAAAACGGGTAATGGAAGAATTTGCTGCGGATGGGGTGCGGTACTTGGAACTAAGAACAACACCACGGGCCAATCTAGCCAAGGGAATGACCAAGCAATCATATGTGAAAACGGTGGTATCAACGATCCAACGAGATTGTCCAGGGACCATGGTGACAAAATTGATCCTATCGATTGATCGACGCAACACATTGGAAGAAGCTCAAGAGACGGTGGATCTGGCCATTCAATTCGCAAAAGAAACAAACATGGTGGTGGGTGTGGACCTTTGTGGTGATGTGATGAAGGGATCCTTTTTGGCTCTGAAACCGGCGTTTGAACGTGCTCAACAACATCATTTCAACATTACACTTCACTTCAACGAAGTCAAGGAAAACATCCCTGAAGCACCGGATCTCTTATCCATTCATCCTGATCGTTTGGGCCATGCTACTCTTTTGGATGACCTTTCTCGTAACACCATTTATCAACGCAACATCCCTGTGGAAATTTGTATGACTTCTAATGTGTTTAGCAAGACCGTGGCCACTTATGAACGACATCATGTCAAGGAACTCATGGATGAAAAGCATCCTTTTATCTTGTGTGTAAGTGAAAAATGATAAAAAAAAAAAAATAGGAACCTCAGTATAATTTCACTTTATCTTTTTTTTTTTTTTTTTGGAACTAGACGGATGACAAGGGTGTGTTTGCTTCTGAATTATCAAATGAATACGTATTGGCTTCCAAGACATTTGGATTGAATCGTGAACGATTATTCGAAGCCTCTTTCAAGGCGATCGATTCAATCTTTGCTGATCAAGAAACAAAGGATGAACTAAAGGCAATATGGTTGACGTGGAAAAAGGATCACCAATATCTATTTGTAGAATAGAATGTTTATATATATTTAGTTAGTATGCCTGTAGCTTTGTTATTTTGGTTATTTAGTTTGGTATATTGAAGTGATATATAAAAATCATTGTATCATATATACATAAATTGTCTTTTTGGGTGTCTCTATCTATGAATCTTATGTTGCATCTTTTCTTTTTCTTTTTTTTTTTTTCTCTCTCTCTCTCTAAATAATATCATGGTGGAATATCAAAGACGATAGTTTAATGATTAAAATCAGAATGAAATACAATACAAATATGGAATATCAAAAGTCAACAATCACAAAAAAAAAAAAAAAAAAAAAAAAAAGGAATTTTGTCATGAAAGTCTACATGTTCATTTTTTTTATTCAATCAATCAAATTTTTGTTCTAAAGCACGAATATAATGCTTGGGGAATTCTATATTGAGCAAGTAAGTGTAATGTCTAATCCAAAAAAAAAAAAAAAAAAAGAGATCAGCAACAGTTCAATAATTCCTAACACCACTTACGTTTCTAAATCTATTTCGCCAGTTTGGAGATCAATTCGTTTGGGTACATCATGTACTCGTTGATCAAAGTTGATAAAATAACCACGTTCACTCATGATGTCCATCACCATATCTACAAAATGACTATTTGCTAATCGTCCGTCCTCCCTATAAAATAATGCATCAGCACCAAAATACTGTTCATCATCATTAAAAAAAAAATAGGATTTACGATCTAAAGTTGGCATGACCACTAATAGAATGTCTGTTCACTAGAGGCATCACTTGGGAGTCGATAAAATCAATAGCTTCATGTAGCATCTTGGGTTCAGTTTGTTGATAATGTTCTAATCGGTTGATAAGATCCTGTATTCAATAGAAGAATGTCAATGTTTTTGTTTTTCTATTATTTTTTTCTTTTTTCTTCTTCTTTACCTGTCTAGCATGAATACCAATTTGTGTGGCCACTGGAATATGTGAAATGGAATCAAAAGTTTCACTATCTAGTTCCAAAGATGATTGGTATTCAAATTCCTTCAAGATGATTTGCATGACTTCCTTGATGGTTCCAGTGGCATTGATCAAATCTACATGAAACAAATATCAGCAAGTTTAATGTACATGTATATCTATATTTCGTCAACTTACGAAACGGGAACATTTTGGATAATTTGAGTAAGGAGCCATAATGAGCTTTGAATATAGAATATCTTTCTCGGATCAACTAGAAATCAGTAATAAACTGGTTAGTAATCTTTTTCTTGATTTCATGAAACCACTTACCGTTTCATTATTATCCGTCACTCTTTCTTCCCATACTACCCCTTGACCAGTTTTTCTAACATCAATATTATGTTCACGAATCATTCTACCGCGAGCTAATTGTCGTTGTACCGAGATTTCTTCATCTACATAAAGTACTGCGATTCGAAAGACAGGGCGACTATATATTTTTTTTTTTAAAAAAAAAAAAAAAGAAATGTTTTTTTCATTTTAATTAAATAAAATAATTTATATATATTTTTTTTTTTTTTTTGCACTTACGGGAATTGATCACGAAGAGCAGTGTTCCAGAATTCTCGACGTAATTCAATCATCTTGTCATGTAACATCCGTAAAGCTTCGACTTGAATATCTGTTCTAGGAAACCCATCGATTAGTATACCCACAGTAGGATCCCCATGTAACATAGCGTGAAAAATCAGTTCCATCACATAACGGTCTGATATCATTTGACCTTGATTGATTAATTCTTTGCATTCAGGTGTTTGTAATAGCTGAGAGACAGAAATAGGTGGATTGGTGATGCCCCGTGCACGTAAGATAGATGGTGTATGCGTACCTTTTCCAGATCTAAAAAAAATGTCAACTCCCATTGGTGAAGATAATATATATATATTTATTACCCAGGTGCACCCATGAGGAAAATGAATTCACGTGGAAGATGAATGTTTTCCCGACCATAATGGTCTTCAATATTCTTCCAAGCTTGATTAAATATTAATTTGGCATCCTTGATTTCAGTGGCCCTAAAAGATATAAAATAAATAAATAGATAAATAAATACTAGATTATCAACAATAGAAAAAAAAAAATGGAAATATATTATTCTATAACCTTTCATGGTGATCAGAATGACTACCAGAACCCCTGGTAACAGAAGTAGCTATTGATATATAAAGATGAATAAGTATAGATGACAATAATCTTTTTTTTTTTTTATTATTTTTATTTTTTATTTTTATTTTCTATGGATACTATTCTTATTTGACATTTTTTACCAGTTTGTTCAGCGTGGGTAGAATGAGTCAAAGAAGGAGCGGTGTAACAACGTAGTGGTACTTGTCGGGATAGTAGAAGTCCCTGTTTTTTCAATGTTGCAGATAAAACTAATGTAGATAAAGATCTTCTTAGTAATCGATGTTGTTGAGCTATATGTGTTGCCATGACTAATAGTATATAGAAAGAATATATAAATATATATGTATAAAATAATATAGACGAAAAAAAAAAAGAAGAAAAAGAGAAAAAGAAAAAAAAAAGACAAAAGGGCGGTAGTTAAATAGACTAACGACAACTAAAAAAAAAAAAAAAGAGATCAAGGAGGACAAATTACACAACAGTAATTCACACTGTCATTTTCCACAATTGTATAATCTGATTTGTAAAAGGATAAGATGAAACAGTTTAATAACATTTTCATTAGAGAGGAAATAATTAAGCAGGAAAACATTTTCTTTATTGATTTTTGCATTAATCATGTACAAACTATTTTCAAACAAAAGATCACAAATGTTAGCAAAATATATATATATATATTTCTTTTTTTGATATATTTAATATATAGTTTGAGAAATGGGTTCCCTTATAGTGAATAAAACTATAATGCTTGTGTCGGAGTGTTCCAATAAATTCACCCACATTTGAACTGATATTTTTTTATTTTTATTTTTATTTTTATTTTTCTCTTTTTCGCACATTTATTATTATTTTCCATCTTTTTATGCTAAGAAGAATTCCAAGATTTGCAAAATGTATGGCATTAGGTGGCATTGGGTTTTCCGCTATATATAACATGGACAATCGTACTGAAGCCAAATTACTGCAAAGGAGTCTCCGAACTTTTTATAATGGACTTATCCTCGCGGTGGATTACAAATTATATGGCGGCGACATTCAACAATTACCAGCACTTCATGAACGGGTTGCTAATCGCATGTTCAATGTATTTGAAAAGAACGGTGGATTGTATATCAAGATTGGTCAAGTCATTGCTGCTCAATCGGCTATATTACCTACAGCTTACCAGCGTCGTGCAAAGTCGCTTTTGGATAGTGCCCCAGAAGTCGCCTTGTCGTCTATCGAACAAGTTTTTTTAGAAGATTACGGTACATTGCCTCAAGACCTTTTTACTGATTTTGATCCTCATCCTGTTGCTTCTGCGTCCATTGCACAAGTACATAAAGCCGTGCTTCCTTCTGGTCAAGTCGTTGCTGTCAAGGTTCAAAAGCCAGCTGTACAGAAACAAATTGGATGGGATTTGTATGCTCTTCGTGCCTTGCTCCATCTTTATGAATATATTTTTGAACTTCCATTGACGTTTACTGCTGATTATATTGAACAACATATAAGAAAAGAAGTGGATTTTGAAAATGAAGCAAGGTATGTTTTATTAAAAATAGAAAATGATAAGATATTGACCACGTATTTATAGGAATGGACAAAGATCACGACATCATCTAGAACAACAATCACAATTGGAAGGCAAGGTTTATATTCCAAAGGTATATCCAGAGTATAGCACTAGACGTGTTCTCGTTTGTGAATGGGTGGATGGCGTACAACTGACAGATATGGAAAAAATCACTGCACTTGGATTGGATTACAAAGAAGCCATGAAGATCTCTATAGAAGCTTTTTCAAGTCAAATCTTTATCAGTGGTTTTGTTCATGGTAAAAATAGAATAGCAATATAAAAATATTAAGACTTATTCACTCCTACATAGGGGATCCGCATGCTGGTAATGTTTTGGTTGCTCCACATCCCAAAAACAAGAAAAAGGTACAAGTCATATTGGTGGATCATGGTCTTTATGTACAAGAATCAGAAAAGTACGATTTTTTTTTTTAAAAAAAAAAAAAAAAAAAAGAGAGGAAAGAAGAAAGTTAACAATCACTTTTTTTTTTTGTCAATCTAGATTTCGGATACAATATTGCAAATTATGGCAAGCTTTATTTATGCTCGACTTGAAGACAATGACAGAAATATGTAGTGAATGGGTAAAAAGAGAAAAAGAGAGAGAGAGAGAGAAAAAAATAGAAAGTTGGTCCTTAGATGATCTAAATCAAACTCACCGTCTCTCTCTTCTTTTATATATATACATATATATATCTGTATTTTGTGTCTGTTTTGTGTTGATCGGTTGGTTAGGGGATTCATGACGTGAATATGTTCGCATCTATTATACTTCAAAAACCATTTGTGGAAAATAAAGCTGTACATCTCCAACAAACAAGTTTGCAAGATATCTATGAATTCCAAAGTGGGGTCAAGGAACGACTGAAACATTTTCTAGAAGATCAACAACAATTTCCTCAGGAGCTCATTTTTTTATTACGGAACATGGAGATTGTACGAGCAAATAACAAAACGGTAGGCAGTCCAGTCAATCGATTGAATATCATGGCAAGATGGGCAGTACGTGGGATTGATGACTATGATGAAGAAGCTAACAGATATCATCATCATCGATTGGGATTACAACATCAATTACGGGCGACTTGGCGTAGATTTATCTTTAGTTTCAACTTGTTCCTGATGAGTCTTGGTTTTTGGTTGGTGAAACTTCGGCAAAATACAAGCAGGATTCTCTTTGGTACCAAGATACCAGGATTTGAAGAATTATTGGATCAACGCATGAAAGAACAGGTAAAAAAAAAAAAAAAAAAAAAAAAAAAAAAAAGAAAGGATTGGGATGGATGGTACAGTGGCCTTATCCAAAAAAAAAAAAAAAAAAAAAAAAAAAAAAAAAAAGATATGGGTTGACTGACCTTTATATATATATATATAGATGTATTTACAATATGGAATTCAAATTGATGAAAATGTGTTTGATGCTTGAAATAGACTAGATTTTTTTTTTATATATACTTCCTCAATAAAATAGCTTACATTGAATAAAATACCCTCACTCATTAGACTATAGTGTATGAATAGGATACAAAATTACAATAAAATGGAATGATTGTATAAATTGTACAAATTGGATTATTTTTCTATTCTTTTTGTAAGTTTTATGCAGGACATCATTACAATGATATTTTTTTTTTATTTGTTCGCGTCATTACCAAAAAGGGCAAGAGGGCAATAAGTGAGATCTTCAAAAGTTGAAAACAAAATGAAATAATATCGAAATGTCCATAAGTGGTTTATTTCCAAAATGAGTGTCACATTGAATAACGCGAGTCAGAAACATACGCGTTGTAGTCATTGTCCAGGATTGTCTCCAGTGATGACGGTTAATTCTAGGGAAACTCAAAGATCTGATGATGATGACGGTGATGATGATGATGTTTATGCGGATGATAGATGGTTTTGGCCATGGCATCCCGCCATAAGTTGAAATGAATAAAAATTGTACAATAAGTATGCATATATTTTATGTTGTAGACAAGGATGTTTTAGATTTATTGAAGATCAAAGATAAGAAAAAGTGTGATGAGGAAAAAGGACTATGATATAGAGAAACTAGATGAAAAGATTTGAAAAATAATAGACACAAAAAAAAAGAGGAATAAAAGGGAAGTATATAAAGTGCCGGCTAGATGATAGGGAATGACATGATGACAAAAATATGAATGAAGTAATGAATAAAGAAAAAAAAAGGAAGGGTAGAGAGAGAGAGAGAGAATAATGACTATATATTGACAACACCAAGAATGAATAACCTAAACACCATATGATTTTTGAGGATTGATTTTTTTTTTCAGCATTTTTCTACATCATAAAACATTTCCAAAGGAGTCTTCATCACGCTTAGGCTTCAGGGCAATCACGAGACTAATCAAGTAAAAGTGTAAGTACATTATTATCAAAGATGACATCTTTTTTTTCAACTTACGATGTGACCAGTTTGTTGGCACTTGTAACAGGTCTTGGCTTGTTGAGGTTGTTGACATTCTCTTGAGATATGACCAAAGTTCTATGAAATAAAACAAATGAGTAAATGTTATTATAGTTCAATATGAAATCAAAGTAAAGATAACTTACACCACAGTTGTAACACTTTTGTCCACCTTGGCTGTTAGGGCAACTATAAGAAGAAAAAAAAAAAAAGAAGAGAAAAAATGAGATTTGGAAATCTATGCATCAAAAAAGTACTTACTCGCGGCTCATATGACCACGAGCACCACAAGCATAGCAAGAGCGGGAATCACCACCATAGCGACCTTCTGTACAGTTACGAGAGATGTGACCAGTCTTTCCACACTATATCAAGAAAGTATTAATTTTCTATTCTGTTTTATAATAAAGATGATCTACTTACGTTGTAACAGGAGGGACCGCCAAAGTTATCTTGAGGAGCGTCAGGGCATTCACGAGACTAAAAGAAGAAAAAAAAAAGACATGAATCAGTCAAATCAACATTGCTAGTTTATTTTTCTTACGAGATGACCAGGTTGGTTGCACTTATAACAGAGTTTTTCAGCAGGAGCTTCGGTACTATAGAATTTTTTTTTCCAAGTTAAATCATCCTGTTTGTCTTTATTTTTTTTTTTTTTTTATTTCTTACCAATCCTTACTGAGATGGCCTTCTTGTTGGCAGTTGTAACTGAGATTGAAAATATGGGAACGTGTGAGTAAGTAAATGAGTTTTTTATATTTTTGTGAATATAGTATGGTCCAAGCTTTGAATCACCCAACCGAGACGAGTCAATTTTTTTTTTCCCTTACCAAACAGATTCAGTCTTTTGACATTCACGGGCTTGGTGGCCAGCTATAAAAAAAAAAAGTGAGAAAGCATAATAAAGGTAACTAAATATATAAAAAAAAAATAAAAAACGCGTTCGAGTGTAGAACTGAAAGTAGCAAAAAGATCACCAGACAAAAACGAATAACAAGACAAAATCAGATTGATCAAAAACTATAGATTTGACCAAAAGGAGAAAGTATTGATATCACTTTTTTTGTTCAAAGATACCTTTTTATAATCTGATTTCCAAAAAGAAAAACAGCACCTTTCAAGTCTACCCCACACAAAGGTAAGAATATCACCTACGTTCACCACACTTGTAACAGGAACGGAAACTAGACATGACAGTAGAGTTGTTTTTATTATATATAAAAAGAAAATAAATAAATAAAAGAAAAAGAAAAAAAGAGAGGAGATAAAAAAAAAACAAACAATTTTTATATAAAAAAAAAAAGAGGCTTTTTCTAACAGCTAACATAAAGTTGTGTGATGTGTGTGTTGAGTGCGTGTCGATAGAAAATTTTTTTTTGTAGGGCGGGATCCTAAATCAACGTCGAACTTTCTTTCGTTGGGCAGCAGAATGATTGTCACCTCCACGTTTGAGTTTTCGTTCGTCAGCTATATTCGATCGTAAAGTGGTAGAGAGAGAGAGTAAGAGAAAGAAGAAAGAAGTTAGAGTATATCATCATCATCATCATCTGAATATATATATATTTTTTTATTTACCTTTCCTTGCTTTTTCTTCCATCTCATCCCAATCTATTATTCATAAAGAAAAAGTAAATGATGAATTCTTCAATTGATTCCTTTTCTATATTCCCATTTACCTTCACCAGATTCTGACATTTCCTCTTCCTCTTCTTCTGAATCAGATGCTACTTCCGATTCGAAATCACTTTCATCACTTGAACTTTCTTCTAATTCTTCAGAGCTAATTTCAAATTCACTTTCTGCTTCGGATTCTTCACCAGAACCTTCATCCTATTATATAAAATATATTAATTGATTGTTTTCTATTGAGGATAATATAATCTTACATCCGAATCAGGGGATAAGAAGTTCCAACCACCATTCTTGAAGAAATCGGCAGGATTGTCATTGACCGTCTTCATAATCATGCTCCAATTCAAGTTCACAGGTCCTTCAGTAAATGCCACATCTACAGAACTAAATATCATATGTTACTATTTGTATTTAAGATCCACTCTTTTAACTTACTTTAACCATTCCTTCACATTGTCCAACTGACTCATGGGGATAGTATTGATTTGTATAGGAGGTCGTTGGAAATCCTTGAAGACATATACTAAATCAAAATTCTTGAGACCGAACTGGACACGTTCCAAATGGGCGATTTCAATTTCACTAAGAGTAATCACCAGGAAGGGAGGATCGGATAAATGGACCAAACAATCAGTTGTAGGTTGTAATAAGACATTAGATCGAAATGGTACACCTTGGAATCCAAGTTCTCGGAATGGAATATCTACTTCAATACGATCATCACTCTATATATATAATCATTAGTAATAACCCCAATAATCTGTTTGTTATTGAACTTACAGCTTCAGCAATCTTTTCAGCGAATCCTTTAAATTCTTGATTGAGATTTGCCCGTCGCCTTCGTTCTTCACGTTCTGATTCCAATTCATCTTCATCACCATATATATGTCGTCTACGTTTGTTACCAGTTTCATCGAATTGTATATCGGATGCTTCACGGTAAAATTGAATATCCTAAAAAAGGTATATGTGAGAACCAAAAATAATTATTATTCAACAACATTTACCTTTGTTTTTTTCTTGCCAATCAACACTGGATTCTTAAAGTGAATATGAATCAAAACCAATAGTTCATTGTCACATGGTTGAAAAAAAAGATGTTTGACATTGCTAAACAACACGTCTAAGGTAAAAAAAAAAAAAAAAAATGAGGATACTATCGGATTTATTTGTTGTATATTAAATCCAAGATACTTACTGAAGGAATTATCAGATCGGATAGATTGATATCGTAAACCATTGGTATGAATTTCCAGTTCACCAGGTAAACGCTTGCCATCCAATTGAGGTCGAACATATACTTCAGGTAGTCGTAACGGTCGTCGTCCTTTGACTAGGATAAGATTATCCTGTTCTACCACATCTGCCATTTCTTTACGTTGAGCTTCCTTTTTGACAGCCTCCTTTTTCAATTCAGTAATATCACGATAAATTTCAGCCATTCTTGCTGTATTGGCACTACGGAAGGTAAGAGCACGTACAAAGGTAGCATTGGCATCATCAAAAGGCTAAGTATAAATAAAATAAAAAAATGAATGAGTTTCCTTTCAAATCATCCTCTCTCTCTCTCTTTTTTTTTCTTTTTTCTTTTTTTTTTATTACCAAATCTTCCTTTTTGTTTCCTGCTTGACCTGGGGTAACAAAGTTGAAACGTAACATGACAAATTCACCTTCATCACTTTTACTTGCAGTTTTCAGAGTAGAAATGTGGAAAGGTACCGCCATACCATAGATAGGAAGAATCACCGTATCATTTCGTTTGTCAACAATGATCTACAATGTAGACATTATTAGTCACACGCCTTTTTTTTTTTTTTTTAATAAAAAAAAATACTTACCCTAAGATCCCGTACTTCGCGAGGTAACTTTGCTTCAGATCTATAACTTTCAAATTTGCGGAAGACAGTCTTATTATCATCTTTGTCGTTTTGTTGTTCTTCAGAGAATCGTTTGAGACCTTCAGCTTGTTTTTGAGCAAATAAATCCTTTTGATGTTCCTTGCGTTTTTGTTCCTTGGATTCATCATCCTGTTCCTCACTTCGGAATTTGCTACGTAGGATGGCTGTTTTCGATACACCTTCTTTCTTCAGTGGCAAACCAGAACGTTGAGAGGGTGATGATGTTGAGATAGCTGAAGAAGAGTGTTGGGTTTTGGATTGTTTATAATTATCGTCGTTGTTGGCCATTTCTTGATCACCATCTTCACTTTCTTCTTTCATAAAGTAGGAGACTTCATTCAATCGTTTGCTACATTCTGTCAAAGTAATTGGTAATTCATTGGTAACCCGAATAGTATCGATTAATAACAGAGAGTACTTTTGTGCGCGAGTATCACCAGAATTTGTTTGTGTGTTTTCCAAATCAGCGAAACCAAGAGATAGGTTGAGTACCATGTTGTTCTTGAGTTCCCTTACACTTTTGCCAGTCAAGACATAATTTGATTCTCTGAATTCAATACCCATACCAAAGCCAGCGTTCTTAGTAAAGTGAGATTCCAAATCAGGACGTTTGTTTTTGATATAAGCCAGTGCTCTGTTGTAAACATCTTTGATCTTGACACCATCACGTATAGTTTCCATCACTCGTTGTTGTAAATCCAATAAAAATTCATAATTCTTTTCTTGAGTTTTGGTGGGATCAATTAAATAGGTACGACCGATATTGGAACAATAATATTTGTAACGAACACCCAAAGAACATAAAATAACACCACTACGTAAAGGTTTGTTATCAGAGACTGCTGATGTACGTAAATCGTAATTGCCACCACTTTGAATGATAGGAGTATAGCACCAATCGAGATCATCTTTATCGTCAATCTATACAAAAGAAAAATAAATATATTTAATTTCTAATAGTATATATATCTATATCAATACATACTTCAGCAGGAAGTCGAATACGTTTTTCAATCTTGGGATCTTCTAAAGCAGCTTCGGTCATATCAGCTAGTTTTTCATGAGACACCTTTTTTTCTTCATCAATAATTTTGGACATTTCTTCGGTAAAATAATGTTTCATAATATTTGACGTAACCTTGGCAGCAGTTCGCATGTTACGCTAAAATAACACAAATAAGGTAAATAAATATATTATATTCTTCATTTCATTTCATTATCTATACCAATTCTTCATCATCCTTGACAGCAATACAGGCAGAGATAGCAGGTGCAATATCGACTTGTTCATATGATTTTCCTGAATTTGATAGAACTTTTGTCCATTCATCCACAACGTTTCCCTTATATCGATCCTTGACTATAACACCTACTCGATTCTATCAATACAAAAAAAAAAAAGATATAAGTTAATAAGTATTGCATATAATAATAAAAGAATAACTTTACTCCATCCAATGAATCCACTAGTGGTTGGTATATAGGCAAGTTTTCTTCAACATTCTTTCCACGTCGAATGACATCAACAGGTATTGATCCATTCTTTAGTTTATCAAATATATTAGCTAAATTCAAATATCATAATATACAAAAAAAAAAAAAGATTACATATCAAAACTATATATATATATATATATATTGTCATTACCTTTTTTCTGACTACAAACAAATGTGATCTTTTCGGGAGTCAATAGCATAAGAGTATGAAAGAAAGGTGCACCAACTAACCAAGTCTATAAAAATAAAAAAAAAAGAGATCAGTTTAAGTAAAAATTATATATATAATATATATATTTACTTGAGTTGTAGTTGATTTTCTATAGGGATTTTCGTCATCGTCTTCACCAACAAGAATAAGAATAGCGTCCGTATTTTGAAATAGTTCGGTATTTGTAGGACTCTATTATAAAAGTTAGTTCAAGTAATATATATATAAAAAATATGTAATATAAAAAGAATAAAACTTACTTTCCACTGAGAAATAAGAAATTTAGCTCTTTTATGAAAACGTTTAATATCGATTTCAAAGTTGGGCATGATAAAAAGAAGCTGTATTTATAGAAAGAAAGAAAAGGAAAACAAACTAAAAAAAAAAAAAAAAGATAAATTTTTGTTCCAAAAGCAAAAGCGCGCATGGCGCCTGTTCAATAAAATCGCGTTTCATCAATGAAAATTTCAAATTGAAGTCACGGTTCACAGGTAAAGTTGGGAAATTTTTGGCGGAAAAGAAAAAATTGGGTTCATCCATTCATCATCGGTCTCTGTTGCCGTGTTATATAAAAAAAGCTAAAAAAACTAGTAATATCATATGATATGAAGAATACTTTTCTTTTTTACTTTTTCTTTTCTTTTTTTTTTTTTTATTTCATATAACAATCAGTTGACTTCTTTTCAAACATCTTTTTCTAGTAATAATAATAAAAAAGTTGGATGATTATTCATCACAAGATCTAGAAAGTAGACTAGGTGAGGTTCCAGTCTGTCTAGTCATCCATCATTTGTATATGTGTATTTGTTCTGTCTTTGTTCTGTCTGTCTGTTCTTTTTTTTTTTTTGCCCCTCATATGTCGTTTTTTTTTTTTCTCCAGACTATTTTCATACCAAAAGCGGTTGAAAATACTCCGCTTGATTTATTTTTTTATTATTATTATTATACTATTTTTTTTTTTTTTTTCTTTTCCTCTTTTCCTCTCTTCCTCTCACTCGTCTCTTTCTCTCTCACACACACACGCATATATATATACATACGTTCTCGTATTCTTTCTCCTTTTACTTTCTTTTTTTCTGCAACAATATCATGGTTTTAGGTTTTTCCAATAAATCATCAAAGGACCAACCAGTTCAAAATGGCGAAGTAGCACCTACTCCTAATGACGTAGATAGTTTATCCGTACAACATGTGGAGTCTAGTTCGAAAGGTCAATTCAAGGAATTCATCAAAACTGTGATAAGTTTTACTGGGGATCTATCATCTTTGACTTGTCCTGCCTTTTTCTTAAATGGTCTTTCTTTGTTGGAATACGGGTAAAGGAAAAAAAAAAAAAAACTTGAATTATGTTCGATTATTAATGACAGTTTTTTTTTTTTCCTTGGAATTAGTACATACTGGGGGGATCATCCAAGTTGGTAAGAAATAAAATGATGATGAAATGTGTTTGAAAGGAGAAAACAGTATTAGAATAATACGGTGATTTCATCTGCATGTACAAATCTATAATTCACTTTTTTTTTTTTTTTTTTTTTTTTTTTTTGGTTGGGGGCAAACCCGGTTTTCTAGTTTTACAGCCATTAGTCAGTCTGCCGATCCACAAGGTACAAATAATATTCTACATATATGTTATATTCATATGCTATTGAATATGGGATTTGATCTAAATTCAACATTTCTTTTTTTTTTATTAAAATAGAACGTATGTTAGCTGTTGTACGATGGTTTATGTCCACACTCTGGGGAAGTTATGCATCTCGATGTACTAATGGTCTTAATGAAAAGAAACCTTACAATCCTATTTTGGGAGAGCAATTCAAGTGTACTTTGGGAAATGTCAAATGTATTTGTGAACAAGTATGTCATCATCCTCCTATTTCGGCTTTTTATCTTGAAGATGAAAAAGCAGGTGTTTCTTTGAATGGTCACAGTAAGTAGATCATTTTTATATAATAAAAGTAGTTGATATTAAAATAAATTCAATAATTTTTTTTTTAAGGTTGTCAAAAGTCGAAATTCAAGGGAACATCCATCAAAGTAGATCAAGTTGGTCGTGCTGTACTATTTGTCAAACCATGGAATGAACAATATATTATCAATTTTCCTCATTTGTTGATTCGAGGTTTTTTGACAGGTGCAGCTTATATTGAATTGGGTGGAACAAGTTCAATCATTAGTAGCAATGGTGTTCAAGCTAGCATGGAATTTGTGCCTAAACCATGGTTTGGTGGTGAATACAATCATTTCAAAGGATCCATTCAACAATCTGGTACTGAAATCTATACATTGTCAGGACGATGGAGTCATCAATCTTTTTACACTAAGAAGGGATCCACCAACAAAGAACTTTTATTTGATGCTGAAAGTGAACCTATGGCTGAACGTGTGACTCCTCCTATTGAAGAACAACAAGAAATCGAATCTCATCGTTTGTGGGGCAAGGTGACTGAAGCTTTGAAGATCAAGGATTATACAACTGCCAATGCTGAGAAATCAAAGATAGAAGATAGACAACGTGCCATACGCAAGGAACGATCGGAAAAGAATGAAACTTGGACACCTCAATTATTTGTTTTTGATAATGATGCAAACGCTACCACCAATTATGCTAAAACAAATGTCTCTCTATCTAAAAAGATCCCTGGCAAACCTCTTATCGACGAAGGTGCATGGACTTACAAGGATTCCCTTCATGATCGTCAACAATAGGTTTTAGTTTTTTATTATTTTTTTTTATTATTACTACTATTATTATTATTTACTTTATTATTTTTAGAAACTCTTTTTTTTCATAATACGTTTTTCTATATACTTCTCTTTATCCCTTAGTTCCTCATCACCCCCACTTTTGTTTACTACAACTTACGATTACTTTTGATGTATATTGTTTTATTATTTCTCTTTTTACAATTGATTGTTATTTCCCTCTCGTTTTTACTCTTATTATAATAAAGACACTACTATTATTACACTTTGTATCCTATTCCAATTTTCGGATAATAAACTATCATCCATCAACATGCCATCACACAGTTTACCCTTCATCTATCATCCATGATCTATTACCACTTATGATCCATCATTCCTTTTTTTTTTTTTTTTCTTTTTGATTTCCAAAACTTTTTATTTATTCTATAATGAGAGAGAAAGAGAGAGAGAGAGAGAGAGAGAGAGAGAGAGAGAGAGACTATTCTACAAAGTAATAAGACTAGTAAATCTAAAGTATGATGTGTATATTTTTGATATCAAATTTTGTACAAAAAAAAAGGTAATATTACTACTAACAAGTATGTATGTGTGTGTGTGCGTATGTGATCTAACTATTGGCATGCATGACTTTATCAATGGCAACACTGAATAAACTAAAACCAACACAACCTAAAGCTGTTGCTTGAGGACCAGCTCGAATGGCAAGTAATCCACCAGTAAAACATCCTGCTGCTGCACTGTTGGCTATATCATTTTTCGCTCGATACTACACACAATAAATAAATAAAATAAAAATTGAGTATATCTATTTTTAAACTAATTTCTAATTCAAAACTTACAGATTCAATAGCACATTCAGATCCTGAATAAATAGCACCTACAACAGCAAAGTTTTTCGCCATGGACCAAGATCTTGTTCCCATATCCTTAAAAGCTGTTTTAAGTTGTTGTTTCGTTGATTGTTGTACCATTTCTTCAGATACTGTAGGTCCTGCATATTCAAATGATGACATGAATAAACCAAATGCACCACCCATAACAAAACCTATATAAACAAAAGAAAAAAAAAATGTTTATGGAGTCAGTTCATATAATATATATATATATATATTATAAAACTTACCAGCAGTACCAGCCATAGCTACTTTAGCAGGACAAGATTCCATGACTGCTTGCATCATTTTGATAGTTTGTTGTTCTTGTTCTGACATCCCACTATTGGTGCCCAGTGGGCCTCTTTGCATAGCCATGGTATTGAAATCTGTTAAGAAAAAAAAAAAAAAAAAGGAAAAAAAAGGAAAAAGAAAAGCAACCCCGAGATAATTTTGTTTGCTTCTTTTTTTGTTTGAACAGTGGTTGGAGTTTGAAAAACGTCACAGCACTCAAAAAAAAAAAAAAAAAAAATGGGACAATGATATCTGTTTGACTTTTTTTTTTCCTCCCTCTTTCTATAATTTTTTTTTTCTCTATATAATATATATATTAACATTTTTTTTCTCTATATAATATATATATTAACATGTCAACATTAGATAAAGTGGATACTGAAGATATTTGGGCTTCTGATGAAGAAGATTCTGATTTTGTTCCAGAAGGTAATTTATTGAACTGAGAGAAAAAAAGAATTAGGATCTTTATCAACTTTTTTTTTTTAATTTTTTAATTATAGTTGATGAAGAAGGTGATCATGATATTTCTGAAATAGAAGACAATGACGACGTTGTAGATTCTTCGACATCTAAGAAGAGAACTAATGAAGATCAACAAGAAGAAAGTGACAATACCAAAAAGATCAAGTATGTTTCAATTTAGTATATTCTCTGTAAGACTACTTTTTTTTTAATTTTTTTTTTTTCATTTTGTACTTTCTATTAGAACTGATATGGAACGAAAAGCTAAAGTGGATGCACTATGGGCAGAAATGAATCTAACAACAACAACAACAACAACAAAAAGTAATCAAAACAAGTCCGACAAACCATTGGATGATATATCTACCAATCAACTTGAAAAAGTCTCAAGTATTACTTCTGTGAATAATCAAAAAACACAAGAACCATCAAGGTAATAAGAATAATTAAAAAAAGAATAATTAAAAAAAGAAGAAAGAAAAAATAGATGGAAATTAATTTTTTTTTCCCTTCTTTTTATAATAATAGAGAAACAACATCATCTAGCGGTAAACGAAGGATCCAACGACCGAAATCCAACCTATCGGACCTAGTATCTCAGTACAACATCAAAGTACCAAAAATAAACACATTAGAAAAGAGTCGATTGGATTGGCAAGGTTATGTGGAACGTGAAGGTATCAAGGAAGATCTCAAATTCAAAAATAAAGATGGTTATATGGAAAAAGTAGCCTTTTTACAACGTGTAGATGATCGACGATGGAATGATTTGAAACAAGGACAAAAACAATCAAAACGATAGTTTAGTTATATCCCCTAATTTATTTATTTTGGTTTATGTAATAAAGATTAAAAACAAATGTATATATTATCATATCATATTTTTCATTTCCTTTGAATAGATTATTTATGTGTCATGTTTTTTTTTTTTTTTCTTGGCGTATATAAAAAAAGGTGGCGTATGTTTAAAATAACATCTTGGTAATGGGATGGATAAAAGGAAAGACATAACTTCCTTTTCTGGCATATTTTCATCCTTGTTTGTAACCCAATCAAGTTACACTTCTTCTGAATGTGTGCTTTTCATCTTGGCACTGGCTGTTTTTGATAGACAAAAAAAAAAAAAAAAAAAAAAAAAAAGGAAAAAAAAAAAAGATGTGCAGCAGTAACAAAAGTTGCTCGTATTTTGCCGGTAATATTGATGCGTCGGGGGGAGTTCATAAGTTTATTTTTGACTGATTATATATAAAAATAGATAGTTTCTCTTTCTTTTTTTTCATTTCTTTTTTTGTTTTCTTCAATACCTCTCTTTATTATTCTTTTTTAACTATGCGTATAGCAAGGATATTATCTTCTTGTTGTATATTAGTCCTGACAGTTACTTCTTCCATTACTTCTGTTCATGCACAAAATACTTCTTCGTCTGCCCCTACTTCAAGTCCACAACCTGGTGTTAACAAGAACTATGCTAATTTACTGACTTATTCCATGTGGTTTTATGAAGCCTTAAGAAGTGGGAAGTTACCTTCCAACAATCGTGTTTCTTGGTAATATAAATTAAAACTGATCTATTAACTGAACCTAAAACTGACCTTTTTTTTTTTGTTCCTATTATTTAAGGCGTCATGATTCTGGTTTACAAGATGGACAAGATCATAATGTGGATCTCACTGGCGGTTATTATGATGCTGGGTAATATATAACAATAACAGAATCAAAAATAATTCAAACTGACTACATATTATTATTTGAATTCAATAGTGATTATTTGAAATTCACACTTCCTTTAGCTCATTCTTTGGCTTTGATATCATGGGGTGGTATTGAATGGTATGATGGTTATACAAAAGCCAATCAAGCTAGTTATTTACATGATACTGTTCGATGGGGAACAGATTGGTTAATGAAAGCTCATCCTGATTCAAATACGTTATATGTTCAAGTGGGTTCTGGTGATATTGACAACAACTATTGGGGTAAGTTTAACTATTTTTTTTTTTTTTCATTTACTATCCAAACTAACTCATACTTTATTATTATTATTATTAAGGACCTGATACTGGTATTCCTACACCTAGACCTTCCTATTTTATCAACAACACAGCTACAGGAACAGATGTAGCTGCTATGACTGCCGCTGCTCTTGCTTCCGCATCTTACCTTTTCGCCAATTTAGCCAATGACACCAACTATGCTAATCAATTATCCAGTGCTGCTCAATCGGTATTTGCTTTGGCCGAAACACAACCATTCCATGTCTATACTGATTCTGTCCCTGCTGCGGATGGTCTCTATCAAACAAATACTTACATGCCTCAACTAGTATATGGTGCACTATGGATGTACAAGGCAACAGGTAATTCAACTTACCGTGATAAGGCTTCCAACTACTTTGATCAATTTTCACTTGGTGCATCTACGGTTTCTCCTATGGATTGGAGTGATCCTACTGGTGCTGTCTATGTATTGGGTGCCGAACTTGACAATTCAAATACCAAGTATGCTACAGCTGCCAAGAGATGGCTTGATACCATGACCAATCCAAGTGCTCCTAAAGCTCCCTGTGTATTTACTAATGGTGGCATGTTATGGTGTGATGGTTATAGTAACTCAAATTCAATGGTGCCTCTTCAAGATACCTCCTTATTAGCCTTGTTGTATAGTCGTCTGGACTCGTCGAAATCTCAACAATACACGGATTTTGCTACAAAACAAATCGATTATATGCTTGGAAATAATTATATGTAAGTAAAAAAAAAAAAATAAAAAAAAAAGATGATCATCGATTTTTTTTTCTAACAAACAAATAAATAAACAAACAAACAATAAAATTGAATTTAGGTTGACCCCTTATGTCTGTGGCGTTCATGCAAATTCACCACACAATCCTCATCATGCTGGTGCTTCTGGTGGTACGGATATTAATAATATTAACACTTCTCCTGCTGAAGAACTACATATCCTTTATGGTAAAAGAAAAAAAGAAAGTAAAAAAAAAGAAAATGACTTATCACTATTTTTTTTTTTTTTAGGTGCGATTGTTGGAGGACCTAATAAGGATGATATCTTTTATGATGAACGTAATGATTGGTCACAGACCGAAGTGGCTTTGGATTACAATGCCCCATTCCAAGGATTGATGGCTTATCAAATCAGTACCAATGCGTCTGATCCACCTTATGTTAGTATCACTGACCCAAGACCTTACGTCAGTCGATCTCATGGTTTGGCTGGTTGGCTCATTGCTGTGATTGTCATCGTGATCTTATTCATCTTGGCTGGTATTGGTTACTTTGCTTGGTTGAAACGTGAAGCCTTACGACGTCGATTTGGAAAAAACAAGGAATATGCCTACGCAGCTTAGTATAGAATAAATCTTATTTATTTTATTGTATTTTTTTTTGTATTGTTTATTTTTATGATAGTATATATATATATGTTTGAATAGATGATGATGGTCATCAAGATTGATTTTCATATCCTTTTATATATTTATGACCTTCTATTACAATAAAGAAAATAGGATCATTTTATGTGTGACAAGTCTTTGATCAATGACGACATGTAGGGAGGACACGGATAAAAAGATGATTCCATCATAAAAGATCAATATCTACCACGTTGAAAATAGACATATGCAGTGAACGATAGGGTGGGTTTATGGATTGGATTCATTGAGCAGTAACAAGAAGAAGAACTGAGTATAAAAATGGTTTTTTTTTTTCACAAAAAAAAAAAAAGGCTATACTCATTCAAATCATGAAACAATCATCATTGGCAAACTAAGTCCAAAAAAAAAGAAGAAGAAGACATCTTCCAGAAAAGGAAAATGGATTGACTTCTTTTTTAGCTAGATAGATAAGTAAAGATAATGAAAAAAAGGGGCTGATTTGAAGAGAAGATCAGAAATCAATTTATTTTTTTTAAAAAAAAATAGAAGGATGAATGACGGTGAAGGGGTATACAATGCATCAAGCTATAATAATAATAAAAAAAAAAGGTCTATATAGGTAGAATCTCTATGTCTAGGAAAAATCCGCCCAAGCATCAGGTTGAAGAACACGAGACAAACGATATTTGACGCCAAGATAACTTAAATAGTTACTGCGAGGAAAGACCCTGACCCTTTTCACCCCAGGGAAAAGAGAATCACTAATGTCGACAAAGGTGCCATCCACTGATAGTGTTTGCTCCAACTTGGTTTGGTTGATAAGATCAAATGGTTGCCAGCGTTCATCTTTAAACACAAGCCAGGTATAATACAAGGATGGTCGATGGGAAGGATATCGGTAAGGTTGTTGATAATAATGAGAATCCATCGGAAATATAGAATATTACTTTGCTGGGAGAATCATCCTTCCAAGAAGAAAAAGAAAAAGAAAAAGAAAAGAAAAAAAAAACTTTTTTTTTTTTACTCTCTCTCTCTCATGATACGGGTGTTTAAATACCCTCTTCCTATTTTTTTTTTCTCTGTTACACTCATGACGAGCATATCATGGGGTGTAGCTTTTCTTTTGTATCACTTTAGTTAGTTCTGTCCTACTTGAGCAAAAAAATCTCGTTCCGGTTCATCAACGTAAAAAAAAAAAAAAAAAAAAAAAAAAGAGAAAGAGATGGTTTACATGACATGGTGTAATAAACATAGATCATATTAACATGATTCACTTGATCATTTTATAAAATATCAGTTTTCAAATGGTAACTAAATATAAAAGTGGTTTTATTCTATCTGTCAAAAATGTAAGCATCTCTCTTTTTTTTTTTTTTTCAATGTTGTGCCGCACCCGAAAAAAAAAATAAAGTTTGCACACTTGAACAATGATCATAACAAATGGAAAAGAGTTGTAAAAATGTTTTATTGGTTATTTTTCAAACAAGTGAGACTAAGTAAAATAAAATAAAATAAAAAGAAATGGTATGCACAAAAGAGTGAGTGTTGTGAAAAAGAGAGAATAAAAAAAAAGTCTATAAATGAGTGGGGGATGATGTTGTACTAGTTGGTGTCGTTTGATCCAAATTATGTAGTTGTTTTCCAATCATATACGTATCGTCTCGAATAGATTTCACCCAAAACTTGATCAATTTGGTTGTCACATAACAGATAAAACCAGTGAATAAAGTACAAAACACGATAGGATACATCCATCGCACTAGTATCAACATTCTTGATGCATCATCTATTTTTGGTACATTAAACGAATAATAAAAAAAAAAAGATGAGTACGACATTCAATAATTAAGATGATTCACCATTTTATATATATATATATATATATACATACCTAACCATTGTACACACCCCCAGGCCAATATACCGGGTATGGTAATTGCTAAGATGGTTCCTAATATAACTGGCCCAACAAAAGATCTTGTGACCACCCACGACGACATGTTTGCAAGCCCGCCATTCCCAATAAGTCGGTTGAAATAATGTTGCCATCGATTGTTGGGTAAAACTTGAATCACTCCATAAATGATGCTACAATAAGCAATACCAAATACCCAATCCTACAATAAATTATCCATTAATACTATTATTATTATCAACTTCTTTTTTTTTTTTAAAAAAAAAAAAAACAAAAAAAAAAAACTTACTTCCGATAGATGTAACACCATAGGTTGATCATCATGAATAGAGTAACGTAAAGGCATAAACAAGTATAAATCAACCATGACACCCAATAACAGTGGTACAATAAACCCAAGAGTGGTTGCCAGATATAATACCTTTCCACACTATCATTAATAGAATTTTTAAGTTATCGTAATCTATTTCCCGCTCTTTCTACCCCACATGTTGTACATTCATCAAAGTCTTACCAATTGTAACTTTTCTTTTGTCCATTCCAATATTTCGGTTGATGTCGCACTTCCATCTTGCCAAGCTTGATATTTATTCATTGTCCAATCGATTGCAAGACCCAAACTAACCATAACATATGCTCCCGTGGCAAAACTATATACATCATGTACTGCTTTTTCCGTGACAAATGCCTTAAAAAGGTAACGTCCAAGACAAACTAGTACAAAAAAAAAAAATAAAATGAATATGATTTTTTTTTTAAAAAAAAAAGGAACAATGATAATATAAAGAATTTTCATAATTACCTGGTACGACCGTCAAAGTACAAGTGAGAAATGAACTTGATAACCACATGAGCACAATAAATACGATAAGCTAAAAACATAAATACAGAAAAAAAATGAATACATATATATATATATTACTATTTATTCCTCTTTCCCTTTGTTTATGCCTTCCCAATGATATTTTTCATATACATACCCTTGATTTAAAATGAGGAGGAGCATAAACAATAATCGTACTCAAATCTTCATCACCAGATTGTGAAGCAGCAGGATGACCTAATCTTCGTTCTTCTTCATCTATTGCTTCCAAAGTCACAGGATCGACAGGAACAAGCATTCGTCGACGTGGTATCACAGGCACTGTATCCAATTTAGGTACTCGAAGCAGTTGACCATTGCGTTGGAAAGTGACAGCTGCTTGAGTATGTTGCTGCGAATATTGATCACCATTTTGCGTAATACCCACATCACCATACACATGATCATCGTCATTACCAGAAGGAATGGTAGCCACCTGTTGTCGTAATAACCATGCTTTGAAAGTGTGTCGTACATGACTACCTTCTTCTTCTGGATATCGTCCATCAAACATAAATGACGTCAATCGAAGTTGTCGACTAGTCCATCGCCACCAGCTGTCCAATATATATTTGGCATATTCACGAGGTTCAAGATATGAAATCAATGGTGATAATAGGAATTGTACCGCAAGTAAATCCAAGGATAATGTTGAGAATGGTGTGCTATTAAAATGAAATGAGTTAGTTAATAACAAATATATATATATAGGTTACTTACTCCAATGGGACAAAAAGAGGAAAAGCATCAGTCATGTAATCCAAAGTATAGACAACAGTTCCAATAGCAGCCGTAATCAAACCAGCATACATCATTGCACTATGAGCAATCTTTTGAAGTAATGGTAACGTAGGACGTTCAATCATTTCACGAATAGGATGAAATTGAGGATCATTGGGATCACGGATAAACCAGATAACACCAGGTCGGACAACTTCTCTACATAAAGCAACAAAAACAGCCACACCAAACAAGAAGCCAGTACCAAAGAACCAATGTAAAAAGCACGATGAATAAGGATTGCTTTGATAGAAAGCCCATCGACTGGCCACCGAAGCATCCACAAAAAGAGGTAGCGTACAACCATCAAGTAATACACCACAAGATAGAGGGAAAATCACAAGTTCAATGACAATAAAGAATACTACTTTGAGGAAATCACCTTGTTGTCGAAGAATATCTTGAACAGTATCACCATGCTGTCCAGCACCTCGTCGTACATTATTGTTATTGTTGAAAAGATGATTGTTTCCACGTTGTTGTTGGCGACGTTGTGAAGGAGCTCGACCGAGATACCAAGATCCAATCAAGACAAGTACGAGATATCCTACAAGAATACAAATCGTTCGATCCAATCCGCTTTGTCCAATTGCAAATTGTTGCCAGCGTTTTAATAAATTGTCGCCCATTGATTCGATTGCTTGTTGTAAATTTGTCCATTGCAATGTAGTGTCTAATGTTGTCATGTTGGTGTAGCCTTGTGTTTTGGTGGTATTTGCTGTTGTTATTCCTACTACTAGATCATCAACAGTAGTTGAAGTACCAGAAGGTAATAAAAAGTCATCCAGTATAGTATGAAGTCGGGTCATTAAAGTATTAGTCGCCAACAGGATGGAATCAGGTACAAATGTATTGAACGTTAATTTAGTTGTCAGCCAAGTCCAAACCAAAGGAATACCACGATCAAGTATAAAGTCTACCAAAGGATCAGTCAAAAGTCGCATAACAGATATAGGTGTTTGAATAAAACTCATGGGTTTGATCTATAGAAAAAAAAAAAACAATAAAAAATTAATTTCATTCTTCTTTTTTTATATTTTTTTTTTATTTTTACCGAAATAACTAATCTTCCTACAACATATGGGATCCAAACAGCAACACCCAGACATAAACTGACCATCAGAGACATAAGCACAGAATTTTGTAGGAGCATCCAAGGATTACCACGCATACCTACAGCCTCTAATACACCATCGATATCATCACCAAAATCAAAAGGTTCCATTTCATCATCACCTCCTTCATCATTTTCATTTTCTTCCACAATAGCAGCAGCAGCAGGAGGAGGAGGAGGAGGAGGAGCAGGAGCAGGAGCGGGAGCAGTAGGTGGATTCATAGTACCATTGTAGAGTGATGTTGTGTGTTGTTCTTCTTCATCGTCGTCTTCTTCAGAGAATTCAGGAGCTCTCCAACGTCGTCGATAAATGTTTTCATCAGAATCGTGTTCATCATACCAATTGGCAATCACTGCATCCCTTGTAAATGTATTCATATGACTGTGATTATCATTATCATCATCATTATTATGGTTGTGTTGGTGATGGTCGAGTTCCAAATCTTGATCATTATCATGTTTGATTGAAGTAGTATCCCGTTGTTTCCCATTGCCGATATGATGATTAGAGGAAGAAGAAGAAGAAGGTAGTAGCTGGCGACTGGATAAATTATCATCATCATCATCATCATCAAGTAACCAAGATGGGAGTGTATTTCTTTCTTCATAAGTAGTATTGTGAGGTGTTGATGATCCAGTTTGTTGTTCATCTGTCAAATTTCGTTTTTGTTCCAAGACTCTTCGCATTTCGGCCAATCGAGCATGTAATTCATTTCGTTCAGCTTCTATATCATTGTTGGGAGTATTGATATTTTGAATTGCATGAAGTAAAGTATCGATAGCGACCTGTTGTTGTTCTCGTAATTGATCTTCGTTATCTTCATTAGGAGTATCTTGTCGTTCATTGAAATTATGTTGTTGATTACCCAAATGTTCTTCATCTTCTTGAGGCTCTTCTTCAACAGGTAGATTTTGCATAGCCCATTCCCGAAACAAGTAAGCAGCGATAAAAATCACAATGACGAATGCAGTGATTACTTGACCTTCAAAACAATCCGATAAAAAAGATCTATTATATATATATAATATGTTAAATCTGTCAACTATAAATAATAATAATATTATATTACCTCCATTGGAATACAACAGGAAATGTCATCAAATTGAGAAGTCGAGCGAATAGTGAAATAGGAACAGAAGAGTAAGTAGTATCATGAGAGTCATCAGGTAACGTGACGTTTTTGGTAGTATTGGTGAAGAATCCAATAGTTTCACCACTCCAGAAATAAAAGCGCCAAGTACATAATGTTGAATAAGGAAGAATAACAAGCCAAACAATAGCAACTATTATAGCACGTAGTAAAGTTTTCAAATAATATACTAAACGTTTGAGACATTGTCGAACAAAAACAGTCAGAGGTAGTCGATCAGGCATATCAGAGCGATAGATGGGTGTAAATGTAAAAGGATATTCACAAAGTTCACAATATCTAAAATAAAAACAATAAAATAAAAAGTAATATTTAGATTATCAAATAATAATAATAATAATAATAATGATAAATACTTACTTTTTCCTACTATGTGATAACCATTCGATCAAACTATATATATATATATATATAATGATGAGTTTAATATTGATTTCTTTTTCTTTTTTTTTTTTTTTCTTTGACAAGTTTTATTACCAATCTTGGTGTACAAAACGAATGCTTCCCGAACACTTGCATGGATGAAACAATGGATGATCAGGAGTAGACTCTGATCGACAGACTCTGCAAATAGCTAAATAAATAAAATAATAATAAGAAGAAAGTTGAAGTCAATTCAAAGAAAACTTTTTATAAAAAAAAGTATTATTTACCTTCGTCTTCCATTGTTTAAAATCCCAATAATGTATTTAAAACAAAATAAAAAAAATAGGAAGAAATGTTAAATATAAATAAAGAATAAAGAAGATATCGTTTATCTTTAAAAAATAATAATAATAATAGTAATAATAATAAAAAAGAGGTAAACAAAAGAAATAAAAAGAAGGAAATAGAATAAAGAAAGTCAGAGCCAAAAAAAAAAAAAAAAAAAAAAAAACAAGCTGACCTATTTTCAATGTCCGTATAGTGCGAGGCAACCTGAACTACAAGCATATCTAAAACTTTAATTATTTTTTCTTTTCTAGTCCATCCCCCCCTATATATATAATAAGAGGTTTGTATTACACTACACAAAAAGTCAGTAATTCCTCTCCATCAACTGATTAAAACCTGTCTATTTTTTTTCTTTTTTTTTTTTTTTTATTTGTTCCACAGCTTGTTACATTCTCATCTTAAGGATTCTTTTTTTTTTTCTTTTCCTTTCTTTTTTTTTCTTTTTCTTTTTCTTTCTTTTTTTTCTTTCTTCTTCTTTTTATTCACTTTATGTCTTCTTATAGTCTTGATTCTTATTCTCAACAAACTAGACGATGTTCTAATCGAGATGATATTACTGATTCATATTTTGATGATGATTTTTCAATGGATGAAAATAGTAGTCTGTCTAGTTATGCTACTACGTCAGGGAGTACTACCATTCAATATCAAAACGTCAGCCATCAAAAGTAAGTTGTATCATATATAGATACATCTGTATTTATCAATATCGTTTTTTTTTATTTTATTTTATTGTATGGATGACCATTAGAAAATCAGATCCAGCATATGAACTTTTTGAAACTATGAACTATTATAACGATACAGATATTGACATGATAGGTTGGTTTTTTTTTTTTTGTTAATGCAGGGACTCATTTTTTTTTTTTTTTCGTAACAAGATCAAGAAGTCAGTCATCGAAATCGTGAAGCATTAATACAACAATTATATACATCAGAATCTACTTACCTTCAATCAATTGAACTTATCATGAAGTTATTTTTTAATCCTTTAAGGACTGATTTACCTCAATCCCCGACATCATCTCCCTCTTCTTCTTCATCACCATCATCATCTTCCTTTTTAGGTGGATCACGCAAACCTATTTGTACTCAGCGCGAGTTACAATGGTTATTTTGTAATATGGATGAAATCTATCAACTTCACAAAACCATTCTTAAAGCCCTAGAACAGAGGTAAATCAATCTCATCAAGCAATTCAACATATGAAAAGAACATATAGCTCATAAAATCCCTTTTTTAGGCTGAGTACCTTCGGCCCGAATCAATTGATCGGCGACATTCTCCATGATACCGTAATGCTCTTCCATTTACTAAGCCTTTAGCATACTGATGACTCCTTTTTTTTTTTTCTTTTTTTAAAAAAATAATAATAATTAGATATTCAATTCATTGGGAAGATGTTATGGAAATTATTTGGATAACTATCATATTACTGTCACAACCTATGATCGCCTATCCTCATATGGTCCCTTCAAAAAATTCATCGAGGTAAAAAAAAAGAAAAAAGAAAAGAAAGTCTCTCATTTTTTTTTTTCTAGTCAGTCCATAAGAATCCATTGTTAAAAGGCGCTACTCTTTTATCTTTATTACAAATCCCATCAAGTTGTATCAATCGTTATACCCAAATATTCACTAGGATTGCTGATGTTACTTATATATTGCATCCAGAGTATACCACCTTACAATCGCTTAAACAATCCATCCTTGGCCTAAATGAAGAAATAAGACCATTGTAAGTAAACTTTCTCTCATTATCATACATGATCAAGTATTTAAAAAAAAATCGATCTGCTCATATTACTTTCCTTTTTTTTTTTTTTTTTGTTGATGATAATTTATGATCTGATTATTTTTTTTTTTTTTTTTTGGTGATGATGACTCATTTGACGATGGTGATGATTTGTATGAAAATGATCTGTATGATGACTTGTATGATGATTTAGAATTGAAAATGCAGATAATGTGGACCAGGTACTTTTGATTCATCAAGCGTTAGTTGATGCACCGTTCAGAATACACGCGGATCGACGATTGATCCTGCAAGGCGAGCTCACGAGAATTAACAGTGTACAGCGACGGAGCAATAATTTCAATATGGATGGATTGAAAAAGTCGCCAAAAATAAAGAGGACGTTCATCCTGTTCTCTGACATGTTGATGATTGTTCAAGCCAAGCCAGGGCCCAAGCGTACCGTGTTGCAATACAAAGGTCATGTCTCACTGGAAAGTGCAAGAGTCCGTGCCTTACCACGATATGAATGTGGTAAAGATCATTGTATCGAATTGATCTCTAGCTATAGTGGTGTTGATACTATGCATACCACCGTCGTAAGCTCATCTCGAAGCCTGGTACTACAAACTAAAAATGCAGACGAGCAAGAAGAATGGGTGTACCATTTGTCATCCGTCATCGCCGATTTAGGAAGGTCAGCCGCAAAAGGTAAAAAAAAAAAAAAAAAAAAAAGTGTCCTACGTTACAGACAATTAATAAAATGTTTATCCACATGTGATGCCATACCATTCTATTATTGCCTTTTTAGCTTCTAGGACGCGATTATTACAGGAACAAAAAGCAAGGTCCATAAAAATAGATAAATCAAAGAGTGTTATGAATAGTGGTGATAGTTTATTTGACAAAATACTTTGAATCACTTTTTTTTTTATTTAATATATAAAAGACTGTAGAGCTTTTCGAACTTGTGATTTTATTTGTTTGACTGATGATGAATGTATGATATGTGGTGATGATTATAATATGTGATGATTATAATATGTGATGATTATAATATGTGATGATTATAATATGTGATGATTATAATATGCGATGATGGATGATAGTTGATGATTGAGTTGACGGTTGACGTACCTATGAAATTTTCATATAAAAATTGATAGCAACATATTCCTATGACGATGGCTGTTGATGATGACTGAAAATGGTTGAGACAATGATAACGACAATAATCAACATGTTGATTTCTGATGTACAGCCAATCTAGTTGTTCCAAATGTAAAAAATGCAATGTATTTTATTCCTATTATATAAAATAAAGATATACATATTCATCCAACTAATCTAAACCAGACTGTATAAAACTACGCTAAACTTTGTCAAGAAGAATAACAAACATCTAGGCATTCCTTATTCCATGTGTCCAATATGTCTAACGTTGATAGTTCCAGCATCATTCAAAGTCTTCCAACAAAAAAAAAAGTTGATCCTTCATTCATCGTATTGATAGCAATCCTCTTTTGTTTGATAAATCAGACCCCTATAATTAATCACGTAAGACTCGATGTGATTTTAAACATGTGTATACCCAATTCCTTACCTTTTCACGAGACGATCCAAAGCCGGTTTCACCATTGTTGTCTATACAGAAAGAAGGTCATGTCAGTCATACTCATATATCATAATTCCTATGTTCTTCTATTGTATACTTACATTCATTGCAAAATTGACCTTTGAATGTTTCGCTATCTTAATGATTTCATCTAGTTCCATCACCTTTTGAGTTCTATTTGCCTTCAGAATTCTGATTGTAATAGCTTCAACCTAATCATACATAAATATATATATATATATATATTCAGTTTGTACATTCGATTATTCGATATTTTTTTTTCTTTCTCTGTATTTTGCCTGACTTGCCTTTTCTTCCATTCCAAATAGAATATGTCTAGGGATATGTTTGGTATCAGTGTGTAATAGCTCAGGTATATCACGTAAATCAGGATTGGTTCGAATAGTGCTGATAGGGTAATTAGAATTCCATCTGTATAATACACCCTGAGTATTCGGCGAAAGATTGGTTGATTGTTGTTTTTCTGCCAATAGGAGCGGTGCTTCATTATCACATAACTTGTCCAGGGCATTCTTGACTTGTTCTTCACCTATAATGAAAAACAAATACATTGTGAGTATGATGACACAATGATGTGCTTTCAATTTTCTTCCTTGTTCTGTTATAACTTACTAATATTGGTAAGCCTAATGATCTCTGAAGAAGACAAGTAGGTGCGATCAGTATCATTGAATAACAAGAGGATCATCGCTTGAAGTTGTGAAGTTGATAGTTGAACACTACATTGGGGGTATGAAGCTTCCAAAATACATGTTCCCAATAAGGGCAGCCACGTCAGTTTTCGACCAGGTTGTTCTTTTTCATAGAGTTTCGCATATTGACGTTGATAAACCAGCATCTTTTAAAAAAAAAGCAATATATCAGATGTTAGCAACTGTTATCTATCTATTCCCTACATGTTTGACATTTCTTTATTTAGATTTACCTCCGTCGATAGTTTGACTTCTAATTCCAATTGGGGTAGTGACCAGCTGTCACTTGATAATATCTTGACATTCCAATTACGAATTGAAGGTAGTACGATGTGATGCTAATGAAAATAATAGTTGGTAAATAAAAGATTCAAAGAAGTTACTCGGCATTTTCAACTTGATAAGCATGATTTTTTTTTTTTTTTTTTTTACCTTGAACCGTTCATTTCGTTCTTTCGATTGTTGTATATCCTTGATCATCACATAAAGGTCGCTAACAAAATCATTTCCACATTCTATCATTTAAAAATACAAAAAAAAAAAATCAGAGTCTATTTGGCATAAATAGCATTAGATTTGCATTGCCATGTAATAACCTTTTACTTACCTGATTTTAAAACGTCAATCATAAATAGATCCTTCGTAATCGTCTCTTGATCTGGGTTCATCAATAAACGTTTTGCCAAGTAGGTCTTATGGTAATATTTGAATAATTCTTTGTCTGTATACAAAAAAAAAAAAAAAAATTGAGGATACTTTTATCAAGATCTATTTCGTTTCATACCTTCCAAACTTCCAAATAGATCAACAGCACGGGCCAAAGCTTGAGTTTCAGGTTCCTTTGTTATAATGGATTGTAACTAAACAAACATCAGAAAAAATAATTCGATTATACATACTTATACTCTTCTTTTTCCTATTTGCTTACAGGTATAGATTCCAATGTTTTATTCAGATAAGTTGCAAACTGTTGAGCCGAAGAGGAATAATAACTATTGATGAGAGTCTCCAAACTATCTTTCAAAGTATGTTTGAAACTTGCATCTCCACAGAAGCACCATTCAACGATCCTTTCCATTTTTGCTTTAAAATCCAGTAGTGTATTCACAAATGAGACTGCCTGAGCCTCTTCGCCAATGACTGTAGATTGATATGTGGAAAAAGATATTTAGTCTACAAGCCATACATTCGCAATATAGTATTACCTCCTTTTTCTACAGGTTCGATGGAGCAAAGTTTATTGCCGTTTACCTATGTATAAGAGAATCTAAGTATGAATTAAATCTGCCTTTTTTTTTTTAAAAAAAAAGATTTACCATTAGATATGTTTCAAATGCTGCTTGAATTTTGGATACTTCATCAAACTGTTTGATCATATGATAAAGAGCCTTGAGTGTGATGCCACGATTCTCGGATATCAATAAACCAAAGACTGTAAGAAAAAAAAAAAAACGAATAAGTAAAAGATATAAAGTCACATATATATACGCAATCTATATGCATATTTAAATCTTACGTTCTTTCAATATACGATCCAGATGTTTCAATAAGACTTCATCGATGGCGATATGGGTAGTTGAATTGATGATCTTCAAAGGAAGAGCTGCATAGTCCTTCATACATTCGGCTTCCGTGAGGATCAACCTGACGGCGTAAATCACGAAATCATACATTCCCAAAGCATTCAATCCCGCTTCTGATCGACATTGGTAATACTGTCGTGTACTTGTTTCCAGTTCTTCTTCGAGATCAGTCTTAAATATCGTTAATTCGTCGTATATAAATTGTATGATGGATTGAACTAGTTGTCGGTTCATCGACTGTCGGTTCCTTTACAAAATAGAAAAATACCTTATAAGAAGGCATGACATTTGCTTTGATCTCGTATCTTTTTTTTTTTTTGTATTACCTTTGACATGCTATCATATAAGTAATGGTACTAATAGTTCGGTTCTTGATCACAGGGTATTTTGATATTGTGTCCAAGTAGATTTGTTTTCCTATTTGTCTGAAATATAAAAATAAGAATAATAAGAATATGCTTCATTTCCATTTTTTTCATCATTTTCCTTACATGATGGAGGACATCTTTGTATGCTTGATGATATAATAATGATTGAGTGTACTAAGCACATTGTTCAGTAAAGCCTAAAAAACAAAAACAAAAAAAAAACAAACATCAGTATACCTAATAATGTCATCTTTATTTTATTTGTGTCCTCTCATTTATATATTACCAGTTTTGTAAGATATCGATTCCATTCCGAAAGCACTAGTGATAAAAAGTCGATGGATTTCGTCGCTTCACTATCCATTCAATAATAACAATAACAATAATAATAATAATTAGAAAATGAATTGAATATACATATATATATTTCATAGTTTACTTGCTGATCTGGTAACATATTTTGTCAGTGGTATTCTTCAACGCTTCGCATGTAACATCATACAAAACTTTCGGATCACCATATTCGCATACATAACTTGAGATCTAAAAAAAGAAAGAAAACGAAATTGAATTGAAGTGTTATTTTCAGTTTTTCTTAGGAGTCATTTACATACTTCATATAGGTGTTGTTTTGCTGATACCATATTATAATCCTCCAGAATCTGATTGATAAAAGAAGCACATACCGTTGGATAGTTGGGTATCATCTCTGATATGGAAGGAGTGTTATTTTGGATTTGTGCGCCTAAGAAGGTAGAAGTCATTAGTTCACGTTTGGTTAAGCCTCTCTAGTTCCTTACCGGTTTTGCTTGTAATGGTAATAACAGGTGAAGATTTTTTGGTTGAGTAGATGGGAAGACGTGATTTGGTATTTGGTGTAAGCATATCTAGATGAATTCGTTGGTCAATGTCCATTATAGTCCATTTATCGTTACTGTCGTCCTCTTCAATCACCAGTTTCTCTAAGGGTAGATCTTTTGAATCTTCTATTTTGAATGCTGATCCGATTGTCCGTTTCTTTCCAAGGTTGGTCGATCCTTCTGCTTCCTGTTGTATATCCATTGGAATTGTCAAATATTGTTGTTGTTGTTGTTGTTGTTGTTGTTGATCGTATTGTTGCATATTTGTAGTTTCCATGTGACCCTGGTTGTCTGTTTTCGAAAGTGTCGCAAAAGAAAGTGTAGTTTGACGAAAGACAGGAACGTTGGTGTTCGATGAAGACTTACTTATGCCTGGTTTTAGTCCTATATATGGTTTGAATATCCCCTGTTCTAAAAAAAAAAAAAAAAAAAAAAAAAAGCCAGTAATAAATGGACAAAGTGGAAAAAAAGTATTCAATTTAGTGGTAGGTTAAAATGAATAGGTAAGACATGTTTCAGGTTCCACTATCACGCCATGACAAACAAGACAAAAAAAAAAAAACCTTGTCATGTACTGTTCTCCAAGAATGTAGGATAAGATTCTTACCTATTTTCTTTTTATTCTTGGTCATGATGGATTGTACAGGAAAAAGAGAAGAAAAAAAAAGTGTAAACGCGAAAGATCTCGAAAATCCTGAACGTTAAATCCTCCAAAATGGCGACGGCGTTTAAAAACCACAAAAATTGAGTGAAGTGGTCATAGATGATGGACTCAATGAATTCAGTATAAGAAGATATGTTTTAAGTTAATCACAATAAACTATGTATGATCATCATTTAAAAGTAAATACACAATCATTCACTATTGTATACAAAGAGATATCAAACATCAAGATTTGTAAAAAAAAAAAAAAAAAAAAAAAAAAAGGTACACACATAAAAACAAATATTTGTAATTCATTTTTCTTTATTTCATCAAAGACAATGAATGTAAAACTAATCTTTCAATAAAGTGATACCACGGAAGAAGATAAATCAGTATACAAAAAAAAATTGTAGATTGATCTATTGTTGGTAAGACCAGACATTCTTCAAGTCTATAGAAAATCAAAATATACACATAAAAAAAATAAAGGAAAAGGTGAATTAATTCATCCATTTCGTAAATATATCCACTCTTTAAGTACAAAAAAAAATATTTCCACCTTTCCCACCACATATATGCGTTTTCTTTTTTTCCTAACTACTTACAGCCATCTTGAGTGGCGAGACGGTTGATGGAGTCATCAGCTTCGGCTTCCTTACGGACGAAACCACAGAGGGCATAGGTAGAGAAAGAGTTGGTGGCACGACCTTCAGCATCTACATCAGCAACGTTCAATTGGATAGAAGCGTGGTCATGGGCAACAATCAAACGATTGGTAGCGGAACTATCATGTCGTGTAAAGAAATAAAGATAAGTATAAATAGAATAGAAAAAAAACAAGTTACAAAATATGATTCAACATACCACTTGCGAGGAATGTAGATATCAACGAGTCTGCCTTCAGAGTTTTCCATTGCGTAAATATAACAAAAGTAAGAGAAAGAAGAAAAGGGATGTTTTTTTTTTTCTTACTGATGTTAAAAAAAATCAACAGTGAAGAAAAAAAAGCCACAATTCTCAAAAAGGCAATCACCTACGCTGGTGCTAAAATTGGGATAACATAGAGAGGGTGAAAAGTTCTCTCTTTGGTTTGACTGAGTAAGTTGATTGTTATTTTTATCATATTTTCCCTAATATCTTTCCAAAGGACACAACTGGGAATATAAAGGCAAGATGTAAACGATATAGTGTAATAATATATATTAGCTTTTTGTTCGCGTATGAATATTAGATTTGAAGGTTTTTCTCTCCAAATGTTTCTGCGTTCCAAATGAACGGGCATTGAATTGATCACTCTGCCTTAGTTCACCTTTTTTTTTTTTCTTTTTCTTCCTCTTTGTTCCTCACTTTTTTGACTCTCTTTATATAGTTTTTCAAAAGATGGTAAATGATAAACTTCCTTCTTATTTACCATATTTAAACTGAAAATAAAATCTTATTTTTTTTATCTTAGGCTGATCAATATGACTGTGCACTTGACTTGATGAGACGCCTTCCTCCTCAAAATGTTGAAGAAAATTTATCAAAACTATTGGACTTGGTTCATCCTGACTTGATTGATGACTTACTTTCTGGTATTGACCAACCTTTAAAAGTGAAACGCTGTGTTCAAACTGGAAAGGATTATCTTATTTGTGATTATAACCGAGATGGCGACTCTTATAGGTAAAAAAAAAAAAAAAAAAAATAGAAAAGATATTTTTAAATTTTTTCAGATGATAACCATTCTATATTATTATGCTTACATTATATTGACTTTACGCGTATATAAATTGATGTATTTTATTTAGATCACCTTGGAGTAATGAATATGACCCACAACTACCAGATGGTGCCGTACCTTCTCCTACTTTACGCAAGCTAGAAATAGCAGCCAATGAAGCTTTTGATACCTATCGCGAACTGTACTATGAAGGTGGTGTTTCGTCTGTATATACCTTTGATATCGATGATAAATTTGCTGTGGTAGTCTTGATTAAAAAAGGTAATCATTATCAACAAAAAGAGAGGTTGGACTCAATTAACTTTTTTTTTTTTATTTTATTCTTCTTTCTTAAATATCTCTCTTTGTTAGTGGGTGATGGTGTTCGACGTATGAAAGGTGCTTGGGATTCCATTCATGTATTTGAAGTACAAGAAAGAGGACGTAATGCTCATTATAAATTGACATCAACTGTGTTACTTTATATGATCACCAATAATCAAGAACTGGGAAATATGAATCTAAGTGGCAGCATGACTCGTCAGGTAAAATACTTCAATAAAAATAAAATACAATTATGTCACTGATTTTTTTTTTCTTTTTAATGTTTTCTAGGCAGAACAAGATTTACCTGTGGATGATCCTTCAGCTCATATTGCCAATGTAGGTCGTATGGTGGAAGATATGGAACTCAAGATGAGAAACTCTTTACAAGAAGTTTACTTTGGCAAAACCAAGGATATTGTCAATGACTTACGAAGCTTGGGATCACTGGAAGAAAGTCGACAGCAGGCCAAGATTCAACAAGAACTTGTAGGACGGTTGATGGAACGTAACAATCATTAGGATAGTTTATCCCCACCTCCCTTTCTTTCTCTTTTTAGTCTATTCCCGCACACAGTTTTCTCTCCACCATTACCATTCTCTTCTTCATAATAAATGCTATCACTTGAAATCTTTTTTTTTTTTTGAAATCAATTCTTAATATGAACAAGTGAGTTGAACGAATCTAATGAAAAAAAAGAGTTTTATTCATATGAAAGTAGTATTAGTTTGTGCAAACAATAATAGATGATGATACAGAGAAATTGCTCTATGGCGAATTATTAGGACGGATGTTATGATGGTGGGGTTGATTAGATGGTTTTGTTATGATAATAGGTATACTGTAACCTTGGTTATGATGGTTGCCTTGATAACTACTACGATGTGTATTATGATGACAGATACATATGATATTGGATGTGATGATTGTAATGACAGATGTGAAAGATGATGGTAATAATCAAGAATAACTGATTACAACACCAGTGATTCCAATTCTGATGATTCTTATGGTGCTTATGTTAATGATGTCATATTCTGTAGAACAGAGAAGTATGTTTTTTTTTTGTTTCAATAGCATGCTAATAAGGAAGTTTATCTTGATGAAATGGCTGCTTACAATAATGATGTCAAATGATGAAGATCCAAGGATTTGCTTTGTTCTAACACAGAAAAACCTAAAATGGACAACCCGTTGATATTACCCTGGATTTATCATTTGGAATGTTCCCTTTATCTTTTCTGAAACGTATGCAAGTAAATAATAACTAATACTATTGATGATGCCATATTTTCATTTTTGAATACAGGATTGCTTTGGGAAGCCACCAACCTTCAAAAATCATAGGCTCAGTGATTTCAAACGCCGTACACACACATCACCATACAGCGTGATTGAATGAAAGAAAAAAAAAACACGGCGCGAGTCTCTTTTTTCTTTTCTTTTTTTTTTTTTTTTTCTCTTTTTTGTTATCACACAACTGTCTATATCTATTTATTATGTCGGATCGAAAGCACGTTGATTTTAATTCTATTTATAATGGACTCAAACCAGATACTGGTCGATTTAGGATAGCCTCAAATGGTATAGGATGGAAAGGAGCTGGTGGCGATCCTATTGTTCTTGCACCCGATGATCTACGAAAATTCACATGGATTCGTGTAGCTCGTGGATATCAATTACGTGTTTCCCTCAAAGATAATCAAGTACTCAAATTTGATGGATTCCATTTGGATGTAAGAAACAAACCGTTTTATGATGAAATTGAACCATGTATTGATTCCTTTTTTTTTTTTTGTATTACTTTATGAGTAGGATATGGAAGGTGTGAAGGATGCCATTAGATCTTTTTATAAGAAGGATTTGGAATTGAAGGAACCAAGTGTGAAGGGTTGGAATTGGGGAAAAACCGATTTTCAAGGTAAATAAGGATGCTAACAGAGAATAATAGATGTACATGTACTTAACATATATATGTATATGTATAATGTTTTGATAGGATCTAACTTGACGTTTAATGTATCCAATAAACAATTATTTGAGTTACCTTTGGCTCAAGCTATTGGTGCGAATAAAGCTGGCAAAAATGAAGTATCTATCAACTTTGTAGATCCTGGACAACCTGCACCTGACGGGGTGAATCCCAAGGAAGTGGACGAACTAATGGATGTCACTTTTTATATACCTGGAACAGTGGCAAAAGATAGTGTCAATAATACTGATGATGATGATGATGCCGAAGAAGAAGAAGCCAATGCTGATGCTGTGTTTTATGACAATGTGAAATCAAAACTGGAATTCAGTCAAATGACAACCGAAAACATTGTACAATTTCAAGAAGTTCTCTGTCTCACTCCTCGGTAAGTTTCTTATATTATTATATTGAATATCTTTAATGCAATTTCTCATCCAACATTCATCATTTTTATTTATAGTGGTCGTTACAATATCGATATGTATCAAGACTTTTTACGATTACGGGGTAAAACTTACGATTACAAGATTCTGTATTCCAATATCATCAAGTTGTTTTTGTTGTTGAAACCCGATGAAGTGCATGTTTTATTTGTGGTCAGTATCTGTGGATAAAAAAATAGAGAAAGGAAAAAGAAAAAAAAGAGTTGATCCTAGGGAATAAGTGATGATTACGACAGATGGTTAACACGGTTTTCTTTTTATTGATTTACTTTGGAATAGATCGGATTGGATCCTCCTTTACGTCAAGGGCAAACCAAATATCCATTTTTAGTATTCCAATTTGTACGTGAAGATGAAATTGATGTGGATTTGAATTTGGATGATGCCAAACTGGATGAAAAATACGAAAACAAGCTCCAAAAACATTACGAAGCTCCTACTTATGAAGTGGTTAGTACTATTTTCCGTGCTTTGACAGGTAGAAGGGTAGCAGTGCCTGGTACTTATCGAAGGTAATACCACAAAAAAAAAAAAAAAAGAAGAGAGAAAAAGAAAACAAATCTTGATGATTAAAACTTTGATTCAATGATCATGATCATTATGTTATCTATAGTCATCATGGTGCACATGCTCTTAAATGCTCTATGAAGGCCAACGAAGGTTATTTGTATCCATTGGAAAAGAGTTTTTTGTTTATCCCTAAGCCTACGACATTTATTCCGTTCAATGAAATTGGTGTAGTGAACTTCTCTCGTGTGGGCACTCAATCTGGTGGTAGCTCAAGAACATTTGATATGAAATTCCATATGAAGAGTGGTAGTGATATTCAGTTTTCCAGCATCAATCGAGAAGAATATTCAAGTTTGGAAGACTTTTTACGACAAAAGAACATCAAGGTCAAGAGCGAAAATGTACAAGAAACCATCATGTCTTATGCAGAAATTGATGATGAAGATGAAGAAGAAGATTTAGGTGAAAGCCGCAAGAAACGTAGTCGATTGGAAGTGGATGCTATGGATGAAGAAGATGAAGAAAGTCGTAAGTGGAAAGAAATAATAATAGAAGTGATAATTTATTCTGTTAAATTGATTTTTTTTCCCTCTTTGTTTCTTATAACAGCTGATGAAGATTTTGCTCCCAACGAAAGTGGTAGTGATGTTGCCGAAGAGTATGATTCGGATGTACAAGGTTCCTCGGATGAAGAATCGGATGAAGAATAAGTTAGCGATATTGTATATAGGATGATGTTTATCGTTTGATGTATCCCCTTTCCTCTTTTGATCATATACTTTGTCAATAAAAAAAATGATTATTATTATTATTATTATTATTACCTGTGAGTATTACTTGTTTTATTTTGTATTTTTGAATAGTAGTATGATAATGATGATGATATATTACACCATTAAAAATATTGATTGGATTTATTTCGTAATCAATGACTTGCAATGAATACGTTAAATTGTCAAAAGAACGGGAGTCGAGATCTGATGATATTTCAATATATGGGTTGCCGGAGGATGATACGTTTCCATTTTTATACAGCAAACCAAGAATGATGTAAGGAAGGTTCTTTTTTTTTTTTTTTGTCGTTAAAAAAGTACTCTTATAGATTGAAGCTATATAGATGAAATAGGTTGTTTGTATCTCAGCCAGGATAAGTTTCTATGTTAATTCATTTTGTCCCTTTTTTTTGAGTTTTCTAGGGAATATGAGGTATATGTGGTACGAATTAAATTCAGGGTCATCATTTTGTGTGCGTGTGTGTGTGTGTGTTGAATACAGGGAAAAAAAATCCCTGATTTCCCAAATCGGTAAAAGGAAAGATTTTCACAGAAACGGAATTATGGCTCTGTATATGATCATTTCTGCTCATTTTGTGGTACGCTTGACATAAGCAAAATGGATGATTGTGTAAAGATAAAAAAAAAGTTTTTAAGTATTCTATTCCTTTTGACCGGAATATCGGTGAAGGTACGCTGTGAATAGATGACTATAATATGAGACAAAGAAATAATAGAACTAAAAGAAAAATCCAAAACGTCACTACTGCTACCGACGACGACAAATTGAACTTTATTAATAGTAATGCCGATCATGTCAAGTAATAATCGTCATTTAGTCATGATGACATTTTTTTTTTTTCAATGATGACCCGTTCCATAGCTGAGACCTGTATTAGGACAACAAGTGGGATGATCATCTTATCTTTTCACACACAAAAATTACTTCTTACGAAATTGGCCACGTTTGTGTCAGTATAACCTCCATACAGTATTCATTAATGATCGTACCACAGAACTGCTCAAAATCACCGCTTAATGATGAAACGTCCATTGATTTGTGACACTACATTCAAAAAAGGAAATAAATGCATTTTCATCATGGATTCTCTTTTATGCAACTTGTATTTTTTTTTTGATACTAGACTATGTTCAGTAATCAATAATAATGAGATGATCATATCAATCCATCTCTATGATATACAAAACTTTTTTCATTTTTTATTATTATTCGTTTCACGTTCCTTTTTCTTTACGTAAGAAAAAAAAATAATTAAATAGATTATTGATAGAAGACAGGATTTTTTTTTAAAGTTTTCCAAAAATAATAATGATAATATCATTTAATTTGCCACTTATTACGTTAGATGATCCTCGCGGTGGAAAAGAGAAACCCTAATACTAGTACTAATGAGAACAGGGTCCAGCCAAAGGGTGGATAATATGAATAGAATTTACCTTGTTCCTATTTTGGCTGCTGGCTTTGAAATCCAAAAAGAGTATAAAAATGTAAATCTTTTCAACTTTCTATTTCTTCTCTATCTTCTTTTTACTTCTTTAATATATATAAATATATATATTTAGTTGTTGTCAAATTTATTACCCCCCATAAAACATTCATTATTTATATCCTTCCTTTTAAACAAAAAAAATGATATTTGCCGGTAAACGATTTATTAGTATTGTTACTGCTACTGCTGCTCTTCTTGCCTCTTCTTCTTTTGGTTCGGTTGAAGCTAGTGGTATTCCTAGTAATGCTGTTGTTGAATATTGGGGTCAAGTAAGTTTTTTTTTGTGTAGATGATGATAAAAAATGTATTGATTTTTTTTTTTTCATTGCTGTATAGAATTCTGCTGCTGCTGGTGGAAGTGGCTCTCAACAAAATCTGGCTTACTATTGTGATGGTCAAACAGATGTGCTTGTTATCAGTTTCCTCTATGAATTCAACGTTGGTGGACTTCCAGGTTTGAACTTTGCTAACGCATGTACTACTTCTTTTGATGGAACTACTTTGTTACATTGTCCCGATATCGCTAAAGGTAATGAAAGACGACCAGTTCTTATTTTTTTTCTTTTCTTTTCTGTTCTGTTCTTTTCTTTTTTTTTTTTTAAAAAAAAAAATAACGATTAACACTATCTTTTTTTTTTTTTTTTTTGTTGGAAATGATTTTTTAGATATCAAAACATGTCAATCCAAAGGTGTCAAGATTTTGCTTTCTCTTGGTGGTGCAGCTGGTGCTTATGGATTCAGTTCTGATGCTCAAGCAACTACATTTGCGCAAACACTGTATGATATGTTTGGTGCTGGTACACATAAATATCGTCCGTTTGATGATGCTCAGGTAGATGGATTCGACTTTGATATTGAAGGTGGAGGCTCGACTGGATACGCCACTTTAGCAGATACTCTCAAATCTCTTTCCAACAATCAACTTTTAATTACTGGTGCTCCTCAATGTCCTTTCCCTGATGCCATGCTGGGTGATGCCTTGAATAATGCCTTTTTCGATGCCGTCTTTGTTCAATTCTACAACAATTATTGTACTCCTTCTGGTAGCAACTTCAACTTTGACACTTGGAACAACTGGGCAACAACTACTTCAAAGAACAAGAATGTCAAGGTCTTTTTGGGTCTTCCTGGTTCTCCAACCGCTGCTGGCAGTGGCTATCTCACCTTTAGTCAAATTCAATCAGCTGTACAAAGTGTTCAAAAATACAGTAGCTATGCTGGTGTCATGTTCTGGGGTAAGTGTGGCAATAATCAAAAATAGAAAAAAAGTGTGGGTGGATCTAGAATGAAGAAGAGAGGATCGGTGTTATGTCATGATCATCATCATCGGCATGATTATCATCATCGATGTGACCATCATTCAAAAAGTTATTTCCGTTGTACTCATTCCTTATCTTTTTTTTTTTTTTTTTTTTCATCATCATCTATTTATATAGATGCATCCCAAACTTATAGCAACACTCAAGTCTCACCCAATCTTGCCACTGCTGTAGGAAAATTGGTTCATGGTGGTGCATCTGGTTCTCCAAGCAGTTCGGATACTCCCTCCACTACCTCGGATGCTCCATCAGCTACTCCCACCACTGGTACTACATCGACTTCCTCCAGTAACAAACAATCATCTGCGTCGGCCACAGAATCATCCACTTCAGCTGTACCTTCATCCTCTCCTACAACCAGTCCATCTACATGTGTCAAGACTGGCGACAGTTGTCCTACCAACAATCAATACACCTGTTCCGGCAGCTCGTTTGCAGCATGCGATAATGGCAAGTGGGTGCTGCAAGGATGCCCCAGCGGACTTACGTGCTTCAAGACTACAGATGGATCATCTATCTATTGTGCTCAACCTCTGTCTGGCAAGGTCGATACTTGTTCTGCTTCTTCTGCCTCTCCTGCATCCGCTACTGCTCCCAAGCCTTATACAAATAATCGTGTGCAAGCTCAATTGTCTGTGGTCAGTTCCAATACATCATCATGGTCAGCCGTCATCAATGCCCGTCGTACCGATATCAAGCCATTTGGGTCTCAAGTCGTGGTGGGATTCACCCTTGGTCCTCATATGAATCTGACTTCAGCCGATAACGCAAAGATCTCGCAAAAAGGAAATAAGGTTACTATGCAAGTCAAGAATCCTCATCGAAAATCCATGGATTTGGTCTTCTCTATCAAGGGTTCCATTGATCAAGGCGGTGTCTTTGTCGCTCCTTCTTCCTCTAGTATGACTTTTCAATCCTAAAATGGTATAGATATTCTTCCAGAAAAAAAAAAAGGAACAATGGCGTGATGGTTGGCTTCTCAAATGGTTTGAATAGCTCTCTCTCTCTCTCTCTCTCTCTCTCTCTCTCTCTCTCTCACTCATATTTTTTTATTTTTATTATTAGTTTTATTATTATGATCTGTACATCATCGTCTTTTTTTTTTTTTTTTTTGGTGTTGAGCGTATGATGATTGTTGTATCAGTATAGTTTTATTCTTTATTTATGATTATCCTTTTTCAATATAAAAAAAATAAATAAATAAATACAGTGTTTTCAAAGTTTTTTGTCAGATCACAAGAAAATGCTTTTCGTGATGTTATAAAATAAAAAATCGTACTTCCCCAAAATGAATGTCGCATTACCACTTTTTCAGATATCGCTCTAGAGATGTCGGTAGAGTATGTCATTGATTGATGATTGATGATTGATGACTGATTGTTAGCTGATTCTTTTCAACAGGCCATATTTGGAAAAAAAAAGAACTATATTTTTTATATTGTATCACATAAGATAGGGGTATACTAATGTAATATTCATATCCTGTGATGTTGATGTGAATTTGCATAATAGTTCCTTTTTTTCTTCTTCTGAAATATTTTTGCCGGATTTATTTTATTCCTTGATCAAGTGAGAGATATAAAAAAGTGCAATTTTATTTTTCTTTTTTTTTTCTGTTTCTTTTTTCTCTTTTTTTTCTTTTTTTTTTCTTTTTCTTTTAATTTCTTTATCTATTTTGATATCAATTTTTAAACCAATTTACAAGCATACAAGACCTTCATATCCATCCATACCAAATACAAGTTTTTTTTTCTGGACTGCAACCTTACAAGAATCAAGACGGACCTTTAGGTCTATTTGCTTTTTTTTATATACACTTATTGGACTTCCTTCTTTCTGTGCTTGCATTAATAGTAAGTTTCTTTTAATAACAATGATGATGATACGGTATATTAATCATTCTCTTCTTTTTTTTTTTTTTTTTGAAATTTCTCTTGATTTTTCCAATTTCAAAGCGAATATCAAACTGTAACAGCAACATATAAAAATATGTTATCGCCTCTACGGAGGACGCATTTAATGCTTCTCTACAAGTAAGTTAAAATAAAAAAAATGGATATGTTGACTAAATAATATTTTATTTTCTGTTATTCAAAATACTCAATGGAACGACTACCACTCCTTTTTTTCTTGTTCTTTTTCTTCTTATATTCTCTATTTGGTTATGCGACAACTATCTCGTTTCTTCCCCGTCATTTATTTTCTATCCTTACGATAGTTTATTTCCTACTTTTGCGACATCTTATTCTTTGAATTCCGTCATTTTTTATTGAATAAAGTGTATCTGATTATCTACATAACTTGAAAGAAAATAGTGCACGGACCCTTTTTGATTGCGGTGACACAAGCGATACTATGTGGGGAGGGTAAAATGATATGATTTGACATGAATCCGCACATGTGCTTCAAGTCACCTTGGAACTACACGTGGCTACCATAGTAATGACACATAGAATGGAAGGCTATTATTATTATGATGATACTACTTATTTCTATTCTACAACATGGATACACGGACGATCAAGATTTTTATGACAAAATGAATGAAAATGATATATGATTTTTTTTTCTTTATTGGAAACTTTTTGTAAATAAACAGCGTGTAGAGGGAAAAGGGAGGTGTCGGTAAATATAAAACAAAGATACGCTTGTGTAGTATCATACAAGAAAAATGGTTCAATAAAAAAAAAAAAAGAGGGGGAAAGGATAGTGTGAGGAGTGGGGTGAAAAGAGAGTGTAGTGCGGAGGGATATATTAATATTGGTTCAATCACTACAACAATAATAATAATAGTAATAATAATGATAATAATAATGATAAAAAAAAGACCTTGTATAAAACAGAAGTGTCAACTTGACATGGAGAAAAAAAAAGATATATAGGTAAATATAGTACAAAAGAAGATAAATATGTGCGAGTATATGAGTGTTGTGGAAAGAGAAACCGATTTAGGAGACATGAGTGGTAGATCTTGGAGTAGAGGATCCATGGATATGAGATGTTGGCATTGCAGGACCGTTTTCTACTAGTGGCGTATCAAAAAAAAAAAAAAAAAATGAAGACGATTGATCAGCTTTTACGTTCGGCATGCCATTTATCACAAGTTTGGTAATCATCGTCGTCATCACTTACCTTTGGTGCCATTTGAACCATACATATCGTTATTCATCATATGAGTTGCTGCTGCTTGCTGTGGATTGATTCGATTATTATTATTGCTGCTGTTATTGTTTTGCTGCTGCTGCTTGATATTGATTCCGGCTGATGACGATGATGATGATGGTGGTAACGTATTGTTAACCGAATTTGATGACGATGAGGAAGTCATCGGTGATGGCAAAGATGTATTGGCATTCGTACTTTGCAGTGCAATACGTTGTTGTTGTTGTTGTTGTTGTTGCTGCTGTTGATCCAATTGTTTTTGTTGGGGTTGTCCAGATCTTAAATTTGACATACTATTGAACGGTTGCATAAACGGAAGAGTGATAAGATTTCGGAGATCTGATTCACCCAAAAGTCGTGTTCGATGTTGTAAATGACTATAGCATTATATGTATTAGAGAAAAAAAAATAAAGATCAGTATTTTTTTTTATTACTATTTTTTAATCACTTTGCCTGTTTTTATTTCTTTTACCTTTCATTCATCATGTCATATTCCCAATCAGAATCATCGCTTTCAGAATCCATATCAAATTCATACATGTTTCCTGATATTCCGTTCTTGCCGCCACTTGATACCGTTGGTTGGGATGATTTCGACCGGAAACCAATACGATCAATAAATACTCGACCACCGCGTCCCATTCTTCGTCGATACCGAGGTCCACCGGATGTATGATGTATTGATGACTGCTTGATATTGTTGTTTTTATCATTTGGTGATGATAATGAGAGTTGTTGGTAGAATAAGGATGATAATGGTTTGGGAAACGGCTGGTAAGGATACTATTAGTAAAAATAAAAAAAAATGAGTATAGTCGAATATATAATTCCTTTTTGATAATCTAAACTTACTTCTGTAACATCTTCATATAAAGCGTCACGTTCTCGTTTTCGTGATAGTTCGGCTTCAATTTGTAATTGTAATGGTGATTTTTCGAATTTTTCACTGGCATCGCGTTTGAGTCGTGAGAGGGGTATTTTGATGGTAGTTCTAAATATACAAAATAAATAATTAGTTAATCTTTTCAAAATGATGAATATGATGACCAAAAGACTTACCCAGATCCAGATTCAGCTGAAGACACCTTGCGTTTCTTTTTTGATAATAATATTTGATTGAAATCTTCATCTTCTTTGATATCCAATATACGTTGACATTCACGGGCACGACATGTTTTATCGAATACTGCATGTTCTAATACCAAACCTTCTTTCCGAATCTTTTCTCGTCGTAGCACCATTTCCAATAGATTGCGCGCCATTTCCATTTCTGACCGTAGTTTCCGTAACCTTTCCAATGATTGTTGATCAGTACGTCGAGTTTTTCGTACAGGTTTCGTTTCACGTCGTCGGAAGCAAACATAAGGATCAATTTCATGTTTTAATACATCTTCATAGGCCAAGACAGGAATGATAGATTTACCACCACGTTTAATTCGTCGTTCTTTCCAGTGTTCGTATAGTTGTGGAGATGCTGCCCAGTTGTGAATCATTGAATTGTTGGGAACAAGTAACAAGAAATCTTCATATTCAGGTATGTGAGATACATCCTACAAATATATGAAAAAAAAAACCATAAGATACTTGGTAATTTTAATTTATTTTGAAAAACTAGTACTTACCAAATGAAGATGAGGAAGCTGTTGATTGGTAATGGATTCAAATTCCCACATAAGTTTTTCAAAATCATCTTCAGATAGTGACAATGAATTCTTGTGTTTCTTGTAATAGACGTCATCATCTTCATCCATGACATAAGGACAACCAGTAGTGTCCTCCACTGTAGATGAAAACCGGATCAATGTTGAAGGTTCCTTGTATTTCTTTTTGTAAAGCTTGGAAAATTCTTTAGCGTCAATCACATTGGAAGCATCAGGTGTAGGAATATATGTTTGTACTGTAGCTCCAGTTGTAACTGCCGCTTGTGCTGCAGAGATGGCTGCTTGTAAATCATGCTAAAAGAATCAAAAAAAAAAAAAATTGGTTGAGTCCTAAAAATAGTAACTATTGTCCCGTTCACGTTCCATCAAGATGACCATCTGTCACCATCACTTTCACCGTTGCTTGCGATGACAATCTAAAACTCGATAATATGTCCTTACCTCTTCTTCTTCTTCTTTTTCTACACCAGTTTCAATCTGAGGCACAGCACGTTGAATGATGTTGGCAGGATCCACCAAGTCAGGTAGTTGAGATTCCTTGTAAACAGGTAGCGGATGCTTTGGAGAAAGCTTCTTGACACGGAATCTTGACACCATGTTGGTCATGCTTCAGTTACACGATGATCGGGCAATAATAAAATATAACAATAGAAAGTCACTATAAAGAAAGGGTGATGTAAAATAAAAAAAAAAAAAGTGATGAGTAAGCAAAAGTTCCCGCTGCGCCTTTTTTTTTTTCATTGATTCACTTTTTCTTTTTTTTTTATCTTTTCACTTATTCTCTACATTATACTTACATCTTCGTACTGTGATCGTCTGATGATGTTGCCAATCTGTTGATGGTAGATGTAATTGTTCTTTTTTTTTTTTTGGGAGGAGGCGGATATTTGGTGTGATATTTTGTTTTGAAAATTTTTTTTTTTGTTTTGGTTTCCATTTTCAACAAAAAAGTCGCGCTGTTACAACGTCACGCGGAATATATCGGAGAATCAAGTTGATTGGGTGAGACAATACCAGAAAAAGGGGGTGAAGAATTGAATCTTGACAACAATTATTGATGATTTGTTGTTGTTGAGATACTACTGTGATGTTGTTGATAATGCTGAGAAATGATATAATCTACTTGAGTCCTATCTTGATCAGTGATAAGGATACCATCCATTCTTGTCAGTTTTATACATGCCTTGATAAATAATGCCCTATAAGTCAGACGTCGTTGTAGCCAAGGTAGAGAGAGACTGCGAACATGCTCCATATCCTTTAAGATCCATTCTTCATTATGATCTTCAATAATATATCGATAAGTTTGATTACTACTTGAGTTTTTTCCATTAAGTGGTGAATAATATCTGCATGACACAGGATTTTCCCTATATAAATATATAATATATAAGTCTTTAATCTTGCCCTTGTTTTTTTTTTTTTTTTATCTTACCGGAGATCCAAAAACTGAAGTTTCTCCAATGATTGAAGATGCTTGACAAGATCATTCACGTTTTCCATTTGATTGCCAACTAATATTAGCCTCTGTAAGTAACCAAGTTTTCGTAAAGGTTTGATAGATTCCAAATGATTATAACTAAGATTGAGTACAGAGAGATTTGGCAATTGTTGAGCGAAATCACGAGGTAGTTTCTTCATATGAGCATCACATAGTTCCAGATATTCCAAACCAAAAAAATCTACCATGGTATCAATATGATGTATATGGTTTCCTATGAAAGACAACAATTAAGTTTTTTGGATAATGTTACTAATATAAATTTTACCTGATAAATATAACGTTCGAGTTCCACGCAACTGTTGCAAATGCCAGTCCCTATAGTCAAAAAAAAAAAAAAACAATTTATGAGAAAAGAAATGTAAAAAAAAAAAAAAAAAAAAAGAAAAGTAAATAAATTAGTACTTACATTGGTTGATCACATTGGTCACGAATAGATACATCGGATAATCTTGAAATACAATTAAAGTTAGTGAAGTAAGATATATGATTGTCATCCAAGTAGAGAGTACGCAGGTCGGGAAAGAAGGATCCATCAAAGGTAGAAATTCGATTAAAACATATTCGAAGAACCTTGAGGTATTCCATAGGCTTTGTCAAGTTGAGACTTTGAACTTCATTATGGTCTATAAATAAATAATAAAACAAAAAAAAGAGTTAATATATGTATCAAAACTATTCTTATTTATTAACTTACCAAGATTTAAAGTTTTTAAATGAGAAAGAGCTTCAATAGATTCCAAAATAGTAATACGATTGTAGGAAACATCCAAATTTTCAAGACTTTCTCTGGAACAAGAAGAATAAAAGGAGAGAGGATACGTTAGATAGAAAAGGGAAAAAAAAAAGAAGAGAAAGAAAAAACGAAAAATTTACAGCCGAGTCGAGTCACCGAAATTTAATCTTTGAAGGCGGTTACTGCGGAGGTTTAAAGTGATGAGACCATGCATAAATCCAAATGGAATACAGGATGTCACTTTGTTGTTTTCTGCATGTAAGATTCGTAAATGAATAAGTGATTCGATCCCTATATAAGGTATCATTAATTAAGATATATTTGATAATCATTTGATTTTATTTCACCTTTAAATGAACTAATGGCGTTATTACAAATATCCAAATGTTGTAAATTTATCAAGTTAATAAGACCATCAATCTCTGTAAGTCTATACAAACAAAAAAATAAAATAAAATAAAATAAAAAAGGTTACAGTAAGAATATATATTATATTATTATATTTGATCAAATGATACCTGTTTTTGTTAATGATCAATGTTTGTAGACTGGCGGGTAAGTTATCCAATTGAAAAATCAAATTATCGGTTCTTGAAAACGGATGAAATATTAGCAGACCTTATCATCATCATCATCATCATCACTTTTTTTTTTTTTTTTTTTTTTTTTTTTTTTTTTTACGAACTTACAATACTAAACTTTTCAATCCAGGTAGTATAGTAGAAAGGTTTTTTAATTTTGTCAAATTTTGTCGGCTGAGATTAAGGTGATTGATGGTAAACCATTGATCAACTGGACAAAGAGAAGAGATACGATGAAAAGTTTGATGTAAAGCAACATTGGGGGTTATTATCTTTTCGTTAAAAGTAAATATGTCTCGAAAATGATCCAAGGATAATATTTTATATTGATCTTTTATACTATTGGACGACTTGACAGATAGAATGCTATCATGTGTTATTGATGATGATGTTGATCCCGATGATGATTCTTTTGATGGTAAATTGGTAACTACAGGGTTGCACTGATCGGAGATTTCAGTATGATTATTCTTCATTTTGTTGTTATCAGATGTCAAAAGAGTGATAACGTTCCTGACGCTGTCAAGCATATTTTTTTTCTTCTTTGAATAAAGTAAAAAAATATATATGTAAAGAAATCAATAAAAAAAAAAGTGGTAAATAATCAAAGTAGAATGACCTTTTTTTTATATATTTCATACAGTTGGATGGCCATTGTTTCTTTTTCTTACTTGAATGAATCCCTGATTCACGTGTTCTCTCAATTGTATGGCGGGAGTTGAAAAACAATATCATTCTGTTGGGTCCATTTTTTTTTTCTCGATTTTTCTTTCTTCATTATTATATATTCACCACATGATTCGACGCTTGACTATTTTATATGGCTCAGAAACTGGTTGTGCTTTGGATGTAGCTGAAACTCTTAGTAGGCAAGCAAGACGAAGACGTTTCAAAGTTAGAGTTATCGCTATGGATGACTATGATAGGGTAAAGTACTAAATTCATTTACTCTGTTTTGACATTTTACAAATTAATCAACCCTTTTATTATTATTTTTATTATTATTACAGTCTCAATTAGTAGAAGAAAAATTATTACTCTTCGTATGCTCAACAACTGGACAAGGAGAAGAACCTGCGAACATGAAGGTAAATAGAGCAATCTTCATATTTTTTATTTTTTTTACTGAACTAATTAATTATATATTTTTTCTCTTTAGAAATTCTGGCGTTTCCTTTTGAAGAAAAGCTTATCTCATACTCTTTTGAAAGACATTGATTGTGCTGTTTTTGGCTTGGGTGATTCTTCATATCGCAAGTAAGTGATAATTGATCTTGAAACAGGATATTTGACCTATATAACTGATCATCCACCCTCTTTTTTTTTTTCGTTGTTGATAGATTCAATTATCCTGCAAAGAAACTTTATAGACGCTTAGAGCAACTAGGTGCAAATATGATACAATCAAGAGGTGATGGTGATGATCAACATTACCAAGGGTAAGAGTATATTATATGGAAAAATAAAGTTATTTACTTAATTCCATACTCTGGTTATATATAGATTGGATGGGGCACTTCTTCCTTGGATGGATGGGTTATGGAAGAACGTGATGACCAAATACCCTTTACCTGATACAATGAAATGTATCCCAGATGATGAACTGCTCTCTCCAAGTTTTCGAATGTCTTTTATAGATCAAGTATCAGATCCAACATTATTACAAGAATCTTCCAATATTCCAGGTGAATTTGATATGGAACTGCTTGATAATAAACGTATCACAGCTGCTGATCATTTTCAAGATGTTAGACATATTGCTTTATACAACAGTTCTCCAGAATTCAAGTAAGTAAAAAAAAAAAAGTTTAGATTTCCTTTTACTCAACCATATATGATAACAATAGATACGATCCAGGGGATATTGCGGTCATCACTCCTCAAAACCTTCCTGAAGATGTGGATACCTTTTTGAAACAAATGAAATGGACAGATTTGGCCGATAAATACATTCAATTTGAAGCAACCGATGAAGGTAAGGATGAATTGATATGCTGAACTATTATTAACTAATTTTATGATGTGTTCTGACATAGATAAGCACTTACCTCATCAATGGCCAAAAGTGATTACATTCCGTGATCTTTTTACCAAACATTTGGATATCTTTGGTGTTCCTCGGCGATCCTTCTTTGAAATGCTCTCTTATTTTACAACAAATCAAGATCACGTTGAACGTCTACGTGAATTCATATCACCAGAAGGACAGGTACAAAGGAAAAAAAATCAATTAGGTTAGAACAATGTATTCACATCTTCTTTTGTCTGAATTTAGGATGATATGTGGGCCTATTGTCAACGACCTAGACGGACTATTGCTGAAATTCTGTATGACTTTACACCATTGAATTTACCCTTTGATTATATATTGGATTTGTTTCCTCCTTTACAACCACGATCATTTTCAATTGCGTCCAGTCTCAAGGTAACAAAAAAAAAAAAATTAGTTGTTATCGGTCCGTCATCAGATATATGAGTAACTCTTTTTTTTTTTTTTTTTTTTTTTTTTTTTTGTGGTTTTGACAGGCCCATCCTCACACTATGGAACTTTGTATTGGTATTGTCAAGTACAAAACAATTTTGAAAAAGATTCGACGTGGCATATTAACCAAATGGATATCAACATTGGAACCTGGTCAGGTTATCAAGCGGGTACGCATTGTTAGAGGTACTATGAATTTGCCACCTTCTGAACTGCCTTTACTGGCTATTGGTCCTGGTAAGAAATCAAAAACATATAATGGGAATAAAATAAGTTATACTTATATACTACTTATTATTGCAGGCACTGGTGTAGCACCAATGCGATCCTTTTTAGAAGAACGGATATCTGAAAATGCATACAGTAATTGACTCATAGCTTAGCTAACGCATAGAGTGTTATGGAAACTCATCTTTTCTTTTTTTTTTCTTTTCTTTATTTCTAGATAATGTATTATTCTTTGGTTGTCGATACAAGGACAAGGATTATCATTACAAAGAAGAATGGGAACGTTATGCAAAGGATGGAAAGCTTCAAATATTTCCTGCATTTTCAAGAGATCAGGTACTTTCAAAAGTCGTAAAAAAAAAAAAAAAAAAAAAAAAAACTGAAATGAATAATTTCTTTTTATTGATATTTTATTAGGAAACCAAAGTATATGTTCAAGATCTAATACTTCAACAATCGAGCTTGGTATGGAATATGATTGAAGAACAACAGTGCAAAGTAGTACTCTCTGGATCATCAGGAAAAATGCCAGATCAAGTTGCTTATGCATTGAAAAGGGTTTTTATGGAAGAAGGCGGACTGGATGCAGAACAAGCTGAAGAATACTTTGCTCATATGAACAAAACTGGTCAATACCAAGAAGAATGCTGGACATGAATAATGTGAATATAGATTAGAATATAGACAGTTCATTACATATATATAATTGATACGTTTTCCAGCCAGTCAATAAAAAAAAAAGTTAATATTTATTTAAAAGAGAATTTTTTTTACAATAAAAATAATATAAAACTAGAAACGATAACGAGCACGTTGTATACTAACTAGATATTCCTTTGGAGATGCTGAAGTATCATGGTAACCAATAGGACCAAGGTCACAGTCAGCACAAGATAAGTATTTGACAGTACCAATAGTTTTAGAGAAGCCAACATTATCAAAGTCCATCATATCACCAAGCAACCAAAACCGAGTTTCTTCTTTATCTTTTTCTTGATTCACAGATGCATCACTTGGTAAACAATTTTCTGGTAAGGAGAGCTAAAATAAATAAATAAATAAATAAAACGAATAAACTTGTCATAGTCTATTTAGGTTGTATTACTATTTTACTTTGGTACCATCGCGTTGGACGAGAACAGCGGTGTTTTTCCGTAAAATGACACATTGACAGCCTTCCTTGGGACAAAGTAAATCAGCCTTGTTTTTGTTTGTGTCATTATTAAGAATAGCATCGAGAGTAAGGGTGTTAAATGATTGAATCATGTTGCAAGTTTGGTGAATTTTGAAATAGGTGCAAGTAACAAAAAAAGAGAAAAAAAAAAAAAAAAAAGGAAAAGAGGAAGAAAAAAAAAAAAAAAAAAGGAAGCACCAAAGGCGCTGACCCAAATCTGAATCTGGACTCCTTGGTATCATTTCACTCACACATACTCTTTTTTTTTTTCTTTTCCAAGCATGGCATCAATCAATCATCATTTGTGGCTCGATATTTTGTATTGTTATCTTAGAAATATGATAAAAAAAAACGCTGCTATAAATTGATGATGGTATTCAAAGAGAGAGAGAAAAAAAAAGAAAGGTATGAAACACATATCGAGACTTGGGACCCTGGAATGGAACGTAAACGCGTTATCACGTGCGTTTGATATTCTGGAAGTTATTTTTATTAAAAAAAGAGCATAAATAAGAAAAGATGAAAAAGAAATCCGTATTGTCAATCATCTCTTATGTGTGTGTTTTCTCTTCAGAGTCAGAAAAACGTACTTTTACTTTTTTCCCAGCAATATTTTTATTGGAATTCACATAAAACTAGTTTTTGATGTCTCAATCTAAACTTCTTGTTATGGATAAAGATGAATAGTTTTTTTAAAAAAATAAAGTCGAAGGTGATACCAAAAAAAGAAAAGAGGCTTTTTCTGTAACCCGAGTTGACCATGACTGACTGACAACAATACAACAAAAAACTACGAAAATAATAACCAAAAATCTTTTTTTTTTTGGGACGCCGCCGAGTTTCGCTTTAGTTCCAAAGTTTTTCTATTTTTATTTCTTTCTTTTTCTTTCACTTTCTTATTTGATCTCTTTTAATACCATGACCGCTATTAACGAAAACATACAACATGCTATTGAAGCTGCTGTAGCTTCTTATTCCATCGATACTTCTCGTATTATTGAAAAAGTACTTCAAAACGATGCTGACCAGCAAGAACCTGTACCTTCCATTGTCGCGTCAACTGACACCGAGATTCCTGTCCCCGGTCCCGTTGTCAATGCCGTACAACAAATCAACGAAACCAAACAAGAACCTGTCATTGCTTCCACTACTACTGATTCATCTGATTCCACTCCTGTTATCAATGAACCCGAAGAAAAAAAGGAGCTCGTTGAAGAAGTTACTACCTCTACTTCTATTGGCCTTCCCGTCTCTGCTCCAGTTGCTGATGCTATCATTGAAGCTAAAGAACAAGAAACCAATGAAGAAGCAAAGGGACAAGTGAACGAAGAAACCAAGGAAGAAGTCAAGGAAGAAATCATTGATAAAGTCAAGGAAGAAGTCAAGGAAGAAGCAAAGGAAGAAACAAAGGAAGAAGCAAAGGAAGAAGCAAAGGAAGAAATCAAGGAAGAAATCAAGGAAGAAATCAAGGAAGAAATCAAGGAAGAAATCAAGGAAGAAAACAAGGAAGAAAACAAGGAAGAAGCAAAGGAAGAAATCAAGGAAGAAATCAAGGAAGAAATCAAGGAAGAAATCAAGGAAGAGAGCAAGGAAGAAATCATTGATGAAGTCAAGGAAGAAGAATCCACACCAATCTCTGATATTGTGCAAGACAAGAGTGCTGCTGTTGCTACTGCTCCGGATGCTACTGCTGAGATCATTGTTGACAAGGTGACTCCTTCTGAACCTATGCCAGCGCCTAGCCTCGCCCCAGTTTCTCCTATTTCCAACGAAGCCGTTCAAGCTGCTATTTCAAGTGTGGTTGGAAGTGCTGTCATTGATGTTGATGCCTATTTGAGTTCTGTGAAAGCCATTGCCAATGAAATGCCTGTTGCTCCCGCTGTTGCTGCTGAACAATCTATTGTCCCTGATGATGGCGCCCAGAAGATCGAACAAGAACCTGTTACTACTGAACCTCTTGTTGAACATATCCCTACTGATATCCAAGCTGTGGAAGAACCTGTATCTTCTCCCTTCATTGCTGTTTGTCCTCCTCATCCTGATGCTGTTAAGAATCAAGAGCAAACTCTCATCACGGAAGAACATATTCCTGCCGAAGTCAACGTTGAACAAGTACCTGTTTTGGAAAATGATGCTACTCCCGCTCAAGTGAAACCACAAATGGAAACTTTGCCTATCGATATCAAGTTGGATGAAAAGCCTGTGGCGGAAGAACCTATTGCTGCGGTGAACGATGTCAAGGAAACTGTTGTGGAAAGTACAACTACTACTGTTACTGATGACGCCAAAGAAACTCTCGTGGAAAATACGCCTTCTGCTGTTGTTGATGATGTCAAGGAAACTGTTGTGGAAAGTACAACTACTACTGTTACTGATGATACCAAAGAAACTATCGTGGAAACTGCATCTGCTGTCGTTGTTGATGATGTCAAGGAAACTGTTGTGGAAACTGCATCTGCTGTCGTTGTTGATGATGTCAAGGAAACTGCTGTGGAAACTGCATCTGCTGTCGTTATTGATAATATCAAGGAATCTGTTGTGGAAAGTACACCAGCCGCTGTTGTGGGTGAACCTATTAACGAACGATCCGTTCCTACTCCTATTTTGGAAGAATCATCTGCCGCGAAGGCCGTGCCCATTACACAAGAATCACAAGAAGCACCAAAAATGGAATTCATTCAAAAACCTGAACCTATTATTCCTGTCCCACTGGAATCAAGTGAAGTAGCTCCTACTTTGCCTTCTGTTGCATCTAAATCTTTACCTCCTCAACCTGAAACTCGTTCTCAAGTTCCCACTGAAGCTCAATCAACTGCCGATGCACATTCTTCTACTCCTCAAGGACAAGCACCCAAAAACAGTGAACCCAAGTCTTCTCGCTGTACTATCATGTAGTTAGTTGATTTATTATTTTAGTGGATAGGTTATTTCCTTGGTTACATTTTTATATATATATATATATATGTATACTCTTTTTTTTATTATTATTATTATCATCCTTCAAATAAACCTAAAATACTGTATATGTCTATGTCAAAATTATATTTTACCGCTTATCATATAAATTTGGATATGAATCAAGTTTTATAATATCATCCAGTATATATATAAAAAAAAAGTATCCAATTCGTACCACTCTTGTGATCTTATAGGTCCGTGATATTCTTTTTGTAACGATGACCATTCCGTTTTCGTCCATGATCCTTTATAGTAATTTACAAACGAAGTAAAAAAAGGAAATGTGATATATATATATATATATATATGAAGGAGACAATGACAATAACTCGCAAGGATTGATCCAATCAAAAGAAGTGAAAAGTTGTATACCATCAACTGTCATCCTATTCGTTTCCAGCCCAGGAACAAAATAAAAAAAGCAAACAAACGAATGATGTGCAGAATATGATGATTGCCTAAGATGAAGCTGCATAATAAAAACTAACTTTGGACCATGATGATTGGTCAGTTCTTTTTTTTTTTTTTTTTTTTTTTTTTTTTTTTTTTTTTACAATGTAGCACCTTCTTTCCCGCTTTTGTCAACTTTAATTTGTATCCTATTCTTAAAAAGAAAATCCAGGAAATGACATCGCACATAAATCTTATCCCCCCAATATTAACATGTCACACATCACGATTTCATTTGATTACCTTTGGTAGATAATGATGATGATTGCCGCCCACCAAAGACTATAAAAGGTACTATAAAAAGGCGTCCTTTTTTCTCATTTTTTTTCTTTTTCCTTTCTTTTTTGCTTTACTTAGAATATTATCTTTTTCCATGGGCAAGCCAAATTCAAACGACAAAGGTGGCAATTTCAAATATATCTGGCTAGATCCTTTTTATGGCTATCCTCGAGTAAATGTTTTTTCATGAATACATCAAGTATAAATTCATTCCACTTATACTAATTTGTCTTGTAGGGTACTAATATAAAAACTAAACCATCACCTCCTCCTCCACCACCACCACCACCGCCTCCTGCTCCGATATGCTGTTATTGTAGCTACTATACTTACTATTTTCCATCATATCGATGCCATTGTCCTAAGTAAGTCACCCTCCAACAGTTTAATAAAATGCATCATCCATTTTCATCATTTATTCTTTTTTTTTCACATTCTCATATATTCCCTCTTGTATTATTTACTTATTTTGTTATGTTCAGATAAAATAAAATATAAACCATAATCGTCTTGCGTCGTCAATATTGTTTTCTTTCTTTCTTTTTTTTTCTATTAAAGACATCGTCACCGTTTTCCAGAATGACCTAAATTCCAGTAAAATATCCAAATCTAAAAATAAAACTAATCATCTATATCTATTGTAGACCAATGGAAGCTTCGCGAAGCAATCAAATACAAAAGAAAAAAAGAAATGGGGGGAGGAGAAGGGGAAAAGTAAAAAATCAAAAAAAAAACCAAAAAGAGAAGTCATGATTGCGTTGTGGAGAGTAAAGTTAGAGAGTCCTAATCACCTGTTTCGTTCTTGATAGTCATCTTTCGATCATCCACAAATGTTGATGTTGGTTGATTGATTAAATTGATGTTTAAATTGTCTAAATAGCATAAATGTACCGAGGGCAATGATTGAAAGAATACACCAAATCATATAAGGTCGTATTGATGAAGGTATGCTTGGATTAGTTAAAGATCTATAAAGAAGAAAGAGGAAAAGGAATATTTTGTGTAAGTGATCATGATGAAAGCAGACCAAGATTTTGTATCACTTTGTTTTTGTGTATGACAACACTATTCATTTCTCTTACTTACATTGACCATATAATACCAGAAATTGTGGGACCAATAGCGCGCATTAATGATGACACACCTGTACAAAGAAGAATGAGTAACCTACTTTTCCATACTTTTTTTTTGTCATACTTACAAAGAGAAAAACCATTGATAGTACCAAGAGAATCAGCAGTAGGAGCCACATTATTGATCAACATTACAGAACTGGTCATCATTACCGTCTGACATACAGTCTTGATTGCCATTTCCGCCAAGGTCACACACCAAACAATCCAAGTCAACTTGCTACTGCTGTCATCTGATCCAATCATTGTAATATTAATAGGCAAATAATAAAGTAGCCGAGTAAATCCTTGTCCAAAGAAAACTACAATACTAAGTAAAAGTGACCAATAAAGAATTCGTAAGGTGCCAAAATATCGAACCAATTTATGGAAGAATACTAGTTGCGTTACCAGCGTGATGAGCCCAGATGCTGCCAGGATCAAAGCCATTTGTGAATTGTTAAGTCCTATACCTCCTTGCTGATAATCATATACCGACCAAACAATAAAAAGGGCTATTTTTTTTTTTTAAAAAAAAGGAAAAGAGTGAATAATGATATTAAAATCACCTGGATATACTCTTTCTTACCATCATAGAAAACATTTTGAAATGCAATCAAACCGTAAGTAGCGCATATCAAAAGGACAGACTGAGTGAGGGTCTTTTTCATCTTTTTGGAGATATCGATCCATGGTGATCCGATTCCAACCGTTGTCGTTGTTGCTAATGATGATGATGCTGTTGTTTCAAATGTAGAATAATCATTTGAGTTTGAACCAGGTTTGGATGATGTTAATTGAGATAATAAAGGAGTTGTTTCTTGATCCTTAAGAGGTTTTTTAGTGATGACAAGAGTTTCTTCCAGAAAAAATGCAGCTAGTATCAAACCAACCAGGGAAATACATGAAGCTACAAAACATGGGAGAAAGGCAGGATTGACCAGCAAGAAGTGTTTGATCCATTGGTAGTCTTCAAAAAGATCAGGGAATAAAACCACAGGGTTGTATAAGAATCCTATCAAACATATAACGAGGTTAGTCTTGAGTTTTATCATCTATATTATATATATATATATATATATATATATAGTATTTACGTACCCCCTAACATGACACCCACTGATGTACCAATACCGAATGTCACTTGTAAAAAGGAAAAAGCACGAGCTCTTTGTTCTTCGCTGCAAGTTGTGGTCATTTCTTGAATCATACTTTTCAAAATACCAATATTTCCATCCTATTATTATATGGTATAATAATATAAAAAACTGTTTGTATACATATTTTTAAGAAATTTTTTTTCTTCCCTCTTACCATCAATCCACATATAATTTTGAGAGTCAAAGCGAAGGCATAAGAAGGAGATAAACCAAATAAAACCATAGATACAATAGTACTTGTGAGTCCAATCATAATGACTGGCTTTCGACCGATACGATCAGAAAGTAAACCCCAAGGAATAGCTAATATGGTGCTTACACACGAATATAAAAAATAATCAGTGATAATAAAGTCGATAGTGAAATTTTCTTAATTTCTCACCTGAAATAAATTGAGCTATACCAAATGCTGTTGTAAGTAATCCAATATAATAACCCAAGTCTGCTTCTACTTCAGTAACATGGAAGTCTCTTACCATCTAATGTTAATATTTCGATTCATTAGTATTTGTCCTTTTTCCCATTGTTCAATATAATGCTTACAAAGTAAATAAATGGCAAGTGCACTGAAAAGCTAACCGGTTCCTGAAAAAAAAGTTAATTTTTTTTTTTTTTAGAATTCTAAATAGATTAACTTACTGCAAAACGACATAAAAATACAAGTGTAAGTTGCCATTTGGGTAATTCAGTCATCAAACAAACAAACAAAAAAAAAAAAAAAAAAGAAAAAGAAAAAGGAAAGAAAAGAAAGGCAAAGAAAAAGAATCTTTGATTTCCATATCATAACCACCTGAAACCAAACTAGCTCCGAATAGTTCCAACCTTTTTTTCTTTTTTTTTTTTTTTTTTAATATAATCACATATTATGAACAGTAATAAGATATCTATTCAGGAGACATTAAATACTATTGTTATTTATATTACATTTCTTTTTTAGTTCAAGTAAAAAAAGATGATTGTATTATCGTTTAATGGGATTACCTTGTAAGGGAAAATAGGCAAAAATGAGACGGATATTGAAAAAAGAAAAGCTGTGGAGCCAAGAAAGCCCTTTTTTTTTTTCTCTTCTTCCCTTTTCTTTTTTTTTTTTTTTTCCTTTTTTTTTTTTTTCTTTAACCCCTAACATTCCTTTATCCATGGCCAGCAAAATTAGCTCACCACTATTATGCATTGGCGATGAAATCTTATTCTATGATGAAGTCAATAATATCTTGGTGGCTGAAAATCAATTGGAAACAAGGGCTTGTACGCGACAAACTCAAAATAACAAATTGACCTCTGAATCTTTAGGAGCAAGTATATTCAAGATAGAACCACAGCAATCTCATGCTGATAAACGTCAACTCGACCATTTTTTATCTGATGATGACATTGATAGTATACGTTGTGAAGGAACTCCAGACGAACTTTTGGAATTAGACCGTTTGACTCAGCTTGCAGAAAAGGAACACAACCAAAATGAAACAGAACGACGTCGTTTATTGGGAAAACCTGTATTATATGGACAAATCATTCAACTTTATAATCCTCATTTCAAAAAATATCTTGGTATATCTGGTCGAACATGTGAAAACGATGTTTCTAATCTTCAAGTTAACTTGTCAAACGAAGTTATTGGTTCCTTCAAAATCATGCCTAGGTAATATAAATATTTTCTTACTATTAACAATACTCAGCCTTCATTTTTTTTACCTCTTATAGATATCGTATCCGAGTAGATGGTGAACCAGTTCGTTTGGGTGATACTATTGCTATTCAATGTGTGCGACCTGAAGGTTATCTTAACGTAGGTGTGACACCCTCTTATTCTGCCATTTATGATACCAATTATTACGAAGTTTATTCCCATACTCGGATCTCTTCATGGACTATGTCTTTGCACTCATCGGCGTCTACTGGAAATGATCAAGAAAAACGAAAGACAAAATATATCAATTCTGCTCAATATATTCGATTTTATCACAAGGAAATGGAAGCTTATTTGGAATCAAATGTTTGGAATTGGTAATTTGTTATTTTTTTTGTTAAAAAAAGTGTTACTAAGTTGCATTTGTTTTTTTTTTTTTTTTTTTTTTAGGGACAAGAATGATGTGCGACTCAAGAAACATGTACTGAACCCATTGGATCCCAGAGAAAGTGACTCACCTTTATCGTTCTGGGAGGTATGAATGAATGAATTAATAATAATAATAATAATAAAAAACATCATGCTTAGGATATGATCTCACTTTTTGTTTCTTTATATGAATAGATTGAAAATGTTGATATGTCTCGTGGATCACTTATAAGGTGGAACAAGTCTGTGCGTATCCGTCATGCTGCATCTCGCGCGTATCTCTATATCGATCCAAACAATGTACGAATTGATGTTAATTCACACAAAGTGGCGTTTTCTCTTGGTTTGATGAAAGATCCTCCTTTAACGACAAATGATACAAACGATCCAACTCTTTTTGCCTTTGTACCTGCGTCTGAACAAGAATCTCGTGCTGTACCTTTTGGAAGTTATCTACGAATACAACATGTATCTACCCGTTGTTGGCTTCATGCTGCATCCAAAAACGAAATTCAATTACCTACTCCTCCACCTGCAAGATCGACTGCTCTATCGTTGACTCCTGAGTCTTTATCTCCTATCACTGTCACCCCTCCTCCGCTTTTAAATACTTCATTTGGCGAACCTCATCAACATCTTCAACAACCACAGGAACTGCAACATCATTATCATCAGCATCGTCACCATCCTCTTCATCAACACCACCAACATCGTCATTCTTCTCGATTCAGTTCAACAGATTCTTATGGAGGAGGAGGAACTTCTCTACTGGAAGCTCCTGCCGTTCATCAAGTCACTGCAACCCAAGACTTCTTTTACCACGATTGCTTTACTGTGACCTTAGTTAGCGAATCTTTGACTTCATCATTCAACGTCATCAATGAATTTCTACCTCGACTACAAGCATTTTTGAAGGCTCCAAGACCCATTTCTGCTGACAATCCAAGTTTATTCCCCATATCTTTATCAGAATTTAATTCCATATCTAATATCTTGGTAAGTAGGATGGTAACTATAATAGATTGTATTGGAACTAATTCTATTCTTTTTTTTTTTATTAGATGAACCTCATACGGTTTTGCACAAAAAGCTCGGAACAGGATCTTACACAACGTTGTGGTTTACCTATACCTTGTAAGTGTCTAGATTCAATATCCATACAATTTCGAAATAGGTTATATATGTCGCAAAATAATAATTTCCTCTCTCTTTTCCCCTTTTATATATAGATCATCAAGCATTACTTCGGGATAATGGCATCATTGAAGCCGTAATTAATATGATTCAAGTACCATTCGATCTGGCGAAACGTGGAAAATTCAATCGAAATAAAAAAGGTGACTCCTCATCATTGTCGACATCATCTTCTGGTAGTATAAACAGAAACAAAGAACAAGTAGTGTCTTTGGATACATTTTTGGAATGTACTCGATCATCATCCGATCAACATCCTGAATATCGACTCAAGGTGATTCTCACATTATGTTACAACTTACTCCGGGTATTTTTACTTGGTGAATCATCTCCATATGAAGAAAGATTGGACTCTCAGGTCAATCAAGATTATGTGATCGATACCTCTGGCGATGCTGGGATCCAGCTCTATCTATCACATCTTGATTGTGGAATAGGTGCTACGTCCATGTTGGAAAGATTAGTTCAAGGGAATGAAAATATGGTGGCTCGTATAGTTGAAGCAAGACCGGATATTGTGGAAACTTTGGTCAAGCATGTTTATAGTCTCAGTCGATCTGTACTTCGATATATTGATAACAACAACTACAATGGCAATAGGAAACGATATGACACGACATTTATTATGGACAAAAGTAATAACGGAAACAATAGTAATCTTTGTGAATTATCTCCTAACATGGTAGAACATATGGAATTTGTGGGTTGTATTGATCTTCTTGGTGCTTTCTGCAGTAACGATTCTGCAAGTGGATCATTGACATTCTCTCATCGTGATTACGTCTTGGAACAGCTTTTTGATTCATTACTTGATAATAAACTGGTACAATGTCGTCTGGTACCTGGATCTGGATCAGTTGAAATAAGTCTCCTTTCTTCATCGGGATCTCTGGATAGTTCTATTGGCAACAACGAAAACAATGGACAATGGATGGATTTGGATTTATTATTGTATCGACATCATGCAGGTGTGACCCGCTTCTTATCAAGTTTACTCAACCTAGTGTATTCTCTTTCCTGTGGAACCAACAACAGCAAATCATTGCAAGTTATACGTGACTGTATCAGTGAAGATGTGTGTTTGAAATGCGTGGGTTTTGTCAATTTGCCGTGTCAAATCCGTGCAAGATTTTGTGATTTGTTACGAGGTAATTATTTGACGCTGTACGAGGAAAGTTCTTAATACGGTACTTATATCTCAACCTCTTTTTTTTTTTTTTTTTTTTTTTTTTTTTCTTGACGTAAAAGTCCTCTATGTCAATATATCACCATATAGTGAAGTTCTTCTATCTGACTTTACTATGAGATATGATTCCCTAGAAGGTTCTTCAACTTATCCTCGTGGTGGTACTGGTAGTCTTGAAAGTCAACGTCCTGTATTCTTTGATCAATTGAAGAGTTGGATTCTCGTTTTCCTAGATGATCATCGACATTGTGTAAGTAGGAAATGGTCTTAGGATGAAATGTGGTTACCGTTTTTTTTTTAACTTACCTTTTTTTCTCTCCCTAGTTTACTGAATGTTTTCAAGATATTGACTTTTTATCCTCTGTGTTGAAGCTGATATACACACAATTGAAACTTGGATTCTTTACCGAGGAAGCAGATGTGAAGCGACTTTTTAGGGCCTTGGTTTATGTTATAGATGGTCGTACAGATGCTAGGTAAGACGGATGGAAAGTCACGATTGCAAAAGAAATGTGAGAATATAATATTTTTCTCATTGTTTACATATATATATATATATATATATATATATGTATTTATAGAAATGAAGAGCATTGGAAATACTTACAAGAAAACAACAAGCCAAAAGCATGGTAAGCAGATGATTATCATGTTTTGATAGACATACTGATTGTATACCATCTATTCTAGGCCCGAGCGGTTCCTATTGACTGAAGCCAACCAAGCAGTGATGAATATCAAGATACAAGTGCTGGTGATCTTTGATTTAATTTTTGATTTACGCGTACATGTCCGTATGAATAAGTTGGCAACGAAATGGAAAAGAATGGAAACGTAAGCTAAATAATGGAACTAGTTTGCATTGATGCAGCGGATAGTTATCTTACTTGTTTTATTTTTATGTCTTGATAGCAATGTTGACGTAGATCCTATCCTATCATTAAGAAATGTGTTAACTGGTATCTTCTCTGAAACCGTCCTTCGACAACGTGAAAGTAGTCTTATGCCTATACTAAAAGATATCCTCAAGTATCAATATGCTCCTCTCAAACATGTGGCGGTGGTTGTGATGCATAGAATGTACCACGATTGCGAAGGTATAGTAATCAAGTAGATTGATAATCTGGAAAGTGAATCTTACATTGTGATTTTATTCGTTTGATAGATTTATTCAAGAAATCATCTCAAGTATTGATACTTCACGAACCTCAACAAGTATTTGTGTATCATGGAATCAGAAAGAGACTGGACCGATTGCGTTCTTATCTTCTGTTAGAGAAATTAGGTGTGGATCATCTTCCATTGGTAGATCGAACTTTACGTGAATTTATCAGTCTGCTTCAAGGGAATACGGTGGATTTCAATGATCAAATCATTTGTCTATTGACTAAAGAAAACGATGAAGATAACGACTCCATTGCCTCTGTTGATTTTAGTACCCAGAAAAACGTTTACAACAAGATCTTCAAGAATCTGAATACCCATCAAGTGATTATCCATATTTTAGGTGCCCTAAATAATATTTTGCCAGTTCTAAATGACTCTACAACAAGTGAAACCTCGTCCGTTACCGTGATCAAAACTTGTTTGGATCTTTTGGTGGAGTTGGTGCAAGATGATCCTGATTTGCAGGTAAAAAAAAAAAAAAAAAAAAAAAAAAAAAAAAAAAAAAAAAAGGTGGGCTATACTTTTTGAATTTTTGATTCACTCGATGCATTCCGTTCCATTTATATATTGTGTTATAGGGATCTTTTGTATTGGAAAACTTTGATCTTCTTATCGATATTACTAGTTACCACAACAGCTTATCTTATGCTCTATATGGTATCTATGGACAAAACTTATATGTCAGTGTTAGGGTCAACGAAGAACAAATCAAACGTATATTAGAACTCTCCTGTGGACGCGAAGCTGATTATTTACGACTACTTCATGATTTTATGAAACCTCAGGAAAAATTGATCAAACGAAACCAAGATATGATTATGCGCCTTATAATGAATAACCGCCAACTTTATGTACCATTTGCAACCACTGAAGAATTGGTCCATACTGATAGGTTAGCGTATTGCGTGGAATTGATTGAATTACTCTCGATCTGTGGACAAGGTGAAAATTCTTTTGGTCAATCAGTAAGTTAAAAAAAATGGAAGGAAGGTAAAATCAAATATTTTCTAGTATTCATAAGCTCTTTTCGTTGTATTAATAGTTCGCTCGTACAGTATTCTCGATTTCTGACATTACAGACTTGGTGCAAAATACCGATACCCCTCTCTCTTTGAAAACAAAGGTGTTGAGATTCTTGGCTTCTATTTATCTCGATACTGGTGATGTTCCATCCATTATGGCTCCCATGGATGAAAACCACCATCTCAAAGCACTTATGGACATTCTATATCAAGATCTTTTGGATGCTAGCAAGGAAATGAAAGAAGATGGTGATTTTATGCGGTACATTTACGAGGGTGTACTTGTGGTTATGCGATCAGTGTATGAATACCAAGTCCGACCGGAAATAATTCTTGATGAACGATTAGCTGATTTATGCTCTTATCTAATCGATGCAACCAGCTCTCTCTTGTCAATGGACAACAATGGTACAACAATAACCCCTCAACAACAACATCAAAAAAATTTGCTTGCGTGTCTTGACAGTATGATTAATGTTTCTGGATTTCGTGGTACTATCGAGCCCGACACACTTCGAAGTCAGTTACGATTGATGATGGTGCGACTGAACAATGAAAACGACAGTGCAACCAATCGACCTTTGGGATCTATTAATGCCAAATTTCAAGGATTTATGCGAACTCTCAAGGCACATCGTAGTGTACTCGAACTACAAGAAGAAGAATTCAAGCAACTTGGTAAGTAGTGATGATGTTTATCTGTATTATTTATTGTAGTAACTGAAACTTTTTATTGTTTTTGTCATGTAGGTTCCCATTACAATCTATCAGACTCTGAATCCGAACAAGATGTCAAATCACTCATTGATTTTCTTTCCATGATGACGTCCTCTACCAACAACAACAAGACTCAGAGTGACAAAAACGAAGAATATCAAGTAGCTACTATGAAACTTTTACAAGAAATTCCCAGCCGGTATATCCGACAACGATCTGAACATAATGTATCTAACAACGTAGCACAATACGAAGAATTAGAAGCAAATAAAGTCAACGCGCAGAATACCTTGAATCGATTAGGCTGTACCTTGGTAGCACAAAACTTTTTATCATCTCCAAGACGACATGTTTTCAAGGCTGGTTTAGCATTATTGATTGCTCTTTTGGAAGGTGGGAATAAGAACGTCCAGGTAAAACTACCAAAAAAAAATTATAATGTGCATGTATCGTAATCAATATTTAACCCTGATATTTATCTACTAGGACAAACTCGAAGAATACTTCTTTAGCATTCGTGAAGAACGATTCTTTTACTCTTTCCACCGACGACTACAAAGTGATATTTCATCTCTCAAGGAAGCACAGCAACATCTTTTACGAGCAGCCATCAAATTAAAACGGCAACAAGGTCTCTTATACTCCTCTAATTCAGATACTCTTTTGACAAAAAATCAACGCCTTCGACAATCGCGACAACAACGACGTACTAGTTCTCTTATTTCTGGAAAATCACCTTATTCACTACGACATGATGAATCCTATAGTAGACGAGGAACAGGTTCAGGTAACTCATCACCATACAGAATCAATGGCTACCCACAACAAAAGACAACATCACGACCGACAGGAACAACAACTTCAACAATACTAAGAGGAGACGTATCGGATTTGACAATGAATTATCAAACGATTTCAACCTTAATGGCACAAAGCGATATGGCGGAATTCGGTGCGGCAACTGAAGACTTTGAAGGCATGAAGGATGCAATGCGGGCGGTACAACTAATGGTAGAAGGGCACAACATGAAATTACAGACATATTTGGCAAAACAACCCGACAACATCAAAAGCTTCAATATTGTGCAAGATGTAGTGGAATACCTGCATGCAATCGTTCCTTTATGCAATATCCAAAATGTACGTTTGATCATTCAAGTCCTGGATACTATTACCGAACTGGCACAAGGCTGTTTAGAAAATCAGGTATCTTTTTATTTAGTTTTAATATATAAAATACTTGTTATATATTTACCTCCCCCTTTTTTTTTTTCTTTCTTTTAGTTTACAATTTTTAATGGCAAGATCATCAATCCTATGAATACTATTCTTCGTGAGTCTTACACAAATTGTCCAAGTTCTCTTGTATATGAATTAAAGGTAAATGTGATTAAAGAAAGAAAAGAATAAAATAAATAATAATTCTTTTTTTTTTAATATTATTTTAGACCAAAGTTGTGGTGTGTTTACTTAGTTTGCTAGAAGGTGGGATTGAAAATAGTGATACAATCTTTCGAGAGATGACGGCTTCTATAGACCTGGCGACAGTGGTTGGTAACATGGATACTATTTATAATGCAAATCGACATCAATTGGATTCTCCAAAAGCATTCACCAAATTAGAAAGTGGATTTTTGTATTGTATGCTGGTGATGACCTTATATCCTGCTCTCGATGAATCTCAAGTAAGATACCTCCTATTCAAAGAGGAAAAAGAATAACAAGCAGAGAATGTTGATACAATTAATCTTTTTTTTTTTTTTTTTTTTTTTTTTTTTTTTTTTTTTTTTAGTTGGCACTTGTGGATGGAAATGAAGCATTCGATTACTTCCAAAGAAATACAGGAAAAATTGAAGTGATTATGGATTATGGACAAGAAAAACAATTATCCCGGGTGTTGTTCCCTATTCCTGAAATATGTAAATATTTTAGAGAAGAAACGAAACAACGGTTTTTATGGAATGTTAAAAGGTAAAGGGAAAATGAAATATAACGAGATATCATAGACTGATTATTCGTCTAATATTATTAGAGATTCGCCATCTACCAAAATCGAAGACTTTGTGGAACAATCTGGGCATATGATCTACGAGTAAGTTGCAGAATGAGATATCAATTCTTTATATGTAAAACTAACTGTATTATTATTATTATTTCTTTTTCATTAGAATTGAAAATCAAGCTCGCGTGACATACAATGAACATTTATCTTTGTTGACCAAATATAGCTCTCTATGGTGGAAGGCCTCATTCGTGGTAACAATTTTACTCAACGGCTTGATGCTTAGCTGTTCATCAATGTTGCATGGAAAAAGTGATGATGATCCTTACACTTGTCACTCGATGAACTCTGTATTCCGTATTCTCCTGGGGTTGGGACATCTTGTCCTTTGGCACCTATCGACAGCCGAATTCTACTTTATCCAACTTCCTATTTTAGTCAAACGGCGCTCCACTTCAACTCTCGTTCTCAAAGGAAAGGTCAAGGACGGTGAAGCAGAAACTTCTGTTTTTGGAGGTTTTTTCTCAGAGGAGGTAATATTCATAATATGATTTAAAAAAATGATATTCATTTTTTTTTTCCCTGTAGCATTTCAAAGGATCATTTGTATTGGCCAGTCTGATGGAATCTCAATTCATTTATCATGTGATGATGGTCCTTCTCTCTTACTTGGGATTATGGTATCCTGGCTTCTATGCTGTACATTTATTAGATTTTGTCTTTCGAGATCGAATTCTTCAAGGGGTAATAGCAAGTATCACTTTGAATGGAAGTTCCATTTCACATACGGTATGCTCCAAAATATATGGTTTTTTCGTTGGTTTGATGATCGTCCTCACCTTCTCTCTTTTTTTTTTCTTTTTCTTTATTTCTTTATATTCTAGGCGATGTTGGCAATTGTTGTTATCTATCTTCATAGCGTGATGGCTTACAAATACTTTCGTGGTGATTTTGATACCTCCAAGGGACTATACTGTCGAACTTTATCGGAATGTTTTGTCAATGTCCTGTCTCATGGGTAAAAGATACCAAAAAAAAAAAAAAAAAAAAAACCAGGATGATCATTTGGTTATATCTTTTTTTTTTCTTCTTTTTTGCCTGTAGATTACGCGGTGGCATAGGTGATGTATTCATGGATAATTCTTCAGATGATGGTTTGGAAGATATCAATCGAAGATGGCGGATCGGATTTGAAATGTCCTTTTATCTTGTGGTTGTGGTGTTTCTCTTGAATGCTATCTTTGGTATTATATTTGATACTTTTGGTCATCTTCGTGATGAGCGATCAGCTGTGCAACAAGACATGAAGAATTGTAAGTTTTACAAAAGAAAATAAAAAAAAAAAAAGGTAGGAAGGAAATTATACTTATGATGATATGTTCAGCCTGTTTTATATGTAGTGTCCCAGCAGTTGAATTCCAGCGACATGCCAAGCGTGGATTTGAAGATCATGTCAAGAATGAACATAATATCTGGTAATTTTTGACAATTCAAAATAGTAAATGTTGAACTAATGATTCTCTGTCTCTCTCTCTCTTTTTTTTTTTTTTTTTTTTTTTTTTTTTTTTTTTTAAGGCAATATCTATTCTTTTTGGTACATCTGAAATACAAGGACAAGACGGAATACACTGGGCCAGAATCGTATGTAGCTGGTTGTCTCAAAGATGCAAATTACAGTTTCTTCCCCATCAACCGAGCATTATCTCTACGACATAGTGAGAGCAATGATACCGAACGACTGGAAAAATTGGAGGAAATTGCTCATACACTGATGGACAAGATGGTCAAGATGGAAGAACAGATTGAAAGGATGTCAGATGCGCAATCTCGGTCCCGTTCAAATAGCATTTTACTCTCTCCCTATTAGTTTATTGTTATGATAGAATTATGTATTATCTACCCATTTCCTCTCCATATGACTTTTTATTCTTTTATTATTATACTTGTACTACTCTTGACAATAAATGCTTTGTTGTAACTAAAAACCTTGTGTTGGATAACGGTGATGAAAGATGAATAATGTATGATGGTTAGCTAATTTACAATGATAGATGATGTTTGATGATGGTAATGTCGATGACCAGGATTATTATGCTTAATGTGATAGATGAAATAGTAACGACAAGTCCAATGGCCATTCTTCTCTCTTTTATGTTAAGATGTCAAGCGTTCCAACACCGCGCAGCGAAAATGCATGAAATTCCTAGCTAGTATTCTAATATTCTTTTGTATTATTTTATTAGTATTATTTCCTAATGCGTTTTTTTTCTTTTCTTCGTTATCTTGAAAGAAAAGAGTATGGATAGAATGAAAAGAAGACATCATTATCCATTGTCTCCCATTATCACCGTCCCTACCAATGACCATATATATCACCATATTCCCCTTGACGACGATGATGATAGATCAGTGCAGTCAAAATCCAAATTATACAAGCCATCTTTTCACAATGATATAAAGGTACTTCTAAACATGATGATATAAAAGTCATTTGTATAGATAATCATCCTGTCTTATTTTTCCAATCTTAGGTTAGAAAGACATTTTATGATAAAAAGGATATTTTATGGCTGATGATACTGACTGGTCTTTCATTTTGGACACGATTACGCTTGATTGATCGATCTAATATTGTGATTTGGGATGAAGCACATTTTGGAAAGGCAAATCATTCAAAAAAAAAAAAAAAAAAAAAAAAAAAAAAAAAAAAAAAAAAAAACTAATTTGTATTTATCAATCTTAACTATTTTAGTTTGGATCTCATTATATTGAACATGAATACTATACGGATGTACATCCACCATTGGGCAAATTACTAGTGGCATTCTCAGGTTGGTTGGCGAATTTTGATGGAGCCTTCAAATTTGAATCTGGTGCGGAATATCCAGAGGGAATGGACTACCGTACTATGCGTATCTTTAGTGCATCTTGGGGTGCCATGATGGTTCCTCTTGCTTACTTAACGGCACGAAAAGCTGATTATTCTATTCTCGCTAGTATACTTGGTGCAACGATGGTATTATGTGATACAGCTTATCTCACCATCAGTCGGTTTGTCTTATTGGATTCCATGCTACTCTTCTTTACTTGTTTGACATGTTATTCTCTTTTCGGATTTCATCATCAACAAGATCATTCATTCTCTCTTGCTTGGTGGTCTTGGTTATCCTTAATAGGTGTCTCCTTAGGGTGTGTTTTAAGGTATACGATCATCATCATCATTGATATTGTTTTATTAAATATGTGTTTTATATTCAATAAATAGTGTCAAATGGGTAGGATTGTTTGCCGTTGGACTAGTTGGTATTTACACTTTACAAGATTTATGGGATAAGTTGGCAGATATGGAAATGTCTAGGAAAACTTATGTGTCTCATTGGTCTGCAAGAGCATTATGCCTTATTATTCTTCCTATCATTATCTATTTGGTATGTTTCAAAATTCATTTTGATTTATTATATAAATCAGGTACAGGTGATGATGATATGTCTCCTTTATTTCAAGCTCATCTTGAAGGGAATGCATTTGGTGAAAGTGCTTTAGGTAATTATGCAAAAAAAAAAAAAAAAAAAAAAAAAAATGGAGACGGCCATCGAATTCTATAAGATTCCCTATCTAATTTTTTTTTTCTTTTCTTTTTTCTTTTTTCTTTTTTTTTTTTTTTTTTACTCTCTTTCTTTCTCACTTTTTATTTATATATAATATAGAACTCGCATTTGGATCCAATATCACCATACGAACATTAGCACCAGAACAATCCCTACTTCATTCACATCATCATACATATCCTGAAGGATCCGAGCAACATCAAGTAACAGGTTACTATTTTCAAGATGAAAACAACCACTGGCTTATCAGGCTACCACGAAACGATGATATAAATTATAAGAATTTTGATATAACCCATAACAGTAGAGATTACGATGACCTAGGTGTTCGGTATATCAATGACGGTGACATTATTAGACTCAATCATATGGCTACTTCACGCAATCTACATAGTCATTCGTTTGCATCACCCAACTCAAACAACAAACAACATTTTCTGGAAGTCAGCGCATATGGGGACGATGAAAGGGGTGATGTAAAGGATAATTGGAAAATTGAAGTTGTCAAACACCTGGATTCTTACTCTGGATCAAGGATTCATACTATGGCTACTCATTTTCGATTACGACATGTTGAACTGGGTTGTCTCTTGGCTGTTACTCAAAAACGGTTACCTGTTTGGGGCTACTATCAAATGGAAATAGGATGTGCAAGTAATGCTGAAGATATAAATGATCTTCGGACGGTATGGATGGCTGAAACCAATCAACATGAAAAATGTAAAAAAAAAAAAAAAAGAAATAGTATCATCATCTTAGAAATTCACTCAAATCTACTCCTTTTCTATAGTATCTAGTCCTCCTCAAAATACTTACAAGTATCACTTTTTCCGTGACTTTTGGTATCTCAACAAATTGATGTGGCGAAGCAATAACGCATTAATACCTGATCCTGATAAGGAAGATATACTATCTTCTACTCCAACTCAATGGCCTATGGTCGGTGTAGGTTTACGTATGTGTAGATGGGATGATGATACAATTAAGTTCTTTTTATTGGGCAATCCTATGGTATGGTGGACCTCCTTTATCTCCGTTATCACATTTACTATACTGCATATCACATACATTGTCCGTGAAAAAAGACAAATTCATGACAAAGAACAAGGTGAAATAAATATATATACACAATGATAAAATAAAAAAGGATGAGTCAAAATTGACATTTTTTTTTTTTTTTTTTTGTGTCTAGCACGATGGAATCAAAGCTTTTCTATTGGAAAGAGTCTCCTTTTAGGATGGTTTTTACATTATATTCCATTTTATATTATGGGCCGTGTAATGTACCTACATCATTACTTTCCCGCACTTTACTTTAGTATTTTACTTGTTCCCTTTTTACTAGATCATTTTACAGCACAATCAAATGGAAGACAACGGTTCTTGATTTTTGGTATACTGATGATATTGGTGATTAGCAATTTTATTTATTTTTCCCCCTTTTCTTATGGAATGGATGGTCCTATTGATGCTTACAGTGGTCGATCTTGGATGAAATGGTGGAACCTGACAAAAAAATATTGATATACTTTATTAGATAGTTCAGTTAGTTAGTTGTATGGTTTCAATAAATGATGATCCATTTGTACCGCTTGCAATGACGAATGAAATTCGAGAGAATGCTGTTTATTCTATACATCAAGATATGATTATCATCTTGAAATTTTTATGATGCTCGTGGTGAATGAGTTGAAGCAAAAAACTTGAATTTTACGGCACAAATCCATGGAAATTGAAATATCACGGCCAATAAGCATGATAGGGAAGGCGAGATGGATGCTCGTTTTTTTTTTTTTAGAAAAAAAAATACTCTATAAATGTAATTAATGATATTCTAATAAAGTAAAATAAAAGAAAATGGAGGTTTGTTTTACATTATGTCCTAATTTAGTGTGGTGATGATGGTTTCCGAGGGAGAAAGGGAAAGGCAAAGTTCTGTTCTCAAGCTTATATGCAGGATGAAAAAATGGGATCAGTTTTTGGATTTTACAGCCAAAATTTTCAAACTCCTCAGCCAAACTTTGGCTGTAAAAATAAATCGTCGAGGGTACATCAGGCAATTTTTCGAAAAAATGAATAAAATGTTTTGGTGATCATTACACATTAGTTGGCAAGGCAAGTCATAAAACGATGTTAGAAGGTATTAAACTACTTTTTTGAGAGGAATCCAATGGTGGTCATTTTACTGGATGATGATTATGATTGGATGAGATATGACGATATTGTCATTTCATTTTTAGTTTACTCTATAAATTGGTAAGCAACATATAGACTGTTATTAACGAAATTGAAAGAGAATCAGTGAATCCATGTTCAAAAAAAAAAAAATTCGTATGACGATGATCGTTTTTGAGCGAGTACAGAAGAATGAATAAAAAAAGGTGGACTATGTCGGACCTCAAAACATGAAAGAAGCCTCCATACAATAAAAATTTGACCTTTCTTTCTATTCTCGATTTTTTCTTTCCAGTTATAATAACATGGATATTCAAGGGTTCTGGGGTAAGTAAGCTCTTAAATATACATATTCTAGTCAACTTATCAAATTTTTTGTTGTATGTGGACGAGAAGGTGCTCAAATAGAACCAGGCAAAAGTTATACTCAGGCGGTGACCTCTCCATTTATGGTGACTATGGTAAAAAGAAAAGAAAAATCTATTCGATTGAAACTGATTTTAACTTACATATATATACTTCCTTTCTAGGCTGCCTTGTCAGACGTGATCGTAGACAATGCAAGAAGCTCACTTTGTATTCGTGTGAACGAATTGGAATTTGTCCTGTGCTCATTGACTCCGGGAAGGGTACGTTCTTAATCCATTTAGATTGTTTAAAAACGAGTACTCATATCTTTTTTCACTTTGGAATAGTTAGAACAACAACCTTTAAACTTGACTTTGGTAGAAGGGGAAACGGTGACTTTTGCGATCAAAGGCAAAAAGTAAGGAAAACAAGTACATTCCAAAACTCATGGCAACGCACTAAACTTATTTTCTGTTTTAGTTCAATTCATTTGACGGGGAACTACATACTTGACAACGACGAGGACGATATTACCTTGGAAAATGGTTTAGAAGCTAGGTAATGACGATATAAAATATATATTCTATCTATATTAATTACCCTTCTTTCCTGGTTCAAATTAGTGATATGACGCTTCATGAACCTTCATCGACCGTTAATGACGACTATCAACCTCTTGCCAATGTCCAACGTGAACTCGACAATGCTCTTCAACTATTAAAACGATCAGCAAATGGTAATATTCAGAATCAACGGAAAAGACAAAAAGGGTCTCATGATACATTATTATCAACAACCACTCCCTGGAGTGTGGAACAGCAAAAAGAGATCCCACCAGCAGAAAAAGATATATCAACATCATTGGAACAACAACAAGGAGGACGACACGTATCTGAATCATCAAGGCGAGGATCACAGCAAACATCCATACCACCACAAGACCAATTTTACTCATCATCCGCAAATCAAACACCAATCCCTGAGGACAAATCCACATCCAATAATAGCATGACGAACAAAGAAAAAGGGACAGCAGGAAATAGTACAACGACAAAAAATCAACCGATGGTCAGAAAGCCTACCGTTATCAGCAATGAAGAAAATACGGAACAAAATGAACAAGGACGTTCAAAGCAACAAAGCAAAGCAACGACAGCATCAGCAGAAAACAGCCCTCGTACATCAATATCAGAAAAAGGACACACTATTAGACATTTACCGAATGGGATGATTGTAGAGGATATAAAAATTGGAAAGGGAGCACCAGCTGGTCCTGGAAATCGTGTAAGTTTCTCCAAAGAAAATATATAAAAAAATAAAATAAAATGAAAAAAAAAAAGATTCTTCAAACGATTCTGATTTACTCTTTTTTCTATAGGTTGGGATGCGATATATTGGCAAATTGATAAATGGAGAAACATTCGACTGCAATGTGACTGGACCCCTTTTCAAGTTTATATTAGGCAGGAAACAAGTGATTCGCGGCTGGGACGTGGGTGTGGCTGGCATGAAGGTGGGTGGTGAGCGCAAATTAACTATTCCTCCAAAGTTGGCATATGGAAAAAGAGGGATTCCACCATCGATAGGTCCTGGTGCAACTTTGATCTTTGAAGTAAGTGAAATATATATATTTATATATAATGTTTACCGTCAAATATATGTGATCTAACTTGTCCCATTTATATACATTTTAAATAGATCAAGCTACTGGAATTGCAATAGCTTTTCTCTCTCTCTCTTTTTTATCATCTGTTATATACATGCCATATCAATAAAATAGTATATATATTCATCAAGTTTAGTACAAAGTAAAAAAAAAAAAAAATAGTATAGAATAGTATTGTATTTATATATATAGTATATATTTATTTGAAGTTAATTGAAATAAAACGAAAATAGGGGGAGATTGTCAATATAAAGAATATGTTGAATGTTGAAGAAAAATCATGTAAGTGTTATAGGGTAAAAAAAAGAAAATAATATATATATAGATGGATAAAAATAAAATGATATAGTAAAAGAGGGGGGATGTATATTAACTAGCATGAACAATAACTACTTTCTACTCTATTTGCTGTTGTATCCGACAGATCCACTTTGGTTACTAAAAAAAAAAAAGTAATCAATATACACAGAAAAATATTCTTTTTGATAAATGAATTGCATCACTTACACTGATCTGTTTGTTCCTCATTCAGTTCATTTTCAATTCCTGGTAATGCACCACCTATTTTTCTGAATAGAGTCTTGACCTATTATAATATATAAAAAAGTGAGTTTTAGGAAGAGATAATATGATCTTTTCATTTTTTACATTGTATCCAGCCTTTGCACTTGTTTCAATAAACATAATATTATATTCCTTCGCCTTGTTGTCCCCTTCTTCCACAGATACTTGTCTATATTCACAAAAAAAAAAAGTCAATAAGGTATATAATCTAATGTTTTAACAAACTTGCCGTTTATCATTCAAATCTGTCTTGTTACCCACTAATACAATGATCACATCCATTCCTCGTTCAGCTCGTACATCATCGATCCACTTTGATGTGTTGATAAAAGAAGCCCTACCTATATAATAGTTTAAAATCAATACAATTATTGTTCTATCTGATGATATTCTTTCAGCACTTACTTGTGATATCATATACAACTACACAAACTGATGAATCGCGAATATAACTTGGAATAAGTGAGCGAAAGCGTTCCTAAATAATATAAAGTCAGTATTTTCAACTCATCCATATCATCTATGTTTTATATTCTTTACCTGACCAGCAGTATCCCCTAAAGTAGTGGTAATAATAGTAGTGGTTTTTTTGTAATAACAGGCCCGAACAAGAAAACAAACGAAAAAAAAAGAACAGAGAAGTTATCATTTCCTATTCATCTTTATACTTGTCTTTTTATTTTTCACTTACATAACTGTAGTCGTAATGTTCTGTTACTCATATACATTGTTTTTGACAAAAAGTCGATACCAATGGTGGCCTAAGAAAAAAAAAAAAACATGTAACTGAATAATCTATCATGTATAGCATAAACAACACGATGATATTTATATAGAACTGGTTATTATTATTTTCTTTTTTTTACCTGATAAGTATTGTCAAAAGTATCATACATGAACCTAGTAATCAAGGAAGTCTTACCAACTATATATATATATATATATATATATAATAAAAAAGTTTAAACTAAGTATCATCTCGAGGCTGAGTTCCTGTTTCTTTTCTTTTTGAATGTCAAGAGGGATTTACCACTTTGTTCACCAAGGAAGACTAGTTTGAATTTCTTTAACGGATTTCCAAAGTCATTATTTGCCATTGCATAAAAATGAATTCAAACTTTTGAGAAAAGAAAAAAAGAGAGAGAGTAAGAAAAGTCAAAATAAAAAAAAAAGGAGAATTTTAAAGTCTCCAATCGGTTACCTAAAAAAAAAAAGAGTCATTCCTATAAAAGGAAGACACAAGACCACAAAGTATTTTTTCCCCCTTTCTAAACTTTGTATCTTTTTTTGTTAATTTAAAATTATTGGTTTAGTTATGAAAATCATTAATGATAAAAAAAAAAAAATACTTGACATAAAAGATATGTAAATTACTGATACTTTTTTTTTTTTTGATACTCGGAGTTTGCCTCGCGCTGTTGCTGTTAATGGTGTCATTTTGTTTTTCTTTTTCTTTTGCTCTTTTCTTTTTTTTTTTTTTTTCCTTTTCTTTTCCTTTTTTTCTTTTTCTTTTTTTTTTTTTTTTTTTTATCATACTCATGAAAGATATTCAAACCAATACCAATCCTCAACTTCCAAAAGAAGACTTTTACAAAGAGTTAGCTGAACAGATTCAGGTCATAACTGAAGATCAATCTTTTTGGGTAAATATTAAAAAGTTAATTTATTTATGTTCTATTAATATTGATTTACTTAGGTGACGAATCTATCTAATGCATCTTCAGTGATATTCCATGAACTGAATAGTTTAGCATATTTTCAAGAAAAACCTATCAACTGGGCTGGTTTTTATATTACTAATCCAAAGAATGATCAACAACTAATACTTGGTCCTTTCCAAGGCAAGGTAAGAAAAAAAAAAATAAAAAATAAAAAATAATAAACAATGATTTATATGAATAGGTTGCTTGTACAGAAATTCAATTCGGTAAAGGTGTATGTGGAACAGCAGCAAGTACTATGCAAACTCAAGTGATACGTGATGTTCACCAATTTCCTGGTCATATAGCTTGTGATTCAGCATCTAATTCGGAAATCGTTGTTCCTTTAGTGGTGGACGGGGTAAAAAAAAAAAAAAAAAAAAAAATGACCATTACATGATTTTTTTTTTTTTTTTTTACTAATGAACCACATTCTTTTTTTTTTTTATTCAAATATATAGCGACTTGTTGGAGTATTGGATATTGATTGTCAAGAAAAAGAAGGTTTTGATGATACTGATAGAATAGGATTAGAAGCAATTGCCAAAATTATTGTAGACAATTGTACTTGGTAGATCTATTATTTAGCATATTATCAATAAAAAATGCACAAAAGTTGGATACAGTTTTTTTGAAAGGGGGTTGACGGGTTTTATTTATATTCTCCCTTAATATTGATGATGATGATGATATTGGTTCATTTATCTTGTCTTCTTTTTTTTTTTTTTTTATCTTTCTCCTTCTTTTCTTTTTTCTTTTTATCTTTTTTTTATTTTAATACATATTCTTCAATTACTCTTTCTCTCTCTCTTTTTTTTTAATACTTCCATGGATTCACATTTGTTATTACCACCTTCACCAACAGAACAACAAGATTTGAAAGATTTGGTTCATCAGGTACATTTATAAGGAAAAGATTGGCGTTTTAAAAAAAAAATAAGTCATGGAATGTTTTTCTTATTATTTTGATCATTCTTTGCAAATGTCATATATATATATCTATATATCTATATATATTTATATATTTACACACTTCCTGTATTTATATATTTATATCGGCATATTATAGCATCCACAGGTCATCTCTTCAACTTTCAATGATATTGAACAAAATCATTTAATGGATTCAACTTCAAAGCCTAGTACTACTTCTATGGAATCTTGGGCTGTAAAACAACAACAACAACAACAAGAACAAAAGGATCAAGAACCATATCAATATCATCATCATCACCATCATCATCATCACCATCATCACCATCATCATCATCCTATACCTATCCCACATCAATCATCATTCACAGAAGACGACAACACCTCCTTTATCATGGAAGAGCATTCAACCAATCATGATTCTGAAAGTATCACAGCATATACCAATACTCCTAGAACAACACCATCTTCTTCCCCTTTAATATACCCAAAAGATATTGATGTTCCAACGTATAATTTACCAGTATTATCAGAAGTTGGAAACAACGGTGATGATATCATGATCATCACAGAATCAAAGAAAAAATCCATTAGATCACGCTTTAAGGATGTCTTGAAGAAATCTAATCTCAGCTCTAAAGCCAATAGCACCAATAGCAGCAGCAGCAGCATAAATAGCAATGTGGGCGGCGGCGGCGGTAGAGGAGGTGGCGGCAGAAACAACAAAAATCGACCTCCTACTTTTCTTTTTCTCCCTTCTTCTTCTTCTCCTATTCCAAATTCAAACCAACTTTCCGAATTAGACAAACGTCATTCTACATCTTCTACTTTACTAACCAACCGTCACTATCAACTACAACAAAAACACGATAGTAAAGCTCGTTCTTGGCATCATCCTTCCGTCATCAATGCTCCCATACCTTCTCTTTCCGATAAAGTCAATAATAATGATATCACATCTCCTCTCTTCTTAGCATCACCCAGTATGGAAAAGGACAGCTATTGTTCATCAACCTCTTCAAATTCCTCAGAAATAAGTCCTGCACCCCTGACTCCAACAACTACTACCTCTACAGAAACTACTCTAGCCACCAAGAACACGAATGCCGCCACTACTTGCACTGGGTCCCTACCTCATCTCCATGAATCTCCTCGTCGTCAGGTCAACAGTGACATTAACAACAATCCCGCAGATGATGATGTACAAATGTCACCTATCTCATCACCAACCCCTTTGACAGCCGTACCAACTTCTCGTTTTTTGACCGCCTTTCAAAAAATTCGTCAACAAAAATCAACCGATCTCTCAGTACAAACAGCAGCCCATGTTGAAGTGACACCATCGCCTTCCGTTGCCGTTACAGGTTCAAAAAGTACTTCGTTTGCAGAGAAAATCAAAACCAAATTCCAATCCAATATGACCAAATCAACTCATCGCCCTTCTTCTCGTCTACCTACATCAACAATGATGAAAAGTAGTACCACTACAATGACAACACCAAAGACTACAAGTACTACAACATCCACCAAGACATTTACGCCTACACGACGAACACCCATGTCTCCTACATCCGCTTCTCCTATGGCTCAATCTTGGTCTCATTTCTCTAGAACATTTACACCTTCTTGCTCTATCAAACATGATCATCTCCCACAACAAAAACAACAACAACAACAACAGCGCAATGGATCATCACCATCATCTGTATTGAAGAAAACACAGCAACAGTCCATAAATGAAAGAAAAGGTATGACTAGCCCTCAACCTGAACATTGTTATAGATCCACTCGTCCTCATAGGAACAGTGTGAAAGGTACATATATAAAAAAAACAAAAAGGATATTCGCTAGTGATTCCAATCTCACTTTTTTTTTTTTTTTTTTTTTAATAGATCAAACCCTGACCATATCTGAAAAGCAATCGCCATTACCTGGACATACATGTGGAAATAAAAAGTTATCCCATCAACGTGTTCCACAAGTACAACAGCAAAAAATTAAACGAAGTAATTCAGTTATGGCTTTACAAGTAGGATACAACAGCATCAAAGATGACAACAACACGATGAATTCAGTATCAAGTAATAGTCAAACATTCCATGCTGACTCACAAGTAACTGAAAGCAACATGATCATATCACCTTCATGCTCCATATCATCTCATCATTCGTCCTCCAGTACTTTATCTGTCACAGTATCATCATCATCATTATCATCAATAGCATCCGTTAAGGAATCAATGGAAACAACGAAATCATCATCAGAAGCAAAATCAGAATTACCCAACAAAAGAACAGATAAGAATACAAATAAATCAACATCATCATCATCAACTTCCTCAACGACATCCAGTTTATCTTTAGCCAGCAAAAAGAAACGACGAACAAAAAAGAGGGAATCGACATCATCAGCTACCTCCTCCACTTCTTCTGAATCAACTGATACTTTAACTATATCATCTTGTGCACCCACACCGACAGCTACCACCACCACTACATCCACCAACCCATCATCGATTCTCAACATGAAAAAGAAAAATTCTGGTTCACCTCGTTTGACTCTAAAATCACCGAAACGCAACCTAGGTAGACCCAAACAAAATGAAATAAAAGCATCATCCGTTGTATCCACTATTGACGATAACAATAAGAAAAAGAAGAAGAAACTTCATGTTCGCTTCATCACTACGACCAAGGTACAGGATACATTTTCCAAACATGATTATGATCGAGCTTCCGATCCATATGCGGTATGTACTCGATTGACGGCGCTATTGGCTCAACAAATCAAGGATGAACTGAATACATTCAAGCTGCAAGAAATGATGGTCCATCATCAATCCCGGGGGAACACGCATTTCTTTTTGTAGTTTAGTCCAGTCCTTTTGATGATTTTTTTTTTGTCCTCATTATCATCCTCTTATTTTTTTTTATATATACATCTTTCTTCTTATTACTCTTATTCTTCTTATTTTTAGTATTATTTACACAAATGGATTATTTAATTTTCAATAAACCAGTTTTTTTTTTTATGTCTTTCGAAAGGGATGAGTAGAAAATAAAAAAAAAGAAGGGGTATGATGCGGGATCTAAAGAGATTTGATGCAAGTATCTTTTTCTGGTAGATGCGTTTGTGCTGTGCATCACTTTATATATACAAAAAGAGGTGATAAGAGTCTACGGGAGATACAAATAAACATGTAAAGACAAAAGATAAATAAAAAAAACAGAATAGGCCTTTTTTTTTAAAAAAAAGATAATAATAAATAAAACGTTTTATTGATGTTTTTAAACATAGAAAATGATATTTTCGGATGTCGGTTGTGAAGTAAAAAGGGTTTGTATCTACAGTTCCAAACGTATATAAAAGAAAAAAAAAAATAGGAGGATATGCGTGAACATATATATACATAAAATAAAAGTATACAACATAATGATCATAATTAGTAACATAACATAAAAGGGAGATTGTAAGTACACACATACATACAATAAAAAAAAAAAAGGAAAACGGAGTATACACACAAAAAGATAATAAAAAAAAAAGTGAGATGTCAAAGAAAGAAATAGAAGGAAAAAGAAAGAAAAAAAAAAGATCAAGAAACACACTACTTGACTTTAGTTTTTCTTTCATCGCCATCCATATCTAACCAGGTGTAGGGAGGTAAAACACACAAAGATGAGGGGAATCAACTATCATTTTGTAAAAGAAAAAAAAAAAGAAGGATTCGGAAGGGGGAAAGAATGGAATTGGGATCAACTGTTTGAATTTCCAAAGTGCAGTTTCTTGTTTGTTCCAAAAAAAGAAAACCAAAGTGGAGAGAAACCAAATCAGTGTAAAGATCACGTCAAACCCAACATGGGAGTTGTCGTTGAATGATGAATTGTCATGGGAATCATACAACGAGAAGTCATACATCTTGTTGCTGTTTTTTGCCTTGCTCGACCTAATAGTACTAAATATATATATAAATTTTAGTTCAATTCTCTTTTTTTTTTTTTTCTTGTACATGTATGATTCACTTACATTGACATCGAATCCTTTCCAAAGCAGAGCCAGGACAATCTTGAATTGTAAATCCATCATCCGTTTCAGCAAACAAATCAATCAAATCAGAAGAAGCTAAATATTCCATGGTTTTCCATTGTCCCAAAGCAGCTGCATAATGCAAAGCAGTCCATCCTATCAAAAAAAAAAATCATCAATATGACAAAAATCAAAAAAAAAAAAAAATTATTACCATCTGCATCGACTTGATTCAAATTCACTTGGACTTGATTAACCAAATACCGCACAATAGAATGATGCCCATACATTAATGCCAATTGAAGAAGTGTTCTATTCTGACCACCCGCTACACCGCCATGATCATCATATAACAGCCAAGAAGTATCCATTTGATTGTCCATAATCACTTGATTCAGTTCTTGCAAATCCCCTCGTATACATGCTTCCGCCAAAACCACTTTGGGATCAAACCGAACATGAGGTCGACCAGGATCATCATCATCATCATCTGTTGACTTTGTACTATCAACAAACGAACGATCAACCCCGCCATCATCAATAGAATCACGCCTTGCAGTAGCTACTTTTATATCTTGATGATCCGTTCTTGTTGTTGAATCCAAAGCATCATCAGATAAATGTAACACGTCTTGATCCAGTCCATCCATTGACATAGCATCCTTAATCACCCTGCCATCCAAACCAAGTAAAGGAGGAGACCAACATGTTTCTTGATCCTGGATATCACCATCACCATCATCATCGTCATCACCATCATCGTCGTCATCATCATCGTCGTCATCATCCTCCTCTTCTTCTTCATGATCAAAAGAAGGAATGGCTAATGATGGCGGCAAAGGATCCACACTAAAGACATTCCGTTTCAATTCTTGATGTTGATGATGGACAAAATTTGCTGAAGGATTGATAAGAGATACATGACCACCATGAGGATCAAAAGAATGCATCACAGGAGGACCATCAGACCATTCCAAAGGAGAAGGATACGTACCACCCCAATTGGCTACTGGTTTCATACGAGCATCACGCCGAGCAATAATAGGCGGCTTCCTATCCTGTTGTTTCCTGGGTTTTTCAATAAGACCTGTTGAATCAGTTACCAAATCAGGAGGTTCCAAATCAAGCTGTTGTTTTTTCTTCTTCAATTTGGATATGGCTTGTTCCATCAAGATACGACAATCCGAAGTGCAACAACAGTCCAAAGCAGTCCAACGTTGTCCATTGACGGTATCTGGCGCCACACCCATATCCAATAAGAGCTGTACCACACGAGGCATACCCAAGAAACAAGCAAGATGTAATGACCCATTGCGATTGCCCCATAAATGATTGATAAAGAGCGAGATGTCCTTATCAGTTGCCTGTTGTCGCACCAATTGAAGAAGATAGCACGCAATCGCCTCATGTCGATGAAATAATGCCAATTGCAAAGCATTCAGATCAGTAGTTGACTTGCCAAACGTTGCTTTCACTTTGGATCGAAAAGAGGATGGATCATCATTGAAAGGAACCAATTGAAGTACACGATGCTTATGAGATGCAGGATACAACGATGCATCATTAGTCAATCTTGAAGTCAATAAAACACGAAGTACATGACTAGCCTTGTTAGGATCTTGACATAACTTGACCAATTCTTGTTGATTGTTATCAGCAATCAGTTGTTGAATAGATCTCCAAAGACGTGAAGGCGAACAACATGTTGCTGAAGTACATTTTTGTTTTGCATGATGAGGATGATTGGAGTCACCATGACCAGTATCAGATAAAAGAGTTGCAGTAGCCATTTAGAAAAAAAAAAAAGGTATAATCAAAAAAGGTGATATTGCTTGTTTTTTTTTTTTGTGGAAGGTTTTGAGAATGGTATAAAAAAAAGGTGATGGATAAAAAAAAAAAAAAAGAAATCAAAAAGATATAAGATACAAATGGAGAGAAAAATAAAGTATACAAAGTGTACAAAGATACAAGAAGAAGATAATAAAAGATAGATAAAGATATCCTTTATAGTAAGATGATGAAATCTTTTTCTTTTTTTTTTTTTTGAAAAAAAAAGTAAAGAACAAAGAAAGAAAGAAAGGAAAAAAAAAAAATAAAAAAAAGTTTATATATACAAAAAAAGAGAGACGGAGATCGAATATCCAGAGTTGGGTATATGTTATGTTTATATGCATAATCAAATCAGTTGAAATATCAAGAGGTCCCCTTCCCTCTCCCCCCTTAACGCCCATGACTATTTAGTTTAAGATGTTACATTTTAATACTCAGTTTGTTTTAATTTGGTCATACAAATAAAAAATATCACTAAAAATGATCTTGACAAGATTAATAAACAAGATGGCGTAAAAGGTTTAATAACAAAAAAAAAAGATTCTTTATGTAGATGAAAATAAGATAATAAATATTAATATATCTCTATTCAATGAATAATATTTATGACCTAGAACGGTTAAATAGATGTTTATATATATAAAAAAAAAATAATTCTCATTTGTTTGAAAACACCTGATTTCAAAAAAAAAAAAGAAAGGTTCCCAACATCATATATGCAATTTCATCATGTAAGAATATTCTTTATTCGATTACCCTAAGATAATTTTCAATCTCCTCTCTCTCTCGCTATCTTTTCAATACTTCCTTTTTTTCTTCTTCTTTCTTCCTTTTTTTTTTTTTTTTCTCATTCATAATGTCAAAGGATGTATTATTATTATATAGAAATTCTTTCTTTTTCTTTTCTGTTCTTTTGTGACCATTATCCAAATAAAATTAAAGAAAAAAAATTTGAATGATTTTTATATACTCACTTGTGAAATATCACTCTATTATGACTATCAAGATTATTTTTTGATAAATGACATGCAATAAACATCAATGATCATTGGATAAATTCTTTTATATTATAAAGGTAAAATAGAATAGATTTTTTTTTTTTTACTCACTTGACTATATTAAACTTTGATATAATACGCGTTCCATACTTATTTTGTTTTAGAATATTCGCGTCGTGATTCATCCGTTACCCATGACCTCCCAAGGTAAATCCCGCCGATGCCGTAAAAAAAAAAAATAATGTTTCATTGAACTAAATAGATGTTTATTATTTATTATTATTTGTTATGTTAGTCAAAAAGGAATGAATCAAGATATATGATCGTGGGGAACTAGTATTAGGTTGTACAATATCTATTCATCCTAATGACGTTTTTATTCAAGATCGATTCTATTGTATATTTTACAATGACATTTTTTATATTTGAATGATTTGGTAAATAGAATATTATTTTCAATTGAATTGAAAAAAAAGCTTACATTCTCTTTTTTTTTTTTTTGTGATTAAATGATAGAATTGCCAAGAATATACTGCTATATCGTAAGTTTATCATTCAACAAACAACAAAAGAGAAAAGATGATTCATCGTTAAATTCTTGTTTACGTTTGGACAACCAATAGTGACCCTCCCTGTTTAGCCGAAATCATAGTCCTTCCCAAATCCCCCCCCCAAAAAAAAACTACAAAGCATGTGATCTCGTCTATTTAGCCTCTTTTTCTCCTTTTTTTTTAATCCTTTCTTCCCTTTACTTCTTTTTCCTTTTTTTTTTTTTCTATATACATATATTTTCTTAATTTTTTTATCATCTATCACCCATCATTCATTATAGTATTATCAAGAATGGCTTTAGAAGAAAAAAGACATCAATCACCGTAATAATGTCACTTATACATCTGTATTGGAAATAGAAGAAAACATTGCAACATGGAAAGACGGACAAACATGTCTATGCCAAGATAGTTCGTGATGATCTTCTTAACTTCTATCATGATTCACCATTCATCAAGAAACAAAAGCCGGGATAGATATCGTGACAAGGCGTATGCAGTTGGTGACAAAAGATAGACTTGTGAAAGGATCTGGTGTAACTTCTCTGATGGATTAGTACATTTTAAATCTTTTTTTTTTTTATCAGAACAAATAAAAAACAAAATTTTTTATTATTATTATTATATAAAACCGCTTTTTTTTTAAAAAAAAAAAAAAAAAAAAAAAGAAAGAAAAGAAAAGAAAAATATTGTATTCACATATACATATTGAAAAAGATCCTCGATTTGACATTGAACATTGATTACCGGGATCTACACTTAAACTCCATATGATTGGTGATGAATTTAAAAATTGCTCAGCCAAGTTAAAGCCAAAAAAAAAAAAAATGACTTGGCGAATTTTTTTTTTTTTAGGTGATCATAAAAAAAGAAGGAGAGACGTTACACAACTAAACTAAATATTGACGGTAGATTTTCCTTACTCCTTCATTTCCCACTTTAACTATTTCTTTGGAAGAATGACAAAATTTTCCCCCTTTTTTTTGATGATGATGATGATGATGATGATGATAATGATGATGATGAGTATCTCAAGTAATATAAGAAAAGAAAATTTGATATTCATTCTCTCCTATACGTCATATACTGACCAAGCTTATCTTCACTTGATACTGCATCCAAACTAGAAATAAATAAATTTTCAATCTCAGTATGGCTGGTTTAAAAAAAAAAAAGGAAAAGCGATCTTCCTTTTTTCTTTTTTTTTTTTTCCTTCGTTTTTCTTTTTTTCTTTTTCTCTTTTTTATTGTTTTGAACATTGCTTGGATACGAATAAAAGTCTCTATAGAAAGAACTGAAAAGAAGGATCTTCTTATACTCAAAAGTTCTTCATTCAACGAATAGATATAAATACAACCAAACAATGAAGGATTCCTTATTCAAGTTGTTTAGTTCTGTTCGCCTTGTACAAGAAGTATCTCGATCAACTTCATCTCCCGCAACCAATGATCTTGACAACAGTAACAACACTACTTCATCCTTAGTTTCACCAGGCAATGTCTCAATGTATCCAACAACAACTAATATTATTGTTGACCAACAACAGCAGCAACAACAACAACAGCAACAGCAACAGCAACAACAACAGCAGCATATCCTTAATACAACATCTACATCATCATCATTAGACATTACTTTATCAGTACCACAAGACTCATCGTTTCCTTTCTTTTCTCAAGATATAAATACCATGGACAATGATACAAATACCTCATTCAAGTCAACATTGATACCTATCGTCAAATCAGGACGAACTTGTCGTTCTACCAACTTACAATCTCAAAACGGTGGCAATGGTCGACGAGCTTCGAAATTCAATAGTGTACGTCGAAATCGGCAACCTTCTTTATCAAGGACATTACCAAAAATCTTGAATAATAGTGGAAGAAGTAGTAACAATAGTAGTGTTATCTGGCGTCAATCAACTCCTCCTTCACTATCAATACTATCATCAACATCACAACAAGATGAATCAACATCCAGATTGCCATCACGGAAAAATGATATGAACAACAATACAGCAGGCACAAAATCCAAATCGCAAAAGTTATTATGTTTATGGCCACTTCCAACAATGACTAGATACACCATTCTCCTATCAGTCCTGATCTCCGCTCTCAATGCATGTCAATTGATTCATCTCACCTGTTCATCTCCCAAATATGTGCTTTTTCGGCATGAAGTTATCAATCTCTTATTGTCTCCGTTTTTGTTCAACTTTACTCTTCATGGCCTTGTTTTGTTTGGTTGGAATGTTTTGATTTTGGGTCTATTTGAAGAATCTTTGGCTCAACCTCTTGGTGGCACTCGTCGATTTTGTCAGGTTGTGTCCTCCATTGTTCTTGCTGTCTGTACTATTCGACAAGGTATTGGCTATTTGTTTTCCAAATCTACTGGATGGGCTCTTCCAACATTGTTCTTTAGTGATTCTATACATGAATGCAATCAAGGTAAAAAAAAAAAAAAAAAAAAAAAAAAAAAAAAAAAAACGAAAAAGAAAAAGAAAGAAGAATGATGATATTTACATTTTATTTTCTTATTGTTACATTGCACAGGTTTAGCTCCTTTTCTATTTGCATTGTTGATTATCCAATCAGTTAGTATTGATGACAAATATATCTTGATCTTTGGTGAAGATGAAGATTCCAACTACAAATTGACAATACGCAAGGTGACTTTACAACTGATCATGTTATTAGTGAATTATACGGTGAAGAATATTTTATGGTGGTCTTTGACAGGTTTACTTACTGGGTACTTGGCAACAATTGTTATTCAAGCAACTTATTTACCACGCGAAGATGATGGATTTTATATGTTAACTCACACTTCGGAAGATCAAGAACAAGGATCAACGTCATCCTTTTATGGTGAATTGAATGAAAAGACCTCTTCATGGAATGGATTATTGGATCCTTATCGACGTACACCTCTTTGGCGAATTCTTTGGACAGCAATTAAACGAGGCACAGTAGTCATGATGATTACTTTACCTTTACTATTGTTATGTAATGCTTATTATACCCAGGAACATTTTGTGGATGAACTGACGCTGAACAATGCCCTTAGTAAGGATCCTTACTTGTTTTCGTTTGTGATTATGACGGCTCCACGACGCGATGATCCTCCTTTTTTGACTCAAACATTACAAAGTTATATGGATCAATGGCCACTTCTACCACCGTCTCCTTCTTCTTTGTCTTCCATGGTGAAAGCTCCTTCACTCTATGATCGTCTTCAAGTCATTGTTTATACTCACTTTTCCAATCACTCTGAATATGATCGTGCTTATGATTATTTTAGTCAAGATCCTAAAGGTCAACGTTATATCAAATGGATACGTGAAGAAGGCAATGTATGGAATCATCGATTACATATTTCAAGTGCATTACGCCATGCTACCTCTAATGCATCAAGTACTTATGTAGCTCTTTTGGAAGATGATTTCCCTATCTGTGGACGACATGCTTGGCGTGAAATTGAAAATATCATTTATGAAGCAAATCAACAAATTCCTAATCATTGTGGTGTCTTTGTTGGTACTGGTGGAAGGTAACAAAAAAAAAAAAAAAAAAAAAAAAAAGAACTAACATTTTTTTTTTTTTGTAGTGGGTTATTTTTGAAACCTAGTACAGCCAATTTGGTATCTAGATTATTATTGGAATATACTGATATGCCACCAGATATTGTGATTCAAAAGTGTTTATTAGGGGAACTAGTTGAATGTGTTTCTTGTCGACAAACATTGGTGATCAGTAAGACATTACTTATGCGTCATATTGGTTTTAATGCATCCACTAGTCAAGAACGAAAATACAAAAAGAATGAATTTCAATGTGGTTGGCGCCATCCTTTTGTAAGTTTTTATTCTAATGATAAATTCAAAATGACTAATTATTTGTTTTATATATTGTTTAGAATGGTGATCCTGATGTGATTACAATGTGATCTCTCTTTTTTTTTTATAGTTAGTATTTATTTGTAGTTTATCTTAGACCCCTTTATTTTTATTAATATCTTATTTATTGGATTTCGTCATTTTGCAAACAAAAAGTGTACAATATAATACTTCCTTTTCCCTCCTTCATACATATCATTTTGTATATTTTCAAAAAATAAAATAAAACGTTTTTCAACATTCATTTCTTATTTATCATTGTTTTATCAAACGTAATTTGAGACAAAAAAATAAAGAAAAAATAAAATTGAGAGTGAAGGGGAAACCAAATAGGACAATACACTTTATTCAATAATAAATGATGCAAAAATAGGAAATAAACTATAGTAAGGATAGAAAATAGATGACAGAAGAATATAAGCTGTCGCACAATCTAAATTGAATACGAGAAGAAGAAAAGGAGAGGCAGTAGTTCCATTGTGTACAAGTAAAATTGCCAATGAATTTGAATACCTAAAATAGATAAGATGAAAAAAAAAAATCAATGAATAAAAAGAAAAAAAGGTATGATTATTCAACATCATTTACATAAATAATTCGATTCACTTACCCGTAAACTTGAACAGTTTTATCTGTTCATTGCAATATCAGTAGGGGTCATCACAGTGCTAGCAGGGCGACAAAAGGCTTAGTGTCTTGATTGTCCGTTCTCTTTTTTAAAAAAATAAAGTGTATCAGTGATTAATCTACTCAAATATATTCAACTTTTGTGTCTTTTATCTTCTTACTTGTTCTCTGAAGTACGGATATCGGATTTTGCCACGCCACTTGAATACTTGCTTCCCTCACCAACGAAAATGTCCTTCATTTCTGTATCAAGCTTTTGTTGTCCAGTGTGATTAGCAAAAGAGGCACGTCGAAACATTATATCGCCGTAAAATTCAACCAAGGCCTCGAGACGTTTCAATATATATATATATATATATATACAGAGTGTCTCATCAGTCGCGATAAGTGAGTTGTTTTCGGTGATGCTATGTTGGTTTCAATGTCGATGATAGCTTGATTTGTCGTCTTTGATTTATTGATCGCATTTTTTTTTTCGCCGTAGTTCTCGCATAAAATCAACCATTGCGTTCACTTGATTCAGTAATACTTCTTTTTTGTCGTCTTGTAGTTTGAGGGAGTTTGCGAGACTAATTTTTCGTGTTGCTGCTTCGTTTTGGCCAAGTAGAGCAGCCTTGATGTCATTGAAAGGGATAGGATGGAAAGGACAAAGAGGCACTAGAGTGTGGTGGTTGTTCATCATGGATCCCAGTCTTGAGATATCGTTGGCAAGGTGAAGTTTCTTCGTTCTTTTGCTTTTGTTGAAGTTCTTGAAGACCCTTTTTTCTTTTTGACGCTTGATTTCTTCTTTTTCTTGTGGAATTGGTTTGCGTTTCTTTGAACCTAAAGTAATTTATAAGTTAGAATTATGATACAAAAAAAAAAAAAAGAAAACACGCCTTGATTCCTGGGGATAGGTATTGTTTCACTTACTTGATTCCCCTTTATATCGCTTGTTCTAGGAATGACCGACCGTCTTTGCAATCCATTCGACTACAACGTTTACATGCTAAGTATCAAAAAAAAAAAAAAAAAAAAGAGAGAGAGAAAGTAAGTATCTGTCGCGTTCTCCCTTTTTCTGCATCACATACCTTGACTTGTACTACCTGTGTACCTTTCTGGCATAAATGCTTTCTTGGTTTGTATACTTTTTGACATTCCATCGTAAAGACTTTGTTCATGAGAATGTTGCATTTATTATTGGAAACGGTATAATTATTTTTTAAAAATAATAACGAGAAAGAGCAACGAAAAAAAAAAAAAACAATAATAATAGTAAAAAAAAAAAAAAAAAAATTGATAAAAGAGTTTTCAAAGTTTTTTGTCGGGTCACAAGAAAATGCTTTTCGTGATGTTATAAAATAAAAAATCGTACTTTCCCCAAATGGATGTCGCATTGCCACTTTTTTAGATATCGCTCCAGAGATGTCAGTAGAGTTTGTCATTGATTGATGATTGATGATTGATGACTGATTGTTAGCTGATTCTTTTCAACAGGCCATATTTGGAAAAAAAAAGAACTATATTTTTTATATTGTATCATATAAGACAGGGGTATACTAATGTAATATTCATATCTTGTGATGTTGATGTAAATTTGCATAATAGTTCCTTTCTTTTTTTTTAAAAAAAAAAAATCATTTACTGGGGTCTTCTTTGTTTATTTTCATTAACTGAGACATTCGATCGATCGATAACGAATGTAAATTTGCATAATAGTTCTTTTTTTTTTTTTTTTTACTAGGGTTTATTTTATTCCTTGATCAAGTGAGAGATATAAAAAAGTGCTATTTTATTATTCTTTTTTTTCTGTTTCTTTTTTCTCTTTTTTTTTTTTTTTTTCTTTTTGAAATCTCTCTTGGTGTTCAAAGTGAATATCAAACTGTAACAGCAACATATAAAAATATGTTATCGCCTCTTCGGAGGACGCATTTAATGCTATTCTACAGGTAATTTGAAATAAATATAAAAAAAATGGATATGTTGACTAAATAATATTTTATTTTCTGTTATTCAAAATACTCAATGGAACTACTATCACTCCTTTTCTTCTTGTTCTTTTTCTTCTTCTTATATTCTCTATTTGGTTACGCGTCAACTCTCTCTTTTCTTCCCCATCATTTATTTTCTTTCCTTACTATATATTTTATTTCCTATTTTTGCGACATCTTATTCTTTGAATTCCGTCATTTTTTATTGAATAAAGTGTACCTGACAATCCCCTATGCTAACAAAGGACGTCTATTGCATTCCCTTCAAAATAACGTAACTTTTGTCAATATCAACCCAAATCACTCTTTCTTTTTTTTAAAATAAATCTTTATATTCTTACATACAATTTATAATTAATCATCTAGTTACATCATTTATTCTACCATCGTCTCCAATTATTTGATAGAACATAAAAATCACTAAACTTTGGAGGACAAGTGGATTATATTTTGTATTTTATTTCAAGTTTTTTCATTGATAGTTTCACAGTATTTCTTATTATATATTAATTCTTTTTATATTATTAAATTTGATGTTTGGTATTTTTAATCTTTCTTTACCATAGATATTCAATGAATACAAGGAATATAAAATAAAGATATTCACTTGGAAGAATTCATTCTAATGTATCATTCATCATCAACTATTATTCGTCGATCATCAATTTGTTCATTTCGAATCATTTATTTCCGTAATATATACATATATAAAAGAATCATCGCAAATATGTTCGAACACTGATGCAAACAGGCATCTAATCGGAAGGCAGAAAAAAAAAAAGCAAAAATCCAGTAATAATAAAATAGATAAGATCAGTTTTCAAATAAAAAATATGAATTTTTCATCATAGTCATCATTGTTATGTCATTTCATGTTTCCTACCTTGATATGAAAAAGTTTTAACCTTATTACCTTTTGCATGATAGGGCTGAGCAAAAAAGTGATTTTCAGGTCAGAAAAAAAAAATTTCTATCAAAATGAAAAAAATTTTTTTTCTATTTCTTTTTTTTTTTTTTTTTCTTCCCTTTTTATCATTACAATGATGATACGACAATTAGTACAAACTGGTTCTTGTCGACAGTTTTCAGTCACTTCTATAGCATGGGCTAAAAAAACGAAAAAGACCAACAAAAATGAAACATCTCCTGTGTTATTAGGCCGACCTTCCAATCATCTCAAAATGGGTGTCGTGGGTTTACCGAATATTGGGTACGTGAAAATGAAAGTGTCTTCCAACATGTATCTCATTTTTTTTTTTAATAATAATAAAATAGAAAATCCTCCTTATTCAACGCCTTGACCAATAGTAGTGTTCCTGCTGAAAACTATCCCTTTTGTACCATTGGTAAGAATCACCAAAGAGAAAAAAAAAAAAAGAACTTTTCTTGACCTTTTTTTTTTTATTATTATTATTATTATTATTAGATCCTTCTGAAGCCCTTGTTCAAGTCCCAGATACAAGATTTGATTGGTTATGCAATACATATCAACCCAACAAGATCACACCTGCACATGTAAGAAAATACTTGTTTTGTTTTTTTTTATCTCTTCTGATATATACATATATATATATATTGATAGTTGACAGTGTTAGATATTGCAGGCTTAGTACGCGGGGCAGCACAAGGAGCAGGTTTAGGCAATGCATTTTTAGCCAATGTGGGTTCAGTGGATGGATTGTATCATCTAGTACGTGCATTTGAAGATGATGATGTGACTCATGTGGAAAACACAGTGGATCCACGGCGTGATCTAGGGATTATTCAAGATGAACTACGATTGAAAGACGAGGAAAGCATGGAACGAACATTGACTGAATGGACACGTCTGGCTACTAAACCATCAGCCAGTCGCACATTAAAGGATCAACTACAGATCTTGGAGCAAGTCACAACATTTATGGCTAATGGTACTCGTGATGTTCGCAAGGGACAATGGACTCAGGAACAAGCTCAAGTTATCAATTCTTTACATCTTTTGACAGCGAAACCTATGGTATATCTATGCAATGTTAGTATGGATGATTACCTTTCTGGGGTAACCAAGGATATTCGATGGTATATATTAAAAAAAAAAAATCCATTCATTCATTATCTTTTTGGTTTATATAGGCTGACTGATATTCAAGAATGGGTGAATGAAAATAATCCTGGTGATATCATTATCCCCTTATCTGTATCATTTGAATCAAAGGTATGTGAGGAAAAATAAAAAAAAGTATAGGATGATCCTTTGATACTTTTTTTGTTTTTAAAATTTAGATCTCGGAAATGGGATTGGAAGAGCGGACAGATTACTTGGCTTCTGTAGGTGTTGAATCACAATTACCCAAAGTGATCTTGGCAGGTTACAAGGCGCTTCATTTGATTCATTATTTTACCTGTGGTCCTCAAGAAGTCCGTGCTTGGTCTGTGCGGGTAAGAAACTGACAGTTTGACTAAACAAATCCACTGATTCTTTATTGATATATCTAGGATAATTCAAAAGCTCCTGAAGCCGCTGGTGTTATTCAGTAAATCATCATCAACATAAATATGACCTTTTTTTTTTTTTTTTTTTTTTACTCACCTCTTCTTTTGATATTTTTTTAGTACGGACTTCACTCGTGGATTTACTGGGGTGGAAATCATGAAATACAATGATTTATATCAATTGAAAACAGAAGCCGCTGTTCGATCTGCAGGGAAGCTCTTACAAAAAGGAAAAGACTACATCATTGAAGATGGAGATATTGCTCATTTCAAGGTAAGAAAAAAAAAGATAGCATATGTTTGGAGAAGCTGTTTTTGAAACAAAACTCATACTTTTTTTTTTATGTGTCAATCTTCAACATCCTTAGTTCAATGGTAAGTTCAAAAGAAATAATATATATCCAATGCAAATGACTAAATAACGTTCATGTTTATAGTGACCAACAAGAAGAAATAGAATGTAGATAGATAGAACTATTAGAAATGGATTGAATAGACAAATTAGAATGAATGAATAAATAGAATCAGTTGATGTTTTTTTTTCAGTTTTATTATTTTTATACTCTGGATAATGAGATGATAGTATGATATGCGGTGATGATGTGACAGTTTTACAGTATGAAGAACCATACTTGCATCTCATCTAACCTTATCAGGCAAGGACCAAAAGCTAATGGACAAAAAAAAACATACGATCATCAAGTATGCAAGACACAAATTGATAATGCTGTACTACATACCAAAAAGTGATGAATATTTCAGATGAAATAGAATAGGAAAAAACAAAACAACAAAGTCAAATTTATTTCAGTTTTGATTGTGGAAAGTTGACTAACTAGTCAAGATAATAATGAATAAAAAAGAGAAATATAAGGTAAATAAGTAAGTAAATAACTAACAAAAAAAAATAAATAAATAAATAAATAAAAAGAATACAAACAGAATGATAGAAAGGAATGGATGGGGGTAAATCTAAGATAAAGGAGCAACATTAGTTTCTCTTGGCTCCAAATGTAAAGAGCGTTCATATAAGGTTTCAACATCACGACTTGTTTCCAAATGAGACTTGATGAAATCTTGTAATTCAGGCACGACATGGAAGGTATAAGGAGGACTTTGGAATTGTTTGATTTCTTGAATGACTTCAGCACATTTTTGTCGTTTGGCAAAGTTGATTAATCCTTCAGCCTTTTTCAAATAATCCGGATTGCCATCTTCGATAAATGTCAAATCTTGTAAATAGATACCCAGGAATGGAATACATGGTGGATTCACAGAATGGATCATTTCTCGGTATTCAGTAAAGTTGCGATTCGCACCCATCAATTTACGGATTTGTGATAATACTTGACTCGTTCGATTACCCAATAATTCCCAAGTTTTCTTCAATCGTCCAATCGCACTGTTATCAAATGCTGAAATGATTGCCATACAGGTGTTGTAATTGTTCATGTTCCTACATTTCTTTTATCATAAAAAAAAAATATTAGATTAGTTACATAAATATGATCCTTTTTGAAAAACTTACTTCTGCCACTTGAGCCCAGTATTTGATGATTACTACACGTTTCTTGGCTTCATCATAAGATAAAATACTATCGGTCACCCAGGAAGTCAATCGATTGCAATAATCAATGGATTGGATAACATTGACAGCTACAGGTACACCACCTTTGACAGTATCACGCGACCAAGCCTTGTTCAAACATTCAATCGGTCGAATACCACTGTATAACTTGAAGTCAAGTACACTAAGTTGTCTTGCCATTTCAAGTGGATCGGTTTCCAATAGTCGGATATGAGATATGTTCTTGGGCATAATAGGTAAAGGACCAGTGCTTACCTTGGGTACTAATTTCTTCAATCCTGATTGATTGCTATCAGCTTCTTTTCGTTTTCGTATCAGTCGATTTAATTGATCTGCTGAAAAGGGTGAGGCATCGCGAATCACAGTATTGGTGAAGAATTCTAATCGTCCAAGAATAAATTCATCTTCTTCATCGTAATAATTTTCCAACCAATTCTTGAGAACATTGAATACACTATCATTTATAATATGAGTTAGGATGAAAAAAAAAAATAATTCTATGAAACTCTCTTTTTTTTTTTTTTATTTACCGTAAACGGACTAGTTTCTGTTTGGTTTCTGTCCAAATTTCAAGTTGATCCGGCGTCAAATCATCAGGAGCTTGCATGTTGTATCGATCTTGTAAAAGATTAACAAATTCTTCAGTAGCACAAAAGGAACGATAAGTCAATAAAAAGGTAGCAATATAGCTTGTATCTATATATATATAATAAAATAAAAATGATTAGTATTCTCTCTTTTTTCTTTCCTCCAATTCATTTACCAAAACTATCATGCATCGTCAATCGTTCCACCAAAGCAGCCAGAGTACCACCCTTCACATTATTATCATTATTGAAAAGTAATTCATTAGGTTTGTAATCAGGAGCCAAAAACCAATTGACACAACTTTTATCATCTGTAGCAGGTTTGTTGCGTTTTCGAATAGAAGCCATAGTGCCACGACGTCGAGGATCATCCAAACCACCACTAAGAGATACTGTTGGAGCTACTTCATCTTCTTGTTCATCTGTCGTATCGTAAAAATTGCTAGTGATAGGCGATAAAGACATATCACCACTAACAGAAATCAATCCATCTGTAGGGATCACCATGGGATTAGTATTGTTTCCACTAGGATTGTTATTGCTACCATTATTATTCTGACCAGCTTCTTCTTGCCGAACCATCCATGCATGTCGTTGAATCACCATTTCACCTACATCTGTCAGAATTCCTTCCATGGCGCGTTCTACTCTAGCAATCGCTTGATCAATCGAATGTACTGCCTGTGTTCGTTCATTCATTTGATCTGTCAATTGTTGTACTGTTCCAAATAATTGTCCAACACCATTGAATAGCATTTGTTTATCTGCCCTGTATGATCGAAGCGAGGGAAGTTCATTGTCTACATCCACAATGGCTGGTACATCAATGTCTTCCAAGATACTAAGGAATTGACTGAGATGACTAGATAAACTTCGGAATAGATGTACCACATTGGCTTTGACATTTTCTTCTTCTGCACTGTCTTCATAATGGTGATATTGAGCTGGTCGTTGACTATGTTTTCGTTGTTTTTGTCGTACGAATGTATCGCGACCGTCGTTACCACTATCTTCCTCGTCGTCATTATCATCGTTATTGTCGTCATCGTCATTGTAATCGTTTTTTCCAGTTTTGCTTTTGTCTCCGTCAGCACGATGCAAGGTCAATAAAAAGGAAACAGATGTTGAGAGTGCGTCGGTAGACCCATAAATTTGGTTAGCATGCGTTCGTAAACTGACCACCAGATCTTGATTGAGAGGATATTTCGCCTTTTGAACCATAGTCAATCCAGCATCTGATAATTTCATGGTAGTTCCTACACTTGTTGAAGCTGGTGTTGCTGATGGTGATCCTGATGATGTTGATGTGGTAATAACTGGATGGTGATGAGATGGATCGTCTTGTAATTTTTTCACGGCAGCTAACATTGTCTTGTTATTCATAGTATTCCCAGCAATATGACCAAAGATATGTTCAGGAGTGTCAATGAGTCGTGGATCTACATGAGCTACTTGTACTTGACATTGTTGACAGGTGGTAACAAAGTTGCGAACTGCTGAAAGAACATCACCCGCATCCCGTTGTACCTTGATCACGGTTTCAGAGGAAGCAGAAGAAGAGGGAGTAGGTGAGTCGTTAGAAGTTGCTTCGGCCGCCATCTTTGCAGAAAGAACAAGTTTGGATAAAGAGGCCATAACAGCACGTCGAGGTTCTCGGAGGGCAGGGTCTTGAGTTTGAGATACATCCTTTTCCATTGATCCACTGGCATAAAGCATGACACGAATAGTTTCTACCACTATTGAAGTATTTCCCATTAATTTTTGTCGTTGTCCTTGTTGAGCCACAGTATTGAGTTGATGAATAGCTAATGCAATATCAGAAGAAAGGGTTGACCAAGTGATTTCCGGTTCTAGAGGTGTTTGATCGTCTGATCCTATTTTATCATTTCCTAGTCCATCTCCAGATGAGTTTCCTTGAGTAGTAGGTGTCTCTGGTCCATGTTGATCAGTATCTTGACTAGATGTGTCATCTTGCGTTGTTCGCTATAAAATAAATAATAATAATAAGAAATGAGTTAAATTTTATAAGTATTTTTATTATATTTATATATTTATATATACTTACTAAATGACCAGTGGTTGGATCGATATCTTCATAATTCCAAGTGGTTTCCTGAGTGATCAAATTACAAAAGTAAGGACGACCTTGAGGAGTTTCACGTTGTACCCAAGATTTCATCATCTAGGAAATCAAAAAAAAAAAAAAGAAAAAGGTATATTATTAGTCATCAGAACCTTCCTTTTTATTATTTTTATTATTATTATTATTCATTTTTTTTTCAATTACCTTTTCTACATTATTTTCATCATCATCATCATCATCATCATGTTCATATTCAGTTGCATCTTGAGATTTTGATTGATATGGATAATGTTGTTGTTGGAATTGTCGAGTGATAGCTTCTTCATCGTCACTAGAACCCATACTAAGTCGTTTCAAAGCATCTGCAGTCATAATTTTACGTTCTTCAAAAAAGTGTGTCATAGGTCGAGAAGATTCACCAGTATTATTATTCATAGGATCAGAAGTAATAGTCATTTTTCTGGAATTTATATCATTATCATCACTATCATAGTCACCATCAGAATCTGATAATCCAGGATGTTTAAATCGCATGCCACCAGTCAAATGATTGTAGTAGTAACTCGTTTTTCCATCGTCAGCAACTAATAAATTCCATCCTTCGGGTAAATGAGAATCCAGGCTTGTATCAGATCTTAAGTCATCATCTTGAGAGAAATGTTGATGATAAGATTGTTGATTTTGATAATTTCTAGGAGTAGCTGTTGAAGAGGATGACATACTTTGATTTGTAGACCAATCTTCTTGTTGAGGATAAGCAAGGAACGATAATCTATGATCCATGCCATTTGTTTGATGATTCTGTCTTTGTCGAGGTCGTGGTTGTTCTTGATTCGGCCTTGGTCGTCTACTTGACTTTGGTTGTTGTTGTGGTGGTGGAGGAGTTTGCCTAGAAGAATTGTTTGTACTGCTACTATTGCTACTACTTATACTATATTGTTGTCGTTGTCGTGTAGGTCGTTGTAGTTCCTGTTGACGTTGAAAAGAATGATCAATATCTTCATCAGGAGAAAGAGCAATATCATTGAATTGATCCATTGTACTTTCTTGAATTATTTGAACATAATTACAAGGAAACCAACCTCTCATACCATTACACCTATAGAGAAAAGTAAAAAAAAAAAAAGAGAAATACTAGTTAATATTATTGATTTTCCTACCAAGTACATATTTATATATATATATATTTGTTAATCTTACCAACCATCCCACCAACCGGATTCTAATTGAGTAAGGACATCTATTTCGTCGCCAGGGTTAAAGGATAAAGAGGCCCGTTCGTTCGATTGAAAGGGGTATATTGCACGTACACGGCATATGATTTCAGGCAAGTTGGCCATACAAAATCAACTCAAATTAATGGGAATGAAGTAAATGAATGAATAAATGAATGAATAATAAAATTTAAACAAAAAAAAAAAAAGTAAAAAAGCTACAACCAAAAAAAAAAAGAAAAGAAAAAAGAAAGGAAAGAAAGAAAAAAAAAAGTTATTAGAAATCTGAAATTTGGAACCCACAAAAAAAAAAAAAAAGGTAAGACTGAGTGAAAAATAATTAAAGTTCCTTGTGTCACACTCGGTCATTGTAACAACCAACGAAAATCAAATATCATTTTTTTATTTTATTTTATTTTATTATTCTAATCAAACATTATTTATACAACGTAAACTATAATAAACATTATTTCTTAAATCGGTAAAGAGAATAACTTTCAAAATATGATAACCCATATCTCTTTCTCTCTCTCTCTTTCTTTCTTTCTCTCTCTTTATAATATATAATAGTCGGATCTCAATCAATAATAATTTATATTTTTTTTTGAATTAACCCTCCTTCTTCCTTTTTCGGATAGTTGGTTTCAAACTTAGCCATTGACATTGTATTTTTTTTCTTTCTTTCTTTCTTTCTTAGCGGAGTTGACCCCATCGGCTTTTCCTTCTTTTCAATTGAAAAAACGTGGAAATATGTCTAATTCGAATCTACATACATAATAATATAATCATGATTTTATTTTTATTTCTAAAGTTTAGATTGGTCAAGTAATGCTTGCTTTCCAGCCACTTGTGTTTGAATCAAATTACCAAATTCTTCTCCTTGCATACGAGCCATTTCTAATTCAAATGGATGAGGTTGTCGACTACCATCACTTCCAGCTATAGTACCTGCTCCCCATGGTGACCTATTTTTTTTTTTTTAATAATAATAATAAAAGATAAGAATGAAAATTTTTTACTCCTTTTTTTTTCTATATACCCTCCAAGAATCTCTGTGCTATTTCCCAAATGAGGACTGCTGTATCCAAAAGGAACATAACGGATACCATGATGAGCAAAATAAGGCATCATTGACATAGCAGTGACTTCTTGTCCTCCATGCTACAAAAAAAAAAAAAAAAAAAAAGAAAACCCGATAAAGTTATTGGTATTTTTATGTCGATCATTTTTTATTCTCATTCACTTACGGATGAGCCTGTACTAAAAAAGGTACCAGCAAATTTGCCATGTAATTTATTCTTTGCCCATAAAGCACCAGTACCATCAAGTAAACCTATCATCATGAGTAACACATTATTAATACAAATATAATTTTTATTTTTATAATCACAAACCTTTGACTTGAGACGGGACCATACCGAATCTAATAAAATAAAAACGGGGAGGCGGGGCGGAAAAAAAAAAGAGATGTTTGAATAATCATCTCATACACACTACATGTTTCTTCCTCTTTTCATCTCCCCTTCAATTTTATATATACTTATTTTTTTTTTTTTTTTTACCTTGTAGGAAAACCAAAAAGATATCCATCAGCTTCTGTTAATTGCTCAGGTTGGATGACCGGTAAATCTAACTTTGGAGCTGCATTAATCTTTGTTAAGATGGATGAAGGTAAAGTTTCTTGAACTTTGATAATGCAAAAAAAAAAAAAAAAGATAAGAAATCAAGAGATAAAGCTAATAGATAAGAATATCGTCTTACCTTGGAACATTTGTGTCTTGACACCTGATGCAAGTAATCCTTTTTCTACTTCTACTGCCAATTTATAAACATGATGATACACTGTATATAATACAATGAAAACATTTCCTTTGGGTCCAGTCATGATAGTATTCTTCTTTGAAGTTGATGATCAATATAAAAACGAAATAATAAAAAAAAAAGGTGGTAGATAAGTTAGTTTATATACTTCATTTTTAAATGACTAAAGCATGACAAATTGATGAGCAGCCATTATCTTACAAGTGAGGAAACCCATTGGACACTTTATTTCTTACAAATACTTACACTTTTATTTCCCATTCGCACAAAACAAAAAGTAAAATAATCCCCGATACTCTACAAAATTTACATATAGCAAGAAACATAACAAACAAGTAGGAGCCGATAAGAGGGTAAAAAAAAAAAAAAAAAAAAAAAAAAAGTAATAATATATTTTTCGTTTCATTTGGATATCAAAAAATCTACGTACTACTACTATATTATACTAAAGGAAAGATCATGATGATTGGCTTTCCGCTTGTTGTTGTTCCCACACCTTCTGTTCACATTGAGTAAGAGTGGCAAGATTTGATCCCATTTTATTCATAGTTTCTTGATATTCCTCCTCTTCTACAGAGTCGTACACAATTCCACCACCAGCTACAAAAAAAAAAAAAAAAAAAAAAAAAAAAAAAAAAAGGAATTAACATCTATTAAATGAGTGACCTTTTTTTTTTGTTTTACCTTGCAAGTAGGCTACACCATCCTTGAATAACATAGTACGAATGGCAATACAAGTGTCCAAATCACCAGAATAATCAAAATGTCCGACCGATCTAGATAAAAAAATAATGAGATTATTTCTTTTTCTTTTCTATTTATTTTACTTTTCTTACCCAGCATAGACACCACGTTTTTCTTTTTCCAACTTTCGAATCAATTCAACAGCCTTGATCTTGGGAGCACCAGATACAGTACCAGCAGGGAAAATGGCTCGGAAAGCATCAAAAGGAGTTTTATCAGGTCGTAGAGTTCCCGATACATTGGATACAATATGCATGACATGAGAATATAATTCGATTTCCATCAATTTGTCCACTTTTACCGAAGAAGGATCACATACACGATTCACATCATTTCTACCGAGATCCACCAACATGACATGTTCTGCACGTTCTTTTGGATCACCTAATAAGTCAGCCGCCAATTCTTGATCTTCTTGTATAGATTTACCACGTTTTCTTGTACCAGCGATAGGATGTGTATATACCACACGATCTTGTACTTTTGTCAATGTTTCAGGAGATGCACCAACAATAGTAAAACCTTTCAAATTGACGTAAAACATATAAGGAGAAGGATTCAGGGATCGTAGATGACGATAGACGTTGAATGGGTGTAGAGTAGTAGGTCGTGCAAGCCGTTGAGAAGGTACTGTTTGGAAAATATCACCTTCTTTGATGTGATGTTTCAATGTCGATACAAAATCCATATAACCTTGTTTACCCACGTTAGAGACTGCTTCTTGACCAAGTTGGATTGGTGATTGCGGGACCTTGGGGATGTGTTCTTGATTCAATAAAAATACTGTAGTTTCGATTTCACCAGCAGCACGTGCATATTCACGTTCGATGACTTCCTTATCCTTGCTGTCACTTCGATAATGAGATACTACATTAATCACCTGACGTACGCGATCAAAGATCACCAAAGTATCACAAAGCATAAACACCGCGTCGGGAAGTCCAACAGGATCTTTCAAATCACCTTTCACACTAGGTTCAAAATATTCAAAGCATTCGAAACCAATATATCCAACCGCACCTCCTATTATATAAAAGAAATATATAAAATTTTAAAAAAAAATTCATGTTGAATATAATAGATAGTTTCTTTTACCAGTAAAGCTAGGAAGACCTGGTATTTTGACGTATTTGATATGTTCCAATTCTTTTTCAACAGCAATCAAAGGATCTCCTTGTATATCTTGATCAGGACCTACTTTTAATAACTTGTAAGGATCTATATAGGATACATATATATATATATATATATATATATATAGCATCATTCATATAAAAATAAAAAAGTTAAATATTCAATTCATCATGGAAGTTTCTATAATCTATTTAAACCATTTACCTGCACCAATAAAAGAATACCGACCAATAGTTTCACCACCAGCAACAGATTCAAGTAAAAAGGAATAATCACATTTATCAGCTACTTTTAAATACGCGGAAACAGGTGTTAAGAAGTCGGCTTCCAATTCAGCGTAGATGGGAATGGTATTTCCTTGACCTTCCGCTACCATGGTTTGTATTTCTTCTAAAGTAGGACGAAGTTTTAATGACATTGTTGTTGAATTGTTATTATTAAAAAAAAAGGTTTGTATGAGAAAAAAAAAGAAGGAAAAAAAAAAAAAAAGAGAAAAAAAAAAAAAAAGAAGTAAAAATAAAATCATAGATAAAATACTGTATGGAGAAAGAAAAAAAAATGAGTCACCGCTCGTAGTACCAAATAGCGAACACACTATAGAATATTAATGCTTTCCCTTTTCTTTTTTTGTTATTATTATAATCATGCACATTATCATCATACTACATTACTAATCTTGTGAATAACATTTTCATCATTGTTATATACAATGATGTTGTTATTAAACAATGAGTATTATTTCATATATATATGGTTGATAAGGACTTTAGCTTGTTTCCTGTCAAGCGAATCGGTCTCCAGGGTTTTACGCTACCGGAGGTCAAATCGCTGTTTTTGGCATGATTGCTTTTTTTCTGATGTATCGTTTTAAATAGTTAAGGAGCCTTTAATTTCTCAAGATGAAATGTACCAAAATAGAAAAAAAAAAAAAAAAGAAAGAAAGAAAGAAAGAAAAATAGAATCATTAATAGTATGTAGCATCATGTGAACATGATCATTATTAGAAAGTCATGAAAAATGGAACATACAATCATCCTTGTCATTTCCATATTTGGATCAATGCAAGGGTAACTATACGAATTTTTTTTTCGCATGAATATGTCATTTATCAAACCACTTGGAGGTTCTTTTTTTTTTTATTCTTTCTTTTTCTTTTCATTGTTTCATTGTCTTTTTCTCCTTTCAACATTCCTATTTCTTTACAACGATGATAATATCATTTATTCAACTGATCAAATGGACAATAGGCTGTAATCAACATCATCAGCATCATCAACATCATCAACAACAACGAAGAGTAGATTTTTATCCAAAATTACCATACACATTAATATCTCCACCTATATCATCAGCATCAGCATCGATCTCGCCTTTTTATGCTTGTAAACCAACTATACAAACATGCATGAAGAAAAATCCAAAAAAGAATAAGAAAAAAAAGAAAAAGAAAAAGAAAAAGAAGAAAAGGAAAATGGTTGAAAGAAATTCTAGGCAAAATTTGACTTGTCCTCCTTATTTACCTTCATCATCATCACCATCATCATCAACATCACCAGCATTAATAGCAGGAAACAAACAACATTTACAACAATCCATTCCTGTGGAGATATCAGATGAATTCTTACCTCCCTATACCTGTTCTGTGGCAAAATCAGGCAAGATGTATATAAAACGAGAAATGGATCGTCATTTTTTACCATCTGCTGATCGAAGCTGGAAGTAAGTATAGTATGACACCTTTTTTTTTTTTTTTTTTTTTTTTTTTTTTTTTTTTTTTTTTTTTTTTTTTTTTTTTTTTACTTTATGTATCGAAATTGAATGATTAACTATTGAATGATAGAAAACATCTTGTCCAATTACATGGTACTTTAGTCGACATTTATACAAAGACAAATACAGATACATCATCACAGAAATTCATTCATCGCATAAAAACAAATAAGGAATATGTATTATTACATCGACAAAGTCTACAAAGAGTAGAAGTAGGATGGGCCTCTGATTATCAACAACATCCGTATACCTTTCGAATGTATTTCTTTAAAACTGGTGAGCAATGGTTGTTGAGGCCATGTGTTGATCGAGGTGGATCCAATGAAGAACTTCGTGCTATGGTAGAATGGATTGAAACTATTCAAGCAGCGATTACAATCAGTGTTGATCTAGATCATCAAAAAATGCCCACATTTATTACTTTGGCACGTACACATTATAGACATCATAACAATATGGCAACCTTAGTTCTTGATCAATCCAAAATGCCCATTCAAATTTGTCATCATCGTGGTACTCAATTTCAATCTATCCCTCTCTCGTCCAATAAAAGGAAACGATGGATCCATCATTTGAAGAAAATGGTAATACTAAGAAGAAGTATATAAAATCAGGTTTTTATTCTATACTACAATAACTAAAAAAAAACTAATTCTATTTCCTAAAAGATTTCAAAACTTCATCATCCCAACTAAGATATTGTCCAGATAGATCCTTTGGAGGATTGGCACCTAAAGCCACCACCACATGAGCAGGTTCTTCAGCTGATAACAATTTACCTTGACGATGTAATTCCATAAACTTAGAATGATCTTCCTTCATAGCGTCCACTCCCTTTTCTCGAATCAATTCTTGCATACCAGTATCCACAACACCAGGACGAATGGCCAAAGTTGTCACATCTGGTTCTTCAACAGCCAATGTAGCATTCAAATGATTCAAAGCAGCCTTTGATCTATATATATATATATATATATATATATATATATGTGGAAATAAAATAAGTCGTTACTATGTATTCTTATATTGTCCCTCATCAAATTAAATCATGTATATACACCAGTTTTTTTTTTTTTTTTTTTTTTTTTTTTTTTTTTTTTTTTTTTTTCTTCTACTTACGCTCCATAAGCACCCCATCCTTTATAACCCTTACTTGCTGCACCAGAGGAAATCATGATCAAAGTACCCTTGCTATGACGTAAATGAGGTAAAGCTTCTTGAGCTAAAGTGATGACGGAGAAAAAGTTGACATCAAATAAACTGTCAACAAGAAAATATATTGAATTAGTAACCTTTTCTATATTTTTTTTTCTTTTTTCCTATCACTTACTGTTTCCATCCTTGTACTAAGCTATCACTAACAGAAGCAATAGGTTCTAAAATACTAGATACATATAATAAAAAAAGGATGAGCTTTTTTTGTTATCTATTTCCATAATACAAAGGAAAAAAAAAAAAAAGATATTACCCAGCATTAGCAATGACCACATCAAGACGACCCCATTTGTCTATAGCTACATTGACAGCACGACGAGATGTATGTTCATCACAGACATCACCTACCACCACTTCGAGGTTGTCACCAAGGTTATTGTTTTCTTGAGTTAGTTCGACTTGTAAAGATTCTAAGAGTTCTTTGCTACGAGCCACTGCCACGACTTTTCCATGGAACTTTGTCAATGCTAACTTGGTCATTGCCTTTCCAATCCCTTTTGAAGCGCCAGTTACCAAGTAAACAGGTCCTGTCATTATAAATAGTTGTAAAATGAAGAATGTGTGTCAGAAAGCAAAAAAAAAAAAAAAAAGAAAGAAACGAGAAAAAGAAAAACACGAGGTTGTCCCGAGACAAAAAAAGTAGAAACTTCAAATACCGACACTTGATTTTTCGAATCATGCAATGGATAGTTTGAAAGTGGATTGAATTTTTATTATTAATAAAAATAAATGATATAAAAAGTAAAACTACATTAAATATAAAATAATAGGTAACTAAACAAAATCTGTTTCAAATAAAACTTCACGTTCTGCCCGTACATCACCTGCTGGTATCAAATCCCATAGTTGGTTCTGGTTGGATGGATCAAGCGCGTATTTCTTGTGAGAGATGATCAATCTAGCACCATCCATTAGGCTACGTACATCCAAGACAAATCGTGGATCTGCCAATACATAAATATACCCTTCCTTATTATTGTAACCCCATTGTTGGTTTTGTGCATCAGCAACGAGTTTTCGACTATATTGAATCACCCTAGCCCCTTCTGTAATCGGTCCTCCACGTACATCAAGTACTTTTTGTGAATGCTTATTGATTAAAAATCCATCTACATAAAAAAAAGAGAAAGTTTCTATTGGTCAACTGTAGACACATAAATATATACTTTATTTACCTTGGTAATAGAAAAGCTGATTATCTCGATCGTCACTATTGTGTTTAGGTGTCCATAACAAGATTGTCGCATCATCCTATTAAAAATAAATAAAAAGTCAAAACTAGATATGGTCTTTTTTTTCTTATTCACCTTTAAGGAAGCACCATCCACTGCCATAAAGAATAAGAAGTAAAAAAAAAAAAAAAAAAAAAAAAATAAAGAGTATGTAAGTATGAGCATAATAGAGAAAGTTTTTTCGTTTACCATCAACTACTTTTCCCGATGCTCGAGATTGAATATAGAAATAACCTTCTGGGAAATGATCCATATACAAAAATAAAATTACAAAAGAATAAAAAGAAAAAAGGTGGAATTTTTTTTTTCTTTTTAGAGGGTTTTGACTTGGCACCGTAAAAAAAAAAATGCGCTGACGGTGTTTCAAAGGTGAAAAAAAAAGGTGGAAAATGCTTTTTTTTTTCTTTCTTTCTTTCTTTTGGCTTTCCTGGTCTTCCCCTCCCTACCATGTAGTCCTCTGGTATCAACCTCTCATATGGCAAGCATGTGGTTCAAAACATTTGATTAATCTCACTTTGGCCAACGTTACCACCTGCCTTTGTCTTCCCACTTCATCAACTCGTACAACTCTCCCAATAGTGATTATTGGTTACATCGCCCTCAACATCTTCATCTACCTGTCTCAACATTTTTTTTTTTTTTTTTCAGTGTCGATACCGTATACAAATGCCTTCGAACATTCCTGGTGATTTACTTCGTTATCGTTTCCCTCATTCGATGGCACAATTATTTTGGCTGACTCCAATGTTCGACTCTAACCGCTCTTGAACGTGAACAAAAATATACAATAAGATCAACTGAGAATAGGTATATAACAGAATGGATTCGCAATATGTTTTCGATTGGACGAAGAATGGTAAGTCAGGGAAAAGTACCTCTCTTATCCAACACTTTATCATGGAAATTACAGTTGCTTTGCTTGCTCGAACACAGTTGAAGGACAGTCTTACAAAACATCATTTAAATTAGTTTATCCAGTGTAGTTTAATCTTTTAGGTAGTGTTTTATATTACATTCTCATTTAAATAAAATCATTTTTTTTTTTTTTACCATTCGTTTATTACATTGTCATCGACTATTATCCTATCATCACTTAGCATTCATCCCATCATTGTAAAAGAGGCATCATCATCAAAAAGAAGAAATAAGTTTTTGATTTATTGGACATATCCATATATACAAAAAAAAAAAAAAAAAAAAAAAAAAAAGAACTATACTATCCGTTTTCATTACATCACTTTCTGTAAAACAGGCTTGACAATGGCAAAACTGGTCATTGGACATCACTATTCATGGATTCAACCGGTAGCATCAGTGTATTCCCAGTTTTCAATTGCGATCGAAACCGTCGTCACCGCTATGTTCCAAGCCCATGATCAACGATCCTCACATCATATCGATCCCGCTGACGTAGCTAGGGAGGTGAAAGTCATTGAACACGAAAAAGGATTAGCTTAATATAGGAATCATTTATTTACTTAGTCATAAAATAGAAATTAGCATAGTAGAATATTATACCAAAATAAATCTTTTTTTTTGTATTGTTTTTGCATTTTGATGAATATCTAGATTGAATATCGATGTTCTATGCTTGATGATGGACGATGATGGATTGGATGGATGATTGGATCAATCCGACGGATATAATAGATGATGATGATTGGTAATAAATTGTGTAAATATTAAATATGATAATAAAAAATATGAATAAAAACTTTATTAAAGAAGATGGGGAAAGAATTAATATAATAAGACGAAACTAGCAGTAATAACAAAAAGATCCAGATGGGAGGGAGACACAAAGCAGAGGAATATCACCCATTTGCACACAAATTCACTATCGTTTTCAGTAGATTCCTGTAATAGATCCTTCCAGCCATTGTCTATATAATTTTTTGCTATTGGCTGTTCATCCCTTTTTTGTTCTATCCATTTTCGTTTGATGTTGTGATCTATATATGTCCAGGATGATAATGCTATTGTTTGACAATGATAGTGATCGATACAACCCAAAATAATAAGAAAAAGATAATGAGAATCATATTGTAAAATATTCTTTTTCATTTTTTTTTTATATCTTACTTTGAATAATTAATCATACTTGAAAATAGCCCAGGAGTCGCTTAGATGTGATAGTAATCTTTTCCATTGGATGGAGTGGAGGAAAACGATTCTCTGTTATCTCACTGTTACTCTTGCTCAAAAAAAAAAAAAAAAAAAAAAAAAAAAAAAAAAACGGAAGCTATGTATCATAAAAAGCGATATAATTTTTATTTCAAACAAAAAGAGGTAATCCATACACTAACTAGTAAAACTACCACTACTATCCACTCTACTGTATCTATTATACCAGAAGCGTTCGTCCACCGCCAAGAGATCCTAACCAAACGAAGTTTCCTATCCAGTCAGTTCACATCACCAATGAAATAAATCTAGGTCAAACAATTCATATAAAAAAAGGTATAAAATATTTTTGTCATTTACCTATACTAAATCCTACATCCAAAATGAAAGGGTTTCCCCATGTATTTTGTAAATCCCTTTTTCAAAACGCTCCAAATCCAATAAAATCTACCTTGACAAGATCGCACAGACAAAGAGGACACCCAATGTGGAAAAAAAAAGTGGATGGAGAAAAGAAAAAGAAAGAAAAAAATTAATATTTTTGAAGCCCGTCCACTGATAACGATTTGACATGATTTTTTTTTGTTTTTTGTTTTTAATTTTTTATTCCCAAATAGGACTATAAAGGAATCTCACTCTCTATTTTATTTTAAATATCTATCATAGTAGGATACAAAATGCTTATAAGTCTCAATCCGATCTTTTTTTTTTCAATAAAAAGAAATCTCACAGGCTTGCTCTCATCTTCATTATTTTTTATTTTTTATATCACTATCTACATCAATACCATCACGTATCATCCATCACTTGTCATCCATCACATATTATCCATCAATTATCATCCATCAATTATCATCCAATTCATGACCCAAAAAAAAAAAAAAAAGAAATGAGAGGATGAGTAGGTTATTCACAATATATAATATGATATAATAGATAGAGTACCTACATAGTTCTCGTCTTTCTTTAGGATCCACCATCACCATCATCATCCTTATATACAGAGTTTCTTGTTTTCGCCAGTAAAAGAAGAAATCTTCTATCATATCACCATTTTTTGAAAACTTCCCTTAACCCGGTATTCTAATAAAAAAAACAATAACAATGATTTCAGTAACTATCCATTCTTGTTATCATAGTATATTATTTATGCGATATAAACTTACGGTGATAGATATAATTGGGAGCCATACAGAATTTTCTTTTAAAATTTATATAATATAAGCAGAATTAGATTAGTTTGGTAAAGAAGATATTTTTTTATTACTCACCCATTCGAAGATGTAAATAAATGAAGATAAAAAAAAAGATGTGACTATATAACAACTTTTATATTCATTGAAGTACTTACACAAAACTTTCCAGCAAGAGATGATTGTTGAACGAGGTGGTCACCAAAGGAAAAGAAAAATACAGGAAAGATCTAAATAATTGGAAGAGTAATATGTGTTTAGTAAACTTAGTTTAAAAGTTGGAAAAAATAGAAAGAAAAAGAAAAAGTAAAAATTCTTTTCTCTTAATACCGTGATTTTTATGCGTTTCAAACTCCACGTATCATTCTCTATCCTTTTTTTTTATAATAATAACAGTAATAGTGATATACATATATCGTATCATTAAAAGAGAAAAAAAAAAATACAGATACTTAATGTCATGCTGAGAAAAGAACATCGATACTTTTTTATGCAGTTAGGACATGTACTACACTAAATCGATCTACACATTCTAATATGTCAGGTTTGACTGATTTAGAAATCCAAGCAAGCTCTACAAGGGACATTTTAAAATAATTCAGAGACAATAAAAAAGTAAATGGATGACGATGATGATGATTGTATTCTTATAATCATGATAACTCTATATGATGAATCATGAATCCTAAGCTCTTTTTCATCGAAGTACATATTTATAATACTATAGTTAATATTCATCTTATTACTATAGCTATATTAGAAAATCGTCATTTCTTTACATTCATATTATCATTATCATTATTATTATTATTATCATTTAATAATAATTTAATCCATATCATCATCAACTTATTATTATTATTTATTATTTTATTCTACTTTCAATGCAAATCATAAGTGTTTCCATAAATGGTATATATTCAAAGTCCGGTCTCAATGTGGGGGTGTGCTGGATCAAAGAAAAAAAAAAGTCGACCAACTTTTTTTTTGAGATTGGAACCTCCAGAGATCAAAAAAAAAAAAAAAAAAATCTGGGAGATTAAAAAAAAAAATTGTTGGAGAAAATGGAAAAAAAGTTGGACCAAAGCTCTGACAAATGAAAAAATTTGGCGCACTTCACTTTTTTTTTTTCCTTTTGCATTTTTTTACTTTTTTTTTTTAACCACTGGCACTTTGAACATTGTAAGTTACCATTATATACGTTACTTTATTAATCTATATTATATATTTAAAAGTCACTCTTTATAAATTATACTTACTCTATACTTTACTATATACTTTACTATTTCACTTACTCTATACTTATTCTTTCCTTTTTTTTTCTTCTTCTTCCTCTTACTCCATCATACTATGAACTAATCTATTTTTCTTTTTTTTTTTTTACTCTTTTTATGAACATACAGTAGATAGGATATATGAAGGAATATACAATAGGATTAAATGGATATTGGATAAAAGAATAAGCAAGTTAGGGAAAAGTATCCAACTCTTTATCATTGGTTTATTTAATAGTTTAGTCTTTTAGTTATAGTGCTTTACTTTATATTATCTTTTAAATAAAATCATATTTTTATTATTGTTTGTTTATTATATTGTCATTTCACATATTATTTATCTATTTGTTCTCGATCATCATCATTATCAAAAGGAGTAATAAGAAAGAATAGTATGATTATCATTTTATTTTCACTAAAAAAAAAAAAAATTGTTGTAAAAATAAAATCCATATACACATCAGTATCTGCTATTTCATTTCATACATTACGTTCATCATTTTAAGTATATATATTCTTTTATTATCCATCATCATCATGACAATAGCAACTTGTACTTGTATACTGTTGATTGTTCGTCTTCTTTCTTACGAAAATAACGATGTCATTGATCAATTGCTTGGATTCAGCTGTCATTTAATTTATTCAAGGAACCAGGTACAGAAATGCATTGATGACTGTTCTAGAAAAATAATAATTATGATTTTATTAAAGAAAAAGAATGTAAATATATATAATTGATATACTAAGTACCATTCTAAACTACAAGTAAAAAGAATCACTAACGATTCATAGACCAGAATAAATAAAAAAAAAAAGATAAATAAGATACTTCCAATCGATTGTATAATCCAATCCAGTTGGATCCTATAATATATCCTGTTCATCCATGTTGTCCACACCTTATGACAATAGCATGTATTCATTTCGTTTCATTCTGTGATCCTATTGTATATCTATCCATTCCGCTGATTCAGATGTATAGCCACTTTGCGTAATTATCCTATTGATCCTATATTTAAATGATCAAGTCTTCGTGTATCTAGATTTCTTTCTTTCTTTCAGACATACATTCAGTGATGATGTTTGTCAAGAATACCAATTATGAAGTATGAGAAGAAGAAAGAACGGTAATTCTAGATGGATGGATGTTATAGTAAAAAGATCAAGGCCAGAAGAACGTATACAATAAAAAAAAGGGAAGGAGGTTAGAAAGAAAAAAGAAGAAAAGCATTTGTTTTTGAAGCTTATCTTTAATAAGAGTAAATATTTGTAAAAACCACATAGATAAAATGAGTAGGATATAGTAACGAAGTTGGAATGTATAAAAGAAAGAAAGAAAGAGAGCAAGAAAGAAAGAAAGAAAGAAAGAAAGAAAAAGATTTATTTTATATGTCTACCTGATCGGAGCCAGTTTAAAAAAATCATGCAAATCAAATCTACGAATCATAAGGAATCACATAGGTTTAAGTTTCTTCTTTTGAATTGATTTTTTTTTTATTATTGATTACAGTAACATCATAATGATGATGATGATGATGATGATGATGATGATGATGATATTAGAATAAATACTTTCAAGTGAATGTCTTGATCACTTATTTCATATTCCTTGTATTGATTGAACTTTAAATAACTATGATAGTAAAGAAAGATTACAAAAGAAAAAGGAATATCAAGCATATAGATTATATAATCAATTTGAACAACTTTGTATTAATCTGTTGGAACATCAATCACATTCATATAGAATAATAAATCAGTTTAAATATCATAAATCGATTATCCTGATAATATAAGATAATAAAGTAATGAATATAAATTATGAAAAGCGATAGTTGAACATCCAAAAAAGGAAAAGCCCATTTCATGAGGTTATATAAAATAGACCTCACATTTTTTTATTTTCTCACACTTTCTTCTTCTTCTTCTTGTTCTTCTTCTTCTTCTTCTTTATCGCTATGTTATAAACTTCTTCTTTTTTTTTATTTTGTATAAAAAGTAAGTAAAGATATAATAAAAGGAACTTTATATACTTGTTAACTAAACTCTCTCTCTCTCTCTCTCTTTTTATCTTGTTATAGAAATACCATATCTAGACTCTTCTTTACAAACTGAATCCTCAATATATATTCAACAGACCATGAAACTATAACAATGGGACTATAACTATCAAAGGTACTACTATAATTCCAAAAGAAAAAAAAGCAATAGTAAAATAGTAAGTGATTTAGGTATGGCTGCGATTCTCATTCTTTCCGTTTTTTTTTTTTTTCTAAGTAGTGTTCCAGTATCATGCCAATGGAAAGGCCATTGAACATATCTATCAATTATGGTTATCAAGCACAAACAAAAAAAAATCAAGGGTATTATATTTGAAGGTAAGACGTAAAATACGATAATGAAGGATTTGTCAATCATTAATATCATCTTTTCTTTTCCTTTTGTTGATGGGTAGTGTCACAAATACAAGTTTAGCTGTTTATATGTTACTCTATTCTCTATAAAGTCATCCTTCTTATCAAGATGGTTTGAATTCTCATCAGTTAGTTATCCTCGTGGAAATTGATATCGGCATCATTACTATCGTTGTCATCCTTCAAATATTATTGGTATAAGTTCCAACTACAGTGGAATATATATATTATACACATCAACCATTAAACATTTATTTATTAAATAGATAGGTTGTCATGATACATCGTCCATCAGTCTTATTATGTTACTATCATTCAATTGTTATGATCCGTTTCAAGTATGGTCAATTACTGTATTCAAAGTAAGATATAAAAAAAAATGAAAAAGAATATTTAAAATATGATTCTCATTCTCTTTTTCTTTTTCTTCTTTCTTTTTTTATTGATTTCATGCATCATTATCCTATATATACCGATCACAGAACCAAATGAAAATTGGATACATAAAAAGGATGAATAACTAATGTAACTATATTATTAACAACAACTGGAAAGGGAAATCAATTTGTGTGTACTGTAAATAGATGACATTTTTTCTATAGTTTCTTTTATTGATAGTTATAGTCTTATTATATTCTTTTTATATTCTTCTTCTTCTTCTTTAATAAAGTTTATCTTTATATCATCATCATATTATTATTATTATTATTATTTATTATTCATCTATTCAACTTTATTAAAATCAAAAGTGTTTTCCATAAATGGTACACATTGAAAGTCCGGTCTCAATTGTGGGGTGTGTTGGATCCAGAGAAAAAAAAAAAGGTCTGGAGGTTCCTCAAAAAAAAAAGTGGGAGGTCGAGATCAAAAAAAATCTGGAGATTGAAAAAAAAGATTGTTGGAGACAATGGAAAAATTGGACCAAGCTCTGGCGCGCTCTTCACTTTTTTTTTTTTTTTTTTTTTTTTTTTTTTACTTTTGCATTTTTTTTTAACCACTGGCACTTTGAACATTGTAAGTTACCATTATACATTACTTTACTAATCTATATTATATATTTAAAAGTCACTCTTTATATATATATTATACTTACTTTATACTTACTCTTTCTTTTAGTCTCTCCTATTATGAACTAATCTATTTTTGGTTTTTTTTTTCTTACTCTTTTTATGAACATATAGTAGATAGGATATATGAAGAAATATACAATAGGATTAAATGAATATTGTATAAAAGAATAAGCAAACCAGGGAAAAGTATCCAACTCTTTATCATTGGTTTATTTAATAGTTTAGTCTTTTAGTTATAGTGTTTTATATTCTCATTTAAATAAAATCATATCTTTATTATTGTCATTTCATTATTATTTATCTATTTGTCCTCTATCATTATCATTATCAAGAGGAGTAATAAGAAAGAATAGTATGATTAGCATTTTAGTTTCACTAAAAAAAAAAAAAAAAAAAAAAAAAAAAAAAAAAAAAAAAACTAAAAATAAAATCCATATACACATCAGTATCTGCTATTTCTCTTCATACATTACATCCATCATTTTTAAGAATAGATATTATCTTATTATCAGTCATCATCACCACCCATGATAATAGCAAGTTGTACCTGTATACTGTTGACTGTTCGTCTTCTGTCTTAACGAAAATAACGATGTCTTTAACGATACAGTAGAGTATATCATGCACTTTATTACATAATACACTCAAGGAAACATCTTTATCAAATCATCACAACAATAGATAGTGGCAATAAGTACATAAAGAAAACATCATAGCAGGATAATTTAAATAATCAAATATTTTATCTAAATAAAACGGTATCTTTACAAAAGAAAAGAAAGGGAATAAAGAAAAAAAGTAACTAAATACCAACAATATAAAGAATATATACAATACTAGTGATAATAATGACAATGATAATAATAATAATAATAATACTAATGGAGACAGAGATGCCAATCAAGTAGAAAAATAGAATGAGACCATCAAAAATGGGAGAGACCAATCAAATAAGAAGAACCAAAAAAAAAAAAAGATAAGGACTAACCACGTAGTAAAGGGTTCTGGAAGAAAATACCATGACAACGAGAGACAGATGAAGGAAACGGAAAGAGAGAGAGACCAACCAGATAGAAAAAGACGAAGAGACCACGCAAACACGAGAGAGAACAACAAGAGAGTAAGAGAGACACCATACCACTAGAGAAAATAACCAACCAAGTAGGAAGAAAAAAAAAAGACCTTCAAAAGTACCTACCTGTACATACAAGTTGACTTGCATTTGCTGTTCAATCCAGAGTCCAACAGTAAAAAAGATAAAAAAAAATAAACGATTAGTTTTTTAATCTATGTCTTACCATCATAATTGTCATTCCATCCACTTCCAAACCATTAGAAGAGCCATAACCAGCTAAAGCTATAGAGAAAAAAAAAAAAAAAGGAAAGAAAGATGAGAGAAGAAAGGAAAATAAATGAAAACTCAGTTAGATAGGAAAAATAAGAAATGAATTTATGAGTTGGCTGAATTAAAGTATCTCTCAAAGCAATCACGTATCTTTTCTTTTCTTTTCTTTTCAATAAAGAAGATTTAGACTATATAGACAATAATATCTAAAAGATCAATAAAATAAAAGAAGAAATATATTAGTATCATTTCCTTTTTTTATCTATTATTTTTTTTAGACTTATCATTTTGCACCATTGATCGTTTTATATCACCGTTTTGTTTGACTAAAGGTTAATATAAAGTAATGATGATCATTCGAGATTTGATTGCATAAACAACAATCATTGTATCTACAGATAAAATCAACCAAAAAACAGTACTCCATCACTGTTATTCTTATATATATCAATGTTACCTTGTGTATATCATCTGACAGCGATACCGTATCAATCCCCATACAATAAAAGGAAGGATCTAAAAAAAAAAAAGAGAGAAAGAAGCAAGTGATTGTATGTAATATTGATTGATCATCTTTTTCTTTCCTGACAACTTACTAATTTGATTGTATAGGCGACAATCATAGTATCTACGAATAAAAATAAACCAAATGAATAGCAATCCGTTACTTTTTTTTTTAATACATGTTACCTTGTCAACACCAGTGGATGTTTTATATCATATTGCAATTGAATGTCATCATCATCATGAGTTCGAAGAGAAAGAAGGGTTGCCACTAGCAGTACATCTGACATTTTAAGACCATCAAAGTAGGTAGCTTGTTCCGGTTTTAATAGATACGCTCCACTGACCAGTTATGATATTATCCCCTAATTCTTTCCAAACCATACCGCAAATGGCAGGACTTCCAAGGACTCCAGCATGAAACAACACGGCCTACAGGCGATATACTGTATTCCCTGCATGTTGCCTTCTAGTCTCCACCTACTTGAGCACTAGATCCAGCCTCTAGATTCATAAATGATCCTAGACACCAGTCATCCTCGACCAAGTCCAATGCCTGTTAGATAAACAAAGATCATCCCGCCATGATCTTTGAGTATCACCAAAAGCTAAGTATAAACCGATGATGACCATTCGACATTTGATTGTATAGACGACAATCATGGCACCTACAAATTAAAAAAAAAAAAAAACCAAATGAGTAGCAATCTGATACTCTTTTTTTATATATATATATATATATATATATACATGTTACCTTGTCAACAACAATGGATGTTTTGTATCGTATTGCAATTGAATGTCATCATCATCATGGGTTCGGAGAGAAGGAAGGGTTGCCACTAGCAGTATATCTGACATTTTAAGACCATCAAGGTAGGTAGCTTGTTCCGGTTTTAATAGATACGCTCCACTGACCAATTATGATATTATCCCCTAATTCTTTCCAAACCATACCGCAATTGGCAGGACTTCCAAGGACTCCAGCATGAAACAACACGGCCTACAGGCGATATACTGTATTCCCTGCATGTTGCCTTCTAGTCTCCATCTACTTGAGCACTAGATCCAGCCTCTAGATTCATAAATGATCCTAGACACCAGTCATCCTCGACCAAGTCCAATGCCTGTTAGATAAACAAAGGTCATCACGCCATGATCTTTGAGTATCACCAAAAGCTAAGTATAAACCGATGATGACCATTCGACATTTGATTGTATAGGCGACAATCATGATACCTACAAATTAAAAAAAAAAGTCAAATGAGTAGTAATCTATCACTGCTTTATTCTTTTTTTTTTATTTTATACATGTTACCTTGTCAACACCAGTGGATGTCTTGTATCATATTGCAATTGAATGTCATCAGCATCATGGGTTCGGAGAGAAGGAAGGGTTGCCACTAGCAGTATATCTGACATTTTAAGACCATCAAGGTAGGTAGCTTGTTCCGGTTTTAATAGATACGCTCCACTGACCAATTATGATATTATCCCCTAATTCTTTCCAAACCATACCGCAAATGGCAGGACTTCCAAGGACTCCAGCATGAAACAACACGGCCTATAGGCGATATACTGTATTCCCTGCATGTTGCCTTCTAGTCTCCACCTACTTGAGCACTAGATCCAGCCTCTAGATTCATAAATGATCCTAGACACCAGTCATCCTCGACCAAGTCCAATGCCTGTTAGATAAACAAAGGTCATCACGCCATGATCTTTGAGTATCACCAAAAGCTAAGTATAAAGTGATGATGACCATTCGACATTTGATTGTATAGGCGACAATCATGATACCTACAAATTAAAAAAAAAAAAAAAACCAAATGAGTAGCAATCTGGTACTCTTTTTTTTTTTTTATTTTATACATGTTACCTTGTCAACAACAATGGATGTTTTGTATCATATTACAGTTGAATGTCATCATCATCATGGGTTCGAAGAGAAAGAAGGGTTGCCACTAGCAGTATATCTGACATTTTAAGACCATCAAGGAAGGTAGCTTGTTCCGGTTTTAATAGATACGCTCCACTGACCAATTATGATATTATCCCCTAATTCTTTCCAAACCATACCGCAATTGGCAGGACTTCCAAGGACTCCAGCATGAAACAACACGGCCTACAGGCGATATACTGTATTCCCTGCATGTTGCCTTCTAGTCTCCTCCTACTTGAGCACTAGATCCAGCCCCTAGATTCATAAATGATCCTAGACACCAGTCATCCTCGACCAAGTCCAATGCCTGTTAGATAAACAAAGTTCATCACGCCATGACCTTTGAATATCACCAAAAGCTAAGTATAAAATGATGATGACCATTCGACAGTGGATTGTATAGGCGACAATCATGACACCTACAAATTAAAAAAAAAAAATGAGTAGCAATCTGGTACTCTTTTTTTTTTATACGTACTACCTTGTCAATAACCAGTGGATATTTTGCATCATCTTGATTGTATAGACGACAATTGTGATATCTACAAATAGAATCAGTAAAACGAGGACCAGTTCATCACCGTGATTCTCTCTTTTTTCTTTAATGTATGGATTACCTTAATTACAGGATTCACCAGTGTTGATGTATCAATCATAAAAGTCAAACTAAAGGAAGAACCAAGGACACTTTATAAGTAGTATAGGTGAAACCGAAGCTATTGAGTTTTGTTGAAAGGAATGGAGAGTACCACAAGACGAAGGGATAATAGTCCAAGGCCATGGGAGAAAACAATAAGTGGAAGACATCATACCAAGTGGGAGGGACAAAAAAAAAAAAAGACAAGAACCAACCATGCAAGAAAGAGATTTCGAAGGAAACACCATGACAATGAGAGACAGACGAGAGAAAGGGAAAAAGAGAGAGAGTGACCAACCAAGTAAAAAAGAGAAGAAAAGACCACACAAACTCGAGAGATAACAACAAGAGAGTGAGAGACACACCATACCAGTAGAGAAATGATCTTGAAGACACCAACATCATAGAAGAGAATAACCAACCAGGTAGGAAGAAAAAAAAAAAAGATCTTCAAAAGTACTTGTAACACAGGTTGACTTGCATTTGGTGCTCCGTCCAGAGTCTAATGGTAAAAAAGATAAAAAAAAAAAAAAAAAAGAAAAGTAAAACAATTAGTTCCTTAATCTATGTCTTACCATCATAATTGTCATTCCAACCAGCTCCAAACCAATAGAAGAGCCATAACCAGGTAAAGCTAGAGAAAAAAAAAAAAAAAAAAAAAAAAAAGGAAGGAAAGAAAGACGAGAGAAGAAAGGAAAAAGAAAAGAAAAGATACGTGATTGCTTTGAAAGATACCTCAATTCAGCCAACTCATAAACTCATTTCAATAAAGAAGATTTGACATTTATTATTTTTTTAGACTTATCTTTTTACACCATTGTCTTGTTTTGTATCATCGTTTCGTTTGATCAAAACCGAGAAGAAAAGAGATCTTGACAATTGGAAAAACCAGAAGAGTCATGAATTAATTATAAAACAAGTAAGTAAGTAATTATATTTTATACTGGTTATTTTATTTTATTATTATTATTTTATTTATTTTTTAAATTGACAATAATAAAATAAGAATCCATTACTGCCATTGTATTTTATATGTTACCTGTCATTATTCCAACATGGAGACGCGAACAGAGTGCGGAGAATGAATGAAAAAAGTGTGGAGAAATGGAAAGAGAAAGAAAGAAAAGAAAAATGTGGGGAAACGAAATAAATAATAAAAAAAAGAAAGCAAAAGTCCGAATAGATAAAGTGACGTATCGAAAGTAGCAAAATAAAGAGAAAGAATATATTGTAATGTGATAATGAATGTACAATTAAAAAAAGTAGATTAGTTTTTTGACATTGAAAGGAAAATGTCAAAAACTAATCTACTTTTTCGTTCACTGTTGATAATACATTTAGATCGAGTTGCAAATACAAATATATGGCAAAAAAGAAAAAAAAAAAAAGACAAAATATATGAAAAAGAGAATTAATATGATTCCATGTTGTTTCTTGTTTTTCATATTATTGTTAGAAAGTCTTTAAGCTCTGATTCTCTTTGCTTGGATTCAGCTGTCATTTAATTTATTTAAGGAACCAGGTACAGAAATGCATTGATGACTGTTCGAGAGCTAATACTTAATAATATTAGATAAAATAATAATAATTATGATTTTATTAAAAAAAAAAGAATGGAAATATATATAATTGATATACTAAATACCATTTTAAACTACAAGTAAAAAGAATCACTAACGATTCATAAGCCAGAATAAAAGAAAAAGATACTTCTAATTGATTGTATAAGCCAATCCAGTTGAATTCTGTAATATATCCTGTTCATCCATGTTGTCCACACCTTATGACAATAGCACGTGTTCATTTCGTTTAATTCTGTAATCCTGTTGTATATATATCTATCTATTCCGCTGATGATGATGTATAGCCACTTCGCTTAATATCCTATTGATACTATATTTAAATGATAAAGTCTTCGTGCATCTAGATTCCTTTCTTTCTTTCAGACATATACTCAGTGATGATTGTCAAGGATACCAATTATGAAGTATGAGAAGAAGAAAGAACGGTAATTCTAGATGGATAGATGTTGTAGTAAAAAGATCAAGGTCAGAAGAACGTATATAATAAAAAAAAAAAAGGGAAGGAGGTTAGAAAGAAAAAGAAAAGCACTTGTTTTTGAAGCTTACCTTTAATAAGAGTAAATATTTGTAAAAACCACATAGATAAAATGAGTAGGATATAGTAACGAAGTTGGAATGTTTAAAAAAAAGGAAAGAAAGAAAGAAAGAAAGAAAGAAAGAAAGAAAGAAAGAAAGAAAGAAAATGATTTATTTTATATGTCTGTCTGATCGGAGCCAGTTTAAAAAAATCATGCAAATCAAATTAACCAATCATAAGGAATCACATAGGTTTAAGTTTCTTTTTTTTTTGAATTGATTTTTTTTATTATTGATTATAGTAACATCATAATGACGATGATGATGATATATTAGAATAAACACTTTCAAGTGAATGTCTTTATCACTTATTTCATATTCCTTGTATTCATTGAACTTTGAATAATCATGATAGTGAAGAAAGATTACAAAAGAAAAAGGAATATCAGACTATTGTAGATTAATCTAGGTTAAATCTATGGCAAGCGGGATTTCAACATCTAAAAAAAGGGAAGGCTCAATTCATGGCTCAGGGTTAAATAAAATATCAAGTAGAGTAGATTTCAATTTTTTAATTTCTTTTTTCTCGCTTTCTTCTTCTTCCTTATAGCTACTATTATAGATATGTTTATTTATTCTGTATAAAAAGTAACTGAAGATACAATAAAAGGAGCTTTATGTACTCATTGTGTGTTAACTAGATTGTCTTCCTTTAATGTTGCTATAGAAATACCATCACTATATATCTTTTTACAAACTCGATATTCAACATATATTCAAAGGACTACAAAACTATGGCAATAAGTCTATCACTATCAAATGCACTGCTAGCACGTTCCAAAACAGAAATAGTAAAATAGTAAGGGATTAAGATATTGTCATGATTCGGATTCTGATTCTTTTATTTTCTTTCCTACGACCAAAGCAATAGATGAAGTGGTAAAGAGCCATCAGTAATATGAAGAATGGAGTTCAAATGCGACACATATGAAGCAGCAATGAATCCTTTATCGGTAAAGCAATACATTACGGTCTGAATTCTGGCGTAAGAACTACAGCAAAACGGGTGAATCTAACTTCAAGTCAAGCAAGTACGATTTTATTACTCTCAAGCAAGTATGCGCCACTTCAGGATCTTACTGCGAGCAACGGAAATGCCACCGAATTGAAGAACTCTCTGAACATCAAAAGGTACGAATACCACTGCAGCATCTATCAATAATCAACCAAGATCATACTTTTACCAACCACAATTTTAGAGAAAAAAACATTCACAGCACTATTGAAAACAGAAAGGAATCTTGCTCAAGTTGGAATGAAGGTTATGGCGACTGATGATACCAAGAAAATCATGATGTAGGAACGAACATGTATACAACAAGAAAGCGTGTGATGTTCTAGTCAATTTCTACCACTATTCCCCATTCATCAAGAAACAAAAACGATACGGTGACAAGACATATGCATGGGCGGCAAAGAGATTTTTTTTGGCTCAGGTTCTGGTGAATATCACTCCTCAAGGATTTGCTGGTTCTTTTTTTTTTTTTTTTTTTTTGTGAAGTCTCATCCAGCATCCGCAAAAAAAGAAATGGCAAGGTCGATCTTGGTGTGGTTACATGTATCAATCCGGATTGCGTCTTAAGAAAAGTATGCTGTCTACCCTGTGGTAGAGACATTAATGTAATGATCAACATTTTGAAAATTGGACTATACAAGTACTGTAGATGACTGGCGCCGATTTTTCATATATTGTCAAGAACTAATTCAACTTCCTCTTCATCAACAATTATTGACAACTTGGGTTCTTTACATCTTGGAAAGATCGTCTGTATACTGCGTGATGGTGGATTCATTGTGCTTTATCGTAAGTAATACTAAAAGGAAAAAGATACCTTTGACAGATATTCAATCTTGATTTATTTTTTAATCTCCGGTAGTGAACCTCTATAAGATATCCGGTTTCCCCCCTTGTTAGGTATTTTGAAATATCATTGGTCAATTGACCTGGAATTTTTTTTTTCTTTTTTGTTTATTTTGAAACTTTTCTTTTCCTGCTTTTTTTTTTTTTTTTCTTTTTCCTTTCTCTAGACATCATGACAACAGTTTTACGACGGGTTATACAAAGTCCCTTTGGGTTATTCCATTCATCATCACATAGTTACCTAGTGAATGGCTATTTATCACGTACAACAACAACAACAGGGTGGCTGATACAAGGTCGTCGATATGGTCATGGTGGAGTGATAGATCCTCATCGACTCAAAGCAAGTAAAGGTGGACGACGGGTGGCTTCCAATAAACTGTTACAATCCATTCGAAAAGGCGATCAACAAGCAGTATGGACACAATACTTGGCACTTCACGATGGACAACAACTGAAACATTTATTACCAGAATATCATTCCATGTCACTACGGGCACTTGGATTACAACATGTAATTGCTTATGGACCGAAAGAAATTCAAGCTATTAAGGAACGACTTATGATGATCTGGGCCAATATGAAGCATTGTGGACATACACCTGATATCCGTGATTATAACCATATGCTTGGGTTTGCTGGTCGAGCAAGTGATTGGACTTTATGTGAACGTATATGGATAGAATTGATGGACAAATCGACAAATAAATCATCTTTATGGGGATTGAAACCAAACGTATATAGTTACAATGCTTATATGATGGCGGCTATTCAATGCAAACAATCTGAAAAAGTGGCTTCTATCTTCAACATGATGTATCAAAGCGGAATTCAACCAAACACTTTCTCTTATAATACTTTGATGGATGCGTATGGACATTTGGGTGATGTGGCAGAAGTGGATCGAATCTTTGATAGAATTTTTGTACGTCAACAACTACAACAACAACATAAGACTTTTTCTTCACTTCTTCATCCGAAAAGGGAACAATCTACAATTTTGGGACGACAAGTTGCTTCTTTGACACGCCATGCACCTATTAATAATAATAATAATAGAAAGAATTTGACACCTACAGTGGATACTTTTATGTCTTTGATTGATGCTCATGGACGACATGGTAACACGATGGGATTGGAAATGATTTACAACAAGATGATGCCCGAATTCAAGATTGAACCTACTCTTGCGATATACAACAGTTTGATTCGATGGTACTGCAATAAAAGCGATCTGGAAACTGCAAAACAATTGATGTTGGAAATGGAACAGCGTGGCATCCAACCCAATGTGGTCACCTTCAACTATATGTTCCGTCATGAGGCCTTGAAACGCAATCGCCCTGGTGTTGCCGAACGTTTATTGGATTTCATGCATCAAGTATATCAACTTCAACCTCTTCAATCCATGTACCGTCAGCTTATCCGTATTCACAACAGACACAACAGAGATCAAGAAGTCGAACGCCTGGTCCGTACTTATGAACAATCCATATCATCTACCAAATCAAAATAGAATTTTAGTTCAGTTGTTGTTTTATATATATTATTATTGTTATTATTATTATTATTTAGTTTATATCCTTGTGTTGTTTCCTTCATTGTGTATAGATACTTCCCTCCCTCTTCTTTTCTCTGTCATCCTTATCGTATTTCTTTTAATATTTTGAATAAAATATTAATTTTTTTTTATTATTATTATTATTTTACCATTGATGTGAATAGGCTATGTGATTATATGTCTGGGTATACGGCAAGATCAACTGAATATACATCATTATTAACTAACGATACAAAGTATCTATTAAAAAAATGAATTTTTGAAATCATGGAAAAGGATGGATGATATGAAATATAAGGACTTTTTTTTTTTATTGTTAAATTGTTTTCGAAGATAAAGAATGAAGAGGAGCTAAATGGAAAGGTTTAGAACGATGATGATCTGAGGACGATAGTGTACTTGATGATGATGATGATGATGATGATGATGTATCCATAGTAGTAGAGATAGAGGAGGGCATGGATTGGGATAGCCTAGAATTGTTACCAAGAATAAGTATGGAAGCAAGAATATGTCCTAACTGTGTAGAGGAAGAAGTAGTAGCAGCAGCAGAAGAAGAAGAAGCAGAAATGGCTGATAACAATCGTATCAGTGGATCATCGTATTGTAACGATGATGACGAAGTGCCGTGAAGATTGGATGCTGCTGTTGCGAAGATAGACATATTAGATGTGGACGATGATGATGATGATAATGTTGATGATTGCGTATTTTGAGCAGATGGACATTTGGCAGATAGTGGGAGGGATTGATTCAACAAGGTATCGATTTGCTTGATTTCCTTTTCCAACTTATCTTTTTGAGATTCCAAGGCCAGACGAAGATGATCGGATAATGATGATTTCGTTGATGCTATTTCATGATTATGAATGGCAGATTGAAGAGAGGTGATCAACGTTTGAAGATGAGGTAGTAATAAGGCATCCTTTTGCTGATTTTGTTGTTCTTTAGATGCTGACATAGATGAACATGAACAATGATGTTGCTCATCATTACAGTGATGACGATAATATTGTTGATGTTGCGATGATGATAACTGAGGTAGAGTAGAAGTACAGGGAGACGCATTTAATGCATGTGATTTCACTAACTGATGATGATAACGATGATGATGTACCTCTGTAGCACGAGGGGCAGTGGCGGGAAAGATATTGGAGATATTGGTAGGAAAGTTGAACCTTTTTCTTCTTTTTATGACATCTCGTTTCATGGTCATTGGTCGATGAACTTGATGTAGTTTATAATATAGTCCACAGGCATTACATATGGTATTTCCTTTTTCGTCTCTTCGCCAAAGAGGAGTTGCAGTTGTATGACAGTTATGACAAGATACTATCATTGGTATCAGACATGATGATGATCCTGTTACTGTTTCTTGTTCATGATGTCGTTGAATAGGTTGCATTATATGTTTGAATGATAATGATTCCATTAAATAAGAGAAAGAAGAAAAAAGAGATAATAGAAAGTAATGTACATTTAATATATATATATATATATACCGTATTTATTTCTATTTCCGCTGATATGATAGGCAAATGTTGTTCACACTAAATTCTGTAAGAAATGAAAAAGAATTATAAAGAATGATTATCTCTTTTGTTTTTTCTTTTTTAATGCCTTTTGCAGTAAAGATAAGATAAGTTGGTTTCTTTATCCTTTCGCAAGTAACAAGCTCAGATAACGTACCATTATCTAGTTTGAAATGGGGAAAAAACTACTAAAAGAGGGAAAGCCGGTTTTTCTTGAGTAACCTATTTGTTTGAAAAACATCGCATTGCCTGTTTCGGCAACTACATATTTTTCTTTTCCGGAGTTTTTTTTTTTTTTTTTTTTTTTTCTTTTCTCTGTTTTCCTTTTTTCTATTTAGTTTCAAAATGCTTTTCTCCAAGTTTTCATTACTTGGCGTATTTGGCTTATTTGCCAGTACTCATGCTTTTGACCTTCAACAAGTACTTCAAAATGGACAACAACAACAAGAACAATGGGTGACCACTGACGATTTCCGTATTTTAACTAGTGATAACGCGAAAGGATATCAAGTTCGTATTAAAGTACCTCAAACTTGTGAACAAGGTGTACAGGTAAAAAAAATATATATATAAATAAAAACAAATTATTAAAATAATTAACTCAAAGCGTGTTTCTATATAGTATTCTGGCTACATTGATAACCTGGATCATGACGACCACTATTTCTTCATGTTTTTTGAATCTCGTTCTTCTCCAAAAGAAGATCCTACTGTTCTCTGGTTGAATGGAGGTAAGCAATAATAACTGGTTCCATTTATATTCAATTATTTATTTTCTTTTTATCTTTTACATACTTAAGGTCCTGGTTGCAGGTAAACTATTTTTAATTTATGTTCAAAGATAATGTTATCTTGTTACTTATTACCCTTTTTTTTTTGTTTCCTTAATGGGATTTTATAGTAGTTTTATGGGGAATGTCATGGAACTTGGACCTTGCTTAGTGACAAAGGATGGCAATGATACTGTATCAAATCCTTATAGTTGGAATTCGGTATCTAATATTATCTTTTTGGATCAGGTACAAAATACAATTGAAATGATTTTTTTTTTTTTTTTTTTTTTTTTACTAACTATTCACTTTTTCATAAAAAAAAATGAAGCCAGTACGTGTTGGTTATTCTTATGGAAAATCAACAGTCAAGACAACTGCTGAATCTGCTCGTGATGTTTATGCCTTTTTACAAATCTTCTTTACTGAATTCAAACAATATGCACAAAACTCATTCCATATTACTGGTGAATCCTATGCAGGCCATTATCTTCCTGCTTTGGCAGTGGAAATCATTAACAAGAACAAGTTTGCTGAACAACAAGGACGATTCCGCATTCCATTTGAATCTATGGCTATTGGAAATGGATTTACTGATCCTCGAATTCAATTCAAACATTATCAAACCTTTGGTTGTGCCAAAAACGAAAGTAAATGTAAGTCTGATTTTTATTTACATCCTGTTATTATCTAACATATATACTTTGTTTTTGTTGAAAAAAAAAATCCATTATTAGATCAACCTATCTTTGATGATAAAACGTGTGCTGAATTGGAAAATGCTTATCCCAAATGTTATGGTTTGATGACAGCTTGCTATCGTTACCCTAGCTCCTTGACTTGTGTGCCTGCGTCTTTATACTGTGAAAAGAGTACAGGAATGGGACAATATACGAAGACTGGTTTAAATCCTTATGATATCCGAATGAAATGTGAAGGCAATACTGGACTTTGTTACGAATTGATGGAAGCCATTGACAATTATGCCAATTTGGAAAAGGTCCGAACGAATCTGGGTGTAGATCCTGCTGCTGGCAAGTATTCAGGTTGTACTGATTCTGTTGGTTTCATGTTTGGATTAACTGGAGATGGTGCCAAGAATTTTGAACCTCATGTTTCCAAGACTTTAAGTGAAGGTATACGTGTATTACTCTATGCTGGTGACAAGGATTTCATTTGTAATTGGTAAGCCTCTTATTTCCATCGAAAACAAACAAAATAAAAAAATACGGGACCAGTAATGCTGATGATATTTATTTATTTATCTTTACTTTTAGGATGGGAAACAAGGCATGGTCTTTATCTATGGATTGGCCTGGTAATAATAATAATAATAATAATAATAATAATAATAGTAAAAGAAAGGAAAGAGTACTGTATGAATATCAAAAAATGTATTTATCATATAATAAAATAGGTCAAGAAGGTTACAATAATGCTGATGACGAAGAATGGATCAATGCTGCTACCGGTGAATCCGCTGGTCAAGTACGTACTTACAAAAACCTTTCTTTCTTACGTGTTTATGATGCTGGACATATGGTAAGTTGAATTTCTTAATGGTATACAAAGGCAATATTTGACATTTCTTTTTTTTTTTCTTTTCTTTAATTGTATTAATTGTAATGATACAGGTACCTTACGATCAACCTGCCAACGCATTAGACTTCATTAGCCGCTGGTTGAGTAATCAGTCCTTGAATCAATAATTTAGCTTGATAGTTTGATTAGTATATAGTGGTTCTTGTAATAAAATTGATTACATTTTTGAATCCTTTTGTTTAAATTGATTTGATTGATTGAAGTAACAAGTTTCATGAAAGCAAGAACTTCTAGGAGGATTATGATTGGTTTGAAATGAATCTTTTCGTTTTTCTTGGGGGCGTAAATGTTCAGGTCCCGCCTCGAAAAAAGTTAAAAAAAAAAGATTTTTGCATCTTTTTCCTTTTTTTTTTTTTTTTTTTTTTTTTTTTTTAATTGATATATCTGAAGAATGGACAACAATATAGTGGCTACTTATGATACTTCTAGAAAAACACAGTCTAATACTTCTTCGATATCCTTCCATGATGGACATAAAGTGATCAATGATCCTATTCATGTAAGTTTATCTAGAAGAATATAAAACACTTTTTCAATGAGATTTGAACATTACTTTTTTTTTGAATAATAGGGTCATATTCGACTTGATAGTTCTACTGTTGAATTTATTGATACTGTTCAATTCCAACGTCTTCGTGATCTGAAACAAGTAAAAATAAATAGTTATCTATACATATTGAAAGTTCATAATTGACTTGTTTTTTTTTCTCTTTTAAAAAAAATGATAGTTGGGATCTGCCTATTTTGTCTTTCCTGGTGGAAGTCATAATCGATTTGAACATTCTATTGGTAAGATCTTAAAGAAAAACAACTAATAATGCAAGGACGGGGTTACTTTACATTGAGGTTACTCAAACTAACTTTTGTATATTACATATAGGTGTATCTCATTTGGCTGGTACTTTGATTGAACGATTTGAAAAAGAACAACCTGAATTGGATATCACAAAAGAAGAAATTCAATGCATAAAATTGGCAGGGTAAATATATAACAAATAAAAAACTTTTAAAAACAAAAAAATCTAATCGGATGTTTTTTGATAGTTTATGTCATGATCTGGGACATGGACCCTATTCTCATGTATTTGATAGTGAATTCATGCCAAAGGCCAGGTAATACGAAATAAGAAGAAAAATATTTAGTATATTCATTCTACCTCTTTCTATTTTTGATTGCTGTATACATAGACCCGGATTTGAATGGTCACATGAACAAGCATCGGAAATGATGTTAGAATACCTTATTGAAGACAATCACATCGACATTGATTCACAACAAACCAATTTGATTAAGGATTTGATTGCCGGTGCTCCTCGATCAAAAAGGTAAACAAGTAGTGAATGAAAAAAAAAATGAAAAAAAAACTATGCTCACTAACAGAACTATATTACATCTATATATAGTCAATATGAAGATCGTGGTTTTCTATTCGATATTGTCGCCAACAAGAAAAATAGTGTAGATGTGGACAAATTTGATTATATTGAACGTGATGCACAAAACCTTGGATTACGAAGCTCATATGATGCCAAACGATTATTATTATATAGTCGAGTAGTAGATAATGAAATATGTTATCATCACAAGGTCAGTCTCAACAAAAAGACAAAAAAAAAGAAAAAAAAGAAAAAGTGATATCCATTATGATTGATCATTCTTCTTTTTGATTATAGGAAGTCTATAATTTGTATGAAATGTTTCATACTCGTTATAGTTTATTCAAACGCATTTATACACATCGAGTTGGCAAGGCTATTGAATTGATGATCACCGATGCATTATTGGCTGCAGGTACGAAAACGCATAAAAGGGATAAAATATCAAACTAACTAATATATATCAAAATTTATATAGATCAACATTTGGGTATCTCATCCTCTGTCCAGAATCCTGAAGAATACTTGAATTTGACCGATGATATCTTGAGAGTCATTGAACGATCGAAATCCCCAGAATTGGCTGATGCTAGAGCCATTATGAAACGATTACGTACTCGACAATTATACAAATTTGTGGATGAATTCTTGATACCACCCACTTTGGTTGACAAAATTACGACGGTACGCAATAAAAAAAAAAAAAAAGGAAATTAGGAAAGATTTATATTCTGATACTTGTTTTATTTTTATGGAACGATAGGATGTCATTACACCTCAAGAAATTGTGTCACATCAGAGTACAAACGATAATTTGGTGGTAGATGATGTTATTGTATCCAAAGGCAAAATCAATTATGCTATGCAAGATCAAAACCCTGTTGATTCTATTCGATTCTTCTCTAAATTCAACGACAATGGTAATAGATATATAAAAAAAAAAGTAGATACTGTTGAACTGAACTAAATAATCTCTATTTCTTTTTTTTTTTATATTAGAATCATTCACTATACCCAAGCATCATGTATCGTATATGATCCCAACTCAGTTCCAAGAAGTGGTGATTCGTATTTATACAAGAAATCCAACCAAGGTACAAGCTATCCAACAAGCTTTTCGAAAAACATTACGAACTTTTTGCCCGAACAAGGATCCAAATGCCGATGATACCTTCGAAATGAACGATGCTTTGACTCTCCCCAACGATTTCGACATGATTCAAGCAAATAAACGCCGACGATCGGTGCTAAGCAGTACCAACGATCATCATCATCATCATCAAAATGGATCAGATGTGGTGAAAAAGTGGACTTTGGATGTGGATACTTCAAATTAGATGATATAGATTATAGTATGTAGTTTTTTTTTTTTATTTTTTTTTTATTTTTTTTTGGTATAATGAATGAAACAAAATAAAATATGACTTTGCCGAAATATCTTTTTTATGTAAAAAATTAACAATGAAAGGGAACAATTCATTTTTTTTTTTAATGGTACACAGACAAACAGGGTAGATGGACAGATAGGGTTTAACGATGACGGTAAAAAAAAAGCATGTGACAAAGACAGGATAGCAAAATTAAGGATAGACTACAAATGTAAAACCAATAAATGCCGGACCTTTCTTTTTTTTATAGATGGGATCAACAAAAATATGTACATCATTTAGACATTGATGATCAGGGAAAAATCACTATCCACATATGGTATAGACAAAGCAAACCAACATCGTCTTTTGGATTGAAAGTGTTACACGGACAAAACTCCGGACGGTCATTTTTTTTTTTTTTTGGCCTATACAATTTTTCTGCCCCAATTTATGGTAGTCATTTGCCAATCAAGAACAAATGGAGAGAAAGAAAGAGAAAAGGTATGAACAGTATCATCATTATCTACAGTGACTAGTGATAGAATAAACGATAGATCTATCTATCTATCTATATATATATATATATATTTGTATAAGAATATCCTCCAAACGTTGGGGCTGTATTAATAAAAAAAAAAAAAAAGGTAAGCCAATTAATCAAGTTGATTCCTTTTAGAATAAAAAGAAACATACAATAGTAATTGAGCGGCCAAAGCGGGGTTTTTTTTTGCTGTTTTGAACAATGTGTCTCTATTTATACTTTATTGTAGTGTGACATAAAATTGTTGGTAATCATACATAGTAACTAAAACAAAAACGTTCAACGATATAACACTAAGTAAGGAAGGGGAAAGGAGGGAAGAGTGGGGAATATACAAAAAAAAAAAAAAAAAAAGGTGAATAATAGAATGATAAATGCTGTTCATTTATGCTGGGGGCGGTGATTGGTTGAATAAAATGCTGGATATGTAGATAATGATAATAGTTTATGTCAGTTTGATGATTGATGATGTTTTTATAATAAATGCTGGAAATGATGATTGTTGCTGGTGATGGAAGCTGATGGTATGATTGAGAGTGATATGATTGGATGAAGGTGAATGATTGATGATGATTTTGAATGAATGATAATGGTGAGATGATAATGATGATGGAGTGATGATGTTGACAAATGATATTGATGATGATGATGATATATGTATAAATGCAAGAATGTAAAACTAACTAAATAATAACAATAAGGGTGCAGTAGAAGAGAGATAATAACATGGATAAATTAAATCTAGGAACAGGAAGAAAGAGGAGAGGGTAGAGCATAATCTGTATCGGAAGAGGAGAGAGCCGTAGTAGAACTAGTAGTAGGTTGAGAACAGTGAGCTGATTTCCATTGATGCCACGATAATTCCAATTTCTTGATATGTCGGTCCAAATGTATCACTTGCAATTCCAAATCATCATATGCTGATAACAATTCCTTTTCCATAGCATCCAGACGTGTTGCATGAGGATCTAATTGTGGTGCACAAGTCACATAGGCTTGCCGCAGACTACCAAACATCACATTCAAAGTGGCCAAAGTGTCTTGAGTATAATCCAATTCATCTTCGAGAGTCATCAATTCCTGATCATCTGTTATATATCGACGATTTTTCCCTTGTTCATTGGTCGTTTTTCTATTTCTAATTCCATCATTATTGTTATTACAATTGGTAGGTGAAGATGGCGTATGAAGGCATTGAGAATGATTGGATGATCTACGACGTTGATTTGTCACAATAGATAGTTTTTTCTTTTTCTGAATCTTCGTTGTTTGAGTTTTGGTTGATGTATTGTTGGTAAAAGAAGGTATAAATTTGTCGAATTTTTTACTTTCAGATATAAATAACATAGTAGACATCTTTTTCAAAATAAATAATTAAATAATAATAATAAAAAAAGAAACAAAAGAAAGAAAGGAAGAAAAGAAGAAAAAGGCAAAAAAAAAGTGATTTAAATCTTTTGACATGCGGTATTCAAATATTAAAGAAGGGCAAATTTTTTTAGATACGTTCAATGATTCTGGAAAGGAAATTGCCTTAATGGGAACATCCAGAAATGAAATCTCCCGCAAAAGGTTTTATATTATTTTTTTTTTAGTAGTATAGTTGGACAAAGTACCACAAAAAGATATATAATAATAAAATGTCTTATAATATAGAAGGTAAAATATGGACTGTGCAGCCATCCCTTTTTTCCATCATTTACGCGCGATCAACTTGTATTTTTTTTTTTTTTGATCTAGAACGTAATCATCATTACAATAAGAATTTGATTACTTAAAAAGAATAAATCAGAAAAAAAAATTCCTATTTTTACTTGGTTGACTGATGTTATGATTAATGAAAAAGGAAAAGCAATAAATTTTCTTATTGCATTTAGACAGATTATCTATAAGTATCATCCAGTTTTTTACCGTGGATTCCGGAATTGTCGGTGTCCGCGGGACTGCTCTATCACTTTTCTTTTTTATAATTTCATTTTATCACATGCTGTTCGAAGTCAGTTCCTCTTGTCCTTTTCCAATCATCATCGCGCGAATCGCTCCGTTCTTCTTCATCACCTACTTTCCTCCGAATAATCATAATGATACTTCCATCATAATAATGACAAAAAAAAAAAAAAAGGTATATGATAATCATGATCATTATATCATAGTACGTTTTGATGAAAATCTATGATGACTCTATTAAAGTGATTATATAAAATAATAATAATAATGATGATGACCGTAATGAGATATTATGATCATACAATTCGCTAAATTGAATTATTGATTTACGTTATTATGCTTCAACGTATGGCATTACCATTTACTTTTTGAGCTATGAATGATAATGTGTGGAATTTTTCATATTCCGACTTGTTCTTTTTTTTTTTTTTTAGATTTCCCATTATTGTCTTAATATTCTTCTCTTTTTTGATAAGTTTTCTTCAACAAAAGTACAGTGTTTATTGATGAATAATGTATTGGATCAATGGTATAGCTAGCGAAATATGTTTAACGTCAACGTTAGTGGCTTGCTTATCGACAGCAAAGGAGACTATACAACTCGAGTCATCGTCATCAACAACAAACGACAAAGGCAAAAGCCGTGAGCCTTCATTCTCATCATCGGCACATATCATTACTATGCAACCTTCTTATCACGCGTCATTCTTTGTTACTTGTACCCATAGTGATATCCATTTATGGTCTATCAAGGTAAATACAAAATAGGTTTATCATACATTCTTTTTACAAAAAAAAAAATAACAATGCAATATTATTACTTTTGTCGTTATCATTGGATTATGTAGCCTACGGTCATCTTATCCTTTGTTAAACGATCCAACAAACATGTAGAAGAATTTGGAAAAAACAAAAGTATCTTATGGAAGCCGGATGGATCCTCGTTTGTGGTACTTGTAAGTTCGATAGAAGAATATTCTCTTTATGAATATTTGACTCTTTTTATTTATTTATTTATTTAGACAGATAGAAATTACTTGTTGCTCTATGTGATATTATCTTACGATCAACAATCCTTAGAATTCCAATTTCCTACGAGTCATCATGCGTATGTGACAGGGCCTGGCGAAGGGAAGGGCGCAAGAACTATGCTAATCAAGTTTCGATTGGCGATTCGTGTAGATGCTGGGGTTACTTGGTAAATAAGAGTAGAAAAAGAAAAGGGAGGATATAATGTAGTATAGTATCCATCAAACAAATATATCTTATCTATCTCTACATATATAGTGGCTCATGTACAGATGATACTTTGATCATTGGTACTCAGAAACCGGCTGCTATTCAATGTATTTCTTGGAATCCACAGCAAACAAATTCAACACAAACCTCAGTACAGCATCGTCTAGGGATTTTCTTGGATCAGGATGGTACGAAAATAGGTCAAAATTGGATCAATATATAGGTATAGAGAACGACTAACAATGGTTCCCTTTTTTTTTTTTTTTTTAGAACATGTCAAAACGATGCTTTACGACAAATTAATGAACATATCTGTCTGGATCACCAATGTGGGCCGGGTTTATCTTATACAAAACAAAAATCAACGACGTGGCAGTAAAAGCTCAACTAAGGTATGAATATGAAAGTAAAAAAAAAAAATGTGCAACTCAACTTTTTTATTTTTGTGTATATATTTAGTCTGAGTCTGATGATCATCCGTCTACTTCACCTTCTGCACCGTCCTTTACTGAGCCTATCCATTGGTTTGGGCGATGTTTTCATGGGGCTTCAACTACTTCGTCGTATGATCCTGCTACCTGCATTGCCATCAATGCCAAATTTTCTCTGATTGCCGTGGGCACTTCAAGGTAAGGATATGCTTTCTATACGTATCTCTATTGTTTACGGAAAATGATATTCTTATATATATATGTATAGTGGTAGCATCTATGTTTATACTGTACGCAATTATACCAGCACGCCACTCCTTTCACATCAAATGCGATTACCTATGATGTCAATGACAGCAACATCAGCGGCAGCAACGCACACAAATGGTTATGGATCACACGTAAACTCATCATCTTCATTATTATCACAAGTTCCTTCATCGACCTCCAATCTCCTAGATTCATATCAAGGACGACAACAAAACAAAGAAGATATTTCCAGCTTATATCACAATAAAATTGGATCAGTTCAAACGATGGCATGGTCACTAGATGGTTACGCCTTATCAGTTGGATTTATGGGTCATGGTGGTTTGGCTATGTGGAGCGTATACGGTGCTTTATTGTGTTCGATGGATGATATAGAGGATTTGATGGAAACACAAGATGGATTATCCAACACACAAGACTTATATGTGAATCAAATCAATTCTATGGTAAGATAAAGAGGATATATTTATTTGCTACTTCAATGATCTGACATCTATTTTTATATATATATGTAGTTTTGGGGCCCTGGAAGTCACCAGTTGTTTGTCCTTTCTCAAGATAATCAAGATGATGAAATAAGCCGTCTGTATACATTACCATTTGCTAAATCTGCTTTGACAACATTTCATAATTCAGTAAGTTAATGTGATTTAAATATGTATGTTTTTGATGTTACTAACGAAAGAGTTAATTTTTTTTTTTATCTTTTAAAAATAGGACAATGCACGTAGAGGATTATTGCAAATGGATGACCGATTATTATTATATAACAATGGTGGTGATTATCAGGAAAATAATACGAATACTATTGACCCTGATGCCGTTGCATGGACTCATATATTATATCCCTCTATCTATATTACTGAACATTGGCCAATTCGGGTAAGAACTTATATATTACCATTTTCAACAATAACTAAACACTATTTTTATATGCCTATACTTTGAATAGTATGCTTCCATTAGTCCGGATGGAAAGTTTATTGCTATTGCTGGACGACGTGGTTTGGCTCACTTTAGTACACTGTCCAGTAGATGGAAGCTATTTGGTAACCAACAGCAAGAACAGCAGATATTGGTTCGTGGTGGTCTGGTTTGGTACAAACAAATCCTGATCGCTCCTTGTGAGGTGATTTCTTCTGGTTACGGAAGTGACAAAACTTATGAGGTAATATCTACAATATATATATATATATATATATGTAGCTTATAATTGTTATTCTTTGTCTATATTGATCTTAGATATACATGTACTCAAGAGATCAAAACTTGGATCAAGCTCATGCCCTCTTTACTGAACCATTGGAAGCTATTCCGATTTATATTACAACCTGTGGCAACTTCTTGTTGGTATATACATTAGATAATCAACTTTCCATTTATGCAATTCATTATGTGGAAAACAACATTGGAGCAACTCATATTGATTTGGTACGGCAAATATTTTTGACAGGCATTGTGGCTCGACCTGCCCGTGTACGTGGCATCAGTCTCTTTCATGGTGAATGCGGAGGTAAGAAGGAAACGTACACTTGATACCGAACATTTATACTTAATATTTTCTTATTTCTTTTGTAGATCGAATCCAATCCATTGATGAAGTGGTTCAATACAATATCATTTTACTTGTCGATGGAAATCTCATGATGTTATCTCCAAAATTTGCAGTAAGTTATGGTTTTCCATTTTAATTTATCAAACTAAAGTTGGCTCGCTCTTTTTTTTTTTTTTTTTTTTTTTTTTTAATGATCTCAATAGAGTGATGATGATAATGATTCAGATCTGATAGAGCAACATGAGATTCGAAGTAACAGCAGCGGCATTCACCATACCACATACGATTCTCACGTTCTGATGGAAAAAGTGGAGTACTATTGGATTGGACAGAAAGGTATTGCAAATTTATGGACTTCAATCTGGGCAGTAGACGGCAAAGGCGTCAAGGTATTCACAAATGTATTACGTGGTGAAGGATATGGATTTTACGCATTCAACAAGGATCACAATATGACAATACTGGAAAGTGAACCATCAACACCTACAACTCCCATTGGTCCTGGTAGCAATGGATATCATTATCGGGATATTGGAGCACGACCTTATTCATTAGGATATAGGATAGGTGTGGAACCGTCATCACCTCACTCGCAATGTTGGATGGATATGGAAGGTGAATCAAAATGGCAAACGGATCTACATCAATTAGAAGCCAATGCTATATATATTCCCCTTGATTTTTACCCACATGGTACGACTCAATAAGAACAACAATATGGATGGCTAATTTTTTTATTTTGAATGTTTTTATTATAGCTATTCTCTTGGATAAAGGTGTGATTGTAGGAATGGAACAAAACATTATATATAAGAATACACTTGGATATTTGTTATACAAATCAACTACGAAGGTAAATAATATAATAATAATAATAAAGTATATTGATGACTGATTTTTTTTTTCTCATTCTCATACGATTGATAGACGCACTTATTTCTACACCATTTGATTCGATATTTACTTCAACGCCAATTAGAAGAAGACGCGGTGGTATTTGCAAGGGCTTACGAAAGATTAATTTATTTTGGCCATGCACTGGAAATCTTGTTACATACCGTTTTAGAAGAGGAAACTGAAAGACCCCGATCTTCCGATAAAGGTAACTCAAAAAAAAAAAAAAAAAAGAAGAAGAGAGAGAAAACGAAAGCATGTGATTAATCATACAAATTACTGACTTGGACTCTTGATTCTCAATAGATGCTATTTTACCACTCGTGATTCGGTTTTTGGATCAGTTCCCTCATGCTTTGGACGTGATTGTCAGTTGTGCAAGAAAAACAGAAGTGGCGTTATGGGATCATTTATTTGCATCGGTCGGAAAACCTGAAGACTTGTTTGAAGTATCTATAAAAAAAAAACAAAAGGTGAAACGATCAATGTACTGAACCATGCTAACGATTTTTTTCTATTTATTTATCAGTTATGTTTGACGGATGGACGATTAAGAACAGCAACATCTTATTTGATTATTTTACAAACAATGCAACCTCATAATACAGGTGGAAAGGTAAGAAAAAAAATAGGATGAGCAAGATGATGATCATTTATAAACCTTATTAATTCCGTTACATCTTTGTTGGTTTGATTTTGTTTGTAGGATACCATTCGATTATTACAAAAAGCTATGGATGTGGATGATTATGAACTGTGCAAAGAATTGGTTCGATTTCTTAGTTCTATTGACCGTAAGTTTGTATACGAAGAAAATTTGGAATAGATGTTGATTGATTATTCTATATATATATATATATAAAGATACAGGAAAAACGTTGCATGAAGCACTTGTTGCTCTTCAAACTAGGATGGTTGAAAAGGCAAATGGTGGACATATTACGGACTCTACTCTTATACAAGGCATACAAGATTTATAGTTAGTTGGTTAGTTTACTTGGTTAGATTCAGAACAAAAAGAAAAATAAAACCGATAATCCGTCTTACGCAATGTGATCTCCTAATTTCCTTTTTGTATTATTTTTGCACACCAAGTATGGTGGTCTGCCCCTTACATTGTTTAAACACAGCTTTGAGTTATTATTAGTTTTTTTTTTTTTTATATTATTATTATTGACTCCGGATTTTCCCCTCTCTATCTCTTTCATTATTTTCTACTTATTTTTGTCATTTCCACACCCCCCTTTCTCTCTTTCCCCCCCTCCTTTCTCTCTTTCTTTCTCTTTCTCTCCTTTTCTTCACTCCTCCGTTTATTTCTTTTTCATTTGTATATAAAGCTTAGACTTATCATGACCAAGTCTAAACCACGTACTGGATCTAGACAATCAATCAAATCACATCGATCTACACCATGTCGTTATGACCCTTTATCTTCTACTTCATCACAACCTCTTAATCTCTTCTTCAAACGACCACGGAATTATGCTTCAATATCATCTTCACCTCCCATATCAAACAATATGCCAGTAAGCTGAAGAATAGAAAAAAAAAATATGTATATACAATATAGTTATTTATTTCAACCTTTTTTTTTTCTTTTAAGGAATACGATAATAAAAATAGAAAAACTAGATATCCAGATCATACTATGCTTATCGATTTGACGACTACAACTCCACATTTGATATCATCACCATCTTCACTCACATCCACAACACCTTATTCCAACCAATCATCTTCAACACCTGATACCCCACTCCTTTTCAAACCAAGCACAATAGAAGAAGATGTATGTTTCCCACAAAAACCATTCAACGATTACACCCAAAGCAATAATAGCAACAATGATGATGATGATTCAATTGATTATCAATTATTAGATCAATGGGTGCGCGATTACAACACAAAATCCTCACTACATACAACTGACACATTCAAAAATTCACTTGGTGGTTATTATGATGATACCTTACGTAGATTTAATGATGCTCATTATGGACATTATTATGATGATTATACAAATGTAAGCTGGAACAAGTGGGTTTTGATTATATAATTCGCTCAACCTCTCTTTTTTTTTTTTTTGTTGTCAAAAGTACTCTGGAAAACAAACACATCAAGAAGATTTATATCGAGTTTCTTTCTATTCTGTGGCGGAACCATCAACGATTCATGCAAAAAGTGTGGCGGAACTACCTGATCAGGGACAATCATTTTCGGAAATGTTACAGAAAGGATGCTTTTGGCTGGATGTGATGTGTCCGACGGAAATGGAAATGAAACAACTCAGCAAGGCCTTTCATATTCATCCTTTGACAACTGAAGACATTGCTATGGAAGAACCAAGGGAAAAATGTGAAATATTCAAGAACTATTGTTTTGTGTGTTATCGTAGTTTTGATCAAGATCAATCCTCCATTCATTATCTGCAGCCCCTAGGTGTTTACATCTTAATCTTCAAACAAGGCATCCTTACAGTAAGTTGATAGAAAATTAGGGGTTTATTTATGTATTAAATCTATTTTTAAGTTTCATTTTCGATCTATACCTCATACTTATAATGTACGTCGACGTATCAAACAATTGAAAGATTATATCAATGTTACTCCAGGTAATCAATCATTATTATTATTATCATTATTTTACTAACTACATATATATATATATATATATATATATATATATATATACGTAGATTGGATATGCTATGGATTATTGGATGATATTACGGATTCATTTGCTCCATTGATTCGTGGTATAGAATTCGAAGTGGATTCTATTGATGAATTGGTATTGATATTAAAGGAATCGGAACAAAGCGATATGTTACGTCGGATTGGTTATTGTCGTAAAAGAATGATGAGTTTATTGCGTCTATTGGTCACCAAAGTTGATGTCGTCAAAACCATCACCAAACGAGGTCAAATGGAAAACAATACCAAAATACAATCATCATCATCAAGACCTACCATTCGTCCTGAAGTTGTGATTTATTTAGGTGATGTTCAAGGTAAGGAATACAAGTGAATTATTATCCTTTCATACTGATCTTTTTTTTTGAATGAGGTAGATCATTTGATTACTATGTTACAATCATTGAATCATTATGAAAAAATTTCATCAAGATCTCATTCCAATTATTTGGCTCAAATCTCTATTGAAATGACTCAAACCAACAATGAAATCAATGATGTTTTATCGAAAATGACTGCGTTAGGAAGTGTTTTGGTACCAATGAATTTGATTACTGGATTATTTGGTATGAATGTACCTGTTCCTGGTCAATTTACAGAGGTAAGTATCATTTTATCTCTTTTTTTTTTTTTCTCACAACTCTTTTTTTTTTTTTCTTCTCCTTTTGTGTAGGATTTGACTTGGTTTATTTGTATCACTATCTCGATATTGACATTTTGTATGACTTCTGTTGCTATGATGCGATATTATCGTATTATTTAGTTTAGTTTACATATTAGAATTTTAATATTTGTTTGAATAAAGATAGTATTGACTTCTTATATATATATATATATATATATTGCGTCATGATGGTAGAGTTTGTGTAAGTTTGATGAAAAAAAAAAAAAACAACCAAAAGGAGAAGAAGAACATACAGTTTAGATTCAATGCCCGAATGACTTCCAATGTTAATGTGATTGTTATGCCTTTTTTATATAAATAACATGATTATATATATATATCTTTTTTTTTCTATTCATCTTATTATAATATAAATTGATAGAATAGAAAACGAATATACTTTTATCAAATATTATGAAAAAAAAGATCAAAGGTTGATAGAAAAAAAAAAGGGGGGTTAGTCTCTATGGGAGCATTGGTGAGAGAAACAGAATTTTTACTCCGACTATGATAGGTTTTTTGTGTTTGTTTTTTTTTTTTTTTCTTTTACCAACTCCTTTTTTTTTTTCTCTCTTTTTCTTTTCTTTTTCTTCCTTTTTCTACTAAAGTCATCCAAATAGTTATAGAAAACATTTATTATATATACTTTTTATTATTTTACTTTTTCTCTTCTTCTTCTCTCCCCCTCTCCTTTCTTTCTTTCTCTTTTTTTTTCTTTCCTTCTTTCTTTCATATTTCTTTATTTTGACTAATCTTATATTCCCAACATGATGTCGGACGATGAGGATATGGATTGTCCTCTTTGTATGGAAGAGTTCGATATTGCGGACCGATACTTCCGACCCTGCCCTTGTGCTTATCAGGTATATATTATATATATATAGAGAGAGAGAGAGAGAACAAAATACTAAGTGCATTTCTTTTTTTTTTATTTTTATTTTTATTTTTTATAGATTTGTAGATTTTGTTGGCATCATATTAAAACAAATCTCAATGGTCGTTGTCCTGCTTGTCGACGTCTTTACTCGGATCAAATTGTTGAATTCATACCTGTCAGTGCTGAAGAAATCCAAAGAAGTAAACGGGAAAAGAAGGAAAAAGAACGACAAGAACGTGAAATGAAGGATCCTAATAGACGTCAATTGTCTAATGTCCGTGTGGTACAGAAAAACTTGGTTTATGTTCTTGGCCTCACTTCAAAATATGCTAATGCTGAAGTAAGTTTTATATTATATTTATTGTGTTAATATTAACTGTGTTATTATAGAATGATTTTTTCAAAAAGTATGGCAAAATCCTTAAACTAGTAGTCAGCAAACGATTACCCTCATCAAGTTCTACTTCTTCTTCTGCAAGTGTTGGGATCTATATTACATATGCCAGAAAAGAAGATGCGGCAAAAGCTATAGAAGAAATCAATGGTACCGTATATGATGGCAAATCTGTTAGGTAAAAAAAAGAAAAAAGAAAAAAAAACAAAAAGGAAGATACACGAAGATGACGGAACGGATTGGGACATATCGAGCTTGCGTATTTTTTTTTTTTTTTGTTAATTCGATCTAACTTTTACTTTTTCCTTTTCTTTGGTATAGGGCGTCTTATGGAACTACCAAATATTGTACTTACTTTTTACGACACATGCCTTGCCCTAATCCAAATTGTATGTACCTCCATGAAACTGGTGACGATGCAGATAGTTATAATAAGGAAAATCTTACGGTTGGGTAAGTTTATAAAAAATGGATAATATTGGGAAAAAAAAAGGAGAATCATCAATAGTTGACCTGTTTTTTTTTTTTTTATTTTTACCATTCTAGAATGAAACATGCAAACACTAGTGCCACTACTGGATATACTTACCCCAACAAACGTCCAACTGCAAGCGCCTCAACTTCAACCTCAGTTACAACTTCATCTACAGGAGTCTCAACAACAAAACCAACACCAGCTACTTCTACTTCCGAGACCGTTATCCAACCTGCACCTCCTCCAGTCAAATCGGCTTGGGCACCTATTCCCAAAGTGGCACCTCCAGCTCCTACCACTGCTTCAAGTACCATTACGACAACAGGTACAACATCTTCTCCATCCTTAACTGGTCTTCCTTCTTCAACCACATCAACTCAAACTAATAAACATCATCAACAGCAACTCTCTACTTCTGGATCCACTAAATCGACTCACAAAAAGCAACCAACATCTTCGTTATCGGCATCTCAGCAAAACAAGCAACCTCAAAAGCAACATGTGGAAATTGTTAATGATACGACACAAGATAACAAATCCTCCAAGAACAACAAAGTCAACAAGGAAAATGAAAAACCAGCATTACCAGCATCAGCTTCATGGGCTAAAGAGGGCAGATTGAATACACAAGGTGCACCATTAACTCCTGATCATTTTGGACCTTCCTTGTCAGACGCTCTTACCACTCCTCAGAAACCCAAGCATGAATCAACAAATCGGAAGAAGGACAAGAAGAAAGCGAAAATGGTGTCATTAGAGACATTTGAAGAATTGACGCGTCAACAACCACAACCTACAAAATCACCATTATCATCAAGTCCACTATCGACAAAGAAGCAAGTAGGAAAAAAGGAATTGGATACCAAGGACACCGTTACAAAACCTGCATGGAATCTACCTGTCAAACCTGTCAAACCTCCTTCTGTAGTACCATCAGCACAATCTCAACAACCTGCGGAACCATCTATCCCTTTAGCAGCACCTGTATCAACGTCTTCCTCGACAACTTTCTCTTCGTCATTATCATCATCAACGTCATCATTGACTGAATCAAAAGTTAAACAGCAAACAAAGACAACGTCAACAAATGTCAATGAACCGGTGAAGGATGAACTGCCCAAAGTGGAACCTGTGGTTATTCCAACAGACACGACTACAGCAAGAACTACAACAGAAAAGGAAGCGATTTTAGACAATGTTGAACAGATGAAAAAAGAAATGCCAGTGCATGAGGATCAATCGATGTCTTTATCAACAGAAGAATCTCAAGAACCGGTATCTGTTACTTCAACAGCCGAAGAACTGGTTGAATCAAAAGAAATGGATATGGATACTAATGAACATTTACTGGACGTCAATGATATTATGGTGCAGGATGAAGAAATAGAGCAACAACAACAAATTGAATCACAAGAACAAGTACAACAGCAATCTGAAGAACAACAATATGACAGTCAGCAAGGATTGGAAAAACAAACTTCAAACGATGATGTAACTACAATGCCACCTACTGAAGATGTACCAAATAACAATGTATTGGAAGTGATGTTTGCAGATGATGTATTGGGTAGCGTGATGACGGATGACATGGCTGACAGCAACAGTGATATCGCCAGCGACAATGATGAAATCGTCAAGGTATTTGATATGACTGGTCAGCATCATATGGGATCTACTGTACTCGAAAAAGTTCAACAGGAAGGTGGAACACCAACCATCAACAATGAATCACCTTCACTCTTCCAACAGCCTTTGCAACCACCATCGATGCCGCCATTTTTACCTGAAATGCACAGTCTCCCTCGTCGTAGTATCCAAGGTCCTCCACCTGGCTTCCCTCCTCCTCCACCTGGCTGGTTACCTCGCAATTTTGATCTTTTCCAAGGACAAGACCCTTCATTGATTGCTGCTCGTCGTTTACAGCATTCACAACAAATGTTAGAAGCTTCTGGATTATTTGGTTTTGGCGGAAGACCTCCACCTCCTCATGGTCCTCCTCTTCCTCACGGTCCTCCACCACCACCTCCACCACCATCATTCAATTTCTCACCTGATTTCCGACCTACACCGCCTCCTCATTTTGCTAATGGTCCACCTCCACATGGTATATTCCCTACTACACCTTCTCATCATGGTATGCGCCCTAATATGCCACCTCATCCTGTCTCTTTACCTCCACAACATCCAATGATGTCTGGTCCACCACCTCCATCGAATGTATCACCACAACAAGAACATCCAGAAATGGCTCAATTACGATCTGAATTCAACTTGATGCATTTACCTGGATCTGAAACTCAACCTTTGGCAAGAACATCTCCTCATCCATCTCAGCAACACGTATCATCACCATTATTCAATACGCCAGCAGCATCACAACCTCAATCAACACCATTGAATGGAGAGTATCAACTTAGGAATGATCTTCAGGCTATGTTACCTAATGCAAGCATCAGCTTTGGACCGATGGGTAATATGATGAATAGAGAATCTTCGCCACTGCCACAGTACCAGCAACAGCAACAACAGCAGCAACAGCAGCAACAGTTACAACAGAAACAACAAGAAAGTCTGCCTATGATGCCTCCACCAGGATTTCAAACAGAACAACAATCACCTATGGGGCAATCGAATACGAGACAATTGGATGACATGCGACAAGAAGCTCAACACTTTTTTGGTGAATTCTTGAAAAAAGCTGCTACACATACCGGTGAAAAAGAACACGGCAATGATGGTAAGTTGATAGGATTCAGAAAAAAAAAAAGTGATTTTATCTTATTGATTTTTTTTTTATTTTTATATCTAGCTACCGTTCCTTTCCATGATCCTGCAATCATGTCAATGCGAGTGGCTGAACGAGAAAAAGAACTTGAAGCTAATCAATCATCATCTATGTTCAATTCCTCCTCTGCATCTGCACCTCAACAACAAGACAATGGATTTATGGGAATGATGCGTCCACCTTCTTTTGGTATGGTACCTCCAGAACATCAACAACAATTGCAACAACAGCATCACCAATACCAGCAACAACAACAACAACAACAACAACAATTTCAACAACAACTTCAACAACAACATAATGGTAGAATGATGATGCCTCCACCTGGATTCTTTGATAGATTACCTCCACCCGGAATGATGGGGTCCCCTAGTAAACAACAACAATCTGACGCATTTTTACATCAACATCGTCCTCCACCTCCACATCTCTTTGGTCCTCCTATGAATCAACATCCTCAACATTACCAGCAACAGCTACAGCAGCAGCAGCAGCAACAACAACAACCATATCCACCATTCTAGTTTGAAAATCCATTTCATTTAGTTTTTATCCTTTTTTGATTTTACTGTTGACATTTTTTTTTTGCCCTTTTTTTGATTATCTTTTTTTTTTTTTGTGCATATATGTATGGTCCCTTTTTTACTCTTTGGTTCTGTTTGACTTTCTTTTTTTTTTTTTTTGATCATTTATGTTGGATAGATGTTCTCCTACTTTATTGTATTTACATTCCATTTTTTTTTCTTTTCTTTTTTTTTTACCTATATTATCTTATATTGTATATCATTGGATCCAAATTTCTTATTCTACTTATAAACACAACTATTCAATAAAGACGTACAAAAAATTTGTAACTGGGTTGTTTAAAAAAAAATTTATTATATGGGATATGAATGATATATGTATGTGTGTAAATATATATATATAGAGATATGGGTCTATCTGTAGAGAAGATGTGATAAGATGTACATATTGTATGAAGGGAATCATGGTCCGTGTAGGAATGGGTAATATCAAGAAGAAGAAGAAGAAGGTTGATTGACGAAATTCATAGTATAATTTCCAGAAGTAGGGTCTTGTTGAAATTGAAAGTTGTCGACAGAAAGTCCAAATTTGCCAAGTACAGTATTACCTAGATCCTTGAGCTTTGCCATCATTTCCTCCTTTTCCTTTTCCATGAGAGATTTGATCCTTGGTGGAAGATCCTGAGCAGCACGTTGACATGCACGTCGAGTGGCAGGGTCAATATCCTGTTGTAGCAAGTCTTGATAATCCTTCAAACCATCCGACAAACTGGCAGAGGTGGCGATGCGTTCATTGGCTTGAGCACGGCGAAACCTGGCTTTGAGATATGTAGGATCCAGATCCAGAGCAGTATCACACATGGCTTTAGCATCTTGCGGTCGTCCGAGTTTTAAATGGCAGGCAGCCATGTTGCTGGCATAAATAGCTTGTTGTTGTTCATCAGGACAGAAGAGACTGGCATCTTGATAATGTTGTAATGCTTGCTCGTAATCCCCTTGACCAAAACAAATATTGCCTTGTTGCTTTAAATGGGTCGACTTGGCTAGTAACTGTGTCGTATCTTGTTCTGAATCATAAAAAAGATCTTCTCCAACCACCAATGGTGACGTGGATAGGTTGGTTTCACCAAAGCTTGGTGGATGAATGTTAGTTGGTGATGTGGCTTTTGGTTCTTGTGCAAGTTCTTCAATGATAGCCATAGATGGAAAAAAAAATAAAGTAAAAAAAGGAAAAAGAAAGTTTTGAAAAAAAAAGACAATGACAAAGGGAAAAGAAAAAAAAAAAAGGGGAATTGTGGTCCGCCCATCTAGACCCAAAAAAAAAAAAAAAAAAAAAAAAAAAAAAAAAAAAAAGAGGAGACAGCCACATTGTACAAAGAAAAAAAAAAAAAAAAAAGAAAACTGGCTTCCATATTAGGATAACGTAATGATTTTTTTTTCCTTCACGCCACTTGGGCAAGATCCAATTTTAGAAACATTCAATATTATTCCATGGAGGACGAGTTTATTACTTTTATATAAAAATGAATACTTTTTTTTTCTTTTCTTTTCTTTTTTTTCTTTCTTTCTTTTCTTTTTCAATCTATTATCATCATGTCCACTGACAACAAACTTCATTCTATATCTTCTTTATTAAATCAAGAATCACATTCTATACCTACACCAACATCATCACCCCCAGCTGGAGGACGTATCTTATCTACTCACCTTTATAACACCTTCACTGTAAATATATCTGATCATCAACAAGAACCAACCAATAATAATAATAAAAAATCATCATCCAGTAATCGAATGAAATTGACCAAATCATTTCGTTGTGATCAATGTTTTCAAACTTTTAGTAGATTGAATAATCTAAAATCACATCGTACTACTCATACATCTGAACGTCCATTCCAAGTAAAATACAAAAAAAAAAAAAAAAAAAAAAAAAAAAAAAAAAAAAGATCTAATCATTTTCTTTATAGTGTAATCAATGTCATCAAGATTTCCGTCGACAACATGATTTAAAACGACATCAAAAACTTCATACAGGAGAAAGACCTTTTTCATGTGCGACTTGTCATCGTTCATTTGCTCGATTAGATGCTCTAAATCGTCATCAAAGAGTGGAAGGAGGATCAGCATGTCAACCTAAACAACGACGACCAACAATACCAGACATTCATATCCCACATCCTGCTTCCACCAAACATCATGATTCTCTTTTAATTTTACCATGGTCTCCTTCTACTCGTACTTTACCATCACCTTACGCATCCCCTCCTCTCACATCCTCACCTCACTCTCCATCACTTGGTTCTCCTAAGGAACCTGATTTTTGGAAATCAGAGTACCATCAGCTGAAAAAAGCCATGATCGCTTTGCAAGACGAAACACAAGCATTAAAATCAGCTTATCATGATTTGAAAATCGAGGTAAAAAAAAAAAAAAAAAAAAAAAAGGAATCATTTTACTCATCTTTTTTCTCTATTGATTTAGAATAAGGTCTTGACATCTTTACTATTATCTAAACAAAAAGAAACATCATCATCATCATCATGAAATAATAATAAAAAAGAGATCACTTTTTTTTTTCTGACATGTCTATATGGGGAGAATCGGTCATTGCCGAAGATGACTTTTTTTTTTGTGTGTGTGTATGATAAGGCTTGGCATTTTTTTTTCTGGCTGATCCAAATGCTATTTTTAGAGTGACAACGTGCTTACCTTATTGTCCTTTTTTTTTCCCTTTTTTACAGCCACACTCGATCGATTCATTATTTTTAGAATATTTGTTTTCCCCCTTGGATTATCTCTAGAAAAAAAAAAAAAAAGACCGTGCGCCCAGTCATCATTACTTTTTTTGGCACCTAAAAATAAATCCATATAAAATCATTGATATGTTTATTTTTTTCAAAAAAATAAGAATGTCATTAAAGAAAAAAAACAAAACTAATTAAACAACAACGATGTTTGTTTGAGAGAGAGGGATATATATATATATATATATATATATAAGGAGAGTGGTAATAAAGGAGTGAATCATCAAAACTATATATATAAAAAAAAAAGAAAGTGTGGAGAATATGATACTAAACGAATGAATGAATGTCTAAAATGATATGATGGAACTAAATTATGAATGAAGATGATTGCGTTGATGATGATAAGAAGGACGATGATGCGTATGATTCTTGTCCAATCTACCTACATCATGTTTCCCATCACAACAAAGTCGAACGTTTTCCAAAGCTTCATCATCATCATCGTCATCGTCGTCGTTGTTCTTATGTTGTTGCGACCCGTTGCTATGTTGAAACATGTCGTTGATGCGTTGAAAACTAGGTTTGCGAATAATCGAGGCAGAAACGGATCGTTGTGGTAAAGGTGTGCTTTCCAACATAGATGATTGACCAGTACGTGTCAATAGATACATTAATGACTAATAGAGAAAAAAAAATTATATGAGTCATTCATATTCTTTTTTTTTTTTTTTTTTTTTTTTTTTTTTTTTTTTTTTTTTTTTTTTTTTTTTTTTTTTTAGTATACCTCTAGCCATAATGCATGTCGTTCTTTGGTAGGTGCCTTGATCTTGAGTTGTCGAGTACTAGTTTGAATCAATAAACAAGGAACTCCTTTTGGCGTTTCATCATCAGGTTTACCCACTATCACATCTTCTACAAAGGCACTCTTGGCTTTCAATTCACCACCATCTGCGCCGGGAGCACATGTACACCAATACAAAGTTCGTGTATAAGGATGAATCCAAAAGTATCGTTCATGTCTTCGTTCAGAGAAGCCTTGACCACCCATGGGCTTACGTGTATACTTGATTAACCATTCCCCGATCATAGTTTGTGTAATGGATGATATTGTAGGATCGGTTGTTGTAGGCAATGGTCGAACGACTGTGGTGTGTTCGTCATGTATGGATGATGCAATAGAAGGTGCTGTTGTTTTTGCTGGTACTGGTGGGGGTGTGATGGATGATGATGACATGTTGGTTGTTGTATGGCGTAACAGGCTGGATGATTGCATATCATTATTTGTTGTAATTACACTAGATGCACTTGCTGTTTCTCGATGTAAATCAAGCGTTGTTCCATCATAATCCACCTGTTCTGTTGTCATGTTGCTGGTCCGCATCGCCTTGTCTAATAAATTGGAAGGAGGTGGTTGGGTTGGACGGGCAGGAATAGAATCATCCATAAGTGGTGGTTGCACAGTGCTGGACTTTTCAACAGAGTTGACAGGTTGTATTCCATCGTTCATCACTTGATTTGATTTGTGTTTGGCCATGGCTTCTTCTACCGCCTTGTTGATCTGAGCGTCCATTTCTTCTTGACTATAGAGTTTCTTGCTGATCACTGGGGATGATGTTTGTTGATTGTTGAGAAGCGTAGTTGATAATACTGTGGCTGTGCCTAGCGCTAATCCACTTGTTCCTAAACTACCAAGCCAATCGTGATGATCAGTAGTTGCTGTTGTTGTCGTTTCTGGTTCACTATTCAATGTTGACTTGACTAAAATGGAACTGTCCTTTTGATCATGTTGTACTTGAGCATCCTTGGCTGATCGTGAAGTAACTACCCATTCACCTTGAACAGCACCGTTGGCCAGTTGAACTGATGGAGAAGAGAAAGGAGTTGCTGCTACCTGAATCGCTACATCTTTTCCAAGGACTTCGTTTGTAATAGGATCGACACCTGTATCAATCATCAAAGATTCCTTCTTGTCGCATTGTGTTGACATATCGTTCGTAGTGATGATGTTGATGGTTGGATCATGTTGAGTGGCACTGTCCATGGTTTCGATAGCATCGTACTGAGCACCTTGATCTACTACGGTTGATTCATGTTGTACACCTACATCGGTCATTGAATATTCATGCTGAACCGCTGAGTCCACCATTGCATAGTCATGTTGTACTGCAGTATCCACCATGCTGTAAGTGTATTGTACACTGGCATCCATTGTCATCACAGGTTCCACTTGAGTTGTTGAATCCATACTTTGAATCGTTGAAATAGGATCGTCGCATTGAACACCTTGATCGGTCGTTTCCGCTGGTGCTGTTGCTGTTGCTGCTGCCGCTGTTGCTGCTGCTACTGCTGAGGAAAGAGCTAAAGCTTCTGCTGCTTCATCACGAGGTTGGAGTAGATCACATTGAATATCTTGATGCACTGTTTCAGGGGTTGATGTTTGTATATCCATATCTACACTGGTCACAGGGTCAGTCTGAGTAGTTGTTTCACATGAGCTCACAGGGGCTTGATCCATGCATGATAAAGTAGTTACTTTCCACTTGTTTGGGCTGTCCAAAGAAGCAAGATGCCATTGTTCAAGTTGATGAAGTTTTTCAAGTTGCCGTTCGTACTGCTGAGGGTCCTGTACAATCATAATCGTATCCGTCATCACGTTAGCATCCACTGATTTGTTGCTGATTTTGGCGTTGCTTTGTGATAATTCCAAAGATAATGAAGTAAATCCTGCTGGTGTTTCATCATCATTTTCGTCAGAAAGAGATGAGTAAGAATATAAATCGTCATCATCATCATCCTCATCATCGTCATCGATATCATCATCATCACCACGATTCCGGCGACTAGGTTTGTTTTTGATATGATTATTGTTGTCTTCGTCATCTTGTTCAAAATCGTCGTCGTCATTATCATCATCATCCCGTTTCCTTGTTCCAGATCTTGAATGTCCACCAAGTCGATGTAATTTCCTTGTTCGTCGATGTTGTTTGACTTTGCGTTTCTTTTGATCATCCAACGAACCATTGGTCATACCACCTTGATGAGCGTGAGAAGAAGAGGTGTCAACCCAAAGATGAGGATCATTTCGTAGTTGTTCAATAGTTTCTTGAGAATCTGCCAATAACTTTTTGAATTCAAACTTTTCCGTTTTTTCCTTATGTAAATTGGACCGAAGATTGGAAACCATACGATGAGCATGTGCTAGAGATGTTTTCAAAGTTTCCACTTCCATAGCTTGAGACCGACCAGCCGGAGATTGTTTTGGTGAAGAAGTAGGAGAACCAGGTCTAGAACCATTATTAGGATCTTGATTGGCATTGGAGAGATCGGACGGATCAGTATCATCTGAAGAAGGTTGACTAGTACTATTATTGACAGACGAGGTAGCTGATTGATGTTTTCCAAGTCGAGATTGGGCTTTTGCAATGGCAAGTTCAGAAGTCAAAGTATCTATTTGATTGGTATGTTGTTGAGCTTCACGTTGTAATCCAGCACAAAGACGACGTAAACTTGTCATATCTTGTTCATGGCGTTGTTTTGTTGTTTCCAGTAATGCTGTCAATTTCTCTTCTCGATCACGTAATTGTTCAATATCACTACGAAGATCATCACTTTGCTTTGTCAACTTTGTTTGTTCACTTGTTGCTTTGTGCAAATGTTGTTGAAGTTCCGTCACATTGAGAGTCAATTCTTGCTTGGTTAATTCCAAATTCCAGGTTTCTTCTTTCAATTTTTCTACCAAAAAAAAAAAAAAAAAAAAAAAAAAAAAAAGTATATCAGCTGATGTTTTGATTAAATAAACTGAAATTACCTTCATTTTCTTCCCGTTGACGTAATTGTTTGGCTAACACTTCACAATTTCTTTCTAGGTCAGATCGTTGAAGTTCCAGAGCACGTAATTGTTCTTCTTTTTCTTGTAAGATAGCTTGCATTTTCCGTACTTCGATCAATAATCCTTGGCCGATTTCCGTAGCGAATTCGATATCAGTATTGCGACGATCATTATTGGGAACTTTTGATCTTCGTTTAGTTGGTGTTGAACCAGAAGGAGGAGGAGGTAGTGGCAAAAGAGAGGAAGGTATAGCAGAAGGTAATAAAGTTGAAGCTGAAGGACTTGGTAAAGTATCTAAACCCCTTGAAGGAAATAGCTAATATACGTATATAGAAAACAAAATAGGAGAAAGAATATATAGTATTAGGAGTCTTTGTTTCAACAGGAGTCAAATAATAATAATAACAATAATAATAAAAGAGTAGTTTTTACATACTTTATCCTTGCGTTGTTGACCTCGATATGAGGCTAGATCACGTTCCAAATGGCGTAACTTGTCCACAGTAGCTGGTGGTAGATCTTGTTCTTGCTGTTCTAGTTCAGTAAGACGGTCACGTAACTGACTGATTTGGCGAGTCAACACGTTCTTTTGTATGCCGCTTTCACATTCTTGACGTTGTTGTTCTTTTTCTTCCAGTTGTTGACATATCTCTCGTTTCAGTTGAGCCAATTGTTCTTGAGTTCTATGAGTAGAGGACGAACGAGAAGAGGATGGAGTAGGTAACATTGGTGTTGCAGAAGATCGAGAAGAAGGGCGAAGTGGGGTAGACCTAGTAGGTTGAGGAATAGGTTGTTGTTGTTGTTGTTGTTGCGTGGACATCATATAAATAAAGGAGAGTAGATATTTGTGAATAAATGAAGGAAAGTATCAAAAAAAAAGTGTATCTAATTAATAAAGGAATGAAGTTGGGGGGTGTAAAAAGAATAGAGTAAACTTGGTTACAAGATAATAAAGAAAAAAAAAAGAGGATATCAAATTGTTGCCCTTCTTCTCTAATATCTTTTCTTTTTATTGATAAACAAAAAGAAAAAAAAAAAAAGAGAAGAGAAAAAAAGGGTAGAGCAGTAACAAAGTGTTAAAAAAAAAAAGAGGAAAAAGGGAAAAGAGAAAGATAAAAAAGGGAAAGAAAAAAGGAACCAGTTTGGGAGGTTTATACAAAAAAAAAAAAAAAAAAAAAAAAACTCCTCCCAAATGAGCAGATATTTTTTCTTTTTCTTTCCTTTTGACTTCTGACTTACAAAATTCACATGTTCATCTTTGCAGCAGAATTATTATTATTATAATAAGCTCCATCATCATTATCATAGAGAAAATTATATAAAATGTTGATATAAAGAATCATAGTTTAATATATGTACTTTTTTATTATTATCAAATTATAATAATAATATTAATAATAAAAGAAGGAATAATGTACAAAAAGAAAAAAAAAAAAAAAAGAGATCTATCATAAGGGAGAAAACTAATCTATCAAACAAAAAAAAAAAAAAAAAAAAAAAAAAACTAAATCTAAACTAACAGCCATGGTAACACCGGAATTGGTTTCTTAATCTGGTATCTACCCATAATCGATTGCCATGAGTTCCATTTGATTTACTTTGAACCAAAAAATCATACAAGAGAAGATCTACTTGCTCTTTTTGATTCATCACACGACATAATTCCAACATAGCACAATAAGTCGCTGTCGTAGGTTGATGTTGTTCTGATTGTTGCATCAAATCAAAGATCTGTTGAGCTGTATCCATATATCCATGTTGTCCACATAATCCGATCAATGCTGTATAGGTATAAGCGTTGGGTTCCACACATTTTGCCAACATTTCACGATGCGATTGTAACACGAAATTCAATTCACTGTCATCTATTGTTGATGATGATGATGATGATGATGATGATGATGATCGTGATATAGTTGATGAAATTGATGTTGCTTGTAATGTCAATAGTAAGGTATATAATACCGTATCAGATTTGATGCCAGCCATCATGCATTGTTTGGCGATACGTTGTACAGCTTCCATCATGTTGTGTTGGTGATGATGTTTCCCTAGTGCCTTGAGAACATTCGATACAATTACTTCATTTGGTGTCAATCCTTGCCGTAATAATGTATGAAACCATTTCAACACGCCCCTTAAATCGTTCCGTTTTCCATAAGCTTCAATCAGTATGCTAAATGTATACAAATTGGGTGTCACTACAGAATTTGTTGTTGTTGTTGTCGTAGTTGTTGTATCCTTCTTCATCAATAATAATTGTTGTTGTTGTTGCATTTGTTGTTGTACCATGAGATGATAATAATGAAGACACATTTTCAAATGTCCACTATGACCAAAACAGAGAATCATTTCACTAAATGTGGCAGCATCAGGAATAAGTTGTCTAGAATGTATTGTATCCCAAATATAAACCGCTTGTTCCGTAAGTCCTTGTTTGGCAAAAGTATGTAATACAGCATTGAATGATACGATAGAAGGAGTCACACCAATGGAAAGCATCTGTTCAAACACACTGAGAGCATTACTGTATTTCCGTTGTGATGAATAAGCCTTGATGAGGTTGCAGTAAGTCGTTTCGTTTTGAATTAAATCCCGGGTATGCATGGTGTCCAAAATCATTTGAGCTGTCCGTAAATCATAAGGAATCACACGCCAAATCAATTCATCGATGGTATCTGGAGCAGGTTCAGGATGTTGGCGAAGAAATTCTTTAACCAGTTTTCGTCCTAGTTTGGGTCGTTCATGATCGTATTGACAATATATCTTGGCTATCCATTCTATCGCTTCCGCCGTCAGTGTTCTACCATATTCACAAGGTATGCCTTCATGTTGAGTTGTCACCTTATGTACCATTGCCTGTCGTCGATACTCCTTGAGATAATATCGGCTTGTACCCATCAATAAAGATAATAATTTCAAATAACGATTCCGTGTTATCATCATCGGCGCCGCCAGCTTATCTTCTTCCAACAGTTGTAAATAATATCGCCATGCTAATATCCTATGTTTGCGTCGTAAGGCTTGCTGAAACTTTTTGTATGTGGGAATAGGCCGGCGAGAGATCGATTCTATAAATAAATGCTTGGGCTGTCCTAGTTGTTCTTCTACATAAGTCGCTACCTTGTCCAGTTGTTGTTGTCGCATCGCAATCACATCCGGATGAGTCGTCAGTTCTTGAGCAAACAATAGTAGTGCATATAGATCAGTACAATGGTGATAGGGTACAGTCATGAGATCTAACATATCATCGTTGGTTTGTTCATCCAGTCCAGTCTTGGTATCACTAAAAGAATAATTGCTTGTTGTTGTACTGGAGGCATTGCTGTTATTGTTATTGCTAGTATTGACAGTAAGTGTACAAAATAGTTGCCATGCTTTTTCAGCTTGTTGTAATCGTAAGGCTTCTTCAAGATGAGATAGAACTACATGATCTGTCCGATTGAAAATTGCTAGTGCACCATAAAGTCGAGCAGGTGGGGGTATGTCGAAAGAACGAGTTTTGTTGGGTTTATCATGAAGATCGGTAGTTGTTGATAATGAAGATAATGTGGAATTGGAAGAGGATGATACAGCTGCACAAGTGGAATATAATCGAGATCGCTGTTGAGAGTGAATATGGCGTGTCTTGATCAGTCTTTGTGGTCGAGAAAGTAGAGGTTCATCAAAACAATGAAGCATAGCCCGTAAATGAGAATGCCAACAACAAGTCGGTAATGCTGTCAAAGGTCGTTTTAGGCGTTGTGACAGAAGCGAGGAAGCATCTTTCAAATGTGTCACTGACTTGCGCATGGTGGAATCGCAAGAAACGAATAAAGTGACTTGTCGTAAAGCGCTTTGTCTTCAGTAAAATATAACGTCCAATGTTGATATAAAGAAGCGATAGAAACAAAATAAATAAATAAAAAAAAATAAAGGAATAAGGAATGATAGTAATGTCCTCTTATTGGGTATTTGTGTATCAAAAAAAAAAAAAAGGAAGAAAGACCAAGGCAGAAAAAAAAAAAAAGCTTTTCCCCTTTACTTTTTTTTTTGGCAGAGCTTGCAGACACTTTATCCGTCCACCAGTGACTGTTCACTGCTTTTGTTTTTTTTTTTTTTTTCTGACTGACGCCACTTGATAGGGACGGATTTTCAAAGTTCCAACTGTCAAAAATATGACAAAAACCAAAAGAGGAAGACATGATCACTTCTCATTAAATATTATGATTATTATGGATTCTCTTCATTGCTTGATTTTTTTTTTTGTTGGTTCAATTTGATATTTGGAGTAAACCATCCCAGCCTAAAATGAAGGATGCCTCACTGAAAATGGTAAGCAGCCAAAAATCAAGACCTTTTCCAACGTTACCAAAAAAGGAAGACCATTCCCCGTTCTAACCATGATGAACTATGCTTTCTTTTTTATTTTATTTTTTTTAGAAGACTAGATAAATAGATGACAAGATTATATTACAATACATTCTTTTCTCTTTTCTATTCTTATTCAAAGTTGATCATCTGCTAATCAATCATGCTAGAAAAAGCCGATCATGGAAAAGATAAACGTCGATCTGCTTGTCAATTGACAGTTTTACAATTGCGACGATGTCTCAATGTTCTTTCTTTCGTCCAGGTGGTAAGTAAAACGATTTAAAAATATTAAAAAGTAAACAAATGGATAATCATCATGAGTGTTATTAATACAGATCCGAGCAGTATGGCAAATATGGGGTTCATTTGATAATCATTGGCCAAGTAAGAACGAAAAAAAAAAAAAAAAGAACAAGGTGACGGAATTAGAACAAAAATGAGAGTAACATTATTCTTTTTTTTTTTTTTTTATTTTCTTGAATAGCATCTATTCGTGAGTTATTATTACCGATGATTTATATTTCATGCATTCTTGTTATTCTACTCATGGTTGTCAGTGCGCACACAACATATGCTATACATAGGGCCAATGTAAGTAGTACATCAAGACTTAAAAGAAATCAATCAGTAGCGTCAGTGATAAATAAATAAATAAATAAATCTTCCTCTTTTAGGTTCAAGTCATGGCATTAACGATTGGATGGTGGATTTATTATATTCTGACTGTGTTTTGTGCCATCAATAATTTCATCTTTTTATCGTTACTATGTATGAACAAACAGACATTCATCACAGATTGTCATACGGATCCATTTTTATGTACGGATGATTCATGTCATGGCACAATTACTGATCGTAATGATGATGATGGTAGACATTCTAATGCGATGGACAGTTCTGCCATAATTCCCTGTTTCCATATGTGGCAAGAGACGGTTGGTTGGGTTGTTATGGATACCATGATGAATTTAATTGTCAATGTAAGACTTTCTTTTTTTTTATTATTATTATTTATACATTTATAAAAAAAAATGTGGACTTATTTTATTTTTCTATTATAGGTTATGTATATATACGTATTACATCGTTGTCGAGGTGATCATACCCCATTCAATCAAATTAAACGAGTTGATCCTGTTGATCTTATCCCTCCTTCATACCCAACAGCACTAGGTAGCTCACATTATCCTACAAAGACAACAATGGTAGATCTAGGAGAAAATGGTTATGATGATGATGAATTCCAAGTAGTAGAATTGAAATAAAATGATATGTATTAAAAAAAAAATAAAAGGATTTGTGATGATGGTTATTTCTCCGCCAAACTACCAAAAAAAAAGCATGTAGTTTGATTTCATATGCGTTCACGTTCTTATGCTGACGAGAGTTACCGATTTAGCTAAATTTAGCAATAGAAGAGAGAATAGAAATGATAGATGATTAGAGTATACTGTGCCTTTTCATTTTATGTACAATTGAAATAATAATAATAATAAAAAGACATAGGGTTCAAGGAGGGATACAAATAAAATTGAAAACAGATCATCTTTAGAAAAAGATGAATAATGAGTTTTCAATCAGGAATATAGATATGATGGATGTTGGGGTCTATTAAGTGGAGAATGAACTTTTTATCATAATAATACTTTTTTGGAAAGATTGAGTCACCAAAAAAAAAAAAAAAGGGTTGGGTGCCCAAAGAGTGTCAGACCAACAAAAAGAAGACTGTGAGGGTAAAATGGGTTGGGGATTCATTCAAAATCCGACCCACCTGGAACCACTAGGGGTCAACGCTATTTTTTTTTTTTGTTCCTCTTTTTTTTTTCTTCTTCTTTCTTTTCTTTTCTTTCTTTCTTATATTCCCGTCAATCTTATCTTCCACCGCCCTCTCTTTGTCTTTCTTGTTCGTTATATTGGATCATGTCTGCTTTCCGTTTGACCATTCAACCCCTTCGCTTTACACGTCTTTATAGTACAGCCAGTTCTTCACGTTTGGCTTCTGTTACATCTGCTGCCTCTAATACTATTCCTCAAGCAACTTCTGCTGCTGCTTTCCATGCTAGTGGTCCTTTAAGAAATGATTGGACTCGTGAAGAAATTCAATCTATCTATGATTCTCCCTTCTTGGAACTCATGTATTATGGTGTAAGTATGATCTTTATACATATATATATATTATGTTTGGGTAACTAAAAAGAAATTGTACTTTTTTTTTTATTATTATCATTTAGGCCAAAACCCACCGTGAGAACTTCAATCCTCGTGAAGTTCAACAGGCGACATTATTATCTATCAAGACTGGTGGATGTACTGAAGATTGTAAATATTGTCCTCAATCATCAAGATACAAGACCAATGTAGAAGCTCAAAAGATGTTGGATGAAAATGTGATTTTAGAAGCTGCTCAACGTGCCAAAGAAGCTGGAAGTACAAGGTAAAACAAAAAGGGTAAAAACATTAACATAAACTGATGTTTTCTGGGTTTAGATTCTGTATGGGTGCTGCTTGGAGAGATTTAGCTGGTCGTAAATCCAACTTTAAGAAGATTGTAGGTCATGTCAAGGCTATTCGGTAAAGTTTACGACAAAAAAAAAAAAAAAAAAAAAGAAAGAAAGATTGATTGATTGATTTTTTTTTTAATTTTTATTATAGTGGTATGGGTATGGAAGTATGTTGTACTCTTGGAATGTTAAATGAACAACAAGCAAAAGAACTCAAAGAAGCTGGATTGACGGCATACAATCATAATTTGGATACATCACGCGAATTTTATCCCAAGATTATTACAACACGTACTTATGACGAAAGATTAGAAACAATCAACAATGCACAAGAAGCAGGAATTTCTGTTTGTTCTGGGGGTATTATTGGATTAGGTGAAGAAGAAGAAGATCGAGTTGGATTATTACATACATTATCAACACTTCCTAAACATCCTGAAAGTGTACCAGTGAATGCACTTTTAGCTGTAAAGGGAACTCCTTTAGAAAATCAAGAACCTGTATCTGTTTTTGAAATGGTACGTATGATCGCTACAGCCCGTATTGTGATGCCTCAATCTATGGTTCGTCTTTCTGCTGGTCGTGTACGATTCTCTGTTGCTGAACAAAGTATGTGTTTTATGGCTGGTGCCAATTCTATCTTTACTGGTGATAAATTGTTAACTACACCTAACAATGAATTTACTGATGACAAGAAAATGTTTGAACTCTTAGGTAAAATAAAATAATCATCATTTTAATTTTTCATTGATATCTTACATTATTATTATTATTTTAAAATAATAGGACTTGTACCTAAACCAGCAAATTTTGAACAAGGTAGTGATAAACCCAATCAACCTGTATATGAAAATAATCAAAAACAAGCTACTGTAGTATAGATATTATTATTATTATTATTATTATTTTGATTGATTGATAAATAAATATATAAAGTTTATATAGTCATTATTTTATACGATAGACATTGGTTACACCAACCAAAAAGTTTTTTTCGTTCTCCTCTCCTTTTCATTTTTTATTTCCTTCCTTTTCCTTTTTTTCTCTCTTTCTCTCTCTCTCTTTTTATATATATATATACATATTATATTCTATTTATTGATTATTATTATTATTTTTTTTTTTAATTCAAGGGTTTTATTGATTAAACATCCTTTTTTCTTTCGTTTGTTTTTCTTTAAACATTGAATCATCTATTTCTTCTTTTTTCATCTTTTTACCTAAGAACTCAAAATACCCCTTCCCTCTCCTTTTTTCTTTTTCTCTCTACGTGATTCCATCTTTTTTTTTTTTTTTTCAAAAAAAAAAAAAAATCTGTCATATATTCTTCCTTGAACAATTATTCTATATTTTATTTAAAAAAAAACAAATAACACGACAAAACAATCTTTATTATCTATATAACAAAAAGGTAAAAATTTGGAATTAGTCTTATTCTTTTATATATTAATATATAACTTTTTAATGTTTAGGATGGGACAAATCTTGACTAGTTTGAACAATATTCGTAGTAATGAAGTAATGGTTCCTGAACTTGGTTTTGATATTGAAAGTATGTAATATATAATATAATTTAGTTTTCTTACCTTTTTTTTTTTTTTTTTTTTTAAAATAGATGCCTTACCTAGTTCTGAAGAGTTAACCTTATACCATGAACTTGCCTCTCAATTGGTGGAACCTAGTCAACCTTTATTAAGGTCCTTGGAAAAATATCAACCTTCTTCAGATGTTATTCGAAATGCAATCGCTACACCAAGTCCCGAAAATGAAAATTTAGCTTGGGAAGCTGTTTTACCTACTGTCAATATGTTACGTGAAATGTATGACTATGCTGAACATCTACGTAAGTTTTTTTTTTCTTTTCTTTTCTTTTCTTTTCTTTTTTTTTTTTTCCTACTAACGTTTCTTTTTTCCTACTAACTTCTCATTCTTTTTGTTATTATTATTATTATTTAAATATAGAAAATGGAATTCCTCGATTGTTGAATATACTTTGTCAAGGTGATGTCAATAAGAACCTTCAAACTCATCAAGGATTGACCAAGTTATTTGCCGATGTACTTGATTTTGTTTTTGAATTTGATCATTTAAAGGTAATAAAATTAAAAAAAAAAAGAAGATGAAATAAATCGTTCATTTTTTTTTTAATAAATAGATGCGAAATCCTACACTTCAAAACGATTTCAGTTATTATCGACGAATGTTACAACGAGGACGATACAGTGGAAATAATAATGATGAAGTATCAGATCTACGAAGTGCAATGGTAGAAGATGATCAAGCCAATCAAATATCATTATTTATCGCCTATCCTACTCCATTATTGAAATGTGTCATCGATACAACTACAAATTATGTTATGAAAAATCGATTACAAAAAGGTGTTGGTGAATGTCTTGCTGCTGTTTGGGCTAGTTGTTTTTATACCGTTAACAAAAAAAAGTAAGTGATTTTCAGATATATATATATATATAAATTGACCTTTTTTTTTCCTTTTCTTATTACTTAGATCCCAACGACCTGAAGTATCTGCTTTTTGTCTCAAAGTGATGGTAGTGACCATTATTCTTTATGATCATATCGATCCTAATGGTGTTTTTACAAAACAATCTCCAATTAATGTAAGTATTTCATTTATTTATATGTATTAAGAATGTTATTGATTATTTTATTTTACATATATATATATAGATCAAGAACTCTGTAAAAATGATACAAACGGTCAACATGCTAGATATACCAACTGATTCTAGTGCTTCCAATCTGATGTCAGCTTTACGATACAATTCAAAACATTTGAATGATGACAAGACTCCTAAAGGCGTTCGAAATATTGTGATGGCTGCTTGATTTCTCTTTGCCCTACAACTCCCTTCCTTCTTCCTTTTTTTTTTTTACTATTACTATTACTATTATTTTTATTATTATTATTATTTTTTATTATTATTATTATTATTATTTTTATTATTACTACTTCAAATTCCCTTACTTTTTATCTATTATATTTTCATTTATTGTTATTATCGCTTTACTCTATTTGCCATTAAAAAATTAGTATCTACGCCCTTAGTTTTTATTCTTTTTACCTTCCTTTTTTCTTCTTATTAGTCATTCACTCATACACACACACACACACTCTCTCTCTATCTCCTTTCCCTCTTTTTCACTACTTGTATATTTACAAGTGAGTTGGTTTTTTTATTATTATTATTTCTTTTGGTTAGTTTTAGTTTTTATGTATCTTGACAAAATAAAAATAAAAATAAAAAAAGAACCTCTCCTCCTCCCCACTCTCTCTTATTACTTTAAACTGATATGATGATGTCTTTTCCCTGTTCTTGACACTTTTTTTTTTTTTTTGTAATTACTGGTTTTCTGTTATCAATTTGCGTTGACCCAAATAAAATTTGCACAATATAAAAAATGAGTTTGCGCTGCCTTGTTTTTAAGTTTGCAGCTGGATAGTCGGAATTCCCGTAAAAACAAGTAAAAGTTTATGGTATCTATATTCTAATAATAAAAAAAAGATCTACAGGTTCTTTTCTTCAACCAAACAACGATCAAAATAAAAAAAAAAAAAGGAAGTACAGATGAGTAAGGAGGAATAGATAACAAGAGAAAGTGCACGACCCTCAGCTTTAAGTTTTCTGGTTTTTTCCATGTGAAGCGCGTTTATTTTTTTTTTTTTTTTTTTTTTACTTTTTCTGCGTTATGGTTAGAGACTTGTTTGGCATTGGGGGTTTGAATATATTTACGATGATTCCTTTTTCATATTACGGAAATGGGTGATTGATGATTAATGATATCAATAGAAACTTTCCTATTCTTTATTATAGTCTTCTTAATGATCATAGCTAAATCAATAATTTGATCGTTCTCAACAACAAAACTTGTTTCTTTTTTTGTATTGTTTATCATCATCTTTTCCTGTTTAGTAAATAAAAAGCAATCATCATCCGATGTCTGATAAAAAGAACATCCTCTTTTATTCTTAGCATCCCTATGAAAAAGCATCACACTATCTTAGAAAAAGTAAGCTCCTTTTTTTTCATTGTTTCTCTTTTCTATCATCAATGAAAATCAATCATCATCATCATCGTCCAATCACTGAAAAAAAATTATTATAAAAGGTTGAGGACAATTATCGCGAATCATCTAGTACTATTCCATTTCTTTCTATGGCTGAGCTATATGCTTAATCCGGGTAGCAAAAACCTGAGACGTTTAAACTACGGTTGTAAGTATAAAAAAAAAAAAAGACTTTACTTACCATATTTCTCTTTCTATTCTTTTTTTTTTGTATATTCTCTTTTTGGTACAATCAATACAATGCAAATCACCCATTTTATTGCCTGCAAACCATATTATTTAACTTTCGCAAATTGTTTATTCCTCTCCGCCAATTCTTATGAAGAAAAAACAGTAACCAGCGGTGGTAGAAACCTTAACTGAAGATCCAGTGGTCTCTTGTATTTCCTAAAGAGGCAATGAAGCATTCTTTTGTGATTGTTTGAATTTGAATTACCTATAATAGTACCAATAAAGTCAAGAGAGAATGTTCGTTTTTTTTTTTTTTTTTTTTTTTTTTGTTAGAATAGTCAATATTATTATTATTATTATTATTTAAAACTGAATATCAAGTCTATTTTCATTGTAATTGAAATAAACTTTTTTTTTTCTTATATAGAAGTTGACATGACATGTGTGTGGTTTATTATGAATTTGAATGTCCGAGAGTATTCAGGGAAAAAACGTGCGTATTGTGTGTATGTATAGTGCGTGTAAGTGTTGTGTTGCGTGTATCTCATCAGGTTGTTGTCATTTCTGTGTGCGCCTTGTTTTCTCGGTCCTTCAAGTTTTTTTTTTTTTTTTTTTTTTTAGACTCCCATCTTTTTTTTATTATTATTTTATTATTTATTTTCTTTTCTTTCTTCTTTTCTTCCCTCACTTCTATAACATACCCTTTTTCTTTTTTTTTTCTTTTTTCCTTTTGTTTTTTTTTCTTCCTTCCTTCCTTCCTTCCTTTAGGACTTGATATCATCATCGTATTATAGAAGTCAACTTACATTCTTTTTTGTTTGGACTTACATTCGAAACTTTTTGGTAATTTTTTTCTTTTCTTTTTTTTTTTTTTGTCCAAACATATAATGAAGACCATAAACTTGACATTTTTCGTGTATTTATTTATAAAAGGATTATACTAACTCAATTATATTTTTCTTTTCTCTTTCTTTCTTTCTTTCTTGCTTTCTTTATATATCTTCTCCTTCTCCTCCTTCTTGTACCTCTCCTTCATCTTCCTTATTCTTTCCCCCCAAAAAAATATTCATGGTGATATTATTTTATATATATACTGTTATGGTGACGAAATCTTTTTTGGGGCTGGTCTTTTTTTTATGGTATCTGTTACACGACAACTCATTCATTCTTGATTCTTTGGTCTGATTGCGATTACATATGATTACTGCTTTTTATTATTTTTATTATTATTTTTTATTTTAATTATCATTTTAATAGGTAATCAAAGGTCTCTTTTATCTATACAACAATAAGAATACAACAACAATTTTTAATTCAAGATGATGCTCTATAAATTGGTCGTGTTAGGTGATGGTGGTGTAGGCAAGGTAAATATCAAGGAGTTGATAATGTTGAAATGTCTGTGCTTACATATATATTTTCTTTTTATAAATAGACTGCGTTAACCATTCAGGTAAATCCTTATCATAACAATCATCATTATGTTTGAATATTTATTGATTTAACTCTTTATATATATATAGCTTTGTTTGAATCATTTCGTTGGTATGTAACATGCAAGTGTATTTTTCTTTACCATATTTACTCAATGATAATTTTTTTTTATATATAGAAACATATGATCCTACCATTGAAGATTCTTATCGAAAGCAAGTGGTAATTGATGACCAACCTTGTGTATTAGAAGTATTGGATACTGCTGGTCAAGGTAAGATAACTTGTGTATTGCATTAACAACAGATGTCCTGACATGATTTTTTTTTATAGAGGAATACACAGCCCTTCGAGATCAATGGATTAGGTAAGAAAGAAAGATCCTTTTTCTTATTGGAATTAAATTGATCTCCGCCAAATGAAAATTAAAACATTAATCTTCTTTTATATATATATATCTATAGAGATGGTGAAGGTTTCTTACTGGTTTATTCCATCACATCACGTTCGACGTTTGATCGCATTGAACGATTCAGGGATCAAATTTTCCGTGTAAAGGATGTGGAAAATGTACCATTGATGTTGGTAGGTAACAAATGTGATAAAGTGACTGAAAGAGATGTACATCGTGAAGAAGGTTATGCTATGGCCAAACGTCTTGGTTGTGAATTTATTGAAACTTCTGCCAAAACATGTGTTAATGTGGAACGCTCCTTTTATTCTGTGGTCAAAACTATTCGTGCTCAACGTGAAGGTTTACGTGCTGGTACCAAGTCAAAAGCCAAGAAGGACAAGAAAACCAAATGTTTGATTCTTTAGATATTTTTTAATTGTAGTTTTCTCTCTTTACTATTATTATCATTTTTTTTTATTCTTATTATTTTTTTTTCTGATACATCATCTTTTACTTTTTTTTTTTTTACATATCTATCCCTTTATTACTCCAATTCATCCATTACAACCTTTATTCTTTATATTTTTATACTCATCTTTTAGTTTATAGTCTTTGTTTTTTTTCTTTTTTGAACAATAATAATAAAAAAAAAAGCTCAAGAGATTGAAAAGTTGTATGTCGTTTCCAAATTAGGATACTCTGACCTTTTTTATTTTCATTATTTACCTTCGTCCTTACCATATTGCTGTACCGACATATTTAATCATCTGCATAAAATTATGATTATGAATTCATCACTATAAATATCATTGACATAATAGATCATTACTCTGGTGAAAATGTTTAAATTGGAGAGCGACTATATAAAGCCTCGTGGGTTTAACGAGTCGGAGGATAAAATCCAGGCAGATTCTCTCTTCTTTTTTTACTTTTTTCTTGCCGGAAAAAGTGTTTTCTCATTCTTTTTCTTTCTTTCTTTCTTTTCGACCATCTATTTATCTTATATATCTATACATTTGATAGTATGGGTAAAGCACAAAGTAAACTTAATCCAGATCAACTTAGTGAACTACAGAAATGTACAAAATGTAAGTCTAATAATCCTTTATACTCTTTTTTCTTTCTTTCTTTTCACTAATTACATTTCCATTATTTTCTTTATTTCATTTCTATAGTTGATAAGAAGGAACTTCAACAGTGGTAGGAAATAAATAATAAAAAAGAAATATAATAATATTTCAAACAGAGAAACCAATGCCATCGTTTTTTCTTTTTTCACCAAATATAGTTAACTAAAATATTTTTTTTTTTTCTTTTAATAGGTACAAGGGCTTTTTGAAAGATTGTCCATCGGGATTATTAGACAAGACCGAGTTCCAAAAGATATATAAACAGTTTTTCCCTTTTGGCGATCCTTCTCGGTTTGCGGATTATGTCTTTAATGTATTTGATGGTGACAAGAATGGTACTATTGATTTTACAGAATTCATTGTCGCTCTTTCCGTTACTAGTCGTGGTCGCATTGATGAAAAATTACTATGTAAGTGAATCTATTTCATATATTAACATAGATCATTTATATCTTTACTTTTTTTTTTTTTTTTTCCTCGTCGTTAGGGGCATTCCAGGTATGGAAAAGATCATGATTTTGATTGTTTTAAGGAGCAATTCTTCTTTTCCCCCCTTTTAATCATACTGACATTTGATTATTATTATTATTATTATTATTTTATATTTCTCTTAGTTATATGATATTGACAATGATGGATATATTAGTCGGGATGAAATGTTTCATATAGTGGATGCTATTTACAAAATGGTTGGCAGTATGGTCAAGTTACCACCTGATGAAGATACTCCTGAAAAACGAGTAACTAAAATCTTCAATTTGATGGATACCGTAAGTTGGAAATACATCATTTCTTAAAAAAAGAAATTGGAAGATCAGATGATCAATATTATTAACTCTCTTTTTCTTTTTATTTCATTATACTACAATTTAGGACAAGGATGGACGATTAAGCATGGAAGAATTCAAAGAAGGCTCAAAAAAGGATCCAACTATTGTTCAAGCTCTTAGTTTATATGACGGTTTAGTTTAGATACTATTATTTTATTAGCTCTCCTTACTGTTTTTCTCTGTTGTTGTTGTTGTATACAAATACATATATATATCTATATATCCTCCATTTTCCTTTTTTATATCACTGTTATTCATTGTCTCTCTGTCTCTCTCTCTCTGTGTATATATATATGTATACTATGTCTGTCTGTGTGTGTGTTTGTGTATGTATACATATTATGGTTATCTTTTGCAATGTTCAACAATGTTATCTAAAAAAAAAAAAATGAATGGAAGGGACGTTATTAACCGCATCATCATAAGCAACACGAAAATGATTTTCAGTTACAGAATAAGGATGGATCAAACAGCAATCGTTATTTCAATTTTTTTTTTCTGTAAATGTGTAGCCTATGTAAGGTGTTTGTCCAAAATTGACAGAGATGTCTCAGGTGATCATGAACGTGCTATTCCAACAAAAAAAAAAATTACAATGTATCCGCAATGATCACCATCACGTTCTCAGTGCTGACTTGATAATGTCGACCCAATTGAGTAATCGTTGATAATGATGGCATAAAATGATGATAATCCGTTAAATGATGGTGATGATATGGCGATCATGCATCTACCACGCTGATGATAGAATTACGGAATGTGTAGAAGGACGATAATGTAACTTTACCATCAAAAATAGATGTACACAAATACTTATGAGGTACAAAAACTAATACGAGCTATTATTAAGCCTTTGATTCGTTAAATATGGGTATCATCTATTGCCCTCCTATCTCTCTTGCATGTAAATGCCAAGCTTTTGTGTGATCCAACATGGATGTTTAAACAAACTATGTTAGATTGCTATTTTTTTTTTTTTTTTTTTTTTTAGATGATGAAAGAATGAGTCTCTCCCTCTATTTTTTTTTTTTTTTTTTTTTTTACTTTCGATATTGACAAGTGATTCATAAATCATGTTGCATAGATCTAAATCAAATAGATTCAATCAAATAAAAAAAGACACTTTCATGCATACATCAAAAATAATGTTTTTCGTCTACGGATAGGTCACATGGTCTTTACTGCTTGATATGTAGAGCGAACCTTGAAACTAGCCAATGAGAGGAGGTAAAAGAAAAACTGGCCGTTGAACGGATATTTTCCTCCTAAATAGGAATAGAGAGAAAGCCAAGACCAAATCGGGCCTTTCCAGTTGAAAATGGTTTACATCCAATTGTTTTTTTTTTCCTTGTAAAAGCACAGCCATTCTTTTTATTGTTTTTTTTTCTCTTTCCCTTTTATTCTTAGATCAAAAAAAAAAAAGAATATAAAAAGAATCATCCTTTTTTGCATATTCAATGAATAATTCTCCATCTTCTTTTTCTTCTTTTGAAGCTGAATCATCTACTACTCACATCATGACGACTGATCAACAACAAAACATCAATGCATCCACCTCAACCTTAGATCATAAAGAAATTGATTATTCAGAGGATGAAATGACTCCAGAAGAAAAAAAACAACAACGGAAGAAAGTGATCAAATTTGTTCTCGATCAAGTTTTAGCAATGGTTATCATGCTCACTATCGATGTGGGAATCCCTTTAGGTCTGTATTATGCAACAAGAGATAAAGTTGGCTATGTAGTTGCTCTTGTCATTGGTGGTATTCCTCCTTTCTTACACGTTCTTTACAAGTTTTGGAAAAAACGTACACTGGATATCGTTGGTTGCATCTTTGTTGCCTCTTTTATTGGATCCGCCATTCTTTCTTTGATCACTGGTAACACAACGGAGATGTAATCATTGTACCTGCTTACTTATTTTTTTTTTTTTTTTTTGATAGGTGATGCTCGTATTGCTTTATTCCGTGATGCTACAGTAGATATCTTGATTGCATTTATCTTTCTAGTGACCTTACTTCCTATTCATACTAGATGGGTAAATCTACAACCACTTTGTTATCTGATTACAGCTCAAATGTTAAGTGAAGCCCCTCCAATGAAATGGGTAACGGAGAAAGAATCGGGTGAACCAGAAGAACATAGTCAGCCTATGGCGGAATGGATGTGGGAGCAAGTCTCTTTCTTCAGAAAGTTTTGTTACATCTTGACGATATTATGGGGCGTAGTCATGTTGACAGATTTTACTATCAAGGCGGTATTGATTTTAGGAACCACAATGTCGATAGATCAATTGGTGGTGGTCAATAACATTTTACAAATAGTCATCACTGTTGTCATGACCAGTGGAAGTATGATTGCCTGTGGATTTATGCACAAACATGTGTCTGCCCGTATGAAAGAATGGAAAAAGACCCATGTTACACCTGAAAAATATGCTAAGAAAACGATACCTCTAACTACCACTGAAGAAGTATGATCTTTTTTTTCTTTTCTCTTATATATATATTATATACCTTTATTTTGTTAGCTTTTTCATGTATTATAACCTATTCGTTAGAAATAAATCATTCATTTTTTTTTTGACAAGCAAAGCGGAGCCTTCTAGTCTTTTTTAAAGTTTTTGTTTTCTTTATCTTTTTTTATTTTCTTCTTTCTTTCTCCTATCTTTTTTTTTTATTTTTTATTTTTTTTTATTTTATTTCATATTCAAAGATGGCTTCATTTTTCTCCAATTTCGTCAACACAGTCAATAGTGCTATTGATACGTATATTAAACCATCTTCCGATATTTTTATAGTCAACAAGCAAACTTTGAAAAAAATCAAACTCTTAGCAGAAGGGTAAAGTATTATTTTGACTTGATATTCCTATACTAATATATTGTTTCTTTTTCATATTTAGTGGATTTTCTCAAGTATATTTAACTCAAGATGAAAATCAACAGTATTTTGTATTGAAAAGAATCCCTTGTAAGCTTGGAAAAGAACAACTAAGACATGCCCAACGCGAAGTACAACTTCAACGACTATTCCAACACAAGAATATCGTCCCTTTGAAGGTCAAAACCATTTTTATTTTCATATCAATGAACTTATTTGTTTTGATTCATTCATAGAATGCGGCTATTGTTAAGGAAGAAGATGGATCCAAAGTGGTTTATATGGTGATGCCATATTACAAGGTAAAAAGTCTGACAGAAAAGGAAACAAAAAAAAACTTCACAGCTATTATTTTTGTTGCTTAGAACTAAATTATTATTATTGTATTGAAATTTATAGAGAGGAACTTTACAAGATATTTTGGAAGCATATCATGCTAGTGGACAACACTTTAAAGAACGACAAATCTATCGACTTTTCCTGGATATTAGTCAGGCTCTCTCTATTCTTCATACTCACACTGGACCAGGGATACCCATGACAAAAGGTGATGAACGACAACAAGAAGAAGGACAAGGTGTAGCATGGTCTCATAGGGATATCAAACCAGGGTAAGATAAAAAAAAAGTAAACTATGAAGAACGTGTAAAGAAATCAAATGATAACCTTTCTTTTTTTTATAGGAACATCCTTATATCTGATACAGGGAAACCATTACTGATGGATTTTGGCTCTGCCTATCCAGCTAGGGTGAAAATCACTACAAAACAGGAAGCGGCAAAACATCAAGACATGGTAGAAGAACAATCATCCATGCCCTATAGATCACCAGAACTAATGCAAGTAAAAGTGGATTCCGAATTGACAGAAAAAACAGATATTTTTTCACTGGGATGCTCTGTATTTACAATGGCATATGGTGGCTCACCTTTTGAGACATACATCAACAAGCAAGGTGGTGGATCTTTGGCTCTGGCTGTACTCAATGGACAATTTTCCTTCCCTACTACCCCAACCTATTCGGATGATCTCAAGAACCTTATATCATGGATGTTGACCGTAGATCCTCAAGACCGACCTTCAATTCAACAGGTAAGAAAAAAAAAAAAAGAAGACTTGTACATCAAAAAAAAAAAAAAGGAATATTGAACTAATCTTCTTTTTCTTTTATTTCTCCTCTTAATGATAGGTGATAACTCGATTAGATTCATTATTACGTGTCATCAAGGAATGAATATACCCTATTATTCTTCCCCTAAGTTTAGATCATTCCTTCTTGTATATATACACACTTTTATTATTATTATTATTATAATCATACTATACCATTAACTAATAAATAATGTTTGGATTCCCCTTGATTTATAAGATCATCATGCTCTGAGATTAAAGTCGTGATGACCGGGACCTTTTTCTTTTTTGTCAGCTTTTTTTTCCTTGATGTGGGATTCCTTCTTTTCTCTCTTCTTCTTCTCTCTCTCTCTCTTTTTTAGACGTATAAATCCTTACTTCATTCACAGTTATACAGTATCCATCTAATGCCTATTCAAACACAATTAACACGGCTCCTTGGTATCAAGCATCCTATCATTCAGGTGAAGTCCATGAACCGAGGAGTTTAAATCCTGGAAAAGAAAAAAGAAAGATTGACGGATACTTACTCTTATTGTCCTTATGTATATTTGGTTTTATATAGGGCGGCATGCAATGGGTAGGACGAGCTAGTCTTGCGTCTGCAGTCTCGAATGCTGGTGGACTTGGCATCTTGACAGGATTGACTCAACCTACTCCAGAGGCTTTACGACAAGAAATCCGAGCATGTCGACAACTGACTCAACAACCTTTTGGAGTGAATCTAACATTCTTACCTACTCTTCAACCTCCTCCTTATAAAGAATATGCTCAAGTCATTATTGAAGAAAAAGTCCCTGTGGTGGAAACTGCTGGCAACAACCGTAACTTGAAAAAGGGAAGATGACGTTCATATTCTAATCTTTTTTTTTTTTTTTTACTAGCGGGTGAATTCATTGATCTATTTAAACAAGCTGGAATATTTACGATACATAAAGTAGTGGCTGTTCGACATGCTCTTACGACACAACGTTTAGGTGTGGATCTGATATCAGTAGATGGATTTGAATGTGCTGGACATCCTGGTGAAGATGATATGATGAATATGATCTTATTATCTAAAGCATCCAAACAATTGAACGTTCCTTTTATTGCTTCAGGTGGATTTGCTAATGGTCAAGGATTAGTGGCGGCTCTTGCTCTAGGTGCTCAAGGTAAATATTATTCAATGAAACAAAAAAAAAAAAAGAAGGAAAGTATGACACTGATCTTTTCTTTTATATATACATGGATGATAAGGAATCAATATGGGTACTCGATTTGTGGCTACACAAGAAGCACCAGTACATGACAACATCAAACAAGCCTTGGTAGATAGTGATGAACGCAATACTACATTGATTTTCCGACCATTTAGAAATACATCACGAGTGTTTAGGAACAAAGTGGCCCTAGAAGTCAATACCATTGAAAAAGAAAAGAAGGATTTGGTATTTGAAGACATTCGTCATTTGGTATCTGGAACCCGTGGCCGTACTGTATTTGAATTAGGTGATGTAGATGCTGGTATATGGACAAGTGGACCTGTGATGGGACTGATTGATGATATTCCTACTTGTCAAGTATTACTGGATCGTATTGTTGCTGAAGCGGAACATATCATCAAAGATAGATTATCAACCTCTATTGCCCCATAGATAGTCGTTATTTCTTATCCATCATCTTTTTTTTTTTTTTTTTTTTGTATTTAATAAAATAGATCTTTTACGATGACTGTATCTCCCATATAAAAAGGACTGGACTTGATGGAATATTATGCTGTGGGCTCCTGTGAGACGGAGTTTGATACTTTTTTTTTTTCATTGTTCTACTTTTTTTTTGTTCCTCTCCCCTTTCCATTACTTTCTTTTATTTCTCTCTTTCTTTTTTTTTATATATACACTTTTTATTGATAATATTACAATTTATTGTAATGACGTCAACTCAGCATCAAGATATGTTCTTCAATGCAGCTTCCTCATCGTCAAGAATAGATGCACAAGATCAACCACAGAATAGGTAACTCAGTTTGTAACACGAAGCTAAGAAATAGAACGGATTATATTAATATATATAATATCGGTTTTAGTGTTGTTATCAAAACTGGGATAGTAGGTGATGCTCAGATTGGCAAGACAAGTCTCATGGTGAAATATGCTGAAGGGGAATTCAATGCAGAATATATTCAAACATTAGGTAAATTAATTTTTTAAGGAAAAAAAAAAGAAGATATGAGAAGGAAGAAGATAAAATGTTTCTATTTGTTTTTATGATAGGTGTGAATTTTATGGACAAGACAGTACTAATACGAAATACAGAAATCACTTTTAGTATATGGGATCTAGGAGGTAATTTTCAAATATATATATATATATATAGGTTCAGAACAAGAAAAACTCATTATAATTTTATTGTATAATAAAAGGTCAAAAAGAATTTGTTAGTATGTTACCACTAGTATGTAATGATGCCATTGCTATTCTATTCACATTTGATTTAACAAGGAAGACGACATTGAATAGTATCAAAGAATGGTATCGACAAGGTAGAGGGATGAACAAGGTAGGAATATGTATATATGGATGGATGATGTATTAATAAATTATTGTTTTTTGGAGTATAGAATGCTATTCCATTATTAGTGGGTACCAAATATGATGAATTCAGTCGTATGTCAGTGCATGATCATGAAGAAATCACGATACAAGCAAGGAAATATGCAAGAGCAATGAAAGCACCATTGATATTTTGCTCTACAGCTCATTCTATCAACATTCAAAAGATATACAAGATTATTTTGGCTAAGGCGTTTGATTTGAATTGTACCATTCCTGAAATCTCGGAGATCGGGGCCCCTATTTTAGAATATACTCATTGTTAATCATCCATTTTATTCTATTTTATATATAAGGCAATAAAAAACAATGGTTTATATAGTTTGATACAAAATAAGAATACACTTTATATATATATACATATTTCAAGTTTATGTACGGTGATTGTCGTGTATGCTATTTGTGAAAGGAACGATAGGACGGGGAAAAGTTAAAAAAAAAAAGAAAGAGGGACAAGGGGTTGATTGGAAAAAAAGAAGAGAAAGAGAGAGTGGAATGAAGTATGGCATGAAAGAAAAAAGGAAGAAGAAAAGTGTAAAAAAAATGAACAATGGAATACAACAAGGAAAAAAAAAAAAAAGAGATCAAAGGAAAGACCATTTGATAGAGATTCTACCAGCAGCAACTTTACCAATCTTTTTGAAAGCAGCAGGAGATAAATCCACAGAGGAAGGTGAACAACTAGGACAAGTATCTACCACAGTAGCAGTGACGGTACCAGTAGGTGTAGTGATCTTGATCTTTTTACCACAATACTTTCCTTTAGCCATCAATGAACTACTTAAAGCAACAACAAGTTCTGAATCCGTATTGGTTTTTCCACAAGATCCTAATCCTACAGTATAAAATGTACCGTCACCAGAAAAAATGGATCGTTCTTGTAAAGGTAATGCTTGAATCAAAGTGATCATCAAACAAATGAATAAAAGAATGGACTGGAATTTCATTTTTTTTTTTTTGAAAAAAGTGAAAGGGATGGGTGGCAAAAAAAAAGAAAAAAAACGAGAGGGTAAAAGTAAAGAAGAAGGAAAAAAAGAGAGAGAAAAAAAGAAAAAGAGAAATGATTGACAAGGCGCAATAAAAAAGAAATGAAAAAAATATTTTTAGTTCCTTTATAAAATTGGATTATACTATGATAGGTAAGGGATATAAAAAAAACATGTATCTCTCTTGATCAATAAAGAGCGGAGTATGCTACGTTTGTGAACCCAAAAACTAATTATCAGTCTTGGCTATCTCGATGGTCTTCTTTTTCTCCCTGATTTTTCCATATTTGGACCATTTCTTATAATAAAGAAATTATGATGTATGATCATCATACTGTTGATCTTTTTTTAAATCTTAGGATGTAACAATGATTGATTCTCCTTAAATAATAAAAAAAAAAAATTAACAACTCTCAAACTGACTAATGATAATGAAAGTTTTTTTGATCTCCCTTATAGATAGAGGTCATCACTTTGAAATCACGTGGTGATGATTATACATTTTTTGAGTAAGTTGCATAAAATGGTTGGGTAAGAAAAAAGGGCTTCAAGCGGTAACCGAAATGAATAACACTTAAAAGATCATAGAAATTTGATTTATGATGTCAATAAGCAGAGTTGTCAATAAACAATCTTAAAAAAAAAGAAGAAAAAAGAAAGGATTCATCATTAACATCATCATAAAATAATGACAAGTGATGATGATAATAATACTAAGATTGATACCTATAAATTATAGAAATAAAGGTCAAGGCGGACTAATATTGTTATTGGCTGCTGAAAAAAAAAAAATCAAACATATGAAAAATAGTTTTCATGTGATAAAAAAAAGAAAGGGATTTTTTTTTTACCTTTTTTTTTTTCTTTTCTTTTTTTTTTCTTTTTCTTTGATTTATACAACTTCATATTGAATGGCCAAATTGGAGTCCAGTTTTTGTGACCCATACTTAAATGATTGGCGTTCGTCAATATCATCTCGTCAATCATATACTACAGACGAAGGTTATTCTTCAGACGAAAAACAACGACTTTCTTGGATTACAGAAGATTATATAGACAACCAACAATATGAACAACAACAAGAAGAAGAACAAGAACAAAAAAAATCAACTTCAGATCGTGAAATACCCATATTAAAAAGTACTCGTACAATGTAAGTTCTTTTTTAATTTTTTAAATTCAATTCAATGAATAAAATTGAATACCTATATTTTTTTTTTATATATATTGATAGACGTATTACTTATACACCAACTACATATACCCTGACTTTATCTATTATTTTACTTTCTCTTCATATACTGGTGACACATCCTCCACCTTGGGCACATACCTTTCCTCCTGTATTTGTGTTTTTTCATTTTGCTTTTCACATTACTCATCTTGTAGCTCACTTGTTTGGATTCTTGACATTAGAACGACATTGTGTTGTATATGGTACTTGGCTATTTTGGACTGGTTGGTTATTAGGTGTATTTGTATTTAGTCAACGTCTTGTTATTGATTTATCTCATCCAACTACAACTTTATTTTGGCTTTTGATGGTGGAACGAAGGAATGCTTGGGGTATACTTGTTTGGGAATATGTGGGGCGATTAGATCAAAATTTGATTCCGCAGGCCGGTGTATTAAGATGGTGGCAAGTAGGTAGTATTCGATTATTAGCTTTTCGAATTTGGTGTCTCTTAGGAACTGGTAGTTTTTGGGGATTACTTTATATTACTTTGGCCAAACATGATGGTTATTCTCTACTCTATTTATTACAATTTCGTCATATTTTACAATTATTATTGGTTAGTGCTGCTGGTGGTTTAATGATGATTATCTTTTGGAGTTTTTGGACTTTCCAATATCGTGGTATTCTCTGGCAAAAAGAATTACGGAAAGGTGTTGTCGTTTGGTATAGTGAAGGTCTTGCATTGGCTGGCGACGTTGAATGATATTTATATATATATTAGTTTAGATATCTTCTTTTTTTTTAAAAAAAAAATATTGTATATAGAAATAATAATAATCATAATAAAAAAAAAAAACATGAAATTTATATAGTTGGATAGTTGGTATAGTTGGATCGGATACATACTCGGTTGAATGTTGTTGTTTTTTCTTGACTGTGTAACTATTTCTTTCCCTAATTGGTGGGGTTTTTGATCCAACCAAAAAAAAACATTTGCACGCATAACAAGACTTTTTCTTTTTTTTCTCCTCAAAATAAATAAACTGTCCCCCCCTTTCTTGTTTATTTCTTTTTCTTTCCTTTTTTCTTCTCTCTCCCTTTTTCCTTTTGTTTACACGTCAATGGACGCTGTATTATATTGATTCTTTTTTTATTTATTTTTATTCTTAACTTTTCCCTTCTTATTTATCAACAACAACAGTAACAAAAAAAAAGGAATAAAAAGTATCTATGCTACATGTTCAAGCAACTCGATAAACCAACAGATGTGGATTTAAAAAGGTCTTTGGGGGATGATTTTATTGAACAATGGAATCAAGAAAAAGTGACTCAATGGTTAATTGACAATGGTTGGGCTCATATTGCTAATGTATTCAAAGGTAATAAAAATATAATTCGCGTTTTCTTTCCTTTTTTTTTTTTTTATTAAGTCCTTTTTTTTTTTATTATTAGATCAAAACATTTATGGTGAACACTTCTTTCGAATTACTTTAGCTGAATTGGTACAAATCTTACCTAGACGAATCACTACTTATGCCGAAAGACGGAGACTTTTGAATGATATTCGAACATTAGGTTCTGCAAACGAACTCTATTCACCCCCTACAAATGTAAAACTATATAATAAAACTATCTATATATATATTAAAAAACTTCTTTTTTTTTTTCTATTTTATTTATTTTATTAGATCTCTATCAATACTGATATTCAATTATTTACTTCAAATTCATCTTCTGATAATCCAAGTCCAAGTTTACCCTCTGCTGGAACTCCAACTTCTGGATATTTACAAAGTCAATCTCCAACTACTCCTTCTAGTGCTTCAAAATTGAATTCATATGATTACTCAGATTCTCAAAATATATTGGATCATCAACGACAACATGCTTCTGATATTGTACAATCAACAATAAAACATCATTCTTTATATCCTTCCAATTCTCCTTCAATTTCACCATCATCTACTGATTTTTCATCAAATACTTTTCGAAATTCATCCAGCAAACATCATTCTCCAACAAGATCTTCTTATTCACCAAAAGGCGCGTTCGCAAAAATTCGAAATTCTTTTTTATCAAGAACAACTAGTACAACAAACGATAATAATAGACGTCATCCATCTCTGGTTATTACAACTACTTCTCCTGCTTCCCTCAATACCGTTGATACTACATCTAGTCTACTTTCACCTCCTTTGATCAGTCCAAGAGTTTCATCTATGAATTATGATGCCAATGTGTTACAAAATGATGATTCAAAACGTCCTTCTATTCCTACTCGTATTTCTTCTACACCTGACAAGATATCAAAATTTTGGGCAACCTATTCTCATTGGCATGGAAACAATAATCAACAACAATTAAGTTTCACCAACAATCATGCATCTCTACTTACCGTGAACAAAAATTCTCCACCTGCACCTGCTGCATCCACTTGCCATCCTAATTTGCCGCAAAAGAAGGTAAGGAAAAATTTCAAAATCAACTTTTTTTATCGATCAACTTGTTTGTATATCTGTATTGACTTCTTTTTTTTTTTTTTTTTCTTTCAATAGTCGGATCGAAGAATTCAAGTCACAGGCGATAAGGAAACATGGTATAGCCTAAATGTCAAGCATATTCAACACGTGGACGAATTAAAAGATCATATTTTGAAACGAATGAAATTACCAGGGGATCGTGATACTTATTGTTATTTTCATGAAAATGGTCTTCATCCAAGTAAGTTATCCATTGTCTCAAAAAAAATAAATAAATGATGATGATGATGGTTGATGAACAATTTATTATAATAGATATTCCATTGGATAACGAAGCTCTTATGTATCTTTGTTCAATTGCTGATTATTCTGCTTCAAATCGTATTTTGGTCTCACCTATATCTTCTTCAAATTATACTGTGGGATCTATTTACTATAATTCAACACATGCATTATCTACTCCTGAATTAGGTCATTCTCCATCAGATGCCTCTTCTTCTTCTTCCCCTCACAAGTAAGTCATACTTTTTCTTTTTTGCATGGAAAATTCAAACAATTTTGATTTTTCGAATAATAGATCATCACATGGATGCAACCATTCAAATGACCTTTTCTCCAACACTACTCTGCGGGCAACATCACACGGTCTTTCCTCACGAAATAATACTGGAAGACGTCCTTTGTGTCGTCATACAGTCTCTACGTCACGACTACGATTAGATACTCCTCCAGTCATTGGTATCCAATTATCTGATCCGCCACCTCCTTCATCACAATCTTCATCAGTATCATTTTGTCAACAAAAAAATAGTCAACGGAGTCAAATCAACTACGATGTAGCTTACTCTCCGACAACTACAACAACTCATCATTCATCACAACAACAACAACAACAACAACAACAACAACAACAACAACAGCAACAGCAACAACCCATATGTTCAGATTCAACTTCTTGTTCAACTGTGGCACTAGACCGATCTACAGGTTTATGGGCGATCCCTCCTAAGGAAAATAATTCTGTTGTTATTGACGGTTCTATGGATATTTATGATATGGTTCATCCCATGACACCGATTTCTGCGAATCCCATGAATGGCTCCTCTCCTCTTGATCAATATCCAATGACAACATTCTTACCGACTTTTTTATCACCTCCACCAATACAAAAAGCACCATCGCCACCTTTATCAGCATTATCATTAGAAAACAATAGTAATATATATCCTGAAGATGATCAATTTTGGGGAGAGCGTCCTCCTGCAGAAGTGGTTTGTCAAAACATGGAAAAGTATTTTGATGATCATGACTTGGACAAGGAGGTAGTGATCGCCTCTGCTTCACCTACAACAACAACAACTGGAAATAATCAACAAGATACCCTGACTCCTTCTTCATTGCATCAACCTCTGTTATCTTCAACATCTTCTCCTTCTCAATCATCATCCAATGGTACTCATGGTTATGGTTTACGACGACATACAAAATCCATTCGTGTAGTGGCTCGTGAAGCAAGCAAGAAATATACTCAAGCATATCAACGTGCATCATCAACATCCGCCAACACAGATATCAACAAAGCCGCTATGCCGTTTCCTTCTTATCGTTTCGCGTCCTCTTCATCAACTCCAAACTCAAATACCAACAAAAATGGCAGCACCATGTTACGACGTAAAAGCACAAAGTTATGGGGACAACGTGTGGTAGAAGTCAAACCTGAAAGACGAGCGCGCTTACCATCCGCGACAGAACATATCAGTATGTCACATAGTAATCAAAATACAACAACAGCGACAACAATACCCAATCAAAACAATAATCAAGAAAACGATATCCAATGGATTCGAGGCAAGCTGATTGGAAAAGGTTCTTTTGGACGCGTGTATCTAGCATTCAATGTAGTGTCTGGCGAAGTGATCGCAGTAAAGCAAGTCGAGATCCCACGAACCAAGTCTGACCGACTGGATGTGCATCAAAATGACATGGTGAAAGCTCTGTATCATGAAATTGCCATGCTACGTGATTTGGACCATGAATATATTGTACAATACCTTGGCTACGGTGTAGATGAACAAGAGGCGGTGATCAATATCTTTTTGGAATATATCTCTGGTGGCAATATTGCAAGTCGATTGGCTCTCCATGGGGCATTTGATGAACCTTTGGTACGTCATTTCACACGTCAAGTCTGTCAAGGTCTGGCCTATTTACATTCTCGTCATATCTTGCATCGTGATATCAAGTGTGCCAATATTCTGGTCGAAGCGGATGGAGTATGCAAAATATCTGATTTTGGGTTGTCCAAGAAGAATGATTATGATGAAGTTTATGATCAAAATTCAAGAATGTCATTACGTGGTTCTGTCTATTGGTAAGATGAATCAAATGATCTATTTTTGACTTTATTTAATTTTTTTTTTTTTTTGTTGGATGATTAGGATGGCTCCCGAAGTCGTAAAAAATGAACCTTATAGTGCCAAGGTAGATATATGGAGTTTGGGTTGTACTGTCATTGAAATGTTTACTGGTCAACGACCATGGATGACTTTTAATCAAATTGCTGCTCTTTACAATGTAAATGATAAACGATTTGAATATGAAAACATATTTTTAATACTCATCTTTTTTTTTTTTTTTTGAATCTAGTTGGGTCATCATAATGCTCCAGATTTACCAGAACACGCTTCCGAAGTAGCCAAAGATTTTTTGAAAAAATGTTTTACAATGTAATTTCAACCTTTGTTTGGATGATAAACTGTTTCTGACTCCCCCTTTTTTTTTTTTTATGTAGTGATCCTAATCATAGGCCAACAGCTCTGGAATTACTGAATCATCCTTTTTGTGCACTTGACCCTGATTTCCAATTCAAGGATTATATAGACAATGGAAAAGTCTGATGCCTCATATCTTTTTTTTTTCTTTTTTACTCATTTGTTAGTCATGATACCCCTATCTTTATTATTATTATTACTAATATGATTCATCTTTATTCCTACTTATTTTGATATCCCCCCAAAAAAAAAAAACTCAAAAGAATAAAACAAATCTAATAAAACGACAGTATAGAAAAATAGACTGTTTATTGATGTTTTTGTTTGATGTAGTGATATAGTAAATCTAAACAAGTGCCTGCATCTTCCTCTGGATCATGTCCTTCCGAACTATCTTGAATGAATTTGGAAAGATATTTGGTGGCCAGTACCCTGAGCCCATAACGATAAGGAAGTCCATGTGGATGAGGATAGAGCTATATAGAAGAATATATATATATATATAAATTGAATCATTTCATCCAAATAAAATAATAATAATAATAGTACTTACGGCAGCAGTATCAATCACCTTGTCGTGGATAATCTAAAATGTTAAACAAGATGATAAGAGATCCCTACTCTTATTATTCCTATCCTCTATTTTTTTTTTAATTACCCGTAAAGCCTTTAAATCATTTTCCAATCCATGTCCAAGTAAGATTGTATGTTGATCCATCCTATCAAATAAAGCTTGCCGTATGGATTCCAAGTTATGTTTGACACCTGCCAACGTACTGATTCCGCTATATCGAGTATTCAGATCAATCACCATATGTGATGGTAAGACTAATTCATCCAATACTTTGTCATGATTTTCATTGATCACCGTCAATCGGATCAGTTCCATACCTAATGTTGTATATCCCATTTCACAATCCAATGCTAATAGTTTTGCCTTTTCCTTGTTATTATTGTTGATATCTTTTGTGTTGATAAATGGAATACTTGCATGTAATTTTTCTATATCTTCCTCTTTTTTTTTTTTTGAAAAAAAAAAAGAATGAGTAAACATATATAACATTTAAGTTTGATCTTACCTTTAAAAACATGAGGTCCTTTTTCACATCCTGTTGAACCCAAAGGATCTCCACAACATGAATAAGTCCGTTGCTTTTCTCCAAAACTTTGAGACACGCGTAATCGACCATAATGATATGCACATGCCTTGACATCCTGATTATCGAGAATGGCCCTGACGATAAAGAGGTTTTTACATCGATCACATTTCCGTTGTTGTTGTTGTTGTTGTTGTTGTTGTTGTTGTTGTTGTTGTTGTTGTTGTTGTTTTAATGTTGTGTTGGATAATAATAAAGTGGGTCGAGGGTATTGCATGATATCCAACTGTTCATCAGAAAGAACCAAAGTGGAGAAATCAAAATTGAATTCTTTTTTGTCGTTATTTTCCAATGATGTCTCTTGTTCCGAAATAGGATCTTGCTTTTTGAGTTGCATAAGTAGAGACATGGCTTGTTGTTTGTATCCCGAGGTATTGGTGGTTTTATCTAGAATGAATCGTTCCTGTTGTTGTGTCCGATGCATTGCCGATGGTCCATGCACTTTTGCCGGATACACGCGACTGTACTGTTCATACAACTTGTTGGCAATGGTTTGTCTAATCTTGAGTGCTGTGTGTGATGAGATATCAGCTTGAATCGTCGGTGGACCTGCGATCTATATAAAAGAGCAATATGAGAACCGAATAAAGTAAAATGATGGTAATCTAACCTTTGTTGTCTGGGTTTTTTTTAATTGTGGAAGATCGCGACTATTGCTGCTACTATTTTTGTTGGATATTTTAGTTTGAATGGTAGACTGCTGTGGTTCATAGCGTTGTCGTTTCGCTGTATTGGTATTGAGATGGGAGGTAGATTCAGTTTGGTATCGTTTCGTAGTAAGTGAAGTAGATTGGTGAGAAAAAACACAAGAAGGACGATGACAATGTGGTAAAGCAGGGCAAGGAATATCTTTAAATAAACCCAAAGATGGTAACATGATAAAAAAAAAAAAAAAAAAAGAATGATAAAACCAAGGAGAATGAAAAAAAAAAAAAGAAAAAGAAAAAGAAAAAAAAAAGCATGAGTGGACTATCGCTATTGGAGGAAACAAAAAAAAAAAAAATCTCCCCAGTCTGTGCACTCATTTTTTTCATTTTTTTTTTCTTTTTTTCATTTTTTTTTCTGGTTTTCTTTCTTTCTTTTTTTTTTTTTTTTTTTTCTGTATATATACAACTCATGAACTATGAAAAAATAAAATCTACGAAACCTGTAAGGTCATCCTCTGTACCTTCAACCTTGATTCAAAGTCCAAACAGTTTCCAACTTTTAGATAGTTCACCTACCAGACCTTCGTCACACAGCAAAAAGAAAAAAAGGCAACAACACCAATCTCGCAAGTCGCAAGGGACTCCTCATTCTTCTTCTTTATGGGATCATTCTACTGATCAAACTGTACCTAATAACTCATCAGTTCCGTCATCACCTACTATTGATTATACCGACCATCATACTCCTTCTCCATTACAACAACATTTTTATACACAATCCAACAATCCTACAAAGTCTTCATTGCCTGATCCACTATCTTCACCACCATTATCTCCTTTAATACAAGATTCTACATCAACAACTCGTATCAATTGGACATCCCTGTCATTTTGGGATTATCTTCGGGATGAATTGACTGTAGCTGACTTTGATACTACTCAAGAAATCAAACGTGAACGAGTGACCAACTTTTTGGCTGTGCCAGGATCACTTGAAAAGGTAACAGAAAATTAAGGAAAAAATATGGTTTTGATCATATGTTATGAAGTTCTAATCTTTTTTTTTTTTTTTTTTGAATAGTTGATGGGATTTGGTTATGTCGTATGTTTGGATTCATTTTTATATACATTCACCATATTACCATTACGATTTGCTTTGGCCTTTTATCATTACCTTTTGTACATTTATGCAAACATCAAAATCCTCACAACACAAAATGGCGGAAGGTAAAAAAATAAATATAAGGAGATAATCAAGTATCATTTAATCATATATTTCATTAGATACATGCGATTACGACCATCTCAAAAATGTGATTTATTGAAAGGTTTATTGATTGTGATTACTTGTGTGATGATGTCTTATTTGGATCCCTCTCGATTATATCATTCTATTCGTGGTCAAGCCGTGTTGAAATTGTATGTGGTACTCAATGTTTTGGAAGTTTGTGATAAACTATGTTGTTCTGTTGGTGTGGATATTCTGGATGCACTCTTCTCAAAATCAACTTTAGGTTCCAATCCATCTCCTGATATAGGTACTGGTGTGGGTAGTGCGACAAGTTATGCCAAACGACAATTGAAACCTATCACTTTATTCTTCATGGCTTGTGGTTATATGTTGATTCATACTTCCGTTCTATTTTTTCAAATGATTACTTTGAATGTTGCTATCAACTTTTATTCCAATGCTCTCTTGACCTTACTCATTTCCAATCAATTTGTCGAAATCAAACAATCTGTATTCAAAAAATTCGAAAGGGAAAATTTATTCCAACTTAGTTGTAGTGGTAAAAAAAAAAAAAATTGAAAAAGATTATTATCCTTTACTCATATATATATATATATATATTTAGATATTGTGGAACGATTTCAACAAAGTGCTTATTTGGTGATCATCACACTTCGAAATGTGATTGAACTATCTGATTCATCACCATCCTCTATCTTACCATCAACATTTGTACCTCTTTTCAAATTACCAGCAACGACCTCACTTAATACATTGATGACACCAGTGGTTATGGTGATTGCTTCAGAATTGATGGTGGACTGGATCAAGCATGCATTTATCACTAAATTCAATCAAATTCGGCCTTCGATTTATAGTAAATATATTGATGTATTATGTAAAGATCTTGTTGTTGGAAGTCCTGGACGTCTCACTGCTGGGAAAAAGAATGCTTTCATCGATCAATCACCTGTAGTATCTCGACGTATTGGATTTCCATCCCTTCCTTTGGCATGTATGGTAATACAAAAAAAAAGAAAAAAAAAACAGGATATTCATATTCCTATTATTATTTTAGGCGATACGAATGATGCAACAACTTTTACCCATGATCTTTATGTCAAGCCATCATGGTGGTGATGATACTTCCAATGGGAATGCGCCTTCATCTGTGGCGTCAATGGTTACCAATGGATTATTAAATTATTTGATGGATCATCAAGGCACTGTGAGTCGTTTATTACCAGCAAGGATCCAATTGGTGGTATTATCCATGGTCCGATGTGGTTGGTTGGAAAGAGGGTTGGACAAAACTGTACGAATTCTTACTTGGACTTTATTAGTTTTCATCATTGCTATCATGTAAGTCATCAATAATAATAATAATATTATCAAATTTAACATTTTTTATTTGATAGATTACTGGCTTTGAAGGTACTTGTGGGAATGAACTTACTTGGATATGCTTATAAACGATATACTAGTATGGAAGAACGTGAAAAATTGGATGAACAAAAAGAGAAAGAAATGCGGGAAATGAATCAACCAGAAACGGTAATACCACACACACGCAAAAAAAGAAGATAATTTGCTCAGTGGCTAACTCTTTTTTTTTTTTTTTTTGAAAGGAATATCAACAACAATTGAAGAAATATGTGAATGATCCAACCGATAATGTGATGGGAAAAGCGCCTATAAAGTATACTTTGGAAAATGTAGATCGGTTTTCCATGGTGAGAAGTAGAATCCCTTAACCCCAAAATAGGACATCTTTACACAAACAAACAAATAGAATAGCACTTTTTTTTTTTACCCCAACCAAAATAAACAATTTATTATTCTGTTATCAACCAACAACAAAAGTTTGTTTTTTTTTTATGATCGTGAGAACTAGAGTCATTCTTTTTTTGGACTTAGATGACAAACAACATCATTGACAAATCAAACATCATCCTAAATTGTATGTACCATTTTTTTCATTTTTTTTTATTTATTCAAGTAGGTATATCAATCATGCACTAATACATTCAATAAAGTAAACTAAAGTGGGGTCATCAAAACAAGATGTGATGATGCATAAAAAGGAGTGAGGGAAAGGAGAAGTATACAAATGGGGAAAAAGGGGGTAAGGAAAAAAAAAGAGAACTATATATATAAAAGTAATATAATATAATTGTATCTAAAAGATAAAGAAAATGATAAAGTTAATACCAACCAGAAAGAATCCATGGTAATCTAGACCCAGAGGTAGAAGGAGGAGGAGGAGAAGGAGAATCTTGATATTCAATTTGACTGATATCTTTGCCATCCGATGAAGAATCAGAAGAAGGAGAAGAAGAAGCCGGAGAAGATGTCGGATGACGGTAACTAGGACTTTCCTTGAACGCCACAGCGGCCTTAAGACTAGCAGCGATCAACATGTATAAGGTTTCCGAAGCAAGTTCATGTAAATGATAATGTTCATCCGCCGCCAATAACAACTTTATACATTCTATTCCAACCGATTGCATTTTTTGTCGAACTTGATATTGATGATCTAAATAAGAGAGAACATGGACAAGATAACTACATATCAAACCAATGAGGTCTTTGTTTTTTTTTTAAAAAAAAAAAAAAAGAAAAAAATTAGATCAAATAATATCTCATCTTTTTTTTTTTTTTTTACCAGGCACGGGAGATCGTTTCACCATAATAGCAAGACATACACTCGTATTGATCACAAATCGTCCAAATCGTTTAAATCGGTGGATAGGATCCTGCTGATCTAAAAGTTGCATCGATGCATTGTTTTCTTCCCATGCTTGTACAGTTGTAGATCCAATCGAACTGATAGTGCTGATAGTAGTTGAGATGGATGAAAATACAGATGTTTTTGTAGTTGTTGTAGTTGCACCTGTATGTCCAGATATCATGATAGTATCATCATTGTTATCCAGGTATTGATTGCTATCATCATGATCATTAGATTGAATATTGGGCAATCTTTTGTATTGAATGGCAAGATTCAAAATCCCTACACGTTCTTCCACACTAATAATAATAATAATAATGAGTGATATAATATAATCTATTTATTGATAAATGATTTCATTTACCTTATTAATTTTTCCCTTAATGCTATCTTTGTTCTAGGATCAGTTTTGTCTAAGATAAAAAAAAAAGAAGGAGGATAAATAACAAATAAAACCATAAGAAAAAAAAAACAAAACAAAAACATACAGTAAAAAGAGAACTAAGAAAAGACTTACTTGGTAAAGCCATCAATATTTTATCAATGCCAGAAAGATAGATATCCAAGGCCACAGCATCATTTCCATCTTCATATTCGTCAGCAGCAATAGCGACTAATTTCATACCTTGAGAAACACTTTTTCTATCTAAAGGAGTTTGTGTAGGTTGTTGAGGTTGATATTTATTGGAAGCCACCATAGCAGCGGCATCATCCCGAAGTTTATCTACAAAAGCACTCATTTCCGAAGTCCAAGAAGTACTGGGGGTGGGTGTCGGACTGTCAAAAGGAGATATCAATTGTTGTTGTTGTTGTTGTGAATAGTCAGATAAAGAAGGTGTAGTACGATTAGATAAGTTGGTATTATATTGATGTTGATGATATACTGTAGGAGTAGATGCATTTATAGGTAGTCTTGATAGTAAATTGGATTGATGAGGGTATATAGTTGTGTTATTATTAGTTTTATTGTTAGTTGAAGTAGTTGAAGTAGTAGTAGCTGAACTAGAAGGTCTAAGAGTTCCAGGACTTGTCTTTTTCTTATTCTTTGATCCAAGTAATGGCATTGTAAATAATAAAAGAAGAAAACTAGAAAAAAAATAAAAGAATAAAAAAAAGTGGAGAGCGGAAGGAAAGGGATGCCAAAAAAGAAAATTAAGCTCTTTTTTTATCTATCTGTTGAAGTCAAAGCATGTGAAAAAAAAACTAACTCCGCGGGTTCAAATTTAGATGTTGAACTACTATTGTCAACAGATCATCAAATAAAATGTGATAGTCATTCAATATATATATCTAAAGAAGATATATTTCTTTTCTTTTCTTTTTGATATATGTCAAATAGGACACGTGTCAATAAAAGTACTGGGACCTTTTTATTCACATGAGTTAATTTCATATCAAATCCTTATATTTCATCATCATTTCATTGTCCATTTCTTATCTCCCTTTCTCTTTATAATATAATATAATATAATATAATATATAAATATTATAATAAAAAGTTCACATGATATAAATGATGAACAAGTGATAATGACGCACAGACATCTTTTGTTTTCATTGGATCTCTTCTTATTTTCATGAAGGATTCACTTATTGAAACTTTTGTGAGACAAATTACGATGGATTGGTTCATCAACAGTTCTTACTCCGCCATCCATCAAAAAAATTACAATATGGATCCTGCCCCTGACAATGGGTTCTCACTTTTTTAGTTACACATGTTTAACAAATTTTTAATTGTTGTATATGATTAGATTAACTTTTTTTCCCTTTTGTCTCCTTCTTTCACTATTATTTTTCTTTTTTTTTTTTATTTTTTTATTTTTTTATTTTTATTTTTTATTTTCTTTTATTTTTTTTCAATTCCCATTTCCCTTTTTCCCCCTTTGAAAAGGAGTGATTATTGATTGACCAATGAACATTCAGAAAATGTAAATCTTGACACTGGAACATCCGGTTCGTGATTGGCTGAGTTGTATATACAACAGTTAATTAATAGGGTTGTCCCACCTTTCTTTTTTGTTAGCTCGTTTTTTTCTTTTCTATTATTTATATTATTTTTTTTCTTTTTTCTTTTTTTTTATTTATTTCTTTTCCTTCTTGTCAAACAACTCTTTTTTTTTTTTGTACAATGGTGGAAACGACCGCTATTACTCCTATTACTAGCGATCTCAATCTATTAGACAAAGCACTTCCCAAGTCTCCATTTGATACTGAAGATCAATCTGTCATGATGGTGGTAAGTTAAACAAATGTAGAAAACAGAAAATAACAAAAAAAAAAAAAAAGATATATTAATACATTACAATTTAGGATTCTCCTCGTATTTCTTCAACTCCTCCTTCTACACCTGGTTTGGAAGAAGAAGAAGAAGAAGAAGAAGATATGAAAGAAGACGAAGAAGAATATCGTTATAATGAATATATACTGGATTATGAATCTGACCAAGACGAAGATTTCTTTTTCAAAGATTTTGCTACTAATACTGACAAGAAAGATGTTCCAGCTCGACCTAAATCGAAACGATATAGTCGCCGACGTCGATCTCAAAAAACTATGTCTCGATTTGATTTACAATCTTTTGCTCGACAATTACATGAAAATCGTCTTTCCGTTTTACAAACACGCCAAAGTCGAATGATTATGACTGAAGAAGATGAACGTGAATTGGAACGATTATTAGCAAGAAAGTATTCCCGAGATGATTCTTCAACACCCCCTGTGCCTGCTTTACCCTCGGTACCTGCATCATCATCGCCACCATCATCAACTTGGACAACAACAACAACAACTGATGATTCCAAAGCATTGGTAATCGAACCTACTCCTTCATCTGATTTGGCCGGTCCAGTTCCTCGTGTCTCCATTTCATCAGATTCATTGAAGAAACCCTCTATCTTGTTGCAAAAATTGAATGATCATCCTTATTCTACATCGAAAGGTAACAGAAAAAAAATTCAATCAATGAAACTTGTCTCCTTGTCCCTTACTTATCATTCCCCTTTAATGTTCCATGTGCATCTTTTTTTTTAGATACACCTTTTGATGAAGCGACTCCTTTATCTCCATCTCTTTCTGATCCTTCCTCCTTTATATCACCAAGAAGAGCACCTACTCCACCTTCTGAAGCGTCATTATCTTCTTCTTCTTCTTCTTCCTCTGCTACTAACAACAATGATCTTCATCCTGCTGCTACAACAAAATTGGCTCCTACTACTCCAACTATCACCATCAAGAAAAAACCATCATGGATATCTGGTCGCAAACAACCAAAGAAACAATCATTGATGCCTCCTCAACCTCGAAAATCAGTCAGCGTTGATATGCTTCGAGATCAAGCCCGTCGACAAACTCAACCATCTCCCATGGAAACAACAAAGATGACACCTCAGGTAGAAGAAAAGAAGCCTAAGTTACGACTCTTTGGTAGTTTACGTCAAGCAAGTCGATCATCACGTGTGTCTGGTTCTGGTGGTGGTACTATTCGTGGATTAATGCGAAATCTTAGCACTGTGGGTCATCGACAACATCATCATCAACAACAACAACAACAACAAGAGCAGCAACAACAGCAGCAGGAGGAATCACTTTTATCAACGGAGAGTGCATCCATGTCTCCGGCAGCCATGGCAGTCATTCAACACGATGTATCTACCAAAAAGGAAAAGATGTCCAACAAGAAGGAAAAGACAGCTTCAGCTTCCTCTCAAGAATTAGATCCTACCATGATTGAAGGTGTAGATGATTCAACCGTCCATGTCACACACACTGCTACTTCAACCAAAGGAGGTGTCCGATTATTATCCAACTTGTTGGCAAAAGCACGTTCTCGTCGATCCCCTGTCAAATCGACCAAAATTACCAATGTACAAAATGAAACCGATGATACAACAACAATAACTGATACAAAGGAACGTAACAAGGTGGTACGACGTACAATTATCTATGTTCAACCTGATGCTCTGGACTTTATGAAAGAAGGACATATGCCACCAGTGCCACCACCCAAGTTTAGAAATGCAAGCAGTGCGGATGATGATCGATATTCGAAGGATACAATGATGGATGACACAAGTTCAACAGTTGAATATGCCACTGCAACTAAATTGACTCGACAAACCTCACGACGTAAACGATTAGTGGAAGAATCACCCAATGGTCATCGCCAACAAACGCTCAATCCCAACAACAACAACAGTGATAATCACCCAGGTGGTGCACAAACGAAAAAATGGCGATTGGAAAGTGTTACTGAATTCGGTATGGACAACAAAACAAGTAACAACAGTCCTAACGATTTGACAAAACAAGAAGAAGGTTATTCAATGGACGGCCTATATGATTATTACCACAACAACAACAACAACAACAACAATGATAGTCAATCTCGTCTCGAAGGGCTGGAACTTCGCGAGATGAGTGATGGATCTGTAGTATGGGGTATTGTGAAAAAACAAGGCAACCGAAAAAGTTTCTTTGCATCCAAGGCTCTGGAAAAGATGATGATGGAACAGCAACTACATTTAGAACAACAACAACAACAACAAGAGGAAGAAGATGCTGAAAAAGAACATGAACAAATTGAAAAAAGTGTCTTGGCTTTGATGGGATTAGAACCTGATAGTTTGGATCATTTACCAGAACCTTTACCTATGGAACCTATGTCTTCCTATTCAACTAATGGTAGTAACAATATTACCCGAACAGCTCCACCTCCTATTCCCAAGCGATCACCAAGAAGGAAATGCCAACAAGACAATGGTCTAATGGATTCTCAACAAGATCAAGGTAATAGGCGGTTACAACGTGGTCTTTCTGTAGAAGAACAATTGGATGAAATGATGCTTTCTATCAAGCAATCCCAACAAATTTGATCTCTCTCTCTCTGTCTGTATTTGTTTTATTTCTACCTTTATTATTATTATTATTATTATTATTTCATTCTCTTTATATTACATGTATACTTTTTTTTTTTTTTATTATTCATCATTTACAAACCCCTATCTCTTCACACGCATACATTTGATATATTATATATTTTTACACAATACTATATATGCATTTATTTTACACAATAAAGATACTTGAAAGGTTTAGTTCAGTTTGCTGTGCAAATGAACTAGTCTTTTTATTCTAAACATTAATATTTATTTTAGATGGATAGAGAGTTGAATGTTGGATCATTCAAACGCCGTCGGTTTTAACCATTACTAAACTGGTTACTTTTTCTTGTTCCTTTTTCCCTGCTTTTTTTTTTTTCTTTTCTCTCTCTCCTTTTTTTTTTTTTTTTTTTTTATCATTCTTTCTTTCTTTAAACAAACGAAATCAAAATGGAAAAAATAGCAATGATATCTTTTTTATTACTACTCTTTTACTATTCCAAGGTAATAGGAAATATATATGATGTAGCAAAGTCAACTAGGTTACTAAATAAGCAAACATAAAGTTCCGTTCATACTAATGAATCCTTTATTCTCTTCTATCTATTTTACTCCCATTTTTTTTGTATATATAGTACGAAAGACTGCTTGTATGAAGTACGAACAACAATTACAAGCAAGGATACATCCACCATGGCGAGACTATTATATGGCCTACGGTTCTCTCAAGCAATTCCTCAAACAAAAAAGCGACCATTGGTCTAGCCAAGACGAACTGACCTTTGAAAAATTAATGGCAGCAGATTTATCAAAAGTATGTCGTTTTTTACAACAGCAAATGGAATATATAGGGAAACAGATACAACAATTCGAAGAACAAGCTCGTCAACACATACAACAAGATAGATCAGCAAACCTTCCTCTTACAACTCAAGTCATGTCTTTGATATTTGATCTACACGACACGAATCAATTCCTTTACGTAAATAAATTGGCTTTTGACAAGATGGTGAAGAAACATGATCGATATACTACATTCTTGATGCGATCTCGTTTTAGTTTTATGGTCGACAAATCTCGTCTCAACTCTTACATGCAACAACTAGACAATAATATGACTCGACTTTGTCATCTTTATGAAGAGTGCCGACAAAAACAACCATTGAAACTAGAGGAACCCAATTACGATGCAAACAGAACGATACTCAAAGGTGAACGACAGCAACAATGTACTACTTTTTGGATCCATCCAGACAATATCAACGAAGTCAAAGCCATTTGTTTATTCCACCTCCCCATGCTACCAACCTCGAATACCTCTTCAACATCAGTCAACGTCCAAAAAACATCAAAACATCCTATAGATCATGCTGTATCCACTGTGTATTTCGACAATGCCAACTTTAGCCTGTATAAGAATACCGTTTCCCTTTGCAACGATGAAGATTCCATATCTCAAACAATAGAAAGATGCGACACGATGTTACAATGCCAGTGGTATGGACAAGATTCTTCCAAAATGTATATGTCAAGTTATCAAAAGGACGATATCGACCACCAACAGAGAGAAACGATCAAACATCAATGTATTGTGGACAATATACCGGTGAATTCCTTTCTCAGTCGATGGCAGCACGTATTGGACGAACAGCACAAGTTTTCCCATGTTGAATCCATGCAGCAAATGATCCACCAACAGCATCTTGCTCCAATATGCCATACAACTTGTCAACGAAGCATCTTTTACGAACAATATCCAGATGGAACATGTCTACAGATACAGGTGGACAACAATATCACTTTTAATCGACCTTTTGATGGATGTAATAAAACGAACGTACGAAGGATGGAACAATCTGATAATCATCGATTTCCCTATGGAATACTCTCTCTACGACACACAGGCAAACAATCGATTCCTCTTTGGTTATCACAACTCGTAGCCAGTCATTTAGTATACGCCATTCCTCGCTTCTCCGTATTTGCTCACGCCATTAAACAACTATATTGCAACCTGGTCCTTCCTTCTCCTTACTGGATGTCGATCATGGAAAACGACATTAGAAAATTACCATTTAATCAAGTAGGATTATCAAGATCAGAAAGTGATCGACCTTTGATCAATGGACATCGACCGACTCTTTTAGACACGACACCACATGTCTCGATTCCCCTTTTGACGAATCCTTCAACACCAATAGCACAATCCTTTTTTCGTAACGTAGATGGTATGATGATGTACAACAAAGGCAACAACAGCAACAACAGGATCACTGAACCTAAAACTTATTTCGCCAATGAACGAACCTTTATCTCTTGGTTACAATTTTGTGCCATGTTATTGACAGTGGCCCTTAGTTTATTCAATCGGGGTGATTTGATATCAAGATGGATGGGGGCTATATTTCTTTTTATAACATGTTTACTGGCATGGTAAGTTGATGATTAGATAGAAAATATGAGATTGATTGTAGATTAATATATATATTTTTTTTTTGGATAGTTATGCATTAGGGCGGTTTCAATACCGATCGTGGCAACTTCGAACAAGACGATATGTATTACGTTATGATGATAAAATTGGGCCTAGTATATTATGTTTCTTTTTAGTATTAGCTATGATGATCAATCTTTATCTTCGATCACCTATTTTTTAATTCAATAAAAAAAAAAAAAAGAGTGTTGAAATAATGGGAAATATATAAATCTTAACATTTTTTTTTCTTTTTGTTTGTTTATTTAACAGATGTATTGATGATGATGGGTTTACTTTATTCATTCATTAAAAACAAAAATTACCTGTTGAATGCTTATATAAAAAAAAAAAGTATTTCATTAGTGCAACTGGACTCATTTTACGGTTTTTTTTTTTTAGTACCCCTGGATAATGGATTTTTATAGCCTAATCTGACTGGATAGGTTTTGGAGAAATCATTTTTTTTTTGTTCATCCCATTCATTTCTTGCTCTAAAGCAATCATCATCGCAACCAACATAGATGAAATCATTCTCTTTCACTTATCTTAGTAACAATCCCAAATTATAGAAATAAAAAATGAAAAGCAAATATCATCATCTCACATCCAATAATCATCATCATCCAATAAAATTCTCATCATTGGATTCTCTCTCAAAAAAGCACTCTGATACTATTTAATACCATTTTATCGCTTAATACCTAATGTTCAATGACAAAAAGATTTCATTGATTTTCCCAAAAAATTGCCTGATGACCCCTCGACAATTCATTTTTACAGCCAAAATTTGGCTGAGGAGTTTCAAATTTTTAGCTGTAAAGTCCAAAAAAAAAAAAAAAAAAAGAATCCACAGCCTTAAATAACTCTAATCATTTTTCGAATCCCATTTTTAAGCTTAAATCTATTATTATACATTGTAAACAACATTAATAAAAGTTGTGTATATTATCTATGATTACTTCTTTTGTTAGTGGATTAAATAGGCAGCTTGTCAATAATGGGTAGAAATTCGCAGAAAAAGGTCATTTGACAGTTGATCTCATGCTAAAAAGAAAAACTTCAAATCCATTTTAAATCTCCAATCATATCATCTATGGCTTCTCTTTTTTTTATATTAATGCATTATTTACTATTAAAAACGTCGCGTTCAACTGTAAAATTGGCGGTAGATCTTTAGTGAGACTCCAATCTGAGAACGATCAAGCATTGTATAACCGTTTTTTTAGTCTTCTTCAATAAACTTTATTATTATTCTTACAATCATCATTCTCTTTATCACGTCTTTACCAATATCATTATTCAACTTTTATGCAAACATAAGTCATAAATTGGTATGCATTCAAATTCCGATATCTTTAAGGTAAAAAAAGTGGATCAAAAAAAAAAAGTTCTGACAAATTAAGAAAAAGCTAGCACTGACTTTTTTTTTCTGCTTTTCCTTTCTTTTACTTTTTCTTTCCCTTTTTTTTTTTCTTTTGACCAATGATCCTTTAAACATGTAAGTTGTCATTGTACATAATGATACTCTACTAATCTACATTATAAACTAAAAGTTCATTCTTTCTAGGCATACATACGTCTAGACTTACAGTATACTTACTCTTTCTTTTTTCCTTTTTTTTTCTTTTTAGTCTCTTTCATTCTCATACCAAGAGCTAATCTATTTTTGGTTTGTGACTCTTTATGTGAAAATACACTAGATAGATAGGATATAGAATAGGATTAATTGGTTATACGATTGGACAAAGGATAGTAAGCCAAAAAAAAAAAAAATATGTCTGTTATTCAACCCTTTATCATAGCAATTATTTTTTTTTTTCAGTAGTTTAGTTATATATTATATTTTTAACTTTACATTCTCATTTAAATAAAATCTTATTTTTTTTTCTTTACTATTTGTTTATTACATTGTCATCTGCTATTATCCTATCATCATCTATCTTTCGTCCATTCATAACCTCTATACAAACATTTCCAGATGAAATATTTTATTACGCCATATTTAACGAGTGGAAGTTTCCTTTTATATATATTTAAAGAAAAAGCAATGAATAACAAACAAGTCTTTCATTTTTTTTTTAAGGGGATCATGACGTTAGGGTGATGGGTATGTGTGATGATCAAAAAATCATTAAAGATGATATCAGCAAAGAGGAACTGGTACACATGTACAACGATCAGGTGAGATATGCAAGTAACGTTTTATGATCTGCAATAGGGCTCTTTACCCAATCAAACCCATCATCAGGGCCCACATGTAAGCTGTGTTATTATTAACCATTGATCCATGTTACATTTTACATTTTTCTCCTTGAATGTCATTATTAATTGACATCGAGTATTATTGATAAGAAATATAAAAAGAGAGGGGGAGAAGGGGATGATGGAGATTAAAAAATAAGGAACTTGATTTCTTTTTCCTTTTACTTTATTTTTTTTTTTTTTATGGTATGAAATTCGGCACGTTTCTTTTCCAACAACAATTTCCTCCATGGCGTACAGAATATCTTCAATATGATAGGATCAAAGAGATAATCAAGGAGAAAAACAATCATGATAAAGTAGATCAATGGTTACAAGTAGAATTTGATAAAATACGTCATTTTAGTTTACATCAGTTGGACAAATTGAATCAACAACTTATCTTGCTAGAAAAATCTTCATCCAGCCTTTTATTAGATGATCTACTCTACCCTCTATACGATACTCACGAATTGGAACGTTACATCTACTTATCCATCATCGGTTTTCAAAAGCTTGCGAAAAGTCTTGCCAAACATCAGACTAATAATGACGTTGGAAAAACAGGGGCTCAGATCCCGGATTGGCTTATCATTTTGAATCAGTACCATGACAAATTGGATCCACTTTTGATGCGATTGGCCTCATTGAAAGAAGTGTGCACTAGTGGTCATCAAGGAAAGAAAAAGTCAAAGCGGATAAAAACTAAAGGATTACCTCCTCTACCCAACGAAAACACCTCATGTTATCACTCGTATTCTTACTGGCTCCATCCTAATCACGTATTTGAATTGAAGGCGATTCTTTTATTTTATTCCTCTTTAATCGATCATCATCCATTTTCTATCGTTTATCTTGATAATCCTCAATGGGATGTCTATCATCAACAATTGTCAGCACCTTTTCTTACATCTGATTCCATACATATCTCATGGTAAACATTTAAAAAAAAAAAAAAAAAAAAAAGGGGATCAACCGCTGAGTTTTATATTTCGTTAATGATACCTTTTTTTGTTTCTTTCTCTCTCTTTTTTTTTTTTTTTTTTTGTTATACTTTCTGGTTCTATTATTCTATTTATTATCTTCAGGAAAGGATCAGGAACTTCTGATAGTCAAGTACAAGTGAATCATGTAGCAGTTCAAGAGAGTCATTCAAAAGTTTTACATCAATTGTCTCTACCAAGATCCACAGTAGGCGCGCTATTCCAACAACAACAACAACAAAACAAGGATTTGCAAAATGAAGATGATATATTGGATCAAGATTTTTACAACAACAACAATAGCTCCACCATGGCATTAATAGTAGAACCACGAAAGAAGAAGAAACAACCACCACCATTACCATCGAAACTCGGCATGACGAACGGCAAAGATGATAGTATATATCAACAGATTCAACAAAGAATTCAGCAACAAAAATGGCAACCAAGAATCAAGTGTATGGTACAACGGACAACCTATGAAGCAAGTTTTAAGAATGGTGTTAATGACAGCAACAAGGTGTTTTTACATATCGATACAAAAATAACCATGAACGTTGAACAAAGCAACAACCATAGATCCTCCTCGCCTGGGTTCTCTGTGCTTACGGTGGTAGTACAATGTCAACAAAAATGCCAAGAAAAGAACAGTGATGACAACGGTAAATTCGGCCCGGATGCAGCCCCTAACGTTTTACCCGACTGGTTGATGACATTGATTAACGGCGCCTCATGGATCCATCCTGTGCCAAGATTTTCCTTGTACGTACATGGCGTATCTTGTTTGTACCGGGAATTCATTCCACTTTTACCCTGGTGGCTCAGCTCCTTTGACACTACCTGGCAACACGACAATGAAGATAGTCATGGGTCACCTGCAAAGAACAACGATTTTGGATTATCACGATCAACCACTTTACAACCTTTATTACATGGCACGTTACCACCTTGGTATTCTCACATGGTGATGACTATCGATAACAATGATGAAAAGGAAAAAAACATATTAGACAAACATGTGACCACGGCAAAAAAATGGAAAAAGATCAAAGTGGAACCAAAGGTATTTTTCGCCAACGAACGGACATTTTTATCATGGATGCAGTTTTGTGCATTATTGTTGACAGTTAGTCTCAATATGATTAACTTTGGTGGATCGGACGACAATGTATCTCGTATATGTGGGGGTCTATTTATCATTCTTACCATCATTATGGCGTTATATGCATTGGCGAAATATGAATGTCGAGCTTGGCAATTGGTGACTTCTTCCAATCGGTATCGTTTTGATGATATGTATGGACCTGCAGTTCTCTGTTTCTTATTGATATTGGCTATGTTGATCAATCTTGGTTTACGTTTGACGACTCCCTCTCATTGATCTTTTTTTTTTTTTTTTGAACGGATGTTATCTATACTTAGTTACCTTTGACGATCTTTGTTTATTATTGTTATTAATAAAATCTCTCTTTTTTTTATTATTATTATTATTATTTGGTTTCATGGTTTGGTTTCATAATAATCCTATGATGATGATATGTATAAAATAAAAAGTATTTCAATGATGATAGCTGTTTATGCTGATCTATATTTTGATTGATTATTTCTACTCCCAAATATAAACACAGTGGGATATTATTTTAATAGAAAGTCGGGAATGGAGTCTTTTATTGGTAATGGTTTTCTTTACTTTTTTGATGACAGGTTTTATTATAATAAACTGATGACTTTTTTTTTCGATTGTTTCTATTATTATTATTATTATTATTGAGTTTTATGATATACTATATATATCATCAATTAAAAAAAAAAAAAAAAGAAGGTACCAGGAACTGGAAATGAAAAAAAAAAAAAAAAAAAAGATGATCAATTTGTTTTGATCGTTGATATCGGCTTAGCTTATTCGTTTTTGTTTTTTTTTTTTTTTTGTTATTTTGATTGCCAAGAAAGTATTAGTAAAGTTTCATTCTACGGGATTTTTTTTGAAATTTATTCATTGTTCGTTACACATTCAAAAAGAGTTCATATCAAAAGGGAATGGATACTTTTGAGGCTTGGAAAAAGAGAAAGAGTGAGTTTGGTAAAGCTCAATAAAACTTTGGAGAATAAAAGACAAAAAAGGAAGGAGGCGTGATGTCTTACCAGAGCCTAAGTATGGCAAACCAGCTGAGGTTGTACCATGCAACTCCTCTCTTTGTATCACCATAAAAATTGATGTCAAATCTAGTAAAGAAATAAAATATCATTGGTTTAAAAAAAAAAATGTTTATTGTTTTTTCTTTTCCGTTATATAGAATAAAAGAATTTGATTTTTTTTATTGATGGAAAAATTATAATAAATCTATATAATTGATATGATTGAAATTTTAACTTTTCTTTTTTTTTTAAAAAAAGATCTTCCATATATATAAATAACCTTTTTTTATTTTTTATTTAAATCTCAGTAATAAAAAAAAAAAAAGAAAGAAAGAAGTAGTTTTTTTGTGTTATCTCCTTTTTGTGGGTGTGAATGTGTATGTATTTTTGGTTGTTGCACCCGCCAAAAACAAATCCAACCTCCGAGATTTTTTTTTTCTCTCTGTCTCTCTTCCCCCCTTTTTTTTTTTTCTTTATATATAATTCATCCCCCTCTTGATTTTTTTTTTTTTATTTTCTCTTCTTTTTTTCCTTTTTTCTTTTTTTTTTTCTTTCTTCCCCTTTTTTTATTTATTTTTTTTTTAAAAAAAAGAGTTTCTTTCTATATTTCTTTCTTTCCCTTATTCTTTTTTTTTTCTTTCTTACACTTCATTCCTCCTCCTTCTTCTCCTCATTACTTACTTCTTTATTTTTCCCTTTTCGATTTTTTTTTTTTATAAAATATGAAATACGGATTGGAATTACAAGAAAATATATTTGCACCTTGGAGACTCTCTTATATTGCCTATGATGTATTAAAACAAGAACTCAAAACTCGTCAATTGGATCATTCATGGACTGATAAGGATGAAAATGACTTTGTGATGTTATTGGACAATGAACTGACCAAAGTATATGATTTTGTCAATGCCAAATTATCTGAAATTGATGCACGCATTTTATATTGTGAACGAACCATTCAAACCTTACAAAAAAATTCAACTATGCACTCGGACGCCAATTATCGTATTATGGATGAAGCTCTTACAGAAATTTTATTTGATGTCAATGATCTTTCCAAATTCACCAGGGTCAACTTTTTAGCTATTCAAAAGATCTTGAAAAAGCACGATAAATGGACGGGGTTGGATTTGAAACATCAATATGTCAGCAAATTACGAGAAAAACCTTTGGATAAGCAACGATTCGATGTAGCCATTGTTTATATTTCTGCTTTACACGATATTTGTCGACATCAAGGAAAATCAAATGACGCAAAACCTTTAGGTGGTGATCAAAATGCATTTGAACGTGCTACTGCTAAATATTGGATTCATCCTGATAATATCACTGAAGTCAAGGCTATTATTATGTTACACTTACCTGTTCTTATCTTTAACAAGTCAAAAAAATTCGAAACTTCCGATGCTGCTGTCTCTTCTGTATACTTTGATAATCGTAACTTTGATCTCTATACTGGTCGTTTACAACGGGATGAAGAAGCCGAAGCTATTCGTTTTAGATGGTAAATGGATAAGGAGTGATGTAGGACAAAAGAAAAAAAAAAGTAGGAAGAGCGGGTAGTGAAAACGAACATGCAGCCATCCTTTTTTTTTTTTTGTCAAGGGGATATATATCGAACTAAACTTTATTTATTTATTTTTTTTTAAATGACCATAGGTATGGACCTTATGACACTAACACTGTATTTATTGAACGAAAAACTCATCATGCTTCTTGGTTGGATGGTGCTTCTGTTAAAGATCGTTTCCCTATCAAAGAATCTCGAGTGAACTCTTTTGTGGATGGATCCTATACTGCCGATATGATTGCCGCTGAAATGACTGCCAAAGGAAACCCTGAGGATACTATCAAGGATATGCACTTTACTGCCACTGGTGTTCAAAAATCTTTCCGTGAAAAAGGATTGGAATCTATGTTACGTGTTTATTATAATCGAACGGCTTTCCAACTTCCCGATGATCAAAAGTTACGTATTTCTTTAGACACTGATTTGACTTTTATTCGTGAAGATCATATTGATGGTCGTCTACGACATGGTGACAACTGGCGACGAACTGATGTAGGCATTGATTATCCTTTCAATTATGTGGCTCCTCAAGATATCTTACGCTTCCCATATGCTGTATTGGAAACTAAATTACAAACTCATCTGGGTCAAGAACCTCCTCAATGGCTGACTTCCTTGATTGAATCTCATCTCGTCCATGAAGTGCCAAGATTTTCGAAATATCTCCATGGTGCTTGTCATTTCTATCGTGAAAAGTTACCTCTTTTACCTTGGTGGCTGTCTGAATTGAACAATGATATCCGAAAAGGTCGTGTGGAAAATACTGGTCTCACTCGTTCAAGAAGTTTCAAACCTTTGATTGATGGTCAATATCGCCGTGCTATGTTGGAAGAAAAGGAACGTAAGAATTCACAAGCTGTTGTAGAAGGTCGAAATATATCTGGATCACGTAGCCCTAGCAATAATTCAAATGATGAATCAACAAAGGCATCTTCTTCTCCTATGAACCGTCGACGTTCCAATTCTATTGATGAAAAGGTGGCTGCTCAGTGGCGACCAGTGGATAATCCTCCCAACAAACAAGACTATACATCTATTGAATTAGGTCCAACAAATCATGGTGGTACTTATGATCCATTATTACCTCCATCATCATCAACTCCTGCACCATCCAAGGTCAGCAACTTTATCAACAACAACAAAAATCGATTATTAGGCACTCCTGTCGATGAACCCAAACAGAAATACGAAAAAGCAAAAGTCAAGGTACGAGCTGAACCCAAGGTATTTTTCGCCAACGAACGTACTTTTATCTCCTGGTTACAATTCTGTGCTCTTTTGTTGACGGTTGCTCTGAACTTATTGAACTTTGGTGATTATTCCGCTCGTATTGCAGGTGGGGTCTTTTTAGGTATCTCAGCTTTTGTTGCCATATATGCTTTATATCGATTTGAAAAACGTGCTTATATGATCAATCGTCAAATTGATGGCCGTTATGATGATTTATATGGTCCTGCTGTTCTCTGTGTTCTTTTGGTTGGTGCTCTCATTGTCAATTTTTACCTTCGATTCCGTTAAACTTGTTATCTCATTTATTTATTTATCTCACTGTATTTTCCCATTCTTTCCACTGTTTTTATACATATTTTTTTTTTTTTTTTGTTGTTGTTATCATATATGCACGCACTCAATCATATCCCTCTTTCAAAATCATCTCAAAGAAAAACATCAAAACTTGTGTTAGCTCATTTTATTCATTCATCTTCAGTTGTTGTAGTTTTTTTTTTATAAAGAGTAATATACATATACATTTAAATAAAATCCATTCTTTTGTTATTTTCATCTCTCTTTTATTGATCCTAGATAATCAATGGATGATGATAGTTGAATCCAAGAGACGGGTTTTGAAATGTGTGTGGAGTAAAAAGAGAGAGAAAAAAGTGCACTTTTTTTTTTCTTTTCCTTTTTTTTTTTTTTTTTTTTCTCTTTACTATTGTATATATGGCGTCATGATTAGACCTTCCTACTTTTTATTCTTATTATTATTATTCGTATTACCACTATTTCGAAACTCATTGGCAAACGCACAAAGTATTCAATATGCACAACGATTCCCAAAGTCTCGACTCTACAGTCTTTCTCCTGCTTCTTTAGGTCTTGGCAATATGGATGGTACCATCGCTGCTTTTGGTGACTTTAATGCTGATAAATTGTAAGTACTTTATAGACCTTGATATAGTCTTCTTCTTATTCAACTTGTTTTCTTTTTTTCTTTTATTAACCTACTTTTTGTTTTATTCTTTATATATATATATATATATATCTAGCACTGATATCTTTACTTTGGGCCAAGATCAAAAAAGTATCACCATTTATACTTGGGATCATAGTATGTTATTTTTTTTAAAAAAAAAAAAGTTTATATAACTTTTCTGATATTTATCTTTCTTTTTTCTTAGAAAATTTTTCTTTTTCACCTTTACTACATGCACCTCATATTCAACATGACTCGATCATCAATAATATCATTCCTGGCGATTATAATTATGATGGTCACTTGGATGTTTTGGTGATGGATGAACCAAATGCTCAAGGGGAATTCAAAATGAAGATATATTTTGGTAATGGCAATGATTCATTTGGTAAGGATAGATGTAGAGAATATTATATGCATACAAGTTTTTTTTTTTTTTTTTTTATAAAACTAAACCGTCTATTTTTTTTTTTTTCATTATTCGTAGTGACTCCAGCTTTAGATATTCCTTCAGCGAAAACGACTTTACCCATGGTTTTGGATTTAAATGGTGATATGAAGTTGGATCTATTGGGCTATTCTTGGGAAACAGGTGAATTAAGTGCTTGGATCAACACTGCTCAATCCAATTCTACCAATCAAACTACTTCTATCTTTGATCTGTAAGATGATGTTGATGATATATAACCTGATTTAATATTGATTCTTTTATATATATTTATATATGTTCATAGAACATCTGCTTCCTCTTACTTTGATCCAACGTTTACTTCACGGTGCCGTTGGGCTTCACCGCATTCAAATGCCTTTGTGGATCTGGATGGAGATTGCTTGGCAGGTAAAATACTGATACAAAAAAAAAAAAGATCCTTTATATTATATGACTAACTCTTTATTATTATTATCATTCTTATTTTTGAAAGATGTTGTCATGGTATGTGATACGAATGGAAGACAATCAATGCAAATATGGTCAAACCAACGGGAAAATGGATTCAAATTGAGACAAACACTTGATTTACCTTCAAATATTGGACCTTTGGCATTTGCGGATATGGGTAAGAGAAAAAGAATACTTATCAAAATGTTATGATGAATGTATTGACTTCTTTTTTTTTTTTTGTATATAGATGGTGATGGATCAACCGATATCGTGTTCACTGTATGTAGTGATAATGCCCATTGTGCGATTCATACAGTCTATAATCAACAAATGGGATTATGTTCAAAATTGGATGATCCAAACTCTGTTGGGCAATGCAGAAGTCCTCGGCAGCTTTGCGTAGCGGATCCTGATTTTCAATTCGATATAACTACACCAAATAGTGAAGTAAGGAAAAAAAAAAAAAAAAAAGGTGCAAAATAAAAGTTTAGTGTGGTAATATCTTGCTTTTTATATAGAATTATACAATATTCAGCTTGGCACCCTATCTAGATCAAGGTGAAACCGTACTTACATTAGATAGAAACTTTCCTGGTACAATGCCTGTCCCTCTTCACCCAGGTATGAATGCAAAATGAATATTTACTGAGAAATGACAGACTCATTTTTTTTTCCTTCCTTATCTAGGTGATTATAATTTAGATGGTTATCCTGATCTTTTAGTAACAACAACCAAAAAGGTGATACTTCTCCAATCTGTGTGGTGTACTGCACAGCAATGTACAGATGCTGCAATCAAATCGAACAAACGTACATTCTCTTTGGTTCGAAATGGTGCTGAATCTTTATCCAAAATCACCAGTCCTCGACATGCCACCTTTTTTGATATAGATGAAGATGTAAGTAGACACTTTATTTTTACCTTGGAGATGATGAATATTGATCCCTTTTTTTTTGATAGGGATCACTGGATATATTGGTACTTCAAGATAGGACAAGTCGACCTTCCACTCAAAGAACACCACGTTTCTTAATCAACAATTTCTTCAATGATGCTTTCTTTATGAAAGGTTTAGGTAATAGAGAAAATATGAAGAGGAAAAAGTTGACTCATGTGTTATTTTGTATAAATAGTATCGAACGGAGCACATCCTGAAGGATCATCAACAAAAGTAAGAAAAAAACATAAACATGTAGACACTTGAAAAATCATCACTAACTACTGTATGGTCATATTTTGTTGTATCCTTAGCCTTATGGTGTCAATTATCCTGGAGCCAACTTCAAGTTTACTGTATTGGATACCTCTGGAACGAAACGTGTTCATCAAGTACCACAATTGCCTCAAACTGGTTATATGTCCCTTCATACTCCTTACTGTCTATTTGGTTTAGGAAGAACAAACAATTATGTGGAAGAAATGTTTGCAGGAGTCACGCGACATCAGGTAAATAAAAAAAGGATGATCAGAAAAGGAAAAAGGAGAAACTATTTACCTTTTTCTTCTATATTAGAATCAGAACTATTTATTTTATGAAGGCGTTATCCCCAATTCCCAGTTGGTGTTTTTACCTTATCAACCAGAAAATGTGGCTGATAGTTCATCGTAAGTTAAATAAAGCAGAGTATCAAGAGATGACTAATTATATTCTATTCATAGTTGGAAAGTGGAACTCTATGTCCAACCAGCAGATTATATCCCTTGGGTACTTGTGTCCTTGGTAGCGGCTGCTCTTCTTCTTGGTATTGTTGTTGGTTCTTTATACTGGATGGAAAAACGCGAAGATGAAAAGGAACGACGAAAGGCTTTACATATTATCAACTTTGACGCCCTATAGTTCCTCTCTTTTTTTTTATTTTTTATTTTTTATGTATCCATATCATTTTAGTATCATTATCCAATCATATATCATTCGTCATCTAGTCAAATATCTTTATTCAATCGTTTCTTTTCATTCAAAATAAAAAATAGTTATAATATGCATTTTATTGATGATTCGTATACAGATCCATTTCGCCAAGATGTAGTGTAGAGGCGCTTGTCATCTTGAACGATGATATGAGCTCGTTCCCAAAGTCACTTTCTTATATCAACCCACATTAGCGAATGGCAAGAACTATATTGGATAATCATGTTTGGCATTCTACGATGAAGAATGATGATTTGATCCAGTCAAACATCATCGGTTCACAAAATCATCTAGTATATTCTAGAGGCAATGATATCGCATTGGTAAGTTGGCAGCCTTGGATGACAAGATGTCTCCCCTAGTGAAGGGCCTTCGGGTGGGACGTCAAAGAGAATATCATCATTGATCTCTTCCAACTTGGGAGGCTTGAATTCACCCATGAATGATTTTGTACATTGGCTGCAAAGTATTCAACATACAAGAATGAGACAGGGTCAACAATAAAGACGGATGATAGTTCCACCGTTGTTTGCATTTGATCATGTTCTTTGAGACTTGGACAAAAAGCTGTCATCGACAAAGGGTGTTATATTTGCATCATTATGCAACATCTCAAGGGATTCCAAAGTAGAGACCATCACTTGCTACTCACAGAAAGGACGATCGAAGTGATGTTGGTCAGTAACCAAACCGGAAGTTTCCCTTACTTTCGAGACGAACACTTCTTCTTTTTTTTTTTTTTTTTTTTTGATTGCCATCCTACCACTATCAAGTTCTCGTCCCCTGCCCCACAATTATGTCTATCATGTATATATTCTATCATTAGTCAAATACCTTTATCCAATCAACCCTCTTCCCCCAATTTTTATTCAAAATAAAAAAAAAATGAATATTTATCTATATATGAGTGTGTAATACAATGTGTGATTTATATTTGGGATGTATACTATGACTAACTATTTTGCTATTATATTAATCAAAGGGTACGCTGTACTGATCGCCGTAAAGGTTTTTCACCAGTTTCTTGTTCTTCCTGTTGTTGTTGTTGGACACCACTGGAAGTAACTGAGCCGGTAGCTGTATATTCTTGTAGTCGACGATTGGTGTATGATTTACTCAACATGTATCCGCCCAGTGCACCTACAAAAAAAAAAAAAAAAAAAAAAAAAAGTGAGATCATTAGACATAGATAATAAAATAAAAGGATACTTGCATATAGCCAGTGCTGTCCTATCATAGAACAAAGATCAAACGATGATTAATATTCATAACAACGTAAACTAATATCCTTTTTTTTTTTTTTGTTCTTTACCATCCTTTCATCACTGCTTTCGGGGTATTACTGATGGCCATGGTGTTTGTGTTCTTTCAATCCAAAGTAGAAACAAAAAAAAAAAAAAAAAAGAGAGAGAGAGAGCAACCCCCACCCTCGTCAGCTGCTTTGGGCTTTTTTTTTTTTTATTGGTCGGGAGTTCAAAGGTAAGCTCAGTGGCAGGAAGATGGAAGTCAAAAGAGAATGGCATCATTGAACAATCGGTCCTCATCATAGAAGATTAAAAAAAAAAAAAAAAAAAAAAAAAAAGGAGGGAAGAATCAATCATAATGAAACCCAATAGAGTAACATCATTCCTTGTATGATGCTAAGCGTCTTTCTTTTTTCTTTTCCAATCGTCACAAAAGAAAACCATCCCAAAAATAGATATCATACTTCCCTTCATTCCATTCATCCAGGAAAAAAAAAAAAAGATAATGATAGGAAGATAAACAGAGAAAAGATAATTCAACTTTATTTCGATGATAAAAAAAAAAAAGAGAGAGAGAGAGAAAAAGGCAATTTAAACTAATAAACTAAACGAATCACCTTCCCTTTTTTTTCCAAAAAAAAAAAAAAGAACACAATCATATACAAGTTCATCCAAGTCAAGCAGAGAACCGTCGTTGAGTCGTAGTAGAACCATTAGAAGCAAAGGCAGGACTTGAATCAATCATTGAATCTACATGGTTCAAGAATGAATGAATCCCTTCAAAATAACGAGGTCCAACATGCCATGAAGTTTCATCCTCCGGGTCAAATATAGCTCGCTGTTCTCCATGTAAAGAAGGAATTATCACCAGATCATCATCTTCTTCATCATCATCATCGATAGTGTTGTTCGGATGAATAGATTCATAGGAAGAGGACGCCGTACCAAGTATTGTTGTCGTTGATGTAGATCCAATATTATTGGTGGCGGGTATTTCTAGACCATGTGGTGGTATTTCGTCATCAGCTGGTTCTTGGGTACACTTGACTTGAAAAGAAGGTGGCGATGGCATAAGTTGATATATCCATTGAGCAATTGTTGTGTCAGTCATAGGTGATGGTGCGAAATGTTGATAAGGAACGTAGAGGCGTAATTCAGAACATCCATGAATCATTCTCATTTTGAAGGCTGTATTGGATTGATGGTTGCGATGTTTAATAATATAACGTTGTGCCTCTAATCCTACCAATTGAAGAAACATCATCACTTTGGCCAAATGTTCACGAATAAGAGTTCCCCATTGATGAAAAGAGTTCAACCACGTAGGATCCAGGATAGAAGTGCTATTTTCCATAAAAAATATATTGCTTGCGGTATTTGGTAATGTTGATGATGATGTTGATGAAGATGCTTGGAGTAATAAGGACGAGAGATCCATTGGGATAGCCACATACCATTGCTGCTTTTGTTCATCATAATCTTGCGTATCACATCGTCGTTGTTTTTGAATAGTCTGTAACGATAAATCATCATGCCTTAACATACCCACCGGGCCTAACAAAGGTTGTGATTGTTCTTGTTGTTGTTGTTGTTGTTGTGATTTTTTCGGAGGTTGACCACGATGTACCAAACCTGGATGATGATGATCCATCTTTTTGTTATTGTTGTTGTCACTTTGATCCATCACATCAGCCATACCACGACTATGAGGAGGTTGATATCGTTGTTGTTTCCCACCTTGAAGGGACGAGGATGAGTGAATACAATGAAATCTGTTGCTTCCAATATAATCATCATCATCCACGTCTTCAATATCATTGTCAGAACAAATAGAAGAGGTAGTAATAGAGCGTTGTTGTGACCAAGAAGGCTTTGTGTTGTAAGACCTAAAAGAAATTGGAGGTGGAGGAGGAAGCGTGCCACCACCATGAACACCTAAGATGGGCGGTCTTACTGGAGTGAAAAAGTGATTAGGACTTAGGACATTGACAAGTTGATTTGTTGTTGTAGTAGTGCTGTTGGAAGTGACCATGGTACGAGATTGTACACAGCATGAAGTATTCCGTCGATAAATAAGAAGGCGACGAGCTGTGGACGTAGATAAGGTGGAACGACGTTGAAGTAAACGAATTAATTGTTGTGGTTGTTGCCCTAAAGCTGGTATTGGTTTATTTAGTACTACTTCTGTTGCTATTGCTGCATTTGTTGGTATCTTTGAAAAATAAAAAGTGGCAATAGGACGAAATAGAATATGACTTGATTTGTGGCGTAACTTGCTACGATGTAATAGTCGATGTAAAGATAATAATAGATGTAAAGGAGAACGTAGCATGATATGTTTATTTCAAAAAAAAAAAAAGGGAAAGAAAGACAAAAAAAAAAAATGTGATAATATGAATTCTATCTAAAAAAAAAAAGAGAGAGCGGGTTTTGCATTGGTGGGAGACAAAAGAGCCAACTGACCAATAGACTGAGCCAATCAAATTCAGGTCGCGTGGTGAGCCAGTTTTTCAATGCCGTCTACATCAAATATACCATAAGATTTTGATTCTATAGATGTTATAGCAGCAGATGCCACTGTATCAGTATGTAAAGGATGAGTTGTAAAACTAGATCCAAATGGTAAACTTGCTAAATCTTTGGCAATAGGCTTAGTAAGTAGATTAGCTGTTTGTAAGGCTTTTGCAATAGGCATGGCAGCTGCTCGTTGATCATTGTACATAAACCCTATATTAACAAAAAAAAAAAAAGGCATGAGATAAGATGAATAAAAAAGTGTCAATTTCTCACCTGGTCTAAAGATGATGGATTTGAATTCCGGACGAGAAAATAAATATTGTTCAGCTTGTCGTTTTGTGGTAATATAACGAGGATTGATCAAAGGAAAGACATCTGCAGCGGAAATATAGACAAAGGATTCTATACTAGGTATATCTGCAACCTGTTTAGCTACTGTGATGGCTAAAAATCAATATAAAAATATATAGAGTGAGATAAATAATTTATTATTATTAATAATAATATTAACCTGTATCTCGATTGATAGCTTCATACGTGGGAAATACTTGATTTTCAGGATCCAATGGATTGCCACGATTGGTCATGCCTAGAATTTCACCTAACACCTTGGATGCTCCGCATAACGCGCCAAATACAGTAGGATCATTCACCACTTTTTTGTAATCACTTTCCAAAATAATTCCAACCGTATGTACCACATTGGTCACATCTTTGAGTATATCCTTATAACTAGCAGGATCCAAAGAATCACCTTTAGCCCATTTTACCTATTTGTCATATGGATGAACAACTAAAATCAATACAGATCAAGACAACTTTTTTTTTTTTTTTTTTTTTTTTTTTTACTTGATTCGCCCATGTAGGTTTGCCTTGTTTTGAAAATGAATCAGGTTCACCTCGTCGACTAGAAGAATACATATACCAAAAAGAAGAAGAAATAAATTTCATGTTATATAGATATATGAATGTGGTTTACCTGAGACTAACTATTTCCCAACCTTTTTGTGCCGCGGCTTTACACACACTTTGACCTAACAATGAACAAAAAATTAGAAGGAGATCTAAATAATGTATTCTTTTCTTTTCAAAACAGTTACCGAGAAAACCAGAGCCACCCACTACTAAAAGTTTACGAGCTATGGATTGAGACATGTAGACAGATTGACCAAAAATGAAAAGAAAAAGAATTTTAAAAGTGACACCCTGTCTTAACCAAACCGTTTTTTTTTCAAATACCGCGGGACAAGGGGAAAAAAAAAGACAAAATCATGCTGCGTTTTTTCTTTTTATTGGTATGGTGATGTTACATAGTTTGTATAAATAACTAATAGTATATAAATATAATCTATCCTAATGGGTCAAATGAGTTCAGATTCATTGTCTTGTGTCCTTGATTCTTGTCATTATGTATGGAATTTCCTTGTCGTTGTTGGTGAGTTGAAGTAGGTGTCAGTAAACCAAAGTTGGATGATTGCTGTGGTGTAGGTATCCCCCGTAATGCACTATAATTCGGTCCATTTCCAGTAGAAGTTGTTGGTTGCTGTATTGTCATTTTGGACATTGGTGTCGAAGGTGGTGGAAGGATGGTTGTAGATGGAAAAATCGAGGTCGTAGGAGAACCCATTGGCATCAAAGGTTTGGGTGATGATGAATTACCAAAAGTAGATGTAGTTGGTGATGTTGTTGCCGAAGAGACCCATCCAGCACTCAAAGGTCGTTGTTTTTGTTGTTCATTTAAAGAATTTGTACTTGATATGGGTTTTAATGTTGTTGTAGGGGCCAAGGCGGGTGTTGAAGATAACAACATGGGTGAAGATCGATTGCTACTACTTCCAGAAGACCATAAATCACTTGCCACTTTGTTGGAAGCACCATTAGCTGCCAAGATTGGTGTTGTATTATTACTGAATTCCCCAAACATATCATTATCATCACTAATTTTCTTTGTTGATCCATGTACAAGTGCTTCGAACGATACATCCCCTTGATCTGTCAATCCACTTCCATCCATTGGTGTTGGTGTTGATGTTTTGCTACCAGCTGCCCGTGTTTGTTCTTCCAGTGATTTGACTTCTTGTAAATGCCGTGTATGTGCCTCTTCTACCCTTGAAGTAAGTTCCCGAATAGTCCGCATAAACTTTTTGAACTATAAGAAAACCGAAAAGAAAATAAATTCAATTAAATGTTTCGAGTCTTTTTTTTTTTTTTTTTTTGCGTTACCTGATCAACATTCAATAGTGGGCCAAAACTCATTCTCCAAAGTTGAGGTAAGATTTCCGTCGCCACAATTTCTTTATCTAGATGTTTTCCCATTTCATCATATACTGCCAAAGTAGCCAACTAGAAAGAAAATGCAATAAAAAAATTAAACAAACATCAAAAACAATTATGCAATTCTATATTTTACCATAACTGCAGGTTCCTTGGTCTTGATATTTTTCAAAAGTGGGACAAGTTTTTCTTGCATAGTGTACTAAATCACAAATTCATTAGCGAATAGTTCGAATTTGGTGAAGGGTAGTTCTTCTTCTTACCTTATCGACAACTTTGATCATAGAATGGAAACAAATCAAAGTGCTGACTTTGACTGACAATACAGTAGTTTGAACAAAAAGTGCTTGTACTCGAGGGAATAAGGAGTTCTTGATGGTAGAATAATCTAGTGATTCACATAAGGAAGGTACAATCCGTAAAGCCTTTTCTTGAACCACCACTGCAGGATTTTCCAGAGCAGCATAGACCAACGGCATAACATCTAAGAAGAGAAAGTGTTCATCAAAAACTAATATTTTCCTTTTATCATTTATCATTACCATCTCTAAATATTTCCCGTGGTGTCTTTTCTTGTAAAGCGTCAAGTTTATCCAATAAAACAATCATATTCTGAGGTGGATCTCGAATACTAAAAACGGGTTTCAATGAAGGAAGTACCAAGTCACAAAATTCTTGTTGAGATAATTGTTGACCGATGAGAAAGATGTTTGGTAAAGTATAAGGTAGTAATTGATGATCTTTAAGTTCTTCCAATAATGACGGTAATATCTAAAAAGAGAAAAACAATGTCGTTCAGTTTGTTTCATCTGTCAGCCAGGTTTTTTTTTTTTCTTACCTTTCTTTTCAGTACTCTTTCAGGAAATTGAGCCAACACACGAGCAAGTCCTTTCATAAACTGAGATTTCTCTTCACGCGTTTTTTCAGGGAAGTTTTCCAAAAATTTCATTGTTGAGACCAAGATATTGTCAAAGTATTTTGAATTCTGAAATTCCTTTAAAGTGATTCGTTGAGAAGGATGGCGAGCAAGTAACCTTCGAATAACATCTATTAACAATAGAGGATGAATATAACGCATACATCTGTAATATATATATATATATATATATATATATATAGTTACCTTGAAGGTGAGAAGGAATATTTCGATAATCCATAGATGAAAGAGTTTGAATCTTTCTTTCATAAGTGCGTAGGTTGTTGAATGTTTGCATCATCGATACACCATTATTGTGAATCGTATAAGCTAAGCAACCCAAAGAAAACATATCATTTGCTTGAGTCACTTCATTGTTCAGTACAAATTCAGGAGCTATAACAGAAAATAACGAATTAATCTATTATGGTATGTTTATATTCTATACAATTACCTGCATAATCCAAGTTGATTTGTATTTGGTCGGGAAGATATTCATTGTATTCAAAGTAAGATTCTGATTCTATGTTGCCTTGATTGAGGAATACTCCAAATCCAAGTCTATAAAATAAATAGTAATGAATCATATCCTTTTTTTTTTTTTTTTTTTTGCTCTTTTCTCTTACCCTCCAATCTTCCAATCCCCCTATGTTCGTGTGGTAAAATAAAATAAATAAATAAAAGTTAACTAAATAGTTCTTGTTGTCTTTAGACTATTACACTTTTGACTATTTTCACTGACCTTGGCATTGACAAAAATAGCTTCTGGATTCAAATTGTGATGTACGACCTTGGCATCATTCAAAAATTCTAATCCTTTTCCAACTTGTAGTAACCCTTTTTGAATCTAACAAAATAATATTGTTTAAGTAACAAGAAGTAATAAGAGACTGATAATACTTTACTTCCAATTCATCTAAATCATAACCCGAAAGGTCTTCTTGAGAAGAAGAATAGCTTTGTGCTTTTTTCACCAAATGAGCCAAGTTTCCTGTCAAAGGTTCGGTAGCAAATGCAATAGATGATCTTGATTCTGTTACAGGTTCAACCACTTGAAGAATAGAAGGGTGTCGTAGTCGTGCAAGATTACTAGCCTATATGTTATATACATATATAAACATGAGTAAGATGTTCTATCACCATTTGCTTTCTTCTTGAGCTCTTTTTTTTCATTTATTCTTTCTATTGTAGTTTTTACCTCTTTTTTCAAAAGTTCATTGACTTTATCAGTATCATTCTTGGAAGCTCCTCGTTCACGTTTGAATGTTGAATCCAATGATTTCTTATCAAAGATCTACAATCATCCCAATGATATCAAGATAAAAAAAAAAACAAACAAAAAGGGAAGGTTAAGGATATTATAAAAATGAGAAGAATAGATAAGTCATGATAATAAAACAATAAAAAGGATACAAAGATGGCGACTTTGTTGTGAGTTGTCTTATGAATTCCATGATAGATCTTCCATAATCCTGCCGTGGATATTTGTTGTTTGATGTCATATCTTGAGGTAATTGAGTTAGTCAACGAATTGATGAAGGAATAAAACGCTGAACTCATGATATAAAAAGAACCAGGTTCTTCAGTAGGCAAAAGGAGGAGGAAAGAAAAAGAAATAAGCGATCTTTTAACAAAAAATTAGGTAAAATCAACTTTCGTTTTGAAACACAGCCGTTAAGCTTTTCTGATTTTAATCATCAAACTCTTACACTTTCGCTATATATATATTTTTTCAAAATATCGAAATGTACAACTTATGAATACTATATGTCATCTATTTTCAGGAATAAATGAATGAAGTGGAGTAATAATTATCCATGATCATCATAGAAAAGAAAAAAAAAAAGAGAGAGAGTCAGGTAAAGATGCATCTTTTTGGTTCAAGATATACGGTATATGTGTCTAGAAGAACAGGTTTACTTTTTTCTATCTTTCCAAAGTAAATACGAAAAAACAACTAGTTTAACTTTCTTTTATCGAAGTGTACTCCTAAAGTCTTCTCAATGGAAATCTCTTGATAGAGATGATGATAATAAAAAGGAGGTATTGAATTATGTCTTCTTTATGAATTTATGCAGGAACATTTCAATCAAACTAATCTCGAAAAAAAAAAAGGAGTCTGATAAGAAAAAGAAATAAAAAAACTCAAATTTATACTCCAAAATGATTGAAGGACAAGAGAGAGTTGCATATATATGGAGTTTCAATGATGATTAACTGATGATTGAATGGACGATTGAATGGATAATGTTTCAATGATGATGGATGATTGAATGGACGATGTTTCAATGGTGAAGTTTCAATAATGATGGATGATCATTGTACATAAGCTCTTCTAAAAAACAAACAATAGAAGACGACAATATGAATAAATTAAAAGAATGATTCGAATAATATATTTTTAGTGTACATCAATAAACAGAATGAGAATAAATAAACTAGAAGGATAATAATATCAGTAACAATAACAAAAAAAAAATAGTACAAAAACTAAACTATATAAAACTAACATCATCAAGCCATCAATGCAGTGGCAATGACCATGACGGAACCAATGATCAAATTAGATACAGACAACGAAGAAGCAGAAGAAGTCTTGGAAGAAGAAGAAGAAGCACCAGCAGCAGAAGCAGAAGCACCAGAGGAACCAGTAGAAGCAGCAGGAGAAGGTGATGATGAAGGTACAGTTGCATTGGGATTAGCATCAGTAGGATAGACAAAGTTTGTTTCCCAATAAGGTTGAGAAATATTCATACATTGGTTGAAAGGCACGACACGGAAAGTTTGTTGGATTTGAGGCAACCATTTTTCAGCCATGGAAACTGTAGCATTGTTCAATTCGTGTTCCAAGACGATATGACCATGTTGATTATCGGTACCATTCTTACGAGCTTCAATCCATCCTTCAAAGTAACCATCTACAGTAGAAGGAGGAAGATTACCACCACCAGAACCTATAATAAATATAAATAAAAAGATCAATATGCATACAAAAAAAAAAAAAAGAAATCAATTGCTTACCAGGCATATTCCAATCATTAGTATCTTCATCCCAAATAACAGTGGTCATACCCATTTGGTTAGCAATAGCACGAACACGATCATCCACATCACCATAAGGAGGTCTCCAGCATTTGGGTGTAACACCAGTCACTTCTTTAATTGCATGTAAAGCCCAGTAAAGTTCAGCCACTACTTGTTGATTTGTTTGAGTTGTCATGGCGGGGTGACTCCAGGTATGAACGCAAATCGTGTGACCATCAGCAAGAGCACGTTGAGCAGCAGCAGGGGCTTGAATTACGTTGGAACCAATGTCTTTTTTTTAAAAAAAAGAAAAAATGAATAAAAGGAGTATATAAGTATATCAATCCCTAATCATAGGTACTTTATTTTATTCTATTTTATTTTTATTTCATACTTACAAAAGAGAGCAGCTTTTTGATTATTATGTTGAGCCAAAAAATCATAAAGATTAGGCTCAGCCCATTGACCTGCTTCAGAAGTCAAAGGTCCATCATCATAAGTCTATTGATTAAAAATATATATATATATCAGTTCCATTGTTTGAAGGTATATAAAAAAAAAAAAAGACTTACTAAACCCCAATCACCAACAGTAGGACAATTGACAATATCAGGTTCAACATTTGAATGTTTAGGAGTAGTACAACCAGTAGCAGACCACCAACAATCAGGATCATCAGCACCATAACCACTCATGTTAGGTGTACCATCAGCATTGGCTTTACGGACAGCACTTGTAGGCACCAAACTCCAATTGATGGCATTATAAGCAGCTTGTACTTGAGGAGAATCAGTAGGAGGAGATTTCCAACCAGTAGGATAACCAGATAAAGTGATGTTGCTTGCAGTGAATGGACCAGTAGGAATTTGACCAGTAGGATATGATTGAACATTACCAGCCAAAGGTTTTACATCAGCTAACCAAGTAGGTGATGTTTTAGCAATAGGACCCGAGGAAGAACCCGAAGGTTGAGAAGAGGAAGACGCAGCAGCTGCTGATGATGATGGTGATGATCCTGAAGATGATGATTGAGCAAGAACAGATCCTGCCAACAAAGCTAAAGATAAAATGGATGTTTTCATGATAGAAAGTATAATAATAAGAGGATTACACGAAAAGGTAAAAAAAAAAGAAAAAGGAAAGAAGAAAAGATCCAAAAAAGAAAAAAAAAAGAAATTGGACTTTATATAATGATTCTAGTCCCGCCAGAGTGTTGATCAGCAATTGATTCCCCAAAAAACCAGCCAATCAAAATCCTGCGCCACCCAGCAGTAAAAAAAAAAAAGAAAAAAGAAAAAAAAAGAACCGGGTAAAATCACCAAATTTAGCGATTTTTTGACTGTATATCATCAAATTACTGTTGCACAGGGGCAAAACCGCTTACTTATTTTTAAATCATCCTTTTTCGGTTGCAAGTAACAAAGAGCTATTGCTATTTAGTTACACAGATGAGAAACCCCTCTCCAAGCCATCTTTTAATGACCTCCTTGAAAAAAGGAGTTTTTAGTAATCCATTCATACGCACCCAAAGTTGTTTATGAACTGTTTATTTATTCAAGTAATAATAATAAAATAGAAAAAAACTTATTTCCACTAGATAAGCTGCAGATCCTTTTAGAAGGAAAAAAAATAGTAGAAATTCTCTTTGTGTCATCTACTTTTACTCTTCTTATCTTGATGATAAGGTTTAACGATGATTATTTTTATTTTTTTATTTTTTTTAAAAAAAGAAAGTACCACATGCTGAATGTATAGACATCAAAAAAATGCTTTTTGGGGAATGAAAGTAACCAGATTTTTCAGCCATAAAGAAAGATTAAAAATAACTATAGTTTTCACCTCTAGATTGGATAAACATCAACAAATACTGCTTAGGGTTATTTTTAACCTATGATTATAAATAACTGTATGTCCATCTGACAAGTGGTTGACATTATAATCATCATCATCATCGTCATCATCATCATCATCATCATCATCATCATCATCATCATCGTAGAGATCGATACTATTACCATAGGAAGAGTTATCCTCCATTGTCATCAACATAAAAAGCATCATCATTATCATCAGTCTTCATTGCCGAGTGTTTATAGAATGATGATCAAGATAGAATTATTCAATTTTATCGGTGCTAATTTCTCGCTAAGACTAACAATGCATAGGCTATTACAAAAAAAAAAAAATCTATCTTCTTCCTTTCTCTTTTTCATTGTCTAAGATTCTCTCTCAGGCTCACGTGCCTTTTTTTCTTTCTGCTCCTTCTCCTGAACTTTCTACTGTGTATACATTCGATATACATACCTACAGACGAAGAAGTGAAATATTAGATGATCATCCAAAGTAACATGATGGTAAGTATAAATATTAATCGAACAAAACATAACAAACAAAATGGTGTTTTGTTGTTTTCTTTTTGCCAAGAAATAAAACAAAACAATAACATCGTCATTGAAATTGACACATTTCAATTGATCAACATCATATATTAACATATTTTAAAAACTAGGTATAATTGAATTTTCTTTATTTGCTTTTGACTCTACAATCATTCAAAAAAAATATGCTTTTGGAGAAGAAAAAAAAAAAAAAGGTAATAGTAAACTATATACGAGGAAAAGAAGGGAAATAAAAAGCATTCTATATCAATCAAAAAAAAATGTCATTGTGGAATACGGGGAAGGGTTGGGTATAGATCAAACGGGGAATAAACTAAAAAAGTAATTGAAAATCATAAACAAAGCAAAATGACGATCACTTCACTAAACCAACCTAAACTTTTTACTACACTGATCCAATACACCAGTCGATGTTGTTGATGAAGTTGTATAATTCAGCACCACTGATTTGGGTAAAGCACGTTTTGGACGATATCGATAATTGGGAAAAGCTTCTTGATGGGCCAGTTTTTCTTGTTCCGCAAGGATATGCCACGGTTTCTTTTGTTTGCTTGTCAACCGGGACCAGTATTCCGATGCACGCCTACAATCAAAGTAGTAGTAACAAAAAAAAAAAAAAAAAAAGGTATCGTGTTAGTTTCAATATGTCTCCTTTTTTTTTTTTTTTTCTCTTTGTCTCTATCACTCCTTGTCCCCTTTCGCCTCCCCCTCTCCCTTCCTACTCCTTCTTCCTCTTCCTTTCTATGTTCTTTCTCTATCTTTTCTCCTGGATCTCTTCTTTTTAACTTTGCCACTGACCCATGACTTACTTTGATATTTCTTCAGCTCGAATAGTAGGATCTTTGGCTTTCAAAGATTGACCAAAATAACAGCGAAACTATAAACAAAATTAAAGATATACATATATGTAACAGGGTGAGATAAAATGATTTTCATATAATCAAATAAAGTTCATCATGACTTACATGAATCCATGCATTTCGAGGTCGTTTAATATGCGCATTCTTTGTCACAAATTCATGCTGTTGTTCATTGTTGACGGATGTAGGAGACGCCCAAAATGTCAAAAGAGAGGAAGGTACAGGTGAGGAAGGAGTCATGACTTCAATAGGTGATAAAGAGGAATTAGATGGTGAAGATGCTGAAGATGATCCAGTTGAATCGAGATCTCGTAATCCAATAGGTTTATTGTTATCAATATTGCAAGTAGTAGATGAGCATGATGGGGATCCAAGGTGAAAATTCTGGCGATGATGACGATGATTATGTTGTTGAGAACTATTATTATTGCTGCCCAATGCATTTGTCACGTGTAAAGAGGATGATTCTGTTGGTAAAGTGCTAATATAAGGCAGTTGACGATGATCCGTATATTTTGAGGTATTTTCGTAAGTATCATTCATACCAGAATTTGTACCCATAACTGGTAAGGGAAGGATATTTCTATAGTGGCGTTGCTGTTGTTGTTGTTGCTGTTGAGGATGAGGTGACATTGAGGAATCACTATCATTACCAGTTTGGTCTTCTTCAAAAGAAGAATAAGAAGAAGAAGAGGAAGAAGAAGAAGAAATTGAAGATAAAGAAGACAAAGAGGATAAGGATAGTCGATGAGGTCTAGGATGTCGAATAGCATCATGTTGTTGGTCCATTGTAGTTTGCGGTTGTGGTTCCAAAAAGGCAGGAGGATGTGTCAAAGAAGGGGTATTAGATCCTCGTGGCACTAAAATGGCTGGTTTGGCTAATATTGGAGCTATAATAAGACAGTATAATGTTAGTATATATAATAATAATAATAAAAAAAAACAATATACTTACAAAACTGTTGAGTATCGTCTTTGATCAAAGGTGGTAAAGTAAACTTTTGTGTAATAGTAGCATGATTAACAGATTTCATTTGATGTAGATAAGTTATGAGAAGGATGAAGAAAGAAAAAGAAAACGAAGAAAGAAAACGAAGAAAGAAAGAAATAAAATAGACAAAAGGGAGTTGAAAAGAAACATAAAGACAATGCGGTGTTCAAAAACACTCGTGAGTTTGACCAGTAAATAGCATAATTAGCAAGTCATTTACAGGAACCAAGAAGAGAGTGAAAAAAAAAAAAAATATTATCATACATCAGCCTCCCCCTTTTTTTTTTTTTTTGTAAAAAGATAAAGAATAAAAAAAAAGAGAAAAAAAAAAACTACATCAAATAATAATAAACATAATCAAAATAATAAAATGATAAAATAGATCAAAATATTTCCTCCTTTTTCTTAACTCGATCATTATAGAAATTATTCATATATATATATCATCCACTTTTATTTCATATTGAACAATTAAAACAATAGTTTTACAGTAGTTAAATTGGTTCATCAATCAAGATATATGTACATCTTTACCATAGTTACTAAATAAGTGAATCCTCCTAACAAGCAGTATGAAGTTTATTAAAAAGATAAGAATAGAACTTGACCTTCTACAAGAAGCGGGAATGAAAATAGGTTTTTGCCACCTTTTTTTCGTTCTATGACTGATTCACCCCTTATCATCTCCTTTTTCTTACTCCTTAACAATAGAAAGAAAAAAAAAAAAGAAGAACTCCTATTAACAGGATTGTCAATAGTAAACACTTTCTTTTGTTTCTTTATCCTTGTAGAATATGCCACATGTTTTATTTTTATTTTTATTTTTATTTTTATTTAGTTGGGCGCAAGTGAGACACAAAAAAAAAAAGATAACATTAGGCACATCATATCCATTGTTCCTTTTTGTAGGTTCCCTTTCATATAATGATCAATCACTAATAAATAACCCTTTTTTTTTTATTTGATTGGTTTGACAGACTCGTCACACAGCCATAAAAACACACACCTATATATATTTGTACAGAAATGCATCCGATTTTTTTTTCTTATTACTTTTGGGTAACCACTAAAAAAAAAAAAGCCTTTTTTTAGAGTTTTCTAGGTTTCTGTAAACGAATAGTTTATACTCCGTTGAAAATGGTCTAAATTTGGATAATTTCATCTTTTTCCGGCGTAACAAGGTTTTACCTTTTTATTTATTTTACTTCATCAACATCATCATTATCATCCTCATTATAGAAAAATATATAGAATCGTACTCGAACAAAACGTTAACAGATTGATTACTGATTCATTATATTGTTATTAAACTCATTAATCATGATTTGTTTTTCAAAAAGCCATTGAAGTATTTTGGATAGCATTACCAAGCAAATTGTAATGGATAGATAAAAGAAAAAAAAAAACAATCATCACCGGTAAAACCCTATATAGTTCTCAGAAAAAAAAAAAAAAAAAAAACTTTTTTGTAAGCCGAGCGGACACTTAATCATGCTTACTACTTTTGGCACTGGCCACTGGAATATAAAAAGGGATCCGAATGAATTTTTTTTTTCTACTAATTTCTTTCTTTTATTATTTACTTTTTTTTTATTTTTTTTAATTTTTTTTTATCCATTGAAAATGATGCATCCATTGCAACAAACGGGTGCAACTCTTTTTGCCATTGCGGCTGTTGTCTCAGCACAATCATCATCCTCGGCTCCTTCTGCTTCTCCTTCATCCACCAGTAGTGGTATTTTAGCTCAAAAGTCTCCTACATGGCTTCCTGATTTTTCTGTTTCTGGTGTCGTTCAAAGTTATCCTACTGGCGCCCCTGATACCAATAGTACTTTGGACAAGACTACATTGAATATGACTGCATATCCTGGAGCCTGGGAACCTGCTACCACAGATCATCCTGAAATCCAAGCTGTCATGAATTCCATTGATTGGACCAAGGTACCCAAGGCTCCTACTGCCAAGGCTGACAAGGATGGTGGCGTTGTATTTGGAAATTATGATGAAAACAAAGATCCTTATTGCTGGTGGTCTGATACTAACTGTGTGAAGCCAAAGGTTGATTACTTACCCGAAGATATTTATTACTGTCCTAACGTTGGTGATTGGGGTCTCAACTATGATGATGGTCCTTACAACCCTTCAGATGATGACAAGGAACTCAATGCTTATGCTGAACCTGTACTTTACAATTTCTTGGCTCAAAACAATAATCAAAAGGCTACTCTCTTCTACATTGGTAGTAATGTCGCCACTTATCCTGCCGCTGCCAAACGTGCTCTCAATGATGGTCATGTCTTGTGTGTACATACCTGGAGTCATCCGTAAGTGAAATATAATGATTGATTAATGTATACTGATGATCAATTTCTTTTTTTTTTATTATTTTTTTTTATTATTTTTTATTTATCATTTAGTGCCATGACTACTCAAACTAATATTCAAGTAGTTGCTGAACTTTACTGGACTTTACGTGCTATCAAGGAAGCCACTGGTGTCACTACTAAATGCTGGAGACCTCCCTATGGTGATGTGGATGATCGTGTTCGTGCTATTGCTTGGCAAATGGGTTTACGTACCGTTGTCTGGGATCAAGATTCTAATGGTAAATAGTTTTTTTTTTTTTTTTTTTTTTTTTTTTTTTTTTTTTTTTTTTAAGATATATATATATATATATACACTAATGATTAATTGATTACTTGATGATACTAATTATTGATGGTTCTTTTTGATTAGATTGGAATATGCCAGGTGATGGTGGCGGTAACCTTCCCTGGGATACTGTGAATGGTTATTTCGAAGATTGGGTTGCTGCTCGTAAGAATGGAAGCGATAACCAACATGGTCATATTACCTTGGAACACGAATTGAACAATGCTACTGTCAAGATGACTGAAAAATGGTTACCTACTTTACAACAAACATTCAATGTCAAGTCTATTCATGATTGTATGGGTATCTCTCAACCTTATTGGGAACAAAACTGGGTGTATCCTGCCAATGCCAGTGGTAACTCTTCCACCCATACTAACTCTACCACTTCTTCTTCTACTTCTCCCTCTGCTTCCGCCAATGGTGGTAATGCCTCTGCTGCCGGTGCTTCATCTGGTTCTTCTGCTGCTGAATCATCTACCTCTGCTGCTTCCACTTTCTCTATCTCTTCCACTACTGTTATTGCCATGGTCATCATTGCTAGTGCCTTTATGTCTTAGAAAATTCATCTCTTAGTTTTTTTGTATTCATATCATATATAGTATAGTCCCCCTTTTTTTTTTGTTAGATTTGTAATAAAACAGAAATAAAAAACTACACGATTTATTGGTTTACCCTTTTTTTTTCATTTCATTCGGTTACCGCAAAACCTTGCATACTACACACACACCCCTGAAACAAACATTCCCTTTTCAGCTGTGTCATCTATTTTACTTTTTTTGGGTCTTTATTTTTTTTTAAAATCTTCAAAAGAAAAAAAAAAGTCGGAGGTTCATCATGATAATGTTTGGAAAAGTCCATATGGATAGGATAATCAGACATGATGATGATGACCGAATAAACTGTAATGGATATATATATATATAACAAAAAGATATAAAAAAAAAATTTTTTCCCTTATTTCAAGTCGGGATTTCACAGGTTCCGTATTCAGCACCATTGTATCGACGACAATATAATGAATCTGCACATACTAGATTTTGACTACACACTAAAATACCATTAAGAAAGAAAATATAGATTTATATCAATGACCTCATTCTTCTTATAATCATGTATTAAAAAAAAAAAAGGTGATGCCCCCCATTTTCTTCTATTTTTGGATTGTCTTACTTTCATGAAGCGACCGATTAGGTGGAAGAGTCGCTGCGGATAAAGTAGTTGCCATGATGACAAGTAGAAACAATAAAAACATCAATAATCTGTGCATTGTTTGAGTATAGAGATGATATCAAAACAATCAAGAAGAAAAAAAAAGAAGAAAAAGAAGAGAGAAGACTTGGATTTATTTATATATCTCTGTCATTCCTATTTCATTTTGTTTATTTCAAAATATGTTCTAATTGCAACTAGAGCTAATCATCGGGTTCTAATACTAGTTCCATGCCCAATAGGTAATAATGTAAACCGTGATATCTGTTTTGCCACAGGTAATACATTGTAGTGTTGTTGATTGTTTGTCATTGCTTTGCGCGTCCTACAGCAAAAAAAAAAAAAAAAAAAAAAAAAAAATAAGAGAGAGAGAGAGAGATAAGGTTATTTGCCCCACATTTGGTAACTTCCTTTTTTTAGTTTATTTTTATTATGCTTACCTTTGGAAAGTATCACTATTTGTTCTGACCAAAACGCCCAATAGCAGACTTTGTTTTAGATAGAATCGTTCAACATTGCCATCATAAGAAGATTCATACACAGCCCAGTTGATGGGATCAATCTATCAAAATTTGAAAGAAGATTCCATTGATTTCAATTAATCCTTTTTTTTTTTTATCATTATCATTATTATTATTCGTTTACCTTTTCTTTGATTTTCGAGACAAATGATAAAGAAGCCACAGAACACATATGATCTTGTAAGACACGATCCAAAAAGCAAACATCGAATAAAAGTTGAAGAGCACCCTTTTCAGTCAAGACAATCGTGTCCTTGTCTAAAAATGCTTCCAATGTCTTGATAAGTTTCCCATGCAAACCTTGGCATAATGTTTGTAATATAAGCTATAAAAAGTAACACCAATAGAAAGTTAAAACAGAAGAAAAAAACACCACGTGAGTTTGTGAAGCGTGGAATATATTTAAAAAAAAAAAAAGAAATGCGTGGAAACTTACCTTATCTAGTCTAGTGCTATGTATATTTTGTACTTGTTCACAAACATAAAAAATGGCTCGTTCGATTGCGATGGTAGCCATTGTTGGTAACACAATATCCTCTTGATTGTCCTTGTCATCTGCATTACCCATATCTATGAAAACAATGAAACCAAAGGCAATCAACACGTGTATTTTTCAATTTTTATTTTTTATCCCCTTACGTTCCCATGTTGATATCGAAGGACAACGATCATCCCATATAGTTGAATTCCATATCAAAGACAATTGTTGTTCAAACTGATTGCAGATTAATTCTATCCATTCTTCATATGCTGAGCGATAAATAGCGTAAAAACGTTCTTGTGTTTGTTGGTATATAGGATCTAAAAGAAAAATAATTTATCCGAGTCAATAACATGGACCTGCATTATCTCTTGGAACCTTAATTTCATTTATTTTACCTTTGCCAACTCCACTTTTCAATTCTAGGGTATTGTCATCTTGTTCTGTTGTCATCATGGAGAATGCCAAGGAGCGAGGTAATTCTTTAGATTCTTCACATATCAATCGAGCCAAGCGTCCAACCCATATCGACAATTCAGGTCCTATAGAAAAAGAAAAAAAAAATGAAAATTCTTATTAGTCACTTTTTCAATCGTGCTTGGTCTTGTGGAACTTACCATTCTTTTGGTGAGACTTTAGTTTGCCTAAAATATCATTCAGTCCAGCAATGTATAACACATTGGCTTGAACACATTCATCTTGAAAATAGCTCTTGATAGCATCTGCATCTCTACATATATAGGTATGTATATAAATATATATAAAAACAGAAAACAAACAAAAATAAATAAATTGTTCATCCGATAACATAATAATAAATAAAAAGGTAACTTACGTTTTAGAATAAAAGTGGTCATCTTGATCAGCATAACAAAGATGAGCACCCACATCCAGACGTAGTTCAGCCCATGCCTTGTCATAGTTTCTTTGCATTTCACATAAAAGTGGTGTTTGTTCAGTCGACGCCTTGGTCAATGATTCTTTGAATGCCAAAATAGCACTGGATGATGATTGATTGGGTAAACTGAACGCCGTCTCATTTTGTTGAAGATCACTGTTTAGCGTACTATGCATGTTTGGCCATATTGCTGGCGCCAACTGGAATCCTATTATCCCATCACCAAAATAAATAATGATGAGTCTTATCTATCGTGTTTTTTTTTCATTTATTTATTTATTTATTTTATCCAATCAGGTTACCTTTTTTCGCTGGCGTATGGATACTATCTTCAATCATTGGCCAAATAATCTTGCTAGGTTGATCTACAATAGCTTGACAGCCAACATGCACGATATATCTTGCATGACCATTGAAACAATTTCGGAACAAGGTACCAAAAATAGAATAATGTTGCCCACTCAGTAAGTCCTGACATACCTATACCAATATCATAAATAATCAATCCATTGAATATATATATATATCATATCCCTTTTTGTTTTGTTATTGATTGTTGAATACCTTTGACCAAAATGTTTTTCCATTTCCATATTCATCGTCACGTAGAAGATCCCAAAGTCGAGCACGTATATCTAGTAATTTTTCCGTGGTAGTGACAGGTTGTAAAATTGTTTCCAAATGCATCTCCAGTTCTTCTTTCACATCATCCAACCATTGTCGTGTCATTGCCGAAATCGCATCTGTTGTTAATTGATCGTCCATATTGAAGGTGGGAGTATATTGTTGAATAGCTGGTGGTAAATAACGAATCAAAAGATGTGCATTGGCACTTGGGGAGAAGAGTCTGGTGATGGCCAAGGATGATGTGGATGATGTTGCCTTGATTGAGTTACTGGATGTAGACAGATCAGGTTGTTGTTGTTGTGAAATTTCGTTACTGTTGTTATGATTATTGCTATTGCTGCTATAGTTGGGTATCGTAAAAGTCGTCTGCATTTGTTCCACATAATCAGACAATAAACTTTGATGAGAAGTCGAAAAAGGTAGATAAATGTCATGTATATGAACCAAAGTTCTTCGAATAAGGAGAGCAATCTCGCGTAGTTGACGAGAGAGCTTTTGATCTGCGAAATCAGACTTTTCTTTGATGGATTGCTGTATCAAGTCACTAATCACCCGTTTCCGCATATCCAATAGAGTCTCAATAGTTGTTTTCATTGTCATTCCATCCATTAACATTAATCCAACAAGTATTTTCGCCACATCCTATAAAATAAGATGATATTTTAAGTCCCTGTTATGTATTTCCTTTTTAGCAGGTTTTCTTTTTTTTTTTTTTCTTACTTCCGAGTCTAACACAAATGCACGTAGATGATGAACTGATTTTTGAATGATCTGAGGTCTAAAGAAGCTGATGGCATCCCATTGTCGTTGTATTACTGGAAAAGCAATCTATAATAACAATATGAGTCAGTGCCTTGGACCAAATAATTCAAAAATATATTTCTTTCTTTTTACATCAATATCCACGAGAAATGAGTCTTCCGTTTCAAGATAATCATGAACTTTTTGTGCCAGAATGTACAAAGAACCAGCTTGTAAATAATGGTGTCCTTCAAGAGCATGCCATATCTGTTCGGGTACATCAGCTAAAGACTTGATCATGGCAGCTAATACATATAACTGTCGTCGCTTTTGATCTTAAAAAAAAAAAAGAAGAAGAAGAAAAAAGAATGTGAGAGAAGATTAGCTTAATAATTCAAGTGATATTTCTAGATTGAATATAGAGTACCTTGAGGATCTTGTCCATTTGTTTCAAGGTCTTGTACTTTGGTGGCCTGACGTTGGATCGCGTAAACATCACAGGAATCTTGCATCCGTTCAAAGTTTCGCTGTATGATCTTTGCCCTTTTGTCCATGTTGATAATAGTATCTGCAGCCGCTATCAAATCCGTATATTTTTCCCTAAACACAAACCACACAGGAAATAAAATAATGAAAAGCATAAGTAACTTGTTGATAACCTTCATTTATCGCGCATCATTTCGAGGTAGTTTTTCTACATAATCTTACCCGACCATGGACCGTAATTCTTTCTTTCGTAACTCCAGTCTATCACTAAAATAAAAAAAAAAAAAAAAGGATCAATACGTGTTTGATTCTATGTAATATTTCTTCTTTACTTTGTTTGGGCTTCACTAATACCAGTGGAAGAAGGATTACTATCACCAACTAGTTGTGATGATGCTTTACGACTATATTCCGAATCCTGTTGAATGGACATGATGCTAAAACGTTGTTTTTGAATGCAAGATGAAGAATCCAATAGAGAAAAGAAAAAGAAGGAAAAGAAAAAAAAAGTAGTGAGAAAAGAAAATCCGCGGGGATGAATTTATACCCAGGGCAAATCAAATCGCATATCATATCACTGTATTCTTTCTAAAATAATATAATTGTATTCTTTTCTATATAGTGAACTATATTTCTTGTTTAGTACATAAGTTGATTTGTTTAATACAAAAAAATAATCAACGTCTTTCTAATGTTAAATCATTTGTCTTGCATTGGTAGAAGCAGATAACAAATGTTTGAAAATAGTGGTATATTATTGAGAATACTGCAATGGATGAATGGGTGATTGATGTTACCAAGGAACACCCAGAAACATTTGATGGCATACTTGAAGTGACATAAAATCTAATAAAGTATTAGAGGATGTCCGGATCTATGATTTTACTCAAAAGTGCATTACCATATATGGTCAACCAGAAATTTAGATTTTGATTGGCTGTCAATGACTCTGCCCATCTGAGATAAAATGGGATTTTTCTTTTTTTTTTTCCCTTCTTCCTTTTCTCCTCTCTCTTCTTTTTAATACAGTCAGTATGGTCTTTGCGAATTATCTTCAAGTAGTACAACATTGTGACAGCGTAACATACAATAAGGATCAACAGGGAATTCCATTTCAGTTAGAGGATGGTACGGTGGTTGGTACCTTACTTCCTCGTGTGGTTACAGCATTGATCACTTATAATAACACTATGACACCTTCTCCTTTTCTTATATCTGGTACTCATGTTCAATTCAATACACATGTGACAAATATGGTTGAACGAACTCAAGAGGTTGCAACATTGATGACTCAGTGGCGAAAAGACAAGGTTTTTCCAGCATTGGCAGGTTGGCGCGATGAATTATATGCTGTGTACGGCCCTGGAGGTGTTCCTGCATTTGTGATGGAACGTGCTGCTACACCTTTATTTGGTATTTCTACCTTTGGTGTTCATATCAATGTATTTGGTCGAGATCAAGATACTATCAAAATGTGGGTGGCTCGTCGTTCTCTTACGAAACAAACATGGCCTGGCCTTTTAGATAATTGCGCAAGTGATCAATTTTGGGGGGGGGATATACAATGGATGATTCCTTTTTTTTTAATCATCTCTTTCTTTCTTTAGGTTGCTGGTGGTATCCCTTATACATACTCTACCAAGGAAACTGTAATCAAAGAATGTGATGAAGAAGCCAGTATTCCTGCATCGATAGCAGCTCATGCCAAAAGCACTGGTGCCGTCTCATACTATACCATGTCTGAGCATGGATTACAACCGGAAACAGAGTAAGCAGTAAAGATAAGATAGTTTATGGCAAAGAAGTGATATTTTAGACTAAATTTAACTTTTTTTTTTTACAATCTTAGATACGTGTATGATTTGGAATTACCAACAGATTGTCAACCAACTCCCAAAGATGGCGAAGTGGAATGCTTTTATTTTTGGACTTTGGATCAAGTCAAAGACTCAATATTGAAGGGAGATTGGAAACCAAATTGTGCTTTAGGTAATTAAAAAAAAAAAAAAGGATCTTAGGGAAGTTACTATCCGTTTTCTAATGATATGGTTATGTGATAGTTGCTATTGACTTTATGATTCGACATGGTCATATTACACCGGACAATGAACCTGATTTCATCGACATTATGTATCATCTTCATCGCAAATTGGAATTCCCTTCTCCCAAGAAAACACTTGAAATCAAACATCAACCTTAATTATCCATTATTATAGTATAGTCTCTGCAGTGTTATCCCTTTTGTACGCTTGTATTTCTTGTATTTGAAACCACAATAAAAGAAACGTTTTTCACCTCTCTATGACTTTCTTTCAACTTGTCTACATTGATGACAGTTTGATTTTTTTTTTGGACTGGATACATTAGGGAACCAATATATCTTTTGTTATTCTTTTCCTGTTGTCAATAAAATTTACCAGAATTTTTTACATTCATCTATCATCTCATGATCATCACTTCATCGCTAATCCATTCATTCATTCAAAAAATCTAGTAATTTACAAAAGTTCCAGTCGACTAAGCACTTTATTTTCAAAAGTAAACAACCTATATAAACTAAACTAAAGTAATATGATCACAGTTTGGCAGAAGGAGATTCTTTGTAGAGAACAGCATAACCATTGTTGACAACCACCACATCACGTTCTTTGACCTTGGCAACAAATATCACACCTTCAGTCTTGGGATCCTTGGTATCAACCTTCCACATATAAGTTTCGATAGTTTCACCAGGGAAGACAGGTGAGGCAAAACGGGCTTCGATGGACTTGAATCTACTAGGATCATTATTGGCAAGTTTTTTGAGGATACCATGAGCACAGCCTCCATAAGTTGAGAGACCGTGAAGTATGGAAGTAGGGAAGCCAACTTTGCGTGCCAAGTCCGTATCAGCATGTAAAGGGTTATAATCACCAGATAAACGATATAATAAAGCTTGTTTTTTAGTAGTGGCAAAGACGTCGACAGCATCAGGATTGCGCTTGGGAGGAACATAAGAGACAGCTTTAGGACCTTTGGGACCCTATGGATATATATATAACAAAAATAGATGAATATATGAAATCTTTTCTAATACATACATATATACATCAAACTTACATTCCATCCACCATAACCACGTACAAAGGATTTGCTAACCATACGACAATAGTGTTTCTTGTCATGTTCACCATAGACATCGACAGTTTGTTCGATTACCATTCCAGAACCTTTATCGTAAACACCAGTGCAAGTTTTTTCTGCAATAAAAGAACCTCCAGCTACAGGCCAAGGAGTAAAGACTTCCAAGGATTGTTCACCGTGAACAATTTTATTGGGATCATAAGGAGGCATACCTAAAACAATAAAAAAAAGAGTAACAATGTCAGTTTTTCCGTATATATATTTTTATCACCATATATATATATATATATATATATGTATATAGTACCAGGTAAAGGACCACCACCACCAGCACGATCCTTGAACAAGTTGACATCAGAACTATCACCCTTTAGTCCAAGTACAAGAGGATAAGTTGGTAAAACATTGAATTGAGGATCTAACAAAATATTGTTGATTAAATAATATTCTAATCAATTTTTTTTTAGCTAACTTACGAAGTTCATATAAAAACTTTAATTCATCTTCACTAACTCCAACACCCAAAGCATATAAAAGGTGATCCCGACGGTTGCAGCTCCACTAGTTAGAAGAATAGTTTTGGTTATTATAATGAATGTTTCCTTTTTCAAATTGACTTACACGTTCAGGTTTAAATTTATGACCAACAGCTTTATCAGTATCTACTTTGAATCCTTCGACAGGCATGATATATTAAAAAAAAAAAGTGTGGGGAAACAAAAGAAAAAGAAGAGGTAAAAAAAAAAAAAAAAAAAATTCTAAAATAGTTGAACCATTCGGTATAGATTTCATCTCCAGCTTTTATGCTTACCAAAGGGAAATAGGAATAGTTTTCCCAGCTTTGGAATACCCTCCTAATAAAGATTAAGATTTTCACACAGAGTGTTCAATATTTGTAAACATCTTCATTATGCTTAATTCTATTGTTTACATCCAAAAAAAAAAAAAAAAAAAAAAAAAAAAAAAAAACCTGTTAATAAACTGGTTCCTTGATTCTTTTTTTTTTTTAAGTAGGAGCACATCGTTATACTCTAAAATTACCTAGACGCATTGATAAATACACAAGTCAAAAGAATTGTCATCGCGATTATTTTATTACCTCTTTGTCAATCGTACCTGACAGGAAGAGAATTAGAATAACGATGCATTGATGACCGCGATACTTTTTTGAATTTTTGAGGTACTAAGTCGTGAAGGTTTTCCAAGTAGCATTCCTTTCTCTGATTTATTCATTATACATCATCTTTTTTCATTTATTGTTTTTGGTAGCTTCACAAATTTCTTTTTGACCTATTCATCAAAAAAAAAAAATTCGAATCATTATCTTTTACACCTTAACAACACATGAAGCTGACATGTACCTTTTCATCATTCGTTCAAAAGTTATCATCATGATGCCAAACTTGGACTGAACATAGATGAAGGTATTCTTTTTGAATTGCTTTAAATAAAATTTATATTTCACCTCCCAATTGATAGAGTAAATTAAAAAACGGGACATCAATATCATCATCGCTCATCCAATAATAACCATCATCCAATAAAACGACCATCATTGGATTCCTCTCGAAAAAGTAGTTTAACGTCATCTAATACTATTTTATCCTTTACTTTTCCATCGAATGTGCAATGATTACCCAAATGATTTCATCCATTTTTTTCAAAAATTGCCTGATGGACCCCTGACGATTTATTTTTACAGCCAAAATTTGGCTGAGGAGTTCGAAATTTTTAGCTGTAAAATCAAAAAATCCATGCCGTTTTGTCCATCCTGCAAGTGAACGTTTGTCTTCCCCTTTCACGCTCAAAAGTCATCATCATCGCATCAAATTTGAACACGACATAAAAAAAATCATTTTTTTGAACTTTACCGAGAATAATCGTATAGGTTACTGCTGTAGCTATAGTATAAATTAACAAAAATGAACATCAATATCACCATCCTTCTTTCTATCATCCTAATTGACATGATATTTTCAATCCAAAACCGTTTTTCCAAACTTTTAAAAAAAAGAACAGTTATAAATAAATGAAGTAATATTTATTAAGAATAGTATGGTATGTAATATTATATATATAATAGAGAGAGAGAGAGAGAGAGAGAAGTGAGACAGACATGCAGGTATTTTGCTATAGATTATAAAAATAAACTAAAAAAAATGGGGAATCATCCAACGTTATTTCCAACCACCAGTTTGAGATGTTTTCCAAGTAGACTTTTCCGTTTCGGTCGCTTCCCTATATCCAGATCGGCTGTTGTTTTTGAAGATACGGTTTTCTCCTTCTTTTTAGAATGATGATTACTACAATCGGTATGATCACCATCATCATCGCCATCAATATCGTTCCATGCTAGTGTGTCCATGGCTGATCGGAAGGATGGATGGCTACTGAAACCACGTCGAACGTTGGTGATAAGGTTAGTGGTATGCCTAGTGTCGTTGTTCAAAGAATTCACAATCCAAGGATGTTGTAATGCTTGTTCTGCTGTTAATCGTTGTTCTGGTTTGTATGCCAAAAGTCCATCAATAAAATCCTTCGCTACGTTAAAGAAATAAAAGATAAATAAATAAAAAAGAAAAAGGATGGTCAGCAAAATAAAAGTCACTATTCTATTCTTCTTCTTTTTTTTTTTTTTTTTTTTTTGTGTGCATTACCACTATCTGAGATATGGCTCCAGTATTCTTCCTCATAACTATATTCGCCTTTCATGATACTGGAAAAGAGTTCCGATTGATCTGAATATATACATAAAAAAAAATGAGTATATCTTGATAATAGTAAAGTTTCTATGCATATATTACCTGCACCATAAAAAGGAGTATAACCGACGAGAAGGATGTACTAGACATATATGTAAATATAAAAAAGAGTATAGTTGATATTTAGATCATGCTTTTATTTTGATCTTTTTCTTTCTATATCTCTCTTTTACCGTGATCACACCAAGACTCCACAAATCCACAGGCTTTCCATAACCATGTTGCTTTAAGACTTCAGGTGCAACATACCCAGGAGTGCCACAGGAAGTCATCAATATATCATCTTGACTTCTAAGAATCTTAGATAATCCAAAATCCGTAATCATTAGATTGGCGTCTTCTGCGGTTGTTTGGAATAATAACTTTGAAGTAAACGTATAAATAAGTAAGTAAAATATATAGAAAGGGATATACTTTTGATTTTATTTTGACTTACGTTTTCAGGTTTGAGATCGCGATGAATGATCTAAATAAAAAATATATAAAAATAAATACATATATAAAAGTAGATATTTTGTTTTTCTCTTTTTTTACTTGCATCGTGATCATGTAAATAAGATAGACCTTCTAAAACTTGAGATACCAAATGAGACGCATCTTTTTCAGTATAATGACCTTTGGATAAGAGTTGTTGAAAAAGTTCACCACCTGCAGCTAGATCAGTAATTATGTAAACGGTTGTTTTGCTGTCATATAATGCATGCATAGATACAATATGTTGATGTCGTACTTGTTTCAAAATATCTAATGAAATACATAGATGATCAATAATTTTTTTTTTTGTCATATTCTTTTGACTTACCTAGTTCACTATGTAACATATTTTCTTTTCCTAACCATCCAAAATAAAAAGATATTGTCAATCATGTCGATCATTTTCTCCGCTTCAATCATTGTCTCCACCTTACCTTCAATGGCCTTCTTTAAAATGATCTTGAGTGCAAAAGATTGACCTGACGACCGATGAATACATTCCTTCACAGTTGCAAATGAGCCTACACCTAACACTTTTTTTGTCACTTTGTATTGTCTTTCAAGTTCGGGAGGATATTCAGATTCTTGACTAGAGGTTTTGTCGATAGGGTGATGATCTCGAGACTTTTTGAATAGATGAAGAAACTTTTTCAAGATGGGTGGAGGATGTTCCATTAGTATGTTCTATAGAAATATATATATATATATGTATGTGAATGTTGAAGTTGCCTGTTTAAGTTATATATAGGTATCAGTTTGCGTAATTAAAAAGAAACAAAAAAAAAAAAAAAGAAAAGTGAATGTATCTATACTAGGAGAATGACAAGAAAAAAAAAAAAAGAAAAAGAAAAAGAAAAAGAAAAAAGGGGAGAAAGTTATACTTTTTTTTTATAAAATTGAAATGATCCAGTCCCTGTGAACTTTATTATTCATTGGCCGCCAAAGGGTTCCTTTTGTTCATTATGAATGAGGGTTACTAGGATCATGTGAAGAATATACAATAATAATAATAATAATAATTTATTTGATTTACTTTGATTTTCGATTGATTTCCATATTGCTATCATAACAGATGACATCGGGTCTATCGCGCATTAATTCCATACCATTCTTTAGTACACCAATACGCATCGAAGTTAATAAATGTCGAGCTCCATTAGAGTGATTATAAATGGCTCCATTGAATGTAGTAGTCATATCTTTTCCAATACCAGACCAAAGATATTTACAACCTCCAGGATGATCAAAATTTTCAACATCATACAATATACCTTCAATTAGAATCCATTTCTTGTCATTAACTTGCACTTGATTTTGAACTACATTAAAAAAACATAAATAAATGATAATTCATCATCTTTTTTTTTTTTTTGTACTTACATTCTTCCCAAGTATAGATTGGTAATTCTTCGATAGGCTTGCCATAACATAACTTTTTCTTCTTATTGAGCAATCGTTTTTCTTCCATTTGTAGTTTTCCTTTGATGATTTCATTGGTGGGGAATTTTTTGAGATCATAAGCCAAACCAATCAAAGAAAGAATTTTTATCAATAGTTTCGTTGGATCATATTGATACCAAACAATAGCATTGCGATAATCTTGAGGGAATTCATGATGGAAGTTATGATAACCTTCACCACAGGTCACAAGGGCTGTCAACCAATGATCTTTCGGTGTATGATAATCATCATATGTTGTTTCTCCAATATAATGAGCCAAACTGTTAACACAAAACGTTGCGTGATGTACAAAAACTAATCGACATACTCCAGCATAGATGAATCCACCCTATTAAAAAAAAAAAAAAAAAAAAAAAAAAAAAAAAAAAAGAGTCAAGCTAAAAAAGGAAACCTTTTATTTTATTTTATTTCTTTTTAGTTATATGTATATATATACCTTGTAATCATCCCAAAATAATCCAGCCACCAAACATGGAAAGAGAAAGCCCATAAACAAAGCAAACCAAGGATAATAAGCATGTTGAAATTGAATCAACTTGTCCTTTTTTAAATCCGCAACATCAGCATAACCAATACGAGATTTGGGTCGCTTGACAAGCATCCAACCAATATGAGAAAAAAAGAAACCACGAGTAGCTGCATAAGGATCTTTATCAGTATCTGTCCAACGATGATGAGCACGATGACCCCGTGACCACCATTGGATGGATCCCTCCACAGCCCCACTGCCTGCCAAACAAAATAAGATTTGAGAGATCATCGGTGCACGATAAGATCGATGAGCCCATAAACGATGATAACCTCCAGTGATACCGAGTCCAGTTATAAAATAATAAATCAATGCCCAGTATAATGTCTTGCTATAGAGAGGGGTTGTCCATGCGCCATATAGACCAATCAAAGGAGTAGAGATTAATAAAAGGGATTGTAACCAATGAATATGAAGATGAAAATTCATTAGAGTGGTAGGTTCATCAAATAAAGGCGGCATTTCACAAACTGGTCGTGGTGATTTACGTGCTTCCGTTTTTGTATAAGCATAAACAATATCATCATCTTGACATCCAATATATTTTGTCCATTTTATTGATTCTTTATTCGTGATGGTTGTTGTACTTGTTACCATAATGATGATTTTGAGAAAAAGATAAATAACAAAAAAAAAAAAAAAGAAAAAAAAAGATATCCCTTTTTTTATATATGAACTGATTGCCCCAAAAGACCCAACTAATGATATTCACAAGTAAAAAATTTTTTTTTCTTCATGATCATTGTCATTGATATAATTTTACATTGAAGACGAAAATGGAAAATAAAAATCAGATCATATTTTTATTAAATGATTATACTTTGTGCCTAAATCACCGCTATTATCGATTTTGTGTTAGATTTTTTCTTTTTTGGATATTCAAGATGACAATGAAGATCTTCCTATTTCATCCTTCTTCCCCGATTTTTGGGTTGTTTGGGTTGAAAGATCATTTTAAACAATATAATTCATCTTTTATGCATTTCTCCTTTTTCATCTTTATTGGTTAATGAATTTGGAAAGGGCAAGGGTCAATTTTTCTAAACCCAGGCGGCTTCTTGGTAAAGCATTCTTTTTTTTTCTCTTCTTTTTTTTTTTTCTTTTTCTTTTTCTTTTTTTTTTTTTTTATTATTATAACTATATATCGATATAATGAAGACAATAATTTCTACTTGTTGTCTTTTTCTATTTGTCTTCTTTCAATTAAGTCATTGTTTTTCAAGTAAGTAAAAGCTTATTTTTCAATACAGTCAAGAAAGATATATATTAACCATTCTTTCTTATGATATAGCACGCAAAGAAGCTCAGACATATTTACAACAATATGGAATTCCTCATGATGAACTGGATGATGTGCATTTATTAGAGACGGTGAAGCAATATCGAGATATGGCAGTGCTCAATACGGAATTATTTGGTGATCGAGTGGAAAGGTTACTAGAAGGACTAGACAAGAAACTGGAACAACATTACGGCGTGACAGAACCTCATCAACGACAACGATTGATACAAGATATTGAAAGAATACTACGACAATTGGAAATCCAAGGTCAGATGACGCGTGATCATGTTCATGAACAATTACTGAATGACAATAACAAGATTGCCGTATCATCGTCTCATTTCCTAACCCCGTTACAATGGCAAGATGTGATTAAGGATATTGAAGAATTTGTTACGCCTCCTAGTACATGGTCCAGATGGTTTGGTCGCTCATCTTCGCCTATCAAGATTGGTGACAAAGATCCATATCATACTTGGTTGGATGATACTACTTTACCTTTTCAATCACGTTTATCCCCCACACAATTCAAGACTCTATACACAGCTCTGGATAAGGCCATGAAACGTGAACAGCTTGCGTCCAATGAATGGTGGGCACAGCTCTTGAAGGAACTGGATGGATTTTCTGCGGATCAACTGGAATGGGTTGTGGAACAATTGGGTATTCGTATCCTTGGTTTCAAGATCTTTGCTCATGATTATTTAGGCCTACCGACACCTCCTCCTGTATATGAAGAAGAACAAGGAAACAGCCAATATGATGGTTTACGTGGATGGATGGATCGTTTGATGAAATTCTCGCCTTTGGATACAATCATCACGTATATCAAGCAAGTTCGGCAGCATTTGGATGATCAAGCCTCCACTTTCTTGGCAGAAAAAAAGGAACAAGGTCAACATGTACAAGAAGAATGGTCCAAAGCAATTCAACACGCTCAACAGTCGTTTGCAAACTATTGGCATGAAAAGGAACATGACGCGTACCGTCGCATTGGCTACACTGAAGCGGAAATTGATTGGATTCGTAATTACTTGAAGAAAGCTTTGCATCACTCGGCTCCCTCTAAATCGCATCAGATCATCTCGGATATTAGGCAGTACTTGATCTCTCTGGAACGTCAAACAAAAGCTCAAGTCGAATTACATGTACTCAAGTTGGATAAACTACTACAAGCTTGGAAACATTCTATCTTGGGACAACAACGACATCATCATCCACATTGGGAACTTTGAATAGTTAGTTTAGTTTTTTTTTTTTTCTTAGTTTAGTTTATTTAGTTGCTTGATTGAAATAAAACTTTTATTTTATAATATATAACAGATCATCATCAAAACAAAAAAAAAAAAAAAAAAAAAAAAAAAGACATCATCTGCTTGTTTGTTTTTTATTATTTCTATAAAGTAAAGATCTAAAAGGGGAATGTATGTATATACATGAATTTTGTAACGCGTGTCAATGTTGTATAGTATATATAAAAAAAGGAGGATGATTGTAGGGGAAAAGAATATAAAAAAAAAAAAAAAGGTACGGTATTATTCTAAACTATATATAAAAGTTATCTAATTACCCAAAGAGGATCCAAGTGAATTGGTTGTCTTCTTTCTATCGATCAATCCGTTTGCCAAAGCCAATATATGCATTTCCTTCCTCCAAACAGTAGCAGATGCAGGTGTATTCGGTAAAGCCAGTGATTCTTGATAAACCTGTCGAGCTTGATGGTAATCTTGACATAATATCATTGCCTTGAAAACCTTGTAGTATGTTTTCACCAACATATAAATAGCAGAACTGGATATGGTTGGTATTGGTCGATTAGGAGACTGCCAAAGATCAGTACAAATAAATGTCATGTCATCGTTCCTAGTGGCAGCTTCAATCATCGCATCAAATGTTATCCCATCTGGAGGTGCCGCCATTGTGTTAAACACTTGTTTTGCTGTCTTGTACCATTCCCGATCTTGAATCAATCCAAAGAGAAGTGCATTATAATGAATCGTTCTTTGATTCGTCATAGAATGCCATGCTTCCCATGCTAATGCTGGCTGCCTCAATCGTGCTAAAGCTGTGAGATATATTCCATTGATGATAGAATTGGATGGTCCAATAGATGAATATATTTCCTGGATCGCTTCTAGATGTCGTGATGATGAATATGATGATGTTGAAGATACTGATGTTGATAATGATGTTGATGATGCTGACGATTTTCCTGATGATGATGATGATGATGATGATGATGATGAAGAAATTATAGAATTGTTGATATCCATTATTTGTCCTGCCAAACCATGCGCTTCCATGAGTAATCCTAAAGCTATATGATCTAAATGGACGCGTCCCACTGCATTCGTAGTTATTTCTGCTGATTCTTTTTTATTGTCATTATTGTTGAGATCGCCATTGACGTTTCCCCATTCTTTCAAACCAGATAAAAGTCGAATAGCTTCCTTGGGTGAGCCATGTTCCACAAACATATCCGCCAGTATAGTATAAGTCGTAATATCAGGTTGAACACCTTGTTCCAGCATATCCTTGAAGAGTGTGTAAGCTTGATCGAAATCACCAATTTCTGCATATCCTTTCACCAAGGGAGTCATCACATGGGCAGTAGGTTGAACATTGTAAGGAGATTTGGCCATGGTTGTCAGCAATTTTCGGGCTTTTATCAAATCACCTTCCTGTACGTAACCAGTCACTAGATGTGAGAAGATATAACTATTGGGTTTAACACCATCATTCATCATGGATTGTAAATAGGATTTGGCCAGTGGCATGTTGCATTGATAGACAGCATTTCTGATATTGAGAGCGTAAGTGATGGTATTGGGCTGAAATTCAGACGTTGTCATGGAGCTCATGATCGAGTTGATGGTATCATCTAGAATGTGATGTCGTGAAAGTTTTCCATAGATATCCAAAGCAATATTGTAGGTTCGGTCGTTGTGTGTCACTTCATTAGCCAGCATTTGTTCATAAATATCTGCAAATCGGTTAGAGGCCTCCATCACTGTTGCTGCATCGGCATTTTTTCCCACACTTGAAACAGATGCTGCTAGTTGCCTATTGTAGGAGATAGTATCTTGATCCACCATATTCATCAATAATCCACGATGTCGCTCCATAATATCATCCTTGTATTCCGGTTGCTCAATTGCCCCATTTAGCAGTATGTTGTATATCGTTACGTTTCCAGGTATACCTTTGCGTTCCATCACATCATAATACTGTAATGCTTCTTGTACGTTTCCTTTGTTGATATAATAGCCAATAAAAGTACCATAGGTCACAGTATCAGGTTGGATATCCATGCGCACCATATCATCATACCATTTTAATCCATTATTCAGTTGGTCATTTTTCAATTCATAATGAATAAGTGTGTTGAAGGTGATCAGATCAGGCGTACATAGAACAGGTTTTCTTTTATTGATTGCTTTCAATCGATTCTGATCCTTCTTCTTCTTCTTCTTCTTGTTGTTGTTGTTGCTTTTTGTGGAATGACAGCTACATCCAGAACATCCACCAGATTGTCGTTTGGGCATATCAAATTTCCGTAAAACAGACTTAATTTCGTCGTGATCGTTGGTGATGATAAAGCATTTCAAAACATTGTTGAGAAGAGCAGTGTCGGGTTGTTGTTTCAATTTGTACATGATAGTAAAGAGCCGTTTGACAGAAGCAGAGACGCGTTGCATTTCATTGGTATCTTGCATTCGAGAGAGATGATCCACCTGTTCTGTGAGTCCTCCAATAACATGTTTCAGTGTATCTCGATTTGGGGCAAATCCAGCTTGTACCATTCGATCCATCCAGCGATCCGCTATTTCAAAACATGTATTTCCATTCTTCATAGCGCCTTGCAGCATAAGATGATATGTCGTCCGATCGGCTTTCATCGATGTTATTGTTTGATTGTACCATGCTTCAGCTCCTTTAAAATCATTCATCTTGATCTTGGCCCCTAGAATCCAATTGAAAGTAGCTGAATCAGGAACACATCCACGTCGTGACATTGATTGATAAAGACTTTCCATTTTGGTCAGGTACTTGCGTTGTTTGTTAGTATCCAAGAATTTGAGGCGACGAAAGTACATAGATAACATTCGATTAATAGAATCAGTAGTGAGATGTTGTTTGGTATATTGAGGCCAATTGCGGAATATGGTTTCAGCACGTTCAACACGATCCAAGCGTCCAAAGATATCAAAGATAATGCCCATGTCTTTCTTTTCCCAACTCAATCTAGTCAATTGGAGATGATTCAATAATTGTTCCAATCGATCAAGATATACAATTTGTAATTTTCGGTGACTACCATATAATTTCGCTTGATGAGTTTGGACTTCTTTTTGTAATGTCTCCAGTAAAAATCGTGCAGTACCAAGAGGAAGTGAATGCCTTTGCTGTACCACTTGATTCATCAAGGTCCATGCTTGTGTATATTCTCCTTGTTGTAAATGAGAGTGAAGTGATAGTACAAGAGGTGATCGTAAATGTTGATCTACTTTTGACGAGACTTGAGGAGATATTCGTTTGCGTAACTGGCGTTTTTGTTCTTCTAATATTGATGCTGATGATGCAGAAGACTCTATATCGTTGACAAGGTTATTGACCAATGTACCTTTGGAAAATAAATATACCCAAGTTAAAAGAGAATGATCTTTTTTTTTTTTGTTTTTGTTTTTGTTTACCTTTTTGACCAAGAGTAGAAAATAAGTATTGTTGACCTGTCAAACTCGATGGATAACGTTGTTGACATTGTGCACTCCGTAATAAAGCTTTCCACTGTTGTGATACTTGTCGATTGACTCCAGATTGAAGGTGCTGACACCTCAAATGTACCATGAGGAGTTCAAAGTAACAAAAAAAATGAAGTGAACGAAAAAAAAAAAAAATCGAAATAGACAAAAAAAAAAAATAATTATGGAAATTTGAGTTTTTATCCCCAGCGCCACCCAAAAACAAACAAAAAAGAAGAAAACAAAAAGTCGTCATCAAAAAAAAATTAGATATTGGTCGCCGTCAAAAGATTGCTTAAAAAAATATGGTGTGACTTTTTGTATTGATTTGTATAAATAGATAAAATAGGGTTATTCAAATATATATATGAAATATACAGGGAAAAAAAAAGGTTTGTTTTGTAAAAGGGTAATATGAGTTATAGGAGTGAAAAAAAAAAAACGATGTATAAAAAAAAAAAATGATCACGGTTAAATTATTAAGAAGGGGGGCTAAAGAGACTGTTTGTCGGTATCCAAATATTGCATTGATGATGATAGTGTTGATCCGTTGAAAGATGGCTGTGAATGATGAATCAATTTTCCATGATGAACTATCTGTTCAAGATCTCTAATCCTTTGTTGATAATGTTTGACTTGATCCCTTAATTCCTTAATATGTTCTACTGATAACTTCAAAATTGTTCCTTTGTTGATCATATTTGGTGATCGTTGTGATCCTGCCACTATATTACCATGACTTGAAGATGTTGTATCCAAAAGATGATTTGGTAATAATGAGCATAATTCTAATAAAATAAAATAATCATAAAAATGAATTTCTACTTTTTCCATCCATTTTTTTTCTTCTTCTTTACCTTGGATCCTTTCATTGATATTATCTCGCCTTCGTCTTTCTACCATATTGTGTGATTCTCTTCTACGTCGACGCTTATCAAACATTTCTTGCATACTATAAAAAAAAAAAAGGAATAACCAATATATATATATATTATTTCTAGCTATTTTTCAAATACACCGTCTCCTACCATTATCACTTACTGTCTCTGCTGAGCTTCATCTTCTTCCGCAGTATGATACATATTATCAGCTTGAGTTGTTGAGTTAGATGGTGAAACTATAATATCTCTTGTCATAAGTTTAGGTGATGACGGACTAAATGCATTATTTTCCACAGAAGAGGTGCCAAACCAAGGTTGTTGTTGTTGTGTAGTAGTAGTAGTAGTAGTAGTAGTAGTAGTAGAAGTAGGTTGATCCAAAGGATATGACGATCGAGTAGGTTGTGGTGGACTCATAGTCATGTTTCCAGTAAAGTCATCTTGTGTTGAATATGTATTTGGTTGAAAAGTTCGATTGGTGTTATTAGTTTGATGTCGGTTATTATCTGTGTTCATATTGGTATATTGTTGGTTATTGTTTGTGTTGGTGGGAGGAATGAAAGTTGTATCAGGAGGAGGTGAAAACGTTCCCGTTAGTTCAAACTCTTGTTTAAACATTTGTTGTGAAGGGGAATACATTCAATCTATTCCCAATAAAAAAAAGAAATATTTAATAGTAAGAACAAAACCAAAAAACAAAAAATTAAAGAAAGAAAGAAAGAAAAAAAGGAACGGAGTCTTTGCTTTTTTACTTTTTTTTTTTTTTTTTAGGTGTGAACTTTCTTTTTTGAGCAACCTGGTTGTTTCATCAACTTGCCTCTCTAAAAAAGACTGGATTTTTTTTTTTGCACAACAACAATATAAACCTCCTTGTAGGAGTAACACCTAAAAATCAATTTCATTATGGCGACGTGAGAAAAAAAAAAAAAAAAAGAAAGAAAAAGAAATAAGTATCGGCTGAGTTAATGATATTTATCTAATGATACACAGAAAAGTAAAAAGGGTAATGAGATTTCATGTTAGCAATGAATGGGTCATGTTGCATTGTTCTCGTTTGAATGCGGTGGCGGACATCCAACTTATGTACTTGCCTAATCAATTTTTATCTCTTGGTCCAGATTGCGATGATGCATCCTTACAGACGACTTTATCCATTTATATATTAACTGAATAAAAAAAATACTTGTGTAATTTGTTAATCACTATCTTATTCTTAATTTTTTGTTCTTCATTATTATTACTTCTCCTTAACTTCTATTATACGTTCTCTAAGTCATGATCATCATCAAAATCTACAATAAAATTGAATGAAACCAAAATATATGCAGGGAAATGATGAAAAAAAAAGGATGAGATAATTCATCATCATCGACATCATCATCCAATATCCTTTTTTTTTTCTCATACCTTTAATAGGATGATCCATTAGACAAATCATCAAAGAAGGAGAGGAAAGGTGATTGGAATTGAAAAAGATCATCATTACTGCTTATTCCCTTACTTCTACTTTGGACACTCTTTTTTTTTTTTTTTTGTCCAAGGATAAAGGGACAATAGAATTTGATAACCTGGAATGTCTTTTTCATTTTTCATTGTCTCTTTAATTACCATAGATCAAATGATACTGTCCTTATCAAGACTTGCTCCTAATGCATTCACACACACACTCACTCACACACACACACACACACACACACACACACACACACACATATATATATATATATATATATATATAGAAAGAATATCCATCATGCAGAAGACCGTTTCACTTGCCGCTGTCATCTTTTTTTTTTTTCCACCTGCATCCATATCAACAACTGTACATATGAGATAAAACTATTTTATTAGATAAGAGGAATAAAACATTGAAATAATAAAGTAATAATAATAAAAAGAAAATAATAGGTATATTGAATATATAAATATTATATTATACTGATGGATGATCTACCAATGAGTCACCGCAGGATAAGGAACAATTTCAATAGTCTTGCCTTGTTTTTCGTTTTGCCATTTATCCAAATACATCATCATTCGTTTCCTTGCGTTTTCAGATTCATTATTCACTGTGGGTATCACATGCTTAATATCCAAACTTGCAATAAAAGAAGCCAATTCTCGAAAACTTGAATGTTCAGAATACGGTACGCCGTAAATCTTGATGCTGGGCGACGAATGTCGTGGCGTCAATGTCAAATCCCGGTCCATCGGTGCTTTCGTTACTTGAGATAGACTTCCAATTTCCATATCTGTTTCTTGGGCCTTGCTCGCTTGAAAAGTCCAACCAGTAGGCTTAAAAGCAACAATATTAGTGAATCGAGGCGATAAACTTTTCAAATAAGCATGCATATTCTATAACGATCAGCATCATTTAAAATAGGAGAATAGAGTAGTTAGAATCAGATAATCAAATTGCATCTCCTTTTCTTCCCCAATACGCATTCCTTTTTTTTTTTTTTTTTTTACTATTTGATTTACCTCTGCTTTGATATCTCCCAAAGGTAATACATGAACTTGAGCTTCCATTTGATCCAATGTTAATAAATTGGCCAGTTCTTTATTTTCTTGACACATTAATATTGCCCATTTTTTTGAAGTAACAAAGATTTTACTACCAAGTAACTTGGCAATACCTACAAATATATATATATATATATATATAAAGAACAGTACCAATAGATTGAGCAAATCAAAGTTCGTTTCATAAAAAAAAAAAAACTTACTGTAAAAAACTTTTTCCTTGCCAATAGAGTAAGAGCCTACAACTACTAACAAGCCTTGAATTCTTCTTTGTACTTTTGCCTTGGACATCATTTCATCGAAAGCCGAGGGTTTGGTTACTTGTTGATTGTTATTTGTTGTTGCTGTTGTTATTGATGACAATGAAGATAAAGATGACGTCGATGATGAGGTCTTGGTATCTGAAGTTGTTGTTCCTTTTGCAATCCATTGCTCCAATGATGTCTTTGGTCTAGTTTCATCTTTGATACCCATATACCCTTCAATCACTTTGCAAGCAGCTTGTATACATTCTTCTTGAGCAGGAAAGCCATATTTCGCATTCAAATAGGTAGTGTCCAGATAGAGGTGATCAATCGGTGGATTTTCAGGTTGTCGAAGTAAAGGATGGAGACACATTTGTGGATTTGCTCGAAAATCACCAGTATGTAAATGACGAACCCAGATATTGTTATCAACATCAGCTTCTTCTAGTTTTCGTTGAATGTCGAATATAAAAAGAACGGAACCTGGACAATGATTGGCGTCTATCAAAGTCACCTTGATATTGGAAGACACAAATGTAGGTTCATTCATTGGAAGTACATGTAGATATATATCTCGTACCTTCAGTTGTTGAGCTACAAGATTGGCCGTGATTTGGGAGCAGTAGATAGGACCATGACACCATCCTTCATTCAATCCATGATAGTGATCACTGTGGAAATGAGTAAGAAAGTAACCTAGACAACCAGAGATTTTGCCATATGAAAATGCATCTACAACAAATTTGGTATCTAAATCATAAAAGCTATTAATATACACATTATATATATATGTGCCAGATAAAAACCAAATTACCTTTCATCCATTTGTAACTCGGTATTTGTTGAGGTTGCTGTATCTTGTCGGATGGTGAGGTAACTTTTGAAGTTTTTACCGATGATAATGGTATATATTTCGTCTCTTCATTCACGAATGTCTTTGTCATAGAGGTAGCAGTAGTAATGGTAGTAGTAGCAGTGATGCTTGTTGAGATGGACGTTGTTGCCTTGTTAACGAAAGATCTATGTATTGCTGTAGGAATGGATTGGAAAAGTTGTTGCCATGATTGAACTTGGTCAGTATTGGTATAAGAGGTATTCTTGTCAAGACAGAGGTTAACATGTTGTTCAAAGTCCATATCAGAAAGTTCTAAAAAGTCTTCACATACAGGGCACTGGTGCTGCGGCTGGTGTTCTACGTGTTGCTGTAGACATTCATCTGAATCAAGACGTTGTTGTTTCAAAGGGTTATCAAATACTTGAGTCCTTTCTTCTTCAGCTAAAGAGAGTTGAATTGCCTTGGAAATATCAGCTTCAAAATCCTGACTGCATAACTGATCATTTACTTGAATAGAATCGTCTTGAGTGAAGTTGATAGTTTTCAGTCGAGGAGGTTGATCTAATTGGTGGTTAGTATGCTGTTCACTGTGCTTTGATCTTGTATTGTCTTGGTGATATGCTGTACTCTGCATGACTGCGTTGTATATGGGAATAAAAAAAAAAAAGAATTTAATAATAAAAAAGAGGAAGAGAAGAAAAGAAAAGGTAAAAAAAAAAAAAAAAAAAAAAAAAAAAAAGGAAATCCAATTCGGTCACGGAGGGTACGACAAATAAAGTAAAATTCCGCTGTCAACAATAGACTATGATTTACAACGAAAAGGAACCATTCATGCTATCTCCTGCAACTAGATAAACGATATTTATTATCATTATTCCTAGAAGAGAAAAAGTAACCATAAAGACAGTAATAATAATAAGAATAATAATAAGAATAATAACAAGAATAATAACAAGAATAATACAGAACACAAAGAGACAACAAAGTAATCCTGAAGGGTGAGCAGGATTAAAAGTTTTATTGCATCAAACAATAGATTAAAAAGGCAAAATAATCACTAATACACTGGACCTGACAATTATTGTTTTATCTATTGTTGATAAGACCATACGTTCTTCAAGTCTATTTAATATATAACAATAGTAATAAAAAAATTTAGTACATATACTGTTTCGTGTATCACTCCGTCAACAAAAAAAAAAAAAAAAAAAAAAAAAACTTACAGCCGTCTTGAGTGGCAAGGCGATTGATAGAGTCATCAGCTTCAGCTTCCTTGCGAACAAAACCACAAAGAGCATAGGTAGAGAAAGAGTTGGTGGCACGACCTTCAGCATCCACATCAGCAACGTTCAATTGAATAGAAGCGTGGTCATGGGCAACAATCAAACGATTGGTAGCCGAACTATTTGTAAAAAAAAGTGTTTTGTAAATAAAAGAAAATACAAAAAAAATTATTTCCAACCATGATTAAACACTTACCACTTGCGAGGAATGTAAATATCAACGAGTCTACCCTCAGAATTTTCCATAGTTGTTAGTTTTGTCCAAAGTTAGGGGTGGTAAAACCAAATGTAAAGGAAGAAGAAAGAATCATACTAAGCATACGGATCTGTTGTTTTTTTATCCAAAAAATAATTGAACATTCTGATTGGCCAATTACGAAAATTTTTTGTCCAGCTATCTCTTTCTCATCCCCCCCAACCCTCAACTGAGTTTATGATCAGTAATCAAAGCACCTGGAAAGAAAAGAGAGACAAAAACTCACACATATATACACTAGTTATAAGGACAATATTGATAGTAAGAAGACAAGAACATATATTTGGTATTTACAAAAAAAAAAAAGGTAGTTCTAATGAAAATAAAAAATAGTTTTTGATATAATATCCTAAAACTATCCAAGATGGCAATGGGAGATCTAACCAACAATAAAGTACAAACTATTTGAAAAGAATAATAAAAAAAAATCACACCTAGTTTCATACAGTAAAGGATTCACCACAACCACAAGTTCCTTTGACATTGGGATTATGGAATACAAATTGAGAAGAGAGTTTATCTTCAACATAATCCATCTCTGACCCTAATACAGTAAGCAAAGCCTTAGAATCCACTAGTACCGTAACACCTATAATAGAAAGTATTAGTATATATTTGTACAATAATGTATCTTTTCTTTTTTTTTTTTATTACCATCTTGGTCAACCACTTCATCGAACTTGTCTTTTTTCTTTGTGAATTCGAGCATATAGGAGTTGCCTGAACATCCTTTTGTTTTGACACCTACACGAAGAAATTGAGGTTCGTCACCTTTTGTCATATGTTTCAAACGTTTCACTGCAGCTGGTGTCTATATCATTTATTATAATAAAAATAAAGTGAATGATTATTACATTTCAATATATTTATAATTTATAGAATGTTTTTAAACTTACTAGTACTAAAGGTGCTTTGCGTAGTCGAAGTTTCGATCCTGTTGTTTTTGCTGTGTTTGTTGCCGCCTGTTTAACTACTGCATTCAGTGACATGATATAATTGAGTATAATAATAATAATAATGATAATTAAAAATAATCAAAAGGAAAAAGAAAAGAAAAAAAAAAAGCCTACTTAAAATTTTCAAAAACTCTCAGTCGGTGTTTAAATAACACCCCACTGAAAATGTCAAATGACTTTTGGAAGAGAGAAATCATTCAAAAATATTAACATTACTTCATCTTTTTCATATCAACTATATATTTTTTTATTTTTATTCATAATCACAACTTATATATTGCTATTATCATAAGAAATAAAAGGTGATTACAGCGAAAAAATCGAATTTTTTTTCACATCATAATTATATAGTTTTTCAAGGTCTAACATCCAAGTTTTGGGGATCTAGCTCAAATGGTAGAGCGCTCGCTTAGCATGCGAGAGGCACTGGGATCAATGCCCAGGTTCTCCAATAAGACTGTATTGAACGTAAAATCATATGTTCATCTTCATTTTTTTTTGTTTTCCACTTTTTTTTGATTCGGAGTGTTAAGTGTTGTGTTAAGTGATTATTTGGTTTATAGGTTCAAATTTGAAAAAATAAAACGGATGATTGAAAGTTAATAATGTTTATAGTGAGCACCAGTACTTGATTACGCAAGCACACGTATAGGAAAAGAAATAAAAAAAAAAGAAAAGTAAAGTAGAGAAAAATAAAGTCTTGTTCCAAATTTGGAAAGTAAAAGTAGAGTAAAATTGTTCTGACTTTTAATATAGAACAAAGTGAGCCAATCAAAAGTGATAATCCACAATACAATCAAGTAGGGATAAAAAGTAAAGATTTATTTAAAAATATAATAAAAATTGACTGATTGAAACTAACAAAAAATAAAGGAAAAAATTGGACTATTTATACTTTTTTTGTTAAATGGACAGAGGACAAAAAATGAAGAGAAAAACGTACTGAAGCCAAAATATGATAATAATTTTGTTCCTTGGTTAAAAAATAAAAGAAAAATTGATTCATGGCTAGAATATGTACAAAAAAATTGAATCATGGCAAGTCACTGAGATAAGAGGGAGAAAAAACTACTTAAAAAAATCTTTTTTTTTTTTTTCTTCCTTTTTTTTTTTTTTTTTCTCAACAGTTGTGTTAAGTGATTTTTTGGTTGTTCAAATAGCCAAAATTGAAAAAGTAAATCAGATGATTGTGTTAAGTGATTATTTGGTTTATAGGTTCAAAATTGAAAAAGTAAAACGGATGATTGAAAGAGAATAAGTTGTTTAGTGAGCACCAGTACTTGATTACGCAAGCACACGTATAAGAAAAGAGATAAAATAAAAAAGAAAAGTAAAGTAGAGAAAAATAAAGTCTTGTTCCAAATTTGGAAAGTAGATGGAAAGTAAAATTGTTCTGATAATAAGAACAAAGCGAGCGAATCAAAACGAGTAATAATCCACAACACAGTTAAATAGAGGATGTCAAGAGAATATAGTTTATTTAAATATAAAATATTGAATAAGAATTGATTGAACTATTAAAGTCCTTTTGAAAAATCACAATGATTTCATAGTCTATTACTATTGCAAGTATCTAAATATTCCAGGTGCAAATTGGTAAGAAAAAAAAAATTGTACTGTATATCATCACTAATACAGAGAATCAATGGTAACATAGTAAAAGTATTTTTTTTTTTTTTGCTTTGTGCAACATACATTATTTTTCATATGGTTTCCCTCGTTCCTAGTATTAAATTTATTGACCGCTATCTCTTTTTTTTCTTTATTATTTTCTTTTAATTATTTTTTTTTTCTTTCTTCTTTTTTTTTTTTTTTAATATAGCATCACATTCATTTATTTTTGTTTTATCATTCATGGTGAAAAGTCCAAAACAAGAACCAAGAAAAACTGCATGGCGTGGTATTAGTGTAAAAGCAGATACTCGACCTACTTCATATGACTCAACTAGAACATCTCTTTCTTGGGAAAAACGTGAACCACTTAGTCCACTCTCTGAAGTCAATCCTGGTATCATCACTGCTCCTAGTACTCCAAAGTCTCAAGACTTTTCTTTACACCAACAAGAATCTGAACAACAACCTGATAATATTTCACCATCAAACTCAACCGCTGTCTCATCAACAAAATCTCGACCCAAAAAAGAAAAACTATCTGGTTTAGGAAGCTTAACGAAATCATATGAACCAAAGAAAAAGGAACGTAAATCAGAACGCTTGGCAACTCTCGGTAGTTTGACAAAACCTTATGACCCTACAAACGATAAACAAGCACAGAAAGAAAATGAACGAAAGCAACGCAAGGAAAGGGAAAAGATAGAAAAAAAAGAACGCAAGGAACAAGAAAAATTGGAAAAGCAACTTAAAGAACAGCAAAGAAAGGAACTTAAACTTCTCAAGGAAAAGGAAAAGAAGGAACGAAAATCAAAATCTAAGTCTTCTATCTTCTCTCGATCTTCCAAATCATCATCATCTGCTCCTTCACCTATTGATATTGAACAACATGCTATTACAGATGGTAAAAAAAAAAAAAAAAAAAAAAAAAAAAAAGGAATCAGAGAGAAATTAAATCCACTCATTGATTACTTTTGAACTATAGATAAACCGAAATCACCTCTGGAACGTCGTAGCTTCATGTCATTTGGTCGCCACAGTATAGCATCTCTTACATCCAAACCTAGCAATGCATCAAACGTTGATATTGGAGTACAAGAACCTGTGGATTCATATCAGCATGATATTACGGATGATTCAAGCACTGAAGAATTTGTGGATTTTGTCGACAGTCATATGAGTATACGTAGTGAACAGAGCAACAACACCAATAATATATGTGATTCTTCAATTGATATCAAATTTCAATCTTCACCGCAATTCCCTACCGAACATCAAGATACTACCTCGTCTCTTCAATCAAGTCTTCAAACAAGGACACAAAATGATTTACAGGAGCAACAACACGAGGATGATGCGCCAATTAGCAGTACCAACAATAATAACACCTTAGGAAACACCACAAACCACAGTATGTTTTACATCCTGAACTCTTTACAAGATGCTGGAAAGGACTTGGAAGACGACGATTTATTGGATGATGTTATGGTGAACAAGATGGAAGCAACACAACAACGAGTATCATTCTCTCATCGACAATACAATGAACTTCATGGAGAACAATTTGATCAACATATTCAAGCTTTAGAAATCCTAGCCAGTGGAACATCTGCCTCTCCTCCACCAAATGAACCTTTACCACCACTTCCTACAGATCGTCGACGACAGTCATCATCTCAACGTACCATGAACAGTCGCTTATCCATGGATTCAAATCATTCACCATCACTCACTGGACGATTCTCCGTCTCTTCAAAAATGTCACGCAATTCTTCTATCTCAAATAGTTCGTATGATACAGTGGCTCCTGGTGAAAATCATCACTTCTCACCTACTTCAGAAACTCAACACCCTCTTCCTTCTCATTCACCTTTGGCATCACCTTATGGAATTCCTGCTATATCTGAAGAAGAACTTTTGACCTCCAACGTAATACCTTGCTCACCAACACCTGGTCCACTTGAAGTATTGACAGCAACAAATGATTCTACAAAAGGTCATATTCCGGACAGTCCCATTGATAACTATATCACTCCTAATTCAGCAACAAATATCGACAATGTTTCCGACAACGATAAGAAGGATATCTCAGACGAAAATGAATTGGACGACTCTGATAGTTGTAGCTTTGAATCAACTGAAATACCTGACCCCTACTTATTCCCATCCGACGACAGTGATGACCCACAACAAATTGACAATGATAGTACTGGAGAAAGTGCAACAAGGAATCAGCCTGCAACAAAAGAAGATGAGATACAACCAGAAAGTGTTATAATGGACCACCCTATTATGACAAATGATCTTTCATCAGATAAAGTGACACACAAGATGACCAGCTCTGATATGAACGATAATAATGACAACAATGATAGAAACAACAACAATAATCACCAGAACAACTGCAGCAACGACATCAACAAGGAAAAGAGTATTTTGGATGAAGCGTTGAAGGTCAGAACTACCGACAATATCTCAGGACGACAAGTGCCAGTAATGCAAGTGAACATCAATCATGACACCCATACAGAAAATCATCCATCCCTCGTTGCACCAATGTCTGCGATTATTGAAGCCAATGTTATTCCTACCACCGGTTCTCAATCAATGCCTATCATTCAAAATCCTTCCTCACCTATTGCAGCTGCTGCCGCTGTTACAGCCTCAAAACGATCATCTTTGGTATCAAACAAAAGAAATTCATCATCATCAATACCCACCTCTTTGGATCAGCAAAGTCCTTCCTTTGTGGATTCTCCTACTCCTTTATCAATTGCATCAAGTACACCTGGTACACCTCCTACGGAAGTAGTCCCCTCCTCTACTGCTACCAAGACTACTACTTCTACTGCGACAACCACCATGAATACCTGTGAAGATTGTATTATGCCCAACCTTTTAGATGCAAGGCAACAAGAAGAAGCTGGTAAATAAAAAAAAAAAAAAAAAAGAAACAGAAAACATTAATAATAATAGAATGAATGGACAAATTAACCTCTTTATATATATATATATATTTATATTTATGTATGATTTAGATAAACCTGTAAGACAAGGTATGGTTTATCTATTTGGCAACAAATTTACAAAGGCAATGTCGATATTCAAATCGAAGGCTGATAGGTAAATTGATATAGAGATTCTTTTATTTATCTCGGAAAACAAAGAGATAAAGAAATCAATTATACTGACAAACTCTTTATTGTGATATATATATTGTTTTTATAGCGAACCATTATATGCTCTTGGTATGGGATCCATGTTATTCCTGAAAGGTAAATATCAAAAACTATTTTACAACATGATTCATCAGTTCACTAACTTCGCCTTTTTTTTTTATTTACTCATTTTCTTTTATTTGGTTGGGACATCTATATTACAAAAGCTATGATGGTAACGTACAACAACAATTGACCAAAAAAAGAAGAAAATATTTACATTATGATATTTGTATTCTATAGACTTATAATGAAAATGATGTAGAGGCGGCTATGAAATCATTATCTGACTCTTTTACGATCGCAACTACACAAGCGGAACTCTCTGAAGAAAAGCCATCATTTGAAGACGCATTCTCTTCACAATTCTCCTCATTAATGGCCAGCACCAAGGCTGATGATGATCGATGCCATATCAAGACATTCATGCCAAATGGAATACTTCGTGCTCATGTGATTAAGGCAGAAAGTTGTTTGTTAATGGGACTTCTTCAGTTGACTCAAGAAAACATGACAGGTTATCTAAAGTGTGGATTGAATCTTCGAAAAGGTAAATATATGAAGAAATAAATAAATATAAAAAGGAAGGATAGAGAAATTGACTTCTTTTTTTTTTTTAATCATGATGATAGCTTGTTCAAGTTATACTTTGGTCTGGAATGAATATCAACGCATGGGTGAGCAAGTAAATGATTGGATGGATTGTGATACTATCTCAGCTGTACAATTTGGTGTTGGCACTTTACATCTCTTGCTTTCATCCTTACCTACAAAGATTGTCAAAATATTCTCTGGATTAACTTGGAAAACGGATAAATCTTTAGGTTTTTCTTTGCTAAAATCGGCAATGACTGGAAAGGGAACTCGATCTACTTTTGCATCCTTAGTGTAAGTTACCAAAAAAAAAAAAAAAAAAAAAAAGGAAGCAATTGATTATTATATTTATTTTATTTTATATTGAAACACATAGACTTCTAAGTTATTATTCATTATTATCAAGTTTGGTACCTTCTCTATATGCCCAAGATTCGATTCAACCAACTATTGAGTGCCTAGTGGAAGCGCAAAAATCACATCCCAAATCATGTTTTTTCCTTTATTACGCAGCACGTATATCTCGAGTGGCTAGAAATGTTGGACTATCGACTCAATCATTCACGATGGCAACAGCATCAACAAGACGAGGAGCATGGGCAGAAGTGGCAATGAAACATACAGTTGCATACGAAGTTGGACTGAATCATGCGATGCAACTGGATTGGGATACATCAGCAGCTTACTTTGAACAATTATGTTGTGCTCGTGATTGGTCCCCGGCCTTTTGTCAATACTTTGTAGGTGCATGTCATGAAATGTTGGGTCAAAGACAAGAAGCCATGGATTGCTTTGACGAAGTACCGGTACTTAGCCATCAACAACATCATCGAAAGAGTTTATTGGACAATTTTGTGCAAGTCAAAGTGGAAAGATATCAATGTAGTGATTATCGTGATCTTGATAGTAGCCTTCCTGGTCTTGAATTACTACTTTTGTTGAACGCATTTGCATCCATGGAAGAAACCTATTTACAACGCTGCTTGGTGATGATTCAAGAAACATGTCAATTGATTAAAATGAAACATTCAATGGGTATTCTTCAACTTGATGATTTGGAGGACTACAATCATGATGACAACGATGATGATCGAGTGACCCTGATGATTCGCTATACTACTTTGCTACTGTTGAAAGCTTCTGTACTGAATGCATTATCAAGATGTAGTGAATGTGTTGTTGATCTGGATTGGGTCTTGAAAAGGAAACATCTTTTGGAAACTGAAGAATGGTTGCTTCCATTTGTCTATTGGGGTAAAAAAAAAAAAAAAAAAAAAAAAAAAAAAAAAAAAAAAAAAAAAAAAAAAAAAAAAAAAAAACTACGTAGGTCTATTTCATATCATATACTCACTTTTCTTGTCACAAATCATATAGAGGTAGGTGTGACCCAATGGGGAATAGGCAATCAAAAGAAAAGTCGAGAAATGTGGCAGCTGGCTCTGTCTTGTACCAAGTATGATTTCGAATTTCGAATGGCAAGTCGAATCCATCTGGCTTTGGGAAAATGTGATGAACTGGGCATTCTGGAACCAAGTGGATCTACTTATCTCAATGGAAGGAAACGACTATAGAAATGTATATCATAGATTATCTCTTTTATTATTATTATTTATTATTATTATTATTATTATTACTCAATTTTTTTTTTTTTTGAATTATCATTCCCATTTTGATCATTATTACCATAATTCTTTATTACCTCTCTTTTTCTTTATGTTATATTCTTTACACATACTAATAAACTTCCCCCCTTCTTGTTTATATATATTTTTTTTTCTTCATTATAATAATTGGTATTACGTTTTTCGATCTCATGGCAACAAACAGACATAAGGAGAAAGCGGTGATTGGTTTTACTTTGTTTGGTAATCATCTGTACATCCTTTGAACCCTCCCTTTCCCCGTCCCTCTCTCCTCTGATTTTCCCCTAAAGGAATTTTTTTTTCTTCTTATACAATTCAATGTTTTGAAATTTATCCTTGTCATTAAGCTATATATTTCTCATCAAATCGGTAATGGCTACATATATATATATATATATATATATATGATATAAGAAAGAACGAATTGATTTTTTTTAATAGAAAACAATACTTCTTCCATACATCATTTAAATTCATTAAAAAAAAGCTTATTTTCTTATTTAGTGATGATATGAATAATAAAATGTATAAATGATGATGATTTATCGATGAGCAGGAATGATAGATATGGAAAGGGGTGGTGGAAAGATAGAGTACAAAAAGTTAAAGAATGATCATCTATTAATGAAAAAAGAAAACACCCATCTTCCTTTATATCATCAAGCTATTCCTATTCATTTCTTTCCATACATTGATGATGATGATGATGATAGTGATGTAATTTGATGTCTCCTTAATACATGTTATAAAAAGGCAAGTTCTCGTTTCATGTTTCCATCATCCAATTGCGTTCCTATATTGTTCTCTCTTTTTATTAGTTATCTGTGTTTTTACTTGACTTATTTAAAAGTATGTAACATATACATATAGATTTTACTATAAGAATGATGATGATAAATTTATTATTATTATTATCATTGTTATTTTTTAAAAAAAGGAAGACTTTGTGATCTTAGTTCATCATTCACTAATCATCGTCATTTTTCTTCTCCTATTCTACATCATCATCTCAATACCTAATAATCAGACTTTCCCTCTCTCTCTCGTTCTCTCCTTAAAGCCTGGCATACATATATATATCTATATATATATGTATATACTTAGTGTTTCTTATTTTCTATCTTTTTTTTTTTCCTCTCTTTCTTTTCTTCCTTTTTCACTTTTTCTTCCTGTATTCCCTCTCCTCTTTTTTATATAATATCAAAGCCCTTTCCACTCATTTTTTTTATATATAATATTAGTTTATTTTCTTTATTCATCATGAAATATTTTTATTTTACCATTGTATGCTTTTTCGCGTTATTGTCTTATACCAATGCCAGTATGGAGAAAAGAGGTACTGCTACGATGATGAAGTTTGGTGGTGAAAATCAAAATTCTGCATTGACAAGACGCAATCGTGGCACATGGTAATTTTTTTTTTTTTTTTTTTTTTTGTTGTTGTCATATCATATCTTTCTAATGATGACGATAATTTTTTTCTTTTATGATGGACTTTCATCCCAATTGTAGGTATAGCGGCAAAGATCTTAGTAATGCTGCCTGTTATGGCCGTAAAGGTCTTCCTTCTTTTTCTGCTCATGTGTCGGATATGATTGGTGCTATGGTAAACTAATTAAAATTATATGATGGATGATTCGTATGATGATTCATCTATAATAGGTAGATGATGCTAATAGATTGTTTTTTTTTTTTTATTTTCTTGATTCAATAGGCAATGAAACATTTTGAGTATTGTTATGAATGTATGAGGATTACTAATGTTGATAACGAACGTTCCATCGTCGTCAAAATTGTAGACAAGTGCGCAGGATGTAAAATAGGTAAGCCATTCGTTCTCCTTAATCAATCCATCATTTTCTTTTTTGCCCTTCCCTATCTGTCTCCTTTCTCTCTTTCTCCCTTCTCCCTTACTAAATATGGACATGTTTCGACAGATATATATGTTTGAATATGCAAAAATATGAATGACCTTTTTTTCGATTTTTTTTTTTTTTTTTTTTTTAGGAACCGCTATTGATTTGACACCAGGAGCATTTAAAAAATTAAATCCTGATGGATTGGAGGCAGGTGTCCTTGATATTACTTGGAAAGTAGTTCCTTGTCCTAGTACCATTAAATTGGCATTGTCCTAATTTTATCATCCTACTCTTCTTTTTCTTTTTTCCCTTCTTCTTCTTTTTTTTTTTCTTCGTTCACTGTTGTTCAAGTATATAATTCCCTACATACACAATCAAACATACGCGTATATCTTACATCAGTTAGCCTCTTTCTCCAATATAAACAGCAATAAAAAAATGATGTTTTATTTAAAACATTCATATTCTATATTCATCAAAAAAGAGTACATTAAAAAAAAAAGGATTTCTTTATTTTAGTTTTCCAAATACAAAAGAATAAAAATCAAAACATAACTATAGTAAAAATTTTAATGATTTGTTGGCTTTCGTATTGTGTATTCCATATCTAGTCCTTTTTTTCATTGTTGTATCTAATAGGGTGATGGAGGGAAGTCGATGTGTCGATATGGTTGAAAAAAAAAATAAATGGTTGGTTATTTACTTGCTTTCTTCAGCTTCAGCCTTAGCCAAGAATTCCTTGATGAAAGCTTCTTCGTCAGAGGAGCTAGCTTGAATAGGAGGAGTAGCAGGTTGAGCAGGTTTAGGCTTCAAGGCATAGAGAGCATAGGCACCAGCATAAGCACCAATGAATCCCATGGAGAGCTATATATAATAAATAAATAAAAAAAAAAGAGTTCAAGTCATCTATACTTGTAAATTTCATCTTTTTATTTTTCTATCTTATTTACAATATGGTTAGGGATTTTCTTTCCAGCAATAACGTAATGACCAGCCATATCGATGATGTATTTCTTCAAAAAAAAAAAAAAGGTAATGAAAAAAAATGAAGAGGGAAAAAAAAACAAACAAAAAAAAAACAAACTAGGCTCTCGAAAATTGAAAAAAAAGGGAGGGGGACAGTGTTTTTTTTTTTTTTACCTTCCGAATTCATTGCACTTTTGAAGGCACAAATTCAATTACCGCAGTTAATTTTTTTCTGTGTCTCTTCTCTCTGCAAAACAATAAGGCAGGCAAAATTTTTTTTCTTTCTATTGCTTTCTTTCTTTCTTTTTTTTTTTTCTTTTTTACTTATACTTTTTTTATAATTTTGGACTTGGAAAAAGGTAAGAGTTCTTCCCTTTTTTTTTTTTTTATTATTCGCTCTTTAACTTTTTTTTTTTTGTTTATAAAGGATAAAATCGAAAAAACTTAACCATGGAAGCTGATCCTCGTCGTAACGCCTTTAAAGCACGCAATCAATTCAAACCTGAAGAAGTACGAAGACGACGTGAAACCGCTCAAGTGGAAATCAGGAAACAAAAAAAAGCTGAGAATTTAGCTAAACGACGAAACTTTAATATTTCCAACTTGACTCAAGACTCTGATGATGAATTGGATGTAACTACTTTGGATAGTCATGTAATAAATAATAATAAAAAAAAAATAATCTAAAAACAAACAAACTAATACAATGTTTTATTCAAACTAGTTGGACGAAATGCTTCCTGATATGGTTCAATCCATTTACTCCAATGATGCTGAAGCTCAATTACAAGCTACTGCGCATTTCCGAAAATTATTATCTCGTGAAGTCAATCCTCCTATTGAACAAGTTATTGCTAGTGGTGTAGTTCCTCGATTTGTGGAATTCCTTCGTTCTCCTCAAACTTCGCTTCAGGTAATAAATAAATAAAAAAATAAATAAATGATTTATTATCTTATTTTTTTTTTCTTTTTTGTTCTATTATTATAGTTTGAAGCTGCCTGGGCCTTGACCAATATTGCTTCTGGATCTTCTCAACAAACTCAAATTGTCATTGAAGGTGGTGCTGTGCCCTACTTTATTGAATTATTAAGTAGTCCTGTTGCTGATGTGAAGGAACAAGTAAAGTTTATTCAATACAATGAGAAAAAAAAAGGGGGAAGTTATATTTATTTATACTTTTTATTATTTTGTCATTATAGGCTGTATGGGCTTTGGGTAATATTGCTGGTGATAGTCCTCGTTGTCGTGATTATGTTCTTGAAACTGGTGCTCTTCCTCCATTACTTTCTATTTTCCATGAAGACAACAAGATTTCTATGTTACGTAATGCTACTTGGACACTTTCCAACTTTTGTCGTGGCAAGAATCCTCAACCCAATTGGCAATTGGTAAATATATATATATATATATATAATGGGATGAATGAATATTAAACTTGTTTTATTAATGTATATATATAGATTGCTCCTGCATTGACTGTTTTGGCACAATTGATTCAATCATCTGACGAAGAAGTATTGATCGATACTTGTTGGGCCATTTCATATTTATCTGACGGAGCCAATGAACGTATTCAAGCCGTGGTGGAATCCTCTGTATGCAGTCGTTTGGTTGAATTATTGAGTCATCATTCTACTTCAGTGCAAACACCAGCTTTACGATCAGTGGGAAATATTGTTACTGGAGATGATGCACAAACACAAACGATCATCAACTGTGGTGCGGTGATGTCTTTATTCAATTTATTGTCCAGTCCCAAAGAAAGTATTCGCAAGGAGGCATGCTGGACTATTTCCAATATTACGGCCGGCAATACAGCACAAATTCAAGCAGTGTTGGATGGTGGATTGGTGGCTCCTTTGGTACATATCTTGAGTCGTGGTGAATTCAAAACCAAGAAAGAAGCATGCTGGGCTATTTGTAACGCAACATCTGGTGGATTGGCTAAACCTGAACAAATCCGATTTTTGGTTGCTGAAGGATGCATTCAACCTCTATGTGACATTTTGACTCAAAACGATAACAAAATCACTTTGGTGGCATTGGATGGATTGGATAATATATTGCGTGCTGGTGAAATGGAAAAGATTCATACTCAAGATGGTCTCAATCCTTATGCATTGATGATCGAGGAAATGGGTGGCGTCGATCATATTCACAGTTTACAATCCCATGAAAATGCAGAAATCTACAAGAAAGCCTATGCCATCATTGATAAGTACTATAGCGAAGATGATGAAGATGAACATGATACCGATATGGTCCCTGATACTGTCAATGGTCAATTTGCTTTCCAACAACAAGTCGATGCTCCTCAAGGTGGTTTCAATTTCTAGTCTCTTTGTGTTTATCTTCTCTACCACCATCCTTTTATAGTTTTATTTGCCCCTTCCCTTTCCTTCAACTATTTCATTATTACTTTTGCATGATCTTCCCCAACACTATCTATACTGTTCCCCTTTCTTCCCCCCCTTTTTTTTTTATTTTTTTGTCTATTCCCTTTCCCTTTCCTTTCTCCTCCCAATTGTATCCACTTTATATATTTCATATTTTTTTTAAATAAAAATATACACACAACCACTATTCTGATTGATGCTTGTCCTTTTTTTTTTTTTTTTTTTTTTGGGTATTAGGGATAAGTGATGGATTATAAATGATGAGGAGGTTAACGATAACGGGTGATATATGATGATGGGTTGATACTGATCATCATCAATCTTGATCGTCCATTGACAAGAGACAAAAATAATAATAATAATAATAATAATAATAAAACGTCGATTTTTTTGACCATACTAAACCATTCCAATCGTGACATGACAATAAAAATGAAGATGATGTTCTATTTGTATGGTGTTGATGAGAATGTTGATTGATGTATCACTATCTCATATTTGTAGATCTACATGAAGATTATACATTCATATAATATATAACAGGCACTAATTCAAACACCAATATTTATTTATTGATAACATACAAAGATAATAATAAGAAATAATAATAATAAAAAAAAAAAAAGTGTTCTAATTTTTATGAGAAGAAAGAAGGGTTGATTCTGCTACACTAATAAGTTGGTCTAATTGAGTAATGAATGGAGGCAAATGATGTTGAGAATGATGACATTGTTGTCCAGAGGTAATCTTTTTGTTCAAATGATCCAAACGTTGAATCAAACCAGATAATGTATGTGAAGTAGATGACGGTGATGATGCTGCGGCTGAAGATGACGATGTCGATAATAAGGATGAAATAGATAACGGAGGAGATGGAGGAGTAGATAACGATTGAATAGGTGGTAAAGAGATCCGAGAAGAAGAATCGAGTGGGGAATCCATAGGAAAAGATGGTAAATGATGATGTAAAGGGATATGTTGAGTGTTTCTTTCAAATAATGAAGGACGGTTGGGTATGAATTGATGGGCTTGTTGTTGACGTATAGGGAATCGAGCAGGATTAACACAATCTTCAATGGCAGGAATCGATTTATTGTTATTGTTATTATGGATGGAATCCTGTTGTTCACAATTCTTCTTGATAGTTGTTAATGGAGGAGACGTTGCATTGTTATGACCCATTTCTTGTAATGATGATTTCTGTTGCTGGTTTTCCAATAAAATAACCCGTTTCCGCCTCTTGATGACATTTCGTTTCATACTGACAGGACGATGTACCTTGTGAAGTTTGTAATAGAGACCACAAGCATTGCAGATGGTGTTGCCTTGATCATCTCTTCGCCATAGAGGAGTCATTGATACTCGACAGTTGGAGCAAACCATGAGTTCTGTTTGTTGTTCTTGTTTTCGAAGATGTTGGTTGTTAAAAGTTGGGCATCCAGCACAAGCAGCAGATCCACCAAGCCCATTACATTGTCCAGCTCCACCACAACTTCCACCAGTTTGCTTTTGTTCATTGGTAGAACAAACTTCTTGATCATCGCCAGTATCTTTACATGCACTTTCCACTTTTTGTTTCGTGGGGTGAATTGTCGATATTGAAGATAAAGGTCGCATAGTATGTTTTGTTTTCAAATATAATCCACAAGCATTGCAAATAGTATCACCATTGGGAGCTCTTCGCCATAAAGGAGTTGTATCTGTTCCGCAGTGACTACAAGAGATGGAGGAAATAACATGAGAGGAAGAAGGAGATGCTGATAAGGATGTTGATGATCTTCTCCGTTTCAGAATAGTAGAAGTACTAGAATTGGTATTAGGATGAACCATATTTTCGTATTATAATAGATGAAAGAAAAGAGAAATAAAAAAAAAAAAGAAGAAGAAGAAGAAGAAAAAAATAATTAGAAAATGAAGAAAATCAAATGGTTGATCAGATAAGGCGGAGTCCAATCAAACTCTTAGTGACTCGGAACCATCCACAGCTTTTAGAATTGTATCATTGCTCATCTCTTTTCAAGCATTTGATTTTACTCTTTTTTTTAGTTTATTTATAAAGTGAATAGATCCTGATAATAAAAAAAAATTTATATTTTTGTAATGAGTGCTTCTATTATCTTTCTTTTTTTTTTTGTTTGTTTTATTTCAATCAGTACAGAATCTTTTTTACTATAAAGATAAAAAAGGAAACCTGGGTTCATATTCTGTTAGAGCAGTGCGTGAGAGAAAAAAAAAAAAAAGAATCGGAGGATCATCTTGGTAACTAAAACTCATCGTATCCGATCAAAGCCGATGTTTCTCTTCTAGGAATAATAATGCGCACTGGGCATTTTTTACTTTTTTATTTATTATTTTTTTATTTTATAGCATTTTGATTGGTGATATTTGACATTGATCGTTGATCATTTCATGCTTCAATATGTCTTATGATCATCACGATGATGACTTTTTTTTATTGAAGAAAAGGGGATTTCTTTGATGATGGAGGATCATAAAATTCAATATAACCATGATGATTAAAGGTCAAACTAGATTTCTAGAAAGCGAGTCCCAACATTCTTTCTTCTTTATAAAAAGGAAAAAAAAATCAATCAATTGAATCAAATCTAATATCAGATCATAGATCATCATCCTTACCATCACTGTGATTTTGAATCATCATAGACGATAGATAACATAGATCGTAAATGATTGATTGATACTTTCTCTTGTTGAAGTAACTATTATAACTAACCATAAAAAAGAGTCATCTCGATAAAAAAAGAAATATTAATCCAACAAAAATCATCATTCAAAAAAGGTGATTACTGGTCCAATTGTGTTTTCTTACTTGCCCAGTCGTTGACATATTGGACATCCATTCTGTTGATCCTATGATATCCAGTGTATTATTGTTATATCCATTTAATCGCAACATAAAAATGCACTTGAAATAAAAAAAAAAAAAATGAAAGGCAAAAAGAAAAGGGGGCGATCAACTAGAAATTGTATGCAACGTTGACTTTGCGGAAATCTAATTTCCCTAGCCACCCAAAAGAGCTTATTCCAATTCTTTCTTTTTTTTTTCGATTACTTTTATTTACTTTATACCATGCATACCTCAAGATCACGGCGTACTCCAAACGATGATGAATATATTGAACAACAAAGAAAGCGAAGAGAGTTTCTTTATTGTGATACGCAACAGAGCAAGAAAGAAAGACGACGACATCGCTGGCCATTACCGTGGTGTCACATTCTTATACCTCGTAATGCTAACTTCGACAATAATATGAACAACAGTAGTGAAACCATCAGGTCAACACCATCATCAGTTATCCGGAGGTCCAACCAAGATGTTAACAATCGTAACAGACGAACAGAAGCTCATCGAGAAGGTGTATTGCAAATAGGGATCAATAAACTACGCTCAAGTCTGGACGACAAGTTACCTGAAAAACACAAAGAAGTATTGGATGATTTGGTGGACGAAAATATTCAACTGATTGATAAGGTGATGAAACAAATAGTAGAAAACAATGAATTAAGAACGTTTACATCCAAACGTTCTTATTATGACGTTCTTTTGGCTGCTAAAAAGGCTGGTGTACCTTCCTCGTAAGTAATACTAATTTTTTCACATATATGCACACATCAAAAAAAAAAAAAAAAAGGATAATGGATTGACCATTATTTTTTATTTTATATTATTATTTATGGGAAAAAGGGTGATCACCAAGACTTTGGATAGAATGAAACAAGTGGTAACAATCAATGAACCAGGCAAGTGAAAACGAGTAGGGAGAATGATTGATGATGTTCCTCTCTTTTGATAGTAGATGTAGAAGAATCAATTATCGCTAATGATTAATGTTTTGTCTTTCTTTTTTTTTTTTTTTTTTTTTTTTTTTTTTTTTTTGTAATAGATATGGAACAAATGATTATACACAGTTGCAAACAATCCAACATTTATGGCGACTCCATGACTTCTCTTTTTGAAAAGGACTCCATTTATGGCATTTCTTCTCCACATGAAGGTAACGATTATTGAAATACAAATGTATAATATCTCATTACTTTTCTTTTATAGATGCTTTGGAAGACTCACTTTATAAGATGGAATGCGAATTTTACCAAGAGGAACCACCCTATATGAATACCCATAGACCAAGTTTTATAGCATACAACAATACGATCCAACAGCCGGAGTGATCATATGTTTAGTTTATATATATATTTTGTACATACATACTTATTTTACGAATAAAAAAAAAACAACCGATTATTACTTTTTTGACAATGTTGGCTTTCTTAGCATAAAGTTTTACTTGTGATCACATGGGGTAGTCTCGAGGGGAGGATTGTGTATGGGCGTTTCGTTTCTTCTTTTTTATATTCTTTGTCTGTGCGCATTCTTTTTTTTTTTTTACTTTTTCATTGTTACTCTACACGATTGCTTGTTAGGATGATCATCAAACAAGAGAAAAAGAGAGAATAAAAGAAAAAAAGAAAGGGATGATGATGAAAAGGAGATAACTAATAAAAATGGATCGAGCCGTTTTGTGAACAGAACTATTTCCCAAAAGTCATAGGACTTTTTTTTTTTTTCGTTATAAATCGGAAGGAGGGGGATGATACTGAACATGACGATGACGATGATAATATATAGAGAAAGGGGTTAATTTAGTAAAAAACTAGTATTAATAATGAGGAGCAAATAACCAGATAGTTAAAAGAAAAGAAGTATTTGAAAGAAATATAGCTTTTTATAGCATAATGATGAGACGTTTTGTTTATATATTCTCTCTCCCCCCCTATTTCTGTTATTATTACTTTTTTTTTTCTTCTTTGGGCTTCATTTCCACTTGCCGAATTTGGACAATAGTTCTTTCATTTCTCCCCCCCCCTTTTTATTTCTTTCTCTTTCTTTGACTCAATTATGCCTATAAAAAGATCACGCTTTTTTTTCATTTTCTCTCACTCTTCCCTTTTTTTTTTCTTTTTTTTTCATTTTGATCATTACTGTTATTACCTTCTTCATTACTATCACTTTTTTTTGATTATTATTACTAATAAGTTTTATCCAGTGACGATTATTTATTCTGATAAAAGATGACCCATGTTTATGGAAAAGAGAATGTTACCGAGGTAAAAAAAAAAAAAAAAGTATATGATGATTCATAGCATGAATTTCTCATTCATAAATTTATAGATGATTTATCGATTAAAAGCACGGCTTGCCCTGGCCAATTTCAAAAGAGAATATGGATACGAAAAATATGACTTGAATACATTGGAAACAAACTTATTATCAAAAAGAGATAAAGAAAAATATTATCCACAACAACAAAAAGGACGACATCGTTATTATCCTACTTCATCTACTTCCTCCATTAACAAACGATCATATCATCGACGTCGCGCATCTTATCCCATCCTTTATTCATTCTTACTATCTCAATGTCCTTTGTCAGCAAAACGAAGTACGTCACCAAAATCCATACCTACCACTACTACTTTTCCTATTGAAGATGAAGATGCTGCTCATTTATTAGTCATGCTGCATAATAGAAATTGATTAGTCATAACCCCGCCTCTTCACTTCTCTCTCTCTCTCTATATATATCTACATCTATATTGTAATCATTTTTCGATAGACTTTTTATTATATATAAAACAATGATAATTTTAAAAATATACAAATTGGAGGTAATGTCAATAAAAAAAAAAAAGGAGTGAACGATGAAGGGATAAATATATTTCTATACTACAACTAGGGGAAAAGAGCAGGATAAACAGAAGGGGACCAAAAAAAAAAAAAAAAAAAAAAGAAAGAAGGAGATAAATCTATAGTCAAAGAAGAGTAATCTATCACTATATTGTTGTTGTTGTTGTTGTTATTGTTCAATTCAAACTAGTTCATTCCATATTCTTAATGTTAGTTTGATCATACTGAGTAACAAGGTCGCGTACGCGTTTCCGTAGAATAATATTGTCGCCGGTAATACTGGTAGATACATAAGGTGGTTGGACACGTGCACATCCCAAGACCTGAATCACAGGGTCATCTGCTGAATGCGTGATTGGAATATGATGCTAATAATAATAATAATAATAAAACAATGAGAATCATGTCATCATCATCCGTTTTTTTTTTCCGTTACCTTCTTCATATAATCAATCAAACCACGTTTTCTTTCTTCTAATTGTTGATCGGTTGGCACATGATTTTGATGACAATGTAAAGCAGTCTCCAATTCTTCAAGTTTCATCGTTTTTTCTTTATCAACTATCGAGAATACAAAAATAAAGATGTTAATACACGAATTATCACCTGGTAATATTTTTACAAAAAGCAAACTTTACATTGATAGTATTGAATAGAATGACCCAAGACAACAATGGCAGTACCTTGATTATAAAGAATCATAGACTTTGATTCAGGATCCACAGTATAAAAATATCCTTGACGCGTTGTTCCAGACTTCAAAGTCACGACTGTCCAACATCCAATGGGTATTTCCATTCAACAAGAGATATATATATATAGAGAGAGAGAGAGAGAGGGAGCTAGAGAGAGAGAGAATGAGTTTGTGAAAGTAAAAGAAAAAGAGAAAAACACAGTTCACATATACCAAAAATGGTTTACTTGCACTTGAATTATGCAAGTCAAGAAATATATATAAAAAAGAGAAAGAGCAAAAAAAAGGTTGAATCAGTCAAAAAGGAAAAAAAGATGTGAACGATTGAATTGAATGTCCTCCACCAATCATAATTAATTTTGAAAACATGCTCTTCGGTGTTTTTTTTTATTTTTCTTCTTTGTTTCTTTTTCTCTCTCATTTTTTTTTTTTATATATATCGTTTTCTAAAATGTCAAGTAATCAACTCGAATCTACAACTAACAAACGAATTGCTTTACCTGTTCGTATTGAACCTAAGGTATTTTTCGCCAATGAACGTACTTTTTTATCGTGGTTGAATTTTACAGTTGTATTGGGTGGTTTAGCCATGGGACTCTTGAATTTTGGTGATCGTATTGGTCGGTTATCTGCTGTATTATTCACCATCATTGCTATGGGTGTCATGTTATATGCTTTATATACTTTCCATTGGCGTGCTACCAAGATCCGTAACCGGGAAAATGCACCTTATGATGATCGTGTGGGTCCTACTGTTCTTTGTATCTTCATGTTAGCAGCTGTTATTACCAACTTTTGGTGTAAGTAACTAGATATATATAAATATATATATTGTATAAGTGTATTGATTCTTTTTTTTTTTTATTATTATTTTTATTATTTTATTTATTTTAGTACGTCTTGGTGATCAAGGAAAAGTTTGAATTTCATCCTTTTTGTCATACCTTTTATATTCTAAAATCAATATTGAACCCATGTTTACTTCTTTTTTTCTTTTTTCTTTTTTCTTTTCTTTTTTTTTTTTTCTGTTTTTGTTTTACCATATTCTCATATATCTCTGTTTTCTCTCACTCTTAGCAAACCCGTCCATTAGTTAGTTTGTATAGTATTTTTCTTTTTTTTTATTTCATCGTCCCATATTACATTTATCAAACACACAACTCCTCCTATAAAAAAAGATGAATCAGATCATCTTTTTCATTTCATTATCTTGTTTTTTTTTTTTATTATTATTATTCCAAATCAATAAAGTTTTAAATCCATATATTTTTATTATATTATATAGAAATCAAAAAAAAAAAAAGAAAAGGAAATCAAAAACCACAATTTGATAAATGAAATTAATAAATTAAATAAGAATGGATAAGTTTGCAATCTGAGTATAAAACTTTGCCTCAAATTCATGAGTAAGGATAATATAGGCAATTGGGTAACTCCTTTTGCACTTTTATTTTTATTATTCAATTTTTTGAAATGTAAAGAGGCATGGCCTTCTTCTTTAGAATATCTTTATATACTTTATTATATAAAGATCTTGGCTTGGTTTTATCAAGTTGATCTTTATATAATAAAGAAAGATATTTGTTTGACAGAAGTCGATTTAGCTAGCCTACCTTTTTTTTTTTTTATAATAAATGAAAAATGAAAATTACTGAATGTGAAATGCGATTAGAGTTTTGATTGCATTGAGATTTGAATATATTTGTTCCTTTTTTTTATATTACGGAAATGGATGATTGTTGATTAAAAGAACTTTCTTATTCTTTATTATAGTTTTCTTAATGATCATAGCTAAATCAATACTTTAATCGTTCTCAACAGCAAAACCTGTTCTTTTTTTTGAATTATTTCTCATCACTTTTTTTCCTATAATAAATGAAAAATAATCATTATCCAATGACTGATAAAAAAAAAAAAAAAAAGAAAAAGAAAGAATTCACACTCTCCTTTTATTCTTAGCATCCCATGAAAAAGGATCAACATATCATAGAAGAAACAATCATCATCTCCAATGACTGAGAAAAAGGATACTCCCCTTTTATTCTTAGCATCCTCAGCAAAAAATTTACTTTTTTCTATAAAATACCCTTCCTTGATCTTTTTTATTTCTTTCATCTTTATCACCTGCAAACCATAATTACTTTTGGGCAAATTATCTATTCCTCTCCGCCATTTCTTACAGAAAAAAAAAAAAAAAAGTATCATGTGATAACGATATAAAAAAAGTTGGGAGATCAAAAAAAACATCAATTCAAAAAAAACTAATGGGAAATCACACTCATTGACTCATCCTCCTTTTCAACCACTCGCTACTTGAAAACCCCATATACACTGTTTTCACTATAAGATGTCGTTTAAAAAATAAATCATGTCGCGGATATTGAAATAGAATGTCGTGAGATTAGAAAAATGATGACAGAATAAAGGCAATGAAATGTCGTACCAATAGAGATAGGATTGTCGCAATCAAAATGAAAGTCGTCTTTTTTAGTTTCTCTTGTCTTGATGTTCACTTTTGTTTTGTCGTTGTATAAAGATGATCAAAATAATCTTTACTGCTTATCTTTTTTGTTTGATTACTCTGCTCGAAATGGATATCATGACTTTGCATGTCAGGTCATTGATACTGTGTCTGTGCTACATAATCACTTCCTGTAAAAAAAAAAAAAAAAAAAAAAAAAGGGTAAAGCGCACTATATTCATGCAATTTGTGTGCACCTACAAAGTCCGTCACAAATTTCTGAAACTCAAAATACCGTTTCCCCTATCTTTCCCTTTTTCTTTCTCTTCTCTTCTCTTCCATTCTTATTTTCTCTTCTCTTCTCTTCCATCCTTATTTTCTCTTCTCTTCTATTCCATTCTTATTGTTATAACTTCCTTTTTTATTCAAATCATCCTGATCTCTAATGGGTCACAAACGTACCAACCAGTTTGATGAAGATTCATCAGTAAAAAAGCCTTTGTTAACAATATCCAATGCAGTAGAAGCCAAACAAGCTCTCGTGGACGAGATAAAACGATACATCACCTCTGAAGTCACGCGTCGTTCCAATTACACCGAAGTGAAATCTGACCTACTCAACAAAAAACGTCTGCCAAGAGGCTTGTTACAAAACATCGACGACAGTTGTAGGAAACCGACTGGAACATTCTCTGGCAAGTTTCATCGTACAATTTCCTTCCTGGACACATGGAAAGAGACAGTGGAACAATCATTTGAAAGTATTATATCTAATGTTACATCGTCCAAATCATCATCTTCACAACAACCATCATCATCTACACAACAACCGTCATCATCTACACAACCATCATCATCTACTCAACCATCATCATCATCTACTCAACCATCATCATCATCTACACAACAACCATCATCATCTACACAACAACCGTCATCATCTACACAGAAAACAAAGGAAGAGATACGTTCACTCCACAAATCGTTTCTCACGCTCGTCAAGCAGAACATCAAAGATTCAAAGGGCATGCTGGAAAATATTTTGAAGACAGTAGAATATGCAAGAATTGCTGTAACAATGTGCTCTGAAGATATGGCGGCGCTTTTGCAGGCAACAATTCTGAAGTATGCCACAGTATCCTTTGGCAATGGTATGTCAAAAAATGAAAAAAAAAAGTTGGCAGTAACTGACACTTTTTTATATAGATAATCCTGATCATATCAAATCTTCGGATCTTGTACCAGAACATGCTCATAGAAATGGAACTATACTGAACAACGGCAACTTCAATACTCTCCCTCCTCCAAGAAACAAGGAAATGCCAAGTGATCTATTTGGCTTACAACATTTACAATATTTGTATTCTTCGCATTTTGGCCATACTCTCGCATCAACAAAAGAAAAACATCCGGTTTGGGTAGATTTGGATATTGAATGGCATCACCCTGCTCCTGATGCACTTGTCACTAATCTTCGAGCTATATACAACAACAAATTGGAAACGTCTATGAAGAACATTTGGGATGGACAATCATATTTCAAGATGCTTCGATATCTCGTTCGCTTGCTGTTAAGACTTTGGTTGGCACCTACAAGAGAGCAAAGACACCAGGATATGAAGAAAAAGGCTGTAGCTTTGAAATCATCGAATGTCAAGCAGGTATACCAACGTCATATTTGACAATCAATACAATTAGGATAAATTTGATATTAATATATTTTTTCTCTGTATAGGCCAAAGAAGACCCATTGAAGGACGCGAAAGGACGCTGGAACCATACTCGAAATGCTATGCGTCGACAAGAGTGGAAGTTGAAGAAGATGGGCGACCAATTAACCGATGAACAACGTTGTGCTTATGAAAATCGAATCACATATTTACGAGGCGTTAGGTAAGTCGTAGTTGTATGCCTACGTCTTTTTTTTTTTTTTTATCAACATTAAACTTGATATTTATTTTTTCCCTTAGGATGCGCTGAAGGCTGATCGTATCAAATTGGAACAAGAAAAAATAAAAAAGGACACCACCGATGAAGATCAGAAAAAGCAAGATGATGACAACTTGGTAAGTACTTTGTGTGGCATGTTGGAAATGCGTTGATGCGATGATCTGATTTTTTCTTTTCTTTAGGAATTGAATGATGATTTAGATGTCCTTGCCGTACATGATGATCTTGATACTACTGGATATGAATTGGACGACTTGCAGCTACCATCAATCAATAATGACGTCTCTGCTCGCAGAATTGGATCTTTGGGAGGCATCCTTGTACATATGCTCTTATCAGAAAAAGCAAGCACTCTTGATGCAACACTGTTGAAAGACCATGCCAAGAGATTGGATTTATTAGACAAGGAAATTCGTGCCAGGCAAACCGTCTACCGTTATCTCAAGCTTTTCATTGTTGGTGATGACAAGCCAAAGTATTTTAGACTGAACATGATCATCTTTGGCAACGAGGTGTTGCGTCTTTGTGGCTACCAACAATTTTGCATGCGCTATTCTCCAATCGTATCACAGGCGTCTATTTACTCTTTGTCTCTTGATGCACCATCTTTATATGAACTTTTTGGAAAAACACTTGACATGGCCAAGAAAGGAATCACAAGCATTGCGTTGTCACGTCACAAAAAACGAGATGTCTTTGATTGTCTGTTTGATTTGAACGTCGTGGACTCCATTTGCAAGAAGAATGGCCTCGAATTTGTGTATCGCATGGATATTACCCCTGCTAACGACACCTCCTTGATTGGGATTACAAAGAAACCACGACAACAATCATTATATCAACAACGGCTCAAGTTTTCCGAGGATATTATATCGAACGAATTCCAGACGGTCCATACTCTCGATACGATCACCAATAATATCAACAAGTTGGAAAAGGACCAAGTGAATGCTGCGAAACTGAAGCGATCTTTTACCAAGCAGCTAGATGATCATCGCAAGGTGATGCGGGAGGAAAAAGCGCAGGCGAAAGAAACCGAGAATATCGACAATGTTTTTACTAGCAAGCTTTTCGAAGATGTAGGCAAAGAAAAGGAATTGAAACGACAGAAACAGGCGGCCACTCAAGCAGTGCATAGAATTCAAGATGAATTGGCAGTGAATCGGAAAATACGCTATCAGTTGGAAAAGGTAATTTGATCTCGATATAGTTATATTCTGGGCTTTACTGACTTGATTTAATTTAAACAAAAAAGAATCGTAGAAAGCAACGGCCAAAGACGAAAAAAACATCTCCTCCTCCACCTTCAAAAATTACGCCAACATCAAGAATGGAAGAAAGCCCGAAACATGTGACATTGGATTTCGATATCAAAAACTGCATCATTACAGGGACAGACTATGGTGTAGCTACTTTAGCAACTACTGTAGGACATACGGTGGAGCAATTGGATTCCATACAAAACGGCAAATTTGTCAAGCTACAAAGACCAACCACCATGACGGCAAAGGACATTGAATGGAAAACTGGACGATATCACTTCCGGAAAAAGCTTGAACGGAAAAAAAAGGTAAAATCATCCCTCATTTAAAAAAAAAAAAAAAAAAAAAAAAAAGAGCCACTGACGATGATTTTTTTTTTTTTTTTGTGGATGTGATGTAGAGCACAGACGCTGGTAAAGAAGCTACAATTGCGGAGAAAATAGTGGGTGAAAATACGATGTACAAGGCAAAAGATGCTGTCGATTTGATTCAAAGATATGACAAAATACGTGATCAAGGCTCAATTCTGCGAAAATTTTACGGTTCAAAGTGGATCAGACGCCAACAACGATTAATGCAGTGGAGAAAGAAGTACACGTTAAAGGAGATGATCAAACGAGAACGACAAACGTTAGCAGGCAAGAATATTTTAATTCGAGCTATTGGAGACGCCGGGACTGGGGTAGGATCGCGCATCAAAGGTCATCTCAAGTATGGTGGCAAATGGCATAGACGTCTTTGTAGTCAGCACGGTGTTGTCCTTGTTACGAATGAACATCGTACTTCAATGATCTGTCCTTTCTGTTATGGTAGAATAGTTCACCCGAGAAAGAAGAAAAATGGCAAGATTTTAACAAATAATGGCACATCAAATTGTATGAACCCAAATTGTGAATCTTATAAACAATGTAAAAACTCTTTTGGACGAGACACTCTATCATCAACATGCATTGCTCTCCGGTGCTACGGTCAAATCATTGGACAAGATTTTTTGTGATTGGTTTTTCTTTTTACAATATACTGAACAAAGTCCACGCCATGTGGTGTGAGGCGGCGGCTCCGTTATTACGACGTCTGACAACAGCTTCGGCGTAAGTTTTTTTTTTTTTTTTTTTTTTTGAATAGATACTCACTATTATCATTTTATTTTATTTTATATGATCTCCTCTATTTTACTTGATTTGACTTGGTTCTTTGGATTATATTATATATATATATTGGTAAGGATGATGATACACTCATTTTAAACAATATACTGATCTCACCTTATTCTTTCTCTTTTATGCTTCATTTTGATTGCGACAATCCTATCTCTGTTGGTACGACATTTCATTGCCTTTATTCTGTCATCATTTTTCTAATCTCACGACATTCTATTTCAATATCCGCGACATGATTTATTTTTTAAACGACATCTTATAGTGAAAACAGTGTATGTGTGAAATAAAATAATATCCCCCAATTTTTATTTTTTATTCTTTTCTTTTCTTTCCCTTAACTATTTCCCTTATTTTTTTTTTTTTTTTTTTTTTTACACCACTTTATCCATTATTATAGACTATGCCTGGATCTGATATATTTACCAATAATACACCATCCATTCTTTCAGATTCATCAGAAGAAAGAAGACACTCTATGGATCACTCAACTGAACAACAAGACGAACAACAATGGTGGCAAGGAGAAAATGATTCCCCTTCTGATTCACAACCTACTACTACTACTACTACTACTACTACTACCGTATTGAATCATATGTTACCTTCCTCCAGTCAAGGTGACGAAACCAATGAACCATCTTCTTCTGAAGCTGAAAACGAACTTCGACGTAAAATCTTAGATATACAACGAGATACTTCTATCACTGCAAAAGATAAAGCACGCCAAATTCAGGTAAATACATTTCATTTATATAATATGTATCTCACTTATACCTATTTTATAGCAACTCATGTGGCAAGGAACTCAATCTTCACCAATTAATCAAGCTTCTTCATCAAGATCTTCAAATACACCAGAACTTATTTCAGAAGGTGAATCTATTTCCTATCAGGTAAAAAAAAAAAAAAAGAAAGTAATATCCTTATTTATTTATTATTACTGAACATACTATCTTTTTTTTTTTTTTTTTAGGATAAAGAAAAAGGAATCATGGGATGTCAACATTATCAAAGGAAATGCAAACTAGTAGCATATTGTTGTGGTAAGATCTATTCGTGTCGGTTTTGTCATGATGAATCTCCACACTCGGATCATGCAATAGTACGTACAGATACCAAGAGAATGTTTTGTATGCTCTGTCAAACGATTCAACCAGCGGCTCAAGTATGTGCAGGATGTCAACAAACCATGGCTCTATACTATTGTGACAAGTGCAAATTATGGGACGACGATCCATCCAAATCAATTTATCACTGTGATGACTGCGGTATCTGTCGACAAGGTCAAGGCTTAGGAAAGGATTTTTTCCATTGCAACAAGTGTAATATCTGTATGTCTATTGCTATGCTAGATAAACATCGTTGTATCGAACGCAATTTGGAATCTGATTGTCCTATTTGTGGTGAATATATGTTTACAAGTACTACAACCGTCATTTTTATGGTAAATCATATGCTTTTCATGATGACTGACTGACTGACTGATTTTTTTTTTCTGGGGTGATGATGAATAAAATAAAAAAAAAAAGCCATGTGGACATTGTATTCACAAAAGATGTTATACAGATTATATCCAAACTTCATATCAATGTCCTACATGTTTGAAATCACTAGGGGATATGTCCGATTACTTTGCTCGACTGGATCGTGAACTGGCTCGCCAATCCATGCCAATAGAATATGCAAAATATATTTCTCATGTATTTTGTAATGATTGTGAACTCCGGTCTCCAGCGAAATATCATTTCTTCTATCACAAATGTGCCCATTGCTCAAGTTACAATACCACTGTTCTCCGCACTGAAAATACGGAACTCAAGACTTCACCTCCACCTTCAGCATCCTCTTCCAGTACAACTGCATCTTCACCTTCATCTTCACCTCCTTCTGCAACCACTTTATTGGATCCTTCTTCAATCAATGGACTTGACTCAACGAATCAACTATCTTCTTCTACGCCCATCGATACCACCGTCAACACTGACATGAATACATTAGAAAGGGATCCAAATCTATATGACGAATGAATTGCCATCCAACCTTCTTGTTTTATTCCCCCACCTTTGTTTGATTTGTACATACTTTTGAACGTTATCTTCTTCCACTCTATATATAGTCCAACACATAAATACACGCTTCTGATTTTTTTTTTTTAGGTTTTATCATTACTTGATAATAAAGACTATTGACACAAAAAAAAAAGATCTACTATTGTTTTATTTGAATGAATGAAATAGACTACTAATACAAAAATAGATATTCAGAAGGATCATTCTTGATGTTGTGATCTTCTTTCCATGTCTTCTTGAAGTTGTTGTGTTGACATTGCTAATGCTTGCTGTAATTCTACATCTTCTTCATCAACCAGGTCATCTCTTAAACAACGAAAAAAAAAATAATGATTACTTTGTTTCTTTCTTTTTTTTTTTATTCTTCCTTTTTCTTTTTTAATGTTCATTAACTTACATATCTTCATTATCCACTGATCGTTCTTCATGTCGTTCAATCACATCTTGAATTTGATGCCATTCTTCTTCAGTATATTCAGTATCTTCATGACTAGGAGGAGGACTACGAATATATATATATAAAAGAATGAGATATCTTTTTTTATTGGATTAAGAAAAAAAAAAAAAGAAACTTACGCAGTAGAACCGTCCATTGGATCTTCCACCATGACAGCAGGAGATGCTTCTTGTTCGTCTTGTCCAGGAAAAGCACCAGGGATTTGATCACGACCCGATCGACCTCTTATTTGATTCATGACTTCCCGTATTCTTTGTTGATTCCCAGGTGCCAATTGTCCTCCAGCGACTAATGCTTGAAGCATGGCCAACAAACCTCCTTGTGAAGTATCTCTTGGGTTGTTTCTGCGTACTCGCATTCGTTCGTCCAGATCATAACCAGTGACGGAATCCGGTGGTGGTAAGGGATCGCTGGCATAGTACGTTTCATCTGTCACCGACCTAGGAAGAAGAGATAACCATTCACGTCGATCCTGTAACAGTACATGTCGGCATACATTCATTGGTAAGGCGTCTTCGTTGCTGCTGTTTTCTCGAGGAATACTTGTCAATGCTCCATTGTGATAACTGTTGTCCTTTAACACATGAGATATATTAACTTGCAACCAATTAAGGACCTGTCATATATATATAAGGAGGAGGAGAATGTGAGTATATAATATAAAGTACTTGAAATCTAATATCCATTTTAATATCATTATTGTTATTATTACCTCTGGTTCTTTCCACAGGTCTTTGATACGATCCACATACATAGTTAATAATAATGTCAAGTAATCATCTGTAGTTCTATATATTGTATAAGGACATAAAAGCTATTAGTAAATATCCAAATAAAAATAAAAAAAAAAGAAAGAGAGAGAATATATACATGAGAATATCTCTTTTAAAATATGATATTCAACTTACGTTTGAGTGAAAAAGGATAACTGTTGATCAACAATGGGATCCGATATACCCGTTTCTTCCATAAGTCTAAGTACAAATCCAGGGAATCTTGAGATGGCAATACGTAACAATTTGGATCCATCAAGATCATCATCCTTGTCTACTTGATCATTATTTTCATCCTTGTTGTTTTGTTGATGCAACTTGAATTTCGCATAAGCCATAGAAAATGCAAAGTTGGGTAAGAATGAAACATCCTTGGGATAATTTTGACCATCAGATTTCCAATGTTTGCCAAAGTCCAACACATATTGGTATTCACGTGCAGATAGAGCGTAATAGTCCATAGTAAGCAGGGCACCCGTAGGATCCTCAAATGGTGAGAGACTACATAGATATAATATATAAAAATAATAACAATAAAAAAGATCATCAATGAGAATCATCTTTTGCTATTCTTTTTAATTCTGTTGATTACCTGAATAAAAGCTTGTTGAATTCAAAAGCAGTTCGCCAACATCCACGACGAGTCAAGAATTCAATATGTCGTACCACTGCAATAAAGAAGGATCGATTTTCAGACCGTTGATAGGGTAATCGAACAGTACCTGAACCAAATGTAAAAAGAGGATGGAATGCTCGTTCACAAGCATATAATGCGCGATCTAAAATACCAAAAAAAAAAAAAATAGTTAATATCCTTATATTGTTTCCCAAAAAAAAAAAAATATTTACCTATGCAATCCCCTGCAGCAGCCCAATCGCCATGTTGTTTTGCGATATCAGAGATTTGTATCATACTGTCCACATGATAATGATATTGACTGAGAAGTCTGAATAATCCTTCGGGTTCATGTTGAGCAATAGCATTGAGATAATCCAATTGAAGATCTTGATATATTTCTTGATGTTGGAAAGCAAAAGAAGTTGTTCCATGTTTGGCTACACCCAGAGTTTCCATTGTCATTCCATATTTTTTATAAATTGGCCAATCTATTTTGGCAGTTACTAATTTTGTTTTCTTCAAAAGTCTGACATACATTTCAAAAAAAAAAAAGAAGAAAAAAAAAAGATATCAGTTTCCTTATCATATTGTACCTTCCATTTCTTTTTTTCCCTTATACCTTCCAGATAGTCTTGTTTCACGATTGACAACACGAGAACCAAACATACGTTTCATTTCAGCATCAGGATCCAAGTAACGGTAATGGACTGAAATAAGCTGACGAGTGGTGGGAGTGAGAGAAGCTTCAGGATCTTGATGTTGGAGTTCGGTTTCTTCGTTAGTGGCTTCCGTTGCTTGTGAGTCAGTCGTTTTAAGAGTGTCCAACATATCATTCAATTCTTCCAAAGACATCTCGGAAACATCTTGCTTTTTGTTGGTTTTGTTCTGTTTCTTTTTCTTCTTGTTCTTCTTGCTCTTATTGTTTATATTCGTCTTGTTTGGACTAGATTGTGATTGGATGTTCAAACTAGCTTCTTCTTCCTCTTCTTCTTCTTCTTGCTGTTCCGCTTCATCGCCTTCATTCAACTATATGAAAAGAAAAAGAAAAGGTGTTGGTTTTAGTCGACCAACAACAAAAAAAAAAAAAAAAAAGCATAAGCTAGTTTTCCTTTTTTTTTTTTTTTTTTTTTACCAAGTCAAATAGATTCTTCGCTTTGGAAGGAGGTTCATAGTCATCGGATTCTTCATCACTACTTTGATGTTCAGCCAAAGCAAGTTGTTCTTTTTGTAATCGACGTAAGGCGCGTGAAGACATGAATGTAAAAAACTAAAAGGAAAAGATAGTTATTTTCTTGCGTTTACAGAAAAATATTTGGTACAGCTTTTTGAGAGACCGCAGTCGCTTCCATTTTTTTTATTTTTATTTACCAAAAAAGGTCCTGTCACCTTTATACATCTTTAAAATTTTACTCTATATTCCATAAAATATAATCAAAATAGACAGTACACATAAAGTAGATTGCTCTTTTTTTATCACCTGTCACATTGGTTAAAAAGGGAATACGGGGTGATTGTTATTGAATAACGTTTGGACGGCAAGGAGAATGAAAATATATGTTAATGATGATTATCATATTAATTATGATGATGATGATGATAGAAATACCTACAAAATGAATAGCCTAACCAAAGATTTTGTGAGGAACACCTTACATTTTGGGTTGCTACAATCAAAAAAGTACATAGATATTTTTAAACTCCATATTTGAAAGAAACCACATTTTCCTTTGGATTTTTTTTCTTTTTTCTCCTTTTTTCTCTCTCTTTTTTTTTATGCACTTCAAATGAAATTTGTATATCTTTTTAGTCTTGTCATGATGGCAAGATTAGTACTTGGAAATACTGAAAAGATCATATTTTCCTCAACAAGTTGCTCATCCACTACATTATCAACAGCGTCTTTTCACTTGGAGCAGCCACTAATTCATCCTTATACATCCATACGTACACAGTTGATCTCACCTTCTTTGTATTTATACCCTTTACAAGACTTGACACCTCAATCCACCTATGAAGTTCGTTTATCTTATCCTGCAACGGTAAATGAAAAAAAAAAGAAGAAAAGAAACTATATTTATATGTATGATACCTTTAATGGAAGACTCACTATTTGTTATTTTCTTTTTTTTTTTTTGAAACGCGTTTAGGTGCCTACTGATTTTCAATTGAGTTTGATATGTAATGATACTGATATACAAGGAGTATTGATTCAAGGTCATTATGCCGGTGTGTCTCGAGAACCTGGGATGGAAAACGTACCAGTACCCGTAGATATAGGTAAAAAAAAAAAAAAAAAAAAAAAAAAAGATTGATCACATACTATCTGATGACAACCTTCCTTTCTTTCTTTTAGTACTTGAAAAACTAGCATTTGGAATAGTTTATCATGGTATCTACAAAATCATATTAATGATTGGTCTTGTTTTGACTCTTGGTTACTTTATCATTCTTCCTAGGATCAAACTCTTCTTATTACAACCTGTCAAATTCGATTAGATTAGTCATTTTTATCATTCATTTTAAATTAATAAATAAACCAAAAATCACATATTTTATTATTATTATTATTATTCACTATATACAAAAAAAAAAAAAAAAAAACAAATAAATAGTAATAAATCAAGCATTGATCGCCATCCAACCAGACATAGTACTATCATCCCGTTGTAGTCGCCAGGTATTCCAATAATGGAGATCCAATTTCAAAGCTACCACACGCACAATATCGTTCCGACTGATTGTCTTGATACGGATGTATCCTTCATCATTATTGTCATCGTCATCTTCATTGTCTTGATCGGCTCGGAGACATTCCTTTTCATCCACAGTAATATCACGTTGATCACTTGCACGTCGTACAGGAGGAATATAACTTGGACGTCGCCTACGTTTTGTTTCCAATTCATGAGTATGCACCACCTGTAAGAAATCATCCAGATCATGTACCGGTTGACCTTGTACTTCCACTATCCATACACCTGGTCGTAAAACATTCGATGCTGGAGATCCATATAATGTACAAGATACGTACACACCTGTAGGCACATTGCGCACTTGTTCCAAGACTGCCTTGTAGGGACGTTGAATCAGTGCCCCTTGCCATCCAATCACTTCAGTTGTTTCATAATCACTAAATGTGCTGAGTGGGATATCCACCTGCATTTCCTTGCCATCACGAAGAATCACCATACGTACTGTATCAAGATCCTGCAATGTTGTCAAATCTGTCATCCGCGTCACCAGCTTGCCTTGCATGGTTAATATAATGTCACCCACGTGCAAAATATCCGATAGAGCACTACGTTCATCTAAGATGTTGAGTACATATAGAAGTGTATATCGTTTACTTCCACTTTGTTCCAGTTTCTTGATCCATTCTTCTGAAAGTCCCAGTGTACGAGCTGCCGCTAGTCGCATAGTCCAAAATTCAGCATCAAGACCTTTGAATATCATAGGTTGATGATCGTTCATCATCATTCGTTGTAAAGTAGGTTGAATCAATGAAGACGAAAGACCAGACATAAACGATGTATCCTTGCCCTTTTCGTTTTGAGATGAATAGCTAACCCAAAGTGCTTGTACTAATCCATCACTTGTCGTTAGTAATCCACCTTGTGTACTAAGATTTTCGTCAATCTTGATGCCTTCCACATTCATGGCACGCCAACGAGGAGGAGAACATTCGCGAGTGCCAATATTAGAAATAGATGCCACCGTAACTTTTTTCAACATAGTAGAGTGATCACTACTAATACCAACAAAATGAGTTTCATCCCCTTGATTGAGTTCCACATCGCTGAATTCCAATGGCTTGATAGGTGTATCTCCAATCAAAGATGGATCATAGGTGATCAAAGCATAATTGTAAAAAGGATGTAAAAGGACAAGCTTCCCAGGAATAATGATACTATTGGCAAATGTAATAAAAACATCACCCAAACTGATAGGAATCGTATCACGATCGCAGATAATCAAAGGTCGAGGTCCAAGCGATACCACATATCCAGTACCATAGAATTGCGTAGCTTTCATACCATCCACCAAGTAGGGTAAGTAAAAATCAATAGCCACAAAAGAAGGCATGACTTTTTCTGCCAGAGCCAATGAAGTATCCAATGGAGGAAAACTAGCAGTTGATGGTGCATAAGCAAGATGTGATGATGGAGGAGGAGGCATGTCTTTGTAATCCCAAACACCAGTCAAATCTGTACATACATAAAAAAAAAAAAAAAAAGAGTGATATGTCAGTTCTCTATCTTTGTCTTTTTACGATATTATTCTAAATTTATTTACCATTTCGAGTAGCCAATCTAAATGGATGCCAATGTCGATCTACATGCATGATCATGACCTTATCCTTGTAAGCTTTATGTAAAGAGTAAAACCTATGAATGATATAAAATTTAGTAACCTATTCAACATGATGACCTTTTTTTTTTTTTTTTTTTTTTTTTTTTTTTTTTTTTTTTTTTGCTTTTCATACCGAAGAGGTACTCTAGCACCATCAGGAAGTTTGTTCATTGCATCAATAAAGGCTGCCAAATTGGGAGTAGGTACATTATTGACACTTGTAATGATAGATTTTCGCCAAGCACTTGCACTTGCCAACATATGACCTGAAGTAGCCACATAGACACCACCCACAGGTTGAGAATAACTTTTGGCCAATTGATAAGATAAATCATGTACAATACCACCACCAATTTCACAATATGTAGCAGGAGTGATACTATGTAAATCTTGTACAGTCAACTCCACGTCTTGAATTTTCTTTCCTCGACTAATTGTTAATTTGATAACTTCCCCAACAGCATCATCCAAGATTCCAAAAAGAGCAATAAAATGAGGCACCATTTTTCCATTACAACCAATTACGATATCACCAGCCACCAACTTCTTGTCAGCTGGACCTTCAGGAAGCACAGATCGCACCACAAGCATACCTGTTTCATCGGGAAACTTTGTTCGTACCTTTTCTTCCACATGAGCCTTGAGTCCTAAGCGTCGTACTTCATTGTAAGGTAAATATTCAAATTCTGTTTGTAGTGTTGCACGAGGTACAGTTTCTGCACGACGTATATAGTTGAGAGCTCGTTGAACGCGATCCAATGGTAAATAATAACTTGAAGATGCTCTACTTGCACCACCAGCATTTAAAGCAACAGCATGACCATCAATATCCAAAACAGGACTACCAGAAGATCCACCACTTGTACCAGATGCTGCTTGAAGATAAAATGTATTGAAATCATTATATTCACCTACACCATATTCAGGAGCACTAAATACATATATATATAGAAAAAAAAAGAAATCAATAAATCCTCTTTTTCATTTTATATCATATTTATTAAATTATTACCGTCTATCTAATCTTGCCAAAGTACCTGCCAAAATACTTAGTTTTTCACCAGCATCATTTCTAAAACAAAAAAAAAAAATCACGTCAGCGGTATTTCAAAGATAACCCCCCTAGTATCATGCATGCCGATCTTGAACTTACCCAACCACACGGATGTCCAAGCCTACTTTGGCTCTTTCGGGACTCAATTCGATTTCTTCCAATTCCATAAACTTGATTTTACTGGGGTCAAACTACAAAGCAGAATAATAAGAATCCCATGAAGTTTTTTTTTTAAGAATGAATTACCTGCATAAATCCAAAATCATGAACAGGATCACGATAGATAGGCATCAAATCCACTTCTTCATAGTTGGTCAATACAGCTTGTGCTACAATAGGTGCAGGAGAGACAACATGACGATTGGTTAACACAATACCTTGTTGAGCATCCACGATAAACCCAGTAGCAGTATAAGCACCTATTATTTTTTTTTTAAAAAAAAAATAAGTTATGAAGATACTTTTGAATTTTTTTTTTTATTATTACCTGAAGTTTCAGTATCAAAACTACGAACATGACTAGCTTTGATAGAGATGATAGCCTTAATCGCTTTTTCAAGAGTCGGTTCCCACGTTTTCGCCTTGTAAGGAATACCAGTTGAGAATCTTGGATCAGGACCCCAGAAATCAACAGGTAGTTGATGTAAGAGTGATTGACCTGTCATGTCATATGCAAGTGATTTAGACCGGCCTCGTGGAAAAGGTGCTGATGGTTGTTGAAGAGTACTAGAATGATTGAATGGTGGCGATTGTTCATAGTGTGTCACCACGTGTGTCAAACTATCACGATGGGCTCGAAGATTGGATTGAACATTATCTACTTGATTAGGTGCTGGTGAGGATACATCACCTCTAGGTGAAGGTGACATGGTCAAAGGATGTTGTGATTCCTCCATTTCTTACCAAGAAGAAAAAAAAAAAAAGAAAAAAGATAAAGAAAAAGGGATAAAGAATAAAAAACAAAAAAAAAGTAAAAAAAAAAAATTTATGCCATAGAGCCCAAAAGTTTTTTTTTTCATAGTCAGTCGCACTAAAACATTAAGGCATACATAAAAAAAAAAAAAAAATAAAAATTTCTTTATTTCAAATGGATAGACAAAAGACACATGATAGATATAAATATATAGAACTAAAACAAATATATACTATAATCAAATATCATCCTTTAATTGACTTTTGCTTGAAGGCCTACCAAAACGATGTACACGAAGATGTCGTCGTTGATTGGATTGTACACTAAATCGTCTTCCACAACCAGGTTCAGGACAGACAAAAGGTTTTTCACCAGTATGGGAATAAGTATGAATACGTAAAGATGAAGGACGAGAGAAGAGTTTGTGACAATAAGGACATACGTATCTAGCAGTAGTAGTGGATGAAGTGGATGTTGTATCAGTATGATGATTATTATTGGTAGTGCTTGGTGATGGTTCTCTTGATAATGATGGTGATGATGATGTAGACATTTTTGTAAGATTGTCATCCATAGTATGAAGAAGCATAAAGTCCACTGTGTTGGCAGATACTGCTCTTCGATGTTGTTGTTTTTCTCTTCGTTGATGAAAATGATGAGATGATGCATGCTGACGTATTGCAGAAGATGATGTAGGAGAGTTGGGAATAATACGTGGTATAGCAGCAGAAGCAGAACCAGCAGCAGCTACTGAATTGGAAGGTGAAGGATGAGGTGGAGTTAGATAGGTTGATGTTTCAGATAATGTTGAAGAAGATTGTGCTGGTGTAAAAGATGGTGGAGTCAAAGTAGTAGTAGATCTTGTTGTTCTAAATGGAGGATCGAGTTCAGAGATAGAACGACCATGATAATATGAAGTCATGCCATGTGTTTGTTGTTGAACAGAACTACCTAACATCCAACTGGGAGTGACATGAGCGAGAGCAGCATTATTGATCAATGGTGTTGGTTTGTTGTTCACATGTGATTGAATAGATAAACTTTGGAGTTCAGCTGGTAGACTACTAATACTTTGTGTATTGTTATGACCTATTTGATGTCGGGTTTCAGAAGAAGGTGATGATGACGATATAGAATCTAGAAAGGAAAAAAAAAAGAAATAGTAAAGTTCATATAAATAAATACAATAACATATTATTCCAATAACATACGAGCATCTTCAGGTAATAAACACTGTATAGGAGGTAGACTTGGTTTCTTGGCATGCATTCCCAAGATTCCAACAAAGTGTAGTAGTAGAATATAGAAAAGGAAAAAAAAAAAAAAATGGAAAGAAGGATTACCCAAATCCTTCTTTTTTTTTTGGAAAGCGGAAATTTAAAGTTGATGCAGAAAAAAAAAAAAGGAAAGATCATCCAAAGAAAGACGTAAAAAGATCGTCCTTACCTGAATATCAATGATCGTCAATATAGCTAATTTATCATATGTCTTTTGACATGCCATTGTCATCATCCAAAAAAAAAAAAAAGAAAATCCTAATCAATTAATACACTTTATTCATTTCCCATAAATCCTTTCCCTTTTAGAAAAAAAAAATACCGATATTGATAAATAAATAATGATATTTTGTATATGATTTATTAATAGAGAAATGAACAAAAAGGGAAATATAAAACTGTAAAGTCATAAATCTATCATACAAAAAAAAATATACATATTCACTCTACATTTTGTTTCAAATTGGGTAAAGATGATAATAGTAAACGCAAAAATTCAAAAATGTTCAAAAAAAAAAAAATCGATATTAAAAGAAACTATATAACTATTAAAATGAAGGGAAAACCAATCCAAAAAGAGGGAGAGAAATAATTCATTATATAATAGTAGTAACTTGAGCCGGTAGTTTGCGAACTAAGCGATAGATATGTACACCTGTTTGTTGATATGATTGTCCAATAGAGTCCAAATTGCTTTTTGTAATCCAATCTTGAGCAAACGATCCTAGCCAACCTTCACCATCCAAGCGTTTCTTATTTTTCTTCAATTTGCCGTATCGTTTTTCCCATCCGATTTCTTCATCATAGACTGTTGATCTATTATTATTGTAATGACTGGTATAATTGCAATCACTGGTATTGTCGTCATCATATCCAAGTGTTTGTATATCAAAATGTTCATGACATAATCCAAAAAAATATCTTTCATCTGCCTCTTTTAATCCACGTCGTTTGTATCCCAGATAAATCACCGTACGACCAGGTATTGATAAATCCACCAAAGTAAGCACCAACGCAGCGAAATTCATAGGTTCATATAAGACATCAGACGCAATGATGATATCGATTGGAGCCTTCTTCTTGACCAATTGAATATCTTCTTTATTTCCCCAGGATAACGGTGTTACTGATATACAACTACTTGGTTTGATTCTGTTAAGATTTTGATTGTAAGTAATTAGAGGTAAAGCATCTGGTAAGTCAGTCAAAGTAATCTTGATATTTCGATAAATAGATGACATGTTTTGATAAAGAAAGGATATCAGAAGACCAGCAGTTCCCGTTCTGAATGCCGAAAGTCATAATAATAATAATAATAATAAACATCAGTATTTCCGATCACACACACACACACACATATATATATATATATATATATATAAAAGATCCTTACCCTGCACTAAGATCTAATAAATGGCAATCTTCCAGGCATTTTGGCTGTTCAATAATTTTTTGTACAAACAAATCCGAGATCACTAGTGCTGAATCCCACATCTTGCCAGGTGTTCCCATATTCCAACCTTCCTTGATTATAAAGTATTGATCTAGAGTAGTCACTTTGAAAGCACGATACATTTCTTGAGAATAACATCCAGTAGTAGTCATCCATATTTGATCAAAAGAAATAGGACCCGTCTTATCATGTCTTTGTTGATACCCTGTTGCCATTGTTGTCCTTGTTGTTGTTGTTGTTGTAGTATTGGTAGCAGCATTAGTAGTATTTTGAGATATAGAACTAATCATCGACCGATAGATAGGATATTTTCTAATAGTGATTGGACCTACCACTAGTGGCAAAGCATGTATTGTTTGATGTGGTTCAAAAGTAGGTATAATCATCATATAGAATGGAACTGAAGGTAATGTTGTCCTTTTCGTTGCTGTTGCATATGTTGCGACGGTCGGTGCACCTTCTTTATTTGACGTTGCCGTATTGATTTTCCAAAGATTTCGGGTAATTTTGAATTCCAATCCACCAGTACTAGAATGATCAAAACCAGTACAGTTTGCCATGTGTGCAGTGTCGTCCGTTGAATCCCAGGCATCATACTGTAATGGACGCCATTCCACCTTCCAATCTTGAATCCTACATGTCGTTTGTCCAACTCTTGCTAATAATTCACATGCTAAACCCATACTTGGTGCTCTTGTTCGTTGCCCCTTGATAGCCATGCCAAATTCATTCAATACTGCCAGGTCAAGTCGATACCATTGATCCAATATAACATTTGTAGGAAAAGTGCGCTTCAATACAATCCGTAGAAGAGAAGAATGGTTTTGCAGATGGTGATAAAAATGATCGCCACCGAAGAATGATTCATCAATAACCAAAGAATCGGATGAGTCATAAGAAGAAGTAGAATTTGTCGAAGAGGAAGACGATAGGACAGGAGAAGAAGACGACGTACTTGCTTCTGTACTTGATACGACAGTATTTATTGTTGTTTTCTTTGTTGTTGTTGTTGTTGTTGTTGTAGGTAGACATACTTTTTTGGGAATAAATAATGGTGATGAATAAGGAAGTAAAATCCTAAGGTGCTTTTTAAAGCTGTTATGTTCAGAAGTCCCTTGGTCAAAACCAGTAAGTTCACTTGAAACAGAATATGGTGACATGTTGTTGTAGGTTCCAAGTCCAATAGCTTAAGAGGTATGTAGACAAAGGGTATAATGCTATAAGAAAGGAGAATGTAGATAAATAGATCAAGTATATATTTCCGATCAATTCAATATGATAGAAAAAAAAAAAAAAAAAAAAGAACAAAGAAAAAAAGTAAAAGAAAAAAAAAATCAAACTCCATTCTATCAATTTTTTATTTTTATTTTTATTTTTTTTTTTTTTGAGCCTAATCTTACTTTCCCGATTGCATTAGAATAAAACCTCCCTATTGCCCTTGCCAGAATCAAAGAAGAATTTTTTTTTTCTTTTATTTATTGTGATATAATAAAAATAGATCATAGAGAATAATGAAAATTTTATAACGAGAATAAACTACTACTTGATAAAAAGATACATATATAAATGTATAAAGTGGCGTACACAAATAAAGAAAAAAAAAGATTCTAAACTTAAGCTTGAGTAATAATGTTTCCAGGTGCATTATCCACTTTACGTAAATCCAACATGACTTGTTTCATCCGACTGACGTCTCTTGTATGATGTCCAGATTTGGCATTGGTAACATCAAATTCACGTACAACACGTTCCCAGATATTGTTGGAACTCGAAGTTTCTTCACGATCCTTTTGATAGTTTTCTTCTCTTGCTCTATATTAAAAATGAAAAAATGAGTCTTTTTTTTTTATCTCATTCTTTTCTTTTACCTGTTTTCTTCAATGGATTTTTGTTTCTTTTCATTATATTCTTCATAGAATCGATCAATATCTTCTCTAGCTTTTTGAATAGTTTCTTGTTTCTTATTTTCAGCTTCTTGGTCACGTTGTGCAATCAGTTCCTGTTGCTTTTCACGCCATTGACTAAATAAAATACAATAATGAGTCACCTTTTCTTCTTTTCTTTTTTTTTTTTTCTATTTTTCGTTTACCGGACAACAGCAGGTTCTTCATCGGGTAACATAGCTTTATGGAAAGCCTATTATTGTTATTATTTTTTAAAAAAAAAGAACATAAAAAGAAAATAAAAAGAATTGAAATGATGAAGTCAAATGGAAAAAAAGAAGGAAAAGTTTACCTGAGAAGTTTCTAATTCTTCAGCCTTAGGGAAATCCGAGTCAAATGCAGAATAGTCGTTGGAAGTAGAAGTAACAGCCAAAGCATCATTGGAAGAAGAAGTCAAAGCAAGAGAGTTGTCAAAAGAAGATGATGGTTGGAAAGAAGAAGTATCAGCAGTAATGGCAGGGAAGTCAGTAGTATTGGTAGTAGTAATAGGAGCATCCATATTGAATAAGTCAGCATCTGCTCCTAAAGCAGCACGTTCACGAGCAAGGAAATCAGAAGTAGGGTCGCTAGAAGTATTAAAGTCACCAAAATCAGACATGGTTTTTGTAGTTAATTAAAAAAATAATAGGATAGAAAAAAAAAAAAAAAGAAAAGAACAAGAAGGAAACAAAAAAATTCCATCCTGAAAAAAATTAAGGCACCGACAACTTTTTCTGTCATTCATACCTCTTTTTCCCTTTGTCTTTTTCCCATAATGGATAATAGTGTATGTCTATTTGTATTATATCAAATATTTATTTATCAACAAAAAAAGGAAGAACTTATCTTACTTTTATAGGACCTTGGTAAAAAACGTTCTCTTGTAATAAACAAAATATTAAAGGATTTAATTTATGATCAAACAATATCTGACACGGTAAAAAAATTTAATTAATATCACAAAATAATAATAATAATAAAAAGTATACTCATTCTTTTTATTATTATTATTATTATTATTTTAATTTATAGCAACGAGAAGTATTACGATCTTATATTTACTCGTCATCGGATTCCAACTGCAGTAAAGTAAATATATATCCACACTCATACATAACACAAAGGAAAATAAAAAAAAAACACGTCTTTATTATTATAATTAATATGATTCAAACTTGTATTATTTTTTTTAATAGGAAGATAAGAAAATGATCACTAAGCAAGTTGACCAAGTTATTCAAGGAAGATATAGACAAGTTGTTCAGCTGGTAGCACAATATCAACCTGATATTCAACAACAAGGAATGCTTATTGAACGATCAAATGCTCAATTGGTTGTGTCTTCTGTTGATCAACTTTATACAAAGCTACAAGATGCCTCCATCGATTTGATTCACAAAAAAATTTCATTATCCAATGAGATCACCCGATATGTCAAAGTAAGTAAAACAAAAAGAACATAAAATAAAATATATTCATTTTTTTTTTCTGATACAAGGTCATTCTCGAACTACTGGACGTTCTTTGGATGATTATTCAAGAATTCAAGTATACTTTTGAAAAAGAAAAGAATCTGACATTGGACGCTTATCTTGGTATTATGGCCGATGCTGTCCTTCTTCGTAGAAAGTAAAGGAAAAGAATTCTCCCATAGAATATGATTTTTTACCTTTTTTTTTTTCTTTCTTATATTATTCTTAGAAAACTTCATCTATCTATCCTGACAGCAACTTATGATGATCAACTTGTAGCTTCACTTCACTCCTTAAGGTAATACAAAAGAAATCAAGGATCAATGCAGCTAACATTTTTATTTAGAACCATGCTAGATGAACGAACAAATGAAGCCAATAAGGATTTATCGAAAGCAAACGATCAATTACAGAAATATCACCACTTGGGACCCATGTTTGAAAAATTGCGGAAAACGTATTGTGATGTATTGAAGCATATTAGATCTACTGAAGATGATATACTACGAATGAAAACTAGATAGTATCTGTCACCTTTATTCCATATACCCATCATCATTCTTACTATTATTCCTATTATTATAATTATTATCCACCACTCCATCATCCAGCATTTATAATCATCTATCATCATTATCTATTATTGGTCAATAAAGAAAATATCATGATCATATGAAAAAAATATGAAAAACTAAGGATGATATATCAACCTTCTACTCCACATAATAGAAAATATATCTTTCTACTCTTTCCAATTTTTTTTTTGTCCCTGAGTTTTTTCGTCCTTTCTCTGCCTGAGTCTTTCATTTCATTTCTTTTCTTTTCTCAAAAACAGTGTAAAGACTGGAACTCAACTTTTACACCAAGATACGTCTTTGATGAAACCTTTGGAAACCTCACAAGGCGTGTACTAAACTTAGTAAGTTATTAGAAAACCATTATTTATATTTTGGAGCTAATCATAATACTTTTATATCCTATAGATTGTTTATTTCCAAAAAAAAAAAAAAAAAAGATAGAATAATGTTGTGTGTTGTAATAAAATAAAACTTAAACAGTACATGAAGGGAAGGTGTTAAAAAAAAAGAGGCTATCGTATAATAAAGAGATAGGGGGAGAAAAAGACAGGTTGATATGAGTATATGTGTATAGAGAGAGATAGAGAAAAAAAAAAAAAAAGATAGAAGAGATTTACCCAAGACTTGTGTTGTTCAAACAACTCTATCAAGTCGTCAGATACAAACATTGTAACGGATCATGATTAATAGTTGTAACTATCACGGGAAAAAGCGGGATCTTGAATAAAGGCAGCAAGCACCTTACTACCAGTTTGTAACAAAGGATGTCCAGCAACACTATATATATATATATATATAAAATAAAGAATAAGTGATCACATATCCTCTACATTTTCTTTTAAATTACATCTGTAAAAATCGTTCTAAGCCTTCACGACGACTTTCAATGACTTCATCCGAGAATCGATTGGTGAATACTTTTCCAGGTAAAGGAGGGATAGTCACTCGAGTTGTTTCACGTTCCAATACATCCCTAAACCATTCAAAGTCGCTGTATCGTCTACGAACCGTAGAATGTTGAATTTTGAAAGCTGGAATGTTCGTCTACATGATAACAATAATAATGAAAATAATAAAAAAAAAAAAAACAAGGTTTAATGTATATAGGTTCTTTAACTACTTATCTTTTTTTTTTTGTTTTACCTTGCACACAATTTCGTAGTCAGTAAACATTTTACGGCCAAACCCTATATTGAAAAGAAAAAGTCAATTATCTACTAAACCAATCTCTCTCGTTTTTATCCATTAAAACTATCTTGATAAATGTTTCTATTTCTTACCATGAGTCAAAGGATTCTTTACTTCAATTTCCAAAAAGTTTTCGGGAGCTCCGTAACGTTCTTCGACAGTTTGTTCTCTTGTAATGGGTCCAGCCATGCTTTGAAAAGCTTGAAAACGAGGTACTGGAGAGGATGACATAATATATATAATTAATTAGTCAAGTAAAAATAAAAAGAAGACGGTGAGTATAACACCAAAAAGTATAATATATATATAAAGTTGAAGGGAATAGAGAGAAAGATGAGAAAAAGAACAAGAGTTTTTCCATTGAAGTCCAAAAAAAAAAAAAAAAAAAAAAAGAAAACCCACTCCAGTCAAGTCGGAGACGAAATCTATTGCTTTGTGAAACAATTACACTGAGCGTGCTACGACCTATCTTCAATGTCTAAAGGTCCATTTCTATTAATCATCACCCATCATCAAACATATAAAAGAAAGAGAGAGAGAAAAAGGGAAGAATTTATCCCTATTTAATTTATTTATTCAACATTACTGTAAGAATAGAATGAAGAAAAAAAAATCATATAAAGTTCCAACAGAGAGATCATTTTTTATTATACTCCAGTGTTCTTTGGATTTTCACGAGCATCAGCCCACATTTTAGCCTAATCGATAGCAATAAAGATTAAAATACGATTCAATTCATCTGTTTCAAATAACATACCACTTCTTTGAAAGCCTATACATACATCAATAAAAATAATAATAATAAAAAAAAAGAGGATACTCATCTTAGTAGAAGAAAATGAGCGATTCTTTCTACAGTACTTACCTCTTTGTGACTTATGCCTGGATGAATCGCCTTATAGTGAGGCAGTTGATCCTATGTGGAGAAATTGCAAAAAAACGAATATGGTTGTCAGTAAAATATAGATGATGATCGATGGATAATAAGATGATGAGGTACTACGATCATTCTATGATGATGGACGGTAAGATGACGAAATTCTACTATTATTATGATGATGGTGATGATGATGGTGATGATGATGGCTAACTGTATAAATATGACGATGATCCGCTACCTTCATATACTTGTTGTATGGACTGGTATGGGGCCTCTTTCGCCCAGGGGACATCCCATGCTTTTCTATATACAAACAGAAAGAAGCACAATTAATAATGATGGATGCCGAAGATAGAAATATGAGTCAACTTACTTGCTATCTCTCCTTGTCCTGGCTGATCGTGTCGAATTCTCGGCATGTTGTAAGAATGTATCAAAATAAACTTGAAAAAAAAAGAATAGATATAAAAGAAAGAAGAAAAAAAAAAACAGAGAGGGTAAATATTCTTTTTGCATTTTATTAAACAAACACTGATGCTAATGTTGGAATCTGTCTACAGCATCTTTGTGTAATGATGATCAAAAAAAAAAACAGAGAGGGTAAATATTCTTTTTGCATTTTATTAAACAAACACTGATGCTAATGTTGGAATCTGTCTACAGCATCTTTGTGTAATGATGATCAAAAAAAAAAAAAAAAGGAACAAATAATCATAAAAAAATTCCCGCAGGAAAAAAGAAAGACACAGACACATACAATAAACAAATAAAAAGAAATAGTTACAATGAGATAATAAGATACTTTATTCAATCATACTAATATTACATTACTACAATAATTTGACACCTACTAAGTTTGTACTAGTTCACTTTGTAATCCCACCAAAGCCTTTTGTTCTGACTCGTCTTGCACCAAGCCCAAGATCAACACAGTGATGACGCGATTTCCCACCAGATAGACCTTGACATTATTTTCAAACACGTCCTTGATTTGCTGTAATAATCTATTATATTCTTTAGACTGTGGCCCAGGCTTGATTAAAGGTTCAAAGAATGCATCAACAGTTTTTATACGGAATCCATTCTCTTCATCGTCATCTTCATCAAATCGATCGACATGTGTATTTCGTACCAAGAGACCGGCCTGTTCAAGTTCAGATCGCTGGCTAGGTAAACTATCCGAAGACCAAGGCACTGCCACATTCAACCATGGTGCATCTGTTTCTGATACCAAATAAAGATCATTGGTTTGAAGTTTGTCTTGGCATTGTTGTGCTGCTGGGAACAAAGTGATGCAAGGCGCAGTAGACTGAAGTGATGGTTGCAATGGTTGTTGTTGTACTGGTGGATTAATCACTGGGTTGTTGAGCATAGCAAGATAATTGTTATCATTGTTGTCTGTCATCTTTGAAAAAAAAAAAAAAAAGAAAGAAAAGAGACAAGAAAAAAAAAATTAAGGTTTTTTTTTTTTTCCTTTTTGAACAAAATCCAAAAAAAAAAAAAAAAAATTGATGGCGGACCTAATCATCCATGGTTTAAAAAATTAAAACATATATTAAATAAAATAATATGAGACTAGATAAGTTGTATTTTTTTTTTATTTCACAAAATATAAAAACAAGATGGATAAAGAGGACATAAAAATAAGAAGTGTGCATGAAAAAGTATAAACAATATCTATTTAAGCACGAGCCAAACGAGCATTGCGAGCCAATTGACGAGCGTTGAGACGGAGAACCTTCTTGTCGTTAGCCTTGGGAACAACAGCATCCTTTTCAGTAAGAATAACTTCAATGTGAGAAGGAGTGGTCATGTAAGGGTTGATACGACCATGAGCACGGTAAGTACGACGACGGTGCTTGGGAGCTTGATTGACAACAACACTGGAAATGTAGAGTTGATCAATATCCAAACCCTTAGCCTATTTTTTTTTTTAAAAAAAAATAATCATTCTTATGTAAGTAAAATGGATATCGACTTTTTTTATTGTATACTTACTTCAGCGTTAGATTCAGCATTCTTCAACAAGTCAGTGATGAACTTGACAGACTTGACGGGCCAGCGAGCTTGAGTAGTACCGAATTCCTTGGCTTGAGCAGTACGACCAACACCACCATTGAAACGACGGAAAGGAATAGCTTGCTTGTGTTCAGTGACGTTGTTCAAGTAAGTATAAGCCTTGGTCAACTTCAAACCTTGAACGGCAGCGGCGACTTCGTGAGTGTTCTTGAACTATATATATATACAAAAAAAAAAAAACGATCAGTATCCATCTTTCTCGTCCTGCAAAATAATCAAGTTCATCCGTCTTTATTTCATTATTATTATTTTTATGATTTTTCGTTTCTGATGCGATTGTTGTTATTATCGATATCCTTTTTTAAGATATATATATATATATGGTTGGATACGTACGTGAACACGAAGGTAAGAGCCTCTGGATTTGGCGGCTATATAATATAAAACAAAATAAAGAAGGTTATATAACAATAACTATTTCCTTTTTTTTTTGCATGTATTTACCCTTGGCATTGTTAACAGGAGCAGCAGCGTATCTAACCATGTTGAATCTAAAATCAAAATGTGGAAATGTTAATATCATCATTTGATCCTTACATATATATATCCATTCATCCATCCATCCATCCATCCATCCGTCCCTTCGTTCTATCCATGTTTCTTTTTCATATTTGATGATCCTTTTCGTTGATTCAAGTTGTCTTTTTTTTTTCTTTATTCTTTTGTGTATATCCTTACCTCAGGTAAAAGAGGCACGAAAAAGGAAGGATACAATGGGTTGAGTGTCTGCTTCACAATATTCATTTTTTTTTTTTTTCAAACAGCAACCGCGAGTCGGTCTTTCAAATGCCCGTCAACTAACCATCATTGAAAAAAATGTAATCATGCAAATAATAAATAAATAACAAAGAGTAATATGCGTACACATCGAAAAATATTGTTAAAGTCTACAAGAAAACAACAACAATATATATTAAAAGGTCTTTTTTTTATTGTCATATAGAAGTCTAAAAAAAAAGGTACTTTTCTAGTTCATACAAAACGTTGTTCTACTGAAGTCGTCATATTGATATCAATCCTACATTTATCCAAAAAAAAGGAAAGAAAGAAATGAGCATTCTTTTATTTTTCATACCATTGTTCTCATTACCTATTCAACCGTTCGGTAATATCGCCAGGTATTTTATCAGGCATTAAACCAATAAATAAAAGCAAGTTTCGCATTTGTTGTTTAATTTGTTGAATATGAGGCATCATTGAAGCTCGGTTGTCAGGTATTTGTGTCAAAGCAAACCAAATATTATACAAAATATCACCAGAAATAACGATCAACCCAGGTAAATTATTGTAGATAGCATCAGCTTGTTGTTTTTCAAGACGACTAAAATGATCACACATGGATTGAATCTGGCCCAAGGTTATCTTTTCAACCAATGGTAAGATACCAGATGCTTGAATAGCCTATTATCCAAAAAAAAAAAAAAAAAATTGACTGTCATCAGCCTTTTTTTTTCACTATTTCATCATTTTATATTTACCCATAAAGCTTGTTCATCCTTTTCTTCTCCATAGAGCCATACACCTTTAAATAGTAAGATAAACGCACGAATCATTTGCTTCTTGTTGTCATCTGCTGCTCGGAATCCACTACCACCACTACTACTGAGGTTGGCATCACAATGTTGCAATGCTGATTGTGCCATATCCACTAATGATACCTGTTGTTTTTGTGGACTTATACGAATGTCGGGATTTGCCTTGGCTGCGTTGATATCTTTGACAACCGTGAATAATGTATCACCCAGTTCCTTAATTAATACATCCAAGACTTTGTTGTCATCATTTGATAGCTGGTAAACATGAATAGCCTCCGTATATCTTCCTTTTTTCACAAGTCTTTCACCAATAGGATGTAATATATGCGTGGAATAAGTCGTTTGATCTTGAACACCTAATAATCGTTTATATCGATCGATCAAGCCAAGCTAAATATTAAAATAGAAAAGATATTCACGTTATTATTTAACGTTACAGTCAACTTCTTTTTTTCTTCTTCTTTACCTGTCGTTTTCCTTGACCAGGTGAATTGGTACCAAGAATACATTCACCATCAGGGAAGCACAAAACCAAATCTTGAATATATAAAAAGGAGAGTTTGAGCATTTCTTCTTGATTAAACATGGTAAGTAGGAAAACATATTGAATAGCAGCCTTTTCCATTTCCACTCTTGTATCTTCCGTTCCTTTGCGATCTATATATGCTGATTTAATATATTCACGTATAAACCTGGCAAAATTGAATGAGACTTGTTGACTAAGTTTCTCTGTCGTAACTACATATTTACAAAAAAAAAAAAAATATTAATTCAACTGAACACAGATCATGGTTATACCTCACTCTTATATGTTTACCAATTCCAGAGTTAGATACAAGTGGATCCTTTGGAATGCATAATAGACCATAATAACCAAGAACAATAGCATAATGGACAGCCGCAAAACGAGTTTGTTCGAATTGATGTAAATATGAAATCGCCTAAAAATGAATAAAAGGTACAAAAAAAAATGTTAACATTTATATATATTGTTTTCTTTTTTTTTAAAAAAAAAAATATATCATCATCATTTGTTACCTTTTCAAACTGTAATGTTGAGAGTAAGATCTTGAAATAAGGCCAAGGGGTATTACCATTGCGATCATAATGACCTGAACCAAATCCATTGATAGCATCTTGTAAATCTTGTAGTGTATAGCGTTCATTGATATACTCTTCTTGAGTACCGGGTAAGCGAATCAAAGAAAGCTTTTATTTGAGAAAAGTGGCCATAATAAAAATAAATAAAAACAAGGTGAGAATTTCATTTTTCTGATATCCTACTCCACTTTTTTTTTTCTTTACCTGTAACCAGAGATAATCTTCACTTGATCTAATAATAGTAGGAAGGGTCTTGTCAACTTCACATCGTCCAATAACCTTGTATAACAATAGCTTGTAAGGATCTACAATCTCATTTCCATATTTCATTTGTTCATATTCGGCCAAAACAGCAACAGAATGTGACCGTTGGAGTGTTTTCTCTGGATGATTCATATATTCCATAAAGTATTTGATGAAAGACGGTGCCGCTGATTCAAAATCTTGTTGATGATCATTGACGTATTTAATTGCTAAGGAAGGATGACCAGATCGTAGTAACATGTAAAGATAAGCCCACATAGGAATACCATCCGCAATCTAAATTACATAAAGTACGAATTTAATAATAATAAAAAAAGATTGTTCATTGATTATGGGTGATATAGACTTTATATATATGATTTTACCTGGAAACGATCATCGATCCATCTTGATCCTCTTTTGAATGTAAATTGGATAAAAGATTGTAATCTGACAACGAAAGAAGGGTTTCCACCAGTTTTGGCTTTGCTTGCATGTTTCCATAAAGTACTATCGATATAATGAATATATCTAATAATAAAATGAAGAGAATCAAACAGTTAAATGGATATATATATATATATATAACTTAATCCTTTTTTTCCCGTTTTTTTTTCACTTACTGTTTTTCCAACCATGATTTAGATATCGAAATCAAACAGGATTGAGTAGCCAATAATTTTGGGTTGTGTGGGGTATCATATAATGTCCAAGCTAGGTTGTCATCCTTGAGCTTATCGAACTGTGTTACAAAATATCGCAGTAATTGTTGAGCATCTTCAGCATCACTTGGTGGAGGTGTTGGAGTTGTAGAGAAATTTGAGGTGTTGATTCCTTTTGAAAGTGATGTTGAAGAAGATGGCAATAATGAAGATGGTAAGGCAGCAATCAAATCGAATTTCTTGCCTTGCTTTTCTCTTTCTTGTAATCGATGATCGTTCAATTGTTGAATGGCTTGAGCAAGATCGAGCAAATGATTATTTTCCCTTTCTAATTCCTTTTCATTATACGTCCCTTTTATATCTTTATCTTTGTTGCTAATATTGCTCTTCAAGCTGTCTGATATATTGAGGATTGGTGCCTGTTGATCCCATTCATTTAAACACGTCTGTGCCTTGGTATTCCAATCGGTGTCCACTTTGACCAAATTTCCTTGAATACCGAGTTCTTCCATCTAGATATTTTCACAAGATAAAAATAAATAAATAATAAAAAAAAAAAAAAAAAAACGTTTACTATTAATATTATAGTTGTATGGTGACAATTATTTTCGCATACAATCAGTTCTTCATTTTTGAATGCTTCTTTCATGGCCTGCTCATAAGATTGTTCCAAATATTTCTATAATAGATATAACATAAGAGATAAGTATCGACTGTAATGAAAAGACTCTTTTTTTTTTATTTGTTCACTTACGTCGACATTAGCACCAAGACTGCGTTCACGACGTTCAAAAGTGGAGGATGTATCTAGTTTTTTCAAGACTTCAGAAATTTCATATTGGTTTACCCCACCTTGAGCTAACAAACAGTGTCTAAATATAGGTATAGAAAAGTTATATTAGTTGAGAATAATAAAAATATAGATTGAGAAAACATTTTATTACGCTTTGATATAAGGATCTTGACTATGAGCTTTTGTCTTATCAGCTAACAGTTGAGTTTCAGCACCGATTTGGTCAAGTTCACGATCAATGTAAGGAAGTTGATGTAAGCTTGACGAAGTAGGTTGTACGAGTTGTTTTGACTTTTCATAAAGTTTTTCAAATATAAAGCTACTCATAATCTATTTCCACAAAAAGTAGCAACAAAAGCGCGTTTAAACCCGAAAGAAGAAAAAAAGAAGCAAGGCAATTTTTTTTTTTTTGAGTTCCCAAATAGAGAATTTCTTGACACAGTGGAGCTCCAGCAGTCACTGATTTCCCACTCCACTTTACGCTTTACTCTTAACTTTTTTCGTCCGAGTTTTTCCTCTTTTCTTTTTTTTTTTTTCTTCCATTCCTTTATTCACCCTTTTAGTCATGTCCGTCTTACGTCCTCTTCATACTCTCTCTTCTCATACTTTATTAAAAAGAGTTACTATTAAGCAAACACCTCTTGTGTTGGTAATAAAGTCAACTTTACAAACTCATTCTTTTTGTTAACAACTTGTATATCTTTTTTATTAGCAACAAGTCCGTACACAGGCCACTGCAGTGAATGATAAGAAAGGAAAACCTTCTCGACTAAGTGAACTCAAAGCAAGATTGGCTGCTGAAGACGCTGCTGCTGGATTAGACGACTTTGTGAATCCTGGATATGAAAAGTTGACTACTTCTGAAGCCTTAGAATTACGGGAAACTGTGGTAGAAGAAGGAAAGAAAGTGGTCACTACGAAACTGTAAGTCAATAGAAAAACAACTAAGGATGAATAAAACAAAAAAAAATAATAATAATCGATTTCTTTTTTTTTTTTTTTTTTGTTCTTTCTTCTTTGGATAGTAAACAACCTCGTTTACCTTCTTGGTTAAAAACCGATATTCCATCAGGACAAAACTTTGGCAAGATTAAGCGGGATTTACGTGGATTGAAACTCCATACAGTGTGTGAAGAAGCGAGATGTCCAAATATTGGGGATTGTTGGGGTGGTGGTGAACATCAAACAGCTACTGCTACAATCATGTTAATGGGTGATGAATGTACTCGTGGATGTCGATTCTGTTCTGTCAAGACCAATCGCAAACCTAAGGCTTTGGATCCTCATGAACCTGAACATACTGCTGAAGCTATTAGTCGATGGGGATTAGATTATGTTGTGTTGACTAGTGTGGATCGGGATGATTTAACTGATGGTGGTTCTAGTCATTTTGCAGAGACTATCAGCAAGATTAAATCAAAGTAAGTAATAAATAAATAAAAAAAAAATTTATATATAGAGTTATTTATTATTATTATTATTATTGTTATAGAGCTCCTCATATTCTAGTGGAATGTTTGACAGGTGACTTTGGTGGATCATTGGAAGGTGTGGAAACAGTAGCTCGATCTGGATTGGATGTATATGCTCACAACATTGAAACAGTGGAAGCATTGACTCCATATGTACGAGATCGCCGTGCTGGATTTCGACAATCACTGAAGGTGTTACATCATGCCAAGAAAGTCAACCCCGAATTGATTACCAAATCATCGATTATGTTGGGATGCGGTGAAACAGATGAAGAAGTACTACATGCATTAGAAGCCTTGCGTGAAGCTGATGTGGACTGTGTGACTTTGGGTCAATATATGCGACCTACCAAACGACATATGAAGGTACATGAATATGTTACACCCGAGAAATTCAAATACTGGGAAACAAAAGGTATGGAATTAGGATTCAAATATGTAGCAAGTGGTCCTCTAGTACGATCAAGTTACAAGGCAGGTGAATTCTATATTAGCAATATTTTGAAGAAAAGAAGAGGATTGCCTATTACTGATGATTTGAAAGAAAAGAAGATAGAAAATGTATCTCTTTAGTTTTAATTTTATTGTACCTTAGATGATCTTTTATTATTATTATTATTACTATTTTGTTTTTCTTTTTGTATAGTCCTTTATATCAATAAAATGATAGTTTTTTTTTATCATCATAATTATCGTAAAACTTGAAATGTCATTGTCTTGTCAGAATTTTTACTGAAAAAGGAAATATCCAATTCATCAGTTTATTAAAACCCGTTGGGGAAACAGTAACAGGGCGAATCATGCAACCCCACAATTCTATTATGAGACACCAAATGTCCCTTTTTTGAAAAAGGTGATTGACACGTGGATTTTTTAATTTTTTTTTATCATACTTTCGCTTATATCAAACTCCTTCTTATCTTTTTTTCTTTCTTTCTTTCTTTCTTTCTTTCTTTCTTTCTTTTTTTTTTCTTTTTTTTTTTCTCTCATTACTCCTTCTTTTCAATAACAGTCTTATCTTTTTTTCCTTTCATTCTATTGACACCATGTCTCTCAACAGACTTCCTTCCTTACCAGACTTTGAACAACTATCTGATCGAGTATGGCGCGTCATGGGTTTAAATCCAAGTAGTTTTTGTCTCCAAGGTAAATCACCAAAGAAAAATAACGACGACTTCTTTTTTTTTGACAGTATATTTGTAGGCACCAATACATACCTTATTGGACTGGGAAATCGTAAAATCCTTATTGATACAGGTGAAGGTGAATTAGGGTACCTTCCTTTACTACGACAATCTTTGAAAACCATTTCTCCTGATGCTTTTATATCGGATATTCTTATCAGTCATTGTCATCATGATCATTTTGTAAGTAATTATTATAATATTTTTTTTTCTCCAACTTGTACTCATTCTATATTGTTAGGGAGGTCTTTCAGATATTCTTCAATCTGATCTGAATGATCCTATTCTTCCTATTCGGGTACACAAATATCCATTATCATTGGACAGTCATGATCATCATTTTCATATGGACGGTTTTCCCAAAGATGCACCTTTAGAAGATTTACATGATCATCAAATCTTTCATTTGGATAACGACAACAAGACAACCACCCTTCATGTTATACATACACCTGGTCATACAGATGATCATTGCTGTTTCTGGTTGGAAGAAGAAAACGCTATATTTACTGCCGATTGTGTCCTTGGTCATGGTTCTGTAGTCTTCAATAATCTTTCAGCTTATATGTCAAGTTTACAAAAGTTGGAAACGTTGGCACCTACTCGTCTATATCCTGGTCATGGTGTTGTAGTAGAAGATGGTGTCAATAGAATTCGACAGTATCAACGTCAACGATTAGAAAGAGAATCTCAAATTATACAACTGATGCGATCGGAAAAACCTGCTCATGGAGGTCATTGGACAGCATTGGATATTACTGAAAGTTTGTAAGTAAAAAATATATTATTATTCATTTTATTTTTGTTCATTTTTTTTTTTTTTTGATTAGGTATGGTAGTGAAATGTCAACAGATTTGCAACCGGTGATTGTACGTGGTATTGCTTTACATATGTTGAAATTACAAGAAGAAGGACGAGCAAAAATCTTGGATGGATCTACTTTTAATCAAATGGAAATGTATACAATGATGCATAAAGAATGGTGTTACATTGAAAAAAGTCATTTATGATAGATCTAGTTTTAGATATTCTTTTCCTATACAAATAAAACTAGTTGATATTTCTTCTTTATGATGATGAAATAGATACTGAACTAGAATACTCTTTTAAGAATAGCTTTATTGCAATTTCTCACAGTAGTCAGCAAGAAAACGAGTGGAGCGGGGTATGTCCCACTTTGAAAAACCGGGGAAGAGAGACTATGATGCACTTCGGAGCTTAGTTGTCCCGTCAATGTAATAGTGCTGACACACTGATAAAAAAAAAAGTTTATTTTCCATTTTTAAAAAAAAAAAAAAAAAATGGGAAATTTATATCTTTCTTTCTTTTTCCTTCTCTGTTTTTTCCTTTTTCTTCTTTTCTTTTACTCAACCACTTATTTATATAACTTTTATATATTATGTCTGCTACTGATCGTTTGAACACTATTAAAGGTCACTTGTCTGGTAATTATCCTCAAGGTTTGTTAGCTGGTGAAGTTGCCATCATCACTGGTTCTGGGTAAAGAGAAATATAATATAACGCGCAAAAGATCAAATATGCTTTTTTATTTATCTAATCATTATTTAACTCAATAAACTCTTTCATTTTTATTTTATTTTATTATTATTATTATTATTTTAGTCAAGGTATTGGTAAGAGTTGTGCTGAACTTTTTGCACGTGAAGGTGCTTCCGTTGTTGTGACCGATATTGATGTTGAAAAGTCCAATCAAGTAGCAGCCGACATCAATGCTGCTGGATTGAAGGCCATCTCTATTCCTGGCAATATTTTGGATGCTGATTTTGCTGAAAAGTTGATTGAAGGTACAGTCAAGGCCTTTGGCAAGATCAACCATATTGTCAACAATGCTGGTTTCACTTTTGATGGTATGCTTCACAAGACTACCGATAAACAATGGGAAATGATGTTGGCTGTTCATAACACTGCTCCTTTCAAGATAATCCGTGCTGCTTCCAAATATCTTCGTCAAAAGGATGGTGCTAATAAATCCATTGTCAACGTAAGTCTTCTTTACATGTGAGAAAAAAAAATAGTATGATATAAACAAAAAAAAAAAAGGAGGAGGATCATGCATATTCACATCTGTTTTATTTCATTTAGATTTCTTCCACTTCTGGTTTACACGGAAATATTGGTCAAGCTAATTATGCTACTGGTAAGAGTCCATAAAAAATGATGATGATTGTGTTCTTACCTTTATTCTTATTATAGCCAAGGCCGGTATTGTTGGTTTAACTAAGACTATTGCTAAGGAATGGGTAAGTAGTACAAAAAAAGAAAAACTGGTTAGGGGCAAGAATGAAATGTGGGAAAGATATCTTTCAACTTACCATTTCGAATGGCCTCTTTTTTTTTTTTAGGGAGCTTTTGGTGTTCGTGCCAACACTGTTGCTTTCGGTTGGGTTGATACTCGTCTTACTCGTGCTAAAGAATCTGGTGCTGCTATTGAAGTGGATGGTCAAAAGGTGGCACTTGGTATCCCTACTGGTAACAAGACTGGTGCTCGTGTGAATCCTTTTGCCGATATTCCTTTGGGTCGCTCTGGTAATGCTGATGAAGTGGCTGGTTCCGTCATGATGATGTGTTCTCCTTTGGCCAGTTATATCTCTGGTCATACCTTGGAAGTCACTGGTGGCCGTGGTATCTAGATTAGTTTTTATTATTATTTTTGCTGTTTATTATTCCCTCTTAGTCTGTCTACCAATTCAATAAAATAAAAATGTTCTGTTAATAATTATCAATGTCTTTATTTTCAAATGATTTGACTAAAACATCGTTGTGATGATGATGAAATAAATACAAAATATCGTTTATTTTCAAAAATGTGATTTTATTCTATTCTAAAATATGATACATTGACTATCTAAGGAGAAGATGGTTGAAGGTCCTTTTTCGACTTGAGTAACGGCATTCCCAAAGTTCGTCTTACACTTGGCACCTTGAATGCAAGATTTTGCACAACACTATACCAACTGGATGTAAACCAATATAAACAAAGAGCCATAGGTGCATGAGCAGCAATAGGTACAAAAGCCACGGAAAGACATCGAAGACCATTTGTGATAAGTTTTTGACTTGTTGTTTTTTCTATATTTCTTGCCGCCCAAGCATTCAGCTTATACACAAAAAAAAAAAAAGATGAATATCAAGAAACAAAATAATAATTAAGACGAGCCTAATAAGTGATCCTTTTTTTTTTTTTTTTTTTTTTTTTTTTTTTTTTTTTTTTTTTTTTTTTTTTTTTTTTACCTCGACATTGATAAGGTTCCCAGCACCCACCAAAAAAGGAAACACCATAGTAGGATCCACAACTGTTAAATCCATCCAAGTACCAAATCCACCTTGTAAAAGTCCATCCACAGGTTGTGTATGGTATTGACCAAACCAGGGTAAAGGTAAAGCTGTCAAATCACGAATAGATAAAGTCATACACATAAATAAAGGCAATTGAATCCACGGTAAAGATAAAAGTTTCCATCGAGCACATCCATGTTGAGCATATATCCGTTTGACTTTTTGTCGATACTGTTCATGAAATAGAAATCTCTTGAATAAAAAAAAACTTTTTCACTATCTTTTTTTTTTTTTTTTGGTTTACCTGTTTAGTAAGTTCCTTTTGATAAGCTGCATAGTCCGGTTTCAATCGATTAGATTCCTTTGCCACATTCACTTTGAGAGTTTCTGCCCAACTTTGAATCATAGGAGCCAAGTTGATCATTTTGCCAATCGCTCGTTGTTGATAGACCGCAACAGGAAGGGTCAAGCAAGTTCGTAAAGTAAGTGTGCCTAGTATAATAGAAGTCCACCATGGTAAGCCAAGATCTTGATGCATAGCCATTAGGATTTGTTCATTAGCAGCTATGATGGTCGGTAACGTTGTTTCCATCAAAGTTGTATCTGTAGGTAGTTCTGTGACATTGGTATCAAAAGTCGAGTCTACTATGTTCGGCCGTGTTGGATGATTACCACCGCTTATGTTTGTTGTAATGCATCGTCGAATGTTATCATTGATATGTTTGTTCTTCAAACCCCATGGTATCTTTTTTCCTGTTCTAGGTATTTTGTTAGGTAAGTGCCTTAGCATTCTATATAAAAAATCAATGATACAACAACAACAACAACAAAAAAAAAAAAAAAAGAAGAGTTAATTTTTTTCTCTACGGGGTTTCAATTTAGAAGTGGTTTGATAGGAATGTACAAATGAAAAGGCTAACACAATATCAAACAAAATCAAATGTCTTCTTTGATGTGCTGTGACGACGGTTGACGAATCAACGATGACAATAGAAAATAGGATGATAGTAACGAAAAAATGATTTGATAGAACGAGAACATTAATTTTATTTTTAAGAATAACTATGACTGACACTAAAAAGGACTAAGTATCTAAATTATATAAGAAATGAATAGTACAAGAAGGGAATACATATGGTAAACTATATCAACTGTTCATCACACGGTCTCAACCAATAAAGTCATATTAGGATGGGGGCGCAAAGTGATGGATTGTTTCTTGATGAATTCAAAGCCTGGTTTTTCGGTATACTTCAAATCCATGATCAACAAGGCCAATAGAATCTTCATTTCAACCATAGCAAAACGATTACCTATTGAAAAAGAATAAAATCAACATGAATATCAAACTTTTTAACGGTATCTTTTTTTTTTTTTTTTTTTTTTTTTTTTTTTTTTTTTTTTTTTTTTTTTTTTTTTTTTTTTTTTTACCAATACACTGTCTGCTTCCAGCCAAGAAAGGATAGTATTCATAAGGACTAACATTTTTGGCAAGAGGTTCATCCCATCGAGAAGGTCGAAATTCGAGAGCATCATCTCCCCAAATGTCAGTTGAATGATGGCTAACAATAGGGCTTAGAGCTACAATCGTATCCTTAGGTACTACATAGTGATTCATGACGCTATCCTTGGTTGCAATACGTAGAGTCAGAGGCACAGGTGGAATCAACCGTAATGTTTCCTTACAGACATTGTTCAATAAGGGTAAGCTGTTGATAGTGTCATAACTTGGTATGTTGGCTTCATTAGCGTAGGCAAATTGATTGTTTGCCAAAGGATCTGCAAAAATAGCATGTTCCGTATCTATTTGACCAAAAACAGGCTTGATTTCTTCACGTAGAGCATCTTGAATTTCAGGATGCTTCGCCAAAAGCCAAAGACACCAACTAAGAGCAACACTGGTAGTTTCATGACTATTTCAAAGAAAAAAAGAAAAAAAAAGAATAGAATCATCAAATATAAGTCATCCATTCACAAAAATGCTATGATGTATATAAAAATAAAAAATAAAAATAAAAATAGTCTTACCCTGCAGCCAAAAAAGTTAAACATTGATTTTGAAGTTCCTTTACAGTCATACTATGTCCAGCTTCATCCACTTCATCCACCATCAAAGTAAGCAAATCCTTGACTTGACGTGATCCTTGATCATTACTTATATTTTGATGTTTTTTCTTATCTTGATCCACACGATCCATTCCCACTTCAACCAAACGCCGACTTTCTTCATCCAGCCATTTCAAATCTTGATTAAGCATTTTGTTGCGTTCAGTAGGTACATGTCGTAAAATAGGGAAGAAGAAGGTCAACACTCTGAAGAGAGAAGTATCAGCCTTGAATATATCGAGATAAGCCTTGCTGAGTTTGTTTTCTGAAGGAGTGTTATATGTTTGTAAAGAATCAAAGTTCTGTCCCATTCCAGCACTTCCAATCACATCCAGAGTGGCCAAGGAAAGACCGGAAGAAACAATGATTTCAGTTGGACCATTCGTATTTCCATTCTTCTTATCTTGAGCTATGATTTCCATCCATTTATTGCGTAATTGAACACCAGGAGCTACCATCAAAGGAATCATATATCGTAAAGCTTGAACAGAGAATGCTGGATTGAGCATTTTTCGTTGTTTTCGATGAGCATCGCCCTATGGAAAAGTTATAGATTAGTAAAAAAAAAAAAAAAAAAAAAAAATTAACGAAGATATTTATTATATTCACTTACTTCACTGACTAATAAACCATCTCCAAGTATGCGTTTCAAAAAGTCTTGAGTTCGTGGTGGTTTGATATAATCATAGGAATTGGTTGTCAAGACTTGTTTGACTAATTCAGGATCTGTCACCAAGATACGATTTTCATACCAAGGACCTTTGTAAGAGAGAATACCACCATATAATTTTGCCCATTTCTTGTGAGGAACACCCGCCTAAAATAATAAATAAATAAAAAAAGAAAGAGATTAATGCTTTCTTTTTATCCCATAATATGTGATTTATATATATATATATATATTTACCTCTTCTCTGATGATTTCACGCATATTACCAGTAAATGGGGTCCATTCAACGGGAGGACCAGGAATTTTGTTGACCTTATTCAAAAAGAGTCGATAGAGAATATATTTTGAAAAAAGATAGGTAACTGAAGATACTAGACCAAGACCGAGAAGAACACGTCGGATAGAGGACTGAATGCCAATGAGAGGTGCAATATTCTTATCAAGATAAGTTTGAGCCTGTTGTTCCAAAGATGTCAAATCTAGTTTTTGTATCAATTGATTCATGTAGGGTGAGGAAGTAGAGTAAATTTAACAAGAAAGAAGAAAAATAAAAAAAAAAAAAGGATGAAATTGTGATTTATAAAGAATGGACAATGTAAAAAAAAAAATGCATTCCGGAGTGTTTTATCTGTTTTTGTACAAAAACAGGAAAAAAAAAAAAAAAAGAGGCCAAATTGCAGGAGTCGCGCAGCTTAAAATAAACTCTATGATGAATCTTACCGAAAACGGTGAGCCACGCCATCCCCAATTACTTTCTTTTTTTGTGCACCCAATATGGAAACCAAATTGTCGGATTGTTATTGATCATATTGGTAAGGAAACAAAAAATAAAAAATAAAAAAAGAAAAACATTGACAGTAATAAACAAATAATAATATCATCATCCTGAAAAGAGAAAAAGAGAGAAAAACTATTTAGGGTGATCATTTTCATCTCATTCTTCTCACTCGAGTTTCCGAAATACAGTATCTTAAATTCTTAGAATTTTTTTATTTGTCATCTATTGATTAGTAAAAACAATGTAAAAATAAATCAATATACATATTATCATAAAAATCTAAATTATTAAAAAAGGAGGGGAATATTATATGATCTATAAGTATCATCTTGATTTCATAATTCTCATTTCATCTTCATTGATAATGTATTTCGAGTGATGGGTAAAGCCAAAGTAGCTACAGATTTCTCTTCATCTTCCAAAATATAAGAAGACTCCATAGATTCTTGGTGATGATGATGGATATACGAAGGTGAATCTTGCTTCTTGCGTTCAGCGATTGATTTAACTTTTTGCATGGATAAACGATAAAGCCACCAAGCCACAACTACAAGGATCATTACACTACCAAGCATAGTAAAAACTGCCACTCTATGTGCAGAAGGAGGTAAGTCAGGATTGGAAATATCAGCCAGCTGCGATCCTATCCAAACTTCAAGACATAATTTGAAAGATGATAAAAAGGCCGTCATTGTGTATTGTCGTGTTGTCACTGTTGGGAGTAATGATAATAGCATATTGGTAATAGGCCAAGGAATAGGACTAAGTCGAATCAATAACATAATCTACATCGCATAAATAAGTCAGTCAGTTTTTATTTTCTTAAAACAATGTAAAACATTATTCCCTCTTTTTTTTTTAAAAAAAAAAAAATTACTTACACGTAATCCTCCTTGTTCAATGGCTTCTTGAATAGCATGATATTTATCTTGTCGAGATGGAGATAATCGTACAAATCTTGCAAAATTGTATTGACGAATCAAATGAAAGCAAATCATAGACCCGATAAATGCACCTAACCCAAAAAAAAAAAAAAAAAAGGAATGTAAGTAATTTACTTGTAGTATAAATCATCCCTCCTATATCTACCAAGAAATTACCGATAATGGCGATAGGAAATCCAAAAGGAACCCCATAGATAAATCCAGTGAGAGTGGCAGTAAAAGTAAACCCAATCATAGGAGGAATAGATGTAATACTCAATAAAGCCACCACGAGTATCCAACTAAACGGAGTTGTACGCATTTCAACAGCTATCGTTTGAATGGCTGAAAGAAAACAAAAAAGAGTCAATATCACTTTTTTAACTAAATCCTATATAGATACTTACATTGACGAATTTGATGTCGGTATATAGCTAATATCCCAAAGAGAGATAATGCCAGAAGGGCGGCTAGACCAGCTATGATCCTTGTTCGAGTTTTCATCACAATAGTGATCTAAGGAGAGGAAGTAAGGAAGCGAATGAAAGTAACAATAAGAATAAAGGTATATATATATATATATGTGAATGTTGTATCCAATAATAATAGTAAAACTCTATCAATCAAAACTGATCATCAAAAAAAGAGAAAAAAAAAAATCAATAGAAAGCAAGGAAGAAAGAAAGGAAGAGAAAAAAAAACAGGGAAGAATGGAATGAACTCAAAATAATTAAAACACCGAAGAAGAATCCCTTTTTTTAACTGTGATCATTATTATGCTCTTAATAAAAACTATACATGATCTCTTACAAGTGGCCTTTTATTTTATTTTATGAGATATGAACTCTATATGCTAGTTTATGACATACAATGGTTGGATGATTGACTTGGTTCAATAGAATAATCATCATTATTTGACAGCTTCAATGTAACAATATAAAAGACACTTCTTTTATTTTCTCCTTTCTTCTACAACAACAAAAAAAAATTATTTAGTGCCCCTGGTTGTCTGTCCTTGCGTCTCTCTGTCTTCTTTGCTGTTTGGGTCTTTTTTTTATCATTATGATAACTTATACTATCCCTTTTGCATCACGTACATCCTGGATGGGTTGATGCGTGGCGACCGTGCCTCATAGCCGGAGGTTTTTTTTTTTTTTTTGGTAAGTGCACATATACAAATAATATTTAGTTGATCATGACACTAATCATTGTTGCATTTTTTTTTTTCTTTTCAAACACTGAAATGGGGGTACGAAATATGTAGATCCATCTTATAATACAAATTTTTATTACAAAGAGAAGGTATAAAAAGTCAAGATCATCTAAATAAACTATTCAAACTGTTGTTTCTGGGAGAGTTCTTGAAGTCGGATCATCCGCATAAGAAGGTTGCATAGCCAAAATACGTTGTTGTTGTTCAATAAAGAAAGTAGCTGTTTTTGATTTTGGTTTTACCAGGATTTGTTGAGCACTGTTGGTATATACTGTCGCTGCAAAAATATCTGATGAAATAGATGATACACGAACAGGTGGTAATAGAAGATTGCCAGTTTTCAATGGGATCAAACTAAGAGGAAATTCCATGGTTTCACCAGGCTAGTATCAAAAAAAAAAAAAAAAAATATCTATGTAAATAATTTCTTTTTCCTTTTCAATTTCTTTCTTTTTTTTTTTTTTTTTTTACCTTGGAACTGAATCGTAATCTTCGTTTTCCAGAAAGAAGCCAATTATCATAATCAATATCGATATCATAGATATAATCTTGAGTTTGATCATTTGTATCTGTTGTTGCACACCAATATGTCGATTGCTTGATTTGTAGGACACATGGACACGCATCGGATACAATTAAACTAGAATCATTGGACAGGATCAATTCAGCTGTATGTAAAATCTACAAGATAAATACATATAATAAAAAAGCGTCAATCATCTAGTAAAATCAGACTTTTTCTTTTGAAAGGATCTCACCTTCGAAGTGGGCACATCTAATGGAAATGAAATACCATGTTGGGGATAATCCTTTGGTGCTTGTTCCTTGATCGTTTTCATAGTAATGGCCTCATGTTCTTCAAAGAATTCTTCGATAAGATCCAATAATTCAACTTTGGTTTTCAAATCTCGATGAAGAAGGAAAGATTCACAGAGTTCGGCATCAAAATCATCCAAATGTACAACATCCATCAGTCCATAACTACTGTAATCCACAGATGATAAAAAGGCTTCGCGCACCTTTGAGAAGACATAGGTAAAATGTTGTCCCAAGTGATGTTCTCGTAACTTCCGTTCTAGCATAGCGCTAACACTTGTTTCCACCTCTATCATCAGCGAAGAAAAGAATACAGTGAGTAACATGAATAGACTTTATCATGATTTTGATTTATTTGTCTTTTGGAATGCTTACCGTCTTTGAGAGTTCGATATTTCACTTCGAAATGAACCTTAGACCTTAGAGAATCAGTAACCCCTATAAGTATTGCCAATAAAGAACGGGTAAATGAGTCAATGCCACGTCCAAAAAAAAAAATAAATAAATAAAACTTCATACGTCTCATTATTTTACCTTGTTCAGTATCCATCTCATTTCTCTTGATTAATTTATATACAAAAGTTGCGGTCTGTCTAGGGAAGAGAGTCTATAATGAAATAGGTTAATATTGAGTCGAAACGTATATATAATCTTGTCTTTTGCTGTTTCATTTTTTTTTTTTTTGCTTTTTTTCTTACCAAATTCCATTGATTCACTTGAGATTGACTTTCCACTGCATATACTTTTGAAGGTGACAGACTTGATCCAAGAATACGTACCGGTAGAGTTCCATTACACGATAGTTCAACCTTAAGAAATATGCTATAAAATTGGAAGAAAAAGGATAAGTAAAACAGAAAAAGGAAGGAAAAAAAAAAAAGAGAAAAAAAGCAATATACCATGTTTCTCTAAAAATACTTGATTCCGTCACTGATAGTGGTACTGCCACCGAGATTGTATCAGCGGAAACAAACTTGCGTTCAGTACCTGCACAAGTATATGACACCGTTGTCTTTACCTAATGAATAAGAAGAAGAAAAAGGATAAAATCGAAGAATGATGACGACTGAAGATCAGTATTTGAAAAATGAAACTTGTCTTGTTCTTACCCTGTAATCAAATTCGGTATATGATCCTTCGTATATGATGGCCAATTCTAATTCTTCATGAGCATCGCAAGCTGGAAGTATAATATGTCCATCCTCTTGCATATCTAATTCCAATTGCTTAATGTCACCACTGTGGGTTTTAAATTTTGCAGGGACCTTGTTTGTGTTGATAATTTCCAATCCTTCAGTTTGCGGTTCCAATAAGAGTCTTCCGTTGGTGATCGGTGTTTCTTTAGATTGTATACGTACAGCAAATGATTGTCGTTCACCTAATCGTACTTTTTTTCGAACACACACACACAAAAAAAAAAAAAAAAAACAGAGTAAATAGATTATACTTCGTTAAATAATGCTGATGTCCTTTTTTTTTGTTCATGTTTTACCTTCTGTTGGTTGACTCACAGTGGCAATAAGTCGTTTGGAGTCGTGATTAAGTCGTATAACACGTTTTTTCTGATCAGCATTCATGAAGACCTGATGGAAGATCAATTTTCCAATGAACATTTGACATGATTCCACAACATAATTTCCAGACGTTGAAATCTAATACATGATGAGGTGAATATAGTCAATTTAACATTCTCCTCTCTCTCTCTCTCTCTTTTTTTTTTTCTTGACTTACATCACTTGTAAGTAAAAATGTGTTTTTTCCAGGTTGGATGGTGTTGTTCTTGATGTAAAATGTTGTTTCTTCAGGATCATTGCCGACAAGTTGTAACTGAAGGTTATCAAAATGTAAAGCCTATTAAAGTAGTTATAGCAAAATCAATCAATTGTGCTTACAAGTCAATATCCCAATAAATTACCGTACTTCTTTTTTTTTTCCGTACCTTGGTCAAGTTATTTTCAATTAAAATTTCCACGCTAGTACTTTCGACCTTTTCGTCATCCAAAATAGACACCACAGATACAGAAAGCATAGGAGAGAATGGTTTCTTGATTTCTATATAATGTATTATAAATATGTTATAAGATCAAATGGCGAACAATAAATCCTCTTTTGTTTACCTTTATCCAATTTTCCTACATTAGCGATCAGTTCATCTGCATATTGTGCTGCTTGACAGGAAGATAGACAACTAGAATTCTTGAGTAGAGCCAATAATGATTCAACGTATTGATTGATCTTGTTCAATCGTTTCTGTGAGTCCGCACATTTGACCAAAAGACTATTTTCGATAAAACTCCAATCCTGTTCACCATATCGCCATATCATTGATTCAAAAATCCGAACTGCTTCATCATATTTTTCCCTTGTACTATACAAAAATTTTGAATCCAAATTAATGAGTTGTTTTGACTTTTATCATTTTGATATTGATAATAATGATTTATCTAACACTTACTATTTTAATGCTGCAATATCGCCATGCACACCCAAAGCAGCACGAGATCTTCCACTTGAATCATAGCTTTTGATTGCTCTTGTACTAAGTGCCTATTGAAGTAATAAAAGAAATTAAATTACATCATTATAAAGAAAGTGAATAAGCTATATTACCATATACATCTTGTCAAAGGCATCCACAGAGTCGATTGCTTCTAGCAATTTTTGGTTGGTGATATCATTGGATGTTTTGGAATCATCAAGAGTTGTGGTTTCATTATTAGGAGGAATTTGTGTATCAAGGTAAATTGAGAATGGTGCTGTGTTGGGAAGATGTTTCTGTTGTACGCCAAGTTTGTCCAGCTATAGAAAATGGAAAGTTCAATTTATTCAATTAGAAAAATTGAATCCAGATATGGTTCATTGTTGTTGTTGTTTTTTTTTTTTCATTATAAAATAAAATACCTGTCGTCTTGCTGTCAATAATAAATCTGCTTTCACTGCGCTGTAAGTACTAATAAAATCAGGATCTATCGCTGCCATTTGCGCTGAGAATGGTTCGCATTCATTCACCACGTTCATACAAGCCGAGAAGACCCATGATTCAAGAAAATGATTTGTCAGATGTTCCTATACAATAGACAAAAATTGAGATTTTACTGATAATATTGTCATTATGGTTTGGTTATTCTTACTTTATTTTCACGGATAGATGGAATAAAACTTGTGATAAAGAATTGAGCTCTTGAACATATTTCCACAATACGCTGCAGTTTGAGTAGCATCCTACATTGTCTTGCGAATAAATAACTTCGAAAATCAAATACTGATATAATATTCTTGTTGATCAAATCACGGTAATCCTTGCGTTTGAAATCCATAATGTTGCCACTGTCATCACCCGGATCTGTTCCACCAAAATGACCAAACCATGCTAAAGCTTTGTCTATTTAAAACAAAAAAAAAAGGTCAATAACGAATCCTAAATTCATCGCAAGCAAATATTTACCTCTTAACACTTGGAAAAAGGAAGCTTCAAGTTCATCGTATTGGATCAATGCATCTTCATAAAGAGTCATAATTTCAAAAGATTGGGCTAATCCTTCCTATGTTCCAATTTAAGTATTAGTAAAAAACCGAATCAAAAACTATGGTATCAAAGTATCATACTTTCAAGATAAAGAATGTACAATAATTCCATCCAGGCATGTGACGTTGCATATCTAAGCGACGAGTATCTTCTTGTATTTGTTGTACTTGCATATCGAAACTAGTGAGAATACTTTCTTTCATTTTTTCTACAAAAGTTGTCCAAAGTTCAGAAGAAGGTCCATCAGAGTCATTAATACGAATATATGCACACCTAAAACAGAAAATAGATAAGTCGAAGTAACATTTATTAGTTGTATTTACCTCTCTTGTTTGCCTTGATTAAAGTCAGTACGTATTTTATCATAGACAGATGACTTTAATCCAAGATAACTATTGGTCTTCTTCGAGTCAGGACTTGCTACATAGACAATAAGCCAATCTTGATTCTTTTTGGTCATGATGATATCTACCCAATTGCGTATTTGTCGCCGTACTTTAGTTTTGTATGCCTCATTGTCCTGTAATAAATAAAAGGTTATTAAGTTTCAAAATAAGTTTTTTTTTTTTTTCTTAGCATAAAACTACTTACGTCGCAGGAGACAAAGTAAAGATTCAAGTAGTTTGTCTGTGTAGTGGAAAGTGGTTGAGGAACTTGTTCAAAGTTAAATCGTTTCAAGTCAACTTCAAGAGATTGAATATGTCGTTCAACGCGTTGGTTTGAGGATTGCCATACGAGTCCTTTCAGAGGTAGACGAGAAGAAAGGTCGTCAGCTATCAGGGGCCACACATCATATTCGTCACAATCTATATAACATAAAAAAAAAAGGCAAGGAAGATTGTAAGTAAAGAAAGATAAAATTATTTCTAGTTTATTTTCTTTATTTTCTGTTATTTTTCTTACACGTTACTGTTACTTTCTTCCCACTCATGATGGTCTTGAATTAGTAAAAGAAAGAAATGAAGTTCGACAAGAAAGATAAAAAGGTAAAAAAAAAAAAAGGCAGAGTTCCTTTCTCTCCATCCATTATATTAATTTCAAATTCCCGCCCAGTCACAGTGTCTGCTCTAACAATGCGCTTTCAGATGAAGATGATGGACCTCCGATGCCTGTCTTTTTCTCTTTTTCCTGTTTCTTTTTTTTTTTTTTTTTTTTTTTTATATATACATATATAATGTCACCAAAGTCTTCTGGTAATCATATAAAAATAATCTTACTGATATATATCAAACTCATATTTTTAATTTTATTATTTGAACTTATATATGCTTTTTTTTTTTTTTTACAGCAAAGAAAAGGAAAGCACCAGAAACAAATCAGTCCACATTGGATTCGTTCAGAATTACGCAGAATGCAAGATCAAAAGCCACTGCGCAGTCAAATACACCATCAAATACCAATAATAACAACTCTGAAACTTTAAGACAACATACTGACAAGAAGGATACCATCATGGCTGGAACGTCCAACAAAGGAAAGGATGCAATCAATGTCACTACCTTATTGGGTAGTTTTAGACGACAAGCATTAGTTGATAGGATTGAAGTGCGTAACTTCAAGGGTAATTAAATAAAAATAAAGGATACCAATTTGATTCTAATATACTGTTTTTTATATACAAAATCTTAGAAGCACAATCAACTTTGTTTTCTGATTCACAATTGGAAGATGCTTGGTCAACACTAGGTGCTCTTGTAGATGCCATTCTGAACGCTAAAACTGTAAAAACAAGCTTTCAAGTAGCATATGAACTCTGTCAAAATCTTTGTCTATATGGAAAATCAAAAGACTTATATGATTATTTGAAATCTGCATTGGATCGACATATACAACAAGAAAAGGAAATACTGGTAGCGTAAGTTGATGATTTTTAGAGGAAGAATGACATGGTTAGTAATCTTTTAGTATTATTATTATTATTATTATTATTATTATTCCATCTATCTAGGGAGTCGGATCACGACGCGTTCTTATTTACGTTAGACACTCATTGGAACAGACTATGCGATCAACTGGTATTGGACGATAATGATACAAAATGAGATAATTGGGAATATACTAATATAAATGCTTGTTTATTATGTAGGTGACTATCCGAAATGTATTTATGGAACTTGATAGACGATTCGTTTTATCAGAAACAAGCTATACATCAATAATGTAAGTGATCATATACTTTTCAGATGCAAATAGTAGCTAATGAATATTCTTCTCATACTTTTTATTTACAGACATTTAGGAAAACAACTCTTCAAAAAATCGATAATGGAATTACCTCGGGTACAATCAAGAACAATACAAGGCATACTATCACTGATCAAACAAGACAGGTACAAAAGAAAAGTAATTGATACCCATTGATTTTCTCACTCTTTCTCCTTTTTAACTTATGATATATATAGAGAAGGCATTGAAGTGGATTTGAAATTACTACGATCTATCACTGGTATACTATTGGATTTATCTTTATATACGGACTTTTTTGAACCTAGTCTTATTAAGGCAACAGTGGAATACTACAATACAGAAGGAACACAAAAAATACAGGATTTATCAACACCTGATTACCTATTATATGCAAATGAACGAATACAACAAGAAAGTGGATATCGTATTAGTACATACTTGGACGAAACTACAAGAATACCTTTGACAGAAGCCGTTACTGATCGTCTCATCTATTCAAAGTGTGATCAAATTTTATCCCAAGGTAATATAAAAATTTCTTTATCAAGTAATAGTTTACTAATAATATGATATGCTTTTTTTTTATTATTATCTTAGGCTTTGAACGTATGATGGATCGAGATGAAAAAAAACAATTACATATTCTATATCGGTATCTAGAACCAAGTAATCTACTCGGAGGATTGAAACAAGCATTTGCGGATTGTGTCAAGGTAAAAAGAATGAAATAGAAAAAAAAAAAAGATATAAATTAATCTTTATTTTTTTATATATGTGTCTTAGAAAAAAGGTTTGGATCTATTGAAGGATCCAGCAAAAGATCAGCAAATGGTGGTGGACTTGCTGGATTACAAACTCAAGCTCGACAAAGTGATTCAATCATCATTTGATAATAACTCTATATTTACCAATGCTTTAAAGGAAAGTTTTGAAAGCTTCCTTAATTCCAGAAAGAATAAACCTGCAGAAATGATGGCCAAGTTTATTGATATCCGATTACGATTAAGCAACGTAAGGACATTTTATGAGAAAAAAAAAAGAAAAGAAAAGGATTTGAAATAATAATGTACCAATTGAAATTTTTATTATTATCATTTTGTTTTATAGAAAGAACCGGAAAAAGATACTGAACATTTAATGGAAAGAGTATTGGTGCTATTTCGATTTTTACAAGGTAATCACTTTGTTAAGACATAACATAAAGAAAACGATTATTTACTTATTTAAAATATTATATAGACAAGGATATATTTGAAGCATTTTACAAGCGCTTTTTATCAAAACGGTTATTACTTCATAGGTCTGTATCCACTGATCTAGAGAAAAATGTATTGTCCAAGATCAAGTCAGGTAAAGAAGAAAAAAAAAAGCTGGAAGGATAATAAGATGGAAGATTAAAATTCTATGGCTAATTAACTATTATTCTAGAATGTGGACCCGACTTTACAAAAGATTTGGAACTAATGTTCAACGACATGGAAATATCTGCAGAACTCAATTCTACATTCAAAGCAAGTAGACCAAAATATAGAAGGAATAATAATAAAAAAAAAAAAAGGCTAATATTTTATATTGATATATTAGGAATCCGATGAGTACAAAAGATTGGGCAATGTATCAATCTCTGTTAATGTTCTTGCTCAAGGAATATGGCCATCGTATCCTATCTCTGATATCATTTTACCTGCTAACGTAAGAAAGAAAGAAAAAATATACATAGGATGGATCTAATTTTTTTTTTAACTATCATTGTTATCTATAGATGATGAAAACACTGGAAGCCTATCAAACATTTTACACCAACAAGTTCAAAGGTCGAAAACTCGCTTGGCGGAATTCTATTGGATCCTGCATCGTCAAAGCACATTTCCCAGCTTCAACCAAGGAACTATCAGTTACTTTATTCCAAACGGTGGTGTTACTACTGTTCAATGACAAATCGAAAGATACAATCAAATATAATGACATTGTCAATGCCACAAGTCTAGGTAATTAAAAGAAATTCTAGAGAATATTATATCCTTCTTTTATTTATTATTGTTATTTATTCTTATTCTTATTATTATTTTGATCATAGCTGACAAGGAACTGAAACGGGTTTTACATTCACTATGTTGTGGCAAATTCAAAATATTGATCAAAGAACCTCAGAATAATATAATCTCGGAAAATGATACATTTAAATATAACGACAAGTTCACAGCAACGGCCACGCGTTTGAAGATCAACATCACTCAACAAGAACAAGTTATAGAAGAACGGAAGGAAACTGAAACTAAGGTTCTAGTGGATAGACAACACAAGGTAAAAAGTAGAAGAGTGATGGATACGTTTTGATTGTTAAGGCTGACTTGCTTTATTGTTGTTTATTTGTAGTTGGAAGCGGCAGTTGTACGGATCATGAAAGCAAAGAAACAAATGACTCATAATGCTCTACTGAACGAACTCTTTGTGCAATTGAAATTCCCCATTGATGTAAGTTGAATCATTATCATCATCCATCGATGAACTCACATCTTTGTTTCAATAGGCCACGGAGATCAAGAAAAGAATTGAATCACTGATCGACAGGTATTGTACCATTTAACAAGAAAAAAACAAGCCAATGGCGAGGTATTTTTATACTCACTCCTTTTTTCTTTTTTTTTTAACAGAGAATATCTTACGCGCGATCAAACGGACAATTCGTTATACCTCTATCAAAGCTAAGAATAGATTATCTAGTTTAGTTATTATAGTTGATTATTGACACATTTGGTGTGTGTTTATCATTGTGCCATTTGGCGATTCAAATCAATAAATAAACATGCAACTTCATCCTATGGATTGTACAACTTGTCCTTCTATCTCCGCTGCATGAATTCGGTGGTACTCATTTTTTATTTTTTGAAATGTCTCATGAATGCATGAATCAATAATATATATGTGTGTATGTATGTGATGGAAACAAAAAAAAAAAAAAAAAGATTTATTAAAAAGGAAGATAGTAGTAAATAAGATATGAACAAAAAAAAAATGTTCTTTAACAGTAAAAGATAAGAATAGATGTATATGTATATAAAAAAGAGAGAGAGAAAGGAAAAGGAACAAGGGGAAAAAAAAAAAGAGAAACAAAAGGGAGGCCTAGGGATAATACAAAACTATGTACATAAAAAAAAAAAAAAAAAAAAAAACTAAACTATCCTTGAAGTAGATGATAACCAAATAACAAGAGCGATGATGATGCCGATTAAGAGAAGACTTGTGATTGACATCCAACAATTAAGATGACCAAAAGTACGTGGAGTCCAAAGATGAATTGTTTGCACATCATGATGGAAACAAGACGCTCTTTTCAGGTAAAGGATTGCACCAAGCCACCAAAAAGGACAGAGTAAGAAACCAAGGATAAAAAGAGTCGCCAAGAGGTTACTTGATTCTTCATGACTGGAGGTATCCCATAATGACCAAAGAGTCACATACCCTACTTGACCGGATGCATCCACTTGAATCAATTGCTTTCCTGTTTTTCCTGATTGTGATTTCCAAAATGCAGAAAATCGATACGAGGGTGATGTTGGAGGATGATCTTTTTTTTCTGGAGGATAAAATGGAGGATAGTCGTACTTGCCACCGGTAGTTGTTGAATGAGAGAAACTGGCGGTTTTCATCATATAACTTGGATTGGAAGAAGATAACGATGAGAGGTCCGATAACGTCGCCTGTCGAAGTAGAGGTAATGCATTTTTTAGCTGCTGTACACGTCGTTTTTGTTGTGCTTTGTCGTCATCGTCATCAAACGTATCATTGAGATGCTGAGATGGAAAGTGATGGGTTGCTGCTGTGCTGATGGAGGATGGATGAATTTTCCCATTATTGCTACTGTCATATTTGGTGACGATAGACGGATTTGATTGTCGTTGCCATTGTCGATAATAACAACGATGATGATGATGATGATGATGATGATGCTTGTGTTTCCGCCTAGGATGATGCATGATCCAATTGGAAAACCAGCCATTACTTGTTGTGTCGCGTTGTTTTTGCCTTTTTCTTGAAGAGATAGATCTACCATTGCTGCTGCCATTTGCTGTACCGTTGCTGGATTTTCCATCGTTGTCATTATCTTGGTTTAAAATTTCAGAAACATACATAGAAATCTTACTGTCATCTTCATCATCCGCATATTGAAGAATCATAGATGAGCGTACTGTTGGTGTAGGTATAGATGATTTGCGAGAAGTCGATTGGGATAAGAAGAATGGTAGACCAGTATCATTATTGCTGTTGTTATTGTTGCTACCACCACTTGTAGTTCCACTACCACTGTTGGATGATGTGTTATAACCAGTTTTAGGAGAAGAGGATGATGATAAGGATGTAGTGGCTGAATGTACAAAGGATGATAAGATACCTGATAAACTATGTCGCCGTCGAAGAGGATGATGAAACAGTAGATGATCAGCTTGTTTTTGTTTCTTACTACGATGATTGCTTGCCACTAGTCGATGTCTGGTTTTCCTACTGCTACCATGAATCAATCGCTTATGTTCTTGCTTTAATACACGTCGTGCGCCGCTGGGTGGATAGGTTCTTCGTTTATGCTGAGATAACCATTTATTGGAGCTTCCTAATATTCGTGTGGATTGTGATGTAGATGCTATTAGCTGTGATGATGATGGTCGTTTACCTGTTGTTGTTGTTGTTGTTGTTGTTGTTGTTGCTGTTGTTGATGATGATGATTTTCGCCGAGACGCCATCCGCGCTGACCAAGTAGACCACCGCCAAATAGGAGGTCTAATTGTACCTGAGTGTTCTTCTTCTTGTGTATCATGTAGAATGTCGTTCGGTTGAGAATCTAATGTAACAGTAGTGACATTGCTGTTACCATGTAATGTTGAATCTCTAGAAGTCATGTCACCATGTCGGAATGCTGTTGCAGGAGAAATGGGTTGTGGTGGCGCCATATTGTGTGACACCGAAGGGTCTTCGTAAAACCAGTTTAACCAATGACTTTCTGGAGTAGTAGAACCCATCAATGATTTTTTTTTTGTATGCGTGTTTAAAAAAAAGTTTTATGAATACGGAAGAAGGGATGAGAAGAAGGAGTGAGAAAAAAAAAAAAAAGTGGAGAAGGGAAGAAGAAAAAAAAAAAAAAAAGGAGACAAAATAAAATGGAATCAAAATACTCAAAAAAGAAAGGCGGTCTTTTAATAAGATCCTTGACGATCATCAATGTTGGCAATAATTATTATTATCTGTAAACGGCAGAAAACCAGTTTATCAGCAAGATGAGTAACAATATGTATATGCCAAGTGCATATCCAGAAGGTGGGACAAACAATAACATAAGCGCCCTAAAAGGATACGTTTTTTACGCTTCGTGCGTTGCCTAATTGGGTGACCAAACGGAGGTAATGATAATCCCTAATATCCCCCTGAAATAAGGACAATAACACACAATTCTGTAATAACAAAAGAGAGCGAGAGAGAATCAGCTTTTTCATATTTTATTTTGTGAGAATGAAAAAAAAGAAAGATAATTCGTGATGATCATATTTATAATGATGGATGACATATAATAAGGCAAAAAAAAAAAAATAGAAAAAAGAATAGGGAATAAAATGATAATATAAAACAAAATGTAAAAGAATAATTGTATATAAAGAAGTAGATCTAAAAAGAAAAAGAAAAAAAGTATTATACAGGGACGGGTGTATATGCATGAGCCTTGCGACGCTTCCATACAGAACGCATGACTAAGTGAAGACTATGTTTGGGACGCATCATCACAATAACAAGGACAAATACACAAAAGAGCAGGAACCAAGGGGCATAACGCATGTAATCACCAGAAGAAGCAAATGAACCTTCAGTGTCAATATTAGAAGTATCATCATTCCAAGAAGAAGAAGCATCTTTAATAATGGAATAACCAAATGGATTCTTAGTAATAATAGTATCCGCAATAGCCTTGTGACCAGCACCTGTCAGATGAATCGAGTCCCACCAAAGATATTTATCCATTGAATCATCACATCTACCTTGACATTGATTCCAATAAGCATTGTCCACATCTTCAATTCCATAACCAGCAGGATTTCCCAAAATATCAGCGAATAAAAAGTTATTATCAATGAAGGAAATAGAATCCATATCATTAGTCATATCCGTCACAATATCTTCTAAACCAGAATTATATTGATTCACCCGATCTTTGATTTGGTTCACTTTAGAACTATTGGAGTAAAATGGAGAATATTCAAGTGGTGGAATACCTAACAATAGTACTTGAGCTTTGGAATCACTTTGTCGAAGATTAGACTTGAAAAAAAAAAAAGAAAGCATTAACAAAAAAAAAATGGGCTTTGCTTTGTTGATATGATCGGTTTCCTTTTTTGGATTCAACTTACAATTTGCTGTACGATACATCCTACAAGATTATTTGCTTCATATTCTATAATAAATTAAGAAATTTAGATTAATCATATATATATATATATATATTGATACTTACTAGTAGAATTGGTAATATCAGTGATACCAATAAAAAAAGCATGAACATCCTTTTGAGTTTGTTCTTCTAGTGTTTTGCTTCTTCGATATTGTTCAACTTGACCAGCAATAGAAGGAGAGTTAATATCAGAAGCACGACAAGTTCGACTTCCTAAGGTAGCATAACTTTGTAATTGTAAACCCCAACCTTTCGCAACTACTTCACTCCATACAGGTCCATTGGTTTTACGATTAGTATTGGTAGTATCTATCATAAAGAAAATAATATGAATAAATATATATATATATATATATATATAAGAGAGAATTTATATAAAATATTATTTTACCGGAATAAGAATCTCCGTATACGTATAAAGTTCCAGTAGTAGACGACATGTAATGAAATAGATCAAGTTTAAAGAAAAGAGAGGAAAAAAAAGAAAAGTATAAAGAAAAAAGACAAAAAGAAAAAGGGAAGAAATGATGGACATTTTATGGATAAAAATAGGTTCGGTGTTTGAAGACAATTATAAAAAAAGAAACAAAAAAAAAAATCTGATGATTTCTATTTGGCAGTAAACAATAAGGAACCAAGTGGTATGATATTTTTGATTTTATTATTTGATTTATATACATAAATAGAGAAAGGCTTAGATATGGGAAAAAAAAAAAAAAGAAAAAGAAAAAGTACTATATTAAGAAGGATTGTCATTTTGATCCAATGTAGAACTTGTTGGCTTTTCCAAATCTCGAGAATAGAGTTTCTTGCCTGCCATTTCAAGGAATTCCATATCTTCTGCCCGATCTAAAATACTTCCAGGACCATCATCATCATTTTCATCGCGAATCATAGGTCGAATTAACCAAACTAATTAAAAATATATAAAGAAATAAGAATCAAAATCATTCTTTTTTTTTGGTTTTTTTTTTTTTGTATACCTTCTACTTCATCAATTTCAAATGAATCCTGTGAACAAAGAGAAGGACTTTGATATGTTGAACAAATAGGTCCCTTTGAATGTCCATGAATAAAATCAGATTCAATCCAAAGTCCAGCATAACCAAGTTGTCCACCCATGCCTACGATCAATAATCATAATAATAATAATAATAAAAGTAAGTCTATATGATTTGTTATTTCTAATTATCTTTACCTAAACCATTTGGTAAACTTTTCTTTCCCCAACACAAATATTGATAATGACGATTGTTCAAAGTTGCATTCCAATGACCACACATATTATAAGAAGAAAATGATCCATTCAATTGATATAAAAAGTTGTAAGACGAACCATACCAATCAGTTTCCAATACCCATGCATCATCAGCATATCCACCAAACAGAGATCCATCTTTTGCTTTGATAACCAATAATGTTGCACCTTGATTTTTCACTATATTATGTGCGAATACTTGCCAACTGTTTCCATTTTGATATGATGAGAAGATCCTTTCGTGAGTCAAATCATCATAGGCTGCAAGATGTCGTTGAGCTCGTTCGTGTGGTGGAATGGAAAGTGCATTCTGTGGTAGTTGTAAAGTCAAATAAAAATAGTCGTACGGTGATAAGAGTCGTGAAAAATCATTGTCGTTTCCATTGGATGTTGGTGATATCAAGGGAGCAATTCTATGAGCAAGGCGAGACTGATGCATATTGTCAGGTTCACGTCCAAGAGTATCACCAAAGAAGTATGTACGTGCTACTAATTTGAATAGAATCGAAAATCCAATTGTTTTTTCATACCAAGTTACTAACATTTGTTTTGTTGCATCTTGATCCAAATATCCTAGAGGTTCTTCTTTGACTTGGTGTGACCATAATACTGTAGTACTTTTATCTCTTGTCGTATTTGTATTATCATCTTGAAGAAGCCAATCCATGTCATTTGCTTGTTTTTGTTGTTCGTCAGCAAAAAAGAGCATATTGTTAACCAATCGTTCTAATTGTTGTGAATTGTCTACAAAAGTTCGACCTGACCCTTCGAACCATCGTTGTACACCTGTTTGCACTATCCACGAAACAAAAGTTTGAAGAGATACTTTTTGTTCTTGAGCCGTCAAGGTATAAAGTTGTACAAAAGTATCAGCTGAACCTATTTGAGTACCATCTTGTAAAGTAGTACCTTCCAAGAAAGAATGAATAATATCCAAACATTGTCGAAGATTAAAAGTGTTTATTGTTATTCCTGATGATGATGTGGAACTAAATTGTCTAGATATGTAAAGTGCAAATAATTGAGCCAGAGGTTCTGAATAATAAGAAGGTAGTAAGAGTTGACATTGTTGGCTGAAACCATCAATACTGACAAGCTTGTTCAGTGATCCACTAGAGTCGAAGAACTGTTTCATGATATGAGTTTGTTCGTCCTCACCAAGTCGCTCCAGTAATATTTTAACGTGAACTTCATCGTTTTTCTTTTGTTTTTGTTGACTCGATTGATTTCCCATGAATAAAAGAAAAAACGAAAGATAAAAAAAAAAAAAAAAAAAAAAAATGAAAATCACGAGACGGAGTTGGACCTTTTTTTTTTAAAAAAAAAAAAAAAATGCTGGGATGTGTGTGGATTTGGCTTTGCACTTCCTCTCTTTTATTTTTTCCATCCTAATGAATCAATCCCTTGCTGGACCTTTGTTAGATCAAGTCATTTCTACCATTCGACAATCTAAAAAGTGTAAGTCTAGATATTATTTCCCATTGATATTCCTTCTTTATATCCTATTTGACCATTTTTTCATATTCTATAGTGAACTATGATCAAATACGTGTGTTATACAATTTAGTGGGTACTTTACTAATAGAAGCTTTGAATCTTATTGACACTGATTCTGGTAATATATATATATAAGTATAAAAGTTAAACATTGAAAACTTGGATATTCTTTTTATAGTAATACGACTAAACTGTGGAAAAGACGGCAAAAGACAGATATATCAAGTATTAGACACAGCAAATACCACAAGAAAAGATCCTCAACTTTGCTTATTATACCCTCGACATTGTTCTTGCGATCATTTCATACGTACTATAGTCTGTGGGCAATCTTCTCTAATGGTAAAAAGAAGAAATTGACTATTAGATAAAAAAAATTTTTTATTAATTTGACAACTTGTTTTCTTTTTTACTATGTTTGGATTAGTGCCGACATATTTTAGCTGCTGTATTATTTGATGCAATGGATGATCGAAAAGGAACCAAGGTAATGGATGAAGAAGATTTTGCCAAGCTATTATATACTTGGAACCCAAGAAACATTTGAAGGTTAGTATCATTTCTATCATTCTTATCATACACCATTTTTAATATCTACAGAGCTATTAAAATAAAAAATATCTCTTATTATTATTTTTTTTTTTTTTTGTAATGACATAGGGTATGCCTTGTCTTCTGTCATTTTGGATTTGATTGTGTTACTGACTTAAGAAGCGTAAGCGTTACCATAAAGAGATGACCCAGTCGAAAGAAAAAAAAAGAAATCATCCCGAACTTACATTTTTTTTTTATTTCCCCTTTTCTCTTTTCTTTCTTTTTATTCCATCCATCTTTATTCTTCAACAGGTTTTAACTTTTTATTCTTTTTCAAATGGTAACTAAATACTCTTCTGATATTCGGCCTTCCCTAGTATCATGGAATCAAGGTGTAGACTGTTCAAGTTATGTTAGTCATGGAAGGTTCGTGTTTTGAAAGATGTTGGGGCATACTCAATATAGAAATAGCTCACGTTTTTTTCTTTTTTTTGAACTACTTTATGATTCTTTGAAACTGGTTGGTTTTTTTTTAAGTTTATCCGAACGACCTGAATCACCAACATTACCTATAGATGAATCATACGACGATGACCAACAATATCGTTATGCATTACCTACACCTACCACAGATAGATCAACTTTGATATCATCCAGACGTCCTTCAGAATCTTGTAATACCCAAATTTCAACTACGTCTATAGACTATTCTTCAACTCGTTCTTCTCCTGTGCGGTTTTTATCAAGTCCTATAGAAACTGCTCAACGTCGTCATGTCAAACACCAACCAAGCTCAAAGAGTTCCACAGGTAAGAACTAAAAAAAAAAAAAAAAAAAAAAAAAAAAAAAAAGGAAAAAAAGAAAAATTTGTCTTTACAATGACTTATTGTGTTGTGTTTTTCATTTAGTTCCATATCAAATTCAGTTGCCAACCTCAGCAGATAATCCATCACCACCAATAGCACCATCTTCTCCAGGGATATCAGCGGTGACAACGAGTCGACAAAAGACAAACGGCAATACATCTTCATTATCAGTTAGTCGACATCATACAAACTCTCACCATAAAATGAATTCATCTGTTAGTAACTTAAGTTCGACAAAAAGATCCAGACCACCATTGACTGATTATGCTGCTGCTGCCATTGAACTCACTTCATCATCTGGGGCACAAAATCCTCCTGCTCCTGCTGCTGGTATGTATTGGTCTCGTGTGATTACTTATGGAAAAGCTCCAACACGTCCGTTACGTGCTCATTCTGCCAACATGGTGGGTGAAATGATGTATGTCTTTGGAGGATGTAATCAAAAAACATGCTTCAATCATCTTTACATACTAGATATGGGTAAGCATGATATCAAGACAAAAAAAAAAAAGGATAATTATTGAAATTATTATTATTATGATTATTATTATTTAGATACGTTGTCATGGACAAAACCTCATACTTTTGGTCAAGTTCCTCCTCCATTGCGAGCTCATTCATGTAATGTTATAGAATATATGGTTGGAAAACGAAAATCTTATTTTCTTTATGTTTTTGGCGGTGGTGATGGACCTAATTACTTCAATGATATATATGTATTGAATGTTGGTAAGTAACTACACTCAAAAAAAAAAAAAAAGAGGACTTGTACTCATTTTTTTTTAATTTTATTTTGGATGATAGATACTTTAACCTGGACAAAACCTTCTGTACATGGTAAGCCTATCTCTCCACGACGAGCTCACGCTACTTGTGTATGGCAAGACAAAATCGTCATTGTGGGTGGCGGAAATGGAACACAAGCCTTATCGGATGTCTATGTACTTGATGTATCTGATCCCAATCGACTTTGTTGGTCTGAAATAAAACCCAGTGGTCCTGCACCTATGGCACGTGGTTATCACACCGGTAATCTGATTAAGGATAAATTAGTGATTTATGGTGGTAGTGATGGTCACGATTGCTTTAGAGATATACATATTTTGAATCTTACAACCAATCATTGGAGTCAAATTGAATTAGATCGAGCTATACCAAGATTGTCACATTCTTCAACTCAAGTTGGATCCTATCTCTTTATCATTGGTGGTCATGATGGTTTCAAATATTCGAATGACGTGATATTATTGAATTTAGGTAAATCAACGAAGAAAAAGAAAAGGAAAAAAAAAAGATATCTAATTTATCTTTTATTTTTTTTCAATTTTTGATTGTACAATACTAGTAACCATGACTTGTGAAACAAAAAAGATATATGGCTCACCTCCTGGACCTCGTGGTTATCATACTGCTGTATTGCATGATTGTCGGCTTTATATTCTTGGTGGATATGATGGAACTCATGTGTTTGACGATCTCTATACTTTGGAATTAAGTTCATGTGCCTATCTTCCGCAAATCACTAATTTCGATATTGATGTCTAATCCTCTCCCTCTCTCTCTTTTTTTAGTTTATGTTGTATTTTACTTTATTTTATTTTATTTTATTTTGATTCCTACCACCATACCATGCATATATACATATATATCTAGATGTATATATTTATACATTCCCAACAGTCAATTCAATAAAACATCAGTTCCAATCAATTCCAACAAATAAAAAAAAATGAAAAAAACAGTGTGTATTATATATATATAAGGGATGATAATAAAATGTTACTACTCTATGGGGAAATCTTTTGTTTTTTGGAGTGTTGTTTATCATTGGATAGATCTTGTTGCTTGTCATTATCATCTTGATTGTTGGTATCTTCTTCTTCTTCTTCTTCATCCTCCTCCTCCTCCTCTACATCTTCTTCATCAGGTTGTATTGTTTCATTGTTATCCTGCATGACCAATGTCAAATATTGATTGAGATTTGTTTTCATAGTGGTAATAGCTTTGGTAAGTTGTTCCATGGAAGTACCTTCCCCATTAGATTCTATTTCGTGTGTTTTTGTATTGGATGAGTATGTTGCTTTGATGGTATACATTTTAGTGACAAAAGAGAAAAAGGAATTCTTTATTCCTTTTTTTTTTTTTATTTATTAATTATTATTTTTGATGGAGGCTACGATGAAAGATTTGGAGTCCCGTCATTTTTTTTTTCTATTTACCAAACGCGTATGTCGCAAACATAAAAAAAAAAACTCTTTCTCTTTCTTCTTTTTCCCCTATCTTTTCAGCTTTCAAACATGAATTCTATTTTCCGTAGTGCTACTCCTGTGCATCAAATTGCTCGTGTAAGTTCATATGAATTATAATAGATTGAACATTATATTATATATGTTCTCAACACTTTCTTTTTTTTTTTCCTTTGATAGTCCTTCTCTTCCACATCTGCTCGTGCCACTTGTAAGTTTTGAAGATAAAAAAAAAAAAGACAACCATACATTATCTTATATTTATTTTGGAACATTGTAATGATTTATTGACTTATTTATATATTAGTGAATAAGGTACAATTGATTGGTCGTGTGGGAAATGACCCTGTGGTTACAGATATTGGTGGAGATCGTCGTGTTGTCAACTATACCGTCGCTACCTCTGAAACTCGTCCTGATAAAGAAGGTAAAATTGAATTATAAGAGATAATTATCATGAGATATTGAACTCTACTTTTTTTTTTTCATCTTTTAAATACAGGCAACTTGATTAAGAGAACTCAATGGCATCGTATCGTTTCTTGGAACTCGGCCGATTGGCTTCCTGAACGAGTGAAGAAAGGGTAACTACAACAAGATAAGAATAGTATCAATGTTATTAAACTTTTTTTTTTTTTTTTACTTGTCAAAATATAGCGATCTCGTTTATGTAGAAGGACAACTTCGTTATAGTGACTATACTGATAAAGAAGGCATACAAAGAACAAAGGCTGATATTTATCAATGTAAGTTTTATTTATATATATATATATATATATATATATATATAATTTGTTTGTATTATTATTTATATTATTTATTTTCATTTTAATTAATAGCTAGCTTTAGATTCCTTGCTCCTCCTCGAACTCAAGTGCAGGAAGATTCTGAATAGACGTACTTTTGGCTTATTTACCATCAACCATTGTAGACTAGTCTTTTCAATTCGTCCTCCTCCTATTAGTTATAGTTATTTTGACTTTTTTTTCATCTTTTTTTCCTATCTCTCTCACTCTCTCAATAAATGGAAAATCTCAAATGACACGTTATGCTCTCTCTCTTTTTCAATCATCTATCTATCCAACCATAGGTACAACCGGTCACAAAGGGAATATATATAAATTTTTGGCGCTGAGAATGAAATAAGGGATGAATATAAAGGTGAACTAGAACCCAAGATTCTACTTTTGATACAGTTTTTCTTTTTCTATTATCCATCCATCCATCCATCCATCCATCCATCCGATTTATTGTAAGTATTACTTTTTTTTTCTTGAAATATCAACAATGATTCTTTTGTCTTTTGAAAACAAATGTATCTATCAAGAGAAACGGTGATGATAATATTCCACTTGACTATAGCATCTTATTTTGGTTGTCCGTTTTGGAGAACCGGATGTAATGTTAGTATTTATCATATTTTGAAGTCATAGTTACACTGAGTTTCTATTTGATTGATCATTTGAACAAAAGAACAATACTCTTTTTTTTCTCTTTATACTAAATGATTCTTCTTTTTTTTTTTTTTTAATCTTTGATTAGTGAACGAATGGGTATTTATTTCATTTGTGTGGTTGATGATTGGTTTAGATTAGATTAGATATATTGATTGTTAGTTTAGTTTCATATATTGAAATAAATGATCTAATGCTTAATTGGAAGCTTTTTGAACTTCAAAAAAAAAAAAAAAGGTTGTGAATGCTATTGATGTTGTGCTTCAGTGCTTTATAGTTTCTATATATAAAATTTCTATGATTGACGCTATCACTCAATAAGTTGAGTCATCACTTAATTATTACTATACGAATCATTATCATCGTTTATTCAACTATTATCTATTATTCGATAGATCATAATCGATCCTGTAAACGGTTTTGGTTCTGCATTAAAACTTTTATCTGGATGAAACAATCATGTCACGATGAAAGAGCTTAATGATATTGAAACTTCTGATGTCTACTATTCAACAAGGAGAAAGAAGAAAAAAAAAAAAAAAGCTAGTGTATTTTGATCTCCCGCTCAAAAATGTTTGTGCGGTGGGATGCTTTTCCTTTTTTTTCCTTTTCCTTTTTTCCTTTTTTCTTTTTTTCTGGAACCAACATGTCGGAAGGCAACGATGCTTGGGATGATTGGGAAACGGCAGCAGATGCTGGGGTAAAGAGAGAAAGAAAAAGAAAGAAAAAAGAGTAATTATATTCATCTTGATATCCGTTTTTTTTTTTTTATGCCTGACATTACAAACAACATTACTAACTTTTTTTTTTTCTAGTTGGCGGATTTCAAAGGAAAACCTGCGATCCCAAAGGCTCAAGAAAAAAGTAAGCAGAATAATATGGAAGATAGTAATACCAAGTTATGGAAACAAGCGTAAGGAAAAAAAAAAGGAATTGGATGTATTTTATTGACTATCATTTTATACTTAATAATTATGAATGATTGTTTTGATAGAAATGAACATACAACACCAATTATTATACGAACGGATACTGTACAAACACAATATCAACCAGAGGCAAGTCAAGTTATATGGATATTATAGTGTTGACACAGTTTTAAGTATTGACTTTTTTTTTTCTTTGGTTTGTTTGGTAGATCAAAATATTGAAAAGATCAGAAACACCACGGGCTCGACCATCGAGTACATCAACAAATACAACGCCAATCAAAACTTTAGAAGAAAGGGAAAAAGACTACAAATTAGCTAGGATGCGTATATTTGGAAAGAATGATTAGATTAGATAGTTTGTAGGATAGAATAGATACCACATTATTAGTTTAGGAAATAACATACTTGTTTGGATTGTGAAATAATAAAAAGATGATTTTTTTTATACTTTATCAGGTGATGATTTTTATATGCACAAAAATGAGAGATGTACAAGTGTGGTTAGACAAAATAGTCATTCATGTTTATCACTCATTTGACCTACCTTTTTTTTTTTTTTTTTTTTGGTTTATCTAATAATGATTTGGACACGCCATTGATGATTGATAAGGGATAATCCATCATATTTTGACATTATCTTTACTATTTTAATCATAAAAATATAAAAAGGAATAGAATGATTTTCTTTATTCACATTTTTCAATAAAAAAAGAGGAGGGAAAAGAAAAAAAAAAGATGAATATAGTAAACTAAAAGAATCAACCAAGAAGAGGAGCATTTTCGGCATCAGTAGGACGACCCACCAACTTGCAAGCGTAGGGACGAACAGGGTAAAGAAGAGTGATGATAGCTAAAGCCAAAGAAGTCCAGTGAATCCAAGGATCTTGTTGATTGGTAAAGATAGCCAATAAACCAAGGCCAAGAACAATAGCACCGGTGACATCACCCTTGTTCTTCTTGTATTCAACGTAACCAATGGCAGTACTAGATAAGAAGAGAAGACCAAGAATGACAAAGATACGAGACCAAACACCAGGACCTTCTTCACTAGTATGAGAGACAACTTGGAAGAAGTTGATGACAACAGAGAAAACAATCCATCCGTGCCATAAAGAGAAAGGAGCATGAATAAAGAGCTTATCATACCAAGAAGTAGTTTGATAGTTCTTTTCCAAGTTATAGAATACGTAAGACACTGAAGAAGCAGTAAGGAGGACAAAGATGAAAGCAATCAATTCATGACCACCTTTCAAAAGACCGAGCCAAGCAGAACTAAGTAAGACAGAAATCACGTAATGCCAACCTATCATCATCATCATAAAGTTAATATTCTCTCTTTCTTCCTTTTTTTATAATAATAATATCCCTTCTCTTCTTTCTTTTTTTTAAAAAAAAAATATAATACTTACCAACACCATGAATAGCAGCATCATGAGCAGGTTCAAACCATTGATAAATAACAAAACCACCAAGAAGAAGATGAATCAAAGTCCATACATAAGAAATCCAGAAAGCTAAAAAAAAAAAAAAAAAGAAGGTTAAAGAAACAAAGATAAGAATGAGAATATATATATATATTTTTTACTTACAAGGAGTAATATAAGTTTGACCTTCACCAACTTCACCATTAGCAGGACTAACAACAGTATAAACAGTAGTAGACAAGAAGAAAAGATAAACCACCACGTTGGCTACCTTTTGAAAGATATGAAGTTTAGTCATTTTTTTATTTTATTTTTTTTTGTTGAAAAAAAAAAAAAAGAAAAAAGAAAAAAGGAATCAAACTAACGCGCCCGAATAAATATTTTTTTTTTTAGGGTTTTTTAGTCCGTTAACGTTTCGTAAGTAAAATAAGGTTTTCTCACTCTTGTTATGTGTTACCCAAACGAGTTGCTTCATGCTTATTTCATTGGAAAAGAAAATGTTTGATGTTTGCATCACTTTACTTGCTTAATACCTTTTTTTTTTTATAACCTGCCTAAATCTCTTTTTTATACATCTATAAAAAAAAATATATATTTTCCCGCCTTTTATTTCTACTATGAAGCATTATTATTATTCCTTCTTTTTTTTTTTTTTTTGTAGTCAAAAATTTATATGCAAGTAGCCTCTTTATAAGGAACTCCGAACCACTGGAAACCTTTTTTTTTTTTTCTCTCCCAACCGATCAAATCCCATTCTTATCCGCTGACTTGATTTTCTCGCGCTTTCTAATCATATAATTAAAAAAAAAAAAGGTTTATTTCTCAAAAATTCAATTTCTTTTCCTTCATATGGAAACAATAAAAAAAGAAAGAAAGAAAAAAAGAAAAAGACCATTATCATCATCATAAATTTTTTTTTTTTTTTTTTTTTTTTTACATGTCACACAACTTTCGGAAATTGGTAACAAAACAGTAAAAACGCCTTTTTTATGGTCTTGCCAAGCTCAACACTCGGCAGTCTCCTTCCGTCCAATTGTTTCTCTACTAGTTCTATTTTTTGATACATCATGAAATGACAGTTCCCATCATATACTTTAAACATTGATAGTCACTGAGTTTAAAATGGATGCGGCATCTCTCTCTCTCTCTCTCTCAAAACTATCTAACCAGTCTTGATGGGCACTTTTTACCTGTATGATTTTTTGGAATGCGCTTCTTTCTTTTTCCCTTTTTTTTTTTCTTTTTCTTTTTTTTTTTTCTTTTTTTTTTCTTTTTTTTTTTTCCTTTAGTTTACATTTATTTATACCTTGATGGCTACTTTACTTTTGGATACCCTTAGAAAAGCTGAACTTGACCAAGTATATTAAAATAAAATAAAATAGGATACCCTCTTGATGACGACCATGTACTTTTTCATCTTATTAACTATCCCCCCTTTTTTTCTTCTTCTTCTTCTTCTTTACTTACAATTCAAGTACTTCTCAAAGTAATTAAACTAGACTTAATCTTTATCCATCTATTGAAAAGAAAAATATAAGTTGTGACTCATCCTTCTTTAACTTTGACTTTATTTAGCTTTTCATCCAATGGCATCACTCAATTAGAATCCTTGGCTCAGGTATCTATATTATATTTTCTATAATGGTTCACTTTTTTTTTTAACTTTTATTATTATTATTATTTTAGCTCTCAATGCAAGATTACAATAGTTTAGGAATTGTCTCTATTCAGGATCGCAAAAAGTTGTTTCAGGTACAGTTATTATAAATCGAAAAGGACTCTCAAACTCTTTTATATATATATATCCCTTTATTATTACTATAGTTGGTTCAAAGTTTACGCCAAGAACTTCCAACCAAGGAGAACGGTCTTGTAGCAAGTAGTACTCAATCTATTTATCGTCGTCAAAGTCGCCCTACAGCAACTGGTATCACCTCATCTCCTGGAATGTCACCTACTACTTCTTTTGTAGATACTACATTGACTTCTTCAAGTGGGTCTTTGAATGGTATGCCTGATATGTCTACTTTATCCATGTCTCGAAGACCTGTCAGTAATAATGGTTCTCCTCATTTTCAACCTGCAACTCCTCTCTCATCAACTCCACCATCATATCAACAACAACAACAACAACAACAGCAACAGCAGCAGCAACAGCAACAACAACAACAATCATCGACTACTTCAACTATTACTAGATCTAGATCTCGTACCTTACCAGATCAACATCAACGACCTGATTTCATGAAAACAGTCAAATCATCGCAACAACCTCCATCAGCAGATTTTTTTATGCATCATGATCCATCATCTGATGAAGAAGATGAAGAAGATATGCCAGAAATTCGTCGAAGCTCCAATCCTCTACTGAATCCTTATGGTATTCCTATTCAAAACAACAATACAAAACTACGCTCTCCGTACGCTCAACAACAGCAACCACAAAGATCTCCTATGATTCCCACTACAACTCTTGGAAACAATAACAACAATAATACTAATTTGGGCCAATCGGATTTGAATCAAAAAATACGCGTATGTGTTAGAAAACGTCCATTGAACAAGAAGGAATTAGAACGTGGTGAAAAGGATATCTCACCTACTGCTGGTATTCGAAGTATCAATGTCAATGAACCAAAGTAAGTCATTTATAATCATCATTTTATTAACTAGGCTAATATCTATCTCTTCTTCTTGCCTTTCTTTTTTTTTTCTTTATTGTAGAATGAAGGTGGATTTGACAAAATATATTGAACAACATAGTTTTACTTTTGATGATGTTTTCGATGTAGATGATTCCAATGACCAGGTAAATTGAATCAACTTTTGAATGCGAAAGCTAAGAGTTTTATGTTGACTTTTTTTTTTTATTGATATATGTAGATTTACCAACGTACAGCCCAACCATTGGTGAAATATGTATTTAATGGTGGAAAAGCTACTTGTTTTGCCTAGTAAGTATCATGGTGGGATAAATCATTATCATTTGATGAAAAGTTCTTTTATGTATATATATGTATTCTTCTTTTATCTTCTTACTAGTGGTCAAACAGGTTCAGGAAAAACATATACAATGCTTGATCCTCAACATGGTTTATATGTCTTGGCAGCACGCGATGTTTTTGCTTTACTTTGTCAACCTCAATATCAACATTTATCAGCATATATTGGATTCTATGAAATATATCAAGGCCAACTTTATGATTTACTCAACAATCGAAAAAAACTATTTGCACGAGAAGATGGAAAACAAAACGTCGTTATTGTTGGATTGAAAGAATATGTTATTAAGAATGTGGATGACTTGATGAAAGTCTTTGAATATGGAAGTCAATGTCGAAGTACAGGTAAAACTATTAACATCATGTCTTTTATTTCTGAACTGATATTTATTTATATATTCATTTTTTTTTTTTTTTTTGGAATATAGGTAGCACTGGTGCAAACTCAGATTCTTCTCGATCGCATGCTATTCTTCAGGTTTTGTTGAAACCAACTAAAAATCGCAAGATCATTACAGGCAAACTCAGTTTTATCGACTTGGCTGGCAGTGAACGTGGTGCTGATCGTGGAGAAACAGATGTCAAGACTCGAATGGAAGGAGCAGAAATTAACAAAAGTTTATTAGCGTTAAAAGAATGTATTCGGGCTTTGGATCAAGATAAACGACACACTCCTTTTAGACAAAGCAAACTTACTCAGGTATATATAATATATATATTGTTATAAAAGATGGTACTCATTTACTATATATTAAAAATAGGTGTTGAAAGATTCTTTTGTTGGCCATTCTCGCACTTGTATGATCGCTACAATCTCACCAAATCAAGGAAATAGCGAGCATACTCTCAATACCCTACGTTATGCTGATCGGTAAGATAAAAAAAAAAAAAAAGGTGGAAACGACTCAATCATTCAAATTCCAAATAATAATCCTTTTTATTTTATATTATTCATCACATAGGGTGAAGGAACTCAAAGGTGAACGGGATCGACGCGGCCAAAGTGATAGCAATACATCATCAGTTAGAATGCGTGGAAATATGCAAGAAGGTGATGAATTGGATGACTACATGGACAACCCCATTATGGACAATGAAGGTATACAATACTCAAACTATGAAGGCGATCACAGCAACAACCGCTTGGATTATGATGATAATGGAGGTTTTTCAGATGATCCTGATTTATACCACGAAGATGATGATGATCTCTTTCTCGGCGATGAAGATTTCCCTAGTGACGGTGATGTTCACATTCTAGACGAAGACTTCCCTCATGAAACGACTTTACATGATAGCAACAATGATGATGACTATGATAGTGGTGGTCCGACATCTTCTTCTGTGGCACATTTACGACAACGATATTTCGATAATGATGATGATGACGATGATGCTTTTTCATCCACTATGCCTAAACGTCAACCCACTCCGTATCATCTTCCGCCTCCTCCTTCTACAACTCATAGCTCTACAACAATGACTACTGGAGGTTTAGTGCAACATCGATCAATGACACTCCCTATCAATGATCAACAACAGCAACAACATGCAAATGATACAGAAAATCAACCCACTTTCAACTTATCTGCATCACCATCCGATAATGATACCACCCTATCACACTCTAGACATTCATCAACCAATGATCGGCAGCCTTCTATGGACCGATCATCCACCAATACATACACAAATCGCGTGTCACAGTCATCAACTCGACAACATTATCAACAAACTCAATCTCAACAGAGTCAACACTATCATCGCCAAGGTAGCCAACAACAGCAGCAACAACAGCAACAGCAACAACAACAAAAGTCGACCGCTTCCCTTGACTCTGATACTCCTACTATTGACCCACAAGCCATTGAACAATTCATCAAATTCCATCGTGCTGAAATCCGACAAACAGGTGAATGTTCGAAAAAGGAAACTAAGCTTTTGACACACTTTTCATTGAACATGGCCAGTCGTAAAGAAATGGACGACGATGATGATACTTCCATGGACAAAAACAAAGATCAATTGCCGCGACAACAACAGGATGATGATATGGAAAAGACTATGGTAGACTTTCAAGGATATTTGAACAACTTGGATGAAGTGCTGGAAATGAAGATGGCTGCGATTGATGCTCTCCGTGATCGTATTCGTGTGATGCTTGGTGAAGATGATGATGATGCTCTTTAGGTCTATGGTATTCTGTTACAAATTGAAATTTGGTTTCTTTTTTCTTTTTTTTTTTTTTTTTTTTTTTTTTTTGTCCTTTCTTGACTCACACATATATACGGTAGCTAGATTCCTATTTTTTCCATTTGAATATTTTTATTTTTGATACCCTATCCAATTTTATACTATGTTGATCCCCCCAGCCTTTTTTCTTTTTCTTTGATCATTTGATTAAACTCTCCTTTTTTTTTTTTTTTTTTTTTACCTTTCGTTTATTTACAGTGTTTTCAAAGTTTCTTGTCGGCTCATAAGAAAATGGCTTTGTAATGTTATAAAATAAAACCTAAAATGGCCTCTTTTTCAGATATCTCTCTAGAGATGTCCGTAGAATATGTCAAAACACATTGATTGATGGTTGATTGCTTCAGCAGGTGAGCTGATTCTTTTCAACAACCATATTTGGAAAAAAAAAGAACTGTAGTTTTTATATAGTATCATCATCATATTCACAGTTATGACAGGAGTATACTAATATAATGTTCATATCTGATGATGTTATTTATTTCAACGGATGAGTTGATTCTTTTCATCCTATCATCAGCTTCAGCAGCAATTTACATAATATAAAAAAAAAAAAAAATTTTTTTCTCGGGTCTTCTTTGTTTATTTTCATTACTGAGACATTCGGTCGATTACTTTTTCTGTAGCTGATAAATGTAAATTTGCATAGTATTTCTTTTTTTTTAAAAAAAATAAAAATAAAATAAAAAGCCATTTACTCGGGTCTATTTTATTCCTTGATCAAGTGAGAAATATAGAAAAGTGCCATTTTATTTTTCTTTTTTTTTTCTTTTTTTTTTTTTTTTATCTATTTTGATATCAATTTTTAAACCAATTTACAAACTACAAGACATTCATATCCATTCACCCAAAACAAGTTTCTTGTTCTCTGAGCTGCAACTCTACCAGTATCAAGACGGGCCCTTAGGTCTATTTGTTTTTTTTTTTTTTTTTATATATATATCTATTGGACATTTTTCTCTGTGCCTTGCTTTAATAGTAAGTTTCTTTTAATGATAATGATGATGATGATGATACAGTATATTAATCATTCTCTTTTTTTTTTTTTTTTTTTTTTTTTTTTTTTTTTTTATGAAATCTCCTTTCGTGTTTCAATTCAAAGTGGATCATCAACCTGTAACAGCAACATATCAAAATACAGTATAATGATAATTTCTACGATCGCGTTGGACGATGATTGATGATGATGATGATATACAATGATGAATGGATGGAGGATGGATAACTACTAAAAAAATTAGAGATGATGACAATGATATTGAAGACAACGAAGATAGTAATGAAGATATCAGTAATGTTTTTATTAAAGGAGATATATTGCTAACTAACACCAGCTATCAATAAAAAAACAAGATAAGAGAGAAAAATCAAATCAGATCTTCAAAAAGATACTTTTCCATCTATTTTTCTTGTTCAATCTTGTCATGTATCCAACCAGTTAACTGCCATGTTGATTAGAAGTACATCTATTCAGTTGATCCAGCCAGGCGAGTATTGCTCTGTAGATCCTATTTTAAATTCATCCTTTTCATAAGTAATACATATATCTAGTTACATACCATTCACATAAAATAATAATAAAAAGTCATGGTTGTAGAATGATGGAAAAGAACAAGAGGAACAGAAAAGAAAAAAAGTACAACCACAAAAAATACTTTTGAGTAGTCGTACAAATTCATACAATTCCAACTCCGCCAATCAAAATTTTGATAAAAATACTGAGATGAGACTACCAGGGGTCGAACCTGGAATCTCCTGATTCGTAGTCAGACGCCTTGTCCAATTGGGCCATAGTCCCTCAGTTAAAAATAGAACTGATATCTCCATTATGAATCCAATCCAAAACCCAGCCAATCAGCGTCGAGTATTCTTAGATGGTTACACTTTTGATCTATTTTTGGCGACCAATCATGTACAACAATCATCCCATCATTCTAAAACAACCCTAATACACAGAAAAGTAGGTGAACGAAAATAAGAGATAGACAAAACAAGGTGTAACTACATTACTAACGAGAAAGATAAAATATCAATAGACTAAAAAATATATATATATATATAGTATAAAGAAGGTTTTTTTTTTAAAAAAAAAAAAGTATCGAAGTAGAGAGAACAAAGACAAAGAATGGTTTATTTCATAAAAGATCGTAGACATCATAAATGTATAATGGAAAGGTAAAAGGATGAACAAATACATGATTTGAATGAGATGTTAATGGAAAAATTCTTTTTTTTTTTAAAAAAAAAAAAAAAAAAAAAAAAAAAAAAAAAAAAAAAAAAAAAGAGAGAGTAAAAGAGGACAAAAAAGCGCTTAGAAGTAAAAATAAAATTAAAAAATTAAAAAATTAAAAAAAAAAAAAAAAAAAAAAAAAAAGAAGAAAGGATACATATAAAATCCATTGAGGTCCGTCACGATAAAATATTCATATCAAGATATTTTACTTTATTTGATAAAAAGTAGAATAAAAAAATAATAATATATTAGACTAAAGGGATTGATAAAAGGTAATCATCTAAAATAAAAAACAACAGATATCATATAAATCCCATATTTTACGCCTAACCTTTTGACCAATCACCCCCTTCTCTCTATACTACCACCCTAGTTGTATAATTCCTTCATATTTCAAACCAACTATACTAATCCATCGTACCATTTTATTTTTTTTTTATCTAAAGTCCCGAAAGTGTTGGGACATACAAGTGTCATCATTGCATGTTCCTCCATTCGCTTCGAAAACGCATAGTCGTCGGCTTGTATCCGCTGTTTGTTCTGGTCCTGATGTAGTTGTTGTTGTTGTTGAAGTTGACAAGTCCGAGTCCATCCAATCCATATTTGATATACCAAGTGATTTTAATGTTGATTGATAATGTGATGTTTTCTACTCCAATAAATAAATAAATAAAAGGTTACATCAAGTTACTTCATATTGATATTCCTTTTTTTTTTTTTTTATTTATTCATGTTATGGATTACCTTTGGTACAGGAGGCTGTTTGATGGAACTATCGCCAGGACTAATTTCCACACTTGCGGGTTTGTTTAGTTGACTTTTCGTTGTTGTTACAGATGATGGTTTGCTAGGAATATTTGCTCTGTTGAAAATCTTTGGATAATTGCGTTGCTGTTGAGGTTGCTGCAAACTTGGTACAAAGTGAGACCCCGAGTTGTTTGTAAAGACTGATGATCGTGTATCACGAGGGTAATGAATAGGTTGTGTTGTGCGAGATCCATTGGGAAAAGATACTGAGGCTGGATATATATGTTGATTCATTGGTGTGTGCTATTATTATTATTATTATTATTATTATTTAAAAAAAAAAAAAAGGAATTAGAACAAGAATTATGTAGTTGAGAAATTTGATATCACTTTTTTTTTTTTCATCCACTTACCATAGTATCATTCATAGGTTTCCAGCTACTGGATGGTCTAGTTGGAATTTGGTTATGGAAGGCCATGGGTTGATGTGGACGATTATTCAGTCTGGATAAAGTGGCAGGATTGGTTGTATCAGGTTTTTTTGGCACGTTTGAACTAATGACAGATATATTAGGACGATTGAGAGAATCCATTTCCTGTGGTAGCTTCTGATATTCCAATATTTGTTCCGTTTTTTTTTCTTCTTTCTGTTGTTGGTCAATTGTGGATGGTGTAGACGACGATGATGGTAAGGTATGTTCCTCAGTTCCTTCAATTTTTTTGTTGAATGTGGTATGACTCGATTCAGATGTTATAATGTTTCCATGGTTGTTTTCGTTGTTACTAATATTATTCTTCTTATTCTTGCCTTTGTCAAAGTCAATGTTGAGTACAGAATTCATTGTTGCATCGTTTGATATCTTCATGTCAGGTAAACGAGGTTTGAACTGCGTTATATCAACAGGACGAGATTTCACAGGTGTAGTTGTATTAACAGTAGTCGTTTTAACAGCAGCTTCTTTCTTGGTAATTTTGGATTGGGTTCTTTTTCGTAAAGTCTGTTGTTGTTTGTTCGGGCGACTGGATGCTGTAGGTGGATTGGTTGATGTTTTTGTATATCTTCTCCCTGTCTTGGTCTTGAACGCTGAAAGTAAAGCCATACATCTTTTAAGCTCCAAATCACAGTCCTTTCTTTTGGCCACCAGTTTCTTGAGTTCTTCATCAAAGATGTTTAGTTTCCATACTGCCAAATCCAGAGTTTCATCACCTTCAAACGGTTGCATAACAGGAGAACTTGGAGGAGTGATAAATATCTCGTCATCCTTCAAATCAAATCAAGTGAAAACACAAATAGTTAGTATTTAAAGTATAAACCCTTTTCTTTCTTCTTCTTCTTCTTTTTTTTTTTTTTTTTTTTTTTACCGAGGTATCCATGTTCAATATTTGATTATTTATATTACTACTATTGGAGAAAGAGAGAAGAGAGAATAGCAATAGAGAAAATTTTTGTGTCTGATGACTTTTTTTATACCGTCTTCACATTTACACTCCGAACACACATACAGTTGATTGGAAATGTCTACGTGTTTTTCGCGTTCCTTTTTTTTTTGTCGTCTTTTTTTTTCGACTTCTTTATCTCTTGTACTACTTTCTTTATACACCCTGTTTTATGGTTCGAATCACTTCAGATCGATATAATGAGGCTTACGAAAGAATCAAACGTGATTCATTGGATGGTAATTGTATCATATTTGTGGCGCCTGATGTAGACGCTATATGCTGTTGCAAGATTTTACAGGTACTAGTCGAAAAAAAAAGCAAAACTTGGTTCTAATATCTCTTTTTCTTTTTGGCTTCATTATTGTTTAGTCATTACTGAAACGAGATATTATTCAACATAAAATCGTTCCTGTATCTGGGTATCAAGATTTACAAAAGGCTAATGACGACCTGGTGGCTAAGGATGAGCAGGTAAAACTCGACTAATGCATAAACTATTCTCTTGACTTAGTCACTCTTTTTTTTTGGATAATCATAGTTACGAACAATTATCATGATCAACTGTGGTGGACTCGTTGAATTATCGGAAATCCTCAAAGTTAACGATCTTGTTACTATTTATATCTTGGATAGCCATCGACCTTTACACTTAGACAACATTGTAGGACATAACAACATTTGTGTATTTGACGACGACGATGAAAGTGAAAAGATGGAAGAATTAATACAAATTTATGAAGAACTATTCGTAAGTTCTAAGGAAAAAAAAAAAAAGTAAACCAAGGACTTGACTAGACTATATATTCTAACTTGAGCTCCTTTTTTTTTCCTCTTTTAATAGTATCAAGATTCCGAAGAAGACGATGATATAGAAGATGACGATGAAATCGATACAGACGACGAACGGATACAAAGTAATAGACCACGACAACGAAGAAGACTAAACGACGGTACCAATACTAATGTAAGTATAAAGAAGGAAAAAATTTATAGATTCTCTTTTGTGCCAAAATAACCAGGGATCTTCTTTGATATATTTATTATAGAAACGTCTTCAACAACGGAAAAGGGAAGAACAGCTACAAGATTATTACAGTAGTTTGTATTATGCCAATTCATCTGCTGGACAAATGTATATACTTGCTACACAGTTAGGCAAGACAAACAACGAACTATTATGGTAACAAAGAAGAAGAAGAAGAAGAAGAAGAAGAAGAAGAAGAAGAAGAAGAAGAAGAAGAAGAAGAAGAAGAAGAAGAAAAAAAAACACTATTATTGTTGCTAATATATTTTATTTTAACATAGGCTTGCTATAACTGGAGTCACGGCACAATACATATTTGAAAAGAATGATACTACAAAATATATGGATTATGTCAAACGTTTCAGTGATGATGTAGCTTTATTCAATCTATCAGCATCAAATTCGACCAACAAGACATCATCATCATCATCAACTAAAGCAGAAGACAGTATTCAATGTGAAGACGAATATCGATTTATGCTCTTTCGACATTGGAGTCTTTATGATAGTATGTTTCATTCTGGATACGTTGCAAGCAAACTAGGCGTATGGCGGGAATTTGGACAAAAACGTCTGAACAATATGTTTGCGAAAATGGGGTAATGTATAATGAATAGGATTGGATCATAATGGATTTTTATTTACATGTATATATTTATTTATTTATTAGATTTTCATTACAACAATGTCACCAAGTATATACCCACATGGACATGGATTTGAAGAATATTCTACGAACCAAAATTGAAACAGTAGCACCCTTATATGGTTTGACAGATATATGTTTCCCAAGCTTTTCACGAACGTATGGTTGGAAATATAGATTATCTGCTAGTGATGTTGTTTATGCTTTGGCGACATTATTAGAAACAAGTCCTTCAGCGGCTGCAGCATTAGGGGAACCTGTAGATTGGAATGATGATCAAGATTGGGGTGAATTGGAGGATACAACGAACGAACACCCACAAGATCTTGGTAGTGTACGAAGAAAATGGTGGATGCGAAACTTTTATACATCTTATGATTCTTTGAATAGGTAAGAATGATGACATATATCTTTTTTTTAAAAAAAAAAAAAAAAAAAAAAAGAAAGGTGACTAAATGAATCCTTTGATTTTTTTTTCTTTTTTTTAGTATCGACGGGATTCGAAGAGGGATTAGTTTATGTATGAAAATACAAAAGGCTATTGTCAGACAAGGAACATCGATTATCGACAAGAAGAATACTAGAACACTGAAGAGTTTTCGTATGGTGCTTATCAAGGATGGGCCAGATTTACCATTATTCCAACATCCATTAACACTCTCGAAACTTGCATTATTTTTGACTGACGCTTATCGGGTAAAACATATTATTTCTTTTTCATTTATTTTCTGATCCTTTTTTTTTTAAATGATAGGAACATGGAAAACGTAATTTACCATTTGTAATATCCTCCTTGGATGAAGAACATGATTCATATTTAGTAGTAGCAAATACTGGTGCTCCAACTTTTGGTGATGTACGAAGAAAGTAAGTGAAATTTGATGATGATATGAATGATATATATGTATGTTAATATATCTTTATTTCAATAGTCGATTTGGTATTGCTTTCCAAATAGCTTCTGTAGAAACAAACGCACGGACATCATTTGATAGCTTTGAAACTTCAGTATTACAGATTCATAAAAATGATTTAGAACATTTCTTAGAAAAGTTATATGTTGGTGCTTCATAGTGATTCAATAAAATGATACAAATTTCAAATAATGCCGACTTTTTTTCTTTTTTTGTCCCTCTTTCTTCCTTTTTTTTTTTTCTCAGCCTGTGCTCTTTCCAAACTGATTGTCCAATGCTTACGAACAACCTTATAGATTCTGAGCCTGGAACTCAATCCTCGGATGAAATGTCAATATCAAGTCCATCCACTCAACAGACTTTAGAAGAGACAGGCGGTCGTCGTGTTTTACCTCAAAGTTTCTATCAATCAACGCGACCATATAAGCGACCACTTTTGACTGTACCGTTTCATCACCAGAATCCCATCTCAAGTAAGCACAGAAATAAAAAAAAAAAAAAGAACAAAAAACCAAACAAAAAAAAAAAAATAATTAATTAACTAATCTTGATCGATATACGAAAAAAAAAAAAAATAGTGACTTCCCCGTATCGTGATCAAACGACAACCTTGGTTGAATACGAATCTCTCGAACCTGAACACTTTTTTATCGATGAACCTCCACCCCCACCACCATCAGCGATACCTGTAGATATCAAAGAATACCCAATAAAAGGTGTCCCAGTCAAGTTCCCATTCAAACCATGTAAGGTCTTTTTGTTTATTTATAGACTCAATACTGTCATTACGTTAAGGAACTCATGAATGAATTCTTGCCTTCATAGACCAAGCACAAGTCCAGATGATGTCAAAGGTAACAAAGAAAGAGAAAAAAATTGAAATAATAACCATTTCTTTACTAAGCTCATCATACAACCCTTGACTGTTTCATACTATTATATATATATTTCGCGTTTTAGATCATTGAAGCTCTCCAGAAAGAACAACACGCTGTATTGGAAAGTCCAACAGGCATGCAGGATAAATAATAGATGATCATGAGAATGGCGAATAACATGTATAGAAAAAAACTAATATTTATGATTTTATAGGCTCTGGAAAATCATTGGCTTTACTATGTGGAGCTTTAGGTAATAGGAAAAATGGTGATGATTGTTTAATATAATGATTATTTACTATATTACTTTGTTTGACCTTATAGCTTGGAGAGAAAAGGAAAAGGAGAAGCGCATGAATGATTACCACTCAACTCAGCAAGTGAATGAAATGACGGCGAATTTGTATAGTTCTGGGGAAACAAGATTGGATACAGAAGAATTTATTACATTGATGGATACTATGGATTCTCAACAACAATCAACACAACAAATGAAACGCTTACCTCGCATTTATGTTGGAAGTCGAACGTAAAAAAGAGAAAAAGAAAAAAAAAAAAAGATGTGGATCGAAGCTCACTCGCATTCTTATATACTAGGCATAAACAAGTAACACAATTGGTTAAGGAACTCAAAGGTCGTACACCATACCGATCAAGTATGTCGATATTGTACAAGGAATGATATTTTACTTGGAATAGTGAATAACCGATTTAACTATTTTGTTTCTATGATGATCGTATTTAGGGATGTCAGTTTTGGGTAGTCGGGATCAATACTGTAGTAAGTAATACAAACAAATAAATAAATAAAGTAAAAAGCTAACAGTAATATATGTATCTGATCTTGCCTTTTTTATTTTTATGTATATGTAGTTCATGGTAAAGTATCCAAATCTCTCAACAAGAGTGAAGATTGGTAAGATAGAAAATTAGAATATATCAGTTATAAATAGTGAACTCGATACATTGATATTATTCATAGTGCTACTCTCATTGATACTCGAAGTTGTTATTATTCAAATCGTACTGATAAACTTACATCAAGCTCGCAAATTCAACCTGGTGGACAAAACGAGATATGGGATATTGAAGATCTTGTACGCATTGGAAAACAAGTTCAAGGTCAATTGTGTGATTCTTTCTTTCTTTTTTCTTTTTTTTTTTTCTTTTAAAAAAAAAGTGCATATACTAATATAATTTTTTATATATTTATATATGAAATATTTATATAGGTTGCCCATATTATGCCTCCAGGACTATCACTGAAACTGCAGACCTAATATTTTGTCCTTACAACTATCTCATGGATCCAAGTGAGTCATTCATATATTACTTAAGAAAACAAATCACTAACTATATTATTTCTCTTTTATTATTATAGTTATTCGAAAAGTGATGGAAATCAATACTGCCGGGAATATCATTATATTTGACGAAGGTAAGCTTTGATGATACAATTAGAAATACAATTAATCCGTTGCTTATTGATTTTGAATCTATTTCATAGCACATAATATAGAAAACATTGCCCGCGAATCTGGTTCTGTGGAAATGGAAGATGTGAAATTGAAGATTATCAAATATGAATTAAGTCAAATCATCAGCAATGGATTCCTAATACCAGCACATGAAATCCTTTTCCAAGTAAAGCTCTCTAATTGGATGATACACTTTATACTAATAGATTTTTTATGTCTATTCTATTGTAGCTTCTTAGCTGCCTATTGGCTTGGATGGAAGATGTTGAAGATTTTGAGAGAGAAGAAGATAATCAACGATCACATCTGTAAGTGAAAGAAAAAAGAACAAGATATCGATCCTGACCATCGTTTTTTTTTTTTTTTTTTAATAGGTTGACGACGGCGGAATCCATTAAAATTGAATTACAAGAATCTCTTAGTGTGAATGCCACCACTTTGAAAACAATCATTTATCCTGCTTTTGATCTTGCCTGCCAACACGCTGAACGAAAGCGGGGACGTTCCTCGAATGGTGATGATATGAATCTGGAATCAGAGCAGGATCTTGATATGACGAATACTGGCAATGATGGAGTCATGGACCCTTTGGATGAATACAACGATAATAGCAACAACAATAACAATAACCAAGGCGAAGGAACACAAAATGGCTGGAATCATTTGACCGTTGCATCTTTGAATATGATTGAAAGTAAGGATAATATACTAAAAACAATATCTATATATAACCATTCACCTGTTTTTATAGAGTTGCTCTTGATCCTGAATTATGTCTTAGATGATGATCAAGATGGAGCAGACAGTTATGCTCTGGCAGTGATAGAGAATACAAATCAAGGTCAAGTATCGATGACTAGCAATTACAACGACATGTCTTCTATATATATATATATATATATATATGTATAATCAACTGATAGATATTTTTTTTTATATAGGTGAACATGGTTGGAAAAGAAAATTTGCTCTCTGGTAAGAAAGTCAATAAAGGTTTCCTTAACATATCATGATCTGATTAAAAAAATGAAAAACATATGTGTACTCAGTTTTGATTTTTTTTTTTTTTATCATTTATAGGTGCCTGAATCCGGCGGTCGTTTTCAAAGAACTTGCCAAAGATGCTCATTCCATAATATTGACCAGTGGTACCTTATCTCCGGCAAGTTATACCAAAAAAAAAAAAAAAAAAAAAAAATGGGGGACATGTTGCTGATGATATATTTGTATATTTCTTAGATCCATACATTTGAAGCAGAATTAGGAGTGAAATTGTAAGTATATATTTAAATCAAAATTGTTTTCGTTCAATGATCTTTTTATTATTGCGATCTAGTCCAATCCGACTTGAAGCCAATCATGTCATCCAATCTTCTCAAGTTATGGTACAAACTATACCACGAGGGTAAGCGTTGGAAAGGGATGCAAAAAAAAGGAAACATTCGTTATAAATCTTTATCCTATCTTAATGGTTTATGTTATTCATTTAGACCCAAAAGAATTCCATTGAAAGGCGTTTACCATACTATATCAACAACTGGTTATCAAGATGACATTGGCGAAGGTAAGACAAAAAGAAGAAAAAAAAAGATTGATTATGATGGTATAATTAATTTCTATCTTTTTTTTTTTGAAAGCTATTGCAAGTATTTGCGAAACTGTTCCTTTTGGTATTCTTGTGTTTGCCAATGCATACACTACACTAAACAAGTTAAAAAGTCGATGGGAAGTAAGTCAAATTGAATGTGTTGGTTAACATTATGATGAAAATGATTATACCCAATTAATATTGTTCTTTTTTCTTTTTTCTTTCTGTCTTAATAGAAAACCGGACTCTTGGATCGTATTAAGAAAACAAAGCATTTTATGTTAGGTAAACTAAAAAAAATAAAAAATTTATTCAATATCTTTTGCACTTATTCTAAACCAATTTCATTTATAGAACCTCGAGGCAAATCACCAAAGGAATTCAACAGAACACTCAAGAAATTTTATGCTCATATCAAGAAAGCTGAAAATGGGGAAAGTGTTGAAACAGGTGCAGTACTTTTGGCGGTAAGAGAAATATTGAAATGAGTCCTATTTAAATCAACCTCTATTCACGAAAAAATATATATATTCTAGGTATATCGTGGCAAAATATCAGAAGGTATCGATTTTACTGATAATAACTGTCGTGCAGTGATTGCAACTGGTATTCCATTCCCTATGTGGTAAGATGTTATCAACATTCAATGATTCTTTACATGTAGCTTTAAATTATTACTTTAATAATATAGGCAAGATACGAAGGTGCAATTGAAAAGATCCTACAACGATTCTAGACGTAATCGACAAGATACAGTTCTATCTGGTGATGAATGGTAAGTTTGAGATGATGGTTATGGATGATAAATAATTACTTTTTGATTCGCTTTTTTCTTCTTTTTTTTTTTTTTTTTTTTTTTTTTTTACATTAATAGGTACAATATCCAAGCATATAGAGGTAATGTAGAGGGATATCATAAACAATAGATGATCTTCAAGACAAGACTAAATTGGTTCCTTTTTTTTTTGTAGCCATCAATCAAGCTCTTGGAAGATGTATCCGTCATCGAAATGATTGGGGTAAAAAAAAAAGAAATATTAAAGAATTTATACAAAAGATAATGACTTCACTAACTAAACGAAATTTACTTTAATAGGTGCTATTCTTTTACTGGAGGAAAGATTTCTAGATAGCCGAAATACTCAACAACTATCCAAATGGATACGACGTTTGTGTTCATCGACCAATACCAATTTCGACTCGATCATGACCAACCTTCAACAATTTGTAACCCGGCACCGAAGGATTAAATTAGAAAATCAGCAATCACGGCAACAAGAACAACAACAGTCTCAAAATGTAGATATACCCAATATCAAAGGTGATGAAGAATCCTTATCTAGCAAAGATCAGACACAAGAAACATCAGATACGCTGCAGCAACCAGGAAGAGAAAACAAAAACGATATCGAAAAACAATCACAGCATCTGTCTCAACTTGGATTGGATCATTTGAAATTAGATACAGTACCAACAGTGGTAGAAGATGGCAACAGAAATGATGGTGACAAGGATACGGACAACACGATCAAACAAGAAATCATCCATCAGGGCGTACCGTCTGCATTTGAAGTGGAACAACAACATGTTGACAATGACTTCGTATCACATCCAACAACATCTGTATCATCCCAACCGGTCTTTGGCCAACAAATGTATATCATCACTTGTAGGAAATGCTCTCAATCCATTTTTACTCGGCCAGCAAGCGCGTTTGCCTTCCGTTCGATGACAACCGATCTTTATCATTTTCACAACATTGCCCAACAAGACCTTGATAATAGCCAACAAAAGGTGTACTTTACATCAGTCTTGGTATTGAACGAACCTTCACTATGGCATCCATCGGAAACAATAAATAACGAAAATTGGATATCTTCGCCTGTATCAACATCAACAAGAAATGTGCAATGGAATCCAATGGACAAGATCGTGTACGAATCAATTCTATCTCCTTGTTGTCGTCGTCAGGTAGGTGCTCACATCATTACTACGACTATTGGTACCATGGATTCAAACATACCATTGATTGGCAAGATCTTACTTGTGAAAGATTTGGTGGAAGTCACTTCTCGTGTGGCCTGATCCTTTATGAACAACAACTGGTTGATCCCATTCCTTTTTTTTTTTTTATGAAGTTATTGTTACCCTTTTTTTTTTTTTTGATATGAAACATCTGTAGTATAATTGTTGTATTTATCATCTATTACCCGCTTCAATAAAAAAAAAAATAAAAGCATTCTCTTTTTTTTCATTGATTCATCTATCCATCAGTACAAGAACCTATATATTTTTAATCATTGATAATTTATTCCAGTTATATGTAAAAAGCATAATATACAAATCAATACGAGGAGAAGAAAGATAATGTGGACTAAACGAAATGGAGGATATCAAAAAAAAAAAAAAAAAAGAAGAAGAGAGACAGTGAAAGCATCTTAAATCGTATGTCTATGTGTATGTATGTGTGTTGTGTGCAATGATCAGCTGTTCTTATCAACCTAATTCGAAAAAAAAGGAAGAAGAGAGAGAGAAAGAGAAAGACAAGTAAGCATATATATATATATATATAAAGTCATATGTTACTTACAGGAAGGAAGAGTTTGAATTCAGGAGGTAGTTCATCTTCTGAGCAGAGGCGATCGGCAAAGTAAATGCGTCGTAAACGGCAGTTAGCATGGACGGTGACACGAGCGGTTTCCAAGTAAGTAGTGGCATAGGCACGTTTGACCAGATCAGGAAGATCCATGACCATTTGATTCCAACCGGGTTCCAATCGCAAAGGCATGGTGGTAATGATGGGCTTGACACGTGTCTCCAGTTGATAATTTGAGCATCGGAAGCGTCGAGTTTGTTGCTTGTCATCTACCACCTGGACTTCAAACGAGACATACTGATCCAAATTCTTGACAATAAATACAAGATACGGAAGTTTGATCCCAAGCGTTGTTCGATGCCTTCCCTTACCTAATGGTGGACATGTAATGTACGTGTTGGCAATAGCGTGGTTGTTGCATACCAGTTCGATCACATTGGAACTGATCATGGTGTCTTGTACTCGTTCGACTTTGGATACTTGCTGGTTATTATCATTCGAGTCGTCTTTGTCTTGACTAGACTCGTCTGTATGTATCGTCCATAACTGTAATGGTTCGTTCCTATATATACAAAAAGAGAAAAGTAAGAATCAAATGTTTTTTTTTTTTTTCGCAAAGAATTGGTTTTTTTTTTTTTTACCCAAGACTATACAAAATGGAAAGGAAACCCGACTAAGAACAACAAAGATGGCATATGAGTTTCATTTCTTTAAAAGGAAAAGGTAATAATAATAATAAAGAATACCTGAAATGTATTTCTAAACATTAACAGTATAACAAGGAAAGAAGAAATAAAAAAAAAAATCAAAAAAAAAAAATAATAATGATCCTTTTTTGCCTGTTTAGATAAAAAATGATTCTCAGCTGGATTAAAGAAAAACCTTCCGCGCTCTTTCTCTCTTTTTTTTCTTTTTTGTTTTCTTTCCTTCTCCCCTTTTATATATATATATATATAACTTTTATTACCATGATCCGATCTCGATGTTTTAGGACCTATATCAATCGACATACCATTAACATGTCAAGACAATACAGCACAAGTTCAAAACGTACTTTGACGGCGGAAGAAAAGAAACAATTGGAACCCATGATTCGTGTGGATCAATCTGGAGAAGTGGGAGCTTACTATATTTACAAGGGACAAATGGCAGTCCTGGGACATGATAAGAAGCTCAAACCATTGTTACAAGAAATGTGGGATCAAGAACAAAAACATTTGGAACTCTTCAATGGGTTAGTGGGTGAACATCGTGTGCGGCCTAGTCTACTCCGTCCTGTATGGGAAATAGCTGGTTTTGCTGTGGGTGCTGGTACTGCTCTGTTGGGAAAAGAAGCTGCTATGGCTTGTACTGAAGCTGTCGAAACCGTAATTGGAAATCATTACAATGATCAACTACGAGAACTCCATGCTATCAAAAATCACAATAAGGAATTGACTTATCTTTCAGAGGTAAATCCCCCTTCAAAAAAAAAAAAAAAAGAGGTATATAGAAATGTTTTTTTTTATGGGCTGATTTTTTTATTATTGTTTTTGAACATTAGACTATTGCTACTTGTAGGGATGAAGAATTGGAACATCATGATATTGCTGTAGCTCACGATGCTCAACGTGCTCCTTTTCATTCGGCTCTTTCGGCAGTGATTAAACAAGGATGTAAAACTGCTATTTGGATTGCTGAACGTGTATGATCTCTCTTCTTTTGGACATGTTATTATATCTCTTCACCATCATCTTTTTCTTAGTTAGAACTTCACTTTTTTATTCCTTACATTGCATTTGTAGTCATCTTCATCAACCTCTCTCTCTCTCTCTCTATCTTTCTACTTTCCTATTTTAAATGAATAGTAACAATAAAAAAAAACATCTATATATATATATTTAAATGATGGTTTATTTGTGAATATATATATCAATCAGTAGTAATAATGGTAATGATGATAATGGGTAATTGTAGTAGTAGTAGTAGTAGTAAGAACCAAAAGAGAGTGTGTGTCTATACAGAAAATGAGGTATCTAAATGAATAGTAATAATATAGAAGTGGAGAAAAATAAAATAAAACTATTTAAAAAAGATGTAATATGCTGCAAATACAGCTACAACAATAAATAAGGTCATATAACACATCATAGATGCTGATTGCTTGGATGCCATAATTTTGAAATTGTGCATAGTTTTGCCTAGGACATTGTTTGTATTGGAGAATTGATCATTCTATACATCCAAAAAAGAAAAAGAGAGCGAGAGATTATAAGTATTAAAAAAAAAAAGAGATATCTTTCTATTATCAAGATTTTTTTTTTTTTTTTTTTTTACCATAGTGTCCAATAAACTATTGCCATGTCGAATTTCTTCCCCGATTTTTCCAGTGATCTAAGTAAGTTATATATATATACATAAATACAAAAATAATCAGTCAATCCATCCAAAATAATTCTAATAATAATCATAATAATTAAATAGATTTACACTTTTCAGGACTTGAACTTTTGCCGATAACCCAGTAATCCGATCTTCGTTTTGACTTTCAAGGTATTCTAGGTCACCATCATCCATCTTGAGTTGCACAGGTCGATCAGGAGAAGATCGCGCACTTCCGAACATAGATGAAGATGGAGATGGTGTTTGTCGATTGGATGCATCGCCAAATAATACCGTTCGATTATGTAAATGTTGATATGATCTATCAAAAAAAAAAAAAAAAAATGATGAAATAATGAGTACAAGTATAAAGAATATCGATGTGGACTTCTTCTTTTTTTATAATGAATAATGTCCAAAAAGGGAAGGGATATTAGGTTGGTATGGATACCTTACACTGCTTTGTCCAAACTGTCTTGACATTAAATGATTAAAATAATAATAGAAAAAAAAAAAAAAAAAAAGAGAAAAAGTGGGAAAGAATAGAAAGGGTGTGAGGGAAAATATGAAAAGTTCAAACCCAGATTCGCTCGCTATATATAGAGTCGAAAAGGGAATCTTTGAATCATAATAGATTATAGCAAAATGGGATTATTTCATTATGTAAAATGATAGACGATGAGATCATCAGAGTTCTAGTAATGTAAAGGATATGTGTTTGTAGCTGATTCGAAAGAAAAACAGGACTGAGGAGGATCTCGTTGCTGTTATCTGATTGGCCACAACTTTTATAGCCCGTTTTTTATGAGACATGAATTACTATTTTATGACATATAATGGTTGGATGATTGATTTGATTCAATAGAATAATTATGATTATTTGATAGTTTCAATGTGATTGGAAAAAAAAACTATAAAAGACACTTTTTTTATTTTTTCTTTCTTTCTTCTACAAAAAAAAAAAAAACAAAAAGAAAAAAAAACAAAAAATCATCTGCTTCTTTTTGTCTGCTTCCTTGACCATACGCGATAGAATATTGATTCTTGTTTCCCCGGTTTTCTCCTTGTTCTTATTGTGCCTCTGGTTGTCTCTCCTTGCGTCTCTCCGTCTTTCTTGCTTCTTGGATCCTTTTTTTTTTATCATTATGATACTTATACTATCCCTTTTGCGTCACGTACATCCTGGATGGGTTGATGCATGGCGACCGTGCCTTGGCGCCGGAGGATTTTCTTTTCCTTTAACCATTTTTCCATTTTTTTTTCTTTTCAAACACTGAAGTGGGGCTGCGAAATACGTAGATCCAATAAGTTGTATGATGAAGAACAGCAATTGAAGTTTATTATTATTTACAAAATAAAGTAGACATATATAAAAAGTGAAGAAACATATGTAATATATGTGAGTCTAATATAAACATCTAAATCTAATCAAGGGTGTGATCTAACACAAAGTAGTGTCTTTATCATTTTCAGTTATTTGCATATCCATTGAATACCATTCATATTGACCAGCCAGCTGCCAAAGTTTAAGAGAGTTATCTACTGTTTCTTCATTCATGTCATAATCATCATCACTATCTGATAAATATCCAATATCAAATTTTCTTTGACCAGAACAAGTAGCCAAGATGGATGGGTATACCGGGTTAAATGTTGCTCCAGAAGTAATATCTATCAAATATATGAGATTAGATTTCTTTCTTCTCTTTTTTTTTATTTATTTTTTATTACATACCTTGATGTGCTTTCCAGGATGATAATAATCTTGGTTTTGTTTCTACATCTTCTTCATCCAATGTTGTGAGATCATATGTCAATACATTTCCATCCTAAAATAAGATTCAAAAAAAAAAAAAAAGATTTTTAGAATCATTTGACGTGATCATCCCAATTTTTTTTTTTTTTTGTACCTGATCACCTGAAATCAACACAGACCCAGTGGGATCCAGATCGAATGTAACACGTTGATTTGTTTTCCCTTTTCTATCTAGATCATACAAAATATTGGCAGATTGTCGTATATCCCAACATAGAATAGAATTAGATTGTCGACAAGTAGAGAATAATCGAGTACCATCCATAGAGAACATGACTTGGGTGACTCCACCACCTTTCATTCCAGTTAATTTGAGACATAGTTCATCTGTTCGTTCATCATAAATACCAATGGATTGACTATAAGAACCAGCTGCATACATACCACTGAGATCTCGATTGAAGTCGATACATGAGATAATTCCTTTTTGTCCTTTCTTGCTTTTTCTATTAGGTGTAGTGGCGATTTTTGTTGATATATTATTTCCTGGTGTGTTCAAGTCGAATATTTCAATCATATTTTCATAACCGCAATAAATCCTAATATATATATGTAAGTCATATCATCAAGTTTATCTATATATATATATATTTACTTTGTTCCATCCAGATTGAATTTAACTACGTTTGGACCAATGAATCTTTCTCGATGATCAACAACACTGTAAGATGCACGGACCTATCAATTTCCAAAATAAAAAAAGAGTTATACATAAAGTTTTTTTTTTTTTGGTAGATCACTTCATTCTTACTTTTCCAGTGGTGGCATCCCATAATCTTACAGGATGATCACGTACTGAAGACAAAAAACAACAAGTAGTAGGATCTTGAGTATTCATTAAAGGAAACCAAGTTAAATCACAAATCGATTCTGCTTCAACAATACCAATAGAAGGTATTAAGGATTCAACAGAAGAAATATCATATGCAGACGAAGGACTAAAAATAAATAAAAAAAATAATATTAATAATATATATGAGTATATGATTATTATTTTTAATATAATAATAGAAAATTTACATATTAAATAATCGTATCGTTCGATCTTCAGAATTGGTTAAAAGACAAGTACCATCAGGAGACCATTGACAAGATTTGAAAAAATTATTTGTAAGTTTGTTGTTATTTTGTATTGAACCGAGTGATCTAGTAAGAATAGGTTGATCAAGAATAATTGATTCAGCACATGTTTTATTATATCTATCAGAGGTAGTAGCTAAAAGTGTTGAAGGTATAGAAGTCCAGTCATATCGATAAAAACTATACGTTTGTTGTTCCACCATTGAATCAGACTTTATAGGAGTATCTAATATTAACTTTTCATTTTCTTCTCTTTCATATATAGTTGTTTGATCAAATGAAGAATCGTCGTTGTCGTTTATTTGCATAGAGAAAAAAAAAATTAAAGTATGAAAGAAAAAAAAAAAAAAAAGTGACCAAAAAAAAAAAAAAACCGGTGCGACGGGAACTCCGGTACGATTCACTGAAAAAGGAAAGTACCAGGAAAGGTGGAGGTTCCTTTTTTTTTTTTTTTTGTATCACTTTAGTTTAGATTGGATAAATAAAAGTCAAATGATAAAAAAAAAAAAAAGGAAGAGGAATGTGATGCGACTTTTTTTTTTTTTCTATCTTGTTTGTTATAATAAAAGATGTCTGTACCATGAGTCATAAGACCTAAAAAGCTGTCATGCATAGTTCTCTCTTGTTATTATTATTATTTTATTCTTTTTTATTTATATATTTTGATTGGTTGATTGGTGATGATAAATTTCATTTTCCGTGTGTGCTACCCAATGTGGGCTCCAGTGCAGCCAAGTGGTGTCTTTTTTTTTTTTTTTTTTTTTTTTTTTTTTGTTCCTTGTCCTCCCTTTGAAATTCCCTTTTCTCTTCCTTTCTTTCATTTTCTTTTTTTTTTTCCCTTTTTTTTTTTCCTTTTTTTTTTTTTTTCTATTACCATTTTATTATATCTTTTTGAGAAAAAAAAATGATCACTGCAAGATATGAACCTTTATTATTCCCAAGAGAACGTTCACCTTCTCCTCATCTTAGTTCCTCGCGTTTTACACCTTCAACACCATCCACTCCAACCAATTCAAAAAATGACACTGATGATATTGATCGTTTTATGGAATTAGCTCATGCTGCTTTAGAAGAAGCTACAAAAGAAGAAGATGCAAAAGGTGTTCTTCAAGAATTAGTAGAACGTGTTTTGGCCAGAACAGGTGCTCCCTTAATGGCAGGTGTCATTGCTGAACAATTACGTAGTCAAGAAGTCATTGAACAATTAGCTGAAAAAAGTTATGAACGACAACGAAGAAGACAGATACAAAAATATTCTACGACTTTCAAATCACAAAAACGACGAAATTATTCATCAGTTAATAATACTTTATCGCAGGACGAAGGTAATCATTCATTATCAGCACCACCATCAACAACAACTTTAATATCATCGTCATCATCATCATCATCACAAAGATTAACCGTATCAGCACCTTCATCATCATTATCATCATCATCATCATCATCGTCATCATCAATATCATGTTTATCCAATATATCATCATTAAAAGATCCTCAAGATCCGGAAACTTTGGATGAAGCAGTGACTCGAGATCAATTTGTGATTCAACAACAATTACATACTGATGATACTAAACATGATTCTTTATTACTGATATCTGAATATATTTGGCGATTATTCCGACTTTTGATATTAGCAAGTCTAGTGGCTTTAATATATCATTATGTATGTGCCTATCCCCAACAATTCTTCATTTGATTCCTTTTTATATATATTTATATATATCTTACATAGTATCCCCCCTTTCCTTTATTTTTTTTTCTTTTTATATATACTTGAAGAAACCATCTATTATCTATCTATATACATATACACATACAACAAAAAAAAAGAAAAAGTTTCTTCTTCCCTATTCCTGTTTTTCCCTTAGTATAGTTTTCATTCTTTTTATACAATCAATTCATCATAAATAAATAAATAAAAAAAAAGATTATCTTTATTGTCCTATATGTTAAATGATTTTTATTTATTATTTGAAAAATAAAAATATCAAAACAATAACATACATACATAGACTTTATTTAATCTATCTAACAAACTATTTTATTTAGACTATCTAATTCATTTACTAAATTATCCACCAAACATTTATTTTCCCCAAAGATCCGGACTTGAATATGACAAGGATCTAAAGAAATAGATTCTATTCTGCACATGATCTTGTCATCCTACAAAAAAAAAAGAAGTCAGAATCTCTCTCTCTATTCTTTTTTTTTTTTTTTTTTTTTGAAGCCCAGAGTAAACTTACGGAAGAAGAGGCGGAGGACGATGGTTCCAAACAAATAAGCATACCCTTTTCGAGCCCTAACACCGGATCAAGAGCAAATGTATCCCGTAAAAATTGTCCATGATAAGTTCTATTTTCACCTTTTACATCTACTTGTTGTTGATATAAATGAGAAGGAAGGACAATTTTCTTTAACTATATATATATACAAGAAATAAATAAAATTTATTTATCTATACATTTTATTATCATTTTGAATTACCTGATCAACCAAATATAAACCAAAAGAATGATTTAAATGAACAGATTCAGTACTTCCAGGTACAGGTACTTGAATTTCAATGATACCATTATATTGAGTTGGTTGAGATGTATTGATAGTGATAATTTCAACATGTTTCATATTAGATAATAATGGTGGAATGCTGGTGGATGATGAGGATGTCAAAAAGAGTGATGATACTGATTGATTGGAATGTCCATCAGTTGTCGTCATATGATGAGAGGAAGATATTAATTTCAATAAAGGGGTCTATATTTATATGTAGATGAGAATAAATAAATATAAAAGTAAATCTATCAAATTTTACCTGAGGTATGATGGATGATCTATCAAGATCACTTTTATGTAAAGAATGGATGATGGGTTTGAAATCCAATTTAGCAGATAATCCAATGACAGGAAATGCTGTTGCATTATGGACTGTAATGGTCAATCGAGTCGTACCTTGATCATATTCCAATCTTGTACCTATTTTTTTTTTAGGAATCATTTCATAGTTAAAATCAAAATTCATTCAAAAATTAAAGTTGTTTTTACCAATTTTGATATTTGTTTGAAATAAATGATGTATTACACGGTTCATGGTTTGAGTCATTTGCACATTCTGTTCTAAAGTTCTTTGTAAGGTCTATTTGAAGGTTCAAAATCTCAGTCTACATTGTTTTCATTTTCATTTGTTTTTTTTTCTTTACCGAATATACAGAAGAAAACGATGTCTGTACATCTTGCATAGTCGAACCTAAAAGATCGATTGGTTCTGATACACTAAAAAAAAAAAAAAGAGATGTTGAGTCGCTATCGACAGTGATCTGGAAGATCTTTCCATTATAATAATATTCTTCAAATTTTACGTTTGTTGTTCTGGTGAATCATTATCTTTTTCCAAGGACATTTTAGATTGTTCATGGGTCATTATAAAGTTGCTATTATGGAAACCGGAAGGAAAAAAAAAAAAAAAAAAAAAAGGAAGGGAGAAGAGTTATGCTCACCCATTTTTTTTTTTTCTCTTTTTGAAACGGGATTTCAATCAATAAAAAGTTGTACCCTTTGATGGTTTTATATTAATTTACGAACATCACGTTATATATCATCTATTCATCATTATCATCATATAAGAAGTATCATCATATAGGAAGTATCATGAGATTCATTATAGTAAAGCATCATCATCATCATCATCATCATCATCATCATCTATTAATCATGATATCAAAGAACAAAAAAAACACAATAATAATGAATGACAATAAGAGACGAAAGAGGTCACATATATATAAATATATATTTTATAGCTAGATATTCAAAATAGGTCAATCCAAACCAAAACTATATCATTCATTTTGATAAAAGAAAAAGAGACAAAATATTTGAGTTCGGCTACCTTTCCATTGGATGACAAATCGGGGCCTTTTTCCCATATTGGTTTGAAATGTTTGTGTGGTTTCGTCCATCTCGGTTATCTTTTCGTGCAAGAATCAAAAGCGGGCTTTAAAGATACAGTTTTTGTTGTGTTTTCTTTTTTGAAGATATTTTTTTTTCTTTTTTTTCTTTTCTTTTCTTTTTTTTTTTCTTATCTTATTCAATAGAAACTTTTATTTAAATAATATGAACAAATATGATCCAATGGAAGAAGATAGTTCATCATCATCAACATGGACCAATGAAAATGAATCTTTATTAAACAAGCATTCATCTGGTAAAGGGAAAGCGACTCCTTGGCATATCCTTGGACCGATCTTTCTTGTCACTTTTGGTATAGGGTAAAAAAAAAAATACATTATTATTATTATTAGTATTAGTATTATTTATTATTTATTCATAATATTTATGATATATAGTGCATTAATGGCTCCAATGGTACAATTTTATACAGAAATCTTTTGCGATAGGTATGAAACAAATTTTTCATTTATTTCGATAGCTATTGCCAAAACAGGAAGGAGCGGTTACTCATACTTATTTACTTTTTAGGTATTATGATACCGAGACTGATGCTAGTTATGATGTATTCGGTTGGATGATGGGTAACAATAATAGTAGTAATAGTGATACCCTTCCTGATATCAAAGATTGTGCTATTCCTGAAATTCAGCAAATTGTTGCGACGGTTCAAGGTATCCTTATGTTTCTCACTTCTGGAAGTTGTAAGTTTATAGGAAAGAAGTGTATGACAAATGGGATGATTCTTCTCTAGATGTGATGATCAATAACCAATCTCCTTTTATAGCATTATTGGTGGCAGGTTTCTATGGTTCATTATCTGATCGACATGGAAGAAAGGTGGTGTTTCAAATCTTCTCCATTGGTGGTATTCTTACTATGCTTTGTTATATTGCAGCTGCCAAGTCAAACAACCTGATTGGTGTAACCTTGCTTATCTTGGCACCCTTGGTACGCGGTTTCCTGTCAAGTGAACATATCGTTATTGCTGCTATCCAAGCTTATATCTCTGATTGTACTACTCATGAAGCACGGTAAGAAAAAAAAATATGAATCATCATCACGTAATCATATTAACACATCTCTTTCTTTTTTGTCATCATCTTATTAGAACTGTTGCTTTCGGTCGAATGATGGGTGCTACTTATGCTGGTGTGATCTTTGGTAAAAAATCTTAGGATCCAAAAAGGAACAAAATTCATAATTCTTATTCTAATCTTTTTTTCTTCCTTTTCTGGCGTCTGAAAATATCATCTAGGTCCAATGGCTGCAAGTTTGCTTATGGCGGTAAGTTCATCAAAAAAAAAAAAAAAAAAAGATGGATAAAAAGAAAAATTTTGACTGATTTGATCTCTTTCTATTTTGATTTGGTTGATATTGAAATAGAAAACTGGAACAGTGGTATCTCCGTTTTATCTCGCCTTGGTGATCCATTCTATCAATTATCTTTATATTGTGTTTTTCCTACCTGAATCCCTGGATGAACAACTAATGAAGATAACAAGAAGAAATGCAACTGAACAGCCAAAACCCAAGTTCTGGAAAAGGGTGAACATTTTCTCTGGATTTGGTATTTTCTTCAAGGCAAAACCTCATCATATTAGTCGCTTTGCTTTACCCATTCTCGCCACCATTCAATTCTTGACCTCCATCGTCCTTCAGCCTCCTATTTTACTTTATGCTATGTTGGAATTCAAATGGACAGCATATGAAGGTGGTTTATTGGTGAGTATTATGTGTTTGATTCGGTTCACTGTCATCACCATCGCACTGCCTTATTTGAAACGTCGAATGAATACATATTGGACACAACGAGGACATCACAATCACACTATGAATGACCAACAAATAGAAGATTATAAGACACATCATCGTATCCTATTTGATACCTGGATGATTCGCTCTGGATTGGCTGTGGATGTTACATGCTTGATTTTGGCCGCCTTGGCAACCACTGGTAGTTCATTTGCTTTCTCCGTTTTCTTGAATAGTTTCGCTGTTCTGGCTCATCCATGTTTGAAATCTTTGTTTACAACTTTGGTGGACCCTTCTGAAATTGCTGCTTTATTATCTGCTCAAGCTGTGCTGGAATCAATTGCAGGTAATAATATAGATATATATTTATCAGTCGGAAATTCGGAAGTGAATAGAATTAAGAAGACAGAAGAAGAAAAAAAAAAGAATTAGCACGTACAAAATCAATCATCAATGACATTTTTTTCTCTCTCTCTCTCTTAGCCATTATATCACAATCAGGCATCAACCTTATATATAGTGCTTCTGTTAGAACAATGCCAAGTTTATTCCTTTACGTTTGTGCCTCAATTAGCTTTTTAGGGTTTGTATTGGCCTTCCTCATCCATCCCGTCAAAGATCAAAACTCACCATCTACTCCATAGTCATTCTTGTTTATTAGTTATACATTCATTTATATACCATTGTTGTTGTTGTTGTTGTTGTTTTTTTTATTACTTTTATATCTTTTTCTTTCTCTCACCTACAGTAGCACCATTCTAGCCATTCTGTTATTATTTATATTCCTTTCCAGTTATTATTCTTCTTTATCACCATATAGATATATTGATTTATACAAGCGATGTAAATAAATTGAATGATAGTTTTGAATTATTTATATTTAGGTGATGATTAGGATTCCTATTTATTATATTAAAAAAAATCTGATTTTGAGGGAGAAGTGTATGTATGATGATCGAAAACTCAGAACGGAAGCAGCCGTAAAAAAGGAAATCACCAGATAATTATTTTTCTTTTTCTCTTTTATTCGTTTGATTATATAATGAAAGAAAGAAAGAAAGAATTCAATTGATGTCTGAAAGAAAAAAAAAATAGAAGATGAGTATATGATTGATGGGAAAGTAAAAATACATTGAAAGATGATTCCTATGATGATTTGTATGATGGTAATATTGACAACAGACTAGTATGATATGTGTAACATGTGAAATTTGCAGGAAGATTGTTTTTCCTAATATAGGAACAAGTTTGATCAGTGCGTTTTTTTCTTTTTTTTTTTTTTAAGATTGTATTGAAATAAACAAACATTGATGGACTTAAAATTGGAAATTTCTTTATTTTATATAAAAAGGAAAAAAGAAGGAGTAAATCAAAGTGAAAGAGATTTAATGGTATTCTCTAACTTATTCACTTTACGATGCAAGGCTCTTATTTGAACCAAGACATTATCATGAGCAATACTAAGTTCTTTGTCTACTTGAATCAATTGCTCTGCGGTTGTTAAAGGTTTGACCAAAAAGAAGGATTGCAATGATTTCACTACAATATCAATCAGGGTACAATCTGTTTGCAAGTAATTCAATTTGGTTTCCAATCGATCAATGGTGCGGATGATCATCATTTTACTATCCTTTTTTTGTGGATGATGAATACTAGTATTGTCTTTGATGAGAGAAGATAAGGCCATGAAGATGATGTTTGATGTTGCTTTTTCTTAAATAGAAAACATATAAAAAAAATGGGATGAATTGCTTTATGAACCTGGTAGATAAAAAGAGAAAAGAGAAAGAAAGAAAAAGAAAGGATTCGAACAAAATGCCAAAAAGAAGATCATGCATTTTAATATGGAATCCTGTCACATGGTTTGAATTTTTTTTTCTTTTTGGCCATATACTATTGATCATCCGTAAAAAAAAGATAATTCCTATTATATAAGAAATCATTGGCATTTTGTCCTAATGGAGCACTTCATCCTTTACCGAGAAAAAGGTGACAATTCATCTGGGGAATGCCAAGGCCAATTGTTCCCGTCCGCTGTGTAAGTTCCAAAAGAGGGTGCCTGTGCTGTTGAAATTCCGCTTCACAGAGAAAATTTTCTAACGCGCTCAACTTTTTTTTTTCTTCTTCTTCTTCTTCGTTTGTTTCTCATATTTTATCGTTTTATTCATTGACTTACACAATTTACTTATCTTATGAAACGATCTGCATACGAACGACAACTTGCCGAAGATAAAGCAATACTAAGTCGACCGGATCCCGATGCCAAATTACGTCTCCAACGTGCTGACTCGAAACGATCTTCCAAACAACAGCAACAACAACAACAACAACAGCAACAAAAAACCAGTGAAGAAAATAATGCAGAACTCGAAAAGTTAAGGGAACAGATGAGACGTGATGTACAAAATTACAAAAAAGAAATCATTACCTCTGGTATTTATAGTGGTACGGTAACCGTGGAAAATAACGATAATCTTTTTTCTTTTTAACTTACATAAAATTGAATTTCTATATTCTTCTTCTCATTTGATTAGATGACACATATGAATATAGGTAAACAATCAAAACAAAAAAAAAAAATAGTAGAAAATGACATTTACTGTTTTATTATGGTCATTAAATGTTCTTTCTTTTTTGTGTAGGCATATCATTCTTCCCAAACAAATTGCTCGTTATCTCCCTGATAAGAAATACAAGATCTTGTTACAAGAAAAGGAATATCGTCGACTAGGTGTGAACATATCATCAGGATGGCAACATTATATGACCCATCGTAAGTTTTGATAATATAACACTTCTATTCTTTGACTTGAACTTTTTCTATTCATAGAACCCGAACCCAATATCCTCTTGTTAAGACGCAGCTTTGAAGATGCAAAAAGAGTAAAAAAAAAAAAAAAAAAAAAAAAAAAAAAAAAGAATCATTTTCAAGTAAAGTCGTTTATTAATTGGCTTTTTTTTTTTTTTTTTTGGTTCACTAATCTATATATCAATAGTTAGCTGAAGAACGAAAGGAATATCTTCGACAAAAAGAACTCCAGAATAAGAAAGCAGCAGAAGTTGAAGCATCGGGATCGGCCGAAAAGGTGAAGGATCAATCATTGACAACAGAAACATCAAGTGATATCAAAAACACGCGAAGGAAAATAACAAATACCTCAACAACTATGTCTGGTCAAGAGGCACCAGAACAAGGCGACAGTCAAAGCAAATAGGCTATTCATGATGACCCCCCTTTCTTCTACTTTATCTTTATCTTTATTACCCATATGTACATTCTGTTTATAGTTCCATTCTTTATCATTAGTATAGTCTATCCTTATTTTCTTCTTCTTTTTCAAAATAAAAAATTATCACCAGCGGACTTCCAACATCTCTTTTTAACCTTACACGCTCCTTTTTTTTTTTTCTTTTTGGCATGAACTGATTTTTTTTAACCCTTTCTTTCCCTTTCTTCTACTTTTTTCCTTTTTTTTTTTTCTTTTCTTTTTATGTTAGTGTCTCGCGAAAATGACAAATTCACAACATCCACATTCAAAAGATGACATTTTATCATCATTAGGGATACATGATATCATGCAAACCAAAGGTAAAATATTTATGATGAGCATCGTGCACAGATAATCTCACTAATAAAATAAAAATCCTGATTTAGAAATCCAAGATCTGATGATAAAAGCTGCTCAATCCTTAGGCGAACTACCATACAATCATTGTCAATTACAGAAAGTGGAGGAAGAAGAAGACGATATTGACAATGTCTATTCTCCATTAGATATATTGCAATTAGCACCATCCCCGTCAGCAACTTCATCAGCAACTATTGATGATCATAGCCACTGTATCGAAAATGAAAACGACGATATATCAACAACACATTTTCAATCATTAGCAATACAACAGATCAATCAAATGAAATCAACTATATGTAATTCAAATCTGTTACCTGCTGGATTTTACGATACCTATATAACCTCATGCCATATGATGCGAACTATACAGCAACCTCTATGGACTCTTCAAGAAAACCAACCATCATGCATGTCGATGAACTCTCCGTGGCGATTATCCCAGAAAATGAATTTGCTACCCATGATCAATGTACCTACTATTTCAAATGTCAATGAGAATGTTCTCTCTCTTCTGTAAGTTGTATTGATTCTGGATTACCTGAAATAAATTCACACGATTCATTCTTTTTTTTTTTTATTATATTACCTTTTTTTTTTTTTTTTGATTGTTAGTTCTAAAGATCGCGTTCAGTTATGTCCGGAGACAAAAATGGATTTGATCAAGCTCTCTCAATGCTTCTGTACAGACTCTATATATGATACCAAGGTAAAAAAAAAAAAAAAAAAAAAAAAAAAAAAAAAAAAAGGAATCAAAGGGTATTGCTGATCAATATCTAACCGATCTAATTTTTGGATCATCCCAAGACTCCCGATCTACCTATTCCAGCACTTGAATTTGATACCATACAGCCAATCAGACGACTTTACAATGCAACAATCGATGGAAACGTACCTGTACAGCATGAAGAACAACATCAGCAATTAACACATGATGATGACCATGGCTACTTTGATTTTGACGTTATATCATCATATGTGTACGATACAACAATAAATATACCTTCTATCTCATCTAATGACAAAGACGATAACATCAACAAGAACCACAATAGTATCAATTTTGGAGATGACCCTCATATTGGTGCCAAATGTGATGACATCGCTTTTACCACCAAATCCATCCAAACAACTCCAGCCACAGCATTAACATCGACATCGTCAAACCATTTTGATGCACAACAGGAAACTAAAACAGCATATACAACCCCGCCCGTATTTAGTCACTACTGGTCTTCATCATCTACTAAAGCAAAAGTACCTTCATCTGTCCAACCTTGTCCTACTTTACCATCAATATCACCATCAATTTTATCATCAACAGTATCGTCACCCAACTTATCATTTCAACGATCATCATCTACAGTCTCACTAGCCAATTCTCTATTTCAACCATCACGCAATGTATCTTCTCCCGTTCAATCACCACCATCCTGTCTTACCATCAACTTTGGATCGACTACTTCGAAACAAGTACCATTACCAATGTCGTCATCATCATATATCCAAAATGCAAGTGTGGATCCTGTAATTAATGATGAAGAAGATACGATATCTTTCAAGTCTCTCTCTTTGTTTGATGAACGTCCAGTGAATCTGGTAGAGGTAGATTCATATAAAAAAAAATTGGGTCTCCTTTGACTTTTCTTTTTTCTTTTTTCTGCAGGCTGAATCAAATAAAGATATCCAGTGCCATATGAAAGAATCAAGTTCCGAGGATAACAACAGGATCAATAACAGCAACAGTTCAACATTCCATGGAAAAGCGTTGAAGATCACTGAGGATAAACGAGATCATCTACTTCCACAGTATCATAAAGATACAAAGGTAACAAAAAAAAAAAAAAGGGAAATAGATAAAAGGTAGAAACAAAAAAAAAAGCAATAGTAGATCGTCATGAACCCTCACTTTATTTTTTTTTTTAAAAAAAAAAAAAAAAAACTCTTTAATGCATAGACATCCAGTTTTCCAACTAGTGATACTTTACCTGATCATCATCCATCATTGATTGCGGAAAACGTTGTAGCGTCCTCGAAGACATCATCTAACCCAATGGCACCATCAACAGTAACATCAGCAGCAGCAAAAATGGCGCATGACATGACGATAGCATTTCAAGAGGCAAAATCATCTTCATCGGCAAAAACTCCTTTATTTTCTGCTGGGGAGAATTTGATAGACTTTTTGGCAACGCGACAATGGCAACCATCCTCATCTTTCACCATGGTTAATTCTAGTATGTATAAACAAATGATGGTAGTTATTGTCTAAACAACAAAAAAAAAAAAAAGAACTAATGGTCTTGCTTTTTTTGTATGGGGAAGGTGGGTTGCATTCTAACAACAACAAATCAACTAAACGATCATGGTGCGAACTAGACGATCCTCGATACTTGCAATCAAGAAAGAAGGAACAATGGAAATGGGCCAAGAAAAAAACTGGATGATTACACGTACGGTGGATTGTTCTTTTTATGGCGTAGTAGTAGTAATATATATTTTTTTTTATCAATCAGTTTATTTTTAATAAAGAATGTTGATAATACAAATGATAAACAAAAAGAAAAAAAAAGAATGTGATCAATTGATAGGTTTGTATAAGTAGATTATATATATATATACGAAATAGACTAGTTGGAAAAAGGATGAGGAATATCAACAGAGTAATTTATGGAAGTAATAAATAGAGGGGAAGAGTGCAAATGAATGTATAATGAGAAGGGGGGATAAAGTCAAATAAAGAAGGGAGATAAAAAAAAAAAGACGATACATATGATTGAATGGATGGATGCATGAAAAAGTTCTAAGATTCATCCATCCTATCTTGTTCAGTTCCAATAGGCAATTTTGTACCTTCAAATTGTAATGAGCTACATTCCAAAGTAGATAAATTGACCAGTACAATAGTTCCAGATTCTTCAAATGAAGGGACTAATATCACTCGCACCTTTTGCTTATCAGATCCTATTAGAAATGAAAAATTATGAGAAGATGGTGAATAAAATAAAATGAAAAGTGAGCATATATATATATGCTCACTGTTTTTTTTTCCTTCCTTACCTTCTAATATCCGGGTTTCAAATTGAGGTTGATTTCCAATAAAGTAAATATGTGGACATTGGTTAAGAAGAAAAGGATCATGATTTTGGAATGGATGGCACCCTAATAGCAATAATAAAATATCGAAGGTGTAAATAAGTTACAGAGTTTAATAATGTGTTTGCTTACATAAGGTATCTGGTGCTGAAGGTGCCATATGACGCCAAAATAATGTTTCTTCGGCCATCTTCAACCGGTCTATGCCTTCGATATACTTATATATGTCATCTATATTTTGTCCTGATGTACCAAGAAGTCTATCAATAAGAAGATATATATAGTTAGTTCTACTTTTATTTTTATATCCACCTAGTATATACTTACAAAGTATCGTCTAACTTGCACCAATATGGATTTGTCACTGTGTGGAATGAAGATAACTTTTTGGACTGGTCAAATAAGAAGCGTTGTAGTGGTTGTTGAGGTAGATGAATCCCAACAGGGTCATTTCGTCCAGGCATAATATCCACATCTGCAGTCATACATAATTCGTTAACAATATTATCTAGTTGGATCATAGGAGTAGCATCATAAGTAGTGGCATCATAACCATACGTCCTCTACAAATTAAATTTAAAAATAGAAATAAATACCAAATAATTTTACAAAATCCTTCCAAATCAGCATCCAATCTTACTTTCTTGCCATTTTCAGTAATCACAGGAGGAGATATTGAGTTACCAGCAATAATGACACGCGTAATACATGAGTTGCTCTTCTGATCCTATATTTACAAAGGTAAAATGATGAGTGGTTTTGAGAATATTAAATCATTTTTCTTTTCTTTGCACATTTAATCATTACATTTCCACTACCAAGTTCACCAGATATATATTCCGTCAAAAGTTGAAGATTCAAATCATTGTCAGCCTTTGTTCCAATATTAAGCCCTGATAAAATAGCAACATATTTATCCTCTATCAATGGAAAATAAGAAAAAAAAAGTATTAATTCATTCATAGCATCAATATTTATTATCATCAGTGTGTTACGCTCTTTTTTTTTTTTTTAATCAGTATTACCTTTGGTATCATCCACATTAGGTACAGGTAAAGGAGTTTGAGGTGGTAAACCAGGATAACAAACTTCATAAGCTTCAAAAGCACCAGAGGCAGGATCTTCTTTTCCAAGGATACCAACCACCATACCAGTCACCAACATTTCTTTATCCAATCTTGCACCAATCAACTTGACACGTCCAGATTCATCTTCCAAAGATATCACATTGGTTTCTGTCCTATATTTTTCAGGTGTAGGTGGCACAGTGAGATTACTCTACCAATATTGCAAAAAAAAAAAAAAAAAAAGAACGGAGTTAATTAATACATTGTAAGCAAACAAACTCACATAATCAATTCATATTCAATTCCCTGTATATTTTTTAATATTAGACTTACTTCTGCACTAAGATCCCTCAATACGTTGGGTTTCATCTCCATATCAATGTAAACTGTACCAATAATATAACAAACTTCGTTGGTTTGGATATCCAAAGCTTTAGGAATATAAGCTGGTTTCTCTACAAAATAATAATAATAATAATAATAATAATAATAATGATAGTAATAATAGTAGATATATGAGCAATCAGTATATGCAATCTATTTATTCTTGTTTTTGAAACCATATATGTATATATTTTTTTTGTTTACCTGGGTAGGAACCCCATCGCTGTTTTGCAGCTTCCAGAACAATAGGACGAAGATGAAGAAGACGAATAAAATAAATACTGGCATATTGTTTTTGATATGAACCTGTCTTGACAATAAGAGTTTGTTCTAGTTCCGGGACTTTGTCATATTTGGAAACTTTTCGTTCGATCTTAGGGTAAGTTTGCTGAAGATTAGGCGCTGTACAGAATTGATCGCTATATACAATAAAAAAAAAGGTGAGCATGAGTCAATCAAAATGGAAATTCACTACAAACGTATGGTTTATTTGAAAGTACCTATCAGTCATATTGATATATGGTGATATGCAAGGAAGGGAGAATGGGATAGATCTATAGTTTTTCGAAAAGAAAGAAGGAAAACAAAAGCGAATAGGAAACAGAAAAAAAAAAAAAGTCGCGCACGCGTTACAGTTTATTTCAAATACCGTATGTGCTGGTCAAAAAAATACTAAAAAAAAAAAAAAAAAATACTGATTGCTGATATATCATGATTGATTATGATAAAACAATTCGTTATTGATGACATTTTAGTGTCTATTAACTTGAACGAAAGCTGATCTGGCGATTAATTTGATAAAATAGCTTGTAGCTTTTGATGTGAGATTCAAAATACACCATTATAAGAGTCATCATACATATTAATAAGATTCACTGTTTATGTTTTTTGATATCTTTTTTTTTATTATTATTAAAATCATCATTTGAATTAAAACGATATGTAAACGTATGATTCCATTTCATCCTCATTGATATATGTGTCACCAAAGTTCATTACTATAAAAGTAATACGCTCTTCAGAATGCCCCAGTGATACAACTTCGCCATCCCTTAGAACAAGAATAATGTAAGTCAATACAAATCAGTCCACAACTTCAATTTCCTATTAATCTTTGATTCAGAAAAAGCAAGGATTTTTTTTACTAGGAAAATTGGAGCTTATTTCATGCCCAAAGCAGGAACTCCGCGATAAAAAGGGCAGCTGACCCCTTTTTTTTTTCTGTACTTCCTTTTTCCTTTCTCTCTTTCTCTCTTTATCTTTTTTTTTTTTTTTTTTACGTATCATGGATGTGTATGGTTATAGGAAGCAAACTTATAAAGCTGGTCTTGCCAATCAAAGTCATAGTCGATCTTCCTTTGAACAACGTTTTCTACCTACACAAATTTCATTACCATTCCACTCAATCGAATCACCAGTGCAACATGTTTCCAACTTTGATAATAACCTTGTTTATCCACCAACTGCACTAGCACCAAGACCTTTACACCAACAACAGAAAATAGTTTATGGTCAGCGACAAAGGTCTATACGAGGTACTCATACCAGAACACCATCATTTCGCCAAAACAATCTCAGAAACAACAATATCTCAACGACGGGAACAACCACAAATAACAATAATATAGACTCTCCTTATTACTCCAAAGTGATTGAACCCAGTACACCAGACCGATCCTCAACAAGTAGCAGTCTTGTTGGACCCACTACAATGGTTCAGCCCCATGACGTTATTGATTCTATCCACTCCTCTACCACCACTGCTATTAATACCGGTTTCAAACCATGGTCAACTAAGCTAAAACCTTCCCCAGAATCTCTATCGACAAAATCATCAACAACAACATCCACTCTACTATTATCAACGACGATCCATTTGATTAAAACCTTTGAACGCCGTGACCCAAAATTCACCTATCATCAACATCGCAATCCCAAACGCATTTTGACGAAACCTAGTAAACCTGCAAAAAACGATGGTTACGATAATGAGGATCATGATTATATTCTACATGTGAATGATATACTTGGTGAAGATAAGAATCATAGGTATGAAATACAAAAAAAAAAAAAAAAAAAAAAGGATAATATTAATGAAAAAAAACGTGTTAGTTATCGTGTTATAGATCTTCTTGGACAAGGTACCTTTGGGCAAGTGGTGAAATGTGAACATTTGGAGACTGGTAAACTTTGTTCAGTAAAAGTTATCAAAAATAGACCTGCGTTTAGAACACAAAGTTGTATGGAAGTGGAAATTCTCAAACAGGTAAAATATTTAAGTATAGAATGGGGAAAAAGATATTTGTATTCATACGTTTATATATTTATTTTATTTAGTTGAATCAAAAAATGGATGACAAGAATCAACATCATATACTTAGATTGGAAGATACATTCAATCACAAGAATCATTTATGCCTCGTATTTGAACTTTTATCTTTCAACCTGTATGAACTCATCAAACAAAATGGTTTCAAAGGACTTTCTATTCAATTGGTACGGAATATTACAACGCAATTATTGGAAACATTGGTATTTCTTGGAGATGTGATGATCATTCACTGTGATCTCAAGCCTGAAAACATTCTATTGGAAAGGTAACAATAAAGAAACCAAAAATGGACTAGTATTTATTCTGCCTTTATATTCATCTTTGTTTGTTTATTTGTCTGCTAGTGTTGATTCTCCAAAAATCAAGGTGATTGATTTCGGTTCAGCATGCCACAAGGCCAATCCTGGTTATACCTACATTCAATCCCGTTTCTACAGATCTCCAGAAGTTTTACTCAAATGTCGTTATAATCATGCAATCGATATGTGGTCATTAGGGTGTATTGTGGCAGAACTTTTTTTAGGTATACCTTTATTCCCTGGAATAAATGAATATGATCAACTGAATCGTATTATGGACATGCTTGGGTAGGTGGAGTATACTGTAGCTTCTTCATACTGAACCTTTTTTTTTCTTATATACAATTTTTGCAGGCAACCTGCTGCTGATGATCTTGATCGTGGTGGTAATACATTACTTTACTTTGACCGTGAATCTATTGGACACAACAAATATCAGTACAAACGCAAGTCAAGAGAAAAATACAACGAAGATAACAACAAAAAAGAACAACCAAACAGACGATATTTCCAGTATAATTCCTTACAAGACATTATTATGCACGCAAATACATCTTCCAAATCATTGACACCCGGAAGTCAAGCATTCCAGCTAGGTACGGTATATGATTAAAAAAAAAAAAAAAAAGAATGCTCATAATGTTTATTTCTAGTCCTCTTATTGTATTTTTTTTCTTTTACCAAACTATATATAGAAAAGCAAATGCGACAGTGGTTGATAGATTTCTTGTTACGTACTCTCAATCTCAGTCCATTACGAAGGTGGAGTCCTAGAGAAGCTTTACAACATCCTTTCATTACTGGCAAATCTACATCACCACTTCATCCTCTGATTGCAATGAATCCATCGACAACAATATCCAGTCCGCAAACATCAAACATGGTTGATCATAGTATCAAAAATAATGAGAAGGTTCATCCAAGCAAATTTGATGACAATAAAGCAAATCAATACCAGCCCGTAAATGATGAGAAGGAAACAAACTTGCACCAACAACATCATCAGCACTTGCAACAAAGTAAGGACAAGTATCATCAGCAACAGTATCATCATCAACAGTTACTACAGCAGCAGCATCTTCAACAGCAACAACAACAACAACAGCAACAGCAAGAACATAAAAAGCAAAGTCAGCATGTGAAGGAAGAAAAGACTCTCAACCGCACGTGTCAACAACGAGTAGAATCTTTCGAGACATCTCCATTACTTGATTTCGCCAAAGATCAACCACAACGTCAATCTCGTCATCATCGATCACATTCACTTTATTCATCAAGAATGTCTCAACCATTGAAATCAATACTGAAAGAAAATCAAAACAATGATCCATCGTCTTTATCGCTAGAGGTTCAAAGTCTACTACCGAAACCATTGCAGAACGCCGCGAACGACGAAGACGACATGCGAAATCAGTTGGAAACGATATCGGTCTAGTTATACCTAGAGCATCTGGATCCACTATACAGTACAATAACGATAACAGCGTCACCAATACGTTTGCTCTTGCTGGAAGTAGAAAGTACGATCAACAAGAACAACATCAGCTTCAGAAAGTACCAAACCCAACCGTATCTTTTGCTATCGGTCCATCAAAATTTACCAAATCCACCGCCACTTCCACTGCTGTTCCCTCTGGATCGTTTATTACTTCATTTCCTTCAACATCCAATACTTCTACAACAGCATCAGGAATACCATCTCAATCAGGTGAAATGTCATTATCAATCCCAAGACTAGCAACAAACCAAACTTATGGCAACTCCTCTTATGATACATCGTCATCTTTGATTTCCGCGTTGCCCATCAAATACCGTGCCAACAGACAACACAAGCACTGAACCAGAGACGTTGATTTTTATCTTTGAAGGGAATGTTTCAAAAGTTACTGTTTTATACCATAGTTTTGTGTATTTAAATATATGTCGATATTATCGTTAGTATTCATGTGTTTATCTCTGATCGAAGAGGACTGGATTAAAAATAAAGTTTTTTTTTTTTTTTTTTTTTTAATATTGTTTATACTTTTATTCTATTTCAAAATTTGTAGGCGACTCATGTAGAATTTGATAGATGAATGATGCATAATGATTCTCTCAACCAAGACTTCTTACAAGCTCGTATCCATCAACTTTGAAGCATGTTTAAGTTTCACACGTCTTTCCATATTTTATTCAAATGAGCTAGACTTGTATTTATTACTCAAAAAAAAAAAAAAAAAGTAGTTCCCAACAGAGCACTAAAGCGTTTATTCATAAAAAAAAAAAAGGCATATAGAGATAGGCATAAAAATGTGCATTAAAAAGATCATAAGAATCATAAAGTTTCAAAAAAGAAAAAAAAGATATCATAAGGTAAACCAATGGGATGATGGATGACAATATCTAACTAGAAGAGGAAAAAAAAAATTTAATAGTAAAAAAAAAAAAAAAAAAAAAAAAAAAAAAAAAAAAAAGTGACTGAAATCAATGAGGTCTTGCTTGTTTTTTTTCGACGATTAATTCCCTTAACCATTTGACTTCCCTTTCTAATTCATGTACCCGAGTTTGAAGTTGTTGAGCGTGTTGTGTCATCTCTTCCGCGGTGCGCCGAAGGGCCTGTTCACGAAGCTTCTTCTTGATCCTGAATCTTGCACTGGCTTCAGTATTGCGTCGTCGTTTGTCTTTGACATAAAGTGCCTGCTGATCATTGGTATCTTTCCCTTCGTCGTCGTCATATGGTATGTCGATACTGACGCATGATGATGATTGTGCTGTGGCCTTGCCTTTGTTTTTTCGATTGCTGGTTGAGCGCCTTGGAGGATGCTGTAATCGTGATGATGAGCTACCTGGCATGGTTGATTTAGTGTCAACTGCTGTAATGGTGGAATACGAAGACGATGTTGATGATGGTGATGATGCAACCGCTCCTGGAGAAGGTAAAGGCACAGAAGTTACAATAGGTAATGATGATAAAATGGAAGACGATGCAGGAGACAGAGATGATGATGCTGGTGATAATGATGGTGATGATAACGACGATAATGGTGAAGTTGATATGGTAATGGTGTTGGTGGCCGAGAGTTGATGATTGGATGGGCTGTCATTTCCAAGTTGTTTCAACCGTTGATCCACTATATTCATCATTGACAAGAAGTGGTCATATTGCTTTTTTTCCAAAGAAGATGATCTGTTATGATGGTCAAAGGAAGGCATTGGGGTCGTATGTCCGTTGATTGAAGATTCTGAAAGCTTTTTATTGTTCTCTGTATTTATGGGTGTACGATGCTGTCGATAAGGACGTTGATATAAATCATATAGTGCGGATACATCTAAATCAAAAAAAAAAAAAAAGAACCGGGAATGATAAGAAAAGTCAGTATAACTATGTGGGTCATCTTACCTTGATGATTTTCCAAAGAAAGCAAGTCGTTGGTAGTATCACTAGTGGAACCAATTGTTTGAGAGGAAGATGAAGATTGGAATAATTGACCAGAATACGACATGGTTGTTGGTGTAGATGAGGATGCAGTCAAGAAAAATGGAGAAGAGAGATGATTTTGATCGCGATGATGATGATGATGATTTGACGCCATTTCAGCGGTACTAGTATCTTGTTGCGGTGGTGTATCACTAATGCCATTTATCTCAAAATGGGCTTTTGAGAAAATATCCAGTTCCCTGCTAATATCTATATCAGGTGGGATACCTTTCATAATCTAATCATACAAATAATTGAATAATCTAATGGATAAAAATAATAAAAATCAATAATAGGTGTAAATAGAAAAAAAAAAAAAAAAAGAATACAAGAAAGAAAGACAAGAAAGAAAGAAAAACGAAAAAAAGGCAATCTTGTTCGCCATATATGATGATTATTTTAAATCTCCGTACAGCGATCCTCGGTTTGCTGTCAAGAAGATGCCGAATCATTTTATGAGAAAAGAAAGATAAATGTTTATATTCAAATACATAAAAAATAATGATTACAAGGTATATTAACCTAGTAATAATAATCATGCATTTACTGTTCCCAAAAAAAAAAATGAAAATAGATTTGTATTTGACGTATTCTTGTACTATTTGACCTTTTTTTTTTTTTTGTTTAATAAAAAGGAATGGTGCCATTTATTGCATAAAACGATGAAAAAGTACACCATATGATTATCCAGTAGTTAACAGAGTTTATATATTTGGTGATTGTTGTTTATGCAAAAGCCATCCCAAAAAGTGGGTGACGATATCTGCGATGCCAATCACGCCATCTTCAAACCAAATTCAGCTAGTCACATATACGCGCACGCACTCTATACCATACAAAACTAATATTAGTTGTAGACAATAAGATATATACATTTATTGAAAAATAAGATAAATTTTTGCAAAGACAAAAAAAAAAAAAAGAAAAGACAATATAAACAGAATTGTAGATGGTGAGGGGTAAAATAACTAGTATGACTAAAGTATGATGAAGGTAAAATAAACAAGGAAGGAGGAATAGTATTATTTAAAAAAAAAAAAAAAAAAAAAAGACAGATAGAGAATCCAATCATCAATGTACACCATAATCCCAAATACGAACATCACCATCATCAGAAGTAGAAACAATCTTGGTATCACTAAGAGCAATAGCTGTCACGGGTCCATTATGGCCTTCTAAAGCATGCATACATCGTCCACTATCCATATCCCAAACGCGGATGGTTTTATCATGAGAACCAGAAACGACACGTAAAGTATCATAAGCTAATCCCCACACACCTTCGACATGACCAAAGAGAGTTCGTACGCAAGCACCAGTTTTCAAATTCCATTGTTTGACTGTATTATCCAAAGATCCTGTCATAATGATTGGTGTATCTGATAATTCAGCAGGTGGTACTGTTCCTGATTTTTCGTTATCATTTCTTCGGGATTGTCTATTTATGGTTGTTGATGATGGTATATAAGTATTTGTTGTTGTTGTCGAAGATGATGTTTCACACCCAGGTCGAAATCCATTTGTTGTTCTACGTTCATTAGTATCGATAGCCACTTCTTCTTCCAATAATCGGTGAGTAAATCCTTTAGGACTTGGTAGAGCGATTTGTACTTGACCCACATGACCTCTGAATTCACGAATACACGTACGACTGGTAAGATCCCAAAGACGCACAGTTGAATCATCACTACCAGACACCAACATATCTTGTTGACATAATCGTACAGAGTTGACCCATTCAGTATGACCTGTTAAAGTGCAGCATTCACCGGCTTGAAAATTCCACACCCGAATAGTATAATCTGTTGATCCACTGGCCATTAAACGACAATCAAAGTGTAAACTAAGGACACCACCAGTATGACCTTCCAATGTTCGAATACACTCACCAGAATGCCAATTCCAGATTTTGAGAGTATTATCCATAGCACCTGTAACCAATTTGGCTTCATCGAATTGTAAAGCACGGACACAGCGAGTATGACCTTTGAGTACCCGTATCAAATCCCCAGTTTCCAAATTCCAAATTCGAATTGTCTTGTCATAAGAGCCTGTCATCACAATATTACTTGAATCGCAAAATTGGACACACATCACGCCATCGGTGTGACCAGTAAGACGCCGTACACTATACTTGTTGTTACGCCAATTACGTTCCACCATGAGTCTTTCACTGTAAACTTCCTTCCAAGGTCGTCGTCTAATAATAACTCCTGGTTGTGTAGATGATGATGGTGGTTTCAAAGAGTTATCATTAGTAAAGGAATCAAATGATGATGTGCTATTCACTTTCGGTCGTTTATTGTTGTTGTTATTATTGTTATTTGTTGCTTGTATTTCATCTTCTTGACTAGTCGAAGGCCCACAAGCTGTACGAAGAGGGGAGTCCATTGATTGTTGTTGTTGTTGTTGTTGAAAGGCAGTAGCGAGAGATCGTTTTCGTACAATTTGTCGTTTTTTGTCTAGTAAAGGTAAACCCCAACCACACTTTGTACATTTCTTATCAATATGTTGTTCACACATACGGTGCCATAAAGCATCATCGTCAGCCAAGGAACGCCATGATTGTGAGACTTGAGCAGCATGACAAAGAGATTTTGCATCCATATAAGAGAAGATTTGTAAGGAAACTTCATGAGGTAAAATGGAGACAAAATCGATACGTAGTAGAGGTTTGATTTCATCATGTAAAAAGGAAAGTTGAGGCATGCAACAAGTCGAGAGTAAACCTTTCAAAATAAGCATTCTTTGATCAGAAGGTGCAGCAGAGAATAATGACCAAATATGAGTGATAGCTGCTCGATCGTTAGTACCAAATTGTTCCATTTGCTAATATTTTTTTTAAAAAAAAAGAAGAAGAAGAAAACAGTTTAAATTTCATACTCTAACGATATATATTAAAATATAAAATCTACCTTTTGAACTTGATTAAAGTCAAATGCATCAGGCATACGTTTCTTGATCAAATCTGGTCTATGACGATAACATAGTTTTCTGTTGTTGGAAACTTGAGGTGGTATATGTCGAGATAAAAAGTCATGAATAGAAGGTACGTCATTATCTTTATCTTTCAATGGTTTTTCCTCATTATTTGTTTTTTGTTGTGATGACTTCATCTTTTACAAAAAAAAAAAAAAAAAAAAGATGAAAGATAGACAAGAAGAAGAAGAAGAAAAAGAAGAAGAAAAAAAAGAAAAAATGGAAATTTTTCTTTGAGAAAAAACATTGGATCCGATTTTTTGTCGTATTCGGAACTTCAACTTCCCACTTAGGCGAGTGCCCAACTAGTAGTTTTGCCTGTTAGATTTGAAAAAAAAATGCTAGAGACCTAAGAGAAAGAAAAAAAAAGCAGTTGTACAACGCAACACAGAGAGTAAACATACAAAGCAGAAACTTGATCACCCAACATCATAAAAAGAAGAAAAAAAAATTTTTGTATTGGAAGTAAAGATTCCGCCTCCAATTCTCTTTACTTTTTTGGTTTTTAAAGATCAATGTTGGACAAACACATGGCACACTCTTGGAAGTTGGTTTTTTTTTGTATTAACTATCATTTTATTTATGATCTTTATTATATAGTATCATTGTTTTTATTTTATAATATTACTTTTAATTGAATGTAACCTTATAATTTTGTAACCATGAAAAACATCAAGTTTTAACATAAATCAGGTACACTTACTTTACCAAAAATTATAGTAAATTCAAAGTTCAAACTCCATTCAACATGTTTTGAGTAAGTTTGGTGGTCATCATGAACTACTTATTACTGCTGCAGTGAACGGACTTTTTTTTTTTTCTGTTGTTGTGTTTTTTTTTTTTTTTCTATTTTATTTTTTATTTTATTTTATTTTATTTTATTTTCTTTCTTTTTCCTTTTTTTTTTTTTTTTTTTCTCTCTTGGCATTTGTTTTACCATGACCTTGACATCCAAGGAAAGGGTAGATAAACCAATGGATCATCACTTTGCTATACGAAAAATATCTTCAGAGGACGATGTTGGAATTATACCTTATACACCTAATGTTGTTTCAGTTTATGCGGATTCCATTCGTCGCCAACGTTCTGATAGTTTTGTTCACTCTTATAACAACAACAATAGAATAACAGGGACAACGAAAATAGCAACAGCAAAAACAACAACAGCAAAAACAACGACAACGAAAACAACAACAAATACAACTTTACAAACTCGTACACTTTCCATACGTAGACCAATTCATATAGACTTGAAACACGAAGAAGTTGACTCTGAAGACGATCAAGAAAAACAAACTGTATACCTCGACTATAACAACAATATCACTAGATCTCGAAGTAATAGCAATAATACCAACAACAGCTTCCAAAATTCTGTAGGCAATTCTCTTCATATTAATACCAGTTTGTCTACTCCTGGAAATACCAACAAAAATGATACTGGCGCCATCTTGGAAGGTGTACTAATTCGACGGGCAATTCGACCTAGTTCTCATCTTACTCAACAACAAGCCAATAAAGAAGACTCATTATCATCATCACCGAAAGACGGTCTCAACCTTTCTTCCCCTTCATCAAGTGCATCTTCTCCTTCATCTATGACAGAAACTGTTACCCCTTCTGTTTTACCTTCTTCATCTACATCTACTCCAATCTCAATACCTGATAGTTCTATACCATGGCAGCCACCTTCACTCACCATACCAACACATAACAATACCAACAATACCGCTATCTCCTCTTTGGATAACGAGAATACTATGTCATCTGTTGTCTCCAAGCTGATACCAAGAAAGGAAAAACAGATGGATGATTACACTAAACATCCTTCTTTATTCAAACGATTGGCTCATATTCATCATCACAACCATTATGGGCCCAAATTATACCGCGATGATCATCTTTACGAAAATATGTTGATGTCACCATCAAATACTACATCTATAGATCAAGATACGGAATTGTAAGCTTTTAATTTGTTTATTTTATTTTTTTGAAAAAAAAAAAAGAAATAATTTGAATGGATTCTCATTTGTTTATTTATTTGTAGAGATAGATACGGTTTTCAGAAAGCAACACAATGGATTTCACTTCAGACATATCACGACTTTGAAAAGTATTATCAACCTATATTGGAAAGAAGACAGTTAAGATGGCAACAACTCTTGGATGATTATGATTCAAAATTTCCAGATCGATGTACTCAAGGTAAAAGAAGAAGAAAAATAAAATAAAATAAAAAAAGTAATAATAAAGGGGGAAGGAGAGAAAAAAAAAATAAACTTCTTTTTTTTTTCCTTCAAGGGAAAGGGGGGGAAAATGGAATAAAAACAAAGATGGATACTAACCTGTTCTATGAATTTAGTGAAACGATACATTCGAAAAGGGGTACCATCTCCTTTAAGAGGTCGTGTTTGGTTCCACTATAGCGGTGCTGAAGCAAAAATGGACGGCAACCCTGGGGTATATCAAAAATTCTTGAAACGAGCACAAGAAATGGGTGATGAAAACGAATTTGCTGATCTGATTGAACGTGACCTTCATCGTACATTTCCCGACAATATCCAATTTAGCAAAGCAGCAGCAGAGGCATTAGCAACAACATCAACAACAATGACAAAACCGCCAGCAATCGATGTATTACGACGTGTTTTATCAGCATTCTCGGTATATTGTCCATCAGTAGGTTACTGTCAATCATTGAATTATTTGGTAGGCATGCTTTTATTATTTTTGAAGGAAGAAGAAACATTCTGGTGTTTGGTGACGATAGCCCAAAGTATTCTACCTGCTGGCGTCTATGATGTGACTATGGAAGGTGCAAGTATTGATCAAGCTGTACTGATGATGTTACTTTATGAACGAATGCCTCAATTATGGTATAAGATGACTCCCAAGACTTTTTGGGAAGCTGAAGCTGATGGTGTCTCTATGCCAACTATTACTCTGGTAACAAGTCATTGGTTCCTCACCCTTTTCATCAATATTTTACCAACTGAAGTAAAAAAAAAAAAAAAAAAAAAAAATCGTATCTTCGTAATCTCACCATTTATTTATATTTCTTTCTCTCATTATTATTAGACTGTGCTTCGTGTATGGGATTGTTTCTTTTAGTAAGTATTTCGAATGATATCATTAAAACCCGGTTACTTATTATTATTATTGTTATTATTTATAGTGAAGGATCTAGTGTCCTGTTTCGCATTGCATTGACTATATTTAAAATGGTAGAACCAGTGATTGATGGAGTGGATGATCCATTGGAATTATTTCAAATTATTCAGGTAACGCTTGAAGCAAATCTATTACACTCCTCTGTTTTACTGAATTTATTTGATATAACTACTAGAACTTCCCAAAACGGTTGATTGATTGTCAAAGTTTGATGGATGTAAGTCATATTTTGAAGAATTGTAGAAAAGGATAACGATTTATTTACTTTTATTATCTAATTAATAGAATGCATTCAGACGGTATGGGACTTTGGTGGATATTAGCAATGAGGATTTGGACCGAAGACGTGAAATTTGTAGAGATCTTCGAAAAACAAGGCGAACTATGACTCCAGATGAATTGACAGCAAGTAGAAATAAAGGGGATACTTCTTTTCGCAAAAAATGGAAACTCACGTTGCATCCTTCTTCATCAACAACACATCATCTCGGTGGATCATCAAGAAAATAGACAATCATACCCAGTCTTCCTTTAGTTTACTCAATTTATTATACCCCCTTTTAATTGTACCTTGGTTTAGTTTAGTTTTTATTTTAATAGAATACATCTTATGATATCTTTTTGTTTTTGATTATTATTTTTTTTTATATCAACACGTATATCTAATCTCCTCCAATTCTGACAAATCTCAATAAAAACTTCTAGCTTTTTTTTTCAGTAAATATTTTTATCTTGTTTCCATTTTATATAGTGCTCATTTGATTAAGCGGTTAATAATAGGTTGATCCATTATCTCGGAAATAATCGTTGATAACACAGTGCAAATATATCTTCAGAAGCCTATTTATACTTGGGTGCTTCATGCAGAGGAGTTCAAATATGATGACAGTAAAAGATGATATGGAAATATATTGATATTCTACTAACGTTCATCATTTCATCGATTTTGGATGGGAATATCAGCTATGCCTTTAAATTCAAAAGTATTTCAAACAATTCAACCAAATCATCACTGTATAAATCAAGTGTACCATCACAAATTACAAATAGTGGATGATCAATGTAAAAAAGGGAGAATATCGTTGCGGTAAAAAAAGACGCTCAGCACTGAACTCTTATCATCACAAAGGAAAAAAAAAAGGTACGGCATTTATTTGCATTCGAAGGAGATTATCCTCGCAAAATATTCCATCATCATATACCCATCCATCATCACATATTATTCATCATTCACATACTTATCATCGTCTCACCATCCGTCAAAAAAAAAAAAAAGGGCGTGATAATATTTTTTCGGTAAACAGAAAGTAAGGGGAGAGAGAAAGAGAGAGATTCAATGACAAATCACGTTTGTGGTAGGAAAAAACAGGACGTCGTATTTCAAATAGATTTTCCTCGGTATCATTACTTTATTGGACAAAAATGGATGTTTCGAATGACAATCTTCCTTTACCTAGTGCGGGGTAAGAAACAAAATTGCCTCTATTACGCCAATTCAATGGAATCTCACGCATACAGGGTTTAGGTGATTTTGTCATGAGTGACTAGAGTGGAAAGGAAAACTGCAGAAGGACCAAAAAAAAAAAAAAGAAGTTTATTAAAAAGCTCTGTTATAAAAAATCACTCATTTTTTTTTTCTTTTTTCTTATTTATTATTATACATAAGTGCCTCAAATGGTTAAAAGTAACAAACCAATCAAACGGCCTCAGATACAGGGAAGAGGCGGTCTTCTAAAAACTCGACATGCATGTGAATTCTTTTTTTTCCCCATACTCTTTCTTTTTTTCTTTTTTCTTCTTTCCTTTTTATTTTTTATTCAATCTCCTGTTTATAACATATAACAATAATGACGACTCTACCTGACTCATTGATGGTTATACCTTTGGAAAACAAAGTACTTTTACCCTCTGTTGTATTGAAATTAACAATCAAAGGAAAAGATGCTTCCAATTTGACCCGAAAACACTTCAAGTTATCAGAACAACGTAAATCAGCTTACGTGGTATGTGTTCCCTTGAAACCAACAACAACGACAAGTAAAAAGGACTCTGGTGAAAATAACAAGAAATTACCGACAACTGTAGTGAAGAAATCATCATCCACTTCTTCAATTTCTGACGACTCATTATTATTACAACCTCATGAAAGGGATTTACTTTACGATTATGGTTGTGCCGCTCGTATTCTTCGTGTACAAAGATCTGGTTTGGGCGTCTTTTCTGTGTTTGTAGAAGGCATATCTCGATGTAAAATAGAACGCCTTTTATCCCCTTCTTCAGATACCACAATGACCATGGCCAAGTTGATTCATATGGACCCTCCTACAAAACAAGAAATGGAAGATGCCAAAGATGAACTTATTGCTTTTCGAGCTTTAGCTAAGGAATTCCTCTCCAAGATGCGTGAACTTCAACTTCCTGACACCTTGACGGCGCAGCTTTCCAAATTGATCGACAATGTTTCCCCTCTGACTTTGGCTGATCTCATGGTGTCTGTGATTGAAACTTCTTTTGATGAAAAACTATTGATGCTTTCTACGAATCAAGTCAAGGAACGTTTGGCAAAAGCTTCAGAATGGATGACACGACAATTACATGTTTTGAAAATCAGTGAACAAATTCATTCAAGTATTGAAGGCAAACTTAGCAAAAAACAACGTGAATTCTATTTGAGACAACAGGTAAAACATATATATATAATGATATCTCTCATTCATTTTTCTTTTTTTTTTTTTATGAACGATAAATAGCTTGATGCTATCAAACAAGAACTAGGTGAATCAGATAATTTTTCTGGTGGCAAGGATGATGACGAAATGACACAATTGGCTAGAAAATTGGAACAAGCTAATTTACCCAAAGAAGCTGCAACCATAGCACAACGTGAATTGAAACGCATCAAGAAACTCCAACCTTCTTCCAGTGAATGGTCAGTGGCTCGCAATTACTTGGAATTGATTGCTGATTTACCTTGGAACAAGAAATCAGATGAAGTTTTAGATATTAGTCGTGCAAAACAACAATTGGAAGGGGATCATTTTGGGTAATTGATACAATAGATCTTTTTTTTTTCGTGGTGATTACTAGATTCATATCCTCATTTTCTTTACTTATATATAGATTGGATCATGTCAAGAAACGAATTATTGAATATTTATCTGTAGCCAAAATCAAAGGGGATCTCAAAGCGCCCATCATTTGCTTTGTTGGACCTGTAAGTTATGGATATATTAAAAAATTTTATTCATTTGTTGACTTTTCTTCTTTAAAGCCTGGTGTAGGAAAAACATCACTTGGAAAATCCATTGCTACATCATTGTCTAGAGAATTCCATCGAATCTCATTGGGTGGTGTTAGAGATGAAGCTGATATGCGGTAAGAATCTAAAATAGTAAGAGCGGAAAAGGTGGAGAAAATTAGTATATTCACACATTTGGTATCTGTTTTGCTTTTTATTTTATGCTTATTGATCATAATAGTGGTCATCGTCGAACTTATGTTGGTGCTATGCCTGGTTTGATCATTCAAGGTTTACGTAAAGTGGGTGTTAACAATCCTCTCTTTTTATTGGGTAAGAATTAAAATAGATTACAAGAAAAAAAAAAAAAAAAAAGAAGGAAGGAAATAAAGAAAATCTCATTTTTATCTTATTATTACACTTGGGACAAATAGATGAAATCGACAAACTTGTTCACTCGACTCATTATGGTGATCCTGCAGCTGCTTTATTGGAAGTATTGGATCCAGAACAAAATAACTCATTCTCTGATCATTACTTGAATTTACCATTTGACCTATCCAATGTCTTGTTTATTGCTACAGCTAATACGGTGGACACGATACCTGAACCTTTATTGGATCGTATGGAATTGATTCATTTGAATGGCTATACCTTTGAAGAGAAGTTACATATCGCCCGATCACATCTTTTACCAAAACAAATAGCAGCTCATGGTTTGGAGCAAGATCAAATACAAATCGATGATCAAGTTCTACTTAAATTGGCTGAAAACTACACTCGTGAAAGTGGTGTGCGTAGTTTGGAAAGAACTTTGGCTTCTGTAGTACGTTCAAAGTGTGTTACTTTGGCTGATTTGCGTGAATCTGGAAATGAACATGATTACAATCCAAAGGTTGATTTACAAGATTTGGAGGAAATTCTTGGGGTAAGAGAAAAAAGAAAAAGATTTGGTTCGATTGATATGAAGTCAAAATAATAATAATAAAAAAAAAGGGGGGGTGATGATCTTTACTGATTATATTTTGATTTGTTTTTATATATCTAGATTGCCAAATTCGAAAAAGAAGTAGCGGAACGTGATCCTATACCAGGTGTTGTGACAGGTCTTACTTACAGTGGTTCAGGAAATGGTGGAATTCTCTTTATCGAAACTTCTAAGATGCCTGGAAAAGGTGAACTTCAACTTACTGGTAAGGATAAGAAAAAAAAAATTGAAAAAGAGGAAATGCAGACTGATATTTTTTTTTTCTTTCTTTTGATGTATTTCTTGATAGGGTCTTTGGGTGATGTGATCAAAGAATCAGCACAAATTGCATTGACCTGGGTCAAGTCACATGCTTATGCATTAAAGATTGCTTCATCCAATGATCAAAACATTGTTGAAAAATATGATGTTCATGTTCATTTCCCTTCAGGTGCTGTTCCAAAAGATGGTCCTAGTGCTGGTAAAAAAAAAAAAAAAAATGTAGATGAAACTTAAAAAGAAATTGATTTTTTTTTTTTTGATTAGGTGTTACCTTGGTAACTTCTTTGGTATCATTATTCTCTGGATATTATGTACCTACAACGACGGCAATGACGGGTGAAATCTCGTTACGTGGTCAAGTTTTACCTGTGGGAGGTATCAAGGAAAAGGTGATCTCAGCTCATCGTGCAGGTATTCGAAAGATCATTCTCCCTTATCGCAATCGCAAGGATGTCAAACAAGATGTACCAGATCGGGTCCAACAGGATATTGAATTTGTTTATGCAAAGACTGTATGGGATGTACTTGAAGCTGCATTGATTATTGGTGATACAGAGAAATGGACAACTCGATCATATGAAAGTCATTTATAGTTCTATAGTTAGGTTCTATTTTTTTTTCTTATTATTATTATTATTATTGTATGAATGGTTGACATTAGATATGTAGAATTTGTTTATTATTTTATGAACTTTTTTATTATTATTATTTGATTCAATAAAATGGGAATGATTGAAAAAGAAAATAAAAAAAGGAAATGATCATGAGTTTTACTTGATGATAGGTTAAAGAGAAGAAGGATTGGTAGACCATGGGATAAGCAAAGCTTTTGTAGAAGATGGTGAGGAAGTTTGAAGAGAATCTAACCAAGAATAGTTCCAATAATTATCAGGAGAAGCAAGAAGATCATCAAGATGACTAGATGATGATGATGATGAAGTTGATGAGGATGAGGATGATTGTAAGGGTTCAGTTGTATTGATAGGAGATGGGACCATTGTTGTTGAATAGGAAGGGGTTGGGGGAATCCACATGAAACTAGGATCCATCATCAAAGAGGAGGAGAATGGTATATAGGATTGCATCAAAGTCGAAGATGGTTCTTGATGGATGAGGGATCGAGAAGGACTTTGTTGACTATGACGACGACGACAACGACGAAGAGAATGTTGTTGTGTATTGTTAGAAGCACGTGGACCAACGGTTTTTCTTTTGACATAATATCTTGTACCAGGCATTCGGAGATGAATTTGGGCGACACCAAAATAAATCTTGGCTTCACAGGGAAGATGTGAATCACGAATAAGAATATGATGACTTGTTTGTTGTAATTTTTTTTGTTGATAAGCAGTTTCAATGACGATATGATTAGATTCATCAAATTCCATAAAGAAAGTATTTTCAAGCATAAATCCCCATATATAACTTTGTGTTTTCATTATATGTCTTTTTTTTTAAAAATAATAATAATAAAATAAAAAAATTAAAAAAAATGTAAAAGTTTTTATATAGGATGATCATTACAAAATGCTTAGGTCATCAAACCTGATCAAGGAGAAGGGTCGGAAAGGTCACAATGAAAGATGATTACTTGAAAGAACAAAAGTAAATCAATCAATGATAATCCATAGGTTGGACGATCTCCAGGGGAAGTCCGATTCATGCATCAGAGGCCTAGATCTTCCTCTTTTTTTTTTTTTCCTTTACTAAAGTCAACAAATAAATGAATAAGCTCAATGGCAATGATGATTGATATACTCCCCATTACCCCAATAGATTAAACATTGTAAGGATAAAAGAGAATCCGATCGGAGTTCTTCTTTTTTGCTACGCGTGGAGATAAGTAAAATGTGATATTAAAAAAAAAAAAAGATATGAGTCGTTTTCACATTATGAAGAATTCAGATTATACAATTTATTTTGATAGATCATCAAAAAAAAAAATCCCGATTAAGCGAGTAGTACTAAGTAATAACCCAGATTTATGGAATCAAAAAAAAGAAAAAAAAAGAAAAGGTTGAATACTTTTTAGATGATTTGACAGGGAGAGTTATATATGATGCAGTGTAATGATAGATTGTGACAATGACAAAAAAAAAAAAAAAAAAAAAAAAAAAGAGTATCAGGGTCGATACGATCAAACCAAAGTAGGAAAAAGTACTAAAAAAGAAAAAAAAAAAAAAAAAAAAAAAGAGAGAGATTTGCATAAGCGTGTGTGCTTTACAAAGTTGATGTTCGGAGTTGTAAAATAACCTAAAAAAAGTTTTTCCTTTTCGCTTTTTTTGTACTAATTTTTTTTTTTCGTCTTTTTCTTCTTTTTCTATTGTTTCTTTTCCTTCTTTACATTCTATTGATTGGAAACAGGGCAATTTACTTGATTCAAAATACCAATAATATTATATTATTACTTGTTTTACCTCTCTCTTCTTTTGGTTACTATTATTCTTTTTTTTTTTATTTATTTTATTTATTTTGACAAGTGGGATCAATCTATTATTATTATTACTTGAATGACAGTCAAAGTGATACCTGGTGAATTCACCCCTTTTACTATTGCGATAGCTATACTTAGTGGTATTATTCTTTTTTATGGATATGTATCTATGTTTGTAAAGGAACGTATGTTTCTTTCTGAAGCTTGTAAGTAACTTGAATATAATAATAAATAATAATAATATTCTTATTATTTCTTTTTATTAGTTGTTGCTTTAATAGTTGGAATTATAGCAGGACCATTAGTGACAAATGGATTTAATCCTTATAGTTGGGAAAATACAGATGAAATCACTAAAGAACTTACTCGATGTGTGATTGCTATTCAGGTATCACAAAAAGGTTTCATATTCTTTTTTCAAGCATGTTTATTTATTTATTTTTCTATTTATTATCATTATTAGGTCATGGCTGTTGGTATTGAACTTCCAAAGTAAAATATGAGATGAATAAGAAAAAAAAAAAAACCGAAGCTGATCATCATCCTTTTTTTTTTTTTCATTTTTTCTTATTTTAGACATTATTTGAAAAAGGAATGGCGGACCATGTTCATGTTTCTGATCCCTATCATGATCTTCATGTGGCTGATCAGTGGTTTATTCATTTGGGCTCTGATTCCTCCTCTTGACTATGTAAAATATTCTTATTTATATTCTTTAAATTCAACTCCTAAACCTGTTTTTTTTTTCTTCTTCTTCTTATTTAGTTGCACGCCCTTGTTATCGCTGCGTGTGTATGTCCGACTGATCCTGTAAGTTGAAGAAGTAAATGGATGAATATTTAAGTTTATTTTTAAATCTTACATTTTTTTTTTTTGTAGATTTTGGCTAACTCTGTTGTAAAAGGCCGTTTTGCTGAAAAACATGTTCCTGCTCATATTCGAAATGCATTATCAGCGGAAAGGTAAATGAATATCAATGAATTATATACCTTTTTTTTTTACTCATTTATCACATTATGATGGCATGTTTTTTTATTTTATATAGTGGTGCAAATGATGGTATGGGATTTCCCTTTTTATTTTTGGCCCTTTTCTTAATCAATGAAGATTCAGTTGGAACTGCCATAGGAAAATGGGTTTATATTACTGTTCTTTTCCAAATTGTCCTCTCTTGTGTTATCGGTGCTGTCGTAGGTTGGGTTGCTTGCAAAGTTCTTCAATGGTCCGAAAAGAAGTAAGATCTCTCTCTCTCTCTCTCTCCCTCTTTTTCTCTTTTTCTCTTTTTTTTTTCCATTTCACTCACATGGGCTTTTATTTCCTTTTATAGACACTTGATCGACAAACCTTCTTTCTTATCTTTTGGTATTGCTCTTGCCGTAAGTTATCCTATCTATATAAAGTCATTTTATTATTATTATTATTATTATCATCTTACTTATTTTTTTTATCAACAGTTATTCTTGATGAGTATGACTGGTTTCTCTGGTAGTGATGATGTATTGGCTTGTTTTGTTGCTGGTAACGCATTTTCATGGGATGAATGGTTTCGTATTGAAACAGAAGAAGCTCATTTTCAAGATGTCATTGATATGATGCTCAATTTGGCTGTCTTTGTTTATATTGGTACTATCATTGTAAGTCTACACAAAAAAAAAAAAAAAAAATCATGCATACGTGAGAATTAACCTATTATTATTGTTTAGCCTTGGTCTGAATTTGGTAATGCTGCAATTGGATTATCTCCTTGGCGATTGGTAGTTATTGCTATCCTGGTTTTACTCTTTCGTCGTTTACCTATTGTGGTTGCTTTGAAACCTGTGATGCCTGCTATGAAAACATATCGTGAAGCAATCTTTAGTGGTTGGTTTGGTCCTATGGGTGTAGGTGCCGTGTTTTTGGCTATGATTGCAAAGGAAGAGTTAGAAGAAGTTTATGCTGGCAAGCCACAACATGTATCTATAGAATTGATTACTCCTGTGGTGTTATTCATTGTTTTGTCTTCTACTTTGGTTCATGGTACAACAATTCCTCTCTTCAAGATTGGCAAACGTATTCGTACTCGTACTTTATCTATTACTAGCACTGGAAGTAACCAAGTCCTTCGATTACCAAAGATTGGTCAACAGTTAAGTCGTAAGAGTGCTGAGGATGATCGTCGTAGTCGTCATAGTTATCATGAAGGTATGACAGAACTACAACGTAATACACTTATCAACACATTACAACAACAAGAAAGAATGGCAGCAGCTCAACAACAATTAGGCGATTCTGGACAAATAACAAATGGATTACCTCATGAATCAATTATTCCATCTCAATCTGATCATGCGGCTATAGATATGAAAAGACTCGATCATACCCAATCGACACCTGTTACTGCTACACATCATACCGATGACGAAGATGATTTTGCAGAAGAAGAATTTTTACCTGGAGAAGAAGAAGAGGATGAACCTACAACACAATCTATTGAACCTCAAAGTATTCGATTCTTGGAACCCATCAATCCTCGTATAGCTACTGGTTCCTCCAGCAACAACAATAACGTAGATAAAAATGAACATAGCGTGTCAAGTTTTAGAGGATGGTTGCATCGGAACAACAAGGATTCAATGGATGAAAACAATGGATCTACTTCACATACTTCTCTTGGTGGTGGTGGTTCTGATGAATCTCCATCTGGTTTACGACAACTTTTTACATCAAGGCGTCAACCTTCTAAGGATCTCGGATCTCGTCATCCTCGAATCAAGGTATGGGATGAGGATCATCACATTGTGATAGAAGATATTGGTGACAGCAAAGAAGAAGTGGTCGAAAAGACAGGCGATCATTGGAAACAAAAAGTACAAGGCGTCATTGACTCTATGGAAAAGGATATCGACAATAACAAGGATTAGATTTTAGTTCATTAGAATTTATACCCTTCCCTCTGTTTTACTTTTTTTTTTATTATTATTATTCTATTACTTATTATTGTGATTATTGTTTTTTGTATTTCCCCTTACCTATCTTTTTATTTATTTATTACTCATTATTTTGTACTATATCTCTATATAGTTTATTTCTATTATCAACTTTTTTTTTTTATTATTATTATCTTTTATTATTGTCATTATTACTGCTGCTTTAGAATAACTTTATTTGTATTATCAAGTCATTTTCAAATGAAAATAAATAAATAATGCTACTGGTATGGATGTGATATGGTAAATGATGAATTTTTTTTGGTTCTGGTTTCTGGATGTTGGGTAATAAATGGGTGAATGATTATATGAATTATAATAGCAGCATTCAATTCATTTGCAAGAAGATGATTTACATCATGTTGAAGAATGTTGACATTTCATGAGAACCAAAAAAAGTATACTCATGGTTTCATTGATATAAAGATAGTAAAGCGCATACAAAAAAAAAATTCACATATGCAGAAAGATAGAGATCAAATTAAAAAAAAAAAAAAAAGAGTTTATTCTAACAGTAATAATCTAAACTAAACTAAATTATCTATTGATCTACTTCTTCAACAGCATCATCAGGTAGAACAGCATTACAATGAATTTTCACTACATCATCCAAGTTTTCCATCGATTCCAAGCACTTAGCTACAGTTTCTATCATTTCAGGATCAGTAATTTCCATTGAGCTTTGAGGAATATATGTTGCTTCCATTTCACGTACTTCATATTGTTGGTTTGATAATGTTTTACTGATATTGTTCAATTCTGTGAAATCGCATGTGATCTGGATGTCAGATAGTACAATTGAATAATAAAAAAAAAAAAAAGAAGATTAAGAGACATAATTTACACCATCTTTCCTATTATTATCATCATCATTTACCTCTACAAGATCTTCTTCTTCTTCAATATCTTCGGCACCAGCATCAATAGCAGCATCCATCATTTGATCTAAAGTATGTCCGGATTCACCTGTTGCAAACGCAATCTTTCCTTTCTTTTCAAAAAGCCAACCAACTGAAGAAACAGATCCACTATAAAAAATTTAAAAAAAAAAAAAGATCATTGATTCATCTTTTGTAAGCCTATTTGATGATAATGATGAGATTGATATTCCTTCTTTACCCATGACGATTCAAGACTTCCTTCACTTCTTTGACTGCTCTTGATTTCTTGTCAGTAACAGCTTCACTATATATATAAAGGATGAGAAGATAGAAATTCATATCTTTCTTGTCTGTTAACTTACATAATCATTGCAATACCACCAGGACCATAACATTCGTATAAAACATCTTCCATAGCATCACGGTTTTTGTCGGAAGCCTATAAAAGAAGGAAAATATACAAAAAGTCATTTACCAAATCCTTTTGTGATTTTCTATTTACCTTTTTCATAGCATTTTCAATACTGTCTTTTGTCATATTGTTTGCCTTTGCACGATTAAGAATAGTCGATAATCGAGTATTAATATTCGGATCAGATCCACCAGCTATAAAAGTAATAAGGGTGAGATGACCCCTGAAAATAGAACAAACAAAAAAAAAAGAAAAAATGAGGGAATTTTCGAGTAAATTTACCTCTGACAGCTCTAGTGATTTCCAATCCAATCTTGGAAAAGAGTTTGCTCTTTTTCGCGTCCTTTGCACCTTTGGTATGTTTGACTTTACTCCATTTGTTATGACCCTAGAAGATATAAATTAAATATAAAGAATAATAATAAATAGATCATTTATGTTTTTATTCATTACTGCAAAACGTTGTTGTTGATATAGGCAACCTAAACTGGCAATACTTGATTGAACAGGTGTAATATTGAACACAGGTGATAATCGTTGTGTAGATCTTATTAAAGAAGTAGATCTTAATAAAATCAAAGGTCGAACCATTCTTGTTATCTTTTAAAGAAGGAAAAGAAGAAAAGAAAAAGAAAAAAGCCCGCGGTTATTCACTAAAAAAAAAAAAAAAAAAATCGAAGCACCAAAGGGATAAGTTTTTTTCTATTTCATTCCGCCGAGGAGCTTCAAAAAAAGATGCTGCTTTAATCTTTTTTTTTTTTTTCTTTGTCCTTTTCTTTTTTGTCCTTTTCTTTTCTCAGTAAAATAAAAAAAAAAAAAAAAAGAAGTAACCAATGTCCAAAAGGAACTTCAAAAGATCAAATATACGAAAACAGCAATCTGAAAAAGATAAACTCAAGTTTATTCAAGATCAATCATCTGTAAGTTATAAAAAGTTATATATAATTTTCACTGATAATTCTCCTTTTCTTTTCTTTTTTTTTTTTAGCAATATGGTAAATTAGCAGCCTTTCAACATTTCCTAGGTGCTTTACAACATCAAGATATCCAATACCATCAATATATTAAGATTCCTGTGGATTTGATAGGTAAATTGAAATATATATATACTAATAACAGTATCTTATTTCTATTTTATTTTTATTGTTTAGATCTAACAGCAGCATTTATAGCAAGTCTTATTAGTGGAAACGATTATTTATTAGCTCTTCCTTCACCTGATATGATGACTGTTACCCTAGATACCTATCAAGCCAATATCAAATTTATCAACAAAACTCTTACAAGAGCTCAAGTTACCTATTCATCTCTCATTGTCTGTCTTTGGTATATTGACCAATTCTTTTGTCGAAGGCGTATAACTCATGCCAAACGAAAACAATCTACTCGTACTTGGCAAGTTCGTGACCTTTTTATGGCAAGTATTATTGTAGCTGATAAATATATGTAAGTATATTATTATTAATAAAAATAAAAATAAAAAATATATTAACATTAGATTATATATATGTTAGGGCGGATCTTACGTGGTACAATGCAGACTGGGCAGATTCAACTCAATATGCTTATTCTTGTCATGATCTTAATCAATTGGAAAGAAGGTTTCTAGAAGAAATGGATTATTCACTGTTTGTTTCAGATCAAGATTATTATAACTTTTGTAACTATTTGGAATTCAGGGTACATTTACGACAAATCAATATTGGAAGTCGAATCATGTCATTATCATATCACAACATCAATGTCCTTAGTCAACAGTTGAATCCTATTTATGTTAAACGTCTTGGACTCTCTTTACGACCATTTGAAGCTATGATTCTTTTAGCAAAGACAGTTACTTCAATTTGTATTATGTACGCTGCTACTATTGCTGCTACTATTTCTACTGCTTATATATGTTATCAATATTCTAATTGGTTGGTTACTGTATTATTGGAAAAAAGTATTCAAGAACATATGGTACTCATGCTTGTTGATATATTGGATTTACCTGATGGTTTACGATCCTTACTTTATGATAGCGGGGGTTCAGCAGTTTAGTTTTTTTTTTTTTTTTTTTCTTTCACATGCCCAAACATGAATAAAAAAATCCCCGCCTTTTTTTTCCATCTCTTCTCTCTCCTTTCTTTCTTTTTTTTTTTTTTTTTATTATTTCGTCTTACCAACCTTTTTTATTTTTTATTTTTTTTTTTTTTTTTTATATATATTCTTGAACAAATGTCCAAACAATCAGTTAATGAAACACCCACTCCTGTATCATTTATAGACGACAAGAACGATGACCAATTAGAACAACAACAACAACTTTTTGCAACTTCTTTTGCTATACAAAGATGGATTGACAAGTTAAACCGTCAATCACCCATCAACATACGAATGGCTACACTTCCTATCTGTACAGCTTCTGTCAAACGAATCATTAGCATAGAATCTTTTTATGCTCGATCTAGACTGTTTAGATTCTTATTACGAAAAGGATTACCTCCTATTCTACTTTTTCTTGGGACAACAACAGCTTTTGTTTGGATGCTTAGACGATTCTATATACGACACCAATATTTAGCTCTTCATTCTCTTGGTGTTTTATATCCTGCTTGGAAATGTTGGCATTTGGTCAAACAATTGGATACTCATGGTCAACCTATAGAACAATTAAAAGAATGTAAGTCTTGGCTTACTTATTGGATGTTATATGGTTCTCTTCAAGGTACGTTTAAAATTAAAAATCAACGATAAGGCAAAATATTAATCCTTTCTCTCCTTCTTTTATTTATCGAATATAGTACTGGAAAACTGGAGCTCGGATCTTTTACTGTTTTTCCCAAATTATAACATTTACAAGTTATTTATACTCTATTGGGCACAAAGTCCTCATTCAAAAGGTGCAACCATTCTTTATCAACATGTCCTTCAAAAACCAGAAGACCAGGATGAAGAACAACAATATCAACATAATAATTACTATGAATCAACTTTTACAAGACCATCATCATCATCATCATCATCAGTAGAACATCATCAGCAATATAAATCGTATCGGTCTCATTCTCATCAATATCAATCTTTATTCAACAACAATGATGAAGAGTTAACATTGACAATTGGACACGTGGATGATACTGAACATGAGGATAATCAACAACAAGATGATCGTATTCGAAGTTTTAGGATCATTGATGGCTACACACCTCCAACATTAGCATCTGAAGAGCATCCATTATCTTGTGAAAGTAGTATTAGTAGTAGCAGTGGTCATGAATCAGCAGATTATGTCTCATCACAAAAGGATTTGGAGAAAACAACCGATCATCATCATCGTCATCAAAAACAGGTAAATATATATTGATTAAATAATTAAAAAAAAAAAAAAAAAAAAAAAAAAAAAAAAAAAACTGGAGAGAATCATACACTTCGCGTGTTTTCATCCTCAACTGATCTTTTCTTTTTTTTTTTTTTTTTTTTATACTTTATTTTCAATAGAATTATCCTATCTTGGTACCCATGGAAACTGAAGCTGGCTGGTAGATCTTTTTATTTATTTATTTATTATTACACATCAACACCTAACATTTACTATATTATTATTGTTATACTACTTTATACCTTTTATATATATTTATTCTATGACATTATTTTTTTTTATCTTCTTGATTTGATTTTGCTGATGATCAGCTCCAATAAACATGACATTTTTTTTTTAATTATCAATATCATTAATACAGTTTTCAATCATAAAGTATCCATTATTTTTTTTCCTAACAAATGATCTTAATATTTTTTTTTTTTTTGTACGCATAATAATATCCTTTTATGTCTATCAATAGTTTTCTTTTTGCAACCCGTCTAAAACTGGCCCAATATCTGCCAAACGGAATAGATATCCAATTATGCCGCCCACTCTTCCGGTCAACCTGATCCTCTCCGTTTATAGCTGGAATTTTTGTAACTCAGCCGTTGAGGTTTATAATATAGTATTCAGTCTATTGAATATATCCTCCCATATGGTCTAGTGGCTAGGATCCGGCGCTTTCACCGCCGTGGCCGGGGTTCAATTCCCCGTGTGGGAAAATATTTTGCCACCTTCCTTAAATTTAAGGTTTAATGGATTAGCCAATCAGATTATTAAGATTTTTGTGTCTTATTTCTACAATCCTTTGTAGTATCTTTTTTTTTTTTTTTTTTTGTCATCTTGAGTGATGGATGGTTTATAATATGACCGGATAACACTGTTATATTGATAATAATAGTGATGATTAAATAGAACAAAAAAAAAATAATAAAATGTTTTGTAACTTGAATCCATAAATGGATGTCTTGAATATGATTACGCTTGATGATGATCAATAAAACATACATTATATGACGATGGATGATGTGAGTGGCATACTGGAGGAAACCCGCGTGAAAAACAGGTTAGTTTAAATACGTTTTGTGATCACTTCAAACGACAACAATAGATTTTTTTTTTCTTTCCTTAATCCTTGATTGATTTATAAAAATAAAAAAAAATAAAAAAAAAAAGCCCTGATGAACGGAAAATCTAAAGGTTACTACTATAAATGATAGAATTTCTTGGTAAATATAATAAAATAGGGAGTAAATCTGAAACTGGAGAATAGTTATAAATTATGTAACTAACAAAGTGGAGAGAGAGAGAGAGAGAGAGAGAGAGAGAGAGAGAGAGAGAGAGAGAGAGAGAGAGAGAGAGAGAGTACTAACATATATCATTCGTGTTGACTTATTCATAGATTCCGGTTTGACCATTATGCCAATGTCATTTTTATGAAGAGAGAGTGCCACCCCTACATATGCATAAACTTGTAAGTATTTTTTTTTCTTTTTTTTTTTTCCTTCCCCAATATACTTACCATTGTAGCAATAGATCTTTGAGAGAATGAGACTAGACAAAAAAAAAAAAAATACAATTAAAAGTATAAAAGAACCTCTTTTTTTTTTTTTTTTTTTTTATTTCATAGTACGAGTAACATAATCATATAATATCATAAAATAAAAGAGAGTAATGTACTTACTGTGATTGTCATGGTACAATGTAAAATAAAATAAAATAAAATAAAATAAAGTAAAAGTAATAATAATAATAAAAAAAAAAAAAAATATAAAGAAAAGAGAGAAACAAAAAAGGGGAGTAACAAAATTTGTAAAAGTATAAAAAAAAATATACAATAAAATGGATGATTTTTCTGGGATATGTGGAATATTTGTTTTAATGAAATCATATACGTATTTACCATGTTTCATGATCTAAATAAATTCCTGCTTCTTTCTTTTTTTGTATGAAAAATCTTTCTTGGAGTTTGAGTTTGATTGATCTTTATTGAATAGAGAATTGTAACAAGAGAGTCAAAAAAAAATAAAATAAAATAAAGGGGAATGGAGAGTAAATGAAATAAAAGATCAAATTCTAAACGAATACTAATAAGAATATAATAATAATAATAAGAAGAATAAAAAAAAATAATGGGATGATCAAATATCACGTAAATGGACATTGTCAGATGATTCATTCAAATGATGATGAGAAGTAGAATCACTATTCACACTGTTGCGATGGTTGAACATATGAGAGAATCGACCTCCAGGTTGTTGACCAGCTGGTGATTGAGGTTGACCTTGATAATGTCGTTGAGCACCAGTAGTAGCAGCTAAATCCACCTTTTCATTGGATGGGAAGAGAGGACCACGAGTTTGTTCATATCCAGGAGGGGCAGTTTTATTGGCACTATCAAGGGATCGGAATACTTCATCATCCACATAATAAGCTTTGAACATCAATTCCATCAGTTGCATACGTTCTTCAACACGGCTAATACGTTGTGTTTCTGATTCATAACCCAAGTTGTTGAAATCGTTGACACTGAATCGTTTATGCACAGGATGAACAAGAGGAATACCAGCATCGTCAGAAGTTTTAAACTTGCTTTGTAAACCACGTAACAATGAGCGTCTCATGTCACCAACAGACCATCGATGTACCTATCAAAAAAAAAAAAAAAAGATATATAAAGAAATTAGATGATTAAATAATATAGATTAAAAAAAAAAAAAGATTACATACCAAACCCCATGGACTGCGAGGTCTCATACCGAATAACCAAGTTTGTACAGCAATGAGAAGACCGAAAATACCACCAACGAAACCAAGGGCATTGAGAAGTGTGTACATTTTGACTTCACGATCAACGATATTGGTGAAAGCGTTGGGAGAGATGGCAATGACACCAATATCAGCATGATTGACAGTATATTGAGGGTTTGGTGCTTCTTGACGGAAGTTGCTACTAATTTCAGGAGTATTGTTGGCGATAGGTAAGAAACCGACGTAATTCCATCCGACATCTTGCAAGTAGCGATGATCAGCAATTTCGTAAGAGAGGGCACTGTAGGTGAAAGGTTCGATAGTGTAAATGTTGGTAGCAGCGACATCGTTACGTTCATCGTTTTGCCAAGAGAGAACTTGATCTTGAGCCAAAAGAACAGCAGTGTCGTCGTTGATACCGTAAATAGCAGCGTTAGGATCCATAGCCTTGGGATAGACAGAAACGTGAACACGACCAGATGTAATAGCTTGATTACCGTAGAAAGTAAAGATCAATCGAGAACCATTGTTTTGTCCAGAAGTTGAAGCTAATTGGAAGTAGCTAGGAGGTCGGAAAAGATAACATTGTACGGTACCAAGGTGATCAGTGAAAACAGGTTGGAATACAGACATATTCAAAGGTTGCACATAAGAGTTACAAGAGTATCCAACATCAGTTTGACATGCGACAGCAGGATTGTTGGGATCATTAGGATTAGCAGCATTGACATTGTATCCATCGAAACAGAATCGAACATCTATATATATATATATATATTAAGAAAATAAAATAAAAGATGAATAAAAAGTGAGATTGAAAATCGAAGTGATATACATACCGGGAACTTCCACTTGAGCAGTAGCAGTTTCGATACGTTGAATAACATTGGGACTTTCGATAGCTTGACGAATAACGAAGACCAAGAACATGGTAAAGATAAAGATGAAGAAGACTTGGAAGATGATGCGACATGTTTCAGCCCAAAGAGGTTCACCAGATCTATATTTGATTGAAAACAATTAAACAAAAAGAAAAATTATTATATATATATTTACCTTGGTTTCCAGATATCGTGATGAATACGAGTAACAACGAAACGAATGTAAGCTTGGAACTTCCAAAGGAGGAACAAGATGATGATCAATAAAACGACACAGGCGATGGTGACACCAACAATGACACCAGTAGAAAGACCAGAAGAACTGTTATCGCTAGTAGAGCTGAATGATTGAAGCCAAGAATTGGTGGTAGTATCCATAACGTTGATATCGTTATATTGTACGTTCAAAGCCGAACCTAAAAAAAAAAAAAAAAAAAAAAAATACAAAAAAGTGAGTACGCGATATATAATTTTTGTATATATGGAATGGGGCAATTTACCAAAAGCAAAAGTAACATGAGTATCATCAAGCATAGCAGCACTAGCATAGGATCGAGAAGAAGGAAGAATGCCTTGCATATTAGGAATAGTCCAAGTCCAAGTCTTTGTATCCAAAATAGCTACAGATCGAGTGAATTGCTTGTAACGAGGCATAGCACCACTGTCACCTATATACGAGTAAATAAAAAAAAATAAAATAACATGAGAGACGTGTATTTCTATATGTATGTATATTCTTACCACCCATAATAATAATCTTGTCATCAGAGGCTATTAAAGGATAAAATAAAGAAAAGAAAAGGAAAAAAAAGGAACAAAGAAAAGAGAAAGAGAGAAAGAAAAAAAAAGAAAAAAGGAGTTTAAGATAAAGTAATATTGCGGATATTCAATATTTATATATATTTTTAATTGGGACTTACTGATGACAGCACTGTGATCAGTTCGAACAGAAGGACTAGCACCAGTAGTATTGACAAGAGACCAAGAGTTGGATGTAGTATCATATACAGATAAAGTAGTCATAGAAGCTAAAGTGACTTGTTGACCAGAAATAAGACTACCACCAATAACTACTAATTTACCAGTACTACCAACAAAAAAAAAAAATAATAATATGAGTAACTATGGGAATTTTTTTTTTTTTTTGAATACCTTGTAAGAGAAGTAGTATGTCCATAACGACTCCAGTAAGGAGCAAGTTGAGTAAAAGTAAAAGTTTGAGCATCCATCACCCACAAGTCGTTATAAATTGTTTGTTCATTGGATGAACCACCATATATATAAACTTTGTTGGCGTTGGTATCATAGGTAGCACTGAAAAGTTTTCGATTATTGGGAAAAGGAGTACCAGCAGCAGGAGTAGGAAAAGTCTTCCAATTTGTAGAAGCAAAATCGTAGAGTTGAAGTTGTAAAGGTAAGGTGGTAGAGTTGGTAGTAGAAGTTGAATTTGTTGTCGAGTTTGTTGTTGAAGGTTGAGTTGTAAAGTTACCTTGACCACCGATAACCAAAAATTTTGATTGATCTCGAGATACAATAGCTTGAGCGTAAACAACACCTTGTGCAGCATTAGCTTGAGGTAAAGTAGTCCAAGTGTAACCAGTGGAGTTTTGAGTCAATTGATATAATGTATTTGCGTAAGAAGTAGAATCTGTTTCACCACCAAAAAGGATCATCGAGTTATTTCGTTTTGCTGTAGCCATACCACCAGCAAAAGGTAAAGTACTCATAAAATTGGGAACATAAAAGTATGCATGGACATTAGAGGCTAAAATAGCCAATAATAATAATAAAAATGAAAGCCTATTCATTTTAGAAAAGGATAGTAAAAAAAAAAAAAAAAAAGGATAGGAAAGGATGATCAATAGAACAAACTTATTATTATTCTATCAACAAAAAAAAACAAAAGAAAAAAAAAAAAGAAGGAGAGGGGAAGAGAATAAAGAAAAAAAGAGAGAAAAAAAAAAAAAAGAAAAAGAAAAAAAGAAACAAAAAGGGGAAAGAGACACGAAAAATTAAAAAAAAAAAAAAAGGAGTGAAGAATCATCAAATCGGAGACCTAAAATAGAATCAAATGAAATATATATAAAAGATGCACGACATTGGAAAAAATGTATGTATATTTAAACTTGTTCTTTTTTAACTTGTTTTTTTTTTTTACATAACTTTTTTTTTTTTTGTTTTCTTTTTTCTTTTTTTTTCTTTTTCTTTTTTTTTTTCTTTCTTTATAATCATCAATAAAAAAAAACAGTAAAAAGATGAAGTAAAGTTTAATGGTTCTTTTTTTTTTTTTTGTGTTCTCTTATAAATGATTTAGAACCCGCATGGGTCTATCAAAACTATTGAAAATATCCAATCACTCTACTCAACTTAATTGACTTTGGTGTAACATTTTTTTTTTATAAATAGTCATGAAGATACCGTCCAAAAAAGGAAATCACATAAATACTTTTTTTTTTATTATGATTATTTTATATAGAAGAAAAAAAATAACTGATCAATATCGATTATCTCTTGTTTTCTTTTCTTTTCCCATTTCATATCCACTATGTTGTTCTAGATAACCAGCTTGATGATCTAATCCTAAAGGTTCCCATTGATTTGCTTGTTGTTGTTCTTTATGACTTCTCATCTTTGCTTCACATTGATCTACTCGATCAATATCTACTATAGGTCCAGAATATTGTTCAAATCCTGGACATTCTTTACCTTGATTCTTTTTTTGTTGTTCCATAATTGATTAATTAATGTTTTTAAAACAAAAAAGAAAAAAAATGAAATTGTTTTTCCTTTCTTTTTTATAATTTTTGAATGGCATAAAAGTTTTGAAACAAAAATGAATGAAACTGGTATTTGATTCATGTGCTACACCTCCGTCATTAATGCTCTTATGGATCAAAAACAATCACCTGCTAAAATCCCACTAGTTTTGATTTTCTCTCCGCCAAAGAGCCTCGACCCAGTTGATATTTTTTTTATTTTTTTAATTTTTTTTTTTGATAGTGTATAAAAACGGAAACTAAACTAAAACTAAATAAGATGATGATGAGACAATACTATCTATAAATAAGCTTAAATAAACTACTACTACTACTACTACTACTACTAAACGTGGAGGACAAAAGAGTACATTCATTCACTTACTTTTTCATGATCCTGTTGTGTAATCCATCAAAGTTCTGTTGCATATTCTGTCGTGTATCCATCCCTAAGTTCCCAGTAGCATCTAGTCATACATTCATCCAGCTTGAAAATATCATATATATATATCCAATTGAGTGTTGCCGTTTATCTATCCAATCGAATCTGCCTTGCTATGTACCGACTTGTCATACATCCGCCTAGTTGTTCCCTATAGCACGGTCAACCGATCCAAAAAAAAGAAATGCTTTTTAAGATTAGTAGAAAGACTGAAAAGAGTAGATAAGGATTGAGAAAAATGAGAGACAAAAGACAGGGAGACAAGGAATCGATCTAAAAAAGAAGTGAATAATAATAAGAAAGAAAAAAAAAGAGTCAGAATATACTGGGAAGAAAAGAAAGACTTTAGCTTACCAAAGCCATAACGAAGAGGCAGGTCATAAAAATGATATGGTAATATTACATGTCATTGAAACTTGAGAGAAATAAAGATTAATATATAACGAATTGATTATACCTTTTTTTTTAATTACCTTTTGTTAAACTGATATATAAAATTATTGTTTCAAAAACCAACCGCAGGTTTTACTAGCCATTGTCAATGGGTATACTCGTGTAATTGCAAGCTATGTGGAAAGATGAGAAAAGAAAAAGTGATATGAAAAGAAAAGAAAAGCGAAAAAAAAGGGAGAGCCAAAAAATGTCAAAATCTAATGCTTTTGGACTTCTCGGAATTTCAATGTGTTTAAAGATCTTTTTCTTCAATATTATAATCATCATTGCTCGTCATTCATCAAAATTCAAAAAAAGAAAAAAGAGATCTAGACTTTACCAAACATAATTCTTTTTTCTATATTTGGAAACTACATAATGTCGAAGTTCAAAAAGATGGGTTCTTTTATTCGAAAAAAAAAGGTCTAATTAAAATCTAAATAACAGTTTGAGAATCTTCAAAAAGAACTCTAGGTCGTAATGGCCATTGATCAAACTTGATAGCCACTTCATCTATTTGTTCTGCAGTCATATCACCCACTTGAATATCAGTATCAAAAGATAAACGACCCAAAATAATATCAGCCCCTGGACCCAATGTTCTACCAAAAAAGAAGAAAAAAAAAGTTGAGATTTCAAGAGTTTTGTTAATGATCATTGCCTTTATCCTTACCTGACCATCTTACTAAGTGGTTGTCGTTGCATAACAAAGATATGTTTTAGAACATATTCAAAAACATCCCATTCGGCTACGATTAATTAATATAAATAAATAAATAAAAAAAAATGAATGAATGGAATGCTATATTATTTTGAGATTTTTTTTTTTTTTTTTTTTTTTTTTTTTTTACCTTTGGTCTTCTTTTCAGGGATAGGAACAATATTTACTAAGTGATAAACATTCTATCATTATCATCATAGAAGAAAAAAAATATAATGATGAGTAATCCAAATGAAAAAAATAAAACGAAGGAAGGGCTTACATAAGGATATATAGAGGTTGGTTCAGTGGAGCAAATCACATCGATATCAGCACAAGCTTCAGTAACTACACTCATTTTGCATCTTCCTGTAGAACCGGGAGGAGAAATGAATTTCTAACATTATTATTTTTTCAAAAAAAAAAAAAAAAGCGAAAGGTTAAAAAAAAAATGTTTTGTTTGATAAATCATTCGTTTTTTTTTATTGTTTTTTTTTACATGTAATAATTGATCAGGCATCCATAAAGCCATTTGAATTCTACCCATAGAGTGTAATGCCATTTTGTTCACAATACAGGTAGCGAATTGAGCCAGCAATTGTTCCCCGAGTGATGATTTTGGTAAAGTGCCAGTAAATAGAATGTTGGGATTGACTAATAAAGGAAGGTTAAGCATTAACTAAAAGGAATATAAATATCTTTTTTCCTGTTGTTACCTGTACTCCAATCTGTAGTCATCAGCTTTCCAAGATATGCATCATCCCTCAATTCCACATATGTTTGCCAATCATATCCATCTTTCTTCAAAGGTACCAAAACTCCATTACTTTTATCAGACAAATCCTATATAGATATATATATAATAAGAGTTAGAACGATCATCCTATTCGTCTTGTGTAGCTATGTACCTGAATATGATCAAAATATCGCAGGTTGGGTTCAAGAGCATATATCTTTTTAAATCCACCATGAAAAAGAGCAGATGTCCATGCGCCAAGACCTAAATAAAGAAAGTAAAAAAAAAAAAAAAAAAAAATCAAAAAAAAGAAAATAAGATATATTAACTTTTTGACAGTTATTACTGGCTTTTTCTTTTCTTTTCTTTCTTTCTCTCTCACACACACACCTGGATTGATCTCCACCACTGTCATGTTAAGTATATCTGAGTTTGTCCATTTGGATTGTTGTCGTAACATTTCAAATCCATTTTCTATATTTGACACATATAGATAATCAACATAATAAAAGAAAATGAGTTAACTGTCATTTTGTATGCATTCTTATTATTTTTCTTTTACCTGCTACTTTCAAATCATTTAGTGTACAACGTGGTGCTTTGAGAGATCCTTTGGATCGAAATTTCTTGTTCCATGTAGCTTGTGTAGGTATCTTTGGAATGAGTGATCGTATAGAAGACATGTTCACTGTCATAAAAAAAAGAAAAAAAGAAAAGAAATACAAAAAGATAAAAAAAAGGGTCTCTCAAAGCCATCCCATCCTCTTCTTTTCAACTCCGCAGTTATTCAGTAGATGACGGATTTCAATATAGCAAGGATAGAAAACAAGATGATAGAAGAAAAAAAAGTATAGTCGCATAATCCAATTGGAGGGCACAGAAGAAGAAGAAAAAGAAGAGAAGGAGTGGTAGTAGTTCCATTGCGTATAAGAGATTTTGAATAACAGCAAATATATATATATATATATATATATTTAGTCAACGTATCTATTTTTTTTATATTTATTTTAACTTACCTGTATTAAATACATTCTCCTAAGAGGTGATACCATATTTTCATATGTTGCTGTTACAGGTGGATTATTCACTTTGAATTGGAAACACTAAGAAAGATTTCAAAAAGAAAAAAAAAAGAAGAGAGTGATTAATATACTGTATCACCATCAATCATCAATCAATGTGTTTTGACATATTCTAGAGTGATATCTGAACAAAGTGGTAAGACCGATATTTTTATTTTATAACATCGTGAAACTATTTTCTTGTGTCCTGACAAAAAAAAACTTTGAAAACACTGTAAAATTATATGTCAATCCGAAAAAATAAGTATATTAGGTTAAAGATACATAAAGAATACAAAGAAGATACATACATACATATACATAAACTATATTAATACTAATCTAATCTAAGTTCACAGCATCTTTAATGAGTTTGGCTTGTTGTTCCTTGAAAAGTGGAGGTAGAGCAATAGCAGGAGCGGAAAGAGGTTTTCGTCCAACGTATTCAAGCTAGATAAAAGGAAAAAAAAATAGGGATCAATAAATATATAATTTAATCTTTTTTTTTTTTTTTTTTTTACCTTGTGATGAGGAATCATTTGAGCTAATCTAGGGGCCATGAAGCTATATGGACCTTGATTTTCATGTTCTTCTTGACACCAGACAAATTCTGTTGCATATCTATATTTTTCAAGTTCTTCTTTGATTTGATCTTTGGGGAAAGGACAAAGTTCCTTTAGAACCAAAAAAAAAAAAAAAAAGGTGAATAAGGGATATCATCAACATTTTTTTTTTCCTTTCTACTTTACTTCAATACGAATAAGAGCAATACGATCATTCAATCCACGATCAGCCTTTTCTTTTTGAAGATCATAATATAATTTTCCAGATACAAATACAACCTTATCCACTTGTTCAGGATCTGTAGTTGTAGGGTCAGTCAACACAGGTTGGAAATGAGTACCAGGTTGCATATCATCTAAGGAGCTAACAGCGACCTAAGAAGATCAAAAAAAAAAAAAATTGAAATCAATATAGCTAGTTCTAGAAACAATCATGTTGAAACTTACAGGTGATTTAAGCAAACCTTTTGGTGACATGACAATCAAGGGTTTGCGGTAAGGGCGATGCATCTAAAAATAAATAGAAAAGAAATGATGAATAAGAATCTTTATGAATGAGTTCAATGAATGCATACCTGTCTACGGAGGACGTGATAGTATTGAGCGGGAGTAGTACAATTGACGACATGCCAATTGGGTGGAGTAGTATAAGCATCGTCAATATTATATGGATCATTGGACATCTATATCATGCGTTGAGAGAAGAAAAAGTGAGTAAGTAATAGGATATTTTCCCCTATTTTTTTTAAATACCTGTAAGAAACGTTCCACGCGACTAGATGAATGTTCGGGACCAGCACCATCTTGACCATGAGGAAGCAACATCACCAATCCACTTTGTCGAAGCCATTTCTCTTCACCACTGGAAATAAAGGTATCAATAGCGATCTGTGCTCCATTGAAGAAATCACCAAATTGTGCTTCCCAAATAACCAATCGATTTGGTGTTTCAATAGACATACCATATTCGAAACCAAGTACAGCAAATTCATTCAAAGGACTATTGGCAACCTATATATACCAAAAAAGATAAGTTCCTTTCCCATTGCAACAGATGAATATTTATTACCTCCAAATAACCATGACTATTTGGATTGTTCTTGTTGATTTCGTTCAATGGAATCACAGCTTCTTCGGTATCTTGACAGACAAACATAGCATGACGTTGAGAGAATGTACCACGACCTACATCTTGACCAGAAATTCGAACACCGTGTCCTTCTTCTAAAAGAGAACCAAATGCCAATGCTTCAGCTGTAGCCCAGTCTAAACCAGTACCTTGATCCAATTTTTTCAACCGAGAGTCAATATGGTACTTCTTCAGACGTGGATGAACCTTGACACCTTCAGGAGCTGTCACTGATTGCTTGCCCACACGAATCAATGTATCACGATCCAATCCGGTATCTATTTGTTCTGATTGTCCTTTCACTATATGTTCCATGCCTTTCCAATTGCCTTGTAAATGATAAGCTGGATCTACTTTGTAATCATCACTCTTCTTCAATTGAGAATTTAGAATATCTTGTTGGCCTTGTCGAATATTGTCAATTTCATCGGTTGTCAATACTTTTTCTTCACATAGCTTTTCTTCATATAACTTGGGGACTGATGTTCGTAAACGAATATTATTGTACATTTGTGGTTGAGTGAATGCAGGTTCATCTAATTCATTATGGCCCCATCGACGATAACACATAAGATCAAGAATGATATCCTACAAAAAAAAAAAAAAAGGTATTAGGTTAGCCATTCATCGTTTTTTTTTTCTTTCTTTCTTTCTTTCTTTCTTTCTTTTACCTTTCTGAATTTGTTTCTATATTCAAAGACCAAATCCATAGCCCGAGCCACATCTTCAGGATGATCACCATTGACATGAACCACAGGAATATTGATCATTTTTCCAACATCAGAACAATAAGCGGTAGATCGAGCGTTTTGAGCAGGAGTAGTATAACCCAATTGGTTATTAACAACAATATGAACCGAACCACCAGAAGAATAATGAGGCAAATTAGACATTCCAAGAGATTCCATCACCACACCTTGACCTGTAAAAGCAGCATCACCGTGTAATTGGACACATAAAACACGATCACCCAATGAACAAGCATCATCACCAGTAGCAATAGTAGATAAGAGCTCGGTTTGCTTAGCTCGAGCCTTACCCATTGCCACAGGATTAATGGCTTCCAAATGAGAAGGATTGCTCAAAAGGGAGACATGAACTGGATTGCCATTATAATCAAGATCAGGATTATTCACCAAATGAGAGATAACATCAGCAGAATGGAAGGTATTTTCAGGTAATTCAGATTGACCTTTCATCTTGTGGAAAAGAGCAGCATGAGGATATTCCAATAGATCACATAGTAAATTCAAACGACCACGATGAGGCATTCCCACAATGATATCACGTACACCCTCTATATAGATAAAATGGAATAAATTAGAGTTTTGGGTTTTTTTATTTGTTTTGATTTATCGTTATTTACCTTTTGCTGAAAGACCAAAGAGACGATCTAATGCTACCATCATACTTTCTGCACCTTCCAAACCATACCGTTTCAAATTGGGGAATTTTTTGGCAAGGAAATGGTCAAATGTCTAAAATCAAAAGAAAAAAAAAAGCAAAAGTAAATTTGATTGTTTTTTTTTTAATAGAGCAACTTACTTCTGATTGAGATAATAATTGATGAATACGTTTCTTTTCATCCACAGAAAGTTGAGGTTTTGTCCAAGATTCAACAGCATGATACCACCATCTTCGTTCACTTGCAGACTATTAAAAGAAAGTAAATGAATAAATCTTTTTTTTTATTGTAAAGAATAAACTTACTGGAAGATGCATAAATTCATAGGCAATATTTCCACAGTAGGTTGCATTTAAATGATTCAAGATAGTTTTGAAATCAGCTTCTTCTTTAGCAGATGGATCTTGTTTGGATTCTGTCACATGGAGAATACCTATCATATTGATTTTCTATGTTAGTTTCAATAATTTATGCTTATTCTTTTTTTTTTTCTTACCGGATACATTATATATTTTGTTTTCATCAGTTAATCCATATCTTTCTGGTTTTAACGCCAAGACTTCTCTATAAATATTTTAAAAATTATCAGTATTTTTAATAATAAATAAATAAATAAAGAAAAAAAAAACAACTTACTCTCTTTTCATGAAATCCAAAGGATCTAATTGAGCACCACGGTGACCATGAGTTCTATAAGCTTGTACCATACGTAAGAGACTACCATTTTCCATTCTATTGTTTAGTTCTGTTTGAGTATAGTCTGGTAATACATATGGTTTTGGTGCACGGTAACCATAAATATGATTGTCATGATAACCTCTATTTTGAACACGATTCAATAAAGACCGACGAGCTTTTACCGTTAGTTGTTGTATTCTTAACATGAGTATGTTAAAAAAAAAAAAAAGAAAAAAAAAAGAGTGTGAGAAAAAAGATAAAGGATGGGAAAGAGGGGTAAATCTTTTTATAGCTACTAAAAGTCTTTTTTTTTTCCACGGTGATAAGCTTTCCTGCAATCGAACACTGCGGAGTTAAGAAGGATTCAGTAAGTTTGGTTGGTTCCATGGCTGCCATACCCCTTTTTTCTCACGGTTCAACACGTAAACTTTCTTTTTCATCATCACTTTTTGTCATGAAAGCAAAAGAAATAAAAAAAAAAACCAGTTGATAACCTTCATTCATTTAATTTTGTTCGCTGTGAAAAAAAAAGACGGTGTTTCAACATCATCATTGGTCGATCAAATGAGTCATTTATACTTCATAAAATACCTTCCAATCATCATAAAAAGATTCTATATTAAAGTATTGTTTTATTGTGATTCAAATATAGTAAAAATACAGTATAAAAAAAAAAAGGTATCGAATTCATCATCTAACTATACAATCTTTCTATCATCGCCGTTTTGATTTTCCACCTTTTGTCTTGTAATCGCCAGGTGCCGCCAAAGCATGACCAGTAGCATTCACATGAGAAAATAACTTGTTTCGAGTTGGAAAGGATTCTTTGCAAACATTACAAATGTTGTTGGTTATCTATACTCCCAAAAGCGGAAAATCAAAATAATCCATTAGTATACATCCTTATCATTATCTTTTTTTTTTTTTTATTATTACCTTGTTTTCTTCCTCTTCTTCCTTCTGTTTCTTTTTTTCTTTTCGTTTTTCCCGTTTGGTTTTCGCTGATTCCTTTACTGGTCCCGATTCACCGTTGTTAACCATATCATCATTGTTGATGATTGATTCTTCTTCCACGTCGGGTGATCCTATAATAATATCATGAGTGTCCTACTTTCTTTTTTTTTTTTTTTTCTCAGTGATGTTTACCTCCAATATCCTGTTTTCCATTTCGTTTGCGTCGCCGTGAAGATTGTTCCAATTCCAAACTAGCAGCTAGTGCGGTGACATCGTCCATATCTTGTTGTTCCGATAATATTTCTTGATCAGGCTCGTCAAATCCCCAATGAGGTGTCATTTTCTTCTTTTGTTTATTCTTTTTCTTCTTTGGTTTCATCATGGATATACCAATGTTGTCACTATGACTGCCACCATCACCATCATCATTATCATCGTTGATTTCAGTCTTCCCAGTGATTTCTGTTCCAATATCCTTATCGTCATCAGCAGGTTTTTGTTGCATTGATAAAAAGTCCAATTCATCTGCCATCATTTGTTTCTTCATTCTATAGGCCAATCTAGCATGTTTCCGACTTGATTCATGACTTGATAATTGTTGTTCACTTTTATAAAACTTGTCGCATACCACACAATAAAAATCACTTTCTTCCACTTCACCATCAGCCATTGTATCTTCTTCGTCTTCTTTTTCGTCTTCAGAAAAGTATCCATTCAATTGTCGATCATCTATCTTGGCCCATTCTTGTTCTTGATAATTGGCCCTTTGTGCTTGAAGTTCCTGCTTTTCTCGTTGTAACTTTGCTTTCTGTAAAGCTGCAGCTTCTTCTTTTCGTTTCTGTTCTTCTTCTTGATATGCTTTCATGCGAGGATCTCGTTTCTTGATAAATACTGCCAAATTCTGTTGTATCAATAATAATAATAATAATAATAATAATAATAATAATAATAATAATAAATGAGTATCAATTCTATTTTCTTTTTTTTCTTATCACTTACCCGAATGGTATCATTATATTCCTTTTTCCCAATATCCCGAGCTTTTTTGTTTTCCTTTTCCATAGCACGCCTTACAAACCGATTAGGAGCATCAGATAATCGCCATTTATCTAACCATTGGAACGATTTTTGAGTCGAAAAGTTGGACCAAGCACCATAGAAATCACGTACATATGCGCCATAACCCAAGTAACCATCATTGTCAGCAAAAGGTGTTTTGGAATTACCGAATGAAGGAAGTGTTGTATAACCTGATGATCCCATACCATCATCTTCAGAAGGACTGTTTCTATAAGCTTCTTCTTCTTCATTCGCCAGCTTTTGAAATAATTGTCGATAGACCGTATAAAAGCCTTGATCGCTGTCATTATATCCTTTGTATTCTGATACACTAAAGTATCGCATCAAATCATCAGCACCCATACCAGCACTACTATCCCGTTGTCCTTTGTGATCGTCACCTCGAAGAATAGCATCCCGATGTCCATCGTACCTGATCACAAAAAAAAAAAAAAAAAAAAAGAAAAAAAAATTAGTAAGTATTCATTTTTGCATATATACATGGTTTTTTATTTTTTATTTTTTTTTTCATTCTACCATGATCGTTCTTGCGGATCAGACAATACTTCGTATGCTTCTTGAATAAGAGCAAATCTTTCGGTGGCTTCTTGCACCCTATCACCGTTTTTATCTAGAAAAAAGTAATGGATTAATACCAGAATATGGTTGCGATCAATCCATTTTGCATTTATTTCTTGTTTTACCTGGATGCCATATCAAAGCTTGTCGTCTATAGGCTTTCTTGATTTCTTCACCAGTGGCTTGCCGTTCGACGCTTAATAGATCATAGTAACATACACGCATTATCCAAACACTAGGTAAGAAATCAAAAAAGAAAAAAAAAAAAAAGGAGAGAAAGAAAAAATAAGAACGAAAGAGTTCAAACAAAAAGTATAATTTTTTTTTAGAATGTTGCTGCGGTTGAATTTGCCCACCAAGGTGACTGACTAGGTGTCTTATTTGTGTATGTATTGTATTTGCATACACAAAACATACATTTACATAGATACACATATATAAAACTACACAACATCCACACACATACAGTCAGAGCGTATATATATATGTATATATAAGAATAATAAAGACAGATAGTCAAGCAGTTTTATTTTCATATCAAGTGATAATAGTAGACGGAGGAGAGATATATAAAGATCGAAATATGTTTAATAAATGAGATAAAAGGAGTTGTAGTGTTAAAAAAAAAAAAAAAACAAAGGTAGTAGTTGAATGTCAAGGAGATAAGTCGATAGAAGTTAAAGCTGTAAGAGGGCGTGTTCAAACGATACATTTGTCTAGTTTTTCTTTTCTATAAGATCTTCATTAGTTTGAGCAGCAGCAAAGTTCCACTTGCGCTATATAACCAAAAACAAAAACAAACAAAAAAAAAAAGAAAATAAAAAATAGTCAGTACACATTATTTTAATCATAATGATATGTTTACATCGGTTGCATAGGCCAACACAGTCAAACCAATAGGAATGGCAACACCCCAAAAAAGAGTTCGTCGTGTATTACGCTTGTTCCATTTGAAGTAAAGATGAGTGTTTTCACGAAGATGAGCCCATCGTTCAATAGCAGGATCGGTTCGAAGTCCACCCATGATGTATATGTTGGTTTTTATAGGAAAGAAAAAAGTATAGACAATAATTGGCGGGTTTGTTTTTTCATTATGTGAGCGATGGGGGGGAGGAACTTTTCGAAAAGTCACAAAAAAAAAAAATTCCTCCCAGACCTTGTACCTCATTGTTCCTTATTTCTTATTCCGCTGTCAAGCGAAAAAAAAAAAAAAAAATGCTACTCTTTTTCCTTTTTTTTTCAAGAACATGAAAAGACGACAAAAAGTAAGTAATAATGCTTTATTAGAAGAGTTATGACAAATGCAACTAGATTAACTTGAATATTCTTCCTTTCTTGCTTGTAGGATCCGCCACAACGAACTAGGGGACGGTCTAGCCAGAATTCAATAGAAGTAAGTTTATCTTTTGAAACTATCATTTGTTATATATATAGATATATTATTAAACGGGTTACAGTGTTATGCTAGTGATATCGATGATATGGAAAGTTTAGATACAGGATCTGACGATGATAAACACTCATTCAGCAGCGAACCGATCGAATCTTTTTCTGACGATGCCAACACCAACGATGAAGATCCCTTCAATAACAGTTCCATAGAAAGCATACACGACGATTTCGATGAT